GGGTGGGGAGGGAGAGGAAGATGGAGAGGGGGGTGGGGAGGAGTGATTTTTGGGCGTTTTTACGCGTTTTTGTAGGTAGTTTATGTAGTTTTATGTAGTGTAATTCCAAGATTGTACCAAATTTGCTAGTGTTTTGGAACTCGCGAACATGAACAGAAATCGCGAGCGAAATCCAGATCATGCTGAAACAGAAACAGAAACCACCTGCGCAGAAATCGCCTATGCTGGAACAGAAACAGAAACCACACGAGCAGAACCATCTTTGCTGGAGCACGAACAGAAATCATGCAGAAACGAAAAGCAGAATCTTGTCTATGGTGTACAAAGTGACGCTCAAATGAGGCCCATCTCAAGCCTGCGGATTTGACGGTAATAGATTTTCATACCCTCAGCGCCCTCCCTGGCTGGAAAATCCACGAAATTTGTTCCTACAATCTGACGATCAAGTGACGCTCATCTCAAAAGTTCGGGCGTAATATCACATTCTGTTCCACACCATTAGAGTCCTCCTGGCAGGTAAGCTCACGATTCATCGGTCCTTCTGTCGGACACCCAAGTGCTCCTCGTTTGCAGCTTGGTTTTCGACTGCCAACATGTTTTGGCACCCTCAGCGTCCTCCCCAGCCAAGGAAACCCACATGCAACTTGTACACGATATGACGCTCAGGTGAGGCTCGCCTCGAAACTGCGATCCCATCATCGCCATCCATTGCAGACCCTCGGAGCCCTACCTAGCCCGGTAATCTAACTCAGACCCTCAGAGTCCTCCTTGACTCGACCTGCCCGAATCTTGGTCTATACCAGTGGACGCTTAAGTGAGCCTCATCTCAAGACTTTGACCGCAACAGCACATTTCGTCTCGGTATCCCCAGAGTCCTCCCCAGCCTCAGATCCATTACAGTCTCTTGTCAGCATCTGAGGCTTAGGTGAGGCTCATTTTATGATCCGGCTCGACCGGCGAGATGATCTTGATGCCAGAGCGCCCTCTCAGCCTTGGTAGTTCCCGATGGATCACTCCCGTGACATTGGGTGATGCGTTGTTGAAGTACGAACACAAAGCAGCATCCGACGGCACGGGAACACAAATCGTACGATCAGAAACACCTGCTGTATGCTGAAGCACGAAGAAGCCACATGCTGGAACGGGGATTGAACTGACTTCTCCCGGTTTCTGTATGCTGATCCTACGTGGAGGCCTTCACACACCTTCCCTTCACAAACACCTCGACAATATTACGATCATCGCCTGAGACCAGGAACTTCTCCCAGATCGACCTCCACGACTCATCTGTTTCGACCGGCGTCATGACTCCATTTGCCTCGCTCACGACTTCGCCTTCCTTACTGAGAACCTCATTCGGCCGCACGATTAACGCGTCAAACTCTCTCCCGACCTCGAACTTGCCGACTGTATCACCCAAACCCACGACTCGCGCACCACCTAACGTAGCTAGGTAGAAAACCTCGTCTGGACTCAACGCTTTCTCGACTCCGCCGCTCTGCACTTCTCTGGCATTGCTCACCACAATCGCCATACGTATCGCGTCTAGGATACTGCTGCTCCAACCACCGCCGGAATCGGTACCCAGTCCGACCTTGATTCCCTTGTCCAGGAATGTGCGGATCGGTGCGGCCATGAATCCTCCGCCCACACTTGTATTTGCTATCGGGCAGTGGGCTATCCCGCATTCGAGGCGTTTCAGGGTGGCCATCTCGCCGGTTCCGTCATCAGGTGACATGACCGTGCAGTGAGCGAGGATGGTGCGTGGGCCGAGGAGGTTGAAGTGTTCGTAGAGTTGTGCTTCGGTGCTGAATTCTGGGAAGAGGGAAAGGGTGGCGTCGACTTCTTGTTGGGCTTCGTTGAAGTGCGTTTGGATTGCTAGAGAAGGATCTGATGTGGCTAGGTCGCCCAGGCCGGACAGGAGAGGTGCAGTGCAGGAGATGGCGAAGCGCGGAGTAAGGACTGGACGTACCATGCTGCCTATCGGATCGATATGGCGGATGTGCTCGATGCAAGCCTTTGTTTCCGCCAGGGAGGCTTCGACGGAGGGCTCGATGTAGGTGGGTGGGGAGTTACGGTCCATATTGCACTTTCCGACGAGGGCACGCTGGCCTTGGGCGAGGCATGCTTCGGCGAGATGGCGGGTGGCTGGACCGTGAAGAGACGAATAGTAGGATGCACAGGTTATGCCTTGCTTCAGGAAAGCGGAGACGGCGCGGGCGTAAAGGCGTTGTGCGTATACGGGGTCGGCAAAGCGGGCTTCGTTGGGAAAGGTCATGGCGGAGAGCCAGTCAAGGATGTGCATTCCTTGGCCAAGGCCTCGCTGGAGATACTGTGGTGCATGGTTGTGTGTGTCGACGAAGCCGGGGATCAGGAAGGATGGGAAGGTGATGTAGCGGACGGATGGTGCTGGGAAGGATGGGTCGAGGTGGGCGAGCGTGCTGGGAACTTCGTGGGCAGATATGGGTCGTATGCAGTTCGTGATCTTGCCTTGTTGGTCTACGGTGATCAGCGTGTTCTCGAGGATTTCGATTGAGCTGACTGATGAGCTGTGGATTGCGGTGCCATGGAAGGCCAGGGAAATCCGTGGGCTGGTCATATTGGCCGTAGTCAATGCCGTTCAAGATGGATGGCGAATTGAAGCCCGGAAGTTAGACACTGGTCACGATGAATGAGTTGCTGTCATTTAAATGTTCAGTTTCAGCATAATTGGTGCAGTTTTAGAGCAGTCTTGTTGAAGGCATGAATCGGGTCGATGCCGCGACTGCCACTGGCACGGATTGGAGAAGAAATTGAAGCAGCAACTGCCACGCTCTAGACTGTTTGCATCGCATCAAGCGCACTCTCACCTGTTGCGACCTCACCGTCGAAGCGCCTGACACTTGCACGTCGTACTTCGTACGCAGATGATGCCTTGTTGATGATCGTCGTTCAGAAGGACTCAGATTCTATTGGCTAAGGACTAGTCCACGGGCTCCGATACGATACCCGAGCCAGGGCGCCGCATAATTTGGGTCGGAGTCCGGTGCCTTATCAGAAGCCACTGACATTCCGCTACATGCTACCACGGTCTTGGAGTTGTGAAAGAGGCAGGACGTGGAGATGTACTTATTGCAGGCACGCATGACCGAGTCACGGTCCTGCGGATCAGCAAATGGCTGTTCTGCTGGGAACACGAGTATAGGTCGATTTGCTGAATACTGGAGAACGAGATTTATTTTTTTGGTTGGGGAGACCAGCGAGGGGCAAATCGGATATTCTTAAATATATGATCGACTAAGCCCAACACAGGTGTTTGGGGGCTCCAGTCGGCCGCTATAGGAACGTCATTGTTGCTCGGCTCAGGGCGAGTTCGAGTTGGGGATGCTGAGCTGCAGGGTTCCTGACGCGGGCGTGCCCAAAAAAGATATTCAACAAGCACGATGCACAACAGTTGCGCCGCAGTCATCGGGCCGGACATCGATTGGATGTACCACAATCCAACATACCGGCGACACTCTCCTTGTCGCTCAGTCTGGGGCCGGCCATTCATGCGTGTGCTTCGGAAGGTGTAGGTGTCGACGAGGCAATCAAATCCATCGTAGGGTGGGTAACGCGGATCTCGTCGACAGGATACTAGTAACTAGATTGATCGCTGTAACAAAATACTCAACTTCACCAGCATCATCTCCTCCTCGATTTCCCCGTTGCACATAGACTTTTACATTCTCCTCACCTTTCCACCCTCTGATATTACCTGCTATAGACAGACACACTTGTCTATTCCTTCCTCACAGCGACACAGTGTTGAAGTGGTTCACTCCTTCCATCTTACTTCTCCCGGTCATTGAACGGCAGGGGCTTCGGTTTTGTTGGCGCACTCCGATCCCCTTTTTCACGACCACAACATTCCTCGCAACCTGATCCTGAGCCCACGATCAAGTTGGTGCTCAGCAGGTCAATCTGGCGAACCGCCGTCTTTCTTCGTCCGATCATTGGGAAATAGTACCCAGCATGGCTCCTCCCGCGGTCAACGGTGTCAACGGCACCAAGGCCAATGGGACACAGTCCTCCTGGCAGTCCCGCCATAATCTGCACTCGAATTCGCCGCACTTCATTGGCGGCAACCAGCTCGAGAAGGCTCCTCCGAGCAAGGTCAAGGACTTTGTGCAGAACAGCGATGGTCACTCCGTCATCACATCCGTGCGTCCTCCTGAGCCAGTATGAAGAATGTTGGAGAAACTGATATCTTGCAGGTCCTCATTGCGAACAACGGTATTGCAGCAGTCAAGGAAATCAGATCAGTACGAAAATGGGCCTACGAGACGTTCGGCGACGAGAAGGCCATCCAGTTCACTGTGATGGCCACCCCAGAAGATTTGGCCGCAAACGCCGACTACATCCGTATGGCTGATCAATACGTCGAGGTAGGTCCAGAACGCGGTAACAAGGCTCCAAACGAGACGAGAAACTGACAACGGACAGGTCCCGGGAGGTACCAATAACAACAACTATGCCAACGTTGAACTCATCGTCGATATTGCCGAGCGCATGAACGTACACGCCGTCTGGGCCGGCTGGGGCCACGCTTCCGAGAATCCCAAGCTCCCCGAGTCCCTCGCAGCTTCGCCGAAGAAGATCATATTTATCGGACCTCCTGGGTCTGCTATGCGGTCCCTGGGTGACAAGATTTCCTCCACAATCGTCGCACAGCATGCTCGCGTGCCCTGCATTCCTTGGTCTGGCGAGGGCGTTGACGAAGTCGAAGTTGACAAGGATGGCATTGTCACAGTCAGAGATGATATATACGACAAGGGCTGCGTCCACTCACCCGAAGAAGGTCTTGCGGCTGCTAAGAAGATTGGCTTCCCAGTCATGGTGAAGGCGTCTGAGGGTGGTGGCGGCAAGGGTATCCGAAAAGTCGAGAACGAGTCCGAGTTCACCTCCCTGTATAACGCGGCCGCAAGCGAAATTCCCGGCTCGCCCATCTTCATCATGAAGCTTGCTGGAAATGCCAGGCATTTGGAAGTACAGCTTCTGGCCGATCAGTACGGCAACAACATCTCCTTGTTCGGTCGAGACTGCTCGGTTCAGCGAAGACATCAGAAAATTATTGAAGAGGCGCCGGTCACAATCGCGAAGCAGGATACATTCCACAACATGGAAGCTGCTGCTGTGCGGCTCGGTCAGCTGGTCGGCTACGTCTCTGCTGGTACGGTCGAATACCTGTACTCGCATTCGGACGACAAGTTCTACTTCCTCGAGCTCAATCCGCGTCTCCAGGTCGAGCATCCTACGACTGAGATGGTCAGCGGTGTCAATCTGCCAGCTGCTCAGCTACAGGTTGCTATGGGTATTCCTCTGCATCGCATCCGTGACATTCGCTTGTTGTACGGAGTCGATCCTCACACCCAGACCGAAATCGATTTCCACTTCACAAAGGAAAGCAGCTTCAAGACCCAGCGTCGGCCGCAGCCCAAGGGCCATACGACAGCCTGCCGTATCACTTCTGAGGATCCTGGTGAGGGCTTCAAGCCATCCAGCGGTACTATGCACGACCTCAATTTCAGGTCAAGCTCCAACGTCTGGGGTTACTTCTCCGTCTCTTCAGCGTCCAGCATCCACAGCTTCTCGGATTCTCAATTTGGTCATATTTTCGCGTACGGTGAGAACCGAGCTGCGTCACGGAAACACATGGTCGTTGCGCTTAAAGAGTTGAACATTCGAGGTGATTTCCGAACCACTGTCGAATATTTGATCAAGCTCTTGGAGACTCCCGCCTTTGAGGACAACACTATCACCACAGCTTGGCTAGATCAGTTGATCACGAACAAGCTGACTGCGGAGCGACCAGACCCGATGCTGGCTGTCTTGGCGGGTGCTGTCACCAAGGCTCACCTTGCTAGCGAAGCTTGTATCGCGGAGTACCGCAAAGGGCTGGAGAAGGGTCAGGTGCCATCAAAGGACGTTCTGCGAACCGTCTTTCCTGTCGACTTCATTTATGAAGGACACAGGTATAAGTTCACGGCCACCCGCTCTAGCCTTGACAGCTACCACATGTTCATCAACGGATCCAAGTGCTCAGTGGGTGTTCGTGCTTTGGCTGATGGGGGTCTCCTCATGCTTCTGGCTGGAAAATCGCACTCTCTGTACTGGAAGGAAGAGGCGACAGCCATTCGCATCAGCGTGGACAGCAAGACCTGCTTGTTGGAGCAGGAGAACGATCCAACTCAGCTGCGTACGCCATCTCCTGGCAAGCTGGTCAAGTTCACCATCGAGAATGGCGAGCACATCAAGGCGGGTCAAGCATTCGCCGAAGTTGAGGTCATGAAGATGTACATGCCCTTGATTGCTCAAGAAGATGGTATTGTGCAATTCATCAAGCAACCAGGAGCTACTCTCGAGGCTGGCGACATTCTTGGCATACTCGCCCTGGACGACCCATCCCGAGTCAAGACGGCTCAAAACTTCACTGGCCAGCTGCCAGATCTCGGACCTCCTCAGATTGTCGGCAACAAGCCACCCCAGCGATTTGCTTTGCTGCACAGCATCCTACAGAACATTCTTCTTGGCTTCGATAACCAGGTTCTCATGGCTGCGACCTTGAAGGAGATCATCAAAGTTCTCCGTGATCCGGAGCTTCCCTATGGCGAGTGGCAGGCCCAGTCATCGGCTCTGCATTCGCGAACGCCTCAGAAGCTGGACTCACTCATCGGCCAGATCGTTGACCGCGCTCACTCGAGAAAGACTGAGTTCCCTGCCAAGCAGCTGCTCAAGACCATCAACAAGTTCTGCGAGGACAACCTGTCTCGTGCGGAGACTTCTGCTCTCAAGACTACTCTGGCACCTTTGATCTCGATTTGCGACAAGTACGCGGATGGCCTCAAGGTCCACGAATACTCAGTCTTCACTGGGCTGCTCGATCAGTACTGGCAAGTTGAGAAGCTCTTCTCATCAGGTACTCTCCGAGACGAGGACGTCATCCTGAAGCTTCGTGAAGAGCACAAGGACGATCCGTTGGCTGTGGTCCACACTGTACTGTCTCACACCAAGGTGCAGTCCAAGAACAACCTCATTGTGGCTATCCTTGACCTCTACCGACCAAATCAGCCAGGTGTCGGTAATGTGGGCAAGTACTTCAAGCCATCCCTGAAGCGATTGACCGAGCTCTCGGCCCGTTCGACAGCGAAGGTTACCATCAAAGCTCGAGAGGCATTGGTCCAGGCCGCTCTGCCATCATTGGAGGAGCGATCGTCCAGATGGAGCACATCCTCAAATCATCCGTCATCGACTCGAAGTATGGCGAGAGTGGTTGGGATCATCGAGATCCAGATCTTGACGTGCTCAGAGAGGTTGTCGATTCACCACACACTGTCTTCGATGTGCTACCACTGTTCTTTGCACACCAAGATCCGTGGGTTGCTTTGGCGGCGTTGGAGACGTACATCCGCCGCGCCTACCGTGCATACACCGTCAAAGAAGTTACTCACCACAACGAGGGCGAGACACCCTACTTCTTCTCCTGGGATTTCGTCCTGAGGAAAGTCGGTCAGTCCGAATTTGGCTTGCCTCTGGCGTCGTCCTACCCATCAGCGCCTTCCACGCCATCTCAGCGCGACAACCCGTTCAAACGAATCACATCCGTTAGCGACCTGTCGTATCTGAATAAGCTGTCCGCAGATGAAGAGCCAACTCGCAAGGGTGTCATTGTACCTGCCTGTACCTTGACGAAGCTGACGAGGCAATTGCTCGTGCACTTGAGGTCTTCCCCAAGTCAGCCGCTCAATCGAAGAGCAAGGGTCTCATGCCAAGCCTTGAAGGTGCACGCAAGCCCCAAAAGCCTGTGGACGAGGATGATCTCACTGGTGTTCTCAACGTTGCCATCAAAGACATTGAAGATGCCAGCGATGACGAGATCCTCCAGAAATGCCGACAGCTTGTCGAAGAGGCCAAGTCGGAGCTGGTCGCCCGCAATGTGCGCCGTATCACATTCATCTGTGGCCACAAGAACGGGAGCTATCCGGACTACTACACCTTCCGTGGGCCCACTTATGAAGAAGATGAGACCATCCGCCACAATGAGCCTGCGCTTGCCTTCCAGCTTGAGCTTGGACGTCTCTCGAAGTTCAAGATCAAGCCCGTTTTTACCGAGAATCGGAACATTCACGTGTATGAGGCCATCGGCAAGAGCAACGAAAGTGACAAGGCTGTCGACAAGCGCTACTTCACCCGTGCCGTTGTTCGTCCAGGCCGCTTGAAGGATGAGATCCCAACTGCTGACCAACTGATCTCGGAGACCGACCGTCTGGTCAACGACATTTGTGATGCACTTGAGATCATTGGCAACAACAACTCTGATCTCAACCATATCTTCATCAACTTCACACCAGTCTTCCCACTCGTACCAAGAGATGTTGAAGAAGCACTGGCTGGGTTCTTGGAGCGCTTCGGTCGCAGACTCTGGCGCCTTCGCGTCACTCACGCTGAGATTCGCATTCTGTGTACAGATCCCGAATCGAGCCTGCCTTATCCTCTCCGTGTCATCATTACAAACACATCCGGCTTTGTCGTTGATGTCGAGACCTACGTTGAGAAGAAATCACGGAGTGGCGAATGGATCTTCGAGAGCATTGGCGGTACCAAGAAGATTGGTTCCATGCACCTACTGCCAGTCTCAACGCCATACTCTACGAAGGAGTGGCTGCAGCCGAAGCGTTATAAGGCTCATCTTATGGTACTCAATATGTCTACGATTTTCCTGAGCTGTTCAGGCAAGCTATCGCTAACAGCTGGTCTGCCGCACTTGCTGGCACGCCTTCGCTGTCAGAGACTCGACCTGAGCTTGGCAACTGCATTGAGTATCAGGAACTCGTCCTCGACACAGAAGTTGATGGACTCATTGAGGTCGCTCGCCCTCCTGGGCTGAACAACTGCGGTATGGTCGGCTGGATCATCACTGCTAAGACGCCCGAGTATCCTCGTGGTCGACGGATCATTATTGTCGCAAACGATATCACCTACCAAATTGGTTCATTCGGCCCTCAGGAGGATCGCTTTTTCAACAAATGTACAGAGCTGGCTCGCAAGCTTGGTATCCCTCGCATCTACTTGTCGGCCAACTCCGGTGCTCGCATTGGCATGGCTGATGAGCTCATCCCTCACTTCTCTGTCGCCTGGAATGATCCTGGAAACCAGGGGGCTGGCTTCAAGTATCTCTATCTCACTCCCGAGAAGCGTGAGGCACTCAGTGAAAAGGATGTGATCACCGAGGAGATTATTGATGATGGTGAGACCCGCCATCGCATCACGACCGTCGTCGGTGCTAAGGACGGTCTTGGTGTTGAGTGTCTACGCGGTTCGGGTCTCATCGCTGGTGCGACTGCGAAGGCTTACGAGGACATCTTCACCTTGACTCTCGTCACCTGTCGCTCAGTCGGTATCGGTGCCTACCTGGTTCGGCTTGGTCAGCGTGCCATCCAGATCGAGGGCCAGCCAATCATCCTCACTGGTGCGCCCGCCATCAACAAGCTCCTCGGCCGCGAGGTTTATACCTCAAACTTGCAGCTCGGTGGCACACAGGTCATGTACAAGAACGGTGTGTCTCACATGACTGCAGATGACGACTTTCAGGGTGTGCAAAAAATCGTTGACTGGCTTTCATTCATTCCGGACAAGAAGGGACAACCGGTTCCCATCAGTCCTTCGGTCGATGTGTGGGATCGTGATATCTCCTTCTACCCTACAAGCAAGACTTACGACGTCCGTCACCTCATCGCTGGTCAACAGACTGATGAGGCTTCTTGTCCGGTCTCTTCGACAAGGACTCCTTCCAGGAGGCTCTTGGCGGTTGGGCCCGAACCGTCGTCGTTGGTCGTGCTCGCCTTGGCGGCATCCCCATGGGTGTTATTGCTGTCGAGACTCGATCTGTTGAGAACGTTTCGCCAGCTGATGCTGCCAATCCAGACTCCATCGAGCAGGTGACCCAAGAAGCCGGTGGCGTCTGGTACCCCAACTCTGCTTTCAAGACCGCACAGGCACTCAAGGACTTCAACTACGGTGAGCAACTGCCTGTGATGATCCTCGCCAACTGGCGTGGTTTCTCTGGTGGTCAGCGCGACATGTACAATGAGGTCTTGAAGTACGGTTCGTACATCGTCGACGCTCTCGTGAAGTACGAGCAGCCAGTCTTTGTCTACATTCCACCTTTTGGAGAACTTCGTGGTGGATCATGGGTAAGTCTTGCAATTCTTGTCATCATGTTGTACTTACTGACTGTTCCCAGGTCGTTGTTGACCCAACCATCAATCCCGAAATGATGGAAATGTACGCCGACGAAGATTCCCGTGGCGGTGTCCTCGAGCCAGAGGGCATCGTCGGCATCAAATACCGCCGCGAGAAGCAGCTCGAAACAATGGCTCGCCTCGACGAGCAATACGCATCCCTCCGTCAACAACTCTCCGCCAAGGGCCTCACTTCCGAGCAGCAGACCGACATCAAGACCAAGATGAACGAGCGCGAGAAACTCTTGGGTCCGGTCTACCAACAAATCGCTCTCCAATTCGCCGACCTGCACGATCGTGCGGGCCGCATGGAAGCTAAAGGCACAATCCGCATGCCGCTGAAATGGCTGAACGCGCGTCGCTTCTTCTACTGGCGTCTGCGCCGCAGATTGTCTGAGGAAGTCGTCCTCCGCCGCCTCGCCGCCTCTGCTGCTGCGGGTGGCGCACCTGTCCAGCCACAGTCGCCCGCGTCAGTCGCTCAACGCGAGCAACATCTTGCTATGTTGCGGACGTGGTCGGGACTGTTAGATGTGGAGTTTGATAGGGATGATAAGAAGGTTGCCGAGTACTACGAGGCAAACCGGAAGGAGGTGCATGCCAAGATTGATGCGGTCAAGACGGATGCAGTGAGCAAGAAGGTGGCGGATCTGTTGATGAGTAATAAGGATGGCGGATTGAGGGGGGTCAAGGATGTGTTGAGTCTGGTGCCGACTGGGGAGAGGGAGGGATTGATCAAGTATTTGTTGGGGAACTGAGTGGTGGGTGGCATTTGTTTGATTGATGATCATGGGGAGCGAGCGGGCGTTCTTTGATCATTGCATGTCTCAGTCCACCAATTTCGACGAATGGCTATTTGGAAGAGGGAAAGATGGGACAGTTTAGATTGTCGCCGACTCAGGGAGCGTGAGGCAGGAGCGCCAACCCTGCTGAAGGTGAACTGAGTCAGGCTTTCAGATATGTATACCATCTGATCAACTTCCCTCGAATCTCAGTCCTATTGTCCCTCGATATTATTCCCCGGGAGTGTCCCTACATACAACCGCAGAAAGCCCTTGAGTTACAGCGGATATTGATGTGAAGGACGGAGGGTTCTGGACATGGCCGTGGCAAACCAAATCCAGGACGCACAAGCAAAAGGTAGTCAGCCGGTCTGTTCAAAAAGGACTCTGTCATCCGGTTCGACGACAGAGCTGTTGTCATCCGGTCTTGTCAACACAGCCCCCGTCAACTGGCTCCACGGAAGTTGGTCTTCGTCAAGGGCCGGAAGCTGTCGTTGCGGAAAACTACACCAGCGGCAAGAAGAGGAGGTGCGACGGAGTGGAGCAAGCTTCGAGCAGATCAGGGCAGGTTGGGTTCTTGGAGAGTGTGGAAAACCGTTCGGCGAGGTGCGTGACCAGACCGGATGACGACTATATTTGTGGCGGTACCTGCCTCCCTGAAACCTCAAGTGGTAGGAAGGTGCGTGCATGCTGACTTCCCTGTTTGAGATGCACTGTACTTGCAATCCGTTCGTCGCGAACATAGGAATTCGCAGTCTGGTGTCCGACTTTTCGTCAGTTCTGCCTGCCGTGGGACTTGAACGGCGCTATGGTCAGAATTGGAAATAGATCTAGATCGCCAAGCATATACTTCGTATGATATCTTCTTTCCTCTAGCTGCACTATTGCGCCAGGGAAAAGGGTAGCCGCCTGGCTCAGTTAGGCTGCACACATAGCATTTTTCCATTCCAATCACTGGCTCCACGAGGTGTCCAATATCATGGCTGACCTGAGAAAAATCAACGTGCCTCGCTCATGACAGCTCTCTTGCAAACATAGCCTAATGGTCCGGCTTTGCGTGCCTGATAGACAACGGCTATCTGACCCCGAGCTTGAGGCTCAAGCTTGGATTCCGAGGTCCAACCTGCCTCGACAGCGCATCACAGACCCAAGATTCCATGCGCAGATCGACCAGATTCGCCATCGCCGGAACGAGGGTGTGTAGGAGGACGAGCATGTACCATCATGCACGGGAGGCAAGACACTGCATTGGATTCTCTAGCATGCAGCCACGTGAAAAAAGATCCGGTTGGTTGCTGCTCGATGATCTGTCACGACGTCTCGACCTGTTGGTTGGTGGAACCGAGGTTGTGAGATGAATGGCTCGAGTACCGTGTCGCCAGCAGCAGAGCAGAGTGTGGTCACATATAGATAGCAGCCACTTGACCGTGCATCCAACTAGTCCCTTCCCTTTTGGCTTGATCTAAGCCGACACACTTGACGCATATGGCAAGCGCTATCGTATGGCAGGATTCGGAGCAGTGCTCCTGCCGGTTCCCGGCAGGTAAGAAGTCTGCTGCCATCGCGGCATTGACGGGGTGCCTGCCGTTGGATTTCTGCTGGCTGATTTCTTAGAGCACGGAAGGTGCGAGACCGCATAGTCATTTCCCGTTTCCGAGATGAACAATATTCCAGGATGGTCGCAACCATGCTAGAAGAATATGCGACTTTTGTGCAGCCGCACCTGGAGATCGTAATGAGTTCTGAGCGTCTTTCGCTGTACACGTACATAATCTACATTGCTGAGAGCGATTCCTCTTGGACCTCAACGCGAAGAGTATCAGGCTGGGATAAGATGTGCGTCCCCCAGATCGGACGTTATTGCTCAACAAGCATATTTTTGACCCGCGTCCAGTACCTCGGGTGAACCTTGGCCTCGATTTCCTCCTTGGCTAGCCATGCAAAATCCTCATAGGCCTTGGTAGGTTGGTCCACATCGGCCTGTCCCGCGAAAATGCGAGTCTTAATGAAGAACGTCTTCTCGCCCACTGTAGGTGCTATCTCGTGGACTGACGGTATTTCAGATGGAGGTTTCGAAGTGCTTTTCTCCGGCGTTGCCGTCTCCGGAGTGCTGTATTGCAGGTTGTAGTATCCGACCGGATGTCGAGCGACCTGCCAAGTGTTCATATTTGGTCCACATGTCTCGTCAAGGACTCTTTTTGCCGCCTGTATTGATCAGCATCGAGACCGCGAGCCAGTAATTTTGTATGCACTTACCTCAGCTATGCCCTCCCTCTCAGCCAGCGCACCACTTGGAAATATCCAGTTGTCGCGCTTCCCGTCCCGGCCCTTCTCCTTCACAAGCAGGTACAAAGTCCTGCTCAGGCTCCTCTCCAGACTCCGCACATCATTCGCCTCGTCCGCATCCGTCACTCGGCGTAGACCTGCCGTTTCTTCCAGTCCAGACTGCGCGGCGAACTCTGTCCCTCTCCCCTCCTCTTCGACCAACACCTTCATGGTCGTGTCGGCATCTGCGGTTCTGTCGCCCACAAGAACTTCATCATTCCAGCTGTCGTCCTTATATGCATTGTAGTTCCCAATATCTCGCCCAGCAGTTCCGCTACGCTCTGCTTTCTTCTTTCGCCAGTGCTCGAAACCGGGCGAGCCGCGCTTGTAGTAGAAGTATTGTGTGAATGGTAGTACAGTCCTTTCGTTCAGACGTCGTTGGTACAGATAGTATGCTTTTTCGAATGGGTGAGGATCGGCTGTAATTAGAGGTGCTCGACTAAGGAGAACGCCGGCTTTGACCACATATCTTGGTTGCGTTGCTATATCAGCTTGAGGTTGATCTGGCGTGACTTGTGATACAGGCGGAGGTTCGATTGTTGCTTCCGCTACAGCTGCCGAAGCGTAACTACGTTTGGCGATCGTCTGTCGGCATGACCTGCATACAGGTCTCGTTGGGCTAAAGGGCGCTGGGCATCGATCTGCTATCGAAAGGCTCGGAGTTCGTCTGGCTACACCTGCGGATGCTAGAACGCGCTCGAGACCTCGCGATCGGGGTGCCATGGTCTGTGCAAGAGAGGAGACTGACTATGAGGCAGACTTGATGGACATTTGACATTCGCTTGGTCCAAAAAAGTTGTTCTCAAAGAGGTTTAGCTTGATATGCAGCCTTACCACACGTCAAAAATCGATTTCGTTGTTGCTTCCTCGTGTATGCCATCGTCTTTTCTTGAATGGCTGCGAGCCACTACATGCGACTGCTGATGCAGCGTGGCAGGAGCCACATTCATGATACATCGATGACTTACTGCCTTCGATGCAGACAGCGAGTATCTGACCGCAACCTGCTGCCGTACTTGCTTCCGGTACGCAGCACAGCTCTTTCGTGCTCTCTACGTTTACGGCATCTCCTTATCATCAAACGCTTTCTCTCTCACAGCATTTTGATCATTTATACGATGCCAGATTGAACGAGGGAATCTTTTTCGCTAGGTGGACCTATGGCAATATTGTGCTAGTTCTCTTAGATAGTAATTCCACACAATGCCAATACTGTTGGTACTTGCTGATGCAAAGCAGCAAGTCCGCTGCATGCCACGATCCTTCGATCATCAATTTCTTTCGACGCAGCAGTGGCCTGCCTTGGAATGCTCCTTCCGGACTTTGCGCTGATTGATGAGGAGCAGTCCCATACATGGGTGTTGTTAGGCGTTGGCCCATTATCACAACTCATCGTGATGACCTTCCCAAGGTCCCCATCTTTGTGCCTCACACGCAGCGCCGATGACAGCGACTTGCTGATAGCTGGTAGCCGGATCCTTGATCTTGTCTGCAAGTGACGGTACCGCAGAGCTGATAGCTAGCTTCAGCTCGTGAGCCAGGGTATCCGATATCTGCCCTGCTAGCAAGACGGCCGAGGTCTTCGAGTCAGCGACTTCGCTGACTGCTCTTGAAAACTCTTGCCCGACCCCTTGCACCACCACAGGAGATCCACAGATCACTCCATCATGGTCCGAGACCCAACACGAGTTGATAGCGATCTTTCCAAACGATACCTCCACGACAAGCACTTCCTCATCTCTGTTCTCCGGAACGTCCCTCCCAACATTCCGTGCGCGGAAACAGTGATCCTCGGGGTATGTGTAGCTAGGCAGAATGTGGGAAGACCGCACGATAGCGTAGGCAAAGTCCTCGTACGTATGCTCTGGTAGGATGTTCTTGTCGGTCTCCTCAGCTATCATGTTGACGATGTACCACCTCAGGCCGCGTGATCTGGACGGAATGGAGATGATTCCGATCTTTGCTTCCGTCCCAGCATGCTCTGCGCCGGCCGCGACAGCCCGTTGTAGAATTTCTGACAGCATCAGACGGATGGAATTAGGAAACCGAGTCTCATATTCGTCATCAGGTCTGCGGATCAGGTCAGCTGTGGTCGGAAGTCACGCCATTGATCGCTCTGCTAACCTTGGATATGGTTCGGATGCGAGGCGTTGTAAGTAGTCGATGTATGTGTTGTTTCCTGGAAACTCTGCCGCGATAACGGGAACGCCATTGTCGAAGTATGCCACGGATCTAGAGGTAGGTTTAGGAATTGTGAGTTGGTATGAAGGGTACCGACTTACATGATTTCCTGGCCGAGATCGATGCCGAGATGAACTGTATGAACATTAGCGAAGCTGCTTCGGATGCAGAAGAGGCCACTCACCTGGTCTTCTCGCACTGGCCGCACTTATCAGTGGGAAAAGGCAAATTGCTGCTGCGAGCAGCAATACAGTCGCTCTACGCATCATCTTGATAGTGCAAGTTTTGAGAACCAGACGTGCTTCGTTGCAATCGCGGTAAGATCAGAAACATATTTAGTCGAATATCCATCACGCGAATCAACAGCCTATACAGACAGATTCGAACCGGTTGTGTCACATTAGTTGCACGTGAAGCTTGGCTGTGCATAGATGCCACTCACTGGCCCCAAGGCCTGACTTCATCTTGCTCAAGTCACTGACCCGTTTGTGATCGATGGCTTGTGAATGACCTAGCCCTGATGGCACCCATCGCAATCGCCTTGTCCACGATGATGATGACTCCTAACGCCAACAGCTCGTGGGTATAAATCCTCGTTTCATTTCCATCGCCCACTCGCCACTTCTTATCACAGCAAAACCCACCCACCGACTCACCCAGCTCATTCCCAGTCCTCCTCATCACTCTCCTTCCCCTTCTTCTCCTTCGGACTACTCGCCACCCGACTCACCGCACCACTCACAATATCATAGCTAGCCTCACTATCCGCAACGGATTTCTCGTCGTGCGACCGGCGGGCTTGCGGCTCGGGCTGCAGTGTGCTCGTTGTTGCTTTGGGCGTGGCTTGTGGAGGTAGTGGTTGTGTGAGGGTTGTGGTTGAGGAGTTGGCGGGTGGGTTGATCGTGAGGGATGTGGGTTTCGTTACGGGTGCTGTGGAGGGCGTGTCTTCGTCGTCGGAATCCCAGCCGACTTCTTCATTCTCGTTTGCTTTCGCCGACGCTGTGTGATTGGAGACTTGGTCAGCAAAGTTGGGAGCCCGGATAACTGGTTTCCACGCAGGGAAAGATAGCACTCACCCTTCAACAACTCTCTCCTCCGCTCTTCCTGCACCTCCAGTATATGCCGTAGGAAGTAGTATCTCCTCCAAAAGTCCCCGTACTCGACCTTCTCCGGGACGAGCTGCTCCATTGTAGACCTCAACTCGGGGTACCGCTCTAGATCCTGTGCGATCGCGTCCGTCTTCGACCCAACATCAAAATCTGCCTTCCACTTCCCCCATTGCCCATCCTCGCCTGCCTCGGGATCTTCCTCGAAACCCTTGGGATTGGCGTGAATGGCGTGTAATTGTGCGTCGAGGCGCGAGGTGTGGATCACGCGTTTGCCGGCGGAGTCCTTGCTCTCGAAGAGGACCTCGCTTGATTGGTCGTCAGCAGAGGGCGCTGTGACGGCCACTGCATCGCGCAGGAAGTTGCGGATGTTGGTGCCAAAGCGTAGAAGGGCTTCGTCTGCGGCCTCTTCGGCCGCTTGCACTTGTTTCAGTCGCGTGGCGGCTTCGATGCGAAAGCGTGCGAGGAAGGTCTCCGTGTCTTCTCCTTCGGTTGTTGGGGGTTTGTCGGCCTCGCCAGTAGACGGCTCTGACGGTGCGGCGTCGGTAGCAGTAGTCTGAGCAGCAGCATCCTTCTCAGTGATACTTAGACTCCGTGTCTTGTTCGCGAGGTTCTCTTGAAGGTTGGTGAGCCCTTTGATCGCATCCGTCCGCAAGTCCCCGACTTCCTTGACCGCTTCGCTGTAGTAGCTCTGGCTCTGTTTCTGAACATTGCCCCAGAAGCCGCCCAACTTGGCACCCCAGGGCGAGTTCGAGAAGGCCTTGAATGTCTCTGAGAGCTCAGTGGACAAGTCTGGACGTGGCGAGGAAGAATCGGCTTCGGGTTTGGGTGTGGGCGCATCGGCGGTGTCTTTGGGAGGGGTGGGCGTTGCGGCACGGTCGGAGGGCGCGTAGATCTGTTCGTTGGCGTAGGCGAGATCCATTGTAGATTACTTGAAGGGAGGGTTGCAGGGAATGAAGTCGAGCGTCGTTGCGACACGCACTGGGCGTCGATGTATCAAGGACTCCTGGTGTTGTCTGGGGGATCCGAGGCTGAACTCCCCGCACGTCACCTCATGGGGCAGCGAAAAAGGCATCGAGAAGGCAACAAGGTGTATCTATTCAGGGGCATATTGGTCGTTCATGCAATGCGTCTTATTTTCTCTACGGAGATGAGTCATCTGTCTACATCATCTTCAAGCATTCGCATCATATCTAGGCCGACCCTTCAGTCGTGAAGAATGCCTACCTGTCAGGATCTCCTCCACTAATGCTCCTAAGAAATGTCCTCCACACCAAGATCTTACTCGTCAAAAATGAGCTTCGTGATTTTGCCAACAGCAATCGTTTGTCCTTGGTCTCGCAGGGTGAAACGACCGAGCTGAGGATGCGTGGTGAAGAGCTCGCAGCAGACTTTGCCGCTGCCACTGGTGACCTGGAGCCGAGCAATGATGTTCTGGCCCTTTGCTGCGAATGGTGGTGGCTTCTTACTCTTCCGTCCGGTCCTGGGTTCCAGCTTGTGTAGAAGAGCTGCGAAGGTGACCTCTTCAGTTGCAGCGTGGACGTGGAGCACACAATTGAAGCCAGCTGACAGGATGGACTTTAGCTCCACGATAGTGATCTGAGCCTCAAATTCTTTGACGCAGTTGACTGGACGTTTTGGCGAGCATAGCACGAAGCCGGGCAAGATATCCTCTTCCTCGATGCCTCGAACTCGCATACGAACCTGATCACCTGCACCAGCGTATGGGATTTCTTCTTCAGTCTCGCCGTAAAGCGCCGAAATTGCAACCTCTTCTCTGTTTGGCATCATGATGTATGTGCCAGATTTCTGGATGACGCCAGTTTCGACACGGCCTTCCATCATGGTACCCATGTCGCGATATTTCGCTCCCACAGGCATCATGAAAGGCGCACTCAGATTTCGTTCGAGCTTGTCCATGCCGTCTAGTAGCTCGAGTAGTGAAGGACTCTTGACCCACTTGGCTGTTGATGCAGGAACGCGCTCCTTGACGCCCAGACCGGTCTGCGCGGATAATGGAATGAACGTGGCATCCAAAGCGAATTTCTTCTTCAGCCATGGCTTCAACTTGCCAACGATCTCGTCGTACCGCTCTTGTGCCCACTCGACTGTAGGATCATCCATCTTATTGACGGCCACAACGAGCTCCTTGGCACCAGTGGTCTTGATCAGCATAGCGTGCTCCTGGGTCTGTCCTCCCTTTTCGAAGCCTGTTTCGAATTCTCCTTTTCGAGCTGAGATAACCAGGACGGCGATATCGGCTTGTGATGCACCACTCAGCATGTTTGGAACGTACGTCTTGTGACCGGGAGCATCGAGGATAGTATAGCGTCGCTTGGTTGATTCAAAGAAGCCGCGGCCAACCTCAATAGTCTTGCCCTTAGCACGCTCTTCCTTGTTCAGATCCATGACCCAACTGATGTACCAAGTCTCCTTTCCAGCATCCTTGGCGTCGTTCTTGTACTTCTGTAGTGTCCTTTCATCGACCATGCCCGTCTGTATGAGCAATTGGCCGCCGAGTGTAGATTTCCCTGCGTCAACGTGGCCGATAAAAATGATATTCACGTGCTCCTTGCCATACATTTCTTCCAAGATAGACTGATCAACCTCGGCCGCCTGCTCTTTGAGCAGTTCTGCTGCTGTTGTACCCTTCTTTGTAGATTCGCCTGGCGTTGGCGAATTCTTGCCCGAGGATGGCGATGGCGAGGTTCGGCCAGATGCTTTTGGTGCGACTGCTTTGGTTGCTGCGACTTTGGCTGCCTTCTCGGCAGGTGTGGCTTCCGCCGTGTCCATCTTTTTGGCTTCTGTTTTCGGTTCTGCTTTCTTCGTATCGGGTTTGGGATCGGCCTTCTTGGTCTCGGTCTTGGGAGGTGCTGGTACACCTATGGAGAGCACCTTCGCCTTCGGAGCCGCAGCCGCAGCCGGCTTCGGAGGCTGAGAGGCAGGCGTACTCTGTGTGTTGTTGGCGGCAGGAGCGGCGCCATCGTTCCCACCTCGTTTAGCGATACTTATCGGCGCACCTTGTCGTGGTTGAAAACTGCCAGGACTCTGGTTGAAGGCGGCGAACTGCCCACTCTGGTTGTTGGGCTGTTGCTGAGGCTGCTGTTGGTACTGTGAGTATTGCTGCTGCCCGTAGCCGCCCTGCTGAGCATATTGTGGGTACTGTTGGTACTGCTGTAGGCCGTAGCCGCCACCATATTGTTGCTGTTGGCCATATTGTGGAAACTGCTGCTGGCCAGGTTGGAACGCGGAGGCACCAGGCTGGAAGGAGGATGCGCCTGGCCGGAAAGTGTTGGCATTGGCGTTGATGTTCATGTTCTGCGCTTGCCGGCTGAGATCCTCATCCGCAGCATCTTCCCATGAATCGTAGTTGCCCGACATCTTGAATTTTTCGCTAAAGGGCACTCGAGTCTGAGGAAAGAGAGGGTCTGATATATGTATGCCTCTGCTGGAGTACGACCAAAGCAGATGATCCGGCGACAAAGGAATTGAGGGACCAAAGAATGTACAATTGACAAAGGTCTAGTCACAGTGACTCGATTGTAGTCCTTATGCCCCACCACCCTGGTTCCTTGAACCGTGACACATCGCCCACGGAAAGTCTTGGCGAATCCCGACCAATGACGTAGCGGCTTCATTTTGGGGAGTTTGTTTGTCGATATGAGTGAATCTGTCGCAACATCTGATCTGACTTTCCAACGCGCAAACATTACTAGCGGGCCGGGGTCGAGCAGAGCGTATGTCAGGGCATCTCGCCGCCACAACAGGCACGCGAAAATTACGCGTTTCTCAATCTCTGCCACACCACAGGCAAACATCGGAGAATCACAGTAAAAGCGGTGGACCGCGATCCTCATGAGGCATAGGGGCCGCCCAGATGGACCTACTACTCGGAAAGGTGACTTCACAGGCGATCAACTATGCCATCAGATCGGGCATCGCCATCACGGCGTCCTACGCCATTAGACAGTCCAACAAGTTGCTCAGCAATGCACCAAGAAGTGCCGTCAAGGACGAACTCTACGCTCTCCAACAGCGCCTCCACCATAAGATCCGGATCATCTCGCCTGCCATCGATATGATCGAGCTCATTGCGGCCAGAGGCAATACCTCCCTAGAGTCCGCCATTTCCCTGACCAAAGAACTCCGGCTCGAGATCCAAGCACTCGGACAACGCCTCGCCAGTGCCGCCCAGGCGTCTGAGCAGGACTCTCGTACGTCTCAAACCAGCGCCGCAGCAAGATCACAGCACGAGTTGGAGCTGAAAGGCATCACCATCGATATCAAGACCTTGCTCAGCCGGATAGAGGACGCTATACCCCTCATCAATCTCGCCATCACTACCTCAGGGGTCAGTCTGTCCTCGAATCTTCCTCACACGGTCTCGCCATCAAGACTGCTACAAGCAAGCACCTTTCTGACAACCGGGGATACTCAGTATGCCATGTCACCGCACACTGCAGTGCAGATCGGACCCACCTTCACCTTGACTGTCTACATGCTCTTCGCTGGTCATAACAGACCACAGTCGGAGGACGAAATCCGCGAAACTACCTGGAAGGAAGTAATGCACAAAGCACGTGTCAAGCTGCGACGAGTTCCACTGGATGTAGTCCTCAACGCAAGCCCTGGGTCTACACCTCTGGCCAGCTCCGAAATCAACTCCTCGTCTAGACCAGTCTACAATTCAGAAAGCATCATGCCGAGGCCCGCAGCGACGAGTACGCCTATCAGATCATGATCATCGAAGACCTAGACGATGACCGAGCACACGACTTCGACGACGGGCAAGCACAGCCCGGACCTTTCGAAGACGTACCCCTCGCTGGCATCCGAGAGATGATTCCCATCCACGAGATCTCCAAGATCTTCTACGCCGACACGAGCAAGGTCCTCAACATCGGCACAGATGCTGAAACCAACCAGCCCGTCCTGTTACTCAAGCGTGACCTGAATGCAGTTCCGCCGCGTCGCACGGCGGAGCAAGAAGCCGATGAAGACGGCACAGAAGATAATCCCCACAGTCCCAGTCTGAATGGCACTCACAAACTCACGACCGCACAACCAGACCCCTGGCGTCTCCCACCCTCTCTCGACCCCGAATGGATGGCCTTCGAAGTCTACACCGAAGCCGCTCCGGACGACGACCTATCCGACGACTTTGGCGACGTCACAGACACCTCCCTTGCCGGCATACAGCCCACTCGGTCCCTCGACGAGCACATTGCTTCCATGCACATTTCCTCTCCCTCTCCCTCATCTTCCGACAATTACGCCTTCACTCAGTCTCAGATCTCAACCGCCACCGCACCACCACCGCCACCGCAGTGGCAGAACAAGATCGCGACCTCCCTCTCCCTCCTCGAACTCCTCCTGCGCCTCACTGCCCTCCAGCAATTCCAGCAACAATCACATCTCTCCATCACAGACGAGCTACTCAACTTCTTCCTCGAAGAGTCAGCCTCGACAGGCGCAGGCGGAAACGAAGCGTATCGACAGGCGGTCAGACAGGATGCCAGACGGCGGGTGGGTTGGGATCCGTATGATGAGAGTCCTGTGAAGAGGAGGGGAGAGGAATACATTCAATCAAATGGCGAAGATGGCGCGTATGATGGGTGGAGTCCGCTGCAACCTGGAAGTGGTAGCAGGAGAAATAGTCCGGCTCCATACCACAATGGCTATGATGGCCACCGACCGAATGGCAGACCAAGCCTGACCGGACGGCCCAGCAGCACTAGCAGTGCCGGAGGAAGTCGCAGACAGAGCTACAACGACGGCTGGATCCAAAGCGGCCCCCAGACGACGCGAACAAGCACGCCGCGTCTCGCAGAGACCAGCATGCTGAGTCCGCCTCCCTCCGGAGCAAGTCCGAGTCCGCTGCAGAATAAGGCACCGAAACAGCAATGGCTCAGGAGGGACAATAGCCTCGAGCAGCAGGGTCCAAAGAACCGCGGCAGCCCGTTGAGGCCTATGACGGGGCGAAGCGACGAGGGTCTAGGGACGAGTCCGGCGAGTGTAGATGCACAGGAAGGGCCGACCACGAGAAATCCTTGAGTCTAGGGTCGCGGCGTCATCGAGATGCCTCGCACCACGCACTTTGCCGTGTGCAGTTTCTGCAATTACGAAGTCGATCGCGATACCATAGCGTTAGATACCCATGTCGAGCAATGCCAACAATTTATGTTCAATCTTCGTTTGAAACCTGAATACTGCTGCAAACGCGTGTCAAGTTTACCAAAGGTGATGGATCTTCGCCGAGCTGCTAGTCGAGTCGTCGGCCCTTACATATATCGAGAAAACGATTCATAGGGCAGAAATCGGATGCAAGACGCGGAAAGAAGCAACGATGAGATTGAGGGGCCGTCAGATGATGCCGGATGACAAAAACCGGACGATAAGCCTCCCACGGGACCGGATGACAGTCTCATTTCACTAGACGAGACCGGATGACAAAACGCGATTGGTCACTGACAACACCACATGACAAGAAGGCCTCAGCTTCCATACTTCTTTCTACGTATTCATGTGTGCATGTGACCTTATTCTTTGCCGTTCCTTGGAGGACGACGTAAGATTTGGTTGATTGAGCTTGTCGCTGCAGTCGTATTCATTGTGCATAGTTTCTTCCGGCGATCGTGCGGAAAGACTCGTCACCCGGCTTCCGTGAATATTTATGACCTGGCTCAACCATCCAGGTATTGGATTCGCATCGAAGCATTACTATTACCTAGTCATCACTAAGCTACACAATATTGCACGATATTTATATGCAGGTAACAGTCGGCGATGCTTCCTTACTAAATGCAAATGCAGCAACTATGCATCCCTGTCCTCCACGTTTCAACCTGACCAGACCACGGTACCAGGAATCGTGCGCTCCCGATCTCTCCTCACCTTCCGGCCATTGACGACTTTCTGCAAGCATTGCCTCTTCCACCAGTCCTTGAACTTTTCAACTACCTTCCTCCGCCTGTACGCAAAATCAGTCATGGGAATGGTGTTACTTGGCACCTCGAGGCCCCCGTCGAGCGTTGTGTGGCCTTTCATCTGACAAGAATGACTGAAAGCCACGGTGTTCAGTTGTTGCGTATGTGGTGCCGAAGCCAATGGAGATGCCGGCAGCACGTTACGCAAGCTGTGCAGGTGCAGCTTCTGTCGCAACGAAGTTCTGACCCTCTGAGTTGAGCTATTGGCGGAAAAGAAGCTCTTCGTCTCTCGCAGGGTCGGACGAATTGTCGATGGAACCTCAGCATATGGGATGCTCAAATTCAGCTCCGACGAGGTCAAGGGAGGACCGAGATCGGGTGGTGCCAACTGCGGAATGCTGCCCATCCTAGGGACTGGTCTGGCCATGCGCGTAGCGTTGACAGGCTCGACAATGCTGTTGTTGCTGCGATGTGATCGATGGCTGCGGACCGATAGCTTGCGTGTGACTTCGTGACTTTTCTTCCCTGGCAGAGGCATAGATGCTATGATGCTCGACCAACGGTTGGGAATTGGAGGTGGCCCAGAAAGGCGATTCGCCAGACTGTTGTAGGACGGCTGCACGGAATCACCACTTAGCTCCGCGTAGCCTCTGACCGGCGACTTCTCGTCTCTCATATCGTCTTTCGCGGACTTCATATCGGGTGCTGTGTGGTCCATGAGTTCCCTGTTGCTCAAATCGCCGGTCGTTCTAGATCGAGTCTTCATCTTCAGCCTGATGCGAATGCGACGACGTCGGTGAGATGCCTGACGCGCAACAATCTCACTCTTTGATCTTTTATGCAAGCCACATGTCGTCTCTGGAGTCAAGCCTGCTGATGAAAGCGTAGAAAGGATCGACAACTCAGAGGCACTTGTACTCATCAAAGAACGCCGTTTGACCTTCAGCTTTGATACTGTTTCGCTTGTATCGACGTCACCAAGCTCGCCTGAGGTTAGCGTCGGCAGATCAATGGTGGAATTGTTCAAGGCACTTGTCGAGGGAAGCGTCTGCCAGCCAAATGACGGTCGATACTCTCCTGGCACCAGTGACCGCGAAGGAACGGAAATTGACTGCTCTTCAATTGTCCCTGGAATACCTCCGTCCATACTGGCAAATAGCCGTCGTGGCTTCATCGCATGTCGGTCAAGTGTAGCCAAGCTCGAGTATTGCTGTGAAGCTGATGTCGTGGGCCGACCGCGGTCCATGACGGGTACATTTTCTAGCATTTCAGTAAGTCTGAGTGTCGTGGAAGTATCGGTCTTGCTCTCCTTGCCGTCGATGGAGGCACCTCGAGGTCCTGGGGTGTCGACTGCAGGATTGTCGTATTGATGATCGGGATGCAAGCCCAAGCATTCTATGTGCCTGTCCAGCAGAGACTCGACCGTGGATTTGTCATGACTAGTAACTCCGCTATCACGTTCGAGTCGGTCGTCCACAAAGTTGTATGGCGGCCAATCCTCCAAGGTGGACGGGCTCTTGGCTAGGGCTGAGACATCTTCCACGGGTGGTGCCTGAGTACTCTTGACAGGACTCTCCTCGACCATATTCAAGCCGGGCTCTGTTACGCAGCTCGGCTGTTTGACGATGACACGATCTGGCATCTGCTGGTCCACAGTCTCGACATCTAGTATCTTGCTGAAACGCTTACGACTTTGGGATGAAGTTGGCCTTTTGGGCATAGGCGAGTGGATTTTGAGTGGTACACGACTTGGAGTTGCTTCAGAAGTCCTCGGTCGTTTACCGCTGGCAAGACTATCGGATGCGAACGACATGGGTCGGAAAGAAAAGTCTGGTATCTGCCATGCCTTGCTCGGGCTGACGACCACCTCTGTGCTCGGAGCTGATAGCTTGTGCTCCGGCGCTGGGTTCTTCACTTTTTTGTCTCGTTTGAGTGACGGTCCTGGCAGTTTAGACACAGAACTCGGTAGTGGGGAATGGACTCGCGCAGCCAGCAGCGCGAGGTCACGATCACTGCGACTACCGCCGGCAAAGAATGCCGTCGACGGAGATGATGTCCCAGATCGGCGCGAGACGGTGGTCGCTCGTCGCGGGTCTCGTCGTGGTCTATCCTCAGCGCTGCTGTCTTCGCTTCGCGGCCGTCTCAGATCGACCTACTTGGTCAGCAGTGCCGGTGCAACCGACTGTGCGATCTTACCTGACCCATCTGTTTCTTCTCACTGATGGTAGCATCGATGCTCGACGATCTCTTGGGAACAGTCTCACCGAAAGCCCGCTTTGCACTGTGACGTGAGCCAGGCTTCTGGGACTGCTTGCTATCCGATTTGCTCGTTCTAGGCCTGGATTGCTCACTTGGCCGTCGGTTATGCTTTGTAGGCAGTTCAGACGGGTAGAACCTGGATCCTTCTCGCATTCCAAAAGGTGTTTGTGCATCTCGCGAGGTCAGAGTAGGCACACCTTCCCATATCGTCTGATCAATGTTTAAAGGCAGCTGCTGGCCATCATCGATGGAATCTGGCGAGAAACAGTTCTCTTCTGTGAAGGACTCAGAGTAGTCGTAATAAGCGGGAGCCGTGGAACCTGAAGGCGATTGAGGAATGCCGGCCAGCGTCGGCTGATGGCTGGGCGTAGTCTGCGGATGGTTCATACTCATAGGGTCCGGCGTCTGGTATCCCATTGGAGGTGCGAATGAAGGTAGGTAGCCCGGTCGAGGAGCCTGTTGCGGTGCAGAGGGAGGCCGATGGAGCGAGGTGTAGGACGCATTTCCATCGTATGCATACGGACCATGTCTGTAAGAAGGTGCCGGAGATGAAGTGACTGTTCCTGTGCTTGGAGCTCGAGAAAAGCCGGGTTGAGGCGTGTGAAGCGACCTGCTGTCGGTGAAGGCCGGTGAGCCTGCTCTGTAGGGTGGCCTCCTCATACGCGGGTGTAGGCTGCCAGGTGACATCGATCTAATGCTGTGTACATCTTGCTGGCTTCTCAAAGTCACCAAGGATCGATGAGTATAGATGCTTTGATGAGGACTATTGGGTGGCGGCATATGCTGTCTCTGTGTTCTCGAGCGCTGAGATGGGGCGTATGAACTCAGATTCGAACGGCTGTTGTATCGGGATGACAAAGTCGATGCAGAGAAGGCCGGTCTGGGACCATGATGCCTATCGCGTCGGCGGTGGGGAGATCTGTCGTATCGCAAAGCAGAGGCAAATGATGTGTCATATGACCCCGATCGAGCTCTTGTACTCTGTACTCGAGGCGTAGAACGAGGTCCTCGTTGGGGCCCAGCGCTGAACTGGCCGAGATCCCCGAGCTCAGTTGTTGTCCTGAGCATGCTCTGCACCGCAATGGGTGGCGCAGGCAGAGCTGGGTCCGAATCGTGGTGGCCATGTTTTCGAGATGAGTCGGATCGTCTTGGAACATTGGCTGAGATCTCTTCAAGAGGCATCTCGATCACGTCTCCTCCGACTTTCCATCACTGTGAAATATATGACGGTTCGTTGAGTAAGTGATACAGGACTGTTGTAGCTAAAACTTGCGAACAACATGAAGTGCTGCTGTCAAAATTGTGTGTGAAGTATGGGAAGGAGCGATAGAGAAGAGGAAACTTCTGCTACCGGGAAGGAAGGAGCTCTCTGTACACCACGATCTCACCTTGATTCCTTCTGTGATTAACCTCATTTCGAGACCTGCCCTTTCCTTCAGAGCGCCATTAGCCGTGGAAAGAGCCACCGGGCATGGAAGAGCCGCCGACTTCGTGTCTGGAAGAATACTGCGTCTCCACTGGCAGCTTGCATGACTTGCTATGGGGACATTATACTCATCATAACGTGAACTAGGTCGGCATCATACTTATAGCACTGGCAGCACCTCCTCTGCCACTTCCTCTACCACTGCTGCTGCCCTTGCTGTTACGACCACCTGTTGATGTTGATGTGTAAGAAGTAATTTTGCTCGAGCCGCTGGTTGTCGCCTTGCTCTTTGTAGTGGACGCAGCACCCTTCTTGCGGCCTCCGCCTGCACCTTTCGACTTGCCAAATGACCGACCACCTGAACGCCGTTGGTACGCGCCACGCTTGCCAGCTGGTCTGTATGGCTCACTAGCTTTTGTCGGAGCGATGCCAGCCCCCTGAGTTGGCGCTGCGTATGTCTGCAGCTGTGACACTTCACATTCTTAGTCTTTCATCAACCAAGTCAAAAGGCTTGCCACTTACTTTGTCTGTTGAAACGCCCAACCTCTGTGGAGGCGTCGAAGAAATGACTACTTTCTCCCATGTCTGAGCCCATATCAGATCCTTCGAAGTCGTCGTCGGCTACGATGAAGTCGTTCATGTCATCTTCGTCGTCACTTATCTCGACCGCACCACGGCGTCCTGATCCACTCGGGTGATCGTCCTCCTCGTCACTTTGAGCATCAATGATCGCCAAGTGCGTAGCCTGGGCCTCGTCGATAAGCTTTAGTAAGGTCGGGCCGAAATACTCGAAAAGATCTGGCTCATGCCTCGTATCCTCAGCATCTCAGTCTCGTTCCTAGGAAACTTCACCGCCATTTCTCGTAGCATGGTATCGGAAATCTGTTTCCTGCTCAGAGAATGCCTTATGACAATCTGAGAGACAGCCTTGCGTCCCTTCTCGACAAAATCCTCCAGTACATGACGATGTGATGCGCTCAGACTAGCCATATTGTCGTCCAGCGTAATCGGTGGCCCAATAGCTTTCTTCTTATCGGCTCTGGGAACTCCAGCTTTTCGCACGGGAGCAAAGTCGCTGTCGCTAGGAGAGTCAGATTCGACAGTGAGCCGTCGTCGATTCATCTGACGCGAAGCATGCGCTTGAATCGGAGAGGACACATTTGTCGACGCAGGATATTCATCGGTAGCTGCAGCGACCCCTGTGCCTGCGTTTCTCTTCTTGGATTTCGCAGCTGCCTTGTCAGGCGCCTTTGCTTTGGCTTTTGCTCTTGGAGAGACTCGACACTGCATCTGCAGCCTCTCTCTGCCCTCAAGGAAGTCTCGATACCGCCTGCCGAGTTTGACGTATTGCTGATTGAATCCAGCTTTATTCTTGAACTGATATTCCTCCAGAGCTTCGTCTAAGGCGAGACGGTGGAACAAACGGTCGATGTCCTCGCGCTGGAGATCCTTTCCCATGCCGAACTGTGCCAAATCATCGTGCTGGGTGTCAGTCATCTTTTTCCCACCAGCGCCACGATAAATGTCGATGCAGTGAGTCATCGTCACGTTGCTTCCCTTAAGTTGTTGAACCATTGATATGACGTTCTGCGCGTGCTTGCTGAGGTCACGTTCTTCGAACACGCTATTAGAACTGCAGTTGTCACATGTCTGCCCACAGTCCTCGGGCTTGAAATGCTCGTTGAAATATGCCAGGACTAGCTTTCGTCTGCAATCCGTTCGATTCTCGCAGAATTGGACCATGCAGCGGAGCATGTAATGTTGGCGCTCTTTGATCTGCCAGTCGCCGTCCGAGTCGTTGATCATGTGTCGTAGATGAGCTGTATCGCCATAACCATAGTATAGAAAGCAGTCAGAGGGCTCGCCATCGCGTCCTGCTCGACCAGTCTCCTGATAGTAACCTTCAAGTGTTTTAGGCAAACTGTGGTGTATCACAAATCGCACGTCCGGCTTGTCAATACCCATTCCGAAGGCAATTGTGGCAACAATGACAAGAAACTCGTTCCTCTGCCATTTTTGTTGGACATCCCTGCGATCCGGTGCGTCCATGCCTGCATGGTAATGTGCGGCATTGATGCCATGTTTCTCTCGAAGCTGTTTGGCAACGTCTTCACAGGTCTTCCTTGACAAACAATAGATAACCCCTGACTTTCTGCGGTATGACTGATTGATTTGCTCTGCAATGCTGCTCACAATCGTACCCTTCGTTTTCTTGAGTATCGAGTAGCACAAGTTGGGCCGATTGAAACTCTGCGTGAAGATCTGGGAGTTGTCCATACCTAGGACATGCATGACGTCGACCTTGACCGTCTCTGTGGCCGTCGCCGTCAGCGCCATGACAGGCACGCCCCTGAATTGCTTGCGAACATTGCCAAGCTCCTTGTAGTCCGGTCGAAAATCGTGTCCCCACTGGCTCACGCAATGCGCCTCATCGATGACTATGCGGGCGAGCTTCTTAATGTTGTGAAGCTGCTTCAGGGTATCCATGAAGGCAACACTTTTCGACATCATCTCCGGAGTGACATAGAGCAGCTGCACGAACTTTTCTGGCTCGGAGCTTTTCAAGCTTTGCAAGATCGTGCGGCGCTGCTCTGGCCCAATATCGCCATTGAAACACTGGGCCTGTATGCGCAAACGAGTCATCGCGTCCACCTGGTCTTGCATCAAGCTCAGAAGCGGAGACACGACAACGGTGATGCCCGAAGTCATACCAGAATCGATAATGGATGGCAACTGGTAACAAAGAGACTTCCCGCCGCCGGTTGGCATGAGCACGAAAGCGTCCTTGCCAGCTAGAGTGGCATTGATGGCTTCGAGCTGATTCTCTCTGAACTCCTTCAGGTGAAAGCGCTTTCGCAGAGCTCTGAAGACATCTTTCGTCCATGTGTATGTTTTCTCGGGCGTTTTCACAGCTTTGGCGGCAGATGCGCTGGCTGAAACGTGTTTGTGCCGCTGGACATTGTCGCTCAGTTCAGCAAGCGGAGGGCGATCCAAGTCAGCTTCATTGAAGGATTGCTCGAATGCATCAGCGGCATCGAGCATATCTTCGTCGTCTCCTTCTTCAAAAAGGTTCTCATCCTGATCTCTGCGAGGCGGAGGACTGCCCATATTCATTGTGTAGCCACTGGTCTCGTACTGTCGCGGGGGAGGACGATGCGAGTCGCTTCCGGCGTATCTCGGCGGTGTCACACGTGTCGGCCCGGCTGGGAAGACTTGCGGAGATCGCTCTCGGTAATTGTTCCGGTCGTAAGGCATCGGAGTCTGCACTACATGCTGACTTGCATACCCAGGCGTTCTGGCTGGAGAGCCACGTAGCTTAGGCGGACTAAGGCCTCGTGGCTTCTGAGTTGAAGCGACAAGAACGCCCACCGTGGCTGGCGATGGTTCGATCGCCGCCTTGCGTGGGCTTTCAAACAGGTCTTGCCCACTGGGCCTCGACAAACCCGCATCTTGAAGATGCTGAAAGACCTCGAGCTCCTTCTGGTCGACTCTTGGCTTCATGTTGATGATTGTCTTTTGCAAAGTGTTCAGAGGATCGTCCTCATCGTCCGAATCCTCGTCATGGCCTTCGTCAAGCAGGCGATTCAGCTCCTTCTTCTTAGCGTCTCTCTCGGCCATAACCTTTGCCAGCTCTTCACGAGCTGCGAGCACTTTCTTCGTAGCCTTCAGGTGACCCGCGGCCTGCTTCTTGCGTTCTTTTAGCTTCGGAGAGACCTGGCCTTCCTCACAAAGGTAATGAGTGTGTGCTGCATTAGCTGCCTTGAAGGCAGCCTCCAAGCGCGTTATGAGATCGTTGATACGGCGGCAGTCGACATGCATAAAATTAGTTACGATCGCTTTCTCCTCTGCGGTCAAAGATACCTTAGCAGAATCTATCACGCGTGGTTGGGAAGAAGATTCTTGGGTTGCCGTTGGAACGATTGGCGGCGTTTCGCCACCACTCACTTTCGCAGAGCCAGCAGCTGTAGGCCCGGGAGGGGCTGGCGGGCCTTGGTTCCAGGGTTCAAGTTCCGCAGGCTCATATGTAGGCTCTCGAGACGCCCGTTGCGGAGGCTTCGAGGCACCGCTTTTGACTTTGGGCGACTCGGCTTTGTCTGCATCGGACACTGCAGCAGGTGGGCATTGCGTCGGGCCATCGTCTGCGCTCATGAAGTCGTCGAAATCGATATCGGAGCTAGCATCGGACTTCTTCGCTCTCTTCAGCACAGACTGCTGAGACTTGGAAGCCAAAAAGCTGTCCGAATGCGCCTCTGCCTCAAGTATACTATCTTGTAGGTCGTCTGTATTCTGGCGAGGCGGCGTCCTCGTCGACCGCCGCTTCTTGCGAGACGATGGCCGCTTAGAGGAATCGTTGGGTCCATGTTCCTCGCTCTTCCTCTTCTTGCTCTTTTGGGACGATGGCGGCCTCACGTAATTCGCGGCTTGTTCGTCCCAAAGCCGCTTTGGAGTCCCCCAGTCGCCGAACGTTGACGTATTGAGCTGATCTGCCCGTGCATTCGAGGCCTCGTCGCTGTCTATATCATCAATGTCGATGATGTCGGAGTCGGGTACCAGATCAAGCGCCGCAGACGGCGGCGAGTTGCGTAGACGGGCTTCAACCTCCAACAGTGGTGTTACGGGCAATGAGACATTGGGCCTGGAGACCGATGCTCGTCGGGGTGATCTTGTCCTCGATGGTGACGGAGTCGGAAGACCTATATTCTGTGCTTCTTGCGCCAGTAATCTGGGTCGGTTCGTACTTTGCGGTCCGATCTGTAGTCTTGCCATGTCATCTGCGGCTTGCGGCTGGCCATCCTCTATCGCAGGCGAGCTCGTGAGCACTGGCAATTCGGTGTGCTGAAGGTGACGATTGATGGAGTGCTCATGCTGAAGAAGCCAATCCAGATTCTCCGAGAGATTGTTACGGGTCATGAGGAATGGTCGTCATGCTATCGAGCACCATTGCTTGCACTCGCCTTAGATCTGTGTCGGGTCGACCTGAATGCAACAACAATGCGGTAGACTCCAGGTTCAGATCAGTTTCGGGTGGGGCTTGCCGCGACCGGTGCGACGCGCCGAGGCTGGCAGGTGCGAAGTCACATGATCGACGAGGCTGAGCCTTCCAAACTTCCAATACCAAAGTATTCTTGCTCGATCGCAGAGACTACCTGCGTAGTGCTTGGTACGATTGCTTCTGATTGAGTAGTGCGCTTTTGGCCAGGTTGCTCAATCAAGCATGGCCAAAGGTAAAGACAAGAAAGCCAAAGCTGAGCAAAAGGCTCAGAAAGCCGCTAAACAGGCCAAGAAGGCAGCAAAAAGCGAGAAGAAGGGCAATGCTAAACAAGCTGACCAGGACAGCGACGCTGAGGATGACGTCGATCTCGACGCCGTGCTCGCAGCATACGCTGAAGAGCAGGCACGCTTCCTAAAAGTCACAGAAGAAAGATGTGCGCCGCCACCTCCACGATCTTCATGCACGATTGTGGCATCTCCTTCTAATCGCAATGAGCTGTTTATATTTGGTGGCGAGTTGATGGACACTACTGGCTTGGTCCGCTTCTATAATGATCTATACGTCTACAATATCTCAAGGGGTGAGTTTAGTCAGATCAGCTCCCCTAACTCACCAGCGCCACGATCTGGCCACGCTTGGTGCCGTAGTGGCAACACTGGCAAAATCTATCTGTTCGGTGGTGAGTTCTCAAGTCCAAAACAAGGCATATTTTACCACTTCAATTCAATGCACATGCTTGATCCCGACACCCGAGAATGGTCTTTGATCGAGCCGAGAGGCAAAGTCAAAGGGCCACCATCTCGAAGTGGTCATCGCATGACATACTGGAAGAACTACATAATACTCTTCGGCGGCTTTCAAGACACAAGTCAGCAGACGCGATATTTGAACGACACCTGGATGTACGATTGCAGAGAAAACACGTGGCACGAGATGAAAGTTCCGTCAGTCAATAGCCAGAAGCCTGATCCGCGATCGTCCTTCAGCTTTCTCCCGCACGAAAGCGGCGCTGTGCTGTTTGGCGGATATTCTCGCGTCAAGACATCGACCAACAAAGGCAAGACCGGCAAAGGAGGGCCTCAACGAGACGTACTCAAGCCTTTCATCCATCAAGATACCTGGTTCTTGCGACTTACTCCTCCGGCCGAAGACGCGCCATCCGGCACCGCACCAGCGATGAGGTGGGAACGAAGGAAGCGACCGGCGAATGCGCCCAATCCTCCTCGAACGGGTTCGACCATGGCTTATCACAAGGGCCGTGGAATCTTCTTCGGAGGCGTGCATGACGTGGAAGAAAGCGAAGAAGGGATCGACAGCGAGTTCTTTAATGAGCTACTGATCTGGAACATCGATCGCAATCGCTTCTTCCCTCTGGCATTACGGCGCCCGAAAGCTGGCGGCAAGAAACAAGTTCAGGCCGCCCGAGGCCGGCATCGAGGGAAGGCAGATGAAGAAGAGCTACTCAGAAACCTCGCTGCACTCGAAACAAAAGGTTCCATTGCTGGAGCAGATGATATGGATCTCGACGCAGCAGTCGACACGACCGCAGAAGTTTCTGACAGCAAGAAGGACTTTGCAATCAAGTTCGAGCTACCGCATCCACGTTTCAACGCACAGCTCACAGTCCAAGACGACACTTTGTACATCTTTGGCGGGACCCTCGAGAAGCAGGACATCGAGATCACCTTCTCCGACTTGTACGCCATCGACCTAGGTAAGCTTGACGGAGTCAAAGAGCTACACTATGAAGAACCCATCAATTGGAATGCAACAATTGAGCCAAGTGATGACGAGGACGAAGACGAAGACATGGACTACTCCGACGAGGAGGAGGTCGAAGACGAAGATAGCACGAAAGACACCACGTCCGTCGACACGCCGTCGACGCCAGCGACAGAACCACCTCCGCTCAAAGAAGAGGTAGAGACGGAACACAAAGCGCAAGAAGATCCACGACCTTTCCCGCGTCCGTTCGAGAGTCTGAGAGATTTCTTTGCGAGAACGTCAGAAGAATGGCAGCGATTGACAATGGCCAAGCAGCCAGCTGGATCTTCATCTGATCACAGTGTCAAAGAGCTGCGCAAAAAGGGCTTCTCTGACGCAGAAGAGCGTTGGTGGGATGCGAGGGAAGAGATCATGGCGCTTGAAGACGAGCAAGAGGCTGCGGGGATTGGTGAAGTGGTCAACCTTGCTGATCGGCAGCAGGATGCTGGTGCGGGTCGACGGCGATAGCATATCGCTGTGTCGATTCATTGACGGCATGGTGATAACAATCGAAGATTGCATGACTACAGCAGTCTAATCTCATCCGCGAAAGAATGGAGGATCTGCAGCGCTATGATGTTTTTCCCAACCGGTTTGGCAAGAGCCCATTCCATACTATTTTTGGCGAAAGCGACATTGCTTTGCATATGATCTTCCAGTGCCTGCCCTTAGTCTAACACTCTGGAAAGACTTGTCCACCGGTCTGAATTGTGCCTTTGCGTCCTGGCTGTGCAGATGATTTTGTCGACGGACGTTCTCATCGCTGCTGTGCCTACCTCTGGCAGTCTATCTTGCAAAGTCACTTCTAAGACCTGCTCCTAATCCCAGTAATTTTACTTCCCTCAGTCTATAACATCATCCCTCAGCGCAAACAGCGCCTCCACCACCTCCTTCGCCTTGGCTCTAACCGCATTGTGATGCAGCTGATTGCTCATGAACACCTTACAGCCCTTGATGATCGAAGCTGTCTCTAGCGCAGATTCCATCGCCACGTACAGGTCGTTAACATACACAGCTGCATAAACAGGCACCTCGTTCCGCTTCAATTGCTCCGTGTCGTAGAGGTCTGGCCAGTCCTTCTTCTCGTGGATGATCTGGGCGACCTTCTTCAAGCTACGAAGTTCGCTGTAGTCGTCGTAGACCCGGCTAAACACCATCTCGCCCGTGAATTCATATCTCGACCTCTCTTTGGTGTAGTCGAAGTCAGCGTCCTCAGCAACCATCCGATCGAAGGCGAAGTTTGTGGCCTCGCCTTGCGCATAAATTGGCTCGTGGAGCAGCGCATATATCACAGCTACGTCGAACGAGGTCGAGTCTGCCAGCGCTTCTAGCGTTGGCCGCGTCAGCTCCCCAAACATGTCAAGATCATTCGAAGCCCTCACGATCTTGTCGTGAACTCCGATGAAGCCTTCGCTCATGCCCAAGCCTATGCCCATCTCCAACAAGCGCCCAGGGCTCAGCACGCCACCATCTGGCATCGACACGCCATCATGCTTCTTGAGATAGGAGACGATGGCGGCTAGACGCGAGACATCTCCGGCAAACTTCTCGTAGTACAGGTTATTGCGCTGCTTGAGCTTGGGGATAAATCTTCTGATCACATTGTCGGGACTTCGGTCGCTTACGGGCGGAAGCCCACCGAAAATGAAGCTCTCCCGCAGACCACCGGGATACATGCTCAAATAGCTCGTGGATACAAAGCCACCATAGCTTTGTCCCATAATGCTCCACTGTCGTGCATTCTCCGGATACTCCGCAGTCATGGCCATGCGTATCGCCTCAAGATCACAAACTGCATATGGCGCGCGAAAGTGGGTGAGATACTCTGCTTGGGCGGCGTCATCGCCTTCCTTCTGAAGAGTCGCTGCCGTGACAGTATTGCTTAGGCCCATCCCTCGGTGGTCGATGTAGACCATCTTGTAGCCCTTGGCTAGTAAGATTTCTGTAGCCGGCATACTGGCTGGGTGTGCACAGCCAAAGCCCGGGCCGCCCTGAATATAGGTGATCAGGGGAAGCTGGGAGTCTTTCTTCTCGTCGGAAGGGTTGACTGCCTTTGCAAATGGCTCAGCCGTCCGGCAGAAGATCCGGAGCTGGCGGCCATCGGGTTCGAAATGGTCGAATGGCACACTGTAAAAGGATTCGTTAATGAGTAGCTTGTTTGGATGCTGGTAGGAGTGGTTTGACAGAAGTTTTGCTGGTCGGATCTCCGGTCTGCTCAACATGTTGGAGACTGATGTAGCGCTGAAGCCCCTATAGAAGATCCTACATGCGATGTACTTGACTTGATGAGCCAGCACTGCTGGCATCAGCTATCGTGAATGGCTAAGGGAAGGCGGTTAGTGTTCATAAGCACATAAGCATGTACATGTGGGCATTAGTGATGGCAAAAACTGTAGAACGAGGATGATCATTCGCAGGGAATCAGACGGCCAGAACGAAGCGGAAGCTTAAGCCTTATTGATAGCCAGTCTGCAGTCAGTGCCGATTCCGAGACTCACTGCCCAGATGTTTGCGCAGCATTACCATAAATGCAGCAATGGTGTTGGGAGTACTCCTTATGCTGTCAGATTGATTGGGGTAAGTACTATACGTACAGATCACTCGATTTGCGTGGGCCACAATCGCAGAGTGAACCATACGAGGGCTGGGGTGGGAGGCACCAGAAGATGAGCTCGGCGTGTCTTACCGTACCCTGAGGACGTCGATTCGCGGGAAGGCGTTCTAGCGTAGCGATGGGCACAGTTGCGACTGCTTGCCTCAATGATGTTCCGACTGCCAGAGCCAGTGCCTTCCAAGGTTCAGAGGAGAAATGAGTTAGGCAGGAGCGACCGTCACCGTTGAAGCAAATTATTCTGCCCGGGAAGGTATCCCGATGCCTGTCTGCCGGCATGTCACTAAAATTCGAAGCGCTCTCTGCCACTGACACCACCCCGCTTGTCAGCCCCTCATGTACCCCCAGACCATAGTGAACAATTCTTCTCTTCTCGACGACCTTCGCACGAGCAATCCACGATCTCTGTCCGTCCGCACATCGATCTGCACTACCTGCGCTCAAAATGTCGATCACAGGCCTTGCGCACATTAACCTCATCATACCAGCAGGCAGCCTGGATCTTGCGAACGAGTTTTATGGCGACACGCTAGGCTTGACGCCCCGCGAAGTCCCATCAGCACAGAAAGGCACGTTGGCTTGGTTCGATATAGCAGATAGCGGACAACAAGTTCACATCGCATTCGGTCCAGAAGAGGTCGAATCGCGGCGACATCCATGTTTCTCTGTTTCATCAGGGGAGGCACTCCTAGGCTTACAAAGATCCATATGGGAGCATTTCGAACGAGGCGGGAAATCTGCGCCTCGACAGTGCGACCAGCCCGGAAAACAGAACTCGGGGTCCCAAGGAGTTGAGTATCCACAACGCTTCTTCGCACGCGATTATGCAGGTTCGTATCTCCAGAAGAGCTGCGTGTGTTCAGGCAACCTTGTTGACGGATTTGCGGCGTATTGCTGACACGCAGCTTCAGGAAACCGGCTTGAGTTCAGCTTATAATTCTGAATCTCGGTGCAGACGCGGATACGGTACTTAGTATACCATGGGGCGAACTCTGATGGTGCAACATCGTTCATGTCAAGCACAATTTGCGAGCACTGTCAAATTCATGCATGCGTGCTGTTCGCCAGTATCGTGGACTCGTGGGTTGCTTGTCCAGCCCGCCAGCCTAAACTGCATATAAGTCAAGCTTTGAACCGAACGGCGCGGGCGCGGTACCCGGCCGACTGCTGATCCCTAGTGCTGGCGCACTTCTGGCCTTCGTGCCAAGTGCACAATAAAGCTCTGTCACGCTTCGCACCGGAGTGTGCCACACTATAGCTACGGCTGAAAGCTCTATACCTTGTTCCTCGTCAGCTCTCTACCTATACAGCATTGAATCGTGGGCAGAGCAATAGTGATGAAGGTGGTGCATCAACGCTTTTTCTGCCCACTTTGTTGCACCCCTGCTGAAAGTGGCTGCAGCCTGTGCGACTAGAGCCCCATATTGTCGGAATCACCATGCGCCCGAAGCGGTGGTGAATACTAGATTTCAGGCTGGCCGGGATTCTGGGTCCTTCACTAGTTTCCCAGCTAACAGGCTCGGCCGAATTTTATCGATAGGTAACCACCCCTGGGTGGGTGGTCACAGCTTACCTTTATTTATCTGCAGCGATCGTCCGTCCTTATTTTCCCCGCCGTCTCATTCGTAAACCTGTCAGCACCAGAAATGGTCTGAGCATCAGCCTACGCCCATGCTTACAATGTACGACACCTGATCAGTTGCGCGAAAGTCGCTGCAGACTTTCATTCTTCGCAACATGTTACGGTCATCAAGATTCTGGCGACGGCAATCTGGAATGAAACATGACCGAAGCGCAAAGCAAAGACAAGATACGAGAGTCGAACCATTCGCGCAACAAATCGAAATCCATCTCAGAGGGCAAATCTGACCGGTTGCGGTCTAGAAAGTCTAACAAGCAGCTTCGACCCTCTACTAGGGATCGTCGCAACACTGTTGTGAAGCCTCCGAAAGAACGTGTGAAACGGTCAGAATTGGAGGAACTACCTATCATGAAGACTGAGTCTCCTTCAACACCACCGACGGCCTGGATTCAGAACTTGACGACCCGGTCTCATGACATCGGAGCTGTGCCTGCATCACCGCTGGCATCACCACTCGGTGCTGGACGCCTTGATCCGTTCGGAATATATCCAACGGAGTTGTACCAACACTATGGCGGCGCGCTCCCAATGTATGTGCACGAGGTCATCGACCACTGCCTCAACCATACATCCCTAGCGTTCGTACCTTCAGATGATCCTACCGACCTCAGCATGATACGGCGATACACCATGCAGAACGTCATGGCCGACGAGCTATCATGGTACACAGTCGTTCTAGCGGGGGTCACACATCTCTCCTTCGTTAGGGGCGAAGTTGCGATACCTCGCGAGAAGCAACTCTTACGATTATCGTACAAAACAGAAGCTATGACCAAGATTCGAGAGGAGCTTGACAGAAACCAAGGCAAAGCCAGTGATCGTGCTCTGATGGCTATGAACGCTTTAGCTTCACATGGCGCACTCGATGATCTGGACGGCTTCACTCACGACAAGATACAGGCTCGGAAAGGATTCGGATCTGCCAACGACACACACTACTATTCTCTGCTGCAGACCGGAGTGGAACACTGGAGCTCGCTGGTGAGATTCGTCGAGGCCAGAGGTGGCATCAAGGCCACTCTGCCATCTCCTGGCGTGGCTTTCGGAATCGCATTGTAAGCTACTTGCCTGCTTGGCACCCTCGATTCTGACCTGATTTAGTCACGATATCCTGGCCGCGTGGCGTATGGTCCAGCCACCAAAGTTCGAGTCGATTGTCGACACCGAGGAAGCTATCAAGGCGAACCAGCACAAACCAGACGCTGCTGCTATTGCCTACGCCCGACGCCTCTTGAGCGGCTTCTCATCCCTCATGGACGATCGATGGTTATATTCGCGTCTCATGACCCGATTGAAACACATGCGGTGCATCATTGTCGACTACGAACAATGGCAACGCAAATCACCCAATCTACCTGACATTCGGCGGATATTCTGGCTCCGACACTTCGTATTGCATGATCTGCTCTCGCTGCCGATCGTGGGCCAACGGCTCGGTGGTGGTAGAACAGAACTAGGCTACGAGCTGGTCAGGATAGCATGCCTGGCGTTCATGCAGCTTGTCATCTACCCGATGGCTGCCGTGAACGAGATGCCACAGAAGATCTTGAAGAGCATGCTTCCGGTTCTGGATCGGTGGACAAAGCCCTCCGAGGGCAAGATACTAAGCCAAGAACAGCCCGGCATATTCATATGGGCACTCGTTTTGGCTGGCATGCTTGCATTCGAGCACTACGAAACGACTAATGACTCCCATCTGATGGACTCAACGGCCAAATATTTCGATCGCGTTAGCATCAAAGCAGAGAAACGAGCATGGCCCATGGTCAAAAGCATCATGAGCACGCATCTGTGGATAGACTCCGAGTGTGATGGGCCTGGACAAAGAGCATGGAACTACGCCTGCCTCTGGATCGCTGTCCAGGACCAAGGAGAAAATTGAACTGCTACGACTTACGGCCTCGAACATAACTCATTGCGATCTTTGGGAAACGAAGCATATTCTTTCGACATCCTCAGCGGGCACAACCATTCCGGATTTTTTCAAGGCGAGACCATTACAGCATGTGAATTGCTGATAGGGCGAGAATTCCTGTTTTCTGGGAGCGAGCGTTGAAGTTGTTGACCAAAACTCTGATTGATACCCATCATGAACAGCGCTGTAGCTAATAGCTGAGGTCTAGCAAGCGCTCGGTGATATTCGCCACACCACTTCAAGTGGTTAGCTGAAAGGCAATAGTATTTAGACATTCTGCCCACGCTCCCATTTTCCAGATCTCGATGCTTTCCTTTTGAAACAAGAGCCAGCTCGAGTATCTACAATACCTGCCACAGATCAATGCCGAAGTCTAGAACAATCACCACCAATTTTGCTCAGGGCCACAAACCCTGGTGAGGTTGAAATAGCCGGTCCCAAAATCCCATGCCTAGACTCTGCATATGCAATGCACGATGTACAGACGCGAAATTTGGCTTCCATCTTCCGTCTTGTCCTGGTCTCTAACTTGCATGAACAGCAACGTCCCCGCGGACCGACCACCTCCGCGAACCTACGAGACTGGAGAATTGGTTCGGATTGGCAGGTTTGTGACGATATGCAAAATGCATGCAGCGGAGCGGGCACGTTAAGCGAGTTGCTTCGCTGGCACCACAGCGCCGGGTTGTATGGTTCGCGTGGAACATTGCCTGTGACTTTGACATGCTTGCCGGCACTGTGCAGCTACGGCAGGAGCATGGGTCCTGTCGACAGGCACGAAGTACTCTCGCTAGGGAGTCTGTAGTCGGGAGGTGTCGTGCGTGGTGATCTGCTCTCAAGTAGCGGGCCGTTCCTGTCGGTACATCTTGCAAATGACCTCAACGCATTCAGGGAAGCCGCTTCTGTAGAGTCCGCGAGTGGGTTGAAGGTGATGAACAGCTTGCATGGCGCATATTCTTCGACGAGCCTACCCCAGATCTCATACCGACGCTACATATCAGATGCGATTGAGAGGGAGAAATGCTCCCAGCGCTGAGCCCGATATTCACGATGATCAGCAGTCAGGTGCCTGGAAGGCGCCGAAAGATGACGCCCAATAGCGGGACTTTCCTTCCGCTGAACAGCCTAGCCACAGATGGAGGCCGCCTCCAACTCGAGTTTGTCCCCGCACAACCTCGCTGAACAATGTTTCGCATGGACCACGATTGTGGGCGCAGAGGACCTCTTCCACGAACACACAGAAAGCCTCGTGCGTGAAAGTCCATCAGCGAAAGCGTTCATGGATGAGTTCGCCCAATCCCGCGGCGACGACGACCTCTTCGACGACGAGATCGTCCCCATCGAGCAGCCGCCGCCTGTTCAAGAGATTACACAACAATTTGAGGAGACCTCATTACAGAACACAGCACCTCCATCACCTGCGCATCACCAGCCATTACAGCCTCAACAAGGCCCTCGTGGACGCGGCAGGGAACGGGGCTTCCCTCGAGGCGCCATCCGCGGAGGTGCACCTCGACAACAAGCCGCATATTCAGAAGCTGCGCGAAACTCGAGCTTGGGCGAGTCGAAATGGGCCAGCAAGCCAGCTACACCGAGAGCACCTAAGCAGCAAGCACCACCACCTTCGTCTATACCAGCAGAACAAGATCAGACGCCGATCGCACCTACCGCGTCTTCACAAGATGCGACACCAGCAGCACCATCTGCCGAAACCACCACCACAACAACAGCCGAACCTCAAACCACCACAGCAACCTCGCCCTCAGTATCAGAACCACCGACCGACGCTCCAACCGGCCCCTCCACCAAGCCCCGCCCACCCGCAGTTCGTGGCGACCGCACCGCAACCGGCGGCTTCGCCAAACCCAAACTTACCACAGCGGAACTCGATGCAAAACTCGCCGCAGCAAGACAGCGGTCTTCAGACCTAGCAGCCGCACATGCTAGAGCGCAAGCCGACGCAGATGAATTTGCTGAGCGAGAGAGGGTGGCTGGAGAGAGGAGGCGGAAGGAGGAAGGGGAGAGTAGGCGGCTAGGTTTGGAGAGGGAGAAGAACAGGGTGAGAAAGTTGGGGGTCAAGGAGGGGAGGGAGTGGGATCGGGGGAAGGAAGAGGGCATTGGGGTCGGTGGGAGGGGAGATATGCCGCGGATGGCGGGAAGAGGAGAGGAGGTGGATCTCAGGGAGTACGAGTGGGATGACAGTCGCGGGAGGGGAAGAGGGAGGGGCGGGTCGAGGTGGGCGAGCGTGATGGGAGAGGTAGGGGTCGCGGTGGACGTGGTGCATTTGCAGGAAATGGGGTTGGAGGTGGTGGCGCAAGGCAACCTGAGCCCCGCGTCAACGGGGTAGAAGACTTTCCATCATTGCCTGCTGCAAAAGCTGCGCCTGCAGCGACAGCTCAGAGTAGCAGTGACAAGGGAAACCCGGCAACAAGGCCTGAAGCAGGAGTGGCTGTCGATTCGAAAGCACCGGCCGTGGCAGCTGGCGGCAAGAGCTGGGCGGAGCAGATGAACGACTGATCGTCATCTGGGCGCTACGTGTTGCTACGTTCACCACGGAAAGCGCTTTATCCGGTCTCGCGAGATCGGGAGTCAGTGTACGAAGTTGTACGCAGCCATGCAGAGGCGAACCTCACCCAAGTCAGTGTGTCTCTCGGACAACAAGTCATCCGGTCTTGACATAAGCCCAAAAGTCCATTTGAGGCGCATGAAGAAAGCAGGCCACAAGTCTGGCAAGCCAGCGAATGACGAACACTGCATTGTACAATGACTCTATCTCACTCAGAGCGACCGTCAACTTTTCAGGAGCCTTCTGGAATCGAATGACCATAATGCATTTCCCTCTCTGAGATGAAACATGACCCGCCTTGCGTGGCCGAACACGCCTCTTTTGACCATATGAGCGCCACGCTAAATGTCAGATCTAGAAGCAAGCGAATGGAAAAGTCCAGACTCAGGATACTACCACCGACCCCGTCCTCTACCCCTGAAGCCACCACCTCCGCCGCCTCCACCAAACCGTCCACCGCCGCCTCCGTAGCCCCCACCACGACCATACCCGCCTCCACGACCCCTTCCCCAGTCATCACCATCACCATACCCTCTCGGCCCACTCGGCTCATCATCAAACTTCCTCGGCGGCGGCGGACCTCTAGTCTTCAGCTCCTTTTGCAAGGCCTCATAAGTCTTCCGCATCTGCGCGTACCCTAAATGCATCTTCCCGTAGAAATGATCTGCTAAACGTCGATCGTTGTCCAGTCTGCTCAAATATGCCCCACATACATCGCACACCTGCAGCTTTTGATGTCCAGACGGTCCGCTCGTGTCCGCTAGACTCTTGAGGTCGCGCTCCGCTTGTTCCTTTGCTAGCTTCGCTGTGCGCACTTTGTAGAATTCGGTACATGCTAGGCTCACGGACCCTGTTTCGCCCAGGACGGAGATCTCGAGGAGGCCTGTGTTGATAGTTTTCGAGAGGTCGGAGATAGTCTTGAGCAGCGCATTGGTCTGCCGAATCTCATCTGGCGTCTTTTCCAGCCGCCGTTGCGCTTGGTCGATCCGTCGGTTGCAGTCATCTACGTATTTTTGCATGTCGCGGAGATAGTCGTACTCGAAGCCGTGCGAGCGCTTTCGGCTTCGGGAAGGGCGTCGTATTCTATTTTGAGGTTCTCGGGGTGGTGTTTGGGGCAAGGGCCTAGATCTTGTTTTGTGTTGGTGAAGAGGTCGTGTGGGCATGTGCCGCAGAGGTAGGAGCGGCAGACGGAGGAAGAGGTGAGCGTCAAGTTGGCGGTTCTGGAGGCGGAGAGGCCGTTAAAGGAGTCGCCCATGAGCTGCTCGAGCAGCTTGCGCTGTTCGGCAGCCATGGCGGGTGGCTTGGGGTGTGATCAGTGGGCAGATGTTCGGGTAATGCGCCGGCGGTAGTTGAGAGTCAATGGACTCGGCCTGAGGCAGACCAGCAGTTGAGGCGTTGGCGAGAGTAATGATCGCGCGAACTGAGTGAAGGATCCAATAGTGATGGTGTGACGATGAAGGAATAGCGTGCATGGACTGATCAGCAGTCCTAGTGAAGCGTTTCCTGGCTGAATCTCAAAATGTTCTGACGGAGTTTGTATGCTATGTCCTGGTGGGCCGGCTGCCTGGTGTCGCCTTGGTTGACCCAGTGACGTAAGGCAACTCGAGGTAAACACGCGAGACTTCGATTCCTCCGACTTTCCTCCATCAGCCACGCGCCCAAGGATCTCCGTCAGATTTGGGTACGATTGTGCGACAGTGATCTTACGAGTCAAAAGAGCGCACTGGTACTGAGGTATCGATATGCGCACGTCCTTTATCCCACACACAACAGCATCGACGTACTATCAGGGCCACGAGGACTGATCCAGTGTCGCCCTACTGTCGAAGAGATCAAATCGAATATCACGACTGATTGCTGACCTCTTTTACTTCGACAATGGTGCGTGAGGCACAAGCACCAAGGATGCCACTCTCTCCGTCAGGCGGTAACGTAGGCTATCCATCACTCGGCGACACCGATTCGCCAACTTTTGGAAAGCCATCCGCGTTGGGCACGACAGCTTCATCACATACGAAGCAGAACTCTCAGTCGAATTCATCTGCACAGAGAGCGCCTGTACAGAAGAAGTACGACCATCTATTCGTCAAGACTGATCGGAAACCACAGTATCACAAGCCACAAGTCTCCAGCAACCCGTTTCACCAGCTTAAGAACCAGGTGGTAGAGAAAGCACAGGAGACCATCAATAAGCTGACAGATCGATCCGACAAGCCTAGCAATGGCGCTGGCTCACAGAGTGATCCATTCATCATACCAGATCCGATGAGGCAGCAGTCGTATCAACCACGCCCAGCGCCTCCTCCAGCGCCGATGTACTCTTCTGCCGTCAACACGAATCCATACTTCAAGCCTGCCTCAACCAGCAACTTCGTATATCCTACAGCATCTGCGTCTCATTCACAGTTCGACGACTTCTCCTCATCAGACCCACTAACCTACATGGACGCCGGCAAAGCCAATGACAACATCAAAGCATTGTTGGAGGGCGCCTTCGAGGACGAGGAGGAGAAGAAGCCGAGGACACGTCGAAAAGACAAGCCTCAGAATGGCGACGTCGATGCTCTTGCGGCAAAGCTAGGTGATGTGAAGGTTGATGATAAGGGAGACGAGAGTGAAGAAGAGGAGAACGACGGCTCAGTAGAAGGTCTGAAAGTGAAGCTACTTCCTCATCAAATCGACGGTGTTGAATGGATGAAGCACAAAGAGCTTGGCACTCGAAAGACGAGAGGTGTGTTCCCACTTGGCGGCATCCTGGCTGACGACATGGGCCTGGGCAAGACAATACAATCGATCGCCTTGATCCTCAGCAATAAGAAGCCGACCGCTGAAGAGATCGAAGCACATCCAAAGCGGAAGCTGCCACAAGGTGTCAACAAGGGGACTTTAGTCGTGGCGCCTCTCGCATTGATCAAGCAGTGGGAAGGAGAGCTCAAAGACCGTATAGAAGACTCACATGCGCTGAGGATATGTGTACATCACGGGCCAAAACGAGCAAAGAGTTCAAAAGATCTCAAAGGCTACGATGTTGTCATCACCACATACTCGACGCTCACCTCAGAGCATGCCGACTCCGGAGGCGATCTGAAGACTGGCTGCTTCGGTCTCCATTGGTGGCGTGTCATTCTTGACGAAGCTCACTCAATCAAGAATCGTAATGCGAAAGCAACAAAGGCAGCATGTGCACTCGACGCCCACTATCGATGGTGCTTGACAGGCACACCTATGCAGAACAACCTCGACGAGCTGCAGAGTCTCATCCACTTCTTGCGCATCAAGCCCTACGATGATCTCAATGTTTGGCGGGAGCAAATCACGAAGCCGATGAATGGTGGTCGTGGTGGGCTCGCAATCAAACGACTGCGTGCATACCTCGGCGCATTCATGAAGCGCCGTACAAAGGACATTCTCAAGCAAGATGGTGGGCTGACCACTGGCACAAAAGCAACCGGAAAAGGCAAGGAGGCTTTCAAGATTGTGAAACGTACAGTCGACCACATCGAAGCTGACTTCACACCTCAAGAGCGCGCCTTTTACACAAAGTTGGAGTCACGAACCGACAAGAGCCTCGAGCTGATGATGGCTGGCAGCAAGATCAGCTACGCCAGTGCTTTGGTCCTGCTGATGCGCCTGCGTCAGGCATGCAATCATCCTCGACTGACCGGTAGTGATCTCAGCAAAGAGAAAGACTCTGCAGCCGGTTCTGGCAATCAGACGCCAAGTCGAAAGAAAGCCACAGATGATGACATGGACGCTATTGCAGGACTGCTTGGTGGGCTTAGTGTGGAAACCAAGCTCTGTGATATGTGCCAGATCGAGCTGACATCCGAACAATCCAGTGCCGGCAATGTTCGGTGCGACGAATGCGAAGCAGACCTACAGGATGATGCGTTCACTATCAAGAATTTCAAGTCAAAGGACAAAGCCAAGAAGCACCGAAAAGCATCTATGGCTAAGCCGCTTCGTGAGAAGCGTAGACAGGCCAGAAAAGCCATCATCGACTCTGACGACGAAGATGAGGAAGATGTCGTGCCTGCTAAGGACGAATCCGAATCTGAGTCCGGCGACGACGACGACGACGAAGAGTCGGAAGATGATGAAATATACGGCTCATCAGAAGACGACAACCCTCAGACCGATTTAATTGCCTCAACGAAAATCCGTCACCTCCTCAAGATCCTCTCCACCGACTCCGCCGAGCACAAATACATCGTCTTCTCCTTCTTCACATCCATGCTCGACCTCATCGAACCCTTCCTCGCTGCACAACACATCAACTTCGTCCGCTATGATGGTGCCATGCGTAATGACGCCCGCGAAGCCTCCCTCGAGTCTCTCCGCACCAACGCGAAAACCCGCGTACTGCTCTGCTCGCTGAGGGCTGGTAGTCTTGGCCTCAACCTTACGGCCGCATCCCGCGTCGTGATCTTGGAACCCTTCTGGAACCCCTTCGTCGAAGAACAAGCTATCGATCGCGTGCACCGCCTGAACCAGACCAAAGACGTGAAAGTCTACAAGATGACGATCAAAGACACGGTCGAAGCACGTATCCTCGAACTGCAAGAGAAGAAACGTGAGCTCGCCAATGCGACGATCGAAGGCCAGAAGGCCGGTGGTGTGAAGTTGACGCTGCAGGATATGCTGAACTTGTTCAAGCACGACGGTGGGGCCGACGACAAGAGATTGGATATGATCGGGATGAAGCCGAGCGCGGGTTTGCTTGAGAAGGGGGAGAGTACGAGGGAGCGTTCTACTCCGCCGGTCTCAATTAATTCCTACAACCATAGCAATGGTGGTCGGCGGATCTTGAGTGAGGCGGAGAAGGAGAGGCAGAAGCAGCGGCAGGAGGCTGCTAGTGGTGTGTATGGGAGACGGTACTGACCGTTAGACGATTACTAGATTGTATGGAATAGAGGCTGCCTTGCCTCAATCGATTCACTACCCTTCAAGGCATGTATTTGCAGAGATTGGCTGCCCACCTCCTGGGCGTGGCCAGCAACAAGAACTGAAATGCCCCCAGTGCAAACCGTTGGATGATTATTTGTGACACCTGATCGTAAGAAACCTGCAAGTGACAGCCAACCCAGGCATGGATCTCCATCCCTAGTCGCTCTGAGCAGGACCTTGTCATCCGGTCTCACCTGGAACTCGTTCCAGCCGTCTGACAAGGCGCGCATCTGGGGAAGGTACTGCTGGGTGAGGCGCTTGCCTCGTGTGGCATTGTCAATACTTTCGATGAGAAGGAGCGATCTCCACGTGCTCCTGCCGCAACCGCTCCTTGAGCAATGGGAGGAAGGCGCGGGTGTGGACGCCTTGTCATCTGGTCTTATGCCAGATTTTGCTCAAGCCGGATGACAAGCCGTAGTCGGTGAAAGAGCACGTGTTCGTGAAGTCGTGAAGGACTGGTCAAGTCCGATGAGAAGGACGGTCTACGTGGGCGTATGCTGTCGTCACCTGCTTGGCCGAATAGGAGGGGATATCGGGGTCGTCGCGGCAAGGGAGGTCTCGTCGTTCGGCCTTCAAGATATATATATATATATGCCACAAAACACATCCTCATGCGGAAAAGATCTCACGGCATACCACCGGTCCTCTTCTCTCCCTTCTGTTTGAAAACTTCACTGATGGACCTCGCCTCGTCATTGGCCCCGTCAATCACCAGTCTCTTCGCCTGCACCGCCCTTCTGACATCTCTATCCCCGCGACAATAATATCAGGGAATTCTAGCCCGCTGGAGCTGGGCCCTCCGCCGACTGCCTTTGTTCGCAGAGAGATCTCTACAACAGGGTAGTAGCTGCTAATGGGCACCTTGACTCCTGTCTTTCTGCTCTTGCTGTTGAGACCCGTACCGCCGCCGCTCGCCGTGTCTGTAATGATCCAAAATCACAGCCACAGCACTGTGCCCCAGCCAACAGCTAGGACGATCCCAGCTAAGATGCAGGAAACAGCAAAGATTCCCTTATCAACCACGACCCTGACCGCTGGCCCCGCCAATACCGTCTCTGTGAGGTAGTACTCTGGCCCGAGGATCACCTGACCACCAACGCTACCAGCCAAATCTACATCGACACAGCCGGATCGGGACACGCCGTAGTGGGAGGTGGTCAGATCACGGTGACCAACGCTCAAGGGCAGACAGTCGTATTCAGGGTGCTAGCCTTGTCCCAACCGGCCAACAAGCTGTGGTCAACGGGCAAGAAGCCATCACCGTGACGTACGAGAGGGGCGAACTCGTGGTTGTGCAGGGCGGAGAGACTGGACTTTGTCTGTCGCACCGAATGGTGGTGGGACTGTTTTGATCGCGGGCACGGTGACGCAGACGAGCTGGACGGACGGAGCGACCATTACGGCGGACCAGGAGGCTGAGAGTACGACTGGACAGCCGACTGGTGTCCAGAACAGCGGCAACAGACTATGGCTCGGTGTAGGCTGCATTGAAGGACTGAATTTGATGACAGTGAGCCTGGGAATTTGCGTGCCGGCGCTCATGATGTTGTCGTGGTGACGAGAAGCTGTCAATGGTCCCGACGTATATCCGCGCAGTGCTGAGGGGGCTGTTCCTGTCGTGGAGATTTATGTGTGCTGTATGGCGGTCAGGAGTGCCGTCCAGAATGATGTTCATGGAGTTGAGAGTCAATTTGACGGGAAGAACACCTTTTCCACTGATCAAGGGGCCTTCTGGTGTGTGGTTTCTGAACCGTCCTCCCAGAATTCTACATCTTCGTCGCCTTCGTTGGCGATCATAGCGCCTTGCCGCATACCAAGCTTGCCTTTCTTGAGCAGATCTGTCAAGGGTTTCCCATCGGGTAACGTCTTGCTCAGAATGTCCTCGAGTGTGATGCGATCGTCACTGAATATTTTCAAGTGATCCGATATCAAGTGTCGTGCTTTGCAGTTGGGACATGTGATGAGGGTTGTTCCGTGGTGGTAGCCCTGTTTCGTCACACGATGGGAGGAGCGAGTACCGCATGGCTTGCAAGTGAAGGTGAGCTGATATGCCGGAGGAACATCTTGCGCTGTGCCGGCGTTTCACCGGTGGTCGCGAGGCTTGACTCCTGTCTGCGCCATAGTCGTGGCTCTGAGAAACGCGACGATCGCGGTGACGATGCTACGTTGGATGGTGCTCGTGTTCGAGTGAGACTTGGTTGGTGAAATGCACGGACTGATGGCTGCAAGCGTGTGAAGTGACTGCGAGGGACGAAGGCCGCCTTTGATCCTCGCAACAGAGGCTTCACCGTCGTTCGCATGTTGATCTCGAGAGGCGCTTGATGAGAGAGACTTCTCATTCTTATGTCAAAGAAAGAAACCTATTGAGACTGCGGCGAGTTGAATTCGGAGAAACACGTAGAATGACGCCAATCGTGTCATTCACTTTTCAGAGTTTCGGAGAAGGCGCGCCACCAGGCGACTGCCAGTCTACTCCACTCTTTACTGCACACTTGCAATGAAATGAAGCGACCCGCAGGCAAACATACCTACTTCCTAAGTCTTCCTCTGCATACGCTCGTTACTACCTAGACAGCCACCCACGAAAACGTCTGATGCTGTAGTTGACGCGTTCGAAATCCCGCCACATCTTTTACCACTGCCGCTGTTCCAGGAACTTGGGAATCATCATCTAGTCGAATGTGGGGTAACCCGCGTTGAAGTTGGATGGTGGTAGCGAGGCAACATGATGTTGAACGGGCGAGGGCGAGGAGGAGCGCGAGTCCGTGCTCCGAGGCGAGTAAGTCTGCCCTTCTTTCACTTGATCACCGCACAAACTTCACCAACAATTGCCTGCACTGCGGACGCCCAAGAAAAAACACCACTCACCATCGTCACCCTACTCCATATCTACAACTTGTCTCCCTTATTGCAACAACGCTAACATGCCGGGCATCAAACAGGCTACGAGCGGTAAGGACGATCCTGGTTTCGACCAGACGTGGAACATCCTCGCAGGCGCTTTCTCCTCGATTCACCGAAAGAATGCCTCAAGCCTGTCCTTCGAAGAGCTGTTCCGCCATGCCTACAAGCTGGTCTTGAAGAAGAAACACCAGGACCTCTACGGCAATGTCGCAGAGTTCGAGCGAACATGGCTACAGACCGAGGTCCGGACAAAAGTCATCAACCACATCTCTTCCACACTTCTGGCTGGTGTAGGCTCGCAGTCGGCAGACGGACAGGCCAATGAGCGCAGATTGGCAGGCGAACGCTTCATGGCATGCATCAAGGACGCATATGCAGACCAGAGCCTGTCGATGAACATGATCACCGATGTTCTCATGTACATGGTATGTCACCTCTCCAACCTGCGAAACTCTGATACGATGCTTACAGAAACGAAAGGACCGAGTCTCCTCGCAACAAGATACTACCGGCCGGCTTCCTTCCATTTACACAAAAGCCATGGCCCTCTTCCGATCAGAGGTGGTCAAGGCTAGGATTGACGGCAATCAAGACTTCACAATCGCCGATCTGCTTATCGACACCATGGTCGGCATGATCGACATGGAACGCAAGGGCGAGACTATCGATCGCACTCTCGTCAGAGCCTGCTGCCACATGCTGGAAGGCCTGTACGAAGATCTCAATGAGGATGAAACAACAAAACTCTACCTGACTGTATTCGAGCCCGCCTTTCTGACCACGAGCCGAGAATTCTACAACGCAGAGGGTCAAAAATACCTAGCTGATGCCGATGCAGCCTCATTCTGCAGTCAGGCACGCCGACGGCTGAAGGAAGAAGAAGAACGATGTCAACAGACAATTTCTGCCATCACACTACCCAAAATCACAGCTGTGGTCGACAACGAGTTCATTGCGACTCACATCAAAGCCATCATCGACATGGAGGGCACGGGCGTCAGAAACATGCTCGATAATGACAAAGTGCTGGATCTCTACAATGTCTTTGACCTCATCTCACGAGTCGATCCTCGGAAGGTGGCCCTCAAAGATGCAGTCTACAAGCGCGTTTTGGATCTTGGTAACGAAATCAACAAGACCGCTCAGCTTACCCTCAGCAGCAAGCCTCAGACGAAGGACACCAAAGACCCAAAAGACAAGCCGTCAGAGAAGGTCGTGAATCAGCAGACCCAGGCTGCCATTGACTGGGTAGAACAGATCCTGCAGCTCAAAATCAAGTACGACAACCTCTGGGAAAAGGCTTTCAAGAAGGACGCCGTCATGGAGAAGGCTTTAGAATTGGCTTTCCAAGACTTTATCGCCGCCAACGAGCGAAGTCCAGAGCACGTCTCGTTGTTCCTCGATGAGTACCTGAAACGCGGCATCAAGGACAAGAGCGAGGCAGAAGTGGATGTCATACTCGACAAAGGTATTCTGCTGTTGCAATATCTCTCCAGCACGGATCAGTTCGAAACCTACTACCGCAAACATCTCGCGAGGCGGCTGCTTATGAAGCGTTCAGTCAGTCGCGATATGGAGCGACAAATGCTCTCCAAGATGAAGCTCAAGCTTGGTACCAATATCACACAGAAGCTGGAAGGCATGATCCGGGACATGGAGTTGTCAGACAGTCTGATCTCGGACTACAAGCAGTACATCACGGACTTGGACTCGTCGGATGGCAAGCGCATTGACATCGACACCCGAGTCCTTACAACAAATCAATGGCCATTCGAGACGCTGTTCAAATCTGGTGACGAGGCTACCGTTTGCAAGTATCCAGCAGAAGTGGAGAAGGTCAAGTCACACTACGAGCAATTCTATCACAGCAAGCACACTGGCCGAAAACTTACCTGGGGCGCTCATCTGGGTGATGCAGACATCCGTGCTACCTTCAAAGCCGCAGATGGCAAGACAAGCCGCTACGAGATCAACGTCCCGACGTATGGCATGGTCGTACTGATGCTCTTCAACGGACTCCCTGACGGTCAAGGTCTGACCATTCCTGAGATCGAGGCCGAGACGAATATTCCAAAAAAGGATTTAATCAAGTCCTTAGCATCCTTGACCGGTGTTAAGAAATGGGCCTTGTTGAGAAAAGAACCGAGCAGTTCTAAGGAGCTGCTCGATACTGACCAGTTCTACTACAACTCTGCGTTCACGAGCAAATTCGTCAAGATCAAGATTGGTGTAGCCATTGGTGGAGCGAACAAGCTTGAGAATGATGCCGAACGACAGGACACCAAGAAGCGGATTGACGATGAGCGTGGCCACTCTATTGAGGCTGCCATCGTGCGGATCATGAAGCAACGCAAGGAATTGACTCACCAGAACTTGATGACTGAAACGATCCAGCAACTATCCCAGCGCTTCCAGCCCGATGTCAACATGATCAAGAAGAAGATTGAGGCCTTGATTGACCGAGAGTATCTCGAGCGTGGTCCAGACGAGTCTAGGCCGGCTTACTACATCTACTTGGCATAGAGTGAGTGGCCTTTAGCAAGGTCTGTACGAAACTGCAACGAATGATGGAGACTACGAAAGCATAGGAATGGACTCAGCATGGCAAGGTCTGGCATCAAAGCATGGCGTTGGAGGAGCGATTGATACCCCAGCGATAGCTAGCGAATCGAAGATGTGTCACAGCCTCTCAAAGTGCTCCGTGAGACCGATATTCTTTAATACATGATGCTCAGTCGTGTTTGTCGACCCAAAGACTAGAACAATTTAATTAGGACATGACTTGAGTGAGTCGAAGTCTATCAGTGGCAGTGAAGCATAATGTTGCCCGCCTGACACATTGCGGTCATCCGGTCTCGTGTATGTCGCAGTCAGACGCTTCTGACACAGTCCGACTCGGAGCCTAACCCTAGTATGTCCTCTACCCCGACCTCATCAACGCCAGCGGCCTCCATTGTATTCCTTGTCCAAGAAACGCTACACCTCGATTGCTTGCTGCTGCACCCACTGAGTCTCCCGAGAACCAGGCTACAAAGCCACTCGACTACTACTTACCTCTCTCAAAACCACGCTTCTGCACTACACCCAGATCGATCTCAACACTCAGGACGCGTCTCGTTGATAGTGACAGGCGTTTAGTATTCGCACTTCAAGATTGAGCGTTTCAAGAGGGACAGTTGCTGGCTTCGAACTTCCAGTGTGGTCCTGATCTCTACAGCAGTGCGGTCTGACCCGACTACAACATCAGGCGGGATTCTCGAAACCAACGCCAAGACAATCACCCCATTCGGGCGCCTCTGGCAAACTCGCCCTGACTCCCACTCATGTCACTTTAACCTCCCGTGTCAAATCACCACCATGGACATCGACATCTCCGACATCCTCGCCGATGTCTCCCGCCCCGCCCCTTCACGCCCATCAACCCATCACTCGAGATCCGAAGGTCCACCAACACCCTACCTCCCCGACAACTCAACGTACACAGACCACCAACTCCTCACCCGCGCCTGGACGGCCGAGCGCTGCACCACCGAACTCCTGCCGTACCCGACCCAACTAATGGAACGCGTCATGGAGCGCGTGGCGGGACAGATCGCGCGGATCGAGGAGTTGGCCGCTGGTGGCTCAAGTGACTATGCGACGGGCGGAGCAGGTGGTGCAGGGGGAGGAGCGAATATCAACCTCGTCCTGTCAATTCTCCAGACCGATCTCAGCCGGACGCAGTTCCTGGTGCGGAGTTTATTGAGGGCGCGACTGGCGAAAGTGGGGAAGTGGGCGGGGTATTATGGGCACGTGCTTGAGCAACAGCAGCAGTCATCAGGACGTGATGAGGACGAGAGTGTTCTTAGTGGGGCAGAAGCACAGTTTCTCAGTCGCCATCAAGCCTTACTGATGAATTTCTACGAGGGGTCGTTCCTGGCGGGCTTTCCGCCGAAGATGCGACGACTAGACGACGGTGGGACCGGCGAGGGCGGGATGCTGGAAGGACCTGGGCGGGAGGGTGTTGTGGTGGTAAGGTGTCTAGCGGAGGGTGGGTGGGGAAACGAGGATTCGCTGGGCCGGCGGCGGGATGACGAGGGTATAGTCAACGAGGTCAGATTACGGAGGGGAGACGTGCAGGTCGTGAGGTGGGGAGATGTCAGAGGAGGTGTTGTGGACGGGGCTCTAGAGGTTTTGTGATGGGATCTTCCAGATGCTATAGGATGGCATCTCTAGCGGCATAGTGCTTGTCGAATGTGACGCCAATGACTCCCATCCTTTGGCAGTGTTGTACGTTACACTCAAGGAGCTTCATGTCCATCTCGTGTCTAACTCAGCACTGATCACATCTTCTCATCCCTACTACATATTCGTGTACACTAGTTTTAACCCAAATGCACAGGTATATAACCATTCCGCCAAGCCCAGACACCCGCTCCAACCACAGCAGCTACCGCTCCAACTTTGACAATCACCTTCGCGAGCGCCATCATCCAAAACATCCTCCCCTGTTTCTCGAATGCGCCCCCAACGGCCTCCCTCGGCCACGGCGTATCCTTCGGCACATCCACACCAAGAAACTCACATAGTGGTCCCCATGCCTGCGTCGCTTCAAAGACCAGCAACTCCCGACCCGGTTGGGCTTTGCACAGCGACGTCACACTCTCGTTATGCGCAGCATACTTCTCCTCCAAAACCGCACGATCCCACGGCTTGCCGCCAGAGAAGGCATTGAGACAGCGTTGTCCACAGCGAATGCAGTCACGAATGAGGCCGCCCTCGAGTGGCAAGATCCAGTTCCAGGACCACCAGGTCAGGCGCGGGGAGAGGGCGCGGGTCATGCTTGCTGAGAAGGAGGTGGGTGGGCGGGACATGAGGATGACTTTGGCGGTGGGGTAAGCTTCCAGCGCGAGTTGGGGAAAGAGGCTCAAAGGCCAGCCGGAGGCGGCGGTGTAGGGCGAGAGAATTTTCTCGAGGTCGGTTGGGGAGTAGGGCGCAAGTGTATTGCTGGTGTTGTTCGAAGGTTGATAAGCGGCGTCGAGTGCTTCGGACCAGAGGGGGTAGGTGTTGGGTCCTTTGCCACGGGCGGCTTCGAGGTAGGCGTGTTTCATGCCGCGGTAGACCTTGAAGCCAAGGATGCCGAGGGCTGCTTCTATGCTGGTGGTGCCGGTGCGGGCAGGGGAGAGGACTAGGACTTCCATTGGTTGCGTCCGAGGTGTGGATGGGAACGTATCGATTAGGCGGGGACGGCGGGTCGTCATGGTGGGTGTATGTCCGGGCTCCGGGGAGGACTTTGCACGTTTCTGGTTAAAAGGTGACCGTTTCCTCGCAAAATGAGTGGTGGTAGACTTCTGTACCGCGTGTGTGCAGGAGATGATGGTGTACAAGGCGACTCGAGATTGTATCCTGCACTCGTGCTACGTCAACGTCCAGTAATGTGGTGTAACACTTCGTTTCTCTCCGTATCACGTGTTTCTGCGCAACAGATACCTTCTACCGCCTGGATGGACAGTGCTGCCTTCTGTCGCCTAATACTTTAGGAGCAGGAGGTTCACTACGCGCCAGCAGAATATGTATACGCGTCCATTCCAGGCCGTTCCTGATGTCAGGGGCGGCCCCATCCACTCTGGCCAAAAAGAGTTGCCGAAGGATTTACCCCCCGCAGGAAACCTTGCGGTGAAAGTCAGAGGCGTTCGAAGTCGATCTTTATGGGCGGAAATGGGTTTGCCTTACGCCCAGAACCGGCATTCGGACTAGGACGTGCAGATTTGCAACCCCGATAACCGGGAAGCATTGTCCATATGCTTTCATAATCTCATCTGCTCAATGATGCTGAGCTTTCTAAGTCCATTGATCATGGCTGGCGGCTTCTCTGCTTTGCACATGTAACTTGGAGCTATGCAGCTTTCTATGTCACGGCTCAGAGCCCTCCGTGGACTCCTGCTTGTCCAGTCGTCCCTCGGCGTTCGCAGGAAGCAGCTGCGCATCGAATGTAAAGCCAACAGCAATGACGATCATTATTACCCATACAAAATAGCCGGCCAGGATGTGCCTATCAACGCCAATGGCGAATAATGTCGTAAAGAGCGCCGGACTGAACGATCTTATGCCGCTGGTCAATGCTAGTGCGACTGAGTTCAATGTGCCGAGAGTCGCTGGCTTTGGGTTGACGTCGTTGATCGCGAGCTGGATGGCGGTGAAACACATGGCCACACCAGCGCCTATCATTGACATGACAGGTGCAGTCGCCCAGAAGAAATTACTCCACCCTTGTCGCAGGATTGCGTTGTAGACTGGTAAGATAGCGAAGAAGAAGGGATACGCCCGGGCGCATAGACGTATGACTGTCCCTGTGGACCATCTTCTCTGAATCCACGGAAAAACAGCCAGCATCCACATCGCCTGGGCAAGGCCGCCCAAAGCCATGAAGACTGATATCCAAAAAGGGTCCAAACCATAGCCACCCTTCTTGATCGAGGTGAAGTAGAATACAGGCATGACCGCCGTAAACGAAAATGCCAGGACCATGATGTGGCATTGGAGGAAGAGCACCCTGGCAACGCCGGGGCATTTGACCAGCTCGCTGATGGACATCTCCTCAGACTTGGACGAGCCGTTGAGGGGTGCTTCTGATGTCTTGCTTTTGAGCGTCTCTTCCACGAAGACCAGGACGAAGAGTGCTGAGAGGAGGCCAAAGATGCCGATAACGCATGTTGCTAGGGCGTAAGGGTACTCTCTGAAGAAGTAGACGCGCTTGAATACGCCGCCATATTCTCGGGCTGGATCCGCAAGGGCGCCGCCGAGGACTGGCCCGAGGAAGATCCCCACATTACTAGCAAAAGCAAAGTAGCTGAACACGCGTGCTTGTGTCTTCGGCGTGCTGTTCTCTGCCATCATGGTTCGGATCGTGACAACGGAGCCGGCGAAAAGACCGGCAGAGCACCGGGTCAAGAACATCTGCACAAGGCTCTGACTGAGACCAAATAGTGCGGTGCAGATGGACAGCCCGATGATGGAGAAGACTAGGACTGGCTTGCGACCTATCCGATCAGCGAGTCTGCCCCATGGGATAGTGGAGCACATGGCGACGACGGAAAATATGGATTCGATTAGGCCAGCATAGAACCCGACTCTTGCTTCTGGCACCTGTCCGATGTCGAAGATCATCTGATTGACGCTGCAGCCGTTAGTTGATGCCATGATTAGCGGAAAGGCCGTCAGTGATGTGCGGTTGTGGTAAGCAATGCACCGAGACTGGGAAGACCCAGTTGGCGCCACATTTTTACTTACAATGGGAAAATGCCAAAGAATGCAATAGGATCTATCAGTCGAGCACAGCATAAATAGAAGATTTGAGCCTTGGGTATTTGATCCTCTGCTGGCTGTGTCTCAGCAGTAACAGGACCGCTCGTTGTCGGCGCAAGGGCGGGGACATCCTCTTCGTCTGCACTCGTGCCGACTGGTATCGTAGAAGCATTGGCCAGAAGAGGCGTTGCCTCGCTGGCCGACTGAGAGTCTTCTCTGGTGGAAGACATGTTCGCAGAAGCAAGACGGTAAATGAGCGTATTGGCCGCGTGAACAAGAGTTTAAGTTGCAATTATACAGAAGCTGGAAAAGAAGTAATCAGGAACGAGCGTGCATCCTACCCTACTGCTTTTCCAGTCATAATTGAGAATGTTACCATTCCCGCATCGTAGCTTATCTGTGGGACAGCATGAGGCCTCGATGTATTGCGTACTCAGCCTGAGGTAGCTTCGTCACATTGAGAGTCAGGAGCGGCTTAGATAATCCGCTTCCTCGGTTAACCTGCCCCATCCGAGCGAAGGCAGTCGCGCGTTGACGCATCCATCGCCTTCACGCAGTTGACCAGTCCAAGAGGCCTGCTTTGCATAGCTTCATCACCTGTGCCTTTCCTTTCGGTCATCTTGATCTTTCTTCTCGCTTACCTCTTTTGTACAACACAGCTCCGACTTCTGACTGCACCTTTCGCAACATTATCGAGACCTACCACCTTTCACACCCTCCCTTTGCATACACGTAGCCATGGACACCTTGGTTGCGCAGTACACGCAACCACATTTCGCCAATGAAGGCTACAACTATGGCGAAGAACAGGATTACAACCAATCTTCGTTACCGCCTCTTTCACTGAAATTTGCGATGCCACCCGTATCAAGACCAGCTGCATTCCTCCGCGCGCAGACCGACGACTACTCTAACCCGAACTGCCCGATCAAGATCGCTCACGGTACCACGACACTCGCTTTCAGATTCAAAGGAGGCATCATTGTGGCCACTGACTCGAGAGCTACGGCCGGTAACTGGATTGCCTCCCAAACCGTCAAGAAAGTGATTGAGATCAATCCGATGCTGCTGGGTACTATGGCTGGTGGTGCTGCCGTGAGTTCATCGATTGCCAACGTTCCTTGCATTTCCTGACCCTTACTAGGACTGTCAATACTGGCTTGCCTATCTCGGTATCCAATGTCGACTTCACGAACTCCGACACAAGCGCCGCATTTCCGTTGCCGCAGCTTCGAAGATTCTGTCAAACTTGGTCTACTCATACAAGGGCATGGGCTTGTCCATGGGCACTATGATCACTGGAGTCACTCCCCAAGAAGGTCCAGCACTCTACTACATTGACTCTGATGGCACGAGATTATCAGGCAACCTCTTTTGCGTCGGATCAGGTCAGACATTCGCGTACGGTGTACTGGACGCCAACTACAAGTACGATCTTGAGGACGAGGAGGCCTTGGAGTTGGGCAAGCGGAGTATCCTGGCGGCAACGCACCGTGATGCATTCTCTGGTGGATACATCAACCTCTACCATGTTAAGGAAGACGGATGGGTGAAGCATGGCTTCATGGACACAAACCCAATCTTCTGGCAGACGAAATTGGAGAAGGGCGAGTTCTCGAATGTCACCAGCCAGCTGTGAGCGATAAAGGGCAATTGGCATCTATTGGCGTTCGATCTGATGGAGGGAGAGCGTGTACTTTGTACAACTACTGCGGCGATTACTATGATCGCGAAGGGCTTCTGCCAAGTTGGGACCGGTCGATGACCTAGAGGACCGTCTCAGGGGAGGTCCATTCAGTAACCACAATGCTACTGAGACTCGTCATGCATACTCTACTTACTGCCCACCGTCGTGCCTGACCCTTGTTCTGTGCTTGAGTTCGTCCGTCCGCGCTACCTGCATGAATGACTCCGCCAAGAAATGGAGAAAGCGACGCGAGCCTCAGCTGGAGCGCGACCACGTATTTGTTGTCCTTGATTGTATTGTCGCTCGTCGCAATTCCACCATTCCTTCCCATCGCATTGTTCACTGATATCACCTTTGCAACATAGTCATACGCGCGAGATGGCGCACCCCAAGGACCCGGCAGCGGGCATCTCATCGGCGCTGCTACCGCATCTTCACCTAGTCTCGAAAAATCGCTACCCAGTCTCGAATAATCCTTCCCTCGACAGCATTGTCAACTTCTTGTCAGATGCGCCAAAAGTTGTACGTGACTTACAGCCGATGCAATGGCAAATGCTCGATGCGCCTCAAGATGGAACAATGCTGTTGGTCTGGCAACCTCTGGAGTACCTAGGGACCAGCGCTGCCAGTGATGGCTACATCTATGCAGATGCGGAACAGTACTACAAGTCTGATGTCCGAGGCTTTGTAAGTGCCGGCCTCACTTCAGGCCACTGACCATCGCTGACCATGCCAGCACCTGGAGATGTATCACCACCGTACGGGCTACCGGGTTGGTGAGCCCATGGCAGCCCACAGCAGGAAGCGCTATCGTCTGATACCGTCGAACCCGAATATGCCAACTGTGACCCATCATTATTCCTGGTGTGCTACTCGAAGGCCTCCCCGCGGGAGATGGTGCCCGCAGCCTCCATACCAATCGCACCACAGCTGCAGCAGCAGATGCAAACGAGGAGACTTATCCAAGCACAAGGGTTGGTGACACGCAAGGAGTTCATGCTACATGATCGATCCAGTTGGCCCACATTCAGTGCTCCTCAGGCCGTCGCTAGGAGTCAAGGTGCCCACAGAAGAGGCGGTAGTACTGGTGAAGTCACGCTGGAAGAAGAGGAAGATGTCTCTAGGGGAGACATTCTCGACTTCATGTCACCTCGAGACATCAGTCGCGTGAGATACGAGCAGCATCATGACTGGATGGAGCAACTCCTCGAATCTCCCTATAACATCAATCAAATCGTGCCAGGTGACTTGGGCCTCGGTCGTAAAGGAGAACTCGAAGAGTTGACAAAGGATTTCTTCAACGCGCCCACAACTCTCCACAGAGAGGCGGTTGCAAATGGCGAAATACCCCGAGTAGGCCGACTCGAAGAAGGCAAGGCTGATGAATTCCGAACTCGAGCCAACGAGAAGATCGCTGCTATGCAAGCCGAACTCGAAGAGATGAAACAACAACATGCTCGACGAATCGCATGTCTTCAGAAGACGAGCATTCTTAGCGCTGCTGAAAAGAAGCTGCGCACTGCGCCCACATCCGGCCCGCGGAGGACGTCTGCTGGCAGCCCAGCGGAGCAGAATTTGCCAGATCCCATCGACGACATTCAACGAGAGGTCGAGCAAGCCATCGGAAGACCCATCGTTCGTTCCACGCAGGTATCATTAGTGTCACCCGGTGGATTGGACCAGAGGGCACCAGATCGCAGCATGAGCATGTCAAGTCAGACAAAACCACAACTGTCACCTAACAAGTCATCTGCTTCGCCAGCGGTTCCGCAACACACGCCTGTTCAAGCACAACCGATGCCACAGCAGTCACCCCCACCCTCCACAGCCACTACCAGCCAAGCGCCTGTCGGTGATACTGGCGCGTCTACCGCGGCATCGAGCGCTGCGATTGCCGAGGAGAAGGACCGGCCTGCTGAGGATGTTCCCAATGGAGACGGAGACGCTCAAGACCTCGACTTAGCAGATCTTGACGTCGACATGGACGGGTACGACGCCGAACAGGGCAACGAGCTCGTCAATGCCGACGACGATTGGGTCATGGACATGGAGGGCACTGGCGAAGACAACAATGGCGAAACCGCTGAAGAAGTGTCTGAACGCCCGACGCTGGCAGAAGACGCAACTGAGTTGACCGCAAAGCCTGCTCAACCGACTGGACTACAGCCTCAACAGACCTCGGTAACCCAAGCCTCAGCGGAACAAACACCCAATAATGGCACACCAGCTGATCATAGTTCGAGTGAGCATCAGATGGGTACTGGCGAGTTCGATGAGGCGTTCGACAACGTCGAGGCTGATACCGCGGGCGAGGCGCTCATGGACTACGGTGACACGAATGATGAGCCCAACCTTGATGGCATGGCGGAGTCGGAGTTCTTGGTGAACGATGAATAGAATCAGTCCATGGCCAACAACCCAACGAACCTCGCCTCACCTACTCAATTGGATGCTTCTGCTATGCCAGTCGCGAGAACGTCATCTACAAATTCAGCAGCCGTACCATCTGGGGAAGAGAAGAGAGCATACCCATGTCCCTGTGCAGGGTCACATGGCTGTTCAGCAACTTTCGCAACATCCGATGCCGCCGCTCGTCATGCAAGGACACACACTGAAAAGAAGATGGTGCATTGTCCAGTATGTGGGCGGGCATTTCCACACAGGACCAACATGAGGAGACATCACCGAACGTTTCACAATTCCAATCTGCCATGGTTGTGAGAGAATGCTACAGCGCCCTCCCTGACCAGAACAATCACTCTGAATTGATTCCGCTGACCAGCGCTCTGAGGAGGCTTATGAGGAGCCCGCTCTCTTGACCAGCGAAACAATGTTAGACCTCTAGTGCCCTCTCTGACCTGAAACGCTAAGATGAGCACTCACAGCTCGTGGATGTCGTTTCTTTTTCAGCCGGTCTGTAGGGCTCCCATCAATTCAATTTCTGCAGCTACTGGGACATATAGAGCCTGTATCATTCGATTGTGAAGACTCGACCAAAATGAAAGTCCATTCGTCAAGTATTTCAAGGTAGTTGAGAATTTCAGAACACTGCGGGTACTTAGGTAGGTATTTTCGGAGTAAGAGGCCACATCCGACCCACGTGCTCTTTCCCTGCCCTGTAATAACAGCCAAAAGAAATTTCTTGACACTGGCAGCCACGATGACCCTGCACAGCGCTTTCCTGCTCAACTCACAATCAAAAATGCGTTATCGCGCGGCAGTTTCCCTGCTGCCATCCTCTTTCGTTCGAGCGCCTCATGCTTAGCGGAGGAACCTTCTGCACAACCAAGGAAAGAGGCAACGAGGCAACCGTCCCGTTGACATACATCGACACAAGCAGTGAACTTCACTCGAACAGACATACAGTACTCTTGGTCATTCCGTGGCCATGTTGTCTCTTCCATCGAGCAGCAATGGCCTACATGCCATCGTTGACATGGGAAGGTATGCTCATCTCAAGGCTCCAAAGCATACGATGCCCTATCTCAACATCAGCCTTTACATCGTCACCGTCAACCGGTTTTATTCCTATCACTAGCCTCCTACCGCGGCTATGCTTCCCATCCCCGATGCTAACACCGGCGTCACATGCAGCAATGGCATACGCCTCTCAATCACGGACCTCGCGCCACCATCTACCCGGTCTCTCCCAACCGTATATCAGGATCGGCTAGGCATATCTTTATACGATGCACAGTACTCCGCAGAGCAACCCGATACGAGACGCCCAATTCCGCAAGATGTCATCGATGAAGTTGTCTTCGGCCTGCGAAAATTCAAGCTCGTGTGCGAAGATTTTGGTGTTGATGACCCAGAATGCGTGAAGGTGTTGGCCACGGAGGCCACTAGGACCGCCCTCAATAGTCAAGACTACCGGTGAGTAGAATCTGGAGCTTTCATGCTGACATCATGAGCCCACAGGTCGCAATCTGACCACAATCTGCAGTCAACAGATCACGAAAGCCACAGGATGGGAGGTTGATATGCTAAGCAAAGAAGACGAAGGACGAATAGGGGCTATGGGTGTAGCGAGTAGCTTCGACTCTGTTGAGGGTCTAGTAATGGATCTTGGAGGTAAATTGCGACTTACCCACAGATATGCACTTATGCTAATCAAAGACCACCCAGGGGGCTCAGCTCAGTTGACTTATCTACACACACCCGACCCAGAGTCAACTCCACAGACAAGCCCGAAAGGGAGCGTCTCCTTCCCTTATGGCGCTGCTGCTCTTTCCAGGCGACTTGCCGCACTGCACCGGCAGTATCCTCCGCTATCGTCAAACAACATAGGCCCCTCCTCAGCCGTCAGCATAACTTCAGCCCACTCATTTTCGACAACTGCAACTACTGTAGGTGATGAATCAATAGCTAGCGCAAGCACCACAAACGATAACCCAGCCTTCGGAGCCGCCAAGGCAAGCCTCGGGACAGAGCTCAAGTCCGCCTTCCAAGCCGCCTTCCAGTCTGGCCTCGAACTACCCCGTCCTCTCGCTCGACAAGCTGCGCACGGAGGCCTGACCTTGTATCTTTCCGGCGGCGGCTTTCGCGGATGGGGATTCCTCTGTATGGCCAATCACCGTGTTCGTCCCTATCCGATACCAATCATCAATGGCTTTACCATCTCACGGAAAGAGTGGCTTGCAACGAAAGAAATCAGTGACTTGGCGGCGATGAGCCTCGAAGACAACGAGGCAGCCGACCACGATGAGGGGGTCCATGACGGCGAACAGTCCCTCAAGGAGTTGAGGGGTAAGGGGATTTTCCGAGTCAGCAAACGTCGAGCCAGGCAAGCACCTGCTGTGGCGTTCCTGGTTGAATGCCTTGTGGAGGCTCTGCCGGGCGTCATCAACGACGTGCGTTTCTGTCAGGGGGGCGTGAGGGAAGGCTGGCTGTTTGAGCTTCTGCCGGATTCAGTGAAGAAGGACCACCCTCTGGTCGCCGCCACTAATGCTCTAGCCCTGCAACAGCCATCAACATCACAGCAATCTAACGATGCCGGAAGCAGCATCGCTCCCTCAAACAGCGCAGCGGGCATCGACCACATAGCGTCACTTCTTTACTCCGCCTTCCCGCCTCCTTCGCCCGAGCTCGACCGCTCGATCCCATCCCCACACTTCTCCCTCGCGGTCTGCACCGCCCTCGCCAACACCATGTACATCGGCAACTCCCACCCTAAGGAGACGCGCGCTTGCAACGCCCTCATGCTGCCCCTCACCGGTGCGCTCGCATCCGCACATGGTGTAAGTCACGGCCAACGCGCTGTTCTTGCTTTGGCACTGAAAGCGCGGTGGGCTGCAGAGGGAAGCGAGGTGTCTGAGGAGTGGGACAGTGTACGTGAGGCGAAGTTACGGGCTGTGCTGACGGCGCAAGAGGGGTGGTGGGCGGAGTATCTGGGGAGGGTCGCCGGATTGGTTGGGTCGGTGTATCCGCGTGGGTTTAGAAGAGAGTTCTCCGATGGGAGGAGGATGAGTGAGCGGATCAGCTTGACGGCGGAATGGTCGGAAGGGTTGGGGAAGAAGGGGCTGAGCCAGGGTGTGAGGGTCACACTGAGAGCGTTGGGCGGTGCCAATGGGGAGAACCTGATGACACATAAAGACGCGATCAACGATCCGATAAAGCACTGGGAGAAGCTTGGCAAGAAGAAACAGTGGAAGGACTACAAGGGCTTTGGCGTACCGATTCAGGTTGACGTCCTGAGGGAGTCGGAGCAATTCGTGGAGAAACCATGCTAGACTAAAGCTTCCACTCGGATCTGTGCAGTGTCAGGCGGCCTGCATCAATACGGGGCGTGTGAATCAGATTGCAATGTGGCCATTCGTATGGACAAAGTTGTGGTTGGTTCTTACTGAGACCCTCTACCAGGGCCTATAGCGCCATTCGCTTCTGCAGAGCTGGCGACACAAGTCATTGTCTGGTGATTCACATGGTGAGACCCGCAGCAGTCCGCTGTGGTAAGCAGCAAAGTACAACTTGGTCATGAACATAAGCTCACAAGCACAGGACCTGATACAATATCGCTGTCGAAGATCCCAGAGGCTAAAGTCAACGCTGATTCCGTCTAAAGAACGACTATCAAGGGGCTGTTGTGGGCTTCAAGGTTCGATCGCCATCCAAAGAAGCTGCGAACTAGTGACCCAAAAGCTCAAATGATGGCCAAGTCACAGGCAGACCCCAGCTTCCAAACCAGCCAGCTACCACCATTGTTGGAATCGAAACTCGAGCACCGCTTTCTTCGACGTGCATTTGCACCCTTTGACGAGAGCCAGGTTACTCAGTCTCTTCAGGCGGTCGCTTCCAACCAGGATGCATAGGGTGCGCTGGTAGAGAGGCCGTGTCAGACATCGAATGAGGGCCTACGCCTGCTCCTTGGAGGCTCGAAAGTTACCCAGCCTGCTCTGGGGCTGGAACAGAGTATTCGTCATCCACTGGGAAGACGGTCGTCCATATACACACCGGCCTCTTACCATCAGCAGGTAATGTGGTTCGCAGAAGCACACCGAACACAGTCCGTACCAAGGCCAGCGTCAGCCTATGTTCTCCTTTCGAGCTCAAAAGCTCTGGAAAAGTCTGGGTCACATCCGGACAACGAGCCGCTGGGGAGCGCGGTACAAGATCAGGAGAGTCAGGTTACCGAGATGCAGCCATGGATCAACTCGCTCCGATCTCATTTCGCTGTCACAGCTTCCACCGATGAACAAACAGCTCGGCCATGGACCCCTATCAAAGCACCTTCACGCAAGGATCAACTATGGGCACCACAGGCTCCGGACAATCGTGTTGGCCGCATGCAACTTGAGATCGACTGGCTCAGGTCTCAGTTGCCTGTCGCAGCTTCAACCAATGAGCAGATGGATCTGCCACTCGCCAATCTAGAGGAGCACGCCCTAGATGCGCCAAAGAAGTATGTCCCGAGCCTGCCGGTCACCAGTCTAATAGTACACGACCAAAATGCGCCAAAGGAGGATGCCCCGAGCCTGCCAAAATAGACTGACCCACGTGGTTGGATCTACATTCGGACGTATTCGTTAACGCATCAGGAGTTGCACCGGCTGCTGTCATTCCTTGGTTCATGGAAGCAAGCACAAGCACTGCAGGTCCGCATTGGGCACTGGAGGAACGCCATTTACTACGCGTCAGAGTCCTCCAAGTTCCATATCAATTACATTGGTCAGACCAGGGCGGCTAAAAAGGGAGTTCAGAAGAAAACGAGCTACCACCGATGGGACAGTTCCCTTCGGTCAATCGATGAGAGCATGGACAATGCGATACTTAATGCACTTGGGTTTCTCGGCTTTCACACACATCAAACGCAATTCGAGTTGCCTTTGTTCGGTTGTAATGCAGAAGTTCTGGACCTCCTCGAAACAGCCCTCATTGGGCTTTTCTGGAAACAGTGCACAAACACTCAGCCTGGAGGACGTCGCTTATTCCGGGGTCTGCCAGACCAGATGTGTAGCCTCTTACAACGCCTTGTCGTGCAAGCAAGCATGGACGGTCATTTTACGTCTTCAACAAGGTACACAGGACCAGAATATGAACCAGTTGAAGCAGCGACAAGGTTCGCAGATACTTCCCGCGCTTCATGGCTGCAGTTTCTGCTGTTCTTGGACTCTGTGGACCGCTCTCGTCAACCATGGAGTGGCATTGACGAGTCCTATGCCACTTGGACCAGGGGATATCACCAATCAATCATTGAGTCTGCTGGATCTCTGCGATTCTTGCCCCTCCAGGGCCCGACCATCGTGATCATGATCCTTGAACAACCTGTCGATTCGATCCGATGCTTGAATGACCAGCTCGAGGCATCAAGCTGTGCAGAAACTCTACAACATCCTTGACGCTATCACGAGCATTTTTCAAAGATCTTTCCGTGGCATGGTAGCCAGTGGAACTGTAATTGTGGTCGATGCTATTCCAGGTGTCGTGGGTGAGTATGCTTGTCAGCCTATGCTTATCGACAACCTGGTGCAACGCTTTTCGACAAGAATACATCAACTGATATCAGATACCAAGCCTCTGATGATTCTTATGGCTGGTCAAGTCGCGGCTAGAAAGGTATCGTCTGCGTTGGGGAAGAATCTAACGAAACTCTGCATCCACTGCTTCATACATCTACGTTCGGGAGGGAACCTGACGAAACTCTGCATCCACGACTTCAGACATGGGCGGGAACAGAAATCATGGTACACATTTTGTTTGTTGCTCCTAAAGATTAGAGCCCGGTTGGAGATGTCTCGCGAGAAGCGACCGTGCTGACACTCGATCCATCGCACTCAGGAAGTCGACTATGTGCAAAAGAGCTTGTCCGTCGCTCGCACGAGAACCGCCAATTCCTCCGGGCGGAAGTCAAACAATGGAGACGGCAAGCAGACTCACTTACTTCGCCTCAAGCTCTCCCCCTTCAAAAACTCATCAAACCACTGCACGGCCTGCAAGAACGCCGCCTCCTTGGCATACTGCACCTCCCGCTTCTCCGGATCGCCCCTGACCGCAAAGCCGTGCTCTACACCGCTGTACAGATTGATTTGGTAGCGCAATTTGGACTCCTTGAGGATTTCTTCCGTTTGGTGGCGTTTCTCCGTGGGGAAGATGGTGTCGGTTTCGGCGGCGGCGATCGATAGCGGGCCGCGCATGTCCTTGAGTTCGGCCTCTTCGACGAAGGAGGGGTGGGCGGTGTAGCCGGCGTCGAATTTGCCGGAGTCGGGGAGGAGGTGGCGGACGACGTACTTGCCGCTGTCACGGGGATCAGGTGTTAGTAATCGTTTCATACGGGGCCGGAGGGAGAGTGGTGTGCTGCTATAGTATGGTGGGTGGTCTTACCCGAAGCAGTAGCCGACAGCACCAAGTTTCTGGAAAATATGTTAGTATCGAGAAGGCCCAGTTGCAAACGCTCCCCAGTCGGCTCACCTTGATCCCATGCTTCTGACGCAACTCGATGATACAGCTGTCGATGATCGGATCGACATGAGGAGGATCATGAGCACGCTTGTTGGGATGATACTCGCCGCCAAGCCACTTCATGATATCGAAGCCTTCAGGGCGGTTGAGCGTGATTGGGTTCCCGTCAAATAGGTCGGGCATCATGACGAAGTAGCCATTGGCGGCAAACTGGTCAGCGATGAGCTGAACGTTGTTGAACTTGTGGCCGATGACGTCGGTGATGCTGTTTAGGTAGCGTGCTCAGCGATGTGTTTTGGTTGGTAGCTACGGGGTGTGGAAGTCAGACATACATCAGAACACCATATTCGCTTGGCTCGCCAACGGTGTAGACCTCAAAATCGCCGAGCTTCGAGATCTTTCCTTGAGGAGTACCCTCATGTCTGACGCCTTTGTAGCAACAACTGCCGGGAGGATGAGAGGCCATGGCTGGTAGTGGATTATGTGATCTGACGGAAGCTGTGCTGAATGTTTGTTTGAGTGATGGCAATGTCAATTGACTGAGACGTCGTGGACGATGAGCAGATCGAGTAAGATGCACGTTGATATAAGACCGTGATCTTGAGGCACACCTCATGGAGTGGATCAGGTGGGGAGGTGTTGCGTAAGGCACACCTACGAGAGGCTACTGCCGTGTTGCGTACCTTACGTCTACTTCACCGAACTTGTCTGCAGGAACTATGGAGAACAATTAGGGGTTCTCGGACTGTGAAGCGGACATAGACTGCCGTTCGTTCCTAGGTATCTAACCTACGTTATTACCGACGGCCTTGTACGAGGGGCACCGATGTTGTCACCGAGGGGCATAAGGGCATGCCCACATCGAAGGTCATCACGTAAGCATCCCGAGGCGGTACCGAAGGTGTAGATCGTACACTATTTCCCGGTCCACGAAAGCTTTAGACATCGTCCTGTTGCAACTGGACAGAGGTGCTTGAAGAGCAACGCTTTTCTTGCTAGACGCCTCAACGCTCACAAGTATCTGGCAGTGCCGACGCGGCAGCCCGCTCTACCCTGCCCACAGACCGGGCACTGCACGGCCAGAAGTACGGAAGGAGCAATTCCGTCAACTGTCGTTCACAACCTTTCGGCCGCAGACATGAGTGCACCTGGGAAGGTTGTCAGCATACATAGTAAGAAGAGAAGTATTTGCAGAAAATGACTTACCGACAAAGGTCATGACCAAACGAGCGCGACCCTGCACAATATCGTCCGGTACCAAGTAGATGGTGCAAGCCATCTTACGAGCGATACTGATGCTCAACTTGGCGTTGGCATAAGCATCATCATCGTTCTTGCCGGGCGTCACAAGATCGTAATCGACATAACCTTGCTTCATCCCGTTGAGCACATCTAGCAGGAACACGCCTGACAGGATTGCGGGATCTTTGAATGACCGTACGCTCGTGTTCTTGCCACCTTTCCGTGCCATTTCGTTCGCCCATTTGATCATGTCAGAGTCGGTCAACTCGCGCTTGCCCATACGTTGTGATACGGCCGCTAGGGTGTTCAAGATGTCTCTCCGCATAAGTTGCCAGACCAAGCCGAGCGTCAGTGTGCGCTGTCCATCAGTGATATCGGCACCCTGGATCCCAACCAAGCTGAAACGATTCTGCTTGCCAAGCTCAACGGCATAGTTTGTGTTTTCCACTGCTTTAAACCTTGACATTTCTCCGCCGTGTGCTGGAGGCTTGTTGACATGTCGCCAGTTGACACTACCAGGAATGACCTTGTCGTACGCCTGCAGTAGAATGCCACCATCTCGGAGATCGTCGAAGAAAGACTGAACCACAGGCTGTACGTCCATTGAGTTGAGCCACAACGTGAAGACCCGTGCTTCGCGTTCGCCTTCGGCATCGAAGTCCTCGATCTCCGGCTTTTCGCCCTCTTCCAGCGGGTCCAGGCCAGGGTGGGTATTGAATAGATTGGCAACGAATGCCAGGTTCAGCTTCGGGTTACCGGCGACCAAGGAAGTAGGCGTGAGGAATTTTCTGCAATCCAGCTTCTCTGCGTTCTGTAGCACTTGCTCGGCCCTCTGCAGAAGATCCTGTGTCTGCAGTGGCCCTCTCGAGCAGGTATCCGGTGCGAGCTGATTGAGCAGCACAGTGTAGTTCTCGCCATCCTTCACGTCGCCTGAAAAATTAGTGACGCGTCTTGGCCACTTGGCATTCTTCAGATGGTAATTGAACCATCGGAGAAGAATCTGTTCGGGAGGAAGTCGTAGGAACTGCTCGAGTGTCTCGTCGTCTTCGAGTAATCGATACAACTCGGGGTGTAATTTGATGTCAATCTTGCCCAACAGACCACGACGAATGATCTGCCAAATGAGACCCAGGATCAAGTGCTCTCGAACTTCAATGATGTCTCCTGCACCAATATTGACCACCGAGCACCCGATACCCTTTGCCGACTCGATCACGATATTGTTGTTCTCGGTCATGTGGAAGGCGTTAAGAGACTTGATCTTTCGGCCAGCCTTGTTCATGACACGCTCGTCAATGGTATCTGGTACGCTGTCATTGATGAGCTTGGCCAACACCAAGCCGTCTTTGCAGGCATCGAACATCTCGAAGGAATCAGTAGGGAATGGGAGAAGCTGGCCAATGTCGGCATCGCCGGCAAGGACTGCGTTGATATGGGTCGTGAACGCAACGCGCTCATCTTCGTTGATGGTGTGCGTGGAGCTTGCAGTAGAGCCTCCCACTGTGATTCTGCCGCCTGAACCTCCTCCCAGACTTGGTTTCGATGCATGCTTAACCGCAGGAGGCCCATTGCCTGCCAATCCTGCAGACTTGACAGGACCTGCTGCTGTCCGCTGCTGTGCAGGCGAGGACTCGCGCAGCTTTGAGATGAGATCAACGTAATCTTCTAGCTCAACTCTTCGCGAACTATCCAACTCGACCTCCTTCAGTGCCTGGCGGACAACATCGTAGTTTTGACGCTCGGATGTCTGGGTGGCCTTAATGACTGTCGCCTCGTCGAGGTAGCCCTTGTCGTCGACGTCTAGTCGTCGGAAGGCATCTTGTAACTGAAAGATTTCATTCTGAGGGAATTGTGGGTACTTCCTCTGTAATTTGAGGATGGCGGCCATATTGGAGGGGTGGAGGGGCGCTATCGCGCTCCGTCGCTGAAAGCAATGCTAGGTATGCAGTGGCAGGAAGGAAATGAGGAAGATTGACTGCCAACAGCTGAAGGAGCAATGCTGCTCAGATATTGTTATTGCGCAGCGAAATAATATCGGTGCCTGAACGAAAGCCGCGCGTGTGTGTACAACAATTTGTACTCGACTCAATTCAATGGAAGCCCACGGAGCGCCTAGCATCTTACTACGCGTACGTCACTGTGGCTGTGCTTACTGCCAATATTTTGCTGTGGCTAAGCCAGTTGCCTTCGATTGTCCACGCGATTGCCTTGTTTCGCGATTCGAGTGAAGCCAAGTTTCGAGTTTCCTCAAACAGGCTGATTGAGAGTACACTCGCTCGCTAATCCGATACTTTCTGGCGACTGAATTGTTCGTTACAGACGCTCGCTGTCCGAGCAGCGCACCTATGTCGAGAAGCTGGATCGCATTTCCGCGTTGACACGAGCCCTCCGGCGGCTGAGTATGGCTGACCAGGGCAAGGCCTCAGCAGGTTTCCTGGGCTCGTTGTCGCCGTGGAGCCGTAGCAGCACGCCTACTCCCAAATCGCCACAAGTGAAATCTCAGCCAAAGCCCGAGGGATTGCGCCAGGCTCCCGGTCTTGATCACGCTGTCAATATATATCGACCTTCGCCGAGCTTGAAGAAGTACCCACGTGACTGTCCACCGATCGTTGCTAAGTGGTACTATGCTGTAGATGTTGCGAAGCGGAAAACTTTGGCAACTCAAGACTCGGCCACTGACAACACCAAGACAGCGGGCGTCCCAAAGAAGTATGTTCAATTTTCAGACCAAGACTCTGAAAAGCTTGAAGCTGCGTTCCTATCCCTTGATAAGGATGATTCCGCCGATGATGACTCCTCTCCGACTGCGACAGCCGTTGCGGTGAATGAGGATGGTCTCTTCGATGTGCACGTTGAACGGCGCGAGCTGGAGCCCGCATACTGGCTCGGTCCCGTCTACGAGGTCAGGCGCGGCAGCTGGTTCTTCCAGGATTCAACCACAGTCTTGAAGCCCGCTGACGAGAATCTTGCGAATCAGCTTGAAGAAGGCTATTTGAAGGTTATGCCTTGGCGGAATCCAGCGTCCGCCAGATCACAGTCCCAGCCACGGCCTCGACCTAAATCTCAATTGCTCGAGCAACAGGACGCGCCGAGAACCGATGGGACAGCGACCCCGACTGAAGTACAGTCTACCACCCAGCAACAAGGCAATACGTATCGCTTGTTTGGCTCGTGGATGCACACAATGGTCACTTATCAGGATGCGAACGTTGCATATCTAGACAGGACAGATGACTTTGTTTCGAGGATGAGTTCCACACTCTGGTCCAACCTTGGCAGTCGTGGCGGACTCAAAGTCATTCGTGGCTACGTCGACCCAAGTGCAAAGCCGGCCGACAAAGCTAGTACAGCAGACAAGCGAAGGTCCCAGCAGAATGTTCCTGAGCCTGAAGCCTCGAAGGAAGATGGCGACAGACCTCCCGAGAAGCCCAAGAAGCGCAACGCGCTCGAGAGACAAATCTCGTCATTGGCGGGTATAGCGCAGGGAGTGGAAAGCTCAAAGGAGGCTGAGCAAGACGCCCAAGCAGAGCAGCAACAAGAAATGGAGGATGCAAGAGAGAAAGACGGCGAAGACCCAGACCGACCTATCGATCATCTTGTCCTCGTCACACATGGCATTGGACAGCGTCTCGGACTGCGACTGGACAGCGTAAACTTTGTTCACGATGTCAACACTATGCGCAAAACCATGAAGGCAGTGTACGCTGCTAGCCCAGACTTACAAGCTGTAAGCGGCGACCCGAAGAATTGTCGTGTCCAAGTTCTGCCCGTCTGCTGGCGCCATCTGCTGGACTTTCCAAAGCAGAGCCTCAAACACAACAGAAAGGAGTTCGATCTTGGCGACGCCGACGATCCGTTTGACGAGGAATACCCTTCGCTCCAAGACATCACGGTCGATGGCGTCCCAGCTGTCCGCAATCTGCTCACCGATCTCGCAATGGACATCCTACTGTATCAAAGCGCTTACCGAGAGCACATTGCATCAATCGTGAAGCAAGAGTGCAATAGGGTCGTCGCTCTGTTCAAGAAGCGTACAGGCTTCAATGGACGCGTCAGCTTATGTGGCCACTCCCTGGGAAGTGCTGTGTACTTCGATCTGCTTTGTCGTCAAGACGATGCGGTCAAAACGCGACCAAGGCGGGTGTCAAGCAGAACGTCGAAAGGTCCCACACTAGAAGTGCCAGACCTGAAGTTCGACTTCCCTGTCCACGAATTCTTTGCTCTGGGCAGCCCGATTGCCTTGTTCCAGATGCTGAAAGGTCGAACAATCGCCGGAAGGAATTCAATGCCAACCCGAGACCTAGCCTTCTCTCCTTTCGACCCCGACCCAGTCGGAAAAGACCCGTTCGAGAATACCTCTGCCAGCTCGGCTCGCTCGAAGGAGCTGATCCCCATCACAACATCCTCGCCACTTATGCTCGGCGACTTCTACAACATCTTCCATCCTACCGATCCGATCGCTTACAGAATAGAACCACTGATATCGCCCGCAATGGCAGGTCTAACACCGCAGGCACTACCCTATACGAAGAAGGGGCTCTTCGGTGCACCTGGCATTGCGAACATAACTCAAAAGGTCGGCCAGTCAGTCATGTCCTCCTGGTATGGATTGACTTCGGGCGTCGCCTCAAGCCTCATCAATCGAAGCCTAGGCATTACGGGAGAAGACCAAGCTCTGCCGCAAGACAAGCCCAAGGCACAAGCTATCACACTGCCCAACGGTACTGTCGTGGCAGGCGGGCCTAAAACCCCAATCGCAGATGGCAAAAAACAGGAGGACCTAGCGGAGACAGCCGACAGATCTGACGAAGTGCTCATCGACAGCAACATTGAAACACTCTACAGCGGCTTTCAAAAGCGCAGACGCTCCCAAGCCAGCAACGCGGCGTCGGCGGCGGGCGATGAAGACTCAACAGTCAAGCCAGCCGTCGACCCCGAGCTCGAGCAGGAGCGCATCAAGAAGCTGAAGCGTGAGGAGGCCAAAGTGAAGGCGCTGAATAGCAATGGTCGTGTTGATTATGCTATTCAGGAGGGCATGTTTGATGTCAGTTTGCTGGCGAGTATAGCCTCGCACCTTAGCGTAAGTCAGGACCCGTCATCATATTTCGAGCCAAAGCTGACGACATCTGCAGTACTGGGCTGATGAGGATGTCCATCACTTCATGTTGGGACAGATGCTCACTCATGGAAAGAGAGGGAAGACGGACAGGGGCGAGACGGGCAGTGGACCACAGATCAGTGACAAGGATGTTGATGCATTGAGCGGTGACATTGCTAATGCTTTGTGAGCTTCTGGATTGTTGGCGTTATTGCTCAGGGAGGTGGTTACCTCACGTACAGCGCGAAAGATACCCCTTGATACTATGACTTAGACACGGCTGTGCGGCGAGTCGATCTACTCCTCCCCCTTGGAGCTCTGCAGATCGAACGTCAACGAGTGATTGCGCTCTCATTTCCTCCTTCCAACAGATTCAGGTAGCGTCTAACGAACGAATTTCTCGCTGGGAAACTCTCGCCGCTCTGTACGTCTATCGGACTCAACAGTGCGTTGATGATGATCTCCACAATTTTGTGCTTCTCCCAACCTGCCCCAACTTCGCATTGGATGTAATCATCCTCAACGGACCACCGCAACGCTTTCACCCTTAGGTGCATGACTTCGTTGATGCCCCAATAGACATCGCCATCAGCTTGCTGTTGGTACATGCCACAGGCAGACGCATGCTGCAGCATGTCCAGGCGGTGCCTCGCGAGACCAGGGGAAATGAGCTCATCCAATGGTAGGAGATCCCTTCCCGAAGCTTCTTCGTAAGTGTGCAGCCGTATCTTATCGAAGAAGACGCAGATTTCTCGTACACAAATAGAGTGTTCTCCTCCTTGAGGTGCCATTGCCACACTTTTTCGACAGGAAGAGAAACGTCGGCCAACTTGAGGAACTTCCTCCAGAGACAACGATCATTCCAGTCCTTGTTGTATTTGCTGATCTCGTCACCAGTCACCACTTCTTCTGGGTGAGCTTCATTGAACTCAGCATTCTTGTCGATACCAGCATAGACCTCCCAATCCATCAGAGGCATGCTGGCTTTCTTGACCGCGAGTTCGCCTTCGATGAGTTGTCGCTTTCGGCGATCTTCCAGAACGTGTGTCCACAGGTCCTGCTGAAGCTTCCAAGGCAGAGCCATGATCAGTTCGTATGACTTGGGCTCATTCAGCATGGCATTTGCGACGCGATCGAGGGAGATTTGATAAAGAGCTCTTGCGCCTTTGGAGCCCTTTCTGTTGTCATGCTCGTCGGCTATTGCTGCGATGACCGGCATTGTGGGAGGTAGTGGTGTCTTGGTGGATAGGCGCTCAGCGTTAGCAGATGCGTTCAGTGGACTGCTCAGTACAATCACGAGAAAGGACTGCAAGCTGTGGTCGCAAAAAATGAGGATTCCGAAAGAGTGTTCGTCAGATCACTTTTGTTCGAATTCACTTGACCGTCACCTTCCAGCAGAGCGAAGCCTCCAGGGCAACAAGGCAACCATTTCCATTCAAGTATTGTACATCATCATAGCTAAGTACTAATAACTCAAAATTCCCAAGCTTCCAGCAACGTCGTATCAGCGTTGATCTAATTGCTAGCTCCTTGTTTTTCTGCCAGCACCCGCGGGTAGGTCAACGACCACGCATGGTCATCTTCTCCCAGTCACCATGCCTGTCCAGCTGGCATGTGCCTAGCCCTGGCTGCAGCCAGCAGCGGTCTTGCAGGAGATGTGAGGGACATTCCGCTGTGGTTCGGGCTCTGGCGCAGGCTCTGGCTCAGGCACCGGCTCAGGTTCAGCCTCTGGCAGCGGTGCAGGTTCGGGCTCCCGTTTGTATTGACTGCACCCTGCGGCGGTCTTGCAGGAGATATGTGGGACGTTGCGCTGTGGTTCAGGCTCGGGCTCTGGGAGTGGAAGTGGTTCGGGCTCTCGCTTATACTGGCTGCAGCCGGCTGCAGTCTTGCACGAGATGTGAGGCACGTTACGTTGAGGGACAGGCACAGCGAAGGCTGTCAGGGGCAGGACGAGAAGAATGGCGATTGAGCGTGTGAGTTGCATCTTCGATTGTCCTTGGTGCTGAAGGGGGTTTCCTTGATGCTGGGGCTGGAGAAATCAACGAGTGAATGGACTTTGCTTCGCTGTCCGTAAGAGATAACTGTATGGAAGGTAAGAAAGGTGTTGCGTCCGGCGCAATGTTGAAAAGATTGGTCTGTAAGAGGTTTCTCTGATTGACCCAACGAAGGATAGTCGAGGGAGTCCTTTATACCTCTGGATTCGATGGGACGAGAGCGCGGACGGCGTTCAATAGAAGCTGAGAGCCGCCGAGGCAGTCTCAAGGCACAGAAAATGTTACTATGCAGGATGTCGTCTCCCAGAAGGAATGCGTGTATGCAGAGCGATGACTTTCTGTCACTCCTAGGACGAATTGACAGTCGCACTCGTAGCCACGTCTGCGGAGGAGACGACGACAAGCGCGCTCGACGCCACTGTGAGCTAGATTAGTATGGCGTCTGCGAACATCATCGAGGTCTGAAACACTAAACATAGGACTGGAGGAGGTCGATTCTCAAATAACAATTGTGTAACGTACCTTTGATATCTCAAAAGAGCCATGTCTTGGCATTAAAATCTGCCTCGATCTGCTCAGTGTCTGCAGCATCTCGCTACCGGTGACTTGTCATTGGGAAGGCCGCATACATGCAGCCTTGCTATCCGTGTGATCGTGCTGCGCAGTGCTGTCAAGTCATGCGTCCTGTAGCTTGACCGATCTGATGTGATGCAGAACGGGACCGGGGCCTTAAGCGCCGGGTCACGCGGTCGCCTTGCGGTCGCCTCGAAAGCCTCGTTCCCAAGCATTGAAACTGTTCTCAACTCATACTAGCTCGGCGGCTATTTTGATACTCTGATCGATGTAAGCAAAGCACTGGCGTCGTGCTTCGTCCCCAAGCATACTCGTACAGGCGCCCAATGTTCATTTCTACTTCAGGACATCACAATCCTTGTGAGGAACATCTCGATCGATGTGACAAGCACATCCACGCGGTAAGGAGTCTCGCTTGAGCGGCCATATGGAGTGTTGCGCATGATTTCGTCTCTGCGCTAATGGTGGAGAGGAGGCGGTATCGGTACGCGACGCTCTGGGGGTCCGGGGCAGTCGCCACTCTACACCTTTCTCACCTGAGCCATGGCAATACCACTCACGACTGAGCACAGACTCGCAGAGCACAATCCAGCACCGAGCATTAGCTGTTTCCCCATGAGGAAGATAGGTTGCAGAGGTTCAAGTTGAGAACGGGAATCTGGGGTCAAGCCAAGCAACACGGAATTGAGATAGCGCGCATTATGTAAGCAAATACTGGATTGCACTTGCCACTCGTGTCGATTCTAACTTCCTGCTATTTACTTCTTCAACTCATCCAGCAAGCGCTTCATTTCCGTTCCAAGGAAGCCAGGATGAGGAACCACCACTGCGCCTGCCGCAGCGAGCGCTTGAGCCTTGGCTTCCGCACCTTCGTTCCCAGAAGATAGCAGCGCACCAGCGTGGCCCATGACTTTGCCTTCTGGCGCTGTTCTCCCTGCAACCATAGCTACTATCGGCTTCGGATTCGGTGTCCTGGCACGATATGCTTTTATTGACTCTGCAGCATGGAACTCAGCCTGTCCGCCGATTTCTCCGATCATGATGATCCCCTCAGTCTCCTCGTGCTCGTAAAAGACCTCCAGCGCGTCTTTCAAGCTCGTCCCTGGCAACAGATCCCCGCCAACTCCAATCGAGATGCTCTGACCGAGGCCTTCTCGCGTTGTGGCTCCAACGGCCTCGTAGCTGAGGGTGCCGCTCTTCGACGCGATGCCGACGCGGCCACGCTTGTATTGCTGGTAAGGCATGATACCGATTCGACATTGCTCAGGAGCGATGATGCCTGGGCAATTGGGACCGACCAAACGAGACTTCGATTGCGTCTTGAGTATCTGTTGGACCCGCAGGATATCATGTACTGGAATATGCTCCGCGACAGACACCACAAGTGGGACTTCAGCCTCGATTGCCTCCTCAATTGCTTTCCCAGCTGCCAAAGCTGGAACGAAGACTGCCGTGGCGTGGGGCCTGACCTCCTTCATTGCCTAAGGGGCGAATTAAGTATTGAGATCTGATAGAAGGACCAATGCCCGAAGCTCACCTCTCGCACAGTACTAAAGACTGGTAAGTCCAGGTGAGTTTGGCCTCCCTTTCCTGGTGAGACGCCTCCCACGACTCTCGTGCCATAAGCGATGGTGTCCTTCGCATTGGCAGTGGCCTGCAGCCAATATCAGCCTTTTGGATCACGAGAATGGTCACCTACGACTGTTCACTTACCGCTCGTCCTGTGAAACCCTGGAAGATCACCCTTGTGTTGCTGTCAACCACTAGATTGCCAACAGTTGCCGAACCGGGAGCTTGCGCGCTGTATTGTCGTGTATGCGATCGGGAGCCCGCCGCCCTCGCGAGCAGGGTTGAAGCCCTCGTCTTCATTCCTACGAGCAATTTCCACTATTGGTGCTTTCAGGTACCAAAGCAGAATACGCACAATGACTCCACCTTCTCCGCGTTTTTGCAGATCCCGACTTGGTCCCTGTTTCGTCTCGACTGCCCTTTCCTTCCTTCGATAGTGTTGACCGACTCACGCTACTGATGTTACGAGTAAAAGAGGAACTGTGTGTGACAGGACATTTCCTCACCTCGCCATATACCTAGACAAGACTTGAGCTCATACCACTCAAAAGCTTCCGCCCGCATCGGGACGACATCGCAGCAATGCGGGGAATAACCACGAAAACCGGCTCACATTCATCGGGAAGTGTAGGTTTGAGTCTATTTGAACCTCCCGACATGGGACAAGCTACATCAACGCAGCGCGTAGCGTCATGGTTGCTGTGACCTCAAGAGGCTGGCTTCACAGCAGGAGCCATCCGATGTCGCGGGCCTCGAGAAAGGGCACTGCTGACTTGTACCTTTCGCCAGCCGGCTGATCATGTACTCCAAAGCTCTTAGCGATATACTGAATGCTTTGACAGAGCACTTATATTGTGAACACGAAAAACATCCGAGAAGCCATCTCAGGTCAGAACAACATCTGGACTGGCGGCTGCCGGATCTATTTACACATCTCAAGCCTCTAGGATCCATTATCAGTACTCCCACAACACCCAGTGGCATAGGCACAAGACTCGCTTCCGGCTGTAGCAAAATTTCCACCAGCTCAAGATCGTTCCGAACATGAATCCGTTACGACCGCTCTCGCGAGCTCTGCGGCAGCAAGCACGGGCCAAGACCAATGTACTCTCCCAACGCCGTCATCTCAGCATCCACGAATACCAATCACAATCCCTCCTTCGCGACGCCGGCGTCCCAGTACCACAAGGCCATCTAGCGACCACACCATCCGAAGCCCTCAGCCACGCCGAGGCCCTCGGCGGCAACACAGTCGTCCTCAAATCCCAGATCCTCGCGGGCGGCCGCGGAAAGGGCCAGTTCCTCAACAGCTCCGTCTCCGGCGGCATCCAGCTCGCTGACTCACCCTCCCAGGCCGAAAAGCTGGCGAGCGGCATGCTCGGCCACCACCTCGTGACCAAGCAAACCAAACCCGAGGGTATCAAGGTCGAGAAGTTGTACATCGCCGAAAAGGTCCCTTACACAAACGAATACTACCTCTCCATCACCATCGATCGCGAAGCAGCCGCCCCAGCACTCATCGTTTCCCGCCACGGCGGCATGAACATCGAAGACGCCGCCAAAACGGACCCTTCCTCCGTCGCGAAGCTCCGCTTTGACTACCTCGCCGATGAAGTCGACTCCACGACTTTGTACACCGCCCAAAAAGCCCTCGATCTACCCGACGAGGAGCTCGAGGGCCTTCGGACGCTCCTCACGAAGCTCATCACGCTCTTCAAGCAGAAAGACGCCACACTAATCGAAATCAACCCCCTCGTCCGCACAAACTCCAAACAACTACTATGTCTCGACGCAAAGTTCTCCTTCGACAACGCCGCCGCCCCACGCCAAAAAGAGCTTTTCTCCTGGGAAGAGAAAGCCGCGCGGGAGAAGTCCGAAGTCGAGGCCGAGAAATCAGGGCTTGTGTATGTGAGGCTAGAGGGGGATATTGGGAATGTAGTCAATGGTGCTGGGCTGGCGATGGCGACGAATGATGCGGTTGAGTTTTATGGTGGGAGGAGTGCAAATTTTCTGGATGCGGGTGGGCAGGCGACCAAGGAGACGATGGTGGATGCGTTTCGGATTATTTTGGATGATGAGCGGGTTAGGGTGATTTTAGTGAATATTTATGGTGGTGAGTGCTGTACTTTGCACTCAGTTCTTATTGCAGACGGAAAGTCCGACTCTCCTAGGGCTGAAGCAGCGTGCTGACAGAAGGTCTTGACGGCAGGAATCATTCGCTGCGACATGATCGCTGAATCCATCATCGCAGCCGCTGCCGAGCTAGGACCACTGAGAGTTCCAATTGTTGTCCGTCTGCAGGGCACGAACGCTGAGAAGGGACAGCAGATGGTAAGCATGCCCAGAAGCCGCTGGTTTGGGAGGTTGGTGTTGACAGCAGATGACAGATAGCGGAATGCGACCTCGACATTCACGCCGCGGCGGGATTCGGAGAGGCGGCAAAGAAGGCGACCGAGATGGCTGCTGCCGCGGCCGCGGAAATGGATCCTGGAAGGAAGGAGCTGGATCAAGGCCCTGTTGGATCGTAGGCAAGATATCTTGGGAGTATGCAGCCGCCCAAGCACTACGCACACGGGCGGATGAAAGCATCTTCGGGTAAACGTCCATTCATCATAGGTTGCACGGGCTTCTGATTGCTTGAAGTGGCTGTAAGGTATGTGTCAAATCCTCAACCACGTGGCTATCCAGTGGCATACTGCTCAATGTGGTTGCTAGCCCGAGGCAGTAATGTTGAGGAGCAGATACGGGAGACATAAAGTTCAGTTTTGGTCTATTGTTACCCTAATCCATTACCCATAACGTCATATATCTAGTATGATCTGATGTGTCGTGTGTGAGAATCAACCTTCAACGCCGTCTAACCGGTCCCTGACGCTCTTGCCCTGATCTCTTTCTATGCTATGCAGCGAAGCTGCCGAACTTTTGTTCCCTGCCACCATATCGTTCGACTTCAGCAGCGCGAAGTCCTCGTCGTTTCCCGAGACTTGGTACTTTCCTTTCACCAGTAGCAACTCACTTCACGGCTCCGTTCCTGGCACTTGCTTCCTACTCTTCGTGGCCTCATGCTCCACGCCATGCGCGCCATTTCGGTTTCATCTCCATCTTCGGGGTCGGAGTCACAGTGACGGTCTTGGTGATTGTCTCAGTCATGTTGGACGTGATGGTCATGATGTCCGTGATGTAAGTTGGGACCGTGACCGTGTTAGCTGGCGGACAAGTGGTGGCAGAGGTTGTTGAGGTCATGTTGTATGTGTACGGGGTCGTGGTCGTGTTGTACGAGGTGGTGCTTGTGCTGGTCACGTTTTCCATGTTGGATGTAGTATAAGTTGGGTAGCTTGATGTGGTGGTTGTGTTGTAGCCGGGGAATGAAGTGGTAGTTGTGTTGTAACCCGTGGTTGTGCTGGTCACGTTTTCCATGTTTGATGTAGTATAGGTGGCGTAGCTCGATGTGGTGGTCGTGTTGTAGCCTGAGAATGTCGTAGTGGTTGTGTTGTAGTCAGTGGTCGTGGTAGTATTATAGCTCGGGATAGTCGTGCTACTGTTGTAGCTGGGTGTAGTGGTTACTTCGGGTGTGGTTGTGGTGTACTCGGATGTGGTCATTGTGGTGTTGTAGGAGGGCGTTTCCGTGGAGGTCACATTGACTTCGAACGACGAGGTCGTAGTGGGGTATGCGGAAGTGGTTACTGTGAAGTTGAAGTCGGACCAAATGCTCACAGTGTAAGTAGACGTGCTGCTCGTGGTATTTGGATATATGGGAGTCGTGCTAGTATCCGTCACAGGGGCAGGCGTGGTAGTCGTGTACGTCCAGGTCGAGGAGGTCTCGGTGGTGCTCTCCGTCGACGTGGTCGTCATCGTTGTCGCTGAAGTATCCTCAAGCGGCTGAGAAGACGATGAAGTAGTGCTTGATGTATTCCAATTATATCCTCCCCATTCATACCCGCCGGAGGTGGTGCTGGTTGCGGATACCGTCGACGAGGTGGTTGAACCGCAAGACCCGTCTGTGCTCGGACGTTTGAGGAGGGCAACAGCCGCAGGGTCGTCAATCGGACCGTCAAGCGATTTCAAGAGGCGGCAGCTCGCTTTCTCAACATCTGCGAAGAAGACGACACCAACGCAAGGCAAGGTGCTTTCGTCACAAGCATCGCTGCATAATTCTGGGGTATCCCAATTAAACGAAGCGATGAAAGAATCTTCCTCATACGAGCGACCGCAGACATACTCGTACTCGGTGCAGTCGTCAGGATTTTGGCTGTACACTGTGCCGTCCTTACCCGGACAAGCTGATGGAGTGGCTGTGGAAGTGGCCGACGTAGATGTAGCCTCTGTCGTTGAGATATCTGTGTAGCTGGATGTGCTAGTGCTGGTACTTTCTGGCTCGACCGAGACACCTGAGGAACTGCTTGTTGTGGTGACCTCTGACTCAGAACTCGACGAGGTTGTGCTTGATGTTGCTGACACTGTGGATGTAGATTCAGAAGTGGATGAGGACGTCGTCGTTTCAGACTCCGTGGTTGTGGTCGCGGACGTTGTAATTTCCGTGGTCAGTGTGGCAGAGGCGGTCGAGGTCGTTGCCGTGTCCACGGTTGTAAGAGTCATGTTCTGGTGTTCAGTCACGGTCACAGTCGTCGTGCCCGATTGCGTGATCGTGTTGTTGATATTGGCCGTGGTGAAGCCGTCTACCGTTTTTGTCTGTCTATGGATCAGAAAAGCGCCGTGTGTCACACGCATTGGAGACTCACGTTAACATTGGTCGCAATGACATCTATGGGGTTCAATGAGAGACCAGGGTAGATCGAGCGGCAGGAACAAGCACTAGTTAGAGGCAGATTCGCATCGAACTTTGGTGGTGGTAGGGTCGTGGTCATTGCTTGGCGCGCCTGTATGCCGCGGCGATGCTTTGCCGGGACGGCATTGTCAAACTCTGTGGTCGTCACGGTTTCCGTGCTCGCTGACACATAGACGGGCGAAGTGATGGTGATTGTCCTAGTCGGCGCATTGAAAATCGTTCTGGCGTGTATTAGTACGGCCGGTGAATAGAGATTATGACTTACGTGGTCGTATTGACGATGGCAACAACCTGTGTCGGAATTGGTACCCCAAGGAGACTGGCACACAAGGTGTTCTGTCCATTTGTTCAGTGACTTGGTTTCTAATGGGATCGGATTTGCGTACCACTGCAGGCTGATTTGGCTCGTAGGAAAAGATCTGCATGTATGCATCGTCTGTGTAACAAGTCTGTCCCGTTTGGCGCTTTTTCATAAGACCAGCATTGGCAAAGTTCAACACAGAAAGCAAGGCAAGGCCGTGGCCCGCAGAAACGAGTGACGATCGCATGGCGAAAGACAAATGTCCAATGAGCGACTTGGTTGAGAGGAGCGAATGTGTGTGTCCGTAGATCTCTCAGCTCGTGGAAAGCCCAACGCCTTATATCCAAGTACTCGAATGATATTTCCGGTAGGATAGTCTGATCCTTACCTCTGTTAATCTCGGCTCTGCAACATCCTTAGATATATCTCAACGTCGCATCCTGGGACGCGAGGTTTCGGTGCCATCGCTGGGAATGAAGGGAGTGACCATGTTCTCCCTGTAATGGTGGCAGGAAACGAATGTACTGTGGTAGATCGTCAGTGCACGGTCAGAATTGCACGTGTAGAGTGCACGATGACTCTGGCTTGGCAGGGTTGATTCTGCAAGGGCGATGACAAGATAGCCATTGGAAGAAAGACATGTCCCAGGTTTCATTCCATCAAGTTGCGGACAGCGGCAAAGCACGAGCCAGGTCGCGCATCCCTCGAGTGGTACATTTGCTTGGTTTCCTAATAGATCATGATGAATTGTTATCAAAGCGTCTGGAGAACGGAGATATCATCCTGTGAGACGTAATCTATCACAGCTGAAGTGGCGAGGTATTTGGCAGCCTTGACAGAAGTACTTAATGTGAAGGATACGGCATGGCCGTGCGAGGCTGGCTGACGGTGAGCAGCCATCCAGAACTCACCACACGTGGATGGCAGCGACCGCGTTGATTTCGAACTTTCGAAATGTCTTAGACATGATAAGAGATTCATCAGAGAAAGAAGGGAGGGTAATGAGCAAGAAGCACGGGGCGGATGATGTCTGAGATGAGGAAGTTACGTTCTTGCATGTTGCATACCCTCGAGCCGCCGTACACTTACGGCGAATCAGATAGCCTATGAATGTCATTGTACCCCCCGGACTCGGAGCCATTAGCTGCATCAGGAGGATCGTCCTGTCGGACTTACTGCCTGCATACTCTTCAACAGTTCACGTCCGCGGTCGCAAGACTCTCTGCATTTCGTGGCTTGCCGAAAGCCATGACCACCATCCTCAGGTTGCGGCTCTTAACGTGACCCTGTTCCTGACCACCAACCACCTCCAGACCACCTGTCAATACACATCAACCATCCTTGGCTCGAGGATGGGAGCATGCCTCTCCTGCCTCGGCTTTTCACTCGCGATGACAGCGCCGACAACGCCGACCGTGCGCGCCTCCTCTACGACGACCACCACAATGTCTACGGCACCTGGGGCGGCAACGCGGTTCCACCACCTGACCACGGCATCAGCGCTGAAGAAGAGCGCCGCTTGCAAAGCGCATGGGACGGAATCACGCAATGGGCTGGAAATCAGATCGTAGAGATCTTTCCTTCGGCTCAACAGCAGCAGCACCCACCAGCTTTGTCCCAAGCGCATATGACGCAATCCAACATGTACGATAGCGATGCGGAAGAGACGCGGTCGCAGCGCAGTGATGGGGCGCAAATGAATGGTGCGCATGTGCAGACCTTGGAGCAGCAGCATCAGGACATTCTGCTGTCGATGATTCCGGGCGACAAGTCGAAGCGATCGATACGAATTTACCCTGCTTCGAGGCCGAATTCCAGGTCGACGGAGAACACGAATGGGATTGAGGGCAAGAAGCTCAGGGAGAAGGCTAGCGGTGTATTCGGAAAGATGGACTTGGGCACGGCGTGAGAGTTTGAGAAACAGCCATTATCACGACCATGTTCAGGCGAGATCCATCGACAAGCCTTGCTGTCCGTCCTCATTAAAGGCTGCAGTCTTTCAGATCGTCAGCATCAGCCGGCCTGTTTCGACACGATCGAACGGGGCAGGTCGCACAGAGTCTATGAGGCGATGCTCGTTCATCGATATCATGGCGCGCCTACGTCAACAGTGGTTCAGAAGCACCACAGCCATCCTCCGCCGCTGCGGGGATGCGCGGTGGGCGAGAAGGGACCGGCTGAGTTACATAACATGGAAGCCAAAACGGCTAGAATGCCGGGTGTCTTGCCCTCTTCTTCACGAACATATTTCTCATGTACAGTAATACGAACACATTCACATCAGCATCAGTGCACCGGAAGACATTCATGTGAAAGCCCAGTGTTCAGAAGTCGCAAATGGGTATCATTGCTTGTGGTCTATCGAACCTTCGGGCCATGCCAGATCAGCACGCACAAGAGTGCCAGATCTGACACTGAACCCACAACATCGCAATCCAGAGCAGGCCGGTCGGCCATACCCGATCTGCAGATCTCGTTTCCATAGACCGTGATTAGTCGTCCCTAGTGGACTCGCAGAGAATGGGTATCGTAGTACGTAGTATGATGTGTGTTTCGCTTCGTGGGGTATTCGAAAAGAGCAGTTTTGCTTTGCTAAAATCGCATCAAATGTTGTGAAGTTGTGCGTCAGCTCATCGCCGCGACCATGCCTGCCCGCCACTAGATCGCGCCACTTCGTTGAAGAAGTCGCACACCTAAGCAGCAGCGACAGCCTTAGCCTCGTCCTTCTGCGGCTCGGCAGCGGGAGTAGCGCCAGGAGCGGGAGCAGCGGGCTCGGGAGCCTTGGACTCAGCAGCTACGGGAGCGCCTGAAAAGATATCAACAAGGGTGGTCTTATCAGAGAGACGGCGCAGTCTGTGCATACCTGCTGCAGCCGGAGGGGCAGAAGTAGTAGTGGGCTCGGCGGTAGATGGCGCGGCGGCGGTGTCGGTTGGAGTGGGCTTGGGGACGGCACTGGAACCGTTGGTGGTGGTGGGAGCGGGCTTCTCAGTGGTCTTGGACTTCTTGTCGCCCAGGAGGGACTTGATCTTGGCCTTGAGCTTGTCCATTGCGTCGAGTGCTGGTGAGTAGAACGTTAGTGGGTGTGTTCAATGTAATTGTTGAGAATTGCAGGAAAGAAGGAGAAGAAGAGAGCCGAACGCACGTATGCCAGGCATCTTTGCTTATCAACGTTTTCGTGATATGACGAACTTCCTTTGTTGCTCGGAAGACGGCGGCTTGGGATTCGCAGGGCGGCAGGGCCTTGTCTTACACGATAAAGGCGATTGAGTGGGAGATAGCGGCTTTGTGCGGCCTCTAGAGAAACTTACATATGACGATGAAGCGAGATAGGACGATAGGAGAGGTCAGCGGACGTACGCTTATGTGACCTTTGGCCAAGGAGGCTGTAGTGTGGTGTGCCTTGATCGTATGACCTGGATTCAATCTTGATCGGAGCACCAAACAGACGCGACAATTCTCGTATCAAAGAGCCCGCAAATGACGGAATGCAGCGGCGCGAAATCACCGTCTAGCTGTTTGTAGTATGGTGCGCCTCATGGCCAGACTGCCAAGGCCGCCAAGCAGCTGCCACCAAATCTCAGTTGTGACTGCAGGTTCACATGGCTTCCTCGTGCAGTCGTGCCTTCGGTGCGAGCTCGGCGTTGCAGGCAGTCATAACGTCGGCAGCCACCAGAACTGGCACCGTTGCCTTGGCTCCGTCTTCCTGGTTCTCCAGCGAGTATTGCGCCCAGGATGCGGAAAGCTCTCTCTATGTGAACTCCTAGGGATTCAAATATTCGTGAAGATCTATGGTCACAGACGGACCGGCAGTCAATGTGATGATGGATTCACAGTAACTAGGCCGGCTTTGGGACGCACTCAAAGGGTCGAGCAACTTCCTATGATTTGCATAGTGACAGTCATCATATGGCCTGACTTATAATTGTCTGTGTTTAACGACCCAGAGGTCCTGCACTTTGTGCTGCCAAAGAACTTTCCTTCGGGCAGGTCATCATGGGCAGAGCGCCTCCATCCTGCTACGCTCGAGCATACCACGATCGCTCCTGCCTACAACGCAGGGCTCTGGCATGTGAACGGCGTGATCGGTGTCGATGCGAACGCATCGATCATGCTCGTGATACTCGCGTACAACCCCAAGCCTGCACAGGCCAGTGCGCCCAGGAAGTAGATGCAGTCGAAGGTATTGAGGAGCAACTTCTGTCGGAATCCTCTGATCCACCTCTTCATACCGCTGTCAACGCGAGTGACATTGCCCGAAACCGGATCGTAAGTTTCCTCGGGTAGTATGGCGTCATTTTGACAGTTGTAGCCAACCGAGAGAATGGCTGGAAACGTATAGCTGAACTGCAGAATACAGAGGGCGCCGACGAAGGTGACGAGATTGGCGATCTGTGGGACTGCGGCTGAGAGAACGAACGCAAGACCCCAGTATATGGGCACTGTGTTTGATGATTAGTGTCGAGCGACCAAGAGAACAGCCGCTTGGGCCTGGAATAGATAGCTTACCAATACCAACCCATATCCACTTCCCCTTCTTCTGGTCCAGAGGTGGAAAGCCGAAGATATCTCTAAGAACAGCTGAGTAAAAGACTTTGATGCCAATATTCCCGTACAGAAGTCCTGCAATCGTGCCAGTGATCCAGGAGATCGCGTTGCCGAACGTCTGAATACCGTAGGCACTGTTGGGAATGCCTTGGTAGGATGGATTGTAGGTGAATTGTCCCTGAGCGGCATAGATGACCATTCCGCTGACGAGATACATGACGTAGATGAAGACCTCGGCCATGATGAATCCCTTCCAGAAGTCGTATCTAAAATGCTCCGTTAGTAGGGTACCCCATATAAGACGAGTTGAAGACTACTCACGGCCGTCGCATCTCGGCCATCAGCTCGTTGAAGACAGTAGCTCCTCCGTACGCGAACACACAGTTCATCAGGCCAGAGATACCTGAACTGAGTGTTGACCCGGGTGGCCAATTTGCGGTGGTCACGATAGGACCTTTGGGCGTGTTGAAGGTTGTCAGGGAGGCCTCGTAGTTGGGAGGGTATTGACGAGTGACGACCATGGTTGCGATGAGCACCGCCACGTTGAGCCAGATGGCGATGTTAGAAAGCCAAGAAAGATTCTGAAGTGTTCGAATCTGGCCGAACAGCAGACTCGTAAGCGCACAGATGAAGAGCGCGAGCACGAAGCAGATGTAGCCATTCCCATCCTTGCCAAGCGCCATCTGTGTCAAGCCTTGTCCGTTCGTGACGGTAATGAGGCAAATGTTGAGAAAGAATTGGATACTCTGCAAGACATTGACCAAGTGACGCGAAGCTCGTCCGAAGATGCGGAATGCGACGTCGCCGTAGTTTCTCATGGGATACATGGTCGAGTCGAGTCCGCAAAACATCTTCCAGAGCTGGAGACCAGAGTAGAATGCTAGGACGCCGAATACAGTGTACAAGGCAAATCCTGGACCGTAACCCATCTGAGAGATCGCCCATGGCACGGTCGAGGGACCAAAGATGTCTGTGGTGATTAGATAGAAGATGGCTCCCCAGGTGGCGGTTCGTCCGGCGCGTTGAGCATTCTACATTCTCGTTAGCATCTACTACAGTCTAGGCAGCCGAAGAGCGGCAGTCTGGTGTATGAGACTACTCGGCGATGCACTAGACAATGCCATGGGCAAACTCACCTCCCACTCAGTCTCATGAATGCCATGGCGATCCGCGCCTTGCTCCAGCTTCGCAGGAGTGTGTCCGTGCTTCTCGCCCTTCTCTCCAGTGACCTCTTGCGAAACGTCGTTGGAAGAGGCTTCATCAGGCACACCGTTGTGATGAATAATCGACTCCTCATTGCGGTCCCTACGGCCAATCAACAACTTTAGGGAACCCGCAAGACCCAAATTTCCGACTTGGATGCCTTTTTCGAATTCGCGAGATCGTTTTGCCCAATATCGATATGCTTCGAAGTATATGCTTGTGTCAGTATAAATGGAAGTCTTCCCATGAAGCTCAGGAGGCGACACGTTTTGTGAGATCGAGCCACGAGCTTCTCGAGTGGTGCCAATGTCTGCGGCTATGCTGCCACGAGGATCGGCGTCCGCGCCATTTGCGAGAGGAAAACCAGACATTTTGGATGGGTGTTGCTGTTGTGCTTGAACAGATTGAGGGCTAATTGAGCCCATCCTGCCATATATGTGCCCTCTACCAGGGCGGCTGCGTCGGCACACTTCCGTTGCAATCTGTCTGTGGCTGGTTACATTCGGCAATAGACTCTAGCATTGGATCTGTCTGGCTATGGGTCCTGGGAACACATGTCATGTCGCGCGACACAGCTATAGCAGCTGCATAGTGGACCAGAGTGGCGATTTGGCCACCAGGGCGAAAGCTAGAGCACTTCGAGAAGGTAAAAGATAGACTGGGGGGTGCGATATACTTTGCGGAGAGGTGCTTGATCGAGTCAAGCTTCAGAAGCATTACGACAGCATTTCTCAGTAGCAGCGGAGAGACATACGTAAGCCCTGTGCTATCAGTTCGCACATATCACATCAAAGTTGCAGCTAGGAGCTTTTGCTATCGCATACATTGACAGCGTATGGTCAAACGTGCCTCGGGAAACATCAATTCTATCGCGTCTAATTCGCTTTGTTCAGCGGAAAGTGCTGGATGGCAGCGGATTTGACGACAATAAGGTTGTGCAGCGATGTGGCGAGTCGGGTTCAGCGGCTGCGTTGGAAATGTGCCGTGCAATCTCATAATAGGCACTGGGCCGAAAGAAGCAGGTCAATATCATTATTAGCATGGATCATTTGATAGCAGTTCGCAAGAGCTTCGAAGCTCATGCCACCAGTAAGGGGCTCAGTGCTGATCGACAACACCGGAAACATCCTTGGTTGGTAGTGATGAAATGCGATGCGCTGCTCGTATCGGTCCCGCGCATCTCATTCGATGACGGTATCTCCTATTCGCTTAAGACCAGGTATTGACGACACACACCATGGCGTCGATTTTGCGGTGAACGATGAGCCATGGAGCTGTAGAATGAGGCGCGCTCTATCATTTTGAAGCTCTGCAACAGGGACGGTTAGAAGTAGAAAATACGACTGACACCTGGGCAACACGAGATGATGTTAGGCGGGAGGGCTAAGCTTCGTCGGATATGAAGCTTGATTTCTCGCTATGAGTTCGACTACCCACAGCTTACGGCTGAAGGTTGCACTTGCTCGAACTGCTGAAGACGGTGCAGATCTCTGAGTGAGTCGCGTGCGCGACTGTCACAGTAATTCTAGGGAAGGCAGACCAGCAGGAAACCGCGAGCATTCCCGGGTGGTCCTCCAAGGAACGCTCCTTCTAGCCCGACTACACTCCGTGGTTGCAGGACCCCTGGAACTTTGTGCTCCAAAGGCTCTTCAATCCTGTTACCTCATAACCCTTCGCGTCGACTGGTTCCATACGCGTATGAACGCACTTCAGATCACATGAACATCGCTACTTGCTACCGCGGACCGATCTAACGATTGTTGTGGTCCAGCCAGAACCCCACGTCATTTTGCTACGCGTGACGGTCATCAAACTGCTGCTCTCTGCTCACTGAAACCAGCAGCTATACAAAACACCAGGTAAGACGGCGCATGAGCATCGCGAGCCTGTCAGTAGTTGAGTGGCCCTACAAAACGTGGATGGATTTGATCGAGGGGTGACCCAGAGACCGGGCACACCCATCTTGATGTGACGCTTGAGACCGCGTCGACTAATTCCAATCGCGAACGACAGATATCGACTGTGCGATCTCTTGATTTTCTTATTCTTACAACGCGATGCCTCACGACTTCCCAGCCCAATCCGGCTTCAACCCATTCTGCTCCCCGACATCCAACGCGACCAAAAACCTACTCACCATATTATAACTCGCCACCGTCGCCGTGATCTCAACCACATCTTTCTCCCCAAACCCCACACTCCTCAACTTCCCAAACGTCTCCTCGCTCACCTTCACATTCCGCGTCATCTCGTCCGCATACACCAACACCGCCCATTCCTGGTCGCTCAAGTCGCCTTGAGACTTTGGATGGAGCTGTTGGACGACAGAGAGCTTGGCCTCAGTGAATCCGTCAGCGGCAAGGAGGATGGGCGCGTGCGCGTTCCACTCGAACCAGGCTTCGTTGATGAGCGCGGGGCGGCAGATGGCGATTTCGCGGATCGCGGCGGGGAGGGCGGTGCGTGTGCGGATGGCGCCGAGGAGGGAGTTCCAGCCTGTTGGCGAAGAGGGGCAGTGTGGTCAGCGGGATGGTCACTAAATCAGAACGCCGGAGAAGGGTTCTGTGGTGTTTGCAACATAACCTACCATCAGTGACGTTGGGCGAGTGCAGGAGGGTGAGATCAAGAGGAATGAGGCCCTTCTCGCCGCGGCGGACGAGAACGCGTTTCAGGACTTCTTCATCCTGCTGTGAAAGATTTTTGGGTGGGTTGTCGGTGTATGGCAGACGCATTGTGCTGGCTGAGGGCCGCGAACTTTATGCGAAGTTCAGGCTAGGCGGGAGACGGCAGGCTGACCGAGTTGTATGACTGTCCTTGAAAGAGCACGATATCGTTTCTAGACCAGGACAGCAAGTTTTGTCGATTTGTCACGTACAGAGTGACCTCAAACGTGTAGCAAAGAAGCTGCCCCTCGGATACCCCGAAATTTATATGGAGGGGGATTTGGAGAACTGGACGGACAATGAAGTCCGATGTAGGAGGAGTTCTATCCTCATCGGCACGTCGCCGAAGTGGCGCACGCAGTACTTACGGCAGCGAACAATCAACTGATGGACTTGACACTCTTCTGATGCTGCTGTGGGCAGGACAGTGCGGTACATTCGTAACATCACAGTGACAGACACGGCACATGTAGTAGGATCAATGCCTGGGTAGCCGCTCGCTCTGCTTACGTTAGAGGCCTCGGCATTGGCATGTCACATTTCGCATGCCAGTGGACACAGCAGTACTGCTGGATGAACGCCATACTATGCAAAGAGTGCATTCTCCCGTGATAGCTGTTTTTGGCACCTCGAACAAAGCTTCAAGGGGTAGCGGTAGCACGGGTACTGTAGCATGAACATAAGCCAAATTCGGCTCCAAATGGGCCTAGTCTTTATCTGAACGAAAGAGGCACCTAACGCCATGCATGTCATCTGCTGCTAATTATCCACATGACGGGTATCGAATGCGCCTTCCAAGTCTCGAAACCCGAGAGCAACCATGTCGGCGATCTCTCGCCTCATTACTTGCCAGTTTCACTTCTTCTGACCCATAGCACGTGAAGTCGAGCCCTTCGCAGCGATAACTTCGCCCGTGTCTATCCTGTTCAAAGCAGTAGCTCGCGCGCTGGCGGTGTCAGCGTCGGCGCCGGCATTGGCAACTAGCTGTCGTCGTTTGCTTTCTACTCTTTCATACTAATCAAAAGCGTCCAGCATCTCAGCCCCAAGTAAGGCCTCGTCGGCAGACTTCGATGCAGACGACTCATGGGAGTCGACAGGTACTTCCGCACTGTCCGAGGTGTTGTCTTTACGCACCGGTGTCTTGTAATCCGAGACCATGTCATCGTCATCAGCGCTGCCCGCATTTGCCGCCACGCTAGCGACATCGACTAAATCAGAACTTATAGGGATCGCTTTTGCTTTCCCCTTTCCTTCATCCCCTGCCGCAGTCGGGGTCGTGACAGGATTGACGTAATTGTGCAGCCGCTCTCCAACCAAGTAGACCTCGTCTCGCACCATTGTCCGCCAGACACTGAGGCGGACCTTCAAGATGGAGCCAAGGTAGACGAGAAGGCCCCAGCTCATAACGCAAGGATAAGCGGCACGGTAGATCTTCATCACCTCTGCCTCGTCTGTAATTTTCCAGCCCTTGGTGGTGATCTTGGCCACAAGAAGTGGCAACAGCAGCAAGACGGTGCAAAGCAACGTAAGCGGGATGATCAACGCTCGCGTGGCTAAGCGGACGTCAAGGTCGCGATATCCGTTGCGATAAATGCTTCGAAGAGCAGCGGCGTGGTACTCGTGCTGACACGGATAGTTCATCGCCGTGCGAAGAATGAGACGCAGGTAGAAGAGGCCGAGCGCCCACGTCTGCAACAGAAACACTGTAGGTGGAATCGGCTGAGACGGAGCAGCAAGACTTGTGCTGGATGGATTGGCCGTTGAAGTGCTGTTGCCTGAGAATCCGATCGTTGCATTGTGTGTGGCATTCGTGTTTCCGCCTTTGAGCAAGTATGTGTAGATAGGAATGTGGATGTAGAGCTCGACGATCAGCGAGAGCGTGAAGGGGATGATGACCCCGATTGAGATGGCGAGATAGAGGTATCGTGCGACGTACGAAGCCATCGCCATGAGTTTGGAGACTACGATCTGCCGTGGTGGGATTGTGTCTGTTGACTTTGCATGGATCCATCCGTAGGTCGACCGTGCAAAGTAAGCAGCGCTTGCGGCAGCGGCCAAGAGATGCAGGCCAATTGTGAGAGCATAGAGGTCATTGACTGGACCCTCGACTTCCAGTAGACGGTGAAGGATCCATCGCCCGATTACCAGAGGTCCAATCGTACAGCCGATGCCAGTACTGGCGGCAAACAGCCACAATAGAATCACACACGTCGCCATTCTGGGCTTGAATTGCGGCGGTAGCCATATCTTCTTGAAGTTGGCGTTGTCTGATCCATGCAAACCCTTTTCGCTGTCAGGGAGGCCGTCGATGCGCTTGTTCTCCTCGTCGACCTCGAGAAAAGCTTTCTGATTCTTGGGAATACGGCAGAAGTCAGAAGCCGGAGCACGAACGTACGTTCCTTCCTTCTCTGGCTGCTCAGACTCATTTTCCTTTCCCATTCGGTGCCAGGACAATACTCCGTTGCGCATCCGAGGTTTCTTCTCATCTTCTCTTTCCTCGCCGAAAAGGAAGTGCGAAAGTCGAAGACCATGAGCAATACCACGGAACCACCATTCATAAACCGCCGAGATCTTTTCGGACGGCTTCAGCTTTCGTATACCAAATTGAAGAACGATATTGAAAAAGACGACGTCGACCGGAAAGGCTAGTTTTGGCGAATTTCCGGTAAAGTGAATCGGTAAGACCGATGTGAATCGTCCAATGCTCCAGACAACTCCGCCGAGGCACATTATGACCAAACCGCCATACACCAACGCGGAGAATGCAATTTTGCCAAGCTGTGTTGGTACAGGCCGCTCAAGAACATCACGAACTGGATGAAACGTAGGATCGTCAGGATCCCGGATGAAATATAGTACACCCTTTCTGAGAATTTTTCGACACATTGACACGAATAGAGCGAAGTGAAACATGTAGCAAGTTCCTGCGAACCAATGCAAGAAGAGTCCGGTGCAAGGAGCCTTGTAGATGAAGGCTAACCGTGTGTTGATCGTAGCACCTTCAAATAAAGGTAGCAACGCCAGATCCAGGAGGAGGCCACAGTAGAGTGGAAATACGATCATCTCGATCCCTATTATGACAATGACCTTCATCACGCCCCCAGCTTCGCGGATGCGGTCAAATACTGAGCCATCCAGCTTCTGGTCCTTTTTCAGGCCCATGACAGCGTGAGCCACTTTCATGAAGATCGCTGCTGAAACGGCAAAGACGATGTAGCCGATGACAACAGCGATTACTTTGTCCGAAGCACTCCAGTGGACCGAAGTTGTAGCAGGTACGTCAGCTTTCAGGGCCTGCTCTTGCGAGGGATAGCTCTTCACACTCAACACATTGCTCAAGCTTCGGGCCGTGGTAACACATGTGTTCGTAATGTAGCCTGGGAGTCGAGGAACGGCAAGAATGAGTGTGTGAACAGCTTTTACAAGCATCGAGGGTGACCGCAGGAGAGCTCCGGTAGTATCGTAAAGGCTCGCAAGTCGCTGTGCAGCTCCAGAGAAGAAAGAAACTATAGAGGCCTTGAAAATCACTAGCGACTTGTGAGACTGTGCAGAGAAGGTGGGCAAATCCGGATTGAACCAAGTGACAGCTCCGGACAGGTTTCGCTCGAGCCTGGATCCGCTCCGTGCTGTGACATTGATCGCGAGTTCTTCGAATGTCTCGACGTCGATCAGGTCGCTATACGTCGGGATGAAAGATTTCGTTATTTGCTTGACGACCTTGGCGAGCATGTTGAAAACCAAGCCGAGTAGTCCGAGGAGGAAGAAGCAGCCATCGGCGATCAGATCAACGGCTCTAGCGATGAAGTAGATCGGACCTCTCACGAACACTGTGATAGGGTTCGTGACCACGATCAGGCCAATCTTGCCCCATATGTAGGGGATCCACAGTGCTGCCGACAAGGTCAAGCTGATCAGTATCAGACTGAAGACAACGTTCTGAACCATGCCGACAATAGGGCCTTCCATGCCTATCAGCTCCAGAACACCCTCAAGCTCTTCCGCATCTTCAAATGCATTTGGATCATTAGCATCGAACCCGGGAGGCATGGCTTCGTCCGGCAAGAGCTGTGGCTGACGCGGTGCCTCTGGTGCGACATGACCATGATGGCCTCCTGCACCAGCTTGCGCAAGACCGTGAGCATTTGTTGCATTGTTTTGTTCATTGGGAAGCTCGTGTGGCAGGTTTCGATGGCGGTCCACGTGTGGAACACCCTCGACGTGCCAGAACCAGTGGCCTAATCTGCCCAGTGGGAAGTCGGCGGCCACTGCAGGTGTATCGTTGTCTTCGCGCTCAACAGCTGGGTCAGTGGAGTTCAGCCGCTCCAAAATTTCGGCCTCGTCGACCGCCGTAGCTTGGCTGGCGCCTTCTGGCGCATCCTCAACAGCACCAGCAATGGCTGGTGCAGCATTTTGTGATGCTTCGCCTCTGACGGACGCCGTGATGTCGCCTTCAGGGGGCGAAACTGGAATTTGGCGCTCAATTTCGATAGATTGACTAAGGGGATCATCTGTCGGAAACTCTAGTCCGGGCGTAGAAGCAGAGGCGTTAGTGGAAGCCGGATGATCTGATGCGTCGTTGGATGCTGTGACTGGATCGCCGTCAACAATTCTTTCTTCGAGCACTCTTCGAGCATCGACGGCGTCGCCAACCATTCCTCTGAGAAGAACAGGCGCAACATCATCTTCACTTTGGAGGGGCGCTGAAGCTGAGATAGGCACTTCATCAATTCCCGCAGTCGGTGTGACCAGGCTCTGTGAACGCACTGGCGCTGCTCTGGGTGGTGCAGAAGCCACAATATTGTCGTCGGTCATGGCACGGGGCCGCAGATTTCTACGAGCGTTGGCAGCCAGTGGGTTGTCAACTGCTGGGTTGTGCACCAGTTCTGCATTCTGGCGGCGGCGTCGAGGCCGGATCAGCGGTCTTTGTACGTCATTCTGGTCTTGTACGTTTATATCCTCCCCATCCGCAGGCTCCGGATTGTTCAGCATTGGTTGCTGGTTGATGACCCATTCACGTATGAGAAAGACCAAGATGAAGCTCGCGACCAGCCCGAGTGATATCATGATGCCTTCCACGATGTCAATGGAGAAGTTGCTCGCCAGCGAAGACGAAGTCCAGAACTCAACGAACGTTCCAGAAAGAAGCGATGACTGCCGTTTCACAGTCGGCTGACGAATCTGTGATGTAGTGTTGTTCGCAGTTGTTGAGGAATCGAACGAAGAGGGAGGTAGCGATAAGAGCAGCCGGAATACTTTCACAAGGAGTCTTATGATGTAAGGTGTCGTCTCAGTCTGCAGACTTGCGTCAGTCGAAGTCGACGTTGCGGCGACTTCAGCACCGCTACCGCTCATTGTCCCGTTCCTCTGGTCAAAGGCCGATCTGGACTCTGGAAGCCAACTTCCATCAGCGAGCCAGAACAGACCTCGCCATACCTGTCGAACGCACCAGGGCAATACCACCAGCCAGATCAGAGTGACGGTGAAGTATCTGGCATAACGTAAGGTTGTCCAAGAGAAGTGAATGATCAATTGGTGTACAAATGTATGGACAGGCAGCACCGATGGCATCGAAGTATCGTACAATTTTGTAAAGCGGAATGGCGTCTTGCATAGCTCGCAGTACTTCTTCTTCGAATGGCTGAGCCACTCCATGAGACACTCCTGATGGACATATCTGATGCTACCACTGCATTTGCAGGGGTAGAACAGAGGTTGTTGGTCTGAGGCCTCTCCGCGACATATTCGACATGTGTCAACGGATTCATCTGTGTCGGCGGCCGCCTCTTCTGATCTCTCGTTCACAATTTCATTGAGGGGTGGTCCTGGCCACGGAGAGTCTGACGATCGGGCTATCGGAACACTGTCAGTGCTAGACGCCATGTCGAGTGTGTAGCAATGGACGAAGAACTGGCTTCCAAAGCAATCGCAAGACTGCCGCCCATGTCTTTAAGTTGGCATGAATGGGATGATGCGGCTTGCAAGTACACAAATGACAGCTGCGAGTCTACAAGTCTGTCGGGGTAGCAAATGTATGGGAGATGCCAGTTATAGATGATGCACTGGTAAACCGCGATGTTGAAAGACTGGCAACGTTGAACATGCAATCGCAGTTTGAGGTCATTCTTGCAAGCCACACCTGCCAACTGTGGCGCTGGCACATGCCAAAACTTGGGGCAGAAAATTGGGTGTGCGTATACCCGCAATCCCCCAATCTTTCACCAACTTCCATACCCCTTCGTGCTTGACTACCACTCACCTATCTACACAGGCAGCATTTCCTCCCAGCATTAATGTATCCTGCCAGCATGGTTCAAGTCGCCAATCCATATCTCGTGTCTTCTTTGCTAATGGTCACTTTCGAAGAAGAGGCTGTGAAAGCGATTACGACTAGAACTTCCTATGTGGACATGTTCAGCATGGCACAGCGGGTTCGTATCACTTAACGGTGGGCAGCATAAGGAACAGGTACGCACATTCAAACCGACATACAGTATTCGATTCGTGTAGGTAGGTTATGATGCGAGCCAACCATAGTAGCATCTACTCGCCACTTGGACGATTGATCAGACCTTCCAAAGCTCAATAATGCAAGCCTGAACCCGTTGGAAACCCCACAGCTCTTGCCTCGAGAAATCATCACCAAGCCTCCCGGCCAGCTTGAATAGCGTGTTGGTACTACTTTCACATCTATTTCAACTTGCGGCAGGAGCGATGCCCGGATACCCAAGGATCTGTCCTACTACGACGATCGGTCTTTTGGCTACATTTCTGGTCCTATGTCGAAGCACAACCTTCAAGAAGACTTTCATTGCGAGCATTGGTGCGATCTTATCTTGTATCGTGAACCTGGTTATGTACCAACGAGTACTGATCAGTGATAGCGCCTGGTCACCCAGTTCCGCATCGCAGACTCACATGAGACGTGCTACTAGTCTCACGGCCTCACAGCAGCACTCATTCGGACCACATACGATCCTATCTCTCGCGCGACCGGGCGTCCCTCTCATGTCTTCGCAGCAGCCTCCTTTCCTCTTTTCTTCGCGTCTTCTCTTCTCTCCTCAGCGTCCTCGCCTGTTCAAGATGATCCTTCCACGACCTGGCTTCAATTACTTTGTACATCTCCGGTTTGTGCTTGCAAGTGTCACAATTCCAGGCAGGCCTAGCTACCCAGCTTTGGGCGGCGCGCCACGCCGCCTGAGCTTGCTTATGATGGCGCCGCAGGTCCGCAATAATAGGTTTGTCGGTAAGGTCGTCATAAAAGTAGTCAGCAAAGACGCACTCGCGCGCTGGCTTGCGCGGTGGCCAGTGAAACAAGACATAGTCTTTTATCGGATCCGGTGAGTGCGCTTCTTCCGCTGGTAGAGGAGTCAAGTCCTCTGTCGTTACCGCGGGCTGAGGTTTTACAGTCCTTCGAATCTTATAAAGCGAGGATTGTCCACGGATCCCGTAGTTGCGGGTCTCGATACTGCTGACCGTTGAAGAGGACGAATATCCGTCGTCATAATCTTCGGCAGCCCGACTGAGTTCCCATTCTTCGACATTATCGTACCAGGGGAACAAGCGGTTGAGCTCAGGATCCGCGGAAAATGCTTGAATTTTCGGCAGCAGATCCGGCTCTGAGGCTATGCGTTGGATACGGGCTGCATCGTAAGCTGCTTTGCTGACTGGGTTGCTAAGGGTTGCATGAGCCTGCTTCAGCAGATCTAGGAATTCGGTGATCCCATCGAACGTGCAAGGAGCCCAGCGGCGCGACTGCTTGAGGTATGCGGAGTTCAGATGACCGATGGTGCCAGCGGTGATTCCAAGGATGTTGTAGTAATCCTTGCTAACATCAAAAGCAATGATGGTGGTCTTCTTGTTGGCCTCATAGCCGGGATAGGCAGTCTTCATGTTGGCTTGTTGTTGTGGCACGAGGTGACACTGGCACTGCGTTGTCTTTTGTAGTGCAGACTGGCGTTCCCAGCTCAGAGAGCAAGACAGGCATAGCTCACATCTGATGCACTACCCCATGGCCGCGATCGTCGGAGTGTTTGAGATCTTGCAAGCGAAATGGTGGCCGCAGAGGTTGGCGCTTAAGTGTCTATGTCCTTCTGGCATTATGCACTGGCCTTGGCATAGGATCCGGGGTAGTCACAATTGCGTTTCGCCGGCCAGCGGTCCCCATATGTTCGTCCACACCTCGACACCACATATGCTGCTTTCAGACGCAACAGGGAGAAAGTGGCCAAGGTGCACGCCACGGCCGCAGATAGCCCAGCAGCTACAATAGTCGCCTATGAAAGCTTTCTACACCGGGTCGCCAGCAGCAATCTGATACAATCCCGCGGATTGCGAGACGCACTCATCACTATAGCTGGCGGGACTCAAGCGTGACGAGCTTCTCTAGCCGCCGAAGGACGGTGGTCTTACGGCAGACCGGGTGACTAGATTGTGGTAGAGCTTACTATAGCCGGATGACAATCAATGTCGAGACCGGATGACAATCGACTCTACTTGGAACCGGATGATATGCATTCCTTAGTGGGCGGCGACCATGGCCGACTTTCACCACGGCAACCAGATATAGCAAGGCCTACATGGGGACTTAAAGCGCCTAGGAAGCATCAACACGGGAGACGACGGGCAGTAGCAACTGGGGACGCAGCTTCGATGGACTTGTGCAAATCATCCGAGATCTACCAAGGATATAAGCACAAGTGCTGATCCGTTCGCCACTCGGCCCCATGAATCTCACCTCTATCTTCGCAAGCTCACATCAATGACGATACATCAAGATCGGCGTGATGACGGCAGGCGGTGGCACATGACCAGCGGGCTCCTCAAGATCCAGATCCAGACATTACATGGAAACGAAGGCTGAATCGCATGGGTTCAGTGTCAATCAGATAGATGACTATATACACATGTACAACAAAGAACTGCAAACGCTGGAACGCTTGACTTAAGAAACAGGGCCGTTCGTCCGTGACTGCCGTGTCCTGGACGAAGATGCTGGTGTCGTTATACAGTCCTCCTCTTGCATAAGTCTGTCTCCATAGATCCCATCACTACATGGCGCGTCTGCTCTGTGTCAAGCCTGTCTCCTATTCAAACATGTGTATCGTGCAGAAGTATCAAAGTGTGTCGGTCTGGCGTCAAATGTCGCAGAATTGTACTCGTCAGGCGAGATCGAGTTTACTCCTCCATAAGCGCATCATCTTCAGGTGCTTGCCACTCTCTCGATTGCTCGATGAGACGCTTAATGCCAGAGATCCGGTTCGCCCACAGCGCCTCTGACGCTGATCGATATGTGAAAGCGCGTTGACTTGAGATCACGCCGATAGCTTGAAGCACAGCCTTGCGGGAGTCCCGCGAGAAGACGGCAGGATGGTTGATCCACTCCAGGCTAGCCTCGAGTTCAGCATCAAGTGCGCTCATTGTCTGAGCGTCAATGCCGGAAGCACGGGCAATTGGTGTGCTGGACTCGGAGTGAGGGCTTGCATCGCGCAAGTGGCGGTCTGGAGTGCCGTCTCGCGATCCATTGTTGATGCCAGGAGGCTTAAGGTCTGATGGACTGTGTCTTTTGCTGCCGTTCTGTCCGTTGTGTGGAGGTAGAGGTGGAAGTCCACCCTTGCCGAGACCTTTGAGAATGGTCTGGGTTTCCTTGAGCAAGTGATGCGCCCGGTCTGGAGGTCCGCGAGCAACGAGTGTGAGTGCTCGACTCAGCATATCTGAAGTCAGCAACTCCATGCGCCTTTGCACAACATGAGGATGCGATGGTATGGGTGGCGTTGGCGGCCGACCGGGCTGCGGTGATCTCGAGGACGCCGGTAGCATTGTGATGGCGAGTAGAGAAGGTCGCGAGAGGTTGACCACCGATCCATCCTTCAAGATGTCGCCATACGACAGATCAGCTTGCAGAATCGGCAACTCCTCAACACTTTGGACGCGTGAGTCATCGTTGTCTGCAGCGCCGCCCAAGGCTTCGAGTCCAGAAACGATAGACTCCCAAGCATCCTGCGGAGCCTGCTCGTAGGAAGTGCTGTCGGCTTCGATCGCTAGTTGGACAAGAATATCACGTTTGTCGCCGAAGTGAAGATCGCCGAGGCAAGCCTCGGCTTCGCGGCCAGTCGCCCGCTTCGTCGTCTGCAGTGCACGTGACTTTGACGAATTTGGCTGGCGAGCCCTCGGGTAGCTTCAGGCGGACTTTGACGTTCTGGTGCGAAGTAGACTGCAATGCGCCGAGGACGCCAGCAGCACACTCTCGAAGCATCATCCAATCTTTGACGTAGATGTAAGAGCCCTTGGTGCGGGTTGATAGCTCAATCATGCTTTCGGGTCGATGCGATGTACCGAGGCCGAAAGAGTAGATGCCAACTCTACAGTATTGTTAGTAATATTCCATGATCAAGATCCAAGATTGACTTACTTAGCAGCTTCAGCTCTCTGAACCACGAAATCGACGCTTTCGATATCCGGAGCAGACGAATCGCTGACTAGCAGAATCGAGGAAATTGGGTTAGCAGCCCTCCGTTGCATAAGCAGGTCCATGGCCACGTTCGCTCCTTCCACAACATCAGCTCTTAGACTCTTCTGGCCGACTGGCCTGATCTGGTTCAGGATCTTGTTCCAGCCAGGCCAAGTCTTGGTGGTCATGCCAACAAGGGGCACACCACCGCCGCTCGAGCCGAATGTTACAAGACCCATGCGATCCCGATCGCCGAGGCTGGACACCATGAAACGAAGAGCGTCTTTCAGCAGCTGGATCTTTAGGCCCTGCATAGAGGATGAGACAGGGACCACAACCACGACATCCACAGGAACGTGTGGCGAGGACGGTATCCGGCGATCGCTGAGAGGCCGATGTGAAGAGTACTCCGTCGGAGCAGTTGTGGCAGATTTGGGATTGCCATACGACGAAGCCGTCGAGTTGGCTCGACCGACACCACGTGAATAGCGGCCATACTCCTCGTCATCTGTGCCCGAGTTGTCCAGGTCATAGTCTGGTATCCGGTAGGTCTGCGGCGGGCTGTGCAGATCAAGCAGGGCTCGGTGCCACAATTCCAGCTGGCCGAGATCCTGGAACTGCAAGTGGAAGGTTGGGAGCTCGTTGACGGACAAATTGAGTGTCAAGATCTGTTCTGACAAGACAGGCTGGACTTGCTTGAGATGCTTTTTGATGAGGATGGAGCCTTTCAGAGTGCATCTCGACAATTTGCGGCCAGAGTCACTGACGATAGGTGGCTGATTTGTCTTCTTCTCCTTGACGCAGATAAGCATTTCGCCAAAGAGGTAGCATTCCAGTTCCTGCCATGATTGTCGATCCTTGCCAACGCGCACAGTGCCATGCAGGCGTAGTGAACCGAATCGTTGGAATTCCAGTCCGTGCCAGTTATCGACTCGCATACGTAGTTCCTCGGTGGTCTCCTCCAGCTCTTCCGGCGACTCGAATGGCTCGAATGGTTGGACGGGCTCAGGTCGCACAGACTGATCGGAGACCCGCACTGCGGCTGAGTCTGATGGCAGCGGCGGAACGGGTGGCGCGTTGTGGAGATCATCGAATTGCCATTTGTGCTCTGGGACCTCAATGGTGACAAGACAAGCAAGACTCTGTTGTTGTCTGGAACGCGTCATAGTCGGAAACTCACTGCGAACAGTGATCGTTGGGGCCGGAATGGAGGAGCGACTGTCCTTGGTTACCGAACCTTTCACACTAGTCTCCATCGCATGCAAGTCGTAGTCGTGTTTTCGTGGGTGTCCGTTTGCTTCATGCGCATAGTCATTAGATGAAGCATTGCCACTGTTGTTTCGTGAATGTGCTGAAGTCTGATGCCCATGCCCAATCCCTAACCTCTCAATGCGCAACCGTTGGCTGTCGCGACTGTCGCGGTTCGGGTTCTCCCTGCTGTTGCGGCTGTACATGTCTCGGGAATTAGAGTAAGTATGAGTACTATACGAATCATCTTGCGGTGGCTGTTGCTGCTGTGGCTGTTGTGTTGGCGCTTGGCGGTCCCATGGCATTGGTGTGTTGAGCGACCTATCATCTCTCATCTCCTTCTGTGCAACGGATCGCACTATATTGCTCAGTTTGCCTGCGTGTGTCAGTAGGTCACTGATCAGTAGCCAATCGAGATACTTACTGAGATCGAGTATGCTTCCGCCCCGGAAGGTGTCAAGACCCAGGGGAGCGTCGCAGGTCGGGCAATATTGCGACTGCGCATCAACTTCCTTGATGTACTCGTAGAAGCATGCCTCATGAGCCACATGTCCACAAGAGAATTGTAACACTCGCTCTCCTCTCAGTGTGTGCTCAAGCAACTCTTCACATGCTGCGCATTCGCTTCCCACGAACGTTCTCTCCCTCCTGGACCTCGATCGGTCATTGTCCAACATACTCGCCATGGGATGGCCAGCCCCGGGTACGTGACCCACGGACGGTGAATTCGGAAGGCGCTGATCTTTGGTGGTCTGATATGCGACTGGTTTCTTTCGATGCTGCTGTGGTTTGTATGGACCGTTGTAATTTCGTGAGGAGGATTGCTCGGAGGTCGCGTGCGACTGGGTGTTTGAGGAAGACCCAATGCCTCCACGACGACGAGCAGCGTTCTCTTCTATTCAACCGTGGGGTTGGAAGTCAGTCGAATGTCTTTGCATTATTGAAACATATCTCGGGAACCAGGGTCTTCGATATGAAACAGCACAAAGCAAGGTCTTACGTTGTAGACTTGTGGAGGGTTGAGTTCCAGTGCCACGGGATTTGTCTCTCGGGCGACTCAAAAGTCCCAGATCATAGAGATTCTGTTCGGTCTGCTGGGCTACTTCGTCGCTGATGTGAAAACGGTCGTGCTTGGTCATATGGCTGGAGGCAGACCAGACATGTCCTGATGGACTATTCGTGGAGTGTGGGATTTGCAGTAGCGTGCAGCAATCTCAATGCCGTCGCAGAATACAATAGAGCAAGAGTCATCCACACTGGAGAACCACGTGGATACAGGTTGTTTTCTGTCCCATCAATTGGTGGCGGAACCAGTTCGGGGCCGTGGCATCAGCGTTACAATCTGTCTTAACTAGCAGTCGGTAGCAGTCGGTACAGCACGCTGATGAAGACGAAGAGATTGAGGTGGGACTCGACGAAGGTAATCTGACCTTGTCTAGCATCTTTCTTGACGTGCCTCGGTGGGGAATACAGCTTTACCAGCGTGCAAGCCAGGCCTCTAGGTCGACGATCGTTCAAGACGCGGCGTTGTATGCGCTGCATGGTAATGGAGTCTTCTAGCAGGGAGCTAGTCTGCCATGAGGTTGGAAACGCACTGGAACAGGGAATGCCCGGGACTCGAGAAAAGATGCGGCCCACTTCAGGGGAGCGCCCACGTCCCGCGATAGGGTCATTCATTAGCTTCTTCGACCAAGACGACATCTCTCACGGGTCACATCAGTTGCGTCCCTCTGGGCTATTGACAGCCGGGCAGTCGCAATCAATACTTCGTAATTGCGACACCAGCACAATGCGATTGACATGTTCAATCTCCCCATGCAGCTTTCCTCAGAAACAATTGAGAAATTCGCGATTCGGAACCCTGGTCAACCAAGAAAAGCTGCTGAAAAGCCACGGGTCCAAGGCGGGCAGGGGTACGTCTTTGCAGCAATTCCCGGTGCCTGCCTGCGCCAGCTCCAGGGGCGACTTTGATCCTTATGATGCCTGAAAGTTGGGCTGCACAACTGTAAGTTCTCAAGATCCGTAGCACGGGTGGCTTGTTGCCTGCAGGGACGCTCGTCGACCTTCGAAGCGTCTCGAGGTTGTTTGGAGAGCACGGCAGAGACTTTGGAGATTCGTCCCGTGAGCAGAGGTTCATGCTTTAGAGGCACCTGACTGGCACCGGAGAGAAAGATGGTTCTGAAGAATGGAACAATAGGCAGGTAAGATTTCGCGCTACGGGAATGCACAATTGGCTTCCGCCCAGGACTCCCGTTGACAAGAGCCCGTCACGCAAGTAAATGGATTTTGCGTCATTTGATCGCTATGGTTATTTTCATTAGGCAGAGTCGAAGTACCTGTCGATCTGTAGGTACTTATGGTTCAGGGTCAAAGTACTTTGCTGAGCGATGCTCAACTGCAGCTGGCCGATACCTGCCAGCACCTTAAGCCATAGCCAGAGCGCTCCAGCATCGCATAATCCCCATGCCTGCCTACCTATGCAGGTAATGACAAGTTGGGACTTCAGAATACCGTCCCTGAAAGCCATGCAGTCCCGAGGTCATGACAGGGGCCCGGCTTCCGCTGCACTGGTCCAGCTCGTGGTGTTCCAGGGGTTGGTTTTTGGGGCTTGTTCCAGATGTTTGCTATCCTCGACTGCCGAAGCAGCAAACCAATCAATTGTGCGGGTATCTGCTTCTACGTCAATGGCTTGAGTTTCTTCCTGCCGCACATGTTTCTGTAGCCTGTCTTGAGAACTACAAAGCACCAAAGTCATCAGGCTTGCGTTGACCAGCAGAAGGCAACGACGAGACCACAGACCTGCCGGCATACTTGCCAGCCTCGTGGATTGGGCTTGTGGCTGCCATGTCCTATGGTCCAGCAGCCGCGTTGAATGCGAAAAAGCGCCTCGAGTCAATGCTGAAATTCCATCTGAATTCCTCGGCTTCCCAACGTCCATCAAAAACAAAGCTCAACATGCAGCTGCAACTACCGAAGTTGCGCAGTACTCGGTAGTGAAGGACTGATCGACTGTCTTTGAAGCTATACATGCAGCCTTTTTGGACTATTGATGAGTCTTGCCTCACTGTACGGTTCGCAGTGGCTCCTGCTGTTTCAAGAACAGAGGTAGCCTCTCGCTACAGGCGCAATGGGGTGTGCATGGGTTTGTGGGCTACTAGGTATCCAATAGGAACAGCGTAGGAACATAGGTACCCGTCGTTGGCAGAGGCTTCCCGACTCGTACTTAACGTCTTCTCATATCATCAGTGCTGTGAACGTCGTCATGTGGTCGGTGAAATGCTGTGATAAGGATGTAGCAGCGGGCATTGTCAGTGTGCGAAGTAGCGTCTTGCGGACGATAACTACACGCAGTTCTCGAACACGGATGCTGGTCGCAAGTTCCAACGGTTTTGAGTCCACTCCTCTGACCCCGGATGCCTGACAGATCCCAAACGGCGGATCTAGCATCTCTCTTAAGTGTCATCCAGATTCCCAGTCTCCCGGCTGCTGGACCACTACCGGTAAGAAAGCTCAGGCTTCCGAGCGCTTGGGTACATCCTTGCTCACAGAGGCGCGAGGATGGTGGGCTCTCCCAACATCATTTACCTAATGGCTGGTCGTTCATCGACAACTATCAGGATCGCTTGGACAACGCACGGAATCTGTTCGCTCTCACTGTCAGGCGATGGATCTCAACTGAGCCAAAACATTGTTTGCTAAGGGAGCAAACCTGTGCTGCCAAAGTTTCAAGATAGAGCACAGCTGTGTAACTTTCTAACAAGCTCCAACAACGATCGCCCTTCCGGAGATGAAGTCCATCTCGAGCCCCCAAGCCTTCCTCTTATTGAGATGAATATAGGATGCTATTGTTTCAAAATCACACAAGTAACTTGGCCCAGGGAGCCTTCTCTCAGGTCCAGCCAGGACTTTCGCGTCGGCAGATCGAATACTGCAGATCTGAAAGTTCGTCTCATAACCGTCAAGCTACATAGATCAGCTCGTGCAGTTCCAAAAGCAAAAGTCGCTTACACTACCGAGGCCATAGCTCTCGTAATTGTTCGTACGATTTGTGGATCTGTAAGACAGCTCCATCCCCAAGCTCATGCCCATGCCCATGCTCCCGCGGACCTGCGCTACAGAGATGTAACAGTGCCCGGCCTCTTCGGTAAAAGAAGAAGTCTGGGCACTTCAACACATCAGCACTGTAACTCCAGGACATTCAATTGTCGCAATTGCCGATCACTGTTGATCGCATCAGAGCCATGGAGTAGTGAGGCATTAGCAATAAGGCCTTGTCAGATTGTCCTGCCGATCTCTTCATGACTCCGCGAACGTCTGGAGCAGACGAACTGGTGCACGCAACTGGATTGCACATCACAATTGCGCGAGTCAGAGCCTTGGAGTGTTTGTACTGCTCCGCCTAGCGGACTGAGCATGGGCGGAAGCGATTCTGTCTCATCTTTACAAATGCTTCCCTGACGAGACACTTCGATAGCAGGCACATGCGCCCAAAAACTCTACCTAGACGACCTTTTCTACCTTTCTGCCACGTTCACCGGGCATGAAACCCGTGTGAAAGATTCTACTACAGCACTTCCTCGAAACGCTCCGGTCAAGCTGATGTCAAGTCTGAAGATCCCGGTGCGCAAGCGAAGCGAGGACTCCGACAAGAGATCTGCGCTCACGTTACACAGCACCACCGGCATGTCATGTGCTCGATTGCTTGTTTCGATGACAATAATTGTACCGCATCTGTATCTGTGCGTAATCTGCGTCGCGCCCTACCTAGAATTCGCCGAACGTATTCCGCTGGCACGATAGCGATGGCAGCGGCTCTGTCCAAGACCAGACTGATTGCCTACTGTACGTAATACTGGCTTTCACGGCACTGCAGCCTGTAGGTTTAGGCGTGGGTTTGGAGATTCTCCGTGGCACCACCGCGATCTGCGACTGTCCAGGTCATTTGCATATCAGATGGAGAAGGAACACCTGAGAGTCGTCGCTGCTGCCATGAGGGGCGTCGGCAGGTGCGTGCGCATGAGCGGCAAGCTGCACCTTCTCACCTCAATGAACTTGACTTGCCTCTCTGAAACGTTGCTCGCTACCTAGTACTACCTCAGTCTTCAAGCAATGACCTGCATCATACTCAATGCCCAAAAGACATCTTCGCCGATCGCAATGAGGCGACTAGTGCGTGCGTGCCTGCACAATGCAAGGTAAGAGTGCCTTAGACTGATGCAGCTGTACTGACGCCGCAAGTCGGAGGTTTTCCGTAGCCGCCAGACTACTGCGACCATTTTCCGCTTGACTGGTGACCAGCTATCTGGGCTGCAGCTGCATCATCGATGTATTCTACCATGCTGCTGTATTCCGCAACGGCAGACATGGACATCAGCGTCCACGCGGCCATCGGCAATGGCATAGATTTCAAGGCACGCGGGTCACAGCTCAAGCGTCCGAGCAAATGCCTCAAAACGTGCATGCTGGAGACCACCACGTGCGGTAACATTCTCGAAAGACACCAAGAGCGTCCTCTCCAGCTGGCCTACTACCAAAATAAGTCGAGTCTGCGCCGAACGAACACCCTGTCGCCGTGTTGACAGCGACTACTGTATCATGTATGGTCATGGAGCACAACAGTTAAGACGCTGAAACATGCATCTAAAACACAAGACTGCCACGTGCCTGGCCTTATTCCTTCTAGAAGGACTATCGAAGGACTTGGCTCGGGCCTTGTCATGCACATTCTTACAGCTGAGAGCCTGAGATTCGCTCGACGTTGGTCGATGCACCTTCAAGACGCACCACCGACGCAATCATTGAAATGTCACTAATGGCGTATTTGCGATTCAAGACCTTGCCGTCGCAGCCATGATGTCGGAGCTCGCGGAGCAAGAAATGTCGGCCCCCATTCGCCTCAGAGTCGCCAATCTACAACGTGGCTTTCTATGCCCAAACCCAAACCCAAACTATCAGGTGTCGACATCTGCCAATACCACACATTCGGCATATGATCGACGCTGTCAAAATATCCAGATGCCACCAATTTTCGGAATACGACCGTACCCCTGAAAGCCTATCTCGAAGTCTCGACAGAGTCAACTTTCACAGACTCACGATCAGCAGGCGTTAGGCATCAAAAGCATGAAAGTACGGCCCCTTTCATGCCGCCCACGCCTAGAGTGCAGATCTCGGAACTCACCCAGCAAAAATACTCGGATACACCCACGCTTTTGTACCTCGACATTGCTGATCAACGTTCGATACTTTCTGGTAAGCGAAAGTATACGCGCTGACTTCCGGAATCATTGCACAAGCGGGCGTCTTACCTCATCTTGTGCAAATACGAGTCGCGGGTACCAGTTCCAAGCGAGCGGTATGCACGAGCGCGTGGACCTTTGCCAGGGTCGTCAGCAGGTATTAATTCCTGCACGAGCTGCCATCCGAACTCACGGAGCACGGCGCAGACCTCGTGCATGTCTGCTCACGGCTCGGGCACTCGCCTGATGGGAAGAAGCAACTCGAGCCTCGTCAATTTGTTTGTGTTTCCGGATATCTTGCTTTCACGGAACAGACAACAAAACATCACCGATTCGCCACTAATCTATCTCCTATCGGCCGCAATTCCAGCCTCACCCTGACCGCCTAACAAGCCCCTAGCCTCCTCGTCCCTCCTGTCGCGAGCTTCACGTCGCCTTCAGGCCCATCATCCTCCCGGATAGGCTGCTCTCTCAGCACCCCAGTTCCAGCCACGAATCGCTGGTTCTTCCGCGCATCCTCGGATGCGTTGAGAATCCACCAGACATCCTTCTTGGTGAGGATGCCCTTGAACGCTCCCCTGTCTACCAGAAGCAAGTTCCTCAGTCCGAGGGACTGAAACATGCTGACGGCAAGCTGGAACGTGCTGTTGACATGTAGGGTGATGGGTGTGTGGTCCATCCAGGGCCGCAGGTCTAGCGAATTGGTCAGATCTGTTCTGTTCTTGGGCTGGCGGAAGTAGCATTCGATATCCTTCCGAGTATTGGTGTTGCTGGCGTCTCGCTGGGCTACGACGGCGTATTCGAGCGCAAAGGCAAGTTCGGTTCGTGAGATGTACCCGAGGAGGACGTTCCGCGCTGCTGCTGCCGGACCAAAGGCCTTGCCCTTGCCCTTTCCATTGCCAGCCTGACTCGCGTCCACAATGACCGGGAACCCGCGAAAGCAACTTTTTCCAGAATCGCCTGCAACGTGCCAACAGTGTAAGTCCGCGATGCGTCGAAGCAGGTCATGTCTGCCAGCTCAGTCATGACATTCGATACAGGCACATGCGGAATCTTGGTATCGTCCTTATTGTCCAGGTAAGGATACTCGTTGAGATAGATCCAGGCCTCGTAGATTCCCCGTTGCGAGATAGCATCGCCGATCCACTTCGCCAGCATGACTGCGATCATGATCGGTAGAACATAGGACAGCGCGCCGGTGAGTTCGAACATGATGACAACGATGGACACTGTCAGGCGCGTGACGCCCGCGAGGGACGCAGCGGCGCCGACAATCGCGTATGTTCCTGGAATAACGCACGCGGTGTCTGGCTCACAAGCCGAGAAGATGATTGAGGTAGGCAAATGGCGATGTAGCATCTCGACAGCGATGCCGACGGCGCGTCCGGAGAGAGCGCCAATTGCCAGGGAAGGCAAGATGATGCCCGCAGGGATAGGCAGACCGAGCGTGATTGCCGCGAGAAGGAAGCCCAGGCCTGCGGCGGTGATGAGGAGTGATGTCATTGAGAACGATCCCGCGGCCGTGGCTCTGCAGAGACCAAAGGAGTCCGTGTTGCCTGTCACAGCGCAGTCGGAGAATAGCGTGTTGAGCAGCTCCGGGAGCTGCGCGCGCATGAATATGTTGGGGAAGTTGACAACCGCGCTCACGGCTGCAATCAGGAGGACTTCCATGAGTTGTTTGTCTCGTAGAGGGTTGTGCTCTGAGCGTCGAAAGCGGGTGACAGCCATGTTCAGATGGATGAATAGCCCACCGTAGAGCCCGCCGATGATGCCCAAGAGCACGAACGGGAGGAGCTCGAAGCTATGCCAGTCGCTGGAGTGTGTCACCTGGAACAGCACGATCTTCCCCGTGTGAAATGGATTTAGGGCCTGGAGAGACACGGCGGCGACCATGGCGCAGACGAAGGACTGCCACATGGTTTTGTCGGGGAAGTAGTAGGACAGCTGTTCAAGAGAAAAGAGGACGCCGCCGATGGGCGCGCCAAAGGCGACGCTGATCCCGGCTGCGGACGCCGCAGAGAGGACTTCGCGCTTGCGAGCTTCGTTCTGGGACAGGGTGGAAAAGGGCTTCATGATGATGTTGGCGCAGCAGCACGCGACGTGCACCAGTGGCCCTTCCTTCCCAACCCACAGACCCGATGAGACCGCGAGGCACAGGCCCAGGGATTTGGTGAGAAGCGTCCAGCCTCCCAAAAAGCGGCGGATGACGAATCCTCCGAGAAGGGTCTTGATCTCTGGAATGCCGCTGGATTTCGCGTAGGGGGAGTAGGACTTGACCAGGAGTGCGGCGCTGAGGGCGAAGACGATCGCGAAGCAGACGAAGAGGATGAACTCGATCGTGTAGCCCACGCCAGCATTTGACAAGCCCATAGCCTTCCGCCAGGGCGTCCAGTCGACGCACTCGGCGAGGTCGTTGTGACCCCAGCAGCAGAATTGTCGGCTCATGTAGAAACCACCGCCACCAGCGGTATCGAGATCCGTCTTGCAGTAGCCCAACTTAATGTCACCCAGCCAGTCGCTTGCGATGCTAATGGCCGCAGCCAAGAAGCCGACGGAGACGCCGGTGAGGACGAGGACAACCCAGACGTGGGAGGCATCGGCGAGTTGCTTCAGGGCGCGGGTCAGGCCGTGAGAAGAGGTGGTGAGGAGGCGTTTGAGGCGGGCGCGTTCTTTCGCGTACTCGAAGATCCAGTCGATGGCGGAGAGGTCGTCGTAGCCTGCGCCCGTGCGGTGGAAGGTTGGATAGGAGTCTATGTAGGAGTCTGTTGGGACATCTTTGTTGTCTGAATCGGGATTGTGGTGTTGGGTATGGGAGAAGCCATCTGAGGTGCCATTCCTGCGATGCCGGGTAGTGGTTTCTGTAGGTTCGAAGGCTGCGGCTTTCACAGGGGCGACAGACGGGATCTGCCCTATCGAAAGGTCTCCAGTGTCATCTTCATGGAGCAAGCCCGAATCGTAGTCGCTTTGGTCGAAGAAGTTGCGGGACGAGCCCGCCATAACGCGGACGAGGTGGGCGACGCACGTCGCTTACGGATCATTGGAACATTGTGCGGGCTGTTGGCTTCACACGCGCCCGGTTCGAGTCAGTCTTATCATTGTATGATGCAGTGTGGTGTGATCGAGGGAACAGGAAACCAGATCGCAGTCCGCAGTCCGAACGAAATGAACTCCAGCAATTTACCCCAGATTCTGGGTGAAGTCTGGTCATCCGGTTTGGGCTTATTCGGAGCCGGTTGACTGCAGCATATCCTGTTTAATCATCCATTTCATTACTTCCTACAAAGAAGTGAGCTATAACTCTCATTGAGGCTACTGTCGCTCAAGTCACCACTTTTCTCAACTCGTGCCTCAGAAATCGCTGCGTGTGTTGTCTTCAGCCCTAGCTATGAACGTGTGCAGCTATCGTCGAGACTTATACTTGTGCCTCCGAGCCCATCTGGTGTGACACTTCTACCGATGACGCGGCATGGGCGTCCACGTGTATCTCAAGCTTCTACATGCTCAGACGGATCTTGTTCAAGTCTTTGTCCGCTTGCGACTCACAGACAGGGCAGCGGCCAACTCGTCCTCAACCGCGATACATGGGAAATGCCTATAGAGCGTGGGCATCTGACGACAATGCTCTTCGGTCACCAGGTAGATGGGAGATTCTCTGGGGAACCTTCCCCATAACTTATTGCTGTATGAGACAACAAGGAGCGCTTTGTCGAAGTTCGAGTTATCGAGTATGAACTTGATCATTCGCAGGTCATTGACTCTGTACTTCGTGCTCGAAGTTTCCGCGTCTTTGCGAAATCTTATGTTGATCTCAACGCGACTGAGGCCTGGAAATGTGGAGAGCAACTGTCTGAACCATCTTTCACGCTCGCTTCCTGCCATCGTCAGGGACATTGCGATCCTGAGGTCGCAGACCAGCTCAGCGAAGAAAGGCCTCATGACACCGAATACACATGTAGCATCAATATCAGCTGCGTCCATGTGATTGACAGGTCTTCGCAAAATCTCCTGCCGCATCAGACGGCAGGAACGACTCAGGTTGAACATCGCCCGCGCTGTTGGTATTCTCTTGGACGCATCAGGCAACGCCCACCCCATATCGATCTGCATCTGGTGAATGAAGGCCTCGCGACGACTGCGTTCGAAAGCAGCGGCGACAGCTTCGACTTCGGCGAGTCGGGCCAGCCTCTTGTATCTGAATAGTTCCCCAGAAGATCTGGGAGGGCCCCTCAGGAGTATGATGATGCCACGATCGAACCTGGGCTCGAGTTGTTGGTAGACATTCAGGCGAATCTCGGGCGGGAGATCCTGAAATCTGAATGGTGCCATGATTGATGATGGCACGGCGGATCCTGATAGAACGGTAGAGTCTGACGGCGTGGCTGATTCTGATATCTTATTGGAATAGGGATCTGCCATCTCGCGGATGTGATGCTTCGAAGTCGGATGACAGCCCTGGAAGTCTTGATCTGATGGACGAAGCTTAGGCCGCTGTAGAAATAGACGAGGTGCATGAAGGAGACACAAGAGAGCGACCTCTTGTGTCCGGGCCTCGGATAGGCACACAGAAAGATAGCAGGCAGTGACAATCTGCCTCAGAGTTGCCTGCCTCGTGGCGTCACACACAAAGACTTCATGCCCCAAAATCACCTACCTGCCTTGTTTCACGGAGCTTTGTCACTGTCTGACGAGGTGCGCGAGGATGAACTGCAAATAAAGAACCCCGGGTGATGCTCGAATTTCCCTCCCTGGTCGGTGTCATCCTTGCCCGTTATCACAGTGACCGTCACCTTGACCATCGCAGCATGAACAACTTCAAGCTACTTGACCAGAACCCTAACACCGTTGCTTCCCTTCTCCGGCAGCGGTATCAAAAAGTCCAAGACCGGATCAATATCCTTTCGCGTCGTCTCATACAGCTCGAATTGAAACCTCCTGAAGAGTGTGGCAATGGCGATATAGAGCTCCGCATATGCCACGTTCATCCCCATGCACCTTCTAGCTCCCTTCGAGAATGATACCAGATACTTGTGTAAATGCTTCGACTCTTCTCCTTTGAGCCATCTCTCTGGATCGAAGCGATCTGGATCTGGGAATATGCCTTTATCATAGTGGATGTGTCTGGTAGACATGCCGATAATGGTGCCCTTTGGGATGACCCATTGCTTGTAGGTCATATCCTCTTTCATGTTTCGCCTGCTTATCCTCAGCATTTGGCCGATCGAAAGTCGCAAGCTCTCCGAGATTACGGCTGAAAGGTAGGGCAGCTTCTCCAGCTCCAGCCAGGTTGGCATATCCTGAGCGTTCGGACATGCGTTTGAGAGTTCTGCCAGTAGACGCTCATGTACGTTGGTGTTGGCCAGAGTATGGTACACCGCTGTCTCGAAGGTATACGCCGTGGTCTCGAATCCTGCAGTGAAGAGCACTAGCGCCATGTCAAACACTGTCCTTGGTCTTTGATCGCTCGCTGGTAACGGCAACGACGCATAATCCTCCAACAGCACGCCTTTGGCGTGGCTGGCTGTGTCTTTCCGTCCGACCTTTTTGGCTGCTTTGATGCGTTCTTCGATACTGCTGGTGAAGGCACCGAGCACTCTCATCTCATGCCCCTCTGGCAACCACGATTGAGGGATCAGAGCCAAGCTCTCGAGGATGAGTTTACATATCCGACTGTTTTGCCACACATACACATGTTGAAAAATACTGTTCTGCGCAGCAAAGAACTGCTCACTTACCCTGGGATCCGCAAGGAACCCATACGGCCTTCCGAAGATATACTCACTCATAATCTCCGCTGTGAAACACCTGGCCAGCAGTGTTATGCTAGCTGGCTTCTGCGCCGACCTAGCTTCGAGCAGTCTCTGGCACAGCTCTTCGGCATCCTCCCGGATCGTGCTTTCGAGGTTGAGTACAGCTTTCTTTGAGAAATAGGGTTCGAGTGCCTTGCGTCGGACTTTGTGTAAGTCGAAGGATTGTGTGCGGGCTATGTCGTCAGGTGCGGCCCACGGTTTGTTGAAGTCAGGGCTGAAGTTGAAGAGTTGGTCGAAGAACTCGGGGTCTTTGATGTGGACCTCATTGGGGCCGATGCGGACGATGGGCCCGTATTGATCGTGGAGGCGGTCGAGCTGTTGACTGAAGCGGCCGACGAGAAAGACTTCGAAATAGACTTGGTACCATAGTGTTGCGGCTGCTAAGCGAGGTCCGGGGTACCTGGCCAGTGGATGTAGGTATAGGCGGTAGATGCTGCGTAGGAGGAAGAAGATGGCATACGCCAGAGGTACATATCCAAGTAGTCTTAGCTGGAAGTCTTTGTCAGTCTCCATGGCGCTCGCTCAACGCCTCGAAGAAGGGCACAAACAGATCAACTCGTGACAGGAATAAATGTTGCACATATATCCTTCATGAACTGCCTGGCCACTCTAGGTGGTCGGATCTAAGGAATTGCCCAGTGAAGCAGACACGCCACGCAGGGCGCCTCATGCTCGTCCCTACTGGGCAGTATGCAGCGCGGGTTAGCCTAACGAGCCGTCTATCGCGCTGTGTAACGATCGAGGGTGCGAGCAGATACTGCAATCAGGGTGGAATACCAGTGATTCGCATAGGATGATGGATATTGAGCACCGTAGGGAGTGAAGACGGGGGAGATCAGCGGTTAATGTTCGGCGCAGATGGAAGGTCAACAATCGCTGTTGCTGTTCAATGTCAGAGACGAGCCCAAGCAATGCATCGAGCCTGTGACAGTAAGCGTGACTCACACATCACCGAAGCGCATGCGTCCTCTATGCCATCTGGAGATCAGTGATTCGTCGTGTCGTTTTCGCTGAAAATGCATCGCTCATTAGTCTATTTCGATTCGTTGCTCGTAATGTGAATGCCACGAGGCTTCAGACTGTGTCCTCGGTGATTGATCAGATTTTCAAGTGATCGCCGCTCCTGCAATCGCGGCCAAGTCATGCTCTAGCTTTGTAATTGCCTCCTGGCCCAACCTGCAGCTGACCCTCCTTGACCATGCCTGTGAGGAATTCCTTCAGCTCCTCGTTGTTGAACGGGAAGCCACCCGGCACCACCATGTTGAGCATCATAGCGATCCTAGCTAGCGGCATCGCACCCTGGTTCGTTAGCATGCTCACGATGAACTGATGATAGACCACCATCTTCTGCTTCCGCTCCTCTTCCTCTGCTTCCTGTGCGGCCCTGGCGGCCGCGGCTTCTGCGGCGGCTGCCGAGGCGTCTGGTTTCATTTCTGCGCCGCCACTCATGATGACATCGTCGCCGGAGTCGGGATTGCGCTCGAGTACGGTGAAAGTGTCTGGGGACGTTTCTGCGAGGACGCGTTTGGAGAGCCAAAAGATACAGGCTGAGCGCGCCAGAGGAACGAGCATTGACAGCTCGTTCGCTAGATCCGCAACCGTCCTTGTCACGGGGGAGCCGGTGCCATCCCGGTCTTGGAAGGCGTAGATGACGGTAGCTTGATAAGGCAGCACCGACTCGCGCACCACACGGTCCTCAAGCTGTAGCTCGACCTCGACTTGGCCGAGTGACTGGACCCACGTGAGTTTCCGTGAAGATTTGTACTTCTCGAAGCCATTCTCATACATCATCTGTCGGCCTGATATCTCTGGCGCCATTTCGAACGCCTGCTCGCTCATCGCCGGCCAGAAGAGTCGGGACAGAATCTTGGCGTGCACGTCCGCATTCTTGTTAGTTTTGTTGATGGCAGCGTCGATCTTGACCGACTCGAGCACGTCTCTGAGCATGACTTCGCAGGATTGCAACGATGAGTCGCCTAGACGCTGCTTCAAGTGGTTCAGAATAACGACTTCGAGATCGAAGTTGTTGGTCTTGTTCTCCAACAGACGTTCGGCGAAGACTGCTTGGAGCTCTTTGACAAACACTTCTTTCGATTCGAAGAGTGATGTAAGGCTGCCGATGACATCGTTGTTTCGTGACTTCAGGTGGTCGGGTGTAGCATCAGCTGGGTCTGGGACCCATTCCATGTTGTTCCACCCGAGCTCATATAAATCAACATCGTAGGATTGATATGGCTGGTGCAGCTCGGTGGCCAGCTCGGTAAGGATTTCTGAATCTTGCGACTGACTGCTAGGGTCGCTCAACAGGCCGCTGACGACCACCTTGACAGCATCGTCGCGCTCTCGTAGGTATTGGCGGACTCTGCGCGCAACTCGATCGAGCAGCACGCCTTTAGGGTCCAGCTTTCGAAAGAATCGGATGGTGGAGATGTATATGCGCAGGATTTCGATAGTCGAGGCGCCTGGATGGAGCACGTTGATCGTAAGCTGTCCGTTGAAACTATCTACCAGAAACGTCCGAGTCCTTGTGCATGTGACATAGTGTTTCAGGTCCTCGATAATTGGCTCAGGCTTGTGCTGACCCGCGATGATGTTGTACATTTCATCGATACGTAGTGCTCCGAGTGTTGTTAACGCTCTATCAACGGATTGAGACTCTGAAGTCGCGAGCCAAGAGTCCTCTCCTTGTTTTGTTGTGTTGCCACCCGTCAAAGCGATCTGAGCCATGGTTGTGATCAGAGACAGAATATTCTCGACCCAGAATCTCAAGTGGTCCGCCACGTCCATTCGGTACACGCCGGAATAAGCCCATCGTACGTAGCTTTTCACAGAGGAATGCAATATTTCAGACACCATCCGAACAACGCGTTGAATGCCGAGCGTCTTTCGCAGATTCGAAAGCGTCTGCCATATGTCGGACTGAAGCAACTTCTGGTAATGGGCGGCGGCTTCCTCTGGCGAGCTCGGCCGCACATCATGCATCGAAGGGCATTGCGACAGAGGCAACCGATATGGCTCTCCATCTGAAACCTGATCCCATCCATAGACGTAGAGTGAAGATCCTATGCCAAGGATGAATTCGAACTTTGCTTGAAGCTCTGCACGGATCTGGTCGATGTTGCCGGTGTCTGCGTCGTCCACATCGTCTGCAGCGTTGGGTCTGACAGTTCCGATGTCCCGAGGGCGCGAACGCTTCCACAGGGGTCTATAGTCGTTGAAGACCTTCTTAGCGACATAGTCGTTCGTAGCCGTCCTACCGGGTGTGCTCATGACTTTCGCCATGGTTCGTCAGACACTTCCCTCTCGCTTAGAATACTTCGCGAAAGTAAGTCGGTCGATCATCTTATGGAGATCAAATCTTTTGGATGGGACCGACTTGGTAGTCGCGAACACAAGTCCGGCAAGTGAGGTGTATCAAACGGTAAGACGGACGCGTTGTTGTCGCCAAGAATCTGGTTCGCGTCATTTGAAGCTCCATTGGCAAGGGCTACACCCGTTATCTCGCCTTCCAGATTCTTAAATTCTCCTCTCCGAACTCGGATCCATGCGACTGATGTCGCAGACCATCAATAGTGACCTGTACGGCAGCGACATTCGACTCCTACAGGTAAGCTTCGCGTTTCTGACGCGCTGCAGAAGGGCGGAAATCCCCCGCTGTGTTCATCGGACTCGAAGCGGGGCAGCGAATCACCGGAAAATATGGAGCAAGCACGCAATCGCCTGGAATGCGATGTTCAAGGTAAGAAGAGGCATGGCAATGCGAAGCCGATTGATGTCGCGGAGAAGTCCCTGCTGTGCTGATATCAGAGTGATTTCATTGTTGTAGATTTGTTCCTCTTGATCTCGTTACTGACCTAGCATCATTGCACTTGTACCAGACTGCTGACCTTAGGACACCAAACATGGCGCCAGCAATAGTCGAGTCCGCGCCTACGAGCGCTGCTCCCACGAGCAAAAACTCCTCAACAGGAGTCGACACTGCTGTCTTTCCTGACGGCATCAAGACCTCCGGTCAACTGGAACCAATCTACTCCCTCTTGGAACCCTATAGCAAGTTCCCCAAGCAGATCCCAACCTCAGCACCAACCTACTGGGAGTCCTCAGACTATGCCTCCAACCCCTCCCTCTGGCAACATCCCTTCTCCCCAGAAGAGCTCGCCTCCCTCTCCAGCGCGGCAGACGACTTCATCGCCAAAGACCTGCCCATCACAGGCATCAACCCCTCCAACTTCCACCTCTCCGACACTCTCCGCGCCAGCCTCGCTTCCATGCGCAACGAGCTTCTCAACGGCAAGGGCTTCCTCCTCTACAAAGGCCTCCCCGTCCAGGAATGGGGCAACTACAAATCCGGCGTCGCTTACTTCGGCTTGGGCTCCCATCTTGGTCTCCCTGTCTCGCAAAACTCCCGTGGCCATATCCTCGGCCACGTCAAAGACCTAGGTGAGGACGCCACGCAGATCGATAAAGTCCGAATCTATCGCACCAATGCACGCCAATTCTTTCACGCCGACGACTGCGACATCGTCGGTTTGCTATGTCTTGCGCGTGCTGAGTTCGGTGGCGAGAGCGATATAGCGTCCGTTCACCGCGTCTGGAACATTCTGCAGGCGGAGCGGCCGGATGTTGCCGAGCTGTTGACGCAGCCGGTGTGGTATTTCGATCGCAAGGGTGAGACTAGCAAGGGACAAGCAGGGTACATCCGCACATCTGTCTTCTACCTAGAGCCCAAGGACCCCGCGAATCCAGAGCGGGAACAGCGCGTCTACTGCAAGTGGGACCCATACTATGTCCGCAGCCTCAAGCGCTTCTCGGACGCAGGCGAGATACCACCGCTCTCGCCAGCGCAGCTCGAGGCGATCGATGTGCTGGAGCAGACTTGCGATCGGGTCAAATTGCATATGGTGCTGGAGGTTGGCGATCTGCAATTCGTGTCGAACAGCCATGTGTTACATGCGCGGACGGCGTACAGGGACTACGGCCCGGATAGCGGGATGCCGAGAAGGCATTTGATGAGGCTGTGGTTGGCGACGAGTGAGGATGAGGGTGGTTGGAGGCTGCCGTTTGAGGATAGCAGGGAGAAGAAGAGGGGTGGGATTCAGGTTGATGATACGCCGCCGGTGGCGAGGTTGGACGCGGATTGAGGAAAATGTGGGCTTCGGTAGATGGCTGATTGCTGTATGCATGCATCCATGTTCGAGTGGGAATGATTGATGTTTCACCGTAGCAACTTGAAGGTCAAAGGACTCTGTCGAGACCGGGTGACGAGTGTCTGACCGAATATATTTGTAAACCATGAGACTGTGTACAGTAGTTGCGCAGAGCGTCATCTAGCCTCCCAGTGACTTTTGGACGTCTATGACTCTGCAACGGCGGTATGGCCAGTTCCGCTAGTTCTGTTGCAAGCTCTCACTGATCTGACCATATCTACAGAGTCCCGCTATCCTCCATTCTGACTTCATAGCTCGCCATCCGTCCGCATGATACTCTCGATCTTTGGGGGGTCGCCCAACAACGTCGTCCTTCCCTTGACATTCTCACACGTTACCCTCTGTCCACCCTCCCTTGCCTGTGGCCCCGGCCTCGGCACCTTGGCCGGATCAAACCCACCACCCTCCTTGACACTCGCCCTCAACGCCCTCAACAACTGCACCGTCGTCTCCGGCGTCAGATCCTCATAGTAATCATCATTGATCTGCATCATCGGCGCATTCACACACGCACCCAAACACTCGACCTCCAACAAGCTAAACACCCCATCCTCCGTCATGTGCCCACTGTGAATCCCCAGCTCCTCCTCAATAGCCTTCATGATCTTATCGCTTCCGCATCCTCCCAACATGCACGGCGTGGTGGTGCAGACCTGCACGAAGAAGGTTCCCACTGGCTCGCGGTTGTACATGGTGTAGAAGGTTGCGACCTCGTAGACGCGCATAGGGGGCATTTCGAGGATTTTTGCGACTTCGTTCATGACGGAGATGGAGGTGAAGCCATGTTGGCGTTGGCCGAGGTCGAGCAGGGGCATGACGGCGGCTTTTTTGTATTGGGGCGGGTAGCGTTTGAGGATCTCGTCGATGAGTTTGAGGTTCGTGGCGTTGAAGGTGAAAGGGATTGAGGGGTTGTTGTAGGATGTGTTGCGGTGCTGCATGCGTTAGTCGTGGTACCATAAGGGGCCTTTGACGTTGGCGGTAGAAGGTGAGTGACTTACGACAGAGAGTGTCTCGCTCCGTCTGGGTGCTGAGATGCTCAATGCGCGGAACTGCTGAGGTTCGCATGGGCGCCGCGAAGCTCTAGCGACGGCTCTTGAAGCTGTTCGCAGCATCGAAGGTGCCATCTTGGACGCCATCGTGGCTGTCCGGGGCGTTGTGTTCACAATTGAGATATGCAGAGAGGACTGTACCTCAGGTGGTGACGAGCGTTCCTGGCGAATTCGAGGTTGTGGTACGTCCAATCACAGCGCGAGAAATGGTCATTTGAATTGTACTTAGTCATCCGGTCTGCGATTGCTCCTTCGCAAATTCAGTCCACGAATGTTCAGCCAGCCACATGTGGTCGTTGTATCAAGGAGCACGGGGCTAGTCTTTGGCGACCCAAAGGTGCAGCCGTGACAGTCAATTGCACTGTCTCGCTGGACTCGCGGGCACGAACAGTCCTGCAGCGCCTTCTAGATACTGCACAGGATATTTTGGTAAACATGGATAGCTCTGCAGTAACGCTGACGCCCGTGACCTTGCTCATCAATGCTCATCCATCGATGTCCTGCGGGAGCGGTGGATGAGCCTTCTCTCGGATGTTTTCATACACGTGTCTCGCCCTCTGAAAGGCTGCTAGAGATGCGAAAGCTCGAAGAGCAATTCCCTAGGACCAGGAATTGATATCCGATCAGATAGGCGAGGGCAAGCCTAGCAGAAAGCAGCTTAGACGGGGCGCGCGCACGTGCCTCTGTTGTTGGCAGCGGCTGGTGAGAAAGAGCACCTGAGTCCCCGCATGCTTTTCCCAGCATTGAACTGAACTCGGCCATCGTAATTTTTCTGCAAAGCTCGAGATATCGCCGGCCACATTCATACCTAGCATTGTAGTACAAGAAGACAGCATCCTTCCCCTGGACCAGGTCCGTTACTGCTCGCAGGTCATGCGCAGTGTGAAGCAGAAGACCATTTAGTGGATCGACAACACTTGAGCGACTCCATCTTTCCGCAGGCCGGGCCTCGATCATGAAGTACGACAGGTCCTCCCCGCATCACGAACCGCTGTCCATGCTAACGCTTTGACCTTCAGATTTGGCCAGCAGCTTCGGCAGAGCCTTATCAAGGACTACTATTGGCACTATATAGCCTACGATGAGCTCAAGGAGGCTCTCAAGACACCCTTTGTGAACGGCCGAGACGGCGAGCGACAGCCGTGGACCGACGACGATGAGGCTGCTTTCATCAGGCAGCTCGAGTCTGAGCTGGACAAGGTCTTCAGTTTCCAGAAGCTCAAGAGCTCAGAGATTGTCGGCAGGATAAAAGCCAGCGAACAGGAGGTCAAGCAGGTGCTCTCGAGGCAGGAGGATCAGAACAGGTCAGATGAGACCGATACAGATCTGGAGGAAGATTTTGAGCTGCTCGAGGCCGATTTGAGCGATGTCATTGCGGACGTCCACGACCTCGCCAAGTACACACAGCTCAACTATACCGGCTTCCAGAAGATCATCAAGAAACACGACAAGCAGACCAATATCTACCTCCGGCCCACCTTCTCCACCCGACTGAAAGCGAAGCCCTTCTTTCAGGACAACTATGATCAATTCGTGGTCAAGCTGTCCAAACTGTATGATCTTGTTCGGACGAGAGGCAATCCCGTCAAGGGCGACAGCGCCGCAGGAGGCGGCCAGCAGAACTTCGTGCGACAGACGACCAAATACTGGGTCCATCCAGACAACATCACAGAACTGAAGCTCATCATTCTCAAGCATCTTCCCGTCTTGGTTTTTAACTCCAACAAAGAGTTCGAGGAGAGAGATACTGCCATATCCTCCATCTACTGTGACAACACCGATACCTGGGAACTGTACATGGGTCGTCTAAAGAAGACCGAAGGTGCCGAGGCTATTCGTCTGAGATGGTATGGTGGTATGGAGAACGAAACAATTTTCGTAGAGCGCAAAACTCATCGGGAGGACTGGACTGGCGAGAAATCAGTGAAAGCTCGCTTTACGTTGAAAGAGAAGAATGTCAATGCCTTCCTGGCCGGCAAGATGACGGTGGACGAAGCATTTGCCAAGATGCGTAAAGAAGGCAAGAAAAGCGAAAAGGAAATCGAAGACCTGGCTCAGCTCGCCAGAGAGATACAGTATCGCGTTGTGACGAGAAAGCTGGTCCCAGTGACTCGGTCGTTCTACCACAGAACCGCTTTTCAGTTACCAGGAGACGCTCGCGTGCGTATCTCGCTTGACACAGAGCTCACAATGACGAGAGAAGACAACTTGGATGGACGAGATCGCGCGGGCAAGAACTGGCGCCGCATGGACATCGGTATTGACTGGCCATTTTCACAGCTACCCGAAGGGGACGTGGAACTGTTCCCATACGCTGTCCTGGAGGTGAAGCTGCAGACCGCCGCAGGTCAAGATCCTCCACAGTGGATCCGTGACCTGACTGCAAGTCATCTTGTTGAGGCAGTGCCGAAGTTCTCAAAGTTCATTCATGGGACTGCTACCATGTTCCCCCAGCGAATCAACCTACTGCCATTCTGGATGCCTCAGATGGGTGTTGATATCAGGAAGCCGATCACCCACAAATTTGGCATCGAAAGACCAGCCAATCTTGGTTCTTATTCGACGACTGAGATTGACGAAGACGAAATCGACTCAGACGAGGAACCAGACGTGCTTGGTAATGATGAGTATGAGGACGATGGCGAAGACGATGAGCAAACAAGGCAGCTGAAAGCAGCCCAGCGTGCACTAAACGAGCACCGTCGAGCCCAGGAGGAAGATGGCGATGATGATGACACCCTCCGTCCCAATGGCTACACCAACGGCATGTCTGCACCCGGTAATAGCTTGATGAAGAGGAAAGACTCAATGCTGTTCCCCTGGTGCAAGAGGACTACCTGTACGACTCAGACGAAGAAGAGGAAGACAAGCTGGAGGAAGCCAAACGATCCGGGTCTTGGAAATACTACCCTCTTCTTGTGCAAAGGCATGCACAACTCGGTGGCAACGCTATCATGAATGCTTTCAAGCAGATCCCGACCAAAACATCACTGCCTGCGAATAACAATCAGCTGACACAAATGGTTGGCCAAGTCCAGGCTCGTCGATGGAAAGCACCTCCAGGTAAGCGAATTCACGTTCCTGTACGTGTCGAGCCGAAGGTCTACTTCGCTGCCGAGAGAACGTTCCTATCATGGCTGGAGTTTAGCATCATCATCGGCTCAATTGCTGCGACGTTGCTGAACTTTGGCGACAACATTTCGCTTCTGTCGGCATGGGCATTTACCTTGGTCGCTATCGCCGCTCTGGTTTACTCGGTGGTCATATATGCCTTGCGTGTGCAGATGATCAGGAACAGACGCGCCAACATCAATCGCTATTACGATAAATGGGGCACATCTGCTCTGTGCGCGGGATTGTTGGTAGCTAGTTTGACCAGTTTCGTCTTTCGAATTCGGCAGGACGGCTGGTTTTGATGGAAAGGGCCAGTGGTTGGGTAGATTGGGGTTTGTTCACACAGCGTGGCGCACAGTCGCTGCGTACGAGAGCGTCTCTCACCTGTCGCAAATCGTCTCTGGCACTGCCCAAAAGCAGTCTACCAGAATACCCAGCGTGCTTTCCGCTGTAGAATAAATTATTGTTCCAAGTCAATGACGTGTAGCGTTGTAGCGTTAGCGAGGGAAGGCGCCTCCGAGAAATCAGGCACCCAGGCAGAAGCTTCCGAGCCCCTTGCATTCCAATGATTCTGCATCTTCGACCCCCATCTTTCTGCAGTAGTACGCTCGAAACCTGTGTCTTCTTGGCCTTGCACCAATTACCGTCGAAAGTCCCCGAGAACGTTTGGCCAAGCGCGGCGTTCAACAACAGTTTCGTGCCGATCTTCACCAGCGCTCGCGACCATGTCCTGCATGAGGTAGTCAAGCCTGAAAGTCTGGCAGAAAGGGCAGCCCCAGCCCTAGCAATCTAGCCCGCGACCCAGAACTGAGTCACCAACAAGCTCTTCAGGTCTAGCTTTCGCCTTCGGCCTTACCACGGCTCGCTCTTCCTGCAGAGCCCACCTGGCAGATTCGTGTTCTTTGACCGCAGCCTGATCAAAGAATATTGGCAACCCAATAAGGTACGAATACGCCAAGCTTGCTGAGTAGTCAGATATACACTTCTCGACGCCATTGAGCTCGCCGGCGATAGGCAGCCAGTCATTCGCATTGCAACCTTGGAAGTCTTCGGATTTTAGGCTTGTCACATCGAATGCAAATACCTTACAATCCCGTGGAGCCCGCCTCATAACATACAGACCAGATCCTATCTTCGACATTCCCGTTCCGATGACATGGAGGAACCAGAAGACGCATCAGCCAAGCCACAGTCTCCCTTGAAGGCGGACAAACCACAGAAGGCATTCTCGTGTCTTCGGTGTTTCGAAAGTAAGTCTTTCATCTCTTTAGTGCTTGAAGTCTTGTCCCGAGGAAGGATCAGAGAACATATACACAGTCTATCCCTACCAAGGCCTCCCGCGATGCACGCGGTGCGATGACGTTGCGGTACAAATCGAGAGCAGAGCTTGGAAATTCGTCTATCTCCATTGCCCGCGCCGAGTTCGTAGGACAGAGCTAATCAGTCTACAGGAAAAGTGAAATGTGATAAACAGTACGCAATGTGTCAGACAGCGACCGGCGTAAGCACTTCGACTAATCACAATTTAGGCATCCGTGTGCAAACTGCACAAAATCAAACGTTGAATGCATATTCCGCATACCTTCTGCCCCACGGCGGAAGAAGAAGCGGCCAACGGAAGACATGTATGTCGTCCCTAGCACTAAGAACGCGCCTACTGACGAGCAAGCAGTCTGCTCGAACGGCTAAAACGAGCAGAAGACTTGCTCCGTAGTAAAGGTATTGCGACAGAGTCCCAGGAGGCCCCTGCGGATCTCACTCGTTCCTCGACGGCGGAGAATCCAGGAAGCCTCGACGCTTTTGCACGACAAGCCTCGACGGACAGCGGTGATGCGGACGACAAGCCAGTGGACAAGTCGTTTGGCTTTCACGGTCACCAGGCCAGCTTTCTGGCCCGAGGCCCGTACACTAGTGGCAAGCTTATACAGTCCGCGCACGGACGGTCGCGCTTCGTAGACAACAATCTATGGACCTCTGTCTCGGATGAACTACATCGCGACACCATCGCGAACGAGGACTCTGACGACTCCGATGAAGGAAGCCTCGGCGACGACAGCGGAGATATGGTGCTTGGGATCACTCCGAGCAGTAACAGTGGTATCGCACATCTTCACCCGCCAGCCGAGGTGCTCTTTAAATTGTGGCAGATCTTCCTGGAAAACGTCAATCCAATGACTAAGATCATTCACCGCCCCACACTGGAGAAACAACTGATAAAAGCGAGCCAGGACTTTGATCTCGTACCTAAAGGGCTCGAGTGTCTCATGTTCGCGATCTACACATGCGCCATAGGTAGCATGAGCGAAGATGATTGTGAAACGACATTTGGCGAGCACCGAGATGTGCTCTTCAAACGCTACAGGATAGGATGTAGAAAAGCTTTGGCGCGGGCCAAGTTCCTCGGAACTGGAGACCTCATGGTTTGCCAGGCCTTTGTCCTATACATTACCATTATGCGCGAGACACTGGACGCTCGTACAGTATGGACGCTATCCGGTGTTGCAAACCGAATAGCGCAAGGCCTTGGTCTGCATCGGGATGGCTCAGAACTGGGTCTCTCCGTATTCGACACGGAGCTGCGTCGCCGACTGTGGTGGCAACTCATAATTCTTGACTTCCGCTCGGCAGAACTCACTGGAAGTGGCCGTTTTGGCGATTTCTGGAGTGATACTCACACGCCGTCTAACGTTGACGATGTCGATGTCTGGCCGAACATCACAGAGCAAGAGTTCACTGATCGGATGGCAGCGAAGGGCGAGAAACGAGCTACCGAAATGATTGGCTGTCTACTTAGGTGCGAATTCGGCGCTTTCTGGAAGGAGAAGCTGATAGAGCGCTCCCGGACTGATCCGTCGTTGATGCGAGGCAATTTGTTCGGCGGCAAGGCTCCCTCGCCTTGGGATGTCAGTCTCGAAGAACGCGAAGCAACCATTACAGAACTCGAGCGCCGACTCGAGGACAAGTTCTTGCGATACTGCGACGTCAACAATCCCCTGCAGTTTCTGACCTCAATTATCGGACGTGGTGCAATGGCCTCGATGCGGCTGATGGCACACCATCCACGACGTTATGCGAGTGAAGCTGATATTCCGGCAACAGAGCACGCCCTGCTTTGGAAATTGTCACTCAAACTTCTGGAATCTGATGGCTTGATACATAGCACCAAGGCTTTGCAGCGATTCATGTGGCACTCCAATGTATACTTTCAGTGGCAAGCCTGGTCTACTTGCTCGGCGAATTGAAAAAGAAATCGATCGGGGAGGACGTTGACAATGCTTGGCGCAAAATCGAAGAGACCTACCACCACCATCCGGCCTTTATAGTCGAATTTCGCAAACCTCTGCACGCTGCAGTCGGCTCGTTGGTTCTGAAAGCATGGGACGCTCGAGTGCGTGGCAGGGCGGAGGCGTCAGAAAGCGGCGATACCCAATTGCCCCTTTCAACACCAGACTTCATCGCCATGCTGCGAGAGCAGCGAGTGGCGCCGACGAAACGGAAGTCGACAGGCGGTGGTGGCACTCTCTCGAAACAGAGCTCGACGGGCGGCCACGAGGCGGGCTTCATGCAGCCGCCTGGCTTTGTACCCGGCATGGTGAGCCGAGCTACGAACCTGCCAATCCTAACGCCAACATCCAGCTCCGGTAATGTGAGTAATGGCTGGGGTGCTTCGCCCCAGCAAGAATTGTACACCGGCGGCATGCAAAATCGTCCTCCCAGCGACACATTCAATGGAGTAATCGCCCGTATGCCTTTCAACATGTCCGGCATCGCAGGCACATGGGAGGCCAACACTGATCCCTCCAATCTGAATGCTAATCAACAGCGACCAGCAAATACGACCGGTGACTCCTTCAATAGCACAACCACAAATATGACAGCTGGCAATCATTTCGCCTTCTCGGACGGCCAGCAAACCCAAGATCCAAACGTGGGAATGGTCATGTCCGGATTCTTTGGTTCTGGGTTTAGTGATCCTAATGCGCCAATAAACATGGGCGGTCGTATGGGCAACACACCTTTCGGTAGCGGCGGCATTGGGACAAGCGGAGATGTCCTGATGGGTGACATGGACTGGAATCAATGGGACTACCTGATTTCAGATTACGACGTTATGCACAGTGTGCCCGGATATGGCGGCGGCGGCAACAATGGATGAAAATAGTACGAGATGATGTATGGCCACCCCAGGGAGGGTGCTGAAGGCACGAATCCGTCTCGCCGGCCAAACCGGTCGGGTTGGGATGAGCGTCACTTGAGCGTCACTTCGTGGTACCAGATTCATCATGGAGATCGGCCCAGGGAGGCCGCTGCATGGAATTTCTCGGCAAGGGCCAAGAAATGGCCTTTTGGAAGAACTCGCCACTCAATAATACGACGCGAACATGTTACAGATCTAAAGCGATCTCAGGAGAAGCCCGTCCTCCAATGGTCTACATCAGCAGCCTGATGTGTAGCATCTGACGAAGATCAGCGGCCCAAATGGTACGGCGACTGCGAGGGCCATAGAATGTGTGAGCCAATTCAACTCCTTCACCTCCAGCTCTGCCTTCCTACTTTGCTCTACAACAACGACAGCTTTTCCCATGCAGGTGCGACCAGACCTAGTTCAGTGTCTCCCTCTGCTGGTGCACGGTCCTCCTGTATGGCAGTTCGAACGAGCTTGGACGGCTTCGCATTCTTCACAATACGAGCTCATCAAAAGACGAATCGGCAGGCCAGGCTATAGAGCTATTTATTTCAAAGGTAAGCCATGACTTCTGGATCAAGACTACACCCTTGTTGCTGGTGATGACCCGGGTCTCGAGGTTGTCTGGTTGTCTTTACTTGCATCATGCGTCGGTCGCTCTTTTCGGCATCGTGTTTTTCACTGCTTTCCGTTTTCGTCTCTGCGTCTGCCTTGACTACCCTGCCACTGAAGTCGCGAGATTGCACCTGCTCCTCTGCTGGCGCCACCAGAGAGAGCTTCTTGCTCCAGATCCTCACCAACTCCCCTGAGTATGGTATTTTCGAGGTTGCGCCCAGCACAGGACCGCTTACCGTCGGGATCATTGGCGCGGGCGCAGCAGGTCTATACGCGGCCATGATCCTCGAAAGTCTCGGCATAGATTACGAGGTCTTGGAAAGCAGCCAGAGAATCGGTGGAAGGATCTTCACATATCGCTTCGATGAGGCGACGTGGAAAAAGAGCAAGCCTGGGGAGCCGGGCTACTACAACTACTATGTGAGTGTGCTCGTGATATCAGAATGGGCTAAATGTTGCTGACACTGTGCTTGCAGGACGTTGGGGCTATGCGATTCCCGGGTATGCCCTGGATGCACCGTGTGATCGGCGGCGAGTATCGACTCTACAACAACCGTTTGCTGTATAATCAGGACGCCCCGACTGCTGATGCGTTCGATGTCGAGACGTCGGACGGGGGACCGATACGTAACGACGATAAGTTGGCCACGACGGCTGCTGGGGTAGTCCTGGACGAAGCCTTGCAGGATCTGATCGACGTCTTCAGCACCAGTGGATTCGACGCGGGCTTCGATCACCTCATGCAGTACGATGGGGTCTCGCTTCGACAATACTTACTGAGCAAAAATTATACAACTCAAGATGTGGACTGGATGGAGACTCTCACTGATGCGACTACTCACATGGACACCTACTCACTCTCTCAAGCCGTTCTCGAGCAATGGATCTTCAACAGCGCGCCACTCGACTCATGGACAGCCATCGAGGGAGGCATGGACCGTCTCACGCACGGCATGACCCAAACCCTGAAAAACAAGCCAATCCTCGGCAAGCGTGTCACCACTCTCATGGGTTACCCCAACAAAACAGTCACTGTCGCCATCTCGGACGGAGACTTGCGCACATACGCGCACATCATCAACACCGTCCCCCTCGGGGTGATGCAAAACATGGACATGTCGACCCTCGACCTCGACTACAACAAGACCTTCGCCATTCGCAAACTGCAATACGACCCCGCCGGCAAGATTGGCATGACATTCAAGACTCGTTGGTGGGAAACACCTCAAGGTGAATCGAACAAAGGCTTCCAAGGCGGACAGTCTTACTCCGACCTCTCCATTCGCCGCTGCGTCTACCCCTCCTATGGCCTCAATACCCCCAACGCCTCCGCCGCCATGATCGCGTCCTACACTTGGGGCCAAGACTCCGCTCGCTTGGGCGCATACTACCACACTGACAGCGACCGTGCGTACATTGCGAATGTCACCATCCGCCAGCTCGCGGCCATGAACAACGTGACCGAATCCTTCCTGCACGAGCAGCTGGTGGACATGCATTTGTGGGATTGGTACGCGCATAGCGACAGCGCAGGTGCATTCGCGATCTTTGGGCCGGGGGAGTTTAGTACGGTGATGCCGAGTCTGATGAAGCCTGGGTACCTTGGAAGGGTGCATTTTGCGGGGGAGGCGTTAAGCAGTCGGCATGCGTGGATTATTGGGCGGTGAATTCTGCTTATAGGACCGTGGCGGAGGTCTTGGCTGTTGAGAACAGGACGGATCTCGTGCAGAGGATGAGGGAGGTGTGGGGAGAGATCGATGAAGTTGATATGGGCTGGTATGTCCAGGGGTGATCTATCGGCGATGTCGACTCAAGGCCGAATTCAAGCAGTGCACATGGGAAGCATGGGGGGTTTAAATCCCGACGATCCAGAAAGTGCAGGGCGGAACGATGGCACTGACTGTGGGATCGGCGCCTGGTGACCACGGAGTGACTCAGCGCCGTCACTTGCATGTCGTCCGTTCGCCTTTACTTCGATGCCGCCAAGCAACTTTCAGAAAGCACCGTTGTTGCCTTGGAGATAAAACTCTGCCCACTTCGAGATCTCGGGAACTTGCACCTCACCTTCTCTTGTCGTCAGATCCTTCCATCTTTCGATAATCTTGACGAACAATCGAATCGCCTCTACTGAAAACACCACGGCATCCGATCACGACAGCCGCCAGGCGTCTTCAGCCTTCGGGCATAGATACGATGGATCATCCAATGGGGTCGAACACGAGTAGCGATGACTACACCGACGGACATCTCGGCGTCATCTCAGGGGACTATATCTGGTCGCCGAGCTATAGGCCACAGACCATGGAGCGCCAGTCATCGATGCCGATCGAAGCACCTGACTCTTCGAAACCCTTCAGGTTCCTTGATCTTCCCAGCGAACTGCGCATCCAGGTCTACAAACAGCTCGAGCCAGACCTCATGCGTTGGGGTATGAGAATTCATGTCTCACGCACAGAACGGTTGAGCAAATATCGAATCGATTCCATACTATTGAATCAACGAAATCGGGATCTACTACCTCATCGGAGGAACCTACCGCCCACGCTCAAAGACGTGGAAGCAGCTGCTACTGATTGGACGTCGTTATCGAAGCAGAAGCTGAGCTGGCTGGACGGACGGACTGGTCGCGAAACATGGATGTACTACAGCACCATCACCCAAGATGACGTATTTACGGGGCTGCAGGCACTGATTGATCTAGCTTACACGTGCCGCACTACGCGCGACGAGATCTTGCAGAAGCTCGTACGATACATTCAGGCATCCGACGTTGGTATTGCGGGGTGGTACGGCGTCACACGACCTTTTCTTTCAGCGACAATCACAGAACTTAAGATACTCAAGCCACTGCTCGTCGCAGAGAACTATCGGCAAAGATGGTTCGCGCAAATCATCTCGCAGTTTCCTGCTCTCGAGGCGCTTTTCATCAAGGTTCATACACACAAGGACTCAGAGATCTGGGGCACAGAGTATGCGCTTGATGATCTGCGGATGATGAAGTACATCCTGAATGAATCCCAAGTAGAGGTGGCGGTAAACTCTGGTGGCACGTGTGAGGCTTCAGGGATGAAAGACGGACAGTGCAGACCATGGGTCGGACTTTTCACGGAGAAGCACTTCGAGCAACAAGCTCAGAACGACGCTGAGTGGTTCGACTCGTTCATTGACATCGAGGGAGAGCTGAAGCGTGCCTTGACTCTGAAGAGGAAGCGTGCTCAGATGCCTTGAGTGGAATCAGTGTTCAACTTAACAGCCCGGGGTCGACCAAGCGCAGCCAAGGTTCTTGATTCTGTTGAGCCGGGGGCTCTGGAATTGAACCAGGGTATGACAGCATGGTGGCTGAGGATCAGTTTTGTACAGGCCTCAGTCCATTGTTGCATACTTTGTGGCCGAAGGCAAGAGCGGAGACGAGTTCCATAACGAGTGGCCATTCACTGAGACGATGAAAGGGAAACTTGAATGAGTGAAATTGATTAGAAATAACAGTCTACTACTCGCCAGATGTTTTCATCTGCTCAATCGGCCCGTCCGCTAATTCCAGGTAGCAGTTGTTTCATGAGCTGTCCGAGAGACTCTTTGACGAATGAGGTCCTTCCAGAAACCCCAGCGTCGCCATACTCTCGTACTAAATGCTCGTTTTCAGTCCCAACGTTTTGTTTCCCTTGTGCCACAGGAGTCAGATCCCGACGAGATGCAATTAAGCCGACAGGCGCGTTCCGATCTCCTCACTGCGAATCAACTCCTCCAGCGCAACGCAGTTGCTTTCGATCTGCGATCGAAGTCCCTGAGTTGAGCGTCGAACGCGGCCATTCGGCGGTCATTTGCGTCATGTTGCTCTTTCAACCAGCGTGTGTCTTCATCCATCTGAACTCGCATCGCCGCCAACTCAGCCTGCATCGCCTTCACCTGGACCGTGAACATGCGCGTCAACTTGTCTTCCCTGAGCACTTCCTTCTGCAAATGGCGGAAGATATCGGCTTGCAGCTTCCACGGCAGGGAGGAGTAAATGTTGAAGCCACCTGCACCGTCGCCCATCATTTCGTAGGCGGCTTTGTGGAGGCTGATCTCGAACAGGCTTTTCACGCTTTTCGAGGACTTGTTGATGCTGAGGTTGACTTGCTTTTGGAATTGGTGGAAGATTTCGTTTTGGAACCTCTGAGACAGGGAGGAGAAGGTGTCGAAGCCACTTTTAGTATCGCGAATGATGCGGCGAGTGGCTTTGTAGAGGGCGATTTCGTAGAGGCTTTTTGCGCCCTTCGGCTTTGTCATGGTTGAGATCGATGGCATCGTGACGTAGAGATGTGGATTACTTGTAATCAAGAGACGGGAAGAGTATCTTGTCGTCGCAAAGGCGGGTTGGATTCGGATCAGGAAGTGAGAAACTGCGAATGATTGCACGAAGAATCTGAGGAAGAGAAGAGACTGTGTGAGATGTTGAGCATTATTCGCATGCCAAGAACGAGAGGAGAATTGAATTGGATCATGTTGCAACTGTGGTAGACTCATCTATTTGTGAGTGCATGAGACGACCGCGGCGCGGCTTCTCTCGGAATTCTGGTGCTACTTACATATCAGTGAGAGCCTGAAAGACCCTCCTGCCGGACCTCGCTTTCGTCAACCGTCGCACACACTTCTTGAAACCTCTCTCGAGAACATTCCTGGCGCATGAAACAGCCTTACAGGGAGAGACCTCTAGAAACCGTGCACGTTGATAGTTTCTAAATCCAGCCCGAGACCATCCTTCTTTGCGACCAAGAATTCTTGGACACCTTTGCGTTGATCGCCGTGAAGCTGAATTCCCTCGCCCATCGCTTTATCAGTAGTGATGGATCCGTTGCATGTGAGCTTGTTCTTGAGCTCCTTGAGAATCTTTCTCTGATTGAACTTTTTGGGGATGCCTTGAACAGTCGTTAAAGTCTCGCGACCTTTGCGCTGCTGAATGCGGATGTGGATATATTCCTGGGCCTGCTTGGGCGATACTGGGTAGTCGTCAACGTCTTCCACATAGGTGTGAAGGGGCTTGAGCGTTTGGATCTGAGCTGATACATATTCAGCCGAAGGTCTGGTTTCAAGATCGATGTCCAAAGCTTCGAGTACTCTTTGCACAATAGCCACGTCATCTGCGGCTTTCGGCGAAGGCGTTGTTGCGCTTGGAGTTCGCGGCATGGTGATAATTGGGATGTAACGCATCGAGGTAAGGGTGATTTGGTGAAGGCATTTTGTAGCTGCGACTCGGAGGCGTTTCTAGAACTAAGCTGCTTTGTTGTGTCGGGATGAACACAAAGATTGCGCTCTCAAAGACTCGGGCATCTGACAAGGAGATCGCTGGGATGTGCTGGTACAAGTTCTTTGGGCGAGACGATGGCAGGCGCTGCTTGATTTCTGTCGGGGGGTCGAATGGTGCCTCTCTTTCTACTGCGGTTCAGGAGCTCTGCAAACGTCTTTCCATTGCTCTGTTGTATTCGTTGACCACTCTGGTAGATTCGTTGAGCAACTTGATGACTTGCTGGCTGTCGCGCTCCATTTGCTGAAAGTGTCGAAATATGGCGGCTTGTATGCTGCATGGCAAAGTCGAGAACATGTCGAAGCCTCCGATGGAGTCATTGAGCATTAGATTTATCGCTTTGCGAAGTGTGATTTGATAAAGGCTCTCTACGCCCAGAGCTGGCTGCGTGGTGCTCGACGCCCGCGGCATGGTGGTAGTGGCCGTCAGTGACACACGGTTGATGGAAGGGCTGCGAACTAGGGTGGTGCTAGTGTCTGCTCGTATGGGGTGGTTGGCAAGACAGATGGTGTGTCGAAAAGCCGAGCAAAATTTGTGTGACTCAGACGAATTGCTGCTTAGACTGCTCTTGGTCCAAATCCAGCCGCAATGACCGCCTGCTCCAGTTGTCGAAGGAGCTCTAGTTCGTCCTTCGTACCCTCAGCCCAACGCGCTTTGAACAGTAGCCAGACAAAGAGATCCTTCTGAACACTTGGAGGCAGGCTGGAGTAGATGTCGTGTGCGTGGCGGACGCTGCTTCTGGGGTCAAGAAGCTTTTGGGAGGTTTGATGGAGGGCGATAGAGCGGAGAGAGCGAGCACCTTTGCTGTAGGGGGTTTGTGGTGAGTTTGGACCTGGGAGAGCAGGCATCTTAATGAACGCGTGTAGTGGGAGCTGAATGTGGTATGCGGTAGGGATTTGCATGTGCGTAGAGTGCTTGGGACACAATAGAAACGCAGGTAGAGGCATGTACCCACCAGGCAATTGTATGCTGCCTATCACCAATGGCCGTCACTGACACTGCTTCACTTATATCGGCTAACCTGCTTGAAAGGCATGAGTGAGCTTAGCAGACTCACCTGCAAGTGATGCCTTCGAAAGCTCGCACCCCTAACTCCGACAACCCCCGAATTGCTCGCAAACAAAGGTTATATATTTTTGGTCGGAAATTTGGTTCACAATCACAGCAGAACTTCTCATGATTCGACTTGTGACCCTCTTCGGAGGCAATCAGCCGTTGATTGGGTTAGTTCGATCCTGACTGCTGTGTTAGGGGAGGCCGTCAAATAGGCGGTTACATAAATCCCCTGATATAGGAAGGATGTGGTCCTGGTAGGTTGGGGTGAAATCGGTCGATTCGATAGTCAGGATCTTGGATCGACCGTTGGGTTCGATTCCCTGGACGCTCTGGATCAGGGGCCTTTCCTTTTTGCTTTTTGACCTCGACTTGGGCGGTTCCATTTACGTAAGATGAAGCAGTGTGCGCTGGACTGACTTGCCAAGACGAATCGAGGTGAACTTCGCGCTGTTCCAATACTGTTGCCAAGGCTGGCGGTGTTCCCATTCGTTATCAGACTCTCATCCGGGATCAATTGACATTCTTCTTGCGCAGTCGACTACATGTACTTCATAAGGCGTTGACAACTGTGGCACTGCTCCTGCAAGTTCATGCTGTGGTCCCAGAAGCGCGACCGATCAGATACCTCATCATTTGATCATTAGAAGGCACCGGTTCAGCATACTCGGGGATTGCATCGGCCACGGCACCGCGAGAACTACCAACAAAACCCGGTCGCTGCAGCATCATGCCGAAGAGAATATGGTCATTAAGAATTTCAGCCTCATCTATAGGCCAATCTATGTATGTTGAAGGGAAGAGAGAGGCAGCCATGAGCTGAGGTGTAGTTAACCTCGATGCTTACATAAGGCGAACTCGATTGGAGAAATGCTGTGATCCATGGATTGAATTGATCGACTCGAACGTGATGAACACCACCGTGCTTCTCACGACCATAGCACCCGCTTGTGACTACTTTGATTTTTATTGGGAACAGCTGCTCCCGAGCGCCTCTTTCACCGTCCCTGGGTCCCCCGATTTCACCACGCCAGCCTTGTCACACTCTAAGTAGCCAGCCAGCCATGAAGCTGGTAGCGCAGAAGGTTGCGACACTCAGTCGACAGTGTCAAAAGCAGCTCCCACGAGCAACAACCACATGTGGGCACCGCGACTCTTGCACTACGGAACCACATACTGACGCCAGCAGATCAATCACAACGCAATGCGACAAACTTGACTCGACCAGCAGTCGAAGCCGATGCTAAGTCAAGAAGTCTGGCATACCAATTACGACGTGATTGGAAGGTCGGCGATGTCTATGCGCCCCATGACATGAGTCCGGCAGAAATGAGGAAGTGGGCAAAGAAGAAGTCGCCGGACAAGGATGTGTTTGATATTCTTGCGGTCGATCCGTTGAGCTTATACAAGGTCGGAGAAATATGCCCTCTGACAGGGCAGAAGAGGCTGACAATTCTCAGAACGTTTCAGTAATGACAGATTTCGTTAGCGAGACCGGCAGGATAAGACCGCGAAGCGAGACTGGCTTGCGGCCGGTCAATCAAAGAAAGATTGCGAAAGCTATCCGGAGGGCGATTGCGTTGGGGATTATGCCCAGTGCGTATAAGCACCCGATGTTGATCAAATCAGAAAAGGACAGAAAGACAGTCGCGCACTGAGCTCTTTTTGGCAAGACTGCGTACAATGAATCACGAACGCGGGCCCCCGCCGCACTGGCACGCTGTCCGACAAGTCGGCCCAGTGGCCGTCACGGCCCGCTGCGATATCTGCTTGTACAATCTAAGCAGGTGGCGAACTGAGGATGTCCAGGCCGGAGGGAAGATGAATGCAGGTGTATAGAGGACGATCCAATGCCAGGCCAATCGAGAACGGACAGCGTGGACGTCAGTCACGCTCGTCGCTGTGATGCCACCCTCAACCGGACTTGGATGTGCCGTCGAGGTGACGGGACAAGGCTACGATTGATTTGCGACCATCAGATACCTCCTGGGCTGGGCGACTGGAGTAAGTCGTCGAGCGCAATGGCGGCGGCCTGAAAAGAGGAGACTTGCGTAATGCGAGACAAATGATGCCGAATGTACATAAACTGTATGAATAGAAGGAGTGTCATGCATTCGCGACCTCCCCTTCCAAACACGTCGTGACTGCCTCCGATGCCCATGTGAAGAAGTCTGCCTCATCGAACAACGATATTTCGGACCTTTTGGGCCCCTCACCGCGGGGTCTGACCTCGAATCCTCCAACAAGGCGACGAACTTTCCCACCTCCTGCAATCATGTCTATCTCACCAGGTATGTGCTCATTCTGACGAAGGATAAACATCGCATGCTAACAGCAGCACAGACGGCATCTTTGCTGCCTTACCCAGTACCACACGCGGCCAGCCCACACCTCTCTCCGCCGACTCCAAGGGCGAGCGACTTGCGTATGCTTCGAATAAGTCAATCTTCCTCCGGTCGATAGACGATCCGGCGGTCTCTACACAATATACTCAGCACACAGCCAACACGACCGTCGCAAAGTTCTCCCCGTCTGGGTTCTACTGCGCCTCAGGAGATGCGTCTGGCATAGTCCGCGTATGGGACTGTTCACCCAACGGGTCCGGCGCGACCAAGGGCGAGTACTCCATCATCAATGGACGCATTAACGACATTGCTTGGGATGGAGACAGCCAACGTATCATCGCGGTCGGTGATGGGAAACAAAGATACGGTCATTGTGTGACGGCCGACTCGGGCAATACCGTTGGCGAGATCAGTGGTCATTCTGCACAGGTCAATGCCGTGAGCATACGACAGCAGCGGCCCATAAGAGCAGCCACTGCTGGCGATGACAAGAATCTGGTCTTCTACCAGGGTCCTCCGTTCAAGTTCAGCGATATTCCTGGACGAGGAAACCACACCAATTTCATATATGGAGTAGGCTTCTCGCCTGATGGAACGCATCTGGTCAGCATTGGAGGTGACAAGAAGATCTACCTCTACGATGGGAAGACCGGTGCCGTCAAGAACGAGATCGTGGACAGCGGCGAAGGTCACACAGGCAGCATCTTCGGTGTGTCCTGGTCGAGCGACTCAAAGCAGTTCGTGACATGTTCTGCTGACCGTACAGTAAAAATATGGGATGTTGAGGCAGGCAAAGTGAAGCATACTTGGTCATTAGGCGATGCTGGTGATGTGCCAACTCAGCAAGTCGGCGTGGTCTGGCCAAAGCGTGCGGATGGTCTTGTCATATCTCTGTCGCTGTCTGGAGAGCTCAACTACCTCCAGGAAAGCAGCAGTAAGCCAACCAAGATATTGTCGGGCCACCAAAAGAACGTGACTGCTCTCACAGCATCCTCGTCGGACTCGAAACCAACGCTATGGACCGGAAGCGCCGAGGGACGAGTATGCTCGTGGGACGCTGCTGCTGGAACTGCAGAGGCAATCGACGGGGACGGCCACACCAACATTATCTCTGGTTTGGCAGCAACTTCTGCAGACAAGCATCCACGGATCTATTCTGTTGGATGGGACGATACATTGCGCACAGTGGACGCCAGCGCAAAGACTTTTACCGGATCATCAACCAAACTGTCTTCCCAGCCGAAAGCACTGACTTGCACGTCTGACTCTCTTGTTGTGGTGGCTCAGCTTGAGAGCGTGATCGTGTACCGTGACGGAGAGGAAGACGGAGAGCTTCCACTCAAATCCACCCCAACTGCATTGAGCGCACACAAGACAACCGTCGCCATCGGTAGCTCAGACTCAAGTCTGCGGCTGTTCACAGTAGCACCAGGGAGAGCACCGAAGCAGTCCGCTGTCGTGGAGCAAGTATCTGCAACACCCATCACATCATTGGCCTTCTCAGAGGATGGCTCACAGCTTGCAGCAGGCACCCAATCGGGCAAGATTTACGTGTACAAGATCAGCAGCGGTATCACTGGCGCCATCACGGGCTCGGCATCGCTGGAGCTGGTGACTGATAGATGGAGTGCTCACACGGGCAAAGTCACGAGTATTGCGTGGAATGCGGCTGGCACAGGTGCTGTCTCGGGCAGTCTGGACACAAATATTCATGTATGGAGTTTGAAGGAGCCTGGAAAGCGTGTCAAGGCGACAAATGCGCACAAGGAGGGTGTGAACGGGATTGCGTGGGTGGGAGATGTGGTTTATAGTACTGGGGCGGATGCTGCTGTTAAGAAGTGGAGTGTTGCGATCTGAACATTCTGCTTAGCCTGTCAAGCGGCAGGAACTTAATCGAATTTGGAAACTCACAGCTGGTCAGACTGGTGGTAGACAATCGCCTACCTGCCTTAGAATTGTAGCCAATCGATCGCAGTCACGACCATTCACCAGCACTGACCGAAGGCCCCATATGCCGCCAAGGCCCAAAGGTCTTTCGCGACATTCGCGCAAGCGCCTTGCCATCTAGCTGACCATCGCTCCTCAAGCCAAAGATTCCTTTCGATAGACTATGATGGGTGAATACATACACTCGTACTGCGCTACCGAAGGGATGTGAGCGTTTCTGCAAGTTAAGATGAATACTGGGTGTGTTGTCTTGCTGCGTTGGCGTCGCCCTGTTGCCTGAGCCGTCCAGGAGCATGGGCAATAGCAAGCAACTGGCGCTCCTTCACCAACATTTTTGACAATCTCTCATGATCAGACACAGTTATAAGCGATATCTCTCACCGGATCTGTCACAATCTGGGCCAACATTCGTTTGCGAAAGATGCAATTCACTCGATCTCGTCGCAGTGTTCGAGCGTCAGAGCCTCAAACGTGGGGTAGATGGACGTGCAGAGGTGTATTGCGACACAGACGATAGCGCAGCCGTGGCGCAGAGAGTGCTATTCGACGAGGAAATACCATTCGACGCGGCTTGTTGCTGCTGCAAGTTTCTATCTGATCCATCCGCTAACGGCATAACATTCTTGAAAGACCCGGATCTTGCAGAGACTGCGCATGCCTCGTCAAAATACCACAGGTTCCTCACTTCCAGACGCTACGACAAGACAATTTGCATTAGCAGAGGACTAGGCGCGCACAATGACGAGCCTTCGGCATACCTGCAGACACACCAACTAGATTAGGTGCATCTTCCGCACGTCACACTGTCCGGTCAGTGCCCTCCATGCTCAGTGATTACTCGGACCTTCGAGAGTGGATGAGAGTCTGTAACGACTGCCATGTTGGCTGCGGACCATCCCTGGCCCCGGAGCTTTCTTCCATCAAGCTTATAGACGTCTCCGAGCGGACACTGGTCGGCTTCCCGCAAGGAAGACCTCATGTCCGGTTTGCGGCATTGAGCTACGTGTGGGGAGACGTTACCAAAGCGTCCTTTAGCCTGGGCAAACTCCCCCCTAGACTTCCACAGACTATCGAAGATGCGGCAACGATTACCAGAAATCTGAACCTGGCTTATTTGTGGGTTGACTACGTTTGCATAGATCAACACAACACGTTGGTGAAGCAGCAGCAGATAGATATCATGGACAGGATTTACAGCGCAGCACACCTCACGCTCGTCGTGCTAGATGGTCGTTCTGCGGACGAAGGCATCCCACGTGTCAGCGCGGCGCCGAAATCTATATCACAGACTGAGGTTGGCTTTGGACGTGGCAACGTACTTAGATCCTGGATGCCTTCCCTGCGTGACGAGATAGACTCCGGCGCCCATTCAACACGAGCGTGGACGTTTCAGGAGGTACTACTGTCCCGTCGCAAGATCTTCTTCACACGACATCAAGCTTTCTTTTCTTGTCGAGTATCTGAAGCCTGCGAATCGATGGTCGAGGTTGCACAGATCAGAGACAAGCAAGGCGAGCTCGCTTCAAGTTGGTACGGTCCACGTATCACAGATATTCTGGATGGCAAGCCGACAATTTTAGACACAGAACCTTACGATTACCTCGTGAACGAATACATGCACAGAAAGTTGTCAGTCCCAGCAGATGCGCTCAATGCCTTTTCTGGTATACTCTCTGTGCTCAGCAAGAGTATCTGTCCCAAAGGCTTCATGCATGGACTACCTGTAGACGACTTGCGTGCCCGATTGTGCTGGACGCGCAGGCCCATGGACTCTTTCGGCGATTTAGGAGAGAAGGCAGTGCGACGTTACGAGTTCCCCAGCTGGTCCTGGCTTGGATGGGAGTGGCGGCAAAACTCGTCCCTTTACTGGGGCCAGGAACATCAACGAAGAGGCCCCTGCTGTTACTGTTGTTTGCCTCAGCCACCTTTGAGCATACAGCCAGCTTGCAAAGACCACTTATACTGTGTGGTGGACTCGCCCTGCGTAGCCCAGAGCTTTGAGGCGTTGAACGAGGTAGATGCAACGGTGATGGAGACGGTCTTGGAAAGTCTACCGCTTGAGGACCTAAAACCAGATGATCTTGCGGACTGGACTCCTGGGCAGACTGAGATTTCAGGTATTCTCGTCCACGTCCCATTTGTGTACACGCGAGAAAAAGTACGGGAGCAATCTGTAGACTACGATGAGATCAGAGTCGATGACGACTTCGTCAATGGCTCAGGCATTACTCAGCTGCTATATTGTTTCGACGGCTTCATGGACGAAGTTGTACCACAAAAGAATACTTCTACGATTGCCGACTGCCTTCTGGTGGCATGGACCGATGAACATGAAAAGTCGACAGGGCCAGAGGACGACTCGGATGCGGCTCTGCTGGACCTGATCGAGCCTGCTGAAGCTCTGGCCGCCCAAAGCAGTCCAGAACTCACATTGTCTCTAGTAATTCTGAACTGGCACGCAGGCATAGCTAGTCGGGCAGGAGTTTTACAGTTTCGACTGCGTGCCAAAGAATTATCTGCGGAAATGCAGCGGATGAGACCTCTTAAGGCGACATTCATGATGGACTAGACGAGATCTGGGAAACACTCACTACTGTCACCGGGAAGAAACGATACATTGGACGATCCGACAAAGCCGCGCTTCACACGAACGAATAGGAAGCGATCAACCCCACGAGGCTACTCGCACGAGTCACCACTGAATGATCCAGGGGAGGATGTTCGTAACGAGACCCTGCAGAGTGACCTAGACGTTGGAGGGAAGGACCTGCACACCATGACTCCTGTGAGCCATTTCACGCCGCCAAGCGCCAATTGTTCGGACTCTGTGGGCCGGATCTCGCACTACCAGATCAGGATGTCTGGCATCCACAGTCGCGTAAGCAGGACTTGCTGTTGATGCACCCTGATTTTCATCCGCCACGGTCGCCGCTGTGTGGAAATAAGCCATCATCGGTACGGTGAAGAATGCAAATTGATAGATTTTGGAGACACGCCAGGGCTCGTACACAATGGGCATCATACTTCACGTCTGGGCTTGTTATCAACAGCCAAGTTGCATCTGATGTGTATGAACAAGAACTGTGCCCATTACAGCGGCCCTTGTGGTGTCTTCCGACCGCGAGACACTTAGATAGTACCCGCCATTAGTGCGCAGCGCAAGTGCGGTGCCGAAGCCATGACACAAGGCTATGGCACGTCTACAACAGTGGGTAAGCAGTTAGAGATTCCGCTGTCTCTCCGTCTCCATCTCCGCCGCCCGGTTTTGCTTGGCAGCGGAGGTTGCATGTGCCAGACAAACGAAACGGCACCTACCGCAGCTGAATCAGACTTCCTATTCTTTGTACACAATTCATTTCTATTGTTCGCATTCGGCGCCAGGTGGCCTTCATATACATGTTTCGCCCTTATAACCTCTTTCCATCACTCGAATGTATCCATCCGGCCTCGCGTGTGCTTCTGCGCGGACAGGCGACGACAACTCGCTCGTAGTAAATCGCTACCATGGCAACTAGCCTCGACGACACATTCAATCCCGCTACGCTTGCGCGCTCCGATACAGTCACTTCGAACGCGACGACAAAGGCTGGTCCGTCATCTGCTGTCAAGCCGGCGAAGCAGGTGCAGACGTACCCCAGGATTGATCTTGAGCCATTCTATGCGGAGGTCAAGTCGTTGATTGCGGGCGACTGGGGGACGTACTATGATGCGCTTACGAGGTTCATTCGAGGTACATGACGCTCTGCACATGTAGTGACACACCTATTAACCACTCACAGGCCAGCTCAATGCCAACGAATTCGCTGATCTATGCGACCACTTCATCCTGATCAACGCAGCCACCGAACATGCACATAACGCCCTCATCGGCGCTATTCTCAGCAATGTCGGCCGAGATCCTCCCGAGCCGGGCACTGCGGCATGGGTCAGCACCGCCGGTGACAAGCCCGGAGGCACCGCCTCCTCCAAACCCGCCGTCGCAAGCGATGCAAGCGAACAGCGCCTAAAAGCAGAAGTCATGGCCCTTCCACCGCGCGAACGGCGACGACTGAAGGCAGTGCTCGAGAGCGGCAAAGGTCTCGGTCTCGGTACTACCCCTGCCATCGAAGAAGAGTCCGCAGTAGGCCTACGCGCAAGTATGGAACAATACCAACAAGCCTCGCGCATAAAAGCACCACAGGTCCCTGCCTCAACCGCCGCCGGCACAAAGACGAACTGGGACATCGAGATCAGGAAACGCTACACCCAGCCGCTCTATGCCGAGACACGCGAATTCCCAGACGCCAACACCGTCCTCGCACGGATAGTGCCCATATGCTACGAGGAAAGCGTGCCTTCAGGGACCAATGCCGAATGCGCTGAACTCGTCACAATCGCTGCGGAAACATTTCTCAAAAATTTGGTGCACGACATCTTCAACAAGGTCCGAGTCAATGGCCCGCGCTACGAGAACGGCGCTGGGACGGGTGTGCTGACCGCCAACTACCTGAAACGGGTGCACAAGGAGGAAGCAGAAGTCAAGCTCGGTCGGCTTCAACGCGACAGGGACAATGATTTATTACCTGTCGAGAGCAAGGAAGCGAAAGCGCGGAGGCCGTTGGGGATTGGTGATCTGAAGCTGGCGAACAAAGTCGGCCCCTCGCTGTGGAATGGCATGCCTATGATTGGCGCGCAGGTTAATCACAATCAGTTCGATATTGATCTCGAGGAGTTCTATGCCCAAAGGGAAAGAGAAGGGTTTGGTAGTCTTGCCAGTCAGATATTAGGGCCGAAGAATGGCGAGAAGGCTGCGCAGACAAATGGACACGTTGCTGAGAAGCATGTCGATGGTGATGAGATGGACGTCGATGAGGAGGAGGACGATGTTGGGTGGGAGGGCGCTGGTGCTCCTGATCGGGATATGCTCAAGAGTACACTGGCTGATCTGTTGGCTGCGCCGGCTTAGACGGCTGGTGCTAAATCGGATTATGAGCAGTCGGGAGGGACTGTCCAATCAACCTATAGGCCCATGGACGACGCAGATGGGATACCACAGCTACGGAACGAGGACTCGGTTCACTGTGACGGATTAGCTTCCGAGCTTTGGAGCGACATTTCTGAAAGATCACAGCAATGGGACCATGAGTCTATCTACAGCGACGAGGCGGCCTCTGAGCCTATGAGCATCTCTTCAGGAGAACTACCACCACAGGGCGGTCTCTATGACCACGACGATGAGTATACTACAAGTTTGCCAATACCGTCTGCTGTGACAGAGCCCGCCGACGATGATGATCCTGGCATATCAGAAACACCGCCTGTTTGGGCAAACTCCGAAGAGTCGATGTCCAACCCAGACCCAGAGTCCGACGAAGCAGAAACGCCGGAACAACATCATGAGCTTGACCACTACGACAAGTATGCTGCGCAGTTCCCGAGACCGTCTGTTGCATCGGCGCTTGATGATGATGGTGGAAGACCTGAAATACTCCCATCTCAAGCCCACATTCCCAACCTCAACAATGGCACGGGCACGAACCTCACAGAGCGAGCACCCACCATTAACGGATGGCCCTCCTCCGCAGGACTATCCACCGAAACGGCCGCCGAGAATCACAACGTCTGCCCCAAGTGCCAGCGCCGCTTCCAATCGTCCCTCGTCTTCCAGAAGCACATGAAGGAGCTCCCCTGTGAAGAAGGACCCTTCGACTGCCCAGACTGCGGTCGGACGTACGCCAGGGCTGCTGCTTTGAAGGAGCACATGCATGGGTCGTGGAGAAGGGAGAAATCGTGTCCGGGCGCTGCATTGAAGGGCACGGATGGTGATGAGGATGGACTTGCTAACGACTTGCCTGATCTCGTCGACACCGCCTCGATAGATCGCGCAGAGCCAAACCCCAACCCGAACCCCGACCCCTCCTCCGCAGGACCATCCGCCGAGACGGGGCTTGAGACACCGCATCTCTGCCCGACATGCCAGCACCGTTTCCCATCAGCTTATCACTTACGGAAGCACATCGAGATCCCTTGTCAAGGTTTGACTTGCCCAGACTGCGGTCGCAAGTACGCCAAGGCATGGCAGCTGGCAAACCACTTGAAAGGGAAGGTACCGGGTGTGAAGAAGAGAGCATGCGTAGCGTACGCTGCATCGAGGGGCACGGATGTTATTGGACAGGGGCTGTGATGTGGGAGGGAGGGGACTGCTGCTGAGTAAAAGTGCGATTCGGGTCGAGGACTGGGATGGGAGGCAGGTGGAGGAATGGCTATATGGATGAGAGGTCTGTTGGGGAGTATGCGCTTGTGACTGACTGAAGAGATAGCAAGGAGTGTGCTGGTGCAGGGTGGCCCCTGCCGAGAGGAAGAGAGAACGGCGGCGGCACCTGCGAGCAGAGCTAGATGGCTGGAAGCAGTTTGTGATTGGGCCGCAGTAGCATCCTGATTGTCATCGACGCTTACATCCATACAAGAGAGCAGACACTCGGGTGCATTGCCCCAAAGTATCTGCTGTAATTATGCCCTTGCTCCTGAACAGACTCTCTGCTGCCTTTGGCATCCGCACCTTGATGAGGTTGGTGATCAACAGCAAGGGATTCCGGAGGTTACGACTGAAGCGGTGAGGGTCGCGTACGGGTACAGTCTGTTTGGAAGGGGTTCTGAAGCGACGGACGAGAAGAAGCGATTGCGGGCAAAGCTACGAGAACTTGGATGCCATGCCGAACCCCGCGAAGCAGAGACCTCCTTCTCGCAGGAGATAACATGCGTCTACAAGCTGACTCTCGACAGTTTCCGCCAGTCCTGCCAAACCATCGTCATGAGCTTCCCCACCCTCTATCGCTTCCTCGAACGCCGGCGCCAACAGGTTGGAATTCCTCTCCTTATCGCCGTGGGACCCGTGGCCACGGCCTTGCAACGATATCATTCCTGACGAGATCGAGAACAGCCACGACTGCCGCTGCTGTCTATCACGATGGTCTCGCTGACGATCGCCTCTTCGCTAAGAGCCTCCGGGCCTGGTATCTGATACAGAAGTACTCTCCGTGGCTCGACCGGTTTGACTGTGGCAATATCTGCGACGTTAGGCTGCCAGCCCGTTTAGCCAGCGTGGCATTCACCGCGAAGGTCGAGGGACGCAAGACCTTGGCAGCGTCAGCGACCTTCCTTGGCCGGTATACTGCGCTGCCGATGACACCACAACTTGGCGCAGATGGGGATGAGTGGACTACGTATGTCACAGCCAGGATCTTGATTGACACCGGGAGAGCAGCCTGGGTGTGCTCTTCTGCGACTACCCACAGACCTTCGCTGTTTGATCGGACGGGCCGATCAGTTCTGAATAATGAAGGCGATGATGACATTGCCGGGAGTTGGCACAAATACGGAACAGACGCTGTAAAATGTTCACACCGTGGCATTTCGAGGAAGTGGCAGAGCCAGAGTCAAAGCGCGTGGACTGGATTGTGATTCCGCGCAGCGTTTGATCTGATGGTAGATGGACGGCGCTTACGAGGGGACGACGAAAACGATGAGACGCTGAGGTAGGCCAGATCGTTAGAGAAATGGAAGAGAGGCAAGCCGATAGATGGGTTACAGTCCAGGTATGGTGGGTGCTCGCAGGCCTGCCGGCTGATGGTATTTATGCGATGAGCTCGACACGTCCTCCTGCTCAATAGGATGGAACGAATACAAGGCACTGGCGAGATATCGAGAGTTGCAGATGTACTTAGGTATGGTTCGGAGCAGATCGTTCGGCTCGGTCCACGGGTAGATTAGTGTCTTCGTCAATCGAATGTTTACACCCCACAAGGCGACCACGCACATCCTTTCTTGCGAAAAGCTGCATGGCATCAACCAGATACATACGGTGAAGCCTCAGCGCCTAGAATGGCCGCAGCTGTCAGAGCGTCACAATGGATTGGCTCCGGCCAGAATCTACCAGGATCAATGCAGTCCAGTTGCCAATATACGGGGCGCCAGGCGAATCACAGAATGCTGCAACGCGCAGGTGCTTTGCGATACGAGTCTAGACTTGGTAGCATGGAGGTTCAGAGCTGCGTAATGCTATCGGACACTGGATAGCAAGCTCAGCCTGACCGTGCCCATGCGCCCTTTTACTGCCTGCTGTTCTCATGGTCGGCGTCGCAGCTTATGACCTCTCACTACAGCCGCGGGACTTGACGTGATCGTGACGACTTAAAAATGGCTGCTGCTACCACTGCTGCTGGGCCGACACAAGACAAGATCTTTACCTTCACAATTACAGGAGATAATGGAAGTGTGCAGACGTTCACACAGACGGCCGATACCACTGACTTTGCCTCAGCCACCGACACTGCCGCGGCATCTTCCGAATCCGATTTCACTCAAACATCTGCAGCTGCAAGTGCGGTTCAGGCTAGCGAGACGGTGCTCAGCAGCGCTACAAGCCCCAACGTCGTTTCTGCGACCACCGTATTCGCCTATCCGGTCACTGTCAATGGCAGTCCAACGACTCTCTTGGCCACTGTCACCTTCAACTCGACTCGGGGGGCACAATCATCGATAGGGTCAGGTCTAGCAGCCTCGTCTTCCACCGAAAGTGTATCTTCGGCATCGCCGACGCCGACACCGTCACCTCAACCAGCTAGCGGACTAAGTCCTGGGGCTAGCTGGAGTTGTCATTGGTGTATTACTCGCCCTGCTGATCTGTTCAGGTGCAATATTTTGGTGGACTCGGCGGAAGAGGCGATCAAATAGGCAAAATCAAGGCCATGAACTCGTTGGGGCTCAGATCCACGAAAAGGCGGTGCGAGAGGTGCATACTGCTGAGCTTCCAGGGAATGCACCAAGCCCGAAGGATCTCAAGAAAAACCCCAGCGGGATGAGCGAACTCGAGGGGTCACAGGTCACTGCCAGTAGTTGACGGCGCTGAATGGAGGGCATGCTCCACATGTTCTCACCGTAAGAAACCACAAGAGGATCGTGCACTGCGCGATCCCACGCCCGTTAGCCATGCAGGGGAACGAGCGGGCGCAGACAACAAGATCGGCCTCGCCACTTCCATTCCTCCCTCGCCTCCTGGTCCTTCCCAGCTTCAAGATCTGCCTCACCGCATTGCATTATTGTGGCCTGGATCTAACAATTGGACCAGGCAATCGGAATGGCTGCCATTTCTACGGCAGGCACTGAAGTCGAGTCTTCCAGTACATCCGCAAGTACACCTACCGCAATCTCGCCGTCGTGCACCATCTTGGACATAAAGCCCGACGTCGTCCCTATCAGCATCATCCTCGTAGTCTCATACAATGTAAGTGGTACTCCAACGGCGCTCTTCGCCACTCTAACGTTCGACTCGACCGTATCCTCGACTGGAACCTTGAATTTCATGTCGTCACCCACATTATTGCAATTCGGACCAGAATACAGCGGACTGAGTGATGGTGCCATAGCTGGAATTGTCTTTGGTACCATAATGTCCGTGCTCCTCTGCACAAGCGCAATGCTTTGGTGTGCTTTCTGGGGAGGACGGATGAATAGAGACGGTCGAAGAGATGATATCCCTGAGGAGAAACATGTTCCCGACACCGCCAGCGAGAGATGTCCACGCTGTGCAACAGACCAGGAACACGGCCGGCGATCCCTTAACAGCCCTGGACCAATAGCTCCATCTTCTGCCACCACAGTGACGACGACAGCAGCAGCAACGTCGGCTTCCAACGCCACAGCGCAAACCGCATGCTCCGTTTCTGTACCCGGAGCTGCCCAGGACGAGACCTCCAAAAGCATGAAAATTGGCCTCCTCGACGACTGCCGGGAGGCCTTCCCTGCGTGCTGTGCAAATACGACTCCACAATGACTAGCAGGCATATGAGAGCTGTGTATCGTGTACGACAACCATGTGCGAGCTTTGGGCTTGGATGAGAAGCCCTTGATGGTGCTCAAGGTCCTGGAGGGCGAGGGATAGAAGCCTGTGTTCAAGCTGAGGTTGGTGCGGGATCCGTTGGAAATGCTGCAATTGACGGCGGATCTCGAGGATATGAGTTGTGGTGCTGCTGAAGACTCTGGTAATGACCAGTTCCGCTACCGCGATGCTGTCTTTGACCAAGCTGCATGTCCCCAAGGATGTCTCATATCGCCTGGATCAGCTGTCGCGCTACTGGAGGTGGTCCAAATGTCCAGACGTGTGGACGTGGACTTCGGTCGCGTGGGTCGCAGTGGATCAGCTCCAGATAGCCGCGGGAGACCATCGCTGAGCGCTGGCTGCGATGCAGGTTCTCCTTCAAGACCATTCACTTCTTCCTCCCCGCCTTCCCCTCCGTAGCCTCCAACTCCTGCAGCCTCCCTTCCTCCACAACCAACATCTCCTTCTCCGCCGCCACCATCTTCTCAATCTTCTTAACCGCCTCCCCCAACCGATCCAACTCCTTACTCTCCTCCTCCCTCGAAAACTTATTCCCGGGCGTATTCACCTCCGGAATCTCCGCCGTATGCACCTTCACCATCGCCCCCTTCCCACCTTTCCCCTTCGCCTTCTGCCCCTGCGGCCTCCCGCCTGTCAACACCTCATAAAACGAATCCAACGGCTCATTAAACAACACCTCCTCATAACACACACTACTCACCATCGTCCTCTCCGCCTTCTGTCTCTCAATATCGCCCACATACGGATGCAGCTTCAACGGATGCCACAACTGCTGCGGCTTCTCATTACTCTCGGGCGCAAAGTAGAATTTGATCGCGATCTCAAACTCGCCCCAGCCCGTCTCCTCGACCTCAAACGGTGGGCTCTCGATCATGCGCACGCTGTTGGCGTAGGTGTCGTGGAGTTTGAACTGGACTTTTTTCAACCAGTACGAAATATCCTCGTTGTTGATGCCCCGGACAAAGACTTTCCATTTGTGCGTGTGGTCGGCGGGGGCGTCGCGCGGGCGTGGTCGGGTGGGAAGGGGATGGCTTCGGTGCCGTAGAGGAATGGCCGGTGGATTTGGATGCCGCGGACGCGTTTGGCGCCGCTGGGGGCGGGCATGGTGAGTGGGGCGAGCAGTAAGCGCCGGAATCGAGCGCAGCGAAGGTGTTCGGGTCAAACGTGGACCGGGGCGGTTGGCGAATGGAGCGAGCTCTAGACTGAGGTCGTGAGGCTGGAAGTAGCGCCGCAGGCGAGTACTCAGGGGTGAGCGGAGCGACTTGTTGCGCCGCAGGCAAGTGGTGGACGGCGGATGTGGGTGGAGGTTTGAGAGATGGTAGATGTGCCCAGAAATTTCTGTGGGTTAGATTCTGTCAGGTAGGGAGGTTGGTGGGCACGCTGGACTGAGGACGAAGTACTATGAGGGCCAAGATGGGGTGGTATAGGCTTCAATGAAGCAAGACTAACGTGGTACATGTACGAAGCGGCTTTGGAAAAGATGTTGGAGATCGCGGGGCGCGGAGATAGTGAAAATGAACTCCGGACACCGCCTATCGAGCAAGTTGCCTCGTTCCACAGACGAGGCATCCTTCGAATATTTCTTGGGAATGATCATCGAACACAATCCCATCGAAATTTGATGCCATTGTACGCTGCCAGATGTGCTCATTGAAGGCGGAGGCAAGAGTGGCGTCCTCTTTGCGTTTCAATGACAGCCATACCATGGTGGGCTGGACCACCAAATTTATATTCTGCAACGAAAGCTGTCGGCCGGTCTTACCAGACGCACCTCGAAGGCCTCGAAACGGAACCATAGTATGGGGAACTTACGTATCTCTGACGTGAAGAGGCTCTTGTCATCCGGTCTACGATAAGGCGCTTTTTTAATGGTCCGCATCTGTTGCTATCGGACGTATGGATGATTTCGAGTTCTCATGGTATTCGAGTGACCCTTCGTCGTCTCAGATCAGGGTCAACCACCTGCGTGCTAGCTGACTCGCCCGAGATTGCACTTCTCGCGCCACTCCTACACCCCAATTAGTTTTGCCAACCACACCTAACATCATGCTCTGCTCACCACCCAGGAACCTCCCGTATCTTCAACCACAACCCATCTCTTGGCCTCGCCGTAATGCCGCCCTTGATCAGAATATGCTCCCCATCCGCCTTATCCCTGAATTCAACCTCAAACTTTCCCACAAACGCCGCCAACAGCGCCGCCAGCTCCGCCCGCGCAAACTTCTCCCCAATACAACTCCTCGGCCCGTGCAGAAACGTCAGAAAGCTGTAGTTGCTTTGCGCCCCGCCTGCATTCGCTTGCCCCGGTGCGAGCCAGCGTTCCGGGTTGAACACTTCGGCATCGGGTCCCCAGAGCTCTTTGGAGAAGTTGACTGCCCAGGGGCAGAGAATGACTTTGGTGCCTTTGGGAATGAACTGGCCGAGGATGGTCGTGTTGACTGCTGCGTCACGTAGCGTGAGCGGGACGGGCGACCACATGCGGAGTGTTTCGTTGCACATGGCGTGAAGATAGGGCATGTTGTCGATGATCTCGCTGGTGATGGCTGTAGAATGCGGATCGGGGATGTGCTGGCGGACTTCCTCGCGGAGACGTTTTTGAGTCTCAGGGTGCTGGCACATGGAATAGAGGGCCCACGTCATGGCTGAAGCGGTGGTTTCGTGGCCGGCGGCGAGGAAGGTCATCATGTTGTTCACGAGGTCTTCGTCAGAGAAGCCGCCGGATTCGAGCGCAATGGAGGTGATGTCTGGCGAGAGTTCTTGCTTGGCGGCGATAGCGCGACGTTTCTGGTCGATCAGGCGTTGCGAGGTGTCTCGGGCGACTTTGGAGGCGGCCATGACGTCTTCGTTGCGCTTGATGGGGAGGTTTTGGATGATGAAAGATGGGATGAAGAACTGGAGGAGTGCGAGAATCTGGCCTGTGCGCGAGGGCTGGAAGATTGCGCGGTAGACTCTGTTGAGCTCGGTGTCTGGCTTTGCGATAGAATCGAAGTCTTGGCCGAGGCCGGCTACGCCAATGATGTCGAGGGTGGCTCGGGACGCCCACTCGCCGATCTCAATTGATGGTGAGACGCTAGATCTGTGCCCTTTTCTTGTTTGCTCACAGACTGCGAGATGATCGCGTCGACCATCTCAACGGATTTGGTCCAGAAGATCGGATAGAGCTGCTTGATGTGGCGAAAGTTGAATGCTGGCCCAAGCGCCTTGCGTTGCTTCTTGTGTTCGTCGCCTTCCGCGAACAAAATGCCCATTCCGAGGATGCGGCCGATCCCAGCAGCGATGAAGTCGGGCTTAACAAAGTCGTAGGATTTGGTGACCATGACCTCCGCAAGACCCTTCGGTGATACGACTAGCACTCGATCGCGGTTGAAGAGATGGCGGTAGCGGATCAAGCCATTGTTGGGAATTTCATTCGTCCACCGTCGCAAAGGAATGCCAGAAGGCTCCTTCACGATCTTGCTCCATTGTCCAGAAAAGAAGGCGTTGCCATCTGGTTCGGGTAGATGTCGCAAGGGACTGACGAATCGTGGGTAGATGACGATGGTGTACGTCAAATATGTGAACCATTGCGCCAGAAACAACAACGACGCTGTGGTCTTGAACCATGGCGGCACAATCTCATATCTTGTGAGGACGAAGGCGCCCGCTACTGATGAGGTGGCCCAAAACGTCCATGTTGAGAAAGGATTGTATTCAAACTTACTCCTGGCACTCATCTTGGCTTGGAGTATGCGACGAGCTTGGCAGCGGGGATGATGCGAGGTATCAGCTGGAAGGATAGCAGCCTCTATATCAGGCGTAGAGGCTGGCGACGTCTCAATGCATCTGCCTGGATCGCAAAACCTGTCGTATCAGGTTGTGAATATGAGTGGCGCGACAGGTGGTCGTGGGTACTATCAATGACGCTTTCTGCCGCACGGATGAAATCTGCTCCGACCGTTGAACCGGGTAGTCTGTCCGAGCTAAGGCCTGGGTTCTGACAAGATCTTCGGGATGCGAATTAATACAAACGAAGACCTGACCAGCAGGCAGACAACGAGAGATGAGTAAAACTGCAAGGAGTCCGTCCGGTGTTCAGCCAGCTAATTCAAGTTGAAAATGAGCATGTTCCAGACCGGAGCAGGACGCGCAGCTGAACCAGGGTTTCATCACAAACTGGGATTTCCACTTTGACGAAATGGGTATGGAGAACGAGGTACCATTACGAGATACGAGCCAGATTGACAAAACAATTCACAGAAGGCGTTGCGAAATAATGTTTGCATCATTTTTGAATCCAGTAAGAGCACATCGTGAAAGCGGATTGCGCGAAGACGTATGCCACCTTCGTTGCCTGGCACCGTCCTCCTCGATGTCGCCCGGTGCGGTCTATGATCAAACCACAACGCCATTGTGTACAGATCAGCGTGCCTCGTCCACTCTGGGCCCGGAATATGGTGTATCTCGATTGCTCGCACTATGGGTCTTGCTTTCATATCCAAGTCCCAGGTACGCCATTCGCCGACGGGAAGTATTAACCTCCGTGCACATTCCATGTCAACATTAGTCGTAAACGCCGTAACACCTGGATTGAAGCATTATCGTTGGCTCAGTGGTAACCATTCGTCCTCGGAGCAGTGGTACGTTGTGAGTATGCAGCGCTGCCGGCCGCGAAATATGGGTGGTTGCATGCAGCCTTGGCCGACATGCGGTGCGAAGGGTCGTACTCGAGCATGGCTTCCATCAATTCTATTCCGGCAGGCTCAAGGGTCTTGACGATATTGGCAAGGTTCTCGCGTGGCCACTTCGGGAAGGAGGTCTTGAAATCCGGAAATGATGTGACGCCTGGCCATGTCTGTTCGGTCGGTGTACCAAGGAGCCTTTCATGAGGTCAGTCTCTCGTCCAATGGTTGGCGAGCAATATACATACTTGAAGATTTTGAAGATCTCTCAATCTCAGAGTCTCCTGGGAATAATGGCTTGCGGGTACACATCTCAGCAAAGATAGCACCAACCGACCACATGTCCACGCCTGTCGAATATTGCCGGCCACCTAGCAGAATTTCGGGCGCACGATACCATAGTGTAACTACCTGGAAGATTGTTAGCATTGAAGTAGATCAGTCTGATTGAAGCATACCTCATGTGTGTATGTGCGCAAAGGAACACCAAAAGCTCGAGCGAGACCGAAGTCAGCCAGCTTGAGATTACCCTCCCGGTCGATGAGCAGATTCTGAGGCTTTAGATCTCTGTGCAGCACACGGTGACTGTGGCAGTATCGGACGCCCTCAATCAGCTGGGCCATGAACTTTTTCACCATGTCCTTGCCCAGACCCAAGCGTGACATCTCAGCAGACCCATCAGGGAGCGCTTTGCCTCGGCCGCCATCCGACACTGGCAGTGCTTCCATGTACTTTTTCAAGTCGAGGTCCAGGAACTCGCAGACCAGGTACAACTTATGTCCATCGGCGTGAACAATGTTAAGCAGGCGGACAATGTTGGGGTCGTTCATCTCTTTGAGGAGTGAGATCTCTCGGATAGCAGTGCTGGGAACACCCTCATCTTCGGCTTCGAGGCGGATCTTCTTCAGGGCAACTATGCGACCGCCGTTGGAAAGGTCTTTCGCTTTGTAGACAACGCCATATGTTCCTGTAGCTCGTTAGAACCTGTCGAGAGCACCACATGGATGCAGCTCACCTTCTCCGATCTTCTCGATCTTCTGATAGTTCTCCATGGCTGTTGCGGAGGGAGTCACTGGAAGGATGCTACGGAAAGGAGAGGCAGATCTGAAGGGATTAGTGCTGGCAGATCAAAGGGTGCGCAAACTTACGGAGAAAGAGAATGTAGGCGCCGCAAATCGCTGTGTATGGAATCTCCTGTCTTACCTTTGGCGCTGGTGTCGAAGTTGGGCGTCTGACGGGCGCTGCAGTCTGGTTGCTGGCTTCGATGTCTGATGTTTTCATCGATGTTTACAGGTGGAGATCCCAGGCTTCGAGTCGCGTCTCCAATAGGCGCGGGGCATAGGTGTCGGCGTCGCGTCGGGGCCTGCCAAGCGATTCGGCTGCCCGCAGTGGAGAAACATTTCAACCTCTTCTGCGATTTCAGTCATCTGGCGGTGACTCACTTCGCTACACTCACACATATCGCTTGATTACGTTTTGAAAGGGCATGGTGTAGGCGCCGCTGACAACATAGGTTCTTGGGGATTGCGGCAGCCGCGTCGATCCTTTAGACGGCTCTTGTGGGGTTTTTTCTAGCAGCACAAATCGCCCGCCATGGCGACGAAAGAGTTGACACCGGAGGAGCAGCTGGCCCTCATCAAGGTCAACTTGGGCGAGGTCATGAGCGAGCACATAATAAAAAAGATCGTGCTAGAGGAGAAGCGACCGCTGGTCATCTACTGGGGCACAGCAACAACAGGAAGACCACACTGCGGCTACTTTGTGCCCATTATGAAGATTGCTCAATTTCTGCGGGCAGGCTGCAAAGTCAAGATCCTGCTGGCTGATGTTCATGGCTTCCTCGACAATCTGAAAGCGCCGATCGAGCTTGTCAAATACCGCGCCGAATACTACAAATTCATCGTCCAGTCATTACTGCGGGTGGTGGGCGTGAGTCTCGACAAGCTCGAATTTGTTCTTGGTTCGTCCTACCAGTTGGGCGGTGAATATACAATGGACCTATTCCGGCTGAGCACTATTGTTACAGAGCATGATGCGAAGAAGGCAGGTGCAGAAGTCGTCAAACAGGTGGACAATGCAACACTTTCGGGCCTCATCTATCCTCTCATGCAGTCGCTCGACGAGCAGTATCTTGGTGTTGATGCACAGTTTGGCGGTGTGGATCAGCGCAAGATCTTCGCTCTGGCTACAGAGTGTCTGAGCAAGATTGGCTATAAGCCTCGCGCACATCTCATGAATCCTATGGTGCCTGGTTTAGCCGGTGGAAAGATGTCGGCTTCGGACCCGAACTCCAAGATTGATATTCTCGACACAGCTGACGCCGTCAAGAAGAAGATAAGATCGGCCCACTGTGTCCCTAAGGAAGTCGAAGGCAATGGCATTTTGTCGTTTGTCGAGTATGTGCTGATGCCATTGAGCGCTCTGCGCAGTGAGAACGGCCAAACTCGGTTCGTTATCGAGCGAACTGAAGGCGACCCGCTGGTCTACACCAGCATCGAGGCTATGAAGGAAGATTACAAGGCAGATACGCTCAGTCCACAACTGCTCAAAGCAGGCGCCAGCGCGGCGTTGGTGGACTTGCTCGCTCCGATTCAAGCAGAGTTTCAGGCGTCGCCAGAATGGCAGGAGATCGAGAAGAAGGCGTATCCGCCAGCGGAACCTGCCAAGAAGAAGAAGCAGCCAAAGGACAAGGGCTCTCGCTACCCAGGTGGGGGTACTTGGGCTAATGTTCAGCCTGATGGCTCGATCGTCGGCGAGAATAAACAGCAAGTGGACGTCGCTGCGAGTGCCTCAGAAGCAATGCAGAACCTGGCCGTCAATGGTTCTAAGCCTTGAGCATTCCAGTTCAGCGAATGTCCCTTGCGGACGAGCACCGAGGGTTCTGCCGGATAGCCACAGCCGTTCTCTGGTTCCAGCAATGTGCCAGGCAGGCGGGGTGTTGCAAGCAGCATTATTTCAGCGAAGCCGCGTCAGGAGCGGCCTCCTTGACGCTCCCCCTGGTCGTCGTCCCGCTGTTGCAGACTTGATGGGGTCATTGCGGAGCTCCAAAATTGGGCTCGTTAGCCGCTTCGACGCCTCGAAGCAGGGAATCCGTTCGCGAATCACGATTAGTGACAGATCAGAGTGGTACGACTAGTTCGACCGTAGAATGTTCTGTTGCATGGAATTCTTGCAAAGTACTTCTAGAAGCCACACTCGAATGCAAAGAACTGGAGCTGGAGTGCTCCATTAGCATTATGTTCAAATGACCGAAGCTTTGATCCCTGTTCCTACATTCATCTATCTCTCTGACAACGTATATTCTAGTCGGGCCGAATAAATCACCGCTCTGACTCTCGGCTCTACTTGTTTCATGAGCATGATCACCCACTAAAGGAGGTACCAACACGGCGCCACGGCAACGAGAATCTCCGAGTTGACCAGGCTCTTGCCTTGCAGCCGTCGATGGCTTTCTTGCGACATGCAGATGGTCCATACATTCGCATCTTACGATATCGCCGAAACCAAGAACGGTAGCATTGGTTTCCTAGAGTTTGAGGCCACGCACTGCGTTGTTGTCCAGATACTTCCATGCAGTAACGCTGACGCTGGTGTATAGGACACGAGCTCAGTGGTGCATAATGAATACCGAACGGATGCACGGTCAAGCTCACGGCGAGTACTTGCGCTCGAGGTCATGTTGACGCCCATGCGGCACAAGGATGTCTTCGGACGTACTGGATGCTACATGTCTTGAAGCTGGACAAAGGTTGCACGGCATTATGGATCTGCATTGTGACGCTTCCAGCATCGCTTAGCGCAGTCAATCTAGTAGCTGCTGCGATGCGCGTCGCGGTTGGTCATTGGTGAGGTCAACGATCTTGCGATGGTGCATCCGAAACACCACGACTGCTGCTTCTCTCCGTTGCAGAGCTTAGTTTGTGTGCATAGTCGATTTATGCTTCGACATCCCGGACTCCGCATATTCGGCGACGAAACCACAACGTTGCTGGTTGATACAGACGGCACGCAGATGGTGTCCCTGCGTTTCCACAATATGATCACCATCGCTTGGGAACAGATCAAACGAGGACTCGATACTCTATACCCCATACTGACGAGTCTCGTTCGGGCAAGTCCTTGACTCTATACTCTGTACGAGTCGCAGCGAATAATACTTCGCCTAGGATCACTGACAAGAGCGTACTGACGGTCTGTGGCGACAATTGATCGGCCATACTAATCTCGGCCATTCTGCACACATAATATGGGGAGCACTCTATTTCAGCGGGACCAGCCACAGCCTAAGAAGATGCTTTCTTTGCCGAGGTCGCTAAGTGCGAAGATCCGTTGCCATTGTTGTAGAGGTCAGATCTGCGCATGCGACCAGCAGCGTGCCCATAACGGCAACATTGACATCATTCTTGAAATCGATCGTGAGGTTCAATGCTGGGAGATCACGATGGGTGCCATCCTTCCGCGCATGCCATGCCTCCCCCTCGCGCAGTCATGCAGTAGCTCATCAGAGCCGCAGCTCGTGGTTTGCGATTACCTTTCGGGGAGCTTCCAAAGGAAGCAGTACCCCAGGTAATTGACATCCCTGTCGGACTACAGATGCAGTGGCCCGAGCGCCAATGTGGAGACTAGGTTCAAGCATCCATACGCTTTCGCAAGCAATTGCTCGGTTCTTCGCCCAAACTACCCCTCATCCACAAAACTTTGCGTCGCTTCTACTTGCATCAAGTACGAACATCCCAGGCTTCTTCTTGCTTAACCACACAGTCTGGGCACTTGACCGATGTCTTGCTTTAGCTTAGCTTACAGGCCTGGCCCAACTCTACCACAGCAGCTTTCCCAAACCGCCGTCGACATTCTCCACAGCGATCGTACTGGACTCGTGTCCATGTGTGCTGCGTGCAAAGAATTTCCGGGCTCTGTGTCTCGATCAGCCATCGCCCTTCGCGCCGTCATTGGCTCCCGCATGGCTTACACAGGGTACAGCTTTAGCTTCAAATCTCGATAGGCCCGAATGTCAAAAAGTGCTACTCACTATTGGCCTCTTTCAACTCAATTCGCGTCATCTGAGCTGTCGTGGTCTAAGCCAGAAAAGCAGCTGAGCAACCGAGCTCCTAGGTGTATATGATGTATGTTGTCCCCCTTCGTGTAGCTTGAGCTGTTCGTGCACGCCCTCTCTCATTCCTTGTGAGGCTTCTCAATCAATACACCAACACCAACAACATCTGCCCACCATGTCTGGACCAGGTGGTCGTCACTTGTCTGTGTCTCACTATGCTGAGAACCAGGGCCAGAACGCCTACGATGGTGGTCGCCGCCGCTCCTCCATCGCCCCTGCCGGCTCTATCAGCGGTGCATCGCCGCAAAAGGCTGGCGTCCTCAACCAGAAGGATGACACGCTTCGCAAGATGTCCGTCGCCATTCCGAATCTTGCTGAACTCTCCGCCGACGCGAAGAACGCTGCCGAACATGAGAGGAAAATGGGCTTCCGCGAGGGTGCAAAGCTCTACCCGCTAGCTATGTTCTTCTCTTTTGGTCTCTCCATCGCCGTCATTATGGAGGGTTACGACACCTGGCTACTAGGTTCCTTCTACGGCATGCCTTCGTTCGCAAGGAAGTTCGGCGACTTCGCTGGTAACGATCCAGACACTGGCGAGGCAAAGTACGAGGTCAACGTTACTTGGCAGAACGCCTTGGGTAATGGTACCGCGGCTGCTCAAATCATTGGTCTCATGATCAACGGTATTGTCTCCGAGCGCATCGGCTACAGATGGACGATGATAGTCAGCCTCTTCCTCGTCTCGGCTTTCATCTTCATCCAGTTCTTCGCCGTCAACGTTCAGATGCTCCTGGCAGGCTACTGCTTGGCTGGACTTCCATGGGGTGTCTTCCAGACACTCACAACCACCTATGCCGCAGAAGTGTGCCCCGTGCCGCTTCGCCCATATCTCACTACCTTCGTCAACCTCTGCTGGGTTATCGGCCAGCTCATCGCTGCCGGAATTCTCAAGGGATTCGTCAGCGGTACGACCAACTGGTCATGGCGCATCCCGTATGCGATCCAGTGGATTTGGCCGTTGCCAATCGCAATCATTACATTCTTCGCGCCAGAGTCACCATGGTGGCTTGTCCGACATGGCAAGCTGGATCAGGCTCGCGCTGCTCTGCTCAAGCTTACCAGCAAGAAGAATGCGAACTTCAATGTGGAGGACACTCTCGCGATGATGATCCACACCAACGAGCTTGAAATTCAACAGACATCGGGTACCTCGTACTTGGATTGCTTCAAGGGCGTCGATCTCCGCCGCACAGAATTGACAATCATGACCTGGGTCATTCAGCAGACCTCGGGCTCTCCCATGATGGGATGGGGTACATACTTCATGCTCCAGGCCGGTCTCGACACGCCCGATGCATACTCTCTCGGTGTGGGTCAGTCGGCCATGGGTTTCGCTGGTACCGTCGCCTCCTGGTTCTTGATGCCACACTTCGGTCGTCGGACCCTGTACCTCTGGGGCCAAGTTGCCATGTTCATCATTCTAGTTATCATTGGCGGTCTGGGAATCCCACAACTCGCTTCTGGTACCGGATGGGCTACAGGTGCTCTGATCCTGGTCCTCACTTTCGCCTACGACATCACTGTCGGCCCGGTCTGCTACTCTCTCGTCGCCGAGCTGCCTTCCACACGTCTTCGCATCAAGACTGTTGTGCTGGCCCGCAACGTCTACAACATCTGCGGTATAATCATCGGCACCCTGCAGCCGCGCTTCATGAACCCCGACTCTGGCTGGGGCTGGCGTGGAAAGACCGCCTTCTTCTGGGCTGGTGCTAATCTGTTGGGTCTTGTTTGGACTTACTTCCGTCTTCCTGAGCCAAAGGTATGTTCTAACCTCTGTTACGCAACTCCAATGAGTGATGCTGACTGTTCAATCAGGGTCTTACCTACGCCGATCTCGATGTCCTCTTCGAGAACAAGGTCTCTGCCCGCAAGTTCCGACAGGTCGAGGTCGATCCTTTCCGCTCTGACAACTTGGTCATTGTTCCTGATGAGTATAACTCGGACAAGAATGATGTTTATACTCAGGAGAAGGTGTAAATGCACTGAGACTCTCTGCATATCAATATACCCAGATGGATTAGGAAGTAGTTGCTGTTCCACGACCTTTGCTGGTCGCAGCTTCAGCAGCAAGAAACTGTGTGAAGATAGCGATGTCATAATAACAATCGTTGTAAACAGCTGTCTTCCCCACTATTACACATGGACGCAATAGCTACCTGGTGATGGAGTTGCCCCGAAAAAATTTGCAGTGTCATGATAGTCATGAAATTGAGGGCAGGATGAATTTGTGGGGACATGGTTGGCGTTATGTTTCAGACAACAAGACTATTGAAGGTCGAAACTGACTTGATAGAGCAAACTAAATCGTGGATACTAGAGCTTCGACCACGCGAGTGAGGCTGTGCATTTTCTCAACTCATGGCGTCACCCCACGAGGTCGAAAGGTCAGCTTTCGATACTCCCCCTTGGATACCCCTGGCGGACTGCCAAGCTTGGCGCACAGGAGTGGTTTCCGAGCGGAATCTTGAAACAATCACGAAGGATTCGTCCTCCCGGGTGCTTCTTGATGTCACAAACAATTGATGACTACAATTCTATGCCGAGGTACACGACTGCGTATTAGTTGCCCACCTTCGTTCAGGTACCGTCGAAGGTAGCAAACACAACACCATCACTGTCCGCTCTCCACAAGCCTCGAGGTCACTCTGGAACGGCTTGGCATCTCGGCTCCCATTGACCGACCCCACGCCTGCGATTCGCGATATCCTGCTAGACTAGCTTGACGAGCTAGACAGCCTCGTCCTAACGTGACACAGGCTAGTGCTACCTCTTTGTGATCCACAGATGTGCTGATGGCGTGTTGGTCGTCCCCCTGCCCCTGCTGTGCTGCCTGTAGCCACGACGGGGCTTCCTGGCTCGACAACTGTGCTGGTGGCCTCTCTCGCGCAGACAGTGCTTCGAGACTTGTTGAAAGTACGACTTTTTCTCCCTCCGCGACGATGATGTGGGTAGTAGGAGGCTCGAAGGTAGGTCGACGTGTCGGCATCCCCTGTCGTGGCTTAGGCTCAGCGCTGCTGACAGTAGAGCAAATCACGGACTCATTTATGGCCATCTAGGCACGATTGATGTCTAAGACAGCATGTTTCGAGCACGGGCCTTTTATCCATCGACATTGATGCCGGTGGCTCTGTCCAAGGCCAGGCCCCATCTCGCGTCGATCTTTTGGCTGAGGGAGGAGTCGACCTGCTCTGACAAGGCTAGTGCCTGCATGGATTGGCAAGGTTGGTGTTCTTCGAGACTTCCGAAACAGGTACTGGACATCAGTCACTCACATTATGGCGTCCAGTCATCGGCGCACTGCTGACTCGAGGTTAGAAATTTTACCTCTCCTGAAGGATGTCGCCTACCTGCTCGGCATGTATAAAGCCATGCACCAGTCCTCGATGTAGTGATAACTTTCATCCATTCAATCAACAGCCCATCAACTGCCTTTCCTAGAGAACACACTCGTTCAATACATTCATCGTCACTCGTTCAATTCACATAGTCACGTTCGCTTCACTTCGTCGTTCCAGGAGATCGAAAGTTGTACATACTACACCACACGTATCTCAGCGCAACTGTCACACAATCCAACATTACCAACGTCCAACAAACATGAAGTCTCAGCAATCCCTCACTCTCCTCCTCCTCGCTCTTCTCAGCACCCCTACTACCCTTGCCGCACCAACAAGCTGGACAGTGGTAGACCTCGGCGACAAGCTAGGCGGAATCGCCAACGTTGCTGCTGGTGCTGGAGGTTCTGCAGGTGCTGGAGGCGCCGCTAGCGGCAAAGGCGAAATCGATGTTACCCTGGGGAAGGTTGGCGCCCTGCTCGGAGGCGGCGCCGCTACGGGTGGGAAAGGTGCTGGGCTGGACCTAGGTGGCTTGCTTGGGGGCCTAGTTGGTGGCAAAGGAGGAGTCTTCGTTGAAGGCGCTGCTGGTGGGAAAGGAGAGGTCGAGGGCGGTGTTGGCGGGTCAGGCAAGGTAGATGGCGGTGTTGAGGGCTCTGCTGGCATTGGCGGTTCTGCTGGTGTCGGAGGCTCTGCAGAAGGAGCAGTCGGAGGCAGCGGCAAGGGGCAGGCTGGAGGTGATGAGTGGGTCTCTGTAGGCGGTGAGGCAAGTGGTGAAGCCAATGCCGGTGTCGATGGAGGCGCTGCTGGCTCAGGAAGTGTTGGCATTGGAGGTTCTGGAAGCATCGGTGTTGGTGGAGGCGCAAATGCTGGTGTTGAAGGCGGTGCACAAGCTGGTGGCGGCGTCGGAGGCGGTGCATCAGGAGGTGTAGACGCCAGCATCGGCGGAGGTATCGAAGGTGGCGCAAGTGCTGGTGTCGGCGGCGGCGTGCAAGGCGGAGCAGGTGCAGGTGTCGGAGGAAGTATCGAGGGCGGAGCCAACGGAGGCGTCAAGGGCGGAGCAAGCGGAAGCATTGGTGGCGACTTGAGTGGCAAGATCGGTGGTGCCATCGACTTGGTCTTAGGCGGAGGTCTGTCAGGCAAGGCTGGTCTGGAGGCCGTTCTGGAAGGAGCTTTGGGTGGCAAGCTTGGAGGCTCGATCGACCTTGAGGCGCTCCTGGGTGGGATCTGCAAGAAATGAGCTCTTCCAACGGATGGAAAGGGCCGACAGAACAAGAATCGTGAGCGACCCAGGGGGCTTGTCGAATTGGACTTATGTTCTTACGCTCACTCACGAACACCTTTGTATACTAGCCACAGCTTGAACACGGGCCTGACGCTTGTAATCTTGAAAAGTTTGTATTTGGTTCAAATCTAGATCGTTTCTCATAGTTGCCTTGTTGAATCGATTGCTTTGGTCCTTGCTCATTAGCCAGCTGCGCCAGCAGAACTCCAAATGCGATCAGCCGTTCACAATGACACCACCGTTAGGATGAAGCGACTGGCCGCTGATAAGAGTACTGTCCTGGCTGGCGAGGAAGACAAAGCAGGTTGCGATCTCGCTTGGCTGGCCTGGTCTTCCCATAGGTGAGGTGAACGAGTCTTGAGCCTCGGAGCTCATCGTCGACGGGACTAGCGGCGTCCATACTGGACCCGGGCAGACTTGGTTGACTCTGATGCCTTTGTCGACGAACTGATTTGCTAGGCCACGAGTGAATGATGTGATGGCTGGAGCATGTCAGTATTGGCTTCATCGAGATTGACGGGGCACTTAGTAACTCACCTCCCTTGGTGGACGTATAGTCAAGCAGGTCTGGTCGGCCAACATATGCATTGATTGAGCCATTGTTGATGATCGTGTCTCCAGACTTCATCTGAGGGAGTAACATTTTCGACAAGTAGAAATAGGGGTGGATGTTTGTATCGAAGGTCTTATGCCACTGTTCATATTCGAGTTCGTGAATATCCTTGATCACCTTCTGGTAGGCAGCATTGTTGATGAGGATGTTGATACGGCCGGCTTGCTCGAGAGCAAAATCCACTAGCTTCTGGCAATTCTCCCTCGATCGGACATCCGTAGGAAACAGCCAGGCCTTGGCGCCAGCTTCCTCGACGCGCTGCTTGGTCTCCTGGGCGTCCTTCTCCTCCTCGGGAAGGTAGGAGATGACGCTGTTGGCACCCTCCATGGCGAATAGGATGGCAACGGCTCGGCCTATGCCCGAGTCGCCGCCTGTGATGAGGGCATTCTTGCCCTGCAATTTGCCGGCTGCCTTGTACAGCTGGTAGCCGCCGTCTTCGGTCGGTATTCTGGTGCTGGCGGGCTTGATTGGCAGTTCACTCTGTGTTCCAGGCTGCTCTTGGTGAGTAATTGGCACCTCATGTCCTGGTTTGGTCAGTCATATACATTTCCAGATGATCAAGAAGTCTCACCCTTCTCAAACTGGTCCTTGTTGGTGTTCTTGGAGGCGTTCTTCACGGTCTCCATGGTTGCGAATTTCTGTTCTGTTTCACAGTAGTTCGAGGGTATGGGAATGATAGAACCAGTCAAGACTGGCTCTCGAACGCGTGCCCACCTCATCTTATCGACTTACAAAATTTATGATCAACGTCATGAACGACTGATGTCACCTAAGATTCTCGGAAGAGTGTTCCAGACGGAATTGCAGAGCCAAGGATCCCACTGGAGTCTTGTGCTCGTCGCTGGCGAGCACGAACTCGAGGCCTGATGCGCTGTTCATGATGCTGGCCATACTCGAGTGTCTTTGGTCAGTGGCAGGAAGAGATGATAACTTGCTATTAAATCTGCTGTGATGCAATGCGTGGCAGTTATTCCACCAATCGGAGAGAGAGCTTTGCGAATTCACAATGGGTGGATCTCCAGGAGATTTAAGATCTTCCAAGCACCCGAAGGCGTCCTGGCCCCGAGCTTTCTTACAACGTCGACAGCAATAATCTCAACGCGATGTTTGTGGATGACAATGATTCACTGTGTGCGCACGAACGAGATCCTCATGCTATATTACGGCATTCATGGCGACTAATTGCGCCGCACGAGCAGCTGCAGAAATCGATCCTCGGGAGCTTTGAAGTAGCTCGGCCGGTGTGCGCTCTCAATTCCCGAGCCCCAGCTCTACCTTTGTTTTGCTCGGCGCCGGTAAACGCCGCCTACAATCATCTTGCCCTTGCTTTTTGCGCGTGATCTCGAAACGAGTGCTCGGGCGCTGCCAGACGATGCTACCCGAGCCGCCTAGCAAATGCATGTTTTGCAGACTAGTAAGTGATTCCACGCCTGGTGACGGACTTAATGCGTGTACGACGGTGGTAAATCTGCACTTTGATCCCATGAAAGGTATGAGTATATAGTCGCCTGGCCTGCTGAACACGAGACTGTACTTCAGCACCCTTCACTCAACAGCAAACACTTTCTACTACCCCATTGTACACCAACATCACCCAACATGGTGTCCATCTTCAAGAAAAAGAGGCAGTCCGACGCTTCAGTCCCCTCCACGGCCACCTCGTCGTCCGAACCGGCCACGGAAAAGACAGCCTCGGACCTCACCAAGATGCAATCGAAGGAGCATGTGTATCCTCCAAACAGCAAAGTCATCCCCATCATGGCAGGCATCTTCCTCGCAGCCTTCCTAACATCGCTGGACCGACTCATCATCGCTACAGCCATCCCAGCCATCACAAACGCCTTCAACTCTCTTGACGACGTTGGTTGGTACGGCTCTGCATATCTCCTGCCCATGGGAGCCATCATGCCATTGCTTGGACGCGTATACACCTTCTACGATCCGAAATGGGTGTTCCTGGGCTGCATTACTGCATTTGAGGTCGGAAGCATCATTTGCGGCGCGGCTAGCTCCTCGATCGTCTTCATCATCGGTCGCGCAGTCGCTGGGGCCGGAAGTGCTGGTATCTTTTCCGGTGCCATCACCATCATGGTCTACATCCTACCGCTTCACAAGAGACCAGCCATCATGGGCTTCTTCGGCATCATCTTCGGCATCTCAAGCGCTATCGGACCTCTACTGGGTGGTGCCTTTGTCGACCAAGTCTCATGGCGGTGGTGCTTTTACATCAATGTCCCGATCGGAGCAGTCACCATTGTGTTGCTGGTCTTCATGCTGAAGTTGGATTTCGAGCCGCCTAAACACACGACCCTCTGGCAAAAGGTTGACAGACTCGACCCTATCGGCACAACGATCTTCATACCAAGCATTGTCTCACTGCTGCTCGCTCTACAGAATGGTGGTGCAGTGTGGCCATGGTCGAACTGGAGGACCATTCTTTGCTTGGTGATCTTCGCTGTTGGCTTTCCGGCATTTATCATCGTCGAACTATGGCGGAAGGAGAACGCAACAATCCCGCCACGATTCTTCACCTATCGCTCCGTCATTGCAGGCGCAATCTACAGCTTCTTCAATGGTGCTGGCATGATGGTGCTGGTCTATTTCATCCCAATTGTACGTGTCCCTAATCTTCATCTCCCCGCACGGCTTTATTCTAACAGGTGCACTAGTGGTTTCAAGCTGTTCGTGGAACATCAGCCGTCAAGAGCGGAATCGACACCCTACCTCTCGTCATCGGCCTGGTCATCACCAGCATCACGGCCGGTATCCTCACAAAGAAAATTGGATACTACACACCCTGGATGTACTGGAGCGCACTGTTTGTTCCCATCGGCGCCGGCCTGATCTCCACATTCGAAGTCAACACCGGTCACGCGAAGTGGATTGGCTACCAAGCGCTCTACGGCCTTGGGCTCGGTCTGGGCATGCAGCAACCCAATTTGGCCGTGCAGACTGTGCTTCCAAGGAAAGACGTCGCCATTGGAGCCTCGGTGATCTTCTTCATGCAAACGATGGGTGGAGCACTTTTCATCTCGGTAGCACAGAACTTGTTCATCAATCAGCTGGCCGACGGGTTGGCGAGAGCCAACATTCCTGGCATCAGCCCCAGTCTCGTGACATCAGTCGGTGCGACCGAGTTGAGAAAGGTGGTGCCGCAGGCGGATCTGCCAAGAGTCCTTCTGGAGTACAATTCTGCGCTACGGGCTACATTCTACGTGGCTGTCGGCGCAGGCTGCGTGCTGTGGATTGGTGCAGCTATGATGGAGTGGAAGAGTGTCAAGCAGCAGCAGCCTGCTGCAGCTGGGAAGGAGGAAGTGAAGCCGAAGACGAGTCAGGAGGTGGATGTTGAGAAGCAATAGGTTTGAGTACGCTTCTTTTGCACATCTTGGTTTTGCATAGCTTGGTTGGCTTCATGTACAGTACCATACGATAACGAATAGATTTTGCTCACTTCTCAGACACAATCGGCACACTTCTTAGCGCTCTATCTGCACAACGTAAGCTTGAGGCTGCCAGAGGCGGCTGCTTGCATCTTCCACAAATTCGTTCTTTGGTGTGGGTGCGCCTTCCAAATTCCAAATGCGACCAACTTCTTGCCTGCCAGAAAAGCATACAATCTTGCCAGTGTCCCGTCATATGTGGACTACATCAAGGAGTGCCGAACCTACGGTTGACCATACGAGATCGCCTTACCGAACAGCCCAGTATTCAGAAGCGTCCCGGTATGCATCTCATACCTCATTTCTGTATAGCAGCACTGCTATCGATACCGGCAGTCATCGCCAACCCAACCCGCCGGCATCACGGCATCGAGCACATGCACCTCGCAAGTCACCTGGAGTTCTGGCAAGATCAAGAATGCACGGTAGCAAATGGTGTACCATTGTCAATTAACGATGGTGAGTTTCTCGACTCAAATAGCCCCTTCGGTACCACCAGAACCTGCCTCATGTCAAGTCCAACGCCACTGATCCACCATGATTCCAGACTCGGGGACAGACGCCAAGTGGCATTTCGTTCCGCCAGGCACAGCGGCTGTCTCGTTGGCAGGTGAACAGCAGAAGCGATGCAACATTTACTTGTGCGCAACGGACACGGAGTGTGGACTGGCTAAGAATGTGCTGGGCCCGATTGACGCAAAAGCGTGCAATGTTGGGGTGATGAGGACGAGTGATCCGAATGTTGTGACGATTTTCAGTCGGGTTAAAGTTGTTTGCGCAAAGTAAACAGGATCAAAGCCATTAAGAGACGAGACCAAGAGGAGTGACGTGAGGTGATCGCGAAGCGAGGGGGTCCGGATATGCGGTTTGGTTTCAGTCTTGAGTCTTACGAGGGAGTGCTGGTAGTTGAAGATCATTTATATCGACAGAACGCAGCTCGTAGGCTCTGTCATCCGGTTTGCCAAGCTTTCTGCCTTGCGGGCCTCTTCTCTTCCCAGATTGCCTCTCACTACATATCTTCATTTACAAAACCACGTAAAAGCCAAGTCCATCCTCGATCTTCGCGCTTGGGACTGTTCGTCGACAGATCACTACAAGCAGGCTGTCAGGCACGCGCTGATTACCGTAAGCGCAAAAGAACCAGTGGTACGTTTCCTCGAACCAAGTTTCGCCCACCCTCTTTGAGAACATACATTCATCATGTCATACCCGCCACCACCAGGTCTGAGCGATTCCGACGCCAGCAGACCGCCAGGTCTACCTGCAAAACCTCCTCCATCAAAGTCATCCGGCTTCAAGCCAGCCTTCAGTTTCGCACCGCGCGCAGTCGCTCAGCAGGCCCGGACGCAGAGCCCAGCACAGTACGCCGCACCACCAATTCCCGCATACAGCGCTCCCGTATCATATGCGCAACAACCTCAGCCATACCCACAAGCGACCTACAACGCTCCTCCCCAGATTCACAACCCCTTCCCAGAGCCCGGCACAGCCGCAGCCGCGGCAGCAACTATGATCCAGAATACGAAGCCCAAGTAGCGCAATGGCAGTCTGCTACCTAAGCAAAGACGGCGAGAAGCCTAGACTACCAGGACAATCCGCAGCGAATGCCGCAGCCGCATACTCGTCCACCGCAAGAACAGATTCGCCAGCAGCGAAAGATGAAAAGCCGAAGACAGTACAGCGATCAGGCGGAGGCGCCACCTGGCAAGACCCCTCCCTACTCGAATGGGATCCTGCACACTTCCGCATCTTCGTCGGCAACCTCGCCGGCGAAGTGACAGACGAGTCGTTGCTGAAGGCCTTCTCCAAGTACGAGTCGGTGCAGAAGGCACGAGTTATCAGAGAGAAGCGGACAACCAAGTCAAAGGGTTTTGGCTTTGTGAGCTTCAGTAGCGGTGACGACTACTTCCAGGCAGCACGGGAGATGCAAGGCAAGTACATTGGCAGTCATCCTGTACTCATCAAGCGAGCTGTGACGGAGGTGCGACCGACGACGGTCCAGGATAAGCGGGGAAAGAATAACAAGAACAAGGCTGGGAAGGTTGAGCATGGTGGGGTCAAGAAGAAGGGCGCTGATAAGACGAAGGGCGGGTTGAAGATTCTGGGATGATACAGAGTTTGCGAGGCTCTGACCTTCCAGAATGATTTCAACTCTGAGCAAGCGTTCATTTTTGTCGAGCCAACGATCGAGGTAAGACTTCGCTGAGGAAGTGTCTGATCTGGTTGTTCTTTCTCGGAAAACAAGCTCTACACACAGCAGGGGCCGACCGGGACAACCTTCTCATCACCTTCGATGGCGTACGGGACTTATACCTACATCGGCTCTACCCCACCGGAGAGTGTAGTAGAGGCTTGCTTGAACGGCTTCATGAGACAAACAACATATCACCGCTCGCAGTATATCGCATACAGGGGACATGGCTAGTGCATGATGGCCAGGTGAAGCCACGCGTCACCGATCGGATAAGATAGTTCGATGAGCCTATGTTGAGGAAGTACATCGAGCAAGAAGATGCTACTCGCAAGGCTCGCGAAACAATCGCTCCAGACAAGGAAGCGCCCATGCCTAGCAAGAATCAGGAGAGAGCCGGCGCAAATCCTCGGCTTTGTCGCGAGTGGCAAGTATGGACGGGCTTGGCCAAGCAAGATGGATTGAGATACAGTCCTTCGCAGCCTCTTCACTTGAGACACTCTATCACTCTTCATTACTCGGTTGCCCTCACTTGCTCATACGGCGCAGCGTGAAGTCCTCCTTGCTCTTCACCGTCTCCAGCACAACGTCTCTTTCTCTGACGACTGCATTGGACTGCGCCCATCATATCTCTCTACGCTCGCGCAACCCTATACTCGAATCAAGTCCACAAGATCATGCCTCAAAATACTTCTGCGCCTCCATGGGTATGTGAACAGATAATGTCAAACCTGAACCCAAACTCGACGCCATGCCGCCGGAAATACTCGAAAAGATCCTCGAATTCACCGTCCCCCAACGTGTCACTATCGTGACAACACATCAACGCGATTACTCACGCTACAGCTATCAAGAGTACGAATACTTTTGGTCTGACACGACTGCATGGAAACAATGCCATCCGTTCTACTGGCGCGATGATGATGGCTCCCGAATCAGGAATCTGTTGATCTGGGATTGCAGGCCTTGGACTCTTCTTCTCATCTCGAAGGGCATTCGTCAGGTTGCGGCGAAAATATTCTGGAAACGCATCCACTTCGAATTCTGGGTTAGAGGCGGCAGCATGGCTACGTATCGCAGCTACTTTCATGATACTGTCAAGGATCAGGTTCGCGATCATTTTGAGAAGATCTTGACGAGGGAGGACGTCTAGACGCACAAAAGAAATGTCGGCGTGGGCAATATTAGGTCAGACGGTCGCTTCCCCTTAGCACTCGCAGCCCCGGGGACAGTCGCAGGTCGAGCGACTGCAAAGTGGCCCGTGTCTAATCACAAGGCTGTCCTCTGCAGGTCGAATTCATCCCAGAACAATGACAATATGCAAATCAGACCCTTCGGTCTCCCGTTATACGAGGTCTCCAAACTTCGTCCCCTCCGCGGCTTCCTTCCGCCTTAATTGACGTGCAACGAAGCAATCGCCAACCTGCAATTTGATCGATGATCTTTGTATCGCTGCGTCGTCAGCCTTGACTACGATACGTACGTGAGCCCAGCTATGCGCTATATCAAGTCTTCACGGTGAACGACAAATCCGCGCCGGAGAGCGTTTTCGCGAAAGATGTGATTGGCTGTAGTACAAAATGCTGCTATGCTGGAACAGGAAGGAATGAGGTGAGTCGCCTGATCTGGACAGTATGATGAAGCAGCCATACATATGCGAGGCGACTTTCGCCTGCTGAACGTTGGCTTTTTGACAGACTGAGCAGGTTCGCGTGTCTGGAATTGAAACCGCTGTGCCTATGGGTGGGCGCGAGATGCTTGTGTTGCTGTATGTGTGGTGGCTATTGGAACGTTATGCTTGACAACTGACTCTCTGCGATTTGTTCAGGATGGGAAGGAAACAAGGCCTGAAGCCATGGCGTCCGGAAGGTATATGAAGCGTATCTTGCGCACTGTATCCTCCTCTTACTTCTTCAACAAAAGCGCCAAGTTCGGTACCTGGCCTTCGAATACCAAGTAGCTCTGCAGACACCAACGACTCAGCTCAAACCAGACCAGCGCCCAATCTCTCTGCAACACTATCTCCTACCATGGCGAACACAACCCTGCCTACCGCTCCCATCGCCGGCATCACGTTCCCGATCACCCCCTTGACCAAATCCGCCCTTGCCCACATCCAGACCAAAAACATCCCCTCCACTGTCAACCATACCGTCCGTTCCGCCATCTTCGCCCTGATCATCGCCTCCAAGCACCCCGGCTTGAGCACCGTCGACCACGAAGCGGTCGCCACCGCAATCCTACTGCACGACCTGGGCTGGTCGAAAGACCCCGACTGTCGATCCCGAGACAAGCGCTTCGAGGTCGACGGCGCGATCGCCGCAAAGAATTGGCTCGCCTCCTCCGTTGAAGCCAAGAACGCGGCTGCCGTGGGCGGCGACCTCAACGCGATCTGGTACGCCATCGCACTACATACCACCCCATCTGTGTCTCTGCACTCCCCGGACCCAGTCGTCGTCGCTACAGCGCTCGGCATCGTCGCAGACTTCTTGGGGCCGCACACACCTGGCGGACTAATCACGGAAGAGGAGTTCAAGGAAGTGTTGGCGGCGTATCCGAGAGTTGGGTTCAAGGAGGACATGCTGGAGATCATGTGTGGATTGTGTAGGGAGAAGCCGGAGACGACGTTTGATAATTTTGTGGGGGATATTGGGAGGAAGTGGGTGGAGGGATATGAGGAGCAGTGGGAGAGGAGGAGGTTTGAGAGGACTGTATGGAAGGTTTTGGAGGGGAACGGGGCGCTGGAGAGCTGAAGGGGGCCGAAGTGAGTTTGCGCGCATTGCTGGCGAGCGAAGCAAAATCTGCTCTGTGTATGGGGAGGCGACTGGGGGCAAGCTGTCCCGCAGGCAGGTGTTGGAGGGGCTGTTGAGAGGGGTTGACGTAGTGGGGGCAAGTTGTGCCGCAGGCAGGGGTTGGAGGAGCTGTTGAAAGGGGTTGACGTTGAGGGTGGTTGTCTAATGGGACGAGACTGATGATTGTGGGTGTATTAGCTGGAAGTGCTGTTGCATCAAGCTGCCTGCCTCACACTGCTGCTGCCCCGAAGTGATGCTGCCCCTACCCCGGACTGCTCCAGTCCCGGACCTTTCCTACATCGAGCTGCCGTCGGATCCTTCATGATGAAAAGTGTCGTGTAGTTGACTTCTGTTGACTCTTCGAGTGAATCACCTTTGTCAGCAGACCCTGTGATACATACTTGGTTAGAACCAGGCCCTGGACCGACATGTTCACCACCTTTGCCATTGCTGTTGTAGTTAAGAGATTATCAGTAATGTTCAAATGGAGAGTAGTCAGGCTGGCGGCAAACCTGCCTTTCTGAGTTAGCGTCTTCTGGAAAGAGCTCTAAATCGTGAACCCACTCACCGGCGAAATATTCCTCCAGTCCCTTTGCTTCAATCCGAGCGCGAGTGTTCGGACGACGGCGATATATTGTTGCGGTGTCGAATTGAAGATGGAGTCCGCTCACAACGAACAGAAGGACCAGAGTGCTGCTCTTCAGTTCCCACCACAGCAAGGCCACGGTCAAAGTCAAGGTGCACCACAATACTCGCAAGCTCAGCCGTCGTACGCGTACAATGCCGCCGCCGACTATCCTCCTCTTCCCGAGCACGACCTCGGCATCACCTCGCAGCAGTATGGTCGTCCTATAGAGAACGATTTCACAGCACATCTTGTGGCTGCAGCTCAAGATGCCGCTGGAAGAAATGGGGATACTCCAATGCGGATTGACACCTCGGGGTCGTCGACGCATGGTATAGCACTGCCAAATCAGCAGGCCAACCAGCAGAACTTCCCGTCGGCTGGATCTCGAGGCAGTGTCGATGTGACCCCGGATAGTGCCACGCCTGGCGACAAGAGCAAGTCCAAGGCCAAAGCCTCACAAGCTTGCGATGAGTGTCGACGCAAGAAGGTAAGACCTCGTGGTCTCTTTCGTGGAGCGTACTGACCTCAGTAGACGAAGTGCATCACCACTACCACTGACGATGGCGTTCCAACCCCTTGCAATAGTTGTGTCAAGGCCGGACTGGACTGCCAGTACAGTCGTCAGCCTCTTAAGCGCGGGCCAAACAAAGGGTAAGACTTACTACCTCGCTGCCGCTGGATGTAAGTTAATCAGTAGCAGCTACATCAAGGATCTCGCGGAGCGAGTGCAGCAAGTGGAGCGCATATTCGACAACCCAGCAGTTCGACAGTCGTTCGACGGAGGAGACATCTTTATGTCCACCGATGAGCCATGTCTGGTGCCCGTCGGAACTATTCGTTGCCTGGCGCGCGGCCAAGTTTTTCCGCTCCAGGATTCGAACGCTTTGGTAGCGTGAGCTTCACCCCACAACCGCAATCTGCCACAAGTCGTCCACGAGATCGTTTCAGCATCGCAGTGCCTCCTGACGAGCCAGATCCACCAGAGAACACTATCAACTTTTACGACAGTATGGATACTCTCGATCGTCCCGCGAAGCGTCTGAAGACGGAACCCGCTTCAGCTTCGGCTGGCTCCGCAGTCTTCGAGTCTGTCGACCTCAAGAAGTACTATGACACCATCCACCCTAACTTTCCTCTCCTTCCAGACGACATCGAAACCGCCATGAAGGTTGTTCGAGGCGCTACTGGTTTCGTGCGACAGCTTTTGCTCTCTGCCATCAGCTTGCTTCCAGGTCGACGCGACGACAGCTACCCAGGAGGTACCGACTCGAGTACGAGCTCTTCCATCATCAAGACGCTGGATGGGATGTACAGCCGTCTCGATGCCGCACTCGCTGCCCACCTTACATCGTCCGTCAACAGACTCGCCTTTGTCTGGATCTGCGCCCTACTCGTCATTCACGCTGAGTGCAACATCGATACTTATTACACTCACGCGAAGTCCTATCTCCTCGTCCGTGTTTGTGCCGAAGCACTTGGCGAGCTGAGAGACAAAACCGCAAATCGTCTGCTCATCCAGGAGCGCGCTGCTGGCCTCGACATTCGAGACTTCGAAGAACTAGTCAACCGCGCTTTCTGCGTCACCTCCATTCAGAAGAAGCTCACCCTCCTCGCTACTGGTCTCCTTAAATCCAACGATGTCGACGACTACCCGAGCTCCTTCGAGATCGACGCTCTGATTGGCATTTCTCCCTCTGTCAAGTTCCTCATCTACAACGCCCGAACTCTATCGTGGTACCGCGAACTCCTTCTGGGCCCCCAACCTGATAACCGCCGCAAGCTTTGCAAGGATATGCTGCTCACGTTTCTCGAAGACTCCGCCGCCCAGCGTTCCCAACTCTCCACCACTTCTCCACTCTACCAACAGATGGCCGATTTCATCGATCTTCTGACCGTCCGCGTAGCCTATGTTCCCTTTCCAGTCGATCTCGTCACTCCAGCCGCCAAACTCGCCACCCAACTCGGCCAATCCACCACTAACGACCCTGATATCTACAATCCTCTCGAAATCCACCTCCTCACCTGCTGCGTCTTCACCTTCCTCGAAATCCTCGCCCTTCCGGACACAGACTCCAATCAATTCTGCGGACCCGTCGCCATGCAAGGCATCAATTCCATCCGCCCGGTTCTCAAAGACAAAGCCGATGCCTACAAGCTACACACCCGCTCGCAGTCCGACAAGAACTACATCTGGCCGAACACTACCAATGGCAAGCCAGCGGTGAAGAAGCACTGGGCCGAGGCACTGCTCGAGCACATGGAGAAGGCGGAGAGCAGAGGATTCCAGAACCCGGACATGGCGAGAGTCAATAAGCATGGTGTCGCGGTGCGGGCTGATGGGAGCTGGATCGATGCGACGGCCAATTTCGCGCAGTTGATTGAGCAAGGGCACTTGAGGGTCTTGGCGTGGTATGCGAACAAGATGGCACGCGGCGAGGAGAAGGAGGAGGAGAGTGGAGGTGGTGAGTTGATGATGCCACCTATTCCTGCTCTTGTTGACGAGCCCCTGGCTACTGCTGTTGCTGTCACGGCTGAGGAGGCTGCGAGAGCTGCGAGTGCTGTTGTTGAGTCTGCTGGTCAGTAGGACGGGAAAGCCGGAGTGGTGTTGCTCGGAACGTGACTTGATCCTCGCCTATGCCTTCTTATCGAGAAGGCTGGCTTCTGAGGATTGTCTGCCGCTCGTCAACCACCATCGGGGTTCACTCTGCACCAGCTGATCGACTTCAATTGGAACTGGAGAGTGGTTGTTGCCAGGTTGTCAATCTGGGGGTTAGGCTGAAGTCGCATGCCGCTATTGCATACAAGATAGTGACGCTACCATATTGGTAGCGTGTGAATCGATATTCCAGTGCATACCCGAAGACCACTTTCTCGACGATCTTCCATTATGACTGTACAAAGACAAACTCTTAACAGTAGTTTCGAAAATCTTGCGGCAGAACCATTTTTCTGAGTGCACTCTCCAGTTGCTTCCAGACCGGTGACATGCATCAGAAGACTACCTATATACCACTCATCACTCCTCCCATCGCTTTCCCTTCTCGTAAGCGCACACACGCTCGCTCTTCCATTCTTAACCCCAACATCGCATGGAATTGCCCCATCGACCTTCCGACACACCCCGAGCCTAACATCGTTGTCCTTGAAGGACCGCACAAGGCACTTGTGAAGACAGCGCTGATGGAGCCCCTGGTTGAAGGCGGCTCAATGGAACACTGGGTCGTCACTGATGTTGGCGATGTCGATATCAGAGCGGTGGAAATTCTTCAGGATATGCAAGTGACTGCTGCGCGTGACCATCGGCGAACACATGCCCTGGCATGAAGATCCAGTGGTGACTATCGGCCAGTCACCGGTCGTCCATGATTACGGCTTGCCTGAGACCTACACGACGCCTTCCCTCAAACCTTTGTGGCACATCACATCCTTGTTCGACATCCTACAGACACGCTGCACGATGAGTCAACATGAATGGCAACTTCGACCATTTCAGGGCCGATTCACAGCCTGATACTTGGTCTCAGACATTCACGGCCACACAGTGAAGCCATTCCGCAAATCCAGTTGCTCGCCAAAACACAAACGACCTATCGTTTCTCGCTTCAACCGAGCAACACAATGCACACCATGTTCGAGACGAATCAGCTCCTACACGTCGTCCTGTTGACAATGGGCAATGACCGGTGGCATGCGAGAACGCGGTGCTCTATAGGCCAGTCACGGTCTCGTTGAGCATGAAATCAGCCATACTCCTGCTTCCGCTATTGCTCCAAGAGGAAGACCGGCAGGATCAACACGGTATAGGGCTAGACCGCCGATGCAAGCGTTGCAGGCAGGCCGGAAGTCGGACTGCTGTTGCTTCTCCCCTCTGCTGTTGCTGTTCCCCTCTGCTGCATTCCCGGGCCGAAATAAGTATCGCAGTGTCCTCCTCGTCCTCAGGGAGGAGGAGCGAAGTCGTGAGCCGCCGACATGACTGGTTAGGCGCTTTGTAGCTGTTGTGGTGTGGTCGAGAAGTGTGCTCCAGATCGCCGCTATCGAAGTTGGCCAACGGACTGGTGAGTGACTGCCCCTAAGTGACTACTGAGTAGCCATAGGTCACTGTATGCCAGTGTCTGCTTGTCAGTCAGTATCGATCAAGTGCATTTCCAGGTCGTGTTAAGTGCTTTTTATGCATTGCTGGCATAATGACTCGAAGCATTGGCTGAAGTGCAACATCTGCGAGCACGTTCATCAAGTCATGAACTCACGGTGAGGGCGAGGCTCAGCAACAGAGTGACATCATCAGAAGCACATCCCGAGGGCTGCCGAAACACTTTTGATTATTGGTACAGTGGTCTTATGCTCTGATAACGAAGTCTCTATACCGTCATTTTGCCTTCTTTTCACCACCAACAACGCCAACCACACCCTCCGCGCCCACGACAGCAACCGAGCTCGGACTCCTCAGTGTCTGCAGCGGCGGCAGACCCAGCGCACCACTTGCTTCCTTCTCTTGATCTCCCAAGCCGACACCATTGTCTTGCGCACCTGCCCCATCGAGATTCAGTGTTGAAACCGCACCGTCGTCCACCACCCTCTGTGCAGCGTGTCTCTCGTCCCCTTCTAGCAGGCGATGGCGCAACTGTTCCTCTCTGACCTCCGCCTCATACTCGGCATTATGCGTCCTCAGCCTTTCGATACTCAGCCGTGAGGTGGGCGTGTCGTTGCCGTTGCGACTGCTTAGAGTAGGGCGGAGGCTGTCTGGTGGGAAAGTTGGTGCTGTTGGCGTCGTTTGAGAGGAGTCGAGAGCTCGGTTTTGAGAAGCTGACGAAGCTGTTCGCGTGGTAGGGTGGAAGCCATTGACTATCTCCGAGGACAGATTGCTGCTCTGTGCAGCATTGTTGTCTGCAGCAGTGAGTTGTTGTGGGCCGGTTGGCCCGTCCGTGGCACTAGCGACCTTCGATATTCCGGGTGCTGAGAATACAGCACGTGTGCTTGCCCCGCTGACACTCATTGCCGAATAACCTGTCCGCGTGGACATTGTGTCGACATCTTGTGTTTGCGACGGCGACCGCAGATGTGATGCTGTGCGGAACTTTGGTAGGAACAGGGGCGTCGGGAGCGGCGTGTTGCTTTCCGGTGCTGTCATAAATGACTCCATACCCGAAGTTGCAGTAGTCAGGTTCGGTCGCTGGGCCTGATCTACTGGGTTGCTGGCATCAGCTGTGGCTGGCGGCGTCACGACAACGTTGTCGTTCTCGAGTTGCGACACGGAGCTGGGCATGGATGGGAGGGTTGGTTGATGGGATTGTGTGGGTATAAAGTTGGCATTGGCTTGTCCTCTGTCTGTGACAGAGATTGTCCTCCGTCGTGAGCGGCTCCTGTCGGCGGTGTTCTGAGTCGACAGCTGTCTTGATGTGATTTGTTGCCGCGAGACAATGAGCGGCGCGACGTTCGTCGGGCTCGTGGCGAGGTCTGTGGCCTCAGTCCCTCCGGTGCTGCTTCTGTGGCGGTCGAGTGTGCGGCGCCGTCCACCTGCAGCTGCTCTTTCTCAGGCTCTTGAGATTGAGCTGCGTCTTCCTTATCCTCCTTCTCATCCATATCCTTCTCGCGCTTTATGGTCATCTCATCGTGCTTACTGCCCCACATTGACCACATCGCCAGACCGTACGATTTGCGCTGCTTCTTCTCCACCTCACGTGCCGTCCTGCGCGTAGCAAGTGCACTCGGCGGGGGCTTCTCGTCTGGTCCAAACGGCACGTTCTTCTTCGCATGTATCATCTCGATTCGCTGTTTTTGTACCTTCTTCTTCGTTGAAGCATACTTCGATGCCCAGCTGTCTTTTGCATCCATCCATTTCTGCACTGGACCAGGCTTGATCAGACCAACCTCATTGATGTCCATTGTCGTCGCAGGAAGTTCATCTGCAGAGGGCAAGTCTGAGATGTTGCCATATCGATTGACGAGCTGTCGAATCATATGGTTGTGGAAGAAGGGTAGCGGGTCGCCTGCACGTCCGACGAACTTGGGTTGAGGTTGTGCGGCGTTCTTCATTTGGGCAATGCTGTCCGTGGACTCGGTGGGTGACTCAGAGTCAGACTCTGTGGAGATGATGGAAATGTTGTCATCGTCCATGATCTCGATCGGGCGCTCCTGAGCTCGTGCAAGAGCCCAGGCACCAAATTGTGCTATTGATCTGTACATGTATTTTGCAGGACGCGTGAATGACAAAGTAGGCGCGACGTGGCAGAGATCCTCCCATACTTGTAGTTGGACGGGTGTCGCTTTGTACTGGTTGAGGATTTTGTCTTCGGGGTCATACCTTGACCTGTACGTGTCGGAAAGAGGATATCTGTGCGGGTTGGCGGCTTTGTGGGCCAGGTATATTTGCTCGTCGCGAAGCATTTCGCCGCCGCCAACAAGGATACAGAGGGGCGGAAGACCGCCCAGGGAAGGCTGGAGGATAGGAGAGACAAGAGGGTGAGATAGGAGTGCATTAGTGGTGTAGAGCTGGATCTGTTCTTGTATAAGGACGAGCTTGTTGTTGAGGTGGATGGACAGAAAATGATTGGGTGCTGGGACCCGATTTGCGGTTGAGGAGCCAGGATCATTCTTGCCTGGAGCTGCGACACCCAGACGCTCAGCAGATTCGTCAGTTTTCTCTGCGAATGCTTCCTCACGAGATTGTGTCCGCGTGAGTCTCTCGAGTGCCTTTCCCTCATCGTCATTTGGCGGCGGCCAAGCGACTGACGGCCGGTGATGGAAGCCGTGGGATGGAATATAGTCGAGCGGATTGTCGCCAGAAACACTGGGGAAGGAGTGCGTTAGGTCGACCCATGGCGAGATCAGAACAGCACCAGCAGGTAAAGGTAGACCTTGATCGCGCAGAATGCAGAGCATGGACACGACCATACCTCCTCCAGCCGAGTCGCCGGCCAGTACGATCTCAGACGGAGAGTGTACAGTCAGCAGATACAGATATACCGCCAAACAATCTTGCAGGCCGCAAGGAAATGGAAACTGCGGTGCCAGCCGGTATCGTGGAGCAAGGACTCGAGCCTTCAGCTTTCTCGCATGGCGCTGCATCTGGTAGCGGTGCTCGTCGACGGAGCCAAAGAAGTAGCCTCCGCCGTGAACGTAAAGCATGATCCGACGGCCCTTCTTCTTCTCGCGTTTCCGCTCCAGGTAATGTGAGGACATTTCTATCCACTCGGCGCGGAGGACGCTGTCGTTCCGGCGCCATTGCCACCATTCGACTCCGCCTACCGCCTTGACACCTTCTGGACCTAATTGCTTGATGATGGCATCGGCTGCCCTTGAGACCTGCTCGGGTGGAATATCTACGTTGTCCGTCTTGACCCATGTCGGCGTGGGCACCCATTGGGCGGTAAATGCTTGGAGCTCGTCGATGGTCTTGGTTGAGGCGTATGTGAGGAAGGTCTTGATGAGGTGCAGCCCCTCATCGTATGAGATGTGTGCGGTTGGCTTCTTCGCTCGCGGCTTACGGTTGGCATACTGTGTGGTGCGTCAGATGAGTGCTTCGCGTCAAGGACGCGTATGGGAAGTACGTACATGTGACACACAGGTCTTTACCACAGTTGGTGTAACTGCAGACGCGACCTGGAACGTCGTTATGGTCATCTTGTTTGATGATCTTACCGGAAGTCGAGGATGTCAAGGGAGGCCGTCAGAGCCATGATTCTGCTGAGAAGTACGAGGAGATGATGTTCAGTAGCGATGCAGAATGATACTGAGACTGTTAATGTAACAAAGGAGATTCTTTTACAAGACTTTTGCGCGTGTTGATGGATGTCAGTGTCGGCAAATGGAGGGTTATGGCCTGTCGCTTCGCCCCGGATGTGATCTGTGATCTTTTCGAAATCTCCGCATTGCATCATCATGCATTCTAAAAGACTGGGGACGGATATTGCAAGCCGGTCAGAGGTTTATTAGGGACGACAGAGAGAGCTAGGTACTGCTGTGCATTATCTTGATATAGAGAGTGGTGGTAATATACTAGATCAGAGCCTGTCCCTTGTGCATGGCTTCTCTGACCTCGCGCACGATATCCTTCCTGTCGTGTTTACCCACCAACACCACGCCTCGACCACGCCTGCCCATTCGCCCAAGTCGTCCTAGGCGATGAATAAAATCTATTGTCGTATGTGGTACATCGTAAAGGATTACGTGGCGCACCGCCAAGGTGTCAATGCCACGTGAGCCCAAGTCTGTTGTTACAAGCACCTTCACGTTGGGCAAATGTCGTGATGGTCCCGTATTCTGCTCTGTCCGGCCTCCTTCCAAGGGCACAAAGTCCCGAAAGTTGCGTTGGCTCTTGTCTTGAGCAGGCTTCTCGTTTCCCACAAAGCGGGTCGACGACGTGAAGGCGTCAAGAATATCGTTCTGCCTCTGCTCAGAGGTGTCGCGCGTAAAGGGGACAGCATCCACTCCTTTGCTGGCCAGGAACTTGGCAACCTCTTCGGCTCGTTCCCGTTCGTTGACAAATACCATCATGCACTTGACCGTATGATGGCTGGACGTGTCGTCGTGTACAGCTTTGCCAATCGTCCAGATCACATCGGCACACGCTAGATCTCGATTGCCACGATACAGTGGCTTGTCGATGTCCACCATGCCCAGCTGCACTCTGCGTTCAATGCTGTGCAACTTTGGCGTGACCAGTCTCCTCGCATTTGGATAAGTCCTGTCCATATACTTATCTAGACTTCGAGGAATGGTGGCAGAGCAAAGTATGAGCTGTTTCAGTGATGGCGCTGCTCGATCGATGATGCCTTGGGTCGTTTCGTTGAAGGATCTGTCAAACAGTGAATCTGCTTCGTCCACGACCAGGTATTGAACGCGACTGAGGATGTTTGGCTCTTTTTCTGCGATACTGGAGATGAGATGCGGCGTCGATACCACGATATCCACACCACTTGGGCGGAATAATCTGCTGCGAATGACGGTGGGCGTGTTGGCCGAGGAGATAGCCTCCACGCGATACTTGACAGTATGGGACATAAGCTTGGCCACCTTGCCCACCTGAGTGACGAGCTCAGATGATGGCATCAAGATGATGGCTCGGGGTCGACCCATGGATGGGCTCACTTTCTCATCAGCTTCGTGAGGGTCAACCTCGAAGACGTTTGTAGCCAGTCGCTGCTTCTGTTCCTCTTCTCTCGCTACCTCTGCCACTTTGTCGATCTCCTCTTGTCGCTTCACGTTATCGATGACTGGGAGTAAATATGCCAATGTCTTACCAGACCCTGTTTCTGCGGCCAGCATAAAGGTATCGTAGCGGTGGTCGCTATTCTTCTGCTGTGACTCTTCGGCTTTTAGGAGAGCTGGAACTGCAAGCTTCTGCGCGGGCGTGGGTGTGTATGTCTCCAATCCCGGCAATACCTGCGAGTACACGGCATCGACAACGGCTGGCGTCAGTCCAAGTTCTTCGAAAGTCTCGATCTTATCAAGTTTAGCTCTAATCCTGTCACGCTGTATGTACGACATGGGCGTCAGAGTCTGCTGCATCTTCAGTGCGTGGTAAAGAGGTCGGTCGTCGTTCCGTGATCGAGTCTTAGGCTTGTCGGCGGCGTCTCTCGATTCTGGTCTGGCACGTGCTGCTGGCTGCGTTTGCGCCTGCATCAAATCGCGAGGTACATGTCGCATGTTCATCCCACCGAATGGCCCTGGCTGTTCACGTTTCTTGCGGACTTCCCTCTCCCCTGTACGACCGACGTCTACGGTCAAGACCTTGCGCGCAGGATCTCGCCGCCTTCGCATGGCCATAGCCATAGATCTGTGTTGCTGCCATACTGATTGATTGCGTCCGATGGTTGCCAGAAAGGACCGAAACTGACACGATGGACATACCGATGCCACGGCCGATGACATTAGATGTGGCAGCGATGTCAGAGAGAAATGGCACAAGGTGGTAGCCACTCTCGAAAGACTGACGCCAAACGTGAACTTTTTGGTCGGAGAAGTTGTCCGAAGCTAGCGGCGGCGGGCCGCGATTAGCCTTAGTTGAGTCTAGCGTATCTGCGGAAGCGGCGTTGCTCGGGCAATGGCTTCTAGCAGCGATAAACAAATGACGCGCGCCTATCAACTCGTAGCTCGCTTCAAACACCACTCGGCCTCTCCACAGCTTCCTTCTTCAAGTCGATCACAGCTTTGTCAACATTCGAGCCCGAGGCCACTTCAGCGACCGCTACGGCCTCTCGAGTGCAAAGGCTGCTATTCCATTCTGTGCATTCATTCTACAGCATTGAGTACGATATCGTTGATCTTGGAGTCGGAGGCAGTTGAGCTGCTCGGCCGACTCACATTCCTCATCAAAGCATACGCTTGACAGTCCACTCTTTACATGGTCTGAGCGTCTGACATAGCGAGCGAAGACATTGCCATTGTTCAACAACCACAGCCATGGCTTCACAAACTGTAAGTCGTCCCTGACTCTGCGGTCTACCAAACATCGTCGGCTAATGGCTCATCAAAAGGTGCCGCCGCTGCGTATTCAGAAGGGCAGCAATGGCTCCCCCAACAAGCTACCAATGGTCAATCATCGTCCATTGTCGGAGCTCAGCCCGATGGCGATTCGTCGCAACTCACCGAGCTTCCCGCAGTCAAAGGTAAGACACCACAGCACCCTATAATCACACCAGCTGACCCGGACGTCGCAGAGCCCAGCAAAGGTCACAACATCACCTCAGAAGTCTTCGCCCTTCGGCAACAACTCTCCACGCGATTTCTGGCAAGGTCGTGATGTCAACTCACCTGCGCGAGAACTGCAGAACCCGATCGAGAGCATGCCGTCGCCGCCACCAGCAAAGCGATCGTCTATCGAGAATTTGAAGAAGGCATCCCGAGTCAAGAATAGTAGCATGTTTGCTCGGGAGCAGACTCATCACTACGATCCATCGCGCCCCAGTATTCTTGATGGCCGTCCACTCAACGGAAGCATTACCTCAAACCGATCTTCGTTCTTGCGCGACTCCACGTCCTTCATTTCGCAGGAGAACAAGTCTCCAGTGCAGAGTCCGTTGCAGTCATCGCCGGGTAGACCACTTGAAGACACCACCAATGCCTCAGTGCCGCTTTCGCCGAGCAAGAGCAACACTTCGCCAACCAAGTCATCACTGTCTAAGAGATCAGGCAACGCGTTCAAGAACAGCGCTTTCGACCCCGAGACTGGCATCTGGGAAGATGACACCGATCGTGAGGAGAAGAAGTTGCCGGCGGGTCGTTATTTGCACCGTCATGCAAAGAGTGTCACATTCGACCAAGCACCACCGCAGGTCAACGAATATGAGATGACCACTCCCGACCCATCATCCGTCGCATCAGGCTCTCGCGAGGGCAGCTATGATGACGATGAAGACGAAGAAGAGGACGAGTTCAGCTTCGAGCGTGGCTCATCAATGGATCACGACGACAGTTTCGATGCATCGCTGGAAGACACCGAGAAGACGCCCGTCGTCCTGCCAGAAGACTGGCGCTTCATGAGTCCCGAAGCGGCCAACACACAGCTCACCCGCGGCGAAGAGGACGTCTTTGATGAAGAGTTCGGAAGCCCTGGTCCGACTGCAGACCCAGGAGCTCGTGCCTACCAACCTCACCAGGCCAGTCTGAACTCTGTCGACTCCAATGGCGAACGTCGACCACTGCCGCCGCTGCCACCAGGAGCAAGCTCGCCCACCAAAAGTCCTGGCCGAGACAGTCTGTCTGGTGCACTGGAGCGTATGAGTAATCCCTACCGTAACTTGCCGTCTCCACCCCAGGCTCCGATGGTGTCCAAGAACGACATTCGCCGCATGAGCGGCAGTGGCCTATCAATGAACGATCGACTGCGTCTCATGATGACAGAGAAGGAGAAAGAGCAGGATACTCAGCGAGAGCGCCGTATGCGCCGCGCTGACGTCAAGGAGACTAGTCCAGTGAGAAGCCCAAGTCAAGAGCCTGTCCATCTTGCTGTCGACGATGCAAATGAGGCCGAGGGCGTTGAAGCGGCTCCTCCCACGCAACTGTCTACTCGCGACGCCATTCTCCGACACATGCGCAGCGAGCAAGACCTGCAGCAACGCGCCGGCAGTGAAGAGTCCAGTAACCCGTCTCATGCGTCGTACGATCCAGATGTCCCGATTCCGTCACTCGAAGATCCTACGTTCAGACGGTCTTCGGTCGAGATCAAGAGAGAAGATGACGAAGACGACAATGGACTGTACTCGATCCCTGACATGTATGCACACTCTGTCACAGCGAGCGAAGCCGATCAGGAAGACATGACCAGCCAGTACTCGCAGCCATCTCTGCCTGCCTTGCCGGCCCAGTCAGATGACGGCCAGGACACTCCGCGTGCCTTGAGCCTGCGAGAGAACAGCAAGCCCAGCAGTCAAGCAACGGCCTTGCTTTGCCCGACTTCATGGCTGACTTCAGCATGAACACAAGTTTCGACGCCGGACTTGAGTCGTTCATGACGCCTCCAACAGAGCAAGTGGCCGGCGACAAGTCAGACGTGTTCTCGCAATCTGTCGATACCAAGCTGCCAGATCTTGCAGCCCTACGCAACTCGATCCAACGTCCGTACACACCTCAGGAGCAACTGGAAGTCCCACAGCCCGCGTGGGAGAGCGAAGAGCCTGGTACTCCGAGCTCTGTGATCCGTCATCCTACCACTGATGAAAATTCGATATCTCCAATAAGTGATGACTTGAATGATCAGCAGTTACCTGTCGATGAGCCCATGTCGCCAAAACTCTCGGCGCCTACGCCGGCCACTCTCGACAAAGATCTGCCCGCCACACCACCAGAACCGGTCACAGAGCCCGAGCCAGCAGCCTCTGATGCACTCCTCGACATACCTACCGCAAAAGGCGCCCGAAAGAGCAGTCTCGTTCAGCTTGAAATTCCGAAGGATCAGAGCGACGAAGGCTTGAGCTTTGGCCTAGAAAAGGAGTTCGATCGCGTGGTCGAGGCCCAAAAGGTAGAGTTTGAACGGTCCCTCCAGCACCTCTACTACCCGTTCAACGGACGATTCCCATCAAATGAGCTTCCTGATACGAAGGACTCACCTCACAAGAACTCCCCTTTCAAAGATCCCCTACCTTCCAGACCCCGTGGCGCACGTCTCATGAATGAAAGTCTTGCTAACAGACCCTTCCCCAACCAGCGAGGCTACTTGATGCGACAGAATACAAAAGTCGTCGTTGCGAGTGAGCGTGTGTCCCACGATGACAGCCGCCCAACCGATACCGCCCTTGGTGTACCATCCATCGAACCGAACGAAGTCGTCGCGTCGCCTCGGAAGACCAGTCAACCCACCTGGACCGCCGAGCCCTGGACCGGCAAGTCTCGTCGAAAGAGCATTCGTGTTGGCGGTGAGACATCGCCTATGAAACGCAAGGAAGTAGCTCCGCCGTTGCCTGGACAGGCCAGCGCGGTAGACACCCTGAACGCTGTCACGGAAGACGATCTCGCCGAGGAGGAAGCCGAAGACTTCGAAGATGGTGCCGAACGAGGCCGTCTCTTCGTCAAGGTCATTGGCGTGAAAGATCTGCAGCTGCCCTTCCCACAACGTAAGTCTCTATCATTCATGATCGGAGGCTCTCTGCTAACATCTCCAGACGAGCGAACCCAGTTCGCCTTGACACTCGACAACGGCCTCCACTGTGTCACCACTGCCTGGCTGGATCTTGCTCGAGATGCACCTATTGGTCAAGAGTTTGAACTTGTGGTTCTGAACGAACTCGAATTCCAGCTCACCCTTCAGATGAAGCTAGAGGAGCCCAAGATCCAGCGTCCTCAGTCTCCCAGCAAGCCTCTCAGCTCGCCGAAGAAGACTGGAGCCTTCGGTAGACTCTTCGGCTCCCCCAAGAAGAAGGAAAAGGAATTGCCACCTCCGACTCGCACAAGACCAGTGACTCCACCATCGTTCTATGAGATGGTACAAGGTCTCGTAGCCAAGGACGGCTCTTTTGCTCGCGCATACATCAATCTTACCGAACATGAGAAGCGTGCCTATGGTCGACCATATTCAGTGGACATCAAATGCTTCAACGAATGGGCTATGGAAGAAGTCGCCATTGGCAGCCACCGTAGTAAGCGTGGCGCCACTTCGATGCAGCGACGTCCTCCGTACGAGATCGGTAAGCTGGAGCTGCTATTGCTCTATGTGCCGAAGCCGAAGGGAGCCAAGGACGAGGACATGCCAAAGAGCATGAACGGTGCTGTCCGAGCCATGAGAGATGCGGAGGAGAGAATGCAACAACAAGCCAGCATCCAGGATTTCGAAGGTCATCTCAGCCAGCAGGGCGGCGATTGTCCAGTAAGTCCACCCAAGTTTGCTTCTTTTGATTCGCACTAACCAAGCCACAGTACTGGCGTCGCCGCTTCTTCAAGCTCGTCGGCACAAAACTCACCGCCTACCACGAAGCCACCCGCCAGCCCCGTGCAACCATCAACCTTGCCAAAGCAGCCAAGCTCATCGACGACAAGTCCTCCCTTGCTCAGAAAGAGACCTCCACTAAAGGTGGTGGGCGGCGACGCAGCGCGTTCCACGAGGAAGAGGAAGGATACATGTTTATCGAAGAGGGCTTCCGCATTCGCTTCGCCAACGGTGAAGTCATCGACTTCTACGCTGACTCCAAGGAGTTGAAGGAGCAGTGGATGGCGGCCATGAGTCAGGTTGTTGGTAAGCCTGGCATCGCGGGTTCGTCCGGTGCTGGTGGGAAGGATGCGAAGGCCTGGACTGAGATGGTGCTCAAGCGCGAGAAGAGCACTGTTCGGAAGAACATCGTCGACCAAGCGAGTCGGACGAAGGCTGCTGCACCGCCGATGCCACCGATGCCTCAGGCTGCTACGGATGTGCCAATAAGGAAGTCGAGCAACCAGCAAGCGCAGCAACTACAGCAGGCTCAGCACATCGCACAGCAGCACCATCAGTCGCTACCAGCGCCGGCACCTCGACCCAAGTCGCCCGTCCGCCAACAGGTTGCGCCGCCTCTACCTAGCAGCATCCCTTCACCGACGAGCAAGACATCGCGTCCAGTGATGAACCCGCGGCAAAGCACAGGTGACATGCGGACATCAGGTCATATGCGGACTGAAAGCTATCAGCCGGCTGCCACTGGATCGAAGAGCCAGAGCAACAGTCCGGTCAAGAAGAGCTTTGGTTTGGCGCTTGGTGGGGGACTGAGTGCGATGAGTGGGGAGGAGAGGAGGCGGAAGGCGCGGAGTATGCTGATGTGATCAAGTCAACTCTGCGAGTCGTTTTTCTGCGGACATGGGCATGTTGTGAGGATCATCTGTGGCTGGCGTTATGTGTGAGAATACATTCGGGAAAGGCAGGACTGGATCAGGCGCTGCATGTCTTTGCATACGAGTCACGAACACGACTCCAATGGCTTTCCGTTCACATCAGGATGTTGCAAGAGAGAGGGTGTTGTACAAAGCTCTTGACCTCTGTACGAGTGAGCGTGTAGCTGTAGTTGCTGAACAACGAGAAAAGTTCGAAACTCACCGTGATGCTTCTTTGCCGGTTCGTCGGCACCGACGTGCTTCTGCTGTCGATGAAGTGCAATTCTTGTACTAGCATCTCTCACGCTGGGGAGTTTGCGGTGGCTTTTGGCAGTGGCCTAATTCAGTGGAGCAGGAAGTTCACGCCGGTTGACAAGCTTGCCCAACAAGCCAGGTCCTTGTCTGCTTGTGGGCTTACGAAGGTTTGTCTGCATATTCGAAGGTCGATGTTTGGCTATACTACAGGAGTGTCATATCGTGCAACTCAGGTGGGTGGTGATAGATTTTGGTCGAAGGCATAGGTAAGAGATAGCGTGAGGGAAGGTACGAGCATCGATCGAGCCATGGAGCGCACATGCAGCATTTATATCCCAATTCCATAGCCTACGGTTCTTGAGTTCTTGTCCTACGCTTCTGAGTGCTGAAACTGCTACCAGCTTGCACTCGCCGCAACGTCAAGGCAGCGCAGTTGTTTATGTATCCAGGGGACAGTACGGAGCAGTGGACGGGACTATTTGCACGTGCTAGCTCGCTGCTGTCAACGCAGGCGTTTCCGGAAAAGGACATATCGCATACCGGTTGACAAGTTCTCCTTCCACACAAATCGCGGGTCATCCGGTCTGCTCCAGTACCCTACCTGAACCGGTTGACAAACCAAACAATCGTGGAAGGTGCTCGAGGCACGTGCACCAGCCGCTCGTGGTTCCGCGTTTTCAAGACAAGGAGAAGGAGCGATCGATGGATGTGTGCACCTGCTGCGGCTGCTTGGATGCAGGATTGGAAAGGCAGGCGAGGGACGTGGAATGCCTTGTCATCCGGTCTGATGTAGAGCCCAACCGGCGCCGGTTGACTGCGCGAGCAGCCGTGGAAGGTGTCAAGAAGGCACTTGCCACTCGTGGCGTCAGAGAACGAACGATGGGTAGAAGGCGCGACCGACTTGTGCTCCTGCCGTGGCTGCTTCAAGGCAATGTTGGGAAGGCAGTCGCGAAATGGCTTGTCATCCGGTCTCATGTGGAGCTTTGGTCGGGCCGGATGACAGTGTTCCTCGGGAAATGGTGGGTGTTTCATTGCTTTACTCTGAGCGTTGTTATTCATTTGTCCTCAGATCACAGGCAACAATCATGCAGGGAGATACAGATGTCTTCATACTTGAGCAGAAAATAGGAGGGAAACACAGTGGGGCAACAGGTTCATTGGCAGGGCGTACAGCGCGCCGGATGCCTGGGCAGGAATCGTCCCCCCATTCATACTCTCCTTCTTCGTCTCTTACGTCCCATATTTTTTCCGCTATATCGCTGAACTCTCCGGGCAACCCACCACAGTCGAAGCCGAGAAGAAGACTCAACACTGGTAGTTCGCCTTCCAAGTCATCCAAGTCATCCTCATCACCACCTTCTCCTCAGGCGCAACCACCGCCGTAAGTTCCAAGATATTGGGACGATGACTGCTCCTCTACGTAACCGCTGAGAAACCTTGCTTGCCAGGAAAGGATACATGGGTCATCTCGGAATGCGAATTCGATTGTAATCGGGGCAGCTTAATCTTGGCCCCCGCTTCGCATTTCTCTGATGTAGAGCTGACATGCGCCGCCGATCAGTATGAATTTCGCCGTATCTGGATCTGAGATTCCGACCAAGATCCATTGACAGGCGCGACAACGGTTTCATCATGCAAGGCATCGCCTCTCTTCTCAATCTCCGCTCTCTCCTCGCTGCCGCCCACTGCTTGATCTCATCAACTGCTCGTTTCGGATTCTGCTTGCGCGCGAAGATGAAGTCCTGAATGGCAGCTGGAGACAGTACTCCCTCCGGGCAATTCCTTGCAAAGTCTTCGGCAAGGAAAGGGATTTGCGCCCCACTATAGTTCACCGCCTTTCGCGATTTGACATCGTACATCTTGGTGAACATCTGCTTCGCGATCGACTTGGTGATATACTTGAATTCGATTTGACGGGAGACGCGACCGTGGCGAATTAGAGCATCGTCAAGGACATCCTTGTGGTTGGTGGTCATGACGACGATGTGGCCTTCGGGAGCACGGCCACTGTCGAGCATGTTGAGCAGGCCGGCGAGTGTGACACGATTCGGGGACTGCGATGGTTCTTCTTCCTGTTCTTCCTCCTCTTCATGCCAACTGCCCTCATCGTATCCAGACTCCGATTCCGCATTCTCGTCCAGAAGTTGGTCACGCTGCCATCGACGGTATGCACCCTTGTCTCCTGGTTTGTGAGATAGCTGAGCAATGCGACGCTGGTGCGCGTGTTGTCGTCGCTGTGTGTTGCTGGACTTCTCAGGATATTGACTTCGCATGGATAGCTGTACAGACCTGATGTCATGTTTTGATCTTGAGTTGACTATTGGAGCTGTACGTTGCCGAGATAGGCCAACGCAATCGATGTCCTCAAGTAAGAGGAGGTCTTTTTCGCCAAGAGCCTCACCGAGCTTGAGAAGCATTTCATCGTCCAGATTCGGATGTGTCAGGGATAGCACGTGGACTCGCATTCCAAAGTGTCCAGCTAGAGCATATGCAAGCGTGGTCTTCCCAGTCCCTGGTTTACCGTGGAAAAGATACCCTTTCCGCCATGGAATGCCGAGACTTCGGGCGACTGCCTCATCTTCTTCGTAGTACGCTGTAATTTCAGACAATATGTCGGCTCGGAGATCGTCTTCCATCCACACGTTCTCCACGGCGCGCTGTATTTTGGACTTCAACAAAGTCCATGAAGTGCCGCCAGAGTAGGTAAAGATGCGTACCTTGCCCTTCTGTTGAGCAGACTTATTCACTTCCTCAAGCCAGTCTTCAAGCACCTTGGTGGACTTGTCCAGGCAGAAGAAATCCAGAACGTTGTTTTCGTTCTCCGATTCGCTTTCCTCGAATAGAATGAGTTTGCCGCGGTAGATGAAGAAGTCCGTAACGTATTCTCTCTCGTCGATTCTCAGCTTGCCCCTCTTCTCATCGTCCTTTTTTCCGTTGTCTTTGTCCGCGTCCTGCTCAGAAGCATCGTGCTCATCGCCTTCATGGGTGCTGGCCGTAAAGAACCTGCAGGGTCTAGCTAGAGCTTTACGCATGAGGAATAATTTAGCTCGATCGATACGCGAAAGATCTGAGCCTTTCTTCTTCTTCGCAGCCTTTATCCACTCTAACGCATTGGTAGCGAGCTCTGTGCCCAGATATGTTCTCATCCGGACCATGTGGTTCGTCTTGACTGACTCCAGGATTTTGCCAGGAATTTGTGACAGTGAAGAATTCATACTTCCGACGAACCTGAAGATATCGCGAATGAGTGCGATGACATTGATGACGTTTGAGAATGTTGACCAGAGTCTCGCGAGTGCAGCCACCTCAGAGCCGAATGTATCTTGGACCATCGCGTAACCGGACTTGCACGCGTAGCGTCGGAGGAACAGCATGAAGAACCGCTTGAGACTACTCGACCCTTCGGAGGGGTTCATGAATCGAGGGTTCAAAGGTGGAGCCATTCTACCAGCAGACGTAGACTGGTGAGTGATGAGCGATAATGCTGAAGTGCTTGATGAACCTGAGATTGAGGGTGTATTTGTCGTCGGAGTTGATGCGTCGGGTGGACAAGCAGATCTAGGGTCCTCGCCTGGTCGAGAGTACAGGACACACGATAAGTCGTTCTCAGCTAATGCCTTGCTGTCGCTACCAACAAGTCGTAGAGATTCTTTCGTAGGAGAGTCTCCGTTGGGATAGAAAGGTGTTCGTCGATCGAGAAATGAGGACCTTGGTGAGCTCGTTGTTGACATGTAGCGAGAGTCCAAATCTAAAAGCACCCTCTCAGTGACTTCGCGTGTGATTGCTTGGATGGACTGATTGCTGATATCTTTATATTCTTTGTTCGTCTCGGAAGCTAGCATCTTCTCTTTTGCTGCTGTAGTGTCAATGTGATTGGCGACGTCTGAGATGTAGTCGGCGGTGCCATGAGCTGCAGCGTCCCAGTCGATTTTGCCAGCCAGCTGTGACAGAAACCCTGCCATGTTGAAGGCGCGTTGCGTAATCGATATTGCTATGAAACAACCAAGTGTCGAGGATGATGCGACTAGAGAGATGCAAGCGTCGTTGAATTCTTCCGAACGCGGGTCGATTCGTGTCAGAGTATCCAGAGAAACATCGCGGAAGATTGCAGAGGAGGCTGGCTTCAACCATCGGAGGTCGCAGACAGACCTCTGTGGCGCAGGCATCGCGAAGTGTACTTCATGTGCCGGGGACTCTTGTGAAGAGGAGTGCCAGGGATGACGGAGTGACAGAGGTGAAGCATCAGTGCCGTGACCGAATCTCAACTGAAATGCCCTGCTTCGCTGCTTTTCAGATATTTGCCACGCCATGAGCAACTTCATCGACAATCACAACGTTCGAGGTACAGCTCGTGGTACTGAATGACCAGGGAACACCGAATTCGGCTGAGGCATTCAGTAGCAGATCCAACGCAAAGCTTCTTGGAAGGCAGCATGCTAACAACTGTAAGACAGTAGACATCAGATAACGTGAAGGTATTGTCGTAAGGGGTCCACGAAAGCCATTATCGGAGGGTCCATGATTGTCGATATAATCGCCTCGAAAGATCATGCTGGGATATCATCGAACACTCGGCCACGGTCGAAAGATGCTGAATCAGTGTAGGTTCGAGAGAAGCTGTTACAGAAGCGTGATATTACTGTCACCGTCTCAGCAGACAGCATGGCATCGTCAGTGTTGCGGAGGAAGACTCAGTACGTCGTTCAAATGCATTCGCGATGGGCGCTTGTCCCCTTTTGTGATTCGAGGGCATGTCATATCCGTCTATGGTCGAAGCAAAGCATTTGTGAGTTGCTAATCGGAAGCAATCGCCCGGGAGTGGTGGATGTGCTTGTCCAACGACGTGTCAAGCTTTTGACAGCCAGAGGCTCGAACAATCAAGCGTGCAAGCACGATGAAGTGCTCAGGACGTGCTACGAGGAAGGTGGGATGGACGCACTTGAGAGAAGTCGTCGATTTAAGTTGTCGGCACCTGACTTCGGAGTCACGTGATTATTGAGGACCTTGTGCTCTTGCTGCGACTGATTGGGCGCGGTATTGGGAAGGCAGCCGCGGTCGCGAGACGGCTTGTCATCCGGTCTGATGCGAAGCCCAACCGGAGCCGGTTGACAGCACAATACAAGCAGTCGAGGAAGGTGCTCGGGTAGGCACCTGCACCTGCCGCTTGTGGTGTTGTGAGAGAACTTTAACCGAGGAGAAGGAGCTATCGATGCGTGCTTCTGCTCTGACTGCTTGGGTGCAGGATTTGGAAGGTCCTTAGGGGCGGAACACGCTGTCATCCGGTCTCATGTGGAGGCCTCGTGAGACCGGGTGACCTGGTTTCGCTGGAAACGTGGACTGGATGTCTCCGCTCCCTCCGTTGCGGGTGTTGTCATGCCGTTGTTCTACGATCAGGGTGAATGATTCATGCAGGGGAATGCCTCGGGACCTGAGCAGAGAATCACACATGGAGGCGGGTCGGGGTACTGGACCATTGGCAGAGCGTCCGGCGCGCCGGATGACGCGCCCGGGCAGGAATTATTCTTCATTCTTTTCTATCTGTTTCCTAAGACATGTATCTACACTCCGACATTCAGGCTCCGCGAGGATCGAAGTATTCTTACGCCAGCTTGATGGCGGCGTGCGAGGTCACCATCGCCGTTAGAGCCAAGTCGTTGAGCTACTTCGCGTCTCCTGGTCGACGATGGTGGGTGTAGATGGCATCTCGGAGTTTGCGCTAGAAGGGTATTCTCATTATGGACGCCTGAAGAGCATGCAATCCACAGGTCTGCCTCCCGAGAACTGCCTCCCTGGAGTTGTCTCATTCAGCCTGATTGCTCCAATATTTCCTTTCAAATGATTTCTTCCGGAGTGCACGACGGAGCTTCTGCTCACGATACTTCAGCTGTGTGAGGTTTGTCCCCAGTGTTTCTCACGCGTTACATATGTGTGATTGCGTATGGTATTGCTGCAAGAACATGCACAGCATGTTTCCCCATGGCTGCTCGTCCTGTATGATGGCTTTGAAGACGAGAGGTATGGCGACAATGATGCTCTCCCCTATGTGGGATTGCTCGTGTCTGGTGTCTTGCGCAGGCCCGGACGAGGATGACACTGGAGATCTAAGATCGTCTCTTGCGCTTCTTACTCTTCTCAACCATCACACAACTCTCGGACTTCTTGAGCTCCGCTTCGAAATCGATATCCGCGAAAACGCCCTCTGTGGAGTTCTGGAAGAGCTTTTCGAAGGCATTACCGGTGACGAAAGCGATTGTAGGAGAGCAGTCAATCCCTAGTAGGCCGTCGTCCTCGCAACCGTCGTCGGAATCGTCGAAGACGGTACCGACTCGCTCGAGTTTGGCGTTGCTCAGGATGAATCTCATCATGAGCAGATCGTCCTTCATATAGCGGGTACCATACTGTGAGATTCGCTTGTGGCTGTGGACGCCGGAGATCTTGAAATATTCGAGGTTGGGAAACCGCAGGAGAAGTTGTGTGAGCCAGCGTTCTCGCAGGTAGTGGCGCATGTAGATCTCGGCAGTGATGTGAAGAGTGGTGATTGATGGAGTGAAAAAAGGACGTGCACATGCGTACCAGCAGGCGATGCTCAAATCTGTGACTTCCAGTAAGAAGTCTTTGCACACCAGAGGCATGACCTCGGCATGTGTAGTACGGCAGGCTTTGGCAAGGTTTACCAGAGGCTTCAGCACTGCATCTGGCTTGCGTAGGAGCGCCCAATCGTTGACTATCCAGAACCACTCCATATCACCCTTACCAGGGAAGCCGCTCGAGCCTTTTGCGGGTCGCTCAACATCTGCAAGCTGCGGCCAAGCCTGTCTGCCTGATTTACGCGCCCTGAAGTTCGACGCAGTTCCTGGGCGACGGTGGACTTCAACGAAGAAGGTACTGCGATCTGTTGGTAGCAACTGCTCGTACACCTTGAGACGTAATTCGGGTGGCAGACGCATGAGGTCGAAGTTCTCCGGTCCTTTGTACGTGGGTGCTGTGCGCTTGTCGAGTGGAGGGAGTGGAGGGAGCGGAGGAAGCGGAGGGGTTGACTGGCCTATTCCGCGTGCGTCTGCGGCAGCCATGGCGCGAGACGCCCACTGCAAGTCTAGGTAAGGTACCATGACTGCCTGATGTGCTGTGTGAGCTGGTGTTGAAGATTCTCGGAGTCAGCAGAAGGTTGTAGGCGACAAGATGTGTCGAGGCGGAGGGAAAGGTCAACGGAGTGAGAAGGCTGTGATTGCACAGTGACAACGGCTTGGGGTGATTGGTGTGTGTTGTTAACCAGGCAGGCGACCTTCACTTGACAAAGTGAGTGTATTTAGAGTGAGCTCCAGACTGCTGCGTGAACTACGTAGACGGATAGTATAGCCTAAGGTCCTCACCAATTGTTGTGCAGAAGTTATCACCTAAAGCCGATTCCAGCTGCCTCGCTCTTTGCGAAGCTGGTCGGCAGTGCACTCGACGACGGTGAGCTGTCCGACGTCGTTCCCCTGGTGATGCGCCTAGACCTGGCTCCCATAATCCCTTTCACGTCTAAGCCTTCGATCTCGCCGTCCGTGGCCACACTCAAGCCCATCATTGCTTCCCGCTCGGCAGTAACACAACTTTCCTTCGCCTTCGCTCTGCTCGCTGTTCGTCGCCGTTCGCTCCATGAATCACGAGACCACTTCGCCCACGATCTGGTGAGCTGATCGTTTGCATTGCGGGTCTCATGCCTTTCTGCACATTGCGGGTCTCATGCCTTTCTGCACAGCGGACTGTCGCGATTGCTGCTCAGCACATACTCGGCAGTAGCTGGGGCCACGACCCGAATAGACCATCATTCTCGCATATCTCTCGCAGGGGTAACGATCTTAACATTGTTCGCTCGCCGGATAGATAGCCGTACGCACCAGCCACCACAGCTACAATTGTGCTAATCGCTTCATGTTCGTTGCGTGTTTTGAGCCGCGAGACTTGACGATCTCCTCTTCGACGAAGATCTCGGAGAAAGACTGTTCGGCGGTGTCCTGACAGTGCTTCTGGAATCCCACATTCGTGACGAACGCGATGTTGGGGGTGCAACCACCGCTTCGTTGCTGCTTGCAGCCGTTGCCATCTTCAGGGACCGTGAATACTCTTTGGAAGTTGGTGTTTTCGAGAACGGATTTCAGCACAAGCAGGTAACCGATCTTGTAGCGGGTACCAAAGTGAGAAGCGCTTTTGTGGGTGTGTATACCGCTGATGCGGAGGTAGTCAAGTCGTGGGAAGTGTTCGACAAGTTTGGCAAGCCAGCGTTGCTGCAGATGATTGCACTCTTCGATTGGGGTGATGATCTCAAGGCTCATGAGGTTGGACGGCAGCAATGGACGAAGGGTCGCATACCAGCAGGCAATACCGACGTGTTCGATGCGAAGATGGAAGCCATTCAGGAAGAAGGACAGGACCTCATCACGCATGACGCGACAGACCTTGGCAAGATTGAACGGCGCTGTGAGTGAGTTGTTGCTGCCTAACAGAAGCGAAGAGGCGCCATCAGTCTCCACGTGTTGCCGAATGTCGTTGGCTGAGTACCGTGCGAGCCGTAATGTGTCCTTGCCACCGGCTCTGCATCGTGCGAGAATGGGGAATTCGGGGCCATAGCATTTGCGGTTGAGAAGGGTGCGTGAAGAAGGTAGTCGCCCAGGAAGTATCTTCTTGTAGACTTCGTGGCGCAATTCACTAGGCAGACGCAGAAATTCGAAGTTCTCTGGACCTTGGTGAACGAATGACTTTCTTCTCTTGCGGGCGTATCCCGGCCTATTGTCGCGGCGTTTTCTCTTTGGCGCCATGCCGACCTGCTTTGACGACGGCAGAGTGGGTAATCCTCTGCGCACTTTGGTCGCAAAGAATGTCGTCAATGAGAACAAGACGAAGCACGGGAAGATGCTAGATAAGGCCTTTCCGCACGTGCAAGGTGCCTGATGGTATCAAAGGCTGCAGATAGTTGATGATGGCGGCTTAGTGTGACTCAACCTGTCTTCCCGAGATGGGGAACTTCATTTGATGAAGTGACTTATTCGAAAGTATTTTAGCATGTATTCGCGAATGTCGACACTGTATGTGAAGCGGACGAGTGTCATCCTGCGTCTATGAAGACTTACAGCGCCGAATTTGGGTTGACGAGAAAGACGATGACAAGAAGGGTCAAGCGGAAGCTTTCGCGGGATCAAGGGGAAAGGGCACAATTCACGCCGGTTGACGGCTTATCGCTTGTGCAATTTGATATTTTTGGGTCTGTGTCTCAACTATCTATCTGTCTGCATATCCCGATGGTGTGTCCGGGCGCATCGGACCATCTGGCGCCAACTCTATTGGGCGTCAGGCGTCTTCAGCGCTCGTTGTGTCAAGCTGGTAAACGCGTTGTGTTCGATTCGGTCGAAGACGCTGTGTTTGGACGACATCTCAGGCTTGCCTCCGGAATGATCGCTCCCCATGGTTGCAAATGCATCATGTCCTCTCTGGAGCTATGGCATCGAGATTTGACTCTTTGGGAGTGTCGTGTTCTGCCTGACAGATCCAGTGTTCCCAATCCAAATGATCCGTTTCAAGATGCACTTCTGACGAACCTTCTACTGACCTGATTCTGACTGTGTGAGCTTGTCGTCGGCGTGCTCCTTTGTTGCTTAGCGATGATGCACTCGATTCCTGCCGACTGGACGTGATAACGATCTCTCTGTGGATGAGCGTTCGTTATGAAATCGTTGAAGATGAGCCGAGGACGGCAAGGACAAGTCTACGCTGCGTAGATGGCTTTTCAATATCTCTGCAACGCCCAACTGCGTCTCTTACGCTTCGTACCCTTAGCAACGACGCTACCCATACCCTTCTTGAGTTCCGCCTCGCAGTCGATTTCCGAGAAGACGACACCCGCGCCACACTGAAACGGCTCAGTGGCAAAAGCAATGAAGGGGTGGCAGATCCGATAGATTCCCTCCTGGTCAGCAGCGCAATTAGTGCCGTCCGAAGAGATGATGCCGACTCTCTGAAGTCTGCTATTGTCTAGCACAAACTTCATCATGCGCAGATCGTCCAGCTTGTAGCGAGTTCCCCAAATAGAGGCGGCCTTGTGGGCGTGAATACCAGTGAGCTTGAGGATGTCGAGACTGGGGAAGCGGGTGAAGAGCTGTGTGAGCCAGCGCTCTTTGAGCTGTTGCGGCATGTCGAGAGGCGCGCAGATCTCAAAGGCAGTGATCGAATGTGTGAAGAATGGACGAGCGGCTGAGTACCAGCAGGCAATGCTTAGGTCCTGCACCCCGATCTCAATATTATCATTGAGTATGGGCATGACTTCATCACGTGTTGTGTGCGAGGCTTTGGCGAAGTTCAGTAATGGTCCGAATCGGTCTTCGCAGAAGAGCCACACGTCGTCGTGCGCAATGATGCCATGTTCTTGAGCATGGCCAGGGAAGCTGAGTTCGTCATCTCCAATGCCCTCGCACTGTCCAAGACTAGGAGTAGCACGAATTGGTGAACGCCACATGCCATTATACTGTCGATTCGGGCCGGCGGCAGATGCAAAAGAGACATGACGACTTCGGGAGAAAGAGACACCAAGACCATCAGGTGATGGCAACAGCTTCTTGTACACCTCGAGACGTAGCTCCGCTGGCAGACGCATGAGGTCGAAGTTCTTGGGCCCTTTGTGTGTCGCTGCCTTGCCCTTATTGCGCGGAGGGCTCGTCTGACGACACGGCTCGCTGCTCTCATGTATTCTCCTTGGTGCCGTTGAGCCTAGATTGTAAAAGCCGATGACGGCCATTTCGAGGGTCTGTGGAAAACGATAAGCAGTGGTAGAGAAGAAGGATCATGGCGGTGCGAGAAGGTTGATGAGGTTAAAGGGTTGCGGTTGCCCCCGTGAAGTCGACTGCGCGTACTCAACTTGACTGCCTGAAACGAGAGATTTCACTTGATGAAGTGACAGCGTCGAACATTATCTTCAGGCTGCCGAATGAGATAGACGCGCAGCGATGTATCTGTACCGTGACTTCGTGAAGTCGGGTCTTTGTGCACTGCTGGTATGATTGCTTCAAGTCTGTTACACCTGCCTTGCTGGTTTTCAGCCTGCTCTGCTGCGCGAAAGACGACAACAATAACGATACGCCTCCCATCTTGCTGCTACCTGAGACTCAAGGTAGCGGTCCCCAGAAGTGACGCATCGCGAGATCGTTCTGATGATTTCTGTATCTCTTATGACGAAATCTCCATCCATTGTGAAAATCAGGCTTTGAAGTCCCAGAGGAGTCGTAATCCTCGTTATGCTTGTCCCCTCTCCACTCCTTCACAGCCCTCGCGCGTCTTGCGCTTTCCCACTTGCTCAACTCAACGTCCACCAGAATCTCCCCGCCGTACCAGTGCCTACCTTTAGCAAAATGCCACTCAAACCCCGCCTCGGTCACAATTGCGATCTCGCCCGAGCATTGGTCAATGTCGTAGCCCTCGCAGAAACGACTGTATTGGCGGATAACCACAACGCGCTCGAGATGCGTGTTGTCGAGGATGAACTTCATCAGCCGAAGGTCAGCGACCTCGTAGCGTGTGCCCCAGTACGTCGGAACTTTATGGGTGTGGACGCCACTGAGCTGGAGGTAGTCGATCTTGGGGTGGTGCGCGAACACTTGGGTAAAGAAGCGCTGGGAGAGGTACGTATGGAGATTGAATGGGGTAATGACTGAGTGATTGGGAACTGCGGATGGTAAGAAGATTGGTCGAGGGATTCCGTAACAGCTGAGGTTGTGGAGCAAGGCGATGATTTCTGCGCGTGTTGTGCGTGAGGCCTTGGCGAGATTGAGTAGCGGTGCTATTAGGGCGACTTCGTGTTGAAGAGGGTTCCAGTTGTTATTCAAGACTCGGATGGCATGCCAGTCCTTTCGTCCGTAGCCGTTCAAGCGAACCAAAGTTGCGCGATCTTTGGCTTTAGGTGGTCTGCAGTGTACGAAGGGCGAAACATCAGCTGAAGAGGTCTTCGGGCGGGGACGGACCCAGAGGCCAGGCCACTGCCTTGGTAGCAGCTTCTTGTACACCTCGATACGCAATTCGGAAGGTAGGCGCATGAGATCGAACTTGTTCGGACCGTGACTGAGGGTGAGGTTCGGCTTCTTAGAGATGAGCGTGAGATTGCCTGCCGCTGCACCTGACTTTTGGATCATCGGTGAGCGCTTAGACGGTAGACAGAAGTCCTGCCATGGGTCTGGCTTTGGTTTGCGAGGCATTGTCGACGATCTGGAGGACGTGGCCACAAGTGGTGCGTGCAGTCGAAGTTGGAGAGAAGGACTAGTTTAAGTAGCCAGATAGGTACAGTAGAGAAGTCCAGGGGGCACAACAAGGCTCGTGAATGAGTCGAAACTTCACGGAAATGGACGGTTGCGTGACTCAACTCGAAGTCAGTCACTGTCGTGCTTCAGCTTTGATGTGTTCCAACGTTGTGAGTCATTCGTACCTGATTTATTTCGACCTCAGCTACTGTAGCCATATCATGACTTTTAAAGTGCCAGTCATGAGTATGATCATTGCTGCAGAGAACATCCAAATACCGAATAAGATGCTGCATTGCCACCACTTGATGTTAGCCAGAATGAATCGCGGACTGATCGATTGGTGGCTGTTCCTCCTAGGACAATCGCACTTTGCTGGCGTAGTCTGCGCTACTCCTTTAGCCCTTCTTCGGTAACGTGGCCAAGCCACGCTGGAGCTCATCCTCCACGTCAATAAAGTCAACCTCCTGGAAAGTCACCTTGAAACATCTGCCCATAGCTCCGCTGGGTGACAAATGCGATTTGGGGCATGCACCCGCCGTCTTCGTACCGATCATCTTCGCAACCACGATTGGTACCATAACAAGTCATTACGCCCTCGAGAGCGGTATTATCGAGAATGAACTTCATCATACGTAAGTCGCCGAGCTTGAATGTGGTGCCCCATCTCTTCGCGTCTTTATGGGTGTGAATGCCGGCGAGGCCCAGATATTCCAGTCGTGGGAACCGAGCGAGAAGTTGAGTCAGCCAGCGCTCTCGAGAACTGCGGTTGACGTTGTCGGGGACTGGATGAGTGAGTTCGAGGCGTAGAGTGTGCCCGGCGGAGAATGGCTGCGCCGTACCATACCAACACGCGATACTAAGATCTGAAACATGGATCTTGACATTGCTGAAGAGCAAGGGCATGATCTCGTCGCGGGTCGTGCAGCACGTCTTGGCCAGGCTGAGAAGTGTGCCAACCAACGTCGAGGATGACTCTCCGTGGAAGACAGCATCCTCAGGGTGTACGCAGATGTGGTGATGTAGGCTTTCCTTGATCTCGTTGCGCTCGCATTCGGCAAGACTTGGAGTCACCTGGCGGTAGTATCTCTCAGGTCTCAGGTTTGCTGGTCCAGTCCATATGGGAATTAGTCGATGCATCCAGACAAGGCGTGGCTTGTGCATTACGGCCGAGAGTAGTCGCTTGCTATGAATCTTTAGCACTCTCAGTACGCAGTAGAGGGCATGGTGAGGCATGAACCATCCCGCGGCGTATGGCACTCACTATATATGAAGACGCAGCTCTGTGGGCAGACGCATGAGATCGAAGTTCTCGGGTGATTTGTAGATTTCTTTCGAGTCGGGCTCTTTGGGGGTGTATGTTGAGTCCATGACAGCCCTTCTCTTCTTGCGATGATGCCACGGCTTGTGTGCGCCGCGCTTCCGCTTTGGAGGCATGTTGATGACCCCCAGCACGTACTTAGAGAGGAGCGCGCTGTGCGTTGGTGCGTAATCAATTCCGAAGCTGTGATGGAGTCGTGTCGAAAAGGGCGAATGAACTTCTGAGTGAAGACCAAAAATTAATTTCTGTTCGCAAACAGAGACCCCGCGTGACCGAAGTCGGCTTGTCGCGCTACGATACTTCACTTGATGAAGCAATTGTGTCTGCATTGGTCTCTGATCCAGTCAAGTGAGCACAATCCTTCACCTGTGGTGCTGAGACATACTGCCTGGTCCCGTGGTCTCGTCGATGCATCCAAGCATTCGGATCATCATAGGAGTACCTCACCTATAAGTACTTACCACCACCGAGTCAGTTACACCACTTCCTGAACATGCGTTGTGCATCCAGTCCATGTATGCGGGTTGAGAATCGTCCAGAGTAACTTCCAAGGAACGAGTATAAGCACCCTCACTCTGGGCAACTCTCAGCCGGCATTCATAGAATGGATGCACAACGCGACCTTATGGCATACTTCTTTCATGGCAGGAAGAGCCCGCGCTGTCATACCACACCGGTCGCGGTAGGGAATCGACCGCGTTGGTCAACATGCCAAGCATAAGTTATATGGCTCCCCTATTGTTGATTCCTGACAAGTTTCTTCCCATCGTCCCATTCGCGTTATCTGGTGCCAAGCGGGATGGTCGCAGAATTCGCGACTTGATCCATATCCCGGTCGCAAACCCAGAGGTCTGGAAGTGGGCCGCCAATGGTATGTTACCTTTGCCGTGAACAGTCTCGCCAGAACAGGCCTGGACCGAACTGCGGTCGCATCAGTGTTCTCGCATGGCGCGCCTTATGCTCGACAGCATCTCAATGAATATGTCATCACAGTCTTGCCAAAGGTCGAGTGTGCTGATTCGTACGACAGAGGGAGCGGAATCTCGCAATCGAAGTGAGCTGGACCTCAAACACATAGATAGAGCTTCTAGTACCGGAGCTGCGAAGCTGTGAAATTTAGCAAGGGGTTGTGTGTGAGGTTGCCTGATGAGGCTGACACTGATGGAAGGTGGGGCAAGAGCTCGCGTTGTTGTACACGGCAGGATGGAACTGCCAAGCCCTATCGGAGCTTTCCTCTGGCTTCGAGGTCGGAAGTTCCGACGCAGGAAGCCGAGTCGCAAGTTTAGCACTATGCACGAACATTGGATCTACCTCCCACAGGGCCGCGACACGCGTCGTGGTCCGCGATTCTGGTTAGATACCTGCAGCCACTCCATTACATGGAAGGCAAGAGGTTAAGTATCTTGTCCGGGGCATAATAAAGATAAATGGGTCACAGGATCACTAATGACACCTCCGTTTTGCCTCGGCCCTTTCAAGGAGATGAAACGGCAACCGGCACGCTCGCTTCTTCCCCAGCGCGAAGCTCAAAATGCTGCGGTTAATTTCCATTTCTTTATCAAGCTGGCAGCCCCCGCATTGCAGCCATGTGTGGCCATATGAGCTTGGCTTGGCTGATATGAGCTTGGCTTCATCGCCCTCGTAATGGCTGGGCGAGAAGATGAAGAGAAGCAGAATCGGGAGCCAGCTTCACAAGCTCCGCCGCAGCCACCAACCATCGCGTTTAACAACCCATACGATCTCCCGCTATGGCGGAAGCTTGTCATAACCGCATGCCTGGCTGGAATCACCTTCACCGTCACGTTCGCTAGCTCGGTCTTTTCGTCGACCATCGCTGCGACTGCTCATCAGTTCCACACCACCACGACGGTAATGATCCTGGGTGTATCGCTATATGTGCTTGGGTTTGCTCTAGGACCTCTGTGTTGGGGCCCACTCTCAGAAGCAGTTGGTAGGAGGATTCCCATCTTCGTTGCTACGCCGTGTTTGGGCTATTGCAGATCCCTACTGCTCTGGTATCGAATCTGGGAGGTCTGCTCGTGTGCCGTTTCCTCGCCGGCGCATTCGGGTCAGCACCGCTAGTCCTCGTCACTGCTTGTTTCGCCGACTTCTGGGGAGTTGCAGCCCGTGGCACAGCCTCCGCTGTCTACGCAACTACTACTTTCATGGGACCGACATTCGGGCCTATCATCGGAGTCTACATCACGGAGGGGCTTGGCTGGCGGTGGACGGCATGGATCACAGGCATCATGGCGCTCTTCTTCGGCATACCTGCTTCATCCTCGTACCAGAGACTTACGCACCTGTACTGAAGGGCGAGCCTCGACCAGAGCTCGGAGCTTTTCTGTCAAAGTACTTGATTCGACCACTAAGAATGACACAGCACGAACTCTTGCTCAACGTCATGAATGCCTACGTTGCCCTGGTCTACGGTATTCAGTATCTGTCGTTCTACAGTATCCCCTACATCTTCCGACATCGCGGCTGGCCGCCACAAACTGCTTCCCTACCATTTTTATCTATGCTTCTGGGAATAGCCAGTGCTGCACTGTCCGTCAGCATCTTCTACGCGAAATGGCTGCAGCCACGCTATCTCGCTCGAGGCAAGGTTTTACCTGAGGATCGTCTACCGCCAATCATTGTTGGCTCGATTCTCCTACCGCTTGGGCTGTTTTGGATGGCATGGAGCTCTTCGACACACTGGATCGCACAAGTCATACCAATCTTCTTCTTCGGCGCTGGAATCATGTTGGTCTTCGCTGTCAGTGTTGTGTACATCATCGACATCTATCTGCCTCTGTCTGCGAGTGCTCTGGCGGCCAATACAGCTATACGAAGCGCAGTTGGCGCTGGACTGCCGCTCGCAGCTCCGAAGATGTACGACAATCTCGGCATTGGTTGGGCTACAACCCTGCTGGGCTTCCTCACGGTTCTATTGATCCCAGCACCACTGATTTTCTACCGCTATGGCGATCGGCTCAGGAAGTCATCAAAGTTTGCCATCAGCTAGAGTCTACGGCTCGTTGCAATAACCCTCCAAAAACTTCATGCCGAGGTAGTTGTAATGCTCCTTGACGAGCTTCTCCCGACCCAGAGCCATAACCTTCGACAGATCCTGCCGGCAGTCAATGAACAGACCCCGCATGTCCTTCCCTCGTCCCGTGGCCAGGAATGCACAAGTCTGTCCACACAAAACCGGCGGATCCTTGAAGAGGTCCTTGAAGAATGCTTCGTCCCGAGTCGCATCGCCGTACTTCGCCACGACGTCCGCCGGCGCTGCCGAGCACCCATGTCGGTCAAAACGCCGCCAGGGTGCAGAGCGTACATGTGTATCGCAGGATCGAGGCCGTCGACTTCCATCTCCCGTTGAAGCGTGTGCGTCGCACGAATCAACGCGGCTTTCGAGGTATTGTAGCCAAGTGCCATTGGCACGTCGACGGTACCGCTGCGGGAGGCGATGTTGATCACACAGCCGTGGCCTTGGTCGCGGAATTTTGGCAGAAGTTGATGGATCAGGATGATTGGCTGCGCCCGTCAGAAACAGCGCCAGAGCCAGAGAAAGAAAGAAAAGGCAATGGCCAACGTACGCCTTTCAGGTTGATCTCCACTTGCCTCCAGAACCCGTCAATAGTCGACATTAGCAGTGGGCGATGCATCATCACTCCTGCATTGTTGACCAGTATGCTAGGCACAAAACATCAGCCTCGACCATGTCAAAAGCGCACAGAAACATACTCTACAGGTCCCAAATCCCTCTCCACCGCCACCAGCACATCCCTCACCCTCCCCTCATCCGTCACGTCACAGCCATACCCCTTGACCTTTACCCCATGCGCCTCGCATGCCTTGATCGTCGAAGCTAGCGATTCCTCTGTAAGGTCCAAGAGCGCAACGTTGGCACCGGAGGCAGCCAAGCTCTCTGAAATGGCTGCGCCGATGCCGCGCTGTGCGCCGGTCACGAGGGCGACCTTGCCTTTGTTGGCGTTGGCGAGCGTAGAGCGATCGATCAGGGGATATGGCTTGTGCTGGAGCGGAAGCGTTGAGATGCCAAACTCGGCGGGGTCCATGTTTCGAGATTTAGGTAGACTATGTCGGACGATGAATTTTGCCTCGCATATAGAGTATGATTGTGGGTAGAATTTCACATTCTGTTATACGCTCATCCGCGTGGAACTTCCGAACATTATAGAAACTCGAGGACTCTGGATCTTACCCCAGACTACCCCACACAGATGTTGGAGTCAAGGACGAGGATGGCTTGAACTTGAGTGGGGATGAGGGAGAGCCCCACATGGGAGTATTCTCGCTCTGGAGAAGGAGCGCCCGCGTTATGGGGTTGTAAGCCTTACAGTAGATGAACATAAAATGTTATTCAGTCCTCTGGCAGGTAATCTCCGTGGTCAGACGCCTGGCGGTGCTCATGGGAAGGCTGGAAGATGTGTAGGGAAGTACGCGGTCACGAATTGCCTGAGGTGCTCGTACCGAAGCTTCGCCAAATGAAGATGACAGATGTGGGGCTGTAGAAGTTCAACGACAATAGAGAACTTCCGGTGAATCGGACCTGGAGAAGGAAGTTGTTCGTGTAAAGGACGTTTGATTTCGTTCGGGTCAGTGTCTGTGTATTCTGTTGCTGACCATGGCATTTATCGATTTTGCAACCAATTTTGTGTTATGTCGTGGACCCGAAATGTACTCACAACTGCCAAGAGCAGTGCTTTCCTTCCTAGGTTATGACTGTGTCTGAAACCTCATACCCCCATGAGCACACGTCTAAGATCTCTTGCTGTGTTGTAGTCGTGCGGCTGTTGTCGGCGTCAGTACACCTGAGCGTTGTAGCGACGTGCTACAACCGTTTTTGGAGCAGACCTCGGACCTCTTATTTCGACAAATACTTCAGGGTTCCGTCGTCTTGCACCTCAAATCCCGCCTCCTCATACAGAGGCTTCAAAACTGTCATCGAGTTGTCGTCCGAAAAGAGCTGGACGTCGACGTCACAGACAGCGCCCCTGTCCGGCATCTTAAGGTCCACGAAGTAGTCGCGCATGGCCTGGTAGGTGCAGCGGCTCTTCTGAAGATCATCAGTGCCATGCCCGTTGCCGCGGTGCTCGAGCACAACGGAGCGTTCCAGCCAGAGGGAGTTGTTGTGGGCGTTCGCGAGCGGCGTGACGGGATCCCATGTTGGATTTACCAGTAGTACAGGATTCTTTGTCTTGGCAGGCGGAAGGCGACCAGCATTTTCGAATCGTTCCACTGCGTCGAATTGCCACGCGTAGCAATTCCATGCAGAACCTTGCTGGAAATGGAACCAGTCGAGAGGGTTCTGGGTCTGAGCCAAAGTGGCAAGCTCAGATGCAGTATTTGCCCTGAACCGAAAGTCAGAGCATTGGACCGGATCGCCACGGTCTAGCTCTCTCTTGACCAGCTCTCTCTTGACCAGCTCTCTCTTGCTTAGAACTCCGTTCTCGATCAGAGCGTACAGCTTCGTCACGACTTCAGACCAGGTCGAAGGATGGTACAGATTATTGTAGATCATGGCCTTGAAGCTGGCTGCTTGGCCATCGGTAAGAGAGCCCAATTTCGCCTCAAGCTTACTTCGGATAGTGTCGACGTCGCCCAGCTCAGCAAGCTTGCACTTCCCCTGCGAGTCCACACATCCTTGTAAAAGATTCTGGAACACCTTGTCGGTGTCCTTGCCGCGCGCCACTTCGCTAAGGTTTGGTTAGTTTGAGGAAGTGACTATCCATGGAGCCGACAACGTACTATCCGTTCCACCATTCAACATTGTTCACGTTGCCGTTCAACAACATACGTTCGACCCGCTCTGGGAACATCTGAGCAAAGGTCCAACCGAGGACCGTGCCATAGGAGGCACCTGGAAAGTCAGCATTGAAGACGTCGGAAGGGGTATGAGAACAGAATCGGGATCCACATACCATGGAATCGTAACAGGCCATCGCCACCAATCGCGTCCAGTATGCGTACCATGTCACGGACAACAGCAACGGTACCATAGAAAGTCCCAGTGCGTGCGTACGACATCTTGCAGGCCGCTGCGTTGGCCGTGAGCGCCGGCCAAATGTCCTCGGCCATTTGCAATGTCACATCGGTTGAATTGTCAGACCTGGGATGTTGGTCGTGACGTTTCTGAGGAGGCCACTGATCCTTTTCTTGGCCACAGTATAGTGCTGGCAGAGCCTGCCACTTCCACGCGGGTCGAAGCTGATGATGTCGTATTGTCCACCAGACTGCATCAGGAGGCTAGCCCAGCTGTGCGCGACATATTTCAAACCAGATCCGCCTGGACCTCCCGGATTCACAATCAGGCTCCCAAGCACCTTCTTGGCGCTAGCTTTGACTCTGTTCAGGTCCAGGCTGATCGTTTCAGTGCTGCTAGGGTTGGTGTAGTCCAGGGGAACTTGGAGGATGGCGCATTCGTGAGGAGCATCAACCTTTCCGTAGAGCTCGGTTGCATATTCAAAATAGGTACAGTTGCCCCACACAAGATCGCTGTTACGTTGTACATGGGGTGTCGGTAAGCCTTGGACAGTGCGCAACAGACCGACGAGGGCGGTCGCGAGTATGAGAATGTTTGCCATCTTCGATGATGAAGGAGTCAAGAGAATAGACGAAAGTCAGTGATCGTTGAATGGTTGAAGGAAACATTCATGAGAACTAGGCTGGCTACTTGTACCTTCGTCGTGAGTACCTTCATCACGATTACCTTTGTGACACGGGAACGTGTCTCCTAGAGTTGCACATCGTCTGGTAGAGCCGCTGAATAGACGCAAATACCCAACCCTGATCTCAGCCGTCACATCGTGTGCGAGCTGGCCGGCAGATGGTTCGTCGATCGTCTCGGCTGGACCAGTTGATGCATGAAGAGACTTAGAAGATCGGAATCATTGTGTGGAAACATGGCAACTACTTTGGTCGCAAATTTTCGCGATCGGGCATCTTTCTGCGATCATGTTGGTGCCGAACAGGTCTGATCTGTCGTCGTAGAAGGAGAATGCACGTGTGGACAGCCGTGCTCTATCGTTTGAACGGTCTTGGGGTTAAGACAATGTTAAGCACGGAGGTCCGCCCCCGTGTTTGCCAAGAGCGCGGCCTTGCTCTGCCAAGACTCGGGAAGACGGCGAATTCCCAGCTTGTGACCCCCACTCAGAGCATCATTCGATTATCTGTTTCCCACCTCATTTCCATTTGAAGGCGCCTGCAACGGACTACACTTCATTCAGGGGCATCATATGTTGCGCAGCGTATGACAACGACAAAGTCCTGCCCGCCCTCCGAATGCTGACCTGCTCACGGTCATGGAGCGATGCTCATCTGCAGCTCAACGCTTTGAGGCCCCTGCGGCAGTGAAGGGACTCTGGAGCCAGCGATCATGAGACTCCAGCTCGACTTATCAGCGCAAATTCACTTAACTGTCTGAGCGAGTCCTGCGCCCATCAAAGGTCAAGCTTCGAGGTGCCGATGGTGCCAGGAGCACCGCGGTGTCAAGGTACTGCCGCTACAGACTTAACGTCATCAGACGAGTCTCATTCCACACCAGGAATCAGTCACTGCCATGCCAACGGCGTTGTCGCTGGAAGACGTTGACTTGATGTAGGCACTCCAAAGTTGTTCTGACCCGTTGGTACGTGTGCTGCGATCGCCCGAAACAACGCAAAGATCACCTGCCCCAGGTTTCGTGTGCAAGCGGTATTGCTGACTGCCAGGACACGAATGTATGATTTCCACGAGAACGCATGAGGCCAGCGCCATGGTTGGGCATTGGCGAAGTCACAGAGAGAATTTCTGTGGACGCCACACTCGACCTTTCGATCGTCCTTGCCGGCCACGAGGGACTGCGCCGAAAAATTGCTGGGATGTACCTGCGCAACCTCGCCTGCCGGGCCGACCTCGAAGTGCTCATGGGATTTGAGTCGAGCTCCTGCGAGCACTGAGCTGCCCCAAAAATCGCACTCCTCGACGTTGCTAGCGACTACTTGCTTCGTGTCATCAACTGTCTGCAACGAGCTACGCTCCCGAGCGACACCGCCTAAGCTTGTGCGCGGGCATTGTAACCATGCTCGTCATTCTCGTCAGCTCGTGTCATAACCGGCCGCGGCAGTACACCAGAGAACGAAATGTGCCTGCGCGAAGACTCCCATGATTCAACATGCGTGAGACCCTGCCGATTATTCTGGACCCGTGTCGGATCTGCAGTGCAATCGCTTCACGATGCCATGAGAATTGCTCTACCACTGCGGAGAATGGGCACAGGTAATGCGGAACCTGCCAACTCTCCGCGCTAAGGACAATGCCGCCACTGCCTCCGAAACGCTTCCAAGGTTGTTGATAAGGAGCCGAACATCTGCTAATGTGCCCGAAGCGCCGTTTACTTCCGCTGACGCCTGCTCCACGGTACGAAATGTTGCTCGTGTGCCTCCTGGTGCATAGACCGTGGAAGCAGAGTCTGCTATATGTGGACATGCGTCCAAATCCACGCTCAGCAAGCAGCTCGATTAAAGAGAATGGCATTCAAACCCGACAGGAACCACAACTTCCACAGGCGTTCCCTCAACAGCAGGTTGTTGCTCTCGCCGTTTGAATGAACAGGGACGCCGCTCAGGTTTTCGACCGAAAAGGAAAGATGTATGACACGGTAAGTGCATGACCTGAGAAGCCTTTCCCTAGCTCTACCTCAAGGGAGTCTGACCCGCTGCCTGCCAAGGATTCAGCCCGTAGCATTTCCGAGCACAAAGATTCCAGTCAATCAAGTGACATTGAGATCTGAAGAGGCATGCAAACAGAAAAGTGGGACCCCAAGCCAAAGTGACTACTAGCGTTCGCAAGTTTCTGAGCAGCTTCATCATGTCACTGACCTAGCTCTATCCTCGCTGTCGCCAGGTTCTTCCTCTATCCTGATTTTGCATCTGCAAGTCTCCAAAGCACCAGCGTCTGTCGGCTTCGGAGCGTGATTCCAAGTGAGCGAAGCTAGTGCGTCTCGCGTCGCCGCCATGGGCGCGCACGAGCGTCAAGTCATTGATGGCATCCGCCGGGAGTATGGCACCGAAAAGGATGGCCAATTGGTCCTCAGCCGAGCTGGAGAAATGTTGAGTAACACACTGGACATGTGAGACTCGCACTTCCTGTCCATTGTCTCCATCGCTGACAAGCTCCAGAGTTGCGTTCCAAATCAATTCAGGCCTCGCGCACTTCCTTCACGAGTTCATCCAGAATGCAGACGACAGTCTTTACAGCCCAGGTCTCAGCCCTAGCATTGAATTCCAACTCATTGGTCAACATCTACTGGTCACGAAAAACGAAACAGGCTTCACCAAGACGAATGTTGACAGAATCTGCTCGGCTGGCAAGAGCGACAAGACTGATAACGAGAATGCCACTGGCGAGAAAGGCATCGGTTTCAAGTCTGTCTTCAAAGCTGCGACGAAAGTCGTCATCGACTCGAACGGTTATTACTTCAGCTTCGACAAGCGCCGAGAGCTGGGTATACTGATACCTGAGCATGGTGGCTGGCCACATAATCTGGACCACCTACGCAACAAGAGAGCCACTCAGTTCCTAGTCGAGCTCGAGAACGACGCCGTTGTCCAGAAAATGAGACACGATCTGCAGGCTGTTCTGAACCCGGACATTCTCCTCTTTCTGCGACAACTCCAGATCATCACTGTCGATATTGATGGCACGAAGCGTAGCATGAGTCGCACACTGACTGATGCTGGCAAACTCCGACGGCTTTCCATTCACTCACAGACTACCGGAAAGACGACGTCTAGCGACTACTTCTACTTCTCGAAAAAGGTCGACGTGAGCCCAATCAAGGATATACGCCTTTCCAAGCTCGCCAAATCTACCGCAGAAGTCTGTCTCGCTCTACCACAGTCGGCCTTCAAATCGAGACCACAATCGAAGCGGTATCATGCGTATTCTCGTCTTCCAATCCGGGAATCAGGTCTGCCTTTTCCTTGTCAGGCTGACTTTCGGCTCGTCGCCAGCAGGGAAGACTTGGAGACGGATGGAGTTATGGGCAAGCGCAACAAAGAGTTGCGAGCAGGTGTGGCTGATCTCTTTCTGGATGCCATCACACAGATTGTGGATGTTCCCAGCCTGAGGTATACCTGGTTGAATCTACTACCTCTAGCGAACGTGGGTAAGAGCTTCTCTCAGATCGCTGGCGCCATCAAATCTAGCCTACCACAGCGACTGATCTTCTTTGGACAAAATGAGCACCAGAAGCTGCCCTCCAATAAGGTCGTCTTTGTGCCGAACAACATGCGGTTCGAGGGGGCGCCCATCCTGCCCAACATTGTTCACGAACATCACGACTTGAGTCTCAGCTATGACATGACCCACGAGCTTCGTCATTGGCTGGTCATCAATGTCGTCAGTGAGAAGACCTTCCTGGATCGGTTGCAGCACGCCGTCACGCGAGAGAACGGCGCTTGGTTTCGGAACAAGAGCATGGAATGGCACGAGTCCCTCGCAGGCATACTGCTGAGCTATATGCGCAACAACGCAACCAAGACCCTGCTCAAGAGTCTGACATTGATTCCGCTTGCAGACGGAAACTGGGCTTGTGCAGCACCGCATATATTCTTTCCTCCCACGGGGAAACTCGACGCCGCTTCGGAAATGTTGCTCAAATCATTCGGAAACATCGTATTCGTGTCTCAAGTGGCACAACATGGCAATCGGGGGGGCCTCATCAGTAATCTAGATATTGAAATCGTCAGCGACGCAACAATCTATGCTGAAATCGAACGTCTTCATAAGAGTGATCAGCCTCCGACAACAGATGGAGGAATACTGCTAGAGCATGCAATATATCTCTGGAAGCATCGTTACCTCAAGCACTCGTTTGGAGAACTGTCTCTCTGGGTGGTCACCTCAGGTCTACAAGTTGTCCGATCGTCAAGTATCTACATCGACGACGAGAAGCAGACCTTCCGCTGCCTGGGTATTGCAGAGGATAGGATTCTGCATCCAAACTATCGCAAGTTGGGGCCGCAGCAGGATCCTGAAAGCTGGCTTACATGGCTGAATGTCACTGCTGGATTGTCGAATGTTCTTCAAGTTGTCGTCGACGGTATGATCTCAAAAGATTTCCAAGAAGTTTCGAAACATTTGACCTCAACTGAATGGCTACCAATCTTGCTTGACAGCTGGGACCAGGTCGAGAACGGTCGAGAGTATGTCTCGCGTGGTCGAAGATACCGAAAGCCTGCTGCCAATGTCTTGCGCAGCACTGCGGACGACTACAACATCAGAGACATCCAAGTTCAGACTCGGTCTGGCGCAACAGCCCGACTGTGCGAGACATACCTACCAACACCCGAGCTTGTCAAGATCGACGATGCTAAGATCAAATACTTGGAAGTCAAGGATATTGCAAAGCAACAGTGGCACACGTGGAAGCACTCGCACAGCTTGGGGTCGTTTGCAGTGCACAGCGTCTCGACGTTGCCCTAAAGGTGTTGCGTGGCATGAAACGCAGAGGAAAGCCTGACCTAGGTGCTCTGAGAACTCTGTACGAGGACATTCAGGGCCACATGAAGGACCCTCAGGTCTCTAAGCAAGATGTCACCGAAGCTCACTCTGTGTTCAAGAACGAGGCTCATATCTGGGAGCCTGCGAGTGGTTCTTGGAAAGGCGGTGCAGATTTCGTATGGTCGACGGACTTCAAGCTCGATTTCAAGATCAGCCTGGCCAAGTTATACCCGAGCTGCCATACCTTGTTTGTGCAGATGCTACAAACAGGCGACGCCGACCTTGGCACAGTATTGACTGACATTGCCGCTCGTCCAGTCCCAAAGGATGAATCAGATGCGCTGAGAATGATTCAGCTTCTCACGAAGATGTCGGAATGGGTCGGCACGCAGGGCCGGGAGTCAACGTTGGCGAAACTTCGTGCATTGGCAAAAAGCAAGTCACCGGACCTGAAGGTGCCATTGGTACCTGTCAAGCTAGGCAACGACCCAACACGATTCATAGGCCTCGGCCATACAGCAAGTCTCCTGGTCTGCGATCGCAAAGCCTGGGAAGGTGCGTTTCCAGATTTGGATGTCGTGGCGTGCAGTGCTTTGCAGAGCTTGCCAATTGCGCCGCTGTTCGAAAAGGTGTCGGAAGCTTTTGGGATATCCGACCACATGATGTCTAATCGAGTGCTGGAAGAGTTCAACGTCGGCCATGGCGCTTCTGCCGACGACGCCATGACCAGCGATCTCCGACAAAAGATGGTCTTCGTCAAGCGCGTGATTGAGTCCAACATCGCCGGCCTGACAACAGAGCAGAAGGCGAAGCTAGCTGTGATCGAGATGATTCAAGTGTTCTGCGCACCAAACATGACAGTCACGCCATATCTCACCGATACAGCTTCAGGAAAACGCCGCAACGGGACTCCTCGCCATGGAGGTCAGTTCCTGCCTCCGGGCATTCATAAGAAGGGTCGCATGGAAATCTACGCTGACCAGTCCCGCCTCTCCAGAGGCGCTCCTTTCACCAACCAGTTGCACAAAGATCTCATTCAATGGCTGTCGATCACGCACGACCAGACTGTTGATCAGATTCGAGACATACTTGCCTCCGACGGTTACGGTCAAATTGTTGAAGACTTGACTCTAGCTGGTTTTCAAGTTCAGGATCTCATCGTGGCGAAGAACCCCGATCCGTGCACGCTTGAAGCTGCGGAAACCTCATCGGTCATTTCAACGAACGGAACGACTGCTCTGCCTGTTCGCAGTGCTGTCATCGTGAACGGCAGTAGCCAGCATCAGCTCGGTTTGAGTGCCAGCGATCTCGAGGCCGGTGCTGTTCGAATCCAGAGTGGCTCGATGGGCGGTACTTATGCCAGCGAAACCGCAACAACAACCATGAATGGAGTGACGCGAGACATCGAGATTCAGACCGGCATTGACGGCGAGAAGCTGATCGCTGTTCGGCTTCTGCGCATGTACAAGATCTGTCCAGATATTTCGATGGAGAACTTCGCCCTCAGCGATGCCGGAGTTGAGTTTCTTCAGCGCGTGTGGACCAGTGAGCTGCGACATCTCGTTAGTCCCCTTCTGACGGAATGGACGCCTCAAGGCAAGAAGGTCCATGCCGACTTCACACTCAAAGGCAACAACAGTAACTTGCGTCGATTCCTCAATGATAAGGTCCCTGGCAACCACAACGAGTGGACAGACACCACGACATTTCACATCGAGGTCAAGGCTACTGGAGGAGCTGCGACCAATGAATTCCACCTGAGTGGCCTCCAGGTCGAACTGGCGCGAGATATTTCCAACAAGACTGCAGGTCAAGAGGCATACTTGATATTTCATGTTTCCAGAATGCGGGCTTCGGCGAACGGCGAGAAGGCGAAGCTCAACGTCATGGCTGATCCATGGAAGCAATTCGTCAATGACCAGGTCGATATTCGTACTCCGGAGGGTTGGCTGGTCAGATTCAGATCGTGAATGCCGAGATTGGCTCACGCTTGTTCCGCAACGGAATATCACGCGCCAGATTAACCTCGAGGCACCACGACGGGCAACGCTTATCACTGGGTAGGATAGTCGCAGACGTTACGGCAACTTGGGTAGCGACTTCAAGGAGGCGAGAAGGGTCTGAGCTCCATTTGGATAACGAGTGTGGACCGGAGCTACACACGTGAAGTGACATCTCAGTGCTGACAGGGACGATGTCAGGATGAGCAAAGAATTTCAAAGGATTCCGCAAGCTCTCGCAAACCATGCTACCGCTCTCAGCGTTACGGATAGAGCTGAAGGTAGTCCTATCAAAGTGCTGACAAAGGCAGAAAGTCCAGACCATTTCCATTCTAGCCCCCACCCTCTCTCCCTTGTACCCCAGAAAGCTATTTCCGACGTGATTTCTCGTATTCGTTTCTCGGCACGAAACCTCAACGCTTGACAGTGCTGTCGAATTGTGTAAGCCCGTTAAAGTTGATGTTCTCGACGCTCCAGCTTAGCTAAGTCTGCCCGTGACTGATTTGAACGACGCGTGACATGTCCTGATATGGCGATTGAGCATAAATGATGACCATTTCGCTGCTATCGCCCTTGACCAAAGACAGGAGTGTCCCATCGGAATAACGTCCAAGTCCAGCACAGCACCCAGGCCAGGCATACAGCCACGGCTTCTAGTCTGCCAAAGCTCTCACACGTCCTCGAGACTTGCCTCTACGTCCGCTCCGCGCCCAAGTCCGCAGCCTTCTACCAAAAAATCTTCGGCGTCAAGCCGCATCTCGTCAATGTGAGCCTCGCTAAACTCCATCTCGAGATCTCATGAGATTCCCTATCCACGTCCCTGTTTGCAATATCGCTTGACCAGAACGCACGGCCTGATTTCATGCCCGACGTAGCACTGCCTTCCAGGTTTCCGAAGCTGACATCGTCCCAACAGGAACGAATGGCGTCCATCCCCATAGGCAACACCACCCTCCTCCTCTTCACCCTCGGCCGCACAGGTGATGATATTCACATCGACGAGCCCAAAGCGCGCGGCATTGTCCCGCATCACGGGCCCACAGCCGGGTTCCAGCAGCTACTACGTCAGCGCAGTAATGGAGACGCAAAGCCAACCGAACTGTTGAAGCAGCACTTTTGCTTTGCGGTCGAGACTGTGGAGCAAGTACGTGCTTGGGAGAGCCGCTTGGGAGAGTTCACCAGCAATGCTGAGGGAATGGAAGAGCACGGGGATGACGAGGACGAGCGCGTGAAGGTGAAGTCTTGGCGACGATGGATTGGGAGAGGGGTGGAAGGAGTGTGTACTTTGAGGATCTGGATGGGCATGTGGGTGAGATTGCGGCAAGGGGAATCTGGCCGCATTGGTGATGGAGGATGTGATGCCGTATGAAGTCTAGGATGGGACTTCAGGATCTTCACGTAGCAGGCACCGCGTGAAGGAAGAGTTTGTGGTTCTATGGCGGCTTTGGCGGCTCAACTTACGAATTCGTACCTTGAATGCATTGAATGGGGTTAAGATGCTCATTGACAGATTCATACCAGCTACCGAAGATGCACTGGCGAGTCGTGCCAATCTACTCAAGGTGACGATGGCATAGTGTTGATGAACAATCATTGACTTCCCCGACGGCAGTCAGTATCGGAGTTACGGGCATAATCAGATGAAACGAAAGTATCAGGCAGTTCAGTGTTTGCTTTGGAGACAAAGAAGTTCGTAACGCCTGACTTGGAAGATCGCCCGCTCTCAACTTGTCAACAGCTGCAACTCAGACTTCGCATTCTCAACCCACGGAGTGCTCCTGGACGATCAACCCACCAACAACAGTGCTCGCCCATCCACTTGCTACGGATTCAGGAGCCTGAATATGGCACTAACCGGTGTACTGCGAGCGATCGAATGGGCGCTACTGCTTGTGTGGCTGATCCATCATGCCTCCTGCCGCATGATGATGAGGATGATCACCATCGGAGAGACGGCTGATGAGCTTCGTGACATCGGTTGTCTCAACCCATCTATCGTGCTGTCCGTGCTCAGAGGCCTCCTAGAGGTGATGCCAGAGACACGCGCCACCTTCCTTGAGGGATTCCGCAACCTGCTGGGAGTATATGGCATCAACGCCTCAACTTCCGCTATCATCGCCATATCTCAAGTCATCACTTTCAGCTGGAAGTGTTTTTGGGTCATCACATACGTGAGAAACGCCAACCGCGAAGTTGTCATTGCCTTCCTCTCTCGCCTCACCGCAGCTCAACGCGACGCCGACGCCGCGAAGGACGAGTGGCACGCCACGCACCGATTGCCAGTCTATCGAATCATCCTCATCCAAGAACCCGCAGAGGGAGAGTCGAAACAGCTCGTCATCATCCCACATCGATGCGATGGATGTGACCCCAACAAAACCCGACTGCTCGACCGCCGTTACACTCCCATTCAAGATGAAGATGACGAGAGATGCATTATCTGTCGCTCCGAATACGCCGTCGACGAGGAAATCATACTGCTGAATGCCTGTGGTCACACTGCTCACGACAGCTGCGGCGAAAAGTGGTGGACCGAAGAGAAGAAAAGCATGAGCTGTGTTCGCTGCACGAAGCAATATCAGTGGGTTGTCAACGCGAAAGAGGAATAATCGTGGATGGACAGCTTCGTAGCTGGATCGGTTATTGTGGACGACCTTCTGCTCGACATCTGGGAGAGGGAACAAGAAAGGCAGAGTGCCGGCGGGAAACCTGGAGAGGGAAATGACTAGGGGGAATACATATCAGTTTCGAGCGTGCCGGTGCCTTTCAAGGCGGAAAACTGATCAGATGTTCGGTCTGAAGATTAGCTAGGGACGAAAATTCTATCGCCAATGCTGCGATGCTGTTCTATGCAGCCCACGATTCTCTCTTCTTGTACCCAGCGTGTCCTGCACCTGCCCACAATACTGGTTCGCTGACAAGGAGACCCGTCGTTGTATTAGTATTTAGAACATGTATGTCGTCTCCGAGAAGCCTCTGACGTTCACTGTAGGCCCATTGTACGCCTAGGAACTCGAGGCAACGGATGACAGAGCCGCGCGTCTGGGGATTTCCAACTCCGCGTGTCAATTCTGCGACAAAGCTTGTCAGTCATTGAGACTTGTCGGTGGAGGTGAATTCCTGCTTCCAAGGCTGCCCATTACTAGCCAGCAAAATCCCTGCCTGCAGTAGGGACAAATCTTTCTCCTTGAATACCGTATAGACGCACGTAGACAGTCGTGGTGGTATAAATGCCGACAAGGTAACGAAACGATTTGGTCTTCGACGACGTAGTCAACCCAGCAAAGCACACAGTGCCTATCATCATCGTCGCGGATGCGAAAGTGCAAGGGCTTTTTTGATTGCTGAACGCGCGAGTCTGGCGTGGACCTCGACCGTATGAGCTGCATTGACGTGGTCTCCGCGCCGTCGGCGGATATTGACTTGATGTTGAAGGAGCCGCAGAGTGAGTGGCATGTAGGCTCTCCAACTGGAACCAGCTCGATGACTACGTTGATGAGATCCGCTAGCAGTCCTGGCAATAGTAATGCGGAGAGAATCGAGAAGAATACAGGTATGATTGATGCGACGACGATAGCTGCCAGAAACCCACAGAAAACTTCGAAAATAATCGAGCGTACCCTCCTGAAGCAGTCACTGAACAATTTGGCCATGCTGCTCTTGACGACGATAGCAGCCAAGACCAAACAGAGAACCTCGAAAATGATCGAGCATGACTTCCTGAAGCAGTTCCTGAAGAATTTGGCCATGATGCTCTTGAGATCCGTACTCGAAGAGAGATTTGAACCAGAGGCCTTGATATGAAGAGGGCTTTCGATCGGCTGGGTCCCTTCTGGGTTTGGCTTAAGATTGGTATGCCATGAAATTCCGCCTGGTGCTGCTTGACACCGCGACGGGTGATGTGCGCTGTTCGTGGTCGCTTTGACGCTTCGATCGATGGATTCTGAATCCGAGGCAGAGTCGAAGGTGCTAATGACGGTAAGTCATGTAGTTTAATTTGTTGTGTGTGGAAGACAGGTGGCACCCTCAGCTCGAGAACCTTAAGCCGCCGTGACTCGGTACTTTTGGTGGGACTTCGACCTGTGGGAATGTTCCGAAAGCTGAAAAGAGTCGATGTCCGAGATATCACGCCTCAATTTTGTACTTATAACAAAGCACATCCGTCTTCGTGGACATGATTTGACTTACGGACAGAGGCGGAGCTAGCCCACCCAGATCAATCATATCACCCATTTTTGCGGTCGATCCTGATGCATTGACTTCATCGTTGTTACCGCGGGTTTGCAGTTCCTGCTCGGCGACTGAGCTGTGTAGTCTTGTATACGCGAGTCGATGTCTTTATGCTGCCAGAGCCACCACAGGCGGTCGATTTGTGCGTGATGAACGAAGAACAAGGGGTCTATCTCCTCATCAACGAAATTAGCATTGACCGAACGGCGCTTCTGAGTACCATCAAGGTATACGGCTTAGTGTATGCTTGGGCTGTGGTATGAACTGACCGTTCGGTGAGCTTGCGCTAGCCATATCACCTCCTATCCCATAAGCATGCAAATGCTTGTGCGGTCCCTCTTCCAATCTTTGCCGGAAGTCTCTGTATGTAGTGGAGTCGTCGATGATCGCTTTTACGATCGCGGGTGTCCAGTGCTTGCTATGCATGACGCCGTCAGACTCGTCAACCGCGTCAGCGTGCGCTAGACAGTTTCTGGTAACACAGTGCGGCTCATAGCCATTTTCGGTGTAATTAGCAAACTTGCCCACCCGAGCGAAGACACCGTCGCTGATGCAGCCATTGCCTGCAGACCCAAATCCAGCCCATGGGTCCCAGACGATTGATGCGAGCGGATCACTAGAGTCCTGTGTCCAGTCCCAGTAGGGCATCAGGCCATCGTAGCCCCCGTCATTCTGCAAAGCCTGCTCGAAGATATGGACGAAGTACCGGTGGAAAGGCAGCGAGATCGCGTGATGGTGTACCTGCCATACGACCTTGGTATGGACGTAAACGAAGTCGTCGTACATGCTGGTGTTGCTTAATCCGAGTCTTGACGGCTTGCTGGCCAATCTTTGTACTGCACTAATGAAGGCATGGCGGCGATGTCGTGGCATACTGTTCCACGATGGCCGCGAAGGAGCAAAGTCGCAAGGCTCCTCATGTGGAAGCTTCGGTATGCGGAAAGGATGCTCGAGCCGGTTGTTGAGCAGGACACTAGAGGTGACGTACCCAGCCACAGTGAACATTAGCACCAAGCAGAGCACTGCGACAATATGCCTTCTTGGTTTGCTTGGTCGTTCGTCCCGGTCCAGGTCGTTCTCTGGTGATGAGGACCGGAGTAGCCATTGCTGATCTGCTTCCAGCGAGTTTCTTGAAACAGTTGAGCTGGACATCGTGCTCATTCACCGCTTCAACAGGTGCATCACGGTGTCTCGAGGGCAACTATGGTGTCAACCACTGCTTTTCCCGGAGTCGACTTTGCTTTCGAGCCGTCGGACCACTAAAGAGCTCTCCTGTGCAAGGCGTCCTCAATACTAGGGTAGCGGGCACTGCAACGGCATTACCTTACCTGCTATTCGGTCTGGCTATGACGTGAGGTCTATTAGAAGTTAGCATCATGGCGGCCGTATCGCAAAGCCTGGACCGGGGCTGATCACTTCGGTGAATCTACGCACGAAGAGCTTGGCGAGGCTCGTTCGGATGCAGGCAACACCTTATCTGCAAGGATCGCTGCGGTTGATCGCGTTGTGCAACGTTACGGATGCATGATCCCTTCGCACCTTCCTCCTGAGGCAAGACCAAGTCACTCTGGAGGCAATCAATCGATATTGCCTTTGCTGGCACATGCCTCCGCAGCATCTAGGGTTAGTGCGCGATACATGACGTGGGGCTTACACACGCGATATCACGCGCTGTAGGGCTCTGTCGAGCGATCGCCATCCTCGAACCCTACCGACGCGCGATACTGAGGTAGGCAGGCAGTCACCAGCGACAACGATGCTCATGCAGACTAAGCAGAAGGTTAAGGTACCTTTGAAGACGTGACTTGCGAGCTGGATAATTGCCTGAAGCTGATTGGACGATTGGACCTCCCTGACGCACTTTCGCCCCAGCATCGTTACTTCGCGTGATTTATCCGTCCATCGTGTCGAGTTTGATGGATCAATCAATCAGTATACAGGAAGGTATGATGCTAGGACTGTCGCTGCTTTAGCACCACAGCGATCGCCCCAGAGGCACCACACTTGCACTGTAGAGCAAAATGCGGCGTCTCATACGAGCAAGAGCGGACGACAGCCGGACATGCGGTTCTTGAACATATTGTATGTTGCCGGACGTGATTGACATGTGTCCTCAACGGCGATAACAAGAAAGACGAGTACCATCCAGTATGGACGACGGTGGACTGCCGTTCGAAGGGAAGGCAGCCAGTCCAAGACGCTCATCCTGCGGCAGGCATCCAGCTCGCGAGGCAGCCGCCTGGCTCATTGTTGCGGCGCTTTGTGCCTACATTATGGTAACAAAGCTGTGGGCTACGGATCTCTATCAAGTGCCAATCGCTCGAAGCTCTGTCGAAGGCGGATCCGACTTCGCTTCCGCACGAAGTGCTATCAAACATCTCACAACCCAATTCACTTCGTCGCTAGAGTTTCGCGACTCAGAGCACATCTATCGAGTCGCCGACAGTGCTACCCCGGCATATATAGGCAACAGCTCGAAGCAGGAAATTGACAGCAACTGGGATGATTTGATCCTGCCTGCCGATATAGACATCTCTGACGCAGAGGCCGCACCCCTGTTGAAGCATGGTGCGAGCATCTACCGGGATCCGACGACAGGCAAATACAGAATCGAGCTGGAAGTCTTCCACAGCTTGCACTGTTTGAATATGCTTCGAATGCGGATCTACTCGGAGCAGTATCCTGACATGCTCACCGAGAACGCTCGGATACATGTTGACCATTGCATCGAAAGTCTACGGGAACTTATCATGTGCGAAGGCAACATGACGCCTATTCCGATCGAATGGAGCGAACTGGGTGGTCGGATCAATCCAAACTACGCCCAAAAGCACTCATGTCGTGACTTCAACGCACTCAAGGCATGGACTCGGGCTAGGGCAGCGGCGGAATGATCACGAATGACATATGAGCGAGATTCTGCGATCATTCGTTGGCACGCCCATTTCATCTCAGAGTGCTACTACCGCCCAAGTTCGACACTCAGCAGGTATTCAACAGCGGCGTGATCTGCGAATTCAACGAGTACAAATCATCCCTCAACTCAATCATCATCCCACAGTGCTTCGTGTGCTCCAACTCAAGCAAATGCGACGTCAAAGGACCCGTCCCCTCCTCCTTCATCGCCAAGTGCATCCGCTCCCAAGCCAGCGCGCAGTGCGTAATATGGTATCCGTGCGGCGCCCAAAATGGTTCGAGGGTGCCGGCCGATGCAGCGAGGCGCTCGACGCTGACCTCGATCGTCCCATTCTGGTCCTCGTAGAACTTCCAGCCGAAATCGAGGAAGCGTTGATTGAGGGCTGGATTGAAGCAGGGCGCGGGAATGTAGCCGACGACAGAGAGGTCGAAGATGCAGCCCAGGGAGATTGCTTCGGTGGAGGAGTTGCCGCAGTGGTATCTGGGGTTGAGGCGGGCGGCGTCACTGTAGAAGGCAGCGTGAATGTTGGTGGCGATACGGGAGGGTGAGAAGGTGGTGATGTGGTAGACTTGTCGGAGGAGGGTGGTAAGGACGAGTGTGATTATGACTGTGATCAGGATGGTGATGAGGCGCTGGCGTGGTTCGTGGCGGAAGCCGTGTGTTCCAATATCCCGATATGAGATGTCGTCGCTGCTAGCCTTCGTGGGAAGCAGAGTATCAGACGCTGAGAAGCTGTCATGCTCGCTCTTCCGGCTGAACTCTGGCTCGCCATCCATTGCCATTGTGCTCGATAGTACCGTGATCAGTCTGCAGCGTCACACGTAACTGAAGACTGTTTCTGACTTGATACCGAATCTGAGGTCGAGAAGTCGTGGGCAAGCCAGCTCAGAGACGAGACCAGAGTCGTGGCTTCGCCATAAAGAGTCGACGCCGAGTCAAGAAAGGAAAATTATCCACCGTACGTAGATTGCCTTGCCTTAAAGCAGCGGCTTGATCTACCACTGCCAGATCCGACTAGCACACCAGACTGTATCAAAGATCGCTCGGCCAGCCGAGCTGAGGATATCACCGGAAACACAAAACAGCAATCACAGAACCTTCGCCGGCGATCTCGCAGATGTACACCAAACCCAATCCCCGAATGTAACCGTACTAACAGGAACGTGAGAACGGAAAGTCGCCTGACCAACGATCCCGATGTCCCCCTCGCCACCAAGTCTTGCTATCGACAGGCTTCCAGCCTCCGATCGGCAGCTTCGAGGAGCCTTATCACCAGAAATGGCCCCTATGTGACATTCGCGTGATGCAGGCTGCAGAAGTCTTATCAATGCTTCTGGTATTCTTGTATCAGTGGAAGTCGATCTCCCGTAACGCTAGTAGCGCCTTGCCCGAGACTGTGGCGCCATCGAGGATCGAGGTCGGCTTGGCGTGAAGCGTAGTGGGCATTTCGATGACACCTTCCGTGCGGTGCTCGCAAGAAGCTGTTCAGGGTTTGCCATGTGACGCAGACATGGGCCGGATATGGGACTGAACGGCCGGCAATGGGTCCGACGGGGTCCAGGAACCTGGGAATGGGATGTCATAAGTGGTCGTCCGAACCATCAAGTCTGCAGCAGGGCTCTCGATATTCAGTGACACTCCCACGACTCACGGCCTTATACACCATCCGTCATGAAGGTCAACGTCGGTCTCCTGCTGGCGGCAGCATCGATCTGGTCCGCAACCGCCTTACCAATAATCGAGCCCATTCCCACCGATCTCATCCGGCGAGCCAAGCAAGGCTTCGCATACCGTTCCGCCGAAGCCGAAGCAGAGCCGGCGAAGCAGGGTTTCGCGTACCGCGCTGCTGAGCCCGAAGCAGAGCCCGCCAAACAAGGCTTTGCCTACCGCTCCGCTGAGGCTGAAGCCGAACCCGCCAAGCAGGCTTCGCGTACCGCTCCGCCGAAGCAGAGGCCGAAGCAGAGCCTGCCAAGCAAGGTTCGCATACCGCTCCGCCGAAGCTGAACCCGCCAAGCAGGGTTTCGCGTACCGCTCTGCCGAAGCTGAAGCAGAGGCAGCGCCCGCCAAGCAAGGCTTTGCCTATCGTTCTGCTGAAGCCAAAGCAGAGCCCGCTAAGCAAGGTTTTGCTTACTAGGCCCTCTTTCCGTCAACCTCGCGACCTCCGGGTCCAGCTGCTTCAAGTTCACTCAGCAACACGACAGAGTCGGGATGTTGGTATTGAGCTGTGGTGACTCTGCTCGAACACTGGCTAGGTGGAGCCGTGCTAAGGAAGCCAGATGGGCGGGCAGGAGAGCCGAAGCTATGGGCTGGAGTCCATAGTGTCGCGAAGGGTCCAGATCGCATGTACAAACCGCAGAAAACGCGATACAATCCATATCAAATGCTAGAAAATCAAGGTACTTACCTAATCCTGATCCGAGCTTCGTGTAAGATACATCAAGCTCTCTGGTCCATATGAGAACCTCTATGTCGCCCCTTGGTTAGCTGGCCTGCGAAGTTGCCACTGACTGTTTGGATTTTGCGAATGGCAGATGGGCAGTCGAGGCTCGAGGGCAGGCGCAGAAGAGACATTCGGAACGCGATCGCGTCAAGAGCATTGTGTACTGTCCATGATGCCCGCTTGCGTCAACGCGATCAGTGGGTCCGACAGGAATTCCGAGGTAAGCATAGATGCCGAGATTGCTCCTTTTACAAGGCAACAAGACGCCCATGTCTGGACAGGAGCTATAAGTAACTTGCTGTCGAGAGGAGAGGTCACCATCACCGCGCCAAGGCGACTAAGTAGAGGCTCCACTTTTTCAACACCGCGTCATGGTCAAGAAACAACCACATTGTAGGCAGCTTTTACCTTCCATTTCTTGTCAATACGCCTGAGTAACGATGAAGTAGGGTGTCTTTGGAAAGGTCATCACCCTGCTATCTGGCTGCTTTCTCATGGCGATGTTGTCGCGTCGCCGCGCAGAACCCGGGCGTAGACGATGGTGACCCTTTCGAGTTCCCTGCCTCCCAATCGCCAGATCCACGGCTTCAAAATAATCATGTCTTCATCCGTTCAAGCCACATCGCGACCGACGTCGTATCGCCCCTCGGCTCATGCGATCATCCCAGTGACGCCCTTTCGTGCGCTGATGGCGTGGAGGCTGTGGCGTTCATTATAACTTCATGACAGCCGAGGGATGGCGCCTCTGTTTCCTGCCATGCCGTATCTCTCTGCTTGGATTTCGGCTTTTTTCCCACCACTCGCTTGTTCAACACCAAGAATGCGCCATACATCAATGCGCCATAGGTCACAGTTGCGATGGTGATGAGGACTGGAAGCGGGGCCAATCTCGTAGCAAGCGGATTGTCAAATCCAATATGACCAAAAGCTGGCATAGCGGTGGTGCCGGTTATGATTGCAGGATTGGCGTCAACACCCAATACTGAAGGGGTTGGAACCATAACGTTGCTCGGAAGGACATCACTGATAGCCTGGCCGGGAAGTGCTTGTTCGGGGTATGAGATGTAGGGTAGGTGGGTCGATCGATACCCCATGAGCAAGTCTAGCCAGGAATAGTATCGGAGGCCATCGTCGGGTGGGCCATTCAAAAGTAGCGGTTCGGACGGGACAGGTTCGGCCGAAGTGATTGGCCCGGCATCCGTTGTTGAAGCGAGATCGATGCGATATGTTGAAGTCATGGGAAGGAGAAGGTGAGAATGATCTGTGGTCTTCAAGCTGACAATCTAAGCCGCACGTTTGGGGCAAGTGGAAAGACGAGGTAGGAATTTGTGAAGTCTTCGATTTTGTTGCTGGCGCAACGGCTCAGAGCGTCACTTGCTGGAGCATGTCTTCACGTCCCCTTCCGACTGTACATCCCAGAAAATCCCTTATGCGTCTCGATGGCACACGCTGTGTCGTCAGCTGCATCTTCATGATGGCTGAGCGATGAAACCGGATTTCACTTTCCAAGTCCCCCGTCGCCTTCCAGTGCTTGTACATCTACTTTCGACCCCAGGCGCGCTTCTTGAACATCCAAGAAACACCCCATATCGCGCCGCCAAGAACCATCAGCACAGGAACCGCCGCGAACAGTGTCGTGACAGGGTCGTCCATGCCCACGTGGCTGAATGGCAGCATGCTGATGGTGTTATTCGCGTTGAACGTTATTGCAGGCACAGTCATAGCTGGATACATCCAACCAGGAGTCGGAGCAGGGGTCGGGACCATGACGTTGCTTGGAAGGAGATTGCTGATGGCCTGGCCTGAGACTGCTTCTTCAGGATATGACTTATATTGACCGTCGAAAACCTGCCCGGATCCGAACAGATAGTCCAGCCAGGGGAAGTAGTAGAAGCCATAGTCGGACAGATCGTCGAGGACGGGAGGTGAAACGAAAATGATAGGCCTGGGATCCATTGTGGTGGCGAGAACAGATCTGTTGTTCTGGTGTTGGGTGTGAGAGGAGAAGCTGGAGAATGTTCCTGGATTTTATGCTCACGATGTGCGCCGATCTAGGGCAACAAGGCAATAGAGGCAAGTACCTGTGAAGCCTTCGGTTCTGTGATTCAATGCAACAGCTCAAAGCATCACTTGCCGAAGCACGCCTTCACGGGTCCACAACGACCTGCCTTTGTGTATGAGCAACCTCCCTGGCGTCTGCCCAGATCCAAGTCTGCCTGGTTTCTGCAACTCCAATGGGTCGTTGTATGAAGACAGCCAGGTCCTTGTCTTTGACGTGGAGGTGACAGCACCAGGCGCGACCAATCTTTGTCTGCATTTGTCATTCGGTCACGATGGCATTGCTTTGTTGGCTAAAGTCCGCCAGATGTACTTATTGCTCCATGCAGCACAAAATGTGATGGTCTTCATTCATCTCTCAGCATCTCTGCCATGGAGTCTATTCTGGTTTATCTCTCGCATCAGGCAACTCGCGCGGTTTCAGCTTTTTCCGAGATGACTTCAAAACACACCGATTACGACCCCAGGTATCCCAATACTGGATTTCAGAACTTCCACTATGTGCACATCGCCATCACAATGTTCCTCACGGTCACCTCGCTGATGTTGCTCATCAAGCCAAGGACTGTATGGCACCGAGTCTACTACAATGGCAAAGTCTTTAGTGCGTTCAGATGGTTCACCGTGGTCGCTTACCATATCGAGCTCGCGCTATACGTGCTAGAGATCTATCACGGCCCGCCCGACAGTATGAGTCTTCAGGAATGGGTACTCAAACAGATGGAAGCCGCAACGACGCCCGTTGTCCTGGCCGTGAAGATCCTGCTTCTCAAGCCATTCATCGAATATAGTGCGACGTTACTGGATGTAGCGCACAACTTCCTCATGTCTCTCTGGCGCGAATGGGCCACTCCTACGTGGCTCGTTCGAGAGAAGCACATCTTGGACATATATACAGTCACGAGCCTACCGACAGATCAGCAACCACCGCCAGAGACAGCGCACGTCCAGGTGACCACTCAGCGCCACCAGATGAATCGATTCCGATCGTCTGCGGCTGCTTCATCGTCCAGAAACGGCCACCTCCCGATCCACGACCAAGACGATACTTGCTGCCCGATATGTTTCAACGACTTCGAGGTTGGCCACAAAATCTTGAACCTGCCCTGCGACCATCGTTTCCACGAAGCGTGCTGCCGTCAGTACTTGCGCGAGCATATGAGATGCCCAAGATGCAGACGTGAACTCGTTTGGCAGCTGGCGATGAAGGAGTGATGGGTAATGAATGGGTCATGCTTGTCAGGGACGGGAGTCGCAGGGCAGGAGCAGCTGAGCGACCAGCCACACGCAAATTCAGAATCTCAAAGATGCAAGGAGTAGAGGCGAATGCAGCAGGAGCAGATTAGGAATTATATCGAGATTGCTAATAATCTTGCAAGCTGACTACTTAGTATCCTCGGCACATACTACATCATAGGGCTGTCACTGAGTGGAGGTCGTGATCTGGATATAAATTCCTACCCTGTATGCCAATCTCGTACTATTCCTATCTTATGCAACCCCATGTGGTCGCATACGGTCGTGAAACTCAGTCACATTATAGTGAGACATCTGGGCACAGATCCGACTACTTAGACCCGAGCAGAGACTCATTTCCTCTTGACACTCTCTTCGTAGGAATTGTACTTACTGTTGTGCCTCTGCTGATCATCCTATCATCGCCATGTTGCCCTCTACTCTTTTTCGTCATCTTACTCCTTGATCGCTAAGCGCCACTCCAATGTCCTTGTGCACTTAACGCAAGTAAGCCTCTGCTTCCACCATTCCTCGGCGCAAGATTCATGAAGGTAGTGATTGCAGGGCAGCGTCCAGAATCTATCGCCCTCTTCAAAGTCCGCCAAGCAGATCGGGCACGTTTCGTTTCCTGCGTTAGCCCAGAATTCGGCAGCAGGGACGTTGCTGAAAGTACGTACCTCATTTTTGTGCTTGGCGACAGCGTACATCGGGTGTACTGCCACTTGCCGCTGCGCAAGGTCGAGTGTATGATCCAACCATTCTATTCTTCCCTCGTCGTCAAGTCCTGGACGAATCACGACATAGCACAGGAAGATTTGAATCACTGACCAGACACATGCTGGAGCATGGCCAAATACGAGCTCCATCGCAGGTGATACTGGTTGGTCGCCAAATCCCAAGATCCACTGAGCAATGTGTGCAGATTGGTGTGCACTCCATCCCGAGAGTCGATACATCGAGTACGCGACGCTGATGCTGGCGCAAACCACCTGAATGCGACCGAAGGGAGCGATCCCACGTTGGCGGACCTCGGGGTTTGGGAAAAGCAGATCACGAAAGATGTCGACGCCGATCAGAATGCTCACGATGATTACCAGAGCGTCCCATAGCGTAGCGGCGATAGTGATGCAGAGTATGAAGACTTGGGGTGGGAGACTGAACGCTTGCATGACCAGGTTGCGATTGGTTCCTAGGAGTGCGTCGAGAAGTCGGGGCCGTATGAAGCGTAATGCTTCGCTGACCGGTGCTAGGCGCATGCTGCCGTTCTTCCGGGAATGTTGTGTGCCTGGCTTTGATGTTGCGTTGCAGATGGCCTGTCACAGAAAGCTGGCTTCTTGACGAAATGATGAGAGGTTGGCAGGTACGCGTCCATGACGTATCTTCTATCTTCTCAAGAGGCACAAAGACATTGTTATTGACATGGCCTCCGACAATGAACCCGACAATGGAGTCGACAATGGAAATATGACACAAAAGACGACATGAAGCCGGCAAAGAAATCGATCATGCAGCGAACAATGCTTCCGCAACCATAGCCTTTGTAGCAAAGTCGGCGATGCACGCGATTCGGGGTGCAGGACGTGTAGTCACCGTAGCGGTCGTCAGCGGTGTCAGAGAAACGTGCAGCTGTCATAGTGAGAAGCTGAATGTATGAGATTTGAGGCAGGACCTGAGTTGTAGCCGTGGAACGTCGTTGGTACTCTGTTCTGAATGCCTGTCTCAAGCGGACTCCCGTTGCACTCCCGCTCCCATGCCATCATGGTTAGTTGCATTTATTCTAAGCTCTGGCAGGAGCAATGCGGAGGACTCGTAGCGAGGTTATTAGAGGGAAAGCAGAGTTGTGCGTCTTGGCTGTGCATCCAGCATACCAGGCAAGTGTTCATGGAAGTGCGATGGTGGATTTGGGCGCGAGACTGGTGAGTTCGCTGGGGACTAGGCAGGGTATGATGTCTGGTGGACAGAGAATGCAGGTATTTTCGAAGTATGGGTTCAAGCTGGTGAGAACATTGTGCGTATTTGACGAGAGGGAGGGGAAGGGGAAGGGGATTACATTGAAGGTGGCTTTTATTGAGTTCATGCTGGGATAACGGCTGAACATGCTGACAAGGTACCGCCATCTACAATATAGAGCAGAACTGCAGTAGCCTTGGGCGAACTGGCATGTCGTGCAGTGCTCGAATTAGTCTCGAAGCGTACGCGGGTAGTTTAGGTCCAGCAGCCAGGTCGTATCGGCAAAAGGTGACCACTTCCCGTGTCTCGGAAGAAAGAGAACGCCATCTGTGCAGTTGTCTTCCATCGAAGCAGCTCACTGAACCCTCCATGCTACTCTCTAACCGCTAGCTGCCACTCGAGAACCTTGGTACATCTGAGGCACCGAAACTCCTGCTTCCAATACTCCTCAATGCAGTCTTGGTGGAATCGATGCTTGTGATCACAGGGCAACTCCCAATACTTCTGACCTTCCGCCAAATCTGCCCAGCAGACCACACACTTCTTGTCATCGAAATCGGACTGCTTCTCAGGGTCTGGGGTTCCGACGAAAGTCCGTACTTCGACCTTGTGCCTCTTGACTTCGAACATTGGGTGAAATGGCGCTTTCGGCTGCTGCCGGATGCGACTGGTGAACTCGCCAGGCTCGATACGAATGTCGAACGCGCGTAGCGCGAAGTCAAATCTTCCCTGCCACGCGATTTCTTCCGGCCAGCCTCGTTTGTGTCTGCGGTAGATTCGTAAGAGAGCGAGGTAGCACAGGTATGACTGAACCGCCAACCAGACACATGCCGGAGCATGACCGAAGAAGATCTCCATTCTGAGGGGCATCGGATGGTCGCCTAGTCCCAAGAAGCGCTGAACTTGGTACGCGATCCATCTCGGATTTTGGTACAGGATGTACAGAGTGCCGTTGAGGATGCAGACCACTTCGCTGTTGGTGACGCGGCCGAGACGGCGACTGTACACCGTTGTACGTGGATGCCATCTTGTAATGAGCTTGAGGCAACAGAAGACGTTGGTGACTACAGTCGTGAGGACGACGGCCGGGTCCAAGATTGTGACGAAGAGGATTGTCAACCAAAGAAGGAAGATCACTCCACCGTCGAAGAAGCCTTAAGCGGACTGAGATTGCTGGTATCGATCGAGTCCAGTACGAAGCGGAGTAGGCGTTCGAGCGCGTGCGCTGCAGGCGGTTTTGTGAACATGTCGTCTCGGAGTTTGGGATCTCGAATCGAAATGACTCTTCTAGAACTGACGAAGTTGTGAATGCTCGGTTGTTGACGGAAAGATGCGAGAACGATGCACCTAGACACGTTGAGAAGTGTTGGTGCTGCGAAGCAAGGAGAGACGATGAGGATCAAGTGAGGTGTTGTTCAGGTCAGGAAAGAACACTTCGTCCGTTGCCAAGCGATTACATGACCTAGTACCTACGAAGCGGTGTTTCGATCAGAAACTAGGCAGGAGCGAAATAATGTTGTTGGGCGGATTTCATTTCATGTGGTCTACAAATCAGTCAGCGCATTCAGCGCCTACCTATTGCCTTACTCAATGTCTGTGGGCTCAAGTGGACTGTGAGTCTGGTCGTTGATGACTTACCTAGGTAATGCAGAATCACTCTAACACCGTGATATCCCGGAAAGGTCTACCAAGCCACTGTTCAGAAGCATCTCTGCCAAGTATCAAGCAGAGGAAGCAGATTACTCACCTTAGTCCGCGTTATCTAATCGCCAGGTAAAGGAGCGTGTACATCTAGTGCAGTTCAGCCGCCCTCGCCGCCACCACTCATGGATACAATCCGCGTGGACACGATGTCCCGACACGGCGCAAGGCAGTGTCCACACCCGATCCCCATTCTCAAACTGAGCTAGACAGATCGGACACCGCCGATCATCCTCATCCTCCAACGCGTCCGGATCAAAGCCTACCAGAGTATGCACATTCCGAGTGTGATGGTGTGGGGCGAACATCGGATGTGCTTGTGGCTGCCGCCGTGGTACAGCTTCCAACCTGTACACGTTCGGAAGGTGGTTGTTTGGGGCGATCTGGTTATTTGGGGCGACTAGCGGAGGCGGCTGCCGCGGCGGTGCAGGTTGAGGCGTGGCCTGTGTAGCGTAACCACGGATGATCGCGAGGACGTCATCGTGCCGACGTTGCTCGATATTGACAGGCCCGTCGTGGATTTGACGAAGGATGTGTAGCTGGGCGCGGACGTCCCGCAGCTGGGTCCGGAGTGTAAAAAGGTTGTTATCGATCAAGCGCTGCTGTTCCGGCTGCTCCTCGCGGATGCCGGGGTTCCGTGTCCGTCGTGCCAACTCTTCAGTGCGAAGTTGGTGGTACTGTTGGTCTCGGAGCTGCTCGACGGTGGCGAGGTGCTGAATTAGCTGAGGTATGTTGTTGGGCTCGGCGTTGGCGGCGGGTTGGTTCTGATCGTGCAAAGCTCGTTCGATGGCTTGGACAGTATGTTGGCCTATGCCTTGAATAGGGCCGATAGGAAGGGCTTGGATGTTGCGACCGTTGATGTTGAAGTTGACAGGCTCATTTTCGTCCACCGCGGCTTGTATGTCGAGCAAGTCATGGACTCCAATGTTGCCCACGTGAACAACCTGGGCATGTTGGCCGTTGATATTGAGGTTGACAGCTTGAGGTCCGTTCTGCGGGTTTTGAGCGTTCTGAGCGTTCTGGGCTCCCTGAGCTATCCCTGCTCGAACGATAGCGTCCTGGCGAGCTTGGTAGTGCTGATCGACGAATTCTCGGAGGGTGCCTATGCGTCGACCATTTGGGCCGTTGATCAGGTGGGCTGGCGGAGGCTCATCCAACTCGGCACGTAATTGGAGCAACATAAACCGCATCTGAAGGAGCTGCAGGTTATCCATGGCCTGAATGTCATCCACGTCTTCAGGAGCTTCGGGATCATGCTGCACGTCTGGATGACGCTCTAGGTCCCGAATCAGATCAATTACCTCATTGCGCAGGTCAGCATCAGGATCGACATTGTGATTCATGGGTGGATTAGGCCGAGCAGCAGCCTGACGATTCTCGACGAATGCTGCGATGATATCACCGAGCAGCACTACCACGCCTCTCCAGTGGATTGGCATGTTTGCAATTGCGTTGATGATAGAAATTGCGCTGCGGGTATGATCTGCTCAGGTGGTATGGCTGGTGTGGCTGCTATAAGCTGACGTAGTTGGGTGAGGATCAGATTCGAACTTCGTAGCGAATCGTACAGTCCTCCTTATAGGCATGATGAGCCTGTGAACCGTCCTTGTCGAAGGCCTGTCGACAAAGACGGTCCATATCAAAACAAAGGCGTCTTTGGCAGAGTCGAGTACTGGGCAAGATGCCTTTCAACACCAGCGGCCTGACCGCCTCGCAATGGCCCGACGCGCAGGCTTGCATCGGACTGTAGCCTGCCGGAGCTGCGACACAAAGCCAGATCTTAGAACAAGGCGTTTTGTCGAGTCGAGGCGAGCACAATGACGCGCTTCCAAAAGGTCAAGTACTCAACAAGGGGATTGTCCATTGGCATTGTTGTGAGTGCATTGGCTGGTTCGATGGTAGGCATTGCTGCAGAACTCGCCGTGTCGCCGTAGATTGCTGTGAACAAGGGGGTGGTGGACGCCAAGCGATGTTAGCACGCTGATTGGGTAGTCAATAGTTGGACGCCTTGAGGCTGCCTTGTTCCTCACGGAAGCTCGAGTGTTAGTGTAAGTGGTCGCAGGAAAGGGAATTTGTGCTAGAAAGTAATGATATTCGGACCTCGAAGCCGCCCTATTCTTTTTCGCTAAGCAAGCGCAATACGCGCAGAGCAGAGGAAGCAATTACCCAACGCACGCCATTGGAAATATACAGTCGGGTGTGCTTGCCGAACGCTATCCGCACTCGCTGAACGCATCGTTCGCGACGGTTCTACTGGATTCTGTATTCAGTCAGTTACAAATTCACTACGCAGCCGTTGGGCATACTTACCGCTGAATGAGATGGACTCCGGAAGCCGTCTCGACCACACTGCTCATCTGGCCTGGACTGAGCGCAAATGCGGCGTCCTCGAACTCCTTTTGCATCTGGCCCTTTCCAAAGAAGCCCAGGTCGCCTCTCTTCCTTGCGCTGCTACAATCTGACTCGGACACAGCCAGGTCGCCCAAAGTGGTCGAGCCGGAATTGATTGCGCTTTCGTGGCCTTTGAGTATGGAAATGGCTTCCTCCTTCGAGCGTGTGATGTTCTGCTCCTTCCAACTTGAGGGCCGTCGACTTTCTTTGTGCTTGATCAGAAGGTGCGCTGCCCGAATCTTGCCGTCGCCGGCTGCGCCGTCCATGCGAGTTTGAGAAGCGCTGTGGTTTTGCGCCATGTAGACTTTGAGTTTCTCGGTGTCGGCGTCTTCAGGCGGCTCCCATCGTGAGTCTTGAGTTTTCGAGTTGAAGTAGTAGGGCAGGTTCTTCGAGTTCGAGTGGCGCACTTCCCAGTCGGGTGGGAGACCGCTGTCAGCCTGTGTGATCTCAGTGAGTGAAGATGTCGCATTGTGATATCACATACCATAATGTGCCGAGTGACTTGTGATAAGATCTTATGCACGTTATCAACCCCTGCCCGGCTCACGTCGCGAGAGAAGTAGTACGTAATGTCTAAGAGTGGCTGTTGTTGAGACTCGAAATGCGGAGGGGGATCTTCCTCAGTTGGCGGGGAGACAAGGCTGACCAATCACATCACGTGCTCAATCCACCAAAGATGCCAGGGACCAGAAAGTTGCCTTCACTGAACCATCAATCGCCTCTATACACCTGATTTACCCGCGACATCTCATATCGACCACACTAGCCGCCGGAATCTCGCGCGACCGCAGTATTCTCACGACGCAAAGTCTCCGAGAAGTCACATCAGCCGCAGAATAGACTCCTCAGGCACAGGACAATCTCCAGCGCCCGCATCGTCCAGAACGATGTCTGCTGTGGGCTCGCCAGCCGCAGACGGCGGCAACGCTGTCTCGACCGAAGTCAACTACAAGTTCTGTCAAGAATGCTCGAATCTCCTGTACCCGAAAGAGACACGAGCAGGCGATGGATGGGTTTTGACCTACTTCTGCAAGGCCTGTCACCATGTCGAGTCGTCGAACCCGTCGTGCACGTTCAGAAGGGAGCTCGGAAACAATGTGACGGAGACGGCTGGTGTGACTACAGATGTGGCCAATGATCCTACGGTAGGCTAATGGCGCTGATTCGATCGACTCAGGACTGACCGTGGAGCAGCTACCCAGAGCGCAACAAGGATGTCCACGGTGTCGGGAGAAAGATACTGTCTACTTCCAGTCGCAGCAGCGAGGCGGTGATACGACCATGGTGGGTCACGTCGAGAAACTCTTTGAGAAAACTGCTAATGCCGCCAGAAATTGTACTACGTCTGCCTCAACTGCCATCACGTATTCACGACCGTATAAAGAGTATTCGACGATGTGAACTTTTGAATCTCGTACAGGCGTTGATGGGGAACCGGAGGCTGACAAGCTGGAAATCCTGGTCGGCGTTCAGATGTTTTGAAGAAAAGATGCATTTTCAGATACCCAGCGCCGCGCTATGAACAAGAGTCCGTATAGACAACAGAAGACGAGTATTCATACATGCACTGGCGCCAATGACAAAATCTTGGACCATTGCTTTTTCCGCAGCTCAGTGGCCACCACACCATTCAATCGTGAACCGATCGGATCGCCGTTCTTGTTGATGAGGACGCAGGCGTTGTCGTCAAATCGAATATTGCTGCCGTCTGGCCTTTGCTGTTCCTTCCTCGCGCGGACAACGACGGCGTGTCTGATGTCTCCTCTTCGTACTTTGTTCGAGATACTGACGCCTGTCGCATTCGAGCCCTCGCCGAAGCTTCGTTGTTTCTGGACGACGACTATTATTCGGTCTCCTGTATGCGCGCATCAGCTGCGTTCGGTATACCTATTTTTCTTCGTCTTACCGATGGCCGCCGCCTTGACCTTTTTTCTCATGACCGCAACGCATTCGACCACGGCTGCGCCAGAATTGTCGATGCAATTAAGCATCGTCTGTAGACCCGTCAGCACAGCCTGTATCCATCAAGATCCATAGTAAACGCGCCTTCAGTTGTATCATCGTGGCAGCATGTCCAACAAGTGTGATTGGACTGTTATCGATGCCGTCTAAGCGGGTAATGAACGAGCAAGCTGAAAGATGAAGTTGATAGTGGAGCTTTTTCGGAGACTACGATTGGCTACTTGGCCTCGGATCGACTGTTGTGTCTGGCCGTCGCGACTCGGCCCCTCTGGGCGATGGCTGCAACTCTACCACTCTCTCCTCACTCCTCACACGCTTCCTCCCCCATCTCATATCCACGCGGACTTGACTATCATTCTCTCGCAATTTTGCATCGCATTTCCTAGGTCTTATGCGATCATAATGTCAGCATCCACGCGCAACTAATACGGACGAGCTCGGACTTTCAGCATTTGCGCGCCGCCCTTTCCTTGGTCACCCAATGCGCTGTCCCAGCCTCCAAGCAGCCCTTGCTCTTCCCACACGAGCCACTTCCACATTCGCTTAAACAGAGTCGCAACTTCATCTTCTACTGCTTCCACCATCGTTTCCAGCAAATACATCACTCGACACCATGCCGCGTAAACACAAGGGCAAAGACGGCCCGCCTAAGCAGCCGCTCACTCTGGCTGAATTGGCTGGCCATGACGACGTGTGCTCAGATGTCATGATCGACAATGTACGCGCCCGTCGAGCACTACACCTTTCAGACGCTAACCATCACGACATAGGCATTTTACAGGTTCAAGATTCGAAAGTACCGACCTAAGCACATCCCAGTCCGCGGCATCAAGGAGGAACAGATCCCTCAAATATTGCTAGAGCATGTTATTGTCGGCAAGAATCCCGAGGCAGCGGAGAAGGTCCTGCTCAATCTGTCCGGACTCAAGCGGTACCAGTCCACCCTCAGGACGAAATCACAAAGGGAGCACTTCATAGCACACCTCCGCAAGTACATCCTCATGTACCAGACAGACTGCCCGTGGGAAGTCTCCAGCACCAACCGCTACACCATCACCACATATGAAGCTGCTGTCACAGCAAGAAGGCGCATCAGACAAGGCGAGGTCATCAAATATTTGACTGGTACACTCGTACCATTGACCACGGAGGAGTCAATGGATCTCGATATCACCAACAGAAACTTCAGCATAGTCGTCAACAACCGAAAGAAGAGCGACCAGATGTTTCTTGGCCCGGCTCGATTTGCCAACCATGACTGCAACTCGAATGCCCGTCTGCAGATGGAGGGCGTTGACAGCATGAGAGTGGTCGCAACGAGGAATATCGATATTGGCGAGGAGATCACAGTATCGTATGGCGAGAGCTACTTCGGTCCCGACAATGTTGAATGTCTATGCGCCACATGTGAAGCCAATAGCCGCAATGGCTGGACTTCCCGGGCTGCCTTTACTCAACCTGGCAGTGGTTCTTCAACGCCCATTCCTGACATTGCGAGAGCTGCAGAAAGCAACAAAAAGCGTAAGCGAGAAGACTCCTCAACTCTGCGATCATTGAAGAAGCTGAAAGCTGGACCATCACCATCAAAATTACAATATTCATGGACACCACCTAGCACGTCAAACTCCGAGATCGCACAAGAAGACGCCGATGGGGCAAGAGACGCAATTACTGTAGTCTCTCGTGCAGGTACAGACGAGCTCTCAACCCCACAACGAGACAACAAGGGGCGCTACCTGCCTTCGCCCAAGAATGTGAGGACCGAGCCCACCAGAAATCGCGTCAGCAGAAGGAGCAGCAGCATTCGGAGAAAGTCTTTCCCTCTGTCACCATCCACAACGTCACCTTCAAGTCACGAGTCCGAGAATGGCTTAAATGCAGAACTTGGCGACACCATCACGGTCAAAATAGAACAGATCGAAAAAGTCACAGTTGAGACAGACGAGCTGACAGACTTGATGAATACGAAAGCCGACAATATAGCAATCCAGCCGGCCGAGGAGGACACCACGAACGCACTCGGCGCCGATCAAGAGATGATCGACATCTTCAAGGATGCTCATTCCGAGCTCCCGACCGCTCCCGCGAAGAGCGTGACAAGGCTCTCCATGACCAAGGTCTCAACAGTCGCATCTATTGAGCCGACCCTCCAAGTCACGCCCGCAGTGGTCCCCTCGATCGAAGCAGCCGCTCCTATCAGCACGACGAAAACGACGGCCGCCCTCTCCGTGCAAACCATCTCGCCCCTCATACGCGTTCCAGGCGACTACGTTCTCACACGACGACTTCTCGCCCAACCACACGACAAATGGGTCCGCTGCCAGAACGACCACTGCCACGGCTTCTTCTTGCAGTCTAATGGTTACTTGACGCGTCGTGAATGTCCACGCTGCGAGCGTCACTCTATGCTCTACGGCTTTCCCTGGCCCAAGACCGATCCAGATATCCGAATACTGTTAGCGCGACAGCAGAAGAGCAAGAAGAAGACCGATGAAGGAGGAAGCGGAACATTCTCAGCATATCGCCGGCAAGGCAAGTCCGGCAAAGGGTCGTGGGTCGAAGGGGGCGGAGATGACGAGGAGAGGGTCATGGACCATCGCACAATCCATCGGTTCGTGGGGCCGGAAGAGGAGAAAGAGATGACCCGCAAGGGTCTGCTGATTGCTGCGGAAGAAGCAAAGCGCATGGGCGAGGAAGACTGGGTCGGGCTGAAGGGGTTGGACGGGCAGGGCAGGCGCAGTGGAACAGAAACCAGCGACCATGGCGGAGGCCGTGGACAGAGTTTCCGTGAAAGCACAGAAGACGGGAGTGCGTCGCCGATGGGTTACCACAACGGTGGGATCGGAATGCTGGGCGAGCTAATGCGAGAAGAGGGTGTTGACGGCGAAGGCAGGCGGCGCAGTGGACGCATCGTGGAGAGCCGGGTGTATGTCAATGTTGACATGAAGCGCTAGGATCGCTTTGGGTGGGGTACGCCGGGGGAGAGGGGGGTTGTGTACGTGTAGCTCAGTTGGATAAGTTCGAGGTCGGGATTGCCTCTTGGCACGTCTCGGTTCCTCTTTGACCTCCACTTTCGCTCTGCTTCCGTCCAGTTCAAAGTTTTCCCTCCACATGAGCGGTGCTCGAGCAGGCTCCGGCTTATGGATGGGCATGATTAGAGCGCAGCCTTCAGAACAAGAGCGACGAAGATGGTTGTAGCAAGGCGTGCGGACTTTCCCGGTTTCGCGATAAACTTGTACCCAAGATCCATCATTCCATCTTTGGTCTTTCCACCTATGATGTGAAGTAAGATATCTCTGAGCGACGACTGGACTGATGGTCTGACGGCCGGGCAAAGACTCAGAAGCAAGGTGACACCACTCTCCCAGCGAGTTACCCATATCGACCGCCACGACCATCACAGCATTCATTCAGGCCGTACCACTCGCCTCCAGAACGATGGCGCCGTCCGATCCAGTAATAATCCTCGGCGCCGGCGTGACAGCCCTTACCCTCGCGCATCAACTCCTCTTCCCACCCTCAGCACCGCCCAACACTACACAAACCCACCATCGCCCGATCCTGATCCTCGCGTCTACTATCCCGACCTCACCACACTCCACTATCCCGCCATCCTACGCCTCCCTCTGGGCAGGCGCGCACTACCGCCCCATTCCGGCCTCGACGCCTCAACTTGCTTTCGAGAGGGAGCTCGCTCTCCGTACGCACGCCAGTATGCTCCAACTTGCTTCCACCTACCCGGAGACAGTCTCAGGTATCGCGCGGATCCCTGCTGAGGAGTATCTCGAAACCGATCCTGATGCTGCTACGCTTGCGCTGAGGACTGGAGACGTCTACGCTGGACCAGGCGACGACTTCCACGTGCTAACCGCCGACGACCTGGCTACACTCAACGCCGCATCATCGCCAAGAGCGGAGCCCGTCAGATGGGGCTGCACCTATAATACGTACTGCGTCAACCCGGCACTGTACCTCCCTTTTCTGATTCAGCGCATCCAAGCAAGGGGAGCGCGGATCGTGCAGGCGCACGTCGACTCTTTCGCGCACGCGGTGGAGCTGGCGAGGGGGTTGGGGTTCCTTCCCTCGCACCCCGGCGAAGGACGTGAAGCAGCAGCAGCAGCAGCAGGAGGGGGAGCGCCGACGATAGTAGACGCCACAGGCACCGGCCTCCTCCCTGACCCCGTCTGCCGCGTAATCCGCGGGCAGACAGTTCTCGTGAAGCAGCAGTTCCCTAAGACGGTGACGAGGCAGTGCCGCGACGGCAGCTGGTCCTTCCTAATCCCCCGACCAGGCGGCGGGGGCACAATCGTCGGAGGGACGAAGGAAATTGGGGACCACGAGGCGCTACCGAGGCGGAAGACGAGGGAGGGGTTGTTGGGGAGGGCGAGGGCGTGGTTTTTGGGTGAGTTTGTGGGGAGGGATGGGGAGCTGGATGTGGTGGGGGATATTGTGGGTTTCAGGCCGTGGCGGGAGGGCGGGGTGAGGTTAGAGGCGGAATTAACGGAAGTGGTCATGGTGAAAGATGTCAGCAGCAGCAGCAGTAGCAGTGACTCGAGTCAAAAAGGGCAAGGTGTGGCGGATACGGAGACCGTGAGGGTGGTGTATGGCTATGGGCTGGGTGGGAGGGGGTATGAGTTGAGCTGGGGCGTTGCGGAGCGGCTTGTGGAGTTGGTTGATGGTCGGGCGAGCGGGGGACAAGAGTATAAGAGGGCGATAAAGGCGAGGCTGTGAAGGAGACGGATAGCTTGTTCAGAGGAGAACAGTTGGGCATAAAACCGGTCCCGTCTTCCACTACATCCAGCATCGTGCTGCAGTCGGAGCCTCCCATTCTTTCCAGCGGCCGATCGCAAGCGTCATCACAACGCCGTCCCGCGCTCGAACGCCTCCCTTATGCCCACCGTATATCGGTCGTAGAACCGGCCCAGCTTTAGATTGAACTGCTTGTTCTTTTCGTTGATGTATGTGACGTCGCCTTCATCGGTTCCGCCTCTCCGCTGCGCTCGTTTCTTCATTCTCACTTCCTCTGCTTTCCGCAGGTCTTCGACTAGACGATCTACATTCTCCTTCTTGGGCTTCTGCTCCACGAAATCCGTACTATCAGAGGTAGCATAGAAGCGGCCATCGGCGTCGATGGCGACGAGTTCCCCATCTGCAAGCTCGACGATTTCCAAATCCCCATTCCGCGCCGCAGAGTCGAGCAATGCGCGTTTGCTCGCATCGTACTCCTTCTTCGCCCTCCCACCATCCTTCGTCCCCTCTTTCTCTAGTGCGCGGATCTGCCGCTCATAGATCTTCCCGGCTTCGGCGCCGTAGTCCTGGAAGGCGTTGTTGTCTTTTCGGGATTTCTTCTCGGCTATCCGCTCGTCCCATTTCTCTGATTCTTCGATCGTGTAGTCCCAGGCGCGCTTGCGCTCGAATGCGCCGGGGCCGTCTGCGTCCTCGGTTTCGGCTTGAAGTAACTTATGGCGAGCTATGTCCGCCCGACGAGATAGTGAGGCGAGGAGGGTCGGGTCGACGCCGGAGCGGGAGGCTTCGTCCTGCGCGGCTTGAAGGTTGGAGCGTGTTGAGGCGGTGGCGCGGGCGCGGAGGGCTTTGAAGCGGGCCAGGCGGTCTGCGGAGGAGGTTTGGGTGTCTTGTTTCGATGAAGGATCGGTTCCGTTTTGGGGCGACACGGTGTTGACCGAGTTCACATCGGCTGAGGCTGCATCGGCTGGTGATGTGGTGTCTTTAGTAGTCACTGTTGGGGTGGGTTGGTTTTCTGGTGATGGGGTGATTTTGCGCCTCTTCGTGGGGGAGGCCATTCCTATCGCGGCGAAGTGATCAGTTGTGTGGATCGTATGCGTGGCACCGTGGAAGGCGAGGGTGCTTTCGTCGTCAAGTGAAAGTGAGGGAAAGTCGGTACATCTCTGGAACAAAAAGTCGAGGATGAGGTTAAGTTGTCGGAGAACGATCGAACAAGGGTTAGGGTTAGCGTATCTCCAATCATGACGTCTTCACATGCTTTTTTTGGTGAAACAGCAACAGCAACAACAACCAGAAGCATTTTAGCAGGCACTTCACACATGTCTCCATGACCCTGTTACACGACCGGAGGGAGTCTGAAGCAGTAGAGGGAGAATACAGAGGAGAAATGGCATCCTCCGCTGCCAAAAAGAAGCTCGTCGTCGCCGGCGGCACGGGATTTCTGGGCTCGCGCATATGCAAGTCCGCTGTTGCGAGAGGGTGGGATGTCACGAGTATAAGGTGAGCTTGCCTGGCTCCCTTGCTGTTAACTCAGGCTATATGAGAGAGTCGAGCACAGCGACTGACATTGTACTCTCCAAAGTCGCTCCGGCGAACCCCAGTGGTCGAGCATAACCTCCTCCCCAGAACCCCCGCCATGGTCCACCTCCGTCACATGGGCCAAGGGCGACATGTTGAAACCCGCTTCGTACACACCGCATCTCAAGTCTGCGACTGCTGTAGTCCACACAATGGGAATCTTGCTGGAAGCAGACTACAAGGGCGTCCTCACCGGCAAGGAGTCACCTGTCTCCGGCCTGCAGCGGGCGTTCTCCACGTACAAAGCCGGCGCCGCTAGCAATCCGCTCGACCGCAAACCCGGCGAGGAGTTGGGGAAGGGGGAGAAAGACGGTCAACTCACATATGAGCTCATGAACCGGGACTCCGCCATTGCGCTGGCAAGAGAAGCACAGGAGGTTGGGGGGGTGGAGTGCTTTGTTTATATTTCCGCGGCTGCGGGGACGTTTATGCTGCCGAAGCGGTACATTACTACGAAGAGGGAGGCGGAGGATGCGATTGCGACGAATTTTGTGAAGATGCGGAATGTCTTTATACGGCCAGGGTTTCTGTATGATAGCAGTAGGAAGTTCACATTACCGATCATGGCGGCGGGTGCGGTGGGGAATACATTCAACGAAATGCTGGGCGGGAGGCTGACGAGTGTGTTTGGCGCGGCTGTCGAGAAGCCATTGAAGGCGGATCTGGTGGCGGAGGCGGTCGTGGAGGGGATTGTGAGTGGGGAGGCGAAGGGGGTGGTTGATACGGCGGGGATTGAGCCTTGGCGGCGAAGGCGTGGCGGAGGACGATGCTGTAGGCTGTAGGCTGGTGGGCACGGACATGAAGAGTCGCTGCTATCGCTGACGGCTGGGTGGGTGTATCAATACTTGGGAGATCAATAGAAGAGCATAAATATCGGCGTAAGGCTGTCCTGTCCAAAAAAAGGGAGAAGGCATCCCGACTGTCAGGTCGTCTGGCATCCACTGCCACAAAACTGAACAGAGAACTTCATTGAGCTTCAATCGAGATACTCGCCTTGTTCTGCTCTTCTATCACATCCCCGAGTCTGCCGCTCTGAAATCGTAGAGGTTTGTCTCATCAACTCTGTACACCATCTCCCCTTCGCTCTCCGCGAGAAAGCCGGCCCCCGGCTTCGCCAAAACGCTATGCAGAAAGACAGGAGTTCGAAGAGTGAGGATTCCCTGGCTCACTGCCGTAATGTGCCAGGTTGGTTTTTGTTCGTTGATGGTACATGTTCGATGGATTGGTGTCGGATTTTCGCGAGGAGGTGGTTTATATCGGCTCGTGCTTCGGTTCCGGCGGCTCGAACACCACTTTCCGCGTGATCTAGCAACAGTCAGTACTCCTGCACGACACCCAATACGCACTGTACTCACAGCCCAAGCCCCAGCGATCCCCGCCACAACCGCCCCACTGATAAGCATCTGCTTCGTTCCCTTGGTACTCCTGAACACCATCCCACTCAACGCGCCCGCCGCGACACTATTTCCTGCATCATGCCGTCCCCTATAATACCCAATCGTCGAGTTGATCCCATTATAGCACATAGCCACCACGCCCGCGCTGTTACCCATAAACGGCCCTCTCCGCGTCATGCTATTCAACACGCTGTTCAGTCTCAACTTCGGTGGCGCGGAAGCAGGCACGCGGTTGAGGCCCTCGATCAGACCCCATGCACCTCCGGTGGTTAGCGCGGCGAGGTAGACGCTGCCGGTGCCGTAGCAGAGGTCATCGGACCAGCCGCGGGAGGGGAGGACTGATTGGGAGCCGGGCAGGGAGGAGAGTGTTGATTCGTCGAGGGAGAGGTAGTCGAGTGTTTGTTGGTTCAAGCCGGCGAGGGGATGTAGTTGGGAGGCATCGGGGAGAGAGGCGCTGCCGAGAAAGGAGTCTGTGGATGGTATTGAGGGTGTGAAGGCGTATGACGATGATGAGGGTGATGAGGGCGTTGATGCATAGTCTGTGGGGGAAGGAGGCGGAGGTTGTTGCTGTGATTGCTGTTGTGACGACTTTTTCCGGCCGGTGAAGGCGTCCCAGACAGACATTTTGGTGGGGTCGGAAGGAAGGAGTGTAGGGAATATTAAGGGAGATAGTACAAGAAGGGACGCGATGGTCTTGAAGTGAATGATGGGTGCTATCGAGAGCAAGGCGATTCGACTGGTCACTTTTTCGATGCGCCGGCTGCTCGTCGGCGGAAAAGTACGGAGATCGATCTAGTCAAGTTTGGGGTTAGTGCAATATCAGATCTTAAGGTCTGTCCGAACATTTCGATCTTCGTGACGAGGGAGAGTTGCGTTAAGAAATTCGCGGTATGCCTAGACTTCGGCTTGAGGGTCGCTTAACGTTGTCGAAGTCTGTCCTCACTGTTGGGGTGGCAAGTCTCGGAGTACAGCTCGTGGTGATCTTGCTGCAGCGAATGGGGTCCACCACCTATTTTTCAACCATAATGTCCCAGACTCGACAGGCATGGGAGAGACTGTGAAGAGGAATCATCAGGGAAGAACGTTGTCTGCTGCAGGGTGCCTGCTTCACGGTAACCGGGCGAGCCTTCCTCTTCTGGAGCGGTCTCACTTCCTGCGTACCTTCCGCATCGGGCACTTGGAAAGATGAGTATTCTTGCGGAAGGCGAGGTTGGACTCCTGGAACAGCAAGTGCTTCTCGATTTCGCTCGTCAGAACACTCGAAAAGTCCTGGCGGGATCGGAAGGCAGCGATCAATCTGCGCTCGCTCCTCTGCAGAAGTTATGGACGCGGTTGGTTCAAAGCGCATTGACTCGCAGCGTGAGTGAGAAGTATCTCACTGCTGCGTGCAACGCTATCTCTGTCTTTCTGAAAGCCTACGCCACATCACCCGACGAGCATATTCGCCATTTTATTGAGTCCTGCGCGGTCTGGGCAGATGCATTTGAGTGTGCTCAATACGCTTTCGCTTCTGGAAGGAGTAAACCTGCGATACAGGTGCTTGAAACTCTCATTCATCTCCTTAACAAACATTCTGACCAACAGCTAGCCATCGAGACATTGAATCGCTCTGCTAGAGCGATGCTCGACACCATCATTACAAACGAACCTGCCGGCAAAATGAAGTCTTCGTGCATCACGCTTTCATGCTTCTTGAAAAAAAGCAAGCTGCCTGTGGACCTCGAACGCTTGCTTCGGGACTGCTTACAACAGCATGGTACATCATGGCAGACACGCAGGTCTGCACACAAAATGCTTCGACAACCACGTAATAAAGCCTCGACTGGATTGGAAGACCTGTTCCTTGCTCTACTCTTCGCTATCAACAACCTTGAGACGCGGAGCTCGGCCCTCAAGCTGTTCAATCTGCTATGCGAGGGTCAAAGAAGCGATTCAGGCTCGACAGTGGCAGAAGCAGCACGTGCCTGAGCCTGTACGTACAAGAACATGCGGACACGCTTGCGGACTTCGCGAACAATGTTCTCCCCGCGTTGCTAGACTCGGAACATAGTTGGAGGTTATGCGAAGCACTCTACAATCCGAGCTCAACATCGCTGGACCGGAGTATCGAGCTATATCTGGCAATTTTGAAAGTTGGACGGCTCAAAGAATACGTCAAGGAGACCGGTAAGCCATGTCTTGTTACTGATGCATAGGATGCTCTAACGCTTCACAGATTTACAGCATGTTCTTACCACTGCGCTCAAGGGTTTGAATGCGAAAGGCCCCGAAGATAACGATCCATATTCGTCGACTACTATCCTACTGACATCAGGAGACAGCCGAATCAAGATTCAAGCGTACGATCTGCTTACCGCGTCGTTCGCCACCAAAGCTACAATCCCTTTGAAGACCCTGAATTGTCTGTGTTTGGCTCTGCGCGCACTCCGCGATGACAATGATGCCTACGAACGCGGTGAGATCATGGGTATCAGCAAAAGATTTCTGAAACGGTTGGACAACAGCAACATTGGTCTTAGAAAGCTCGAAGCCGCCGATCAGGAGTCAACGGACAATGCTGCAATTCTGGCGGGCTACAAGACGTTTGTGCTGCGTTTCGTCCAACATCTGAGCAATGAGTTGGAGATGGGCGTTTCTTACCCACGACACATCCTAGCACTAGGGCATTTGCAGCTGCTGCTGAAGACTTCCTTCCGTCACTGGCAGCACGACGAAGTTCTTGCGAAGCGGCTCATTCTACTAGTACTAGACCCTTACGATGATGTACGCGCCATCGCAGCGGGTATCTTGAACGAGTTACGGAAGCAAGTGGTCATGGGTAACACTGTTCTTGGTCAAGGGTTTTTGAGCAGTGTCCTGGCGCTTTCTGCCACAACTTGTCGCAATGACCATGCCGATGCTGCCGGTAGGGTCATGGCACTGATAGGCATGTCGCGCTAGAATCGATGAAAGTGGCGACAACCTCTGAAGAAGATATCATGGCAGCAACGATTTTGGCGCGCTTGCAACGTCATTTGTCAGAGACACATTTCCTCAGTCATGGAACAAGCTTTCCACTACATGCCAACATCCTCGCATTGGTGCATCTCTACGCAATCAAGCCAGCTAAGAAGTCCGAGGTGGGCTTGGCTATTCACGTCTGCGTCCAGATCTGGAAGCTCGTCCAACCAGTTCTGTGCATTGACTCCCCGGAAACAGGAACAGAAGATCTGGATGACGATGTCCAAGGTGGAGGACCAAAAGACCTGCTCGCCTATTCTTGGAGGGCACTGCGAGACTCTAGCCTCCTTCTGCAAGCTGTCATGCGCGTGGATCACTGCTTCTTATCCCAGGTCGCCTCGCTATGTTTGGACCAATTGACCCTGCTGCGCCATCGAGGAGCATTCTCAACTGTGGCACAAAGCTTCGCTATGTGCTGTGATATAGTCAGAGAAAGCCCGAACTCTGCCGTGAAAGGCTCGATTCGAAGCTGGTATGCCGTCGCATTGGTCCAGATTGACGAGCAGGCTAGCAAAGTCACAAGGCGGTCTGCCGGGCTTCCCGCTATCTTCAATGGACTACTATCTCCCAACGACCCAGACTTCTTTCATGAGGTCATCGTGGCGCTACAACTTCGCACTACGGAAACCATTGTCGCCCAAGAGGATGATGCCGGCGCACAGATACTTCCACAAGTGCACGCCCTGAACTGCATCAAAGACATTGTCACCAATTCAAAGTTTCGCTCCTTGACAGAGCAGTACATCTTCAGCCTGATTGAGCTCGCGGCGAATAGAATGTCTTCCTCGCTATGGGCCATACGCAACTGCGGTCTCATGCTTCTAAGGGCATGCATGAGTCGCCTCAATCCCAAGCTGATGGAATCGAGTTCGCTTCCACAAAACATCGAGGCGAAGGGTACTGCTGACTCTCCACGGCTTGTTGCTCTCTCACTTTTCGAGAGTATTGACGAGACGCTAGCCGAGAGTGAGGATACGACTGAGCGGTCGGAGAAGATCTTTGCGGCTTTGGATCTGGTCAGACAGACTGGCTCATCAGCTACGGAAGACGAAGTCCTGCGGCACCATATTCGTAGACAGCTGCGTAGTCCTCTTTGGGCGGTGCGCCAACATGCGGCGCGAGTTCTGGTATCAGGCCACATCTCAACAGCACCTGGTCCGAGCTTGTTGGAGCAGTTGAGCATACCACCGGATGCACCAGAGAATGAAGTTCATGGATTGCTGCTGCTGCACCGCGCGTGTGTAGAGCTCTTGCTGGAGCAGGCGCCGGTGCCATTCGAAAGCATTCTCCAAAGCATCTCGAAGACGGTGCAAGATCTACAGGAGATTTTTCGTCGCAGATCCCTCTCACCGTTCTCGACGGGTGCGCTTTTCGACATCCTGAACATTGTGCTTTCGGCGATGTTCGAAGGCACGGCGGATGTCGCTGTGCGTAGCGAATTTGTCGCGACTTGCGGGACTATACTTCCACAATTCACGACAGACCATACTTTTGCGTACCAGCGACTGCTTCTCACTCGGTGTCTCTGCGTCTTGTCAGGACTTATAAACAGTGGTGAGGCGTTCATATTGCCCACCGCATCTTCGGTGGCCGTCCTGAGAGATGATAGTATGACGTTCATCGTCGAGCAGCTCAAGCGACTCATCCCCCATCTTTGCGGAGACGAAAAAGCCATAAAAGCTGTCTGGATGCTGCTCGAGACGCTAAAGCTCCAGCGGACCACGTTACCAGCGTGCATACATGAAGCAATGGCAACAGTACTCGCAACTGGCCACATGACCCTGCTTCCGGCGATGGCAGCCCACCTGGCTGATACCCTAGCTCACCACAACATTTTCAGCAGCAGGAGAGATACATGGAATGCCTTAATCCAGCTGCGGGCACACCTTCTGCGCATCCTGATAGCATGCGACGCCGAAGAGCCAAAGGAATGGCACTCACGAATGCAGCAGTGGCTGGCTGACGTAACTCAGGCAGGCACTGATGAGATCGAGTTTCCCACGCGATTGAATGCAGCTCAAGCGTTGCTGGCTTTGCTTTCCGGACACGGCGTCATTCTCATCGATAACGCCGACGTTACCGGCGCTGTGACGATCAATGCACTGAAGCAAAACACACTGATCCATCTACAGATCCTTTCGATCGTCTATGATCAGCTCAACGACGACGACGAAGAGATCAGACATGTTGCCGAGCAGACGGCCGCGAGACTCCTGTGGCCCAAACGGGCTGCCGAGCTCCGCTCTTGCGCATTCGCGGCACGGCAGGACATTCTAGAGTTGTTTAGGACGAAGCCGTTGCTTCTGGGAGAGCCGGAGCTGCACGACACGGTACTCAGACATATCATAGGCTGCGATCCTGTGCATTGGTCCCTGGGTGATCCGGTCATGGACTCATGGGAGAGCAGATTGCGGAAGATTACTGACAGCATGAACGACCTGTTCGCAGAAGAGAAGCAAAATCTGTACATTGACGAGCTGGATGAGGTCCGGCGCTGGAGTGCCGTGCTTTGTGCGTGTAGAGAGGAGATCGACTTCGATTCGCAGAGGTGGCAGCTCGCCCAAGTTTGGGTTACGGATGGGCTGAGAGCGATGAAGACTGCTCTGACGGTGGAAGCTGAGGCTGCCGCCACCGGCGCTCAGACCAACGGACTCGCACTGACATACAATCTTGACGTATTGGGACTTTGCACTAGGATGATGTGCTTGGCTGAGGTGATGATCAAGGTTGATGCTCGAGACGGAATCAGCGAAAAGATGTTGAAAGAGATTGGCGACGGACTTGCAGGGTTGAGATCGGTATTGCGCGAGATTGATGCGCATCCTTCACTCTTACCTGACGAGGTGAGTAGAGGCAGTGAACAAGAGGCAGGTGATGTCTAGTCCAGACACCATGGGAATGGCTTCAAGTGATGGTTGCCAGGCGACGGCATTTCGGGAAACACCTCACCTTAAATTCTGGGCAAGGTCTACACATCTTTCAACGACCGTCGCGCGATGCCTGCTTTCAGAATCAAAATACCACAACCAGGATCCATATCAGTCGCCAGTAAGTCATCCGCCCTGGCCTGCGTCTTGCGAAATTCCCTCGCTGAGTCCGTTCGCCGTCCTCAACAGAACCGCTGACGCCTTCCCGAAGATCATAAAGTCAAACTTACGTCCATCTATCGCCGAGTCAATCAGATAAAGCCGCATCAACACCAAGTTCGAACGCCGTCGCAGCACAGTACCATACCTACTTCCCTTCTTTTCAGGGCGGAGGTCAATCACACGTACACTGTCTCTGCAGATCCGACGAACTTTTGCGTAAGCCAACAACTCTCTCACAGCAAACCCGACCAATATCCGCAAGATTCGGAACGGAGAATGGATAACTCCAAAGCAATCATAGTCTGCTTCGCGGTCATCACGCCGTGCTGTGTGTATGGAGGGTGGAAGTTCTGGAAATGGTATGTGGGGAGGAGCGAGTTGAGTGGGTGGTTGAGTGGTGAGGCGCAGGGAAGGGCTGGTGGGCGGAGACTTGAGGTGCAGGTTTGATGGTGTGGAAAGCCACGGAGGTCGAGGAGTGAGGTCTCAGGCACAACGCAGACTTGACACCGCCAACGGATAGTCATGCGGAACAAGACCAACACCTAGGACACATCGCTCGAAAGCATTGGACCTAGCCTCAAATGCGATAGGGTAGTCAGTCGCGTCAATATGAACAGCAAAGCAATATCGAGCAGTGGATGGTGATGCATTGCGCCCACTTCGAGTCGGTATCGAGGCCAATTGACGAATATCCGAGTGCAGTGAGGTTATCTTGAGCGACGTGTCAGAATGAGATGAAGTCTCGAGCACCGTCAGAGCCTGCTAGCGGTGCTGCAAGATTGTTTGCTGACTTTAGTAGTCTCTGCATGAACAACGTCCTCCGTCTGAGCACCTTCCCGCAATTGTATTGACTCGTCGCGAAAGATTCTCGTCCAAACACACACTTGCCAACCTGGAGTCGACTTCACGAGCCATCACAAAACGGTCTTCAAGTGACACAGTTCACGATCCTGCGGCAATCAAAAGGACACCTTTTCCCAATCGATCTCGAAGCCGCGATGTCTTTCAGTACCTCAACCACACCGTCGGACTCAACCTCGACCTCTACAACCTGGACCACGACCGACATCACACCCACCCTCAACACAGCCATGACCAATCCCAACGACGCCGGCGGCGGCAATGGCGGCGGCATCGTCATCAACGTCTCACCCACAACAGTAATCCAACTCCGCACGATCGGCTTCGTCAGCACCATCACCGACGGCACCATCCCTCCCATCACCCTCGACCCAGCCCCTCCCACCACCACGGTCTTCGTCGCTCCGACTCCGACGGTCATCGGGACGTACCGACCCACGACCACTGTAACGCTCACCACCCTCGCTGCAACGTACTACTTCCAAGACGTGCACTCCTCGATCTACTCCACTAGCGTTGTCGGGCTCCCCCTCTCTACAGCCACAGGTACTCCACAACAATCAGACGACAGCGGGTCTGGATGGGATAGCTGGTCCGCAGGCGCGAAAGCCGGACTGATCATCGGGGTTGTGTTTGGGGTGTTGTTGCTGCTGATGGTGCTGACGTGCTGCTACAAGAGGAACGCGAGGTGGATCGCGCATGACTGGAGGTGGGCGCCGCAGGTTGGGGCACCGACGGGGAACAACATGGCGATGGTGGCGACGCCGAGCTATGGATATGCGTATCCGACTTACATGAGAGGTGGGCATGGAAGCGGAGGACGGGAATGGGGTTGGTGGACGAGAGTGGTTGAGAAGGTGAGGGCATGGTCGGTGAGACGCCGCACGAGCAAAGGTGCTGCTACACAAGTGTACGGATGGAATACGGAAGAAGAACCGCCGTCCACACCGATTCGGGTGCTGAGGGAGATGCGACTTGCCAGGGAGGAGCGGAATGGTGAAGGAAGAGGAGTTTCTGGCGGGCTGGCGGACTGATGTGGTCGGTCGAGACAAATTGGCCTCCTGGCGGAGAGACGGTCAAAGGCTGCTGGGGTATGTGGTGATCACAGCTGGAAGGAGGTGAGGTCGGAGAAGGAGGAGCTACCTACGCCGACTAGGTTGATACAAGAGATGCGTGTCGCGGTGGAGATGCGTATCGCCAAGGAGGAGCGTGTGGCCAAGCAGGAGCAGAAGACGGGTGGAATCTAAAGTTCGAAGCATTCTGGCGCATGCCGTCAGTCTGGACGAATTTTGTCTTTCCTGACGGTGAAAACGTCCACCCAAGGCATGCTAGCTAGACATGCCACGATCGGGCGTGAGAGCTCTGACAAGTCCGGGAACGAGAGAGATAGTGGCACCGGTATGATCACACGGGTGTTGCAGTCATGCGTTGGGTGAGCATCGCGGGTTATTAGGAATTCAGTTCAGTATAGGTCATTACCCATTCAAGAGTTTCTGGCTTTGCATGGCTAGTACTGTCAGCTTTCGGCAGTCGGTTGGCTGTTGTAGTGTTGCCCCATGGCCGCAAGTCGGGGAATTCGTCCCGGCGCAAAAACAGAGCTCGGCGTCAACTGTCCTCGGGTGGTACGGACATTGGCCGTTCTGCGGGAGGATATTTGGGAAAGGATATATTTCATCATCATCATCATCATCATCAGTCTCATGCACGACAGTAGTATGTACTCTTCTCCAACCGATCCCGGACTCGTCAAAGCATGAGCAGTCGCCAGCAGTCAAGCACGCGCGAAGCTCCAAGTAGAACGCCCCTTGGCTGTGAGCTTCCGTGAGACCCGTGCAAGAGAGTGGGACAGAATTCGAGGCAAATCAAGTTACAGCTTTGCCAAGAATTACCCCAGATCATCACTCCATGTTTTACGCATTGAAACACCGCCGTCACCGGCACGTGGGGATGTGTTGTAGAGAATTTCCGCGTGTTCCACTTGGCTATAAGGTCCGGGATGTCCCACGACTCTGACTTGCGTACCACAGAAGGCTCTGCGTGATCAGCAACAGTCTGTGGGTTCGTTACCGTCGCTAGGACCCACCGTGACAATCAGGAGGTGTACGATCACACGCGCCTTCAACCATGTACGCCAACGTCCTCAACAAAGGCCTCTTCGCCTGCTGTCCCCCCTCCCTCACCCATCCCGACGGCTCGCCCGTCAACATCGAAGTCTCCGCTGTCGCTTGGAATTCAAAGCGCCTCGTCTTTGGCAGCGACAAGCCCATTCCCGGTGCCCAGCACTCGCCTGTCTTCTCTGTCGCCATTGATGAAAATGGCACCCCAAGGCTGAAACGCTGGAGTACTACACGGCTGAGTTGATCAAGAGTGGCGAGAAGTACGAGGATTTTGCGCTTGCAGAGGGCGGACGCCATATGATTGCGACGACGGGGTTTGATCGCGTGTCGGACAGGGATGGGCAGAAGGATAGGTGGAATAGGTTGCTGGTGTGGCCGTGTTCGGTGCCGGAGAGGGTGCAGTTGGTGGAGAAGTGTGTTCGGGACGGGGTGCCGAGTTCGGTGCAGCTGAGGGAGCAGTTTAGTGCCGTGCTTGGTGGGGCGCCGTATTTCAAGGTCGAGGGGCTGGCTAGCGTTCCTGGGGTGGAGGGAAGTGGTGATCCGTTGCTGCTGTTTGGCGTGCGTGAGGTTGGAAAGGATCATGAGAATTTCCAGTATGTGGCGAAGATCGTGGGTGTGCCGTATCGTATTGGCCCGGATGACTCGATGACGTTGACTGGTGACTTCGAGGTGATGTATGAATTCGATCCAATGCAGGCCAAGGAGGTGCGCTTCCAGGTCGGCCTGTCGAGTTTGGAGTGGGATCCGATGGGGCGGCGACTTCATCTGCTGACCAGCTTCGAGGTGGAGGGTGAGAATGGCGGGAACACTGTCGGCGCGTATCTGTGGTCTTTGTCATTGGAGGACCTCCACGCAGGGCGGAAGCCGCAGTTGATCATGGACAAGCAGAAGGGTTGTGCTTTTGAATTCCAGAACAAGGCTGAGGGCATTGCTGTTCTGCCTGGGGGCGTGCTGTTCATTGCGTACGATCCCGATAGCAGTCTTGAGCTGCCTGACCAGACGAAGGAGAAGCGCCAGAAGAATGAGGCGCCTTACACGTTACTAGAGTTGCTCGAGTAAACATCGCCAAAGTGTAGCTGGACCACTCGTCTCGTGGTGCAGCGACCACGGGACCATGTCTGCAGATAGCTATGCAGATTCGGCGCTCTAGCGTCGACGGCACGGGCACAGCGTTTGAGACACTGGCTGTTCAAGCTGCGTGTGGCTAGGGAAGAGTGGAAGGCGGCCCCAGGGGTGGAGTTTGGGGCGGACTGCTTGGATACGAAGTACCCAGCTCCTTTATTAGTGCAGCGGCGCGGCGGGATCATTCCGGCCAAGCTGTCTTCTCGTCTTGGGCGCACTGCTTTGAGATAGTCGAGCTGTGCGGCGGTCACGGCAGCACGTTGTAGCCTCCCAATTGCTCTCTGATGGATAGAAAGAGCAACGTAGCATAGATAGGTCATGACGACATTGTGTCGAGTCTAGGCTACTTCGCCGAAGTCGAGATCACAGACATATCCCACAGCATCAGCTTTCGGACAGCGCTGCGGTATGTTGCCGGGATGCGACTTCGACCTAGTCGAACATGTGATTCAAATCTGCCATAGCAGCCTTGAGGTACCTATCGAAGGAGCTAAGCTTAGCGTCCTGCTACAGACGGTATGAAATTACCAAAGTTCCAGGACTTTCGACATGGCAGGGGTCGGAGCCATGCTTGGCTGGGCAACAACGTAAGTCTCGCCTGCACATCGTGACATTTGCACATTCTGCAGGAACAAGGCAACAGCGATCGCTGGGGCTGATGAAGCTTGTGTCTGCATTAACAGAGATCCTTGATGAGTACTGTTTTACGCTGTTGACACGCGAGAATGCGATTGCTGCATACAACCAATTTCGAGTTTCGGGAGTCGTACGACGAAGAGTGGCTATTTGGTCGGAGTGACACTCGCTGGTGGCTACGTATCAGCTTGGACCGTGACAGTTGGGAAGATGAGGGCTGGAACTGGACAGAGCCTGCGGCCAGCTATGCCATCCTTTCGCACACATGGGGAGAAAAGGAAGTTTCATTCAAGGATTTTAACAAGAAACGGCGATTGTACACGTCGGGCATTGAATTCCAGCACGCTTTTCAGAATGAAAAGACCAAGGAGCCTGGATTCTGGAAGATCGTCCAGGCATGCTTACTTGCATGGAAGCAGGACCAACAATGGATCTGGATCGACACTTGTTGTATAGACAAGCGCAGCAGCTCGGAGCTTAGTGAAGCGATCAACAGTATGATGGCATGGTACAGTAAGGCTACGGTGTGTTACGCGTACCTGGCCGATGTAATATACCATGATAAGATGCACGAGTCCAGGTGGCACACACGAGGCTGGTGTCTCCAGGAGCTACTTGCGCCGCGGATGATGTACTTCTTCGACCACGACTGGAATGAGATAGGCGAGAGAGGTGACCTGCGAACAGCTATCGTCGATGCGACTGGGATTGATGAGAAATTTCTCCCAGCTCCTGGTCAAGACAGGTCATTCCCCTGGAGGCGTGCTTGTATTGCGAACAAAATGAGCTGGATGGCAAGGAGGCGTACTACGAGAGTCGAAGATATGGCCTATTGCATATTAGGAATCTTCGGTATCAACATGCCACTCCTTTACGGCGAGGGACAGAAGGCTTTCCATCGCTTGCAGCTCGAGATACTCCGTCAAAGCGATGACGAATCTCTATTCGCTTGGAATCCTTACACAGATTACAGCTACTACGGCCTTTTGGCGCCCCATGTCCACCTTTTCCGACTTGGGGGGTCTATCCAGAGCGGGCGACAATTCGGCCCGTTCGCAGTCAACAGGAGGCCCTACCAGATGACAAATAGAGGACTAGAGTTCACTTTCCTGAGAGGCATGCCAGTAGGCGGATCAGATTCTTCGGCAACGGAAGGAGAGTTGTCTGTTGAAGTTGGACTGGACTGTTATAGGTTGAAGTCACCAGAAAATCGTGATGTCCAATCTGTAGATCACAGGAATTGTGCGGATCAAAGCAACTTCGATCGAGTATTCATCACGATCGACAAAAGTCCGGGCTATCCATGGCATCGAAATCATGATCACATACATACCCACGGTGTTGACTATCCATTGGGTTGGGTCAAGGGTGAACCATATCCAGAAGAGCAGGGTAGAGGTCAGCAGACAACTGTATACATCAGAGGCGAGTATGAATGAGCCAACAAGTGGTTCTGTTCGCCGGAGTTCTTCGTCATAATTCTTAGGCCACTGATGCGTGGTTGCAATCGCACAAGTAGGTACGCATCGACAAGCACGCATCGAAAGGCCACTTAGTCCCAGCGCACAAATCGCCGCAGTACTCGATGCACGCCGCTTTGGAGACCTAGGCCCGCTGCAACATCGAAAGAATAGTCGTGTCTGTACCACCGGGTTCGACCTGCAGCGAGCGAGCCATGACCAGATTCAAGCACTCGTTCTATGTGTAAAGGCACCCCTCTCTAGTCTGTTCACCTTTGAGGTTTGCCTCGCCGCCAATCAAGTGCCCGCAGCTCCCAGAGCAGGAGGCGCCAACAAGACATGAGCCAACACCCTTACAGTCCGCGTTTGCTCAGCAGCTTGCTAAGGCCATGTTCCTTCCCGCCACTACCAGCCGTGACCATCTGCTTTCCCCAGAAGTCCTCAGCAGTGCCGACGACAGTATCATCTTCCACGGGCCCAACGAACACCTTCGGCGGCACAAACGGCGTGACGAGGTCCTCAACCTTTGCTCCACTCCCTATAGCGTAAAGCGGGTTGCACCTCGACTGCAGTGGACGAGTGCTGAAGTCGTAAGGATACTCGCCATCAGCACCGACGCTTGCAGCATGTCCACCAACGCCGCCGCTGCCGTTGGCTTTATCCCAGCTGCCATCAAAGCTGCTAGAAGTCGTCGTCGGCGTATTACTCAAACTCGGCGTGCCCATAGTCGGAACCGCATACATGCTTGAGCTATACCGATGCACCCCAACCTTTCCCTCCCCATTACCACTAAGCCCATCCCCTCCCTCATGACCCAGCATAGCCCGACTATGAAAGCTAGCCAGATACCGATACGCCTCACTCTTCCGCATGTGCGCACCTCGGAGCAGGCCATCAGGCCTTCGTAATTTCGGCTTCCACTCGGTCGGGTCAAGATCGGCCTTGTACCCATGTTGGTCGGCGGGTATCCGAATAGTCGGGGCTGGGGAGCTGGGCATTGAGGGGGTCGAGGCGCGTTGTGGGGAGACGGAACGACTGTTGGCGCCGCTTCGGGTGGAGGGAGTGGTAGGTGAGGGTGGGAGGATCGAGGCGCTGATGGGCTTGGTCGCGTCTTTGCGGCGGCATCTGGGGCTTTGTTAGTTGGGCTTTTGTGATAGTAGGGAAAATGGAGAGCAAGGGTGGGCCATACGCCTGGGAGCAGTATAGGATGGAGTTGGAGGGGGTGGTGATCTGCTTTTCGCACATGGCGCTGTCGAGACTTATTAGCATTTCACGCATAGCAGGAACGCGTGTACGGGCACCAACCAGTACTGCAAGAAACTCGTCGCCATGATGTCGCGTGATTCTCTGCTAGAAGCGGTGAGGGTATGAGGCTGAGCTCAAATCTGGGAGGACGACACGTCTATTTCAACTCGACCAGATCTTCCAGCTTCGTATTCCAATTACCAGAAGGAATGAATCTGATATGAGAACACAGTCTCACTGTGTCCGCCCCGGACAAAGATGAGGCGAGACCGTGTAGAACACGTTTGAGAGACACGAGAAACACAGAGGTGGAAGACACAAGGTCCCGTACGTCTTGCACCAAGCTGCAGACACACAACACGACCGCAGGGCTGTGTGCGACCAAGACCACACCGCTCAGGCCACACAAGATAAGGATCTCGACCGTGTCTTTCATGAAACAAACACGGCCAAGGGCGCAAAACAAAGGAACCGCGATGACGGGAGTGAGGTGAGGCTTTGCTTATCAGTGCTCCACTGTTTGTGCTCAAAGGGGTTTGGTGGGATCTGCCGAGAGATAGCGCCTTGCTATGTTGGGTTTGGGTTCAGGCACAAGGCAAAACGAAAGTACTAGCGGTCGATCCTTGGAACCGGGACTTTGGTTCGTTCTGGGGTACCTTATGGTCGCTGGGTTGCTTGATACAGTAATCGCTATGGCTCTAATAGATCATCCGTGATGTGTGAGTTTTGTCTAGAGCAAATAGCCAAAAAGCGGAGGTGAGCCAGAGCGGTCCTAGGTCGCTGGATCCCTGCGGTTTGCTTGAAAAGGTCCTCCGCCTCTTGCTGGTTGTGAGAACCGTGACGAAAGACCCACAGTTTCAAGGCAAGCCGTCGGGAGATGCCCAAGTCGGGTAGGACCATGGTAGGTGATTCTGCGCTATAAAATAGGCGGCTTGTCGTGGTGGTACAGTTCGCCGTGACCCATCGAAGAGTTTGGCTTTGCTTTTCGTCTTCAAAGCAACGGCACCGAGATCCAGCTCTCGCTGAAGTGGGACCGGGTCGGGAGAACGCGACATGAATACGCCTCGACCTATGGTTCAGGGTCTTATCGCTGCGTGGCAGGACGTAGCGAGCTGCGCATCGTCACTGTACTCAGCTCTGAGCGAAACGGGCTTTCCGCGCTTCTGCCGCCTTGCGATCTGCATCGCTGTAGCCGCCGCCGCCGCCGCCTCGTTTCTCGACACCGGTAGGTCTCGCACCGGCACTACCCTCGCGCCTGTTTCGACCACGCCCTCCAAATCTTCCACCGCGCCCACCTCGACGTATCAGACCTGGATCATCGAACGCAGCATTTCCATTGCTCTGTGCTCCCTCCTTCGGCCCACGTCTCCGGCCTTTGGCATTCTCTGTTGACAGCGCACCATCCAACTTTCCAATGGTCGTCGTCTCTGAAGCTGAGAGACCAAATCTCTGCGCTCTGGCTAGGGCCTTTTCTTGATCTGTGTCACCGGCCTCGGCTGGCGTCTCCGACGCATCGTTGTTGCCTGTCCCGAAACGCGCAGCACGGGCTTTACGCTTCTCAAGTTCAGCGTCGAGTGTACTCGCTTGCAGATGTAGGGAGTAGTCAGGTTGCGGCGCGGCCTCTGTCGCATCTACTGGGTCCTCAGTAGGCGCAGCTTCGGGCGCATCGGTCGCTTCGGTCTCGGGTGCGGCTTCTTGCTCGATCGTTGCCGGCGTCTGTGCAGGTGGAGCGGATGTTGACGGCGCTGGAGGTGCAGCGTCAGCCTCTTTGAATGGTCAGCAGGACACTACAGCGACTTCTACGAGAACAACGCACCATTGACTTCAGCCGCTTGATCGGCCTCCTGTAATCGTGCAACAAGATCTGCCTTCTTGCCAGACGTCGGTAATGAACGAGCCTTGAGGATTTCCTGCAGCTTGGCTACCGTCTCTTTCGCATATTGTGACATGGTGACTGCAAAAAGCACTGTTGAGGATAAATGGAGGGAGAAGGAAGTTGGGCGACTCGGTGCGCAAGATACAAGATAAAGAGATATCGAAAGGAAGGCGCGACAATGAAGATGCTTCTTGGTGATCTTTGAGTGATGTTTTGCGGCGCGACAACAATTCCACCGCGACAGGGAAATCCTAGGTCACGTGTTCAAGCCAAAGCGCAGGCAAGTTAGCCGAGTATTGGCAACTTGTCTCTCGCAACGTCTCACAAGCAACCAGTGTCTGCAGCTTTGCCCAGGTGCTCTTGCCATCGTCGCGTTATGGGATGCTCGAGCATGCTGCCACGAATGCAAACTCGCGTTGTCCTGATGCAGCACTTGTCCAGCAATGATGCGGCGCCGATCTTGTCCACGGGTTGGCCCCCACCCTCGTATGTGCCGCGTCTTAGTCCACCGTCAGAATGAGACTACTGGGTTTGGCTTGTTCTCTTACAACGGCATCCTGTTCTTGCAAACTTGTTCAATGCTTCACTGACTACAGACTCGACATGGCTGGCATAGCGTACGCTCTCATTGCCCGGGCTCTGGCACTCTCTGGCCTGGGACTGGTTGTCCTGTTTGCATATAATTTATACAGAGCACGAATGCGTGTACGGTCGATCAGCACGAAGTATGGCTTGGTATGTTCTGGACCTCAAGACAGGAAAAGCACTCTGACAGTGCTTCTCGTAGCCACTCCTACCACACTCATTTATCCTCGGCCACCTGATAATCTCAGCCAAAGTGGCGATGAAGTGGCCAGCAGACGTCTCAACATCACTTATCCCATACCTCATCTCCCTGGAGTATCCTGAATACTCCAAACACGGCTACTTCTACCTGGACATGTGGCCCATTGTGAACTCGATGATCGTGGTTTCTAATCCGGATATGATGGTGTCATTCACTCAGGACGTATCATTGCCAAAGCATAGGCAGATGCCATTCGAGTTTGGGCCCTTCTCCCACGGACTGGACCTCGTCACTTCCAACGGCCCAGTCTGGAAAACGTGGCGGGCAATCTTCAATCCTGCCTTCTCATTGAAGAACATACAGACGTACGTGCCCATCATGCTACAGGAGTACAACATATTCCGCTCCAAACTGGCGAAACTGGCTACGGACGGCGACATCGTGAATATGGACAAAGTCACCATGGCGTTGACTGTGGACATCATCGGTCATGCCGTGCTGTAAGGAAACTCCATCTGATAAGTTTCTACGGCTGATGACGTGCCTAGCGGAGCCCGCCTCGATGCCCAGACAACAGACTGCGAGCTCTTCAAGCTTCTGAAAGAGCAGATCAGTCTGCTGTTCGTCGACTACTCTCCTGGGAGTCTGCGCAAACTATTCATGCCGACGCGTGCCTACAGGATGTGGCGGAACGAACGTGCGATGCGAAGGATCGTGCAACCATACATTGAGAAGGGGATCCGCGATCATGGGAGCAAACAAGGCAACAAGACCATGTTGAGGGTGAGTTTCGACCTCCAACGCGACCGAGTCTTCGCTTCAAATTACCCACATCACGGGAATTCCGCTCACCGGGCCCGATCGTCTCCCGCAAGGCGTGATCTTACTCCATTCCTGTGCTCTGCTTTCGTACACCTCTCCCTTTTAGACCAATTGCTGACATGCCACAGTAAGTACCACACGGTCCTATACAGAACGCCGAAGCCTAAGCGGACTTTGCGCAGTCGGGGACAGACCTCCCTGCACATTCTATTATATGTCCGGAAGCACACTGACCACGCAGTACAACAGCCTCGCGGTGACCAACTATCTCAAAGAATACTCCGCCCTTGAAGGCTCCATCGACGAGGCATGGATCCACATCGCGATCCAACAATTCAAAATGCTCCTCTTCGCCGGACACGACACCGTCAGTTCGACCTTCTACTTCGTCACCGCCCTCCTGCACAACAATCCCGCCTCTCTCGCCAAATGTCGTGAGGAGCTCAACACCGTCTTCGGTCCTTACGACCCCAAATCCAACAACCCAGACACCATCGACCCCGCCCAATCCCTCATCGCCTCCAACCCCGAAATCCTAAACCAACTCCCATACCTCAACGCCTGCATCAAAGAAACCCTCCGCCTCTTCGGGCCCGTCTCCGGCTCCGTCCGCGAAAACCCCAACCCAAACACCAACCACTTCCTCTACCACCCAGACCACCCCCAAACCCCCATCCCCGTCTGGGACTTCATGCTCTTCGCCCACCAAGCCCAATCCCACCGCGACCCAGCCTACTTCGCCGACCCACACTCCTTTGTTCCCGACCGCTGGCTGGCGAAGCCAGGGGAGAAGTGGTACCCGGGGCATAAGTATGCGTACAGGCCGTTTGAGCACGGGCCGAGGAACTGCATTGGGCAGGAGTTTGCGATGTTGGAGATGCGGTTGGTGTTGGCTTTGGTGTTGAGGGAGTGGGAGCTGGAGCCGGTGTTGCCGCAGGAGAAGACGTATTTGGGGAGCAATCTTTACCAGAGTACGCCGACGGAAGAAATCACGATGCATCCGAGGGGCGGGATGCCGATGCGGGTGAGGCGGAGGGAACAGCTGGTGAAGTCTCTGCATTGACGCTAGAAGTGAACAGCTGAGCTTGGTCAGAGGATAGGACAGCTGGGATCACACGATCTCGAGCAAAAGATGCCACTATCTGTCTCGGCTGCAGGGAAAGTATGGTATGATCATCTCTGCTTCAAGGTAGAAGTCAGGTTCGACGACTGATGTTCTCACATCTGCTGTCAAACCGTCCCTGGTTCGAAAGGCACTGCTTGTCGAGCGTCGCGCCTCATGAGACCACTTGATTTCTCCGATGCCATTCATCATGGTTGGGATCCTCTCAACCATTCCTCTAATACCACCAGAATCTCAACGAGCTTCGCAGCCGACCAGATCAGGGTAGCCCAATGCCACCATCGCAGCAAACTCAAAGAGCGCCAAATGTCTCCTAGAATGTCCCAGAAGCCTCGCTCGTCGTCTTCTTTGTCTTCTGTCATACGCATCCATAGTCAGCATGTCGAAGTACAGGTAATGCGGGGCAGCGACTGTTGCAGTACTCACCAAGTCTTCGCCAGCTCAGGCGACGTAGCGTAGTATGGACATAAGGACAGTTCGCGTTCTGACAGCCAGCAGGGTCGAACCCTTCGAACATGCACAACACGTATACTCGTGAATCCCCGAATTGCGGCAACAAGTGTGTTCTCAATGATCCCAGCCGAGCATATGTGAGGGCACCGTCCACGCTTTGTGTGAATGGCAGGCTTGTCGTGGTAGGGTGGGTGTCTGGACATGACGAGAATTTCGTGCAAGCGGCTCTGGTGTAGTCTTTACAGATAGGTCTCGTGGACAACTCTGCAAGTTCTGAGAAATATTGTTCACGGATGGTGTTGATGTCCATGGGTGGATTTACATTGATATGTGGAGCGTGCTGAGGAGATCGACAGGATATGCCATAGTTGCACCGGCCTTCCAGGTGAAGTCTGCAGACTTCTGTTCTGTGATGCGCCATGATGATGTATGAATCTGGTAGAGGCAGGTAGGCAGGTACCAATCGATGAGAATTCTGTTGTTGAAAAGACCGCGGAAGGTATGAGAAGTAGAGGTTGCCAGTCGGCATTCGTCAGCGTTGGCACGGGTTGCTCAGGGCAGTAGCTACAGCCTCACGCTGTCACTTGCCATTAAGCAACTTCGCAGGCCTGAACACTAAAACATCGCCGATTGGGCGACTCCATGTCGTATAAGGTCAGATCAGTCGTCCTCTTCGTCTTCTAGCTCGCTCAGATCGCCACTGCTATCGGAGTCCTTCGTTGTCGATGATGATCTTTTCTGTACCATACCTTTGGCCTTCTTTGTCGCTGTAGTACCTCCACCAAACATATCCTTCACACTCTTCTGCCCTTTCTCCCGCTCCTTCTCCACCTTTTTCTTCTCCTTGGCTTGCTTATCATCCCACGCCTTCTGATAAGTCGCTCTTTCCGCTTTTCCACGATCCGAAAGCTCCTTCTCAAGCTTTTTGAACTTCGTTCCCTCAGGGTCCATCCCGATCAGACTCTCCAGCAACTTGATCTCAGTAGCCCACACGCCTTTGTCCTCCAGTGTCTTCTTGCCCTTTGGATCCTTCGGATCCGGCTTTTCGCAAGGCGTCTCGAGAATCAGCGGCAGATTCTCCAATCGCGGCTCGTTCATAACATTATGAAACGCCCGTAAACCGAGGAAGCCGAGGCCAATGTTCTGGTGCAGATCGCGGCCTGAGCCCATCGGAGCTTTCGAGTCGTTGAGGTGCAGAGCTTTGAGATACTTCATGCCGACTGTGTCATCGAACTCAGCTAGCGTGGCGTTGAAGGCAGTTGGTGATCGCAAGTCGTAGCCTGAGGCAAAGGCGTGGCAGGTGTCGATGCAGACGCCTATGCGATGTTGGTGTTGGGGCTCGATCAAAGCGATGATGCCGGCTAGGTCAGAGAAGCGGCCGCCTACTACGCTGCCCCTCGATGCCATGTTTTCCAGAAGTGGGACGACTGTGCTTGTGGCGGATAGCGCGCGGTTCAGGTTTGCTGCTATTCGGGCGATGGCGGAGTCCATGCTTGCTTTGCCCGCCGCGCCTGGGTGGAAGTTGTAATGCTTGATGCCGAGCGCTTCACATCGGTGGAGGTCGTCTAGGAAGGTTGAGTAGGACTTCTCCAGATGCTCCTCGTCCTCGGTGGCTAGATTGACGAGGTAGCTGCCGTGAGGGACGATGTGGGCGGAGCCGTCGTACTTGTGAGTGATGAGGCCGGTGCGAAATGCTTCCTTGTTCGTGTCTTGTAATGATGGATTGTCCCACTTTCGTTGTGACTTCAAGAAACATGCGAAGCTGTTGCCTCCGATGTGGACGGCGTTGCTGATGGCATTTTCGACACCCTTGGCAATCGACGTGTGGGCGCCGACAAACATACGGAGGCCTGTCGTGCGAGGTGCCAAAGGCATGGCCTCGGCCTCCTTCTCAGCAGCAGTCTTCCGCTTCCGCTTCGGAGTTTCTGCCGGGCCGTCAACTGGCGGGTCACCCTCGAGTCTGGTGTCAAGATCGTGTGTGTCACCAGTAGGCTCGGACTTCGCAGCTCGCTTGCCAGGAGACGCTTTTGGCTTCTTCGCCCTCGCTGTTGGGGCCGGCTTGCCCTTGCCCCTTTTCGGTTTCGCGACTACTTCCCCGTCTTCACTTTCGGACAAGTCCGATAGAGAGCTCTCCGATGCCGAACTGTGGCCCTTGCCGTTAGTCACAACGGTAGCCTTGACTGCTTCCACTACTTTGCGCGACACACGCTTGGCTGTTGGAGTCCTTGGGCTTTTGTCAAGATCGCCGTCGTCTGCTCCAAGTTGACTCGCTTTGCGCTTGGCTGGGGACTTGCCAATCGGCACAGCACGCGCAGACGACCTTGCAGCTGCAGCTGGCATGACAGGCAGTCTCAGTGTTCGTGATTAGTGGACCACAGTCGCATGCTATGTGTCATGATCAGTGTAGAGTATAGAGCATGAAGCTTCGTCAATGACGCCTGTAGAAGGTGTGGCATACGGGCGTATCCGCCGCTAGTCGCGCTTATCGAACCTTAATTTCGCCCGCAGGATTCACGTAACCACGTGCCGCTAAAAGCGTCTTGTCCACCTGCAACTTGAACCTCTCTGCGTGTGTCCGTGCTGTCGCGTTACAGGATCCTAACGTATGTCGCAGAAATGGCGGACGTCGAGATGGCAGACGTCGCGACTCCTGCGTCAGGCTCCACGTCTGACAACGACTCCTCTGACGACGAGGGAGTCGAACTGCTCGTGACCGGTCGCGAGCGGCGAAAGACCGCAGGCAATCGGTATCAGCGCGAACTGGTGCAAGAGGAGGCCGAGAATGCCGACGAAGAGGATGAGGTCGCACTACTCTTCGCCGGCGAGGAAGATGAGGTGGACGAAGAGTTTAAGAGTGAGGCATCGGACGAGGACGCCATGTCGAGTTCCGACGATGACGATCAGGGCCCAAATGCTGGCGCGGACGAGATGGACGGCGAGAAAGAACTGCAGAAGGCTGCAAAGGCCGAGAGGGCTACAAAGCGGAAGGCCAAAGATGCCCTCACATCGACTGCAGCTCTACGAAAACGACCAAGGATCGATCCGACTGCCCCAAAGTCTGCACCGAAGAAGCCATCCAAGAAGAAAGAGCGAGTCACATGGCTGCCAGATCTGAACAACACTGGTGGACGCACCTCACTACGGAAGCAGACTATCCAACACCGAGCAACAACCATAGCACGGTTGAAGCAGAGCGAGGCTCAGAGCAAGATCACCAAGAAGATTCGCGAGGAACGTGATCGGGAGCGAGCACTGAACGCGCCCAAGGCCATGACGCAGGCCGACAGACTCGCTGAAGCTGAGCGGACTGAGCGCAGGAACGCCAAGAGTCTCAACCGATGGGAGGCGACGGAGAAGAAGCGGAACGAGGAACAGGCTGCGAAGCTGGCGGCGTTGAAAAATCGGAAGCTGGAAGGCCCCGTGATTAGCTGGAGGAGTGCAAAGTCCAAGTACAGGCCGCCCAAACAGGCGCCCTCGCTGCCTTCCTTTGACATATACACCGAGGACGGACTGAAAAAGAGGGGTAGGAAAACTAAGGAGCAGCATGCGGAAATGGCAAGAGTCCGGGAGATGCAGTTGCAGGGAGTTGGTGGTGAAGGGCAAGGTACGAGCATGACGCCTCAAGTTCCCTTCACAGCGCCGCCGGGCACTTATCCTGCTGCTTCGCCGGTGCCGCCGGCGCTTCCGTTGCCTACGCAGGGCATACCTCAGGAATGGCTCGGGCCGCCACCACCCAGGCCAGGGTCTTCAGGTATGATGCTGCCTCCAACTCGACAGCCGTCAGCCAGCGTCGCTCAGAGCCCTTCCCAACCGACGGAGATCGCTGCCGCTGTCGATATGCACAATTCGACAGGCACTACACACCAATCCACCCCTACGAACGATGCCTCTTTCCTGCATGGAATCTTTGACTATGCGAACCAGGAAGGGGATCCAGAGGGAAGCAAGTCTACCACAGCCGATGCAACAACTCCAATGAAGCCAGTATCAGCCCTGGGGGAAGAGCAGCAGTCTACCGCAACGGCGCCAGCGCCATCCTCGGAGCTCAACACATCGTCTGCACAGGTGGCTAATGCCGAGCACGCCGAGACTAAGCAGCCAGTACCTCCCGCGACAGCGCCATCTGCAACAACACCTGCCGATGCAGAAGCACCGAGTGCGCCAGGTCAAGATGCAATGAACGGGGTCCAAGTAGCCCAGCCTCAGTTATCGGCTGCCACTCCGATACAGCCAGTCCCAAACGCAATAACACCACCTTCATTCCCACAGCAGGCCCCCCGACCATCAATCGAGATCCTCCCCAGCATACCCACACCGACCACCCAACCCTCCCAAACACCGTCCGTCCCGCCAACCCCAGCCTCACCCTCCCACCCAACCGAAGAAATATTCACAACCCGCAACCTCCTAACCCTCAACTCCTTCGACACCCTCCCCTCCACCCTCCAAACCAAGTATTCCGTATTCTTCAACACCAGGAAGAACACCACCAAACCCACTCGCCACAAAGCTGAGATCTGCCCCATCACGATGCTGCCGGCCAAGTACCGGGATCCGGCCACAGGCATCGGGTATACGAATATGCATGCGTATCGGGTGTTGAAAGAGCTGGGGGAGAAGAAGTTTGTGTGGAGTGGAATGTTGGGGTGTTATGTGGGGAGGGAGGGTGGCACGATTGCGAGGGGGTGTGTTGAGGGGTTTAGAGGTTGATGGTATCCCCTTGTCGGGGATGATGGATTGGGCGTGGAAGTAGGAGGTTCGATGTCTAGGCTTTGTGGCAGCAGTGCTTCTGGAAGCCTCCTGTCTGCGATTGCAACAAGACCAGGTGGCTTAGTACAAAGATATTCATACTTCGCGATCAGTAAGCAACCTTCCCCGTCGCCCGAACTCTTCGATTCATGCCGTCCACGCGCAAGCAGGACTCCCGACTTCCACCTCACATTGCAACCGTGAACATCACTCATCACGAGATCCTCAATACCCGTCCCATCAAAGCCACGAGCCATCGACACCCAACAGACTCATCAACCCAAGCGTTGTCCGCAGCTCATTTAAGACATTCCAGATCTTTGCTTTCAGCTCAGCGAGCGTGACTGTAGCTTCTGCTGGTACCGTTGCTGGCTGCTCTGCCACTGGTCTGACACGTGGGATACGTGCGAGCTGCGCTTCGACATCCTCGTTTTTGTCTACGCCGCTGGAGGTATTCATGGTCCTAGGTAGGGCCGCTTGTGATCGAGGGAATTAGAGATGTGAAGTGAGCACAACATGGAGGGGTGTGTGGCTTCAAATGTATTCGCTGCCACAGCCAGAAAAATCAGCCCTGTCGTACATGCTCTACCGATACGAGAAGGGGCTTGTTCTGGCAAGTTCGCCCAGCAATAAGATCAGAACGCGGGAGTGGAATCCCTATCTTCGGCAAAGCATGATGAACGTTGATACGGCAGGATCTTAGTCACTGCAGAACCGCCCTCTGCAGCAGGACTGCCCCATCTATCTACAACGCCTTCTCATCAACGTTCACCCCCTTCCCACCACCAACCTCCTTACCCTCCATATCCTCCGCCACCCCATGCGCCCGCTTGTTCCCCTCGACACTACTACTATCCCTCACCTCCTCGCCCTCAACGACCCGATTATCCTCCGGATCCTCGCCTGGGCGGTAGTAGTTCTTGGGCTCGTGCCAGCCGTGCAGCATGATTTCGGGCTTCTTGATCAGGTTGCAGACCCAGAAGGCGAGGAAGGAGACGATCAGGCCTAGGGGGTAGGCTACGTAGTAGGCGCGGCGGACGCCGAGCTGGTTGTGGTGTTAGTGTCGGACCTTAGAACAGGGAGGCAGGAAAGATTAGAAGGGCAAGGAAGCGACTCACAGGCATGGAAACACCCATACTCCCCAAGAACCCCGCAAAGTTCGGGCAGATCGCCAACACATACGCGACGTATGCGCGAATGTTCCAGCCTTTGGTGTAGTAGTAAGCCCCGTCGCGTCTCGCGGTGAATAGGTCGTCAATGCGATAATACCCACGAGCAATGAGCCAGTAGTTGCACATCAGCACACCCGTGATTGACGAGAGGAAGACTTGATATGAGGCCAGGAAGTTGATGAACACTGATGCCGAGCCCAAGAGGTACCACGGGTTGATCAACACCGAGATGACTTGGCACAGGTACATGCCGGTCTTGATAGAGATGTATTTGGGCATCAAAGCCGCGTAGTCATTGCCTGCCGGGATAGAGTTCTCAAAGACAGATGAAAAGACGGCGGAGTACGCAAACATAAACGCGATGAAGAACACTCCGGCACGGTTTCCTGGGGTGTAGTTGTTGGACTGGATGCGGTCGAGGTAGGTAAGAGGGTTCCATTCGAGCTCGCCGAGAACGATGACGGACGAAGACGCGACGATGTTGCCCACCAGGCAGACAGTCAGATCAGCCAGAGGGAAGCCGACGATATTGCCGAGGATGACATCGTTAGGCTTCTTTGCGTAGCGCTGGAAGTCGGAGGCGTTGCTGGCGAAGGTGGCGCAGCTACCGGCTGCAAGGAAGAGGAAGCGAACCATTAGCCATGCCTTCTCCTTGCCGTGGACTTTGGAGGGCTGGCTGACGACAGGACCGGCACCGCCGGCAAGTGTCAAGCACCACGCTAGCATGGCGACGGCGCTGGCGAGGTAGACAACCAGCTTGATGTAAATCAGGATGCGCATCTTGGGAATCGGAACCGTGAGCTGCGAGACTTGTTAGCGTTGTCTCCGGAAAGGACTGTAAGCTCGAAGGTAAAATTGTAAGGTAGACGAGAGCACGCCTCCGCCATCGCGAGACACATGCTCGGGCAACCTTCAAGGTGGCGCTCATTTCCTGATACGACTCTGGCTATGGGAGAGCAACTTACAAAGACGCAGATGACCAGGTAAAAGATGACATAGCCGATGAAGCCGCCAGAGTCCAGCGCAGAGCCTTTGCCCATGATGTTGGGGAGGGTGGCGATGCCGGGAAATATGGCGTGCAGCATGGCGTAGACACATTGACCTCCTTGGACGCCGTTGACGCCGTTCCAGACTGTAGCCATGACTGCACGATTGAATGTAGGCCACCAGCCGCCGAAGACACCAAAGGCGGCGCGGCAGTTGATCGGGAAGCCGACATGGTATACGGCGCCTGCTCTGCCGTTAAGGACGAAGATGGTGGCGATGAGGATCCAGCCGGCGATTTGGCAACCTAGAACTTCCCACATGTTCAGGCCAGTGGACTGAGCGGCGGAGCCACCGTACCATGTTGCGACTGAAGTTTGTTAGCTTCGTCTAGAATGTCAGGGCCGTATGGTCATCTCACCTGTGGCAACGGCAGAGAACCAGAAGGTGAAGTATGTTCGCTGCGTCCATGTACGGTCCTTGATGGCAAGCGGACGAATGTCATCGTTGTCGAGCCATGCATCGCGGCCTTCAACTTCGGCGCCCTCGACTGTCTTAGCAGCCAGCCTTCTCTTCAAACCTCCAGCGAAGCCCATCTTGCTGAGGATGTGCTTTGATTGGCAAGTAGGACGGTGAAAGCTGTTTCTGCGGAGGCCGAACACAGTTGTGCAGTGAGGATGAGATCCCTCTGAGCCTGATGGCCATGCCGATATGTAGTATTACATTGCGATTGCTCTAATCCGCCGAGTTGATGGTGTGATGGGCCAAGTCCGATGCGCAGATAAGGATCTGGAGTATTTGGGTTTCATGGGTCCCCCAAGACAACACTTATGATAATCTTCATGCAGGACAATGCCTAGAAGCTGGTATTCAGCGGCAAGCAAGTCCGGTCGGTATGGTGGGAGAAGATTGTCGTTGCTTAGGCACGGCCATGCATAGCCGTTATCTTGGGGTCTTCCCAGTGCCCCCAAATGGTGGGCTTTCGTGGGCATTCCTAAGCCGAAACGAGCAGCCGAGAGCCGAAGCCAAGGCGCGAGATACTGAACCGGCATGACCCCCAAAACAAGGGTCTATAGTCTTTCGCTCTGGGAGCAACTGCTAGGGGCACCTAGCCATTGAGGATCGTGTTTGCACCTGTTCTTGAGGTCAATGGTGCTTGGGGGCCTTCTCACACTCACATTTGACGGGAACGGCCGTCGGTACTGGCCGGTGAGAGATACGCCGAAGTGCACAGGCTCTCAACTGCTATGTGAGCATTTGCTGCTGGGGTGCGGAAGAACTCCCGGTACCCCCAAATCTGGGGGTCTTTCTGCAGTATATTGTGGGGATATCCGGCCATTGATAAGGCAGACATAAACACGGCATCCAAGTATACCAAGGATTCGTACGAAGCTAGTCAGCAACATACACCTAACTGATCATGTCGACGACAATAACGGAAGTCGCACCAGCGGCCAGCGCGCCAGCAACCACGCAGCTCGAGTTGATGACAGCGTATGGCCCAGTCTTTCGAACGGTCTCAACAGCAGATCCCCGAGATTCTCTGCCGGGTGAAATTCCAGTGATTGACCTGAGCACAATCTATGACGGTCCAGAGGCTAGAAAAGCTCTCGCTGTCGGCATCAAGAAAGCTGCCGAGGACATCGGGTTCTTCTACATCAAGAACCACGGCATCAAGGAGGATGTCATCCAGAAAGCTGAAGATCAAGCATGGAGGTGAGACTAGATTCCCCGACAGCACAGTTCCCGAGCTCACACCTGCAGATTCTTTCGCCAAAGTAGAGAGGAGAAGATGAAGGTGGCGAAGCAAAAGTCGAAGTTCTTCAATGGCTGGGCTTCTGTCGGATCAGGCAAGATCTCGCCAAGCGAGTCAAGAGACAAGAAAGAGGGCTTCCAGTGGAAGTACGATCCAAGCATCGATCCAGAATACAAGGATCCGAGTAAGGTGCCACAAGAGGTGAAGGACTGGATCAGATCCGAGGAGTTTGTCTGGGAAGGCACCTCGCATCTGCCGGAATTCAAAAACGACGTGTTGGAGTATTGGCGCTCGACTCTGACACTGGCTAGGCAGCTGATCAAGGTGTTTGCAATCTGCCTTGATCTGCCAGAGGATTACTTCAACGACCTCACGTCGTATCCAGGAGCTGACGGCGTATTCAACTACTACCCAGGACTGTCGCCAGAATTGGCGCAAGGCAATGGCCCAATTGATGTCGGCCTGGGAGCGCACACAGATCTGCAGTGCTTGACCATCCTGTGGCAGGACCAAGTGGGCGGCCTCCAGGTACTCAACAACCACGGGGAGTGGATCAAGGCTCAGCCCATCGCCAATACTTTCGTCGTAAATATCGGTGACTTCTTGATGAGGATGTCCAACGGCCGACTCAAGTCCACCGTCCATCGCGTCTACAACAGGACAACGCAAGACCGATTGAGCATGCCGTTCTTTCTGGGATTTAACTTCAATGAGAAGTGCTCGGTGTTGCCGACATGCACAGATGAGAAGAACCCTCCACAATATGAACCGATATCGTGCGGCGAGGTAAGCCAACAAGTCATTCCTGTCACGACATTAGCTAACATCAGGCAGTGGTGTCAGCTTCGATTTGAGAGAGCGATGATTTCAGCTGCCGCAGCATGAGTCGATCCGACATGGAGGAGACCTTTGATGCCATCTGCAAGGGCAATTGATGGATGTTGTCAAGACAACCCTTCAGAGTAGAAGTTGGCGCACGTTGGTACGAAGGAGCGACAGTTACCGCCGTGACGAGAAGGTCGGGCTCAAAGCAGAATACTCCAATAGCCAGTAGATCGCCAACCACATGTGCAATCGTTGGAGTAATTATAAGCAATGCTTGACGTCCTGCGCGATTCGCAGCAGATACACTGCGGTCGTCGTGATAGCTGCTCCAGTCGGCTGTAGATAAATTAAAGTCGGCAAGCGCGTCCATCGATCCTGCTGCATGGGAACAAAATCGAAAGAGTTCAAGAACGACAGGAGCAGATGATCGCCAAGCGTTCAGCCCTATGATTGTTATTCGCTCCTCCTACTTTACTATCGGCTCTCTTTCTTTCCGATACAACCCACTCATCAAGGCAACAACAACAATCATACTTGGGACGTGAAAATGTACTACGCATGGTTGTCATTGGATCGTTGGCGCGATCAGCCATATCATATCTCTGAGGCACTCTCGGGCTGGTAGAGTTGGACGAATATAAATGTGTACTGAGCCGTACATTGGCTAGCGTTTGTCCATGGACGGTGCGAAGCCTTTTCGGAAGCGGACAAGAAGCCGGAAGATCTCGCAAGTAGATGGCGAGGAGATCATTGCTTATGACCGCCCTCATGTTTGTCGTATCGGCAATTGTGGGAAGAGCTTCACCCGGCGAGAGCATTTGAAGAGACATCAGCTCAATCATGCGTCCGCTCAGTGGTCATGCACGAGCTGTGCTGCATGCTTCACTAGGAAAGACCTTTACCAGCGGCACATATCTGTCAGCGCTGGCTGTGCGCAACATGGCCACAGCAACGCTGCTGAGCTATCGGAGCCGTCAGTAGAAGCAGTCGAAAAGTCTCCTCAACTACTGCGTCCAACCAGTGTTCACACCGATGTCACGCAACAGGACGCAGATCATGACTCCCCACCCAGCTTGTCTCAGCAGGGGATACTCTGCCTACATTCTGGTCGGATGACATAGACCAGTGGAACTTCCAGGTCAATAACAGCCAGCCAACCTTTCTGAATGACACCGACCTCGACTGGTTCTGGCAAGATTCGCTCGTTCCGCTTGAGCTGCCTTCGGACCAAGTGGTGTCGCCCGGATCCCTTCGGTCCATTCCTCTTTCCTGGACTACCTTTCCTCAGGAACGTGACGAGCATGGCCACTATCCGCCGCCTAGATACTTGCAGGAGTCGAAGTCGAAGCTGTTGGTGACCAAGGGAGGTGATGTTGCCGCACCAAATTGTGGATTTCCCATATGCAGCGCACTCACGCAAGACAAACGTGTCGAACTGCTGATGGATCTTCGCGACCTCATGACCATTGATGCACGAGATCCAATATTCTCGCTCAACAGTATGAAGCAAGGCATACATCTCTATTCACGAGAGATCGCCACGGAGTACTGTTTCATCCACCGGGAGCTATTTTTCATCTACGACCGGGACAACATCCGAGAGGCGTTTCTTGAGGTGCTCGGAGAACAATCTGGTCCGGAACTGCTTTGGGCGATCATTTCCTTTGGATGGGCATTTATGCGCAGTCACGACCATCATCAGACCCGTGTCGCGGGAGACATACAGCGCGCATTGAGAGCGAAGGTGCTCAGTCACCCTAGACTGGCCTCGAGTCCGCCGCTGTGGCTCGTGCAGACTCTCTTCCTCATACTGCTCTTTGCTAGATACCAAGGCGGAGCTGAAGAGTACGGCGCTGCATCACTATTTCACGGCGTCTTGCTAGGAGCGGTTCTGCGACTTGACAGAGGCTCCAGGACTATGTCGGTGCAACAGGGTTCAGAGCAGTCGTCAGCAGCTCGCGAGTATGCGAAGTGGGTGGAGGCTGAGTCTGTGAGGCGACTGATTGTTCAAGTCTTCGTCATGGATGTCAAAAATGCCTTACTATTTGGTGGTGAGCCTTTGATGTCGTTCAGAGACATGATGGACCTCCGGATACCAAGCGATACAGACGCTGCTTGGTACGCTCAGAGTATGGAAGAATGGCACGCCATGATGTCCGCTCGTCCAGAGTCACTTGCAGATCATGCAGCACAGTCATTCGTTGGCCTCTTGAAGGACCTATGGCAGTCCCGATCGACGGATGGAGGATCAAGCATGCGTTCAATCACCCTGATGTACGGTATTCTGTCTATTGCCAGGGAGCTTGTGCGCCGAGACGACACCATCGTTGCTACCACCAAACCAGCTCGGACCTCCGCTCTAGCGCTTACGGTCGAGCGTTCGCTTACGATCTGGGAGCAGTCATGGCTCAAAGCGGTCCACGACACTGAGATACCATGGATGCTGCCAACTTGCACTTGCCTCTTGACACTTGCAAGATATACGCTGTTCGAAGTCTCTCCGGTAGATTTGCAAGTTGTTGCCGGCGGACACGTTGTAGATGGAAAACGCAGAGGTCGAGCAGACTACGCGAACGCGCTACGAAAGGTCAAGGCCTGGGCTAAGGACGATCGAGGTTTGAAGGGCCTGTCGGGAGCCGCGAAGATCATCCAGAGTCGTCTCCGCGGCGACCATGTCAAGAAGCATTGTCAACACTGTCTGTGGTGTCTGGTCCTAGCTGCCTTGATGTGCTGGAATTTCGAATTTGTCACAAGCAGTACCATGAGCCCTGCAGACTTTATACAGGACGGAAAACTGCGCTCACTGGAAGCAGCGCAGCAGCAATGCCAACAGTATCTCGAAGTGGCCGCGGACCGCATACAGCCTGTACAGCCTGCATCCATCATACCTAGTACCGTCGGCACCTTGGTCATGGTTACTCGATATCTCCAGGACTCTGTCGACATCGGCATGCTCCGTGAAGGCATCGAGCTGCTCCGACGGCTGACGGGAATCAAAGAGTGAACAGATACTGCTTTCACAGTTTGGGGGCACGATCTCAGTATAACGCACATGTACTGGTGCTGCGACATGACAAAAAGCCACACCGGATTGGCTGGCGTCTATCGCACTGGTCAACAATCTACTGTGGGGGCGCCGAGAGATCGCCGTTGGGGGTCATGCTCAGGGTCTGAGTCTCCTCTGATAACACTAATCATGCACAGGCATACCGAGCTAACACGCGACTTGGCTTTTCTGGACCTCAACTTGTTCACGCAAGTGGTTGTATACGCCGGCTCCTTGGCAATGGATCCGACATGTCGCTACCCACGTGCTGGGAGCCGCCATCGACCCCCATCTAGCTCACAATGGCCAAGTCCGCACAGTACGCGGGCTGGGTGGGCGACCTGCTCCGCTCCTTCCTATCAGGTTCACAGGTACTCACGGACCGTAGCAACGGAGCAAGATCCTGGCCAAGGCCGTCAGAGTAGGAACGCTTGCGGCATCGGCTGGTGAAGCGGACATCGCCCGTGATGCTATAAGAACAATCATCCGCTGCAACACGTCCTTGGCGTCGAAGCAGACGGGAGCAGGCACCGGAGGATGAAGGCTCATGTGAAGACGTCGTTGGCATTGGGCCTGGCTCTTACCTCGAACATATTCCTTCTTGGTCCGTCAGTATTGGTTGGAGCACAATCTATCTCCCTAGATGACATACCCTCTGTCAACAGCTCAGTCGTCACCAATTATGTCAAAGCTCGCTCGGAATATATCGCAAGCGAGAAGGAGATCCGGCAAGGTGAGTTTCCATGGCACTCGAGCGGGGGCCTGGCCCCAGGCTGCTGGCATATACTCACTAAAGCTCAGACCATGCATTCCGACAGAAGCTCTCCCCGGTAGCGATCCAAGCAAATGACATCGTGGCCAAAATCCGGCAATACGAGATCGACAATGTCTGGAGGCAGCCAGCTCCGCTTGGAGAAGAGGACTCAGAGATGTTTGCCGGAATGATGTTCCCCAAGGCTCGTGCAACCATCTTGGAGACGGACTTGTGGAAAGTGGTGTCGCGAATGCCCAAGGGATCATTGCTGCACGCCCATCTAAGTGCTATGCAACCCTTCGACGTGATGCTGCAAGCCGTTTACGACACCGAGGGCATGGTGATCAGCACATCGGAGGCACTAACCACTGATATTGCTCGAGACAATGCTGCTATCACGATGCGACACGTGAACACAACAGTCGAAGCTGCATCGGTCTTTCTCCACGAGGAAGGATACGTTGCTGAGACAGAGATTCCATTCAAACAAGCTGCGGAAGCGCACCCAGGCGGGAAGGACGCTTTTTTTGCCTATCTGAAATCGCGACTTGTCCTTGCTCCTGAAGAAAGCATTCGCCACGACTTGGGCGTCGACGCAATCTGGAGGACTTTTGAGTCTCTCTTCGGGGTATCCGGCAACTTCCTGGGCTACGAACCACTTCTCCGGACATACTACCGGAACCTGCTCTCCGGACTCGTGGACGACAACATCTCTTGGGTTGAGATCCGACACGGCTGGTCGCCAGGGCTTGTGCCGGAGGGTCAGGAAGAAGATAGTCCGGACCTCGACTTCTTCTGGCGCGTCACGGTAGAAGAAATTGCTCGTTTCCAAGCCACTGAAAAGGGCAAAGACTTCTGGGGAGTAAGATTCATCTGGGCGGATCTTCGCGGCCTGAACAGGACACTCATCGCCAACAACATGATCAATGCGCTCGAGATGAAACTCGCCTTTCCGGAGCTTATTTCGGGGTACGATCTCGTTCAGCAAGAAGACCTCGGCGCGCCACTGATTGAGCTCGCACCCGAGCTGATCTTCTTCCAGGAGCAAGCGTCCGCACTGAACGTCACGATGCCCTTCTTCTTTCATGCCGGCGAAACCTTGGGAGACGGCAATGCGACGGACAATAACCTCTTTGACGCCCTGCTCTTCGATTCACGCCGCATTGGGCATGGGTTTAGCTTGCACAAACATCCTCAGCTCCTGAAGGACGCTATCGCGAATCATGTTATGGTTGAGGTCTGTCCTATCTCCTCAGAAGTGTTGAGGTTAGCGACAGATATTCTACATCATCCCATCACTGCGATGATCAATCACGGTGTTGCGACGGCAATCAGTAATGATGATGCGAGCATGATGGGACAGGATGCGCCTGGGTTGAGCTTTGATTTTTACCAGGTGATCCAAGCGAGTGACAATCTGGGACTGGCAGGACTCGGGGCGTTGGCGGAGAACAGTGTGACATGGTCGAATTTTGAGGATCAGGGGCATCTTGAATGGGTGAAGGACATTGAGGCTGGTGTGAGTGGAAATGGCATCAAGGCCATGAGGCTGCAGCAATGGCATGAGCAGTGGGAAAGCTTTTGCCAGTGGGTCGTGGATGAGTTTGGGGAGCAGTATTCGTAGATGACGAAGCTGTTATGCCATGACTAGGTGCTTGCTTCACAGAAGCCGCTCTTCTGGCGAAGAAAATCGACGCATGAAACGAATCTCTTGCTTGACACAACAGGTGCTCGGCGTGGGCCAATACTTCCACCGCTCAGCGCTGCGGCTAAGCCGACGCATCCTCAACTCTCGCGGCACCAGGTCGGTCCGCGGCGCCTTGCCCGATGATTGTTCTGCGCTTCTCAGCCAGTAGAGTGACTTCTGGTACTCGAGAGCCGTGATGAATGGCATTTCCATCTTCTCTTGGACCACTCTTTTGTCGCGTACCTGGGCAGATTTGATGACAGACCACAGCCACCAGATCAAATACGTGAGCAGTGTCAAGGGAACCGTTACCGCTGCGTAGAGCGCGAGACGGGAGCGCCATGTATCGTGGGGGGCATTCGGAGCATGTGGATCGTCAGGACCGCTTTGCACATCATCATAGGTTGGAATGTCATCTTGCCAGTCGAAGAGCGGCATGCTGAACAGCGAGGCAACGAACGTGGCAGGTAAGAAGCACACGCTGATGACGGCCAAAATGTGCATACTGGCGGAGATCTGGCGAGACGCGAGGGCGATCGCACGAGCGTCGCTGGCCACTTTGTTGCTGGTATTTGCGTCATCTGCAGAGATGAGGTGAAGGACCTGTACACGGCAGTCAGTACCTAGGTACGAAGACGTTCTTGGTGGCATCGGCTAATAAGAGCGACGGGAACCGCGGACTTACGGCTTCACGCTGTGTGTTGATTCGACATCGAGTGTATTCCAGGTCCAGCTCTTGCAGGTCCATCTGACGCCTCACAGAATGTAGCTGCTTCTGGACTTTGACCCTGTCCGACGGCATCTCCCCAGTCGTCACGCTCGTTGAGACGTTGTCATCAACAGAGCGGGCCATCTCAGCGTCCTCATCGAGAGCGAAGCTGATCAGCTCCCTAATAATGCCGAGTTTCCTCGTGGCTGACGCTGCTCTGGTGACGGACCCACTCATGGCTGCAGCAAGATTGCATAGATCTCCCAAGGCGGGAGGCTCCACGCGGGTATAGAACCGATGGTGCCCTGTGCGCACCTCGACCTCTCTGACAACGCTCTTCAACTCGGTCAACCGCTGGTCTATCTCAAAGCGGCTCAGCTGTGCGCACAATAGCGCAGGCACCACCTCCGTGCCCGCTAGACGTTGAAAGTCCGGCTCTTTGAGCAGCGTCTGAAATATGTCAATTTTAGCTTGTTCAGCAATGCAGACCAAGCTTGTGGGCAGTCTGGAGCCGGAGGTCGACCACATGAGAATGAGTCTCGGGTGGTTAGAAAAGCAATGGAAGCGGACGGTGTCGATGACTTTGCTGCCCAAAGCCGAATACGATGCCTTCACTTTGAAGAGTACCTGTCGAAAATGAAGGGCATGTATCAAGTCCTCGAAGCTTGCCTGAGGGACCCGAACTTCTCTGGTCTTCGACTCGTACCTGATCCAAGCAACTCGCAGCACACATCGGATGCTGTTGTCTTTGCTGACACCTGCGGAGATGCCTCGTTGATATTTGTCGGTATATCGAAGCCACTGCGCGATGTCACCGCTGTTTTCGCTCAATGGCCGCGTGACGTGAGTCAGTGGTCCGGTGGTAATGTCATGCCAAATTGACGAAATGACGATAGGGTCGGTCGGCGAGAACGTCCAAGTACCCCAGACAGATTCAGTCATAATGCTGCTTCGGACAGAATACTCATGTACGAATCCAGTGCACTCATGTACGAATCCAGTGCAGTCGTGCTTAAAAGACACCAATCCCGTCCATATAGTGATTTATATCAGCTGGGTAGCAGGCGACAGCGGACTCGGACTGAGCGACTGCGAGTCCAGCACGCACGAGATATTGGAACTAATACAATGAGCTGCTTAGATACTGGCTAAGCGGCCTGCGGAGGCCGCCAGACGGTCGAAGACCGTGCTGTTGTTTCATTTGGCGCCGGCCATCGAGCGACGAGAAGCCTTGGCAGGCTCCAAAAGGAGACCGACATGAACGGTTCTCCGACGTGCCGTGTGCAAAGACGACGCACATAGACCGCAGCATCATGGATGTGGCGCCATCAGTCTCCTGCTTCACCCTGCTACTATCATCGAGAGCAGGTTATAGGCTTGGCGCCAAGGGTTTGGTAGAAACCAATCTTGGAAATCTCGCCTTCCTGCTGGGTGGCGCTATCGAGCTTGTATGCTGCATAAGCGGCAGTTGCGTTGGCTAGCTTCTCAACACTGGTACAGTCACCCGTGCCGTTGTCGAAAAGCTATATCAATGTCGAGATTTCCGAGTAGATCTGGTTGAATCGCCGGAGGGCCACAGCTCGAGATCTTTTCTTTGAGCCGACACAAAGAGTCAACCTTGACTCTGTCTGCGACGTCGTAGGTTGTGATTTCATCTTCTTCTCGAAAACTTATGCTCCAACGGCAAAGACGCATCAGAAGCTCACACTGACCGTTAAGAAACGCGCTTTCCAACATTTCATACGTTACCTCATCGCGATTGACACAAAGCTGATTCATTGCCAAGAGCTGCTCAACGGCAGAGCATACATTGGAAATGCTGTGCTTGTTTCGAAAGCTGGCAAGATCTGTGGTGCCGCCGGGTTGAATCCTAGGCGGTGTTGAATGCAACAAGTGCCAAATGGATCTGGTGACAAGGCAACTATCTGTCGCCAAATAAGGTTGAGCATTCACGGCAAAGCCGCGCCTCGCTTCGTCGTGGCCAGCTCGAAGACGCTCAAGATCTAAAGATGCCCCTCGTAGAAACACAGCTCTGATGCGCTGCTGCTCGTAGTGTTGTACATAGTCGTCGGAGGGCACGGTGGCCAAGAGGCAATTGGGAACAGTGCGGATGGCCAACATATCAAACGCAGTCTGACCAGATCTCGACTTCTGTATAATGACAGTGTCGCGCACAGATAGCATGGTGCGATGGCCTTGTCGGTTAGGAACGTACATAATGCCGCGTTCGTCGGCGAGGTAGTGCAGTATCGCCCCATTGATATCCAGCTTCCGTAGGAGGCGCAATCTGCACAAGCGCCGTACCTGCGAGATGGTCGGGAGAAGATCCGGATTGCGAAGGACTTTCTGCTCGAGTACATGCTTGAAGCAACGCAAGTGCGTCTTCTCGATATGCACCGTGCGAAGCCAGTGACTACTGGCTATTTGTACCTGAAGCTCGTCACGTGCTGCGTCAGACCAACGCCGCCGCTCTTGTCCTGGTAGAGACCAAGTGGCGCGCAGGTTGTCATCAGAGATAGTCTGCTTATCTCGCGTACTAAATGCCAGACCAACGAGACATTTGGTGTATCTGATAAAATCCGGAAGTAGCCGGTATAGATCGCGACATGTGTGGATAAGGCACGGTTCTAGAGCGGTGTCAAACACCTGCTTGATGAGCTCTGGCGGGAGTTTGAGCAAGGGGAACGTAGTAGGTAATTGTGAGGTCTCGCATTGCGAGGTAGGATCGGCCAGAGTCGCGTCCGACATGACGGGCTGCTGCGAAAGATTATAATGATACTGTCAGATATACATGCTTTGAGAGATGCCGTTGTGATGACTCGGAGTTCAGCAGACGCGTTTACCAACGCGCCAAGCCAATTCTAGGTGACGTCATACGATCATGCAAGAGACCTCAGGCTTCCATGAACAACAAACACACTTCCAAGTACCTTGGCAATAGCACGTTTCTATCAGTCCGACACGGACTGGTACGGACTAATTAAAATGTGCTGCCCTTCGGCTCGAATTTGATCGAGGTGTCTCCAACCAGCATTGGACCCGGGCAGGGCGGACTTTGTCGAGAAGTGCGCTACTTGCCTCGTGTTTCTGCATTATGATCTGCCGATCAATAGTAGGAACTCATGACCTTCCGGCAGATCTCCCAATGGCCACTCCAGACCAGATTGCTTCGCAGCGTTCAGAGCTTGCACGGGTTCTTGGTGATCGACATAGAACTTGGTATCGGCGCAAGACTTCACTCCTGTTTCCGCTCCAGACTCTCCGAACAAAGACCCCCTAAGCTTCGCCTCGCGAACATACACGATCGGGCAGCTTGCCATAGTCGTCGCAGCATACTTTTGAGTCATCGACAAGTTGACCTTCTCTAGCCCGTGGCCGAAGGCGCGCAGTGCTGCTCTGATCGCAAAAGGATGCGAGCTAAGGATACCGAACGCTTGTTCCTCTCCCTGCTCCTGCTCTTGCAATTTTCGCAAAAGCTGCAGCAGATGTTAGCATAGGAATACAGTTGTCACTTTAGACTTTACCTCTGTCGCGATTCTAAGATTCCGATAGTATGAAGAAACGACCAGCTGAGCGATCCAGCACATTCTCCGGCCTTGGTGTACCCAGCGCGTAGCGAAGACGTTCCCGACCAGTTTCTCACCTTTCACAGCCCTGATGTAGATATTATCGGCACCAGGCGGGAGGCATTGCTGCTTAAGGCGAATGCTACTCATTCGGATTCGACGACCAGCTTTGGCGAAGGTTCCGAGCTTCGACGAGGCCTGAAGTCCCCATACACCATAGTTCTCAGAGAAAAGCCTAGCGGCATCCGTGAGGATTGGCTCAGAGATCTGATCACCACGGTAGATCTGATACTCAAAGCTCATGAGTGGCTCCTGCGATGATTTCGGGTTGATCAATACCTGCGATGCAATAGGAATGGGAGACTCGAGGCTGTTCTTCGTCCACGTGTCAGGCTGGCACCACTCTCGCTGGACGCATCAGAGAAGCCGCGGTGACGCTCGGCGGAGGCCGAATCGATCGGATGCGAAGGCTGAAGTGACGCGATGGCGAGACTAATCTGACAGAACAAAACTGAGAATTTGATGTGGCAGAGAGGTTTGTTGATTGCAACAGACTGACCCGCGATAGAGGAAAGAAGACTCTGGTGGAATCATCAAGTCTGGAACGAGATTGCTATAGCGCGGTCGAAGTGCATAAAGAACAGTAACAGTACCAAGGAGGTCTCTGCCGAAGTGTGAGTCGTGGATAATCGACCACTTGTCCTAAATGTTCATCGCGACAACTCTGAGCTGAGCGTTAGGTTCCAGTGGAGGACTTTTGCCTCTATCCGCCTCAGGTGCGAAGTTTGTGGACCTCGCATGCCTTGGCACCCATCTCAGCTTCAATTCAACATCTATCATACAAATGGGTGCCTTGAAATACGTCATGGTTAGCAGGTAATCCCTACCTAAGTGAGTGGGCGCAATCCAGGCTGTCATGATCGTATTGCCAACGCCAAGATCAGTTTACTGTACGGCTCCAAACCATCGATTCAGCAGAAAGAGTTCGAATTTTCCTTTGGATCGTCTCATCGAGGTTGTATGAACAAGCAGACGAAGGTGAGCGCCACGACCGTTGATGCACTCATGGGATCGAGCTGGAACGACGCCACTGTCATGCAGGAACGTGGCAAGATAAACACCATCAAACACCATCAAACCTTGCCTCGTTGCCAAGTCAGTTTCGCCATGCTCGGCCATGTAAGTGGTCCAAGATGTTCTCAGGCTTGTGTCCATGTCTATGTTTGATGGTAGACCGCATAATGAACACTAGTTTATAAGCTCATGAGGGTTTGGCCGGAAGCGCATGATGCCTCATTGCCTTTTCGTGGTGGACCGGGAGCGACGCAGCGCCCTCACTCTCGCGGGATCGCGAGAGACGGCAGGCTTGCGACGCATTGCGGCCGGCGATCCGGCCGAAGACGAGCGACCGCATCACCGGCACGGCGTTCGGCGCCATGCCGTAGAAGTGCCCGGTGATCTCACCGGCCGCGTAGAGTCCGGGGATCGGTCCTTTCGCGTCGAGGACGCGCGCCTCTATGTCGGTCGCAAGCCCCCCGAAGGTGTAGACGATGGCGCCCACGATCGGAAACGCGAAGAACGGCGGCTCGTCGACCGGCCGAGCCCAGTTGGATTTCGGCGGCGCAAAGCCTTCGGCGGTGCCGACCCGATCGAGCCGGGTGGGATCGAAACCAACACGCTCTTCGCGACAGGCCGCGTTGAACGTGGCGATCGTCGCTTCGAGAGCATCGCTCGCCACGCCCAGCTTCGAGGCGAGGTCCGCGACGCTTTCGGCGCTGATTGGAGGCACGTCCGTGCGGATCGCGTTGCGATATCCCTCGATCCGCGTGGCTTTCGCGTCCACGATCGTCCAGGCGGTGCGCCCCGGACATTCGAAGTGGATAGTGCGGCAGAGGCGCTCCCATGTGGTATGCACCAGCCCCTCGCCTTCGTCGAAGAACCTCCGACCGGTCCCGTCGACAACAATCCCGTACGGGTAGGCGAGAACCAGGGCGGCAGGTCGCGCGCTGCGTGGGTCGACGGGCTCGATATGCATGCCCGTCCAGTCCCCGGACCGTTTTGCGCCGACGTCGAGCGCCATACGGATGCCGTCCCCCGCGTTCCACGACGTGCCCGGCGAAATCATGCGCAGGGATCCGGCGCCCGACCCCAGATGTTCACGCAACATTTCCGGATCGCCCTGGAAGCCGCCGCTGGCCAGGATCACCGATCGTGTCAGAATGCTGTGACCCTGGTCCGTCTCGACGCCTTCGACGTGGCCATCCGGACCCAGGAGCAGAAGGGTCGCGCGGCAGCCGTAGCGGAACTCGACGCCCTTATCCTTCGCGGACCCCTTCAACGCCTCGACGATCGCAGCTCCCTTGCCAACGGGCTGCATACGCGTCGGCCAGTTGCTCAGAAAGTAATCCATCGCATGGAATTTGACGCCTTGCCGGGTCAGCCATGTGAGCGTCTCGGGCGCATCCTCGGCCAGCCGCCGGAAGTAAGCCGAGTCGCCCCGTCCGCCGGTGGCTTTCATCATGTCAGCCTCGAAATCCTGCAGCACGGTGTCGACCGCTCGCATGCGCATGTTCGACGGGCTCCATCGTGTGTTGCCGCCGCTATCCTCCTCCGGCGCCCGCTCGAGCACCGCGACTCTCAGGGACGGGACCGTCTCGATGGCCGTTACGGCGGCCGCGAGACCCGCTGCGCCATGTCCCACTATGACGACGTCGAACATGCTTGGTGCTCCGCTGGTTATCGTGGCCCGGACTCTATCGCTTGAGGTCGTAGTATCGTAAAGGCAACCATATAGGCAAGAACTTAATACTGATAAGCAGGGAGGTCTGAAGCACGCTGTCTTTTCAACATGGCAGTTTGTCCGGGTTGAGCTATCCTTCTGGACATGGACCGCTTCGACACCGTCAATTGTATGGAAGCCTGGACATGATCCTCAAGTTGCTGTTGGCGTATATTCAGCCCAAAAAGAGACGCATTGGCCCTTTTAAGCCTGCATCGTGCCTTTGTACTCTCCCGGAGTAAGCCATGTATCTGTCCGAAGCCCTCTCCGTACTCCGAGAAACTGGCCGACTGTCCGAACGCTGTGGGAGACTTTCCATACGTTTCTGCGCTGTGAGTGACCAGAATCCAATAGCCTATTTCGGTCAATTTTCTTTCAGGGTGCCATTTTGCACACCCGAAGGCAATGGCGTGGAAACGTTCACATTAGTCAACCGCCAACCTTGGAAGCCCGCCCCCAAATCTAGGTAGTGCAACGGGACTCGTCTCCAGCTCGTCTGAAGTAGGCAGGTTTGCCGACGCGTTCAGGCTAGCTTTCGAGTGGCGACCGTTCTGGCTTGCCATCCGATGTCGTCTGGCTCACGTGGTGGGTGAGTCCGTGTTGTATTGTGAGTGTACCATAATGTCGACGACATGAAGCAGCTGCTGTCGAGAGAATCCGGAGAAACGTTCTCAACAAGTCGCAATATGATGAAATCGAGGTTGATGTCCAGAGCAAGTCGACTCCTCTCATCAAGCCGTCAACTTCACCAGCAGTCCGCCGCGCTCGATCGGTACAGCCAAGCCAGACTTGAGTCCGACAATCTACATAGGGGTCCCCAAGATGTCCAGCTACCTCGAGGCGGCCAGCCTACTGATCTGATTTGTGCGATCAGCGTCATGCTCGAAGCAATTTTCGAATCCGAGTTCATCCTGCCTTGGACTGGGGAACGTAGTCTCGGCAAACTGGCTCCTGCAGACTACTTCGTTGATCTGGCAGCCTTCCTCGCAGCGCAAAGGTGAGGTTGCTGGCGTTTTCTACGTACACTACTTCGACAGCGTTCCTTGCAGCATCCCAGTACTGTCAACGAGTGGAGTTCCCGGGTGGTATATGAGGTCTGCTGCTTATTCTGCAGATCACTACTTTCCCTATGGCACGCGACACGTAAGTTACATGTCCTCGCCGTACGAACCGGAGCCCTTTGTTCCATCCTGATCGTATGCGCTCATTCGCCAAGATCACCTCGCAACAGCCTCTCCACAAAATCGCAGAGCGTGCCTTTACAGGTAGCAACGGAGAGGAGTTCCCTCATCAGCCAGAGGCATGTCTCTTCCTTACGAGGACAAGTCCTCGCCTTGTTGAGGCTGGATCATGGCCTCACCTAAATAGTATTATGCTGATGGACGCCTTGCGACTTGTTCAATTTCCGCGCTGAGAGCAGACAGCCTCTCACTGCAGAGCATGTCTGTTATCACGGCTATAAAGACGACACAACGGCACAGGTTCATGGCAGTAACCTAGAGCACAACATCCAGCAACCATAATTCTGCAGCCAGTCACACCTTCAAAACGTATCCAGTACACACATTCCTCGTGAGAATCGTCAGCCATGAGATCTACCACCTTCCTCGTAGGCGCTCTGGCCTTCCTGATCACTGCGCCACTGTTCGCCGCAAGCAACCCGACTGTGAGCAAGAAAAGCATTGAGGCCCTCGAGATCTTGAAAAAGCGCCAGGGCTGTGGCGACAACTGCACGGCGGCAGTGGTAAAAGCTGTCGGCATTGGCGGAGAAATCTACGAATGGAGTATCCACAGATTCTGGACGGAAGGCGTCACTACCGGTCCGATCAGCACAATCAGCATCGATGCTATCTTGACGCCGGAAGAGGACGTCACATGCGCGTTCTCCAGCCCTACCGTGCACGACTTTTGGACTGTCAATGGTGATGTTGCGTCTAAGTCGTTGGAAGAGTATGGGTTTCCGCAGCTTGCATACATCCAGTGTTCCATTCCAGACGACCCGCTGCCATGCCCAGAGTACCCCTGCTGCGATGGCGTTTGCGACTGAAGGGCTAGATGAGCCTCGTCCAGAGGGTCGAGTTTCCGTGACGTGACACGGAGCGAAGGATCGCGTTGAGCATCTGGTCAGGAGGACTTCAATTCATACTTTCATTGCCTCTGCTTTCGGCGCGCCAACACAAATGAGCCAATCTGAACTGATGCCAAGAGACACTCGCAGGGGCTCGCGACGGGCTTTGGCAACGTGGTCAGTCCGCCACGAAGATGAAAGATCATATCGCCTTGGCAGGCTCCCTTTTGTACGATGTAAATCCATGCATCTTTCCTCAACCCCACGCCTGTCAGACGTGAAGGTCTCCGAGAAATCAAGCACTGCCGTTGAATGAGTCCAAGCCCGTTATGACACGTCTTATGGCCTTGGTCTCTGCCACACAGTCGCGCTGACCCAGGGCAACAAGGACTGCGCATTCTCGCGTTGCTCGGCCAAGCTTCTCTCAGATCACTGGACAGGAGGCCCTGGCCCCCACGTGGGGCAATTTTCCTTGGCCGGCTACCTAGACTTGACGACGTTGATCAACCCTTGGGGCAAGGAATGGCGACGGACCGACGGTCAAAGCATTCAAATGCGCCATAGCTGTGCCGAGGACCTGCATGCGCGTTGATCCTATGTGCGCTTTGCAACAGATGCCCAAAAGAAGGGAGATGAGAATCCCCGTCTTCGCAGACAGCGAAACTGAAGTAACGGGGTTCATCTCAAAGGTTTGTGCAGCAGCCGTTGTAGATGAACAACGCTGAACGTCACATAACAATAGTTCGCCTACCGCGTCTACCCGGAGGACTATGATCCATTCTGGGGCGAAGGGCATCGAAAAGTCCTGACTATCATTGGCACGACGTGCGTATTTGACATGGCGGAAGGGCTCACGTCGTGGTTCTTGGAATGCAGTTATAGTGCACTATGGGATTCTATTGCTACGACGGCAGACGCTGTCATTGTTGTCTTCTCCGTCGACCGGCCCGAGTCGTTGACCAGGGCAAAGAGCCTCGTGCAGCGGTTCCGGCAATGCAGAATCGAGCACATAGTGCCACCTGTGCCCGTCGCTCTGATCGCAAACAGGACATCGAAAGAGGAAATGATAAACCATAGCAGGCGCATCGTAAGTCAGGATCAAGTTGCTGCGCTGCGTTCAGCTGGCTACGAGATTGTTGAAGAGTGCTCTGCAAGGCATGATGACGCGAGTGTGATTGAGGGCATATTCATTGACGTTGGCAAAGCTGTACTGGCAGTTGAGCAGCTTCAACGAGACCGCCAGACAGTAAAACATGTTGTGGTCAAGCAAAACCCGCGCTGGCTGAGAAGACTCACCAAGTGTAGATGATCTGGAGCTCGGTGATTCGGGCCTAAGACTATATCCATCACTTGCGTGAGAACGGGACGTCGTGCTCGGAAGCCAATCGATTCATACATGCTTGGCCAAATCCTTATACTTATCGCCAAGTTTGATGCGCCACCTCTTCCCCCAAATCAGCAGCGGCACGGACGTCAGCATGACCAAAGCCGTCAGTATGCCTAACAACAGGAACATGTTGTACACGCCCATGCTGTCCATCCAGATCGGGATGACGAATGTCATTACCGTCGCCATCCCGTTCCTCACGAACACCACTCCTATCAGCGCTGGACCAATGATTCCATCATACGAATCTTGCACGTATACGAGTGCCATATCCGCACACGCGCCCAAGCCGAATCCAACAAGACCACAGCCGAAAGCATTGATGATCCACGGCATACCTTGCGCGACCGTGAGACCATATGTCAGAACACCAGCGACCATGCAAGCACCGGGCAGGAGGAATGGGTAGAGGCGATACTCGGGCTCATAGATGCCACCGCGGCGTCTCGCAATCCTGATGATAAGATAGTCCGAGAAGGGCCCGCCGAAGATCGATCCGAGGATGGCACCTATGCCAGGCGCAATGTTCATGTTGCCAACACCGATTGGAGAGAAGTTGTAAGGTGGGAGTGGGTACAGATTCGCCTGGCTGACCGCGAGAAAGGACAGCATGGACTCAGACCAGGCGTATTGAAGAGCAGAGAACATTGCTGCAGGAAAGGTGACCAAGATCAAGAAGGGGTGGTAGATGTGTCGCATGAACCGAACGATGGCCGGCGTCGAAGTATCGCGAGAGGGTGTATACCACGGATGTCGTTGGCGATACGTCTTTAGGGCGATGGTCTCGCTGGAACCAGCTCGATGGTAATCTGAGGCGTTAGATCGGCCGCCGAACCTCTCGTCTTCCCATCCAGGTGTTTCTCAGTTGCATGACTGACGTCCTGCCTCGCAACAGATCTGTCCTCTGTCATCAGCAGTGAGGCCGGCTCTTCCCATTTGGTCTCCTCGAGGAAGAAGACCATAGCTAGCACAGTAGCTGACATGAAGATGGTGCAGTAAGTAAAGACCCAGCGCCAGCCCTGAGAAACAGCAATATAGCCTGAAGCCACGGGTGCGAGGTATGTGCCTATTGTGACGACCAGCAAATAGAGGCCAGTGATAGTCCCGCGCTGATGGACGAAGAAGAGGTCACATATCTGAGGTCAAGTCAGTCGTTGGTCGGTTTGTCCGTATTCGTGGACTTACGGTTACATTGAAGAGTGCTTCATTGACCGACCCTGCGATTCCGACGAGGAAGCCCGAGCCGATCACATCCAATGTGGTTCTGGTCTTTCCCATCCAGATTGAAGCTGCCAGCATGATCATACTGGTAGCCAAGTACACCGGTCTTCTGCCGTACATGATGGAAAGCGGAACGAAGACCAAGGCGAATACGGTCAATGCTGCATACCCTGTGGCATATCCATAGTTGAGATCTTCGAATGAGATACCCAACTCGTCGGTCATGGTTGCCCATAGCGGAGGAGTTACAGTCAGCCTGGGAACGGTCAGCAAGTAGTTTCTTTCGGCGCGGAATCCACCTACAGGGCGAACACAAGCGTGGTGTAAATGCAGAGGAGTACCATATGTATCACTTTCCGCTTTTTCGACCAGTTCAAGGGCTGGTTGGGATCAGAACTGGGGCGAGGCCAGAGGAGTGTGGCTTCTTTGTCTTCATCTTGGAGTCGGACGGTACCAGGAGGGAGTTCAGTCTCGAATGCTTTCTCCGTTGATAGCTCCATCTCGTGTCATTGGCAGTAGAGACGTGTCAACAGGTGGTGCTCTTCCTACTGCATATATATGCCACAGTTCACCCGCGCAAAAGAGCTCATGTTGCAGACGCATCTTGTTGTTGATAAGGACCTTACGCATCGGGTACATGGACACTTGTTCTCCGTCTCTGTGCTCGCACGGTATGAAGTTTGCAGTCAAGGTACCTATTGTGGAGGACTATGGCGGGCAGAACGCGACGGAGGATTGTTTGCTCAACGGCGTTGCCCGTGTGGGGTTGGGAATCTCACGCTTGGGAGTCGACCAATGAGAGCAGAGACGACTATCGCGACTTCCCCGCCTCGACATCGGCTGCTGATGGGCGACGGTGGACTCTTGCTCTTGGAAGTATGGTGTGATGTCCCTGAAAGTTCAACTTGCGTCGTGCCGGTCTCCGCAAGTTCTTCTGACATACGTCCGGCGGCACATTGGAGGATTGGCCTCGTAGACGTAGTCCCCTCTTCTGGGGACTCGGCTACGCTGCGCGGCTGAGGCGCGCTCCGATCTACCATGGAAGCAACCAACAATGTTGGTACGAGCGCGACCACCGCATGCGACCGCTGTCATGGCATCAAAGCACGATGCACTTTCACACCTGGTCGGGAAAAGTGTGATCGCTGCTTCCGGCTCTTCCACGAATGTGAGACCAAGCGTGTCATCGGCAAGGCTGGCAGGCCACAGACTAGGAAGGGGCAGCAACCAAAGGCTTCGCCGTTACTGTCAGCACCATCACCTGACAAAGATTCTCCTGCTTCGTCGACCACATCGCCCAACTCTGCCGCATCCACAGGAGATCCGTTCGCACGATTTGATCCACAAGAAGTTGCCCTGGCTCAGTACCTGGTCAGAGATCAGAAGCTCGATCAGCGCTTCGTAAACAGCTTTGCAATCGAGTCGTATTTCCGCAACACTATGGAGTCCACCCTTGTCAAACAGCTTCTGACCGCCCCGGAGCAAGTCAAGGATGCTCTCCTGGCGCTTTGTGGTGCACTAGTGGCTGAAGACGAGTCTCACTCCCAACCAGGCTCCGCCAGGTCGATAGCTGATATGCAGAAATGCTGTGCAGCAATGGAGAAATTACGTATGGCCCTATCAACGACTGAGGATGATGCTCGCGCTATACTATTCGTGGCTACATCTTTGATATCGTTCAATGATCTTACCGTCGGCTACGGCTACCTTCCAGTCGCCTCTGCCGCGCTCATCGCCATCAAGCCCTGGCGGACTCAGCTGCTGCGAGAGTCATCGTCTCATTTTGACCCAAACCTTATTCCGGTCGTCTATGCCGAATACATGGAGTGCCAGAAGAGCGCGGAAGTACCTACACTGTGCTGGGTTCTGCCCACAGATCAACTGATCGATAGGTCCTACGGCATAGCGCATGAGGCGCTGCCATACTTGTACCACATTTGCGTCCTGACGCATGATATGCTACAGACATTCTTACCACAGGAGACGCTCCTGCGTCGAGCTGCCGAGATCGAAGCTGAACTCGACCTCTGGACTCCTCACATTGCAATCAACAGCCCGAGTGATAAAGAGCTCAGCCTCACAGAAAATCAAAAAGCTCAGATGGTGGCTCATGCATATTGCTACAAGCTTCTGGCCCATCTGCTGTTGGAGCAGATTCAAGCCACGTAAAAGACAATCGGCATGTACGTCTCTTGCTCGCTCAGCAGATTCGCACGCAAACCGCCCAGTTCTATACAGGCGGTGCGCCAAAGGTGTTGTATCTACTCTATGCATACTTTGTGGCGTGTACGGAGCTGGACGATCCCACAGAGCAGGCAAGAGTCTTGGCACAGATGAAGTACCTCAGCGGCGGGATTGCAACGCAGTCGTGCAATACGATGTTCGCGTTTCTTCAATATTACTGGGCCAGAGTAGCGATGGAACCGAACAGGATCTGGATCGAGGTAGTGCATGATGGACCACCGTTCTCCATCGGCCCCTAAGCATGACCCACCGCTTCGAGATCATTTCCTTTTGACCTGTCCGTGATACTCAATTCAAGCAGAAGAGCACGTCAAGCCGCGTGGTGAAGCGTCTCATCTGAGATACAAGAGCGACTTGTCTGACGTCACTGAGCGACTCGTCCGACACGGAAGAGCGACTCATTCGACCCGACTAAGCTACACATCTCACGCGGAAGAGTGGCTGATCTAACGCAAAGAAGCGCGTAGATCGTCGCAGAAGAGCGACTCAAGCAAGCGACGATTCTTGTGCGACCGAACATCATCTGATGTCATCGCTATGGATCAGTCTGATACACCCTGCGGGCCAGCCCGTGGCGCCTGATCTCGCCAGTACGACGATCATAAGACTGTCCCTTGCAATTCTACCGACACGCTGTTACGCTTGTCCTGAGCTGGCGGGCGAGAAACAGTCCACTGGCCGATGAAATGCCACGCAGTATCATGAGCGTGGCTGAGGTTCACCCCATTGGCGGACATCTCAATTCCATCGACGAAAACTTGCAAGGTGGGCAAATTATCCCCAGGCGGGCTCTGGTCGGTAATCCCAATATGACCCTCCAGACTGAGCACAGCCTTGTTCGAGAAGCCTTTGGTCGCCTCGCAGATATCGACTGACAAAGCAGGCGCTGCCGTTGGAGGCTGAGCGCGAGCATCAGCTACCACGTCTGACCGAATCGGTGGAGTCAGTGGGGGCAGTGCTCTCCTTTGGCCGCTCTGCTCGAAACAGTAGCCGGCTTTCAGCAATTCCGAATCATCATACGCCTTTGCAAGGATCGTCAGACCCATCGGCATGCGCCTGTCTTTCAAGATTCCCATGGGTACCGTGATGCTGGGGATGCCCAAGTGACAGAGACATCGATTGCCGTTACTATACTGGACACCATTCCGCCATGTATGTCTGGCAAGCTCAATATCGACGTCCGATTCAGCATATCCGACATCGCCAGCCGCCGGGAAGACGACAAAATCGTAGCCGTTCTGCGTCATCCAGTCCTCAAATAGTCGCTTCCTCATGGTTTCCAGGGCCTTGATCGCGCGTTCAAGGTTGGGAATGCTGAACATTTTGCTCTTGCCTGGCTCGTGACAGGTTTCGTTCGTTTCGACGTACGACGCGAGCTTAGACCAGTGGACGGCGTTCTTCACTTCAGAGAACATCATCTGCGGGTCGTCTTGAGGTAGTTGTGGGAAGATCTTCTTCCAGTCTGCGGCAGCAAGATTTGGGAAGTTCGAGTCGTCATTGACGCGTAAGAAGTCGTCCCAGGCATGAGCTATGAGCGTTCCTCGTTCTATCGTGTTCCAGTCGTTGGGAAGACGGGCTTCTCCTGGATAGTTACTGGGCCAATGTGAGGACGGATCTTCATAGAGCCGCATTACCGGGAAGTCTTCAACTACCTCGACTGTGGCTCCGAGCTGCTCCAATTCCGCTTTCGCAGTGCTCCAAAGGCTTTTGACCGCATCGGACACGTATACTGCTCTGCCAGTCGATGGCTCGCCAATGTACATGGCGGGCACTGCGAGTCTTTTGCCTCGCAAGAAGTCTCGGTCTTTGATCGTCGCGTATGAGGTTGCTCTACGCGCGAGCTTCTGCTCCAGTTTCACAAAGGGCTGGTCTCGCCAAAAGTCTCCAACTGATTTCTCATCCTCGCGCGTGAGCACATCTAGTATTGCCGCCAGGTCATCCATGGTCCTCGTATGAGGCACAACTACGTCACACGTCGGGTAGAGTGGCCAATTGCCCCGTATACTGATGAGCCCACGGCTCGGAGTGTAAGCGACCAACGCGTTATTGCTGGCGGGACTCCTGCCAGAGCTGACTGTTTCTTCTCCCATTCCAAACGCAGCGAAAGATGCTGCTGTTGCTACTCCGCTTCCATTGGACGATCCAGAAGCGAAAGCTGCAGCTAGATACTTCGAATTATATGGCGACTCTGCACGCCCATAGACGCCTCTCAGCATCCCTCCGAACGCCATAGGGCACATGTTGGTCTTCCCGATCAGGATCGCACCCGCTTCTCGCAAGGCTTTGACGGTAAACGCGTCCTCGTTCGCGACCAGGTTCTCGAATGCTTCGCTTCCGCTTCCCACTGTCATCCCTTTCACCTTGTAGCTGTCCTTGACAGTGAATGGGATTCCTTCCAGCGCTCGAGCTTGTCCAGCAGCTCTACGCCTGTCAGATGCAGCGGCATCTTCGAACACATCTGGATTGAGAAGTGGAACGGAGTTCAGGCACGTGTTCCGTGTGTCGTAGGTGGCTATCCGGAGCAGATACGCGGTAACGAGGTCAACAGCTGTGGTGCGGCCATCTTGCAAATACGACGCGAGATCCGAGATCGTCGCCTCGACTATGCTTCGTTCCTGCATTGAACCCATGTCGTCTGGCTCTGGAACGAGCGTCAGCTGGTATTGAGAAGAGAGTTGCCCGGCTTTGGTATGAGCGTTTGATGGCTTTGATAAGAGGTTTGTTTGGCTTTGGGATGAGCGTCAGCGGGCTGCGCGGGGAGCGTCACTTGGCCATGAGAGGACGATCTCAGTAGAGTCTTCCTATATCTGAACGACGGGGCAACCCCGAGGTTTTCGAGTCTGCTTTGGCGGACTAAATCATTTGCCATATAATTCACGGCAGAGTCCTCCATGGCCCACAAATGTCGTACATGCCCATTCGGTTGACATGCTTTCTGAATTGATCTGGGGCACCAGCATGAAGCGCCGTTGCCCTGCCCCCAGGCATTTTCGTGAGCATCCATATCGTAGCAAATCCTCCGCCGCTGATGTTCGCAAGCGCTGCATGTCAAATGTGCCGCCGCCTGTTGTACTGTCGTGGGGCAGTAGGGGCGTAGATTGCCGCCGATCAATCTCTTTGTTTGGGTCTCAGTAGGCAGCTTTTGCACGGCACATTGACATATCGTTCCCCAATGATCTGGGGTTGGCATTGATCATACGCCCAATCCAGCTTCGAGGAATACCACGAGCAAGTGCATGACATCTGCATTGACACTTCTAACGATTCGCTTTGTTTGACGGCCCGTCGGAGATCAGCGAATTTTACAGCACAGCAGCGTGGCTCCAATGTGAAGCACCTCGCCGTCGGCACAATGCCCAACGAAACTCGCCTCCCTGCCTTCCCTGCCGGGCCTACTGAGTCAGACGGACGATTTCCATCGCATGAAATTCAACGTGACCTGCTCGGATCCGAGTATAGCATCGCAAGTGACTGTTGTCTACATATACAAGTCCGGATCATGTCCAACCTCACTGATCACCATAATTCGCCACACACCAATGTGAATCCGAGCCCAGAACCTGGCCATACTACACGACCGTTCAGCCAACCTTCATCCTCTACAAGGCCCAACACAACCGCAACCATGGGTGATGCGGGCCCAGTGACCACAGAGGCAACCTACTACCAACCCGCCGAACACCTCTCTCACAGTCACACCCTCACAGCATTCCCCAACCTGCCCGGCTGCTACCAGGATGCCGAGTCAACTGCACGAGCCAGGCAGGAAGTAATCAACATCTCCCTCGCCATCTCACAGTTTGAGCCTGTCGTCCTGTTCGCCCACCCAGATCATGCCCACGTCGCCAGATCAATGATCCAGTCCTCAGCCGACCCATCAGCAGATATTACAATCCGGGAGGTCGAGGTCGACAATCTCTGGATCCGGGACCTGGGCCCTGTCTTCCTCCACAGCCGAGAGTCTGGCCGGACGGAGGCTGCCGTGGATTTCAACTTCAACTACTGGGGCCACAAAGCCGAAGAGACTGTTGATGGCACATTCGCACGTCGCATCTTGACCTCGAAACCATACTCGTCAGCCATCTCTCGGGTGAAAGCTGGGCTCGTTTCCGAAGGCGGGGCGCTTGAGGTCGATGGGCAGGGTACTCTGATGGTCACCGACACAAGCATTGTCAACGACAATCGGAACCCAGGCCTCTCGCAGGAGCAGATAGAAGAGGAGCTGAAGCGGGTACTGGGAGTGGAGAAGGTGCTCTGGCTCAAGGGCGTGATGGCATTGGAAAGTACAGACTGGCATGTCGATGCGTGGGCGAGATTTGTGGGAGATGTGAGGGTAGTGCTGTCGAAGCCGCCAAGGAACGCACATCCTAAGATACACGAGATCTTTGACGATGCGATGGAGCGCTTACCTCGGATGACCAATGCTAGGGGAAACAAGATCCAGGTTGTGACAGTCGATGAGCCCGATCAGGAGAAGCTGGATGGCGGGGCGATCGACGGGATGGTGACAAGTTACGTCAATTACCTTCTGGTCAACGGCGGTGTCATTTTGGCAAAATTCGGGCAGGACGATGCGGACGCGAAAGCTCTACAAGTGATTCAAGGATTGTTTCCACAGAGGAAGGTTGTCCAAGTGTACATCAACGAGCTGCCCAGATTAGGCGGTGGGATACATTGTGCTAGTCAGCACGTACCAGTATGAATTCGTCGTATAGACCTCAATGCCAAGCCCACGATGATGGCGCCATTTGAGAAGATGCTGATCTCCGAGAATAGATCCGCGTGGCTGCCTCCACGTCTACAAGTCATAGGTTCTGCTGTCTTACATGCCGTCACTGTCTAGACAACCTCGAGCATGACTTCCGCCTACAGTCCAGACCAGATATCTCAATATCTGAACTTCATTGACCTCCCCCAGCAATGGCATCCTTCCGCCAAGCCCTCCCTGACCCTCGACTACCTCACCATCCTACATATCCACCAGATCTCAACAATCCCTTACGAGAATCTCTCATTGCACTACGCCAAGGACAAGAAAGTCGACCTCAACCCCCAAGTCCTTTTCCATAAATTTCTGAGCCGCAAGCGAGGCGGCTACTGCATGGAGACCAGCATATTCTACTATCACATCCTGCGTGCTCTCGGCTTCCAGGTGTATACTGCGGGGGTGAGGATACGCTTGAGGAATGAGGGAAGGCCGTACGGGAAGTATATTGGGTGGTGAGTCGCCAAACGAACATGTCTGCTATGCTAGACTCACATTGTCCCAGGGTCCACGTCGTGAATATAGTCACCCTGCCTGACGGCACGAAATACATGATTGATGTCGGCTTCGGTGGAGATGGCGCCACCAAGCCCTTACCTCTCATTCACGGCCACGTAGAACACAACCTCGGCACGCAAGATGTCCGGCTGGTGCTCCAACCTATTCCAGATCAGGTCGACCAGTCGAAGCCGCTGTGGATCTACCAGTATCGAAATTCGCCAGAAGATGACTGGAACTCATACTACGCTTTTCCCGAGGTCGAGTTCCTGGAAGTCGAGTTCGGGATCTTGAACTACTGGACGAGCACGAGCCCGGATAGCTTTCAGACGACTAGTATGCTGGTGGTGAAATTTCAGCGGGACGGTGATCAGATTGTGGGGAAGCGGATGCTGTTCAATCATTTGGTGAAAGAGAATCCGGGCGGGAAGACGAGGCTTGTCCAGGAGTTGAAGACGGAAGAGGAGAGAGTCGAGGCATTGAAGGTTTGGTTTGGGCTGGCGCTGACGGGGGAAGAGCAGCGAGGCATTAGAGGCCATATCACCGAGCTGGGACGAGGCAAACAGTGAGAGAAGACAGAGTTGGTTGTCGGTAGTTATATGATTCAGCACGGTCAACATGGACGCCTTCTCGTGGGGTGGAAGTCGTGCTTCGATCAGGCAGACGATTGCCTGCGAGCATGTCGAAGCAATTGAGTGACTATACAAAGCTCGAGCTACTCAAGACTGTATGCTGATGCAGCTATCGCGTTCGTGGGACCGGTGGTCACGCCGTCAGGTCCCAGAGTGCGAGTCAATCCCAGCTGACGGCATTCTAGTTAGAGTTTCGGGCTGCTATCTTCGGACCTCCGACGCCGATGTCAACACCGATTCTTGACCTGACCCAGCAGGAATGCAAAGCATAAATCTGCCAAGCCTTTGCCACCAGGGCAGCTGTTACCGTATATAGAGTCCTTTGGCCCAGCTGGAGGACGCTCGTCGGTGCCAGGTTACACAGCTGCAAGCGCTCGCTGCGTCCCGGAGATGGCACCAACAGATACCACGTGGTATATGGCTCGTGCCTGGGGTCCAGGGCACTGCTCAACGTACGGAGGGACCTTCAGACAACGATTGTTCTTGTGTACGCCTGCGTAATTTTGCCAATATATGCTGAGAACACTTAGCGGCGTCTTTCCTTGAGAACGCGCGCAGCCATGGCTCCTCTTCTCGCACTGCCACCATTTTTTCACGTTCCAACAGGCACAGTCTCGGGCCCGACGTCGATAACCCGCCGCGACAGCGGCAATGGCAACCAGCGGCCGACAGAAGCGTCTAACGACAATAGCAACAATGGCATGGTTCCTGAAAGCGATTCGGCAATGACCCGGACACTGGTCATCTTTATTGCTGTGGCGACGCTATTGTTCGGTGTGATATGGCTGGCTTTCATGTAAGTTACTCTTATGTTGATCCATTCAAGGGTCTGGCGTCAGCATGGATGCTCTACGGAAGCAACCCCGTGCGCTGACAATGAGAACCGTTGATAGCCTGGAGTCGAAGAAACGTCGCGCGTATCGCAGACGAATGCGAGCTCAGATCGACCGTTCCGCTGGGTTGGCGGACGCCGGAAGCATGTCAAAGTACGACATCAGCGTGTCTGATGTTCTTCAATGCCTGCCGCCCACCGTGGTGTACAGTAATTGCAACGTCGTGTCCGAAAAGTCCGAAGTTGTTGAGGTAACTGAAGAGGAGGAAGGTCCGTCCTGGTAAGACCCTCGTCCATGATGCTAGTCCAGACAGAGTCGAAATCATACTGACGCTCTTGCCTTTCAGCGCAATATGCCTTGAGAGCCTTCAACCGACTTCCAAGATCCGGCAGCTCAGTGCTTGTCGACACACCTTCCACCAATTCTGCTGTGACAGGTGGATCTCGAAAGCCGTGCATCGACACAACCGAAGACAACGGATCCGATTGAATTCAATGCCTGCTGACGAGAGGCGGAATTGGGAGCTGACGCAAAGGGGCGGTCTGGCTTCTGATAGCCTGGCGCTGACTTGCCCTCTCTGTAGAACGAGGATAGAGCTATTGGTCGGTGGAGAATCGGACGCAAAGCAAGAGAAGCACGATCTTGACGAACAATGCGAAACCCGAGTCGCCGGGATCGGTGTTGCCGATGTGACGGCATTGGTGCATCTCCCGCCAACAGCCTGGCTCAAAGTTCGTGAGAGATTGAGCGAGGTGCCTCGTTAGTATTCGTGAGGGTAGCGCAGAGAATAACTCATGTTCAGCAAATGTTGATAACAGACCCAGACTAAGCATGCTCACGCCCTGATTGCTATTTGTCTGAGAGCTCGCCTGTACAGTCGACTTCAATACACCGGGAGAGTCTGCTGCATTCCCAAATGCAAACGAGAATTCTGTTTCAGCTCCTGACACATGTCTCGAAACTCGAGAAGCTGTTGGCTTCCAGTTCGGTCACTCATGGTCGTTAGCTTTTCGATACCGATATCAACTAGTCGGTCGTGGATCATTGCTTTGCGATCCAAACTGTTGTTGACAAGGTTCGCTGTGACAATCATTAGAGCGCTTATGTAAGAACATCCGCTGACCCTATGAAGCGGACGTTAGTATTAGCCTCACCGAGGGTACTTAGGTGTTGACATACCAGAAGTTAGCAGGTTCCATCTCGGGCAACGCATGGAAGAGGTCCATTAACTTCCTTGCCTCGAAGACTACCTCCTGCCATGATGGAGGCAGCAAGAGTGCGGTGCCGTTCAATGCAGTCGTGCGAATATCTGTGACCCATTTCGGATTCCAAGCATGAGCATGATTGATCAGTGTCGCGCATTGAAAAGCAGTAGCGTGTAGTTCCGTCACGAAATGCAACGTCTCCGGACTGGTGCGTCTCACAACAGACGCATCACCAAAATCAGTGGCCATTGATGCCTTCCACGCTTTCAGGGCACGAGCAACACTGTCGAGAGCATGTGCTCGCTCTTCCGCATTTCGCTTCTGCGCCCTTGTTGAGTACAGATAGTCGTACACTCCACCTTCGATGCTGGCCAGTTGGATCCTGGCGCGGAAGTAATCCGGTTTCAGCAATTCGTCAGTAGAGGTGATTGCGCCTGAACCGACTGTCAAGGCTTCAGGTGTGTGCTCAAGCATGTAGTCTGAAGGCAGATCGAGGTCAATGTCGTCATCTAGCTGAACAGACGGCTGCTTCATCGCCATACTTATGTGCTTGTCAAGAACATACGCAATCCAGAACACGTTTGCACGTTCCGCTGCGCTTGCAGAGTCCAATAGTTGGGAGGTAGCACGATCATGGAGTCCAAGCTTATGCGCCAGACGCATTGCGGTGGCGACAAGGATGAGGAGAGTCTGATCGTCGCGGGATCCTCGCAGTAAGATCACCATTCCTAGCAAGACTTGAATGTTGAGCAAATGAGTCTCCCCCAATATGACCTCGGTCACAACAGACTGCGCTCTGCGAAGGTACTCAGCTGCGTCACCTGCGTGACTCTTTCCGTTCACCGCATGCCGATGAGAAAGGCCCAGTACCACATTCATAGCCGCGAAGACGACTGGGTCTTGCCGTCCAGGCAACGATCGATAGAAGTCTGTCACAAGACGACGGACTGTCTGAGGATTGAACAGTGGTAGGACAGAGTTGAAGTCGCGGAGGAAGCCTTCGAGTATGACTATCATGTCCTGATGGGAAGGCAGACCGGGGAAAATGCCGCCGACACGGATGGATTCTGGGCTTCCTATCACATTGACATGCGTTTGTGACGTGGGCTGACTACCCTCGACGTCTGAAGTCTCTAGAAGGGATCTTAATTGCCGGACCTGAGTCTCTAGGCTTTCCAGTCGGGCTTCGGAGTGCTTGGCTCGCTTCCTGGGGGTTGCCTTTCGACTGGGCGTGCCATATGTGCAGTCGGTCGCGTGGGTACGGCACGAAGAGCATTGCGGCTTTTCGCCATTGCACTTCAATCGACGGCGATAGCAGAAATCACAGGCCTGAATGAGTAATTAGCAAGTTACTAGAGAGCTGGTCGATGAGCACCATACCTTCCTGGAACGCTCAGACGGCTTCACCATGATACGTAGCGGCGGTATACTGGCGATAGACTGCGTCGTGTTGTCTTAACATATCTGCGGCATCGCTAGCGGTCAACGAGGATGTATACAGTCCAGGCACTGGCACTCGCGCAGTGCCCAGCCCGCGGAAGCAGGACTCGTGGACCCTGCTGACAAACTACTCGGTTGTGTGAAAGGGGACACATGTTGCGCTCCAACGCCGATCATCTGCCCGGTCGCGACCCGTGGCATCAGTGACGCCATCTTGTGGCAATGAACAACTGCTAGAGTACTTGTCTCGAAGACAGCCGGATCGTAAGTCATCGTCGTTATATTGAGAGCAGACGCCGACGTCAACAAAAGTCTTGGCGCTAGGGCCTTTTCCGCTCCAACCCCTCACTTTTCTTTGGTCCGCCCCTTCTCTATCTCCCGACCAATACACCACACGTTCCTGACCTGTATCGACACTCCAGTGCAGTGCGACCGGCGAGTCAGTTCGTTTGCCTCCTATAATGGCGAAGACGACCAAGCACGCACATCGCCAGCTGCGGCGCTTGCAAGTAGCTATTCCGTTCAGCAAGAATCAGTTGTGGTGAGCCGAGAAACACTCAAATATCCCTCCACGCAGCGCCGGCTTTCACAGGCAGAGTGTGCGTTCGAGCATACGTTTAGCGACTGAGAAACCCTTGCGGCGGACAGAGTCTGCAGGGACCGTGGTCAAGATGACAGAACCAGCGCACTGAGTGGTCTATAATTCATCGTGCCTCCAGCTTCCCATGTCCTCGACCGCCTTCTTAACGTCCGCTGGCCAGTAGGTATTGTGGCCCCCACCACCCCATCTCGTCGCCGGCAAGTCCCCTCGCTTCTCCCATACTGCCGGACTCGGCAGCTCGCTTTTCTTGGCTTCTGCCACCGCGTCGACTTTGTCCATGATTCGCATCAAGTTGCCGCCCATGACCCCAATGACCTCGTCATCCGACCATCCACGAGTAATGAGCTCCGCCACGAGGTTGGGATACTTAGTCGCGTCTTCCAAGCCTTCTACTTCCAAGTACATGCCATCGAAGTCACTCGCAATGCCAACCCGATTCCTGCCAATCACACTAGCAATATGCTCAATATGATCTGCAACGCGGCTCACGTTTGCCAACCATCGCTCGTTCTTCTCATCGTAGGGACCAATAAATGGAGGAAAGAAGACCGACTGCACAACGCCATCGATTTGACCAGGCCCATCACCAATCTTCGCAAGAACGTCATCAGGCACGTTTCTTGGGTGGTCCCACAGAGCTCGACTGCCGCTATGCGTCCATACTACCGGCGCCTCGCTCAAATCGATGACCTGATTCATTGTCTCAACGCTCGTGTGAGACAGATCAACCATCACTCCTAGCCGGTTTAGCTCCTTGACCAGCTCTCTGCCCAACGCACTCAGGCCATTTCCCTCATGCACCTCATTGAACACTTCTCCGCTCACTTGACCACAGCTAGAGGCAAATGCGGAATGACAGGTATGCGTCAGCGTCACATACCGCACTCCCAGTTGCGCGAGTAGCCTCATGCTACTCAGCGAGTTCCCAAGCACATGCGTACCCTCCAGCCCGATAAGGCTTGCCACTTTCCCCGCTTTGAAAGCGTCCATGACTTGGGACGAAGACCTTGCAAACTGTAGATCGTCTGAGTGCACAGTAATCATGCCTTGTATCAGATCTAGCATCTCCAGAGCATCACGGAGGTGGTTCGTCGGGTTGAGGAAGTCCGGACCGGGGTCGTCGCCGAGTACATCCGGACAAGGTGCCCATACTGTCCAGAACGCGCCGCCGAGATGACCTTCTCGAGCACGCGGAAGATCAATGTGACCTGAGAACGAAGCATTGAGGGAGGGAAGAGCGGAGTGTGGGTTCCGGTCTGTGCAGTAGGGCCCGTTAGCTTGCCATGTTCCGCGGGTGACATACTGTACAGAACATGAGACTTTCGACTTTTGACATACGTAAACTCCGAATTATCTGTGGCAGATCAATGTGGGTGTCTATCAGCGGGTTTGCAGACATGAGTTTGATAGCATGGCCCAGGTGCGCTGCGGCATCCGGCTCAGTGCTTGCCGAAGTCGACGCAAAGGCAATGGCCGTGGGCAGCAGCGAGGATATTCGCATGATTACAATAGTCTTTTATCGTTGCACTTCCTGCGTAAACAAGTATAGATAAGTCCAAAAATTGCTCGGACGACGTGATGCTACAAACACCTTTAGACCCGTGGACCTTTCAAATTGCTGTCTAGATACTTGGGTAGGGTATCTAAAATGGCCGACCCCAAAAGCATTTCTCCGAAGATGTGGCAGCCGGTTAGAAGACCGCAAGCCATTCTCTTCGAGAATGACTGTCTAGTGTGTCCGGACCAGAAATCATCTGCGTCTGTATCATACCTCTACGACAGACATGAGGGAAGTATAGGCAGAGCCATACTTGCTATCTTGCCCATATTGAATATTCGTTAATTTCCATCCTCCCGGACGTCTGACTCGTTGTAGCATTATGAATGCCACAGAACAATGGCCAGTCACTGCCAGCTGGCAGATTGTGGATCGTTCCAGTATCTCATCCGTACTCTTCGTACTTTGTCGCTCAAATGTATCACGGACCATTGCATTCGTTCAGTGATCGCCTCTTCAGGCACCGGTGAGTCCAGGATCTCCAACCCATGCCATTAAGCGCGCCACCCCTGGGTGGGAATGGCACTCGCATGGTAGGCCCCGGGTGCCTATACGGTTGGCATGTCGATGAAACCTTCGCATACGCTGAAGTCTCCTCTCGAAAGCCCACCTCGGATCTTATTGGCCGTATCGCTCCATTCGACGCGACGGTCGAAGGATCCATCGTAGTTCCTCGTAATGAACGCGTCCTGGTGCAATGCGTTAGTCTACATCCTAGCGCAGAGCAAAAAGCGGAAGACTTACAATTGCATGGCCCTCAGCGTGACCTAATCCATCAGAGCCTCGGATCCACCCAAGCTCCATATGAATTACCCAGGACACCTGGTGATGGCTGTCCACTTTGATAGGTGATGCGAGCCTCCTCAGATACCTCTCACACCGTCGCCGTGTCGTAGGTGTGATGCACGGGCGTTGAGCATGGGCATCGGATGCCTGCAGATCCAATCTAGGAGGGATGCGCCGTCTTTGAGGTGCCTGCCACCACCATGCAATTACCTGCCTCTCTGATATGGGTCCAATGTGGATTTCGCGCAAGGCGCAGAGCGCTGGTATCCTATCGCATACAGGTGGGCCCTGACCAATCTCGTACGGACAATGAACACGGATTGTGCTGATGAGTGATTTCCACGGTTCAGGAACATATATCGACTCGATGCAAACGAAGATAGCGTTGAGTTGGGAACACAAGCCACCAACGTCCAGGACCAACCCAGAGGTTTGGCAAATTGACACAACATGGGCGACAAATTCGGCTCGAATGAGTCCGCCCGCACCGAAGAGTCCAGCGCAATCGCTGGATGCAGTCTTGTTGTCGCAGGAGGAAATCGGAACCAGATGCATTTTCAGAGTTGCTTGCTGGACATCCGTAGGATCAATGCTGAGTGAGAGCCAAAGGTCGAAGCCCGGGTGCAGTGTTCGTAGATCATAAGCCGTAGCTCTGGTGGTATTTCGGTAAGCATGGTGCTAGGATTGCTTCGTTCTTGGGAATGTCGAGGTGAACCGACGCGCCCTGCTTCAATGGCAATCGTGGCCTTGCTGGCACTGGATGCTGAGGAAGCAATAGAGGCGTGACTTGTCTGCCTAGATGAGTGATAGGTTTGACACTGTGGTGAATTAGTTTATAGATGAATCGCCAGATCAAAGACCTCCTCATCTTGAGGTACTCCCGTCCTAAGGTACTCAGCTAGCTAGTGCCAGGCAGAGCGAAACTCTCCTCTGTCTCGCCGCAAGCATTATGCTAGCCAAGCACGTGCTCCATGGGGACAGTCGTAGGGCTGCACGTTTGCCTGTCGTGAGGTCGAGCATCTTCAGGTCGTTCACTTTTATGTAACAAGGCCAGAGGTGGGGTGCTCAATCACCTTCGGTGCGCAAGCACGTTCCTTGTTCGTGCCTGCTCATCAGTCACGCCTAACGATCTCTTGTGAGGACATTTACATGACACCTGCATAGTCTCGCAGGTACTCGCTACGTGTTACAAAGCGAGAGCAACGTGTAAGGTCGATGAAAAATGAGGCGAGGTCTTCCAATTTCTGCTTGCAGCTGGACCATTGGTCAATTTGTGGGCAGGTGGAGCAGCGCTTATGGGCCCTCTTGGCAACATTGAACCTCCTGAACATGGACATCCTACAGTGTTCTCGCCGCTACACATTCAGCGACTTTGTTTGACACAGGATCAGCTATCCAGCAGCATCTAATTCTACGCCATAGGCAGACAGCTGGCTGCACAGTACCTCGGGGCAGGCGAAAGACGATTAATGTAGAGGACGGCACATATCCGCCCCGAGCAGCACCAGTGACAGTATGCAAATTCGACCAGAATCACCAACATCGCCCTCCGCTTTGCCCAATACCATTCCCAACGTATATTCGCGTCCGCCAATACCCATTCGCGTCATAACGCACAACATCCGCTACTCAGCCGGCTACTGGGACCGCTTTCCACTTGAACCTGCCTGGCGTCCCACCCGGCATCGTCTCCTCACATCACAGCTCAAGTTCCTTACCCGCCAGCACTTCACCCCAGCTCATACATTCGTCTTCCTTCAGGAAGTCCTACACAACCAGTTTGTCGACATCGCTACCCACTCGCTGCCTCCAGACCAGTGGGTCGCGCTTGGCGTCGGACGCGATGATGGACAGCAGAAGGGCGAGCATGAGGCGGTCTTCTACCGGAAAGACGCGTGTCGGCTGGTTCATTGGGAGACGCGGTGGCTCAACGAGACTGGTGAGGTAGGAAAGAAGGGATGGGATGCGGGGAGCGTGCGGACTGTGACTTGTGTTGTTCTGGATTTGTTGGAGCCTGGTCGTGGAACGGAGGCTGCTGCGAGGCTGTTGCTGATGAATGCGCACCTGGACAACGAGGGAGCTACGTCAAGGTATGAGTCGGCTAAGCTCCTACTCAAGATCACGCAGGAGATGCGGGAGAAGTATCGTCCGGACTACTGGGTTGTTGGTGGGGACTTCAACAGCCCAAAGAAGGATGCCGCATACGAGACGATGGTCGATGACACTGGACTGGTAGATGCACGCGATGTTCTTGGTGGCTGGACGTATGAAACAGAAGCAGATCATGCAGTGCAAGCAGTTGGTGGTGATCCCAGGCCCGTCCAGCATGATGATGGGACGATCGAGATAGCCAGCGAGTGGGGAGACGATCGCTGGGGAGAGTTCATGACATACACCGGATTTGATGGCATTGGAGAGAAGCAGCCAAAAGAAGTTCAGCGAATCGACTTCCTCTTTGTGCCAGACCCGCAGGAACTACAAACTCAAGCACGGAGAGGCGTCAAAGGCTACGCCGTGATCCCTAACTCCTTCGAGGGCAGCAAAGACGGTCGAGTGAGTGACCACAGGGCTGTGGTTGTTGATATTTTGGCATGAATCGGAGCCGGCAACATCACTTTGGACATTGCTGGAGCTCGGAACGGGCTCCCTATCACATCGACTGATTCGTGCCGTGCAGCCAAACTCTCCCACGTTTGCCAGGCACAATTACCGATCATCAGGCTGTTTGCTATAGACGTGGAATTTGTGGTGTTTAAGGTGCAGCAAGTCATCTGGCGACGTAGAAGCCGCCATCCGCAGAGAGCTCGAACACCTCTTCCGCATCGCGAGTCCATACCGAACGTTGCGAATCATAGGCCGCTGAAGCAAGTATTGAAGCCGGATTCGTGGCAGGCATCACCTCCGAGCTCGGTCTCGGACTCTCCACCTCATGCGTGGACCCGTGCGTCGTTCTGATCGAACCAAATCGTCTCAGAAAAGCTTTCCATGATGAGGTCGCGGACTTCTCAGATTGATCTGCTATGCTTTTCCGCGAGCTCATCGTTGCACGGGAGCCCGGCCTTGGTGGCGTCGGCGTGCGGTCGCTGCTCGGATGGGCTGAAGTCTGACAGTGGACACAGCGTGTCATTTTGCGGCGGTAAATGGCTGTCAGCAGGAAGAGAAAGCTCGACACAGAGCCAATGGCGATGCCGGCAAGCGCGGCTTTGCTAAGGGCTGGTGCATCAGGATAGAAGTATATGCCGAGTCTATGATGCCAGGCGTAGGATTCATGTCGATGCTGCTGGTCGATGAAGCCCATGTTGCCGATGCTTTCCACGAAGACGGTCCTGCTGCAGAATCGTCGGTTTGGGATGTTGAAGTCGCTATGGTGACAGGTGTCGTTGGTGAGTCGTCCGCCGCAGTCCTCGTCACGCGGATCGTGGAAGTGCTTGTGAGCGTGATCGAATCCGATGGTTGAGCAATGACTGGGTCTCCCAGCACGGTAGATGATACGGTATCCGGAGGAACCAGGTCTAAAACAGCAGACGGAAGATCCACGAATGAGAACGAGATTTCGTTCTTCAAGTTCGAATCCACCACGACGTCGAGATCTGCGTACTCTGATTGCCTGTTCTCAGCGCGATAGGTTGAATTGTCGAAGACACTGAAGTAATAATTGGCTTCTGCATAGCTTGATCCATTTGAAGCTCGACAGGCAGTGTTCTGATACCACAGCCACTTGCAGGAACTCCTTGTCATTTGCTCCGTCAGCTTCATTCGTGCCATGCAGCATCGTGAGACCGTCGCGTCCGGGCGTTGGAGAACAGTAAGGTTTCCAGATAGGCTTACCTGGCGCGATATGATAGTACATGGAACGTTCCAAGAAGTACACGAGATCGATGTTCCACTTTAGAGAAGATGTCAGCTACCAAGCAAAAACCTCTGACACCGGAGAGTACCTACTGGTAGATTTGTGCCCGATGTTGAGACAAAATCCCACTGTAGAACGAGCATCTCGCCCTGGTCAAAGCCGCCAATCCACAATTTTTGTGCAATGATCTTTCTCGCCGGCAACAAGGCAAGAGCCAAGTATCGCATCGTGAAAAGAGCATCTGTCAGTGTAGTGTCACTCCTTACAGAGCCGTCGACACAAAGTCATGAAGAGCAGATCCATGTGTCAAAACCGTCTTGCGCACGTTGAGGTACAAGGCTTCATGGCAGGTGCATATCCCCGCCTTGAGCGCGTCTGTACGACTCGGGTTGTCTTACGGCGACTTACCTCGACCTGATGTCTCGGTAGGACGGCGCGGGCAGTAACTAAGCACAAGTCCTATCGGCAGAGCCAATGTCGGAGGCATCAACACGGGGGACGCTGGCGTTTCGAAGCCATGATGATGCCTTTCACAAGCACACATTGCTGAGGAGGTCCTGGTCAAATCGGAAGATACCCTGGATCAGACGTGCGCTTGACGCCCGGTCAGCGTGTATTGCGCGCTCGCCGTCTCTCGGTCTGTGTGACACGCGCAGGCTAGTCGAGCAGTTTGCTAGGGACCACAACCTGTGATGGAACGTCAGAATGAGTTTGGACACTAAGAGCACGTGACCGCGCGTTCGGTGGCGGTGATAGTTGCTAGAAACGTCAAGCGTTATCACGGACACTTGCAGCAAGTCGTTGCGAACTCTAGCGCTGACTTGTAAGGCCCGCAATAGTCATGTCGAGCGCTCTAACGTGCAAGCTATGATGATCAGCATCAGGCGACGTGGATGCTACCCCGCCTGCCAGTGCTTTGTGCACCGCGTTGCGCATTGCGCTAGATGCCAGGAGATATAACGGCTAGCACGTTGCGCTTGGTCGCCCGATATGATCGTTCACGCATTTCACGAAAATCCATGTGAGACTGGTCGGTGTGCGCACCATGCCTGGATCACGCAGAACATGGCTCGGCGCCTTGCTCGACCGAACATTCACCTGGATGAACAGCCTTCCGGTGGAGAGCTGTAGCTATACAGTCGAGAGTTTTCGCATACCAGTCGACAAGAATCTAGAACTGACAGCAGATCTCTATCAGACTTTGTCTCCCAAACCAAAAGGCACTCTTCTCGTACGGACGCCATACGGCCTCGGCATTGCCGCTGCCCTAGGCACAGGCCGCTTCTTCGCTGCACAAGGATATCACGTTCTGATGAACGCCTGCCGAGGCACCTCTGGCTCCGATGGCCAAGTTGCAGCCGGCACGGACGACGTCGCAGACGGTCAAGCCGTGGTTGCGTGGATGCGCAAGCAGCATGGTACACTGGCTCATTTGCCACGTTGGGCGGGTCTTATCTTGGATACACGCAGTGGGCGCTACTGGCAGGCGAACCAAAGGACATGAAGGCAGCCGCCATCTTCACTGGGCCAGACAGCATGCAGGGCTTTCTTTGGAGTACGGGCGCTATGCAGTCGCACATCATCATTTGGGCAGACTTGATGCCCAGGATGACGAGAGGTGATGGGATGCTCTTGCTGATGTGGTATATGCGATCGATGATGGAGACTCTACAGCCGGTGTTTGACTCGGTGCCGCTTGTTGATGGAGTCAGCAAGTATCTTGGGGAGAAAAGTATGCCTGAGTGGCTTCATAAGGCGCTCACCGTCCCGAATGACTCGTGGCCGGGATACGAGCCTCCTCCGACGGCTGGCGTGCTTGAGAAGGCAAACATTCCCATACTGCAGGTGACGGGTTGGTATGATTCGATTTTTGCAGTTATTATGCATCAGTACTATCGACTATTGGAAAGGGGTGTCACCGTGAGACTTGTCATTGGACCATGGACACACTTGGGCGCACAAGGCCGCAATGTGTCGGCAGAGACACTGCCATGGGTCGAAGAACATCTTGCTGGTGGTCGCCCTGATCCGAAGCCCGCTGTCCGATATTTTCTGACGGGCAAAGAGGAGTGGCGCGAAGTGGACAAGTGGCCGCCAGTCCCACGATCGCGACAGCAATACTTCCTTGATACGAATGATCGATTGTCATTGTCAGCCGGCTCCAACGACCGTGCAGAATCCTCATTCATGTTCGATCCGGCAAATCCGACGCCATCGACCGGCTCCCCTCAAGCATTTGCCGCCAAGAAGGGTCGCACAGATGAGAACAACACGCTCATAGCGAGGTCGGATGTCATCAGCTTCACTTCACCTCCACTCACAACGGACATTGAAGTCATGGGTCAATCTATAGTCACCATCCACCACTCAACAGACAATCCTCACGCGGACCTCCGTATCATCCTTAGTGAAGTCGACAGTAAGACAGGTATCTCACGACAGGTCTCGGAGTACTACAGGCGACTCGACCCAAAGCGGTCGCAGACTGAGCCACTGAATGTCTCGCTTCACGACATCGCGCATGTCTTCCGCAAGGGCAACAGAATTCGACTATCGGTCGCGGGTGGGTCACATCCCAAGTATATCAGAAACATAGGATCTCGAGAGAATCCTGGATCAGGGACGACCCTGAGGTCAGTGACTCATACTGTCAAACACCACACAAGCGCGGTTTCCGTGCTGTTTCTGCCGGTCACGAGTGGTGTTGATATGTAGGCCGCGTTGCCGAGCTACGAGGAGAGATGTGTAGCAAGCTCGAGGGACCAGAGACAATCACGAAGGAATGCCTTACAGATGGGACAAGGGAAAAGGCTCATGTTGTAGTACTGCGGCCTGCGAGCAGGGCTAGCTATGGTCCTGGGCAGCAGTCTTGTAATGTGCGACGGATGGATGCAGGTATACGATCCATGTTAATACAGGTACACGGTCAATGGCACGAGTGGATCAAAGAGCTACAGCGGCCCCATCATCGACGTCCATCGACTCCAAGTCTTCTCGTCCTGTACGAGGTGGATCGTTCGTCTCTCACGCCATGAGTACCGTCCAAGAACATTAGAGAGCTGCCTCGTCAATGCGGCCGGTGTCGGAGACCGCAACTTGTGGACATCTGTCCGGAGCACAAGCTTGCGTTGGTCGACGGGAAGGTACCTCGAGAAGTAGCTCATGCAGCGGCCGGGAGTTACATCACTGCGCCTTGTATCTAAGCTCGCTATGCAGCATTCCATTACTGTGCGGCACTATGCCGCAGATACTTAGTAGATGAGCGAGTGTCATGACTAGAGAGGTCAGACTCGTCTCACTCATACGAGGCACTGATTTAAGAGTCAACCCATCTCAGTCCAATCCAGAATATGCTTTTGGCGTCGGTATTCCACCGTCTGTAGACAGTTCATGAGCAAACTGCCTATTTCTGCCACTTTCCACTTGTTGACGTCGAGAGTCGCTGCGTGACGAAGTTGAGTCTGTAGTGATAGTTTGGAATGAATGTGGATGACTCCGGAGCTTGCTGCCAGCAAATTGATCAGCTGTTGCTGGCACGTGCAATTGTCGAATGTCGTCGGGAGGTGAGTGATTCAGCCAGTCGCTCTCGTCGACCGGCTTAGAAGTTGTGGCCTCTGCGGCTGCAAGAGACGCCGGTCGTTCTATAGAAGGGAAGTCAATCGACTCGGTGCCTTCTTCATCGTTGATGTAGATGGGCAACGACTTGAATGTCGGCGCCTGCGGCTGCTCTGTTACCTCGTTGACTGTCTCTGCATCGCTTGCGGAACAGCAGAAGCAACGGAGCCAGTTGCGGCGTTTGAAGTAGACGAAACCCATGGACATTGTGAGCAGACTGATCACAGGTCCTAGGATGGCTCCCGATAAGGCGGCTTTGGTCAGCCCATTGACCGCTGCGTCGCCGGTGCTTGTTGTTTCGTTGGTGTTGTCTGGTAGGGAAGATGAGCATGCCTTCGTAGTGCCTATGGCAGCACTCGACGGCCCACGGGTCGTTGTAGTGGTAATCGTGGTGGCGACTCCTGTTGAGTCTGTTGCTGTGACAGTGTTGCCTAAACCAGGGCTAGGGTTTGGCGGCCCAATGACGTCCAGTGAGGTTCCTGAATTGTATCCATCCCGATCTAGTGTCGCATCTCTGCTGAGTGCCAGGCGGTCGGGGATGCCAAAATCATACGGTCCGGACCATGAAGACGCAGTAAAGCCGCTCGAGTCTTGAGCCATAAAGAAGACTGGCAATCCTTCATGGAACTCGTCAGGCATGTCCCAGTGATCACTGTCCTGAGAGTCTCGCTGTTCGACGATGATTTGACCAACAAAGACATCATTCTCAGTGTTGTTCGATCTGAAAAGCACAATCTTCCATGATCCATTAGTATTAGCAACACTAGTGAAGTCCCACTGGAGATACATCCTCATTCCCTGGTAGAGTCCGGAGATGGTGAGATGTTGGCCGGAAGTGCCAGCAATGATAGCTAGTAGGAGGGAGAAATGCAACCTCATCTTCCACCTATTGAGACTGCTGCGTACCGGCGCTGTAGCGATCAAGCAGTCGCAGATACTGCGTCTCCTGAGGTGATCCAGCAAATCGAGGCACATGAAGACTGCCCTAGGGGGAAATTCTGCAAGAGTCGTACACCACGCCTTTGGCTTGCGATCATATTGCGAGGGGTAATTGTATCTTGGACGACTGTGCGACGTGTGCAGCTGCCCTCGGAACAAGGTGAGTATTGAAGGTCCGAAACACGGCCAGCCGCAGTATGCTACACAGTTGTGCATCATCCCAAGACACCAATACGCAGGCTTACGGGAGCCTTTTGACTGCCGTGATGGAAAGAATTGACCACAATTCGTACTGATCATTGTTTAGCATCTTCAGCACTTCGCCACGTGTCTGGCTTGCCAATTACCCCTTCCAGAAGCTGAGGCACCAGCACAGCAGCATCGCCCTCAAAGAAGAAGTCGTCACTGTCCAGTGCTCGAGCATCGCTGCGATCCATGTTGATTACCGCAACTCTTGCACCCTTCTTCTTTGCCATGGCGGAGTATCCTGCAGCAGGCCATACCTTGGCTGAAGTGCCGATGACTAACATGAGGTCGATCTTGTCATTCTCTGCGAAGTAGTCATTGACGGATTGCATGACATCCTCTGGGAGAGACTCGCCGAACCACACGACACCCGGACGCAGGAGATTCTTCTCGCATTTCGGGCAGTGTGGGAGGGCTCCTGTGGGTGGTGATGAGATCGGGATGTCGGCGTTGGAGATGTCAAGGCCCCGAATCAGAGGGTTCGAGGGCACGTCGGATTGTCGCTCTGCAGTCTTCGCAGCTTTCGTGTTGACTATTTGGCCAGGCTCTTTGAGCTCCGGCGCAGCAGTCTCCTCGCCTGATGTCCCAATTGAAGCACCCTTCTGAGCAATGTGTTTCTCCAGTAGCTTATTGCCAAAAGCAGGCTTCTCTGGATCGACACCGTCCTTCTTCTGTAGCATCACATCGATAGCGGCCTGGTCTTCCGGAATTGCCAGTGCTTCGACAATTGGGTCAGTCAGATCATTCTTGCGTACATAGCCGCAGCGGCGCTCGTCCCAACACTTAATGTCGAACAGGTTGCCATGTAGGAGCTTCAACTGCTTTTCCGGATGACCTGCTCTGGGTCCAAGGTTGTCCACGTTCTGGCTCAACGTCAAGAACTGCGGGTTGCGCCGCGCCAGCTCAGCCAGGGCGTAGTGTGCTGGATTCGGCTTGGCGTTCAATGCCATATGGCGACGGTAGGAGTAGAACTGCCAGACAAGGCCAGGATCATTGCGGAAGGCGGTGGGAGTTGCCAGCACAGTCGCATCGTAGTTGCGCCAGAGACCTCCTGCGCCACGAAAGGTAGGTAGTCCGCTTGATGCGCTCAGTCCTGCGCCGAGGAGAGCAACGATGCGGCGAGAGTTGAGGAGATGGGCCTTGAATGCCGCGATGTCCGTGGAGGGCATGTCGTCCTTGGCTTTGGGTGTCATGGATGCTGTTATTGGGTTTGTCTTGATTGTTGATTCAAGATGTCTTTGGGTGACTGAGAGTTCCGCTCTGGAAGACGTTTCGGAGGTCGCACAGACGAGTCTTGGTTACATATATGCGTCTTCATTCACCTACATGTCGTTTCGTTATGATTGCTGTTGTCTCATGTTCGTTGTTGCCTGCTCGCTCGCAGGTACTCCTGTCAGTGCGCGCTACTCGTGAGTCATGAGCTCCAGTACTTAAGCGGGTGTGCTTTATCGTCGTGACTGCCTAGGGCTTTTGAAGTTGTCGTTGTTGATCTAGTCAAACGACTTCCAGGCGGACATGTTCTCCTACCAACCATGATAGGATGTAATGAGGATTTGATGAATGGACGTTGTGTAATCGCTTAGAATCGGCAATGTCGAGGCAGCGAATAGGATTTTATTCCGTTTCCACAAGGACTCCCGCAGCGGTGACCACTTCACTCAGATGGCAATGTGACCCCTCCTCATTTCTTTTTCAGTCATTCTTAACGACGAAACGAAAAGTCCTAGAGTACAGCGCATTCCTCAGAGCCTCACGAACGTAGCGATCGTCACCATTTCCCCTTCAGTGCATTCGTTCTGGAATATCGCCACTTCGCCTCATCGAGTCCTACGAGGCCAGCGAGGCCCTCAACCGTTTGACACAGGGTCCCTCAGATGATAGCGCCTACGGCGATGGGGCGTCTTCCCCATCATGCATCCCGCCGATCGAGCCGGCGGCGCGTAAATCTGCTGGTCTTCCTGACCGAGGGCATCGGCCCAGATGTGCTGCCGTTTCTGCTCCAGAACGCAGATCTCAATGTTCGTGTCGTGGCGGATACCTCGAAACAAGATTTTGCACAATACATGGAGCCGGGAATATCACTAGAGCAACTGGAATGGTACGAGAACTCGCCACAGGATCCTTATCGGAATCAGAATAAGATGCAGGGACACCGACTGGCAAGGTGGGCTGATCTGCTGTTCATGCTCTCAGATGCCGGAATGACGAGTTTGATGCTTGGAGGCTTCACGACGGATGTGATATTGCATGTGCTGAGGTGTTGGAACTCCTCGAAAAGAATCATTATGCTCCCAGAACTAAGCCAGGACGAGTGGAAGCATCCGATCTGGGAGAGGCAAATGATGAAGCTGCAGCGGGACTCGGACTGGATACACCTCCTACAGCCTGCGCTCTGGAACTTTTCCGACCAGCCTACCGGCGTCAGCCAGCCAGGTCCAAGTCCTATGGGCGGCGAGCCTGACATTGACTGGCATTGGGAAGGGCCAGGAGATATTCTCGAAGCCATTCACAGCGAGGTACAGAGCGTGCTCAGGAAACACGCGAGCAAGCCTGTCGTAGTGTCAGGACCAAGCAACAATCAGGACGACGAAGATAAAGCAAGATTGCCTCCTGAAGTTTGGACAGTCATACTGGACCACCTAGGTGACTGGGAACTGGCGACAGCGTTGGGTATCTATCACCACATCCCCACACCAAGCGAATGGTCTGGGCTTGTTCCGCGATCTGGAGCGAAGACACACAGCTTGGAGTACACCATTCTCACACAGCCACTGTCAAGGATTAGGGCATACTTCACGACTTCCGCATCCTACAAACCACCTACCACACTCTCACAAATTGCGACTCGACTGATCTTCCGGTTTAGCATGACGAAGCTTTTGACTTATCTGGCGCTCCAACAGAAAGACATCTTCTGGACCAGCTTCGGGCTGTCCCTACTTCCTCACAAAGCTAGCCTGATCTACAATTCTCCGGCGATCCTCCAGTGGTGGAAAGACTGTCCTGCAGTGATCAAGAAAGAATACGGCCCGGAAGCTCTTGATGGCGCATCTCGCGCAGGCTTTGTCGAAGTGCTTCAGTGGTGGATAGACTCTGGCTTACACCTCTCATACACCGAGAAAGCACTGGAGTCCGCTTCAGCAAAAGGTCACGTCGAGGTACTGGATTGGTGGAAGACCAACAGCGAGAAGTTGCAGAACACGTCTCGAGACCTGCCGCTGAAGGTTGGCAAGAGCATCATACTTGCCGCTCAATCAGGTCGCGTTGAGAGCATCGAGTGGTGGGAGAACAGCGGCATTCCATACTCGCATGAAGATGGTGTCACTCGCTTGGCTTCTCAACATGGCCACGTAGCAGTCCTGGAGACGTGGTACAACTTCAAAGGAAGCAAAATGATATTTGACAACCAGGTCCTCGTCGGTGCGACAAAGAACGGCCATGCAGGTGTGCTGCAGTGGTGGAAAGAGGTCAGCAAGAGGAGTGGTCTGAAAGTTGAATACAAGACTTGTGACATCGAAGAGGCTATGGAAGATGCGGTAGGTGGTGGTGGGGAGGGCGAGGTCAGGGAATGGTGGGGAAGAAACGGACTCAATCTTGGAGTAGGCACCGGAGAATGGATGAAGGTGAAGACGCTTTGAAAGAGCAGGGAGGAACGATAGGTATGTTTGATTGCCAGCCAGCAAGCGCTTTCGGAATATTATTGTTTAGTCCACTTGTCCCTGGCGCAGAACCTGGCTCGTTCTTGCCCTGGCAGGTGCGAAAGCATTTGCTACAACGGTCCTCTCACGGTGACATCGACATCCTTCCGACTCGGCATGGCAATATCACTTGTCCTGTGAATGTGCTCCTCATACCGCCTGAACAGCTATTTCGACAACGCGAAGGCCACTCATGTGCCAGATTCTGGCCCAAACAAGGTACTTAGTATTTCTCAATCGGATTATGATCCGCCGCCATGTCTCACCAGTCTCCCCAAGCACTGGCAGCGACCTCGTCCCGAGGATGCGCGAGCGGGCCACCTATTCATGAAGCTTACTATTGTTCTTTGGTCGACGAAAGTTGGGTCATAACGACGTACATCGGCATTTCCAGTGATCACTCCTGAGTTCTCGTAATGCATCAACGACGGCATGTATACTATCCCTCTCGTCCTCCCGTTCCTTCTCAGTGCCAGCATCTTTGGCAAAGCTCACTCAAAGATTGTGGTGGGCCCGCATCTCACAACCGCCGAATGCGTCGTCGGTGCAAATTGCACGATAGAGTGGCTGACAGACGACTGTGACCAGACGCAAAAGGTGAGAGAATTTTCCCTCGTACGAATGGCTGTGATACTGAGCGGCGTTAGTATGCACTGTGGCTTAACAGCAAGATGGACGGCAGTTCGGGAAGCAATTCAACTTGACAATAGCTATGCGTTCTTGGACAATGGTACGTGTTGCAGCTCCTGACGTATGCTCCCTAAACTGACACGAACAGTGCAAGAAAACAGTTGTATGTACACAATGATCAAGGCCGAGACCGGCAATTTTCGCTCGAACGAGCGCTATGACATCTTCATGGCACCCTTTGATGCTGCATATCCAGAGGATAGATGGAATTACGACTCGGATATCAGAGCAGGGGTGTCATTCGATGTCTCTGCTACAGCCTCAGAAAGCGCCGAGGTCACTAAGAATCCGCCGGCCTGCCAACGGCCACTTATGCTTCCAGATACTTTCAGTCCAGAATCGGACGGCTACAATTGCTTCGACGACCCGAAATACGTGGGCTGCCGGTATTGGTACTGGAAGGAGGTAGTGGAGCTCATCAAGACAGCCTCGACCATCACCGGCATCGGGGCCTTCTACCTCGGTGTTGGCTTCGCGATGCTGGTCTATGTCCTGTCTCTATGGACCGTGAGACGCACCAGGTCATCTAGGTGTTCCGTCATAATCCCGCCCAGCACCTCTCCGAGAAGCGCAGACCCTGAAGCCGCAAGAGCAGAACTTGATGTTCAGCCAAGATCAACGTGGCCTGGAGGTGTTCTGAATGCTGTCCACGAGCCGCATCCCGGAATTCCAGTCGTGCCTGTTGTTTCCGATGAAGTCGGAACCACGACGAAAGCCTCATCACCAGTGTCGCAGATCCACGAGCTCGCTGCCTCGCCAACCCAACAACGCGACGGCATATGGCAGGGTCCCGGGATCGCCACTATCAACACGCCTTCGGTCAACCCCGTCACAGGGTCTCATGACGCAGCTAAACCAGCGGAGCTCACAAATGGCGAGCGTCAACCCATTACTGAAGACTCCGGCCATTGTCGTCTGCAGCCAGAAGTTACAAAACACCTGTCGCCAAATCCGATCAAACACCAGCGGAAGGCATCGAAGGAGCCCGACTTCGAAATGCTGACGCTGGCCTCGATCGGATCAAATCCATAGCATGGCTCTACGCAGCGACTCGTCAAGACCTGCAACCGCCGCACACATGTATACTTCCAGTCCGGGCCGCTGTTGGTCACCTGTCAGCATCGTCTTCCACTGCGTCGCCCTCGGCGTCACAATGAAGGTACTGATGTTCGGGCCTGACTGACTGTATGCAACGGATAGTTGCAGTGTCTCTGTGGTCCTGAATGGCGAACATGCTACCGTCAAGATACAGCAAGCGCAACAATTAGCTCCAGCGTTTTTGTCTGTCTGTATCAGGTGCATGCTCTGATCGCAGAGCACCTAAGTCTCCTTTTCTCCAGGGCTCAGACGCCACAGAGCAAGGTGTACGCAGCACAGTCTCAATCACCACTCATCACGTTGGCTCGGCGCTGCACACACTGGATTTCTTTGTTCTGAACCAAATAAGATCCGCAGCCTCCCGTCTACCTTATCGCATTCCAGCAAACACATGAGACATCCAATCACTGCTCAATAGCCACAAGCAGATCTCGCGACCGCGTCTCTTTCTGCATCGAATGCTGGACTCTTCGAGTCTCTGTCGACAACGCACGCCATAATGTGCATCACGCAACTCATCCTCGTCGTCCTCGTGGCTGCCGGACTCATCAATCGCAGTCATGCTAAACTTTCGACATTCCCACGCTTGACCAGAGATGAGTGCGTGATCGGCACGCCTTGTAGGGTCGAATGGACGACCGATGACTGCACCAATGTCGTCGTGGTAGGCGCCTGCCTCAAAGCTTCTCGCCCGGACACTGACCATACCTACGTAGTGGAAGCTGTGGCTCAATGGTAGCAACCCCCGAAGCACAAATGGAGAGGCGTACAGTGTCTTTCAGCTCCCGGACGGTTCGTCGAACAGCATTCGCGAGTCCGGGCCCAACTAACACTTCCTCAGTCATAGAAAATGCTTGCCATTACACAATGTCCGCGAGCACGACTTCGAATCTCACTGAAGGAGCTTACTACTACGTCTACATGTTCAGCTACGATGCGAGCTTTCCAGATGGGTTCAACAACAATACAACTCCTGGAAGCAACCTCGTGTCAGCGAAGCCGTTCCAGGTGTCAAAGTCGCTTTCTTCGTACTCCAATACCCGAGGCCCTGAAATTTTAGCTCCTCAATGTCAGAAGCCTGCTGGCACACCACTCTCGGTCGGTGCAATCGCAGGAATCGCTGTTGGCGTTTTCTTGCTTGGGCTGGTGATTGGATCGCTCGTCTTCATGGCTATCGGAGTCTGTGGAATGCGGAAAGAGAAAGCAAGAAAGGGGCAGCAGCAGCAGAAAGACACGGCTACTGAGGGAAACGAAGCTCCAAGCATTCCTCAAGGGGCCGATACGAGATCAGAAGTCAACAACCGTCCATACACTGCAGAGCTCGACCAGCATCGACCGCTGTTTTCCGAGCGCGCCATCGAGAACAACGCGTTACCAGGCCCGCCTGAAGTCCATCCCGGTACACCGTTCATCTTTGGCCCTGAGAATCCAGAATCAGCGAGATCAATCCCAGCATCAGCGAGCAACATCTCATTCGATGTCCACGAGCTGTCCTCAACGCCTGTACGCCCTGGCAACGATATCTTTGAAGGTCCAGGACAGGTCAAGATTGAGCCTGTGGGAAAGTTTGATGATACTGCTGTACCAGATCTAAACCTCGTGGGAAGCGAAGCGGAAGCAGGTGAGGCAAGCGCTCAGCAGACTGCGACTGGAGGTCGAGGAGAAGCACTGCGATAGAACAGGTGAATGGAAGAGGAGCACGAGCATGAATTTGCAGCCTTGATTTCTGCAAAGCCGACGTGTTGGAAACGAGCGCGTTGCCAAGCAATAAGCGGAAAATTTCCAGCAACGAGAATGGCTCGGCTATCTAGCTTCGGCTCCACCCGCCGCTTACCCGCTCGCTTCCCGCCACGCGCCTGCCACTTTGTTTTCACAATTCGATGCCTGCTTCATCCACACAATCCCCTTCACCGCCACGAAACAGGGTTCTCATGGCCAATTGATCATGGCAATCTTCGACGGGAGTGACGTGGTAATTAGTACCAGCCTCCCGGCACTGCTCGAGTAGGTTACTAATAAAGCAGTTGACCGTTGGGACTCGCTCTTGCCGTGCTGACTATCACATTGCCTGCCTCGCACTTTTACCTGGCAACGTGGTCGCCGTGACTGCACTCGTCGTCGATACCAACCAGTGACTTCCAAACACGACACCCTAGTCTACGATGTTCTGAAGAAGCGTCTACCACTTCCGACTCTGTACATTACTTGCATTTGGGGCGTTTTCAGCTTTTCTTTCATCACAATCGTCAGCATGCCTTCATTACTCCGATCGATATTGCCAGTGCTGGCGACAGTTGGATACAGTACTGCACAGTCGTTCAGCAATTGCAACCCGATTTCGAATCGTAAGTGCTCAACAACGGCCGCAAGCTTACCTGCTAACAAACTATAGCCGGCGTATGCCCAGCAGATCCAGCATTAGGACGAAGCACATCGATCTCATTCACCCAAAAATCGGACTCTTTCGCCGAGACTGGTGTCGTCAACTATGGCCAGAATGGCGCCGAGTTCACAGTCGCGAAATCTGGAGATAACCCTCACATCACATCAGGCTGGTACATCATGTTCGGCCACGTCGAGTTTGAGATCCAAGCTGCGCCGGGCCAAGGCATTGTCAGTAGTGCGGTTCTGATGTCAGATGTGCTCGATGAGATCGACTGGGAGTGGCTTGGTGGCGACGACAACCAGGTTCAGAGTAATTACTTCCGCAAGGGACAGGTCACAGTGGGCTACAACCGTGGTGCTTTCCACGCCGTGCAAGGAACTCACGATGGCTTTCACAAATACGCCATCGACTGGACTGCGGAGCAGATTGTGTGGTCGATCGATGGGCAGACAGTGCGCGTTCTCGAAGCTGGCAATGCACAAAATGGCGACTATCCTCAGACACCGATGCAGATCAAGGTCGGTTCCTGGGCGGGGGGTGACCCTGGCAATCCGCAGGGCACTATTGAATGGGCCGGTGGCTTGACTACCTATTCCAATGGGCCCTTCACCATGTATCTCAAGTCGATAGCAGTGACAGATTACTCGACCGGAACAGCATATACCTACTCCGGTACGACTGGCGACTGGGAATCGATCCAATCTGATGGTGGCTCAATCAACCCACAAGGCAGCGGCCAGCCTGTTGCCACAGCGGATCAGCCAGCGATAACATCGACGGTTCCAAATGACAGCAGCGCACCTCTGGCGTTCGATCCCAGTGACTCGGCATCTGTGTATGCGACAAGAACGGGCTGGCCATGGACAGGTACAGCGACAGCATCAGTGGTGCCTCCTGGGTGGTCTATTGATGGGAATGGAAATATTCATCCGCCTAGCTCGGGTGCTGTAAGTATGTCTTCCTCTGCCGCACTGTGTACGCAACACTAACAACAACTTTGCAGGCACTCTCCCCATCTGGCTCTTATGCTCCGGCATCTTCTTCGGCGTCTTCTTCAGACTCTGGCCTGAAGCAAGCACGATCAATCCTTCGAACGCATCGGCTTCACCCATTGGTGTGTTGCCACAATCTTCGCCTTCACAGACCAAGATATCAATTGGTGTAATTGGCGCAATGCCTACCACATTAGAAACGGTCCCTGCAGCTGAGACCATATCAGACGCCTCTGGGCAGCTAGTCTCGACTGGCAACAGTACCCCAGCACCTACAATCCAGTCTGGAAGTCACCCCACACAGCCCGTGAGAACGAACTCAGCAACTGCGAGTCAAGGCTCAGATACTGCTTCTGACAAGCAGACCTCGTCTATTCCCACTGCAGCCAGTAGCGCAACGCCTGGCCCCAACAGTACTACGGCCACGAGCGACTCTTCAGCCGCAGCGAGCACAGTCACAACAGGGTCGAAGAGGCCCACGGTCACGACGCTGTCTACCAGCCGGACGTGGCCTGCAACTCTCACGCGATCGGCCTCTACAACACAGTCCTCCACGGATACCTCGACCACGAGTGAAACAGGGAACCCCACGGAAACGCCTCAGGCGCCTTCGTCGACGGGCCTTAGAAATACCGCCCAATATTGGTCTCTCATAGGGCTCACAGGGACTTTCACTCTTGCAACTTGGCTGCTGTCATTTTGAAGGGGGTCAGGAGCAATTTCGCCGGCCTGACATGGCTCCTCGAGAGATGAGCCACTTATTAGTAATAATCACGAGCTACGACACGATACCCCAAAATGGATATACAAAGCCGGGTAACAAGATAGGATACCGGGCAGGACTATATGGACATAGAAGTCAGTAGTATGAAGAATTGACAGTTGCAAGCTGTTTCCAGACAAACAGGAGTATAAGTTGCGAAACTCTTCAAGCACACCTGTAGTTGAAGCGGCCGTAGGTGACTCGGCGCCCGAAGAGTCAAGCTTTAGGCGGTCTCGGCGCTGCAGGGCCTTTCTTCGGGCGAGTAATTCCGCATGCAACGTCATTGCGCATTGCCCCTCGTCAAGTCTTCTTTCGACCACCAACAACCTTGCCACACGATCAACACATGTGGAAAATCGAATCTGCTGCGTAAGGTACCTTACACAATCACATAGATCGCTTTCTTCTATTCGCTTCCTGTTTATGCTGGCTACATTTCACATAGCCTGGCTCACAGTCCTGAATACGACCACCTACTTCTTGTGGTCTACCGGTTTCTGGCCTCCATACCACTCAACCACACATCCCTCCTACACAGATCGAATTCCCAACCATGGCGTCAAGTACAGCCGACATCACCCAAACACATCCATACACCTGCAACTCATGCGCCGTCGCCTTCCGCAACAGCGATGCGCAACGGACACACATGCGAAGTGACTGGCACAGATACAACCTCAAGCGCAAAGTAGCAGACTTGCCACCTGTCTCGTCTGACGACTACAATGACAAAGTCCTCGCCGCCCAGGCCACGAATAAGGCCGCCGCCGAGTCAGCCGCCTACAATCAATCGTGTACCATCTGCAGGAAGACATACTACAGCGAGCATGCGTATGAGAACCACATGAACAGCAAAGCTCACAGATTGCGGGAGGCAAGAGGCGATGGAGGGTCGGTCAATGGCTCAACCATATCGAAGTCAGAATCTCGTGTTTCGGAGACGCCAGATCCAAAAGCGCAGGCTGAGTTCGACGAGGTGGTCGCTGGCATTAAGAAGACGAGCTTGAAGGAGCGTCCAGATCTGCAGCGGCGGCCATCTGCTCCGGCTCCAGAAGAGGAGACTCGCAAGCAGGACCATCCCATGTCACCAGAAAAGCCGGAAATTTCAGTGCCGCCGCTGACCCGATGCTTCTTCTGCAACTACGACTCCCCGAATCCGAAGCTGAGCGTCGAGCACATGACACGAATCCACGGCCTCTTCATTCCCGAGCAGACCTACCTCACTGATCGGGAGGGACTTTTGGGCTACCTGCAGGCGAAAATTCATTCCAACCATGAATGTCTCTGGTGTCACAAGCTCAAGAATACTACGGACGGTGTTCAGACTCACATGCGCGACAAAGGTCACTGCAGGATAGCTTTCGAGTCTGAGGAAGAAATGATCGAAGTCGGCCAATTTTACGACTTCTCTAGCACATACTCAGATCCGGAAGCCGACGATGACTCATCAGACGTGGACATGGATGGAAGCACCAGCAAGAAGGCCAAATCGAACGGCGGTGTCAAGATTCCGAACGACAAGTCCAACGAAGAAGATGACGGCTGGGAGACCGATTCTTCCTTCTCCTCGCTCGACTCGAACGAACTCACCTCCGTCCCGGTCGACGACCGCACCGAGTCCTACAACCGCCTGCACCTCCACCGCCACCACTCGTCAACAGACCCTCGACCGCACAAGAACGCCGATGGCTACCACTCACACGCACACCACCACAACAACGCCGTGTTCTACGATGACTACGAAATGCATCTCCCCAGCGGAAGAGTAGCCGGCCACCGCAGTCTAAAGAAATACTACCGCCAGAACCTGCACAACTACCCCTCACAAGCTGAGCGGCTAGCTCGGTCACAGCGCATGCTCGAGAACAACGATGACGATTCGGATTCGGAAATGGAGGACGTCGAGGACAGCTCACGTGCTAATCCTGCTACGCCACCGAAGAGCTCAGCGCTGACGCGGAGAGGCGAGGCGGGCATGCTGGGCGTGACGGACGAGAAGCGGGCGTTGGTGAGGAAGCAGGAGATGCGGGAGCGGAGGAAGATGATGCGGGCGGAGAATCGGTATCGGGCGGGTGTGGAGAAGGGGGCGAATAGTCAGAAGCACTTCAGGGTAAGTCCTCAGATCCTATTCTTCGTTTTCTTGGGATATTATGCTGACGAGTTGTACAGGATCCGCTCCTGCAGTAGTGGTAAGCGAGGTGTCGAGAAGCTTGTCCTGCGGAATCTGTTCAGTGTGGCGCCCTTGCAACGATCTGGGTGTCTGAGACGCATTATTAATTGCCTTTAGCACGAAGAGAGGTTACTGTCAGAGCCGCGCTGCAGCTAGAGAGCGAAATGATTGCATCGCATAGCCTACACCGGTCTGAGTATTCTTGCTAACAGATTGACGTGCTTGAGCCGAGCCATACTCGAACATCAGCCGGCGGAATCATTCATCCTCATGGATTTCCTGGCCAGGGAGGGCGCTGAGGGTTTCAATAGTTTCGGCTGTCGAGTCAGCAGGCTTGAGATGGGCGTCACTTGAGCGTCACTTCGTAGATCAGAATCATGGTGAGAGTCGGGCCAGGGAGGCCGCTGTATGAGTCTTGGCTATGCTATCCTCCTGCGGCCTACTGTTGTGTCCGACTGCCATACAATTGGGCTCTCTTTTTTTCTCTACCTCTCTCTGCGCTCACCACTTCAGCCGTCCACAAGATACTTAATCTTCCTCTTCCGATCCCCACCCGCCAACTCCCTCATATGCTCCTTCTGCGCCTTCCACCGCATGAAAAGCGCACAAGGCACAAAGAAGGCCGTGTTGACAGCCGACCAAGCTGCCAGCACGCCAAAATTCAATCCCAGTCTCGAATGCGTGTCGAAGATGATGGTCCGACTTGCATTGACCACATGATGCAGCGGCCACGCGTAGCCGTAGTTGAAGAACTGGGGCGCCAAGGGAATAGTATAGAACGACGATGCCACGTTCGTGATGACCCAGAAAATCAACCAGAGCGCCGCCCAGGGCTGGCCGATGACCATCGCCACGTTCTCGGAAGCGAGGCCGAGAGCGTACATGCCGAGGAGGTTGAGCATCCAGTAGACGACGAAGGTGCCGCGGCCGAAGGCGTCGGCGTTGTTGACGACGGCGGTTTGGGGCTCGGGGGTAGTGTTTGAGAAGGGGATTTGGAAGGCTAGGCTGACTAGGGAGTAGGCTAGCGAGAGGAAGAAGTAGGCTAGGAATGTTGCGAAGAGGCGCCAGAGGACTAGCTGGTAGAAGTGGAGTGGTGGGTGGCCTTTGGGGATTAGGAATTGGCTGTGGATGGGGAGGTAGAAGCTGAAGGTGAAGAAGGAAATGATGATCAGGTAGATGAGACCGATGCTGATGGCTGGTGTTGCTTGTGGAGGGCTGAATGGGCGGAGGTTGAATATGCTTGCGCCGATCGCTGGGTTGAGCGCTTGGGGAGCGTTGTTGTATGTTGCTGCGTTCAGGGAGTCGTCTGCGAGGACGCGGGAGATCCATTGCTGTCCGAATTGTGCTTGGATGTTGATGAGGAACTTGTCGAGTTGCGGTACGATGTAGTTGTTGTAGGTCTGTTCGTTGCGGGCCTGGACGTAGACGATCTGCATCGCTCCCTGTGGGTCGTAGTCGGCATTGCCTTCAGCGACGGCCTGCTGCAGAAGGTAGGATGCATTGGCATTGACGATAACTGCGGCCCAGGCATGCTCGTCGTAGACATGTTGGCGAACGGCGAGCGGATCGTTGTTATAGTCTGCTGGGTTCTCGACCCGGAAACCTAGCGCACCACTCGTTATAGCGGCCTGCTGCTCAGCAGCTCGTGTAACGGCGTCACCGACTACTGTCGCGGTCCCTGCTGGATATCCCTGGCCATCGAAGCTGACGACCACTACTGTCAGGCGTGAGAGCTTGTCGGTCAAGCCGTACAGGACGCCCCAGTACAGTGACAGGATCGCGAGAATGAACGTGCACAGCATCACTGTGGTAACGGCCCATTTGCGGAAGATGGTCAATCTGACATGCTTGAGAGAGTGGTCCCAGAAGCCGACAGGCTTTGGCTCCGAGTGATCATTTTCGACGTCCCTGTCATTGTTGTTGTGGTCACCACTGTTATCCTCATTGTCCTTCTCGTGGTTGTCGTTGGCATCGGCTAGGGTCGAGTTAGAGCGATCCTGGTCGAGACCCTCTTGTCTGTTACGCCCCTTGTTAAGGTGGAAGGCTATAGAGGAAGTCATCGTTCGACGCGTGCACTGTGGCCGGTCTTCTTCAAAAGGACAGATGTTGAGACAAGGGTTGGAAAACAATAAACACGAAGGAACGAGGACTTTTGCTAATACTCATAGACAGGTTTGTGCCCAGAGAGCAAAACCTACCTGCTTCATGACGTTGAATGCGGCTCTTTCAAAGCATATCTAACAAGCCTCTCCGGAAGCATCTTGCGCTGCTGCGCTGATTGCTTGCTTTCCCTTGACGGACGTCCTCGGGTGTGGAATGACGGTGCTGCTAGCAAAATGGATTCATTGCTAAAGGAGAAATTCTCTTCGTCATTTGGGGTGATGTCACCACTTCCACTGACCGTCCCCAGATCGAACATCGACGCCATACCACGTCCAGCACCAATCCGATCAGACGTTGCTCCATTGGGACCTGCCGTCAATTCTGTTTCGCGGCACTTCCCGCTGGACCAGCGTTTGTTCCTTACCTTTGCATAGATCAAGCGAACTGAGTATGCTCTCACATTGTCTGTTGGTCCTCGCCAAGAGCTGTGGTTGAACCGGATGAATGTCGGGCAAAACGTCAAGCCGGATGACGCGATCCAGAGCGAAATAAAAACATCGAGAGCTCTGCCGTTCCCTAAGCACTTTACCCCGGTTCCTCGCTGGCACGCTACACTGCAGATTATGGAATCCTTATCATCCACAAATCAGTAGCTATGCTATGCCATGGTTGCAGGAATATCAATCGAGCGTCATGCCGATACGAAAGGTATCAGCACAAAGCCATATCCGCAGACATATTGTTCTGCTCAGATCCTGCCTCCCAGCTGCATGTCATCGACAAATATGCATATATGAGACCCGTACCACACTATTCTTGAAAGTCACATAACAGAAGGACGCTGGGCTGGGCTGCGTGCAGTCGACATCAGTTCGCGCCCCAGGCTAGCTTCCGGAGCGTAGTTGACCGGTCCAGCCGCCGCACAGCATGCTCATTGTTCGTGGCAGTACCCATACAAGATCTCAATCACTTGCAGACCACGACTGTAAGCAATGTACAAAGCGGAGAATTCGATGTGACCGCATTATTCCGCGTTGTCGAAAATGTGCTAATCGAAGTCTTGCTTGTCCTGGCTATGCCGATACTCTGAAGTGGGATCAGGGTGTGGCGAGTCGTGGGAAGTGGAAAGGACAACAGCTTCCTGTCGATCAACGCGTGCGCATGGACCAGTGCAAGGGATTACGCTTCGACAGATCAACGGAGACTAGAAGTGGCAGTACACACACCTCCGCCAGCGCTCTGATCTCCACAGCCGCTCTACTGCGTCAGAGGGTCGCTGCAGATCTAGCCTCATCACATATGATCGCAGGCATTCTCTTGAGCCACTTCAAAACAGAGGTGAGCCCACGTCTGACTTGGCTTGATAGTCTACAAAATCCTTGGAGAACGTTGGTCGCCTCGTTAGCCAACCATAGTGCCAGTGTGTATTTCAGTTTGCTGTACCTTGCAGTCACGGATAAGAACAACCAACTTGGGAGGGCAATGGCCCTGCCACCAGCGGTCACGTCTGCACAAGATGAACTGCGCGGACGGGCGTTGCAGGCTTTGAGGCTTGATCTACAACTCAATCTCGACCATGCGCGACAAGCCCAGGACGAGCGAAGTGATGGCACGTGGCAGCACCCTGGCGGCGATGCGGGTGAGCGACGTGGACAAGAGCGAACTATGAAGAGATCGCCGCATTCGGCTATCAAGGTGCTCGCCGGCACACTGATCTTCAGCCACGCCGAGATGCTACGACCACAGTCCCAAGAGTGGCGACTTCATTTGGGAGGCTGTCATACCATCGCCAGGGGTCTTGTCCAGAGCCCTTCTCAGCTTCAAGCAGAGTCCCCAGCGCTCCGCTTTCTATCGAAGGAGCTGTCTGATCTCGAATCATTGCTCGAACTCTCGCACTTCCGACCAAGGCCGAGCCGCGCCCCAGTGCCACCTTCGAGGGTCCAACCGCACAGACTTGGGACGTTCACCACATTCACTGAGATTCTCAGGGACATCACCTCGCAGGAAAGGATGCAGGGCCCGCTTGATACGCGTGCAGGCGACTCGATCTCCATGACTGACCTGCGCGTTTGGAAGCAGCGGATCGATCAGGCGTTCGACCTTTCAAGAAGTGAGCTCAGCAATCAGCACGCAGCAGACACTGTCGCCGGTCTCGCGTTCAAATCTGTCATTGACGCTCACCACGTCGCTGCTATCATATACCTGCATCAGGTCTATTTCCAGTTCGTACATCCAACCGAGATGCTGGACGTACGTCTCTGCAGCGCAATCACAAACGTCCAAGACGCAGGCTTATACTACCACGATCTCTTCTGGCCTCTCTTCGTTCTAGGAACTTTGTCTACCGGACAAGATCAACAGCAAACGTGGGTTGAAAGGCTTTGGAGGCTATGCGTCTCCACTACTAGCTTCTATTGTAACGAGCCAGCATTGGCGTTCCTCAAGGCGTATTGGGCGCGGCCGTCGGAAGAATATCTTGTTAGCTGGATTCAATATGCCCGCCTTCACTCCGACGTGCTTGACTCTTTCATCATCTTTTAGGTGTTGGCCGGGGATGTTGCATTAATCGAAAGTCTCCGCCGATCGCATTCGAAGACAGGACTTGTCTTACGGACACGCGAAGGTTGAGCTACGTGCATGTCCTCACTCCGAACAGTAGGAGCACGACTCATTGTCGAAGAACTCAATTCTCTCTCCCGAGCTGCCTCTTTGGGTTTAGCTTCTATGCGGAAAAGCATTCACTACTACAGCCTCCCGGGCCCGGACTCACGAATGAAGGCCAGGTTTGCAGTGGCTCTTGTCCTCAGAGCGCCCTTTGGCAGCGGTCAGCAGAACTAGATTGTATGATGGACAGCTCCAGCAGGAGGCTGACGTTCACGTCTGCAGTATAAGACTGGAAAGGCGCCCTCGCCAGAAGCATTTGTGCCTATCCTAGGACTACACCACAAAACGTCTAATATATTGCTTGAGGCCTCTCGTTATGACAGCTGCCAAAGCATCCACGACAGCTACCGACGGTGTTACCCGTCGTCAGACGAACGGCGTCAGCAAGCAATCAGCAACAACATTCCAGCGCTTCGACGCCCATGATCCTGCCACTACGTCTTCTGCTGTAGTGGACGCAATCAACCATGCCGGAGGCGCCATTGTCACCAACCTCGTGTCCGCCGACATCGCGTCCCAAATCAAGGCCGATCTGGCTCCCTCTTTCGCCACCTCCCACACCGATGCCTCCCAATTCTTCCCCTCCACCACCCAACGTGCCACCGCACTCTTCAATCACCCCTCCTACATCAGACTCGCCACCAACCCGCTGTGGATCTCCATCGCTAACGCACTCGTCTCCTCCACATACACCTACTTCCGCGAGAACGGTCGCACGGAGACCGTGACCGAGAAACCCATTGTGAGCTCCACTGTCGGCTTCCGCGTCTTGCCAGGCGGGAAGCAGCAGGTCTTGCACCGCGACGACAACGACTACCACCCACACCCTTCAATCCTACCCGTGATGATCGGCTGTGTAGCCGCACTCACCAAAACTACAGCAGCAAACGGCGCGACAGTCGCAATCCCAGGCTCCCATCTCTGGCCCTCAGACCGTTTTCCGCGCAACGAAGAAGCAATCCCCGCAGAGCTGAACCCAGGCGACGCGTTCATCTTCCTAGGCAACCTCTACCACGGCGGCGGCGCGAATGTGACCAAGGACGAGTACCGCGAGACGGTGGGCGTGTTCATGTGCAAACCTACCTTGCGACCAGCGGAGAACCAATTCTTGAGTGTGCCTTTGGAGACGGTCAAGGGGATGAGTGCGCAGGCGCAGAGGTTGTTGGGGTATGGGGTTGCGAGGCCCGGGGTGGGATTTGTGAGGTATAAGGATCCGATGAGGGAGGTGCTGGGGGTTGACGATGGGGAGGTTGTTGAATTGTGAAGCAGCAAATCATAGTCGTGTGAAACGCAAGTTAGTTTCGAGATCGAGTGATACGCCAGCGCTCAAGTCATTGTCTTTGATTGATAGAGATGACCTGAATGTGGGTTTGAGGATGATCAGAAGTGCAATAAAGACTCTCCAGAGACCGATCGAAGAGGAACTGGAAGCGGATTTGACGACGAGCAGGAGTAAGTCGAAGACTCAGGAGAAATTGATCAAAGCGGGATTGGAAGCGGATCCGATGATAAGGTAAGAGATGGCGAACGACTTCCAGAGACTTAGATGAGCCAAAGCAGAGAAGTGACGCCTCAAATTGCGCAGAGAGACATGCTGTCACCTCAGCCCAGTCTCAAGGTGTAGAGTTTTGGTAGAGTCGTCAAGCTGTGGCATTCTACTTCCCAATTTGTTTGAGGACAGCTAGCAGCCATGCCATGCCCACGACGATGCTAGAACGGTGGCTGTGTTTACATGCGCCATGCTGTCCAACGACTCGACTTTGCCAGAACGCCCCTCGAAGCAGCGGCATGACTGATGACAGATGTCGATATTGGACGTGAAGACTAGTTGCAATGAACGAACCAACCGACCAACCCCTTTCGTAGATGAGGTGCTTGGAGAAATTGGCTTTCCCCATGGTGGGGCCAGATGCAGAGATTCTGAAGGTCTCGACGTCTGACATGATTGTGACGGCATGGTGGCTCCCCAAAGAGCCAGGATTTGGGCCGTCTGACAGATGTATTTCTACTTCACCCCGGTACTGCCCCACGAAAACGAGTCGAGATATGCCGAGACGTGGAGGATAGTAGTGGAATGTTCCGATAGACTACATAAAAATGGCGAGCAGCCCATGTGACACAATGCCAGATGCAGTACGTGCAAACGAGCTCGCCAGATAGCTATCGGTAGAACGCCAACATGACATTCAAGTCAATCTGCCTCATCGGCGCCTCCGGCAACCTAGGGACGCACATCCTGCGGCACTTACTTGAATCCTCTCAGAATTTCAACATCACAGTGCTTGCCCGCCAGTCCTCGACTTCAAAATACCCCGACAATGTCAAAGTGGTCACGTTCCCCGACGACTACCCCGTCGACAAGCTGAAAGATGCTTTTACCGGCATCGACGTAGTCATAGCTTCCCTCTCAATGACCTCCATGCACCAACAATTCAAGATCATGGACGCATGCTACGCCTCCGGTGTGAAACGCTACTTCCCTACAGAATTCGGCCTTGATGATCTCCCGCAGTGGCTTCTGGATCTGAGGGAGATGTTCAAGATCAAGCACGATGTCAGGGACCATCTGATTGAGAACCAGGCTAAGATGGAGTGGACGAGTGTCTGCTGTAACGCTTTCTTCGAGATGGGTGTTGGCAGCGGCTTCTTCCAGATCTTCTGGTCGGAGAAGAAGGCCGTGTTGATTGATGGTGGCAAAGCGGAGTTTGTGGCGGCGACGCTGGATACGGTGGGGTTGGCTGTGGTCAAGGCTATTGAGAAGCCGGAGGCGAGCAAGAATCGGATCTTGCTCGTGCAGGATTTCCGGACGAGTCAGAAGGAGATTCTGGATGCGATTCAGAAGAAGGTCGGGGGATGGGAGGTTGAGAGCGTTGAGTCGGGGCCATGGTTGGAGTCGGGGATTGAGGCTGTGAAGAAGGGGGATAACAGTCAGTTGGGAAAGTTGACTTTTGGGACGTTTGCGACGGGGAACAAGTATGAGGGTCGACCGGAATGGGGCAATGAGGCGATTGGGTTGAAGACGAAGAGTTTTGATGAGGCGATGGATGTCTTCTGGGCAGAGCATGAAGCGAAACAGAAAGCTTGAGATCACTAGGTCCAATGTGATACGACTCAAGCTGCTGTCTCTGAACCTGTGAATCTTCTGACGGCCGATCTGAAAGCTGGTCAAGAATACAGACGACGGTTGCAAACATGCATCAATATCCACCCGCAATGTATGTCGTAACAATCAGAACAGACAACCGTGATAGCATTCGGAACCAGTCTGACATGACCTTTGAGATCGGAGGTACAACGGCGCTTTAGTATGATCACATTTTTCTGCAGATATGCTTCGTCTAGGCAATGAGACGGAGGTGGAGGTCATTCTCTGTCGCCGAAGCCACGAATCTGGGCCTTCACTTGCAGGACCCGCCTGAGCATTGATCTAGACATCTCCTGGCTTGTGTGACCTTTGGGGTAGCCTTCTCGTGACGCGTTTCAGAAAGGACATTTCGATGGACTGGGGTGTGGAGGCCGCTGCAGGGGCCGCTCCTGTGGGAGATGCTGCGACGTGTGAGGACGCAGTCTTGGCGGGTGTATATCCGGGAGCTGTAGGCGTGGCGGGAACAATTGGGTCGGGAGCAGACGCACTCGCGGTAGACGTGGCCCCTGAAGTTGTAGGCGCAGCAGGAGGACCAGTACCGGGCAAGTTTGCGTTGGCGATCGTGATATGTGGGGAAGCTGGCATTGCACTTTGTTGGCTCGGCGGTGTACTGTTGGACTGGCTAGACGGAGAATTACTTGTTGCCGCTACTTTTGGAGGACTTGCCGTCTGCGTATGCGAGGAACCCCTGCTCCCAGATCCGCGGTTGGTGGGCGGCTTCTGCGTATTGAAAGTGACCAGTTCTTTGATCCACGGCCGAACGGTCATGTCAGCACCTTTGTCTCCGTAATCGATCATAGCCCAATAAAGACCAACCAGAAGAAGCGTGCCAATCGTCAGCGGCAAGCTGACCTTGAGATAGAGTCTGACGACACCCGGTGTCGTATCGCCGTCTGAAGCCGCCACGTTCCACGGCAGGAAAGGCATGGCGAAGATCGTAGCAATTGCGGTCGCCGGCAAGAATGTCAGAGTGCCAACAGTAATGCTCATCATGATGGCGCTGTCCCTTTTGCTTGCGACAGTGATATTGTGACTGATCTCGCTCCTTGCGAGGGCCATAATGCTGCTCATAGACGTCATAAGAGTTTGGAGAGCCTGCTTGTCCAATGAGCACTTGGTCTGCAACACCTCTATGTCATCGCTGAGACTTCGCAGGCGGTCTATCATCATGTTGCTGTGCTCCACCATATAGTTACCTTGCTCTGCAGTCGGGTATCGCTTTCTGTCTCCTACAGCCTCCATACTTTTGATCAGCTGGCTTACCCGAGATCGGAGTGCTGCTACTTCCACTTCCTCCGTGAACAATTCGTCGCAAATGTCGGTGACTGCTGCGAGACGGGTGTTGTGGTGGTGAATACCACTGTCTTTGTACTTGAACATCTTCTCACGATGGTCTTCGTAGCTTGTGCGCATTTCCACCTCGTGCTTCTGCAGCTGTTTGTAATACATCTCGAAGAAGAGGACTAACATCACAAGCGGATGCCCACAACGACGGAGCATAGCCCGTAGCCAGGAACGTAGGTTGTCCTCGAACTCCATGGAACAGCCGTGGAGCAACACAAATGTTTCTCCTGAATCCGTATTGTGTCGCAGAGTCAGTGCCATGTCTTTGAGCAGAGAAGGGGTAGTGCGAACAGTGAAGGAAAGATCCTTAGCTGTAACGGACTGATCTTCCTGGTGGTGGCGTGCATAGTACGATTGATTGTGCTTGACAGCGTGGAGGAAGGTTTTTGAGAGTCCTAATTGACTGAAAAGGCGCTCGAAGGCCGCTTGTCCTAGTCCAAAACGTCTCAAAGCTTCGCGTGACTGCATTGACTTGTCCACATCCACTGCAGGAGACGTCTGTTGCTCGTGTTGATCTGGGCCAGGCGCGCTCTGCGCCTGTGCATTCGGGTCTGCTGGAGGGGGGCAGCGCTCGATCACCAGTACAGTAAGGTTCCATTCTGGCCACTTTCTAGCTGTTGATGCTGAGCTACCTCGATCGTCAAGCCATTTGCAGACGTCGGAATTGCCATAAAGCTCTGCCGGTTTTTGCCAGACAGCCTCATGGTTCGATGCTGCAGAACTTGAGACCTCCCACACGCGAGCACTCCTATCAGAATCAAATGTCAGGTCGTTCAGGTTGCCCTTGTAGTCACCTTCATAGAATCGATCCCAGTCCATCAGTGTGAACTTCCGATGCAGAATGCCTGCTGATGCAGTGGGTTCAGCTTCTTTTTTCGACGATACACGCAAATCTGTGTGCAGCTCCAATGCTCCGTTCTCAGGTATTAAATTTGTCCAGGCAGCAAACCGAGCGTGATCTGAGATATAAGGACCCAGTCAGGCTGGACATGATGATTCAAATCAACGCAAGTACTTGAGGAGCCCATGACTTCCAGGAGGACCTTTGATCCGGACACCGGTCAGCCACGGTCTTGACTCAAGAGACGCAGATCTCAGCTAGTACAAGATCTAGACGGGTCGCAACATCGAGTTTCCTGCAAGCTCAAGTGCCGTGAGAGCCATGGCCGATTGATCTTTGTCCAGGGGCATTTTGGGCGAGGCTCATCTTGGTACCGTGTGTGTCGTGATTGTGCGCATGTTCGACGACTAGTGGCTTGATCAGAGGTCACTAGTCAAGGTAGCTGCGTCGAAGACACATGAACTGTCTGCTGGCGCATCGTGTGGGATAATTGATGATTTATAACCCGACATGCTTCGAATAGCCACACATCTCCGCCAGCGCCGAAAGTTGGTCTACAGCTCACAACTTGCCTCACGACACGATTGTTGTCGAGGTCGATAGGGGCCGAAGGCACAGACACAGGTCGGTATCTCAATCATTGCATTCGGTCGCCCTCTTGCAGCCTGCGATCCTGCCCAACAGGCTCTGCTGTCAATTTTGGTTGAATCGTGTTCCACAGACTAGCCTGGGGCCGATCTTAGTATGATTGGAGGCGAGAAGCAAAGAATCTGCACCGTGCAGAAGCAATGCACGACGTGGCCAAAGCAATACGAGGTGTCAGATGCGTCTCCTAGAAAAGAGCTTGATAGGGCATGAGAAGCGGTAAGCCCAGGAACGAATAAGCGACTGCTGCAGATTTGCCCGGCCTTTGTCAGGCCATGTCTGACAGGTCGCCCCTTCTTGCCCAGGTGTGCACTGCCACCGCCCAGTTGAAAATGCCTAAAGTCCCGTCTTTCTGTTCTTTGTACATTTCCGTCTGACCTTTTCGGCACACCATCAGAAGTTCGGATCCACAGCCTTGCGCAAACTGTGCTCACGAGAAGCGTAAGTACAGCACCTGCAACGACGTCGTACTGGAAGTTCACTTTTGCGCAATATCGAAAACGGGTAAAATATGCCAGAATTTGCACCAAGACGCGCCAGCCATTCTTGGAGAACACTGTCCTTTTGGCGAAGGACTCGAGGTCCCGAAATCAAAATCCCTCGTGACAGAAAAATTCAACGGTTTTCGTCCTACCACATAGGCGAAGCAAATTTACAAACATTCCTCGAGAAGAAATTTAAGGACACGGGGTGCAAAGTCGAGATCGACCAGAAGAACGAGAGATACGTGATAATATTGCCACCGGGTGAAGAGGAAATTCCGGATGCCGAACTGGAGAAGCTCCGGGACGAACGACAAAGGGATCACAGCAACGCGAATCCTTATACACGCGGGGAGTCGCCAACAAGGCCATCGCCAACAAGACCAAAGGAGGCTCAGAGGAGCAGCCGCCATCAGTGACATTCTCAACGCTGTGGTGACTACAGCAAATAGCCCGAAAAAGAACTCGGGAAGCAGAAATGAAGAAATGACGAGCAACGGTACGCTCCATTAAGCCCTGAAAGTGTGCACACAACCAAAACCCTCTTCAACCAGCACAATCAAACCCCTCTTCACCCAACACAACTGGAATCCTCTTTCACGTTACCAATTCACGTTCCACCACAAGCGGCTTCTCAAGGTATACGTCCGCCATAGTTTCCCCAAATGTGCCCTCCACCTTGACTCGAAGGCAACTGAGCTGTAGCAGCGCCCGATGTCGTTGAGATCGAAGCTAGCCTACTCGTATCCGATGCAAATGTGACTTGCACCGAAGGCGACGACGTGCTTGGTAGGGTCTGCGGGGTTGTAGTTGCTGTGGTCGTTGGCGTAGTAATTGAGCTGCTGGAAGCAGATGACGACGATGGACTTGTGCTGCTTGAAGTGCTGGATCCGCCGAAGTCGATCCAAGAGTGTTCATCAGAGTTTTGCGCTGAAGACGTAATAGACACAATTACAGTCTGCGAGTTCGTGGCGGAGGATGTGGTTGTCGGCAGCAAGATCATCATTGATGTGCTGGACGAGGCTGTTGAGATCGAGCTAGCAGTAGAGTGATCACTCGTCGAGCTGACTATGGAAGAAATGCCAGAGGTCGAGTGCGCTGAGGACGAAGTCGTGCCGAAGTTCCCAACGTCGTCCCAGTGGACAGTGGATGTGCTGATGAATAGGGCACTGGCTGAAGTTGACGCGCTGTTGGAGGAGGCTGACCCCGTCATGATCGAGAGACTACCGCTCACGGTCGTGGACGCGCTGGTGCTTGACATTGTGGACGTGCGTGAGAAGCTGCTCTGAGTGGTCTGAGAAGTGGAGGCTGCTGAAGCAGAGGGCGAGGATGTCGTGCTTGTCTCAGCGCTAGTGACCCCAGAAGTAGACCCTGACATCGTGGTCAATGAACAGCCGGGACAATACGTGATTGTGATGTCTGTCGAGGAAGGACCATATGCAGTGTCTGTGTTTGCAGATGCCGAGGAAGACGCCGTGTCCGTACTGCTCGTCGAGAGGGCACTCGAGCTCGGCGAAGAACTGGTGACCGAGAAGGTATTGCTCGAACTCGCTGGGGCGCCGGTTGTCGAAGCACTCAACATCTCGGTGGTAGTCGCTGAGCTCGAGGTCGATGGAGCTGGACTCATGTAGCAGCTACATGCACTAGTCACTGACGCAGTGTCACCCTCACAGTTCCCAAGGTATGTAGCGATGGGCATGCCCGGAGTGTTGAGGTAGTCACTGCAGAACGGACCGGCAGAGGAGACATAGCGCAGGTCCAGTATGTTTCGGAGACAATTGTCCGCGTAGCAATTGGGAGGCATGCTCGTGGTTGCTGTAGTGGTCGTGGACTGTGTATTTGTTTCGGTGCCTTGCGTGGCAGGTGTTGTCGTACTGTCTGGAGGCGCTGATGCTGTCGAGCTGGATGGCGGGGCCGTGCTCATGTCAGAAGTGGAAGCAGACGCAGCCATAGAGGAAGTGGTGCTCATCGAGTCGAAAATGGTACTCGTTGATACCATGGGCGCCGAGCTGGTGGTCGCAGGCGTAGACGAAGTCGCGGTGCTCGAGTTTCCATAGTCGAGCCACTGCTGCATATACCCATTTGAGCCCGCATACACAACCCGGAACTTTGCCGTCTTATACCCAGCATCGGTGGCGGAAGCCTTATTGACGACACCAGAGAAGTAGGCACACTTGATGAGAGTTGTCGAGGACGGATTCGGACACTCTCTACCAGGTTTGTAGGCCGGCGCACGCTCAAAGAAAATGTTGATGCCAATACAGCCCTTCTTTCGGTAGCATCGAGAAGCACACACGGCAGTGTCGTATGTATCGAGCAGGCTGTGACCGAGATAGGTGCTGTCTGTCATGACGCTATTGAGATTGGTGAACATCGTCAGCCAGCCGGTTGGAGGAGGCGCCATGATCGCTGGGGTTGAGAGAATAGTCGAGTTTAGGAACGATTTTGCGGAGTCGGGCGAAGGCACAGGACCACTGCCATCTTGAAGCGGTATGCACGTGGCGGCATGTCGTGTCTCGTTGAGCGGCACAGCAAGCGCTGAGGACCCAAAAATTGCCGCGACGATGAGGGAGAGCTTCATTGCAGAGGAGCGTATAGTTCGTGAAAGTCAGCAGGGAGAACAATATTGTCTGGCTTTCAGCGTTGAATAGAAGAGACGTAATGCATCCAGAGCAGCTCCAGTATCAAGGTAAAGAAGCATGTCAACAGGACCGTTGACAGGACCATCAATATAACGTCCAGCTTGCACGGCATGGTAGCAGCCAAAACTCAAAGAGGGACAAACCTGTGGCAATCTCAGCAGATTATGAATTAAGGTCAACATGTTCGTCGACTTCGTGAGCTCGACTGCCAAAAGGGACGGAGCTGCTGGTCTAGGCAGGTCGGATCAGCCACCATCAGGATCAATGATTCTCCAGAAACATTGCACTCGATAAGTAGATTGAAATGGCGCAGTGAATTGTGAACGGGACTGGTACTTTGCCAGAAATGGGATGACTGTTTCAATGCAATTCCAAGGTGTCTCCTGGTGCCTAGACCGCGACACGTTTGCCCGACGCAAACATTTGATCGCTGTGAGCAGAGAATTGTCTTCCGAGTCTAGCATCGACTAAGTTGCTAATATCTGCAAAGGTAGGTGGGACGATCTTCAGATGCTTGAAAAATTATGATGCGGGGTCGATACTTGTTGCCTTTTGCGGGGAGAAAGGCAACCACAGGAACAACACCATTTCGAGAAGCTACCACCATCTCAGGCAAATCGTCTCTAGACCTTGCTGACGCCGTCATCAACGCCACAAAAGCACTGTCTCGCGTACGAACAGTCCTGTCCACGACATCGAGAAAGCCAACCTGCACGCCAAGACACGCGTCCATGTCTACCAAGCTCGCCGATGGTGATCTCCGACCACTGGTCCCATCACTCTCGCTGCGCGGCAAGAACTTCGTCGTGACGGGAGGTGGGCGAGGAATCGGCTATGCCGCTACTCGAGCGATTGCTGAAATGGGTGGAAATGTGTCCGTTCTCGACGTGCTTGCCGAGCCCGTTGGAGACTTTGAGCAGCTCTCGAGCGAATTCGGCGTCAAGAGCCTGTACATCAATACAGACGTGACTAAGCAGGAGAGCTTGGCTAGTGCATTCGAGCAGACTGCGAAAGAGTTTGGCGGGATTGATGGATGGTATGTCTGCAGAGCGCACCCTGACACGGGCAAGACGCGTACCCATTGCCACACTTATCATTGACTCGCGAGACAGCATTACAGCAGCTGGCATCTCCCTGGACAAGCCATTCCTAGATCAAACCCCAGAAGACATACGACGTCTGAACCAGATCAACGTTGAGGGGACGTTCATGGCAGCGCAATGTGCCACACGACACATGATCCAGCAAGGCAAAGGTGGTAGCATCGTAATGGTCGGTTCGGTCTGTGCAACGGTGCCCACTCCAGGTCATCGACTGAGCTTCTACTGCGGCACGAAGGGCGCAGTCAACATGATGAGCAAGGCATTGAGTGTCGAGCTGGCGCCGCATGGCATTCGATGCAACACCGTCTCCCCTGGGTGAGTGGCGCGCTTCGGTGGGTGGACTGGAGCTAATCGCTGCAGATACACCGAGAGCGATATGACACGCAGGCTCAGGGCGGAGCTGCCTCACCTCGTTGATATCATGCAGAAGGCTGCCCCCTTGAGACGGATCGGCAACCGCAACGATCTGACGGGTGCGTTCGTGTACCTCCTGAGCGATGCATCGTCGTACACGACTGGAATCGACATATTGATTGATGGTGGGCTCGCTGCCGGAAGAATCGAATGGCCGTCGTGAAGTCCACGTTCAGACAGGCTTCACACCCTTGTGAATGCTGGCAATGCCCATGCTCAAGTTCTCGTAGCCTTGGCCAGGCGTCAAAAATCCAGCATTCTGTATCATGTCCTTGAATGCTTCCTGCGTTGGGAACTGCTCGATGCTTTCAACCAGGTACTGATAGCTGTCCCGGTCACCCGCGACCAGCTGTCCGATCAGTGGTATCGCTCCGAAGCTCCATCTCTTGTAGACTGCATTGAAGACCGCGCTGTTGACATGACTGAACTCCAAGCACGCGAAGACACCGCCAGGCTTGAGCACACGGAACGCTTCTCGTAGAGCAGCGTCTTTGTCGGTGAAGTTACGGATGCCAAAGGCGACAGTATAGAGATCGACTGAATTTGACTCGACTGTGGGCAGCGACTCAGCATTACCCTGTAGGAAGCTCAGGCGATCTGTGTTGCCGTAGGGCGTCTGCAAGGATCTCTTGCGGCCTTCCTCGAGCATGTCGGGATTGATATCAGATATCGTGACTCTTGTATTCATGTCTTGATTGATGTTCGTCGCGTGGTCTAGCATGCGGAAGGCAATGTCGCCAGTGCCGCCAGCGATGTCGAGGATGTTCCAACCCTTCTCGCTGTCGGCTCGACCGGGGTTGAGCGAGCGAACGAAGTTGCCTTTCCAAAGGCGATGTATGCCCAGGGACATGAGGTCGTTCATTCGGTCGTAGGACGCCGCGACGGAGGAGAAGACGTCTCGAACTCGCCCCTCCTTCTCGGCCTCCGCGACAGTCTCGAAGCCGAAGTGAGTCGTGCGATCATGCTGCTGGCCCTCATTGAGGCCTTGACACTGATATGCGCTTTGAGCAAAAGATCGAGCTGCATGACTGCGGCCGAACTGCCCACGAAGCGCTCTCGTGACTCCCAAGCGCGTTGTCGACAACATCGCAACGTCTGAGGAGATACAAGGAGTATCTCGATGTCGAAGCCGCTGCCTTCCGATGATGGAAGCACTCGTCTCGCGTCAACAACTTTTTTGATCTTACTCCGGATGACCGCGTCTCCCTGTTGGAGAAACCAGCTTTCCGCGGGGAAGCGATGCTTTCCGCTCCAGCTCCCTTCAAAAGAATTTGGACGACTTCTCACCGTTTGACCTCACTTCATGCTGCATACGTTGACAGTGCGACAGCAGCGGCGGCGGCGGCAGTCAAGAAAATTGGTCATGGTAGCAGAACGATGACCGTATAACATATAACATATACAGGCGCGATGCTCAGCCGATCTATAGCCCGAGGAGCCTCGCGGCGACTTGCCAAGGGCACTCCTCTCCCAGCATGTAAAGCTACACCAACACCCATGTACACACGATCACCCAGCCTAGACCAACGCAGACATGAGTCCAACACCCCATCCTACACCCCCGGCCCAGCTCAAAAAGTCAACGCCGACTCCGTCAACTTCCCCGGCGCCGTCAACAGCAAATTCACCACCGCCATGGCCTTCCAAAACCCTGCCCAGGAACTCGCCATGCCCACCTACCGCTACATGGACGCCGACGGCAACGTCGTCGACACCTCCCGCGAACTCACCCCTGTCTCCGACGAAGAAGTCACGACCTGGTACCGCAACATGCTGACCGTCAGCATCATGGACCTGATCATGTTCGACGCCCAACGCCAAGGCCGCACGTCCTTCTATATGGTGTCGGCCGGCGAGGAGGGAATCGCCGTGGGCACAGCTTCGGCATTAGACTCCGAGGATGTATGCTTCCTCCAATACCGCGAGCAAGGCGTCCTCGTACAACGCGGCTTCACCCTGACGGAAATGATGAACCAACTCTTCGCCAACAAGGACGACCACGGCAAGGGCCGGAACATGCCAGTGCACTACGGCAGCGGGAAGCTGAATGTGCACACCGTCTCAAGCCCGCTCGCAACACAAATCCCGCAAGCTTCCGGCGCAGCCTACGCTCTCAAAATGCAGAGCCTGATCAACCCGAACGTCAAGAAACGCATCGTGGCATGCTATTTCGGCGAAGGCGCCGCGTCAGAAGGCGACTTCCACGCCGCGCTCAACATCGCTGCCACGAAGTCCTGTCCTGTGGTATTCGTGTGCCGCAACAATGGCTTTGCTATTTCAACGGCTAGTATCGAGCAGTATAAGGGCGATGGAATCGCGAGTCGTGGGTTGGGTTATGGGATTGACACGATTCGTGTGGATGGGAATGATATTTTTGCTGTAAGAGAAGTCATGATCGAGGCAAGAAAGAAGGCGCTGGAAGGCGACTGTAAGCCGATTCTGATTGAGGCGATGAGCTATCGAGTCAGTCATCATTCTACCTCAGACGATAGCTTTGCGTACCGCGCCAAGAGGGAGGTGGAAGAATGGAAGAGACGGGACAACCCTATCACGCGTCTGCGGAAGTGGATGGAGAATAAGGGGATTTGGAATGAGGATATGGAGAAAGAGGCACGGGCGAGTATTAGGAAAGAGGTGTTGAGGGAGTTTGCGGCGGCGGAGAAGTTGAAGAAGCCGCCTATCAGAGCGATGTTTGAGGACGTGTATGAAGAGATCACGCCGGAGGCAAAGGCGCAAATGAGGGAGCTGAAGAGGGTGGTTGAGAAGTATCCGGGGGAGTATGATGTGAAGAGTTTTGAGGGTGGGCTGGAGACGCTGAATATTGAGGCGAAGTGAGTTCCCAGGAGGACCCGGTTGCCGAAAGCGAATATGTGTGTGAGCCTGGATAGAAACCATACAAGAGTTGCTTCACTGCAACCTTTGACGACCGACACAGCCGATTGTCCACATCGCGCTTGTGTCAGTCCACGTCGTGCGCTCTGCTGTCCCTGTCCGATCGAACCTTTCATCTTGTAGGTACTAATCGACATAGTTTTCGATGCCGAAATCTCCGCGTCCTAGGCAAATACGAACGAAGTCCACGAAACCCTTATAGCTATCGTCCTTGTTCACCATGCGAGATTCCCACAGAGGAATTCTCCCCCGGACTAGAGAACCTTTTCTGTGAGTACTGCAGATATATGACAAGGCTGCATCAAGGTTGCGGGTACAGATCTGGACATCTAGGATTAGTCTAAGGAGTCCAGTCTGACAGAGCAAGCAAGTCGTGCGGGCAAATACTGGGCGTTTCTCCTATCGCAGCATACTTATGTCGGATTCTCACAGCGCCCTCCCTAGCCAGGAACTTCGCGGAAGAACTTTCCTACTGACTGGCGCTCGGGTGAAGATCGGCTCAAAATCATGAACGTGATCTCAGAGATAGTTCTAGACCTCTAGTGCCGGCCCCAGCCAAGGACACGCATCGACCGGAAACGCCCAGTACATGCCCGGACAGGCTGGCAAGATGGAATGCTCGAAGGGTAACTTACAGTGAGATCGATTGGCTTCCATCGCTTAGTATCCAACTGTGCATGGTGAGACGGCTTGAAGTCGTGAACTCGAAACCGAACTGAGTAGATGCCATTGCGCCATTCTTCTGGGGTGGGCGCCCACTCTATGACTCCAGTTTGAAATTGAGGAAGGCAATGAAGAACAATCTCCGGCTGGCGCCACACCAGAAGCATGTTGTTGCTTATGTCGCCCTGACTTTGGAACCATCCAGCATCCTCCCGAAGATGAGGCAAATACGATTGGCGCACATGATCCTCGGACTCGCGGTCGGTGCAGGTAAGATCAGACTTCCAGGTCCAAGTCCTCCGGATTGTAAGTTCTTTCAAATTCTTGAAGCCCTCGCGCGTGGAAGTGACATTCATGAGCAGCATTGGAGTATTGAAGCAAAACTCGACATGTCGCATGGTTGAGACCTTGACTTGATCCTTGTTGCACCATCTCTTCACTGCCGGAACGTTTTGGAAGGCATACGTCTGAGTTTCGAGGAAATGTCGGTCGACTTCAGCTTTGAGTTGCTGGCAGACTAGGCTCAGATCTGGGAACCTTGATACCCATGATCTGAAGAAGGGTGATCTCTTCGTGCTGAAAAGGTTAATTTTGCGTTGACAGCCGGATAGGTGGTTGTAAATCAGCCATCGAACCTCGACGGGAAGTGCTAGAAACGTTGGCTTCGCACCAGTTTTCGTGATCGTCGACTGATTGTTGAGGTTGAGATTCGCCTGCGCGGTGGCATGCTCTGCTGCTTTCAAGATCTTGCGCTCGTCGGGCCGCATTGCGCGCATCAATCTGCCTCTCTCTCCGTTGTACAACACTTTGTCGAATCCGATGTGAGATCTTCGCTCAAGGAGTGCCTCATGCGCATCCATTCCTGCCATTGCCATGCAGCACGCGCATCGCTGTCGCAGAGACAACGTCGCGCAATTGCCATCCTCCGTACAGAGACCCATCTCGGCGGCGGCGTATGCTTAGCATGCAAAACGCATATTCGTTACGCTCCTCTCTTATCGTAATGCCTTGGGGCTGAAGGCTTTCTGTGGCTGGAAAGATTAGCTGCTGTGCTAAGCCTCGAGGTAACGACATCCGATTCAATGCAATACGCACCTTTTCAGAGGCCGCCAGGAACCCTTGTGGTCAACCTAGCAGGAGGATGTGAGACCAGCAATATGAAAATTCGACGAATCTTTTGAGCAACGGAAAGGTCTGTAAAGAGCCTCGAATGTGACTCCGATTCACTTCAGCAACCCCGCCCACTCCAATCGAATTCAATGCAAACGATCACTTCGCAGTCATTGTCGCCATAGCGACCATTTCATCTCGGTGCAAGGTCTGACTCAGGTGACGCCAAGGCGTCACTCGCACCTCCCTCATGATGACGAGCCAGATAGCCTCGTGGATAGTCTCCCATCTTCACCTACCTGCACATGCGCTTTCTCGGAGGCTAATATGCAAGTCGTAGAGGTCGAGAATCGAATCCGTCGTGAACACTTGGCAGGTGCCAAGAATTGCCTTCTGCTCCACTGCAACGTCGAAGCTCCTGTCTCTAGGCTCGAATACTTCCCACACTACCTACTTAGTACTCAGCCAGCACTGGCAATGACTCGCTTCCAAATCATGTCGGACAGTCCAATGGCTATGCAGGATTCGTTACAGGAGGCTGTTCTTGGGCGTGTGCCTCTTTCTATTCTAGCTGGCAGGGAGTGACCGCACATCAAGACTTGGGATCTTGAAACGCGGGCGTGCGGTGCATAACGTGTTGAACGAGAGCTCGCTATGTGCTCGCATCAGCTGTAAGCTATCTGTTCGTCCAGGCAACTTTGGTCCTTGGTAGGTCAAGTCACAACGCCGTACCCGAACATGGAGCTCGAGCACTGCTGCGTTTCTTCGACAGTAATCCTCACAGTCGTCCCAACACAAGTACCTAGTATCCGCCGCTCTGGCATGCCCTGACTACCTAGCCAGTGAACTGCATACAGCAACAATCACATCCACCAGCTCTCTAGAGGCCATCTCCCCGTGTGAGCAACCCGAGCGATCCTTTCGACGGACGTCTCTCTTCTTCCCATTGGAATTACAGGTCGACTGTTTGGCCGGCGCTGTTGGGGGATACCGTCCCGTATAACCCAACGGCAGGTACCACGTAGGCTTCCGTCGTAGCCCCTTCCGCCACAGTTGGTGGTTCTGCAATCGCGGATGCACGGGTCCATGGTTGTTTGTCGTTTCGGCTTGACTGGAAGGTGAAATAGGGATTGCTTGTCGTATATGGGGCGGGTGTTCAGGTAATCTGTGGGTTTGGCACTTGGATGTTCAGGTAGGTTGAGTTATGGTATGGAAGATGAGGCCTGCTGCTGGATCTGATAGGGACACTTATAGCATGATGCCTGGTGATGGTCGTTTGCAGCCATGTCCAGACTCAGAGGCTCGCAAGCATCTCTTCAGAGCGATTGGCATGAATACCCAATTCTGCGTTGAAGGCGCTCTCCACAGCTTCAGCGGTATAAGGTTGAACAGACGCATTCCGCACCGTCGCGAATATCCTGCACCGAGAGTGACTCCTCTGCATGCATGATTTCGACTCCGGTTGACAAACTCAACCTCGCCAGAATGGTCGACGCACATCGAACTCTTGTCATATGGAAGGTGGATTCACTCATTCGATCACGAACAACTGTATTCGGGACACTTGGCAAACCGGATGACACGTTTAGATTATCTAAGTTGCTGAACCTCTCGACAGCTGTCGAAACTTCGTCTGCTCCAGGTTGAGGATATTTCTGCGCCATCCCGAGAAGTGCAGAAATCGCTAAGCTCTGGTGCCTTGTTACCGCGGAAGCCCGACATAGCTGCACCGTCGTAACATCTGTGTGAGCTGCACAAGCCTGGCCAAGGTGAACGTTCACCTTCGACGAATAGTGCTCGGGCTGGTTTCGCGCGAACTGCTAAGATGCGGGCTCTTCTGTCAGAATCGCGCATGGCCTGGCAAGCCCTTCTCTCGGCGACTGTGACAGCCTCATACAACGTCAAAGGCTGACGCCTCACGCACTGTCGTCGCAGTGGCATCCGAACTGGCAGATGGAGTGTGACTCCGAGCTCAGCGTCGCCCAGAAGTTGGTGGCGGCAGTGGCGGTCTTTGACGTGCGCGGAAGGAGCAGAGATCGGAAGTAAGTTGAAGCTGATTTGGACGTGCGTTGGGTCCTTGGGCGACGAGTCCCTACAGCCTATTGCAGCCACCTTCATCATACTGTGTATACGTGTCCTGTTGTGGCAGACCCCTCTCTTTTCGGACACGAGCGTGCGACGGATGAGGACGTTATCATGCGAAGGGGAATGTTGAAAGTGATATGAGGCGCAAGCCACCAGGAAAATTAAATGCCAAGCTTTGTTCAATGATCGACACATACTCCGTGCGTCTGGCATTTTCCCGACAATAATCTGTGCGCAGGCAGGGAACACCAAATGCCGATGGTACATTGCGCTCGTGTTGAAGCTCGGACTGTAGATCTTGACCCCAGGTTGGACGGCTTGCTTGGCTTCCGGGGCATTTGGTGGTTCGTGCTTGCTCTGAATTTCGGATTTGAAGGGTGCAATCCTACACAGATCGTCGTTCGAGATATCGCTTTGAGAGGGAGAGATATGATGGCTGATGTTTACCGCAGCTGAAGAGGTTTGCGATCTTCAGGGACCGACGGGCAGGATGCTGAGATCGCCAGATCCACTTCAAGATTGTCAGGTACCCGGCGGGAGATGTTCATACTCCTGGCAGATGGTAGTGGCTCAAGGGTTAAGATCGCCACTGACTCTGCCAGAGCTTGATGCGATCGACGCGGTCGAAGTCGTTTCCCAGGCAGCTGTCTCACATCCAGCGTGCCGGAACAAGCCCCCGGTGTTCCTGTTGAACGGGATCTCAGTGGATATCTGTGTTGCTGCAAGGAAGATGGCAGTAGCACTTGTTGTGATCGTCGTCCACCGAGCTCTTTCGGGCTTGCTTCATAGCCTGTTGCACATGTCCAGAAGTCTAAGAAGGGATGGTGACCAACGTCATGCAGTTGCAGAGCTCGTGATGGCCGAAGCATAGGAGGTCGTCTGAGAGAGGTTTGAGAACATCCCAGGTGGAGGTCGAAAAGTATAAGTATGGACTCTGAAGCAGGCTGACAGTCGTTCCTTTCTTCCTCCAGTCTCAGCACTCCAGCAGTCCGAACAGTAAGAGAAGAACAGCACTTCAGTCGACCCCATCCGCTTCAGCTCCTACGCCAACATGCGTTCCTCAGCCGTCCTGACACTGACTGCTGTCAGTGGCGTCTTTGCCACACCCGTCGTCAAACGCAATGGTGGCAAGAGCTGCCCATCAAAGACACCAACACCGACTTGGGGCCACCCGACACCAACTCCAACTTGGGGAGAACCACCCACTAAACCAACACCAACTTGGGGCGAGCATCCCCCATCTGGCCCACCGCCAGAGAATGAACCTTGCACAGGTTACACGTGCGGCAACCTGTTCATCGGCAACGCGTTGAACTGCAACAATGTCGACATCAATCTAGGAACCCTCATTGGTGGCACCACGCCCGCGAAGGACGGACCTGCCACAGGTGTCAGGTGTGGCGACCTGTTCTGGCTTAACATTGGAAATTGTAACTCAATCACTGTCGGCAAGGAGAAGCGAACCACGGGCCACACAGGTTAGTGCCTCGATCAGGCTTCAGCAGGACAGTCCTGGTCGACGTACATTGACCGATGTCGCCCACTGCTTTAGCAAACGTTGCAGACAAGTGCTAACGCGAAAGTAGACCCACCGTCTCCTCCCGAGGATGATTGCCCAGATGAGGAGCCTCCCAAGGATGATCCACCCATGTCCACTCCTCCTAAGGATGGCCCTCCTGCACCCGCGCCTCCCAGGGATGGGGATCAATGCAGCGGTAGTGTCTGTGGCGATCTCTTCTGGGCAAATGTCGGCAACTGCAACGACATCTCGATCACTGGCACCGTTGGCGGCTTGCTCGGAGGCCTCCTGGGCGGTGGCAAAGGTTCAAGCGGCCACAACGGAGAACAGGTCAACGGTATGAGGTGCGGCAACTTGTTCTTCCTCAACATCTTGAACTGCAATAACGTCAACGTCAACCTTGGCATTCCCATCAAGGGTCTCTGATGATGACGAGCACACAATCATTAAAGGTGGATATGCAGGCACCTTCCATTGGGCGATTTGTTCAACCAGGCGTACTCTGTTGGCCGGCGGAGATAGTCTTTAGCGAACGGCGAGGCGTTGAGGGTCTTTTTTCGTTTGTAAGATCAGTACCTGAAAATCCAGAAGTTTGAAGGAAATTCGTGATTAGTTGGCTATACCAGCCATTCCCCGCTTCTGCTGCAGATTCTTCTCCTTCAGCGGCAGAGGAGTATTAATGTCAGGTCGCGGCAATGTTCGTCTCTGCAACTCATTCCACACCTCGTGAGCAGGCGGCTCACAAACGGGCTTGTACCACAGAAAACGTGATAGCAAATTGTTGAAAGTCTCCCAGTCTGTAATTGCGTTTGAGAGGTAGGCCAGGCGGCCGAGGAAGAAGCGACGCATTTGTTCCATTCTCGTAGCGGCAATGGCGCCGAGCGTGCATGCCCAAATTAGGAAGTCCTTGAACTTGTAGAGGCTGGCCTCCTTGTCGTAGACATCCCAGAAGGGACGGAGCCGGGAAATGCCATCGTGGAGTTGGGTGGCATTCCGTGGCATCTGCCCGCTGTGGTACGGCAATGGATACAGTACCATATCGTCGAAAATGAGCGCGGCGGATCGGCAGATACATAAAAGCACGTCCGCGCGGTCTGGGTCTGGAATCTCATCGAGCCTCGGGAAGCTCAAGAATCCGCAATGTACGTCGAGTTTCGGAGGGCCGAGGTCAAAAAGATCGGCTGTTGTGTCCATTAAGGCGACTATCTCGGCGGCGGTGCGATAGTAGTAGAACATATCGTAGCTGGCAGGTCGAGCATTTGTGGCATCCCGACGAGACTCCAGATTGAGTATCACGGCGTAGCTTTCGACAGGTGGCGAGTCGACAGCATTCCAATGAGGTACGACTCGGTTCCAAGTCGGATGCGAGTCATTCTTGCTTGCACTGTAAATGTCGAAGCTAGTAGTGTCAGAAGGCATAGACTCAGCTTTGCTTCACTTACCTCTCATGACATTGACGGCTACCAAAGTCAGTCACTCTCTAGAGGAGGGAGGGGGACGACGTACATAACTGGGTTCTTGATCTCCGGAATTCCACCTTTTCTGTCAATTAGAGACTTCCAGTATTTGTGAAGTCGCGGGTCAACAGTCACTCCGCTATTAAAGTATGATGTGTCTATGTAGGCAAAAGGGCCCTTTGGGTGAATGGATTCGACCTCTTCGTTGACCGAACCAATGATCAGACAGATTGTCAGTGCTGCAAGACATTGCTCATCTGATGGGATTCCCGCATAAAGCTGTAGCGCTTGCTGCATTGCTTCGATGTATAGTTTCTGCTGCTCGAGCCAAATTTGACGAGCGGTAGCCTGTAGGACAGTACTGTCGGAGTTTGCCATCATGTAGGAAGCGCCTACAACAGCGTAGGAGTGGAAAAGGAATGACTGTTGAACGGACAACCGCTTGATGTTGGCGACATTGAGGTTCCACTCAGCGACCTCATTGCGTTTGTTGACTCGATGTATGGTATAGATTTGGCCCTCGAGACCTATCAAACTCAGCGCGAGCTCATCGCTCAAGACGTAACTCACTGTAGTTTTGCGCTTCGAGGATAGCCGCTGGTAATGTGCTATAGCCACACGTTGCAAAAGGGTCAATTCCACTCCCAGGCGACACTTCTCGGGGAGCGGCAAGGTTGAAAGACTTTTGCGCGACCACTCCCTGGTCTTCTCCAGGTGAGCCAACTTCCGTTATTGCGTCGTGGCTTTGTTTCCGTGACTTGTGCTTGCGCTTGTGAGCGACTATGGAAGCGTGTCGTCGGTTTGCGGAATCTTCAAGTTCCCGAACTCGGCGGTTTCGGTTGGTATCCGGGTGAGCATCGACGAATCTCAGACTGAGCATAGCGCCCTGTGGGTGTAACCACGGCTAGTGGCAAGTGGCATGATCCGCAAAGTACTGAACCTGATAATAGCAGTAGTCGATCTAGGAAGTAGGTGTGCTGCAGAGATCTGATGATCTAGATCTGTGAGATTGTGAGGTCTCGAAGTGCTCGGCTGCTTGGTTCGGGCACTACTGGTAGTCGGCGGCTGACTAAGTCTCGCATAACACGCATGACTGGTCGCCGTTATGAGGCTAGCCTTGGCTGTTGGGCCATGGAACAAGAAATTGAAATGGGACAATGCTGGATGCTTATCAGTGATTTATAGACAGATATACGGGAGGGTCATATAATCGCTTCTCGTGATGAGAACCCGCGAAAACCCCGCCGCTCCAGGGTCCCTGATCGACGCACAACCGCCAGGACGGCGGAAGATGCTTGGCAGCTTCAGATTGCAAGCTTCTTACCATAAATGCATGTCGCGATGTGTACGCCACCAACATTGTAGCTGAGAATCATTAGGTCTGGACGCACGATGCATGCTGCTCTGTCAGATGGCGCCGCGACTCCGATTCGTTGAAGGTCATCATCAGCCGACGGCACGCGTCCGTCGCAGTGATCATTGTTCAAGCGCGTTCAACAGAAGGCATGCACTATCAGGTATGTCGGTACGAATGATCGAGACTCAGAAGTCGTCGCATTACAGTCAAGAGGATTTCGACTTGTAGGGGAAGTCGTGCCTGCAGGCGAGGTAACGGAAGGTCCCAGCCGGCAGGTGCAGTGGAGCTGGTGTCGAACAGGGTTTAGCGCGAGTCAGTTGATTCCAGGTCCGAGTGAGACGCCTCACAGGACCTTACACGGTTCACCTCCGTCCATCCAGAACGCGGTACATCGATCATTTGGTATCCAAATTTGCATTCAAACAGCCGAGGCGCATCAGGTACGTGTCTATTGTGTGAATTTGATAGTTGTCGTCATTCTTGCTGGCAGATTTGTGATGGCTACTGTACCCTCACATCGCTCCCTTTCCCACATACCTCCGCCTGAAATATATGGAAAACATACTGACGTCCGATGCGCCCACAGTCGGCAGGCCCTATATTAGACTCTCTATAGACATGACATCGATATGAGCAACTCCGATCACGACACGCCTTCGACTGAAGCGCAGAAGACCGAGTCACTACTCAATAATACCAATACCATCGCCGAGTCCAAAGAAAAGGCGAAGGAGGTGCTGGCCGCTGCCGGCATCAAGCAGAATGGGGAGACGTCCGCTTCGGAGTCGCGCAATGGCAGTCGTAGTCCTTCGCGGAAGCGGAAACGCGAAACACCTCTCGAACGGATCGAAGCTGATGAATACGTGACGCGCGAGTATCTACACAAAGCGCTGCTCGCGGAACAGCATGCGCGACCTTTGGTACTGCAGCAGAAGCAGCAGGAGTGGAAATACTATCAAAGCTTACGACAGCGACGAGATCATGACCCAGCTTCCGTCTTCGGCGTTGGCTACGAAGGCTTTGGGAATCCACGAACCGATGAAAAGTTACCGAATCCTATCATCTATCCTAGAAACAGGCGGCCCGGCAAAAGGAAAACACTGCCACCACGAGTGTCGCGAAAGCAAATGGAAACACAGGCGGAACAGGAAGAAGAGCTGATACCTATCAGATTAGACATCGAATGGGGCAAGATCAAGCTGCGCGACACCTTCACCTGGAATTTGCACGACCGGATCACCGATATCGACTACTTCTCGGAGAAGTTGGTGGAGGACTTTGGTCTGAAGGTGACAGAGTGCCGCCCACTGGTCAACTATGTTGCGACCGCCATTCGGGAGCAGATTGCAGACTTTTGCCCGCAGGTGTATCCCGAAGACGAAGCGCTCGACCCACACGTCCCATATTCGGCCTACAAGAACGACGAGATGCGAATCCTGGTCAAGCTCAACATCACGATTGGACAGAATACACTCGTCGATCAGTTCGAATGGGAAGTCAACAATCCGGCCAATTCACCTGAGGAATTTGCGCTTCAGATGACACAAGAGAACTCGTTAGCTGGCGAGTTCACGACTGCCATAGCTCACTGCATCCGCGAGCAGTGCCAGCTATTCTCCAAATCGCTTCAAATCACCGGCTACGCATTCGACGGCCGGGTAATTGATGATCCTGACCTGCGCGAGAACTTCCTTCCCTCGCCGATGCTGACGACCTTCCGACCATACCAGCTCGCCAAGGACTACGTACCTTATCTGTATGAGTTGAACGACGCCGATCTGGAACGGACCGAGCTCTCGATATCTCGCGAGCAACGTCGGCAGAAACGATCGACCAACAGGCGAGGTGGACCAGCGCTACCTGATCTTAAGGACCGACAACGCACAATCAGATCCCTCGTGGTATCATCAGTCATACCCGGCGGGGCTCTGACGATGGAGGACAGTCGCATTTTCCGAATGCCGAAGGCAAGTCGAACCAGGAAGAGAGCCGGTCTGGACGAATTCGAAGAATCTGACGGTTCTGAGAGCGAGGACTCTGCGCCTGATTCTCCAGCCATTCCAGCCAACCTCTTGCAAAGTACCGCACGGACTAGAGGAACAATGCGCAATGCAGCCCTTACTGCCACGGCAGGCATTAGATCTAATCTGAGCGGATTCGCATCGGTTCGGTCAGCTACACCAGAGTCAATCGCGCCCACGCACGAGTCGCGGTCTGCAGCTCGTAAGAAGGATTATAAGGAGGAAAGTGACGACGAGTCGCTTCCCGAGAAGTTGGTTGTCAAGCTCAAGATCTCGAAGGAACGATATCGCAGCTGGTTTAGGGAACAGAGGATCAAGGAGCGGGCAGCACATGCATCAACAGGCAGTCCAAGGCCCGGCACAAACGTCAAAGCCGCGCCGAGTCCGCTGAAGCTAGCAGGAGGTCCAGCACCAGCTCCGTCGCCAAAGACAACGCCATCTGTCGGCCCTTCGACTGCAGCGAATGCACCAGATCCTCTCTATGGTGCCATCGATGCCTCTTCTGAGCCGCCTGGACCGAAGAATCCAATTGTAAGTACATCGCCATACTGACTTTGTGCTCGCTGACAACTTGCAGCCGCCGGTACCCGACTGGGTCGAGAAAATCCTGGCAGACCTGCGCGAGGAGTTTCCCCGCGACCGGTTCGAAGGTGTGATGAGGCACTCGGTGATGGATCCAAAGACCAAGCAACTGCAGCCAGCAAACCACGAGAACAGGCACTGGCCGCACAAGTTCGTTCCGCGAATCAGATGTCTGGATTGTGTGGGCAAGGTGTACATTGCCATTGGCTTTGCGAGTCATTTGAAGACCAGGAAACACAAGGAAGCCTACGAGGCACGCATTGCCAAAGAAGGCTAGATGTCATAGGGCAAGATTCTGTGAAAATGCTCACAGTGCCCGCCCTGGCCAGAAAATCCATGAAAATTATTGCCAGCCATCTGATGCTTAAGTGAGGCTCGTCCCAAAATCATGGATTCGACCACATGACAATTTCAGATCCTCAGCGACCTCCCTGGCCAGAAATCTATAGATTTTTGCCGGCCATTTCGTACTCGAGTGAGGCTTGTCGCAGAATCATCAATTCGACCAGAACAGCTCAGACCCTCAGCGCCCTCCCTGGCCAGAAAGCCCACGAGATGTAAATCTTTCGGACGACACTCAAGCCATATTCGTCTCAGTACCAAGGACTCGGTCGGGCCAATAGTGTCAGGGCCTCAGCGGCCTCCCTGGCCAGGTTTCTAACGATTGACAGTATCTGTGGCCCAAGAATGAAGGTGTTCGACTTAGAGAAAACGTCACGTGTTTAGACTCACAGCTTGGATGATCACCGCGGCGGACTTCGTGCCGCTGCCTCATGTCGGCTTGACGCCGCTGCACGAAGAGCGCGCTGCCAGCAGCTGCCTGGTGTCGTCGTTGGCCGATGGTAAGAGCAGAAACGGCGTGGTCGAAGCCGTCCAACGATCGATGCTGAGATCAGGACCGAAGACGACGAATCCCCTGCGAAGCGGGAGGAGATGCCCGAGACCAGCGCGCATGTCGAAAGCGATTGCGCGAAGAGACAGCGAAAGCCGAACACCAGGTCGATGCTTACAGCATTGACGCTGATGATCTGCCTGGAAAGTAAATTGCTCGACGCCGAGGCGGCCCCTGACATCGACGCCGCTACAGTACTGCCTAACGGAAGGCTGGCTATGGGCAGAGCAATGCTATTGATAAATTTAGCCTTGATACATTCATAGTCGGGCCCCGTATAATCATCAGAGCGCACTCTGGCTATAGTCCGCGCTGTGCCTCTAGTTGTACACATAGGTACGCATCCGATCTGAGGCAGAATGAGACAGCATTGAAATTTAGGTGAAAGTGCGGGGCAACGTCACAGTTTCTCTCGAGACTCGAATGTGCGTGAGTACAATTTCGAACGCGAGGGGCACACGACCGCAATTCTTCTCCTCTCCTTCGTGGCAGGAGCAGATCCCTTTGCAGTCACTCTTTTCTGCTCTAAGCTATTGACATATAACGCACCTCTTACGTCGTCAACATGGCGGAGGCTGCCACAGAAACAGGTAAGTCCCACTCATGGCATCACAGCCCATGCAGGTGGATGCCAAAGAGTTTGGCCAGCAACAAGCGTCTAACTTCGGGTAGACTACTCGCTTGCGAACCCTGACACGCTCACCAAGTACAAGACCGCGGCCGGCATAGCCCACAAAGTCCTCGAGTCCGTGTCCGGCTGGCTCACCGACGGCGCCAAAATCGTCGAACTCTGCGAAAAAGGCGACAAGCTGCTCGACGAGGAAATTGCTAAGGTCTACAAAGGCAAGAAGATCTCAAAAGGCATCGCAACGCCAACCACAATCTCCCCTTCCAGCCATGTCACGCCATTCACACCTCTTCACTCCGACGCCGAGGACGCTGGCTTGACTATTTCTGCTGGAGAACTGGTCAAGATTCAACTCGGAGCCCAGATTGATGGCTTCGGCGCCATAGTCTGCGACACAGTCGTCGTGCCCTCCAAAGACAAGAAAGCCGAAATCGAAGGTCGGAATGCGGATGTTCTCCTCGCGACACACTACGCCAACGAGCTCCTGCTACGACTTATGGTCCCACCTGGTCTGCTTGCCAGCGGAACAGAGGAAGAGAAGAAGAAAGCCACGTCCGTTCGAGCTCCCACGCAATCACAGATCATCTCATACATCGAGAAGGTCGCAAAAGCATATGGTGTAGCAGTCGTGCAACACACCACAAGTTGGCAGTTCGAGCGGAATGAGATCGAGGGCAAGAAGAAGATCATCCTTTCACCCAGCGACGGTACCAAGGGTGAGGGTACACCCGAGGTGGGAGAGATATGGGGTGTGGAAGTTGGCATGTCTCTGGGATCTGGCAAGATCAAGGAGCTCGACAAGCGGTCAACTCTACTGCGGCGGACACAGGTCAACTATGGCCTGAAGCGGCCGTCCAGCAGACAGATACTGTCGGAGATTGTGAAGAAGTTTGGCAACTTCCCCTTTAGCTTGAGACAACTGGATGATGAACGTGCAGGTAAGGTCGGTGTGGTTGAGAGCGTGCGGAATGGTGTGCTGCGAGAGTACAAGCCTTCGGCTGAGTCTGATGGCTCGGCTGTGACGCGGCTGTTCACTACGATCGGTAAGTCGTTGTCCATTCTCTCAGCAATGATGCTCAGCGAGGGTACACCTCCATGAGTTCACCTCGCTCGAAGCCTTACAATAGTCCATTCCAAAGAAGAAAGCTAGCATGCCGCTTCTGATGGCCAATGTTCTTTGACCATATGCTGACTGCTTCCCTAGCTATCACCAAGAACGGCATTACAAGACTCGCAGCACCGCCGTCCATCGACCTGGAAAAGATCAAATCCGACAAGAAAATCGAAGACAAGGAGATTCTCGAAATCCTTGAGAGACCTCTGTCAAAATCTACTGGCACCAAGAAGAATAAGAAAAAGAAGAAGAAGGTCGCTAAGAAGGAAGATGAGGACAGTGAAGATGATGATAGTGATGACTAGAACTCGCCGGACATTATCAGAATTCGGGACTCGCTGGGTGGCCTGCACGAAATCGACGAGAAGGGACGGCTCTTTCGCAGTTGGCCAAGTCAACCAGAAGACGAGCCATGGTCGGAGGCAAACACGCCCATCGTCTGGGAGGACCCTATCGGATTCACCCCGGGAGCAGAGTTTCGGCGTTGAGAGGCCTCGAAAAGCATTGAGAATGTTCGTGGCAAGAGCTCCCGATGAGGTCCTGTTGTTTGGACACGCATCGTCAGATCGATAGTCGACGGCCGAAAAAGCAAAAGCATCAGCGACGTCGTTGATTGTGATACAGTTGCAGTGAAGCAGTGGCAGCCTACTCAGCTATCCATGTAGTCAAACTTCGGTTGTCACTTGATGCCTCTGCATGACTCTTTCTTTCTTTGCCATCCGGAATCCTTCCCTCCAACTGCTTACAACACAATTCGATACTCTCTTCCAATATCTTGACTGACAAACAAATACTGCCTCCACAGACCACAGGTAGGCAAACGAAGCAGCGATTAGGCCAGGTGCTAGGAAGCTCACAGCCTTGCCCCTTGACCCGCCGGGCTCCTTTAGCGTGGTGTCTCCAATTTGGCCAGCGCTTCCCTCCTGCTATACCTATCAATGCACCGCAGTTTCACACTCTCTTGGAACAAAGAAGGGGCATAGTCGCAGTGGCCGACAACTCCCAATTGACCTCTGAGTGAGGCAATGTAGGTTGCCATCGCGTCCATGTGTCCCGGAACGTCCTACTAACACCTTGCCAGTGCGCGGTTGTGGAGGCAATGGCGACACGAAACCTGAGGACTCGAATGTCGAGTCGCTTGTCTTCGCCTGCGGTACACGCTGAACCTGCGGCAGAGACAAGCGACAAGAATGTCGAGATGACGGACGATGTGATCCCGGAGGACGAGGAGCCTGACGATGGCGAATGGCGCGAACCGCCAGTCCGCGTCCTGCCGCCGAGTTTCAAGGATCACAAAGGCATCGAGCGTGTTGGTGTGCTCGAACACCAGCAACCACTAGGTGTCCCGCCCTCGCAGAAGCTTCTCCAGCGCCTGAAGTTGAACTTCACCCGTCCTTCGAATCGAGCCACGCCACTGCCAGACGACGAGATCATGTCACAGGGGCTGGATAGTGAAGCTGCAGAAACGGGCTCGCCCATGGATGCGGATGTGCCTGCTGTGGAGGAAATAGAGCAGATGGCGATGACTACGCCGCCACGGGGAAGACCGTCCAACAAAGACATGGCCGCGATGCAGTCTGCTTATCCGATGGGAGAGACACCATCGCCGGTTCAAGCGAATTTCAATGGCACACCACAACAAGCTACAGATGCAAGGCCGATGTCTATACAAGACCATCTTCGTCAGGAACGAGTGCAAGTCTGGGTCAGCAAAGCTGTCGAGGACGCCCAGGAGCACGGCGATTTGGGACTTGTTCCGGGACTACAGAACATCAGTCGCAATGGAAACGACAAACGTAACCTATGGAGGGTGCTCGAGGCTGTTTGCCATAAGAATCCGACGCCAGAACAGCTGCATGTCTTCAAGAAGCTCATCAAGAAAGGCTTGCACAAGTATCAACGACAAACGGCAGCTTCGGGTGGCGCTGCCTCTAAACCATTTCTTGGAGTCGATAACGGCATTGCATCGGAACGACCTGTACGCTCGAGCAGGCCAACTTTCACGTCGCCGTTCAGGACACGGGCAGCGACTAGTGGACTGCAATCGTCGACGCCTGCATCGCAACGACGGACAAAAGCTACTGCCGATCACAGCTCTCCCGCCAAAAAATCGACTAGAAGTCATCGAAAGCGAAGAAGAACCAGTGATGCATCAATATCGTCGTCTTCATCACTATCATCAGCAAGATCTGTTTCGACGCAATCTCTCGAAAATGATGTTTCAGCAGGGGTTGCGCAAGACGAGGATGCCGAACTTGACGGGCGTGGAGCCAGCCAGGATGGGCGCCAAGCGGGCGAGGCGACTTCTGCAGCTCCCAGGTTACGTCTCGTCAACAAGAATTCCTCCATCCCTCCTCCCGATTCCAACACGGAAACAACTCAAATTTCATCAAAGTCCATCTCAGAGAAGCTCAAAAAGTCTCAGCAAGCGCGTGAAGAGGCTGAGAGGGAAGCTGCTGAGATTGAAAAGCGTCGCCAGAAGCGGAGGCCAAGAGCTTCAAGGATTACAACTACATTGAGCGACGCGAAGTCGACGAACGTCATCACGTGCCTGAACCTGAAGACGACGAGAGCGACTTCGATGCGACAGAGGCACCGCCGCCGCCTCCTGTGTTGCATCCCAATCCGATAGGACGAAAAGCTGATTCAGCGACCAGCTTGCATCTCGACGACGGTCGGCAACCTGCCACTCTGATGAATGGCGCGGCTAGGAAGCGCGACTTTGATGAATTTGCGGAGAGCGACGATGAGTCGGAACCCCTTACGCCATTGTCGTCGTCGCCTGCTCCATACGAACCTCCGCCACCTCCGCCAAACGCGTTACTGTCACGATCGGCAACACCTAGAATCACGCTACGAAACTCTGGACCGCCTGCAAAAGCTGCACGCAAATCAGCACGCGTGATATCGTCGTAAGTGGTACTCCTGCTTTGCATGAATTGTGTTCTTCATTGTTCGATGGTCTGCCTGGCTCGAGCTTCATTTTGGGCCAGCCGCATTAGGCATCCACACAATCTTTCTCCATGCCGCCTCACCAAAGCGACAACACACCTCTTCGAGCGCAAACGAAATCGTCTTTGCTGCACAAATTGCTGACATCAATGCTACACAGGCCAAACAAACCCAAAAACGGGGGCATCACAGCAGGCTTTACGCGTGCGGGGCCACCAGCCAGGTTGGCTGAACTCGGCGGTGGCGCGGACGCTTCCGAAGAGGTAAGACGACCCTAGTTTCTTTCCTTCCTCTCCGAGCTACATCCATCAACATCTGTCATTCTCGTGTCATATCTTCCTTCTCCTGTCCGCTGCTCGTTCGGGCATCATTCCACTCATTTTCTTCGCCTATGAGCGCCTATGTCAAAGTCACCTGACCCACATTCTGACCGATTCCAGAACCTCGACAATGATGAGCACTGTGCCTCATGCGGCGGCGAAGGCACACTTCTCTGCTGCGATGGTTGCACTAACAGCTTTCACCATTCGTGTCTCGAGCCGCCACTGAACCCAGATGAAGAGGTTGAGGGCGCGTGGTATTGCCCGCGCTGCGAAGCTCGTCACAAAAAGTCGACCGAGGAATCCAAGACTTTCCTCGGCCGTGCTCTCGGCACTCTTGACCATGTCATTCCTCGCGCTTTCGCATTGCCCCTCGAATTACGCGAGTATTTCGAGGGCGTGCGTACCGGCGAGGAAGGCGAGTACACCGAATTCAGTCAACCGCCTACGCGTAGTCAGCAGCCCAAGCAGAACAAGTATGGCGCGATTGAGGAGCCGAATTACAAGGAGCCCCGCGACAGCAAATCTGGCAAATATCTCTTCTGCAATGGATGCGATCTGGGAGCTAACGGCAAAGACCTCATCCCGTGCGACTACTGCACAGCGAGATGGCATCTCGATTGCCTCAACCCACCTCTTGCGGTTCCGCCTCGGAAGAAGCTAGGCGACAAAGCGAATGCTACATGGCGATGCCCACTGCATGTCGAGCATGAGCTTCGACAGACCAGCAGCAGCCAGCAAGACGCCGCACCAGGCGATCTCGGTGGCGTACCCAAACGCCGCAAGCCCAAGAATGCCAAACCTAGAGATGTCGACTTCCCACGTGGTTTCCGACATAATGGTATCATCGAGGTTCAGCTTGACGATGAGATCCCAAAACTTCGTGAGGTCGATATGGACGGCCAGGTCTTCCGTTTGCCCGAGCAAGCCATCAAGTTGGACTTCATCGATCGAGTAAAGCGGTCATGGTATGAAGACAAGACCTTCCCCTACACTGCGAATGGACGAAGGCCGCCTCGATTCGTGGAACGCGACTATCGGCCTACTCGTGGAGTGGTTCTGCATGAACCTGAGCAACAAACTATCACGATCAAAGAGCCTGAGTTCTACAAGGGCAGTCATGCGCTGAGCATCGTCGAGACAGCAAAGACGAACGCCGAGCTGCGCAGAAAGACACTGCCAGAGCAGGAAGCAGTGTTGAGCCTCACTGGTTTAGCTCGCGCAGACCGTGGACCTGAATTTGCCGATTCTCTAGCGGACCTCACCAATGCAATGATCGCAGAAGCACCAAGGGAAGTCACGGAACTTCAAGTGCGCGATGAGCGCCAGAAGCTGCAGTACCTCCAGGCTCTAATCGAGCGTAGAATGGGTATCCTCGACGGTCGAGAAGGCGACCTTCCGCCTCTGCCGGCACCGCCGCCAGCAGCAGTAGAGAAAGCAGACAAGCCAGAAAAGCCGCAGAAGCCAGAGAAGCCTAACAGATTGCCTTACAACAAATACTCCCGCGCACCGACTCTCCGAGCAGAGCAGAAAGAGGCGATGTGGAATGTTACTCGAGAGCGGAACTTGCTACGGAGCCTGCAACCCGCTCCGCCAGCTGTATCGAATATGTCGCCGACAAATCCTCAGCAAGGTCAATTCGGCGCTGCCGATCCGATGCAGAACGGTGCACATTTATACGGCGCTGCTCCTCCACCACAGCCCGGGCAGCAAGTCGCATATCCGTTTTCGCAGGGCGCGCCTGGAGGTCATCCAGAATTCAGTGGCCAAGGTCCACTGCAAGCAAACGTCAGTCCTTGGCAACCGCCCAGCGCTTCGCCGACGAAGAGTCCATTCGCGCCACACCAAGCTGGGAGCCCCATTTACGGTGGACGTAGCTTTCCCGGAACTCCAGGATCAGGGCTGCCGTCGCTTGCTCCTGCGCCGATAGCTGGGCAGCCTGGAATATACGGCCCGCCGCCACCAAATCCAGCCGGCATGCAGCGACAATTGTCTGCGGCTGAGTCAAACATCGACCCCAGTCTCACTGCTTCAAACCCAGATCCAAACCGTCGCGCAAGCCTGCAAGGACCGATCGAGAGCAACGATAACGCTCCGCAAGCTCGAAACGACATCGCTTTTGGTGCCAACCACAATGTCCATGGCGCGAGAAACGATCGTGACCATCATCATTTCTGGGGCAGCGATTCGAGCGACAGATTCGATCGACGACTTTGGACGCGATATTGATCCCGCGCTGTTCTCCAACACTTCGGCGGGTTTCACTCAACAGGATTCCGGCAATGCAAATAACGACATTGGCGGAAACCAGAGCAACAACGTCGCCATACATGCGACCAAGCTACCGCGGCCCAGTGACGGAAATGTCAAAGAACCGCCAACGAGTCAGACCAATGGAGATCTCGAAGCTACACGAGCAGCGAACATTGCTGCTGCCGCAGCTACGACGGTGGAGGCACGCTAGAAGCTGCGTATCTATCGTACTATCTGCCACGAAAAGGCGAAATCGACGCAGTGGTGAAACGGATTGCATGCCCCTGTAATGTGGCCATTTGAGTTAGGATGACATAAATGATCTCGAGGCTTGTTTGTCGACGTCGCTGTCCTGACCTCGAGCCCTCACTTTCCCACGAGCCTAGCAACTACGATCCGGCTCGGTCAGCGACCTTATTGACCGACGGAGAGGGAACGTCCGCAACTCCACGCATGTCTACGCTCTTGGACCCTCCCCAGACGGGATCATCGCACTGAGCAAAGCTGAGCTCGGCTGCCTCACTATAATTTCTTGGGTCTGCATTTGGGCTTGGCTGTGTGTCTCATCGAGTTGCTGCATCGCGTGGTCATCTCAGACCGGTGCATCGGTGGCGACTTGTCCCAGGAAATGGGACTGACGGCGACAGAATTGACTTTCGGCAAGAGGGAGCGCTTCGGCCTACCAAGAACGTTGTTCGGTGGGACATGGATTGCGGAATGTATGGGGTGGATGTGTATGAGTATTATTTTCATCTTCTTGGACTTGCAGATGCATGCAGGAAGAAAGATGCAGTAGATGAGCTAAGCTCAGAAAAGAGTCCATATCAGCAGTTAGACAATGAATGTGTATGAGATTAGTCGCTTTCTTTCCTTGCTTCTCGGGTGCCTTACTCACTTCTAGGGCGCTGACATAGAATAGATGACGCCTGCGGGTCATTCAGCGCCTCTCGTAGCCACGGGTACGGAGCGACGGCCCGCCTTTCCCACAATAGCTCCTGTCACAGGAAGCGCATACAGAGGCAGGCTCGCGTCCATCGACCGCTCCTGCAGTGTTGCAGAATGTGCTCGAAAAGGCAGGCGCGAGTGCCGCTGACCGGTCGCTCTTGCCGTGCTGTGAGGGCGTTTGACGGGGCAGGCACGAAAGTCGTCGGTGGGTCGCCCCTGCCGTGCCTTATCGAATGTCTAACGAGGTAGGCGCGAATGTTCTCGGGCGATAGCATTTGCCGTAGAAAGTATCCGACGTGGCAGGTGCAATCTGCGTCAGCTCGTCGATCCTGCCACAGGGAGTGTCCGCAGAGGCAGGTGCTATAGTCATAAGTCGACTGACGCAGCAGTGTTGCAAGAAGTGTCTAGCGAGGCAGGCATGGCGATGGATTCACAGGCTCGTGAAGTCTTGCTTTCACCCGAGACGAATGTATTGTACATGTAACGAAGCATGAAATACTCAACGCTTAGAATAGAATGAATGATTACCTAGCAGTCTATATGAATGGCAATAGCGTCGTGTGTACCTATGAATGTCGTGGATGGATCGTAAAGTAGCGTCGCCAGTCCAAGTCATTGATCATATGTTATCGTCAGTCAGGTCGTGCTGTACCTCAAGGCCGTCGCGCAACCAGATCGTCCCTACCATGCATGCAACAAACTCGATCTAAATCATCTCTCAAGCCTTGCCCCTGACCAATTAATGCCTCCCCTCCTCTTTTCAGCCTAAGGGATACCCGCCCCATTCAAGATACAATGAGCACCATCATTCGAACTTGCCGTCGGGCCGGTCGTGATCAACACCGCCGTGTTCCCGTTCAAGCTATACTTGTAGATCCTGCCTCCACTGTTCTCTGACCCATACAAGAATCCATCATTAGAAGCATACACCGCGCCGACCACACCGTTCGCCGGCAAGATTGCACCATAGCCCGTGCCAACCTTGGACCAAGTCTTCGCTGATCTGTCGAATTTATACAGGAATGTGTTTCCTGAAGAGTCGACGGCAACGCCATACAAGAAGTTGCCTCCGCCGGGGACGTACGCCCAGTCGTAGATGCCGTATGGCGTAGTGGCGGTGCCCGAGGCGAGGATTGTCATTGAGCTGATCTCGATCTGCACCCAGGCGGTGCCGGCATAGCTGATCCAGAAGTTGCCGACCTCGTCGACGTCGCCTACGTTGTATGCGCCGTTTTGCACGGGGAGGGTGCGGACATAGACGATCTGGCCGCCGGAGCCGATGCGGATAATTTGTGGGGGCGAGGTGTTGACGACTCCGTACAGGGTGTTGTCCGCTGCGGAGTAGCCGATGGCATTGATCGAGGTGCCATCGCCGAGTGGGGATTTGATGAGGGTGCGCTGGCCCGTGGCGATATCGACGGAGAAGAAAGAGGGGACGTTGTTCGCAACGGAGACGAAGTAGCCGTTGGTCGGGCAGGCGAACGTTGGGACTGCGGCGATGGACGAGGTTGAGCGGGTGGTGGTGGTTGTGGTGCGCGTTGTAGTCGTTGTTGTCGTTGTCGTGGTTGTGGTCTGCAATGTACTGGTGTAGATGATGACAGTGCCCACTGTCGCCGGCGGAGTGACAGAGAATGTAGAAGTGTACGGTATCAGACTTGCGCCAGCCGTCGTTTGGGTAATGTACGAGTATGGAGTCTTGACATAGATCGTTGGTGCCACACCGGCGCCCGTCGATGTGCTCGTGACAATAGCTACACCCAGTGGACCGGCATCGTAACCGACGAAAGATGACACGACCGGGGCCTGCGTTTGGACCTGCACTACACCTACAGTGTTGGCGCCAGAAGGCTGAATCGTGGTTGTGACTGGACCGGAGAGGATGCCTGAGCCGGTGTAGGGTACGGTGGCAGTGATGTAAAGGGCCGGAATATAGCTGACGACGGTTCCAGTAGGTGTCGGAGAGCCCGATGCCGGAAGAACTGTCAGGGGTGGTGTTGGAATTCCTCCGGGTCCGACATCCGTAGTGGAGTACTGAGAGATGACTTGTCAGTGAATGCACATGGTGTATGGCGCGGTAAGAAGTGGTCATCCAAACGCAAGGGAAAGGGAAGGGATCGTTTGTGATACATCGATAATGCAGTTCTCGCGGTCGAGCGATACTGAAAAGGGCACTTACCTGTGTGATATACTGATATGGTGTCGATACAAAAACCGTACCGCGTTGGTCAACTGCCGATGCTGCTGGCTGGGTCGACACTCTAATGGTGCCCGTGGGCCCGCCATCATATCCTACCGTTTGAGTATAGTAAACTGCTGGTATTGAGGACACGACGCTGCCAAACCTTGAGTTGGTGACGGTCACAGTCGTCACAATGATGACCGTGCCGCCGTTACCCGCATCGTAAGAAGTAGTGAACGTTGAGTACGGGTAAGGGGTCTGGATGAACAGAGTCGGTGGCGCCCCAGACGCCCCAGGAACAATCGTAGACGTTGTGATTGTGCCGGTAGGTCCTTCATCTGTGCCAATCGTCGACGTGATATACTCAATGGGGAACTGTGTGAGTACAGTGCCAGTCTCGGTAAAGGAGTTAGGCCTGATTGTCGTCGTGACTGGACCTGACACGGCGAAACCGAGATCAACAGTGGTCGTCGCATCAACATATCGGTACGGGCGTGTAATAATGAAGGTACCTGGAATGCCTTGCGAGGGGAAGATCGTCGACGTAACGCGAACACTCCCACTTGGTCCCTCGTCTGAGAGTACGTACGAGACAATGTAGTCCTCAGGTGGATCGATGAGGACGGTACCTGTGCCACTTGGACCTGCAGAAATGGTCGAGAACTCGACTGTGGAGTGTGGGCTGAGATCGAATTGGCTGGTGATGGTGATGTAGGTCGCAGGTGTGGATATGATCTCCGTGGCACTGAGCCCCTGCGCGTTGGCAGACACAATCTGCGTGCTCGTCTGGAATTGTCGCGGACCCGCATCGTATTGTACCGTCACGGTAACATAAACTACAGGCGTCGAGGTTCGAATTGTGCCAATGCCTCCAGCAAGCGATGCCCGGGTTGTGTCAGATAGTATCGCCACGGCCGACGGACCTCCATCGTAGAAGGTAGTCTGTGTGACATATGGGTCTGGATTGAAGTAGTAAATTGTGCCGTCCACATTTGCGGTTGGTCGTACGATAGACGTCGAAAGTGTGCCGTCGGGACCATCATCATAGTCTGTAGTCACACTGGCGTACGCGTACGGCACAGAGGTGATGATGGTGCCCGGAGCTGTTCCAACAGGCATAATTGTCTGTGTTCGAGTTGCGGAGCCATCCGGTCCATCGTCATAACTGGTGACAACCTGTACATAAGTGTAAGGCACAGATACAACCACGGACCCTGTAGGGTCTGTAGGCTCAGGGACCACGGTTCTTGTAATCGTAGGTCCGCCTTGCGCTCCGGCATCGTAGAGCACTTGGGTGGTTATGTACGGATAGGGGACGTATGTAATCAGTGTTCCGGGCTCGTTAGGCAATGTTGGAGTGACGGTCTCAACGAAAGTTGTACCTGTAGCGGGACCAGCATCATAGAAGGTTGTCGAAGGCGCGTAAGAAAATGGAGTGAGCACCACGATTGTGCCTGGTACAGCTCCAGTCGGCTCCACCAACACTCTGCTAGAAATGACCGAGCCCACGTATCCGCTGGTCACTGTAATGAGTGGGGACTGCGTTTCGACGAGAATGGTTCCAATGGTGTTGTTAGCAACTGGAGGCTGCGTGACAGTCACGGGGGCAGTGATAACTCCTTGTCCTGGGAAATCGATGGTGGTCGTGATGTACAAGTACGGAGTTGTTATGCTGACAGTTCCCAATGGAGGTGTACCGGCAGGCGACAGGATATTCGTGAATGTGCTTGTTGGTGTTGGGCCCTCATCTGTCCCAGTGTACTCCGTAACGTAGGCATACGGCGTAGAAAGTAGAATTGTGCCAATGTTGTTTGGCGCGGTTGCGGCAAGGATTGTTCCAGTGATCGTAGCGTTTGCTGCAATTGGTCCGTTGTCATAGCCCGTCTCAGTTGTAATGTATGCAAACGGCCTATAGATCGCGACTGTCCCAACCAACCGTCCAGAGGTCGGTCGAGCCGTCGACGTAACGGTGCTTGTCTCCAATGGTCCACCGTCGTAGCCTCGTGTCGTTGTGATATATGGAATGGGAGTGGAGATCACTATTTCGCCAGGATTGGTTCCATTAGGTAGGATCGTGCCAGTGATGATTGCTGTGCCGTTGAAGCCAGCATCGTAGCCAGTGGTAGCAGTGAAGTATCCATAGGGCACAGAAGTTGCGACCGTCCCTACCGTGTTCCCAGGTGGAGCGGGTCGGGTAGTGCTGACAATGATCGCTGTGCCTGTTGGTCCTGCATCATACTGTGTAGTGAGCTGGACGTAGGGGTACGGCGTGCTGTAGATGATGGTTCCTTGCAGCGGGGTAACAGTTCCAAGGATGGTCTGCGTTATGGTGACGGTAGCGTTCGGTCCGGCGTCATAGCCGGTACTGGAGAAGATGAACCCATCAGGAGGATCTAAAAGCACTGTACCGGTAAAGTCGGGAGGAGCTGGCGCCACGATACTTGTATCTACGCTGACGGTGTTGATGCCGGTACGAAAGTTCGACGTAGACGTGACATAAGGATAAGGAGTCGAGACGTACACGGTCCGAGTGCCTGTAGCGTTCAGCGGCTGGACCACAGTGACTGTCGAAATGACCGTGATAACTGGACCAGCGTCGTAACCCGTCGTAAGTGTCGTGTAAGTGAGAGGTAACGACACAAACACTGTGCCAATCGGCGTTGGATTGACGACGTCCAAGAAGGCTGACTTAACACTTGTGATGGTGCGAGCAGCGCTTGGGCCCTGGTCATAGTTGAGAGTAGTAGACACATAACTGAAAGGCGTCGAGACGATGACTTGCGGACCACCTCTATCGGTCAATGACAACACTTGAGTGATTGGGGCAGTGACCAGAGGTCCACCATCAAAACCAGTTGTTGTGACGGCATACACAATAGGCGTAGATATGAAGATGGTACCCGCGGCGGTCCCGAGGGGGCTTGCTGTTCTAGTCAAGGTCTCGGTGCCATTGGTCCATCGTCCCAAGATGTCGTGACGACATTGAATACATATGGCGTCTCGACGATGATAGTGCCAATGAAATCAGTTGGTGAGGGTGTGAGCGTGAGGGTCGATATGTCCTGTCCAGCAAATCCTTGCGTCACGGTGACATATGGATACGGCGTTGATATGACCACAGTAACGGTGACCACAGCCGTGACATTGGTTTGAATGGGGTCTGTGGCGGTGATGGTCAGGTCACCACCAGGACCCTGGTCATATCCAGTTGTACGGGTTAATCTAGCGAAAGGTGTAAAGACAATGATTGTGCCTGGCGCTGTCCCCGTCGGGTCAACTGTGCTGACACTCGTGACTGTACCGTCGTATCCCGAAGTCGTCGTAATGTAGTTGGCCAGAGACGTTGTGTTTTGAAATGTCGCAGAGGACGCGGTCGTCGTGGTGAGACTTGAGCTGATCAGAACAGACGTCGTCGTCGTGGCGTTGGCGAAGCTTGAGGAACCCGAAGTCTCGGTTGATATGACACTGGAAGCCAAAGAGCTTGTGTTGCTATATGCCGAAGTGGATGACGTCGTAATGGTAGCGTTGGCTACGATCGACGCTGACGTGCTCTCCGAGGATGGTGTGCCCGAGGCACTGCTTTCGGTGGTCTTTGATGAGAAGTTAGTGAATGAAGCTGAGCCAGTCGCCGTAAAGGAAGAGATTAACTGGGAAGTAGACAGGATGGAGGCCGAGAAATTGAAAGAAAGCGAGCTCGAATCCAAGGAACCTGTGGACGTCACATTCGTCGTAGTTGATAGCGACGACACATTCTGTATGGAGCTGAGACTCTCCGGAGTGGACGATGGCATGCCCAGCGCGCTGGTAACAGTGGACGGAGCCGTGAACGAGCTTAGGTTGCTTGCGCTGAAGGTGCTCGTCAACGATGCGTGGTAAAGGCCGACGAGTTGGCGAACGAGCTTGGCGTCGTTACAGCGGAAGAGGTCGAAGTTGAGGTTGCAGGAAGGGGCGTTAGACTCGTCAAAGATGTCAAACTCACTGCAGCAGAGGAGCTCGTATTCGATGTTGCGGATACAGAGGTGCCGTTCGTGAATGGAGCCGATGTATCAAAGGCGCTGCTGCTCGTGCTCGCGAACGCAGCAGGCGACGTAGTGTTTGCGGCCGATGTAGTTGCTTCAGAGGTGATCAGGCTTGTATCCGATGCCATGGTCTGAGATGTTGTGGTCGCTAAAGAGCTCGTGTTTGATGCCACCGATGTGGAAGTGCTGTTGGAGAACAAGGCCGACGTGTCCGATGAGGAGCTGCTCGTGCTCACAGACGCAGAAGACGACGTAGAATTTGCGGGCGAGGAACTTACTCCTGAAGTGATCGAGCTCGGCTCCAGAACTGTGGTCTGAGACGTTGTGATCACCAAAGAGCTCGCATTCGATGTTTCGGATACAGAGGTACTGTTTGCGAATGGAGTCGAACTTCCAGAGGACGAGCTACTCGTGCTCGCAGATGCAGCGGGTGATGTAGCGTTTACGAGCGAGGAACTTACTTCTGAGGTGATCTGCGACGTTGTGGTCGTCAACGAAGTAAAGTTTGTGAAGCTAGCAGTGCTGGTCACCACGTCCGAAGATAGCGAGGTGGGTAAAGTTGACGAGCTGATGTTCGCAGGTCCGGAGTCGAAGGAGCTTGTAGCTGCGCTAGTGGCCACAAACGACGAACTTGCTGATGAGGAAAAGGTCGCAGTTTCACTTACTGATGTAGTAGTATTAGGTGCAAGACTCGAGACCGGAGTGCTCGCTTCTGTGGACGAGGTCGTGTTTACAGCCGTAGAGAACGAGCTAGAAGACGTCGATGAAGTAAGGTTTGCAGGGCCGGAATCGAAGGAGCTCGACCCCGGGGTGGTCGCCAGAGACGACGAGCTTGTGGACGACGAAAGGGTCGCAGTATCGCTGACTGATGCAGAAGTAGTGATAGCAAGACTGCTGGTTGTGGTGCTCGACCCTGTTATGGCTTCAGATGAGCTCGAGGTCACAATCGCGGCCGAAGTAGCTTGTGCCTCCGACGTGCTCGGCACAGTTGAGCTTGATGTGGAACTGGGACAGGCTACGAATATCACGTCAGTAATCTGTTACGCTTGGCTGACGAAGTCAGCACTTACTCGCGGTTGGCAGGAATTGAAGTCGAGCCGGCTGGCAATCCTGAGGATATACGCCATTGAACACGATGTTTATGACATTGTTGACCTGGCAGAAAAGCGCCTGACCACCAACGAAAATGGGGTTTCGCCAATGGAGGACACCATCTTCCAGACTGAAAGTCGTATCGATGTCGCCTTGAGGTTGCAATGGCGTGAATGGTCTGTATGGCTCGGCTGCAGATTCTGAGAATTTGATTCCATCGATGTACAGGCGCCCTCCGTCCAAAACGTAGGTAGCTTGTCGTCCGCAACCTTCGGTGACCGAAGCATCGCCAGATATGAATCGTGGATCTGAGGTGCTATTCGTGAAAGATGCCGTGACCTCTTGGCGTTTGATGCGAGCATTGATTGGCGTGGGCAGAACTGCAAGAAAGAATGTCACGTCGGAAGTACTGACATGTATTAGCGATATGCTGTTCTTGGGCATACGCGAGACTTACGTGGTGATCGCAGCGGCTGTAGTCGTGCTGTGACAGGTCAGATGGCTGCTTCCTAGAATTTTGCTTCGCTTACCTGGTGAGGCTGGTTGTGATGGCCGGCGAGGGCTGGATCGTAGAGGTCGACGCCGCGGAAGACTGCGCGGAGCTTGAGGCGCTGCTACCGCTTGACGAAGACGCTACCGTGGAGGTCGTTGCGGAGCTGAACTCGCTTACACTCGTAGGAAAGGCGACATCGGATGAGCTTGCCGAAGAAACAACTGCGGCTCCGCTGCTCGAAGAGCTCCCAGAGGAAGAGCTCGTAGGAGCACTTGCCGCTGACGATACCGAACTGCTGGTGCTTGCCAATATGGGATTATCAGTACTGGCTAACGAGCTTGACACTGACGTGGCCGTAGTTATGACGCTGCTGGTCGATACCGAACTGCTGGTGCTTGCCAATATGGGATTCTCAGTGTTAACAAACGAGCTGGACGCTGACGTGGTTGTAGTGGTGACGCTGCTGGTCGAGACAAGTGTGCTACTTGCGACGGGATTCGTTGAGCTCGATTGAGGTAGGATCGATATCGGATTGTCGACTACCGTGACCGTTGCCGTTGTCACTGTACTGATGCATATGGGAGCGTTTGTGACAGTTAGAGTTACGCCCGGAGTGACAGTGACGATCGTGTTATGTAGAATCGACGTCTGGATCTCGTATGGTATGAGGCTGACGGTGAGTCCAGCGTAGCATACTGACGGTTGCGCTTGCCGACGCCGAAGGTCGCCTTTGCCAATGTAGGATGCTAATACTGAGACTGTTAGGGTGAGTAAAAGAAGCGCTCGAGACAGCACAATGGATGCCATTGAGTGCACTGAGCAGGGTCCTGTGATGGAGAGAACACGAGAGGTGACAGCATCGCGACGGTTTTGTTATCCCATTGCAAGTACAGCAGCTTGTGGGTCAGCCCTTTGCTCAACAGTATGCCCACCTGCTAGGACAACCGTAGCTCAATTTCTCGCGACGCATACGCGCCGAAGGCATGGGAAGATCGATCCACTTGGGACGAATGCCATATCTCGGCGGCATGTCAGCTCCCTGTCGCCATGGTAGCGTCGGACTATGGGGTTATGGCATAGAGCATGGCAATCCAGCATTGCAGGAGAGCAGAGGAGCTTCACTCGGCGAACAGCCGGTATGAGGAAGGATCCAGTAGTGGTTGACAGATCGACACTAAATTTTAGCAGCGATTTGACATGCGGTAAGTCATGTACGGAGATGTGCTCCTGCAATGGACCCATCCAGCTCGCGACTTGCGGAAGCAACGACGGATGGGGTTCACAGCTGCCCGGGCTGCATTGGAAGCACCCAGCAGAAACAGCACGATCCTGGTAGTGATGTTAGTCCTCGTCAGACATGATGAGCTCTCGCCGACGGTCGTACGGGACAAGCAATAGATTGAAACAAAGTTTGGCGATGAATGGGATGCTGACAGATGGATGTGGTCGGCATAGACTTGGAGCTGGAAGTCGGAAGGAAGCGAAGGGCAACTTGGCGCCAAGATACTCACCTTCTGAATGTGGTTCCGACTTGCCGCTGCCGATCAGTTTGACACATTTCTGCAGCATATTGACAGCTCGATCTCACCTCAATAGACTTCGTTGCAAGTATGTGCCAGCAAAGAGCAGGGAGATGGAATTCCTGATTTCGATGACTGGGATACCAGGAAGGAGCGTCTTGCTCGATCAGTATGTCCGTCCACCTCCTGACCGAGACCATCCCGGAGGCTCCATGCCTTCGTGCCCTTGTGGCCCATCGCGGGCTGTACGAGACTTGCTCACAATCGTGGGCCATTTCCCTGTGCTGTCAGGTGCATAGCGGGACAACAATCCATCGATGGAGCTTCAATGCATGCTCCAGCACTCATGCCGAGGTGGTCCCAATATTCCTGGCTTCTGACACTCTTATGCAGATCTGGGATATCGGGTCTCTCTCGAACTGGGCGCGAGAACTGCACGTTGCTACACTGTCATGGAAAAGGTCGTCGATCTCATCCATGCTAAGCTCGAAATCAACAAACACCCTAATCCAATAACAAGCAGATTCCCAGCACCTAATCGGCGCTCACTGACGGGATTATCCTGATGAAGGCTGTTTCGACAATTTCACCAAGATCAGAAATTCCACAGGCTCCCCGGTTGATGCCTTCATACCTGACGCCCATGTAGCTAACGCCTCTATGTCCAACGCTGCCATACACAATGCCTCCATGACCCAAGCTTGTTGTACACCATACACCCACGAAGAACCAAGACCTGTCAACTCGAGTCACGTCTGCAATCCGGTCTCTCTCGTCTGATCGAACCACATTCCGCAGTCGTCTCCGCCGGATCTCCGCTTCCACAACCACCGAGGCACATCCTAAACCCCTGTCACGGCTTGACCTGCCCCGCGGCCCACATCTTCCACTTATGTGCTTCGCTGCAGCCCACCCAGGTGAGATCCCTTTTCTTCATCGTGTGAACCATGATGTCAAACCTGCGGTCGACCTTCCTGAAGTTCTTCCAGGCCCAGCCAGAGTATATCAAGGTGAACGGCGTTCCCCAACCAAGAGAGCAGACACCGGCTTCGATGCCAAAGGCGAATTTTCCTCGCAGGCGGTACTTGCTATCCTCGTATGCGTGGGCTTCGTTGAGGAGGTACTTGGGCTCGCAGGTCTTGATGTATTGGCTGAATTCGTCGTCTTCCCAGTTGACGGTTGTTGCTTCTGCCATCTTCGAGTTCAGGCAGGTCTCAACCTCGTGCTGAGGCAGAGCTTTAAGGGTAGGCGTAATGATGGAAGTGGGAGTTGGTGAGGTGTATCAGGCTTGGACAAGACTGAGAGCGATGAGGGTCGGTCAAAATTGTTGGACTGTTCTCATTGCCAGTATCTGTGTGGTTTGAAAGCCATGAAGAAGGAAGATCCGTCATGTTGGGATACAACGACCTATCGGTATGCCACAGGGGAGGGGCGAGGCACAGCGGATGCCCTGAGGACAAGGATAGAGTATGCCTCGCGGTGAGGGCAAACGTGGCAGAGGCCAGTTGTGACAACACCATGACGCTGGGCAAGCGATTTGTGGTGGCTGTGGTGCTGGAAGAGGTCATTGCTCCGTTCACCTACCTCCTCTGCAGGGGAAGGGGAGTCCTGCGCGATCGGTCTCCCTCGAACAGTCCCCGACCGCGCAACCAACGTTCACTTTCCTGCGCCCGATTACTATGAGCACGAGTACCGCCACCAATATCACTGATGCCAAGTATCGGCCTGACGTCCAGATTGGTGCCAGACATCCGGGTCTCGTCTGGCAACCCTGCTTCATCGCTCCATCAAAACCGACTCGCACCGTGCCGATCTGAAACCACGAAGAAGTGTGGACGATCCATGGGGCCAAAGCAGTGCCAAGCCTGAATCGCACCTTTCACCATGCTCTCCTGTAGGTAGGAAGGTCGGATAAGGTGACGCGGCAGTGGGATATCGTCCCAGCCAACGCTGCTCCTCCTGCGTCTCCGATTGTCGGTGCTGACAAGCAGGCCAGCCTAATGCAGCTGAGCTCCGTCTACGTTATTCCATCTTGGTGTCAGAAGACTTCCAGCACATTGCCCCTGATCGAACGGAGCGAGCAAGCGCGCGGTGGCTGTCAAGGATTTGTCTCGTCATGTCCGTGCGCCATAACTCTCTTCGAGGCCTGTCTTCTGATTGCAGGGGATTTTTTGACTTCCCGCGCCCTGTTCCCGAGCGTTCCAGAGATTCGGGCAGTCAATCAACAGGTGCAATCATGCACGACCTTACTGCCGAGTCAGTCGTGATCTGTGTTGCTGAGTCGTCATCAAAGACATTTGAACAGAGACAAGCCGTCTCAAGCAATGCCAAGCTCGTATTCCTGCACTTACCTTGCACTCACCTCGCACCGTCGCGCGGGTAGATCTTTCAACCCCTGACCAGAAGTTTGATGCACGAGCCGGGAACACATAATCCTTGCCTTCCGTCAATGGGGCGGAAGCAGCAAGTCCATGTTCAATGGCGAATCATGCATGTACGACGGCTCCATCGTTCTCAGGAAAATTCGCCTACACATCCTATTGTACCTAGCGACGCTACCTCGCCCTGGGGATCCTGCTACTCGGGATCAATCTTACCAAACCCTTCCAGGAACCTCAGACTCTGCATCCAAACGCGTCATTCCAGCTCACTCTGGCTGAAAAAGCCGCCCACGACATTGTTGCAGAAAGCAGTCTTACAAGGTAAAGGATCAAGCATTACTGGTGAATGGTGCCAACTACCTTGCCCATCGAGAAGGCTGTCGGTGGATCAATATATTGTCGTGCTTGCGCAACTTTACGCGTCCCGGGAGCATGGATCATCAACAAATTCCAGGACTCTGGGACTTCGTATCATACCCTGTTCGTGCGGCTCTCAAAGAATGGGTAGTCTAGCCAGCCACCAACCTGCGGCTCTACGATCACAGATCGCAGTCTAGAGGCTGGCAAACACGTCAGGGCTCCTCATCAGAATTCCCGACTCCAGCCTGATCACCTTCTTTGCAATTCTTTCATCGGGCTGAGCATGCCGCCTATGTTCCGTGACCGTATAGACGGAAAGAGCCAAGGTAGCGATAGTAAGTGAGCAAGCCACACTGAACAAACGGGACCAACCATCGTCATTCAGCGAGCATGCAACCACCGCATGTAAAGACCCAGTGTGCTACGCCACTGCCTGCGCTCCCTGACGACGTTGTCAAACTCTTCGATACCTAGGCGAGACTCTGGGACTTGGAACGAAACACCACAACGTGTCTTTCGTACTCGCCCCATCGACCGCCACAAGTAGTCTACACCACTGCAATCGCGAAATAACAAGCCGACGCGAAACCCAGAATTGGTCCCCTGCACATACTGCCCTAGTAGAAATCCTCGGAGATCTAAGCCGTCCTGGCGTACCCTTATGCTGTGTAACCCGAAAAGACGCCATGTTTCTCGACCCGACGCTCTGGTCCTGTATTCTATTTTGCGACGGAACGATCAAGCCAAGGACTCATTTGCTCAGCTCTGTGTAACATGAGATGCACGGGACGACTCGAGGAGATGTCTCATTCGAGTCGTGAGCATACATCTGCGAAGCGTGACGCACGACCTTCCAGAGATAGAATGGGGGCGAGAACGGGCATCTCAACAGCAGGAGTAGTCAAATCGGGTCCCAAGCAGTATTGGCAGTCTTCGCGGCCAAGCACACATTCCCACCGCATGCCACTATGAACCATCAGAAGAAGCTGTGGCATCGCCACCAGGACCACCACTTAAGACGCACAGGTCCGCTTCCATCGATCCCACAAGCAACGGCAAAGAGAATCCGGTCCGTCACAGAGCACGTTCTACCTTCCACCTCATCAAAGACAAAGGCGGCGCGGCAGATCTTCCTCCTCTGACCACAACGTTAGCCTGCGAGCTAGGAACCACACATCCTTACCTTCCGTAAGCATCAGTTGCAGAAAGGAAGCTCATGTTCGGTCATGCAAGCCTCTTGGATCCTCCATCGTCCTTACGAAGACGTGGCAATATTGGATAATTCGCCTACACCTCTTCAGCGACGCTTTGGCGTAAACGGGAAACCCAAGTGCTTGGTACCGAACACATCGTAAAAGCTTACACATTCTATAGGGAGCGCCTGCGGCGCGACCAGGAAATCGCTCGCTTCGCTCGCCTGAGGTGGTGGTGAGTCGGTGGCCGCTTCGCGGCCACCTCCTCCCCACCACCTCCCCCGCCCACCGTCCCCTCCCCTGCGCCAGACCGACTACTCGCCTGAGACCGGCCCCTCACCCCCCGGAATCAGCATACAGATATTATTCCCATTCAGCAGAATCTTCGGCAATCTCGTCTGGCCCCCAGTCTGATAGTCGAACTCAACCACATCCTCGAGCACCATGTTGACATAGTCGTCGAAACCTAGCAGGGTGCCGGCGAATTCCTTGTCGCCTTTCATTATGACCCAGATGCGGGAGTTGATGCACTTGTCTATTAGTTCTGTGCGCACCGGGGGTTAGTGGGGGTGGTGGAGGTTGGGTTGGGGGAAGGCAGGGCGGACGCGGGATAGTAGTCTGTCCGCGATACACCTGTGCTGGGTAGGGGAGGTCGGGGTAGGACGAAACATACCGAGCGGGAGGAGTTGTGATGCCATGATGTTGTAACGTCGGTGTGGTGTGCAGGTGGGGTGCTTAGGCGATAGGCAGTCCTGGATACAAGTTGTCCGAGGACCGTGGACGGAAATTTTCTTGTTGAGATTACGATTGTTGTATTTTTCCGACTTGAGGCTCGGTCGATCCTGATTTGAAGAAATCCGAAGGCTCGCGCAAGGCGTTCTGCCAAATACCTAGCCTAATCGTGCGTGAGTGAGTGATCCGGCTACGTTTGACTACATCCAGTGCGTGGGACTGGAATATGTGCAACGAGATTTCGTGCGAGCAAAATGGTGTTGCATGTTTCAGGTAGAACCAAGGTCTTGGTCAATGAGAGCAATGACAGCGGAACTGGAAGGTTGCCTTTTCGCCAAGCAACAGCATATATTCATGTCATCCGGCGACGCAAACTTCTGGCAGTCCGCTACATTCCTTGAACAACATGTCAGAACTACGGACACGGTGGACATACTCATCATGCAGACACCATCTGTGAAGAGAGTACCCCAACTGCGGACTTGAGAGCGATTTGTTTTTCAATGGGCATGAAGCTAGCATTAACGATACGCTGTGGAAGTTAAACACACGCCTACAACACCATTGTGATAACCCAGTCGCTTTCGGAGACCATTGCGAGGTCAAACCTGGACATCCTTTCGATCATAAAACCCTCAACGCCATCGCTTGCAAAATATAAGTCGAGGACAAAGCCCCAGCACTTCGTCACTTCGTCACCTTATTGCATCTCGCCATATTGACAGATCACAGCTCGTCACCTTCCTCATCATTCCCCCTCACGCTCTCTTCATGATCGTACTTTCCCCGTCCCCAATCCCACGGATCTCCACCCGGCACGCACAGGCCGAGTCTCCAGAAGTAGTCCCTATGCGCAAAGAACAATTCCCACAATCTGTATCTCTTTCCAATTCCCCATAGGGTCTTGACCGTTGAGCCGTCCTGAAGCCGCATCTCAACAAAATCATCTTCGCCTACCTGGCTCGCGACGCCACCAGCTATGCACTCGATGTCCTCGTCTCCCCTACACACTCTCAGATTCTCTGGCGCTGGAGGCAGGGCTTCCTTTTCGATGAAGATTTCGCCCGCATGCATGAAGTATCCCCATTCTTCGAGTGGGAGAAGTGGGACTGGATCATTGGCGTGGGTGACCCGCCTGTACAGTGCGTTCTCGGGCGACGTAGCGTGCAGATTGAAGCGCTTGTCGAGGAAGTGGTTGAAGGCGCGATTACCGACTCGTGCTCGCCGAACGTTGTTACCTTTGGCTGCCACCCGCGGGCCTGGAACTCAAGCGCAGCGAGGGCTGCGACTGCACCGCCGAGAGAATGCCCAACTAGAGTCAACTCGTAGCCTGGGTTGTCGTTGAGCGCCTTCTCGACATGTGGGATGATCGTGCAACGTGTATTGCGCCATGAGGTCATGAAGCCGGTGTGAACTGTGCAGTTGTCACATCTGGGGCCCTTCAGATCGCGCTTGTTCTGTTTCACCAGCTGTGGGAGGAGCGACTGCTTATTGTTCTCGGCCTGTGCCTGCGTGCAAACCTCATCATGGTCGGAGTCGGCAGGAAAAGGCATATATTCTGCCGGAGTTGTGGACAGATCGGCTATGGTGTTTGCGATAGAGTATGTGCCGCGGAACGCGACGATGACTCGTTTCTGGAAGGGTTCGTGCGAGAGGGCAACGTAGCCGCAGGAGTCGGACAGCAGAGGTCCAGTATTCCATGTCGTAACCAGTTCGAAGCCTTCGAATTCGCTGCATCTGCCCATGCACTTGAACGGCTTTGAGATGCCTGTTGAGCCAACGCAGTATGATATGTCGACGATTCTCGCCAGCTCTTCGAGTGACTCAAACAGCGGCCGGCTAATGTTGAGCGAATTGACAGGCGGGATCGGTTGGGCTGGCATTGCCAGCGCCGCCAGTGAGCCATGGCAGCAATGAGAGTAGTCGAGGCATAATTATTAATTCAGGACGCTACATTCTGGGCGAGGTCGGAGTGCGCTCAGCGCTATTGAGAGGCTTTGAGGATACGAGAGGAGGGAAGAGTGTCGCGAAGAAGCGACAACAAGCCATATCATCTGCCGATTTCTGCCACGTGACCTGACATCATGCTGTGTCGCTGTTAGCCCCTGATTATCTCCGGCCTTGGATCGTGAACTGTGAACTACAGTCTTCAGTCCACGACCAGAACATTGATCAACTCCGCGCCAAACCAGCTACCATTCCATTGCGTACTGTCTGCTTTCAGCTTCTGCTGCGAATTCGCTTGGCTCTTGCAGCCCGCGAATGAACACGCCCTCAAAAACATACGCTCACGCCTACCGCCGGTTCTCTGGTCAAGCTCCCAAAATGCCACCACCACGGCTGTCCCTTCTTTCCGCCCTTCTCCCTCGTCGCACCATAGCCTCGACCTCCCGAGCGGGCACGCAACCGCTCCGTAATCTCTCAACACCACAAAGATCTACCTTTTCTACGTCTTCCTGCGTACACAGCTCTACAAGAACAGTCGATTCCACAGCTCTCATCAACACCAGAAGACCACTATTTCTCAGCACTACAATAGTGTCGTCACCACATCAGACGCAAATACGAACGATGAAGACGCGCTCCGCAGTGAAGCGTTTGTGCGGGCACTGCAAGGCGGTGCGGCGGAAGGGAAGAGTGTTCATCATCTGTAGCGATAATCCGAAGCACAAGCAGCGGCAGGGCAAATGAGTCAACGCTTCTATGGGAGATCATGTGAACCGTTGGCGCCAGGAGTCTTCTGCTAGGATTATCAAGACGACTAAGTGTGTAAGAGAGGCGAGCGTTGAGTGTGTCGGAGGTTGCGGCTGCGTGTATCTGAGGCTGGTGTAAGACCATGACAGAGCAGGGGGTCTCTAGTATGACTGTAGCAGCAGAGTTCGAGCAGTGAGGTCAATCGCCGGATGTACTTTGAGCTCACCTGCAGCCCGGAATGGAGGCGAAGCCAACTTCATCGAGCGATAGACGTCCTAAGGACTTACTACGTCAGAGGATTTTCTACAACAGTAGTATGCACAAATCTCCCAACGGAAGTCGCGACCAGCCTATCAATGGAATCAGCGTCCACATACTGAGGTCGACAGCCGCCTGCTCCCCTCCGCACACCCACTACACTACACTCCACAAAAAATCCAAAAAAAGATGTCGTCGGAACCTGGATTTCAACCAGGATCCTCGATCATCTCTCTAAGTCTCCCTATCGAACACCCATTAGGTGCGACTTCAGTACAGAGTCCCGTTAGGATAGTACTGGAAACAATCATCGTCTTACACTGGCCAGGAAGCGACAATGGTACACTCCCAGTTGGAGGCACAGAACAGGCTCCCGAAGGATAAACCATGATGAACCCCAGTAGGGTCCATATGAGATTTGAGAGACAAGAAATGCGTGTGTTGACGATTACACTACGCTGGGTGTGTGCAACTTGTGTGCTGTTGTTGGAGCGACATTGGAGGAGTGTGGAATATATGGGATGAATTGGGTGGCGAGGCTGCTACCCGTGGACGCCCGGACAGGTCCTGATCGCAGGACTTTGTACCAGGATACCAATGATCTTTGTCTGCTCTCATCTTTCGTCTTTCGATCTCTCCACCCGATCCGCACGGTTGCTGTACGGCAAGTCCCTCAGTGATATCCTTTCGGAAAGAACGATGGATTTGAGCCTATTTTATACGAACACACCCACACCCTCCAGCCGGACAACCAGCATCGATCGATATGCAGGACTCGTCGCGCTGCGTCCAGCAACACGATGACCTTGCCTGCTCAGATTGAAACATTCGTCCACGCAGCGTTGCTCAGTGCAGTATACCACACAGTCGCTTGCCGGTCAAACTCGCGGAAGGGACACTCCCGTCTTAGCCGGTCCATGCCAGACGGCGAGGCAAGCCCGCTCCTTGTTGCAGGCGTCCGCGGACCTATGCATCCCGCTGACCCACGCCCAAAACGTCAGTGAAGTACCGATGAAGCAGATGAAAGTAGATCAACCTGAGTAAATGTACAAGTCTTTCTATTCATATATGTAGACCTTTGTCTTCGAAGGTAGTATGTCAGTCGTTTACTTTTGCCCAGTACCTCGAGCTGAATCTCCATGACCTGATGCTACCTTCCCATCGACCATCGCCTGCCTGGAATTATTCGCGATACTGCTTTCCAAGATATTGTCCCAGGCGCAGCGAGCAGTCGACGCCCGACTCTCGCAGCGGATAGCTCGAGCTTGTGGACAGATGATTCTGCGCAGACTAGCGCTGGTGTCGCGTTGTGCCTTAAGAGGTCCCGATCGTCGTCGTGATCGATTTTCTGGCTTTCGAGCTTATCGATCGACCGCTTAAAGGCTAGTCCGCAGTTGAACGTTCGCTGCAGCATCCTACGTCGTCCCTGAACTCCCACCGCGCCCAATCAGTTCTTCTTCTTACTACCCTGAGGCGCCGCAAGCCCAAACGGCGGCGGCTTCGTCTTCTTCCCAGTGGTCGGCGTTGGCGGCTCAGCCTCATCTCCAGCCCTCTCCGCCTTCTCTTTCGCCGCGTACTCCTTCGCCGTCTTCTCATCCTGCCGTTCCGCATACCACTGGCCGACCTGCAGCACCAACACACCAACAAGCACGAGCGCCAGAATAGTGTTACTCGCGCTGAGAACCTTAAGATTATCCTCCCGCCCAACAACATTGTTATCCCCTTCCCCCTCCCCACCCCACGCAACCCCCTTCTTCCCAGAGCCCTCCGGAACATAGCCCTCCGGCGTCTCTACCACACCGACACCATAAACCCCTGTATCCACGATCCTTAGCCCTTTCGCAATATTCGAAATATACACGATCAGCGCGACCATGAACAACACCAGACTCCCCCCATCGAACAGCATATTACTCTCCGAAGGCTTGTAGAGTTTTGAGATGAGGCCGCCGAGGCGACGAGGATCATGCCGTGGAAGATCTGGAAGCAGATCTTGGGGCAGTGGTAGAGGAGCTTGAGATTGGATTCGACGGCGTCGAGGTGGGAGGGCGGGATCGGGGCGGCGGACCAGAGGAGGGGGTAGTCGTAGGGGAAGAGGGAGAAGAGGAGGCCGAGGAAGAAGGAGGTTGCTGTGGCGGGACATTGTTAGCTGCTTGTTGCTGTTGCGACGGAGGGGGAGAAGAGGGAAGAGTGGGTGAGGGCTGGGCTGCGCGGTGAGGCAGGGACACGGCCGACTTACAGGCGACGATCATGAGCGTCGGGAATTTGAGTTGTGCCATGGCGGTCTATTGTTGCACTGATGATGCGGGTTTTGATGCTGGCGCAGGTAAATGGGCAGGTCCGAGACGGTGGTAGTTATCCAAATGCCGCGATGTATTTGCGTGAGCGCGATGAGAAAAGACTGGTGCGCTGTGTCGACGATTCTCCGGGACGGTAGACGACGCCGTCTCTTACTACGCGCGGTGGAGAGCGAGCTTCGAAATTGCGCAACAGCTGAATAGAGCGTAGACAATTTCGAGGTCAGATGCGTGTTATCTAATGTCCAGAATTGATAACGGCAGGAGCTGGATGTCCTGATAATTGTGAGAGGTAGATCACTCGAAGAACTTCCCAAACATATGTACACGGGACGGAAGTGAACGATGCAGAAGAAATGACTTATTTTGGTGTGTTGGTATCAGGAGGGAACACGTCGTTGGCTGTACCTGAGGTAGAGTTGCAGTCGTTGCGAAGCGAGCAGAAGCACCTGAAGCGGGACAAGCCGGACCAGCCTCGGGGCTGGGCATTATCTCGACCTTCTCAGGCCCCAATTTGCGCACGCATAGGGAGGTTGGACCGTATCAGAGATGTGGTCTAGCATGCAAGCCAATGGCTCTGCTCAGCGAGTTGTAGACTGATATGTTCAGCATCGCACTAGCTATCATTTTGATATATTTCTCAAGGCACGTATGCACCCATGCACGCAGTGTAATGTATATCCCACCAACGCCTTCGCTATATGACCAGTCCAACTGGTCCCAATTTTATTCCCCTGAGCCGGCCGATCTACCGCTGATACTGCGGCAATTCATGCTCGTGCCCGTGCCCGTCAACATGAATATCGTCCTCCGACAGCATCGGCGCGCTAGGTGCCATGACTGGCTGCTGACTCGAACCTTCATCTGCTGAATCCACGGCTGGTGGCACGCTAGCTTGAGCCATGATCCGGCGCCTTTCCAGCTCCTGCTTGTCCTCTGTCGGCGCATCGTCCTCGCTCGGACCGGCAGGCGGCGGTGGTGGCGGAGATCCATCGTATGGCCGCACAGTGTCGACGGACCTCGCGGACGCGACTGAAGCAGGAGGACCCGGTGTTGGTGGATTTGCTAGTCCATCATGAGGCTCTACACCGTCATTGTCGAGCACAGGAGCTGACGGCGCTTGCTGTGCAGCACTTGACGATGGTCCGGCCTCATTGGGCGGCTGAGTTGGCATCAGGAGCTCTTCTTGTCTGCGCAACCGTGTCTTCTCGTCGACTTCTTCCTCCGCCTGAGGTGGAGGTATCTCGACCGCTGGCGGCGGTTGATGCTCGTGCGGTGGTGGCTGATGATAATGCTGCTCATCATAGCCGTAGCCATCTTGACCTTCGTAGCCTTCGTAGTAGTAGGGGTCATAATATTGCACCTGCCCGTTTTCGTCATAATACCAGTATTCACCCTCGCCCTCGTAGTACTCTTCGTCGTACTGCTCATCTGCAGGCGAGTCGTTTTGGATTTCCGTCTGTGCAGGTGGCTGTTGGGGGCGCTTATTACGACTGCTATCCTTCGTCCCGATGATCAAATTGAACTCGAATGTGGCAACGCTCTTGTTCCGTCTCAGCGAAGTTGTGTCGAGGATACTGTTCGACCATTCGTGGGTCAGCTGACTGCTATTGGCCATCGAAGTGGTGAATGTTGGCTCTCCCGAAGTCAGTCGTGGCAAGAGCCGTGTCTCGCCCAACTTGCCAAACAAGTCCACAACCACTCTTCGATATGATATGTGAACGATATCATCCCTCCGGGAACATTGCTAATGGTCGGAAATGCTTCTTCGGGTACTCGTATGCTGGTCTTGATATCTGATGTGAGTGTGCCCGGATCAATGACCATGATGGTCGATGTTTGCGACAGGTCTTTCCTAAAGACACTACTCGGGGACGAAGAGGCGAAGTACAGTCCTCCCAGACCAGTCTTCGACTTTGGGTAGACATCCTCGTACTCAGCCTTTTTGTGCTTGCCAAGATTGGCAAGAGGAATTGCAGGATGCATGTCAACCCTTCCAATCCTGTACAAAGTGGCTATGACAAGGCCTTTGACATAGGGCTTCGTATGCGTGATAAATACTCGAATAGGTATCGTGTCGCCAGGTAACGCGCCGTGCTTTTGTAGCTCGGCCACAGCTGTTACTGCAGACCCAGAGGATGATGTGTTGGTGCTCTTCGTATCGTCGCTTCGTTTTCTGTTCTGCGAATCCAGCTCGACCTGCCGAAAGCTCGTCGAACTTGTCGTAGCTGTTGTGGCGACAGTATCTTCGCTTGGAGCTGGACTCAACGGAGGTTCAGTACGCGCTGCTGTGTTCGACGTCGAACTGCCCTGGGTGTCCTGTCGAGTCAACTTTCCTCGACTTGATGTGTCACCAGTCCCAACTGACGTCGTTGCTTTGACCTTCTTGACCCGTCCCCGTCTCACCGGTTCCATGGACACTATGCGCGACTTTGGCGTGTTCATTGACTCGACGTCCAATGAGTCTTTGAACTTGACAGCTTTGAAGACCGTGTGGGTTGGTATCATGGTGACCGGCCGCGTCAAGGTCGCTGAGAGCATATACGACACGGCGCCTCGTTCGAATGATAGAGTACTGGGCATCGACTTCGCCGGAAAGGGCAGCTCGAACGCGAACTTGTACACCTGCTTTTTCAGAAATCCACTGCCACATAGGATCTGTTCTTCCTGGAAGAGCGACGCCAACCCGCTGCCATAGTATTCGAATCCTCTCGAGCTTTTCCCGTTGACGACAAAGTCGCTGTTCGAGAATCCTTCGCCATTTGTGACCTGGTGCTTGAAGACTTTTGCATACCCATGTAGCGTCACCACCAAATGCGTTATGTCGAAGCCTTTTGTGACGGTCAAGACAAGATGTCCCTTGACTGTCTCGCCTGCTGAATATACTCGGAACGGATCCTCGGGCTCCACAGCCAGCTCGAACATATTCCGCGCATGCTTGGAGAGTGGGCTAGAGAATCGGGACAGTATCGAGCGAGATCGTGGTACGTCTGGGCTGGGATTCGTAAACAGAGTATCCAGCGGCATTGGGTGAGCGACTTCAACCATCGCGTAGTAGATGCATGGCGTTGGTGTTTCAGCGCATGTTGTATAGAGCGACTCGCGGTCGCCGACGGAACAAGTTCGTCAGTTGGAGGCGTCAGACTGCATATGTCGGAACGATCTACAGGTGCAGTGTGGCTGTGTTGTGAATCGGATGAACTGGACCGCGTGTACTGTCCTTCACTGGCAGCGTGCTTTCGCAATGTTATAGTGCCGCTTAACGCTTTCGCTGATGCTCGCGTCGTTGTTTCGAGGTAGAGCACGAGTAGGTCGTGGGGAATAAAGATCTGCGCACGTTCGCCGCGTGGCCTGACCCAGTAGTCAGTTTAGCTACCAAGGAGCACGTTCTCTGGGCGTGGTTGGTGACCGCAGGACTGGGACGCTGGGTCTGGCTGAAGCTGAGTCGGATAGCCGGGCTCGATCGAGGAACAAAATACACTTCAACCCAATATTTGGTAGGAGCGTCTAGACTTGCTTGGAAGTGCAGCAGCGCAGTCTCGAGCGCAATGACATCGACCTTGAGGCCAAGCTTTGAAATAGAGGAGGGAGTCGAGAGACTTGGGTACAGGAACGAGAGGGAAAAGGCTTGTAAGCCGGGCTTGGTTGCAGCAGATTCTGTGGCTATGGTTCCCCTCTTCAGGCCCAGTCTTTTCAGCTTTCCCAGAGGTCAACGATTTAGGAGGCTCGTAACCTTATGCGCGCAACCCTGGATCAAGCTTCCTGGAATACTTCTAGCCTGGAATTGCCTCGGGGTTTGCATGCGGTCGACTTGCGTACGAGCGAAGTATATGCCGTTATGTTGGCGGATGTGTGCGGTCTGTTGGCTTTCGATAATCATCATTGACAGCGGCATCAGGCCTGATACGGTTTCTCAGAGTTTGGGTGAAACTTACCAGTGCTGAATAATGTGTGCCTCAATTCAGCCGTTGGTCGTGTCGCCGTCCTACCGGACAACTTCGGTATCGTGCTCCGGGTGTTGGTTTGGCCCCTAAACTGGAGCCCCTGTCAGACTTGCGTGCTTCGGACGACGGCTTATCACGTTTCGGCGTAGGCGATCGTCGCTCCTTGTGATCCTATCGTAGGTTTGACTGCAAGCAGTAGTGTCGACGACTGTCAGTGATGCGTTCCAAGGTTCGTGCGTATGATGCGCTCCGTGTGATTGTACATGTGTCCAAAGTGGCTGATTGCAAATCGGCAGGAACTTTAAAGGCGTCGAGGTTTGGTGAAGGTGGTGCGGATGCAGCAGCGATCCCGAGCCTCGCGTGAAAGCTTCAGCAAGATAGCGTCAGGCCTGCCAGAACGTTGCTTGGAAGTCTTTCCTGCTATCGCGTGAGGACAGACGCAGTACTGCGGCGATCTTACAGCTCTGCATCAACAGCATCCGGGATGCTGTCGATCCCTTAAGAAGAGATGACTGGCAGGCAGACACGTCGGACGCTCCTGGACTCATCAACCCGGGTAAGTTTGATGAATCTGGAAGGTGCCACTGTACGCTTTTGTCCTTCTGTGAAGAACGTTGGAGGTCCAAGGTCTACGAGATGCGGGAGGATCTACGACCTCACGAAGGTGAGTAAGCATCTACTCTCTTTACATGAACAAAACATGAAAGCAGCACCTCGCCCAGGACCAACGCATGCTCGTGCGGAAGTCATTGATGACCCTGCGTCTGCTACCTCGAAGGCAGTACGGCAGCGCCGGTCCTTCCAAGGCCCTTGGCTGATTCTGGTTGTCTGTACACTATGAAAAGAATCATGCTATACTAACCTCCACGAGGGTGCGCCCGGACCGATGACAGTCAACAGGCAAGTGAGACAACATGAACATACTGTGGATGATCTGCCAGGGTTCATTGGCCACAAATGCTGCAGTCGCGTGACGGCTTTGCTGGTTGGCATCAGCGGTCCTTCAACGATAGGTCAGCCGATCTTGTTGGCCAGAGAATTGTTCGTCGGAAAAGTGCAGCGTGCGCATCTTGCCAGGACATTTCGGTGGCACTAGGTGCGAAGGCCTCCTGGTCGTGGCGACGTTGTAAGTCCGACCGAACGGGTGGCTAGGATCGCAAGAGGTCGTACAACAATCCTTGAGGCTTGTCAGACGTCTCGCGTTGAGACAGCCATCTGTCTGGGACGTTGCCTAATGCTCAAAGCTTGTACGGTCAAGCTTCAGCATACCCCAGCCTTGGTATATCAAAGCCATCTGTGACCGAATACGACCTTCAGGCTGAGGAAATCCGTGTTGGTTTGGCTTGTGTTCTAGCACCATCACATGCCGCTCCGCACGCGCCATGCACAATAATACGACGCAAGTCGCCAATTTGGGCCATTTCTCGGGCTTCTGGGATTGGCCACGTCACCCAAATTGACCGATTTTTGCACTAGTAGGTGTTCATTTTATGCTTTCCACGGTCAACTGAGACGTCCTGTCCGGTAACGACAGCAGCCAATGTTGCACTGCATGTACTCGAAATCACATCACCGGCTGAATGTTGGCCCGCGCAGGTGGTAAACTGCAAATATTCGAAATCGCGGACCATTCGAAGGCTCAAGCTCTTCGCTTCTTGGCTGGCTTCTGGTCTGTGTCGCTGCCGCTGCCATGCCTTTCCGGAGAAGGTGGAGGTATTGGCTTCACTCTGCCATGGATGCGATGCTTCGTCAGTGTTGACTCGGGCAGGCCGTTCGTCCAAGACCGTGGTTCAACAAGAGCCATGTCGCCATTATCTCCTAGACTCTTCTCGATGGTCGCTTCGAGCAGATAGCCAAGCGCGATGAGAGCAGATCCATCCATACTGCGAAAGTCGTGTGTACCGTGCTCTGGCGTTGCTCTGCTGTAGTAGTCCGATGCATATGCATGGATGGCTTTGAGGAGATCCGAATCGGGCAGGTCAATATCTGAATCGTGCTGTTTCGAATAAGATCTCTGGAATTCCTCTGCATCCATAGAAGTCTTGCGCCATAGCACTTCGTCCGGAGCTAGAGACTTGGTCGACTTCGCAATCTCGTCGCTCGTCAGGAAGCCGTTGGTGCCAACTTTTCCCGCAACAGCATCGTAAACCGTCGCCTTTCTCTTCTTAGGCGATGTGAGGGCCTCAAGGTCGCTTGCGTCGTCGTCCCTTGCAGTCATCCTTATGGCGCGTCGACGTCCTCATCGTCTGCCCGATTCATTACCGCTGAAATGATCAATGGTCGCAAATAGCTGAGGATGCTCGGAACTTCGAATGGTGGAAGCGTTTGATTCCTGTGAGTCATGTAAAGGCCTCCCCGCGCCAGCCAAGAGTCAGGCGCGATCACCCCGCGACGCCTCGGAAACTTCTCACTGTTTGGTCACCTGAAACTCATTTCAAGATGACACGGTGGTTACAGTAAATCAGCATTCATATTCTAGCTGTTCTTCGATGACACCTTCAGAGTCCCCCCTGCAACTTTCTTTTACTGAATCACGCCATGGCCGAGTCAACGCCTGTAGGCGCACCTACAAGCACGGTACCTACAGTGGAATCCGAGTCCGAGACCGAAGAGGTCGTCGAACAGCAAGATGGACAGGCCGGCACAACTGCAGACGGCGCAGCAACCAAGAAGAAGAAGAAATCGAAACGGAAGAAGGTAGCATCCGCGATCACAGGCGGCAGCGGGGATCCTTCAAGACCAGCAGCCAAAATATCACAGGAAGGAATGCAGCAAATAATGGAAGCCAACCCTGCGCTGAAGGGAGAGCTGTCGAAAATGTCGCCAGAAGCAGCACAGGAGATGTTGAAGAAGATGGACGTCAACCAGCTCTTGACAGGCCTTTCACTGAACGGCCGAAACCAGAAGGACATGGCTTCGTATAAGTTCTGGAGTACACAGCCAGTGCCACGGCTCGACGAGAAGCCTGGCGATATTCAAGACGGCCCAATAAAAGAAGTCGATCCAGAAAGAGTACCAAAAGACCCTGCACCATTACCAGATGGCTTCGAATGGGTGCTCCTCGACTTGAATAAAGACGATGAGATCAAGGAAGTCTACGAACTCCTCACAGACCACTACGTCGAGGACGGGGCTGCAACGTTTCGCTTCGACTACTCAAAATCGTTCCTCGACTGGGCTCTGAAAGCACCCGGCTGGCAAAGAGACTGGCACATCGGCGTACGGGTGAAGAAGGCAGGCGGAACAGGCAAACTCATAGCATCCATCTTCGGCATACCCACGAAACTGCGAGTGCGTAAGAACATCCTCGACGTGGTGGAAATCAACTTCCTCTGTGTGCACAAGAAGCTGCGCGACAAGCGCCTGGCACCAGTCCTCATCAAAGAAGTCACGCGTCGGGTCAACCTTCGAGGCATATATCAGGCCATCTACACTGGTGGCACCATCCTTCCCACGCCAGTGAGCTCGTGTCGGTACTATCATCGAAGCTTGAACTGGCTGAAACTCTACGAAGTCGGATTCTCGCCCTTACCACCTCACTCAACAAAACAACGGATGATTACCCGCAATGCATTGCCCGACAAAACCAGTACGAAAGGCTGGCGAGCTATGGAAGAAAAAGACATCGATGCTGTCTTGGATCTGTTGTCTCGATACCTGAAGCGGACAGATCTCGCACAAGAGTTCACAAGAGAAGAGATTGAACACTGGCTGATTGACCGTACCGAATCCAAGAAAGACCGTGTGGTATGGGCGTTTGTGGTCGAGGACAGCTCGACAGGCGCAATCACAGATTTCAGCAGTTTCTACAGCCTGGAATCCAGTGTGCTGGGTGATGCAGCCAAGATCCACAAGAAGATCTACGCCGCGTATCTATTCTACTATGCCTCGGAAACGGCTTTCGAAAAGGCAGAAAAGGGTCTGAAAGAGCGCTTGCAACAGATCATGAATGATACGTTGATTGAAGCAAAGAATGTAAGTATTGTCCGCCACTTTCTCATCCAGAGCCCGCCCTGGTGTCCAAAGCTCAAATCACTGACCTCGTCCAGGCCAATTTCGACGTCTGCAACGCCCTGACCCTGATGGACAATCCCTTCTTCCTCGAACAGCTCAAGTTCGGCGCTGGCGATGGCCAGCTACACTACTATCTGTTCAACTGGCGAACGACGCCCGTCAGCGGCGGCGTGGACAAGCGGATGACACCTGATGAGGGCCAACGGAACGGCGTGGGCATAGTAATGCTGTAGAATCGCATGCCCTGTTGTAACGGCCAGGCAATGGAGGAGATCCTGAGCCATTTCCAGAGCAAATACAAGATTCCGACAGAGTCCGCCCCGGCACTCGCCCTGTCCCAATTCCTATGATAAGTCTGTTGTTGCGAAGTGACGCTCAAGTGACGCTCTTCTCGAGCCCCACGACTCGATCGGCGAAACATTTTCAGAGTCTCAGCGCCCTCCCTGGCCAAGAAGTGCGTATTCGTCGCTCCTGGCTAATCCACTGTTGAGAATGATTAGAGCGACTCTGAGACCAGAGTAGCCATCAGCCGCTCGCGTCTTCCCTACCTTGTTGTCTATAGAGATCTCCGCCTTCCTCGCCTTGTTATGTGGTATCGTTGGCGTAACCTCGAATTCTCCTCCCCGCGCAGTGATCATAAGTACAGAGACACCGTCCTTGATCGATTCCAGGCTGTCGTGTTTCCAAGCCTTCTCAGCCCGCACCGCGATGATTCGTGAGGGCCGCACATTGGTATCCTTCTCTTCCGGCGTAACCACCCGGGAACAAGAGCACAGGCCGGAAAGTAAAAATCGGAGGGCGATGGCAAATCCTTTTCAGCCGCAAGGCTCATTGCTAGAATCGTTATACAAATACACAAGAATTGAATCATCCACCACCATCAACAAGTCGCCTCAACCACCAAAGCGATTTTTCCGGCTGGTCGACCACCTTCTCAACAATCAAAGCCATGAAACATCTAACTTTTCACCGAGTTCACATCACGCCTCAGGTGATTACAAACACTGCGAGTACCACGGGTTCTGTACCTTGCAAGTCGAGCCACTCTGGCAGGTAGTCGGGCCAGTGAATCCCTGGCCCCCACACTGTTGCCACTTGGCGGCAGCAGCAGGAGCACTTCCACCGTTAGTGGGAGCTGGTTGAACCGATGAGGTGGCAGGACGGGTTGAGGTCTGCAGCGTAGTCGGGGCAGGCGCAGAACCGCTGGCAGGAACAGAGATAGCGGGAGTGGTTCCACCAGTTGAAGCGCCACCAGCCCAGACCGCCGGGCCAATGTTGTAAGGGTAATTGGGCTTGTTGTTCCAGATGCTGAACGAGATACCGGGGTCGGTAGCCTTGTACGCGCCAGGGAACTTTACGACGGGGCTGGGCGTGCCGCTGCCGTTGCCAGTGACCTTGACTTGGGCACAAGCGTAGTAGAATTCGGTCTCATCGACGTGGGCGCGGTGAAGACCGACATGCTCGGCGCGGACGAGGTATTCGCCGGCGGGTGTGCCCTGAGGGATGCTGAAGGTCAGCCGATCTTTGCCCCAGGTGCACCAGTCAGTGTCCTGGAGGCCATCGGCGGTGGAACCACAGACGATTTCCTCCTTGATCTTGAACCAGTCGCCCTCGCCTTGATACGAGGTGACGGAGCCAGGGGCCTTGGACATGTAGCTGCGCTTGTTAGTCTTACGACCGTGACGTGTGGAAGCACGTACATCTGAGCAGGGCCAGGATGCTCCATCTTCGCACCGTAGGCAAGTATCATGGAGAGCTCATCGCCAGGGGCGACCTCGTACACCTTGGTCTTGCCCGCGTTGGTGAAGGAACCTTCATTACAGCGGAAGTCGTTGTCGTTGGGTGTGACGTTGCCGATGGTGTTCTTGAACTTGGTAGGCATGTACTTTTCCTGCCTGGTGTTTTCACGGATGTATTCCCAGCTGCTGCCAACAGTTTGTCCGTTGACTGCCAACCTGTCGAAGGTGTAGTGAGCCTGGGCCAGACCAGTGGCCGTGAGGAGAGCTGATAGAGCAGTGAAGGTCTTCATGTTGACAGCTCGTGCCGGCGAACTTTGGTGGGAATGAAAGTTAAGGTAATGAACGAATGAAGAAACGAAGGACTGAAAAGCGAAGGACTGGCCACAAAGCGACTTACAGGAGCGGATCTGTTGGCTTGCAAGACGACAGTCCTACCTCTTATACAATTGTCGTGCCCAGCATTGGCCGTTGACGTTGCCTCTGAGGCGGTAGTACCCCGGCTCGAGTGTTCTCGGTACTGATGCCCAGTTCTTCTTGGCGCCCATTAGCGGTCCACCCTCAAATCTGGCATGAAACGTGGACATGGGCCGGGGATCTAATCCGACGAATCTGCAAAGTCCTTGGAAGCGGTTCCGCCCCGCCCAGGTCGATTTTGACCGCCGGCATGATGGTGACAAAGGCTTGACGTAGCACAAAAATCTCCTTTTGGGCAGGCATTGGAACAGCTGACCGGCCGACTCCATGCCATGATCGTGTTCATTGCGAAGGAATAGACTGGGATGTGTAAGCGGGACCAGGTGTATAGGCAAGGGGAGCTTCGCTGCTGGCGCGGCCTGGTATCTTGGCCGCATTGTCATCTGATTTGTGCCACAAGGTCACATACTTGCGCGCGAAGCGGAATTTTACGGCGATGGCGAGTCGACAGGTGCTTTGTATATCGGCGGGTGTCGCGCCAATGAGAAGTCTCGTAAAAACGTCCTGGCCCTTTAGGAGCATTAACAGCTTGATGCATCTAAGCTAATCGAACACCGAGGTAGTCCCATGGGTACGATGCTCTGATTGGCACATCGTCACAAGAGTCAGGCGAAGATTGAGGCACTCGCCTTCGCAGCGCAAGCGAGGGGGGACCAACGTTAAAGTAAGGTCCGGTGCAGGATTGCGAAACGGAGAGGAGCATTCGACGTCGAAAATCGGGTGTTGCTAAACCGGAACTGCCCTGACTTCGCCTAAAAAGCGCCAAGAAATGCTGGGCATACGCCGAGCCGTTTCACAACTTCGAAAGAGGGCTTGCAGGGACCTGATCCCAGCGGGCGCATAGATTATGGTACTCTCCTCAGCTCTCAGCGGCCTTTGTGGTTGTAGGTCATGTAGTCCGAAGCATGTCGTTCAGATGTTTTTGTGCTTCCTCCATTTCGATCCCTTGTGACTTAGACTCCGCGCAGGCAAGGTTCTTTGCTGCGAATAGTGAACTGCCGGATCATGAGACCCAGCCAGCTGTACTGACCAGAAGCGAACCCAACCGAGACACGTAGACATCGCTGTCCTCCTACCGCGGTAGCCTGGAAGCGAAGGCGGTTTTAAAAGGCCTTGCAGCCCCGCGCCCAGCCCATAGGCACGACGGGCAGTCAGGCAGCACGGGATGATGGTGAGTATGTTGCGGTGAAGTCCTCAAGGCTTTCAGTCAGTCTGGTTGGCACCTGACAGTAATGATGCGACTGGGTCGCCTTCGCCCTCCGAAGTGGCACAAAGCGGTATCGCTCTGTCACCACCACGTGGGCGCATTCATCTGATTCCAGAAGTTGACGTTCCACTGCATCGATCCCATCCCATTGAAGTCGATCCCAGCATCCGCGTACGTACCAGGGAAGGCGTCAGCGCTAGCACCACTGTATTGCATCGCTCCAGCATCAAAGCTCGATGGTGTCGGGAGACCAGAAGCATTCACATGGTCTGAAGTTGACACTCCAAGCATTGCACCGCCTTTCGCCGCCTCCACGGCCGCAGCAGAAGGCGTCACGTTGCTTGATGCTGATGGTCCTTGTGCCAGTATTTGACGGAACTGCAGGACCATGTCCGGTGTCTCAATGCTGGGAGGTGCCCCTGGTCTGGCAAGAATGGCTGCTTCGCGCATGTCCCAGATTTGTAAGATACGCCGGGCAAACGTCCTCACCACACCATTCTCTGTGCAATCCATGTCGTCAATTCGTGCTGCGAAGTTCTCGGACATCTTCAACCACGCTTGATCTGCATGCTCGCCGATCGGTCGCTCCTTGAGTTCCTGCACAAGATGTATGTATGCAGGAAAGGGAAAGTACATGTTCAAGTACCAGCTGAAGCCTCTGGTATGCGGAGATGAGGAGAGCTTTGTATCAGCCTCAAGAGCATTGATGGCATCTGCGAAAGCGAGGTCGCGTAATGTCTGCTTCTGGGACTCTGACTGGGCCGAGTTCGAAGGCAAGGAGTATCGCATCATGAGACGGAACTTGCAGAGCGCGCCCTGGACGGACCACATCGTCATGAAATGCAGTGGATTTTCTGGGTTGCAGAACCGAAAGAAAGTCTCATCGAGCTGTCGTTCAAAGTCAGCGATCAGTGCATCAGCTTTCGACCTGGATGCCTCGGAAGCCTCGGCTGGTTGCGCCATGAAGTCCATTAAGCGATCGACCATCAGGCTGCGGACTGCCACGAAGAGCGCCTCGGTAGGCGTTTTGTGGGATTCCGGCGCGGTCTGCATTTCGGGCCGTAAATCAAAGTCGTTGACATTGAGTGGCGGTTTGCAGTCGCCGGAATGTGTAAGAGACAGTCTGTAGCCTGCTATCTCGCAGATCCGACGGTCAAAGGCCATGAGCGCCCAGTGAAGTCGACGTCGGAGCTCGCCTTCCACAACGCCCGCCTTGACGTTCGCTGACTCTAGCTGAATTCCGATTCGTTCTCCGATTCTCAATGCCACACCGAGCAGAGAAGCAATTGCTCGAGGATCCGCAATCGCTTCATTGCGAGCAGATACCAAGTAGAGAAACAGCGCTGTCAGGCAGTTACGACTATCAGTGCTCAAGAAGTCGCAATCAAGTAGCGCCTGCTGAGTAGCCATTTGATACCCAGTCAGCAAATCAGCCCGACTCGACCCCAATTGCGACTGGCATTGCTGCTCTGTGAGAGTCATTACCGAGGTGGAATAGATACTAAACATCAGGGCCTGTAGATTGGGCTCGATCTTCGATACATCGGAGGCCGCCTCAATGATCTGTGTCTGCAACGTCGGCGTATGAGTGACTTTGAGCATCGGGTTCACGTTGTCGAGATAGATCTGCCAGAGGCGGAAGATCTGGACTTGGTTGGGATGCATTACTGACAAGTCGAGGTTCAGCTGGCGGAAACCGAAGAGGATGTTGTTGTTTCCGCTGCGACTTTGCCGCGTCCACATTCGACGGAGGGTGGTGGATTGCTGTTTGTGGCCATCGCTTTCGTCCTCGTGTGCAGAGGGCGCCTCGGCAGATTCGCTCTCGTCAAACCATCGATCTACCGCTGATCTGAAGTCTTCATATCGCGTGCCTTCCTCCTTCATATCACTTCGCCGTGGCAAGCGCGGTGGACTGCTATCGTGCGGCAATGACTCCCACATCTGACCACCAACTGATGATTGTGGCTGCCCGGCTCCGACATTGTTAGCCTGAAATGGCTCGAAGGCGATGTTGTTGTCCCGCAATAGTGACTCGTAGTGTCTGATACGATCAAGTAGCTTTGCCTCACCCTCTGGAAGCTTGCGACGGCGCTTGCGAGGCAGCAGTGTCGATGGCACACATTGTGCTGATGCGCTAGGTATGGTCAGTACGGCAGATCTAAGTACGAATTTTGGGCGTGCAGGAGGCGTTCCCATGCGAAAATTGAGCTCGGTCCTGGCCTCGCACTGAAGCTACATCACTTCTTGCCGTTTCAGAGTACTTACCGCACACAGTTTGCACATGGGAAACAACGATCACACTTGACCTTCCGTTGCTGGCACAGCATGCATGCCAAGATGCGCTGTGGTTTCTTCGTTGTTTCCTGCGTCGAGGTCGTTGACTGAGGCGGACTTCTTTCCATTATTGCACCTGACAATCACCTTGACAGCGGAGACATGGGCCTGGACGCCCATACTTATATGTCTTTCCAGCGTGGCGTGAAGGTGTCGAAAGGTTACGTTTGTCACTGAGTGTCGGATGTTGTCAATGCCCGAAGCTCCACGGTCATTGGCTGGGACAATCATACATTGGTGGTTCGGGTTATAAGAGCACCTGTAACGCCCGAGCTGGCCCCTGATATATTTACTAGCTTCCCGCCTGACTCCCACCAAGCCTTAGCCTTCACTCAGTCTACACATCGGCTTATGCAGACACACTGTGTTGCAGCCTCCCCTAAGCCAAAGTGTCAGGGACTCAGAGACCGTCATCCCGTGCGTGCAACGGACATCTCGTAACGGGAGCAGAGGCTTATGCCGGGTCGGATAGGTCTGCGACGTTTGAGAACGGTGGCTGGGTTGGACTTCAGGTGGGGCAACATGGTGTCGTTTGGGCTTTTCAATGACATGGAGTATGCATCTCGATAGGTCTATCTCAGCACAGGTCTGTAGGTAAAGGAACTCGCGAGAGGCAGATGATGCTTTGTACGGCGATCATTGCAGAGACACGCGTTATGGTAGGTAAAGCTGAAACGACATTAGTCGCTGCATTCGATATCGATCCCCCAAAGTGCCAGTGCAAGTAGCGGGAGGAGCTTCACGCTGCATTCCTTCACAGAGAAGGGGTCGCATCGTTTCCGAGACTTTTCCAGACACGTCTCAGGTGCATTACGGCCATGGCTTGACGCCGTTCGTACTCCGAGAGCAAGGTCTCGGGAGGTAATCATGGTGGCTTCTTTGTCTTCTTAGATGTCCTTCGGGAAGAAATTTCGCCTTTGACGATGGACGAGACGACGCAGATGGCAGCAATGCACGCTGCAAGATGGCTGTGTCCGAGACAGTTCAGGCTGTCGTCAGGATTCTGCCTGAGTGTGAGCACAGGACAAAGCCGTGTGAGTCGGTCCTGTTGAGACGGTGTCCTAGACAAGACGCGGCATTGACCTTGGTGAGCTGAACAATGTTGCGACTGGCCACACTCGTCGTTGGGTCGACGATGTATAAGTACCAAGCCATGGCGCGAACAACAAGACACGATCACAACCATACAAACATCCGCCGTCAACCTATCCGCCAATATCTCAAGCTTCGAACAACGCGGAACAGCCACCCGCAAGTCTTTATCTCGAAATGTCGACCATTCCTCACCAAACGGAACGCGCAGAGCCACAATCACCGGCAACGGCGAGCAATAATAGTCTTCGGTTCAGCTGCGACACCTGCCACACGACGATTTTTGTCAGCTTCGAAGAAGACTGGGCTGGGCAGTGGCACCCTGAAGACTTCATCTGGCAGCACGCCACTCTAGGAACCTGCAACCGCCTCAACGACATCCATGTGGACTATCACCGTCTCGACTTTGCCACACGGCAGACGCTGTGCCTCATACGTGATGAGAAGGAGGCCATGGAGAACGACAATGGTCATGGTGCTGAGCAGCTCGATGCATTGCTAGAAGTAAGTGTTGCTATCCCGTTACCCATTCGTCAGCCTCTGTGTACCGCGGAAGGGCTTGCCTATAAGTATGAATTGTCAACAGTCTGTTGCGCCAAAAGTCTTGGACTTCCAACTTGTCACAGAATGCACTGGAACAGACGGAAGCAGGCATGAGACGAGTTTTGGTGCGACTTCAGAGGGCTCTGGAAACGCTTCCCGCGCGACTTCTGAGAGCTCCGGAAGAACATCCCCTGCGACTTCTGAGAGCTCTGGAAGATCCTCCTCTGCGACTTCTGAGTGCTCTGGCGGAGATGATGCTGGCAAGAACGAGGGCGACGGAGGAAACAGCAAGGGAGACGAGTGTGAGCAAAAATGTGATGATGTTGACGCGGAAGCGCGCTTTGGTGCTCGCTATGAGCAACGAGAAAAGCGGAGTTATTAAGCGAAGGCGACAAGCCGCCGAGGGCGCCGTGGTCGTGGTTGTTGATGAGCTCAGGAGGCGACTTTGGAGTCCGAAGCGGGACTGGGTTTGCGTCGTCGATACTTCGAGCGTATGGGGTGGTGCTGGGGTGGTCGACTGGTGTTGGGTCAGGCGTAAACATGTACAGAATTGGACAACCTTGGAAGTGAGACACTTTCCATGACAATCCACACGCAGCAGTGATTTTGGCTCTGCGCTTGACAGAAGTGCTTTGAAGATTGCATATAGCAGGCCTGCTATAGAGGAAGGGCCACGGAAGCAGAGAGGACTGGAAGCCACCAACGACAGTGTCCGGATTGGTGGGAGTCTGAGACTGCTACTACGAAAGTGCTGATGCTCAAGCAGCCCAATGCTCAACGCTGGTAGCTTGATGTCGACGAGTCACACGCAGCTCGGCCGAGTTCGCAAGTGCAGAGTACTGGCTCTTCGCTCGGAACTACATGGCGCGGGTTTATGACAAGGAGACACGTTTACTGGGTTGACCACACAGATGCGGTGGCCTGAGCCGGGACCAGGGGTGGTTGCGAGATGTAGGTGCACGTAAGAGACTGAACCGACGAAACGTCGTTCGTGTCAACCGGCGAGAGCTCCAGCCTTGAGGTTGCCTTCTCCAGCCTCGTTTGCCCAGGTCCCGCACCACGAACGGACCACGCGACCTATTCTCTCGCTACATGGTGCATTTCTGCCTGAGTATTAGAGCACGTTTGGAGCCAGCAACTCTGGCCCTTCGATTGATGTAATGCTATAATGTTCCTGACAGCAAAGAAGCCATCGGCTGTCCATCACCATGAATAAGTCCTTCATTGAGCGTATCTTTCCACACAGCCCAAACAGTGCCCTTCCACGGTACGAATATGACTCTTCCTCCCCAGCCAGGTCTTCAACGTCATCCGCGAATCGTATATCGCTGCGGGACAGGTCCAACAGTCCTGCTTCTCCTTTGAGATCCTCTCCCCGCTCTGCCATCAAGGCTGCCCCTCTGAGCACAGCCATCCACCATGACGACCCATTCCTGCCAATCGAGCGAGCAGCGAAGGCTCTTGAGAGGACTTTGCAGAGCATGATCGATGCCCAATCGGACGCATTGGAGTCTGCTCTTCCTCAAGACCAGTATGACGATCTGTCCTCAGTAGGCAGCCCAACGCCAACCCCATCACTGTCAGCAACTGCGCGCGGTGAAGGGCCACGAACGATGCCAATCCGACAGCCTAAGCCCCAGAAGCTCACTCTACGCGGCGCCAGAAAGGGTCTAGGCAAGACTATGAGCGAACTCGTGGCGCTGAAGAAGGAGGAGCTACATGTCATCCAAGCCGAGACCAGAAGCCGTGATGGCGCCCTTCGCAAAGCGGCAGCACACAAGGACAAACGACGGTCACTAGAGACTGCTATGCAGGAGGCCGCAAGTGATGGTTCAGCCTCGAGTCCGGCTGCTCTCCGCGCCGAGGCGGCCTCCGTCGAACGTGAAATTCAAGAACTCGAGGTCCGCCTATTCGAGCTACGAAGCCGCCACCGCCATCTACTCAACCGCGCAGAAGAGCACGAGAACGTAATCGAGTCCAAGCTCAGCTCGTTCAAGCACTCGATGGCTGCGGCGGAGCGTGAGGTGCAGCAATTCCTTCGCAACCCACCTGTGCGCTGCAGTCTGAACACCTACGACGACAGCAAATCCACACGAGGCGGCATGTACGCACTCACTGCTGATCGTCGGACTCTGGACATGGCTGAGGAGCAGTGGTCCACAGAGCAGTCGCTTCTTGCACAGCGGAAGACAAACGTCGAGCGAGAACAGGCAGCACTACAGGACGGAGCCGACCTCTGGCGGGATGCTATATCGCGAATCAGCGCATTCGAGAAGTCGTTACGGAGTAAGATCGATGGTGGTCTGGATGGAGGGACAGATTTGTCCAATGCGCCGATAGTCCGGGATCTTGACACGCTGACGGAGTCCTTGGAGAATGACTACGCCACAGCAGAGGCGAATGATTGGAAGTTGCTCATGGTGGCGTTGGGTGCTGAGCTTGCGGCATTGAGCCGAGCTAGAGAATTACTTGTGGGTCCGTCGCCGCAAACAGATGAGCCCCAAAAGCCGACTGAGACGGCCGTCAACGGCACGACTTCAGGAAGTCAAGCGGCCTCCAATGCAGAATACAGCAGCGGCGATAACAACCCGCCTGACGGCTTTTTCAACGGTGGCGGAGGCAGCGAGTTACCGCATTCCAGAAGAAGGAACAGTACAAGCAGTAATGAGAGTTTGAAGGCGACCTTGGAGCGATTTGGTGACAGCATCCAGCAACGAGAAGTAAGGCCTGGTGACCCGACGAAGGGCAAGACGCCGATGCGAACGGGCAATCCGTCTCGGATATCAATGATGGATGGCGATGATGATAGCGAGGAGGACGATGGGCCGAGTGCGGATCTGCTGCTTTCGCGCGGCTAGCACGCGTTGGCATGAACATTCTTGCTTGGCCTTCCCAACGCAGCGACTTTTATCTTTATGCTCCCGTTTCCTGGTCTACTTCTCCGTCTGCTGCTGCAGTTCCACGATCCGCCGCCTGATCTCCGTACTTCCAATCTTCCCCTCGAATCCCTCCTTTACCTCTCCATCTCCAGACCCCGATTCCAGCACGCCGACCTCAAAGACTTCGAGCTCTGCCCACCCTTTCTCCTCCCGCTTGTCATTGACCGCTTTCCCGCCCGCCCTGGTCTCTGCTGTCACGACCAGTGCGGTGATATTCTCATCCGTAATCGTTGGCCCAAATGGGTCCTGGATCTGAGTATAGTTTATCGTTATCGACGATTCGTCTCCTTCCGCTGTCTGGCCACTTCCCTTGCTAGGTGTGTACGTCACAGCAACTACTTTCCCGTTGGGCACATCCTCGTCGTTACGTTCCTCTACACTGCGGATGACTGAGGGATTGGGGTGGAAACATAGAATCGTTTCGACGAAATCAGCGCAGCGCTGTTGGCGGACAGACCAAGATTCGAGGGCAGAGGCGTGTTTCTTGTTGACGAGAAGGGCGTCGCCGGTGATGCCGATTGTGATTTTGCGGGGTTGTGATGGGTCGGCGAGGAGGATTGTAGCGGTCAGGAGGAGTTTGTGGCCGATGTGTAGGTGGTCGAAGGTGCCACCGACTGCTACTTGGTGGTGGAGTCTTCTTGTGTTTGGGTCTGTAGAGTTCGTTGAGGTAACGCTGGGTAGGGATGTGAGGAAGCTGGTGGACAGTGGTGATGTTGGAATGTTGGTCGTTAGGGATGGACCAGAAGGGAGTTGCGTTATCGTTGGGCTGAAGTTATGTACCCGCTGGAAGAGGGTGGTGAAGTCATTGGTGAGTTTGACACCGCTTTCTGACTCGATGCTGAAAATGGTCGATGGTCGCCTCGAGTTGATCAATGCTATGAGATCAATGATAGGTCCCGACAACTGCTCGTTGAACCCATTGAGATCTAGCAGCACGACTCGCGCATCGACACCTCCGGGCAGATCCAGGTCCACGTTGCAGCCACAGCGGCGAGGCATACCAGTGAGTACACCTCCTGGAACAACTCTGCCAAGTCCTTGAAGACTTCCGTGCGAGAGATCGTATGTTCATGGTGCGTCCCGGACAAGGCAACCACGATGGTGAGGCTGTAAGTCGAGTCTTTCTTAAGGGAGGGCTTTAGTCTGATGAAAAGATTGTTGAACGTGGTCCGATATGCTGCTTGAAATGACGATCTGCTGAGAGGAGGGGAGAGGGCCGGAAGTAGGAGCAGTGCACCATCAGCTTGCGAAGGTGTTGGGGCCATGGCTGCTGTAGGTAGGCTTCGATCTGACGCACGGGTCGATGACACAAGAGTATTCTTGCTTATACCGGGAACATATGAACAGAGTTCCGCCTATACACTGACAATGAGATCGTAGGAGTTGTGTCAAGCCGAGGGCCGGAATATAGTTGCAATTGCAATGACCCTGTAGTTCGTGTCAGGAAGGCACCATGCTCGACGATCGTTGCCCTAAGCTTCCTGCCTTCGTGTACAAGTATCCGACCTTCCGATGTCCTTTTCAAGTAAAGTATGGCAAGAATGTGTTGTTGATCGTAAGGTACCGAGGTGGTCATATTGGTTGTCATCCGGCGCTGTGACAGCCGGCGGCTCCATGCTCATGTCACGTGAACATTGCAGCGAGACCACGTCCGCGGTACCTGAGTTCGGACTCGCCAGCCCTCGCAGACGCAATGCGCAAGGTAAACGGATTGACGTGTCAGACAGGTGTGTCTATTTCCCCAGAATGCCCTTTCATTCACCACGACATTCCCACTCACAATCTGAATCCTCGCACCTCCACGACAATTACTACTCCGCGACCAACGCAATCTACGCGGCTGGGCAGTCACTAAATTCGGTGGGCTCTCCCACCGTAGCGCAGTGGCCGCAACAGCAGCAGCAGCAAAAGCACAACCAGTACCCTCTCCAAGAACAGTACCAATATTCGACACAGCATCCCAACGGCAATGGTGGGATGAGCATACCATATCGAGCCGCTCCTCCTCCGAGCTCGTTCCCTGAGCCACACCCGTCCCAGTTCGTGCAGTCGCACTCGCGCAGGACGTCGGCGCTAGGCGGACAGGGACAAGACTTGTATATCCACACCCAGCCAGGTGGGAGCGCTATGAGCGACGTACACCACTATGGCGCTCCTCCAGCCTATGCTGGCGACAACGTCGCAATCAATATTCAACCCTCGACGCCTGGGCACCCTCCAAGCGGCTCGATGCCCGGATCTCTTCAGCCCGGACAAGGCAACAGACCCGCCATGCTGAGCAATGCGAATACGGCCCCTCAGATACCGACGCTACCCAATCTACCACAAATAGCGACGCAGATGCAGCAGCAACAGCAGCAAAGGCCCGCGACCATGAATCACTCGCACAGCTACTCCCGATCGAGTCCGGGCTTGATGGAGCAGACCAAATACAAGCCCTTCACGAATACGCCTGAGCAGAACAAATACAACTCACCGACATCGTACGGTCCACAAACCCCTCAAGGGCCTCCCTCGTACTCGCCACTGGGACTGGCAGACATCCGACCACGTGCCGATACAACACTATCGGACACGACGCCGTACACGCCAGCGTTAACGACTGATACCGATATCATGCAGTACCCTACGAACAGCAATTATGTTGCTCAGTGGCCTATATATGCCGTAGACTGGTGCAAATGGCCGCCTCGGAGCAACTCTTCGTCCGCTGGCAAGATTGCCATAGGCAGCTATCTGGAGGATGGACACAATTACATCCAAGTCCTGGATGCCGCCATCACGAGTTCAGATCCTGAGCCAGGCTTTGAGTTCGTCAAGACTGCCGAAGCTACACATGCCTATCCTGTCACCAGAATACTTTGGGAGCCGCCGTCATCGAACAAGCAGACCACCGATCTCCTGGCAACGTCTGGCGATCATTTACGGTTATGGTCATTACCAGCCGATCCCACTGCTGCGTACATGTCCAGCTCGATAACGCGGAAAGAAAATCAGTTGCCCGTGCAAAAGCTTTCACCTCTCGCTCTGCTCTCGAATTCCAAGTCTCCCGAACATACGGCGCCAATCACGAGCTTAGACTGGAATGTTGTTCAGCCTTCTCTCATCATCACTTCTTCGATAGACACGACCTGTACAATATGGGATATCCCGACCTTGACGGCCAAGACGCAACTGATTGCACATGACAAGGAGGTGTATGACGTAAGGTGAGTAGAATTCGCCGATCCAGACCGAGAAGATACTGATCAATTTGCAGATTCTGCGCCCAAAGTGTGGACGTTTTTGTGTCATGTGGCGCCGACGGAAGCGTGCGAATGTTCGACCTGAGATCACTGGAGCATAGCACCATAATTTACGAGCCGTCAGAAAAACAGGACTCGAAGAATTGTATGTGCCCCCTTCTCTACGAGATCTCAATACATGCCACTTCTTGCAACTCATACTCTTACGATTGCGCGGTACTGATATATACGACTTCTAGCGTCACTCTCCCCATCAAACAACCAATCCAACAATCCACAAGCATCGGCCTCGCCAACTCGAGGTGGTAGCGAAGCATCAAAAACCCTCACGAACCCCCCTCCACTCCTCCGCATAGCGGCTTCGCCTCACGACGCCCACCTCCTCGCCACCTTCTCTGCCGACTCCTCCGTAATCCGCGTCCTAGACGTCCGGCAACCAGGACAAGCCCTCCTTGAGCTCAAAGGACATTCAGCTAGTGTGAACTGCATCGAGTGGTCCAGCACCCAAAGAGGCGTTCTGAGCAGTGGTGGTGACGATTGCTGTGTATTGCTGTGGGATCTGATGAGTGCGGCTTCGGGCAGTGTGAATGGACCTACATCCGTCAGCGGAGCACCCGGCACTTCTGCTTCTGGCTCTGCGACTGCCCCTGCAGCGGGTGGCGCAGCAGCTACGAGCAGCGGGACAGGCCAAGAAAGGGGACCGAGCGCAACTTGGGAGTGTGGCTTCGAGGTCAGCAACTTGAGCTGGGCGCCGAGTCATGGCGCGTTGGGCGTTGCTGGCGGGAGAGGCTTCTGGGGTGTCCAGCTGTGAGCGACGGTAACCGAATCGCACAGGAACAGCGACCAGGCTGATTGCCATCGTCCTGAGGTCATTAATAGCTGAGGTCAGGCTTCGATGCGCAGATGTGCGCGACTGCAGAGATGCATGCGCGGCTTCGAGGCAACGCGCAATGCCTAGCAAGTGCGACACATGCGAGACATCGAACAGTCCTCACGCGCGAATCAGAGGCGTCGCTCGCGCTCTCGCAGCCACCTTGACTGCCAGAACGTTCCGACACAGCAGGACGTGGGAGACCTCGACGGCGTCAGGAATCGTTCTTGATACAGGTGGAGGCCAGCAATGATGACCAGTATAGCCGACTGCTGGACTGGGAAGATGTGCGCGGCTGCAACCAGAACTCATACATTGAAGCAGCTAAAGATGGGGACGGGAAAGCAGAGTGTGAGCGTTCGTAGCGATGAAATGCACCTCGGGCGGCACTTCTTGGCGGCTTTGCATTCATCAGACGATCGTGAAAGACAGAGTCTTACCTTCGCATTAACGTACCATCATGTTCCTGTGCATTCGTTCATGCTAGACTCGGGGGATCATGCAGCGCTCGACATTCCGATACTCCATAATTCTGCCTTTCTGCCTTGGCACCGACGACATCTCTCCTTCGGAATAGCCAGCAGTCACAGCACTAGCAATGTTGACACTCTGAAACACAGATGGCGGACACAGCACCGGAGGCAGCCCTGCCCTATCACGAGCCTGGCATCGTCGCGATCCTCATCCTAGTCTCCTTCCTCCTGCTGCTCAATGTCCTCAACCATGTCGTCGACAAGCTCCTCTACTGCGGCCTGCTCGCCCAAATCTTCCTCGGCATCGCCTGGGGCACGCCCGGAGGCAACTGGCTGGGCCGCGATACCGAACATGCCGTCGTGAAACTGGGCTACCTGGGCTTGCTGCTGATCGTGTATGAGGGTGGTCTGCTCACTGACTTCACGGCGCTAAGGAACAACCTCCTGCTATCCGTTAGCGTCGCCATCACCGGTATCGGCGTGCCTATAGCGTTGAGCTTTGTGCTGTGTTCACTCATGGGCGCTACTTCGCTACAGGCGTTTGCGGCGGGCGCGGCGCTATGCTCGACGAGTCTAGGGACGACGTTTTCGGTGCTGTCGGCGAGTGGTCTTACTACGACGCGGATGGGCACGATCTTGACGTCGGCGGCGATGATGGATGATGTTGTTGGGCTTATTATGGTGCAGGTCATTTCGAATCTCGGTGGGGCGGCGACTCCGTTCACGGCGGTGGACGTGGTGCGCCCAGCGCTTGTGTCTGTTGCTTTTGTTGTGGTTGTGCCGATTGCTGCGCGATTTGTTGCGAAGCCGCTCACAGCATGGCTGAATCGTCGTCGAGCAGCCAGACCTGAGGGTCTCATTCATCGAGCGCTGAGCCAGCCTACAACTCCATGGGTAGTGCACACGGCGATTCTGGTCGGTCTCGTTACCGGAGCAGTCTACGCAGGAACATCCGGACTCTTCGCCGCTTATCTTGCTGGCGCATCCATCACCTGGTGGGAGACGTCGGTACCACACTTCGAAGCAACTGCACTACGAAGCTCAACCCCGTCAAGTCGCACTACGTCAGCCCAAGAAAACGAATCACCTCCGGACGCAACTAGTGAGGCTCCTAGCAGTAGACCTACGCAAGCAACGCAAGGAAATCTACTCAATTCAACAGGCCAGCAAACATTCGACCACTACTTTAAACCAGCTTTACAACGTGTCCTGAAGCCCTTCTTTTTCGCCTCTATCGGTTTCTCTGTGCCCATCACACGAATGTTCAATGGCACTGCCGTCTGGAAAGGCATCATCTACACGGTCCTCATGTTCACAGGGAAATTCGTTTGTGGGTTCTGGCTAATGCGTCTTCCTGGCTTGTCTAGTCGAGTTGTTCTAACCAGGAAGAAGAAGACGTCGGAGGCGAAGGCTTCTTCTAAGCCAGAACCCGTACGGGCTGCTCCCGCGTCCGGTTCGATAGACCAGCAACTTGCTAGCGTCGCTGCTGGTCAAGACTCGTCCAACATTGAGCTCAGCAAGATAGCCTCACCGTCCCAGAGCCCACGCCCACAGAGCAACGAAACCCGCCCCTTAGCCAAACAGCGCAAAAGCCGCACAAAGCAAAGCACCAAAGCGAAGCCTGACGCCAGCACTACCACTCCAAAACCAGTGTCTCTGTATCCCGGCCTCATCCTCGGTGGCGCCATGGTGGCACGTGGCGAGATCGGCTTTCTCATCTCTGCCATCGCTGAGACTGGCGGGATCTTCGGTGATGAGCCGACGGAGAGATCTTCCTGGTTGTTACTTGGGCGATTATGCTTTGCACAGTCATTGGGCCGTTGCTTGTTGGGTGGTTCGTGAGGAGGGTCAGGGCTCTGGACCGGAAGGGTGGGGAGGGTGTTGCGTTGGGAGTTTGGGGCGTCACATAGAAGAAGTGTGAGGTCATTGAACATTGTCTAGGGAACACGGCACTGTACATCTATACGCCACTCTTATGGTTCAGCCGACCAAAGCAGAACTACCATGCACTTAAGATATCGACGGTGCACGCCCACAACCACCAGAAACATCCAACCTCAGACGCCTCGAGCCCATCGTGGTCCACAACGCCGTCCTCGGCACTTCACCCCGATATCACAAAACCATCGTCTCAGCCTTCCATAGCATACTCCAGCTATATGCCCTTCTTCGCGTCGCTACCCCGCTGCGGACCAGACTTACCGCGCTTCGCGCCACGAGTTTTCTTGGGTCCGTCGGAGTAGTGCTCGTTGACGCCAGGAGATTTGTTGCGTTCGAAGTCTAGGACGACAGGAGCGACTTTCTGGTTGGGCGGAACGACGATTACTCGTTAGCAAAAGTGTCTGCCTCGGGACAATGGGAAGCAATCCTTCATCTTCCTCGGGAACAAGCTCAGCAGCGGGCACACTCACCTTCAACAATTTCTTTAACGCTCCATAGCTCTCGTCCTTTTTGTCGCGTATAACACGCAGGAGGTCTCTGGTCTTCGAGTCGAAATCGTTGAATTCCAGATGAGTCTCGTGACAGCGTTTGCAAGTTCCTCTCTTGGAGTTTGGTCCCTTCTTTCGGTGCCACCAGGTAAACCTTCGATCCGAATGGAACTTGTCCTCGGCCAGGTTCGTGAAGTCTACATAGGCAGTGATGTCGCAGTCCTGGCAGTGGAATTTGAGTGTGTTGTCTTGCATAGTGCTTGAAGCTGGGCTGAGATGGCGGGTAGTTGGGCTGCTCTGCTGGGGACTGGTGTTAGCTGATGTGTAAGTTCTGCTGTGTGCTATTGCGAGCTGGTGTTCGGCAGGGAAGCAGGACTTGGTGGTAGTGTTTGATCAGATTCAAGTCCTCTTGTGCGAGCCATGGCGAGCTACTTGTACATCGTCGACGACATTGCAACCATGTTCCGTTGAGACAACATCTATTCGACCAAAAGAGGACTTGGAGGGGACGTCTACGACGATGTCTTAGACGCCGATTCACGTGGCATTGTGCTTTACTACCTCTCAGTCGGGCCTTCAGACCATGTCTAGCACGCTTGAATCAGACGGCTTTGTGCGAGGCACCCTTTTTGGGAGATTCACGGACACTGCGTGAAATGTCTCTTGTCTGCAGCATCACTCGCATAGTGACTCATGCGCGGGATTTGGTTTCGAGAAGGATACTACGAGGACACAAAGGAGTCAACATGGTTCGCCTTCCGAGACACCGCTCTCAAAAGACACTGGTCATGAATCTAGGGGATCATACAATGCAGACGTGTCTGAACGAGTCTCGGATGCGGTGAAATGCTTACCAGTTGTGGAATCTCAGACCAGAAGAAGTGAGATGTTCGATTGAGCTATGCAGTGTGGAAGGTCGAGTGTCGGTCTCGACAGTGTATTGTGCACACTGCTGTTCATCCGACATGGTCGCATGGCGAGATCAACTACCAGACGGAACTCTTCACGTACATGGCAGTCGGAAAGAGGCCAAGTAGCTTCGCGGCCGCCGCCGTGAGTGAAGCAAACCATGTGTCCTACAAGATGGTATGTCACCACTAGGACGACTTCAAAACATCTTCAATCTTCCGCAGTGCCGCCATGGTCTTCTCGCATTCCCATTTCCTTCCTACCAGCTGGAGTGAGATGGGAGCGCCTTCGAAGTCATTCTGCGACCAAGTTGACCAGTTATAAGCGTCGAATTCGTTGTCTCGCGGCTTGTAGTCCTCCTCACCGTACTCCTCGTCTGCCGACACGAAGTGACCCGTCGGGAAAGAAACAGCAGGCCAGTCGAGGCAGTTAAACACAGCCGTGTAGCCCCAATAGCGCGCGGTGTCATGTTTAGGTGCTACACTAGGTCCAACAGGGCACAGTAGGACATCAACTTCGCTGTGAGCATTCCAGTGCTCGAGGTATTCCTCTGTTTGCAAATTGCAACGTTAGCACACCTGCTTCCTAGGGCACGAAGAGCTCGGAAAGACTTACTTCTGTACTCTTCACGCTCAACATTCAAAGCCCAGCTTTCTTCGATGGTGCGCCGGTCCGCGTGTGGCTTCTTCAGAACCCAATCTGTCAGAGGCAAAGATGGCTCGCCAGACTCGTCGATGATCTTGCGCATGGTGGCACCACCCTCTTCGAAGAAGAGTCGCCTGATGATGTCGTAACCTTTATCATGGCGATACGGGCTCCATTCCACGACCTTAATAGATGGGCTCTGCTTCAGTCGGTCGCGCAGACTGCGAATCGCCCAAGTAATAGGTGGATGTGGGCGGCAGACACCGTCATCATGAAAGACCCCAATGGTCAATGCCGCTGGCGTCGGCGCATGCCGCCACGGGATTGGTAGCATCGCCGGCTGTATCCTCCACGGCTCGTTGTCGGACATGACTGTTTGGAAGTACTCAAAGTCTCGCGCCGATCGACATAGCGGACCTACGACCACAGGGAAGCTTTCGCATCCATACATGGGACGTGTTCCGTTGGCTGTTGGGACACGACCTGACGTTGTTTTCATCCCGTAGACGCCCTGATTGGCGGCAGGCGACCGAATACTGCCACCGCCGTCGGCACCAAGACCGATGGGCGACCCCAGAAAGCCCACGAGTGCACCTTCGCCTCCACTTGAGCCACCGCATGTCAAGCGCCGATTGAAAGGGTTGAGGGTGCGGCCGTGGAGATTGGAGTGGCCCTCGAGATGCATCATCGTCTGGCACGTAGTTGTCTTGCAGTAGAAGACAGCGCCGCTTTGACGTAGAATTCTGACCGTCGCCGCATCTTCCTCCGCGATGGCGTCCGCCCGAGACACGAAGCCCGATGTCGACCGCTTGCCTTTGATGTTGATTTGGTCCTTGATTGAGAAGGGAAGACCATGATAAGGTCCGACCACTTTGCCGGTGCTGGCCAATATCTCGTCGAGTTCGCGAGCCCGTTCGAGCGCCTCCTCAAAGAACATCTCGGTCAAGCAGTTCACGACCTGCTGTGCGATCGCCGCACGCTTACAGAAGGCCAAAGTCACTTCGTAAGACGTCACTGTACCTGCTGCGAGCTTCTCGAGAAGGCTCGTGGCGTCTTGTTCGGTGAGAGCTAGCTCTGGCGGTGTCATGATGCCACAGGTGTAAGGAACATGCATAACATTGGCCTTGCCATCCTGCGGTGGGGTTTGTAGTCTCCATTCAGCTGGTATCGAGCTTGCTCTACGAGCGTCAGTCTCCCGGACGACCTTCTGCCACGGACGTGGTGGCATAGCGCGTTAAGATGCTGATGGATGTCTCAATCAAAGGACGAAGAGGACAGGAGCTGCCACGACTTTCTTCTACGTCGTTTCATGTTCGGAGCCGAAGCGGATGGGCACATTCAATCAGTGTCGCCTTTCACCGTCGATAGACAGCCAACGCTGTCAAGTACTGCCCGAGTATCGGACTGCGTTGCTCGCAGATTATTTTCCAAAGGTTCCGACGATCATTCTACGCGGTACTCGCTATGTCATGCCTCGTCCACCGTTTTCGGTTAGGCTCTCACAATCGGGCAATTCCATCTTATCTCCATGTTATTTCATGCCTTCTCAACCCGTCCTTCCCATCCTCCCAAATATTAGCTACCCAGATCCCTATCTCGGACCAGAGGGACTAGCTGAATGCCGTCTCTCCCGTAGCCCCCAAATATCAGCTATGAAAGTCGCTATCTCGGGACAGAAGGAGTAGTTGAATGCGTAAGGTGAATGAAGTGACAGCGGGCTGACACTATGCACATCCATCAGTCCCGAGGTCGCTATGGACTGCCGAACTTCTGCTTCCCTCGTTCCAATATCTGCTTATGGCCATCCGTCGATCAGCTTCGTGCCGGGGTTTGGCGTCCCGATAGCGGACGAATTGACCACAATGAATCATGAGCATGACCACCAGGCAGAATGACGGATCAGAGGATATATCAAGACCGCCGACCATGCTTCAGATGAGGCGGCGGATGTGGACGGTCTGTGTTCTTCTACCTTCCGCGATCCTCTCTGTGTATCCTCCTACTGTTCAGGGTGCTTGCCTCCCGCGAGCTGAATCTTGCCACGGCTTTCGAATACACTTGTCTCGTGGAGCATTGTTATGGTCATGGCACCCTCGATGAAAGGTCTGCGACGCTTCAGACGCTCAAGGTATGCTTACTCGCTCGGAGCCCAGTTGATCAGAAGACTAAAGGAGCCGTCTCCAGTCCGCAGACGCAGAACTTGATATCGGGAGTGGCACTCTTTCTCACCGCAGGGATCTACCATGCCATCACTGGTGAGTCTTGACCAGGCCAGCGGGCTGATACCTGGCGGGCTTCCCAACAACGCGAAACAATTTCTGAAGTGCCACAGGCCTAGGGGCTGGTGGCGGAAAGCCATCGTCCATCTATGTTGCCACGACCACGAATTCCATCCTCTATGTCCTCTTCACAGTCGTTGGCTTCTTCGGGGGTAGTGTTCTTAACAAGATCGGACCCAAGATTACTTACACGGTGGGACTCTCATCAGACCAGCGCCACATCCCCGGTCATCTGGTAAATAAAGCGCTAACGGCTTCCAGATCGGCTGCTTTGGCTACCCATTCTATGCCACAGGGCTGTGGTATTTCGACGCCAAGGGTCACCAGTGGTACCCCTTACTGGGAGGCGCGATATTGGGCATCACAGCTGGTTTGCTATGGACTGCAGCCAATTTCATGTATGAGTGCCGCTCTTTGATGCACTTAACGTGCACATTAGCACAATGGCTGATATCCCGGCCAGACAATTCGCCTACCCGGAAGAGAAAGACAAGGGTCGGTTCATCGGCATGCAACTCTTCATGCTTGCCACAGGGTCGACGATCGGTGCGATCATTCCCTTCGCCATCAACTTCCACAGCTCTTCCGCCTCAGGCGTTCCCACTTCCGTCTATATCACGTTCACTGTCATTATGCTGTCCGCTATGCTGGTCGTGTAAGTTGATCCTATGATCTGTGTTGCCGGTCCAAGAGAGACTCACATATGGCGATGTTGTCCAGTTTCTTCGGCATCGTGAGCCCGGAGAAAGTCACCCGCGATGACGGCACCCACCTCGCCATTTTCGAAGCCGTCGAGTTCCGCACCGAGCTGGTTCATTGCGTTGAGCTCCTGCGAGACTGGTATGTCTAGCACTCTGGTCGTCCGGAGTCCTCCGTATCAGCAGCTGATCAAGAAACTCCCCACCAGGCGAATTCTGATGCTGCTATTACCCCTGTTCTCCACTGAGATCACGCTTGGTCTGATCCCGACACTGAACGCCCACTCATGCAACTTGCGGACACGATCACTCAATAATCTCATTTATTGGGCCATTCAGATCCCCAGCGCACTGTTTTTCAGTCAGGTTCTCGACAATCACCGCCTGACGAGACGTATGAGAGGCATGACTGCGTTGAGCATCAACGTGATCTTGAGCGTCTTGGGTTGGGTGAGGCACACTTCCCGCTCCGCATCTGCAGCGGCACAGCCATACACCTTCCAAAACTGATCATGTTTTCTGACGACTCCCAGGGACTTGCTATTGGAATTCAAAAGCGGCTAAACCTTACTCGTGGTCCGTTCAAACCGACTTTGGATTGGTCCAGTCCTGAGTACGGTTGGATTTGTGCACTCATGATCGTGTTCGGTGTTCTCTTCATCATCAATCAGTATGTTGCTCAATGTCTGCGATCACGACGATGTGGGCCCTGACAGGATAGGATGCTGGTGAATTGGACAATCAGTGCTCTGAGCAACGATCCCAGGATTGCTGGTAGGACGGGCGGATTTGCAAAGGTACCGACTTGGACACCGTGACTTGGCGATTGACGTATGAGGACTAACCACAACTGGTAACAGGCGATGCTCAGTGCCGGTCTCGCCGTGGCGTTCGGGATGGAAGCAGGCAAAGCTCCTTACATGTGCGTCGCTCTTTCCTTCGTCTGCTCAATACCAATCCTCAGCCATCGCTGGCCTGGCTACAGCGAAAGCGGACCTACGATTCAGGAGACAGAGCTGACGAAAACGGACACAGGACACAAACCATCATCCAGGTTGCCTTACAATTCAGCTCATTCGCAATGGTAGCGATCGTGGTCTGGCGTGCAGTCAGGGACACCAATTATCTCGTCGAAGCCACGGTCATCCCTCCCGTTCATGTTGAGATGGAACTGGGTATCTCGACAAGCGCTCAAGGCGCAGAGGTAGCTGGCTCTGACTTCAACGGGCGATCATCATCGGTGCATCCGGAACTTAAGGCATAGAGCGCATCTAGTAAGCGATGCTGTGAGGTTCTGAATTCGAGCCGCTTGCTACAGTGCGACAGCAGCGATAGCAGCGACAGAGGATGTACGTTCTGGCCCCTCAGCTGGGAAGTGTAGTACGACGACTAGCGTGCGGCTTTCTGTGAGAGCGGCAGGCTTTACTTTTCCCTCTCTTGAATAGTGCTCAGAGCTGTAAGCTTGGATCTGTACATGCCGCGTATGTACGGAAAGGTGCGTCCAACTCGCACAATCTCTAATAAGCCAGACGCCTCTCCTCTATAAAAGTACCCTGAAATCGTCTGCAAACACAGTCATCGTCCCAAAACCAGTCCCTGCTCCCCAAGATACGCTTTCATGCCTTTCACCACATCATACCCATACAACACATCCCTCACCATAGGCCCGAGCGGCGGATGGTCCGTCGGGGGCAACACATACTCCCGCTCATGTCCCACAGCCAGTTCCTCGAGACGTTGCCGCTGCTGGACTTTGAACGGGTCGTTGGGGTTGTAGGGGATGGCGTCGGACATGAGTTGTGCTAGGGTGCTGCGGTGATGGAGAACTTTGTTGAAGTGGTCAAGGCGGGCTTGGACCGAGAGATCGATGGCCGCTGCAGAGGAGGAGGTAGGATGAACAGGTCTCAGCTCCGGGTCAAAAACCATTCCTAATGCAGCGGCACACATCAACGCCGTACTGGCCCCTTGTGCGAGCTGAGGCTGGTGTGGTGCTGCTGCATCGCCGATGATCACCGCCCTTCCCTTCACCAATGTCGGCAGTGGCTCCTTGATATGCAGCGTGTGCACCTTGGTGTCACTGCTCAACTTTAGCAGCTCGTGTACTATCGGGTGGAACCCCACTGCGGCGGCGACGCAGTCTGAGTTGTCGGCGGGCGTGGTCCAGGATTCGGCATCGGCGTACTTGGGGAGGGTATAGTGCAGAACGACGAGGTTGAGGAAGGGGGTTTGTCCGCAGGGATAGGTGACGACGTGGACAGAGTGGTCGGGGCTGGAGGGGATCCAGAAGCCGGGCTTGACGTTGTCGCGGAAGTAGGGGCCGAGTTCGCGGTGGGCGTGAATGGCTGGGAAGGGGATGAGGCCGCGGAAGGCGGAGCGGCCGTTTTTAGTCGGGAGGATGGATTTCCCACAAATCGCTGGGGTGAATTTGGTCTGTTCGGTGTATTAGCACTACCTCAAGTGGCGGGCAACTCAATAGCTTCGTGCTTGGAGGAAGAGAGGACGTACATGTACACCGTCTGCGATCACTACGAGATCCTTCTGTACGGATCGGCCGTCTTCGAGGACGATGATGCCCTCTTCGGCATTCACATCAGTTGTTTTGCAACCAAGATTGATCGCGACGGGCACGCCCTCCCGATTTGGTTTCACAGCCTCCCTCCTCAAGAGATCATGCAGCTCGACTCTGGAGAAGTTGTACATGTAGTTGCCATACTGTTCGTTCAAATACCTCGTATCGTCTTCGGCCTTGGTTTGCAGAGTGTCACCGGCAAGCAGATGGTAGTGTTCGGTCACAATAGGCTTTCCTTGCTCCAGATCGATACCCAACTCCTTGATGGCGACCACTCCATTTGGTGGTAGTGTGATGGCTGCACCGATTTCGTACTTGAATCGAGACTGCTCAAAGATCTCGACGTGGTGGCCTTTATTGCGGAGGGCGACGGCGGTACCCAGTCCTGCTATGCCAGCGCCAATGATGCCGACCTTGAGTGGCTCTGGTGTGTTGATGCTTCCCATGCTGAGACAGGTGGACGTGTGGTGAGCACTTGGGAGAGCGTTCCAGCCAGACCTCGACCAGCGATGCGTTGCATAAACAGAGGGAGGACTCTGACTTACCTTCCTGACAGCCAGGAGCGGCTACGAGGAGACTTATCTATATATTGACCAGACCTGGTACGTACGCGACTTGCATGATCCCACTGCTACCTGCCGGCATACAAGTCTGCACATCTCAGCGAGGAGCATGAGACTTTGGCGGTCACACACGGTTGATCAGTAGCTCGTATGCAGTAAGCGTCTTGGCCTTTTCAATGGTAGCAGCCCCCGTCTGAAAGCCCCAGGGGCATGCATTGCGGATCGCGGACGAACAGATACCTGACCCAGTGGTCTTTCAGCAGTAGGCGAGAGCGGAGGACGACGCGAGATCGCCTTAATCGGATCTGTAATCGGATGGCCATCTTTGGAAGGACATGAACCTCATGTGGTCTAGTTTACAACAGCCGCCTGAAGAAGGGGAGGTCGACGTCAACTCCGAGGGATGATCAGATGGTCTTTTGGTGAGCCCCCCCACTGAAGCCCTGTGGGGCATGCCTAGAGTTCTAACCTTCCTTCAAGGTTGGCGCGCATCTCGCCGTCGTCATCGCTGACTTGAGGTCGATGCACCGCTGTGTGGTATTCGCATTGAATTCTTGCATGTACAAGAGCTGGAATTGTCAAGTGTGCGCCGCTTTGAATCGTATAGGTTCTCCGATCGGCAGAAGTGTGTCTGTGGACATCACCATTCTGAGCACAAGCGCAAGGCCCGACTGATCTGCCTGCTGATCAGTCATGCCACCCACCGAGCAAGAAGAGAGACTGGTCACGGTGTACGAAAGAAGCCTTCCGCCATAGCACGCCTCGAGCTGACGAACGATCTTTCACAGCTATGCCGATATCCACTACTACTTCGCGCCGCCTACCATACGACCCGTGCTGCACCGCTTCGACAAGGCGTCGTACTTCTACATATACTACAACCAGACCACTGGCTCGAGTCGCATAGAAGTCGCCAACAATCCCGGCGCAGCGGAACAAGACGCCTTCAATGGCTTTCTTGACAACTGTCGAATCATCAATTCACACAAATTCCCCACGCTCTTGACACTGGAGGTGGATGGTGTTGGACGATCACAATCTGCACAGAATAGAAGCCCAGAACCAGATGAATGGCGGCTAGCAAGCGGCGTTGCGACACAATCTGGCGCCCACAAGTACAGACTGCATACACTCGACATCTACTTCTGGGCCGAGGATGACGCCAAGTCAGTTGTGACTACGCTGAAGCATCTACTGCAGCCCGAGCAACTTGACATTGCTGAGTTGGAGCCGGAACCGGAGCCAGAGCACGCTGCACGATCTGATATTGCCAGTCCACTTGTGCAGAACCTCGAAAATGTAGCAATATCAGACCCGGCATACCGCAATGGCCAGACACGCAACTCACAGAACATGGCACAACAGCCAGCAACAATCCCTCCGCCGCCAGCAGCGCCTCAACCAAGTCACTCTGTCTCGCCGCAAATCACTACTCCGCAGTCTAGTAACAAACCAGATTCAACGCAGAACTTCACCCCCATGGCGTACAACCCGGCAGCGCCAGCAGCTCCGGAGCCAATCGCCCACCGCGAGGATACACCTCCGCCCATTGACGACGGACATGGTACGGGTCTAGCTGCAGCAGCCAGACACGACAATGTCCCTTATCAACCAGGCCAACCTCATCAGCCGTATCCAACAGGACAGCCTCCACAGCAGCAGCAACCCTACCGACCAGGCGAGCCCGTGTCGCAACCATGGACTGGCGGTCCACCAACACAACCTTCGCCATTCACATCTCCACCTCCTCAATCATCCAGCACGCTCTCCTACATCCCATCCGCCACACAACCAACAACCCTTTCCCAAACCACCTCCAACCAATCTCAACAATACCGCCTCTCCAGCGCCGCACAACACTACACCCCCGACGCCGCCACCCTCGCCCGCGAGCAATACCAAGCCCGACAACCATCCTTCAACAAAGCCACCGACGGCATCACCCCCGGCGCCCAATTCTACAGCACCCTCCCCCAACCCACATCCTCCCCGCACAAACCCCTCCAGCACGTCCAACCACAATACCCAGACTACCTCTCCGCAAACACCTCGCCCCGACAATCCGCATTCGAGATGTCTGCCGCACAGCAGGCTCAGCTGCAGGCGCATCAGCACCAACATCCGAGTTATAACTATGGTGCGGCGGCGCAGCAGGGGATGTTGCCGCAGGCTCCGTCGACGAATCCGTACGATGTGCATAGTCAGGTTTATAGGCCGTCAGAGCAGGAGGCGGCGGCGGCGGCGCATGGTGGGCATGGTGGGCGGATGCCGAGTTCAAGTGGGAGGCCGCCGAAGGAGAGTCGGGTTGAGAAGGCGGAGAAGAAGGCTTCTGGCTGGATGAAGAAGTTGGAGAATAAGGTTGGGTTGTGAGTGAGCAGGCATCGGGCGCGAGTCATGCTGGGTTTGGTTGAGGTCGAGCGGAGTGGCAGGTGCGCCAGATATGAGTACATGATGACTGATGATCGGAACGGCATTAGCGTAGGCATTTGGGTATCTTGATCTGATCTACTCCTAAGTACATACTCCTTCGTCTCTCCCCTTGTGGCTCTGTGGGTATAACGACCTCTGTTACCAAAACTTCCTTGAGTGCTGTTTGCCTCTGATGACTACCCGTAGCGAAATAAGGCTAATGTGCAAGTCTGCTCAATCCTTCCTGAGTTCTGGCCCATCACCAGCCCATGCCCAGCTGATTCCTTACCCAGAACGGATGATAGGAGCTGTAATCCCGCCGACCACTCATACCAAACTGCTCTGCGACGTTCACGTACCCCTCGCCGTTGATGGCTCCCTGTGTAGCAGCCTTTTTCAGATCCTTTGCGTCCATCTCCCATGGCGTCCGACAATATACACATTTGACAGTGCTGCCTCGCTGTGATGCTACCCACTGGTCGAAGCACGACTTGTGCATATTATTTCCGCAGGCTGCTTTGCACCAGACCAGCTCTTCTCCTCCGTCGGCCACCATCTCCATGTAGCAAATTGGACATTCTGCATCCGCTTCAATAGGCTTGCGCTTCGACTTCACGTTGGGGTCGGCATCGGCATCGGAGACTGTATCTGCTGGAATCGGTGGTGCTCCTGCGAAAATCTCTTCTAGCTCAGACGTGAGGAGTGCGAGCTGGTACACAAGATTCTCTGGTGCGTGCAAGACTGTGTTCAGGGCGTAGACCTTGTGCTTGCATTCGTTGCCTTTCAGGCTGTCCGGGCAGGTGCATGAGGGGACATTGTCGATGGTGACGGTATAGATGTTGCCAGTCGAGCCGACAATGTCGATATCTTCGGAAGTTGATGAGGTCCGCTTCCGAGACAGAACGATCATGCGCTGGGTACGTGCGCGTTCGAGCTTCTGGAGGAAGGTTCCTGGAGGGTGGGCGCGAAAGCGACGGAGACGTTTCTCGATGAGGGGAGATGATGGGAGCGTTGTCTTCTTTCGTTTCTTGACCGGTGTAGAGACTGGAGAAGTGGTGTGATCCTCCCTCAGATCAACAGGCTGCGCTTTCGAGCCAGCTTTTGTTCTCCTGGGAACTGTATTTGGAGTGGTTCGCTGCTTCTTCTGTACCTTCTGTAGGCTATCGGGTCCATACTGAGCTCTGAGTATTGCCTCCGCCCTACTCTTGAGCGACAGCGAGGCCTCCAGAGTCCGCCTGGGGGCCATAATCGGTGAATGTTTGGGTGAGCGAGTGCGCTTGTTCATGCGAGACGCGGTGGCAACGAACTTGATGCAAGAGTAAAGTGGATTTCCCCGCGTTGGGGAAGGTGAGAGCCACGATCGAAAAGTGAATGAAAAGGCAGCAACAAAGCACCTTCCCAAGGCAGAAGCCGCGGAAAATTAGAGTCATTTGAAACAGAGTCAAGATTGGGGAAAGATCAGCACTGCAGTCATCGGCGAAACGCCGAACATAGCGAGTGGCCATGAAGACCTTTTCTCGGCGATAACAAGTAATGCAGCTATGGCGGTCAAGATCTTGCGCTCTGCATACTGTTCCACCAGTCAAGTCGTGTGCCCATAGCGTACACGGTAACAACGAGAGAACATCGTCCAATCCAAAGCTCACACCCGGGCAGCTGTGAACTTTGTGGACGCCTTTTTCAGGCGGACGTGGCTCGCCGTTTGGTGCCTTCCAGCCACCTTACGACTTCAGCTCGAGGCAGTGAATGCCATCAGCTCCCGGAGTCCGGACTAGCACCGGCACCGACGACGATGTAGCTCGAGATCAGGCTCCGTTGCTCAGCGACACAGACCATGACACGTCTCACGAGGACGGCCGCGCAAATAAGGCCGAGCACGACAGCGGCATGACAAGACCTACACTGACCCTACAGGTAGGCTCGACGCCACAACTCACCCGCCGGCCATCATTCATCGATAAAGACGAACAGACGCCAGCGGCAGGCGGGCCATCGAGCACCAAAGACGATGCCATCAACGAGAAGGCTGCCGTGACGTGGTCATCCTTACCACAGAAAGCGCAACTAGCCGTCCTGACTCTGGCGAGACTCTCTGAGCCGCTGTCAGAACGCTCTCTCTCGGCATACATGTTCTATCAGTTGCGGTGGTTCAGCCAGATGCGTCAGATTCGAAGATTGCTGCACAGGGAGGCATGCTGACGGCGTCCTTCGCCGCTGCACAATTCCTGACAGCAGTCTGGTGGGGCAGAGCAGCCGATCACCCATCCATTGGACGCAAACGTGTACTGCTCGTGGGTCTTTGTGGCACGTTCATCGCCAGTCTGGGCGTCGGCTTTTCCACGTCCTTTGGCTTTGCTTTGTTCTGCCGGACCATTGCTGGTCTAATGAATGGCAACATTGGTGTTATGAGGACGATGATCAGCGAGATGATCCGAGAGAAGAAGTACTTGTCCCATCTGACGGATTAGGCACTATCAGACGCTGACTTCTGTGCAGATACCAATCTCGAGCATTCTTACTGCTTCCAATGTGCTTCAACGTTGGCGTGATTATTGGCCCAATCATGGGAGGCTTTCTGGCGGATGCATCATTCGGAATTCCCAAATTCCCCTACGCACTGCCGAACTTGGTCTCTGGGACTCTCATTTTGATGTCAGCTGGCGGCATCGTCCTGTTCCTGGACGAAACGCACGAAGCACGCCGAAACAAGCCCGACTATGGGCGCAAGCTAGGTCGCATGATCACGAAATTGCTCTCCCGCACACGATCTCAAGGCTACACTCCTCTTGCCACACACTCCGCTGTCGACAGCGTAGACCTCGAGCAGCATCCTCAATCCTCGCTCACCACTCCTGGGACTGCCACAAAGCCCTCGGACCCCAATACTACTCCATCCAAGAACGTTCCTTTCCGCTCAATCTTCACCAAGAACGTCACGCTCACGATTCTCGCCCACCATCTGCTCGCCTTCCATGTCAGCAGCTTCAACGCCCTGATCTTCCTCCTTCTTCCCGCCACACGTTCTAATAACGCCAACGCGCACCTCCCTTTCTCTTTCACAGGCGGCTTAGGTCTTACTACCGAGCAGGTGGGCATGGCCACTGCCATCATCGGCGTAATCGGGTTGCCGCTGCAGATCTTGCTGTACCCACCCCTCGACGCCAAGTTGGGCACCGTCACTGGCTACAAACTCTTTCTGCCCTTCTCCATCGCTGCCTACATATGCCTGCCATTCTTAGTCATCTTACCGGACAACAAGTTCTTGATTTGGCCGTGCCTGACCCTCATATTCGCCATGCAGGTCATGTCGAGGACATTCGCGCTGCCCAGCGGTGTGATTCTGATCAACAATTGCAGTCCTAGTCGGAAAGTCCTCGGAACAATCCATGGATTTGCGCAGAGTGCTAGCTCTGCAGCCCGGACAGTGGGACCTGTGTTTGGTGGTTGGCTACTTGGTTGGGGTCTAGCACATAATTGCATGGGCTTGGTCTGGTGGGTCATGGCGGGCGTTGCGGCTGCGAATTGGGCGTTGCTATGGACTGTGTATGAGGGAGACGGATCTGGAGGGCGTGCGTGAGTGCTAGTACATCTGTACAAGTCCTTATTTGAGCACAAAGCCTCTATTGCACTGGAAAGAAACCGCTTTGATGGACAACAGGCCGCAAAGAAGCACCGGCAGAAGCTCACCTGCTTGCTCATGATTTGAGACTATCACAGAACAACATCTGGCGCAAAGACTTATAGGTCGCGGCACGGACTGGCCCTCAGCCTTAGGACAACAGTTCAAGGAAGCAGGAGACAGATCTGAGCTCGCAAAGTCCAGCGCAAGCAATGCCACTCTGGTCGCCGAAAAGGCCACAAGGAGGCAACATCACCAACACAATCGTGTTCATGTGCGAGAAGTGCCCCAGGCGCTGCACAGTCGTCTTCGACGACTGCACCACCGAGTGGTCCCTCAATCGCCAGCGAAAACCCAGCATACAGTATCCGACACATGGACGATGAAACCGCAGCACGATGATACAGATGTGTGCAGGAACTACAACCGAGACGACGGCGACGAACTCGACTACGACGACCTGAACGAGAGTGGCAAGTTTGTGATCGAACAATTGAGATGGACAATGGACTACTGGCAATCACGGCTGCAAAGAGGAAAACGAGCGCAGGACTTTCGGGATAAGGTCGAACAGGCTCTCAACGTGAGCTCCCCCTATTTTCGATTTGTCTATCTTGTGCAGCGGTCCGCTCCTCGTACATCATCTCGTAGCTGATAACGAGTCATACAGGAGGCAGCAATTATCGTCCTCCAGATGGAGGCCAGACGGCAGTCAATGCTCTACGAGAATGCGGTCGAGATGCTCGATCCGGATGCTAGACCGCACAAGCCCCCCCGAAGGCTTCAATGATGGCCTGGAGCATTTGCTTTACGAAAATAGCGACGATGACGAGAATAAGACTTCTGGGCAATATCGTGCCAGCGATATCACCACCTTCAATCCATCCGCTGGTGAGATTACTGGCACAGATGTCCAGTTCAGAGGGAGCAGCGGTTCTGCAGAGGGAGGAGGACATGATAATGAGCAAATCAACATCGATACGGACAAAGACGACGTCAATAATGCCATAACTTTCGCCGATGGGACACGAATTGAACGGCCTGGGTGAAATAAGTACCGGCATACCCATTGTGCTGTGACTCATGGAGGACGGTTTCTGGCATATGGACAGAGGGAAAGCGAGACGGAGCAACTTCTGCTCAGACGACTCAATCCAACCAAATCAAGTGAATGCACATGAACTTCTGCTCCCCAAGGTATTCAAGCATTCACCTGGCAACATCACACCCATACATCACATCCCTCACCATCGGCAACATCGGCGGGTGGTCTGTCGGCGGTGGCAGCAACTGCGCCTCACCACGGCTAGCAGCCGACTCTTCCAGCCCGCCTCCACTGTACAAGAGCACACCAGATACCATACCACACCGATCGACCTAGACCCCGGAAGCGCAAGAGAGAGAGCAGCGGCGGTGTGTCAGAAGGCGGCTATGATGTCGACTAGGCCAATGTCGATCCTGATATGGACGAAACCGCCGGCAAGAATAATGTGGTCTGGAAGGATGGCACGCGATTCGAGCAGCTGGGTGGAAAGGTTATGGGTGCTGGAATCTCTGGTCGAACGACTCAATAATAAGCGCTCCCATGAGGTGTCTGTTGACTTCTTTCTATACAGGGTTTATTGTGAGATTGCCCTCCTGGTCTATGAATATGTATGTGACATGCTCGTCGGGCGTTGCACTGCATCCTCTTCTCTCACGCTGTCTCGTCCAGGTCATGACAGCTACCTTTTGTGTCTCGATCTGTCTTACCTGTGCACTGCATCAAACTCGTAGCCTCTTCCGTAGGACAGTCTCTGCTAGTATCAAAGGCTGCACAGCGAACGCCAACTCGAGTGGCGTTGGACTCCCCATCTCATCTCGCAGAGAAACGTGAACATGTACTTGGCGGAACGATCGCCACTGGACATCTTGTGTGCATCCAGCGGAGGAGATTCCCACCTTCGTAGCGGGCGACAGTACTGTGACGCTGGAGTTGCTTGCAATGCACGCGTTCGCACCTTTTCCGGCTTGTAGGCTGCCGCTCCGTGCTCTCCACATCACCAAGGTCGTACGGCTACTGAACTCCGAGCACGGTTGCCGCGCATCATCGCAGTAGTCACTGGATTGTGCTGTGTTCCAAGCCTCCTGGCAGTCTTCTGAATCTTCCGTGTGCTGAGAGTGACAACACCAGAAAGGTGAGCGGGATTTGCCGTGTTACTCATCGGATCGGTAGCGTGTACTTGCCGTTTCCCATGGCCGAACGGCTGTGAGTGCGTCCCAGTGTCTTCTCAAGAAATCTCGTTGGCGCTCGGTGTGAATTGCGTGACTTGCTGGCGAGCGCAGGGCAGGCGGCAGCCGCCTGTGCTTCGTCGCTCAGGGAAATCTTCGACATATGGCGAATAGTTTTCGCTGTCCTGGTATCCGGGGAGCGAGGTGGCGTAGTCAACATTCCAGCTTGGAAAGCTTATTGCAACAAACATCAATGCGAAAGAGCATCTTTGTCTTTTGCACTCAAGGTACCTCCTTCCACAGCGCTCCTCCAGCACAAGTCCTCCCCCTTCTACTCCGTTCTATCCTCTCCATCAACCACCCCGACCGATGCATGATGCCTTCTTTCCCGTTCTTCGGCAGCCCTTTGCTTCCCATGCGTATCGACCCGTTGAGCCCACATGCGCCGTTGTCTGACCACACAAATTGATAGCATTCCTCCCTCGAAGCGCACGCTGCCTTACATCCCTCGAAACTCTCGTGCGCGTGCTTCTCAACCTCGGAGAGATCTTCCTCCTTCTTCGAGGGCTCGCAGTCATCCGTGTCTGGGAGGCAGTAGTGCATGTTGCCTGACAGATTGTGCCAATCCTCTCGGTGAGAGCGGAGGTGTGGGGCGATTATGCCGTCGAAGAGGTCTTTGATCAAAATTGGCTGATTTGGATAGGTGGAGGTCCACATCTGCTCGAAGAGCCACAATCGTGCCGCCTCGTCCGGGATGATGTGATGCATCGTCACAAGGGGTTTGCACCAGTTGTCGCTGGCTGGGTCGAACTCATATTCCAGCGATCTGCCGCTTGCAGCATGGGAGAGGTGTCGGTGAGGTTGACACCAGTGGACTCCAGCACTCTGGTGAGAACGTAGTCGCCGAAGCCATTGTGCGACATGAACTCATCCCAGTGCCGACCCGTGCCGTTCGGATGGTGCGCGAACTGGGAGAGGGCGGCGCCGGAGAGGATAAAGCCGCTACCGCCGTGGGAGAAGAACTCGTCGCCAACCATCTGCACGGAACCGAGGTAGGTCGGGTAAGTAGGGTCTAGGCGTTGGAGCCAGAGGTTGAGGTTGGCTTGTATCAGGTACGTGTCGGCTTCGATGAAGACGTACCATGCTTTGTTGGGACGCATGCGCCATGTTTTCTCGAGCATATGGATGAACTTAAACTTGTCGAGGTTCCAGGCGGCATCATTGTAGGTTTCGTGGAGGGCCGCAGTATCTATACCATTGTCGTGGTATTCGCGAAGCATACGGTAGTACTCGAACTCGTGGGAGGATTCCTGGACAGACTCGGTGACGTTGTCGAGCACATCGTGAATAGTGTAGGGCCCGAGCTGTTGGGCCAGGTCGGAGAAGATCAGTGAGTCCTCGTAACAGGATAGCGAGGTGAGCAGGCCGGTCGGAAGTTTGTCGTAAATTTCGTTGGCGCCGGTCTTGACGATAATGAGGGTGTCCTCGGGAGCAGGCGAGTGGCAGTAGGCGCCATTGGTATGGCTATCGGCGGCGCCCGAAGGTGTAACTTTACCTGATGTTGGAAGAATATGTGAGAGTCGGAAAGGGTCTGCGTGTGTTTGTCGAAGTGAATATATGATATTGATGAAGCCGAACACGAGAAGTGCTATGCACAGCGGCCGAAGCCATGTATACCGCTTGAAATGCGACCTATCAGCGAGTTGGATCTAGCAGGTTGTTAGCATACGGCGGCGACAAGGTAGTCAGACTGTGCGACGAGTACTCACCATCTTGGTCTGCGACAGCAAGCAGAGCGCAGTTCACCAACGGCCGGCGAACCGCGTTCATATTAAAGACGAGATTTGTCCCGCCACGGTACCCCGGCCTCCTAACCAGGTCCCAATAGAGCAAACCCATGATAACTCGTGCTGGGCAAGGAGGCGTAGTCTCCAATCATCGGTGGAAGAACTCTTGGAACTAGGCCAGATGGAACCTCGATGTGCATAAAACTCTCTGCTTGAGTCTTACTTATTAACTTCCTCGCTTTGCAGCCCGGAACTTACCAGTCTCGCGACGCTGCGGCCCACGCCTCCGGCTGGGGATACTGCTTTAACACTGTCGAGACGTACAGGTTGTGCAAGAACGATAGTGGCATGTATGCTATGCAGTGGTGAGGGAGACCAGCGTGTAGGACGATGAAGACAGCCTACAAGCAATAGGTGGGTCGTGCCTGCAGTGGCCCGGAAGCACCTTACCTACTTATCACTGCAGTGTCAGGCGCAATCTCCTCGTGCAGGTGGATTCATGGAAGGCGTTGTTCGTGCAGCTGTGAAACACCATAGCCTACCTGTTCATGCAGATCCAGCAATTTGGCGGTTCGTTCCCGCCTGTCGAGCCTGTCAGCCTGGAACATTGTTCACTGATCAAGCGTCGTAAGATCTGACAACAAGTCGCATTTTGCGAAATTCGTTGATCCTACTTGCGAGGTTCGTCATCCGCGCTCTGTTTGTCGCGGGATCATAGTCGCTCAGCGGCTGGCTTCTTGAACTTACTGGGAGCTAAAACCTTCGGCATCGATAATAGCATTGTTGGGTGGTACCGTGCTGGTGCGTGATTTGGAGGGCGGCTTATACGCCAGCCCGCCGGCCGGCCGGCCGCGTGGGCGTGGCCGGGGCTGTTGCCAAGCTTCTGTGCTAAAATAAGCGTATCTGAAGCAATCTCAAAAGTGCCGGCAGGGTTTTCAGGAGAGCAGCCACCTTCGGGAAGGGGGCGAAGATCTGTCGATTATAACGTTTTCTACTACGTGTGACCATAGTACTATTCACTTGTAAGAACAGTCCATATTCTCTGTGGCACGGACGAGACTAGTCTTACTATCGTGACCAAGGTCAATGATGATGAGTGTCAGGATCAACCACCTCAGCATGTTACCGGAATGCAAATCAGCGACACAGCCTTCCATTTCCAAGCGTGGCATTAGGTGGGATTACCAGCGTGGTCTGCTTGTTCTTGCAGCGCAGGGAACCGTGAGTGACAGTCCTGACTCCTGAAGCCGTTGCGGTCGTCACTCCAAGATTTCTTAATCTCGCGACCAGTGAGTCGTTGCTGTGTTCCTGAGCGTTCCCGTGCTGTACTATCGAACGTCAAGACTTGTGCCCGATTTGTTCCATTCACCGGTAGTGTTTATAGCCTCTCAGCTTTCAATGGAAACTTATCGGTCCGGTTGATGGAGGTAGACAACACTGATATGCCATTTGCGGGCCGAGGGCATCTCTCGATGGCTGTGAAGAGCCGTCCACCACGTGGTCGGCCGCAACATATGCCGTCGCTTAGTCCACATCATCGTCAAAGCCCGCATCAATGTCGTCCTCCTCCTCCTTTTTCTTACTGCTCTCCCCAACCTTCAGCGCCTCTGTCTTCTTCGTCACCTCGTCCACTTGACCCTTGTCCTCACCACCCTTATGACCATCACCCAGCCTCTCCGCCTCCTTCGCCTCCTCCTCACCCCACAACAACGTAAACATGATCGCAATGTACAATTCATCCGTCTTCTTGTTTTTTAACACATACCTCAACTCATGCGTCTTCGCATCCACATACTTGATCACATTCAAACTAAACCCCGGCAACTTCAACGAAAAGTCATTGAAGTCAAGATACGGATTGAAGAAGTCCGCCTGGTATAACCTGCCCTTCTCGAACGTGAACGACTCGCGATGCGCCTCTGTAAGGAAGTATTTCTTCCGTGCTGCGCTGTCGTCTGGCACACCGAGCGATGTACGGTACTCTTTCGCTGCGTCTGAGGATGCGCCTTCTTCCACGACATCTCCGTGGAACTTCTCTGGGTCAGGCACGGCGTATTTTTCTGGTTTGTCTGTGGGCTCGATGGGATCGCAGATCCTCAGCGTGTTCCAACTGGAGAGGGCGGGACCGTAGAGGTAGGGCTTGTCCGCGTAGACGTCACCCTCTAGCCCTGGGTCGATCCACCATTTTACGAATTTGAAGGCCTGGTTGAAGCCCGGCGGCAAGCGGTCGCGGATGGGCCGGTCGAAGTCGTTCCCAAAGACGAGGTCAGACCCGGGGATGTCGACTTTTGGAATAAAGGCGAGAGAGATCGAGTACTGATCGGAGGTGTGTAGATGGTGCTCGAAGTAGGGTGAGGTCTCGTTGGAGGCGGGCAGGCCGGTGAAGTGTTTTATGCGGATTGCATACTCTACTGTCATGGAGGGAGTGTCAATAGTGGAGCGCTCGGAGGAGTTGACTTTGACAGGGTGGTGAGTTGAGGCATCGTAGGCTGGGCCGGCGGTGACACGGAGGCGGTACTCGTGTGGTTTGTCGGGGCTAGGCTTAGCGGCGCCGTCATGGGCGTCTTCGTAGTCGGACGACCCGGAGGAGGAGGGTGAGTCGGCCATTCGAAGGAATCGTCGGACGTGGGGGCGTCGGGTCAAGTACTACTTAGGAGGCGGACACATTCGGATCCTTAGGTTGTGAGTGGAAAAAAGCACGTAAGAGCAGCTACAAATACACCGATACTGAGGCAAACGACCGTGAATGTTGACGAGCATGGGAAAATTTGGGTGACGTCAACGAGGATCGGCAGCAGGGATCGCTCACGGCGCTGCCTTCCGCCGCGGGAAACTGGGTGGAATATAAATGTACAAACTACGATATTATCGGTCAACGACGCGTCTTGATTGATGTTGCTCGTAGGGACGAATGACGCTCACGCACACGCTGCAAGCCACTACGTGTTTGGGCTCGATCTAGGGATCAGAGACACGTTGATGAGTAAAGTATAGTACTTCACGTTCCTTGTCTACCTGGCTAGACCAGTTCACTATGCCGAAGCCAACGTCTATGGTATGCAATGGTTTGTAGCTAAGACGCCATCGTCCTTGTTATTGCAATGTGTGTACATCCTTCCGTACACTCTATTTCCACTGACATAGGAAAAGCTGTGTCTCATCATTGTTGTTCCGGGACTGCAATCGACCCTCAGAACTTCATTCGCGACCGCGAGTCCATCTCGATGTCAGCCTCCGAACTGAGGTCAGGCGTAGCTAGCCCGCTGTCATCAAGATCGCCCTCATCATCGCTCATCCCGTCATCGATACCGATCCCGCTGTCGTACTTTCTGCGACTTTTGCGCTTGCCACCCAGTGTCTGAGCAGGCGTGAGCGGCACACTCCTCTTCTTGCCTCTGACTGTCTCAACACTTCCTGGAACGTACTCATCATCGCTCTCGGCCACTTCCTCTTCATCAAAGTCGGAGCTGACAAGGTCTCGAACCTCACTGTAGTCAGCAAATCGCACTGTGCTACTCGGCGTCATTGGCAGTCCAGCCTCATCCATTTGCAAGTCGTCGCTTTCGAGCTCCCAGTTCGCCAGACTGACCTTGCTTGTGCGACGGTGGCTTTTGCTGCGGGCCATGAACCGCGCGGCAGCATTCATGATATCCTCGCGGGTTTCGCGCACAACCTCCTCACCACGGAAGACTTCGTCACGGTACTTCTTCTCGACCTTCTTGAGGAGCTTCCGAAGTCTGTTTACCTCCTGCTCTGCAACGGCCAGGGCCTTGGAACTGCTTGAAACGCGGGAGTCGAGGTTGTCGATTTCCTGATGGAGCGAAGATTCGACCTCAGCAGCATGCTCTTTCGCTTGTTGAAGCTTGTCTTCTAGCTCTTGGATTTTGCGGAGGCGAGACACCGCAGAGTCCTCAGCTGCACGTCGACCGGTAGTTTCTGCGGCAGCTTTGGCTTCAAGCTCAGTGATTTTTTCGTCGTTCTGGCTGCGCATATCTTTCAGGGCGAGCTGGTGTTCCGCTTCCATGGTCACAATCAGACCTTCGAGCCGTGACACTTCTTGCCGATAGCTGTCAAGACTGCACCGGAGAGTGGTGTTGTCACGATCAATCTGGTTTCGCTCTCCCTCAGCACGGCTGGCACGTAGCCGCTCATTCAATAGAGTCTCGTTGAGCTCATCGAAGGACTTTTCGAGCTCATCGGCCTTCTTCTGAGCAGCATGGCACGCGATAGTGGTCTGGTCAAAGTTGCCTCGAAGCGTCTTCTCTTGATTGCGCAAGTTCTGCAGCTCGGATGTGCGTTGGGCTAGCTGACCAAGAGCATCCTTGAGCTTCTTCGTAAGCTCAGGAAGAAGTGCGTGGTTTGCAGTTAGGCCGATGGGAATTTCGCCGGGCAGCAAACGTTCAAGCTCAAGACGCACAGAACGGAAGTGGTCCGCTAATGCTTTCAGAGCAGTCAATGCGTCCTGGTCGTCAGTGAAACCTGAAGACAGAGCACGGACTTCGCCTTCCAATGCCTGGAGTGCTAGCTCTGTGTCATCTGCATGTGCATTTGCGGCTTTCAACTGCTTGTTGAGCATAGCGAGAACGTCGCCATTGACCTTGGGCATAGGACTTGAAACGTGCGCAGTCGGCTTGGATGGCGAATCGGCGAATTGAATATCGCTTGCATCGAGGGATCGACGACCGAACGATGACTGAAGGAATGACTTTTTGGCTTGGCGAGCTGATGCCAGCTCCAATCCCATGGTTGTGGCGTCCTGGGCGTCGTTGATTGACGACAATCGTGTAGTTGAGGGATGCTGGACCGAGTCGTGGTCTTCGTAAATCTGAATCGTGTCTCCCGACTCACTTCTGGGACCAGAGGAGCTATCCCGGGGTACATCAATCCAGTCGTCTGAGCCGCCAAAGATGCCTTCATCATCGTCCGCTAGTGACGGTATATTGGCTTCTTCGAACTCCTGAAAGCTTCGCCGCAGTAGGCTGAGCTCTTCTTCGACATCGGCGATGCGGGGGTCGAGAGTTGGACTGGTCTCGGCCTCTTCGCGGACAGGACTCAGACTTCTTGTTGGCTTCGCCGTATCAGCAACCTTGAACTTCAGAGCCTTCAGCTCAGCATCCTTCGCATCGATTTGCGCCTGCATGTCCTTCACTTGCTGCTTGTCTTGCTTCTTATCTCGATAGTACGCCTCGACTTCCTCCGCCATACCATTGCGAGCTATTCGGCGCTGCATGCGAGAGTCAAGTGCTTGGCGCAAAGGCACAATCTGTAGCTCTCCTTCGATGAGGGGACTGGATGGTGGTAGCACCACAGGGGTCGATACGGAGCGTTTCGGAGCCGGTGTAGAGACGCGCCGTCTTGACTTTGGTGTAGCGAGTCGGTGTTTAGACACAGCTGGAGTCAGTCCAGTGGAGCCAGGAGCCAGGCTCATGTTGCCCGTAGCATCGTCGGAACCTGTCGAGAAGCGGACTCGCTTTGACCCTCGTTTGGTGGGAGTGCTGGAGGTATGCACAATGTCTGGTTTATGAATTGGTGACAAGGGTGACACAGCCTCAGCTGCTCGTCTCTTCGAGCGTCGTAGCGCTGGTGTGTTTACGGCGTCCATGTCGGCAGGACCAGGTCTCGATGAGCCGTGTGGAAGGCACGAATTTGTCGCTACTATGAAGAAAAGATTCCTTGCTCTGTTGCTGCTGCAAGATGTACGCAAAGCGTCTCTGGGCAGGACTGCCCTCCTGCTGTTGTTGCCTTAGTTGCCTTACCGCTGTTTCAGTTGACCTTTGTTGTTGATGCCCGCCTCAATCGCCCAGTCAGTGTCACTGATGCACCCCTCTCGAGCTCTTCCACGCAGGCAAGTCACTGAACGAACACAGAATACCTGCAGACCATAAGTCAAAGTGGAAAATGGAAGTCGAGTCTTTGCCTCGATGTTTACGTCCAAATTGGGATGTAAACAAGGCTGCCAGTGGAGTCTGCTGTGGTGCCTTGCAGCCTTGCACTCCCAGCCAATCGTTCTAGCGCCAAGCTCGAGTTCTGAAGTGACGGCGTGCAACTTCGACAGCTCCCCTGCTTCACTTCGACCATCATGTCCTTTGAAAGTCAGATATACACTGGCTCAGGTGCACCATCCTGAGCTCGTCGCCAGGGTAGCTGCGAGTTTCTTCTCGTCGCTCCAACACTTACACCAGAGTCGATACCGCCCCTCGCAGCAGAGCCCCCTTGAGACTTGAAATACTTTCCGATGCAATGCTCCCAGTATGAGAGGTCGTCCACTATGTCTGGGGCGACCGCTGTTGGGGCCAAACTTGATGTCGGCCATGGTTACTGGGCATGCGAAGCGAGACTTGGTATATCGTTGTGGTCAATTAGCTATAGCGGACAATTATATTCCAACCAGGTTCAGCCAAAACTGCCCGTGGAGTCATTGTGTAGACGACTTTTTGGACTTTTCCTCGCCAGATCTGTCCCGACACTCGGAAACAAGACGTAATCACATGAACAGTACCTAGGTACTCTGTCTGCTTGAAATCACTGTAGCATCCTGGATATCTGGTCGTGTAGATACCCATTCACTGCCCAACCCGCCATTCCCCTTCCAACCTAGCCGCCCCAGCGCCGAACATCGGCCTCGCTCCCCAAAAAAGATTCCCAGCGACACAACCTGCCATTCCCATCCACCTTGCAACACCCCAAACATGGCCGCACGCACCCTCCGAATAGGCCTCATTCCCGGCGACGGCATCGGCCGCGAAGTCATCCCTGCCGGCCGCCGCATCCTCGAAGCCCTCCCCGCCTCCCTCGGCCTGAAATTCTCCTTCGTCGACCTCGACGCCGGCTACGAGCACTTCAAATCCTCCGGCACTGCACTCCCCGACAAGACCGTCGACACACTCCGAAATGAGTGCGACGGCGCATTGTTCGGCGCAGTCAGCTCTCCCTCAACACAAGTGAAGGGGTACTCAAGCCCCATCGTGGGACTGCGCAAGAAACTAGGCCTCTTCGCCAACGTCCGCCCCTGCAAAACCACCCTCTCCCCAGCATTCAAATCGCCGACGCCACACCCAATCGACCTCGTGATCGTGCGAGAGAACACAGAGGACCTCTACGTGAAGGAAGAAAAGACCTACCCGGACCCTTCCGGCGACGGCCAGATAGCAGAAGCGATCAAGCGCATCAGCAGCAAAGCTTCATGGCGGATAGCGAATATAGCTGGGGAGATTGCGAGTCGACGGCAGAAGATGCGGGTCAATTCAAAAGAGTCCGCTGATCATGCGAAAGAGGCGATGGTAACGATCACGCATAAGTCGAACGTGCTGTCACAAACAGATGGCTTGTTCCGAGCGACCGCGCGGGAGGCACTCAGCCAGCCGCAATTCAATGCGCTGAAGATCGAGGAGCAGATTGTGGATAGTATGGTTTACAAACTCTTTCTGCAGCCACAGTACTACGATGTCATCGTGGCGCCGAACCTCTATGGCGACCTTCTCAGCGACGGCGCAGCAGCACTAGTGGGAAGCTTGGGTTTGGTTCCCAGTGCGAATGTTGGTGAAGGGATCGTTATCGGTGAGCCATGTCATGGCAGCGCGCCAGATATCGAGGGCAAGGGCATCGCGAATCCGATTGCAACCATCAGGAGTGTGGGCGTCATGCTGGAGTTCTTGAATCTACCGGATGCGGCGAATGTGATTTACAAAGCTGTGGATGAGAATTTGGGCGAGGGCAAGTTTGTGAGCCCGGATCTTGGTGGGACGGCGAGCACGCAGGAGGTCACGGATGATGTGATCAAGCGTATGTAAATTGGTACAGCATCCAAAGAGTGGTGTCATACTATCACCCAGTGGCCATCCGGCGACTCTCGTTGAGAGCCTTGATCCACTCGCTGTTCTTCTTCTCCTTCTTCGGCTTGCTTTTCACTGAGTCGCTTCCCGCCTGCTGCATATGACGCTCCTTATGTAGGTTGCGCGCCTCTACCGAAACCTGGCTGATCCCACTTAGCTGTCGTCCCTCGAAGTTCTGCGTAGCCGGAATGACATCGAAGCCAATTCCAGGCCCATTCTGAAGCCTGGCCGCCCGCAAGCCCTGCCGGCTGACATTGTGCATCTTTTTTCCGAAAGCACAGTGTTGCTTCTTGCACGGATCGCCCCGACATTCGTGTCCCCAGATGCAATCTTCCTTCCGACAAGCTGTACCGAATGGACACGGCGTGAGCCGCGCTAGCGATCGCAAGGCCCCTTTTCCATTTCCGGTAGCAAACAGCTCCGAGTCGCCGTGCCAGCCTATTGAACACGAGCCCTCCCTGAGTGGCTCGTAGCACCACTCCAGATAGTGGCGGAGGCAGAGCCCCAACTGACTTGTTGTTTCCAGCAATTCGTCATCGACGTCCTCGATGTCGACGTCGATTCGCTGGTCGAATGCATTAATGTAGAATACTGGATCGGGGCCTAGAGTCTTCGAAGGCTGATATGTTGCCAGAACAGACAGACCATCGGTCGCAGGTTTCGTGGGTAGACGACCAGTATCAGCGGAAGACCGGGTTGACTTCCTCTCGTAAGAAGGAGTACCCAGCACCGCCCTCATGCCCTCCCGGCTTATATGATGCATGTCAGCATCCCTAAGGCTGAATCCGCAGACTTCTTCTTGCACACATCGTCCGGGCATTCGTGACCATAGATACAGTCTGGAGCCTGGCAAGATGTACCAGTTGGACACGGTCTGTGACGTGCAAGCACTCGCAAGGCCTGCTTGCGGTCTACATCGAAGAGTTCGCCGTGGAGACCCCGAGGACACGACTTCTCATCTCCGGAAAAGCAAGTGCCAATTAAATGGTGGCGAAAGCAGACATGCAACTTGCCCATCAGCTCAAGCAAGTCGTCCTCCACATCCTCGATATCAATATCGAGACGCTGGCCCCGTGCATTGACGTAGTATACCGCTTCATTCTTGGAAGGGGTGATCGAACGTCGGGCTGGTGATCGGATTGGTGGAATGGGCTCCTGCGATCTGGGTCGCGACGGAGCAGCAGCTTGCACAGGAAGAACCGACACCGCAGGCCCGGAGCCGCCCAACATGCTAGCCCATGTCTTAGGTGTGGCAGCGTGAGCCTGCAACCCGGGTGCTGGGGCCTTGGGAGCAACGACAACCTCGCAGCCCGGCGCAAAGAGCGAGCTCAAATACGGGAAACTGACGTTTGGCTTGGGCTCAGGAGAGGCCTCGCGCATAGGCTCTGGCTCAGTCTCCTTGACGGCTGCAGCCTCGGCTCCAATAGCAACTTTGATGACCGCATCGAATAAAGCATCAGTATCGTGGGGATCCTGCATTGGAATCGTCTCAGGCTGAGGTTCGGGCACCATCCGCTTTGTCTCCGATGTCTGCGGTGTTTGGCCACGTCGCGATCTTGATTTACGGACATCAAGTGCCGTGACACGAAAGATTTCTGGGAAGGCGATAACATCGACTTGCTCGCTCAGGGGCCTCAGAGCCTTAGCAAATTCTCGGCCTCTGAGTAAAGACAGATGAAAGCCATTCGGATCCGTAGGCAAGATGTTGTGAAGGAAGTTCGCATAGCTGTTGTCACCGGAGAAGCCCAGAATTATCTCTGTGCAGTGGACATTTCGACGGAAGAGGTTGAATGTTTCTGCAGAGTCGGTCAGCATAAGTATTGGACATGTTGAAGACACCGAGCCGTGGGGGGACTTGAATCGAGGACCGAGAGAGACGTACCTCTGACCTTGATATCGGCTGCCTCCTTGACGTTCCCAGCATCGACAACCTCGAAGAGCTCCTTCCGGTTGAATCCTTGCACAAACTTGCCGAAGACGCTTGAATCAGGAATGATCTGAGCGTTCGTATACGTCCCAGCCAGACCAGCGAGGTTGAGAAAGATGCGAAGCTGGATCTTATAGTCGTGCTCGTAGTCGCCCCTTGGTTTCAGATGACGGACAATCGCAGCGTACAGGTCCTTAGCCGCACGTGCGCCGCCTGTCATGCCATCGCTGATGTAGCTGTCGTTGAAAAGTACATCATCACCGTCAATCAGCACTAGAGCGAATTGATCCCGGCGTTGTCGACGCAGGATCTCATCTCGTTCTTGCGCCAAAGACGACACTTGTGCGGCAAGGTCCTCAAGTTGATGACTTTGACGCAAAGCCTCGTTGCGTTCCAGTGTTAGAGAGGCGACCTGTGCATGTAGATCCTGAACGGCCGTTAGTTTGTCTTGATCAGATGAGCGCGGCCCTGCCCGACGGCGTCGAGTTCTTCGAGATGCACCCACCTCTAACTTGTGACGCTTCTGCTTGTTCGCATCTCGCTCGTGCTGTAGCATGAGCTCGTCGTAGTCTGATCTAACATCCTCGACGAGAGCCTCGTAGGTGTCATCGGGTTCCGAGTCATGTTTGTTGGTGGATGCTAGCTAGGTAGAATAGCTGCTATCGTGGCATTTATTTCGGCATTCACAGCATCGGGTCCGACGCATTTGACGCATCTGCATGATGGGAGATGACCTGAGTATGGAGTCGGAGCTGGCATTTCGCAATGTATAACACGTAAGTAGACACTGTAGCTGATGTGGTTGGAAGTTTGTACCATGAAGAGAACATATGAGGTTCCATGGTGACGTTGTTGCAGAGATGTTGACGAGTTTGGTCCAGGCTGAAGTCGGCCACCAGAGATATCACTTGCAGTTGATGTTGAAGTTGGCAAGGCCGACCGTGTCACCAGCAAAGCTGCCTTGGGCAAGAACAAAGATGGTCTTGCCCAGGGGTCGCCCGGTTACAAGGCAAGAAGTAAACAAAGCAACAGCCCGGCACTCTGTGGGAAAATGAGATCGTCTTGGTTGACGTGATGCTCTGTATCTGGCGATTGAAAGGTGTGCAGTTATAATAAATCCTCCGAGAGACTTGACATACCTTTGAACGTTATGCCTCCAGATGTCACCACGAGTCGGTGCCCACACGACCATCTAGCACTTTGTCTACCAGTCCTTGATGCGGTGCAAACCACTCAGCATAGATGCAAGCCTCTTGGCTTTTTCCTTCATCACACCGATCCTCACATCACGACACAATTATCGCCCTGCACCCTCCTCTCGACCCTGCTCCTGACCAACAACCAATCTGCTCTCCGCTCCACGAACTCAACCACCTCTTCGACCCCAAATATCCCCCTAAATCGCTCACTGTCACTGATCACACCCGCCATCTCCTTAATGTCCCGTTCCTTCTCTCCACCAATAAGGTAAATCTGAGCCACCTCCCGCAGTGCAATGAAGTAATTATTCAGATCCGGATTGCGGAACGTCGCAATATACTTCGCGTACAGAGACATGTCGCTGATCAGAGGGATAGCGCCAGAAGTAGAGATACGCTGACGCTTGATGTGCTTGCACAACGCCGCGAACAAGCGAAGCCCGACCTCGCCAACGAAAACATCCAGCAGGGTCTTCTCAGTTGCACCGTGTAGCATGGCGGTGTGCCCACCAACGATCTCGATGACGCGCGTAGCTGTAGTAGTAGGGCCGACGTCGATGCAGATGTTGTCGGGAGGATTGAAGTCCGTGGGCGACTGCGTGGTGGCGCAGATGTACTCAACTTCCTCGATGAGAACGTCAATGCCCTTGCCGAGTCCGGAAGCGACACGTTCGTCGAGCATGGCTTCGAATTGCTTCTTGGATTTGACGTTGGCGTCGAGGTAGTCGTCTCGTTTGACGACGCGGAGGCGAACGAGTTCGGATTCGAAGAAGACTGAGATCATTTGCTGAATTAGGTCGCCGACGTTGACGAGCTCCAGGAAGGTGGTCAGTGGAGCAACTTGTTGGCTGGTGGAGGTTGGAGTGTTATTGGTGCCGTTGGGCGAGGAGGCGGTGGTTGCGGGATTACGGGATTGGAAATGAGAGAGGTGGTCGATGGCGGTGTCGAACCCGGGCTTGACGTGCTGGTCGCCGATGGCGTGGAGAAGGGAACGGAAGATAGCGCTGCAGGTAGTGCGGGAGCGATCGCCATGGATGTCGCCTAAAGCAATGAATTGGGCGATGCGTTCTAGTGAGGACTTCGCGGCATGAACGAGGTTCAGCGCAACTTCGATGGAGAAGAGAGACTTGATATTGTCGAGACGAGAGTTCATCAACGCAGCTTTGGCAGCGAGCTCGGTCGTGGGCGCTTCGGCGGGAAGTGACGGTGTCGCGGACCTGTGTTGCGATAGCGGATTGGGTGTCGAGGTACGCGAAGGCAGATCGCCATTGACCAGGGTTTTCGCCGCTGTCTTCTTCTCTGTTGCCGTGCTGAAGCTGGGAAGTAAAGCCACTGGCATCATGACAACTTTCTTGAACGAAGTCATGAAGTCCTTCTTATCGGCCTGTCTATTGACGTTCGACATCAGAAAGGACTCGGTGGACTCTGCTTGGTCACGCAGAGCACGACTCCAGGTCTCGACTTCTTGGTCGGCTTTCTTTCTGAACGCCTGTAGTTCCTCCTCCAGGTAGCTCTCCAGATGTGGTCCGTAGATCTGGGCGATGACGGCGTTCGCACGAATCTGTGCCTCGTCGCTAGAATCACTGCTCACACCGCATTCAGCAATAAGCTGTCGTGTAGCTGCGAAGGTGCCCGATATGGTTCGAAGATATACAGCTGTACTGCGACCACGGGCGTCCTCGAAAAGGTCGCTCAGGAAGGGTGACAGGATCTGCTGGCCGGTCCGATCAAGTAGGTGGAGGAGGACCCGCTCGGGGTTTGGGAATACAGTCCTGACCACGGCTGCTTCCTCTGCGAATGCCGCAGCGAGACGTTCGAAATATGCATTGACCCGTTCGAGCGACAGCTGACCCCATCCTTGCGAATAGTCGATACAATCTGAGGCACTTCCGAGCTCAGATCGTTTCTGGATCATCCGATTATCGTCGAGAAACAAGTCGATTGCACTGCTGCCACCGTTTAGAATGTGTATCACATGGGCGTATTGCCTCATTTGGCCTTGAATGTCACGATATTCGTAGCCCTGTCGGAACTCTAGCAGGGCAGCAGTGTCAAATACTTTGACGATCTCTAGGATCTTGTCATCGCGCTGAGCCCCACCAGGCGAGAAGTCGCTGTTTGCGAATCGACGAATATGCGAGAGAATCGTCGCCTGCTCTTCGGGCAGAGTGTAGGTCTTGAAAATTGAAGCGTTCATAGGCCTTTCCACCTTCAAGGCATCAATGTAGAAGCGGCCCAGAGCACGATATATCTTGCCATACTCGTGACGGGCCCTGCCTCTGACAGAACGCACGCGATCGAAGACTGCCAAAGCCGTCCTTGGATCTAGCTCGAGGACCGCGCCAGGAGTCTGCGGTATGGGCGAGGCGACCTCCACTTCGTCGAAGCCATCTCCTGTGATGTCGATCCTGGGTCTACCTTTGCCATTCACCAGGGTCTGATCTATTGTGCTGGTCCGTCGTGGTTGCGGAGTCTGTATGCCGCGCACGCTGTCTCCAGTCTTCTGTCTCGCCGCTAGTTCGTTCCAACAGTCCATACTGCGAAGACGTGCTATCCAGCGAGTGTCATCGTATATCATTTCCAGCATTCGGCGTGACACGCGCGCGAAACGGATCATATCGGGTCCGCTGAGGTGGTCGACGATCATAGCTATGATTTCTGCCGCAGCATTAGTAGGGCTGACAGAACCATGCGAGCTTGAGCCTACCCAGCGGCAGATACGGCTTCGAGATCACCATGTCGGCCATCCTCAGAGAGGCCAGAGGATTTCTTCGAGCCGTGGTTGCGCCCCCTGCGCCTTTGGATTGTCGAGCTCGCGACATGGTGTCTGCGTGCCGATGAGTCGTGATAGATCCAAATGAAAGTCATGCTTCCGCTACGGCACAGAGCGGTAACGTTGTCAGCCTGCCATTGTTGGCCAGACTGCCCAAGTGGTCCGGACTGAGGAGGACAGAATGTACAATGCTTCAGGCACCTCCAGACTGTGGTCGGAAGTACCGTATGTGGGGAAGCAACGTGGGGGAGCACCAAGATGCCATGCCAGGACCTAAGATCTTGAAGGCACTTCTCAACGTCCTACCAGAATACCATCAATGTGGCATATTGGTAGCCTTCCAAGCATGGGAAGATCTGTGTAAGGGTTGTTGTCAGGAACGCTCGGATGACATTTCAAGATGCGCGAGTAAGAGATCAGCAAGATCGGGTATTTTTTATTGAATCTGTATTATTTGATGTCGAGGCCTCTCCGGAGGTGATCTTTATCCAAGCCTCAGGTCATTTGAGACTGCTAATGCCAAAATAACATGTTCGTATCGTCAAAGTCATCCACAGAGCGGCTATGCTAGTCGTATTTATGCTCCCGTTTCGGTTCCTACTGTTGTCGTCCCTTCTAATCCCCGTCGTCAGAGCCTTCCCAGTCATCCCCATTGCGCTTCCGTTTGCCAGCCCCATCATCTTTCCTGATAGGAATTTTGATGCCTTGAGTTGCGAACGCCTTACTGAGGTCCGTCGACTCACACACTCCAGGAAATTTCTTCGCGCTGTGCACAGTGAAAGGCTCGCTGAAAGCCGCGGCCAGGCAAGGCGCATCCTTATCCGCGCTTGATACTGGCTCGAACAGACCTTGCGAGTGGTTGATATCGTACATTCTGAACTTGAGCCGGAAAACGCCCTCAGATCGGACGCTGAGGTCCGGGTATATGAAGAAGATGCCTTGTTGCTGATTGTTGTCTCGTAGTCTATTTGCTGTTCCATGGGTCGCACCGAGCAGTGCGCGATTTGTCTGCGAAGGGGCCGAGTCTGATGGGCCTTGCAAAGGCACTCCCCAACTGTGAGGATCCTGTCTTTGACTGTAACTCTGAGGGCTCTGTACGTAGCTCTGCGGCGAACCGTGGCTGGCGTTCGCGCCATATCCGTTGGGTTGAGGCAGGGAGCCCTGCCTTGATGGAGGATCAATGGTATGTCGGTGCGGTATTGCCTGGGATGCGGAAATTCTGTCCATGCAACCCGCTGTTTGAGCCACGACTAAAGCAACATTTTCGTTACCATGCTCATTGTAGAGATCAACGCTGCACATGAAGCGATGAAGATTCTCTATTTTTCTGTCACCCATAAGCAGTAGCATTATTAGTTTGGACTCAGACTCACGAATAATCGATCGGCCTCCGTACTCCATTCTCAAGAGCGGAGATGATGAGTTGAACGACTGGAGGTGGTGATATTGGCCGACGGTCCTGTGGACAGCAGTCAGATTTCGAGGTATAAGCTCCCATTAGCATCACTCACTTTGTCACCATAGCCACACATCCGTGCTCGAACGGGTTGTTGGATGACCTTGATCTCGAAGTGGTAATTCTTGGAGAACTTTGCCATAGGAGGCGGTGCCTCCCTGGCGTGTTCTAGTCTGTACTCAAAGTCGTCCGGCTTAGGAAGAGATTGCGGGCTTAGGTCATTCCCGTTGTGATTTGGTGGCATTGGCGGTCCATGCGGGCTCGGGTATACTGGTCCATGATACTGTGATTCGTGGCTATACGTAGGAGCAGGCGGCATTGGTGCGGCAACATTCTGGTGGACCATTGGTTGCTGCCCCATACTCATCATGTGAGGTGGCGGCAGGTTCTGATACGTGTAGTGACCATTGCCGTTCTGATATCGAGGGGGCGGCGGCTGGTGACCGGCGCCCTGCGACTGTGGGTGATAATGACTTGGATAGTGCCCGCTCATGATGATGTGCGCTGAAGAGGTAACCTGGGACCGAATGATGATGCTGCCAAGTACAATATAGACCTGGCGAACCTCCCGCAGAGAATTGTGTCTTTTGCTGGTAAAACTCCCACAGCTGCCATCTGTTTTGTGTTTATATGCTCATCCAGTAAGTTTCGGCAATAGAAGTATCCTGGAAGGTGCGTCCCATGTACATGAACCTCGTTGGCAGAGGATGATTGAATATGCTCCTGACTTCTTATTGAGTATAAACAAAATCGCTGTAGCAGAGGAAGGTTCAGACAATGATGCTGGCTTCCGTCATTTTAGCATTTGGGGTAGGGCCAGCTGAATCGCATTTAAGCCAAACCCCCGCGTAGTAGTTTGGCGATCCTGAGGGCGTTTACAAGACGAATTGTAGGACTATCTTATGCGCCAGCTTCAGGCTCTACAATTCGCATGGCTCAAGATCTACAGTAACCATCGTTCGCGCCCCACCATCGCCATTCTCAAAGTACCAGAAATGTCTACCTTGTACGGGCCGGGAGGAATGTGTTCAGTCCCAGCAACTACTGACAGTCATGGAGCCCTCTGCCAGTCTCGACAGATCCACACACCCTTGGGCGGGCCTCGTCTGCCTTTTCCAACGGTCCGCCATTAAAGTCATTCGTGTCCGAATCAAAGTTGCAGCAAGTAAAGCAGTCGCTGTTTGTCCGCTTCTCCACCGGATGCATACACGACCACAGGCTCAGCTCGAGTATGCAGGCCAGCTGTAACCTGAGAGGATCCAGCCAGCTGGGCGGCTAGGATCAGACGTGCAGCTACATACCTTATGCATGCAAAAGTGCGACACCGCCGGCATGTCTCGCCCGTTGGGTCGGGTTTGCGAACGACAGGCGGTGTTACACAAGACCGGTCATGACATTCGAATGGCTCGTGGATGCCATGATAGACGTGATCGACAGGATAACAGACGACCTCGAGTCATTCGCGAAACTTCAAACTCATGAATACACACAAACATGATACTGCACGACTAATAACAGCAGGAACCAAGGAGTATAAAGCGCCTATCACTTCGTCTAGGCCCGTTCTTTTGGGCATGGCCGCCCCACGACCCTGTCCATCATGCGGCTCCATGGCTTTCCTTTTGGGCCTGGGTTCCTCGTAAGCAGTTCAGAATTAGGGAATACGGCCTCGGCTACCCGAGGTGACACTCGAGTTGGGAAATAATCGCTATGTATGCTGAACAGCCTATCACAAGGCCCAGCGTTCCTATCGTTGCGGGCTGATTCTGCAGGCCTATCATGCCAATCCCAGCCCAGCATTCGATTTACACGCCGAGAAGAGTATCAGAAGATATGCACGTAGATAAGGAAACAGTACTAATGAACCGCTCGCTCATAATGTCGCATATTAATGACGGTGGACCTATTCTCGTCCTTCACGATGTGGCCTCCTCACTGCTCTTCTCGTCTTTGCCCGTGACAGCAGCTTTCGCCTTGTCTCGCAAGTCCTTCAATCCAGCCTCTGCGCGATCCTTGCTGCGCTGGAAAGATGACCTGCGTACTTGTTCATTGTTCTTGCGTGCGTCCAGGGTCTCTTTCTCTGAGGGTGTGTATGTGTTGGCCGCCCCACCTGTTCGCTGATCAGCATCTACAAAGATTCACACGAAGACATGACAAACCTCGCCCGGTGTGGTGGCTTCCTTCCGGTAGGTTGATGCCAGGCACATCGACGTCTTGCGCCGTGCGCGCCTCCTCGCCATAGTCGTTGTTGGCCATGTTGCCCGCTCCTCCTCGACCGGTCGTGTACATCTTAGACTTGAGAGTGGGCGTGGTCATTGTCGGGTTGCTGCCAGTGGTGTTCACGACGGGCACTTTGCCCTCCTTTGAAGTCACGTTGCCGGCGCCTCCCCGCCCTGCATGGTGTTAGAGATCAGGTTACGGTGAGTTGGGTCAAGAGCTGGCTGGCGCATACCATAGTGGTGGGTGGCTTAGTCTTGGTCGCCTCTGACATGGCTCGAGGTCGCAGACGGTAAGTATGCGCTCAGCCAAAAGGCTGGTATGGACGACGAGGACCGCAGACTGGTAAACGGCCACCGGAAATACACAGGATCTGAAGGTTCTCTTCGCGGTCGATCGATGGCAGGATACACAAATCGGAAGGTCGCCGATGTGGGACAAAGAAACGTGGACGACTTCGGAGGTTATGCAGTGCAGCAGAGAAGAGGAACACAACACACTTCAAGTCACTTTGCAAATATATCCCCGCCTGCGTGAATGCGACTGCGAGCCACCCCTCATTTCACTTCAGCCCAAAATACGACTGGCGAGGCTTTGCAGGTGCCTGTCACTCTTTGCACGTGAGCCTAGGGAATTTTTCTGACACACCAGAACGACTCTGAAGTGATCATCGAAGACAAACAAGACTGCAACCACTAGTGCTGCTTCGGTTAGTCACAGGCTTGACAAGACTTCGCCGTCAGACTTTTTGTACGTGTGGGCATCCCCGCGCCGCGAAGGGCGGTCGCCAAGCGATCGTTGACTCGACGCGAGGATGCCGTGATCCTGAGTGATATTGTATCAGATGCTACCTCTGACATCTGGTCCTCCCTGCGGACCAAGTCTCGAGTCTCTTATTACGGACCTGCATCTGCAGCCCAGCTGGAAGGCATGGGGACACGACGTGGCTTATCCGCTGAACATGTGGGGAGGGTACTGCCGACCGAAACGTCTTCATTTCTCGTTGCTATTGCTAAGGATCGTGGCACCCCTCAATTCCGCCAGGCACCGCGACGATCGCAGCTATGAGACTCTCCTCCAATTTGATCCATTGCTACCTACCTTCACTGTACTCCCTTATCATCCCATTACTTGCACCCTCGCGGCTGTGAGAGCAGCTGCAACAGCTGCGCTGCTATCAAAGATGCAACCGGCAGAAGACAAAGACGTCATGGAGGGCGCCAAGCACAGATGAACTCGATCGACCGATCTGCCAGTTCCCTGCCACTTCCACGTGCGGCGGACATGATCCATGTCTCAACCAAAAAGTTGGTGCCAGCTCACTGCTAGCTGCTACAAGCTGATCGTGCACGAGGAAGCTCTACTAGAGCACTGGATCTAGCATCCGAACAAGAATTTGTGACCTCAAACCCCATGCTGATGCCAGCAATCAGTGGTTGAAGTATGTTGAGTGCGCCTACTGCAGGAACAACCCAGATCAACCAATCCGTGCTCTGACCTCGCCGTTGTTTCCGGCCAAAAATTTCCAAGCAGATGGAGATGCAATAACATCGACTTAACGACATAACGATTCAGCGTGCATTGCTTATCGCAGTAGAGATGCCTCCCAAGACGCATCAAGGCAATCGCCTCATATACGTGCTTCCGCTCACAGATGGCGGCGCACCCGATGTGCCAAATGAATACATCTACCTGCCTGCGCCGACCGAGCCGCCATACTACCTACGATTCGCAATCGAGGGCACAAGCTCGATATGTCGACATGGCAGTCTCTGGGTCAACATACCCGCCCCGGGCGAACAATTTGATAGAACCAAATACCGGGAGTACAAGCTGCAACCCGACTTCAACAAGACCCTCCACATCGACGTGCCCATAACAACGGCCGGTGCATTCAGCTTCTACACCACATACAGTCCCCTGCCAGAGCTCTCGTTAGAAAAGGTAGCAGCCCCGGCTCCGACCAAGACAAAAACGTACTACATCGATGTCGAACCCAGCCTCAAGCTTGCAGGCAGCAAGCTTCCTCTCGATGCTCTTTGCATCTTCTCCGTCGTCTCGAAGTTCATGGGCAAGTTTCCGGAAGACTGGGAAAAGCATCTGCGTGGGATCAGTGGACGTGGCTACAATATGATACACTTCACTCCACTGCAACAGCGAGGAGAGTCAAATTCACCCTACAGTCTGTATGATCAGCTGGCTTGGGACGAGGAGCTCTTTCCCGGCGGAGAGTCGGAAGTTCAAAAGCTGATCCAATCGATGGAAGAGGACTACGAAGTGCTTGGTCTCACGGATGTGGTCTTCAACCATACCGCCAACAACAGCAAGTGGCTCGAGGATCATCCTGAAGCTGGATACAACGTTGAGACTGCACCATGGCTCGAGTCGGCTCTGGAGCTGGACAACGCATTGCTCGAATTCAGTGACAACCTAGCAAGTCTGGGCTTGCCGACCGACATCAAGTCAGGCGAAGATCTGGACAAAGTCATTGGATCAATCAAGGAGCATGTCATCTCGAAGATCAGGCTCTGGGAGTACTTCGCGTGCGACGTTGAGTCGGATGCCGCAGCTGTGCTCGATGCGTGGAAGAAGGGCGAAAATCGCCCACCATCGGATGGCTTCGATGACTCGGTGGGCGGAGGCTCGATGCGGTCAAGACATGGTCGGTCTACCAGAAGGCCGAGTTCTTGAGAACTCGTGGCATGCTCAATGGCCTCAGAATCGATGGACGATATTCCAGAAAGGTCGACCCACCCGTGGCTGCTGCGCTCTTGACGGCTATCTATGGTCGAGCAGGTGATGTGGACGATGGCACAATCGACAATGCAATTCGTGCCATCCTCAATGAGATGAATTTGCCATTCTATCGGGAGTATGATGAGGACGTTGCAGCTATCCTTGACCAGGTGAAAGGACGAGCCCAGTACACGCGACTGGACTCCAATGGTCCTAAGGCCGGTCCTGTAACAAAAGAGAGCCCTTTGATTGAGACATATTTCGCGCGGCTGCCATTGAACGAGACCACTAAGAAGCACAACCCGAAGGCACTGGCTCTTGCCGTCAATGGCTGGATTTGGGCTGCGGACGCGATGAAAGACAACGCTGGACCGGATTGGCGTCCGTATCTGAGACGTGAGCTTATCCCATGGAGCGACTGTGTTAAGCTCAGGTACGGAAACGGACCTGAAGACAATCCATTCTTGTGGGAGCACATGGCCAAATACGTGCGTGCCTCAGCGAAGTACTTCACAGCCTTCCGCATCGACAACTGTCACTCGACACCGATTCATGTTGCCGAATACATGCTCGACGAGGCACGCAAAGTCCGTTCTGATCTGGCTGTCTTCGCCGAGTTGTTCACTAACAACGAGCAAACTGACTTCGAGTTCATCAAAAGGCTCGGTCTCAGCGCTTTGATCAGAGAAGCTATGCAGTCGTGGAGTACGCAGGAGCTCAGTAGGATTGTGCACAGACACTGCGGCCGACCCATCGGCAGCTTTGAGATTGATGTGCCCGCGCCTGTGAAGAAAGGACTCGTCAATGGCTCCGCAGAAACGAATGGCACGAATGGTCTGACGACCAAGGAAATCATTAAAAGGGTACGAGAATCACCGGTCCATGCCCTCTTCATGGACTGCACACACGACAACGAGATGCCGGCACAGAAGCGAGATGCTCGGGACACCCTCCTACGGCGGCTCTGGTCAACATGTGTGGCTGTGCCACCGGCAGTGTTATGGGATTCGACGAGATCTACCCCAAGCTGGTCGAGATCGTCCACGAGACACGGATGTATCAGTCCATCAACTCGGAGGGTGAAGTCATCACGGGAGCTGGCGAAGGTGGAATCGGAGGCATCAAAAAGCTGTTCAACCAGATCCACACCATGATGGGCAAGGATGGGTATAACGAGACATTCTTGGATCATAAGGGCGAGATCATCACACTGCATCGTGTGCACCCAGACTCTCGGAAGGGATACTTCTTGATTGCACACACTGCATTTCCGGGTTATGGGAACGGAAATGGTGGTCTCAGCCCAGTTCATCTTGCAGGGACCAAGGCCCGATTACTCGGAGCTTGGGCGCTTGAGGTTGATCAAAGCGAGGAGGCGAAGCAACACGCGTTGGCAGACGACAAGCTTGTCGGACTCCCAGCTCGCACCAAGAACATCAAAGGTGTCAAGATCGATATCAACGGCGACGACTCGACAATTCAGATACCAGAGTACTTCCCACCAGGCTCAATCGCGCTCTTTGAGACATGGCTGCCTTCAGCGGAGCACTCCTCTGGACTGAACAACTTCTTGTCGAGCGGCGCTGAAGAGGCTTTCGGCGAACTGGACTTGGTTGATCTGAACTTTGTGCTCTACAAGTGCGATGCAGAAGAGCGGGACGCGTCTGCAGGTCAGGACGGTGCATACACGATTCCGGACTACGGTCAGCTTGTGTACGCTGGCCTACAAGGCTGGTGGAGCGTTCTTGAGCCTATCATTCGGGAGAACAACCTTGGTCATCCTCTGTGCAACCACCTTCGACAGGGACAGTGGGCTTTGGACTTCATTGTTGGCCGACTCAACCGAGAGGCAAAGAAACAAGGCCATGAACGACTTCAGAAGCCCGCAGACTGGCTGCGAGATCGATTTGATGCTGTTCGGGGCATTCCTAGCTTTCTGCTGCCTCGCTATTTTGCCTATATTGTTGAGATTGCTTTCAACGCTGCCTGGAGTCGAGGTCTGCAGCTGTTGAGCGACAGCATACAGCATGCTCAACCGTTCGTGCAGAGTCTTGGCATGGTCAGCGTGCAGCAGACCGGTTTCGTCAAGTCAGCATCACTTTGGCCTACGAAGGAAGTGCCTAGTCTTGCGGCTGGCTTGCCTCATTTCTCGGTCGAATGGGCTCGATGCTGGGGGCGTGATGTTTTTATCTCCCTCCGCGGTCTCTTCCTCTGTACTGGCCGGTTCGAGGAAGCAAAAGAACACATCAAGGCATTCGGCAGTGTACTGAAGCATGGCCTCATTCCGAACTTGCTCAGCAGCGGAAACGCACCCAGGTACAACTCGCGCGACTCGCCGTGGTTCTTCCTGCAGAACATACAGGACTATGTCGCACTTGCGCCGGAAGGAGTCGCGGTCCTCAAGGAGAAGGTGCCTCGACGCTTCCTACCATACGATGACACCTGGTTCCCTCATGACGATCCTCGTGCCTATTCGAAGGAGTCGACCATCGAGGATATCATCCAAGAAATCCTGCAACGCCATGCCTCAGGTCTATCTTTCCGAGAATACAACGCCGGCCCACAATTAGACATGCAGATGTCCGATGCCGGCTTCCAGATTGATGTGCACGTCGACTGGAAGACGGGCATCATCTTCGGCGGCAACCAATCCAATTGCGGCACGTGGATGGACAAGATGGGCGAAAGCCCACGTGCGGGCAGTAAAGGCGTTCCCGGAACACCTCGCGACGGTGCAGCCGTCGAGATCACTGGCCTAAGCTACAGCGCACTCAAGTGGCTAGCATCCCTCAACGAGCAAGGCAAGTACACCTACGACGGCGTCGACACGGAGCATGGCCGCATCACACTCAAAGAATGGGCGGCCAAAATCAAGGCAAACTTCGAGCGCTGCTACTGGGTCCCTCTCAACCCCAAAGACGACCACGATGCAGAAGATAGTGTCGACCCGAAGATTATCAATCGTCGGGGCATCTACAAAGATCTCTACAAGTCTGGCAAGCCCTACGAAGACTACCAGCTGCGCTGCAACTTTCCCATCGCAATGACCGTCGCCCCGGACCTCTTCCGCCCCGAACACGCTCTCATCGCGCTCAAACTCGCCGATGAAGTCCTCCGCGGTCCCACCGGCATGGCAACCCTCGACCCAGCAGATCTGAACTATCGGCCGTACTACAATAACAGCGAAGACAGTGATGATTTCGCCACGTCGAAGGGAAGGAACTACCACCAGGGACCCGAGTGGCTATGGCCAACGGGGTTCTTTTTGCGGGCATTGCTGAAGTTTGATCTCATGAGGCGAAAGACCACGGCGGAGAAACTGGAGAGTTTCCAGCAGGTCACGAGAAGGCTGGCGGGATGTAAGGCGGCGATCAAGGAGAGTCCGTGGAGGGGGCTGACGGAGTTGACCAATAAGGGGGGAAGCTATTGTGGTGATTCGGTGAGTTTTGTGACCCTTCCGAAGTGTCCTTGATGAGGCGTTAAGCTAACAGTTGAGTGATAGTCGCCGACGCAAGCGTGGTCTGCAGGGTGCTTGATGGATCTGTTCCAGGATGCCATCGACTTGGGGATTGATTTGGAGGGGCTGAAGTTGGAATAAGGACAGAACGGGGCTTGGTTGAGTGGTAATGTATCCATCAGACGTGAAGAGGCGGAAAACGGCATTGGCAGCTATAGAGGCATTGGCATGTGATAGACGTGGAGAGGAGAACGAGATGCCAGATAAGGAAGAAGCCATTCGTATGAGGTTGCACTTCACAGGAAACGAGTTGAGCCGTTTGAAATCCATAGCTTAGACTGACATCGACACAGCCATGATACAGTAGAGGCCGGCACAGCGAACGCGATAGAATAGGCAGGAGACAACTATGTCCTTCATTGAACGCGTCCTCCTGCACTTCTAGGTCTATATGAAGCCATACGAAGGCCGCCGCTTCTAGTCTGTACCCACAGCGCATTGTGTACTGTTGCTTCCCACAAGACTCTCCACAGTATCGACAACAGAATGCCCTGTGCGCCTTGCCCAACACCATTGATCAATGCCATGACCTGCGGAGACTCCATGCTATGCAACGCGCACCAGAAATCGTCATCAGTCCATCATCCTCAGATGTCAATTCCTCCCTGGCACCATCTCATCCGTATGGCGAACTTGGCCACCCAACTTCACCCGCCTGAATTTCTCTGCTCTCGCGGGATCGTACCGCCAGCACCCGTCATTGCCAATGATGCTCTTCTCGTCGAGCCCGCTCGCATCTACTAGCCCCATTAACGCACCTTCTTCCCGTTCATCTACCTTTCGGAAGAACGCCGACTGCCATGTTTGGCCGCTCGCTTTCTCCCGTTTCCGCATCTCTCGTTGCGCGTTTTCTAATTTTGACTTGGCTTCCAGTGCAGCCGAGAAATCGCCTTTCTGGAGCGCCGACGCGACGTCCGCCCATGCGCGGCGGGAGTGCCATGGTGATGATTGTTGGGGGAGGGTCATGGGTGCGGGCTTATTGGCTGGGTCGGAGAGGTTATATGTCTGCGTTGTGTTGTCGGCGTGGTTGGTGATGGTCCAGCTGTCGCTCCAGATGCCCTTGAGGGTATAGAGTGGCGATTTCTTTGAGGATGGGTCTGTGGATTTGGAGTTGTAGATGACCGCTTCGAATTCGTTGCGAGAGGAGCTGCTGAACGGGTTCTTCGACTTCCCACCGAACGTCACTTCGGCCGTATAGCCTGATGTGGAGAAGATGGTGTACGTTCCATACAGCTCCGGGTACGGACTTCCCGTCAAGATTGATTTCGCGTAGACGTCCGGGAATGGGAAGAGATAGCTCTCCTTGTTATGCCGATCGACTGTCAATATCGCGTGCCCGGACTGCTTTACCACGACAGACGTGCCCGATAGAGTAGTGTGCTGCGTCGAATACGCCTCAGCACGCACGCCGTTGGACTTGTCCTGGATGAAGCACGCCGTCGTCGGCGGATGGTGGGAGACCTGCTCGCAAATGACTTCGACTTTGTTGTCGCCGTCTTGGCATTCGCAGAGGAAGAGCTCCCCCAGGAACGGGTTCAGGGGCTTCTTGGTCCCCTCAGAGACGGGCTTGCCGATGTAGTACTGGCGTTGGAGGGATGTAAGGTAGATTTGCAGGACGTGGAGCATGCGTTCTGCTGGGGAGGTGGTGTTGGCGATGGCGGCGAAGAGGGAGGGGCGCTCGGCCCAGTAGGCGGGGAACTCGGTGAGGGATTGCGAGGCCAGGATGAAAGGTGGGGCGGTGATGTTGGAGAGGTCTCCGGAGACGGTGGCGAGGAAGGAGAGGAAGTCTTTGAGGGCGGAGAGGTTGGACATTCTTGAGAGGAGGCCCATTAGTACGGTCATCTTGGCGTGTGGTTTGCGGGAAGCAGGGACAGCGATAGCGCTGGTCGTGGGTAGGCGGGGAGACAGGTCGGCAAGCAGGTCTGCCAGCAGACGGTAGAGAGGTATTATAATAGCAAAGGTAATGTGCAGGAAAGGAATATCAACGAGCCGAGCACATGTAAATGTGTAACAACTGAGCATACTTACTTGGAGTCGTTCCCCATGCTTGCTGTGTTACTTTGATGTCCTTTGGGAAGGGGCGATGCTGAAAGTAGTGTTATCCACGAATCGTTTCACAGCGGCCGTACTAGGCGCGTGATACGTCTAGGGAGCTAGACGCGAAGCCACGCAGGCTGGATCAGGCCATGTACCTCTGTAGTCAGTAGCCGCAGACTTCGGGAAACTTTGGGAATTCTGTAACGGCTATGAAACATCGAGGGAAGGGAAGCGCTGTTCTTTTGGTAGACACGTTCTCACCGTCGTGTTGTGTCATGATGCAAAGCTCTCCCTGGCAGTCGCGACTTGCGTGCCTGGATTCTGCAGTGGCAATGGAGTATACGTCAGCCACGAGAAAGAGTATAGTTCACGAATATCATGATTGACGAACGCGATCGTGGCTGTGTTGTCATCGATTTTGGGTTTTGGTGAGGAAAAGTTTCCCGATCGGCAGAATGACAGACCGCGGGAAGCGCGTGCATGTGAAAGGCCTGCGACTCTCGTCCGTACGTACCTTTGATAGAGATATATTTGGCAGACTTCGAGGCCTACAAACCTCCACAATAATGTCTCGCTATGTGCATGCTGATAGTCGTAAACTCGTGCGAATGTCGTACACTTGGCCCTTTCCATCATGTGCGGCCCTCCAGTACCCCAGCCATGCGCTCGAGGCGAGTATTGAACGACTTGATCTGGTCAAGTAAGCCTCCACCTCCCTGGCTGTTGCTCACATCGACAGCCACGGTTCTGAGCAGATACTCGAGTGACTCTTCTGTCTGTTCCTCGGAACGGTCAAGCTCCATCTCAGTCTGGCGAGCAGCCTCACTGATCGTCCATTTTGCTTCTCTTTCTCGGTCTCGTTGCCAATTCTGTTGCCGAATATGATCGCATCGCAGCGCAACATCTTCTCTTTGTGCGCGAAGCTGGAGCCACTGAGCCTGTAATTCTGCCTTCTCTTTCTTGGCGCGACGAGCTTGGACCTCGAGCTGGATGCGCGCCTCAATTGCGTCAGACATCTCGAAGAGCCTGTCATTCAATTCCTGGCCCACCCGCTCAACGGCTGTTTGCTTACGCTTCCGTTCTGCTCGATTGCTGCTCACGCCTACCTCAAGGCGCTTCACTTCCGTCTCAACCATTTCCCGACAATATTGCGCAAGCACATCCACCGCATTGGGGACAGGACGTTCGGTCGCAAGCTTCAGTTGAGACTCCCGAGCTCGCTCGTCCTCCGAGTCCAAGTCTGACTCTCCAGCTTCGTCAATACGCGGGAGCATATGGCTGTTGGTCAGGCGATGAGTGAGGATGGGGAAGCTGGCTTTGCCATTGCTGTGCGAGGCTCGTTTCGCAGCTTGACTTCCTTTCTCCTTCCGTCCTGCTTTGCTTCTATTCCTAGTCGTTGGGGTCGTGGGGTCGGGAGAGCCATCTACTTCCGCGTAGTCGTCCTCCGAGGCGTCCTCTTCACGGTATTCGAGCGGTGATACACTTCGTGAAGCAGATATCCGAGGTGCGCTTGCTGTTCGCCGATTGCTGATAGCTCGTGTTACTTGGGATAGCGCTACTTCAGAGCCGTCATCGTCGGCGGCCTCTGAGCTTTGCTGCGAGATCCGACGCTTCTTCCTCTGGTGCTCGAACGTGATTGATTTACGTTTCCCTCTCCTCTTGCGGGAGATGGTCGGCTTGACTGCAGCCACAGGAGACTCAGTTCGTACGCTGCCGTCCTGAACGTCGCTCTCGGGTTCGTTGACATCGCCAGATACGACGATGTTGGACTGATCTGGATGATCGTCTTCAGGCACACTTATGAATGGCGGAGCAGGACCAGCACTTAGTCGTTGTCCAGCTTCTCTTTTGCGCTGATCGGACAGCCGCTTCTTGTTACGTTCGCTCTGCTGGCCGATAGACTTCCTTTTCTTCTTCTTCAGCGGCCGTTTCTGTTGTCCTGGCGTATCATTCTCCTTGTCATTCGAGTCCCCTCCTGGCTGTTCCGGCGCGCCTCCGTCTGATTGATATCCCTCATCGCTGCCAACTTGGACCGGCTCCGGCACTTGCTCGATTTCCTCCAAGACCTCGCCCCATGGCGCAATCGTTGTCCTGCGCCTCTTCGTTGGTCGCTCCTGCGATTGCACCTGCTCCTTAGGTGCAACACTCGGCTGTGTGTTCGAGACAGCTGATGCGCTCCGTCGTGACCTGACCGATGCTTGTGAATTCCGAGGCGCTTTTTGCGGTTGACGTCCAGGCGTTTTGGAACGAGATCGTGAACTGCGACCGGAAACCCGAGTTGACTGAAAGCCGAAGTTCAAGTTGAAATCTGTGACTGGTACATCGCGTCCGGCACCGCGTTGGCGCATGAGCAGGCGCTCATTGCGCTGGTGCGAGGCCATACTGATCTGCTACGTCGCCAGATCATCCATTAGTGCGACCCTGTGCGAACTTCGAAGTGACCACGAAGTCCGCAGGCTGAATTGGGCACGCGTTTCTCGACGCGACGCGATTCGATTCATCGTAGGGTTAGGGTTGTCAGCTTTAAGATCTGCATGAGAAAAGTTGGAGAAACCAAGTCGAGTCCAGTCAACCGGCTTTCACTTGACCTACCTTAACTTCACTTGCGACGACATTGCCCTACTTGAACCTATACTGCGAACGCTGCAGATACATCGCTGGCACTACAAGGTCTCCAGCGTCTGAGTACGCTCGCTCAGCAGACATGCCATGGTACTGGTGGGGCAGCTCCAACTCTGCCTCCTCCACCCCAGAAGAAGCACTCAACCCAGAGCTCAAGGAATTCCTCAAGGAACAATCACCTCGCCCCTATCAAGCCGCAGAGCCTCCCAAACCGAAAGCACCTGTCGCTAAGGCACAACCCGAGAAGCACCTCCCCGACACCAACAAAATCCACCCCGACCGCCCAGTCCCCGCCGAGTCCCTCTTCCCAGACGGCCGCTACGCCCACCTCTGGAAGACCTACACTCCCAGCGCCGAAATCAATGCTCAAACCCTCACCCCAGTCGACCGCATAACCCAAGGCCGCAAAGACCGCACCACCTCCCTGCACCGCGCCGCACTAGAGAATTGCGCCTTCGAAGACGAAGTCCGCACGCAATGCCTCGCCGGGGTCAACATGGCCAGTCGCTTCAAGGGCACGCTGACGATGTGCGGCGAGGAGAGTCGAGCGTATACGCGCTGCTACCAGTTGCAGGCCAAGTTCCTGCAGGCGTTGGGGTATATGTCGAGTCCGATGGGCGGGATGAGGGATGCGGAGCATGAAGAGAGGATACAGATGCATGCGGACAAGTTGTATCATCGCATGATGGACTACGAGGCTGCGGTCGCACACGCGAAAGCGCATTGTTTGCCGATTCCGCCTTTGACGAGTGTCTTTGATGCCTCGAGGCCGGCGCCGACGGCTGACCAGATTGAGGTTCCGGAGAATCTGCGCGCAAAGATGAGCGGTACACCATTACACGAGCTTCCACCACAGGAGCGTGAGCTAGCGGCTAGAGCGGCGCTGACGGAGGCAAAGATTAAGCATCAGGCGGCAGGGGAAGTGTTTGAGGGTCTGAAAGAGATGAACGAGGCGCGTATGCGGCGGCAGGCGATGATCGCCAGGTTTGTTGGAGAGCCAATTGCCAAGTTCGTCGTCCCGGATGCCGACGAGGCGGCTGATAGGGGAAAGACTTGAGAGGACTCACAGCAGGCAAGAGCCAAGACGGCGGAAGACGCTTCACCGTGAACCAGATCATCGACCTGCTCCTGGCGCACCAGCGACCGTTAACATTAAGCGTCACGTACTTGTACTGGGCAAGAAATAGGTGGACAGTCCTGCCAGCCCCGAAGTACTACAGTACAACCATCTCGACCAGGTTTTGCGGCGAGACAGATTGACTTCGCGTGGGCGCCTCACCTAGGGATCTCCATGTCTCTCTGACTCTGCAACACTTTTCAGAGTCCACGACAGCACCCGCTACATTCCTCCGCCGACCGCCATGACTTCACCAATCACAGTCTGATCGACCCAAACGGCGGGTGGGAGTCGAGGCCGTGGAGATATCGCGGACAGTAGCTTTTGGTACACAACCAGGCATGGAGAGTGTGCATGGCATGCTGTTAGCGCATTGATTAGCCGTAGAGGCAGCAGTGACGCGGAGAGGAACTGGTGGAGTGGTTTGAGAGAAGTTGGACTCGGAATGGAGGGAAGAGAAGTGCGAAACGAGAAGCAGAACACCACGAAGACAACAATACATAGGCATTCACGACAGCATTGTTCACTCTCAACGAACGCTACATGCAATTGATATGCTTTCTGCTCCCCAGTCTTCCACATCTCCGCTCCCACTGTATATTCCCCTCCTGTCTTCAAGCCCAACTCTTTGGTCACGAAAAGTCATCATCGAAAGGCTTGTCACTCAATGACACTCCCTGCTGCTGCGCGCTTTGTCCACCGATGCTGTCAGCCGTTCCCTGCCTCGTTCCCTGCCTCCCTCTCGCTAAAGGTGCGCTTTTCCCACTGCCAGCGGCCGAGCGCTTCAGGCTGCCGCCTCCCACTTGCGCATTCTGGCCAAACGCAGCCTGATTATTCGCTAGCGCAGCCTTCCGCTGTTGAGGCGAAGAAGCGTGATCAGACAATTCGTCGTCTGAGACAGGCGGCGGGATATGCGGGCCCGGGCCGCCGAAGGCGGACATGTTCATCTTCAGGGAGGTGGGCGTGTTCAGCGCCGAAGGCGAATCCGTCAAACCCGAAGCGGTGGTGGCTGTAGGGGTGCCGTTTGCGGTATCGACTTTGGGCGCCGCTGATGCCGGCCCGCCGGCGTTACCAGCAGCCACACTCGGCTGTCCCTGCGTGATAGCCGCCAGCTTATTATGCGCGTCCGCATTCCGATTCTGGACTGGACTCGAGTCCAAACTCCCGGGCACTTCGAGACTCGTGCGCTTGTTGGGCAGCGACACCCTTGCTCCAGCGTCACGATGAGCAAACGTCGACTGATCCGGCCTCGGACTAGCAACAACCGGAAAGCGACCTGCTGATATTGACCCATCAGTGGATTTGTCTCTGCGGTGCCGATTCGTCGGCGCGGGACTCCTATCCCTTCTCGCCTCCGATATGGCCTTCGCGCGTGCTCCATATTTGCTCGCCTGTTACTCTCATCCGGCGCGTGTATGCTGGGGGTATTGTCGCCGTTATGATTGTTCGCACTACCACTCACCGCCCGCGTCCTTCCCCCAATACTATTGCTCGCACTCAACGTACTCGACTGCCGCTTCAGCTCCCCAAAAATAGCCTCCTTGTGCTCAAACAGATCACGGACGAGCCGATACGCATGCCGATCCTCCAACGTCAACGTATTCTCCGTCCGCGGCCGCAGTATACACGGCGCCAACACGTGCGCCAGCTCGCCCACATACGCATCATCCGCACTCGTGAGATCAATCAGTCGTGTGAAGTGTGTCGTGATGGCGTCGAGGGTGGCGATGTTGTTTAGACGTAGTTGGCCTAATGTGCTCTGCAGGACTTTTATCCTAGGTGCGGAGTCGACGGAGTCGGAGGATATGGGGTTGGGTGTTGCGTCGGAGGTGGTGGCGTAGATTGTTTTGATGATTTCATAGACCTGGCTAGAGACTAGAGAGTCTGGGAGTTCGAGAAGGTAGAGTTTGAGGACGGATGCGACGATGGGGATCTCGTAGCGCTCGAGGACTTCGCGGGGGATTTTGTTCGCGCTGCTGCTACTGCTGCCGTTTTCGGGAGTCTGGTTGTGGTGGTTGAGCTGGTTGCGCAGGTGGTGAGTTGCGGCTAAGGGCACGTCGACGAGCCAGATGCTCCGACGGGCTTCGTCGCCTTCGAGGTCCGGATAGTGGTTGTCGAGGAAGGTTAGGATAGAGGTCACGAGGACAGGGACGCGTTTCCGATCGGCGCGGGCACGGGCTTCGAGGTCCACGCCGAAGATCTGGTCGTCGACGCTGCCGTAGTAGTTCTCGTAGGGGGTCGGACGAGGGACAAAGGCGCCGACGCGGTAGTTTTCGAGAAAGTACCGAAGGTCGCTGAGAGGATTGATAGTCTCTTGGTATAGGACCATGTTGTCGACTTGTGACTGAAAGGAAGGGATGCTATTGGAGATGGCGCCGGAGAAGTCGAGAATGACGGATTTGATGGCTTTGAGGCGATCGGTTTCGCAGCGCTCGAGGAATTTTAGGTGGTCCATCATGGATTCTTCGAGATTGCAGCGAAGGAGGTCTAGGCGGCGAATGGCGGCTTTGTATTTCTCGTCGGCGTCTTTGGCTTCTCTTCGTAGTCGTTCGCTGGGTGTCATGTTCGGGTAGGGATTATTTAGTGGGTTCCATGCCTGCAGGGTCTCGGTAATGTTGGCGACGGGCGAGTCGATGCTGCCGGTGTCTGAGCCGCCGGAGCTCACTCTTCCCAATGGCTTCTTTTTCTCCGGGATGCCTGTAATCTTGAACACTTTTGTCTTCCATTGGTACCTCATACGTGAGCTGTTGGCGAATGTGCTGCCTACACTCCCAATCAGTCTGAGGAATCCCCTGTCGACCAGATCCTGGCCCATCTTCTCCGCGTAGCCCACGCTTGATGCGCCAAGGTGTTTCTGCAAGAAGTCGACGATGTCTGTGCCGGCTGAGACGTTCTGATATGTGCCTAGCACAGGCACCTTGAACTCTGAGATGGGTATGGTATTCAACATGGCCGTCAGCGCCTCTTTCATCCTCTCCGGTGTGAACGTCTCGTCTCCCAACTCGACCGGTAGTTCCTCGTCCTCGTCAGGGAGAATGATCTTGGGTGGCGGACTTTGCTTGGGGCTACCCAGCTCGGTCTTCTCGGGCTCCTTAAACGCCAGTTTATTCTCCTCCTCTTGATCCTCCACCAGTCTGCACTTGTTGAAGTATTGACTCCGCAGCTTCTTGACAAGATCTGCCTGACTATCATGCGCCTTGATTTTGGACTGCAGGTCGTCCTGCGAATTCTGGACCCGCAGCGCATGTGCGTCGCACCATCTCCCGAAAGGATACACGACCAGCTCGCGGATGTTGTTGGAAATCTTGTGGTGATTCTTGGCCGCTTCGACCATCTCGCCGCGGACGCCTTCATATGCCTAGCCTCTGTCAGTACTGGGTTTCCGTATCGATGGCGTCGAACCATTCACCTTCTTCACACTAGCGCCGTCATCTCGTGCAAAGCCATTCGTCATGCGGTCGATAGTCGGCGCAATGTCCTCGAGCCGTTCACTATACAGCTCTTCGGCGTCTGCTCGCATCGTCGCTATCGTAAGGACCTGTGTGTTCTCTATGACGCCCTGCTGTAGCTTCTGGAAGAGTATCCCCAAGCCGCCAGCATAGTCTGCGGACCAGAACGAGTCCACAAAGCCGACTGTCTTGGGCTTCTTCGCCACCGGCGCTGTCGTCTCTGAGGCCGCCATAAGGAATTACTGTGGGCGTACAATCGTGTGTCGTCGCCAAAGGGAAGTAAGAATGGGTCAAAGGTATAGCAATAAGTGATTTCGCAACAGTAACCGCGTTGCGGAGAGGGGGCCAAAGATCGGGGAACTCGCTTGCCGAAGACTCAGAAGAGGGCCAACGTGATCGCTGCACTGTACACACGACACAGCTCAAACGATGAAAGGACAATTGAAGAAGTGGAAGAATGAAGCACGAAAGTTGGAATGGTTGAATTGGCTACTTTGCGCAACGTGAGACAACGCTTCTGCTCTACACATGCTTGCCCATGCTAGCCTCCGAAGAGTCTTGGCAATGATGCAAGCCCCTGAGAACGGCCGCCTCGTTGAGATAATTCGAATTTGTGGACTTGGTTCAGCATGTCAAGACACCTCGACTTGATAGCGAGTGTCTGTGCAGCTTATCCTAGCGCCCTCTCTGACAGTGTTAATCGTCGCTTGCTTTGCGAATACACACACATCATGATCGCTGCTGAAGGTCCATTGCTCAGATGATGCTTCCCTTTCTCAAACGCTTGGGCAGACCCGGTGAGGTCGGAGGAGATACGATGAACCGCTTCGACTTATTGGGCTGTATCCTCCTCGTCAGCAAATGCATTCACTCATGCGTGGAAAAAGGGACAACTCACAGTATCGAAGAACTGTCCGACCGTATCTTTGTCCTCCGCCTTTTCCCGACCATCTAGTCATTGATCCGAGAGACCAAGATCCTCCTCAGCCGGAACGATACGAATGGTATTGGTATGACCCTGACCACCGCGCCAGCCTTGCACGCAGACCACACTGTCGCCTTGTGTGAGGACACCCAGCTTGATGGCCTGGCTGATACCCCACTTGAGACGTCGATCCACGTCCTCCTGCCAGTCGGTGCTCTTGAAGTCAGGCTTGGGTTCCTTGAAGTGGAATGGGTAGACGCCGCGGTACAAGTGAGCATAGCGTGAAGCTGTCTCGTTGCGAGTGATCATGATGATGGGGCAGACTGGTCGGTATTTGGACACGATCCGAGCTGATTGACCACTGTCTGGGATTAGCTGACATCTAGCTTTGCGCTTTGTGGACTTACCTAGTGGTTAGGACCAAGATCGCACCAGCGCTCAACTCCATACTGGCACCCACGGCAGAGATGGCGATAGACTCCATGGGGTCGATGGGCCGCTTGCAGGCATTGCGGAGTTCGTCATAGGCATTGGCGTATGGGATAGCCACCTCAGCTTGCAGACAGGTCTCGTGCATCATGGTGACAGCCTCCTTCGGGTAGTTACCCTTAGCTGTCTCACCAGACAACATGACACAGTCCGATCCATCGAGAACAGCGTTGGCAACGTCGGAAACCTCGGCACGAGTAGGTCGAGGATTGGTGGTCATCGATTCCAACATCTGCGTGGCGCAAATAACAGGCTTGCCGGCCAAGTTGCATTTAGCGATCATCATCTTCTGCGCGATGAAGACACTGGGAGCTGGGATTTCGATACCGAGATCACCACGAGCGACCATGACACCGTCAGTCTCCTTCAGAATATCGTCGAAGCTGTCGACACCTTGCTGGTTCTCGACCTTGGCGATGATCTGGATGTGGTCCTTGTCATCTCCTGCTTCGCGAAGGACTTTGCGAATGTGCTTGATGTCATCGCCGCTGCGGATGAACGAAGCAAAGACCATGTCGACGTTGTTCTTGACACCAAACTGGAGATCGGCAATGTCCTTCTTGGACAGAGCCGGCAGGTCCACCGCGGTGCCTGGGAGGTTGACACCCTTGCGCGAGGAGATATTGCCATTGTTGAGGGCCTTGATGCGGATAGTCTTTTCGTCGATTACGTTCAAGACCTCAAATGACTGGATGCCGTCATCAACGTAGATAAGCTTGCCGGGCTCGATGACCTTGGTGATGTTCTTGTAGTCCACATACCTTGGACTGCTTAGTACGTATGCCGTTTGAGGAATACAGGCTCTTACAGATTCTTGTCGTCACTGGCAGTGGCATATTTGTCATCGGTTGTCAGGTTCAGCTCCAGACCGGCCTTGATGGGGATATCGCCGTCGCCGGGTGTGTTACCCGTTCTAATCTCAGGTCCTTTCTGTCATACTGATCAGTACATCGTTCGGAGGCCGAAATGGAGCACTCACGGTATCAAGGGCAATAGCGACAGGACGACCGGGCAGGTCCTTGGTGGATTGACGGACGTTGTCGATGACAGACTGGTGGTACTGCGCACGTTAGTACAGTATCCAAAGTTGTGTCCAGGTGAAGCATACCTCATAGGAGCCGTGGGAGAAGTTCATGCGGGCAACATTGAGACCGGCTGCAATTCATTAGTCCTTGCCTTGCACAACCTTGCGACGAGCATACCTTTGCGGAGCATAGAGATCTTCTCTGGCGAGTTTGTCTTGGGTCCTACCCTCCGGTCAATTCTTCTTGCCTCGTCTTCCGCGGAGGTGGCATACCGATGGTGCAGATGATACTAGTGCGGCGGTGAACCTTCTTGGGGACATAGTCGGTTCTCAACGAAGCCGACCATTCTAGCTTGGTACGGTTGTCGAGGTGAGCAAGAGCGTCAGCCATCTTGACAACGATTGCTTCAAGCAATTTTTGAGGGATATGGTATGAGTTGCGTCAAGGGCCGCAGGTGGTGAACTACACGCTGCTGCGGTGGCCGGGCCTCCAAAATAGTTAGCTATGCTGAAAGCAGTGCGTATTCAAGGCTTTTGTGCAGAGGAAACACTCACAGAGTATGGAAGGTGCTTTGCTTCACAGTTGCTTCTGGTGTAAGATATCAGTGGTATCCTCCAGGCCTGCAATGGTTGGGAGCAGCAATCGTAGCAATCGCAGCCAAATCCAGCAACAATTTTTGAGTTCGATTGGAGGGTCACCCACGCGTTAGCAAAAGAAAGTTGATCCGGGCCGCTTATCTGTGCCTGGAAAGCTACTAAGTAAGCTTAGGACAGGCTGCTTTTGGGTCAGTAATAGGCTCAATAAGCGTGGGCTTTTGGCTGGTTGAGAACCACCTGCAGCAAGCTCAACATCTTGGAGGGGCAGAACTCAGAGGTGAAGAGGGGCCGGCATAACGTATCTCCGTATCTCCGGCGTGCTCTTGGTGGTCTAGGGCCACCGTAGCCGAACAACCACCAACCACATGCACATGTCACTCACCTTTACTAGGCTGCATTGTAGTGTACTGACCTTCCCAGTCACACGACCCTGAACATCTCGCATCCACATCGTCGATAGTCCTCCAGGATGGTTGTACGTCGTCGTCGTGTCCTCAAAGGAGCGCGTTGCTGATATGTACCAGCTCGGCCGGATCACGCACTACGCATTCGATGCCGTCCTTATAAGCACAGTGCTTGCTGGCATCAAGCGCAGTAAGACCCACGAGCAGGCCTGATCGTGAATGAAGCTGACTGGCGCTGCGCGACAGGTACCGGACTGACGTGAGTACATCCCAGCGTGGTCTCTGCTTGGGCTGCGTGGGCGCGAGTGCCAGTGCTCCGCACAGAGCGTCTGACTGTTGAAAGTGTAAGAGTGCCAGACTGACTGACACAACAGCCCGACTAGTCTCAAGGCATCGACAGTACCCGCGCAGACCAAGTTCCCGAACCCGAACAGCGAGACGGAGCAAACGGTACAAGTCTGGCTTGATCGGTATCTGGGTGTGGGCGAATGGATGATGGACACAAGCATTGCGTTTATGTCGAGTAGCTCCTATTTCGAGCGGAGGCGATGATGAAGACAAGATGTGTGTTTTGATGCATGTACCGGATATGGCAAGGGCGAATGGGCTGGCCGGGCAATGAAAGGAGTTCCTGGCGCTTCAAGGCTTGTTTCGGATGAATGGGTGGAATACCGAGGCTATACGTCAAGCGAGGGACAGGATATATCGACTCATGCGTTGGGAACGAAGCACGGCTCGACAGCAGATCTGAGCCACGATCAAAGGTATAGCAGGCAGACGAGATCTGATGGTGAAGTCACTGTGGGAAGGAGCGACGTGCAGTGGGCACGTGCCTCCTGCGGCAGACATCGGACTTCATTTGAAGTACTTCCGCGAATTGGAAATTCAGACGCTTCTCAACTTCAACGCACAGCTTGCTCGGTCGTTGGCATTCCGAGGACCTGAAGCGCTATATTGATTCAGATGTTCAGCGACCATTTTCTCACATTGTCCAGCACTGACACAACAGGCAACTCAACTTTCGAAGCTACAGGATGATCTAAACAAACCTCGCTTCAGACCTTCATCTCATAGTCCTCCTCAAACCCAGCCGCTCTCGACCCATGAAACGCTTGATCAACGACCTCATCAATATCGACCCGCTGATAGTACGAAATATGTCCAAACGGTAGCCAATACTGCGCCAGCCGATCATGGTTGATCATGAAAAGTTGTGAAGGTATGAACTCATCTGCAACAAGGGTCAGCAACAGCGGCAAAGAAAACTTCAGTATACTCACCATGCACAAACCCCCGCGCCGCAACATGCCCCCTCGACCTAACAACTCTCGCTCCCCTGAACGGCTCCTCTGTAGCGATTCTCACAAAGCCTTTCTGCCCAATATCATCCGAAATAAACGTATGCTCGCCTCTCGGCACATTTGGATCACCCGTCAACTTGACAGCCTCCAACGCGCCCGTGAAAATCCTCTCATCATCTCGCCGCCGCATCCTCCGGAAAGGAGTCAATCACCTCCTTCGAAAGGACCTCCGTCTCCTCTAGCGCCGTCAACGCCGTCGTCCCAGCCGCCAGCCCCGACTCCTCATCTAAATATCCCTCCACATCACCTTCCCACAGACCCCTCTCCCCCAGAATACTAATCCCTCTCCTCTCCGGCGGCCTCGGCGCCCGCTCCGTCTGCATCACCAACAGAAACTCACACCCATGACCCGCATAATCCCCCACAAAGATCCCCTGATACGGCTTCTCCTTACTCGGCCTATACAACCCCTCATCCAGCGTACTCCACGTACTAACCTCCTCCTCCATCCTGACCCCAAACCTCGTCCGCCCCGCCGCAAATTGCACCCAATGCCTCATCCTAAAACTCGTCTGACTGATCTCCTCGTACCGCTGCGGCCTGTGCTCCTTCCCCCTAAACCCATTCCCACTACTCCCCGCCCTGACCCTCTTCATCCCCGGAATCGTCCGCGGCGGCCACACCTCCATCCCCGAATACCCATCCACCTTAACATCCCTCGCCAAAAAGAAACTCGCACTCGTGTTATGTCCCGGCCTCCCCACACTCATCTTCATCTCCCCCTCCCACCACCCCTGCCTCTGCATCCCCACACTGCTCCTCCCCTCATCATACTGAGCATACGGCAACTTCAACACCGGATCGTCCAGCCACAGCCGCACCCTCGGCCGGAACGTATCTATCCTAACACCCAAGTTCCGTCTCCAAGCCATCGTCTTCCCGGCCCCGCGCTCCGCGATCAGCCGGTACCCCTCGATACACCCGCGACGGGGATCGAAGCGCGCGATCATGACTTTGCCCATGTAGGGGTCGTCGCTGACCCAGATTTTGCGGCGGGGCACGAACCAGTAGGGGTGGTGGGAGATGTAGAGTTCTCTATACGTCGGCGCTGGGTACGGGGAGCCGGAGCCAGAGGGCACGTCGTGCGACGACTCTGGCGGGAGTTGCTCCCGCAAGAGAGCCGCCCACAACAGATCATCATCGTGCACGCAGTGTGTAGCAGTCGCGCCGTACGCGCTGTGCGCGCGAGATCGAGGGGCGAGAGGTACGAAAGGACTTGTTGGAGGACTTCGCGGGGGAGGTTGAGCAGTGGGGAATGCTGCTGTATGGTCGGGTCGTCGCGATCCTCAAGATATTGGGTGACGCTATCAAAGGAAGAAGTCATGGTGCTGTCGCTGTCGCTGTCAAGAGAAGAAGAAGTCGGTGCGTTATCGTCGCTTGCGGCGGCGGGGCGCGCCCCTCCGCTGAGGTATTCGAGCAGGCCCATCGCGGAACAGGAATGGAAACGACAGAAGCCAAGATTTACGACGTGTTGCGCATGCTCATAAACTCATGAATAAAGACAGAGAGCCCTATTATGATCCCGGCGAAAGACAGAACGTGTAATCAGAACGCACGCACGAGACCCTCCCGCCCTCCATCAGCATCATCGAACACCGAAGCACGTCTTCGATACCGTCATTATCCGGAGATAAAAAGTCGCGAGGGGTCCTTTCGGCAAACTGCAGTGTAACACCCCACGGTCCCAGCGTTCATGGCCCCCATCAGGCTTGCCCCTGAATCGTCAATCATGTGAGGCGTAGCAAACGGTATATGACTTTGATAGTATCTGCTCGACAGTGCCAACTCGAGGTATTTACCCTTCCCAAGTAAGGATACCTACTTACTGCAACGCCGAGAACTTGGTCGGCGTCAAAAACGTATTCGACACCTTTGCATTAATCGGCCCATCCTTCTCACTATTCGCTCTCGCCTCGATCCACTCCGGATCACTGAAAAACGCGTTCCATTTCTGCTCTCGGTCCGCCAGAGACTCCCATTTGAGCATGTATGTTAGGATGTTGGTGTCTGGGCCGACGAGGGTGTTCCTGTGGGAGAAAGGGTAAGCACGAGTATCAGTATCAGCATGACGTGTTTGGGAATTTGCAGAAAAGGGCATGGGATGGAAATGGGAACGTCGTACCAGAAGCCCACTTGCTGGATACCATGCTTTTCCCAGATTTTGATGGTGTGGTTCTCGAAGCGGGCGAGCAGGTTGGGCATGCGACCTTGCTGGTTGTCAGCTACTAGATACAGGTTGATCATTGCTTTGTGCCAGGTCTGGTGCTGACCTGGTACCACAGTGTACTCTCGCAACTCGTAGATCGTCATCTTTCGTGGACTTTGCTGTGGTCGAGCTCGTTGGTTGTGTCGTTTCCGCTACCTCTCTTGCTGTTCGGAATCCAGACTTTGGTGTCGGAGCTGTCGGATCAGCGATCTGAAGTGATGTACAGCAGATGCGACATCTCATGTCCTACATTAGTTGCGCTTGACAGTGCCGTGGTGACGTTTTGAGGGGTATGGTTGGGGTATCTGTGCCTAGGTAAATAAGTATACTGGGACGAACGGAAGCCATCTCCAATCTATTGGGGAAGTCCGCATTCATGTGTGCAGCACGAGATGCGTATACCAGAGCTCATTCATGATCGTACACGACTAGAGGGTGACGATGCCAATGGTCTTGCATAAGCCTTACAACATGAGTAGGCGAAATGGAGTAGCACTGAGCCGGATCTTCGATAATGCTACCACAAGTTGAGATCATTTCAATGGATCCGATATATCAATCCTCCTAGGCCGAGCGGGCTGAGTCGGGCAAACACCATTACGTGCTCCTTCCCAAGCCTTCGATGATCCAGCCCAGAGGGGCTCTGAAGACCGGTGGAGTGGCGCCTTGCTCCTTCAACCTCCATCTAGATGCCCCTAGTCCTCTAATCCTTCCCATGCATCGTAAGGTAAGTGATATGTATTAGGCAAGGCGCTTGGTCCTGCAAGCGTAGTTGGAACTGAAAGCACTCCACCGACCTGCTAGCCATAGCAGTCGGTCATCTCGCCTGAAAGTACCGTCCCGGTCTGGTACGCTTGCCTTCAGACACGCGTAGGTATGGCCGTGGACGATAGCAGCGTTGCCCTCGACTCCCGTCCTTGGTAAAGCACTCATCAGTAGTTCCCTCCACCCGCATAGCCCTGAAAGCCAGGAGGTGCCATCCCTCCTCCACCGCCTGGCCCGCCACCTCCGCTGCCACCGGCTGGCGGCTGCTGCTGCATCAAAAATGTCTGACCCATCTGGCCCGAGTATATGCTTTGCTGGTGTTGCTGTTGAGGGGACATCACCATCGCCGGCCCCCGTCCACCACCAAAACCGAGTCCATGCAACTGTTGCTGCTGCTGTTGATGCATCTGCATTGGCGCTGGTTCCGGGAACTTGATATGGAACATCTGCACTAACCGCCTGCCAATGCTAGGCTCGATCTCAGTGCCGTCGCGCGCGATCTTGACTTCACGGTTCGCGTTCCAAGGGTTTCGTAGACCTCTTGTACGGAAGAAAGGGAGTCGGTCTGTGCTCAGCCATTCGATCTTGAAGGGCTTGCCAAAGGATTGAGGAGTGGGCGACGGGAGAGTGGCGCTGGTGGAACTCTCGTAGCCCGTGCCTTCAGCGGAGGAGATGTTACCGCTGCCTGAGGGTACAACTTTTACTGGGTTTGCCTCGGCTTCTGTGGTCTGCGTGTCGTCTTTTCCTGTAGGCTCTGTGATAGCATTAAGCGCTTCCCAGAATATGGTGCCTCGTGAAGAGTCGTCTATTATGCGACCGCGTGGCGCAGTCGCTGTCGGTGGTGTGATTATTGCAAGTGGTAAGTCCCCCGGATTGGGACTTGGTGTCGTAACAGGGTCATTAGTCGTGGGAGCTTTGGGAAGAACTTCCGTCTTTGCGGCTGCCTCTTCGTCTCCGATTGCTGATGCCATTTTGGCGTAGCCGAAGTACTCGCCTGATTTGTTTGCTGAGAATATAAGATAGACATCATCGGCAGACTATGTATGTGTCAGTGTTTGTAATGCAGGCACTGGCTGCGCGACTTACTTCGTATGCTTTCGTGAGAGCTGCCTCGTTGTGAGCTTGAGTCGCCCACACGCCGCTCTGCACACTCCGTTCGAGATCTTCCAGCGTCAGGCTCTTGACCACGAAGAACTTCTCCTTCACTCGTTCTTCCGGCTGCGCTGAACCTTGTTCTATTGGCGATGTTACATTCTGCCTCTCCGCTTCTTGCTGAGGAGATGGCGAAGTGTTGCTACCACGACGCAACCGACACACTAATCGCACACCCTGGAACCGTGTCTCGTGGAAGCGACCCATTGCTGCCTGGCAGCTTTCTTCTGACTTATAGTTGACGAAGGCGCAATTGCTCTTGGAAATGAGGAAGACGCTTTCGATGTCTTCTGTAGCGTCTCGCGAGAAGTAGTCCTTGAGATCCACGATATTCGTCCCGGGTGGCAGATTGCCAACCCATAACGCGAAACCCGATTGTCGAGGCTTTCTGGGAGGTCCACGTAGAAAGGAGGTCGAACTGGCATGTGCTGAAGAGCCCGAACTTGCTCGAGTCACTGTGACACAGGTCAGCATCTTTCTCGGCTTCGCACAATGGCATTGTTCGAAGTACTTACTTGGTGGTTGCGGATTCTGGTACATTCCTGGTGATCCGCCGCCACTCCGCATGTTATGTCCGCCTCTTATAGGATAGGCAGTGTATTGTGAAGATGGAAGAAGGTGCTGGTTTGGCGCATGATATGCTTGAATGTTCTGGACCATTCCTTGTGGGACCTGCTGGCCCGCGCTTTGAAACGTCTGGGTCGAGATCGGAACACCTGCATAATTTTGCCTCGACTGTGACTGGTAGTTCTGGAAAGCCGGACCTGCTGTGTTGGGGTTGAAGCCTGCGCCAGTTTGTCCGGCAAACTGTGCGCCTGAATAATATTGGTACATTGCGCTTTGGCCACCAGGGTACTGCTGAAACGACTGTTGTTGTTGGTTGCGCATGGGCAAGGTCGGAAGAGCGCCTGCGAGTGAGCGCATGTCCATTGGAATGGCGTTAGTCGCACCTGCCGCATAGCGCGACTGCCCAAAGGCGTCGTAGCCCATGTTGGGCTGAGCGACACCAACGTTCATGATCGAATGTAGTGGTGAGCCTGCATCAAAATGAGCGACAGTATTGCCGTCAGGTGGTATCACATACCGTCTGGAGTGAGTCTGAGGTTATTATCCGGCGGCTGGTTTGGCCCATCTCCCATGCCTGCCAGATCCTCTATGATCACGGGTAGCGGATGAAACCAAGACTGAACATAGTAATACGCCATAAGTCAGCGCATGTTGGCAACCGAGTGGTGGCAAGGAACATCCTCTCGAGACGAACTGACCTGTGAGCTTGATATGAGAGCCGGAAGGGAACCCCTTTGAAGGTGGTCTTCAAGTACCAGAGCGGGCGTGTAAGCTTCCGAGGTGGTGAGAGGCTCGTGCCGTCCAGATGGGCTTGTGTTCGAGTGTTGTCGACCAGTTCAGAAGCCGAAAAGGGTAACGATCGTGTGTGTGGACTCGAAAGAGAATCAGTCCGCCAGTGCTTGACGGAGAGATGAAGGCTGGTATAAGAGTGAATACAACGAACGATTGGCTAACTGCTGAGACAAAGCTAAGGCAGGTACGGGAATAGACAAAGGTGTTCGAGAATGTCTGACAACACTGGCGTGAGGTGACAATCCTCTGTGACCGGTGCCAGCGATGGTAGTTCTTAACAGATCTCGAGGCTGTGGGGCCGGCCAGTGAAGTAGTCCAATTCCTCAGGGTCTGTGTCCGAGTGTCTTGAAAGAGACGACTCTCTTGCGTGATTGGCGTGACTTAGGCAGAACGGCTCGAGGTTAGTGACTGCCGGCGTCCGGCTCCATGATAGGGCTCTGTCTGAATGAACGACAACGGCATGACCGAGAGGTGATCTTCCTTAATAGGTGAGAGTCATGGTTGGAAAGTCTCACTAGGCGAAGGAACAGGGGTCTATACTGTATAACAGGGGAAGATGCGCCACAGATTGGTACGTATGGAGACCTGTGGCTGCTTCGTTCGAATTTATCCTGAACTAAACCAGTCGTGCCATCAGGGTGACCGTCCCGGACGGCGGAGGAAGCCATGCGTGGCACTAGCTGTGCAGGAGCTCGAAGGAGGATCCCAGCAGTCGTCACCTCCAAGCTTAGGAGCATGACATCTCCGAGCAAGGGGAACGATAACGGAGCATTCATGCCTGTGGGTATAGAAGATGGGATTTCGGAATCGCATGATTCGCATCATGTCCAAGATGGAGCACATGGTGGCAAAGATGGGGCTTGTTGGAGGTCTGACTCGACTCTTGTCAAGCCACAGATGCAAATATCGCTCGTCCTGACCCAACTTTTTGCTAATAGGGTTATGCGGAAGAGCGACGAATTCACCGGCGTTGCCCACGTCGCAGCGTTCGTTCGCTCATGCTCGGGACTCTTTCGCTTTCGCTTCCTGGGACGGCAGTAGCAATGCCATAATGGTGGTCTGACGTTGGCGATCTTCAGACTATAGTGAGGAATGGGTGTGGCGGTGCACTCCTTGCAGGCGTCGCTTAAGCCCCGCAAGGTTCTAGATCGTCCACATTATTGAAAGAGCTTGACTTATCAGCCGCTTTGCTCACTTTTGCTACCATAACAGCCATGCCTCGAACCTCGTGTACTTCGTACCCATCGTCAGCTCTACACGACTTAGGGCACACCGAACCACTGTGTCGGTAGGAGCGTTATCGTCGGCTACATGGACTCAGCAGGCCAGGAACAGATTCCGTGGCTCTCTCGAGGTCTGTGCTTTTGGCCTCAGGTTTTGGCTTCAGGTTGCGCACTCTTCCCAAGTACATAACTGTCATCTGCAGCGACAGGAAGAATTCTTCCGGAAGTGTCATCGGAAGGCTACGTCGTTGCCAGAACTGGCAATGATCGTTGCCTGCGTATACCTGTAGTTGGTCATGATGACTAGGTCGAATCATGCGTTTAATTTCAGTTCAGCTGTGCAGGTATCCCGTTTAACCTTCGCGGGTAACGATGCAGATAGCGAGAGCTAGTCGCATTAGTGAACCGTAGTGAACACAAAGCCGTGTCGCTCCTTCTCGGGTGTCATGCGTTAGACGTCTGCTCATGCAGTCCATCATTGCTGTGTTCGGCAAGAACACTCGGGCATCATGTATCTATTGTATCAGAGTGCTCCAGGGTGCTCAGTCTGCGCTATAATTACAACTTTCTGACGATAGCGACCGCTGATCCCGTTGCTTCATTTTGGTTCAGGTCGATATCATAGTGAAGATCTTTTTGCGATTGCCACCCGTTCGAGAAGGCACAGCCACAAGAAGAAGGGTCTGCTTGGCGGGGGAGAGCCCGGTTGGGCTTTGCCGGACCTGGGTCCCGCGGAAATAATCTCCTAGCCAGTGGGATGGACTTCCTGCCGGCAGCTTCGAAATTTTCGCCCCCAGCACTGGTAACTCCGCGCTCACTGCTCACCTTTTGATGCATTCGACAAAGCAGACGCGGGATCCTTTCTCTGACATTGCGTATGCATCCTAAGCAGAGATCAGCGGAACTAGAGGTTTCGGCAAGCCCTTGTATCCCTGCGCCGGCGCCGCCGTTCCCGACGCAGATGACCAACCAAAGTTCTTTTGTCTCTGCACACAACGTCCAGAAGAAATTATGTGCCGGATCCAGGCTTGGCAACATCGCAAGCTCGGATGTGCGATGGGTCTCGTGCGTCGGGTGCACGACGAGCCGTCGCAAAGTCCTTTTGTAGCTCCAGTCCAGCCCGTTACGAGAGCCTTTTGGTTCCCATGCAGAGTACTGCACAGCAATGGGGACCAATAGCTCAGGGGTTGGGCATTCATCTGGGACCACTATCGACATCTGCTGCATGAAGCCGCCCGTCCCGAGAGTCTCTGCGGCTGATGGAGAGCAACGCACAGCAACGAAAACCAATGGTTCAGAAACCGGGTATGCTTTTGGGACCGCTGTCAACATCTGTGACATGATCCCCGTCCCAAGCTCTCACCACTCACACGTGGTGAATAGGTTAGAGCTCACCTGGAACCACTATCAACTCGTGTCGCATGAAGCCATCCGTTCCGAGCACCCACCACTCACGGTTCGTAAGCAGGTGAGAGCCCTTGATCCTCATCAACCATTACAACCTCGTTTTCGTCTCTTCTCGAAACAATCATGCCTAATGCTCCCGGAGCATTTTCCCCTCACAGTTTGCTGCATTTCAGCTCATCGATGATCACACAACAATTGGGCAACGCTGACCCGCAGACTGTTCGAGCCCACCCGTTGCTTATACCGATACTATCTTTCTCCTAGCCCAACGACCTTGCCAGCGAATCTCGAGCCCGCACTACCACGCTTCTGTAACTTGGACGTTGCGCCATCAACAGGCACGATGCCACGGCCACTCACATTGGGCAGAGGACCTAGCGTATCGTTGCCAGGGACCTTGCTGCTTGCTTTGGCGGTCCTTTGCTCGATATAGAGCTGGGCGGCAGCACTGAGTGGGATTGGTGGTGCCTCTGATGGTATCTCGGCACCATTCTGCACCAACAGTTCTGCTATAGGAAACGCCTTTGCTGCTGCCGTTGCGGGCGGCGTCTTCGGTGAGCCAATTGGATTTTGCGGCGTTCCGAGAGGATATGCGGGATCTGCCGCTGCCAATGCCAGCAACACCGAGTGTGTGTTCCGAGACCGATCGTGTGAGTTGACATTTGCCCTTTGTGCGATGGCCTGCAATACGCCTTGCACCTCATTCTTCTTGATGGAAGTCAGTAAAGTGTCGTCCACTGTAGAGTACTGGCTCTGCAGCGGCTCCACAAATTCTCGGTCAACATATTTCTGAGTGATGAACTTCAGACGCTGTTCTCGCGAGCTTCCAGCGTCTGGCTTCATGGCCGGGTCGAGTCTTGCCTCCCAGACCATGTTGCTGATCCTATTGCCAACCAGTAGCAGGAGCTCGACAATGTCATTAGTAAAGGAGTAGATGTCTAGGGTCAAGGACCGAATCTTTGAGACGTGAGTACCCAGAGAACGATGTATGCCACCACATTCGATACACAGCAAGATGGCCAAGTTGAGAGACACCCACTCGACTTTGCTGGACGATCCGCAGTCCGCGCAGAATGCGTTGCCCTGGTCGTTCTTGCGAATTTGTTCCAGCAACTTGGAAGGGTTGTCCTCGAAGCTGCTGCTGGTTGTCCTGATGTACGAGGGTCGTGCACCGACAGTAACACGCCGACTAACACCAGACGTCTCAGGCCTTTGCGAATGTTGAGCGTGACCGTGGTGGTTGTGACCATGACTGATTGATCCATGTTTGCCAATTAGGAGAGATCCGTACTCGCGTGTGGGCGTCTCGGACGTGCTGTGTTGTGATAGTGAGTTTGCACTTCTACCCTCAACAGCACTCTGGAGCGCATTGTTGATTGAATTGATCCAATTTGTCATGTCTTCTTCGCTTGTGGCCTGGTATACGCGCTTGAAGTGAGGCGTAATGACCTCAAAGCAGAAGCGCCGCTCAGCGTCACGCGCCATCCGTACGCTAGCCATACGAAGATCTATAGGCTCACGGTCTGTTGTCTCTCTTAGTCTTCTGTCAGAAGGTTGAGGATGAGTGGGTTCTTACGTAGGTCAAGCCGGTCCTTCCAGTTGCTGTACTCGCTAAGCTTGCCCTGATCAAGCACTATCCAAAACTTGTGCCAAGCTTGTTTGTTTATGCCTTTTGGGTCGATATGTGAACCTGGTTTTGAGAGAGCCCACAGTAGGCCCTCCTTCTTCTGCCCGCCGCTAGATACAAGAGTGGACGCGTTTGACATGTCTCGCTCTTCGAGATCTCGGATGCCCTTGAATTTGTTAGTCGTCGCCGCGGCAGTCGTCGGTCCTGGCGACGTTGACAGTGCATTGTTGCCGGCATGCATAGAATTGCTTGGGGACAGTGTCTTGGCGGTTCTGGCGGCAAATTGCGAGCTGGTGCTGTCGGCTCGACTTAGATCTGTGTCCGATGTGTAGCCTGCTTGACCATTCTGTGATGGGGCAGAAGAGGGGTGCGATACAACTTGTTGCATCGTATCAGTGTCCGGAGATGTCGTCGAATTCTTCTCGAGGTTTCGCCTTTTCTCTTCGCGCTCGGTGCGCTGCAACTTGTAGTCCTTGTCTGTAGCAGAGACTTCTTTGACTAAAGCGTCTAGCTGCGGGGTGAGGGTTTGGACCTTGGCTGAGGTCTTCAAGAATGACTTGGTCTGACTGTCGGCGTACTTGGTCAGCTGCGATAATAGCTCCTGGTCTTTTCGACCTCCATGAAGGTCTTGCATGAATGACGAGTAGTCGAAGCGCTTGAGTTCGAAGTTCTTCTTCTTGGACTGGTACTTAGAATCTATCCTTCATTAGCTTATGTCGATCTCGTGCACATCGCGGTAGGTACTTACCAGATTCCACTCGCTTCTTCTCCTTTAACGAGTCGGTCTTTTGGCCTAGATAGCGACTCAAGTAGGCGTAGTAATCTTTGCTCTCCTCGTCAAAATCCTTCTTTTTCTGATCCGCAGCTTTGATGTCGTTGTTGTAGAGCCTCGAGACGGGTTCGATGATCTGTCGTTGCAGTAGCGTTGCATTTTGCACTTCGTAGTCGAGTAGCTGCTGAGCAATCTTGGTGAAGTAATGGTCTAGGGCGGGCTTGAAGGCACTCGCATTGGACCCTGAAGCGTCCTGGAGAGCGCCGAGAAAGGCTTTCATCCTTGCGTTGCATTCGACTTGAGCCTGATGGGCAGCTTCTGCACCTTTGAGCACCTTTTTGATCTGCACTCGCATGTTGCCTGTCTTCTGCTCCAGCGACTTCATGGTAGCACGAAAGACCGGACCGTCCTCGACGTTACTCATGTCCTCGCCTGGCCGTTGACATAGCACATCGATTATTGGCACAGGCATGGGAGTTGGCTGGCTTGTTGGAGAGAACTCCGTAGACAGTGCGTGTGGTGATGGTGGAGGTATGAAGTCCTCAGTGTCGCTAGCAGTGGACTGGTATGATTGCGAAGAGGCCAATCGTTGGCCTCCTCGATGGACAGGGACCACCAGGTCAATGGCTGGTGAGGCTAGTGGAGTCGGTACAACGGATGCTGCCGGTTTATGCACCCAGAAGGCGAAAGATGCGAGGGTGTTGAGACGATGCGCCCTGGAATCGTATTCCAGGAAACTGCAGCTATGTCTCCAGCCTCCGCCTTTGTCGGTGTTGGGCTTGGGCGGCTTCCACCGCCAGGTCCATTCGAACTCGATCGACGGCGAGCCATTTGTGCTAAAGTCGCCGATGAATTGAACGTTCGAGTTCTTGTGCAGGTTGGGATCGGCATGGAATTCTCTGGTGACTAATGTGTCCAACTCTCTTGCGTTCGGTGCGTAGGCAAAGGTGAGACCGGCGATGTTCGTGTCGGTTGGGCCTGCGATGACCCCAGGCGCTTGGCCCGCCGTCGGCGTCGATGTCTGGCGTGCAACGAACGTGAAACGGAAATCAAGATCGTCTTCCAAATCGACGCGGGGTAGAAATTGGAAAGTCGACGACTCGGGGTCCTGTATGAACGGGACAGGAGTGTCATCTGTTGAGTCTCTCCTGGCGTTGAATCTCGTCGCAGGAAATGCATTGGGTCCTATCTGTATTATGGCTTTCCTACGTCCGTTGGAGATGGTCAGGGAGGAGAGTGTGACTATATCCCATCAGGCTGTCTCCATGCGCAGTGTTCGGGAGACTCACGTCTAGACTGGTCCCTGATGTAGACCAGGGACCCTTCATCGATGCGGGAACTGACATTTCCCATGATGCGACTCGCTGATTATGTGTTGGATCAAGTCGCACAGCGTGAATGAGTGCGCCCGGGGTAGACGCAGAGACTCAGAAGAGGGACGGGGTTCGTCGTACTAAAGTACGGAGGCATGGATGACGGCTGGAGGATTTACATGAGTACATGTACTGTATACATGCTGAGAAAACTACTGCCGTAAGGCTGAATGTAAAAGGATGACTGGCGCGTCGTTTGTCGCGGAGTGGTCGTTGTACGTTGCATCGCCGTTTCTCGAGAACGCAGTTGACTGTCTGGGGGTGGCAGTTGAGTGGTGGAGTAGCGTAATTGAAGATTCAGCCTTCCGCCACCAACCTGAAACACCACCGCGCCCCAGAAGTTCGTTCTTCTCCTTTCACTCCTGCCACGCCTGTTCAGGCTTATGAGACTGCAAGCCATTCAAACATATCCACACATCCACAGGGCGATGTGCCCGTTCAGCTGCTCCAAGCTTCGATGCCTCTGGAGGCCCTATTGGCTGACGTTGTCCTACAACTACTTAAGTACTTACAGTCGTACCTGAGTCTACAAAGGCTTAGCGATGCATCAAGTCACGTCAAGCGGCGTCAGTTAAGCCCAATTGCATTAGTCTGATGGTGCCAGGCACTCTACAGGACACGGAGCTTGGGTCTGCTCCGTCATCTTCAAAAGGTCTGACCAGTGCCGGTAGCGACACTTTTCTTTCAGCATCCACAGAACTTGTTCGGGCAAAAGCAGGGGCTGGAAATCTCGCATTCTGCTACCGTAATCGATATTCTGGGTAGTCGCCTATCTCACCTTACATAAGTATCACCATTGTGGTATCAACAAAGAACAGCCGCATAGAACTGTGATAATGCTTCTTATTCTGACGTCCCCTCTACATATCTGCTTGAGCTTGAACAAAGTCGTGACCGCATTGACCTATACCAGCGCCGATGATCCAAAAAGTGTGATCGCTTAAGCCAAAGAATCGACCCTCCCATTATGCCAACCACCTATCATTAAACAACATCATGTCCCCTACCGAGTAAACGAAACGAACCTCGAGATCCTACTCGGCCGGTCCTGCATCTGAGCCTCCAACTGCCCCTCCCTCTCCTTGACCCCCTGCGGCACATGCCTACTCGTCTGCACCGCCGGCAACAGATCCAACACAAAGCTCAACGCATACAGCGTGAACACAAAGCTCACAATCCACTCGAACACTGCCGCCTCATTATACATATATTTCGCCGAAAAGCTGATAAAGCAGATCGCCAACGCAATCTCAATGAGGATGAAGAACAACTTGATCCAAAAGCTGATGGCCAGGATGCGGTGATGGCGGTAATGAATTCCCAACCGCTGATACTCGGCGCATAGACAGATGGCGGAGATCACATAGCCGATGATGAAGACGCCGAGGAAGACGTCGTGGAGGGTTGGGTGGTGGTAGGTGTCGAAGATTGACAACAAGATAATGCCTGCACCGCCAGCCATGGCGAAGAAGATGCTGGTAATGCTCAGGGCCTTCTGGACGCGGGATGTGTTAGGGGCGAGCTTGCCGTTGTGTCGCAGCCAGCGCTCGGCGAGGAAGGAGAGGTTGAGTGTTACCGCCATGACGGACGACATGGAAATGAAGAGGGGTTTGAGCTCGGTGGCGCCAATGTCGCTGATGTAGGCGATGGTTTGGCGTTGGGCACCGGGGTGTGCGTTGGGATCTTCGTGCATGGCGGGCAGGATGGGTGCGCCGTTGCATACCCACCAGAGAAGCATGCCGAGTAGCATGCCTACCCAGTCGAGGGCGGCTATCATGGGGAGGATTGCTACGTATCCCCACATGATGGCGGTGTTGGTTGTGAAGGTTGTGAAATCGGTATTGGTAAGTTAGGGTTGTTGAACCGGCAGTGCACGGATGTGGCACGTGAAGTAGGTCCGAGGTCGTCAAGAGCAATAGCAGGTCGAGACGAGCGCTGAGATCGCTGCCGCAACAATGTTATGAGCGCAGTCGAGGACGAGGGCAAGGACGAACTGAGGCAAGTGAACGCATCCGGATGGCAGTGGAAGTATATGAACAACCCTCCACCAAAAACAACGCACCCATGGCGTCAACGTGCGAAGTTACCTTTTCGGGTGGACATCATGCCAGCGACCAGTGACGGCGTGACGATGCCAAGTCTTAGTAATGGAGCTTGGTACATCGGAAATCTGCGACGACATTGGCTGATCCAAGCTCTAAAACACCTCAACGTCATTTTAGCAAAGCCTGAATGACCGGCGCCTGAGGCTTTGTCACCACGGGCGATCTGCCGACTTTGTGCCCACAACCTGGATATGGCTCAAAGAGCCGCTGTCCAGGACGAAATAGGGAGTATGTTTAAAGCCGATGCGACGGTGTGGACGAGTCGTGCTGCAACACACGGCATCGGATTCATTACTTTTCCGAGCGAGTACTCGTTGTAAATTCGCAACCCTTTGGCCGCAGCTGTTGAGGCAAGGCGAAACCTGGGGACCCGATTCCTCGGGAGGCTCGGATAGCACAAAACCTGGCCATCTTAGTTTCGATCTCCAGAACTCTGTACATCTTATTGACAGACCCATCCAACGCGTCTATCGGCGAGCTTCACGTACACAGCCTGCACGAGCGCGCAGCATCCTAAGCAAGCAGAATGCTTCGGATCTGCTCTTGCTGCTCGGGACTGACGCCTATTCCAGCCATATACTCTCGAACACCGCCATACTTGGCTCCGAGATATTCCTTGATTTGTGGACAGAAATCAGGAGGACACCGCGCAAAGGACTCGTCCAGTCCAATACTCCTGATCTCTTTCATGCGTTCTTCCTTTTCAGGCTCCAACTCACTTTCTGAAAGGACGTAATCTGAGGAGATCGCGTCAATACTGACATCGCAAAGCATCAGTGCTAGCATCACGGTGATGCCTGTTCTGTCCTTGCCCTGCGTGCAGTGCACCAGGACTGGGTAAGCAGTTTCGTCGCTAAGCACATCGAACACTTTCTTGACCTCTGGTCCACAGTAATCCAGAGTGTCTCTGCCCAGCCCAATGAGCCCACGAGGCTGCATCACTTCTCTACCCAGAATGGCGATACCTTCCGTCCGGTAGCCGAGCGCCATGTTGTATATCAGACGTGCAAGGCTGATGTACTTGAGTCGCCAGACCAGCGATCGCTCGAACCCCTTGCCATTCAGATTGATTTCTTCGTACTTCAACCCGGGAATTTTAGGCACTCCCGCAGCAGGATCTCGCGATGTCGGTGTCGAAACTTTGTCTGCTTGCTGATGCTTCTTGGCCGCCATGATGTGCTCTGTGTCTGATCTGAGGTCGATTATGGTTTTGATGCCAACAACATTGGCCACAAAATTCTTGTCTGCGGATGATGCCTCATCTGGACGCGCACTGCGGAACAGTCGCTGCGGCTTCAGCTTCGGCGCCGACCCAGCGTTGCAGTTGTTCACGAAGCTGCCTACATCACGGAAGTTGAGGACATTGGTGAGCGCGGCTGCCTTCCCAGTTTCTTGGCTCGCCATGGTGACGCGACCTGAGCGGTAACGAGTGCTCTTTCCTCCTCTTCTTACCATACTAGAGCAGCTGCCATATCTTCCATTTCAACCATCCACAAGACCTGCTCAAGCTACAAAGATTGTAATGGTGAGATCTCGAACAATAGTTTTGTTACTTTATGGGGTAACCACCCATGGTTATGCCTGTGGCGTCATCGCTCGTGTCCAACGGTCCAGGCCATGCCAGGGATGAAGCGGATACTCTAGAACATCGTCACGATCAGGTCCTTGACGATTTGCTTGACGAGCACACATCGATTTATGCTGTCGTTACGGACAGCAACTACTGATGTACTCTCCCGCATCGCTTTCGTAGTCACAGAGAACCTGATCTGACCAACCAGCTCTTCCGAAGCAGGACGTGATGACCAAGGCGAACTGGAGCTTTGTGAGACCCCCGGGTGGCTTGAGTAGTTCGCCCTCTGACGTAACTGTCAACTCAGCAATCCTCTAGATGATGGTGTGCAGCTCTCATTAGTGCCAGAGGTTGCTGTTGCTGCATGATAGATCCGTAGCTTTCATCATTTATACTATACCATCATCCTGTATACTATATGCTATAGCTTTTTGTACGCGCAACCGACTTCATCGCAATGCCGGCCGTTGCGCAGTCTGGGGCGCACCCCTCGGACCAAGATTCGGGTAGGTGACGCCGCTTGTCCACCCTCTCTCTCGCTTATGTGAACGACGGGCTGAAAGTGACATAGCTGCCTCCGCCGCATTGAAAGTGCACCGAGACTACTCACAGAACTCGACAAGCCAATCGAGCTCTATCCTCGACAAGGACGGTCGCCTGTCTACTGCATCTGCTGCCACTTCGTTGAAATATGCCCGCGCGCAGGATCTGCCCTCGTTCCCATCTCAAGGAGGCGTCAAACTAGCTTCCGCTGGTGCCGCTGCGAGTCTTGCAAACGACAATCAGAAGCCCTTCGAGCACTGGAAACCCGACGCCATCCCAGCTGCGAATAAGGCTGCGCTTCAGGCGAAAGACTACAAGATGAATCCATTGTGGCAACCAGAGGCCAGTAAAGCGAGCTCGAAAGCTGCCATGCAAGCGCATAGTAACACAACGAGCCCCTCGATATGGAAGGCCTCGGAGACTGAGCATGGCATGTCGGCCGCTGGTCAAGCGCATGCCTCACAGAAACCGGTCAAGCCTATCACCAACCGCGATGTCGCACCCAGTGATCATAGAAAAGCTTTGCTTGCTGCGACTGGTGCTATGTCTGGCAATCGGCGGAGATCAGGATCAGCACCCATGGCGCCTCAAGCAGCAACACCGCCATCGCAGTGGGCTCTGAAAGCAGCCAACTCAACCCGTTTGGCAAGTCCGCGTGCAGCCGAGTTCGCTGCTGGCGACCCTGGCTTCGAGGCCGCAAGAATACAGAACATTGCTAAGAACAACGTGAATCGACAGATGTACGGATCAGCACCACCTGTATCGATCGAGGTAGAAGAAAAGGCCAGACAGGACATGCTCAAAGCTTCAGCAATAGCAATGGCGAAGAAGATGTATGCGATCCAACAAAGTCACATCGATGACGCGAAAGGCTGCAAGACGTCTGACAGCATGTCCGGAGCCCGCGTCGCTCGAAACCGTGCCATGTCAGATGCGTCCAGCAGCTTTGGCAGTTCTGACGCTGCACCAGGCCGTGGCTACGAGAACTTGCAAGAGGCTGCCACAAGACTAGCACAGGAAAAGCTAGCCAAGCTCCACGACGAGCATGCAGAGTATCGGCAGTACTACGGTCAGGGTCAACAGCCATCATCACCACGCAGCAAGTTTGCTTTGGGTCGCAGTCACCGGCGAACTAACAGTTACAACAATGACAGCGACGACTCAGACCAAGAAACTGCTAAGAAGATTCGATCTCAACAGTCGCTCTTCAACAGTAAGCTGGCAGAAGTCGATAGCAAGAAGCGGCAGGCCGACAGAGATGCTCTACTACAGGCAGCACATCGGAACGTTACAGCCCGCCTAAACAAGATGGACGAGGATGTCTTCAGTGAGACCGGAAAGTCAAGGTAAGCGTGCTGAAGTCTCGGCGCTGGCAGATGCACTAACACAAAGCAGTCCACAACAGCGAGAGCTTTGGGAGCGCCAGGCCCGCGAAAGAGCACAAAGAGACAGCGATGCTCGCATGATCAACACGGGTAGAATCCATGTCGGCGGTGGGAAATACATGGACCAGTCGGAAATCGATGCCATCGCACAGGCGAGACTGCAACCAACCTTGGACGATATCACCGAGAAGGCTGAGAAGCAGCGAGCTCTGGATGAAGAGAACAGACTAGAGCAAGAGCGGATCAAGGCTGAAGCACTGAAGGAGAAGCAGCGGCAGGCGGAGGTCAAGCAGGAGCTCAAGGAGACCCAGAGTAAGCACTACTACTATTCTCGTGTACCCTACGATAGCTGACTTCGATGCAGATCGTGAGAAGGCCGAACAGAAAGCCGCCCGAAACGAAGAGAAGCGCGTTCAGAATGAGAAGATCGCCGCAGAGCGCGAAGAGGCGCGTGTCAAGAGAGAAGCAGAGAAGGAGAAAGCCCGTACTGAGAAAGAGGAGAAACGTCAATCTTCAGGCAAGAAGGCTGCAGGTGGCTTCTTCGGCTCGATTGGACGTGCTGGAGCTGGAGGCGCCGCAGCTGGAAGTGTAGCACTGGCTGCTGGAACTTCTGGTCGTGCTCCGGTTGTGGACGCAGCGGAGACAAAGGCTGTTGAGCCCACTAGTCCGACTGCGACACCCATCAAAGTTGCGGCCGACGAGCCTATCGACGCCGAGTCAACACATCCTGCGGAGGTAGATGCTGCCTCACCTGAGAGTCTGCTCGAGAAGACATCGAGCCCATACGACCCGGTACGTTCTCCAGATGCCACCCTGCCCAGCGATGAGGCTCTGGCATCTTCAGCATCTCCCAAGAAGGACTCAAGAATCAAGTCTTTCTTTGGTCGCCTACGAGGCAAGTCGGGAACCGGTGCGGATCTTCAGGAAGGTCAGACTGGCCCCACAGCCGCCGAAGGTCTGACCAAGGAGACCACCGCATCCACCGAAAAAGAGGAAGACATGCGCCGATCCGACTCCATGCGAGACGTCGCTCTCGCTGGACGCACCAAGACCAACGAGTCTTCCGGCGAGGACTCCGACCTTTACGGCGACGCTGCGGAACGGCAAGAACCCGCTTCACCAGTGTCGCCTGTAGCACCAGTGCACCATGCCGTCACTACCGAGGGACCAAGTAACGTCCACGACCCGGCAGTCGCCGCTCGTGTCGAGCGCAGTCCGAGCATCTCGTCGCTGTCATCCTCTGCTCCATCTGTACACCAGCTCGACAACCCGCCCTCGTCAACAATCGCTCCAGCCGCCGCTAGCCCCGCGGACACGACCATCGTCGGAAGCACTTCACAGCCACCAGCGGCGGACAGTGGCAAGCCCTCGATCGAAGCGGCTCGTACAGTCGACAGCGAAGAATCCCGCGGCCGCCCTGGGTTCCGGCAACGTTTGTTGCAGAAAGTGAAGACTACACCATCGAAGCTCTCCAAATCTAAGCCTGCGGACAAGGACAACAAGATCAGCAGCGCCACCTCGCCTACCGTCCTTGAGCCTGGACCCGAAACCGACGCTTCGGATTGGGGTGCAGAGACCGAGGATGCACTCAAGGCCAAGAATGAGAGGCTGATGGCGGTGCTACTACACATGACATTGGTGGAGAGATCAAGAAGAAGAGTCAGGATACTGAAGAGCAGGAGAGGGAGGAGGCGAGGGATAGTTTTAAGGAGGAGACGCTTGCGACTGGGTCGGGGAAGAAGGTGGAACATGTTGGTAGCCCGGTGGGAAGTGGGAAGGAGGGGAGTCGTTTTACGGAGGATTTGTGAGGACGAGCGAATGCTGTTTCGATGGCGGGAACACAGCGATGAGGCATTGAAGATGGACACTGTCCTTGAGCACAAGGAGGGATTCATCGGCACTTGATTACCTATCTTGTGTTTGGATTACTTTGACTGTACGCACACACGAGCGAAGCATGGGAGGAGGAGCCGAGCAATAATACCAGGATACCGAGATGCTCTGTTGTGAGGTACGTAGCAACGGCCGGAATTTCTTGACGATAGTGTAGCTGAATGTTCAAGCTTGTCTTGTTCTTCAATCACCATCGCGATGGTCACGATGCTGTACATCAAGCGTGCAAAGCTGTCCTGGGGTGGACCCGGAGGAGACGTAGTCAGGTTAACCGCAAGCACAAAAACTCTCACCCCATGCTGCGGCATCATGGATAAAGAGTTCGGAAGAAGCTCGCCCCGTCAAGTAGCAGCCGATGCTATCATGACATGGCATGACGGGTGGTAGCGATCTTTGCGCAGAAGAAGAAAGATGAAACAAGGCGAGGGGGAGGACACAGATATATACTTCTTCAAAGAAGCAAAGATCTGGGGCAAACCGCAAGGATCACTCCACTGACTTAACCACGAGGTATTCACCGTTGAGCAGATGAGTCATATCGGGCTGCTGCCCAGTGCATTCACTGCGATGAGGATGCTGATGAAGGTACAATGAGAGAAGCTTCAGATTCTTTCGAGGCCAAGGGTCTTGGACATGGATGAACAGATTTCCCCTGACCATTCGCAGGCACGTTATATCGAGAGATCAAGATCCACTCGGCATGACAGTGACTGTCTTCCTGAGGCACAGTCCATCGACGCTGATCGCTAGGTGGAGGTGAATCGGGGAGGAGGGTAAGTTCAAACTGTGTCGAGTGAACCTCTGGAAGCGAAAGTGCATTTGGGCGTTATGACAGACCGGATGACTGTCGTGATTCTGGCAATATATTCGCGTTGAGCTCTACCTCGAGTATGGAGAAAGCTTGCTCTTCAGAGACAGGGCACACGTACTATAGCCAGAATCCATAGCCTGGCACACAGTACAACCGGAAACTACTGGTCATCATGCTGGTAACCAATTCTATACAACTGGGTATCTAGTCGGTAGATGATCTGCTCGCTAGTCTGGCACAAGATGAATCCCTGCTCCTCCCTGCCTCACCTCCCTCTCTTGTGCACGCCCAGTAAAGTCCTCAGGAGCCCCAACCTCGAACAGCGTCGAGAAGAACCCCGTTACCGTCGCTGACCCAATCGATGTGCCACCTATACATTCGTCTTACTCTTCTTCAAGCTCCACTTACTCAAACTCCTCTTAAACAAACCCATCTCCTTCTGCTCACTCTTCGTCCTCCGTTCCTCATTTAACGCCATCTTCTCGCGCCCTTCCTTGCTCGTATCATCCAACTCCCGATACATCCCCGTCGGCGTCGCCACCATCGTGCCTGCAGAACTCATGTCATCCGCTAGCGTCGGGCTAGTCACGATGGACGAGCTATCCAGCGAGGAGAAGGTAGTGAAGCCCGCTTCCGTGCTTGCGCTGCCTTGGCTGCCGACTGTGTTGTGCCGGCGCGCTTCTTGGTTGTGGTAGTTTGTAGGGGACATAGGCGAGATACCCGATGTCGCGGCCGTGGACATAGGGGAGAGCATCTCGGTCGGCTGTTTCGTGTCCCCCAACATCTCCGGGATGCCAGAGGGCCGCGGTGTTGCGTCGACGCCGGCATCCAGCTCGACGCGGTGCAGCGGCGCTTCTAGTTCCGGCACGGCTAGGTTCTGTGTTGACGGCGACGCGATCTCGACGGATGAGACGGAGCTTAGCGGTGCGCCGACCTTCTTGTCGAAGCGGTTCATGTAGATGATGTCCTGTAGTCCTGACCGCAGACGCGCAAAGCGGAACCCGATGGAGATCTTCTTGAGGGGAATAAGTCGATCGACCTCGTCATGCACGTGTTGTTGCAACAGCACCTCCTTGCCCGAAAAAGTCTTGGTCGAAGCAGTCGTATAATACACAGCCGCATCCTCAATCTGCTTCACGCTCACATACCGCCCCTGGTACCGAAAACTTCGCTCCAGAATCAGAATCATATCGCATGCGCACTTGAACAGCATGCGCGCCGTCGGCGGCGTGGCCAGTATACAACCGATGCCCCCAATGATGGTGCCGATACCCAGGGTGGGGACGCCGACGCCGATGGCGGTGAGGGAGACGGCGCCGAATTGAGCGAGGGTGACTTTGAGGAAGGATTTCAGGTTGCCCATCACGACGCGCGACATTATTTCCTCGACGGCTTCAGGGGCCGCTTTGGGAAAACCGAAGCATTGCAGGACGTGCTCGCAGATGATGCGCGAGACGGTTGGGGTGCCGATCATGCCGGAGAATGGTAGTGGGACCTATCGTCTGTCAGCTGGGAACGAAGGGAGAGGAGTATACATGAGGATGCTTTGGTGAAGCGACAGTCCGACGCGGGACTCCATCATGGTAGTGCTGCCTTACCATCGCTGTTCTAATCGCATGAGTGCCGAGACGCATGCATTCCGTAATCGCGGAATCTATCTTCTGCTCAACGTCCATGACTTGAGCGGCGACGCAGAAGATACGTACACGTTCGTCGGCGATGAGGTCGAGCGTTTGATTGAGCAGACTTTTGACTCCGGTGTCGTCATCTATTGCGAGTCAGCATTTTGAGGGTCAACGCAATCCAATCCTGGCATAGGTGCTTGAGTGTTCTCACCTTTCGATATACAACAGTATCCATCCGCCTTGTAGTGCTCGATCTCCGACAACTGATCTTTCAATTTCATGAACTGATCGTCCGCAAGCTTGCCCGCTTCTTCATTCGCTAATTTGCTTGCGGCTTTGTAGTCGTTGGTCTGTTGCATGTGTGCCTCCAGCAGCTCCATCTTCCGATATGCCACGAGCTTGTCCTTTTTTGTACCCACAACGAATACCGGCACATGATTAGAGTACTGGGCAATCGTCGCAAACGTGCGCTTGTCTGCCTCCTCGATCCGCGAGACATCTGAATCGACACAGAACCATATCACGTGGAGGGACTCTGCTGGATCTTTTTGGAAAGCACGATGCCGCAGGAACTTGCCGATTAGGTCCAGCTCGTGGTCACTACCCGCTTGCCAGCCTCGAGAGTCGTGGATCAGTAGACCTGGATGATTCGGGCTTTCAAAAGCCGTGTTGATATCGTGCTGGCCTTGTGCGTAGTTCGTCGACTCTTCCGTCATTTCCACGCCGAAGACCTTGTTGATCAATGTTGACTTTCCGACACCGGTCTTGCCGCATACAAGAATGCGGAAAGCCTTGACGCCGCTAGCTTGCAGATGCAAGCCTTCTAGCCATGGCTGCATCTCTCCTTGATCGTCCATGCATCGCTCTTGGAAATCGCTCAGCTCTAGCTTTCGTAATCGGAAGAGACCTGAGTCGTACATTTTGGGGTTCCGATCTAGAATCGCATATAGTGATGGGTGTATAATCGTGCTGTTGGGCTGCTTTTCGTTGTATCCGAGTAACGCTTTTGTCGAGTTATTCCATATTTTCCTCTGGTTGTTGAGCACATTCTTTCCCTGGTTGATGCGTACAGTATGTGTCGACTCCGTTCTTGTCTCTGTGTGTAGTGAAGCCAGGTCAAACATGGTAACGAAGAGCTGGTTGGCGTATTTGATGCGCCACTCGATCTTTTCCTCGCCTGACAGTTGAGGCAGACCGCCAGCAAATTGTGGGAAAGCTAGTTGCAAGACGCCCTCTTTTCGACCTTGATCGAGGACAATGCCAGCCTTCATGCTCTCGATGAGCATCCATTGCAGTGGATACAACGACAGACCGTCGTGCTGTGTCCCGCCGCCCATATCGTGGTGCCCACCCATAAACCATGCTTGGCAGAACGAGCGCCCTTCCATTGTATCAGCTGCTGGCGCTTCGAACAGCTCGGGTACAAGTCGAGCTTCGTTGAAGGCGACGGCGTGGCGCACATTCCGTATTGAGGGCACGAAGGCGACCTCATACTGATGTCTTTCAAGTGAAGGCTTGACAGTATCGAAGACTCCCATGAAGCGGATAATAGGAGGTTCATCGCACAATACCTTGAGTTGTGACAGCAGCTTAGTCCCATTGAGACTGTCATCGAGCTGCCGCGCCCTTTCCAGCTCCAGCGCCTTGGTGAAGGCGTCGTCGAAATTGGCTATAGCCTTCGGAAGACCCATGTAGTGTAGAACGGCAGCGACGGCGCGCACCACATATGCGCCTCGACCGAATCCATAGAAGCATACTTCATCTGCTGGGCTCTCGAGTCTCTGGCAGACATCTCTGGTGATTTCGCGAACCTGTTGGTCAATTGAGCCCACCGAGCGTCCCTTCAACCTGCCGATGCCTGTTCGGCCTTCACTGCTGGTTTGATAGTAGCGCACTGATTGCGTGATGCCGCGACTTTGTCCATCGTAGGTAGTTCCAGTCGCCAGCACGCTTTTCAGACGGAAGATATTGCTGGCATTTTCGTGGCCTTTGAAGTGGTCGTCAGCGCGAAGATCTCACCACCTTTGACGGGGGCGCTACCTGTTCTGCCATTTTCGTCATACTCGGATCCATCAACGCATATGACGATGCGGTTGAGAATCTTCTCGGCCATCTTATCCTGAAGACTGGGCCGCCGAAGGAGAAATCAGGGGCCGTGTGTGGCCGAGCGCGGCATGGCCGCCCGAGCTTCAACTTTCACCGACTGATACTCGCGATATGGAGTCCAATAAGCTGTATAGGTATATCTGGCAAATAGTCGACGATCTGGTGGCAAGGTATGGAAGGTGAAGAATGTAGGCACGTTGTCAAAATGATGTATAATCCAAGATTAGCATCTCAACCTTGAGTTCATCATAAAAGTTTCGCAAGCCGCGTGGGTTCAATGCTTGAATCAACACCCCTAGTATTGGGGTCCGTTATGGCTTCATCGCTGGCCGTATTGTTACAGTATGATTCTGCAAGACCGAATGCTGCCTGTGCCGAACCATGCCATTGGGCACTGTCGACGTAATCGTCGTTTTGGCTAATGTTTGCGCCTCGACGGACCGGTTCTCGAAGGACTATGCTCTGTCCGAATAAGGTGCGGGCAGCGCCAGGCAACGTTCCACAACACGAGTGACTCCAGAGGAGTTCTCGTTAAGCGAAACACGGGTCACAGATCAAGGCCCCCCATTTACAAAGTCTGGTATCGGCGTGCTCTTAATGTCCGAAAGGGCATTCTTGGTATATAGCGGCTTCTTGCTTCAGCTGATTTGATGCGAGAGTGCCTTGCTTGTTGGGACAATCACATTCTGCAATGTCTTGTCGAAACTGAGCTGCGCATCTTCGTCGGCCGAAACACGCAAAGCCAAGATATATGGATGTTCGAGGTTAGGTGCTTCCCTCTTAGGGTTTCATTGCGACCGTGCAGCGTGGCTATGCCCGTAGCGGCCGTACCTCTCTACAAGGTTTGGGCTCTGTCGTCGTATGCTCACGAGCCTGCTAGTGACTGCGCATTGAGAGTTGTGGACAATAAGGCAATCTTGGTGTCTGCTTGTCACCAGATTTCAACGAGGGACTGCTCGAAATGGTATCTCATCGCTTTCGCTTTCACAAGCCTATGAGACTTAGGGAAGGTGCGAGTACCAGCAAGAACGGACATTCATTTCACTTGGCGTGATGAGTTTCGTCGGCTATCTCAATCCGACGTGAAACAGCGAGGTTCATGCATGCTTTGGGGGCTACGAGTTCATGGATTGCTAAATGCTTGAAAGCACGTACTCTGTACAACTTGAAAGATATCTTTCGTACGTACATCCTAAAACGCCAGCACCCCCAGCAGCGCATATTGACCACCTGAGGTGGTTGAAAGACTGAAAGCACTTTTGCTAACCCATCAGCACACCATGCTCAAACCTGTACCTTCCCAGCAACAAACGCCGCCGCACTCCCAGCATCCAAGCTGTAGCTCAAATGCGCCGGCAACACAATCGGATCACCCTTACAGATCAAGTCATCGTCGAAGCAGTAAGTCACTGTGTCGTCCGCCGACACACCCTGCAATGCCTGCCCATCATACGGATCCCCAAACAACACCGCAGCATTGATCCTCGCTGCAACGTTTGCTGGGGTTTGCTTCAACCCATTATGCACGACCTGCGCCCCCTGACTATACCCGCCCACCACAATCTGCGTCTGCGGACATTGCGTGGCAGCCTGGCTCACCAGCTGCGCGAACTTGGTGCTTCCGTCTGGTGAGCCGCCGACGAGGTAGCCCGGTATGCTGGCGGGGTAGTCGACGCCCTGGATTGCGATGTTCCCCGAGCCGATCAGGTTGCCGAGGGCGCCGAAGAAGGGCGGGCCGGCCAGCAAGCCGACGTTGCCCGGCTCTGCTGTTCCGCGCGCGAAGACTATGGTGACGGGAGTGCAGGGCCCGGAGAGGCCGTTTTGGACGATGTCGTATAGCCCTCTGGCCTCGAGATTGACGGCACCTTCCGCATGCGAGGGCTCAGCCGCGGGCGCTGGTGTGGGCAAGGACCAGGCGAGGCCAAGTAGTGTGAGGAAGATGGCGAAGTTGGGGTTAGGCATGGTTGTTCGATCTGTCAGGGAGGTTTGTGTGATGAGGAACTCAAGCGGTGGTCAGGCCAAGACGCTGACTTGGAGGAGTGGTTGGATAACAGCAAAGGAAGGAAGCTAGGTAAGTGAATGGAGGACGAGCGAATGGAGCGGCTCAGAGGTAGGCAATCGACGTGAGAGGACGAACATTACCTTTTGTATACGAGCCAGTCGTTGCAGATGAATCTCTATGGAGTGTCTGTTATGGTGTCAATGAGTCCGCGCCATCCCGGAATGGATGCACGCCTGCCGTCGAGCCGTGCCCCTTTCTCAAGAATTTACTTTGTGATATCTGTGGACTTTCCCCAGATTTCATATCTCGTTTCTGGTGATCAAGATTCGTGTCCCCACAAACCTTGAAGGGGCACAAGCGATGGAAGTCAGTCGGTCTTGAGCCCCAAGACTGCTTGGTTCACGTTATATCCTTGCGACAGAAGCAACTTCGCACATGGTAGAGAGCACGAGACGATCCGAATTGCGGGGTGAAGCGGGTGCTGGGTGTTGTGACCATTGTCGATTTCTGCAAGAGCGGCGTAGGAGTCTGGAAACAGCAATCTTGGGCCGACACCAAGCCTGTGTACCTTCGAAGTACGACTCGTGGATTGTCCAGGGTCAAGCAACGATTGAGGGGTCACCACTCGTTGACTGTGATCACTGATGAATGTAAAGCTGTTCATCGCAAGAAGCCGAGGCATAATGAAATTTGGGATTTCGATTAGACTCAAACCTCACGCCTCAAACGGCTGTCAATGTGTCCACCACCTAAAGAAGGGCAGAAGCAAATTGAGAAACGGGTGTGCATGACCTTGGATTGGTCCATGGGAACATTCGAGGTCAACATGAAAGATGCATGGCAAGTGGCTAAGTTCACGCCAGGGGTTGAGATTGAGATGTGATTTGAAGGAAAGTCGTGCTCTGCGGGTGTGATTGGCTGCAACAGGAAAAGGTAAGAACGACTTCCTCTGTCCAGCATTGTCTACCAATGTCTAGACTCTAGATAATAGATCCGAAGAATACTCGATACTCGTGACTACCTGATCTCATGCCTACACATCTTTCTAAGAAGAGAGCTACCGTCGTGTCGTCGCATACCACTGAGCGCAACGTCCCATGTCACAGGTGTAGCCCTCCTAAAGTGGGAATGAGCCCTAGCAGTACAATGACTTGTAACCGTGCTGGCTTCCCACGCGTACTCCAATATGCTTCGACCATGACCAAACCGGCTCAATGTCCGAAATAGACAAGTACTGCAGGACCACTGACTCAGCTTATAGCACCCTGAAAGATCTTGGCCGCCAACTCCGACAACACTTTCGCCTTATCACTCTGATCCAGACTCTGGAAAACCTCATAGACACTCTTCCCACTCTTATCACGAATACCACCCAACTTGTTCCCTGCCACAGCGCCAACACTCGCTCCAACAAAGTTGCCAACGATGAAGCCCAGCGCACCACCAGCAGCAGTGCCGACCAGACTCCAAAACCGCCCGGTAGGTCTATTCCCATCACCTTCACTGAGCCCAGCGGCATTCATCATCTCCTCGAACGGCTGCTGGAACTGGTTCCGCGAGAAGTCGTCTGCGGCGTCATGTGTAGGTTGCCCCTTGCCGGTGAACCAGCTCCACGGGAAGCCGCCGCCCGTGCTGGTGCGAGGGATTTCGTCGTCAAAGTCTTCGTCGTCGTCCGCGAAGGACGCACCACCAGTCGCGGTGTGGAATTGTCTAGCCTGGTCATACTCCTTGCGTCTGGTGGTTTCGGATAGGGTGTAATATGCATCGTTGATAGCCTGGAACTTCTTCGTGCGTGTTGCTCGTTCGGGGGAGTCGTGGGCGACTCTGTCTGGGTGCCATTTTAGGGCGGCTTTCTTGTAGGCTGTCTTGATTTGGTCGACGGTGGCTGTAGGGGAGACTTCGAGGACGGCGTAGTAGTCGGGTAGGGCTTGGGACATGGCTGCGGTCTAGGCGGCGTGGCGTTGCCACCCAGGTAGAAATATCTTTGGAGCCTGAGTGCTGGTCTGACCGTTTGCTGCTTGACAAAGTAGGCTCACTGCACAACGCTGGATCGAGAGGTGTCAGTAACGAGAGAGCTGGGAGGCGGCCGATAGTGATAGTGATCTCAGCAATGTAGAGGGCGAGGAGGTCAGCAGGACGCTTCTTGTAGGTGGGTTGACAACAAGAAGGGCAATCCAACTTGACAGAAGTCCATGTGCGTCATGGCGATCAGCGGCAGCAATCGATACGAGATACGTTGCGGCACAGAGCCCAGGCCTGCCGTCCACTGCCCACCACCCTCAAAGTTGAAGCCCAGAACCCTAGCCGGAGCTGACCCCTGTCAATCAAGCTCGCGGGCGACCGCAGTTGGAGAAATAGTGAAGTCCAGCCACTCGCATTTGCAGCGCAGACTGTCGGTCAGCCGTCGACTTTTAGAAGATGCTGTTCAAGATACAAGTCGCTCCTGGAAGCGACGAGCATCTCACTAGGAAACTGAGCAACTTGCCGTGTTGAGCGTCGCTTGACACCGACCGCCGATGGGTGCACAGCCAACGCCATAACATTGTTACCCCCAGCTTCTCGAACGCTCCCTGCTCCTGCTCCGGAGTAGTGACTGAACGCTTTCCCAGCAGACTGGCAAAGCGCTGCTCCTCGCGCTGGTAGAGAGTCTGTCTACAACAAAAACAGCGCACCCAACCGCCGCGGCCCCTTCAAGAATGGGATTCTGGAACGATGGCATCCGCTCCCCCTCCCCCTCGCGCCACTCCTCCTCTTCCAAGAAATACTACGCCTCCCGCCCCTCCTACGGCCGTTCCTCCTCCTCATTTTTCTCGTCCTTTTCCAACGACCGCGGATACTCCAGATCAAGTTCGGCGCGCTCCCGCCCCGGCTTCCTCAACAAGCTCCGTAAATTCCTCCGGCAGATCCTCGCGTACATGCGCCGACACCCGCTGAAAGTATTTATGCTGGTGATCATGCCGCTGATTACGGGCGGGGCGCTGACGAAGATTTTGGGGCAGTTTGGGGTGAGGTTGCCCGTGGGGTTGGAGAGGATGGTTGGGGGGATGGGCGGAAGATCAGGAGATAGGTTTTATTCCAGAGGAGGGGCGAGGGACTTCGACGGGGGAAGTGCGCTGCCAGGTATGGGTGGAGGCATTGGGGAGGGGTTGGGTGGGTTGCTGGGGATTGCGAGGGCGTTTATGTGAGGCCATAGAGGGCTGGGTTGAAGACCATCAGAGACGGAATACAGCGGAGGACTAGATCTACGGAAAAGGAGCGGAGGCTCGAAGAGAGCCATCAGCTCCGAGCACTTGCCGGAGGACGGTACAGACACGGTGCTGAGGACAGGAAACAATATTGCACAAAGTCGATCAATCTGGTTGTCGTACAGAGCAAGCGATTCCGCAATGTTACATGTATATAGCGGACTGTCATCATGTTGGAATTGGTCTATTGGTTGGCTCAAGTGGGAGCCGATAATCTATCTGGTGTGGGCTGGCACAACGTTACTTTTTGCCCTTGCGCCGCTTCTTTGCACCTCCCCCGTTCTTGTCGCTCTCGACACCGCTGGCATCGACAAGCTCGAATCCGTTGTCAGAGATTTGACTCGAACTCAAATTCGGGACCGCAAGCTCTGGAGTTGGTGTGGACTCTTGCTCGCTCTCCGTACGCGGGACCTCATCGCTGGGTATAGGTGTGGTGTCTTTGAGGAATGGGTCGAATGTCTTGCGCCATAACCAGACCGGAACTCTGAAGACGGCGGTGTCGCGGATGGTAGGCTTGACAATGTCATTCAGATCGAGGATGAGTTCTTCGGTATTGCCATCTTCGTCTTCTTCCTCCAGATACACGTTGCCGACCGAGTCCACAATCAAGACTTTGCCGTTCTCTGCCGTGACCCGTCTACGCTCGCCATTGAGTGTCTGCAACTTCTCTACTTTGGGAGCTTTGCCGCTCTTGTCCTTGCCGTTCTTGCTCTCCTTTTTTTGCTGCTTCTCCATTTCTCGCTTCTGCCTACGATTCATCCCAGTCGTAGGATCGGCTGGCTCGTCGGCTGGGAGGTCAACCGCTGCAGCTCTGTAGGAATGCCCATAACGCCGGTTTCGTCACCCCAAGCCTGCTTGCGGGCGGATCGAATGTATTTCTCCATGAAGGCTCGCTGTTGCTTGTAGTTCATATTGAGGACAAAGTAGTGAGCGCCGCCTCCGCCAACCAAGAAAAGACCGAGCAGTACAGTACCCAGTCCAGGTCGAAAGCGGGTGTAGTAGTAGCCTGTGCCCCTCCATTTGGGAAAGCCATGTCTCATGAAGTGATCATACCGTTCGCGCTCTTCGCGGCTCTGCAGGATCTTGCCGATAACAGACAGACGTTGGTATCGCTCAGTAGCCTCCTTGACATGTTTCTTGATCTCGCCTTGCGTCGGACCTTTGGAGACGTGCACCCCAGGCTTCTTCTTGTCGCCAGGCTTTTTGGAAGATTTTGTGGATTTATTAGCGATGAAATTCTGCTTCACTTTGTCGGGATGTAGTGTCTTTGATCTCTTGCGCAGGGCTTTCTTGATGTCGTCAACGGTGGCCGAGGGGTCGACGCCGACGAAGTCGTAGAAGGAGGTGCCAGCACCCTCCGCAGTCTCGACTTCATCTTTGAGTCGGAAAATATCGTGGTCCTGGCTGGAGAAGGCGGCTGCCAGCAGCACAAAGCCTAAGAGGAGAAGAAATTGAACAGGCTTCATGACGAAGACTTGCCACCCCACGACACCTCCAGAATGTCAACGAATGTGTTGCACGCAGTCGTCGTGATTTCTAAGAGACGTGCTATTTCTCTAAGCGGTGAACAGCCCAAGCAGTGAGGCGACTGTGCAGTGTGGATGCAATTCGATGTCGTGGCGCCAATTGGGGAAGGAAAGTTTTGGAGGAAGTGCAAGCCGTGCAGTAGCTGATGACAACTTGGAGCCACGGCCAACAGGCGTGGTTGACACTGGTCGTGGGCGGGCAAGCGGGCGAGCAAGAGTGAGGCTCGAGGCTTGCAGTGACTACGACTGCCTGGATTAAAAACACAAGCTTGACCCTCTTTCCACGGGCTTCTCTTCTCTTTCACCTGAGGTACTCTCTTCACCTCGTCGAGATGCTGTCAACTGTGATTCCTTGAGTCTGTCTGAGCGACAGGTTCGAGGTGTCACTCTTGTCAGTCGTCTATTTTGAAGCCAATTTGTTTTGTGGGCTCTGAGGGGCACGACCTGAGTGAACACAAGGAGCGGTCAAAAGGGGCAGCAGGCAGGCACGCGCGGCTGTGCTCCCCTCTTCAGCCACTCGTCGAGGCGCAGGCTGTCCAGTCTCACTCATCAAAAATCCAATCCTAAACTCGCCGCGCAGCCTGGGGAAGGCACAGGCCAGGGGCAACAAAAAGTCTCGCCCGAACCAAAAGATTCCTTTCAGCTCAACGTGTCTGACTTTCCTCCCGACTAATAACAATACACTCTTTCGACTCCGTATCGCACATACACGCGTTCATCAATCCACCACTACTCGAATTCTCAAAAGACTCGTAAGCCGCGTTGTTGCATCTCGGAATCACACCAACTCACACATCAGTAGCAATCGCTGATTCTCCTCCCTTGATTCAGTATCAAGCCCACCAACCTCAAGCATAATGTCTCGAATCAACATCCCCATCGACGTGCTCACGTCGCGCTTCAACATCGGCGACCGCTTCTCTGGTCTGCGCAGCCAGTCTATCGGTCAGCGTTTCGCCAACCTCAAGCCTATTTCCGAGTTCCTCGACATCAAGAGACTGTCAAAGCCGCACAACTTCGCTGAGGTTCAGACGCGTGTCAACTACAATCTGGCCTACTTCTCGAGCAATTATGCCGTCGTCTTCATCATGCTCAGCATCTATAGCCTGATCACCAATCCGTGGCTGCTGTTCGACATCATCTTCGTCTCCTTCGGCATGTGGTTCATTGGAAAGATGCAAGGCGCTGATCTCGAGATTGGCACTTTCAAGGCGACGACATCCCAACTCTACACCGGTCTACTCTGCATCGCGGTCCCCATTGGTTTCTTTGCTTCACCTTTCTCAACCATTCTCTGGCTCATTGGTGCCTCCGGTGTGTCCATCCTGGGCCATGCCTCATTCATGGACAGACCAATCGAGAATGCTTTTTCCGAGGAGGCGGTCTAGGTGGTCGGCCGCGATCTCCGTACGATGTGCCCCATTGGGGAAGACCACCCGGGGCACGACTACCAAGAGGTCAACGAGCTTGGGCTGCACAACAGTCGTGGTCCGAATATGATGATCGGTTCGAAGAGCTCGAAACCGACGATGATGGTTTACACGGCGTTCAACTTGACCAACGGTATGGTCAGAAAAGATTCATTTCCGATGAGCTTCGTTTTGACGGGATAGATTTGGGTGGCGGCGATGCCACCCGCAGACGGCGTTCTGGAAAATACGACGATGATGATAATTATTCCGACGAGGACGAATACAATGGCTCCAGAGGACTGGTCCGGCGAGGTCAGATGCAGGTCATGCTTCGAAGTAAGGAGGACGATTTGGTCGAGAGAGCCCTTGAGAGGATCAGGCGTGCTCGGGCTCTCGGTAAGACCAACGTCAAGCTGACCCAAGCGGAGATTGATGCTTTGGAACGATCAGATCTCGGCCCGAATCCTCCGCGAATGCCACCCATGCCGCTTATTGCTCCTAAACCTCAAGCACAGCCCAAAAGCAAGAAGGCTGTTCCTGTCAAACAGAAGGCGATCGAGGCCAAGAAGAAAGGGACCAAGTCTTCCAGCAACTCGCCCAAGCCAAAGCCTAAGGGTTCTCGATCACGTGGACAGAGCGCTGCCTCTGACCGATCAAGAAGCAGTGCTCAAGACGAGGCTTTGATTCCTTACCCTATTACTCCTGACGATGTTCCGCAACGTCCAGGCTACTTCGGACGACAAGCGCCCAACGCTCTCCAGCAAGAAGCTCGCGGCCAGTATCCCCCGGCGATGCAACAAGGTCCTTATTCCTACTATGCCCATCATTACTCTCATCCCGATGTCCTCTATGGCAATCGTCCTCTATCCGCTTCCTCTCGAGGGCGACCGGATCCTGCCGAAGACCAGGACTGGCAGCCTCGAGCACGTTCTACATCCAGTCTAGTCAACTACCCGATCGATCAGCTGCCACAACAAGCTGTAGCAGGAACCCGCCGTGCTCCTCGCTTCGACCCCTCAGATCCACGATATGCATCACCGCCAAGTCGCCGTGTGGTCTCTGGCCCAGCACAAACTATGGCCAGAAGACAACAGGACGAGATGTTCCTTCTGCAAGGTCAACCGGATGTCAGGCAGTATCAAGTGGATTCTGGCAGCAATGACGATCCCATCAGCATCTCTTCCGAAGATGACGAAGAGGAAGAGGACTCGGATGAGAGCAGTCAGGGCGTGCAGGTCAACGTTGAGGAGCGTGGTGCTGGTAGCTATGCAATACAGACGAGGTCCGGCACCAGAGCAAACGGCGGTGGTAGCGGGAGCAGTAGTAAAGCTGTTGCTAAGCGGCGACGGTGAACCGAGTCGTTGGTATACATGAACGAGCAAAGGCGAATCGGATATTGTTCATAGTCCAACTTGACCTTCTACTTCCTCTCTGGCCTCAAAATTGACCAGCATCTTTATGCATTACCTTCCCCTCCGATCCTCACTTTGGTCGTCCATGCGAACATATTCAGAGGACGGTGGCGGTCATCCGGTCTGCCACAACGCTAGTCCTACTTCCAAGTCCCATCGAGGGCAGATTCCATTCGGCCGCAGTTACATTTCTTACCATTCTATCTCCCTAGCGAGTGTAGCGTATCCCAGAGAGACAGCCATGCCAATGGGACCTTGCTTGCTCTCTCAGCCTTCTCTCACAGTCGCTTCGTCAAGACCTCCGTTCAAGTGCACACACCAGGCAGCAACGCTATCTTTGACGATACATCAATACTGAATACCTCGTGCTCGAGTCACTAGTATGACTACTTCGGCTAGGTCCGCATCAACTGGGAGCTTCACTGTATTGGACAGGTATAAAGTAAGCGTGTTGCCGTTGCATTGTGATTCCTCTTCTTCCTCTCCACAACAGACCCAGCATGAGGATGACACTTGCCATGTCGAGATAGCATAGTGTGCTGCTACTGGATGGGGCGAGCTGCTGTCGAGGATTCCATTCGCGGTGTCAGCCTCAGAGGTAGGAGGGTTGAATGTGCTCTGTGGTTGCGGATGGACGTTGCTGCGTCTCTCCCATGCCGCTCGAGAAGTGTGGCTCTGCTCGCTTGATGCTCTGCAATGCGGCCGGATCGGTAGTGCCTGGGAGACGGGATGCTGCGCAACGCTAGCACGAAAAACGTGACAACAAGCACAGAGATTGACGATAGACAACGGATACTGGCATACCACAGCACATCTTAGCTACCTACACGGTGAAGCCGTGCTAGATATCACCCCAGATGGGGCAGCAACGTCCACCAGTCAACAGTATAAAACGCGCTCTGCGGCATCGCGCGAAACGCAATCAGGTCCTCGACAATGATATACACGCGTGCACAAAAGTACACAGCAAATGCAGCCGTGCCACCGATCGCGAACACAGGCGAGACATCCAGAGCCGGATTGCCCTCTGGGCTGTTGTTGCAGATGTTCAGCATCAAGGAGTCGTAGCGGAAACGGATAGACTGCCATGACGAGAATTTGGCGCCTGGTGCCCGTCGTCTTTGCTTCTCATCCTCTCGATGGGTTTCCCTTCGCTGCCGCACCTGTGCCTGCATCTTTGCCACGTTGTCTCTTGAATAAGCCCATTCTGCGCCTACGAGACCGACGAGGGACCCGAGCAAGATGCACGAACACACGCGCCACAGCAGGCGTTCTGTGCTGGTTGGGAAATGGAAGTGCCAGGCAATGAAGTTGGTGCCGAGGAAAGCAATGGAACAGCCTGTCGCGATGGCTAGGGTGCGACCAGTCAGAGGCAGGACGTCGTTGTCGGAGCGTCGACCAAGGGAGACCTTGTTCTTGGAGATCTCAGAGTTGTGTTTGTTGTGATTCCTCCTCCAAGGCAGAATGACACGGAAGATTCCCTTCAGGATGTTGATCAGGTATGTATAGATGAGACTACACCACCACGTCTTGTCGTCGACGAACTCGAGTGGCGTGCGAAAGTATGATCTTCTGGTCCGTCGCACCTCGTCGTCGCTGTCCTCGAGCCGGAGCAGTTGCTCGATTGTAAAGTCGAGCTCTATAACCTCAATGGACTCCACATCGGCCGGCTTGTTCTTCCAGAAATAGTACACAACCACACTGTTGACAATGATTCCAATGACGGTGACTTCCAAAGTCGTGACCGCTAGACCTTGCGCACCTCGCGCAATGATTTGGATAGTGAACCACAGTGCTTGGCCCACCGCAAGGACACGCACGAAGCTGTCAGCTTTGTTCCTATCGTCGATAGTCTTGAGATCGAGCAGGAAACATTCCTCGAAGCGCGCCATGCTGACTGCGTTGTGCTTCACGAGCCACAGGATCTGTGGTGCGTCGAGAAAGTATGTTCCCTCACCGTTTGTCAGTCGCATGGCGAAGCCGCCCATGTTTGCAAAGAAAGCATGCCGCAGTGTCCAGCGATCGTCCTGACGGAGAGCGTGGAAGAGTTGGACTGATGTGCGCGCTGCTTGCCATTCTCCTAGGGCGTACCCTGCCAGGAACTCTGGGCCGAGGATGGAGATGATTGTTATCCAGGTCTTGCGGACTAGATGGGTTCGTATTGTGTCGTAGGGCTCTGGTACATTGAGACAGATGGCTGACCAGGTTGACAGAAAGATCGTGGCGAAGCACGTCCATAGGATGTCGAGGGAACCGCGACCTTCGGGTGATGGTGTCCATCCTTGAAGAGCGTTCGACGAGGTGTTACTGGACATGTGCACCAGTCAATCCGTTTTTCTGTCCGTTTCTCTGACTGGTATAGACACAACGCACAGAACGGCCGCCGAATATGTAGCTTCTTTATTCCATGCTGTCGAGAATTGCATACAATTTGGATCCCATAGTCAGAAAAGCATCTGTGCAAGTATGATGTTGTGGAAGGAAGAGATTGCACCGTTGGGCGTGATGGTCGAAGAAGCTCTAGCATAGCAGAGCAAATAATGGTTAGCGGCGTTGCTTGAAGCCATGTAATCAGGAGTTGCTCGTATGACGTTAGCCGAAGCGGGCAATGAATCGCGCCGCTCCTTCAACGCCAAGAGCGCCTAGGAGCACCACTGGGCATTGCGAGGCTGTCGGATTATGGAATACGGGTAGTTCTCTCAGTCGTGGGTTCCTCGGGAAAAATGCAGAGAGGAATGCAGAAGCCTGTACGAGACCGGATGACTAGTGAGACTCGTGGAGACTCGTGGTTAGACCGGATGACTCGGTGAGGTACGAGCTTTTCGCGAGACCGGGTGACATACATGAAAACCTTGGAAGGCACCCATGCAGGACTTCTGTCGGACTGACCCCGCCCTGGCATGCTCCCTTGGAACGAGCGGTCTCATTGCTCGGGAAACAAGGACGATCCGTTCGTAGCATTCATGGTGGCAGTTGGAGGTGGACAATGGGACGAGTAAGTACCTCGTACCCAGCCACTTACATGTATATTTCCCTCGGTCCCCCGATGCATAGCTTATTGTGATCTTGATGTTGCCTTTTGTGACCGACCACAGTGGTATGAAACAGCATGTCAAGCCTCTCTTTTGCAGCATTGCGGCTGTATTCCAGATCTCTGGCATTGACGTTTACGATGGGTACGCGGAGGCGAGAAGGACAAGCAGGTACATGCAGTGTTTTTGTCCTTCTGTTCGTGTAGTCCAGCTTCTTGTACTCGTTTCAGACCCAGGTGGAAATGCGGCAGTCCAGCGAGAAGCATGGCTATTTCGTCTCATAGCTCCCGCGTCATATCTTCATGGGTGCTCACGTGGATGGAAGGCTTCATTGGTCCAAAACAGTGCAAGTCTCGAGGAGAGGAAAGAGTGTTACTCCTCGCTGTCTCTTTGATCAGTGTTGCTCTGCAACTCTTGACCATCTGCGATCCAAGTGAGACGGCAGTGAGAGTAGAGGCAATAGACCTGGAATCGAGGTGGCTAACGCCTAAGCGGAAGACAGACAGCTGCTCCCATGGGTCCGAGCGTGGCTACGGAACAGAGACGTTCGCTTTGTCGTTCAACATTGGCGGAAGCTGCAATGCGCTGAATACCGAGAGGATGGAGACCTAAAGCAGCTAGCTCGTGTCTTACTTACCTTGAGAGAGAGCAGCTCTCGACATTTGCAAACAGTTGACTGAGCCGCAAAGGACGGCGGTCGTGAGCCATCGGGACTCGCCGACGGAGGCAATAGGCATCGGCGTTGGCGAGTGAGGATCTTGACATGCCTGCTCTGATTTCGGATTTCGCGCGGATAGCCCGAAGTACGGCTTCGTTCGTTGTTCTCGCATCATGGTTGGACGACTCGAAAGTACGCAGAGGTCTTAAGCGACGGGCTAGCTGCCTCTTTGGGTAGTATTCGAGAACACTCGCCTGCGTTTCTTCTTGTCGCTTCCAGAGGCTCCAGATTCCGAATTTGACACCAAGGTCGTATGCAGTGGCCGTAGAGGGCTGCATCCGATGGGCCCTAGCAGAACTTCTAGCCAGTGGCGCAGCAATAGTACCAGACATGAAATCAGGTCGAGTGGTCAGCAGGGTGGAGTGCGGACAGAAGCGAGGACGAGGCGATACTGCATGACATGAACCCACCAGTCATACCTATGATCTGACCTCAGTCTCTGTGCTGAGCGTCGAGTGGCAGATCAGGTCTGCAAGTTAGCTGACACGAGAGCCAGTGGAGGGCTCGAAGCAAGCAAATGATCTCCGGGGGCGATGCCAAATGTCCTGAAGTCTGACTGCTGTGGGCAATACAGTGGCCTTGGCGTCAGGGACCAGAACGCTCTCTGAGCAGAGATACAGCAGCAGGGTACGAGACTTCTGGAATACGTGGCGAATCTGGCGAGTCGGTCGGGCTGAAGGAATGAATTGGACTATACTGGTCGGGTTGTTGCAAAAGTGTGCCACTTCAGTCGGTGGATAGCGTAGCACGTGTCCAGTGGTGCGACCGGATTGGCTGCGCAGTGTTGAGGGGCACTAAACGCGACTGCAGCATGTTACGATCCGAATTGTCTGCTAGTGAACTCGTTTCGCCGCAGTGACATGCGATGGCGGATTTCTGTAGTGACATGAGACAGCCCAGGATCGTGGTTGCTGCGATAGGCCCGTACGACAGGGTAAGCACAAAGTGCTGTGGCTCTCATCGAGCGGACCCGGCAGGTGTCATAAGATCCCACTGCGCTGGATCAGGTCCCACCGTACCTCTGTGTATAGCAGTGAAGAGCATACGGATCAGCCGATCAATGTATAGGATATTGACGTGATTCTGCATGCTATCAGCCGAGAAATTGGATGCCTCTCATTCGCGATTGTTCGAGTTATTTGCCAGTCGGCAACCACTGTACCGCGGGAAGCTCAGAGGACAGTCTTCAACCTCCAGCTCCGCTCGCCTTTCGCAGCCATAGTTGGCCGGCAGAGGGATTCACGTAGCTTATGAGTTCAGGCTTTTCCGTAACGCCGAAAGCACAGCTCAAAAATCCCGACGACGTCCGCCATAATGCCAAGCCAAGAGCCGTGGAAATGCTGATGCTCGTTACTATGCAGCGGTAGTCGCGATACTGATATCTGATGTCGAGGCATGAGAGTCTGCATACTCCTACGTCGTGGTTGTCGTGTATATCTATGAGTGTGTCGTCTGTCGTGGCCGTCGTTCGTTTCCGTCGCCACACTCTGGAAAACCCTGCTGCCAAGATCTTGGCGAGTCTTGTTTCTGCGCTTGCCGCTGAACGTTCATCGTGGGGGTGGTAAATCGGCCTTCTGTACCGTCCAGACTTTTCGGGGCTCGTCCTCCCAGTTTTCATGCTCAAACACATGGGTAGAGAGCAGCTCCGTGATAGGTGCTCTCCGCTCAGTGTCACTTGGGCATTGGCATCTTTCGACCACAGATTTCTGTGTATTGCTCGATGAATGAATCCAGAATTGTCGATCATGACTTTGACACGAGACGGGTCGATTTCAAAGAGGCACCGCTGAATCACCGAGAAGGCCAAATCGTAGCCCAGCATCATTTCACACCGAGCGCACCGATCTGATCCTGGAAGAGCATTTCTTGCTACGATGGGCAACTTCCGGGCTGCTGTTCAGGCACAGCTGATCCCTACAGAGTGTTGCAGATGTTCATTACTCAATGAAACAGAGAGTTCGTCGGCAAGGTCGTCGAATTGTTGTACCTTCCGGAAAAGACCACTGGTCCAGGCGAATCTATCAAGACATTTTAGTGCCTGCGCTTGCTTGCGCCAGAGCTTGGCATTGAACTCCGCCCGCCCTTGTTCGGTGACCTACTCACTCGGGTCTAGCATATTTCTTTTGCTCGATAGCCAAGCCCACGTGCGTGCAACTGTCGATATAGCTGGTCGGAACACCTCGACTATCTTCGCTTTTTTCGCAGTGCAGATTTCGTTCAAGTATGGCGCTCCAACAGCTCGATGCTATATATCGCGGCGCCATGGCTCGTCCCTGTGCGCTGCCTGCTCTTCAGCTCATCAAGCCTACTCCCAAGAGGCCGTCAAGACATTTTCTATTCTCTTGGATTGTAAGCACGAACCGTCAATATGGTGCTTGAAGCGTACACCTATGTTTTTGCCATTGGCACCTTCTTCGCCCTGCTCGAAGCGTACAACAACGGTGCCAGTAAGCAGCAGCCGGATATGTGGCACAGAACACGGCTAATCATTTGACAGACGATGTTGCAAACGCTTGGGCCACTAGCGTGTCATCACGCTCAGTCACATACCAGCAGGCTATGGTGCTGTGTCTTATTTTCGAAACAACAGGTGCCCTAGCTGTCGGCGCCCGAACTGCTTCCACTATCAAGAACGGTATCATCCCACTCTCAGCCTTCCAGGACAACGCTGGCGTACAGCTCCTGGCCTTTGCTTGCGCCTCAGGTGGTGCTGCCACATGGGTCATGTGGTGTACTCGTCACAATGCCCACGTTTCATCGACCTACTCCCTGGTCTCATCTATTGCTGGTGTCGGTGTTGCCACCGTTGGCGCCAGCGGTGTACAGTGGGGCTGGAATAAGGGGCAGGGACTTGGTGCCATCTTCTCGGGTCTCGTGATGGCTCCTGTCATCTCGGGCTGCTTTGGTGCCATCATCTTCACACTCATCAAGGTGATCGTTCACATGAGGACCAATCCGGTCCCATGGGCTGTCTGGACTTCTCCATTCTTCTTCCTGATTGCCGGTACTGTCTGCGCCCTGTCCATCGTCTACAAGGGTTCTCCAAAACTCGGCCTCGACAAGAAGCCCGCGTGGTTCATCGCCGCTGTCTCACTTGGAACTGGCTTCGGTCTGTGCCTCCTGGCCGCCCTCTTCTTCGTTCCCTTTGTTCATGCCAAGGTCATCAAGAGAGATCGAAGCCTGCGCATCTGGCACATCTGGCAAGGACCTCTCCTCTTCAAGCGCGCGGCCCCAGAGAACGCCGACGCCGCCCGCGTCCCCAACTACGCTGTCATCCAGCACGCCGGTGATGATGAGGAGGATTCGAGCTCCGAGACTGGCGTTACCAAGGTCGACCAAGGACACGAGAAGTTCAAGGACGAGAAGGGCGATGATATCTCCCCAGTCACCACTCCTCCTCCCACCGTGTCTCGCACCCTCGCTGAAGCAGAGGGCGCTTGCCGCGCCCCGTAACTACCAGGAAGAGTACAGAATGGCACTCAGGAAGGCTGAGCTGAAGCACCATGCCGATCTGCGCAAGAAGAGGGGTCCTCTCGGCTGGGCCATGCGCGTCATCCACCGCAACCCCTTCGGCGCCGGTTCCATTTACGAGAAGCACAACCTGATGGCTCTTCTCCGTCGTCTGCCCGCTTACCCGGTCGTTGCCCTCACATACGGTCTCTACTACGATATCCACAAGGCCCAAGTTGGCGTCCTCGGCACACCTGAAGGTTATCGCATGGACAAGGTCTACGCTCACGCTAAGAAGTATCCCAACGAGGTCGAGTATCTGTACTCCTTCGTTCAGATCATCACTGCTTGCACTGCCTCATTCGCTCACGGTGCCAATGATGTTGGTAACGCTGTCGGTGTGTGGGCTGTCATGTACGCTGCTTGGTCTACTTCCACCGCTACCGCGGCCAAGGCTCCCGTCCCAACCTGGCAGATCGCTGTCATTGTCCTGACCATCTGTGCCGGTTTCATCACCTACGGCTACAACATCATGAAGGGTATGTCTTTCCATCCCAATACCACGAAGTCTTTGCTAACCAGGCGAACTAGTCATGGGCAACAAAATCACCTATCACTCTCCATCGCGTGGCTCCTCCATGGAGATGGGTGCTGCCATTACCATCCTCGTCTTCTCCCAATACAAGCTCCCCGTGTCCACTTCGATGTGTATCACTGGTGCTACCGTTGGTGTCGGTCTCTGCAACGGAACACTCAAGGCTGTCAACTGGCAGCGAGTGGGTCTGTTGTTCTTCTCTTGGGTCATGACCATCCCCATTGCAGGCCTGATTGGTGGTATTTCCATGGGCATTCTGCTCAATACTCCTCATTTCGGTCAGTAGATGGGTTCGAGATTCGATGTGGCGGCCTGAGGAAGTGGTTCTGGTCTGCAACCAGCCGTGTCCTGGCATACAGGCACACGGGGCTGTACGACCTTTGTGACATATACATAGCAAGCGCTGATAATCTGGATTGTCTCACGAAAAGTGAAAGGCGTTGTATCGAGCTCAAGTAGAGTCAATCGTTTCTATTGAAAGCATCGATTCTTATTTTTCGTGACCTCGATGTCTTTGTCCATGCTTCAGCCCGGGTGCGAACTGTGGACTAATACGTCTGGCTTGACGTAAGCGCTCGAGTGTGTCGAGTCAGCACGCAAATCATCACCCTTCACCGAATGGACAGCCACTGGTCCCATGCGATCCTCGACCGTCTGAGATTGCGGATGTCTTTGGCCTACGACCGTTATGGTGGAAACAGAGGGGTATGACCGCTATCTCGGAAGCTTTGAGACTTGGAGTCAGTACTTGTGTTACGCTCAAGGTCACCTAAAACCTTGGTTGGAGCATGTATCTATTTCTTTTGATCGCCGGCTTATCCGCTGAACCGTCGCTATGCATGAAGATCTTGCACCACTACCATTGAAATTCGCCTGATCGCACTACGCCCATTTGCCCAACAGTGCCATCAGACCAGCGCCAGCACATAGCAGCACGAAGGCCGTCATCACCACCTTTATGCTCGCCTTGCGCATCGTTGTATTAAACATGAACTCGTGCGCAAGCAGTTCGACCAATCCAGTGTAGATCAGAATGCCTGCCGATATCGAGTCGAAGACGCCGTTGACGATCAGGGTTGTGGCCGACTCTGGAGGATACGTGTTCCGCACCCCGAGACCAATGGCGATGGCAATAGGTGTGGATAGACCATAAGCCAAGCCGAGAAGATAGGGAGTCCACCGACGACCCTTAGGCCAAGGTGTCAGAGCGAGCCGTGATCCCAGACCGAGACCCTCGAATGTCTGGTGGAAGATGAGGACGATGAAGAGCGTAGTGAATTCTTCGCCTGCGACGGCAAGAGTGAGACCGATGAAGACGGAATGGACTAGAAAGACATGTTAGCTGAGTTCCAATAACATGTTTCGACGCCGTAGGGGCACTTCAACAACTTATTTGTTGCTCAGTGAGCGGGGCAGACTCACATATTATTCCAAATTCGAGAATGAAGATTGCTGTCATTTGTGCCTTGTAATCCTCCAAGCTCAGCGGGCTTGATGCATCCTCGATGTCGGTGTGCTCGCGAGCATGGCCGTGATGATCATGAGCAGGAGCATGTACCGACGCACGGTGATCCTTGCGAGGAGTGATTTCTGGTTCTGGTATAGAACCTGGACTCCTCTTTGGATCGTCACTGTATGCCGCCAATTCCGCAGTTGTCTCATCGCCATGATCGTGTGAGTGTCCGCCAAAGTTGCCGTAACGCATGACCATGAGCTCGACGAAGAACAGTACGATGATGGTCATGAGGATTATACCTTCCACCCATGAGTATTCTGTGATGGGACCTGTCAAGCATGGATTCGTGAGCGCTTCTTCGGCGGGACCCAGCAAGTGTATGAAGGCTGTTGCTATGATGACGCCGGAGCCGAAGTATTTGCACGCAAAGAAGACCCAGTCGGGAATTCGGACTCCTTCATGGCGTTTGGCGAACACGGGGAAGACGGCACCGATGGACGAGGTGACCCATATTATGAAAAGGGCTGCAACACGAAGGCCTATACGACCGTCGTATTCATTGCCTGTTTCGCACGATGGGGCCTGTGCTTCCTCCTCTTGCCGTAGCACCAGGTTGGCGAAGCCAATGGCTGACATGTTGCACGGATGATGTCGCCAAAGACGTTCAGCATGAAACGCGTCTGCCTTTTGTCTGCTTTGGCATGTTAGCAAATCTCACAGGAAGTGCGAAAACAGTTTCAATGCAAGTTTCTGCGGGCCCTTACTTTTCAATGCGTTCAAGCCAAGAACTGAAAGTCTTTCAGCTGCGCTTGACGTTCCTTAGGACAGATCCGATAACTCGGTTGTACAGCACCAAGAAACTACCACATGGTTGCAAAAGGCTTTGTAGAAGATGTCTTGAAAAGTTGCAGAGGGTGAAGGAGAGATTTGCGTGGTTCATACCTCGTTTGTCAGTCTCAAGGTCCTCACTTCCAATCCTCATTTTGGAACTCTAAAAATTGCCGGCAGCAGATCCGTCACGTGACGTTATCATGATCTGCCAGTACTGCCAGTGCACGTCATATTTTTCAGGTGATGGTCAAAGAGGGTGTGCTCCTTCCCATCAACTCAGATACCTAGAATCGATCCTGCTTCGCCAAAAGACCGAGTCGACCGCGGTTGCGAGCGAAACCCAGGCAGTCGCAGATAGCCGTTGTAGGCAAGAACAATCGAAACCGTGAGAGCAGTGACTGATGAGGTCAAGACCTGGCTGTACCAGAGCTGATGCTGTCGAGCCTGCTGAACTGCCACCTGTTTGCGCACCTTCTCCGCTCCCCCTTGCTGAGCTCGATTCGAGCGGGCTTCTGTTGGTACAATCCACGTCCGCAATATGGGCGTAGCCTCCGTTACGCTGACTACTATATTGTTGACAATGGTTGTCCATTCGGGTCTCTGCGCCTCCTGCCATGGCAGTGCCTGAGCCTCATTTCCAACTGTGGACTTTCTCTTCCCTGACCTGCCGCTGCCCAAGAATTCTTGTTGCCTTCTTCTAGCCCATTCGCCCAGTCTCGGAAAGCGCCTATCCAGTGCCTCCTCCAGCCACGGCTGCGGCGCTCGGGGTCGGACGCGCATCAATGCCAGATATCCGAGGCACAAACAGTCGACACTGGCCATCTTGTTCGCGACAAGCCATTCCTTGTCTCCAAGGCTCTCTTCCAAAGGAGCCAGTAGATCAGTGATCACTGCGTCCAGGCGAAATCGGCTTCTCTTTGTGTCATGCCCGAGCAGCGCCTGAACTGTCTGCCTTGACTTCTTCAGCGATTGTGGGATTTGTGCGCCCACGCCCCCGTCTGAGGCCTCATCTTGTGCTGTATCCACGTCCAACCCGCTCAGACCCAGGTGCTCTGACGACTTCCTGGCTTTCTCGCGTAGGCAATGTGGAATAGACCAGCTACTCGGCCATGATAAAAGATCTGCCAGTGCAGGTCTGGTGCATTCGGTCCAGTTCTCGGTACTGACATAGAGGTGGAGATCGAGCAACGGCCGGCCACGAGACTGTATGAAAGAGCTATATGCGGCGCAGTCGGCTGCCTGGCTCGGCGTGAGATCTCTATCTAGATCCCATACATTGTTTTCAGCCCGAAGATGTGCAATTATGTTTGCGAAGCCGGCCACCCAAGTACTGTCATCCTTCAAAGCCGGTAACTCGTTCAGTGGATTGAGTGAGGAATCCGATGTGGCGACGAGCGCCCAGCTGTCGCGTGGCAGACATGTTCTGAGGTAGGCAATAGCTCCTAAACACGTAGGATCAATTGAAGGAAGACCAAAGCCAGGACCCCAGACATGCAACTCGAATCTCATATTCAGACGCGTCTCTCCATGCTAGCTGCAGTCTGATGGGAAGAACAGAGAGAGGCCTATTCGGTTTAGGCAGCGTGGGGAGTTACTCAGGCCTATGCCCGGCGCTAGTGCCCGAGCATCAAAAAGCACATGCATGATGTTCGAGTACCTCGACAAAGACCGGCAATGCACTACTTGCTCTTTCACAGTCGCTGCGTTGGTTACCTCTTCAAGCCAGACGGTAATACGGGACAGTAGCCTCAGTTCGTCACCTGCGATCGACCGCTAGCGAGCATTTTGAGTGCCTGAAGCTGACTCGTCTCCCTTGCTTGGCCCCTGTCGCCTGTCGTATGTCACTTGCCTCGGTTCGCTTACAGGCTTCACGAGCGCGCGTCAACTGCTTGTGGCCTTCACCTTTAAGAATATTCGCCAGGGTCTTTAATAAGCCGTGATCCTCACCCGTTTGGCCATTCTGCGATCCTTCTAAACTTCGCTGTCTTCTAATTCTTCTGATATTCTCAGCCCAAAGCGCTATTGACCGTTCGATCTCTTCCATAACGTCATCGCCTACTCTCCGCTGGCGGGAGCCTGAGAGCGAGAAATGCCAGTTCCAACAGCTCTGGCTGTGCCAGCGGCGGCGGCAGGTCTCGCATACTTGAATGCGAGATGGCGCATTCCGGACGATGTTCGAATATTGAAGGCAGTACGTGGGCACTGTGCATTTTCCTGCCAACTCCGTCGATATATGGAGACATACTGACATCGCCAAGTTGATCGGAGGCTCAATCGCCTTTAAAAGGAGAGAGCGAGCAGATCGAATTAATAGCTTCTATATTCTGGAGGGTCACGCCAACAATCCTAAGGTCGCAGATAAGACATTTATCATATACGATGGCCAAGCATGGACGTTTCGACAGACCTACGAAACTGTGCTTCGTTATGCCGGCTGGTTGCATTCCACCCACAAAGTCACCAAAGGCGAATTCGTGGCCATCAACATGATGAACAGCGCGCAAATGTTGTTCACTATCATAGCTGTATGGTCGCTTGGCGCCGTTCCGGCCCTCATCAATTACAACCTCACTGGGGATGGGTTCACTCACAGCGTCAAGTCCGCCAGTGCGCGAGTCCTGATCACCGAACCTGAGATCGAATCGAAGACACTTGATGATGCGACCCGCGCTGTCCTCTTGTCACCAACGTTTCGCAACAACTCCTTCCCATTGGAAATTGCCGTTTTGGACGGAGGCTTGTTGAAGTCTTTGAACTATTTTCCGCCATATCGAGCCCCCGACTCCGTGCGATCTGGACTTCAAGGGCGATCCCCTCAGGTCTTGATTTTCACATCCGGAACAACAGGTCTCCCCAAACCAGCACTTGTGACTTGGGAACGCACGCAAGCCTCCTCTGATACGGTCTACAGGTGGATTGGTCTCCGAAACGTGACAACCGCGAATCCCGACCGCTACTACACTGCCATGCCACTCTATCACAGCTCAGGATTCCAGCTCAATTTCCACGTCTGCCTTATCGGCGCTTGTACGATGGTTGTTGGTCGAAAATTCTCGGCATCGAATTTCTGGGACGACGTGATCAGGAGCGAGGCTACGGCAATACAATACGTTGGTGAGACCCTGCGATATCTCCTGGCAGTCCCGCCTCGGCCAGATGATCGTACGCGGCACAATGTTCGTCTTGCCTTTGGTAATGGCTTGCGCGCCGACGTGTGGGAGCGATTTCGTGGGCGCTTCGGTGTGGAGACCATCATCGAGTTCTACGGCGCCACGGAAGGTGTCGGTGGCACGTTCAACTACAATCGCAACAGTTTCTCCGCCGGCGCGATCGGATCTATCGGCAGTCTGACGAACCTCTTGATGAGCTCGATGTACGCTTTTGTTAAGGTCGACTGGGACACCGAGGAGCCGTATCGGGATCCAGAGACGGGCTTTTGCGTCAAGGTGTCTACAGGCGAGCCGGGTGAGCTTCTCGCCAAGCTTGATGAAAAAGACATTGGCGCCAAATTCCAAGGATATCACAACAATCCTGAAGCGACCAAGAAGAAGCTCATGCGAGATGTCTTCAAGAAAGGCGACGCCTATTTCCGGACAGGAGACGTAATCATCAAAGACTCAGAGCACAGACAGTGGTTCTCAGATCGCATCGGTGACACATTCCGATGGAAAAGCGAGAACGTCTCGACAGCACAGGTTGGCGAAGTACTTGGCCACCATCCCAAGGTTCAGGAGGCGAATGTCTACGGCGTTAGTCTACCAGGATACGAAGGGCGTGCTGGCTGTGCAGCAGTCATGCTCGAACCATCAGCTTTTGAAGGGGCTGGGCACCTCAAACCTGAGGTGCTTGAAAGCCTCGCGACGTGGTGTACCAATAGTCTGCCGAAGTATGCTGTGCCCATTTTCATTCGAACGGTGACGGAGCTAGTCGTCACAGGCACGAACAAACAACAAAAGCCCAAGCTTCGACAAGAAGGCGTGCAGCCAGACAGGATGGGCTCAGACAAGGTGTACTGGCTGAAGCCAGGCAGTGCAAAGTATGAGCCATTCGATGCTCGTGGATGGAGTGAGATATGTGGTGGAACGGCGAAGCTGTAGACAGGCGTATGTTTGAGGCGTAAAGCACAATGTAGGTGATGAGTGAACTGGGATTTGATATCTGATGCCACATACACATATGTACGGATTGTCTCAGACAACCATCACGGCAAAAAATGCCTCCAGGTGCATACGCACCCACGTTACGACCAATTTTACCATCAACATGTGGCTACAACGTGCGACACGCGTTGCAGGAGGACTCGCCTGCCGCGTGGACCTTTCATGCTCAAAGCCAAGCTGCAATGCCGTACGCGAACCATGGTGAAGGTGGTCTCTACTTGCCGGATGATCTGGACCCCTAAGGTATCTCGACAATCGTAATGATAGCCGGACGATTGATCGTTCCAGATCTGCGAGAACTCTTACATTCCTTCCAAAGCTTCGTAGCGTGGGTAAGCCCGCGCAGAGCTTACAGGACTTTCTCATCACCAGTAGGTACCTGCCAAAACCCGAACCTCAATATCTGCCTTGCGCTGTGCTGTGAGCTCTTACATGCAAATGAAAGCCCGGCTCGCTTCATACGATCACATCAATTCCCTTTACCGCCATGGCCACATCGCAGCAATTCAACTGCGATCGGGCCGTCCAGCAGCATTCCCTCCGATGGGCGGTCCGCTGCTCTTTGACTTTAGGTTATTGGTGACAGAGGCTGAAACCTACGTGTCCAATGTGACCAGATTTCAACCAAGTTTCATCACTTTGGGAAGAGATCGCAGCGCGCCAGTGTCCTCAGAGCAGAATGTTGCGCTGCACTTAGTGAAGCACCGCACTGCCATCCGTGAAAAGTTCTGAGCACAGTGCTATCGAGTACTGGTGGTCGTGGGAGCTGACGTTCAAGCATTATGTACGCCCAGCACGCAACAAGGGGTGGCTCAGCTCCTGTGACGAACGCAGGCGGCCCCCGGTGGCAGCGATCTGCGACGCAGCCCCTGACGCGAGCGTAGCCCACAAGCACCGGCTAAAGCCTGTTTCGAAAAGGCTTATTACGACGCTTTACCGGCTTAAATCAGTGTGGAGAAAGGATGACTTCAACGCGCAACCTGCTTCTGGACCTGCATCGTTGCCACAATCGTTGCTGTGCTGCGCCGCGTGCGTTCGACGTCAAGGGCGGCGAGGCCACCCCCCTTTGCCCGTCTCCATCAACGACTGGCTCGATTCTCATGCTCCGGCCTTTTGGTAAGGTTTAGAAAAGGAGCCGAGACACCTGTTAGTCGAATCTTCTTCAGAGGCCCCAGTGGTTCAGCTGCCCGCGTGAGAGACTGGTGGTAGGATTCCCCAGGATGCGGCCTGAATCCTACAGGTACAAGTAGCAGCGTACTCCCCTGCCTCCTTCCCAGGTCTTCTTCAGCTCCAAGTTACAACCACAAGCACTACACTCGTTATCCCACAAGCCCATCCACCCTCTCCAAACCAACTTCACTACATACCTCCATCATGCGCTTCACACCCCTCCTCCTCGCCGCGGCAGCCGCCTCCACCGCGAGCGCACAAGACCTGGCCTCCATCGTCAACGGCCTCCTCACTAACAGCAACTTCCTCTCCCTGGCCTCATCCCTCGCCACCGACTCGGGCTTCGCATCCCTGACCTCCGAACTCGCCACCATCACCGGCACCGACATCCCCTCATCGCTCTTGACCAACAGCGTCGTCCAGTCCCTCGAGAGCGTCCTGCTCGGCAACTCCGCCATCTCAAGTCTGACGTCCGAGCTGGCCACCAACTCTGAGCTCAGCAGCATTACTGGCGCGGCAAGCAGTCTCGAGAGCGCTGTGAGCACGGCTACGGACAGTGCTAGCAGTATGGCCAGCAGTGCCAGCGAGAGTGCCAGCTCGATGGCCAGCTCGGCTAGCTCGAGTGCGAGCGCGAGCGCAAGTGGAAGCAGCGGTGCGGCTGGACGGAATGCTCCGCTTATTGTGGGCGGTGGTGTTGCGGCTGGAGTGTTGGGGCTGGCTGCTTTCCTGTAGACGAACCACATGCGGTTTCGGGATCAGTGTGAGCTGGAGGGAAATTAGACGAAACAGAGGAACAATATTGTTCGGAGCCACCTTGCTGATATGGGTCGAAGGGAAGTTAGTATGCTTCATGTAGACCTTGTGTTCATATACCATCTATGTACACTATGAATGTACAGACGTTCGAAAGTAATTCTTTTTAGTGTGTCCAGTCCGGTCCCGCAACGTAACGTGCACGCAGTCCCTCGATGAGAGCCATTTCCTTGCCAGACCCAGGGACATGCGGCCACTGCCCGATCGGACTCAGTCCTTCGAAAGTCTAATCCATCTACAAGAAAGCAGCCAGCCCCAAGACACCAGCAGCGAACCCACCACCAATAGCCACGTTCCTGCCTGCGCCGCTGCCACCGGTTGCTGATGCGACCGCACTGCTGGCGGAGCTCGATGCTGAGCTAGCAGCAGACTCACCGCTCGCAGACGCGCTGCTCGCAGCCTCACTAGCGCTTGTCTCGAGGCTGCTAGCAGCGGCAGTAAGGCTACTGAGGTCTGAGTTGGTGGCAGCAACAGAGGTCAATGAGCCAATGGCAGAGTTGCCCAAGAGCACGGAGGTGACACTCTGGAAGACGGTGTTGGTGGCGATGTCGCTGGGGAGGACTGTGCCGGTGACTGTCTGGAGCTCGCCCACGATAGAGGCGAATTCGGTGTTGGTTGCTAGATCGCTGACAAGGGAGCCCAGGGCTGGGTCGGTCGCAATGGCGTTGACGAGGGAAGCGAATTGCTCTTGGATGTCTTGTGCGACGGCGGTTGAGGCCGCGGCGAGGAGGAGGATTGGTGTGAAGCGCATGATTGCTGTTGTGGTGTTGCTTTTTAGATTGAACGTGCGAAGCTTTAAGAGTTGCTGATAAGGAACGAGTGTGAATGTGAGAACAACGTTCAGGGCGTGGTCGGATGTGGTGAATGAGAAATAGACACGAAGTAGGTAGTGTCGAGGTGAAACGCCTCTCTCTTGTAGTCTTCCCTGTGGATTAATCTCTTCCTCAGCCTAACGAATGGAGCCATACCAAGTATTGCCCGGTCGCCTCCTTTTCGTTCGTATTTGGACGGCCTATTTTTAAGCAGTGTTTTAGGAGCGAATGCGTTCACTGCATGCACCTCAGTGGTCGAGAAGGCCCTCATCACATTTCTTCTGGCCATCAAGTTCAGCTCACCCGTCTGCTGGTGTCGCAATGCTGGATTACGCATCCCGATCTCATTGTGACGCGACAGAAATGCCATGGACGATGCTGATCCTCGCGGATATAATCAAAGCCAAGCAACAGCATAATGGAGATCTTCGTGTACTCAGCCTTTCAAGAGCGGCCACAATTCTTGTTCTTGCCAGTAAATCGCCGTTTCCTGGATCTGGCCCCAGCTAAAGGCCTCCCTCGTGGGAATCATTTGTTGATCAAGCTGAAGCAGCTCCACGAAGTCGTGCGATGTGAAACAGATCGAGTGAGGGCTTCTCCCAGCCCAGGGGTAACATCCCGCACAGCCGTAAGCGATTGGTCGACTTGGTGATAGGCGGATTCCTTGGTATTTCGGCTTGCACGCGGGTACGTGCAGCAGCGCGCTCGAAATATCTTGGACGTTTGTGCATGCAACGTCGTCGTTGCCTCAAGCCTTCTGACGATTACAGTATCATTGCCATATACATGCGTGCTCCTGACGTGGCAGTGTTAATCGACTGACATTGTAGGTGCACGGTAACGCCGATGTTGAGCAGATTTGTGACACGAAGTAGTGGCTGAGGCTAGCGGGCGATCGAAATTGCAGCGGAATCCGAGCTCTTGGCAAACCTCAACATCTTACCTAGCCTCCCGGATTGTCAACCTGTGTTCTTCAATATGCAAGGTTGAGAGCACGATATTGTTGGACGCGATTCTCTACGTTGGTGAGGATGTATGCTCACGCATCTTGCGGAAGATTACAATTCACGGCAGCACAGCCAGTGCGAACCTTGGATGGCACGTGGCATGGCTGAAAAGGCTCTACGAGTACCTTCCAGTATTACGTGTTATCTCTCGCCGTGCAATTCCACTCCAGAGTCCTCCTGCCGTAGAATTACAACCCACCACAATCACTAGCCCAAATCATCTATCACAGAGGTGTCCCCGAGGTATTCATCGAGCAAGCCATTCATCCACAGAACAACTGTATCATCGTAAGTGAAACCTATACCACTTTAACTTTATGCTCACATCAGATGGCAGACTCACGTCCGCTAAGATGCCGCCGCACATCGCAAAAAACATTCGCCTACACATACCATGGAGGCAAGACAAGGCAGTTGAGGCTGTAGGCATGGCCTCCATCTGGCATATGGAGCCGTTCTCTGCTTGAGAAAGACATTCCCGTCAACGTTCGATCCCAACTACAAGCCCCCGCGAGACGAAAAGAAGTGAGTAATGGAAGTTAATCAAAGGTGGGAAGCAGCAACGCCAGGCTTACTGGATCCTGTCAACCTTGATCGGCATGCCTGACGCCCGCCCGGTGACGACTTCTCTCGCCACGTTAACGAGGTCTTCGTGCTGTGTACATGCTTTGCGCTTGTCACGAGCAGCAGGCATCTCTGAAATGGCTTGATAGTTATGAGAATACAGACACTCCAATCTATCCACGCGCTCAACACTCATGCAAGTAAGACAAAATGACTACTTCAGGAACCCAGCCTACTTCTTACCCTTCTTACCCTTCTTCTTCGTTGGACTCTTCTTCTCAGGAACCAGCATGTCCCCAAAACGAGCCTGCTTCTCTTCCAGCGTCAATAGGTACTTGACGCCCACAGGCCTACTGCTTCATAGAGCACATGCCAAGCATTCATTGCTCCCATACCAGTATTGTCAGCCTTGTCGGCAGCCTGTAGCTTCGCTATGAGCGTGGGTTTGGTCTCTTTCGCTGCCTTTGTAATCCCTCTGGAATTGACCTCAGCCTCCAGCTCGGCCTTGACCATCCTGTTGTAGTCTACAAACTCAGGCCGGGCAGGGCTGTCTGAGCTTTTTGGGCTTGCTGACTTCTGTCGCTTGCTTGATGAGGCTGAGCGTCTTTATTGGCGGCAGGGTCGTCAGTAGTTGCCGGCACTGCGTCTGGTGACTTCCTCTTGCCACCAGGGCTACCACGCGGCGTATGTCGTGATGGCCTACGTACAACGGATGGAGAACGGCTCTTCTCACGACGTGGTGATGCCGACGTCGCTGCAGGCGCTGGGTCTGCTGATGTGTCTTCGTTGACGTCCTCCTCTGGCGCAGGTACATACATCGCCCTCCTCAATGCCGCCAGAAGCCTTTGTACACCTTCGGTGTCGACGCCATCATCCGCACTGCCCTTGGCGAAGAATTCCTGAATCTGATCCAGGTACGTGGCCGCCCTCAGCGCACCGGCATACAAGTCGGCATTTGCCTCAACTTCATGACCGGTGTACTGATCCCACAACGGCGGGTCTTCCCACTCCTTCTCAGTGATGGTCTCGCCAAGTCCTCGTCGAACCAATAGTAAGTCGTCATGGGCTAATGTCATGGCTTCGTGGTAGTAGTAGTGGCTCGGGGCATTCCGTGGGATGCCACTGAGCTCATCGCATTCGCGGAAGAGGCCTGCGAGCTGACGTAGGATTCGCTGGAGCCGTGCTGCATGCTGGTGGTATCTCCCGAGCGGACGCATGGTCTCTCCTGTTCCACGTCTGCCGCCGAAAAACTGCGATCTGCCGTAGAACCTTGAGAACATGAACATGACGAGTACTGCGAGCTTTCTCTCCTGCTTATCAACGTCTATCTCGGCATCGTCCAGCAGCTTACTTACGCTCTTACCGATATCGAGCAATAGCTTCTCGAACATCGGGCTTGGGTACTGAAAGCTTGACCAGGAACATCGTTCCCGCCACGAAGCTTCGGTGAATTTCATTCCTCCGTTCGGGAAGTCTTTGGTTCCGATTCGATGTTTGAGCAATCTGAAGCTAACGTCGTTTAGCATTCTCAGATGCACGTGGAATCTAGCGTTGGTCCAGCTGGGGCCTGCGTTCTTCCGCAGCTTGACTTGTTCAGCGATTGAGTCGCAGCCCTGCATGAGAATCTCTGCAAGTCCGTCGTCCTCCGTTGTGACTGGCGGCAAGTCCTGGATGTGCTCGCACAGACCGTCCACTGCTATAAGGTCCAATGAACTGCAAAGGCCGTTACATACGTGGTGGAACTCTCCGGGGAAGTAGGGACATCGATGACAGTGTCCAGCGTATGCTTCGACCGATTCCTGGCCCGGATGCTCGCTTTCAGCAGGAAGGGGGTCGGCCATGCCCTGGCCGGACGACGACTCGCGAGAATTTGGGTTGTCTTCCAGAACACTGACATGATCTTCCAGTCCCGGGAGGACCGCCGGTCCCATGACATGTCGATTCGGGTTACTGGACAAAGCCAGTGTCGGGCTTCCTTGATCCTCGGCTCGCCAATTGGACCTGTTCTTTGGAGAGAGTAAGATGGTATCGGCGCCACTGAAGAAAGGATCATTATTGTCCTCTTTAGTCAAATCAATTATGTTTTCGGGAGGTGGCGAAATCGAGCGAAGTGCTCGTCGATCAGGTTGAGTCTGGCGCCGCACGGGCACATCGACGGGCGGCTCGTTCTCTTGATTGCTGTGAGACAAGGATGGTGGGTCTTGTTGTTGATTCTCAGCATCGACGGGGCTTTGGCGTGGGCTTCGCCTCGGCTGCTGGTTCTCTTGATTAGAGTCTTGTGCAGGAGATCCGTGTTGGTCGTCATCTTCCGCTCCTGCGAGGAAGAGCTGGGTTTCCAAGCCAGTATCTTCCAGAGGGAGATCATCGGCCGCCGCAGCATCAGACCTTCCGTAGAAATCGCTTAGAGCGTCTTCCCACCTCCAGGCGTTGCGTTCCAGCGCGCGGAGAAGTACCTGTTCAAACTCGTCGTCGTCCTCATATGCAGAGCTATCCACGAAAGCCGCAAGTCGTAGCAGCTGATCCTTTTCCTCCGAACCATATCCCGTTGAAAAAGAGAGGTCTACGATCGGAGCACGTATAGTATTCGTCGAGATTCCCTCACCCTTGTCCTCCCAAAGCTCAAAAGCCTCGTCGACATCCCAGTTGGCTTTCACCAGAAGATCGCCGACTAGATAGTCAGCTTGGCGCTGCTCCCAGATTGGGAGGCGCAGTAGGTCTGCAAGGTCTTGAATGGCGTCCAACTTTTCCTTGGGCCAGTACTGCTTGGCATTCATCCAGTGTTCTGGACCATAGCCGCCACCTCTCAGTTTGGTAGTAGGCAGTTGTGGTCGGGAAGACGGTTTGCTGACGCGTGATTTCTCGTCGAACTTTGGTGACAGTGGTGACCTCGAGCTGGCACTGAGCTTGCTCGCCGAATCTCTTCCTGTCGACAAGGCGGGCTTTCGTTGTAGTTTTCGTGGAGCTATGGAGGGGACTTGTCGTGGAACTGGACGCTCGTGGATCTTTTTGCCCAGAATGAGCTGTGCAAGCTATATCCAACACTGAGGACTCCGTTGGAATGGTACTTGCGCCATACGGAAGCTTTAGGCTGAACGTGAGCGCGCGGGATGTTGTGCAGATCCGAAGCTCGGAGACCGTCTGATTGAATACCAGGCTCGCGCATATCACGCTTGATCAGTTGATCGGCTGCGCAAGCGAGGGCTCGAGTCTCTGGGAATGGGTAATATGCATAGTCCCATGCACTCCTCATCGATGTGAAAGTCTTCATCGGATAGGACTTTGCGGTAGAGCTTTCCTCCGCAGGATCATATCCAGCGGCCTTGCGGGCTGTTCGGTTGTCCTGCTTGACCATGGAAGGATCTCTGCCGTCAAGCACACGGTATAGTGCTGCTGTTCGTCGGAGCGCTTCGTATACCTCAAAATCCAGCTCCTGGTCGCCGTGTATGAGATTCCGCAGCAGCTGCTCATCGCCTTCCAACATTGCCTTCTTCTCAACGATTTCGTCAGACTGTGCTGGAGACAAGCTTACGAAGGCGCAGTCGGCAAATTCGAAGACTATTTTCTGAACCATACTCCACTGGAGAATTTCGTTGGTGTCGTCGAGGCCGTTGAGAGTCAAGGCCACCCATCCCGTTCGAAAGAACGCTGCCTCCTTGTCTGACGCGAACGTCCCCATGCCCTCAAGCCATAAGTGCTTCACAGCTCTCCACGTCCAGAGCCAGGCAGCTTTCTTTGGGTCGGTGCGATAGGTCAGCCACTGATACTCTTGGTGCAGCCTCCCGATTCGATAGATTGCGCGCCTGGCTTCATCCTTCGTGAAAATACCGGCTGTATCGTCGGGTCTCAACTTGACCAATTCCGACGAGAGGAGCACTTCCAAGGCGGCACGTACGAAGTGATCGTCGGTTTGTGCCGATCCGTTGTGTTGAGAAAGACCTGACTTCAACCTTTCGTATCTTGCTTCCTGCTCGGCTCGGCTTCCGAATCTGTTGTCGGGCTGGGATGACCCAGTTGCCTTTGCGTTGACGACCATGCCTGTTCGCTCGATGCGTCTCAGACTTCCTCACGGTATGCTAAAGATCAATCCCTAGAGTATTTCGGAAGGCTCGAAAGTAACAGGACAAGCAGGACAACGTTTTGCACTTACCGGCTTTCATTACGGAGTCGGCACAAGCACAGCATCAAAGGATAACAAAGCTCTTGCTGTACAAGTCGCACTGTGAACATGCTGCATGGCTGCGAGCAGCATTGGCAAGCAAAGACAATGGAAGCCCTGCGCTTGGTCTCCGGATGCGGCGAGCGTCGGCGTCGACCACGGGCAGGACTCACTCTGGATGCAATAGGGCTTGCTTCTGGCACAGTATGTAGTCGAGCGCAGTATCCCATCTGCCTCTCCGGGCCACGTTTGTCGATGAATCCGTCATTGTTGGAGCCACTGCGAATGATGGCAAAGACACTAGAGTAGACACACCGAGCGTACAGACGGGGTAGTTCTTGATGTCCACACAGTAACTCGTCTGCTTTGACGCAGCCAGCGGTCGGATAAGAATCTACGTCTGTCTGTAGCAACGACGGCAGCCATGTCGATGTGCATGTCATCTCTCCACGTGAAAGACGCCCATCAGCTTCCGGGGTCTGTCAGCTCAGGCGAGGGGAGAGGGACAAAGAGCCTATCAGTGGTCAATGCGTTTCCGCTTTCGGACGCAAGTCGGCAGCCCGCATTGCACAAGCAGTATGCATGAATGTGCAATCCGCTGCGAGACCAGACCGAGTGTTTGCCGCGTGAATTGGGAGCTCCAGCTGCTAGGTTATTCCAGTGAGAAACCGCGGCTTCAGACGGAAGAGTTGTTGTCAGACCACGCTCGAAGTCAGCTGAGCGAAGCCAGCTGCAGGGTGTGAGAGGTGGTGCTACTCTCAACGTTTGCAACGAACTGAGCTTCAATCGGCCGCATTCGTGGCGTGATAACGCTTATACCGTTTACGAAGGCAGTCGAAGTGACGTGGAAATTGAAGGCGAGGACAGAAGCGTGTTGGATCTCAGCTATTTAGCTTGTTTCCCCACAAACCCAAGCGACGATCTCCTTCCTTGGGCTCCTTGGCGGCGGTTTGGTCCCTGGAAAATAGCGGAGGCTAAGCTACGTAAGGCGGGTTAGGTCCCCAGGATAAGGTGGGTTGGTCTGAGCTTGCCGCCCGCATTGAACCGCCTCGACTTTCTTCTGCATCTTCAGTGATGCTTCACTCCTGTCCGGCTTCTCGTCTCTTCTACCAAGTCCATCACCGCTCACGATTACTGATCTTTCGTCAGGAGACCGTCCGCAAATCTTGACCTCTGATCGCTGCATTTTGGGACGTCGCCGGGTTATCATCGACCTTGCTCGAACAACCCCCTTTGGCGACCGCCGCGTGTTTTGAGGATGACGTGACTCGTGGCAGTCTTTGTTCACGGCCGCATCGCAGGGCACGTACAATCACAAAGCTACTGAGAAGAAATCGAGTTGGTCGAGCGATACATATACATACCCAGAACAGCCTTCGGGTAATTGAAGACTTCGAGTTCAAGACCTCGAAAACCAGCAAACATGGCCGACCAGTCTCAACCTTCCCCTCCTCCGAACCGCCGTCGTTCCTCGATAGTCGAGATGTTCACTGGACGACCGGCCCTATCAAGCTCTGGTTCTTCGTCACCTCCATCCGGTTCCTCCACGTCCCCAAACGCTCCACAGCATCGCCGCGGTATGAGCATCACAACGATGGGTCTTACAGGCAATGCCAACGGCCAAAACTCTCCCTATAATGCTTTTGCGCGCCAACGTCGTGCTAGTGTAGCGACTTCGACTGCTTCCGGCTCTCCTGAATTCAAGAACAGCTTCGGAGATGATCCCGTAGTCATCGAAGAGGACGACGGGCCCAAGTCCCCTACGACAAACCCGGCCGGCTCCTTTGCCCGAAGAGTCAGCTTCGGCGCGCAAGCGATGAGAGATGCTAAGCAAGGGAGTGGTTCTGGGAGTTCTGGTGCTGGTAGGCGCCCCTCCAGTTCCCTTTTCAGCCTCAGTGAGAACACTGAGAACGACCCCCCTCCTCGGGCCCGAGTCCCCTCAGACATGGCCAAGACTTCAGGTAAGAGTCGAGGCTTGTACTCTCGGTCTCCTGCATCTCATAAAGGAGCTGTGGCTAACGATATGTGTACAGGGGAGGGCTTCAACTGGTCAGAGGCTATGAGGGACCGTACGAAGCGATCACCATCATTCTCCTCATCAGTCAATCCTTTCGCGACCAACAACAATCGCATGCGTAGCACTAGCACTACTGCCCCAGAGCCGCCCAAGGAGATGCCGAAGGCAGTCGAGCCTGTTGCGCCGCCGAAGATGCGGAAGCCTGATCATTTGGGAGAGAGAATGCTCAGAGGAGACTTTATGATGGACTAGGCATAGTTTGAAGTCCGAGTCAGTTGACGAGTCGCTTGCTTGGGTTCTGTATGACTACGGTGGATGCGTTGCTGTGCTACAGTGGTCCCAGGATTGATTTGCTGGGTTATGGATGGCTGAGGGACTCGTACAAGAGGTACTCACAGAATGAACACTAGGTATGGACTTTAGGAGCTTCATGACCAAAATTGAATGACACAGCATTCTCTCCAATGATTTTCGTGCGATGAAACAGATCTGCATTGATTGATTCATCCAACCCACTCCCAGAGCCTCGACATATAGACCGTGAAGGTGCCCGTAGATGCTGATTGACCATGCCCGTTCAGTGCCGCCAGTGGCTGCGGGCGGAGCGGGGCCGGAAGTCGAGGCTATGGCATCACTTCGGGGCCAATTTTAAGCTTGTTGTCGTCCTAGGACCAAGACAAGCTACGTAACCAGCCTCCCAGCACCAGTCGAACGGCAATCTTGCGCCGGAGATCATGGCATGGGGCCGCGACAAGTCACACATAGGCCGTGACAAGCAGTGGCAGTAGTTCAGAGCCCTTCAACGCTCTTCTGGCCGCAATACTTCCCAAGTCGGATTGCCGCGCATTGAAACCTATATCAATACCGCGATCAGAAATATACAGCTAGGCCGGCGACGAGCCACTCGATCATTCCAAGGTAGCGAAGTCCATATGATCGACTTTTGACGGTCAAGGATGCACTGAAAACGCCTCCGCGCACCACTGCACTCGCTCTTGGCTGTTGTCTGCCGTTTCCTTTACAACTGCCGTCTTACGATTGAGCCACGTCCTCCATCGGACACCAGACTGCCAAAATGGAGAAGACGATCAAGGGCGCCACAAAAATCAAGGTCAGTAGCCCGAAGCATCGGCTGGTGAGCCTCAGTTGAGGTCTTGCTGACGATAGACCACAGTTGGCTGCGCCCAAGTCCAAGTACATCGAGTCGATCCTCTCATCCACCCATGGCGGCGAGTCCGGCGTCGCTGAGGTCTTCCGAGTGCTCCAATTGAGGCTTCGCGACTCAACATGGACGATCGTCTTCAAGTCGCTAATCGTGGTTCATCTCATGATCCGAGAGGGCGCACCAGAAGTTACTCTACGTTATGTGGCGGAGTCGCCAAAGAGACTTGCTATCAGCAGTTTTGCGGAGGCTCAAACACAAGGTGTGAATATACGGCGATACTATGAATATCTATCGGAGCGAGTGAAGGCCTACCGAGATACAAAAACGGACTATGTTAGGTCCGGCGTTGGCAAGATGAGGCAGTTGACAGTGGACCGTGGCCTGTTGCGGCAGACGGAACTGGTACAAGACCAAATAAGAGCACTGATTCGATGTGATGTGAGTATGGTTGTGCGCCAGCGCTGGAAGAGTCTAACAAGACGCAGTTCATGGGCCATGCGGATCCGGATAACGAGATCACCCTGCTCGCGTTTCGTCTCTGCACAATGGATTTGTTGGAGCTCTTCAAAGTTATGAACGAGGGCACCATCAATGTTCTAGGTGCGTGATGCCCATTGAACGACCGGAATCTGCTGACGTATTCTACAGAGCACTACTTCGAGATGTCCAGACCCGATGCAGAGCGTGCTCTGAACATATACAAGACTTTCGGAAAGCTGACGGACCAAGTCGTGCAATACCTTGGCACGGCGCGGCAATATGAGTCTGCCACGAGGCTTGAGGTGCCGAAGCTGAAGCATGCCCCAACCACGTTGACGGCCTCACTCGAAGAGTATCTGAAGGACGCTGATTTCGAGATCAACCGCCGGCAGTATCTTGCGCAGCAGGAGGCAAAGAGGACAGGAAAGCCGGTACAGAACGTCTCGAAACCTGCTCCAATACAGCCAACGAAGGCCAGCACGACCACTTCCGTTTCGAGACATGCGCCTCCAGTGGCCAAAGGACCGGCGCCCGATCTCATCGACTTCTTTGAATCTATTGAGCAGAATCAGCAACCTATGGCGCAATCAGCTCCTCAACAGATGCAACAGCCTGTGAACACTGGCTTTGTCCAAAATCAGCAGTTCCAGCAATTTCAACAACAGCCGCAAGCCACGGGATACAATCCTTTCCTCCAGCAACAGCAGCCACAACAACAGATACAGCCCCAGCAACCACAGCTGGGACTCCAACCACAATATACTGGCGCTGGGTTTGGTGGCTATTCTCCCCAGCCGCAGCAGCCGTATCAATTTCAGTCTCTATCGAGCATACCACAGAATGGCATCGCCGACTTCTCACAGCAGCAACAACAGCCTGTTCAGCAACCGCCGGTGGCTCAACAGCTGTCGCCGCAGCAAACATCTACCAACCCATTCCGTCAGTCTGTCATGGCTACCGGAGGTGGTGCAAGCCCCGCGACGCCAATCAGTCCTCAGACACGACAAAATACGAACCCTTTCGCGAAGCACAACACTGTGGCCTCGCCTGTGTCACCCATGCAGGCTGAGCCGTCTGTGCCAGCATCACAGCACGACCTCTTCGCACAGAACTCGGCATTCTTCCAGACTGCGTCCCCATCACCGCAGCAGACACAGTCCCCAGCCGCTCTACAACCGCAGCGGACAGGTACCAATCCCTTCGCCAAACCTTCATCACCACCACCTGCCGCAGCTCTAGCACCCAATGTTACTGGAACGAATCCTTTCAGGCAATCACAATTCGTCAATCAGAGCACAGGCATGGGCTGGCAGCACTCGAGTCAGGGAACATTTGGAGGGTATGATTTGAACAATGTACCAACCCAGGCAGTTTTCCCACGGCCTGGAGCGGATAGTCATTAGTTGGTCGGATATTTGGACGTAATCATTAATGATCGCTGTAGCAAGATATCCGGGGAAGCGTACATCTTGTCAGATTCTTAAAATGATCACAAAATGTTCATTCTATATGTTGGATTATCTCATGGATACAGTGCAAGCGAAACAGCCGTAGAGAATCTTCATTATCACCTTGCTTTGCACACAGCTTGCCCGGCTAACGGCCGGAACTCTGCATATCAAATGTCTACAGCTGCTGTTAGCATGGTATCGTGCCACCTCCTGCATGGATATCTCCTAGCCTACGGGCAAGTAACGTTGTAGCCCGACGGGTTCTTCCTAGCACCCTGCTCGCGACCTGGCAACCGCCGTGAAGACGACGATCCAACGTCCACGATAAGCACCTGCAAGCAATCCAAGCAGTGGCAAAGCACTCTTGGATGCCGTTACGCAGCTATTTACTGCAGGGTAGCTAAACAAGCTTTGCGGAGGCCAGTCTTCGCCGCATTGCATAAGAGTTTAGGTAAAGTTCTCAGCTGGCGAGCTTCCTCTTCGAGCATGAACGCCCTCGTGGGGTGACATTGGTTATCCATTAGCACTGTCTTCGAGAAATAGTGCATTCAATCGACTGGGCAACTGATTCGCTGTGTATCCCCGGTTAGACGGCAGATAGACAGAAGATTATCACCGGAGATGAACTACCTATGCAGATGCAGAGATCGACCAGACAAATCCTTGGAAAGAAGCTTGGTTGAACGTTGAATCTAACTAGAATTTAGCGAAGCGCCGACGTAATGCAGGAACTACGAAGCTATGAAGTCACACTGTCGTAGCACTAGATTTCGGTGTGAGGGACATGGGCTTTATCTCGCCACGATGGTGGGCTTCAAGCTGCGAGCACACGATATTTACCTACGCTCGCGCCTGCCTCTGGTCGTGCTCCTATCCAAGCTTTCTCCTGTGATGCGTGCACGGAGCTTCTTACACCTGGACAATTAGCAAGGACGAAGACCTGGCTCAACACTTCATTGAGTTCGAGCACACTTTTATAGTCCACGAAAAATTGAAACCCTTTCTGGTCGAGCTTTGACAACACTCTGCACGATGAAGGGAGTCATCGCAGCCTCGACATTGCCGCTGCTTGCGGCGGCCCTCACACGAAGGGCCGGATACTCAATCAAGAGTGAACATCCAGTCCCAGCACAATGGCAGAAGCTCGACAGAGCACCAGCCGACCATCGTCTTGACATGCGCATCGGGTTGAAGCAAGCCAACTTCGACGAGCTGGAACGCCAACTGTACGACGTTAGCTCTCCGTCGAGCTCAAACTATGGCCAGCACCTCTCGACCGATGGCATTCATTCTCTGGTTGCTCCGGCTGAAGACACACTCAAGGACGTACTGGCATGGCTGGGCGACCATGGAGTTGAAGAGCTCGACTTCACGCCCGCCCGAGACTGGATCAAAGTGAGCTTGCCGGTCTCGAAAGTGGAGGACCTACTGAATACCGAGTATCACCATTACGTTCACGAAGATGGTATGTCGACCGTCAGGACCGCTGAATGGTCCCTGCCCCATCATCTACACAAGTCCATCTCTACCATTCAGCCCACAAATTCATTCTTCGGCCTTGGCCTCAAGAAACATGCTCCAATTGAGAAGCGAGAAAGCCACGTGGTCGGCGGTGATGTTGTTCTGGACGCGTCCTCAATCTCTCTGGCAACGGGAGACACCATTGAAGCTGTGTGCAACGTCAGTCTCGTCACTCCAACATGTGTTCGAACGCTGTACAACACTATCAACTACACAGTGCAGTCTGCGGACAAGAACATTATGGCCTTCACAAACTATCTAGGTGAAGTCGACGACCGCAAGGACGCAGAACTCATGCTGGCCCGCTTCCGACCTGATGCTGTCTCCGAAGCCTATTCATTCAAGAAGATCTCAATTGATGGTGGCACAGTCAACGACAGGCTGAACTCGACCAACCTGGCGGCACCCGTCGGCCTGGAAGGCAATCTCGACACTCAAGCAATGATCAGTATTGGCTACCCAACACCCATGATATCCTACTCCACCGGCGGGTCGCCACCTTTCAAGCCAGATCTATTCACTACCGAGGACACCAACGAGCCCTACCTTGTCTGGCTGGACTACATCCTCTCTCAACCCGACCCACTTCCTTCCGTCATTTCCACGTCCTACGGTGATGACGAGCAGACTGTACCAGAAGACTACGCCAAGGCAGTCTGCGCCGGGTTCGCTCAGCTTGGTGCTCGCGGTGTCACATTGTTCTTCAGTTCAGGCGACAACGGTATCGGAGCTAACGGCTACTGCTATTCCAACGACGGCAGCAACTCGTCGACATTCCTGCCTGCCTTCCCTGCTGGCTGCCCATACGTGACCACTGTTGGCGGAACATATCAATTCGAGCCAGAGGTTGCTGTGTTCAGAAACCGCAGTGGCGCAATTTACACCGCTGGAGGAGGCTTCAGCAACTACTTCCCAGCTCCTAAGTACCAAGGATCAGTCGTCAGCGACTACATCGACAGCGTCGTCAAGCCACTCGACTATGAAGGCCTGTACAACCCTGCAGGCCGAGGCTACCCCGACATTGCTGGCCAGTCTCTCTATTATTCTGTATACTGGAATGAGACCCTTCGGCCCATCTCAGGTACATCTATGTCTTCACCATTGGTGGCAGCAATCTTCGCACTGGTCAACGATGCACTGATCGCTGCTGGCAAGCCCGTTCTTGGCTTCCTCAACCCGTGGATCTACGAGAAGGGCTACACTGCTCTGAACGATATCCTCAGCGGCGCTGCTTTAGGTTGTGATACAGAGAAAGGTCTGCCTGCTGCGGAAGGATGGGACGCTGTGACTGGGTACGGAACGCCAGATTTCCTGAAGATTCTCGACGTGCTTGGCGTGGGCGATGGGAGCGGGTGGAAAGATGCGAAGGCGTAGGGGTCTGGAAGTAGCGATCGGTATAAACAGCACCTCGGTCCACTATACTGTATAGCTACACTGGCGGCATTACTGTCAATGATGTAATACGATAGACGAGCCATCACGTATTGCTTTCGTACAGCAAAGCAGTGTCTACTGAGTATGGGGTTGTCGTGTGTACTAATTCTGAGATGCTTCTTGAGGCCTCTTAGCCCTCCCGACATTGTGCCCGCCGTGCCCATAACCGAACATCGCTGATGCTCATGCTGCATCCTTCCCAAGATCCTTAACAGCAGCCTTCCGAAATTCTACGGCCAGATCCAGCATTAGCCCATCCGCCGGCGGCAACACCTGCGCCGCAAACAGCCCGGCTACACCCTGCCCCGGATCAACAAACCACTGAATATTCGGCGCTCCGCCCCAATGCAAAGCCCACTTCTCCTCGCCCTTGCGTCTGCTCAACGCGCCAAGCAGGCTGTGGTTATACTCGACCTCATCATGCTCCTCGCCAGCGTCTGACGGCAGGGGAAGACCGCCAGACATCATGCGCCCGCCGGGATCCTTGAGGAAGGAATTGCGCATGCTCTGAGCCAGGGTCGAGCCCAGCTTGTCCTTCTCGTCGACTAGCTGGGGCGTGAAGACATATCTCTCGACTGTCTCGGGCTTGAGGAGACGACCGTCGTTCTTGACGAGACTCTCGAGGACTTTGAAGTATGCTTCAGCAGGCATCCTGATTCCCGCTCCGCCGAGGTCGTCTTTGCTGTTCTCTGGAGGTAGTGGTCAACATGTGCCAGTTTTCCATCGGGTGTTCGTGCCGTGAGGTCCGCCCAGCGCTCTTTCGTCTCCGCTTCGTCCCATTGTAAGTCTGCGCGCCGCCAGACCACGTCTCGCTCGCTGACGCCGACTTTGCTCAGAACTTCCCGTTGAATCGCCTTCCCGACGTTACCGGCTCATCGCCGTGCAGCTTCGCCACTAGCGTGCCCGCCCAGTCGATCGAAGGACTGTACTCCCAGCCAGTTCCCGGTTCGCGGACGAGCGGGTGGCCGTAGCCTTCCAGGATGGTACCTGCGGCTTCGGCGCGCATGTCCCTGCCTTCGGCGGCGGAGTGAGCTTTCCACCATTGCATGAGCTTCGGGTTAAGGAAGTCGTAAGCCATGCCGGAGGTGTGCGTGAGAAGGTGCCGGAGGGTGATTCGTGCTCCTTCTGGGGGACCGTCGGCGTAGATGGCTTGACCGGCGTTGTTGAAAAGGGTGAGTTCTCGGAGTTGGCCGAGTTCGGGGAGAGCGTCGGCAACCGGGCGATCGAGGGACCAGAGGTTGCGTTCGACTAGCTGGAGGGCGGCGATAGAGGTGAGGAGCTTAGTGGCGGAGGCGAACCAGAGGGTGCTAGTGGGTGCCAGGGGTGGAGATGGGGTGCGGTCTGGGGAGACTGATGCGATTCCAGTAGTGAAGACGTGGGGTTCAGTGTTGGGCGATGAGTTGGTTGCTAGAAGCACGACTCCTGGGACGGTTGGAGAGGTGGAATTCTGGTCTGTAAGAGCTCCGATGCGCTCTTCGAGCTCTTGTAGAGAGGTGACCATGTTGCTGGGTCGTGCTGTTGTATTGTCTGCGTTTGTCTCAGGGAGTTGAAAGTCGGTGTCCTTCTTATACCCAACATCGGCGACATTCAAGGCTGCGAAGGATCAGTGACTCGGGTTCCTTGACCACCCGGCCGAATACAGTAAAATGTTGTCTAATGTCCGGCTTATAATGCGGCCTGCTCCGCGTTTTGGGTAATGCTAGTATCTCGCCGGAGGAGTCATAAGATCCTGGGAGCCACGGCCCCGAAAGACCAACCCAAGGTCAGGTCAGGTCCAGACTAGACAAAAGTAGCATGTTGGTGCAGTAAGTGCAAATTAACCGCAGCTAGAAGCTCGCCCTCCCACATGGAGAATAACAGGGTTCTATCTGTCCCTGCCGCATTGCGAACGCAGCATAAAGACGAGGTGGGAAATTCCAAAAATCAGATAGAACTTGCAGAACTTCCCAATCTGGAATGCTGCCTTCCCCATTTGCTTTACTCTGCTCGTGCAATGATTCACCTCACTGGGGCATGTCAGTCACATGTCTCCCGCTGAGAAAGATTCACGGTCCCTGACTGCAGTGTCATACACTATGGGATGTCACCTCCTATCTTGCAGAAGCCAATATACCCTTCCTGACCTTCAGAGTCATGTTCTCCAGCTGTCCAATCAGAAAGCAGGCAATCCGAGCAGAACTCTCAATGTCGCCGAGAGCGTAGCTGTCGCAACGAATAAGTAACAGCACGGTCGTTGGCATGTCACTCAGGGACTACACAGGCGCGTGCCCCCACCAGCGTCTCAGTTGCTCGTAGACTCAAAGTGAAATAGGTTTTGAACGACGAGAATGAATTCGAAAGTTGTCATCCGGTTGGATTCCAAAGTCGATCACAATCGGCGACAGTTTCTCCGGTCCGTCGAGAACTACCGAGGTTCACTCGATCGCCACATCCAATCGCGCGTTGATCGTTCGCGATTACTGAGAGACATTTCCTCCGGTATTGCCCAGGAAGCTATACGCAGCAACAGCAGGGACTGTGTGTACATAGAGTGGTCGGTCGCAGTCCAAGTCAGATACTCACTCAGGAAAGCCAACCAAAATTCACCATGGCTCAGAAGGTATCAGGGTCGACAGACCAGAAATTGACCCGCGAAGAGGTCGCCAAGAACAACACGGAGGACTCGCTCTGGGTCATCGTGGACCACAAGGTCTACGACGTGACCGACTTCCTCGACGCCCACCCCGGCGGATCAGTCGTCCTCCAGCAGGTCGCCGGCCAAGACGCCACCACCGCCTTCTACAACCTCCACAGACATGAAGTCCTCCAAAAGTTCTCCGACCTCTGCATCGGCACACTCGAAAACGAGAAGCCAGAAGTCATCGAACCCCAACCCGGCGACCTCAGCAAAGTCCCATACGCCGAACCACTATGGCTAACCCCCCAATTCAAAACACACTACTACAATGACAGCCACCGCGCCTTACAACGAGAACTCCGCAAATTTGTCGACGAGCACATCTACCCAGAAGCCCAAGAAAAGGAACTCGACGGCACCTACATCAGCCAAGAACTCGTCGACAAAATGGCCGCCAACAACACCCTCGCCATGCGCCTCGGGCCCGGTAAGCACCTCCACGGCCGCAAGCTCCTCGGCAACGTCGACGGCGCCAAATTCGACTACTTCCACGACCTCATAACCGCCCAAGAACTCGCCCGCGTCAACGCCCGGGGTTTCCAAGACGGTAACATGGCCGGCATGATGATCTCCCTCACCGCTGTGCGCCAATGGGCCAACGACGCCGCCCTGCGCGACAAGGTCACGGAAGAGTGCCTCTCCGGCAAGAAATTCATGTGTCTCGCCGTGACGGAAGCCTTCGCGGGCTCAGACGTAGCCGGCATCCGCACCACCGCGACCCGCTCCGCCGACGGCAAGACCTATACGATCAGCGGCACCAAGAAATGGATCACCAACGGCATGTTCGCCGACTACTTCGTCACGGGCTGCAAAACCGACAAGGGCTTCTCTGTCTTCCTGGTACCCAAATGCGACGAGATCGAGTGCAAGCGCATCAAGACATCGTACTCTACCGCCGCGGCAACGACGTATATCGAGTTCAACAACGTCGTCGTGCCCGCCAACCACCTGCTGGGGAAAGAGCACAATGGGTTTGCGGTGATCATGTCCAACTTCAACCACGAGCGCTGGGCTATGGCGTGCATGGTGATCCGGTGGATGCGCACTGTGACCGAGGAGTGCATGAAGTGGTCTAATCAACGGATCGTGTTTGGGAAGAAGCTGATCGAGCAGCCAGTCATCAGGCAAAAGATCGCCAAAATGATCAGCTTGACGGAGGCGTGTCAGTCGTGGTTGGAGACGATTACTTATCAGATGTGCCAGATGGACTATGCGCAGCAGAGTAAGCTGTTGGGCGGGCCGATTGGCTTGTTGAAGAGCTATGCGACGAGGTGTGCGCATGAGATTGCGGACGAAGGAGTCAACATATTTGGGGGCAGAGGGTTGACGCAGAGTGGGATGGGGAGGGTGGTGGAGATGTTTCATCGGACTTATAAGGTGAGTCCAAATGTTGCTCGAGACTTAGGCTGCTCTTTCCGCTCAGTCTTTCGCGCATGCGGCCTGCATTTTCTGCATTGTCTGACGTCGTCTAACTCTAGTTCGATGCGATCCTTGGAGGTACAGAGGAGATTTTGGCCGATCTGGGCGTTCGACAAGCGATGCGCAACATGCCTAAAGCCATGCTATAATCTGGTCTCGACTGTCAGATGTCATTCCTGTGGTTGAGCAGGCAGAGTCGCTGTCACTTCGTCTGTATCAGAATTCTTTACATCAACTCTTATACCACAATACCTTTATCCAACAGGGATGCGATGAGTATGTTGGCAGCCGTTGCTATGGCCGACTTCGGGATCAGCCGCGTGACCCATCAGTCTCATTCCTGAGTATGAAAGAACGACAGAGCATTGCTACGCATGAGGACCCTGCGAGTGATGCATATGATCATGTCTATGCGAGGCACTACCCTGGCGATACCGCTTCACCTCATTCGGTTCACGAGTCATCATACGCCCTGTGCAAACGTACGACCACTGCCAACGCGAATGTCTGATCCGGTCTCGTCGACCAGGGTGATATACGTAGCAGCTATACATCAACCTCACTTCTTTCATATGTCCAATCTGGTATCGCCTGCAGTGTACAGATCAGTTGCAGATGAAGTCGTTCTGAACGCGCCACGTAGATGTCGACGAATCACTCCTTCATACACCTTCCAGTAACATCGCTGACATAAGATATATGAGCTCGCGAGACTAGCTGTACACATAGGTCGTATCCCATGGGATGTCTGCTGACTCCGTTCCCCACGAATTTTGCTTTGTAGACGAAAGTACCGAAATCGGCTTGTGGCAGTACCCAATCCGGCACGGCCGCTACCTTCTGCCCTAGGACCTAGCTACTTCCTCAGATTACTCATACCAATGCCCGGCAAGAGTACAGAGGGACTTTGCGGTCATTGCCACTTGTCGTCGCCGGTCTCGCAACTTGCAGTTCCCCGAGCCAAGTCAAATGCTGACATGATGCCAAGCAGACCCAGTAAACCGGACGCCTTGTCTCTAAATCTAGCTCAGAGCCGCAGGCATCTGATTAGCCACAATCGGACAATGCAACGGCTCTAAGTGGGCTCCGTGATCCGAACGGTCGCTGCAGCGGTACAAGCATGTCGTTCGGGAAGTAGTAACTCGGCTTCGCGAGCATGTATCGCAGCGCGACATTCTGTGTAGAAGCACTGTGAGGTCATCGCTGCCCTTTGGCTGATACTGGAATCTCTCAGCGTTGATTCCACACGAGGTGAGGTGATCCATGCAATAGGGCTGCACATCATTTCGCGTATCAAAAGGATGACACGCCTGAACTGTGGGTCCTCTCGGACGACAGACGATCAGCTTTGTATATGTATCGCTCTGTACAGCCACGAGGCGGGCTGCTCCTCTTTCCTCCCTGAGAACAATATCGTGTAGATATGGCGACGTTGACATTGACCACACTTCCATCGGAAATCAGGACTTCGATCTTCGAGAGCGCCTTGAAATGCTGCGACAAAGGCGGTTTTGCTGATGCTCAGCTATTGGGCCTTCTCGGAACTTCGAAACAGATCTACCAGGAAGCACGTCTGCTGCCGTTCCAGGTCAATACATTGGCATGCCAAGCCATCACAGACTCCTCCACGACCGCAACAGATAGGCTGCTCCATCGATTGAGCTGCCAGCAGCGGAATGCAGTTCGAAGCATTGAATTGCAGGTGACTGGATCAACGCTGGATCAGACCGCAGCTGCCAAGATCTTCAAGTACTTGCGGCTCGGGACTTGCGACGGGGACGTCGATTCTGGCGTGGGCTTTCTCGCATTGCCATCTTACGACGGCCAGCTGCGGGAGGTGGAATTGACGGTTTCAGCACGGGATATTGCAGTGCCTTTGGCAGATTGCAGAGTCGGTTTGCAGCAGACCTTAAATATCTGCTGCCCAATGTTTGCGTGGCTGCAAAGCTTCCCAACGTTGCGGACTTTGAAGGTCCACATACGGCTCCGAACCAAGGAACAATTTTCGCAAAGCCGCCAGGATGAACTTCTTGAGTCTTTGAGGGCGACGGGCAATCCTGGAGCCAGATACATGTGTCTTCAGAAGTCGTCGAGGAGCAGGGATATTTCATCGACGAGCTCGACCTGTACCGAGATTCGTACCTGGGTATATTTGGCAATGTTGGTCCAGGAATGTGAGGCCTTACGGCGACCTCTTTTTTCGGGCTCGGATGATCTCGAGAAATCGCTTGATCTCCCGCAGCAACGAGACCACCAATGGAACAGCGATCGGACCCAGAAATGGAAGATAGACAGCAACTTTGTGCTCATCTGGGAAGTAGACCTGTCCGACCATGGACTTGTCGAAGAACGCCTTCTCACTGTCAGTATATGCAAGACTGGCATGCTCGATTGCAGCATCCCAGTTGCCTTCGAGCATAGCCGCATCCGACGCTGTGAGGTTGGACATCGTGTTGTCGACGAGCTGAGAAACGTGTTTTGGAATTGGGATAGTGTGCAAATGCTTTGCGAGCCTTGCCAAAGATGCAAGACTTGATGCAGCCTTGAGATGCAAATGTAATGCTGAGATTCTTTGGTGTGCCTGGAGTCGGAAAGCAAGTGGCAGTAGTCTTTCGGCGACAGGGCCGTCATATGTCAAGGTCGGAACACCAAGTAGCGCTAGAAACTGTGTGGAAAATGTCTCGAACATTGATGCGAGCTTTTCTTCTGGCACCTGCGAAGGCAGTTCAGTGCTCCCAAACTCGTGATCCGTGATAACGTCCAGATTCAGGATACTGATGCCTCCCCATTGCGGCACGAGCCATGCTCCTCCCGGACTGTCCATGACACCCAGAGGTACATCGGCCTTCGAGGGCACATAGGCTATGAAGTTCAAGGTCGGACCATCACCCACCGATGGCGAGAGTGGCCATTCGGCTGCATTGACGAAGGACGTCAGGTCTTTCTGTTCAAGGAAGTGTCCCTCGGCGCCATCAATCTTCTTGGGCTGTATGGACGGTGAGTATGAGGAGAAGAGTTGAACTTGCGTCCCGAGCGCGATTCTGGCGGTCTTTCGCAGAGCATAGACAAGTGGCTGGATATGTTTATCCAGCGCTTTTTGTATGTCCCAGCTCGACGGCGAGCCGCCAGCGGAGAACAACGAGAAAGTTGCATGGTACTGTGGCGAGATCTTCGCGGCCCGTCCCATCTGGAGCTCAACCTCGTGGACTGCGTCGGCAGAGTATCGTGGTAGTGCGTCCTGATACGCATGATTGGACACGAGGCTATTGATGTTCAGCAGATGAGCGATGATTTCACTGGAGAAGATGTCAGAGACAGATGCGGCAAGACTCTTCGGCAGTGTAGCTCTCTGGCTCGGGGCGTATCGAAAGTATGCCTTTGTATTACCTGGAAGGATGTCGAACGAATATGGTTCTCCGGATCCTCCCAGGCGGACCTCTAGATCGGGGCTCTCTTCGCGCAGCTCTTCAGTGCTGGGACCGCATTTGGGGCCTCTATCTTCCTTATTGTGCACCAGACGTAGCCATGGACGAAGCGGGAGTGACCGGTGGAGGCTCTCGATCTCGACTTGCGTTTCTTGGACAATGGTCTGAGCATCTGGACATAGGACACCAGGAAGATCAAGCCAGACCTGGACAGGGACGATTGGTGTCGGTTTCTATTGCTGTCAGTGCATGACCGTACAGATGAGGAGTGGTCGTGCCTCGCCTTCGCTCAGAGCGAGCATGTCCTGCAGCGGAAGGCTGGCTCGATAAATTTGGGTAGTCTTGAGCCATGTTGGCAGGCCAAGCAGCAATATCACAGCCCAGAACGAGATGACAATCTTGCTGCGTAGATTGATCGACTCAGCCGTCTCTGGCGGCGCCTTCTTGTGCGCCTCGACCGTCGTCATAGCCGATGCCAGTCCATAAGTGGCGTCGCTGACACTCGTGGTGTACAGGGAGTTCCAGAGACGTGGACCGCTCGACCCGAGTCATGTGGACTCAGGTACCACGAATTCTGACTCGAATATACATATGATTTTGCTAAAAGAGGTCATCATCGAGGTTTACAATTCTCTGAGCTGCCAACAACAGAATTCAGATTTTGACGATCCAGCATTGACGGAAAGAACTTGTAGAGCAAGCACAGGGGACAAAAGTCACTCTATGGCAGCTGCGAAAGGGCCCTTAGCTCTTGCAACTTCCGCGTCTCGAGCAAGAGCTCCATTGAGGACCTTCCCCAATGTTACCACGACCGTACAACAGCAGCGAACTTTCATCGACTCACTGCTAAGCTCTGCTCTTGGTCCATGCCCTCTGCGATCTGTCACTCATACAAAGACCCTTCCATACTCATCAAAGGCCATCTTTAAGGCCGTATCTGATGTCTCAGGATATCCTGCCTTCCTTCCATTCACTATTTCATCACAGGTCATGGAGCGGGATGGCGCGGGACTTCCAAAGCGCGCTCGACTGAGGGTTGGATACGACAAGCTCGGACTCGAGGAGAACTGGGACAGCATTGTTGCTTGTGACCCAGCTCAGGGACTCGTCGAAGCGAAGAGCAGCGAAAATGCTAGTCAAGGTCTCTTTGACGTCTTGCAGACCCGTTGGAAGATTGTCCCGCTGGAACCCGGCTCGGATGCTCCGACGACTGTCAAGCTCGATGTCAATGTGAAGTTTCGCAATCCTGTCTATGACCAAATGTTTGCTCAAGTGGAACAGAAAGTTGCGGGCGCCATGATCTCAGCCTTCGAGAAGCGTGTGAAGCAGCTGGACGAGAAGCTGTAAGTTTCAGTGACTCTCTCAACACGTCTCAGGTTGTTGAATCTCTGTATTCCTGCTCAGGAGCACTTCAGCTACCGTGTGGCTGTGACAACAAAGTATTCATTGGTGAAGTCCATGCAGGGCGCTTCAAGGACACTGCTGGCTCTTAATGTCACACCGTCATGACGTTGTTTGAAGAACATGGGCTATACAGCTATCACAACTCACGTTCTGCCTCCTCTATGCGCCCTTGGCCTTACAGTGAAGTCGGCCTGTATCAATCACTCGCTTCGGACCATCAAATGATGGCAAACACGCCAGTTGGACGCCAGTTGGAAGTCATGGCCTCGATCTATATATACAGCACCACCAGCTGCATCATCAAAGAGCTCCAGCAACGCAATCTTGTCCGACGCAATGGCCTCCTCTTCGCCCACAACCTTCACAAGCCTCGGACAAACGGTCCTCGACGACGTCTACGTCTCCGACACTCTGGTCGCGAAGAATGCCCTTGGTGGCGGCGCGGTTTGGTCAGCCATCGGAGCGCGTGTCTTCGCTAAAGGTGGCCAAGAAGTGGCGCTCCAAGTCGCTGGCGGTGAGGATTTCCCAGCAAGTGCCGAAGAGGAATTACGAGGCTACGGCATCGCACTCGACCTAGAGCGACGTCAAGGTGCTACTTCTACACGGGCGGAGCTACGCTATGCGAATTCGAGTTTGGAAACCCGGGCCGTCAAATTCTCTGGCGACTTGATACGCCCAGACCCGAGCAATCTACCGAACTTTATGCTGGCCTCCAAGGTGGTCCATCTAGACTGTGCACCTGAGGACGTCTCCGGATATGTGGACAATCTCAACCAATACCGTCCGCCTGATGCCAGCCATCAGGTTTCGCTGATCATCTACGAGCCTTGTCCCTCAACGTGTGTCTCCGAGAATGTCTCAGATCATCTCACCTCTCTCCTTGACGCCATCAAAAACGTCGACGTCTTCTCGCCGAATCACATCGAGCTCCTGGCATTCTTCGATCAGAAGCCGAATATGCCCTTCGATGCGGGTCAGATCGAAGCATATGCACGGATCTGCCTGCTCAGCGGTGTCGGCCGCTATGGCGAAGGCTTATTAGTACGTACATAGTCCACCTATGCACTTCACATAAGCTCTCTGGCTCTGACTAACATCGCATTCCAGGTGGTACGCTGCGCCGAGAATGGTGCGCTAGTCATGTCCGACTGGCGGGAGGAGCCTGCCACATGGGTTCCCGCCTACTGGACCAATACCGAGCGAGGGATCGCGTCTACCGACGACGACGACGACGACAACGACACCAACCAAATAGAGTCACACTCAACCATGAGCACCACACCTACCCGCCATCCCTCCGTAGTCGACACAACAGGCGCAGGCAACGCCTTCCTCGGCGGCTTTGCCATCGGCCTCTGGAGGACCGGCGACCCCATGCGCGCCGCCTGCTATGGAGCCGTGAGCAGCAGTTTCGTTGTGCAGCAGATCGGGCTGCCCAAGCTGACTGGTCCCAGCATTGCTGCACCAGATACCTCGAGCAAAACCTCCAGCAAGGCGAACTCCGAGATCATCAAGGTTATGCAGGAGATGCGGGCCGAGATCAGGGAACTCAGCAAGACATATGATAAGTTCGTCAGCCGCTTGCGATTCATCGGGGCCGAGCCTCTAGCTTCAAGAAAGATGCTGCCGATGCTCGTCGCCGCCTTCGTCGCGGGCTGGAAGAAGGGGAGGAAAAATGGAACGGTGACTCACCTGCGGAGCGATTGAGGACTCTGTATGCGAAAGCTGGTCTGAATCCTGACGATTACAATGGGGAGACTTTCACGCTGAAGGAGGCCGCCGCGACCTGGTTGGGGCAATGGCTGACCGCGTCGAGTGATGATGGCTCGATTTTTCTTGGCTAGCGCGGGCCGTGAAGTGAATCCAATGCTGCCGGCAAGGGGACACGGACCGACCCGCTACATCACTGATGGCATGGCATCCTAGCGGCGGTATGACCCAGGGGATCATGCGACGCAGGCTCGCGACGGTGCACGTCAATGAGACAGGCTCACCCACGGACTGCCAATGTCTAGAGGCACACCTTCCTCAGACAGCCTTGGCCGTTCACAGCGAACGAGCCGTGATACCGAGGAAAGAAGCGATATATGCCGTTCATTACTAAGGTAGAAATTATACAACCACATGATCCGTCTGTCTTCCCAGTGTCACAGATCTTGTTGCTCTCTGCCATCCTCCTTTTATATGACCTCGCTATGTTGCAACAAATTGTCCTCCCGCTCTCGCTTTTTGCTGTACCCTGCGATCCGCTTGTAGTATGCCACCCCATGAAATTTGTAGATGTATCCAGATTTGCCCAAATCGATGTGCGTGAACCAAATGAGAATACTGGCTCAAGGAACACCATTATACAACTCCCTCAACGCATCGTTCTGCCCCTTGCGCAGCTTCCAGCCCTTCTGTTTCTTCTCCTTCTTCGCCTTCAGCTCCGCCCAGCCTTCCTCGTCATCGTCCTCGTCCGTGTTACCGTTCAGCGCGGACCTCCGGCCCAAAGGACTCACAGATTTCCGCCCCTGTGGCATCGGCGGCGTTGGCCTCAGCGAAAGGTCGAGCAGCGACCAGGGCCTGGTCGAGGTAGACGTGAATGTCGATGCTCGTCGGTTTGCGCTGTTGGGCTGTTCCATTTCTGCTGCTGTTGAGACGGGGCGGTAGCGAGCGGATAAGCCGACGTTGCTGCGCTCTGAAGGCGCAATCGAGGCGGCGTAGTTCCCGTTCTGCGCGTGGACGTTGCAGTTCGCCATGCTAGGCGAAAGTGTACTCATTGCTCGCCCACCATTCATGCTGGGGCCGAGTTCATGTGAATCGTTGGAGGACGTCCACCAGCCATGCTGGGCGCAGATTGAGGCATCGGCATGCCAGGCATAGGCATACCCGGCATGGGCATCATTCCAGGAGGCATCATCGGCATACCGCCTCCTGGTGTGCCAGGGCCCGGTGGCATCATCTGGCCGCCCATTATCTGCTGCATCTGCTGCATCCATTGCATTTGCATCTGCATCATCTGTGTCATTTGCTGGGACATTTGGATCTGAGCATGGTCACCGGGTGTGAGTCCGCCTGGTCCCATGGTTTGAGATCGAGGTAGTCCGGGGTGCTGCATGCTCGGCGGGAGATCGTAGTTGCCTTGCGTGTTGGGGCTGCCACGACGCATTGCCCGCGCCTTTTCTTCGCCCGCAATTACTCCGACCAGACCGGCGGGATGAACTGGGTGCGCGGTGGATGCGCCTGAGGGCATCGGTGCTTGTGCAGCCATGTTGATGGACTCGCGATGCATGGGATTCACGACGCTGGCACCGTAGTATGGATCGGCTGGTAGTTGCCGAGCAAATACTGGCATACTGCCTCGATTTGTCGCTGTCCCAGCAATTGAAGGTGCAGGTGCCGTGGACTGCTGATTCTGTTGCGCTATTGTGCGCAAGTTCGGGTTCGAGGTTGACTGTAGCAGCTGTGTTGGCGCACGGTTCTTGTTCGGAAAGCCGTGGGCGGCCAGAATACCAAGTGGAACGTCCTCATCCTCGTCCGGCTCGTCGCCGCTGCTTCGTCCAGACTGCTGAGTGCCGACCGTAAGGTGTGACATTCGGTTGTCGAGAGCGTTGGGGCTTGGACTCATCCGAGGATCTAGAGTCTGGCCTAGACTGCTTTGCCTTCCTGTAGCTTGCTCGCCTGTCACTTTCATCATTTGCTGCCGGTAGACGGATAGATGTGCTTCTTGTTTCCGTCTCTGTTTGGCAGCTTCTTTTTCCTTCTCTTCTTCATCGTCATCGTCGTAGTTCACTTCATCTTCTGAGTCGCTATCTCGGGAGGCGCCCAACTTACGATCCTCCTCTTGCTGACGTCGGTAGCGTTCGAACTGTGCAGGCGTCATTACTTTACCAGAAGGAGGCGGTCGAACGGCGGCAGGTTTGGTTTCGGCCCATTGATTGGCAAGATCTGCACTCTCGAGCAGAGCAGGATCCAGTGCGCTGGCATAATTGTCAGAAGCCTCACTCCGCCACGTCTCCGTCTTTCTCAGCAGGTTTCGCCCGTCATTTGAGCTCGAGTTCGTTCGTTCTTTGCTCAGGCTGGCTGTTTCGCCTGCCAGGGGCTTGCGATTTATTGGGCGTGTCTTGCCGACCGAGAAGGATGCGTGTGCAGGCACTGTCGGGCTCCCCTGTGTAATTGTTCGAGAGGGGCTCGGTGATCTCATGAGCCCATTCTGGGAATTTTGTGACGCCCATGAATGAGGGGCTTCGTCAACCGCATCGTATCGGGACGTCGAGATCGGCTTAGGGGCAGGAGCTCGCGCAGATCGAGACTGCGTGGAGTCAACGTAGCTCGAAGGAGGACATTGGTTTGACGGCGATGTTCCCTGTATATGGGTTAGATTCTGCTCGTGCTCGCAAATGCGGGATATTCCACTCACATATCTCGAGTTTCTCAGACCCGGGCTCTGGTCCCGACTGGAACTGCCAATGCCTTCAAACATGTTCTCGAAGCCATCGAGCTCACTGCTGTCAAGAGCCAGGTCCGAGTCGTAGAGCCGTGGCGGTGTTGCTGTGCTGGCACTGCTTGCTGTAGCAGCTCGACCACGTGCTTCTAACGGCAAAGGTGGTAATGGTGGGCCAGCTGGTGACGATGTGAGTGATTCTCTTGACTTGCCAGTTATACCTAACGAGAATGTTCTTGCTGAGTTCCGTAGAAATCCAGGCCGTGCAGAGGGGGCTGGTGGGGCTGGTATATCCTTATATTGAGCCTGCACATTTCGGTCGGAGTGCGCATCGAGGGATGAGGGATTCGTCGAGACACTCAGACGCGAGCTCGATGCCGCGCTATCATATTGCGCTGTTGAGAGCGAATTATCAGTGCCGCCGCTCCCCCTGTTCGTAGCATCGGGACGCGATGAACTCGAGACACGGAACATGTTCTCATCGTCTTGTTCGAAGCTCCCCCTCGCAAGGGCTGGCGTTGACGCATTTTGATGAACGGCTCTGATAAGAGAGCCTCCATCAAAAGATTTGTTGTTGGCTCCTGGCCGTTCGATCACTCTGAACGAGGATGTGCCCCCAGGAGACTTGGGAGACTGAGCCTCCTCGAGGGCATTGCCGGAAGACTTTCTCCTCTGGAATCCCTTGGGGAGCTTTATGGGCATATTCGAGGCGTGGGTCGTCTGATTAGGCGCGACGAATATAACGCGCGAAGTTGCAGAAATCGGGTTACGGGAATTGGATCAGGAAACCATGGATTAATTTGTGCGGTTACCTGCAGCGGATGTCAGTTGGTGCTACAGAGGCTGGAAAGAGTCGCCTACGCAGTTGACCCGCCAATAATGTGCTGTACTTCGAAGTGTCGAATTCGGGGATCGTATAGTCTGTATATTCGTAATGTAAATGTGATGAAAGCAGACACAACGTCGTAGTCGAGACTAGCTTGTATGTTGTTCTGCGTGGACCGGATATTGGTTGAGCGAGTGGCGGCTGGCGGTGTATATTTACACCTGTCAACAAGTCCAAGCAAAAAGATGAGACAGTAACAGCGTCCTGAGAATCAACGAGAGTCGGCGACCTGTTCAGTATACGGAAATGCAAAGAGCAGTCATCAAGAGATCATGATCGACGTGTGGTGTTTTGGTGTTGAGAAACTACGAATAAGGTCCAGTATGACCACCATCTCCTCCTTGCCTGCGAGGTTTTTCGATGCGGCAGCCGTGGGTGATGGAACCCCTGCTCGGTGCTAGGTTTTGCTGGCTCATCGCACCCCGCTTGCCACCTACAAGCCTCTCCGATCTGTCTAAACGGGAGACACGATCCAATAAGCGATGGTGCCCCCTGGAGGGTTGCTTAAAACTCCTTGGTAAGCTCAATCAAAAAGGTTCAGGTTATGATTAGAACAGGTAAGACCATACTTAAGTACACCCAGCCTACGTGAAGACGTCGTTGATTCTGCATCTCTTCTCTCAGACATCGCCCAACGACTGGGCTGTCGTCGTCGCCCTCTGCACATGCTGCTGCAGGTCGCAGTCATTGTTGCAGAAGCTCCATTGCAGGACAAACCACCCTTGTACATTGCCGAGGGGCGTGCGCGCTTGTCTCTGATTCTGTAAGGCTTCTTCCGTTCGTGGGAGATCGACCCATCTTGCTAGCTGAAGGCGGGCGAGTGCTTAACTCGATTGCGTCTCTCCCCAATTTCCCGGCCTTCGGTATGCCTAGAATTGCACAATTGTCAATGAATTGACAACATCTCACGCACTACTGATGAATAATGTACGTGAATGTAACTTCGAATCAACGGCACAGTCAGGTAAACGTGGGTGACCCTCACTTCATCGGCGCTTCAGAAGCCCGACGGTCTCCTCGTGCATTCTTCTTCAACGAGTGTCACTTGCTCCTCATCTGCATGTCAAGTCTTCGTGACATTGCCTTCCGAGTGCGCTGGCAGAGCGGCTTATGCTGTCAATTTCCTACATGTCAGGGCGGCCTCTATGCCGAGGAATCTGGATTCCTTGAATTACAACTACTGACTGTTATACACATCGATAGCCTTGTCTTGTCCAGCACTTAAGAGCCCCAACTCGTTGTCCCAGCAAAGCCCATACACTTGGCAGCCCGAGCCAACCGGAGGAGCAACCTTGCCGCTTCCAAGACTCTGCCGCTGGATCGTATACACGCTTTGCGAGGTGAAGCTATCTTTGCTCTGTTTCCTGTTCCGCAAATCAAAGAGTCGGACTGTTCCGTCGTGACTACCCGAGGCGAGGTTGTATCCATTGTTCGGATCGCTTGCAAGACAAACCACGACGTTCTTATGCCCTTTCAGAACCATGGCCGTAACAGCCGAGGCCGATACGCGTGGGTCGATCAACTTGATATCCACTCCTGCTGTTCCTGTTGCGATGAGATTCATCTCCGGCAATTGATGTATCGACAGCAGTGCTTGGTCCGTTTTTCTGGTGTCCACTACCGATGAAGACGGCAGATGCCATGTGCGCATCGTCTCGTCCCACGAGACGGAATATGCGACATCGGGATTCTGAGAATCAAAGGTCACGCCGGTCACTTGTTCCGAATGGCCCTCGAGCATGGACAGTGGACCACGTTGTGTAACCGATGGGTTGAGCTTCCGTTTCTTGTTCGCTGACGGCTGCGGTAATGATTCTGGCGGGGCTGGAGGACTCCCTGACTTGCTTGTGGACCACAGGCCGATGTTGCAGTCGAGAGATCCAGTCAACAAGCGGTCCCCGTCCTTGCGCCGGCTTACTGCGACTGCATTGATGGATTCTTTGTGACCGTATAAGTGGATGCTTGGCTTCAACACTGCGCTCAACCCATCGTCCGACTCTTGGTATTTCCATATTCTGGCAACACGATTGAACCCTACGGACACAGCTTCGGTGGGTGAGACCCAACGGGCGTCTTTGATGAACATTGAATGACCTCCTCCTTCGCCGCCAGGGGACACTGCTAGCACATTTGAAGATGTGTCCCAGACACGCAATAGGCCGTCATAGCAGCCGGATAGTATGCGTGGCTGGTTTGTTTTCCTCTGACTCGAGGGCATGACGTCTACGGCGCTAACCCAATCGTCGTGCTGAAATGATGTGACATATTGTGGTACTTTCTGTGCTGGCGCAAATTCGGCGTCGACGATCGTTTCTGAGGATATGCCTTGCTCCGAGAGGAACTGCTCGAGACTCGTTCGTAGGTATGAGCCGTTGATGACGAAGTCAAACGGCACAGGCCTCTCGTGCTCGAGGAGACCGTTGACCAGACTTGACAGCGCTATCCGCCGGAATGATAGAGGTACGAGTATGGCGCCGCTATCCGGTAGAGGGTACTTGCCGTCGCTGCTGCGGAGACGGACCCGGACCTGTGACGCCGACGACTCTGTAGCGGCGGACATGGCCATTGATGCGACCGAGATGACGAGCTTCAGGCTACGAAGATGTGTAGCGTGCGCCCTGGAGGTGAAGATGCCTCAAACAGTTGTCACGAAGCGCAGCCCAAAAAAAAAGTTACGAACTGCGGCTGATCGACGTGGGGAAGGCGGATGAGATATCCGTGCCATATTCCGCCAACTTTCCGTGTCCTGAAGTAGAGGTCGCCCTGATTCTACAACGGCGTCTGAATACCGTCACCATCGCATCTCTAGCCACGACGCGTTCCATGCGTGGAAGTGATGACCGACCTTGCAACGAGTCTCGTCGACCCTATACGAGAAGGCTCCTTCCCAGCATCAGCCGAGCTATTGTCGTCAGACCTTGACACCAATTCAATCCCTCAGTTGATCGAAGCCATCAGAACCGAGAGGGACAGTCTCAGCAACGACTTGAAAGCGGTCAGCAAGCCTTACGCTGGGGGCGTTGATCAATGGATTGCGCAAGCCAAGCAGGTTCAGCAAGATATTGCTCGTTGCAAGCAAGAAGCAAGAGATATTGTGCAAGAGTATGAACGCGTGGAGCAACTGCGCAGAGACACCGTCGATGCTGAGAGCAAATTAAGACTTCTGCACGACGAGATTGCATTTCAGCAAGACCTACAGTCGCAGCTACATACCATAGCCACAGCCAACGGGCATCTTCGCGATGTTGAAGGCCAACTACAGCTCGATCAAGCAGTAGACGCGGCCAGGGGCCTTGCCGAGCTCGAGCCCACCATTCGACAACTGCGAGGACCGCGAGCCAGGGCCGTCGTCGCGGAGTACCGAGATCATCTTCTGCAAAGGACCACACGCCACCTCACTGAGCAGATACGAGCGCATATAACAGTCACTCAAGACAACAGTGAACTTGCGCTGACCGTCGAGACTGGCACGAACCCGTCGGATGAGCTTCTCTTTCCCGCACTGTCAGAGCTCGACGCAGCAGGCCCTGTGATCGAACACGTGGTTGGCGCTGTGGAAAGAGTGCTGCTGGAGCCACTGTCACCGAAGTCTTCAATTCGTCTCGTCAGCCACTCTGTCCAGTCAGGGAAATTCGTTTTCCGCCTTTCTGATAGCCAGAAGCCGTCGGTACATTCGGTACTCAAGCTCTCTTCTGACCTAGTTGACTTTCTCTGCACATATCTCCCTCACGCACTGTACGAGGCTGTTGCCCAACAATGTGGCCCAAGACTGGTAGCTTCCCTGGTGGGAGAATGGTTGACACCCGCAATCCCTGTCAGTCTGGACGACCTTTCCGACCTTGACAGCCTCAGGGAAGAGATCCTAGCGCTCGCGCGCTTTTTGGACGAGAAGCATTGGCCGGATACAAAGAATCTGAAGCAGTGGACACTTCATGCACCGCGGATGTGGATAGGCATCCGGAAAGGCGAAGCATTGGATGCCGTCAGGCGAGCTTTCGCACAATCATCGGGAGATCTGCACCAGGTCGAGAGAGTTGAGCGGCAGAAGGCCAGCAAAGTCGAGAAGCCTAGCAACGATGGCAGCCAGGACGGCCAGGATGACTGGAACGCGTCGTGGGAGGATGACAAGCAAGAGCAAAAGCCGCCAAGCGACCAAGCAGAAGATGATGCAAGCGGATGGGGCTTTGACGACGGTATGGAGGATGACTCTGCACAAACAAAAGCAAATGGCGATGCGAAGGAAGCTGCGACAGTCGACGATGACGTAGATGAGGCTTGGGGCTGGAACGAGGACTCTGCAGAGTCGCCCTCCAAAGGGCAAGAGCAGAAGCAGGATCGCGATAAACAGACAGCGAACGGCGACCATCATATGGCTGAGTCACAGGAGCTGGAGATGAAAGAGCTCTACAGTGTGACCGACATTCCCGATCGACTTCTCGAAAGCATTGGCCGAGATATACAGGATGCTGTTCGACTGCAGCAGGAGCAACACGCAAGTCTGAAGGACGTCCCTGCTTCGTCGGGACTTCTCACTCTGCCCTCTCTGTCACTGTCCATGTTCCGGGCAACCGCCTCGATATACTACTCCAAGCATGCGTCACTGGGCAACATGAACTTATACAACGATGCGCTATACATTGCGGATAAGTTGCAGAACATGCCTAGACCAGCAGCAATGCACGGAATCGATGTCGACTGTAAGGCGATGGAGAGATTTGGGAGGTCTGCATACGCAAAGGAAATGGATCTCCAGCGCACCATTCTCACCGATCTACTTGATGGTGTTCAAGGTTTCACCATTCCGTACGCCGAGCAGATCGAGGAAGCCATATCTGCTACTAGCGATAGGCTTCGGCAAGTGCACCGAGAGTGGTCGCCGATCCTATCGACTTCGGCGCTGCTCCAATCCATTGGAGCCCTATACTCATCAATAATCAGTAAAGTCATCACAGATATCGAGGAGATGGACGACATCTCAGAAGCGCAGTCACAACGTCTCAGCAATTTCTGCTCTCAGCTCAGCAAGCTGGAGGATCTGTTCATTGCCAATCCACCCGGCGATGCAGCAGCCGACCAAGAGCCCATGCATATGGTCGCTGTGTACTCGAGCAACTGGCTTCGGTTCCAGTATCTCGATCAACTGCTGTCTGCAAGCCTGGTTGACATAAAGTATCTGTGGACGGAAGGCGAGCTGAGCTTGGAGTTCTCTGCTGAAGAGGTGGTGGATTTAATCATGGCTCTGTTTGCTGAATCGACACATAGACGCAGCGCAATTGCAGTCATTCGAGGCAACAGAGGCAGTGGTATGTCGCAAAGAGCTATATGATGGCAGGATCATGCAACAGTAGATCGCAATGATCAACTGTGACGTAGAACGTAGACGAGGTAGATGTACTACACACGCAAATATATTCGCTTGGCACATCTACTACTTCAGCTCACTGCCTTTCGTGTACTTTACCTTCTGTTCTCTCCTAGCCATCACCCAAGTTTACAACATGGTCAAGCGATTATCAGGCCTACAGAAAGAAGTCATCAAGCTCTATCGCCACTGCTTGAGAGAAGCCGGCAAGAAGCCAGAGGTATGTCAATCAACACTTGCCTCTGCCGTTCAACTGACGGGCTCGATTCAGAAAGCCAGACCACACTTCCGTGCGGTCACCAGGTTCGTGTGCCAGATCGCAACAGTACCACAGACCTTGCTGAAGATGATCAGACGTGAGTTTCACAAGAACCAAAGCGTAGACAAGAAAGACTTCGCCACCATCGAGACGCTTCTCAGGATGGGCTACCGGAAGCTGGAGCTGTATTCGGAGCCGTCCATTACAGATATCCACTAGTTGGCGATGGTGCCTGGACTGAGTACACAACCTGTACGATCATGTGCCCCGATTGAGCTTGCACGCCGATGAGCATGACGACCACGTACTCGCCTAGCTGCCTGGCTTTACACTCATGCTCATGAGGCAAACACTTCTGTAATGCGAGCACTGATTGGTCAGCTCGCTTCGGATACAAAATCCGGATCGAATATTCTGGTCACTTCAGGAAGGTGAGGCGAATCTTCCAGACATATCTGGGACATTCTCGTCTATCTCACAAATCCGAAATGGTCAGCAACCAGACACGACCAGTATGTTCCAGCAAGATGGCTACTAGGTATATAACGAAGGCCCCCCTCACCTCATCGGTCGAATCTCTTTTCATCAGAACTCATATGCAACCATCTCGAAGACAACTTCTCACACGCATCCACAAACCAACCACTACCAACACCACAAGAAACATGTCTCTCCTCTTCCCCAGATTCGCCTATGCACCCGTGGCGCACTGCGCTCCAGCACGCCGCGAGGTCGCCCCTCTCTGGAGTCTCTTCGACGACACACTCAACGAGCTACAGCGCGCCACTCGGCAGTCCACGCGCCAGCAACGCCAATGGAATCCTCGCTTCGATGTGCAGGAGACCAAGGAAGGATACACTCTCGAGGGTGAACTGCCCGGCGTAGACCAGTCGAATATCAACATCGAGTTCACCGACGAGCACACCATCAAAATCAAGGGCCGTACCGAGTCGGTCACTGAGAAGGGGAAGCAACCCGAGCAGGCCGTCGAAGCAACTCAGGACGGTACGGCAACACCTGCCTCAGAAGAGGGCAGCGTGAAGTCACACCAAGCTACCGTCGAAGACGACGCTGAAGAGCCAGCCAACAGCTCCGCCGCCGCTGAGCAGGCTGTCGCTGAGAAGACTCCCGAACCAGTCAAGGAAACCAAGAAGAGCAACGACCAGCAATTCTGGTACCGTGAACGCTCGGTCGGCGAATTCACGCGCAGCTTCCGCTTCAATGCCCGGGTTGACCAAGATGCCGTTCGCGCTTCGCTGAAGAATGGAATTTTGAGCATTGTCGTGCCCAAGGCTGCGGTGCCCGAGTCCCGGCGGATCAACATCGAGTAACTGATGGTTGATTTGTAACAACATGCAGATTCCAACTCACTCAACAAGCATAGCATGGCGCAGGAATTGGGCATTCATAGTTGGGAAGCATCTCTCAGGACTGCTGATGCTGTGATGTTAGCCTAAATAAAGCATTAATTGAACTCATCGAAACTTATTCTCGTTCTCATCTTCCTCTGCTGTAGTCGTGATCTATCGTCGTCGTCCTTGTCCCCAAGTTGCCATGATCTCGATTCGACAATCTACCGTGGTACCTACCTTGATATTATCCGCAACGGCATCATAATCGTGTAACGTCCGTCCGTACCCACTCCCATCTCATCACCTGTCAACTTGCATCATGACTGCAACTTTCCCTTGGCCAGCGAAAACCGTCTCCAAGGAAAATTTCCACGTGTTAGAGGTTGTCCTGGGAACAACCTTGTACAGCTGCACTTTGTAACTACCACCTGCATCATGCACCAGCCTCTCTGCAGCTTCTTATCTCCCAACCTCAGATGTACATATCGCAAGACGAAGGCTGGTAGCTACAGCACATGCCGAGCAGCTTGCCGCGCAATTTGACGTGATTAGCATGACTGCAGCGGACAATCTCGCTGTGTGTGCGGACACGAGCAGACACTCTCGATCAACGTTGGTCGACGAAAGACCCTGGTGCATTACGCAACGGTGGAAAGGCCTGCGCCACAACCTTGACATATCAATTCCGCTTGTGATCATCGGCCTGCTTATCCGTGGTCCTGCCCTTCTCTTGCGCCACGTCTAGGCGGCTGAGGCGACCGATGAACGCTATTCTGGGAGACCAAAACGGGCCATGTTTCAGAGGGTCAGACGGTTTCATCGAATCAATTGAAGCGCCAATGGCTAGCTGCATCGTGGCTGCAGTGTAAATTTCCCGAGCCATAGCAACAGGATCTTAGGCGCGATGTGCCTTGTTTACTACCCCGGCCATCTGGGATGTTCGTAGCCCACCTCGAGCCCACTATTGTGTGGCTAGGGTGATCAGTGAGTCGCTTGTTCGATGTTGCGATGCATGATCGAGATGCAGGTTCCAGACATTGCCGGCCTCGAGCTTTCGATGATGGAGCTCAATTCTCTGACACAGGTGGGAATGCATTGACCGCTCTCACTCTGTTTCATTTGTCCCATCTCGAGCTCACTGTCGAAGCACCTCGAGCCGGAACTCGGAGTGACATAACCTGTTGACTGAGTGGCGCTGTTTGACGTACAGTACAGTTGATCCAAGTACCTGCCAAATACTCGGCCTCCGACTAGCTCTTGCCACGGCAACCGGGCAATTGCATCCACGGTAGCTCGACCGCACGGAGGCAGTTGCGATATGGCCAAAACCTCGTGGCCTTGAACGGGAAAGATTCCAGCGACATGGACTTTATTCGTAGAAAGTCAGGCCCTCAGGCCGCACATGGCCCCCAGGAGGAAGAGCCATCAGCTGCACCACGAGTTCGCAACAGACTGTCTAAGCCTCGCAGCTTGAACCACAACCTCAAAGCCTCGAGCAGCCAGCTACGACTTGAGGCACTCGACACAGGTGCACAGCATGCAGAACCTCGTTCAGAGTTTACTGTCGTGGAACCTACAGAGTCCGGTACTGACGGCCCCAGCACCAACCCCCGCGTCTCTGACCTGATCACCCGCCTTGAGGCCAATCAAAAGACATCCTCGCAGACTTCACTGCCTCTGTCAAAACGCAGAGACTCATACAGAGGATCTATGACATCTATAACAGAGCAGAAGCTCACGAGTCTCACCACTTCCTCGTCGCACCCTAGACTTACGACACTCAAGAACGACTCGAAGTCAACCATCTCACCAGCACAGTCAGTCGACGATCTCAGGCTTTCCGAGATACCCAACTTCTCTCGCCGATCCTCGTTCAAGCCTGGCGCCGCTACTAGGAAGAGCAGCCAGGTTGAGATCATCCTTGAAGAGCCCGAGCCCAACAAAAACATGTTACAAGATGACAAGCCACAACAAAGCTTCGTCGATGACGACGCTAGGTCATTCGTTGAAGGCGATGATGAAGCTTGGTACCCTCCTCCTCAAGTCGGTCGCCCTGAAACGCCGCGAAGCCTCATCGACTACCCACACTTAGGCAGCTTGACTCCCGGATCACTCCAGGTGACGAACGGTAGAGCCTCACCGACTGGTAGCAACATGTCAAAGCAGCTCATAACACACCAGTTCTCACGGCAGTCACGGGTGCGCGACGTCTCCAGTGAATACGACCAATCTGTCTATGATGATCAGTCTTTGCCGGCAAGTCTCAATGGTGATTCGGTATACTCAACCAAGAACCGGTACCGCGACTTTAGCTGGCAAAGTCGGGGAAGCTCCAAGCTCAGGAACGACGATGCTCCTCCAATGCCAGACACCGATGCCGTCTGTTCAGATCCTGCCTCTTTCTTGGCCGACGAATATATGGCTGAGCTCCCAGCCAGCCCGTTCGCTGTGCGCAAATCAAGTCTCCAGAACTTCGCTCATCGGGTAGCCCTTGCCGGGCTCGAGGGATCTGTCCGTCCTGAAAGCTACCTCAGCTATCAGTCAGCTGACATTCACGACGAGCGACGTGCCTCGTCACCAGTCCCGTCAGTCAAGTCAGAGACAGGCACGATCTTGGTCACTACCACAAAAACGACCGAGGCCGATGACGATCTTTTCGAGGATGAAGCCTTGGGTGGATCGCCCACCAGAGATCGTTTTGAAAGTAGTGACTCGTGGCATGCTACAAGTGTAGTAGATGAGAATAGAGTGCAGAGCAACGACGGGCTCGACACCGAGTATGCAGTCGACTTTACAACTGAAAATCAATTGACGCTGTTGCAATCTGTTGGCGACGTTCAGGTCAGCAAGACCATGTCATCGACCACGATCGAAATCGATACGACCATGCTGACGCCGGCCCAGACAGCTGAGATCCACGAAATGGACGCGAATGGCTACGAGTCCGATTTGCGGTTCCACTCACCTATCGAACTTGAGCCACTGTCGTCGTGGACCCCAAATTTTTCCTCGCCGGAGCCTCGCAAGTCCTTTCACAAGTCCGACTCCGGCTACTCTTCGAACGTCTCCCTGCGGTCCTCGTCCGGTGAAAGGAAACAGAGCATGTCGAAGATATCCTCGGAACTGGATCGACGCAGTCTTGTCGGCAAGGTCTTTCGTCCAATTCTGAAGAGTCGACGAACATCTACCGAAGTTGTCACAACACGCAAGAGCACCGACAAAGCCCGCCCGACGCCGACCCGAGCTCAGACATCGATTGCAGCCTTGTCTGACGCACCTACACAGAGGCCGCCCCAAGCTGCAGTGGTCGAAGTCAAGAAGACCAACAGGTTGACTAAACGTCTGACTTCTGGCAAGCAATTCCAGCCGGTGGTATTACAAACCATACAAAGCATTGACGATTTATCCATACCGCCCGTGTCAACCGAGGCAGCAGAACATCTTCGCATCCGCACCCAGGCGGTCCCTGAGCTTGAAAGTACTTACCGGTCCATGGACCATGTCCGCAACCGTCTCAGCGTCTCTACTGTCAGTATGCTTGACGACTATCCCGAGATCCGCTTTCCATCTCCGGAGCCGGAACGCAAGCAAGCACGGCGTCGATCATGGTTCGGCAAGGTCGTTGAAGATAAGCCAAGCAAGCCAGAGAAGCCGGAACCCAAGTACAAGTCGAGCAAGAGAGATAGCTGGAACGTCACGGACATCAGTCAGGAGCACGCCATGGCGATCGTCAATGAGTGGCAGACTCAGGCGCCAAGCTTAGGTGGAAGTCATTACGACCAGATCCCTAGCCGAAGAAACTCCATGAAGCTCTACCAGCAGCAACAGCAGCAGCAGCAAGAGCCACAACAGGGATTGCGGAGGCCTTCGAGGCTTCGACAGAAGAAGCGCAACATGGACGACAAGGAGGCAGCAGAGTTTGCAAGGATTAGAAGTGCTTCTATTCGGGAGCGGGATGCATGGAAACAGCAACAGCCCGCTGTCCTCCGAAGGTCGACTTCTGGCCAGAGGACGTCGATGGAGTCTCGTCGTTCCGCATCGAGGAAGCGATCCAGCAGGACCAGCAGCGCGACACGGACTACTCAGCCGATTCCAGAAGCCATCACGCAGCGGATTCAAAAGGCTCTTTCCGCCTCTCGGGAGGCCTCCCGAGAATCTAGTCCCCATCGCATGTTGATGGACCAGGACGCAGAGGCCTCCCTGGGGGTTAACATCCCTGCGCCGAACATCGCTCCACCTCCACCTCCGCCTCCGCATAGTCCACGGCCAATGTCAATTGACGAGGAAGAACACAGCAGTCCACCGCATCCAAGTCATGCTCCTCCACCTCCACCACCACATTCGCCCCGACCAACATCGATCAACCATGATTACTTCTCCGAACATCAAGCAGTGGCAGAGGACGATTTCGCGCCTCCACCGCCATCGCACTCCCCACGCCCAATGGATGTCACTCCCACGCAGGAGGAAGCTGATCCGTGGGCGGCGCAGGCGGACAGATGGAGAGCACTGAGACGACAGGTCTCTCAAGAAGCAGTCCGCGAGTCAGGTATTCATGTTGGGCAGTATGAGACTGACGTCTATCCCTCCTTGCCTCCGATGAACAGACAACTGCCAAACAGGTATACTATCACCAATGGAACCTATGACCCACAAAGTGGATGGGAGGACGGATTCGGCTACAAGCAGGACCGCACCTACAGCTATGCTCATGAGGCATGGACGTGGGATACGCAAGGTCAATACCATCAGCAGCAGCACTACACAGCGTCGCCATCGGCCTGGAAGGGCTACTATGGCAACCAGTATTGACATCAGAAACATTCCGATCACAGATGCATGTGGCAATTGACAGGGGCGTATGACAGATGCCGTATCTAATGTGGAGGAGGAGCTGGGCTACGAGAGGGACTCTGGTTGGGGTTTTGGAAAGAGAAGATCCAGTATACGAGGACGACGCACATGATTATACCCCCTTCGCAAAGGAATCCAAATTGACTGAAGAGCTTGGGTCAGGTGACAGCACTGCAGAGCCACGTAGATAGATTCATGGATAGCATGGCACAAGTACATACATTGAAACATTCCATCACCACCACCAGAACTCCCTGAATTCGCCGTCGGTCGTGCATGATCCTGGAACATGTGTAGGCGCATACGTTAAGTCAATTGGTCATGGGCGATACAAGCATAAGCTGTCACTGCTGTCATGATGTGTTTCTTGTCATAAGGGACTGACGAGTGAGTGAAACAGCGAGCCAATCAGCAGCCAGAGCGTCAGTTTTCGTTTGAGCGATAGAAGCTGAACAAATTGCTGTTCTAGGAAGGTCCCTTGCCCTTTTCTTCTCAATGTCGCTTCAACGGCAGCCAATGAGAAGGCGTAGAGTCAGTCTGCACGGGACAGATCGACTGTTGGTCCCAGCCTTATGCCATGTCTTTGTACAACTACCTATGTATGCAGGAAATCAGACTGTAGATCGAACAGCAGCTTCTTCTTCTTCGCGCAAGACCTAAACCTTGTAATTTTGGCCAACCCCTCGGGCTCGTGTCTGCCAGCAACTCGAGCTCTGGTGGGAACCCGATTCTTGGCCCATGACATGGATGCCCGAGATAGCGCCAATGCAACGTGCTAGTCCTCGGTGTCGGCGGTGATGTCCTAGGTCTGACGAAATCTCGCTCATGGGCTCTGCAGAAACAAAGTCCTCCTGGAGTCTGTCCTGAAGACAGCATCCTGCTGATCTTCATGCGTCCAGTACTGCAGCCGGCTCTCCGTTAACCTCGACCGCACAGGCGATAGGCCAATACTAACGGTCAGCATGGCGCCACTCCTGGATAGTATGGTCGCCACAGCCCTCCTGACCACGCTAGTGTGCCCAGTAACGGCAAGCTATGGCTTCTACATCGGCAAAGACCTCTCCGCCAGCGGCCACACCATGCTCGGCGGCACCGGCGAAGAAGTATCATCACACTGGCTACAAATCTTCCCCGCCGCGGACCACCCACCAAACAGCACCCTCACAGTCGGCGTGACCCCAGACGCCACCCTACCAGGCAACCTGATCAACATAACCCAAGTGCCCCACACCTACCGATACATGTCCATGGAGTACTCCGACTACGAGGGCTTCCCAGCACCCCTAACCAACGGCGGTGTCAATGAGCACGGCGTAGCCGTTCGCGACATCTGGGCCTCAAACCGCGATGAACTCTACTCCATGACCCCCAACCTGCAGACCGGCATCCAATACTCCGACCTCGCACGCCTGGTCCTCGAACGCGCGACAACGGCTCGCGAGGGCGTCCAACTCATCGGCGACCTAATCGCGGAGTACGGCTACGCAACCTACGGCGGCAACAGCCACCTCATCGCCGACAAGGACGAGGGCTGGGTGGTGTGGGAGTTTGCTGGTGGGGAGAAGCTCTGGGCTGCGGAACGCCTGGGCCCGGATGTAGTCAGGGTGAGCTATCCGGGGTATATTGAAGAGTTTCCGCTGGATTTTGCAGACAATGACACGAATTATATGGGTAGTCCGAACTTGGTGAGTTTTGCGGAGGAGCAGGGGTGGTGGAATGCGAGTTCGGGGGAGGCGTTTAATGTGTTTAAGGTGTATGGTGTGCAGGGGGACAATTATACGGCTAGGGATGGGGGGTTCAAGTATATGTCGCAGGCTGCGCTGGAGGAATTGGCGATGGAGAAGGCGCCGTTGACGGAGGCGGATTTGATGGAGTTGGTGAGGGATCCGAGGATTGCTGATGATGAGGCTGGGTATGGGCAGGTTGTGACGCTTAAGACTGTTTCGAATGGGACGGGGGGCAGTGATGAGTCGTTTGTGGACCCAGATCTCATTCGTATCTGGAATGCGCCGACCGGGAGCGTAACCGCTCCGTTCAACGTGTGGTGGCTCGGTGTAGAGTCCGTTCCGCCGGAATATGGTCAGCATCGGTATCTGACTAAAGATGCGGCCAGCACCTTCCTCAATCCGGACTTCCAGCTGCAAGAAGCGAGTGTCTTCGCGGGTCGGGTCTTCAAGAGGCTGCTCTACTACACCTGCTCGAATCCCGAACGGCTATTGCTGGAGTGACGGAGATGCTGAATGGGTTTGAGAATCAGACTATCAGTGATCTGGAGTGGGTCGAGAATGCAGCGAATGCATTGATCGCTGCAGATATGCGAAGTGAAGCGACAGCGATGCTGACGTACTATTCGCATACTCGAGCAGCGGAGGCGTTGAGGATGGGCAGAGGCATGGTCGAGGCGATGGATGGTTACCAAAAGGCCACAGGGGCGTGGAGGTCGCCGAAGGGGAGTCAGATTAATGATGCTGGCGAGGGCGATGAGACTGTGAACTGCCTTGTTGGGTTTGATCCGGATCGGCCTGCTGGTGATCAGACGGTTTTGCGAGGAAGAAGTTAATTGGTCGACAGCTGCCTACTCAGTGCGGCCCAAGGTCGTAGTGGACAAGATGCGCATCGGTAGCGCGTCGGGCTCAGTGGCTGCATGGTCTCCTCCGTTGGTTCTGCCTCACCTTACTTCCCCTTCGTTTGGTGCTCTTTGGTGACCAACTCCTCGCCAAGCCGTCGAATATGCTCGCTGCCTACACCACAACATCCTCCCACGATGCCTGCTCCAGCTTCGATCCAGTTCTTTGCGAACTCAACATATCGGTCTGTACCCAAGTCGTCTCGAAGCGTGCTAACGACTGCATTTGCCTTGTAGTCCTCGCCCTGTGGCTCGAAGCGGTTGGCGTAGACACCAATCAGCTTCTTGCAACCATGCGCATCGAACACAGCTTTAGTCTGCTTGACGGCCGGTAACATACACTCCGCCTTCGAGCAGTTGAACAAGATGGCATCGACATCGTCCCATTCAATGAGTTTGGCTGCGGCTTCTGCTACCGTTTCTCCCCCTCGCAGCTTTGCTTGAGCCTCCGAATCTGGCTGTTCACTCCGATCGTCCAGCGTGAATGCTATCCAGATCGGTTTCCCCGATCTCTTGACTGCTGTCCGCACCGCTTCAGCCTCGGCAATCAAGCTCAGCGTCTCGCCTAGCCACAGATCCACCCAGGCTGCGAGACCTCCTACTAGTACGGCTAAGTGCTCTTGCACCCTGCTCGCATCGAAGAGTGCCGGCTCATAGCTCCCAAAGATCGGCGGCAGACTCCCCGCGACCCTGACCAACCCTGAACTCGCTGCCGAGCTTCCGTCCTCTCCGGTCTCCCTCTCCGTGCCCCTCCTCCCCTCCTCCTCAGATGCTACACTCCTCGCCAACCTTCCCGCATCGCTTGCCAGTTCCTTCCCTCTCTCCCAGAACCTTTCCTCACCAATATGAAACGGCACGATTGCGTACGAGTTGGTCGTGAGAATGTCGGCGCCCGCGCGTGCGAACGCGGTGTGTGCTTGCGACACGAACGTGTGGCTTTCCGGAGACAGAAGGCTTAGGGCGGACCACTCGGGCTGGGCGAATGGGGCACCGAGGCGGATGAGTTCGCGGGAGAAGCCGCCGTCCAAAAGGATCGGGGGCATTGCTCGTTGAGAATGCTGGGGCAGGAAATTAAAGGGTGGAACGGCCGGGGCGATGGTTGGGGTGGCGCAGTGATGGAGTTTTGACGCTGAGTAGGTACGACGGAAAGTCTCAGCTTCTGCACGCAGCACAAAATGTCTAAGGATGGTATTGGGAGTAGTCGGCCAGATTGGGGGCAAGGCTTGCCAATTTTGCCGTAGAGTCGATCAAAGCAGGTCACCCAACTGAGCACACTTATCCATCCTGAGTTTTTCTCCAGTCTAAAGTCTCTAGAAGAGCAGCTTTCCTACGGATGTTGTCGAGAGAGTGTCAGAATATTTTCGAGCGTCCTATTCCAGACCGGTTGACAAGTGATGTGGGATATGCAAATTAAACTTTTCTACAAGCTGTCTTGGGAACGCCGGATGACGCGCGCTCGAAGCATTCAAATCACTTGCTGCCTTTACAGAACCATCCGATCAGAGATTTTCCATTGCCGCTTAACAGCAGTGCCAGCATCTGCTCAAGGTACTCATCCCGCGAAGCAGATGAAAGTTCGCTTTAGGAAGGAGGCCTGCTCGACGTGGCCGTGGAACATCTCTACCGTTTCACCCTTTCCTGAGCTTCGTCAGCTCGACTTCTTGCTGTATTCGATGCGTGTTCGGTCTAGCCGTCGTTTTGACGATCGGCTCGCTCTTTGTTCGCTACTGCGCCGGGCCGATGCTCAATCACAGCGGGCCTGGACATGTTTGAGTGATGAGTCTTACGCGTCGAACGAGTACAGTCTGCAGATGACAGGCCACTCTTACGCAGAACTGTCCAATTTTCGGAGTTGGGAAAGCAGCTTCAAGGCAACAGCTGATCGAGGTTGATGAATCCCGCCTTGCTAAACAACTTGATCATAGTGATCAATCATCCTGATGCTCCTCAGTTGACAGTAACGTGGGCAGGTAAGTGTGAATACCCTTTTTCAGTGGACTGCATTTGTGTCTGGCTGCGTAAGGTAGAGTGCATGTGAGGGCCAGCGCCATCAAAAGAACGACAACCGGGCTAGCGGCACAGGGGCAGTCGCAAAAGCCAAAAGGTCGAAGGTGTCAGGATGTGTACGTCAGTCACTGTTGGAGTGTATCCCCGCATCACTACCACCAGAGATAAATGTTCGAGACGTAGACTCACAGGTCGCCGTTGGCTATGTGGAATGGGCTCGTGTTGAGCCAGACGCCAAGTTCCACATTTCTCTGGCCGTAAAGCTTCCAGGTGATTTGGGAACCGCACCCATCTATCAGAGGAGAGGTTAAGCTTCGGACTGTTTTGAAGATGCAGCCAACTTGAGCAGCAGATCGTCAGCGCCATCATATCGAAAGGTTATACGACCGGAGAGCATTTGAGACAAGATGGGCGATTCTCAACTACCGCAGAATGGCATAGCTGGCACCTCTCTACGTGTCCAATCCCTTTACCAGTCCCACACCACCGAAGGCCATGTTCTTTGGCTCACCGAGCCTCCCACACCGCCTGACTCACACTCGATACCAGAATCCGAGAATCCGGAGTACGCTATCACGCTCCGTCACCGAAGCTTGAACGGACGGAAGCACACCCTCGACAGCATTATCATCCGCTCTCCGCCTTTGCGGAAGTTTCTTGATGAAACGATAGAGCATATCTCTGCGCTGTACGACGAGAATGAGGAAGGCCTGGTTGTGCAAGCACCCTTCAGAATTCTGTTCTGGCATTTTGACGCGATTGAGAATGCCGCCGCATCCTCAAATGCTACTCAGGAAGATGATGCCCTGGGGCCACCAGCAACCTTATTGCGGGATATTCTCGACGATGAGTTCCGGGATCTGCTTCAACGCCGGGAGACGATGGTTACGCAAGGGCAGATCAACTTCGATACACTGTGGACGCTGTTCAAGCCGGGCATTACCTGCGTCACGACATTCATGGAGATTCATCACGTTGCGGTGAGGTGTATCTCAATAGACTTTGGACGGCATGCTATGGGCGGGATGTATTACCGTATCAAGTTCGAGAATCTGGTGTGGAATGGCGAGAGTTTGGGTTGGCGCGATGACTACACGGACATCATGGAGTTTAAGGGTCGGAGGAAGATCCGGGACGCGCATATACTGCCGCTGGAGTTCTGGCAGGGTGGATCGGTAGAACAGCTCGCGGCTCGCGGGCGGAGGTTCTTGGATCTGGTGGTCAAGGAGCCTTACATGATGCGGTTCTCTGGAGAGAGTCTTGACTCGGAGAGCAGTCCAATGTGGTGGCAGGGAGAGCAGAAGAAGAAGATGTCGGAGCGAGTGATCCTGGATGCGCGGGCTTACAGTCACTACTTTCGGAGGCTGGCGGTGTCGAAATGGAGAACCAGAGATCAGCTGGCCAACCTGGACCAGCTACAGCTTGCGTATGTGTTCCCGGAACTGCATGTCTTTGCGCTACAAAGAAAGAGGTGGTCGAGGGTATGGGTGGACGATGTGGATGAGGTTGTGTTCAACGATGCGGCGTATCCGAGTCTGGTTCTACCAAGCGATTATAAGCAATTACTGCTCGCTTTCGCGGAGGCACAGATCGATGCTGCGAACGGAGTGGGTGGCTTTGACGACGTGATCGCCGGTAAGGGACAAGGAATACTCATGTTGCTCGCCGGGCCTCCAGGGACTGGGAAAACCTTGACCGCCGAAGCAATGGCTGAGCATATGCGGCGTCCGCTCTACAGCGTCTCGACTGGCGAGTTGGGCATGGCTGCCGCAGGAATGGAGAACGAACTGAACAAAGTCCTGGAGCTGTCGACTCGGTGGAATGCAGTGCTGCTTCTAGACGAAGCCGACGTGTTTCTGGAGAGGAGGGCAGACAACGACATACAGCGCAACAGTATTGTTTCGATCTTCCTGAGACGGCTAGAGTATTATCGCGGCATCATGTTCCTCACCACGAACAGGATTCGTTCATTCGACGAGGCCTTTCGGTCAAGAATACACGTCGCCATCCAGTATCCCGACCTTGACAGTACAGCTAGACACTCCATCTGGTCCAATTTTCTGCGAAGAGCGAAGGAGACATACCGCTATGGCGTAGAATTTGAAGAGGCACAAGTTGAAGAACTAGCAGAGCTGACATTGAACGGGCGGGAGATCAGGAACATCGTCAAATCGGCCCAGCTGCTCGCATTGAGAGATCAAGAGCCGTTGAAGAAGAAGCATGTCGACATTGTGTGGAGAGTTGAGATGGAAAATAGTCCGTGGCAGAAGACAAGTGCGGGCTGAGTGATCGAGACAGGTGGCGAGTTCGTGCGTGAAGTTGAGATGGTGCCTACTAGAGCCTCTTCCGGAGCTCAATGCCGAGTTTGCTTTTGTCGAGCATCAACCGGTGCAGTCGCGATTCATGACAGACCGCCTGCTCCGGAAGAACCCGGTGCTAAAGGATTCCCAGGTTGTGCATGACCCATCTAGCGATTTCTTTCAAGCTGCTCAAGACACTCAAAGTCTGGCCGTGCCATCTTGTGACTGGTGCTGGGATCCGTGGACCAGGCATGCAACATCAGATCCCAGATCAACTTGCTTGCGGATGCTGGGACCGCTGCGTTTGAGTCACTCACGCCATCTGTATTCGAGGAGTCGACGAAGGATCCTGTAATGAGACAGGAGATGAAATACGAGGAGAGGCGGGGAAGGCGCAGCCACAGCCACCTTTTGGCACAGCCCCTACGATCGAACTTCCTCCACAACGATTAAAGCGACGCTTTCTAGCCTCACGGGCATCGTCGATCCTTTTGCACTCCAGAAAGATCACATAGTGCGCGCGAACATGAGATGTCCGGTCCGGCGTTTGGCTTTTCCGTCGGGGACTTTGTAACGGCTATAGAGGCGACGACCACTATCATCAAGGCTCTGAAGCAGACTGGAGGTGCCTCCTCACGTTACATACAGGTCTTGCAACGCCTTCAGTCGCTGAGGCGGATTCTCGACGAGCTCGAAAGCTTTCAGCCTTCCGACAGTGATTCAGCTTATGTCAATGCCATTCGGGGAGCGGCGCGAGCCGCAAAGTTCCCACTCGATGACTTCCTGGCAAAAATGGAGAAGTATGAGCCCGCCTTGAATCCGACAAATCGTGCCAGCATCAGTCGACGTGCTCCTAGGTCGGTGAAATGGGCATTATGGGTAGAGGAAGAGGTCGAGAAGCTGCAGATTGCACTGGATGCACAATGCTCGAGCCTGAGTTTGCTGATGCAGCTGCGTCAATGCAAGGTCGGCGACGTCCGCGAGTCTCGACGCAGAGCCGAGCACGAAGGAGTGGAGACGTTGCTCAAGCAACAGGTCAAGTCCTCCCTCAGCAACAGTGATGCGATCGAGGATATACGACGTGAGACTACTCGAGGCATGGGCGACATTCTCACTGCTACAGCTTCGGTGCAAGCCTCCACCGATACGAACGCTGCCATCTTGACAGACGTCAAACGCATTGCGATATCATTGGTCGATCAAGCAAATGAGCACGACTCTAGGGCTCAGCAGCACGCTCGCAGCATCACGCAAGCCATGATGGACAATACTGCTCAATTACTGAAGCTGCAACTGAACCTATCTGCAATGCCACAAACGACAACCGACTCATCGATCCACTTGGTGGACGCGCTGGACCGTCCGCAGAAACTACCATACGAGTTCTTCCAAACTTTCGAGGTACTGCCTAACACTTCAAGTAAACGTCGTGGACTGACATATTCCTTGCGTAGATGATTCACGCGCACCTTTCGACGAAGTTCAGGTATGTTCCAGGTGGTGCACAGGTCAATACTGGCCTTTACCAGCTCGTTCTAGAAGGCAGGTCTCCACGGGTCGTGGACGCTGACAACTGGTCTACCACCGTTTTTCCGGGATCTCGCGTCACTATGTTCGTCGTACTCTCTTCCCTTCGCATGCCTCCAAATCGATGCCCTCGACCGTCTTGCAATCGTGTAGTATCCTTGCAAGATTCATGGAAGTCTAGGTTGCAATGGTAAGCCAAAGAGCCGAGTGCTGAATGGCAAAGCGCGCCTTGTCCTCTAAACATCAACATTCATAGTTTGCGCTTCCGAGCAGGCTACCCTTCAAAATGAACATGACCTTCGATGTTTTGAGCAGAGAGCTAACGTAATTGGTCAGTCCCAAGTGCCGCTTACTATATCATCCAGCCAGCGTTCAGCGCTTGCTAAATTTGGGCAGCGGCAGAAGCACCATTCAACAAGTGCAGAAGAAGCACGACACAGACCAGTACGGCCGGAGAATTGATCCAGCTGACGTCTCAGTGATTGCCAGTATCTCGAATCCTACCCTATCACAATTCAGTAGGACGTCAAAGGCATCGACGGCAATGTCTGCGAAGAGGACTACGGCTACAGAGAACGAGTTGTCCCTGCCCAGGAAGGGCAGGAAGCTTCTGAGCGACGCGCACCCGGCTTCCGAAGAGACCTTCCTGCCACTGACACGACAGAACTTGCAAGCATGGGAGTCCTTCGATGGCCACGACGCCGTCGACGTTATTGGCCAGCTTGATGCGATGTTCGGGACTGGAAAGGATCCTGTAAGTCCGGTCCCCTTCCTTGAATGGTATATCAGGAGGCCATCTGAAGATAGTCGGCGAAGACATGCAGATCGGAAGCAACCGTCAAGTGATCGTGAGCGGCTCTCTCTAGCAAGGGATGACTCATGCAACTCAACATCATGCGCTAATAGATCTTGTCAATGTCTGCTCTGGTTGATGGAAGGTGTCATGTCGGGGTACAACGCACGCGCTGACTTTTTGATCTGCTGGCATGAGGGTCAGCCAGAATCATACTTTGGATTAGCCTTCTGCTCCGCCAGCTATTTCATCTCCAATGCCATAATCGAATCTGGCTAACGATGTGCTTTATAGACTCTCCCGGTTATCGACTGGAGTAGCAGCCCCTCCGGTATGATGGCATGGCTCAATTCAAGCGCCTTACCGGCTTCTGGAAACTCTTTCCCTGAGATTGAAGATGTCGAAAAGGATCAGAATACTGTTCCCGACAACGAAGTGAATGATCTGGAAGTACTCCGACGCGTTTGTATACCATGGTCAACGCCAGCAGCGTGCCACTATCTCGACGCTTCCGAATACCAGGGCATGACTGGGCCAGCTGTCTTACATCTCCGGCGGATCTTGGATCTGTTCCCAAGACTGTCCTCTGTGCTTGCCCGTCGACTGGCCCAGAACAACCATACTCAAGCGCAGACACTGGCGAAAGTCAGGGCAGCGGCAGATGGACAGCGAGGCATGTGTATTGGAAGCCCTGAAAGGCCGAAGAAGCGCACAGAAGCTGCTATTGGAAATGTATCCTCTGGCTCGGTTGAGGAGGACGACCATTCAATCGCAGACTTCATCAAATTGCTTGAGGCAAAGAAAGAACTTTCGGACTCAAGGACGGATAATGCTTCCGCCGCCAGCAGTACGCGCCGCACAACTGCCGCGCTGGATCGCTTTCACCGTATGAAGGACTCTTACGCCGCTCTCAGTGACTCTGTGAGCCCCTTACGGATGTTGCAACGCTCATCCGATCGAAGTTCTGCTGGCGAGACGCCGAGTGAGCGGCTTGCCAATATGAATGAGGTGCATCATCGACAGAATTCTGACGAGAGACACTATGGTCGTAGTCCGAAGTCGAGCACTTCCGCTATTTCGAAAGCTTTGGACATGACGAGTCGTCGTCTCTTCGGAACTGGATACCAATCACCCGTAAATTTTATGCGCGGTCGAGCAGACGACGACAATGAGCGCGGAGAACAGGACAGTGACGCGTCTAACAACGAGTACAACAACGAGGATGACTCATCGCAGAAATTAAAAATCACCGGCAAGACCAAGCACATGAAGAGGCCCCACCGTGGGAGGCGTCTGTACGATGATACATTCGTGACGGTATCGGGAAAGCGCGCGCACTCTGCAATGTCGAGTCGCAACAGCTCCATGCGAGGAGACAATCACTTCGACACAGACTACCAACGAACTAAAGCCAGACGAGAATCAGCTGGCTCGGGGGCTTCGTACCATATCGAGCGCGAGGATTATCAATTTACGAGTCCGATGCGAGCGACAGGACCAGAAGCCTTCAAGTCCTCGCCACAATTCAGTTCGCGGACGGCAGCAGTTTCGACCAGGCGTTGTGAGCTTTGCGACCGAGACGTGGGTATTAAGCGGCAGCGCGACTTTCAGTATGTTTTCTGTCTCTCTCTGTTGTCAATAATTGCATCTAATGCCTTGCAGACGACATATTCTTCGTGACACAAAGCCCTACATCTGTTTAGAGAACGACTGTGCAGAAGCCCACAAATGCTTTGCCTCGACCAAATCCCTTCGCACGCATTACTCTACTGTGCACGTCAGCCATGCCAGGTGGAGCCATGGCATACAAGGCTGCTGCGAATTTTGCAACGAGTATTTCCTCCGCGATACTGCATGGTTGCTGCACGTTGCACGCCATATGGAGCAAGTGGCGTTTCTGACAATGACGAATCCCCGGAAAGATTGGGTCTTCTACAGCGATGGATCTGACAGCTCGGAGAGCATGACTGACCTCGAACGACGCAAGCAGCTGCAGCCCCATCGATGTCTGTACTGCGCAGCGAGCTTTTCCACCAAGCATGAGGCTGGAAGACATCGAAATGCCGTCCACACACGAAGAGTGTCGTGGTCATGCGCACATTTAGCTAGCCACGAAGATGCTTTCAAAGGTCCCGATTTTGAGCAGCAGAAGCAGTGTTGCTACTGTGGGTCCTTCTTCAGGCTGGACGGACCAACACGTCTAAACCACCTGCACACGGTGCACCGAACTCAACAATGCAATAAAACCTTCTACAGGCGTCATGAATTCCGGCAGCATCTGATCAAATCGCACGCCGCTAGCGCGGATCCTTTCGACAATTCCTGTGTCAGCCTGCTGGTAGACAGATGTCGTCAGCGAACTGGAGACGCAGAAGGCAGTGAAAGCTCGTGGGACTCTCATGGTAGCGAGTGGAAGTTACCATCGACTCATTCTCCGAGCGATGTAGGTTGGGGAAGGCCGTGGTGAAGCTGAAGGATCATAGGTGCCCATGGGTGGACTCCGATTCGACCTTTTCCCATCCTACTCGTCTTAAAGTTCATCTTCGGTCGTAGACAGGAGGCCGGAAGCGATAGACGTGCTCGGTCGTCGCGTGCAGCCAAAAGTTCATACAAATGGGCATCCTCCGAAACCACGAAATGCGCCACAGATGCCACACTCCACAACGCAGGTCCGCCAAATGTGGTCAGACAGGGCACATCAAGACAGACAAGCTACCGTGCCCGCTGCTCATTAGTGGCTCGATGAGTGCAGCCGCTGGTGCACACGAACCAGCCGATAGCTATAGGGCCAAGCATTCGCACAGTGCCGCGTCCACGGCACCCTATGGTCGAGAGGCGACAGAAGCAGACAACCGGCTACTCTGGAAGCGGGTCCGCCCGGCAGAAGATCCAATTTAACGATGCATTATGCATCTAGGCACAGACAACTGGGAAACGAGTGATTCGGAAAGGGGTTTGACATCCTGTCTGACCCCGTTGGCACCTTCCCGACCTCAACACAGAAGTCGTCGTACACTGTCAAACACGCAGACACCGTCTGAGGCGATCCTTTGCTGATTCCCGGGCTTCGTCTGCATCCGAGCTGCCATCATCGAAGAGGTCGTCCTTGGCGACAGCCAAGACGTGGGCAGAAGCTGTAGCAGATGGATCTAAACCTGTCGGGCCTCCCACAGCACGGAAGCCGTCAAATCAGCGCATTAATGTCAACCAGCCATCCTGAGTCACGCTTTCTCGGTCGCGAAAGTCCACCACATGCAACGGAACGGATTTCTCTGCGGCAGAGGCATGCCCTCGTCTGGCATGATCGCTGGGGCGTCTTGACGGAGCCACAGGACCCGCAGCGTGAGCTTGAACGCGTTGCGTTGCACGCTTCACGACATGTCAGATCTTCAGAGGGTCGTCGAATCTGTCCTACGCTGGCAACGGACAACGCGATGGCTGCATAGCCTCAAGAATTCTGGAACAAGAGTGTGCACAGCTCCCAACTCAAAATGATGGCCTCGACCAAGATGGCATTCGATATCCTTGGAAAGATGAGCTGCTGATAACGCCAGGTGTGTAATGATGTTGAACAGACTCCAGGAGGTCGGACAACCTCTGACAACCGGGGACTTTAGTTGGCGCTGATTGATCAAAATCGGACGACAACATTAGCATTCTCACACGCGTGGTTGACAAGCAGTGCGGCGCGCACTGGAGGCCGCTTGATACTGTGCAAGACCGAACGACGAAAAGTTCTGAAAGTATAGCTCTCGCCGGTCGACAGCAAGCATTAAACAAGACCGGTTGACATTCGTTATCATATTACAGAACTTCTGAAGGCTTCAGAAATGTCAACTATGAGCTGAAATTCTTTGAAGCTGTACATACCACAACCTACGCGCACCAAGTGTCGAGAGAATCTTTTCAGTGTGTGTTATTCGATTAGCGCCTAGACATAATCTTGCTCATGAGCAAAGGTGGCTCACTCGTCAGACCCAAGCACTAGAGGATCTGTCACTGGATGCCAGTCCAGCAGCCTTGCCCGAACACTGTCCACCAGCTTGGAGCCAGGTCTCGTTGGCTCTCCCCTCACAACAGCGCAGCAACGCCCAACAATCCAACACCCAAACCCCAGCCTAGAGAAGTCTTCCCAAGCATGGTCTGTGCAGCGTCTCCAGATGCCGCACTGCTTGCAGAGGCAGCCGCACTGGACGTTGCAGAGGCTGCGCTCTCTGATGCAGAAGATACGGCGGAGGACGCGGATCCAGATGCGGATGACGCGGAAGACGCCGCACCGGAGGTAGAGGTCGCTGTGGCGGAGGACTCGGTCCCAGAGGTGGCGGTGCCGTTGGGGGACTGGCCTGGGGCGCAAGTTGCCGCTGATGGCTGGAGTTGAGGCGTCAGTAGCGTTGCGTGGGAATGTAATGCAACTGGTAGCTTATAGGGTACAGTGTTAGGTGAGTACGTACCAAGTTGGTAACACCAACAGGCGAGCAGATGTTCTTCGCGTATGTCAACGCCGCGTCCTGGTCATTCTTATCGCAGGCACCGCTGACACAGCAGGCGATGCCGCTGATGAAGCCGGAGGATTCACAGATGCCTGCAAGATGCACGGGTTCGTTAGCTGTGGTGTTGCTATTGTCTCGGCCAGGCACGAGGCTCTTCTCCAGATGTTCAGATCACATTGGCTGTCGTAGGAGCCAATGCTTTGCACCTTCACTCAGCGCTGCTGAGGTGGTCGCGGCCGGCTCTGCGACTTGCGTCCGCCGCCCTGATATGCCATCCGTCCATTCCTGAAATTTTCGAGGGCCTTTTGGAAGCAGCTTCTGAGGGCAGATTGCCGCGTATTGGGAGGAAGGAAACGTACACTTAGGATCCAAATTGCAGCTCGCGGGTAAGCTGTTCGTAACACAGCCGATGGCACCTATGGTTGTGAATGTCAGTACAGGTCTTGGGTGCGTCGTAAGAATATCATGCGATGCGGACTGTGCGCGAACAATGACGAGCATTGCGCAGTGCCCTGTGCGCCGCGCGAGCCTGCACGAACCCGTAGAGACACCATTTGTAGAGCTTCCTCGAGCTCATGCTCGATAACGTATTTCTGCTTTTTGAATACTGCATGTAACTCTTGCTCTTTCTCCTCCCGTTCGGAAGAACGATCTGAACCACAAAGATGTTCTCACGACTCAGGCATGGGCAGGACAATTACTAACATGATGGGATACCAGCTAGACTCTGGCTAGCACCGAAACTGGCGAGCGCCAGCACGGCGACAGTTGAGGCAATCTTGTACATCGTGGTTCGGAGTGGTGGGGTCGTACGCGGTTGGGGACGTGTTTACGTGTGCAGGTGTTCACGTTCGTTAATCTCGAGGTTGTGGACGCGAGGAAGCAGTATGTACACAGATGACAACGGAGCTGTTCGTTGACGATCAAGTGGCAGTTACAAACAGAACGGAAGGAACAAACTGCAAGATATCAGCCGCATGGTCTGGCAGCCACGATCGGCTCCTTCTATTATAATTTAGCATGTTTCTTGACGACCCAAGATTCTGCCGAAAAAGCAGGGCTCGGTCTTTCTGCAGCTGGCAGCAGCGCTCGGGTAGGTAGAGACGCAAGCCACAGAAGATCAAACGGGAGCATTCGACGCCTGGACCGCACCCAGTGGGGTGGTCCAGCGAATTGTGATGTGCTCTGACAGAGCCGCTAGTTGCCCGCATGACAGGGCTGCTGTCTGCATGAAAGCTTGTGCCCTGGGGAGCCAGTGGTACCCCTCCGTCGGGCTCGATACGAGGGTCACCCAGAAGGATTCTGCACCACGTCGGAATCGCTTATAGACGTCAACGCTCTCGAAGATGAATGTGGACAGATGTATGCGTCGTCGCTTGCTCTTTGCAGTTTGTGTCAGACCTTATCGCAGAAGTGCCAGTGTAACGTGCTGCTGCTTTGGGGGAGGCAATCAACGATTTAGAGGTCGTGCAAGGTTGAGGTCCTGTCAGATCCAGACCTTTACGCAATAGCACCAAAGTTAGAAACACAGGCGTGGGCATGAGTTCTATGCGTCGCAACTCATCTACAGTACAATGCGCTTACCGTTCTATTGCGAACGAATCCTAAAAGGACCGGACAACGCTTCTCCTAGGGAGGTGGGGTGCACAAGTCTTGAGTATGGAAAGAGCATCTGGCGGGAAGAGTTTGAATAACATGTTCGAGAAGGTGCGTCCAGCACATATGCTGCTGGTTATCAGGCACCTCTAGATACCTCCTTAGGTATACATACAGATCATTCCTCACAAATTTCCTCTCTCCATCTGCTCCCTCTCAATCGCCTCGAACAAGCTCTTGAAGTTGCCCGCCCCAAAGCCCTCAAAATTATTCCTATATATAATCTCCACGAACACCGTCGGCCGATCCATCAAATGCTTCGTGAACAGCTGCAGCAGATACCCGCCTTCATCGAAATCGATCAGAATGCCCAGTTCTTGCAGACGAGCAAAGTCTTCGTCCAGTTTCAGACCGGACTTGGCCAGCCTTTCCTTCATATTCGTATAATATGTTGACGGAACGGAGATGAACTCGACACCTCGCTCCATCATATTATGTACAGTTTCGATGATGTCTTTCGTGCGGAGCGCAATGTGTTGCACGCCAGCGCCGCCATAGAAGTCGACGTATTCTTCTATCTGGGATTTCTTCTTCCCAACGGCAGGCTCATTGATGGGCATCTTGATCTTCTCGTCTGCCGATGCCATGACGACGGATTTCAGCGCTGAGAAGTCGGTGCAAATGTCTTTGTCGTCGACGGACCAGAAGCGGTGGAAGCCAAGCGTCTTTTCGTAGTAGTCGCAAGCTGCCTCCATTGAGTCCCAGTCTTGATTTCCAACAACGTGATCGATGTGTGACAGATTTATTGAGGGCAAGTATTTGGCTGATGGGTCAACGGCCGTGACTTTTCGATATCCTGGAAGGAACAGGTCTGTCGGATATGACGAACGCTCAATAAGGGTGTGCGTGGTGTCGCCGTATGTTCGGATGCATGCCGTCGTTACTGACCCATTGTCATCCGAAGAGACCTTGGGTGGTGACACGATAGAAGCACCTCGCTTAACGGCGGCTTTGTACACTGCTGCAGCATCGTCCACGCGGAAAGCGACATCATGCACTGCATCTCCATGTGCCTCCAGATGATCGTGAACTTTTCGCAGCTCTGCTCTTTCGGCATCGCTGAGCGGAAGTCTGGTATTCGGCGCATGTATAGGCGAAGTCAGGACGAAGCACACGTTCCCGTTCTTGACAACGTGCGATGCGAGATGCCGAGAGCCAGTCTCTAGTCCTCGATATGCTACTCTTGAGAAGCCCATACGGGATGTGTAAAAGGCCGCCGCTTGCTTGGCGTTTCCGACATACCAATGTACATGATCATAGCCCTCATATGAGCCCAGCGACTGCGGTGTCACATCATGTAGCCGCGTAGGGCCGAGTTCTGGTGATATTGCGATTGGTGCCATTGTTGCTGCAGAATGTCGTTAGAGTGTGGCAGCGATAGTCCAGATGATCAAACAGCAATCCTGGCTGCTGTTATTGAGCGTGTCATCATGTACTTATGTCGCATGATTATCTTGAGACGTTGCCGCTGTGAGATTCCAATATCCGGCTCTGACCAGCCTGTCCTTGGATAGGGCAGGCAACAAAGACTTGCGGGGACCCGCATCCTCGAGGAATGATCCAATCAACTCCCGATCCGGATAAAGAGCCGCCAATATCCATTGCCATCCGGCCGCTCACGGTACTCGACTGTCCTCTCCACCAAATAACATCGGTATCAAGAAGCGGCTCATATGAGCCGGTACATGCACGGCATCCCGATGATAAAGTGATTGTAAGGCCTGTGGGATTTTCCGATCTTCCAACCGCATAGTGAGAAGTCGGTCAGTTCCACGTAACACTAAAGACTTGAATTCGACACTGCTGGCCTCAAGCAGCAATGGCCAGCGCCACGTATCTCAGCCGGAACGACAACGCGGTGCTGGGCGCACTGTTTGATCCGGAGTCATCCTTATCAAACAGCACACCAGTGGCAGATACATTGCCAAGCAACTTCAGCTCAACCGAACTGCAAGACATACTGGAAACAGAGCGAAGAGCGCTCCTGCCACTGAACGTAGAGCGACCGTCGGAAGACACTATCGCGACTTCGATCTCGGATCTCGACACTATTATCGAGCAGTGGCCAGAGTATGCCTCGGCATGGAACAATCGTGCGCAAACGCGCCGGATGCTGTTTGAAATTCAGACATTACACCAAGAGATCGAAGCCCTGCGCCTGATTATGGGCGATCTGTCTCAGGCCATTGCTCTTGCAACTCCTCAGAATCCTTCATCGCCTGTGCCGGCTGCACATGCCAAAGTCCTGGCATCGGCGCACACCCATCGCGGGTATTTGTTGTACGCTGCGTCCAAGTCTGAGGACCTAGCTACGGCCATGACTTCTTCGATACAGAGTCTGGAAGGACTGGACTCAGAGCAACTGGAAGAGAGAGCCAGCCACGACTTCTCTCTGGGTGGGCGCTATGGCAACGATATGGCCAGACAGCTAGCAGTCAGGACGAATCCATATGCAAAGCTTTGCGGCAGCATCGTCAAGGAGGCTATGCAGAAGGAGGTGATGGACTACAACATGCAGATCCATGGTATGAAGCCGGCGTTGTAGCTATGAGGGTCGATGGCAGTGGTCACAGGTCAATGTACATTATGTCGAGGCTGGTATATTCCATAGAAAGTCCAACGAGCCCATGTCCATACCAGTGATGCCCTGATCAATATCTGTGCCGAAAGGCGCAAATGACGCGTCGAATGGTTGGGCCAGCCAATCGTCCATGTCTGTAGGAAAGCCGTTCTGTAATTCCGAGTCGTCGAAGTGTATAATCCTGTTATTCTGATAGGCCCCATTGGCAGTCGCTTGAGGCTGCGGCTGATGTTGCTGCTGCTGCACTGGCGGTGGAGTGGGAGCCGGTACATCGGCAATTGATGGCCTTCGTCCAGTATCCGCTGGTGTGGCAGCAATGTTACTGTGGACTTGAAAGTTGTGACGGAATTTTCGAACGTGGCGCTCAAGTAGCATGCCATAGCGCGACGACAGATGTATGTCGTCGCATATGTTCGTTTTGAGCGCATAAATGCACTTGTCCAGCACCTCTAATGATATCTGAAGCTCAGACCTGCGAGTGCCGAGGCTGATCGCCTTGAGTAAGAACACCGAAGCCGAAGTTATGGAGACGAACACGCGGACTGGACAGAATCTCAAGACGTCGCCTTCTGCAAGATCGACGGCGATCTGCAGCACGTTTCGGCACGATTCGACTACTTCCTGTATGAACACATAGTCGTGGTGGTTGTCCTTCATGAGGAAGTCGTAGTCGAGAGCCGTGACAGGCATCTTTGTTTTGGCTCGCTCGACCACCGCCTGAATGGCCAGCGAATTTGTGTACATTCTCACAAAAGCGTAGTCGAGAAACACCATTAGTTTTGACGAATGATGCAGCGTCCGTGGCTGAAACTCATCGTAGTGATTATGCCACTGAGCGAGCAGTGGTCGGAAGTGTTCCAGTATTGTACTATATCGACCGACACCTATGAGATTTTTGGTCGATGACTTGCTTGGGAAGCACATATCAGTCGTCGCTTTCCTCAGCTTCGTGATTTCGATCCACAGATCTATGAGTCGATGCCAATCCTGCGAGATGGGATCCTGCCATGTAGCAGCAGGATAGCTGAGCGTTGATGTGATCTCTCGGGGGAGAGGACTGCTGCATCCCAGTCTGAGCGATAGTTGTGACACGTACAAGAACAGCAAGCGTCTCATTTGGACCCTAGCTTCGGGTGAGATTTCGTAAGCATCCTCATCTGGGCACTCTTCGAATACACACAGTTCGTGAGCGAGGGTAGTAGCTAGGCCAAGCAGCGTCCAACTCATCTTGTCAGACCGCTTAGCAGGCTCAAAGACTTCTTCCCGCCATTTGATCTTGTCAGAGGATCCATGCGCAGGTGATTGGTCGACGTCGGTAGTCGCATCGATTGCAAGACTTGCATCCCACCCTTCGTTCTCTGGAGGAAAATGCAGCGCCCGTGGAAACCACTCGGTGAGCAGGAGTAAAGCTTTGATACTACCGATCGAGCGTGTGGAGGCTGGAAACTTGTCCTGCCCAAATAGCAGCCTCTGGATGAGCGACTGGCATGTATTCCACAGCCGCTTATGCAGAAACTCTGCTCGTGATGCTCCGCTCATCCCAGATAGGATGTGATATCGCGTGGAAATTGTAAGGACAGTACTCGAGAGAAGTGGCTCCTCGAGGATGAATTGTGCGCCTCTCGATGAATCCACTGAGAGAGCTGACGCCAATGGCGACAGTGGAAGGATGTTGCGAAAGAAGAGCTCGACATAGGTTGTGGCCTCTTGAGCGGAGAGCCAGCCATATCTGACGAAACGGTGTTTCCGCCAAAGATCCAGTAGCCTTGATGTGGACGGGACCAGAGTGGATGGAGTTATTGGTAGTCCGCGGATGGAGGACACGGTTGCAGGAGAATCGTCCCCATTCAGATCTGGCGCTGAACGCGAGTTGCGACCTTCATCAGCTTCCTGCTGCTCCACAGCCTTGAACAGGAGGCCAAGAGCATCGTGAGAAGTGGCAACGACTGTGCGCACAACATCAGACTCGTAGCCTGAGCCGCCTGTCTCCCTGCGAGCAGCTTGATTTTGCCGTGGGTCCGACCGTGGCGGTGCGAGGTCCTCGGGCTGGACTGGTGAAGATGCACTGGTCGTTGAGACCGAGTGCTTGCCGTTGATGTGGCCCAAAGAACCACTATACTTTCGCTTCTTCGTTGACCGTTCAGCGGTAAAGACACACTCGCGCCTTTCGCGCAAGCACTTCACGCAGGATGCCGAGTCCGGCGAAATCTCACATTTCGCTTTGGTCTGTCGACATCGTATGCAGGCCATGTACGATCTCTTGTACTGCCGTTGTGTGTTGGCAGGACGGTTGCCCACTTGGGGCGGAGCCTGAAATCCCGGACCGGAATTGGCTGACATTGTGATAGATAAGAACGCCCGTCGTTGCCTGCCAGGCGCGTCCTCGTTTTGATGCCTCAAGACTGTCATCTAGGGTTGGTCAGGGTCATCATGTTGGCGCCGCTAGTGTACATTGTCACTTTGCACCGGCGTGTGATGGCGCGACTGGTATACGGAGAAAGCTGGGGCAGTCGCTGGAGAAGAACGGAACGGTTAAGGTCGGCAAATACAGAAAGCCTGAGATTAACTCCGTACTTGCCCAGATGACAGTGCGCTAGTCCCGTTTCACGATAGCGTACCTTTGGCTTGCTCAGGTGCACCTCCAGAGCAAGAGCAAGCCCAAAAACTGCGGGCTTTAGGTATGGAGGCGCCTGGAGACTGCTGGGATGCGCGCAAGCCCGAGCGCTCTGGCACCTGGAACAAGCTTCTTTTAGGCATTTCCATGCCTGAATTGTTGCTGCTGTAGGGGCGTTGATACCCAAATTCTGTTGCAAACTTGCTGTAAAAATTCTGGAAATGTGTCCATAGTTTGCTACTGCCATGTACATAATCGAAAGAAGCTATCTACAGTTTTGTGCCCATGTTGACGTGCACAGCCTTCTCCTGTAGGTAAGAGTGTAGGCCTGCCTCACCTAGCTCGCGACCAATCCCACTGTTCTTGACACCACCAAACGGCACTCGGAAGTCGGAGTCTTGGGATGAGTTGATCCATACCATGCCAGCCTCGATCTTGCTTGCCACGCGATGCGCTCGCTCGATGTTCTGGCTGAACACAGCGCTACCAAGACCATATGTTGTATCATTGGCGAGCTTGATGGCCTCTGCTTCATCCTTGAATGAGACAAGGACGACGAAGGGACCGAAAACTTCTTCTCGGAATATCGTCATGCTTGACTTTACGTCGGTGAAGACTGTAGGCTCGATGAAGTATCCTTTGCCTTCGCCTACCTTTGTATACGGTACACCACCATGTGCAAGTGTGGCACCTTCGCTCTTGCCGCTCTCGACGAAGCCGAGCACGCGCTCGTACTGCGCCTTTGTAACCTGCGGGCCTTGGAAGGTATCATCTTTGAACGGATCGCCGACTATTGACGTCGAAGCCACAATCTTCTTGAACTCCTCTACGAACTTGTCGTAGATGCTTTCCTGAACGAGCACTCTCGATGTTGCTGTACAGATCTGGCCCTGATTCGACATGATGCCGATATGTGCCCATTTTGCTGCCTGCTCAAAGTCTGCATCGTCGAAGACGAGCAAAGGAGATTTGCCACCAGTCTCGAGGGTGATGTTCTTCATGTTCACGGCTGCTGTCCTCATGATCTGCTTGCCCGTTACTGTTGAGCCAGTGAAAGCAATCTTGTCCACGTCCAGGTGAGAAGCCAGTGCGTGGCCGGCTTCCTTACCGTAGCCGTTGACAACGTTGATCACACCCTTGGGAAAGCCAGCCTTCTCAATCAGTTGCGCAAAGTACAAAATCGACAGGGGCGTTTGCTCGGCTGGCTTCAGCACCACACAGCAACCAGCAGCAAGAGCCGGACCAAGCTTCCATGCTGCCATCGCCAGAGGATAGTTCCATGGGATGATCTGAGCGCATACCCCAATGGGCTGCTTGAGGGTGTATGCGAACTTCGCTCCGGTAGTTGGAATAGTAGAACCGTGAATCTTATCTGCCCATCCGGCGTAGTAGCGAAGGGTGCCGGTCACCTCGGCCAAATCTTCATTCAACGAGACCTGATATGGCTTTCCATTGTCCCATGTCTCAAGGGTCGCCAGTGTCTCTTTCTCTGCCTCGATGAGGTCCGCCAGCTTGTACATCAGACCACCTCGATCCGTATTGGTCAGGTCGCGCCACTCAGAGCCATTGAATGCTGCTCGTGCAGCAGCGACCGCCTTGTCAACATCCTCAACGGAGGCTGCTTGCACCGTAGCAATCTCGGACTCGTCCGTAGGGTTTATGCTCGTAATCGTTTGTCCTCCCGTGGCTTTCACGAACTCGCCATTGATGTACAGACCGGTGGGTAGTGTGATCTTCCGCCCGTTGGGAGCTGTCAGGTTGACCTTGAGATCCGACATTGTGAAGCACGGCGGTGTGGTAGAGTAGGCTCGCGTGGATAGCCGCTGCAGATACAAGAAACGTGTATGAATCGAAGCTGTTTTGTTGATCTTGAAGGGAAGAGGGGCAGTGATGGCTCGCTGAAAAAGATGCTTCATGTACTACTCGAGCGCCTTCACGTACAAATCATCGACAGATTGTGCGATACGAGGCAGGGTCATCAACAGCTCCAAGATTTGCTCCTACCTGATATGGAACGTTCGCGATCATGAGCACTCGAAACCGTGCCGGTCGAGATAACTAAACAATTCTGCAGTGCTCTCTCCGCCGTGGCCGCTGAGCTCCGCAGGCGGTTTTTCGGAGTGACCTGCCTCATTTGACGCCTACGCGACGGCGGGGCAGCTTATCGATTAGGTAGGGCTCGGGGGTTGGGCATGGGACAAATCATTGGGTAGGATCCTCACGGTACCTGCATCTTTCCGTTGGTGGTCCATCATGACCAGACTTCACTTTTGGGCTTCTAGGATGTCGATGTAAGGCCACCGCGATGCAAAGCAACAACCCTCAGTGTTGCGCCAGGCTCACAGCACCATCGATGATATGAATGATCGGTGCCTTGCTTTAGTGATACGTCCGGGTCGCCGTGTGTCAATCGCGTGGCGCCCCTTAGCTTACTGCAAGGCTGAAAACTGCCAGGAGATTTTCTAAATCTGACGACCCGTGTCTCAATCAGTGCATTACACGTGAAGTTCGCCATCGCCAACCGGTCTGTCGAAACAGAGCCACGCTCTGACGTACCGCCAGACCCAAAGCAGCCCTGGGCGAATTATCTGGCGGCACTGCTTGCTCATCGTACCCGACATGGCTGCTCCTGCCACCAACGGCTCTTTGGGGCTGCCAGTAGACGCCCAAATCACGCCCGCAACCTCGATCGAATACTGGACGTCGATATCATCCACAGTCGATGGCATGCTTGGTGGGTTTCCCCAGGTTTCACGAATCGACATTGCTGGTTCACGCACATTCATCGTCAAGCTCCTCCGCCATTCACAGCCTTGTCCAGATCTACCTCCACCACACAAGGTCCGCCTCGTCACCGACACCGGAGCTGGCATAGGACGCATCACCGTCGGTCTCCTTTCCCAGATAGCGCAGCATGTCGATGTCGTGGAACCGATACCAAAGTTCACTGAGCAGCTGAAAATCGACCATCCAGAACTGTTCGCCGGGGCGAATCCGATCATACAAAATGTGGTCAACACCGGACTTGAGTCATGGGACCCTTCTCAGACCGAGCCACCTCGGCTCTACGACATCATCTGGAATCAATGGTGTCTAGGCCACCTCACAGATAAGGCCTTGATCGCATATCTGCGTCGGCTAATTCCAGCACTATCACCGCACGGCTGGATCGTTGTCAAGGAGAATGTAGTGAACAGCAAAGCTGAGAACCCCAAGTCATCGGCAAAACGCAAACGAGTCCAACCAGCAACAAAAGTAGATGAGATGTCAGACTCCAATGAGGTCCGGCAATCAGTAGACCTGGGAGACGATGAAGACGAAGAGCCAGACCTCTATGATGAGCTTGACAGCAGCGTGACCCGAACAGAGCGCAAATTCGACCGCATCTTTCGCGCAGCAGGCCTCAAGGTGGTCAAGACGGAGATTCAGCGAGGCTTTGGCAAGGACCTAGGACTCTACCCTGTGCGGATGTGGGGACTACAGCCTGCTACGGTACCATCAGGGCCGCAGGAAGGGCCTGTAAATGGGACTGTTTCGTAGCACACTGTTTTTTTTTGAAATGGGAGATTAGAACAGCATATTAGTCGTATAGCGCCCTCCCTAGCCAGGAAGTTCACGAAAGGTCCTACTGACTGACGCTCGAGTGAGGTTCATCTCACGACGATTGACTCAATCAGCGAGGTAGTCCCAGACCTTCAGAGCCCTCCCTGACCAGCAATCGCATCGACCGAAAAACGCCCAGTACATGCTAGCCACGGAATGGGCCTCAATGGTGCCATCCGCCACGAAGGACATACTCTTGCACCTCCTGTAGCGTCTCCACCAAGACCACATTGTCCTTGTCATATCTCTGACAGACCATCCTCACATGTCCCTCCTTCCAGAAGCCTTTCTCACAACACACGACAACATCCTGATCATGCTGGCTCCGGGCTCGCTCACACGCCAAACCAAGCTCGAGCAGACTCACAGCCCCGCTTCCTGCCTTACTCCCGCCAGAGGAGTCCAGTCCGAACATGAAGACTACCAAGTCAGCGTCCTCGGCTCGAGACATTTCCCATTCAACTTGGCGACGAAACGCTGGGTCCAGGGCGGACTCCATCGGTATCTTCTCGGACCAATTAGGGAGGATCGGGTCGTAGATTGTCAAAGGACCATAACTTGTGTGGAGGTTCTCATGTAGGGTGCGGATAAGCTGACGACGCCAGTCTGTCGTCGTGGTACCCGCGAGAAAGATGGAGTTGCTGCCATCGAGAGGAGGCGTCGTAGACTCTGGGGTCAGCACTAGGGTTGTTGCATTCGATGGGTTACTCAGGAGGCCGGCCATGTGGTCTTGTCAAGCTCAGGTTGAGCGAGTTGGTTCTGCTGTGGGCGGAGGGCGCCGGGGTGCACTCGGTCGCGCGGACGCGGCGACGGGCTGCAGTGATCGAGCTTCAGCGAATGCACCAGCATGGTACACGCCATACACGTGGCAGTGGATGGCTGGCGGCGGCGGCTTCAAGGCAGTGGGGACATCGGCCTTGGGTCTGGCCAGTTTGACAATAAGCCAATACAGTGCTCCCAACAATGCAAGTACGCCGATGACCAACACGACGCCCATAGCCCAGGCCCAATCGCTTGAATTGGTCGACATCTCGATAGGCTTGTTCATTTAAAAACAGACTGGGAGTAAAAATACGTACTGTGAGGGTGCGCCAGACAAGACGCGAATTGTGCGCCCTGCCAATTTTAACGTGGATCAGATATACTACTGGTGTCGATGGTTTGCATGCTAGCACAGTCAACATGAAGTCAAGGTCAGGTCGTAAGTACAGCTGCGGCTGCTGTTGCTAGAGTGACGAGTTGTCTGACAAGGCAGCAACCAGCACGTCCACGCCAAGCCCGGCCACGCTATGGGAGCAAGAGCCGGCCAGCTTGCGGCGTGAGGATTTCTACAGCGCCCTCCCTGGCTAGGATTCCTCGATATGCCCTGCCCAGCGTTCTGACGCTCAAGTGATGCTGATCTAACCCGTCCACGTGAATAGCGAAAGAACGAGAGGCCTTCGGCGCCCACCAAGGCCTGAAAATCCAAAATGGGCCTCATGAGATACGCTTAGTAGTTGTGCACACAGCCTATAATCAGTTCGACGCTGCGTAAGCTCATGAGTGCAGAGATCCATGGCAAGCACAGATTTGTGGACAGAGCAAGTTGGGACGAAGCATGATGACATAGCACTTAAGCTGTGGGTACGGCAAGTCAGACATTTTCGAGAGCATATTGATTCAGCTTTGGGTCCTCGATGTGTAGCTTACGATCTCCTAGTTCTCGATTTGTGCTCTGTGCAAAGTGAATTGTGAGTAACTTAGATCAGCGTTCGACCTCTCAGAGGCCTCCTTGGACCCCCTCTAAAGGCGAATAGCCTTGCTCGAGATTCCTTCATCCCCGACCTTGTTGCCCGAGCTCTTCGCCATATTCATCCCCCTTCGATGTGATGTCACCTCTTCGGGACAGGCATGACACTCGAATCGTGCCTGCTCAGTCCGGACCAGTCAGCTCATTCTCATCACCACTATTTTCCCAATCACCCTCCATGACAGGACCTCCCGAGCCGCTGGATTGACTGCTCCTCACATCACCCAGGGAGACCACCGTGCTGCCTTCTGGGCGACTCGGGGAGGACTCTGCGCCTTCGTCATCAGGCTGGTCCATCTCATCAGCATCCGGAGATTCGACTGGAGCGTCATCCTCACCATCAATATCGCCCTCATTACCGACACCAGGCTGACCTAGGGAGGTCTCCTCGCCCACACACTCCAGAATGAACTGCCACTCCTGAGGACTGACACTGCTGACGCTAAGTCGAGACTGTTTGAGCACTTGCATATTAGCGAGCATGCCACCTGGGTTAGCATAGCTCTTGAGTTCTCGTAGAGTCAGCATATTCTCGAACTTCTTGACGAACTCAACCTTAACGAGCTCCCACTTAGGCTTGCTGCGGTCGGACTTCTCATCGTAGTAAGGATGCTTCGGATCGAAAGCAGATTCGTCGACCTGGTGCTCTTCGACAATGCGCATCATGCCTACGATACCTGGCGTCTTGCAGTTGGAGTGGTAGAAGAAAGCTAGATCGTTGACACGCATGGCTCGCATATTGTTTCGGGCAACAGGATTGCGGACGCCATCCCAGCCTCTGGCTCAGTTCTGGCGGCGAGATCGTCGATGCTGAACTTGACATCAATGCCTTTCTCCATGCGGGACTCTGGCTCGGCTTTCATCAACCAATACTGGACTTCGGGATTCAGGTCTGCAGGGGCCGCCTCGTGGGACGCTTCATCATCTGTCAGACCATCAATCTCATCGTAGAATTTGGACTTGCCGGTGGACTCCTTGGCGCTCTTCTTGGGGCGGCCTCTGGCCTTAGTAGTACCGTTGGTCTCGGTTCCTTCAAGATCACTAGTGACAATCGGCATTGCAGTGGTGGAGTCGGATTTGGGCGGTCGTCGACGGCGTTTGGGGGCGGGATCTGTCTGATCTTCTTTGACTTGAGTCTGAGATACATCAACTTCAACGTAGGTGTTCTTGTTCTTGAGGATTCCTTTGCGCACGGGAGTGCTTACCACAGGTTCGACCAGTGTTTCGTCCTCTGCATCATCTTCAACTTCGGGTTCGGATTCTTCTGGAGTTTCGATCTGGGTCTTGGGGCGGCCTCTACCTCTGCCAGTAGCCACGGGTTGCTTTGGAGGACGACCTCTGCCACGAGGAGCAGCACCGCCACGACCGCCGCGCTGGGAAGCACTTGCAGCATTAGAACCACCTCGACGTTTGGTGAAGTCGTACTTTGGGTTTGGGTTACTCGTAGCTCTCATAGCTCGTCCGCTAGAGGTGCTGACAGGAGTGCTATCTCTGGTGTTGCCATTTTCGCCAATGACACTTTCTTCTCCGATGCGGACCTTCTTAGAGCGAGGAGTCGAGGCGGCGGTAATGGCGGACGCAGCAGCCGTAGCAGCTTTGCGTTTGCGACCAGCCATGTCTGCTAGTTTCAAGTGTCCGAAACGACAGGTGATATGTCTGCAGAGCGACCGGTGATGGAGGAAGGAGGGAGAGATTTGATTCTAGACTTCGCAATAAGTAGACGGGCTGTAGAACGAGGTGAAGCCAGCACAGCTGCCTCGCACGGCTCGAGTAGATCCGAAGATGATGGCTGGTTGAGAGTAGTAGAATAATCAGAAAAAAAAAGCAATTGAAGGGCTGTTTGAATATCTGATCAGCTTTGTCACATTCACTGACGTAGGTGAATTACCTTTCAAGAGTGCCTGATTTTGCGGAGGCTGCGCTTGCTTGAATCAACAGAAAGTCTGCTCAATACAAAGCCGCTGTGCGGACAACAAGTGGTTTCCGAGCACCGATGACAATGGGCTGGCGAAGCAAAGGACTGAATTGATGTTCGTGCAAAGCGTACCTAGGTACAGTATTGATCGAGCTCCCAAATTATTTTTGGGAAAGCACGCGTAACGCGACTTTTTGGAGAAAACGCGGGGAACAGCCGTCGGGCGCCGGAGGACCACGTGGGAGCCCGAGAAGCGGCGTTCCGGGCTATCGATGAGTCGCCTGAATCGCTTCGCCTCGCTCCGGGCCGTCGATGAGATCTCCTGACGAACACCTTCAAACGTCATGTCCTACATTCTACTTACCAGCCTACACTGAACGTTGTCCCGCAGACGACACAAGTGTACTCATGAGCCTCACGACGAATTGATACCACAACCCATCTCTGAGCATCTAAAAGGCTTGCAGAGCCAACCGGAAGCTGAGGGTGACAATGCTGATGGGGTTTTGACAGCGATCTGTGTACCTGGCAATGCCTTATCAGCTTGCCGAAGCATATACCATGTTCTCGTCGTCCATCCTCGCAACTTTGAGACATAGATCTCTTGACTATATCACTACCTCACATTTCGATACGTAGCTACAGGCATCAGGAATTAACAACTAATGGAGTCCAAGCCTGACGACCACCGCGGACCAGTCTGTCGCGCGGCGTAGACCCCTCTTGATGGCTCCTGTCCTGACTCTGAATTCACGACTCACCTGAGTCGAGCAGCCTCCGCCGCAATCTCTGAAGCAGTAATCGCAAACACGACAAAGCCATCGTTGCTCAGCTGAACAGAAATTGCGAGGCTATGGCACAAATGCTGGCACTATATCTCAGCATCTCCGGGCGTCCGCATTCTCGTCGAACGAGAATCCGAAACTGGGAAAAGTACCGAGATTCGCCTGATTATCCCACGTTCTGCGGAGCAGGCGATCTCAATCTCGTGGGGTTGACTATTGAACAGTGAGACTGGTGGGACCGCAAGATCGAGACTCCTGAGATGAGGTTTGTCGGCGCTACGGTGATGAGCGCATTCCTACCTTGATGTGCGAAGTCCACTGTGAGCCACTGTGAGCTCCGTTCTGCAATGGCTCACTCAATCTCGTGTAACGCGCGGCCTGTCACCGGACCATGTTCGACCTCGGACAAAAGGCTAAAGTCGATATGAGCACGTTTCTCGTTGACAGGTACCTGTTGCCACGAAAGGTATAGCAATCATGGAGCCAGTGTAGCGGTTGGAAGCAAGTACTATACCAAGATACCGACTTGTCGGATTTGGGGAATGCATTGGACGTCGCCACTGGTTTGATAGTCTGATCTGGACACGATTGCCGACGCCCCTGGAGCCCTGTAAGCACGATCTCCCATGTCCCGCATCATGCATATTTGACAGCTTGGCGTGTGCCTCGCGTGGCAGTCGTTCTTGTGTAACTTGGCGATCTCCTTCTCCGAGGACATGGGTCCAACTTTAGCGCGCCATAGTTTTCCAGCTTTGCTGCTGACACAAGTTGACGTCTTGGTGCTGTCTCAGCGCATGAAGCAATTGCTTTGTCGGTGGAGTCCTGGTAAGTAGCGATCGGTGTGAGGAGAAGCGATGCTCGCTTAATAGGTGCCGGTCGCTTGAATTCCAGATCTCGTATGAGTATATGACAGCACGTTATCGGACTGTGTCATAATAGCTTGAGTCAGTAGACTCGGTCAGGAGCAGTGAGCTCATGCTGACGTTGAATTGCTTGCTGAAGGAATAGGCACATTTGCCTACCTAGGAATGATACCAGCACGACGGACCTGGCATCCGATGGATGCACGAAGGCCTGGCCTCAATAAGCGCTCACAGTACTATTGAGCTCCATTAGATGATTGGCTACTTCTCCACCACTCACGTTCTCGGTCAAGCACAATGCGCCAAATAACCATTGTGGCGACAGTCACAGCGCCAGCACAACCACGACGATCGAGTGTGGCCAGTAAAGGATGGAGTGGGCCAAATTCAGCTGCAGGATGAATCAACAACGGCAGCGAACAGAGGCCTTCAGTGGGCGTGATATACTTGAGTCGATAACAGCCTTGCTGTGGGCCGTGCTTGAGCGGATCCGTGTAGCAAATTGAAGACGTCTTATCGTCGCCTGGACTGTCAGCAGCTTCTGTGACATATCTGTAGGTACTCCAGTGTTGTGCGAGTGCGGTCCTTGCCACAGGAAGTTGGTCGACCTGGAAATCAGATAAGATAGGCGCTCGCTACTGTACTGATCGAGTGACGGCGTCCGGGATCCTCGGCTGGCACTGAGGAGCCTGCTTCATCTCCGTGTTGTATTGGGCAGGGGTAAGTTGGCCAGAGGCGCATCGCACAGTTGCGGCAACCTCGTGGCCCCTGTATAGCATAGGATCCATGGCATGGCACGCAGTTGCGTCTGGAAAGTCGTCCGCAACCAGCCACGCACAGCAACAACGCAACGCAAACCGTTAGCACTTGGACAGTCTGTAACTCACGACAACACCACGCATCTGCTCCGTCAGGTGGCTGGCCTGCGTCAAGGCAGCCTAGACCCTTTTCTTTGCAGCTGTTGCAGTCGCCGCAGTGTACTTTAATTGGCCCATTGTCCGTGGCCGCGCACCGCTGTCGTACATCGCGGACACCTTTTCTGGCTGGAAACGCCGAGTGCGTACTGGCAGCCTAAGACCCGTGGCCGCAAAGAAAAGTCACATGATGTCCATCACCTGCTCCCTCAAGGGAACTGCACTTACCACAAACCTTGTCACTGCATGACCTTGAATGTCAAAGCATGTTTGCGGGCCTACCCAACAAGCGCACTGTTGTGGCATCAGTTGATCCAAGGGACGGATTCACAAGGATATTCGATCCGCTGCAAAGATCAACCTCTGCATCCGTGTAGCAGTGTGCGTCTACCACGCCGGGCTGCTGCGTCATTATTGAAGCATGAAGGCTGGAGCATGGAGTTCGCTTTCATTGCAGCTATGCCACCGCAGATGCTGCCATTCAATGGTGGTTGATCCATGTTCACAGCCCAGCATCGGTCGGGAAAGCCCCTCCAATCTCTCGAGACCCTCAGTCAGATCTCAAACCATGTTGAAATGAGTGGCAGTCAAGGCTGACTGCCAGTGACTGCCATCGGGAGGTTACTGGCTCCATGACAGCGGATCATGCTCGTGCGTCTGAACACAGTATGCTGAAGCGTCGAACGCGAGATATCCAGCGTAGTACTAGAACGAGATTGAGGTTGTGATTAAGCACGCAACTATCAGAACTCTGTTTGCGCGAATTGTGGTCGAACTCGTGGGGCGCGTTTCAGTTCCTCGGAAAGTATGGGAGCACGACAAGTTGAGAGTGTCTGACTTCCATAGACTCTTCGAGCGCTGATTCATACACCGCCGTGCAGCGACTCCTGTCGATGTTGGGCAGCAACGGACCTACGAAGTATGCACCAACATAAAATGACTTTCGAAGTCGTCTCAAATCGGTAGCGGTGAAGCCTTAATACCAATGTCGACGAGCAGGTGACCCAAAGTTCTGCAGGGGGTGATCGTAATAAGGTCGAGCTCGTGAACTATGTTGGCTTTGAGTTCCCTGGATGTTTGGTCCCGCATTCGTTTTCGTAGGTATCTCGTAAAGTCTATCAGGTATCCTTCCTACAGTGCGAAAGTCATTGTTTGAATGCCTTGGATGCGACCGGCGGTGTGGTGATGGAGGTCGTGATTACTTCAGATTGCATACGAATCGTACGAGCCTCGAGCATTGCATGTTCGACGTCCAGGGAGGGCGACGCCGGCTTGGTGGTCCGTTGTTCCTAGTGCGACAGGGTCCGGGTCAGTACCGCTGCCTAGCGTGTGATCAAGCGTGATATCTACCCTGGCGCTTCAGATCATCCCGCAAGCCTTTTCCGTCGGTCAAACGTACGTTGTGAGATCGTCAGATCGTTGACAATGCCTTTGAAAGTGAAGCCAACTAGATGAGTCAATGCGTTGATGTTTTGGGAAAGTACATCGTACTCGAGTCAACGATCAACAGGAAGCCCGTCTGGTGGCAGTCCGCGGAGACAAAGGTTAGAGCGATAGGCACGCGGACACGAGCGCGACTCGGAGCATTCATGGAAAACGGCCTGCAAGCAATGCAGCCACTATGCCAGATAGTGGAGATGAACCATGCAGCAGCCAAAGGGACGTATGTCGATCTTAGAGGGACATCATAAGGCAAAGCATCGCAGAATTACAGGCAATGGTTGTGCGAATAATGGTCAAGGCTTGTCCGATGATGTATGGCAGATGTTGGGACGAAGGTGCGGATTCATTGTGCGGAAGTTCGAGAATAGCGACGACAATAACAATGAACGGTCGTCCTTGGCGCCGCCCTGCCTCGCTCCTTAGGTACGTAATGGTATTCAGTAGTACTTCAATGTCATACTATCAGTTCGCGCATCTTCTAAGCTGCCGTAAAAATGGGTATATAACCAGAGCAACAACTGATCTGATGCTCCTATGCTTTCGTGAACAGAATAATAGCGTTGCCGCTGTCTAGAAGCTGGCGCCTTCTTAGTATAATGTCATCCAGACAGTCCCATATAAAGTGTGACCAATCCACAACGCCTCGGGCCCGTGACTTGACCAAAAATGCAGACAAAATAAGTGCTCTCGCTCGATGGGGGTATCTCTCGGCCGTGCCACAAAATCCTGCAACACCGGATAAAACAGACTGCTGAGCATGAAAAAGGGTAAATCGAAGCCAAGGCTCGTGTCAAAGTCGGCAGTCTGCCAAATGCCGTCAAGCGCAGTTGCGTATTGGTATGTGCGGAAGCAACCTCGAAGTACGAGCAGTCTTCACAAGCGCAACAAGCGGATTCGCCAGCACACTATCTGCTGTCTCTTCAGCGACCTTGTTCCCAGGTTCTTTCCAAAGGCTCGCGCCGAAATGGATCGAATGGCGGCTGAATACGCGGCCCACTGAGTGGTGCTGGTCCAGGAGGTCCAGTCGACCCGGGCACGCCAACACTGTAAGCACCTGAAGGCTGATGAGCCGCAGGGTGAGGCAGAGTAATGCAACTTGCGAGGTATGTGTAGGACCAAATTCTGCGCTCCTAGCCTGTGGAGGCAGTGCAGGAGGATACGAAGAAGGATAATATTCATCTGTGCGTCTGCGCTGCGGTGCTGGTCCGGAGTCGGATCTAGGTTCGCTCGTGTCTCGTGGAGATTCTGCTTGTGCAGAGGTATAGTACGCAATTGGTGAAGGCGGTCTTTCTGGCAGTCGGGCTGCAACGTGCGCAGCTGCAAAGTCTCGGATGAAGTCTCGTTCTTGGCGGTAGAAGTCACGGTGGGCGCGCAGCTCGTCCATCTCCTGTTTGAGACTGCTTATTGTATGGGACGCTTCTTTCTCCTTCTCCTTCCTGCGTGCGCGGAATCGCGCCGACGCACCAGCATTGCGTTTGCGTTTCTCATCGGCGACCTTCGACGCTTGCTTTAAGTCCAGTGTGACGGGCACGACCACATGCCCCTCCTCAGTATCGAAAGCTATCTGATATGATGGTTGATCAGTCCTATAAGCCTCCGGACCGGCTCGCTGGAGCACCTCGTTGCGAAAAGCAGGATTGAGTGGCTGATTGCTGGCTGCTTGCGGCGCAAATGTGCCATATCTTGAAGGTGGCGACCTGTCGTACTGAGGCGCATTCTGAGCTGTCCACGGGGTCCGCGTTTCGGGGTCGTGGCGGAAATGTGTGGAAGCAGCCTGTGACGTCGAAGCCTCTGCTGGAGGCGGCTGTCCGTGAGGACCTCGGAGGTCGTCTCGCGATTGTATTGGTGGCAGCGATCGCGGAGGTGCTGAGATCTGAGGAAGTGCAGGCACGTCAGCGACGCCAGGCTCTGCAGTATAGATCCGCGAGTCTGATCGAGGCGGCAACGTTTGCGGTGCCGCCGCCGTTACGGCATGTATGGAAGGTAGCACGGTTGCTCCGAGGCTGACAGCCCGGAGGGCTGGAGACTTTGGTGTCAGTATACGCCTGACTGGCGGCACACCCATGCCCGCATCGCGTGTAGGGGACGACGGCTCAGTCCGCTTCCTGATGATGGGCGAGGCGTTGGGCGGCGGAAGCGAGGGAAGTCGGGCAGGATTTAGACTGCTTGGAGTGGACTCAACGGAAGGGTTCAGCATGTTGTGCACATCAAGGGATCGTGCAGGTGTGTTGCTGGCAGTAGATATCGGCGATGTCTGACGCTGTGCCGCAGATTGTTGGCCCAACCTGCCTCCCATTGAATGTGCATGATCGACAGCTTGGCTTTGGGCTTGTTCGGCGGTTCTTGGTGACTGTGTCGACACTGAGGACTGAATGCATGGTACGGTGGTCGTCGTTGTGTTGATTGTGGCGAAGTCACTGGGCTCTCATGGTAATTCGCAGATGAGGACTGATGTGACATGTAAATAGCAACCTCCCCGTTTGTTTGATGGCTTGAGTCCGACCATTGATCTCGCTCACGAAGTGAAGCCCCAACCACTGCGTCCTGCTTCCGCCACGACTGCTCGGACTTGACGTCCGAACGTAGTCTCTGCTCCTCGTCGTCCCACTCTGGATTCGAGAGAGTTCGAAAGCTGTCGGACGGCGGTTGTTGTACAAAAGGGAAGGACCTGACTCCTACGACAGCCACCTTGGCTGTGGATGCTGTCCAGTGGCCGAAGCGGACCGATGTGAGAGAACGTCAGACCGTGAGGATGCCTGAACGTGACAAGGACAGGCCAGGCGAGAGCGTAACGAGTGAGATGTAGTTCGATACGATCTAGAGCAGAGGCGGTATTACATGTACCCGGGATAGGCGGAGCCCGAGGTATTCGCCACGATCAGGCCTTCGGACGGGGCTGCGGCTTGATGACAGGCTATTCGCTGTAGCTCAACTGAAGGCGGCGAATGGGATCCTTTGTTGGTGCTCTTTGCGGCTTTAGAGGTCGAGACTCCCTTCGTGTAGTGAATCCGGCACAACGCTGAACGACACCAAGAGATGAAATCTGCTGTGGAGGAAGTCGATCTTGAAGGAAATCTGGCTCGTAATAATAGTCCGGCCTTGAATCCAACGTCCCCAAGTACCGGAAGCGATGCTTGGATGGGTACCGGGGAAGGCGGGAGTCGGTGTCGGCGTCCAAGAGATGAAGGTGGAGGCTTCGTCCGTAGCGCGAAGTGCTTACGGTGCCCAGGCGAAAGGAAGAACTTCTGTCCCCTTCTAGATGGTAGTGTAGTGCTGAGTGCCTAGGTACCTGCTTCAAACGATTGCAATCGCGAAGATTCTGAAGTGCTGTACTTATTAGAGGGGTGTGCCCTTAGACTTGATTGGCATTCATACAGGTTTCAAGGACTGGTCGTGTACATCCTGTGGGGGTTTCCGTTACTACTGCACATGTACCTGGCTGTTCCCGGATGGCCAGTGCTGTGGTGGGCAAAAGCGTTCGTGCTCGAGCGTTCAGGGGTGAGGATGATGACGAAGAGTAAAGGAGGACGCGTTGATATGCTGAATAGCTGATACTTTCGCAAAGCGGACCAAGAATCACGCGCCGAATCTGCCTTTGCCGGCACTGCAGCTTGGGCGAACCCGACATCAGAACTCTGCCACGGTTTGGGGCATAATAGTAGTGCTGAAACGGTGTGGCGAGCATGGATGGTTCTACCCGCAATTCGCGGCACAGGTATTCGCGGCACTAGTGGAAGGTGATCTGATGACAGGGGTCGAGCTACTTGAAGGCTCATCAGCAAAGTGGAATAGTATCAACTTAGCAGGCTACGAAACTCTGAGGTTGACCGTAGCGACATGAGCTCGTGGAGCCGGCGGTCAAAAAGCAAATAGCGCGTGGAGTAGAGTACGACTCATCATCTGATGATTTGATATGCTTTTCTGAGGATGAAAGCCTGCGATAGTAGGAGTGCCACCGCGCATCGAACCTGTATACGACCACGGACTCGAGATGAGGGTCGGGCAGGCGCTAGAGGTACTAGGTAGAGGTATCAGCTGGTGAACACAAGATCTCCGCGTTGTTGATAGCAAGGCACGGAGTACCCGAATCACGAGCAGAGCAAGATTTCTCGCGAGTAGCCACGATGGGAGCCACAATTCACGAGCGCAGAAGCGACTGGAGGTTCAGGTAAAGTCAGACCTGAAGCAGGGGATGATGCAGGTCGGCAGGCCTGTGCAGCGCATGCCTGTCAATCTTGGTTCCGATATGCAGCCCTTGGGCCACAACGCCCCATCTAGCGACCCACGAATCCGGGCCCCGGTTATGGGTTTTGGAGCCTGCAAAACGATCACGCAGTGCCGGCGGGTCCCATGAGAGGTCACGCTAAGGTCTACAGGGTTGCTTCTGTGGCGGGCTGGTGCTAAGGCACTTGTCACTTGTGACTTTTGCAATTTAGGGCATCAGCTATTAGACGAGCCAGTAGAAGGATGCCGCGAGTACAGTAACGTGTCCAGTGCTTAGAGCTTCAGAGCCACCCATCTGTAGAAAGTCAACTAGAATCAGGGATAGACCGTACAAGCAAGCCGGCAGAGAAGGCATTGTTGTCCGATGCTGCGAGAGCGATTCCAACAGCTTGGAGATACTAAGTAATGTCCCGAACTCTGCTCCTGTCACACCACATGGTGCGGATGCTCGCGCAACGACAATGCATTTGTAAGAAGCAGGACTACTGCGTGCTTCGGGGCCGCCCGCTCGTCCAAAGTACGCGACGGTCACTGATCACGTCCAGGCTTGCAGTCGACATACCTGCTCTATGAGTTACAGTTTGGCAATAAGCTAGGAGTTTCGCCAGGCTAGGACTCGGTTGCAAGTGCTGACAACATGGCAACGGATCGAAGTGTTAGCGAAAGGACATCCCTCGAGCATGCATATGCATTCGTGTCTGACCTTCCTAGTGTTGATGCAATCATCTTTGTACTCAAGTCAGGGTGGTTGGTAGCCACATTGGTTTGATGGCGCCATGCTGTTGGTCGCCTCAAGCTAGACTAGTTCGCCCCGAAGTTTGGGTAACCTTCGATGTAGATTTCATCCTATCGCTACGCTGGTCACATGGCTATAATGCACTGTCGATCCGTTTACTCCGTCCATCCATCCCCGTACTACATTAGAGTACGCTGAATCATGACTGAAACGTACAGTGGCTCTGGGAGGTACAGAGCTTATAATCTCACCGCCTGTGTCGAGGAAAATGGATGATGTCAAGGACGCAGGTAGTGGAAAGTGCAACTTCGCTTGTGTCGGTAGACCACGCAGGGACTGTCCACCGCAAGTTCCAAAGCACGTCACGAGTCGAGACTGGCCAACCCAGGTTAATGCTCTCATTGCATCATTTGAGCGGTCAAGGACAACAGAAACACCGCTCAGCATCATGTTGGGCAGCAAAGCATGATCCGATGCCATGACATCCACACGTGATCTAGCATTGCTTCGAGAAGCTCATGCTTGTGATGAGGCCCCTGCCGTGGCTTGCATGTCAGCTCCCTGTATGTCGTCAACGGCAGGGGAAGCCCGCAGCTCGGCAATATTGACGTGATCATGTTCTGCAGCTCACCATATGCGTGGGATTCCGTCGAAAGAGATGACCTTGATACAGCAATTGATAGCAGATAACATTTCCTATCAGAGCGCATCCCAATAATCTGCTTTATCGCGATACGTTGCTTCTGCTGCGTGTCATTGATCGCAAATGGGGGTTCGCGACTAGGCTCGTGTTCCACGTTATGTGGCAATGTTCGCCATGGCACGGGCCGCGACAACTGGCTCAGGATCGTTCTCAAGTCCCGATGTATTGTGTGCTTTTGATGCCGGATAAGGCAGCCATAGCGCCTGTCACTTCTGCTGCTATTACTTGGGCTGGCAACCGTCACATATGCAAGCAGCAGAGATCAGTGTAGCCGCGGCTCTAGTCTCAAGCCATAGAATCATTTACTTGGAAGACGTACAGAAATTAGATGGATCGGCAGGTAGGGATGCCCTGCGTGTGCTTCACCAGTTGTGAAACGGATGCCCGTTCTTGTCACGCCGCGATTATCCGTTTCCAGCTTCAGAACGAACTACGGGTATGGTACTGTACGATTGCCTTTCGTTAGCTGCTGGATAGTCTTCGAAACAACCGAGAGACTATGCCACGTGGAGTGGCATGCCTGGACGGCGGGAGCCCGTGCTTCAGAAATAGTGCTCGAAGTGTCTGAGACGTCTACGCGCAGATTGACCGTAGCAGACATCCCATGAACGAAGCGACTGACTGCTTGATAGTACGGCAATTGATAAACTGCCGCGGACCACATTGTAAGTTACCACACTAGCTCATCGCATTAATCACTCAGAGAAGGGTGTGACAATATCCATGTCGTTTCGTGCATGTAGGTAGGGTTGGCTCAAACTGCGGTCGTTATTACTGCTTAAGTGACGGGCCCACGGGGGTATATTCATTGTCTGGCAACTTAAAAAGCACTGCAAACCACAAAATCGACCTCAATCACGTTTGCCGACGGAGATGACTCGACTTCCCTTTCATCTAGTAGCTACCTTCGCACCATGATCTTATTTCCGTCCTTCGCCATAGGGTCCTCCCGAAGTACTGACGCCTCTCTACCTGAATCTGTCATCTGACGCACGTGGATGATGGCGGCACTCGCGGAGTTCCAAGTTCCACCTTCTCGCAGCCCGTACTGCGGCACCATCGTTCCCCGCAAGCGAACCTCAACATAGAGCCGATCCACTGAGTGCAGCAGCGCGGAACGACTCACCATGTATCGTGATTCGTCAACAGGCTGAACTCACCGTCATGCATTAGTGTACCTCAGTTTGTCGCCTACACAAACGAGGCATATGCCCAGGCAAGTAAGGCAAGCGCCGAACACCTCTTTCCGAGAAATGTTTGACAGGCCGTTGAAAAGCATCCGGGATCCCCAACGACCTAGTTGCCCTGCAGGCTTTCCGGATTATGGGGCCTTGCAACTTCGAGGGGTCAACCGAGATGTAGGTGATGTGGGCTTAAACGTGCATGCGGATCTCCTAAGTCGAATGGGACTACATCAAACACTGACATTTGCTGGGAGTCTTCGAGGTGTTTCTTGATGATCGTTCAACGATGTCCTTGACATCCCAGAGTCTGCAATACAACGACCATTATAGGACAGCCGCCATTGGTAATTACTTGGCAAGCACCCGTGCCAGGAATTTCGGATCGAGGGTGACGGCTTCGGCGACAGCACATACGACAGCGACCGTCCCAGAGCGGGTGAACGCTCAGTTACGGATATGCACGTAATGTGCATTTGCGCCCTACAACCGATGCAGCGACTCGACAAATCGGCTTGAGACCATATGTGAGCCGCTGCATGTCTGGCGCTGTGCTAAAGGTCGCCTCGTAGCCGCCGCACTACTTGAGTCCTTACAGGTATGGGCAGGCTCGGATCAGGCATCAGGTATCATGTACCTGACACACTCTGCCGCATTCGTTGATATCTACAGTAATGCGCAAGGTCCGAGTACTAGCTGGTTGGCGTACTCGAAGTCATATCGTGACCTTCTCCATTGCAACGAACCCTCCTTCGACATCACCTATCCAGCCCCGTCTTCTTCCTAGCCTTTCATCCAGAACCATCAGACTCTTGGCCGCGATCTGGCTGTCGTTGCCTCGCTGACAGACAAAGTATACCTTCGCTTCCGAGTTTTCTTCTTTGACAAACTCAGCGAAAGCCTCCTCCGGATCTCTGTGTATCCTCGAGAACGGTAAATTGGTGGCGCCTTCAAGTCTGGCTCCCAGTTCGACCTCGATCTCCTCCCTGACGTCCACGATGGTCACCTTGCCTGTGCCTCTGTCACCAGTTCTCTCGATATCTTCCGACGCCTGCGTCCGCAGCCCCTCTAGGAACGCTCTCGCCGTGACTCGTTCCCCGCGGTCCCTACTCAATACCCTCACATCTTCCACCCTTCCACACCACTCCTCATAGTCAACTTTACCCGTCAACAAGTCCTCCCTGGTCACACAAGGCTCCACTCCCCATCACCACACCCCAGGCACCCCTTCCGCCGCCCCCTCAACCCCACACCCCTGAACATTCCCCGCAGACCCTGCGCAGAGAACGCATTGACCAGCAGCATCTCCCCTCTCCGCCCAGCCAGATCATCCTGTGCCAGCACGCGAGTCTCATTGGGGAGCACGAGCAATTTGAGGGCTTCCTGCGCCATCAGGGTGCCGATGGTGCCGACGGCGGTGCCGAGGACGCCGATCTCGGCGCAGGAGGCGACGGTGGTCGGGTCGGGAGGGACGGGGTAGATGCAGCGATAGCAGGGGCCGCGGCCGGCAATGGGTTGTGAGAGAGGTCGTGGCGGTGGCGGATCGGAATGGGATGAAGTGTTCGTGATGTATTGCGCAGCAGAGATCTCTGTGGGTTTTGGGCGGCTGTAGGTGTTGAGGAAGATGCATGGCTTGTCAAGGGCCGATCATCGTCACCGTCTCCTGCTGATGCATCTGAAGTTGGGTCTGAGTCCTCCTGCCCTCTGACCGCCCACTTGAAGCCCAACACCATGAGCATGCCCTCGCCTCTCTGCGCCGCACCACTGACCAGCGGTACATCGCACAGCATAGCTGCATCATTGATCGCATATCGTGTCGCCGGATTGTCGGTGCAGTCCAACACCAAGTCCCAGTTGGACGTCCGCCCATCTGCTTTTTGTGCTCTTCGCCCAGGTCTTTCCGTGTCGCCGTTCAGCCCTGCTTCCTGCCGCTGTAGTTCACCGCCCTCATCAGCCTCCCCATCAGGCCGCACCCACCCCTCCAGAATCCCAAGCACCTCCCTTCCTCCAACCCTCACACCATAGACCTCAACCACACATCCCGAGTTCACAGCTTTCACACCTTCCCTCGCACTCCTACACTTCTCCATCCCAACTCTGCTCTCACTATGCAGCACCTGTCGATGCAGATTGCTCTCCTCCACCACATCGCCATCGACAAACCCGAGCGTGCCTACGCCAGCAGCGGCGAGATACAGCGCGGCAGGGCAACCGAGACCGCCTAGACCTATGATTAGGATGCGGGATTGCTGGAGACGCTTCTGGCCGGTTAGACCGTGGAGTTGGGGGAGGAGTAGTTGGCGGGCGTAGCGGAGCGTCAGGGGGTCTGGAGGCTGGAAAATTGATTGAGAAGGGGCTTGGGCGGCAGACGCAACTGCGCCGTTCATCCTAATGGTTTCTCTGGTCGGCAGGCTGCTTGGATCGATCTGAGTTCTCGGGACTGGCTCATGGCCGGAATTTGTCTGGGAAGCTTCAGGATCACCTGGTTTTGTAGCGTGACCATTTGGTGGCTCTCGCGGCAAGGTTACAACATCCTGGGTTGGGGTTTCCGATTTCATGGCGACTTGTTGCGGTTGCGAATGCCGACCTGTGGTCGTGATTGCCTGCTGGGCGGATTGTCAACCGGTCTTTGCGATTGCCCTCGTTGTCATCCGGCTTGACTTGAGCCACATGCAACAACCGCCTTCGACTCGATCGCACCACTCCGTTGTCCAACCCGATGTGTATAGATCAGATCAGCGGATGGCCCATGGGCGATGTACTTATTGGTTGAGACACGGCACTGTGCGTACACATGTAAGACTGCAAATGCCTTCTTTAATGTCTTTCATGCAAGACCTGGCACCACCCAACAAGAACGAACAGAATGGACAGGCGCGCTTGCCGTCATCAGCCCGATCAATTCACCTGCACGAGATGACTAGGAGTCGTAGTGGCGTTGGTCAAGTCCGGACTAGTCCTCAGAATTTGCAGGTGTGTTCGTCTGGATATGGAATACTGACTCGCCATGCAAAGTACAGATGAATAAAAATGTCATGCTTTGGACTGCCGTTGCTTTCCGCTGTCTTGGCGCTGAACTATTCATACCTAGATACCGTACTCCGCCATCATGTATGCCAATGCGTTCATCACCGGGTATCATGTAAGCCGTAGCAACACACTGAACGTCAACAAAAGCCACCCAGCCTATTCGGCAATTGCTCCGCCATCAGTTGTCCGCCTTCTCCAGCAGCTGCGGGATATCTTGAGCCTTCGCCTTCCCCTCCAGGATCAAGTACACGGCTGTGAACAATGGGAACTGCTTCTCCAACCCTTGGCTCCTCAAGAAGGTATTGATCTCATACGCTGTGACGTTTCCTTGCAGCTTCTGCCCATTGAGCTCTCTCGCTTCGATCTCCTCGATCGTCTTCCCCTCCTGAATACTCATCCTCGCACACCGCACATGCCTGCCACCACTGCATGTCGTGATCAAATCTGCCACCCCAGCCGACTCCTCGGTGAATGTCTGCGCGTGTACTGTCTCTCCGAAGAACCTCTTGCCGAAGTCAACCATCTCCGACAGGCCAACACGCATGATGGCGGCCTTGGCGTTGTCACCCCAGCCGAGTCCATCCACCCAGCCGGCGGCTACTGCAATGACGTTCTTCAGAGCACCGCCTAATGACACGCCAGCGACATCGGACACAACTCGTACGTGGAAGTATGGCCGGTGGAAGAGCTTCTTCATGAGTTCGTGGTCAATAGTGCTGTATTCCGCCGGGAGTGGTCTCAGCCTGGCCTTGACTGGTCTGCCGTGGACATCCTTGTGCACCAGCTGTGATAGATCTGTATGACTAGCGGACGGACTGGGGCCTCTTGATGTGGCAGGCGTAGGGTTCTGAGAGTCCATGGGAGGTGGATCGTATGCAATTGTCGTCTCTGACCATTTCTCTTGAGCGACTTCGTTCGCAATGTTGGCGCCTGATAAAGCACCGCAGTATATCCCCAGCTCTTGGCCTATTGTTTCTGAAAACAGACTTATCGAGGACTCTTGCACGTTCACGCCCTTTATGCATGAAATTCCTCGAGCATAAGGAGCGATGTGGCCGCGCATCTGTTTGCATAGGTTGACGATGAACTGATGAGGCAGGTTGAAGATCAGGATAGTCGAGTCCTTGACAGCATCTGTGATGGATGGATTCGCGACCACGTTTGCAGGTAGTGGTATCTTGGGTAGATATCTGATATTTTCGTGGACTGTGTTGATGATCTTGGTGAGAGGTTGGGCACCATTTGAGAGCTCTGATCCTTCTTTGTAGTGTTTCGAGTCTTTTGGAAGCTCAACCTGCTCCTCGTACACCCACATTTGCACATCTTTCTCGAAGATATCTGGGTGAGCTGCCGTGTTTTCTGCGACCACCTTCGCGATGGTTGAGCCCCTGTGTGCATTAGCGGTGTAGGAGCAGCCAGCGTATCTGGACCTACCAGTTGCCCGAGCCTACTACGGTGACCTTGTGCTTCCTTGAGAACGGCGTTAGACTAGTCATCTTCTGTCTGACTGCGTCCATGACGGGCGCGCTTGAGTGGAAAAGACGCGGGGTTGTTGGGACGACCGTAGATCTGAGATATGATGACCGGAGAAGAGATCGAAGAAGTGGAGGCAATTGCATGTACTCAGAAGGGCACCTGCCGCTTAATTTATTAGTTGTAGAAGGTATGCGGTCTCAGCAGTAAGTGAGCCTCGAAAATGTTGGCTGTTGAGCTGCACTGCATGAGAAACGTCGAGCCTTGCTTAGCCGATCGTCGAGATGGAGCCCGGGGCAGGCCGCAAGGGTCTAGCGAGTCTCCCTTCCGGGCATGGCTTGCGCTTATTACACCCACCTCGGCGGTGACGCACCACCCTAAGCACGTGAAAAGCTGCAGGAACAACGTTCTGGGCGGGATGCACGTTACACCTACGCGGCGCAGCAAGCGGCACCCGAGGCTCATCGTCACCGTATCTCGTATAACATCTGAACATGATCTCGGACACCCCGAGCTGGGAAGGCCGCAAGCCGCAAGCCGAGGCAGCGAGGCCGGGTCATATTTCTTTATCTGTTTCTCACTTGTCAAGATCATAAGGATTTTCTAGTGCTGTCATACATAGCTTCTTGTATGCGCATCGGCTGAGGTAAGATCCACCGTGATCAAGTCATGCATGATTGCTCGTAGTCGATGCTGCGACATGCGCAGGTCCATGTCGGATATACCGCATCCCGTTGCGGTCCTTGAATGCCAGCCCCAGGTGCATCGCTCCAACATAACGCATTTCCTGCATATCGCCATAATCATATATCATCACCCTCGTCGTTCATATGCTATTGCTGTCAATCCAGGCGCCAGGAACCCATACGAAGTCCCCCATGATCTCATGCAGACCTTTCGCGATGGATTGTCGTAAGTCAACCCCATCCACAAATCACCTCAGGACAAACTCCTTTCATCCCTCATCGTCCGTCGGCTCAACCCTATACAAGATCTCCTCGAGCCATCCCTCGAGGAAGTCCGTGACGCCGCCTCCCATACCTACCGGCGTCTGCTCATCAATTGCTTGTATTTCGTTGAAAACGCCTGCTGCCTTGATCACCAGTTTCCTGATGCGCTCATTCGACGCGATCTGCTTTTGACGAAGCTCTTGACTTATCGAACTGTTGGATGCTTGAGCCTTGACAACGGTTGTGCGCCGTTGCAACGCAGCATCGAGCGACGGCATGATGACTGAGCTTAGTGCAGATGGCTGGTGCTGGGATGGCAGACTTGGTGATGCCGCTGCGGAGCTGACACTACCCGTCGAAGGCGCAGGCGATTCCACGTGTTGTCGTTGAGCCTCCTGCTGTTGCAACTTTTCCTTGGTTCCCTTCTGAGGCAAAGGCTGTACAGGCAGGTCTTTGGCGTCGAAAGCTGGCAGTGCTTGCTGGCCTTGTGGTTTTGTGGAACCTTGCCTCGACGGAGGTCGAATGGCATCGCCTTTACCTGGCTTGCCCCTGAACGGCGGGATATCTGGGATGATCATTTTGGGTCTTGACCCCGGAGGTGTGCTTGTCGGAGGTGTGTTCTGGCCGTCGTTGAGCTGCATGAAGCTCATATCTTTGGCCAGCTGTGCCTGAAAGGCTTTGTTGTACTCATTCGAACCAGCGCTGTCTCTGCTGGACGTGCTTGCCGCCACAATGCCGGGACTGTTTTGCAAATGCGAAGCAAGCTTTGCAGGAGGAGGGTTCTTGCTGGGAACAGGAGGTGCTGCTGATTTGGTGGGACTGACTGGCGCTTTTGATGGCGATTTGGATGGCGATTTCGCAGGTGACGATGGCCGCTTGACTGTATCGTCCATCTCTGGCTGCTCTCGTGAGGCACGGATGTTGGCTGCTGATTCACCCATAGGTCGCAAAGCGCCGGCCCGAGCACCACCTACAGGACGAACGGTCCCAAAATCCCATACATCTTCGTTGATCGGCTCTTGTGCATATGGCGGCTCGTTCTCTTCGTCTTCGTCGTCAGAGGTTCGACTTCCGTGGGTCGCTTGCCATCTTTCATGTCGTTCAATCAGCTCGGTCAAGTAGCTGGTCTTCTTAGCACGCTTGACGAAGGGATGCTTGAGTAGCTCCTTGGCGGACGGTCGCTCTTTTGGGTCTCGTCGAAGGCACAGCTCAACGAACTCCTTGAATGGTCTCGTAAAATTGCCTTCCAACCTCGGAGGAGCATTCTTTGGAATCAGAAACAGGACTTTCATGGGATGGATGTCTGAGTATGGAGCTCGCCGTTCGCCAGCTCTATGGCTGTGATACCTAGGGACCAGATATCTGCTTTGTGGTCATAGCCGGACTGCTTGATAACTTCAGGAGCCATCCAGAAAGGAGTACCAACGAAAGTGTTCTTCTTGGTCATGGTTGCTGATAGTTGGCCGGACACACCAAAGTCAGCAAGCTTGACTTGACCATTGGTACCGAGAAGCACATTAGCCGCCTTGATGTCTCTATGCAGCTTCTTATCGCTGTGCAGATAGTCCAAGCCCATGAGCAGTTCCCGCAGGATGATTGAAATGTATTCCTCGTTCAGGATGCCTGGTCGCATGAGATCGGAACAGCTGCCACCTGAGCAGAACTCCATGATAATCCAGAGGTCCGAGCCTTTGAGGAAAGACCCATGGTACTTCGTCACGTATGGTGATTGCAGTTCTGAGAGAATTGATATCTCTTGGATGATGTCTTCGACCTCATCTTCCGCGTTCTCGACATCAATGATCTTTATGGCGACAGACTGACCAGTCCGCTTGTCAACACCCTTGTAGACCTTGCCAAAGCTGCCTCCGCCTATACAATTCTGCTTCGTGTATAGCGTTTCGGGATCGACGCTCATCTTTACGGATGCCAGTGGAGGGCGAGGTCGCCTCCTCTGTGAGTTCGAAGGCCGTCCGAATGCAGCGAGCAATGAGTGCCCAAGGGAAAAAGACTATGTGGCGCAGCGGTCACGGCCCTGTCGAGGAGCAGAGGCCCCGGTCCTCGATTACAAGGCTCGTTGTCGAGGTCACCCGAAGGTTCTAAGGTGTGCAAGTCGAGGGCACTGCTGAGGTCTCGCGAGGTTTTGTGAGGTCGTCGGATACTCTGTTGACTCGTTTTACGTGTACCAGGAGGCCTCGCCGAAGTTGCTGCAGTAGAAGAGGTGAGGATCTAAGTTGCAGTCCTTGTTTACTACCAGGGTTGAAGTATGAAGTTCTCGCTTCTGATTGGCTCCGGTAGTCGCGACTCGAGGAGTGGCCAGAAAGTGACCGCGACGGAAGTTGCTGTGGGGCCCAGATCAGTGTTCACTTGCAAATCCTCACAACACCCTCCCAAGCCAGAAATCCACGATGCATCATTCCTACTGACTGACGCTCAAGTGAGGCTTATCTGAAAGCCATCGACTCGATCAGCGAACCACGCAGAGACCTACAGCGCACTCCCTGACCAGGAAATCCACAATCCGTTTGCCCAACAGACGAGGCTCACGACATCTCACACCACGGACAGTGGATGAGGGGTCTCTGTCGAACTGTTGTCATTAGGTGCTGCTCAACGCGTGCTCTATGTCGCGGATCGTCATTCAATTCTATGTTGGGTCCTGCCGGAGCCAAAGGCTGCTTCCACTCGGGATATCATATCAGAGCTGCCACGCACTCAACGTCCTCCTTCATCATGCATTACGGCTGACTCTCATACCGCATCTCATCGTGATCCTTGTGCAAAAGTCTCCCTAATCATCCGCACCATCAAGATATTCAACCATGACAGTACCATTCTTCAACCCAGCAGACTCAATTGTTTCTCCTCGCTGCTCCATCAGATTCTTGTTCATTGAAATCAGCTCAAACTCCAGTCCAGCCTTGCCCTCGACGGGTTCGGCTTTGAGGTACTCGTAGATGGTTTGCACCGGGTCGTTCTCAGCGAACCGTCGAACAATGCGGCCACCAGAATGCCGGATTTGAACTCTTGTAACTCCCGGGCCAGCTGCAGGCTCGGTGTGAGGCCGATCTGAAGGGATTAGACTGAATGGCGTGGCTGCCTTCTCTGCACTGCCATTTTCCTCGACATCCATGGGATCTTCCGGCTTGCGCAGATCACCCACGCTGCGCGTGAGATCATCAGGGTCTTCTCTTGTGGGCGGTTGCTCAGCCGCACCGGCCGCCATACTTGCCTGTAGAGCGTGCTCGAGCTGCTCATCCTCAGTCATCTCGTCGAACGACTTCTGCTTCGGTGTCTCTGACTTGCGCTTCGCCACCGGGTTGCGAGCATTGTTGTCTAGACTATATCGGTCGAGAAATTCGTGGAGTTGCATGAGAAACTCTGCAGGTGTGGGGATCTTTCTTGACCAGAGCTTGATCTGCTCGCCGGTGCGTGGATCGACAATCGCCACATGAGGATATTGGTCGGGATTTTGGTGATCTTGAAAGTAGAACGAGTTGTACTGGTCGGCTCTTGGGTCGTCCTTGCTGTATTGAATGAAGATGAAGTTCTCTTTGATGGTCTCGGTGACCTGGTCGTTCTTCCACAAGTCCCGGTTCAGTGCTTGACAGTCAAAGATCGAACCATCTTGAATGTTTATTAGTATCCACTTCTTCTGCTCTTTGCCCTCGTCTCTGGCTTCTTCCCAACTGCCACCATACATTAGATCCCAAGGCGGCTGGAAGAGTCTAGCAAGCATATTCGAGTGGGCCGATTGTTCAGAACGACCACCAGTAGCGGCCGCAAGATCGTTGGTACCACTATTCTGATTCCAGATATCGGACGTCTCGCGTTGGTTGAAGATGCCCCTCTGACCTGGGATGATGGTTAGCAGCCGCATAGCACATGAGCGACACTTTGAAATTCACCTCTAGCCGCCCGCTGATGCATAGCCTGCAGTCTTGCTGTCATGGCATCTTCATACTCCTCGGCCATCATGTCTGAACCTGGACCAGCAAGTGTCTCTGTGCGTCGTGCAATGGGAGCACGGACATCCTGCTCTTGACCGGAGCCCTGAGCGCCATACATCTCTTCTTGTAATCTTCTTGCCATTGCTTCATCATCCTCCACATTGGCGCCGGTCGGCAGGTCGTCGTCATCATCAATAGTGATCGGATTGTTAGCATTAGAGGGCCGTGAGGCAGTCGGCACAGGTGGCGTCGCACTTGAGCCTGTAGATAGATCTGCACCTCCATTCTCGTAGAAGAGCTGAATTGCCTGACTTGTGTCTCCTTCTCCAAGCTGGACGTACTGACGGGCGATTTCGGGGGTACAGCCAGTGATGGAGACGACGCCGGCTATGACATCGTCGGCCATCGTGGCAGATGAGATTCGCTTTCTACTCTCGGTGGAGAGGTACTACGTTGACGGTTGTAGATTCTCGTAGGGAGGAGGTGTGTTTGCAATCTGCGGCGGGAACGAAATCGATTCGGTTTGATGTTGAAGGCTATGTTCTCAACCGATGCAACGACGCGAATCAACAAGTAGAAGCGAAGGTCTGTAGGCAGGCATTGATGAGAAGGAGTGTGTTGTGAGAGTGAAGACAGGTGCGGTTCAAAGAAGTAGCAAACACTCGCCTGAGCAGATGGTGCTAGAATGTTTGAAAAGTACCTAGCATGGTAGAGGCGGCCAAAAAGGCAACGTTCAACTTTCGTCATAGGCCAGATGTGGACCTTGGAGATTGGAGATCGCTCTTGCACTGTGTGTTGGGAGAACCTGCCGTAGCTGCCCACCGGAGATCATACCTAAGGTAATCACTCATCTGTCATTTGATTTCACCAAGAATTCTTCGTGAATGGAAAATTGCGCTGGAGGCCGCCCTGGCCCAACCTTGAACTGCTCTGCGAAATTGAAATGGCTGGTCCAGATTTTAGCGCGTCGAACGCGACGCGCTTTCCACTTGGCAATCGCCAAAACCTTCCAACGCAACGACTGAGTCGCGCCTTCCTCCTCACACCGCGAGTCAGTCAAATTCAATAGCCGTCCCTTCGAACATCCAGCAAAAGCAGCAGCATCGTCGGAATGGCTACTTCGGTGCTCGGAAAGCGAACAAGGCAATCTTTCAATGCGTCAGGTACGTGCCACTTCGAACGACTGCAACGGCAGGAGCGCTTACAACCCACAGTCGCGCCTTCCTCGCCAGCAAAGCGACGACACACGCGACAGTCGGCGCCTAAAATCTATGAGGATGCTGCGCAAGGAGAGACTGTAACATCATGTACTCGGCGTTCTGTACAGCCATGTACCAAACCATCGAAATGTACCATACAGAACGAAACCGTTCAAGACGACCAAGACCAGCAGACCAGCGAAAGCGATACTCTCGATCACAATGCAGCTAAAGAAAATGTCGCACCGATATTTGCAACACCGACCACCAAAAGATTCAAGGATGCTCTGGCAACAGCTGCGCAATTTACACCACGTCGGCGGGTGCTGCTGGGTGGAAAACTGGTCACACCAAGATCTCAGCGAACCGTCGATAGATCTCCCTCGAGCAGTATCTATGCAGCAGCACGCCAACTCTTCTCGCAATCTGGCAGCTCCAGACAGATCGTTGGTCGACAATCGGAACGAGATCAGTTGCAGCAATTCATCTCTGGTGGCATAACGTCGCGCAAGGGTGGCTGTTTGTACATCAGTGGCCCTCCTGGAACCGGAAAGAGCGCTCTCGTTCGTGAGGTGCTACAACATCATCCATCCACCGACGACCTTAGAGTTTCCATGATCAATTGCGTGAGCAGCAGGACAATTGCTGACGTTGCAAGTCTACTTTCACAAGACTTCGAAACCGCGCTGAAGACAGCGAAGGATATCAGCAATCTGTTCACGGCCAAGTCCTCAGGAAGGATACATCTGGTCTTCATGGATGAAATCGACAATCTGCTGGCTGGAGACTGCGAGCTCCTGTACAACATGTTCGAATGGTCTTTGCACAAGTCGTCAAACCTGCTTCTCATCGGCATTGCGAATGCGCTCGACTTGACAGATCGCTTCTTGCCACGACTTAAGGCACGGAACCTCAAGCCTCAGTTGCTGCCATTTCTGCCATACGCCGCAGCAGACATGTCCAACATCATTACCTCGAAACTGCGATCGTTGTTACCGGCAGATTCGACGAGCACGGCTGATTTTGTGCCTTTCATCAGTCCAGCTGCAATCAAATTGATAGGAAGCAAAATTGCTGCGCAGACAGGGGATATACGCAAAGCCTTTAGTCTGGCTCGACGGTGCATAGAGCAAGTTGAACGCGAAACGCGAGAGTCTGCACAGTTGGAACCTGGGACACCTACCAAACAACCCTTGGCCGAGCTTTCGAACGGCGTTCTGACACCGACTTCCTCCCCACTCAAAGCCAAACTTGAGCGAACTGTGCGCCCAAACATCGAGACGGCACCACGAGCGAGCATCCAGCATGTTGCACGACTCGCCGCTAGCATCTTCAGCCATGGCGCTGTTTCGCGACTGAGCGGTCTGAATCTGCAGCAGAAAGCAGTTTTATGCTCACTCGTCGTCACAGAGCAACGCCATAACTATCGCAGCGCGTTCACGACACCATCGAAATCGGTGAACAGGGTCCCGGATGTGAAAGAGCTGTACGAAAAGTATGGAAGAATGTGTCAGAATGGTGACGGAATTCTGCCAGTGCTGAAGAACACCGAATTTCGAGATGTGGTGGCGAGTCTGGAAACGCTTGGGCTGATTCATGAAGCCATCGGTCGAGGCTCGAGTATGCTTACACCCAGCAAAACTCCATCCCGGACCGGCAAGAATATCGATGAGCGGCGATTCGCGTCAGCGGTGTCGGAATCCGAAATGCGGGAGAGTCTTCAGGGGCCTGGAGCAGATCTGCTCAGAAGGTTCTTGGTGGACTAGGTGTGACGATATCCCGATGCTTTGGCAAGTGTAACTGCTAGGGTTACGTACCTCAAAGGATCTCTGCTTGACTTTGGAGGACTTAGCTGAGAGGCTCAAGGACCGTCGTCACATTGTGCCGATACTGCCGTAGATCAGCTTTGTCCTTACGTCTTAGCGACCGCGGCGTTGTAGCGAGCTGAGCGCAAAGAGCTGGGCTCAGTAATATAACATGACGAATGATGCCATCGAAACTTGGAAAGCTGGATTCTACTTCCGGCTTGACGTTCACGATCTGGAGCCCGTCCAGAGTCCACATGCTGTCGATCAGCGCGAAACAAGCTCATTTTTTGGCATGCCTAAGCTTTAACATGGCTAGAGGACTGGTGCCCCAAAAATACATTGCGCTTCTCACATGTGCTTGCTCTTCGACACTTCATTTGATGCTGAAGAACCCATGTCTGATCAGTGCCTCGCCTTGAACTGTCTCATGAGACTGAAGACTGCCTGACTCTTGCACTTGCCTGCGGAAGCCCGAGAAAGTGGTGACTACCGGAGGGAGTGTCCTTCACAGGAACTCCAGGTGCCGGCACGGGCTGTCAGCAAACCCCTGTAAAGCTTGAGATTTGAGGTGTCGCCAGGACGCGCGGCATCTCCCATTTCCGCATAAGTCGGCTACTCACGCATCATCTCATGCCCGTGGCTGGTACAACAATACATTGCGCGAGTTGCTAATGTCATACTTCTCCCCTCCATCCTTCTTGTCGTATCCTTATGGACGAACTGCTCTACATACACCCAGTATTCCTATTCGATTGCGCATAGGTTATTGATTGCGACAGATATCCGGCACGAACGAGCGGGGCAAACATCGATCAACATGGCTGACGCTGAGGACTCGAACCCAGTCCTCAGACATGCGCGCGGCCAAGGCGTTGACAGAGTCGGCGCGAAAGTGATCGATAAGACAAACAAGTTCCAGGAGAATCATTCGAAGCCGCAGAAGTCGAACACCAACGAGTCCAAGAAAGGGCCACCGGGCGGCTTCGATAGCACACCTATACAAAGTGCACCGCCTGGCTACAGGATAAAGATCACGTTCCATCGCGCCGAGAACCTTCCATTCGCCGACTTTGCTGGCATGACCGCAGACCCTTACATTGTTGGCGTACTTAAGACCAGCCTTCCAAAACGACACAAGCAAGATCCAGATCTGACGATAAGAACACCCACGATACACAAGAATACAAACCCAGAATGGAATACAGAATGGATAATCGAGAATGTGCCTGCAAGTGGATTTTATCTGAAGTGCCGCATATATGACGAGGATCCCGCAGACCACGATGATCGCCTGGGCAACGTGCATGTCAACGTTTCCGGCATCAGCGAATCCTGGAAAGGGTTCCGTGAGCAGAAGTATGACCTAAAGAAGCGCGTCGGAAGCAAGCGCGCATACACATTCCGCGGATGCGCCGCTCTCTTCTCCAAGAGTGTCAAGTTCGGTGGCAACTTGACTGTGTCAGTCGAGAATCTGGGACGCTCGCCAACAGAAGACGGTGGCCGAGCATACACACTTGGCCCTCTAGCATGGAGCCGGCATTTTTCACCACTCATCGGGCGGTTGACAGGCACCAAAGATCGAGCCGAGGAGAAGGATGGCAAGCCTGGCGTCAGCAAGTACAACTTCCAAGCTGTGCAGGTTCAACTTGCCGGACCAGTACCTGCTGAGCTGTACCACCGCTATGTCGAGTTCAAACCATTCGTAGCCGGCATGTTCACCGACAAGTCCCTTCGCGGCCGAATACTTAATCGTGCCCTTCACCATCAGCACGCCCGAATCTACAACTTCGACAAATCGACCCAGTATGGCCATTTTGACAAGCCTAACATCGAAATGACGAAGAGATTCCTCGAGTACCTACAGTACGACCACGGCGGTCGGATCTTTACGTACGTTCTGACCCTCGACGGCCAGTTCCGCTTCACCGAAACCGGCAAGGAATTTGGCATTGACCTCCTGTCCAAGCACACCATGCACAGCGACGTCAGCATCTACATCGCCTTCTCAGGCGAGTTCTTCATCCGCCGCCTCAAGCACGCCCACCACCATCACCAGCGTGGCGACTCAGACGGCGCAAATTCGCAAGAAAGCGACAATGAAGTCCGCCCGCCGGAGAAAGACGACGTCGAGAGCAACCGGTCCAAAGACGAGAACGCAAAGCTCCAAGACCCCAAATACTACGAGCTGATCATCGACAACGACTCCGGCACCTATCGACCCAACGCAAAACTCCTCCCGCAACTTCGCGATTTCTTTGCCTCGAATTACCCGGGTCTGAAAGTGATGACGCTGGACTGCAAGGAAGACGAAGAGAAGATGAACAAGCTCAAGGACGAGCAGCGGGAAGCGAAAAAGAAGAGCGGTAACCAGATCACGTACATGCAGAACAACAGTATGAGTTCGCTGAGCAGCTCGGATGAGGAGCAGCTGAATGAGCGGGCTGAGGGAAGGGAGCATGAGCATAAGTACAAGCAGAAGTATCATGCGTATCTTGATGGTGGCGAAGACTTGCATCATGATGATGGGGGCATCACGAAGCCGGAGCCGAGTGATTTGTCTGGCTCGACCCAGCCGGCTGGACAGCAGGATCGGACCGCTGAGAACGATCGGGCATCTGCGAGCAACGAGAAGAGCGCAGCAGATCTGCCCAGCGTTGAGCCTGGTCGAGTGGAGAGCAGCACCTGCGCTTCAATCAGACGGTGGGCAAGCATGAGCAGCAGCAGGCTAAGGACGCGGGCCGGGCGATGAGTGATGAGATGGCGGAGCATTATGAGAAGGAAGGCCGCGCGACGCAGCCGGCATCGTGACGGTCGACGATACCTGTGTGACTGACAGGGACGATGTTGATTTCTTGTCGTTGTTGGTTTTATGATACCAGGTTTTGAAATTGGAGCGTGGAATATTCTTGCTCATCGAGCATTAGCATTACTATTCGTGGTGAGGGCCGTCACAGGGACGAGTCATCACAGCCATGGGGCCAGCGACTGATATCAGGCACAATGAAAGACATCTGCACGAGGATGTGCTCTTGGACTGGCCTGGCTGTACTACGAGGAGCCCGTCTTCCATATCGGAATGCTTTACTTGGTCTTGCTTCAGACGGCAGGTGATAGCGCATATCACCAGGTGGCATCATTTCCGTGTCATTCTTAGATCAGTACCCGTGATTGAAGCGCAGGTGGTATTCTGCCGGTCATGTAGCCCGCGGCAAGATAAGCTGGTCGCTTCGAGCGTTGAGCAAAAGCCAGGAACGTCTGACCTGGATCTCGGGGCTGTCCCTAGGGTTCACCCACGAGGCAGTCTCAACGCCAACGAATTGGATCACTTTTCCGAAAGCTGCGGGGTCGCTCCTGCCGATTTTAATCCTCGTTCCTGACGCTCTGCCCTCTTCACGACCCGATCATCACTCCCATCAATGACCGCCCTCACCTGATGCAATCGACGGTCATCCGCTTAGCTGCAGGATGACGACCCTGCAGACATTGGCATGCTGCAGAGGCATGGGAGATAGGTAAGATAGAGAACGCTACCCAAGAGCAATCTCACTGCTACCGTAGCATCCCCCGCCCCGACTGGTTTGTACTACCGTGAGTCCCTCTGCACCGCATCGTTTGGGGTAGCAGTGAAGTCATACTGCCGCTCCCACTGTAGCTACGGTGACAACGCGCTGTCTCCCCGCGTTTTGGAGAAATTAACAAACAAATTATTTGGTTGCTCTGATGCCCTACCTCGACGGCTGGGAGGTCTGTCAAAGTTTCTGAAGGCTTTGGGACGACCACCATGTTCTCGACTGCGGTGATCTCAGTGCCTCTTTTGGCCAGCCTCGTGGCTGCCGTTGCCGTCAATCCGCTGCCAGCACCACAGAGCATCACCTGGGGCAGCTCTGGGCCGATCAAGTTCACAGGCGCTTGTCAGTTCAGTGGCCCAACGAACGACTTGGTGTGGGCCGCATGGCAGCGAGCATATCAGTCAATCGTCACTCTACAGTGGGTGCCAGTAGCTATCGAAGCTCCAATACGGGAATATGATCCATTCCCAGGCGCCGAGGAAACTTCAACGTCGTCCAGAATACGAAGGGATGGTGGCGGTAGCCAGATATCGATCTCGATAGACGACAACGCCGCTGACCTGCAGTATGGAGTAGACGAGTCATATGAGCTCAATGTCACATCTTCTGCCATCTCAATCCACGCCGGGACCACTTGGGGAGCTATTCACGCCCTCACTACCCTCCAGCAGCTCGTCATCTCAGACGGACAAGGAGGACTCATCATCGAGCAACCGGTTGAGATCGTCGATCAGCCAACTACGGCCATCGGGGAATCATGCTTGACACTGGACGGAACTTCCTGAGCGTCAAGAAGATCTACGAACAGATCGACGGAATGGCGCTCTCCAAGCTCAATGTGCTGCACTGGCACCTGGTCGATACCCAGAGCTGGGCTGTTCAACTCAACACATATCCCGAGATGACGAAAGATGCCTACTCGGCCAAAGAGCAGTACAGCCAGGCCGATATTCAGGGTGTCGTTGCATATGCGCGAGCTCGCGCCGTCCGCGTCATCCCCGAAATCGATTCGCCAGGTCATGCAGCTAGCGGCTGGCAACAAGTAGATCCCAGCATCATTGCCTGCGCAAACAGCTGGTGGTCCAACGACGAGTGGACATACCACACTGCGCTACAGCCGAATCCTGGCCAATTGGATATCTTAAACCCCAAGACATACGATGTGGTCGCGGGCGTGTTCAAAGAGGTGGCGCCATTGTTCCCGGACAATGTCTACCACGTTGGTGGCGACGAGATCCAGACTGGCTGCTACAACTTCAGCTCGGGCATCGTAGAGTGGCTCGAGGACGACACCAACCGAACGTGGAGTGATCTGGTGCAGTATTGGGTGGACCACGCTTTCCCTATCTTCCGTGACTCGCCTACCCGAAAGCTCATGATGTGGGAGGACATGGTAAGTCAGATCTCTCACTCGGCACGCGCAGCCCGTCTAACACTCTCCCAGATCATAGCGCCGGAACACGCCGCGAATCTCGGACCTGAGAATATCATCCTGCAATCCTGGAACGGTGGCCTCACAAACATCAAGAACCTGACTTCTCGCGGCTATGACGTCGTCGTCTCCTCGAACGAGTTCTTCTACCTTGACTGCGGTAACGGCGGCTATATCGGCAACGACCCACGGTACAACGAGCTCTCCAACCCAAACGCATCCATTCCCACCTTCAACTACGGCGGCTTGGGTGGATCATGGTGTTCGCCCTACAAGACCTTCCAACGCATCTACGACTACGACTTCACCTTCAACCTGACTGACGAGGAGGCGTCGCATGTTATCGGCGGCGAAACACCCCTGTGGGGAGAACAAATCGACGACACAATCGTCAGCCAGAAGGTCTGGCCGAGAGCTGCAGCGCTGGCCGAGCTCTTATGGTCAGGCAATCGAGATCCGGTGACGGGTGACAAGAGGACGACGCAGTTGACGCAAAGGCTGAATAATTTCAGAGAGTATCTGGTGGCGAGTGGAGTGCAGTCTGCGATTTTGCAGCCGAAGTGAGTGTCTTGCTGTGTCTCAGATCATTGACTCCGGTTGCTGACGACGATGACAGGTATTGCTATCAGCATCCGCATGCATGTGATTTCGTAAGTCCTTCCATTAAGAATGTCCACTAGTGTTGCGAGACTGACGGGTGCGACAGTACTACAACCAAACGGCGCTGAATGATTATGCTAACAATAATCCTGCGGCATGAGCAGCGAGGAGAAGTGCTCTACTACCATACGATGATGTAGCAGATATATTCAGTGTTAGCTGCCTGGCATGTAACATGGTGGGTGACAAACTAGACCGCTATAATGTCAATATACCTCCATCGTCCGCGAGTTGCCACGGCCAAGCGGTCTGCTCTACCTTTCGACCGGGTGCTACAGGCCCTGCGCTGCTCGTGTGTACGGAAGTTCATTGAATGTCGCAAGGCAGGACTACTCAAGACCGGATGACTGGGGGACTTGTATGAAGCCGGATGACACGAGGTCTTACGGAATGCCGGTTGACCAGAACGTAGCTGAGACGACAGATCGATTTCACGCACCAGGCAGATCAGAAGCACTTATTCGGACACACATCGGGCAGCAGCAGGCGGCATGTCTTCGACCTGTGCAATTTATGTGGCTTTAGGATTATCTGTTTGTTGTCTTCAGGAGAATGTGGCAGACACTGCCTGCACGTCCAACCACATTATCCCGTTCCCGGTCCATCGCCAATCACTTTGCTTCCAGAACCCTCCAAATATTCGCCAATCGGTCGAAAAAAGCGCTTTGTTGTGAAAGATGGATATGTAAAATAATCAAGCTGGGTATACCCAATAACATAACGTCCACCATGAGCACTGTCTGTTGCCATTGCGGCTCTCAGTCGTGTATGCTACCATCCTAATCAAAGGCCCAATTCATGATAACGAAGAAAAGTTCAACCCCATAGATCCTCCCCACTAGGCACCAAACTCTGTGGGCCGCTCTGCACCTCCTTGTCACCTGCCGTGAAGTAGCCCTCGTCACTTAGACTGGCGGCGCCCATACTGACGCCGCTTCCTGCACTGCCGGGCTGGCTGATACTGCGCGAGTACGACCTGTCGGTAAGTCTGGTGCTTGGTCGCGGTGGAAGCGGGGCTTGAGACTGTAGTTGCGGCGTTGTGGAGGATGACGATAGAGAAGGACTTCGGGCTGCTCGTGGTTGTTGGTACGTCGAACCCTGTGGTGGGTGGCTGTTCAGAGCCGCATAGGCCCGGCTGTGAGGATTGTCCCGCTCGCGGTCGCAATGACTGTCGGCTTCGATGACGCGGCGGATACCACTGTAATCGTTCTTGATGTCTTTGTAAGTCCCCTGGGTGGCCTTTGGCGAGGGTGTCCGGACAGGTATGCTCGAGGGAGCTTTAGTCAGTGGCCATCCTTCGTCGTCGTCTGCCTCAGAGCCCGAGCTCTCAAGATGCTGTGGGGTTGGCCGACGGTAATGATGTTTGGCAGAGTGTTCGTCATCATCTGAGCAATGACGGCGCTGCACAGTAGGCTCAACTGAGCGTGCTCGGCGCGTATATGCTTGAGATGGCGGTGGGCTATATCGACCAGTCTCCCGGTCAGTCGTCACGCTGTGCTTTGACGATGTCCGATGTGACAGACTTGTGCTTGGCCGTCTCAGATCAGGCGACATTCTTTGTGATTGACTAGAGGCTGCCCTTGTAAGTTTCGGCGATACAGACTGAGGTTTTGGCGAGGCACGATTCGGTATCGTACTGTCGCGGGCCAGAACTTGTTTTGGCGACGGTGGATGATAGCGACGGAGGCCAATCTCGCCATCATCGAAGACCGATTGCTTGAACGGCGACGAGGGAGAGTTCTCAAAGGACGTTCCCATGTCCGAATTTACAGTCCTTGGCGTCTCTGGATAGTCAAAGCTCTCTGTGAGCGGCGAGAGGATGCTCAGCGCCGGCGTGCCAGTATAAAGCGGACTCGTTGGCTTCTTGGGAGCACTGGCTGCTCGCGAGCAATTCGTGTGGGAGAAAGTTGGCGAAAATGAAGCCCCATTGTCTTGCTCTGGCGACGCAACCCTGGAGCGAGGAATGTCGTTGGACACACGGGATGGCTGTGGCTCTGGTTGCGGTACCGGCGACGAGACCTGTTTCCGCCTGACTGGAGGCAGTGAAGACGACCGCTTTGACTTTCTCTGCCAGGGAAGATTGATAGTGATGGTGATAGATGCCTTCGTATCCTCTCGAGTCTCTTGCTTCTCGTTAGAGGCTGCCACTGGAGACAATGCCGGCTCATCTTCTGTGTCGGATGTCCCACGAGCCCATTCCACCCAGGTAGCTCCCTCGTTGGCAGCGCTGATACCAGCATCGCCATATCGGTAGTCGAGGCTCTGTCCAGCAGCTCTGTCCTGCTTACGGAACCTCATCGCAGAGAAGCTGGGCGCCATTGTGGTCGTGGCGGTGACAAGGGAGAATGAAAGGAGAACGGAACAAATATCAGGGTGGGAGGAATGTCACCCCGTCCGCGCTGGCTTGGAAAAGGTTTCCAGATACGTCAGTCCATGCAGTCGGCTGATGAGGAAGAGAAACAAAGTTCTTTGTTTCAACAAAGTCCAAGAGAACAACCTGGCTCCGGACACGAGGTGTGACCCAGACTCGTGACAAGGCGACGTTGTGAACAGGGCCAAGTCAAAGTATAAATCGCCGCAGGGAGTAAACAGGTTACAATCAGGCGCGCAGACATGTCTGGATGTAGTACACCATTGACCTGCAGAAACTAAACATTTCCAGCATTACCTGAGCTGGAAATAGTGACACGAGGTACACGCTCGATCGACGTTGTGTGGTGACCGACATTGGCGCAGAGGGGCGCCACGAATGCTAGGCGAACTGGTGGGCGAGGTTGCGAAGCTGGAGAAGGATTGACTGTGTGCTTACCATAGTACAGGGAAGATGCCGAGTGGGTCGTCGTGGATGCATGAATTGATGCAGTGATAGGTCAAGTGCCTGCCCAACACGACCTGGCAAGGAGGGAAGGAACACAGCGCGGCTCCCTCCCTCCGCACGAAGCGTGTCTGTCCTTCGTTAGTCTACGGCGGAAATGCTGGGAGCACGCGCCCGAGTGGTCAGCCCTGCCAGCGCGAATGGGAGTGAGAGGGGAAGAAGAGAAGATCAGTGGTCGCCCACTCGGCGGCTATATTCTATTTACAGAGCCAATCAAAGCATGCACTCGGAACCCCACTCACATTTCTTCAACCTCAAGTTCAACCTCACCTGTGCCTTGCATCCTAGCACATCAAGCGACTTACGCACTCGACCGTTGTGAGCCCACCTTCCACTTAGCGCCTTCGAAAGCCGACCGCATGTATGCATCGAGATCTACTCGCACAGTACCGAAATAACTTTTGGCATACCGAGCGACAGATCTGCTGCAGGGACGCGCTCGCAAACACAAGCCACCAGATATATCACGAGAGTCGAGGCAGTCGGGTTCATGACCGAGCACGAGCTCTATGTGGCACCCTGATTTTACACAGGATATAGCAGAATCGCATTCCTCCGTCCATGGGCTTGGGATTGACGGTAGCCGGCCTTGTCTCTTCATCTCGCTAGTTATGTTCAAGTGGGTGTACAGGTGTGGCACTGTCAGCACGAGTATACCATCGTACATTGAGCCTTTGGATTTTCCCCCGGTCCAAGCTTATCATTGGCCACCTTATATGCCTGTAGAATAGCTGACTTACCGATCATCGAGACTGCCTTTGACCAATAGTCTCATTAGGAATTGATCTGCAGTGTTTGTGTAGACTTCAGCAAGTAAGTGAGGACACTTCACGTCTTGATTGCAATACAATGGGAGGAGCAGCCGAGGTTACCTATTCAAGTTGTCCTCAAAATTTTCCAAGCCGATCAGCTTTCCTGTAGCAGCGAAGCGCTGGACCGCCAGACACCTCGACGGTGACCAAGTTCGCAGCCGCTGAAAGCGCTTGTGCGCAAAATCAAGCCACCGCGCGTAGAATTTGCGACCTCTATACAAGCCGCGCTGCTGTCATTCGCATGCGAGATACCTCCGAGATTCTGCGAGAGGTCTTGATATGACTTTCGGCTGGAGGAGCCTCAGTGAAGTAGAGGTGCAGGGACCGTTCCAGAACATTTGTCACACTGATTCCCCGCGAGCCTCACTACCCACTACGTTCTATTGCGAATGTTTTGGATGATAGTTCCATCCTGGGTGCAGCACGCCATTCGGTGTAGGTACAACTGGAAGCTGACCGCGTCTGTGCATCGCAGAATGCTTGGAGGGTGTCGCTTCCTACCCGTATAGACCTGACGGTCGTTGACGGCTGTCATCAGACCTACTGTGACGGGCGATGATCTCGCAGGGCAGTCGTCTTACCTGTGTCACGCTGTTCACTCAAGCTCGCACGGCCGCGTTATGGAAACCTTCTGACCGCTGAGGTAGGCCCGACCTGCGTATAACGGAGCCTCGAACTAGTCGTGCATGAATAGCCCTCATTCTCTGGAGCAAGATTTCTTGAGCGCAGATCAGCGAAGGTCAAATTTGCTACTGTTCCAATCGATGACCCTTCGGAAACCCATGGTGTCGAGGCCATGATCAAAAACGTCGTGACACTCTGGGACTTCGATCCTCTTCGTGAACCAGATATAGGCCACGATGAAGATGGCGTGTGCAAAGGACATCCGGCTGGCCAGAACAGTCGGTCTAGTAAATGGCGCATATTCTTGTCACCCCTTGTAGAGGGAGGTAGTGCCCCTTCCCTGCAAAATGCGACAGCGCCCGTCAAACGAGCCGCATCGACATTTCAATCCTTCAAGTCTCTCAACGCAGTTGCGATATCGCTCGCTATTATCTTTCTCGCTGCGTCTGGCTTGCCGTCCCCGCGTTCCAAGCTCAGCAACTCCCAAGGCATCAGGCAGAGTATTTCTCCTGGGCCTGGCTCCTTGATCTCTCGATTGTTGAGGCGCATAAGTTGAAAGATCCGCAGCATACCTTTCTTGGAAAGTCGTAGTGGGCCGTCGTTACTTACAGGCACTGATGGATCCCTAAGACTAGCTTCGCCGGAAAGTGGTTGCCGACGACAGAACTCTAGTACTAGAGCCGCGATTCCAGCAGCGACTGCACATGCTACTGAAGTGCCACTTAAACGCTCCAGAGATGCGTTCTTGTGGGGCGCGAGCACGTACATACCGAGTGCTGTGATGTTCCACTCCGAGCAGAACAGCGGTGGATTTTTTTTGTACGGTTCGTGTGAGCCGTGCGCAGCGTGCACTGCAACCACTTCGGGCCGTTTAGCTGGATAAGTTCTACCTTCGAGCAGGCCAGCATTGGACGCTGCCGCAAATATGAGGACTTTGTCCTTGACTTCTCTGAGTTTCTCGGTGATGGCGGCTTTACTACTGTGGTCATCTTTATTGATGGCAAATGACATGCTGATGATGTCAACCTGCCATTCGTAGACTGCATGATGAACTGCCTTGAGTTCTGGCGTCAGTCACTCAGCTTTGCACGCTCGGATCAGCACTGACTTCCACAATATGCTTGCCACTGACGTGGTGTCTGTCTTCGAACACCCTCAGCACGTAGATGTCGGCATTCGGTGCCACTTTGTTTGCCACCATAGCACAATGTGTCCCGTGACCATCAACATCCTCGCTGTTAGACCAAGTCTGGGATTTCGGCGCCCATAGGCCTTTGATGCGCTTTTCTGATCGGTCCTCAGGGTTGTGTATCTTCGATACATCTGGATGTTTCGTATTAAGGCCGGTGTCGAGAATGGCAATCTTAGGCCTCGCACCGTGTTTGACCGGCGAGAAACAACGAAAGAGATCATGTACTCGTTTGAGGTACATGGCGAACCATTTGTCTGTACTAAACTATGTTAGCCTGAGCTTTCACATTATGTGAAATACTTGCTCCTGGAAATCGCTAGAGGCTGTGGCACTCAGAAGTCGTGCATCTGAGATATCATCCACAACATCATCTCGGCAGGCATAATTCTCAACTATCGTGTCCGAGTCCGAAAGACTCGCTTGATCGGTAGAGTCTACCAGACGCTCCTGACGTCTCCGTGATCTTTCGTTTCGATGGTCCGTTCTTAGTCTGGGAAGTTGGCGACTCATAATTTGTTCTTCAATCTTGTTGTAGCCCATCTGGAGTGATTCGGTGTTTTCGTCGTCGTCGCCGAATGATTTTTTGCTCAAATAGAGAGCACGGCGCATAGTCATCAAGGCTTCTTCCGTTCGCCCTCTGGCATGTAGCTTATTCACAACAGCGACTCGCAAATGCAGGACTTCAACAATGGCGTCAGCCTCATCTTCGGTCTCAGGCGGCACGATATCTTTCAGGATTTCATGTTGCAACTTATCCGCTGTCTCGTTGTCACCGGTGTGCATGAGACATTCAGAGTAATGTGCTCGGACCCATAGCATGTTCGGGTCCTTCAAAGCCAGCCAGCCCTTCGCTATATCGAGCATCGCAGCATAGTGATCTCTGGCGGATTCATAATCTTGAATATTCCATGCATGTATAGCTTTTTTTTCAGCCCTTAGGAACCTCTTCTTTCTGAGCAGATCGGCCATGTGCGGCGAGCTCTGGTATCAGCCTTATATGAAGAGATTGGCGGACGGAAAACGATCATGATGGCATGACGAGTCGGAGTACATCTGTTGAACTGACTCGGGTATATTGCGTGACTGGAAGAACATGGTTGAAGAGGATGAAATGAAACCTTCCATGTTGGGAAGCACCTAACAGTATCACTATGTCCTTCATGGACGCGGGGTAAATTACCGGCTGTGCCCAGAACCAGGCAGCCCTGGCAGAACCTGCATCTTGGCCCGACAATAGTACAGCCGAGCACGTCGCGCAATATAGACGCAAGAAGAAGGATGCGCTGATTCTGCTGTATCAAACCAGAGGAGAAAGAACCCCCTTTCAAGCACAGCCCACAAAATGGCCATGTATCCCAGCTTCCCCAAGTACATATCCAATCACTTGACCTCACCCACCAGGTAGGTACTTGCTTTGCATCGCGTTTACCGGACATGGTGCGGGAGCGTGTCCACCAGAGAAACACCAATGACGGTTTTCCTTAAGGTACCTCGTCTTCTGGGACGTCCGTCTCAACGAAATCAAGAGTCTTCACTGACACTCGGAGGTGTTGTGGGCAGTGGGGGAGGTCCATGTTTTGTCCTGGTCCGCCTAATAAAGAGCTTCTCACCCGATTCCAGTCGTTCTACACCTTTGGCTCCGTTTATCCTCAGTACTAAGCGAGTCACCTGCTCGCGGGACTGACGTTGCTTTTGTTCCTCTGCTGCCGCGGACTTGCTCCTTTTCTCGGCTGAGGAAGCGCTTGATTTTGACCCTTTAGGCTTTCGTCTGAATTGTCGTTGTCCATTGGGAGTCGTTATGACCTCATCCGCTCCCAGGACCTTAGGGATAGCAAGTGGGGTAGGAGTGCTATATATTGCGTCTCCATTCTGCTCGAATCCTGCAGCTCGACTGACGTTGGGGTGACTGCTTAAGTGATCCCCTTTGTGAGGAACCGGCGGTGGCTTACGCCGACCTCCTAGAGCCCCGGTTCTCTCCGCGGACTCATAAGTCGGTGGAGGCGAACGTACTGAGGATGATTGGGAGCTCGCTGATGTGGCCGGCCGGATCTCTCTCTGGTCGATTTGTACAACCTCTACATAACTGTGGTGTGGCTGACGTCGCACCATGGAGATGCCATGATATGTATTCGCCCCGCTTCATGTGTCGCTAGACAACTCCCTGTGCTGGTACTCACTCGGAAGGCTGTAAGTTGAGCTCCGTCGCATACAGCGTGAGAGCTGCCCGTCCTGTGCGCAATCGCGCTACCGCTCCTGGGAGTGCGCAAACCAGTGTACCTTTACCTCCTTCCCTTTCCCGAGGGTAGGGTTGTTGTCTTGTCAGCGCAGCAGATTTTCGCGTAGTGAGCCGATGTTGATGTACCCAGACTCATCGCTTCTCGATTCGTTGGTGGATGAGGATACTGGCCTGTGGCGTAGCGGTACGTCCCGGGAGGACTATCCCGGCCAACATCATATTCCGTTAGTCGCAATGAGTATGTAGGTCGTCTGAAGTAGATGAGGTTCAGAAACCTGAAGCACCCAACCCCAATGCGACTGTAAAGTCAACGCGGGAAACCCCACGCGCTGGTGAGGCTATCGATCCGCATGGGATGTGAGCTTCGGGTCGGGGACCTTCAGATCCAGCTCCCAGCCACCTCCATTCGCTGCCCCTCTTCGTAGCCGCATCGCAATGTTGTGCCATCTGCGATTGGGTGCATAATCCATGCAGAAGCGCGAAGATCCAGTGATAACCCTGCAAGCCGCGAGAAAGCCTGACCACTCTGGCACCTCCACGTATTTGACCTGTACACAAGAGCTCGTGGTGATAGCAGATTCATAGTCCGTCAAGCTTGGTATAAAGACACGAAATCGGGCGGGTCTCTTTGCACAACATTTGCTGCTTTCACCGTGACATGTAGCTCGCGCGATACCTTTCATTTGGTCTAAATCGATGGCAAACGTCGAAACATCGTATTTCTTCCCACCACAATGGAATTATCGTGTCGGTGGGCCTATAAGTCTCGGGAACATCCTCTCCGACCCCAAGCAGCCACAGAGAGCCCTGAACGATGAGCAGAAGAAGACTCTGCCGAAGCTCATAGTCGATGACACCAAACCCAATTTCAAAGCTGTCATTGCCGCTAAGCACGCCTTATCTGCCGGCGTTGGGTCATCTTTACTGCAACTGTTTGGATTTTCGGCCGATGTGAGTTTCGAGCGCAGCAAGAAACGTATCTGGACCATTGAGGCGGACAAGATTCATGTCCAAGAGATTGATCCCAAGCCTCTTTACGTGGAAGACTGTTTCCAACACCCAGACGTTCTAGACCATATGCAACGCGCCAAAGCAAAGCAGCTATACATGATAGTCGGTGTCATGGCCGCCGAGGCCGCTACGGTAAGTAGCGATGTTGGCAAGAGGCACCTATTCGGCGGCAGATTCGGCATCAGCGCTGTGCCGGCAGGCGGCGTTCCTGTAGATGCAAACGTATCCGCCTCAACAGAACGTGAAGAGGACGCACAAGCCAGTTTCGGAGCGAGCGACTTCATTCTGGGTTACAAATTAAGGGAGATCACCTTTTTGTTGGAGGAGAAGAAAGTCGTTAGCATGAAAGACGTAAAGAAGGGAACACTGCTGGATGACGCGGCTTCTGAAGAAGACCCTGGCGGCGTAGACTCAGACCATCAAAATAGAGAGGTGGTCGCGAGATGCGTTCAGCTCGAGGAGGAAAGAGTGGGACCTGACGATTTTGAATTCGTGGGCTTGGAAGGTGATATCACCGCCGACGGAGAAAGTATGCATCACAGGGTGGAATTCGCGGTGCCCATCTACGCGGAGTACGCAAATGAAGGAGATTGAGAAGGCGGCGCCGATGGGCGAGTCCTAGCTCGATTGGGACATTATTCCAACAATGTCTTCACAACTTGAACGGCCTCTAAGCGGCCACGGCTAAGCAAGCCTGCTCGGTATCAGCGGTACATCAAGGAATATCGCACCGTCTCGGCGGCGGGCTCGATCTTATACGTCGCCAATGCATGTGTCAGATAAGACGTGCACAGAAACAGTCCTGTGGTGTCAAGCTCAGGTTGCAACAAAGATGTCTCTCCTTGTTGCATCGAAGGCAGGCTAGTGCACTCCAGGCACCGCGACGGCCGGGCCTGTCAAGCTCCCAGAGTTGCATTACAAGCTGATCAAGATGCACTTTCGATCATTGTAGAGGTATACGGCGGCCGTGGTCTAGCAGGTAGTCCTGGGACGCCGAGTATAGGTACTCTTTCTGTCATTTCCTCAAAAGGGTCGGGTTTGAGTTTAGCATTTGGACTCACCTCTCGTGAAGCGGAACGCAATTCACATTGTGCTGTATTGATTGATGACTATAGTGTAACTGATGGTCGGTGTGGGAACTCTATGGTTTGAGGTCAACTGCGAGGCATTGAAAGGTGGCGCTTCTGGGTTGTTCGTAGTGGGAAGGGTGGCCAGTATCCGGGATCAGTCCTGGGGTACTGCAGGACGGCTGAAGTCTGAACAGGAAGACTCAAGAGGGATATGTACATTTCGTGTCTGTAGATAACAACCTTGAAGTCAAGACTATAGGAGCGGAAAGGTGGAAGGGGGCTGGTCTGCACTCGAAGAGGCCGGAATGGGGTTCGCCAAGACAGTGGCCGCGCTCCAGTTCGCTTGAAATTAGCATCCCGAGGTCCTGCACACTGCGTCGCGCCGTTCACCGCAACACGTAGCTTGACATGGTCAGCGAGCGCAAGTCTCATCGAAGGGGCCTAGGAATATGCCACAGTAGCAAAGTAAAAAGCACGAGGCGCTCGTGTCATGACGTTTCGGTAAGGTGAGGAAAAGCTCAGGCTTGGCAGAGGCTCCAATCATGAACTAGTATCCTGGTCGAAGCAAGCCTATTCCTGCAGAGAAGTCAATACTCTTGCTCGCAATCAGGCGTGAAACATGACAGAGATCAAACCCTCGGAAGGAGCAGCGGCACTATTACCGCATGCCGGAACAGCAACAGAGGCCGCCACCACTAAACCTGCTACCGCCATTTCCACCTCAAGCGTTGACATCCTGGTTCTAGGCGCTGGGTGGCTTTCCCAATTCCTCCTACCACTACTGAAGTCCCGCGACATCAGCTATGCCGCAACAAGCACAACAGGACGCGACGACACCATCCCCTTCAAATTCGACCCAAACTCTGAGGACCTCGAGCAATATCGCCGCCTGCCCAATGCAACTACAATTCTGATCACATTCCCACTAGTCGCCTCTTCTCGAGCAGCCCGTAAAGCAGCCATGGCAGCGGCCGCCGGAACCGACAAAGCCGCAACTCAAGCACAAACGCCAACAGCACCATCACAACAACCCCTACCACCTTCTTCCAGCAGCCCCGAATCAAAAGCAGCACCCCACCTCCTCAACTCCTACCGCCTCACGCACCCCTCCATCCCGCAACCACACTACATCCTCCTCGGCTCCACCGGCGAATGGACGACACCCGGCTGGCACGACCGGCACTCAAACCCACACTCCCCAACGTCTTCGTCTCTTCCATCGGCTCGGTGGACATCCGAGTCCTCCCTCCTCTCCCTCGGCGGCACGGTCCTGCATCTCGCGGGCCTCTTCGGCGACGTCCACCGCACCTCGCGGATCTGGGAGCTCGCTGTGCCGCGGACGAAGGAGGGAGTGAAGGGTAAGGGAGGCGTGCATTTTATCCATGGTGGAGATGTTGCGAGGGCGGTGGTGGCGGTACATTTGAGTGGGAGGGAGGAGGGGGTGTGGGAGAAGAATGGGAAGGGGCAGAGGTGGATTGTGACGGATGGGAGGGTATATGATTGGTGGGGTTTGGTTTGGGAGGCTGCTGGGGAGTTGGATGGGCGGTTTGATGGGGATGTCGTAGACGGAGACGATGGAGGTCGGGACGTGGTGGGAAAGGGGGAAGATACGTACAGACAATGGCTACTGGAGAGCATGCGGGAAGAGGGCGTCAGGGGTCTGCCACGAGAAGGCGAGAAACTGGGCAGAAGGATGGACTCGAGGGAGTTCTGGGAGACTTGGGGACTTGTGCCGATAGAGAAGGGCTTCGCATGGCCTGCCGCGAAAGAGAGCTCAAAAGAGGATGTGAGATTATGATAGAGACAACTGCTTTGCATTTCTGCGCTTGAGCAGAAGTCTCATCGAAGAATCGCTATCTAGACAAGACCTAGACAGCTGGCTCAGATTTCATGCTGTGCTGTACATCTACACTTTGCGGGTTGCAAGGATAGCAGCCTTCTGCATTGGGTCTAATCATAGATGCTGAGAAGATTCTGCAGCATCGTTTCTTGGTTGCGTATCTCGTTTTCATCTTTCGTGCGGTTTCGTACCAATGTTGACTTCATATTGATACTTGTTCAATTGGTCGTACATTTTTGTTGTGCCTGCACTTCTTCGCATTCAATTTTGCCTTTCGTGCCGGTGTCCTCGCATAGCAGCGACTGGTGGGCCATCTGCGACTGCATTTACGAGCCTCTGAACAGGAACTGCATGTCCTCGGGCGTCAATTTGTCGAGCGCAACTTGATCGTTGTTGACAGTGCCGTTGATCATGTTGGCCTTCTTCTCCTGTAGCAGCACCATCCTCGACTCGACAGAGTCTTCGATGCACAAGCGGGTGATCTTGCAAGGGCGACGCTGGCCGATACGGTGGCATCGGTCGGCGGACTGCCATTCGGCAGCTGGGTTCCACCAGGGGTCGATGATGAATACATTCGATGCTGAGACTTTGTTAGGACGAAGATGTGAGTTTGGGTGGAATGAAACATACCTTCAGTCAAGTTGAGTGCCACACCACCTGCCTTGAGCGACACAAGGAAGACCTCAACCTCGACGTTGTTCATAAAATACTCAATACTCTTCTGGCGCTGCGATGGGGTCATGCTGCCGTCAAGCAAGACCGTGCTGAAGCCAGACTTCTGCAACCGCCACTGCACCAGCTGCAACATACTCGTGAACTGGCTGAAGACGATGCTCTTGCGGGTCTGCTTGTGGCTGCGAAGCTTGTACAGATCATACACCAACATCTCGATCTTGGTCGAAGAGGTCCAGTTCTCCATCTTGATGCGGTTGATAATACTGCTCTTCTTGACATTCTCTTCGTCTTGCTCAATGTCCGGCTGATCCCAGTCGATAGATAGCGGAATATGGCAACGAGGGCACTCGGCGTCACTATCGCCCTTGCCATCGAATGCCTGAATGTAATTTTTCGCGCACTGGCGGCAGAATTCGTGGTGACAGCGACTTCGAATAGCTTCTTCTGCAGGTTCGTCACAAATGCAGCAGACTAAGACGTTCTGGCCTCCTTCGGCGTTCTTGCGAAGGATCAGATCGGGATGGTTGGCGACTTGACGCATCTGCATAATCATACCGAAGATGTTGGCATAGTTGTTGAGCATGACACCCTGTGCCACGTAGGTGTCGAACTTTCGAGTGGAATTCTTCATGATTGAGTTCGAGAAGTCTTGCTCGATCTCGCCGAAAAATTCGTTGTGAATGACAACATCCTTCGGGGGAAGCTCCATCGAAGAAACATGGTCTCGCTTCAGTCGACGGAGCATGATGCGGTCTGTGATCAGGCGTAGCTTTGCAAGAGCCTCTTTGCGCTCGACGTCGGATCCACTGTTGGTAATTGGGTTGAGGATCTCCTGGTTGAAGACCGAAACGTGGTTGAAGCCGGTATGTTTGCAAGAAGTACACGCCTTCTTGTGATCCTGCGACCAATGAAGCTCCGCACATCTACATTGCTTACAAAAGTAACAAGCAAATGGTGCAAGCTCGAGGAAACGTAGTAACGAGAAGAACTCGCCGATACGGTTCTGAACTGGTGTGCCCGACAAGCACCACTTGTAGTCGGCATTGAGAGCAAAACAAGCACGAGCGACACCAGTCGTGCGTGACTTGATGCTGTGAGCCTCGTCAAGGATGATGCGGTGGTACTTGATGGCGTGAAGAACGCTGTCTTCCTTGACGAGGCCATCATTTCGGTTCCAGCCTTTGCTTTCCTTTCTGTACATCGATTCGAGACTGGAATATGACACCATGATGACGTTGAATTTCTTGAGCTCCTTCAAAGTCATGTTCTTGCATTTAGGGTTGGCAGATATGTGGTAGACCAGGACGGACAACTTGCCGTCAGTGTATGACTCGATCTCGGCCTTCCACTGCATCAGAGCAACAGGAGGGACGACCACGAGGGCTGGTGCTTTGGCCGGGAAGTCGGACATGATCAGACTCACGGCCTGGATGGTCTTGCCCATGCCCATCTCGTCTCCGAGGAGGCCACCACGCCACTGTGACCGTTCTTGCTTGATCATCCAATCGACGCCCTCGAGCTGGAAGCCCTTCAACTTGCGATTGATGCCATCCGGCTGATCTCCAGCGACAGGCTTGATTGGCTTGACTGCTTTGAGGTCGTCCCACATGGTCTTGATCTCAGGATGAGATTTCTCAAGCTTCGCACGCTCTCGCTCTGCACGCGTCATGCGACCACGGCCTCGCTTCCGCCGGCCGCCGCCGACAGCACGACGAGCAACTGCCTGAGCAACTACTGTAGGGTTCAGTGATGCAATGTCGAGATCATCGGCCTCGTCGTCTTCGTCGTCTGAGGTGGCCGTGCCATAGCTGAACTCAGAAGAGTCCATGCTTGAGTGTATCGATAGGTCACTAGACATGTCGCTGGCAGCGATACTAGGCTGCCGGACAACGGCTTTACCCTTGCCGTTGGCCTTGCGGCTGTTGATGAGCGGCACATTATCCTCTGAGTCTAGGTCAATGACTTCGGACAGTTCCTCACTGCTTTCACGCTTAACGCGTTTGCGTGGAATATCGACTGAAAGTTCCTCGTCCTCATCAAGGTCGACGGACATAGTCGCGTCCTCGCCGTACTCCTCGGCTTGCAAGCGTGCAGCAAGCTTGGCGTCAGCGGCAGCTCGAAAGTCATCGAAGTCATCTTCGACTTTACGCTTCTTGGATGTGGAACGGGTGCCGAACTTGTCTGCTAAGCCACGCAGTTCAAGAGCACGAGTCTTTGCGGTGACCTTGGTTGAACTTTCTGCAACAGGCGTGTTCATCGCACTGGTCGCAGGAGTAGTGTAGTCGACAGAGGCATCTGTGTCCGCAATTGAGGACGGTCCCGATGCGTTACTGGAACTCATACTCTGGCTGAAGTCTTGCGAGCACTCTTAGTGGGCGGAACGAAGACACCCAAGAATGATGTCGACTTCTGCTCAGGTGAGACCTCTGCTTTGATCTCAATGTCTGAAGACTGCGAGTTCTCTATCACAACTTTGGACAATTTGGAACGACCTCGTGGAGCGACGGGCGCAGGCTCGGGGGTGGCGATAACTGATGCTGGCGAGATATTAGCAGTGACGACTGGGCTGATAACGAGCACTTACTCGTTGATGGTCGACCTCTAGAGGACCGTCGCGAGGAGGCCTCCGCCACCTTCTTGGTTCTCGCCATTGCATCAATTGTACTCTCGAGGAATTGCAGGTGCAGAGGAAGGGTGGGCGGACCCTGTACTTGCAAAAAAGCACGGTTGGAGTTGGCTTCGGGGTTCAAATGACAAAATGACGGTTCTGCAACCACTTTACGCGTCTGCCCAATTGGGCGCGCTTTGCCTGACGGACGCGTTTGATTGGGCGACAACGACAGACGGTGGCAACTTCCGACAAACTTCAACCAGCAGTAACTGGCTTCTGGAGAGAGGTGCTGTAGCTAATACACATATTTAGCCTTGTCCGGCTGACACTGGGTCGCTCTCTGCTGGCATCGTTGCGGCCTGTTATCTCGGGCGGCCTTTGTGTGGTGTTCCACGTCAACGGTCTGGTACTTCTACCACTGACTGATATTTGCCACACTACAACAAAATGTAAGTCTTCTTACCGAACAGCTTCACTATGCTGACTGCCCACAGGTCTCGCAGAAACGCAGCAGCCAACGCCAACAATCGCATCCGTGGCCCGCAATCTGCTCTGACTGAGTTCCTGGCAGCTCAAGGCATATCTGCGGCAGACATTCACAATGACTACTTGCGGCGGCAACGAGAAGCCGAGCAGGCTGCTGCAGCAGAGGAGGCTCAAGCCAACAAGGAGAACGAGTCCGATGACGATGGCGAGGACACAGTAGAGCTGAAGAAACGAAAACGCAAAGAAGAGAAGGCACTCAACAAGATCAAGCAAACCAAGGAGTTTAAGAAGCGCAAGTTCGAGGAGCAACGGGACAATGGCAGTGACGCCGACGATGACGATACGATTGCTCGACAGATGATGGCAAAGAACAAGCCACTCCCTGGTCAGCTCGAGAACTGCGAGATCTGTGAGAAGAGGTTTACCGTCACTCCTTACAGCAAGTCCGGTCCAGATGGTGGTCTACTTTGCGTTAAGTGCTCAAAGGAGTTAAAGGACGAGGAAAAGAAAGCCCAGAAAGTAGACAAGAAGAAAGCCCCACAGCGAGGTCGCAAGCGCCAGACCGAAAGTGACCGTATGATGGGCGATGTCAAGCCCGGTGCAAAGAGTCTCATTGACGCCTGTGTACGAAAAGTTGCCGATGTGGTTCACGATATTGACGACTTTGGCGATATGCCCGACACTTTGTTGGACAGACTCAGCCAAATCTTGTCGAAGAAGAGAGTCATGAGTCCAAGAGTGCTCAACTTGTTCCTACGAGATGACGTCGACCATATTGATGTGTACGACTGCGCAAAGCTCGAGACCGAGGACTTCGAGCGAATCTTCGCTCATATGCCTCATCTTGTCTCTGTCAATCTTCGGTTTGCCGGACAGATGAAAGATGGCGCGTTGCTTTACATGGCGGACAAGTGTCACAGTCTTCGGCATTTGCAGCTAGGTGCCACCAATCTCATCACAGACATGGCATGGACGGAGTTCTTCAAAGCAAGAGGTCATCAGCTTGAGAGTCTGAAGGTGTCAGAAGTTCAGGAAATGTTCTCGGATGGCATTGTCTTGCAAATCGTCCAGCAATGCACAAATCTGAAGCGACTCAAGCTCCGTGGCTGTTCGCACCTGACAGACATCTCGGTCGCGGCATTGAGCCATCTCACTAAGCTCGAACATCTTACCATCGCAATCGCGCAGCATCTCACCACGCCGGATCAGCTCATAAGCCTCATCAGCAAGCTTGGTCCGAACCTCAAGACCCTGTGTCTCGAAGGCTATGATCATGAGCCCGAACGCACCGAAGAAGAGGAGGAAGAAGGGGTCAATTTCCACGATCCTATTCTCGATACCATTCAGCAAGACTGCACCCAGCTCCGAAAGCTCCGCATCACTGGTGGAAGTCACTACACCGATCGAGTGTTTGCAGAGCTGTTCACAGGCTGGGCAAACCCTCCCCTGACCCATGTCGACCTCTCCGACAATCGATGGATCGACAACAACGATGCACGTGGTCCAGTCGACGAACCTGTCGGCTTCTCATCACAGGCTTTCAAAGCACTGATGCAACACTCGGGATCACAGCTACAGCAGCTCAACTTGCATTCCTGCCGTCACATCTCACACGAGGCTCTCCTCGATGTCTTTGATGGCCAGAAGCGATATCCTGAACTTCGCAACATCGACTTGTCCTTTGTCACTCACCTCGACGACGTTGTCATGAACGGCATCTTCCGGAGCTGTCCCAGTCTGACGAAGCTGACAGTCTTCGCTTGCTTTAAAGCCCGCGGTGCTGAAATACCGCAAGGAGTCGCTGTCATCGGTCTGCCAAACGCTACTGAGAACATCGTCATTCAGGGATTCATGGACGAGCTGCTGGCCAAGGCTCTAGCTTAAGGGACTGCCTAGCTACACTCCTCCAAGAACCATTCAACTTTGCAGGTCGCAAAGCAGATATCATGAGTAGTACAAGACGTTGCGAAGCAAGATCAAGGAAACCCGAAAGATTACGATGTATTCATAGCGACGAAGAGGCCTATCCAGAGCAAACGCGAGAGCAAGTATGGTAGTCTGTCAACAGCAGAGCACTTGTCACGGTTTATCTTCTGGACTGGTCGGGTAATGTCAACCGGTCCACATTCTACCTTTATCTCACTACCCTACCTTGACTGTCCCGAGCCGCCCTTCCTTCCCTGATCTGCTCCTCCATCGCAGCACCCTGAAAAAAGCATAGCTGCGCCTGAGATCGTAATGAGTGCCGAAAACCAATCAAGGCGCAAGCATTCGGGTTTGACACCTGCCAGCTTGAACAAGCACAGGCTTGGCACCACTGTCCCTTATCATGAGGAGCCCGATCTTCATCTTCCAGAAACACCACCATAGTATCCGTATGTAAGCGCAACGAGACCTTTGAGCGAGCAAGTGACTGTGGTCGCCGGGCGAAAGTGGTCTACCGTCTGTCAATCCATGCTTGGGCACGATGAGGCGTGCTCTGAACGAGGGCGGTCCACGGGTACTTCACAACCAGATTCCGCTCCTGCAAATGCCGCGATTCGTCAAGCTTATCTCCCCCTGCAAGGTACAGGCTTACTTCGTAGACGATTCAGAACCACGATACCGGAGACCTCTTACTTTGGCGCTGGTGGCCTTTAGCACATATCCTATGACGCCAGTGACAAAAAGACTTTCTCGTCGCGCGAGCTACCGCACCACTAGCGCAACGTAACCTATTGCACAACAGTATAGCTTGCCCGACTAGACCACCGCTCCTACCCGACGTAGCGATGTCGCAATATAACATGGAAGCTTTCCGGGGCTCGCGACCGCCAGAGTTCGACAGAGCTTCGGAACAGCTGCGAAGATGCATGGAGCCTTCTTTCTCACTGCACTGCTGCTGCTTGTTGCTACCGCCTGGGCGGACCCTGTAGTGACGAATACAACTACCAACGTGACCTACCAAGGTTTCCTGCGCAACAATGTCGAGCTGTTCCTGGGCGTGCCTTACGGAAGCGACACTGGTGGACAGAATAGATTCAAGCCGCCGGTGTTTGCTGAGCCAGCAAATGGATCGACCATCAACGCCACAGCTTACGGTCCTGCCTGCCCACAAGCCATTGGCAGACCACCGCTCTTCCCGCTCTACACCTCAAACACTACAGAGATCTCCGAAGACTGCCTCAATCTCAATATCGCACGGCCGTGCGGTACCAGTGATGGCTCGAAGCTGCCCGTCATGGTCTGGATCCACGGTGGCAGCTTCTGGTTTGGGTTCAACGGCGAAGCTGCGAATGCGCCCGATGCCATGATACTGGAGTCTGAAGCCAACGGCCTGCCTATAATTCATGTTGCCATCAACTATCGGCTGGGAGGTGAGTCGAAGTCTGCTGGAATGAGACAGAAAGTATCTGATACTTATCTCCAGCATTCGGCTTTGCGCAGAATCAGGCCTTACGAGAGGAGGGCTCACTAAACGCTGGGCTTAGGGACCAACGACTTGCGATAGAATGGACGAAGACCAACATTGAACTGTTCGGTGGCGATCCCGAGCAGATCACTATTGGCGGACAGTCCTCCGGAGGTACTCACAGCCGCCTTCTCCCAGGGGTAATCACTAATGTCAGGCAGGGCTTGCAGTCGGAATGCAAATTGTAGCATACGGGGGCACAAAGCCAGCGCCCTTCCAACAAGCGGTCTGTGAGAGCCAGTCTCTCGAGCCAGGGATCACTGGCAACTTCACGTATCACCAGATGGATCTTCTGGCAGCTGCTACAGGTAAGTGAGCATGAGAGTCGCGACCATTATGATTAAGCATTCCCTCCAATCGTCCAAGGAGAAAAGAGGATGGCATATACCCGTTTGAAGTAATCTTTGACTGACCCATTTGTCTTAGGTTGCAATACCAGCAGTCTCGACTCGAACGAAACCATATCCTGCCTGCGTGGCCTCGACACAGAGACACTTCTCAGTGCCTCAATCGAGACATACTCTGGCGACGTGTCCAACAACATCGGCGACTGTTGGCTGCCGGTCGTAGACGGTGACTTCCTACCAGACTCGCCCTCAAACCTAGTCGCACAGCACCGCATGGCCAACGTCACCACTATCATAGGCTGGGCCGACGATGATCTGGGCTTCTTCACACCGCGCACCATCACGACAGACAATGACACAGAAGACTTCATCACGACCTATCTCCCCGACATGAACTCGACATCCGTCGCACACTTACTATTCCTCTACCCAGCAACCGACTTCTCCGCCAATCCCTCCGCCGACCTCTCTGCAAACTTCTACCGCTCAGCCCGCATCTTCCGCGACGTCCTCATGACCTGCATGCCCAGCTGGATGGGTAGCCATCTGGCCGCCATGGGAGCATCCGTCTTCCTGTACGACCAGAACGCAACCGTGCTAGGCCCGCTCCTAGAAGATCTCGGAGCCACGGGGCTCGGACCAGTCCACACCTCCGAGTTTGCCTACGTCTTCGGCAACCTCAGCCACTATAACCTCACTGATGTTGGTCTCCCCGGCTTCGACCCGACCGAGGAGGACTTCGAGCTAGCGAAGCGCCAGACGCGGAGCTGGTCGAGTTTTGTGGCTGTTGGGCAGCCGAGTCTGTTGAGTAAGGAGACCTTGCAGGGGTGGGACTTGGCGTTTGTGAAGGGCGATGGTGCTGGTGAGGAGTGGGATCCGATGAGTGCTGAGCAGACGAGTGTGTATGTTGTTGGTGGTGGGCAGCCAGGCACGTCGACTATGGAGGGTGAGGGGGCGACGAATGCGAAGCTGGCGGCGCAGAAGCTGAAGGAGCGATGTGCGTTCTTCAACTCTGAGGATATTATTCGGCAGCTACAGTTTTGACCGGGGCGTGAAGAGCGCTAAGATGTTGAACGACATGTGTTCTTGCATTTTTATGCATATCATGCTGACCAGACACTACGACAGCTGCAGGTATCAGAAATCTAGTCAAAAACCTTCCCCAACAGCCTCAACACCTTGCCCCTAGGTCTTGGCATATACAGCGCCTCATACTCATCGATCTCATCCTTCAATCCACCAATACTGATATCCGCAGTGCCAGGCCTCACATACGTCGTCTTGAACCACAACTTCCAGCCAATGAACAAGACAACGAAGAATCCAATCATGCTGTACGTCAAGAAGAACCACTTGAGATCCCACCCACCAGTCAGGAACAAGTTGTACCCACTAGCAAGCAGCATAAACGCAGTGCCAAACATAGCCACATAAGAAGTATACGGCTGAAAGCGACCCTTATACGGCAGCGTATCCCTCGAGATCCCCTGTTTCTGCAGCGCGGCGTAAAAGTGGCGGTAGACCACGGCTGTCGCACCATAGTTGAGCAGTTGGCAGGCGGTGACGAGGCCGATGAGGTAGCCGATGACGGCGTACGAGGAGTTGTTGACCTGGAGGAAGGCGAGGAGGCAGATGGAGAGCGAGAAGAAGAGTGCATAGATGGGCACGCCGGCGTTGGTGCACTTGCCGAAGAAGCGCGGCGCGTGGCCTTCGAGCGCCATGCCGTGCAGGGTGCGGGTTGCGGCGAAGAGGAGGCCGTTGCCGGCGCTGAAGATGGAGGTCATGATCAGGGCGTTGACGATCGAGGCGAGGGCTTCGGAGACGTGGAGGCGTTGCATGGCGATTACGTATGGTCTGTGGGGTTGAGGGTTAGCTATGAGTGAGGATGTGGGGGAAGAGACAACGTACGAAGCCGCGCCGGTTGAGCTCTTGTCGCTGCTGAGGACCGTGAGGAGGGTCTCATCGTTCGAGGCGACGACGATGCCCATGCATAACGCTGAGCCGACGAAGAAGAGCAGGATGCGCCAGACGAATGAGCGGAATGCTGCGGGGAGCACTTTTCGTGGGTTCTCTGTCTCAGCTGCCACGACGGAGATGTACTCGGGTCCACAGATGCTGTCATCGGCCTTCGTCAGTGTTTTGCTCAGCAGGTAGACCACATGTGGACTTACGAGAAGCTGGCTTGGTAGATACATGACAGGATACCACAGAAGATACCGGCACCACCAGGAACCAGGTAGTTCTCAAATGGTCCAGGCTCCGTCCAATATCGAAAGCCATACTTGTCGTGGATTGGGTTGCCACCAACCATGGTGATGAAGGTGAACATGAACAGACCCAACATGAGGAGCACCTTGAAGATAGATAGGTAGAACTCAGCAATGCCAAAGTACCGCACCGAGATAACGTTGAGCAGACCGTACAGCACAATCATAACGACAATGACAGCAATGACAGGCACCTTGTCGGTCCAATAGCCGAACATGAGGTTCATCGCGGCGATCTCGAAGGGAACCAGGAAGGCCATGTTCAAGAAGAAGTTCCAGGACATTGCGAAGCCCAGAGCCCCGTCCACCCACTCGCTGCCGAAGCGGATGAAGGGGGATGTGACGGGGACGTAGGTGACCATCTCGGCGAAGCATTCGTTGACACACCACATGACGGCGCCCCAGATCAGAAAGGCGAGGAGGAGACCGATAGGGCCACCTTTGGGCAGGGCAGAGCCCATTTGTACGTAGAGTGCTAGACAGAAGAGGTCAGCACCAGCATGGACAGCTTGGGGTTGGAAGGGCGGTTGGGCTTGAAACGCAACGCGGTGGGAGGTAAGAGAAAGGTATAGAGGCTCTTACAAGTGCCAATAGCTCCGCCGATGGCAAAGAGCTGCACCTCAGGTCCCTTCAGCTTGCGGTGTAGTGCCTGTGAACCAGCAGTCACGTCGACGACGTTGCCGTTGGAGACATCGTCAGATGGCGCCTTTTCGGTCATGACTGTGGCGTAGGACTCCTTTGGGACGACCTTGTCTTCGTTCGTTGAAGTCGACATGGTGTTCTCTTATGTCTTCTTGGGCCGGACGAGTTTGCTTCGAGAGAATAATTGCGCCTGGGATTCAGAACGCGAGCATACTGCTGCCCGCTGAGATGGGGAAAGATGCACGCGTGATATATACACGTGGACCGTACTCCTGTCTGCTAGCAGCGAGGGCCAGAGCTGCCGCAGATAAAGTTGGTTATCAAGCCAAGCTGATTATCAGGCAACGAGGCAGCATATCGAAGAGGTGCAGCGATTGACGAAAAGCCCTGTCGGATATCCCGACGATACGGTTCAGGCTCGCGAGGACACGGCCTAGGGACGAAAGCTTAACCGGCCCAGGGGTCTTTCGCTTGCTGATAAGGTCTTACCAGATCGGGTCACGTACCTAAGGCATCTCGGTCTGGCCTAGAAACGGTGGGAAGCCGATGTAAAACCTACACAATTCGACATGTTCAGAACTGGCCTCTAACTTGTAGAGCTACGAGGCAGTCGCGATCGCAATCAAGCTCAAAAGAATCGCGGCTGCACGGGAGCCCGCATGATCTGAGCAAGTGCGGAGGGACCGCTTCCTTTCGGGTCTGGATGACTGAAGATACCACTTGATACACAGCTGCAGCACTATCGACCGTCATCCCTCCGATCTGGGGCATCCTAGGCGTCTTCTTGAGGCCAGAGTAAGCTTGAATAGGCCAAAGCTGTAGTCTCGAACTCGCCGCCATCCTGTCCGGATACGATACCGGACTCCGACAAACTGAACTGTGCTCATTGCTTGAACGGAGGATTGGCAAGCGCTTCTTCGAGTTGGTAATGTGGTTGAAACTCAGTGTATAATGCACTCTGTCTTGTCGTTAGTCTCAGTGAGCAGAAAGCTGGGTATGGGACACATACCGGAGTACTCGCCATGCGGAAGTTATACGCAGCCTCAGCATCACTAACAAAGTGCTTCTTATGACCAGTGCTGTCGGCAAGCATCTGAACCTTGCAGCTTCTTTCCATCAGGCAAAATAAAAAGGCAGCCTCATCCACCGTCTGCCCAACGGTCAAAAGTCCGTGGTTCATGAGGATACACGCCTTGCCATCGCCGAGGCTTTCAGCAATCTTCTCCCTTCTGACGTCTCGTTTGCGATGCCACCATAGTCTGAGTACACTGCATGAGCCTTGTAGAAGTAGCACACATCTTGATTGATCATTTCCAGCGGCTTCGCGAATGCTGAGTACGCGCGACCATGTACTGAATGTGTGTGGCAGATGGCATGCACGTCCCTTCGTGCTTTGTGCACGGAGCTGTGAATTTGAAAGCCGGCTGCGTTTATCGAGCCTTCCATGTTGCCACCGACGACTTCACCTGCCAAGTTGACGCAGATCATATCGCTCGCCTTCATCAGACCAAAGTGCACACCGAGAGGGTTGATCCAGAATCGATCTTCGTGCTCGGGATCGCGCACGCTGATATGACCAGATATGCCTTCGGCGTAGCCTTCGCGGGCAAAGACACGGAAGGCGCCAGCCATATGTTCCAGTTGCCACTGTCGCTGTGCAGCCGCAGAAAGGAATTGTGGGATGCCAGGGAGCCTTCGCCGCCTGTGAGCCATGGCGGCCATAGCCTCTGTATCTTCAGCATCTCCTGGAGACTGAGCGACTCTGCGGTCGACCTTCGTTTCCACCGACGCTGTAGGCGTTGATGCTAGTGAGGGCGCCATCCTATCGGTCTGTGCTGTTGAGATTGTGTTGCGCTGTGGACTCAGAGCTTTTCGCAGGTCGCAGGTCAAGTGTTCGTACTCACCAACTCATCCAGACGAGATCATGTTACTCGAGAGCGATGTCTAGACTCACCATGTTGATGGAGCCCGGCCGGCAAGGCTTTCGCCTAGCCATGGCCACGCGACTCCTCTGCATGAACTTACTGCCGTGATACGGGTGAGATATCGGAAGCTCCGACCACGATTCGTGTTCTTATCATTAGAATTCTTTTCGGAACTGGAGTGCGAAACAGCACTATTGGCCTCGGCAGCAAATGCCACAGTGAATGAGCGGACCATGCGCCGATGGAAAGTATCGCACATTAATATTTACCATGGCGCCTTGAACAATGTTGGCGTTGGACGCTTTAGAGCGTCAAAGAATGAGAACGTAGGTACCTAAGTACTGTCTTTATCGTGATCAAGATGCATCCATTGCTGTTCATTTCGTTGCCAGTCTTCGGTCTCATCTTTGCTCTCCTGCAACCACTAATATCCGGCCCGTTGAAGAATGTGCCAGGTCCATGGCTCTTCGCAGTGACGAAATGGCGACTGGCGTTGGAGGATTGGAAGGGGAGTCGGACCAGGGTGATACATCAGCTACACCAGAAGTACGGTCCGGTCGTACGTATTGGGCCAAATGAAGTCTCGTTCAACAGCCTCAGTGGTCTGAAGACCATCTATGGACCAGGAAGCCAGTTCGGTAGGACGAATTTCTATCGCATGTTTGATGTCTACGGAAAGCAGAACCTTTTCACCTTTCATTCAGCAGCCCTTCATGGCCAGAGAAAGAAGCTGGTCTCGAATGCGTACTCAAAGTCAGTCATGCTCAAGCCAGCTGCATCGTCGCTTGTTGAGACCAAGGTCCGCAAGTATATGGATCTAATCGAATCCGAGGTCGGAGGAGTGAGCGATATCTTCAATACACTGCATTACTATTCTCTGGACAACATCACTGCCTTTCTCTACGGGCAGTATGGTTCGACGTCTGCTCTAGAGGGCAACGCAGCGGATCGTGCTTTGATCAACGACATCATAGACCCAGCTCGTAGGAAGCTTTCCTGGTTCACGATCCATCTCCCTTCGTTGACCAAATGGCTTTATACCAGGACCGGACTGATGGACAAGATCGTAACGCCTGTTCTCCCAATGCAGAGGCCTTCAACGTACACGGGCATCCGCAAATTTGCGTTGGATAGCTACATGTCTTTCGCATCTCAAATGCGGGATGGGAAGAGCCCAGACCACGACGATGAGCCTAGTGACGGGACTTCAATCATGGAACGCCTTTGGCCGCACCACCAGTCCCAGCGAGCAGACGGCCTTGACGATCTCGAAATCGCTTCAGAGTGCGCTGATCACTTCCTCGCCGGCATCGACACTACAAGTGACACACTGATGTTTCTTGTATGGTCGCTCTCGCAAATCGCGAACATACAAATCCAAGCCAGATTGCGCGAAGAAGTGCTCAGTATACCCGAGGAGGGTCTGAACCCACATGGGCGACCTACAGTCGAGGCAAGCGACAAATGCGAGTATTTGAATGCAGTCATCAAGGAGACTCTGCGGCTTTATGCCCCTCTGCCATCCTATGAACCACGTTCAGTGGCAAAGTACAGCGAGATTGATGGCTATGTCATTCCTGCGAATACTGTTGTGGGAGCGCAGCCTTACTCCGTTCACCGGAATCCAGAGATCTTTCCCGAGCCTGCGAAGTTCGATCCAGGTAGATGGCTGGGTCCAGCAGCTGTCGAGGCCAACCGATGGTTTTGGGCCTTCTCGAGTGGTGGTAGAATGTGTGTCGGTCTGCAGTGAGTACCCTTCCCCTTTGATCGCCTTCTCCACGTCTGAAGCACAATTTCTCAAATCGGGTCAACGCTGACCAGATGACCAGTCTCGCCATGGCAGAGATGACAGCCTTGACTGCCACGATCTATCGTGAGTATCAGACTTCGCTTGTTCCGGAGTTCCAGAATGCGACGCCGGGTATCACAGCAAGATTCGAGGTTTTCTACGACGAGAGATTCCCTGTCATGAAGGTGAGTAGCCCCGAACCTGCCATGACCGGCCATATCGCATATCCTCTCCAATCTAGTCACTCCCTGAAGATCCTTAAGCTGACTTTTTGGAACTATGAAGGAGCACTCATGTGTAGTCAAATTCGACAGAATGCAGCAGTCGCCCATCACAGAGAAGGCATAGTCCTCTGGGCAGCGTCAAGGCTCCACTTGGAAGGAAGCTGACGAAGCAGTGTTCCGTCATGTGACGATTCAATGTAGTTATGACAGTAGCAAATGTATAAATACCTTGTCGGCATTCCTTTGTTGTTCTCAAATTGGCCTTGGCAAGCTCCCCGGACAGGCCACGTCGGCTCAAGTGGTGCCAAAAGCCTGAGCTGGCTCGAATAGTTCTGGTAGACCGGTTGCAGCGCTTTGATCGTGTCTTGCAAGGATGCTCTTATACGTTCTGGAGATCTCCTGGATCATGTTGCTAATCTTGGTGGCTGCCAGGAACTTCTGTCCGAAAGTATCAAACAACTGTAATACGAGGTCGAGATCGTCAATCGCCCTGGTCTGCCGGAGCACAACGACAAGCTCTTCCGGCTGTGCAGTGACAGCGTAGACGAGTGATATGGTAGAGGTGAACAAGGCCAAAAAGTTGAGCCAGTTGTACGCAAGCGACCGTTGCTGGTGCATACTGTACGCCTGCCGGATGGACATCGAAGCTGCGGTCTCGAGGATCTTGATGCGTCTGACGTCCGACCTGGGGCACAGCGGTGATGGGCGATAAATCATTGCCAGATGCGAGTAGAAATTGAAGTCGTACCAGGTGGTCGTTAGGTGTGGAACGCCGACCCCAAAGTTTGGGAGTGGGAATGGTGTGTTGCGACGCCAAGAGAGCAATTCCTGGTGTAACGATGCTAGGATAGCTTCCCTCTCTTCGTCGCTCTTGCCAGCGCTAGCGCGGGCAGTGTAGACATTTCTGGAGATCTTACTGGCAATTCGGCGTAGGGCGAGGATGTGCAGTGGCACTGCCAGAGGCGACGGCTGGCCAAGGTCAGGCATGTACTGATCTCCGAAGGTACTCTGATCGTCGTGTCCTGCAGGCGAGAAGTCCTCGATGTCAATATCATCGTCATTTATCGCGAACGGTCGACCTAGCGCAACAGATACGACACGGTCCATCATGTAGATGCAAAAGAAGACTCGCTTTCTCCTTTCAGACTCATCTTTGGACAGCGCACCATACGTCGAGGCCGTATGCAATCCCATTCCCAAAGCCAGACGAGCTGCTGTTCCGACAAGGAACCAGGTGTTAGGTCCTAGTTGGTTAAAAAAGGAATACGAGACTTGTAACATGATCACCTCCAGGGCCGAAAAATCGTCAGTACCCAGAGCTGACTCGGAATACTGTAGTGCCTTGCTGTAATACAATCGCGATTCAGATTCTTCCGTGAGCGTGATCGACGAATAGCCTGTCGATCCGATGGCAAGTACCATCCACAGTCGGAAGACTTCCACAGCTGGCTCACTGTCAAGCTCGTGAGGACTGTTGCGGACTCTTTCGAGCGTCTTGGTGATCTCAGATCTTGAAAGAAACGGATAGAGCGTGTGTGAATGCGCAAAATAGAAATTCACCAGTCGCTGAACATGGGCCTCATCGCTTGGCCATGCAAGACTTCTCAACTCAGCACTGTCGGACACGGTCAGGTCTGCCAGATACAAATCGCCGAACAAGACTGGGTGAGAAGAGACGGAATCGCTCAGATTTTGGAATACTGATCCACCCAATGAATCTGAGGGCGATTCTAGGTCAAAGAGGGATGCCCCTGCAATATTTCGTTGGTGGTTGATGAACACAAAGTCTGCTTTGTCTGGAGTCAAACGCCGCAGCACCGTCTGAGTGAGCTTCGCGAAGGATAGGCCTGATGTTGACCCAAGATGTCGCTCAGCTGCAGCGGCCAGTGACAACGTGCGTAATTCGTCGGCGAACGTGGGGCTTTGTATGGGATTCGTAAGGACCACGTCTGGAACTTGGGCTGACTGCACATTGTGATCAAGCATGGGTCTTCCATCACCAGCGGTCTCCTGGTTCTCTCTATCGGATGGGTTTCCTGTCTGAAGACCAATGTCCGGAAGATCGTCAAGCATATCATCAGCGTATGTGTCGTCAGGTGCCTCTCTGCTGTGCCGAGCATTTTGATCGCCATCTATGATGGAATTCTCCAGAGCTCGCAGTCTTTCCTCCAGCCGATGAACATATCTGTTTGAGGTTAGTCTTCAGTTTCAGCGAGAAATACACAAATACTCGGCTCAGCAATAGCCCATCAATCTCAGCTGCGCGGAAATTATGACGGTCAGCGACTCACTTAATGGGATACGAGGCGATCTCGTCGCCATCGTCCAGCAGACTGCATCGTACACGTGCCGAGTGACAGTTCCTACAGGATGGCAAGGTTCGATCGCACTTCTTCTTCCGTCTGTGGCATCGTGAGCAAGAGGCTCGGGCGCGAGCCTGCGGAGCTTCTAGTGCCATCGACCATTGAAGGCGCCGTCCATCACGGAGAAGTCGGCAAGGTCGTGTCGAGCATACAAACGACGACTGAATTCACAAGATTGGCAGGCGGAAGAGAATTCTCGCTAAGACAGCAGGGCGGCAGACTTGACGGACATGGCCGCCAAATAATTAGGGGTTGTTGATCGGCCCCCAAGCTGGTCCAGACCCCTGAGGCAGTGGCGCTCACTTCCAAGGTTCTACAGGTACAGGTTTGAGATGTCATTTGCATCTCGTCAGGACGCCTTTGACACTCAATGTTCTACAAGGAATAGTGCGCACCACGCATAATGCGTGCGATTATGTGATATCAGTGCCACCATGGTCCGTGTAGATGTGGAAAGTCTAGGCCTCTTATCTTCGCCTCATCACTGATTGGGCAGCAATCTGGGATAATCCCGCCGCGGGCCCCTGTTCAACCTCTCTGGAGCATGCTCGCTCCGAATATTCACCCTCTTCACAACTCAGGCCGCAACCACTGCAGTTGCCTTGATCTCAACGATCATTCTTGGGTCTGGAAGCTCTTTCACGGCAATTGTTGCTCGGGCTGGAGCCGATGCCCGGGTCGTGAACACCTTATTCCATTCTTCGTTCATGCCGACATAATGCTCTTTGATGTCCAGGACATACACCACCGCATCGATCAGGTTTTCGACGCCACCACTGCCGTTCGTAGCGCCCTTAATGATGTTGTCGATGTTCTTCAGGACAGCAGCTGTTTGCTGCCTGATGTCTAATATCCGCGTGCCGTCAGAATTCTCGGTAACGCCTGGCCATTCTCCGTCTGGGGTTACGCATGCAGTGCCGGAAACATACAGCGTGCGATGAGGCGTAGAAGGAGCGAAACGCGCTTGAGGAAAGCGCGTAGCACCTTCAGGTGCGTCGGGTCTAGCTAGGTAGGCGTCGCCGTTCGGAGGCATGTCGATTTGGATGTGGGAGGAAATGGGTGTACTCACACATGGTTGCGGTCCCAAAGAGCCTGCTTTTATTCATGCCCTACGCTATGCGAATGAGCCCCGTCTCATCTGATCGTTCCTAGGCGAACACGACTGCCAGCTCTGATGCCGCTGACTAGCAGGCACGCGTCCAACTCGGAACTGTAGCATGCGGACTTATGCGCCCGTATTTGTCGGACTGTCCGACGAGAATGTACTCAACCCAGGCACAACCGTGGTCGACGGCTAATCAAAGTTCTACGATCTGGATCAACCCTAGAGAGGCGTGTAGTCAGGTCCGCAACACACTCGCGCAGGACTGAATGATCTGATCGACCACCGCCGGCGGGAAATCTGTTGAGTCTCGCCTCCACCGATCACCACCTGGCCTGTCTCGACCGGAGCAGGTAAGTGATCCATATGGAGCTGTATCGTAGCCTGGTGTTGGAAAGCGCGAGACGCACGTGAGAAAGGTCATGCAACGATGATGGCTCAACCGGCTTGTGGCTCAGGTATGCAACACTGACAATTCTACTTCAGCAACTGCTCCCAAATGCAGTCCTGCCACAAAAGCCGGATCGCGTCGTGGGAACGATGGCAGATCGGGCCCTTGGCCTTCTTTAGGACATATATGAGGCTTTCGTGGGATCACCTCGACTGCTGAGTACCGACGTCGACCTCTCCGCTCGAGTTTTGAGGCAGCACAGCCATGAACGTACCCGCGAGACATCTATCGTTCCGCCACTGCCCTGATTCCCAAGCTTCTTGGAACGGATCAAAAGCAAGTGGCGCTTGCTGTCGCTCCCATGCGATATGACAGGCTGAGAACCTTCGACATCCCTCATCACTCTTGTCCATTAGCCACAAGAACACGCCCGCCGTCGACGCAGAGATTGATGCCGTGAACATATGCCCCGGCGCGGCTTGCGAGGAAGAGCACAGATCCAACGATATCGCCCTCGTTGCCAGCTCTCTTTGCCGGAACCTTGTCAAACAAATCTTTGAAAATGTTGTCTTTCTCGCCAACTTTATTCATATTGGTGGGAACGACTGCGACACATTGTTAGCCAGGGTCCTCTCATGAGTACACTCGGTACTCACAGCCGGGGTTGATGCCGTTGACTCGTATATAGAAACGGTTGAACTTTGCCGCCAGAAGCCTCACAAGATGATCAGTCGCGGCCTTAGTTGTTGCATAGCTGGTCAGGTCGACGTTGGTGGCGTTGTGCATGCTTGCGCAGGAACTCATCACGATGACTACGCCTCGTCCTGCGTCTTTGCCCACGCGCCCTTCGCCAAGGTCAAGGCGGGAGGCAGCCTCAAGAAGTGGCATGAATGCTACCGACAGGAAGTAATGCGCGGCTGTATTAGTCTGAAACGAGTCGATCCAGTCCGTGTCGGGTGATGACCATAACGACTCCTGTAGTTCTGATAATGACGCTTGAAGCACGTTACACCCCTTGGGAGGGTCTCGCCTTATGCCGGCATTTGACACCAAGATGTCGACATGATCCTCACGCTCTGCCACATAGCGGGCTAGTTCTTGGATGTCACTCTTCTTTGACACATCGCAATGTAGTCTGGAGACCCATTAGCCTCTGGCCGACACATTTCCAACATGACATACCCGAAAGCTGACCCGCCCGTTTGCTTTCCAAGCTCCTTCAATTCCTCGACCTGTGCATCCACGGCATTGCGATCTGCAAGATACACCTTAGCACCGTTTGCAACAAGCCCCTGTGTGATCTCAGAAGCTGCTCGAAACCTGCTCGGTGATGGCACCGGGAAATGGAGGCGTGCGAACTCACCTTGCTTATCATGAATCCTATTCCGCTGCCTGCTCCTGTCACCACAGCAACAAAACCCTTCACCGAGAACAGGCTTTGGGAATTTAGATCGGTCATGACGACTGAGGAATGTAGTACAGGTATGCTTGTAGTTGACGACGGCAAGCTGACATTATATCGAGGCCAGATGGAAATGGCAGTGAGGCTGCCGGAAAAGGGTGCAACAGTAGGTTGTCGGGCAGGCCGACGGACTCCGAAGTCTATCAATGACCCCTAGAACTCCCTACGTTTAGGGCACCTCGCCCGCCCGAGGCACTGTGCAAGGGCTCTACAGTGCTCGGTTGATGACCCCAACTTGTCATACGCGTTTGCGACAAACACCATCTTAGGACTTTGAAGGCTGCAACAGACACAACTGCGACATCAACAAAACGTGCTACGATTCGAGGCGCTGATGACATCGAAAATGTATTCATATGCCCATAGGCCCTGGAAAATGCTAATTGAGGGGCTGTTCTGACCATCAAGAACAGCCTTGCTTTTACTCCTTGTAATGTTCCCTTGTCCTCAACTCGGCAGCGTCCATACACTCCGCTGTCATGGCTGAATCTCTCGGAATCAACCTGACCTTGAATTCCCTGGGAATCGCAACCAGCGCTGTTTTGAACTGGTTGTAGTCCACATAGTCGGTGTTTGGAGGGAATTCCTCGCTAGCAACGATCTTGTACGATGCCAGGAGCCGGACTAGCGCGGAATACAGGAGTCGAGAAGCGATAAATTGGCCTGAGCACGCTCGAGAACCAGTACCGAAGCTCAGATGACCTAGGCCATCGATCTTCGCTTCTGTTGGAGGTTCAAGAGAGCTGAGCCATCTTTCAGGGTTGAACTTCGCCCCATCGGGTCCAAAGTGATCGAGATCTAGGAGAAGGTCAGATACAATAAGCAATTCGCGGCATCGCTTCACTCACCATGATTCCCGGCCTGGGCGTTGATCAAAATCATTGTTTCTGCGGGGATGACTGCTCCGTCCCAGTTGACCTCCGTCACCGTCTTCCGAGGCAAGCTCATCGCGCTGACTGTGTAGTAGCGACCAGCTTCCTTCACGATCGCGTTGATGTAAGGGATCTTCTCCTCCTTGATGCATGATGTCCAAGCATCCCGCATATCAGGATAATGCCGCTTGATATCCTCGTATGCGCGGTCTTGCCATATTTGACCTTCTGGAGTGCACAGAGAGCCAATGCATGAGGTCAGAGTGCCTGGGATGGTCTCAAACCCTCCGGATACCAATGACAAGCATATTGACGAGACCTCGACTCCAGTAAGTTTCGTTTCCTCGTCCTTGAGAATGGCTGCGGAAATGCAAGGCTTGTCTGTGCCGTTCTTGATCATCTCGCGCACTTTGTTCAGAAGCAAGTCCAGGTACGCATCCCGACGATCGCGCAATTCCTTGGAACGGGCATTCTTCACGTTGTTTGGGAAATATCTCAAAGCTGGAACATAGTCCTGATAGTTCTCCGATGCGCTTCGAAGCAAGGATATAGCCGAGCCTACATGCAGGATCTCGCGGAGTAGGTCGTCGTACACAGCATCCATCCGGATGCCGTAACACAAGGTGAGCGTCGTATTGAGAGCGAAGCGTTGGATGTACGGCCGCACATCAACCTCAATCTGCCCATTACCACTGTCCTTGCTGATGTCTCTCAACACGCAATAGCTTTCCAGATCGAACATGGGGTAGTAGTTCCTCAACGCTGGGCGACCAAGCGCAGTACCGGCTGCCTTGCGCTTCTTCTTGCACGACTCGTCCCAAGGTGATGAGCCGATGGTGAATCCTTGAGTGCTGCTGATAACTCCATGGAATGTGTAGAGCTTCGGCCGGTCGATCACGGCGTTTTGGTTGCCAAGCAGCATCCGTTTGCAATCATCAAACGAGTTCACGACCACAGCGCGAGTGTTGCCCAGCTTTATCTGGAAAATCGAGTGCTTGTACTGCCGCCACCATTTCTCGCAGGTCGTAGCATGATCCTCTCCAAGTTTCAAAAGATGGCCGAAAATTGGTACCGCACCAGGTATCTCTGGAATTCCTTCGATATACGGAATGTCCGTTCCATAGAGTATGTTGTAGCCAACATAGATGACAGCGATGGCGATGATCGCTAGTAGCAGCGACCCAGTGTGCTCATTAGTTCTGAGCACACGCCATACTTGCTCTAGCTGATCGAGTGGAACAATGGGAGCCTTGACTGACATGCTGACGGCGAGTGTGAATCGAACGCTTCAACACGCAAGGAATTTCTGGTCAGCGCATAGGCATAAGTATTGCATGAGTCGTGGACTTGTACTGCATTGCAGTGAGCTTTATCGTTGCCCTAGTATTCCTACAGGTGGTCGTTCATGTCCGCGGCTTGGGATTCGACATTCGCCCCTGTCGGTCTGTCCGAAAATGCGGGCGATCACCGCATCTACACGCCTAGGAGCAGATAACGGGTGCACCGACGCATTGGCAGGCCGACAGACGGCTGTGGCAAATGGCTTTCGGCTGTCCGATAGATCTTTCGTGGCGGCAAAGATGAATATCTGTGCAATGTTGTTAGGCAAGGTCCACGAGTGCCATCTAAATCTAGCTATCATACCTAGCCTGGACGGGCTAGACTTTGGGCGGTTCTTCCGGACGCTCAAGTGGTGCCTTCCTCCACGGGCCAATCTGAGATACCTCTTTCTGTGGTTTTCAGGCATATACGCTGATGGCTACAGTACGTATCGCAAAGCGAGCTGTGGCTTCGACTCGATTATAGCACCTAAAGTATATCATGATACATGATTTGCGTAAAACCCGTAGCTTTTGACTAGCACAACCTCCTTTCTGCGCAATGCGGCTCACTCACGAGAGATCAGAGCCACGACACCGAAGTGCCTCCTCGCGCTCATTCACTTGTGTTGGCTTGAGTCTGTTGAGCCGTCCGTTGTTTCCAGGAATGAGAAGTCCATCGCTAAAGGGTCAAACTGAGTCAGATCTACTTCCCAGGAAACATCGTCAAAATTCAGCCATGATAAGTTCCCTTCCGCCTCGGTACTGGGCATGAAGTCTGAATTCGCAGCCGACTGCTCTACGGCCACGCTCTGGGAAGCTGGGTGTGTCTGGCTCGCTTCCGCAGTCGAACGTCTTGTTCGAGGCCTGTCGGTTGCCACCACGCCCTGATGACCGTCTGCAGCTTGCTGCATCCGCCCGAGTATGTGTCGGACTGCATTTGCTGCAATATTTGCAGGATCTCCGCCTCCCATATTGTCTAGAAACTCAAGAGCGCTTGTGACGTAGCTGAGATGGACTGCTTCCATGTTGGGATCCTGCAGTGAATCGAAAAGGAGGAGGAATGCTGCGTGGCCGATGAAGAACACACTGTATCTCAGCTCCTGAGAAATGTTAGGACGTCATCGGACATGAATGTCGAGCTGACACTGACCTTGTACGCAGACTTTAGTGCGAGCGTGCCGTGAAAGAACGAAATGATACTCTGTGCGGCCTGCGTGCATCGCTCACAGGCTTCGTCCAGCCACGCGGGTATAGAGGGATTCGCTTCGCTGCTTGTGCCCTCTATGCCGCCACTCTGACTGGGTGATGCAGACACACGAAACTTTCGTATGGTGCGGTTTATACTACTCCTCACCAACACGAATGGCCGGAACGCGATCATGGTAATATGAGAGGATACTGTAATACTGGGTGAGAAGGCGCTTGGATTTCCTCGGGATCGCTCGCCTACCTATGTGAAGGAATGCGCCCTTGTAACCGAGACCATGTACTTCCATCGCATCGTCCGGATTGATGCCCATTTCGACATAAGCCGTGCGGACGGTGGTCTGCAGCTCCTTTGCGGCGGATGACGCGGCTTTCCAGCATTCTGGAAGGGATGGTGGTTTCGTCGCGTACACTGTCGCCGCAAGATCCATCATAACCTTTGTTAAGCGCTTCAATTTCAGCACCCACGTGTTATTTGGGCTCGGCACTTCGCACTCCAGGTTGGCGATCAGGATGGGGCGACCGCCGTAGAAGCTCATCCAGCTGTATGGCGCGTCAGTCGACGAAGATTGGGTACCAAGGGTGTGTGACACACGTCTCGTGAAAACACAGTGTCCAAAGAGTAATCCGTCGTTCTTCGAGATCTTCTGCTGATATGTGCGTAACTTTTTTCTCTCTGTGCAGCCCCATTGCCAGAGCCTTACGTGTAGCAGCGCCAATTGTCAGGTATGCGGCATTCGGCCGACCATGCTCCTTTTCGTAGATGGTGTGCTCCCTGATTCATGTCAGCCAACGAATGGGACCTAGCACGCAGCAACCTATCATCAATATGTCGAGCTGTATGCTCCTCAGGCTCACCACGTCATGCTGGGATCGCTTCACGCGCTCCGCAATGACCTCTGCCCATTGCCAATGATTCGTTGACAGGGACGCTATTGCGATCGCTAAGAGAAGAAGTTGGGTATCAGTATCGTTGTAACTGTGGGCAAAAGGAGACTGGTAGAGTTCGCGTAGCTGGTTATGATATGCTTCTTGCGTCACGAATGGGGCGCTATTATAGTAGCTGGCCAGATACCTGTCCAGCATGTCTTGAGCAAGCTCGTATGGCATGAAAAGAAATGGGTCCGAATATGGTCGCTGATCCATCGAAGCGGGCTCTGGCGCAGCAGCATTGCCGAAGAAGACGAGACGGAAGTCGAAAGTGTCCAGACCGTCGTTACCATCCTCAACTCTCACGTCTGGCACGGATTGATCATCCCACGATAGGTACAAGTGTCGATAGAGCAGCTGCAGAAGAGCAAAATCTGAGCTAGGACCAAACCACAATTCGACTTTGTCCTTGGTGGCGCTCAAGTGTGTTGCAGACACGCTGCTATGGATCAAAGGCTTGGAAGCTGGCGGATCATGATCTGTGGAAAGGTTCTGTCTGCTGCTAGGCCTTACGTGACGAGTGGAGGCCTCCCGGGGCGGCGCATTTTGGACGGTTCTTCCTGTGTGGAGATCTTCAGGGCCCTTCGCGCGTTGTTGGCGCACGATCCGTCGATAGAGACACTGTGTGTTCCGTTGCTGACATGGCATACAAGGAGTAGTGCCGTTACAGCGTATTTTGCGTGCCGACAAGACTCGCATGCCTTGGAGATTTTGTGCCCGTGTTGTAAGGTCCATTTCCCGAGGCTCGATCGTGCTGGATCCGGCAGCGTCGGAGCCATACGGTCTTTGGGGCCCAGTGTGGCCTGCACCCGCCCACGTACCTCTGCCAAATGATAGTATTGTGTTCGGAATTGGCGTCGTCCTCAACCGCGGACGCCAGACATATCGAGGGATTGCTGGCGTTTCTGACTTAGAGGCAAAGGCCCTAAATCCGCGGGCCAGAATCAGTGATAAGCGAGGACTCGGCATGCCCTATTCATTGAGTCGATCCAGGGACCAATAGGCGCGGAAGCAGAGCGCGACAGATTAGTAGACCCTCGATCATTGCGCGGATTTGACAGCTTGCATCTTAGCAATCTATGACATGGCAAGAACGCAAAGCGATGAAATTCGTTGGTCCAAGATGCCTTCCACCATTATAATTTAGGGCGCACCTGGACCTGCGGATATTCCTCAGGGAGGGCGTCGATACGCGCAGTCTGGGTGTAGGCGGACGCGCTGTCACTTTGGCGATTGTCATTGTCACGGAGTGTTGCACACGCGTTCAACTCCAGTCCTTGCACGAATATACCGACCTTTCCGCGCATTTGCGGCCTGTCGCACATCGCGAAGAGTTGAGAAACGAGAGCGCGGCAGGCCTCGCCCGCCCACACATTCACGAACTGATAGGAGTGCGAATGTTGTGGCGCAATGTGTGTCGATGAGTTCGCTGAGTGCTCTGCTCTGCTTCATACAAGCAATTCTTGGCGCCCAATGACGTAAGCAGACGATGCTGCCAGCTGAGTGCTCAAGTTGGTCGTGCTCGTTGTTTCTGCCACCACTCGAGCAGCGCTCCTCGTCAGCTTGAGGGGGCAACTCGCAAGTGCTGCGCGGGAATACCTATGCTGAGTGATCAGAGGTGACAAGTTGACCGCTGCATTTCTCGGGCATGCGGAACATCAAGTTCGTCCTATATCCAGAGCAGAATCTGCCCGCTCAGGATCGCGAGTTACTTGCGTACGAAATTCGTGCTCACGTAGCGAGACATACTCACTCAGTGAAGCAACAACGGCAGTATGAGAGGAGTGGTCGGCGTCGGCCGCAGGGCACCCATGATCGATCCGATGGAGATGGACCCATCTCTTTGGTAGCACCGCCTAGAGTCGACGAGGGAAGCAATAGCGCCGATTCAGATGTACTCACGACTCAGGCGCATCCTGCACGAACCCATCCGGCACATCATGGCATCCTCATCCCAAAGAGCGCGCCTGGGAGGCTTCGTACGAATTCCGCACGCAGAGACTTACGCCTGTTTTGGGCAGCCTGCCGCAAATACCGATTTGTCATAACGATCTGATGCTCCCAAGTGAAGCCAACTTGATGCTGTCAAAAGGTCCGTTGAATCATTCACCCGCTATTGCAGGACACGGCTGATGGCCATGCGCGCAATAGTGCACGAAGCGCTTACACGAGGCTTTCCGTCTGTGGAGGCGAACTCAGAGAATCCCTCTGTCGTTGCGACCATGCAACAAATTGTGACAAGACGCTCCGCATTTGAGGCACTAATGTACAGCCAGTTTGTGAGAGACGTCTACTATGGCAATAACCTGTTGTGTACACGTCGACAAGGCAGGCTTCGTCTCGAATACCATGTTCGAGTCATCGAATCTGTGAGGCACGGGCTGATCAATTCTCAAGATGAGTGCGGCGACGAGACGATCACCATGGTGCTCAGTCTGGCCCTTCAGGAGCAGGTAGGAGTCGTAGAAGACCAGACTAAGAAACAGGGCGGGCTCCGGGCGCCCAAGCAAGGACCTCTTCAATTGTTACGCATGCTTGACGTCTACGGAGCTCAGCGTATAGCTGACACGACACCTCACATCACAGCGTTGCTGAAGATGGCCGAGATCCGTGGCGGTGTGGCCGGACTTGGCACTGGTGGCCTAGGACATCAGATATCTAAGTAAGTCACTTGGAAGTCGCTGCGTTACTCCCGCCGTTGATAGATCATGCAGTATCGAGCTGATCGAAGCATCGAGAGACCTTCGGAGGCCCTGCGTCGAATTCGTGACGTTCCTGGACCGTTCAGATATCCTGTTATCGCTTCAGTCTTACCAGCCAGTTGATCATCGACTTGCCTCCCTCGCCCGAGGCTTTAGTGCGTTAGACCAGTTTGATAATGTCGATCTGGGTGACCGCTCGAATCTAAGAGAGCTTCTCCATCAACTGGCGCTGTACACTTGCGGCGTTGACAGCTTTTTGCTGGATGGGAAGCCGCAGAACAGGGCTTTGGCATACTTGGGTGAACAAAGAAATCTCGTTCACCACAACTTGCTCATGGCCCTACCAGAAACGAACCTGGCAACATCCTCTTGGCGAAGCAATGACAGAGCGGTTCACGCCGTTTTGCACCTCGCGGCAGTCATCTACAGCTTCCTATGTGTATTCCCAATGGACGCAGCTCCATTTGGTCTTCTCCAGCAGCACATCTGGCACTTATTACAATGTCGTGACTTGACAGTCGAATGGGCCAACACGCCGGAACTGTATATCTGGACACTTTTCATGGCAGCAATCGCCAGCCCAGATCCTATCGGTCGCAACAAGGCTATCAGATTACTGAGACCTACTATCCTTTCCTTACACATCACGTCATGGGAAGCTTTGAAGGAGAAGTTGATGGACTTCCTATGGATGCCAGTAACGAACGACGAAGATGGAAAGTCGATTTGGAACGAGCTCCACGAGGCACCTACCGACTTGTCCTGATGCTTAGCAACGCCGTGGGCTGCCGCGAGACTTGGATCCTGTTCATTTGCGCTTACTCGGAATGTAGTCGGTCGCTGGCATCGGCTTACCCGCAGGCTCAAGACGGCTTTGGGCACGCCTAGCATCAAGCAACAGTATTCGAACTGGAGGAAGATCTGGCACATCGCGATAATCATTGTTCGAGATACACCGGGTAAATTCGAGCAGGAGGTGCGCCTCATGGCCGCATCCGCACATTCTTCAAAGCGAGCCCCGACGAGCACTTCCACCGCATTTGCCTGCACGGGACAAGACACATAGCTTGGTGGTGGGAGATACGTCACCTCGCCTTTCGTCACGATCGACAGCCTGCTCCTGTCCCAGAATCACAATGCATGGGCTGGCCTTGGCACTCGGTGCTCCAATTGCCATTCCTATGCCATCGTCATTTTTTGCAGCCCTTGACGGCTCTGCGGCACCCTCAGTAATTGTGTCGTTTGCAGTTGTGCTAGAAGTGCCACACGACAAGCCGTCAAATTGCAGCGCCAAAGAGTGGATGTCTGAATATGTGGCCATACGCTGGGTGTGACATCGGCTTGAAATGTTTACGGTAGTGTGGTATATGGGGGTCGTGAAATCGTGCTCAAAATCTAGAATTGCCCCCCAGCTAACGAGTCGAGATACGCACGCGCGTTGCGGCAGACAGTGTAGAGATGCTCACGTCGGCTGCTGGAATACCTAAAGGCTGTGACAATCAATCTGCCGTTTTGGCTGACGACATGATCATTGATTGTATGATTGCTCAATCGCCGTGCAATGCTTCCTATAACGAGCAAACGGCATGTGTGCGGCGAAATCTGGGAGTCTGTTCGATCATCGGTATGTTAAGCCACCACCATCCGTACGAAGTGCTCCAGAGAGCGTAAAATTGCAGAATGAGCTTCTTCTTCCATGATTCACAGATTGATTACGAGAGACACCATCTGAATTGGTCAGTGGATGCATTAATGCGGCATTGAAAGGTCATCCAAGATTATTCCGTCCAGCGAGAACAGTCTCTTCAAAGTCAAACGGGACCTGTGTTGTCGTGGAGAAACCTTAGTGATCTTGATGTTTACTTCCTACCTGGATAGGAAGTCCTGGTGTTTTGTGGGAGGACGATCGCCATTCTGAAGTTGCGAGCATCGCATGGCCGTGATGGAGCACACCGTGATCACATTTGGAAGGTCATTCACAGCGGGCTGGTGTTGGGATGCACGACCGACTGCGCACGCCAAGCTTGTTCGAGAGTCGCGCGAGAAGATCGTCAAGAGACTGTGACTTGCCAGTGAGCAAGAAACGATCAGAGTTCACTTGCAAGTTTGGCTGAGCAAGGTCATGAGCGGAGTTAAGAGTGCCAAGATCCAGTATGGTGCCCCGAATCGGCGGGAACTGTATTTTGACGTTGGCTTCAGTAGTTCATCGAACCTTCTCAATTTCCCTCGCTTTATCCCAGGTTTTACTAACATTATTTTATAGTCGCAGCCGCAGGCATAAAGTCAGCTCAGTAGATGGAGCAGATTGTGAATCACCGCCAATCATGACCATCGCACATCAAGCGGTCGCGCTCGAAATGTAAGAAGACGCGTCGTTGTCAAACCCCACGGATGGAATTCTGGCTATCGAGCGCCAGCTACATCAACCTCAGTCCACCATCAACCCAGACCCTTGGAAAAGAACCGTACGACGTGGCTGCGGAATGCATAGCCGTCGAGCTTCTCATCTTCGTCCATATCTTCAGGAAATGTTGAGAGCACGCGATTTCCAGGACTCTCCACACAAGAAGGCGATTGTGCGGACACTTGCTGCACGACTTGTCAGCGCGAGTCCAGAACCTCAGTCGAGCAGTGGGCTGCGTTAATTGGCAGCCAATGCCTTCGCTCGTTAGCTATGCCAGTCGTTCCTATTTGACGCTCTGATGAATGCAGATCGTTATCACTACGCAGATTCAGAGCTCAGCTCGAATGCTATTCTCCGGAATTTGCAAGCTCAACACAGTTGTTGAGCGGTTTTGCCTTAGAACAGCTAGGTGTGAATGGCCTCAGAGTGATTGAAATATGGCTGCCTGCTCTGTGCATGGACGAGGAGGTCTTTTCTTTCCTTCACACCTGTTCGCGTCCTGAGTCCCTGGTCCTCGGCACCCTTGCTACTAACCTTCAGTAGACGAGCCGTCGTGGTCCCGACCCGTGCTGCGGGGATGGAGTTGAAAAAGCTGCTGCTGGGCAGCATTCTGCTGTTCGGCGCAGCAGATGCCTTACCAAAGCGTAAGGATGGCAGCAATCAGTTGGAACGGAAGGAATACAGGGCCGCAGATCCATCTACTTGCGCCTGTACTCCAACAACTTGTCCTCCTATTTGCTCGTCAACTACGACAACCAGTGCTACGGCTACGTCGACATCGACCTCAACCGTCACTGTGACCACGACTACAACGGTAAGTACGACCTCTTCGACAAGCAGGTCCGTCAGCAGCACGACCGGCAGCACGACTGGCTCCACTACGAGGACAACTAGTGCAAGTGGAACGCCAGCCTCGACGACCAGCTCAACAGGGACGCAATCCACGACAAGCACTGGCACAAGCAGTAGCTCAGCTTCAACAAGCAGCTCTAGCAGGACAAGCTCGCCATCTACAACTAGCACAACCGCCGTACGTATTCTCCCACTAGCGATGCCCTCTCTCTTTTCCGATCCCCCATTCGCCACTTTACGACTGTCTGAGCCCGGTCTCCCGCCGTCTCTTCTCCATCTGCCCCATTCTTCGAGCTTCTAGTTCACGCTAACCCGTCATGGGGATAATAGCGTTCGTCTAGTACCACATCAGGCAGCACATCTAGCACATCGAGTCCGACGACATCGACGAGCTCTCGAAGCGGGACGACCTCCACTGGCACTGCCACCACGAGCTCTCCAAGCGCGACGACCTCTACTGGTACTGCCACAACGAGCTCAACAGCATCGACCAGCACTCGAAGCGCTACAACTTCGTCCGGCACAGCCTCCACGAGCTCTACAAGTTCTCGAAGCGTGACAACCTCAACCGGCACAGCCACCACAAGCCCGACAACATCGACCAGCTCTCGAAGCGTGACGACCTCGACAGGCACAGGCTCCACGAGCTCGACAAGCTCTCAAAGCGTGACGGCCTCGACCGGCACATCCTCAACGAGCTCGACATCATCAACTAGCTCCCGAAGCGCGACGACTTCAACCGGCACAGCCTCAACTTCGACAGCGTCAACGAGCTCTCGAAGCGTGACGACCTCGACCGGCACAGCCACAACGAGCCTGACATCCTCGACAAGCACTCGAAGGCCTACGACAACCTCCACAAGCACTCGAAGGCCTACGACATCATCCTCGACTGGCACAGCCACAACGAGCCCATCATCCTCGACAAGCTCTCGAAGCGTGACAGCCTCAACCGGCACATCTTCAACGAGCTCGACGTCATCGACCAGCTCCCGAAGCGCGACAACTTCGACCGGCACAGCGTCAACAAGCACTCGAAGCGCTACGACCTCGACTTCGACTGGCACAGCAACAACGAGCCCCTCGACCAGCTCTAGTACTCGAATGTCTACAAGCTCAGGACAGACCACTACCTCAAATACACAGGTAAGTTGTACACCATAAGCAACTCTGGTTAAGAGCATACGAGTTGCTGCCAATGCTGGGCAGAGGATCCATCTCTGCCAGATAAGCAATACTCTGGCTACACTCATTCTTCTGCCTTCAAGCATATACCACTGTCCTGCAACAAAGCTAATTGAAGTTTCAGACAACCACGTCTGCTAGTGGCACTGCTTCTACAACCTCGCGTTCGACCACAACAGGCTCAACCTCGACGGGCTCGACCACAACAGGCTCGACCTCTACAGGCTCGACCTCTACAGGCTCGACCTCTACAGGCTCGACCAGCTCGCGTTCAACCACGACAGGCTCAACCTCGTCAACAGCGAGTGGAACAACGGCATCGACGACGACGACTTCCAAGAGCAGCACGTCAACAGGAACGGCGACGATCTCGTCCACAGGGACTGCTACAACCTCGTCAACATCGACATCAAAGACTAACACGTCAACAGGGACAGCAACAACTTCGTCGACAGCGAGTGGAACCACCGCTTCAACAACTACTTCGAAGAGCAGCACTTCGACGGGTACGGGAACAACCTCGTCAACAGCAAGCGGGACAACCGCATCGACAACAACTTCGAAGAGCAGCACATCGACAGGCACCGCAACGACCTCGTCAACAGCGTCTGGAACAACTGCGTCGACTACGACCTCAAGGACCAGCACGTCAACAGGTACGGGAACCACCTCGTCGACAGCTTCTGGAACAACTGCATCGACAACTTCGACCAGCAGCAGGTCTTCTAGTAGTACTTCATCATCCACACCTGCAACTACCAGCAGTACCAGCAGAAGCACATCGTCATCCTCGAGCTCGCCAGCAACTACCAGTACTACAAGCAAAAGCACAACGACTTCCTCGAGCACGCTAACTACTTCAAGCAGCACCTCAAGTCGCTCAAGCACATCGTCGTCGACTACAGGCGCCACCACAACCACTTCTGCTCGCTCAACCACATCGACGTCCTCGACCACGCCAGCCACAACCAGCACTTCAAGCCGCTCAAGCACGACGACGTCCTCGAGCACGCCCGCTACAACCAGCACTTCGAGTCGCTCAAGCACATCTTCGTCGTCCACAGGCAGCACTACCTCGAACACCGGAACCACCACCTCTGCAAGCGGGACTGCCACGACTACATCGAGCCGCTCTGTAAGTACCAGCACATCCGGCACCGCATCAACTACGTCGCCAAGTACAAGTACTACCACAAAGTCGACCACCTCGGCTTCAGGAACAACAACTTCGAACACCTTGACCACCACGTCCGCGAGTGGGACCGCAACAACTACTTCAAGCCGCTCCTTGAGCACTAGCCCATCTGGCACAGGCTCAACCACATCGCCAAGTACAAGTACTACTACAAAGTCTACCACCTCAGGCTCAGGGACCACAACTTCGAACACTAGGACAACGACATCTGCAAGTGGCACCGCGACGACCACATCCAGCGGCTCTCTGAGCACAAGCACAACAAGTAAGAGCTCAAGCACGACCGGCACTGGCACAACGGGTACTGGCACCACCAGCACTCGCAGCGGCACAACGACAAGCACCGGCACAACCAGCTCTCGCAGTGGAACCACGACAAGCACTGGACCCGCGAGCACCGGTACCACAAGCACGACGACAACGCGTTCGACATCCTCAGCTTCCACAGTAAGCACCAGCTCGGGTCAGACTACATCAACAAGTAGCAGCAAGTCGTCGACAACCACAGCGACCTCAGCCACGACCGCCACTACCGCTACTACAGCGACTACAGCTACAACATCAAGTCGCTCACTGACGAGCTCCACCACTTCGAACACTTTGACAACCACATCTGCAAGTGGCACCGCGACCTCCTCCACAACGCGCTCATCCTCGAGCACTCCTTCTCTAAGCACAAGTACTACCTCGAGGAGTACCACGAGTGCGAGCACCTCAACGCCAAGCACGTCTTCGGCCTCAACGACGACCTTGAAGAGCACCTCAACGCTGAGCACCTCGACTGCCAGCACCTCGACGACATCAAAGAGCACGACCGCCACGAGAAGCACTTCGACTCTGAGCACCTCGACTTCGACGACCTCCAAGAGTACAACCGCAACAGGAAGCACTTCAACTCCAAGCACCTCGACAACGTCAAAGAGCACGACTGCAACGGGAAGCACTTCGACTCCAAGCACGTCTAGCTCAACGACATCGAAGAGTGCGACCGCAACAAGCTCAGCCACCACCAGTCCATCTAGTACAACAACTTCCAAGAGCACTAGCAGCAGCACACTCTCCACTTCTTCCACCAGATCAGCTACTACGACTAGTGCCTCAGCAACAACATCGTCAACCACAAGTGGCGCTACCACATCCACTCGCTCGTCGACTACAGCTACCTCGGCCACCACAGCGACTACAGCCACCACAGCCACTACGGGCAGCACAACGACCACACGTCACACATCCACATCGACCTCAGCGAGCGGCACCACACAGACTACATCTACCCGCTCCACAACTTCAAACACTGTGACTACATCTGCGGGTGGTACAACATCGACCACATCCACGTCAAGTGTCAGGTCAAGCACTACCTCGGGCACTGCATCGACCACCACTCCAGCAACCACGTCCAGCACTAGGTCGACCTCTGCCTCGGGTACTGTGTCGACTAGCACTCCAGCGACCACCTCAAGCACTCGATCAACCTCTGCCTCGGGTACTGTGTCAACCACCACTCAGGCAACTACGTCCAGCACTCGATCGACCACTGCCTCGGGTACCGCTTCAAGCACCAGCACCCCAGCGACCACATCAAGCACTCGATCGACCACTGCCTCAGGTACCGCTTCAAGCACCAGCACCCCTGCGACCACATCAAGCACTAGATCAACTACTGCCTCGGGTACAGCTTCGACCACCTCCAGTCTGGTGACCACCTCAAGCACCCGGTCGACCACTGCATCGGGTACTACCTCGAGCACTACCTCTGGCACCACTTCAAGCACTGCCTCTGGTACTACCTCGAGCACGCGATCGGGTACAACTTCGAGTACCGCTTCTGGCACCACGAGCACGCCATCGGGTACCACTTCAAGCACTGCCTCTAGCACCACCTCGAGCACTGCTTCAGGCACCACCAGCACCCGATCAGCTACCACAAGCACTGCCTCAGCCACTACAAGCACTCGATCGAGCACTACATCAGGTGCTACCTCGAGCACTGCTTCGGGCACGACCAGCACTCGATCTAGTACTACCTCAGGCAGCACGTCAAGCACTAGCCTAGCGACCACAAGCACTGGCACTGCGTCCACGACAAGTAGGAGTACAACCGTCTCCACGACTGCCACCACGAGTGTCTCTTCCACAGTAAGCACGTCCACGACAAGCAAGACGACAACTGGAATGGGCTCTACTACAAGCGCCTCGTCTACAACAAGCAGAACTACGAGTGCTCCCACCTCTTCTACCACGAGCACCTCTGGTACAGTGAGCACTTCGTCTAGAACAGGTACCTCATCAACCACCGCAACCACTGCCGCGACTGCAACTACCGCGACGACTGGAACGACATCAACAAGAAGTACAAGTGCTCCCACTTCTTCTACCACGAGCACCTCTGGTACAGTAAGCACCTCGTCCAGAACAGGCACCTCATCAACCACTGCCACGACTGCCACAACTGCAACCACGGCGACGACTGGAACAACTTCAAGGACTACAAGCGCTCCCACTTCCTCGTCCACTAGCGCCTCTAGTACAGCAAGCACGTCGTCTAGGTCAGGCACGTCGTCAACGACTGCAACGACTGCAACGACTGCGACTACTGCAACAACGGCGACCAGCTCGTTGACTACGACATCCAAGAGCACTACGTCATCATTCGACCCAGGTACCTCGACCACGACTCGCTCAGTCACCACGTCCACGACAGCAACGAGCACTCCCGCAGGCTCCTCCTCTACTGTGAGCACGTCTACGACAAGCAGAACCACAAGCGCAGCCACATCTTCCCCTACAAGCACTTCCGCGAGATCTACGACATCGTCTTCCACATCCAGTCGTTCTTCTCCAACAGCAAGCAGCACCACCACATCTGCGGGCACTACGAGCACCACGGTACGCATCAACCTTCCCCAGAACGCATTTGATTGCAATGTACTGACTAAACCGAACAAAGCCTCCTCCCACGACCACAACGTCCAAGACAACAAAGACCACGACGAAGACCAAGAGTACCTCCACGACCACCACCGTAAGCCACTCTTGCTTCCTACCCTGACCGAGAGTCAATGCTAACCACCTTCACAGTGTCGTTGCTTCGAAGACGGACCGCCTCTATTCACTCCGAGGTATCAGTACGGTCGCCCAACCGCAGCAGCTGCCGACGCCCACGCTTGAACACGTACATCATACGTTACCTCAAGCGTGACTGCCTTAGGGGTGTAGCAGGCACCGCGCAAAGAGTGTGAACGGAGTACGACACAAGCCAAGTTGTCCTCAGTGGACTGGAGAAAAGTCATTCATTTCGGAAAGCTATTCAATTCGAAAAGCTACCCCATCTTTCTTAATGATTGGCATGACACCTCTTGCCAGGCGGCGGTTCCATTTCAACGTCAATGAAAGCAACGTCAGACAATGATTATGTCACGATCTACACGACGGCGATAGACAAAAAGCAAGCGGCAACATGTACGTGGTATGACTCAGGTTCGGTGTGAAGATGACGGAAATCTGGACGGATGTTTGGACACTGCAGACCCCGGAAGGCTTGAGTGTCTTGCCTATAAAACATATTTATTATGGCTATTGCCCATACAATACTTCTATCCTTGGAGCAGCTGGTCACTTGATCTCGCGTTGTCTCGTCTCTCGACCTCGGGTCCGCTCATGTCACGCTGTTCCTGCCTCTCGAACCCGTAGCAGATCCGGGTAAGCAGTCGCGCGATGATGAGAGCTGATGTGTATCGAATTGAATGTGCATAAGACACAAGTTAACCTTGTGTAGATACACTATGAACCGAAAAATCAAACGAATGTGTACACAACCCAATATATAACGAATAGATGGCCATTGTTAAAAAGGCCCCGTTGTTTGGGCAGTCCGTTCACAGATTCTGCCTTTCATCGTCGGAGTCTCAAGATCTCTCCTTCCCGACCAACGGCGCCGTGTTGAAGCAGCCCTTCACCCTTCCACGAGTGGGTTTTACTTTCATTTCCACGCCTTTCCCCGTCCGGCATCGTGGGCCTGTACCACAGAGCTATCCGCTAGTAATCGTCGCCGCGACTAACAACCTCCTTACAATTCTCCCGGAGTAGAATCGTGTGCTCGAACTGCGAAGTATAGCTCCCCTTGATGTCCACTAGGGGCTTGTGCTCGGTGAGTATCCCGTGCGACACAAGAGAATGTAGGCCGGCTAGGTATCGCTCACAACCCAGATGTTCCAGCTGGCGACGGGCGAAGTTGAGGGTGCCGAAATTGTCCTTGATTGTTCGGTAGAGCTTATTTGCTGATGCGAGCGGGAGGGTGATCTTGGCTGGCAGGGGTTGGTCAGAGGAGAGGCCGTAGCCGTAGGCTCCGTCCTGTGAGAGAAGTGTCAGTAGGTGGATGCCAATGTCTATAGCTTGGGCAACGGCAAACTTACACCATCCCGTAACCACCCCTTCCCCGTCGTCCCAAACGTCTCAATCGCATACACTTCGCCCTCCTCCATCTTCGTGCCATCGTCCTCATGCGCGATGAACGGAACACTTTTCCCAGCATGAATGCGGTACTGGTCAATATTATGGCCCGTGATGTTGCGAATAGCGCGGACTTGGTAAGTCTTACTCCCGGTGTTGTTGGAACGGGACGGTAGGGTGACTTCGTATGACTCCATGGTCTCCTGGATGGCTTCACTGAGGGACGCGATGCGGGCGTCGGGCCCTGCGAGCTGTGCCCATTGTTAGCGTATCCTGCGTAGATTCCGCAAAGCGTGAACTCGTACCTTGATTCCAGCCTCAGTAGCCTCCCTAACCGCCTTTAACAACTCGTCATAGACTGGATCCCAGCTGATCGTGAAAGCACTATCAACGATCCACCCGTTAATGTGAACACCAAAGTCCACACTCAAGACATCGTGCTCGCTCAACACCACATCCTTCCCACCAGGATTGGGCGTCCAGTGAGCAGCGACTTCATTGACGCATAGCCCAGTTGGGAATCCCAACCCGGACTTCAGAGCGCTTCCGGTCCCGAGGCCAGGATTGTTGAGTAAGGCACGAATGCTATCGTCCATGCCGGAGGCGACTCCTGTGAGGCTCACGCCTGGCTTGGCGTACTGCTGGACCCAGGCCCGAGTCTGGCGGTGGACTTCAGCGGCATGGCGGTAGTCGTTGAGAAAGACAGGGTCTTCGATGTTGGTCCGGGTCAGTGCTCGGAGCTCAGCTTGGGTCGTACGCTTGGTGCTTTCCTCGCTGGGTGGATAGTCGAGAAGCTGGCCGGTCAGGAAAGTTCCAGCTGGAAAGAGGTCGGCAATTGGGATGCTCGGCGGTGACGTCTGATGCTTCGAAGAGCCATTCTTGCTCTTCTTGGACTTAGATCGCTTCTTTTTCTTCTTTGACTTAGAAGAGGTCAAGGTTACAGCGGAAGTCTCGGCCTTCGCAATGCCGTCGTCATCGTCATCGTCAGACCCTCCAGCGGCACCATTGGAGCCCAGACATCCGTCGCCGTCGCCAGGAGCTGGTCCATTGCGTCCTGCTGCAACGTTGTTGGTGGCATTGGACAGAGGTGGGGGACCTATTATGGTCAAATGAGGCAATACTTGAGGCAATCCCACTGACCTTGATGGTGGCCTTGATCATTTTGTGGCGTCTTGGAACCCATGATTGCATCTGAAAGCTACGAGGAGGACTCGGCAAAATAAACGTGTAGAGAAGAGAGAAAAGAGGATCGAGCAGAACGCCAAGTCAGGCCGTCTCTAATTGTAAGCCGTCTCGGCACAGGAAGTCGTCTCGCACCGCAGAACGTCTCACCCCTCTCTCGGGACAGATAGAACTGACGTCGCAATCCCGAAGAGGCAAGACACCTGCCGATTTTGCTTGCGACGGCCCCAAGGTACAAGAAGGGCTTGAGCGCTCGTTGGTGTCGTCCCGGCCAGCCTTGAGGACTACCTCGGCCCGCAGACAGATAGAACTTCCAGTTAGGAAGGAAGGCTGCCTCTTCCGAAAATCAGTACTTCTTACTGCTGGCAGCCACGCGACATCACGGCATGAGTGAGCAACTTCCTCCCCATCTAAGTCAGCTGCATTCGAAGACATCTATATTTGGCTCAAATACTTGGTAGTGGTGTCAGCACTGGCAGCGCATCGTCGCTCATTTCATCGGCGTTGCCAAGCGCTATGCCTTACCTACAACTCGACGTGAATGACCACTACCCAACCGCCACCAAAAAGCAACTAGCAACATCAATGATCTCAACCTACGCCCGCCTAATGACAGTCGATCCTCGGCGCATCAGCATCGCCATCCGCGAGCTGGGCGAGGGGAGTATCTGGCGAAGCCCCGTCGAAGGCAACAGCGAGCCAGAGCCGTGCCAGTAGCAGTGTTGATGCTTGACATTCGACGCGGTCGCCCGAGTCAGCTGCGCATGGATGTCGCAAAGGCACTCTGTGCTCACTGCATCGACGTGCTTGGCTTGAGGGAGGACAGGCTCAATGTTGAGTTCACGCAGCATGATGGCGACGAGATGTATCATCCGACGCTTGGAGGATTCAGTCCAGAGTGGAGCAGGGATGAAGTTTGAGATATGGTCACTCGTACCACATATACAGCAAGCAGTATGGGTCTGATGGTTCTCAGCCTCCACCGCCACCTGTCTCTATCCCGACACCGACCCACCCCTCAATCCTCTGCACCAATTCTTTTATCCTGAACGGCTTGCTGACTATATCATCCATCCCCACCTTGCGTGCATCCATCATCTGCTCTGGCCGGACATTTGCTGTCACCGCCACGACGGGAATATGCCGTTTGATTACGCCTTCCGCCTCTAAGCGACGGATATGCGTGACGCATTCCAAACCGCCCATCTCTGGCATTTCGAGGTCCATGAGGATGATGTTGATCGGAGCTGGTGAAGAAGAGTTAGGTCGAGATGACGATGTTGCTGTTGTGGCTGGTTTCGTGAGAGTCGTCGGTAGTGGTTTCGCTGCCGAGGCTGCCGCTCTTCTGTGAGAGGGCGAAGTGGACGAGGCCGCTCTTCTGTGGGAGGCCGATGTAGTAGAGGACGATGATGTGTACAAATCCGTGGTCTTAAGATACTCGAGGGCGAGCACGCCATTGTCCGCCGTGCTGACGATACACCCGGCCTTCTCGAGCTGTTTGCGTACGATGCGTTGGTTTACGAGGTTGTCTTCCACAATCAGTACATGGATTTTCCTTGATGGGTTGACCACATTGGCGGGGCTGCCACCGCCACCCTGCTCTGAGATGGGCTTCATGAATGCTCGTGGTAACGACGGGTCAGGACCAGGTGTGATTGGAACGGTCTCTGCATGAGTTGTGAGTTGCGAATCGCTAATGTTGACCTTCTGCCGCGCTCCGCTGGACGGTTGCGGGTCGTCACCTTGCACTGGGACGGGATCTGGGCGCTCTGTTGAGGCAGACAAAGCCACCTTCGGAGCCCCAACACTGCCACTTGCGTTAGGGTCAGCAGCCCGTCGGCATTGGATGAAGAAGCCGAATGTGCTTCCAACTCCCGCTTCTGATGCGGCGCCTATCTGCCCCCCATGCAACTCTGCAAGTTGCCGAGAGATGAAGAGTCCGAGCCCGCTTCCGCCGTACTGAGCATGTGTCCGTGGCGAAGCCTGAGCAAAGCGCTCGAACAGCCGTTGCTTCTCCTCAGACGTAAGGCCACAGCCAGAGTCTGTGACTTTGACCCGTATAAACAGCTCGCTACCACTGCCCCATTCCGGACTCGCGGTGACATCGTGCGCCGAGTTAGGCTCTCTGACCGGCACATAGTGAAACCCTTTCGTTTGAGGAATAGGAGGACTCAAGGATGCGCCAATAAACACAGAGATGAACCGCTGGCGTGATTGCTGTGTGAACTTGATGGCGTTCGTGAGCAGGTTGACAGTCATCTGCAGCACCCGCCCGGGATCAAGCATCACCCAATCAATGTTCAAGTCGCGCATGGAGGGGTGCAGATGTAGACTCAGGTCTATCCGCTTGGACTGCGTCTCGTTCCGGAACATATTCATGGCCTGCTGTATAACGCTGACCGGTTGGATGGGTTGAGGACAAATAACCAGCAAATTCGAATTCAACTTTGATATTGTGAGGATATCATCAACAATGGACTTCTGATGCTGTACGCACAGAGATATGGTGTTTGCTGCCTCAATACATTCTGTGACAACCTTTGTAGAGTGCTCCTCGAAGTGGTGTTGCTGAAGAGATTCTCGAATGTCTTCTGCGCAGATCAGGACAGCGCTTAGCGGGTTCCTCATCTCGTGGGATGTGATGTCGATGAAGGCGTTCTGCTGAATCTTAGTCTCCTCTGCCTCGCGTAGACGCTGGTCCTGAAGTCTGCGAGCAAAGTGAAGATGGCTAATATCTGTGATTGACCCCATGACACTTCGTATCTCGCCGTCCTGTCCGATTTCTGGCAGGGCGGAGGCAAGCACCCATGGTTCTATGGGTTTTCCAGTCGTTTCGTCGATTTCAGTATTGTAGTTGTGATTCATGAGTATTTCTTCTGACACAACTCTTCGCTCGGCTGTAAGTCTTGTCCACATCTGTATAGCTAGAGGCATGTTAGACTCGTGTACAGTCTCCATGAATGACATAGAAGACTGTTCCTTCGCGTTGTTGGTCATCTCGTAGTAGCGGTCATTGGCCTCAAGGAGGACTCCGTCAGGAGAGATGAGGAACATTCCCAAAGGCGAGAGCTCTGTCATGCGTTTCTGACGACTTGTCTGCAGAGCAAGCTCCTCTGTCAAGCGCTCTTGCTGCAACGCGGCGACTTCAGCGGCAGTGCGATTTTTGCGGGCTTCATCTTCCGAAGCCATGATAGACGCTAGAGTTGTCGTCAGTTGTCGAATCAGCATGGCGATGAAGGTCTGGTAGTCATGATCGTATTGCCTGCGTGGGTTCAGCCCGATAGTCAAGATACCAAGTGTGTTCTCTCCATTAGTCGAAGTCACAGGAATGACCAGAACCTCTTTCGAGGGGATCTCAAAGCCGCCATACTGTATGCCTTCAAGTAGCACCTCAGGAAGCGTGTCGTCCTCATCTCGTAGCAAGATAGGTGCGTTAGCTAATACTGCGTCCCGTAGATGAGGTATGATACCATCTGTACTTTGGAAGTCAACCTTGGCTATAGCCGCCGGATGTGTCGCAGGAACGCCTATGGTGCCCTGCAGCGTAGCGCGCTTCGATATTATGTTACTGGATGAGGAGTTCGATGCTGAGTCACTTCCCTCATGCTCCCCAACCGAGTACACTGTTGCGAAAACGATGTCGTATGGATTGCTCTCGAGTCCAGCAATGACGCCTTTCCAGAATTGGCCGACAGACCTCGCCCCCGCAACTTCTTCGCCCAGACGTTGCAGAGTCTCCATTCGTCTACTACTGACAGTTTGGTATGTCGTCTCGAAGGGTGCATTGTAGAATCCCAACAAATGCGCACCTTTGTCGTACATGGGTACAAAGGACCAAGAGAAGAAGGTCTCTTCGAGATAGCCATACCTCTCGATAAGTAACCGATCGTTCTCCTTGCGTATACTTTGGCCGGTCCGGGCACACTCTTCGAACAAGGCTTTGACGCCCGACCAGAGCTCACCAAACGGCCCAAAGAAGCCCGAACCCATCAGAACGGGATGCTTGTTACCAGCTACCTCTATCCTGTAGGCATCGTTGTACAACATGGTGAGCTCCTGGCCCCAAAAGAGAGCGCACGGATGAGGATTGTGCATGACAAGGTTGGCAAGGTCACGAAACTCCGGGGTCCAGCTAGAAATGGAGCCGAGAGGCGTAGTGCCCCAGTCTGTGCTGCGAGCGAACTCTTCATGCTGCGTCAGTCTGCCCTTCGGCTTTTTGGCAGTCCAGTCTGCTGACAATGCTTGGAGTTGGTCGTCCGCGAATGCGATCTTCTGGTCCTCGACCGTTGGTGGTGGTTTAGGATCATAGAGCGCGTTGCGCGAGTGAGATGCTAGCCTTGCTCCAGAAATGCTGCTACTGCTGAGGGTCCTCGAGTGAGTCGATCGTGAAGAAGAGGTTGTCTCTGACTGATGTCGGCAGACATTAGCGGCGACAACTCTGTAGTGACTTTCCACCACATATGTTGACCAGCAGACGCCGCCATATTCAACGTTAGCGCGATCCGGGTGAGGTGGCGGGCGCGTGTCGAAAAGCCAGCGACGGAAGTGGCGGTGTCTCCGGCTTGTCCTTTCCGATGAATCTAAAGAAGCGGCAGCGACGATGCTTCGGAGGAGTGCTTCATCGTCCAGAAGAGCCTTGTTGCAGAAGGCCGTTTGAAGTGGAACATCATCAGCGACAGGTGCGCTGCCGATGTCCAAAACGAACGTAGGTCGTGGATCATGGTCCAGATACTGGTGTAAGGATAGTGTGACCAGGTCGGAATCTCCGGCGGCGGAAGGCGCCATGCCGGGCGCCAGATCGGCAGGCGTCCTCCTAGACGAGGCAACTCGTCGGTGCAGTAGCGAGATACACGTGCCGGATTGTCATGCTGACTAGGCGCTGCATCGACACTGCAGTGGAAGCACGAAAGTCGCAACCCAGCAAAGCGGGCGCGAATCTGTACACGAATGGGGCCTCTATCAGGAGGGCGCCCGATCGTGATTGCCGTCTCGGGGATCGAGCGTAGGCTGAAATCAGAACTCGAAGGGGACTGCCACCCGGAACAGGGCTTCCGCAACTGGCAGCGAATAAAACTTTCAAGCAATTCCGAACTACGTGTCGCTGCAGGTTGAAGCCAGCATCGACAAAGTACTTCCGAACAATTGACCGACGAGGCATCACATAGACGTTGCTACATTCTGTGTCGCCACACACTAGCTGTGTTGTAGGAGAATTAGATGTCTAGACTCCAGGGCTGGCCTAGATTGAAACACGTCTCCTGCCATCTAAGTTGTCGGAAATGTATTCCTTGAATTCCCGGCTCAAGACCTATTTCGTTACCAATGTTGGTGGATAATATATCATTCATACAGCAGCCACTTTGCGCAGCATCTTATGAGCCTCAATCCCAAGCAGCGCCCCAATCATCATCGTCAGCTTTCTCTACTTTGGGCTTCAGCACGTCTTTCTTCACCGCCTGGACCTTCGCTTTTGGCGCCGCTACAACTCCAGCAGACGCACTCCTACCCGGTGCGGCGGGCCTTGGCGCAAGCTTGCTCGTGTTGGTAGTATTCGTTGCTGCTTTTGTAAGACCTTTTGGCGCAGCCTTGCCGACCGTCTTCGCCTTTGACTGCGCAGCGAGCCAGCCGGCGAAGTCTGGCTCGCCACCGTCGTCGTACGCTGCTGTAGGTGTTGACGTCGCGCTAGGACCTGTCTTTGACTTGGATGACTTTGCAGCGGGCGCATCGAAGAAGTTGTCTTCTTCCTCGTCCATCTCGCCCCAGGCGTCGAGGACATCATCATCATTATCGAAGTCTGCCGTGTCGTCCATGATGTTGGTGCTCGAATTTGCCGGAGCTACTTTTGCTGCTGGTGGGGCTGCGGACGCTGGTCTGTGGACCTGGACCGTCGGTGTCGCTCGCCCTGATGGTGGAAGTGATTGTGCGTGGTTTGCGGTGCCATTGGTAGGAGCGGCGCTTTGCATTTCGCCCTTGGCGGTCGTGAGTTTGTTCGTGAACGAAGAGATTGCCCAGCCTGCCCATGAACTGTCGTTCTGGTTGCCGATCCTTGCTGGGGCAGCACTTGGATTGTTTGCCGTTTCGGGCGGGATCGCAGTTTCTGGCAAAGTTGCCGCGTATTTTCTGACTCGTGCTAGATATGTGTCGAAGGTCTTGTTGGCCTGGTCCCGGACAATTTTCTCCTTGTCTACAAGCGATTGAACAAGGACTGGCAATAGCTTTGCAGCGCAGTCGTCTTCGCTGAAAACGTCGAGTGTGGCGTTCAGCGCCATCAGAGCAGCCATTCGGGCGTGTACGAATGGATCTCGTAATGACCTTGTGAAAGCTGCAATGAGGACTTTGGCTCTTGAGCCGACACCGAGGTTGCGGGCAATCTTGCCCAGACATATCGTGGTATTTGTCCTGATACCGGGCTGCTCGTCGTTGGCAGTCTTAGCCAGGAAGCGGAGCAGTTCTCCGTTGATAGTGCGATCTGCTAACTTAGTGATGACCACCAAGACGGCCTTGACTGTCTGCTCCCTTATCACAGGTGCAGTGTCTGTGAAGCCAGTCGTCATGGCGGGCCAGACCTTGCCGTTGATGTCCTTTTGTGACATGCGATCTATCATGAGTGGGAGGTGGTCTAGCAGAGCGACCCTGATTTGGCGGTCGGGCATCTGGAACAGTCGCAGTAGCACTGGCGTTAGTCTGGCCTCGAACTCGTCGTCTGTCATCTTGATGCTGATCTTCATGATAGCAGACACGACGCTGGGCCCTCCGCCACCGAACTCGACCGACTTCAAAAGCTCTGGTAGAATCTTGGACTTGAAGAAGTCTTCCGGAAAATCATCTGATAGCTTGTCCAACTCTTGTAAGAAGTCATCGCGCTCCTCATGGTTCATAAGTCCCAGATTATCTGCGCTCTCCGTTATATTGATAAGCGGAGTCTGGAGGAAACTGCCGGCCTTCTTTCCCTGTTCTAGGAAGTGCGCCGGACTGAGTCTGACTTTCGGATTGGCGTTGATCAGACGCTTATAGCTGGGTGCGATCGATCCCGGTATGCTCTTCGGCTGAGTCAACTGATCTGTTCCGTGGAAGACGCCATTGAATGCCTCGTAAACCAAGGTACCTAGCCCATATGCATCCGCTGCCGTAAGAGGATGCTTCTTGATCACACTCCAGCCGTTGGCGGCCACCTCAGGCGGAGCATACCGATTGGCGTCTGGCAGCAGAGTGCCATAGTTGTATATCACAGCGTCGTCCTCGTTCAGCGAACTGAGCACCTCAAAGCCTCCCAGCTTCCACTCGCCAGCCTCATTCGCAAATATTGAAGCCACTCGCACAGCGCCATGGACAGACGAAGCGTCGCCGTTGATGAATTTGAGCGTCGTTGCAATGCTATGCAAGCCCCATTTGATGGTCTCCGGACTGAGACTCTTCCTCTTGACATGCCAGCTCAGCGGTGTGACGCGCTCTGTAACGAGGTATATCGTCGCCTCGGTTTCTATGACATCGACAGTCTTGATCACGCCCGGATGGCGGAGAGTACGTAGTTTCCTAATGGCGTTCTTCGCAAGGGGTAGCCGTGACCTGTTGGCATTGATATCGAAGGAGAAGACGCAGACAGCCGAGCCGTCATCCTATCACTCAGTCAGTATGCTATGACAAGGCTGACTTTTGATTCACGCGTGCCTTCTTTGTTCCATTACACAAATTCCATATTGACTCGTTGCTATCAATGCGATCGCCAATGGTATATGGAAATGAACTCGACTTGGCGATTGCTGATGCTACCGCCGACTTCAGGAAATCCATAAGGAGACCAGACCCAGCGATTCAATCACGATCGTCGCACAGTCTGCGTCACCGCATCATGAGATGTTGTATCAAAGACAATGAGGTGTCCCTGTACGACGACGCGCCTTCAATTATCGATGCCGCCCGTACCAATGATTTTCCCCGCGATTTCCTTTCCCGCTCCCCAAAATAACTTTACAATGCCCCCCACTCGACCACATATCCTACACTCGTAGTCAACGAGCACTACACTACTTGACACACTCTCGTTCAACTCAGACCCAGCAAGTACAGTGGGCGGCCTCGATCAGCCGTGTTATATCGACTTCGCCCTGGAGGCCTTGCCCACCATGCAAGTCATCACCGCCGAGCGTCCCTCCGCACGCCGCACCCCCTCCACCAACATCCCCCGCGAGGCCTCCTACCGCCCACACGAAGGCAAGTTCGCCATCATCACAGGCGGGTCTCGCGGCATCGGCGCCGCCATAGCCAAGAACCTCGCCGTCAAAGGCTGCTCTCTCCTCCTAGTCTACACCTCCGACTCCTCCGCCGAACCCACCCAACGCCTCTGCGAACAACTACAATCCACCCACAACATCTCCTGCCACCCCACCCAAGCCGACCTCTCCGACCCAACCCGCTCCGCCCCCTACATCATCTCCACCGCCAAATCCAAATTCTCCCACCCGCGAACCGGCGCCTTCAGATTGACATCCTCATCAACTGCGCCGGCATAGCGGGGAACAAGTCCCTCAACGACACCAAACTCGGCCCGATCGAAATAACCCAATTCAACGCACAATACCACGTCAACGTCCTCGCCCCTTTACTCCTCACACAAGCAGCCGAGCCCTACCTGCCCAAAGACCGCTCCGGCCGGATCGTCAACGTCAGCAGTGTCAGCGCCTCCATCGGCTGCGAAGGCCAGTCAATCTACGCGGGCACCAAAGCCGCGCTGGAAGCCATGACGCGCGTGCACGCCCGCGAACTGGCTTCGCGAGCGACAGTCAACGCAATCAACCCTGGGCCCGTGTGGGGAGACATGTACGCCCAAGCAGGCAAGGAGTTTTGGGATGTGAATCAGAAGTACGTTGATGGAGCGCCGCTGATGGATTATGAGGATGCGGAGGAGCATAAAGTGAAGGCGGGAGGTGGAGAGAAGGGGGAGGAGTATGATCGGATTGTGAGGGAGGGGATGGGTGGGCGGAGGCCAGCGTGGCCAGAGGAGGTGGCGGGCGTGGTAGGCATGTTGTGTTCGGAAGATGGGGGATGGTGTACGGGGAGTGTGGTTTGTGCGAATGGGGGGATGAAGATGAGTATTGCTTGATGTCGGGGTGGTTTGGTGTAATTACCTGTTGAGCTGTCCGAAGGGGTAGAGAGCATCCTTAGGTGGCGTAGCGGAGGTCATTTTCAGCCGAATAGAAGCTTTTTTGCTGCATCAATAAGGCCCTGCATCGGGGAGGGAGAGGCCATGTTAGGGAAAGGAAGGTCGGCCAATGGTTCATAAAACCCCTACTGCATATTGCAGACGGAGGTGTGCTGTTCATTCGTGAAGATATTGCAAAAGGAAAGGGCCACTTGCTTCAACTTGTCCGTACTCTATTCCAGCCGCGGGACAGCAAACTTCTCCCTTTCCGCTCAGATGTGTATGTGGGTTCCACCCTCTTGTCCCGTTCTCTTCCTATGTACAGCGTCCGCTTTGGGAGAAACGTGGGGTGCGGTGTCTCCTGGCTCGGAAGACATCGTAGGCCCGTCGTTGTGGGACGTCCTGGCCGGCGTGATCGAAGTGAGTATAAGAGCAGTCCGCCAGAAGCTTCGTTCTCTCCGATATTGTGCAAAATGTTGCTGGTGTGGTTGTCTCGTCAATCTGACCCTGTTCCGCTCAATTGTGTATCTCTGAAACCTCCTGAACGCCTCGCTAATGCTTCAATGAAATCTCAGATGGTGCCAAAGTCAGGCACGTCCGACAAGTGGCCCGAAAGGGTATCTCTGTAGTGAATGAATGCTCCTGCTGAGCTCACGCAATGCCGCTCGTCGCGTTGTTGCTCTTCCACACACCTCCACCCAACGCCTTGGTCAATCCAACCGCCAGTCCAATGATCAAGCCGACCATGATGAGGGCAAGCAGGATCTTGATTATGAGCCTCTGACGTTGAGGAATGCTCTTCCATCGACTGACCTTGGGTTTGGTCATGCAACGATTCAGCGTCGACCCTTGTTGCATTCGTCTTGCCCACGGTACCTGCCACTTTCCGTTTCTGACCACGCCAGAGTCATTGCTGTTCCTCTTTTCGAGCGCGGGTGAGGAGCCTTTGTGAGTGTTGGTAGACACAGGCGTGATGCCGGACTCGAGATCTCGCACGGCAATGCTGATGTCTGGACGAGACTTGTTCTCAGATTGGCGAGGTGAGTCGTGGTTGTAGAGATAGAATGGTGAGCAGATTTTGGCATTGACGCAAGGGTCGAACTCGGATTTCGGCCGGTTGTGTTGGGCAGTGTCGAGGTGGTCTGGGTGGGTGTCGTCGAAGGACAGGCGGGGTGAGGGTTGGGAGAGGAGGGCGGGCTCTGGCTTTTCAAGACCCATGGTCGATAATGTTGCTGATATAGTCTTCTTGATAGAGTGTACTCAGTATGGGCGAGGCAAAGCTGTTGGATCCTGTTGAAGCAGGTCCCGGTTGGTTTGCAGTCAGGCTGCTATGAGACTGTTGGATATGGGATTCCTTGCTGTTTGAAGGCGTCTGCTGCAGACGATGTTTCGGAGGGTCGATCACTGATCCGAGTGAGGTCACGGTGGGGTGGTAGTAACACAATGATACACGTTATTTGAGGTGGCTGAGTGAACAAGCAAGATGCTGCAGAACAGTCCTGCGAGTTGTTCTTGCAGGCTGGGCCGTCGTGGAGTTCGGAAGTCGCGACTGATGCTGCGGCCACTGGGGTAGATCGGCTGTGCCTGAAATCTCGTGTTCGATTTCCGTCGAAATGGAATCGACCTTGCGATTTCTGCTATGTGCAGCCTGTCAGTATGTATGTCGTGGTTTCGACCTGCTGCAACAACAGAGGTGACACGACACGGAAGACACGCTCGTTGGCACATCCGCAGCATATCAAGTTCAAAGGTGGTAGGGTCTGGAACCGGGCGGTGCTTCGATTCCCCGTTAGGCGTAGCTTTCAGGTACGGGCAGAGAGCGGGAAGTCTGGATATTGTGTGGAAATTGCATTGATTCGCCATTCGAATCTTGCCAACACCATTACTCTGCAGTAGTTCTACAGGGGAGCCATGCCTGTTCCTGATGATCGCAATCACTTACGGTTAGGTGCGCCGGATAGGTCCAGGCACGCGAGACAAGATTTCTCGCTTGGGGGTTTCAAGGTGCCAAGTTGGCGATAAGAATCTCCATCTGATGTTCTTGAGTCCTCCACTGTAGAGATGACCAAGATGCCAATCGAGATCGCAATCTTGTTGGGACCTCGTCGACGAGGGTATGGAAGACGGGATTCACGTGTCTGCGCATAACTGCCGGCTATGACACCAGCAGCCTCCGCGTTCTGGAGCTTCTCGCCGACGGTGATGAGCTTGAGCATGACGCTTCGATAACCGCATCGTCCGAAACCTAAGAGCTCGTAAAATCGCCGCCGCGCTATTGCTGGAACCCGCAACTCTGTCTCAATTTAGGAGCACGGATGTTATATCAGCGGCAATCGAAAGGTCATCGAACACAAGACCGCAGCGCCATCGCAGCGGCTCAACAAGACAAGAAAATGTCCATCGATAAATCATCAGCCTCATCAGCATTAATCATCAATAACGAATACCTGATGCGGACTTTTGGTCAGCCTAATCTCTATGGCGAAACGCCATGAACCCAACGCTATGATATGGTTCGCAAACATGCCATGTCCTCCCTATGCTTTCGCGAAACCCCAACAAAAGCATCAATATTTTGCGTCACGCGGACGATTCAAGTCCTAAAGAAGTCATCTCTCGTGATATGACTCTTGTCGCACATCCCTCTGAAGATTCCTCCACGATCGAACAGGCTGACTGGAGTGTCCAACTCAGCAATTTGTCCCTGGTCCATGACGCAAATGCGATCATAATTGATGATGGTCTTGAGCCTGTGCGCTATACACAGCAGTGTCTTGCCCTCGAAGCCTTCTCGAATTGTCTTCTGAATGCGCTCGTCCGTTTCAAAATCGACTGAAGAGGTCGCTTCGTCACAGACAATAATCTGTGAGTTGCGCACTAGCGCTCGGGCGAGAGCCATCAGCTGTCGCTGGCCGAGCGAGAAGTTCAGACCTTCATCCTCGACGATGCTGTCGAGGTGGATGCGCTTCTCGGTGCCTGCTGTTGGCGAGTTGACCACAGACGTTGATGTGAAGCCGGTCTCGGCAGTATGTGGTCTAACGTCTTTGGTCGGACTAAGTGGTGAATCGTCTCCAATCAAGTCAGCTTTCCGCAACGCTGACCACAGCTCGAGATCAGAATGTTCGCCAAATGGGTCCAGATTCGAGCGGACTGTGCCTTTGAATAACGTTGGGTCTTGCGGGATGATCGCCAAGCGTGATCGAAGGTCGGCAAGTCCAACAGTGGCGATATCGATGTCGTCGATCTTGATCGAGCCTCCAGACAACTCGTTGAGACGGAACAAGGCTGACATGATGCTGGATTTCCCTGCGCCTGTTCGGCCTACAATGCCAATCCGCTCGCCCCCACGGATCTGCATGTCAAGTCCTCGGAGCACGAGTGGCAATTCGGCCCGATACCGCATCTCCACGTTGTTGAACGAGATCTGACCTGCTTGCGGCCAGCTGTCAGGCACTTCACGCTGCTTCAGTGGTGCTTCCTGATCGAGCTGCGTTCCGTAATAGTGCAGTCGCTCCGTGGCGTTCATGTTGTTCTCCACCTCAGCGAGCTGCCGGACAGTGAACTGAATCATCTGGACGATGGAGAGAATATACGATAGCACCAGACCAGCAATGCTAGGGTTGACATTAAACCGATCCGTAACAACAAGAATGGCAGTCGTGAGGACCAGCAAGTTGCCGATAGCGTCAAGCCTAACGGCTAGCCATCGCTGGTTAGCAAAGGTGAGATAGTACGCCGAGTTCATGTCGTCCATGGCTTCCCTGACGCGGTTGACAAAGTACTTTTGCATGCCATATGCGCGAATTGATGCGACACCAGAGATAGATTCCGAGAAGCGAGCAAAGACCGAGGACCGAAGGACAGCTTCATGTCGCTTGAGCTCCCTTGCGGACGTTCGATAGTAACTGGCTGCGAAGCAGAACAAGATGAATAGCGGGCCTAAGGCGACCGCGAAGAAGTGAAAGTACGCAATGATCAGCGCAAAGACCGAGACGATCATGCCAAGCGTGAGGAAATACATCCTCATCGCGTCCGTCAGATTATTGTCCATGGAATCCACGTCTTTGGAGAAGCGATTAGTGATCCGCCCCAACGGTGTCGTATCGAAGAAGGACATTGGTGCCCTCAAAACACTGGTAAGTGCGTTGTGCAGAAGTGTTTTACTGGAGTTGGTACCAGCTGTCGACAGAATCGTGGAGAAAGCAAACATCAACAAGGCCTGGATGACACCAAGACCGGCATACAGCCCGATGTAAGCACCTGTTGCCCAGCCCCAGTGGTCGCTGACCCACCACGACAGCCACAGACTTGTCACAATGTTCGAACCTTGAGAAGCAACCAGTGAGAGGAAGATCAGCGGCCAGATGAACCAGGATCCGGAGGCTTTCATGTATGCTCCCCAGACGTCCCAGCTGACAGACTCGACAGCTCTCTCTTCCTTCTGCATCAAAGCCGCTGCCTTTTTCTTCTTTTTGCTGTCTTTGGGCTTGTTCTCTTGGTCTTCTGGATTCACAGCTTTCACTGCTGCATCGTCTTCTTGAGCAGTCGTGGCCATGAGCTTCTGAAAATCGACACTGTTGGCCATTAGATTAGCGTACGTGTCGACAGCTTGGATGTGTCCATCTTCCATCCATACAATCCGATCGCATCGGTTCAGCACGTGAAGCTGATGAGTTGCTAGGATGCGGCACTTATCCTTCATGAGCCCGCAGATGGCATTATCCATGATGTGTCTTCCAACGTGTGCATCAACGGCTGATAGCGGATCATCCATGAGAACGATGTCAGCATCGAAGTAGATGGCACGGGCGATATTCAATCTCTGCTTTTGCCCACCAGAAAGCGTGATTCCTCTTTCGCCGATCTCGGTCTGATCGCCCGCAGGCAAGATCTGGAGGTCTGGCCGAAGCGCACACGCATCGATGACTGAATTGTACCATTTGGTGTTGTATGGCTTACCGAACAGAATGTTCTCCTTGAGAGTGGTGTTCTGGATCCAGGCGTACTGTGGACAGAAGGCACGACTGCCAGCCATTTGCACCTTCCCTCCGGTCTTCCTCATGTCCCCTGCCAAAGCCGCCAGGAGCGATGTCTTGCCACTTCCCACTGTACCGATTACAGCAATCAGCTCCTTCCGCCCTACACTAAGCTCGATGTCGTGTATTCTGAACGGCTCAGTGGCTGTCGTCTCACTGGATGCATCACTGTCGACAGGCTTCTCGCCCTTCTTTATGCTCATGCGCTTCTCCTTTCCTTCCTTTTTAGCGGCTTTCTTTGCAGCTTCTTTGGCTGCTTTAGCGTCTTTGAGGTCTTTCCTGGTCTGGAAGGTTGCGACTTTGTCTTTATCGACCGTTGCTGTCCTTTCCCAGGTGAAAGACGCATCGTCAACTTGCACAGCCGGCTCCATGTCATCATCCCATATGACCTCATCACCTTGCTCTTCCTCCAGCAAGAACTCTTGTATCCTGCCCATGGATGCGGAGGCATCGGTGACCTGACCGATGACAAGGGGCAGCAAATTCAGTGGAAGACGTAAAGAGTTGAACAGAGCAAGAGACGAGAAGACTCTAGCCGGATCCAGATTGTGACTTGTCAGAGAGTACGTGATGAAAGACAACATCGAGCGAATACCGGCATTGCCATCGCCAGGGCGTTAATTGCATTGCGGATACTCAGCAACACCTGGATCATGCGGATCTCACGCTTACGCAATTCCTTTAGTCGCTCCAGGAAGCTCGTTTCCCATCCAAAGAATTTGACAAACCTCACAGATGCGAGGATTTCCTGTGTCAAGCTGACTCTTTGGTCGGTTACTCTGTTGATCTTCTTTCTCCGCCGAAACAAAATCTTGATCGTCTTGGTCAATGCCGGAACGCAAATCACTATCAATGCATAGCCGGAAAGCGCACTATATCCAAGGTTGATGCACAGTACGACCAAAACGACGGCGATCTGGATCGGCGATGTCCAGACCAGATGAAACATGCCAGAGGCTTGATCAACGCGATACGTGTCGACGCTCATCAAGTTCACGATCTTGCCGTTGTTCCATCCGGTTCCGTCGCCAGATACTCCGGTACCCTTGTCTGGCGTAGCCTTTGGTCCAGTCTTGGGGTGCAACACGCCAGAGATTGCTCGCTGCAACGCTGGTCGATGAACCGACTTCTTCGACAGCGCCTCAAGTTCAGCGATACCATTCTGAGTCTGCTCGTGATCGAGTGCTTTCCCACCAGCTTTTGCACGACCAGACAACTTCAGTGATTTCTCGAATATGGCATTGATCAAGACTGCTCGAGCTTCGCCACCTACCACCATACCTCGGTAAATGAATTGATTGGTGGCTGTACTTTGACAGACCTGCATGAAGGTGATGCCAATCGCCAGCCAATGCCGTGGCCAACATTCGGCTCAGGTGAGCCAGTCTTGTCGGCGAGCCATGCCTGCTGAGCATAGGCTATTAAATACCTGGTAGTGAATGGCGAAAAGACCTGAAAAAGTGACGAGAACAGAGCGCAGAAGGCTCCTAGCAGGAATTCTTTCCGGTGCGCATCGTATAATGCCCAGAGCAAAGGATTTCGCTCCCCTCTGGACGCTCTCCGTTTGAAAGAGGACATCAGCCTGGACATGAGGACCTCCGAAGATCGTTCCGGATTCACAGTCCAGATATCGTTGACCTCAAGCGTACGCTTGTACCCGACCGTCATCAGTGGATGGATCCACTGGAATGTGAGCAAACTGAAGAACCCAGCATTGTATTCTCTCGAGACTTGTCTCTCCTTCGGTATTGGCGGTACTTTGCCACGTCTGAGAGGATTCAGTCTCCGATGCCATGGCCGCTTCGGTTGCTCGGCTTTGCTTTCGACGAAACTCGTGCCTGTAGCAGTCGTCGCTATCGATCTGGCAGACACAACCTTCTCCAATGTGCCGTCCTGGCTCTTTCCTCTACCAAGTGTCCGCAGAGCCGGCCGAGGCACTTGCAAGTACTGTTCTGGCTCATCGCGATTTACTAGCTCTGGCTCTGGCTGCTCTGTACTATTCTCGAGTGCCCTCTCGGCATCCTTCTCCGAGTCACGGCCGTTATGCGCCATCTGGATGTGTGCGCTGGGTGTGGGCGCAAATTTGCGTTGCTTCGGCTATCGGCACAGTGTAGGGAACGACACACTCAAGAGAGCCATACTACAAAACAAAGACGTCGCACGGTTGCAAACGAGCGGAAGTGTTGACTCAAGTCACCTGCACGTATATGAAGGAGTCATGCATCCGACCTAGGCGGCGAACTCCAGCACTTTGAGCGGTCGACGACGCATGACCAGCGGAAACATTTGAACTCATTCGACTGGCGACTTTCGCAGTGGTGTCGTAATGGAGAATGCGGCGCTGTGGTGGGGAAGCAAGATGAACTGTGGATGCTTGTTTACGACAAAATTCCCTTGCCGATTGGATCTTTAGGCGGTGAATACCTGGAACTGGGGGCGCTATTGGGTGGAAGCAGGGACGCCCGGGCGCATGGAGTGCATGGTTGCGAGGCTTGAATCTATGATCCCATTGACCGATTAACAATCAAAAGTCCCAATACCCCACCAAACAATGCGCTTCCGGCTGCCTCGGACATAAGAATTGGGCTTCCAGGCGTTGTTTTTGCCCTCCGAAAGGCGAAATGTCGATCGAGATTTCGAGAATCTTGGTGCGCTGATGAGTCTTCGATGGCCTGTTGCCTGGCCTGAGTCATACCACAGGACCTGATGAGGCTGTTGTTCCCTCTTATAACGGTACATGAGTGCGAGCTCGACGGACGTTCTGGAACTGCTTCGGGGCCGAATCACACTGGCATTGTTCAACGCAGGCAAGCAGTGGGGCAAATTGGAGTTCTTCCATCGACTACAATCCCATTCGCATTGATGCCGAGAGTTTGTTCTGTCATCCCGAGGCAACGCACTGGCGGCAGTGGGCTCCCGACGATGTGGCAACATACGGGAACTCATTGCGCGTCTTGCACTACGCGTAGCAAGCTACAGAAGCTCTGGTGTCCGATTCTGGTGTACGAGCGAGGTCCTCCCCGGAAGTGCGTGAAGCATTACTTCTTCAGACCCCAGTGTGGTAAACCCATTTGTTCATGCTAAGCGGCTTACTACAGTCTCGAACAGTAAGTTGCTCAGTACACAGACCAAGAATCAATACTATACGAGTATCTTCCGACCAGAATACTCGCCTGACATTAAATCGCAACCTATGCGCCGCTCACACCAGTCTCCTCTGTTATGCGTCAATATTCGTCCGCTTACAGCTCTCCTGCTGAACATTCAAGGTCCTCCTCAAACCTTCAATCTTCCTGTTGACTCCCTTCCAACTGTCATCCCCTAGGATAAACCTCAACAGCCTCTCTCCATTCTCCGGATCCCGCAATTCCTCCTCCCAAGAGCTACCTCGCAGATAAAGTCCGCCGCCTTCCTCGGACTCCCCGGTGCCAGCTTGTCCAATGTTTCGATATGCTTTAGACGTTCAGTCAATGGGTGCCCATCCTTGGCATACACACTCCTCTCTCGGTCTAGCACAATGTCCGCCCCAACCTGACCCATCGAGGTACGGAAGGCACCCAGCACGAAGCTGGCAACTCGGATGTCGAAGGGTGATACCTCGGAGGCGAGGCTTTCGGTGAGTGCTTCGAGAGCGTGTTTTGAGGCGGAGTAGACGCCTTGGCCGGTTGGGGCGATGAAGCCTGCGCCGGAGGAGATATTCAGAATCGTGCCGGAGCGCTGTAAGGGTAGTCAGTGGACGTCTCTGGTGAGTTAATGGACCGATAGGTGCCGAATGTTCTCAGGCGCAGAGCTCAGGCTCCTCGATCCACTTACTGCAAGCAACATACACACGTGTATGCGACGAGTAAGACAAACGGAAGCAGGCACAGCACAAGGACTCACCCTCTTCCGCATCGCCGGCAATACAGCCTTGGTCAATGCCACTGGCCCAAAAACATTTGTCCTCATCTGCTGCTCCCACTTCTCCATTGGCACATCCTCGATAGCCCCCAATACGCAGTATCCCGCGTTGTTCACCAGGATATTGATTCTCCCATGCAGCGATTCCGCGTGTTTCACGAACGCCTCTATCTGTGCATACGGAGCCGTGACGTCCAGGGTGAGGAAGTGCGCTTGTGCGTGCCCACTGAGCGGGTGGTGGTGGTAGTGAGAGGTGAGTTCGGCGACGATGTCGGGGTACTTGTTGGGGTTGCGGGCGGTGGCGATCACGTTGTGGCCGAGGGAGAGGGCATGGCGGGCGAGGGCCAGGCCGATACCTGTGCTGCTTCCTGTTATCAGCCAGACGGGGGCATCTGCTCCCTCCGCTCGATGGGGTGGGGAGGGCATTGTGCGTGTTCTGGATCGTGGCGGGGAAGCTGTCAGTTGTGCTGTTGCTGCCTTCTCAGACGCGTACGGCACAAGAGTTGCGGCAAGTGTTCAACGCTTCAATGAAACGGCGCCGGCAGACAAGCTGATGCATTCAGTGAGAGGCTGTGCCAGAGAGCATTTTGACGACAGTAGGAATGTCTCGCATTTATATTCGTGTTCCTGATTCCGTGCTGTCATCATTTCGCGTATACTCCCGACCCCATCCAGTACTAGGTACGTTATTGCGACAAGTTATGGAATGCCTTTCGCCATCGCGGCCATCGAATCGTCGCACCTCGGAACCATGACCATTGTCAATGATGACCGGAGTTATCAGAGCTCAATCTAGAAAATAGTGTTTAATGCAACCTGCTGACACGGCCGAGGGGCTCGGGGGTGCCAAGCTCAGGTACAGCTCATCGGCGTTTAGGCAGTCTGGGGGCGGCTTCGATTCTCGTTTTCGCACGAGATTGCCTGGACGAGTAGGTGCTCTACGCCTTTGACAGAAGGTCGATGCCGGGTGTTGAGCAGGGTGCCGTCGTCAATGAAGACGTATCGGACGATAAGATGAGCCGTAGGCGTCAGGTATATGAGGGCGGTGCACAGTGCATGGCACGCATCGCCTACGACCACCTGCATTCAAGTTCATCCACTTCAGCTTGAACCACCAGGACTGCCATCAATAGACTTTGCGCGAATACGGGATGCACAGCGACGAGGCTCGACAGAGCTCAACGTATACTCAGGTAGACAGCGTCTGCGGGACAGAGTCGTGCTACTTCGGCAAGCGAGCTCCGGCAGCGGACTGGTTGTATGAGACAGGTCAGTGACGACAAATTCATCTGGTCTCGACTCGAGCGTCCAACCGCGTCCAGATTGATGATACGATCGGTGGCGACCAATGCATGCTAGCTCGAGGATGCTCGATCTCGGACAGTCTCGATGGCACAGCCCGTCTGGGTGCTGTGAACAAGCTGATCTGTGACAGCATCAAAGAGACGAGCCGTTTGACGAGTACGCCTGCAGCCCCCGAGGGCTTTAGACAACGGATGTACAAGCCACATATCCAGACTCGAGACACGTCGCCGCGTGTGACAAGATGAAGTTGCACGCTGGTGTCCCATAGGCACGGTAAGTGTTGGGCAGCATGACATTCCTACCAATCGGGCGTCGCCATCAATATGTTCAGGGCAACCTAACTGAGTCTTCCTGAAGATGTCGTGCGGAAGTCAAAGTACATATGTCGACTTCATGCTGTATCTCAGGAAGTCCATGAGGGGTTCTCAAGGAATGACAGCGGACCGATTTCATGCACGACCGATGAATGCAGGTAACCGAGACAAACATTTCGATAATGGCATAGAGCCATTCTGAAGTCGCGTTGTAACAAAGATCGGAAAGGAGAGGATGTAGCCAGATTGTGTTGTACGGGACAACGCGTACTGTTCTCAGTACCTTCAGGTGAGCTGCTTCCACTTTTGGCGTCGGTTCGACATTTTCACCTGTTTTTGTGCGCAACAATTTTGCCGGGCATTGACGTCGCCGCTCGTCTCATGCGGCCACCTCAAGACCGTCATAATGTGTACGCATGAGATATGGACGTACGGGGAATGCGGCTGCCGTGTCGATCACCACATTCCATGCACTGAGGCAAGATACCGCGATGCCGTTTTATCCCAGTGCAAGCAGCATCTACCATCACGAGTCAGTAGCGAAAATGGCGCTCCTGAGAACGACCTGGTGTCGCCGCTGGCACGACTGGCGCAGCGAACTGCTGCCGCTTCAGAGCAGTCCTTCCGATCATGCTCAATCAACCGCACTGTAAATAAGAGCTTTCTGGAGCCGATCTGTGAGGAGTGTCTGTTAGAAGAGCTGCACCAGGACGAAGTGACGGGCTCGACTGAAGACAGAGGAAGACCCGCTGCACCGCAAGGCCTGGTATGGGACAGTAATGTCAAGATTGAGGTCAACGGCGTGCATTCGGAGCCACAGTCAGGATCGCCTGCCCCACAACAGCCACCAAGCGACACCAAGATACTCGAAAGCCATGTCGAAGTCCGCATCTCAGACGCTGGCACAGAGCGCACAGAGGCCTCCGTGGCAGAACGAGAGGCAAAAGAGCACGACTCAGCTCCGACGCCCTTCTCCAATGGCGATGCCGACTCAGAGTCGTCAGTGCCAGACACCTCCTTCCGCGGAAGAGCTCGCTCGCGAACGAAACAGCTTCGACGGATGGCGATGGACGTGTCAAGAGAAGATATCGGGCTGCGCGTTTCGTCTCGGCTGCCCTCTTTTCAGCGCCACAGTTTGCAGAACTTCAAGAATGAACTGCAGCGTGATGTGAGACATGTTGAGACGTCAGAAGCGAGTCCTGGCAAAGGCAAGAGTGCGAAGCCAGTACGAAACCTGATTCAGCGATTCGTAGATGCGCAGGAAGAAACATGGAAGAAGTCGAGATGTGCCATGGCCGGCTTGAGGGGAAAGATGGGTCGCAAGGAAAGAAGCACGGACGCGACACCGACATCCTCAGAGGCGAACTCGTCTGCGACAGTGAAGGAAGGAGCCACCAACAGCGCTGCGTCACCAACAAGAGTAGTCACGAATCAGTCTGCATCATCTGCAGAAAGCAGAGATGTTTCTTCCAGCGACCGAAGCGACAGCAACGGCAGCGTACCGCCAGAGAACTTCTATCTCCACCCGGACGATCCATTCCATCCAAATGTAGGTCAAAAGCCTCATCAAGCAGTGTGGAACCATTCAGAGTCTTCCGTACACTCTTGGAAGGACCATCTCTCCGTGGATCTGACGACTAAACGCTCCCGTAAGCGTCCTGGCTTCGTTTCCGATTCTGGCCATGGCGGCCGGCCCAAAGTCATCACCCATCCGACAGAGCACAACTTTTCCACATCAACGACTTCTACAGCTGTGTCCTCTAGGAACTGGACGACCACTATCCCTTCCGGCTCCTCGAACTCCTTCTCGCACCAGTCTTACGAATACTCCACAGCCAACGAAGATGACGCCCTCTATTGTGACCTTCGAGATGAGCAGAAGCGGCGATTGCTTTCGGCTTCGAGCAGTGTGCCATCCTTTCCGACTACAACAAATTCGGATCGTTCAGTCAGAGAACTTTCGGATCCGCTGCAGAGGCGGAGACTTGCATCACTGGTAGCTTCGGAGGACTTCGAGGAGCCAACGGCAAACGGCTATACGATGCAAGCACTCAACGGCATTGAGGAGGAGATGGCCATGGTCGGACTGATCGACAACCCTTGGAACACGAGAACAAGATCTACAAGCACAATGGAGGACCTCCCTGATACGCCCACAAAGGTCTCCCGGCAGAGAACCAAATCGAATGGGAATCTACAAGTCCAGACACCGCCCAATAGTAACATCGGTGCCAGTTTGAATGGCAACACGCCAGTGACAGCCGTTCGCGGCACGCAAGCCACAAGCACCGCACGGCAGCGTACAATGTCCAACGAGTCAATATCTAGCTTCGCTTCACGCGTCCAGGCTGCCGCTTCCACCAGGAATGGCCATTCATCACCGGTGGGTCAACAGACACACCACCTCTCCGCGATATCAGCATGCCAGACATTCGCACTAAAATCGTCTTCTACATCCCGCTCGCCAAATGAAGACGAAAGCAGCACGGCGCAGCAGTATGCCCTTGCAGGTCGGTCCTCTCCATCTCCAACGCCCTCGCCTGTAACGCCTGCCGCTGGAGTGATGAGCAGTAATGCTTTGGCACTTCACAGCTTGTCGACGCCATTCCATCATAGCCTGCAACCGCGATCACCGGGTTTCGGTGTGGGTAGTATTGGCGCTGTGCTGGATAGTGCTGGTTCTGATACTACGAGGACGAACGAGGATCTCGCGAGCTCTGATCCGAACAGAACCCACAGCGTTGATAACACTGCCATACGACCGCTGCCAAGCACGCCAGCAATGAAGCAGAATGGGACACGCACGCCAGAGATGGAACAAATATCCACACTCACCCTAAACACCACAAGTCCGACGTGTCTCTTCTCGTGTGTTTGGCTGAGAGAGCTGTGTCCCGGGCCAGTATCGGCCCATGGCAGCCCTTCCCTGACGCCTGTCAATGGAGAGTCCCTGCGCTGTGGACGCCTGCTGACGGGCTGGAAAGTCCGCAGCTGTTTGTGTCATGCTGATGGGATTGTGAGGTTTGCCGTCACAGACACTGATGCCAAGAGCGACGATGGCGCTTTCGACCAGGAAGAGAAAGAGAACGAGCCTCCATCCGCAACGCTACGGCAAATTTACGACAATTCTGGCAACGACGACGGCACCGGCGAAGTCATTGACCAACATCGCTTGGCAGATACATTGGAGCGAGAGTGCAGGAGTGTAGCGCCCGTCGTTCGATATGTGGTTGGGAGAGAGCTGTGCGAGGGCTGTATTCTACGAAGTGGTGTCACTTTGAGGTATTAGGGTGCATCGGACACAGGCACATCAGCAAAGCGAGATTAGGGGTCCCTTGAGGGCATGTTCGTATTAAAATTGGGTAGGGGCATGGTGGAATTGAGACACAAAAGCTGTGAAGATCTTGTGTGGAGATAATGATTGATCCTGAGTGCTACCATCGCATCACATGTGCTGATCGTGGTGCAAGACCATCCTGAGAAGAGACTTCCTCTGAAGTCAGCTCCCAATGCACTCCATCAGTCCAATCGCTCACTCTCAACGGAGGTTTTCTCGTCCTCCATGCGACCTGAATTCAAGATCGTAAAGGTGGCTCACCACTCGTAGGTTTGAGCTCAATACCAAAACATCGGGGTTTCTGCGCCAGCGTCCTCGCGGTTGACTTCTAAAATCCTCCATTGCTGGATATCCTGCGGGTGTCGTCCTCTCTCGCAGAGGCAGCACCGATTGCAGTGAGATGTTGTCTGGCTCCTATGACTCACGCGAAGCATTTTTCAATGGCGGCCACCCATTTACCCTGTTCGTTAATCCGGCTGCTGGTCTGGCTGTTGATCTAGTCGCTGGTCTCGTCATCGGTTCCATCATCGGAATCGTCGTTGGAGCCGTCGTTGGCCTGGACGCTGGCATGATCGTTGGCCGGGCTGTTGCTCTGAGCATTGGCCTGGCTGTCACCGATGGGTATAAAGCCGCCAGGCGGCCCCTGATGAGCGAGCCTGAAGCCAGTCTCCCGAACATACCGCTGTCGCCGTCGTTCCTTCCAATCAGCGACCATCTGTCTCGCTTCGCTGGCCGGGGTGCCTGCGGGAACCAACGCCTGAACCAGCTCATTGTTGTTCAGGAAGTCGCCTTGCGTGCTGACTCCCATTGCGCCAGGCGCAGCTACAGCATTTGGAGCTCTCGTAGTCTGGGCGAGAGCAGTTGGAACGTGGATTTCGGCCGCGTGTGGACGTTTGTACTCGCTCTCGGACAACTCGTCATGCGGGATAGTTTCCAAACCACAGTCTTGACGTAGTAGGATAGTTTCTCTGGGCGCTCGTCGACTTCGTCGCGAACCCAGCGCTGACCATGCCACATACTGCTGCCTTCCCAAGTAGTGGTCTCGCAATCCTTAGAGTCCGCCCTGAAAGGCATGTTGTCTTCAGCACGTGAGAATTGCCAGTCGTCGCACATCTGGGCAGCAACATAATCGATCTGAGCCTTTTTGCGCTCTAATGACTCGAGCTCCATACAGAAGACCTTACACGAGCGCGGGAGGCGGACTTTGTTGACGAAACCACTGCGGATGAAGAGGTGATGGTCGTTCTCCCAGAACCACCAGTCGGTATGTCGGAGAGTTATGGTGATGCAGCGGGGGTGGAAGTGAGGGAGTTTGTAGAGCTGGTTGAGTGCATTTCCGGGTTCGAGCATATAGAGTTGAGGGAAGATGCGGGCGTGCCCAAGCTCGACTGGAGGCGACTTGTCAACAGTACTGGACTCATCGCTTGGAGTAGTTGAGGGTTCGGGCCTAGAGATGAAGAGCGCACGCAGGCGTTGCTGAAAGTCACTGTGCTGTGCTGGCTGTATCCTTCGAGGGGCTGCTGACTTATCGCCATAGAGAAGTCGCTGCTTCCTCGTCTGCAATTCGGTCAAGGGAGAGCGATCCAGAGCAGTTAGCCAGAAGGTATGTTGCGCATTCTCCCAAAGGCGCCACCAAGATTCGTGGTAGACAGCTTGGCAAGTGGATAGTAAAGCAACGTCAGGAATATGTGGCGCAGTGTACTCTGGACGAGTGTAGACGGCATCAGGTCGGTAGGCTTTGTTCGGATCGACTGTAGCGTAGGAAGCTAGAGCATAGGTGAATATGATGGAGCGTATCTCAGATGGGATCGTGCTGAATAGCGCTGAATCGTTCTGAGGAGATGTTGAATTGACGAAGACAGTATGATGCTTTGAAGGGTATGCGGGTGGCATATTTGCGACGGATGATGTTTTCTGGGTCAGGGAGGACTTCTTGTCACAGCTTGAGGCCTTGGAAGGGAGGCACGCTTCGCCACAATGGAAGGGACGAGTCGAAAGGCGACGAAGCGGCGATGGCAGCCGAAAAGTAAAAGATGCGCGCACAAGGAAGCGACGACTTCTTGTGCTTGCTCAGTGAACGTCGAGGCACAATCGAAGCCTCGACGTGTCAACAAAATCCTGATTCTTGTACGGAGTACGACTATTTGGAAGTGGGGCATATGGTTGCCTAGGCGTGCCTGGCCTTGCCTAACCGAATGTGACAATCGTTGCCTGATTTTTGGCTTCGCGACCCCGAGAACCCCGCAAGCCACAAGCCAGGTTTACGCCGTGAACGACGTTGCTACCCAGTCGACTACGGCTGGTGCATGCAGCAAAGCCCACATACACCAAGGCAAACAACAACAGGTACAGCTCAAGCGTGTGTCCATCCAAACACAGACAATCTCAGAGCACTTCTATAAATTCCGGTACGCAACCACGGTTTCATCTCAATCTCATACATCGCACATTGGTAGCAACGACACACTGCTTAGAAGAGCCAAGTATTACCTTACCGTCGTACTTGCTTTTCGTTTGCAAACCACTTTTGACTTGTAGGGCGGTCCATCGCCACAAAAGGATCGCCGAGAAGGCGCAATGCTTTGCGAAACCTGATCCCATAGCGGACTAGCTGTTGGCCGCTTCACAGGTTCTTCTTGAGACAGATCTGCCGCCTCAATAATGGGGGGGCAGAACCTCTACCTCACGTACAAGCGTGACACAAGCCGGCTGCTGCATTGATTCATCAACACGTCTAATGGCATTGTCCGGTCGGGAGCGAGTGCTGAAGATCATCCACAACTGACACTCAATACTACTGGTCGTTCCACTGTGGCAGAAATTGTGCAGATGTCGGAATTGATAGCGAAGTTCCTCCAACCAATCCCTTCAGGAATTTTTGGCTTGTTTCGATCTGTCATCAAGGCGCGATCAATTACCTACGATGCCTTCCAACAAATCCTGAACGACAAGCCAGACCCGGAAATTGAGAGGAACAATGCAACTCACAAACACTTCATCGAATCGCTGACCAAGGCTTTCAACGCTTTAGGAGGCAAGTCCTTGACATCTCCGGCAGGCTCGATTGGTACAAAAGACGAACAAGATGGCGATGTAGATGACGCGACCTTCGAGAATCAGTTCTCAGCGATCCGTATCAGTGGTGATAGCGATGGCGGCAACGACACCGACGTCCCATCTGAAACCGAGTCCGCCCCGAGAGTAGGATTGCAGAGAAGGAGAGGCAAGGGAAAAGGCAAGAAAGGCAAACGGGCCAAGAAGTCGAAGACTAAAGCCTCTTCGAAGACGAATACGGAAGCGTCTTTGGCCGAGATTCCCATCGAAAGCTATCGGATTATCGACGATACCGATGGCATCATCTCAGAGTACCTCTTGGCAGTGTATGCTGTTACTAGGGAGTGGTCCGAATTACGTTCATGCATACAAAGTCTCTGGTGCGAAGTGGCATATGAGAAACTCAATGGCGCCGTGGCTGCTTCTGTGACAAGCATAGCAGTTGGAATGGTGAGACAGACAAGTAATGCTGTGTTTGTTGACTTTCCTGGCCACGACTCATACGAAACGATCATGAAGACCCTTACTCGCGGAGACCCAGAGTGGGCGCAGGGCAATTTCGGCGTCGCTTTACAGCGCATCTCTGCGGACGGCCAACATACGGAAACGGTCAAGGAAACACGCGTCGACATTAAAGAACAAATTTGGGTCAACACATACTACGATCTGATGGCATTCTTGGACGATTTTCAAAAAAACAGAAGTGGCAAACCTACCAAGGCCATGCAAGCCCAGATCGGAGACTGGGATCCACGTTTCGACCTGCAACGTGCCACTAATGATGAGAGACTGAAGTGGCGCCGTGCTTACACCATCAATTGGCTCTACGACCTGGTCAACCTGTTTTCCTCCATCGTGGTGCAGCGCAATACGCTGAAGGGCGAACACCATGTTTACGAGAACGTTAACTGGTCTCCCTCTGGTCCGTGGCACAAGCATCGGAGGCTCTTTGGCTTGAACGAATTTGCAGGTGATATCACTGGCTGGGCAATGCAGAAGCAGAACACAAATGTCCGCCAGAAGATATCACCACACCACGTGTTTCAGCTTCAATGTATCGTCGACTCTTTCGTCGCCTCCCGCGGTTGGACCGTGAGCATGCTCCATGGTCATCTTGTTCGCCAACCTGCCCACAAGTTTCGACCACGCCGCGATGTTGATCTTTTTCTGGACCGTGAGTATCAGAAAATGGGCAGAGGGTTTCTTCAAGCCGCCCACATCCTCATACAATTGCTGGCCAAAGACGCCGAGTCCCACCAGCATTCTGGCCGACATGAAGACGTTTCTCAAATGCTGGAAGAATTCAGATTGGACTTTGTCGAATGGCTTGGAGAATCTAAGTACATGTATGGACTGGATACCATACCGCCTTCGCAATTCTCGAAACACAACGCGAACGGCTTGTGGGAATATTCGCCTCTCTTATGCGCAGCGGGCTTGGTCGAAGGTCTCGTTCTCTCGCAACGCATCTCAATGCTCATGTGGGACCGAATGACAGAACCTTTGCTGGTGATCCATCTGCATAATCTCCTTGTTCAGAGGAAATTTATCAAGCAGCCTATCGGTTTGTATGCCACTCTCGAGAGCTTACTTGAAGGGTCCTTCTTCCCCGACGGCGTCCCCAAGTCTGACTTCTATGAGGCTCTGGTTAAGCGAGTCCAAGGGGTCAAAAGTCGAAAGCTGTCACGTCAACGGCAAGCAATGTCATCGACCATAGCACAGATAAACGACATGCACAAACTGATGGACATCAACTCGAACACCTTCTTCCGAACCAAGTCTGCCCTGATGAAGTACTATGACGCAGACTGGGTGCCGGACCGTATTCCTGATAATGAGATCACCTTCGCGTCGATGCTCGGCCAACTACGCTTGGTCGAGACGAAGCAGGCAGTTGATTCCAGCACTGGCAAGAAACGTCTGGAAGCAACCGAGCTTGTACAGCGGTTCAGAGCTCAGGGAATTAACGAGGCGGATCTCACCCAGGCAGCGTCTTTCGTTCTAGATCAAGAAAAGAAGAATGCTGCTGAGGCTGACAGTATCAAGCGATCCATCGGGCTGCCATCTCCTCACAGGAGAAATATAAGGACTACAAGCAGGATTATAGGTCGAAATTCAAGCCATACGCACAGAAGAAGAGCAAGTTCTCGACTGGTAGAAGCTTGCTCGATCTGCTTCGCGTCGACCTGTTTGCGGACGTATGCGGTATGAACCCGCTGTCAAGCATCAATTACCTGTGGGTAACGGTGCACTTCATGATTCTTTTCGACAGGCTTGAGAAGCGATTGCGAGAGGTGCGAAACCCACTCTATATCAGAACATACGAGCACGCCCCTGCTAGTATGCGGCGCTCCAGGAGGCCTGCTCTGATCATGGCAATGATGAAAGACGAGGATCCTGACACACTGAAGCTATGTGCCGAAGTCTTCCAAGATCCAAGGATGGGTATTATGGGTTTCATCTTCTGGGAGGACCTACGTGAGAGTGAGTCAGGCATCAAAAAGACTGAAGTAGAGCCTGATGATTTAAGCTCCGATATGTGTTCGGTGATGTAAGATTCTGCTTATGCGGGTTATACAGAATGTTAATCAAAGGGGCGGCTTCGTTCCTCGATTGTGAGTCTATTCCTTTCAATTGATATTCACTGCCAGAGCCGTAGTGGGAGGGAGGTGAAGGAAATCATGATGAACGGAAATGCCTGAGCAATTACTTGAAGCAGGAAATGGTTTTTGGAAGTTAACTACTACAATCCATCACCCGTACTCCAGCCCTCCCTTCTCTATAGGGAGCGCCTGCGGCGCGACCAGGAAGTTGCTCGCTACGCTCGCCAGAGGCGGCCACCTCCTCACCACCTCCTCCCCCACCCACCGTCCCGTGTTGAAGGTCAAGTGAGACTCACCTCAGAACCACCGACTTTTGATAGCGAAAGGACGAACGAACGGCCTTTAGCGTCCGCCTGGACTCAGAACTTCTGAGGTGTAGCATACAGATGTGGTCACGAGAAACGCCTAGTATTGCCCAGGTGGTGTTCACACCCTGCAAGACCTCTGGGTACCAGGATAGACCACTTTCTAGTGGCCGGACCTCGGAGGACTCGAACGGTGGGACTGAAGGAATAATATCGTAATTATCTGTACAATGCCGGCCGATTTACGACCAAGGACAATCCGACTCTTCCAAAGGGGTATCATTCTGAACGTATCAATGCACAAGTCAAAGCAGCCACCAGCTCCGCAGTCGCTTTTGCACTTATGCAGCCCTCATCAAACGGTACCTGGACCTCAATGGCAATACTCTCACATGGTCACTTCCCGACTGGAACTTGACATGCCTTCTCTTGCTAAGCAGTGATGGCCCTACGCAACACCGCTCTCGACGTCATCTCCTGCCGCCCCATGGTGATTTGCTGGTTTCCGTACCCACATCGTCTCCAATGGCGTCACAAGATTAGGATTGACATAACGCAGGCCAGTCTCTTCGGTCTCGTCCACCGCTCGTCCCCGATCTGTATCCCTATCCCATACCGATTCAGAAGGTGTTACCATAGGGGGAGGTAGCGGCTTGTCGATACTTCTCAATGCGATGAACCACATGAGTGGGTAGTATGCCCTTTGGAAGTAGACCGTGAACCATATCGTGCCGGCGATGAGCGGTACCACAAACAAGGATGCGGTGAATGCGCCCTTGAGCGCGAGGATGCCGGTCAGGGCAATCTGGAAAAAGACCAGACCCAGTATGATGCGGCTGCAGATCATTGGCCAAGCACGACCAGTGGATTGTTGCCGGTGCTCCATTGCGTACAGGAGCTGGTATTTGTAGATGAAGTGGCCAATGATGAAGTAAATCAGACCAAAGATGACAATGGTCCATGATGCGGGCAGTACCGAGTAGACCGTGCAGATGACGAAGATGAGCATGGACTGTGGGAGGAAGAAGCCATAGTTGAAGACTGGTGCTGCAGAGAGTTCGGCGTAGTCGCGTGGGGTAGCTGCTGAGATCAGGTAGAAGGGGTACAAGGAGACCGTGCCGAACTCTAGTAGACGGAACGGGAACAGTCCTAATCCTTGAAGAACGATAAGGTTAGTGTAGAATGGTGAGAGCGACTCTAGCGACTTGGCGATTGTGTTGGCGATCAGCCCAGTATCGCGGATGATCTCCTTAAAATCCTGCCAGAACTCGAAGAAAGTGGAGGCCGTGCCAAAGAGCGTGAAGACGATGAACAGGTTGAAGAAGACAAAGAAGAAATTCTTGCTGATGACAGAGAGGTCTATGTCGCCTTGGGAGGTCATTCCTTGTTGATTTGCGAGCCAATCGTATAGATATGCGACACCGATGGAAAGGAGAGAGAAGGCTAGTGTTGGCAGACCACTCGAGATGAGCGAGCGAGTAATGTCGTGTGCTTCGAGAACATCGGCCAAGCCGGGTAAGATCTTGTCGATGACTTCGATGCTCAGCAGACCAGCCAGGGGAACCAGCAACGCAGTCCAGAAAACAGTCAGAAAGCCAATGGCTATCATGATGCTCCATGAGCGCCACATGCGGGAATTTCGAGAAAGATATGTGTTCTTCCACACAACATCGACTGGTGGGGGAGCCAGATTGGCAATGAAAGTGCCAGGGTTCGGATCGAGGATTGCTTGAATAGCCATCTGACAGGAAGCAGTCGACTCCATGGTGACAAAAGCCAAAGGTGTTGGTTTGAAGTCTTCCTTTCGCAGGATCTTAATGCGCTCATCGACGCGGCGCAGTTTCTCCTGAAAGTAATCTATGGCGTCGACTTTCTTACTCTTGAGATTCAAGAAGCCGTATCGAATCGTGTGTTTTGGCCGATCTCGATCGACGGCGCTAGCATGCGCCGACTCCATCTCTGATTCGGACAGCAATGCAGTTCCTTCAACTCTATTTCCGTTCTCATCAGGCCTTCTATGCCGATGGCGCGTGTGTCGAATTGAGTGGTGATGGCCGAGGTAGGTGGTCCACGCCTTCTCCAGCTGTCTCAAATACTGCATCCGTTGGGCCATAGTATCATCCAACTTCTGCCAGTTCTTGCACAGCATGACACTGTCGACTTTCCCTATGCCTAGCTCTTCGATGAAGTCCCTGATCTTGTCTTCTGAACGCATATCTTCTGGGATCCCAGACAATCTGATAGTGCGGTCCGTAACCGTAGCCTGGGTTCCCAGATATGCTTGTCGTATCTTGATGATGTGCTTGGTCTCGCGAATCAGTAGATATATGGCCGCCGAGGTGAAGAACCAGGCGAATACTGTGTACATCCACAAGTATGAAGTATCCTTCTGCATCTTAGGCTTCTTGATATCGTCTTCTGGCGCAAGTGTGAAGTAGGACAGCGTCCTGTTCCCGTCGGTGCTGTTGCCTCTTTCGAGACCTGGAAAGAGTGCATCGCCAGTATACCTCGAGTTGACAGGCAGGATCACACTCAGTGAGAAGAACATAATGATGGCTAGGAATTTTATGGCATATCGGTAGAATGCGAGGAAGGCATAGGCATCGAGACCGGCTGATGCGAGGACCTCCTCCTTTGATATGCCAATAACGACCGGGATCCATCCGAAGAAGGTGTTGGGCAGCTCAGGCAGTCGAAGAGCAGCATTCGACTGTTCTTTGCGTGCATGGTATAGCGTTGACCATTTCGGTCGCAATACCTACACTGATCAGTCGGCATTCATGCACGAGGAGCAAGACCACCTACACAAAAGGCCAGAAAAGCGCTAGCACCGAACGCGACCGAGACAACGAATTGAACGTTGAAGTCCCGCTGGCTCTGCTTTCGAGCCTGGTCTTGCCATCTCCAGGTGTCGTTCCGATTGGTACCGTTGGAGTCGAGCACCAACTGCGCAAGCGACATGACTTGATCTAGAGGCTACCGCGATATACACATCCGGGCGCAAGGTGACTGGGTGATACACATTGTCGCCAAAGGAGAATTGAAGAGAAAGGTGTCTAGTCTACTCCGTAGATACAGATCAGTGCGCATGCCACAAAGGCTCGGGCCTCAAGTTCGAGTTCGATGACGGCAAGGGCCGCGGGATCAAGGCGGGATCGTAGTCATCCGGTCGTAGTCTCGGCCTCAAGTGCACCTGCTACGGCAGCCAGCAGAACCAGCTCGATTCACCTTAAAGAAGCTCGGCTTCAGCGAATCACAAGCTCGATGAATCAACGACTACACCAGATTTTGGTGCCAGCGCCGTCTCGACGACTTCACGTCTCTCCACTCCCTTTTTCTCGCCGCTGAAGTCGACCTTGTCTCTGCCGGAGAGCAATCACAGCTACTCGTGAAAGCTGCACCTGGCTTGTCCCAAAATGCTGCCCCCTTCCGCCGCGCAGCGAGCTCGCCAAGCTCTTCCAACACACCTCGAGATTCGTCGCCAACACCAAAAAGGTTCGTTGCCCCCCTCGCAGGCGCAGAGAGCGCGTGCACCGCAGACTAGATGCCTTCAAAGAGACACTGGGCTAACACATGCCATTGCAGAGATCCGCCTCTTCCTCAGCCTCCGAGTCTGCACAATCTCCTTTCTACCTCACAGCTACGGCAAGCGCCGCAACCGCCGCTGCTATCGGTTCTGCTGCTTGGTACTATCAATTTGCCGGTCAAGATGCGTTTGCCATGACGCCTGCGGAAGAAGGGTAAGCTTGGATTAGTCGTGGATGGAAATCAGAAGCTAATCAAGGCGAACAGTCTTCACCCATCACAATATCCCTGGGAGCACACCCGATGGACAAAGACATACGACCATGGAACGTAAGAGAGCGTACTTGATTCAATCCGTCTCATGCTGATTTCTACCATAGTCTCCGTCGCGGCTTCCAAGTCTACCGAGAGGTTTGCGCCGCCTGCCACTCGCTCAACCGCATTCCGTACCGCAAAATTGTCGGCAGCTTCGCCACGGTCGACGAGATGAAAGCCATGGCTGAAGAGAACGAATACGACAACGAGGACCCCAACGACGAGGGCGAGATCGAGAAACGCCCAGGCAAGCTCTCCGACTACCTCCCAGCACCATACAAGAACGACGAAGCTGCTCGTGCAGCTAACAATGGCGCCCTGCCCCCGGATCTATCGCTTATGGTCAAGGCCCGCCACGGCGGCGTCAACTATATCTTCTCACTACTGACTGGCTATCCCGAGGAGCCGCCTGCTGGGGCGGTCGTGCAAAGCGGTCTGAACTTCAACCCTTACTTCCCCGGTACTGGTATCGCCATGGCACGTGTTCTGTACGATGGACTGGTCGAGTACGAAGACGGAACACCGGCTACAAGCTCACAAATGGCTAAGGATGTGGTCGAGTTCCTCAACTGGGCGGCTGAGCCGGAAGCCGATGAGCGCAAGAAGATGGGTCTCAAGGTCCTAGTCATTACGAGCACGCTGTTCGCTCTCAGTGTCTGGGTTAAGCGCTACAAGTGGAGCCCTATCAAGTCACGAAAGATCGTCTACAACCCTCCACCAGAGACGCGGACGCGATAGACAGGCAGGCCAGAGGTGAAGATGGCGGCAATGTCGGACAACGAGCGAAGGACGCTGCGCTTTTGAGGTAGTGCGCTCCAAGGCGAGAGGTTCAAAGGACGAGTGCGTGTGGCCAGGCTCGCTTATTACGCAATCCTGGTTCGGAGGCAAGATGCTTCGCAAGATTCGTTTCGACCGAGGCCTTGCTTTGGTCGAAAGAGCGCTGTATTGCGGTAAAGGCGAAGAATACAGTTTCTATTGTTGTATCACGAGCACCAAGGATGTCGATTTCAGTGCGTGCATTGTACAGAAGAGTTGTGCTGCGAATCTGTGACATATCGTACACTGATGGCGTAACGTCCGTCAAAAAGCTCATGACCAAGCAGTCGGCGAGCATGGCAGCTGTAGTCTCGCTGCTCACACCCACTCTTCGGACCATGACGCACCCAGCAACGGTTGCGTGTGCTGTATGGTGCCCCCGAATCTGGACCTCACTTTAGTCTACCGGGTTCTGTGCCTGGTGCTGATAGGGCCCAAGATCGACTCAGACGGAATCAATGCCCCAGCGTTGCGTGAGGCGTCGACCGACGGCCGGCTTCTCGGTCTTCGGCTCTGTGCCATGTGGCGAGTGCTGTCCATAGCGGTTGCATGTTCGAAACCAATGGTACCGGCCTGGCCAGCTCCTCCTCACGACCCAGAACGCTGTCACGACTTAGTACTCTCCGAATAAATCTGCTGCCCAACATTGTTATATGACCTTCCTTGAGGGTCTTTGGCCTCAAACTTCGGCGCACCACTCCCCGTGCCCATCTCAAACTTCACCGTATGTCCTTCTGCCCCTGTGATCAGTACCTTGTGCGATCCCGTGCTTTGTATACTCACTCCTTTCACGCCGGGGATTAACATGCCGTCGATGTCTTGGCCTTGATTCTTCCCTGGTGCTGCCTCTTCCTTCACACCACCGTCCTTTGGCAGCCCACCACCAAATTGGGCTCCAAGGCCCTCCAAAAGCGATCCGTCCTCCCCAGCCTCATCCAGTATCCGCCTCCCCTCGGTGACACTGCCAGGAGCAGTATGAGAACCCCTCCCCTCCCTCAACAGCCGAATTTCCCCCTCTAAACTCTTGATCTGCGCGTTCTTCGCATCTTTCTCCTCCTCCGCTTCCAGCGTCAGCCAGCTCCAGTAGAGTACCTGGTAGGTGAGGAAGGCGAGGGTAAAGGTCTTGAAGAAGGCGCGGCCGTGTGTGCGATAGAAGTTGTAGTTTTGGTCGGTGGGAAGCTCTTGCTGACGGGATCGAGTTGTGGTGAAGGACCTAGTGCTGGCGAGATGGGTGAGACGGACTAGAGTACAAGGCGGACTGGGTGTGAGTCTAGATGTCCTGGTCGTGGTAGTGCTTCTACTGATGGACGTTGTGGTAGGAGAGGAATGCTGCAGGGCTTTCAATCGGGGCGGCGTCATTTCTGAGCTGTGCAGCGTTCTAGGACAGCAAGTCACAGCAGGCGGATCAAAAGCGACACGCCTGTCCTGCGCCGTATTGAAGCAGCGTGCTGTGCTTCTTGCTCTCGCGATCGGCGACGTGAGTGCCGTACGGCGGTCAGTAGAGCAAGACGGCTTCATGATCTCGGCACGGCGAGTCGAGGCTTCGTACTTTGGCAATGGTGTCACGCAACGTCTGATCAGTAGATTTGTCCTACCGAAGCCCGATACCTGAGGCCGGCAGTGAGAGATCCCGAAGCGAGCCCACTCGATGGATGGAGTACACAGTCAGGTACAGTACGACGATGTGTAGGTGACGACACACTTTCGACCACCAACAACTTAATCCACGGCACACAGGACTCCGGCATCTCATCACGCGATGCCTCACAAACCACTAGAGCATTGCCCCAAATCATAACCCACCCGCCATCATGTTCGAGAAATCTCTCGTCGACCTCATCAAAGGTCTCCGCTCCCACAAGGGCAGCGAGACCGCCTACATCGAGACCGCGATGCGCGAATGCCGCGCCGAGATTCGTTCCCAGGATATGGACGTCAAAGCCACCGCCCTGCTGAAACTCGTCTACCTGGAAATGTTTGGCTACGACATGACCTGGGCCGCCTTCAATGTTCTCGAAGTCATGGCCTGTGCGAAGCCGCTGCAGAAGCGGGTGGGGTACTTGGCGGCCGTGCAGACGTTTCGCCCGGAGACCGAGGTGCTGATGTTGGCGGAGAATTTGCTCAAGAAGGACCTGACGAGTCCGAGCATTCCGGTGTTGAGTCTGCCGTTGGTGGCCGTTCCGCATATTGTGACGGCGGAGTTGGCGTTGAGCGTGTTGACAGAGTTGCTGCCGAGGTTGAGTCATAGTCAGCCGCAGGTGAGGAAGAAGACGGTTGTGGCGCTGTATAGATTGGCGCTGGTGTATCCGGAGACGCTGAAGGTGAGCTGGCCGAAGATTAAGGAGAGGCTGTTGGATGAGGCTGAGAGCAGTAATGTGACGGCTGCGGCAGTAAATGTGGTATGTGAATTGGGCTGGAGGAATCCGAGAGACTTTCTGAACCTGGCGCCGAGGTTGTTCGAGCTGTTGACAAGTGACAAGAACAATTGGATGGCTATCAAGATCATCAAGCTGTTCGCAGTGCTCACACCCCTCGAGCCAAGGTTGGTAAAGAAGTTGGTTCGGCCGCTGACCAAGATTCTGAGGGAGACGAGTGCAATGAGCTTGCTTTATGAGTGCATAAGTGGCATCATCCAAGGCGGCATCTTGGACGGCGAAGAGATGGGGGTGGACGTCGATGAGGTGGCTGATATGTGCATCAGTAAGCTGAGGGGCATGATCATCCTGGACACGGACCCGAATCTCAAGTATGTCGCTTTGCTGGCCTTCAACAAGATTGTCGGCAGTCATCCGAGGTTGGTTAGCGAGCAGCAGGATGTCATTCTGGCGTGCTTGGACGATCCCGACATCAGTATCAAGATGCAGGCCCTGGAGTTGGTCTCGGGAATGGTCGATGCAGACAATCTGCAAAGCGTCGTCAACCGCCTGATGAAGCAGCTCGCGAATGCTCCGAAAGGTAGCCCTAACGGCGACGCCAACGGCCACGAGGAGCCTGATACCGACCTTGAGCAGCGGCTGGTACAGGACAAGCGGAGCAAAGAGCAAGCACCTATTCCTGACGAGTATCGACACGATATAATAACACGAATTCTGGATATGTGCTCATCGAATACCTACGCAAACATCACTGACTTCGAATGGTACCTCGACATTCTCGTCCATTTGGTTCGACATCTGCCACCAGACCCGGACACGAAGAACGAGCGTAGTCGACGAGAGAGTGTCAGCCTTGGCGCACGAATCGGCTCGCAAATATTGGACATTGCCGTTAGGGTGAAAGAGTTGAGGCCAGAAGCTGCCAGATCAGCGGAAACGCTCGTCCTGGTATCGAATCGCAGCATTGTCTTCGCGTCACATGGCGGTGGGCAGTCACACGTTATCAAGTCTGCAGCATGGATTTGCGGAGAGCATCCAGCTCATCTGGTCTCACCACAAGAGGTGCTCAATTCTCTCATACATCCATCCACGTCGAGTCTTGCTGCAGAGACTATAGCAGTGATCTGCCAGGCTGTACCCAAAGTGACGGCTCACATTTGGTCAGCAGCTTCGTTGGACTGGTCGACGTCACAAGCTACGACGCTTTCGTTGCTATTGGCAAGAACAACAACATTCTTGGAGACTCTCTCATCACATCCGAATCTTGATGTGCAGGAACGAGCAGTGGCGTTCCTCGAGTTGCTCAAGCTGTGCGCTGAGGCTTTATCGTCTCACCCTTCCGACGCCGACACTGCGCCGGCACTTCTATCCACAGTAGTTCCAGCCCTCTTCAGCGGCCAAGAACTCAATCCCGTCTCAGCGGCCGCCCAATCCAAAGTTCCAATCCCTACGGACCTGGATCTGGACCAAGCCATCAATCCAGAACTCTCTACCATACTGTCCGCCTCTCAAGTCGAAGACAACACAGACACGTCCGATGACCCCTTCTGGGCATTCTACCATGAACGAGAGACAGAGTCAACCTCAGCAGCTCAGATGCTGCAGGCTGCAACGTCGATCTCTCACTTGTCGTCCGCGAAACAGCAGCCGGGAGAGTCAGAGCCGTGTCTTATCAGTCCGCGCCAGAATCACCTGCGACCGTAGCCCGCCGGCGCGCCGAGCGAGCTGCTCGCGCGCGTAACGACCCCTACTATATTGGTCCCTCCGGCACAAACACTCCACAAGACAATGGCAACAACGACGATCTGGACATCGACGCCATACCCATCATGGATTTGAAGCTGGACGCACCACTATCCAGCTCCCTTCCATCTTCAGAGAACAAACGTCAATCGGCGACAACAAAGAGGAAACAGCCCCGCAAGTTCGCTATCGCAGCCGATGAGACGCTCGATGATGACCCTTCACAGCCTACTTCAACGTCAACGCCGCACAGCCGGAGTGCGTCCGCCTCCCGCATCTCCACTGCCGGGCTTACCAGACCAGGCAGCCATGGACCGGGGCGTTCCCTCCTGGGCATCTCTTCCTCCCAATTGGCGAACTTGTCGTTGTCAGGCACTTCCGACGACTACGGTAACAGACCGCTGACGGCGGAAGATCTTTTGCGCCGCGACGCTGAGGAAAGAGAGATGGCGGCCGCTCTAGCAGAGGTGGAAAAGAAGAGACTGGAGTTGGCGAGAGACCAAGAGCGGGCTGGCGTGAGTTATGCTGATGGCGTAGAGGGGACGACTGTGGTCAAGAAGCGGCGGAAGAAAGCGAAGGCTGCGGAAGTGGGGGAAGATGCGGAAGGCGAGGCAGTAGTCAAGAAGAAAAAGAAGAAGAAGCCTAATGCGGTAGAGGAAGAGGGCGAGATCGCGCCTGAAGGTGCTGGTACAGTGGAGGCGGGTGACAATGATGATGAGCGAGCATCAGAAGGGGTAGTCAAGAAGAAGAAAAAGGCAAAGAGACGTGTCGGCGGTGCATCGAAAGAAGGCGACTCGACGGCCGCCGCACTTGACAACGACGCCAACGAATCCACAGGTCTTGGCGACGAGCCAGCCTCGCACCTTCGGTAGCATGCCTGGGTAGACAACAACCAAAAAGGCGTTCCAAAGACGCATTGACCCATCTGCATAATGCACAGAGTCCTTCCTGTCGTTGTTAGCAACTCGCAAAAAGGCAACAATGTTGGGGAGCCCACGACTTACTGCGTGGACCCCCCCGAGACACTCAGGGTCACTCTCGAAAATTTTTCGTTTTTAGAATAGGGAGCGACCCTAATGTTACTTGCAAGCAGGACGCTATCCGGAGATAGTTCCGAGGGAAAATCTGAGGCATCGAATATATTAAGGCTGCTGCTCGGGAGAAGTGGTTGAGGAGGCAAGTGAGGAGTGAGGGCAGGGTCAGGTGTTGGTGAGGTAGTGACGATGGAAAACGTGGCAAGTACTGAGCGATTTTTGTGACCAAGCCTGTATGCTACTCAATGTGGATTTTCAGGCCTGGTGGGGCGCTAAAGACATCTCGTGCTTTCTCTGATCAAGTTGATGGGAGGGGATGAGCCACACTTGAGCGTCAAAATGCTGGGAAGAACCTCCAAGAATGTATTGAGAAATCCCAGCCAGGGAGGGCGCTGTAGAAATCCTTGTGCCGCAATCTGGAGAAAACGCTCGGTTCTTGTGCCCACAGCTTGCGTGGCTTGGTAACAACGGGATGAATGGCAACGTATGTCAAACTCGAGGCTGTGATCCCCTGCTACAGACCATTTCAGACATGCATGCTCTTTTATACATGCTCGGACGGACTGATGTCAGCGACCGTTGTTCTTTGCCAATGCCCAAGTCGCCAGACCTGTCGGTCCTGACTGTACCTACCGTAGCGTAGCGTCTTGATCTACAGATGCTCATGTAGGACATGCTGTGATGGGTAGTGTACATGACAGCGTGGGAAGTGTGTCCGCAGATGACCGGGTGTCGTGGTCCTGCGCAGAGTCTTGGCAGGCAACCACGACGCCTTGCCAGGTGGCCTAGCTCCTGTCCTTGGTCAATTCTACCGTCCTATCGTCCCTGCCAATACCACGTTCCTGCACGTGCTATGCTCTGCATCTCCTGGAACAGCCGTGAATGCGGCAATGTCCATCCGGCGCTACATGAACACGATGTTCCTGGTACTGCCCTCAGCTGGGTAGGAGCTGACCCACCCTCTCATGCAAAACTCAAAACCCACCTTCTCGGCGAACACTGCCCACCCAGCGTCGCATACACACCCTCTCGGCTATTCTATACCCAGAATTCGGACAGCCGACGCATTGGTCGCTCGATGAGGAGATGCAGCCGCGTACTTTGGGCTCACAGTAGCTTTGGGGTGGCTAAAGTAAAGACAGCGGTACCATCAGCTCGGGCGGGCGCTGTGCCTCCAAATCTTCAGATATAATAGGCGAGGTGCTACAGGCATGTCGCAGCATCCGCTTTCCTTTGTGAGTCGTGTCATCCAGGCGAAATACTTGACACCGTCCGTGCCTATCGACCGCCAAGTCATAATGCGTCTCTTTCACTTCTACCTCGTTAGCGCCACAGCTCTCGCTGCCCCGATCTTGCAGAATTCCCAGCTAAGTGAAGCTTCTCGACATACTGTGAGGGCCGACGAAGGTCTTCTCAACTGCATGCTCCACGAGGACAACACCGACCCCATCCGTTGCGCCAAAGCCAGATCGCTCCAGAGCGAAGCTGGTGTTGATGCAGTGATTGTTCGGCGCGATGCAATGCCTGTGAGATTTACCCCAGAGAATAACTTCGAGGAACAAGATCCTCGGAACCAACGACGACAGCCACAAGGACCCGTGCCCATGCCCTGCAATCTGTTCTCCTGTGGTATTCTTCCAAGAGGCGTCAAGGACCTCTTCAACCTACAACAATTCCGAGAATCTGCTCCATCTATTGTCAGAAGTGGGAAGAGATCTATCAGCAACCTACTATCACGCATACCATCGCCCGCCTCAGTCTGCAGTCAGCCATCGACGAACCTCGGTTATGTGCTCCTCTGCGCCGGCAGAACCAAGACGCCCGCTACGGCTGCCGAAATCGAGACCGCGCTTGATGCTGTGGACAAGCGAGCGGTCGCTCGCGAGGCAAGCAACGAACCACGTGAGCCGACATTGAAGGCGGCCGCCACAACAGAACCTGTTAGGAGGGACCTCAAAGAGTTGTTATCTGATGGCTGTCTCAGAAATCCGCTGAGATGTGTAGGCTGACTGGGATGATCACAAAATGGAGGGGCCAAACAGTTCATTGACCTATATTTGAAATTGTGACGCTTGCTGTCAGTCCAATATAAATCACAACCCGTTGCCATCAGAGTCTGATAATCTCGGAGGCCACCTCACCAATACCAAATTGAAGTCTTACACCTGCGAATTCATTCCTCGCCTCTCGACTCTCACCAGCACAAGCCCTCCCGTAATGTTCCCATTCCCTTACAACTTCCCCTCCCTCGCCATACCCCGCATAATCTCAATCGTACTCTCAACCGCCACCTTGGCCATCTTCTCCTGCCCTTTCCTCTTCTCCTCCTGCTCCTCCGCCGACACCCCCTCCGGCAACACCCACTCAAACGAGTACGTCATGAACAAATCCACCCCCTGCTCCCCACTCCCCTGACTCACGATATTCATTACCCGCCCGCCGTCGGTCTGCAGGAACTCGACTTTTAGGGGGTAGTACTCCACGCAGGTCTCCTTCATTACGCGGTTGCCCTCGTGGAAGGTGACTTCGCGGTCGATGGTGGGGAGGGAGAGCGGGGTGGAGGTGTATTCGCGGACGACGGAGGTGGATTTTATGGCGTTGGGGACGAATGTCTCGCCGGAGCGGATTTTGAGGCGGAGGGCGGTCCAGATTTGTGAGAGGGTGAGGGTGGGGGTGGTGGAGGGAGGGTTGATCGGGGCGGTGTAGGAGAGGAAGTTTGCTGGCATGGTGGTGGACGGATTGGGTGGCTGATGGGTGGAGGGGGCCAGAGGTAAGGAGAGAGGTGGAAGGTGGTGTTTCCTGGTGTTGGCAGTGCTGGGCCGGTAGGATGGTTGCTGTTGGATATGCGAACGCGGAAAGGACGGACTTGCTCGTTGTCTGGGCCTCTGCTGCTGCCTAAGAGCTCGATGTATGAGGGTGGGACGGGAGCTTCGCAAGGATCTCGTGTTGTCCTGCCCAATGTCGCGTCGGTCAAGATGTAGACGCGATCATACGAACAAGTCTCTGGGTTGTAACTGGATGTTCCAGTATCGCAAGTCAACGCGGGGCTCGTTCAGGCCCGCTCCGGGGCTTCAAGCAAATGCATGTGACGCGGACGTTCTCCAACACGGAATAGGCTCAGACGTCGCCGGACGACACACATAATTGGCAACTTGCATTTCGAGTTCTTATCTTGCTCGACTAACTACAACATCGTGAGCCCAGAGTCCTCCCTAGCCTACTGTCGACGCATGTATGCCAATCGCGCATCCTTCCGCCTCAAGGCCTCGTTGTACTCGGCGCGGAGGTAAGCCCGTAGGTCGCCCTCAGTATACCCATGCCTATCTTGGAGGAGAAGCCTAAGCGCCCAGCACTCCCATGCGAACGGACGGCTGTGCTCAGGGTCGGGTTCGTTGGGATCAAAGTCGCTGACGGTGTCGTGAAGCACGCGCGTATGTCGACGAAGACGCTGTACAGAGTCCTCCCCAGCATGAAACTCTCCTGGAGGAATGGGCGGACTGACGTACGTGTTCGGGCCTGCGTTGTGCAGCTCATCTTGGACATGGTGTAGGTAACCCTGGTACTGGTTCAGGCGGCCTCTGAGGGCGGCGTCGTAACTTGACGGCCGCTCAAGGTTACTGCGTTCGCTAAATCCGTCAGAGTGCTCCCTGGTCAGAATATTGATGTACATACCTTGAGCCAGGACGCGAGTGGCCGTGAGACAAGGCATGATACTCTGTGTGCATTGGCGTTCGATCGTTGGTGACACGGGTCTAGCTGCCAGTACTCGGAGTGGAACGGTGTTGCGCAGGTAACGACGTGCCGACTGATGTGGAGGTACTAGCAAGAGGCTGGAGGTGGTTCTGTCCGTCCTGCGTCTGCTCTTCGGCCACTGGAAGCCTGTCACGCATATTGTTAGCTTCTTACAGCACTGAGAAGGCATCGGACTGTGTACCTGGATGTGTTGATCGGGCTGGAATGAGAGGGCGTGTAGAGAGTGCTGCTCTGCCCAACTTGAGTGTTTGGCGAAATTGTCAGACGAGGTTGGACTGATTGTTCTCGGACCAATGTTGCTGATACATCGAAAGGGGCCGCCTCGGAGGCATCCTCCATTGTGAGATGACGAAAGGCATTTTGGACACTTTGCAATCCCTCCGAATGAAGCTCTGCCATATGCCGGCGATTCTTTCTGAGAAGCAGGTCGAGGTCAGGAGCGACCGCTGGCTGCGTCGGAGCCATTATGGCGTCGCGAGAGCTGTGCTATGACTAGGGACTGTTGGTAGATGCGATGGTAGAGATCGAAGGTAAAAGAATAAGTCGAGATGCAAAGCTGGCTGAGATATGTATATAGTGAGATGCTTCACGTGGAGTTGATCTGAAGAGTGATCGCCACAGCGATGAGGTGCTTCACTGACTGCCATTGACTTCACTGCGTCGAGCTTCCTAGCTGCGTCTGCTGAGTTGACCAAGCCTCAAGAGTGAGCAGGAGTAGATTGCACTTACACCAGATTCCCACAAGTGAGTAAGAGCAAACCTCTTCAGCAAAGCCTGACTTCTTGATCACTCCAGAGAAGAAAGCAGATTTTGCCGATGGTCTCATTACTGCAGCTTGCTTGATTCTTCCAGGTCTCCGACTTGACAAGCAAGGCAAGACATCTGCCTCTCACGAGATCTTTGAACAGATGGCAATCATTGGGATTGAAGCACCTCGAATAAAGGCAGCCAAACTCGATGTCACAATTTCCTCACAACAGTCAACCACACCAACAGATCAATGCTCAAACCTTCTCCAACCCGCCCAGTTCCCTCAACGCAACATTCTGCAACACCCTCCCCTCACAACTCGTCTCCTTCATCCCCGCATACCGCACCACATCCCTCCCATCCACCTCCCGCAACGCCATCTCCACCAGAACCCTCCCCAAATCCTCCCTATCAATCAACATCCCCGGCTTCAACGCCCGATACACCGGCAGCACCGTCTTCATAAAGTACTTCATACTCGTCGTCTTGGTCTGCAACATCTTCTGAATCTCCTTCGGATCATTACTCAAGATCCCTCCGGGACGCGGACAGAGGACGTCCAATCTCCCCGAATACGCCTGTTGCTGAGGGAGTGCAAGCAAAGCCTTCTCCGCCTCGCCCTTGACTTTGGCGAACATTTGCGTGAACATGCCGGGGGTGTGCGTTACGCCTTCGCCGCTGACTGTTTACCGCCGGTTTTGGTCAGCCTGAACCAGAATTTCGGAGGGACGTGTGAGATGAGAAACTGGGGGATCCCGAGCCAAAGCTAGACGACCACAAAGTGGCCGTCAGTGGGATTTGAGGTAGGCTGGCAGAACAAAGAGAACCACTTATCCAGGAGACCAGGGTAGGCAGATTGAGCCTCCGAGACAATTGTCTCTGCTACCCGATCCAGACCAGCTCCCAGTTGCTCACTGGTTCAGGCTTGCGAAAAGGCGACATACCGTAGATGAATCGTAGTGGCGACTTTGCGTCCGCGCTTCGGGCAGATGCGAGGGCCTTTGCGGCGGCTAGTGGGAAATCGTACGTGATTCGCCGGTACTCTGCGGCGGAGGAGACGGCTGTGGTGGAGATACCCTGTGCCCAGATGACGGCGCTGGCATCGGAGAGCTGGGAGAGGATCTCTGGTGGGTAGGTCGTGTAGTCGGCGTGGGTGATGACATTGATATTGGTCGTCGTGTTGGTGCGTTTGAAGTTTGGAGGCGAGGTGTTGGTGGCGAGAGGGACTGGGGAACGCGAGAGAATTGAGAGTTTGCTGATCGGGTTGGATGCTGGAAGGGAGAGGATGTGTTGCAGGACGGCGGTTCCTAGGAAGCCGGTTGCGCCGGTGAGGATGATGTGGACCATATTTGGAAGGGATTACGGCGCGACCGGACAGCACTCCCTGTGGTACTTCCTCCGCGTATCTGACGTGGTTCCGTGCTGTCGTAGAAGGAAGAGTAGTAACAGCCAAAGCGAAAAGCTAGGCAGGCACGACTTCGATGGTTAGATATCTGGGAATAAACGCAGTGCCTGCCAACACCAGCAAACGCATCGACTTGTACCGTTCAACAAGACTGAGAGTCCCTGTCAGAAGCCAGCTCGGACTTTATGGCGGCGCCTCGTGCCATCACACCTTCCAGCAATCACACCTGATGTCCTGATTCCCGAATGAGTGATCTGAGCTTCTCGGCACGACGATTCAACCGCTGTCGTCCGGAAGCTAAGTGTCCACTTCGCAAGGCGTCCATCGATAGGGGTTTCTCGGCTTTTTGAACGATCAATTTCCGATTGGGCAAAATTGCCTCTGCTGGCGAAGGGACCACACGCCTTCATGTCAGCAGCTCATGACAGCGCAAGTCGACTACGCAGCTGTGCGAGGTGTGGGAGATTACATCATTCGAGTGGTGAGGTTGCCTAGTCACTTGTCACGAGTAAAACAGGTGGTGGCTCATTAAGATAACTTATAGAGGCATCTATAACGAGGGTAGAATGATCATCACTTCGTTAGAACCACGCCCCGTCTTGACAGACACCGCCGGCCTCGGGCCGGATCACGTCTATTTACACTATACACAATAACGAATACTTCTTCCTGGTTCGCTTTTCCGTACAGCGAGACCATGTCGCTTCTTCGACAAAGAACAACAGATATTCTTGCTCTCATGTGCGAGCGCGTAGCGCTTCAAGCACAAGCTCACTTCTAAACCCCATCCCATCTGGTGACCGGTCATTAACAATTCGTGACTAAAGCAACGCTCGTCATTATTTCCCACGATAGTCCAGCTTTCCCGCAATCTGCACCTCCTCAACAAAGCTCTGCTCAGCAATATGCGCAAGGTCCCAGTACTCCCCCGGCCTGGTCCGATTGAAGGGTCCCCACGCCAACATCTCCTGAATGTTGCGTCTGCGCAGATCGACGTTCCCGCTAATCTCGAACAGCTGAGGCTGCAGGGCCCCCAGAAGCGCCACAGCAGTGTGTACGAGAACCTTGTCGCCTTCAAATGCCCAGATGTCCCAGACACGGCAGAGGCGGTCGACGTCGAGTCCATTCGTGAAGAGTGTTCGAAACATCGGTTCGAAGACTTGCTCGGGCGAGAGACCGAGGCCGCCCTGCTCCATTGAGCCGAACAGGTATTCGTGCAGGCGAGAAAACTTGATTGCCAGCATTGAGACGGCGTGGCTGAAGGTCCTGGCAGTGGCAGCGAGGTCACCGCTCAGGAAAGAAAGGGGCAGGTTCCGCTGCAATGCATTGGCAAGGACGACGAATGCATCGGCAGCAGTTGGAAGCTGAAGCAGGAGCAAGGCGGCGACAAGCTGCAGGCCATAGACATAGCCGATGTCGCTGCGATAGCAGGCATATGCCTTGCAGACATTGACCAGATCCTGCCACATCGGCCCTTTCTGCTGAAACATGTGAAGCTCGGGAAAGGCGGTCTCCGCATCCCGTTCAATGTCCCGAAAACAACGATACGAAGCTCGCTCGCTATCGCTCATGGTCTTCTCGGCTGTGCTTTCAATCTGCTTTGCCCGTTCCAGGGCTTTCTCGTAGCTCTTGGCAGTCAAGCCGAGCTGATTGCCGATGCTGCGTTTCCAGACTTTGCCTCGGAGCCTGCTCGTGATGCCGCGCCAGCAGAGAGAAAATACACGTGGTCGATTTCGTTCAGATTCGTTTCTTCGTCACAGTAATATGCCCAGATTCGCGCCAGAGCCTCCCGATCTGTATCAGACTGTCCACACTCTATCTGCGCCTGACTTTGTTTCTTCTTCTCGGCTTCAAGCGAAGCAGCCATCATCTGCTGATATTGCTTAAGATGTTTCTGTTCTTCGCGAGGGTCTTTTGGTGGCAACCATGACGGACGTGTTCGAGAGAGAACAGCCTCCTTCTCTTTCGAAAATGGCATGAAGTCCAAATTGCCCTTCTGTATCGGCGGGAGCTGAATTTTCTGTGGACGTGGCGATGGTACTGCTTCATTTGTGCGTTCCTTGAGAGCATAGAATTCCAGATTCTCGGAAATAATTCGAGCCTCTTCGCTCAACTCTTCCATTGCAAAGTTCCATGAGCGAGCTCGATTCGGGTGACGTGGACCGGCCATCCTCGGAGAAGCTGGATTCGAGCGCGCTGCGTGCGCAGAAGAAGATCTTGCTGGATGAAGCTTATTTCTTGGCCCAGGTGTAGTCCGTGACCTCGGAGGGGAGTCCGGCGTTGTGCGAGCATGGCCCAGGGGAATAGGACGAGCATTCGCCAAAGTCGGACTTCGATTTGGAGAGCTGACCAAACTTGATCTCGAGGACCCAGGACCGACATGCGGTGAGACAGGAACGTTCCACAGACTGGCTTCTTCAGGGAGGTCATCATCAGAATCATTACATTCTGCCTCCAGTTCCTGAACAGATTTTCTCTTCGGTTGCCATGAAGATCTCCTTGGTGGTAACGGCAACGACGAGCGGGATGGCTGCCAGTCGGGGCCTAGAGTTGCACTCAGTGGCCCCGCGGACTGGATGCGAGGCGAGCGCTTCGGTGGCGACGCAGATCTCGTTCTGACATCTTCTTGATGTTTAGAAGATATGCGTAGGGGCGTTGGTTGCATTGTAAAGCCTCTGCGCAGAGGATTAAACTAGCACTCTTCTGCTTGCGTAGCTCTTTCTCATGCTCCTTGACAGCCTCGCGTATCTGGTTGCCTATATGTGAACGATTCTCCTGCTTGCCGCCATTGACTGAGTGCGTCGATGGCCGCCTCTCTGTCACCGTGCTTTGCAGCACAGGCTTTTGCGAAGGCCGGTCATCGTCGAGGACAATGTCTTCGTAATGCGTGATGTCGGCTGTGAGCCTCTCTCCGCCAGTTGGCGAAGAGCTGGACCCGTAGGAGGAGGTCGAAGCGGAAGATCTCGAACCGGATAAGTCAGGAGGAGAGCCAGGCGCACTTGGTATGGTGGTCATCATATTACAGGACACATCGAGTCCTTCAGTAAGCATCCGGGACGTCTTGTAGTGAGTGCGAGTTGAGTTATCGTCGTTGTTAATCTTTACCCTCGTAGATTGTGAATGAGCGGATAAATTAATGTTGATTAGCGAAGGCGCAATTTCCGAACGAGAGGCATGTACAGCTGCGGACGGTAGAGAGAACTTTCGTCGAGGGTGCCTTACAACATGTCTGTCGATGTTGGGAGACGACTCGTAGATGATGGGAAGCGCATGTGAGTGCTTATCGTCGACGACATCGACATGATGGTCATCGAAGATGAACGGTTGGCAGGAAATACTGGGAAGTGCTTGGCTGCAGACAAGTGGAGAGGGCGTTTCCCACCACAGATGATGCGCCGTTGCAAAAGGCTGACTGATTGGTGTTGAGCATTCCTTCCTCGATCCAGGCGGGACAGGGGCGTAATGGCTTTCGTTTTTTGGGCATAGCATCAGGGGGGCTTGCATCAAAGACGACATGCCCCCACTATGGCTGACCTCCCGCCCACAGTTTGCTTGGCCCACGACCGGGAGGCTGGCAGGTTGGCGAATACCGACCGCCGATTTCGATTGGGTGTGTTTCAAACTCTTTAGCCCAACCCCCGAAGGACCGTGAGGACCAGGTTTGTGCTCCTCCCCTGTGAACAGGTTTTTGCTGTTGAAACCAGAGTGCAAATTGACAGACGTCGTCAACGACGAGGACTTTTGTGTAGAGACAAGTTCTTGGTCCTTGATTTCAGATGCTGAGAGTTGATGATGTTGTTGTTGCTCGCTGATTCGGATGGGTGAATTTATGCGATATGGAGCCTTCCTGAGAATTCAGCAAACATTGGATTGTCGGTGCTTTGTACCGCCGTGGTGCCGCTGTATGCTCTGGCTCGTGATGTTGCGTCTATTACTGCATACTTGTTATGATGTTGTTCAACATTATTATCTCTTGTCGATGAGATGAAGGGTTCGCTTCGACGAGATCTCAGGGACAGCCAAGATGATATTATTATTCTTCGGTTGCGGAAGGCTCTGTAGCTGTTGGGTGGTGGCTTGTTTCAAGCGGCTCAATCTGGAAATGCGGCTTAACGTCTGAGGTTCGTCGACGTGAGGAGGTGCTGCAATACTGGTTTGAGTCGTGCTTCAAGATCCCGTGTATATCGAGGGGTTCGGTGCCGACATCAGTGTTGCCTCAGCGTCGCTCTGAATGATATGAGAGCTACGAGATGAATTTCATGAAGCATACTTAGATAGTGAACGGAAAGATGGAAGGATCAAGGTAATGGATTCTACATTTCTCAATCCGTTCCTTCCTTGAACCGCGCAGGCGTTGGTGGCTGGTCGTCGTAGAGATGCAAGTCCAGAACTTGTGTTGTGTGCGACGAGTGAGGCACAGTCATTCCTCGAATCCAGTCGCACTGGTCAATGCTCGACTTCGGTGGCTGGGCGACGGTCCAGAGCCAATGATGTGTTTCTCTGATCAAGACGATATCGCATATAGTAGCACCGTCGAACCACAGTATCTAATACACATAATCTACAAATGTCGCATCACGTTGTACAAGCAGCTGTCTCAGCCGCGAATTATCGACCCGCAGGCCGTGCTGGCTTGCCGTCTTCAACAGCCGCAAATGCTCCAATAAAGCACCATGCTGGGCCTGCTTCTTCCCAAAGACATGCAAGAATGCACTCGACAGTGCCCAGATGATCTCCCGCCGGCTTAGGCACGATGCTGTCTGATCGCTACTGCCCTTACAACCCGATCGACCGTTCCGCAAACCCAAGCGACCAAGTTCACCAACGACTCGAATCATTTGGATCGGCGAAGGCTGCCGTCCTTTCGGGAGGTTGCGGACATACTGATACATCTTCATAGCTGTCTCTTCGAAGGCCTCCAGGAGTGTGAGTAGTCTCCTCCAAGGCTGGTTCAATTCGTCGTCCATGAGCATGCGATGAAGCTGCTGAACGAAAGAGAGACGGACTTTGCGAGCAAACGCCATCCCGAGTCTCTTCGTGGTGTCTACAGTCAATCCATGTGCAACAACGAGATCCTTCTTCTGGCGATCTTTTCCGAGCTGCAGATCCGTAGTGTTGATTGTGACACCGCAGTAAGGGAAGTCCTCGCCTGCATGTCTCGGAATCTTGTGAGTGCCGATTGCTGCTTCAAAATTTGCCAACGTCTTTTCCGGGTTGACCACTATACCATACTCTGCATGAGGAGTAGCCATGGCGTCCAGGAAGCGACGAGCGCAGGTTTTATCAGTGCTGATCAGGAGGAAGTCATCGATCAGGCGTACAAGTAGACACGTGGTTGGGTCGAGGAAGGCGAGTTGCTGGTGTTCAAAAGAGGTGTAGAAAAAGCTACACAGTAGACTTGAAAGTACTGACCTTGAGGAATGCCTTCTCTTTGGCGATAGTGCTTCTTGCCGATTTTGACAACGTTGTTCTGGACATGCTGGTGCAGCAGATCGAGCAGTCGCTTGATCGACCAGACTCTCTGGTTCCCAATCTCGGAAATCACACGTCCAGTCTTGTCAGTGGCTATAATGTCTGCCTTACGTAGCGAGACTACGGCATTGTCGTTCGCTGGTGCCGCGACACTGACATAACGTGGTCTCGTCAGATTGTCCGTCGCAGCTCGTATTTCAACGTATTTGCTCGTCCTGTATGCTGGCGAAGCAAGAACGTCCTGGATGATAGCGAGCAGTCTCTGCTGCGGGATCGAATCGAAGCACGACTGTACGTCGACTTTGGCGAAGTACAGTGGCGAGCCCGGCAGCACAAGCTTCTTGAAGCTTTTCAAGCGGTCGTGGAGACCGCTTATCGAGAGTATGGCTCCACCAAGTCGATCTGGATCCGAGACCCTCTCCGAAGACAGCGCCCCAAACACAGGTGCAAGTTGGACGTTGATACTTGGACTCAGTATGCGACGGCCTTTGACCATGGAAATTGTCCGCCGCCTGAGGTTGGTGATAGTCCTTGCGCCTTCGTTCTTCGGTAACAGCCGTACATTGCTGTAGCCAAGTGCTCTATCATTCAGCATCTGCTTCACTTGCGCTGGTTGCAACTGCTCGTAGATCCCAGTCCTGAGCACATGAAGACTCGGCTCAGCTAGCTTGCGCCAGACATCATGTCGGAAATAGAAGAGCCTGTTGCGTTGTGTGCCGGCTTCTGTGACATAGAAGTTTGCCTGGATGAGAGGAATCAAAATCGAATCGTAAAGGTAGTACATGAATTCCCATAGGAGCTGAAGACGCTTGATTCTTTCCTGCACAGAGATTCGCTGGTTCTGTGGCATGCCAGGAGGAACCAACCAAGTCAAAGAATTTAGTCGAAGACCTTGACACAAATGGTGCAGGGTGGTAGTCTCGAAGCGTCGCATCTGTACGAAGGTTTCCACATGGTTCAGTAGGCATCTCCAATTGTGCTTGCCATCGATGTCGACCCCGAAGGCAGAGGGTGGCAGTAATGTCAGTATGACAGATTTGCAGAAGGCAACAACGCTCATTGTTGGTGTCGCATATGCAAGAAACGACTGCTCGTGCTTGACCTTCGCGGGCTGCAGAGGACACTGCAGCTTGGCTTGCCTTGATAGCAAGACTTGTGTGACAAAGACAGTCGAGCTGTTTTGTGAGATCGTCGTCTCTTCGCCAACCGGTGCTTTCTCGTCATGATCAGTTAGGCCCAGAGCACAATAGTGTCGCAATTTCTGGGTATATGCACAACCCTTATGCCGGCGCCTGATACTCGCAGCCAATTTGAGAATGGGACCTCTCAGTCGACGAGGTAGCCATGTCGGAGGATGTTTGGATTGTGCTTTGATTTCATCCTCGCGGTAGATATAGTCTGACAATGGCTGTGCTGTGGTCCTTCGATCGACCTTGTACGTGAAGACATTGTGGAGATCAAATTGCCTGGGAAAGAGGTGCTTCAGGAAATGGACCGTCTCGCTCCCATCATTGACATTGGAGTAGCGCTGCAGAACATGAATATGTTTCAAGCCGAACCGTACCGAGCCTTTGGCATTGATTGACGGTCTCGCATACAACATGCGATTGCGAACGAGTGCGATCGCGCTTGGGCCTTCAGGAGCGGTCTTCCTAGCATTCTCATCAACGAGCACATCGAGCCGTTTCGTGTCCGACTTGAGGTTGTTGATCGGTGTGCCACTAATTTGGTAGTAGTTGTCCTCTCCACCATTGAGCAGAGCGAACACTCCGCAATCTAGCAACAGACTTGCAACAATTGCATGACCATCGGCTCCCAGTGCAGCGAAGATGAGTGTCCAAGCCGGGCTCTTCAACAATGAAAAGCTCTCATTTGGATGCACTTGCACGACGCCTGGCGCGATCAGGGAGCCCTCATGATCGATGCCCTTCTGCATGCCATTGCAAAGAACATTATTGGGTCGATGGAAAGCCTCCTTGCTGCAGTTCTTGAACAAGTGCCAAACGACGAAACTGAGCACATCCTCAACGGAGCACGTCTGGGTACGGTGTGTATGCGTCAAACTTTGGCGTAGTTGTGTCTGGGTGAAAGCAACAAACTCTGTTGATCGCGCACGTTGGACTTCGGGTGAAGGATCTACCCGAAGGCCAACCTTCCAGGTGTCAAGCACGACATCAGCCTGCTCTCCAAGAGATGCATTAAGCTTCTTGCGCCGAAAGGACTTCTGCGGTAGGCGAGCTCTGAGGAACTCCCTCAAAGCCAAGACTGATGGGTAACACGAATTGAGAACGCGTGATTGACGCGTCGCTTGATGAGGATTCGGAATCGTGGGTGATGACTTGAGCCGCTTGTGCGGGTGCCCCTCATGTGAATTTCTCTTGCGCTTCATTGTCGGCCCTAGTAGGCGCGTACACGAGCGGAAATCCACGTCCGCTTCGAACGCGACGAACTCATGCTCATTGCACCGTTGGGCACATCAACCGCGTCTGCTCGCTCTCCGACAGCACACTTGAGTAGCTCTGCTGGCGCACAAAAAGGTGGTCTCTTCGATGCAGTCACATTAGTATTGTCAATTGCGTGTTGCCGAGCATCAGCTGTAGGCTCACTGAAGCTTGGAACAACGCTGGAACTTGAGAGACCCGAGGAGCGCGTCGGGGGCGCCAAGCCCAAATCGTTCTAGCAGGTCGGTCGCCAGTGCCGGCCCCCGGGGTGTCAGTGGACGCTCGCGAAAGCCAGTAGAAGCACCGAGACACATGGACCGACTCAGAAGCCGGATGATTCAAACTGACACATGTTTGTTGGCGGCTGAAGACAATAGTACTTGTCGATATCGGTTTCTAGGGTCATCGTTATCGCAGCTAGGGTTTCCGTGTAATTGAGCTCGAGCAGGCAACACGCCGAATCAGCCACTAACGGGCCTCCACCGCGATCGACGCCACACATCTCGCTTGCAACTACAGAGACATCCGCACCGTGAAGTGCCCTCCAGCCTCACATCCACGCGCTTCCACTGTCAGCATCACAATTCGACGGGAAACAGTAAACGTCTGGTAGTGCATCCAACACTTCACTCACTGCCTTGTCCAACGCCTAGACCACCTTTCAGTCTCGACCAAGGGGCCACCGCCTTGCCAACACACGTGCCACTTACACTTCTGGGCGTCAACGCTGACAGTGACCACATGCAATGAAGCACCCGCAGCATCGACCGATTCTCGAAGGCGAGGCCGCTGAGTCCGTCTTGTCGTGAAGACTGTGGGAGGTGTGCTGCCGCATCCGGCACCATGCCAACTGCGCTCTCAAATTCCCCGAGCCGTCACATGACAAACCAGCGACGCCCGTCCTCTCAATCACAGACTTTCTTACCAGACCACGTGAGGTCACGGCAGTATTCGCAGTCGCAACAGCAACCGGTCGATTACCTCCCAACGACGGCATATTCGACCGGGCAGCAGCCACGAGAACAATATCACGACGGATCCCAGACACCGGGTGCAATATACGCACAGACTACACATGAAGAGCAAGCCGTTGATCCAGACGATTTCTACCGCGACTACAGCCAATCCTATGGCGCAGATGCCTCCAGAAGTCTGCATCAAAACGCGTTACGTGCTGGAAGCTTTGAGGAAGACCTCATACCTGCTCGCACCCGGCAGTCGAGTGTTGCATCGACGCAGTCACAAGACCGACATGCTCTACGGAGTTCAAAAAGCCTGGGTGGTGGCCAAAGACTCTCCCATTTGGTAACAACAAAGTCCGGCTCTGCGCTGGGCATAAGAAAGTCATCTTTCAAGGATCTGGTTGCCCGGTTCGACGCCTCGCCTGACGACGTCCCTCCGGTTCCTGTGTTTCCTGATTCGATTACCAGCTCACGAAAGACAAGTCCCGTGATGACAATGGCTGCGCAAGGCAACACGTGGAAGCATGCGGCCAGTGCTGCGGCACCTCGTCGCAATACGCAGACATCCTCGGCTCAGTCAAAGAGATCGCGGCCACTGTTCGGAGAGGTACTACCAGGTACTACACAGACGGCCACGGCCGGATATGGCATTCTCAGTCCGCGGCAGAGGCGTGGTTCAGAAGGCTCCCCAATGCATAGTCCCAACCCTATGTTCGTCGAAGATGATTGCGCGAATTCCGCAAGGCCAGATGCTTCGCCTCTGACTGCGGCGAATGGATCATCAAGCCGAGGTGCTGCCCGCGCTCAAAATCCGGCGCACCGTCGTGCAGCATCTGAGAGGTCTCCATCGCTCGGCGCTGCAGAATTTACTAGTGGTCACCCTGCACACCAGATTGACAGTACCCACCGGAGGCACGTATCTTCATCCCGAATACCCGTCAGCACTCGGCGGTCAAGTGTTGATTCCGGATCGGGCGCGTCGAATCCATCTTATCGTGCACAGTCGAAAGCCGGGCATTATACTGCGCTACAGGCACCCGGTGGACGAACAAATCTCCCAGTGCCTACCAGTGCTGGTAGAACGTCGAATTATTCCAGCTCACAATCCAGAATTACGCCTATTAGAGGTCCGGGTAGCAAGTCCAGAGTTGCAGCTGTGGCACAAGGTCAGAAAAGTCCCTCGTTGAGGGCAAACATTATCGCACCTCCACCCAAGATCTCTCCACCTCTCAGAAGCTCACGACCTCGGCTTCCGGTCTCCAGTGCGACTACCGCTGCTTCCCGTGCACGGATCGCAGAACGTTTTCAATCCATGGCACGAGAGCAGACAGACAGAAGGTCGGCGTCACGGCGTGGGAAGCCGCCCGAACTATCTGATATCGACTTGAAGGCTCGTCGGTTGAAGATCACACAGGCTTTGACCAAGTCTCGTGAAGGTCAGGAACTGAAGGGCGAGGGTGCTGCATCCAAGCACGCATCACAAAGCGCATCTGCTCCGCTGTCAGAGGCTGATCATGAAGATGAGCAGCACGATTCTGTCCACGTTCCTGCCGTTGTTCTAGAAAGCGCGAGTTTTGACACAGATGACAATGTGTTCAGGACTCCTGGAGAAGGATCAGTAGGTGAGGAGATCGGTTCAGCTCAAAGCTTTTCTCAAGAGCCGCGCGAAATTGATCACAATACCGACTCCCCAACACTGGGTCAATTGGACACTGGTAGCACCTCAGGCTTGCCTAGACTGGACATACCCCGAAGTCAAGGCCTGCATTCTCACGAAGATGATTCCGCTGTGACACATGAAACGGCTGAAACCAATTTCGATATTGATGACGAGCCGGTTACGCAGATTGGCACCAACGACATCCCATCAGTATATGATCAGATTCGAGGCATCAGGGGATCTACTTCGACCTCGCCTCCCTCCGGCATTTCCCCTGCCGATGGCTACACGCTGGATCGGACCGATGCGGAGTCGGTCAATCTCATCATGCGAAACACCACTTATATGGACGATGATGAGGCCGTTGCCAAAGGGTACCGCACGTTTATACAGCCCCCTCCGCTGCCAGATCTGTATGAGGGGTCTAGCAATGGACATAATTCCTGGACATCGTCGATGGCTGAGCGCTCTGACAATGCTCCCTACGATGAGTCAGCTGCCGCAGTTGAACAGCCAGCAGAAGATAGAGCCGCCTCGCAGCTTCCTATCGACGGCCATCTGCTCGGAAGTGTCTCTCAGCGTGGCACGACTGCCACTGATGCTTACACTATTGTTAACATCGTGTTGCAAGAGCGATCATCTTCTGGAGTCGTTGACCAAGAGCTTGTTGACGACATCTATCGACGCATCATTGAGGAAGATCCAGACTTAGCCCGCCCAGACCCAGTTGATCAGGCGCAGGTCGAAGATCTGTGCCTGCGCAATCTGGAACGATATGCTGCTGAGCAAGAATCCCCGGACGTTTCAGGGCTGCAGCAGGAGTCGGTTGACTCGGACGAGGAAGATGATCAGGCTGGGGAAGGCATGCACGAAGACAACCCAGAGGCGGCAGAACTCCGTCCACCACCATTACCCAAGGACAGCTTACCTCCTAACAGTTATCGGGCTGGGCATAAATACAAGTCAAGTCTCGACAGCATTGAAGACTGGGCTGATACGTCTCCGTCAATAGGCGACTGGATGTCTTACGCCCTGGCGCGGTCAGAATCGGACAAGGCTGTGAAACCGTCGCCGCTGGCGCAAGAAGCCAGTGAAGATGAAGGCGAATATGGGACTGTCGCCATTCTCAGCCGATCGCACGAACCGCTGGTGCCGCCTAAAGACGATGTGCCCATATTGCCCGCACATTCTCCCCCGCCACCACCAATCAGCAAGTCTATCTCTGCGGACACGATCGCTCATTCCATTTCAACACCGCCTGAGGTCCCAGATCGAATCACTTCGAGATCACAATTCTCCAGCCGACCCGTGACACGCGAATCGAGCAGTGTTGCTCCGAGTCTCAACGCTCAATCTGAAATGTCTGCCTCCACGAAGAAGCTGAAGCAGCGCCGGCATATTATGAAAGAGACCGTGGATACCGAATTTACCTATGAGAGAGACATGAGGGTCTTGTGCGATATCTACAAGCAGACCGCCAACGCTGTCATGAGCGACGAAGACGTCAAAATCATCTTTGGCAATGTTGAAGAGATACAGCAGTTTTCGAAAGACTTCCTGACTTATCTCAAGCAGGTGATTCGACCAGTATATGTGATGGATCGGAAAAATCGCATGACGAACTCTCATGCGGATCATGAATCCGTCCGATCGCTGTCTCCAGACCTGAACGATGAAGAGAAGGATCGTTTGACGCAGGTAGGCGTTGCATTTGAGGCGTCCGTCAACGACATGAGTGTCGTGTATACGAACTACATTCGGACAAGGCACGTTGCGAACCAGCGGCTGGCTGCACTGCAAACGGACCAAGCCGTCAGTGAATGGCTGCGAGAATGTAGTGAGAACTCAAAAGACATCACGCACGCCTGGTCCCTGGACGCCCTGCTGGTGAAGCCGATACAACGCATAACCAAGTATCCGCTATTGCTGTCGAGTCTCCTCGAGGCCACACCACCGGATCATCCGGACATTGACGATGTGCGAAGAGCGCTCACCGCAGTAACAGAGATCAACTTTCGCATCAATGACATCAAGAAGCAGACAGAACTGGTCGATCAGGTGCTCAATCGTAAACGTAAGGAGTCAGACGTCAGGAACGGCCTTACGAAGGCATTCGGGCGCCGTGCAGAGCGGCTCCGCCAGCACGTCGGGGTTAGCGAAGTGTACGAAGATGGCGAATTCACTCGATTGAAGATGGAGTACGATAACAACGGTGTCCATCTCCTGATTGTCAGCAAAGACATACTCGGCTATATCGAAGCAATGAAAGGATGGGTCGCCAAACTGACCGACATGGCCGCCGCAGCAGAAGCCTGGGTCGACGTGGGACACTCAGGTCATGCGGCAGCTGAAAGCAAGCTGCGTCAGCTCGGCAGCGCTGTGCGCGGAATCAATCTGATTGCTTTACCGGATCACGTCGAGTCTGTACAAAAGAAGGTTGTGTTGCCAATCGAAACCACTATGGGCATGGTCGAGCGTTTCAAGAACGAACCCAAGGGACTCCTGTACAAAAGGGATAAGAAGATTCTAGACTACAGCGTAGCGCGCAACAAGCGCGACCGTGGAGAAAAGCTCGATCGCAAGATGACCGAGAGACTCGAGCAATGGGAGGCCATCAACACGGAGGTCAAGCAGAGAATGCGGAAGGTCTTGTCGTCCACACAGACTCTGGTCCACGCCTGCTTGCAAAATCTTGTCCAATTGCACATGTCCTGGCTGTCGATGATTCAGCAGAAGCTGGCAAACGCCATGGCAATCGATGAAGCCAGGATGGTCGACCTTGACCTCGTCAAGGAATGGCAGGTTGATTTCGATCACGAAGAAGCGACTGCTCTGACGTTGAGTATCTGCAATGGCACTCTTCTGACGGAAGCAATTAATCTGGTCGGCTTCTTGTCTCCATCAACGACCAACGCTGAAGATTCGCCGAAGCAGCCGTCACTGGCATCTGGGAAGCGGTCGGTATCATTGCAGAGTGATTTCTCCCATCTACCATATCAGAGCTCGACTCGACTCAGCAGCGGCCAGCACAGCACGCAAGATTTCCCGAATGAGAATTCTTCGTTCGGTGTGAGCAATACCCGCATGCGTGCCGTCTCAACGACGTCAGGGCAGATGCCGCTGCGTACCTCAGAAGCATACAACCGAACACCTTCGTCAGGTCAAGGCCTTTCACGTCCGGCCACAAGCCTGGGCCAAACAGACTCCGGCTCGATCCGGAGTACCACTATCACCGTGCCACGAGTCAGCCTAGATGCACCTTCGCCCTCGCTCGGTCTGATTGCTCCGCAAGGCACGCCTCAACGTCCGGGTTCAGCATCAACATTCGTGTCGGCTGTCGCTGGCCCGTCCAGCGCATCCAGCCACCACCTACCGCAGCCGTCCGTGAGCACAGCAGAAACCAGTGCGGGCAGCGGGACGTCTTCGATATTCAGCTCGGCCATGCCGCTCTCGGACTCGCCTGCAGCAGAGCGTACATCAGCGACGATGCCGCCTCCAGGTATCACGCCGACTGCATCGAACGAGGACCCGCAGGTGCTTTTCACGGCTGCTTCCGTGTACGAGTTCAACATTGATCGCGCGCGGCAGGAAGGTGGCATACCTTACCTAACGTATGTAGCGGGTGAGATATTTGATGTGGTGGGTGAGCGTGGTGAGTTGTGGCTGGCTAGGAACCAGGACGATCCCTCCAGGCAGGTCGGCTGGATCTGGTGTAAGCACTTCCGGAAGCTGGCGTGATGAGTATGAAAGAGACGGCTGTTCGGACCGCAGTGGAGAGTCGACGCTCGACTGGGAGCGAATCGCGGTGGGAATAATTGTACATCACAAAAGGGAAAAAGGTCGGTGGGAACATCTGTGGGACGGGCTCTGTTTGGACATCATACGGGAAATGAGTGAACGACATACTTGGATCTACGGCGTCCCATCGAAGAGAAGATGGGAGCAAGGTAGCAATACAAGCCAGTGGGCGGCGGAGAAGAGCTGGGCGGTGTTCATTCAATCGACTTCCTGAGCATTTCTATAAGCAAGCAAGCAAGCGCTGGGCTTTTTTGGATTCATCTCGTCTTTCCGCGCACTGACCTGAATGTCGTGCCTGTGTTCCGAAGAGGTACTCAACATCAATGATACGGTCGCCGCTGCATGTAGTCCGAGCTGACACTTCCGCATTCCACATTCTGACTGATTCGAGTGACATCTGACTGGATTGCTTGCTTTACGCTATCACTGTACTGCCTCTATCAGCTTTGCTGAGAGTATGGACTACCCTACTGAATATCAGGCGCGAGGTGTTTTACCTCTAATCGTCTTCTACAACAGCGCCCATGACCGACCAGCAAAGGCCACCTCGAGAGAGTCGGATCAAGCCTCTATTGCTCTTGCCTGCTTCTGCTGTGACTGATGTGCGCGCGGGAGTACCATCCCGCCACCTGACGCATGCGCCATACTGCTTTTAATCAATTGTACCTGCCTCGCTCCTCGTTGACTCTGCGCTTCTCTCACTCAACGGAGCATTACTACCACACTGAAAACTGAATCGAGGCAATCCCGGCCGGCTCGCCATAGGGGCCTACTGATAGCCATGATTTCAGCACACAAGTATATCTCGCACAACAATTGTCACCTTAGCCTATCGATATCCAATCGCCTCCGACTTGATGTCCCAAGCAAGCCTAGTCGAGTGTGAGAGTTCCATTGTTAAAATTGACGTCCAGTCCATTCATGCCGCCTCGTCTCCGTCGGTAGGCTCGCCTCCGCAGCTTGTGCACTGGATTACGGGATTGTCATCCGGCTTCGACCACAGTGCTAAGTCAACCGGTGACAGATAACTCTTCCGCCCTATCTGGACCACCGCTTTTAAGTATAATGCGTGAGTATTGCTATCTCCCTGATCCAAAGACCACGGCAGTGACGTCGACCTCTCAACCAGCCGTTACTCAGGTCAATTCCTGCCCAACAAGCCCCCACCTAACCCGACTGACCCCATAGTTCCCCATGATCCACAACTCAGTCAGATTCTTGCCCACCCATGCAAAATTCTGCACCGTGTAGTTCGTCTGAATCCGCAAGATCAGCTCACCGGTGGGCGCAATTACATCCACCCCCTTGCCTGCACCCGTCAACACAACCCCGTTCGCCGCGACCTTCACTCCATCCGGTACCCAGTCCTGCGCGAGGTAGAAGCTGCGTTTGTTGGAGATCAGTGTGCCGTTATTTGAGGCGTCAAAAGCGTAGATTGTTCGCGGACCTGTGGCGTTGAAGATCGTCTTGCCGCCTAAGGCGCCAGGAGTGCGGGAGCCTTCCACCCCGCCGGTGTCGCTGATGTACAGAGTGCTGCCGTCAGGGCTGAAGGCGATGCCGTTGGGTTCTCTGAGCGTGTCGTCGATGAGGACGACTGCGCCGCTGTCTGGATTAAAGCGGTAGCTGGCAGGCGGGAGTTGCGGTTGAGCGTAATCGGTCAGGCCGTTGTAGTACGAATAGTAAGGGTCGGCTGTTTACCGCCGGTATTGATTAGCCTGAACCAGAACGTTGGGGGAACGTGTGAGATAAGAGATGGGAAAACAGATCAAAAGCTAGACAACCACGAAGTGGCCGTCTGGGGGAGGTCAGATTGGCTGGCAGAACAAAGGAAATACCTGGTCCAGGAGACCAGGGCAGGCAGGATCAAGCTCCAAGACAAGTGTCTCTGCTGCTCAAACCAGACTAGCTCCCAGCTGTTCAATGGTTCGGGCTTGCGAAAAGGGGACATACTGAAGAAGATCTCTCGGGAAGTAGGGTGGACGGCAAGGTCGTCAATGTTATTGAAGTACGAGCCGAAGTAGTTGTTAAGGAGCACGGTCGATTTGTTGGTGGCTGGGTCTACCGTCCGGATTGAGACGTATTGCGTGCCACCAGGAGAAGTGGCGTTGCTGCCAGAGGCGCCGAAGATGACCAGGCCATCGCGGAAGGTGCCGCCGTTGGGGGCGTAGATTGGAGGATCAGGGAGGTATCTGGTCACAGATGGTCAGTAGCTAGTAGTTCTGGGAGCAGAGCCCGCCCCGAGAGTAGATGGTGGCACGTACTCTTCGAGAGTCGGTGGATCGACGTTGAGATTTACCACAAGCTGAGGAAGAACTCCTGTGGGTGGAGCTAGTTGGGATATAAACAGCAAATTCTGCACTGGAGCATAGACCGGCGCTTCGTGCACAGCTGAAGAGACTTCGAACACAAACTCGTAGGTTGGGTCAGAACCAAGATACTCCAACCCTAGCTCGCGGTTGTAGACGACAAAGTCAGCTCCAGCGATCAGCTCGAAGCCAGTGTCTTCTGTTGCGACAGTGGTATTGTAGAAATCAAGCTCAAAGTCGTTGGCGGAAACATTGCGGAAGAAAGGGTACGGAAGTACAGCAGCATATTTGTTAACGCAGACAATGCTACCATCGCCGCTGCAATCCTCAGCCAGAGGGACTTGTACGCCGGCAGGGATTTGCGCTAACACTGGAAGTGCTAATGAGAGCAAGAGTGCTACGATGCCTTCCATGGTGGATGTTTACCTGTATCGCGTGAGTTTGATCCAGCCATGAGCGTGGGCGACGTCCACTATATACCCACCGACATGGTGCGGAGACACACCGCTATTGTACGATCGGCAACTCGTCATTCCTCAAGACTGCCGAAGTAGTTCGTATATCTGCCATGCTCGAGGTACCTAAGTAGCCTTAGTGCCTTGCAGCTGTTCCGGATGAGTGGTGGTGTGATACTTGGCATAAGGTTGACCCCGCGTTCCCCCGCAAAATCTACTCCAAGAGGTGCCGCGGTTTGTCACCGCCTTCGTTCCACCGGATCAAGTCCTCGTCCTCGTCCTAGCTGCCAGTGTGAGCTTCTTGTGCTTCGGTACAAGTGATCTGGGAGAAAATTTTGTGATCTTCAATCGCACGCGTATCTGACGGCAAAAGCGCTGCGGCATCTGAGCAGTGAGTTCAGTCTTGCTGTATTCGCAGGCGAAGTCACAGATAATGGGCTTTCGCTGCTCTTGACCTTCCGGTGGAAGCCCGACCTCGCGACGGTGTACTTTCCAATGATTTGGATGGCACTTACATGAATCGTATACGCACCAAGCACGCGACATTTTGCACACGTTTTGCCAGAAAATTCAAGAGCTATCTTCAAAGATGGCGTGGATTGTGGTGGGATATCGAACACATGTGGTTGTTCGACAGGACCGTGAATCACAGGGCTTGACCTGGGAAGCGCACGTGGACTCAGTCACTCCTCCTCTGTCGATATGGTTCGGATCAAGTAAACGAACAACCACTTATGTACCGTCTGAGAGCACAGCGCAACGACAGAAGTCAAGCCTTTGACAGGCACATACTAAGATCTGGGCCGTTGCCTTGGTACATCTGGGAGTGTTTCCGAGCAGATCTGAAACACTGCAGCGAGTTTTATGTCAGTCAATCTGTAGTGATCACCTGCCGACCTCGAAAAAGTTCAAGAATGCGGGCGAGCCGGGCAGCGCGACGATGTCGCCCGGCAGAGCAGGTGTTTGCTGCGACATCTGACAGTCCAATGGTGTGATCGGATGTACAGAGATGCTCAGTACTTGGCAGTACCAGTCTCGAGCGTCGAGCCAAAAATGTTAAGCCAGTCCTGCGTTCGGTCAATCCAGTCACAGTGGCTACCATAAGTGTCTCGGTAGCAATAAGTCGACGTTGTTGTCGAAGCATTTGCACTTGCCACACTGGACGGCGAGGTTGACTTCAGCTACCTCTGCCGACAATGGCCGACGGCGTGCTCACTCTAGCGGCCTTGAGCGTATTTTGAAGACACCGTTTTGAGGCTGTGTTCGGCAGCATGGCTTTTCTCGAAGGCCTATGGAAGCGGTTGCTCCGGATCAACATATTGGATTGGTGAGCACGAAGGATCCATTCGCCAGGGCTGGACATACTCTGGCCAGGAGTCGATACGAAGGGCTGTTCTAGGTCCTGAATCGGGCCCGTTTCTCGTTAACGAGGGCAGACTTCCATGCTGGCCGTAAGCTGCAACAACGATGCGATGCGGAGGCCCTCATCATGGGCAGTGCCGCCATCCGAAACGGCGTAGCTTGCTAAGCCCCAGGGTGAAGAGATGAATTCTCATTTGATGCCAAGTAAGGAATGCAGAGTGGTGATGTCATACATACTGGATTGCAACCGTTGTCAGGTCGATGTACCAGGCAGGCCACGTGTGTCTGTCAGCCAAAGCCACAGCAGTGGCAGTATACAACGCTGTAGCGGTCCTCTGCAGCTCAGAATTGCAGCAGAGCCAGGCCAGCCAGAGAAGAATTTGCTTTCCAAGCGCAGGGAAAGCAAAAAGTCGCGATCTATAACACGGTTGACGTGCCAGTAAAAATGCGGGGAGAGCTTCGATTTTCCTGGCACACGGCTCTTTTCTGCAAAGTCAATATCCCGAACCGTTTTTGATTCGGTAAAGAGAAATGTCAACAACCTGCCAAGGTAAGGCGTCGTCAGCTACCCCAGCAGCTAGTGGTCCGTTTCCCGAGACTCTATTGAAGCTCCTGTGGATTGCGGCTGTCAGAAGTGACAGTTACTTCATGCAAAGTCTCCTGGCAAGGACATAGGGTTGCTGAAGCTTGAAACATGGCCGTGAAGACTCCAGGTGAGCTCTTCCTCGCCGAGATTTCGCTAGCCCAGAGCGTGTGGGAGTTGCGTTGCTGACGAGAGGGCATGCGCAAACCACCATAGATCATAGGTATTCTCGATATGCATTACAGGGCGCGCTCGGCGCTCAGTAAACAAGCTGATTGTGCCACAGTCGCATGCTGGCGCCTCTCCATCATAGGCTTGACAAGTTCTTCTGCTCCAACTTGCGGATGGTTCATTCCCAATTGGATGAATTTGACTTTCAGTGACACGAGGCCTGCAGAAATTGTGAGTATACTCCTCGCCAAGTGCCTGGCCAGTATTCGTTTCACCCCTCACCTCGATCCGCCTTCGAGATCTATTCATCCGCCAAGGAGTCTTGACGATGAGTGGCTAAAAGTCATCACTTCATGGTGCCGATTGGAGCTTCCAGATGGCGAAAGAGGTACCATCAAAACAGGCTTGCGTGCCCACACGCGTCTCATAAGCTCGAGGGCATCGCCCCCTTCGCTCGTGTTTCTCTTTCGCACACGATTGTCATTTCAGCATTGTCCTGCACTTCAGTCAGCAATATATCAGCATGCAATTCAAGAACCTCGCCCTTGCGGCCATTGTGGCCACCGCCACCGCTCAAGAGCAGCAGAACCTCACTGCGGCTCTCAGCTCGAACCCAGAGCTCTCGAACCTGACCTCGTTCCTCGGAGCTCTCCCAGACTTCGTTGGTCAGCTCTCACAGCTGCAGAACGTGACTTTGTTGGCTCCTAACAACGAGGCCTTTGCCGAGTTTCTCAACTCATCTGCTGGCTCTGGTCTTGCTTCAGGATCAGACTCAGCCCTGATCCAGGCCATTCTCTCGTACCACGTCCTCAATGGCACGTATGAAAGCTTCGGAGAGAACGTCACTTTCGTTCCCACTGCCCTGCAGCCACCTCAATTCGCCAACGTAACAGGCGGCCAGCGCGTTGAAGTCATTCCTTCTGGAGGCAATGCGACCTTCCTGTCCGGTCTCCTCGCAAACTCCACAGCTGTTGGAAACGCGACCAACTTCACCGGAGGTGTCGTGCACGTCATCGACCGCTTCTTGGTCGTTCCCCAGAACATCTCCGAGACTGCTATTCAGGCCAACCTGACAAGCGCTGTTGGTGCGCTCCTGAAGGCGGACCTTGCAACAACTCTCGATGGTCTTTCAGATGTGACTGTCTTCGTTCCGGATAACGCGGCTTTCCGCGCCATTGGCAATCTCGTTGGAAACCTCACCACGGAGAACCTGACAAGCATTCTCACGTATCACGTTGTTGTAAGTAGTTCCCAGCTGTATGACTGCACGCGATCATCTCGGTGCTAATGCGGACGCAGAATGGCACAGTCGCATACTCGACCGATCTTTCGAACACATCGATTCCCACGCTCGGTGGTGGAAACGTTACTATCACTGTAGATGGCGACAGCGTCTTCGTCAATTCCGCCAGAGTTACCGTACCCAATGTTCTGGTATGTTGCAGCGAGCAAGCTTCCGCTTACCTTTCGTGCTTGCTAATGATCCTTAGGTCGCGAACGGTGTGGTCCACGTGATCGATTCGGTCCTCAACCCTGCCAACAGCACCGCCGAGCCGAACCCATCCGAGTCAAGTGGTGTCCCAGCTTTCGCAGGTGCCCAGGATCAGGACGACGGACTCGCTTCAGGTGTGCCTACGCCAACAGCCTCATTGAACCCTACATCGGAGGCTTCTGCTGCTGCGACTGCCACTTCTTCGTCCAGCTCTGGTGGCGCCATGCCCATGATCACCGGTGCCATCGCTCCTGCCGCGCTGTTCGGTGCAGGCGCAATCTTGGCCAACCTGTAGTTACCTTGATGGGATGGCAAGCACGCGCTAAGAGCAGGACACAAAGCACAGGAGCGTCGAGTGCGTGGGAAAGACCTGTGTCACCTTATCAGTGTGGACTAGCTCGTTTGTGAGCCATCAAAGTGACTTCGTTGCTGTCGAATTGACGACTCAGCGAACAAACAGCCAAATAATGAAAATCACATCAAAAGTAAAATCGTTTTTCCTGTCTGCTTCCAGTAGAGCAGTTATCATTGCACCATCTCTCGTCGTGAAGTGAGTGATACAGAGGAGCAACGGTGAGAGTTCGCAGTCTTCATCGTTATCAGTCTCGGAAGTGCTTTCCTCTTATGGCGCAGCCCTTCCGACCAATGAAATGGCCACAAAGTCCGCCCACCCCTCCCCTCGGCAACGACTACGAGAGATCTCCTTCTCCTCCTTATGATGATCGACCAAGTATACGTACAGACGAGCGTGGCATGGTGATCGAGGATGTCACTATCGATACTCCAACAAGGGTGTCGGCTGAGCTTTTGGCGATAAAGGAACGCAAGACCAAGGCCAAGCCTAAGCGACAACCTATACAATATGTCTCGAAGCACTTCTTTCAGGAGGACTCCCCGGCGAGGACACCAAGCCGCCGCTCGAGAAAAAATGCCAACAAATATGCAGACGACGTCCTACCATCATTGACGGCTACAACACCGCCCGGGACGCCAGCCCATCGGCCAGCACCGCGCATCGTGTACGGACTCAACCTCGATGAGCTCTCCTCGGACTCCTCCCTCACAGACGTCCCTTCAGACATCGGACCCGACCCCTTTAGCCCAGCCGAATTGGTCGCTGTCAAATCGCTCGCTACTCCCAAGAAAGGTCGCCAGCCAAAGTCCTCCCCATATTTCCCAACACCTCACAAGCCTCGTCCACATTTCCTTTCCACCCTGCCTTTTCCGCCTATCTTCAACGCCACCTTTGGACTCATGCAAGAGCGCCTCTGTGATCGGCCCTTTGAGCTACTTTTAGCAACCATCTTCCTCAACAAAACGCCCGGCGAACGTGCTATGCCTGTGTGCTTCCAACTGCTCGGGCAATACCCCACGCCTGCCGCAATCGCAAACGCCAAGGTCGAGGACATCACGCACATCATCCGACACCTGGGCTTCCAGAATCAGCGTGCGCATAAGATTGTCGGGCTGGCGAAGGGCTGGGTCGCTCGGCCGCCCAGGTTCGATGTGCGCTACCGGAAGGTCGACTACCCGCTCAAGGGCGATGGGAAGAACGTGGCCCCAGAAGAAGCTATCACTGACATGGACGAGCGTGTTGCATGGGAGATCTCGCATCTGCCTGGTCTAGGACCGTACTCGCACGACAGCTGGCGGATGTTTTGTCGTGACAAATTGCGTAGGAAAGCAACGGGCTACCGCGGCGAGGGTGCAGGGGAGGACTTTGAGCCGGAGTGGAAGCGCGTCTTGCCGAAGGATAAGGAACTTCGCGCTTGGATGACGTGGATGTGGATGAAGGAAGGGTGGGTGTGGAATTGTGAGACGGGTCAGCGGACCAAGGCCCCGGACGAATTGATGGAGTTGGCTAGAGGCGGCGGGGTAGTCGTTGAAGAGCATAAGGAAGGGAAGGAGAGCTTGCGCGTTGAGCAAGGCTACGACTACAACGGCGATCTAGTACAGGATCGATCCACTGTGCCAGAACCGCAAAGGCCTGCAGGTAAAATACTGGATCAAGTCAAGGCCGAAGCTTCCGATTAGTTGTTGGATACTGGTTGCATTAGTTGTTATTATAATATAGTCCTGGAGGCCTCCTCGCGAGGACGACGCGTATGGTACACTTCCTCACTCATTCCGCTGCAAAGCAGCTTTCTATCGACGGTGTGCAGCGTCTTTACCCCTCGCCATCTGAACTCACGGCGGCCTTTCTTCCCAGTATCGTGTAGTTCGTCTCCGTCAAGCTGAGCTTTGGCGCCAGTGTTCCCAAGCCGAGACACTGGGAGTACTTCAGAAAGTATCGACCGCTTCGTCGGCCCCAATTGAAGCCTGCTCAAGACGTAGGTCGTCTTCATGATTGAGCCTGGCGCAGCTTATTGGCGACTGGGGCGTGCTCGTATTACGCCTAGGCACTTTCGCTGCATTTCGACGTCTTTGGATGGTCCCGGCGAGGTAAGTGGTGACCAGAATACCGCTTGGCGAAGACCACAAGAGGATTTTCTATCGTCATGGCCGCATGATTGGCTCGTTCGTTCGATTGAATGAGCGACCACTGGGACAATTGGCCCTCAGTAGCGGCCCACTCTAGAAATGATCCCCCGGGCTCCCAGACGACGCTTGGAGCAAGCGATCGTCCATATCCCTCGTTGTCCATTCTACGTTCAGCCCTTGCTCGCGACCACATCCGCCCGTCGCTCGAGCGTCTGCCCAATAAAGCCCCTTAACGCCGCCCACCTGTCCTGCGTGCTCCCGACCACCGGCACCGCCGCTGCATCATGACCATTCCCGCCTGCGCTCGCCCTATTATCAGGCGCGCTCAACTGCGCCAAATTCTTCGCCCACCTCGCCCGCTCCTGATTGTCCAGTGCTTGCTTCCGCTTCAGCGCTCCCGGTTTGCTCTTCATACTCTTCCTCCGGATTACGTTGACCTGATCGACGACATCAGCGCCGTCTCTTATAGTGACAGCACCTCCCACTGCTCCTTCCGAGGCTGGCGAGTCATCAGCGTCAGGCAATGCATCTGCAAGTGAGTCGAGAGTTGCGACTAATTTCTTGTTTGGCCGCCTTTGGCGTTTGGCGTTCTTGCTGGCGGCTGCAGAGGACTTGTGGACCTTTGAGATGAGGTTGGCATGTTTTATGCGGCGCTTGTCGGCTTTGGTATTTGGAAAGAGAGATTCTGGGGCCACTGGTTTGGGCTTCGACTTCGTGGCTATGATTGGTTTGTCGGATGACTTGAGGATCGATTTGGCGGGGCGCGCTGTGCGATGGTCTGGCTGGGTGGGCGCCATGGCGGTATGACTGTGAGGCCGCACGCTTGTTTTATCTTCTTCATTGAACTTCTTCGAGAGATCGGAAGTGGCTTTCGAACGTGGGGTCGTCGGTTGGAAATTCACGTTAGGCGGACTAGTCCACAAACGCAATTTGTAAAGAGTGCGCCGGAGCTAAGCACTCATATTCCCGGATTGCGTCGCCTTCTCATCGCCTACCGCGATCTCCAGACCTCTGCATTGAATCAGTCTCACAGCAAGACTCCCGTTGTTCACTTTGTCGAGCCTCATACAAATCTAAGATGGCATCGATATCGAACTACGCGATGCCGCAGGAGCAGCCAGGCTACTCATTCGCCGGCTCGGCTGCGGCATCACATTCAGAAGGTGTCAAGCAACACGCCTTCTACCCGTGAGTGATGCCTTTGATGACTGTCGCCCTGCCATGCTAACCTGTCCGGCAGATACACAGACAACGGAGGCTCGACACTAGCGATCTCAGGCGATGACTTTGCCATCCTGGCCGGCGACACCCGCATGACATCCGGCTACAACATCCACACACGATATCAACCAAAGCTCTTCAAGATCGGCGATGAGGAAGACTCACGAATCGTTCTCTCGGTAGTCGGCTACGCAGCAGACGGCAACGCCCTAAAAGAGCGCTTGGATGTCATCGTGAAGATGTACAAATACCAGCACGGCAAAACCATCAGTATCAAAGCCTGTGCACAGCGGTTATCGACCATCCTCTATGGCAAGCGCTTCTTTCCCTACTACGTCCACGCCATCCTAGGTGGTCTCGACGAGGATGGTAAGGGCGCACTGTACAGCTACGACCCTGTTGGCAGCTACGAGCGAGAGCAGTGCAGAGCGGCTGGTGCGGCGTCAAGCTTGATCATGCCGTTCTTGGACAACCAGGTCAACTACAAGAATCAGTACGATCCGACGTCCGGTGAGGGACACAACTTGCAACCGCGAGGCTTCGAGGCTCTGAGCCAAGACCATGTCGTGGCGTTGGTCAAGGATGCGTTCACGAGCGCAACGGAGCGGCATATCGAGGTTGGTGATGGATTACAGATGATGATCATCAAGAAGGATGGTATTCACGAGACATTCACGCCGCTCAAGCGCGACTAGAGAGTGAGTCTCGTAGCCTGGGGCGTCAAGGTGTTCGTAGCGGCTCTTTAGTAGATGCATAATGCATTTCTGCGGGTGTGGCAAACACCACAGGTCGACCATAATCTATCCCATAACACCGTGCAAAAATGCATGATCTCCACCCACGAACTCCTCATGATCTCGTCAGATGCCCATATCTACCACTGCCCATATCTACCACTGCCCATATCTACCACTGCCCATATCTACCACTGCCCATCAAAACCGCTCTTTCATTCGCCCTGCCACAATCCTCAAATTCCCATAAACCTTCCCTGGCGGCGCACCCAATATCAAACTCACCACCGCCTCCCTCGCAATCCTAATGTTCCGAAAGCCACCCAATATATGAATCTTGCTATCCGCCAGCACCACTCTCGTCTTCGTCGTATTCTCAATCGCAAACTTGGTCTTCCCGTCCTTGCCCGCTATCCGCCCGATCGCCCGCGACAAGTGCTCTCCTTGCAGCGTCTTGACGTCCTTGATCTCGAATGTCTCGATATACAGGTCATCGAGCCGGAGCAGCGCGATTGCGTCGTCGACGTCGAAACCTAACGTGAAAGCGCGGATGAAGTCCTCGCCGGACTGCAGGGCGGACGGGGAGGTAGTGTAGCGCGATGTGCGGAGCTCGACGGCGCGTGATTTGATGTTCATGCGGACTTGGAGTTTGAGGTGTTCCACGAGGGGTGGGTAGATTTTGGGCCAGGAGTTCTTGAGGGGTGTCATGCGGTGTGGTGGGACGGGGACTTTGCGGGATTGTGTTTTGAGAGCGGTGGTGGTGGGTGATGCGGTGTTGGTGGGGGTGGTGGCGGGGTATTGTGGTCTGCCTTCTTCGTCTGCTATTTGCATTGTGGTGTCTGTGGGTTGTGTGGGTGTTGATGGGGCGAATGATGTGAGTTGTGCGGGTGTTGAAGTGTCTATTTCGATGTCTTCGAGGTCGCCATCGTTGGAGGCTGAAATGGGCACATCTTGCGGTCGTTCCAGACCGAGCGTCTCGGGAGCACGCTGGAGGGCTGTTGGCGCGGGCATCGTGTCGGATATCGTGGTCTCGGATGTCTGGTGCACTGAATATCTGGTAAAGAAATTCATGGACATCGAATCGAAAAATTTCCCCGCATTTCTGCCATTCAAAGTCATCCGGTCTTGCGAACTTCCTGGTCCTCCGGTCTTGTCAAGTGCCCGTTGGAATAAATTGATGAATTGGAGAAATCGCGATCGCGAATCGTGACGCGACTTCCGCGTGCATTTCGTGACGAACTGGACTTTTGCTCGCCGCGCACCAATTGGATCAAGGTCCCATGATTCACTGGCCAAATGGCTCCTGCGGCTACTAAGCAGCAGTCGACGTTGTCCGGCTGGTTTACAACCCCAGCATCGTCTGCTCATTCGAAGCCTGGCCCATCAGCATCAGCAAAGAAGCCTACTGTCGTAGGGAAGCCCACTCCACCGGCCCGAAGCAGGAGTGACGAACAAAATGACTTCGAATTGCCAGACCCGAAACGTCGGAAGGTCATCCCGGAGACTAGTCGAAACGACACACCCGAGGAGGATGACGAGCCTCGAGCCTCCCTGAGATCTGTATCTGGCAACGGCACCATCATCAGACAACCACCTCGGACGCCACTGTCGAGTCGGACTTCGAAGTATGCCTTTTCTCAGTCACCGCAGCAAGAGAATCGGGCGCCCTCGCCGCTAGATCCTGAGGAGGAGCAGAGAAAGGAGGACCTACACCACCGTTTTGTGCGGAAACTAGGTCGGCCTGACAGCATCGCTGATATTCGCCGCCGGAATCGAATCCTCAACAGCGATGAGGAGGATGGTGCGGACGAAGAAGGTGATGATGATGCAGAAGAAGAGCCGAAGCCCAAGAAAGGCGTCAAGGCTATTAATAAGGGTGGCAACAAGCTGACACCTATGGAGAAACAAGTCATTGAAATCAAGCAAGCACATCCTGATACACTGCTGGTGGTCGAAGTTGGTTACAAGTTCCGCTTCTTCGGTGAGGACGCTCGCACAGCGGCTCGGGAACTAAGCATCGTCTGCATTCCCGGCAAAATGCGTTTCGACGAGCATGTATCCGAAGCGCACCTCAACCGCTTTGCCTCAGCAAGCATTCCGGTGCATCGGTTGCACGTACATGTGCGTCGCCTGGTCTCGGCGGGCCACAAAGTTGGCGTGGTCCGACAACTAGAGACCGCGGCATTGAAAGCAGTGGGAGACAACAGGAACACGCCCTTCACCAGGAAATTGACGAATCTCTACACAAAAGGCACCTACATCGATGATACCGAAGGCATTGAGGACAACGGCTCCCCTCCGCCTGAAGCTCCTGCGACAGGCTTTTTGCTTTGCCTGACAGAAGAGAAAGTCAAGGGCTACGGCAATGACGAAAAGGTACACGTGGGCATCCTAGCTGTGCAACCAGCTACGGGGGATATTGTTTACGACAACTTCGATGATGGATTTATGCGAAGTGAGATTGAGACACGTCTACTGCACATCGCACCATGCGAGCTACTGATTGTCGGTGACCTGTCAAAGGCGACAGACAAAGTCGTCATGCATCTTGCTGGTAGCAAGACCAATGTCTTCGGTGACAAGGTTCGAGTGGAGCGGCTAAACAAGCACAAAACTATTGCGGCCGAATCCCACAACCACATCTCGAATTTCTATGCAAAGAAGTTGAGGGATGTTGACGAAAACGACGGTGGCAAGGCGGCCAAAATCCTTGATAAGATCTTGGGTTTGCCCGAGCATGTTGTGATTTGTCTATCAAGCATGATCACGCACCTGACGGACTACGGCCTTGAACATGTCTTCAATCTTACTAAATACTTTCAGCCATTTTCTGCTCGATCACATATGCTGCTGAATGGCAACACGCTCAACAGTCTCGAGGTGTATCAGAATCAGACCGATCACACGATCAAAGGCAGCTTATTCTGGACGCTGGACCGGACTAAAACCAAGTATGGCAGTCGACTTCTACGAAAGTGGGTTGGGCGCCCTCTGCTTGACAAGGCTGCTATCGAAGCGCGATTCGCTGCAGTTGAAGAACTGCTGGCTTCAGGTCATGGCGTCATGGTCGATAAGTTGACGGGAATACTTGTCAAAACACGATGGGATCTGGAGAAGAGCTTGCTGCGCATCTACTACGGCAAGTGTACGCGTAAAGAGCTTCTCAATGTACTGCAATCACTGCAATCAATCGGTCAGGAGTTCAGTCACATCAAAGACGAGTCATCCACGGGCTTCGAATCACCTTTGCTGGCTTCGGCTGTTGCTTCACTACCAGCAATCCTGCCAGTCGTGATGGTGCACCTTGAAAAGATCAATGCTGCCGCGGCTCGGGAAGACGACAAATACGCTTTCTTTCTGGATGCGTACGAAACCGAAGCAATTGAAGAGCACAAGCATGGCATTGCCAGTGTCGAGCACGATCTTGACCAATTGAGATCAGAGTTCGCTCAAGTCCTCGGCAAGAAACAGCCAGTGGACTACAACACGACTGCGGGCATCGAGTATCTGATCGAGGTCGACAACGCCTCCGCAGCCATCAAGAAAGTGCCTGCGACCTGGACCAAGATCTCCGGCACCAAAAAGCTGTCTCGATTCCAGCCACCAAAAGTCTCGACCCTAGTGAAGGAGCGAGATCAGCACAAAGAGTCCTTAGCAGCTGCTTGCGATGAAGCCTACACAGACTTTCTGACCAGCATCAGCGGAGATTATCAGGTCCTCCGTGACACCATTCAGTCTCTGGCAACTATAGACTGCTTGATGTCACTCGCTAATGTCGCATCGCAACCAGGCTACACCAAGCCATCGTTCGTCAATCGCACAAGAATCAACATTCAAGGCGCTCGACACCCTATGATCGAGCAACTACTCCTGGATGCTTACGTGCCAAATGATGTGAACCTAACCCACGAGCAGAGAGCACTGCTCGTGACAGGCCCGAACATGGGCGGCAAGTCATCCTATGTCCGCAGTGTAGCGCTCATCGCAATTATGGCACAGATCGGCTCCTTCGTGCCTGCAGACAGTGCCGAGCTGGGGATCCTAGATGCAGTCTTCACTCGCATGGGCGCTTTTGACAATATGATGAAGGGCGAAAGCACTTTCATGGTCGAGCTCTCGGAGACGAGCGATATCTTGAAGCTGGCCACAGACCGCAGCCTGGTTGTCCTCGATGAGTTGGGCAGAGGAACGAGCACTCACGATGGCATGGCTATAGCCAGCAGTGTCCTGGACTGGCTCATACGTGAGAAGAAGTGCCTGACCCTCTTCATAACTCACTATCAAGCGCTGGCTCGTTTGCAAGATCAATTTTCGGAGGGCGAGCTTCGGAATGTGCATATGAAATTCGAACATAGCGGCGAAGGTGATCATGAGGAAGTCACGTTCCTGTATGAGGTTGGCGAAGGTGTCAGCTACCGAAGCTATGGTTTGAACGTGGCTCGTTTGGCCGGACTCGCCTCGGGTGTCAGAGAGGTGGCTCGGGAGAAGAGTGAGATGCTGGAATGCGAGATGAAGACGAGACGCGTGCGGGCTCTGGGTAAGCTCCTTGAGAGCGGAGGAGAGGATGATGGAGTTCTTGAGAGACTCGTCGAGGGCATCGAAGGACTTTGAAGACACATTGCACGGTAGCTGCTGCCTATTGAGCCTGGGTAGTTTGTGCCATAGCGGCGGTGAGAGGATGACTGTTTCAGATCCAGAAGTGGGTCAAAGCTTTGACATCCCTCTCCTAGAAAGCGCTCACATTCCTCGGCTCTCTACGGGTCACCTCGTTGGTCTTTAAGCTGATGCTCTGACAGGAGACTCCAGGCAGCTCTGATCAATCCGCGGCCATCCTATCGTCAATGCTGCGGCAGGGGCTTTTCTTCAAAGAATCGAGGTCCGCCTGCAGACTCCTGTCGTGAAGGAAACACGCCTTTTGACGCACAGCCCCAGTGGGACATCTTATCAATTCACAGATTGCACAGCCACACGATCGTTGCCTTATGTTAACTGAAATTCTGTCTTGCGCGTTCCCTCAACTCGACTTGAGCATCAGAAGCTGCCAATCCTACAGTATTCAGCAGTTCGACATGGCCAATACCACAACCTCATTGGGGAACTGTAGCAGTAATCAGCGTCCGATTCCCAGCCGCACACCATCCGGCCGCCCAACTCCTGTGCCATCGCAGCCCCCGCTACCGACATCAAATACCGTTATTGACCCGAATGTCAATGCTGTTGTTAGTGCGTCCGACCCGCAAGGAGCCGCGCAGCCGCAGACGACATCGGTCTGGAAACGATTCAGCCAGAAAGCCAAGCGTATTGACAAAGTCACTGCTTTTGTCGACAGTCTGATAGCCGCTTGTATCGCCATTCCGGGGTTCTGGTACGTCATAGCAGCCTATCGGACCAGTCAACGAGCCCTCAGCCTGGAGGCGTGGACCGCAATCAAAGACTTCCGTACAGAGTGCACCGTGCTACAAGACGCAGGCCGCGAGCTTTCAGTCGCGTGTCAGGAGGCGCTAGAGCGAGAATTGCAGCCTCCACCGATCAGTCTATGGAAACGCGTCGTCGCATGTTCTGCGAATGTATATGGAAGATTTAGCTTCGGGAACAAGACCAGCGACTGGGCGTTCGCTGCCTGCATGCTGCGCACAATGGGGCTAACACTCATCATCGTTGCCTGCTGTACTGTATTCATGACGACGACGTCCCGGAGTCTCAAGGCACCCCGCTTCAGGTTCATGTACCGCCCTTGGACCAAACGAGCGTACTGTTGCTACTTCATAACCCTCCTGGTGACTTTCTTTGTCCCTCGGACGTTGAGTTGTACTTCCGCCGGGCTTTACATTCTTCTGTCCACCTTGGGCGCAGCATTTCTGCCGGCGGGGCGGCCCAACGTCAATCATCCAGGGCTGTTCTGGAACGAACACCTGGGACGACACGTCGAACGGTTTCTGAGTCCCAGTGGTTTGGCAGCGATATACGGCCTTTTCACTGGGCAATTGCTAATGCTCTTACGTGACGACCAAGTCCTCCCCTTCGTCATAGCACTGATAGTCACGTCGCCGCTGTGCGCAGGTTTGGCTCGTGTGCTCAGTCACGTGCTGTTACGTCCAGCGCTCTCGTCGCTAGGAAGGCGTCAGTGTCGATTCAGACCGAAGGTAGCAGGGCAGGAACTCTTTTTCTTTGAGCTAGACTTCGAGACAGACTCGGGCTATACATACGGGATGTGGGGTTACGTCGAGCTGTGACCTATCATCTTCAGGCTCGACCAACTTGAAGCAGATCTGGAAGGTATTCATTCGCGGCACTGACGCGAACTTGTCGAGTTAGAAGCACCCTCAGCGCCTCTACAAATTTCTTGACATGCCTCCGCAAAACGTCGCCTGTCAGAATCTGCAGGCATGTCTATCGCTGACAGTTTCGCCCTCCCACACAAGATCGAGTACGGTCAACACATCCTTACAAGCAGCGCAGCGCTCGTCTGCCAATAGTGGAGGTTTAAAAACATCTCATAGCGCACCAACTAGGGTCCTACGCCGTGTAACGCTTGTTGCATGTCGAGAAAGTTCAGGCCTTTGCGCACGCCTGTGACAGTCACTTGGTCACCTGGTCATAGCATAGGACTGCATCTCCAAACAGGCAACTTGGACCCACATCATATTTCCTAAAACAGGTTCTATCTGTCCCGCCGCCAGCATCCAAAGTTGCAATTCAATTTCTACGCTGCGCTTCTGCCGGCCCGAAAATCAAAACGTGCAGGACTGAATGTTTGCCCTACGGCCCCGCTTTTGACACAGGGGGCATCTTGGAGCGGTGACGGGCACGGCCGGGCGCGGTGTTGGAAGTTTTGTATGGCGGTGGGTTTTGCCAAGGCTAGGAGATCTGTGATTGGACAGACAAGTATGGTGTGCCAATTCGTCGCAACTGTGGACGCATGGCTTCCCTGACTTGTGCTTTTGGCAGTCAGCCGATAGAAAGCTGTTATGCTAGCATGGATACTATATGGCAGGATATGTTCTGTCTGAGTAATCAAATACCGAGGGCGGTCTCAAAGACAGAGTCGAACGAAGCGCTCAAGCCTTCTCAACCTCCTCCGCCTCACCCCTCGCCAAGTTCTTCTCCATAGCGCCCCTCTCAACCTTCTCAACCTTAGCATCGCGATCCATCACCATCGCCACCTCCTCCAGACTCGGGCCCTTTGTCTCCGGGTACAACAAGAAGATGACTGTCGTCTCCACTGCCAACCAGACGACGTAGACCAGGTAGAACTTCCACGCCAGGGAGTCCAGGCCGATCGGGTTGACGAACTGGTTGAAGGCGGAGCCGGCGCGGGAGAAGAGCTGCATGATGGCGACGCCTTTGCTGCGGTGCATGTAGGGGAAGACTTCGGTTATGTAGCAGTACTGTTGTTCGGCAAGGTCAGCATCGACTCGCTAGGGATTGCTACCGTGGACGTCTTGGAAAGGATCACGGCGCACAGGGGCAAGGTACTTACAGCAAGTGGCATCATCAAATTATAGAACGCATAATAGATGAAGATCAGCGCCACGACCGCTCTCCCAGCAGCGGTGTTGGTGTTGTCCTTGGCATAGGTGGCCGAGGCGGCCGTCCAGCACGAGAAGATCAGACACATGCCGCCGTAGCCTGTGAGGAACTGCTTGCGGCGTGGCATGTATCCTTGAGCGAAAGATCCGCTGACGCCGGTGACCAAGTTCCAGCACATCAGGCCGAGGTTGAGCTGGTTTTGGGTGCGCCGGTCGGTGATGCCGATTGATTTGAGAACGCGGGCTAGGTAGTACTACGGGTTTGGAAGGATTGGTAAGCTCGTTTTCTGAGGCGCAAGTGCGAAGATGTTCGGGCTGATTGGAGTATTGCATAGACACAGGTTTCCTGGAAGCACTTACGGAGACAAGGCCATTACCAGCCCATTGGGCGAACAACCCAACACAAGCAGCGATCAGAACACGACGCCGATTGACCGAGTTCGTGAGAAGCTCCTTCCATGGCGACCTGGAAGCCTCCTGCTCTAGACGAATAGTCTCCCGAATCTGATGGTACTCGGCAGCAACGAAGGGCGAGGCGGCGTCACCCTCGGCATGGTACTTGATGAGGATCGCGAGAGCTTCTTCATGGCGGTCTCGACTCATTAGCCATCGCGGAGATTCTGGAACGAACCAGATGAAGATGAGCTGTAGACTGGACGGGAGGATCTGGAATAGTGTTGGGAGGCGCCAGCTCCAGTGATTTGTCCATTCGAACGTTCCAAGTGTGACGCCCGCGGCCAGAATTGCACCTGTAGGGGCGTGTCAGAACGACGATCTCAACGCAGGAAGTGATGGCACTGACCAGCATACCAGCTCTCATTGAACAAGCCGATCACGATAGCTCGCTCGCGAGGGTACGACAGCTCAGCGATTAGTTGCGATGCACCCGAAACTGCGTATGGGAGACCCATGCCCATGATAAAGCGGCTGGCGATGAGCATGCCGACTGTCCTCTCGTCAGATTTCGAGCCTCAATCATAGAAGTATTGTACTCACCATTGATCGCGAGTGTCTGTAGGATGACACCAATACTGATAAAGATCGACCCCAGAACGATACAGAACTTACGTCCGAAACGATCGTTGACGTAAGGTATCAAGGGGATACCAGCGACAGCACCGAAGTTGAAAGACGCAGTGACTATGCCGAGCAGCGACCCATGGGGGTTGTTGAAATGTTCTTGCCACTTGTCCACAGCCTGCAGGCCGTTGAGTACGCTTCCGTCTTTGCAGGCAGTTAGCATATAATCGGGCAGGTAGCCGCTTCGGGTGGTGAACAATGGGCATGGAGGTTCACATACCGTACCCACTCGTCATCTCAACGCCCATGGCAGACGGCACAAGGAACGCATACAACATCCGGAGATTCTTCTTCCGATACCATGGCGTGGTATCCTGTTCCAGCAGGCGCTGGATCTCCGAAGAGGTCGCGACCTCCTTCGCGTCGATATCCTTGCTGGCGACGGCCCGTGACATGGCTGCGGTGATATGATTTGATTCCTTTTGCCTCACCTTAGCTGGCGGTAGTACTTCTGGGCATTTTGCGGATATATCATATCGCAACTCCTCTTCATGCTGTCGACCTCACACTGCAGTGCCGAGTGCAAGTCGAGCGGGGAATCTCCTATTAGCCGTTGGCAAGCTTTAGGGTAGCCTAGTGAAGATCCGGGGGTTGCATGATATAGTAGCTGACCAGTGAGAAGCATTCATTGAACACACGAGGATCGATCTAATCAACGCCTCGGTGTTGCCTCTTTACCCCAAACTCCAAGCCCAAACGCGGGGGTGGAGTGGTGTTGGTCTGAGGGTTAGCGCATCTGTGAATTATCCGGGGCTCCTCAATTGAGCCAGAATGTTTTGTCAGGTCGGGCTTGATCGGTTGATGGACCGAGGAAGGTGCCATGTGGTCGTGGCTGCTCTAGTTGAGCAATCTCTGCGCTGGAAGAGGAAGGTGATATGCATATCAAGTACTACCTTAGGTCAGCGACTTGCCTCGAGGACGGCAGGCCCAAAAGCTCATAGGGTGATCTGAGCGGCGGAGCCAAAATGGAGGAAAGAGCATCGAGCAAGGCACACTCAAGTGTTGCTTGTTATCGCATGCAGCTTCAGACATATAGCAGTGGCTTGTGCTAAGATATTTCCAAGCATGCTTAGCCTCACCAATTGCAAGCATACCGGATAATTTTCACCATGGGAGCAGAACGCTGGTTGCGCCCGTACGGCCTGCTGTCATGAGCTCTGCACCAACGCAGCATGATCAGACATGATCTTGTTCAGCCCATCACGCTTCAGACACTGCTCGAGGCTGAAGCTCTTCGCAAGCTCTTCCAAGTCCTCCTTGCTCTTATCCTTGAACAGCTCCGCGTATTCTTGGGCAAATGAGTCGGCCAAGTACATCTGCAGCACGACTCTCTCAACATGTTTGCGAGTGTCCCAAGTTGATGGGTAGATGTCCGTCGCCCGGGGATTGATTTTGTCGATGAATTCAATGACCGGATCAATGACAGCAGCGACCTCCTTGGAGGGGTACTTGCCCCATGAATCGAGCTGGTACTTCTTCTTCTTCTCGAGTATTGGTGCGATCAGTTTGTTGTAAGGCGAATCAGGGTTTGTGTGCACCATACCCTGCAACCCGACGTCCTTGTATAGCCATATTGCCCAGGGAATCTTGTGCTCGTCGTAGATTCGCAATTGCTCGCCTAGCAAGTTGTATCTCTCCTGATTGATCGCCTCTGCATCCTCGTCATGCTTGGGATCGGCGTACACGGGTCCAAACTCGCCGTTCCATATTGCGGTGTTGTGCTTGCGTTGGAACTCAGATTTTCGGAGGAATTGAGACCTTAAGCGATCTTTTTGCTCCTCTGTACCTTTATATCGATCGCCCGTTGGGAAGCCCATGAAGCTGTAGTCGTGCTTCGTTCTATGTTAGCTTGGATCGGGACGTGCCTGATAAGTGAAAGACTAGGTTGGAGGGGAAGACGAAACGGGAGCGTGAGACAAAGGCAACAGAAACAAGTCTCAGACCTTCAGTCTCGACTTTGTTCCCGACCCAAGTTTGGAAAGTACACTTACAAGACTGTATACTGTGTTGGGTAGGATGGTGTTTTCGTTGAAGCCTCGCCACTCTGCCGCAAAAGTGTTGCCGTCAAGCCATAAGATGTGCTCTGGGTCAATTGCCCTGACTGCCTTTTCTAATCGTTCGTAGAAAGCTATGAGGCGAGTATGTTTGGGGTCGGCCGGCTCATTAATCAAGTTGTATCCAGCAATCCAGGGGTTGCCCTTGTAATGCTTGGCCAGTTCTTCCCATAGCCAGACAGTACGATCTTGGAAGTCCTTGTGCTCCCAGAACAGTGGGTGATTCGTCCGGTTGTCGGCGTGCCAGCCGGGACTTTGTCCTCCGGGCAGTACATGCATGTCCAGGATTGTGTAGATACCTTCCTTTGCGCAGACGTCGACAACCCGGTCCAGATGCTTAAACCCACTCTGCTTCAATACCTTGGGGTTCATGTCGTCTTCAAAATGCCGATAGTTGAACGGTACTCGAATGCTGTTCAGGCCCAACGACTTGTAGAATTTGGCATCCTCCTCGGTGAAGAACCAGTACAGCAGGCGATCGAAGAAGTATTCGTACTTTTCCTCGCCCAAGACTTCCAGCATACATTCTCTCATATGGGTCTCGTGACCAGGGAAACCAGTGATGAAGTTCTCCATGTTCATCCATCCGCCAAGTCCCGCCCCGCGGAGGATGACAGGCTTGCCATCTTTGTCTACCACTTCAGTGCCTTTGACTTTGAGTATGCCGTTTGCCATGCTGTATGATCTTTCGCTGGTTGCTGGTGAGCAAATAAGATGTTGTAGTCATGTTAGCTCTCATATTGTATACTGTACTGGATGACAGCCCTCAGACGCCAAGTTGGGGTGACTGAGAGCTTTTAGGCTAATTTGTTCAGTAGCGGGATGGGATGGGGAGTCACGGTGGTATAGCCGACCTTCCCCACGAGCAAGAGCACTCAAGTTCACAATAATGACAGGTCGCGCGTGATTGTGCTCATGGACTGCCCATGAGTTGCGCTGCCCTTGATGATGAGCAGTTGAGATATCGTGGGCGTACGAATCGAATTGAGATGGAGTCGCCGCCCTCGCAGCTCGCCCGAAGCGTTCTCATCCATGTGGCCATGCCTCAAGCATGAATCTGTGAGCTTACCTTACCTCTGATGTCCTCGTCAAAGACCTGGGTGCGCCAACATGTATAACCAGATCTCTGCTAGAGAAACACTCACTCAGGGAGCACATGCTACGAAAGCGTTCAGATGGCTGCCAGCTGCCAAGAAGAATGTCATCAAAATCAAACGCCAAGATCCCCTTCAGAAATAAGCCTGGAAGTGGCTATGCTGAACCCCATTTCACTCCTCCCTTCGCCCGCTCGTTGGCTGCAGATCGACAGCCAAGCATCAACTTGCGCGGCGGAATGACGATTGGCGATGCGGCAAACCGTTTCGTGGCTTGGGAGAGGGGACGATCAAAGGTCTGAGACAGGAGAAAAGGGAAGGAGGTCGTGTGCTCCTTTTATGTTATTGGAATCGAGCAGTCGAATGGGCAGCATCTTCCGAGCTTGGCGAGTTTGCTTTTCTTTTTTGGTTGTCCATAATTCTGATGCAAGCTATGTGGGTTACGAGGTCGCGGTGGCCGAGCAGGCGCTTTATAGTTAGCTGGGCAGCATTTTCCGAGGTCGGTGGTTTGCTTCCTGATTTCGCCTGTCCTGGAAGGCAACAACTTGCGCTTGATTGATCAGTTCTACCATTATAATAAACTGGCGGGTATTCAGGTCTGGGAAGCTAGGTGACACAATTTCTATATGCTACAGCTTTCTTTGTTTGGATTCAGAGGGGAAAGTGGTCATTGCTTTTCTGGCGCTTCAACCTAAATCGTCGGAATACACACTCTTTGCACCTCACAGGAAAGCTGTGCGAGCAGCTGCCAGCGTCAACACTCGCTCCATTGCAGCTCATCTAGATCGACAATTGCTAGTGACGTTGTAACGCATTCTCTTTGCTAGAGATGGGTCGACCGTTGCAGATACGAACTGCACTTTCATATGTATTCGACTGGCTTGTCATCATGTTTGTTGCATCTGTCAGGTTTAGTGCTGGGAATCACTGACCATCGACAGCGCATTTGCAGCAGGTGGAGGGGTGTTGAGCAACATCAGAGGATTCCGACGACCATTCTCGCTCGCAGATCGGTCGATCGCTTACCCGAGACGCGATGACATTGTGACTCTGGAAGTGGCAGGCCTGGTAGTCTTCGTTGGTCCAGCAGCGATCATTCTAGTGCTGGCTCTCGTCACACCCGCTGCACGTCAAGTGGGCCAGAAACGACTCTATTCCTCGTGGGTAGATAAGATCTGGGATGCCAATGCTGGCTGGATGGGACTCGCACTCGCATCGGCGGCTACCCTCTTCTTGACTTCAGGGCTCAAGTGCCTTGTCGGAAAGCCGAGGCCGAACTTTCTCGCCATTTGTGATGCTGATGTCGATCGACTATCGGAGTTTGTCGTTGGAGGGTCTGGAAGTCGCATTGAGTCCGATGCGCCCGCACTGGTCACATATGAGATCTGCCGGCAAAGCGATCTCGATTTACTCAACGACGCATTCTTTGCATTTCCCTCAGGCCACTCATCGATGTCTTGGGCTGGTCTGCTGTACCTGTCGCTATGGCTAAGCATGAGGTTCTCCGTGGCTATACCATACTTGGGACACCATATGCCATTGGTCAGGAAATCAACAGAAGGAGCTGATCTCGTCAGCTTCTACCATGCGAGAAAAGCGGCGCCGCCGTTGTGGATGGTGGCAATCGTATTAGTGCCGATTGGGGTAGCGCTTTTCATCTGTGCGAGTCGGTATGCGGATTTCCACCATGCCGGCATTGACATCTTCGCAGGCAGCGTCATCGGAATCGTTTGCGGCTATTCGAGCTTCAGGCTCTATCACCTACCAATACGGCGAGGGCATGGACTAGCTTGGGCACCTAGGCAGAAGAGCACGCTTTCACGGGAGACTTGCCGTGGCATGACGGCTTGACGGACAGAGAGATTGGCGAAGCCCGGGATGAGGAAGAGGGCAGAATGAATGGCCATGTTCGCCCAGGTACCTTGACTTCGGAGGAGATGATGGAATATCGGCATGACAGGGACTCGGCCCAGTATCCTCTGCGACCGATGCCTCACTCGAGCTTGCAGACGCGCTCGTCATGAGTGCTGCGACTGGACTTTGTAGCCGTCAGCGTAGCAGTTGTTGATGGAAAGATTATCAAAAATGTTTAGGCAGCTAAGTGGTAGTAGCACTTGATAGAGATTGAAGCTTTGATTCTCTACCATCAGCAACGGCTATGTTTCCGTATCTAGCGAAGCCGCATTTTACGACTTCAGAGGCAACCACGACGTGTTCATCTTCTTGCGCCCGCCGTGTCGGCCACAGGGGGTCCCATCGACCGCATATTGTCCAGACAGCAATGCATTCGATATGTCGTCGTCCGACATTCGGACGAAACCGTTCGCCGTGTCCTTGACTATCACAATAGTAGTAGCGTCCGCATACCTACTTTACCGAACCTATAGCGCATCCGTCGCGTCGCCTGCCGCGGGGCTTCGTCGCAGCAATGCCGTCCGACGCCCGCGCCGACAACATGCGGAAGCAAATCTCAATGCTTTGCATAGCCAGCAAAGTCAAGAGTCTGAGTCGGACATACACAACCGTTCTAGATTGGTAGAAGCCGTCTCTCACCTGGACTCCACGCTTGCGAATGATCCTTACGTGTATGCCGAATACCAAAATGAGGAGCTTCTCGGAGGCATCGATCCTGCCGCGCTGCCCTCTTTGCATCTGCATCCAGCGAACCTGCCCAATATATACCCTGCCGTATTCCGGCACGGGCCCTCTCTAAACGATCAGGAGCAAAGATGGCTGCAGGATCATATAGATGCTTCCTTCATTCACGTATACTTGCGCAGATTCTTCAATGAGGGCCATCAACTCAGCGATGATTTGCGAAACGAGCTGGCGGCAGCTTTTGGCTTTCATGGCATCGAGTTGAGTCAGGACGTGGTATATGCCATGCTCGATCGCCTTTCAGCCGGCACGCCATTGCCTACCTGGCGCTCGTTGAACATCCAGATCCGAGCGGCGGAAATGATAGCGCAGGCTGATGGTGTTCGGGACGATCCTATGTCACTGGATGAGCCCCTCAGAGACGCCGACGAAGGCGAAGATTCGGATCGTGCACATAACATGTTGGATTTGCTGTACAATATCGCCCGAAAGCAAGCAGATCGCCATGGCATTGTCCATCGCGGCGTTGAGTGCAACAGCTGTGGCGTTTGTCCCATCCAGGGTGTTCGTTATCATTGCACCAATTGCTTCGACTTCGACCTCTGCGAGGCCTGCGAGTCCAAAGATGTTCATCTGAAGACACATGTCTTTCTGAAGATCACAATTCCAGCGCCCTCGCGAGGTCAGATCAAGAGTGTCGTTCCATCCTGGTACCCAGGCAAGCCAAACGCGTTCTCTCCCATGGTGCCACTTGCGCTGCTGGACAAGCTGAAGGAGGATACTGGTCTAGATCAACCGGACATTCAGGGTCTTTACGAACAGTTCAGATGCCTTGCTGGCTGCCACTTCCCGTCCGATCCAGCCGAGCTCGGAACAGTGATTGACAGGAAAGCTTTCGAAAAGTACATGATTCCGTCGTACTTGGACAAACCAACTCCTGCCAACCTTATCTATGAACGCATATTCGCTTTCTACGACACAAACGACGACAAACACATTGACTTCCTCGAGTTCGTCAGGGGCCTGACAAAGCTTAACGACAAATCCTTCGCAGCCAAAATTACTCGAATCTTCCGTGGACATGACCTCGACGGCGACGGCTATGTGAGCAGAAAGGACTTTCTTCGCATGTTGCGTGCTTACTATGACCTGAACACTCAGTTCAATCGCGAAATGCTCTACAGAAATGAGGAGCTAGACCTTGCGGACGACATCCGTGACGTCGTTCAGAGCAACCATCCAATCAGCTCGGCATTTGGAGGTATCAACTTCCCAGGCCATGTGTCAAGAGCTGGTCAAGACAAGCGACAGCTTTCGCACGGTGATCTCGGCATCATACAAGGTCCGAATGGTGTGCTCCTGGACGATGTCGACATGCAGAGCCATCGCCACAAAGCAATTGCAATGGTCCCGTATGAGGCAAGAGAAAGACACCCGTTTCGATCTTTCCGAGAATACACACCACAAGACGATCCTGTCATGAATGCTCCGTTCACCAGAAGAATGGGCGAATTCTTGTCGATAACGAACGCTCATGACGCCACAGAGGATGAGCTTAGTGGACCTGATCGACCCCTGCAAACCTACGGTTGGCCACCAGTAGTTCCACCGGAACCCGAGGACATCATCAATGCGCTTGGTGTTGACATTCCGATTGATCAGATTGACGACCCTGTGGATCGATCCAGAGTCATTTACGCGCAATCTCAGCGCTTTGACGAGGAGTACGCAGAGCGTCGTGACAACGCCAGGCAAAGGGTGCTCCACGACAGATGGGAGCGACGACAATTCTATCTTGATCAAGAGGAAGGCATGACCAGGCCAGCAGCGTATGTCGAGTCGGACAGCTCGGAAGACGAATTGGAGCCGGAGCATGAACCTATTGACAGTTCGAGAGGCCAGTCAATGCGCTCACGGTCTTCGTCCAAAGTGAGATTCGATGACAGTGCTATTGACACTGATTATGAAACACGATCGAATGCATCCTCACGCAGCGTTCCACAGAATGAACGATGGGGAGGATTTGAACTGAGCAGACCGACTTTGGACATTGGAGCCGATGTGCTATATGAGGCTGTGCAGCAAGGCTTCAACGAACTCATCGACTGCATATTCAAGGAGAAAGAGGACAAGGCTATCGAGGCTCAGCGGACACGCAAGCAACGCGAGACGTGGGAGAAGTTGCTGGACGAGTATGCCGAAAATCGGAACGTTGATGACGAGCAGAAGAACGAAGCACTTCTCAAAGCCGACAGTCTTCGGACGGAAGAGCTGCTGAACGGCGGACCGCGATCACCGGCGTTCGAGTTCACGATCACGGGTGACGAGGCGAATGAGAACCCGCAGGCGGTCATGCTTATGCGGGAAGAGCTCAGTCGCGTTCTCAATGCGGTGACTCAGCCGCCAAAGAGTCGAACGCCCTCGGCCACCCGGCAAGCTGCCGACTATCGGGATCCCACGCTTCCGCAGTTTCGACCAAATGATGCTGGCGAAGCTCCCAGAGATGTGCCGACGGATGAGGAGCTGCAGCCATCACCGAAAACGCTGGCGTTGTGGTTGAAGCACCGAGAAATCGAAAGCGAGGCTGAGAGCAGAGGTGGCTTTGGTTTGTTGAATCTAATGGAGTTTCGCAAGATCGTGGAAGTCGTTCTTGAGCAGGAGACTGACGAACTGCACAGTCATGGAGCCACAGCTCGAGCCGGTGAAGGAGCGGCAGGTCAGCCCTCGAGTGCCGAGAATGCTGATACTGTTGGTCCCGGGGGCAATGCTGTAGCGCCTGAGCATGCAGTGAAGGAATGGAGCAGGAACTTTGACCTGGGCAAGCTCAGCTTTCTCGGGACATGGATAGAGATGGCAGGCCTCTGATTATGCTCAGACGAGGCGTGGTATCATTAGGTCAACTTAGCGAGGCGCAAGGTGCTATGGATTCCATTCACTACATAGGGACACCGGATTGCATTGGCGGCGTGGCACGGTGTGTCCAACGTCCTGAAGTATATGCGCGTTCGGCTACGGCTCATGGATAACCAAGTCGATCGCTGGAGGATATGTATGATGTCCAAAGCTTCTTCATAGAATGCGACGCAGAATTCTAGTCGAGTAAGCTGTTCCCGGTAGCTACTAACTAATAGACTCATAGGCATGGTGGCTTTAGGCTTGGGACAAGGCGGCACCTTCCGAAGCTGCCCGGCATAGGCGACGTATCGACACCGCTCAGCCTGGAGCGTCTCTTCCTAGACCGGTTCACGTGTCGCTACAGCTTTTTGATTCCTTTGACCCTGCTAGCAACAGATCTTTCTGTCCTTTCCAGATCAAGTTCTCGTCGACAGTCTACCCACGGGTGCTGATGGGTGCTGACGGCTTCGCGCTGCGCAGTCATGGAGGGGCTCTTCGTGTTCGTCCGGCACCTGCAGTAATCGACACCCATGCGTCGCCCCGCCTGGACTTTTGGCAACACGAGCCTGGCGTGGCTGACGTTCGAACAAACTTCAGCCTTCTCGACGAAATCATTCTATCCTCAAACCTGAGCGAAGACGATGCTCAAACGATGATTTCGATAGTATCGTCGGGACAGCATCTCCCAACATGCCGAAGAACTCTCGTCAACAAGCATCAGTATGAGGACATCTCTACGCGAGCCTAACGACACAGCTACTGTCGACCATCAGCAGGACAGGTCCACGGGATTTGCCGCCGTGACACGAGAGACACAAGCAGCGCCTCATCCAGCATACCAGCCGTTGCCCAGTCCAACATCCACAAGGCTTCTCTGTCTTGAACCAGGCAAGGAAGGTTCTATACTCAAGTTTTCATTGAAGGTTGTGGACCTTAGCGACAACCCCGAGTACATTGCCATATCCTACACCTGGGGGGAGGATGGCGGCAACCACTCAATTCTTGTCGACGGTACATCCATTCATGTTTGGCCAAACTTATACGCCTGTCTTTGCCAAATGCGGACCACTAGTGCCACCCTGCCGTTCTGGATCGACTGTTTCAGCATCAACCAGGCGGATCAGGACGAGAAAAGTCAACAGGTTGCTATGATTGGCCGGGTATTTTCTCAAGCCGCGGAAGTGCGAGCCTGGTTGGGCGAGCATGAGGACGATAGCGAACTTATATTCTCAGGAGTTGATCTACTTCGGGATGTACGCTCGAGCGTTCGTGTCATTTCCAAGGTCTGGTGTAATCGAATATATTGTACCGGAGGTCCTATGGTCATCCTTGTTTCGGCCTTTTTATTTACTGGGCTTGGGGGCTTCGTCATCAGCACAACGGATTTTGTATACACAGGCATCTTCGTCATGTGTCCGTTCTGGATCTTCCTAAATCTGGTCATATATCTTTCGTGGCCAAATCTGTTGCGAGACTTTCTTGCTCCTTTCTGGCGGCCCGCCGTATACGAGTACACCTGTTACGTCTTTCCAATACGTGCTCTGTTTGCACGTGAGTACTTCAGTCGCACTTGGATCATCCAGGAGATTGTCATGGCTAGGAGACTTGTTCTCTACTGTGGCAGCGACACAATAGAGTGGTCGAAGTTAGTCTCAACATACTTTGGTGTTGGGTATGACGCTCCCCAGTTCACTGACGTCCTCCGTGGCGAGAATACGGCTGTCAACTCAGTCAGGCGAGATAGGTATGCCAGAAGGATCGATTGGCATACGGCACAGCTTTTCGATACAGATTACAATCATGTCGCTAGACTGGCCGTTCTATCTGCTGGAAGACGCACGCTATTGGAGCTCGTTGCAATTTCCATGCCTACCCTTTGCAAGGAAAGACACGATCGAATATATGCGCTGCTGGCCCTCGAGGACGAAGCTTCGAGACGTCGTCCTATTGTCGTGAACTACAAGAAACCCATGGTTGATCTCGCTTTAGATGTGGTGAGGGCGCGAATTATGCGTGTAGGGCACGACTTTGCTAAGGTAGATGATGTTCTTCGTTTAACGGGCGCATTGCATTTGGACGCAGAGGAGAAAGGTCGCGTGCTGCAAATTTTAGGCTACAATGCCCTTCAGATATATCTCGGAAAGCGTAAGCCTTGGGTCCTCTCCCTGGCCACGTTTGATGCGGCGTATGTTCGACAAATTTTAGCTGCGGCATGAAGACATCCGCCTAGGAAGGTCTGGTGAGCATAGCTGCAGCACAGTCGGGAGGAATGAAGATATCCCTGGCAGTATGCTCTTGTGATAAATTCCAGTCCACCCACTGAAGCTTCGCTTCGACTCTCACATCAGCTCGCTCAGCTTCTGCCTCTCTCTTGTGGGTGCAGAGGCGTGTCGTGGATTGACCGATGGAAACGGCTTCCTTCCGCTCTCTGTCCATCGACTGCACGCCTGAGTACGGCCAGTATACAGCCAGCATTGGGAACGTGGTCGTCATCCACACAATGGTATGAGATCAATACTTGGGACAGATTTAATTCGGAAATCATAGGGTGACTCTAAGACATGGACTACGTTATCGAGCCCGCCGTTACAAAACACAAATCCTCGCTGCCCATCCCAGGGTCCTGTGGTATCCTGCAACTCCCATGCTAGAACGTAACGCAACCGGACTCGGATCGAACACCGCGCCATCTTCCCGCAAATCGTGGCTGGCCACTACCGTCATTTCTTCCATTAGTCTCAGCCCTGACAGAGTCAATGCGGCAGAGGTCGACTGTCCTGGTAACGACTATCTAGCTTCTGAATGACTATAGCTTCCGCCATCCTTTCTGATCTGTCGTCCTCTGTCCATACACCCGACCTTTGACAGAGTCGATGTCGAAGGTGTTGGTCACCCCTATGCTGATATGGCGAGGTCTGTTTGACGCCATGTTTGTGGTCTGATATGCCGAGGCCGAGCTGGAGGTGCGACTTCCAGCGTTGAACTTGAGTTGTGGGCGTGTCGAAACCAGATGCCGTGCCTCGTTCCTGCTCATCGTGGTCGGGGATGAGTAGCGACTGGGAAGGATGCCAGAGCTGGTCTTGTTGGTGGACTGGTATATTGGTTCGCTGGAGAACGAATACATGGTTTGAGTTTCTTTTGAGCTAAGTGTGTTTGGCTACGATGTTTCTGTAGTAGACCGCCTTGAAATCGCGTAATGTGCAGTTGACTTATACCTGAGCGTGCCTATAGCAGAGAGGCTGCAAAGCTTTATATGTCCGACTCTTGGGACGACCGAGACCGAGAACGTGACTCACCTCCTCTATGACCTGGCTCTTCGCCGAAACCACAGAAATCGTCCAGATCAGGTAGTTATCACAATACCAAACACGAGCGAGCTTACATAAACGACAGTCTGTCACATTGCAGCTGCAGAGTCGAGTTCCAAGTTGCTGCCCGCGGATTTGGGGACAGAAAGGACAATTGCTACGAAGTAATACAACTGTGGCTGCCATTTGGCTGGGCGCTTAGAAATGCTCGAGCGGTCTGGCCAATGCCCGTTAGCTGAGCCGTGGGAGCGCGTGGGCTGTTGTTGGACATGCGAGGCTGGCGGACTGAATGTTGCTCGATTAGTCTTGAAGTCGCAGCTGCAAGTCCGTATGGCGCAATAGTCGAAGGTGATACAGTTCTGTGCAGCTGCTTTGTAAGAACGAAGCCTCTATGCCTGCCAGTGGCCCATCACAGGAGAGCTGCAGTCACGACGCGTGACATCACCACCCGCCAAGACTCGGACAGTCGTCCTAGCTTTCAAGTTCTTACACACTCATTCATGCATTGTATGTGCATGTCGACAACTACGAGGCATGTTAACAACTGACTGCGACGTGCTCGAAGGACACGCCTGACCCTTTCTGTCTACTCCTTCCGATAAACGCCAGTCTTTCACGTTGATCCTTGTGAGCTTGAATAAAGCTCTCAGTATGGCCTACCATTGGCAGGATGCCTGACGAGGGAGTCGCGTTCATCCATTCGACGAGCGAACGCACATAGCCTAGTTCCTCGCCATCACCACGCAAGCTATGGAAGTCACGACCAAGACCACGCGCAGCGACTCGTTCTCTGTATTCTTGCCTCATCGCTCTCTCTGAAGGCAGCTTTGCGGCGCCTGATAGAACTCGTGCAACGACCTGTGCCTGGAACTCGAATAGCGAGAATGTCGAGATGTGGTATGGTTGACCAACGAACGACAATGTCGGGTCATTGATGAAGAAAATGTCCTTATGAAGGTTGTGGACCATGTTTCCGTCACCTGTCACCAAATCTGACTCACTGGCGTCTTCTGGCTGCTTATCATCTGCGTGGTACTGCGATAGGTATGGGTACGATGTGAGGTAACCTGTCGCAAGGATGACTCGATCCAGATCGCAAAGCTTAGATCCGTTGGTCAACTCAACGTATCCATTGATACGGCCCGAAGGGGTGAAGGCGTGCTCCTCGTCTCCTTCCAGCACAAAGCGTCGTACTCCGCCAATGCGCGTCGCGCTCGGTGGTAGCATCGAGAGAGGCAGGTCCAGGTCGCCTCCTCGTGAACTTTGGAACACCTTCTCGGCAATGCCTCGGACTCTTTCGATATGTCGTTGCTGCTGACGCCAGCGCCTATGACCAAAATCCTCTGGCCCTCGAAGCTCGCCGCTGATCGATACCGCTTGGAGTGCCAAACTCTGTCCGGATATCTCGCCTTCCACTCCTTGAGACCAGGAATGTCTGGTACTCTGGGCATGTTGTAATGCCCACTCGCCACGACGACCGCATCGAAGTGCCAGTCCCTTTCAAGCAGTTCGGAAGTGGCGCCGTTGCGCAGAGTGGTTGTCTTGACGGACCATTTCGATCGAACGGGGTCTTTGACTACCTCCTCGACTCTTGTGTTGTACTCAGCTACGTCATTGACGCCTGAAGTCTGTGCTATGCCTTGCAAGTACTGCTCAAGGTATCGTTGATTTACGAAGTCTCCGAGTCCTTCGGGCCAGTCACCCAAAGTTGTCTTCATTGCACGCAAGGCTACATTGTTCGTCAATCCGGCGTAGCATGGGCCAGGCGGTGCATGCCTGGTAGCAAAGTCTTTACTCTTCACGTTCTGGCGCGAGTCGGTCTCGTTGTCTGCTTCCAGCCTCGGGTCTGGTGTCCGTGGTGGTGTTTGATACGCGGACTGATCTTCATCGGCTCTGTGTCGTGCATAGTCTCCCAGACTTGGAAGCAGATTCGGATACTGAGGGTCGATGGCAGAGTTCTCGTCAAAATGCCACACCCCACCTGCTATCGACGACCTTTCGAACAATTTCACTTCAAGACCCTGTCTAAGCAAATGCGCTGCTGCACAGATGCCCGATACTCCTGCACCGATGACAGCAACGCTGTGGACATGAAGGTCATCTCCCATGACGCTTTGGTGTCGAGTAGCCCTTTGCACCGGCTGAGAAGGTCAGTATCACACAGCACGAGACCTCGTTTGAAGGCTACCTAGCAGAGATGCAAAGGAAGAAGACGCACGAGTCAGAGGTCCATCTTCTGCGGCATCAAGGATTCTGTCAAACTACACGGGCAAGGGCTTTATTGGGGCACATATGCCTATCGAATTACGCATTCGAAGCGCGCGATGTCGTGATTCAGGTTCGGGCTAGCCTGATTGGTCTACATCGGCCAACCACCGTTGAGACATTATTCCGCTACTATCAGGTTTCGTGAACGACCTCCTTACGCTGAGCCTTCTGCCGTTCATGCAGCCACTTTATCGCAGCCGTCGTGGTGAGCAACCCGATGGCTACCCCGATCATAGTCGGGAACCCTTTCGGATATCTTGGCGCCTCGACTTGCTGCCAGACTAATAACGGCAACCACGCCTGGATGATATACGCAGCCTCATTCATGGTGCCTGTGACCAGGGCGCGCTCCTCGTTGTCGTCACTACAAATCTCATGCGCCCATGCAAAGGTCAGGCCACTGATGCCACCTGAGAAGCCTGCAAGGAAGTAACATGCCCAATGCCAGCCAAGTGGAATGTTCCATACCGTCAACGAGATGTACACGATGAGGTTCATGAACGCCGAGAATACGATTGGTGGCCAACGCTCGCCATTGAAGATGGTGTCGGACGACCAAGCATACGCCAGTGTACTCAGCACCTGCACGACCGAAGTCAGAGTCGGATAGAGGTTGACCTTTTCAACACTGAAGCCTCGATGCTTCAGCCAGAGCTGAAAAGCCGGCTGCGAGAGTGCGCCCCCACCATTGTTGAAGAAGATGTACAGCAGTGGTAGCATGTAGATGTGCCACGAGCTGAAGATCTTCTCGAACTTGGCTCTGGTATACGGCGCTCTTTTTGCACGACCCTCAAGGTCCATTCGTTTCTGTGCTAGAGCAATCTCGGCAGGCTTAAGCACCATGCCCGGCAGATCTCGGGCACATCGGGCAAGAAGAAGAATCCTGCGATCGCGATTGGCAAGGAGATGATCGTGTTCACGATGAACAGCCATTGCCATCCATGCCATCCCCCCACGCCATCAAGGTGATAGACTGCCGCCATCAGGTATCCAGAGAACATGGTCCCAATGGCACTGGAAACGTGGAAGATACACGATCTCTTGGCCAGCTCGTCTCGCCTATACCAGCTCCCGATAATGTACTGCATCCCTGGATAGAAGGTCGATTCCGCAAGACCAATGAAGAATCTCAGCACGTAAACCTGCTGAGCATTCTTGCAGAGTGCGAGCAAGATGGTCAGGGTTGCCCAGGTCACTTCACAGGCAGGGATCCAAATCGATGGCCGCACTCGAGTAAGTAACATGTTGCTAGGCACCTCGCCTAGGACGTAGCCGACCGTCCACAAGGTTTGCATATAGTTCAGTTGGTTGCCATAGAGGTTGAGGTCCTCTTTCATCCCACTAACGAAAGCGTTGTTGATGTTGATCTGGTCAAGGTACTTGATGAAGTATCCCAATGAGGCAAAGGTAAGCAGTATGCCGTCCAGCTTGAATAGGAACTTGCGCTCCTATTGCCCCTGTCAGTATGACTATCTATCGGCAATAATCAGAACCGAGAGTGATGTCTCGCCCGGTCCAGGGACATAGATATACGTACCTCTGGAGACTTGTCGAATGTATCCCAGACATAGGATTTCCAAGACCTTTTTGGCTGTACTTGGACCTCAATGCCATCCACGACGACCACACGATCATCTTGCGAAGAGGACTTCGGCGTCACCATTGGCGACGACTTGTTGTCAGGACTGACATCGATCGCTGCGCTCTTCTCGACTCCAGCCATGCTCAGTAACGGAACGTCCTCTTCAGAAGGACCGCAATATTGCATCGCTAAGCTACCCGCCGGGCGGGAGGTCGGAAGCTTATACCTCTTCTGAATTGCTTCGACTTTGTCTCGAGATGGCGGTTTGCACGCCTTTCAAGCCATCAATTACGTGCTGCTGCTTAGCTGTAATGCTAAAGGCTTCCACGGCTGCGACCTACTCATTGTGGCCAACATGTTAAGATCGTTTTATGGTCGAGAATGCTGCGAATCGGCACCGACCCGGCGCCTGGCCGTCTGCCCTGCTCGCTCACGGGTCGGCAAGATATGGAGTCCTGCAGTACATCGACCATCTCGACCAGTTTGGGAAATTTCACAATTCATGCACAGCTTGCGCAATCGCATCACGTGACATATATGACTGATGTTGACTGGCCAGGCTCGACAAGGCAAGCACATCATCGATTTCAGTTCATATCGTCTGGCAGCTATTGGTAGGTTCATGCCTTGATAGGTGACACATGCAACACTCCGAGGTAAGTTGCCATCCTACCGCGGGGTCAACGCTGCAGCATTGTTATCTGCACATGCGGAGGGCTTCCGAAGTCAGGCAAAAAGACACGACGACAGGTCCATCTGACGAGATCGCCATCTGCCACATATCTGTCGCAATCTGAGTGCAATCTTGTGCGTGGAGTTCGTCGGACACGCTGACCAAGCTGTGTGATTGTTGCAAGATCTCTGAGCGTCAGAAAAAACAACATCTATATCACCTGCGAAGAGCAGACGTGTCTCGGCAACTCTTGGTAACCAACGAAGAAGCTACTGATCGTCCCAGTATCGACATCATGGCACCCTCGGTAGCGATTCTTCCCGAGATCACCGACGTTGTCGCTCCCAAGAAAGACTCGCTTGGCCTGCCAGAACGCACACGTGCTCGCCTTGAGAAAGCCGGCATCGATCTCTCTGAAGGCTATCCATATCGCCCGTCCCGCCCACTCTACCTTGACGATGTCTACAACATCCGCAACACCGACCGCGAGTTCGTCGATGCAGGCTCTCGCGCTGACAGATCGATGTCTGCTCTCTTCTCGGCTGCAAGCAAGGTCACTGACCTGACCACCTATATTGGGACCGAGATCGAAGGTCTCCAGCTCAAAGATCTGACTCCACAGCAGAAGGATGAGCTTGGGCTCCTCATCGCCGAGCGTAGCGTTGTGTTCTTCCGTGATCAGGATATCTCACCTCAGCAGCAGAAAGAGTTGGGAGAGTGGTATGGCGAGATCGAAGTTCACGTATGACTCTCTTTCTCTTTGCTCGACATACACAATTCCAAACACAACTCTAACATACCTTACAGCCACAAGTCCCCCAGGTCCCTGGCGTCCTCGGCGTCACAGTGATCTGGCCAGCCCTGCAAGCCACTGAATTCCCAGCATCTTCCGCCGTCCTGGCGGCGCATCCCGCTGGCACACCGACCTCGTGCACGAACGCCAGCCCGCCGGTATCACCCACCTGCACAACGACACAGTACCTCCCATAGGCGGCGACACGCTCTGGGCGTCCGGCTACGCCGCCTACGAGAAACTCTCTCCTGGATTCAGAAAGATCATCGACGGCAAGTACGCTGTCTACCGCAGCGCCCACCCTTATCTCGACCGCAACGACCCCAATGCCGGGCCCAAGTATATCGAGCGCGCTCATCCGCTGGTCAGAGTCCATCCTGCCACGGGCTGGAAAGCGCTCTGGGTGAACCGCGCAATGACGAGCCATATCGTTGGCCTGGATCGTGCAGAGAGCGACGTCATTCTGAACTACCTATATGACGTTTATGAGAAGAACGTGGACATCCAGGTGCGATTCAAGTGGACGCCGGGAACAAGTGCCCTGTGGGATAATAGAATTACGATTCATAACGCGAGTTGGGATTACGGTGGGAAGTATCCAAGGCATGGCACGAGGGTGACGAGTTTGGCCGAGAAGCCGTTCTTTGAGGCGGGTGCACCGACGAGGAGGGAGGCGCTGGGGCTGTTGGGGGAGGATGAGAAGAAGGAGGGGTTGGAGGGGGTGATTGATGGTTGAGCACGTGTTGTTGGGAAGAAGGTTGTACAAGTCGCCAAGGAGATACCGCCTGCCTTCCAGGAAGTAGGTGGTCGTTCGATGTGTGAATTCTATTCGTGAATCACTGGCCCGGCTATGTGTTTGTACTCGATACGAAATCGTACTCTGCACAGTGATCTGTACCTACGTCAAGCCTGAACAACCGGTGACCGAGCTCTCCGTCACTCTCACGACCGCCATTGATACAGCCTCCACTTTGAAAATTTTGACGTCTCAGCGCATCGCCGACCGTGCCGTTGGGGCCAGGACCAACGTCCGGTCACCAGTGGTGCGATCGGCCACAAAGCTCTCGGCGTCCGCTGCAGTATCGAAGCGCGTGAACCACACGTATGCGTGGACATCTTCACGGATCGGCAGCGTGGGGAAGTTGTTCTTGGCATAGAGGGTAGTGAAGGCAGCGAGGACTGGCGCGTCGGGTTTAGGCAACGTCTCCACTGTCCACGGCGTCTCAGCCAGGTGGATTGTGGCGACGAAGCGGGACTTCGGTGTCTCTGCATCGCGTTCGCCCGGCGTGGGCAGCGGTGTTGACGGCCGCAACAGCAGCACATCGTCGAACGTCACCATAGTCGCATTAGCCACGTCCTTGTGCGCTGCCCAGACAGGCCCGCCGTAGAAGGCGCCAAGGGACTCCGGTCGGCTCGCCAGGTCGATGAAGCCGCGCAGCCAGACGAAGCGGTTCGCGTCGTGGACGTCGCGGAACTGGCCAAGGACGGTGATGCCGAGAGCTTCCTGCGACTCTACGAACTCGTGGTCGAAGAGCTCGATCAGGTCGTCGCGGCGACCTGGATGTAGTGTGTACTGTCGCAGCTCGATCACTGTTGGTGACATGGTTGTGTCTTTGCTTGCTAGATAGGGTATATTTAGTTATTTCGTACAATAGTCCTGCAGCAGCCAGTGAGCAAGGCTTCGCTTCAGATGTTTAGGGCATTTCGGGTACAACACTACGCTTCGCAGCCTGATCTTTTACGAATACGCAGACATGCTCGTCTGTATGAGGGGGCGGGGGAAGCACATAGAGCAGCGTCTGAGCGATGTAGAGCGGCGTGCGTGGTACTTAGAGCCTGAGGAGAAAGCGAGGCATTGCTGAGTCTGGAACTCGCTTTGAAGGAGGGCTACAAGCCCCGAGGTTCACTTTGCCAACCTGTTCCAGCGATGATCTGCGACTGAAACGAAGTACAGGATGTGGTGGATGTCGAGAAGCAATTGTCGTAGTACTAGCATGGATGCCAATCCGGTTGACGGGTATCGCATCACATGACACCACGTCAATTCTCAAGTCGATCCACGTCTGAACTCGCACAGGAGATCGCGTCGCGAAACCCTCGGTGGTACACGTCCGCGTACCTTGCATTGCGTACCTTGACTGCCGTCAGCAGAGACTGCATGAAGCCGAGGAACGTGTGGCGAGGCGTGCAAGTTCCAAAGTACTGTACCTTCGCCAGCGGTGAGACACTGAGACGAGGCGAGGAGCAGAAAGTCCTCGTAGTTCCGGGCAAAGCCGCGGTGCGAACCACTGCTGGAGCTTATCCGAGCGGCATGCCAAAGTTCCTTCCGATAAGGCGACCAATCATGGCAGTACTGAAACAGGTTTCAGGAACGCGCATTGTCATCGGGACGACTGGCTGAGAGCGCGCGTCGAGCAATCACACCTCCAGGGGCGTCGAATATTCCTTCTTCTATCACGTTACCAGGGCGTCGGTACCTATCGACAGGTGCCAAACCTTTCAATTGGGCTGTCTAGGGTTCTTTGGTGACGGTGAACCTGCATGCACCATCCCCGAAAGCGAAGCGCTGCATCGTTACCCACTTCTGGGAACAACGTCACCACGTCTGGTTCAATTTCGTCTCCATCATTCCAACGTCCCTTCAAGATTTTCTCCTGTCTCAGAACTTCGGTCAACGCGGGCTCGTTGTACCAATGCAGCTCCGAGTCGGGAGCGGCGTAAGTTACGCGGCCCATTGAATGAATGAGGCGGGCTCCGTGCCCTCTTTCTTACAATGGCCATCCCTGCTCGGTTTGTGCTGACCCCCTTCCGCCGACGGCGGCACTTCTCCTTTGCTGCCTGAATGTCATGCTTTATCCGGCAAAGTAACTTATCGAGCTTGCTTGCTACAAGTCCACTTTGGCTGGCGAAAGTACTTGAGCTTCTGAGTCACTGCCGTGCCTGACAGGAGTTCGCATGGTGTGGACACTGCGTTGCCTGACGCTAGTGCTGGCTGCGCCTTGCCTAACCACTCCTCCATGACTTGCCATCATTTCCAAGCTCGGAGCCTCAAGAACTACAAAACCTATTGACAGACCTGCCGTGTCTTCCTCGATCTCACTCTTACTCAGACAATCAAACAAATCCTGCCGGGTAGACCCTACATTCCACGGATCCGACGCGCCCTCCCGCCCCCAATCAGCCTATACTTAGTCTCGACCTGATCCTACGAATCAAGTCCACTGGCAGATTCACACCATAAAAGCAAACAAACGTCCACATCTCACACCAACACCTCACATCGAATTCCCACTGCAACCGCCAAAGTGTCTGTCAAAGTACACAACCACAAATCCTCCACCTCCAACACAATGCCTCACAGTCGCAATTCGTCCGGTTCGAGCGCGGAGGGCGTGCCTACTTTCCACGACCCTCGCAAGGACCGCCGTGCCGCAAGCAACTCCAGCCCGGTCTCGTCCCGCCAGAAAGCCGTCGTCATTCACCACAAGCGTCCCTGCGATGACCCTGCGAGATCCTACCGAGATTCTGGCAACAAGTACGCATAGGCAGTGACTTTTGCCATGCCATGCCGCACGATATATACCACTGTACGAACTTCGATTCATCTTCCCGTAGGCACTGTTACATCATACGCAACAACAATATTATACCCGATTTATCTCATTGAGCACGGAGTTACTACTGGACCAGAAGAGCAGGAAGAGCAATCACACTCTATCGACTTTATCGAAGAAAGCGGCGAGGAGATCGCCATACCATATTGTTTGGAATCATAGACTACATCACACCACATCATCGTCACCGGTCCGCCGCCTCATGCCATCCACCGAGTAAGGCACCGCACCCGAGGCTCTGCTATTGCCCATCCTCATTATCACTACATATTCCCGAGGAAGGATCCCAAATGGAAGGAGCGACCGACACAGAAAGAGAAGGAGAAGACTGCTACAAGGTTGCTACCATGACGCGAGTCATCTGTTAGTGCTGTTATTTGTACATGTACACTACTCTCCATATCATCAAAACTTAGCTCTATCCTCGCGGATACTACAATCAAGGGATATTCATTCTAGATCGTTCTTTTCCCTGTTCCGCAGGTTTCGCTTTCGATCACTTGTCGCTCGTCAACGATCTTAGCTGATCTTCTCTTCACGCTTTCTTGACAAGAGCATCAATCATTTCAAGAGCCCATGTCTAGGGTGACAATTGACCACCAACACTGTGACATGTGACAGAATTCCAAGCCATCGCCTTACGCCACAATCGATAAACAAAATCCACTGAAACCGGCAGAGGCAAAAGTTTGCTCCTGAAATTATACCCCCAATCTCCAGTTCACGGCTAGGGCTGTTTCGACTCCGCCTCATGACTGAGGCGTTGTGTGCTTGTTGATCCTTCGGCTTTCCAGTACCATCGTGTTCGGGAACACAAGTTTGCCAGCTTTGCAAGTCCCGTTCGACGATGAGTCGCAGTCTCGCAGACAACACCTCGTAAGTCAACGGCAGAACTATGATTGTCGACTGTTCGGGCCTTAGGGAAAAGACGTGTTCTTCTGCAGGCACCACGTCACATCAGTGGCTCCGGCTTGCAGTGTTCCTGCAGCTCCCCACGTTTGGCCTGCAGTAGCACCTGCACATCATAACCTCCGGCGCTGTGCAATATTTTGGAGTACTGTACTGTGGTACACAGTAAGCAGGAGGCAGTGACCTCATAGCATAAGTACCACGACGCGTGAAGAACGCGCCTGAAACGAACCACATGGCACCGCCTACGTCATGTCAACAATCTTGGATCCCTTCCTCAACCTTCAAAACCATCCAACGCAACTTCTCATGACCATGTCACTCCTACTCTATACGGCACGCTGCCACTGAACACCGCATTGATCATCGGAAACACCCCAACCATGCCCCGAGTCGACTTCAACCCTAGCAACCCAAACACCACCACCCGCGAGGCGTTCACATCCAACATCACCACTAGGTAGGCACGTGGCATGCGAGATGCTGCAGATCAGGTGGGCGAGTGAAATGTGACTGATTCCTAGTTCGCTTTGCCCATCTAGTCTAGTCACTGGTTGCATGTACGAGTACTCTGGTACAGGCCCGGTTCACTATTTCTCATGAGATGAAAAGAAGAATCTTTCCACTTTTTATCGACTCTTCAACCTCGCCACGATAAGGCCTACCGCTCATTCCATCGGGACAACCCTCAGAACAAGTAGACCCCGGGCTGCCATCCTCCGCCCTCCCCAGCTGCCGTGTCCGCTGCCTTCAAAGCCTGCACCAACCTCCCCTTCAATTCCTCCACTGGCGGTGGCCCTGCTGCTCCACCCTGCGCTTCTTGCCCATCTGAGCGCTTCTTGGTCACGTCTGCGCGGAAGAATGGTAGCTCTGTGTTGCTCACACCGTCAGCGATTCATAGCGCTGCACAGCATTCTCCCAGCGCAGTGGAACCTCACAGATTGAGCAAGGATAGAACAAAGTACACACCTTTCACGCCATCACAAGCGCCCTTAATCTCCTCGAACTCCTCGGGACTATATCCACCCCCGACGACCACCGCCTTGACTTCGCTCCCAGGCGTGCGGTCCTCCGCCGAGGCGGCCGTCGCATTAGACCCGAACCCTGATGATGGCGGCTGGGTCTCGCAGCCAACGGTTGTACGGAGGAGAGCTGGGAGTTCCAAGAGTGCGCTCGGCAGGGTGCGCACGTTGTGTATTACTATCAGAATCCATATGTGAATTGTCGTACTCAAACAGCCCAGAAGTGCTGGATACGACAGGCGGGCTACTGACCATCATAGCCGTCCGATCGAAGTAGATTGATCATCGGCTCGATATGTCCCGGGATCTTCCCACAGAGGATCAGTGCCGTTGTTGAGGATTTTGTTGACGCCATGCTCCGAATCCTCGACTGTCGATATGTCGATTCCGAGGAAAATGAGTGAGCCAGAAAGTCACGCGCTACAATCCAGGAGCATTTATGTTGTTTATAGCTCAGATTCCCGAGCAGTAACGGATGTTCTTCAAGCACGGGGTCTGGGCTTGGCATTCGCCAATGCATTTCTAAGCGATGTTGTTCTGCACGACTTCATCGGGCTCCATGGCTTCACGGCGCCGAGATGGTTGCACGGCCGACCGAAAGTCGGTCCCATGCTCACCCTCAGACAAAGATGTCGCTAGAGGAGCTTTCCGCTCCGTGTCGTTATGACGTACCCGTGGACTACAGCAGGGACCACCGTATGTAGATCGCGGCGCCGTGCGACTATGTATATAATTACAGTAAGTCTTCACAGGGCCAAAGACACCATGACGACGGACTCCGGCAGCTTATTCGCAACCGACGGGCCTCACACAACGATCTTGTCCACTCATGGTCCTTGTGCCGCTGCCCGTGAGCAATTTGTTCCCACCACTAACTCACGTTGGCTCGCTTCCGCTGCACAGCCACGGATCCCCCAGCCTTGGCGCTCGGCGGAAGCTGGGGTATCTGAGCATATTGGCTCGCTTGACATAACAACACCACGTTGCTGCTCAGCCCAGCACAGCCATCTGATGCATCGCCCTTCACCTGCAGATCCTGAACGTTGGGCTCATAGCGAAGCTATATGAGGGCCTGTGTCCCATTCTCTCAAGCATCACCACAAACTGCTCGAATCTGCTCAAGCACGTAAATCGTCGATCAAAAGAACAAACCGACACCATGGGCTATAGCTCACAGCAATGGATGTCCACCATACAGCATGCTAATCAGCCCGGCAGCTATGACCTCCTGAACTCTGTTTCAGAACGGCAGGCCAAATTTCCTGAGGCGGAGGCGGCGGGCGGAGCTGCTGCACCTGCCACTTATGCGCCCACGGAGCCAAAGCCAAGCGCTCTGAAACGAGCCTGGCTGAAGTTGATTGGGAGGGAGCAGGTTTGGAAAGAGGACGACAAGACTGCCAATAGCCACAGAGTCGTTCAGTAGTCAGACCGCACTGACAGTTCTGGCTTGTCGCAGAGTCTGAAACGTCGAGGAGCGGAGAATGAATGAATGCATTGGTCCCACGACCATCGGTCAGTCGTCGGATTGCAGAGGCGGAAATAGAATAGAGGCAGAGATACCCGCTTTCCTGCCAGCAGACTTTGGCACAGGTCCCAGATCGAACATAGGCGTACCGTACTCGGGAAACACCTCCGCCAGATTAGGTTTCCAAAAACGATGTTCTACCGGCACGCCTAAGATGTCTAACCCCCGAGCCATTGTGTCCGGCATGACTGGTTGTAAAAGAATCATGGCAACCCGCAGAGTCTCAGCCATCTCGAAAATGATCCATCTCAACTTCCGTTCATTATCAGGGGATGGTTCTTGCGAGAGTCTCCATGGCTCGGACGATCCAAGAAGCTGGTTCGCAGACCGGCACAGGTCAACCGCAAGCGTTGTTGCCTCGCGGATGTCAAGCTTTTCCATGGATTCATTCATCGCTCTCACGGCATGCTTCATCTTTTCCCGGGTGTCGATAAAGTTGATCATCTCCTGATGTTTTGGGGACATGGTGATCAGCTCCTCTTCACAAGCTTCTATACAGGACGGTAGATGCCACAACTTGCCCCTGACGATCCGGTTCAGCAAGTTGCCAATCTGGGCCTGGAGCTCCTTCTTGTAACGCGCGCTGATGAACGAGTTCTCGTACGGTGAGTCGTTCAAGATGCCGCCATCCCTAGCCATATACCAACGGATTGCATCGACCCCGAAACGGCTCATTGCGCTGAAGGGATTAACCACATTGCCGAGTGACTTTGACATTTTTGCGGTGTTCATGGTCCAATGTGCATGGGTCAAGAATTGTTTAGGAAGAGGCAATTGCAGGGCCATAAGGAAAGCCGGCCAGTAGATTGTGTGAAAGCGAATGATATCCTTGCCAATTACCTGTACTTCTGGCGGCCAACAACCGCTTTCATGGTTAATTGGGTACCAGCGTGTGTGATGTAATTGATGAGGGCGTCAAACCAGACATACATGGTCTGATCGGGGTCGCCTGGGACTGGAATGCCCCATGACAGCCTCTCCTTGGGTCGTGATATAGACAAATCTTTCAAGCCCTCAACCTCATTGATGATGAAGTTCATCCTCTCGCGAGGGACGATGAAGTCAGGATTGTCGGTATAATGCTTCAGAAGTCGTTCTCGGAAATCTGAGAGGCGGAAGTGATAGTTTGTCTCGGAGGTCCATGTCACTTCTTTGCCTGTTTCCTTCGAAGCCATAATCTTCTCGCCAGTAGCAGGCACGAGAATGGCATGCACCTGGTTTTCGGGATAGAAGGTCTCATCACTGACACAGTACCATCCTTCGTGCTTAGCCTGGTAGATGTAGCCTTGACGGTCCAGCTCTTGCCAGAAATATGTGACTGCATCCTTGTGATCGCTATCGGTGGTTCGCATAAAACGATCGTATGAGATGTTGGCCGTGTCTGCAAGCAGCTTGAATTGCTCTGCGTGCTTGGTACAAAACGCTAGTGTTTCGGAGCCGGCCTCCTGAGCTGCTCGCTGCACCTTGACGCCGTGTTCATCCGTGCCTGTGAGAAGCTGTGCTGGTCGACGTTTGAGAAGCTGCCATCTCTTGAAGATATCGGCCAAGATCATAGAATACAAGTGGCCAACATGAGGAGACGAGTTGACGTAGAAGATCGGAGTGGTCACATAGAATGGCTTCTTGGCCTCGCCAGTCTCACTGTGAGCACCGGCCCCGGTGGTACTTGAAGCACGTCGAGGCTGCAAGTGGAATCTCGCTGCTCTTTGGCAGGTAGGCCGCGGTCGTGCCTGCCATGCTGTAGACCGGCAGCGCAAGAAGAAAGCGCGAGCATTTTGCTCTAGGCTCTGCATGCCGCACACCTCCGGACGCTGGCGGAGTGACGATGATGAACACTGGTGATCGTCAATGCGAAGGACAGCTGCTACGGTAGAATTTCGGAACTCGAGAAATATTTCTTGGAGACGCGTTCCCGACGCGTAGTCGCTCGTCGCTTACTCTCCCTCCCCTTCCTCAGTCCCGATGCAGCTGTAGAGGTTGCGTGCATCGCTGCCAGCGCGCTGGCCTCATCCTCTAGCTTCCCGGTCCAGACAATGATGCTTACCCACAGGGAGTCCCCCGTCGCACGCCTCGCTTCTCGGTCAAAGCATTATGTTTATCAGCGGCGGTGGCTCGACTAGGGCTAGGCATATGCAGAAGCCTCTTCGCGTTGTCGTACTATGTCAAATTCACAAACCCTTTAGACTATGCGACTCTGTCGACCACTTCCTCGGCTCAGGAATCAGCAGTGTACCTAGGTAAGATAATCGTTGGTTCAACTTTGCAGCATCCGACAATCGCATACAGCCGATGGAGTTGAAGAAATGGCTGTGGACATTCTCGCTGCCTATAGCACGGTCTACGACTTCGTGAGTGCGATCGGACTTGGTGACAAGCGCGTGATCGCGGCCCAGCTACATGCCAACTTCGTCCTTGATCAGCTCGATTCACGTCCAACCGCTTTGCGCTACAGAACGGCCTCAGGCCGACCTGTTATGCCGACCTGGACGCAGTGACAATGCGAATTGCAGATCCTCATGTCGTCGCTCTCTCCGGCCGCAAGTTTGCTTTCACCCTTTCCACCAGTTCTTTCCTCGTCATCTTGCTGCCTGCCTCAAGATTCCGCTAGACACTTTCCGTCAGCCTTGCCTCGCCGACCATACTTGACACTGGGTACTCACCGCCTTCAACCATCGCCTCAATTCCGTCTCGGTCCAAGTCTCCGGATCTGCGAGCATGCTCAGTATGCCAAGTCCAGCCTAGTTTACCCTCTCATGCATACCACCAGTTGCGTCCTTCTCGGCAGGAAACATCTCTCCATTCCACATATTCCAGAGACTCGCTCCCACCACTAAACCCGTGAAACCTATCGATAGAGTCAGATGGCTTGTGCCTTGAGTAACGCTTTCGAGGGATGAACAGTACCAAAAAATAGGTTTCGCGACTGCAGGGCTTTGTCCATGGCGGTAGGCATCTTTGCTGGAGTGGCTGCTTCTTAGATGGCCCAAAACCCGCTGCGGATATAGTTTGCCCACGATGTGCCCACTAGATGATAGCGAAAGGTCTAAGAATCCGACCTCCAACCACTTCGACGGTGATAGAAGTTGTTGCCTTTCGAAAGATGGCAACTGCATTCCTCGTTTCCTGCCAATGACGTCGATTCCACCCGATTGAACGACCCCACCTTCCTTCCGGACCTGAAATCTTGGCAGTCCACGATCGCACCCGCTCTCCGCCCGATTTCGAGATCGCCCGACAGCACGACGTACTTCTGAAGCAACCACAAACCCTTTCGACACATCATCTGGAGGAAATCACCGCAGCCATGCCTTCCCAAGTCACCGACATCAAAGAGTTCCTTGAGATTGCGCGGAGAAAGGATGCGAAGTGTACGTCTCTCCCTCAATCCAGCACCTGCGTCGCGCAATGAATCCGCACCAGCTACATTCAGCATGAAATGTCGCGGGTGGAAACGACATACTGAACACAAAGTCTCCGCCTTTGCCATTTCACGATTACCACAACTCCCGAATATTCATGCTGACAACTCTTTGTGAAAACAGCCGCCCGCATAAAGCCCGCCAAAAAATCCGCCTCAGTCCGCACCTCCAAGTCCAAGACCGCCGGCGGCAAGGAGCAGATCAAATTCAAGATCCGGGCCTCGCGCCACCTGCACACCCTCATCCTGACGGACAAGGTCAAGGTCGACAAGATCAAGCAGAGCTTGCCTCCCAACCTCACTGTGACCGAGGTCGGCGGCAAGGAGAAGAAGACGAAGAAGTAGATCTGAGTTGTTCAAACAGCATGGGAGCTTAACACAGCGCCTGATGAGGGCGATACCTGGGAGGGGCAGAGTCACGGCAGTGATGGTCCACACGCTGTCGATGGCGCGAGTCAAAGCGGCTCGAGCGATGGACTGGGCAGGTCAGCAGGATGATTTAGTAGGGCAGTGACGGAAGAACTGTTCAAGAGCACTGAGGGCGGAATGAGCGCAGATCAAGGCCTCGTTGAATTCATGCAGCGGCAAGCAACCAACAGTCACCAGCCAGCGCTATCTCAGCCATTAACCATACCAGTTTACTCATCCATTGTCCTCGTGGTCTTCCGCATCCACGTACCGCACCTCTGATCCCGCCTCCACGCCAAACTTCCGCCTCAGCCCCTCCAACTCATCCAGCGTGATCGCCGTCCTCAATTCAAGCTCGCCGAAGAAATTTGGCCCCTCTCCAACCTGCTCAAACCCCAAGCTTTCAAACAATCGCCTGCTTGCCTTATTGTGCTCCCCGATCTTGACTCGGAAGAAATCGAATCCATCCTCAAAACCAAAGGCATGCTCTGCGCGATACTCCTCCATGATCCCCTTCTTATTCTCAAGAATATATTGTAGGAACAACAGTAAAGCCGCCCGTCCAAGACCCTTTCCGCGCATCGAGGGTTCCGCTATCATGAGCTCCAGCTCTGCGGCGAGGACTTCTCTGCCCTCGCTTTCGGACGGCGCGTTACTATCGAAGTCTTGTTGGAGGAAGAGATTTACGTCGCCTATTGCTGTGTAGCCTTCGTTGCCGTGAATGAACGAGAATGTGCCTCGTGAAATTGGAACATCAGGAACGCCAATGATGAAAGTGAGCTTGTCAGCATCCGTCCGCCAACTGCGCTGCATCTCGTTTTCCTCGTCAAGACTGAGAGGCTCGGAGGCCGTGAGTTGCTGGATTTCAGGATCTTTCATCCATGAGTGATATCGTGGTACGTGATGCGCTGAGTATGGCACCAGGATAAGTTTTGGCGTACATATTGCCTTGTCTTTGTTGATGAGCATTTCCGTCGACTTCGTTTCATGATGCGTGCTGTGGCTCAAATGAAGACACCATCGATGCCATCTTCATAAAATAATATTTCTGATGCGGGGTCGTGTTGCCTTATTGCCTGGCAAGGCTACCATCTACCTAGTGTACACCATTCGTTGCGTGCGTGTGATGTATGTCAAATTGCACAAGCTCCGGTTCCAGCGTCTCAATGTCGATGAGCACCAGTTGGCCGGTTTCGTGGAACCTTGGAATTGTGACTAACCGCACTTGTTGACCATCCGCACCTTCAATCACGGATGTGTCGAATCGTGGCTGGTTTCCGATGAAGAACAAGTGTGGGCACTCCTCGATCACGAAAGGATCTCGCTCTTGAAAGGGATAGCACCACAATGTGTCTGGAGCAGTCGGAGCGCCACATCGCCATCTCAGAAGTGCCTCCATGACCTCCAGCCTTCCCTCTGGGCTCTTGCCATCTTCACCGCCAAGACTGATGTACTTCAGTACATCGTCCACAGGCTGTCCACTATTGCCCATGAACCTCCATCCTTCGATGTCGCCGTCCCAAGGATTGGTGATACTATCAAACCACGACGGCTCTTCAGTCTCAGGATCTTTGAGGTTTGTCGTTGAGTATGCTCGTGAATGCGGAAACATGGCAGGATGGATCGGTTGCTGCGGCATAGAGGTATTTGCAGGGTCGTGCTCGCCAACCATGATAGTGACGGGTATGCTGGGCAGTAGCTCGGACATCAACGAGTCAAGTGTAGCAGTTGGTGTTGGGTTGTAAGCTGATGCATCGTAACCATACTTCTTCGATGCAGGCTTCTTGATGTCGTCGTCTCCAACCACGTCTGCGATGACATCGCTAGAGATCGAATTGCCAGCGACGATGAGCCTCGATATATTCGTGCTGTCGTCTTGGTCATCTGTGTCCAGTGCTTCACCCAAGAGGTACTCGAGCAGCAGAGAAATGTTTAATGTGTCCGCGGCTGTGCCTGAAATCTCGAGTCCGCTCACGATGGCCACCTTCCGACCATTCTGCGGCGGTCGATCCACAGCCATATCGCCCTCCTCTTCTTGTTCTTCGTCATCTCGCCTCCATCGCCTCGGTTGTGGCGGCAGTTCCGCAATATGTAGGTCCAGGACTTCGAAGTCTCCGCCAGCAGTCTCCGTTCCAAGCACGGCGACAATAACGCCGGTGACCAACAGCTTTTCCGTGAGTATGGGTCCCGCCAAACGTAGACGTCCTGATTCGTCCTCGAGCATGACCTGGACCTGGCCCTCCTTATTGAGATACGTTGGCCGTGGTGGAGGACCTGCCACCCAATGTTCTTTCGATATGTCTTCGAGAATATTTGGCTTCAGTGGCAGCTCCATGTAGACTGTGCCCACAATCCAGCATAATTGACCCTGCCGCACATCCAGGACTCTGTGTACCCGTCGAGCACTCTCGCCAGCAAGCTCATAATCTTCCCATTCTGCTTCAGCATGCTTTTCTACAATCTTCTTCAGTTTCGCCAGCCGCAAGAAGTAGATGTCGGCGAATTGTTGATTGTATTGTTTGGTCTCATTTTGTCCGAGGCGGTAGTTGTAGAGAGGATTGTATGCTGAGGGCACTCGTGATCTTGCTGCGACCTGTTCCGTTGCGTCGTTTGGCCTGAGACGACTCAGCATGGGCGCCATGACGACCCAAAAGGTTCAGTGATGTTTGAGCGATATCAACGTTGGTGACAGTACTTTCGCATGGTGCGCAAGGTGTTGGGAAGGTTTAGATTGTGGACAACCGTTGGGCGACTGTATGGACTGCAGACAAGGTCATGTTGCCAGTCCCAAGAACTGTCCCGCAACGCGAATCGCGACTAACGCTGTGCCACGCGTCTATTGGTTGTAATCTCAATAGGTGTGTTTCGTATGAAGACACTCACAGTGTTGGACGAAAAGTTATGCATCCTTGGCAGTTCAAAAACATAACAGTCTGAGAGTTACACAGTGGTGGAGATCTTTGCCTTGACAACCTTTAGTGTCATTTGAAGTCATTCTTTACTGTTTGCTTGACCTTCACCTTCGTGCACCTTCGTGATGGTTATCATAAAGGAAGTAACAATAGCGCCAATAGCAATGAAGTCGTAGCGCTCGCGGAAGTTCGCGCCGACCCTTCTATCCTACACGCAGTCTTCAATGGCATAGAGGCAGGTCTGCTCTAAGAAGCAGCCCCTTGTGTCTTTCCTCTCCCTCGATGTGAGCTTCAGTCATCATACCTTGACTGCAGGCGCGATGTATGCTCTTGCGGCCTTGATCACATCCCCGTCGTGTGATCGGATGAGTTCCGTGGCTTTAGCCTTACTCAAGTCCAGCTCATCGACCTGTTTGGATTCAGCGACGACACCTGGAAAATTGATAGATTCTTTACGCACAAGGAAAGCAACATCTTCGTTAGACACCTTAATCTTCTTCTTGACTTCTGCTTCCTTCTTCTGCTCCGGTTTCTTCGTCTCGCTCTTCTTTCCCAGACCGCTGACGATCTCTAACCGCGACATGGCTTTGCCGAGGGCCTCTTGATCAGCCGCTGACGGTTGCTTGTTAGACGAATCGCCTTCCTGGGACATGGCGTTGGCGTTTAGTGCATTTAATGCTGCGGCGGCTTTGCGGTCCTCCGCATTGTTGGGCAGATTTTGGGTCTCATCGTCGGCAGCATCGGCCGCATTCGAGGCGGATGGTATCGGCTCCGCCATGTTGATAAATTTGTAACTGTGAGTTGTGTCTGGCGATGTAGCCACGATGCTAGAAGTATGTGAAGACACCTTCGATCGTGCCAAGAGCAGAGTTCCGACCGGATGACAAGGCTGTGAAGCAGCCTCGCGAACTGGCGTTGACTCACGGGCTGAATGCATTTTAGTTCTAGAGTACTCGTGTTCGTGTCCTGTCCATTGTCGAAAGTATTCATACCTGTAAAATTCGCTCCGAGACGGCCTCTGTGTGGGCTTTTGCACAAAACTGTTCGCGGTGCCTTAGTGTCCTGAGGAGTCGAGTATTCCATACAATTCATTCGCCCTGGCCTGGGGTTCGACAATTTAGTGTCAAAAATGGGCAGCACACACATGAACGGCACAAAATGGTCACCCTCATCCTGGAAATCAAAGCCTATCGTTCAAGGGGTCGAATATGATGATCAGAAGGCCTTCGACGGCGCCATAACGAAACTGAGTAAACTCCCTCCACTAGTCACGCCGCTGGAAATCGTCAAATTAAAGAACGAACTTCGCGAAGTCGCCCTAGGCAATGCATTCCTTCTGCAAGGCGGCGACTGTGCCGAGCTATTCGATTACTGCACTCAGGACATGATCGAGGCCAAAGTCAAGCTCCTGCTTCAGATGTCCCTAGTCCTGATCTACGGCGGCAAGAAGAAAGTTGTGCGAATAGCGCGGATGGCAGGGCAATTTGCGAAGCCTCGGTCGTCACCCATGGAGACTGTCAATGGAGTACAGATGAATTCGTTTCGTGGCGATATTCTCAATAGCTACGAGCCCGACGTCAAATTGCGCACGCCGCACCCGTCCAGATTAGTAGATGCTTACATGCACTCCGCTGCCACTCTGAACTACCTCCGGGCGGCCCTTGGCTCTGGACTCGCAGACCTACATGCTCCACTTGACTGGTCATTAGGCCACGTACTCGACTCAAGTGTTCGAGCCAAATACCAGAGACTCGTCTCTTCGATCCAAGACACCCTCGATATGCTACGCACTATTGGCCTCGACTCTGCACGCAACCTCGAGACCGTTGACCTCTTCACATCCCACGAAGGGCTCCTACTCGGATACGAACAAGCCCTGACTCGCGCCTTCCGGCTACCTCCCAGTACACTTACCTCAGCTACCTCACGGCATCACAGCCACAACCGACGCGCTTCCACTTCCGCTTCCACACCCACAACCTACTACGCCACCTCCGCCCACTTCCTCTGGATCGGTGACCGCACGCGTCAACTCACCCACGCACACACGGAGTTCTTCCGTGGCATCGCCAACCCAATCGGCGTCAAAGTCGGTCCTTCAATGCCTGCTTCCGATCTGATTCCTCTGCTCGACATCCTCAACCCGACGCGAGAAGTCGGCAAAATCGTCCTCATCACCCGTTACGGAGCGCCACTAATCGCAAAACACCTCCCCGACCATATACGCGCCGTTCAAGCCTCGCCCCACGCCGGCACAGTAGTCTGGCAGTGCGACCCCATGCACGGAAACGGAAGAAATGCTACCAGCGAAACGTCAGGACAGACTTTCAAGACGCGTCGATTCAGCGATATCCTCTCGGAGCTGCAGCAAGCACTGCAAATTCATCGCTCGCTTGGCAGCTATCTAGGTGGCGTGCACCTCGAGCTGACTGGCGAAGCGGTCACGGAATGCGTTGGTGGAGCAGAAGGCTTGACGGAGGAGCATCTGAACACCAACTATACTACCTTCTGTGATCCAAGGTTGAATGAGAAGCAGGCGCTAGAACTGGCGTTCTTGGTTGCGGGATTTCTGCGGGAAGAGTACGAGGAGGGCTCTGATGGGGACGCGTCGTAATCAGATGGGTGGAGTATTGGAGGCAAAGACGAGGCGCCTTTGACGGCAATAAAGCTGAGTTGACTCTGGGACGGCGATGGCCTGAGCGTTGGTGCAGTAGTGACACGAGCGTCAGAACGAAATGACCTGATCGCCAGAACGAGATGACTCTATCGTGGATTGACCCTGGCTTATAGAACATCTCTGATTGTGATCAAGCAGCCAGAAGTTCACGAGTCTTCCTCACACACAGGGAGGCCTCTACGACGAGGTCACCCTGCTTCTATCTCGAGTCCAATGGAGGTCACTCTGTATAATAAAAGTCTATGTCTGTCTCGATAGATTCAGGTGTAATCCCGGACTGAAGTTCCTCCATCCGCCTCGGATTTACGTGCCAAGACCACGGACTATGGTCAGGTTTCAACATGCAGTATGCAGTCGAGGCGGTCCGGAAACATGATTTTGGCTTCCTGACCGTGCCTACCCCGTGGGAGAAACTTCAGCAGGAAACAGTGAACAAAGAAAGCGCGAAGGACAGCAGCGCATAGGAACTTCAAGTCAGACATGTACATTCACATTCTCCTGGGTATCATAATAACACTAATGCTACGCTCCTTTCAGTTTATCAACTCAATCCCAATGCCCACCACCACGACCTCTCCTACCAAGCCAACCCTCATACCAGGCTCTCCTCCTCTCGCCAAGCCCTACTTGGCTCTTCGCCCACTCCCACCACTGACCAGCCCCAGCAGTCCGCGACTGCTTGACCGTGCCCGTAAGAGGTCGCTGCTTCCAGGACGACCGATCCTCGCCCGCCACCCTCAGCACCTTTTCCGCGCCACCATTCACTATGGGCCTGGGATCCCGGATTCTGTCTTCTAAAACCTTTTTATTGACCACACTCCCACCCATCATCATATCCCGCCTCTCAGGAAACAGACACCAAACCACAATCTCACCTCTCCGCCGCCAATCTTCATGCCAATGGCTATTCCACACACGCTTACACTCGGTGTAGCCACTCGCACGGCCCACAAGCTGCTTCATTTGCGGCTCGAGTTGGGAGAAGAAGATCAGATACTCGGGCCATGGCCGCCGACTGCCTGGCTTGGTTCGCCATCCGGTCTCTAGGTCACTGCGATTTTTGATATTGATGACTTTATTAGGCTTCGCAGGGCCGACGATGACGCCCGCCTCATTTCGTTGGGCAGGCAGGAAACGGGTTGCCGGCGGCGAGCGAGACATACGTTGCTGAAGCCAGGTCGCTGGATCAAGGTAGAACCGGTCTGCTTCGTCGACGTAGTCCCTTTTCTCGATCGCGGACGACAAGCCTAGAGGAGGTTCGCAGGTCAGAGCCCAGGCGTCGATGCCGGGCGACGAGTTTGTGGGCGGATACTGAAGATGCGAGCGCCAAGGCGTGGAGTGGCAGGGCATGAGGAACCCGACAGTCATGTTATGCGCGACGGGATGCGGTAGGTGGTAAGTCTCGAAATCGGACCGAAGGTGGTGAGTAATGTTGATCAAACCCGAGTTGTGGATGCTGGCTGTGTAGAGGGAGATGGACAGGTTTGTGAGGAGGAGAAAAGCTAAGAGGAGGCGTTTGGTGAGCTGAGAGCGCTGAGAGTACGGTCGTAATGAATCGAATGCAGAAGCGAAGAATGCTGCTGTTGGGTGTGCGGCGAGGATGTGTAGTCCTGGGAGCAGCGGGTAGATGAAGCGAACTTCTTTGTGAGATATGAGCGAGAGAACTCCGGCCAAGACCAAGCTCGTTATAGTGAGGGATCGGAGCGTGAAGCGAGCAGTTGAGGACAGGTTGCGGTATCGGTCACCAAAGCACGACTGGTACATGCCGAGGAGAGCGAAGGGTAGGGCTGTCGTCAGTAGCAATGGATAGCCCTGTGAGAGGTAATAGTGCCAGTTGTTGTTTCCATAGAAGCCAGCAATGGACTGAAAGAGGTTGACCTGAAGGAAATGCCACGCAGGGAATGTCCACGTCTGGTAGAAGAGACGGTCAACCACTGCGGACAGACACAGCACGGCACTGCCGCACAGCAGCACTTCCCGAAAGCTGACCAGAAGTTCGCGCTGTGTCGGACCGCAGCGAAGAGGCTTCTGAGGCTCGTCCGTCTTCTTGTTCGTGCCCTGACCTTCTTGCCGAAGACTCCTCAACCCCATCAGCACCACAAGCGTTGCCCAAACCAGCACATTGGTCGGCCTCAACACCACCGCAAAAGCCGCAGCCAGCAACGCCCTCCTCAACCTCGTCGTCTCATCAACCACCCCATAGCTCGCACTAACCATCTTTCTCACCCTCAACCCCTGCTGATCGACCCCCTCCACATCCCTCGACCCCGGACCCGTCGACCAATGCCACGGCCAATTATACAGCGCCACAATCGTCAACGTCGTCTCTAACGAGTTCGAGAACGTCCTCGTCGAGCAGAACCACTGCCACGGGTTCGCGACCGTCAAAACCAGCGCCGCCGCCGGCGCCAGCGACCGTATCCCATAAGTCGACTCCGCCAGCCGCCAAGTATAGTAGTCTCCCAACGCCGCAATGACGGCCTGCAGCAGCTTCGGCGCGGCGAGCAATAACTGTGACCTGTACGGCCCGCTCAACGAGAGCATACCCGCCAGCCGATCCGCGACCACATAGCACACTGCGAACAAACTAGGATGCAGCGCAGACCGCAGTTGTTCTCTCCACTCCCAGGTTATCCACGCTCCACCAGACTCATCACCCTCATTACCAAACGCAAGCGCCCACGCCGGCTCTAGCGCCTGGAAATACTCATCCGGCTGAAAAAACGTCTGTATGATCAACGCATTCAACACGCGCGACGCTACGAGAAACAACAGCACATCTTGTCCCGTCGGCCCAGAAGGGTCGGGCTCCGCAGGCGCATGTCTTCTCCGGGTCGGTGTCAGCGGCGAGCCGGGTGTTGAGGGTAATTCGAGTCTCGGAGTGGACGGAGGAGATGTTGAAGCGGAGGACATTGCAGTTTTGTGGTCATCGTGGTTGAGGTGGAGGAGAAATGAGGTCCGGCGCAAAAGTGAGATGCGGGTTGTTTTTGTTGGAGGCTGGAGCGAGGAACCGAGCTGCAGGTACCTGCCGCGCATGTGACGTGACAACGGGGGGAAGTTTATGGACAAGGTTTCGGTTGCGTCAACCGGCCTTCATTCAAGCCCCGGCCAGGCTAGTGTTCGCGAGAGCGCAGTTGCGCATGAAGTCGTCGCCGGTTGCACAAATTGATTTCTTGGTGTAGAGCAGCTTACACTACCAGCTATCTAGACCCTCCTGTTCGCTCTACCAAAACCATGCCAAATCCATTTGTCTTCCCTGGAGCCGAGTAGTACAATCTATAGCCGTCTTTCATACACCCCGTGGTACTCGTATACATGCAGCGCTGTCTATTCGACAGTGACGGATTTGGCCAAGTTGCGGGGGAAGTCGACGTTGAGTCCTTCAGACACCGCAAGCCAGTACGCCATCAGCTGCAGGGGAATGACGTTGAGTAAACCTTGAAGAATATCGGCAGTCTTGGGGACTTCGATACGCTCGGTCTTATCGGCGGGGAACTCGTCTTCTCCTGTATTGCAAATGACGATGGGTCTACCGGATCGGGCGACGACTGTGATGCGTTAGTCACGTCCGATGAATAGTGGGACTGGAACATACCTTGCTGGTAAGCATTGAGCGACTTGGTGAAGATGTTGTCTCTGGTCATAATCATCACAATGGGCAAATTCTCGTCGACCAGAGCCAGGACACCATGCTTGAGCTCTCCAGACATGACAGCTTCGCAATGCAGGTAGGAGATTTCCTTGATCTTCAGAGCGCCCTCCAGAGCAGTCGAGAATTGATGACCGCGACCAAGTAGAAGCAATGATTTCTGACCCTGAAGGAACTTCTTGCACATTTCCTTGATGGGCTCGTTGAGCTTCAAGATCTCCTTGAATTGCTCGCTGACCTTAGCTAGACCGTCGATGACTTCTTCCCGTCTCTTCTGCTTGGAAGCACGATCCTCACTCAGGGAGAGTGCGAACATGATCATAGCCACGAATTGTGAAGTGTATGCTTTCGTTGACGCAACACCAATCTCGGGACCAGCGTTGAGATGAACACCGCAGTGAGTGAGGAGAGAGATCGAGGAGCCAACCACGTTGACGAAACCGACAGTCAGAGCACCGCGCTCCAAGCAGTAGCGCAGAGCCATGAGAGAGTCTGCAGTCTCGCCGGACTGGGAGACGAAGACGCAGGTATCGTCTCGGAAGACAGGAGCTTGACGATCGAGGAAGTCTGAGGCCAACTCGACGCTGATTGGGATTTCGGTCAACTCTTCGAACGCACCACGGACGGCCATGCAGGAGTGATAGCTGGTACCGCAGGCGATGAAGATCAATCTTCTGCAGCGGCGAATGGTAGGCATGTATTGGCGCAAGCCACCAAGATTGATAGTTCTGTTTGCAACATCAAGGCGACCGCGCATGGTGTTGACAACGGACTCTGGCTGTTCGAAGATTTCTTTCTGCATGAAATGGTCGAATTTGCCCTTCATGATCTCTTGCAGCTCCAGCTCGATGGTCTGAATGGCACGAACATTACTCGTACCGTCGTCTTTCGCCAAACGGTGAATGTTGAGCTGACCATCGTGAATATGTGCGATATCGTCATCTTCTAGGTATAAGACCTTCTTTGTGTGTTCGACGAGAGCAGATGCATCGGAGGAGAGGAAGAACTCGGCGGGCTGTGGCATGCCATCGTCTGAAAGGAAGGCTCGAGATTGCGAGCGGTGCAGGAGCGACTTGTCTGGAGGCGCGAGGAGATTAGACGGGGCCAGGTGGTTGTTCTTCTTGACCGCAACGTTGTGGCTGGCCATCTCAGCAGGCAGCGCAGCACCCTCGTCGGAGAATTCAACATCGACGAAGTCAACCTTCATCTTCTTCTGTGTCTTGACACCAATGACCAACGGCGAACCTTTTCTGGCAGCAATGACTTCGTGCGGGAAGTGGACCGACTTCATGAGCAGACCAAAGGCACCCTGGAGCTCCTTGATGACGGCCTTGCACAGTGTGGTGAAGTCGATATCGGGATGTGAGTCGAAGAGGTATTTGGCGAGCTTCGCGATGCACTCGGTATCGGTCTCGGTCTCGAACTTGAAGCCCTTGCCCTCGAGGAGAGCCTTGAGTTCTTTGTAGTTTGTGATGATACCATTATGGACGACGGTGAACTCCCACTTGGGATCCGACCTGGTACGATGTTAGACACCACGCTTGCATATAGTGCCAGGTGTGATATACCTATGGGGATGGCAGTTGAGAGTGGATGGAGGACCGTGCGTCGCCCAGCGAGTATGCGCGATGCCTGCATGTGAGTCGAATGTCTTTGTCATGTCCACGCCTGAGGCGTCAATGAGTTCTCGCAGCTTGGCGACCTTGCCAACTGCCTTGAATGGAAAGACCTCATTCTTCTTGTCGCCGTCTACTGCCAGACCGGCAGAGTCGTAGCCACGGTATTCGAGTCGGGAGAGGCCTGAAAGACAGATCAGTAAGGCTGGACTGCGCCCTTAGTCCCCTGAGTTCATACCATTGACCAATGTGTCGATGATGTACTTGCGATCCTTCTCGCAGAGATAGTTGATGTAGCCGAAGATTCCGCCTAGATGTTGTTAGCTCTGTCTGGGCTGTCGTAGAGAACTCTTACACATGATGTAGTTTGTCAAGGAGAGGAAGGAGAGGGAAGGAGGCGCTCGGCGGAATGAGAGCTACGTCAGATGTACGAAACAAAGAATGGTTGCTTGCAAAGAGGAGACAGCAGTGACAGCAGAGGAACGTTCGCGAGCGTGGGTATCGTGGTCAGTCAAGAGAACAAAGAGTGCAAAGACAGATTTGTAGAAGCAGAGTGTGAGAGACGTAAGAAGTTGGTCAATTGATGAGAATTATTACTGAAGGTCTCTGCCATGTTTACTCCATCCAACCGCAGCAGTGTCGTTGCCATGACGGGAACCGTGCGTCCTGCCGCCTCAGCCACCCCGCGAGAATCCATCATCACGTGTATTCGTTAAGGGCGTGATCCTACCAACTTGTGTCCAGTCCTGGTCTCTTCTTCCATCTCACTGTGTATCTTGCACTGTAGCTTCGGGATTGCATTCGCAAACTTTGTGTTGCGTTGACGCGTGCGCCGCTTCGGGCCTGACCATTATTGGAGGCCTCCTCGTTCAGCGGAGATCTTTTGTACCTGCAGTAGCCAAGACCGAGGGGTGAAACATTTGTGACAGCACTATTTATGGAACCCTTGCGACTTGCAGACCTGCTGTGCTGTTGCTGCAGAAAATTCTGTTCATGGTCGCCGACCAGATTCCGGCAATCAAGATTACATTGTAGCATTGCACTTATGTTTGACGTACAACTTCTAACAGAGTTGCGGCTTCTCAATATCGAGGCAGATGTAGGAAGCAGAGGCTCAGAGCCTCTCCTGACTTCGGAAGGCCCCTGTCAGCCGCCACAACAAGAACTCAGGGGGCCAGATCTGTGAGGCAACTTGTTGAAAAGAAGGCAGCATATGGAGTCTTAGCTCCTTCACCATCAACATCTGTTTCACTTATCCGACTGTACCACGGGAGTGTCATCACACGACGTCATTGGTACTAGTCGAATGATGAATCGTGTCCAGTCGATATTAGAATGTCTGAACGCGCCTACAGGAGATGGATCGCAAATCACCCCAACAGCGAGTTTAGATCTGCGATGTGTTCGCCGGATGTTGCTGAGCTCCTGATTCGAGATTCTTCCTGTCATAAGAGCTGCTCTGACGCGCTGACCTCACTTGCGTGCAACACTACTTGGGCCCTGCCATCCTCTCGAGAAGCTGACCGTATGCCTCCTGACGCTTCAACTCGAAGCTGTTGAACGCGTTCGCGGCGAGACCGACGGGAATCTGATCTTTGCCCTCAATGAGGCCACTCCAGGCCTAGTAGAGTCTTAGCAAGACAATGCGCGCTTCTGGAAAGTCCAACTTACACCCTCAGTGAATTCATCGATGGGCATGCCCATCTGTCTCCCAGTCTTACCATAATCGGGTTGATGGCGTTCGTCGTGCAACTCGGTCTGCACAGCCGGCGGGAATATCTCAATCACTTTGATATTGGTAGGTTTCAGCGATGTCCTCAAGCACAGAATCCAATGATGAAGCGCTGCTTTTGTTGCACAGTAATTTGACCGTGCTGGTATGGGGATGAGGCCGAGATTCGATGAGACATAAATCAAGGCGGTCTCGACATTGCGACCACGCAGGAAAGGAATCAGCTCTTTGGTAAGAGCCAGATATGCCAAGTAGTTCGTTGTAAATTCCAGCTCGACTGTGGCGATATCGATGCTCTCGGGCTCACTCCATTCTGCGGCACGTATCAGCTCGTGCGCCGACGCTGGGAGCTTACTTACCGCAGCGACGCTGAATCCCTGAGTTCAAGACGACGCAGTCAATGTCCGGATGCCTCTCTGTCAATTTCGAGAGGACTGTGGGTATCTGGTCAAGCTTGGTGATATCCAAGACCTCAGAATCCGCCTTGTCGCTTCCATGCCTCTGGACGAACTCGTCGAGATTACCCCTACGTCTGCCGGTCACGATGACCTTATGTCCTTCATTCACCAACTTTTCTGATAAGGCCAGTCCGATACCTGTCCAGCATAGTTAGGGCATGATTTCAGATTGAAGGTTCTCACGCACCTGAGGTAGCCCCAATGACGAGGACTTTTGAGTACAGGAATGTCATCTTGTCGATCAATGAAGCATTTCACGATATCTCGAACGCGACTTCGAAACCGAGTTGCTCACAGGAAAAGCATGAACTAGACGCCCTTCCTATGACGTTCTTACTCGGGTATATACTGCCGTAGTGATTGGGAGGCGGCAAAACCGCATCATAGACTTACCTATCGACTCGCTTGAGCTTGAGCGCGCGATTCTTCGATTAACCATTATCGCTACTATGCACATGGAAAGGACTGATGAACAATCCTGTAACGCGGAAAAACTTCTGGGCGCTGTAGAAGGTTCGTTATGTGCCGAGAGCAGTCTCAATAATAGTAGCGGTATGGGTCAACGCTCTGTCAGGGTTTAGGCTCGTGGCATTTCTTACACAAGGCCGCCACGGCCCGGCGAATGTGCTGTGAGTCTGGGTATTGCAAGAACATAACTCCTGATGAGACTGCCTCATCGAAAGCCATCGCACTCAAGGTCGAAAGATGAAGAGATAGCTCGGGCGCAGTCAGTCCGCGGCTGGAGTGCGCGCAGTAATACGGTGGATTCGGGGGACATCAAGTGCTATAAGCCCTTTCAAAAACGCTAAGCATCCCCGCTGCCATCTTCGACCTCAACTACTCGTTATCCGTCACGACGATATCACCTACCGCCAGCGCAACTTTCGTCGACGCTGGCAAAGAAGACGCTTGTTATAACACGCACTCGACCCACTCGTACGCCAACACGCATATGCTGCCCAGAGCCGATCGCAGTCGAATTCTTGGTCGTGGATGATGACAAAGTTTGTGAATCACGGACCAGAACTGCATATCCCCATCGAAATAATTATGATGCACACCATGAACAATCATCGATGGAGGTAGGTCACGGTTCAGTGAAAGACGACACTTACTACAGGCTTATATCACACGTCGATTTGTCAAAACCGCAAGACACCGTCTCACGGGTCGAAATCGTTGCTTCCCACCTTTTGGGCCACCAAATCCCACAGCCGCCCAACACCACTATCGATATTCATCAAAATGTCCTTGAATACTCATCCATTTTATCACGTTACCGACTGAGAATATCTACTGGAGGACATTGGAAGAATCTCTGGCTATTGACGGAATTATTTGATGATGGTGGACTCTTCGTGTCGTCGACGCGTTTCTGTATGGAGCCAGCTGTGCCTGAGCTCTTCTGCTGGGCTGGGCTCGTAATGATAATACCATACCTACTATATCCTCATAATAATGTCGTGCTTGCTCAAGTAAGAGGTGGCTGATACATATATTGTTGTCGTCAAATAATGGCTCCTTGTGCGCAACAAGAGATGGTGATACATATGTACGGTGAACTGACGCCAAGAGGCTGAAGAGCATGCGCCAACCTCAGCAAGCTGCCCTCGATTTCGACCGACGTCCAACCCTCTCCTTTCACAATAGCATAATCCCATCTCCTTTCTGTTCGGCGTCAATTGTACGCGAATCGTACACTTGACAATAATTGTTCGGCGCATTAACGAGTTTGGAGGCGTAATATCTGAGAACCAGCCCCTTCGGGAGAACGCTACACCTGCACCTCACGAACGCGTCTCCCTGCGGTCTTTTCGCAAGTAACATCCACACTCACACAGTTGCACTTGCGCTCTCATCGACGAGCATTTAAAGAGCAGCGCAGATACACGCACACTGCTTCACCTGTATCCTGATCAGGATATGCGCGCAGCCGTTGAGCATCCTCGACATTCGACCTCACCGCAGTCAGCGCTTCTGCCATTAGACTGCTTCTATTTAACGGATCGCTAAATCGACTCAGCTCTCTGCCAGATTTCTGTCTACCTGGCCGCTCGCTCGCTGATACGAGTCTGGACCTCACTGTCGACGGTCTATCATCACGCCGCGTGATCACGTCGATCTCGACACCACAATTGATGCGATCAACCTCAGCCAATGATCCTCGATTCGTCACAGTCTGAATCTCGGCGGCTTGAATCGACGACGCCGTCGCGGAGCGGTCCTTGATGGCAGCTGCTAACACCGCAGCCATCAATTACTTGACACCCAGTACTCAGTCGGAATCACCGCCACGAGGCAAGCACATAAGCCCTTTTTCCAATGCGGTCGGTGTTAGCGCCAATCACCACCAAGATCTTCACGGTCCGTCCATCATGACGCCGTCACACACTCCTCCCGTTCATCGCAAATCGGCACGCGACGATGGCCTGTGCGTCAAGGGCACTAAATGCACATACGACCCAGAACTTGACAAAAGTCTCAGCAGGAAAGACAAGCGGGACACGAAGGCTTCATTTGAAGAGTTTGGAACAAAGCCAGAAGACAATGTCGTCCCATCAGATCCGCGTCTCGCGATCCCGAATTACCGTAACAGCGTGATCGGCAAAGCGAAGGCTAAGTACCGTCCAACGTTATACGGCTTCAAGACATGGGACAGCGATGCAGTTACTACTGTCACAGCTGGTCCGCCAGCTGTGAAGATAGTCGTCACGGGCTTCGATCCTGCCGCTCCTCTTGCGCATATTAGCGCCTTTGGTTCCAACTATGGTGAAGTCTCAGACGTCGACAACAAGACTGATCCTATCACGGGGCGGTTCCTGGGTATTTGCACCATCACATATCAAGATTGCGCTTCTTTCCGCGGAAGTGGCCCCATACAGGCGACTCTCGCCGCAAAGACCGCAGCACTGGACTCGAAACGAGGACCACGATTAGGGCTGCGTACCGTCAAGATCGAACTCGATAGAGACGGGTCGATCACGCGCACGCATGTTCAGAAGGCCATCGCCGCACAAAGAAAAGAGACCGGCATCATACACGCGAAACCTCCCGCGCCTCAACCCGCGCCTGCGAGTCCCGTCACTGTTGGACCGCCACCAAGTGCGCCGAGAGGCCCAGCCGCCAGATCAGCGGCACCTGCGCGCCCTCCGCCGGGATCAATCGCCGCAACTTTCAGCGCCGCAGCGCCCAAGCCCGAACGTCCTGCGCGATCAGAAAGAACAAGTCTTGTTGAGTCCAATATCATCGACTCGCTCAAAAACCAACCATATATTTTCATCTCCTCTCAGCATGTACCGGTGCTAAGCACAACGATACCGCACATGAAGAAGCGATTGCGTACACATGACTGGCGCGAGGTGCGCTGCGATCACTCTGGCTATTATCTCTCTTCGATCATTCAAGAGAGGGTCAGATAGAGGCCCAAAGGACGTTTACAGCATGCAACGGCCTACCGCTGTTCACATACGTGATGCAGATGGAGCTGCGACTAGGTGGCAATCCAGCGCATGCCGCCACGGCTGAGCCTCCACCGCCTATGCCAGCGCCAGTGCCGTACATGACAAATAGACAGCACTACAAGCAGCGTCGTATCCAGGAAATGGACTTGGAAGAAGAGAAGAAGCAGCGTGCGAAGGATCTGGATCCTGCAAGAGCCGTACTCCAACTTGTTGTCCAAGAATTGCGCGACAAGCTGATTGAGGATGTGAAGTCAAGAATAGCAGCAAAGGCTCTTTATGAGTATCTGGAGCCTGCCAGGCTCGCAGAGAAGCGCAGGCGCTATGGCATTGATGATCCTGAAGGCAGTCGCCGTGGCTTACTTAGCCGTGATGATGGTTCTTCTACTCCAGACTCACGTTTTGGGACAAGACGACGCGTAGACATGAAAGCCATGAACGCCCTGTCGCTACCTCGAATCGCCAAAAGAGGACGACAAGATCCTGGAGCGGCATTTCGAGACGAGCGTCGCAGCCGCAGACCACAGCCCAACGTGCGGTCTTTGTTCCATCAGCTGTCACAGTTCCATGACGAAGAAGAGGACTCCGACGATGAGAGGGCAACGTCAATCACACGAGATACGGAGGAACCCGAAAGTCGGCCACCAAGTCGCATGAGCATGACCTCGATCTCAGATGATGATGATGCGCTGATTCGTCAAGCTACTAAGCGGCGCATGCATGCTAAAGAATCTTCTGAGGTCAATGAGTCGGTCAAGCAGGAGACCGAAACCGCAAGGGAAGACATGGTCATCTCCAAGCTTGAGCGGAGCATCTATGAAATGTCTCCTTCGTCGCGGAAGCGTAAGCGGTTGATGCAAGAGCTGCAGGCCCGCAAGCGCCAGAAGGCAGATGATGAGCTGTTCGGAATCGATAAAGCAGATCTCGAACGAGAGGACTCGATCGATGTCAAGGTTGATGAGATAGAGACACCTGTCGAGGCCACCCCAGAAGTTGAAGAGAAGCCAATCATCACCAAGCCTAAGCCCAAACCGAAGAAGAAAACCAAGAAACAGATCCAAGAGGAGCAAGAAGCCGAACGACGTGCTCAAGCGGAGGCTGAAGCAGACCAGATTGTCGACAATGTGCTCGAGCTCGCTGAAGAGGAAGAAGCTCTGGCTGAAGAAGCAGAACGCCGTCCAGTTGTCGAATGGGGCGTCTCCGCTAATCAGCCTGAACCCACCGTCGAGGATGACGAGGACATCATCATGGATCTACGAGGCTGGCAAGCTTCCATCATGGATGACGAAGACTTGCAACTGCTTAACGAAGTCCTGCACTCAAAGACTCCCAAGGCCATTGGCGACGTCACTGCCTGGGCCTGGCGCCAGGAGCAAATCCGTAATCTCAAACCCGGCCAAATCCCAGGTGCTCTGAGAAAGGAGCCTGCCATTGAAGGCTACTACGTTTCCAATCCCACAGGCTCGGCGCGTACCGAGCCTCTCAAGAAGATCCTTGAGTCTGAGAAGTCGAAATACTTGCCTCATCGCATCAAGGTCCAGAAAGCACGCGAGAAGCGCCAAGCTGAAGCAAAGAAAGATCCCAGCAGCGTGGTCCCCAAACAGGCAGAACTCCCCAAGACGAGCTCCCGTGGTAAGCGCGCTGACGACCGACGTACAATCAAAGATCTCGCCACCCAGCGCGAGCTCCTGGAAACAGTCGGTGGTGACGATCAAGTCCTCACACGCTTCAACCAGCTCCAGAAACGCAAGAAGCCCGTCAAATTCGCTCGCTCTGCGATCCACAATTGGGGTCTCTACTCACTCGAATCCATCACTGCTGGGGAGATGATTATCGAGTACGTCGGCGAGAAGATCCGGCAGGAAGTTGCCGACCTGCGCGAAATTAAGTACACCGAGAGTGGCATCGGGTCCAGCTACCTTTTCCGCATCGACGAAGGCACGGTCGTGGATGCGACGAAGAAGGGCGGGATCGCGCGCTTCATCAATCATAGCTGCGATCCGAACTGCACGGCCAAGATCATTCGGGTTGGGGGGACGAAGCGGATTGTGATTTATGCTTTGCGGGATATCGAGAAAGGTAAGTCGTTTCCATGCCTTGTCATCTATTTCTGTCTGAGCCACCGAAGCTGACATGACCACAGACGAAGAGCTGACGTACGACTACAAATTCGAGCGCGAGATTGGCAGTGACGACCGCATCCCCTGTCTGTGTGGCAGCGCGAACTGCAAGGGCTTCCTCAACTGAAGACTCTTCCCACCTCTAGCTACCTGCCGACAACGATACAGCAGGGGGCAGCAGCGCATACTTAAACGAAGCACATCAACAGCATGAATTCCTGCTGTGGCGTCAGGCAATTGGACGACCAATGCGCGTCTGCATCCTTGGCGTGTTGGACGCTATGCCGTACCAATCATACCAGCGGCTAGCGACCGAGATCTATTATAGCGGAAGATGTAGTCGCCGATGTACAGAATGAAATCTTCACACTCTCAGTGGGCTTTTGAGTGCCATACGTCTTGATGATGTGGAGGAGCGTCTCTTCGTCGGCACAGTTGAATTTTGACCTGTTCCATACCTGAGCCTCATTCCACCTTCGGAACGCAGCTTCCGTCGTTGGGACGGGAGTTGGGGAAAGAGTAATGCAAGGCGTCGTGGCTTGAGAGTGCAAGGAAGGAATTCGGATCAGTAGGAAGCGCGACTTGTTGCTGATCAGAGGGAAAGTGCGTAGAAGGTCCTTGCGAAACCGGTTGACATGGATGATGGAATTATATATGTCAGACCGGATGACGACAAGGGCCAGGAACACTGCACCTCGATATACGCCGGCTAATGCTCGGCATCATGCCGGAAGCGCATCATCACTGCTTGAATAGCCCCACCATGCTAGAATTTACCGTCGTATGGGATCTCAAGCCGGACTCGAAGCGGTACCATGATGATTGTTGTACGGCTAATTTCTCTTGGACTATAGAAGCTGACAGAGCCTCAACAGAATTGACTGCTTTGCTCGCTTTCGCTGTGATCTGCATTGACCTAACTCTGAATCTGGTGCTAGACCTGACTTGGGAAGCCGTCAACGACTTCATCGTTGACCGGCCTTTAAGCTGTTCGCCGCAGCCAAAGACGGAAAAGAGTAAGTCTGACGGAGGAGGTACAGTCTAGGGACGAACCAAAGAAAGACCGTCAGTAGGGAAGTGATCAGGCCATATCTCGTCCAGGTCCAAGGTCGAGACAGATCGCTGAAGAACAGCTGCTGTTACAAGGTGGCGATCCCACCAACCCACAAATTATTGGCGACGGCTAGGGACAGGGGACGAGCGACAGCGATGGCGGAACAGATCCAAGAATGGGTCGTCGACGAGGTGAGCCCCTGACACTCGACACAACCGCTCGGCACCGTATCCACCCTGTTCAGACGCTGCTATCGCCGCGGCTATGCCATTATCGGCAAGACAATGCTATACTGGCGACAATTTGCTAACCATAACCCCAGCCCTACCTTCATCACCCGGCACTCCTAGGCGAAGGCCCGCACTACAACCCCTCCACCAACACCCTCCGCTTCCTGGACATCAACTCCAACAAATTGCACACCCTCGACCTCAACAAAGGCCCCTCCAGCTTCCGCACCATCGACACGCACATCCCCATCGGCGTCACCGCCGACATCGCCGGCGAGGATTCCTCGAAAGTCATCCTCACCGGCTCCAAGGACGGCGTCACGAAATTCTACCTCGATGAAGGTCGACACGAATACCTCGCCAAATTCTGGGAAGGCGTCGCTGAAGGCGAAGGTGATGAGCAGAGGGGAGGGAAGACAAGAAGGCTAAGGCGAATGATGGGAATGTTGATCCCAAGGGCCGGTTTTGGGTCGAGGCATTTGTGACGCCGGAGATTGAGGAGCCGAATGATCGGGAGGGGGTGCTTTGGCGGATGCAGGGTGGGAATGGGACTTGGAGCTTGAAAGAAGCGATGACTAACATGACGATTCCGAATGGAATCAGCTGGACGGCGGATAGGAAGTGGATGTATGTTACTGATTCGCCAGTGCAGAGGGTGTATCGGTTTCCCTGGAACGAGGAGACGGGGGAGGTGGATGTTAGTGATCGAGAGTCGAAGATCTGGTATCAGGAATCTGAAGAAGGCATGTTTCCGGATGGACATGTGATGGACGTCGAGGGAAATATTTGGCAGGCGTTCTACGGCGGGTCGCAGGTCAAGAGAATTTCGCCTACAGGAGAGGGTGGTAGCAAAGGGAGGGTCACAGGAGTGGTCAGGTTGCCGACGAAGAACATCACTTGTCCGGTGTTTGTGGGCACCGAGCTGTTCATGACAAGTGCGAAGGATAAGAGTGGGAGTGGGGATGAGAAGAGTGAGAAGTACGGTGGGAGTCTCTTTAGGGTGGATGTTGGGGTTGAGGGTATGAAGAAGCCGGAGGCTGTCTTGGACTGAGCTATGCGGCACAAGGCGGATTGTGGAACGAGACTACGTTGGGGCGGACCCCATGAGAGGGTATGAGGATTATATGACAGGACTGGCCGTAAAGGCATCGACTCCGCTTGCATCATAGTGGAAGACGTGGGAACTTGGGAATTCTGGTTGAAATAGACATAGACTTTTATCATACAGAGTTACCTCACCCAGACCCGAGACAGAAGCACGGCGACTTCATCGTGGAGGCCTACCTGCGAAGAAGACTCGCGAACTTCTGGCTGGTTGGTCGCAGTCAGAGTTGTTCCATAAGCCAGGGTCAATTCACGACAGAGCCATCTCGTTGTGGCGATCAGGTCATTTCGTTCTGACGCTCGTGTCACTACTGCACCGACGCTCAGGTCATCGCCATCCCAGAGTCAACTCAGCTCTATTGCCGTCAAAGGCACGTAAATCCGAGGCGGATGGAGGAACTTCTGTCCGGGATTACACCTGAGAGTGAGTGACTGATGTACGAACATCGACGGAAGCTATGGACAGCGCGCACCGTCGGTCCGAAGCGAGAAGAGCATTTGGGAGTGCGCTCGGTTCGTTCTCCTTCCATGACCATAGACTGGCCGCCAAGAGGGAAGGGAGGTATGGTTGGCTAAAGCGGATTTAAGCAGTACGTGAAGTAGAATGGCATTCTAGCAATACCGGAGACACATAATGGTGATCAAACAATTCTATAGTCCTCCTGACCCGAAGCGGAATGCTTTCACTCTGTGCACGATCGACAGCTCTGCAACATTTGCGGTAGCCAGCCAAATCGACAACTCAGCTATCTCCCAAGACCGACTCTGTCGAGCCACAATAAGCCAGCCAGCCAGCCAGCCACGGCCCCCAATCTCATCTCACCACCGACTCATCCATCGCGCGATGTCAACCGCCTTCTTATCCAGCGTTTTAGTCATCACCTCACTGATCCCAAACAATACAGGCGCCGTTACGGCGCTCATGCCTAACAACGCGACCGCATACCACAATCTCTCCTCGCCAGCCGCACCCCTACTCATATCTATCTCCAGCAACCCACAGAAGAACCTCAGCGCCCGACTACCGAGACTGAACAGCACGACGCCATGCGCCAGGTAAAGCGAGAAGCTGATCTCGCCCAGCCACTGCGGAAACCGACTGGACAGAAGGCGCTGGTAGATGCTCTGTGGACCGGCGGAATCAATGGACAAGATGAGGAGGGTGGCGCCGAGAGTGGCCCACCAGCGGGAGGGGCCGAAGTGGGACATCCACGTTGCTGGAGTCAAGGTGGTGGCAAGTGTGATGTAGCCGGGAGAAGTGGTGGCGCCCTCGTCGCCTTCCGGGACGGAGAGGAAGTAGAGGCCATGAGTACGGCGAGGGCGTGGAGGAGTGTGCGTGCTCGCTGCGTACGGGGCCGCCTAGAGCCTGGGAGCTCGATATCATCTTCGGAGATGGTGGGTGATAACAGGATTGAGGACTCGGGCAAGATATCGCTCAAAGTCTTCGACTGTGGTAATGGTGTGTGCAGGAAGTGTACGTCTGCACAGAACATCCCTGCCGAGAAGAGGAACATGTCAGCCCAGCCGTGGTACAGCCAGAACAGTGCCAATCCGGTAAGAAACAAGAGCCGGAACCGCGAGCCGGATTTGGCGGTCCCAAGAGTGGTGAGAAATACCAGCAGACTACCCTTGAACTCAGTCGGAATGGTCCACGTATTCTCCTCGAAGGCGTGCGCGCCGCCAAACGGTGAGATGAACCACGAGGAGGATATCGCCCACGCCTTGAGTTGCTGCATCAGCGTCTCACTGGGCCGGTAGACGCGAGGAGCCTGAAGGTCGGTCAAGCCCATCTGAGCAAGCAGAGCAATGATCAACGTTGCTGTCAGGCATGGGATGTAGAGGCGTGGACCGCGGCGGAAAGTGCTACTGGCTATGCAATCGTGCGCTTCACGGTGTTGACCTTGGCGCGCGAGACGAAGAGGTTTCGTACTGAGAACATATCCTGATAGCACGAAGAATATGGCCACCATTGGTCCACCAGACATCCATATTCGAATTAGTGGTAAGGAAAGCAGCAAGTTCGCAGAGGTCTCAGATGAGCCATAGCCGGGCCGGATCGCAGGATAGAAGAATCCGGTGGTGTGATGGAAGACGACGATGAGAGCTGCGATACCCCGTAGTCCGTCCAGGTAGCTTGTCTCGTGCAGCTTGCGCGGCTCGCTTTTGGTGAAGATAGGCCGTAGGCTCGTCGGAAGGAGACTATTCAACATCTTACGGACGCGGGTCGCATGGACTGGCACGATTAGTCTGTGATATAAAGGTAATCGGGCTACGATATTCTCACCGAAAGCCTCAGTCTTCACGTTTGACAACTCCAGAAGAGGTTCCGCCGACAAGTCTTGGTCTGTTCGATGGTGCTGCAGCCACACAGGCAGGGAGTACCAGCTATCGCTTGGCATTGTTGGACTCCAGGTAAGGGATGCACGAACATCGCTCCAGCAATATAGAAGTCTGTTCAGAGCCTGGAAAAAGTGTTGTATTGGGGCATTTTCGGAGAAAGCAAGGGACGTGTTTGACATCTGTCAGACGCGACCCATATCCGCTACTGGCCCCTTTCTGAATGCATGACCTCGTACAACGACACAAATTCTAGCACATAGCCAGAAGTAAATACCGGCCATTTGCGGCACATCTGCATCGCCGCTAGCCCATCGATTCCAGTAGTGAGGTATCCATCATGGAGCAAAAGCAGTCCACGAAGCCGAATATGCTGGGTCAACGATGGGCTACCACAGGCCAAGAAAACGGCTCAGTAGACTATGTTGTACTCTTCGATGGTGCCGGCATGTCGGGGAATGCTCTAGGCCCGGGATTCACTCCAGTAATAATTAATCTGGGATTGGAGGAGCTTCCTCCTTTTCTGCTAAGCCTGCGAAGGATAATATGTAACCGCGAGAAACGCTTGCTCGGGTGGTCTGATTAGGCTTGCCAATCGATGCGTGGAGGTCAGACTCCAGAGAACAGCTCTGCCAACTACTGTTGATTCGTGAGTGATATGAATACCTTGTGCAAGGACATTGTAGCCAATAGCGTTGATTTCAGTGATATGGGCTTCTGCTGAAGACGATTTCCGAGACTCAGGGCGGATCTACGTGCGCGTTTTGGCCACTGGGACCTAGATGAGTTGCTCGATCAAGGCTCGTCCTACTCGTGGTTCGTGCAGCTCCAGGACCCGAAGACAGCGTGTCTCTCGAGGCGGAGAGGTCTTCAACATCGGCATCCTGATCGGTAGTATTATCGACGTCTGTCATAGACCGTGTCTCGCCACGTGGACCATCGTCGACAGCGTCCAGCTCCACTGCTGACCTGGTGCCCAAATCGGTTGATTCTACTTCCGGCATTTCTTTTAGACTCTGATCGGATTGAGTGCTGAGTCCACGCTCAACGGCAAGTCTTTGCGCGATCTCGCGCTTCTGCGCTATCTCCATTTCCTCAGCTTGGCGAACTTCTTCCTCTTCCTGCCTCAACTCCCGCATGGATGGAAATGGGACGACTTCTTCAATCGACGGAGATACTGCGTTAGGACTTGTGAAGTTCTGGCTCTTCCGCGATCGCGATCGTTTTGAAGGCGTACTGTGGTTGGAAGACGATTTGGATTTTGACGAGACAGTCCTTTGCGTTGACCTTCGAGACAGCCGTTTCGCCGAGTTCATGCCGCTGTTCTGCTGGTCCGGGCCCTCATTATTGGTATTACGACACGAGAGCATGACCGCAAACTCGTCATCTAATGGTACTGCGTCGCCCTCCTCGTCGCTAAGGATGAGATCGCCACGCGACGACAAAGAGTTGGTGGTTGATCGGGAATTCTGTGTCGCACTTCTCTGCCGCGTATGGCCCCGTGTCTCAGGTATAGTGCCATAGCCTTCCTCCTCTAGCAACGGCTGAGACTCAAAGTCTGACCTGTGCGCGCCGGGATGCTCTTGTAGATTGGCGGCTGAGGGTCTGTACTTCAGCACTCGAGACCCGATCTTGAAAGGTAGTCGTTCCAGAAAGCCAAGATAAGAGGAGCCGGGTATGATTGTGGGGTCTTCCTCAGCGTCGGAGGGCTGCATCGGCCCAGCTCGTCTGCGACTCTTGGAGCCATAGCTCATACCTCGCTGTCGTTTTGGCTGCTGGCCTCGACCGGCAAGCAGACTGTCTAGTTCGTCATTGCCCCAAGCCTGTCCGCCTACGACCGGGTCCTCTTCGTCATCCCAGTCATCGTAGAAATCGAAGTAGTTTTCTGCTTGTCCTCGCGAGCGCCGGCGACCACGCCTACGCCTTGCGCCGCCATCGCGACTCGGAAAACATGGCGCAGTGCAGTCGTCGATGCATGATCTAAACCCGGAGAGACAGGGATCGATGTACAGCTGGGTGAAACTGTAGATGTTCTCTTGCGCTGCCTGATTTGCGTTCTCGAAGTTGTGGGATAGGACGTTGAGCGTTTGTCGCAGTTCTGGGTTCATGGTGACGGCATTGATCAGTTTGGCCCACTAGGCTCGACTGTGTTGGGCCGATGTTGGGCGTGAGGCGACGGCTGACCTGTGGTGTATCTCAGCCATAGTTGGCGCAATTGTGAGTACCTGATGGGACGCAAATAGTAGAAGAAGGAAAGCGTGCTGATAAGTCGATGCGCATTGCCGGGAATCTGGGGATGGTCCCGGGCGATGTCGACCCCATTCAGCCCCGAGCAGATCACTCATATACTAATAATGTAAGCTGCCAAGACTGTCATCATTCTTATTTTGAGGTCTGACATATTACTTCCGTTCTTTTGCACAACTTAGCGCAATTGTGATGGTTCATTACATTCGCTTTTTGAGCACGCCCCAGGTCGCTGTCACGTCGAGGAAGTCGATCGCTATATCAGCGCCTCTGGCTGTAACAACCGACCTCGGTGACACGTACCTGCATCAAGATGTCAGTCTACTCGTTCGACTTATCGATGTCAAGGCTGCTGCGGTGATTGCTGAGCAGAGGGTCTTATGCAAAGGTAGCTCACGAGCGCTAAAGACCTCGCTGGAATGCAATGGCAAGTATCTTGGGCGGGCAGTATGTGTACATGTGACCACTTTGGAGACCCAGCGCAGCATACAGGCCAGAGAGATACCACAGATTCTGGATGTCTGGAGCCATGACTTCACGCTCACAGACAAGGAGCGATCGGAACCACTGGTAGTGCGGAAGGTGTCCCCAGGAACTGGACAGGTCTTGTGTATCTGGGAAGAGACTGGCGATTCTATTGCGCGTCATGTATGGGACGCCAGCCTGGGCTTTCTCATATATCTTCAGCAGGCTCTTGAGGAACGAATCAATCCTGGACCAAAGATGCTGAAGACTTTACTGTCTCGCAACAAACGGCTGCAGATTCTGGAGCTCGGGACTGGATGCGGAACAGTTGGCATTGCTTTCGCACAGCAGTTCAACTGCCATGTCACGCTCACAGACCTAGACGATGCCATGGACATTCTGGAGACTAATGTCAAGCAGGCGTCGCCAGCGACACAGACCAAGTTGACGAAGGCTACTCTGGACTGGGGAGAGGACGTCGAGGCTAGTCTGCAGCAATCCTACGATATCATCTTACTCTCGGACTGTATCTACAATCCGGACAGTAGCGTGGCTCTGGTCAGGACCCTTCTGGACATTGCCACATCTGCACCGCAAGCCTGATTGTGGTGGGCTTCAAGCGCCGACATACGGGCGACGATGTGTTCTTTGACCAGATGTCTCTGAATGGCTTCCGAGCTATAGAGACCCTCGATATCGACCTTCCACATATTCCGTCGGAAATAGACGCCTATGAGCCTGTCATTGAGTTTCACAGCTTCTTGGGCCCTCTACAAAAAGATGCAAGTTTCAGCAATGTGCCACAAGCGAATTTTGTAGATTGATCATTGTGCAGGTGAGCACTAGAGAAGCCCAGAGGATGTTTGTGGTCTGACCTGACTCACGGTGTATGACACACGCGGGATGAACGTCGGAAGGCGGGATTCGGATATTCAGGGCTTGGCAACTTTTTTGGTGGGCACATTTCGAAAATTTTGAGGGCAATGCCGCGACCTCCTTGAAATCATCACAACTTTGTGTACTTTGCCTTCTCAATAGAACCTCACTACTTTGCCACAACTCGCTCGGACTCGCGATCTTACGACTCCAATATTTCTACCCAAAATCACATCAAATTGCCTTTGGGGAGTTCTCCAGAGGCATAGTTCTATCTACCACGGCTTCAACCTCGTTCGCGCTTCGCCATCAAACTGCTTCTGCATCTAAGCACCGACACATTCTCAACACTCTACCACCTCCCATCGCGGACAAAGAATCTTAATCAACTCTTGGCGTTCGAGTTGCATCTTCAAGGCCTCCCCGTTCCGCAAACCTCTCAGCTGCCGCATAGCATTCAACAAGAGATTCTTCCTCTCGCCGGGGAAGGGTCGCAGAGGCAAGTCCCCAAACGTTGTGTTGGGGCAAATCTAAAACCTCCTTAACACTCGCCATATTCGTCAAAGCACTCTAATTCCGGAAACCAACCGCAAGGTTATGGCACCGTCCGCAATCTTAGAGTACCAAGAACTTACAACCAAATTTCACAAAGAAGTCAGTCTTCTTGACGATCATCATGGCGGAGACGAAATCATCACCAACGGACTTGCCTCCAAAGCTCTTGTTCAGAGTGTGCTGAAGGAGCACATCTCTGGAATCGACACCGATACCTGCGACCCCGGTGACGAGGATGCCTTCTACGTGGCGGATATGGGCGAGATCTATCGCCAACATCTGCGCTGGAAGCTGAACCTCGCACGAGTCAAGCCTTTTTATGGTAAGTCTACGACTTCCCTCTCTCAGCAGAACATATGCCAAGAACTCCATGTCCGGCAAGCAACCTCGCATTGAGCTGTAGGCTGACCACGTTACAGCTGTCAAGTGTAATCCCGACAAAGAGGTCCTGCGTCTACTGGCTAGCCTGGGGACTGGCTTCGACTGTGCGTCGAAGGCCGAGATCGATCTTGTTCTCAACCTCGGCATCGACCCCAATCGTATTATCTACGCGCAACCATGCAAGACCAAGTCGTACCTGCGACACGCAGCCAGAGTCGGTGTCAAGCAGATGACCTTTGACAACAGCGATGAGCTGCTCAAGATTAAGAACTGCTACCCGGACGCCGAGCTGGTCCTGCGCATCATGACAGACGACTCATCAAGCCTGTGCCGTCTGAGTGCAAAGTACGGCGCTAGTCTTGATGATGCAAAGGAGCTGCTCCAATTCGCTCATGAGCTGCAGCTCGATGTCGTCGGTGTCAGCTTCCATGTCGGCTCTGGAGCATCCGATCCGTCCTCCTTTCGCAAGTCAGTCAGAGACGCACGGGAGGTCTTCGATGAAGCGTGGAAGATGGGATTCAACTTGGAGTTGCTTGATGTCGGTGGAGGTTTCGTCGACGAGACTTTCGAGCTCTTCGCTGCTGCCTTGAACAGCGCTCTCGAGGACTACTTCCCTAACAATGAGATTCGCGTCATCGGAGAGCCTGGCCGCTACTACGCTTCAAACGCCTTCACTCTTGCGGCGAACGTCATTGCCAGACGCGAAGTCTTCGAACACGATATCGGCAAGCACTCGTACATGCTCTACCTAAACGACGGTGTGTACGGAAACTTCTCCAATATCATATTCGATCACCAACATCCAATTCCGAAGATTCTGCATGCTCAGTCCCCAGCGACTCAGCTTACGGAGTACTCGATCTGGGGACCGACGTGCGATGGCATCGATGTGATCACGGAGCGTCACGTTCTCGCAGGACTGCTGAATGTTGGTGACTGGCTGTTCTTCGAGAACATGGGAGCGTACACGAAATGCTCGGCAACTCGCTTCAATGGCTTCACTGATGATCATCGCGTCATCTACATCTCCAGCGAGCCAGGAGCATCCGCTCTGCTTGGCTACTAGCTGACGTTGGAGCGGCTGCACGGCAGAGGAACAACGGAGGCTCAGATCAGATGCGCGATCTGGTGTGATCAGGATTGCATGGGATGGACGTCTCTTAGCTAGTTATTCGCACACTCATTTGACAAAGTCTGGCATCGTTCAGATGCTCCGACCGAGCGACGTGAACTTAATCATATCAGGTGGCTACGTCGACCAGACACATGTCCTCTCCCTCGAGGTTCGCCAAAGGCCCCAATATACTGGAACGCAAGTTCTAAGGTACATTTCTTCATCTATCCGATTGCTCACATTCTAGGGTTACTGGTTTGTGCAGTCAGCCCAGTGAAGGTCTGTTAAAGTTGTCCACGCGCGTGGTCTATCCGAAATTCTATCTCGAAACACCTGCTCCTGAGATTGCCATCTCACACATCTGCCGCCTTAGGCTGAAAAGGACGTTCAATCTCATTGACGGAGGTCCTTCGCCATTTCTCCTGATTCGCTTCAATCCGCGACTCAAGTTCCTGCATTCGCTTGCTGAATTCCTTCTCCATATTCCATGTGAATGGACTCTTGCTTGCAAATAGAAAGTCGATCTGCTCCAACGTACGCCCTGCTGTCTCCGGAACCAGCATGTATGTTAGGGGGATATAGCTGATCATTGCGGCCCCGAAGACATAGAACGTTTTCTCTCCAATGTTGGCCAGCATGATTGGAATGAGTAGGCCACCTCCACCATAGCCGATAGCCCACCCAGCCACACCAAAAGCGTTTCCTTTTGCGCGAAGCCAGGTTGGAAAGACTTCCGTTGGGTAGATAAACGGTACCATTAGCCACGAGGCGCTGAAGACCAGGACATAGATGAACACGAGGACTGCTCCGCCAATGTTCAAGTTGAGTGCTTGCTGTGTTCCAGGATTGTTGAGTGCTGCTCGCTGGAGTCCGCCCATTAGGAACAGAATGACACAAAGAGTCGCAGACCCCCAGTAGATGGTCCAACGCCGCCCGATGCGGTCGACAAGTAGAGCATTTATACCTGTACCCAGGATTCCGACGGAGAGACTGAGTGGCGAAAGCCAGCCAGCTTTCACCTCGTCGAAGCCGGCGTTGCGGAACAATGTACCAGAGTAGATGACCATAGCTGCAATACCGGTGCCGAATTGCATCAGAACCTGTAGCCAGAAGACAAGTTGAATGCGCCTGCCGAGGTGAACGTCTCCAGAGCCAGTGCCAAAGAACATCTTGATGTAGTTAGAGCTGGAGGCCTCGTGTTCCATGCCGACAACCGCCAGGATCTCCTGCCATTCGCGCAGTGCGTCTGGGTGATCAGGTTCGTCGTTGCCTCGGAGCTTGACGATGATGTCGTATGCTTCTTCGTGTCTGCCAGCTTTGACAAGCCACCTAGGCGACTCCGGAATGACCATGGTGCCTAGGACCAGCAACACGATCGGGATGACCTGCGTGCAGAAAAGGAACCTCCAACGGAACTGGCCACCACCAATGTCATTGGCGAATGACAGCGCAAAACCGAGCCAGGACTCAAGCGCTATACATGAGAAGTTTGCCAAGCTATGACCATTAGTCAAAACAGTCTCGCTTGCAAAACGGACCGCTGAGCAACTTACAAGGTTAAGCAGATAACACGGCCGCGATGCGCAGCGGGAGACAGTTCGGCTGTCCAACTCGGTGCAATGACGATGATGAATGCGACGCCAATGCCAGAGACGACACGAGCACACAGAATGAAGGCCAGGTCGGTTGCTGCCGCTTGTAGGATGACTCCAAGAAGACACCAGAACGACGCCATCCATAATCCTTTGATGCCTATCGCAATGTTAGATGTGATCAACTGTCAGAGATAGAGAAAACGTACGACCGTAGCGATCCGCAAATTGACCAGCCCAGAACGCGCCAAAGAGAGATCCAGCATAGTAGATGGCGACAATACCGCCCTGCTTGGTCGGGTCGGTGACGTGACCTGTCTCGTCACCGAAACCCATGCGGTGCACGAACTCCGGGGACGCATTGACTGCACCAATCACTCCCTGGCTCATGCTTCGTAACCGATGGCGCATGCAGAAACAGCAGTAATCAGAGTCATAAGCTGTGGACCTGGAATGCGCTTCCAGAGCGGACTTCGTTGTTGTTTAGACATGGCTAGTTTGATTCGTTCACAGAGGGTGAGGATAATTCAATTGCGCTGCTGGGGGAAGTTGCCAGTGCGGCCGTGAGCGAGAAGCTGCGAATATATAACATGTTCTGTATCCGAGATAAGAGCTCTTCCGTGCACACTTCCTCCTCGACCCAGGACTCGACCGTGTGAAACGCCATCCCGTAAACCCCTCGTGTCGATTTGCCCGTAATGGCAAAGTCCAAAATGGAGTTAAATCTGGGGGTGTGGAACGACGACGGGGAAAAACTCATCCTCGTGTCCCATAACTCGCTCGTGGGGAAGGGTATAGCTGGGATGTGGAGTTGAGGCAAGGCAGGTAGAGGCTTCCACGTGAGCGGACGGCACACGCCCCAGACAACGCTAGAGACCACAGCCGGGGGCGTGGGGAATCTGGAGAGGATAAATGAAAGACACTTCCGTTCGTCTCGAATTTCTTCAAAGGGAGCAAGTTTAATCTGAAATCGAAATGAAGGGAAAAGACAAGCTTCAACGAAACCTACTGGGCACCATCCCCGCTAAAACTACACAGCCCGTTTAACCGAGGTCGGGATTTATGTTGTGGAGGCATCTACATCGCGCCAAATCCGAGTCACACTCGTTCCGGATTCGTCTCGAAGGAGCGCTCTGGGGAAAGCACGAACCTGGAGCACGGGCATGAACTTCGGATCGGTTCACATGTGGGATGGGTTCATTGAGATCCTCCGTGGGCTGGTCAGTCTAGACACGCCTCGATGAGGTCTGGCGAGCGGAACAGCTAACGGCCTCCTACAGTTTGATTTGTCGGAAACGCCATGTAAAATGTACGACTCATCTGCGCCTTGTGCTGGACTAACGAGCTAATGTCGCTTTTTCAGGCGATGAATCTCGACCACGATGTGGTTCATGTCAGCGACGAGGAGACACGTGCGAGTATGAGGATCCGATCCGCTTCAAGCAGCATATCGTCAAGCCCCGTCGCAAGCGCCGCAAGTCTCCGCCACAGCCGGCTCTCACGCGCAACAGCGACGAGGTGTACTCTTTTGGCACCGATGAAGGTCCGACGCCGAGTCTTCTGTCGCCCAGCAGGCATAGTCCTCTAGCGCCGACGATGGATTCGGGGGACACGGTCGTACTTTCCCCGCCTCAACAACAGCTCAGCCTGTATAGGTCGCAGACGAGGGTCTCGGCTGCGTTTTCACATAGTCCAGAAGTCTGGGCCACGACTCCCATGATCGATCACGAATATTCCTATTCCGAAGCAAAGTATCTTCACCACTTTGCTAGCGAACTCGGACGTTGGCTTGATTGCACTGATCCACAGAGGCAATTCACATTGAAGATACCTCAGCTGGTTCGTCATGAACGGATCCTCCTCCTCGCAGTCATTTGCTTTGCAGCACGACACATGAAAGATAATTCGAAAGCTGTGTTAGCTCACGAAGAGTCTGTAAAGCTCCTCATATCTCGTCTGAATGTAGCCAATGCGGCGAGCGACGATGCTTTGCTCTGTGCCATTGTTATCCTTCGCGTCTACGAGCAGCTTGACGGTGAGTTTCGAATCTCGTCTCTATGACGCAGACTAACAACCTGTGATAGTATCCGATGCTGAAGTTGATCATGAGAGACATCTGGCCGGATGTTCTGCGCTGCTACGGTCTTCACAAGGTCTCCAGGTGGATCCAGCGGTACCAACACTACGCCACGCGGCCTTCTGGGTTTACGTTCGTCAAGCGATGTATAATGCTTGTGTCTACCAACAACCTCCAGACGTCGATCCAGAGACCGATGTTCGTGTCGTAGAAGTTACACAGAATGCCATCAGCTTCACTCAGATACTGGAACAGCAAGCCTCCTGGACGAATTCACTTGTCTGGCTAACTATCAAGGTCATGCACTTTTGTTTTCGCCCAGGGAGACAAGACATCACTGTACGCTTGCCCGAATGGCAAGACCTTGGTGCCGATCTGGATCACTGGCAGCGCCAACGGCCCTCGTCGTTCGAACCGATCTGGGTCGGTCAAGCAGACTCACCAGCAAGCAGCCCTTTCCCCGTTGTGCTGTTGACGACAGACTGGCATGGTAAGACTATCTTCTTGCGTCTACCATACATTGATTGAGTAACACTGAACAGTAATGGCATATGTATTCTATCATTTGGCGCACATACTACTGATAGCATATCAACCGAAGGCAAGATTTGCAATAAGACGACATGGCTCACCGGATGACAATGAATCCCATGCTATTTTGCAGCACGCTTTGCTCATGTGTGGCGCATGCCAGAGCATGCCAGCAGTGGCACCGGCTCTGATCACATTGTGTCAGACCTGTTTCATTTGTACATCATAATCTTCCCTATATCAATGTCTATATACTAACAGTGCCGTGGCAGGGGGTCCTCTAATGACTGACCACGCTCAACAAGAAGCCCTCTTGCGCCTGCTGGAAAAGTTCGAGATGGAACATGCTTGGCCAACTCACTGGATCATCGATGCTTTGAAGCGCGAATGGCAGCACGGCGACGTGTTCAGTCCCCCTTAGTGAACGAGGCGACTGCGTATTTGCCATTGCGCACCCAGCCGCCGTTCGGACACTCAGCCTCAAGCTCTTTGAGCTGCTCTTCTGACTCGAGACCCACGCAAACATCGGCCTTATTGGTTCTCAGAGAGAGAATCCTCGGACCACCTTGCCGCACCAACGGACCCAGAGCGCGTTTGAAACTCGTCAAGTGCGGCCATAGTCCATCGTTGGTCAGCTTCCTGTAGTGGAGATCTCCCTTGAAAATTACAAGGTCTCGGCTCTTGAGATCGGCCACCAATTCCGGCGCGCGTTCATGCATCTCATGATAAGAACTGCCAGCCGTCCAGAACCAATGCGATGCGATTTCGATCTTGCCGTCCTCGAAGAGCCCTTCCAATCGAGAAGACAAAGCGTCCATGCATGCGCGGTTGGCGAAATATTGCGTGGACTTCAGAGCTTCCAGCAACCACTGGACATCAGACGTCATTGCGTCGCTGACGAACCATGGGAAGTCCTTTACGTGGAAGCGAATTCGTTTCGCGATGTTGAACTCCAACAGATATGCAGCAAACACCATATCTGTGAACAGCTCAAATCCGGAGTTGTCGAGGACTATATCAATCATTCGCTCGCCTGAAGTAAACTCGGCAGATGTCAGATATGCCCAGACTTGGGGCAAGTCATTGTCGACGATGTTGCGTTGCTGTTTCTGGATGGTTTCCCGGCCTTGCAACGATTGAAGGTCTTCGATCGAAAGATGAGTGAGCATTGATAGGTCCGTCGCATTGCCCCACAAAGCCACCTGGGCCATCTCGAGGAACAGTGCGGACTGCTGTTCCGGAGTCATTCGACTGTCTGCGAGCTCGGATACAGTGTCAATGTATCGTAGAGCGAGCTCCTGGACCGCCACCTGGGAGTTGATGAACGTGGACTTTTTCTGCCGCTCAAAGACATCGTAGGTCTTCCAACTACTGGATTCGAGGAAGATCGACCGGACTCGACTGTACATGTAGCATTCGGTGAACAGCCAGGGCGAGTCTAACCAGCTCCAGCTATTCGATTCCTCGATGCGGTCATTCACCCACTGAAAGTCTGGACTGGCTTGACTCGGCAACGTGGTCAGAGGCTTGTCGTCAATGATGTCCCTTTTCAGATCTGTCAGCCGTCTGGCGATTTTAGTGCCGTCCTCTGCGACGACCAAAGAGTGATCTTGGTCACGTATGGTGGATTCAACATCGTCTATCATGTCTTGTACGATGCGTGGCCATCGGATTCGGGCTGTCTCTGCTGCCATGGTGCCATGATCAGATGTTCTCACCTGACGGATCTCGGGGACAGCAATCATTGTGCGAGAAGGTCACCGTCGGTTTGTTGTTTGTCGCAGGAGTAGTAGGTTGTCGTTGGCATCAGAAGCGGAATGCTACGTCTTTCTACCTTTATGTTGGGCACCGAGCTCTGAGCCAATTACTCGAGAGCGGCTAAACGGGCCGAAATGTTCCGCAAAGGGTGCTTCGTCTCGATTACCGGATATAGTAATCATGGACGAGGCTCTTGGCATCCCCGGACTACGAGCATATAATAGATGTCTACGACGTCCAGATCTGGGGTATTTGAACACATACTCACTCACGACAGTCTTCTGCCAATTTCGCTCGAAGTACAAACACAAACATACATTCAGCATGACAATCACACAGACGAGCGTCATGAACGGTCATCACACCTCGAACGGCTATCACTTAGACGACAACGTGAAGGCTGTAAAGCCAGTTCAGTCCAAAGACAATGGCTTAGATCTCACCGTACTCGGCATGAACAGTGGAACTTGCTTAGACGGCATCGATTGCGCACTCGTCAGATACCGACAGGAGGCTCCAGACGCACCACTTCACATGGAATTGCTATACGTCAGTCATTCAGAGGACTCCATGCACCTTCACTAACATCTTGCCAGTATGACGAAATACCCGTGCCCGAGTGGATCAAGTCACCCATATTGAAGATGCTTCGCGAGACCAAGACAACACCTTCCCAGATGTCCCAAATCAATGTCCAGTTAGGCATGATGTTCGCGGAAGCTGTCGACACCTTCTGCGACAAACACGGTGTAGCGAAGAGCAGCATCGACCTCATTGGCTCTCACGGTCAAACCATATGGCTACTTTCCATGCCTCGAAAAGACGAAACAAGGTCCGCCTTGTGTATGGGAGAGGGCACAGTCATGGCATCACTCACCGGTATCACATCTGTGACCGACTTCCGGATGGCCGAACAAGCCGTCGGTCGTCAAGGAGCACCCCTAGTCGCCTTGATCGACGGCTTGCTCCTGCATCACCCTACAAAGTGGCGGATCTGTCAGAACATCGGAGGCATCGCCAACCTCTGCATCATCCCTCCAGATTCAGAGGGAGGCGTTGACGCGATGATTGATTGGGATTGTGGACCAGGTAACATGTTCATCGACAACGCCATGCGTTACTTCACCAATGGCAAACAAGAATACGATCGTGACGGTGAATGGGGTGCTCAAGGTACTGTCGACCAGTCAATTGTGGATTGCTTCCTCAACAGCAACTGGTACGTCAACCATGCTCCACCAAAGACAACTGGTCGTGAGACGTTCGGCGACAATGAAGGCCAGCAGCTGGTCACGCAGTGTTTGAACAAGGGACTCTCGAAGTACGACACCATCGCTACCATAACACGCATCACGGCCGAGAACATCATTTGGCAGTACAAGACCTTCTTCCGGGACTGGAAAAAGATTGACGAGGTCTTTATGTGTGGAGGTGGAGCTCGGAATCCTAACATCATCCGATATCTGCAACAGCAACTGCCAAATGTTCACATTCGAGCTCTAGATGAGACGGGTGTGCCTAGCGATGCCAAAGAAGCGATCAGTTTCGCCCAGCAGGCCGTCGAGGCTGTTTTGGGGCGGGCTGCATTGGTGCCTATCAACAGTGATAGTCTTACACCCAACACTATCAGCGGCAAGATCGCGCCAGGGTTGAAGTGGCGGTCTTTGATGAAGATGTGCTGCGACTTCGGTGCAGGACAGCCATTACCTACTGTCAAGAATATGGTGGTGGATAAGCCGTACACGAAGTGGATGTCGATGCCAGGTGTTTACACGGCGAAGTCATAGCGTTCGATACTTGTACAAACAATGAAGTATTTCCACAGAGTGCTCGCACCATTTTGTCACGTGTGTCTTTCTGCTAGCCAGGCACCGCTGCCAGTGCCAGCTGTGACCCCTGTTCACTCAGATCTGGGCACACGACCAGCGTGAGACCCGTCCCACCAATTGCGTCATAACCAACCTCAAACTCCATCTTCACGCAGCACGTTACCGCGTTACTTGTGATTTTCAAGATTCAAATCGCTGCTAAATCCTCGTTTGCAGGCAAGCGAGCAGCATCAGTTCCAGGCTTCGTGTAGCTTGGCGGCAGGTGAAACTGTCATCGTGATCGTGCTTGTCCAACGGCGGTGCAAGTCGTTCGTCCCTGCCGTATATAAATGCCCTGACCTGACCACCCCACCTTCTGTCTGTCGCCTACCATAAAATAACTTGAACTTGCACGTCTCACGCTTCACTTGTCTCGTACTTGACATACTCAAGCCTTTGACATATTCTGTGCTCGATCGAACCAAAGCAAATCCCAGTCCTTCTCGCAAGTAGATCCTCAAACCCAATAACCACTCTCACATTCCTACACCCAGAAAATGGACAAACTCAACGAAACCCTGGGCTCCTTCACCGGTAGCGGCTCCGGCAACCAAGAAGGCCAGCAGCAGCCGCAACAGACTGGCGAGCAGAAGTCCGAGGGCGGCTTCCTTGGTGGCATTGGCGACAAGCTGAACTCTGCGGCTGGTGGTGGCCGAGAGAGCGAGAAGAACGAGGACTACCTCGACAAAGGTGAGTGTGATTTGAGATACAAGCGCCCTTGATGGGGGTACATTGTTTGCTGTACTGCTCGTTCAGTGGTGGCCTCCTCGTCTCACGAATGTTGGCACTGACGATGAGATTGCAGGTGTCGACTTCGTCCAGGAGAAGTTCTTGGGGCAGGGAGCACAGGACAACGAGAGTGCTGTTGAGCAGGTATGGAATACCATGTCCGTCAAGTACTGTTTGATCGACGTGCTAACAAGATGTAGGCGAAGGACGAGCAGATCAGCGACTTCATTCGCAAGCAGTACAAGAGTACTACTGGCTCAGACGTTCCCATTGCGGATAAGGAGACGAAGCTGGGCTGAGGCGGGAACAATGACTGCCAACTTGTGACCTGGTGGTGTCAGTATCATCGAAGGAGTCGAATGTGATGCACGACACGGCAAATATGCTCCCAAACTTCAGGCACTCCTTGAGCTGTCGATGAGCTTCCATCAAGCAACGTCGGCACAGATATGGCCATAAGAGGCCCCCAAGCTACAACATTCGCAATTGGAACATACTGAAACATCCCACCGACGTCGTTGTTAGGGCGACGGGGCGACCTTTCTTTACATTGGTTATATATTTTGGTGACTGAACTTTCCTCCAGCAATCGCACAAAAAGCGATATGTTGTTCTTGAGGAAAAAACTCTCGGCGGCAGTATGGGGCACTTCTTCCCTGCCACCCTTCCCTCGGGGTGTGTGAGTACTGTTAGGACGGTTTCTAATGTACCCTTTCCGATCAAAGTTATCGCGAAACCTGGTGTTAGTTTTTGATTTTTGGGAAACAGGGCAAGTTCTCTGTTTATCTGAACAGTGCTGTAAGAGTGTGTCGTGGCGTTGATGGAGAGGCAAAGGAATGTTGAGCGAGATATCAGGTGACACTAAGGCGTGGACGCTCCATCAAAGCAACGCCTTCAAAACCTGCTGATTCTCATCCCGGTCCTCTAGCCCCATAAAGCGAACCACCTGACCCATATGATCGACGCCCCAGAACCCTTCCCGTTCTCCCTTCTCATTCTCACAATCGAACCATGGACACCCAAACACCCCCTCCCTCTCTGCCCTCTCCGTATTCTGCACCAACAGTGTCTTCGCCTCCTCTCCACTCCACTCCCTCTCCACATCCTCGTACACCTCCCTGGGCAACACCTCCCTCAGAACGGTTAAGAACCCGGCTTCGCCATCCGGCTGCCCAATATTGACATTCGAGATCTCCAAGCCCCAGAACTGGTGATACAGCGCCTCAAAGGCCGTGGGAAGGTGAGTTGGGTGGCGAGAAGCGATGTACGCGAGGGCGCGGTTGGGCTTGACGAGGTTGACGGGGAAGCCGGTGGGCATCGGGATGCACATGGGCACCGAGAAGATGCGGGACCAGCGGAGACGGTCTTTGGTGAGTAGGTATTTGTCTTTGTTCTGTGCGAATGAATGTCAGTGGGGACGATGAGAGTGGCTCCGTGGAAGAGAGGCTGTTTGATTGGTGTTGTCTGATGGGAAAGGTGTATACGAAAGACCGCTGCGGCGGCTTGTCGTAAGACTTGCCTTGACGAAGATGGGCGAGATGTTGCCCGTCGATTTCATCAGCCTGCCCAAGAAGATCGGCACCGCTGTGATGGTTACATCTTTGAAGGCTGGCGAATGGCGGAGGATGTCTGTACAGGGTCGTCAATCAGAAGATGGTCAGCGGATGAACATAGACCTGCAAAGTGTAGATATAACCAGCAGACGTATGAAGAGCCCTGTCGAGCCGGGACTGTGGACCCTGCCATAGGGTAAGACGGCAGCACAGGGAGGGCCCCGGTGAGTCGAAGGAGGACATACTGCCTGATATGGACAGATGCATGAAGCCCACTATCACGTCTTCGCTACCCAGTAAGGCTCCCCCCAGGTGTGCGCTTCTCCTGTTGTATTATCAGGAGGTCTGACTTACGGTAGCCAATGTACGCAAAAGGTGACACGAGGTCCAGATACACCGTGATCTTTCCAGGCATACTCGACTGGTCGGGGCGCCCGGCCGAGAAGATCGTTTACTTGGTGGCAGGCTCAATAGGTAGGTACGATGGTAACCAGACCTTGTCGCGCCAATTTGCGGACTATATACAGGAACTGCGTTCGGACTCACCAGGCTCTGTTGGCGAGAGCATGAGGTAGTGAAGACGCACAGCGCCGTCGTTGCCGATAGCTTGGCGGAACGTTGCGAGATGCCCGAGGTTCAGGTTGGAGAATTGATGCGTCGCGCACCCCTTCCCAATCGGGGTACGCCCTTGTCATCCTTCAGTCTCATTGCATCCTTACTCCTTCTGACCACCGACCAGAATCTTGGCATGCTGGATGATAGCCTGGTGAGTACTTGATAGGGCTAGCATCTGGAGTGGGAGTATAAGAAGCACACATTCCCTTCTGTGCCGGCTGTATGCTTCTTGGCCTCCTCTGATTCAAGGTCTTCTCTTCCTTTCCTTCTTCTACATACAGCACTTTGGCCCGACTTATCTTAGCAGAAAAACTCAGCTGGGTCCTGTGTCCTTTCAATAAGCCTGAGTGGTGACCCTCCCTGCGGAAATAAGAGTGGTCTCGCTGCTGGGTGTGAGTCGCTCACGGATCGCTGATAGCACCTCACCTTCCTGTCACTGCTATACGACGCTTCAGTCCCGGTGTAAGCAACCACCCGCCACCCATCATTAATCATCATGTCCGCATCACCTACCTTTGCGGAATGGAGGGCGAGCATGGTCTTGCCAGGCCTTCTTCTCTACCTGGCTGTGAAGTGTGAGTCCCGCCAAGCAAATGCACAAGTGACCATCGCTGACCGATCTGAAGCATTTGTTCTTGTCCTTGCTGAGACGGTAATCAAGCGGAATAGACCCCTGTCTGAGATCAAAGATGAGGCCTTCTCGCGATTCTGGCGTATTATCAATGGTATGCTCACACCGATGGAACCCTGCATGAGCAACAATTGATGCATCTTCTAGCGCCGCCACCACCAGGAACACCCCTAGCTGGGTCCATGACTCTTCCACCAGCCCTGCTCCCAGAAGCGAGCGGCGTCGTTCTCGAGCTCGGCCCCGGCTCCGGAGCGCAAGTCCAATACTTCGCAACGGCCACTAAGGCTACGACAATCTACGGCGCGGAGCCGTGCCTGCCCCTGCACGACGACCTCCGAGCCAATGCCGTCCGCCACGGCCTTCGTGACAAGTACCGTATCGTGACTGCTGGTGCTGAGAAGGAAACACTCATCCCTGGTCTAGCGAAAGCAGGTCTCCTCACCAACAAGTCCCCCAATAGCGGCATCTTCGACACAGTCGTATGCGTGCGAGTGCTGTGCAGCGTAAAGGACCTGCATGAAACGACGAGCGCGATCTACTCGCTGCTGAAGCCAGGCGGGAAGTTGATTGTTGTGGAGCACACAGTGAATCCGTGGAGGACGCCGACTGGAAGCTATGTCGGGCGGTTGATGCAGACTGTGTATGAGTCGTTGGGCTGGACGTTCTTTGTGGGCAATTGTCACATGACAAGGGACATCCGGAAAGGCATCATGGACGCTGCGGTTTCGGATGGAGGGTGGGTCAAGGTTGAGTTGAAGAACCACTTTAGTTGGGCGGCGCTGCCATACGTGGCCGGGACCGTGGTGAAGAGGTCGTGAGATACTGACTCCAGCGTCGAATGGCTGTGACTGTTCCAGAACTGAATGTTGAAGAACGAAGCGATATCCGAGGGAATGGAGCGAGAAAACGGTGCGACCGGGTAGGTGGTGTATTGTGTAAGCATGCAGGTGCAGCACGAAAGGCATCGGTCATGACAAGACTCAACATTTGGGTCGCTCCTTCCGCTTATGATCCTGAGGTGCGGTGACTGCAACATCGTGCTCTAGAAGTGGACAATCAGAGAAAGTGTCACGCAAGAATTGTGCAACCTGCCATTTTCCGTCGGAAAGGCCTCCATTGCTTAGATCGCTATGCAAAGTCCGCTGATATGCTATGCTGGTGATCACTTGCGTGCTAAAATCAAAAACCTTTCGTCCCTTACTCGTGTCTCGTAGGAAATCTCATTTCATGCATCTCAAGCTCCCTTGGTAGGACTACCAGTGCCCTCGCTCTCGCCATCAAGATCTTCCTCTTCGATCATCGGCGTCCCTCTGGCTCTCTCGTTGCGTCTCTTCGGCCGCCTCCTTCGACTGCTGGAGATATTACTCGCGCTATCATCTGGCGCCAGCTCGCTGATCCCGTCCCAATCGCCTAGTCCATCATCGTTCTCCGTCTCCCACTGTCTGAGCCCCTCCAGACCGCTGAGCCCAGCAGCAATGCCACTGTGAGGTGTGTCCATACGTACCTCGATTCCGCCGCCGCCGTCTAGGCCACGCCGTCGCTGTTGAGCTGTAGCTAAGCCTGCGGCTCGCTCGCGCAAAGTGAGGCGGATGGCTTCTGCCTTGAGATGTAGCTGCTCGAAAGCGTCTTCGAGGACTTCCATGCCCATGTAGATGTCTCGCTCGATCTCGGCAAGTGTTGTGATTTCCGTCTCCTCATCTAGCGCGATCGGGGCGCCATGAGCAGCTGTATTTGCGGGCGTGTCGTTCCGGTATGGTTGCGCACCGTTCGAGCTGCCACGGACATGACCATTCGCACTCGCACGTCCATTTTGACCGCGAGCAGGCGGTGGCCACTTTGTCTCTTCGATCGTGTCTTCTGCACCTGAGCGGAGGAAGCCATCAAATCGACCTGAGGTAAGGATCTCCCATTCGTCGTTAGATACTGCCGCGAGTGTGGCAAGGGTATTGTGGAGATTCGCATTGTTGACCATGAAGATGGCGGTCTCAGGATCCCGTGGAGGCTGGCTCAATCTATATAGCCGTTTTATGGCGACACCAGCCAGCACAACATCTTGTGGTGTCTCACGTGGAGCTATCGATGGAGTCAATGGCGGTGGTACACCCTTCTCGGGCGAAGGTGCTCTTCGAGGAGGATCAAGTGGGCGGTCGACGATGTGTAGTATCTTCTTGAAAAGTTGTCTTTGGTCCGCTGCCAGATGTGTTAGCATTGCAAATGTCAGGGTCTCGTCGTCAACATCTTCGGGCGGGCTTGTCGTGCTGTCGCCTTGCCTGTTCAACCACTTATCGACCGACAGCTTTGTCTTTCGTGATTGCCGAATGTAGTGCTCACGGTACTCTTCTGGCACATCGATGTCGAGCTTCTGCATCGGGGTATGAATCTCTCCCGAAATGCCTAGCCCAACCGAAGAAGCCTCAAGAGCGAATGGGGGCCAGCTGGGCAACTCTTGTCGACCTGCCACCAGTTCAAGGATCTCCCCCCAACTGACACCGCGGACGTCTTCGCCTTTCGAGTTGTCCGCATCGCACATGCAGCATTGGCAGAACTCGTTTGAAATATCGCGTGCGAATACGGATTCTAAGCGGTCGAGCAGTCGGCGTGCGACAGACCGGTAGCCTGTTGCCACAGCGATGGAGCCGTTCTTGGCCACCACTCTTTGGAAATCATCGAGTAGCTGATGGTAGGGTTCGAACAGATTTGCGACAACGACTGGCTGCTGACTTGGCGTCATTGCCTGCTGTACAGCCATAGGCTTTCCAGCTAACAAAAGATTGCGAGGCACAGCATAGTGCAGTCCACCATTCTGGAGTAGATAGTCGACTCTTGGTATTGAAAACACTGGAGGTGGAGGTGGTGGCGGAGGCGCAATGGAAGCTGGCGAAGGATAAATGCTGGCAGGTGTGTTGCTCTGCGACGGACGCTCGCTGTTGAGTACCGTTGTTGGCTTCGGAGTAGGACGCGCACCAGGTATCCTCGAGCCAGGCCGCTGGACGTTTGGTTGAACGGGGGCAATGGATGTGCCATCCGAGCTGCTGTTGCCGAAGTCCTCTCGTTCTCGTTCTCGTTCCCGTTCCACATCTGGAGTCTGCTTTCTCATCGGCTGGCTGACAGATCGTTGCGGTCCAACGTTGGCATCTCGTGGCTTCAGTGGAGATGCGGTGGTTTCCCTGGTCTTGACGGGCGAGCCTTTCGAGCCCAAGTCGGACGAACTGCGCGTATGTCCATTTGTGCGAGCAGCTTTTGGCTGTAGTCGTATCCGAATCTTGCTATCTCTATCGCTGGACGACAGCCGGTCTTCCTCCGTGATTGTCTCGACGGTGACAGGTCTTGATTTGGGCGTCCTTCGACCGAGATTCTGCTCCGTGAGCGGCGGACTAGGTGGCGCTCCTTGTGCATCGGCCGTTCTCGCAGTGCTCAATTTCTCCTTTGAGGCATTGACATCGGTAGCAGGTGGAGTGAATATGTTCAGCTGCGCCGCCCGTGGCCCAACGGCTTCTTTGCTGTGCTGCTTCGAGAAGGTAGGATACGGGAGGCTAGACTTGGACTCGCTCTTTTCTAGCAGATTTTCGTCCTCCTCCGAGATGATGCCGGGCATTGACGCACGTCTAGGGGAGCTGTCCGAGTTGAGCGACGTTCGTGATGTTGACTTCTCTTTCGAGGATGGCTTGCGTGAGGAGTGTGACTTGTGTCGCCGTTTCCGCTCCTTGTCCTCTGTTGAAGACTCCTTGCGCTCTCGGTGCCGCTCAGGGCTCCTGTCACGAAGCTTCGAAGGCATGTTGAACGCTGTACATCATGCGAAGACCAGTCGAGGCCAGTGGGCGCTTAGACTGCGGGTACGATTGAGTGGGACGAGACCCGGGAATCTGCTGCGGTCTGCCGCCGGCGCTACTGTGCCATCGCGATGATGTGTCACAGCTTATGATGTCGCAGGGACTCCGCTGTGAACGTTCAGTGTTGATCAGTAGGTTTACAAGGTTCAAGGACGGAGAAATTCGTGCAGCAGTGTTAATGAATTGTTCAAGACTTGGAATACATGAGAGGTTGGCAGCGGTCATTTGCCTTGTCGCCCCGCCCCGCCACTCAAATTCCATGTCTATTCCTAGCGCGCTATCTCATGCACTTAACCACACTTCCACGACCACTGAGACCACGCCACATAGATATTCTGTGGGCGAAAGTGACTGTGGCTTTCATTCAAGATGCAAGACATAAGTGCTATAGACTGTGCTGGCATCGCACAGATTGAGGTACCTTTCAGAGAGTGTCGATACTACTCAGGTTTGCGCATTGACCATCATTGGATTGACACAGGTAGTTACCATCAAAATCTGCCTACGAGTCGGGCTTTGGCAAGGGTCACCTGCATCAAGCAATACCGCCTGACAGCTCTTTCCGATCCGATGGCAGGAGACGGAAGCGCAGCAATTCGAATGGCCTCATTGGACGTAACAGCGGCCGAATGAGGGTATTCCAGCCCTCACGACGTCTTAGTAACCAAGCAATAGTCTCTGAGTGCAGGAGACACTACCACGCTCATCGGAAATGTCAAAGCTGGCGAAGGCCCAATGCTATCAGACGTTAGAACGTTACACTCTCACGAAGATGATCTTGCGTACCTTGTCCGGTTGAGCCATGGTCCCAGGCTTTGTGCCGCCCATGGGGTATATAGGACGGGCTCTGTGACAACGCCACGCGCGCCAGCGCCTCCTTCGCAACCTCACCAGCTAAATGATGTCTAGTTTGACTTTCATATTGAAGCAGCAATGACGGCATGTGCACCACATCTTCTGCACAGTATTTCTGTATGACGGCTGAAAGAGGACGGGTCAGAAAGACGTCGTATGTTCCACCTTTCTCAGGGGCGAAAAGGCGGACCCCGGCGGCTTTGGCTTGCTCCAAAGCCGTAGCCTCTTGCCCGGACAGTATATGATTCTCAGAGATGCACTTGGAAAGCCCATGCAGCAAACGAGGAAGGTTAGGACCAGGCATGACGAAGCAGACCATAATGCTTAATTCTATTCACAGATGTCCAAACTCCTCGCTAAGCCCGGATAATAGTCCAACTATCGACCATTACCATACAAAGATCAAGAATGTCCCTGCAACCAAGGCCAGGAGCAGCGATGAGGCAGGCCTCATCACCGTTACCGCGCCACTGCTGAAGTCACGCTGAGTTGTATCACAGCACGAGTCCCTGTCGTAGCTAACCCCGTTCGCGTTTGCTGCCACCTGGAAGATCGAGCCGTTGAAGCTGCCGATGTTGTAGTAGTCGACAAGTAGGTAATTGGGCGGACGATTCCAGTCCGACGTGCAATTCGCCACTGCCCAACCGGCACTTCCCTCGCCTTCTAGGCCGTTGGTGACATTGAGCGCATTACTCGCCGGGATAAGCAAGCTCGCCCCAGCAATAGCAACCTCCAGATTCAAGTTATGATTGGCCATGTATAGACGCTCGCGGCTCATATCTTCCGGCTGGTCTGGTGGGCGCTCAACTGTGCAGGGGAACGAGGGCTCGGTCGGCGAGAAGGGTGTCTCCCACACATAGCTAAACTCGTCCAGCAGCCAAGGAATCTCGTTCTGATCGGCCTCGTAGTCGAGCATCATGACAAGTCTCTGAGATTGCAAAAGCATGGATCCTATCGTAGGCCAATCCGCGATGGACATCGGCACTTTGGGAGGCGTATATACATATTGTAGCAAACCAGAATTTCGTACCGGCTCGACGAAGCGATCAGGAGGCAGAACGTCGTAGTTGCCCATTAGGATGGTGACAACGTCGTAGGGGTTCCGCTGCATCCATTCTGCGACAGTCTGCAGGTAGGTCTCCAGCGGTCCAGCGTTGAGGAGTTCACAGCTTGTGTGGCATAGCCATAGGGTGCCATTCTGGTCGTGGACTTGGAACTGAAGCATGCGAACGCCGTCATTCAGCTGTGACAAAACCGGTAATTCCTGGTTGCTGGCGATGTTGCCTGGACGGTTGAAGGGGCTGTTGTGTGCGCAGACATGGGTGATGTTGCTATACGACCGCGTACAGAACTCTGGGTAGCCATTGCAAGGTACAGTGTTTGTTGGTCGTGCTGAAGACGTTGTCGCTGTCGCGATAGACGAGGACGAGTTGCCGGAGGAAGCTGCAGTCCCACCAACCAAGAGGGTTTGTGTTGCTGACGTTGAATTTCTGCCAGTGGACGTTCCCGTTGCATTCGCCAAAACACTCGATAGATCTGTGGGTCGAGAATATGAAGTGCCTGTACTTGTGAATGTAATAGTCTCTCCATTGCTTGCGTATGTTATGCGTGAAGTAACCGCGACATAGTTCCCACCATTCAAAGTTACTGATGCGGTGTTCGATCCTGTCAACGTCGTTGCAATTCCCGTTCCTAGATCAGTTTCACTACTGCTTCCGCTTTGTGCTACTGCTCTCGAAGAATACAGCAAACAGATTGCTGCCGCCTGGATTAGCATGACCGGCGATATGATGCTGTCGAGGCAGGATAGTACGAAGAAAGGAGTGTTCAGGCCTGTCGAACAATAGTCTGTATACGCACGACACGATCCGCGTACGGCCGATCAAAGAAATTTTGTACGATGACTTCACCTGTCAATACAGCCACAAAGCCAATTTTCCTGAGACCGTTAACACGGGCCATTGATCTTCTACCACGCGGCAGATATCGATGGCCTATGAGCAGTTCATCATCGAAGGTGCGTGGCGGCATGACTCCGCCTCAGTCTGCGACAATGAATTTGAGACCAATTGCCAGTGTCCTTCCTGGCATATCCTCGTCGTGTGTATGGCAACAAGTCTTAGACAAGGAGGCTCAAGGCCGGAGGTCTCCATAAAGTGCTCGGCAAGCCACTTCCGGCGGCTCTGCATTGGCTCGGCTGACGTCAATATGGAACTGTCGGAATTTTGGCCGTCTCGTCGCGCGTTCAACCACGAGTTTACCTTCCTCCATACTCCTCTCTCATCGTGCCGGTGTGTCCGATTGGCAGCCCAACAAACCCAAGGCTCAATTCTCTGTACCAGAATCGCGGAAGTCAACTGCGGCATGCCCCAGATGTGCATCCTAGCCACTAGTGCTCAGAAGTCAAATCGATAGCATGACGCAGACAGGTGAGTCGTTGCTTGCGTATGTAGAATTTTGCTTCGAACACACCTTCTCTTCAAGTGATTGATCTCGCCCTTGTCAAACCCCAGACGATGCTACGCCCTTGAACTACTCGTGCACCGCAGAGCGACGCAGTACCGCCAGTCTGCCGCAATGGGTATCTTCAGCAGGCGCTCAAAGGCGCCAGCCGACAAGGAAAAGGCTGGTGACCCTCTCGCCAATTATGTCAAACCGAAACCAACTGGACTGCGCTTGTTGGTGGCAGTGATGTACATCATCTCGCTGGTGTTTCTCATCCTCGTCGAGATCGGTAACATCAACAATATGCCGGTCATCAGAAGTACCTACTTCCTCAAAATTGACCTGGCCAATGTCATCCCAAATACGGTACCGAACGCAATATTTATCAACTCGATCGCGCGAAGTATTGGATTGCACGACTTCTATCAAGTCGGTCTGTGGAACTTCTGCGAGGGGTATAACGGGGAGGGCATTACCGATTGCTCCAATACGCAGACGTTGTACTGGTTCAATCCTGTCGAAATAATCCTCAACCAACTCCTGGCTGGCGCCTCGATCTCGCTCCCTACAGATGTGACCAATATCTTGGACATTGTCCAGATAGCCAGCAATTGGATGTGGGCTTGCTTCCTGGTCGGCGCGTGTCTGACGTTTCTCTGCATCTTCATTTGCCCGATGGGTTTCTCGAAGAAGCCAAGATGGCAGCACAAGGCTAAGCGGATCTTCCTTCGACAATTGCCGATCACGTTACTCGCATTTCTGGCTGCGCTGTTCACAACGGTCGCGACTGTCGTTGCGACGGTCATGTTCATTATCTTCCGTAACACCTTTGCTGGAGCCGCGGACCTCAATATCGAAGCTCATATTGGGTCTGAGATGTTTGCATTCATGTGGATTGCGACGGGGTTCAACTTGATCGGGCTCATCATTCAGCTCGGGACGTGCTGCGGAGTGTGCTGCTGTACAGGGCGAAGAAAGGCGGAGCGAATCAGTCGGACTGCGGTCAGTAATCACGAAGCGCACAATCAGACAGCGACGACTGCTTCATCGGACGAGGAGACTGTGGTCGCTGCCAACTCGGCAAACAGGCGGCGCTGGGGCTTTGGGAAGAAGTAAGGTACAGCAGCGGATTTTTTTGGCTGAAGGATAGATCTGTCACGTACCGCCGCGAATCAGGCATCTTAAGGGCGTTGATATAGCAATTTCGAAGTCCATGAAAGGTAGATGCGCTGCATAAGTTACAGTGTCCTCTTCGTTCGAATCCACATGAATATGCACATCACGTGTACAGCTGTGCCAATCAAAATAGCATGATCAACAACTGCACCTTCAGAAGCCATCCTCGCGATCACCAGAGCCGCAGTACTGACCCCGCGTATCTCCAGGCATCAAGGATTCCCTCGCCCGTAACACCAACAGTCTGCCGGCCGTATCTCGTGGTTCGCTCCGAATAGAGCCTAGCTTCAACGCCTCCAGACGCAGTCAGAGCTGTCATTGGCCGTGTCATGCGAATCCGACTCTGCAAGGCTGACTTCTGGTTCGCGAATGTTGACTGCAGGGGACGACAGGGTAGCATATCGTCATGGCTACAGAACGTTCGTGGCGGTGGGATATATGAACCTCAGACGTTCCATGTTGTGGGATCGAGATTTGCTCTACATCAGACTATTAGCTAACAGCGACCAAAGCATTCCAATTCCAAGCGGCACGCTTATACTACTCTAGCCACTCACCACCAACAAGATTCTGTGACATACGCAAGGCCCCCGTAGAGAGCTCACAAACGACCACACGCACAATGTGTCGCAGCCGTCGAGCGCAGCGCACCTCTCTCCTCGCCATGGCTGGCGCGGCTGCCATCACTGCTATGGAAGAGCATAAGCGCAGCAAACAAGCTGGAGTTCCAGGCAGGCTCACTCCACTATCATCGCAACAACAATACCCGGAGCAAATCATCCCAGCTGCATACAGCAGGCCCAGAGACAAAGACGCCATCTCGGCAGCGGCCCCTCAGTCAGCACCAGGATATTACGACCTGGACGGCATGGTCCGCGAGCTGTCCTTGCAAGACACAAAGAATCTTACCGACCTCCAATGGGAAATTAAGCCTGACACCGATCGGGATGAGCCTCCAGCATACACCCCAAACCCAAACGCTGTCATGGCCACAGGAGCCGACAACGCAGCCAACTCGACAAAAGAACTCCGTGCGCACCTCCTCAAATCCCACCCTCTCCTCCAACGCTACTCCACCCACCCCAGCATCTCTCCCACCATCGACTGCTTTGTCGAGTCAACGATCGTCTTGCACGATGCCCAACAAGCCGCCCGAGCCGCTGGCCGTGGCTGCTGTGGATTGGGTCCGCAGAGACGTCTGGCGAAGCTTCACCGCACGGCTTTGGTTAGGGAGATCATGGCGCTGGAGAGTACGAGATTGGGCGGGAACGGAAGGAACACATGTGGGATGAGGGGACGAGACAAGAGACTGGCCAAGAATGAGTGGAGGGAGGGCAAGTGGGGTTTGAGGGGGGCGTTGGCTGCTTGGGTGGGGCAGGAGCGGTTGATGAAGTGAGAGGTGCTGTGTTGACCAGAGACTCCGGGGATGCAGTTGGATGGCGTACTGGAGATGACAGCTCGTTCGAACCCTGCTGTGCCTACGTTTGCTCGAATACCGCGTACTTGTCTGCTTCAATATTCGTTCCCTCTGCTCTGTTTGCGGAACGACTTCGTCGAGTGCTTTGAAGATGCTGAAAGGGCAGAGGCCATCAGCTGGGTAGCTACCTTCTTGTGGTATGGATGCTGCCGCCTTGCCCTGTTCGGTTGGGGACCAGCGGTGAGGTGCAAGTTACTATGAAGTGATGCCAGGTCATGCCATGGGTTCGTTGGAACGCAATCGGCTTAGTCACAACGACTGGTAATGTCGAGAGGAGTGCGTTGACTCGCAGTTGGCCTAGTCTCCTCTTGTTCATGACATCTTTCATCACAGGCGCGTTGCCAGGGAAGAGACAACCTGTGCAGACGTGTCTGACTGATGTCGACCGGTAGCATGTTGTGAATAGGGTCAAGCCGTGATGGGAGCACTGCGAGCCACGACGCGATTGCCGGTTTGCGCCTACCTTAAGTCCGATATCGTAAATTCGACCTCGTGTTGAGCTTGCCAGTATTTGACTTGATGATCTCTGCTAGAGTCCATGCATAGAACATCTATCCATCTGATGTGAGAGGTATGCTCGAGGGCTTCGATGCAGGAGAACGAAAACGAGCATGCTCACTTGATGCCAAAGGATAGCGTCGACGTGAGGTTCACATGGGATTGCGCACCGTAGAATGTTGTTGCCTAAATGCACTCGAAACGAACACGTACCGGCGTGGGCGCTGGATCGCTGGGCGCTTCAACCGTACCAAACCTGGGAAGATGTCCATGTGGCTCTGAATCGAGTACACTATCTGCGTAAGACCAGCAGTGCCGTTTCTGGTACGATGTGGTGGCGTTCTTCTTTGCTCACATCGGTGGACTTTGACGCAGGCTGCTGCAATTCTCTAAGTCGAATAGTGTGTCATTGAGCAGATATTGTCTACCCCTGGCTGAACGCAATTCCTGCAGTGGACAAAGTCTTCTGTGTGGTGTCGGACACCAAACGAAAGGAGTAATTGTCCTTTTCTGTCTGAAAATCGGTTGCCGGAATTACAACCAGCCGAGTGGATCGGGGCGATCTCGCCTATCCAAAGCCTCTATCACACCCCCTGCGCCGGGCATTCTATCCAGGACCTGGAATTTCCGAGATCTCCCATAGCGCACGTGGCAGCATGTGCGTGTAATCGATAGAAAATCGTTGTAGAGACCATTGCCTTGACAGTCGCGACCAGCATGGGTGCCGTCGACGCAATCTCACAGTGTGATGTGGTTCTCATAATGGATAGCCAAGGCGATCCAAGGATACAGTCAATGCAGTGGCTCCCGCCGGGGTGGATCTATGGATCGTGAAGTCGGGAGAATCGAAAGCAGTACGAGTGATTGGGCCCTTGTGGGTGCAGTAAACCTAGTCTCGGTCCTTGAGCATTCTCTGAGGGCCCGAGTTACTCGACTCAATACGCTATGGCAGCATTTTCGTCCGTGTCCGTGAACATCAGGACAACAATCCATCTTGTTTGCTTTACTCTCGTAATCGGGTGAAGGAGGTGGTAAATTTCTGTACTATTAGACAAGCCAGTCTGCTCCAACGGCTTCAAATACTTCTCTCGCCAGGCTCTTTCATTAATCTTTCACGGCCCTACATATTTGACCTTTGTCATCTAGACGACATTGACGTCGAGCGTTGAACCCTAAAGCTTCGCAAGAACGAGCAAGCAGGGTAGAGTGAATAAAGTACCCGCGCCCTCGCTGTACCCCGGATCTTGTCAGCACCTTACACTCGCGGCTCACAAGTCATCCTCGTATCTGTGTGACCAGATCTTAGGCGTCCATTGCCGCAGACATGGACCCAAGCGAGGCACATCTCAAGTCTGGCGCAACGACAGTCGCACCCAGCGAGAATCACTCACAGACCAATCTCGACAAACAAGATCAGCCTCCATCCGACCACCACTCCCTCTCTGCCACATCCGACTCCGAGAATGAGAAGAAAGCACAGCCTGCGGTAGCAGTCGATCCTGCCCGAGCCAGCTCAGACCATGCAGACCCCGAAAAGAACGAAGACACAACGCCAGATGGGGAGGAGGATGACATTGAATATCCTACGGGACTTAAGTTCGCGGTCATCACACTTGCCTTGTGTTTAGCTGTCTTCCTAGTGGCGCTGGACAACACGATCATCGCGACTGCCATACCTAAGATCACCGACCGCTTCAATGCATTGGGTGATATCGGCTGGTATGGCTCGGCCTACCTATTGACGACATGTGCCCTTCAACTCTTCTTTGGCAGACTCTACACCTTTTACTCAATCAAGACGGTCTACATCGTCTCCATCGTCATCTTTGAGATCGGCTCAGCACTGTGTGGTGCAGCACCCAACAGTCCGGCTTTGATCGTAGGTCGAGCCATCGCTGGAGTTGGCTCAGCAGGCATCTTCAGCGGCTCGCTTGTCATCATCGCTTACACTGTTCCGTTGGAGAAACGCCCGATCTATACAGGAATAGTCGGCGCGATGTACGGCATTGCTTCGGTTGCAGGTCCTCTCCTGGGCGGTGTCTTCACTGACCACGTTTCCTGGCGGTGGTGCTTCTACATCAACCTGCCGCTTGGCGCAGTGACCTTGGCCGTGATCTGGTTCTTCTTCCACTCACCACAGCGTAAGAACGAAGCGAGCGTTCCCTTCTGGCCAACCCGTGCTCGACAGCTGGATCTGCCAGGTACTACCGTCTTCATCATTGATATCGTGGTCTGTCTGCTCGCGCTGCAATGGGGCGGCAGCAAGTATCCATGGTCGAACTGGCGGATCATCCTATGTCTGGTTCTATTCGGCCTGTTGACTCTCGTCTGGCTTTACATCCAATATTACATGAAGGATAACGCTACAGTTCCTTGGCGCATTGTGTCCCAGCGCTCCGTGGCTTCGGCTACGTGGTTTGCTTTCTGCTTGGGAGGATCATTCTTCATTCTTGTCTACTGGGTACGTACCGCTCACTTACTACCAAGCCCTCACACTAACGGTCCGTTCAGCTCCCAATCTGGTTCCAAGCTATCAAAGGCGTCTCCGCTTTCAAGAGCGGTATAATGTGCTTACCCATGATCCTCGCCCTTGTCATCGCCAACGTAATCTCGGGCGTCGGCACCACCGTCGTCGGCTACTACGCACCCTTCATCTACGTCTCGACTATCTTGATGTCCATCGGCGCCGGCATCATCACCACATGGGAGACCAATACTGGCCACGCCGAATGGATTGGCTACCAGGTTCTCTACGGTCTGGGAGTTGGCTTCGGCATGCAGCAAGCCTGATCACAGTACAGACAGTCCTGCCGTTGCGCGATATCCCCACGGGCACGGCGCTGGTCATGTTCTCGCAGACTTTTGGCGGAGCGCTGTTCGTGTCGGTCGCGCAGAATGTGTTCAATAACCAGCTGATCAAGGAGATTGTCGTTGAAGCCAAGGGTGTGAATCCGGACATCATCTTGCATGTGGGCGCGACGAGTTTGGCGAATGCCATTCCGCAGGATCAGCTGGCGGGCGTACAGGTCGCATACAATACCGCGTTGACGCAAACATGGTATGCCGCGGTAGCGCTGGCAGCGATAAGCGTCTTTGCATGGGGCATTGAGTGGAAGAGTGTGAAGGGCATGAAGCCTGGGGCTGGTGGGATGGCTTGAGAGATTCGAACTGAAGATACGATGTATTTGTACTGCATGTCACGGCCTGGGCGGACCTTGGATTGGAGATTCGGACAGCTTACAGTTGGCTCGCATGGATGTGAGCGTTTGATTTGGTTGTTTGTGAGCATAGATGGCGTTGCATCGGAGACGAGGTCACTGATCCGTCGCAGAGATTTAGATACCCAAGTTTAGGTCCACTCATCAAGGAGACATTTCGACAAGTATTGCTTTGGTCTTTCTCACTGTTAAGTGCGGCTTCGGCTTCCAATTCGTGCTCTTCGGGCGGGACCTAAGGGTGGCTGCTGTCGAAGTCGTGAGCACCCAGCGAGCATGGCTGAAGCACTGTCTTTCCAGGCAGCAGTCATGCCGAGACAGCTTTTTCAACATCGTCCTCTGCCTCTTCGGCTACGCCGTTCGGTTTGTCGGAAGTGGACCAAACACTCTCACTCATCTTCGGCTACCTCAACTTTGCCTCCTCAGAGTCCTGCGCCACCATAGTTGTCTCACTAGGATTGATCGCCTCCTCGTCCGCTCCATTCTTCGCCGCGCCAGTGCTCTTGCCCTCCGCTTGTCGTTCAGCGGCGCCTGCTCTTCCTTTTGCGTACAAGTTCGTACCTAGGCAAGGCGAGTAGAACATCTCCATCGTGAAGGAGCGGTAGATCGTTCCAGCAGCCACGACTAGCCACATGACGATGCAGATCGCGGTGAGAATACAGGTGAGTATCTTCATGAACTTGGACTCAAGGGACGTGCCGAGGGCGCCGGTTAGAAGGGTGAAGACGCCTGTCGCGGTCAATACATGCGCGTAACAGTATTCCTCAGGATGGACTGGACGTACCAACAGGGAAAATGAATCCCCACCAACCCATGTTGAATGGAAACCCTCCTGAGACCGCAAGCATCATGACTGCAATGACGAACCATACCAAAGCAAAACCCCAGAACAGAAGGCCTAGCAAGATACTGACTGATGTGATGATGCTTCCAGCTTCGGGCGAAGAGTGCGGAAAGGCGTGGACTTCAAGGAAGAGTTCCTGGGCCACTTTGCTGAGTGTGATGAGGCTGAACCCTTCCAGGCCCAGAGGACCGATTGGAAGCAGAAGAGACACGATGACCTCCCTCTTCAGCGGCGTGTAGGTTGCCAGTCGGAGGAAATAGAGCGTCAGGATGATCCAAGACAGTGGCGAGCCCAGACCCCAGAGGATGTAGCTTATGTAGAGCGTCCAGAGTTTGTTCTCACGGCCTGGGATCGCTGTCGCGACTAGAGAGCCCGAGGTGGCTACGATAACGACGGCGACGATGGGTATTAGATAGAGGGCGCTCATTTCGCCGAGATCGTGTCTTCGGTGCGTCATTCTGTTGACATCGCGTTAGTATGGTATCGTTGAGAAGAGCTGCTCGTGGGGAGGACTTCGGAAGACATACATGGTGAAGGTTAGGTGGAAGCACGTTCCGAGAGCCAGCACCAGGACAATCCACCACAATACCCATGCGAAGACCGCCCATCCTTGGCCCCAGGCTGGTGCGCAGACCAGGGCGATCATGTTGATGATTGTTGCGAGTCCGACAGGGAAGCAAGCAAGGAATAGACTCTGATGAGGATGTCGAACCACGCGGTGCCAGATATGTGGGTACCAGATGTATCTGATGACTGTGATCACGGAGAAGAGCAGAAACAAGGAGATGTTGAAGACAAAGAAGACGTCTGCCAGTATTCGTAGCCAGTCTGCATCGTAAGGTGGTGGCATCTGCTTGAGCAGGATCGCGCAGATGCCCGTGCTCATGGTTATGATGAACCATCTTGGTATCGTCACTGTGGTTGTCTCACACAGATGGGATTGCACCTACGACGGAGTGAAGTTGTGGACAGTTCGCCGGAAGCCTCGCTCTGGGACGTCTGTAGGCTGCGAGGGGCTCGTCGCTGGTCCGGTACCGCCGTTGACTTTCTGGAGGAAGACGGCATCGTGTTCGACATCTAGATGATTATTTGCCCGGTCTTGATGATTTTTGTCGGTAGCCATCTTCGTCGGCTTCGATGATACCTACCAAGCCCGAGAAGAACAACGCACAAGTTCTGGAGATTTAGAAGGCTGGCATACTCATATACTGGTGTCTCACCCAAAAAGGGACGAAAAGGGAAGTCATGCATGACTTGCAATACGATTGGTTCACGTTCGTGACAAAGCACGGCTTCATGAGTTGCGACGTCTCCACTGCTACGCGCGAAGGAGCATGGACAGTCGTCCCAAAATGCAGACTGACTCAGCCCATGTTGCACAGAGCGAAGAAGGGAGAGGATGGGAAAATAGGCGAAGAGCTCCGCCAAGAGGACATGTTTCCAAGGTTCAGTCCTTGCGCTCCTTCGTAATGTACCTAGGCGACTGATTCTCATGAGGACTTGGAACGTTGAGCTTATTTTAGGCATCACGCTGTTTCTACAGCAGCAGGCACGAGCCCGGATCTTGCTAGAAGCAGCGAGAGGTACGTGGACTCTATTGTTGTCCAATACGAGATGGCTTGCACAAGTCATTGCGACGCACTTCAAGTGGCGTGACTGGCCTCTCGAGGCCGTGACTGCCAGGCGACACTAGGACCAAGGAGAAATCTTGCCGTTGTCAATGATCTGAGGCTGCGACACGTGAGACGGTAGGGCTGACAGCGGTCTCGAAAGTGTTGAACAGCACAATGGCCGAGGGGCCAAATTACCAGCGCACTATCAATGTATGCCGTGCCTGCCGTATCAACAAGAAAGGCTGCGACAGGAAATTGCCGACCTGTAGCGCCTGCTCGAGGAAGAAAGTGCGTTGCGTGTATCGCAACCGTGGGAAGTCGCGACCGAGTGCTGATAACATCGACTCTCCGCAATCGTCTTCCGAACGGACAGATACAACGTCTGAGATTTCTGCACCAGGCAAGGCCCCATCGACGACCTTCAGAACCAGAGTTTTGGCTGCCCTAGAGCAGATCGGACGTACTCCTCTGCAGCTAAGGGACGAGTTCTTTCAGAGTGTGCACTGCTGGCTACCAATCGTGCCGCCCTGGCAACTGTCCTCCAGTCAGGTCTCCTTGCACAACGCCGCTACAAGGATAGACAAGCTCATGCTCCTTTTAGCGATTTCTGTACTTGACAAATCGACGTCAGGGTCGTGTGTCCAATATGAACATTCGGTTCCATCCAGCATCTATACACTGACCAGAGGCTTGTATGCTGAAGCTATGGTTCACATGCCTGTGACCGCCAGCTTGGTGCAGTCGGGCATCCTCCTTGCAACTTACGAACTTGCTATAAAGCGGCCAGAGCTCGCATACATCACAGTCCGCACTGCAGGCAATATGCATCAGATCTTGCGGAGCACTACAACATTGGCAATGTCGCAATCGACCGAAGCACAAGAGCTTGAGAAGGCTGAAATGTATAACACTTCACGTGGCCTTGTCATTATGCACATGTAAAGTACTTGTGTTCATCTCGATACTTCCACCTACTGACGAAGAAGCAGATTGATCACACTTGAGGCAACCCAACAGCTGCAAATCGACCTTGCTAGTTCCCCACACTGGAATGAAATCGATCTACCCCCTTCTCATGCTCAGAACCAACTGGATCCGGTATTGCTCACAGCGACGAACTTCGAACCTTCTGTCCAAGCGGCAATGAAGGCCTTTCGGGGAGATGGCTTCCACCGCTTTCTGCAAGCATCGATGTGCCTCCAGCAAGTAATGCGCTACATGAGCTTGGAAGGCGCAATTAGTGAAACAATCAGATCTCTTGACTTATTGGATGAGAAGATCCAATCTTTCTTGAAAGATGTGATGCAGGAGTACAGAACGCCAGGACATCATTGTGGAGCTAACGCTGTTGGTATCAGGCAAGTAATACAGGCACATTCGATTGTCTTGTGCTGACTCTGCAGGACACTCTTCATGCTCCACAAAGGCATTCTGAAGCTGATGCAGCGAGAGACTGCACCTGAAAGCGTCTTGTTGCAGCAAGCGATCAAGTCCGGACGGACGTACCAGACGGCTGTGAGGATGATAGCAAATGTTGCCAGGAATCACATGGACCTCGTGGAAAACATCGCCATTATCCCAATAACTGCTTTTTATAGTATGCAAGAGGCGCTGGACCATCTCCAGAATCTCAACGTGCCCAGCAGTAATACAGAAAGGGAAGACATCCAATCGCTGTTAGCCATGACGCAAGCATTTGACAACAGATGGGGCGTTCCTAGAAGCATGACAGCGGATGGCATACTATAACATCGGGTTGGCCAAATTTCGAGCTTGGACACAATATCCTCGCCACCCGCTACATCCTGCACGAGCGTCAATGCATTCGATTGCGTTTCCGTCGCTTGATGTGTAACGGGATTTGTCTAAGCCCAATTTGGGCAACCACCTGAGAATGTCGGCCGACATCTCGTATTCTCTTCCAGACACCTGCATATGGGTTCTGAGCACGAGTCCCCTCACGGACGATTGGCGAGTATATTACGACTCAACAGACGCCCTGCAGCGGCCGAAAACGCCATCGAGTATCCATCCGCTTTCCCACAACAGTTGGTCCTTTACCTAAGCGAGGCTGATGGTCTTTGGCTTGGCATCACAGCCCAGACTCACAGACAGACCCTGACTGCAGTCCTTACGATGTGTGTGGACGGTTTGACAATGCGGGATTGCTTGGGGAAGGAGCACTTGATGGCTGACACACGAGCAAGACGGGCCCAACGACCACCGATACCCACAAGTATGTTCACTACATGTTGGTAAGTTATATAGTGCAACCACCTGCTGATCACGATGGCGGACCGACTCCGGGAGCATGAACATAGTTCAGCTGATGTAGAGGGCTTCTTGATGCCGTCATGTGTCAAGACCATAGTCCGGTCGCCCGACACGGGGCAGGGACCGCAGCCAGCGCGAATACTTTGGTTACAAGGCAAGCTATTCCACTTCTCTTTGTGCAAGAAGATGGCCAAAAGCTTCACGGTCAAGGCCGTCGGACCGCGATTGGTTCACATGTTCAACGTGTTCTTCGGGCGCAAAGGCAGATGGTTCCAAGCTCTGGTGGCAATGATTTTGTTGAAGAAAGGCCTAGGACGGACACCGTGAAACCTACGCGATATCGATCAGATGCGGAATCTCAAGCACAGCAAGAGCACAACCAGCCACATCCAGATCCCATGAGATTCGCGGATCTCGCCCATGACTCGGATGCATTCGTGATGGCGGAAGCTCTGGTCGATACTCCAGGCTTCTTCGAAACAGCTTCGATACGATCAGAGCAGACAGAGTTCTCCTGTCTTCGACTCACTGCGCGAACAAAGTACGCGGAAAAGGCGTCTAAGACGTCGAGCACAGAGTACACAAAGCCTTCTCGGCAGGCTGGCAAGCCAACAGCTGCTCAAGCCTTCATTTGGCGACTTCATTCGCACAGAGCGAGCAGCTTGCCGAAATTTGATGCCTCCACCAGTTCAGACGACGCACTTGCTCTGCCAAACAGCACCATGCCACCATCGTTACCTGTGCATGATTCTACAGACCTAGTATCGAGGGACGAGGCATGGAGCATGCTCAACAGATGTTCGTGGTCCCTACGACCTCATCACTACCCTGTCAATGGCTGTATTGATGCAACTAACAGGTGATAGATCAGCAACATCTGGCACAATTCTTCCCTAGTAGCACGAACGATATCGCTAGCCCGGAATCAATGCACTGGATGCGCACGATCACCGCTTCGCGACTGCATTCGTCTCGCGGATATTCATTCAGAACGTACGGGATGCGGAGTTGGGCGGAGTGGAAGGAGCCCGAGCACGTCGGATAGCAGCTGTGTACTACTCGAAGGCTCTCGTGGCCATCAATGAGGATCTCAGAGATGCCGATACAGTGAGCGCCGACAGCACACTGCTTTCCGTGCTAGCTCTTGCATACCACCAGCCGAGGAGCCAGCTAGACTCGCCAATCTCACATTTAGCACACCCGAAACAGGGTCCGTTGGACTCTTTGAGACTTCTCAACATACTTCGTGGTCCAATTGGAAAGGTGTCAGTCCATGTGGAAGCTCTCAGTCGATTGGTGGCCACGCGTGGAGGCCTTCATGATCTGACTCTGCCTGGTCTTGCATCTATCATGTCGTAGTAAGCCCACTCCTTCCCCACGAAGAAGGAGCTCGACACTAACACAATATAAGTGGTTCTCTCATTCACGCTTGCCGCACTCTCGAGTCTCCAGCACTGGAATACATTCCATACCTTGGCATTAAAATCGACTCTGTATTGATGAAAGCTCGAAGGAGCAACCACCCTCTCCGAAAGCTCACTCGAGGGTTCGACATATTTCCGCGACTCGCGACACCAGCTCGATCTACGGAATCATCAGCGGTGTGGCTCGCCCTTGAGCACCTGGCGCTATATACGCTTCACGTCGACGACTACGTTGAGAGACGTAAAGTTAGTGAAAACCTAGCAGTGATTGGCGAATTACGTGGCTACGTGCAGCACCGACTGATGGGCTTGTTGGGGTCAGTATGCGGATGTCCGATAGAGTCAGGAAACAACGACCTCATTAGCCTGGCTTTACTGGCTGCAGCCATATACAGTTTCACCTGTGTGTTTCCCCTGGTGGAGGCGCCATTCGCACGGCTGTCCAAACGAATCCGTGAGGCATATGAAGCGCTTGAGCAAGGCGCTATGCATGATGGTGAGGTCATTTCAGCGCAACCCCAGCCGATTACAGCTTGGATCTTATGCATGGGCGCCATCGCTGCGTCTGAGATGCCGGATAGTATATGGTATGCTGCTGCATTGGCGAGATGCTTACGGAAGCTGGGTATTGAGTCTTGGCTGAAGCTGAGGGCGCTGCTGTTGGACTTCCTTTGGCTGCCAATGACGAACGATGGGGATGGCATGAGAGTCTGGGCGGAGGTTGAGACCTTGCTTGTGAGAGTAAGAGAGACGGGGGAGAGCCGGCAGCAAGGCTGGCGAGCCGAGGGAGGAGTGATTGTATGAAACTCGGTCTTGAGGCTGATTGCATCCCTACGAGCGAGAGAGTGCGCCCGAGTCGAGGACATATGTCTCTACTCCTTCTGAAGTGTTGGCCTTGGTCAGTCTGATAATGGCAGACACTTAGATGTCGACACTACGAGACTGAGGCTCGATGTAATCCACCGGGCACCCGGACGGGGAGACTGCAGCTCTCGGACTAGTTCACCTTCCGAGAAAACACCCGTGCTGTGTTCATTGGGTGTGCCCTGACCCCAGCTCGCAGTTACTAAACCCCACTGCGGACAATCCGTTCCTGAATATCCCTTCCCCTCCTTCGAGAAATAAATAATTGAATCGACATCTCGTCCTCGAGACTATTCACAGAGGCAGGGCTTCTTCAAGGCCGTCGTCTACTCCACTCTCTATTCTCCAGCCTTCCCTCAGGATATCGCCCTCTGAAATAGCGATTACTGCACAGAGTCAACACCATGGCGGAGCTCTTCTCTCCTCTCGAAGCCCGTCCCCTCAAGGACACAATCTGCCTCTTCGACGTCGATGGCACACTCAGCCCCGCCCGCCTCCATGCCTCGCCCGAAATGCTCCAGACTCTCGCCGCCCTCCGCCACAAATGCGCCATCGGCTTCGTCGGCGGCTCCAACCTCCCCAAACAAGAAGAACAACTCTCCACCCCTAATGTGCCAGTCACCTCGCTCTTCGACTTCTGCTTCTCGGAGAACGGCCTCACCGCTTACCGATTGGGTAAGCCCTTGGCCAGCCAGAGCTTCATCGGGTGGATCGGCGAGGAGAAGTATCAGAAGTTGGTGAGGTTTCTGCTCCGGTACATTGCAGGGATCGAGGGGTTGCCGGCGATGAGGGGCACGTTTGTGGAGTTTCGGAATGGGATGGTGAATGTATCTCCCGTGGGGAGGAATGCGAGTAAGGAGGAGAGGGATGAGTTTGAGAAGTGGGATAAGGAGAGTAAATGTCGGGAGAAGATGATCGCGGCGATTAAGGAGGAGTTTCCGGATTCTGGGTTGACGTGAGTTTATCAGGTCCCCCGGCTCTGAAACTGCTGTTACTGACACACGTGTGCGAAATAGGTTCTCGATAGGCGGTCAGATTTCTTTCGACGTCTTCCCTACAGGCTGGGATAAGACGTACTGTCTGCAGTATATTGAGAAGGAGAAGGAGATTTCTGGGATTGAGTACAAGAAGATACACTTCTTCGGGGACAAGGCCTTTGAGGGTGGGAATGATTGGGAGATCTACAATGACAAGAGGACGATCGGACATGCGGTCAAGGATCCGAGTGATACGATAAGGATATTGAAGGAGGAGTTCGGTGTATGATGAACGGTGATAGAATGAGGTACCGTGATGTATGTGTGCTAAGCGGACAGGTTCGAAAGTTGCAGACGGAAGGCTCGTGGCTGTGATTACGGTCACAGAGCAACGGGAGTCAAAGCTGCTGGGCCGGGTAGGCACCTCGGCAAGGAACGCAAAGGACCACCCGGATCATGTTCTCACGCCTAGGCAGGCTGTGCCGTCAGGATGACGCATCGCGACGGTTTTGCTAAACTGCCGCGTCGACCTACTGTGGCGAACTGGTGGCAGCCAGCCTACAGAACCGAAAGCATGACCTGGACGCCACCTCATATAGACTAGACGTGATAGATCAAGTGATGGGCACCTTCTTCTCGGGAACAGAGAGGAGGGAGGGAGGGACCAGATAATCCTGATAGAAGTGCTCAAAATTCATCAATGCGGTTGCTTCCTTTCTTCTCTGTCAAGCTGAGGTATCTACCCAAGTACGTCTGCTCGCTAGCGGGATACCTTGCTCTTGATATATGCTTCTTTCTTTCTTCGTTCGGGACCTCACTCCGCCATGCTTGCTTATGCCGTTGCTGTAAATCGTGTGTCGTCGTTCGTAAAGCGAATGCTGGTAGTTGGGGTATATATACTCTGTAATGCATGGATTCTATAACGCAACGCTGTTCTGATTCTCGGGTGTCGTGTCGCTCGTTAGACTTGCCGTGGCCGTTCATGACGACCTTTGGCAAAAGAGCTGTTTCTTAAATAGCTCCTGTGGTCCTTGTCTCGTGTCTGTGCGTTGGTCGGGCTTTCCGAAGTCTGCTGCCTCATATGATCGTCTTTGGCAGTCTGCATGCTCCTGACACGGTTCGGAACCATCTCACGGTCAGCCATCGAGTCTCGCATGCGTTTTGAATTGATGCATATCCTCGCGGCCGAGCTCGTGACCACTCGTTGTTCCAGACCGAGTGGACTGTTGATTCCTGGTACCCGAGGTGGATCTTCAGCGGATGGTATTCATCGACTGGTGCCCTTACCAGATGGTCTGCCCAGTCAGTTCCGCCAGGCAACGTTCTCATTTCCTCCATTCGCTCGAGGCCCGGCTAGTATTGTGGTGTTGTCGGAGACATCGGGTAGATCAAACGTCGAACGTCCGCCAAGCATAGCCCTTCTCAATGTTCATCCACCTCCCATCACCCATTCTCTTTCCCTCACCCTGATCACCCACCATTACCGCCAACAATCGACAAGTCATACTGCTCACCGCACATACAACTCCGCCATCCCTGCCCACTCCACCCAGCACTGCTAGATCAAGCAAATAAGCCCGCCCGATCAGTCCCCTCATCTTCTCCGCCTCCTGCGTTGGCTGGATCCTATAGTCGCGCTCGAGCCTATCCTCCTCGCCCAGTTCCGCGACCATACGTGACGGCAGCGGCGAGTTGATCCGCTTCTGCCACTCGACTTCAGGCGGAAGGCCGAGACTAAAAAAGAGAGCCGGGTAGAAGCCGCCCTCCCAGCCGACGGAGGAGGCGTGTGAGTTTGGAAGGGTATGCTTCGAGGCGAGCGTAATGCGCGCTTGAGCACGTGGGAGGTGCGACATTGCAGAGGATGGGTGCGTGTACATATCCGGATCGTCTGTTGCGAGGACGGTGGTAATTTCGAGGGGGTCCTCTACGCCGTTCTCACTGGCAATGGTGTCAGCGAGTTGCGAGGCGGCGTCGAGATACATGGTGGGTGGCAGATAGGCCTGTGAGTAGGCGAGGGTGAAAGGGTGGCGGTCTCCACGGCGGAGGTGGATGCCGACTGTTTTCTGTGGGTTCGAGGCATCATCGCCTCGCAGCTCTGCTAGGCGTTGAGATACGTCTGCTGCGTCTTTTGAAGGCAGATGAAAGAGTGCTTCGTAGCCTTGGCGGGCGAGTCTGAAGATGTCAGCCGTGGTGTGCCTGGCCCTGAAGTCCGCGCCCAAGGCCCACGGGAAGGTGGCAGCTGAGACGACAAGGTGTCTGGCTTGGAAAGGACACGGTAGGCGTTGTGATGGTGGAGGTGGTCGGCAAGATGGTTTCGGAGGTTGCTTGAAGAACGAATCCCATCTCCCGTAGCCGAATTGAGTGTCGTCGAGAAAGAAAGCCCGACCATCCTGCTTGGCCAGCGCATATGAGATCCACACACCCATTAGAGCAGAACCCAGACCAGCATCGGTTGCATCCAACACGTATGTCAACGATCTGGTGCAGACCGGCAGAGTCGATGATTTGGTCTCGGGGCGGGCTGCTGGCAGAAGGCCCTGCTTCTGGGCTTCAGCTACATCCAGAAATGTATTTTCCATAGGTTTCGAAGATATTTGGTTCGCGACCTCCGGGACGTGGGAGCAGATATCAGCATAATCTGCCGCTTTGAGCGGGAAGCCTAGCTTTTCTGGAATGGATATTGTCCATTTCTTCTTGCCATACTTATCAACCACGCCTACAGGTGTAGGATAGTCTGGCAGTTCGCTGTCGGCCACTATCTGATACGCCTTACCCGAAGACGTCAGATATGGTAAGGTTGATAACCGATGGACACTAGATCCTCGTGTCCAAGATAATAACGAAGATAGCAATGTATACGCGGTGACCAGCAGAACCAGCCAGGCCAAGATCCGCAGCGCTCGTCTGGAATTGAATGGCGGAGGCTTCTTGCCATGTCGAGGCACAAGAGCCGGCAAAGCTGGCGAAGGTAACGGACTGTGTAGCAAGAACTGTTTCACCGAAAGGTTTGACTTGCCGGTAAGTCTCGTGAAGTCCTTCAGAGGCCGTGGCGGCTGGGCTCTGCTTGAGAGCAGCATCTTGTCGTTATCTTTCGCCCGACTGGACTTGCTGGCTCTCATTCAAAAAGTCGTGTCCTACTTAGACATCGAGTTGCAAAATAGTGCTGTTGTGGAGACCTGTGCAAAGCTGAGGGACAGACGTCAATTCCAGCGTCCACAGTCGCAGGCTTTTGGTGCTCAGCAGCTCAAGAGTCTATACTTTGCCATATGTAAGTGAATCGATTGTCGTACAGAAGTCGTGTAAGCCTGACGAGTCTTCCAGTGAAGGACACCCGCCTGACAATACGAGAGCTATACAAGAACGACCGGTGAGTCCAGCTGCAAAGGAGGGGTTTCGACGTTGTGGCAGTCTAAATTCAAATGCCAGGCACACAAACAAATTGGTATTTGGAACATGGATCGATCATAAAGAGAAGAGAGTGTGGTTCGTGTGTCCGACCATTGTCTTCGAAATCGGGCTGGGCTGGAGCAGACTGGATTCTCCTGAAGATATCGACGAATATGCATGTCAAGCTGCAGGGGACTTGCTGGACTCAAGAAGAAGTTCTCGTGACCATTGGGAGAGAAGACATCGACGGGGTCGGATCTGTTGGCGGAGTTGTCGTCGTAGATCTCGCAGCCCGCCGTGAGACTATGACGCAGGGTGTGTCCATGAAAGAGGCGGACAAGACTCAAGAAATGCCATTTTTCGAGCGCGAAGAAGAATATGAAACATTGCGGAGAGGTCTAAAGAAGCATGCATCCCTGTAGAGACATGTTTAGCGGAAGGGCCTTCCCAGCCCGCCCCAGGCACAAACCGCCATGACTGGCTCGCTTCTGCCGTTAGCCTGAAACATGGACGACTTCCGGTCCACTGAGCTGCGTGCAGTTGGGCTTCCGGCCAGAAAGGAGGCGGGCGCATGTTGTTCCATGCCTGCAACACTATAAGCTCTAGAACATGTTTTGAACCATCGTACGAATCTCTGAACGTCTGAGAGACTTCCAAGCTCAAGGGAGGTGGTCGAGGAGGTACTCATTGTGGTCTCATGGGAATATATTTAGTACACGAATTGAGACTTCTATCTTCGACTCAGTCCCTCGCAGTGAGCTTGACCATATGCTCCTTCTTCCACCTCCAGTTCGCTGTGATCAGCTTTACGATTGTTGCCAATCATGCCCGCCATTATTCGAATCATTCTAATGTGATGAGTAAAGCAACCTCCTAACATAAGAAATTGTTGTGAATGGCCACAGGCTGTGCGCTTCTCTGACACCCATATCCTTGAATCGGACCCAAATGAGATAAATAGAATGTATGTGTCGCCAATGGCATAATAGCCACCGAGTCCGTTCTGTGCGGACTCTGACCCGTTCTTGGGAAGCGCTGGAAATCGCTTGAAGTGTCATTATTCATACAATAGCGTGGGCGGAATCCAGAGTGTGCTTAGACTGGACTCATGCCCTCTGGCTCTGCAACGATCTCAGGTACAGTCGAGTCCCTGAGCGAGGCAGCCATCGACGCCATGCCCAGCGAGGGCGTACTCGAATTTCTCTTCGAGTGTTGTCGAGATGCTGTCCGAGGTGGAGCTCGGACTGAGCCTGTCTTTCCCTTGATAAGGTGACCACTTTCGACCTTGTCTTGGATCAGCTCGTCCAGCATCTTCGACATTTCATCCACGGACCGCCGTCGATTGTCGACGTCCTTTTTCGGTGACAGTAAGCTCAATGGACTTTTCGTTCCTGTCGGTGATCGTGGAGTTTCAGAGTCGGCCGAAGTTCGCTTGCTCTGCATACTGTTGGAGCCGCTACCACTGCTTCCACGATTGTTCTCCACTGGCTTGTTGCTTTTGTTCTCGAGTTGGAGCATGTCAGGCGTAAGCTCGGCCGTCTCCCGTTTCCGCACTGCAGATCGAAGGGCAGCGACTGTACGTTGTAGATCCGCAATCTGTGCGTCCTTGGCCTCGAGTTGCCGCACGGTCTCGTCCGGCTCATTGCCTTTGTTGAAAGCCATTGAAACTCGAGAATGGCTTGACCGTCTTGCTTGCAAGAGCCGTTTCTCAAGCGTCGCAATGTATCGATTCTTATCCTGCAGATCACCTTGGAGAGCACGATTCTGTGCCTGCAGAGAAGCAAGCCCATCACCATAAGCACCTGACTGGTCATCTTCGTCCTCTGCAAGTGCTGAGTACGCAGCAGCTAGGTGTCCCGAGATACGCACGCCGCCACCGATGGACTGCATCGACGGCTGACGAGTAAATGTGGGAGTTGCGCCGAGCGTTGAATGGCTGGCTGATGATCGCAGCGAGCGGCTTCCTGTCAACTCCGTCTGGTCGGCAGAGAGACGAGAGTGCATGCCTAATGACGACACCGCGCCGCTGTTGACGCCTGTCGACTTCGAGCACAGAATGAGACGATTCAAGTGCTCGATCCGCTCTTTCAAGGCAGTGCGAGCAAGTTGCATTTCCAGCATCTGCTCCTCGTGACGCTGCTCGGCCTCTTTCTCGATTTGCTGCTCCTCCTTTTCTTCACTCTTCTGCTGCTGTTTGTCCAGTTGCGATCTCAGATTCTGGATTTCAGCTTTGTATCGTTCTAAGAGACCGGCGTTGACGCCCGCGTCTTCGACTGCTCGCTTGGCATGGCTGACGATATTGTTCTTCGCTCTCGCCGCAAACTTCAGTGTGTTTATCGTTTCTCCTGTGTGATGCTGCGCCGATGCCACACTGCCGTGAGATCCCAGTTGAATCGTGCAAAGAATCGATACCAGCGAGTTGCCCGAAAGGGCGCCTTGCAAGAGCCGGGTAAGCTTGCTGTCACGATATGGCAGATGCTTGCCGTCTTTGTCAATTAGATTGCCCTGCTTGTCTTTCGTACCAGACAGCTTGCTTACAACAGAACCAAGCGTGAGAAGAGACTTGTTGATGTGAGCACCTTCAGTACGCCGCTCCTTGTCCTCGGCAGCACGTTCTGAGCCAGCCAAATCAATCAAGCTGAGCGTCGATACTCGCACGCCACCTGGTAGCATGCCTACTCGTTTGCCATCTGAGATCGAACCGGGGCCACCAACACGTTCTCGGCTTTCGACAACGATTTGTACAACAGCATGACTTCGTGAACTTCGAGCATTCCATTGCGTAGTGCCCGTACGTCGAGCGAGATCGCCTCGGTGGATGACTCGGAGGAGCTGGGTAGGACTTTGCACAATCTCTTCCTTCAGAGGTGTTGCGTAGACACCCCGTTTCGGATCTTCTCGCAATTTAATCTCTTCTTGCTGATTCCCTGGACCAACTCCGCCAGCAGGAGCTGCAAGAAGGTCGTGTATCTTCTCATTGTAGATCTCGAGGTAGCTGACTCGGAGCAAGAACTCCCGTTGTGGTGTTTCGCGGATGTAAGAAAAGATGTCGGTGATGGCCAATGGAATGACACCAGGCTTGACATGGTTCCTTGCATAGAAAATGTCTTGCCAGTTCCGGTCATGCCATATGCAAAAACAGTGCCATGGTAGCCTTCCATAACTCGTCTGACCAGCCGCTTCGCAATGGAGTCGTACACCCTCGAATTGTCGTCGTAGGTACCGAAGACGTTATCGTAGTGATAATCGCCGCCTTCTTTGCCTCTGTATGCGATCAAGGACCTTCGACCGTCTACCATCCATTCGCCTTCGCCATCAGACTTCTCTTGCGCGCCAACATCAGGTCGGACCCTGACGCTGACAAGCACATTGCCTTTTGACTCTTTACCTTTCCCGCCGAACGCCTTCTCTGCAGCGGCATCGTCTACCTCTTTCGGTCGGCCGCGACCCTCGTCTCCATCTTCTTCAATCGTTGTGGCGGAGGTCGAGTACGAACCCTGAGCGGACGAGCTGCGACTTTGTGGTGGTGAGTGAAGACTTGAAGGCGCGTCGGATATGCGGTGATTGGGCACGGAGGCAGACTTGATGTCGTTGTGTGCGTTGAAAAGGCTCTGGGTATGCGATGTCGACCGATAGCTGGAGTTGCTGGCTGTGCTGACTCGTGGTAGTTTCTTGCTCTTGGTCAAGCTTGTGATGCTGGCATCTGAGGTGCGCTTCTTGATGTTGTCGTTGCTCGAATCCTGCGATGTGGGTCGCGATCCGGGCGTTGGTGGGACAGGAAATGAACCGATGCTCGTCACCTTCCTGACCGGCTTGGCAGAAGGTATGCCAGATGCTCGTCCGACTGACGAAGACGCGCGGGGAAGGTCTGATGTCGATGCGGATTGCGGTGTGGGGAGTGCTGAGGGCCGTGTGGGTGTCTTGAACGTTTTTTGTGTTGCTGTAGGCAGGCTCTTCCGCGCTGAAGTGGATCGCGGTTGAGGAATGGGGGGCAGCGGTGATGCAGGTGGGCCTGCGGTTGGCCGTGGGAGCGACATGACGATGCTGCGTGCTCCCCAGCAGACTTTCAAATAAGGCGAACTACAGGTATGTGATGTCTATATTAACATCATTTGCCTTTCCTGCTTCGTGATTGCGATAGATCCTGGTTGACTGAGATCGGTCTGTATAGCGTCGTCCGATCGCGAAGCGTCGCGTGTCGTAGTACGGTAGTAGTGATGCGAAAGGGACTGGCTGTCAATTGGTGTGTGCAACGCTGGTACTGCGACGGGCCGTGAGGTGTGCGACAGCGTCGGTATCGAAATGCAGATGCTTATGCCGTCAGCGCAGCAACGTGGCGGCAGGTGTGATGCGTCGACCAGGGGACAGGCATTAGCATGACAATTGCGGAGGACCAGGTATTCCACGGAAGGTACAGCAGAAGAACTTCGTATTATCCAGAGTGATCCTTCCCTAAGAATCTCTCAAGTCACTCTGACCGGGCTTGACTTCAGATTCAGGACACACTGGCCGTGTGAAAGAATGCTAAAGATGTTGACGACGACGAGGGTCTCAGGTGGTAAGCAACCAGTCAGTTGCGACTGACGGCGGTGGTGGGAGCAGTGGGTACGAAATTGCAAGATAGATTTTAGGAGTATTTTCCACTTCTGCCACTAATGCGACCACCTCTAGCCACCCCGGGCTCTAGTCTCACGCTACTCGCATGAACCCTGCCACTGCAGTTCTTGTTGGCGTTGCTCTGTTTGACACGATGCACCGAAGGCCAGACGGCCACAATCTCCCGAAAGCGCTTGATCTCGCCAAGCCAGCAGTACGACGCTCTGGTGTTGTTGATAGTCACCAGAAGGAAGTGCGGTATGATTGTGACCGATTCCTCAACTGAGACAACAACAAGATCTTGAGTATGAATCGCACGAGCAAAGAACTTGAGCTATGGTCAGGAGATCTGCGGCTCACCAGCATCGTCACGGTCCGGCTTGTGATTGCCCCCTGTTCCAAGACAGGGGTTCTTGCTCTCCAGTTGACCCAATATCCCGGTCCCATCTCATCTTTCTCCCGTGAGCCTATCGCTTAGCACCCTTTTGCCCATTCTCTCATCTCGTCTGAGCTTTTTGTCGAGATGAAACATTGAAACAAAACGGCCAGACGAGCAATGTGGGAGCAAGGATCTGCTGATACGCGATGGAATTCGGCAGCGATGTTCTTGCGACCTCCGGGAATGTCGTTCCTCAGCGTCCTCCAGAATAAGGAATCAACGTGACTTGAATCGAACGTGATCTCAAATCTTGAGATGCATGAAAAACAGTGAATTAATTCAGAATTGGGCCAGTCAAGACACAGTGGACATTACTCCAAGGAGATTTCGAACTCTCTGGTTCGTGTTCTCGGACGCCATGCGTCAACGTTGACTGCGCTAGTTCAGCGCGGTCCTTCCGCAGTGACGGCGTTCCTGGCGATCAGAACTTGGCAACCTGTTCATTCAACACTGCTCATAGCAGACGGTGAGTGGCGACCGAGTGTATAGCTCCATCGTGGACGAAGTCGGTTTCGAATGCAACAGGTACTCACTCAATGTTCCCGGCACATTGGGCAGTGTACCCGGGCGTCATCCAGCGAACGAGCAACTGATGCCGAGAAGGCGCAACTTTCCGCACCACAAAGTTTCGTGGTCCCCAATGTAAAGAAGCCAGTAAGTTTGGGACCGCGAATCCCGCCGGATAAGGGGCAGTACCAATTGCTTGGTGCTGCTCAAAGGCCCAAAGCGTCTGTAGCGGAATCACGTACACCACAACTCAAGGTTTGAACGCGTCGTCAGACGTCCAGAAAGAGGTTCATGTTCCACCTCTTAGCATCCAGGACAGGCAGGTCGTTCTGTCCAACTGTGATGATCGCGAATAGTGTGCTGTACGGGACTTGGCTCTCACAAGCCGCGTTCACACCGAGTAGCAACAACTCCATGACTTCGAACGCTGGACCCATCAATCATAACAGCCGTCCGCTTTCCCGCAGCCACAGGTTCGCGCTCAAGCCACCTGTTTGAGGCGAAGCCTTTGGTGCACTCCTTGAGAAGCCAAGCACGAATTATTGCCGACATTGATATCAAGGTTGTGGCCGGATACATTGACAAGTTGACAGGTCTATCAGAAGAACAAAAAAGAACCACTCGGAAGTCATCCAGGACTGCACTTCAGCCACTGCCTGGCCACATGCTTGAGGCAAACCATATACTATGTTAATCGAGCCATATCATAGATCCGTCTACTGCCAAAGGGTAGTGCAATTGCCAGAGAGGCAGCAACAGCCGATCTAGCATCGCATTGCGACTAGGCGCTGGCAAAGGTCAGCAAAGCATGTGGCCTGGGCCCCTGCACCGAGCACGGCCGTGGCCGGATCACTGCTCAGAGCGATTCGTCAACGTACTTCTCGCAGGATTGAAGCAAGTCAATCGTTGCAGTAGTGCAACCGTAAGCATTGAACGGGACTGATGCTTAACAACGGTGATCTAAAAGTTCTGATCTTTCGTGCTCTTCACTCGTCCCTTTCCTCCTCACCTACCCCCTCTTCCCTCCACTGCTGCACTCCTCTCAGCACCTCCCTCCTCTCCTCCCTAATCACCGTCCACACCCAACCCCAGAATAGCATATCCAGCAGCGCGAGCGTGAACACCACCTGATTGCCCAACACCATCCGCAGACTTCCATCGCCCGTCGCACCACGATTGCGCGACTTCCCACCCGAAAGCCCCAGTAGATCCCGATCGCCCCAAACAAGATAGCTCCAGATACACAGCAACCCTTCCAGCCCTACTCTCAGCACCGCTTGCCCCATCCAGCTCCCTTGCGCAGCACTCAAGACAGCCAAATCCTCGCCCTTCCGCTCCCTACTGACCCGCTTGACTCCAAACCCGCTCTGGCTTCCCTCCTCGTACCGCAACGTCTCCCCTACACCCAAGCCGCCAGCCCACAACAGCTCCCCCAGTGCCATCACGCCCAACACTAGTCCCAGCAGACCGCATAGCTCGTGTGTCGCCGGCGTGACCACGCTGTAGGCTTGTGTGAGAGTGTTGCGGTAGGGCTGGAATGCTGCTGGGGGAAGACGCATGGATTGGCCGAGGAGGGTAAGAGCGGAGGAGGAGAGGATTGTGGATGGTGATGTGATGAGGTAGTAGGATAGCGTGAGGAGAGTGAGAGCGTGTGAGCGGATCAGGAGGGGTGAGGTTAGGATCGCCATTGCCGTGTGGTGTCTCAAAAACCCTGGTTCTCGTTCGTGGCGTCCCCTGAAATAAGTGCGATGACCTCTTCAGTAGTAGCAGGGATTTGCGAGCTGAACGTCAAGCCCGTATAGGACAGCTTCGTGTCTGTACTCCCGCGGTTCCGAGTCCCTCCTTTTGGGCAGTCTGGATCTTCTTTCACCAAAAGCCTTTCGCCCTTCGTTGGTTGTCCCTTGCGTCTTCCCTACTTCGCACAACGAGCTAGTGGTAGCTTTGTAGGACCAGTGAGCCTCGTCTGATACCGCAGGCACGCACCCGGAGTACCGCGCAAGCAGGTGCCGAGGAACTGTATTGCACACCGTAAGATGGGTTCGGGAGGTTGCGAACGCGGACGACTGGTGACGATGGTCTCGTCGACGAGGCGGAACGCCTGAACAGTGTCCAGGTCGACCCAGATGATGCTGGATTTCAGGTCAGAGTGAGGTGACGGCGTGGCCTGAAATTACAGGCTATGTGACCGGGACTTAATGATGGGAGCGCACCAGAGTCAAGCGCACTGCGTGACCGATGGAAGTCGGTAGATCTCCAAAAGTGGAATGCGAGCTTCCTTCTATGGAATGACCTGCTCGGAAGTCCATGGATGCCCCTTCGTGCAGGCTTTGCTTTGATGGTCACGGCTTCTGAGCTCTGTTTCCGGTCCACCTTTGGTCCTTTAATCCTCTTGAATGTCATCGCAACTCTATGATGTAGTTGATCGCGGAGCAGGCGAGTACTTACGCGAAGCCGGTTGACCTCTGACCTAGGCGCAATGAGAACACTGCCGGGAAGTCGATGTTCAACTGTACACGACTTCCTCCAGGCTCTTCATCACTCCGCTCTCATGCCGCTCTACAGTGTACAGGCTCATCCTTTGACTAGGCGTGACAGTCACACCACCTATGATCTCGACTCCATCGCCCACACCCTCGAGTACTACATGTCGCCCTCCACTCCAGAAGGTAGACATCTCTGTTGCATGGAGCAGCGGGGGAAGGTCATTAATTCGAGTATATTCTAAAACACTTTGCTTCATCGCTCACGACATCATCTCAGACTACCGACGAGACTGAACCGATTGGTGGGAGATACTGAGATCCTACGACTGAACTTCTCGCGGGACTCGAGCCCTGTCAAGGTCAAACAAATCCTACGTGCTGTCAGCGGTGGTTACAGCGTTACCACGGCGTTGTGCTCTTACCACCAAAGCTTGGAATCTATCATCATGACCGAAACCACCACTTGCAAGGGCAATCTTTCTTTTCTGATATGACCAAACATTTTTCTGCCAAAGTTTAGCATTGCTCAAGACGAAACAGCATTGATGCAGTGGACGTACCTCTTCAACAGTCGCTTTCATGATGTATCGCACGATAACAACCTGAGCTGTCTGTCCGAGTCGCAACGCTCTCCCGATCGCCTGCGATTCAATGGACGGGTTCCATTGAGGCTCCAATAAATACACACGCGACGCAATGGCTAAATTAAGTCTGTCGGGGGTCTGTCGTTAGTGATACATCAGGTGCGGCAGGTGAGGTTATGGATCGAATTTGCGCACCCTACTGCACCTGTCCCAAGTGTCATCAAAAGCACGTTGGCACCTTCTTTGGCACGGAAGTCGTTCAAGATCTTAACCCTCGTGGAAAGCGTTTTGGCGCCATCAATGGTGTAGTGACGAATGCCATGGTCTGCGAGAAGCTGCTGAACAAGTGTCAAGGTCTTCTTCCAGCAAGAAAAGACAATACTGTGGACGAAGCGGTCAGATCTCATCAGACTCATGAAACAGAAGAAGGGGATTCACCTTTTTTGCAAGCGGTCAGCCCGAAGATCCTCCAAGAGCCGCAAAAGCTTGGAAGGATATCTCATAGCTTCACCTTGAGCCACTTCGGCCTGGGACACGATTGAGGCCACCGAAGGCGACTCGTTACCTGGGGCACAGCTTACACACTTCCGCCCTTGGAGTTGGTAATCAGGAGTGCAGTTATGGCATACTAGGTGCCAACAACGTGGAACGAAGATTCCTCCATCAGAGTCATCAAGCGTCCCGACGGAGGGGACAATATCTCCGCAGTACGCGCATCTGTTCTGGTCGTGCTGCTCAAAATACGTAAGTGCTAGGGTCGGATCTGTAGGAAGGCCCTCAGGACCCATCGCTAGATTAAATCTAGTTCGGCCGTGGTTGCAGAAGAGTCTTAGCTTGAGGAGGGACTCAAGCATTGCCGAATTCAGTTTGCTCTTCTTCCGCCCATCTACTGCCAAGTCAATGTCTGTTTTGCACTGCTGAAGTAAGCTGTGGTAATCAGCAGTCTCTTCGGATGTGAAATCCAGCTTATAAGTGTACGATTTTGGCTCAGGCAAGTCTATCCTTCGTCGCGTTCTTCTGATGCAAATAGTCTGCAGCAACTTTTGCAGGTTTCGGAACCGACCACTTGAGCCTGATGTGATTGGATTGACGATAGATCTTCTGAATGTTGCCGGACTTGATAACACAGGCACCCGCAGGAAGGTGACCAGTGCTCCAAGGTCATCGAGGCTATTTTGAATGGGAGTGCCTGTCAGACACCAACGATGCTCAGCTGTGAGCTTGCTAGCGGCCACAAAGTGTTTCGTCTTGGCATTGCGGATGTCATGTGCTAGTCAAATGATCAGTCTGGCAAGCACGAGGAGCAGACCCAAGAGATCTATGCCTACCCTCATCGAGGACAACCCTGAACCAGTTGATATCGGTCAAGGTCGTGATCCCTCGACAGAACTCAGCTGCGAGCGTGGCGTATGTTGTGAAGACGATGGAGCTTTGACGAAGTTCTTGTATCTGATCTGATCTTCCCCGGCCAAGATGCTTGTGATGTTGGAGGGTTCCGCTATAGGTGTGTCTATGCTCGAGTTAGCTATTACGAGCCAGCCTTCGAGCTACACATGCATACGTACTTGCGAATTTCACCGACCCAATTATCGATAAGCACTAGTGGATTTAGAGTCAATTTGGGATGCCTCACGGGTGTTTGAGGGCACGCTCTGCTCAGTATCACTCACATGAGGATGGCACGATGATCAGAGTTGCCATTGAACGCTCTCTCGGTGGCTGAGCGGCTTGTTTCTGGGAATCTGAAGAGAACAAAAAGCTCTTCGAACGATCATGCGAGCCTGCAATCACAGACAGTATAACGAGTGACTTCCCTAGTCCCATCTCATCAGCAATGATACCAGCCTTTGCTTCAATCCGTTCTGGTTGCTTTGTACCAGTAAGGATATGCTGGTAGCTGCGAATATACAAGTCAGCGTTCTAAAGCGGACGAACAGGCGGTTCCTCAGGCGAGTTGTGATATGTGGGATCCTACCAGGGTCTGCGCGGATCGGAGGTGTTATGCCGCCATAGGCTGAGCTCGGCGGGTACCTGGCCCGTCTCGCGCCGAAACACAAAATCAATTGCTTCTTTTTGATGTCTAGGTTTGCAAAGTCAGCGCCAACGCATCACGTGGGTCCGAGCGGGCAATTACCCTAGTAGGTCCCCCTTTATGCCTGGAATTGAGGTCACTTGGTCCAGTATGGCGTGGTGCGATAGCGAGTCAAGAATCGAATCAAACGCTTCAGAGTCTGTCTCTTGAGCTGCTACCGTTGGAGGCGACACTGCTTGTTTCTGGGAAGCGGTGTCCGCGGATGCGCTGGTCAACATCTGTTGCGACTCTCTTGGAATATAGCCTTCGATGCTGAGGATCTGTGGGTTGTAGTGTGGAACCTCGACGTCTCCATAAAGAGGCCTTTGTAAGAAGAGCCCTAAGCTCGCCATCTTCTTGCCAACCTCGTCTGCGTGCTCTCGCAAGCCATAGAAGTTGATCTCCACCAGCAACAGCCTGTCTTGCTGGACCCGCGACGTTTCTTGTTCGTACCCAACCGCAAATGCCTGAAGAACGACCTTGGTCATGGCAAGCAGTTCACCAAGCTGACGACACAATGGCTTGCACAGCCGCCCAAATCTAACGTGTTCAAGCTCCAGTGCAAAGAAGCGACCTTCTGGTACGACGGATATCGCTTTTGAGGATCTTCCATATGGTGTATGAGTCCACAGATGAGGTCTTTGCGAGCATTGTGCCTTCACGTCGAGGATCTGCTGTGGCGTCAGTATCAGACACCTGCATGTGCAGATTATCTTCGCCGTACGCTACCAAAACAGATATCCGGGACAAGATTGCTTGACTCGATAAACGAGCGAGTTGGGGTATCGGACGCGAACCACTGGGGCATAGCCCTTGCGACTCTGGTGCTCAATGCTGCAGTGTCGCTCTGGCTCCTTACCGAACGAATAATCAAAAATGCATCAGAACACTCGTCGCTGTGGTGATCAGGGTCGATGCCGCGAGCATAAGAAATGTTATAATCTGCCTTGAATCTGCATGATGATAAGTACTTCACGAAACAAGTGCCCTGGGAAGCGGGCGCCACTGCTGGCTTTTGCCACCCTGAAAACATAGGCACCTGCAGCGTGCAATCCTTTCAATTATGCTCAGCCGGTGGTCGAGATAGGCTGAACAGGGCTTTAGGCGCCATGGAGGCCTACTCGATTGGCGAAGCGCCCAAAGCACCTCGTGCTCCGCCACCATGCAGCGCATGCTTAGTTATGCCGTCAGCTGGAGCTTTGCGCACGCTAGATGTCTTTCGTATCATTCGTGCATTCTTCAGCATTCTACTTCTCCAAGTACTTGGTAGCTGACACGCCAAGAACTTAAGAGCCTTGCGAAGCCAAGTTGTGGCCCTGGGAACTATTCTTTAACCTTTAACCAGTATGCCTACTTAGTACCTGGTACCTTTCACAGCCCATGTTGAATGTCGAAATATTGGCTGTTCCCCACCTAATTCCTTCTCAATCTATGCGAAGAATGCTACCACTGCAATGGCTATCCACCCATCCCATCTAAGCCTGAAGCAGGCGATAGACAACTTCGAACGCGCCGTCGGCGAAAAGGATCTTGACAGCTTTAGGCGGACGACTTTCAATGAATTACAACAGACCATCGGCGATCTTCAACGGGTTCAGTATGCTGAACGTAGGCTGCAAGCCCCAAGTCGTCTAAAGCCATTCCTCACAGCAATCGAGCCATACGGGAGGGTCATGGAGGGTATCACATCGAACGAGGATCTGGAAACACTTCTACCGTACATCTGGGTAAACGCAGCCTGTGGGACTACTTCAGGAATACTTGTGTTGACTGACCCGTCAGGGACCCACGAAGTTTCTGCTGAAGGTATGAACACGACCTAAGCAGCAGGGGCTTGCCGCATGGCCTGCCAAGCTAAATATGGTGACTTAGGAAACATGCAAGCATGCCGAAGCCTTCGACAAAATACTTACCGCGTACAACGACGTAGGTCAGAGTCTGCCATTGCTCGAAGAGCAGGCAGTGTCAGTGCATAATCAAACTCGCATCGTTGAGGTCTTGTTTCAAATTTACAAGGACTTGCTTGACTTTCATCACATTGTTCTGAACTTTTTCAGGCCACAACGTACGCTTGTATTTGGTTCCTCTCCTCCTCTTGAGCTCGATTCCAGCCGGAACTAATTCCACTGCGTTTCCTAGAATGGGTTCAGCAATTCGACCAAACTTGGAAGGTGCCAGAGTCTCGAATCTCTGGGGTCGTCAGCCGTATAGCTCAATCCCGAAGCTTGATCGAGAAGGACGCCAGCCCGACTGAAGTCGAAGCAATCCAGAGAAACGCTGCTGAGGAGCGGCAGATGCTGGATAACCAGATCGAGCAGGAAGACTTAGTTCGGCTGAAGACCGTGTACAGCTGGCTCAATGCGCCCGATGTGGAAACAGAACATCACGATCTGCTAGAGCTCCAGAAGGAGTACCCGCATACCGGACGCTGGCTTTTTGAAAACAAGGCATTCAATGACTGGTTTGATCCGCATTTTGCTTCGATACCTCCATTGCTTTGGCTAACTGGCATTCCGGGCGCAGGTAATGGTCATCCAGTCAGCGAAGCTGCTGCAAGTGCCTTGCTGATGTCATTGAATCAGGCAAAACTGTCCTTGCGTCCCTCGTGGTCGAGAAAGCACGGCAAACAGATACTCTGCCTACCGTCCTGTACTTTTACTGCAAGGAAGGCAACGAGGAGCGAAACAACTTTGTCGCTATTGCTCGTACCCTACTCAAGCAGCTTCTCCAGCAAAATCAGCCCTTGCTCACCACGTTGTATCCAAGGTGTTGTCGTAGTGGAGAGCCGACACTTACATCGTCCGCCCTCGCGCACCAACTACTACGGATAGCTCTCGACGAGTGTAAGAAAGCGTACATTATTCTGGATGGATTGGACGAATGCCCTCGAGATCAGCGGAAGATTATCGCCACTTGGTTCAGGGGGCTTGTGGACGAGCTACCAATACTGGAGCCAGACAGAATACGCTGCTTGTTCATCAGTCAAGATGATGGTGCTGCGAGGAAAGATTTTAGTGGTTTGACGAGCATAAAAATCAGTAAACTTGATAACAAAGTAGACATCGAGGCGTACAACAGGATCGAGGTTGGAAAACTACGAGAAACATTCCGATTCTCCGAGCAACGGGCAGACGATATTGTTGCTCGCGTCACCAAATCCGCAAACGGTACGAAACCATGCCTCGTGGTGCCTTCTTGTCTTAGCGTGCTGATTGTTGCAAACAGGAGTCTTTTTACTGGCAAAACTGATCTGGGCCAACTTGTCTGCTCAGACTTCGTTGTCGAGGCTGGAAGAGGAGCTAGAGCCGTCAGTATTTCCCAGCGAAGTTGATGATGCGTGAGTGTCACGATACTCTTATGTTGTCATCTGGCAGCTGACTGCGACTTAGATATCAGCGAATCATGACAAGAATCTCGCGAGACTTCCCTAAGCAATTCATGAGCGATGTCTTGAGGTTGTTGGGTTGGCTGGTATGCGCCAAGAGAGCACTTAAATGGCACGAGATTCAAGGAATGGAATCCATCGATCTGCAGAGGCGAGTGATCGCGTACGATGAGCGGAGGTTTTCCAAACCCCCAAAGGACCTCTGTGGATCACTGGTGGAAGTGAGGGAGGATGGGACAGTTGAGCTGGTCCATTTGAGCGCAAAACTGTCAGTGCCAGACTTGCGTTCGTGTGCAACTTCATTGACACCTCTCAACAGATTCTTGATCAAGAAAGAATCGGGCTGGATCAATTCGGGCACCGAGGAAATCAAGTTGGCATGTCTCTGCATCGACTACTTGAACCTGCCTGCGGTCGTACAGGAGCCGAACGAAAATCGAGTCTTCGGTGGGGTGTATGCATTCATGAACTATGCCGTAATGTACTGGCTTCGTCATATTGAAAAGGCAGCAAGCATATTGCAAGGGACAGACAGCTCGGAACAAAGCTCACAACAGCTATGGATAGGACAGCTTCAGGAATCGATGGGACTTTTCATTGAGCAGCATTGGACATCCCCGAGCTCACAGTTGGATTTGGCACCACGCCACAGCAACAACCTGAAATGGTTCCGACTTCTGCCAGCATATCACAACATTGAACAAGCTGTGGCTTCGACGAGACAGCTGCTAAAAGGCTCGATCAAACCAGAACAGGTGGCGCTGGACCTTGCTGAAGTGGACAGGACAGTGCGGCAAGTCCTTGAGGAGACGTGGTTGAGCACCACGAACGCTGGTACACAGCAACAACTCACGGAGAGGTATGGGACTAGACTGTTTAAATGTCCCAAATTTAGCTGTCAGTATTTCTGGATTGGATTCAAAACCGCGCAGAAGCGGAACAAGCATATCGACAAGCACGACAGACCATTCCGCTGTGCGGACGAGACCTGTACCGGCTTCCTCATAGGTTTCATCTCGAAAGCACAAAGAGAACGGCACGACAAAGCTGTTCATACCTCGATACACACTGCGGAGGAGAGGGCGGCAGAGGAAGCGTTTCCGACAGACCTCGAGATACACCGCAGCATGAACAGCGACGCCTCAGCAACGAGCGAAGATTCTGAGCCGGACTCGGATGATGCACGATTGCAGAGCGTGCACAGCGACCAAGAAGGCGACGGCGAAGAAACAGCTTCGCCAGAATCGGAACCTCAACTTTCCGGTCGACCAGCAAAACGGGCACGTTTACGAGAATTCGTGTGCGAAATTTGCGATTTGAAGTTCGATAAGCGGTCCAATCGGTCTTCCCACATGAAGGTGCACGGGCCCCCAACGATTCAGTGCAGCCAGTGCGATCGGAAATTTTATCGACAGAACGAACTCAAGCGTCACCTGAATACCACGCACAGCGACGAGAGACCCTTTGTGTGCCGGGGCCAGTTGAGGGATGGTAGGCCCTGGGGATGTGGCCGATCTTTCAAACGAGCGGACACACTGAGCACTCATTATAAATCAGCCCTTGGGCTTGAGTGCATTCGAGTGTGGAAGCAGGACCAGGAGCAGGACCAGGATGACCCACAAATTTCTGCAGACGAAGCATGACGCAATGAGTATTATTGAAAGCTCGGTTCTGCTTGTCTATGCCTGCTTTCGCCGCAGGAGGATCCCTTAGGCGCGATGTCTCATGGAAACGACACATGTAACGAATACTCTCTTTGCACAACGGATTCCCCGCAATCTGGAAGCTCCGGGCAAGGCCTGCGTGAGGCCTTCGGGAAACAGCGGACGCTGACTATTCCCTCAGGCAGAGTCGCAAGTAACGGAAGCCGTGCCTCTAGTTCTGCTTCATGGTGGAAGTGTTCAGCAAAATCTCGGTAAATTTGCGACGCGTTTCCCAGAGGGTCTCCCGATCGTGCCCAGCGAGACTCTTCGTCATCACTTCTTGACACGCCAACGGTAGGGAAACCTTTCACGCTGAGATTGATGATGATGTCGAAATGAGAGGACTTCCCACTGCTTCGGATCTCACATGAAATGAGCATAAGCTGCCCCGGCCTCATGGCGAATTCGACATGTGGCAAGCCATCGATTGCTGTAGACCCACGCCATGCCTGCAAACTTGACGCATACCCAGCAGTGTCAAAGTCTACTATATACGCTGGCCCCGTCCTGATTTCGTCTGCGAATTCCAACGTGAAAATTGACGCTCCCGTCGGACCACTTGATTGATTTCCGGTTCGAATGAGGATGGACTTGACCGAGGCATCTTCTTTCCAGCCTCGGGGTCCCGAACGTTCTATCAGACAGTGCTCATAGATGTTGATCCTTTCGTAGGCGTCATTCCGGCGCTGGATCGTGAGCCAAACGTGTGAATTCTGGCGCGGGCCACAGTTCAGGCGGAGGAGGCAATGGGCAGGATTACTTTGGCTCTGCCAACGCCTTGCATTTGTTTCCAGGCCTTGGTTGGTTATAGAGAAGCCATGATCGTAGTGGCCAAAATATAGAATGTTTGAAGCATTCCAGAACTCCCGAATTGAAGGTGCCAGGATTCCCCAGCCTGGGTTGTCATCTGCAGGACGCGTTTAGTTGGGCCACGAGGACAGTTCCTTGCATTTACAGAACGACTTACTGTTCTGATTGCCCGGAGCGTTGAGGCTGGTCCGTGGTGATTTAAATGTCCAGGCAAAGATGGAATCGTCATTGTATGTCATGATCAATTCGCGCTGGAGTCTGTTAAAGGCCCGCCACCGTCCCTCTCCGTAAATCAGAGGCAGACTGACGCCAAATAGGCCTAAAAGAGAGTACGACTCGTCCTCTTCAACTGTCGTGCTGCGACGCGAAGCCCACGACAGCCTCATGGCAATTGAGCACGAAACGAAATCAGTAGGGTCGAAACTGATAAGTTGCTTTGCTTCGATGCCGCAAGCCTCCCTGATTTCGGGGGCCCAGCACTCCCGAGTGCCGATTCGCCGCCAGGACTGATCCACGAAAATCAAGTAATGAGGTGCAAGAAGCTCCTGTAAGGTCCAGCCTCTGGTGAACCACTTTGCCTGGACCAGTGAAGGGGCAATAGCTCGGCGGAGAACATTGCCCTGGTCGGCAATCTGGATTGTCCCGGGTCTATCGTCAAGATCGCCGCTTTCGGGGACGTCCAAGTCGATGCGATCAGCCTCTAGAACACTTCGATTGACATCCACATCCTCAAAGTGCGCATAACAAACCACAGCATTCTGATACCAGCGGAACATCGCATTGATGGCTTCTTGTGTGTCCGCCGCATTCGCTTTGTCGATGCAGCAAGTGTCCATCCAGGCGAATTTCCACCCGTCCCTCCACGCTCGGTCGCAGTACTGCTTGACCTTCGCCCAGCCTCTTTGCTTGTAGATGCCATTGTCAATGTCCTGCCTCCTAGTCTTGAGATCCTGATAGGTTATTTCCTCTTTCGCAGATATCCACGTGTGGGATAGGATGGCATATGGCGGGCATTGCCCCGGAAAGTCCTTTTCCTCGAGCAGCTCGTATTGTTGTGTCCGCAGAAGTCGCATACCGACTCGACACTCGAACAGGTCTCTTCAATCGTGGACCTGGCTTCAGCAGCCTAGTCACGGAGCAGCGACCAGTCAACGTTACAACGGCACGATCTGTATGGCCAATTTCAGTAAGCTTAGCGCCAGAGACATCAGAAGCGGCCCTCGCCGCACAAGTTTGCTACGGTACAGGTGAGTTAGGCATACCCGACTTTGCTCATCTTGCATCCCCGAGGCGCGACAGGCAAGGAAAGCGGACACTCGTCTCAGAGGCCTTGTAAGGTGGACTTTGGTGGCATGAAATGTTGTCTGGCCCAGGGCTGTGCATGCATGAGATGAGGCGCTGCCGGGAGCGAGCCTTAGTGTCTGCCTTGCAGGTCGCTTGGAAGAGCTAGACTTCTCAACGATTCCAATTACGGGCAGATAAATAGCTGCACCTTACCTACTACAACTTATGAGAGGTTTTACAGTCCTGAACATGAAAATATCGAACCTCATCGATTGTAGAAGGCGTCTCGAGTTGTACTCATAAATCTCCGCCTGCTGGCTAAAGCCATGGCCAATTCTTCAGCCGATGGCAGCCTGGGCTCGCTAGGCCGGGTTTCCCTGATTGCCCCTCCACCGCTGCCCACCTTGATCGCGGAATGGGCCGCGATTGTCCCGCTTATCTGCAATCTCGCAGACCAACGCGACGACTACAACACCATAGGAGATGTTGCGCTGCGAGGCCGATTGTTCGTTGGTCTGTTCCCACGATTGGGGACGCTTGCCGGCCTTTCGAGGCTCTTGGGAGGAGGGAAACAGTATCTTGACCATGCGAGCAACAAAGGTGGTTCTAGCCGCACAGTCTGGGACGTTAATTGGGGAAGTGTCTTCCCTTGCGCAAATGGCGCTGTTGTTCATACCATCTCCGAGTACCTTCTGGCTGGAACCCAGAGTCGCGTGCGACGCATGCCTGAGACTTGCATCAATGAGGCACGGGGAGTAGATTCTAAGAAGCCGTCCATCCACGCCGACAAGTCAGCAGGGTCGGCGCACACGGCCTACCGTCGCGAAAGCTCCACCTCGCGTGTAGAGGGACAGGACTCGATCAGACGCTCTCAAACCCTTCACGTATACCGCATGAAACGCAAGCGTATAGCTCGTGAATCACAACGCGACATCCGGGGAGTCGTCTCTTCACTACCCTGCCAGATTCTGAAGTACGTGGTGCTCACCGGCCTTGCTACTTTTCTCGTCCTTGTTGGATGCTACGGAACCGCCGCATTGGTTGTCTGCTCCACGACATCAAGTGCTGTTGCGCAGACGATCAATGTCCGACGTCCGTGGGGATACCTGCGTAATAATGAGGATCACAGTGCTTGCATGTTGGTCGCAGCCCACGAGAACGCCGTCGAGTGGCATCTGTACATTGGTGACCGGGCTGTGGTAGACACCATCCTCAACAAACCCATGTTCGGCATCGCGAGTGACGCAGCAACGAGATATGCTGCTAGGTGGTTTTGGGTCGCACACCTCCTCCAACTTGCAGCAATGACCTTTGTGGCCGCTCAAAAAGGTTGGGACGGTGTTTGCATGGTGTTACTGCTCATCGGTCAGTGGGCCTCTTCATCTTTTCACAGCAGCCGAGCTCTGTGCGTGGAATGGCTCAAAACTGAAGGAGTCGATGCCGAAGTCAAGAGCTTCGAGTTTAGCGGACGATCTGGAATGATGGGAGCCATTCAGTTGTTCAGTCAAAGTACTGTGACGCGATGGATGGATACCATCCTGGTACCGCACCCTCGACGAGAGGTCTGGCTTGAGCGACTCACCGGCGGCACAGACGATGTCAATCTCAGCAGCCACGATGAGATCTGGACCAAAAATATGACCGATGTTTCCCGCGTGTCTGCAGCAGTTCTACAAGAGGAATTCAGCGAGGAGCACGCGACAATGTCGGTTGAGGTCAAAGTTTGAGTTCTGTACAAATATGTGCGGGATTCTCTAGCAGTTTTGTGACAGCGTAGGGCAACTGCCCGCATAAAGGCGAGCACACTCTTTACACGACAAACCAATGGGTCCCGTTCGGAGAATTTCATACGGTCTACGGACACGCAGCCAGTGTCGAAAACTGCTCGCGGGGAGAGATACAGCAGCAAGAATGAAAAAGTCAAGCCAGCACGCCGGGTACGTCTGACGTATGACCTACGGAGTACAGAGTGCAGGTTACTGAGGTGGGAAAGATCTACGAAGTTCCAGGGAGTCGCCAGGAATAAGTGGTCCCGGTTGCTGATGTACGAGCCCATACGCTGCCTCCCGTGTACCCCTGGAACCAATCAGAGCGGGACATGTTCGCTGGGATCATAGATTTGGACTTCCGAAGTTTTCTGGGTGGGTTCACTATGTAGGTTTTATGTGCTTGAAGCCAATGAACATGGAAGTTTCTCATACCCTCGCAAGATCCAAGTTTTCGAATACCCAGGCGCAAGGCAGCGTACGGGGCAGCTCATCACAACTGCTGAGCCGTGATGAGGCAAGCACGATCCGTACATAGCCGATAGCGTGGAACATTTATCCTACCCTTACAATTTTGAAGTTTTTCAATTGTATGCAAGTCGCACTCATGTTTTCTTGAGCTGAGTCCTAGTGGGCTAGGCTCTGCCTTCACCTAGGTGTTGTGAGTGGACTCGAGAAAGCAGGATGCACTGTGGCCCCCTGGCCTCACGAGTTTGAGGTCCAATACACGCGGCTCCAGCCATGATTTTGCAAAGCTACTTGGACATTGTGAAAACCTCCATTCGGGCGCTCACTCACATGAAGTAGAAACATCTCTTGCCCTCATAGACCTGAGCTCCGCTCACAACAATCAGACCAAAATCACCACCTGGGCAGACTCCTGGTGGGGTAACCTTCTCCACACTTGGGCAGTCTTGCATGCTCTCAGTGATGTAGCCAGTAAAGTGAGACACTTATTCTACTCTCACAAATTTAAAGGTTTTGATGCCTTCAAGGAGTTGGGCATCAAAGCCTAATGCTGAGCCGTAACTCAGTGCAATCGAACCCTGCCAAATTACCAGAGTACTGAGGTACTCTGCACTGTAGTAGAAGTGTCTCTCCTCACACTTTGTGTATAGCATCATGACCAATATCCCAAGACATTTGTTATACTCTCACATTGTTGAAGTCTTCTCCTGTGGAGCATTTCTGGCACTGCCCCTCTGTTGCTTAGCTGTAATAGAGTCATGCTCTTGTTTTATTGTGGGTGAAGGGCCCATCACCGAGTTGTCAGGCAGTGTTGATGCAGCAGCATGGTGTAGTTGATGAAATGAAGCCTGCGACCTTGCCTTTTCTCGGGACAATCGAACTAAAAGTCCTGGACACCTGCAAGCTGTAGTGTGCCTCTCCACAGAATGTATCTATATAGCTACTGGTAGAGCGAGGAATCTCTTCTTCCCTCACAAATTTGAGAGTTCTCAGGAATCAATGGTGGGTCGCTGACTAAAGGACCGGATATCAACTCCTCAGTAATCCAAGGCAATTACTCCCCTGCCAAGGTTTCTAACGTCCCGAGCCGGACGTGTCTTTCTCCACAGTGTCTGTAAAGCCAATAGAGCGAGGAGTTTCTCCTTCCCTCACAAATTTGCGGTATTTCAGAAGAGGAATGTTGTTCACGCCAGCGAGTCGCGCTGAGCCGTAATTTAAGGCAATCATTCCCTTGCCAAAGTCCCCAGACCTCGAGCTGGAAGTAGTTTTTCTCCACAGTGTATACATAGCCAATAGGGCGATGTATTTCTCCTTCCCTCACAAATTTGAGGTTTCTCAACGTCCAGACTAACGACCCTACCCAAAGGACCGAATATAAATGCTGAGCCGTAATCCAGGGCAATCTATCAATCCCCTACCAAAGTCCCGGGACCTCGAGCTGGAAGTAATCTTCTCCACAGTGTATACACAGCCAATAGGGCGATGTATCTCTCCTTCCCTCACAAATTTGAAGTTTTCAGTCGTTGACTGCGGATGTAATCTCAAGTTCATGCTGAGCCGTACCTCAATCAAGCCTCACAGTTCTGAGGACTTTTCGAGATCAATCGACCCAAAGTTCGCGGACCTCTGGACTTTTGAGCTTAAGGTGCCTCTCCTCTCCACACAGTGTACACGGTCATTAGTCGATGCATGTCCCTGTCCATCTTGTCCTCAGACTATCTATCACAGCATGGTACGTACCTAACACTGCCTCAACGCACGCTGTCCAGCACTATGGAATACCAAAGAACATCACGGGATCAAGCATTATGATTGGACGACAGGGGCGCTTCGGCTGAGACTGGGCTATCCAATCGCCTATGCAAATTCTCTATTATGTCGGAAGGTCGTCACATTGATCGCCCTACGGGCGCTTAATTATCTTGGACACTTGAGCCAGAGGGTTCTCTCCTCTCCACACAGGGTGTACACAGCCAATAGAGCGATGCATTTCACCTTCCCTCACAAATTTGAGGTTTCCGTCAATATGACTCAATCACAGCACTTTGTTGTTGCTGAGCCGTAATTCAGGGCGCGTAGATCTAATGCGATCGAACCGAAGTCCCTGGATTCCTGAACTAGGAGTGTGTCTCCACTGAGCGTACACAGCCAATAGAGCAAGGGATGTCTCCTACCCTCACAGATTTGAAGTTTTTGTAAACATGTCTGAACAGAAGTTCCCCCTTCAGCGACTTCTTTGCTGAGCCGTAATTCGGGGCAGTGTCAGTCCCTTGCAACTTCAGCAAGTCTTAGACCACGCTGCTTTCTTTCGAGAACCGCCAAGAAATCTTAAACTCACGACTCTGGTGATTCGTGATTCGGGAGTAAATATGAGGTAGATCAAGGACGTGTGCCACGACAGATGTTTGATGTTCAAAACTCCATTCATGTCTATCAAGTACTAGCATCTATGATGGTGCAAACAAAACCTCACCTACAAGACTTAGACCACTGAACTATGCAGAGCCCGAGACCTAAGTTCTACTGGACCTGACTTACCTCAGGTATAGGTGCAGTGCACGCTGTGCCATGCAGCACAGGTAAGTACATCAGTAGGAGTACAGAGTATACCTAGGTAAAAAGTTCTTATCAGCAGGTTGGGTGCTAAGCACTTCTTGTCTGCCGGTGTGTCGAAGACTTTAGCTAGACGTTAACACCCTTCTCTGCCTCTCCCTCGTCACGACGAGAATGCGCACGAAGCAGACTTCGCACTGAAACCTCGTACATGGCGTGCTGGAGGAGAATGAAAGCAGTGGACGCAGCCACGGGGCGTCCGACAGCTTAAGCACGAAGTAGATGTAATTTTGTTCTCTGTTACACGCGTATGTACGTCGGAGCTACCATGAACGCGCCATTGCCGTTCGATATTTTCTCTCGAAACCGTTATGCAAGTCACGGTCGCTGCAGCACGTGTCGGACTGATCACAGAGCCCGCCGGCCTCGAGCTTCGGCTCGAATAATCTGGCGACTGTTTGACGAATGGTTTATTGTTCGTTCCGTCGACGCCCGTGCGGCCCGAACAACTCTCACCATCAGACATCGATACCCTTTTCTTTCCTTACCGCCAGACCTAGGGCCGCGATCCGGAAACAGCCTCATCACCGCATCACCGTCCTCCTACCAACATGCGCCTTTAGCCATGTCCCCTACACGTGGCCCTCAGATCGCAGAGAATCTCTGAGAAGCAGCCTAGCTCAGAGCACGACGTGACCGAGGAGTCCGAGCCTGTCGGCCTGATCGCATGGAGCAGCTGTTGTTTGTGTGGTGAACTAGCATTTACACGAAAGAGATCGCTCCAGTGGCGGTGGTAGGCAGGGTTGGTGAGCCCAACCCTAAAGCTGGGAGAAGGCTTGCGCTTGGGGACAGGGTATACTGAGCTGCGCAAGGTTGCTATAAGCGGACTGGAGGATTCGGGCAGCATGTGCCGGGATTGAATGGCGCTGTGAAGCACCTCGCAGGTGCATGTCGATGGCGATGTCGTGGACTGTGTCTCGGTGGGCCGCGTGGAGCAAAGGACGGACTTGAGCCTGTGATAGTAATGCGTTGGAGGCTGAGATAGCGATCAGAGAATTGGTCCAGATGGCATTGCCTCGTCACTTGGTCGCTTGCGGTGGAATTTCGTGGTGTCTACGGTCACTACCTGTAGCAAGATGGCGGTGCAGAGGTTGCTGCTGGTAGATAGGCCTCGCCGGGTGATTTCCATGCGCTGCATGTCGCAGGTCGCCCTATCGTCAAGAGGCGCGATGCCAAACAGTGCTGCTCAGCATCAACATCAGCGACAGAAGCGCCTCTTTTAGTGCCTTGCGTAATGGAGGCAGCAAACTCATAGCTCGGTGCTGGGACCAAAAGTATGGTACTGCTTCCGCCTCGCAAGTTGCCCCAAGTCGCCGCACCAGGCGTCCATTATCGACCACGGAAGGGACCTGGCCGGCAAAGCCGAAGGCATTCCGAAGAAGGTGGCGGACATGCCGGCGCCAGGTCTGAAGTTGTCAGATCGCTCACTACCTTGCTGTCAATACCATGAGAGTCTTTCAGGACAATAGATCGTTGCTCACAATCTTGGAACAAGTAGTCCAATGACTGAATCGTTACAGTCACCGATGGCCAACGGCAGATGCATCTTCACGAGTTCGACGGGTAGCAGTGCAAGGTTCCAAACCTTTTGGGACTTCATGGAGGGGCTCGCCTTCCAAGGCTCCCCGGCCAGCTAGTCCCACATGAAATCTCGCACTTGGTGATGCACGACTCTATCAAGACAGGCGTACTCGTCTGATATCGATGACCCGGAAGGCATTTGTGTCGAATTCCAGCATGTCAAACAGGACGTGCTGCACGAGCAAGTTCATGCCCAGCCCTTGAGCGCCAATAGCTACACCGGCACATTTGACCAGCTCGGACATGCTAGACAGGCCTTGTGGCAGGTCTTGCAGTGACAAGCCGGACGCGTGCGAGCTTCACCCACGAAGCCATACTATCAAGATAGGCTGGTGCTCAATAGGTGGCACTTATTGGCGAGATTGGCGGCTTGAATTCTGCAGACATCGGATGCCTGTGAGATGCGAGTGACGCTCCTTTCAACGACACTTGGACGTACGCGAGCCGGGCACATCGTCTTGCTCGGTATGCCGAGATAACTATGGCCAAGCTGTGGGCTTGACTGCTGGATGCATGTATTGACTGACGGAGTATAGCGTCGTAGTATGCGGTGCTGATTTTGTTTGTGTCCCAATTACATGCCCGGCCCCGATCGCAGAGCCTGTCGGCCTCGTTATGTGCTCTGCGCCGCTAAACCTTAGCTGCAGCACGTGCCAGCAGCAGTTCATCGGCGGTCTAAGCAGCCGTGGCGTGGGAAAGGTGAAACAGCCTGTGCTTGCCGCTGTTGTCCCCTGTTCCGGAGCTCGGGTGTACTGCACATGAAAATCAGACGTGGGTAACAGGGAGAGAAGAGAGGAGAGAAGAGAGGCACGGCCCAATGCATTGTCGCGGTCGCAATCTATCGAGAGACACAGCTGCGGACCTGGCTGCAACCACGCTAGGACTGCTTACAGAAGCTCGCACAACGAAATCGGAACCTGGGAAAGTCAAGGTAAATGAGGCCTGCGCTGCTGAGAGGCAGCGTCTTATTTACCTTGATTGGGTACGCTGCCTTATTACGGCTCATCAAATAATGTGGTGATTGCCTTGCGACTCGGATCAGTCGCTCGAGAAAACTTCAATCTCGCGAGGGTAACTGAAAGGTCTGTTTTCATTGGCTCCAACTAGCAGTCGGCTAGAGCACAGTCTTTTTGACGCCAAGGATAAACTTGATGTGAAGCAGGAGGATCTCCAACTCCAACTCTTCCAGGTTGTTCAATACTCTTTTCAAGTAATTAGCCCTTCCCGCCCGACGACTCAACGTCTGGTCAGACTATCCAGCTTCTTCTTGTCTACACTCTCCCGTCGCAGGCCACGTCGCGATCTTTCACCGCCGTGAAGAAGCACCAAACCCGCCACCCAAGATGGTGGACATCGTCCCCGTCTCCTCCTACCCCTCGCACATCTCCCTCCTCCCCTCCATCCAACAATGCAACCTCACCAACCTCCCCGAAAACTACTTCCTCAAATACTACCTCTACCACGCCCTCACCTGGCCGCAACTCTCCTTCGTCGCCATTGTCCGGCCACCCAATAACAAACACACCCCATACCCCAAAGTCGTCGGCTATGTTCTCGCCAAAATGGAAGAGGATCCGCCCGACGGCGTGCAGCATGGGCATATCACGAGTTTGAGTGTGATGAGGACGCACAGACGACTGGGTATTGCCGAGAAGCTGATGCGGAATAGTCAGAGGGCGATGGCGGAGGTGTTTGGGGCCGAGTATGTGAGTTTGCATGTCAGGCTGGCGAACAAGGCAGCATTACATCTATACCGAGACACACTCGGATTTGAGGTGGAGAAGGTCGAAAGCAAATACTATGCGGATGGGGAGGATGCGTATGCGATGAGGATGGATCTGAGGAGTATGCAGATCAAGGATGTGGGCGAGGGCGATGAGGATGAGGGTGATGCCGTGGGGGATGCTGACAAGAAGGAGGAGACTACGGTCAATGGAGAGAAGATGGTCAAGGTCAAGGTTGGGAGGGGGCTTGGAGTGGGCGATTTGGTTGAGAAGAACGAGGCTACGGCGAAGGGTTCGTGAGGAGCGGATCAGTGATCATGTTCGACGCAGAGACCGAGGAGTCGAAGCGATTCTACTGAACCAGCATGGTCTATCTCAATACCCGTTGCCAGTCGCCACAAATGCTGTTATAGCGGCATCTCTTACACGCTGTGCGACGTCGACTGGCACAGTGGACGCAGAGACCACAGGCACAGCGCCGGCCGTACACTGTTTCCTGTCATACGCAAGATGCTGGTGCAGAAGATGCCGCGCCGGAGACCGCCATTGAGTGCTTTTGTCAACTCTTGTTGATATCATGAGGGTTGGAGACAACGGCGGTCTCCCAAACGCTGACCTACAAGTCGTGGGAACAGGTCAATAACGCTGTCATGAGACAACGAAAAACATAGACATGCCAGCCAGACTGGACAAGAAGAGTTCTCCTCAATCGTCCCTTCATGCCTCGAACGATCACACATCCCACCCCGTCTTTTCAAAACACCAAAAAGAAAGCACAATGGAGTACACAGGAATCGAACCTGTCACCTCTCCTACCTAGCGACTTCGAACATCCACCCAAGACGCGACCTCGAGAGGCCGGGTCCCGGGGTTCAGTGATGTCGTGCTAAAGGAGCGTCATACCACTAGACCAGAACCCCTGAAAGTGCGATCGATCTTGTCGACGCGGTGCTGATTGTTGAGCAAGATTTCGTTGGGATGGATATATAAACAGCACTGTCTCGACGGTCTACCAGAAGAAGTGCTTACTAGAGGTCAATTCAGGTTCTCAATGCGCAGGCCGCCCTAGCCAGGGAAATCGATCTGATGGCTGCACGATATTCATGCACAAGCAAGCCTGAAGTGAAACTCCTTCGAAGAAATCGCACTCAAGTTGATTCGAGGGTGGAAAAGTTCTCAATTCAACGTCCTACCACTACATTGTCAAGAATAGCACTCGACCCGATCTCCAACCTTCACCCACCCCTTTTCTCCCCCTCCGTCCAGTTCGTCACCTCCCCTACCGCCCACAAGAGCCAAATGCGCACCAAACCAAACTTTTCCTTCCCTTCTCCTCGTCTTCGCCAACGTGCTGAACGGCTCCTGCCGCCTCGTCGCGTCAGTCTGGTCTATGCATACCATTTGACAGCGCTGGCAGGGGCCGAGGACGTCGAATTGTGTCTTGTCACCATTTTCACCAGTAGAGGACGCGTCGTTGAAGATGGAGATGGTAGTCCAGTCGTCCTCTGCGTACGGATGTTCCTTCTGTCCGCGGACTAGCGTTTCGGCAATGACGATGTTGCCACGGAAAGCCTCCGCAGGGACGGCTTTCCCGGGCTTGATTGTGGATGAGGCAATTCGGGCTTTGATGTCCTCGTTCAATCGATTCACACTCGAGCGGGAGACGAGCAGAATGGGTGATTCGTTGGCGAGAGCGATCGCACGATCTGTATTGACATCAGGCAATCCCCGTATCTGTGGTTTCCGCAGCACGCCGGAGTGTGGGAAGCGGGCGAGCGTGCAAGGAACGTTGAGAGCGGAGCTGAAGAACTCGGTGATGTGCGGGGCGGTGTAGTGCTCGATCGAGACGGGTTCGCCACAGACGGAGGTAGGCTTGCGTGTGCAGATTGTGGAATCAATGGACAGCAAGTTGCTGTTATCACCTAGAGCTATAGTCAGTGCTTGTGGTCGACTCTGACCGTTCAGGTTGTGGGTGATTGTAAGGGTCTGCTGGTGTAGATCTATGGTCGGTCGCAATAAGGCCATCTTGGGATACTTCTTCTGGCTGAGTGCTTGGTGGGTGCCCAGATGCACGAGACACCACTCACGGTCGTGGAGAAGGCCGCGGGCCCCAACTTGCCAGTTGGCATAGGAGGGGATGGGGAAGGCGGCGCAGCTTTTGATTGGGAAGATTGTGAGGCTCTCTATTGTGAAGGTGTGCTTCTTTGGTTTGGGTGTGGGATTGCACGGAGGGCTGTGTGGCGAAGTGTCGCAATAGTATTCGCGGATGAAGGCGATGAAGGTTTCGACGTCCTTCAGGCTACTCATCGCACCCAAGCTGACTCTGATTGTCCCGGAGGCTTCCCGTTGATGATATCGCCGAGTCCTCCGCAGCGGTATCCGGCCTGATAGTTGCGGCGCAAGTCATTGGGTGTGAGACCTAGAGCAGTCACTGTGCCGCCGGGGTTGCAGAGTCCGCCTGTCCTCAAGTGGATCTTCTTCACGATAGCCAGCTTTTCAACTTCTGCGTTGCTGACGTATTCGCCGTGTCTATCGAGCAGATTGAAAGAGACGACAGGACCGGCATCTTCGCCAGCTTCTCGCTCCATGCCATACATCTGGCATACTGGGCGACCGACTCCATGCCGCATCTCCGTGAGCTGCTTTCGCAGCATGTTTGCAAGATGTTCGCAGTGGCGGGAGATGTCAGTCATGCTCTTGTAGAGCGTACGGTGAAGTCGTAATGCATGCTGCAGTGCGATGATATTGTGAAAAGGTAGCGTGCCATCTTCGAGCTGTGCATGTATCGAAGTATCTCTGACCTCGTGCCAGGTCTTCCCGGACACCGCGACAGCCTCGACCGTGCCACCTCCGAAATAGCGACGTTGGGTCAGGATTCGGCCGGCGTCTTTCTTCACGATCAGCGCGCCGAGATCCGGGAAGCCGAAGATCTTGTAGAAGCTCAAAGCTGTGAAGCTCGGGGCGATTTGCGGGTTTGATAGGTCGATCGGCGCAGTAGAGGCAAGTGCTGCCGCGTCAAATAGCGTATAGCATTGCTGTCCTGTACTGCGCAGTTCGTTGGACATCTCTGCCCATCTAAAGCCATATCTGCGTCCGGTCATGTTTGACTGACCAGGATATGCCAGTAGTTGAGGTTGCTGGACAACCTCACTTGAACCTTGCTTCAACCATGACTCGACCGCATCGTGGCTTGTCAGACACTCGGCTCGCGGAGAGAGCTCCCTTACGCCGATCAGACTGGTATGGGAGTCGACATGGTAGCCATATTGGAAACCTCCAGGCTGTTCTCTGAAGGCATCTGCCACAATCTTGATTGCCGTTGTAGCATTTGCGGTGAAGACTACGTCGAAGACATCCGGATCGGCTTTCAAGAAGCGGAGCACCTCGAGACGCGCATCGTCTACCCGCTGAGTCGAGAGCTGAGAGGATCCAGAGGCTGAATGTGGATTGCCGAACAAATTGGTCGTGAGGTCTTTCGAGAATGCCTCAATAAGAGATTTCGCATACAAAGTAGTACCGGAATGATCCAGGTATGTGAGATCCGTCAATTGAGGATACTCTGATGCTCTGATTGAGTCGATGTTGTTGAAATACCCTGTGATCGGGTCTATCTCAACCCGCGAGGGAGCCATCATGGCGGCCATTCGCTGATGTTCCTGCTTTTCCTACGGAGTTGATATCGACAGCCCATTGAGATGAAGTTGCTCGGGAGTCGAGTCGGCAGCAGCAGCGTGGGCGATGAGGTGTAGGTAAGTCTACTGATGTACGAGATTCCAGAGGCGATAATGAGAGATCAGGGCAGTAAGGTTTGGCTCGGCCATCTCCGCCGACCGAGATATCCACGGCGGCCTCAATTCTTCCCCATTTTGTCCACTCTTCTCCCACTTAGGCCATTTCGTGTCATGCTTTCATGTCATGCTATGATGCTCACTCCTTCCGAAAACGAAATGAAACGCTGTCAGAAGAAGAGAAGTAGGCGACATGAAATGTTCGTTTGATTGGTACATTGTCGTATATTCAAGTGTTTGCCCAGACCCTGCACAGTACAGTTCGCTTGCTACAAAGCATAAGATCGCCAACTAAGGCCGTGTCGTCCATACGCCTGGGTTCAAGAAAATTCGTTACCGCGACTCTCCTCGACTTTACACATAGTACCTGCGACGGCTGCTAGACCTCCTCGAACCAGATCGGGAGTGACCTCGTCTGCTGCTGTGCCTTGATGTCCGGCGAACCTCTTTCGTGTACACCTCCCTGTGATGGCGATGCAGGAAGAGCGCCAGAATGAATGTGATGAAGAAGGTGATGATGTTGATTATGCCAAACACCCAGGATGCGAACAGCATGCTGCAGTTCTTCTTCAAGTCACTTGCAAGTGAATTGCCCGCCAGTCGACCCTCTCCTCCGAAAGGACCCAGACGCTGGTAGATCCATGAGTTGACGAATCTGTCGCAGGTGTCTGTGTCTTCGATGTAGCGCAGATAGTAGACGGCTGCGATGAAGGCGCCGACGAAGCACAGGTCGATGAAGGCGACGAACAACGCTGATCGTCTGGTCGAGCCTAGGCGGACTAGAGTTGCCAGGGCCCAGGCGGCTGCGAGGATCGACACGATGAAGAGGACGAGGATGAAGGACGGCGTAAGTCTGTTGTACTTGTTGAACCCATCGACGAACCATGCCTGCGTCTTGTCAGCATCGCCGTACCAGTCCAGGAAGTTTTGGTCAACGTACCAGCATGCCAATGATAGGAATCAGCGTGATAAGCTGGAAGATGCGCCATGAGGCGAAAAGGAAGCCGCCCAACATCGTCGCTGCTGATTGCGGGGAATCCTCGAGAGGCTGTCAGCGGGTGCGCCTGCGGAATGTCAAGGAAGGAACAGTCTGGTAGGAGATAAATTTTGGCGCATATGCTCTGTAATTATACAGCAGCTGCAGCAACGTGGCAGAAATCACAATCTCGCCAGTCTGGTGAAGGAGGCTGGGATGTTCTCTGTTCGACTTCGAGAAAAGTAATATGAGATGGCGGGGAATCCTTAGCCCAGTTTTTGAATTGGCAGCATCCTTGTCGCCTGTCGAGCCAACGTGCAGGTGCTACCTGTATTGTAGCCTATGAGCATCTACAGCGTACGACTGCACCAACTTGATCATACTACAGCAGTGATCGCACCTGCGCAGCCTACTGTACATGTCTTCCTGGTGCTCGAAGTACATTCTATAGATACCGAGGATGACCCACCCGCACATTGGGGGCAGCCGTCCGGCGGGCCCTGCCGCCTTCCACGTCGGTTTGTTGCCCTCGCCTGCTTTCGACCCGACCCCGAGTCAACGTCATGGTCCCTAGGTAGTCCTTTGCACTTTCTTGGTCGAAAGAGTGCCTTCCGAAGTTCTTGATGTAGAGCCAGCCAAGCTTCATCTTGAAGGGACCCGGACGTCTGACAGAATCGGCTCGAGTTCGTGTTCCGAGTTTGACAGTCTGCAGGCCTATCGTGGAAACAACACGAGAAGCTCGTTCCTTGCCACCGTCGCCAGACGATGTTGTCAAACAAGGAGATGTCATGATCGATCGAGCATTTATACAGCTCCAGAGACCATCGCCAGGCGGGCTCCGCAAACATTGAAATCGATCACTTAGGTCGCGTTCCCCTCCGCAATGCGGGATGACATCTGGACCCGAGCACGCCATAACGACGTCCGGTCAGTCGGCAGAGTCGAACGATGAACCACAGCCAATCGGCGAGCCTGAACACTTACTGCAGGATCCGTCCACCTTGGAAGCAATTGAGCTTGAAAGAGCGTCCTCGCGTCACTTCACGAATGTCGAAGCAGCTTCCAATCCGCAACATGGTCCCGTCAGACGGTGGCTAGCCAAAGAATGGAAGAGACACGTATCGTTGCGTGTACCCCACGCAAAATGTCGAGACCATCTGGGTAAGTGCTTCGGTAGACATTGCATCAAGTGTTGCCGAACTAAGGTTGTCTCGACAGCAAACGAACGCACATTCCTGGGATACCTTCGGACGAGCCAGATGATGTCCATGCTGGGTGTCTTCATCGCCCAGCTCTTCCGGCTCAATCACTCCCCGTCCCCTAGTCCAGTTTTCGGGTTCTTCGTGATTGGTGTTCCTCTTTCGAGCATCTGCCAGGTCATGGCCCTGTTACTCCTACTCATCGGTTGCCATCGCTTCTTCAAACTACAGAAGATTATGGCTCTAGGCAAAGCCACGTCTGGTGGATGGGAGGTCAATGCAGTTGCGTTTCTTGGCATTGCTGTATGTTATCCGGCACCACATCCGAGCAAGTCGAGTTGACCCGTACAGATCTGTGTTACACTATTCGTACTGGTCCTTGGGATCACGATCGAGCGCAGCTGATTGCTTTCGAAGCAACGACTTCAAGCACATCGGCTTCGATCGTCACAAACTATTGACCTCACACAGGTGATATTGACCAGGCCTTCCCAGAGCAGAGGAAGCTACGAGCTTCAACAGCATGACCTTCATCAGATGTCCTATGTTGTTTGGCAGAAGCGAATCAGGTGCGTCTTGGAAATGCAGCAGGGATGACCAAAACATTTCCTATACAGGCTACATGTCGGCGCAAACTGACGACACACGGATCACAGACGAATCTAGAGGCTAGCTCGCATCTTGACGTGGGCTGTGGCTTGTTACCTCTCTACTGAGTGCCCCGATACCTATTCCCAAAGTCTGCTGTCCGCCTCTGAAGAGCATGGCATGCTGCGCACCTCCCGAAGTCAGCGGCCGAGATTCGCCAATGCGGACCAGGAATAGCGAGGCACACTCAGTCCCATCAATCACTTCAATATTGCACCCTTCGTGGGTCTACACAACCAATTGCAAAGCAGTTTTTCTCCTAAGCGCTGGAATGTCGGCTGCCAAACGGTCACCAATGTCACGTGACCCAGCCACGACCGAGCTCACTCAACTTTGTCAAAGTCAATTCTACCGAGCAGACTGCACTCTGCCATGACTGCCACGATGAACCTGACCGAACAGGTTGGCAGGTCGATGGTTATGGCCAGGTCGGTATAGCATGAGGTCAAGGAATTCCGCGAGTACGCAACCCCGGCCTTATGGCAAAGATCACCGAACGCAACATCGGCAAACCCCTCTTCTGTCACCACGGCGCAGCAGAAGACTGGCAAGTGTGCCTCGCCATACTCGGTCATCCCACCAGGAAGCTACATGGACAACATGTTCTCCTCACGCGGCCGTTGGGACAGCTCCGGAAGCGGAAGCGATGCCACTGAAGAACCGGTACTGGAGTACGAACCAGCCCGTTATGGACATACTCTTCATCAAGCCGTTCGTATGAACGCCCTCTCACCCTACACTAGAGAGCATGACCGTATGCGACCTTGGTAACACCCGGTATGCACGACATCTCAACGGCTTTCGAATGCAAGATGATGGCAGCATTACTGCCTACTTACCGAACATGGTGGTCACATTAAGAGCCCGGACAAGTCGAGACCTGTACTTGGAATTCTTCAGCACCTTCGCACAGAAGAGGATCTGGACCAGCAGAGGACGTCACCAAAAGTTGAAGCGTCGCTTCTTTTATCTTCTGACTTTGTGGATCTTTCCTGGCCAGCGTTGTTTGCTCGGCGACACAGCGTCGGATACATTGGACGTGGCAGCTTGACCACAACCACGTTCCACGACCCAAAGTCAACATGTCACGGGCGTCTTCGGTGTCGTCTCAAGGTCGACCCATCCGACGCGCGGTGCCAGTCGAGCGCCTGACGAGAGACCAGCGCAAGTGGGAAGCCCTCGACTTTACCTTCTCCTTCCGCCTCAAAGTCCGCATCAGAGTGGCGGAGAACAGATACGAGGACATCTATAAGGACGTGCTGTCCGGCGACCCGGAGTACACTACGATGTCCAACAGGGTCCCGGAGATTCGAAACCGCCGATCATCTTGGACCTTCGAGGGCGACTTTGCCTTGACTCAGATTGCGCACGCGAGCAATGATGAGCACTCCGATATACTTGAGGCATGGCGGAGGATGAAGCCGGCGGAAGACAGAGCAACGAACTTTTATCAAAGAGTCCAGAGAAGGACAGAGTCAGCGTTCAAGGGATATGTCGATCATCGCGCAGGCACAAGAACATGGGCGCAGCTCCGGCTGATCTTCACCGCAGTCTACCATGATCTCAAGAACAGAGGCCATGATGACAGAGACGCTGAGATCAAGTACATCGGCAACTTGTTTAAGTGTCTTCGGTTGATCATCACGGGTGCCTTGGGCCTCGACAGAGAACTTTTACGATCTGAAACGCTTCCCAGGGCTCTGACAGGTGCCATGATGAATGATCAGATCTCCCCAACGATACTGGATGTTTTCGAAAACTTGTTGCGCCGCCTTCCTCCCCTGACGGCATCTCTGCCTGAAACAAAAAGGATCGTGAGGCTGTGTAGGGATCAGCTGGAGAGGATTGACGAAGACAGTGATTTTTTCAATCGGTTCGATGAGATCTTCGATACCCTTCTATAATTCGTCAGGCTTGGCCAGCTCATGGAGGCACCGGGTCAGGATTTCTTAGACGGCTAATTTTCTGCCGCTGTCACAGCTCTGCTTTTCGTTTTACTCATAGGGGCTACGGGTGGGATATAATTTGTACATGTCTTTTGACCATAGTGCATGATCTCGAGCGGAATATGTTCCATGCAGTCTTACACTAGCGTGTCACATGCAATACGCGAGTCCGGAGCAAGCGTTTGCGGGGGACAATGTCTCCACACGAAGAACCACTCCAGGGCTCAACAAGGCTTTTCTCTGAACCGAGGCTGTTGGAGATCTGTGACGAGAGCAGTACTCTTGAACAGATCGAGTCAGTGCCATCCGTGTATCGCTTTCATGGTTGCGAGCACCATGTTCCAGACCCTGCAGGGTGACGCCAGAACGCGTGCAAAAACAATGTGTCTACCCCGCGAAGGAATTGAGTTGCGCCTGCCCCTCCATACTTTTGCTGCGAGACACTGTATATAGGTAGGAAGCTGCACCGCGTGGTATTGCAGTTCATCATCCGAAGAATTACTACACGTTCCGTTCTTGTACATCCTCGTCTGTCCCACGTGCAGCAAATAGCAAAGCGTCTCACCATCCTAAGCTCAAACATCAGAGAACAGTTTATCGAACATGGCCACCGCAGAGATCCCCAGCCGACACAAGGCCCTTGTCTACGATGAGCCAGGCAAGATTTCCACCAAGATCGAAGAGATCGAGACACCCAAGCCAGGCGTTGGCGAGGTCCTAGTCCGCCTGACCCATTCTGGCGTGTGTCATTCAGATATGGGAGTCATGACTAATTCGTGGTCGTGGCTGCCGGCGCCAACGCAGAAGGGCCAGGTTGGTGGGCATGAGGTCAGTACTGCCCTTGTGTGGCTTGCGCACTCTCGACGTCTTACTCACCAGCTTCATAGGGCGTTGGCGAAGTCGTGGCTTTTGGACCCGGAACTGAGAGCACCGTTCTGAAGAAGGGCCAGCGAGTGGGTAAGTACAGCATTCCTAGAATCAGTACAAGGAAGATGCTAAAGTCAGCTCAGGAATTAAATGGATGGCATACGCATGCACGCAATGCCCGGCATGCCTCGCTGGCCTCGACGCGAGTTGCTCAAGTGGCAAGATCAGCGGTTACTACTTCCCAGGAACTTTCCAGCAATATGCTGTTGCACCTGCACACTACGTGACCCCGATCCCTGACGGCCTTCCAAGCGATGTTGCAGCTCCGATGCTGTGCGGTGGTGTTACAGTACGAAACATTTTTACCATCTGTTGCTTTGACTGACCAGTCCAGGTTTATGCGGCTCTCAAAAAGTCTGGTGCGCAGCCGGGTGACTGGGTCGTCATGTAAGTTTTCGATGCGGGCGCTCTGGCCGTAGTCCGGCTAACAATGTTGTTAGTCCTGGCGCCGGTGGCGGTCTTGGCCATATGGCTCTCCAGATCGGATCGAGAGGCATGGGCTTCAGAATGATCGGTATTGACGCCGGCGAGAAAGAGAAGCTTGCCAAGGAGTGCGGAGCTGAGGTCTTCTTCGACGTGACCAAATATGGCAAGGACGCAGACGCAAGCAAGAAGCTCGCAGAAGACGTTAAGCAAGCCACTGGAGGACTAGGAGCGGCGGCCGTCGTTGTTTGCACGGCCTCGAACGTTGCCTACGGGCAAGCTTTGTCGTTCCTTAAGTTTCACGGTACGCTCGTCTGTGTTGGCGTACCCGAGGGCGAGCCAGAGGTCATTAAGAATGCTGATCCAGCTACCATGCTCGTCTCGTCGCTGCGCATTGTGGGCAGTGCAGTCGGCAACAGGAAGGATGCTATTGAGACTTTGGACATGGCTGCACGGTAAGTGATCCTTCAGCAAGGCTCCGAGCTCAGACGCTGACGACACCACAGTGGAGTTGTAACGACCCGTTTCACGACCGAGAAGATGGACAAATTGAACGATGTCTTCGAGCGGATGGACAAGGGAAAACTCCAGGGCAGAGTGGTGCTCGACCTCAGCGACTAGAGGGCGCTTCTTATGCGCTCGCTATGTCGGCTGTGCATTAAGGCAGTCGCGTCAAGTGTCTACTTCAGAAATACTTAGAACTCCTTGTACAAAAGAACTTGCACAAAATATCGTTCTTGAGCCATGTTCACCGTGTCTGCCTTGCGGTCTTTCTAAGCATCCTTGCAGGGTCGCCCGACCGCCGTCGGGCTGCAGCTCCAAGCCTTTAAGCCGCGCCCAATTTCGCTGCATGTGAATGACAGATGTGGGGGCGGAATCCAACGTGAACTCATCGACTGTTGAATCCCGGACTGCGTGTAAGCGATAAGTCGTTCCTGCACAGCACTGATCATGCTCGCAGGGCAGCGACGACTGCTACTGCGGAAGCATAGCTCCACAAGAGACCGGATGAGGCCGCTCTGCCACAGAGCATTATGAGCTCAGGCTACACACCACCACCATGGCAGGCTCCGCCTCGTCGCGCCGGTGGATGGGGAGACCCTCGCTTCTCGCAGAATCAACCTCACCAGCAGCAGCAATATGGACACTCCCATCAAGCGTCTGCGCAGTCTCCGATCTCCCCGATAAACCCCCAGGCTTTCGCATACCATCCTCCAGAGTCGAACCAGCCTGGCGCATATGGAGCACAGCCGCAGTTCGGTGCGGGTCAGGGACAATATGATACCTCTACGTGGGGCGTGAAGTACAATCAGAGCTCGGGCCAGAGTCAGCCATGGCAGAGCGTGATGAGCGACCCCCGGCTCTTCCACCGCGACCTACGAGCACGGTCAACACGCCTGGTCCTCAGTACGGTCCACAGTCGACGGAGCAATGGCCGGCATATGATGCTTTGCAGTCGCAGCAGACATATCACCAGCAGCAACCGTCGTGGTCGGGTACATATGATCAGCAGTCAACCTACAACCATGCTGCGCCGCCTCCACCTCCACCTAAACCACCAGTCTACGAGCAGACGAATCAGCAATACTCACAACCGGTCGCTCCGCCTGACCAATACTCCCACCACCCACCGACACACCATTATGACCCTCAAGCATCTGGCAACCCGTATGATCGCTACACTCCCACTCCAGGCCCAATACAAGGATCCGCCCACGACCCAGCTCCGGTGTCACCGATCGAGCCTGGCTCGAACAGATGGCAGGCCTCTCGACCGCCGGTGACATCGTCCTTTCAGGCACCTGCACAAGCAAGCGCGCCTCCTAGCTCGAATCACTTTTACTCAACAGCGCTCGGCCCGTATGGCGGTCCTTCGGATTGGGAGCACTTCGGCAATGAGGGCGCGGGCAGTCCAGATGCTGCTACACCTGCATCTACCCATGTAAATCCGGCAGCTGACAATGATGTGCTTCCGCCGCTCCCGACAAGGAAGCAGTCTGTCCCCACAGTTCAACAGTCTCCTCCCAAGGTGTCAGCGAAGCCAGTACAGGCATCTCGGCACGGAAGCGAGACCTCCTCGACCATTGGGCAACCTGTTCGGCGGACAGACACGATTGACGGCGTCATCAACGCTTGGAGCGCGCCGCTAAAATTCGGCCCGAAACCGGATCCCAGCCTCGTGGACAACAACAGCTCAAGACCCGTATCTCGCGACTCAGGACGCAATGATCCGCCACAGGAAAGAATAGTCGAGGTCGTCAAAGAGGTCGTGAAAGTCGTAGATCCCTACGATGATCTACAGCCCGAAGTCAAGGCCTCGTTAAAGCGGTATGCCGATATGCTGCGCAAGGAGTCGGCGGCGGAGACGGACGAAGAGAAGTTTGCGGCGTTCGAGGCTTTCATCAAGAAGGAGTTGAGGCTGAGGGCGATGTTGTATGGGATGGACTCGCCGTTGCAGTTGATCAAGACTCAAGAGAGGACTGCGATACCTGCTACAGTGGTGAACACTGCTCCAGCTCTTCCGTCTGTTATACCGCCGCCTGTGCCTTTGCCCGCCCCGGTGCCATCAGATGAGGCCAGGTCAGAGCCGAGAACCCCCAATCCAGCTCCACAGTCGCAATTCGTGCGACCGGTGCGGACATCTTCTTTGTCAAAGGCAGAGATCGTGGCACCGATGCCTCCCAGCTCAGTGGCAGCCGCTGAGCCTTTGAAAAATGTCACAGAACCTGGACCGAGTATGAGTGGCATGGCGTCCATGCTCAAGGACTCACCACTACGAGATTCACCAAGCAAAGACGACTCCTTTGTCATGGTTGGAGCTGATGACGCCGAACAATACAGCCCAGGAGGCCGTCCGCGCCCAGTCAAGGTTGCAGAGGAAGCATACAGTCCTGGTGGCAGACCAATTGTACGTAGCAGCAAGAAGCCCACCACAGACGCCAAACACGTGCCAGAAATCAGCATTCCAAGTCTACCACAAACAAAAGCGAACATAATGTCACCAGGCGCGAATGCTCCCATGGTACTTGAGGATTATATCATGCCAGGCTTGCCTTCACCAGGTGCAAATGCACCGATGCTCGTAGAACCGCCAAGTCCAAATCCTCCTTCAGCATCAGCTAATGCTCCGATTCCTGTCGAGGGGTCAGGTGCCTTATCGAAGCGGTCTAGTACCGGGTCGAATCTCAAATTCGAGCCTGCCAGACCCGTGTACACACCATTTCGCTACAATCCATCAGTACAGGCACCACTTATGCCTGCCGACAAGTCATACTCGTCGTTACGGAAAGATGGTGAAGCATCTGGACGCTTGCTGAAACACGATTCCAAGTCTTCAGCAACGCCTGGTCCAGCAACTGCAGGCTTGACACCGCCTTCGTCATTGCAGCCACCTGCGAAGATGCAAGACGAAGCATTTATTGGTTTGATAAGACAGCAGAGTACGGCTGTGAAGAAGCAGAAGCCGAGCCTGGATGCTGCCCCTCTCGTTGCATCCCTTCGTCCCGGCACTCCTGCAGGGAAAGCGACGGCCTCTCCTCCAGCGACTAGTGCCGGCCGAACAGCCACACCTATAGCCGCTGCATTACGACCCCGTACGCCTGCGACTCACCACGCAACTCCTCCGCCACCACAGCAGACCGACCTCAAAGGCGCCATCGCCTCATTACGGGCGTCTCTGCCAGCCTCAGTCCCCGACGACTATGGCCAATCCACAAACGACAAAGTCGGCTCAGTCAAGACCCAGATCGACGCCATCCCAGATCAGTTCGGCTTTATCCACCAAACTGTGCTTGCATGGGATGACCGCAACCGACAAGTGCGCAAACGCCTGGACGACGAACGTAACACTCGCCAAGCCGACTCCGAGGCCCGCATCGATGACATGTTTAACGATAACGAAATCGGCTATGCGGACATTGGGGAGCTGGAAGCCGAGTTCAAGCTCTCAGAAGCGCGTCTGAAATACGATGAGGACAAGGACGAGCTGGACTCTTTCACCCGTGACGTGTACGAGACCGTCACAGGGCGGCTACAGTCCGAGCTGGCAGAGCTCAATGCTATATACACCACCGCCGTAGACCTCCTCGATCTAGAGAGCGAACCTGCCAGCCAGTGCCTGAAGCACTCTTCCACCAGCACCAACGCGCCTCCAGAAATGGCCCTCCTGATGTCGCTTCTGCTCACAACCTCCACTAAGATCGAGATCCGCCAGCAGAAGATCGCCGAAGCAAAAGTGGAACGCGAACGTCGCCGCAAGCGCTTGGAATTGACAGTTTTGTACACGAATGGGGACACGCCTGCGGTGAAGAAGCTTGAAGCTGAATTCGCCGTTGCGGAAAGGATGCAGGTGTTGCACGAGGCTCGCGAACGAGACAATCGGGCTAATAAACTGATGGACACGTTTGATCGGGCGACTGTGAGGGTTGGGGATAATCAGGCGTTGGTGGACGAGGTGCTGCCGAAGGTGAGGCACGTAAGGGATCTGGTAATGGCGGCAGCGAGCGACGATCCCGATACAAGCAATTCTGACGTGCTGTACGGCGCCCAAGGTCTTCGTCCCACACTCACTCTTACCCAGTCCACCATCAATATCCTCCTGCTCGACTCCCAAAGACTGTTGACGCTGTCGCAAGTCGCGGACAGCCAGCTCAACGACGCGGACTACGCCGTCAGCGTAGCGGAAGCCCGGGTGTCCAATGCTGAGAGGACAGTGTATGAGAAGCTGAAGGAGGAGAAGGAGAAGGAGGACGCGAAGATCGTGGAAGATACACAGGGGCGGGTTGGTGCGGTGGGGAAGGGGATGGAGGGTGTGGCGGAGCTGTGTAGGGAGGTCGTTGGGAGGATTGGGGATGATGGTGAGCATAAGGTGAGGTTGGAGAGGGCGCTGGAAGAGGCGAGGAGGCGGAATGAGGTGAAGGACGGCGTTGGCGGTTGATGACAAGAGTTTTTCCGGCGAACTTCTCATACAGGGGTGTTCCGAAGCTGACGAGGCTGTTGGGCATGTTCGAATGTGGTATGATATGTCGTTGACCGATGTTTTGTGGCCAGCGACTTGGGAGCGTGGAACCTTGGGAAGCGTTGGATATCTGGATGAGAAGAATTCTTCAAACACAACACTCCTCTTCGTCTATTGACAGGATCATCGTGCCGCCGCCTCGTCCGATTTGCTGGGAAGGCCTTCCTGGGTGTGGTAAGGCTGCGAATCAAGCATCGAAGCTCCGTGCAGATGGCTCCAAATGCCCTCAGTGAAGCCTACACAACTGATTGCTGCACAACACGTCGTCCGGGTAGCGGAAAATCTCGGCACCCGCGCCGATGGGGTCGATTTGCTCAGGTTCAATTTTCGGCTTCAAGATCCGCAGACTCGACTTACAATTCGAAACACTTCAACACGAGAGTTCCGCTGATCGATACGTATCAACTCTTTGACCCCTCGAAGACCTTGTGCTGGCTTGCACTGCGAGCCGCCTCGGTGTTTGTGGTTTGAGTGTGCACTGCGCGCTCGCCACTGTTTTGACTCTACGGGGTCATTTTCCGAAAACAATATGTCTACTTCACAGACTATTACCGGCCCATCGCCATCACGCGCCCAGCGTCCACTGCTGAATGCAGCCACGCAACAGCTGGACGGCCCAGATGTCAGCATGCCGATGGCTGTCGCTGGAACGTGCGACGATGTGGGTTTGAGAGGTCAGCATCCCAGACTTGCCAGCCAGATCGCTAACATCGAGCGCACAGGTGAGCTTGCCAGATTGCGCGCTGCGAATATGGCACTAATAGCCCGTAATGGCGAAATGCAGAGAGAGGTTGAGCAACTACAGGCAGACAATCAGGCACTTCAACTCCGATGCCTTCGAGCAGAAGCGGAACGGTACTCCGATGCACGCGATACTGTCATCGAGGACGACAAGCTGTCCTCACATCAAGACTCGGAGGCGACTGGATCCGCTCATCCAGCTACGCGGTGGCAGCTGCCTGCGACCGAATCCACTAGCAGGTTAGGCACAGACGATATCCGAAGACTGAACAAGTGGCGCCAAGGTTCACATGGCTCGAAGCCTCTGAGTAAAGGAGTGCGGAGAAAGCTCAACAGACGACGCCGTCAGGCTGAGGAGAGGTACGATGCGATCCAATATGACGCGATACAGGACAAGGGAAGTGATTCCAATCACACGTGCTCCTGTCCACGTAAGCCCATCACGACAGAAGAGATAAGCCGAGATCAATCAAAGTGTGCCATCGTGGCAGCCCAAAGCATCCTTGGAGTGCCCGGCGGCATACATCCTGGCCAGATCATCGACGACTATCCCGACCAATTCATCGACGAAGAGGGCAGGATCATGTTCTATTGTCCGCCTAGGCCTCCTAATGCTCGGCAAACAGGCACATTGCCCCATGGCTCAATACTACGCGAACTGCCAAAGGAGTCCCGTAGTGCCAGACATTGGGAAGCGGTGGAGGAGGCGCTTGCTCGTGGGCAGACTACTTGCATTGTGGCTTCTGCTAGATAGTTGAGATTGCACGGCGGAGAGCGGCAATGGCTCGATCAGTCGTACCATTCCCTGTTTTTGCGGAGCAATAGCCACGAATCGACGACGCAGGGTGACCAGAGCTGATAAGGAGTCCTGACCATAGATATACTCCCAGTGTTGTAGCACGAAAGGAAACAACGAGACGTTGTTCATGGCGTAGACTCGGTGTCTGTTCATATGCCTCCTTCTCCGTATCTCCAGACGAAACAGCTCCTCAAGGCGCGATCAGGAGACTTCAGGTACGTCAGGCGAACCTGAGGGGCCCCGCGATTGCCGCACACACGTTTGTCAACGGCAGCGAAAAAGTCTTGGCACAGACGTTTCGACCTGCTCGATTTGAGGATTTCCCTTCTTTTGTTTGCCACTTCGTCCTTCGCCGCACGACGACGAGATCATCTTGGTGAGTCCTTCCCCTGTCGGCACGATCAGTCTGAGTGTATACTAACAGTTGTCTGTAGCCCAAAAACTGGCACATTGCGTAAGCCTCTTCCGCGGATGCGCAGCATTCAAGACTGACCAAGACTTAGCAGCTGTTCAGGCATGTACGATACGTAAAGATGGCTGACAATGTAAGCACTTACCACCCAGCATCTCTCCTTCAGAGCATAGGGCCACAGGCAGCTGATCAACCGCACAGCGACAGGTTAATACCGAGAACTCCTCGCTAGGCGGGTCGAGTTCTCGAAGCGAAGACTCCTCGCTAGGCGAGTTGAGTCTTCGTGACCGCTCCTTGTTGCAACATCAGGGTAGCGCTCCCGCTTCCGGTGGGTTTCTTAATTCTTTTCCGATTGACGGCGCATACGCGCGTGTCTCTCGTGGTGTTGACTCTTCGAGTGCTTGCCAAACACCCGCTGCGGCGGATTCTTACGTTTCGACTTTTCCGGCATCTGCGAATGATGCGGCAAGAGCCTTTGCGTCCATGCAAGAGCTGGATAACACGGTGCTCCTATGTCTATGGGTGTTGATGGCACTAACGACGATACAGGCGAGCCAGGCCAGCGTCCTGGACTTCGCGGAAGGCCGAGTGTTGACCGACCGGCTGCAACGTGAGCGCCGTGTCGCTCGCGACGATCGATGACCTGACGATGGCCCAAAACACTGACTCACGTGATGCGATCGACAGGAACGAGCAGCTGCGGTCCGAGATGCTCTCGCTCAAGCGTCGAAAGGCGGAACTTAGGTACAGAGAGGCAGAATCTGAGTTTGCGAAGGCGCAGCTTGAGGAGAAGAATTGGCAGCTCATACTGGCAAACCGGCGGGCACAGCGGCAAATTCCCGAGCACCAGCGGTGGAGGTTGTGGGAGAGGGCATCTGTCAGTCGTGCCACCGATCCTGGAAGATACGAGCGGCCTGCTACTCAAGTCCAGGCCGCGCCTATAGCAGCTGATTCAGCTGGAGCGGCTAATCGAGAGGCCTGGAAACAGCAGCGTGAGATCAGTCCGTCCGACCCATATGGCAGGGTCCCTACAGACGAGCTTAGAAAACTGCGTCGGCCACGCCAGAACAACACTAGCATGACAACTTCGCAGGATAGTATACGAGATCGGCCTAACAGAGTCCCAGAGGATAGGCCAAGCTCGCGCAGCACCCCTATACGATACGCAGGGGAATCGCCTGGGCGTGAGCCATCACCAGATCAAGAACCCGGGCCATCCAGGCGTCCGCTGCAGGGATCGCAAAGCGTTGTCAACACCGCTGGCGACATGTCTGACCAATTGAATCGGTCGGTGCGGGAAAGTTCCATGAGGACGGCGCCGCGATTTTCTGAGCGCAGTTCAGCCGCCATGTCAGCCGAAGACGACGAGCCGGTTCGCCCTTGGCGCACAATATCGTATGCCAGCCGGCGCAAAGCGAAACACAGACGGCAATACTGGTCATAGCGCTGAGACCACTAGAGCGGCCTGGTCAATCCTATTGCTAGAGTTGGACAGCTCCTGGCAGAGCATAGTATGCTCCTCGGATCCGGTTAGACTGGCTGAACCGGTTGGGCGGATTTGGGCGACGATGTGTGAAGTGCTCGTTCGCTTCCGCGTAGGAATATCGCTCAAGACGACGCTCTGATGCGGCCGCGCCTCATGAGACAGCGAGCGCAACATTGTGCCGAACGAGCAGCGTTTTCACAGAAGAGGAACACGAGAAGCTGGTGCGCGACGACATAATTAGCTTTTCTTGGCGCTGATTGGTGCATGTGCTCCTGCCAAGACTGGGGTAGTAATGACTCGGACTGACACTTGTGAGATGGAATGTCATGCATGAAAAGTCGTCTGTGTCACAATAGTTTGCTGCTTATGCGAAGCGAGCCCGATGTCTAGCATTATGGGAAAGCGTCTAAGGTATATTCAAACAAGCAGTGGTGCATCACGGTTTTGTCTCAGTCGACACGACATTGATCCCTCACCCACTCGACCATAATGGACACACTACCGCGCGAGATACAAGATCACATCGTTCGTCAAGTATCCGAATTTCGGCTATGGACTGCAACATCGACGTTCTGTGCTCTTCGTCTATCGTGCCGACAGTGGTCAGAGCCACCAATCGCGTACCTCTTCCGGCACTTGCGTCTTCACCTCAATGGCGAAACAGCATGCTTGGCAAAGTTGTCAGCGATCAGCAGGAACCTTCCCTGGCGAAGCACGTGCGCCGCTTGACGCTGAACGTCGATGATCTCCTTGATGATCTCACACGAGCCGAGTGGCAATGCTGCCCCATGCATGCCTCTCGAGCGACTTCAAACCGCTTGCCAGCCGCAGATGAAGAGAGAGTCTCAATCCTCCAAAAAACATTGGTTTGTCGCCGTCGCTGGAGGGTGGATCTGTTCTCGGCGATCCTGGACAAATTTGCTATGCTAGAAGATGTCGATGTTCGTGTCAGATTTCCCGCAGACTCAGCGTTGTTGCCGGAATCTGTAGCCCAAACCCTCGAGGCCGACGTCGTCGCTACAATCACGGACGTCGTCTTCGTTGTCTTGCCCTCAAAGCTACTCACGATGAAGAGCCTTATCATCAAATCTTGCCCCGAGTCTACGTGGCAGCGAGTCTCGCGAGGGGACTTGACTGGTCTCCGTGGTTCTCTGGGCTCTCTAATCGCTGCCTCAAGTCTACTGAAGCTGCAAGTGGAGATCTGGATCCCTTATGCCGACAGGTATGCAGGACCATATCAGCCAGAAACGCCCTGCCCGGGTGCCCACCGACTGAACACGATTTCTTTCCAAAGCTTGCAAGAGTTGCATCTGAACTTTGCGGTGCGAATTGGTGATCGCACCATTCCTGCTCAGCGAGCTCCAGTGGAGCAGTGCAGGGCGTTGCTCAGCTCAAACTTTCAGTCTCTTCGCGTACTGTCTCTAAATGGGTTCTGGTTTGATGATCAACAGCAGCTGAGCACGTTCCTTGTTCGGTCCACGCCAGAGCTGCGGAGCATCACTCTTGGCTGCACTACTCTTCAACGAGGCCTTTGGTGGGATTTCCTCACAAGCCTGCGTGACTGTCCACATCTTGACCGTGTACGTCTAGTAGGACCTGTCCTGCGTGATGCTTCATCGCTCAGCTGGCGTCTGACGCCGAAAGAGATTGATCCGCGTCCCCTAGACTTCGGAGATAGTGTGACACACAAAGAGCTGGAGGATTACGCTACCCGAAGGTCAGAGATCGATCCTCGCCACCGCCTGCGGCCAGACATCGAGCGAATCATCGTCTGGGGCGCGCCTCACGAAGTCGCGCTGTGATTCATACCGTTTTCGGTACCATGTACCAGGGCTATGGACAACGTCCAATTCCGTCCTACTTTAATCCGCGGCCTACACCCATTCACTCTTCTCTGGTTTGGAACGGCTTCCTCTGCCTGCAGATGTGGGCGTTTCCTCGTCCTGACCGGTTTCTCCTCTCCTGATCACAGACTGATCAAACGGATTCGGCCATTGAAGTACAGTCTTGCGTCTTGCGACGCCGACGTCACCAGCTCCCTCGAGTTTCAGCTGCGCGCTCTCCCACACCTGAGTTCGACGGCGGTAGTCCTCCACAGCATTCATATTGAGCTCAGCTGTATTGTAAGCACGCGAAAACCTATTGTTCACCAAAACAGATCCATGTCTCGAAGCGATAGCGTTGTTCGGAAGCGGATTGTTCTCCGACAGTACCTTCAGAAGGTGTTAGCACTTTGATCCGTGGCATGCAGAGACTTGGGTCAATACCTTGACTTCGACGGGTCCGTCTTCATCCTGAACGGGTTCAACGCCTCTGAAGACATAGAATGCGTTCAGCGCAGGGATTGACAAGCCATGAAAGACTATGGAGAAGAGTACAAGCCAATACACCACGGGAACCATCACACGAATCAGAGTGCGCTCTTCTTCAGTCTGAGCGTCTTCGAGATCCGGAAAGAGGTGTTTTGCATGTTCGACATAAAACACAGCGCCGATTCCGATCGGACCAAAATAGCCCATGAAAAGTGCTTCTTTCCAGTCGCGGATGCACGAGGGCATCAGCCTGTATGTGGCAAAGATGGCGGGCAGACGGCGAAACAACATTACCTGTTTGCGTCAGCGACAGGTGTCCAGAGCTCATGGAACCTACTGACCATGACACCAAGTCCAATCAAGCGAGGAACTGTCAGCCCAGTGCCATCCGGATCTTGAAAGTCTCGCCACGGAATGATCATGCCAATGTATGCAAAGCCGCCCAGATTGAGGATAACGTCGATGGCACCATTGACCTCATCATGTTTCCTTTCACTGAAGAATTCATCAGCCATGTCTCGGGGAAGGCGTGGAAGCTTGAAGACAGATTCACAGGTCGAATGAGAGCACCTCCTTTTTGACTGAGACATATGCTCAACGCAACATTCAGAGTAGCGCTCATTTCAGGATACAGGTTTGGTTGCGGGAAAGCACTCACCACTCTCGGAGAAACTCGCCATCCCAGTTGAGGATACTGCCAGCAACGAAGCAGGCCAACAGGTCGTCGGTAACAATCAACCCGCAGGTGCCAATTGCGAAGAGGCCAATAGCAGTAGGAACAAGGAGGTAGGACTCAACGTCAATCCACTTTCTGTGCGGCGTTAGCTTGAAGCATTCAGCGAGGGCGATAACAATCTCAATACCTCTTGCTAGCGAAACGCGTGGCGAACAGCATGATGGCACCAACGACAGCTCCGTACGCGATCGACATGAGGACGAAGTATAGCCATGTCTCGAGTGTCCAATTCTTTAACGCGACACCGATCCCACCACCATGTCGGCCGAGGTCGCTCGCGTCGGAATCACCAGCACGGGCGACCAAACTACTCAAGCCTCGCACAAAGCTCTGTCCGGTCCCCAGTGCCTTATTTGACTCATACTCCGCAAGTTCAGCGTCTAGTTGAGGTGATTCAGCGTGTCTGATGAGATACCTGCATTTCAATCAGCATCCATGCCCCGGGAGGACTATTTGGGTTGACCGACGTAGCCAGCATGAGGAATGGAAATCCGAAGCCATCGTTAGCTCCAGCTTCAGCCGATATGATCTCACGCAAATTGCGCCGGACGAATTTGTCCGCGAAAGGACCTTTAGCCACAGCTTGTGAGAGAACAGGATCGGTGCTGGTCACAAGCGAGCCGATTGCCAAACCAGACAGCAGTGTGATGTTAGGTACCATTGCCATCATGCAAGCTGCCGTAGACAGCCACATGAGTGTCATGACGACAATGAGGACGATGATCATCTCCTTCCAGCGGTACCAGGTATATTGGGCAGGCAATTGGTAGCCTGCCATTACGAGCTGAATGCCGATAACGACGCGGGTCATACCGAGAGTGATATCTGGTACTTGCCCGATGATTGCGGATCCCCATTTCCTGCTGTCAAGCCAGTTGATTGCAAGTGGTCCCATGATCGCCCCGAAGACGAATGCAGGTACTACTTTGATCAGACATACAAGACCACATAGGCTTGGAGAGAACTTACGAGCTTCTCCCAAGTACCAGTGGTTCTTCAGCTTGATGGAGATCAATCCGAAAGCCGCAATGAAGAAGCCGAAGATTCCTATGACGGTGTTCAATTGGCTCACATCAAGATGGATGGCCATTTTGGCGGGTGCGTTGACGCTGGCGGACTTGGAAAGCGCTAGGGTGCTGTCGAGTCGAGGGTATGTCCTTCAATCGAACCGTTGGATGTTCACGTCTTTCGATTCCGATCAGCGGACCGTGGAAGCCAAGGCTGCAAGCACTTGACAATTTCAACAAGAGCAGGCACCTCGCCGAGCGTTCATGGCAGTTATGCACCTAGGAGCGAGCCTGAAAACAGAGCAGAACATATCATGGCCCAGAGTGCAGGCTGGAACGGTTGCGTATATGAACCAAGGGACCTCCTGACCAAGATCCTGAGCGGGCCAGACTATCAGTAGCTTCTCCACCAAAAGGGAATGCTGAAGCGGCTCCGCGTGCTGAGATCGTCATGCATCATCACGGTGACACGTCAAATATGTATACTCTGTCTGAAGAGAGGACCGGAAGCCCTATCCACGCAAACGGATGAATTTCAAATGGATGCATGAGACGTGCTCTGCTCGAAGTGCGCATCGAGCAGTTTTCCTTGCTATCGACACCATGTCGCTCTCCTTATCATCACAGGAGCCAGGATAAGGTCCGGATCACTGCAGAAAAGCTTCTCTCAGTGCTTCACTTGATTCCCGTGTCATACACACCTGAGCGGGTGCAACCCGAGCTGAATCGAAGCTCCGTCTTCCCGGTAGTTGCTTTTGACGTCCTGCGAGGCCTGCAGAGCTACCACGACAATCGCGCTGTGGCGATTAACTGCACCAGACAAGGTCGGCTTGTGCTGAGGAGCGGGCCAGCGTCTCATACACTGAGTAGAAACCAACAACCATGGCGGCAATGCGGCTGAGATAGGTGGAGAGAGCAATCATTGAAACGCCAATACCGCCGACAAGGGACCTTGTATGCCGCGATCCCGCTTCTGATACTGTCGGCAAGGTAGAACGGACTCTAATAGTGCGATCAGAGCTGGTATGGATCTTATGCGGCGGCTGGCGGTGCCTGCTTGTTGGCCAAGGTCTTGGACGAGGCGGTTCCGCTGTACCAGACACCTCGCCAAGGTCCTGGGCGGAATGCTTGTCTACTTCGGAGCCTGGGCACAGCGAGGTCTGCGAGCAAACCTTTCTGATGGAGATACTGCAGACCAACACTGAGCACCTGAGCACTCCTGTTGCGCAGCTCATACTTATCGATGCGCCTTGGCCGAGTCCGATTCCTGAAAATAGAGGTGGCAGGACCTTGAAGGAGACACCAAGCAGAGTCCTTGGCACAATACCGGATACCCGAGCACGCAAAGCGGACGCTAAGAGATTTCTCGGACAGTGACAGTGCCAGCGCGCTTCCGTGGAGCAGTGTGCACTTACCGGATCTGCAAGCTTCGCACCGCTCCGATACCTCAACGCGAGCAGAGGTCGCCGACGGAGGGCTTCCGGCTGCGTTCTCATGTCCGAGCCAAGATGCAGATTTCCGCAATCTTACGATGTACAGTGGTCCCAAGGTCAATAGTCAGCAGCGACATTTCTAGATATGGCACGTCTGTAGCATTGTATCGAGGTTCATCCAGCGCCGTTCCGCGCCCGAAGGTTACAACAAACTTCCCTGCCGACAGACACTCAATTGAGGCTCATTGCAAATCCGTTGACTCGACCAGCCAAACAACATCGGCCCTTCAGCGCCGTCCCGGCCCGGAAACCATGTTGGATAGCATCCGTTGAACGATAGCTCCCAGTCATAGGCCACTCGTGGAGAATAACCCAGAGGCTTCCGCAGCATTGCAAACTATTGTCGAAGAACAAGATTGGCCCTATGGCGTTTAGCGTGTGCGACATGAGCTGGCCAATGTTCGCACGGACAACACGAGGATGTTCGCGGAGGAGAGAAACACAAGCAGAAGCGTTTCGATCAGTGCGGCGCCGGTCAGGACCACGAACTCAAGTAAGACCGGATGACTGAGATTTCAGCAGACCGGATGACTGCTACGAACTTGCCGGGCCAGACGTCTTCTGCAGCACTGCAGGAGCGATCAGCCGACGGTGTTCGCACCTGCCCCTGTTGCTACTTTCGGCAGCAGTAAGGGCGACCGGCTGACGGGATCGCACCTGCCTCTTCAGATAGCGTTATAGAGGCAGGAGCGTCCCGGTCACGGCATTCGCACTTGCCTCGCCAGACACCTTTTGCAGCACAGCAGGAGTAATGGACTGGCGGCACCCGCACCTGCTTGTCCATACGATTCCTGTGGTAGGGGCGACCGGGGGGTGACCTTCCTGCGCGGTACATTCATGACCATTGACGGCAGGAGCGCGGTATGGAAGTCGTGACCGGAAGTCGACAGGTCAGATCGATAAGGAGGAGTCTGATCAGGGCAGTTAGTACTCCGGAACGCGCTGCAGCAGCATGGTTGGCCGAGACCGGCTGACGTGGTGACAGGAAGCCGGATGACAAGCAGTCTACAGAGGAGACCGGATGATCAAGACTTTGGAGCGGCTCGCTATTGCCGGATGACAAGATGATTGCAGCTCAGACCGGTTGATCAGCTTCTTGGCCTCTTTGAGTGGTGACAGGAAAGGTGCGAAAGCAATAGTGGCTGAACGCGTGATGCACAGCTTTGCCTCGTTGGCGCTAAAGAGAAACGAGTAGCACACTTTAGCAGGTACCTGGAAATATACGGAAAGGCATGTCGTAAGAAAATTGTGTTATAATGTTCGAAGAAGCGAAAGAGGGTTTTAATGCTGCGATGAGATTCCAGGAGACACCTTTCAACCGCAATGAGTCCTTATTGCAGCTTTCTCGCACTCCTAGAATTGTCACACATCAATTAGGCTTATCTCAACAAGAAGTCCGCTATGCTCAATTCATGATCGCTGTCCAATTCTTTCTCTCTGTACATGACGTTCAAAACATTCAAGATAGCACTCGTGGATGGATCCATTTACAGCAGCGCAGCACCCAAGAGCGCCGCAACACCCATCACAGCCCATGACACGACAGCGTTGCTGCTGGCTGCACCCTTGTAGTCCGACACAGGGGAAGCAGGCTTAGCCGGCGCGCCTGTTGGGGTTGCGACCGCTACGTCCGCCCAAGTGGACGCGGTGGGGGCGTCGACTGCCTTCTCTGGGATGACTGAGATTGTCGTTGGGATTGCAGCAACGTCGGACCATGCCACAGAGGTCGTTGAGACAGGGCTGACGGGGACAGACGCGTCGGTCCAGGAGATCGAAGCGGTCGAAGTAGAAGTCGGCTTGACTGGTACAGACGCGTCGGTCCAGGAGATCGCGGCGGTATAAGTAGAAGTCGGCTTGACAGGAACTGACGCGTCGGTCCAGGCCAGCGTGGATGTGGTGGAGATTGGATCAAGTGGTGCGTCTGACCATGTGTGGCCGGGGTCAACTGCTTTAGTCGTCGTGGTAGTAGTCGTGGGGATTGCAACATCAGACCACGTGTAGCTTGCGGGGTCGACGGGCTTGCTGGTGGTGGTACTGATGCTGACATCAGACCAGGTATAGCCGGCGCTGGTGGTCGTGGCTGTCGTTGTGGTTGAGAAGTCGACATCAGCCCAAGTTGTGGTCACGGAAACTGGAACGGTTGTCGTGGTCGTCTTGGTCGAGAAGTCGACATCGGCCCAAGTCGTAGTCGCGGAGACTGAAGCGGTTGTAGTGGTCGTCTTGGTGGAGAAGTCTACATCGGCCCAAGTCGTGCTAGCGGAGCTTGAGGTCGTGGTCGTGGTCGAGAAGTCAATATCGGCCCAAGTAGTACTGGCGGAGGCCGAGCTGCTGGTGGTAGTCGAAGAAGAAGCAGGCTTCGTGGTAGTGCTCGTCGTCGTCAAGGTCGAAGTGGTTGTAGTAGGCCAGGGCTGGCTGTAGCTCGTGGTTGTGGTGGTCGAAGACGTGCTAGGAGAAGTGGTGGTAGACTTGCTGGATGTGGTGGTCGCCGAAGTGGAGGTGGTAGAGGTAGGTGCCGGGCTTGACTTGGATGTGGTGGTTGTGGAAGTCGACGTGCTCGTCGATGTAGGCCAAGTCTTGGTAGTTGTGGTTGTTGAAGTTGCCTTAGATGTTGTAGTCGTGGTCGTGGTGGTCGTAGTAGACGACTTAGTAGGTGTTGTGGTAGTAGTGGTCTTGGTGGTGGTGGTTGTAGTGGTAGTGGTGGTCGTCACCGGCTTGGGACCCTTCTGGTAAACTTTGATGGAACGGAAATCCCAGTACGCCTCCGAAAAGGCAGACGGGTTCTTTGCAACGTATGCAGCACAAAGCGACTCTCCAGTCTTCGCAGCGCAGCCACTGCCCCACGTAGCATCACCATAATCACCGCAGAAGGTAGTATCAACGACCAGACGAAGGTTCTTGACGTTGATATTGTCGACGTTGCAGCCAGGGCCGGCGAAGGAGGCGAAGGGAGAGCCCCACTTGCTTGTGTCTGGTGTTCCATCTGTGATGTCTTTCGGAATCTGTTGACGAGGGAAGAAGTACGTGTTCATAACGTTCTGGTTCGTCCACTCAAGGGCATAGACACCGCCACCGTTGTCATTGAAGGCATTACCGTACGATACGGCACGGTTGTCACCAACTTGGCATCCGGTAGGATTAGGAGTCTGACCAGACCAGAAATCCTTGTTGTTATAGTTGCAGTCGGGTGTCTTCAGAGTGCCGTAAGGTCCTTGATTGGCGCTAATTGTACACTGACCACTGACATGTGCCGCGGCAGTGTTGGAGGTCACATCGTTGGCGCCTTCGATGATGTCAATCTCTCCATATGTTGGCCACGGATCAGGTCCCAAGGTCCAGAAGGCTGGCCTATCAAACATGTCAGTACCAATACTCTCGACCAGACCGCGACTACTCGTACCATGTACCGCATCCTGCTGCAGTCCCTCTTGTATACGGCATGTGGTTGATATCGGCAATGAACAGACCATACGTCCACTGCTTGTTAGACTCAATACGCAGACTCTTTCGGCCGATACCATTTTGTCCATAATAATCTGACTGCGACGAGGGTGCCTTCAGCTTAGTGGTGGAGTCAACGCTGAGTCGCGCGCTCTGCGGGCTGGCAGAGTAAAGACCCCCAGCATCCTTGCGGCCGACGTAATTGACAAAGCCATGTGTAGGGTCCGCCTTGTCGAAGAAGGTGAAGTTATCGAAGAAGCTGGTACCGGTAAAGCTTGTGTCCAGATTATACTGTAGAGCAGGGCCAGGAACGGCAGCAGAGAAGACAGGAGAAGAAAGCAACGCTAATGTAGAAACGAATGTGGTGCTCGACCTCTGAAAGAATGAAGAGGACGGCATGGTGGCGACCAAAAGAGTGAGGTCTGGTAAAGAGTGACTGGAGTTTGACTGGGACGTTCAACCTGCGGAAGGAAACATCGTACTGCTTACCGTTCTCATCTTGAGTATATCAGATCAGATCGCTGCGCCTCGAACGGACAAGGCTACTGAACCTTTCGCGGAGCCTCAAAACGGCGTGCCCGAGATGTTCCATATCAATTTCAGTGCAAGGTGCCATGTGCAGACCCGGAGACTTCCATGAGGTCTTGTTGACCATAGAACGATCTAGGTTGCTGAAGAGGATGCCTGGCGGATCCAGAGCAACAGTTGAAGGACGAATCATGACTGTGACAGGAGCCATCCCTCAAATTCGGGCGTCGGCAGGGCAGAGCTGACCTGCTTGCCTGTGGCTTCCATGGTCTCGAATACGAATTTCATTGAGGCGTGGCGTCGCTGGCGTCAAGCTTCCATCGAAAACCTGAGGGTTTTGAGCGCAAAAGGGGAACGTTTGACGTTGAATTTGTCCATCGCTTGGCAATATTTTGATTAAGCCTGCTCATCGTGGTATAGCGTCAAAGTCAGTAGTGTAAGCACCCGACTTGGGGTCTCGGCTCCTCTGCAAAACCCCCTTACGCACTCGCTTCCTGCCGAAAATATCATCATGTTGTATTTTGCAGCCGACACGTGGGGCTTGGCCATGAGTGACGAGTCGTTGCTGGCGGAACCATCGGCTCATCTGCTATATCAATCAGGACAGATCTTGCCTTGAGGGACGCAAGGACTACCAGCGAGTCGTTTGAACTGTGCTGCAGGGTCAACCACGATGCTCCTGACCGAAGCCTCCTGATGTCTCGTAATCAGCACCTCAAAATGCTAGCGAATTTTGCCCACGAGCCAGGCACAGTTCCCGATTTCAGGCACCGTCGTGCGCAGTTCGGTTCGTCCATACCCCTAGTGACGACGCCGTTGAACTCCCAGAGTGCAGCCGAGACCTATTGTGATTGGCTTGAGCACGGGCTACTTCTGTACAGCCGAACCGGTCAAGCACTTCAAGCAGGCAATTTAAGCAATTTGACTCCTTGTCAATTTCATCACTCGCGTCTTGCAACCCCTCTACGTTGCCTTTATGCTATTCTTGAGTACGCAGACTCGCGCGCTACACCATCCGCCGTGGCTCCTGGACTGTGGTATATTCCAGACCTGACCTCGCTTCAAGCACTGAGCCACGCAGGAACGTCGGCAGGCGCCTAAATTCGAGAGTGTGCCGTTTCATTTCAGGCTGACTGACGACTGACCATCAGGAATTGAGCATGATTACTGCATCCGATCACAGTGGCCCAGGAAATGTTAACACCGTCGCGGAGCTGCACACACCGAGATTGCCCCAGTCCGGGGAGAGAAGAGCTACTTACTACGAGTTTGTGGGTGCGCCGTAGCGACCTTCGCGCCAGAGGCTACCCAGGCAACCTTCTGGTTCAATGCGTTTTCCGCATCGTGCTGTACCCTCTCGAATTATCAATTGCCGTCCAGAGGGCCCCTGGACTGGGACGAACGAGAGTGGAATTCTGCTTATGAACGTCGAAGTGGTTCGACCGGCTGTCTGGTAATTTCTTCATTGCCATGCACGATCATTTACTCTGTGAGATCTCAAGTGGGGCATGGCGTGAGGAAGCGCACGCCTGGCTGTGCCTGAGGCACCGACTTCCCCAAGAAGCGCGGACTTATGTTGTCGAAGCAATTGGCTTTCGCAGCTCTAGTGAACGATGATAGATCGAGGCTGATCATGGTGACGGGGGCCATCTCTGGTCGCGAAGGTTGCCCCAGCCGCTCAAAACCGTGGAAGGGTATGGCGAGCTTCATCAATACCATTGCTCACCGTGATGCACATGTACCTGCCAGGATGAAGGGCCCTGCAAAGCCCGACGATGCCGGTCGGAAGTAGGCGCCTGTAAGAAAAGCTCGGCTTCACTCTTGCACAGTGTTTGTGGTGATGGTAACGTGGCACCCAGGGAACACTTAGCCACCTTCCCAGGTCCTCGCGATGTCCTCTCGCCGTCATTCACAGATCTCTTATGCTGGGCGGTGGTTGCGTGAAGTTGCATTGCACCTCCATGCTCTGCAACGATGAAGGTAGGATTGCTGCCACTCAAAGCTCTGTTTAGGCAGTCTGACTTGCCTAAAGCAAGCTGGTTATAGATTTATCTCGACGTTTTCATGAGTTGAAGTTGTGATAAACTCATTTAGCTCTCCTGGACTTACGAAGCACCTATTTCTGAATCTTGTGCACCAGCTTGCAGAGCGGCAGGTCTGGAGTACTGAGACTAGTCACTGGAAGACCGCACGGGCTATAGACATTCGTCTGGCCAAGCATGTAGCTCGTCCTTCAGCAAGCCCGTACTCGTGCCCATTTGAGCATTGAATACTCTCGTACTGTTGTCATGGAGGCAGATCAGGGAGTGCCTGGATGGGTAACCTGCAAAATGCGGAACGAGTGCTTCGGGTCCACCGCGGCAAAATTCTTATCGATAAGGATTTAGAAAAAGATTCCTCAATGCACCTGCAATGTCAACACGAGGCATTCTCTCGCCAGCACCTGCCAGCATGTCTAAACCATAGCATGCCCATCAGCGATGGACATACATCGGTGCCGCTTTGTACCCTATCCACCACCATCAATCAGCGCCGTCGCGTTCTCACACCAGTCCGACATTTCGAGACAAGCCCCGAAAGACCTTCGACTGGCAGTTGGGCGCGAGAATGGTGATGTTGAGCTGTGGAATCCTGACAATGGACGATGGAGTCAGGAATCGGTCTTGCGAGGCAGCGTCGGGTCCTCGATAGATCAGCTAGCATGGACACAAGATATAACAGTTGAAGACAACGGAGACCGGAGGTCGATCAAGGCAGGAAGACTGAGGCTGTTCAGCAGCGGCGCCGGCATTATCTCAGAATGCTCATTGTCAGCTGGGAGTCAGGCTCGGCGGGCAGACAGCAATTTCGGCGAGGTTTGGTGCTTTGCTGCTCAGCCGCCGTACAGGGCATCAAAGAGTGAACAAGTTCCAGATGACATACCATCTCAGCTACTGGTCGCTGGCTGTCAAAGTGGCGACATTGTGCTCTTCTCAACGACTGATGGCGAGCTTCGCTCTCAGCAATTGCTGTGCCCCGCGTCGACCAAGAAATCAAAAGTCCTGAGCATCACATGGCGAGATCGGAACACTGTCGTGGCAGGGTACGAGGACGGCTTGATTCGTGTCCTCGATATTCGAAGTAGGAAGGTTCTCCGTCAGATGTCGCTCGGGAAGACCTCAGAGGGAAGCACCTGCGTTGTCTGGTCTGTCAAATGCCTGTCGGATGGGACCATTGTTTCCGGAGACTCGTCTGGCGAGCTCAAGATCTGGGACGCCAACAACTTCTCTCTGGTTCAGCGACTCAAGTCTCACCAGGCTGATGTGCTTGACATCACATCAAATGTCAAAGGAGACCAGATATACTCAGTCGGCGTAGATCGACGTACCGTGGCGTACCAGGCAATTCCCATGCAACCCGGCCAAAAGAAGCGGAAATGGGCCGAGGCGATGCATCGACGGTACCATGACCACGATACCAAATGTGCTGCAAGCTACGAGAGTCAAGGATTTAGTGTGCTCGTGTCAGGTGGCATGGACGCTTCGCCTATGCTGTTGCCGATGAGGAACTGGCAATCAGAGAATCATCGATCGCTTCCACATCTGCCACAACAGCCGCAGCTGTCGACATCCAGAAACCGGCTGCTGCTGACATGGTGGAGCAACGAACTTCACATCTACGAAGTCCCTCCACGGCAAGACGATGGAGAATTATCGCTAGCAAGAGACGACTATGACTTACTGACGACGATCAGATTGAAAGATGAGCATCACATCCAGTCAGCACAACTGTCGCGCGATGGCCGATACATCATTGCTTCCACTTCCAAAGCCGTGCGCTTGTTCCAGGTGCGGAGGTCTGTGGTCGATGGCATAAGTATTGCAAGGTCACGGTCCGTGCAGCTGCCCACGCCACTACAGGACCATGGCGCTCGCCATGTCGGCATATCACCTGATGGCCGATGGTTATTTGCAGTGCGCTTTGACAGCACTGTGATCGTCGTCAAGCTACTGGCAGGGTCTGATCCAAAGTCGGCTCCCACCATACATGCACAAATGGCGCGCTTGTCACCTACCTCAAGCGAAGACGATGACGAGCGCTTCGGGAACTACATAAATCAGATCAGCACCGTTCAAATGTCTGCAGACTCGCGTGTGCTGGTGACTGGCGATCTATCTGGCCATATCACTGCGTGGACGCTGGAAGGGCACGAAGATACATCGACTACATTGGACGCACCTACCGACAAATCTTCAAATTCATCCTCGTCTGGCTCCTCTTCTTCCGATTCCGACGACGACGAAGACGACGACACACCCACTATTCATGCCCAGCGGTGGACTCGGGCCGCCACGTTCCCACGCCTCGACTCATCCATCCTGTCACTTTGTATCCGCCAGGCGGGACCATCGCCCAACACCTCGCCTCAGTCCCCTAAACAGCCCACCAACATTGCTCTGCACCCAACCCGTCACAACCCCCATCCATTAGCCAACGAGCACCCAACACCGAACACCACCATCCTCGCTCTCACAGCGGACCATTCCCTCGTCGAGCTGTCCGTCATCACAGGCAAACTGTCCGACTGGTCCCGCCGGAACCCTTCAAGCCTCTTACCAATCCGTTTCCGCAACATACGCGACCGCGCTATGGATATGTTCCTGCATGGCAACAGGCTGTGGATGTACGGCTGCAGCTGGGTATATATGCTAGATCTTTCACACGACTTCCCTGTCCCAACTACTTCCTCAGACTATGGTGAGGGCGTTCTTGCTACAGCGAACGAGAAGAAACGAAAACGTATTACAGCAGCAGCAGCAGCGAAAGGCACTGGCGCAGGAAGTCGCATCTTGAATCACCGCAAGCGGCCCGTCAGCGGACTGGCGGCGCCCACGGGCATCAAATACAAAGGCGAGCAGGGCATGCTGGAAGTAGTGGATCTAGAAGGGAGGATGGCACCTGCCGAAGACGATGATGCATTTGGGGAAGAGGAAGCCCTTGGTGCGCTCGTCAAAATGAGGCGGGACGAAGGTGTTGAGGCCAATGGAACGAGCAGAACGAACGATGGCAGGAAAGGATCTGGCCGCAACGGCGATAACGAAGGAGAAGGTCCGATAGAGTACGCCACCTTCCGGTACCGCGCCATCTTCGGGATCGGCGTGCTCGGGAATGACTCTGACGGTCTCGATCTGCCACCCAGGCCGACACCCACGTGATGACTAATGGCGATACAAATATGCACGACGATGTCACGCAGCAGCCGCCAGAGAAGAAACTCGAGGTCGTGATTGTCGAGCGGCCTATGTACGACGTGCCCCAGTCGGCGAGGTTTGATGGTGGGCAGGATTGGGATGTTTGAGATGGTGTGCGTGGTGTAGCCTGTCATGTACCTATGAAGGGATGCCCGTCAGGCAGGTCTGTAGTTACGGAAATGAAATACCTTGGACAGATCCTCTTCCTCTATCTAACCAGCAGGTCGCTTTTCCAAAAGAGGACTTTTATCGGTCCCGCGGGAGAAATATCTCCGCTCCGCTCTGCAATGAAGAACGCATCCGACCCGACACAGGATTAGTTGGATTAGGTACGCGAACAGTGGCACACCCTGGCCCTGGCAGACAGTCTTCGCCTGATCAGGCGGGGCCTTGGACTTTACATTGATCATTCTGTGAGATTAGGAAAGTCCATACTCAGAGTGAGCACGATCAGATCTGAATAACATGTGCGTCGAGCATCCCGAATCGCGTGACTCTCGTGCGACTCAGGACTGTGTAAGACTTTGCGATTGAGCACGAGTCTGTCGCATCTTCAAGTTGGCATCTTCAAATAGATTGCACGTGTAGGCATGGCGATTGACAAAGGTTGTTGATGGGATTATATTCCGAGGGCTTCTCAGCAGACCGGATGACTGAATTTTGTTGTGGGGAAGTCAGTGGAGTGAAGGAATTGCAGGGAAGTGATCCCGGGCAAGGAATCGCAGGGAAGGTACTGTGATGAAGATGCTGCAGGAAGGCGCTGCGGGGATGGCGCCATAGGGAAGGTGCTACAGGGAAGGTACTGCCGGGAAATGCTGTAGAGAAGGTGCTACAGGGACGATGCTACAGAGAAGGTGCTGTAAAGAAGGTGCTGAGAGGAAGATGCTCAAGTAGAGGTTAAAATGTCGCAGATACAGCTTTTGTACCTCCCGTGGACAGGGTTCACCGTTGACAAGAACAGAAAGGCAAGCAACGCAAGCGATAGGGAATGGATGGGAATGGTTCGTGTTCTGCTGTGGTTCATTGATCTTTTGAGATTCGGGCTATCTTGCTCTCGTACTCCTGGGTCGCCGCACCAGGTCTCATTCCTTCACTCGTCCAGATCTCTCTCTGTGCCGCCTCCGAATGCAACAACCTCTCACTCCATGAGATTCTCTTCCTTGATATGCCTAATGCAGATGACGCCGTGCTGTAAAACGAGTTCCAAGCCTAGTCGTGATGTTGTAGTATACAAAACCTTCCTCTCTTCTCGGAAGATGATTAATTGTGGTGCTGACGACATTATCGTCGACAGCAGTGTCCATGCGCCGTGAGCAATGCGCCGTGAGCAATGCGCCCGGCGACGCAAAGTCTGGCTCAGTGTGGGCCCGACAATGAAGTCCTTGGATCCAATATTCAGTCAATGGGCCATGACGACGACTGCAAATCCTAAGCACTTTAGAGCGACGTGCACGATGATGCTCGTAGCCGTTCATATGCAATGTAGATCATTCGTTGAGCCGCGTCGTCGATCGACCTTGACATGTTCCACGTTTGGCAGCGGCATTGTCATCCGTTGACGATGTCAAGGTGATGCTTTCACATTCGCTCAATGAGGCAGGCCACGAGGCCTCTTTCAGTAAGCATGACGATTGCGTTGCGTTGCTCGTGGAAGCTTCCAACGCAATTGCGCGTGGCTGTGCAAAGCTTCAGGCCCGTTTGTCCTGGTCTTGGCGAATCGTGATCGACGTAAGGTTCAGGCTTTTGCCCACGCCGTGCCGGGAAATTTTGGCGCGGATCGTGAATTGCGATCTCTTCTCCTCTCACAGTGGTTGGCGCGGACTGTGAGCATAGTTTTGGTTGTCGACGGTAAGCTGTGATTGAACAGCTCTACCAAACGTCACTGCCTAGTCACCTGCTCTCCTGATTTCGCCAGAGCATCTGTTGCTGTTCCAATTCGCGTTGTCGTTCTTCGATGGATTTGACGACATCGCCGCCACTTGGTACGTGAGTAGCTCCTGGCATGCTCGAGATCATCTCGCGTGTCAGATTGTGGGCGACAAAGCCTTGCAGTTCTCTGTCCTCGCGTTCGTCCTCTTTCATGAGGCGTGTTCGGATCGACTTCTCGACATTTTCGCGTCGAAGTTTCCTGATTTCGTGGATAATGTAAAGTAATACCTCTTCGGGGCACTTTGTGCGACTCAGACCATGTTGGGCCGGGTTGCGGACGTAGCGTCGAGTAACATCAGTCGCGCCATCAATTGAGAAGGCAACGCAGTAACCGATTTTGCGACCCCAGCCTGTAAAGCATGATTAGTTATGTACGGAAGCAGGCAGTTGAAGGTGTGACATACCTTCAGTGTAGATTCGTGGGTTGTCCCATGCTTCTTCGCAGGGATCGACATGAATCCACCTCCGCTGGTGTTCTGAGTATACCTCAACCCAGACGTGGTCTTCGCTGTTCCAAACCCATCTAATGCGGGTACCCATTGCTCGGCAGAGCATAGCGAAACAATTCGCAAATTCGCCGGCGCGACCTCTGCGGGTCTCGAGAAGAGCCCATACATCAGTATATCGTGGAAAGCGCTCGTAAGCACCGCATGTGCCATTTTGACATCGGTAGAGTTCGACACGCGAAGCACCACGTGCTTGCTCGTCGGGCGTGGGAGGGGTCGAGCCTGCTGTTACAGTCGCGCCGTGGCATACTGAACATGGAGGATTATGCACAAATGTGAAGAATGATCGCTTGAACCATCTCAGCAGCATACGGATCACGCAGTCCTGGTAGCTCCACTCAGGCCTCGCGTTCTCGCCCATTGAGGCGGCAATGCCTTTCATGATATTGTGTTCCTCGTCTGCCTCCTGATATATCCGGTCGAGGGGTACATGTGTGAGGGCATCGTCTAGCAGACCTGGGTTTTCGTACTTGGTGGGCGTGATAGACATTGTTATGAGGAAGTTGCGGAACTTGAGCGATGCAGCATCGGATGGCGGCCGAGGAATGATCGGGTAATTTCTAGATACATTATAATGCGGCGGCTGCGAGCCTGTCGACGTTCGTGGAGAGGACAACACTGATTCTCGCGAGAAGGTTGAAAGGTGTGACTGTGTTGAGGAGCGGACGCTAGATCTGGGTGATTGTGATCGGGGTCGTGACTGCTCTTCCAGTTCATTCAGTCGCCTTGTTCGAAGGAGGTTCTCGAATTGCGCGGACAGATCGTTGGCGTCGAAGTCGAATTGCTCGTCCAGACTCTGCGGTCGGGCCGCCATAATGCTGTGTGATGTGTGTGGTGCGAATAGGTGGTGTGTGTGCAGAGAGGTCTGGGATCCAACGAGATCGAGCGTGTGAGGTAAGTGGTAGTAGGTGGGCAGCCTCTCTTCAGTGGCTGCGCCTCACCAGAGCCAACACCGCCCGAGCCTTCGCCACGGTTTCCAGAGCGCTGAGGGCTTTTACGGGATGTATAGGGATGGTATACTGTCGCTGTCGCTTTTTGACGTCGAGATATTTCCTGAGGGTCGAGCTTGTGTATTGAAGTTAACAGAGAAGGCAGCTACGAGAAGGCAAGAGAAGAATGCGTGTGTGCTTGCGTGGACGAGCCGGCGAGAATGCGCTGTAGGGCCTAGGAGTTGGGGCGATTCCACTTCAACCTGCCCAGGTGCAAAAACCTATGGGGTCCGCCCTGCACAGGTGAGAGATGGTGCAAGATGGGTGCCGCGCGTCGTCGGCTGGATTCGCTGACGAAGCTTCCTCTTCTGTTTCCTCATTGCACGTCTTTACTCTACACGGCTTCATCGCAAATATCACAAGATTATCTGACTGCTGCCACATTGTCGTCGCTTGTAGCATGATTCCTTGCTGACTATGGCATTGTCTTCCATTTACATGGTGTGCGTCGCTGCGTTTTCAGCCATTCGTTATCGCTATTGCCTCGACTTACACAATCATGAGATTTAAGACCACACGTGGCTCACACTCTCCTCACCCAAGCATTACGAGGCCCTGACGCCCATTTGCTTGTCCGGCGAGTTGCTCACTGCCACCTAACGAGTTGACAACCCCTTCATACCTAGACCGTCTTGGCACTGATGTTGTGCTTGTTCTCCTTCCCTCTTCGAAGTCCTCCCTGACTGTGCACTTGTATTAGTGCTAAGACCCGTTTGTCCCCGAACGGGTTGCGGTGGATCGCGTGCACGTCGTAGCAGACCAATCTCGGCTTCGCCAAGCCAAGAGGGATGTTTCTTGTCGACCGTCAAGCTCTACTGAAAGGCTTGCGTTCGGCATCGCATGCCGGGAGCTCGAGCCTTGCATAATGCTTGCTGTACACCTGCCTCACGCAGGCAATGCAGACCTCATGCTATGGGCAGCTATGAGCGTACAGCTCTCATGCTTCAACAAAGCATATGCACAACAACCCTAAAGTGGCGTACAGACTTCCGAGTCCTGACGCGCGGAGTTTCAGCAGCGGGCAAACCTTGCGATTCATACGCAATCATCCATTTGTCTGCCAAGTGCAACAACTCTGAACAGCCACGAGCGTTGCAACAGACACCAACATTTGCTCATTTCGTATGAAACCCAAGTCTTCGAGAAGCTCGTGTTGCTGCGACGCGTTCACGAGAGCCAAGACCGCTCCTTGCCACAAGTTCACGCAATGCCAGGTGATCAGGCTCGTCGATCAATGTCAGCTCGGTGGTGATTCGTCACCCTGCGACACGACAAGTTTCTGAGTTTGCGCACCCCCTGACGCATATCAACGGCACGGCTAGCTTCCGAAGACATTGCCTGCGAATGAGCTGAATGGAGGGGACTTCCTCTACTTTGGCAGTGTGTTCAGGCGGCCTTTGTTTAGGAAGGGATTGATGACCCAGACAGGTCAGATGCGATGACGGTGTTGAGAGAACCAAGACGCAGCTGCTTACTCTTGCCAAGTCCGCGGACACGCGGCTCAAACCAAGGACACGTGACCGGCTGACATAATTCATAAATCTAGTCTTGGCGCTCGGCATTCCAAGTTTCGCAAGAGCTTTCAAGAACGCTTCCTCTTCCTCAAGCTGACCTGTAGGTCATGACGATTACTCCTCGCTATGCGGGTGAGTCTTCGTAGCGATGAACTCCCTGCAATACAGGTCGAGTTCTCGCGGCAATTCCAGTCCGCTAGGCGGATTGGGTTGTTCATGCCATCGAAAGATGTGCCACAGCTTACGGCTGTCTCTTTTAAATTCTTCACACAAATACTCGACACAGTGACTTTGACACAAGTCAGAGCTCTGTACCGGTCAGTACTGGTATAGCAGGTCGAGATGGTCGAACTTTCGGCCTCAGCTCTCCACCCCGAAGCCTTGGGTAGTGGTGCTCGATGTATGTCTTAGATGTCGGAGGTTCTGCGACGGTGAGGCAATCGCGTTGCGCAAATTGCCAGCAGATGGTTGGCGTTCGGCTAGCTAGCCACAACGGCGCCGGTGCTTGGAGTCAATACCAGCGTCTTATCTCGGTCGTGGCCCGAGCAAGCACCGCAAGTGCTCACTAAAAAATACCTAGGTAGGAAAGAGTGCCTGACGCTAAGCTCGCCTAGAGGGCGCTCGGAACTGTCCTGGTATATCAAGTGCACTGATTTGTGCCAAGGACAATCTGGTAGAGCTCAGGAACGTGCGATAGAGACAGTTGTGTGTACAACTTGAAAAGGATGTCTGGCATCAACGTTGTGTTAGCTGACCTAAGCACTTGTGATTCGAATGTTACGCTGGCCAACTCAAGTACAAACAACTCCTCAGAAAGATGTCGTGGGTCATGGTATTTGCGCAGCCAGCAGAGTTTCCTATATCTGAAGAGATCAATCCGCCAGCGTCGTGGCAGAAGGTACTTTTCCCTCTCAAAATCAAAACGTTGTGTATCTTGAGAGTCTCATATCCATCAACGACACCAGCGGTTACCACGCAGCGCGAGGACTTCGTCCAATGATGCTGCTTAATCTTCACGTCTTTCGGGCCCTTGTCGCCGCAACCATCATTTCCTGCTCCACGGCAAGCGCCTACGACACCATGCAATTCCAACTTTGCAGCGACGACAAATGCAGCGTGGGCTGCGAAAACCAAGCGATCGGCCAATCCCAAGTCGACACCTGCTTCGACCTGGCGGAATACAGGAAAGGGTACTCGGTGCATGTCCACCACGTTGATCCATACTTCTTCGGCAAGAACATGCGACTTTATGTCTTCGAAGGCAACAATTGCGACGGCATTTTCTGGTCGGAGTTCAGGTTGACGAATAATGCGAATTGCGGCACTCAATTCGATAAAAGTCTGGCTATCAGGAGCTTTATATTGCACCAGTGTACTGCTAATTGCGATTGAGCTATGAGGTGGCTAGAATGGTGGTGGTGAACAGGTGCGAAGGGCAGGGTGCCCTCCGCGCCGGAGATTCTGCGCGGGACGCGAGCATGGCTTGCGCATGACCTGTTCTGCTAGTCCACGCTATGCTATGCTGCCTATGCTATGCTACGAACCAAGAATCATAAGCTCCAGAAGGAACTCCTCAGAGGACTCCTCATGTCCAGTACTCCAACAGTCAAAATCAATAGCTAGTGCGCAGTCTCAAGCATGCACCACTCGTTCCTACTCCCCGTCCCACCACTTCGCATCCTCGACCATGTTCATACCCAACTCCCTCGCGTCTTCCACCACATCCCACAGCTCACCGGCGTGTCTAGCACGTAGACATCTCCAGCCTTCTGTTGCCGCTTCTTCTCCCGCAACACCAGCGCTCACTTCGTCTCCATCTCTACCTTCAGCGTCCTCGTCGACTCTGCCGTCTTCGTCTTCTCCTTCTTCATGCCCCTGTCCCTCCTCGCTCTCGTCCTCCACCTTCACCACAGCATCGCCGCTGCCATCAGTGGCAGCAAGAACCGAAGCACGAGCCGCAACATCAGCAGCAGCAAACGCACCACCCAATCGCGCAGCCGCAGCTCCCCAACACGCGCGCACCACCTCTCCAAGCATCTCCCATCGCTTCCCCGCAGCAACAAGCTTTTCCTTCGCCGCCACAGCCTCCTCAGAGAGACCCGCAGCAGAGCCAGAACCAGAAGCAGCAGAGCCACCAAGATTTGACGCTCCGGTTCCCCAGATGCCGTCAAAGCCCCCCTCAATACTCAGCTGGCCGCTGTACACCTGCGCCAGGATCCCAGTGCACTCCCCAGCACACTCCAAGCGTGCAAGCATGGCCTCAGACATCCGCGTCTCCAGCAGCAACACCCCCTTCCAGAAGAACGCGTCGCTCATGCCCTGCTCCATGCGCGCAAAGGAGGCGTGGATGAAAGCCTTGTTGGCAGCACGAACAACGGGATCTGTGTTGGGAGGTGGGTCGGGGAAGTTGAAGCCGAAGCTGGAGCGCGAAGCATTGGGGTCGGGTGTTTCGAAGCGGGGCACGGCGATGCCGCGGTGAATGCGATTGTGAGGCGAAGGGCTCGGAGCTTGAGCGCGTCGGGAAGTTCTTGGTGCAGCTGCAGCGGCAGCGTGGGCGGCGTTGATTTCTTGCCCTTTTTCTGGGTCGAGGAGGAGCTCGAGGCCCCATGTGCCGGCGACGGAATTGGCTTGTGCATCGAGGGCTTTGAGATTATGGGAGACGCAGTGGAGGGCGGAGCGTATTGAGACGAGGTTGTGTGATATGAGGTTGCGGAAGTGGCGTTGGCCGGCCGGTGTGGCGTAGAAGAGGAAGAGGGCGCGTTGGCGGTCTTGGATTGTAGAGTGTTGGGCGAGGAAGACAGGAATGTTGAAGCCGGGGACTCTGAAGGTCGTGAGATGCGGGTTCGGAATCTGGAGGAGGTTGGGAGGGAATGGTGCCAAGGGAATGCCTGGTTCGGAGGCTTGGGCGGCCTCCTGAGACTCGCGAAGTGCGGCTTGCATCTTTTCGACGAGTGATGGTAGAGTCTCCGGGCGCATTGTGTGGTAGAAGAGTAGGTCTTGGATGTTGATTGTGGATGTCGAAGCTGAATGCCGATCGTCGGAGGCACGTTGAGGTCAAGCGGGTTCAACACCTCTTCGTCGAGGACCATCTCGTTGACAATGTCGCGCTCAATCTGGCGTCGGCTTTGATTGAGACCATCTTGGAAAGCGATTGGGTGGCCAGGCTGTGGGAGTTGCGGTCTCTGACTCGCGTAAAAAGGATCGCGCTGATTCTGAAAGTAGCGCTCAGATGATTCGCCGTGTACGTAGTCATGAATCGGGATCTCTGGTCGCGGCGGCTCCTCGTCTGACTGACTGAAAGATTGACTGGAAGAAGAAGAAGAGGAGGACATCGTCGGTGCGGCTGCTTGCTCGTTGCTTCCGAAGAGGACAGACTGGAGGAAAGTGGAAGTGGGTCGCGGTTGAGGAGAGGTCTGAGGTTGGTTTTGTGCAGGCAAATTATCAACTGCTTGCTGTGGAGCATTAGACGTGGAGCCTTCTGGCAGTGTTGTGTTTGCTGTGACTGCAGCCTGTGGGGTGGAAGAGGAGGAAGAGGAGGAAGCGGTTGCAGTTTCTGTTGCCCCAGTAGCAACAGCAGCATTTGTGGCTGGTGGTTGTGGTGCTGGAAAGCGTGGTGCTGGAAACCCAAAATTCCTTAGAAAGCGGAATCGCTCCTGGACTGTGAGCGGCTGTCCAGGAGCGCGAGGAGGTGGTGGAGGAGGAGGAGGTGGAGGAGGAGCAGGCTGCCCAGGCTGCCAGCCTGTAGCCCGAATGTTGTCCTGAATCTCCCTGATGGTAGGCATGTTTGCTAGCCAGTAGGGAGCAGTGCGCAGTCGTGAAAGAGACTGAACGGCGAGCGGAAACAAGTGGCGTCTTTATCTTGCTCTGTTTGCCTTGTGAAGTCCTTCAAGTGAAGCCAACACTCTCAAGTGATCATTATTGCTGCTGTGAAGATAGCTGCCAGCCGAAGTGTGAAGTGATCTGGTCTCCGTGAAGCCGTGGTCTTGGTAAGTGACCTCCAACCAGTTCATGCAGTGTGTGCATGCCATTTGAACAATATCTATATTGAATGTTGTCATTGCGTTAAGTGGTCAATTCAACCATATAATTATATGGCCAGCTTCAATCAACCAATTGCCTGTTTGACTTGAATATCAGAAAGCAAAGCACTTACACAATTGATCACTTGACTATTGCTTTGTGCTGCGAATACCTCCCACCATACATTTGACCTACTTGAATCACACAATGATCATGGAGTGTTAGCTCCGAGCCAATGCTGGGTCACTTTACTTCGAGTGCGACGCAGGGGACTGGCCGGCTACAGACAATACTTTGGATCGCGACTGTGATGACCTTCAACAATAGCAGGTCGAGTGATGTAGATTGGCAACCAGGATTGACGAGCGAAGACATCGTGCCTCCTGAGGACGCGCCACTGAGGCCCGCCGAGATCTGCCTGCGATTTCCAGAATGAATCGATGCTGGTCAAGGTCCTGTCCGTGGCTGTGCGCCTATGGATAGAGAAATGCGCATTTCGTTCGTGGTGGACGTCAAGGCTCGAACAAAATATTGTGAAACGATTCAACAGTGGTCCATGTCGTCCGCGCTAAAGATGGCGGCATCAGCACATTGGAAATTCGTCCTCGAGATCACTGGACGAATCTTCGCACAACGCTCTGCAGGCGCCATGCAGCTATGCAGAGGAAATGCGACGGCGTACTTTTATCCAGACAGGCTAATAGCTTGTCTGCAAAGAAGCAATGGTGGCGTTCATGGCCTAATGAGACGACATTGCTGCCACCTAGTGTCAGGGTTCATCATGCTAGACGCAGTCAACACGACACTAGGACTCGAAAAGCAGGTCGCTTGGGAATTTCGGACGCTGCAACCTCCGAGCTCTGGAGAGCACCAAACAGTGCAGTCTGACAAATCAGGAGTACCTCGTACTGCGTTCCTTTGCATATCTGCTTTGTAGCGGCGCCATCCGGAAACAGCTCATATCGATCGAGACGGAGCGCTTGCGCAGAAACGTCGATTGCAAAGTCGTGAGAATTATAGAACGACAGGACTTTCATTTCTCAGGAGCAGGAAGGAAGCGCCCTCGGAGATATACAAACACCACCTGGCCTTCCCACCTGTCCTAAGCGAACCAGTGATGACTGCATCGAAGAGCTTGCAATCTGAAGTGACTGTAGCTGTAATTAAGGTTAATCAATAAGCCCTTTAGCAGACTTGGCAATACGTCAGACCATCAGCCCTTCAGAAGGTGGCAGCAACGAAGAGGTCTGTAACACTGGCATTCCGGCACTCATTATTGAGAACACGAAGAACAGCTCCTGCGCATTTGCCAAAAACAAGAGTGCTTGATGTGGCCAAACGCGTGAGACCTCAGGTAAAAGCGGAGGAAAACACGAATTCCCCGCTTTAAAAGATCCCCAGACAATTGGCAGCCCCTTGGCTGATGAAATTTGCATCCGAGACTTCCATGCGTCATGCTCACCAATGCGTTTTCCGGGTCACCGAATCGCCCTCTCACGGTCAGTCCAGGCTTGCGATCAGACTTACCAGACCAAAATCGATACATCAACATGCTGTCGGCAGTCGTCGAATTTTGATTTTATCCAACCTTTGAGGCGCAAAGCTTCTCTCGCAACGGAGCGTTGAACCAGGCCAGGATGACATGCACAACGACCTCCGGGATCGAGTCGACGTCCACAAGCGGTAAGCACCAAGATGTTGGCTGATCTGCGGTGAATGGATGACATCTCCCATTCGCCACCTCCCCGTAAGCCCGCGAAAAAGGAGGAGGTATACCTCCACAACACTCCCCATAGACTAACCATTCATGATGCAATATTCCGCATCAACTCGTACCTCTAGTCTGCGAAGATCCAGGTGACCATCCCCTTCGGCATTTGTCAAGCAATAATGGGTCGTCATCGAACGGACCACTTGTGCCGTACAAATACTCCCTGACAGCTGCTCTGGATCTCTCTGCCTTTGATCTTTCTGCTGGTACAGTTTTGTTGGTTGTTTGCGCCTCTTTGATCGCGTTTGGTTAGCTATAATTGTCAGCAGAAACCCGATCTACTCGCAACAACTCTTGACCACATCTTCAAGATGGCTACCACCTCTTCAGCCGACACTGCGACGAACGGTGACAGGAACTTACATAGCTCCCCGACCAATGGTAATACCTCCGCCGAACTCGAGAAAGCCACTACGCACATGACTGCCGACGAGCGCAATGCTGCCGTGCATGCCGCACGCTTCGGTTACGGACCTCTCGCACATTTGAAGTCTCAAGCCGAGTCGATGCTTCCAGCCTTTGGTGGTGAATTTCAGCCTGGTCTGTATAAGCCCGTTGAAGGTCGCAAATTCGCCAACCCTGCGCCTCTCGGCCTGTCCGCTTTCGCGCTCACGACGTTCGTCTTGTCGCTCATCAACCTTGGCACATTGGGCCTCAGCTCGCCAACGATTATCATCTCGCTTGCGTTCGGGTACGGCGGGCTTGTCCAGTTGCTTGCTGGCATGTGGTACGTCTCCTCATCACCTGTAGGTGCCAAAATTGCAAGACTGACCATCCTTCCAGGGAGATGGCTGTCGGGAACACATTTGGTGCCACCGCTCTTTCTTCGTACGGAGGCTTCTGGATCTCCTTCGCCATCATTCTCACTCCAGGCGGCTTCGAGATCGAGTCAACTCTCGAAACAGCCGAAGGCGCATCTGGCTTGCTCAACAATCTTGGCTTGTACCTGATGGTAAGTTCTTCAACACCCAGCACTCGCTGCCTTGTCGCGTTGCTTTTTGATCACTGATCATTAACGGCAGGGCTGGTTCATCTTCACTTTCGTCCTCCTGATCTGCACCCTCAAATCTACCGTCGCGTTCTTCTTCCTCTTCTTCACCCTCGACATGGCATTCTTGCTTCTGGGCATCGGCTATCTCCAGAACTCGGGTGGGGCACCCAACACGGGCTGCATCCGTGCCGGCGGCGCCTTCGGTATCCTGGCTGCGTTTGCTGCGTGGTATAATGCACTGGCCGGTATCGCGGATACGAGCAACAGCTTCTTCATCATTCCCGTGGTGCACTTCCCGTGGAGTGAGACTGGGCGACAGAGGAGAGGACGCAAGACTAAGGGCGAGCACCAGGCTTAAAGTCTGGGCTCCCTAGTCATGGTCGATGTGGCAGATCACGCTGCGAAGGCGACCAGTTCCCAGGATGTGGTTGTGATGCGACCCCGAGAGTTTCAACGGCTCGCGTCTGCGAATCACATTTCAGACGGGAAGCAGCAGAGAGTTTTTGGAGCCGCATGCTTATGGAAACAAATGGCCGGGGCTCTATGATACCAGAATGCGCCCGACAGCAGCATCTCTACCAACTGTATACCCCAGACCCAAGTATTAATATATAACTCATCAATATCATCTTACGATGATTACTGTCGATATACCGCGCTCGCCATTCCATCACCCCGACTACTAATCACTCTACATTGATATCACTGTATGCCCCTTTTGGCAGTATGATTGAAGGATTCTCACCCTCTACACGTACAACTATTGCCGTTCACGCTCACACAACCGAGCTGATGCTGGTACGACACGGGCGAGAAGCCTTAGGGTAAGCACAGCATGGAACTCCTGATGCCGCTTTATATTCGTCCGGTTAGGGCAGCCTCGAGGCAGCAAAATAAACTCACACTTTCGCGGTGATCCGTGACGGCTGGGAAGACTCTGAGCTCAGCAACCTGCAGAACTATAACTTGAAACAGTACCTGCACCTCAACACGACGGGGCCGATTTCGTGACAAGTTCGCAGCAACAACAATGGAACCCACCCTCAACCACCTCCATACCGCGCAGACTGGCCACGACATACATTTTTGGAATTCGTCAATGCATTAGCTGTAGCTATGAGCTATGACACGAGTACATTGTATTTGCTGCTGGCGACGCTCTCCGGATCAATGGGTGTAGCGCTTCTCCGCGGTACGTGAGCATATCCGCTTCATCCGGTAGTGTTGCAGATCATAATCTCGATGCCTGTCGATCTTGTCGGGGAGGTCAAGATCGGCACGGGGTGGTGCCTGTCGAGTCAAGAGAACCTTCAAAAGCCTATTGCAAGCATGAAGGTGCTCTGAAAATAGTCAGCGACGGCAGCACGCCCTGCCGCCAGTGCGAAGAGACTTGACATAGACCCGCTGACAACGCTTGGAGAACACTCAACAGACCGGTTGACAAGAGCATTAGGCACTTGCTGGGACCGACTGACTTGCTAGCTACAAGACGCCGTCTGAGATATCTGGAAGCCGTTGCGCCATGTAGCACGGATCGCCATTAAGCAACGCCGCTTGACGCGACTTGGACTCGATTGGCACGACTCGGGCCACCGGCCATCTAGACATTGCTTTAAAGCACGCCCGGGGGCTCACATGCTCCCGGGGGTATTTATATCATTTGCATAATATTGGTCTAAAGATGCCCGAGAGATTCCCAGTCGGCTTCGGTCAACGGACGCCCGTGACCGAAGCAGTCTCGCTATCGATACATATAGTACATAAATATGGCTGTCGATGCTTGCGCCGGCATCGAAACCTCGCATTGTAAGCCTTGCCATATTCTCATCATCGCCTCGTAAAAATCGTTCCATCATATTTGACCCAGTGTCAACCATCACTACTTGCGCTTTCGCTCATTCCACGGCACAAAAGAGCCTCGCACTCCCAACTGCCTCTTCCTAGGGTCGACAGGTGGTCTCTGAAGTGCAGGTCCTCCTCGCTCAGTACCGGAATCTTTAGTGCTGCCACCCGGGTGTGAATTTGTTCCGCATGATGGCGTGTTCTGCTTGCCTACTTTCATAGCTGTGTCAAAATCTTCTTTCGTTCCGATTGTAACTTCTCCATTTTCATCGAATAGCTCTTGAGTTGGGCTGCTTGAGAGAAAGTGGTACACTCGCTTTGAACGGTTCGGGCTGAGCTCTTCTAATGGAAGCGGTCGGGGCCGCTTGACACCCACTGAGCCTGTCTGGCCCGTGAGCACACGGCCAGGAGCGGCAGCTCGACCCATTGCGTTGAAGGCTGGAAGACGATGATTGCTCAAGTGTGGGAGCAGCTGTTGCGGGTCTGAGGTTCCGTGTCGATCGCTAATTGAGGGCATGGTTGGCAAATTCGACACCGATTGCGAGAGAGACTGGGGTTGTGTACCTGACCGGCCTCCTCCCTTAGAGGCGCTCACAGGTGCAGACTGACTTGGTCGTGCGCTCCAAGCCTGTCGCGCAGCTTCTGCAGCGCTGGGCCGACGAGAGAAGAAGCTCTGTATGCCTCTCGGAGCATTAGTTGCTGGCGCTGGCGGTGCTGGGCTATCTTGCAGCGTATGACCCTGATGCATGGTATTGATTGAACGCATCTGTTGGCCGGCTGTTGTGAAGCCTGCATTCATCGATGTATTGCTGGTAGAGAAACTCCTTGAGCTTGTCATGGTTGTCTGGTAACTAGCGATACCCTGTGTAGATTGGAAGCTGCTGTCCGCAGGCTGCAACCTGCCTGCCCCAACAATCCAGCCTCCTGTCATGATGTCTTGTTCAGGTCCAAGAGCTGGCCTGCCATCGAGAGGCCATCGATCGTCCTCCAGTGACTCGGAGTTGCTGATAGATGTCACACCCTGTGCAATATCCGCTGGAGAAGGCGTCTCACGCCGCAGTATACGTGCAATGTCTGCAATAATGCTGTCCGTGAACAGTGGTGCTTTGTTTGCCGTCCGGTAATGCAGTGACTCTGGCAGGAATGGTGTCAGATCGTGAGCGTTCAACCCTTGATCTCGCGAGCCGATCAGGGGAAACGAGATGTTGAGTAAAGCCTGCGCTCGAGTAATAGCAACATACAAAAGTCGCCGCTCTTCATCCGTATCTTCGGCACGAGAATGCGGTATCGACCCATCATACACCGAAGGAATGAAAACCACAGGCCACTCCAGGCCCTTGGCGCTGTGTATGGTTGAGATTGTAACACGGGGCTTTGGGTCGTCCTTGTCGTCTTGCTCGACCTCGGAAGAAAGTACGATGTTGGCTAGAAATTGGTCGAGAGCCTCTTGACACTGATCGATTTGCTCTTGCGCGATCCCTTCAACAGTCGGCAGAGTTTCGGTCGTTGACATGACCGTCATATCGGAGGCATAAGCAATCAGCTCCTGAACGTTCTCAATGCGGTCTTCGTAGTCGTCCTTGTATTTCTTCTGGAGGTAGGCCTGCAGATGCAGGACCTCGACCACGTACTCGATTAGCCGGCTAGGAACTTGAGCAGGCTGCATATCCTCCATCTTGTCGCGTGCCTTGTTGATTATGCTTATCAGTCGCGACAGGTCCTGCTCCGAGGGCTTCGAGAGCTTCTTCTCTGGCACTAGGCTACCTGCAAGTACCTTCTGTACAACGCGAAAGATCGGCAGCTTATGCTCTTCACTGAGCTTGGCAAGCGACTCGATCGCTTTCTCGCCAATCTTCCGCGATGGCACGTTGATGATTGCCAGGAAAGCTGCATTGTTGTCCGGATGGCTGATCGTCCGTAAATAGTCGACAATCAACCTGATTTCGGCACGATCAAAGAAACGTGTTCCACCAACCATTCGATAAGGTATGCCGGCATTCGTGAAGGCTTTTTCAACTCTCGAAGATAGATAACCTGACCGAATAAGCACAGCAATATCGGCGTGACCGATCAAGCCACCAGTAGAAGCGATGATGCGTTTGACTTCGCTTGCAATCCACAAGCCCTCCTCAAATGAGTTCGGTAGCCTCCTCAACACGGGTAGCGCACCGTGGCAGTGTGTTGACTTCAGTTTCTTGTCAGGTCGTGCTGTATCTTGATCGATAACGTCCTGTGCCAGCTTCAGAATTGCTCCACCAGATCTATAGTTCTCCTCGAGATTGATGACTACCGCATCTCGGTAGTAAGCCTGCATTCTTTTCAGGTTTTCGATCTCTGCCGAGCGAAAGCCATAGATGCTTTGGTCGGGATCACCAACAATAGTGATATGATTGCGAGCAGAAGCGAACAGCTTCATGAGCTCATACTGCACAATGTTCGTATCTTGAAATTCGTCGATGAGGAGAGCCTCGACGTTTGCGACACATGTTGGCTGAGCTCGTAATAGGTCGACACACCGAAGGAGCAGATCGTCGTAGTCCAGCAAGTTGTTGTTCTTGAGCTCGTCCTCGTATTCGCGAAAGACCGTAATCATATCTTGCTTGCTCTGTGCTGGCTCTTTACTCTTGGCCAATTCTGCCTCAAGGGAGGCGACAGTGCGGAACCGGGCCTTGTTCCAGGATATCTTAGATCTGGCTGTTTGAGGTTCGAGCTTGATATCGTGCTCCTTGATGATTCTCTTGACTATGCTTTTGCTGTCGGACGAGTCGGCAATGCCAAAGCCTTTGGCTATACCTATCTTGGTTCCGTACGCTGCTAGGTATCGTCGGCATACTGAATGGAATGTTCCCAGTATGAGCTTTGACTCTAGCTGTTCCCCGACGAGAGCGCGTAGCCGTTCTCGCATCTCACGGCTCGCCTTGATCGTGAAGGTACAGCATATGACATTCTGAGGATTGTAGTCTCGATGTGCTAGCAGATGAGCAACTCGGGAAGTCAAGGTCTTAGTCTTGCCGGACCCAGGTGGGGCGAGTACTTGCAGGACAGGTACCTTTGAGGTGACTGCAGCTCGCTGTGCAGGATTGAGTCCGGCCAGTAGCGAGGCCTCCATCCTGGCGCTTCCGTGGTCTCGGATCGACTCGACTACGCCTGCGACCCTGCATACGGTACGCTCGAGGTCCGGAAGCTGGCCTCGGCGGGTTGAACTCACACACAGCGTTGTAGTGTGAAGTTGTTGAGAATATCTTTATAATACGCCCGTAGACGCAAGAGCCCAACGCACTCAACCCGCGTTGCGGGGAGTGGTCGGCGCGAGACTCGACTCGAATTTCGAGGAGAATCGCTGCAAGGACTCGGACCGCAGTGCAGGGAGTACCTCGCCACGAAAACTCAACCTGTATTGCAGGGAGTGAACGTGAGACCTATGGGTTAGCTTGAAGGAGGGAAGAAGCAAACGTGTAGGACGCGAGATTTCTGGAGGCCGAGTCTCTGGAACGCCAAGCTTATCGCGTGAGCACGTGACTCGGGGCTTTATTCGAAACTCGTGGTCTAGCAATGTAGAGACTCCTATGAGCACAGTCGAGCTTCTCCAGGAAGTCTGACGAGACCTTGCCTGGACTTAAAACGTCCTAGTCGTCATGTCTGAGGACTTTGAATATAGTGTCTGTAGCGTGCCCTGGCAATATCGCGAGCACGCCTAGTCCGATTCACTATCTGATCGGCCGGGTTCACCGAATTCTGCAGGGCCATCTTCCGAGAACCCTACGAAGCATCGGATCTTCGACGAGTCAAGCCTTCCTGACCAGCACAAGTAGAGCCTCAGGAGCTTACACGCTGCTGGCGATGCCGGCACGCAGGGCATACTGCTCCTCCCCATGGTGGGTGACGTTGTGTTGGAGATCAGGTATATCTCGCGCTGATCCTGACACGTCACGGCAACGTATCATTGCGCTAGCACTGACTTCGTGACGGGGATCTTTGACTCAGCACGGGCAGTCCTCTGCTAGGACTCCATCCACAATGGACACATCCCATCCGGCTATCTTGATATCTGAGTGCAGCTGCCGAGGCCCTCGGGACCCCCTCCCCCAGATCTAAGCGAATGGTACTGCCGAGACTTCATATACTGCACGCCACCGCATTGCAGAGAGTGTATACGACTGCGGGAGGTGTGCGTGTGATTGCTTTTCGAACCGACTTAAGACTTTGACACCACGGCAAGGACGGCACAATGGCTTCTAATAGGTGGCATTTTTCTGGCTACAACCTCTGGGTCTGCTTCCTGTGAGTTTATTCCAACGACATGCATTACACGAATTTGCTATGGTCATGGTTATGGTTATGATTGGAAGCAGTCTCGCATGCTGCATTGCGACCCAAGATCACAGCGTTTTCAGGCGTTGAGGGCGCTCCCACAAGGCCCTGCTTACATCAAACTAAGTCTCCAAAATGTACTCTGCTAACCAAGCTCCAATAGCGTCTCCCTGGGACAGATCGCATTCGGCTATCCAGCATCAATCATTGGCGTGACCCTTGCGCAGCCTCCTTTTCTGGCGTACATGGGTCTTATTGATGCTGCCGGCGAATACACAGCCAACAGCTCGTCTCTCATTGGAGCCTGCAGCGGCGTGTTTCAAGCCGGCGCAACCATCAATGTCTTCATTGCGAGCTGGGTCTGTGACAAGTGGGGGAGGAAAGCTGGGCTCATCTGGTGTGCGATTCTGTCATTATTCGGCGGAGCTCTACTGGTCGGCGCACGCAACATCAGCATGTTCATCGTAGGGCGAATATTCGCTGGAGCGGGATCATGGGGCTTTCTGTCTGTCACACCTGCATACTCCGCCGAGCTCGCGCCGCCAGATCTTCGCGGGCTTATGGTTGGCTTGAACGGCATCAACATAGCGCTCGGATATGGGCTGGCCTCATACATGGGACTGGCATTCTTCTACACGAACGATCCTGTGTCCCAGTGGCGTACTCCTCTAGGCATCGCACTGATTTGGCCATTGATGATGATCGGGATCTGTTTCTTGGTGCCCGAGAGTCCAAGGGTGAGCATTTCTCAAGATTTCCCGGACCTTGCACTAATAGATGTGTAGTATCTGCTGATGCACGGCCGTGTGGACGAGGCAAAAGCGATCACCTTGAGGCTGCACAAGCTGAAATCTGATCCAAATAACGACTTTGCGGAGGCGGAGTTCTATCAAATGGCAGCTCAAGCAGACATCGATCGCAAGCTCGACCCAAGCTGGCTGGAGCTGTTTCGGAAGCCTTCGTATCGCAAGCGCTGCATGCTTGCAATGACATTTGCTTTCATTGGTCAAAGTGTAAGCTGAACAGCCCATCACACCTCGGCATTGCTGTATATGCTGACTTGCAAAAAGAGTGGCGTCTTAGTCTGGAACAACTATGTAAGTGCCGTGTACAGAGCCCGCCTTGGTGGCCACAAATCTGATATTGATCGTACAGGGTCCAACCATATATGCCAACCTTGGCTACGACACCGAATACCAACTGATCTTCCAATGCGGCTGGATCAGCGTCGGCGTGGTTTTTAACGCTATCGGCGCGCTGGTTATGGACCGCACTGGCCGCAAACCCCTACTTCTCATCGGAGTCGGAGGATGCTGCATCTCACTGATCCTCGAAGCAGCCATGTCTGCATCCTTCGCCGAAACCAACAGCAACAACACAGCCGGTCTTCGTGCGGGCGTGGCATTTGCGTACCTGTTCCTTGCCTTCTATTCTGTCGGCATTGATGTGGCTGGCGTTGTATTCTACTCCGAGCTCTTTCCCAACCATGTTCGCACCAAGGGTATTGCCCTCAGCATCGCCACAATTTCTCTGACGGATCTGGTCTATCTTCAGGTGGCACAGCTTGCTTTCGAGACCATCGGGTGGAAATACTGGTTGGTGTTCATCATTGTCACTTTCCTAGGTTTCTGGTGGACATGGTATTTCCTACCTGAGACGAAGGGCATCCCATTGGAGGAGATGGCTGCTTTGTTTGGTGATATGGACGACGTGGCTGTCTACTCTAGAGACATCCACTTCAGGCCAGGTACACACGAGATGGAGCGGGCGGAGCCTGATGCAGACAAGGCTATCACCAAGCATGAGGAGGGCAGCGACGTGGAGAAGGCGACGAATGGGCATGTGGTCGGATCGTAAGTCAGCTACTCCTGCGATGATCACCATATGCAAGCGTACGCAACATAGATCCGGACAAATAGACATAGAAGGGATTGCAACACCGCTCGGCGACAATCTTATCACGATTCTGAGAGTGTCATGATGAGGACAATGCTCGAATGATTACTCACATGATTCTCATCATAAGTAAAGTCCAGAATCCGAATAAATTGTGCCGATTATTGCCTCGGTACCTACGTAGCCAAGCTCTTGAAATGACAACGTGGCCAACCTACCTAAGGTACATGTTAAGTTCAGGCAAAGATGATCGGTTTGCGCCTGAAGAAGGCGTCTCATCCGGTGTGCTTGACATCAACCACCATACTCGTCGACCAGCACGACAACTCCATCAGCCTTTGATACACGAACAAGATGCTCTGTGCGTCCCGAATCATGAACCATAATCGTAAAATGCTCGTGACTGAAATTCGAGGCAAGACAGAAGTGGAAGCTTGAGACCTCCTGCTGCTTTTAGGTGGCAGTAGAAACGCCGCAGTCACGACGCAGAGTGTCCACTAGGGCGAGCTTGACCCTATGGCAGGACATTCAAAGGGAAGGTGTTCGTGTGCATTTGGGTTGTAAGGTACTCACAAGGAAACCCGGACAGAAGACGAAACCAGAAGTTCTCCTACCGCATCCGGGGGCTCTAGGGCAGCGATTGATATTGCCGGCGACCTCCGGACACAGTACGCCAGGATGATCGAAGCAGCAGCATATTCGTGTGCACTAAGAATCCAAGGTACTCTAGGCGTAAAACTGACAAAAGACGTAGATGGAAGGTCTCCTACCGCATGCAGACGGCATGCAAGGCGGTATCAAGCAAGAGCGGCGTGAGACTCGTGTCCCCAACTTTCCTTCCTTCCCACAGTTTGTCGTTATAGCGGCGACGGAGCCTTTGAAGGTACTCATGGCAAAAATCCGATAGATGACAAGAATGGTAGGTCTCCTGCTGGATCTGGATACCACCACTTGGGCGTCCAAAGGTCATTGGCCCTACTTCGCTTTGAAATGACTCCTAGAGCTTCTCTTATACTCATCGCTTGCGGCATGTGGATGATTTGATGACCCAGACAGGTCCAGTGTTCCCTGGGGATCGTCTCCTTGCTCGTTTTCGCTCTGGCCATGCTAAGGCGTCAACGTTGCGCCGTTGTTGCGACCAAGAGCGACTGCGATGGCGATATGTCCTTCCTACCTAGGTGCTCGATGCGATTACTTGTCACCAGTTGATAGGTTGACGTCACTCCGAGCATCGGCCTCCATTCCGAGGTACATTCGTCCGAGTATTTGGAGATGCATGTAGTACGTTGGATACCTAGGTATAGATGTACCAGAGGTGAAAGAGCCTCTGCACGTGGCGTGTGAGGAAGTCTGCCTCCAGAACTTGACTAGAGCGGGCACCCAGGTATAACTTGAAGCCACAGCACAACCTAGTCGTCATAGAGAGCACCCGACTTGACTGACTACAGCGATATTGCCCGCCAGCATGGCAGCGTCAATCGGAGTAAGCGTCAATGGCTGCGCCTGTGCAGAAATGACTGTTGACCTTTACGTCGACCCAGACAAGGACAGAGACTGATGCCATGGGCTCGATAGAAGTATAGACTTGGCTGCTCAAAGACCTCAGGACCCGACCAACTGACCACCAACAGGTCCCAGCGGACAGATACTGGGGTGCACAGACCCAACGGTAGCTCACCCCTCTGATCAGACTATTGCAGACCATGAGCTTACAAGAAGCTGCTTCAGCTCCCTCCAGAACTTTCCGATCAATCTCCCCACAGACATCATGCCTCCAGCTCTGATCTCGGCTTTCGGCCACCTCAAAGCAGCCGCCGCGACCGTCAATGCTGCCAACGGCGTCCTGGAGCCGCAGCTCGCCCGCGCCATCGAGCAGGCGGCCTCCGAAGTCGCAGATTTGACTCTGATTGACCACTTTCCCTTGTCCATCTGGCAGACTGGAAGCGGAACGCAGACTAACATGAATACCAACGAGGTAATCTCGAACCGTGCGAACGAGATTCTAGGAGAGAAGGAAAGGGGGACGAAGAAGCCGGTGCATCCAAATGATCATGTCAATCGGAGTGGTTCATCAAATGACGGGACAGCGACAGCAATGCATATTGCGGCGGTGCGTGAGGTTGAGGGCCGGTTGGTCCCGAGCTTGGAGCGGCTGTGGAAAGCGATGGTGAGGAAGAGTGAGGAGTTCGAGAAGCTGGGGCTGATCAAAGTTGGACGCACGCATTTACAGGATGCGGTACCGTTGAGTCTTGGGCAAGAGTTCAGTGGATTTGCGGCGCAGTTGGAATTGGGAATGGAAAGGGTGCTCCAAAGCTTGGAGGGTTTGAGGTATCTGGCTATGGGTGGGACGGCCGTGGGAACTGGTCTGAACGTGTTCAAAGGATTTGATGTACAATTCTGCGAGGAGGTCAGCCGTAGGACTGGGAGTAAGTTTGTGGTGGCCAAGAACAAATTCGAGGCGATCAGCGCGAATGATGCCATCGTCTATGCAAGTGGAGCGTTGAACACTCTTGCTGCCAGCCTTTTCAAAATTGCGCAGGATATCCGGTTTGAAGGCAGTGGCCCAAGATGTGGATTGGGCGAACTGCTACTGCCAGAAAACGAGCCTGGCTCTAGGTAAGCTCTCTGAAATGCCAGCTGCCTGAAGGCCTCCTTGACTAATTGAGCAGTTATATGCCTGGCAAAGTCAACCCAACGCAGTGCGAAAGTCTCACGATGATCTGCGCGAGAGTGGTCGCAAACCATACCGGCATTACGGTTGGTGGCTTGAGTGGCCAGTTTCAATTGAACGCGTTCAAGCCACTGCTGATCTCCAGCTTCTTACACTCAGTCCGCTTGCTGAGCGACGGTATGAACGCATTCAGGCAGAACTGTTTGGAGGGCTTGAGAGCAGATGAGAAGCGCATCAAGGAGCTCATGGACAACAATCTCATGCTAGTGACATGTTTGAGTGGGACGTTAGGGTATGACATGGCTGGTCGTGTGGCGAAGCATGCCCATAAGGAAGGTCTGACGCTGAGGGCTGCAGCGATTGAGCTCAAAGCACTCTCGGGCCAGGAGTTTGATCGCATCGTGAGGCCAGAGACAATGCTGGCGCCGGCGGACAAGCAGACGATGCAAGTCCAGACGTGACTTGGCGCCACAACTTTGGTATCATTATCATTGCCTAGGGGCAGAATCCAGAAGACTCTCGAAGCCACGGCCTCTTACTGTACTTATTAGGACTCGTTCCTTGCGGAGCGCTCCAGTGTTCTTGCCTTCGTATCTTACTGAATACCTCGTGGATGCCTGTTCTTATGAGGCTGACGGATTGCCCGGTGTTGACTAGCGACCAAAGGACTTCAACAGTCCAGGAGTGAAGTCACCCAGTAGATGTCCATCTTCGAGAAGGGATCGGCAAGTGAACTTGTGTACCGACTTGTACACTTGTAGAAGCTGTCCAAAGGGCTCCCTAGCATACATAAGTATCGAGACATCCGTAAACTTTTTGTCGACTTTCTTTACCTATGTACCTTTCTTAATCCTTTCGTGGCTTGACGAAGTAAGTGAAAACGTCCTATCGTCTCTTCAAGACACATCTACTGACCCATAATCTTGACCCAGACTCAACCATCGCCAGCTGCCCTTTGCTCAATCCTCCTGCAAGCCCACGACGATACGCCACCAAACGCCTGACATCTATCCACCATGTGCACCCAATACTACCGCACCTACTACTGCGGCTGTGAGAAGCCCGAGGAATTCTCACAGTGCTTCTGGCGCCTCACCACGAATCTCAGATGCGATCCGGTCGAGAAGGAATCATGTGGCTCCAAACCTGATATCTGTCTCACATGTACGGAGAAGCCACCACCAGGCGAAGAGTTGAAGCGCGAGCTCACCGAGGCGAAGACGTTCTGTGCGAACTGCCTTGCTGAACTCGTTGAAGGCCACAAGCACAAGTGCGCGTAGGAAACACGTCTTGTCGCAGTGACCACATTGCGGGTGAGCGGAGGAGTGAAGACTGTCGTCGGTCGGCGGGTCTCGTGTCCTGAGAGCACTTTTCGACAGGAACGCCTGAAGATCTAGGCGCCAGACCGAGGACTTGCTCGAGAAGGTACTTAGGCAAGATGGCTGGCAGTCGCACCACAGGGAGGGCGCTCTGCTGCTAGCTTGCAATGAAGGCGACTTGGTATATTAAAGCGGCCGTAAGTAGTACATAGTTTGGCGCGACCCATGGATGACTCCTTCCAAGGCCTCAACGTAGTCAAAGTATCTTCGCGTGGCGCTCCATTATCTCTCTCTCTCTCTGTGAATGCATTCACTGATGAGACCTGAGTGACCAGTGACTGATGTGAAGTCCCTCGTGTAAGCGCGTGGAAGCTGCACGAGTGATAGTACTGGTAGATATATATGCGTCGAGATGTTAGTCTGCATCCCCTCAACTACACATATTCATTCGGTCCGTTGTCCGAGTAAGTTGGACTAGAACCGAGACCTTTCGAGAGACACACTGACCAAAATCCTGGAGTACATTCAGACCTAACACCACATACCCCTCACCCCTGATCGTCTCGCAGGCTCACGACCACATACCAAATAATACATCACTTATCCACCATGTGCACCCAGTACTATCGCAAATACTCTTGTGGCTGCAAGAAGCCCGAGCAATTCGACCAATGCATCATGCGCCTGCACACGAACGTCAGATGCGATCCGGTGAAAAAGACTTCACTCGACTTCAATGGTTTCTGTTTCAGTCATACGGTGAAGCCAGGCACGGATGAGATGAAGCGCGATCCAGAGACGGGTGTGATGAAGCGGCCAGATGCTCGTGCCTGAAGTTAGATTAATGCAGCGCAGGGCCACCTGGTGTTGAGGGGAGTTGGCGGACAGGCTTGCCGGTAGCCAGGGAAGTGATGTGGAATCGCGATCTGTTGCAAAGCCGGCATAAGGTGGAGACAAGCACCATAGTTATGTGGCCCTTGTGCTCAGCGAATTCGTCGCGGCCAAGAACGACGGGTGAGCAGTTCCTTGGACGGAGTGTCCGGAGGTCTTCGAGCGCATGGCCTGCGAGCCTCGATACGGTCTGCGTTGAGGGACGGTGAGAACTGTGCTGAATGGATCATCTTTCTATCCGTCAGTACTCATTGGCCGTCACCGACCACACCAGATAGACAGATCCTCATATAATCAACGGTCCCGCTTCTATCACTCCAACTCATGATATCTCCAATGTATCAGCTCCCATATTGCAGACTCGGCACGACCACTGGGCCGAACTTGACCACGCTCCCGTAAGCCCCTTCTCCCTGCACCAGGAAGTCCGCTGCAAGACTCAACCTGCCTCCACCACGCATATCGGTCCTCCCAAACGTGCCATTCACCTGCTCCGGATCGTACGCCACCACCGCGACATAGTTCCTCCGAGGCATCAATTTCCGATTCGCACTCGGCTGGCCAGTGACATCGTGCGCGAACAGCTCCATCATGTCCTCTTTCGTGTCTGTCGGAACACTCGGCGTCGATCGCGTGCCATTCGCGGGTATATACAGTGGCTTATTGTTGTTAAGAAGTTTGAGGACGTAGGATGGCGGCGGCGTGTTGACGACGCTGGAGGAGATGAGTTGATACATTGTTTTGTGGTCGGACGGGTGCGAGGGATCGTGGACGAGGCCGGCGCCGCAGGTGTTGACGGCGCCGGACATAAAGGTGAAACGGATTGAGCGGGATTTTGAGATTCCTTGGAGAGTGCGGATGAGGTAGGTGCGTTCGAGGTCCTGTGAGGGCATGTCAGTGGACTGCTAAGATGGTTGGACTGATGACACCTGCCTTTGAGTCGTGGGTCCATTGGTCTTTCAGCTCGTCGAGCACATCGATATCGCCAAAAGGAGACAGAATGCCGCCCATCAGCCCGGACTTGCCTACAGCACGCTTCACAGTATCGAAGCCGGAGCCCACTGCACCTTTCGCGCCGACAACGCCCGCGACGCCGGCAGTCACCTTTCCAAGCATGTTATACGCTCCAGTAACAGCCTTTTTCCCCGTTGCAACTGAGTTGGCAAACTGCTCCGCTGCCTCCAGTCTGGGATACACGACCGGTACTGGGATCATCATTATACAATGCTGCACGCTGTTCGGCAGCATTGCAATCTTCGGGAACAGGCCCTGGTAAGTTGGTCCCGCCATGACCTGGTTGGGGTTTCGCTCGCTGCGTGTATCTGGTGCTACAATTGCAAGAGCCGGACCCAAGAACTTGACGAAGTGCCAGCCCGTGCCGGTAATGGTGAACAGATCGGTGTCGTCGCTGACGTTCCGGAGGATTTCGAGGGTGGTGTGGTGCTGGAAGAGAAGATACATCTCAATGCCGATGCGCCCAATGTTCTTGAACATATTGCTGAACTGCATATACTCGGGGTAAGACCCAAAGCCGTCGAAGCTGTGGACTGTTAGTACACGAAGTGGACGGCTGTCTGACATCTACTTACATATCGTGGTCGTCAATCGTCAAGACATGTGGAATCTGAGCAAACGCCTCACGCAAATGCGGCTGATCAAAGTGACTGGTGTAGTAATGGAAGTAAGCATGTTGCACATCCTCTTCGTGTGCTGCTGTCCAGGGAGCATTTTTCCTGTTCTCCTTACCGCTCATGGCAAGCCATTGCTTCAGTGAAGGGATCTCTTTCCACAGCCGGTCTGCATAAATCTGGCTACCGAGACCGAGCTGGACGTGAAAACCGCCGCATTCGGCGTGTTTCTGCATTATGTCTTTCCACAGGAAGCCGACGCCGCCCAACCGATTGCGTTCATTAGTCGTGACATTTAAGGTGAAGTCGTTACCTGAGGTAGCAATGAAGCGCCAATTTGTATCGTGCCTGCCTGCCACGAGGAACTCGTACCGTGTGCATCCCAGATGTGAGGTGATAGCGTACGTCCATTTCGCAGGACCGTTGTCGTCCATCCGGAGATCGACTTCGTACTTGTAAAACGTCCACCTTTGATGAGTTGCGATGTTGAGAGCTTTCAGCTGTCTGGGATTGGGCGACAGATCGGCGCTCTGATGGATGTGTATACTCGGCGGCTGCGGCGCATCCGTTACTAGCATGATTGATCCAAGCCAGAGCCCTCGTTCGAGGTCCATGTTGGTATATCGCAAATATGGACCAAAATATACTCCATTTGTGGCGTTCACTTTGTATAGCTCGACACCACTGGCTGGAGGCGGACCTGTGAAGTTGGCAGGATTAGACAGAGATCCCGTCTGATCATAGCCAGGCGTCATTGGCAGACCTGGCGAGGCAAGGGGCTTGCCAGAAGCGAATGTGAGACCTGGTGAAGCTAATGGATTTGGATACACGTTTCCTGTGGGCGAGAGTGGCGTGTCATTGAGGTTCAGGGGTGTGGGTCCTTTCGGGAACTCCCACTGCGTCGATTGTGTCGGCAGGTGAATGTAGTAGTATTGACCAGAGTTGGGATCCAGGTGGGCAATCCATCCTTCGGGCAATGGTGGGGGCGAGGCTGGCGGATGTGATGAGGGGGTGTGAGGTTGTGGTATCTGCTGTGGTTGAGCTTGCTGCCTGAAAGAGGGCTGTCGTTGCTGGGTTGCAAATTGCTGCACAGGAGTTGCGCCGTTGGATAAGCTTTGAGGAGCTGGTTGTTGCCGAGGATCGTTGGCAAAAGCTGGATGATCCTCCTGACTGACTCCGCTCGTCCTCCGCTGAGCCAATGTTGCTGTAGTGGCGGCCGCCGCTGCAGCCGCTACACCAGCGGTGCCTCCGCCTGCTCCGGTACCTCTCCTCTGCTTGTCGGCTGGATAGCGATTTCCTTGCCCTCCGACTTGCGAATATGCAGGTGGCGGCTCGTCATGTACTGACAGTCGTCCGATCTCGCTTTCGAGTGGATTCACTCTCGTAGGAGAAGTGACTGACTGGGCTGTCACGGACTGAGCGGGCTGTTGTGGGGGCGACTGGCCAACAGCGCTGTCTCCTTGATAAATCATAGGCGCGGGATGGCTGGTGCTGCCGGGTTGCTCAGTCGGCGTCCAAGGTCTCGCTGGTGCTTGCTGCGCAGCATATTGGGCCTGTCGTTGTTGTGATGCTAGACTTTGAGCCTGCAAGCTGTTGAGAGTATTGGTGCCAGCAATGCCAGATGCAGCATATCTCGCCTCTATGTCGGTCTGAGGCCGTGCACCCTGGAACGGCTGACCTACTGCGCCAGGACCAGTGATTGGAGTCTCAGGTGGTGGAGGTGAGCCCCTTGTGGCGCGCGTTGTAGATGTAGAAGCAGTAGAGCTGATCCTGTTCACTGCGCCAGGATCTCTCGCTCTCAACTTGTTGTAGTCCACTGTCGGTGGTGGGAAGAACTGCTGCGCTGCGGCTGGCAGAGGAGCGGTGACTGGCCCATCATTCCTTTGCAGAGGCCGCTGAAACATGTCCTTGTCAGGAGCCTCGGGCCCTGGCGACTCGGGCAGCGGCTTCGGACCTGACGTCCCTCTGCGTTCTGCTATTGACGACGACCCAGGTTTAGGATAGCCCGCGATGTCCTGCGAACTTGTAGAGCCGGCCCGCCTTTTGTAGTCCATCGAGTTCGCGCTACCAGTGCGCTGTTCGGGAGAAGCGATGGCCCTCACATCTGGATATGGATACGGTGCATTTGCTCCGTTGACTGGTGGAGGTGACGTCGTTTTGCGACCGCCCGGGTAGGGCAGCGCTGGCATAGGATATTGCGTCTGACTTGTGGTTTGCTGTTGCTGCGGCGGAGGAAATTGCTGACTCGCGTTTGATATCTGAGAGGCACCAGAGTGTCTCTTGCTTATGCGCAAAGGTTCGACAATAGTTGGCGAGTCCTGATCATTGTGCCGCTGCTGGCCCATGAACATCTCGTCTCCAGGCCGCCCGGAATGGCCGCCGGCACTCATCTTGACAATTCCAGGTGTCGCAGGGTGGCAAAACGGTCGTCTGGGTACGGCGCAGGTAGTGTGAGAGCGAGCGCGGCAGGCTGACGTAGATGTGCTACACAAGCGGTGAATCGACACTTCTTGGGCAATTCTGGCAGGAAGCAACTTTATCGATCTCCGAACATGGCGATCTCGTAGCAGCCGCCGGAGGACGAACTCAATCAACAGCCTTGATAGCAGAGAGCTCGACGAGCCGGTGTTGCAAGGCTTCGTCGCCTATGCACCGCGGTGCGTACCATCGCAGTTGGGCACATCCCCTCTTGGTTCGAGGGTCCTGCGGGGCACTGGAGTTGGCGGCAATCCTGTACTGGATGCCTCGTAACCGCCCTTGGCCATGGGAGCCTCGGAGAGTTGCCAATAACATCTCCTATTGGCTCTGAAAGAGGCGCAAGCGAGGTGAATCCCAGTCAAAGGCTTGCTCTTAGCGCTGGGCTGATCTGCGTCGAAATTCGAAGCCGCAACGAAAGTAGCTCTGAATTGACACCACGCACTGCTTTGACGAAGCTTGAGCAGGACAGCAGTGACGCGTCGCGGATATTGCAAGCGTAGACTTACTCGAAATAGCACCCACGAGAAGCTTGCTGAGGCCCGTGCCGCGCTAGGACCTGATTGACAGCCGGGAACAAGGCAAACAACGAGGCAGCTGAGTTCGTGGTGTTGACCATCTTGCACATAGCACTGGACACAGGAATCGATTATTCCCTCAAACACTGGTTGTTCCGTCCGGGAACCTTGTCGCCTGGACATATAGGGACGTGAGTAAACGAATCCATCAATCAGCCCGTCAGCATGGGCAAGCTCGGGCACGAGCGCTCTAAATGAACAAGACATCAGAAGCTGGGGCCAAGACTCAAAGCTGTAACTACGCCGTGGACGGAGTGTTCCGGACAAACAGACAGCAATCGCACGAGTGTCTTCACGTCGCCCCGTAGCCCTTGGCTGTTGCCACTATGTCGTACCGATCCTCGCCACCACCTTCCCACCGTCCTGATTCCAGGCCTATGTCAATATCGACAATTTCCATGCCTCCAGCCCATTCCAATCAACCACTTCATCCTCAACATACGCCTCTCAGTAAGCTTCTACTTGACTACGCTCCTATCGCATTCCAGTCGGCAACGCAGCACCCGTTCCTTCGCCAGGCTGGCTTGGGTCAGATAACGACGCAAACTCTCAGTCGCTGGCTCAGCCAGGATCGCGTCTACGCACAGGCGTACGTCAACTTCATAGGAGCATTAATAGCTCGAATACATCTGCCGCACACACACGTCCGAGACAAGGGCGCCTCACTTCGCTGGCGCATCCTCAAATTGCTTACCTCTTGTCTGGACAACATCAATCGCGAACTCGATCTGTTCGACGAGACTTCGCGCAAGTACAACCTGCAATTAGATCAAAGTCGGAAGCCAGGAACACCATTCGAGCCACTTTCAGCCACTAAGCAGTATGAAGGCCTCTTTCGCGCTTTTGGCTCCGACCCGAGCATGAGTCTGCTAGAAGGCTTGGTCGTTCTCTGGGCAACAGAGACTTGCTATCTTCACGCATGGAAGTACGCAAAAAGCTTTTGGCCGGAAGAGCGTTCGACTAACCCAGATCGTGCTGCGCCTATGCCGGGAATCGTGTCACCGGTAGCTCAGGTCGAATCGCTTCAGTGGCGGCGAGTGAGCGAGCTACCGGGACAGGAGCCAGAGCCTTATCGTGGTCCGGCAGGTCAGAACAGTGAAGATCCACGATTCAATATCGAACCACCCACGCCACAGTCTGCCGTCAGTGCAACGACTATCAAGAGCGGCGGATCGAGTCATTGCTCAAATGACCCAACACATGCTGGACCGCTGACGCCCGTGTCAGAGCGAGAGATCCATGACGCACCCGAGTTAGTAATACAGCCTCGGAAAGACCTGGATGGGGGTGCTCTGCGCGAGGCATTCATCCCAAATTGGACGAGTCGGGAGTTTGAAGTCTTTGTCGAAGAGATTGCTGATGTAATGGATGAGCTGAGCATCCGAGAGGAGGGCTGGCGGCGAGTAGAGGTATTCAAGGCTGTCTGGGAGCACATTCTAGGAATTGAGGCTGGGTTTTGGCCAGATGTGTAGTATGCGTGCAGAATAGATCTGCTGAGGATGAGTCCATATGACGCCGACAACGACCGAGGCTTCCGGGTTCATGTCTCACCAAGTACTCTCACTGAAGGGGTCATGGCCTGACAATGTCCTACAACCTCACGACCGCTGTCCGAGTCGTTGGTCAGACATGTGAATTCAGCCATTTGTGGTAGGTGACTTGCCGGATCGAGCACTTTTATCTGCTCCGCGACTGTGATAACCATTAGGCGGCCTTTATCGTCAAGTCGGAGTTGACTGTCAACAATTCTTGACCGTTAACGGAAATTAGCCGTTATTTCGCGGCACGGTAGATTTACGGTAGATGCTCCTTCTACGGTAGGCATTTTGGCTGCAAAGACTGACAGAAGCTGAATATGGCAGGCATCATGCCGCTCTCGGACGGGTCTGCCAGTGTGGTCGCAATAACCAGACGTACTCATGTCGGCAGTCTACCACAAACTCTCGATGCGATCACGTAAGTGCCGACCAGCATCATGTACTCCAATTGGGGTAAGGGTAATGAGCGAAGATATATACAACATACGCACGTCATGGTTTGACAACCTGCTCGTTTTCATGATGAGGCGAGAAACGTGCAGACATAAAGCCCAAGCGTCTTGCATCTTTGTCTCATACGAGTCGAGCATATGACCAGCGACATGGACATCGACGGCTTCACCTTCAACGTCCTTCACGAGGGCGATGCTAGCCAACCTCTGATCATCCTCTGTCATGCACTGATGTCAAATCTACACATGTGGGACTCGACAGTGGAAGCCCTTAACGCCGCAGGATTCAGTACATTGCGATACGATCACATCGGTCATGGGCAGACAAGCGTTCCAGTAGCAGATCGCGTGGGCCGAATTCACATCGACGACTTCTGCCGGTATATCAATGAAATGGTTCAACGCACAATTCCTGGCAAGCGACCGTACGGCTTCATCGGCTGCTCAATAGGCGGAGTCATCGCTCTTCGATATGGGTTGATGTATCCGGAACAATTGTCGTACATCGTCAGTTGCGATGCCCCGGGCATGACAAGTCTGGAGGAGTCGAAGATCAAGTGGAAGGATCGAATGAAGATGTTCAGAGAGCAAGGTGTCGAGCCGCTAGCAAGAGCAACAGTCGAGCGCTGGTTTCCTGATCCGTGTCCGCCTGAGGTCAAGAGAGAATCACTCCAACATACCATGAGTGTGTCCTTCTTAGGATACGCCGCTTGTGCTGAGGCTATCATGAACTACGACTATACCTCCGAGCTTGGGAACATCAAGACCGATAAGACCGCGGTGATGATACTGGCGGGCGAGAACGACGAAGCAATCGGGCCCCAGGAAATCTTGATCGATGTTCATCAGAGAATTTCTGGCTCGCGGTATGTCCTGATGAAAGACACTGGCCATATTCCACCGATGCACCAGGCGGCTGAATTTGAACGCATTGTGATATCGTTCTTGAAGGGTTGAAGCGCCGTGACGGAGCGCGAAGACCTGGACCATGTGCGCATAAATCCAATATATATTCTCGCTTATAGATCATCGAGGCACTCCGCGGCTCGCCTGTATGCGACCACGGATGTTGCAATCGTTTATGAGTCTGGTGCTGACTTCCAGGCACAAACAGAGTAAAAAGCTTCTAGACGTGCTTACCTAGCTCCGGCTGTCCCAGACTTTTTGGTGGAGTTGACGTTCACTTTTGCTCCTGCAGTGCTAGCGGGGAGTGGCGTTTGGAGAGAGCGCCCAATGATCGTCTCGGGCTCTTCTGTAAGCGCCCGTGTTCATCACACCCTGCTCACCATGCTGTGTCCAATCGCTCGTCATTCAGCGATGTCGTCTCTCAAGCGTTATGCATCGCCAAGTGGACGGCAGACGTTACTGTCTGTCTTCGCGACTCCGTCCCTATCCACTACAACAGAAAGTCCTGGATAAGGCATCCATAGAGGTTTCCCTTGCAACAAACTCGAGCACAGAACAGCTCTGGCACCGTCATAAGCATTGCGCAGACTGCGCGACGGATAGCTTCTGATTCAGACTGATTGCTCTGCCAATACTGCGACCCTACGACACCACAGCAGTGATGACATGGCCCGACAGCGCGGCCTCCATGCGACCGCGGGTCTGCGCAGCCTTATTGCCATTTTGTACTTCCTGAACCTTACCACTGCCTATCAATATGTCCAGAACTCTCCCTGCGAACCTCAATGTCGAGAAGGTACACTTTCGGAGGATGCAGTGTGTCTAGATGCGCAATACAGAAGCACAGACGGTGGGCAGCGCCTGCAGAGCTGCGTTGGCTGCTTGCTGAACAGCACCGCCGTTGACACCGCCAAAAATCAGTCTGATGTGGAATGGGGACTATGTTCGTATTCTTCTGTGACGTATATCTCTTTCTACTGACGCAGACCCAGTTGCGCTCCGCTACACGTTATCGTCATGTATGTTCGGCGTCCCAGTCGAGCGCGTCTCGGTCTCGAGTCCATGTCAAGTCACTTGCCAACCGTTGAACGACTCGGTGTCCTACCAGATCACCAATGATACCAGGAATGCAGATCCTGGCATTGACTTCTGCAATGCTGGGGCTTTCGGCGATCTAGCGATCAACAATTGCGCATTTTGCTACAGCTTGATCCCAGAGCAGATCTTCGTAGCGAATTGTGAGTACAAACCCAAGCGCTTAAGCCCCGATACTCATATTACTCAGTCATGCAAGCACTACACATCGAATGCCGCCAGCCTCCGGTCCCCGGACAACCATTCTTTCCTGACATGAGTGCGATCTTCAATGAGACCCTGATTGCTGGCCCAGCACCACCATCTGCCAACACAGGAGGAGGCGGCGGTCTGCATGGGACAAACCTGGCTATTGCGATTGCGCTACCCATAGTTGGCGGCCTCATAATTCTCACTGCAGGTTGCTGGTGCTGCTGGATCACCACGAGGCGGAGGAGGCAGGCAATGGCAGCTTCTGGGCGGATGGACAAAGTGCGTGAAGCACAGGAGAGTCCTGGCCTTTACAGTCCGGTATCAGGAAAGATGGGCTGGGGAGAAGGAGAGCCTCCGCGAGAGATGACAAAATTTGCTTCTGGAGGAAGGGAGCCTTCGCCCGCTCTGAACAGGTGGAGTGGGCATCAGCACTATCCGCCAGGGACAGCAGTGGGCGGAGAGGACGGCACGCCGCTGCGAACGAGTTTTCAGCGCGACGATGTTGGGCCGGGAGATCATCAGGTGCAAGACCGTAAGTCTCAAACCGACCCTGGCAGGCTGTATGGTCTTCGAAAGGTCATGCGGCTTCGCGGAGGGTCCCCGGCTTCGCCTTCCATTGCTGCCGTCTTGTGCTAAAGCTAACCATTGCATTAGACGCTCTGCACGAACAGTATTTCGGCGGCGCAGAGGGCGCTGGACCAAGTTACCAGCCATATGTCGACGAGCAACGACATTCGGGCCATTTCAAAAGCCAGTGAATGTCTGTAAATATCCCAGGTACCACCGTAACGGCAGAGCAATTTCCTTGGAGCGTTTAGCGAGCATGATGCGCATTTGCAGGTTGGACAAAGAACTACTTGGGCGTCGATGGAGAAAAGCTTTGTAGTCTCAACAAGACTTTAATTGTTGTCGACTGCTTTCAACGTCGACAACAAAGGACCTCCTATTTATTGAAGAGACTGTCCATGGGTAAACTGTTCTGGATGAAGGCACCTGACCTGCATACATGCCTGGATACATCGCCAATAAAAGTCATGACAGATCAAGCAGATCATCTGAAAAGTGCACGAATAGATCTGTGGGTGCTTGAGACAGAAGCTCGCACCCGCAGATTCCATCGGGAGCGATTGCTCCTGCTCGAGAAGCAGGACTCCGCCGCTTTGCGAGCCGCCCACAATTCCCGACCAGGTAAGCATTCTTCCCGCAGTGAACGTGGCCGATATATTTGCTCCTGCAGCATTTGCAATGATCCACTGCTAGACACGGCAAGCACGATTCCGATCGTAAGCCCGCCATCAAAACTTCCGCTACATGTCAAGCCAATCGCACCTGCTGTGACGCTACAGCCGTCAGAGGACAGCTGCTCGTCACCAGTCTTCAGCAGCTCAGACCCATCGCGACTTCGACCTGGCCAGATCTCGACTGCCGTAGAGGGCTACCCTTGCCTTCCGCAGCGAGCATCGCTGCCTACTCTTCACGAGGAGCAGCACTGTGCCGGAGCGTCCCGAACTCAGTTCTCGTCCGCTGCGACTTCGTCCTTCTCCTCAGACGCTTCGTTGGAGCGCAGCAGACCGTTGAAGACACTTACATATTCTACTGCGAATGCTGCAGATGGTAGCCTTCTTACGGCCGGCCACTTGCTGGTCGTCTGCCTGATCTTGTTGTTGACCATTTGTTTCGAGTATATCGCGATTGGGCTGTTGTATGGTATTTCTTTCAGTGGCTTGTTTTGATTGCTGACCCTGCTGGACAAGCGAATTTGAGCCATGCCAGAGTCGGCAATGGTACCATCAAGAAGGCAGAAAGGTAAGAAATAGAAGCCGGTGGGGCCATCGTCACTTCCGATCTTTCTATCAACGGGGTATCATGTCACCGAACAACTTTTTGTTGAATCTGAGATCAATGCTTCCACAACCGTACCATCTTGTCCTTCCCACCACTAATCACACACTTCCCATCTCCGCTCCAGTCCAGTGCAAACACCTCGTCCTTGTGTCCAGGCAGATCTTCCTTCAGCTTCCCTGTCTTGACATCCCACACCTTTACGGTCGTGTCTTTGCTTGCACTCGCGAGCAGCCTGCTGTCCGCTGACCACGCTACCATGTACACAGCACCGACGTGTCCTCGAAGCGTAGTGATGAATTTGCCGTCTCGTGCGGCCCATAGCTTGACGCTGTTGTCGAAGGATGCGGATGCGATGTACGCTCCGTCTGGTGAGAAGGAGACGTGTAGGACTTGTCTCTGGTGCCCGATGAGACGGGCTAGGGGTTTTGGGGTGGCGTTGGAGTTCGGATCGAAGGCGGATGGGTCCCAGAGGAAGATTGTGTTGTCGTCTGATGCAGATATTAGGCGTTCAGTGATGCGCCCTGCATCTCGGGCGGCGTCCTCGTAGCGTTTCTTGGCTTTCACTATTCGCTCGTCGAGCGGCTCGGGTGATTTGCCCGTGTGGTCGTGGTAGGCGGTTCGGAGAGTGAAATCCGTGGATAGGGCAAGGTGATTGACCCAATGGACATGGGAAGTCAGTGTGTGCAGGCAATTCCAGGAGCGGGTATTCCAGATCTTGATAGTCTTGTCCTGTGAGGCGCTGTATATGCGGTGAAGGCCGCCCCAGCGGACACAGGTCACAGAGGATTTGTGGCCGGAGAGGGTCTGCTCTATTCGTCGTAGAGGTACGTCCCAGATTCGAATGGTGCCGTCTTTCGAGGCGGATGCCAGTCGTGGTTTGCCTTTCTGTTGAGTGTGATATGGCTCCCAGGCGAGGCTAGTGATCCACTTCGTATGACCTTTGAGGGGACCGCCGAGCGCTTCACCGGTTTTGGGGTCCCATAACCGGATAGTGTTGTCCATGCTGCCCGTGGCGAGAATCTTCCCGTCTGGCGACCATGATGCCGCGAGGACCCAGCTGGTGTGACCCTTGAGCGTGTGAACGGGTGTGCCAGTGTCCGTGTCCCATATTCGGGCTGTGCAGTCACCACTGCCCGTTGCAACTCGTGATGCGCCTTCCGGGGAGAAGGCAGTGGCTAGAATGGCCTCGCCGTGGCCTGATATTGAGGCCGAACATCGTGTAACTGCCTTGACCCTGAACACTGCTTGCGGAGCATATTGGAGGGCGATGGTCTCTTCCGCCGATCTGTAGCCGGGCTTGAGCACTGAGGTGTATATGTCGGATTGGATGTCGAGGACGTCGCAGTCACTAGCGGTGTCATTTCGGGAACGGAAGAAGAAGCGATATGATGAGGCAGATGAGGAGTCATTGTTCTGTAGTGTGTTGAGTAGAGCCTCGAGGCCTTTGACTGTAGCGCCTTTGATTGGCACAGACACTGCGGGACCAGTCGACTGCCCGGTGCTCTGGTCGATGAATTGTATGCGAACATTGCCTGGGTTATCTGGTAGCTTGGCTTCCTCCTCTGCTCTCTCTATTTTCTCGATCGCGGCAAGCTTCTGGCGCTTGCTAGGAGGAGGCGCTACCGTTGCCATTGTATCTGCAGCATCATCTGGTGGTCGAGTCGTAACTCATGTTCGAGACAACCGGCATCAAAAAAATGTCGGCCGCGGGGAGTCAGTGATCTCCAAATCTTTGATATCACCGCGCAGATCTCTCTTATGGCCGGTTGACAAGAGACATTAATCAAGACCGGATGACTTCAACCTCTTTTCGCATTTACCTCGCATTCTCCAAACTTCACATTCAATCCTGACTTCCATCAACCACTACTTGACACGTCGTTGACCCAATGCGGTCAAGTCAGCATGACCAGTCTTATGAAGGCCATCACAATCGGCGATACGACCACTAGCACGTCGTATGGCAAGGAGATCACACGTACAACTTCATCGCGTCCCAGGACTAGCCGATCGAGGCCTCGAACAGCAGCAACCTCGACAGGGTATGATGACAACGACATTATTTGTGCCATTAGCGAATCTCGCGGATTATGTCCTACCGTTGGCCTTTCTTTCATCAATCTGACCACTTCTGAAGCTGTTCTTTGCCAATTCGCTGATACACAAACCTATGCTCGAACCTGTCACAAAATTTCCGTCTTTGCTCCGTCTGACATACTTTACGCGTCTACTGCTAGCGACTCGAGCTTGGTGTCGATCATCGCAGAGAACTTGAAAGGTGATGACAATGAGATCGTGCTCACAGGTCTACACCGGAAGTACTGGGCTGATGGTCAGGGTCATGAATACATCACTCGCCTTGCATGGCCCGACGATCTCGAGTCTCTGAAGGTCTCGGCTGGCGGTAATTACTTTGCGACGTGCTGCTTTGCTGCTGTTGGTACTTTCCTGGCTACTCGCGCCTTGCTAATATAATATAGGCCATGAGCTTCGCCGAGATGGCGATGAGTGTGACATTCGCCCCACAGACCCTCCGCATCCGCTTTGAATCGTCAGAAGGCTCCATGATGGTCGATCTGTCAACAATAGCCTCTATGGAGCTCATCCAGAACTTGCAGCACACGAAAAGTCGGAATTCCCTTTTTGGCCTCATGAAGGAGACTTTGACAAGGATGGGAGAACGAACGCTTCGAAGAAACATCTTACAGCCCTCCACCGATGCTTCGACCATCAATGAGAGATACGATGCGGTGAGTGAACTGTGTATGAAGCAGGAAATGTTCGCAGCGACCCAAGATGGTAAGCAAACATACAATGACCCGAATGCAGATACTCACACCGCACAGCTTTGGGCGTTCTGGTCGACACAGATCGATGCCTGTCCGCGGTAAGCAATTCGATGCCTCAAGCTTGCTTCAATGTTGACCGCTGCAGCTTGTCCGGTTGCCCACGAAGCTCAACTTCGAGTACATGGAGCAGTCCGTCAACCATGTCCTGATGCTCAAGGTTTTCGTCGACGCCGTTAGCACTATGGCAGGCGTTAGCAGGAGCGACTAGCAGTGCCCTGTGCAACATCCGCCAAGTAGGTACACCTCAATCGCAGCAGCTCATACTGACCATCAGCTCTGTGCCGCCGAGAACTACAGCGAAGTTGAAGACCTCGTCAAATACGCCCTGAACGACGACGTGAGTTTCGTCACGCAGCCTGCAGAGCTCCGCAATCAGCGCGTGTTCGCGATCCGAGTCGGCGTCAATGGCTTTCTCGATGTGGCGCGTACTACGTACAAGGAGATCAATCAAGACGTCCATGACATGACGACAGAACTCGGCGAAGAACATCAACTCTGCATCGACCTCAAATTCGATCCGGCACGTCATTACTACTTGCACATCCCAGCATCCGAGTTCGACGAACGACCCATTCCCGACATCTTCGTCAACGTAGTACGGCGCAAACGTGTCATCGAATGCCAAACCCTCGACCTAATGAAGATGAACCAAAAGATCAAGGACGCACATAACGAAGTTATAAGCATGAGCGACCGATCTATCCAAGAGCTGATTGAAGCCGTCAGATCTCGGATTCACCCTCTCTTCAAGATATCGGAAGCCATTGGCCTCCTCGACATGCTTACTGGCTTTGCTCAACTAGCCACAACACAAGACTACGTCAAGCCCGAGCTCACTCAAGCTCTCGCGATCAAAGCCGGCCGCCACCCTATCCGCGAGAAGGCCCAAGCACATACCCATAAATGGATCCCCAACGACGTCTACGCCACCCAGCAAAACCGCTTCCAAATCATCACCGGCTGCAACATGTCAGGCAAGTCCACTTATATCCGCTCTATCGCTCTACAGTCGGTCATGGCTCAAGCCGGCAGCTTCGTGCCCGCCACGTACGCCTCCTTTCCAATCTTCCGCCAGCTCTTCGCCCGCATCTCCACCGATTCAGCCGTCGAGGCAAACGTCAGCACCTTCGCCGCCGAAATGCGCGACATCGCACACATCCTGCGCAACATCGAGCCGCACAGCCTCGTCATCGTCGACGAGCTCGGCCGCGGAACCTCCACGACGGACGGCCTAGCTATTGCTATTGCAATCGCAGAAGCACTAATCGAAAGCAAAGCCTTCGTGTGGTTTGTCACACACTTCCGCGACCTCCCACGCATCCTCTCTGAACGAGCAGGTGTGGTCAATCTGCATCTCAGTGTCAATTTTTCCACCACAGACGACGACCCGACCACGACGCGCATGAAGATGACGTACAAAGTCTCCGACGGGCCTATCCCGCCGTCGAATCAGTATTACGGCCTCGCGCTGGCACGTGCGATCAACCTACCAGAAAGAGTGATCGAAGTCGCCACCCTGGTCAGCGAAGAGCTGAACGAGCAGAATGCAGCTAAGAAAGACGAGCCGCGCGTCATGGCCATGCCGCGGCGCAGAAGGCTGATGCTGAGCTTACGAGAGCAGCTGATATTGGCGCGGGAGGGTGGACTCAAGGGCGCTGAGCTCAAAGCGTGGCTCAAGAAGCTACAGGAGGAGTTTCTGGTGAGGATGGAGGCTTTGAATAGTGATGAGCAGGATGTTGGGGCTCGTGAGGACGCGTTCACTGAGCATACCGAGTCTGTTGATGGAGACTATGATATGGAGAGTGCTGGAGACGAACACGTCGCAGTCTCTACGAACACGGATGGCATCACGGACGCTGGCTCTCAGCAACATGATGGGGATAGCACCTCGAGTGAGCAAGGATTCGTTGAGATCAAGAGAGAGGAATTCGAAGGAATCAAGAGAGAGCGAAAGTATTGATTAACACGCATCTACCAGTGCACGTCAAGCAACAGAACCAGAACTGGACGGACAAATGAAAGCACCTACCGCAAAAACCTCACTTACCATTTGCGACCCCGACATTCCTCACATCTCACATATGGGTGGCATCCACATGCACTCGTTCTTACAGCATCAGTGTGGGAGTGGAATCAGGAATGTTGACTTTTGCTCTTCGAATCGTGTTCCTTCGTCAAGCATGCGTTTGTAATCGTTCCACCGACAGGCGTCTGCGTGTAGACTTGGAGGATCAAACTTGCCTGGTGCCTTCTTCCTCTGACTCGTGGCCGCTGGAGCGTCTGTTTTGCTTGTGCTAGATTGATCGACTGGTCGAAGGATGGTAGTAAAGTCGCCGAGATGTTGTTGTTCGCCAACGCGGAAGCATATGGTGCCACTAGCGACCTTTTCGGATACCGCCGCCAGCTCGCCATCGCCCATGAAGGTGATGTGGTCTCTTATCGAGATACGAGTTGCGAACTGATTGTTGTGATCCGAATTCTCGACGAAGCCGAGGTTTACAACTGGGCGCCTTCGTAGGATCTCCCCAACGTAGCCCACGTCCAGAGGGTGGTCGTGAAGGAGGCGGTAAATCTCGCCGAGACAAGCCCATGGAAATCTTGTGTGGAGTTCCAGAGCCTGTTGCTGGTATATTTCCGGCAAGTCATCCAGTGAGACACCATGTATGTTCTGCAGGGACAACGAGTCCACGGTGGCCTGCACGTTCCCATTACAACGCTTGAGGACTCGAAGAAGGTCTTGCGTCGAAAGGTCCTTGAATCTGCTTCGGAGCAGGCTGACTTTCCACTGAAGGGACTCATCCTCCTTTGATAGCTGCTCATCGCCGACGTCGTCCATGTCAGGGTCATTTCGGAAAATTATATCAGTGTCTCCGCTCTCTCCCCACCTGTTTGACTTCCACAGGGATTGTTCAGGGAAGGACTTAGTAACGCTGGAGATCCCTGTTAGCTTGTCCAGCATATTTCTAGCAGTCGAAACTTGCACATAGACCAGTAGTGACGGCTGCTCACCAGCAGCTACCTCCAAAGTCCGCGCAGCACCATCCCAGGTGTCTGACAGATAAGTGGCCAACTCATTGTTAACGCGCCAGATGTGGTAGCGGCCGTAGACGTCATCCCATGATCTCACAAGGCTGAGACGTGCTTCAGCTCGGCCCATGCGACATTGTGCAACTCATAGCCGGCTTCTCCGTCCACAGTATTGAGGGTCAGCTCTTCGACAAAGTCTCTGAACTTAAGATTGTCTCTAGTTTCAAAGTTGCTCAACAGGTAGACGGGTAGATTCATGACGCTGATCGATTGGGTCATGGTGACATCGCAGGGACGACACCACGGTTTAGCCTCCTTTTTGCACTCAGCGTTGTACAAAACTTGTTTTCTGATGTAACGAACGATCGCTTCTGGTTCCGATGGCGTCCGCTCATAAGACATCAGGACGTATCTTCGAAATCCTTCCTCGTAGGTGCGGTCGCAAGAGGGGCACTGTTGCACAACTCGTAGCTCGGTCGAGAACAACTGGTCGAATTCTTGCAAGGCCTGGAAGTCGCTGCTCAAGCTCTGTCGTACGTGAATGAGGAGTAGCTCGAGGTATTCGGTCTCGTTGCCGCCTGCATCCAAAAGGACAGTTTGCCGGGGTTGTGATCTCGCACGTGGGCCCCAGAAGGAGATCTCGCAATGTTCCTGCAGAGCTCTTGCCGTTCGTTCTACCTCGCGTGTTGTCCTGCGGTCACTGTGGTATGCCAAAGCGAACTCTCGGACCAGACATACTATGCAGCTTTTCTCGCACTCGTGCTTGAGGACAAGTCCTACAAACAGGGGCAAATTGAGAAGCACAGTATATGCTGTGATAATGTAGCAGGTACCGTGCAAGTTTCTCAACCCAACAGGAAGAGCCAGTTCAGGAACATCGCTTAACCTGACATGACATCCAGGCAAAGGGGTGTTCGATATTCTTTCATTCCAAGTGTACCACCTCTTGCCTGGTTGGAGGGTGCCATCAGCTATGTCAAGTCTTGCCTGCTTGTCGATGGCTTTCCGCCAATCAATTGTAGCTTCGTCGTATAGGGTGTCTTCCATTTTCTGCTGTGTCCGATCTCAGATCTCATTCGCTACTACTTAGACTTAGTTTTAGCTGTGTAAGTGGCTATTGTGGATAATTGCATTTCCACGAGGCAGAATTCGATGCCTAATCACCCAGTGCAAGGCCTTTGTCGACGTTGAACTATGTCCCAGGTCCTCGAAATAGCCTTTACGAATGAGCTTCATTGTTGCCTGTACTGTGTTATTGTTGTGTTCATTGCAGTTCAAACAAAGAAGAGACGGGTTTGCGTACCGGCTAGCCAACAAGATAGATGCCTCCTGTCCTCCGGAGGTTTGCGCAATTCCATCATAGCTAGATGACTTGAAGTTCATGAATGGTGCGTGGCCTGGTAGTGAAGACTCGCGCCGGCTGCTACGGCCAAGAATCTGATGAAACTCAAACCCATGTTTACAGCGTTCTGGAGGACTTCAGTCATGATCCACGCCTTGGCCTAGAACACTTGTGGGCACAACCATAGTGCTGGTGTGGGACTCCAGGTTCACACGAGCGTTGCAACGAGATCGTTCATGATGATGATGGACTGAAAGCTGCATCCAACAGCCCGCGTGGTTGTCACGCAGGAAGGCGTTGACAGCGGCATCGTAAGTGCAAGCATAGTTCCGAGGACGAAAAGAAAGGTAAGTCCGACAAGCTAGAGAAAATCGTTATGTTGTGCAAGTGAGGTAATGTCATCGAAGAAGGTACGATTGAGAGTTCGCCAGTGGCAGCCAACCTGCAGGCCCTATGGTTGATAAATTGCAGCAATGCCCCGGAGCCCGCATCCCTACAGTGACGCGGCTTGCTCTTGCCACTTATAGACGCTATGCTGAGACGCTGCAGCGACAACTTGAATTGTGTGCCTCCGTTTCAAGAAAGTCAGGTACGACAAGTCAGGTACGACTTGTGGGGGTGAAAGGAATCGAGTCACTCGGCCTGCCGTAGACCTTTCCAGTCATCCGGTCTTGCTAGAAATATATTTCAAGAGCCTTCGGGCTCTCTACCCTCATCCCATAAGAGACCATCTCACTCCTGATCAGCACGATGCGTCTCCAACCACTCCTTGATCTTTTCCCAATTCTTGCATTGCCTTACGCTTCCAACACTCGCATCCAGATCAGGCATTGGCACATCTTCCGGCGCTGACCCAGGACTACCATCCGGACTATGTTTCCTCGCGCTGCCCATATCTGCCTGCTTCTTCCCGACTCGCTCGAGCGTGGTATCTGCGTGGCAGAGGATGGCTTGTCGCACTGTGTCCGCAGAGTCAGTCACCCTATCAAAATCACATGAATGAAAGGTGAGGAAGAGAAAAGCAACTCACAATGATCCAAACACCGCCACACCTCCGGCCCGGCCACCATCTCATTACTGAGAATTGCCCTCACCATCAACAAGCACTCCAGCTCCCGTACGACCGCCACCTCAAACACTTCTGCTTCCTCATCGTACCCATCCTCAGAAGTCCCCCAATTCTTTCCCCCATACTTCGCTCTCCAAGGCTGGCTCAGCGGCAGCCCGTACCGTCTCGGCTGAGACACCTTCACCAGTCCATTGCCCTCTGGTAGCATCTGAAGCCACACTTGGTCCCCAGCCTCGCCAGGATCCTGGAACGCAGCTGAGTCATACACGGCCAGTGGGACCCAAGGAAATGCCGGCACGAATTTCTCGAAGATCACCGGCCCTTGAACTATAGCCTCTGAAGGATACGGCAGCGCAGTCGAGTACGCGGACGCCGGCGCCCCTAGTGGTGTCACCCGTATGTGATGCGTCATCTTCTCTTCTTCTCCGCGCCAGATCGGCTCGAGTCCGGCACGCGTCGAGCCTAGAAAAGGCACATGAAATCTCCATCCGTACACGTCCGCCACTGCCAGACCCAAGAAACCGAGCAGAAGGACGACACACAGCGCGAGCAGCCATTGCATATGTACCGCCGCCTGTCGCGACCAAGCAGGCATGATAGGAGTCTTTGGTGAGCCAGTCCATGCCCCGAATGGTGAGCGAGGCGTTCTTCCTACTTCTGGTGAGATTGCTGAGGTGGCTTCTGTGCCGGTCGCATGTTTGCCTCTTCGTGACGTGTCGACAGCTCGAGGTTTGGGCTTATTCCTGCTTGGAGAGCTGGAGGTAGATGTGTCGGACGGCGAAGGTGAGTGCTCGCGAGATTGGGAGGATTCGTTGCCGTTGGCTGGGGTGGAGGGTTTGGGACGTAGGCGGAGTTCTGGCATAGCGTGCGAGACCGGCCAGACGTGGAAAGAAAGGTTTGCACTTGACGAGCTCAACTTGGTACGACTGCTTTGAGTCATCAACTGAGATTGTCCAGATACCTGAGAAGAGCTTCAGCTGCAACCACTCTGATCAACGACTCATCTGGACTTCTGCTGTGTAGTTCAGCTATCTGGCGAAGTCGGAAGGGATTGCAGAGATACTATCTGATTCGCAGATGGCTCGAGCGTCTTCCCATGACAACTTGATCTGTGCTCAATTTCAGCACTTCAGCATTCTGCTCCTTTTCCAGTCCCAATCTCCACGTCTCGGATGTCTTTCTGAGATCCTTTGTCCAGTTCTCAGCAAATTCTGCCTTCTATGCGTCGATATGACGTTGGTCCAGCATTTTCCGCAGCATTTCCTGCCTCACCTCTGCTCAAGCCTTGTATCTCCATCGGATGCCTCTGATCTCGTGAAGTTCAAGAGTCAACAGCAAGACAAGCTCAGGAGAGCCGTTTCTCGTGTCGAACCCTTATAAATCAGCTTGTGCTGGAATCGAATCCTCAATCGAACTCCATCGGATCATCCTCAGTACCCTCACCTCTGATTGGTTTCATGCGCCGAAGCCACTTCCCAAAGATATCCTCCCCATGTCCTTCCTCCCTCGCCCTCGCAGGCTGCTCACGGAGAATGTATATGTCTTCATCCTCGTCCAGCAAGTTGAAATCGAGATCTTCGGTGTCGTTGAATGGATCGATGTCAATGTTGAATGCATGATCCAAGGTAGTGCGATCGGGCTTCACGTCTTGCTCAACTTTGACTGCGTTGTTCTCCTCTGAATTGCTGGCACTGTTGGCCGCTGGAGCATCTTCAACCTCATTCATGACGTCTTCCATATCTTCCACTGGCACTGGGGAACGTCCTCCGTCAGTGAACGCATCTAGATCTCTCTCAGGCGTTTTAGGAGGTGATTCGGGAATGAAGAGACCGCCGTCATCGTTGGTGTTCGGACGAGCATCCTGGTTGAGAGTGAAATTGTGCAAGTTCTCGAACAGTCGTTGGTCCTCTGCATCAAGAGGCGCATCGTTGCCAGAAGTATTCACAGCTCCATTGCCGCTGACGTTTTCATGAGCCAGATCTTCGTGATCACTTTCGTTGATTTCGAAGTCAAAGCCGGAGCTCTGAGGTGCAGATCCGCTTGGGCCAGGGGCTTCGTTCTCGCTGAAGTCATAATCGTCGTCGTCGGAATTGACTTCGATGGTTTGGTGAGTTTTCAGGACTGGACGCGGTCTAGGTGAGGACGAAGATGAGGACGGTGTGGCGATTGGAGATGAGCTTTGACGATGCCGATCAGTACTGGTGTTGCGTTTGCGAGTGAGATTGGCTCGAGTGGTAGAAGGACCTGCTTGGTTTCGACGTCGTCGATTCGTGTACTGCTTCTTCTTTGATATGCGATTCTGGTTGCGATTGTTGTAAGCTTCGTCGGCCTCGCGCTGCTGACGCTTGCGATTCTCAACCTCCAACCTGATACGCTCTTCTCGAGACACACGATTTCCTTCGCCGGTCTGATGTTTGTACGCCTCAGCCTGTCTCTTGGATTGCTGACGCTCCCACGCGCGCTGACGGCGTGCCTCACGACGCTGATCGCGAGCTTGGTCTGCAGAGCCATTATCGGCATCATCGGCATCATCGCCATCGGATTGGTCTTCATCGGTATCGTTGTTCGTCGCATCATCGATGGCTGACTCGATCAGCTGTCGATAGAGTGCTCTGACTCGTTCTTTGTCTCGGCCGTAGAGATCTCTGGGAATGCCACCTTGACACCAATATGGATGGAACCTGTGCCAGTGTTAAGCATTGCTTTTGACAAGTGGATAATGAACCCTGTCGATTTTGAGACTTACATCCGAATTCTGCTGAAGTTCGTATGACCAGTATCATACCTCATGCCTCGAACCTCGCCGCGATTGTCCTCGGAAATATAGACGTGAAAAGAATTGCTGGCTGTGACCCAGCCCCAGATCTGACTCTGCCGGTCATTGTAGCCGCTAGCGTTGTTACGCTGATGCGTCCACCCGATCAGGGCTCGCCGCTGACCAGTCACTAAGATCGGGCCAAGCTCAGGCTTTTCGAGGGCATGATGCGTAGCCTTGATGGAAGGGACGAAATCGTCGTCTTGCCAATTGACCATCTTGCGTACAGTACGTTTGAAGACGGCTGGACTCAACTCCAGATCAGCTTCTTTTCTTCAGTCGATGTCAGAAATGTTGAGGTGGCCTACCTGCCAACTAGCGAGAATTGAGATACCTGCGTAGTCGAACGCAATGATTTTGGTTGAAGAACCGTTCTTGCTCAACAATCAGGGACGAAGAGACGTCTGATCGACGGTCAGAAAAGGTAAGAAAGATCTGTGACTGGCAGAGCTATCGAAAGATGTTCGGACGAGTTCATATAGCCCCTGTGGGACCATTGAATCCTCGCATAGATCGTAGGAGAATCTGCAAAAGGTTGTCGTGTAATAAGAAGGAGTGTAAGAAAAAGATGGGATGGGAAGGGGTAGATATAGTCGTTAGATTTGGAGCAGATTGGTCACCGACAGCAGTGAATGCATCGTTCGTTGTTGGTGAATGATAAATTTTGATCTCAGAGACTCGAGTGAGCTGCATCTGAGAGCGTCTGGTAGGAGATCCGGCCCTGGTCACACGAAGAGACGAGTTGTTTCTGTTGTTGGTCGCTCTCACCTGTTGAACCTCGACCCATGCCTAAGTGGTGTTTGCGGAGGGTGCTGTACATGTGAAATGTATCGATAGAAATATCCGCACGCCAGGAAGGAGCCGACACGGCCTGGATTGAAAGTCGGTTGATTCAAACCACATAAACATCTGCGTCCATAGCATGAGTGAAAGCAGCTTGCGTCAAGCTTGGTCCCATGCGCCCTGTATATACACCATAGTCCAAAGCATTTCCAAGCGTTGTACAATGTTCGGCACTGATAGTGATGGTGATCCATTCCGTAATGGATAAGAATGGCCCGACGGGATACTTGGCCGTCGTGTCGCGACTCTATCACCTACTGGTTCTCAACATCCCTATCAAAGTCGTATTTGGCGCCTCTCGGAGGCTTGCGACTCCTGCTTCTGCTTTGACTAGGATTCCTCTGGACTTCGATTGCGTCCGCGTCTACACGCTTTCCCTTGGAGCTTTGTCCTCTTGAGGCTGGTGGGCGTTGAACATCTGTGATTTCTGTCATTGAGTCCCTGGTCCTCGATCCAGGTTTGAGAGACCGTCGGCGAGAACGTTTTCGTTCAGTACGGCCTGCTCGGTCGGCCTTTTCGGAACGAGATCCTGGCACTGCGCCTGCTGCCATCACTCCAGGCCCCGCGCCCTCCTGGTATTCCCAGCCTTTCGAGGCGTGCATATGCTGTCGAAGTCAGTCTCGGCACATGCTTCGCTTGATGGTCACCTACCTGATGCGGACCCCAGAGATCTGGTGTGGCAGCTCTTGCCCCAGCAGCTTTCTCACGTTCGGTTGGGAAACCTCCCATTTGTGCCCGGCGCTCGTTCACCTTGCGCCGGTGGCGCTTCTTGAGAAAGATCAGCAGTGCCGCCAGTAGTCCAAGTCCAATGGCCAAAGCAATAATCATCACAATCCATTGCCAGTGACCCGATATCCTGTTGAATGTCAGCCCAGGAATTGTTGATCGCGTGAGGAACTTACCATGACTCGTTGCCGTTAGACGCGCTCTGAGTTGTGGAATTGCTGCCAGAGCTGCTTCCCGCATCGATTGCAGTGGGTGTACTTGTCCCTGTCGAGTCCGTGGCCGTCGCTGTGGGTGTAGCCGAGGTGGTTTGGGCATTCGGGTCAACACCTTGGCCAACCTGCGCGCAGAAACTCATGAACCATGTCCGTAGTCCAGCGCGATCAGTAGATGAGGGGCATTCTGCGACACACAGGGCATCTGGTGTGCTATATAGACCTTGTAGTGCCGCCGATTGACAAAAGCAGTTCTCTGCGGCCAAGCCAGTCGTCTGCTGGCCTGTTTGTGTCAAACAAGTGCTTTGCGTCTGTTCAAGTACCGCGCACGAGGCGGCGCACGCCGGAAATTGTCCGTTGGCGCCCGTCGGGACGAAGTTTTGCGCAGCGACGAGAGGAAGAGCCAGTGAGAGGGTGATTATGGTGCGGAGGAACCGCATCTTCGCGGTTGTGTAAAGGAATTGGTCGCGTCGAGAAGTCTATCGTGGTTTGCGATCGCTCAGCGGTCTCTTGGACGTCGCAGCGCTGGCGGCTGCGATACGGGTGTGAGGTCATGAATAACGAGTGTGTTGAGGCATGCTGCGGTGGCATGACGCGAAGAGAAGAAGCAACCGAAGAGCCGGAGGGACAATCAGCTACATAACTGAACCTTGCCAAAGTAGGGGAACCAACGGTAGCGAACTCAATTAGCAGCGGAGGGCCCTGTTGGAGTGGGGTGGACGGTGGTCGTCTGACGGGGCGCCAATCAACAACCCTACTGCAAGCAATTAAGCAAGAAGATACTCGGCTCGACATGACGCTCTCTGAACACTGGCCGTGACCCAACCCCCATCTCGATGTCATGCTCATCCCTTACCCATCGGGCTTGTTTAGTCCAGTTCGAAACATGCCAGTAACGTGTCAAAGAGCGCAGACTGACGTCTGACAGCTGTGCGTTTGCAGAAGCATATCACCGAAATTGCGACATGCTCAGACTGTGGATTGGATGTCAGCATTCCACTACACCCCGGAGCTCATCTGCGGGCACGAACTCTACTGAAAATAGGGTACAGAAATGCACAGACGGGAACCTCGGATAAGAACGGCACCAATGAGGGGCACCCCGTCGCTCCACGACATCGAGATGGGATTCTGCAGATGGAAATGAGCATTCTATCGAACTCGACACTGAACAACATCTCACATCAACCACAGTGGTGTATGCTGTGGACAGCTGTCTGCAGGCACACGATTCTATGTGCAACAAAGTCCCACTCGGTGTTGCGTGCTGTCAACATGTCTCGTGTGACCAGCCCTAAAGTCCTGTTTGACTCCCTTGCTGGCACGTGGACGTTGAGTCGGGATCTCGAAAGCGCAAACGTAAATGAACCAAATGGGAAATGCCTTGGCACTGCCACATTCACATCGAGACAGTCTTCGCCTGTCTTAGATGCCAATGGCAAGTTGCAGGTAGCGGAAGCCGAGATGCTTTATCACGAGCAAGGCGAGTTCCAGCTGCCATCCATGATCAAAGTGCCGTTCTCGAAGAAATACGTTTGGAAACTGAGCAAAAGCGAGGATAGCAAGGATGGAAAGATCAGTGTCTGGTTTACAAAGCCTGGATCAGAGGCTACTGATTACCTCTTCCATGATATTCATATCTCTGTCACCGAAGGAACAAATGAACCATCCTTGATTCAAGGAAGTGGAGGGCATCTCTGCGTGGACGACTTTTACTCGACGGCATATGAGTTCAGCACTGATCTAGATGAACGTATACAGTCATGGAAGACAGTTCACGAGGTCAGAGGACCGAAGAAGGACCAGGTGCTCACCACAAATTTCTCACGCGGCTGATCGCGGACACCCGGACTTATTCGAGACCGGGTGACTACAAGCGAGTAGCTGCAGCATATAATCGACTCTAGACAAGACCGGTTGACAAACACGCGACACCTGTCTCAGCACAACTATATCCAAGCACGTAGCCATATCACATGAGCAATTGTTTGCTAGCGCGATCCCATGCCCCGTGCTCTAGTCTTTCACCGTCACAACCCCTTCCCGCCCTTTCCCCTCCCACCGATCCTCCCATTTACAACCCCGTACACCCATCCCAACACAGCCGTGTTCGTCGCCATCACAACCGCACTCCCCACAAACAATCCCACCCTTCCCGCCCACGGCACCATATCAAAGATGGGATACGGATAGAACCCATTCCTCTCATAACACCTCTCGATCCACCACCAATATCCCATTGCAATGCTCACACTCAGCCCGAAACTCGGCAAGGCAGTGATCGTCCAGGGCGGACTCAGCAATAACAGATCGATGACCAGGGCGATGCTGGGGATAGCGTGGAAGCCCAAGTCGGGAGCGAGAGGAAGTTCCAACTCCTTCGGCACGACGAGTTCAGGGTTGATGGCGCGCAGGCCCCAGTAGAGGAGAGAGATTAGTACTTCCATGGGTGCGGAGCAGACGCTTAGGATGTTTTTGAGGCGGAAGAAGGTACGAGATAGCGTCAGATCGGCGAGGAGGCCGAAGAGAAAAGTCAATGTTGCAAGTAGCAGGCCGATGATGGTCAAGTATTGAAAGTGCCAGCCATAGGAGCTGTTGATGTGGTTCGGGTGCGTTTCGAGCCAGTAGAAGGAGTTGGCGAAGGAGATGAGGCCGAGGGTGTGGACGATGAGAGAGATTGTGCGTGAGGGGGAGCGGAGGCGTTGGAGGGGATGGTGCTTTTCGAGTTGGCTGAGGGTGGCTTGTGGTCGGCGGATTGGGGAGATGGTTTCGATTGAAGTTGAGTGGGTTTGTGCTTTGGGGGAGGAGGCGGGGCGTGCCATGGTGCGCTATGTTGGCGCTGGATATTCTCAATTATGCGATACGGAAAGAATGATCCAATATGCAAATGAACGGTAAGGAAAAGACGCAATGTTCCATCAAGGTAGCTGGTAGTTAGGAAAACGGAGAGTTCATGAATTCCGGGAAAAAGTAAGCTCGACGTCATGAGCTGGTTGCCTCCTCACTCGGCAGCTAGGCGTGATTTTCTAGGCTCAATCTAGCAACGAGGCCGCGTGGATTTCTGCCGGTCTCGCGACCGCATCCATCGGCTCCGAACCCTCAGCAGCTTTCCTGGCAGCTCGATTACACTGTGAATCTGCTTGTCCATGCACGAATGCGTTCTCCATAGATATACATCGGTATGGTCGTCAGAAAAGCTAGTCCTTCAATAAGGACGTTGTATCCAGCAACCTGTGCGACAACATTAGGCTCTACAATTCGGTAAAGTCATTAATCAACTCACTTTGATGTAGCCATCTTTGTTTACCCAGGGAATCACGGCGAAGCTCAGTGCGAACGCGAAAGTGTTCTTGCTTGCCGTCAAGATTGTCAGGGTTTCTCCGGCCAGCGGGCGATATGCGTCTACCTGAAGTTCTTGTTAGCCCCACCACTGGGTCCAGAACACAAGACTGAGCAGAGATCGAAGGCATCTTACCACGTATGTTACGCCTATTGCGGGCACGGCACACAGCACAGCGTAAGTGATACCCGTACCGACAATTGGCACCATCGAAGGCATGTTGTTTCCCACACCACAGCCCCAAAGCATGAGACCAATGGGCCCAAACAGGAAGGGGGGAATCAGAAGCCACAACCGGTATTCTGGCTTAAATAGTCCTCCCCTGCGCTTTGCCAGGGCGTCGATCAGATAATCCGTCAGAGGTCCCCCAGCGAGACAGCCAATTGCGGCACAGACCAGGTTCTGCCGCGACGTGAGCATGCAAGGCTTTCTTGTGGACATCGGACTTACAGCGACATAGATGTTCCCAACAGCAAGCTCGCTGAAATGGTACTGCATTGGGAAGACTCCTGCATTGGCAGTCTGTTGGAGGACCACCCAGCCAAGACAAACTCCGTACGTCAAGGAGCCCCAGATGACAGCGGGATACTGGAGCGTTAGGAACGGTCGCCACCAAAGCCACCATATCGATGTTTCACTGAGGCATGTCAGCCGCTGCGCTGTGTCGCTCTGAGACATCTTCAACTCACCGGTCATACCAAGACGTGACATTCAGAGACGAATGCCAGCTCCGCTTTGCACCGTTGCAAATTTCCTTCAGCTGATCTGCCGGCAAGCCTTCCGTGTTGTCAATATCGGCTGGCCGTTTGAAGTTGGTCTCGGCACAGAAGAGGATCGTGCAAATGAAGGCAAAACCAGTCAAGATGGCGTTCATTCCGAACACCCATCGCCAATTCGGATTAGCATTTGCGACCAACCCTGCGAACACGCCACCTAATGCACTTCCACCGCCTATAGCAAACGTGTATAGCCCTACCTTGGTACCCCGCTCGTGCAAAAAGTACAAGTCCGCAACCATAGCCGGACCCAAAGCCTCCGAAGCACTCGCACCGAACCCCTGAACAATGCGAGCACCGAGTAGCGAACCCCAGGATCTTGCGACCGCTGACCAGATGCTGGAGGCAAAGAAGATTCCAGAGCAAAGAAGCAAGACAGGGCGTTTGCCGATCTTCAGGCTCAGAGGAACCCAGAAACAGTTCCCAATTCCTAGGAAGAGGATGTTGAATGTGATCAGATAACTGCCCTTTGCGAGGTCGACATCAAAATGCTTGACGATAGGAAACAGGATAGGGGCGAGCGAGGCGGTTATGTAGTTGGACAAGAGGACGAAGAGGAGGACGGTGGAGAAGACCAGATGCTTCCGTCCTGTTGACCAGGTCTGAGAGTCAAGACGCGTCAGTTGCAACACAGCGAGAGGCAGTAAGACAAGCTTACCAAGGGATCATTGGGGTCGTGAGACGGACGAGGCAGCAAGAGTTTTGCCGTCACGTTACCGCTGCCGTCCTCTTGAGACACAGGTCAGCCACAATCTTGCGCGTTGTTGCTGGAATGACATACCCTGGAATAGGTGAGCTTGCCCGACTATACCATGGCCAGCACCCGAGAGTTGCGCTCTGTCTGGCTCCTCAACATGCAAGTCCCGCTGGGAGGGCTTCTCGGCGATCTTGGTTTCCATGGTGTCAGTGATTGGGAACGACTACCGGAGTATGGACCGTGCCATGGATGTGGAAATTCCAGGTATCAAATAGGTCGATCTTCTCCATTCTCTTGGCTCTCGATCCGAGTACGGGGTCTCCATGGCTCCATAGTTCTCGAAATCCAGGCCCAGACTGAGTATGGTCCTTCGCCTGCCTGTCTACCACTGCATTTGCCGATCGAGCGCCTCAATTTCCCGATCATGTGGGAGCCGCTTAACGAATTATCTGACTAGACCCATCAACACTGACTCCAGACAATGAGGCCGCTGGCTAACTTACAAACCCCGACGTATACTTCTCTTCCTGGCGTCCAGACCTCTTTACCTCCACTATCTCCAGAAACACTTTCAGCGAAGGCGAGTGAGGAGATCACTTCAACGCCGTACAAACAATGGCGTCCTGGATTCCTGGTGCGGCAGAGTCGGGCTTCTCCCTCCAGAATCTGCCCTATGGTGTTTTCAGTACCGCCGTCTTAGACAAGCGCATAGGCGTAGCTGTCGGTGACCAGATTCTCGACATGAGGGCGATGAGCGAAGAGGGTATGCTCGACGATCTTCAATTCGACACAAGAACGCTTCTCGAGCCCGTTTTGAACGCGTTTGCCGCTCAGGGGAAGGATGCTCATCGCAGGCTCAGACACAAGTTGCAGAGACTGCTGGCGCAAGACTCGGATCTGCCTTCGGAACTACGCGACAATCCAGGTCGACGAAACAAAGTTTGTATCCCAGTGGCAGAAGCAACAATGCACGTCCCAATGAGTATTGGCGACTACACGGACTTCTTTGTCGGTCTATATCACGCACAGAATGTAAGTCGAGGGAAAAGCTATCGCCGACACTCACTGATACCAGTATCACGCAGTGTACAGAGATCATTAGGCCTGGCAGCAAGCTTGCCAAGAACTTCTACGACCAGCCCATCGGCTACCATGGACGGGCGTCGTCAATAGTTGTATCAGGTACTCCGATCAGACGTCCAAAAGGTCAATTTGTGACCGACAGCGGCAACAAGGCTGGGCCCAGCGAGAAGCTCGATTTTGAGGTAGAATTTGCTGCCTTTGTTGGCCGTGGCAACGAGATGGGATCCTCGATCCAAGTCGCAGACGCCGAAGAGCACATTTTTGGGGTGGTATTGATGAATGACTGGTCGTCGAGAGATATTCAGATGCAAGAGTCAGCTCCGCTGGGTCCATTTAACGGGAAGAACTTTGGCACGACCATCTCATCTTGGATTGTGCCATTGGAGGCTCTCGAGTCTGTGCGTACTCGGCCACTGCAGCCAGACGAACAGAAGCTGCTGCCGTATCTTAATGAGAAAGACAGGAAGTCGGCATTCGACATACCCATTGAGGTCACGCTTGAGGGTAAGCTTGCCCACTCCCAGAGTATTGAACGCGGTTGACTGATCTCGTCAGATGCATCTGGCGCCTTTGCACTAACCACGTGCAACACCAAGTTCGGAATATTCTCGTTCGCTCAAATGCTTGCCCATCACACCCTTGGAGGCTGCCCCATGAGGCCTGGGGACCTCATAGCAACAGGTACATTGTCTGGGCCGACTAGGGAAGAGCTTGGGTGCTTCTTGGAATCAAGCTGGAATGGACAGCGGTATCATGAAATGGAGGGTCTCAGTCAGAGTGGTGGTGATGGACGGAAAACCAAGCGGCTGTTCCTCAATGATGGTGATGTGGTCGAGTTTCAAGCGAGGACCAAGGGCGCTCTCGGAGACGTCTCCTTTGGCCCTTTCAGAGGTCAGATCGTGCCGGCGAACAATCCTTGACCTTGGAAATGCTTGAATCCATTGACTTTCGAACGTTGAAGACTCGGTACCTCAACAGCCTGCCAAGACAGCATTGGCTTTACTCCATTCAATTTGCAGCGGAATTGTGCTTGGAGCGTTTCAGAGGGGCCCAGATATCTCGAGTCGTAATCCAGGTTCTTGTCGCCGGTGGCAGAAGAAGCCATCGACGCCCACGAAAAGTGGACAGATTCCGAGTCAACCGGTCTGTGTTGAGCTCAATTGGAAACCGGTTGACTGGAAGTCTACAGCATTCCCACGGACCGGATGACATTCGCGCCCGCTCTGTCCAGACAATCTATTTGGCAGGAGCGTTCAGCTGAAAGCCTTCGCGCCTTCCCCTCTGGACACTTCGTGCAGCAGGACCGTCCAGCTGACGACGAACGCACCTGCCTTGGTAGCCACTTTCTGCAGCAAGGCAGGAGCGATCAATTGAGGGCATATGCGCCTGCCTTCTTAGTCACGTACTGTGGCACGGCAGGACCGACTAGTGGACGTCATTCGCGTCTGCCTGTCCAGATTCCTCTTCTTCGGCAGGAGCGGTTGACTGACAGCATTCGCACTTGCCTTGCAAGACTCATTCTGCAGCAGGGCAGGAGCCACTGGCTGATCCGACTCTGCGCCTGCCTCTCCATGTACTTTCCTGTGGCAGGAGCGTCCAGCCAAGGAATTCGCGCTTGTCATACCTGACATCTACTGGCAGTGTTGCAGGAGCGATTAGCTAGCGTCTTTCGCACCTGCACTTTAGCAGCTCTCTGCGGCAGGAGCGTCCACGGGCATCCGCACTGGCCTCTCTAGTTGCACAGCAGCAGGAGCGTTCGACGGTCATTGCACCTGCCTCCCTGGACACGTTCTACGGCAGGAGTGACTGGCGGAAGGATTTCCCGCGAGGCACAGCCACAACCGCTGGCAGGAGCGCTGGTTTCTAGGCATGACCGCTGGGCGAAGTTCATGGTGGAGAGGGAACAGGAAAGTGAGGACAGACAGCATTGTAGAAGCACGACCATCCACGTGGGTAAGACCGGTTGTCGAGGCGATAAGCAAGCCGGATGATAGGCAACCTTACACGAGACCGGATGACGAGAGTCATAATGGAAGACTCTGCCCAGTGTTCTTGGTCTTGGTTCTGAATTACAATATCCCTGGGCTGCAGTCTGCACAAGCCATGGTTTCGGGCGATCCAATCAACTTTCAGGCGAGGTGTAAGGTTCAACGACGACCGGCAAACTACCAAGGTCTGTCATATTCCGTGCAAATGCCGATCGGACAAATGTTCAGACGTAGGAATCCAGGCAATGCGCCCCACGCAGCGGAGGAGTTCCTGACCATAGCAGTGATCGACTCGGCACAGGAAAACAAGTAGACGTCGCTCTCGAAGCTCTGTGTTCCCTTCTCCCACTTGCTGCACAATCCGTCCAGGTAATTCGTGGAAGTCGTTAGTTTGTTCATCATCATATTGGTAGGTCAGAACAGCAAAACTCACGCTGTTAATCTCGAAGGAAAGAGCTCAGTCTCTGCTCCCAGGTGACGATCCCCCAGTTCCCAATCACACGCAACAAAGACAGCATAGTCATAACGACCACAATGGCAGGCGCCCAGGCTCTACCCTCCAGCCTGACCGACCCAACGATCCATGTGACTGCGCACAACGCCGAAGGCAAAGCCATCGTCCATTCTTCTCACAAAAACGACTGGTCCTGGTATCGCAACAACAGCGTCGGGTTCAACGTCGTCTACACCAACACGTTCCCTGCCGACCTCAACAACCTTGCCGATGTCAAGGCACACGAAGCGATCACGGCAAAAGGCACGCTGGGCCTCGTCAACCCCAACGGTACGGTCTGTCGGATTGTTGACTTTGGACCGACGAGCACTGGCAGCACGCCACTGATGCACCGCACGCAGAGCTTGGACTTTGGTATTGTCTTGGAGGGGGAAATCGACATGGAGCTCGACGATGGGAGCGTGACGCGGCTGCAGAAGGGGGACATTGCGATACAGAGGGGGACGATGCATGCTTGGAGGAACCCGAGTGAGCAGAAGTGGACGAGGATGTTGTTTGTTTTGCAGGATTGTCAGCCTATGGAGGTCGGTGGAGAGAGGCTGAAGGAGGATTTGGGGAGCTCGGAGGACATTCCTCGGAGCGGAAATGATCAGAATTGATCTGATGGAGGGTAGGCTGCCCTTCGGATTAGATGTGCGCGGAACTCGAGGTCGGCTCCTCAGGATGTGGCTGCGCAATTTCTCACGTCGGGTCACGTCTTTCACCGAGTCTCTCAGGCGCGTGTCCTTCCGTAGAACCTTGGAGCTCTAGCTGTGCACGCTAGAAGCACTACTAGATTCTTCTGCCCAACCGGGTAGGGGACATTGCTCTTGGCAAAGGTTTATGATTTCAGTCTGTCAAGCTATGCATTCTCCCAGTCCACCACTGCTCCACTGTCCATGTCAAGGAAATCCAAGCTCATCGAAGCAGCGTCGAAATGACCGAAGTCGAATTCATCAAGCATCTCGGGATAGAGAAAAGTGTTAAAGTTGTCGCGGTTGTACTGCCCAAATTGCCCGCTCCATAGGTTACTTTCGGTGTTCTCCACGTGGCGTTGGCTTTGGTCATATCCAGGAGGAACATGCACGGAGTCCGCAGCATTTGCTGAATCGGCAACAGCGGTGATCTGCTCGTTAGGCGCGCGGCTGAGTCGGGATCCGGGGCGCGGTTGTGGTCGTCGACCCCGATATCCATCACCTCTTCTCCAGGATTGGCATACACACCGTCGCTGGAGAATAGGATGGCGTTGAAGCCCAGGATCGTATCCCTTACCTTTCGCGCGTTCCCTCGAAACTCGGTGAGGTTGACTGGGTCGATGAACTTGGGCTCGTTCTCCAGTCGCTTGGGGTTCTCCGCATGCATGCGGTACAGGTAGCGGACATACTTTTCCTACAGATCATTGTCAGCCATTGCTTTTGCTTATGCTGAGAAGGCAACCCACCGAGAGGGACGTGAAAGCCCAGTACTTGGCCATTGCGTGAATCACTGCTGCATTGGTCCTGACCATAGCCTTTGCTCGATCTCTCACATCTTGATTCGTGCACCACAGAAATGGTATCAGGATTGCACACCCGCAATATGCTGCGTAGCCGATAAAGCTCGGGAGGGTGCCAAAGTCTTGTACCGTGTTGAGCACAGCCTCAAACAAGGTCGAAGCTGCGCAAGCATGATCGAAAGCGACCTGTGCCGAAACCTGCGTGGCGGATAGACTGTGCGTTTCTGCTGCGCTCCAGGAGAACAGAGGTACCACAGATGCATGGAGCGCCATCAAACATTGGTTGTACACGGTGTGGATGAGTAACAACTTCGGTAGTGCCTGACGCGAGATCTCCTGAAGCGTCGTGGGATTTATGTGCAATGAGCTCGACAATTGCGATCTCCATTTCGACAGTCTTGCATCCAGCTCATACAGAGAGGAGATTCTGCCATCAACACTGTTCTGAGGTGACCTCAGATGTCGACTGACATCCGACCTAGAGACGTATTAGCGGTGAAGCTCGCAAAGAAGTGCTGCAATAGCTTCCCATAGTGTCACGACTCTCACCATCTCGCAGTAAATGCCATCGTTCGTGCCACCAGTATCGAGCGACACACGCGGCAGGCTAACAACCTGTCTCTGGACATCTTCCTCGCGGGATGGCAGGGTGAGAACCTTTGTGCGCTCGAACGGGGCAAACACACCGGCAGTGTCTGACGAGTGGCACGACATCAGGAAGCAAGCCCAGTAGCGACGACGAGACATCTCCGATGTCCAGAGATGTTCTCTGCCTGCTTTGTCAACGCCACATCCGAGAAGATGTGCTGTTAGCGCTGCATTGCCTGCATTTCGTTGGACTCAGCGTCGGTTGTTGTACGGGCTGGGTGGAAGTTACCCTTGTGAATATATGATCTCCGCCACGAACCCTCGGCGTACCAGAGCAACGCAAGGTTCATGAAGGTGACGATGTTGTCTTCATGTGGTCTTTCAACCTCCTTCAGGACCTGCTCTGCCGCCCGCTCCGCCCAGTCGGCCATGAAACCGTGGTCCTTCAAACTCAAGTTCCCATTCGCATCTTGATGGAATCTGACAACCATGAACTGACGTGGACAGTTCTCGACGTCGATGACTACTTACCTGGCTGCGAACGCACAAACACTCAAGACGACATGGCTGCACGCAGAACCCGCGGCTAACGCAGCCAGGAATGTAGCTTTGTGGAGGAGCAATGAAGCATTGTACACACAGGAGTAGTAGGTATCGACCAGACTTAGCAGTAACGCGTGCGGAACACCCAAGGGATACTGCTCAGAATTTCGACTCTGCTGGGTCGCCTTCTGTGGTTGCTGCAGAACGTCTATGAATGGTAACCCGTGAGCAATCTGAGGCGGCGTTCTATGCGGAGGCGTGAGAAACGGCGGAAGTCCGACGTTTGTGGCAGTGTCAGACCGGCGAGCTCTTCCCCCCTTGACAGTCGGCCTCGGCTCAACCCAGTCACACTTGTGGTTGTATTTCTCACATCGCTGGCAGACAGGGTGCTCGCCAGAACAACGGACCTTTGCCGGGTATCAGCACAATAGACCATACGCGGCGTGGAGTGGGGGTACTACCTTGTGACTCTTGCACTTGTTACATGCTTTCCGGGGGCGTCCTGATCCAATCTGCATGCCTGCTCAGAAACTCAGCTTCTGCGACCGGCAAAGGCCATGACCGAGAATCAGCAGGGGCAATTCAGAAGCTCATGCTCACGCTTGTGTTATGATGAAGAAGAATCCCGAATCCCGATCGGAAAAAGGGGACTGGAGAACTGGGACATGGGGGATGCGGGGACGCATCAACCGGGGATTCGGAGCATCATGCTAATTTTTGCTACCACAGATTCAGCCGTTGAGCTTCACGTGTTGAGCTCTCTACGGAAACAGCGAGTACAAACAGCGTTAAACTCACGTCCACATGTACAAGGATGAAGTTGGAACCTTAAGTGTCTGCGCTGCAGTGAACAAGAGCGCGCCTTTCAGAGACATCTCCGACACAGTTTGCCTGTATGCGCGTTCCAGCCGTGGAGGTACACCGCCGCCAGGTCTGCTCCCCTGGAAGTCGAGACATTCACTATCTCATGCCGCTGAGAAGCTTTTCTGCGAGACGTTGATCAAATCGAGTATTTCACGCCACCGTACTGCTCGCCACGCATTAGTGCGGCTGCTGCTGCCTCAACCTCGTGGACGGGAGCACGTTTGGACCGTTCCATGATGCCCTCAGCAGAATCCCGCAGATCCTTCAGGACCTTTGGCATGTCCACACCAGTCAATCTGCCTCCGCTTTTGACAACTACACCATCAATGAATACAGTGTCGATATCCGAGCCGTTCGCATACATGACAATTGCTGCCACGGGGTCGGGCACGCCGGACAACCTGAGAGAATCGCATTTCGTGATGAGGAGATCTGCCCGCTTGCCAGGTGTAATGCTGCCAATGATTTCTCCTAGTCCGACTGCTGTTGCTCCGCCCTGTGTCGCCATCTCGAGGACATCATAACACCGCCTTGCCACTTGTGAGAGTGGCTTATCCTGAGCTTCGTTCTCCAGGTGACGTTGAGCTTGCAGAACAAGGCGCATCTGTTGGAACATATCGGCCGGATTGTTGGACACAATGTCGACACCCAAACTGGCTGTACAGCCGTGGTCTCGCGCCTTGAAAGCGACGGGATGGCCCATTCCCATCTGCATCTCCGTATCAGGCGTCACCGAAATGGCTGCGCCAGAGGCATGGATGGCATCCAACTCATCACTCGCGAGACTGGCGCCATGACTGAAAAGGAGATCATTCTTAAGGATCTGCTTCTCGTTGAAATGCCGTACGAGGTGGTGCTTCGTATCGTACTTACCCATCGCAATGTGGCCAGTTATGACAGCACTGCCTAGGGATCGTCCGTGCTCAATTTCCTGGATGGCTTCCTCGTAAGTGCAGCGCTCGAGCTCAGCAGGCGCGAAGCCGAATCGGAGAACATCGTGAGGTTCGTTGGACTTGAAGTGTACGTCTCTGACCCGCCGAGCATCGTCGAACCTCCAATTCGGTGTATTCACCTCCTTCTCATAGTCCAGGGTCGATCCATTCCACGGCGGATTCTTGAACAAACCATAGCAGAATACTCCCCGTATCTTCGAGTCCTTCAGACCGTTGACTGCTGCGTCCGCGTGCTCGGGCGAGTTCATGATGTGAGAGTGATCGATCAAGAACGTGATGCCATTGTCGATGGATTCGAGAGCGCCGCCGTAGTTGCCCAAGTATGCATCTCTCGCCGTATAGCATGAGCCGTACTTGTTTCGGATGGCTAGGACATAGTCTGTCAGGACATGGTCGCAGCATACAGTGCGAAGTTGTGTTTGCCAGGTGTGTCTATGGGTGTCCACGAATCCTGGAGAGACGATACAGTTGCTACCGTCAATAACGTCGACGCCTTCTGGTGCTTTTATTCCCTGCTGAACTGCTTCAATGGTCCCGTTGTGAATGAAGACATCGCAATTTTCCTGGATGCCGATTGTTGGGTCGATCGACACGACTGTCGCATTCTTGATCAGGTACGAGCTATTCATTCTGGCGTTAAGAGGAAGCGTGTTTGCCGACCTGCCTCTTCTTTGAGACTATAGGGACAGGGCCAGAGCTCGCTGCTGATGCTTATAACATATTTGAGCACCTACGAATGCGGACACACTTAAACATACCTAGGCACATTTGTACTTGCTCTTGCACTTGTCTCGTCTCCATTTCCCGATCATGGATTCTCCGATCACTTCACCAATGGATTTTTTTACGCAATGTTAGCAGAAGCCCGCCAGAATCGGACGAATAATGAACTCCAGAGCTGATCATGAGCACGAGCAAGAGGATTCGCCCGCAATCTGGAGACGAGCCGACGGCCAGATTGAATGAGGAAATGTCGAGAAGGGAAACGGGCAGGAAGCGAGCGACCCAACACGAGTTCACGAGCCCGCCTTCAATCTTCGTGTGGACTCGGACCAGGCCCACTATCACGTGACGATGACGGCCGTACTGCGTCCCTCCCTCCTGCCTCAGTTCCTCGTCCCTTATTATCTTAGCCCGCTATATCCATCTGCGCTCCCACAGTCACAGAGTTCCCCATGTGCCGAATAGACCACATAGCTCTGGGAGGAAATGCGAACCAAACATATGGAGGGCACTCTGATCCAGCCACTCCCGAGCGAGGGCTCCTTTCACTTATGATGTTGCCCTCGCTGGCTTCCCCAATGATAAGCCGGCTAGCGATATCTACCAGGAACGTATAGGCATCAGAATAGCTCAAGGAGCCGCACATGATGTAGCTCGTTCCAGATCTTAGGCACAGGTGGCCTGTGCGTCAAGAAAGCCTAGATCCCGAGGCCAGCATGTTGAGGAACCTTTGTTTGAGCAGCTGTCCAGAATAGCTAACGGTGCAGACAAAGGACTCGTTTGAGTACCTTTGTCGACCCAAGAGCCTGGACAGCACGTGGCTAGCATACTTGATGACTCGACTCGCTGCAGAGCGAGGCATAACACCACACCTGTGTAGCCTACGACAGACAGGCACGATGTGCATGACGGTCCAATACTATTTCTGCTGCGGCCACCCTGCTACACACAGGTTCCGCAATCAGCTCTGCCAGCAATCAAAAGGCCGGTCAATGTGCCGCATCCGAGACGTCAGCAAATTCATTGACAGCGAATGCCGACGATGCGCTCTCGATCGTCTCCGCAAGGCGCAGAGCTCGCGTCCCAGACCGACTGCTTTCGATGATGTCTGGTACATTCCGACTCGGTGCTTCGTCGATATCGGCTTTCGAACACTAGACCCTTTCCTGTCTGGGTCGTCGGAACCTAAGTCACCGCTCACAGGCGTGCCAACACTATCGCCTTTGACTACAGAACTGCCACGGAGGGCAAGTCTGTGGGAACAGCCTTCCAGCCCACGCACAGAACGAAGTCCGATCGACAAGTTCTTCCCCAAGTTCCTGCGGCTGAAGAAGACCAGTCCGTGTTGTGACGAGAAGTCGTTTGCAGATGCCTTCCAGGCAGTCCGACTGGAGGATTATGATGCCCGGATCGAGGGTCGGATCATGGATAATCATTGCGAGTCTTTACAGTGACTCCTTCGAAATCAAAATTGTTTCACCCGCCGCGTGTTGGTCCTTCTCTTTCAATACCAATCTTGCCCGTCTTTGCTACCTCGTGACTGTCCTCTCCTGCCTTCGACATCGCCTCCTTCTCGTCATCTGCACATCCGCAGTCATAGAAGTCACCGATCTGACTGCAGTCGAAGATGTCCTTGTTCTTGCTCTTGTTGACCTCGTTGTGCACATGGCATGCCCAAACAGCAGCCGCAGACCTCGAGGACGTTTGCGGTGGGAACTGTTCAAGGATGCCTTGGAAATGTGTTGCGCATTCGCCGCATGGATATAGTCTCGCAAACAGGTGGATGTAGCTCTTCAGCGCATCGCTCTCGTCCTGTGTAGGCTTGTCCGGAAATCTAGCCATCGTAGTGTGGAATAACTTCCATGCTGCCCGTCCCAGCTCCTCTTTCAACGTCTCGTTGCCTAGATGGCTCATTATTGCGTGGCCAGTCTGCACTTCTGGGACTATCGTCGGAACCTCCGGCTGCTTTCCCTGTCCCTTCTGCATCCATTTCGGTAATGGGGCGGGCGCCGCGGACAGGCGGTCTTCAGTCCTGTCCTGAAGGCTGATCCACATTATGAATGTGAGGAACAAGAGCACGGCTGTCACCAATATGATGCCTGGCGGCGGTGGACGAGGCATTCTGGCGGTCTCTCGCCTCCCTTTGGGGGAGAGTGAAAGGTACAAAGGATGGACAGTGCGTTCGAGGCACGATATGCAGTGCTTATTGCTGCGCGGTGGTCTTCTCCACTTTGCCAACTTGGACGGGCGCCTGATCACGTGTGCCTATCCCTTCAAGCCTCAGGCTGTAATGTTCGACTGGCGATGCCTTGACTGTCGAAGACCTGAAATTACATCGAGGCGAGCTCAGCTTTACAATCAGGCTCGCGCCGCGTTCGGCTTGCCCGTCCGCAGACCACGGGTGTCCACAGACCGTGTTCGCTGCACACAAATTGCAGGGATGGCCCTCACCATGCTGACGCTGCCTACTGAGGTTCGATCGATGATATTCCAGCTCGTCATAATTCGACACATTGATTACTATTTCCCAAGGTACTATCGAATGGACAACCCTAACGTGGAGCTTTTGGTTATCTGCCGGCAACTTTACCAAGAGAATCTCCCGCTGTTGCCGACTAAGCTAGACTTGTATTTATGGGGCACGCATCTCAACACGCTCAGTCATTTCGTTTCCCAGGTGAGCCGTATCAACAGCTGGACTTCGGACAATCTGCTTGACCGTGTCGGCTCAATTGAGGTGCGGGTGCCGCGGCTGTCTTTCAATAGTATCACAGGCGGAATCTACCTCAAGGACCCTCTGGGACAGGCGCCTGCTCGAGATCTTGCACAGCAACTCAGACGTTGGGGATCGGATCCATCGCTTGTACGTTACATGATGTTTCATGGCATCTACGAACCTTCTATGCCTCTACTCCCTGTTGGCGACATGAAAACCATTATGTTGGAGATACCAAGAGATGGAGAAGGAGGTGGTACCAGATAGGTAGAGCTTACTGTTCGCCCGCTTCCCAAAGACGTGTCGCCCGATGACGTGGGGCTCGAATTTTCGGCGCGTACGAGGAGATGGCGTAGACGGGCGCAATTGTCCCCACGCAATCAGAGACTCGTCACCCAAGAGTTCTACCGTACCATGCGATTGCAGTCTGCATGAGATACTACTACCAGTGTGTACACTTCTCCGGTCATCTGTCCGCAGAAGCACGCCCGATTCTATCTTACCGCATGAAGAGGCATTTTTGGCACGTTAGAATGTTGATCGTTTACGGGTCAGGGAGGGCACTGACGGCCCGATAACAGGTCGCTGGCTGAGTAGGCGTTTTGGAAAAATCCTTACTTAGGCGTCACTTCGTAGAAATGGTCCGCTCCGGACTTTTTGGCCAGGGAGGGCGCTATCGGAGCCAGCGCTCCCCAAGGCGCCGACTTTGTAGAAACGCTCACGACTTCTCGTCGAGGTTGCCAGTCTGCACCTCGCCGAGGAAGGTACAGGAGTAAGATGCTGACGTGGAGCGATCCTTCCCGATCTTGTTGTCAGCACTGCTTCGAACCGTGTCCACAGCCCACAGAAATGCCGGGAAACGTATGATGTGGTACGAAAGTGATGGTGGCTAGAAACAGAGGATGAATGAACTGACAGGAAGGGCGTTTGCCTAGTCAGCGGATCCAATGCTGGCATTGGCTGAAGCCGCCAGAGGATCCGATCTCGGCGACCCGTGAGTAAGGCAAATGGAAGAGCGCACAAAAAGTTCTTCTAAACGTCAGCCGAGTCAAGTATACCATTGTGACGCACATCAAAGGGAGTCAAACAGGAGAATATCGTTGTTGTTCGTCCTGTCTTATTCTTTCCGACGAGAAACTCTACTTATAACGCCGCTTCCATCGTGCCTGCTCTTTCCTGAGCGAAGATTCTTGGCACTATTTCTATACGCTGTCGACTGCTCACACGACTCTACCCTGCTCCCACACTTGCAGCCAGAACCCAACCCGTGCATCGCTTCAATCACCCACCCACCATGGCCAAATTCCCACCGCCCCCAGTCTCAACCATAGACTGGTCCAACGTGGGCTTCAAAGTCCGCGAAGTCAATGGCCACATCGAATGCAAATTCACCCACTCCGGCTCAGCCCAATGGTCCGCCCCTCAATTCATCACCTCACCCCACCTCTCCATCCACGGCATGGCCCCCGGCCTCAACTACGGCGTGCAATGCTACGAAGGCATGAAAGCTTCCGCCGTCCTGACGGCTCCATCTCCATCTTCCGCCCGGACCAGAACGCTCTACGCATGGCACACTCCGCTGAATACATCTCCGCCCCTCCCGTCCCCCCAGAGTTGTTCACCGAGGCCGTCAACCTGGCCGTGGCGCTCAACGCAGAGTACGTCCCGCCCCACGAAACCGGCGCAGCGATGTACATCCGGCCTCTCCTCTTCGGGAGCTCCGCCCAACTAGGCCTGAATCCGCCGGACGAGTACACCTTCTGCGTATTCGTCATGCCCACGGGCGTCTACACGGGTGCACGCCGTCGATGCGCTCATCCTCGAAGACTTCGACCGCGCCGCACCTGAGGGAACAGGCAGCGCGAAGATCGGCGGGAACTATGCTCCCGTACTACGACACTCCGAGAAAGCACGCAATGCCGGCTTTGGCATCACGCTACATCTGGACAGCAAGACTCGAAGCGAGATCGATGAGTTTTCCACTTCTGGATTCCTGGGCGTCAAAGTCAATGGCGACAAAACCACAATCGTAGTCCCCGACTCAAAGAACGTGATCAAGTCCGTAACCTCAGAATCAGCATGCCAAATCGCGCGGGATGTCTTCGGATACAAAGTCGAGCGACGACGGATACCGTACGACGAACTCAAGGACTTCCAGGAAGTGATGGCATGCGGCACGGCGGCGAGTCTGGTGCCGATCAAGAGCATTACGATGAAGAGTACGGGTGATAAGTTTGAGTATCCGGTGAACGAGGCGGGCGATCCGGGGAAGGTGTGTGAGGAGTTGTTGCGGACGTTGAAGGGGATGCAGATGGGGAAAGTGGGGGATAAGTTCAAGTGGTGCCATACAGTGACTGAGGCGCCAGAGGGATTTGGTGGGGAGCAGAACGGGAAGGTGATGAATGGAACAACGAACGGTGTGGATCAGCTTCCTTAGGACGAGGCTATGGGGAGGGCGGAGCTGTTTAGGCTGTGAGGTTGCTGGGGTTGCGAAGGGCTGCGTGGCGAGTGCTGAAAGCGAGCTTTGGTATTGCTAGGTATCTATATCGTGGTGGTTGGTCGGCGGCTTGCCGTATTGATACAAAAACCAGGCGCTAGAGCTTGTTCTCTGATCGAATCCCGAGTCCTGATCGATCCGCTCTCAGGTGCCCATCCGTGTAATAATTTCTCAAACCAGTAGGAAAAGGGTATCGATAAGTGTCGTAAAAGTCCCCAGTTTGCGAGGACGTAAGGACTCGCACTCAGTCTTCCGGCGTATTTAGCTGAAAAACCACCCCATCGTCTTTCAAAGCGAGATCTGGCTCCTCGGCTCCAAGAAAGTCGGTGTCAAATAGCGTGTCTGAAACTCCGTTGGCGATGTCTTGCTCTTCCAGAAGCTCATATTGTTTCAAGCGATCCCACATACTACTTCCGATCGGTGGTTGACCATAGAGCTGGACGAAGTCTCTCGGGTGGATTGAAGATTGCTCAATCGGAATGGGCTTGGAAGCCACTTTCTTCTGGCGTATTTGATCCGCCGCGGGAAGAATTGAAGGTGCCTTCCTAGCCTTCGGGAATCCAATGGTGTTCTTCGATACTGAAGATGGCGCTGGAGACGATGTGGTGATGTTGCTGAGTGGTTTCCGCTTCTGATCAGAGGCCTTTGTGCCTTTCAACGCAGCCGAAGGAAGCCTGATCCCAGGCTCTGACAGGACCGAAGCGGCTGATCTGGCTTTGGCTGTGTCCAGTCGCGACTTTGGCCCGGCCGCAAGCATCTGATCGACTTCTGCGTCCAGCTCCTCATCTGTGGGTAGCTTTGGAAACACTATGGGCTCGGAAGCTTTTGCCTCCATCTCTTCTTTGAGCTTCTGCTGTCTCGCCAATTTCTTCTGCCGAAGTGAAACGCCATTGTCATCCGTTGGTGATGTGCAGTAGATCTCTCCATATCCATTGAAGAAGTTTTTGCCTTGAAATTGCGGGAAAGTGTCATCGTAGCCAAAGTCTATCGGTGGGTCAGGAAGGTCGGCAACAGGTGGCGGGGCGTATCCGAAATCTGGTTCATCGTCTTGCTCCTCGAGTTCCTTCAACACATCCGCATTTACGGGCTCTGTTGGCGCAACCACAATCTTCGATTTGGCTGAACGCCTGCCGGTCGAGGCCTTCTTCAACGTCTTCTCTGGCTTGGCTGTCTGCTGAGGAAGAGGTGTCTTGAAAGCCTGGCCGCGGGCGTTCGTCGTCTTCATGCCCAGAGGTGCTCGATTCGGTGCAGGAGTGACGAAGGCATTGTTGTCCAGCTTACTTGATCCGTCCCTGAGGACTGTTGTCTTCCCTTTTTGTGTAAGCGGTCTATTCTCATCGTTGAGCGTTCGTCGGAAGGGCGTCTTGACCGGGCCTGGCGTCTTTGGTTGTAGCTACGGATCCCTTGGTTGAGAGGTTTGTTCGCCGCTGTAGTCTGTTGGGCATGGACCCGGTTTTCTTGATCGCGTGACGCCAGCATTGTCGATGCGATATGATGCTGCTGCGGACTGTTGATGTTACAAGAAATGTCGTTACTGCGTGAGTCGTGTTGCTAAAGGACTGCCAGCAGAAGGGATGGTCGTTGAGTAAAGCATCAATTCAATGTTTACGATCTGCTCGAACGAGACTAGCTCTATCGTCAGTGACCAATCGCGGCCGCGGCGGTGAAGATCGACCTCAGGGGCTGGGCTTAGGCACAAAGTGTGATCCGCGAGGGCAGAAAACCAACTCGTCTGGGCGTTGCTGGGGTCCGTGCTTACCTGAAACAGTGCCTAGCGGCTCCCCCACCGCTTGCAGCCACAGAGGGGACCCTGAAAGAACATCCAAGTCTGCGGTGTGCGTGTGTTCATCCCACTTCGACCTCATCCGTCCTTTAGATACACAATTGACTGCTGACCTTGTTCTTTACCTTCATTATCGTCCTGGTCTTGTATTCTTTGTTTGACAAATATCGAGATCTCAACAGCTAGACATCATGGATCGCATTAAGGAGGTACGTCGCTCTGCACCGGCACCTGCACCTGCCCGTCACTTGCACTTCCCTTCCCCGCCGTTTTCGTTGCCCAGGCAGGCATCACCCAAACAGTGGCAGTCACGACTTCGCCAATTGCGCACTTGCCAAAAAGCGACGAATATAAACCGCCTCTCAAGTCTTGCGTTGTGCAACTCTTCGGCATCACTACCATCGCGATCATTCCCTACAATCCACACTCTCTCAACAACCACTCAAACCATCCACCATGGCTTCCGGTACCCAGGCTAAGTTCGTCCAGAAAATGAACTCGCTCCGTCTCGAGGCGGACGAGAACGCCGCCAAAGCCGAGGAGCTCAAGCAAAAGGTCAAAGATCTTGAGCAGGACAACCTCACAAAAGAACAAGAGATCACATCCCTCACACACCGCAACCAGCTTCTCGAGTCAGAAGTTGAGAAGCTCGAGAACACTCACAAGGATCTGAAGAAGGAGAATGAGGGTTCCGCGTCCCAGGCCGCACAGCACGACTCCTTGACCCGACGAGTGCAAGTCCTTGAGGATGAGAACGAGAAGGCCGACCAGACACTACGTGAGACCAATGAGAAGTACGTTGAAGTGAGATACTTTGATAGAGTATGTTCTGATTATCCATAGGCTACGTCAGACCGATGTCAAGGCTGGCCACTACGAGCGCAAGGTCCAGGCTCTTGAGTCTGAGAGAGACGAGTGGGAGGCCAAGTACGAGGAGATGGCGAAGAAGCACCAGACCCTCCAGAAAGAGCTGCAAGAACTTGAGCAGAGCATGGGCTCTCTCTAGTCTCGTCACGAAGCGGTTTGCTACAGCCTTGACAGCGACCCCAACCAGTCGTGACGAACGACGACTGTCGATCTGTCCTGGAGGACTCCCCGCTGATACCGTTATTGGCGAGCGCATAGACTACGATACCAAAGAGCGATACCATGAGCATGCAATTGGACTGTGAGAGCCATGTCACATCTGGGCAAGTCAGAGAATGAGAACAACCATTGACACATCGGCCTATTTTTCTCGACGAGCCTTGGCTTGCTTGCTGTTCTTTGCCCGCTGCTTTCCCCTTTCGATCTTCCGCTCAGCTTTACTTTCATATCGAAACTTCTTGCGTTTCTTCTTCGCCTTGGCTGCTGCGTCTTTCGGCTTCTCAATAGTCCACTTCCGCTTGCCTTTGGAGCCTGCATCTCCAGTCTTCTTGATCGCTTTGGACTGCTCAACTACAGTTTGAGCTTCGACTTCATCGTCCGATACGGCATCGTCTCCATGAACAAAGCCGTCTCGATCCACAGCCACTTCCTCCACCACAACACTCGTGTACTTGTCCTCGTCAACGTACTCTGCCTCATGATCGACCTTCTCCAGCACGGCCTCTGTCACTACCACATCATCGCCATCCTCACTGTCGTTCTCACTCTCGTCGCTTCCTCCCTCCGACACTTCCTTGATTGGAGGCTTGAATGTTGCATCCACCATCCTGACTCGCTCCTCCAACTCCCGCTTCCGCTCCTCACGTAGCTTCTGACGATGCTGGCGTTTCTCATCCTTTGCGCGACGCTCTGCTGCTTCCTGCGCTGCTTTTGTGCGCTGTACTTTGCGTCTGTGGAAACCTGTTAAATAATCTTGTCGTGCATCTAGGTTGAAAGTGATTTCTTCTGGTTGGGGGCCTTTAGATTTGGGTAGAGGTGTTATACGCCGCTTCTTGTTTGGTGGCGGCATTATGGCGATTCTGGCTATCTCTGACACTGCTCGACGTGACCCACGTCCTCAGGCTTGTTGAACTCTCCAGGAATATTTCTCAATCGAAAATGTGAAGTAGACAGCCTCGTGCAGTAGATCGACGAGGCTCGCCGGGCAGTCAACCGGTCTTGGGTCAAAGAATCACCGGCTCCGAGCGTCATAGAAGGCCGTCAACTTAATCGATGTCTAACCGTCTACGGTTCGAGCATCTCCGCTGCGACACCTCACACATAGCTGCTGCCATGCGATCACTGCAAGTCGCCGCGCTGGCGCTCGCGGCCAGCCAGTCCGCCTATGGCTACGTCGACACATCACCTTTCTTCATGTTCTCGACCTCCGAGTATGTATCATTCATGATCTAGATAGTCGCAAGCTGATCAGACCAGTCTTCTCAACTCCGCCCCAAAGCTGTCCAGCGCAGCAGCTATCACATCAGAGATCTCTCGAACACTATCACTATGTCCTTCAGACCACTACATCATCGTCAGCCAGCCTGGCGTTACAGCAAGAGACTACTCATCGAAGAAGACAACACCAACGTTAGCACAGCGCCTTTCGTCGAAGGGCTCACATGGAGTTCGCTCGAGCGTTTCAATACCTGACGTAGTCGGCGAGATCGATACAGAGCAATGGCGGAGGTCACTGCAATCAAACTGCAAGCTCGATGTGGTGGTTGTGGATGCGACCGCAGGGTCGATACCAGCCTATGCCTCGTTTCCAAAAGCTCTTCACGTCACAATGCCAGCACCAGCTAGCTCTACGGCATCGGAAGCCTTGGGTGACAACGATGCGCTCCTGGCTGCCATTCTAGATATGCTTCCTTCAAGCGACTATACGGTCCTGTACACCACCTCTCCCAGTCAAGGCAAGAAGGATGCGGAGCCGGCTGGCGGCTATGTCATGGATTCGGAAGCACAGGAGATGCTTCACATTGACTTGAAGCGGGATCTGAGCCCAAGAGCAAGCAATTCTTCTAGCGGCAATACAACTCTGGTGGATGGGGCTTTGTTCGAGCGGTATCAATTCTTCACGCCGGGTAAGCACATCTTTGGTAAATTATGCACAGGAACACTAACAAAGCGGCACAGGCATCTTCCAAGGCCTTCTCGTAGGCTTTATCCTGCTATCGATCCTGTATGTCGGCATTTCAGCATTGTCAAGTCTCAGTGTTACCTACGGGGCTTTCGACAAGGAACAGGGGCAGCTCGCCAACAAGAGCAAGGCGCAATAAGCCTCGTTGTGAGTGATGGGCAAATGGGTGGGTTTATTACGATTTGTAGCTTTACTAAAGATCTATAGCTGAGAAACGTGGCTTGTCCAAGCTACAGTATGCGTGGACTTCGGTCAAATTCATCTGTCCTGCGTGCAGCCATCTCCGATGCACTCTTTCTACTATGACCAGGTATCATGCTCAACATCGTCGAGACGGACCCCACCATTAATCATCCCTTCACGACCTCATCGTCCAACTAATCTAGGGGTCACCAATCTTCAGAAACAAACCAAAAGCGGAAGCACATGCCCTAAACAACGAGCAAGGCCTTGACGTACAAAGCCTCCGAACACTCGATTTTGACCTGTTTCAGTACCACCCTTTCGTGGCTAAGTACTGCGACATCGTTCTCGTCGACATGGAGGAGGCACATGGGTGTGATTCTGGCAGATCAGATATCGGCATGGCCATAACTCGTCCTGACGAGATGAGGCCGTAGTGGTCTTAAGGATGAGGCAACAGCGGAGTCGACTTCGGCTTCTGCTCAAACATCGCATCGAACTTCCTCAGAAGGTATCTCAACCTGTCTCCAGTATTGTATGCCTGAGGCAGATATTCTGTGTGCTCCGGTAAAGATCTTGGCATACGAATCTTTAAACATTATTCCAACAACGGCGCGATAAACATGAATGCAACAGCACGAGCAAACACTTTTCGACCGACGAGGTGTGACTTGTCTGCGCTTCGAGATTACGACTTTGGGAGCCTAAAAATTCACCATCGCCACCAGTCGCCTCTGACTCAGCCTCAAAACTTTGCGGGTTCTCCTGGCTCGGCAGCCTGGGTATACCATGTCCAGATCACGTATACCTGATTTCGAGCCGCCACACATCAGGTTGTTGAAATTGAATGGCAGGGCACGCATCTCGTCCATGTTGAATTCAGCACCATCCACATAGTCGCTCTCCGGCAGGTCTTGCGACCTCGTCGCCCAACAAACTTACGCCACATTCGCAAATCCAGCGCGGCAGGCGAGCAAGCTGCCCACTGCCTCCGTGCATCGACGGACACCGAATCGTGACATGATGGCCCAGCACCATCGCACCCAGCAATCACTCTCCAACAGAATTCCAAGGCTATGTATTTCTGGCGTCGCTATAAACGTAGGCTCAACAGCTCCTTCTGCGAACGTGTCAGCATGGATCATTCGAAGAGAGGAGCTCATTTACAAGACTGAGAAAGTTCGGCGCGCCTTTGATGTGCAGCATTCCACCCTCCTCCACAGTGCACTGATGCTCGCTGTGCTGGCCATATATTCCTCTGAGTCGGGCTTCGAGCTTCGGCTCGTTGACGGATCGGTCTGACAACACGTAGTCGACCGTCCCGTCCGCATTTCTGCGGCTTTTGGAAGCAGCGCGCGCGCTTTCTTTCATGCCGCCTGAGGTAATTTACTCAGAATTGATTTCGAACAGTACACGACGAGAAATCACAGGGACTTGACTGTCCAGATTCTACTATGATGATGTTTTCGAAGCGCAAAAATATGAAAGAGGTTGCAAGTGTGGACAAGGGCTGGAACTTTGAGACAAGATATACTATTCAGCCGTCTGTGCCCGACCACCCGTGTTTTGAGTCCAGCAATGTGGCCTGCTGTCACCCTGTCAAGCTTTGTGTCAAATAGCAGCTAATTCAGCCCCGGCCCAGACACCGACCTCGTATGACTGACTCCCTTTGTTAAATCAGCATCTGAGCGCCACTGCGAACTGCCCAAACTGTGTGACCCAGATTGTCACGGACTTTTGCAGGTGTGACCAATTACCATCGGCTAGAAGTCCCGGTTGCCAGGCGGTGGCAGTGCCCCGTATTCTGGGCCGGCTCATCCACTCCAATGGGATCACCGACAGTCACGCGAGCCCGGAGCGGCAGAAGTACTCATGATGCCAACATCCCACATTTTTCACAATGGACAGGCCGCAGGCGCCTATCTAGCATGCTGAATGTAGCACATGAGTCGTGACCTCGAGTCATGGGGCGAGTCATGACCTTCTTGAGGGCCGGGCGTGAAAGACCATCCCATCGTCAAAGAGCGATCCTTGACGACCAGCAAGGATGCTAGGCCAATCACTCCCTGGTCTTGCCGCCTCGATCAGCCTGGCTTGCGTCCTAGCATACATTTTGCATGGTGAATTCGACCATATTGAACGGTGAAATGGGCACGCTGAGCGGTGATTTGGGCAGATCAGTGTGATTGGATGAATACAGATATCGACTGTCAGTCTCCGCCAATGACATAACAATGGCTCGGTTCGATTGACTCTCAATGCGAATCTATTGCGACATTCGCCTATCTGGTCTCGTCGGCGCATGGCAATACGACCGAAGGTGGAACATATGTCTCTAAACAGTCGCCTAGACGAGCCTGAGTCTCGATGCCTACAGTCAGGCTCTGCATTCACGAACCGACAGCAGTCGCCCTTAGTGCAGCGTACATGAGCTGGCCAGCTGGTTCTAGTGGTCTCTCAACAAGCCTGACGCCTCTGAGCTCTTGGTCCTGGGACGCTGGACGACACGACAGCAGCTGAACCTGAAGCAAGAACTTCGTTCTTCTGTCCCCTGCGACATAATCGGATTTTGGCACACTTTCATGCCGGACGAACATATGCATACATTACGAGGAACCTGTGGTCACTTATGGCATGGCTCGCGTGAGCGGCACGAGCCTGTCACTAAGTGAGCATTAGCTGCATACCGGACCAGGATGGCAAGTGCGCCTCGGCAAAGCCATCTTTCACTAGTAGGTCTTTGCGCATAAGTCTCATCGTTTGCGGCGGCGCAAAGCCCAGGAGAACCAGTAGGAGTGAAGCAGGCGTGCATCTGACAGTCCAGCTCATTTGATCGAAACGAGCATCAACTTTTGAGCCTCACTCGGCATGGTGTTAATGGAAACAGCAGTCCGAGATGATGTGCACATCGCTATGCGATACTTCCTGTAAGTGTTGTTGGACGTTAGTATCGACACGTCCTCTGGGTGGCCATGAAACATGCACGGCTTAGACCATGGAGGCTTTTATCATCGGCATGGTGCTTTGGCAGCATTAGAAGTGATACGGATTCGCAACTACTCAGCCCTCCAGGAGACGCTACCACCCCGAACGGTTCTTTGCACAGCATACCAACTTCTGAAGAGTCAGAAAATCCTATAGCAATCGCGACTGAGCATCAACAGTTACCGTTCGCCACTTTCATCGAGTGCGTTGTGGAGGTCGCTTTCGATGGCGAATCTGTACCAGGACAAGCATCGACTCAAATTGCGTGGACCGAATCTGGGCAGTATGCGAAGGTGCAGTCCGCGGCGCAAAGCCTGCTCATCAAACACTATGGAAAGACCAGTCTACAAGCGCGGCATCGTATTAGAAGGCGCGCGCACATAGATGTCTTTAAGAGGTCGGGACTGCATGAGCCGCAAGACCTCCTGGAGACGGACATCACATCGACACCGGCGCAATGGGACCGGCATTTTGCCATGATGGTTGCCAATCATTGTCTCACGCATGGCATATCGGGGATTCAATTGAAGACACGATTGGAATACAACAGGTCGGTACTGGCATATCTTCCGAATGATCCCTCGGCATCTGTATCGTTACGTGCTTGTGACGCAGTCCTGCAGTCCACAGAGGGAGTGAAAGCCGTCATAATTTCCACGAAGAAGGAAGACAACGACTGGGAAGAAGACCCATTCCTGCCGCGCACAAAGGCACGAAGCCTTTTTCCCAGGCGCATCATCGAGAAAATCATTCGGGAGTTACCGATGCCACCTTCGTACCTGGAGAGCGACATCAGAGAATGCATCAAACACGTTGTGGACAACGGGATACACCTCCTGGCTTGTTGTATCTTGGCTGGCAAACCTGAGTGTATCTTCCATTTCGTAAAGAGCAAGATTTCAGACTCGGACCTACCATTGGACAAGAAAACCCTGATGGCTCGACATGAATGGGTTCAGGATGCCGTTACGTTCCATGGCTTTCCACAGCACCAGAGGATGCTCACAGTGCTTGACTTTGCACTAATGAGTCCAGAAACGAGCGTGAGGGCAAGTCGCCACGACGATCTTCCAGGTTTGTTTGAAAAGGTGTCAACAGAAGGCAACTACTTCTACGTGAAGCCTGACGTGGTTGTACCATTCATGGCGGCTAAAATGGTCAAGGATGGTGTCGGCGGCTATGGCGTTGTTTATGAAGTTGAGATTCATCCTGAGTATCACAGCTTTGAGGAGGTAAGTTTCAAGAGACAACCATCCGTCACACTCTGACCAAATATACGCAGAACAAGTTCGCCTTGAAGATCTTCCAGAACCACGTCCGCATTCGTAACTTCGACGAAGAAAGTCGTGTTCTTACTCAGCTGGCAAGGCTTAACAATCCCTCAATAGTAGTACCGCTTGCGAGTTGGCAGCAAAACGAGGAATTCTACATGCTGATGCCCTTGGCAAATCGCAATCTCGCAAGCTATCTGGACGGCGAAAGAAAACTTTACCGCACGCCAGCATTCTGTCTTCACATTCTGAAACAACTGCAGAACATAGCAAGTGGAATTCAGTCGATCCATATGCTAAAGGTAATCGTCACCGGTGCCGATGAGAATCTGGCAGTCAATACACCTGCCAACCTCCAGAAGCTAAGTGGCTATCACCATGACTTGAAACCAGCGAATATCCTTGTATATGGCCAACAGACCGAGAATGACTATTCGGGCGAAAGCTGGAAAATCAATGACTTCGGCACGGCTCGAATATCTACGATAGTCTCCGGACAAGATAGTAGAATGCATCGCGACGATAACTCTGCCGACCCTAGCGGCGTCGATATGGAGTACGGGGCTCCAGACCAAGAGATTTCTGGGATTGGCGGCCGCTCACGACCGTACGATATCTGGGCGTTTGGTTGCATAATCCTCGAAGTTCTGGTTTGGATCTTTTACGAGGAGGAGCATTCGGTCGGGACCTTTGGCTACGCGCGTTGGATGGACGGCGTGGAATCCGGGAGCATCAAGCATTCTGGTTCAAAGATCCCACTACAGGAGACATCGAGCTCCGACCAGCTGTGGTGGAACGACTCAAATTTCTAGAGATTGTGACGCGCCAATGGGGAGTCTTCCACGACCTGCTAGAGCTTGTGACGCATATGTTGTCCCTCGTAACGGCCAAGAACGGGAAGGGGAGGGAACAGGAGATTCGACCCAACGCTACCAGCGTTCTCACGAAACTCACCGAGCTTCATGATGAGGTGAATCAGAACCCGAACCATTACAAGGAGTTAGATGAAAGATCAGACGGAGAGAGACGCCGGATTGTTCGAGCTCCATCCAACAGCTTTTACCACTCAAGAAATTCGTCCCGCAGCGGCGTAGGAGGATCACCTACGAACCTAGCTGTGTCCGAGGCTTTGAACACTCCTCGAGAAGGATCACGACGGCTTTCAGTCTCGTCGCGAGTCAGAGAGCAATTCCAAAGTGAAGGCCAGTTTTCCAGTAGCTCTGAAACTTGGCAACAAGGCCCCCACGGTCGCCATCAGCGCGCTGAATCGTCACCAGCGCTTCTCGCACCAACAATATCCATCACTCAATCTGATGACGACGAGGACCCTCTCGAGTCGCCTTCGTACCAGACTGCAGCGGACATGGACCCTGCGGCTTCACCCAGGCAGACAATGCGTCCGTCGGAGTATAGAAGTTGAGGAGCGAGGGTCACATGAGAGCAGAGTGATATCGTGCCGATAATCAAGGCCGTCGGGCGTCGACGGCCTCGGTGTAGTTGCATACAATGCGAGCCTTTCCTGTACTTGAGGATTCTGTATCTGAAGTTGGCAAAGTTTCTAAACTATTGTTGTGTGATGAGGGCGAGGCGTCGACAAGGCGAACTAGGTGGTTCCGCAATGTGGCGTTCCTTGGCGCTGTTAGCTTGCAGTGGTTGCGCCTGCCAGTGCTGCACCTTGCCATGTAACCTGTTGTGCCATGGTCTGAGTAGTGGCAGCGCAGTTCAGACCATGTTGATCTGCTCAAACTTCTCCAGAGCGCCAGCCTCAGCTGGGCATGTTGCCTGCCACTCCGTAGCGACATGCTTCCGTCAACGGCATGTCTATTGCCTCCGAAGTCAAAGGCTTGCGCAAGCTGTATGACCGTGCCGAGTCGGCGCGTGAACATCTCGATCGGCGGATCGATGGCCTCTTCATTCAAGAGCATACCGTACAGCCTCTGGTGAGAGCTGTGAAGAGACAGCACGATGGAGATGGCAAGCAAGATCAACCTCCCATAAGTGGAGCGTATGGGTGTGCTTCCACGCCGCCCGGGGTACGAAGCGTGCGAAACCTCACAGAAGATGCTCAAAAACCCAACGACGGTCCCAAAGTGGTATTCGTGGATATCTCGACGGGTGCGGATATCGATCAGTATCTGCAACATGCGAATGGTCTGCGAGCTTTCTTCATCCGCAAGAGGAACTCGAGCAGACCCTTGGCTGTGACTGATGCCCTCTTCAATGCCATCCTCGACGGCCTTGATGCGGCTCCCCAATTCCGAGACCAGATATTGTTCATGGGTAAAAGAGATCCCGAGTACAATACCGACACCGAACTGGAAATGGCCTTCCTCCGGCTAAGTGCATAAGAGCCACAGACTCCAATGCACAAGAGGATCACTTGGTCCTGATGTGTGGTATTCGCTACGTAGGCCTCAACGAGAATGAGTTCGCAAAGTCACCGACTGACAAATGGTCTTCAAGGCAGTCAGCTATCTACTGCTCGTATCACCCACGGAGTCAAGCCACTGATTGGATACTACTCTCTATGTCCCGAGACAGCGAGCAGACATTGATTGATCTTTGGAGCAGTGAAGATTACGCCAAAACAGCACCGCCATATCGCGTTGTCTATGCTCTATTCAGCATCGCAGTGAAGAAGTGGAGATTCTTTCTCGCAGACTTTGCAGCCGAAGTCGCGCAGCATGAAGTAGAAATCGAAGGTATGTCGCCTGATGACACTGGGCCACTGCCGCTCGCCAATCCGATGAAACGAAAGGCGCTGTTGTCGCTAGAGACCAAACTTCTCTCATCTCGCCTTGCAATTCAAGCCACGCGGAGCGATCTCAGTTACTATAGGGATACCTGCTACAAGAGCAGAGAATTCTTCGGTGAAGGCATGCTGGAGGACCATGAACGCCTGGCTGTCGCCTTCGAAAACTTGATCAGAGATTTGGATATCGACTTGCTGCGTACAGAACATGTCCAAGCAAAACTTCGAGCGATCACCAGTATTGTTGCTAGCTTCCTTGAGCTGCACAATGGCTACATTTTACAGCGTCTCGGTGAAGAATCGAGACGTGAAAATCAGACGATGCGGTTGCTCAATCAGGACATGCGCGACATGGCAAAGACCAATGCACAAGACTCGGCCAAAATCACGGTGCTGACTATCTTGACTTTGGTATATTTACCCCTGACAGTGGTGTCGAACTTTTTCTCAACTTCATTTGTTGGCATATCACCTTCTTCCGACTCAATCTACGTCACAGATGATTGGTGGCTCTTGCTGGTCACGACTCTGCCGTTGACTGTGGTAACATTGTACGTGTGGAAGGTGTGGTCTGACTTCAAGGCGGACAAACTGTATCCACCCTGGTGGCCGAAGAGGTTTCGCAAAACCGAGGCAGTGCCTCGACACCCACTGATGACCGTTCATGCTCCGCATGCTGTTCGAACAGACACTTTTGGCAGCGCAGATTATACCACCTTACCATAGACGATGCAATCAAGAAGCTGCTACAATTGCAGGGCCCAGCGCACTTCGCGACGCCTAGGTAGAATACCAAGAGTTACCTTCGGCGCCCGCCACACTTATTGGCAGGACATACATTGTAACGTCTAAATCCCTTTTAGACAGCGTTTGACCAAGTACTTGCGCTTCCTGTGGTGCCCAAGGTTGATTCCAGGCAGAAGACCCATCTCGTGATCTGCTAGATCATCCAATCAAAGCAGGACACGCAGGTGAGCCAGCAGACGTTCATTGGACGTTCGAAAGCTCGGCCGCTGCCTGCATGCACAGCGCCTGACTGCGCAGATCGCCTCGAGCACAGCCCGGCGCGTCGCTACATATGAAACACTGTGAGGTCTGGAAGTCTTTCATACATACTGTCCGTCCGAACTTTGTGACTTGAAAAGCATCAAAGGCCTCTCTCACCATCTCTATCAAAGTCGCTCAGCGCTCTGTAAATGGCATCTCAAGTCTCTCTTCCTTACCATGAGTGGCCAGTGGGCGTCCAGCGTGTTCAATGGCCAGCAAGTGGGATATTCTACATCTTCAAACAAGACGGGTATGTTGATCCAAGACGACTGGAGCACTGGATGAATGCAATCTGGGGTAACAAGGCTCTGAGCAGAGTACGTCCTTCCACATACACACCCCATCCGTTGTTGATCAGCCTTCTATATCGGTATGGATGCTCTCCGTTAAGACATCTACACCGTCCCGAAGTCTGATAAGTCGAGTATGCTCAGCGCTAACCATCGAGCTTCAGGTTTATGGAGGTCGCATATACTGCAAATCGCCACGCAAGCCGAGCGAAGTAAGTGATGCTTAGCCGCTCTGCCTTTCAAGAGCCCTGGGCGAATGCAAGTCAGGTGGCGGCCAGTGACTGAACTGACGCCCCACGAACAGGCTGAGTATGAATGTTTGGACAAGAAGCAGGGAGTCAACTCAGTCTACGTCCCAGAACTGAGGAGGGATCTGGCTATGCCTGCCGGTATCTGAGGAGCGGCTCACGGCTCAGTCGTCTGACAGCGTTGAGGAGCCGAGGACATTGATTCCCTATCCTCGATCGAATTGATGAGCATTAGAGGCTGCTCTACAGCAGCGGTTGTGTTGGGCTGGGTGGCACAAGTTGCCCACATATCAATGCTTGAGTGCAGAGTAGGAACCACAATGCATGAGCATTCCAGTCTCTCGATTGTTCTGTGTATCATCGAGCATGATCGCACCCTTTGCCTGGGTGATACTTGGTATCTTCGGCGTAAATATCGACGTACATCAGTCTAGACGCTATCTATTCCTTGTATCACTCGACATGGCTGGTAAGCTACGGTAGCTTCCAATGTATCACTGCTCGAATCGATATTTGAGTACGACTGCGCGTTGACATGCACTATTGCTTGCGCAGATATCACACCGCTTCCTCAATTGGAAGTGCCCCAGGTATGGTAACGCTTCAAGCTCGGCGGGCTAGTGCATCCCCGACTACGCTCTCCTGCACCCCGGCCGCTTTCGCGCCGGCCACGCTAAGATACACCTCGCGGACCAGACCTGAAAAGGATCTTCTAACATCATGCCATTGATCGTGGCCAATACCATGTAGGAGCTCCGACATCGAACCGACAACGGACGGCCGACAGCTATGACGGCATTGCAACAGAGCGTCGTAATACCTACAATCTAAACTACTTAAACCCGTTGGCATATCGCCGCTGGTCGTCCGACTGCCTCACTGTAGCATCGCTTCACAGCAGAAACGCCACGGATACGACTTCTACTGGTCTTGCCATCTGCTCGCCGGGATATACTCTCTGAAAGATCCAGCAACTCGCAGCACGCCCCAGGACAACGCATTGGACCCAACATCCTCACCATGTCGCAAACCGACACCTCCTCCACAGGCCGCACCTGGGAGGTCTACATTCCCCACCTCAACAGCATACCCCCCGCCATGTCCGACCTCCTCGAGCACTACGCCCACGTCCCACCCGGGCCCAACCACCAGACCCAGATCGACCACGTCCTCGCCGTCCGCGATCCGGTGTACAAATCTAACCCGTATCCTTGCATCGGGCGCTTCCGCTTCCTGACGCTGGACTTGGCTACCCACTGCTTGTATAAGACTGACGTCCTCCCGCGCATGACCAGCACTTCTTCGCCGCCACAAATCTTTCTGGACCTAGGAACCTGCCTCAGCCAGGATATGCGGAAGCTCATCTACGACGGCGCCCCGCCCCTGCACTGCTACGGTGCCGACATCATCCCCGCGTACATTGATGCAGGGTATAAGTTGTTCAACGATGCAGAGCGGTTCCCCAGGGACACACAGTTCTTCTGCCCGATGGACATCTTCGACGAGGACCCGAGCAGCAATCCTCTGTTGAAGGGGTCGGGCGGGAAAGTGGATATCATTCATGCAACGGCATTCTTCCATTTATTCTCTTGGGACCAGCAGTTGGTGGTTGCGGCGCAGTGTCTGCGCTTGTTACGGAAGCAAGGACGACAAGAGGACGAGGGCTGCCTCATCCTAGGCAAGCAAGTCGGCTACGTCGAAGCCCAAGAGTCGCAGCGCAGGGACAACCCGGAGCTGAAGTCCTTCCGGCATAATGAAGCTAGTTGGCGGAAGCTGTGGGAGTCAGTGGTCAGAGAGGAGGAGTTCAGGGACGTGGTGAAGGAGATCAGGGTCGAGGTGCACAAGATGCATGAGCGGCATGAAGGGCTGCAGGCGGAGGATGGGAAGGGGGTTGCGGGTGGGCAGGCGAGTATGCCTAGTGGGTTTCGGTGGATGGAGTGGTCGGTAAGGGTGTGGTTCTGAACGGAGCGGGAGCGGAAAGTACTTGATCTCGCCTTTCGAACAAGTACAGCACAGTAGATGTGGGAGGGAAATGGCAGCTCTTGCCCTCGGTGCGCGCACGGTGTGAGACGAGGCAGCTACGAGTCTGTGACTAGCGATGGCATACGCAGGATCGAAGAGATCATTTCAGATTATCTCTTGAAGAACGAATGTATAGCGCGTGCTAGCATGGATGCATGGATCCTGGTCGTCTGAGACACTCACTTCGGCTGCCTCAATCATCATACACGCGTCGTCTCCCTGTTTATTCTGCCAGCTCCATCCCATCACCTCTGCTGGGGCACCCATCGACTACAGCTTGTCCCCTGCTGGTCTGAAGTCCTCCACAGTAATTTCTGGTGCCTATTCTCAAAGAGTGTAAAGGAAGTCAGGCCTCTTGTCACCCAACTTGTCGATTTCGGCCTCAGTCTTTCCCTCAACCCAGCTGTTCCTCTTCCCGGCCAGTCTCTTAGCGTTCTCGCGCCTCAAGAGCAGATGTTGGAGGATACTGCCGCCAAGCAGCCAGAGAGCCTCATAGGCAAGCACGACTGAATGTCCTGGCTTGAATCGAGGCTTGTCTTCGGCACGATAGATGTTGGAGGAAACCTAGCACACCTGTTAGAGACACTGTGTACCGGTGTACCGAGATGTGAAAAGTGGTGTCTCGCCCAATCTAGGATCTAAGGGAACATACTATGCCGTTGAGATTGCCCCATCCAATGACAAATCCCAAGCTGATACCGCGCTTGTAGACACCTTCGACGTTGTTGGCGGTCCAGGAGATCTGGACATTTCGTTAGCGTTGTGTCGGGCATGTGGTGAATGCTTCGAAGCAGGAATGCAGGAGTCTGAAAATCCAAGACATGTACTCCGTCACATGGATAGTAGTGGTCCTCATCCGATGTAGAAACGCACCTGGCAGGGAGACTTACGGTATTGGGAATGCACGGATAGATGCCCATGGCTCCGAGAAAAGTGCCTGCGTATTGCACGTGCGGGTCGCCAGAGCCGAGCAACATGGCAAAGCCAATGATGCCAAACAGGGACATGAACATGTTGCAGTAGCCTATGCCCTGTCAGCATGGGTGCAGAAGCTCATAAACCATGGTCTCACCTCTTTTGCCAGTGCGATCAGCGATGTAGCTACTGTGATTGTTGCGACAGCTGCGACCGCGTAAGGCGGTACACTATGCGTTGTTAGTTATCCTCACGGAAAATTCGAACGAGTGGCTCAGACTGCATGCCTAGCAACGACCTGCTAAGCCCCCGTACCCGGGCATCTGCATTACGTACCTCAGTAGTTGAGCATGCGTATTTTTGTAACCCATCTGTTGAATGATGGTGGGAAGAAAGAGCGAAAACGCATACAAAGCGCCATCACAGCCCATGTAGCTAGTCTCTGTCAGTCCAAGAGCCGGCAGGGGAACGACTAACGCACATCACCATCCCAGTATAAGTCTTCCAGTCACGCAGAGACGCCCACAGATAGTCCAGCTTAAATTCTTCGTGCTCAGCAGACGACTGCTGGTCGAGCTTCAGACGGCGGATAACGCGGCGGCGGTCGTCCTCGGTCAAGAAGGTTGCCTCGTCGGGGAAGTCGTGAACCATCCAAAAAGAGAGGAACGCGATCACTATTGTAGCCAGTCCCTCGAGAATGAAGATCCATGCCCAGCCGGGTTTGCCTCCGACTCCGTCCATATTGGCGATCGCCGCTGCACTGGAATCGAAGTCAGCTTGAGTTGGGATATTAGTGAGAAGTGAGGAACTGAGTTGGAGGGATTTATGCAACAGGAATACGAGATGAGGACATCAGGGCGGACTCTGAGCCTCCAGGCCCTCTTGACACTCGGAATTCGCATCCTAAAATTTCTTACAGGAGACCACCGAACGATCCGGCAAGCGCTGCGGCTGAGAAGAAGATCGCAGCGCGTATGCCGAACTCGGATCGCTTATACCAGCAAGATAGAAAGTAGTTGACCCTGGTGTATCTGTCAGAATGCACATGGATGGGGGGGACCATCATCGGGAGACTGCTGTCTCGCCCGATCCAGGGGCTTGGGAATACGTACCCAGGAAACAGACCTGCCTCAGTAAGGCCAAGAAAGAAGCGTACTGTGAGCAGTCCGCCATAATCGTGGACCAAGCCCATAGTCGTCATGCAAATACCCCATAGTATCATCGTGACCGGTAGAAAAATGCTAGGTCGGAACTTCTTGAGGAGAATCTGGGTCAATGGTTCTGAGAGAGCATATGAAATGAAGAATATTGTCAACGTGTTGTTGTACTGGTTGTTGGACATCTTGAGATCCTGTTGGAGTCCTTCGATCTTTGCGTTGCCGATATTCGTTCGATCCAAGAAACTGATAAGATAGAGCAGGCAAAGCCATGGGATGAGTCTGACATCGAGTTTCCATAACAGAGCTCTGTCGAGTTTCTTGCGCTCCTCTTCGCTCAGTCCTGCATCCGGATCAGGGACCTCTTCGTTGAGCTGTGCGATGCCATCGGGAGGCCTCTGGTCCAAGTTCTTCTCGTGGTCAGAAGGCGATTGGTCGCTGCTAGAATCTTGTGTAGTGGTGGGCTTGTCCATCGCGATTATGGTTGACAAAACGTTGCTGGAGAGCGAGCACATGCGAGTGAGTAGAGGTCAGCAATTTATGAGGGCAGAGCTCGCTTGCAGGACGAGCATTTCCGAGGTTCTTCGTCATCACTTAAAGACACGGACTCGGTGGCACGGCCATTGACACCGGTATTCGCGGACACACTAGACGGCAGTGACGCGGGGAGTGAAACTGGGCGCCAGTCAGCAGACGCGCCAGCAGCAAATGCCATTGCTCCAGACTGGGGTAATCATAACCACCTGCCGGATGCGCATCGTTTCTGACGGAGTAGTGGAAGAAGCGACCAGTGAGGGACAAGTCTTTATCTGCCTACTCAAGTGCTGATGGCGGGAGTTGGAGATGGCCCCTGTCCGCCAAGGCAATCATTAATCAAGAAGCCCAAGCTTCGGCGGCAAGCTTTGCCGGGAAAGGGGGGGTCAGCCACTGACTTAAAGTAACACGAGACGTCGTGTCCGGGCTGGGTTGCTTCATAGATCAGATACCCAGATTTTCTTGATACTCGATAATTGAGAAGGCCTCCAGCTGTCAGCAATCCAGTGTTGTCATCGTTATCTGTGTCGTGGCTCTGTGGCTGGTGACGCTTCATATCCTGGAATTATGTTAGCTCGAGATTTAAAGGCGGCGCAATAGGCAGGCCACGAGGAACGACGATGGATGAGATGGACGCGGAGTGGGTAAGTCGGCAGGCGCGACTTTGCCGGAATGAGTGAGCAACGACGACAGCATCAGCAGACCATCTAGGTAGATGCAGCTTTGGAAGGTAGGCAGGTAGGTACGTGATCAGAAGGAAGTCATAGGCAGGCGTTCCTGCCAAATCAAGCACTCGCTGTGGTCGGCAACGATCTCTTCTCTCATCAAATTTAGATTGAAACGCATCTACACATCGCTCGCACAGAACAATCACTGCATTGATCCAGCTGCATCACATCGTCTCAAGCCAGTGTATTAGCCATGGGCACACTCATCTCACCCAAATATCCGTCGATGGAGCGGCAGGACCTAACTCAAGGCCAGCTCGGTAGCTTCAAGTTCACACCTGTTGATATTGAGCATGAGCAACGCAACAATATCTTCGGAGAAACGCCGATGCTGTGGCAAGCACAAGCCAAGCTTAGAGCACGTCTCGAACAGCAACCGGCTCTGGAGGGCGTCGCATGGGACAACGAGTATCCTCGCAAGAAGAATAATAGGTTTGATAGGACGAAAGGGTCGCCCTACGGGCCTCTCTCTCACGCAAGCCCCAGATTCATCAATGACTACATAAGTTCAGGCACTGAGGACACAGGAGTCAAAATGGACGTTGTTGAGTCGCGCTCATCCTTGAATTGCAACAGTCCTGAGCGTCTTCACTACGTTCACCAAGCCAATGTAAGTCATTCACTACTGCAGAAAATACCTGAGACTAGTTAATTGACCTCGTCCCAGTATCCTCCTTTCTACCCTTCTCAACCTCGTTCACACCTCCTGAGATCGGCAATGAATCCCGAAGCCAGTGCCTTCGATCCGAGTACGGCCTCATCAGACTCCGGTCGTGAACACGAGGATAACTACAGACTCTTCAATAGCAGTCTCTGTCGGGCTCTTCAAGCCGAGCAACAAGCGCACGAAGAGGCTCTCGAGCAAGTGGACAATGTCCTAGCCAAACTCCACACTCTCGAGATTCAGTTCAAGACGGTAGTCTCTGACAACAAGAGCCTTGCAGCCACGATCAAAGCGCTGTCAGCCATTGTCAAGCACAACGAAAAGAAGATCAAGGAACTTGAAGATCGTGAGGCAGCTCATTTGGCAGGCCACAGTGACAAAAGCGGCTCGATGAATGGCAATGTGAACACTGCAGCGATGAGCACCGGCCTTGAGACCGCTACGAAGAACCTTCCCAATGACCTGCGCGGTTCCGACCCCAGCTTCGACTACGATCAAGCCTCGCCTCTTGTCAAGCAAGTCAGTCCAGGGTCAGACCACTCCCGTATCTTCGACCTCAATCTTCTCGACACACGAAGCTCAAGCAATCCGCAGACTGCAAACCTGAGTAGAGCTCTGCGCAAGCACTTCTCTGTCGACGAGACTTCCTCTGTGAGCTCGACTTCTGTCAATATTACTGTCGACAACGAGCAGAATGCTGACGAATTGATTCACGTCTCTCCTCAGAAGCCGAAGACAGTGTCACAGTTGCAGGCCGATGTGAGCAACACACTTGCTGCTGAGCCTGTGTCGACCCCAAGCCAATCTACCATGGCAAAGGCGGCTGGCAAACTATTGTCCACCGACAAGCTATGGTCCGCCGACAACGAGATGCCAAAGCTTCCTGCTGCGTTCCTCAACACGTACACTCCTAAGAGGAAGGCTGCACCTGTTCCGCAGGAGCAGACGGAAATGACGGCTCTACCCGATCCATCCCCAAAGAGCAGCGGTCCTGTTACTGTCAAAGTCGCTGCTCCGCTCAGCCTGTCCATTCATTGGAAAGTGACCAAAGAGAACCCGATCTTCGACGACGAGCGCGACTGGACTGTCGGATTCAATTCGCAGCCCTATCAGCGCAACCCTTCCCTCGATGTCTTCTGGAAGCACCCTGTCCGCTTCATGGAGTATGGCGATAACGACAAGAACATCTTCCGCACTGTCATGGTTGATTACATCCCAAAGGATGCTACGTATCAGGACGTTCTGGAACACATCTATGGTGGATCACTGGAGAAGGTTGAACTTGTCCCTGCCGTCGGTCGCGAATCCGAGCACAAGACTGCTCGTCTTGTCTTCAACACCGAGCTTGGTGCAAGCACTACCGCCAACTTTGCCCGCGACTACGGCATTAAGATCAAAGGATACCCTGTGCGGGTCTGGCAAGTCCTCACACCTACCTATCCCAAGAACAACCAACTGGATCGAGAAGTCTTCGAAGACGCCTACACGCGCATCTTGATGATCGACAAGGTCAGCGAACAAGCCGTGAACTCGCTCCCAGTCAAATTGGCTACCTACAAGAATCAGATCGTTGAGATTAGGTACACTTTCGATCACTTTCCGATGGTCGAATTCACCAGCGTCGCGGCAGCTACTAACGCCTATCGTCATCTCGTACGGGATCCTCTCTTCGCTGGCGCTGAATTCGACTTCGATCACGACTACTGTGGTGAGCCATATCCATTTGCGTATACTTGATGGCCAATCGTCTGTTGTCATTGTTTGGGCGTCAAGCCGTGTACTTTTAAATGTTTGTTTGCACTTGTCCTCTCATTGGCAGAGATCAACACTGACATTGTGCACAGATGGGCGTGGTCTCGACGAGGTCGCCTTGAAGGATCTCTGGGGTCCGGAACCCACGTCTCAGCCAGCAACGGAATGAGCATCATCAACGACAGACACAATACGTGTGGAGTGCTGTGCGTGGCCGGCGCAATTTGAGGCGAGCATAGATGGGTGGAGTGGTTAGCTCCAATGCTGAGACCACAATGGCTTGCTCAACGTGCTCAATGCAATAAGTAGGACTCACGATGATCAATAGCCACACCGCATAGAGATAGAGAAAGTCTAAGACAGACAAATGATTCAATCGCTTCATGGACAACGTAAGCTCCAGCCAACAATGGCGGGCTATTCGCATGCTGGCTATCGTGCTTTGCTTTACTATGCTGTGCTCGCGCTCGTGCTCGTGATCGTGGTCGTGTTCGTGTCCCTGTATAACTAGGTATACATCCTAGAACTTCACTTTGACCATTGCCTCGTTTGGGTAAGTCAAGCACCCGGCTCGTGCAATCCACCATTCATTTACCTTTCAATCGCAACTGACGCGTCCTCACAGCGCTCCTAGAAGCCTGCCGATAGCAGCATTCTCCAGGTCGTAGAGCAGATCTTTCAGCCAAAATGATAAAGCGTCTCACCCTTCGCCCTGCCCTTGCCCTTGCCCTTGGCTTTCCCTTGCACTACACCACCACCACCAACGTCCCCTTGCGCCACTCCGCCATTGACAGCTCCACCAGCGAAAGCATCGCTAACAGCAGCAGCCGCCTGCGCCGGCGTCGGGCCTTTGCCCCACACACTATTCATAGCCGCAGGCGTGCTCGTCCCGGAGTTCCTGGCAGAAGAATTCGTCGAGCGGACATAGCCGCGCGTATTGAAGCCGGAGATCATCGTGTTCAGGGGTTTTGTGGAGGTTGGCAGGGAGGGGAAGGCGTCGGCCGTGCGGACTGGTGCTGGGCCTGGTTTGGTGTTTGTTCGGGACCCTGTTGTTGATGGGGTCGGGGTGGATGTTGTGGGTCGAGCGGAGGCGGTCGATGAGGACGTGTTGGCCCAGTTGAAGGTATGTGGTTTGGCTGCGCTGCGGGTTGATGTTGGTAAAGAGGGGAAGGCATCGCCACCGACAGGGTTGAGGCCTGGGACGCCGCGTTGGCGGGGTGCCGCGGCGCTGGAGATGCCGCTCCAGGACGCTTGACGCGCTTGTGATGACCGGGAGGATTGTGCTGTGCTGGACTTTAGCTTCAGTACACGTCTCCCGCTGCCGACGTTGACGCCCAGGCCACCGTTCGGGTTGTCTGCTTCGGCCGCACCTTGTGGGAGCGGTAGTGAGGGGTAGTCCTCGTTGATGCTCCGCCAGCTGCTCCACGCTGAGAGTAGGTCAGTCTTTTTGGCTTCATTCTCGTACAGGTCTGCGAGCTCGCGAATCAGGATGCCGAGCTCGTTGGCGCTGCAGTCGAAGAGGGAGAAGAAGGCGTCGATCAGGTCAGCGGCGGAGATGGCTGAAGTGCGGTAGGAGGAGACGTTGGTGCGGAATTGGGAGAGTTTTGTGGCGTCGTTGCCGAGGAGATTGGAGGCTCGTTCGGTTACGGTGGCGTGGCGGAGGGTGCGGGCTCGGTCGGCTGGTGTGGCTGTCGAGGGGTCGATGGTGAGCGTGTCTAGTGCTGGTAGGTCTTGTGGTGTTGGCTGTGGACGAGTCTGCTGTTGGGTGGGCTGTGGACGAGGTGTTGGCGCAGACTGGGTCAACTGGCCACCGAAAGTGCGTGGTGCGACTGTCTGGCTGGTTTGAATAGCCATTACTCGCTGGTAGGCAAGTTCTGCTCGAGTCATTGGCTGAGCGCTGGACACTGGTAGTGGCTCGGCGTTGGGATCTCGTCCCCGCCCGCCGCCACCTCGGCGATTCCGTTCAGGTTGATAAGGTGTCCGCACGTTGTCGAAGCTGGACAAATTGACCATGCGGGCGTCTCGTCTCACATCCTTGGACTGCGAACCAGCATGCTCAGACAGCTGGTGTGCCTTCAGATCCATCTCTGACTCGAAGACGTTGGTCTTATTTGCTTGACACTCAGGGTCGAGACAGACGAAATGATCGGACGCAAAGTGCTTCTCGAGCTCCTGATAGTTGAGGTAGTATTGTGGATTCCGTCCGCCATTCCGTCGATCGCAGATGTGGCATCGCTCGTGCTTCTCACGACAGTGCGTGTAGAGTTCGTCGTCACCATAGAAGCGTTCTTTGCAGAAGCCACATTCAGGATGTCCCTTGAAGCCAGTCTGATCAACTGCGCCGGGCTTGTCGTCACCCCGAGTCTCGTGTCTCCGCAGTTCGGCAAATGTGAACATCTCATGTTCGTGAGCAAAGACCTTCTTATGGCGTATACAGAGATCACACATGAGCTTGCCGTGCTTCCCTCTGACGTGTTTCGTGAGGTGCGGCCAGGAGTGGCACGCCATGTCGCATGTTTGATCAGGGCAGTTGTATCGTAGCAGGAGGATTGTGTCCTCCACGATCGACTGCTTCTCAAATTTGATCCCAAGGTTCTCGTCTATCTTGACGAAGTCGCTGTCTTTGAAATCCTGGAATGGCTTCTCGGTACTGTCCGTGAAGATCGTAAATGGTGCCTCTGTGCGGCAATGGGGGCATGCTCTCGACTTGTAGAGAGCTCTCATGCGTAGAGCACAGATATGACAGGTCTGGTGATTGCAGGGATTGATAGCCGTGTGCTCAATGGGACTGGCGCAGATGAAGCATACCTCTGCGTCGTCTGGCTGTCCATCTGCTGGTGCTGTCTCTGCGTCGTTGGGCGCAGGAGTGCCTTTTTCTGTGGGGGCAGCATCGGTCAGGCGTGCTACCGAAGCTGCCCCAGGCGGTCTTCCAGAGCTCTGGTCTGCGGGTGTTTCTGGAGGAGGTCCTCTGTGACCACCTCTTCCTCGCCCTCTGCTTCCTGATCCCCGCGGCCCTCGTCCTCGGCCTCGTCCACGACCGCGTGGACTTTGTGGTGCTGAGTCTCCCGTTGGCTCCATATGGTTATTTGAGAGGTGCGTCGGGGTATTTGGGTCTTCCAGCGTCAGAACCAGCTGCGGTGTGATTGTGTTTGACGTAACCAACGGATCTGGTGGGGTGGTCCGATCAAACCTGACACTTCCATGCGCTGACCAGAGTTCTGTTCTCGAGGTTTGTATGTTACGGTGTCGAAGTGCAGACGAGCTCCTATGGGACCACGGCGTTAGGATTCAAGTGAGCTGTGTTGGAAGGGTGCTTTGGGTCAAGTCCCTCAGACTTTCTTTGTACGCAGTCGAATTTGTTCAGATCGGCAAGTGACGTCGTGAGCGACCAAAGTTCCGCCGTCTTGGCAGGTACGCCTACTTCTTTCGTGAGTCACCACTGTTGACTGATCTATTCTCAGTGCAAGGTGACTCTACTACGGGTGTCCTCCGTGCGTCAGAGTATATGCTTCGGTCACTTGAAGCTAGAGAACAAAACATGGAGTTTGGTGGGGGCATCTTTTGCTTTCTACGAATTTGGTAAGCATTGGTGGCAAAGTGAGCCAATATACATCCAACTGCCTGCTCTCTCTTCGTGTTTGACTTCGCTGCATGCGACCTGATGAAGAGCTCCTGCTACGACAGAGGCTTCCCTGAGTTCTAGCAGAGTCTCGCCCGCGAATGCATCCGCTGTCTCCTCGACATCAGTCCATGAGCGACCAAGGCTCTATTCGGAGTCTGAGGCTTCCTGTAGCCGGCCCTCGTCTCTTGCCTGCTCCACAGGATTCTTGACATCCATGACTCCTGTAGCCTTGAGTCTCTCGAATAGAACGAACAGCCTTTCTGCCTCGCGCTCCTTCTCCTCCTTACTCATTTTGGGCTGAGGAATGTCTGGTTCTTTGTCGAGGCGCTGACCGGTCACCGGGTTGATCGGCGTCGACCCGGGACTCGCACCCTTCGCGTTTTCTGGGATCGGAATCTTATGTGTCATCAGGTAGCCTGCAGCATAGCCATACCCGACGTTCTGGACATACTTGTGGGCGTCTTTGTCGGAAAGCTCGAAAAGTAAGGATGAGACAGCTTCTGGAAGATGGGTCAAGCCAGGACCTGTGACGAGCTTCAGTAGACGTGACGCCAACGTCGATGACTGCCCCAGCGGAAGATCGCGTTCGTTGTCGCTAGGAAGTAGACTTTGTTTCAGCTTCGTTCGCATACTCTGACCTGCTAATGCGTTGACTCGGCGGAGAATAGTGAGCAACGAGATGAGCTGAGTGTCCAGCTGTGACGCGGTGTACGAAACCAAAGCCTTGTCCAGTATCGAGACTAACTTGTCAACAGCGGCTGGCAGGATGCCCACGTCTGGCAAGTATCTGGAAGCAGCGATTGTAGCATCTTCGCCTTCGCCAGCATCAATGCAAGCTATCGCATTGAGCAGATAGGTCAGGGGTGGCTGCAAAGGTGGATTCGGGACCTGCGCCTTCTCAAGCATTGCGTACAGCACAGGTACTGCCACTGTAAAGCTCTGGCTGCATTGAGGAACAAGATTGACAATGTTGAAGATCAATTTCAGCGTCTCTGACAGAGCCATCGATGTCATGCCTGCACCCACAAGAGACTCACTCATCGACTCATGACGCCGCAGCTGGGAACAGACCTTGCCGGCTAGACCATTGTCTTTTACAATCTGCGCCATATTCGCCGACGCATTGTAAGTCATTAGAAACAAGATCCTGGCACCTAGAAACTCATCGTCGTCTTCAGGCGTATCGTAGTAGTCGGCGACCGACGGAAGCCTGGCACTCTTCGCAAGCGCATCCTGTGTGGATGGGACCAAGATCAGTGCATTTGCCAAGCATCGTAGAGCTTCACGCTGCACGGCCTTCGGAAAGGCTCCCAGGCCGTAATGCAGGAAGAGCGAGACTGTCTGCCCGTCATAGATGCCTTTGATACTGTTCACATCGCGGCCGAGAGCCTTAAGCTCGGCCAGTGTCTGCTCGCGTTGGTCATCGGTCAACGTCTTCTGCTCATGATCATTCTTGAGCGCCGCGAGAAGTGCTTTCACCGCGGAACCACCCTTTGATTGGGCGGTCTGCATGTTCTCGTCGTTGGAATGAGTGAGCGAGATGTAGGACTCATACTTTAATCTTCGCGTTTCCCGTACGATGAGGACCGGTGTGGTGGTCGATGATATTGAAACATCAGAGGAGTGTACAAGAAACAGAAACGCGGCCAGGCGGCTTTCAGCCCAGGCCCCATCAATTAGAGAGAATTGGGCCTAGCTCGAGATTGACTTTCACGCGTCGTCGCGCGTGCGGAGGAGTCGCGATTGACTTGATGAATGCTAGAGGCCTCTACTTGATATATGACATTCTGCCCTCAGCATAGCGATTCTTGCATGTTTTCTGCGTGTTCGGCGTTTGTTGCATGCTGGCTCATGCCTTCCCATCTGCAGCACACAAAGAATGCATAAGCTGCGACCAGCAACATAACCATGTCTGTCGTGGCACTCCCACTCTCACCACCCGGAACCTCGTCTCGGAAGGAGCGAGTGGCTGCTTTCTCGATCCCACCAACGAGCACTCCAGATGACTCGCCCGCATCGACAGGCCCTCCTTCCAGTCTCGGTCTGAGAAAGAAGGTGAATTTCTCACCCTGGGCAAATGAACATCATCCTGTCAAAATCGTGGACGGCGTGGTCGACACGGAAGTCCGAGTCCTTCCTCCGTCCCGCGAATGTGCTGCGTCACACAAATCAATACTGAAGGCAAATGTCCAGGAGAATGGGTCAAGAGGTGGCCAAGACGGGCCGTCGGACGAGCCACAGTCGGTAGCAGAAGCCATGGAGTCAATCGTCCAACAACTGATCAGGAATGATCACGTCGAGTGCGTCGATGCGTACCAAACCCTCACGGCTGCGGTCAAAGCCTACGATGATTTACCAGAGCAGACTGTTCTGCGGAGTCAATTGCATCTGATCACCAAGGCAATGAAGCAGCATCTCACTGTGCTAGACAGATCTGACTACCAGCCTTCCGATATCAATCTGGTCACGTCGGCTCTGAAGGTTCTCGTCATACTGGTCTGGAACTCAGATTTCTCACCCCATCTGAGTGACACTTCAGACTCTTTGCACTCGACCGAGCCATATCCACAATCGTCGAGCATCGAGCACCCAAAGCAGTCATCGTCCACTATCTTCATTTTCTGGCCACGCAGGAATTCCGCCACAGTCTCCTAACCCAGAGCCGGGCAACTCGTCTCATGGAAGGCTTAAGCACTCTGTCAGAATATATAACAGGGAATGGTGTGGTGTCCGAGCGTTTACTGGTCTACTCACGACTTCTCGAACAGGCGAAGGGAGTGATGAAGTCAAAAGCTGCCATATGGATAGATCACATGCTCTCCGCAATGATCTCAACGATTGCCGATACTAGAAACAAAGCCCTGGCACTCGGTAGGAAGGCTTGCCAGTGCTTTCCACCGTCGCAGTCCATCGCTGGAGCAGTCAAAAGCGTTCTGGATAGCCCTCACGATGAAAAGCACACCAAGGGATCGCACGTCTGCGCGAAGCTAACGAAACTGGTCAAGAACCGAGACCAATTGGACTCTGTACCTCAGATGTGGGCTGTAATCATATTGTTGTGCAACTCATCGTCTGTCAGCATAGTCTCTTGGTCAGGTTTGACAAGCTGGCTGCAGCTGATCCAGTTATGCTTCAATGGCAGCGACCCGACTCTGCGAACACAGGCTAATCTTGCTTGGAATCGATTCATTTACGTTGCTCGACCCCACGAAGGCTCGAATGAGAAACTCACAGCGCTGCTGGCGAAACCCGTCATTGCTCAGCTTGAACGGAACCCACACGACACCAAAGCCAAGATTACGTCCTCAGCAGCAACGTCAACGTACTGCAATCTGCTGTACTATGCCATGAGACCGACTGTTGCACCTCAACGTTTGAACAAGCTATGGGACGAGTACATCGTGAAGGTCATGCGGACGTCGTTCCTGCTCAACGCCTCAAATGCAGATATGGCCTGTCGAATCCTGATGTCCTTGTTCTGGAACTGGAAACCAACGCAAAAGTTGTGGACCGAGAATCGCGCGCACGAAAATCGTCTCATGGACCCGGATGAACTGCCTACACTTGACTGCAAATGGGTCAGAAGCAGAGCCGTGCCAATCACGAAGTTGTTCGCTGCCCTCTTCAAGCACTGTTCATGGGGCCGTGCGGACTCGGTGGACCAAGCATATGTCTCAAAAGCGTGGCGCTCCTTTGTCAAGTCCGTTCGAAGTGCCAGCGTCAAGGAGATCAAGATGACTACAGAATCTCGCACATCGATCGCTGCAATACTTGACTTTGTCGACAAGCTGTCTACAGACTCGTTCAAGCAGGATGGAGATACTGATGGCGATCAAACAATTCTGGTCCACGAAGTCCTATCGAGTCTCTATCGGACCACCACGGCTGAGCTACATGTTTCGGCTATCCTCGAGGTGCTAGAAGCTGATTCAAAGGCGCAGTCCACTCCAGTTCTGTATGCGCTAATTGCTGAGATGCAGCGAAGCACACCAACAATCGGCTCAACAGGGGCTCCGAAGCAGCACGTTGATAGTGTATTACGCCTGCTAGAAGTGCTCAATGCCGTGCTGATCGGCGCTCATGTCAATAGCATATACTCTGCAGATCTGCTGTGCAAGGGCTTGAGTCTGTTGATGCCTGAATATGCCGAAGATGGCCTGTCCAGGTTGGCCGCATCATTAGCCCTTAACGTTCGAGATGAGTCCCGTGCTCAACCATCGTCTGCAGCGAACCGACTTGCGCAGATTTTGACGAGAGCTCTGGGTAGTGTCGGGCCCCCAAACGTTGAGAAGCTCGATGCTGTGTTCGCAGCTGCCTTCGGGTCGGTTCACAGAACGATTGTGAGTTCGGTGTCAGATCTTTGGAACAATAAGTTTGGCGGCTGCGATGACCTGCACATCGGGCCGCTGTTAACGGACGCACTACAGCGTCTCCGACCATATGTGGAGCTTCGCATGCCGCCAGGCTGCATGGACAGCTGGACGGAGGTGCGTGACAGCATTCCATCCTATGAAACGCAGGACTCTATGCCTATCCAAGAGCTGAGAGGGAAGCAGGAGCCCCTGCTGGAGGGTGCGGCAGAAAAAGAGATCGTTGCTACCGTCGAGCAAGAACCGGCCAAGGACCTGAAGAAGATCAGCAGCGCAACGACCCGAGCCAAACCACGACACGCGGATTCTCAAGTCGCATTTGTGCCGATCGATTCATCACCACCCGCGGAAGTGGATTCTCAGCACTTGACAGAGCATCAGCGTGAGGTTCGCGATAAGCAGCGATCCGGGCCTGTTGTCGTGTTCGCAGATCTGCGTTCGAGTCCAAGACCGGCAAGCCGAGCACCATCCGAATCGAGGGATTGTGGTCTGGCTCGCAAAGCCGCTGGGTTGGCAGGACGTCCGAGCACGCCGCCCCTGCCTGATCAAGGTGATGAGCTTGAGATACAGCCTTCGCCGACCCCAAAATCCCGATATGCCCGCAACATAGCCGAAGTTGAGATACCATCCTCACCACCATCGATGCATGGCCACCAAGCACACAACGAATCATCAAACCAGCACGCAGTTCTACCAGCCAGGAACCTCGAGCAGGACAGCAACCACCACACAACTGCGCGGTCTGCCATGCTAACAGTACAGCCCGAGGAGGCGGTCTCGAAGCCTGACGAGATCGCAGGCAACAGGAGTCCACTCTTGGAAGCCATTGTTGACCATGCGATCGACAGTCCATTTGACACCCACGATGTCGATTCTTCTGAGGTCGTTCGTGGGACGGAAACGCCCCTTGTCGACGAGAACGCCGAAATGTATGAAGCTGAGGGGCACAAGATGGACGTTGACGAACAGCCACACCACCGTGCACAGTCCAGGGATACACCAGAGGTGCCTGAATCTGAGTCGGGAATAGCGGAGACTCCGAGGCACAAGCAAATGGCTCACGTGGCGGTCAGTCCAAAGACCGACCTTGGTGCACAAGCCGTCATCGCCGTTGCTACGTTCAAGGAAGCCGTGGCTGCAGTCGAAGCAGCCACAGTTCCTGAGGTGGAAGCAGTCAGCGATGATGAAGCCACTGGAGAGGTCCCGAGGGACATTGTCGCGCCAGAAACAGTAAAAGATCGTTCCCAGGGTCAGAATCCAAAGAATGCTAGCAGTGGAGCTGTTCTCACAACGCCTCAACGGCAGTCCAGCAGGATCGACAGCGTCCTGCAGCAGATGAGCGCATCTCAGCTGTCCAACGATCTTGACTGGTCTGTAGTGCTGGAGGGCCTCAATGACAGTCCTGTACCCTACGAAAACAGCCGCCTTGAGCTAGCCATACCTCTTGGACTTTCGCAGACCTCTCAAGGAGGGACCTCAAGCCGCAAAAGAAAGAGCTCTTCGAAAAAGAACTGGTCTCGCAGCAAGAAGAGGAAGACCCAAGAGACACAGTCAGCGTCAAGCAGGGAAAGCCAAGAATCATTTATCAAGACAGAAGCGGAGGAAGGTACCAAGGTGGCCGACGGGAACGAAAGCGATGGGTCGGACGTAATCGAGGTCATAGTACCATCGAGCTCACCTGAGCCAGGCCCTGAGCCTGAGGCGGATGCTGATGGAGATATGTTTGTTGATGCACCTGAGTCGCAGGACACGATCGTGAGGAAGCGTGGAAGGCCAGCAAGAGTCAGCGCAAGCAGTCTTCGGCGCAAGAAGACACCACCATCGTCGCAAGCAAGTCAACAGCCAGCTTCGGAAGGTACTCGTCGGAGTCGGCGGTCAATCTACTCTCAAGAGCTGGAGGATCCTCCACACCTTCAGCCCGAGGTGCAAGCGAGTGGCGAGACGGAGCATCCGGCTGAGGAACAGATGCGCGCCGACAATGAGGCCACAACTGCGACAGACGTGTCCACCCCGGCGCCTCAGCCAATCAACGTCTTGGAGTCGCTTCAGAAGACGCTTGACGCCGTGAAGAATGCTCCGGCAGGTTCGCTCGATCTGAGGGCTGTCGACGAGCTATGCTTCCAAATCCGCTTCCAGGCGCAGCTGAGAGGAGCAGCGGCAGGCGGTCAGTCGTAGGAACGAGGGACGCAATGTGTTGACCGCGGAGGCGCTGGCAAAGAGCAGGCGGGTTGGCATGAGTAGAACGAGTGATCTACAAGCGAGTGCTCTTATGCAGACGTAGACGCAGGTAACCGAGATAGATGCAGCGTTTGCTGCAATGAGGCACGCAGTCAAAATCCCGTGATTGCTGAGCATACTATGATAGAACGGAAGTAGGGGTAATAGTAGTCTCAAGTCACCGGCGTGATAAGAGCCGGCCCGACTGTGCCTTTCGCATCTTGTCAACCGGCGTGAGGTGTGAACGAAGCGACCCGCGAAACGACGAGGATCCCTCGAGCCGCCGAGGCCATTCCCATACACGCTCGATGTTATCTTCAATGTTCCATCAGAGGAGTCCGGACTTGAACTCACAAGTTTTGGCGTCCTCTCAGTAACGGCAGAGCTCATAAGTGAATGGCTAAGTACATACTTGATGTCAGTGACTGATCATGGTTTGGATATACATGCAACACGTCTCATCTCGCACTTCTTCACCAATGATGAAGTCTCCGGCCACTGGACATGTTGCATGCATTGGCTACCAAGACGCTCGCGACGGATGTCAAAATCGTGGCTGTCTATTGCGACACATAAACGAGCGCCCCAGGCTCGGTCAGAGTCGTAAACTAGAAGCATCACAGACCAAGTCTCAGTCACGACAGTTCATCAGATAGCCTGACGAAATCCGAAGCTGTCCCCAGGTCGTCAACCAAGCTTACTCTTCATGTCGATTCTTCCGGTTCCTTTGGCACCGCAGCGAGTGCACTGCGTCAAAGCTTCCGCTGCGGCGACGCAATCGGGCTCATCACAATACTTATGCCAATATCCACATGCGCAGATGCCCCCAAACCACCAATTCTGTCTCTTGCAATCCCGGCACTCAGACATGATACCAAGGCCTCTTTGCCTCAAATAGTGGGTTGAGACATCCACAGCCAGGTCGGGGAGGCCCTCAATCATCTTCCGAAGTCTTGACTTCTTGCACATCTGATCCGTGGTCTTGCATACATGCAACTCTACCATGGCTTCCTGCAGGCAGACATTGCGAAGGTCGCGCTCGTGTGCAGATGTTGTCTCATAGACGGTGGAGAATATGATCTCGATGTGAGGAAAGAATTCAAGACAGTGAGTTCGCTTCATCACTAGAGTGACGCCGATCAAGAAGGCCTTCCGAGCATGCTCTTTGAGAGCAGGGTTGCCCAATTTGCAAGCAATAGCAAACATGTGGACGTGTATGAGTAGTCGATGCACTTCCGGCGCGAATTTGGAGGCGATCCAATTTAGATTATCGGCCTGGCTGATGGAAAGCTCGTTTTCCTGGTCTTGACTAGAGCTGAGGTCCGTAAGTGATAGCTGTGGGCCTTGTGTGTGGTCAAATGATTCGTATCCGCCGGTGTAGATGTAATGAAGTGCTCGAGCAATGACACCAGGATCGTCTTCCGGAAGGTCAATCTTGGACTTATCGGTTTCAGAGAAACCGCCACAGATCGCTCTTTCGAAGAAGTCGCCACCTTTGGTGATGAGAATAAACTTGTGAACTCTGAAAGTGTGCCCCTGGCAGTTTATGATGAGGTCCGAGTAGTGGCCATGCTGGAGTATTCTGACGGAGGATTAGCTCATGGGTCTGTGAAACCGACAGTGTGTTCTTCCAACCTTAAAGCACGATCTCGTTCGCTTCCACCTATCAATTCTCGAGCGCTGGTATCGGTAGGATCATTGGGCGTCTGAGCTGCCACAACCAAGGCTGCGGAGGTGGAGGAAGACTCCTGGCTGGCCATCGCCTCGGTGACGGTAAGATAACCGATTTCCAGAGATGCACTACGCCAGAGAGAGAAACCAAGACGCAAGACGGCGCTGACTTCATATAGTGCTTTAGTGTGGAGCCCATGCCTGTGGCTCAATTCTTTCAAGAAAGCACCATTGATGACCAGACGATGTGCTGTCCTTCAGCTCACATCCAGCCCAAACCGCCAGTAGATAGCATCCTTTGTGTCGGGTGGTTCATCTACGCCTGAACGTTACCCACCACTCCCATTGGCACGCCACTCAAGACGCCTCTCTTCAATCGCATCGCCTTCTCCACCTCCTGATCCGCCAGTCCACCCTCCTCCCTCAATCGAAAGGCCTCCTTCCAGTCCTTCGCGGCGAGCAGCGTCCGTCCCTCAAACCCTTTCCGCCCGATGCTGTCTTGCTCCGCCGCCCACTGCCTTGCCGTTCTCTCCTTCGCGGCCACGATCTGGAGTGCTGGATTTGTGCTGCTACTGCTGATACCGGCACCACCCTGCATATCGCTCCTGGTGGGGAAGATGTGCTGACCTGAGGGCGCTTGTTGGAGGTGCGGAGGCTGGGCGGAAGTCGGAAAAGCGGACTGGGGTTGTGCGGCATTTGAGGTTGGGGATGGTGGTTGTGGGACTCTTTGGGCGCGGCCGGCACGGGAGAGGGAGGAGGCGAAGTCAGGGTCTCGGGCGTCGAGTTCGACAATTTGAGATTTCTCAGTGGAGGGTGGGTGTGTGGCGGGAGACGGATGCACTTGTGCTGCTGCTGCTGCTGGTGAGGATTGTAGCGGTGCTCGGGGTGTAGTTGTGGAGGCCGCGGTGGATGGGTATGAGCGCTTCGCGGCTGCGGCAGCGCGCGAGGCGGTCTTGGAGGATGAATTGCCCATCTTTTGGTGAAGCTACCGGGACTGGGCCTCGAGAATCTAGGGCTGCCAGCACGAGGAAATGCTTCTTTAGGTATCCGACACGAGCAGACGTGATGATATCAGTACTCCCGGACCTCAGAAGGATATTTTCTCCGAAAATCTCGTAGCTTAAGCTCCGGGTAAGTTTTCAGGGACCAACGAGCCGAGCAGCCACTAACCTTAGGCGGGCTTAGGCGTGAATGATGTAATTCGCTAGGGGTCCGCAGCCCACCACGTTTTCGTTTCGAGATGTTTCATGTGGTGGCTTCGACATCGATTGTTTGGGACGTGCCCCGCTAGCCAACGTCCTTGACCGTCAAGTCAAGTCTGTCTTCTTTCACAAAGCATTCGTTAGCATCTTGCGTTCTAGCCGTACGCAAGCACCAACCTCTCCCTCACACATTCACATTCAGACATTTCATTGCCGCCACAATGGAGCGCAAGAACCGCCCAGCACCAATCCCCTCCTCCCCCAGCTTCCAACAGCCCTCCGTCGACCTCACAGACAACGTCCTCACCGCCCGACTCCCCTCCGGCGACAGCGTCACCGTCTACCTCTACGGCGCCACCGTCACCTCCTGGAAGACCGCCAACGGCGCCGAAAAGCTCTTCCTGTCCTCCGCCGCCGCTCTCGACGGCTCCAAGCCCATCCGTGGAGGCATCCCTCTAGTATTCCCTGTGTTCGGTCCACCACCAAAAGATCACGCTACGGGTCAGCTGCCTCAGCATGGCTTTGCACGGAATAACTTCTGGGAGTTCTTGGGGAAGAGCAGTACGGAGAGCACGGGCAAGAAGGCTGATGATAGTGTCAAGTTGGACTTTGGCCTGAGCAGTGGTATGCTAGATGAGGCGACGAGGAAGAAGTGGCCGCAGGACTTCGGGCTGGTGTACAGTGTCACGCTGGGCAAGGGCAGCTTGAAGTGTGCGTTGCATGTGCAGAACAAGGGTGCTGAGGCTTTCGAGTTCCAGTGCTTGTTCCACACCTATCTTGCAGTCAAGGTAACTCTTGTCCCTTCTCACCCTGTCCGTGACATGAATCTGACCAAAATGTACAGGACATCACAAAGACCAGCATCTCTGGCCTCGCCTCAGCTAACTACATCGACAAAGTCCGCGGCGCCCACCCCTTCACCGAATCCTCCAACAACCTCGTCTGCAGCGGCGAGACCGATCGAGTCTACACTCCCAACCCATCCGATAGCAAGATCACAGTCAACGAGGCCGGCAAGCCGAGCTTCGTTATGACGAGAGAATCGCTTCCCCAGACGACGGTGTGGAATGGTTGGGAGGAAAAGATCAAGGGCATGGGTGACTTTGAGCCCAAGGATGGATGGAAGCGATATTTGTGTATTGAGCCAGGCAGTGTCAATAGCTGGACAAAGCTGGAGGGTGGAGACGCGTGGGAGGGCAGTGCTACGTATGAGAGTAAGCTGTGAGAGACGACGATCTGACCAAACCCTTCCAGAGCAGGCAGGGGGAGGCAGGCATTCACGAGCATGCTTTTAGGGCGAAGCAGGCACAACATCCGTCGCAGAAAGCCCGAGCATTGCTGGACACGACCGACACTCCGGTGCGTATGAACGCCAGGGGGCCGCTGATGAATCTCACCTACGGCCGGGACGATGGCGACCCAAGGAACGCGGCCCCATATCATCGTTGCCGCGTCGGTCGCAAGCAGGCTTCGACACATCTCTGCCGTCAATGGCCACAAGGCAGCCCCGGCTAGATCCAAGCCTGACGAGCAGGCAAAGAAGCGCAAGATGAAGACAAATGACAGACCAGAACCATTACCACTCTGACGCCTTGAAGTCGAGATTGTCCTGCTTTCTCATCTCTATTCTTCTTCTCTACCTTAGGCACCGCTCTTCGTCGCAATTGATTGCTCGCATGCATTTATTTCTTGTTCGCATTAGCTCGTCCCCGTCTCGCATTCAGGGCCGATCCTCTTCCGGTCCAACTTCATGGTTCGTGCTACTATCCCAGAAGCCAAATATTCGTATGTAGCAACGAGCAAACCAGGTTTTCTCGTGCCAGACTGCAGAGCGGTGGTGCGGAGTGAGATGTATGGCAGAGGTTCAACAATTCGTATCCTCGTGTATCCGTCCGCGCAAACGACGCCCACACATTTGCTTCGCCCGAATCATACACCACCATTGACGATCCCGCCACCACTATCGTTTCCTCGTGCCTCACTCCGCCTCCTCAACTCCTCCCAGGTCCCACCCAACTTCTTTGCCTCCCCTGCAGTCCGCTCCGCCCGCAACCCCACATATCTGTTCCACATCTCCGTACTCGTAAATACCAGCACCGGGATTCCTACCATCAGACCCAGCCATTTCCGGGAGAGCCGGCGAAATTCCGGGTTCTTCTTGAGTTCCGCGAGTGGGAGCTCGGTCGGGCGTTTCGGCGGTGGCGATGGAGTGTATACAGGGCCGGCTCTGGGCAGACTCGAAGAGGATGGCAGGACTGGTTTTCGGGCAGGCAACGATGATGAGGGAGCAGACACTCGTGGTGGGTGCCTGTTTGGTGCAGGTTGTGATGGTGGTGAAGAAGCTATTGGTGCGGTTGCTTGTGCTGCTTGTATGGGCGGATTTGCTGGTTCAGGTCGAACTGGTGCTTGTACAAGTGCTGCAGCAGCTGCCGTTGACGGTGCGTCGACAATTGATGCAGGTGCAATTTGAGCTTCCGTACCCATCGCCTCAGCGGTCGGCTCTCCCACTGCTTGCTCTGCTGCCCGCAATCTCGCGAAACTCTGCGCTCCATACGCCCGTATCCGCTGCATCGTGTCGATCTGGTCTTGGGCTGGATTACTGCCGCCGGCGACAGGGTTCTCCAGCGCTGGAGATCCGAAAGAAGACACAGCTGCTGCCTCAGCTCTCGTTCGGGCAGCCGCTGCGGCGCGAGCTTGGCTGAGTGGGGTGGCGGAGTCTCGTTCTTGCGGAGCTCGCGCTCCTCTTCGAAGGAGATGCTGGTACCCGCCGAGGGTGGGGGCTCTGGGTCATTGAGGAAAGAGGACAGGAATGGCGAGGATACTTGTGCTTTGGATTGTGCTTGTGCTTGTGCTTGTGCGGGTGGCGATGCTGGTGCTCCCGCTGATGGCTTGGCGGGAGGCGATATGGGCTCAGAATCATCCGGCATTGCTTCGGCAGTAGGTGTCGTTGAAGATGCTGCAGGTTGTGTTGGTGGTGTTATTGACGATGTCGTAGGTTTTTCTACAAGCTTGGAGGCATGTTTGGCGGGCGTAGTTAATGTCGTTGTTGATGCAGATTTTTCCGAGGTTGACTTCACCGTGGTCGGAGAAGCAGCTGCAGCTTTCGTCGTCCTGCTCGTTGTGGCTTTGGCAGCCGGCTTTGATGCAGCAGTCGTTGTCGTCGACTTTGACACGACCTGGGTTGCCGGCTCGATCACCGAATCATCACTCAATATGGACTTCTTGGCGCGCTTCGTCGTTGTTGTTGTGGTTTCCGCTTTCGTAGTGGCCTTCTTGCCAGCATCTTTGACCCCAACGACAACCTTGCTCGTCGTTGGTATCGCTCTCGGCTTCTTTGCTGGCGACGGTGGAATCTCTTCCACGACGGCAGGCCTGGTCAGTGCAGCCGTGGTTGCCTTGCGCACACCTGACGTTTTCTGCACGGACATGGTCGTGTCCGTGGGTTGATTGACCAATACCACGCCGTCCTCTACCACGGTCTTCTTTGGCCGTCCTGGTCGCTTCTTCTGCACTGTGTCCGCCATTGTTGTTGCGACCCGATAATGCTGTGGTTATTGACAGGATGAATGAGGCAACGACAATTTTTGGTTTTCGAATATCGACGCGTCTTGAAACGCGAGTATTTTGTCTCTGCTAATTTCGGCTGGCTTTCTAGGTCTCCACTCCAGGGATTCCCCCGCAACGGAAATAAGCCCGGCATGTCTGGAATAATGGAAGGAAGGCGGCAAGGCAAATTCACAAGCTCTGGGTGCAAGAGCCGGCCACCTTAGGCATCGCGGCCTCTGGAGCGACCATCCTCAGGGGTCAGAAGGATTGATGTGCTAGCGCCAGGGGTCAACACGGCTAGATCTGCGAAGGACCGCCGGTACGTGCATAGTAGGCGGTCAGTACTGATTTAGATCCCTTGCTATGATCTGGGCACGGCTCAGGCGCCGTTCAGTGGTCATGAGTATTAATGATTATCGATATCTGCGAGTACATATCTACCTATCGATATTGTTACTTCCTCTATAAAGAAAGGTAACCTTCTGCAGCCGTTGGGGGACCCCGAATCCTCCTATTCCATCGCTGTAGCCAATGTAGCATATCGGAAGTCACGATGAGTTGACAAGGCTCAGGAAGACTCGGCTGACTGGTCTGCCATATCAAGCAGCCCTTTCCAAGATTTAGCATGTTGACTAACCCTGTCCACCGATATCTGCTCTGCGTGAAGGAATGTCCAGAAAGGGAGCAATTTCGCCCTCAATTCTGCTGTCGCCATCGGCTTCCTCAACCAGAAATGGTATGCGTTGTGCCATGAGCGTTCAGAAGACCGCAATCGGGGAGGTCGCATGAGCGTCTCCTCCTATCCCTCTACTTTGGCATACGCCTCGTCCCATGAAAGCTCATCAGATGTTGGATCGGATCTCTACCACTGGCCTCTCACCGTGATAGACTATCCAAATACTCATAACGCGTCCTCTCGCTTCTCTGTTGATCATAGCTCAGTTGTCCCCACCTCTGTTGCTCGATCCTCCGCTGCTCGCTTTCCTGTTGCGTAATGCCGTTCGTAAGGCCACCACCCCGAGCCGTAGGCCCTCCACCAAGACCGGGGACACTCGGGGCACCAACGTGAGCTGCACGCTTGCCAGAGGACAGGAATATCTTAGATCCCAACCCGTTGACGGTAGTGCCGTTGAGAGCTGCTCGTCTCTTCTTTGGTGGCGCTCCATCACTGGGAATGTCACTGTCGTCGTCACTGACAGTGATCGCTCTTCCTCGCTTTTTCGGCAAGTTCTGATAGCTTCGGACGCCACGGACTGCCCATTTACGCCGTTCATAGCATGGAATCCATTCTGTAGATTGTTCTTCAGCAAATCAGGTCGAGTCTTATCATTTGCTTTTCGTGCACTTTTTGCATCTCGCTGGACATCGCCAATGATTGCCAGCAATGGGTCATCGTCGTCCTCTGGCGCTTGCCACGCTGTTGCGGGGTTGGCCACTTGGTCGTCGATGCCATCGTCTGAGTCTTCTACCTCAACAGGATGCCCCGAAGACTGTGCGACGGTGCCGTTGGCTGAGCCCTGTACGTACGACAAAGTGGTCGGGATGGCGGGCAGTCCGGCTGATTCACGCTTCGCCTCGATGCGTGTTCTGATCTCGTTGTATGTCATGCCGACGGTCACGGCAATGCCGAGATCTCTGGCCTCTTTTCGAATACGGTCCAGCATCTGCTGATCCCAGCGCATTCGCTCCTCGTATGATCGCTCGCCGTTTTGCGCCTCCATGCTCTGTCGTGGCAGCTCTCGCATGCCTGAATACGAGTCAAGACCTGGCGAATGACTTACGGGAGAATGGCTGTGACTGTGGTTGATGGCACTGCTGCTGCCAGAACCGCCGGAGGACGAGCCGCTGGTCAAGACATTGTACAGAGCTGACACTCTTCGACCTTGCGCTTTAGGCATGATCGAATTGACAGGAGGAACAGCGATGGGTAGTACGGCCGCTTTTGGCATGACAGCAGCCACATCCTCATTCTCTGTCGGAAGACCAGCCCCAGCTCCTGCTGATTCTCCTCGTGGCGAGTCTTGCTCACTGGAGTTCTGTTGGCCATTGTGGTGTGCATGATCATGCGATGCACTGCCGCAAACGCAGAATCGAGGTCGGCCTTTCTCGAGCCATTTTTCATACAGTTGAGAAGCCTGCCCATCAACAGATGACTCGTCTTCGTCGGACTCCTTTGACTCAGCAGCAATCTGTGCGAAGGCCAGAATCCGGGCCGAAGGATCCAGACAGAGCAGGTTGCAACTCATGGCAGGTGACATCAGTCTAACACTAGGCGCATAGAATGATTGGTACATGGGCGTTCCAGGGTATTCGTGAGAGTTTTGAGTGGTCGGCAAAGCCGCATGTCGGAACTCACCCATCTTTCGTGCCTCAGCTTTGGCTTGAGCCCGACGAGAGAGCTTCTCCGGCTTTCCAGCGGTGCTGGGCAGAGCCTGCGCTGGAGCTTTCGATGCCTTGCCAGGATTGGCAGCTTTCTGTGGGAAATCCCTATGCTGTTGTAGAGGACTCTTTCTTGTCTTCTGATCTACCTTGACTCGCTTTTGTGGTGGTCCCTGAACGGCTGGAGGGATTTCCGCTTCTGACTCCTCGGCAGCTTCCTGAGCACTAACGGAGAAGCGCAACTTGGACGGCTGGCGTAACGACTTCCCTTTGAGGCGAGGAATTGTCAGGATGATCTTCAGAGACTGCTTTGGTGGATCCTCAGGCTTGGGTTCTCCATCTATGCTCTCGATAGAGTCAGGTGCCGATCGTTTCCGGCTGGGAGTGGTATTCGTCGAGCCACTGCCAACCCTCTTGCTGCGACGAGCAGAGCTGCTCTGCGTGCCCTCAGCCCCATCGTCACTCTCTGGACTGATGGGTGTCGGAGCGTAGGACTCAGGCTTGGTGACAGATCTTTTGGGTCGATGGTTCGCACTGCTCATTGCCTGATCTGCAGGCAAGTCTGCTGCAGCAGTAAGAGCTGTATCTGTATCCTGCTGATGGAGCGATCGTCTCGAACGTGTTGGCGTTGAAGCTACGCCATTTCCGAGATCTTGCTCGGAATGCACTGGAGAAGCCACGACCAGGTCCTTAGCCGTGCTAGGATGGACTATAGCCGACATCGAGTTGTTGTCCGTCGATTGTGCAGACGGAGCTTCCTTCCGTGCTGCGGAGGTAGTCTTCCGTGCCGGCCGTGAGTTTGATCGGTCTTGAGGGCCGGATTCTACGTTCGGAACCGTCGTAGTAACTGGACGTGAGATGCGACGTCGACTCTTCGTCGGTGATGGAACGCTTTGTTGCGAAGTCGACGAATCCCTCTCCTCGTCAGCACGATTGTCGCCATTTGGCACGTCTAGCGTGTCTTCCGCTACTTGAACTTCCGTCCTGGCCATGCTGTCATTCGGCAAGATACTCACTTTCGTAGATCGAGCTCTAGAAGTTCGCTTCGGTGTAGGGCTCTTTGACTGCTTTCGAGATGTTGGGACTGCATGGACGTCTGAAGGCGTTGCTGATGCTCTCGACCCAGAAGAACTTTGCGTGCTGTTGCTACGACGCTGCCGCTTAGCGACAGGCATGCTCTCTTCGGCCTCAAGAGCTCTCTTAGTAGGCTTTCGGAATCGACGAGATTCTCGCTTAGCAGCCTCGACAGTAGATGTGTCCTCAACAGTCGGCTCGATTGGCATAGCTTCCGGCCCTTTCATGCTGGGAGGTGGACTGGCTGAGATCTTTGGGGTGGGCAAATGGCTGGTCTCTTCTTCAAGCAATGAAGTCGTTTGCAGTGAGTCCGAGATCGGGATGTCTGATTGTGTCGGGATGCTCGGACTTTGAGAGTCTCCATTCAAGTATCTGGGCCCGATTTGTCCGGTACCATTGGAGTGAGTGCCAGCAAGCGCCTCGAGTTTAGCGGTTGGTTTGCGAGCTCTCCCAGATGAGCGACGCGAGGTCGTCTCAAGCGATGCCGTAGAGACTGAAGAGGTACGAGGCATGATTGCTAGTGGTATGGGCCACGCCTATCGATACTGGACAAGAGTTACCAAGTTTTGGGCGCTCCACGGTCCTGGAGGACAGGAGCCAGGCACTACGTCCTAGGCGTGGTCGATGGATGTGGCGTTCGAACGTGTAGATGCACGTAGACTCTATCTGTCAACGGCACAAAAAGATGGATGATAAGAGAGCCCTTCGCGTCGCGAAAGATAATATTGAAGTTGGTACCACCGAAGTTGCAGAAGGAACGTCCCGGTGGCACGGCAGTTCAAGTAGCATATGATGCCAATGAAGAATGCAGATGGACTTGAAAGCCCGCTTAGCCGTCTTGATGAGTGGCAATGCCGTGTAGGGTTGACCTGGTGAAGTGTGACGGTCGGATGAATAAGTTGATGAAGTGTCGTCCTCTGTCAGAAAAGCAGTGTCTCATCCGCTTCAGGCGGCCTTGGCAAGGACGACCCGGTCTTGCCATACCTTGCGACACACAAGGTGCGCGCCGAGCAGATGCCTTGCAACGAAGTCACCGTCGCTCAACGTAGTTGGAAATAATGCCATATGGAGTCTACAACGGGCACGAGGGACTGAATTCGTATATGCGTGCAGAGTAGGGAGTTACTTAATTATGCTCTTCGCTGCAAGCTGTGGGCGTCACCGACAAACCACGTATTCTTCTCAACAGTCTACGCAGGATATAGGTACCAAATACATGACTATGTGGTAGCACCAATCAATGAGAAGACACAGCTGCTCCAGCAGCAATGGTATGGAGAGGGCAAGACTCGGCCTGAACGTTGCCAATCGGGCCAGCCTCTACGAGCTTCTAGGTTTTCATTGAGGTCTTGCTCGTGCCATATCTTGCGACATTCTCATATCCGGAGCCCGACGAGCACAGATACTACTGGAGTATTTAGCAACGGTCCAGCGATGCCTGCAGCATGCTCACTCACCAGTGTCGCAAATGATCGGTATCTAGAAGCCGCAACCACTGTTGGGCGCTGCTGCACCTTGGCCCAGTCCGAATGCGTAGGCTGTGCCATCGACAACGTACTATGCGCGCAGATTTACCTACGCAACAACACATATATCAATAGCTGCCTCTGAACGATGGTCACCCTCTTTGTGGTCGCGCCAGTCCTCCTCCCAGGACCTGATATCAAGTGTCTGCCGCCATAAGCACCCTAAGGAGCGCCATCTTGCACATCCAGGTACCAACGAGGAAGCCTTTATACTTTTAATGAAACGCAGAGACGTGCAAGTTCGCATGATGAATGCGAGTAATCACTATTTGTGCAGCTCCTCTATGCGCCAAGCGCTGAACATCTAGGTACAGGTGCTTGTGCTTCTTCTCTCGTTTTACCTGTTGCTGAATGGACGTCCATTAATCTGTGCCAATTAGTCTCCTAACAGGCTCTGCTAACTTCGCAAAGCATTAGAGATTTTCCGAGGACTGCTTTTGAAAGCACAAAAGGAACGACTAGCACCTACCAAAAATTTCGATAATTGGTGCTCAAAGGATGGACCGGACATCCAGGGGTCGGCGAGGCTGCAAGAACGTTCGCCAAGATCTCGGCTAAGCTGCCTCTTTGGAAAACATCGATCCCCCAGGTTCAGACAGTGTCTTTACGACTATGGCTTCATGCCGCCAGCAGCCAACATGAGGATTTCAAACGCTCTTGTTCACGCCGTGAGCCTCCTCGGGGTCAGCCAAGCCGTTCTAGGAGCCTCAAGCTGGACGTTCAGCGATGCTACCGTTTCGGTCCAAGGCAAGGGTAGCGGTGTCGGGAGCGGATCGAAAGAGAAGTAGGACACTGCTGTTCGCAAGTTCTGACAGGACTGACGATGTAGTCTGAGCCCTAAAAGCCCACTCACGAAGCCGTTCGTCCTCGGTGCAAGCGATACTCTGAAGGTCGTCCTCACAACAAAGGAAGGCAAGACTTCGAAGCGTCCACAGCAAGCATCTCTTCTCCTACGGGATCCTGCAACGGATCTCGATGTTACATATCCTCTGAGCACCAAGGAGTCAGGAAAGGGCAAAATCGACCTGGTAAGCCCCCTCGCCAGGCTACGGTGGCAGACACTCATCGATCCTAGTCCCACAGAGACCTCCCGCTTCAATTCCTTCGCAAAGACACTGTCCTCTCAGCCTACTTGATCCTTGCCTCGACCGGCGACGCTGATGGCTACTATGAGCGCGCATTCTCCGTGGGCGTCAAGGCCGACCCTACGGCCACGACTGGCTCAACCGAGAAGCCCCTGCGGTACGGCAAGCTGCCAGAAATACACCACATCTTCCGCTCCGATCCCAAGAGTCCAAACTTCGTCATCGTAGCATTCTTCACTGTTGCTGCTGCGGCTACACTCCCGGTGCTACTTGGCTTGGTAAGTCTTCTCCAGAGCTCCAACAATGCAACAGAGACTGATAGTCTTGCAGTGGCTACAAGTCGGCGGAAACCTCAACCACCTGTCCAAAGCACTGTCAGACGCACCTGTCTCGCATGCTCTCTTCTTTGGCTCGATCGTCGGCATTGAGGGCATATTTTTTCTGTACTATACGGTCTGGAATCTGTTTCAGACGCTGCCAGCACTTGCAGCCGTGGGAATTGTAGCATACATCAGCGGCAGCCGTGCCTTGACAGAAGTACAAGATCGTCGCCTAGCAGGCCTGCGTTGAGGATAACAAGCAGTGGATCACTTCCCTACTGGGCTGCTCAGAAGCCGACCAAAGCGCACGTTAAATGGTTCCACAGAAGCCGTGGCGATGCAGGACTCATGAGCGCGTCAAAGCCGACGAAGCGGAGGAAGAGATCCGCCGACTGTCTGCCAGCACCGATTGCGACGTACTCTGATCCTGTGAGGTGGCCTGGTCTCTCCGCAGATTCGTGCAGCTCACCTCTGGCCAAGGCTGTTCCACTGCGCAGCAGCGTGCGTCTGCTCCCACGCTGAACAGCTGCTGCCCATAGGAAGACATTTGAGCCGCTGTCATCCAGAAAACAACGCCTGTGCTGGGTCTGATCTGGCCTGGGTGCGACCGCGGAGCTTCCGGTGTGTTGTGCAGCGAGGTCAGGATAGCACGCAAGTCAGCTGTCATGGAATGAAGTTCAAATGTCAAGTCTAAAATAGGTATCGATAGGTTGCCTACGATATGCGATGTCGTGACCTCAGTCCCCTCATCCAGGCCCTTCCATTATCTCCCTTGCAATCTTACTCCTCCTCCTGATCCTCTCCCCATTAAACACCAACACCCACGGCACCAACGTCAACAGCGCGCCCACCCCGCCCAGCAAGCAACTCGCTCCCAAAAATCCCAACCCATTGAACATCTGCACCGTGAACAGCGGAAACGCCGCCGCGCCCATATTCCGACAGAAACTCTGTCCCGCCAAGGCGCTGCTCGCGTAGCATGATATACATCCGCGAGATAGTTGAAGACGGCGAGGTAGATGCTGAAGATTCCAACTTGCGCCACGCCGAGTGCAATGACGGGGGAGATCCAGTGGATGTGGCTTGAGGAGGTGGCGCCGAACCAGAAGAGGCCGATTGGGAGGAGGGCGCTTTCTAGGCAGGCGAAGTACAGGCGGCCCTCGGGTTGCTCGAGGAGGTGCGGCCACCACTTGCGGGCGGCCTTTTCTTGGTAGATGGACAGCAGGGCGCCAACGATGGCGCCGACGGTCAGGGAAATGAAGACGCAGCCGTTCTCCTGGACGTCGAAATTATGGCGGGCGGTGAAAACGAGAGGAATGGCGGGAAGCGTGAGGTAGAGGGTGGCCCAGGCGAAGGCTGCCCAGAGCGAGAAGAAGAAGACGACTGGTTCTGTGGAGAGGAGCTTGAACGGAGTTGTGGTCGAGAGGTAGATCATTCGTTGGATCGAGGAGCGTTGCTCGTCGGCGAGGACGCGGTAGCGGATTAGGTGGGTGGGCTGGTAGGTGTCGGAAGTGGGCTTTTCTGTGGGTGGAGGGAAGTGTTCGGACTTTTCGAGTGCTTCGAAGTATGTGTTGAGTGCCTTGGCGCGCCGCGAGAGTAAGACTGACCCTCGAGTTTCTTTCAAGAAGAAGAACATTGCGGCTAGGAGGATACCGTCGAGAAACAATTGATGGTAGAACACCCAGCGCCACGAGACTCGACCGATGATGAAGCCAGACAGGAATGGACCCATGCCTGTACCAGCGAGAGCGCCGCCCGAGTAGATAGCCATGGGCGTATTACGGTCCTCTTTGTGATAGATGTCGGCCAATACACCCCCTATGATGGTCGAGAATGTCGATGCAGATCCACCTACGAAGAAACGTGCGACCAGCATGCCAGCGAAGCTGTCGGTTAGGGCACAACCAATCTGTGCAGCAACGAAGACAACACAGGAAATGATGAAGACGGGTTTCCGTCCATTGATCTCCGAAAACGGTGCCAGGAACATGGGAGCAATTCCAAAGCCCAGACACCAGGTCGTTACTCCCACATTGAATGCTACTGTGCCGATGCCCCATTTCGCCATCAGTGGCTCCTTTGCCATGGAGTACGTCCCAGCACTGTAGGCGGCACAGAACGTGGCGAACGTGCATAGAATCAGAACGACAGTCTTGCGTGAGCTTGACCAGCTGAACGGCGACTCGTAATTCCTGAGATTTGGCGGTTGTGGAGCATCGGCGTGAATATGCGTGGTCGCATACGCTGGCAGAGCGGTCTCGAACTCGAGGTACTCATATCTGACGTCGCTACTGTAAGGAGGTTCCCGATCGGCGTCTATGTCTTTGTGGTCCAGATCCTTTATAGGTACTTCGACGTCGCCGGAGGCCTGACTCGATAGGCTCGCACTGTCTCGCCTCGTCCGCCTAACGGGATCGTTCAGATTGCCAGACATGGTCGCCAGGTTGCCTGTTTCGGTTTCAGGGTCAGACGTCCATCGAATGCTTCAGTGTACTGCTGGACGGAGCACAGCAAGTATCGAATGCTGTATAAAGGAATGTATGTTGGATATGAGTCAAAGGCTCATTGACGAGTTCGGTGAACTGTCCGTCGAATTGCTAAAATCTCTTCTACTTCTTAGTAATAGCAAGCGTATTCAGACGGACGCCTCGTGAGACCGTCGGCATTGATGAAGCTTCGAGCGCTCTGTTTGAGTGGACTCGCGCTGTGCTCTATATTCAGTACGCGAACTGCCCAAGCATGACCACAACAACGGCGAAAACTCGTTGTGCTGGAGAAACGATAATGTGTACGTCTTCTTCACGGCGGGCATATCCGAGGTTAGGACGGACGGAAGCCACCTACGGCATCGACCTTTCGGCTTCGAATAGACGCGAGCCCTGTCGATCGTCACTAACTCCACGACGGACGGGCATGTCTTCCGGAACTTCTGTGAGTGCTCCTCAACGCGTCTCGCTGAGCGCGAGGTTCAGAGGATGCAACATGTCGGTAGGGAGGACTTTACAGCGAATTTCTGCCGACGTTCCGCCATTGACTTATGCTGGCTTACCTGATGGTCGAGCTGACCCGTGACAGCAGCTGCCGGTCTCAGGGCAAGGAACACGGACACGACACAGGCCGCCTTCCTTGTGACGAGCCTCACCCGGGCCCGCCCAAAGCTCTCGCCTAAGGCGTCAGTGTTGCAACCACGGACTCCGTGCTTAATACTAAAGTACTTACCACGATGTATCCCGAGGTCGCTTCCAAGTCCTCTGTGAGCTGGTACTACGACGCCCACTTCCAGGCACTGCCTAAACCTGGTGAAAATGCTCCTTCCACACTCTATAGATGCTCCCGGAGAGGTAATCCGATGCAGCTATCTCCCCCGCAAATGCACTCGGTTATCATGATTGACCTCGGATAGCCTCCCGCGTATCTACGCGTAGGAGGGCCTTTTCGCGATATGATGAACCCCTCCTGTATTTGACTGATCCTACTCATCCTGCCTGCGCGGGCTCGTCTAACCTCGCCAGACAGCTTTATTCAACTACTATGCAGCGAGATCTAGGACAGGGCCGTCTGCGCACGAACGGAGATCATGCCAACGGTGCCCATACAGAAGCGAATGGCCACGGTAATGGATCGAGGGACCTGCCCCTGGAGTTAGACGCACTTGTCGTCGGTGCCGGCTTCGCTGGCTGCTACCTGCTCCATCGCCTTCGTCAAGAGGGTTTCAGCGTGAAGATCGTGGAAGCTGGCACTGGCCTCGGTGGCATCTGGCATTGGAACAGCTACCCTGGCGCACGAGTGGACTCACAGTACCCCATCTATCAGTACTCACTGCCAGAGGTCTATCGGGGCTGGACCTGGAGCCAGGAATACCCGGATCATGTGGAACTGAGGAGATACTTTGACCATGTGGATGAGATTCTGGACATCAAGAAAGATGTCATATTTCAGACTAAAGTCGTTGGGGCAAAGTTTGATGAGACTGCTGATAGGTGGTTGATCGAATGTGACACTGGCAGGCAGATATCATGTCGTTTCTTCTTGTGCTGCACAGGCTTTGCAGCAAAGCGCCACTTTCCAGACTGGCCCGGGTTGGAGGAATTCCAAGGGACGATATGTCACTCCTCTTTCTGGCCATCCGAGGGTATGGACGTCAAGGGCAAGCGGGTAGCCGTGGTCGGTACAGGTGCGACCGGCATTCAGATAGCCCAGACAACGGCAAGAGATGCAGCTCAGCTCACAGTCTTTCAACGCACACCAAACCTTTGTTGTCCTATGCGTCAAGCTAGCATCGACCCAGAGAAGGCCAAGAAGGATATAGAGAGACTACCAGAGATATTTGCCGATCGAAACAAGACATACGCCGGCTTCTTATACGAGGCGCAGAAAGATATCAAGACTTTTGACCATACCCGGGAAGAGCAGGAAGCATTCTTGCAAAAGCTTTGGGATATGGGGGGCTTCAGGTATGCAAGATTTTCACGGCCACATCGGTCTGTGATGTGAAAGTATCGAGTGCTGACAGTCCCCTCCTCGATGCAGGCTTCTAGCAAATAACTATGGCGACATGCTCATGGACCCCAAAGCTAACCGGGTAGTATACGACTTCTGGGCCCGCAAGATCCGGGAGAGGATCACCGACGCAGAGAAGCGAGATACCCTTGCGCCGCTTGAGCCACCACATCCATTCGGCGGCAAGCGACTTTCGCTCGAGCAGGACTTCTACGAGCAGATGAACAAGCCCCATGTCTCGATCATCAATATCCGGCAGAATCCGATCGACCATGTTGTACGGGAAGGTATCGTCACTGCCGATGGGAAGCTACACCAATTCGACGTGATTGCCATCGCTACTGGGTTCGACTCGTTCACTGGTGGGCTTAAGGATATCAACCCGATCGGCGTGGGGGGTGCGCCTCTACGTGAGAAATGGAAGGATGGCACATATACGGCGTATGGTCTTACTGTCTCTGGGTTTCCGAACTTCTTCTTCTTGTATGGACCACAAGCGCCGACGGCGTACGCGAATGGGCCATCGATCACGGAGCCTCAAGGAGACTGGTGCGTTGATGTCATGAGGAGAATGCGGGAGGCTAAGAAGACACGCATTGATGCGACCAGAGAAGCGGAGTTGGAGTGGAAGAAGACCATAAATCATCTGCATAGCTTTACGCTGAGGAATGAGGTCGACTCGTGGTATATGGTATGTGTTCTAATGCTGACCTCTGACTTCATTGGGACAGATGCTGAATGTCTTATGTAGGGTGCAAACATTCCCGGAAAGCCACGAGAACCTCTCAACTATGCGGGTGGCATACCGAAGTACCTGGAGACGATCAATGGTGCTGTCGAGAATGGCTTTGAAGGGTTTGTACTCAGCTAATCACAGGACATGTGGCATAGCCTGGGGAGGCAAAATGTAACGAAAGACGCTTCTGCTCCTGATATGCGATTTATATGGCACCATGTCGAACATCATTGGACCACGATCACGGATAGGGTTCGCACAGCCTTCGTCTGACGGCGATTAATTTGTATCGGTTTGACGGGGAAAGGATATGATGTCTTGAGAAACACGGGGTATTTACTCAAGCCGGACGACGGCAACCAGGAGAAGGCATGTCTGTCCTCCCGAGTCGATCCTGCTGCATGTACAAGGTATCATCGCGGCCTCGAGTTGGAAAGCTGCATCAACAGACGACCATTTGCTGGATTAAGTAAGTCCTGGGCAATCTCCCAATCCAAGTGACTCATATATCTTCACCTCCTTACCCTTCGCTTTCCACGTCTTGGCACACGCAACATTTGCCAAACCTCCCAACTACCAGGCCAGGTAAATCGTCCAAAGAGCAAAAAGAGAGGTGGACTTGGTCTCAAGTCAGGAGATATGGTAGCTCGTCCTGGTATCGATCCAGGTGCCTCCAGGTTATGAGCCTGGCGCGCTAGCCAATGCGCCAACGAGCTCGAAATGTCTCGCTGATGTCTCTGATATCGAATTGTTAGATCAGAAAATGAGACTTGCAATACTTATGTGTCAAAGAAGGTTGTACTCCATCTTACACTTGACGAAGTTGAGTGAATGCGACTTGGCCAATTCACAAGCAAATGTGAATGGTGCTTAGTTTAACTGTCTCATCTCATCTCTCAGGGCACAGCATTCAACGCCGGCTTACACGATCAAGCAAAGCTCTGCCCAACGAGCCGCTCAGACAAGTTCCACAAACGATCCGCATTCTCATTCGATTCCGCCTTCGCCAATGCGCCAGTGCTGATCTGGCAATCACTCAAATATACGCCATAGTTCTCCTTTCCGTCGTTCGCCTCCGGGGCACCCAGCGCAGGATCCGTTGCTGCCACGAGAGTGGTCGCTGCGCCGGTGGCTTGCGTCTTCACCTTGAATAGACCGTTTTTGACCGCGTTTTGCAGGCTAGCGAACATCTCCGGAGGCATGTGCCGCTGCAACTCTGTCTGGATGACGCCGGGATTGACGGCGAAGCTGGTGATGCCACGTTGGTGGAAACGCTTGTTGAAACCGATGGAGAAGAGGAGGTTGCTAACTTTGCTTTGATTGTATGCTTCCCGAGGAATGTACGACTTCTGCTCGGGATCGGTCACGCCCCAATGCTTCAGTGGCTCGTACTGTGGCTGCTCCTCTGCAGGGAGAGTGTTGTTGGTCTTGTCGAAATTGATGTCGCTGAAGCGCACACCTGCTTGCGTTGGAGAGGAAGAAGACAGGTTGACGACACGAGCGCCCTTGCTGAGCTTGGGAACGATGAGGTTTGTGAACAGGAAATGACCGATGTGGTTGGTGGCGAAATGCATTTCGATGCCGTCCTCGCTAAGTTGGCGTTCAGGAATGAGCATTACTCCGGCATTATTGACCAGGATGCCGATGGCCTTGTCCGATTTGAGCACCTGGTCAGCGGCCGTCTGGACGGACTTCTGGCTCGACAAGTCCATTTCAATGCTGGCGTAGGCTACGTTCGGGTATTCCTTGCGTAGTGCGTCCAGGCTCTCCTGCATCTTGGTCTGCGAGCGACCTGTGATGGTGATGCTCTGTGGCGATTGCGATGCCTGTATGATATCAGTCACCGATCCCAAGGCCGATCGTGTCACATACAAATGCCTGTGCAGTCGCAAAGCCAATTCCCTGTCGATTCACGCCCGTGATGAGAATGTTCTTGCCATGAATCGAGGCAGCGAAAGCCTTGGCGACTTCCAGAGCTTCAGTATCTGCATTGAATTGTGTGCTCGTAGTCTTCGTCATGGCGATTGTTTGGCGGGTTTGGCCGATCTGAAAAAGCCAGGATGGATGAAATTGGCCGCCATCTTCACCACGGTGACCAAGTATCTTTATATATATGTTGGGAGATGTCGGATTTCTGATCTGGACATGCGTGTATACACTCTAAGTCGCCCGTCGCGGACGATAGCCACCACCTACGTTCCTTGAGATCATCAAAAATTCAGAGCCATGGTTCCACGTCGGACGTTGGCTAGGCGGTACGCGGCTACCTTGCAGGAGTTAGCACCTGGCAGGAGGTATGAGGTATGTATGCATGCCATGCATAGGGAGATAAATGAATCGTCAGGAGATAAGCAACAATTGTTACCTAAAGCATGCTCACTATGCGAAGGTTCGAGATGACGCTGACAGGGCTAATGTGCGAATGCCGAATCTGCACGATGTACCTATTTTGAGCCGAACAGCTTTCGCTAGCTCACGTCTAGAGAACATCGCAAGTCTCACTATGTTGCGTTTCATTCGGACGCTGGATCCAGTGATGTTTTGAATACTTTCTGCTGAGCCACGAAATCATCAAGCCCCAAACAATAGTCACGGAATGGCACCATAATCCTGGTCCCTAGCTGAGCGCCTGCGACTTTGAGTGTCCGAGCAAACGCCGGAAGGTGTGCGGTGACCGAACTGACCCTATTCGCGAAGCAGAGTAGGTACTTGTCGGACGAAATCATGCCTCTCTCGGGGCGGCAATGGACGGCGACCGTGGATTATTGATATATGCTGGCATGTGTCTGATTGAGTATGAGCAACGAGCCAGCGACGAGGTGCGAGCTTCGCGTTCCCGTCTTTAAGCTATGTATTCGTCTGGCTTGGCATTTAAGTACTTCCTACCGCCCGAGGTCAAGGAGAGTTCAGTGACGTTGCTGCTTGAGGGGAGGAAATCAAGAAGCCATGGCCAGTGCCTTCTCCAGGTACTGTACACCAGGTTCGCTCTCTCGCGAATGTCACGACCTGCTATGAGATTTGAGGTCAGCCATCGTCGGCATCGTTCAAGCACACCAAATTCGCAGCAACGGTCCCAGACTAACCACAGTCGAATCGTGCAGTGAATTTGGTCCAAATTCGCAGACCATTCTTGGTCTCTTGCCAGATCACAGGCGCTTACTCGATGTCGTCCTTATTCCGCACCACCACCACATATGATCCGATCGAGGCGCTCCTCAATGCCGACACCGATGACAAGCGCGATGAGCTGACCCAGAGGTGGAAGAACAACAAACTAGAAGAGCTCAACTTCATCGGTATTGTCGTAAGTGCTTTTCGCTTTCATCTTTGCTGTCGCCCTTTCCGTTGACCGCTCGCAACAGGGTGCTCTGCTAGCTGGCGTCCTGACATCGACGGGTTCTTGGCCTTCAGTCCTACCGGACGGCGCTCGCAGTCCCTGGACAGTTCGGGCTTGCTAGTTCTGTGGCATCATCCTTGCCCTTGCTTCAGTTCTCACGGCCGCTCAACAGTCCATCCGGCTGCATCGCCTGTCATGCCATATACGTCCCAACACAAGCATCCGCCGTTTGCTCACGAGGAACAAGCGTCACCCACGAAGTGGCAGACTAATGCCTCGGCAAGCCCAAGTCATCACCTGGCAACTGAGCGCAGTCTTCTTGACACTTAGTGTTTTGGCAATGCTCGGTGGCATGTTCATCTTGATATGGAGCTCGACTGGCTCCAATTTACCCGGGACTACTTGGTGGAACACCGATGCGAAGCTTGCCGTCACGTTCAGCATCGTTACCTTCGTCATCTTCCTTCTCTTTGTGTTTGAGCAGGTTACCCTGTACTCATGGTCTGGTCGCGATGACTCTACACAGTATGAATAGACCCAAAGACAGCATAGTCCATGCATGAGATTGGACCACGTTCACTAATAAGCTATGCCATGTTGAACCGCGGCGATGTCAGCTGTATGCTCACGGCCAAAAGCGCCTATCTCGTCAACGAATTAGACTGTCAGCGATTTTGCTCTAGCGGTCGAAGCATGTGATCTGTTCACCTCGCAGAACACCTTCTTATACACTAGCGATATGGTGCTGTCGATCTGCATGGCGAATTGCTGAGGAGGCTCGCGCTGCTGAAGCTTGCGGCACACATCTTACCTCTTAATTCTGCTAGACTGGGGTATGCGAACCGCAAGACTTGCTGCGGCGGGCCATGCAATTAAGTTGGATCGGACAGTTTCATGTAGTATTTCGGAAGTGCCTACCTGTGGTAGTTGTTTTAAAGCGTACCCGCCAAAATGGGTCTTTGGCAGAGTTGGTGGGAGGTGCCTCGGTAGTAGCCCAACAACGTCTTCACGAACTGCTGCTGTGCTCCCGACGATCTCAGACGGCCGGTCGTCGAACGAATGTAAAATATATCCAGTCGTCGACGTCCTTAGGAACAAAGCCCTCTGAGACGTCCGTTTGGAGCCGGCAGCATTGTGATCATGAGATTCTGGGAGGACTTCGAGCGGGCTCCACCGTCCGATCGTCGACTCCATCTAAATTTGGACATCAGACAGAAATCATCTTCAATGTTCTCTCCAGTACATCGACGTAAAGGGTTCTGGCGGCGTGCTTGTGGCATCGATCGACCAGACTAGAGGTCAAACGCAGAGTGGCTGTGTGGGCTTGCTGTCATCCTAACACCGACGTCATCTGAGACTGAGCAGTTGACGGTACTTTATCTCGCTAGTCGAGCCGTCTACATCTACTCGAACACATCGACGCTACCTCAAGCAAGGGCTTTGCACAGAATAGTGCGAGTAGAAGGTCCACGCGTCGTTTGAGTTGAGACGGGAGAGTGACCGCCACACATCGTTGGCTGCAAACGACGAAGCCTTGGCCACATATATATTCCGTCTTCACTAGTTGACACACAAAAGCTGCACGGTTGAGGACTCTTTTCCTGCTAAACTTACTTCGACATTCACACACGATTCTGTCGCGATCGACTGCATCAGCGAGGAGCTAGCTGGACCCACACTTCCCACATCTTATCAAAGATATCGCCGCGGGAGGAACACAGTTTCAGCGCGATGGGGTCGATCGATGTAGAGCCACGCTTCCGGCGGCTACAGCAATTCGACTCGACGTTTTCACCAAACACCATCACGCAGTATGAGTCCGAACGAACTGGCATGCGCATCGTTGTAGTCGATCAAGTTGGACCCAAAGTCTACGGCTACTTCGTCCTGGCTACGGAAATTCATGACGATAGCGGTGCACCTCACACTCTCGAACATTTATGCTACATGGGCTCAAGAAGCTACAAGTACAAAGGCTTCCTGGACAAGCTCGGGACGAGAGCTTACTCCAACATAAACGCGTGGACAGCGACCGACCACACCGCTTACACCCTCGAGTCGGCAGGATGGGCTGGCTTTGCGCAGATTCTGCCAGTGTATCTTGATCATCTGGTGGTCCCACTTCTGACTGATGCTGGCTGCGTGACGGAGGTCTACCACATCGACGGCGAAGGCAACGACGCCGGAGTTGTCTATTCGGAGATGCAAGGTGTCCAAAACACGCCCTCAGAATTGGTCGAGCTTCGAGGAAAGCGTCTGATATATCCAAAAGAGGTCGGCTTCCGCTACGAGACGGGAGGCATGATGGAGCAACTACGAGTATTGACACCAGAACGAATACGTGAATTCCACAGGGACATGTATCAGCCTAAGAACATGTGCTTGGTCATGTACGGTGAAGTCGACCATAAAGAGATGTTGAAGATCCTAGATGACTTCGAGTCGACAATCATGGACGATATTCCTGCACCAGACAAGCCGTTCAAGCGCCCCTGGATTGATTCAAAACAGGCTGTCACACTTACAGAATCCGTCATTGAAGAAGTTGAGTTCCCGGAGGAGGACGAGGAGTTTGGTCAAGTCGATATCCGCTATCTCGGTCCGGATACCGCGGACGTTGTTCAATCGGCTGCCCTGTCGGTCGTGCTTCAATACCTCTGCGGATCTCCTGCAGCCGTCCTGGACAATAATTTGGTTGAAAGAGAGCAGTGGGCTAGTAGTGTCTTCTTCACACTGGAAAACCGACCAAAGACAGAGATCGCTTTCAGCATGTCCGGAGTCGAGACTGCGAAGCTTGCCGACGCTGAGAAGCGGTTCCACACGGTCTTGGAAGAAGCAATGGCTGCGCCTTTAGACATGCCTTTCATGACAGATTGCATCGAGCGACAAGTGCGGTCATCGAAGTACACAACAGAGTCACAGACAGCTGCCCTCTCGGACAGTATCATCGCGGACTACTTATTCGGCAGACGTGATGGCTCGACTCTTGAGCACCTAGGGTCCCTGACTCAGTACACGCATACTCTGACGAAGTGGACCGAGCAGGATTGGAAGGAATTCATCACCAAGTACTTTGTCAAGGCGCACTATGTCTCACTCCTGGGAAAGCCCTCTGCGAAGATGTCAAAGAGAATCACTGAGGATGACAAAGCTCGTGTTGAGAAGCGGAAAGAAGAGCTAGGACCCGATGGTCTCAAGAAGATGGCGGAGAAGCTCGAGCAAGCCAAGAAAGAGAACGACAAAGAGATTCCAAAGGAGCTCCTCGCGAGCTTCAAAGTGCCACCCACCGAATCAATACACTTTGTTGAAACAAGCTCTGCACGAGTCGGTCCAGCGCTTGAGGCGGGAAAGCCAAACAACAGATACCAGAAGCTGGTCGAGGCAGATGGCGGCGACAAGTGTCCGCTGTTCATCAACTTCGAGCATATCCCGTCCAACTTCGTACGCCTACATCTTCTGATCTCAACGGAAACGTTAGCCATTGAACTTCGCCCACTCCTTGCAATCTTCATGGAAGCGTTCACCAACCTCCCCGTCGATCGCAATGGCACCACCATACCATTCGATCAGATCGTCGTCGAGCTCGAGCGCGACACTGTTGGCTACTCGATGAATTCTGCTAGTGCTCTCGGCAACATTGAGTGCATTCGCGTCACTCTGCAAGTCGAGATCGAGAAATACAGCACCGCCATCAACTGGGTTCAAGAGCTGCTCTGGCACTCCATATTCGATGTCTCGCGTCTCAAGTCAATCGTCTCTCGCCTACTAGCCGACATCCCGGATTCCAAGCGCGACGGCAATGACATGATGACCGCTGTGCACAACATGACGCACCTGTCCTCCAAATCCATCAGCCGGGCGCGCTCAACGCTCGTGCAAGCTCTCTACCTCAAACGCATCAAACATCTTCTAGACAGCGATCCCGATCGAGTTGTACATCTCTTGCAGTCCCTACGCACCCACTTCATCACTTTCGCCAACCTTCGCTTCGTCATCGTTAGCGACCTCGACCGCCTTCCCAACCCGGTGTCCTCCTTTCAGACACTTCTCTCCGCTTTGGACGAGCCCTCTCCCCTCGCTCCGCTGGGTAGTCGCCTCACCCGCCTCTCCGACGCCGGCACGCATCCAGGCAGCTTAGCTTACGTCGTGCCTATTCCTGCTATCGATTCTTCCTTTCTCTTCGCCTGCACTCGCGGTATATCTGGCTGGACAGACCCGCGTCTCCCCGCTCTTATGGTCGCGCAAGCGTACCTTAACGCCGTCGAGGGCCCACTATGGGTTGCCGTTCGAGGTATTGGTCTGGCGTACGGCGTCAACACCAACTACGACCTCGAAGGCGGCTTTGTGAGCTTAGAAGTCTATCGCTCGCCGGATGCATTCAAAGCTTTTGACGCAGCGCGAAAGGTTGTATTGGGCCTGGCGGATGGCAGTGCGGCATTCGACGAGTTGATGCTGGAGGGCGCAGTGAGTTCGATTGTGATGGAGATGGCAAATGAGCAGGCAACGCTAGGGATGGCAGCCTTGAGCGGATTCGTGAAGGAAGTGATAAGGGGACTGGGCAAGAGTTGGGATGGCGAAATACTTAGGAAGGTCAAGAAGGTGACCGAGGAAGAAGTGAGGACGTGTTTGAGAGAGATGGTTATGCCAGTGTTCGAGGCTGGCAAGGCGGATGTGGTTGTTACTTGTAGTACGCCCGGTGTTGAGGTGAGTTCAATTGATGTCCTTTGCGGGTGCGTGAGTCCGAGGTAACGCGCTAATGTCTATGTGCTGCAGAACATCAAGGCCGGATTAGAGTCGAAGGGCTTCAAACCGGAAGTGCATGATCTCGCGTGGTTCCAGGACGACTATGGGCTGAAGGTCGACGATGAGCAGGACGACGAAGATGAGGACGACGAGGACGACGAGGATGACGAGGAAGGCGAACATGACGATAACGAAAGTGACGAAGATGCCTCCGACGCATGATGGAATGTTCGATGCTCGCATGTCTGTCGTCAGGCTAGGGCAAATGTGCCGATCAGGTTCCGTAGACTGTGCCATCTGCGCCAGGGTATCGTGGATGGGGGTGAATAGGCATCGCATATGCTCGTTGGACTAGATGTTAGAAGCCACTATCGCAGGCTAACCTTATGTCTTCTCGTCCGTCGTGCCTTCTTCTAAAGCTCGAAAGCATTTCGTCTTGTGATGGCATCGACCAGAGTTGGTTCACCATTACCGCTCTCCGTGATTCCAACGGAGCTCGGGCCTGTCTCAGAAGTCACTTACCTATGCCGCACTTCAGTAGCTCGAGGAGCTCAACACAGGCTGACGTTTTGGTCGACCATGTGCGCTCGAAGACAAGCGGTGGTCAGAACAGAATAGCGCGTCATTCGCGTCTGCTGCACTCCAAGACTCCGTAAAGCTCAATCGAGGCCCAAGAGTCCACCAATCCCGCAGCACTGACTGATGCCTGCACGAGCGACTCGTCAGAGCGATTGCTACACAATCGCCTATACTCGGCCAAGACCTTGCTGTATACCCAGCGTTGGGCATATGAGGTGATGAGAGGCAGGATGCGTGGATGAGGTCGAGTTCCGGCCAGACTCGCTCGACTCGTCGCCAATATATACCCCTGACGTAGCCACCAATGACAGCCCCGCAAATTTTATGCAGGGAAAAGGCGGGCAAACCAACGCCAAAAATATTTTGGTTACGATGCCGCCGGCGGGCCACGACTTTTTATGACTGTCTGTCTGACTTTGCACTCAAGGTGTCCCGACATACGAACGATCTTTTACTGTCGCGAACTTCGAGCGCTGCGCAGATCACACCTCACACTTCACCAACGCCACGAGCATGTCTGTCAGTAAAAGTTCCTGTAACCAATTACCGTCATCAAGCTGACCACAGTGCCAGTTCTTCATACAGAACAAAAGTGTAGGCGACAAAGAGTCGTCAGAAGACTGGCGAAGTAAGTCTCATTCTCGAGATACTCTGTATACTGGCTGACCTCATGCACCAGTCAAGGGCTACAATCCTCTCACCCCACCAGATCTCCTTCAACATGAAATCCCACAGAGCGAACAATCGAAAGCCACCGTACTCTCGGGCCGCAACGAGGGCGTTTCAATTGTCCAAAACACCGATCCTCAGCATCGGCTCCTCGTCATCATCGGTCCCTGCTCGATACACGACCCTGTGTCTGCACTCGACTATTGCGATCGGCTGCTCAAGCTGAAAGAACTGCACAAGAATGAGCTGTTAATTGTGATGCGATCCTACCTTGAGAAGCCGCGGACTACGGTTGGGTGGAAGGGCCTGATCAATGACCCAGAAATCGACGGAAGTTTCCTCATAAACAAGGGATTGCGCATTTCCCGCCAGCTCTTTGTTGACCTGACTTCGCGGGGTATGCCAATTGCGAGCGAGATGCTGGACACGATCTCTCCTCAGTTCCTAGCAGATCTGCTATCAATCGGCGCGATTGGTGCTAGAACCACCGAGTCACAGCTTCACCGCGAACTGGCATCCGGTCTGTCCTTCCCAGTCGGCTTCAAGAATGGTACAGATGGCAGTCTAGGTGTGGCGATTGATGCCATTGGCGCGGTCAAGCATCCACATCACTTTCTCTCCGTCACGAAGCCCGGCGTCGTCGCTATTGTCGGCACGGTAGGCAATGAGGACTGTTTCGTTATTCTTCGCGGCGGAACATCTGGTACGAACTACGATGCAAAATCGATAAAGTCAGCCAAGGAGAAGTTGAGGGCCAAAGGCCTGTCAGATCGGCTCATGGTTGACTGCAGCCATGGAAACAGTCTCAAAGATCACAGAAATCAGCCAAAAGTGGTGGCAGATCTGGCAGGACAGATCAGGAATGGCGAAGAGGCAATTATGGGTGTCATGATTGAGAGCCACATTAACGAAGGTGCACAAAAAGTACCTGCTGAGGGCAAAGCGGGTCTGAAGTATGGCGTTAGCATCACAGATGCATGCATTGGGTGGGAAGATACCGAGAAGGTTCTGCAAGAACTTGCTGAGGCGGTCAAGGCGAGACGAGAAAAGATTGGATCGAAGACCAATGGCGTCAATGGACATAGTTGAGCACGTGCCTACTGACGACATGCTAGATCTGGTCTGGCAATGCGCCGAGCAGATTATTCAGAGCCAAACACGGTGGCAGCAAGACAGGATACTGCGACCTGCGGCAACTCGCAGAGTACCAGTCGTCAAAAGCTGCACGCTACACAGCAGTTTGACGAGAGATGCCGTAGCAGGCAAGGTCAGCTCATGAACAATTCGAATCCGATGAAAACTGATCCAGTCCTGCAGCACTGATCACTGGACAACCTCCATCATCAACACGCGACACACGAATCTTCAGGCGGCCTCCACCGGATTTGGAAAATTTCCAGGAATTTCAGGCTGGAGTCTGGTAGACAAAGATTCGGGTCAGGAAGGTGCACATTTCGGCAAGAACGGCTATGTACAATTGGCAGCCGATACCGAATGAGATACATACTCACTAATGCAATGGACGACCACGACCTTTGAGCAACATCTGTGAACGACGAGATGGTTGTGTCCTGTGTTTCGCAGCGGGAATCTCACAACCAGAAAGCCCGGACGCCTGGTTGCCTTCTGGTTGCCCTATTCCTTTGTTCCGAACTCTTATTCAAGTCGATTTCGAGCATAGCGCCAACGTCCCGACCACGACCGAGCCATTCTACTTTCTTCTGCTTTGCGATTCATTGTCATGCGCTTGTTGGGTGAACGCTCACGATTGGCAGGAAGAGGAGACGAGATGCACTCTCGCCGCAGTCGACATGTCCAAACGCGATATTCTGCGCAAATGGTCCTTGTGTGCCTTTGTGAGGGCACGACAAGCGACCCTATGGAGTCGTCGAAGTCTTATTGTCCTTCTTTCCGTGACTCGCTCATCACTGACATCGCAGGCGATATCTCACATCGATTGCTGTTGCCCAGAAGCACTACACGATCACTTGCGCCTGCATGGGCATACGCTCATTTGACAACACGAACAGAGACAGCTTACTATCTTACCAGCCGATCTAACCGAATCACATTGTTTCTGACCATGTCTCACCTCAGCAGAATGGCCATCATGGCCGTGCTGTACTTTCCCCTCTCCACGCTAGCAAACCCTGTGGAGGCTTCCCAAATGCAGTACTCGGGCTCGGCTTCCGACGACGCCGTCGAAGTCATCTCCAAGACCGCCGTCACCATCATCACCGTCAGCGAGAACGCTGCTGACACACAGCCTGAAGTTGCTCCCACCGAGACCGAAGACGACGACGACGACAACAACTACTGGCCGACCTCCTCCGTCATCGGCATGAACCTCGAGCAACTCCTCTCCTACGAGTTCGACGACCACAATTTCGGCCTCCGGCCCTCCACCCAAGCCAGCAAACCCTCCCTCACGCACGGCCTGCCCTCCGCAACTCCCAAATCCGACGTCAGCCACCACTACGCCGGCGGCCTCAGTCAAGAAGAAGAAGAAGCCCACGCACTATCCATCATCAACGCCGTCGCCGCGCCCATCCGCGCTGCGGCAGCCTCCATCGGCAACGACGTCCCGGACAACAACGACCCGTCCGCATCCCCCCTCCCCACCCCAGCCGCCTCCCTCGACCGCCGCCTCATCTGGATCCCGAACATGGCGGGCTGCGACGATAAGGACTACCCCGGCCAGCCCCAATGGAAGCGCTCCATAAAGCTCCTCCTGCCCCCCAACCCCCTAGCCCCACGCGCCGAGCACCACGCCTACCGCGCGCGCCTCTACGACCTGGCCAAAACCGCGGCCCCCTACATGCCTCAAAATCGCGCCGTCGCTTCAGCACAAGCCCGGCGCTCCGCCGCTCTCTCCGCCCAGGAATCGGCGCGCATAGACCAAAACCACCAGCGCCGCCAGTACTGGGTCCCGTCGCAAGAGCTCGGGCGCGCCGTACGGCGCCGTGCTCAGCCATCCTGGATATGCACTCTACACGGATATGAGTGCGTACGAGAAGGCGCTGAGCACGTGGGCGAGCGACAACGCGTTGAATAGTTGTTGGAGCAGCCAGCCGCAGTTTGTGGTGACAACGGTGAAGAAGCAGGTCAGCAAGGCGCCGATTATTGGGAGCAAGACGTACAAGGGGAATGTTATTCCGAAGAAGGGGCAGCCGAAGGGGGATGGGGTTACCATTTGAGTGTGGGCTGAGGGTGTGTGCCACATGTATCAGGCCTTCGTGGAGGGAGAGGCCTTCTGGTGTTATCTTTTGTTTTTATCAATTTCTGGTCAATATTTCTGGTTGATAATAGCATCTTTCGTGAGTATATATTTCCTACAAAGCTCCACCAATGTCACGTCTAATACATGTAGCTACGAACCAAAGTATGCATTTTCGACGACTCGTCACGGTCTTTTGACGTCGCTCTCACTTACTGGCATACCTCAGCTTCATCGCCCTGAATGGCTTCGTGGCCTCGGACCAGCTTCACTGCATGCTTTTCCTTAAGAGGGCATTGCCTTCGAGGAGGCAATTTTTAAGCGGCAGAGAGACAGATGAAGGCGGACATTAGGAGCGAGCCACTGTGTGTATCTTACAGAGGCCTTTAGGGGCCACTTCTAGAAGATGCCAGAGTGTAAACAGCTGTGAGTGCGACGTCAATGAGCGACCTGTGGGCCTCGAGTGAGCTTGGTAAAGCCCTCGAAGTGCGGCAGCGTTGACGTAGACGTGCCTCTGTGTTGAGCGCCATTAGAATCCACGGCCACAGCAAAGGTGACTCGATTCTGTCGGAAAGACGAGGAGAAAATCTTCGCAAGCTCTCACGCAAGGCGAGTGCTTTGAAGCGCCGGCAAGGGATTGTTCATCAGCAGTGGCAACGATGTATTTATTCACTCCAATTCCCAGATTCCCACATCAAAGTTCGCCGTTCTATGCACATGTGTGACAGGATATGCCACACAACCCCAGAGACACGCTCTTCGCTTCGTTGACCCTTAGCCATTCGGCCGTTCATTCATGAATGAGCCTCTCTGACGTGCAAAATCTATGCCTACCATATAAAACTGTGCAGCCTGCCTCCGGCCGTCGTCCGGTAACCCCTCATTCTTCTTCCACGTCGCCACCCAGTGAGCGCTTCCCTGGCAAGTGCAACTGCCTGCGGTCTAGTAACGCGGCGAGCGCAATGCAAATCCCACAGCTCACTGAGCAGCCAGTACTCACGCAGCCGTGGCCAGGCCCGGTGTACGTTAGGACTGCGTAGTAGTTCTACGGCAACCCAGTCGCCGTGGTCTTCGTAGAAGCTGCTCCGCCCACAGATCCTGCATGGCCTGTAGTTTCGCCAGCATGTTGCGTTGCAGGGTCGTGTCTGGCCTTCTACACGGGAATTTTGAGAGATATGCTGAGGCTGATCTTCTATCCGGGACGCTTCTTCCTGTCGGTGGTCGTCCGGGTCTTCGTCATCGCGCTCCTCCCGGTTGCGAAGAACGTGCTTGCCTTTACATGCAACTTTTGAGCAAGTCGGACATGTCGAAGGTGCTTCTCCACGGTTATCAGACTGACCATCTCCATCCTCTCTACAGTGCTCTCCAAGCCCCTCGTTTGAGCTTCGTCCATAGCGCTTCCGCTTCCGAGAAAGGGCTGCACTTGAATTTCCTTCGGAGCGCTTCCGCTTCCGGGGGAGCGCTACGCTAGTCGTTGAAGCTGCGAAGTTGTCATCATCTCGTATCGTGATCTCTGATTGTCTGTCGAAACAAACTTGTGGCCGATGATCACCTCTGGTAAGTCTATGTAACACCGCCGTGAAACGCCATGCCAATTCCAATATGTCAAATAACGTGATGATTGTTGTATCTCGTGCCGGAGCAGTCTATGCTGGGGTCGCCCGAATCGTCGATCGATTGTCTCGCATATACACCCCCGAGTCCGTGCCAGACAGATTGTGGGCCGAGTGCGCTCGATCCGCGGCTTGTTGCTGTGCCACATGTTCGCGGGCGTAAAACTCGACTAACATTGTGCCGTATGCTTCCAATTCCTCCACGGGCACGCTCAGACGAAAATTGTTGAGTATCAAAAATTGCAGTTCGAGATGGTTGAGCTCGACTAGGGGCAGACCCCCGACCTGCGATATGTCAGTAGGAATTACTCTGCTTCGTGTTGCACTTGCCTTAGCATATCTTGAGTTGGTGTAGAAAACGTCGCTGAAGAACTTGCTGGCGCAAGTGACTCCGGCAATGACCAGCCTGTGAATATTGAAGCTGTCTACAACGAAGAAATTGCCGGCTTCTGCCAAGGTGGCCTCCATCGGTGGGGATGGAGGTGCCTCTGTGGGCGTGGAAGGTTCGTGCGGGTTAGGCGATCCGGACTGTGGTGGCGTCGGAGCTGGATCATGGCCTTCGAGTGACAGCGTGGACTCGCCGGTCGTCATGCTCGGTAGAGATGCTTCCGAAGCGTTAGGGTCCCGTCGCTGTGATTGCGACTGCATGAGCAGGTTCTTATTGACAACCTCGGTCATCCGGTCGAAATACACCAACAGACTGAGGAAGACCTCGTACGTTGTCGGACAGTACTTATGTATCCGGCTCAGGTAGCTCAAAATCGTTATGCTTGGTACATTTTTGCCATGGAAGGCCAGAACACTGGTCATTTGTGGGCTCATGTTGGCCTGATCTTCTGGAAGAGGTATGGGTCGGTTGATGTGGTCGTGGTTGCGGTCATTGGTGTGCGTTATCTTCGTCAGAAGGCCTGCCACCATTTCGATGATGTCGGTGACCGGCATAGAGCTTATCTCGTACTGTCGTCCGGAGTCCGATATATTGCTCCCTGTCCTCTGATGTAGCCGAGGCCGTGCAAGGTATTCTTCGCTGGCAAAACTCTGTATGTGGTTTAAATCGCGCACTCGTATCCTGCTGGGAGAGGTAGCAGCTGAGTCTGCCAGTGATCTCATTGACGGATGTGTAGGCTGGAGTCTGGGAGAATTGGGTGAAGATTGTGCCAGGCCTGAGGGCTGGCTCGTCAGGGGAAATCCTGCTTGATCATAACCCCGATTCTGCGGATTGTTCGCTGGATGATACCGCTGCTGGTTCGCATGGGCGGCATAGTTCGCCCGGACTGCATCGTCTCTTGCGTTGTCCTCTGTAGGTCTCATAGAGGGGCTCGGTGGTGGGGCTTCTCTTGCATCATGGTCTGAGACTCTGGCGGCCGAGTGCGAATCGTCGTGCGAAGCTTGCGTTGGCACCGCAACGCTGGATCCGTCATGGTGGTCTCGTTCCACCATGTTGTAGGGATATGTTAGGCTGTCCGATGAGGTTTGGGTGATTACCCGCGTTCCCATCCTTCAGCGTTCAACTGTGGCAGTCTGGTAGGAGGGATCTTGTCAGTATGATGACAGACGTGCTTGCAGCTTCGGAAAGTACAGTAGCGATTGGGCATTCGAGGTTATGTGTCTGCAAGTACAACGTCGAGACCGCCGGCGACTGCGCCGGTGGAGCAGCAGCTGGACCGCAAGTGCGGGAATTAGTGAGCTCTCCGGTACCAGCGATGCGATGGCCTTGTCGTTGCTATCGCATACGCCGCCACTGAAGGTACTCTGGAGTTGCTCCTGGGCTTGCCGTCGGAAGGGCAGACCCAAGGTCGCTGTGGGGTTTCGCAATGGAAGAAGCGGTGGGTTCAAGCCAGGAACCTTGACATGTGCGGCGATTGCGGGCGGCTAGAGAGGTGACAGAGACAGAGATGGGAGTTGGCTTACCGGTGACATCTCTTTCTAAGAGCGACTAGAAACAAGCAGCAAAGATACCAAAGAAATGAGTGACGCTACAATGCTAGAAGGAGGGGAATGGATAGTATCATGGACAATGAATATCTTGGTTGGTGTCGGTTGTGTTGAGACCAAATCTCGAGAATCGCAGTTCCATCACAGAGAGATCTGGGAGTAAGGCAAGTCTCCCTATTGGCTCCTTCCTAGGCGTCGGGCGAAGCCTCAGGCGTCATCGCTCCTCCCAAATGCCCGCCAAAATTAAGCACGAGGCAGCCACGACCACCCGGAACCCTCGTACCCTCAGCGGCCCCCCTGCTCGGCTTGCTTGCGCATAAAAGATTAAAATCTTTGGCTTTGACCATGTCCAACACCTTCCAGACGCAAGTACCGGCATGGCTGTTAATGCATCGATGCACGCTTACATAGCTACGCCCTGTCCATGATGCCCGAAATGCACCGCGAACACTGCCCGACCCGTGTACGCCTTTGGGGTTTGTCCGTGTTGCGCTTGCCTCCACGCATATTTGAGGAACGACTGCCATCACTACCTTTGGCTTTGCCTTGCTACTCATTGTACACCGGGCCCCGAGTAGCCTGTGTCTGGGAGATAGAGATGTCTCACAGCACCTCTGTTCGTCAACACCACCATTCGAATGACACCACCTGAACTGCCGTCCCATTTGATTGCCTCTGCAAGAGAGCCCTTCACGAACTTGATGCCTTCCTCCTCGGTCATGTTCTCCTGCCAGTGCGCATCACAGTAGCCGTAGATGTATGTTGAGCCCGAGCCACCGATGGCATACTTCTGTTTGTGTAGGGAGCCGCCGAGAGGTATCGAGTAGACGGAACCGCCGTGGCGTTTGTCCCATCCTGCAATGATCATGCCGGCGCTGTCCTTGTCAGTAACGTCTTTAGCGAGGACCGTGTAGTGCTCACCTGAGCTGATCCTTGTTCTCGTAGCACAGCTCTTGGAACAGAGCCGCAGCTGTCTGTGTAGTAGGTCCTCCCTCGTTTGTGATGCCATACATAGCCAGGTGGTATTGCACGATATCCGCCACTGCTTGAGTGTCTGCAGCCGAGCCTGATCGACAGCACCATATTGTGTCATGTACTTGTGTGAGCTTGTCTGTGACTCGGTTGGCAATGTATGCGCCTGTGGTAGTTCGGCTATCGGCTCCTAATATCACACCGTCCTTGAAGTTGATGGCCATAATCGACGTTCCCAGGTTGACCTCGCCAGATTTGAGGTGGTTCATATCCACGTGTATGCCATCCTCCCCCAGCATGCCTGTCGCATTCCCCGTGAGCATCTTGCTTGATGAGTTCCGGAACCCGCTCAAGTAGGCTGTAGACGTCTGGTGGGAATAGTGTGAACTACGGAGAGCTTGTGATTGAACGGTACGGATAGGCGCAGTCGGTGGATGACGGTGGAGGACGGTTGAGGGTGTCGACAGGTGTGGAAGTGGAAAGGTCTCGATACCATTGAAGTGTAGACCAAAGGCACCGAGAAGACGCGACTTCAACCCCAAGGCGATTTGCTACGGCGAGTCACATGTGCCAACACCGCACCACTGATATCATTCATGCCAGCGATTTGAATACTACTAGTAGAACCAACGAGTTGTTCACAACACCGTGGCTACTTCCTGACATAAGGTACTCGGCCAGCGCTCGATCAATTTTGTCTTGTTCACGGGCTCGGCGATCTCATGTCGCAGCCATATTATTCCTGATCGCCCTCTTGGGACACCCATTGATCTCATCACTACTGCCTGTGTTGCACTCGTTTTCACTTCTGCTTTCAACACGATGAGTGCCGGCTGGGGAGCAGCCTCGCTGCTATCCTACCTACGCATCCCAGTTCTTGCATCCTCTGGCCTGGCCGCTGTTGGCAGTAGCCTCCTATACTTCAAGCAAAATGCACTCATCTACCCTGCAAACCTTCCACCTGGTGCTCGTACCGAAGTTCCACGCCCAGAGCAACTCAAGATTGACAACGCCGACTCTATCCAATTCCCAACACCCGACGGCGAGACTCTACATGCATACTTGCTGAGGCCAAACGAGAACGGCCAGTTGCAGAAGAACATAACGCTACTGACGTTTCACGGCAATGCAGGCAATATAGGCCACAGACTGCCGATCGGCAAGGTTCTGGCTGAAAGTTTGGGGTGCCATGTCTTCATGGTAGAATACCGTGGCTACGGGCTGTCAACCGGCTCGCCCAGCGAAGAGGGCTTGACGATCGACGGACAGACCGCGCTCGACTATGTCCGCAACCACGACGAGTTGAGCAAGACCAAGATTGTCATCTACGGCCAGAGTCTCGGTGGTGCTGTGGCAGTCAAGCTGGTCCAGGCCAACCAGAATGCCGGTGACATTGCTGGAGTGATCCTCGAGAACACGTTCACCTCAATCCGCAAACTCATTCCCATCGTCATGCCGCCCGCCAGGTTCATCGCAAGTTGGTGCCACCAGAAATGGGGTACTGACGAGACTTTGGCGGAGGTCACCAACAAGAAGATTCCCTTCCTCTTCCTCTCGGGTCTCCGCGACGAGATAGTGCCTCCAGTCATGATGAAGACCCTATTCGAAACTTGTCCTTCGCGAAAGGCCTGGAAAGAGTTTCCCAACGGCGACCATAACTCGACAGTGGCCGAGCCAGGCTATTTCGACGCCATCTGGACCTTCCTTGTGCAAGACGTCCTCGATGGCTTCCGTGGCGTCAAGAACGGACCAGCCGAGACTCATGTGCCCAAATCCGAGCTCTGGAGCTGATCTCACCTCGCGGATGGATCGAATCACGAAACTCGCTCGGCTTCGTCAAGCAACTCCTCCAGACTAAACGTCGTATCGCCGGTACTGAACTTCCGCATCAGTTCCTGCCTCTTGTCCTTGCCCATGCCACCACCATGACCCTCGACATCATAGAACTTTTGCAGGCACATCAACAGCCACCGCGCTTCCTCCGCACTCACTCCTCGCCCATTCACAACTCCACCATTGAGCAAGACCAGCTCGTGGCTGTCCGCCAAATCCAGATGGTGTGTAATGGTCGTATGCGGCTGCGCATGTTCCCCATGCAGCTTAAATGCCGCCAGATGTGTGAAGATTACTGTAGAGGTATGCGTATTCGCCGTCCGCTGTCCCGGTGTAGGCGCCACCGAAGGCGCATGCCACGCCCACTGCAGAAAATGCACGTCGGCGGTCGTGCGCTTCACATCCTTGCCCGCAAAACCATCCGCCGCCTGCTGGATATCTCCCGAACCATCGTCGGACGCGGGTCGTGGAAGTGGTAGGATAAATTGTGGATGTTTCTGGGCAGATGCGAGCATCCTGTTGTATGTTGATAGCGGGATTACGGCTGTGAGGGAGTTCGGGTCGGAGGCGTGGCGCAGCCTCCAGATAAGCTCAATCTCTTTTGCGGGCAGACTGGCGATCTTCTCGAGGTCGAGGTATGAGGACAAAGGCTTGATGCCTGTGTCAGGGACTTTGTGCGTTGGCGAGCCTTTGCCTTGAGCTTGGTGTGGCTGCGGTGTCGGCGGAGGCGGCGGTGGATGCTGCAATCCCGTCCCTGTTACTGTCCCTGCATCTTTAGAACCACCAGCTCCAATCGGCGGTCCAATCGTAGCGGCTTTTCTCCTGACATCACTGATCTTCTCCTTGTAGACCTCCTTCAGCTCTGAGATCGACTCGAGTCCCTCTGCCCGCGCCTTATCTTGTAGCTTCGCGCGGTACTTTTCTGTGATGGCGGCCGACGAGGTCTGTTGCGTCGTGACGAAGCGCACGTCGTGTACACGGGCGTGGCGGCGCTGCGGGCGGAGAGAGAGGCGTTGCGAGATGTGCGCTGGGAGAGGGGCGATTGTGGTTGTACGGCGCGCGGGGAGGCGGACGGACGCTGCTGCTGCTGTTGAGGCTGGTTGGACCAGCAATCGCGGTGGCGGTGGCATCTTGTAGGGATGTGGTAGGGATTGAGGGCCTGCGGGGTGGCTCAGTCGTACTGTAGTCGTGTCGTGCGAGCTGCTGAGGTGCTGCGGCGCAAGGACTCGCTGCCGGTATTGGGAGCGTACAGACGAACGGCGGTCGAGTTCGGGTGAGGATATAGACCAGGTGGGCAGCGATGAGGATGGAGACGTAGTTAGTTCTGTCTATGAGTGGATGCAATGTGTAGGTAGACAGACGCAGACGCAGTTCATCGATTCGAATCGAGAGAAGCTGGAGACACTCCGATTGGTCACCGCTTGGAGATGTTCCGTCTTTAGCAAGCGAAAGTCACAGACGAGGCAGCAAGTCATCACCTTCACACAACGGGTATCACGCGAAGAGCATGTTCTTAAAGATTTCATCCCTACGTCCCAACCCTCCCTCCGGGCTATCGGTGAGCCTCGCACCTCAGACAGTATTAGCTCAAGCCATAGATGGTGTCCAGATGCTTGTTGCAACCGGAGGTGTCTCAAATCCTCTCGACACAAAATCAACAGCAACGATTCAGAAGCGTCCTTCGAGTGCATCTGTCGCATTGAGTGCGCTCAATGCTTTGCTGTCACCTCAGACTCGTCGTTGCCTTGCTTTGCCCTCTCCGACCTCTGTTCAGCCCCTTGGCCGTCACTCACTTCCTATGCAATGCCATCAGAATCGAGGATGTCGATTCCAGATGCATCAGACTTACATTGGTAGATCGATCGGCTTGAACTCCACCAGAGGCTTGACCGAGAACATGACCGCCGCCTTGGAAGGCTGAACCAGACTGACGATTCTCCGCAGGTGGTGCCATGACTGCTATTGGCGGCGGGTGCAACTTGGACGGGTTGAGGTATCGAGTGATTGGTACCTGGATGGGAAAGCAGAGAACTTGGAAGGGTTGACAAATCGATTGAGTGGTAGGAAAGGTTGAAGGAGATGGAGGGTAGGATGTGTTGGATATATACCTGGACAATGAGCATTCACTGTCCTACCAATGTATTCACTCAAGTACTTGCAACGAGCGGACCACCGAGCAGGACTTCAACGCTCACTGTCGTCTGAGATTAGTCCGATTTCTACTTGCGTTCGCTGCTGGGTCAGTGTGGTCGCAGTTAGTAGTAAGATCAGTGCATGTGGTGGTGCTGGTGCAGAGCAAAATGAAGCCAATGAGGTCGTCCTGAAGTCCTCTGCGGAAATGCAAATGAATGAGCCTTATGGAACTCGCTTTCGAAAATCAGATCCCCGTCAGCCAGTCTCAAAAGCTGAAGACGCCATCCGCCCAATGCTCGCCGCCTGAAGTCCGGCTTGCTCTGTTGTAAGTTCACCTTCAAGATCCGCCTGTAATTGAACGCCCTCGCTGATGCAATTTTTCCGAATGCCCTTAATGCAGCCTTCTCCCTCTATCGCCATTAAACTTGGTCCGTCTGATGCACTTCGTTTATGCCTTTCCGGGTCCTGCCATGCATCGAATCCACCTCAGCACGCCTATGTGCCTCGTCTCGTAGTCTGACTTCTTCCGGCCGCCAGATTCGTTGCAACTCGTAGACCGCCGACGCCGGTACTTCCATCGGCAACGAAAGCAGTTGTTCTGACGCAGCCGACCGCATACTGTTGCTCCTCATATCATTGTGGCTGTTTCCAGTGCGAGGCCGATCCCACCTTAAGCTCATAGTCGAGTTGAATGACTTGTTCCGGTTATGCTGGAACGACATACTCCGCCCATCGTACAAGTTGCCATACGACACACTCCTCCTGTGATGCCCGAAACCCTCCTCCTGACGATACTACCGTCTCGGCGGATCCGACACGTCCCTATAATGTCCCGCCGGCAAATGCCTACTCGGCGGCCGCTGACTCTGCCTCGCCGCTTCCGCCGTCGGGCTGAAGAACAAGCTCGGCACGCTCGAAAAGCTCCTCGGCAGCTTGCTCAGGTCTGCCATGTCGTGCCCTGATTGCGCCGCAGCAGGTCCGTTATTGCTGTGCTTCTTCATGTCCGGCAGAGGAGTATAGTTCATGGCCGTACCGCCAGCTGTGGCGGCGACCTTCTTGGAATTGCGATTCATGGCCCAGGACGACATCAAGCGCCAGACGAAGATCATGAGGATGATGAATCCCAGGGCGGCGCCGACGACGATGAAGACGAAGTTCTCGGGCAGGCGGGAGGATTGCATGTAGGGTGCGTTGGCGACGGGTGGGACGGAGGGAGGCGGGTAGCTGAAGACACCGGTGAGGGTGGGCGCTGCTTGACTGCCGCTGGGGCGGAGGGAGACTGTTGGGTCGGAATCTGACATAGTTGTGGTTGTTGTGTGGTGACGGCTTAAGAGGGGGTGGGGGGTGTCGAGGGAGATTGGGTGCGTAACCCGAGAGCTGGTGTCGAGCGAGCGTGAGGAGTTGTGGTGACACCAATGCGTGTGGTCGTTCAATTGAAGGCTTAACAAAGGAGATGTGAGATCAGGCAGGGATTATTGAAGGATGTGATGAGGAAAGATGGGGTAGCGAAGGCGAAGGGGCTTGGGCGTGAGCCGAGCCCAATCGAGAACTCGGGGCTTGTTTGTCTCAGGCAAACTCTTTCTTTAGGCGTCAAATACGGTGGTTCGACCTGAGAGCGCGGAAGGTCAGCTCCGGCCGCCGGAGGAGCGATTTGGAGATATGGCCAATTCACTGCCCGCATTTTCGGGAGGCTCAAATAAAATAAATGCACCCACTTCGCCTTGATGTGACTTTCTACCAGCATCGACTAGAGCGCATTGGGAGACGTCGCAGACCGTCGAGATGGGCGTCCAGAAGAAGACGCGCAAGTTCGCGACCGTGAAACGCATCATCGGCCAGAAAGATGCCCGCCTGAAGCAGAACCAGCAAAAAGGCGCAGAGTTGGCTAACAAGAAGAAAGACGACGATGTGATTAGAGAAGTGTATGCTACCACATCTCTATATACCGCCGAGTTACTCACTGACAGTCTCCCAGCCCACAGATGTCCTCCGCCCTCTTCTTCCAATACAATACTGCCCTTGTACCGCCCTACAACGTTCTCGTCGACACCAACTTCCTCTCCCACACAGTCCAGAAGAAACTCGAGATGCTGCCGACCATGATGGACTGCCTCTACGCCAAGTGCATCCCCATCATCACCGACTGCGTCATGGGCGAACTCGAGAAACTCGGGCCCAAGTACCGGATCGCGCTGCGTATAGCGAGGGATGAGCGCTGGGAACGGCTGAAGTGCGGGCACAAGGGCACGTATGCTGATGACTGTATCGTGGACCGGGTGATGAGACATAAGATCTATATTGTGGCTACGAATGATCGGGATTTGAAGCGGAGGGTCAGGAAGGTGCCGGGTGTGCCGATCATGTCGGTCGCAAGGGGAAAGTATGTGATTGAGAGGCTGCCTGATGCGCCGGAGAAGTGAAGAAATCGGTGAAGAGGATTTTGAACGCTATCAGAGGAAGAAGTTTTGGCCAGACCAAAAGGCATGGCGCTGGGACATCGCTAGCAATCGCCGAAGGCCGTTTCCACATCGAATGGCAAGCAACGGCAGATACAAGGACTCAAACAGCAACGCCACCAGCACGCCGCCCAAGATACATCCATGCAGCGCCAATGCCCCACAGCACTACCGCAACAGCAACACCACTCGCCATACACAGCCCAGCAATAACGCGGTTCTTCTGCTGGAATGCTTGGTCCATTTCCGACTTGGCCAATTTCCGTTGGTGGGAGTGGTAGTAGCCTCCCTGCTTGCTGTCGGAGCCGAAGATGCTGGTGTAGATCTTCTTGTCGACGAGGAAGAGGGAGACCAAGAAAGAGATGAAGAGGACTGGTCCGATTATGAGGCGCGAGATGAGGGATTCCGGCGAGGCGGTTGTGATGGTTTGTGTTGAGGCTTTGGTTGACATTATGTGAGACATGTGAGGAGAGCGTCGGAAGGGCTCTACGGCTGAGGTTTGACTTGCCGGAGCGAAGCAGACGATGGCTGTCTTGAGGAACGGCGATGCTTCGCCTTCGGTGGGATAAGGCGCTATTGTCGAAGACAGCAGATCAATCAGAGAAACTTGAGGTCTGTGTTCAAGCTATGTTTTGCTCTTTGTTCCCTCGGTGTAATGGCCAGACCTTGGTCGCTCGAGTCTCGGAGTTCGTCGACAATGCGCAAGTGTTGTGATATAGGTCAGTTGCTGTCAGTTGTATTGATTGTGTCCGTGCCACCACCCAGCAGTAATGGACATATATATTCATAATCACCAGAGCCTGTCTACAAAGCTCTCGCAAATCGTAGCTTAACTTGATCGACCATAGCTTTTGCATCAACGTCGAAAATAGCAAAGCCAAGTTCAGGCATCATCATATCCAGCTTCTGATGTGCTGTGCTGCATACGTCGATCATCGATGGGGCAGCGGGCTGTGATGCACTGCTTGGGATGACTCAGCCCCCTACAGGGATCTGGACGCCGAAAACGCGAGCACGACGCCGTGGAATGCCTATACGCGTATATTGCACTTCCACTGGCAGCCTGCTGTGCTATTTAGTGCTTGCATTTTCTATCTCGCGGATGCCGTTCGGAAAGGACACCGAGATGTCACGGGGTGAAGATTGACTTCAGTCGATGCCTGGTGAGCTTTTGATCCCGAATGTGCGTGCAGTTGGAAGTCCTTGAACCGTTCAGAACGTCGACGATAGGCGAAGCGAAAGGCGAGCAATGCAGCAGGACCATTGACACGTCTGTATGTTCTTGAATAGCAGGCAGGAAACCTGCTATGCTATCTTGAAGGTCTCATCTACATTTGGTTCTAAGCACGCGTTGAAGGGACGGTCTCTATCTGCGGGTCGAGATGCGTCCAGAGTAAGATCTCAAGAGAAAGGGTGCAAGCACCCTACTCTGGACGCATCTCGACCCCGGGCCGCAGATAGAGACCGTCCCGTCAACGCGCCTACTCTACCATGATCAGGCGAATGCAAGGAAGGTGCGGATGTGAGTCTGAAGGCAGCTGCGTCACGCGGGCAGGAGGATGTCAAGGTTCTTGTTAGGCAGGAGCAAAGTGCTGAGGGCAGGTTCCTTCCTGGGCAATCCGGGTCAGCCAGCCGTTGCTGATAAAGTGTGCGGAAAGCCGAAGCAGAAGTAAATCGAACTGTGTCCAAATCTGTTCGCGGATTTGACTGATTGTGAATGGCTCACGAATCGACCAGATATCAGCTCTTGAGGGAAGTGCCGTCCGTGGCATCCAGTCTGGTCAACTCGCTGGGCCGGAGTATCTCCTGCTGTCTTGCAACAACGAGTTTGATCGAGCATGAATCTGATCTGCAAGTACAGGCAAGGACAGGCGCGCCTTGAGTTCGCAAGTCGGATAAACCTCTCGATATGTACTTCTCGGATGGCATGCCGCTTGTGAAGTATCTCTAGTGGAAGGGATCGGATGTCGTGAATAGCCCAGGCTTCGATTACCAAGATGTGGGGGGCTAAAAAGTCTGCTAAACGATGTTTCCACCAGAGCCTCACGAGCCCGCCGCTCTTGAGTTTGCGATCGCCGTCACCAAGATATCTGTGGCGCCAGCCGCCGCAAGGTCGTCCATAACGGTCGCTATCTTCGACTTCTCCACCATCACGCTTATCGCAACCCAACCTTCCTGCTCCAGAGCTTGCACAGTCGGCGCGGTCCTGCCGGGCGTAATCTTCGACATCTGGTCCATCTTCGCTCGTGGTGCATTGTATATACAGAGCACATATCGCTGAGCTGTAATTACACCACGGATTCGAGCTGCAACGACATCGACTAGTCTTTGGTCCGACACTTTCCTTGCCTTGATCAGTACTGCGGAGGACTCCACGACTGTGTCAATTGCTTTCAACTTGGCAGCGCGCATCGTCTCCCCGGATTCGACCAAGTCCACGATGCCATCGGCGACACCTAACGCACAGGCTGCCTCGACACTGCCTCCGAGAGATCGGATGTTGGTTTTGAGTTTGGGCACAGGTGACATTGTGCCGTTGACCGATTCTTTTCGTGATCCCTTCCCTTCCAGACGGGCGAAGTAGTCCTCTGCGAGACCAGTGAATGATGTAGCGATGTTCTTCCCAACGAGATCCTTTACTTCCTGTATACTGCCGTTCTCTGGTACTTGTACTTGTAATTTGCACCTGCCAAAACCAAGGTCCATGATCTGCTCCACGCCTGACTGTTGGCCCAGTGGTAGATGTGCATCATGCTCAGCCACCTGGTCGAGTCCAGTGATGCCCAAGTCCACCTTGCCCTCGCCAACAAATGTCGGTATGTCCGCTGCCGGAAGAAATACTAGGGCCATAGGGTGGTTTTTGACGAGAGCAATGTCCAGACGAGCCTCGCGGCGGAATTGGATGTCACTGCCGGATAGGAGGTCCAGTGTGGCTTGCTGTAAACGACCCTTTTTGGGTACGGCGAACAGCAGCCGGTCTGGAAGGTCTTTCACAAGACCCTCCATGGTACACTCTCGTTGGTTGCTTCGGCGTGTTGCGGAAACAGTGGCTGTTCGAAGTCTATAGTCCCTGGTCTACAGTGTTGAGTTTGTAGGCACGTCCAGGTGTTTGGCGATGTTTGGAGGACGAAAGCTGTTCTAGGACGTCTGTCCTAGATGTCAGTCAAAATTTTGATTACCCTGTGCCACGAGTAGAAATGAACTCACCTTACTGGAGCAAAGATTGCTCGGTTGATTCCGAGCAGGACAGCAAGCAAACCTCTTGGCATAGCCGATACTGCCCCGAACACGTGACATCGAAAAGTTCGCCAAGAGAAATTCTTGCCCGCACACCCAGTTCGTCCCGCATCGCAGCGCATCCATCACACGTCTACAGATTGACAATTATCACGACCGATCCACGAACAAACTCGCCTGTCTCTCCATCCGAACCCATCACCCGCTAGTTGATCGACATCGTCCGCCAATATGGATGCCGGAAAGGTCCCCGTCAAGCTCGTGAAGGTCACCAGAGTCCTCGGCCGAACAGGTATGCGCGCTGTACACTGAAGAGGAGAGACAACATGACACTGATTGTGTTGCAATACAGGCTCGCGAGGTGGTGTTACCCAGGTCAGAGTCGAATTCATGGACGACACAAGCCGAAGCATCATTCGAAACGTGAAGGGTCCTGGTGGGTTGACAAAATATTTTGCGATCGAGCCAAAATACTGATTTGGTTGCTCTAGTCAAAGTGGATGATATTCTATGCCTACTCGAGTCCGAGAGAGAAGCTAGGAGATTGCGATAAGTGCTTGGGAAGCAAGGCGAAATACGATTCACATGTTGAGCATGAGGACACAACGGTCACGGCGGCCTTCGACAGCTCGCGGTGTTCGGGTTTGATCGGCGAGATCTTTAAGGAGCCCAATTGCAACGCCATGCCCCCGACGTCTGCTGCGACATTTCGAAAGGCACGTCATGGCAGCTAAGAGGCTGAGGGTGAAAAGTAAGGGCACAAGATTCAGCGAAGCCGAATTCATATGAATCCATTGACCTATTGAACCACAATTGAGCGATAGCTTCGATGTGGCAACAACGCCCCTGCTGCCATGAAAACCCCGAGTCACTCCATCGATCCCGTCTGTGGTCCAACAGCGACTTTTGCCGACATGCGCGAGCTACCGACGAATTTGTCCCTCGGAGCCGCACATACTGAATAACAAGACGGTTCTGGATCGTTCCATTGACCTTGCTGACTTGAATCCTTCTCTACACTGCAGCGCAATGACCAGAGCACATTGACAGATCCACAATCACTGTAAGCAGTCACCAGCAAGAAGCCACGGCATACATTCACGAGAGCATAGCTACACCGCTCAGTCACTCCACACATTCGCCATCACTACCTCCCATCGACTTTGGCTGCTTTAGCCTAAGCATGCACTACACCTGTGTACATATGCCAACTACTTTCATTACATGCATCGTGATCGTCGTACTACACGTTGCTGGTATGTATATGGAGCCCGATGCAGGTCTTGTCGCTTTGAATGGGACTCACGTAGAGCAAACACATGTAAAATGGCTTCGACACCATATCAGTCTGCTCTGGCTGGCTGAGTTGGCATGAGCAGTTCAATCGTACTTCGTGGCTTGTGCCGACACAATATCTTTAACGCTGACTAATCTTGGACGCCTTCTAGATGCTTGGCATGAGGCATCTTGGGAGGCGTCGATTGCCACGCGACGCCATCGCCATCTGCCTGGTTGGATCAACTCATCTAGAGCCTTTTCTTGTTCAGGTGACTGCCGACATGAAGCACTTGTCTTTATTGGCATACTCGCGCTCTTTCTAGGGTGTTCGTGGTGTCCTTCCGATGATATGACCAAGCTCATGCAATGCCTCGACTAATGAGCGAAATTGCAGCATAGATCGTTGCATACTTTGATTCTCCTCATCCATCATATTGAGCAGCTGTACAGCGCTCGCTAGACGCCAATGGCCTCAAGTGTGCCGCCTGATCCGGTACGCGAGTATCAGCTTATTGAGAAACTCGAATTACGGATCGGGGGCGCCAAAAACGATGAGCAATTTCAAGACATCATACAGAAATTTCTACCCGCCCTCATCCTGAAGCTGGCATCAGAGACCGAGAGGAACCGCAATTTGACCATCAAGGTCTGTCAGTATGTTAGCCAAAGACTAAAGATCAGCCATGGCATCCAGCTGCCACTGCCTGGGCTTTTCAAAAACCTGCAAAGCTCGGACTCACCTTTCGTTCGCCAATTCAGTCTGGTCTTCATTCAACAGGGCGTATCACGAGTCAAGACTGAGGATGCGTTGCGACTACTGCCGGAAATCCTCAAGTTTGCCATTCCACAAGATCTGAGTACAGCCAACGCAACTAGTCTAAAGCTCTGGTCCATAGCTTTCGACTTTCTTCTGGATGGCTTGCGAGGTTGGAAACCGCCTGAGCGTGGCAGCAAGGAGGACCTCGCACTCAAGGAGTCGTATGAGTTGTCTTCGATGCAGTCTGGACTCCTCGCCCAAACTTTGTCCGACTTCCTCATATACGATCCGAAAATTAGTCAGACTCTGCAAGCGTTGGACGAGAATTTTCGAGCTGTGTTCGAAAAGCAATATCGCCAACGCAGCGCTGTCGTTCCTTCTCTGGCGAACTTTGTGTTCACGTCCATATTCAATGACGAAGAACGCTTACTGCCCGCCACAATCATGACAGTCGATGCGAATCTCGCTGCTGCCAACACAGCTGATACTATGTTCAAGCAATGCCATTTCGATCTCGAGTCGGAAGGATCTGTACGACTACTTACAGCCTATACGATCGTGCAAGACCGAAACTGCAGACCAAGATTCTTACAATGCTGGCACGAAGTCAGAAGGCAACCGAGCAAGCCGAGAAAATCTACAGTATCATCGAGCAGCAGTTAAAGTCTTCAGCGACAGGGCTAGAGGCGGCCAAGCTCCGAGCAGCTCTGTTCTCCTTCTTGACATGGGCAGTGAGGATGGGACCGAATATGGCAACTATAGAGGTTAGAACACTGCAGCTTCTCAAGAATTACATCGAGGAACAAGGCTGGCCAACTCCCCAAGATCAGTCTCATATGGAGGTCGAGCTTCGTGCGAGAGCTTATGAGAGCATCGGCTTGCTGGCTGGCTCTTTAGTGGCGTCCGGAGATGCAATCTCTGTAATCACCTGGCTCTTCACATCTTTGCGCTGCGACGAATCACGCGACGTTCGAAGCAGCATAGAAGAAGCCCTCGGTCGGATCATGAATCTCATCCGCTCTAATGACGAGACCTTCCTAAAATCACTTCGAGATCTGCTGTTGTGGAACACGTCAGCACAGCTTGGCGACAGCGATCCTGTGTACCATTATCCAAGTGTCAACAGCGCCAAGTACGTTGCAGTGCGGTTCGCAAACAAATGCTTGCCATTCCACGACGCCGTTGCCCGTCAAATAGATGTACGAGCCTTTGACTCGAGCGAGAGAAAAGAACTTGCGGACGAGGGTGCCCGAGGCCTCGATCCACATTGGCATCGGTCCAATCAGACTTTCATTTCCGGCGATGCCACCAAGATGCAGTATCCAGCTTTTCGCGATCTGATAAATGTCTTTTACGGCACTGGGGCGAGCACGACTCCAGATCTTGGCCGCACTGCGTCTCGACAGGCGGCGATATTCTGCCGCAACATCCTGGTCCATGAAGCATTGCAGGAGACCGAGGCTGGCCTCGACGACGCGAAGGACTGGGACGCCCAGGTCGATGCTGTCATTTCAAACAATGCTGTGGCTCGGAGCGCCATTCGCGAATATCTTGACGAACTGCAGGCAGACAATCTTGTACCGTTGTTGAACTCAGTCTTGCAGAAAGGCGCAATGTCCGATGTTAGGATGGCGGAAACAGCTATCCAGCTACTCAGCTTGACTAGTGAGGCTGCGTTGAAAGTCATCGGGCCCAGTACGGTCGGTATCCTGCAACAAGACTTGGTGAATCTACAGACACAGTACTCTGCGGCTCGAGTCCTGGGAATGCTCGATCCCCCAGCGACTTCGGTTGAGCATCTCAAAGCAGCACTCGAGAGCTGCGTAGGGTGGCAGAAGGCCGTCGGGCTCGAGGCAGTCAAAATACGCGGACAAGTACTGCTGATCACTTTTGTCATTACTCGACGGGGTCTCCGGAGCGGTTCTACGCCAGATTTGGAAGTTCTGGCTATGCTCAACAAGCTTCTCCGAGATATCCTGTTGCAGGCGACGGATTTGCCCATGAAGAGTGCGGCGATCGTTTGTCTAGGGCAGCTGGCGTTGTGTGTGCAGCCCACGGAAGAACTCAAACTGTCGCCGGACGAGGTCGATGACGCATTGATCAAAGAGTGCAAAAAGCAGAATGAGCAAGCCGCAACAGCGCTTGGCCGCCTCATCAACTACAAGTCAGGTGTGGCAGGTACGGACGCGGTATCGCCACTTCTCGAACGTGTCCTCGCCTTGCATGAGGTCAAACAAGCCGAATTCCATTTCGCTCTCGGAGAGGCATTGGCTGTTGCAGTGGCTGGCTTTCAGTCAAATTCTACTATGACGGAGCTAGATGTGAGAGCAGATGTGCCTTCTTGGGGCGCGAGGCCAGACCTTCAGGAGCATCTGCTGGGTAAGGTACTCGAGCATACCAGGACCACGAAACCCACGTTGAAGAAGGCCGCTGCAATATGGCTGCTAAGCATTGTCCAGTTCTGTGGAGATCTACCCAGCGTCACTTCCCGGTTGACTGAATGTCAGGTTGCCTTTGCACGTCTCTTGAACGATCGTGACGAGATCACACAAGAAGCTGGGTCCAGAGGGCTCGGCATCGTGTATGAGAAGGGAGACAAAAGCTTGCGAGATGATCTAGTTCGAGATCTTGTTCAGTCCTTTACTGGGACTGGCGCGAAAATGTCTGGGACAGTCACCGCGGATACGCAGCTCTTCGAGGCCGGCGCCTTACCCACAGAAGGTGGGCAATCTGTCTCAACTTACAAAGACATCGTCAGTCTTGCCACCGAGATGGGTGACCCCAGCTTGGTCTATCGATTCATGAACTTAGCATCCAACAATGCCATCTGGTCGAGCAGAGCCGCCTTCGGCAAGTTTGGACTCAGCAATGTCCTGGCAGATTCTACCTATCTTTCGGAGAACAAGAAGTTCTACCCCAAGCTCTTCCGCTACCGATTCGATCCCAATCCAAATGTCCAGAGGTCGATGAACGAGATCTGGCGGGCTCTGGTGAAAGACCCTTCGGCTGTGATCAATGAAAATTTTGGCCTCATTATGGACGACTTACTGAAAAGTGTACTGGCTGGGAAAGAGTGGCGAGCTCGTGAGGCGAGCTGCGCCGCTATAGCAGACCTGGTGTCTGGCAGAGACATTGAGAAACTCGAAGGATACCTGGACGAGATCTGGAAGGTAGCCTTCAAGGTTCTGGACGATGTGAAGGAGACTGTCAGAGTGGCCGCGATGAAGCTCTGTCGGACCTTGACGAACATGCTTGTTCGAAATCTAGAGGTCGGCCAAGGCAACACGAAACGAGCCACCACACTTCTCAATCACGCTATGCCATTCCTCCTCAAGCAGATGGAAGGCGGCCAAGCACAGGAGGTTCAGCAATACGCGACTGTCACTCTGCTGGAGGTCGTCAAGAAGAGTCCACCGAGATCTTTGCAGTCTTTCGCGCCAACAATACTGGAAACCCTTGTCAACTCCTTGAGCACTCTGGAACACGAGAGCATCAACTACCTTCATCTCAACGCCGATAAATATGGCCTTACTGCAGAGAAGCTCGATAAGATGCGGGTTTCGAGCGTCAATGCGTCTCCAGTCACTGAAGCGATCGACCGGTGTCTGGAGAGCTTAACAATGGCGGCGCCTGTTCCAGCGGCTGATGATGCGACCGACCATATGGATGGTGTTGAGTCGACTGTGTCACCCATGGACGATGCTATGCGCCGACTGGAGGCTTCCTTCAAGTCTGCCATAGGTCTGCCTTCTCGTGTCGGACTTAGCAGAGTCATCGTCACGCTTGTTGTGCGCCATCCTACCGCTTTTCGACCCTATGCAGACAAATTTGCGCAATTGCACCGCAAACATGTGATTGATCGGAACGCAACGATAAGTGTCGCTTTCAGTACATCTCTCGGCTACCTCATGCGACTTGCTTCGGAGAAAGAGGTCCGAGCTACAAGCAAACATGCTCAAAAACTGTACTTTGAGTCGCAAGAATTGTCACACCGATCTGTCGCAGGAGAGATCTTGCAATCTATCTCGAAGACCTCGAATGATATCTTTAATAAGTATGTATCGACCTTCTTGCCCTTTGCTTTCATAGGCCGTAACGACACGGATGAAGAGGTTCGAGAACGCTTTGATCCACCATGGAAGGATAACATTGGCGGCTCTAGAGCCGTGCAATTGTACTTGCAGGAGATATCTGCATTGATCATGACGCACATCAAATCACCTCTTTGGCCGATCCGCCACGCTTGCTGCTTTGCAGTGGCAGATCTGGTAGACTCACTTGCTCCTCAAAGCAAATTGAACGAGGCTGAAGCAAAGTTGATCTGGCCCATGCTGGAAGAAGCGCTCAGCGGGAAGACTTGGGAGGGTAAAGAAAAGGTGGTTTCGGCGTTCCCGAAGTTCGTTGATATGTGGCCGGGCAGTAAGGCTGTTGACCAGATGGCTAAGATTGCTATACGTGAAGCGAAGCGCCAGAACGAGACTTATCGACCGCATGCAGTTGTGGCACTCGGCGAATTTGCTAAGAATCGACGCGATGCCAGCCTTGCGGTGCAAGTCATACCGCTGCTGCAAGACATGATAGAAGAGTTGACAAATGTGGACGCCATGGACGTGGACGGCGAGTCAGTGGAGGACAAGAAAACCAGGCAAGTCGCAATCTCAAATGGTTGCGGTTACCGCTAACGGACTGAACAGAAGCAAAACAGTCGATAAGACACTCGAAGCAATCGCCTCATGCATGTTCGGTACTCTCCAAACCCAAGACGCCGGAAAGGTTCTGGATCAAGCCATTTCGATCTTGAACAAGCTCCACGCGCAGAAAATCCCAGCGCTCGACACCGCTCTTTGCGAAAATGCAGCCTCGTTTGTCCTGAAGTTCTCCTCGGACAGTGGGCGGAACCAGACGGGAGCGAATGAAAATGGCGCAAATCGCGAAATCTCGTTTGAGGCCTTTACCCATCAGATCATCTTGGCGCTACTGAGCACGATCTGTCCACCACGCCGACTGAATCCGCCCGCAAGGCGCGAACCGAACTCGCTTCAGCCTTAGTGGGTTCTTCAGTCGTCAGCAACGACTCGCGTGCACTGCTAGCGTCGATCTTTGACGCGTGGCTGAAGTCTGAGCGGTCGAAACTGCTACGAGATGAGATCACTCATGCAGTGGAAGTCAACAATAAGTATCTGTGACTTTGGAGTGCATCAGCAAATGCGTTCAGAGCTCATCCTAGTGTTGCGGTGACGGCTAGATAGAAATCATAATCTGTGAAGCGTCCACAGCTTGTTCGGCAAAGGGTGGCAGATGGGAGCAAGAGAAAACCTTGCACTTGTCAACATTCCTGCAGCGCCCTCCCTGGGGGGATTTCTCGATATATGTTTCCTAGTCTTTCAAGCTCGAGTGAGGCTCGTCTCAACTCACGCATTTGATCAGTGATATAATGCAAGGCCTTCATCACCCGCCCGGGTCTAGTGACCCACAGTGTATAGGCCTGGTCACCGTAGAATCAATGTGAAAAACACCCGGTACTTGTGTCCACAGCCTGGATAGGTAGGCGAGGGCGTCACCGTGCAGCATGGGGGGTCAGTCCTGCCCTATCATGATCATGTTTCGAAGTTGGCAGGTTCTGCAAGATCTGAGCGACCGGGGTTTATTCGACGCCATGCAGGCGCCATGTGGTGCGTTCTGCTGAAACTGCTAAATTGGGCGAAGCGCATAACGTATGACATGGAAACCGTCTCCGAGGCCAAGAAGTGGGCATACAGTGGTGTCTACGGCGCGACTTAAGGCTTCTGACTCGATCCGCTGCGGTCGAATGAGCGCCGTGAAGACCATACCCAACTGAAAGTCTCCATTGTGGTACCACTGAATCAAAAAACACACTGCAGACCGCGTGGATGTCATCAATGCCTTGCAGAGAGATCGTTCTGACCAGTGAGGGATTTCGGGCAGTCTCGCGTGGCGCTTGCCGACGGAGGGGCTCGGCGTGACCTTCGGCGGCTTCCTTCAGAAGCTCGCGCTCTGATTCGTTGTCACGGAAAATGTCGCAGAAAAGTTGTTGCGATCCGGTGAGGGACGGGATCCTGATGCTCAATTCTGATCTCGACCACCCATCGTGAACTGACTTCTTTGGTTCAACCACGAGCATCTCCCGCGCAGTAGCCAAAGGCTGATGCTTGTCTTGTCACGCTTGTCCCACTCCCGCTCTACCTCTTATTTGGTCAAGCACATGGGGCCTGCTCGTATGATGCATATCAAAAGTGGTGAGGGTCCGGACCCGTCATCTCCCTCACGCATATAGTAAGTAATTACGCGAATAGATCTGGAACAAGTACTCATGTACCCCTTCACCTGGATTCTATTTCCACCTTGAGGCTGCGCTCCAGTGTTTTGTTTTCTTCTATCTGTCACTCGGTCCTACTGTACCAGCCTGGAACTTCTAATATCTGCCGGCCGTGCCAGCGCTTATGCGCGGATGGCATGTGCCCGTGCATGGACCCTACTACCACATGCATTGTATACCTTACGCCGACTTCCACCCGGCTGCGACGGCTCCTTCCACAGGACTGCTTAGCAGATGTCAATAACCCTGGTTATGACCGAAGAAAAGCGAGGTGACGCCTCCAGGAAAGGACCACTACGCTTGCCTATCATCGCGCCGAAGGACGACCACTCCTCCTCAGCCAGCTCCAGCAAGGGTGCGCCTGTGGGCGTACCTCATCGTGCCAGATTACCTCCGAGATCAAGGACTGGTTGTTGGACTTGCCGGACCAGGAAAGTGAAGTGTGACGAAAAGAGACCCAACTGTGGACAATGTTTCCGTCTGGGACATATTTGCGACTACAGCCCGAGGTTAGCGTTTCGCGATGACACTCAGAGGGTAGTAGAGCGCATGCAAGAGGTATCTATTGTTGGCAGCTCAGTATGGGACTGTATGTATATGATGGGAGATGCATGTCGACACTGCTGACGGGAGTACAGCTACCTCGCCGGCACCCACCGAGACCAGTCAAGGATCAGGCCAGCTCGACGACCTTCCACCTTTCGCACAACTCACAACAGATGAGGACAGGGAAAGGAAAGCGGAGAAGGCCACGCCTGGTACCTATCATGTACTTGTCAATCCAGACAGCTTCATGCACCTGCCAGAGTACAGCGACGACCCAGACATCAAGAAAGAACATCTGTCGCCGCTAAGGAGGGGCTCGTTGACAACCAGCCTAGCCAGCAGCCTTGGGCGCGAAAGTGAGAAGGGCTTTCACGATCCAAACACTGTCATCCTGCCACGTTTCGAAGACGTCGCCCGTCGCGTCACTTCTCGAGATCCATGCAGTCCGACACTGCCACGATTCAAGGTCGAGGATGATGACACGGTCGTGGAGGACAGATATGTCGAACGTTTCAAGCAATTTTGTTGGCGACAACTCGTGTTGGTGGATGCTGAACAGAGTGGGAGGCCGAGCGTCGCGATCTTCGAGGATGAAATGCACTTTTATCCACCAGTATGTCATTGTCGATGTAGGCCCGACGCTTTGCTGACGAAATGCAGATGCAACATGCGATGAAGGCAGTGGCAGCATTCAGCTACGGCACCGACAATGACCGCGTTGATGCTCTCCAGGAATATCAACGGGCAGTCACGCTCATGAAGGATGCTGTCAAAAGCACCGAGGACCTAATTTCTGATGCTTCATTTCTTACACATTTTCTTCTTTTAATCCATGAGGTGAGGGAGCACTAGCATTTTCAGCGCTGTTGCTAACTTTCGACCAGATCGTAACAGCAGCGGAATCGCACTGGATGCAACACTTTTCAACACTTTTACAGATATCGAATCTACGGCGTCAGATTTATGACAGTGAAAGATACCCCTACATGGTTTGGTGGCTTTGTGTGATTGATTTGGAGGCACTGTTCTCTGGGGCTGGGACGGGAGAATTTGTGGGCGCGATGTTGAGGAGTGACTTGGTGCCGCCGCCGAGTTATCATCTGTATCCACTAGGAGCGGACGGGTCAAGCGTGGTATACGGCAACGAGCTCGAGACTTTGCCAGTGATTCTGCAATTGGACTGCGAAGTCACAACACTTGCGATGCGGCTTGCTCTGCTGGCTCGTGAGCTGAGACTGCCCAACACTATGGGTGATGTACGCATCCGGCAGGCACAGGTATACGAACTGCAAGAGAGCTTGAGGGAACTGTGGGCGGCACCTTCCATCGGCTACGTCGCACAACACACCGAACGATTACCTCCACGATCGCGACAACTCTTCGAACACGCTCAAATGCTCTACCGGGCATGCATCATCTTCTCGCATACATCGATGTGGCGACATCAGCGTCTCGAAACCTCGCCAGACTACGACACCGAAGTCGCCGTGGCCGCGACCCAGATTCTCAATAATTCAACCCGCATGCTTGATCGGGGTCGGATGGACGCGCGCTTTCTCGCATTCCCAATTTTTATCGCAGGCATGGCTAGCGCGGAAGGATCGCAGAAGATGCTGGCTGCGGATCTGCTTGAACGGATGGAGAAACCGAGCATCGGCCGAAACACGGCAGTCACACGCAGGGCCATGGAGAGGATTTACGAGGCGCAGAATGAGCGATTCATGTCTACAGGCCAGAGTTTGGACATCGACTGGTTGGATGTGCTTCAGAGGGAGCAGATCATGATTGTCAATTTTGGATTGTGAGTACCACTGCTATGGTACAATGGGAGGGGAATTGTGGAAGCGATGAGCGTTTTTCGAAGTAGCTATACCCAGCCTAGCACGACATCCACGAGCAGTCTCGTGTGGATACGGAGCATCCATTACAGCAACAACTGTCCCTATGAAGGGAGGCTTGTCCATGACTACCTAGGTAGACACGGGAACATTGCTGAGTTCACGCGGCAATCTTCGGTGAGGATGAGGTGACAACCTTTCGGCTATACATGCAGGTGTACACAGCCCCGTGCATGAAAAGCGAGCGAGTGGACGAGAAGAGCCAAAGAGCGGTGGACGACAAGTCCTTAGCTTCAATCGGTCCGCGGTGCATGCAGCATTACCCCAGATCTGACTACCATTGCGGGTTAGGACGATCGACCTCACCCGCACAGATAGCCGAGTCGGACATGGAGTTCGGGGAAACATAAATGCAGTCGCAGTTGTGCGGTGTCGGCTGTGCTATAGGTAGAACGGCGGGACAATCCAACCACATGAGATGATTTAGATAGCTATTTTGTATTCTCACGTGCGAGCAGTATGAGTGTGAAGGATGTGAGCTACTGGTCGAGGGTTGTTGAATATCCTGCCTGCCAAGACTGGTAACGCAAGACCTCGGGAGTCTATACGAGCAATGGTGACGATGGAGGGCTTGAGTACCTGGGCATCGGCGGGCAAGATCACGATATAGGCCTGCTTGTGTATGGGAGAAACTCGACGCGATACAGAGAGCATGCTTCAAGTCGTCCAGCAGCTTTGTGCCGGACGCGTGCCCAGCACTACTGCGCAAGCCTTAGACGACATCTGCAAGTATTTACATCAACAAACTTCTGGGCTGTGGACGTCTGGTGCACACCACAATACATGAGTTTCGGATGGATCAAAACGTGGACGTGGAAATCGAAATTGACCAGATGGTCTGATGACACCCGTGACGATTAATCGACATTGCCAGGTATCCCATTACCCACAGATAGACTAAGTAATGCGCTAGGTATATTTATACACTTCCTCGACCCTCAAAGCAGCCAAAAAGTCTACTCCTCAGGCACATCTCCAGCAGCAATGCTATCCTCACTGTTCTTTCCCTCTATAGCAGCTGTAGAGTACTTCCTCGACTGAATCTCTGCATCGATAACACCAGCACGACAGGACGACTTTGATTCTTGGCGTCCATTGCGAGTGAGATGCTTGCGGTAGAATGTGGAGTGCTTAAGGAGCCAGGGCTCAATCCATGCCCCTGCGGCGTAGGGGCTGTTAGAGTTGCCCGAGTCGATATTGAAGCTGTTAGGGAAGCCTTGAGCCATTGTGGTGGGTGGTATGTTTTATGCTAGGTGAGGTTGAGTTGGTGTTGAAAGGGTGACTGGTAGCTCTGTGAAGATGCTTGCTCTTGATGTAATGCAGATTGTTGTGATGAACAGACAGACCATCGAGGTGAGAGGCAGTCGATACTTATGCTTCTCACGCTGACTGCCATGTTGTCAATACCGTAGCATGGATGAGTGAGTGCAACGGAGATGGTCAACGACATGACCATCGAAGGTACGGGCTGAAGGCTGTGCTTTGCGCCTTGGGTTGTATTTGAAGTGCTTGCGCAATCTATGGGGAGTCGAGCCACATCCTTTTCTAAGGCGTCAAATCCTACGACTGGCTGCCGCTGCGTCTACCTTGCGCCTAGAGCGGAAAGTCGAATCAAGCTTCGCCGCGAAGCCCAAATTCAGGCGTTGAGTTCCCTGTTGCAGCCTAGCGGGCGCTATCCTTGCAACCATACCGGCTATCCATAGAACACCACACACCACTATCCATTCAGCCTCAGCCACATCCCAAGTACATTGTGACATTGCCTTTGAATGTTTCATGGCTATATACCACGGGCTGTTGCACTGGTGAGTCGATCAAGAGCCGGCCCTTGAAGCACAGTCGCACCACCAGTGACCATCATCCCCGGCTACCTTTGTTTCCAAGCATTCGCAAAAACCCAGAAGACTCGCTACATCCAATCGCCATCACAACTTTAAAGATGCATATCTCGAAGTCCCTCCTCATCGCCGCGACTGCTGCCAGCGCCGCCGTAGATTCCTCTTGATGCTCGGTCGACCCAGCCTTTGACGTCAAATTTCTCTCTACAAGCCATCGATATGTACACCGTGGCCGGTGGCAGCGCGTACAATGGCAGTTACATCTACTCTCATCACACTGGAGCCGGTTCCGGCATCGCTGCCGCATCTACCAATGCCTCGTATGCCATGACAGCCAACCTCCTGCCACCTGCTGCAAATGCAACAGACGACGGTTACCAGGTCGGCTTCACTTTTACGGGCAATCAATACGGCCCGTGGTACATGGATGTGGTCGTGCCCGATTTCTATTCCAGCACATCGCCCGTCACTATCGGCGGCAGCAACCCTCCTGACACCGATGGTTACTTTTTCGGTGGTAATGGGCTGTACTGGAACAGCACAGGCTTCTTTGGCTGGGCCATCTGCACAGCGAGTTACGACGTTCCGCAGCTCTTCGCCATCACTAACAACGCTACGAACTTGGCCTGTTCCTGCGTCCCAGTATACCTCTACAGTGTTCCTGCGCCAAATCCGGCCTGAGAGGTGCTGCAGATGGATGTTTGGCTCGTGGAGAGTGTTTGAAGTAAACATAGTCTTAATCTTTGATCCACTTAAACTTGCCTCTCTGCTCCATAGCCATGGGAGTGCGGCCAGTCCTCCAGCGTGCGATCTCACCTGGGCGATATGTGGGCAGGGCTGCACGACATAGCAAGCCGTGTCGCAATCTACTGGCTCGAGCCTCTTCGTCGTGCCCTACTGCCCAAAGAGAAGTCAGTGCAGGATGCCGATCAGATCCAGAAATATTCTGTGTGCAATGACGCCCGATAGGGCGTCTCTTTGATAAAGCGTGTCATCCTTAGTGCAGAGGCCATGCTAGTCTTTTCTGTATCGTTTCAAATTGACATATTGAATTAGACCTCGTCGACACATGTGAGCCATCAGAGATTGCGAGGAGAAACACGGCATTGTTGCCGGTGGTGTCCCGGCTGTTGACGCTATGCACACAGCAAGAGTCCACATCTTGTCATGAGCGCTTACTGGAATGAATCAGACGAAAATGCCTGGGCAGCTTGGATATGCCACAAGGCTTTGCGCCTTCTGGAGATGTGAAGGAATGAAGTACGGCAAGAAGCCGCTGGACGGACGTGGCAAGCGTACTTAAGTAGCCAAAGTCACGGGGGCTATCTTGGCGGGCTCGGGCCCGCGCCGAGACCATTTTAGGCGATGACCCCGAGTGAGTGAGTGACTGACGGGAGCCTAAAAGTGGACCTGCAAAATTTGAGGTATATATTTTGCAATTTGCTTCTTGGCAAGTTGGACTTCGGTCCATTTGGTCAATTTGAAACGATACAGAGAAGATTAGCATGGCCCCTGCACTAAGGATGACACGCTTTATCAAAGAGACGCAAACCGTTTTTTTTGTTTTTTTGAGGCTGCCCAGGACTGTCGAAGAGATGTTTTTGAATCAGGGAATCGTTTTTGAGGATTTGTGAAGCGAAAATGCTGTCCTTCCGCCAAGTCTCTACCAGAAATGGCAAAGTCCGCATGACGTGCCTTCCACCGTTCCAACCTAAACCCCATGTTGCCTTCTTCCTCTGGATTACATTGCCCTCGTCCTCCGACTCACTCTGCGATCTCGGGCAGACTAGCTGGCCTGAGCCTCTACAGACGTCCGGACTGGCTCATAAGTGGTCAGCAAGCATTTCATCAGCGTCCGTGCCACCTCCGATCTAGTGGCATGAGTTTGTACACTCATCGTGGGTGGTAGGCTCTCCTGGTCGCATTGTATGTCGGGGAGAACGATCAAGGGGTACGAGTAACAGACCGAGCTTGTATGTGTACGACTACAATTCATCTATGGCGACCACGAAGAGGCATCATGCTCACTTAACTCTTATCACAGACCATCCGGGCCAGGTTTCATCCGCATCCATGAAGTGAGTCCGACACACTCATTCGATGGCCTCTGTTGATGGATGACGAGGCCCAAGCAAAGAGAGTGAAGAATCACGAAGCTGCCAGTAGGGAAGACGATGAAGTCTCTGGCGCGAAACCAGCAGCTGAAGCGTCTGTTTCTCGCTAGGTGTGGCAATGTGATTGCCTTGAGCAACTCGACGAGGACTGAACATCCTTCTGGGTGCTATGGTATCGTGTTGAGATAGTCGGTGAGTATGATAGCTGAATGCGGTGCTCGCGGGACTAAGCTGGAACGATGGTGGCACGGCTAGCATTGTTCTTGTGAGGACAAGAGGATGCATCTCACTGTGCGCAGCAGCGGAGAACTCACGATCCCTGAGTTGGAGAGATATCGCCATACCTAGCTAGTTGATGCTGTTAGGTGCTGATGCTTTGAAATACATGATTTGCTAAGGCCATTCGTAGGACATTAAGTCTGCTTCCTTCGAAACTCAGGTTGATAGCCGCGAAGTTTCAACTCACGGGAAAAGTGGGCGATCCGCCGAGCCATCCACCTTGCAGGCTTGCAGTCGCTGAAAGAGGAAAGCACTTGTGTGTACGAGGCCATCTTACAGGCCCTTTCTTAGCGTGCCACAGAAGCGGTGGCCTCCACAGATCATAACGTGGGTAGCTAAGTGCGTTGGTACGACGTTTAGAGGCGAGAAAATCTTGGAAGGCGTTGCTGAGATAAGGCATCTCCATACGCCCTAAGCCTGGGCGCCCAGCGCTGCAGCGATAGGCTCGGGTCCTCGAACATCTTGCGAAGACGAAGGGCACGCCTGAATCGATCAGGTAATCGCCTTTGCTTGACGTGCATGGTATGGTGAGGTCCAGAGGTCGTTTTCGTTTGGCATCTCATCTTCTACGCACAATCCATTACTATCGTTGTACGCGATGGTTGATCTCTATGTTCGGAATGGCGCAACATGCGAATTAGGTTTCGCAAAGGAAGTGAGACGTTGACACTGGGTATATAGATATCTGGGGAGGCCCCCCGTGAGTCTAGAGGTATAGAGGTAGGCTTATTACTCCTGCCCATGGAAAGCTTACCATCGCTACCAGCTTTGCTGGCCGGTCTGTCAGTCTGGCGACTCCTCTTGCTTTTGTTCGCACAGGTAGATCGCATATTGACACCAGCACTTCCATGCTAATGACCACAGGTAGTCACATTTGTTGTAGCCGGAGCGATATATCGTCTCTACCTTCACCCACTCGCCAAATACAAAGGCCCGAAGCTCTTCGCCCTCACCAATCTCGTACAGATCAGACTAGTCGTTCGTGGAGAATGGGTTCATCGGGTGCTGGAGCTGCACAAGCAGTATGGCCCAATTGTACGCGTTGCACCAAATGAGATCTCGTACGTCAATGAGGACGCGTGGAACGACATCTACAAATCAGCTAGGGGAGAGGAACAGCTCAAGAAAGCCATGCCAGTTCTGAGGTCACCAGGTGTGTTCGGCCAACCAGACGATGCTGTCCACCAGATGAAGCGCAAAAAGCTGTCTCCGCTTATGAGCGACCGAGGCGTCAACCAGAGGGAAGATGTGATGCTGTCGAATATTGCATTCTTCGTCAAACGACTCAAAGAACAGCCAGACTCTGCCTTCGATCTAACACCATGGTACCAGGCTGTCACATCCGATATCATCGGCCATTTCATGAGCAAGGAGAGTTTCGGCGCCGTTGCAAAGGGTGAAGCAATCCCAGAGCAGCCTGAGAATCACAAACAGCTGGCCGGACTTGCGATCGGCACAGCATTCAGCAAGAACTTCTTTCTTCGCAACTTCCTCGTCAAAAGAAAGGCTATGCCGGAGTACGCAGTGTTTGAGCAGAAGGCGAAGAAACGATGGGACAAGCTGATAGAAGACAAGGGGCGAATTGGTGATGGGACCGATGCCTTCGGGTACCTCACGATGGACATGAATACAGAAAAGGGCCTCACCTCGGATCGCGCCTTCAGAGTCTTTTCCGACTTTGTACTCGCCGGAACTGATACGGTTGCCATTTCACTGCTTGGACTGACCTATCTTCTGCTCCGAAACCCACGGGAACTCAAAATCTTGCAAGAAGAGGTGCGATCAACTTTCAATAGTGCCGATGATATCACCCTGGCAAGAGTCAATGCGCTTAAGTATCAGAACGCTTGCATCTCCGAAGGGCTGCGATTGTGGCCAGCTGGACCGGAGACTACCCGCCGCACTGTGAACAAGGGCGGTAAAGTCATAGCAGGTGAGCACGTCCCTGCTGGTACCCATGTCGGGGTTTACCACTGGGTGGCAGGTCGATATCCAGGCGCGTGGAAGGACGCCGAGTCGTTCGTTCCCGAGCGCTGGCTGCCAGGTGGAGCTGATCACAAAGACGACCTGAAGGGAGTCATACAGCCATTCAATGTTGGCCCCAGAAATTGTGTTGGACAGCAATTGGCCAACGCTCAGTTGAGATTAATCTTGGCCAACATGATTTGGTATTTCGATATGGCATTGGACAATCCTAACGAGGCGGACTGGATGGACGTCAAGATCTTTGGTCTTGTTGCCGTCAAGAAGCCGTTAATGGTGAAGTTGACCAGTATTCGATAGGGAATCCTTGTTAGTCGTTGGCAGAGGAAAATTCGGGAGCTAAATGGTGACTCGACTGGGTCGTCGAGACGGCCCTTCGTTCATCGTGGTCACCTGTGAGGACATACTGTGAGGACAGCTGCATGACAGCAAGTCTCTTTGCTCACTTACGCCGTCCTCTTGACCTTCTGTGACTCGGCGCCGAAGAGAAAATGCCGACGCACGATGTGTACATCAGGCGCGGACTTGTCCATGGCAAGGGCACGCGGCTGGAATGCGGTGGGCGCAAATGCTGTCCACTCGGATCCGTGCTCAGTATGCATCTAGTTCTGGATGAAGAGCTATTCATCGTGCGACCAGTGTAGGTAGTACACAGAAATCATGCCTCGAGGCGGTGCAAATAGGGTCCGACTCAAGGCCTCCCATACGCCGCTGAAAGCTCGATGACGATCGCTACCGAGGCTCAATGCCAAAGGCAATAGAAGCTAAACCTGTTTCGACGTATACAGTATAGCCTCCTTCGACATCCTAGCTTTTGACGCTGCATTCAAACACGAGGTGAAGAATGATGGACTTAAAGAGTCGAGAAGTCCGTCAGAGTTGATTTTTAAGTCCGACACAACCACCGTAATCATGATGGTCAACAAGTCGAAACGACGATATAAGATGGCCGGCAGGAAGACGAAGAGTGACTGTTGTCAACGAAGAAACAGAAAGCGTTGTAGATAGGTGCATCGATAAACAAAGAGCTTTGAGACAACATGACCTCTACGACGACCACCACAATGAAAGCCCTTCGCCAACACAGGCAGTACGAACCCCTCGTGGTCGAAGAGGTAGCCATTCCCACCGCTGAGCCTGGCTCTGCCGTCCTGGAGGTTCTCGCAGCTGGTGTCATATCGTATACAAGAGACGTCTACGATGGGACACGCAAATATCCCTATGTCACCCCATTGACCACTGGCAGCAGCGCCATTGGCCGCATCCATGCAGTCGGCCCGGACTCGACGAAGCTCCAAAAAGGTCAACTGGTGTTGTTCGACATTACGGTCCGCTCCCGGGACGATTCTTCTCATGTGTTCCTGAGTGCCATCATCAGCGGCTTCACCGAGGGAAGCAGAAAGCTTATGCAGCATTGGGCTGACGGCACATACGCGGAGTACGTCAAAGCCCCACTGGAGAATGTATTCGCCTTAGACGAGGCGAGGCTGATGGGCGAGCTTGGGTACAAGATCCCCGATCTCCTGAGTATGACCAGATTGCTTGTGCCTTGGGGCGGACTGATCGACATCAACTTGGCACCAGGCGAGACAGTCGTCGTCGCGCCAGCAACAGGTTCGTTCGGCACAGGTGCGGTTCAGCTCGCGCTTGCTATGGGTGCAAGAGTCATCGCTATGGGCCGGAACGCTAGGGTCCTGGCGCAGTTGCGGGAAAAGTTCAGTGAGCAATATCCTGCTGATCGTCTGTTGACTGTTCCCATCACCGGCAATCTGGAGGAGGAAATGACTGCGCTCAAGGCTGCCGCAGGTACCCGGCCAATCGACGCATTTTACGACATCAGTCCCGATGCTGCGACCAATGCAACGTACTTCAAGGCCGCTATCATGTCGCTCCGGCACTCGGGACGGATCAGCCTTATGGGCGGCCAGAGAAGTGAGGATGTCAAGATCCCATACCACCGTGTGATGCATTGGAATCTACAGCTAAAAGGCAAGTGGATGTATGAGAGGGAGGACGTGCCAAAATTCCTTCGTTTGGTCGAGGCAGGCAATCTGAGCCTCGGTGGTCGTGCTGGAGCTGCAGCTGTGAAGGAATTCAGCTTAGAACAGTGGAAGGAGGCTTTTGATTATGCGTCGGAGCATGCTTCAGATGGTCAGGGCACTTGCCTCGTGCCAGCCAAAGCTTAAGGCTCGAAAGTCGTTCTTGCCAGTCCAAAGTCGATAGGCTGTCTGGTGACTTCCGATCCTGGCATTCCACGGAAGTCAAGGGCTTTACTGGTCGCTCGTTCCCTTCACACCAGTCATCAGCGCCTTCTTGTGCTTCACTCATCGCTTTCCGCTTGAGCTAGCGTCAATCGGATACTGAACGAAGGCTTACCGATCGTTCATCTGCGCAAACGGGTTCTCTTGTTTGGTCCACGTACTTGAAGGCCCTCATGACACGGCCTGCAAAAGACACGCCGCTAGTTCAAGGCCATGTCGTATTCCCTCAAGTCCATTTCCGCTAGCCGTCGGCTCGTGATACTTCTGAGGTTGTTTTGTACGGCTCTTTCATTGCCTGCATATCAGAACTCAGGCGCCGAACCTCAACTTCTCGATCGGGCCGCACTTCAATGTCCGAACTTGGAGGGCGTACAGAAGCCTCCATTCAAAGAGGGCTATTGGGGCGTGTCAGTACGACTCGAGTTCCAGGGGCTTGAAAGAAGACGTTGACGTTGACCTAGCTACATGTGCTCGAATACCGGATTCTGCAGAGGCCCCCAGGGTGATGGTTGCAGATGGACCAATTGGGCGACAAAAGGCAAGGACGAATTCATCAAGTTCGACTCGCCTTTTCTCTCCTTCGGACCCGATGCGGGAGTCAGGTGCAATCTGGTAAGTTCATGTAATCTAGCAGCTCATAGCCTGATTGCATTTTGCGCGCGTGTCGCATATGAAGTGGAAGCTGATGGTCCCTAGCTTGAGACGGCAGACGGGCTAGTCGGAGGCAAGCGTTTGATCGGCGTGGCATGGCCTGGTGCGACCGACATCGACAAGTTCGTTTCCGAGTTGACAAAAGGCAAGGTCAAGGACCCTGTTGAGTGGAAGAGCTATCAATGTGTGTGTGAGGATCCTACCAAACAACAGGATGCGCCTATATTTCTCCCCTGAGAAAGTTGAGGAGGGCTTTCTTGGCCCGGACGATGCGTATCATCATGAAGTGCCTCAGACGTGTCACCAAGGTGACGACGAAGACACTTCTGCGGGATGTGGCGCGAATGTAAAGGAGAATAATAAGTCTACTAGTAGGCGTTGCGATGCCGCGACGGTCCACACTGTCGTCATCGCCGCCCCTCGCGTATCTACCTTATTTGCACCAATTTCTCGAATTCTCGAGTCTTCTTGCCACGTCTATGCTGATACTCGACGGTACGTAGCGATCCGCGGAATAGTGCCAACGTGGCTTTTATGCATCGCGCTGTAGTGTCGAAGTCCGCCAGCCCGCGATGCTTGTGCACATGGCGATAGCCTTGCGACTTTTGCACAATTTAGGCCTACTTAGTATCTTTGAACAGAAATTCAGGTGAGTTTCATCAAACACTCTCGCCATTAACGATGATCCTGTCGACTCGACGAGGGATCAGGTGTTCATTGCACATCACAAGCAAGGATTGACATGAGTCCGAGCCTGAGTGGCTTGACCAGCCGCTGTGGTACTTCGTGTTCACTTGCTATCTGCCTGTTTCCGAATATAGCATGCAGATGTGGCTTGTGTCCTGTGTGAGGTTCTGCGACGAGAGAGCCCCATCCCTGCATCTAGTAGCTTAGACCGAATTGACGCGAGATAAGCGGATGACGACGAGCGTTTCAGCGGGCAGAGGCGCACCATCAAAACACTCTTTGCGCAACCACCCCGATGAAGTTTCTTCCGCCTCAGCCTCCAGATATGAGTGCTGGTCTGTCAGCTTCTGACAATCCGCCGAATGAAGTGAGCGACATGACGGCTTTGTCGCCGACATACAGCTACAGCGTGATCCCACCACAGGGTTGGATTCGGGTCGTCAAGCTTCATGCCGACTCTGATATACTGTCTTGCGATATACACGTGCAGCAGATCGATGACAAGGCGCTGCAGTATGAGGCGCTTTCTTACGTCTGGGGCGAGGACGACACAAATAGCAGTGCAATCATACATTGCAACGGCAGGCCGAAGTCGATCGGCTCAAACCTCGCTGCAGCACTGAAGCACCTGCGCTACAGTGACCGTGCCCGAATTCTATGGGCCGATGCACTTTCTATTAACCAGTCGGACAGTGAAGAGAAGAGCTTGCAGGTCGCTCAGATGGGTCAGATATATGCTGCTGCTGAGCGTGTTGTGGTCTGGCTGGGTATGGACAGCGAAGAGGAAGCAGCTGAGTGCTTCGGCTTGATTCAAAGCACGACCCGCACGTTGGACCTGATGGTCAATCAACATGGTAGCATCGAGGATGTTCCGCCACTACCAACTAAAAACGCGCCTATTGCGTCTGGTACTGATTCATGGACACCGGTCAGCAAGCTGATGCAGAATCCATATTTCGAGAGAACATGGACACTGAGCGAGACTGGACTTGCGAAGACTGCCATTATTCAGTGGGGATTAGCGACGATGCCTTGGTCCTGCCTGGTCGAGCTCATGTTGCTGATAGCCTTGCGGCCTGACATACGTGCGCATACCGGCATCCTGAACTCTGGCTTAATATGGGACACTTTCGAGGATCTGTGGAGTGCTTACAGGAACTCAACGACTTGGCGGGACGAGTTGCCTTACACTAGATCATTCCCTCGCTCAGAGAGTGGTATTAGCTTCATAAGCACACTGAACAACGGTCGGTACTACAGAGCGACAGACGCACGAGACCATATCTACGCCTTTCTCAGCCATCCCAGCGCAGATGCTGCAGCCTCGGACAACTTACTGGTGCCAGACTATGAGAAGTCTGTAGATCAGATCTACCTGGAGACCGCGTTACGTGTGCTAGAGACAGACTCTCATCCATGGACACTGCTCTCATGCATTGACCACACAATAGAATCGCCGTCCTTGAAAGGAGGACGTCCATCATGGGTACCGCGCTGGAACGAGCAATTTCGTGTCTACTGGCTCGGCTACCCGGGCATGTGGTATCGTGCCGGCAATCTGGATGGCTCACGCTTTGTATGTCGCTATGACGGGGAGACTCAATCACTTCATCTGCGTGGCATTGTCCTAGATACAGTATCATGGGCGTCGTCACCGCATCTGTCTGCCGACATTGTTGTGGAAGAACAGTTGAAGGAGCAGCCTATTCAGTGTTTGTGGCATGAACTTGCGCAACACGAAGGCAGTGCGCAGCGATCGATCTACGGCGCCGATCAGAGAGCGCGCGAATGTGCCTTCAGCCTCGTAACCATCGCAGGTCGGTCCGTCGATGAGTCGCCAGCAGAAAACGACGTGGAGCATCACCTTACAGTGTGGAATGCTTACAAAGCTTTTGTTAGTGGAAAGACATCAGCTGCAGCCGACGGATTCTTAAATCATGAAGTCCACCGCTTGATCGACAATCAGAGACGAGCACTTGACAATCGTCGATTGTTCTGCACAGAACAGGGCTACTATGGGGTAGCACACCGTACTCTGCGTCAAGGCGATGTGTGCTGCGTACTGAAAGGGGCTGGAGTGCCATTCATCTTGCGGCGAGTTGACGCCAGTGATGGACTTGGCGGCAGCAAGTTTATACTTGTGGGAGAAGCCTATATTCAAGGCATCATGAGAGGAGAATTTTGGGACGCTGCAAAGGACCAAGACCTTGGAATCACCGTCATATGATCCAAGAAGCCGCTCCAAGAACTCCGGCCTTGCGCGGTCTGTGCCGGAGGACTTGAAGATGTTCACGAGTAAAGCGGCGTCCTTGCGATCGACCGCCACGGTTCTGCTGTCCGTTGCGATCTATCCGGCGGCATATGCTATTATGACAGGAGGATCAACCAATGGGTGAAATGTAAGACAGAAGGAATTGAAGCATGAGGAAAGGTACTGTATATCTGTCGGATGGTAACCTCCGCTGAATGCCGTCACTTGGCTATACACTCTCATGGTCTTCACTTACCGAACAGAAAAGTCAATACTTGCTGCCAAAATGCACTCTCCAGAATCACATTACTTTTCAACGAGACAAACCATCCTCCGGGTCACCTCAACATGCATTCGTGACTTCCCAGTGCAGTCAATCCCATCCTGGCAATCGACGTCGTCGATCATGGACGACGGAATCACGACGCACGCCGAGTCGATGGCCGATTTCAAGAAGGTCGCCTCACATGCGCTAGGAGTTCCGCATGACAACAATCTCTCTGTCACGGAGCTCCAGGAAAGATTCGCTGCTCTCCATCCTCCTCTTCAGTCTCCCTACGGCAGTCAACCTCCTTCCATAAGATCGATCACGGATCAGGTGGCCGAAGTCAAGAAGATTGCGTCGGAGCTGCTAGGAATTCCCGATGGCAACTCTCTTTCTTTAGAGGAATTCCAGGATGAACTCAAGTTCGCCGCCATCGATTCTGCGTTCTCACCGCCGCTGGGCACTTCAGACGAGCATACACCTCACTTCAAGAAACTCATTGCAAGACTTGAAGCCTGCCGTGAGGAGATAGAGGCCTTCCAAAAAAGGACACAAATAGCATTCGCAGCAGTCTCGCTCTTCTGGTTGTCTTTGCACGTATCGAATAGAGACACAAAGGAGAAGGTCGAAGCGATGAAGAAGAGGTGCTGCGAGGTTTTCGATGACTACATGTGGCCTGGAAGCCATAAATTGTACCTGAGAGGTATGTGCGGCGAGAACGCAGGTACGTAAACCGACGTCGTCAATTCCACCAGTGCCTAACGCATCATAGAGAACAAACCCGAGACCGTGGTCGAAAAGGACAAAATTCCTGAGCAGTCGAGGGACTCCGGCGACACAAGTTCATCCACACGCCTGTGACGTGGAACATGAGGAGCCTTCGGTCGCCGACTTGAGCTGTCGACATAGTATAAGGACACAGTCTAGGCAAGGGCAGGGAAGCCATGACGGTAGAGGCGCAATGACAGGCATATTAGAACGATAACACGACGTCAAGGACACAGATGAAGTCATGGAGCGCTTCTGAAGCTGTTCATCAGTGGCGCTACCTCGTGCACAAGTCGACTTGTTCGAGACCGTGGAGGGGTGCTTCAGCACTCGCATAACTCTGCAAATCGAGAAGGTCAATTTGGACCGCATTACACATCCAATGGCTTCTCACTACTCGTGCGGGTTGATAGGTACCGCAGCGCCAAGACACTCGCTCGTTCCGGCCGCTCTCTACCTTTTGGTTCATACAGGACTCCACACAGTGCCTTACTGCATGCATTCTTATCCGCCTCGTTGCCTTGCCGGCGTGTCGATGTAGCCTGCATCCGGCTGTCCGGGGCCCGGAGGATCGGTCCCCAGGTTGTTGGGCCACGATGTTCGACCTCCGAGGTTGCAACACATGCAACTTTGGAGCTTGAATGTTATTCTCCGGACGAGAGAGGTGAAACAGCTTCTTCCAACGAACACTCTGTATCTACCTATCTTCCCTTGCTACCTTCGAGGTGATATTCTCGTAGCAGGACGTCTGAATCGTTCATTGGAGTGCCATGTCTTGGACATTGGCGGCCCATACCCAGGCGGAATTACCGTTTTGCATCCATTCGTGGCACACAACCTCAGCTTGTTGGTGCAATGAACGAAGCAGGCCAGTGAACAGATCGCCATAGGCCTCGTCCGTGCCTTGTCACATCTTGGATTATCACATGTGATCCCTGCGGCCCTCTCAGCCATGTACACCTTGTAATGGGCACGGCAATGGCGCCGATAGCTTGCGCCCTCTTTCATGCGTCCTACAATAGTACACTGCTTTCGAGCTTGCTGGGCGGTAGCCGACGGACCAGGTTCCCACGGCGGGCCAGCTTGATGGTCTTTCACTTGGGAAGCTGCGACAAGAAGTCGTGAGCATTCCCGCAACACATCTTCTTGGGAGGCTGCGCTTTCTGGCAGCGTGCTCCCTGGTCGGAAAGTCTGCAACGAGATTTCCTTCAGACTGACGCTCAAATGAGGCTCATTTAAAATCAGCTGCTCGATCAGCGAACTAACATCAGACTCGCAGAGCCCTCCCTGACCCGGAAACGATCAACAGCCTTCCGTGGTAAAAATGCCCAGGACTCGAAGTCGGAGCCTGCTTGGCGGCGACGCCCTTGCCATTCCAATGACGCGGCCAATGCCGCACCACTCAAACGCACAGTCAAGAACCTTTCGTAGTGCCGCAAGAGTCGGGTCATCAGGAGCAGCATTGCAAGTTCGATCAACCACTGCCACATTTCGTACATTCGTCGGCAGTGTGCTCGCTAGATCCATACTGCTTGCTAAGCGCTGTCGCATCGAGGCAGCGCTATCAACAATATATCATTGTCCTCCCGCAGTAAGTCGATCTTCGAACTCCTCCTCCTCCTCCATGAAAGCGAGCTCCGGCTGTGGTCCCAAAGCCCGGAACATTCAGCAAACATGGTGCTGCTCAATCCAACGATTCAGATCGTCATAGCCAGCTGGTCGGCGTGCGATTCGATCCGCCGAGGCGGAGAAATTACAGAGGTGCGTGCTGAGTGTTCGAGCTCGTGAGCAACTTTTATGTGCATCTGATGGTCATTCCACAGGTGTTTGATCGATGAGAATTTCTCGATGACGACGGTGATGGTGTTGGAGTCTCTGAGAGGCAGCAGCTCGCGAGGAAAGTTCCTCAGTGTAGTCCAGAGTTGACGTTCAATACTTGCCACACCCGCGGTCTGTGACGAAGATCTTCGAATCCAGATGACAAAGGCCCGACCTCCCACGATCCTCGGAAGTCCTTCAATGCGCACGTCATCCTTCTCACTGAAAGGCTGTAGAGACGGATACTCATCCACTGCACCCCGGAGAGCGATCTGGGGTTTGATCAAAGGGGTGAGTATTTTCTGAATGATTGTGTCATTAATGAGTCCATCTGGCCGAAAGAGTGGCTCGCCTGGTAAGTACTGGTATTGCCATGGCGCTGAAAAGAGCCAGCGGTCCTTTGCGTCTGGTCGGAGCCGTGGAACATGCCCGACAAGCTCGAGTTCAAGATCGTGGACCATAACTTTAATATCAGAAGTTGATGGCCTTTCATACAAAGAGACCAGCATGAAAACCTTGCACTGGATGTTCAGGTCGAGAACCTGTACATGGGAATCAGCTGTATGTCTGTCCTTATTGACTGCGAAAGGCATGAAGAAGGATGGGTACTGGTCAGCCATTCGCTGCGTCATCTTCTGTCCAACCAGGTGGACCAGCGCGATCCAACGGTCACGCAGGTTACGATCCACAGCACAGAGATCTCCTTCTAGTGCGACATCAAGGTCAATGAGCTGCTGGTCAATCTGCACAGCACAGCGGACATAGGTTCTGTCGTCGGATGCAAAAGTGCAACTCCACTGAGCTGTGACAGAGACACGTTTAAGGTGATTCTGCTTGAGTGAGTGGAGAGTCGTCGTATACGCCGCACCTGGTCTTGAGTATCGAGAGGACCATGATGTTAGCGTGCATACTGGAGTAGGAAAATGTAAAGATGCGCTGAGCACCAGGCCAGAATGCTGAGAGCACCCTTGCACCATGTCCTGCTACTCCTTCACGACCCTAACACTCAATCAACGGTCGAGCACCAGTGTGGATGGCTGAAACAAACCTGACGAACCTGACTGCTTGAGTGGGCATGGCTTTCGAGTGGTCTTCTGTTGTTGGAGTCGAGATGTAGTCGGAAGAAGCTTGCTCTGCTGTGAATCTTGGAGACTGCAGACTCGTTCTCGCAGTACTAGGCAGGGGAACACGCTTGAATCTGTCCTGTAGTGAGACAGGATGGGTGCCGTGCAAGGGTTGGTGAGGAGGCGTACATTTTCTCACAGGCTGCAGATCTTTCTGGGCATGTGTGAGAATAGACTGAGTATATATTGTACGGCTCTTAGCTGAGTTGGTATCAGGAATCGTGAGCGGTGGCCCTGCAGATGTTGAGGGCCTCCCCACACCTGCTGCTCACAATGCTGACTAGGTACTTTCATTGTGTTCGATCGCTGAGCCGGCCAGTGTATCAGTAGTCACTGTTCGCTAGACCTCCAAATCGTCGTTCACCCTCTTAAGAGCGCAAACCATCCTCCAATCAAGCAAAGTCCTCCCAAAGGCGTGACCGGGCCCAGAAACCGAAAAGTCGTTGGGTTCAGCGCCAACAAGTAGATACTCCCACTGAACATCGTCATACCGGCCGTGAACAGCGAGTTCGATAGGTTGTACTTGGATGAATCGGTTGCGGGTGCGGCGATGGACGATGTTACGAGGAGCGTGATGGCGTGTGCTAGCTGTTGTGTTCGAAATCGTTAGTCATCCGGTCTTGTACTTACATCCAAAGAGACGTGAGGGCAAAATTCCCTGCAAACAACACATAGTTCGGGTAATTCAGCCCCCAAAGGCACTGATTGCAGAGGCCGAATGCAAGAAATCTATGAGAACGGACCTGATATTGCGCCGCCGTGCCCCAATTCGCCAGTCTCGCCGGGTCAGCAATGCGCTTCTTCAGGCCATGCGCGCCAAACGCGCCCAGCATGACTGCCGTGGCGCCGTACACAGCGGCCACCTTGAAGTAAGGCGATCTGGGAAAGGGTGCACCCTGGACATTGGTCGTCATTGTGTCGGTGCTGTCAGTGCCGTCGCTGGTAGTGTTGTTCGGCGAGTCGGATGATTGCGGGCTCCGGAGGAGAGGTGAAGACTCAGGATCCGGGCTTGGCATGTGCACAGTAGCTGAAGGGAGCTACGAGAGATCTGAAAGGGTGGGTAGTGGGAGAGGGTCAAGTGGTCATCGTGTAGAATTACACGAAGATGGAGGTCGTCTCGGGTTGGGAACGGGTCTTGGCGGCCTGACGGGAGTTCATAAACGACGGGTAAAGGAATGCAAGGATGTGTTTGTGCATCAGCATTTTGGAGAGACAAAGTACTTCCGGGTATCGTGTCTTTGCGCTGAGGAGTCAAGCAACTGTACCGGATAGCACGACTACGTTACAGCAATGCGTCCTCAGAAAATCCTCTTTGCCATCCCTGACTCTCATGACCCTTCAATCCATGGGAACATCGCTGTCCTCAAGATCACCATCCAGCCCGTCGGCATCCTCATCCATCATCGGGGTATTCTCATCCGCCATGTCCTCATCATTATCGCTCCTCTCTGCAAGCAGGTCCTCCTCGATTTGTGCGTCCATCTCCTGCTTCGATCGTGGATTTGCACGTTGAGCCGGCGCAGCGGCCGAACCCGGCACTTTGTAAGGCATATGCTTTGCCGTAACATTGTGATTGAGAATGTCCCGACGAATGCGGACATCTCGATCACCATCCCAAACATCTAGTCTTCGCCGCATTCTCGTAGTTGCTTTCAGCCAGCTTTCAGCTTCTCCGCCCCAGTCCTCAGCATCGTACTTATTGATATCGAAGCCAGGAGGCGCGCGAAAAGGCCTGTCGAGTCCGCCCGGGGTTCGGTGAGTCAGCCCGCCTATAGCTGGTGTTTTTGTGGCACGATCGACTTCCTCCTCCGAGTCGTAGGTCGGCTCGAGGTTTTGGACTCGTCTGGCGGTACGCAGAATCAGTCTAGTGTCCTGGTTGAAAATAGGGCTGGCGAGCATATTCTTTCGTCTTCTACGCAACGCCCATTCAACGCGTTTCTGTTTGTGATCCTCTAGCTCTCGTTGATAGCCAGTACGTGCTCTAGGTTTGGATGGAATGCCAAGGGGCTCTGTCCGGGGTACCCCATATTGGCTCATGATGACATGACCGCCAGGGGGTGGCTGTGGTGTCGATCTCGTGTCTGGTGTACCGGCACGTCTTCTGCTGGGATTTTGCACAGCCGTGGCAGGTTTTGCACGCGATGGTGTGTTCTTCCCGCGAACTCGCTTGTAGCGGCCCTTTCCTGGATGTGGCTCGTGCTGCTCAAAGTCGTCATCCAGACTGTCAGCCTGAAAGGCACTCCCTGCTAGGAGCTCGGGCGGAGCTGGACTTCGACCTAGTCCGGGACTCGCTCTTGAGTCGACGTCCGACATGATAGTGCTGTCTTCATCGACGGAGGCCGGCAAGCTCTTCTTGGTTCTGAGCCTCTTGACTGATTTGTTCTCCGGGACAGGGTTGTTTGGATCTGCCATGGTCAAAGTAGGCTCGTTGGCAACACTGTCCATGATCTCTTTTCGTTTTTTGGTCATAGTCTCGGCGAACTCTTTCTCGATGGGTGGGTCTTCATTCTCTTTGTCGCCTTCTTCTTCGGTGATGAACTCCAGAGGTGGTGTGATGCAGGGAAACGCGCCCGGAAGACTCGGATCGTCTGAAGGGTGATACTGGCCCGGACCAAAAGGATTCTCTAGAGCTGATTTCGCAGTATGCTCTGCCTCAAGATACCACCACATGATCCACAAGAATGCCCGAGCTCGGCTTTTAGAAGATATGGTAGGTCGCATAGCCAGATCGAACCAGTCAACTTTGTCGGCAAGGTGAGCATCGCTGATTCTGGTGGCGAAGTTAGACAGTATGAAAATACAGTTGACTGCATTAGTCCGTGCTGGTGGTGGGTCTTCCTCAAGGGCTTGCATGGCCTTGGGCTGACCGTTGTCGTCCTCGCTGGCGCCTTTGAGGATGCTCTTGAGGCGAGGGGCATCTTGCAACGATTTGTAGTCTTTCTGTGATGCATACGCCTGGAGAGATGGTATTGAGTGGTAGGTTCGTAATTGAGCACGCATCTCCGGGAAGAAATTCAGTGTGGTGTTCATCCGGCCCACATTGACCAAGAGGCAGATCATAGCCATATTCTCACCAGCCTCACGATCTTTCAGCAGTCGGTCCTTCAGAACTTTGCTTGTCTTTGTGCTGTGGACGAGACAATCGATGTAGATGTCGGCGAAGTTGCATCCCGGCTTCTTGTCGCTGAAGCGTGTGAAAGCAGGAGTCTTGTCTTCAACGACCAGCCGCAGAAACTCATACTGGATCTCTTTCCGCCATAATGGTGTGCCGTCCTCCTTCTTGATGTGTCTGATCTTCGCGCCCGAGTAGACGGAGCCAACAGTGGTGTCTTTGGAGGCGACTTCTGTGTCCAGCGCATCTTTGCTTGATCCATTCTGCTTCCCACCGGTCCGCTCTGTGGCAGTCTCCTCATCTTCTGTGCCGTCCATCGCTGACTCACTCAGGTGTGAAGGACCTCTGCTCTTAGTAGCTGGATTCTTACGTCTGTTTCTGGGCGGTGCTTTCTTTGGAGTGCTCGACTGTCCTGGGTCTGGATGAAGGCTCTCGACTGAAACTGCTTGGGTGGCTGCGTGTCTTGCGTCCTCGTCGAAAGTGTCGCCGGGGGTAGACCGGGGTGGGGAGGATCCTGGGGGAGATTCCATCGAGGATGTCGCTCGCTATGTGGAGCGTGGGCAATGATCGATGAGTATCATGATCGTCGACGTGTGGGCGCAAGCACACTGTCGAAGTCAGATAAGTTCGAAGAAGGAGGCTGTATGCGCTCAGCTAGGAGTCCATCACTTCGTTCATTCATTTATTTGGAGATGCAGTCGCGTAGCCTGCAATCATCTTTCGCGACTGGTCTTGCAGTACACCGTAGATCGCGGTGTTTCATTATTCCCCAGCGACACAGCTCCCAGGTCCTTGCCTACTGCTCCCTCACTTCAACTCAGCTATACTCACATTATTTGCGCCGCGAGGTGGGCCTCTACATGTCATTGTGGCTGCACAAGACTCTCTGGGCACCCCTTCATGCATCTGATGACGGGTATCTGCCTGTATGGCTTTGTCCAGCGGCTCTCGGACCATCTTTCCATGGGCTGACCGCAGCAGTCACCTATATGCCGAGCAAAATTTGTGTCGCTAATTCTGATTCAGTGCTTCGTCTGCCTGGAACGATAGCGAAGTCCCAAGAGTGTCAAGCCGTACCATGCATGTCCGCAGGCAGCAACATAACTTTTCATTATGGAAGCCGCAACGCTCGTCCACAAACTTTGCAAGAGGCACTCAAAGCGTGAAATCGAATACGCGTATTCATGAACGGTAGGCGCAGCCGCTGCTACTGCTCTGTCATTGGCTAGTTGGATTTAGTCGAGATCATCCCCTCGAATACGCTCTTACAGCCTTGGCATGATGTTGCATTTAATTGTTGATATAAGAGCCGACAATTGCGATCGCAGGGTAGCAGCTTCTCAATGACAATCCATTGCATTGGCAGCAGCATATAGCACTCCCACTGACAACTTATCGAACTTGCCCACGGCCGCAGAGCCCTCCCTGGCTCCTTCTCCGGTACACTGTTAAGCGCATAACCTGACATACACAAGTCCCTCAGCGCATAACCTTACAGACACACGTCCCTCAGCCCGCCGCGAAGAAGCGTAGCAGCAGCAGAACTTTGTACACAAATCTTTAGACCCGCCACGGTGTTCTGCCTCGAAAGATCACTTCCCCTAGCTCGTTCTCGGACTCGATATACCACTGAGCTACGACAGCATGGCTGACGATGGCGATGTCTACGAATTGTATCGATACGTGCCATCTCTCCCAGCAGCCCTGGTAGCATGCGTCGTCTTCGCTCTTCTGACTATCGGTCATATATGGCGCATGGCACGAAGTAAGACGTGGTTCTGCATACCTTTCATTATTGGAGGCTTGTGTAAGTGTCAAGGCCCTCCTGATATGGGCGAATCTGATCTGTTGCTGCAGTCGAGTTCATCGGATACATTGGCCGCTGTCTATCGCATTTTGATAAGGAGGCGCTTGGCCCGTTTATCATACAATCACTCCTCATACTGCTCGGTCCCGCCCTCTACGCTGCCTCGGTTTACATGGTCTTGGGACGAATCATCTCAGCCTTGGATGCGGAGAGGCTATCCCTGGTGCCCGCCCGGTGGCAGACGCGGCTCTTCGTTTGCGGTGACGTATTGTCGTTCCTTACTCAGATGGCCGGTGGGGGCATACAAGCTTCAGGCAGTCTATCGGGTATGCATACTGGAGAGAAGATCATTATCGTTGGTCTCTTCATGCAGATTGTCTTCTTCGGTGAGTCCACCAATCTGTTGCCGTTGAGAAGTCCTAGTCAGGGAGGGCGCTGAAGGAATTCTGACAATTCAGCTGGGGAGACTGCCCGGCTCTTGCCCACAAAGCTTGACTGTACTTGCAATGCGCGTTCCGAACACAGCGCTTATCATGACTTGGTGGCATTGCTAACCCACCCATCTAGGAGTATTCACGGCCACCTCCTTGGTGTTCAACCGACGTATACGACGACACCCCACTACACTGTCTACCGAGAACAGATTCCCATGGCAACACCTTCTATACATGCTCTACGCCGTCAGCATTCTCATCCTGGTTCGAAGCGTCTTCCGAGTGGTTGAGTACCTGCAAGGTAATGCTGGATATCTGCTGCGTCACGAGCTCTATCTTTATGTTTTTGATGCGGTCCTGATGGCCCTTTGTATGGCCATATTTCTGTTCTACCATCCATCAAGAATTCACGCCGGCCGGGGCAATGCGAATGTCATACCGATGCGAGACTCGGAGAGACTGCCGTCGAAAGAGAGTGACAGCAGAGCTGGCTTGGTCTGAGCGGCCTGGGTATGGACGAGGTCATGGCTCGTGAGATGCTTGAATCCGATTTAGCGAAGCAGGAACGGCGTACGGAAGCATATGTCAGGTTGAGGGCGGCCTTCGTGAAAATGGCAAGCCTTGAGCATTAATCGACAGCCGTGGTATTATTTGGAAAACATCATAGAATAGAAAGCGAAGTATCAGTCGAACGCCGCCGACTGATGAAACTAGCAATATGTACAAACAATTGAAGGTCCAGCCAATTCCATGAAGTCCTGCTGCGTGGTCACTGGGCCAAACGTAAGGTCTCCTTCCTAATGAGGACTTCTGATCTGCTAATGCAAAGTCCGGGCGCCGATGATCTCAAGAGTCTGGATCATAAGTACCCACGCCTAGGTACCTCGCTCCGGATCGGATAGTATGCCATTTATTCCAGGCAGACACATCATTTGGCGCTTAGAGACAGATGCTTGCCGAACTCTATCTGTGAATTTGGGGTTTTGTCGTTGGTATTGTTGGTGCAGACGTGGCAGTCAGTGATGTACACAGATTTCTTCTGCGGAGAGGAGTTTTGAGTTTGTTTGCAACCTTGGAAGAGCGCCTCAACGTCTCGGGCTCTTGATGTACTACTCTACTGTATACAGCTGTCGCTGCTCTTTACCGAGTGAGCACTTGATCTGGGCCAAAGCAGCTGTGCAAAAAGCGGACTTTACCAAGCATGGAACATTGATCAGAGTCACGACTCCCTCCAGATCCATGCTGGCGATGGCTCCTTCCTGACCATGAAACGCAAAAGTCACAAGAAGTCTCGAAGAGGCTGTTTGGCATGTAAGAAGGCACATAACAAGGTAGGATGACCTCTCATCCGATCTCAGCAGCCATCTTGTTCCCGTTGTACAACTGTCGATACCGCGAGGTGTCCCGATGGGTGGGACTCATTCGCCTGGTATATTGCACGTTGTCATGCCAGGTCCAGTCCCAAGACTTCAGCTTAAGTCTGTCAAGCGTCAGTCGCTTACAAAGTACCTTCACAGTGCGACGAGCAGCGGCCAAACTGCTTCAATTGTATACGATTGTCAAGGAAGTGCACTTGGCCAGATGGCGCTCCCGAGGCAGTGAGCCATGAAACCTCGCCAGCCAGCAACAATGGCCTGCCCACCACCGCGTCAGTCCTGTCGACCACCTCGAGTCCTCGTCCAGCGACCGCTCACGACCCTCTCGGTCTTCCCATTCGCGAGCTTACACTGCTGCACAGCTACATGGCAAACACGTTGATCACGACTACCCAAGAATCGTCTACTTCTCCGAGATTCGGCATCTGGTCACATACAGTCGTTAAGATGGGACTGGAGTACCCATTCCTGCTGCGCGCCGTTCTCTCAGTCTCGGCACTACGACTAGCGCAGGACGAGTCCAGCCACGAGTGGTTTCTCGAATCAGCAGTGCACATGGAAGCCGGGCTCACGGCCTTCCGGCAACTCATTGCCACTGGTGATCCCAATTCGGATGAGAAATTACAATCGGCCCTCTTTGCTTTCTCGTCGCTACTTGTGGTCCAGAATTTCGGCTTGGCCGTCGTCGAGCAGCCCAAGGACTCTATTGAGGAGTTTGTTAAATGCATTCGTCTGGTACGAGGAGTTGGTGCAGTCCTAAGAAACGCTTGGGAGGTGGTGCAAAAAGCTGAGCTAGCACCTATCATCTTCGGAGCGACATTCGTGGAGAAGCCAGAGCACGGACCAGAGAACCAATTTCTTGCTTCGCTCAAGACCATGATGTCCACCAGCGAGTTGCCTGAAGAGGATGCGACGGCGCTCATACAAGCGCTGGAGCACCTTCAAGCGATAGCGGCAGAGCACTTTCTTCTGCGCTCCGGTGTGGGCACAAGTCAAGCAACATCTGTTGGGGTTTTATTGAGTTGGCCTGGACGAGTTCCCGAACGGGCACTGGAACTCATGGATGAGCGCAATCCTTGTGCTCTATGCATGATCGCGTACATGGCAAGTTTACTTGTGTCTGCTGGCTCACATTGGTGGATCGAAGGGTGGGACAAATTGCTGCACGACGCTGTGGTGCCCTTTTTGCCGAGCGCGTTGGCTGCGGACCTCGTCCATGCAATGGCGCAGAATCGACTTGACACGGCCAATAACGACGCTGTGCGGATGACGACCGGTGTCGTCGTGCAACCAGGCGCTGATCGATCGTTAGGTGGCTGAAGTGAAGATCCCACATACAACGACTTACTGCTGCTGAACCTTCTCATGTGGCGGCAGATGCTGGCCAATTGGCCTTGGCTTTTAGCGGGGATTCAATCACCTAGGCAACTTGGCTGCGCTTCTGGGCTGCCAGCGTGACGACTCGCACTGAGACCCTCAGACGGGAAGGAGGCCTTCCACTTCAGCATCCATCACATCAGCTCATCTCAACACATCGGCCTCAACGGGCAAGCCACCTACCCCATTGGTACTTCTATCTGTCCAGCGTCCAGGAAACATACCGAAAATCGACAACGTTTATCCTGCTCGCTCGGGACAGATAGAAGTTGGACATGTCCCAATAAATCCCCAGGCCTTTCCTCATGGTGGTATCTTGGTCACTCAGGCAGCTTCACTAATCTTCACTTCACTTCGAATGGTCTGCCCAGAAGGGAAGGCCACCTTCCAATCGAACACTTCGGTCTGTCCATTATAAGATCGAAGGCCTCGATTTCGGCTGTATCCGGGAATCAACAGAATCGCCTATAGTGAAATACGACACACACATTGCTGGGCCAATAAACTTGCAAGTCTGCATAGCCCTTGCTCCGGGCGAAGTCGCAATGGTCAGAATGATACTTTGACAGTGACGAAAACGTCGATGAGCCGTTGCGTCGCATTAGCAATCATCGCGTCACTTCAATTTCAGGTAGACGATTGGGCGCCTCGGACCAAGCTTGATTCTATCTGACAGTCGACCCTCAGAGGACAAGGTCAGTATCGCTGAGAAGACAGTAAACCTTCGCAAGAGGTAGGTGGCCTGTTCAGATACGATATCAAGGTGGCAGAAGTGAATGACGGAGTGAATGCATGCAGGAAGTGTCAGTGAATGCTCGCCATTTGATTATATCTACGACAGATCCCACCGTTGATCTCTTTCAATCTTTCGTCCTACTGATCTTGTCCACTCTTTCGATTCGTTGCCTGCCACTACCAAATATGGCTCCCCTTACGAACGATAGCAAGTCTAATTTCCAAGGCGCCGGTCACGTACTCGGTCCAGCCCGTGATAGTGTCGAAGCTCCTCGATCTACCAAAGTAAGTCCCATGCATGGAGAATCGAAACCCTCGATTCTGACGGCAAATTAGACGGACGCACAGGCTCGTCTGGATGACTTCATTCGTGATGGCGTCGAAGGCGATAAGTGGACGCACAATAAAGCTCTTCAGGCCGACTTGGAGGTGTGGGAGAATTATCGTCGGAATCTGCGCCTCCGCAGACTCGAGCCGGAAGAGCTGCGGGAGCTGGACCTCGAGGCTCGTTGTGCCATCGAAGAATCGAAGCGCAAGCACGATGAAGCCCTGGAGAGCGACTTGATGATGTGGGAGAGGTACCGCCAGAACCCGCGCTTCATCATGATTCGGAAGAATGGAGACTTGTGGAAGCCCAGTGTCGGAGAAGGCAGAGCAAAAGAAAGCGGCGATGAGGCCTAAGTTGATGGTGAAGTTGAAGTGCACACGACTCGACAACAGCACTCGCAAGGAGCTTCGGAATTGACGTTGTTGATTCTGAACAAATGCACGTGTCGGAGAATGACATGCCAATGCCCTGATGTCTGGGTCCGGAGCACTTGAGCCGGAGCAGTTCGGCCAAGGAGGGCCAGATTGCTTGGTCTGAGCTTTGAATCAAGATCAACTATCTGGGTAGCTAGACCAACGGCGGGCGAGCAGAACAAGGCATCGATCGCAGCAGAAGGCCTAAAGGCTCGCAAGACTCCGTACAGCCGAACAAGACCGCATCCTTGGGGGACTGAGAGGCACGAAATTGAGCAGACGAAAGGCCTAGACAGACAACGACGAGACGGAAATGAAACTCCTCCGAAAGCCCAGCGAGGATCCGATCTATCATCCACTCTGAATCCCCCTTTTTCTTACCAGCATACCGCACCGCCAGCTTGTCACCCTTCCAAACTCATCATCGCCCTAAATCTCCCTCCCGGTATTCTAATCAACTCTTCGTACGTTCCGTCCTCCACGACGCAGCCCTCTTCCATCATCACCACGCGATCCGCCCACTTCATCGTCTCGATGTCGTGCGTAATCATCAGTATTGTCGTACCGCCCTCCGGGTTCTCTCTGGCTTTCCCCTTACCTTTGCCCTTGACTTCATCACCCCTGACCGTGCCATCGCCACGCAAAACAGCCCTCAACCCCTCCCTAACCTCCCGCGCACTCTCCCCGTCCAACCCACTTGTGACCTCATCCAACACCAGCATTCTACTTTCCCTAACCAACGCCCTTGCAATCGCGATCCTCTGCCTCTGCCCACCACTCAGCCCCATTCCACCGCCACCCGCGCAACCGCTGTTAGCCCCGTCGCTGATCACCGTGTCGTAGCCTTGCGGGAGGGAGGTGATGAAGTCGTGGATCGCGGCTTGTTGGGCTACGAGGTGGACGTTGGGAAGAGAGGTGAGGTGGGCGTTGGGGGAGAGGCCGTACGTTATGTTTTCGGCGATTGTGGCGTGGGGGAGTAGGGTTGGGTGTTGTGGGACTAGGGTCACTAAGGCGCTCAACTCGGATGCGGGAATTGAGGACAGAGGACGGGACAGTAGGGTGATGGTTCCGTCGGAGGTAGGGTAGAGGTTGAAGAGGAGGGAGGCGAGGGTTGATTTGCCGCTGCCGGATGGGCCGACTATGGCTGTGATGGTGCCGGCTGGGATGTTGAGGGTCAGGTTACGTAGGATGGGAGTGTGTGGGCGGGTGGGGTAGTGGAAGGTGAGGTTATTGAATGAGATTGCGAAGCGTTGTGCTGGTGTCTGGCTACGTGGCTGTGGATTCGGTTGAGGGATGGTCGCTGCCGACTCTGGCCGATCGAGTGTCTCCTTGGGTACCTTCAGCTGCGCCAATCGAATGACTCTTGTGGCAGATTCCGTCGCAATAGCGATCATCGGAATGAGTGACAGCGCTAGACCCGCTTGTGTAGACGTGAGGAACATGAGCGACATGGAGGTGAAGATCTGCGTGGCGCTGACTTCGTAGCTCGACGCCAGTCGCACAGAATACCACATGAGCACGGCCATCAGGAAGTGGATTGAGCTCTCGCAGATCCCGAACAGTAAGCCCATGTACATTGCGCGCCGGCGACCCTGAGCGAACAATGCGATGGTAGCACTGGCGTACTTCTTGTGGAAGTAGCCTTCCAGTGTAAGAGAACGAACGGTGCGGATGTCAGTGAATGTCTCGGGAAAAACTGCGCCAAGAGCATCGTTGGCAGCGTTGATCTTGGATTCCCAACTTCCTGACGTTAAACTCATGCTTTGACGAGGCCGACTATGATAGGCGTGGCGCCGACGCCGACAAGGGTGAGTTTCCAGGAAAGCACAAAGGACCAGATCACGGCGACGAGGAGCATGATGATGACGTTGAGCACTGATGTCGCGTGTCGGGCGACCAGGCCACGCATCTCCTCCGCGTTGCGGTCGAGCACGGATGTGAGATAGACTGTGGAGTTTGCGTCTTCTTCGAACCATGCTTTTGGTTGCTGGAGGATGCGATGCGCGGCCGTTGTTCGTAAGCGGTCTGCCCAGTGGCGGGCTGCGATGTCCAGGAGGTACGTGCCGGTGAAAAGTAGACAGCCATCGAGAACTGCAGTTGTGAGCACAACCAAACACCACCTGAGTGCTTTGGATTCGTAGTCGCTGACCATGTAATACGTTTCGAAGATTTTGGACAGGCTGTATGCAAGTAGTGATGGGAGGGCGGCGCGACAGCAGCACGCTAGTGCACCAAGAACAAGCCAGGTACGTTTTCGACGATCCAGGGTGGGGAGGACGGTCGCGAAGATTCTCTGGAGGGAGAATTGCGTCTTGTCCTGATCGTCATCGAGTTTGTGGTAGTTACCACCACCGAATCTTGCGCGGATACTTCGAGGGCCATTCTCAAGCAATCTCGGTGAAGGAAGTGCTATGTCCTTATTGGCAGCTAAAGAGGCTATTCTGGCTGTCTTACTGCTCAGTGTCGGGACTTGCTGCAGTTCAATACTCCCCTCCGTCGTTGACGCAGTCGGAGATGAATTTGGTACTGGATCGACTGGCTCAGGCCTAGCCTTTGCAGCCAGTGCCGGAAGCCGAGCATTGGACGCGGCATGCATTGAAGCTCTCGCCGCAGAGGTGTTGCCCGCCATCAACAGAGTCATGCGAGAAGCATTACGCATGGCCTTTGGTGAGGTGAGGTACGAGCCACTACTCAGATCATCAAGTCGTTTTTCGAATGAAGCACGCCGTGTGATGGCCTCTTTGGTCCATTTCAGCCCTGCAGGCCGAATGTGGTCGTTCTTTGCCTTCTCCGAGCTTGGATCGACTTCTGGCAGTCTCGGACTAGCATCGGAAGCTGTGGACTCGGGTTCGTTTGAGCGTAGAACAGCATCGCGCGTGCACTACGTGTGACTTTGCCCTCCTCCATGAGCACAACGTAGTCGTCCTTCTCAATAAGGTCTGTATCGTGCGTGATGACGATTGTAGTCATGCCGGCCCGCCACGCACGTATGTGTTCCATGACGATCTTTCTCGTTGTGCTGTCCAGAGCACTGGTGGATTCGTCTAGAATCAGGATGGGCGTGTTCCTCAGTCTAGCTCTTGCGAGAGCCACTCTTTGGATCTGCCCTCCCGAAAGTGCCTTGCCTCCGGCCCCAACTTTCGTGTAGATGCCGTAGGGCAGTGCTGATATTGTGTCCTCCAGGCAAGCATGGCGAGCACATTCCAGTGCTTGACTAGACGTCACCTGCTCATGCCGCCGGTGTCCGAGCGCAATATTGCGAAAAACAGTTTCGTTGAAGAGAAAGGATTGCTGCTGCACTAGTGTGATGTTGTTGCGGAGCCAGGTAAGGTCCAGATCGTAAATATCGTGTCCGTCAATTAATAATGACCCTGAGATCGGAGCATGAAATCTTGTGAGCAGATTACTTATGGTGCTCTTGCCAGAGCCAGATTTACCGACGATGAAGGTTAACCTCCCAGGTTCGAATGTAACGGATAACGCCCGAAGCACCAAATGATCAGGCTGAGTCGAATACGAGAAGGAGACCTGGGTTCAGAACATTGGCAGAGCTCCTCCGAAAGTCGGATTTTACCTACCTTTTGCAATTCGATTTTTCCTTCACACAACTTAGGCACGATGCCGTCCACCTTGCTGGAGGTCCGCTGTCCCCGCTCTACAACTCTCATCAGATCTCGCAGAGCTACTGCTGCCGCATGCCCTTTGGCAAGACTCAAAATGTGCGGTGCAGCGCTTTGGAAGGCATTTAGTGCCATGAATGCTGTCCACATTCCGGTGATGACCTTGCCGGCCATGCTGTCACCGTCATGGACCATTTTACCACCGTACCAAAACCCTGACGATCTCAGTCACTGAAGTCCAAGCCCTTGCAACAACATACCTATCATGAACATGACCATCAATACCACCGCCAGCATCGCCATTTGAGCGGCTGCCAATCGAGACTGTCTGAGCGCAAAGAGCGCTGCAGATTTGATTGCAGCTGCATAATTGGAAGACTCCTGCGAACCTGTGTTGAAACATTTGACAAGGGAGATGTTTACTGTAGCGAAGTTGATAGATGTGCTTGCTCGAGCCAGAGAAGCATGTTGCGTTTGAATGTGACGTTGTATGCGACCCGATGTGAATCTGAGCATAAGTCCAGCGGCGGGCATGCCACTGAGCACCACCAAAGTGAGCTTCCAGTTGTAGTACAGTGAAAGACCAAATGCAACAAATCCCTCGGTGATACCGTGCAAGACGAATGCAAGTGGCTGAGAAAGTCCTTGCTGCAATTCGCGGATCTGGCTGTGCTCGATCAGCAGGAGCGCTCCTTTCTATCTCGGCGACAGCTTACGTCTGTAGTCGGGTGAGGAGCGACGCAACACCGTCCTCACGCTCCTGGAACCAATTCAAATCCTTCTCTAGTAAGGTTTTGAACAGCTCTTCTCGAACCCTTCTCGCTTGTTGCTCTCCGAACATTGACCAGGACGAATACATCAGACCATACAATATGAGTGTTAGACACCCAATGACAACAAAAGCATTCACCACAGGAGTTGTGCGTTCGCGCAATGCCCTGGAGTCGATCAAGCCTCCTCCGAATTGAGCTACAGCGTCAGCGAACTTGCCTGTGTAGACAGCCATCACAGGACCGAGAGCTGAGGAACATGCTGCCGACAGTATCGCTATGAAGAGGATCGGCAGGTCGCGTCCTTTGGTGAAGCCGAATATTGCTAGCCACTGGAAGTGCTGTGCTCCCTGTCCAGTCCTCGACTGTTGTTCAACCTGGGGCATGCCGCATGTTCAAAGGCTTTACTCGAGACCTTGGGGGTCGTACGTCAGAGTGTGCCGTCTTGGTTGGCCAAATCGATTTGTCGAACGATGTCGAAGTTGCAGTTGGGGTCTGTGCTCATTTCTTCGCGTCGGCCTGTGCGTTCTCATAAATCCAGTCGTTCAGACCTTCCCGATTTCTTGCGATTTCGATGGCATAAAACTGCATCCTAGCAGCAAAAATGGTCTCCTTCTCGCCATACTCAGTTTTGGCACTCCGTCTTAACATGGTGCCAAAGTTGTAGTCGTCCACCTTCTTCTCGCCGTCGGCATAGACCATACAGAACTTTCGCCAGCGCTCTTTGCCGTCTTTGCTTTTCATGTCATCTTCATTGATCTCTGCTGCCGGGTCAAAGTCTGGAAAGTCTTTCTTAAGATGATCAAAAATTTCGTCATCAAGTCGAGTGAGCCTGAGTTTGGACCCTGGCATCTTCTCCAGGAGCGACCAGTAGACCGTCAGTTGGCGGACAGCCGTCACAGCAAACTGTTGTTCCATTTCTTCATTGTTGCCAGCATGCTCGGCATCGAATGGGACGCTTGATGCCATGTTGAATAGTGATGTGACGGGATTGTGCGAGATGAGGTCCTGTCAAGAGTTTGCGTCGTCTGATAGTGTCTCGTACCGCGAGGTGGCGTGCGAATCAATTCCAACTTTATAGGCGTCGATATTAGCCACTCGAGCTTTTCGATGGCCACTTCGAAAGCCATCGAACTTTTTGTCGTTTTCCCGTCTGATACAGTTTGGTCTTGGCGTTGCTAGCTGTGGGCGGGGCCGTAGAATTATTTCCTCGCCTAACTGCCGCCCGAGAATTGGAGATTCTTGACTCGATGTGACAACATTGCAGTCCGAGTCTCGTGTTTCTTCCCACTCTCATCCACCTTCACATGCCATGACCATATCCCTATAGGCGCCCGCCGCCCATCATCGATCGTATAGCAACACTCTCGCTCCTTAAGTCCCTCATTTGCGTCTCAAGCCTACTCTATTCGAAATTGCAAGAACAAGATTGAAGCCGGATACCTCACAAGATGGAGATGCCAATTCCCAGACGGCCTTTCGAGCGACGAACATTCGAACTCACACCTGCCTCTGCCGACTCATCTTACCCGCCAACACCCGCGGAGGAGCACCACCCAGAGCTACTCAACGATAACAGACGGTCTGATCTCAGCCCTCAGAAGACAAGATCAATACTGAACCTGACCTCGAGTACCCTCTTCGGCATATATTCAGGCACTTCAGAATCTGGTGGCCAGGAAGGCTCAACACCATGGGGCACAGGCGCGCAGACACCCAGTAAACGCAGGAGTATTGACGGCAATCTACCCGAAGAGCCACAGATCACTTGGTCCGATGCTCGCAACAAACCACAAAATGCGGGCCGAGCAAAATCAAGGAGGACTGGCTTCAGAGGCTACGTGGTACCTCTGGCTCTACAGACTGTACTTCTCTTTGCCTTTGGCGCTGGCTTTGGAGCAATAGTCACGCATTTGCACCAAACACAGCAGATCACGCCAGTACCGGTTCCTGGAACAGAGAAGATCACCGGCTATTATCACTTCTCTTGGGGCTTGTTTGGAATACTCGTGGGCAATGGCCTGCCTCTCGTGGACAAGTGGCTGAGCGAGGAAATACTCGAGTCCGAACATAAGCCTTCCGGCCACAAACGGACTGTCTCATCCAGTTCCGATGACGACCGAGAGACGCTTGGACCCATGTGGTACTCGGCAGTCAGGAGTGTTGGGGCTTTCGTGGGCATTGCATTCGCTGTGGTGAGTTGACCGAGTACTTGGGAGTTAACGTCGATAAAGGAGCACTGACATTTCTACAGAGGAGACTGCCTTGGTCATCGACTTTGCAGTTGTCATCGACTTTAGCACTGGCTAATCCAGTCCTCTGGTACTTGATCGACAGATCGACGCCAGGTTTCGCCTTTTCAACATCTCTGGCGGTCTTGGGGACGATTGTCCTCTCACTGATGCAGCCGAATTTCGTTCCGATACCCGATATTCACCAGTCAGTAGCTTCTGAGCAAGTTGGCGTATACATGTGGCTTGCAAGCATTCTCTTCTGTACATCACTTTGCTTCGGAGCAATTGGTCGGAAGTTGCAACTATAGCTTCCAATCCATCAGAATGCTTTGTTCACACCTGACCAAGTAGGATCTTCCAGATGCGAGCGCAGCAAGACTCCTGCCCATGATGCTGGTGGTGCTTTGTCCCTTTGCTTCAGTGCCTGAGCAACAACTGCGTCGCCGAGTTGCTTCTCAATCTCCAGACGTGGAATCTCACTTATCACTTTCTCGTAGTAGTCGTTGGCGTCAAACTCATCTCGGGTCTTCTGCCTAAAGTCGATCAAGACTCCGAGCCTGACAAGCCGAGTGAAAGGGTCAATACGCTCCGCAATGCCCGGTGAGGTATGCAGCGCAATTCCAGTCCAGGCCTTGTGGCAATCCACGTCACTCGTCTGCTGCGACTGCAGAAATCGCACAGCTGCGTCAGCGCCGCACACCTCAAATCTTTCGTGGCCATCGTACGCATTCGTGGCCCCAAAGTCGTGGCAGATGCACGTCACAAACAGCAGATCCAGTTGATGGGGATCGTGGACCAATGGGCTTGATTCCTTCTCCGCCAGCCATTTTGCAAACAGGAAGACTCTCAAAGAGTGATTGAGCAACGCTTGACCTCGGGAGGCAAACGTCTCTGTGGCGAGAGCGAAAGCTTGTTGGCACAGAGGGCTCCGTGGCACGTTGTCTTCCATGGGCGAGGACATCGTTGTGAAACGACGCTGGGCCAGATGCAGGTTGTGTTACACAGATGATGCAACCGATTGCGACTTACCAAACAGATCTAGATATAGGCAAACATATACAATAAACCGTCATACTTTTGCGCCTTTGATATGCAGGCACGCGCCCTTCCGCGTTACTTTGACCAGATATGCGAGGCTTCTGCAAAGGAGGTCGACATTATTATCAGTCAGCCAACAGCAGAAATCCGACATAAACACTTTGGCGCCAAAACACGCGCCAAGCCGTGTTGATTCTGCAACTTGAAGTGAGCGAGGGGCCAACGTTTCCTATTCGACCGCCAACATCACGCTCCTTGATTCCTATCGTTGTCTGCTGACGCCCGTCCGGCACTCCTTTAAAGACGCAACGCTGGCGTCGTCCACTCTTTGACAGGTTGCTGCCCAACAACTGCATTTCAGCAAATGAGCACTGCAACATTTTCACCAATCCACACCGAAGGGCGCATTGGTCTCCAAAATGGTTTCATTCTCATGCGAAGTAAGTGCCTCGCGCGCTAGGCTCTCGAAACATTACTGATGGTAGCCAGAACTGCGGAGATACACTGAAGAAGCAGAAACTAGACCCTCACCGTAACCAATGCCGCGGGGCAGTCTTCACATGTCTCGACTGTTCAACGACGTTCTATGGCACGGACTATCGCGGTCATACAGTACGTACAAGGCTATGATTCACGACGTTGGCGGCAGTAGGCTCACGCTGGTTACAGTCATGCGTTTCGGAAGCCCAGAAGTACGAGAAAACGGTATACAAAGACAAGAACGCCAAACAGAACAAGCGCAAGTCAGTCAGTATCCTTGAGCCGACTGACAGCAATGCGATCGTCCCGCGCCGAGCATATGTCGAAGATGAGATCGAGAACGAGAATCCTCCGCCTGTACCGACACCGCCGCCAGCGGTGCGCGAAAGTCCTTCAACACGCGACAACCCTCGAGACAGCGTATTCGACTATATGGTAGACGATGACCAGCCCAATACCCCGAAGATAATGTTTTCGACCGCAAAAGATCGCGAGGCTAAAGAGATGTCAATGAAGACCAATGCGCCACCACTGTTCAACGACAGTAGATCTTCTAGTCGGAATGGGCACCGCAACAGTGAAGATCAGTTGCATAATGATGACTATGCGCAGAATGGGTTCTCGTACGGCTCGGAAGCCATCAATCCAAAGACGATGCAGGACGTGAACGGCAGCTATTTGTCGCTTGATTTCATGACACCAGCAGCTAAGGCGGCACGAATGAAATTGGATGGCAAGGCAGTCATCACCCCAGCTCACAGCCGCACCAACAGCGGCAGTGAGAAGAAGAGAAAGAGAGGGTCCGCGGCCGACGGAGAAGGAGATGTGTCTATGGGCGGGACAGACACTCATGTCACTATCGTGGACACGCCCGGCATTGCACATTCGGGTCTCACCGGCGGTCTGCAGCGCATGATCACAGACGATAGCGGCTTCTATCCCCAACCTGATTCGGACAACGAGAAGCGGAACCGGAAAGCAGATGAGCGTCGAAAATCGCGCCACACAGAAGATCCACCTAGTCCACTGAAGCGCAGCAAGCATACGAAAGAGAGGCAAGAAAAGAAGGACGACTCTGGACTAGGCATATCATTGAAAGGCCGAGCGGCGAAAGCGCTGTCCATGGTCGGCGGCGCTTTGATGCTCCCATCGCAAGCGCAAGATCTGCAGAACGTCAAGACCAGGCGCCGGGCCAGCTCGTCAGATCACTACGCTCGACCAGAGTTGCGCGAAGTTTCAGGCGAGAAGCGTGAGCGCAAGAAACATAAAGTCCATCGACACAACGGCACCTCGTCAGATAATACGCGACCACACCGGAAAGGATCAAGCGAGTCACCCCAGCGGCGGCAGAAGACGATTGAATACCACAAACAGCACGATGAGTCTGGGTCAGACTCGGATGGCGATGCAGGGCGGAACGGCAATGGTGACGTTGTGGTGTTCGGTGCGGAAGAGAAGCAGAAGCGTCAGTGCGAGGCTTTCTTGGGGAACATTCCCAGGATAGGGGAGAGTGAGAAGGGATACAGCGTTCATAAGGCGCTCAAGCGGTGGCACAAGCAGGGTGACCATCGCGGGAGTGAGCGTGCTCCGAAGGAAGAGGATCTGTGGAGAGGACTTAGGTTGAGAAAGAACGAGAGGGGAGAGGTTGTTGTGTTTTGGGGAGGACTTATGGGTGACTGAGGAGGTCTTCCAGCTGACCAGCTAGGGCTCCTATGAGACCTCTTAGATACAGGTACCCAGGTGCTCATGTAGATGCAGTGTGCAGTGGTACCCCAGCTGTACGACTGCCTACATGCTCAAGGTACTCTTTGCATCCACTCATCTCGATTCAAAACAGGGGCTTCCGGCGCTTTTGCTTGATCTGTCAGATACACTATTCCTCCATCATGGCGTGGTATGTTTTCAGTATTCTGTTGTCTCATATTCGTAGCTTGACCATATATCGCATGGTGGGTAGCGGTATGCCTCGAATGTCAAGGGTCTGGTTCTGGGGTGACGCACCAGGGACTCCAGCCACTAGCACTGCCGAATCCCTCCCGAGTTTAGCTGCAGTCAGCACCCAGGATGTGAAAAACACAACGTTATTGGCGGTCATCAGAGCCCCACGCGTCGCAAGGAACGCTGAAGTCGACCCTTGCTTCGTCTCACCTCAACCTCCTTTCTATCGACTCAACCTCAAAAATTCACAGTGGTTACCTGATTCTCAACTTACGCATGCTCACGATCAGTCGACGAATATGCCACCCGATCTGCATCGGCCTCCCGGTCGAGGTGGATCAGGATGGTTCAGCACGAAGACGCTGTTGTGCCTAATGCTGCTGCTGGCCAGCGCTAGTCAACAGGAAATTGAATACAAAAATCCGGTGAACAGCGCTCTCACAGCGTCCACGCATACTTCTCAGGAGCAACAGTACCGGAAGCACCAGACAGGCAGCAGACCTTCTGAAATACCACGCCTCAGACATGACATACCCTCGCCTAAGTTTCGAAGTACCAAAGAAGATGATGAAGCTACATACCATATCCAGAATGCCTTGGCTCCAGCACTCCAGCAAGCGAGTGTCGTCCGAGCACCAGTCACTGACCCCTTAGAGTCCGCCGTCGGTCTCTCCGCGATTTCTCCCGCGAGGTCATTGCAAGATTGGGAAGCTGCAGATATGGTCCTTGTTGCGACTATAGATGGCAGATTGCAGGCTAAGCACCGCAAGACTGGCAAGGACATGTGGACTTTGGACTGGAGGAATGGAGCACCGATGATCGAGACAATCTATCCCTGCAATCAGACCGGGGAGGATGGGGAGGAATGCGAACAAGACTACATTTTCATTCTCGAACCAACTAGGGACGGTGCACTCTTTGTGCAACACAAAGACCCCGCTATGGGTTTGCAACGGCTGCATCTTTCAGTTAAAGACGCTGCTGCTCGGTCGCCGTACGTTATGGGCAACCCACCCATTGTCATCACTGCCGCTCAGGAGACGTCCACTCTGATTGTACACGGGCCGACTGGACAGATCATTAAGGAATATCCCAGTCCAAGCCTGCCCAAATCTGAGCGACAGTGTCGTCGAGTGCAAGGCTTGGAACTCAATGGTGATGCGAACTTTGAGCGAGACTTCATCAATCTGGGCCGCATCCAGTACACAATCCGTATTGAGAACAAGGACTTAGGTCAGGAGATCTGTACGATCCGGTATGCAGAATGGATTCCAAACGGGGCCGATGGTGATCTGCAGGCTCAGCATACCCGGCCTCAGGATTCGCTCTACATTCAGCCCACATACAACGGCAGGGTCATCGCATTCGAGGATGAAAAGCCTCTGTGGCATGACAAGCTCGGATCTCCCACAGCACAGATCTTCGACGTATTTCGACCAATTGATCCCAGGGACACAGACCTCGTCATGCTCACTCGTCCAATGAATTCTGCGCCTTCCGCGCTCACTCGAACTTGGAACGACGACAGCTACAGACTCGGTCAGGTCTTTGTCAACAAGACTGCCGATGACATGTGGTATGCATTGTCGGAGAGTTCGTACCCTGGAGTAACTTTGGGCGCCAGCCAGGCCCGTATCAACACAGACCCAACCGTCTACCCACTTGACTTCTCGTTAAAAGCAAACGACATTGTCGGATTGCGCACGCTTGACAGAGGCAGGAGCGATTCATACATGCCACCGACGATCGATGCGCCTTCCAGAGAGATCATAGTCGAGCCTGGGAAGGCACTGAATGGCTCTCCGAAATCTGCAGCAGACTCTTCACAGCACTCAACCGACAGCCAGAAACCAGCGATGAGCCAAGTAGTCTTTATTTTACTCCTATGTATCATTGGTGGCGGGATTTTGACACCAGCTGGCAAGAGCTTCTATCATTCTCTTATCGGGAGCCCGGAAGGGAAGATCACACTTGCTATGCCGTCCGACCAGTCAGTCCACGTTGAGACGACAAGCTCCAAGCAAGACTCAACAATCGAGTCACATGTTGAGCTGCTTTCCAAAGCCGAAACTATGATTGAAGCACCGTCGCTGACGGACACGGCAACCGAAACGATCGAGCCTGTGACCACTAGTCTCGCGACTTTAGCTCTTGCGGACGAGCTGTCTACAACAAAGCCAACCGAGGACATCAGACCAGTTGAACACCGACCAGAAGTCCTTGCCCGTGTCGAGCCTCCAAAGAACGGCGCGCCGGCCGAAGATGAACGTGAAGAAATTTCCCAACCTCAGCTCGATGAGAATCACGTAACGAGTGAAGATCGTTCCGAAACCCCTTCCGTTGTTGAACCAGACGACAACGACAGTGACGATGATTCGAACGACGAATCGGAGCCCGAAGAGAACAGTGACGCCGAGGACGAAACACCCGTGACTGGTGAATCCCAGCAGAAGAGAAAGACAAAGCGCGGCAAACGGGGTGGCAGAGGCAGAAACAAGAACAAGAAGAAGCAGTTGACCCAAGACGAAGACGGAGCACTTGGTCAGGGGCGTATCAGAGAAGTCACCGCGAAACCCAAGCTCGTCAAGGAGATCGCGAGGGGCACTACCATCAAGGTTGGCAAATTGAAATTCGACACAGGCCCAGCGAATTGCTTAGGCACAGGCAGTAACGGAACTAGTGTCTTCGCTGGCACCTACGACGAACGACCGGTCGCCGTGAAAAGACTGTTGAAACAACACTCGAAGGTCATCTTGAGCGAGATCAAGACTCTGCTGAACCATAACGAGCATGAGAATGTCGTTCGCTTCATCGGCAGGGAAGAATCTCGCGACTTCAACTACATCGCTTTGGACCGATACACCACGTCTCTCGACCAATTTGTGGAGAGGCCGGATCGCTTTCCGGGGTTGATCAGCCCATCTGAAGGCTACGACATCAAGGACTGCTTACTGCAAATTACGAAAGGTGTCCTATACCTGCACCAACTGAAGCTTGTTCACCGAGACATCAAGCCACAAAACGTTCTTGTGAAGCCTCTCAACACAGCACGACCAGCCTCCGGCCCGCCACAACTGCGCTTCGTCGTATCAGACTTCGGCCTCGTGAAGGCTCTCTCAGACGGTCCCGAGTCAACTTATGCACAGACCGCCAATGTCACTGCCGCAGGTACCACTGGCTGGCGTGCACCTGAACTTCTGACAGCCTACGGTCAAGCTAATGGCTTCCCGAATGGCATTGAGAATGAGTCGACCCACACTGCTGGGTCAGGGACGGATCCAAACAGCAGCACCGAGCGCACCACTCGCCGCGCCACAAAGGCAATTGACATCTTCTCACTCGGCTGCCTCTACTTCTACATTATCACGCAAGGCAGCCACCCCTTCGACGTAGGCGGCGCCCGTTTCGCTCGAGATCATAACATCCAGCTCGACAAGTACGACACCTCCGGCCTCAGACTCCACGACTTCCATTACGAAGCACAGAATCTGGTCAACCAGATGATTGCACAGGACCCTCACGAGCGGCCTGATGCCGAAGCAATCCTCCGTCATCCATACTTCTGGGCGTACGACACCAAGATCGACTTCCTCTGCGATGTCTCCGACTGTTTTGAGCAGGAGAAGAAAGGCGTCGACAAGATCTGGGACACGACAAGGAGACGTACTCCCGAAGAGCAGGAATGTCTGCGCAAGCTTGACATGCTCGAGGCGTTGGGTCCAGCTGTGATTGGAGAGGGAAAAGACTGGCTGAAGAAGCTGCCAAAGAACTTTCTGACAGAGATGGGAAAGCAACGCAAGTACACTGGGACTAAGATGGTGGACCTGTTGCGAGCTTTCCGGAACAAGAAGGCTCACTGGCTCGACCTTCCGGAGGAGGTCAGGTTGCAGATCATCAGCTACGGGAGAGCGAAGCCGGTGCACATGTCGGGGAGTAGGGTTGGGCTTCAGATCGGCAATCCAGTTGTCATTAGCACTGCGAATTTGAATGATCGGTTGCCGTTGCCAGGGCTGGACAAGGTGGATGATGAACAGAAGAATAAAGTCACGGGGCCGGAGTTTACGAAGGGGTACTATGATTACTGGGCACGGCAGTTCCCGAAGTTGTTGTGTGAATGCTATGGGATGGTCAAGGAGAAGGAGCTGGTTGATGTGCTGGGGTTGGCGAGGTTCTTCTGAGGTACTGGCTGATGAACAAATGGTCGAGCGGAGCTGTGTTTGTGTGCAGGGCTGTGTTGTCTTGTAGGAAGAACAGGTGGTAGTGCTCAGTTGAAAATATACCATGTACGATTAGGTTGGTTTGTGTTTAAAGATAGGGCCATACCGACAACACGCTTGCATCAGCGTGGGGCATATGAGTATCCATCGTCCGTCTCAAAGTTCATGGGTCCTGACGTAAAGACCTGTATCTGATATGTGGTGATAAGGTATATCCGACACAACCCAACGTCCATTGATCGAAAAAATCATCCCTCAACCCCTTCTGCACTCCGCAGACCGACAGACGGAAAACACCAGCAATGGCACCAAAAGTCTTCCTCATCACAGGCACCTCCACCGGCTTCGGCGAGGAGCTCGTCAAGGTCGTGCTGCAGAAGGGCGACTACGTTGTCGCAACCGCACGAAACAGCTCTAAATTATCCTTTCCTGATGCCAACGATTCCAACAGCCTACTGGTCGACCTTGACGTTACTAAGAAGGACTCGATTCACAAGGCTTTTGACGCTGCGGTGAAGAAGTTCAAGCGTGTCGATGTGGTTGTTAATAACGCGGGGTGAGTAATTTCCCATTTTTTCCACGATGGACTACTAGATGGATGGCTTTGATCGGGGGTAAACGCTGAATACTTACGATATGGTGCAGGTATGGACTCAGTGGTCCCTTTGAGACACTTTCCGAACAGCAGATCCGGCAACAAATGGAGATTAATTTCTTTGGGCTGTTGGATGTGACGAGGAAAGCGATGGAGACGATGCGAGATCTTAAGACTGGGGGGGTTATTCAGCAGGTCACTTCGATTGGGGGGCAGGTTGGTATGTTTCTTGAGTCATTTCATGGATGCAATGTTTGTTTCGCATGGAGGGGATATGCTAAGTCTACGTTAATACAGGTGTACCGACATTCAGCATCTACTGTGCCAGCAAATGGGCTGTGGAGGGCTTCACCGAGGCGATATCAAAGGAGGTCAAGCCGGAATGGGGCATCAAGTTCACGTGCATCGAGCCTGGCGGGTTCAGGACCGATTGGGCGGGTCGGTCTATGGACTTTGGCGAGATCGATCACAAGGCATACGACCATCTGAACGCCAGAAAGACTATGGGAGAGCGACATGGTACTCAGGCTGGTGATCCCGCCAAGGCCGCAAAGGTGTTCTATGACCTGGCGGTCATGGACGATCCGCCGATGCGGTGTATCGTGGGCACAGATGCCTACAAGCGCATCAATGATAAGCTTGACGGGTATCGAGAGAACGTGAAGAAGTTTGAGGGATGGAGTAATAGTACAGATGTCGAGGGCTACAAAGCACCAAGTTGAGCTGAACAGATGCCCGAGAGGTCTTCACGCAGGTTGCAGGAACCTTTTGACTGTTCTTGTGCATTGTCTGCAGCCTGAGCCATGAGGACGTAGCAGTGGTACTTGTAGTCGCTGCAGTCAGTGAAAGTGAGTAGACTCATTGTCAATGCACGATGACGACCTCTCACAGTAGCTTTAGCAACGCGCAACGTCTTCCAAACGGTCTTCCACACCTCAACTTCCAAAATTATATCCCTCGGATGTGCTGATAATCCGATTTGCCAAGTCGTGGAATATCTGCGTTGACCTTACCACTGTCGAAAGTCGAGGACGATGCCTTCTTGGCCCAATCCTGGCTCAGCTTCGGTACATACCCTGCACACTACTTAATATTGAGACTAGGTGTACGCTTCAGCATCTGACCACGAATGTGGGCACCTTGCACATAGCCTGTAGCCGTTATACTGCGCTGCGACACGAAACCCGTACTAACGTGCACCATCTGCAGTAGACGACGTGAGAACAGGCGAAAGCTAGGAGTTCTGCCACGACTACAAAGTCATGGGCGGACACACGTCGCCTGTCGTACTTATGATGTTGCAGTCCGGTCGGACGGACGCAGGCGATGTATTCAGCCTAAGCGAATCCATTTCCTGGAAGTCGGAAGGTCTGGTAGATCAATGGCTTTTAACCAAGCGATTCCTATTCTTTCATAATGGTCGTCTTTCTGGTCGATGAGCATGATGCAGTGTCGTTGATAGTCTTGAATTTCATATTGAATGGTGAAAAGCAAAATTCCATCCCAAATTTCCGCCTTGAGGCGTTCCTGGAAAGCCGGATCTTGCCAGAGGCCTTTACAAATCTCAACAGCGGCCCAGTTGATCTCGAATTTTCTAGTAATGTCAGGATCTGGATGAAGGATCTCAAAGCCAGGAGGTTTGCATCCGATACGACAGCGCACGACAGTCGCGTTCAACCATAGATATGGTGAGGTCTCAGGCATAATCTTCGAATGCTGGGTGTCATGGAACGCGATCTCGAATGATGTCTGGGGCTTACCGTCGTCCTGTCCCTCCAACCAGAATGCAGGTTTATCGCCGTCTATCAGACGCCAATCCAACGACCGAGCTAGTAGCGGAAACACAGCTGTGCCGCTCCAGCCCGCCCATGACCAGCTTGGAAATCCTACACGGCGACCAAACCATGGGCTGACTTTGTCAAACAACGTCCATTTCGGCTCCAACCAATGTGCGTGACCCCGGTCGTATGACGGGCTCCAATCGTTCGGACCCCTCCAACACAATCCCAACGCGAGTCCCGTCTCGACATCGACGGCCATCTGTACTGCATCTGATCGTAGCTCCTGTATAATAGGCACTCCCCAGTACGTTCGGTATGTGCTTCTCGCCAGTACTCCACGACAGGCGTTGAGGGAATCCTGCTCATACGTCAAAGCACGAGCAGTATACTGCCCAACAACGGCGTTCCATCCGGGTGACACGTCTGCATTGTTACCTAGAAACTGTGTGCTGATTATTGTTTTGTCCTCTGCTGTGCCAGGCACGGCGGATAAGGTTCCTTGGACTGCTTCGCACCGAGATCCTTCTCGACAGACAAAGTAAACCTGCAGCTTCGTGAACACAAGACAACGGCGAGACAAGATGAATTCCTGATACGTCCATCCACGAGTCATCCATTTGCATGACTCAAGGGCAGTTGACAATTCGGGAAGAGACGAAATGTATACGTTATCTCCAACCAGAGCCGCAGGCTGCACCTCCCTTGCGATGTTACTGACGCCTGGCAATCCTTGGTCAGCACTTTCAGAGCTCGCAGCTGCAATAGTAAATGTTGCCTGTTCGTAGACTTTGTCCATCTGCGCAACCACGTGAGCTAATTCATCCGGATTGCTCTGGTCAATACAGTATTTGTCCACCCAGAGGTAATTGAGGCCGAGGTTCTTCACCACACTAATTGCGTCCTCAACAAGTGCAGGCAAAGCGTTCGCAGTGCCAGCAGCGTTTGATTGATGGTTGTGCTCCGGCTTCGAGCCAACTGTTTGTCCCCATACATAACTCAACGCAACGTAATCCCGACCATGTGGAAGTCGCACGATCTTTCGGGCATCGCAATCGATGACTTTCAGTCCGGACACCCGTTGAGCGGTGTTGAATTCGCAATTAAAGGTATGATGACTGCGGCAAAGGTGGATCCACTCTCTCAGCAGGTCGTAGTCGACCTTAGGCTTGATCAGACGCGCTGTAAACGTCCACGGACTATAGGTATCGGGCTCACGCAACTTCCTCCTCGTGACAACACTGTTGCTAAGGAGGGTACGGAAGATGCCGTCCCATGAATAGTCTTCTGCTCCAGACCCAGGCCAGATGCTGAGGACAATGTTCGGGTTTTGAGAAAGGCGTGCTCTTGTCGGCGACAAGCCTCGTTTCGTGAGGCAAGTGAAGGCTCTGAGATGCGCTCCTGATGAAAACCAACCCGATCTGACAACACCGTCGGCCTGGGATTCAAATTGCAGGGCAGTAAAGAGACGACACAGCCCACAAGCTGCATCTTCGGGAGTCTGAAACCCTGGTACATCTGCGATCGGCGTGCCATCGGTAGATAGTTCTTCGGGATGTTCAAATATGTGGTCGAGATTCATGGCTTCACACCTCCCACAGAGCTTTCCAGGAGCTAGACTTCCTTCATTCCGATTGAAGTCGCTCATCGCCTGCAGCGTTTAAACTGACGACCGGGCAATATGCAGCTCATGCTGATCGTGTCCGGGTGCAGGTTGATTGCTGTTCTGTCAGTGAAGCAGCACTTCAATTACGCATTCAACCGATGCTCAATGATGATGCCCGATAGGAGCTTCGCATGAGGTTTGGGGCGAGGGTTCAGGAAGCATGACCCAAAATATGTCCCTGATGTGATGGCAATCGTGTGCGAAGCTGAATTGCCCGATCACTGTCACGACAAGTGCTGGAGGACTTCTGCAGAGCATTGCACCAAATGTTGGGCATGCCAGTGGAACATCCCACCTGACGGGCCTTGACAAAGGTCAGGAATTTTGGACCATCTCACGATCGAGGCGGGCGAGGAGTGGCAGGCAGAAGCCGCAAAGCGAGCAAGGATAGATCCGGGGGAACTTTGGGTATGCCAAGCAGCTTGGTAGAGGGGCGTCACGGTTTGTTCTTCCTTCAAATGTTCCCAGCAAGGCATACTCTTACGCTGAACCGATATCAGGCTCACACAGGTTCGAGCAACCACGCGCGACGTGTTTGTACAGCGATGACTGCGTCGCGTATCCATGATGGCTTCCACACTACAGCTGACATCGCCCACTGCGCGGCTGCCCGAACCTCGTGTTATGGGTGACACAACAGCTGCCAAATGTCGGCTGAAGTCCATTCGGTGAGAGCAGGATGGAGCTTGAGAACTTAAAGCTCGTGTCTTTCGCAATCCGACTCGTACCGCCGCCGTGTAAGTTCACCGATTACATCAACTCTAGACTGCGATTCGCGAGGAGGCCCGGTGAGCATGGACCATTGTCAGAGGCTGACCGAGACCTACGGCGTCAACTTTTGCTGTCAATCAATGCTTTATTAGAGCCTGGACATGTGCGTCAAACTCAACGATGGACGTCCTCCCGGGCACGATGAGGACGGACCTTCCATGCACACTCTCGCTAGAGCTCTGATGAGGACACCAAGCGCACGTCTTGACTCACAATGGCCAGCTCCGAACTCGCTTTCTACGCGGCCGTGCTAACAGCAGTCACTATATTTCTTCCCGTCTGCCGCCTTCTGTACAACGTCTCGCCTCTCCATCCTCTGTCAGCATATCCAGGTCCCAGACTCTGGCATGCGAGTCGCTTGCCATGGGCGATATCGCTACAGAAGGGACGCCTGCACGCCGACCTGATCCGCATTCACGAGCAGTATGGCTGTATCGTCCGCATTGCGCCCAATGAACTGAGCTACATCGACGCGCGCGCATGGAAGGACATCTACCTCACACATACTCGGACGAGCGATGGCTCCACAGGCAAGATGCTGGAGAAGAATTCGGTCTGGTTCAAGCCATTGGTGCCTGGTGATCCTGCCAACGTGATGAATCATAATGAGGACGACCACGCTCGACATCGCAGGGCGTTCATGCCAGCATTCACGGATAAAGCGCTTCAATCGCAGATGCCTATCCTGACAGCGAACATCTCGGGCCTCATCGAGCAGCTCAAGCGGCGGAGTAGGGATGGTGTACTGGTCAATATCGTCGACTGGCTCAATCTCGTAACATTTGACATCAGCGGCCAGCTTTCGTTTGGGGAGACCTTTGGTTCAGTTGCTGCTGGGAAGGCTCATCCGTGGGTAGACATCAGTATCGGTTTTGGCAAAGGTGAGCAACTTTGGTCGAAAACACGTCGACAGAGGCCAGTTCATGGCTTGATGTATTTGTGCCTACTATTGAACAACTGACTATATCCTGATTTCTAGGAGTTGGCATTCTGGTCGCCTGAATCACCTAGGTCTCACTCGATACCCATTTAATCTTCTACTCAAATACCTTATGCCAGCGAAAGCCCTCGACCGCGTTCTGTACCACCGCAAACTCGTTGCGGAAAAAGTCCAACAGAAGCTTGAGGCAGGCGAAGGAGGACGGCGTGCCGACTTTATAGATGCAGCAGTCCAGACTCAACAGACAGCGATAGAGAGCGGGAAAGACAAGCAAGCTATTAGTATCAAAGAGATCGAAACAAACATGTTTGTGCTTATTTTCGCGGGCAGTGAAACCGTTTCGACTGCACTTGCTGGAATCTTACATGCTTTGTTGAGGACGCCGAGGGCGATGAAGAGGCTGGAGAATGAAGTGAGGCAGGCGTTTCATCAGGAGGAGCAGATCACGCCGGCTGCAGTGCAGAAACTTGAGTACTTGACTGCCGTCATCTCCGAGGGCCAACGGTTGCATCCGTCGGTGCCGTATGGTGTTCCCAGGGTCGTGCCGAAGGGTGGCGCGTATGTGTGCGAGCGCTTCGTGCCAGAAGGAACCCATGTTGCGTTCAACCAACTTCCCGCCAACCATTCGCCCCTGAACTACGCTGACCCGCGTGAGTTCCGGCCGGAGCGCTTCCTCACGTCCACCACAGCCGACACATTCTCAGCCTCGTCAGGCCCAGACATGGATAAATCAGACATGTCACCTGAGAGATTCACCATCCCTTTGGCCTCGGTAGCATCACTGTCTGGGGTACAAGCTTGCCTGGGTTGAGATGAGGCTGATTTTGGCGAGGCTGGTATGGGCTTTTGACGTTGAGGCTGTGGATGAAAAGGAGGGTGGTGGTGAAGAAAAGCCGAAGCGCAATTTCATTGATCAGCCTACTTGGATTTTCTGGCAGAAAGATCCTATCTGGGTGCGCTTGAAGGAGAGGGTGGCGTCAAATGAGTTTCGTGGCAGTGTGGCATGAGCTACTGGGTATGATTGGAAAGGTCTGAGATGAAAGAATTGCATATATCTTCACATAGCGCCGGTGCAATTCAGAGGCGTCGGCGTACATTTCGTGCGCGCGTAAGGAGGCAAGAATGTTGTTCAATGGGGTATCAACTTTTTGCGATACTTGCCTCGTCTAATGAGGACCTCTATGTATCGACGTGGCTTCTATTCTCTGATGTCGCTTGCCGCGGTACAGCGCATTTGCCTTCACTACCAAGGACGCTGGCATAGACACACGCCTTGTAGCCTCACGGAGCGACCTCTATGTGGACCTCGTGATCTGTTCTGTAGCGTCCAGAGCCACCGAATTGCTTCGGCGGAGTGTGAGCGGTGCCGGAAGTGTCTGAGGCCCGTGTTCGTGCGTCGATTCGAAAGCTCGATGCGCCAGACGCAGCGAGAGCTCGCCGCGGGGCTGTCAACTTTCGCGACCCACAGGTACGGGTCCTACCACAGAAGCCGCCGATGTCCCGTCCAGTTTATGTACTGTCCCTGGGTGTATGAGTCTCGTCCTGACAGGCGACTTCTGATGATGATGTCTGACATCAGAGCCTGCGCTGAAACTCCAAGAGATAGGCAGATTTGCCAGCAGCCTCACATCCGGTCTCGTCTCCTGGGCGCAGATCGTATGATGTTATCCACTCTCAGGAGTAGTTCTGCCGCCTCGCTCGCCGAGCTGACCACCGCACGTTTCAGCTTATAGCTTTCCACCACGCCCAACTCCCGCATATCTGTGATGCCGCCGCCCGGAGTGAGTAGATCGAGGCCAGAGTTCTTCTCGCCTGAGTTGATCGCTGTCCGTAGCTCTGAGACCAGTGCTGATGAGTCAAGGCCAGCGTTGTCAGCAAGAATGGTTGGTAGCTGGCGTAGCGCTGTCGCGAACGAGTCGACTGCGATCCGCTTCTTGCCAGGTGTTTCGCGGGCGACGTCTTCGACGGCGTGGGACATGACCATTTCCGCGCAGCCGCCTCCTAGGGTTGTCCGTGGGTCCTTGACGGTCTGTGAGAGGACAGCCAAGGCATCGTGTAATGAGCGCTCGGCCTCGTCGAGTAGTTGTTCTGTGGCACCACGGAGGACGATTGTGCAGGCTTGGCCAGCTGCAACTCCGGAAAACTTGATCAGGGTGTCTTCTCCGATGATAACTTCGGAGATCTCGGTACATGAGCCGAGCTTGACAAGGTCTGGATGTTCGAAGGTGGAAGCAATCTCGCCGCCAGTCACTAATGCAAGTCGCTCAATGCCGTCGAAATCGGCGTGCTCGATCGACATGATGCCTGCCTCAGCGAAGAGTTGTTCGGGCCAGTTGTAGATCAGCTGTCGATTGATGAAGCAGTTGATGCCGTGCGCCTTGATCCGGTTGACCTTCTCGCGCATCTTTTCTCGTTCTGCCTTTTCCAGCTCAGCTAATTTTGATGTTGAGTCGACCTTGACGCGTGCACCAAAGATTTTGACTTTGTCTGTGTCCATTGAAGTGTTGGCGATCATGATCTTGGCGTCTTTGAGATGCTTTGGGGAGCCAGTCGAGATCCGCTTATCGAGGATGAAGCCCTCGTCAAGGTATGAGTCTGACAGCTTGCCGCCAGGCTTCTTGATGATCTGGATGTGGTTGAGGTCGGTGCTGCCTCTTAGTCGGAGGATGGCTTCGGTGGCCAGCGCGGAGAACTGATCGCGGTCTTGAGCAAGGACTTTACTTGAGAGGGTTGTACGAGCGATAGCCTGGAGGTCTTTCTTGAGGGCTTTTGGGTCTTTTGAGTTGTCTGTGGCTATAGATTCGAGGGCTTTGAGGGCGGCGTGTGACGCAAGACGGTAGCCGTCAATGATTGTCTGAGGATGGATCTTCTTTGCAACTAATTGCTCGGCTTCGCGAAGGAGCTCGGCGGCGAGGACAGTGACTGACGTTGTGCCATCACCCACCTCGTCGTCCTGGACTTTGGAGATGTTGACTAATACTTTGGCGGCAGCATTGTCGAGTGCTATCGACTTTAATATGGTTGCGCCGTCGTTTGTGACCACAATTTCGCCTGTTGATGCTGACTGGAGGATCTTGTCCATGCCTTTGGGGCCCAGCGTTGATTTGACCAGGTCGCCGACAGCAATGGCGCCGACAAAGGCTGACAGGCGAGCATTCTCGCCTTTCTCTTCTTGCACATCGTCGGCAAAGATCTGGGTAGCCATGTTTTCGGGGGAGGAGAGGGTAGGCTGCGTGGAGGAGAGGAAGGAGCTGGCTGCACTCCTTCGAAATTATTCCTCGTGGCTCTCTCACACTGCAGGCTCGGTGGACGTTTTTTGGCCGCCTAGTGGGGTACCACCGTAGTTTTGGAGTCGACCGAATTGGGAAGGTGACCTGCCTTTGCGGCACTTTCATCTGGTCCGCGGCCGCATCTGCCTCGAATTTATTCTAGTAGCTCCTCCAAATTACGCTAATTTGCACGCCTCGCGTCTGACCACCACTCGTCCGATTTTGACGCTGCAACTTTGTGTATACTCGCTAGAGACACGCCTCTCTTCTCCAGCCGGTCATTCCTGGTTAAAAACGTGCAGCTGACAATTCTGGTCCTGCTGTTCATCATACTCCGATGTATCAGGCACTCAATCTCTCTTGAATTTGCGAACAGACCATTTCCAGCCAAGACTTGCCGCTGGATCGAGCATGGCGGAGAATGGTGGTCTCAAGAGGTCGCGCTCTCCCCAGGACGACGGCAGCGACTCCTCGGACGACGACTTCGGACCAGCACCGGCTTTACCCAGCACCACCGCTCCCAAGAAGAAGCGGAAGCTGGCATACGAGTCGCTCTACATGAATGCTTTGCCGAAAGGCGTCCGGTACTCCAAAAGTCTGATGCACAGGGAACAGTTATCGACCGTCACTGTAGCGCCCTCTCCTGCAGACTTTGTCATCACGACCTCTGTTGACGGTAGAGTCAAGTTCTGGAAGAAGGCTGCTTCAGGTATTGAATTCGCAAAGGAGTACTCGGCGCACGAAGGCCAGATCCTGGACTCTGCGGTCAGTACAGATGGAGCCCTGTTTGCCACGTCTGGAGACGTTGAGGACAGAACCATCAAGCTCTACGATGTTGCCAATGTGGATCTGCTCGCAATATTCATCCTCGAGGAAGCAGCTCAGCGTCTATGTTGGGTCCATCGATCTGGCGCCTCGCCGCTTCTGGCAGCTGCGGTGGGCAAGAACATCCACATCTATGATGGGCGAGGTAATGATTCCAAGCCCATTCACAGCGTTACCTCGGTGCACAGGGGAGACGTCACTGCCATGGTGTACAATCCAGCCTATGACTGTGTGGTCTCAGCGGACGCAAGTGGCATGGTAGAATATTGGCAGCCAGGTGGAAGCTATGAGAAGCCAGATAACGTCTATTCGATGAAGGCTCAGACCAACTTGTTCGACTTCAAGAAGGCCAAGACAACACCCACGGCTCTAGCTGTCACGCCATCAGGACATCAGCTTGCCACGATATCGTTCCCAGATCGCAAGATTCGTCTTTTTGACTTTGCTTCAGCAAAGCTAATTCGTTCTTACGATGAGTCAACCGAGACCCTGACAACGATGCAACAAGCTGGGACAGGAGCAGTGAAGCTGGAAAGCGTCGAGTTCGGGCGAAGGATGGCCACGGAACAAGCATTGGAGTCCTCCTCTGTTCGATTTAGAGCTAACCTAATCTTTGATGAATCCGGCAACTTTCTCCTTTACGGTGCACTGCATGGCATCAAAGTTGTCAATACTCTCACAAATCGAGTCATGCGTATCTATGGCAAGGACGAGCCATTTCGGGCATTGAATCTAGCTCTGTACCAGGGCGCTCCACAGAAGAAAGAGTTGACGACCATCGCAATGGCTGCGTCGGCTAATCCACTGCTCGAGGAATCACAAGAGCGTGATCCGATTTTGTTTGCGACAGGGTACGGGAAAGTCAGGTTCTACAGTTTCACCAATGACGAGGACGCGTCGAAAACGACCCGAGATGTGTATAATGAGAAGCCGAAAACCGCCGTCAAGCAGAAAGCAGAACAGGAGAAGATAGTCCAGACCGGAACTGGAGCAGTGCTGCATACATCGATGGGCGATATCTTCTTGCGGCTGTTTCCTGAGAGGGCTCCACTAGCAGTAGAGAACTTCGTGACACATGCGCGTACTGGCTACTACAACAACACCATCTTCCACCGTGTCATTCGGAAGTTCATGATCCAGGGCGGCGACCCTCTTGGAGACGGAACAGGAGGCGAAAGCATTTGGGGCAAGGACTTTGCGGATGAGATATCGGATCTGAAGCACGACAAGCCATATCGTTTGAGTATGGCTAATGCTGGGCCTGGGACTAATGCTAGCCAGTTCTTCATTACAACGGAGAAGACACCATGGTTAGATGGGAAGCATACCATATTTGGGTCTGTGACGAAGGGAATGGATGTGGTGCATGCGATCGAGAACACGAAGGTGACAAAGGAGAAGCCGGAGGTGGATGTGAAGCTGTTGTCGATCACGATTGACGCGTGATCTTATGAATACATAAGGTAATACATACCTAAAGGTTGCCTGGCCGAAGTGGTCGATACAGCCGGGCCTGCCACAGCATTCGACAATCAACGCTCTCCGAGGACTGGTCGCTTCTGTCACTAGCACTTCACCGTGAACGCCAGGTAAGGATCAGGTGAAGTGTCTCTTGCCTGTCTGGGTCTCCTTCCTCTTTTGCTTCAAATCTTCACTTCCTCAGGCAACCGTGACAGCGCTGCCCAAATTTATTGCCCACGTGAAGTGTGAAACGTGACGCTACAGCCTTGTGCACTGCCTTTTAGTGTCTATATCAATCCCTCTTTCCCCACCGACCTCGTTATTCTTTTCTTCCACCTTACAACCCACACAGTGTTCGAAGCATCGCCTTGGACGGCATTCTCTTCCATCCAAAGACTGCTGTGGGAGCAGTCATGTTGCTCCTCAAAGTCTTCGTCGCCCTTGCTGGGTTTGTGGCGTTGGCTCTAGCAGATTGCTGCGACTGGTATGTTGGTCCGATTGTAATGCTGATGAGAATAATGCTGACGACTGGCCTAGGGAAGGCTGCACCCCTGATGTCAATCACGAGTATGGCGGGGGCGAGTGTCCTCCCAGACGCAGCATGGTCGGCGACTACTGTGACTACAAAGACTCTCAGCTGCCTGAGGAGGCGCGCACCGCCCATCCATGCAAGGTGAGCATTCAACCAGATTGACTGCAACCACCACTAACATCCGAATCAGTCCTTCTGTCAGATCCGCACAAGCTTCACATATTCTGGCGAGTACCCCCTCGGCGGCACTTTCGGCGCTGGCTGGAGACAGTATGGCAGCTCGCAGTGGATGCGCTTCGGCTTGGATTGGACGGAGCCGATTGCTTTGCCGGATCTTCCTTTCGGCGTGCTGGCTCGAGACGTAAGTTAACGCGATCATTATGAGTACCGATACTGATCATTCAGGTCTCTGGTGGTCTGTCTCATGCTAGTCGTGGCCTGGCAAAAGTCGACCACATGGACATCGAGCTCGATGATGGGCAGTACGGATACTTCACCTTCCTTCCAATGAACAAGGAAGTCTGGTAGGTCGATCGAACTCTGTCATGGATCCAAAACTAATCACAGTAGTGGTACTTATTCCCACGCCAAACCATTCCCGAATTGCGACCGAGATCGTATGAACAAAGGCAACAACTGTGTGGTGGAGCGAAGCAACTACGGCGATCGAAGCGGCTTCTGGTGGTTCGCTCAGTAAGTCCAAGAAGATGTCATGCCGAGCTGTGCTAACACAGAACAGAGACGTAGGTGAACCGTTCGTCCGAGGTCACACTGTCTTTGTGTACACCAATATGGGCGGCGAGCGGCTTCCACGCGAACAGCAGTCGCCACGATATCAATATGCGATGGATACCGGTGCTGCCCTCAATGACAATGACTACAGTGGTTGGATCAAGGTTTGGCAGAACCCGAACATTAACCAGCAATTCGAGGGTGGCTCTTATGGCCCGGACGACAAAGGTCTTACCTGCTTTGGCACACAGTCTGAACCAAATAAACGCATCCGGGATGCCGATGTCATCCACTGCAGCTATGCGATGGGTGCGCTCCTAAAAGACCCCAGCAAACCTCTGCCCATCAAGCGCAACGGCGAAATTCTCAGCTTCGATTGGTACCGCGGTTGTCAAATCCAGGTCGAGTACCTTCAGGACTGGCACGACTCTTGCGTGGTCAGCCAAGCAGAGGTTGCCGCGGCTGCTGGACTGATCAACTTCAACTGCTTGAAGGAGATGTGGGCTCACGGACACACCCGGTTCGGTGTCAAGGGTCGCCACACTCTGAAGACTGTAGAGCCGTGTCAGGCCAATGTCGTGGTCAGTGGAGGACCCGGTAATGGAGGACAGATCAACTGTGGCTCGAATTGCAAGCTGGCCGCAGATCTCGAGTCAACCTCCTTGAGTGCGCTGGACCGCAATCTTCTGCTCAACTTCGCGGCGAACAACAGCTCGTCAGGCGTTGAATTCGGCGATCCATACGATCCAGAATGGCCCGAGCAGCCATTTAACGAGACTCATCCTGGCTACCGCGGCGAGCTTCCTAGTCAGCAGGCGCGTCTTCAACAGGCGCTTCAAGGCCGCTTCTAAAGGGTGCCAGCAACTGCAATGGATCTTCGCGAAAGAAGTTGCTGGAAAGGTAGGAAAGGGCGCAGGTAAACATGCGAAAGCCTCCACAGTAGGGCGTTAGAATGACTTGGGTTTGGCAAAGCGTCATACAATGGTCATCGTGAGATACTACCTACGCAGGCACCTAGCACAATCTATCAACGACACTCAATTCGTAACATCGAGTACAAAGGTGTCGAGCATCAATTCATTGTAGGTGTAGTCTGGTTAGGCTTGCTCCCTACCGCGCAGCCTCGGGGAGTACCCCGCACCCTTTTTCTCCCCCAAACAAATAAATTCTGGGATTTATTTTCCGCGACTCGACGCGAACTTGAACTCCACCTCCACGTCCCTCTGCAGCTAAGCCGCGACTTTGTTTCTTTACTGCGCCTTCCTAGCAGCTCCAAGCGCGCTGAGCGCATGCGCGACCGCGACCGCGACAATGGTCAGACTCAAGGTCAAAGCGCACGTCCTTGCCGAAAGCGAGTATGCGAAATCGTCAACCTCGACTCAAGCCGTCGGTCGCAAGTTCATCGTGATCGTCAGTAACCCGGAGGCATGGCATGTAGGTACACTGGCTCAGGAAGTGTCGCGGACTTACAAGCGCATGTACAAGCAGTAAGTTGAGCTTCTCCCACGCGACTGCATCGCTAATACAGTATAAGACAACTGGGTCAGGTTAAGAGTATAAAAGACCGAGAAGACTGCGACCTCGATCCCGAGCAGCTGGTCTCCGATGTGCTGTTAGACGAAGGCAAGGCTGCCAGTGACGGCTATGATCAAGAAGCTGTCTTCATTGTTGTACACGAACCAGGTCAAACGTTGCGACATGATTCAGTCCTCGACTTGTCACTTCCTCACTACCAGAATCGACCTCGTCCCACTCCACCGAGATTCACAGATACGACTTCGACTTTGGGCAAGCGCACCTACAGCAATGTTGAGGCTTCTGAGCAGTCGTCGGATAAGCGGTCGAAGCTCCTTGAGATTCCTGAGACGCAAGAAGAGCCTGTACCTACGATCGAGCGCTCGCCTGAGCTGATACGACAGACTGAACGTGATGAGGAGGATGACGATGTCTTTGACGACGCTGCGGAGTCACAGGACAACTTGAATGCACATTCTGAGGCGACGTCATTCAAGAAGTCGCAATTCCCACGTACACCTTCCGGCAGTCTACTACCAAACGGGGTCAGCTCCTCAACAGCCGACAAGTTCAAGTCGTCCTCACGAAAAGATTTGTACGCTCCGCCAGAGTCAGATATCGAGGATTCGCAGATGTCGCCACATAAGTCCGATGCGCGAGAAGCACAACTGCCGCTCTCACCTTCACCTGTAAAGCCACGCCAGGATGGTGGTCTGTCGCTGACTAATGGTGTGAGTGCTTCGTCGGACGAGAGCGATGGTAGCGACGGTGAAGATGCGACGAGTGACGATGAGACCTCAGAGCCAGCACCGCTCGATGTTCCCAAAATCCGAAAGACTCAATCTGCCTCCGATGCATCGGACAAGAGTACCACGAAAGCTGCAGACAACAAGAAGCGAAAACCTGAGCAGTCGACCGACGATGCTCCCCAGACCAATGCTGCCGGCAACAAGAAGCAGAAGGTTGCCGCACCTGAGAAGAAGGCCAAGAACAAGCTTGACTTGCCACCTTCAACCTCTGGTCGCACATCGGGTGTTGTTTCTGAGCTTGATAGTCCTGGTGAGCAGCTCTCACAGAACCTTTGGGACAATGCAAAGAGTGGCTCGCTGGCGGAGGGTGTCAAAAATGCTCTGGTGAAGAAACCATTGTCTGAAATGACCAGAAATCAGCAAAAGAGGAAGGCGAAGAGGGACAAAGCTTCAAGCTCTGCATCGACCTCGCGTCCGACCTCAAGCGCTGGTGTAGCCAGCGACAGCAACACCGATCAGGTCCAAAAACCTACCAAGCTCAAGAATCTTGCAGAGAAGATACAAGATGCCAAAGTTGCGGCCAAGGATGCTGCATCAAAAGTGGTCGACAAGGTCAAAGCGGATCCGCCCAAAGACCCAAAGACTCCTGCGACTGTCGTCCGGTCTGCATACATTGTGCCGAACGGTATGACCGAAGAGCAATACCTCCAGCTACGCGCTAAGCACGAAGCTACACCTCAGCCGCCCAAGTCGACCAAATCACACAAGAAGAAGGAACCTACACCAGCTGCGCAGGAGTCGAAGGAAACGCCCGCGATGAATATCAAGAAGGAAGCTTCTCCTGAGCTCACAAAGAAAGCGCCCTCAGCTGTCAAGTCAGCCGCCAAGTCTGTTAAGAAGGTCGTTGAGAAGGCTCCCGAAGTGGTCAAAAAGGTGCTTGCGCCTACTAACGGTCATGAGTCGTCAGGCAGCGAGTCCGATGCATCCTCTGATGGAAGCGACGACGACGAGAGTCTTCTGAGGAATCTGAGACCGAGCAGAAGAAGCCGGCACCTAAGAAAGCTTCCGAGACGTCCACCTCGAAGCCAACTTCCAAAGCGAAGGGTTCCGCAGTGGTGAAGAAGTCCAAGGATGAAGAGAAAAAGACAATGCCGCCACCATCTTCCAAGAATACTGCAAAGAAGCCTGAATTGAGCAAGAAGAAGTCTTCCGACAGCTCATCATCCGTGGTCACCACCCAAAGCTCGTCTAGCAAGAGCAGCAAGAAGACCTCGAGAAGCGAGTCTCCTGCATCAGGCGTAAATGCAATCAAGGCCGAGAAGGTCTCAAATCCCACGAAGAAAGTTACGCCGGCTGCTGCTGCCACAGCACCCGCAAAGGAGCAGGAGAAACCTCTGACCCAGCTTCAGAAGCTACGCCAGAAGTTGAACTCTGCGAATGGCAGCCCAGCCAACAGCCCCGCGCCCAAAGCTGTTCCGGCGAAGAAACAGGCTAAGCCTGCAGCGAGCTCCTCGGATAGCTCGTCCTCATCCGACGGCGAGAGCAGCTCTTCCTCAGACGGTGACAGCGACGATGACAAGAAGAAGAAGAAAGCTTCCAAGAAGAAGAAGGGTGGCGGTGTACCATTGCAACTGGATCATACGGTCCGAACTGTCACTCCTGAGCTTGACAGTAGCAGTGACGATGAATAACAATCAGCGGGCCATCCGTCATCGCGGGCTGGTCCATCGATTAACGATGAGACATGGCTGAACAACAAGAGCCTCTCTATTCCAACATCTGGCAGAAGATCAAGCTACCAATACCGAAACAGTTGTCGTCACCACCAACAGTTGTGCCGCCGTCGGTGGAGCCTGAAGCTCGAATATCGCTTGCAAGAGCGGTCTTGTCAGCAGTACAGTCATTGTTACCGTCACGAACGGCGCCGTCGTCGGTCCAGTCCGATGCTCAAAATGCGACAGCAACTGCCGAATATGATAAAAATGGTCTACTCCCGTGCCCACTGTGTCCTCTGAGACTGACCACGAAAGGGAATCTCAAGATACACCTGCAAAGACACACTGGGCGGAAGCCTTATGTCTGCTCGTATTGTCAAAAGGCTTTCCACACAGCCAGTGAGCTGGAATGCCATATCCCAACGCATACAGGCGACTGGCCGCATAAATGTAAAGACTGTCGATCAGGCTTTGCCACTGCGAGTCAACTTGAGATCCACAAGCGAAGACATACTGGTGAGAAGCCATTTGTGTGCGGCGATTGCGGCGCAGCGTTTGTCGACAATAGTCACCTCTTACGGCACAAGTTGAAACACAGTGGAGAGAAGCGTCATGTATGTAAGACATGTAAGAGGGCGTTCGCTCGGCTCGATGCTCTGCAACGACACTATCGAGCCGGAGACAATTATTGCGTACCTTGAGCAGCGCGGCAAGTGCAGGCAAAGATGGATTTCGAAGGTCAGCTCTCGAGCACTCTAACCTCGTCAGAAGGACGACTGCACAAGATGGGCAAAGCAGCTTCAAGTTATGGCACCGATCACTGCTGACTCAGGCTGAGTAGAACTTCAATAAGACTTGCTGATCTCAAATTGTGCCCTCTTCATCCTGTCGCTGTCGTCTCCTCCCAGAATTGCACTCCGAGTTGTGTCTAATGCTCGTCCAACATATGATGCCTGGTTTGCGCCGCTATGTTTTCCCTCTCTTCAGTCGATCCTGTTCAATTGATTTTCGGTCACTTTCTCCCTGCCAACAATGCTACCTGCCACACGCTGTGCGTATGCTTCACGATGCAGTGCATCGCTGATGCTCGACAGTATAGTGGGAGGAGCAATATGCATACCTTCACTGCCATTCTTCGCTCTTTTTGCCCACCTGATCATACAACTCAAGCTGCTGCAATTCTCTGGCCCTTCTCAATAAGCCGCCAGCCATTGTTCCCAGTGCTCACAGCGCTGTTCCTCTGGCTTCGGCTAAACGTCCAGAGCGGCAATTCCACCTCCCTCACACTGCCTGTCGTTCAACTGGTTTTTGTACAACGCCAAGACAGACGTTCTGAATTTCGTGATACATACTTAAGGAGGCACCCAGTAGTTCCAAAGGCATATCGGCATCGTGCTAGGAGAAGGCAAGAGCAAGTCTCAATCCATCACGAAGAAGGGCTATAGGTGAGTTGCACGTGAAATGAAGATGATGTGCTTTCAATAGGAAGGCTCGTCGTTGGTCTCTCACTCCAGTGTCATTTAGCACTACTGCTACTTCCTATCATGCAGGCACAGCGGCCTCCCTGGGTACCGATGCATGCTGACCTGAATGAAAATGCTCATGTTCGTCAACTTCAACATTTTCGCATCAGAGGCCTCCCACCCAAAGGAAACCTAGAGCCTCTATCAATGCTCGAAGTTCATCTCCCTCCAGTCTTTCCATTTCAGAGGCCGCCCCGTGTCCGCCAGAGGTCGTCTCAGAATTCGAACCTACAGAGTCCTCCTAGGACATATCCGGCTCGACCGTGTTACCCGCCACGATGTTTGCCCAGCCAATCAGGCGCCAGTGCTTCTCGATCCTTCTCGACAAGGCGATCTTCTCACCAATAGCCGTACATGCCGGAGTCGTAAGCGTCAACTTCGCAGCGTCCGCCTTGACACCCATAACCTTTGCGCCCGTAGCCGTGCTGCCGATGTTCACCATGAGGACTTCGTTCTTGGCAAGTTTCGCGACCTTGGCTTGCTTGCCGTCTGCGGTTTTGACTCCCAAAAGGCGCCGAAGGAGGAAGTAGTTCACTTCGATCTCGATGTAGATCTCGGGTAGTTGGCCTTTCAGGCCCAGGACGTGGCCGACGAGGCGGTCGGCACGGCATAGAGTGGGGTCCACGCGGGTGCCGACACCGATGAGGCCACCCGGAACAGCGAATTTGAGGTCGTTGTGTTCGGTGTAGAGGGAGACCACCCGGGAGAGAATGGGTCGGCAGACTGTTTGGCCGGATTCGGAGCGGGTGATGATGCCGGGACGGATCTCGATCTCGTCGCCGAGTTTGAGAACACCCGTGAGGATAGAGCCACCAGCGACACCACCCTTGAGGTCCTCGATCTCGGCGCCGGGCTTGTTGACGTCGAAAGAGCGAATAATGATCATGTGTGGCGCGGTAGAGAAGTTGCGGGGTGGGACGGGGATTTGGGTGACGAGCATCTCGTTGATAGCATCGATGTTGTACTTTAGTTGGGCGGAGATGGGAATGATAGGCTGCCGTCGGCGACGGTGCCTTTGATGAATTTGAGGATGGATTCGTGGTGGGTGGCGGCGTTGTCTTCTTTCATCAAGTCGACTTTGTTCTGGAGGATGATGATGTGGTTCAGCTTCATGATCTCGATGGCCGCTAAGTGCTCAGAGGTCTGGGGTTGGGGGCAGGTTTCGTTGCCGGCGATGAGGAGCAGGGCGGCGTCCATGACCGCAGCGCCAGACAGCATGGTGCTCATGAGAATATCGTGACCGGGGCAGTCGACGAAGCTGGAGCAGGAAAACATATTAGCCACAGACACAAAGATACATATTTTTACGCCCCAGGGCGGGCTCTGTCGGGCAAATACTTACGAAACATGGCGAAGCAAGCGATATGTGCCTGTGCAGCCATCGCGTTCGCAAGGCGGGTCAACCTCTTTCTCTGACTTGAACGAGCGGTAACACGTAGGTCTAGGGCACTCCGGGCTGTCACATTTGTAGATCTTCGCGTTCGCATAACCCAATTTGATGGTGATGTTTCGCTCCAATTCGTTCTTGAATCGGACAGTCTGGACGCCGGAAATGGCTTTTACGACTGTTGACTTGCCGTGAGCGACATGGCCGATCGTACCGATGTTTATCGTTGCTTGTCGAGCGATGATGTAGTCTGTTAGGGGCGTGAGCGAGCTAATATCGAGATCTTTCGGGTCGGGCTGTTCTGGTAGTGGCGGTCTCGTCACGGCGGGCTCTGGGATGGCTGCTGAGCCAGTATTGGCCTTCAAGGAGGACTTCAGGGGTTGGTTTGTGTCTTCTGCCTGCTCGGTCTCATCGAGGTGCTCTCCGGGAGGACTCCCGGGTTGCGAGAATTCATCGTCGCTGGGTAGGTCGCCGTTTGTGGCCATGGCGGGCTCCTGGTGGGGAAAGTTCTGTAGATTTGGCGCGCAAAAGCGAGATAACGGTGAGCTTATTGTAATTGTGTCTTGATCTCCAGAAACGGGTCTGGGGCGGACTCTGTGGTTATTGTTCAAGAATGAAGGACGAAAGCAAAGTGCACAACTTCTTTTCACAGTGGTTGCGACTCACATTGACTCACTCGAAAATCGCCCGCACTTGCCCGGATGGAAGAACTTAGCTCCGCTGAACGCCAAGATTTATGCATTCGGCTCCTGCTTTCGAGCCTCCTGTTTGCTTCCTTTCGACATACGCCGCACAGCGGCCTCCCTGGAGTGCTTGTGAGTTTAGTCATGCAAACTTGTGTCTACTACGATGGAGTCGTGTCTGTCACGAGCTTCACTAGTTCTTGAAACTTTGCACGTCACCAGCGGACTCCCGAGCGCGCCTTCTGTCAACCGCTAATCCCAAGCCCTACGTTCCTTTACGGTGCCTTCCTTGCAATGACCACCCTCAGTGGTGAGAACCAGTCAAATCCCTGCTTCTTGCCGTCTGCAAGCTCCTGCAAGACTTCCTCTCCCAGTCTCATTGAAGTAGCCATGTCCTCCATTATCGCAAACTCGTTGTCCGTCCAGTGTTTTCGCAAAGCTGGACTCGGCTTGTCTACATTGATCTGAGAAATGTCGACCATTCCATGTCGCGCCAAGGTCTCCGACCGTGCTGCTATCCACTCGAAGCTGGAATCTGGTACTCTCTTCTTCTGGGACACGCTTAGCATGCTATGCGCAAGCACTTGGCACATCAAACCCGCATTATACCTGAGCTCTTGGAGATCGACTTACCATCATGCTGGTACCGAATGTGTTCCACTTTGGATCAGCCGCGCCATTTGAAGACGTCCACTGACGAACCCCATGAAGCTCGTCCCACTGCAGATATCCGCCCGGCTTGAGAAGGGCAAGGAAAGTCTCGATCCATGGATCTGCGTTGCCATCTCGGATTGCACCCAGCATTAACCGACAATGCACGACGTCAAATCCGCCTTGCAGTCTCTCGGGCACAGCTGCAGCTGCTGCGTCCAACTTCTCGAATTGGACATTCGAGGGCCAGTTCTCTTGGCGCGGGAAAAAGGCGTCGGAGATATCGAAGCCAGTAAAATGTGCTCTGGGATGGTTTGCGGACTCCTCTACCATCCATAGGCCATTCCCGCAAGCGATCTCTGCAACTGATGCTCCAGTGCCTGCGTCTTGCAGGTGCTTCGCGATCGTTGGATGTAGGTTCCAGCCTAGTTCCCGTTGCCACAGGAAGTGCTGGGCCGTCAGTCTGATAGAGCTGTGAGTCTCGCGCGTTAACACGTATGTGTCCCCCTTGTGCTCCATGTCCTTCCGGTGTGTCCTGTCCAATTCCCCTCTGCGAGTCCAGCTGGCGAAGCGAGTACCATAAGTATAGTATACCCCGCCCCACGGTATGAATTGAACGAATACGAGCTTTTTCTTGGCCGTGCTCCGATGCGTGCAGGGGGCCTGCAAGATTCAGTAATCGTTGCGCTGTGTACTATAGACTCGAAGAACATACTTGTCATGTCACAACGTGTGATCGCAAACGATGTGATTGCCTTGCCTGGACCGCGGCCCGAGACAACCACGGCACGAAATTCGTTGAGCAGCCTGCTAGATCGTCCTTTGAGACCACGCTGGAGCGGCACGCTATCTGTTGTCATCACTCTGCACGCATCTTGGCCTCACAATTCTTACGCCCAATCTGCACAAATCGTACCTCAGCGCCATCACTGCGCATTCCAATACTTCGAACACGCCCACCGATTCCTGGTCTGCCAGAGTATTTCAAGTCGCGAGCCTACTATACATCAACCGCCACAAGACCCTCATGCATACTCTCTCGTAACACTCTCACACCATTCCCAGAGTTTACATCCAACACTGTCCTTCTCGCCTGCTCGCTTCGCCTCGGCCAGCATATCTGGCCGCATATCGCTCTTCCGGCCCCAAGGCACGACCCAGGCGCCTTGATCATTGGGCAGGGTAAGCTCTGGTGAGAGGCCGCAGTATAGCTCTGTATAGGCGCCTTGTATAGGTGGGTGCACCAGAGCATAAATGAGTCGTTGAGGTAAGCCGGACAGATGACGTTGGAGTTCGCTTCGGAGGTTGCCTGGATTGTAGCTCTGTGCGTGGTTAGTCGAATTTGCTCTGGCCCGCCACCTGTCATCGACGTGTGTGTTGAGGTCTGGGCAAGGGGGACTTACGTCGTGCAGCACGCCATCGTCATTACCATACCTATGACCAAACTCGCTTCCGAGATAGAAGTTGGCAGCCTTGCTAATCGCATACGCCATCTGCGGATTGTCGATGGCATAGACAAGGTCTTTGTTGTCGGGTGTCCATGCAAGACCGGCGTGTGGTCTGCTCATGAATGAAGCACTGCTGCCAGCCCAGCTGACTCTGACCGTGCCCGGCGCAGACTTCTCGGTTTTGGCAGTCTCGCGAAGTGTCGGCAGCAGCAACTTTGTGAGGAGGAATGGGGCGTAGATGTTGGTCACGTACTGGAGGTCAAGACCCTGGGCGCCGGTCGAATTGGGCGGTGGACTATTCACGAAACGGTCAGTAGGTCCACGGCAAATCAGGCAGACAACAAGAGTTGGCTACTTCGCGAACTCGACGATGAAGGTGTGATTGAGAAGCTCAATCAAGCAAGTGCTTCTGTCGCGGAAGGACTCACGTCATTACCCCAGCATTGTTGTTCAACCAATGAAGCTTGCCAGACTCATTCCTCCGGTGGAAGTCCTCGACCGCTGGCTTGATGGTCGTGAGGTCCGAAAGGTCGACCTTCAGAAAGTGGAGTTTGCCCGAGGATTGCGGGTGCTGAGCAGTGATTCTGTCAATCGCGGCTGAAGCCTTTGATTCAGAGCGTCCAACAATCCAAACGGTACCATTTGCGCCATACAGGATGGAGACCACTTCTTGCCCGACACCTGCGTAGCCTCCAGTAATCATAAACACGCGGTCGGTCTGGTCCGGTAAGTTCCTCTCTGTTAGTGGTGCGGGTGGCACAAAGAATTGCTGGCCGAGGCCATTGCGCAGGATGTACCAGATGTACGAGAGTGCCATGATGGGTTGTGTTCAGAGCGAGGTCGATTTCGTGGTATGAATAGTCGAGACTGCTGAGTTAAGAAATGTGAGGTTGTCTCAACAGCTATCGCTCCCTTTTGATATGGCAGGAGCACATGTCGATTTTATACCTAGGTAGTGAGGTCATTGCTATTGCCTAGCTTGGGTATTTCTCGTACGCGGCTTTCCCTAGACTGGGTCGAACTCGTGTCTCTTGTTCGGCTGTCAGCGATGTTGTTACAGTGTCTCTAGCACAAGGCAGCCACGTTCCATCGTCACTGCTCCTGCCTCGGTGGCCGTAGCTTAATGCATTGAATGAGGTTCATGGTGGAGTGCCAATGCTCCAAGCGAATCAAAGTCAATCAAAATTGTATATTCGGACGTGTTGCCGCCTATTTCCGGGCCCTTGCATGATGTTGAGGATTGGGGAGGGCTTGGAAAAAGGCGTCGGGGTCGCTTAGAAAAGCTTGAGCTAGGTGCTCCATATTCTTGCCCGGGCGAGCGCGGACGAACTGATTGCGATATTGCATTGTTGGACGCATCCATTAAACTCGAATCGACTACTACTTGCAGACTGTTCTGGCTGGCAAGCTATGGGTTGCGAGGAGTCAGCAAGCTCGTGAACAAAACTGCATCGTGGTGTCCATTGCTTGTTCGGGCATGACTTGCAGTACTATGACTTCTCAAGATGACTTGAAGGCCTCCTCCACGATTTCTGCATCTCAGGACGCTGAGCTCTTCGTAGCCTCCATCTCAGCAATGAGCCTTTTCGTCACCTCCACGATGTCCTCCTTCGGCAGCCCTCCCACAACATTGTTCAGTGTCTGCTTCTTTCCCTCATAGCTCCCACCCAGTCCCTCTATGAAGTGACTTCCATAGATCATAGGCACAATGCCAGAAATGTCTCCACGACTCATCTTCGCAAAGCCATCATCCGTGTACGATTGCGCGTCCTTCTGCTCAATAGTCCAGTCCTTCTCGGTAGTCCCAGTTGCGGCTTGGGCTGCATCTAGGATGTCTCGCTGACCAATGTGGAAGGAGGACAAGTACACGAATTTGTTGGCATAGTCGGAGAGGGTTGGTGAATGGCCAGACACTGGCAATGAAAGCAATGCTGCGACGCCAGCACCCACCATGTGCCACGTAGTGGTATTGAACTTGACCTTGCCGTCATCATACAACGTCGCCTTGCGGTTGACGGGGTCGATGCTGAAGGCGAGGTTCTTCAACGACTGCATTTTAGGTATGTTAGCAGATAAATCGACGGCCCAGTCCTGGTAACTCACGAAGTCATACCAAGGACCATTTACGATACTGATCCACTTAGTCTTCCCGTTCCCACTCTGCTCGATCTGCCTCCTCAATACCGCTTTGTGGGCATTGACGGTGATCTTGCCGCCCATGTGCGGATGCGCGCCGTCACTGACGAATCCATTGGGAATGATCCAGGTGACACCAGCTTTGATGGCAGCATCGATGATCCGCTTCTCCAGGTCCTTCGGCGCCGTGACTGCTAGGGTAATGATCAGGGCTTCGATGCCAACCAAGGCTTGCTCGAGGAAGGTGTCGGAGTTGTAGTCGCCTTTGACGACCTTCACGTTCTCTGGGAAAGCGGCTTGGGAGTCAGAGCGTGAGACTGCCGTAATGTTGAAGCGCTTTACGGTCAGGAGGGAGGACAGGATACGTGAGCCGACTTGACCTGTCCCGCCAATAATGGCGACGTTTTGGATCTGGTTAGTAGACATCATGTGGTCGAGGCAAGCAGCAGCAGGCTGTGACTTGTGTATTCTCACGGTCCGACGGGTCGCTGATGATCACCGAGAAAGGCATCCGGAGGCTCCTCAAGCCTTATATAGGCATCGTGTGGAAGCTGGAAGGTGCCTCTCAAGCACTACGCGTCGGTAAACAGAGTCTGTACCAACTCGCAACTCCAGGTTCTTCGTCTATTGACAACTGCATCCTACCTAGATAGTCAAGAGCGTCTCCAGGACTCGGACGAATTGGTAAGGAAGGTCTCTGTTGAGCCGACCGCCGCCCGAGCCCCTGCATCGCATGGCTGTGTCGTGCTCCAGAAAGACACGCAACATACGTCTCATAATGCTGTAATCAGATGCAGCAAAGTTAAGCGACTGAAGTCAGAACTCAGATGAAGGCTTATTGTGACCTCAATGCCAGCCAAGTGGGAGATTTTCTCGGCGGCTTACTCATAGTCACGGGACACCCGCCAAAGTGCTTTGAAATATGGCGGCCGCCGATCTTTGGCGCTTCATTTCGCCCACAACAACGACATGATGTGTCGGTAGCGGCATGAAAACGCGCCGAATCGTGTATGCGGTCTCGGGACTTACAGCTGTCGAGTCGCGTCAGGCAGCCAAAGGGTAACATTGCTGTCCTCGTTTGCGCTGTCCGGCGTGACAGGCTTGCTGTAGGCATTAGCTGCGCAGGCATAGTCCCATGAAGCAGACTGTCTCGAGCAATGGTCGTTCACGCTTGCTCCTAGTCTGGAAGAATTTTATGTGGTGGTCAGTGCTTTTGAGGCGTACAAGCGCTGGTTGCATACCACAGTGCCTCGAGCATTGCTTGATGCAGGTCTCATCAGCAATAATAATACATGCTCATGAATCATCGCAGATTCAGCAGCAATTCTTGCTGTAAAGCTGTCTCGACTGAAGCATGTTATTTGTCAGTGTTCTAAATCAGGGGAAGTCATTAAAGCTGATACATTTGGTGTCTCACGAGAAGTAGAGCAAACATTATATTAGCGACATTGAGTCGTGTTAATGTGTAAGTGTACTGAATTTTTGAGCCTGTTCATCTCGGCGTTTGAAGAATGTGTAAGACCGTTTCTAAATGCTTCATGATGCCACCTGTACCGGGTCCCTATTGTATGACAAATGAATGGCGCTAATGTAAGAATGCTGGCGAAAATCATCTACAGATAGATGTAGCAGAAAGGACCAGCTGTCGTTGAGACAAGGTCCCTGATCTTGAAGGATTGATCAGTGACGTACTGCTGTGAGAGAACGGTGTCGAGGGTCTGGGGTGCCGAAGGCGGCATATTCAAGAACGTTCCGGTGCCGTTGATGGCGTTGTCGCCGTAGGTTCTTGGGTAGTAGTCGAGCATCTGCCAGATCCAGTATGCTCGATCAATCATGCCATGGTGCAGGAAGAACGCAGGGTCTGACGATGAAACACCGACATCACGACCTGGGTCACCTCCCAAAGCGTAGTGAGGACCACCGTGGATGCCGATGTCTGGTTGACCGCCCGTCTCCGCCAAAGGGAGATTTCCTTGCATGCGACCTTGGAACTCGTAAATAGAATTGCGCCTGATGGTATCAATGACAGAGCTGGCGTTGGCGTACCGTCTGTTGACCCAGTCGGTTAGATCACGCTTCAGACAACGTGGGTTGTAATCGAGAGGGTTTCCAGATGGGGGCCCGACGATCGCGCCACCCGGCACGGACAGCTGTTGAGGGCCCAAGTTGACCTTCCAGTCCTTAAAAGGGCCTGACGTGACACAGCCACCGCCGTTTGCGGTTGGCAGGTGAATATCTGGTAGTGAGGGCTGCGAGAGAACAATGTCGCCGGTCTGTTGGACCTTGGCACCATCACCGCTCATAGAATACGCTGAGCCATCGAACAATGGATGCTTGGTAAGTCCGGTATTCGCTGTCTGAGCCTGTTGCACTTGTTAGACCGAACATGTAAAGGGAAGAACCAGAACCGGAAGACCGATGTCTCGCCCAATACAGGTTCATAGATATACGTACCCAGTCCCAGTAGGGCATCGGACCCTTGTAGCCGCATTCATTGCGAAGAGCCTGCTCCATATTCCAGGTGAACCATCGATGCCATGTCAGAAAGCTGCCGGTGAAGTGAATTGTGGGAGTTTGCGCGATGTGGGTAGCAGTGAAGTCATCCCATCTCGACTTAGCGCCTGAAGAAACACCAGCGGGCGTCTTCGCCGGTTTCTTGGCTAGGCAGTTGCAAGCATCTGTGTACGCCTTCCTGTCCTCCTTGGATAGTGTGCTCCTGTCGACGAGTCAGTCACCGAGCACTACATGATGCCAGAGTTCTGCTTACCATTCTCGCCGGATTTGGAGGTTCTGCAATGTGCATTTACCAGGGGGCGCTGGTGCCCGCTTAGACGATGCAGCTTGCAACTGAGCTTTCGCGATGTCCTCAGCTTGCTTCGCGAGATCTTGTAGCTGGCTGTAGTCATCTGCCCGAGGTGTGGCTGCACACGAGGCCTCAACGGCCAGTAGTGCGCCAAGGAGAACTGAAGAGAGCTTCATGATGAGCTGTGGCTGCGTTGGCTGAAACACAAGTATACAACAGCCGAGGAACAGGAGGTGTCGTTTGTATGCAGGTGTCTAGACCTGGTAAGAGGGATCTGGTAGTTATATCTACCACGAGGAGCTCGGCACTTCCGACAACGGGTACTATATTTGCCACGTTGATTAAGGGCACTTTTCGGTAGGTAGAATTGCCGTGGGCGAGCCCTTCAAACTATGTCAATCTATTGAGCTCGCGTAGGGGTCTTCGAAGCACTAATGACAGTAGGAGAGTTGGGGTGGAAAGTTGATTCTCACATGGATTAGGGGACGGGCATGCTTGCTGCGTGTGAAACTGCAGAACGGCGCATGTCCGCAGCATCAGGACAGCAGACTAGTGTCGACGCTAGATGAACTGCTTCATGCGCTAGAATTCTTGTGTCTTGTCTCCGAGACCCGTGTGTTGATCCACGTTCGCGCTTTCACCCGAAGCGAGACTCGTCTTTGATTGAAAGGGTTAAGATGCATGACTCAAGACCTCGTGGCATGACTATCGAGAGCAGACAGTGTCGGTTTCAGCGAGAATGCTCTCTTTACAGATTCCCTGATTTCGAATCGAGATTGCAATGTGGTATGATGAATCTCGCTCTCAATTATATCGCTTTCTAGACTGCAGACCACCTGCAGCCCGTCAGCGATAGTGTCCCAAATGATTTGAAAGAGCTTCGGGTAGATGGTTGCGAAGCACAAAAGACTTATCAAGCTGCTGTTGGCCTTCGTGTTCGTCGGTTCCTGCAGCTCTCGCGACATCCCCAGCAAGACACGAGGAGCAAGCTTCTTCGCTGACCTTCGCGAATAGTCTTGGCAGAACACGATTGATGTAACGTTTTTGGGCAGGGATCTGCTGAATCAATCTTCGTAGCGACGGGAAGGCACCCCCGGCGCTTGGCGTGCTCGAGCTTTCAGGCATCAACCAGGATTGACAGGAGCCGGACTTTTCAGGGACCAACAACAACCTTTCCAACCCGCTGTCATCGAGTGCCACTTACGCTGTAGGCTCTTTGAACATCAAGGTACCTGCATGATGCAACTCGAAACCCAAGACGCTTCAGCAGCTAGTTCAGCTTCCCAGGTGTTCAAGGAGGGCCGGAGTCACAGAGTACCTGGCCCCAAACGGCAGGAGGCAATGAGATTGCGCACTAATGCAGCAGCTAGGGGTCTTGGAAGCGACCATTCTTAGGCACAATTTGCAACCCGGCCATGCATAATGCGGCAAAAGTCACGAGTTTCTTCACTGTTCGCAGCAACTCATTCGCCACGCGGGTCATCGGGAGAGCGATCGTGCCTGCATAGGATAAATAGTACCACCGACGAGGTGGCTAAAGTGTGCCGCGGGTATAACCCATCTACGACTTTGGGCTTGCCGAGCTTGCCTGGTGCCTTGCTCCAACAACTAAGCGGGTCCATCCTCGCGAAATGCAACAACATCGCAGCAGAAGATGCACGTTAAGCGAAGGCCAGACAAGTCTTCAGTCAGCATGTGGTGAAGAATACTCCGAGGTCCCGTACCAACCCCTGGGTTTGGCAGAGTCATAGCGATCGTTGCAAAGTCCCTCAAATCTACCAGGTACCAAGCCTGCAAGCCATGTCGATCCCAGAGCAACGGTGCGGCTGTCAAAGCATGGTGCAATCCTAGGATTGACCAGGTTCTCCATAGAATCGTGCGGTTGAAGAATGCCGATGTAGCTAACTACTAGAACAAGCACTACGTTGACAGGCTTTCTATCATTTTGTGTCTGAACCCAGGAAACCCTTCTCCCGGTCAGGCTTACTTCATCTCAACTAGTGTAACAATGTCACCTCGTGCAGGTCGAGCTACTGCGATCGCTTGACCGGAGCGATCGTGATTATTGAGACAAGAGAGCACCCAACGCCCAGCACTGCCGTCTATTGAGCAGTTCCGGCAGTGAGGAACTCGAAACCCTCGAAGCATTCGCTTATACATAACCCACGGGGCCGATCGTGCGCTCGCGAGATCCGTCTTCCTCTCTTCAGGTCGAATATCGCAGATCACAACGTGGACACCGCATACACCGGCAACACAACCGCACAGCATGTCTGCATTGTCTGAATTCTGGCGTCGACAAGCACCGCCTGGCGGCATGCCGCCCCCGGTGTCGAATCCTGACGAGAACGAGAGCACCCATATCGCGGCCACGACGCTGGCCGTCACGATCATCGCGCTGGTGATTGTAGCAATAAGATTCTACGTACGAAGCTTCCTAGTGAGATCGCTGGGCTGGGACGACTGGCTCATGGCAGTGGCCATGGCAGTGGTAAGCCAACACAGATAGGCCTGTAGCATCGCCGCTTCTAATGCTTCGATCAGTCCATCACAGCATCAACGTTCGTTGTCGTGTCAACATATTACGGCCAAGGAGAACAGTGAGTCAAGTCAGAGCATACCGGAAGCAGCAAGCACTGACAGCACTACAGTATCGGCGACGTTGACCCAAGCACCTACATGATTGGAATGAAGCTGAATTTCCTCTCGCAACCTTTTCTGATGTGGGGAGTTGCCTTCGTCAAGCTCTCCGTAGGATTTGGTAAGTTGTCAGAGTTGTTCATTCAAGGAATGGTCCAGGAGCAAAGCCCGACCCTCGAACTCCCAACAACACCGTCTCATCGTCCACTCTTTCCACGGCATGTCGCTGACACATCCCTTCCCGAACAGCGCTCTTACGTATCGCAACACAAAAGCGCTTCAGATGGCCAATCATTGGCATCATGGTCTTCATGACCATCTACACTGTTGGCTGCTTCACGGTACGTTCACCAACCTACCCGTCCATATCCTGGCCCTGAACCGCACCCTTACTGACTGCCCATGCCGGAACAGACCCTCTTCACCCAATGCGAAGACATTCGCATGATGTGGAACCCGAGCATCCCCCGTAAATGCTACACGCCCAAGACCTCCCAAGCCCTCGCCTTCACCCACGCAGCCCTCAACATCCTCACCGACTTCATCTTCGCCGTCGTCATCCCCATCCCAATGCTGTGGGGCCTGAACATGAACAAGCGCACCAAGTTCGCCGTCATGGGCATTCTATCTCTCGGTATCTTCGTCTGCCTGGCAGGCATCCTTCGCATCCCCACCATTGTCAACTACGGCAAGGCAGGTGACTTCCTGTGGGACAGCAACGGGTTGTGCATCTGGTTCGTCGCTGAGCTGAATACGGGTATCATGGCTGGGTCATTCCCAGCGCTAAAACCACTTTTCAAGAAATTGTTGGATTCAACGTACCTGGGTGGCAGTCGGAACAACAAGTACGGATATGGCATACAGTCCAGTGGGCATGGAGGACACAATCAGTCTGCCAAAGGTTTTCAGAACATCAAAGTGATGGAGCGGAGTCGCAGCGGAGCGGACGCGGACGACATTTCAGATGACTTTGATGGGGCGAACAGTCAGCGGGATCTAGTGCTGCCTCATCACGGACAGAAAGACATCGCTTTGGGCGTCATCCAGAAGGATGTTGTCACAACGGTCACGAGGGTGGATGCTACGCCGACAAGCAAGGGACCAGGCAACAGAAGGTCTGGGAGGGGTGGGTACGCTTGGGATCAGTGACCCCACACGACGATGACTTGCTGATGACGCCTTGGACTGTTATGGACTTTGGAGAAGCAGGCCAAAATATGTGAGAAAGTGTCCGTGTACAACAGAGCAAAGCGACTGATCACAGCTTTCCTTACGGGTTCGGAATTGGGGCCCATTGTATATGGTGTACATACATGATTTAGAAGCTCCAAAATGCCACAGGTCATGGACCTTCGATGTAATGATTAGCCAAGGGTTGGTTGAGACTACCATGAAACACCTGTGTCGAAGTCTTGTTCGCTTGTCAACGGAGATAGCAAGTACACTTCTTGGCCGACGGGCGCTGGAGTAGCGTGAAATCGCATTCCTTGCTGACGTGGTGGACTTTCGTCATGCTGTACAGAGCGCTTCCTACGACTGTGTGATGACTATCTTGATGCGTCAAGTGGTCGACTTTATCACTGCGCGCGGTCTGCATCATAAAATTAGCGGACGCGTTCCGAATAGGCGCAGAAGAGCCTGACTTACCTGCTTTCAAGGTCGGGTGTCACCATCCGCCGCCACTCATCCGAAGTCAACGCTGAAAAGTCAAAGTCCACATCACGAATCTTATCTCCATATTCTACCCCTGGTTGCAAGAGTACGGGATCGCGCGCAGACCACGGCCACGCCAACAAGTGAAAGATGTTGTTGGCGCGAACCTGCACTGTGGCCTGCATGGCCCCCGAAGAGCTCACGATGGCCGTTAGGTGCAGCTCCTGAGGAATCCCCGATTCTTGCTTTTTATCTTCCCTCATCCAGACCCTGAGACAATTAGGGCGTTGATGGTTGCCGTTTCCCCAATCATCCACCTCGACCTCAGCTGCGAAGTTCTTCGAAAAAGACCCTCCTGCGCCCAACTCCAATTGTGGTCCGACCTCCGCGGAACCAAGTGTCGCATTCGCAGACAGCGTCGCAACATAGTTCCAAGTGCGATTCTCTATCGTCCCGTTCGACTGGAGATATTTCGGTCCATATTCCAGCAGCTTTGGATCTGCATCTGGTGTACTTACTGGCCGCGATGTGAACTCGATCTGAATGTCTGCTTTCGTCAAACGCAGAGTCCGGGCGTTGCCATTTTGGAACTGGAACTTCATCGAAATGAGGCATGCTGGCTCTTGATGCCAGGTCCCATACTTTACACGCTTCAGGCTACCGATGACCGAGAGCTGTCCAAGATCACGTTGATAGATCTTGGGCTTGTTGTACGCCTCTGGTCCATAATTGATATGGTTACCATGACCGAGCTCCTCCTGCGAGTCATCGATCTGGAAGGCTCGCGTCCTTTCAGCAAACGAGTCCAGGCACTGTTCCTGTGTCATATTCGTCAGGTTCCTGGATGCATTTTGGTCAAACTTGTAAGAAGGCTCCTCGCGCGGGGTTGAGACAGATACGGGGCGGTGACCTGTGCCGCATGTCAGTCACGTGAGTGCTTCAGTCTCAGCCTGATGTGTCTTTCGACGGCGAGTCTGGGTATCGTGCGACAGCCTGTTGCTGTTATTTGCGGTCTAAGGCTGGAACGCGCAGAGCGTACGGTTATCATTGGGGCCATCGACACCTATGGCACGTGCCTGTCCATTCGGCACACTTTTCGCTGACCGCGTGGTCGTCACGCTCTTTGCCTGTCTTTCGACCCTCCCCAGCCGCATCTTGCGACGATCAGTCTGATCCTACGAGTCGGCTGCCTGATGACTTGACTCGTTTTTTTGAAATTACCATCGTTCTCAGCCACTTGAAGCAAATCGATATCTCTGCAAGACATCGCTATGTTTGGGGCTGCCACGGAGCGGACTGGCTTTCGAACGGCCCTGGCCGACAGTCGCGAGCTTTTACTACTTGGGCGCTTCAACGAGGCACTTTCTATGCTCTCCTCGTTTGCTGAACGAGCTGATCCTTCAGCGACCGAAGCCATCTCTATTGACCGCGGCAAGGCTCGCGTGCTCATGACTCAAGGCTATCCTGTCCGTGCCCGGAAGATTCTCATCGAGAGCCGGGCGCGAACCACGCGCACCTCGACTCTTCCCTGCTACTTAAGCTGGACGTCCACCTTGCCTATATCGACATTGTGGGCTGCGGCAAAACGCTGGAGTACGAGTCGGTGCTTGCACGCGCTGAAGAAGCGATCAAAGACTTGACTGTCGCTGAGTTCGACGAGGGCCAGGTTAGTCACATCGCTTTCGTCGTGGAAAGTTTGATTCGTTGCAGCAGAGAGATGATGACATGGCATTACACAGATCGAGATGCGAGGTCATCTAGACAAGATTGCAATTGTCAAGCAGACTTTGACGTGCAAAGAGCATAGTGATTGCTTACCAGATATCCGCAAACGCCTCGACGCTCTCATGCCTCATCTCCGGGCCCTAGGTCGCTTTTATGACATTTGGGCATTGTCCGCGCCATATCTGAGTTCCAAGACCAAGCAAGACGCAGTGAGTTGGCTAGAGGATCTGCTGTCGGAGCCAGACTTGACGCCCTCCTTGTATGGATCGTTCAGTCTCGAGTTGGCCAAAAGAAGAGCAGAAATCGATTCGCAACAAGCTCTAATTGAATGCCTGTGTAAGGCCGACGCCGCTTTCGCAGAGTCTGGGCACGCATTTGGTCGACTTGAGGTACAGAGACTACGTCTACAGCACAGTTATGAAGAGGCGAGTGATCCCCTGCAGGCGCTTGTGCGCATCATCGAGGAGAATGTTATGATCGACTATCCGATAGGAGCGCTGCAATCCGCCATATCGCCCTTGACCCTCGCATTCAAGCGGGGCAAATACGGCCTCTACATTAATCTCCAGGAATGCTTCCACAATATTTGCAAAGAGACTGGGCTCAAGACAGAAGGTTTGCTTCTAGAATTGCAACTACTCGCTGCTCTCAACGCGGGCACTGGACATCATGCCACAGTCCTGCAACTTGGTCGGAATCTATACTCTGAGTGCAAGTCTCTTCAGTACTGGACGATGGCCTACCTTGCCGGTCGCGTCTGGTCATTGGCGCTGACGATGCGTGGTAGTAACGAGCAGGGCGTGAAAATCAGTGAAGAGCTTTATGAGATGTGCCATACACAGAATTTGAAGGCTCGCTCGGAAGCAGCCTATCAACTCGCTGTTGCTCGACAGTCCTTGATTCGGCAGAACTCGCAGGACCGTATTGTTGATTGTCAGCATCTGGTGGACTTTTTACTTCCGATCGCTGAATCCGACATCGAGCAAGGCGAAATCAGCTTGGCTTGCGAAAAGCTTATACTTATTGCAGGCCTCCAGTTCGAGACTGCCAGGCACTCAAAAGATGACTTTGAGACAATTGACCTGGCTGGCCGCAGTACTATCGACAAAGTCAAGGTGCTGACAGGCCAGTGCCCCGTCCATGAACGCCTGATGTATGAGGGCAACTGTGACGAGTTGCTCATCACCCAATTGTTGTTCAAGGGCAAAACCCGATGCGACAACACTTTAGAACTCACGGCTTTGGATATCTGTACTAGGCTGATCGCGGCGTACGATCGGCAAGACATGCAGTTTCACAGAGCGCTTAAATATCAATTCCGTGGCCTCCTCCATCAGCAAATATATCAGAAGTCAAGCAATCTACAGAGACAGGTAGACCAACTTGTCGCCGCGGAAGCAAATATTGGACAGGCTCTCGATTTGTTGCAAGCTGCTGGGTCGTGGCAGATGGCTCTCGAAGTAAGCCACTCACATGCAAGGCTCCATGTCGAAGCTTGGGACCTGGTGAAGATCCCTGTTGAAGGTGTGATGAACAGTCTCCGCCACTTCGAATTAATTGCGGATCGTCAACGTCGAGAGCTGTCCATTCTCGGAAGTCTTGACGCTCTGCTGCATAAACAGACGTACTCGGCAACAAAACACCTTCAGGACCTGTACCGCTGGGCCATAGCCATCAACAGCCTTTCGGGCATGTCTAAAGAACTGTTGGTGTGGAGCCAAAAACGTAAAGCCCGGAGTCTAAGCGAGATGCTCGGTTTGGGCATCATAGTCCCTTCCGTAGTCAGGGAAGCACTGAAGGATGATCCTGCCATGCCACAACTATTGGAGGAGCTCGAGCGCTTACGGTTTGCGTTCGAGGAAGCTGCGGTGAACGAGAAAGCCTACATCTTTCAACGTGTGGAGGACTGTGAACGAAAGGCTCGCGAAAATGAGGTCTACAACAACTTCGCAAGTCTCCGAGACGGAGGCGTCACTGACATCTCAGATCTACGCCTTCTGAGTGAACCAGACGCATCTGGCAACGAGCGCGCCGTTGTCTTCGTCGACTGGATAACCAGAGACAATATCTTATTCCTGGTGACTGCTAATGCCAGCGCGCCCGAGACTACGTGCGAGATGTGTCAACTGTCAATTACAGTGTCAGCCGTGAAGGAATGGACCACGGAACACTTTTCTACGCCAGACCAGCGAAGGGAGTGTCTGGAGCGTGACAGCCTACGGAATCGAAGCAAACCAATGCGTGTGCTTGACCCACTTATATCTCCTCTACTGCGGATGAGCCGAGAAGGCGATCTACTCTTACTCTCTCCAACAACCATCCTTTCCACACTTCCTCTGCATGCGCTTTGCATCGACCCAACCACAGGGGCCCCTCTGATCAAGAGAAACCCAGTCGTGTACGTCCACAGCCTCCCAATTGCCAAAGTGTGCGCGGCTCGCGCGAATAGTGCGGCCGGCAAATTCGGTAAGCCGTTGTTCTTTGCAGTCTTCGACCAGGGTCGCGAGGCAGATCTGATCTACGAGCAAAGCGAACGTCTCGCAAGCAAGACAGCAGGACAAAGCTTTACTCATCGCGCCGCAAGCAAAGAGACATACATGGCAAAGGTCAGCGAGGCCAGCTTGATCCATCACCATCTGCACTGTGTCTTCAGTGCAGACAACGTACTGCAGCAGTCCATCACTTTCCATGCCGCAGTTCCGGACGACAAAGTACCTAGCTTGGCCGCATCGATGCCTTCCGCAACGGCTCCTGGATCTGAAGACGCTCTTTCGTCGGTACAACAGGCTTTGGACAGGCTTGACGTCGAAGAATACCTTCTGACAGGCACAGGACCATTTACTTCAAGCCTGACGGTCGAGGAGCTCTTCAAGATCAATCTCAGGCGCTCTCCTCTAGTCGTTCTCATCGCTTGTGATTCTGCTTCTCAGGCTTTCCAGACCGAAGGAGACGAACCACTTGGCTTGATTACCGGTTACCTGTGCGCTGGGGCCGCCTCCGTTATTGGCGCATTATGGCCGATTCCCAGTCATGCTGGCCGTGAGTTTTCCGACGCATTCTACGATCAGCTGTTGCCATCTCCAGGAGACAACATGGAGGTTATGGTCAATCTCGCCGTGGCTCTGCAGGCGGCTGTGTTGACTATTCGTGGCGAGAGCTCCACGTCGTCCACTTATCATTGGGGTGCGTTTTGCTTATACGGTGCTTGGCTGTATCAGCCGCCACGGGTCGATGCTACGAATGCTGCTTGAGGTGTGGCTGGGCAGTGTATATGGATACAACGAGCTAAGGCTGAAGACTCAAAGTGTTTCGAATGCCATGATCTGGTGCATACCGGTCCAGGGCTATGGAAACTCATAACAACACTGATGCATTGCAAGCGAAGCATCGCCATGCAACGACAGGTGGTGTTTCTGCCAACCCGGCTCAACAAGACCGGTTGACTAGATCATGGGGCATTCTGCAAAACCGGATGACTGATTCGGTCATTAGGGACGCCGGATGACTTTCCTGTGGAATGTCTTTCGTGCGACCGGATGACACGAACTTGCTACTGACTTTTTGCGAGACAGGGTGACTGGACTGATGACAGGAACCACGACAAAGCTGGCTTTCCTTGTCGTGTATGCCTGATAGGCTTTTCTATTTGCCCGGTTGGTCACTACATCGAGGCTTATTACAATGGCAAGGCATCAAAAACGCAACCGTGATCACCGTTAGCTGTATGAAAATATATTCACAATCACGGGCACTCAAAAAGCACTAGCATGTACCATGAAGTTGGGGCAGATACCTGCTTGTCAACTGATTCATGATTCTATACAGACGCCTGCGCGACGGCGGCGCGGAGCTATATGCCAACGTCTATCTCTTTACTACACGAATCTGGTGATGGCCGTTCGCCTAAACGACAGGGCCGCAGTGACGAAGTCGAGAGTGGCTCACTCTCACCACCGCGTGTACCCATCGGACAGATAAGAGCGCTGGGGTGTAAAAGTCTCACCCTAGGCTCTGAAAGCGACAAGCGCACATCTGGCGGACAACAAACAATGTTGTGGTCCCTCTCGTCACAAAAGCCTCCAGCTGTGCCCATGCCCCAGGCTGGACTCGATAAGGTCCTAGCATGAGCAGCCAGCATCGCATTATCTCCGCTTGATGCACAGTGTCCTCATATTTTCCCCTGCCTCTTTGTCATGACCCAGATCCCCTTCCCTTCCGCAAGTACATTGCCATCCCGATCTGTGATCTGCCCTATACTGTACCACTTCCTGCCTTGCCGTGCCACAAGCCAGGCTTTCACCAGAACATCGCTTGGCGTTGGCACGGGCGCCTTATAGCTGACGTTCAGGTTTGCTGTGAAGAGACTGTCTCGAGGCCCGGAAATATGCTGATGATGCAGCATGATACACAGACCCATCATCTCGTCTAATATCGCGCAACTCATACCGCCATGAATCACATGGGGATGGCCATCCAGCCCAGGTCGCGCGAGCGCCAGAAGGAAGAGTGTGTCTGGTTCTGCGGGGGCGGCGACTTTGGCTCGATTATCCCCATCAAAGTATGGTATGCTCTGACCTTTCGGTGTTTCTTCTGGTAAATGCCATGCTTTTCGCTGTAATGAAATCAGGTGTGGGATAGTCTGCGGCGTTGCGACGGTGCGCGAGAAGAAGTAATCTTCGCCTGTACGTTTAAGGACGCGGGAGAACGTTGGTATGGGGTCGTAGGATGGGGACGTGATGTACGGTGTTAGCCAGGAGTCGGGGCGAGTGAAGTATTGGTGGGCTTCGCGTGGGACTTTGTGCTCGGCGATGAAGTTTTGCATGAAGTTGTTGCCTTCGGCAGCGATGGTAGTGGTTTCCTTGGTCGTCGAATCGGCCATGTTGAGGGTTGTAGCGTGTAGATGAGCCCGCTGGGCGGTGTATGAGTTTGGCCTGGCGCTACCGTCGGAGGTCTCGTGCTATCGTGACTTCATACAGACTCGTCGTGTTTGCTGTGCACTGAGAAGTTTGCTAGTATCACTGATGATCAAGCAGTGCTCATTTTCATCCCACCCGCAACCGATGTCATGGACTGGGACCTGAGCCTCGGCTCGAAGATTCCCCAAATTCTGATCTGTGGAGGTGCTCGTGGCGCTGTGGCTGGGTGTGCCTATCAGCAACCCATTCAAGTCTAGGCTACGAGATAGCCTGGAGCTCCAGGGTCTCTTGGAAGATCCTTGCATGGCAAACACGAAAGATGATGATGATGGCTCCCTCGTGCAGCGTGCCCCTCATGCAGTGGGTGACATGTCCGCGGTGCAGTGGTTCTAGACACAGGCCTTTTGTCCCATGTGTATCAATAACTCAACAGATGCTCAGAGCACAGCCAGTCAACACGCTTTTTCGGTCACGGACTCACGGCGCTGACGGGTAATAAGCCGCTTGGCCTTGGTTGCACTAGCAACAGCGCGCTTCAGATGGCAAGCCACCCGAGCTAGGGATATGAGATTGCTCTTCGCGTTGGCAGTACCATCTTCTCGCCTCGTTCCAAGCGTCCATATCTGAAGATGTTACGTGTTGCAAAAGACCGCAAAGGATTGCGCAAGCTTTTGGTTGAGCAAAGATATGGTACATGCAGAATAAACTGGGACGTGCATAAAGTGGACCTCTGGAATGGAACTCGTCATCGAATCGGAGTTGGGTGTAGGTCTCAGATCTTGCTGCATCACGGACTCGAGTATGAGCTAGCGTAGAATCAAGCCAGATAGCAGCACTGTACCGGCTTAGCCTGCGGTAGACTTGCCGTCGTTGCCTCTTTGGCGACTGTCGAGACGCTGGCTAGGTCGAAAATGATAAGTTGGAAAAGAACTCATAAGAGCTTGGACTTCCCACGTCGTCCCAGCCCTCATTCACAAGAGCTCTTGACCTGCCCGCCACTTACTTCCTCATCGTCGCTTGATTGCTCGTGCCGCGACTGTCACTTCTAGGCAGCTTCTGACAAACAAGAGGTTGGTCCTGCCTTCAATTGTTGTTTCAACTCGTTTGCTCCTTCCAATTGTGATCGTCTTCCAAATTATCTCCCAAGACTCACTGGCGAGGCCTGCATCTTTCTGCACAACATATACCAGTTCTGCATTCAGACCACTGATCTCAATAGTTCTTACTCTCACACAACCGCCGACATGCTCGTCAAGGTTCTCGTTGGTCTGATGGCCACGGCCACAGTCGCCATCGCGCAAGAGACAGTCTCCACATACAGTGCCTCATCAGTGGATGCCACTACCACAGCATCGCAGGCCATGCCTCCGATCGCAACCGCAGCCTTCAATCCTGCCCCAATTAATGACTCGGTCAGATGTATGTGTTCTGTACTCTCTGCTCTGCTAGATCATACTGACAAAGTCTAGTTGATTGGTGCAAAGCCCAGCTCGACACCTGCCCTCAGATCTGCGGTGGTGCTGCAGCCCAAAACTATTGTTATGAGGTAGGCAACTCAGCTGTTGCCGTTACAGAGAGCTGACCAGATTGCAGACCAACTTGACCTACTCTTGTGTCTGCCCGAACGGCACCGCGCCCGACGTCACCTCGTTCGCTTTCACGCTCCCATTCTACATCTGCCAGCAGACTTACATCCAATGTATCAACAACAACCCGGATGATGCTCAAGCACAAGCCAACTGCACAGCCAACGAGCAGTGTGGTGAACGCAATGCCACAGCCGAAGCTCTATCTCAGACTGCAGCAAGTCAATCTGCCACTGCGTCCCAGACTTCCAGCTCGGCGTCTGAGTCAGGCTCTGCTACAGCAGCCAGCAGCTCTGCATCGGCTTCGGCTAGTGGCTCTTCGGGTGCAGCTGTTGCCAACGTCCACGAGTTGTCGACTGGTCTGTTTGCCGTACTGCTTGGTGTGGCTTTCAAGCTGTTCGTCTGAGAGACCAGAAGTATGGTAGCACAAAACACGGAAGGCAGACACAACCAGAAGATGATGATACCCCACAGACTTCTGAGCATGCGTCACGAAGATGAATGAGCAACGGAGGACGAATTTTGGATTGCCTTTATTGCTATGAAATCATTTGGCACGGGCGTCTATGAATGGAAGCAGTAATGGTCTCACTAATGGTTGTTCTTGAGCGGGCATTCAGCACATTGCATAGTATGTCGATAGAAGCATCAGGAATGAGATCACTTGAGAACTCGAGCTCTCCTTCAATTCGAACCCAACACTGTCTACCTTCCTCCGCCTTTGCATTTTGCAGCCAGGCGGGCTGCAACTATTTTCCTTGTATGCACATGTCATCCCCGCACGACGCGGGGAATATTATTGAGGTTTGGTTTGGAGACGCGTTATCTCCGGGCGACCCTGGCCCATGCGGCGGTCTTCACTGACGCTAGTGTGATATTCACCTCGAACATCCGCTCCCATATCTCTCTCTGCCTGTTCTGTTGCCTGCTCTAACTATCCCCCCTGCGACTTCCCCTTGAAATCCCAGTTTGCGCTCCTGCTCAACGCTTTCGATATTCTCTACAGTTCAGCGCTTCTTCTCTATGCGTCGGAGCACTTGGTCTCTGTGGGTAGGCGCTCGTCCGTCCCGCGCTGAAAGGTCGGACCGTGCCCGCCCTGAACAGCCTTAGCGCACACACACATCGAGCATTGCCCGAGTCTGTCCTCGAATATGGACGACTCCCCTCCCTCCAAGAGGCGCAAGATAGCTCGGTCGTCTGAGGCTACTGTTGCCACGCATGTTCCACTAGTTCGCCAACGATTTCATGCGCGGCCGGTGGCTGATGCCGACTATGACAGCCTGCCGCTGGACACTGGTCTCGTCGTCCGAGACGTCGAGATTGAAGGCAACGACGGCGTCGTCGTCTATGTCAAGCGTCGGAAGACCCCTAAAACTGGAAAAGTGATACTGTCTGGTCCCTCCGCCAAAAGAGGGTACAAGTTGTTGAAAGATGCGCAGTCGCTGCCTTCAGCGATATCGAACGTCGATACGCAGTTGTTACAAGCTTGTCACAGTGCATCACTGTCGAAACAGGACGATGAACTTGTCCTACAAGTCGAGCTACTCTGGTGCAACACTACCTCTCTGTGGGACAAACCCAGCGACAATGCAATGGATATTCTCAGTCGCTATGTGCCGAAATACAGAGGCAGTCCACCGCCAGCCCTTGAAGACTGGCATCCTCGCGACTTCTACGATAACCTTCACGTACCTCCTACCGACGCGAATGTGCCGAAACGGAAGATCAACCGTTGCCTCGCAACTCTCTACCCGTTCCAACGCCGGACTCTGCGGTGGATGTTGCAGAAAGAGGTTGCTACAGTCCCAGCAGCCACCCTTTCACAAGGCTTCTTAGATTCCACGGACGCTGACATGCAACCAATATACGTCAACCACACTCTGGGCGTGGTGTCGACAAATCTTGGTGCCGTGGCGGAAGCATTTGCACCGCCTCGAGGTGGTATACTAGCAGAAGAGATGGGTCTCGGCAAGACTTTGGCGGTGATAGCCACCGTGTGCTCTCATCCACGGCCAGACATGGAAGTGAAATCGAAGGCTGGACAACCTCGCAAGTCAGCAGCAACTCTGATCGTCACTCCGGTGACACTACTCGACCAATGGAGAGAGGAAATTGCGATGCACTCAACACTCAATGTTGTCGCCTATGAAGGTATTGCCACTGCCAGGGGCAAGAAAACGAGCTTCCAAGACCATGTTGACACACTGGCCGAGGGCGATATCGTCCTTTGCAGCTACAATACACTCTCCCGCGAGATACACCATGTCAACGCGAAGCCTGATAGATCTCGAAGGCATCAACAGGTCTACGAGACACCCAAAAGCCCACTTACCGAAATTTCATGGTGGCGTGTTTGTCTCGATGAAGCGCAAATGGTAGAAAGTGGCGTTTCCAATGCAGCGACGGTAGCTAGACAACTTCCTAGAGAGATAGCCTGGGCTGTAACGGGCACGCCTCTTCGCCAAGGGCACAAAGATCTGTTTGGACTTATGCTGTTCCTCAACTTTCAGCCATGGGGCTGGTCAGCTCGACTTTGGGATCGTCTTATCAGCTACCATCGGCCATTGTTCAAATCTATGATCGGGACTATTGCAATCCGTCACACCAAGGACCTGATTCGAGGAGAGTTGACACTTCCACCACAAAGCAGAAATATCGTCTCATTGCCTTTCACAGCTATTGAGGAACAGCACTATGATAATTTGTTTGATGAGATGTGTAACGCAGTCGGTCTCCGAGCTGATGGCTCCCCGCGATCAGACGATTGGGATCCCGAAGATCCCAGAATAGTCGAAGAAATGCGTCGGTGGCTCTCCCGACTAAGGCAAACCTGTCTGCATCCCGAGGTTGGCGCCCGAAATCGAAGAGCCCTTGGCCGCGGAGGTGGACCCCTACGGACGGTAGGCCAGGTGCTTGATGTGATGATTGATCAAGTTGACGGCACTTTGCACACTGAACAGCGCGCTGTGTTGATGTCAAAGATACGCCGAGGTCAGATGCTTGAGAACGCCAAGCGCCCGAAAGAGGCGCTAGGACTGTGGAATGCTGCATACGACGAGGCCACCAGTATCGTGAACGAATGTCAGCAGCGATTAAACAACGAACAGAAGCTATACGAAGCAGCGAAAGCAGTACAGCAGAAGCAAGCAGAAAATAGCGATCATGCCGACAAAGACGAAGAAGACGAGAGCGATTCCGCGCTCCTCGCGCATCGACAGAGATTGAGATCGGCTCTTGAGGTTCAGCATATCTGCATCTTCTTCGCAGCAACGGCATACTTCCAACTGAAATCTGATACGGCCAATGTCGAACCGGAGAGCGAGGAATTCCATGCACTTGAGAAACGCGAGACCGAAGGGTACGATATCGCGAAACGTATCCGCGGTCAATTACTGGTAGAAGTACTGAAGAAAGCGAATCCGCTCATCCAGGCTGTGAGCGACAAAGCAAACGCACCTTTACCTGCCGCTCTCCAGGAAATCGTACCGCATGGGGAGTACTCTGGCATCGAAACTCGAACGTTGTTCAACAAGTTCTACAGACTTTGCGAAGCCCTAAACGAACAAAGCAAGCACTATCAGACCGTACGGTCTAAGATGGTCGACTTTTTGAAAGGCACGCTGATCGACGACGACACCGGCATTGAACTTCAAGGCGACGAGTATGAGGCCAGTACCAAGCACCAGGATGAGCTCTACGTATATGTCGAAGCCCTACGCATATTATTCGCTGATCGAAATGAAGCATTGACGGGGCTCCAAAATATGCTGATAACCCATGAGGTCAAGGGCTTCCTACGCCATGCTAGGGAGGGCGAGGGTCCTGCTCCTGACCTCATGATCAAGGCCCTCGCCGAACGCCTTATGGTCCGCATCGACACCGAAAAGCACGGCTCGCTCCGCGGGCTGGTAGCGGAGATCAGGGCCCTTATCGCGCAGTTGCCGGAGCACTCCTCAGATCGTGCCCGCGCCGAGCGCCACATCGCTGAACGTCTTCTGGAGGACGTCCAGAAAGTCGCGTCAAATATGTCCAAAGCCCTACCACATCTTGAACAGGAAGTGACCCTCTTCACTGATACCATGAACAGTCGCCTCGGTTACTACGCTGCACTGCAGAAGATCTCTGATGCTGTTGCGCCCTATGAGGAGGAAAGGATTGGACAGCCACTCGAAGAAGCAAAATTCAACGATACCCTGGCTGGCGAGCAGAGAGCAAGCATCAAGATCTCGACCTCCATGTCAAAGCGCCGCTACCTGCTGCATCTGAAGGATGAGTCGACCAAGTCCACACCTCGCATCTGTACCATTTGTCAGACAGAGTTTGAAATCGGCACTCTTACTGTGTGTGGACACCAGTTCTGCAAGGATTGCATTCAGCTATGGTGGAAGGAACGCAGGAATTGTCCCGTATGCAAGCGCCACTTGCGTCTCAACGACTTCCATGACATAACGTATAAGCCGGCTGAGATGACCGTGCAGCCCGAGTCACCTGCGTCCTCGTCGACCTCGAGGAACTCGACCGCAGGCCTCGATGCCGGTCTCAATCGTTCAATTTACTCAGACGTCAGCACTGCGACGCTGAACGAGATCAAGAACACCGATCTTACAGGCGCCGCGTCCTTCGGGTCCAAAATTGATACCATATGTCGACACATCATCTGGCTTCGCGAACACGATTATGGTACCAAGTCTGTCATCTTCAGCCAGTACCGCGACTTCCTTGACGTGCTCTCGAGAGCTTTCCGGCAACACAATATTCACCATACGAGCTTTGAACAACCCAAAGGGATCCATAATTTCAAGACCGAGCCAGGCATAGAATGCTTTCTGCTGCACGCCAAGAATCAATCGGCTGGCCTCAACCTGGTCTGTGCTTCTCATGTCTTGCTTTGCGAGCCGCTGCTGGCTACAGCAGTTGAGCTACAAGCTATAGCACGAGTCCACCGTATCGGTCAGCACCAGGCGACGACAGTGTGGATGTATATTATTGGCGGTACCGTTGAGGAGAGTATCTACAACTTAAGCGTGGCAAAGCGGCTCGAACACATCAAGCGCAATGTCAAGAAAGTCGGCAAGGCAAAAGCTGATGGGAGCTTGGATTCTTCGGGAGCTGCGACACCAAAGTTGGGTGAGAATCTGATCGATGCGGCTAATAGCCTGGAACTGCAAGATGCCGATATGAAGAAATTGTTGACGACAGGCAAGACCGGCGGCGAGTTCGTCGACAAGGGTGATCTGTGGCAGTGTCTGTTCGGGAAGACGAGGAGGAAGGAACGAGTCATGCATAGTGCTAATGACAAGCCTGCGGACGAGGAAGGCGCTGGTGGTGAGATTGGGCGGTTCTTGAGAGCTGAAGCTGCTGAGAGCAGAGCTGCTTCCAATGATTGAGTCTGCAGAGCGTGCTCCTCGTCACCGGGAATAGTCCGATGACGTCGGGACCTGCATCATACTACAGAGACTTGTCGACGAGACTCAGAAGCCAGGAAACCTCCTCTGGGGGGATGTCGAAGAGCAATGATACCCTGAAGGAGTCTCTTCAGGCCGGCTGACTAGATCAGTCGCGCTGTCAAAGCCGTGATCAACACTATTGCCCTTATCGCACCCAGCCTGCACCCTTTCTGCACGGGGAGACAAAGTTACCAGCCGAGGCAAGCCTCTGTGAGCAAGAGCTGGGACTTTTGCGTAACTCGCGGTGAAGTTCCAGAGCGTCCTCTCTGGACAGTGGTCTTCGAATTGTCTTTCCTAGTCTTCACCGCTCAAGTGAGCCTCAGCTCAATCCCACCTGCTTGATACGTGAGAGGATGTCAGGCCTTCAGCACCCTCCCGGACCCACAAGTCTGTACCGAGCAGCTTCCAGGCCTCGTCACCTCGGGACAACTTGTAGGGTGGCCAGTGCTTGTGTCCACGGCTTGCCAGTATCCGAACACCTCAAGAACCGCCCCTTAGCTGCTCCCACACTGGGAACCCCGGCTTGCGGGATCCTCATTACGCCCTTCCCACTCGTATCAGAAACTGTCAACTCTTCCCAACACCCAACGCAGATGCTCGAGCGCCGCCCGCGGCTGGCTCTCCGGCTGCGTGTGCGTACCCTGGTAGCTCTGCACCCACATCAGTCCACGCTCGTAATGCCATTGGCCGACTGTTCCCTGGGGTTGCAAGTCGCGGCCCTTTTGGTGTGAGGCGGCGAATACTGCTTCGTATTCGAGGTCGGGCGTTTGAATCACTAGGGACTGGTTGGGTGCGGATTGGAAGCCGAGGTTGTCATTCCATGTCTGTGGGTTTTGTGGTGTTAGTAAGGAGGCGGCAGTAGGAAGGGGTTGGACGTGGGATGGCTTGGCTTGGATGAGCGGGTGTCTTGGGGGGGGAGTCCATACCATATTCTGGATCGCGAGCAGAGTTCCGTTGGTCAAGATGATCATGTCCAGATCCCCATTTGAGACCAGGACGCGATTCGTCGCCTCGATGACCCGCGGCAAAGTGTACTGAATTGGGTCCAGACTCGTCTCGCCTGCCATCTCGGGCCCGCCACTGCCGTCGTCGGCGACGTATACGTTGAAGTGCTGATCTAGGTACCAGTTGGTGTCCTCTGGGACATGCAGTGCGGCTTTGACGTCGCTTCGATTTGGGTAGGGAATTGTTCCTTCGGGTATATAGTCGAATTGAGTGCGGTGTCCGAGGACGTCCCACAACAGGGGACATTGTGCGGTGACGTCGTAGACGTCGAAACACGGGTTGTACGCGAATGCGCTGTGATCGAGGGCCTCCCAAAGCGCGCAAGAGGAGTTGGAGGGCGAGGAGGAGTTGAAGAATACGGCAGGCTGGTTCCCTGGCGGTGGGTAAGTGAGGTAGGTCGAGATGATGTCTGCGTAGCCACAGGATTCGTGGAGGGTTTCGAGGTGCGACAGGAATGATTCGTTGAAGCCCATGACGTTGTTGTTCTCGCGCACGAAGGGGACGACGGGGACTTCTTGTTGCGTAAAGTCCCAGTTGCCGATGCAGGGGTCATAGAGCAGTGCGCCGGATACGTTGAAGAGGGTGGTGTCGTTCTTGTCGAGCATGGCTGAGGCGATGTAAGGAATGTAGCGGCCGGCGTAGGATTCGCCGGTGACGTAGATTTTGTAGTCGCTGATGCCGAAGGTCTTTTCGAAGTTTTGGAAGAAGTTGACGAAGTCCGTGCTGGTCTGTTCGAGGGTGGTCGCGGTCGGTTTCCCCGGTGAGTAGCCTGTACCGATCGGTTGGTCGACCCTATGTGTGGGTGAGTGCTATGCTCACTCGAGGGAATTCAGGAACTCACCAGAGTATGTTCGTCTCGTTCACCCATGAGTACGGATTCCCTACCGGGGCATAGTTCCCGGCTGCCACGTGAACCTCCCGATCTCCTGGAAGAACGACTCAAATGAGCTCCAGCCAGGCCCGCCATTGAGGTAGATGGTGATCTCGTCCACGGGCTCGCCAATGGTGGGCTGGAAGATGAAGAACAAGGAGTCCGTTGACCCGTTGTCGATCGAGATCAGCCAGCGTACATCTCGCCGATGTCGAAAGGGACCTCGGGCAGTGATTCAACTCGGTATGCTATCGTCGGTCAAATCAACCGCTTACAGTCGGCTTCTAGGCACTTACGCTCGGTCGAGTTGCTGTAGTATCTGAATGAGCTTGTGTCGTTCGACGAAACGGAGGCTCTTCGCTCGACATGTCTACTCCTCTTCTGCAGGTTATGCTGGTGGAAGTTCTTGCCAAGCACGCCGGTAGACAGGTATGCTAGCCACAGAAATACAGGCAGGCGTTGCATTTTCGTGAGTGCCGGAAGTCAACAGGCAAAGAAAGAGCTCTCACAGCTCCAATCGCTGGGTCGAAAGCATCATCAGGCTACGGAAGCCCTGCTGGCAAGCAAGGTGTCTTTATGCCGAGCTGCCTACCGAGATAGGAAGAGCTGACTTTGTCACCCACCCAAACTCTCCACAAACTTTCGCACAGCGGCCGGCACCGTGACACCTATCTCATCGCCCACCCCGACGATCGGCATGACCGACCACAGCAGCAGCTCGTCGAGGCAAGTCGGTCGTTTTGGTCGTACGGCTGACGGCGTAGAAGCACGCATGTCTCGCAGACGACATGTGTCAGAGCGGGTAGAGATCAGATTCGACCAACATTCGATCTCGTATTTCTCTCGGCAGGGCGACACGCGTCCTGAGCTAAGCCTATCCGAGGCTAGGTAGAATCATGACGAGGCAACTTGATTGCTTGATGATGACCGAACAAATCAGGAAGCACCGGAACAGAAGTGGTCAGACTCGGAACCGTCGACGATCGAAATGCCACGTTGAGGAATAAATCTGATATAATGTCATAGTCAACGCCGGTGCTCGTGAGACAAGACAAAGTACACATCGCGAACATGGCGACGACTTGGAACTACCCGCCCGGCCTGTCACCGCTTCTTCGACTGACTCCACTCAATGTCAGCGATCTACCACCACATCCGGACTTAGCCAAGAGCCTGCCCAAAGTGAAAGACGGCGAGCAATCAACTCAGCCAGACCTTCTACCCTTCGTCACCACTCTCCTCAACGATGGCCTGGCCTTCCTCTCCAAGTCCGAAATCGCGAACCACTTCAAGCACACCACGACCAAAAAGGCCGATGGCTCGGACGCAGACGTCGACGTGCTCTTGCAATCAATAAGCAAATCGACTATCGGAAGTAGAGTCACCTGGCACAACACCAACGATGCAGCAAATCGCCCTTCATCCCGACGAGCAAGCGCCACCCCGTCCGTCTCCGGCAAAGGCAAGGACACGACAACCGCTCCATCCACCTCCGACCAGAACCACCTTGCCATCCCGACCAACACCCAACAGCCTAACTCCCGCAGTGCCTCCGTCTCCTCAACAACTGCGCCAACTTCCCGCTCCAGGATTCAGCGCCCCAAACCCACCTCCATCGCGGACGAACACTGGTATACCCGCCGCTCAATCCACACCTCGCACTCCTCCAAACTCTCCCCTGGCTCAGCTCCTGAGGAATTTCTCTTCGGCTTACTCAACGAGCACTCCAAAAACGAACAGGCCTTTACCCCGAACCTCTTTGACGCGCACCCCATCCTCAACTGGGATGGCCAAATCCGCAAGCTCGCCGAGGAGGGCGGCTTACGACGCGAAGGATGGATGGATGTAAGCGCGAGTGTGTGGGAGATGTGTCACGACCTGCCCGGGATATTGGGCCCACGATGCTTTGGAGTGTGCGTTGTGGGCGGGAGGGTGGTGCCCGAGCAGGGAATGGCGGGTCCTGCTGCTGAGGGTGGAGGGACAAGCAACGATGTTTCCACAAGGCCGGGTACGGTCAGTGGGCTGCGAAGGTGGGAGAGGGGCGAGAAGCAGAAATTCGTCGTCGTCACTGTGCCCGTTGTGCTGGAGAAGGTGAAGGCGTCGTTCTATGCCAGCTACCGGAATATGAAGGAGGGCAAGGACGAGAAGCAGAAACGGCCTGTGGTGCAGGGGTTGTATGCGGCCGTGGAGACCTGTACGCTGAGAGCGAAGACCTCTGCTGCGACGGCTACGAGTGATGGTGCGGCGGCGGTGGCTGAGGAAGAGGAGGAAGTCGAATGGATCATGAGCACTGCGTCCGACGCAAAGGGGAACCTACCGATGTGGATGCAGAAGTTGGCCCTACCGGGACAGCTGCCGAAGGATGTGAGCTACTTCATGAAGTGGATCAGGGGCGTTGATGAGGAGGATGTGGAAAAGGCGTTGGCGAAGTTTGAATAGCGATGCTTTTTGCGGGAAGATTATACCCACGTATCGCAGGGATTCCACAAGAAAGATCATGCTGGTGCGGTGTACACGAAGCTGGACAAATCTGAGCATTATTCCTCACAATTTGGTGGACCGGTCTGCCTAGATCCATTGGTGGGAATATAATTGCAACGTGATGAGGCCATCAACAGTCTTCCACAGGCGTCTTGCGTTCTACAGTATTCAAGGACCCAGTGCTTTCCGACCTGATGGGCTCGGTGTCTATTGCTCGCTCACATGAGAGTACTCCGGCCCCCAATCTCCATACTCGGCTCTCCACCAGGCATATCCCCTTTCCTCCCAACCACAAACTCCCTGTAAATCACCCTCAACCGCCCAATCTCGTCTCGACTTATACTGCTCCTCGTTGTCTTTAGACTTCGCTCGATATGCTTCCACTCGATCATCACTTTCGCTTCTCCCTTATCCACACCGTCTTCATCCCCTCCCTGTGACTGAGCCTGCGACGAGAAGAACGAGAAGTCGCCTCTGGCAGCAGCGCGCTCGCGTTTCCGCAGGAGCTTCAGCTCCTCGAGCTTAGATGCTATAGCGGCATTAGTCTCGAGGAGGGATTTCTTGGCTGCAGAGCTGCTGGAGCTGACCACGCCGTTTCGCGCGTCGGCGTCGGCGGCTGGGTCGAAGAGGAACTGGGTGAATTCGGGAATCTTGCTGCTGTTGCTATCTCTGGAACCTTTCCGGGCGGAAGCACTTTTCCTGGTTGAAGAAGATGAGGTGCCGTTTGGTAACGTGCCATTGGCTTTGCTCTGGTGGCTACTGCTTGACTTGTCGCCTAGTAGATCGTGGATCGCTTCGAGATGCGCGTTGTAAACCAGTGCTTGCAGGTCGGCACCTGTGAAACCTTCGGTGCGCTCGGCGATGGTGAGTAACCGATTCTCAACATCGGCTTTGAGGTGTAGCGTCTTCGAGACGGCTTGCAGTATGTCGAGCCGATCTTCCATGGTGGGCATATCGCACAGTAGAGACTTGTCGAGACGACCTGGACGGAGCAGTGCTGGATCAATGAGGTCCGGTCGCGATGTTGCCGCCAGGACGTACACGCCATCGAGACCTTCGGCACCGTCCATCTGCGTTAGCATCTGATTCACGACGCGGTCGGTGACGCCAGTGGAATCGTGGCCTCTTTTAGGAGCGATGGAGTCGAACTCGTCGAAGAAGAGGACGCACGGCTTGGCGGCTTGCGCGCGCTCGAAGAGATCGCGAACGGACTTTTCGGAAGCACCGATGTACTTGTTCAGGATCTCTGGGCCTTTGACGCTGATGAAGTTGAGGTTGCATTCGCCTGCGACGGCGGAGGCGAGGAGCGTTTTGCCGCAGCCGGGATAGCCGTACAGCAGCAGACCGGATCGGAGTCGGAGAGGGGACTTTGCGAAGATGGGTGCATATTTTGTGGGATACATCAAGGTTTCTAGCAGTGTCTTCCGTGTGGCGTGAAGCCCGCCAATAGAGGCGAAGGTCGTAGATGACGTTGTGAGAGTAACGTTGCGAAGAGACGTGGGTGTGAAGTTCTTCAGTGCGGCATCGAAGTCGCTCCTCGTCAGTGTCAATTCTGATGAGCTATTCTCGGGATCAGCAAGGATCGATCGGGTCAGACACGCGTCTCTCGCACGACTGACAAGTAAGACTAGATCGGCGGGCATGTACCCGTCTGTCTTGCCTGCAACGTCGAGTAGATCTAATTGTGGAGAGATCCGAAAGCCATCACGATCGGAGGATCCTGCCGAACCGGGCCTGCTCGATGGCATGGATGGGTCCATCCAGGAGTGCTCTGACATGCTCTGGGAATTGCTTGTGTTCCGAGAATGTCCAGCGTGATTCCCGTTGCTCTGCCGCGCCTCATCAGCGGTCAATCTGTAGAGCACATCGCGACGAATTTCCTTCGTCGGCGCTTTGATATTGACAATTTCGCCAACCACGTGTCCGCTGATGAACAGGCTATGGACACTGTCCTTGGACTGAGCCGTAGCGAGTAACGTGACACCTGACTGGAATGTACAATACTGTCGTATGAGACCGCAAAGCACCTCACTTGTTTGCCGACTGCGCTCGTTGTCGTTGCTCAGAGTCTGCATCTCTGTCTCGGCCGGGCAGATCTTGTCGAGATCGTCGAGCACGACAAGTGCTTGCCCTCCGAGACGCGCGCACCACGATGCGGACATGAAGAGTCGCTTCAGGGTTTCGCGAATAGCTGATACCCGAGTTTCATCTGTCACCAACTGTGCGCATGAGAAGTATGTGACGTTGAACAGGAAGTCCTCCCGCAGTTGTCGAGCAAGATTGTAGGATATGCTCGTCTTACCAGAGCCAATCGCGCCTGTCAGTAGAACCGACGAGCACAAGGTCAGATTTGCCATGGACTGCTTGATAACATTGTCGACGCCGATCAAAGGCGTGTTCTTCTCCGGGATATTCTGCGCGAACGAAGGGAAGAGAGCAGTCAGCTCGATCGGGCGTGGAACTTCTGACCTGACATCGCTGATGTCTTTCTGCTCTTGTCCAATTGCCCATACAAGCGCGTTTGCCTGATCGGATTCTGGCTGACCCTTCTGCTGTATGCGGAGGATGCCACCGGGAAAGTAAGTCAACGAGCTAGGTTCGCCGCTTGCTGGCAGGATCATGCCATCTGTGATAGGTCCCGATAGCAGTCCATGCGGTCCGTCCTGTGCTATACGAAGCTTGTCGAGGGTCGCCGCTTTCGCTGCCTTTGAATCGCCCCCGAATCTCAACTCTTCTCTTTTTTGGGCACCCTCCAGGGCGAATGGAAACAGCGTAAGCGCCTGAACTGAGGAGTGGTGGAGCGGCCGGAATGCTGGCTCTATTCGGATGATGTTGCCAACTGCACTCTTGACACCGAGCAACGAGGAAAGGGTAGATGACAGGCCGGCGTGGTGGGTATCCACTGGATTGCTCCACAGATGAACCTCTGCTACCAATCTCGTTGCTGGCCTTCCAACATCACTCGCCTCCTCTTCTTTCAGTCGCTCAAGCTGAGACTTCTCCAAATCTGCACGCAAGCCATTGGGCTTGACGATTGTGATGCTCGCATACTTGGCTCCTTTCATGGCTTCTGACGCGAAGTGCTCTTGGGGCAGCCATAATTTGAGTCCAGTATTGACGTCTTGGTCCTCAGCCGGAAAGAATGCAGATCCGACGTGACGATCCACAGCACGGAGGAACAAAGCTGTTTTGAAGTTCGACGAGCGCCGCCCATTTGCGCTCTGTGTAGTACTGGCGCCACTTTTGCCACTCCTCCGGCTGGTCACACTGCGGGCCTGCTCGCGAGGATTTCTGACAGAGCTCGCACGTGTCTTCGGTGCAACAATCACTTCGGCATCTGGCGCAATCTTCGTGAACGCAATTGAGCTCGGTTGTGGAGGGACAATTGTTGTCACTTTGATGTTTGCCGTATGTGTTGGCGAAAGATGAAGTGTAAGCGGATGATTTGCTTCCGATGATGGTACACCTTTCGCCGAGAAGCTAGGATTAGGTAGTGCTCGAATTTGTGAAAGCAGATTTAGTTCCAAGAAGTTTGCATGCAATTCGATTATCTCCCAGTCCGCTGGCGTAAGAGGTTCGATGTTGATGGTATGAGCCAGTGGAGGATCCAGATGAACCAATAACCCAACCTTTCGGGCCTCGCTCAGACCGACCTTGGCTCCAAAGATGCTGTCGATCTCGACCATAGGCACCTCAAGCTCACGCGTGCCTCTCCGATCAGCATTGATGACCGACGCTGGACGTGTCCGGCTGGCATAGCCTGTCCAGCCCACGTAGACGGACCTTTGGAAGCCGGTGCCTCCGCTAGAGACCGCTGTGGCAGACAAAGTTGGGGTCTGGTACTGTATCTCGATGATGACATTCTGGGCTGGGATGTTGGATGCATCGATCAGAGCGATCAGGTTTGGTGGTAGATTGACCAGGCAGTTCTGTAAAGAGACAAATGCGACTTCTGCCCGTGCTGAAGGCGCCATCTTTCCTGTTAACAGCACCTCCAAACCACTCCTACCCCTCTCCTAATCGCTGTTGCGCTCCTGATATGAATTGCTAATGTTTCGATGCTGCGACTTCAGAAGGGTGAGAACGAAGCTCATCGCCACAACCGACCTCGGCTCGGATAAAGACGCCTTATCATCCGGTCTCAGATATGTCCAAAGCCCACCTCACCTGGCTCTTCTGATTTGGGCTAAAGTAGCTTGGCATTCCGCGAACGCGCTCAGCTACGCGACGACGCGTTTCCAAGCCCGGCGACGATCTCCTAGGGTTTGCGGTCGCACTTTGTACCCTGCTTCCACATTCGCACCTACGACAGATCTCACAGCCTCAGCGCGTCATCAACATGGCGCTCCTGCAGTACAAAGCGCCGGTCGACTATGCCGCACAACTGGATGCCTTCACCGCCTTTATTGACAAATTTGAGACAACGAAGACTGCATCAGAGGAAGCCGCCGAAGCGATCAATGGCCTCAGTCTCGAGGGTGACGACGAGTATGACTTCATGGACGATGTCGCAAACGGCGCTGCGCCAGACAACAGACAGCAAGGTACGAAGCGGAAGTACATGGAAATGCTACAAGAAATCGCAGAAAGGGAGCGCCAGAACCTCACTATCGAGCTGGACGACTTGAAGGAATTTGAGATATCGCTAGGCACAGACTCGAACCTCAAGCTAGTCGACTCGGTACTGGGCAATACCAAGCACTACGTCGACTTATTCTCAGAAGCAGTCGACAGGCTCATGCCTAAACCCACCAAAGATGTTTCGTTCAAAGACGACGTCCTCGATGTCATCCTATCTCAACGCCAGAAGCGCAACGAGACCACTTCGCAAGCCGCCCAGAACGACGCCGAGGCCATTCTGCCCGTCTCAACATTTCCTCCCGAGCTCACTCGGCGATATACCCTCAACTTCAAGCCCCTCACACCCTCGGCCAAAGACAAGCACAAGACTCTTGCCGTCCGACAAGTCCGGGGTGAGCATCTTGGACACCTCATCACCGTCCGAGGAATCACTACGCGCGTATCAGATGTGAAGCCCGCCCTGCGGATTCAAGCATACACCTGCGATTCATGCGGCAGCGAAGTCTTCCAGCCTATCAACACTAAACAATTCACACCCATGCAGATCTGCCCCTCGCCCGACTGCACGGCCAACAACACAAAGGGCGTCCTCAACCCCTCGACCCGAGCCTCTAAATTTCTGCCTTTTCAGGAGATCAAGATCCAAGAGATGGCCGACCAGGTCCCAGTCGGACATATTCCTCGAACCTGACTATCCATGCGCAGGGGAGTGCCCTGACCCGTCAAGTCAATCCTGGCGATGTGGTAGATATCGCCGGCATATTCCTCCCCACACCATACACAGGCTTCCGTGCCATTCGCGCCGGTCTGCTAACCGACACCTACCTCGAAGCCCAACACATCACTCAGCACAAGAAAGCCTACCAAGATCTGAAGCTCGACCGCCGCGTCATATCTCGCATCGAGTCGCACAAAGCCTCCGGCCACCTCTACGAGTACCTCGCACGCAGCATAGCGCCCGAGATCTACGGCCACCTCGACGTCAAGAAAGCACTCCTCCTACTCCTGATCGGCGGCGTCACCAAGACCATGGGCGACGGCATGCGCATCCGCGGCGACATCAACATCTGCCTCATGGGCGACCCGGGTGTCGCCAAATCTCAACTGCTCAAATACATCACCAAAGTCGCCCCTCGCGGCGTCTACACCACCGGCCGGGGCTCTTCCGGCGTCGGTCTCACCGCAGCCGTCATGCGCGACCCCGTCACCGACGAAATGGTCCTCGAGGGCGGCGCGCTCGTCCTCGCCGACAACGGCATCTGCTGCATCGACGAGTTCGACAAAATGGACGACGGCGACCGCACCGCCATCCACGAGGTCATGGAGCAGCAGACCATCTCCATCAGCAAAGCAGGCATCACCACCACTCTCAACGCACGAACTTCCATCCTCGCAGCCGCCAACCCCCTGTACGGCCGCTACAACCCACGCATCTCCCCCGTGGAGAACATCAATCTCCCCGCCGCCCTCCTCTCCCGCTTCGACATCCTCTTCCTCATCCTCGACACGCCCTCCCGCGAAGCCGACGAGGAACTCGCCGCGCATGTCTGCCACGTGCACATGACCAACTCCGCTGACCCGACCGCTGCCCCGACCATCAACACACCTAACCCCTCATCACAAGAATCCCCAACACCAACCTTCTCCCCCCACGAAGTCCGCCAATACATTGCCCTAGCCCGCACCTACCGCCCCACCATCCCCGCCTCCGTCTCCCAGTACCTCACCGGCGCCTACGTCCGCCTCCGCCAGCAACAGAAGCACGCAGAGAGCTCTGCGAACCCAAAGAAACAATTCACCCACGTCAGCTTACGCACCCTCCTGGGCCTAATGCGTCTCTCGCAAGCCCTCGCGCGCCTACGCTTCGCCAGTGAAGTCGTGAACGAGGACGTCGATGAGGCATTGCGGCTGGTGGATGTGAGTAAGGCGAGTTTATACGCGGACCAGAGGAATAAGAATGGGGATATGAGCGTGAGCAGCAGGATTTATGAGGCGGTGCGGGCGATGTGGAGCTCGGGTGCGGCGGCCGTGGGTGGGCGGGGAAGCGGGAAGGGAGAGATGGATATGCGGAGGGTGAGGGAGTTGGTGTTGGGGAAGGGGTTTAGGGAGGAGGAGTTTGAGAGGGTCGTGGAGGAGTATGAGCTTTTGGATGTGAGTTTTCTTGCCTTTCTTTCCCCATCGTTTGTGCTTGCCTTTTAGTGCGCTGCAGGCGGGACCTGATGGAAAACTTACTGACATGTATTGAACAGGTCTGGCAACGCGCGAACAATGGCACGAGATTGGTGTGGGTCGAGGCTGGTGACAGCGATGAGGATGACGATGAGTGAATGCTGGTGACCGTCGGATTAGAGATGTGTTCTACATGCTTGTTGCATTGCCTGGCGTCGAGGAGTCTCATACACGTTTGAGCAGTGCTGGGGTCACTGTGTACCCTGCTTGATGCAGCTAGGGCATCAATGGAAGACTGCTTGTACGAAAAGCTGACCTGTTCACACGACCAAGTCCACATTTCCATCCCACCTCGCTGACCCCTGGCAAACCGCCTACACCATACTAATAGCTGCTCGAGCTACACTCTCGGACGACGCCCGGACGAAGCTGAGGGAGTCCAGGCTCGCCCCTGGTCCGTCCATGCTGTCCGGTCGTCACCCGCTATAGCGCGGTTCCTACTCTCTATGAAGCGTCACTTCAGCATGGCAACTTCCTTCGAAAAGAGTGAGCTAACTTATCACTGAACCTCATCACTTCCCGCTCATTCTTCATTGAGAAGGGGTGGACTGGTGCTTGTGGAATCGCTGGACGAGACACTGGTAAGCCTACACCTCGCCGGGGGCGCGATGCACGAAAAGAGCTCTCACTCTACATTTGCCCTCCCGGACTGTATTCACATGTGCCATACACTTTTCAGCGGTGCTGGTGTCACTGCGATTTCTGCTTGATTGAGCTAAAGCATCAAAAGAAGTCTGCTTGTATGAATAGAATGCTTCTACTACAGATGTGTCTATCTGGTCAAGCTCTACACGTTATGATGCCTTTCCTGCTATACAGCTCGAAAAAGCTTTATGCTTCCCGCGGTCATTATTGTGATACAGATCTTCGTCCAGCGCTGCTTCCTCTTTGTATATGACTACGTCCAGTCTGCTGTGATATGTGTTTCTCGTCCAGATCCTCCCTCCACGACCAAAAGCAAAACAAAAAGCGAAGGACATCATGTATGCTCTTTCCGTCGATAGCATGCCGTAGTGTATCTCATAGCACAATGGGTCAGATTGAAAGGAAAGTTCTCGAAAGAAACGGTAGACAACAGTGAAAGCGTGTGTGTCGTGTGCACAGGGCTCGCGCAGTGATGGCAAGTGCTGGGTTCGTACACCGACGATCAGACCCTCAGTTGACCGCTGTGTCCTTCGTTGAAACGAGCGAAGGCATCGGCCAGTGGATTCTTGACTGGAACGAATGGATCTGGTAGACCCATAGCAGAGACGAAACCGGAGAACGGACCGAACGACGAGATAGGAGAGTGACTCGTGTCGAAGGCGGCTCCTCGTGGTGATGGCCATGCCAGTGGGTTGAGGTGACCATGGTCGACTGATTGAATACGATTAGTGTGCTTGCTGCCATCAATATGCTGTAGAGTCGCTGCCGCATTGCCACAGTCGACCTGAGTGGCATGGCTATCCAAGAAGAGCGGGTTGTGCGGCTGGTTTTGTGGTTGAAGCCAAGCAGGTGTTTGGAAAGAAAGACGTGGAGCGGGGCGATCGTACGCTTGTGAAAGCGAGGCACGCCCGAGGCCACGTCCGCCAATGTTGCTAGGACTATCCTCCAAGCCATTGTAGCCTGGCAACTGGGGCAGTCCTAGGTTGTCACTGTCCACGTCATCCTCTTCGTCCTGAGCCGAATAGGCCGATGGATGCCGACGTCTCGCTTGCTTGAGAGGCGGCAGCTCAGGCAACGCTGAGACATTGCGGGCATGACTTTGACGGCGAGCTTCTTGTGCAATGGCGATGCTTTCAACTTACGCTTGCTGGGTCCACGGACGTTCGCTGGGAGTGATCCAAGAGCCTTGCGTTTCGGCTTTGGTTTGGGCTTGATCATCAATGGCGACTCTCCCTCGATCAGGCTGCTGGCATCGTCAAGATCATCAATGTGACGATTCTTGCGCGGTGACCACTCAGCAGAGTACGTGACCTCAGCAGGCTCGACCAGCTGGGACAGTCTCTCCATTCTCTTGACAACAGAGGCATCTTTCTTCTGATTTCTTTTCCGAGCCTCCTCAGGACTGGCGGCGTCAAACAAAGCCATGCCAGGCCAGATCTTGCCTTTGAGCTTGGTGTTGGTATTGGCCTTGCCGCCAGCAGCATCACCGAGAGCGGGATCAATTTTGAAGGGAGGCGAGCTGACAGGAGCATCTGTGTACAGCTGAGGGGACGAGTGTCGCAGAGGCGTGAGCGGATAGTCAGTGACAGCGGATGTGCTAGTATCTCGTCAGTGAACGTCCAGAGTAGACTGCTTCGTGCTTACTAGACACTGGACTCGGCAGCACTGACAACAGAAGTCTTCCGCTGAGCCGACTTCTTGGGTCTGCCGGGTCCACGACGTCGAGCAGGCTGTTGGACCGGGAAGCTGAAGGGATCTTCTGAGTCATGCTCGGCCTTAACGGCTGCCTCGTTCTTGACACCTCGTCTTGCTTGCTTTTGCTCCTTGTTCTGCAGTCTCTCGGACAGTAGCTGTCCCAATCCATGCTCTTGAAACCATTGATTGTACTCAGCAAGCTCTATTGCTGGTGCAATGTCCTGATGACTCTTCACCTGCAATTTGTGTAACTGAGCCAGGTGACCTTTAGAGCCGACGTGTGTGAGAAGGTGGGACACATCGCTGAACTTGGGCTTCTTGACGCAGATCTTGCAAGTAAGCAGGGGTTGAGACATGTCGAGAAGGTGACGGCTTGACTCTGCACCAATTGTGGAAGGAAGGAAGTGGTCTAAGAAGAGACGACGATTGCTTCAACAGACAAGACGATCGTACATGACGCTCCCAAGGTACAGAAGGAAAGGACCGAACAGAGAAGGAGACAAGGATGCCCGAAGGCAAGGAAATGAGATGAGACCGAACGGAAGGTAATGACGAAGAGATGGGAGAGACTGCAAAGATGAGAGGTAAGGGAACTGGTGAAGTGGAAGGTCGTTGAGTGGGAAGTGGCGACCATCACGTGCTGGCCAATGAGGCAGCGGCGACTTGGTCTAGTGCAGCAAGCGCAAGGGACGTGCCGGCAAACGCAGATACAGCAACATCAATCCAATTATGTATCGTACCTCTTGTCTCGCAATGACCATTTGTTCTTCAGTGCATACGAGCGAGACTTCGTAGCATGATAAGTAGAAATAGTCAAATAGGATTTTGCTATTCTCTTGCCTTGTATCCCAACTCTCAGCAGAATGTCGAGTGGGTTATTAGATCGCAAGAGGTGACAATCGATTTGCAGGATCAAGTCGCTACTCGTGCACGATTGTATGGAAGGGCTTCTGTGACATGCTTGGGCATGCAGCTGGCTTTGGGTTAATTAGTTTGCAAGAACTTGGGGATGTGAACTTACTAGACAGGATCTACCGAGACCAACCCAGGATGTCCAAGAAGACTCAAGCCAGCCACCCCAAAGACGGTATGAAACACATCAACCATGTCACCAGGTCGATCGGACATGCCACCGTGATCAGAATCTTGACACCGGAGAATGAAATTGCTGAGCTTGGCACCATCAATCCAGTGCAGCCGTTTGATCATAGCCAGACTGCTTAACACCCACCAACTGTAACACACGTCTTCCAACTTCTCAGGCCGGCCATTCAGTCCACCGTTTGGCAGTTGTCGCTCACTGAGCCATGCTCCAAGCCGGTCAAAGTTCACTAAGTCAAGTCTGCGTGCTATTGAAAGTGCCCCGACACAGGTGAACACTTGCCCAGAGTGTGATTCTGCTCCAGGAGAGGTACCGAAGGCTCCGTCGAGATTGCTGCAAAGCTGAATATGGTCGACTGCTTTTGCTACGTCCACCAGATGCATGAGGTCCAAGATCGAGAGCGCGATGAAGGCGCAGTGCAAGAAACGAGTATCCTTCTCGCCCCATCGATCGCCCGCAAATGTACCCGACTCATGTTGGAGCTGTGCGATGAAGTTGCCAACCCTGATACGGCCGCCAGAGCTGTCCAGCGAGTCCAGAGCGCCAACGGTGGCTAATATTTGCACGGCGCTGGTGGTATAGAGCATGTGTGAGTCGTGCTTTGGAGCGGCGCCGAAGCCGCCATCAGTGTTCTGGCATGACAGGACAAATTTGATCGTGTCCTCACGAGGCAGCGCGTCCGGATGACCCAACAGATGTAATGCTATCAAGCCCCAGTAGACACCATTCAGTCGGAGGTGTTCAGTGAGCCAGTACTGGATTTCATCTTTTCGCTGCAAGATCAAACATCAGTACTTGCGACATGACTTACAGGCACGCGTTGGACGCACAGTATCGAGCGTTTGGATGTATCGGACATGTTTGTCGACCACCAACGTCAACTCATCAGGCAGCTTCTGTCCGCCACCTCGACCAGGTCCTGAGACTAGCGACATCGTTGCTACTCAGTCGGACAGTGCTTCGGTCGTTGTCACCGCAAGATGCCCGGACAGAATGACGGAGGCCTTTTCGATGGCGGTGACTAATGGCTGCCTTCGGAAGGACAGTGGAAGAGTTTGACTCTAGACCCGCGTGTTCCTGGTCAACGCCCCCTGTAGCTCTTGGCATGCACGACACACAATTAAACTCACCTGAAACAGTCCTCTACTTCAAGTGCCGAACTTCGTGTCCTTAGCAATGTCCTCACTGTAAAGGTCTCGGCAATCGTAGCGCAGTACGAGAACGCTTGCATAAGCGATACGTACGCCACCTACGGATGCTGTTCTAAGACTCTGCACGTTGTCCTGGTCGTTGATCATCACTGCTATAAGGGACAGGTATAGCCCAGATCTTGGCTAGCTACAAGTGTGCCCAAGTTTGAGAAGATTTCCCACGCAGTCGCTGGCCTCCAGCATCAGTTCTCTCCATCAATTTAGGGCGGCATAAGTCCAGAAGCCGTATGGACTGGATGCTGACCTGCCCGCGCACTAAGAGCTGCAGTAAGTCGAGAGCTAGCACAGATGTCGTGGCAATTCGACTGTTCGCATCAGCGTACGGCAAGGTGCAACTTGTTTTAGAAACAATCCACGCACTCAGGAGGACCGCTCTTCGATAGTCCTTCATTGCGTCTTCTGTACCGCACAATGCGGCATGTATGATCTTCCGAATGTCCTTTTCCCTGTTGCCAGGACGGCTCAGATCTGTCAGATCTTCAGTGATTGAGTAGATACACGTAATTGCCAGGTACATTGAAATAATAGGCACAATGCTGCCCGTTCTCACAGGCCTGTCTGTACCTGTCGCCCCCGGTTCATTCTGAACCTTGAGGGGCGATCCACTCAGGTACAGCAACTCCTTGGTATCTACTCCTCCTCCTAAGACACATCGACCACTCCTTCTTCGTGGTTTGACAGCTGCCACAACGCCAATTCTCATTACTTTACCGCCAGTTCGCTGTCATCTTCTACTAGTATCTGACTTGCAGTGGGGGAAGTGCTCCTTAGCCGCCAGTAACACCACGAGTTCCTAGTGACCATTCCCTTTCCAACACACCGCCCTGGTGAGGCTCGAGCTGTACTACCTGTCGAACCTCCTGCCAACCACGCTTAAGTTGATCCTGCATTGCCAGGTGCAGATCTCCATCATTCAAGGACCAAGGCTGGTCCCTCCCTCGTCCTCCCTGACCATCACTCCCGTGACTAGTTCGGACTCGAACAGCAGTCGCACCCGCTTCGGGCCCCTCACCGCGCCTGTTCCTGCTACACCTACACTCGCCCTCTCAGAAATGGCCGTGGCTTCCACGTCGACATAGTACTATGCTCACAATCATCCTGTGACTTAGGAGCGCACCATAGTGGCCGAGCCTAGCCCCCAAACTTCAAAGCGCTGGCAAGGCTGCTACTGCGATCCTGAGCAAAGTCAAGCGAGGTTGGCCCAACGCTTGACCTCGTCTCGAGTTTGTCACAGGATCTTGCGACCTCATTGTTGTCCCTATACCTACCCATTCCTCTATACGCGCCGCATGACAGCACCTACATCCAATACATCTGTCGCCGGTCAATCCAAATCCGCACTCACACCAATACATCGACGCCCTGCCGTTCCGCCCGTGCCCCTCACAGAAGGCACGTCCCGAAGAAGGAAGACGCCAGACGCCTGCCAACGGATTTGTTGTTCCAAGAGGTTGTACAGAAGTTGACATTCCGCGGTCGGGAAAATAAGAGGGAGCCGCCCGCTCGGGTTGTCTGTGCGTTTGAGCAACAATACCTACGGCAACCCGCAGGATGCCAAAACCTACCGATCTGCCCAATCTCAATTTGTCTGCTTCCATACGGAATGTCAGCGAGCTTGACGATGGCTTCCTGTCTGGCGGTTTGAGTCCTCGATCGAACGGCTCAAGCACGCCTAGATCAGCTCCTACTTCTCCTCGCCTGCGGTCACCAGCTCTCCCTGCCGTGATGGAACCGCCCAAAGTTGCCGCGCCCGCCAGCGAGAAGAAGACACAGCCCAGCAATGGCCATACTTCGCCACGAATAACAGCTATGCCGGAGTTACCTCCATCGCCTACTAACCAGTCGACACCCAAACATGGCAGAGATACCTCCAAGAACTTCTTTTCCAACCTCATGGCATCCAAATCGTCCCACAAACTCCACGTGTCCGAGACAAGTCTTCCAGACGCTACCGAGAAGGCCAGCGCCAGAAGCAGGGCGAGTTCGAAGGACCGCTCGCTGCACTCAGTCCGAAGACAGGGGTCGACGCCAGAACTACCGCGCTTCAATGGTACATCTCAGCCCTCGCAAAGCCAGGACCCAAACAAAGCCGTTGGTGATCAAGAGGTGGCATCAATACCAGACAGGACAAAGCCGAAGAACAAATCTAAGTTAGGAGGCATGTTGACACGGACTAAGACATTAAGAGGGGAAGAGAGTCTCAAACAGAAAGCTTCTCCCACCATGCTTCAGGTTGAAACAAACGGCAACGTGCCGGACGACATTGAGCCTCCGCCGAAGACTGCGCCTATCAAGTCCGACCATCGAGCGCGTGCTTTTGCGTCATCGGAAAACAACTCTGCGCGCAACAGATCAGCTGATCGTATCATGCAGAACGAAAGGTCACAGAGGAAGGAGGCCAGCAAACCGGGCCAACATATGCCTCCTTCCCATTCTTTCCAGGGTGGCAGTCTACTGTCTGACATTGGCCGGACAGGCAAAGGTGTTGGAGATCGGTTAGGCAAGGCCGGTAAGGGCCTGTTTGGCAAGATCACGAGGAGCGGCAGCAGCAACGATCGAGAACCACCCCCTCCCGAGGAGCACATTATGTCCACCATCAACCTGCCGCTGGTGAAGCAAACCCGACGGACCCGGATAGCTAGAAGGCTAGAGCTGTCAAGAGACAAGACTGAATTCTGGATGCCGGCGTTGCCGTGGAGGTGTATAGAGTAAGTGGATTCCGATCCCCATCGCAATTGATCTAACATATCCAGCTACCTAAACATGAACGGCTGCGAAGAGGAGGGCTTGTACAGAGTACCCGGCAGCGGCAAGGACGTCAAGTTCTGGCAAAGGCGCTTCGATCACGAGCCGTTCGACGTGAATCTGTTCGAAGAACCTGACCTTCACGATATTAACACAATTGGATCCATGTTCAAGGCATGGCTTCGCGAGTTGCCAGACGAGATCTTGCCAAAAGCTGTACAGAACAAGGTGGCTCAGCAATGCGCAGGCGCTACAGAAGTCCCTCAGCTGTTCAAAGATGAGCTTTCGAAACTGCCGCCTTTCAACTACTACCTCCTGTTTGCCATCACTTGCCATCTCAGCCTCCTCACCAGTTTCTCCGACAAAAACAAGATGGACTATCGCAATCTCTGCATCTGCTTTCAGCCATGTCTCAAGATCGACGCGTTCTGCTTCCAGTTCCTCGTCAATGAGTGGAAACAATGCTGGCAAGGCTGCTGGACCGAGAAAGAATACCTCGAAGACGAGTACCGCTGGGAGAGGGAAGGGTCTATCAATGAGAGCGAGGACCTTGCTGTCGACGATAGGGCTGTAAGCTCCAGCGGCAGCAGTCAGATCCAGCCCAACCACATCCAGCAGAATCAGCAGCACAATATCCATCATCAACAGCCACAACACCAGCCGATACAGACACAGCAAAATCAGAGAGACCAGCATGCCCTTCCTGACATACCACAATCGCCTAACAATGTTGGTCTTGGGGTTACCTCTCCAACGACGCGATCTTCTCACGATCTAATCTCTAAGCCTACGGGTCTTCGAAAATCGAACTCAAAATCGAAGGGTCACAAGGGTCGTAGCCTCTCTCAGAACGAGACCACTACAACGACAACGGTCGCCAGGAAAGCATCTGGACCCAGTTCACACACACCCAACCAGAGCGCCCCGAACGTCCCGAGAGTGCTTTCGACGCCGGAGCCACATGTTGATACGCAAAGGGTGCCCGCGCCGGACAAGCTGCCAGAGGTTGGGAGCTTGAGTCCGATTCGGATGTGATGACCATGACTACGACGACAGAGGCGCCTTTCTGTTGCGATTGATAAGATGCTTGGCTACCAAATTGGCTGTTACAGAGCAGGTGGCGAGGAGGGTCGCCACCAATTTGGATCTTTCAACAACAGATATGACGACTCGCGACTTGAGAACTACGAAAGAACAGAAGCGGAAGAAGAAAATTGAATTAGCAAGGTTGGCTGTTTGGTGTTGGCGACCAACAGCAATGTACGATTAGGAGTATACCCATTTGGAAGTTTCGAGCAAGAGCATAGTAGGGATTTAGTGGTAGAGACTAGTATGCGGAGCAGCAGCTATGGTAGATGGCATCAGAAGGAAGAGCCAGCATCATCATTCTTGCATACGGTTGGTGACAAGCATGAGCATGAGATTAAGAATGAAGATGAAAACGAGATCAGGATCAAGGAATCAGATTGAGACCTTGTGCCATCCCTCAATCCCAGCTGTCGACTGAGACAGCCCTTTCTCGACCATCAGCTCGCCAAGCTGCTGGACTGTGTAGACTCCCATCGTGTCCCTGCCGTCTTCGTTTGATGCCTACACCTGCGGCATTAGGGATGCGGGAGGTACATGTTTCGTGCGGCCCCTGTTACTGATGCTAGACCCGTCGCTCAGCACCCAGCTTCCCAAGGCGCTTCCGTCTTGCGCCGGCCGCGCACCGATACTGATGCACCGAGTCTCTGCAGCCTTGCAGGATCGTGAGTGTAGTGTGCTGCGAACAGGACACCTTCGTCCATCCGCATCTCGTAGCACTGCTGATGAGATCATGCTCTGTTGGACGTCTCGGGCTTGTGCGGTGTGAATCTAGACCTGGTATGGTCTTTCTCGTCTGCGGATCCTTGCACGAGCTTGATCGTGTGCTTCCTTCTCGTTCGAAGGTGGTAGCCCGCTCTTGGGCAGAAAGTCTTTTTGGCGTGTGTACTGATGGCCGGCCAACTCCTACAATCATTGCATTCATAAATCCGACCCACATCATCATCCATCCTCTCATCACCGCCCCGCCGCCCGCCTCGCATTATTCCTCTCCTTCCTCAACTGCCGCCTCACCCGCTCCATACGTTCACGCTTCGGCTCTGTCCGCACGCTCTTCTCTTCCCCACCATTCTTCTGTGCACCTTTCTTTCCATCACCATCTGGCAGCTCAACAAGCCACTCCCCCTCCTTCTGCATATTCTTCCCCTTGTACCCCCATTTCTTGACCCACTCCCCGCTTGCCTCGTCGTAGAAGAGGTTCTTCTTCCTCTCGTCCAGCGCTGCGCCGCCCTTGAGGCTGCCGCCGAATTTCCCGATGCCCTTTTTCTTGGCGAAGGTCTCCCATTTGGTGGGTGGTTTGGGCTTGGGGAGCGGGAGGCGCCGTGGGAGGAGTGGGCCAGTCGGCGTCGGCGGGAGCTGCATGAGAAGAGAGGAGGGCGTGCTGGTGATTGTAACTGTGGGGGTCGTGAGGAGGTGGGTTAACAGGGATTGGGCGCCGTCGCGAGCAGTCTGTAGGAGGGTGGATTCGAGATCGGGTCGGGGAAGTGACAGAAGTTGGGATGTGGCGGGTAAAGGGTTCGGGTCGGTGGTTGTGAGGTAGGATGGTGTGAATGTGTAGGGTGTGGGTTTCGAGACTTGGGATGAGAGGAGGGTGGTGGACGCTTCGGCCATGGCTGTGTCTGGCATGGTGGCTGGCTTTTGTGCGCGATGGGTGGTCTGAATAGTTCGGTCGAAGTGGTATGCAGAGTAGAGAAGGGAGAGCAGTGGTTCATCAGCTCTGCAGAGGTGGACCTGAATGTCGAAGTGGTTCAGTTGCTCACGAAACTTTTTGGCTCGCTGCTCTAGCAAAAAGCCTTATCGATAAGATTGCTCGAGAGGAATCGTAAAAGCGGCACGCGAAATTGTTCGACCTCCCGACTGATGTCTACTCGAGGAAGCTGCAGTACTTGATCTAGATACAGTAGTCAATGATGCTGGCCATATAACCATCGCCTAGACCTTTCGCGCGCCGAGCGCTCTTTCCACCACCCGCCATGTCCGTGTCCATGTGCACGCGATGCTTCGCCCGCCTGCAGCTCGCGCCCTCGCGTGCTGTATCCTCCGCTGCCGTTGGTAGCACCATACAATCATCCGCCTTCCACACCACAGCTCCGCGGCCCATGCCCGCCAAAGTCAAGATAGTGTACCGCAACCTCGCACCCAAAGTCGCACCCAGATCGAAGCGAGAACGAAAACGTCCTCCACCTGTAGGGGAACGCCAACAACACCGCAGAAGAATCGTCCTCGCAAACACCAACGCCCTCGAAGTCGCCGATCTACAATACCTCGGCCTGCAGAATTGTACCAACGAGTCTAGCATCGGCAAGATCCTGGCGTTTGACGATGCCACGATTGATAAGCTGCGTAGCGCCAAAGCCTTTCAGCGGACGCAGAACTATAAGCTGTTTAGGAGGCCGGCGACCTTGATCAGGAAGGAGACTGTGGAGCTAGGAAAGTTGATCGTGACACATGGGGAGAAGACGGGGACGGACAGGATAATGGTGACGGGTCCGAGGATCAGCGGCAAGAGTGTGTTGTTGACGCAGGCGATGGCTATGGCGGTCATGAAGGGGTGGATTGTTATCAGCGTCCCCGATGGTGAGTAGTAAGCTGTGTTTGTGGGAAGACATGACTGATGGTTGTTGCAGCTCAAGAGTTCGTGATTGACCACTTTGCGTACTCGCCAGCCACGACCGACTCGGAAGAGCAGATGTACGATCAAAGGACACTTGCCGAGGGGATACTCGCCCGCATGGCCGCCACTAACGCAGACGTTCTCACCAAGCTCGAGCCAACGAAAGACATCAACGAGGTCATCAAGTTCGCGTCCGGTGAAGCAAAAGACCTCAAGACCCTCGCTGGCATCTGCAGACAGGCTACGCTCACACCACAACACGCCATTACCATCTACAACTTCGTCATGGACGAACTCACCAAGCCCAGCGACGCCTGCCGGCCGCCAATCTTGATGACGGTAGACAATCTCGACCACTGGATGGGCCTGACCAAATACCGCGACGCCTCTCTCAAACCCATCCACGCTCACCAGTTCACCATCATCCGCTCCTTCCTGGACCTGCTCTTCTCGTCCAAGGCCTCCCTCCCGTATGGCGGCATGATCCTCGGAGCACGGTCCGCCAGCAACAACCCCGATGTGCCAGCATTCAATGTGCTTACTTGGCAAATCGTTGCTCTGAATGCTGGCATGCAACCGGCCGACGAGGGCTTCCCATTGCCGCGGCCTTACCAGTACCTCGATCCTAAACCCTTGTCGCTACTCGACCCAGCCGCAAACACTAAGGTCATGAACCTCGATGGCGTCTCCAAGCAGGAAGCAGCTTCATTGATGGAATACTACGTCTTGAGTGGGATACTCAAGGAGAACATTACCAGCGCGAATGTAGCGGAGAAGTGGGCGCTGAGTGGACAGGGAAACGTGGGCGAGCTGTGTCGATTGAGTGCAAGGGCGCGTATCGATCCGGAGAAGTCGGTGACTTTCTTTGGCACAGATGAGGTATAAGGATGGGGCAAGGCGAGCATAAGCCGAAGAGTGTGAGGGATCGGATGTAAGATACAGAGTGCAGATAGATTATATTGTGGTCGTAGCTGAAATGCTGTATCTCAACATTGTCTCAACTCGGACAAAGGCCGTCAAACATCTGCCTCTACCGGCGCCATACCTGCCAACCAGTATGCGCCATACCTTGAGGCGAGAGCGTTGGACATGGTCTCGGGTCGGTATGGGGGCTTCAATGCCAAGAGTAAGCAGCCCCTGTTGGGAAGCCGGCCTCAAACGACGACTCACTCTTCCTACGTACCTGCTTGTAATTGTCCGATCTAGAAGGAGCTGCCTCACCGTCGTTGATCTGCTGAGGGCATCCGAGCGGAAGTGTAAGCTCTTTGACTCGACGAGATGACCTGCGACGAAGCGCCCGGTGTCACTGTGATGGCTCGAACAGCACCTTCAGTCACCGTCTTGCGCTGAGTTCAATAGGTAAGGTACGCGATAACTCCACGATTCCGCAGTGACGGCAAACCCCCCCTGATTTGGATTGTAAACAAGACAAGAGGGTTCCCACGGTACGAGCATGGAGAAACATCGTTCATTCCGACTCGATTGACCTCATCGCTTCCCCGCGTTCGCGCGTTCATCCGATACCTGGGCTGGACCAGTGACAAGTACATGCAAAAGGCTCACGAGCAGTTCCTCCGAGGTACATGCTCGACGGCCAATATGCTTCAGTTGACCTCATTCTACACCCCTCCTTTTCCAAAACTGCCCGTTTTCCTGCTCAGAGCTCCTGACTGAAAGTCCTTCATCATAGCTCGCTGCCACGCTCACAACACAACAGATCTGATCATCAGCAACAAATTACTGTACAATCACCATTATGGCTACCGACTTCAGCAAGCTCCCCGATTTCGACTCCCTTCCCTCTGTCAAGGACATGCCACAGGGCTGTGCCTGGGGACAATTCGACCGCGATGGCAAGAAGGATCACCTCGGCTGCTTGAACTACCTCACCCCAGCTGTGGTGAAGGAGGCCTACAAAGAGTGCCGCGACGGCGTCTCCGTGAGCCTCAACTGGCCTATCGGCGCCATCAACACGCCGGGCTTTGCACGCAAAGGCTTAGTCCACAAGGTCTTGTCTTTCAAGGAGGGACCTTTCTCCCTGCATGGCTTCGATGACGAGGTCGAGTTCAATACCCAATGCTCCTCGCAGTGGGACTCCCTCGTGCACTTCCACCACCAGCCCAGCGGGACGGGCTACAATGGCTGTCGACCAAGCGTCGAGACCTTGACCCAGGAATTCGGCAAGGAGGACAAGGATCAATCCCTCCCAACGCTCAACCACTGGCACAGTCGTGGCGGCTTAGTGGGCCGCGGCGTGCTCCTCGACTATCGTGCATACGCCCAGGAAAAGGGCATCAAGTACAACTGCTTCGAAGACCACCGCATCACTATCAAGGAACTGGAAGACGTGGCGAAGCATCAAGGTGTCGAGTTCAAGCACGGCGACATCCTCATCGTGCGATCTGGCTTCACGGAGGATCTTGGTGGGATCTCTGCCAAGGAGCAGGAAGAGAAGCTGGGCACGCACAAGGCTGTCGGCGTTGAGGGGACAGAGCAGAGCGCCAAATGGTTCTGGAATCATCACTTCTCTGCCGTCGCGGGGGACGCTATTGCGTTTGAGGCGCTGCCGCCGAAGCGGCCGGATGGAAGTGATGGGACAATCGATGAGCTTGGTGAGTGGGCTTCCTCTCCTGATAACTTTCCTGGCCTACGTTTTCCGTGGTCTCTTTCCCTCACAAGCTTCCTTGCTAACCACTATGGACTACAGTCCTGCACCAGTATTTCCTGTCACTCTTCGGCCTCAACATCGGCGAGCTGTGGGATCTGAAAGCACTGGGTGCGAAGTGCAAGGAACTGGGCCGCTACAGCTTCTTACTGACTTCTGTCCCACTGAACGTGCCTGGGGGTGTCGGAAGCCCGCCGAACGCTCTGGCCGTTTTCTAAGCGGCATTATGTGGGATGGGAGAGGAGTTCGGCCCACGGGTCGCAAGGGCTTGAAAGTTTTGGAAGTGTATCTGGGTAGGTTGGGTTATATTGGGCCACAGGACTGCGTCAAGCACATAACGCGAGTATGGCAACGAGTCCCAAGGCAGTCGGACTTCTCAGGTAAGGTGAAAGGAGAACAGAAGGCTGACTTCTGCAGCTGGTGATCTGTGACATGGCACTATTGAGACTCATTGACAATGCATAGTGGAAGATACATAAGCAATCGCGAGCTCCAATCTCACATCCCATGGTCCATTTCATCATTCTGTGTACTATGTCGTGACGCAAGAATATCTCAGCATCGCGTTCCACCACATTCAACGACATGCCCTGATCGCGGAGGTCGTCAGACCCAACTCGGAACCGGCGCTCCGCTTCCCATCCGGTTGCCGATCGTATTGCGACGTCTGCGCCCGCGGGGCTTGCCCTCCGCTGACTTGCGACGACACAGAGGATTACGACTGCGATTGCGATTCTAAGATCCTGAAATTGCGATCAGGTGTACTGTTGGCCGCAGACCTAAGGCAGCAAGGCGGAATGTCTTGAAGACACTGTTCATGCAATTCCTTGGCATTGCTGAATACGAAGTCGTGGCCAGGAACATCAACTGATGTGACCCAGAGCGCTATCTGAAGATGTGTGGCGTTGACCCCGTGTGTTACGACATGCCTGAAGGGCCGCCCCAGTCCGGAGCTGTAATCTCCTTGCACATAGCGGTGCAAAGCATGGTATAAGTATCGCCATGAATTGTTCATGTCCCGACTGATCTAGCAAGACGTTTTCTTCTTCCTCCGCCGTCACTCGTTCAGCACTGAGATTTCGGTCTCGCCACACTCTTTTGACTTCCTTGGACTCCTCACTCAAACCAAACAGGGCCCCTTCGCATAGATATTTACCCATGACCTAATTCCAGCAGCAATAATGCACTTCCAGAAGATCACCTCCCTCCTAGCCTTGGCCTTGGCCAACGGCGTTCTCGCGAGCCCTATCGATGCTCAGGGCCCGCCGACTCTCCCTGGTCCACCAAAGCCCCCAGGACCTGGCCTTGTCGATTCTCCGAAGCCTCAGCTGCCCACTACCAGCAGCACCGCGGGCCCCGGCCCAACTAGCACCAGTGGTCCGCCTCACGTGCCAGCGCCGCCGAAGCCTGATGGAGACGTTGTTGTTCCTCCACCCGTCCTAAAGACCACTACGTCTAGCACCACGACAATCGCCACGACCTCAAGCACTACGGCGTCGTCCTCTGCTATCTTTCACTGGCCGGACTGGACCACGACCACAACCAAGAGCGCGACTACCACGGCTAGCACCACCAGCACCACGACCACCCAGTCTCTGGCAGCTACTACAACCGCAACGACCACGACCACCACGACTGCAAAGCCTCCCTTCCCAACCGGAGGGCACCCTCCGCCACCACCCTTCCCACCGTCAGGACCTCCTAAGCCACCACACGGTGCTCCTCCAGGCCCATCCACGCCAGGCCATGAAGCGCCCCCTCCACCACCAGCTGGACCTCCCAAGCCGCCTGCCGGTGCTCCCGCCCCTCCTCCGCCACCAGGTCCTCCCGGCCCGCCCAAGCCCCCACCTGCGCCAATTACCAAAACCGTCACTGAAACTCTAACTACTGTCATCACGCACTGGGTCCCCCTCCCCACGCAGCCAGGCCAGCCACCCAAGCCCGGCGCGCCCACCGTGACGCTCATCACGGAAACCCTCACAAAGACCGTCACCAACACTTACATCACTGTATCCGTACCTGAAGCTACGCCTGCGCCGCCTCCTCCGCCGCCAGCGCCCGTTACCGTGACTGTGGTTGTTCCGGGACCGCAGAAGACTGAGACGAAGACGGTGACGGTGACAGCGAAGCCGTCGTGGGTATCGGGGAAGCCTGTTGCGCCGGCGGAGACGGTGACGGTGACTGCGAAGCCACCTCCCGCGCCTGCTGTCCCGACTGTGACGGTCACGAAGGGTGGGGAGTGGTGCCCTCAGTAGGAAAGGCACCCTATATCTGGATGTCAGCATGAAAGGCGAGAGCAGGCGCGGCTAGGTGAAAGAAGGAATTGAAAGAAAACGTTGGCATGAGCACGAAGGAATGTTGAGGACGACCATGGTTGGAGCTGCTTGCAATTGTTGTTCTTTTCTATAGTAATCATTTCTTCTGGCATATATACACTTTATCTTCTTCGAGCTACGCAATTTCAGCCATAGATAGTGAAGCTCGTCAATCGAAACGGGCTTCTGATTGCGGTGCTGCTTGCTCGCCTGCCTCACTGTACTGGGCTGTACTGTAATGCATCCGCTCCTGATCTCTTGAACACGCTCCCCCGAAGTACTCGCTGCTCACAGCGTGACAACCAACTTCTCCGCACTGACCCCCCGCTTCATCTCCTCCACCGCTCCCGGCACACTTTCCAACCCATGGCCCACGACCCGCGCCGGCGGGCTCGGCACAAATGTCCCACTCCTCAACGCTTCCGGCAGGTAATCTCGCCAGATCGCTTTCGCTATATCTTCATTTGGCGGCAGCACCGCCTTTGGCGCCAACACCATGCTGCTCGTGACGTTGGGCGCTTCGGCTGTTTCCAGCGCGGAGGCGACCTTGCCGCCGCCGAGTTGCGAGACGATTTGGGAAACTGTGGAGGCGGTTGAGGCGTACCAATTGCATCGTAGGCGCGACGAAGTGGGTGCCGGATTGTTGGATGAGGGAGATGAGGTCGGGGATGATGGCTGGGGAGGTGTAGTCGAGGACGTGGCTTGCACCGAGCGATTTGACGAAAGCGAAGTTTCGGGGGGAGGAGGTGGAGATTATGGTCAGGCCGGAGGCGGCGGCAAGTTGGATTGTGGATGCGCCGACGCTGCTGGCGCCGCCCCAGACTAAGATTGTTTTGTTCAAAGAATTTTGCTTCGTTGTCGATGTTGGGAGTGGTAGCGCAAGGAACTCAGGGTCATAGAGGCCATGGACGGCTGTGTCGATGGACAGTGGAAGCGCTGAGCCCGCGGCGAAGGTGACATTGTCGGGCAAAGGCGCGGTGGCGCTGGCCGGGACGATGGTGTATTTCTGGAAGCCGGAGTGGGCGTAGTCTTTGGTCCAGAGGAACAGTGCGTGAGCGATGACGCGCTGGCCGATGTGGAATGGGGATTGCTCGTTCGTGCCGTTGTCTGAGCCTATCTCGACGATGTCTCCTGCTACGTCGAAACCAAAGCAAGCGGGCCAGCTTTCGATGTACCATCCTTCATCGCGAAGCTTCCAGTCGGCAGGATTGATGGCAACGGCTTTGTTCTCGATAAGGAGCTGGCCTGGTCCGGGATGGTGCAGTGGTGCAGGACCTACGGTTCCGTGGTCGCCCTTTGAGGCGTACCATACTGCTTCATTCGTCCTTGTCGTCATGATGTGTACGTGGGGTTGGTGAGACGGTGGAATTGCTGAGTTCTCGATAGAATTGATGGAGTGCTCCTGGTATCCAGGGCCCTGACGAGCGGGTAGAGGGGTTCTTATAGTTCGTACTTACCAGAGCCGATATGTTCACTGAACGCCAGGCACGGTATTCCGGTATACAGGGATATTCGGATCCTCCGTCATGCGGCATACTCCAATTCTCAAAGCCGGCGAGGTGACGCTCGTTGCATTTTTAGCGACCCATCCAATGATCGTGCTCAGAGCATCTGTGTTTGTCAACCATCATTGACAGCCGACGTTACGGTCGACGTTGCTTCGACATCACAATTGTCAGCAGCCTGGACTTCGCAAACTAACCAGAAGCAGACTGATAGATCGACTCGACTCGAAGTTTATCTTCCGTACAGGCACCGAATCGAGCCGTGCTCTTAGGCGCCAGCTGGCCATTTGCAATGCCTTCGCATCACGATAGCAAACAACGCAGACTCGAACGGCAGAGGTGGCGACGGCACTCATGGGTGTGATATGGAATCGTACATGACGCATGTGGTCTTGGTGTTGCTGCCCGAATTTGCCGTACTGAAGTGCTTACCTAAGGCAGCCGAAGCAAGCACCTGCGCCGGAGATGCCCTTGGAAACGCATCGCATCGTCCAGGCGCAGACAAACATGGCCATTCTCGATTGTTATATATCTGCCTGACTCGACAACGAGTGCCTTGATGGATCGCGTGTTGCAACTTTTGCAGGCACCGCTGATGCAGCTGTCTGCTTCCGCTCTGGCAAGCATCGCGAGGCAGCTGGGCGACTTATTAGGGGCATGTCAATGCCTCTTTCGCCGTCCTTTCTCCTGAGCGGGGGCGCCCAAGCACACTTCGAGCACGGACATGGCTTTCAGCACAGCGCCAACGCACAATCGACGAGCCGACTGATGAGACTCATCGATTCATAGTCCAGCGAACGGCAGCGTTGCAATGGTGCTCTGGCATATGATGCAATGATTTGGTGACAACGGATATCGGCTTTTCGCAGCAAGCTTGGAGGAGGCTGAGGGCGCCGAGCTTTGACGCGGTTGGCTTGCCCCTGAGCGATCTTTTCGGCTTGGCTACTTGGTGGAGGGTTTTAGGAACAAAGAAACCAATGGGGACAGCGAAATGCGCCGCAATCTCAACCTGGTCGGACCTGCGTCGTTTCATCGAGGCACCCCCTGCACGATGCGCCGTCGCGAAAAGACCTTACCGTCGACCTTACTGCCGCCGTATGTGCTCCCTTCTTGCTCCCTTCATACCTTCTACAGGTCATCGTCGCTCCTTCCGGCTCCCGCCATCGTCAGTCATTCACCTCGTCGCTCTGGATAGCGGCTGCCAGTCTTTATCTCAAACACTCTGCTTTTAGAATTTGTCCAGCAACTCATCAACATCCTCCACATTCTTCGTTGAATTCAATTGTGCACGGCCCCAAGAAGCGTCATTTGACAGACGCTCTCTTCGTTTCCTCTCCCTTGCGCGTTCTACAGTCCAAATTTCAATCACACACGACACAATGCACCTCCTAACGACAGCCTTGCCTTTGTTGGCACTGGCCGGCTCAGCGTTGGCTCAGACATTCTCTGACTGCGACCCGACAAAGGTCGGGAATTGCCCACCCAATCAGGCGCTGGGCGTCGACAATTACACGATCGACTTCACCCAGAACATGATGAGCAAAGACGTATGGAACGTCACTACTGGCGCGATTGACTACAAAGACGATGGCGCAACTTTCCGGATAGGCGCGAAAGGCGAACAGCCTCTTGTAAAGACAAGATTCTACATCTTCTTCGGGCAGGTCGAGGTCATCATGAAGGCTGCTCCAGGTCAGGGTATCGTGTCATCCATCGTGCTGCAGTCTGATGATCTGGATGAGGTAGATTGGGAATGGATCGGTGGGAACTCGACATACGTGCAGACAAACTATTTCGGCAAAGGTAACACAACCTCATTCGACCGGGCTGCTTGGCACGAGGTCACTGGTCCCGATACACAAGAAGACTTCCACAACTACACACTCGATTGGTCGAAGGAAAAATTGGACTTCTACATCGATGGCAAGGTCATTCGTACACTCAAGTACGAAGACGCCAACGGCGGCAAGAACTATCCTCAGACCCCATCCGATGTCCGTCTTGGTATCTGGCCTGGTGGTGACTCTGCCAGCGAGGGCACTCGAGACTGGGCTGGAGGCGAGATCGATTACAGCAAGGTGCCCTTTGACATGGTTGTCAAGTCAGTCCGTGTGTCTGATGCCAGCAATGCTACCGAGTATGTCTGGGGTGATCGCACAGGCGACTGGCAGTCGATCCAGCTCAAGACGTAAGCTCTATACTCTCCTTCTTTTTGTCAAAGCTAACAATCTACAGTGACGCCAAGGCTATCAAGCTCGATGGAGAAAACAGCCAATCGACCACTCAATCGGTACAACAGAAGTGGAACGGCCTGTCGCAAACCGCCAAGATCGCCATCATCGCGTCAGTCTGCGGTGTTCTTGGTCTCGGCGCCGCCGTCTTCATCTTCTGCTGCTTCAAGCAACGCCGTCTTGGAAAGCACGAACGCCTCATCGAGGATGCCAAGTTCGAGAAGAACCAGTCTGAGTTGATGGCATATCGCGCCGACATGGCAAGACAGCGGAGTGAGAAGTTGGCGCAGGCTCAGACATACGCAGTACCTGCCGGTCACGTTGGCAACATTGGAGCCTACATCCAGCCTCCACGAACGCCTGTCAACGGTGGCGCCAGTCCGTTGATGGGCGGCTACCAACAGGGAGGTTATCAGCGGTACTGATCAAGGACGCAGCAAAATGCTGGAGACTCAGTCCAGCTTCACGGCTGCTCCGGTATCGCGACGCCATAGGAAGATCTCGGTATGTCACGTTTCTGAGGGCAAAGTATTGGCTATGCAGTAGTCGATCCAAGGGAGGGAGGCAACAGGCCAACTGCGAGGAGGGTGGTGAAATGGTTGTAGATCTACTGTAAGCTGTCACAGCGCACGATATCTTCCCAATTTAACGAGAGCGTTTGCTACTTTCATGAAGTCCTATCCAGGTGTTGATCGTCTCAGTGAGTGCCTTTCGAGCGAGCACCCGACGATTTGACATGTATTGAATGCGGGGTGCTTTTGTTTGGGTTGGAGAAAGCAGTCAGACGCTTCAAGTGACGTGAACTTGAAGTGACATGACCACCACTTCAATCCTTTTCCGTACGACCATCTGTCTTTTCCGTTTGGTACCCCTTCATCCTCAGTCGCAAAGGTGACACAGCCTGATCCATGGTATAAGACCGTTCTTCTGCGCGCGCCGCGCTTTTCTCTCTGTCATAATCCTCCCATCCCCCGCCCTGCCAACTTACTGCCTGCCAAACCGTCACACCATGGCCTCCCCACCCTCCAACGGCAGCCACCCCGAAGGCGTCTTCTCCTTCCTCGACACCGACCTCTACAAACTCACCATGCAATGCGCAGTCCTCAAATTTTTCCCCTCCATCGAAGTCGCCTACGCCTTCACGAATCGCACCCCGTCCATGCGCCTCAACCGCGCCGCGTTCGCTTGGCTGGAAACACAAATTGCGAAGTTGGCGGATATTACGCTTAGCTACCGTGAACTGGGGTTTCTGAGGAAGCACTGTCCGTACTTTGGGGATGAGTATCTTGGGTTCTTGCAGAATTTTCGGTTAAGGCCGCGGGAGCAGGTGCGGTTGAGGTTTGAAGGGGTGGATGAGGAGGGGTATGGGGATTTGGGGATCGAGGTGGCAGGGTTGTGGGTTGAGACGATATTGTATGAGATTCCGCTGTTGGCGTTGACGAGTGAGGCGTTTTTTCGGTTTGTGGATACGGATTGGGGGTATGAGGGGCAGGAGGAGAAGGCGTATGAGAAGGGGGTGAAGTTGTTGAAGGGCGGGTGTAGTTTTTCGGATTTTGGGACGAGGCGGAGGAGGGATTTCGAGACACAGAGACGGGTGGTCAGAGGATTGGTTCGCGCGAGTAAGGACGTTTCTGGACCGGGAACCGGGACGCTCAGCGGGACGAGTAATGTGTACATGGCGATGGAGAGTGGCATAAACCCGATCGGCACGGTGGCGCATGAGTGGTACATGGGCATTGCGGCAATCACGGACAACTATGAGACGGCGAACGAGCAAGGACTGCGGTTCTGGATGCAGTGCTTTGGTAAGGGTGTCCTGGGTGTGGCGCTGACAGACACTTTTGGGACGCCGAATTTCTTTAAGGCGTTCAAGAAGCCGATACAGGCGAGGAGACGGTCTTCGGCTGCATATGATGCTGCGAAGGAGGCTGTACAGCAGCCATCGTTCGCGGAGGTGTACACTGGCATCCGCCAGGACTCTGGAGATCCGAAAGAGTATGTCAAGCTGGCTGCGGAGTTCTACGAGGCGCATGGCTTCCCGAAGCGGACGATTGTCTTCTCAGACTCACTGAATGTGGATTTGTGCTTCGAGTACAAAAAGGTCGCCGAGCAGCATGGCTTTGTGCCATCGTTCGGGGTGGGGACTTTCTTCACTAACGACTACACACACAAGAGCAGTCCGGAGACGAAGTCGAAGCCGCTGAACATTGTCATCAAGTTGTCAAAGGCGGGCGGACAGCCGGCGGTGAAGATATCGGATAATGCTGGGAAGAATACCGGCGATGCGAGTGCTGTGAAGCGGGTAAAAGACCAGCTAGGATACACCGAGGGAGGCTGGGAGGGTGTTGAGGAGAACTCGAGGTGGTGAGCTTTGACGATGAGCCGTCAGCGACACGCAGAGAGCACATACAATGATGCAGAAAATGCTTGCAACGAAGCGATGTATCTGCCATCGATCGTGGTTCAGACATGTGCTTGGAGTGAAGTCCAGGGCGGCGTACCGCGACCAAGCGCGGGCGATGGCCGGGCTATTCGAACAGGCCGACGTCGAGCTTCGTGCTAGGGAGTTGCTGGTCTATTGAGTGTTCAGTGCGACACGATGGACCTTTGGTCTGATGGCCAGGCTGAAACATCCTGGAAGGCATCCCGGAAAATTAATGTTGCAGCCTTGCACGGTGGCACCACAATTTCGAGGGTCATCAGACTGTGGGCCCGACAAGGACTTTGGTCAGCTTGTCGATGATGTTCGAAGCAGGCGACGACTTCGATTGCACTGGAGCCTGAGGCGATCTGCAATGTCTGCCATCGTGAGGTCCGTTAAGCCAGTTCTACAGAAGCAACGCAGCAACAAAACGACGACGAGCCTGAGGATTTCGCACGATGAGTGGAGGAGGACAACCCATGCTAACGAAGATCGAATTTCGCGATTGACCTCGGGTAGCGCTGACACCAATAATTGGTGATTCTGCAAATGCTCTGTGGTAGTACTGAACATTCGTCTTTACTATTACACGCAAAGTTCAGCGCACACAGTCAGCAAGTCCTGCATCACAGGAACTGGTTATATTCGGCTGTAATGCTGCGAAATGGGCGACAAAGTTTCGAGCTTTGTCATCACGTTGTACTGTGCTGAGGACATGGAAAAGGCCGACTTGGGGTCAGATCCTGAAGCTTGATATGCCGTTGTCGTAATGCAATTTGGCAGATCTGTGCCTGCTGTTACTTCCCGTAGGATGGTAGTATGAACGGACGGCAGCGACCGGCCATCGGCGTGGATCGTCAGGCGCACGACGATTGCGCTGTCAAAGACCGAGCTCTTGCAGTTGCTCTGGCACAACAGGCACTGTTTTGAGGGCAGGCGCCAGTTTGTGATAGATGTCAACGGCGGTCGCGAGGTCCCCGGAGACCATCACCTGTGGATTACTGGCCTTGGACCTCCTGTGGAACTTGCAGGGTTGGGCAAGATTGCGAGCACCGCAAAGCGAGCAGACAACGAGCTTGGATGTTACGCTTAAAATGATCCAGGGTTTGCCTGATTGATCTAAGGACACGAGATCCCCGAGGTTAGATTCAGCTTAGAGGGCACAAAGGGTCGTGCCAGTCAATCAATCAACTGTTCAAAACTCCGGCGTCGCACGGTACGGGTCGGCTGGATGCAGTGTGCGGTCATTGACTGGTAAAAGAACTCATCGGCCTTCCTTATGCGCGTAACAGAAGCGTGACATTGAGCAGCGAACAGGTGCTGACCAAAAATAAACCCGTGGCGAGTGCGCTGTAGAGTTGGGCTGTACTAGGGAATAAGTCGTGCATGAAGGGGCTAAGCCGCGGTTCTGGGCGGCTTCGAGAATGTCGGTGCCTTCCAGTCAATTGGGGACGAAACCTCAAAAATGGAATGATTATGCTTGCCCGTGTAGAAGATTCGATGAAACATTTGCCTGTTCAGACAGTTTTATAGACGCTTGAGCTCGTTGTCGATGGAACTTGCGACTAGCAGCAAATAGTTCGACGAGACGCTAGAACAATTGGGGGCTTGGCCGGTGCTGGCTCAAGTTTGAGAAGAGAGGGAAAGATCACTCAGCCGCCGGCAGTACGAGTGCTTCTGCTTAGGCCCCTTCAATTATTCTATACCATTGCACTCTTCATTACCGCAATCACATCGCCGACTAAACATTGCTTCCTTTCTGTTTTCTTACAGTCGCACCTCTTTTTCCATTGTCTTCTTCTACCAGTCTATTCAGCGAAAATGAGTGTATGCTGCCCCGTCCCCTTGCTTCCGCTGTCCGCGTTTCACAAGCTCTCTAAGCCGACGAGTCCGCGCGCTGACACACATGATCACAGTACAATCAAGGTGGACAGCAAGGTGGCTACGGCTCATACAATCCCTATGGCCAGAACCCAAGTCCATACGGAGACTCTGGCAATCCATATGACCAGCGCGGAGGACAACAGCAAGGCGGCTATGGCCGACCGGGCATTCAACAACAGGGCAGCAGCAACTACGATGATCCTGAGCGACAGGCTCTCAATCAGCAACCTAGTGGCGGCTATGGTAAGTCCTAAGCTCAACCTTGTTGTCGCGAGCTGACGAGCTCTCCAGAGATGTCAAACATGAACGGCAACGATCCCAATCGCCTGCTCAACGAGACTCGCAGCATCGATCGCGCTATCGATCAACTCGAGCAGGACCTCGAACGCCTCAAGCTCATGCACCGACGCGCCGAAGATGACTCTGGCTCACAAGTTCAGCCAGAAGTCAACCGTCTGTCATCCGAGATTATGGAAACATATCAAGGCTTAGTTGCTCGTATCAGGAGACTCAAACAAGATCCCGAGTCAGGCAATCCCCGCAACGCACCTCAAGTCGGCAAGGTCGACCGTCGCATCAAGACGATGATCAATAAGTTCCAGCAGGCAGACAGTGATCACCGCAAGAAGCTTAATGAGCGGAGCGCTCGTGAGTACCGCATCGTGCGGCCAGATGCCAGCGATGCCGAGGTGCGGGAAGCCATTGAGGATTCAGGCAATCAGCAGATTTTCAGCCAGGCGGTATGGATGAGCCCCTTATCGAGGACGAGATTCGTCTACTAATACCACGCGCAGCTCATTAACTCTGACCGCCGCGGCCAGGCCCAGAGCATCTCGAACAACGTGCGACAACGACACCAAGCCATTCAGAAGATCGAACAGGACATGATAACACTCGCGCAACTGTACCAAGATCTCGAGGCTCAAGTCATTCAGCAAGAACCGGCAGTCATGCAAATCGAACAGCGCGGCGAGGAAGTCAACGATCACGTGGCCAAAGCAAACACCGAGCTTGATGGTGCAGTCGTGAAAGCGCGTGCTGCACGCCGCAAGAAGTGGTGGTGCGCTGGCATTGTCTGTGAGTTTGGCTCTGCGCAAGCACTCCCGTTGGCTGAGGCTCGGTCACTGACTATCTACGCGTAGTGCTTATTATTATCATTCTGGCGGTTGTCCTTGGCGTTGTCTTCGGACGTAAGTAGACCTCCGCCGGGACGTCGAAGTTCGATCCAGGCCATCAAGCGCACCAGCCTGAAAAGCCGGCGAATGTGTCGATTCGATCCAGGCCATCAAGCGTAACAGCATGAAAAGCCGGCGGATGTGTGTCTGCCTTGAGGACATATCAGATCTAACTCTCATACCAGACGGTTTCTAACCTTTCCTTTGTCTACACTTCTGGTTGGGCTTCTTGGCGATTACAGGTGCACAGCTACGCCCGCCGATTTGGTGACGTGCAGAGTGTTGTTGTGTGTGTTTCAAGAGCGATGTTTTAGCAGGCCATACAGATTCGAACTTTGGGATATGCGCAGTTGATGCTATTAGCGCATTCCACCGACCACTCCGACATTTCCTGCGTACGAACGCGTACCCGATCAAGTTCATACACTATGCCTGTGCGCTCGACTCTTCTTCGACTCAAGCAGCAAAACAAGAGCAGGTGACCTTTGCAGAAGGGAGGCTTGGCAGCTACTGGGAGATCTTGCCTTGGTCCTGGAACAGGGAGATGGTGAGCACACCGCCATCTACATACACGTAAAACCTTATCGAAACAAGATTCCCTTCTGCTGGAGGGGCATCCTAGAGAGAAAGAAGGGCAGGCAATCGCAGACACAACAACACATCATGAAAGGTCTGATGAAGCATTCTACACCTTGCTCTGGGAAGCATGCCCTTGGAAAAGTTCTCGAAACCGCGAAAGAAAGATGTACAGTTCTCTTTGTCGCCCTCGCCCAGACGGCCAGCAGAGTCGTGTTGTGCGCGAGGTTAGCATGGGTCTCTGAAGGAAAAGGCGTTTTGGGTTTCTTCCCTTGGTCTGGTCTAGAAACTGATAGCCTACTGCCCATAATAATCCCCGTTATACACTGTTTGAAATCTGGCCGTAATCACCTAGTTCGGAGATGGAGCAGGCGCCCCACGTAATTCATGATCACCACAGCCTGCTGGTGGCACTGTCCAGTGCCTGGCGGACAACCTCTTCTGAGCCCGGGTACCGTCCTAATAGCATGATCTGGGCACCTCCTCCGTGGAAAGTACCGAAGCTTGAGCGTCGAGCCCAGACCCTTGATACTGACAACTGCGCCTGTCTCTGTGAATGCCTCTTGCCCGAGGCCCTGCTTCATCGAATGTGATGGATGCATCCGACTAAGGCAGACAGGCTGTTTGAGCTCGGCATGGCCGTCCACTGCTCAGCGCTGAGGACTGTCGCCGCCCCGATGAGGCTCTTGTGGGGTCGCATGCCTGTGTGAACGCAAGACCCGAGAGCCGCTGCTGGCCAGAAATCGCGGAGTCAAGCCTGCCGGCCATACCGCCTGGACCCATCGTGCTCGATCTGAACATCGTCATTGTACATTGCAGTACACCATCAATCAAGCAAAGCCGGTGACTTGATCAATCACTCCGCAGCAGTAGCCTTAGCTTTCAGTTTCTCCTCTTCCTCGGGCGTCTTCGTCCTCAGCTGCAGCGCGTGAATCCCTCCCTCGCGCTCGAGCTCCTCCATCAACAATCCATACACAACCCGATGCCTGGCGGGCTGCATCTTGCCCTTGAATTCCTCCGATACAACATTCAGCGCGAAGTGTGTCTCCTTGGATGTGACGCCTTGCATAGCCTTGTGGTGTGAATGGAGATGTGAGTCATTCCGGATCTCCAGTATAGTCGGGTTGAGTGCCGAGGTGAGCTTCTGTCGGATGGTGTCCGCTATTGGTGTTGTGGACGTGGCCATGGTGCGCGTCGGGAGGGCACGTAGCGGGCGAGACAGTAGCGCCCGACGCATCGGATCGTGGCTCGACTGATGTTTCGTGAATATCGGACAAGGCTTAGGTCTTCTCGATATTGTTGGGAGGACAATATGGGTCGGTGTGCCACCCGGAGACATTTCAACTGCCGCCCCGTTCATTTGGAGATGCCGATCGTGAACTTTTTGCCCTGAGGATCTAGAAGAACTCCAAGAAATCCAATTGTCAGATCCGCCTCGATCGAGGTCAAATCTCAACATCTGCGGAATTGAGCGTCTAGGGCCTCATTCGGGGTCCCAGTGGCCCAGAAGGCGGTCAGGGAAACAATGTTGGCCTCGCTGACATGCGACTTTCTTTCATTCTTTCCGGTGTGAAGAGGAGGACAACTTTGAAGGACGTCATCATTCATCACGGTCTGGGAGCACACGAGCAATATACCTTGAGGCCATTCCACCGACACGGTCCCTACCGCACCCACATCCGCATGGCATCAACGCTGCCTCGCACGCCGATCTTCAATGCGATCGCTAAACATGATCCAGCATCACTGGCGATAGTGCACAGCTCGTCCGACCGCTCGTTTAGCTACGGAAGCCTGCTGCACGATGTCGCTGCTGCGAAAGATAATCTTACCGCCATCACTGGTGGGAAGTCGTTAAGGGGCGAGAGGATAGCGTTCCTGGCAGAGAACGGCTACGACTACGTGGTCACCTTTCTGAGCATATTGGCACACAATGCTATCGCACTGCCGCTGGCGTTCACACATCCAAGCTCGGAGCTGAGGTATATCCTCGAGAACAGTGAGGCAGCGCTAGTCTTGTCAACGGAGAAGTTTCAAGAGAAGGCGGAGGATGTGCTGCGGAGCGGGAGAGAGGATGAGAAGATGTCACATACGCCCAAGCTGGAGATCCTAAGCAAGATCGAGACGGGCGCAACGAGTGCAGAGAATGTCAAGTTTGAGGACCGCTCACTACAAGACGCAGGGTTCATGCTGTACACATCCGGCACCACGAACCGGCCCAAGGGCGTCGTGCTCTCCGTGGACAACATCACCGCGCAAGCACAGTCTCTGATCGAAGCATGGCGGTACGCACCGTCCGACCTCCTCCTGCACGTCCTTCCGCTGCACCACATCCACGGCACGATCAACGCACTCTTCACGCCCTTGATCGCCGGCTCGACAATCGAGTTCGCCTACCCTTTCAACGCGGATACGGTGTTTAAACGCCTCGCGCTACCTTTCCTCCCAGACGTACCCTCCGACAAGCGGCCCGTAACCTTCCTCACAGTCGTGCCTACAATCTACAACCGCCTCCTCGCCTCCTTCCCTCAGCTAGACGCCGGAATGCAAACAGCCGTCAAGACCGCCATCTCGCCCGAACATATGCGCGTCAACATCTCCGGCAGCGCCGCACTGCCCACACCTACGAAGCAGGCGTGGACGGACCTCAGCGGCGGGAACGTCTTGTTGGAGCGCTACGGGATGACGGAGGTGGGCATGGCATTATCCTGCGGTTTAGCATACGAGGATCGCGTCGACGGTAGCGTGGGCTGGCCCCTCCCCTCGGTGCAGGTCCGCCTGGTAGACACAGAGACCAACGAAGTCATCCAGCCCGGGCAAGAGCAAGCCCCAGATGGGAAACAGCGCGAAGGCGAAATCCAACTCCGCGGCCCAACCATCTTCAGAGAATACTTCCGCAACCCCGCCGCCACAGCCTCGGAATTTGTCGACGACGATGGAGATGGGTTGGGGAAGTGGTTCAAAACAGGCGACGTCGCAATCCGCCAACCCGGCCCAACAGGAGCCGGCAAAAGCGATCAGAAGTGGGCCCAGGGGCCAATGTATTTCATCCGCGGCCGTAAGTCCGTCGACATAATCAAAACGGGCGGCGAGAAGGTGTCTGCTCTCGAAGTCGAGCGTGAGCTCCTATCACTACCGGAGGTAGCGGAAGCAGCCGTCGTGGGAATACAGAACGAACAGTGGGGCCAGAAGGTCGCCGCCATTGTAGTCTTGAGCGAGACCGGCAAGACTGCAGGAAAGGGCGGGAAAGCCTGGGCTGCCTTGGACATGAGGCGGGCCTTGAAAGACAGATTGGCAAATTATAAGGTGCCGATGGAGTTGAGGGTTGTGGATGGCATTCCCAGGAATGCGATGGGCAAGGTCAATAAGAAGAGTCTGGTTAAGGAGGTCTTTCCGGAGGCGTCGTGAAGGGCCTAAGGGGGGAAAGCATAGTTTGGCGTTTCGAGGTGGTGCATTTGGGCAGGCTGTCTCTTGTTGGGATTGCATAGAGTATAGGTAAATCTCAGCTCGATGGATATGCTAATTCACTACTAGCCTATAGTACAAGCTCTCAGTGCCCCTAGAAGACCCAATGGCTATATGCACTGTGCATCTTCACTGTGTCCTACGCCTGGCGCTGGATGTGAGACTCGGCTGACGGCTACTCTTACGTCCATCGAAGCTCTCGACGAGCATCATGGAAGCTACAGGGGAAGCACGAGTGAGGTCAAATGGCCTCGGATCAACGTGACATGCAGCTCTGAAAACAATCATGAGAATGCAGAATGTGATTTCGATATCTACTCCATCAGCGCCTACGCTATTTCAGAAAAAAGCCCACAGAGCCCGCCTGGCGGCCACATTCACATACAACTGCCCGTAGAAGAAGCCGGACGACGCGCCAATTTGCCCTTCAGGGCCTCCCGAACCACACGAAACTTGCTCTCTTTCTTCTCCTCCTTCTCCAGAACAACACGAGCAGGAATCACGCGCCCACCCTTCAGCTCCACCAGCTTCGTACCCGTATAGATGGGCGTGATGGCGCGAGCAGCAAGCAATCCTCCCACCGGAACGCGAAGCGCAACGCCGACGTTGTTGGCAGCGGCAGGGACAGGCGGGAGGAGGGAGACGGTGTGCTTCATGCTGGGATGCAAGTAGAAACCTGCATCGACACAGCAACCACGGAACGAGACGCGACGCAGCTTGCTCGGGTCGAACCAGTTGACGAAAGGGATGCCGTCGACGACGAAGTTCATGAGGTTGAGCTCCGCAATGGAGAGGAAACGGTGGTATGACGGGAGCGCGCTGTCGTTGGTGGCAGCGGCGGAGCCAGGGCGTTCTTGATGGCCAGGTCGTCGAGGTACTCGCCGGAGCCGAAGGAGGGGTCGAGGCGGCCGCTGCCTTGGTTGCCGAGGTAGGCGGGCTCGAGGTCGTCGTCGTTGGTGAGAGCGGGAGAGATGTCCGAAGACATGCTGGGGCGAGGGGTGATGCTTGGGAAGATGGTCCAGTTGCTGTCGATGACGCGGTTTGGATGGTTGGTGTTGGTGTTGAAGAGGGGAGGGAGCGACATCTCAAGTGTGAGGACTTCTAGGTTTGGATTGGCCCAGACGACGCGCCAGATTACGGGTTGGTAGCTGGAGGGAGTTAGTCAGGGGTACAGGGAGGATTTTGGCAGGCTAGACGTACCTCTGCATCATGCCACATAGCTGCAGGACCTTGAGGTTGCGGAAAGAAACCAGAGGTTCGAGCTCGTGGATAGGAAAGATGTGGTCGTCCCCAGCAGGATCATCGTGGTCGGAGTCGTCTTCGGGCAAGAGGAATTTCGCACGAGGATTGAGACCGTTCTCCTTCATGGAAATGGACCAGAAGAGATCGAGCTTGAGAATAGACTGCTTGCGATCGAGCTCCTTAAACAAGCGCGGTCGGAAATGCTCGATTGGCTTGGATTCTCCCAGCTTGTGCGTGTCGTGTGTGCTGAGAAGTCAGGATTTCGAGTCTCTGACCAAAAGAGCGCAGCGGACTTACATGAGGCCCATCTTGTTGCTTCGTTCCGTCGCTAGAGCGCTTGAGGATGGCTATGCTCTGACAGGTTGTCTTGTCCTGGGATGCCCGGTACGCCGCACTGTGAGGACGTTCTTAGTGCGACTGTTAGGTGGGAACCCCGAGAGCAGCTCAAATTTCTTCGCAACAGAAAGTGCGCAAAGTGAATACGCAGGCAGAAACTTGTCTTGGCCTTGCCGTTGCTGGGAAACATGAGGTTGGGGGATCCAGAGGGTTCTCTGCTCAATCACAGCCAGATAACGTCCCTGTCAGGTTTGCTTGAGTGCTCAGTAACGGGCCACAACAGCAGCAGACCAAACCCAGACCATGGCACTTCCACACAAGAACACTCTCCAGATGCCCAGGGTAAATGGTGTCACTGCTTTGTGCACTAGTCCAGCAAGTTATGATATCAAATATATCGACCATTGGGGTCCATCGACTGAGACTTTACCACTTCGTGACTATGGGCCTGGCTGGTCCTCAGTCGCTATTGCTGGCATTCGTCGAGATCACAGGCTGTCTCTTCGATTATGAACAGACATCTGCCCGAGGATTGATGGCGTACATCAGCATCCCGTGTCCATGCATAAAGGTACGTCTTTGTGTTTCTATGCCAAGCTTTACACCCAGGCGAGCAGGCAGGTGCGTCGAAAACCACCATGTTCTCCCAAAGGCTGGGTAACGGCGGCCATGTTGGCGAGAAACCTACTCGAGTATGTCTCGCGATGGCAGTGAGTATGGTGGTAACGATAGTAGTCTTACATCGAGGCGCTTCGCGACAGACAGATGTGTATTCTTCTTCATGGGGAGGGAAGAAGGAAGGAAGTGTTGTGGCCAGATCTGCTGCCTGCAGACGCCATTATACTAGCATTTATGGATGAGAGACGCGTCTTGTGCTAGCACAGGCCTTCTCTATAGGAGCTCGCTGTGCAGCAAACATTCATACATATACTAACAAAGAAGAGCGCGTGAAGTGTGAAGACGTGAGGTTAAGGCTTCACACCGCTAAGGGGCTTTTGTGTGGACCCAGGCAAACCCAATCATTGCAAGACCCTACAGGCGATGAAGTCACACCCCCGCCGCAACGTGATGATGCTCATCGAACACAATCAATCGCAGTCAGTGGTTCAGCTTCCAAAATTGTCGGTCTTGATAGCATCCTGGATCGCCAAAGATTCGAATATGGGTCGGTGAACACCACACGAAGATGGCGCCAATCCGCCGCTACCTGCGCATCAGCCGCCACTCAGTACTCGAGTGCCGCATTTTCCTCGAGAACCACGCAGATCGCGATCGCTGGCTGTTGAATCCACAAGATCCGGCGCTGAATCGTATTTTCGAGGCGGTGAAGCCGTATGTGCTTCCCAAGCTGCGGGAAGAGAATGAGAGAGTCAAGAGCAAGGGCAAGAAAAAGAAGAGCATAAAAGATGTCATTGTTAAAGACGATTTCCAAGTGGCAGTCTTCCTGACGGAAGCGACCACTCGGCACGCTCTTATGATTAAGAATAAGACCTTCGAGGACCGTGAGCCGATCAAGAGCAACAGCAGCAAGATGCTAGATGCTGATCGAGCACCCGTTACAATTGCCGACGAAAGTGACGATGATGACGGACGATTGGCTGATATCCCTATGGCGACGAATGACTCCGACAACGAAGAGTCTGTCCCCTCAGCTGCTTCGGCGGTTGCACGCGATGATAAGAAGAAGCTAGCATTTACCACCACCTACGATGGCTTCAACATCTGGGGTTTTGTCCTGGTTCTCATGGTAGAGCGAAAAGGCGGTCCTGGGAAGAAGACCTCCAGCAAGGGCGAGGCGCATGGGCAAGCATTGATGGAAGAATGGATTGCTACACAGCGGGAACAGCTGGAGGACTGAAATGCGCCGCTCTCTGGAAGGAAGTCGTAGAATGGATGCGGAATGGCCCGCCGGGCTCGCTTCCAGAGTCTTCTCACTAGAGCAGAGCCATATCCGTTTCGGACGCAAAGCGCTATGCCACAGCCTGTTCGGTACGTGAGGCGCACTACTGCAACGCAAGTCCACGCAAATACTCGACATTTCAGCCACGCGCCGAAGATTCTCGATAAAAGGAGGTCTTCTGATCTGCGAAAGGACGAACAGGTATGGTAACGAGCAATAGCCAGCGCCAGTGCTCGTATCCCGCGCCGACAGGTGGGTCTGGGGCTTTCAGCCGCCCATTTCCACGTGGTCAGTCAATTTCTGACGCAGGGAGAGCGCATGGAACCCCTTGCATTAGCCCGACCTTCTAGAAGCCTTCGACCTCCAGGCCAAGATTGCTTCAATCTCGATCCTTTTTCAGCTCAGAAGTTCGGAAGCTCACAAAATGTTCCGTACTGGTCGTCGTAACCTTGTAATTGCAGCCAAGTACGTGTTCTACACAGCTACGATGTCTACTGCCTGTTGAGATTCCGCTGCCAGAGCAACATGATCGACGCTTACTGACTCGGTGTCAAAAGCACGCGGTGCTTGCATACTATTTAGTCGCATTTGCCGAGATTTCGTCACCGCTTGCTGAAACACTGAAACGCGCAATGCTGACAGTCAGCAAAAGGTGCGATGGTCGTTTCGAGACTGCGAGTGCATCGAGCTGCCACAGATTTCTGAAGCGTGACAGCTCCGAAGCACGAAGCTGATGGTGCTACACCGTAGCCATGTTCGCCTACATCGCTGTTGCAACTCCAACCGCGCGGCTCAGCCTCAATTCTGGAGGCCGACCTGCAAATTGTGGCGGTCTTCTTTGGCCGCCACCTTGAGCCGCATGCACCGAAGATAACCCTACCTGGGTGAACTATCGTAAGCAAGGCTGGCTGAGCAGACTATCGCTCTTGACGGTGCGCCTCTCTACTCGGGCACACGCGCTAATGTCGAACACAACCTGCAGAGTCGGCGACAGCGAGACTAACAGCCACAAGAGCGGGTAGACCTGGGCATTCTACATGCAAGACCAAGGTCTCTTCCAACCGTTTTCTGGATCGATCACTAGCTTCTCGTATGCAGATGTTTCGCGGGCCAACGCCGACCGTCGGTATCACACAGTAAGTGAGGCATGCTGAGTTTTACTGATCTTTTCAACATCACGGAAGCTACCAAGACATCTCGTGCACTGGCAACATGGTCCATGAAGAAACTTCTTCAGAAAACGTTGCCCCTCGATCGTGACATCAGCTTCGGGTACGAATAAACGCCGCCGTGGGGCGGTTCAGGGGGTGTTTCATGTTTCAAAAGTTAGGATGATGAGTCGATGCGAGCTGCATGCGAGCATGCGGTCCACAGATGTTCGTGATCTTCAGGTACAATGACCGATTCTGTCTACAGTTCGCCACATTGGAAATGGGATTGTCCCAAATAGCCTGAGGTTTGTATGGTGAGACTGACGGTTCCTGGATCGTCTGAACATCATCTATGATAGTGAGAATTGGGAAACTTCGTTGGCTCTGCTGCGAATTATTCGGCATGGATTGTGGCTTCTGCAATCGTCATGACTTGTCTTGTGTGTGTGGGTGTGCCTGCACTTCCTTGCCCGAGCTTTAGCATGTTCAGGCAGGCGCTTCCGCCAAAGCGATGGCATTCTTGTGCGAGATCTCGATCATATGAGAGCTAACGATCAAAAGTTGGTTATGCTTCAGCTTAACGGCTTTCCCACGGGCGCACACGAGTGGTGAGCCAGTACTTGGGCATGGACAAGACTTCCGGTCATGCGGCGCATCCCTCGTCCAACTGTTCAGAGTTTGCTACCAGCCGAATCAGGCGCCGACAAACGCTCCTGCATGGTGCAAACCAAAGACCTTGCAGCAAAACGTGGCAGCTCGTCGCCCAGTACGTACATTCCCGCTTGGTCCATGAATGCGCTTGTGCAAGTGCGGGAGTTGAGAAGAGCTCAACCCGTTTCCTTGCAAATCAGATGTCCTCCAGACGAGCCGAAGTCAGGTCATGGGACCTCAACGATTGAACTAGTGTTCGTATTGACGCCCAATGGTGGGAGTCGCTTCAGGCACGACACAGCTATCAAGCAGGATTTTAGCAGAAGTTCCGTGGTTCGCAGACATCAACAAGCCTGACCGGTGTAGCCGATCCAAAGCCGTCACACCATCTTGCTCTTCTGATCACGAGTTGCGTGCCTGGCTCGGGAGTGTGCTGAGTCAATATTTGAGAGGGGCAGCAATAGCGTGGGTTGATCCGCAGGCACCGTCCATACATTAATAACCAGATTGTCACCGCTTAGCGAATAGCAGCCCTCCACATGTACTGAGTTACCCGTTCTCGGTGCACATCTACATGGATAATCCAGTCGGTCTACACGGCGTAACATCTGCCATCATCACGGGGTCACCATGCTTCCATGCTGACGTCGTACAAGTAATAAGCCGGGGAGGAGCCAACGCAGCGCATGCCGATCAAGGCGGCTGGCTACGTGTCGTCTGTCTTGATTAAATATGCCTGAGACCACTTTTAGAAAAAAGAGCAGGTTTCGGATGGCCGGACATGCTTCGAGCAAAAGGTTTTGCCTCGTAATGTAAGGAGCTGCAGAGGCTTCCACGAGCATCCGGAGAAAACGTGTGTCTGCAAACCTTCTTGATTGCATGGGCAGAAGGTTCAATCATGGGCGCAGCTGTAGAAATCGACCACCAAAAGTTGATGGTGGTCTGCGTTAAGGCCGAAATTCGTGCCTGTGAACATGCACTTTCTACTTTGTAAGGGCGGACGGAATGGGCGGTCTGGAAGGCTCGACCGGGGATCCCTGGAAACAGTTGAGTTGCTGGACAATTTCCTCCTTTTGCCTGCGTCTGTTTGCAGCTGCGACCCGATCAGCTGGGATTTTCAGGTGGAGTTCCAGGCACTCCCTTGTCGTGGTTGTCTAAGCTAATTCAGGCACCATCCCTCCCCCTTCCTCAAACACGCCTCAGGGCTGCCTCAGCGGCCACGTCGCTACCTGACAAGCCAGGCTCCACCAGGGGGATTAGGGATCCATCTGAGTGAGATGAGTCTTTGTGCTCTCGTCACCGCGGTTGCCGAGAAAGTGAGAAATAAATATATCCTCGTCTGCCTTCCCAGCCCTGCCTACTCATTGACTTCTCCCAGCAAGTAATACTTTCACGCCACTAATATACACGACAACCATAAACATCTTCTAGACATTGCTCAACAATCGTCGTCTGCCACCACCACCACTACCAGAACACCACCTTTAACCAGGTTGCCATCTCGCCGCAGCCTGACCTCACTGAGATACGTCACCCTCAACATCTACCACAATGCCTTCCGGATCAAAGTACCCTCCTTGCCCGGGTCCCCCCCCATCAAGACCTTTACCGGCACTCCCAAAGCGGCGCTCATGAGCAGAGCGAACGGCGGACCTGTATCTCTCCGCCTCGACACCCCAGTCGCCTGCTACCATGAAGCACTGTACCAATATAGCCGCACTGCAACGCCCGGCTTGCTCTAGGCAAACACACCAATTCGCAACCGCTATTCGCTAGCCAGTAGCGTCGAGCAAGGGACTGCAGAATCGATGACATGGCAGACCTGCACTGCAGATGATACGCATCTCGCAGGCTCGTGCTCGCGTATACACTACGCTTACCCTACCGAGCTGCGTCCCAAAACATCAGGCTCTTATCGCTTTGCCGTCCTCAAAAAGTCCATCCCAGATTGTCCTGGACTTGCGCCTATTCGGCGTGATACTCTCATACCTACCTAATTGCGCTTTTCCAACTACCGAGCATCTATCATTTCGGCATTCATACCATTTCGCGAACGGAGCACCCGGTCTCATCCTTCACCTTCACATCATTCCGCACGGTTCCCGCCACGGGAGATCGATGTACCACCAACACACCACAACAAGTCTGTACACTACACCACCTTGTTTACGCTTTGGATACCCCCTTGTACGAAATTCTTCGACATATGCACGTTTCGGTGGAGGAGCTGGCTTGCTTCGCCTGGATCGTGTTGCATCTACCCATGCACACACGACATCGGTGTCTTTGTATCAACAATCTTAGCAGCCTTTTAATGGAACGAACGTCCATGAGCTCGGGATTATTATGTCCCTCGAGAATTTGAATTTACATAGTTGAATATATCTCTTTGTGCCACACAAAGCCTCAGTCCAGTCCTCTGCCTTCCTGTAAGCGGTTCCTCAACTCCAGTCGTTATTGATCGATCCTTCGTCAACCGGTCGAACCGGTCCCAGACTAACATGAACACTCCTCTGCAATGAGCCGATATGCCCTCTTGGGCGAAGAAGACGAGAGTTCGGCACGCATGCAGCTTCTACCCCTCTTGCTCATCCCCAGCTTCCAGAAAAACAGCTGACAAAGTTCCTGCAAGGTGCAAGGCAGAAAGATATGCCACCCCAGCCAATAGGCATATCAGAAGGAAGCATGCAATCGAGGCTAAGCAGACTCGTGCCTACGTGTGCCTACGCGTCTATCAACCAATCCATTCTGGTGAGTCCGCACGAAACAGATCAAGCGTTGATTACTACTTCGCTCTCCTAAATACAAGGATTGCAGAGCACTATGGCAGCAGCTCAAGCGGTCCTTTCGACCGTGGGTACTTTGCATTACCATTGATGCGTTGGCAGGCAGACATGCATTATAACCTATGGCAGTGTAGGCATCCCGTGAGATCTCTTTGGGCGAGGATCGCTTGCGCTGACATCCAGATGACATGAATGTCACGGCTTGGTCAACACCTTTCTCATGAATGTTCCGGAAGTTCGGATCTTGGTATTGCACGGCACCATATTGGCATTTAATGCAGAAGTCCGGAACAAATACGAGATGAACTTTCTATGCACTTACCAAAGAAGTAGCTCGGCTATCCGAGTCTCTAGCCACAATTCGAACATATGAAAGCATGCGGTGAAACATCGCGGACTGATTCGCAGTAAGCACTTTTTAATCGGAGATGCACTCCGGTAATGGTTCACTTCTTCGCTTGCAGTCCAAGAATCCCAGACGGAAATGCTATGCCTTGGAAGTCTCTATGACGCCCATATCATCACGACTTGTTGGCGCCAATGTCCGCCCAAGGTCTTGAATATGGCATCAAGCCAACACGCAAGACACGTGCTCCACTACCGAGTGGCCAGCCTCGCGGAATCGGTGATCGCAAATTCTCAAATTCCCAGCGCTCGGTCTCACCAAACCCTGCATTCGCATATGTTTCATTATCGCGGGACCAATTATGGAAGCACTTGTCTCGAAATCACCTCAAAAACCCATCACTACGACCAGATGTCTTTATCCCGGATAGCTGGAAGAAGCTGAGTGTGAGCGAGAGATCATACTTTCTGATAACTTGGGCTGGGATGCGGTCACACGCAATTTCGATATATCGACATCTCTAACTGGTTGCAGCATAGTTTCTAGCTGGACGCTCTCCACATATGCCGCCGAGTCCGATCTTGACTGCGGCTACTCCCACCATGATGCAGAAACCATTGCGTATGCCTGCGGCGGCTGCCATGGATCTGGACAGCTTGTCGCCAACAAAATTACAAAAACCAAGTCTGTAGGTACTCAAGGTACTCTGTACGTTATACGAGTCTTTCGCTGCTTGACAAGTCCTTCGCTACTGCCATCGCCTACGCAGTTTCCTATTGTTTATAGACTGCTACTTCCAGCTTGTGTCAACACAGCCACTACTGTCGCTACCTTATCGTGCAAGAGTGACCGGCGCAATCGTCGAAGCCCAGGCGCGGTTTCGCCTTCGAAGTTCACCGCAGATACACTTACATATACAACTTTGGGAGCTATTTGGATTTCCTCGTCGCTGCAATGGCAGTGATTGGGTCACTCGCCACGCTATCGTTAATATCCGTTGTCGCTGCACAGACCGTACAACATGCGCCACCTGCGAGACCCGCCCAGGGCGTGTCCCAGATCATAAGCCCATCCTTTGCGGGCTTCGGCATAGAACCTTCGAACCTCTTCTCCTTCACAGGCGGCGCGCAACCGAACGAGCTCACGAATAATTTGCTTCAGAACCTGATAGACTACACCGGTGTGCCACCGCATATTCGGTTGGGTGGGAACACGCAGGACTACTTCAAATGGGACGCGAGCATGGATGGATGGTATTGGTTGAACAATCCAAATCCAGTAGGCCAGGGCGCATTTCCCACTGATCATATGATCATCGGCCCCAGATATTTTGAAACACTGGACCGGTTTCCTGCAGGAACACCCATAACGTTCGGCTTGAACTTGGCATACACAGAACCTGACTACATCGACCAGATCGTGACTATGGCCACACAGGCAATGGAGCGGTTGTCGAATCCTGTGATCGTCTCGTTCGAAATTGGCAACGAGCCCGACCTATACCTGCAGAACGGCTTCCGGACAGGGTCATGGGGAGGCAATGTCTATACAGAACAATGGCTGGACCGTGCACAAGCCGTTTACGACCAGGTCCTGAAACCGAGAGGCATTGGCGCCAACTTCTTCGAGCCAGCAGCAACCGCATCAACTATCGGGACCTCGTTCGAGATCGTTCAATTGGCGAATTTCAACATTGACGCCGATGCTAATGGCACGCAAACGCCTCTGGTGGCCCAATGGAATCAACATGATTACTACTACTACATCGGCGTATCGACCTACCCGTTGACTGTTTCCCAATTCACAGATCTGCGGACCACCAACAACCAATTCAAGGCTTGGGAGACGCAGATCGCCCAAGCTGACCAGACACCTTTTGCGTATGCACTTCGAGAGATGGGAATAGTCGGGCCAATCGGACTGCATGAGATCACGGACGTCTACGCAGCAGCACTATGGAACCTTAATTTCTTTCTGTACACTGCGGCTATGAACATCACGATGGTTGGCATGCACATGACGGATAACAGCAACGCAAGTGCATGGCAACCGATCGAGATGTACGGCAACGCTCCGTTCGTTCGACCCAATTACTACTCGTTCGCGGCTTTCGACCAGATCATCGGCCCTACCTGCCAGGCACGCGTTGGTGGATCGGTGGACTTCGATGCAACAGGCGATTATGCGGGACGTTTGGCCATGTACGATGTTTACCAAAACGACGATTTGGCATCGGTGGTCTTGATCAACTCGCGACCAGTCAACGGATCCCAAGGAAACTTCCAGAACATGACCTTCCAGTTGTCCTTCGACAGATCACTTGGTGGTCAGACTGTGCATCTGGCTTATTTGACAAATCCAGGAGGCGCTGATGCCAGCTCGGGAACGACCTGGAACGGCATCAGCTATGAGGAGAACGGAGACGGCACGCCGAAAGTTGTCGACGAGACTGAATATACGCTAGACATCCAGAGCGACGGCTCGCTGAACGTACCAGTCAGAGACTCTTCAGCCGTTGTTGTCAATCTCGGTGGCCCTGTAGGTCAACGAGCGTACAACGCCGATGCTTGCAGCAGTCTGTCCCGGTCGAGACCCGAGGCGTTGAACCCTGGGATTAAGACCGGTCAAGGGACAGCTGCCTCCAACAGCGGCAGCAACAGTACGAACGCTAAGAACGCGAACAATGCTGGCGTGCGATCAGCGTCTTCATTACTGGGTGCCTCGATAATAGCATTGTCGATTGGGGTTGTTCTTCAGTTGGCTTGAGGAATGGCGAGGAAGTAACTTGACGTCCGGTCCGGGATGTGATGACATGAACATGTTTGGGATAATGAGCAGGATAAGACCTGTACAGGCATAGTTTGGCGTTTGGCAAAGACCAGGAGTTTACGACATAGACTGGAAAGGGCCTGTATATAGGCGAAAAAGATGGAGATTCTGAGGTATAGAATGTGGATAGAGGATATCTCGAGATCATCCAGTATGGGGAAATGACCTGTGTAATTTGCTCGTCGTGCAATACGACGACATAACACAATACTTTCATTCACACGTTTCACACAATTGGATGAGTCCAAAGCTCAATGTGCTGCTTTGCTGCCATCGCTGTTCGAGAGGAATTGACACGCCATCCAGTCTGGAGAAAGCGCATAGGACAACGTATGTGCAATGGTCCATGTTACTGTTTTCGGTGAGCAGCCTTCCCAAGTTCCTTCATCACCAAGGCCCGCCCCGCTATATCGTGTCTGAGCGTTAGCTACCGATGCGGTGCTCCATCGGATACAGGATCATGACAAGTAGCATGGATGCACAGTTGCGGGCGTATGCCTGTGCCGTATGCCTGTGCCGTCCGAACCGCCATCCTCATGGAAATATATTCGCAAGACCGGAAGACATCATCTCTTTCTGCGGCGACGACTTCGGGTCCATCCTCTCATTTCCCTTACGAGTTTCTGGCAATAATAGGAGGGCAGATACACACTGCCACTCCTCATTAGCATGAACATTGCTTGACGACTTCGCGAACGCAGATCTTCCGAGTATCTCCAGCACGTCTTGTCATCCGGTCTGATCAAGATCTGTGCAAGACCGGTTGACATGTCACAGCTTTGAAGCGTGACTTCCTCTACAACCTTGTCAAGGAGCAGCAGGAGCAGGAGCACGCGAAGATCGCTCCTTCTCGTGTATGTTTCCCATGATGGGTCCAACAGCGGCAGGCGCCTCCGCCGAGCACCTTCCACGATTGCTTGCCTTGTCAACCGGCGCAGGCGAAATCTACGGGAGACCGGCTGACGTGCTGCTTTGAAACTATCTCCTCTCCCTCATGCATTCGGGGCGGGCGATGACAAGACGAGCCCATGGATGCGACCACGATCAAGGCTGCCTGGCAGGCAGTACGTTGAACGGCAGGTCTGTCTTGGAGGCCACTAACGCCTCAGCATGACATCGTCAACCGGTCTGGGCGAGTCTCTCGTGAGACCGGATGACAAACACTGCAACGGTCACGCGGTGCATCTTCGCTTGGCTTTCATCGCAGAGAAAGAGTTTCACGGTCAACAAACAGATCGAGCGGAGCGATATCTGAGGCACGCGTCTCAGAGCAAGCACATGGAGTACAGGTGCTACAACCTGTGCTTCCACGCTGGAGAGATGTAGGGCAAGGATCGCTAGCAGCGTTAGCTATCGTGTCATTGTCAAGTTCTTCGCGAAGCTTGGGTATTGTATGAGAAAGCGTAGATAGATAAGAAGTGAGGTTGAGCTCGCGTGACCTCTGCGCAATCTCGATGGCTATTGTCTGAGGGTGTCGTGTATGACATGATGGACGATGTCTTTTGTGAAACTGGATGTCCCACATCTGCCTACGCATCTACTGATAGTTTATAGGCACAGGGCGAGGGCATGGGCACAAGTGGACGACATCTGTTCTGCTGAAGATATTGATGGCATGGGTATCCTATACTAAAGCACCTGTCGCTACCAACTAACACTTTGCCAACTTTTCTATCGAAGGGTTATGGTCTAACAACCATGTGATATCCTGAGCTCTCAGATAGCTCTGTGAGCTGGCACTGGCTTGATCCAGAACGTCAACACCTGCAAAGCGACCATGATGACACCAATGATCCAGGTAGCCCTATGGTAGTCACCACCGTATCTGTAGACGATCGCGAAGATGATACCACCCAAGTTGCCGCACGCGCCAGTGACACCAGACACGATACCGTTGGCGTAAGGGTGGACGTGAGGCACCAGAGCGAAATTGAGGCCGTTGGCACCCTCATCGAAGAAAGCGAAGCCAATGCACAACAGACCGACCATCCAGCCGAGATCGTTGTGCCTGTCGGTGAGACCAGTGGCGATGAGGAACACACCAGCGAGGAGACAGTAGCTGTGCAGCAGAATCTTCTTCGCCCAAAGGGAGTGAGTCTTCTTGTAGGCGAAGTCTGCCACTGCGCCACCGAGTGGGCGGAACACAACGTTCATGAGACCGAACATGGCTGCCCAATTGCCAGAGCCTTGCAGGGTGAGGTGAGGGTTGTTCTTCTTGAAGTAAGAGCCAAGGATGCTGTTGACTGCAAGCTCAGCACCGAATGAGGAGGCGTAGCACTGTGGACCGTATGTTAGCTGATGGGTCAGGAAGGGAACGGTGACTGCACTTACAGCGCCAAGGACCAGAGTCTGTGGCGATCGGACGACCTTCATTGCCTCTTTCCATGTCGGCTTCATGATCACCTCCTGCTGATGTTCGCTGATGTTGTACTGCTCGCCGACCTGGGTGTCTTGCTTGAGTGGCGCGGGGGCAAGATCCTTCTTGTCCTCGTTCGGGGGAGTGATGTTGCCGCTGGAGCCCTTCTCAGTGTCGCTATCCGCAGCCACTGGAGCACCCTGCCCTGAAATCGACCCGATGCCGCGCTGCACAGCAACTTCCCTGTCCTTCCACTTGCCGGTCGGCGTATCGGGAGTAAACACCAGCAGAGCGATTGCCACACTGACGATGAGGATACCGGGGACCACGAAGGATACGCGCCATGCTTTGTCCGAGCTGAGACCTTGAGAGCGCAGCGAGTTGTACACCGCCGGCATCACGAAGTATGTCACGCCACCACCAGAGTTGCCGAAACCTCCAGTCAGCGAGTTCGCCGTGCCGACGATGTTCTTGTCGTAGAAGGCGGTCGTCCACACTTGGCAGGGCACGAAGCTGCCACCGAGAATGCCAACGAAGAATCGAATCGCGCAGAGCCCTCCGAAGTTCTGGATGGTACCGGCGAGGAATGTCGGAATGGCGCCAATCAACAAGCATCCGGCAAAAGTCTTACGGGGACCGAATGCATCACAGCATGGTCCAGCGACCAATCGCACAAGGAGTGTCGCAAGAAGAGCGATGATGTTCGAAGTCAAAACTTGTGGTTGCGAGAGCTTGAGATCCGTGGCGATGACGCTCTTGAGGAGCGGTGGGAAGGCATACCTGGCCATGTCAGTCTTCACGTCGATCGATAGCGGTGTTCAATGCTGCACTTACCAGGACCAGAAAGCAATGAAGAAACCTAGCCAAGAGAAGAAGAATACTCGTCCATGGACGTTTGCAATATTTAGCAACGGTATAGTCCTGGCCTTATTGTTGATTGGATTGAGCTCGGGCGACTTCCATAGCGTCGATGGCGAGAACATCTTGCCTGAGGTTGGTGTATGAAGTTAATATTGTGTAGGTATGATCAGTGGAAATCACAGCAGTATACTTCCTTGAACGTTCAGGGTCGTCAAGAACCGGCGTGAAGCTGAGTGACACTGCATAACAGCAATGACATCGACCTCATATACCACAGTTCAAACAAAAGTGCTGAGGTCCAGACATCGCTTATCGCAGCCACATCTCTACGGATGCGGTTTCTCCTGCTTCTCCGCTGAAGTGTCGTCACACAATGCGGAGGGCGTTAGCGATCAGAGATCCGCTGTCGAGAGAACGATGTAGACGAAGGCTTGGACGTCGAGCCTGATAAGCACTTCTGCACGCCTATATGCCAGCAGCATATCTAGGCGCACCTGGAAGAAAGGGAAAAGGCGTTCCACGCCAGATCTAGGCACGGCTCGTGAAAGTACGTCGATCGGTCCAGATCGAGTTGACCGGAGATGTCAGAGTTCCCTGGAGAGTGAAGAGGTGTCTTATCATAGCCCAGTATGGGTGAATTGCCTTATCAGGACGAGGTATGCCGTACCTGGGCCAGTGATTGTCTTTAGAGAGGTCGGATCTTCTCCGGCGAATGAGGTATTTGCATTTTCAACACTGTGTCGTCAAGGGGCATGAAACAAAGCACTGTGGCATGCGTCAAGGACGTGATCGTCTTCTCCACGGCTTTAGGTGTGGAGGATGATAACAAATCTGCGTAGGAGTGGTTCAGTCTAGCGTTCGAAAGATAAGCTAGTCTTGGCGAGAAGTCTTAAGGTTTCTTGAAGTCCTCAAGTTCGGACAAGAAGTCCGGCCATGTAGATGCACTTCGTAGTGATGAGCTCAAGCCATGCACACGGGTCCTTACAGGCAGGGCATGAAGTCAGGACTGTAATACGGACTGTGCAGGTCGAAAGAGCCTGAATGGGTAGATGGCGTCTGTGATGAGGACCCTCCTGGGGTGTAGATAAGGTTCTGGGCGCTCACTGGTTCGCCATTGTTGCAGCCGCACCACGTACGACACTCCATATATGTTGTGGCTCGCCGTCTATGAACGTCTGGGGCAGAAGATCTCGACGTCGTGTGACAACCACGTCACGAAAAGGAGGACAACTCGTCGTAGTTGATGTGCCTGGCAAGGTGATACTTGGCTCGCGGCAGAATGCTGCTTGAAAGTGCGGAAACATTCACAATGTAAAAATATTGTGTGACCGATGAAGAGAGACTTGATTCTCAGAAGAACAGAAGCTCGTCGTCGGTATACCCGTTCTCGAGCAGCGCAGTTCGAACGCCTTTCTCGAAGCCTTCTGGCCCGCATATAAGCACCATTGTTTTCTTCCCATCCCGAGTGTGATCACCAGCAACTTCCTTGATCAGCGTAGCATTAATGCGCCCCCGTCGATTCTGCCAATTCTCGGGAGCGTCAGTCAGTGTGTGTGTGATCTGACATCGACCATTGGCATCTTGGGCATAGACATCGAGATCTTCCTTGATCAGGATGTCTTCCAGTTTTCTGTTGCCATCAATGACAATACACTGTGTCGTGTCTTCGGGATCTTCAACAACCGCGCGCAAGACCATATAGATTGGTGTGATGCCACTGCCTGCGCATATCATGATGAACCGGTCCACCTTACGCTCGTCACCGTTGACAGCGGCGACGCCTTTGCCACGATACTCCATTTTGCCGATAGGTCCCTTAAACTCTGCGAAGTGACCAATGGGTATGGAGTCAAGTGCCTGGCTCATCTTGCCGCCTTTTCGTCCGGGCTCATCGAAGTAAACTTTCACCAGCACATCCACAAAGCCATTCTTCGCGGGATGTGATATAGGCGTATAGCTCCTTATGATAGCATCTCGGGTAGCTGGATCTCGAAGACGAATGAACAGGTGCTGGCCCACCGGCAAGCCAAGTGGTTGGTTTTCGTCCTGCAGCTTGAATGTGAACACTCTTGTATCCCACGAGACCGTCTTCTTTGAGTGCAGGACTGCCTTGTGCCATAGCTTTGGCTCCAGGAATGTAGGACGGATCTCAGAGGACTTTGATTCTTCAGGCTCAAGCTTCAGCGCTGCTTTGCCAGTTTCGTCCAGAGTGCCGATGTGGTACTTAGGCATCATGCCTCTCGCGACCTCACTGTGAATGGCTAGGAACTCTTCACTGGCGTCCATGCCAGCAGCGTTAATGATGCTCGAGCCGCCACCAGGGTGGTCCTTAAGGAATGCCGTGCCATCATATACTTCGCCATCAATAATAAACCACGGGGCTTCTTCCTTGTCGTGCTTGCGGACATCGTCAATGCTGATTATGTCTTTCACATCATCACTAGTCATCTTGACCTGCGACTCAGGCTCAGGAGCCACTTCAGTTGGCTCAACGCCCGGACTTTGTTCGCCCCATTGACCATTTGTGAGATCCCCGCCAGCCTTTTTCACCCGCTCCATCCAGCCGCCAGGCATGAGTGCAGGTTGTGTCGGATGCTCGAAGCGTAGTGAATCGCCATCCATATGTATTGCCACCCGATACCAGGGATTGTTCATCATGCCCAGGACGCTCCAGTACATATCACGCGGTTGGATATTCATGCTGTCATCCATTGCTCGCACAATGATATCGTTCGCGGCGGATAGATCCGATATTGGGAGGTCAATCTTCCAGAAGCACCAACAGAAACTAGGCTCGTACCCTTCCATATCAAGCGTGCCACCACATAACGACTGCGGAGAAGCTTCTCGGTAGCGGTCTTCGGCGTAGTCAATTTCGGCAAGCTGCCACGTCCGACCTTTGTTCAGGGTGATCTCGACTCGTGTGACTCTTCGTCCGCCGCCTCCGTAGGCATAGCCTCGCACTGCGTAGCTTTCGATCGAGCCGTCTGATGTTATGGTTTGTTCATGTGCAGGGTCCGCAATGGCCGAATTTGTGCTCAGATCGTAGATAGCATAGCGCTCATCTTGCCACCAGGCAGGTTTGTTTGCAGACTCCTCGGGCGAAACCATTGTTGGGAGGACACGATTGTCCCAGATATGATACCAGTTGTCGCTGGGTTCTGGCGTCACTATAAGCTTCTTGAGCCACTTGACCGAGCGTCCTCCTATTTGGCCAGGTATGACGGCTCTGAGTGGCTGCCCAGAGTCAGTATTTGTGCTTGCTGACTCAGGTTAGAAATGGATATTGCCACTCACCTTGCCATGATCAGGCCGCAAAACTTCGCCATTCATCGCGTGTGCAATCATCATGCCTTTTTCACGGTCCAGCGCATGCTTTAACTTTACATTAGTCCCATAGCAGCCATTAGGCAGCTCATCCGCGCCCTCCATGCAAACATATCGGCCGCCCCGTCGAGGCTTTGCTCGCTCAAGCAGATCTGCCATCATGACACCAGTGAATAATGCTGTTGATACACCTGCGGCGCCCCACGAAAAGCCTTTGGTCTTCCGTACAACATTCTGCTCCTTACGACGGTTGCCGGCACAGACCAGAGTTATGGGGAATGTCCGTTGCTCGTACTCCGCGAGCAGGTCACGCAATTTGAGCGTGAAAGGGTGCTCGACCATGCCTTCCACCGAGAACTCCCAGTCCAACATGTCGGCATCGTGAACTTGAGGCACATAGCCATGGTTGCGGACATAGAACAGTTCCGGACTAGTTAGAAAGCCTTGCGCGAATAGATCTGTCAGAGGTGCTTCAACATTGAAGGGATGCACTCCAGTCAGTCGGATCAGCCGTGGGTCACGCGGCAGCCATGAGTCTGGAGTCTTCTTGTCGGGCTCAAGAACATTCGTGGGCGGACTGCTTGATGGTATGGCAGGAAGAAGCGTAAGTGATTCTGGTTGTGCTTCAAGCTTGTCTTCTGTATCACTGTGTGTGGAGTCCGGTGGCGTTGGTGGCAGATCTGTCGGAATTTCAAGAGTCATGGTCGGCTAGATAACTGAGGCAGGACAGATGCTGCTAATGATATTCCTAGTAATGTGCAAGAGGGACTTCCATTGAAGGTGTGCCTAAAGTCAGCGCATCAATGTTCAGATGGAGCCAAGAGTATGAGAAGCGACAATGTCGTCACACACTGTACATGCCTCAGTACATAGCACAAGGGTTACTCGACGGGCTCCTGCAGAAGCACCCGCTTGTTCGATCATACTGTACTCGATCGAAGGCCGGACCGTCGCCGCGCTTCGTCGATGCGAAGAATCGCATGCTCTGCTACCGCCATGGCGGGCCCGCGGAGATGCTCTAAGTGCAAACTCTCGATGCACAGTGGATGCCGAGACTGGTGGTAAGAGTTCAAGCTCCCAGGAGACACCTGCGACCTTATCAGCACCTCAATACGACCTCTCATAACGCATACAATTGGCCTTATCATGCTGAGATAAGAGGGTTGAAGAAGGATGGAGCTCCGCGGTATAAGAGTCGTCTAAGTATGCCTCCACGGCACCCACACCCGTAGAATCGGAGAAGCATTCGGAGAAGCATATAAAGGCGTGGGCGCCACTACATCTCCTCGGGACAGGCGGTCGAGACCGGGCTGTTGTCGACAACATCAACGTACTGGAAACATAAGCCGAGCATATTTGCTCTGGACGATGACGGCTGTGTCTTTACTGGCTATAGGCTGAAGGTATGCATGCGCGACAGTCGTGTCTTCTGTCTCAAGTAGAAGTGTCCTCGGTCATTTGTCATTACCTCTACATGCATCGACAGTCTGAACATGATGGATGCCGACACAGTGTGCGAACACGGCCTAATATCGGAAAATGAATGGACCATCAAATCTGGCGCCTGAGAGTGGTCGTGGCGTGAGCGTAAATGGCAAGAACGAGACGCATGCAAGAGCGAAATGAAGGGGAAAAGGTACCTAGGTGAGGTTGTGGCATCAAGGTATCAGAATGGCGCGAGGCCAATGCGAAGAAGGAGCGGCGCATACTGAATAGTGGAGAGAGCAAGGCGAATGACGAGGAGCACAAGCCCGAAGGGCCAAGATGAGAAGAGTGGCAAGGCACGAACACACATCGACGTCACTGGAAGGTGAGTAGTATGTCTGCATCGCACTGGCATCTTGAAGAAGCTCGTGGCGCTCGACACGAAGAGGCAAGTGTACAACGTGGTGATCATCGGCGAGGAGACACATTAGCACATATCAAAATCGACTTAAGGAAGTCCTTTCAGCGTGACGAACTCGAGGACTGTTATCCGAACAACCATCATAGTACTCAGACCGGTCAGCAGGCTTGTTCAACTTAGCATCTCAAAGTCCAAGTTCTGACCCCGTCCTGGGGAAGCTGCTCAAATTCAAGAAATATTCTACAGCTCTCATCATCAGCCATCCGCTCCCACTACCTGAGGTGCCGTTGAACAGCTGACGTGACAAGACATCAATTCGCCCTCCTGAGTTGTATGTAACGGTCATCGTGAGCAAGAGCGTTGATCACATCCCAGTAGCGACTGGCGGACTAAACCTCACGCAACTCGCATGTTGACGTCTGAGCGGGCCCCAGCAGTTCCCATGATCCAGCCAATGTCATCGGTAACGATTCTACCTCCCGCAACCCCTGGGGCATGCAGCCCTCCAAGGGCACTCACTGGCCGTCCAGCGATGCGCGCAACAATCAGTGACGAACGCTGGAATGACATCTTCGTAGACGGGATATTCTTTTCGGGTACCAGGGGTACCAGGCATACTATTGAGAGGATTGAAAAATCCAATACGTGCTGTTGAACTTGCCTGTCGGTAGTTGGGACTTTTGGGACGATCTTCGTGTTTGCGCTAATGCAGGCGTGCCAGCGTAGTGGTTCGTGAGCTTTCGTGGGGTCGTTGGGGGCCATTCTTCGCTAAAGCCAAGGGTCCTACCGGCGCGGCTGAGCGCTCGTTCCATTTTCTAATACTAGATGCATGCCAGCTGGCTCATCACTGCTTGTGCGTCCTTGGTATATTCCGCGATAGCTTCGGATCTAGTCGCCCTCTGCCAGCCACCATGCCACTGCCATAGCTAAGCTCCGTCAGCAAGGCGACTTTTTGCGGACAACAGCTATCCTAGCAGCAGCAGCTTGAGCAATGGAGCGACCGGGCCCACACTCTTTTATGACGGAACCGCCTCCAGAATTATCGCAAACACCTCACAAGCATTATCGACTCGGTGGATTGAGTGGCTTCGTCCCACTGAACGATGACCAGATCACCATCTCGACACGAGGCCAGCGGCTACCTTCGCTGATTCAAAACCGCTCGAGCACCTCACTCTTCACACTGAACCGCAAGCCAGAGCTCGCCAGATTACGTCGCAACTCCTTCCACAGCACCGATGACGAAGAGACGGGACAAGAGCCAGTCCATGAGGACGACACTGGCCCGCCCATCTCACCTTCGCGAACACGCCGCATGACGGCCACAAGTGTCATATCGGGCGATCGCGACCCGAGGCGGATGAGCTTGGGGCCCGAAATTCTCAACACACCACAAATGCGCAGCATGCGGTTGATTGGTAACAGCAATCCTCGGTATCGCTGGCGCAAGTATTTCAAGTCGGAAGAGGAGCTGAAGGAGATGAGCAAGCCATTACGCGCCTATTATGAGCGGTGCAATTACTTGATCAGCCACTACATCTATATCGATAAGCTGCTGGACTCGAGTCTGCCGCATGACTTGATCCAGGAGTACTCGCAGCAGCACGGGAGCGCGCTGAGCCAGTATAAGCATGATATGGCGACCATCGCGGAGGAGGTACCGACACCTGTCACGGCAGGAACGGTTTCAACGATGAGTTATGGCACAGGCACACCGACCGAGACCGGGCCCAGCTCGATGGGCAGTCCTACAGATGCACTAAAGCCAAAGGTGAAGAGAACGCCGAAGAATCTGTACAAGCTGCCGGAACCCAGTGAGACGAGTCCACTGTTGACTAATTTCAAGGAAACAGAGGACGATGCTGAGGCCGCAGCCGAGACCGACAAGCTGCTCGAAGATAATATCGACATCGAGTTGCTCGTCGAAGACGAAGGCGTCGATGCCAACGATCCTGTTGTCACGGTCGCTATCTACATCAACCTGGTCGCCAACGCTTTGTTACTAGCAGGCAAGATCGCCGTCATAGTACTGACCGATTCCCTTTCCGTGCTAGCCAGCTTAGTCGACGCGGCGCTCGACTTCCTGTCCACTGCCATCGTCTGGATAACCACGAAGCTCGTTTCACACCAAGATCAGTACGCTTACCCGATCGGTCGACGACGCCTCGAGCCTGTCGGCGTGCTCGTCTTTAGCATTATTATGATCACTTCTTTTGTCCAGGTCGGGCTCGAATGCTTGAATCGCTTGGTTAGTGGAGACCACACCATCGTCGAGCTGTCCCTGCCGTCCATTATCATTATGCTGTCCACAGTCCTAATTAAAGGCTTTTGCTACTTCTGGTGCCGCCTAGTAAAGAACAGCTCGGTGCAGGCCCTTGCGCAGGACGCCTTGACTGACATGGTCTTCAACACCTTCTCAATCATATTCCCATTGATCGGTTTCTACGCCCGCATCTGGTGGATGGACGCCCTCGGCGGTCTGCTACTGAGCGGCTACGTTATCTTCAACTGGTCCAAGACCTCATCCGAACACGTTCGCAACCTATGTGGCGCAGCCGCAACGGCCGATCAGCGAAATGTGCTGCTGTACTTGACGATGCGATTCGCCAAGACGATCAGGTATATCCAGGGACTGCAGGCGTATCATGCAGGCGACAAACTGAACGTCGAGGTGGACATTGTGCTGGACGCTGAGACGAATCTGAGGGACAGTCATGATCTGGGCGAGAGCCTGCAGTATGTGCTGGAGAGCGTGCCGACGGTAGATCGCGCGTTCGTGCACGCGGACTATGCGGACTGGAATCTGCCGAGTCATATGAATCAGCAGGGAGAGTAGACGGGTGTGCGGTAGGAGGGAGTGGTTGAGGCAGACTTGAGTGTAATGAATATTATGTACATTCACTTCAACTTTCAGCCTCCGGAGGTATTGCTACGATCTGTATTCGCACAGATGACTGCCATGTGGTGATTGCTGCACATCGTAGTAAGACCTTCGCATTGTGGCACAATTGTTCAGAAGTTCCTCTCTCAAAACAGGCGCAATGCAGCACGGATGCATAAGGCGCAAACCGAGGGGCCGCTTTATGTAGCTGAAGGCAAGCGACTGCCATCCCACACTGTCCTTATGCGCGAATAGCCATCGCATAACCGCAGTGATACGTATTAGCCACTTGATCTGCTTTGCTTGACTGGTGCTCGGGAGCGGAAGCTCGAATTTGGCACGGTCATTCACAGATCAAGTGATAGTCGCACAGAAAAACGTGTCCAGGGTCACTGAGCGGACGACGAGTTGCGTATCGTGCTCGAGCGATGCGTTAACTAGAGCACAATCACGGTCAAGCAAGAACAATTCCATGGTCCGCGACATTTACCGGTTTCGTGTTTGCGTACGTCAAGTGTGAGCATAAGGACAAGACGAAAACAAGCTGGCCAAATGACTGTGCTGCTCTGCTCACTATCCATGGTACAAGACGAGTTCCGCGGAGCGCCCTAGAACAGTGTCTTCCGGGAAACTGCAGCAAAGACTTGCCGCGACTCGGTTGCTTGCACGCACACGATTCCTGGTGAAATGCTGGCAGTTGGATTGTCCCTTTTTCTTTAGCCATAGCAACGGAACGTTAAGCGCTGGCCACTGATGGATGTAAAGCTCGGGTGCAGGGTACGTTGTCATGTCTTAGTCTATGCCGCTGCGTTGTACAAGCCGCCCCGGCACAATGTTACAGTATGAGGAGCAGGTGTAGTTCCGGTCCATCTCCCAGCGGAAAGGGGTCTCATGCCACACCGGTTGAATTTACACCTAGGCTGTGTCGACCGGTCTGACCAAAGCTCTGGACGCGACTGCCTTTCCAATGCTTCGGGTAAGTAGCGACAGCAGGAGCACACATCGATCACCCCTTCCTCTTTCACTGTCTGATACCACCATGGGCGGCAGGTGCCTGACTGAGTGCCTTCCGCGATTGCTTGCGGTGTCAACCGGTTCGATCGCGCGTTGCACGAGACCGGATGACCAGTCTATACCAGACTTGCGCCTTCCTTGCCCATCCACCGAGTAGGCAACAGGAAGAAGAGCGCACAGCGACTCGCTACTTCCCACCGACATCCCTCGACGAATCCATGAGCGGCAGGTGCTTCACACAGCACCTTCAATGACTGCTTGTACCGTCAACCGGCTTGGACTAGTTCTACGTGAGACCGGATGACGAGACTCCGCTTCCACGTATTTTTCACGTTGCTAAGAGTGAGGAATGACCGAACGAGCGATGAAGTCGGTTTCCATAGAGGCCAAGTGACAGGACAGCCCCACAGCAGGACACAACCGATATACAACAAGAATGTTTTCAAGACCGGCTGACAGATGAGTGGCAATCCCGAGTCATGTATACTACACTGGGCACGACTAGACGTACACGCTGGGAACACTAGGCAGGTTAAGAGGCTCACGCGCGAAACGTGGAGGCACAACTATGACCGTGTGCTAGAGACTGGCCTAGGAGCCGGCGCGGGCAGTGTAGGATACTTTAGGGCAGGTAATTTCTCGAGAGCAGCCTCTTTGGCGGCATGGTGTGCCTGGAAAAGCTGCTTCTGCCACGCGGGTTGGCTAGGAGAGAAACTTCGTCCAGTGACAGGGTCCGAGATTGTACATGTAGAGGAATTAGACGTAGAGATCGAAGCAATGATGTCTGTCTGCATGATGACTTCTGGCCCATGCTGTGGGTTTCTCTCAAACACTACAGCACTACCTGATCACCTCGCGACCTGGCTGTGTGGGCGATGCGAAAGCAGCGCGTTGCTTGTAGCTAAGGCTGTCTCTAGCAATCGAGACATGTCCCGGGAAATGCGATGGCCGTACAGAGCGCGACACCTCCCCCGTGAGTGGGAAGCTTGTGATACGTCGAGCTCTGGCGTTGCGGCTGCAAGCTAACACCGATGTATGATGTGCCTTTCGCAGTCCACGACAGGCTTCATAGGTCGGAAGAGAGGCTCTTCGCCAGCGCGAGTTGAGGTTTTGAACATCGTTCGGATTTCTTGGCCTGAAATGATACGCCTTGCAAATGCATTTTCATCGCCCACGCAGCGACCAAATATCTCCAGACGCCGCTTGAGCCCCTTCGAAGAACGCTGTGACTGTGCATTGGTCCCTTAATCCTGCCTGCCCTTGAGTAACCGCTTGGTGACCTTGTCCTTCTCGATGATGTACACGTGTGCGCCCCAGCCTGACAAAGCGTCTCGATCGACGGCATTGAGCAGTGCTTGTGAGATGGTCTCGAAGAGTTGATCTGGTTCCTGGTCACGTAGTCAGTACGACGCCGCCATGCCATCTCTCTGATTGAAAGCACATACCAAGTCAGGCTCCCACAACCCCTCACAAGTACCAAACAACTGATCACTCGCCGTCCCACCCACAATGAAATCCTTTGCGAAATCAATGCACCCAATACTATCAAAACCACAAATGAACGGCTTCCCCGTCGTATGGTTGATACCCGCCAGCACGGGACTGACAAACCACGGCCCAAATCTCTTCTCGTACAAGCTCGAGCTCACCAGATTCGCCAGCGTTTGCGGTGAAATATCCCTCTCTTCTCGCAATCGGTACATGTTGACTTTGTAGCGGAAGGTGTCGGAGACGGTTTGGACGTCGGTGGCTAGACCGGTGAGGCCGAGATAGACGGAGGGACCGTAGGTGAAGATCTTGGGGAAGTTGTTGGACACGGTCAGGGCTTGCATGCCGAGGCGCAGGTCGCAGGCGATGGCGACGCAGTCTTTGCCGACCATGGCGACGCAGGCGCCGCCGTTGATGTCGAAGGGGGAGGACTGATGGGAGAGCGTGTTAGCTTGTTTGGTGGTGGGTGGTGACGGGGTCGGCTGTGATGAGCTTACCATGCGCCGACAAGGTTTCTATGTTCCCACAGTAGAGGAGAGGGATGAGCCCCGTCGAATGGCCCAAGCGATGCGCGCTCGATGGAACTGCACGTAGGAGGTCGTGGATGCGAGATGGAAGCAATCAATGGTCTTTACCTGCAGCGTTGCTCGATTTGGAGATGCCAAAAAGGCAGCGAGTCGGTACGCGTTCTTGCGATGATAAATTAAGCGTCTCCGAACAGGCGTCAAGCGTGCCCCCGAACCTATGACGCAGCCCTTCGCGTTGCCTTACTCGACTTTGGTTTGCTACATGCGATTTATCACGGAGGCAACAACCTTGACCAGCGAGTAGTCATCTAGCATTCTATTCTTTTCTAGGGCATTCTCACGTTCATTTCATATGATCCGACTTCTGGGGGCCCCTTGACTGCCTAGTCCCTCGCTCAAACGACAGCACTCGACCATCCATCACTGCCCCGCAACTCACAGCCATGGCGTCGAATGTGGTGGTGATAGACTCGTCTGCCAGACGCGCCACGATCAAGACAACGCCCAGCAAATACATGAACGAAGTCCTGCAGGAAGCATGCCGTAAACTGGGATACAACGCAGACAACTTCGGCCTGAAGCACAAGAACAGAACAGTCGATTTATCACAAGCATTCAGATTGTCCGGCCTCGTGTCTGGCGCGAAGCTAGAATTGGTTCAATTGTCCAAGTCTACCGGCGTCGTGTCGGTGGCTCTACAGCTGCCTGAGACAGAGGCCCAGGCCGTGCCAACGCCGAACGGACGGCTCACAGACAAGTTCCCCAGCAACACCACGCTATGGATGCTCCTGAGGAAGTTCGAGGCAGGCATCGCTGGCACACCGATTTCTATGACCCGGAACTTCACACAACGAAGTGTTCCATCCGGCACGAGTGGTGCAGGGCGATTGTTGTACGAACAGCCGGTCCTTCGCGTTATGGACAGGGAGGTCTCATCCTTCACAGATCTTCAGAAGACTTTGGCTCAATTCGGTCACAACTCGGGCAGTGTCCTTATTCGATTGACCTTCAGACCTACTCAGCAGCCCTTGGAGGATGCGATACAAGAGATACAAGCATACTTTGACTCAATAGAGGAAGGTGAAGGCGATGTGTCGGCAAGGCCCACCCCAGCAGCAGAATCTACGCCTGCCACGGCCCAGGCGAATGCCGGAGATGGTGTACAGGACGATCGGCCCCCAGATACCACGATGACTGGCACAGAAACATCCGAGATTCCTGCCACAACCGCATCAGAAAGCACGGATCCAGCTGATCCACCACCTCCCAATGACGCACAGCCAGAACCTTCCTTAACGACACGGCCCGTGTCAATCTACAAACCTCCAACAGGCACAGTGCCTTCCTCCGCCTTAACTCAAGACAACGAATCAGACTTCACACCCACAGTCGAACACGCCCAAGCACACCAAAAGATGCTCAACGAAGCAGGCCGCAACCGGCGACTGAAAACCGACGCAGAACTAGCCGCGCAAGCAAAAGAAGAAGCCGAGATCCTCGCCACCATAAAAGAAGTCGAGATCAAGATCAGATACCCCGATCAGAGCTACTCTGTCTCCAAGTACGGCCAGGCCGACATCGGCAGTACAGTCTACTCGACCGTTCGGGACGAGTACTTAGACCCGCAATTTCGCAACGAGCCATTCACCTTGAGGATACCTGGCGCTGGAGCGGCGGGTGCGGGGAGGAAGAATATCATGATCATACCGGACAACAATAAGCGGCTGATCCAAGATCTAAAGTTGAGAGGGAGGGAGATGCTGCAGTTTGCGTGGGACGAGAATGCCGTGAGTGCAGAAGCGAGGGCGGCCAAGAGTGTGCTGAGGGCGGAGCTGCGTGCTACGGCGCAGGATCTCAAGGCTCCGGAGCAGCCGAAGGGTGATGTGCCGGAGGAGAAGGGAATCAAGGTCAATATCGGAAAGGACGATAAAGACGACGAAGCCGAGAGCAGTGGTACCGGGCCAAAGAAGATGCCCAAGTGGCTGAAGTTTGGGAAGAAGTAGGAACTCGTTCAGCCTTGATAGCGTTAGAAAAGCAGATGCAGAGCATTTTGTGGTGGACTTGGTATCAGTCACTAGCAAGACATAATGTTAGCGTAGACGCTCCACGGCGTCGAATGTGAGAACCAGAAATTCAAGAGCAACACAAAATTGTGTCGCTCAGAGCATTTGGATCATCTGATTTCATTTGCAGAACTGATTTTCGCCATTCGCTTCCATAGCTTCGATCACATTGATGGACCCACCGTGCTGCACCTGCCGAAGTAGCCGAAGCTCGTGCACGGGCAATTCATATCTGCTATCTCCCGGCATGTCCGTTGGGAATGTTTCGGGAACGAAGACGTGGCTTTCGTTCGCTTCTGTGTCGATTTCCGCGCTGATGTGCCACTATGAGTTGCTCGTCCATGTCATGGGTCGAAGCATGTACCGTTCGGAAGTCGAAGATTGCATGTGATATGATATCGTAGCCCGTCTCAACTGCCATTTCTCCACGCAGAGAAAACCATTTAATGACCAGCACGACGCGACTCAGCGATCACACGCTGAAGCTCATCGACCTTTCTCTTCGAGCGGGTGAGTGTGCCGAGCTGTAGGGAACCACGTGTTAGCATGTCAATTCTTCGGAAAATCCCATACAAAATCTGCAGGACAATGCCCTTCTCTTTAGACACTCCGACGCTCATCAATGACCCGGAAGGTGCCCTTCTCGCACAGGAACATCAGAACTGGATGTGGGTGAACGTACTCTCTTCTTCGCCAGCTTGCGCGCACGCTTGTCTTTCGAGTTCCTCAACAATTCAATGACTCGTCGCTCATATGGGGCGAGACCGGCGACCTCGCGGACAATGTCTCGTACGAAAGCGGTGCGCTTTGAGAGCTGGCCCTTCTTGCGGCTGACTCGGACTGGTGGCTGGATTACTGTGACTTTCTGTTCGAATCATTAGTACCCTGCTTTCGACTTGAGAACTGCTGAGTCGGTAGAGGGAAGGCGGTCTGGTGGGCGGATTGACGAAGCCTGCCGTCCACAACCGCTCTCGTAGCAGACAGCATCCATCGTCTTGGGAAATCGTGATTGCGGATGAGTTGGGAGAACGTACGTGACCCTTGTTGATACCGACGGCAATGCCGGACTTCTGCTGACGCTCCACTGCCATCTCGACGATTTCGTGTGTCGACGAGGTGAGTCTAGGGGTGTTATTCGCTGACAGGAAGTCGTCGCAGTCGAGAGTCAAAGATCTGAGGTTAGCCCGCAGTCGCACTCGGTCTTGGCGAAAAATTGTGCGAGATACGCCAAGATTGAACTACGGTGAGTGACAAGAGCTTCTAGCTTCAGTCTACTTCGAATTGGAGAATCGGAGTTCAACGACCTCGACGCTACGGAAGTGACATCGTTGCGAGGTAAGAGCAAGGTCAGCCAGTCATGCCTTCCTCTGTTCTCGTCCTACCTGCTGCGAAGGTAAGAAATCATGAGGATCGCCACTGCAGCAGCCGTCGCGCTGCTTCCTCTCGTTGCTTCCTGGACGTTCCCAGATAACCTCCAGCATGCCCTCAATCCCCACAGCACCGAAGACAAGCTCTCCAACGTAATATCTAGCTCCCCAGTCCTTACCCTGCATCGCGCCCTCTGCGAAGTATCTTCCGTCACGGGAAACGAAAACGCCGTAGGCCACCTCCTCGTCTCCTTCCTAGAAGCCCACAATTTCACGGTCGTCAAGCAGTCTGTCGGCAACTACTCGGACGGTCGCTTCAACCTCTACGCCGTCCCCGACGCCAGCAAGTTCTCTGGCCACAAGGATGCCTCCTCCGGTGGCTCCGACATATTTCAAAGCCGTCCCAAGGTCATCCTCTCCTCACACATCGACACCGTGCCGCCGCATTTCAACTACTCGCTCTCCGCTCCTAAACATGGATCGAGGAAGGACATCCTCATCTCCGGCCGCGGCACAGTGGACGACAAAGCCTGCGTCGCGACGCAAATCGCCGCTGTGTTCTCCCTGCTCTCCAACCCAGACCTCAACATTAGCCCAGCCGACCTAGCGCTCCTCTTCGTCGTCGGCGAAGAAACCACCGGAGATGGGATGAAGTCGTTCTCCAACTCGGACCTCTACGAAGCTACCTCGAAGGATCTCAGGGCAGTCCTCTTCGGCGAGCCGACCGAGCTGAAACTCGCCGCTGGCCACAAGGGTATACTGATGCTGCGTGTCTATGCGCACGGCAAGGCCGCGCATAGTGGGTATCCCTGGCTCGGGCGGAGTGCAAATAGTATGATCTTGCCGGCGTTGATGGTGTTGGATAAGTTGGGCGATATCCCACCTCGCAAGGGCGGCTTGCCACGCTCCAAGAAGTTCGGCAGGTCGACTGTCAATGTAGGGCGGATTGAGGGCGGAGTCGCCGCTAATGTCGTGCCAGAGTACGCGCATGCTGAGGTCGCGTTCCGGCTGGCGGGTGGGACGCCGGATGAGGTCAGGCGCATCGTGCGGAACGCGATCAGTGGAGCGGATCCGGAGGGGCTACTGGAGTTAGAGTTCCAGCAGGGGTATGCGCCAGTGGTGCTGGATGCGGGCGTGGATGGTTTTGAGGAGATTACGGTGAACTACGGAACTGATGTGCCGAATTTGGAGGTTGGGAAGGGGGTGAAGAGGTATCTGTATGGGCCGGGGAGTATTCTGGTGGCGCATGGTGCGAACGAGGGTCTGACCGTGGGCGATATGGAGGAGGCGGTTGAAGGGTATGAGCGGTTGGTGAAGCATGTGCTGAAGCTGTGAGTGCACGAGATGTATTTATTCTCGGGTGGCGCTGTATCAGGACAGCGTAGCTGTGGTGTATAGTGCATTGACCTCTGCGAATGTTCTTCCTCGGCGTATCCTTTCGTATAGTGCAAGTGTTGGCCAGATTTTGAGCCGACGCGTTGATGGAAGAAGAGTACTCAGCTCCAACAGCTCCGGCATCGAACGTCATCGAGCGCATGGGGCTGAATTTCCCAGCGGCACCTTTGACGACCTCCCAGCCCATACTGCGCATTTACCATTCGGCAGGGACGACGCTCTCGGCCATTAGACTTCTCCCCACATGAACCATCTCTTCCCAATTTCAGCAGTGACTTTTATGCTCAGCATGAGAACACACTGCCTGAAGATGATCTCCAGCCCATACGTGAGGCCAACTTCACCGATCAATCCAATCGACATGCCGCGCAAGCCACCCAGGACCGGTTGCGACGGTGCGACTGCCCACCCCGCAAGTCTGCGCCAGCCCGTCCGAACGAAAGCCATGCCCTGGCGAGTCGTCGGGTATAGTAGACATCGAACGGCAGCATGATAAGCGACGTGATGAACACAGCACCATAGTGTGCTACTGCATCACCTGGAAAAGTGCTCAGCGAAGTGCGTCTGACCATTCCCGCACTGTAGTCATCAACAGAGCCATTTACAGAACCAGGTGGCGACCTCCGTGGTGACCGCGTCATGTGGCCGCTTCTCACACGGTGGTCATCGACAGAGCTACCATCTAGTGAGGCGCGTGGCGACGTCCTCGCTGCGCGTGTTGCGTGATTGAGACCGTGGCGCCGCGGTCTCGTCTCCTGCTGCAGCGCTTGTGCTATCGAGGAGATATTGTCGTCCAACTCGGTAGGTCGTCGTACTGGCCGTAGTACTGGCTGGTTGGGGGCGCTCGCTGCTTGCTCGAGGGTTGGGGCTCGTGATATGCCTAGCGGTGGCAACGGTGGAGACTCTCCGGCAAGCGGTAGTGGAATGAATCTCGATTCGGGGAATTCTGCAGGCTCGAGCAGGGCGTGCAGCTCCGTGTTATTGTTGCTGAAAGGCTCGTGGGCGAGACCAGGTCGCGGCGAGCGTACTCCGTCTTCGTGGTCAGCTCGCTCGAAGAGATCAGCTGGATCTGGTGTCGCTGTAGACGCATCGTCGGCGGCTGCGTGAGTACTGTGGCTCCTCTCCTGCTGCCGCGTTGCTTCTGACTGTCTAAGCTCTGTGAGCAGGCCGCCGTCTGTGTTACCAAGACGTCCAACCACCGCTGAAATGAAAGGGAATGCATATTGAAGTCTTTCGATGAAGGTGACGCCCTCGTAAATTGGTTCAATCGAAAACGAATTCCATATTGGGATCGCCTCGAATGGCAGGACTTCATCTCGAGCTGCCTTCAAGGATATGTCATCTGATCGGCCGCGAAGCGACACGAATGATTGTATCAAAGTACGAATCGAGCTGTGCAGACTTCCTCGCACCATCTCGCCAACATAGCTAATGAAGAAAGGAGAGACGGCGAGTTCGACAAAGGCAGACATGTAGTCGTCCCACGATGAATCGTTTTTGAGTGCTGGCGCTTGTGTGAGACCTGTGGCCAGAAACGCCAATGTGTGACTCTGAGACAGGCTGCTGCTGAACGGGAGCAAATGCAAACGCTGAAGAGTTGCAAACGTCCGCAGAGGCCACTCCAAGCCGTACAAGGCGAGGTCCAAACTGACCAAAATCAGTGCTGTGCTCGGAGAGCTAGAAACGACTTACAGATGGTTGCGGTAGTCTGACCACCAGTCCTGCCTACGGTATGACAAGACGTCTCCGCTGTCTTCATCGAGTACAACTCGCCCGTTCGACAGGCGTCTCGAGATCATGTAACGCGATCTCAGCATCTCCAACTCATCTGCGATCATGTAGTAGAACAACCCAGCGCCGAATACTGCAGGGTTGCCGAATACGCGAGCCTCTCGACGTAGCGTTGGACTCAGTCCACCCGTGACCGGATAGTTCCTGTATGTCTGACATACGTTAGTGGACGATGTGAGTCTTCCTAGGAGACTCACAAGCAAACGATAGCGATGAGACACTAGCCACCATACGCTGAGGTCCATTGGGATTGTCCACACCGTCCTCATCAGCGACCCTATCGAGTTCTCATCCTCCAACAACTCAATCATCTCAGCCTCGGAAGGCTTGTCCGACCTTAGTCGCTGTTGCTCAAGTGCATGTCTGGATCTCGTGACGCCAACGACTTGCAGAATCTCGTTCTGGGCGCGTCTGAGTCGTCGCTCATCCCGAGTCGATTCTGGGTTGATCGGACGACCACTATCATTGAATTGCTGAACGTATCCCGGAGCGTTCGTGTCGAATGCATGTGGATTGACAATGAAGTCGCCATTCTGATCGCGAAGGGGCTGCTCGAAGGCAGACCTCCCCAATGCTGTTCGCTCGAAACTGCTGAGACGCGTCATGTTGGCTCTCGTGTGGTTGTTGGACACGCATGCATGTGAGATACATTTTGTCCGGACTGCTGTTACCTCTGCTAGGTCACACGGGCCCAAAAATGGGCTTCGGCAAGAGCTGGAGGTCTTCGAGCGGGCAGGCGCGAGGGCGTTCTGATGGGTAGACGTGAAGGCGCGACCAATCAGAGCGTGAGCCAGTGCAAGCCGGAAGGCGTCGAGACTTAAACCCGCTTGTTTCCTGGTGACAACTTTTTCGCGAAAATATTCAATTGCCTTCAATGCTGGACGTCTGGCCGACACGTTGGGCTCTCTTAACGGCGCATCAATTGAAACACCTCATTATGTCGACGGAATGATTTAACCACGTCTAGCGGCGGAGATGGCGACAAAGCAGCAGGTTCAGACCACATACGAAGCGGCCCGGACGATAGAACCAATCTATACTGGTGGAGATATTTCTGCGAATGCGACAGGATCGATCATCGCGACAATCGTCGAGGAGGATGTCTTGATAGTCAACACTACCAGCAGCCGGTCAATATGTCGAATAGAGGGCGATGGCGAGGCTGTCACGAGCCTGTGTCTGGCTCCGAATGGAGCATACTTGGCGATCTGCTCCCGGTCACTGAGCATGCGGATCTTCTCACTGGATGTGAACGAAGAAGCGACTGTCGCCACTGCGATACTATCAAGGACGCTCAAACCACACAATACGCCAGTTGTGTCATCTGCAATCGACTCAGCATCGGTTCTGCTTGCTACCGGTGGCGCTGACGGCACTGTGAAGATATGGGACCTACGAGGTGGATATGCGACACACAATTTGCATGCACATGGTGGTGTTGTGTCTGCTTTGCACTTCTTCCAAGCACGAGTACCTGAGAAGAAAAACAAGAAGGTGGTTGCTAACGGATCCGCTGGACCTGCAACTGTACTAGCCACTGCCAGCGAAGAGGGCGACCTGAAAATATGGAACTTGGCAACATCGAAGAGCTTCGTCTCGTTAGAAGCACATGCTAGTGTCATTAGATCACTGGACTCTTCAACGAAGAACAATTTGCTACTCTCGGCGAGTAGAGACAAAACGATCATACTGTGGGACACCCAAACATGGTCACAACGAAGAATCATCCCAACTTTCGAAGTATTGGAAGCCGCTGGCATTGTATTGGAAGGTCGATATTGCTATGGCGCCGGCGAGAATGGTCAATTGAGAATATGGGACCTAATCAGTGGTTCAGAAGTGACCAAGCGCAAGGAAGCTGGTCTAGAGACTGAGGCTATCGTGGCAGCTGTGGCGCTGACAGCAGAGTTACTAATCATGACGATCCACCAAGATCAAACGCTGAAGTTCCATTCAATGTCCTCCTTAGCTCAAACAGACAAAGTCGAGACGCTAAAGTCATTACCTATCGTGCGGAGGAAGACCGCCAACCTCGACGAGGTCATCGACATGGCCTGCGTAGGTCCAGAAAGAACAGTGATGGCCTTGGCAATCAACACCGAAAGCGTCAAAATGTTGTCAATACAAGGAGACGATGTCCACAACGCATTTGGTAGCGATGTGGGCTCCCTTGAAGGCCACAAGGATATCATCATTTGTCTAGACGTAGACTGGTCAGGCCATTGGCTCGTCACTGGAGCAAAAGACAACACTGCTCGGCTATGGAGACTAGATCCCGCAAGATCGTCATATGAGTGCGCAGCAATATTTGAAGGCCATGCTGAGTCCATTGGCGCTGTCTCGCTACCAAAGAGCGCACCCGTCGGCAAAGCTGCAAACGATCCGCTCAATTACTTCCCAGCCTTCATGATCACAGGCTCAACGGACAAGACTATCAAGCGATGGGATCTGTCGAAGCTCAAGCCTTCGCTCATCGGAAGCGAGGTCCAAGCTGGCGCAAGAGCAATCTTCACAAGAGTAGCGCACGAGAAGGATATTAATGCAATCGATTCGTCACCAAGCGCGCCATTGTTTGCTTCGGCGTCGCAAGATCGAACAATCAAGGTCTGGTCACTCGAGGACGGCTCGGTCACCGGCATACTTCGTGGTCACAAGCGGGGAGTATGGTCAGTGAAGTTCTCGCCGGCAGGCGCGGCAGCAATCAGTCTCTCTGAGGGCGGCTCAAGCTCATCTCGAGGTCTTCTGCTAAGCGGTTCTGGTGACAAGACTGTCAAAGTCTGGTCGCTCTCGACATACACCTGCCTGCTCACCCTCGAAGGCCACAGTAATTCGGTTCTTAAGGTGATCTGGCTTCCTCAGACACCGTACTCCAACGAAGACAACGACGAAGCTGCACACTCCCGCCACGCCCGACCGAAGAACCAACCTTACATCGCTTCCGCGTCAGCCGACACACTCATCAAGCTATGGGATCCTTACGCGGCCTCAGACTCCGATCACCTCCTCACGACTCTTGATAATCATAGTGACCGCGTATGGGCGCTCGCCAGCCCCATAGCCACCTCTTCCACAAGTTCAACGTCATTTGCCAGCACGCCACCCTTCCCCCTGATATCCGGCGCAGCCGACGCAACCCTGACCTTCTGGCGGGACACCACAACCCAAACCACCACCATCGCCACTCAGCGCGCCACAGAGCGCATCGAGCAAGACCAGCTCCTCCAGAACCATATTCATGCCAAAAACTACCGCGAGGTCATTACTCTATCCCTCGCACTCAACCACCCCGGCCGCCTCCTGCGTGTGTTCCAGGACGTCATTGCCCTCCCCACTACCCAACAAGAGCAAGGCACCATAATGGGCGTCAGCGCCGTTGACGATGTTCTCTCTAGTCTAGACGCCCACCAGGTGTATCAGCTGCTAGAGCGGGTGAGAGACTGGAACACGAACGCGCGAACGAGTCCGGTTGCGCAGAGGGTGCTAGGGGTGGTGCTGCGGAGCTATGATGCGGACTTCTTCTTGGAGATGGCGAGGGATAGGAGATTGAAGGGTGTGAGGGAGCTGTTGAGGGCGTTGGAGGTGTACACGGACAGGCATTATAAGAGGTTGGAGGAGTTGGTGGACGAGAGTTATTTGCTGGAGTATACGTTGAGGGAGATGGGGGAGGTGGCGGGGACGAATGGGGTGAACGGGCACGGGGTGGGAGGGGCGAATGGAGGGGATATGGTTATGACTTGAGGTGTGAGGGAGGCGAGTACGGTCCTTCAATTGTGTGGTGGAGCAGATATCCGAGCCACGCTGTAATATTGTACTGCACCTGAAGGAGTGCTTACCACATCATAAGCAGCCAATACGCTGAGGGATCACTGCACTGCTCTGTGTACAATGACAGCAGAGATACAGGCAACAGGTCTTCCTCTTTGAGACTTCCATCGATCGCATGAGGTGTCAGCTGCTACCTTGTTATCTCGACATCAGGATGAGGTCAGGTCAGGAGGTTCAGGTACAAATGACGTTGAAGTCAGATGAAAGTAATATTGCGATCAGGTTGAAATGCCATGTTCGAAATGGTGAAGTTCCTTCCTTTTTGGGACTTCCATCTGTTTTTTGGTAGTCCCCCGGATCGCACCTGGTTTGGAGACACTGTACCAACAATGCATAACGACTATCCATGGGCAGGCGACAGTCAGAGCTCATCCTGCTGGTAGTTTCATCTGCCAGTGGTCAGCTGCTGTGATCTGGGCTCTGCGCACACCAGTTGAAGTATGGATTCTGGATCGAACTTGCAATGTGGTCCATTGACCAAGATTTCTCAGGTTTGTGTCTACAAAATCTGTCCTGGGAGTCCAGCAAGTACTATCTTCGATCTCGATCTCGATCACGGTCCCTGTCCCTGTCGCGGTCTCTGTCCCGCTCGCGTCGCCCACTGCGATGCGATGAGCTCGAGTCGTAGCGATCGTCGTCCCGATATCGATCTCTGTCTCTGTCCCTGTGCTTGTCCCTCGGTCTCGAGTCGCGTTCATCATCGCTGTCGTCCCTTCTTCGCCGGTGTCGATCTCTTGAGCGACTTCTGTGCCGTCGCGAACGCGATTTGTCGTAGTCCTCATCGTCTCGGCCGTCCCGATCGCGGTCGCGTCGTGAGGAACTGCTGTGTTTCGACGATTCATGGTCGTCGCCGTTCGTGATGGCTTTCTGATCGCCGTTCCGCCGCGAGTCGTCCTTATCTCTACCACTCCTCTGCAAGTTCCGATCTCGGCGGTCTCGCCAGTCATCTGAACCCTTCTGTGTCTTTGCGTCTCGTTGCCGCCTTTCTAGTTCTTCCTGTGTGATCTGCTCGCCTGTGGCATTGTTCACTCGCAGCAATGGCATGTATAAGCCTTGTCCCTTGTTGTTCTTGCGCATGTCCGCCTTACCCCAAGCACCAATTCCGATATCAGCGCCAGGACCACCTTTGGCTCCTATGCCTAAGAAGCCATTGCTCTTGCGAAACTTCTGAGGCGGTTCCGCTGTGTTGCCGTCTAGATTGATGACTTGTCCAGCAGCCTTGCGCTTCTGGCCCATACCACGAAGCATGGCCATTCCAAACTCTTCCACTGGCATTGCAGCATACTCTTCCAAAGTGCTTGATTCGGGTCTCGAGGCGACGTCGTATCTGAAGTCAGCAGTCTCGTCCTGTCCTGTGAGGCGAGCATTACCACCCGTTGTGATTACAGCGTTACTCTTCGGGCGGTCTCCGGTCAGTGCGGCGATCGCTATTTCGTCTTCTGTCAGAAGCTTGGGAGCTCTGCGCCATTAGATTGCTTTTCCAAGCCATTGCCTTCCTGCAACCAAGTCTCCTCGGTCTTGCTCGCGTACTGGAGACCGCTCGCGGTACTGACTTCATCTTTTTCGACCAGGACTGTCGCTCCATTCTGTGCAGATTGTGCCTCCGCTGGCTGTTGACCCGTTCGTCCTCGATTTCGCCAGTCACCATTCCCAGAGTTCGCTATGATTTTCACATTCTTTGGTTGTGTCGGCTTGCTGAGTATTACACCGTCGGAGGAAAACCCAGCGACTGACTCGTGCTTCGGCTCAACCTCATCTTCATTGTCCGAGTCGTTGGCGCGTAGGAGGCTGCTCTTGGACTTGTTCGACGGCGGAGGAAGCAACGATGCCTTTGCAGGCGCAGTCCCACCCTTGGACTTTCCAAAGCCGAAGGAAATGGCTTTGGACATGATTACGCGTGCTACCGATCTTCCATTGTGCTAGTGGACAGAATTAACACGTTGTCAACATGAAAAAAGTTCTAGGCAACATTGACGAATGCCAAGGCCATCCCGACTGTATCGATAAGCTTATTTCATTAGTGGTACTTGCCGCCTCATTGAACGACAGAAGTTCCTCGACCTTCAACGCGTTTGCCTCTACTTCCCTCGTCCTTAGAAACATACCACGCTTCGCGAGGAGGTGAGCAGTACCTCTCGCTCGATTCTCAACCTATCGCACGGACTGCCAACGAGTGCTTTACGTGTTCTCGAGGTCCTCCTGCCCCTCATCAGAATCGGAGGACGAAATCACGCTCACTCCACGCCCTGTCCAGATTTACTCAGCCTCAACCTACGACCTCACTTCCGCGATCACCAGGAGTGCCCACCTTTCGTCCGGCGACCACCTGGGACGATGGCGACACCAGACGCCGCCCTTCTGGGCACATTTCAGAAGCACATCGAAGACATGCGGTCGCTAGTACATTGCAAGATCTGCCTCAAGCCGCTCTACGAACCCTTTACGCTTTCATGCGGGCATACACACTGCTACTCGTGTCTATCAAGTTGGATCGGAGGCAACCATCAGCGCCAGAGAAACAAGAATTGTCCTGACTGTCGAACACTCATCACGACCGAGCCATGTCCGAATTACACCCTACGTGATCTGGTTAATATGTTCTGCAATCGAGCCGAGCTGCTGCCTGAAGATGAGACGGTGAAAGAGCACGAAGCTGCGAAAGCAGAAGAGGCTAAGTCACTGGCAAAAGACCGAGCTGGTCGCGGCTTATTTCAGGGCATTTTCTCACGACGGCTTCCTGTTGGCCCATTGGGTCGTCCGCAGTTCATTCGAGACTACGAAGACAATGGAATCCTAAGGTGCCCATTTTGCGCCCACGAGATTGTCGCAGGGTCGTGTACAAACGAGGACTGTCAGCTCGCAGCCGATAATCGGAGTATCTTCAGCGACGAGATAGACTACGATTCGGAGTTTGGCGACCACTTCGATGACGAAGGTAGTGTAAACAGCATATCGGGAATGCCCGCACGATGGAACACCCGGCTAAGACACGCGGACTCTGAGGACGAGGAGGATGACGAGGACATCGATGAGGATGATGAGCATGACAGCGAGATGGACGATTTCATTGACCGTAACGAGGACTACGATGAAGAAGACGACCATCACAGTGCGCGTGCTAGACACTTTAGACGGCTTTCTTCTGTCAGCATTACCAACGCCTCCGACTCCGACGCGTCGATTCCGGTGGAAGACCGACACCATTACGATCATTTCTCCGGCGACCACGTAGACACAGAGTCAGACGGATACGAGAGCGGCCATGTCGTTCGTGCAGCTCCACGAGCCTATCCGATCAATTACGACAGCGAAAGTGAGGTCTCTATGCAATCCTTCCAATCATACCCATATCCTCACTCGCCCAACGGTAGTGAATCCGAGCAACAAACGAATTATGACAGTGACGGGTCCTCGGTCCGCGAGATCTCTCCGCCCCTCGCCAACCATACGCGTGCCCGACGAGTCGTTATCGACAGCGACGATGAAGATGGAGAAGGAGAAGATACGGAGAGGGAGGATTCTCCAGCTCCGCAGTTCTCCGAGGTGGAATCGGAGTCAGCCGCAGATCACTCCTCCCCTGCAGGCTCCATCTCCGAAGACAATGACATCGACAGCGAAGACGAAGACTCAGATGACACGGCGACCCTCCAACCACCCCAAGCATCCAGTGCGCGTTACCAGCGTCTCCAGCAGCATCGATACAATAGAATGCGTCGGGCCAGCTCGAGCGCAGAGCCGATCGCGAGACCGCCCGCTCGGAGAGGCAACTACCAAGGAGGAGCGGCAAGGTCAAATGTGGACTATATCCTGTTGTTGATCTGACGGAGTCAAGTCCGCGGAGGACGGCTGCCAGGGTTTACTAGAGTCGGACTACGCGGAGAGCGTGGTTTGGACATACTGCAAAGGCAGTAATGGCGCAAGCATCGGAACCATGCATATGTACGGAGCGCTATCGTGTTCTTGGAGCTCTGGACTGGGATAGACTCACCGTGGAAGTGCTACAAGCGGCACTGAGAGCCCGATCTGATGTGGACACAAAAGACTAGACAGCGAGAAGGAAGCGTTTTTCTCCGCTGATGAGCAGCGAGAGCAAACTGTTCGAACAGGTAGCAGCGCGGCATAAGGCCAAGCAGATTACGTAGACACGATATGATACCCCTTTATGCACAATAGGATGGCAGTGCAGCAGCAGCTTGCCTTGGTCCGAGTTTGTGGTCCGAGTTTGTGGTTCGAGTTTGTGGAACGTGTTACTTTGAAAGACCGGATGACAAGAAATATATGTTCCGGTCCAGCGAGACCAACCTGTCACTCTCTCATCTCCTGCCATCGGACATCTACGCAAGAGCTACAGATGCAATTGATGCCGCTTTTGCTACTTCCTTGGTTGCCTGCCAGCATGACGATTGTTAAACAGGAGAGGGCGACGTGTTGAAATTCATGGCACCATTTTAGATTGTGTATCGAGAAGCACCAGCAGAACGCCTCCGCTATGCTAGGTAGTCCATCTTCCTTGAATCTCATTGCCCTCTTGGGGCTTATGATACAATCCGACGCTTCTGCTCAGCGTCCCAGGCCTGTGCATCGATTGATCGCGCGAGTCTCACACTCATACTCTGATAATCCTAATGCACGGCACTCGACAACCCTTCTCAAGCGCTCAAGACCTGCTTGCTGGTATCGTACTCGATCTCCTGCACGCCGTCCTTCTTGACCACTTTGACCGTCATGCCCTTGAAGTCTATGGGTAACCGTCGCTGCAACTCGTCTGTGCACATGCGCAGGATCTTCATGCCTTGGTCGAAGGAGATGTCTGGGTGGTGATGCTTGTCGAGGATTGAGAGGCAGTAGTACCTGTACGAAAATCCCGTTAGTTCGCTTGCTTTCATGGTTGTGCTGGCTCTTTGCCGTGCAGTTTTGCGTGACTTTGCGAGCGTAATTTCATCTTCGCGGCTGATGAGTGACACTTACTGAGCATAACCATGCGCAGCATACGGCACCCGCGCACTACTCGCCAGATAATCAACCCAATACAGACTCGGCTCCTTGCTGATCGGATCCACGCCCCCCAACAACAAATTAACCGTGTACGGATGCCGTGACCTCAAACTCTTCGCCAGCTCTCCCCTCACAAACGCCGCCACCTCCGCGGGGCCCAAATCGACCTCGTTCCGCATCGAGTACAGTGCGACGTTGGCTTGGATGAACTCTGCGAATTGGATCGTGTCGCCGGCTTCACCAGAGAAGGCCATAAGGTTGTTCTTGTTGAGGGCGCGGGTCTTGTCGTCGGAGGATTTGAGGATCGTGGCACCGCGCATGGCGGCTTTGGAGGCCGCGATGAGCGTGAAGTCGCGGCCGGTGAGGCCGAGGAGGACTTCCCTGGAGCGGGTGTCAGTGGACCGTACTGGACTACTGGGAGCTGGTGGTTTGTCGTGACTTACATATCGAGCTGAGTTTGTGCTCAGAGGGTTGTCGAGTGCGAGGGCTGCGTGACAGACTACGAGCGAGTGTCTCCTGAGGGGTGGGCTCGGTCGGTTGAGGGTGTTCTCCGTTGGTTTGGGGGGTGCGAATGTATGTGTAGATTGCGAGTCCTCAGCAGCAGCAGCGATGCAGTACGCGGTCAATCTGCCTGTCGCCGGGATTTAGAGACGTCTATTTCCGGGAGTAGCGATTTGGAGAAATTTTTGTAGAATGTTCAACGTCGATTTTCCGCCGCTTCTGCTGGAGTAGCGACATACGCCCAGCATGGCTTCAACATAGTAGCGAGGGGTTCGCTTATACATAGGATTGAAGATGTCGTCTTTCTTCACAGCGCCGGCGTCTCAGCGAAAGCGGAAACGGATAGACGATCGTTCGGGCAAGCCAGCCAAGCGGCGAGACGTCGAGCGAAAACCTCGAGGCACGGTGAGATCAGATGAGCGGCCACGACAGGCGAAGGAGGAGCAGGAGCGAGACGAGTCAATATCCGGCAGCGATTCAGAGGATGTCGCAGAGACGTGGGCAGTGTGTCAGAGAGCGAGGCGAGTTCTGAAGAGGGCGAAACTGCCGGCGAACGCAGAGTGAGGTTGGCACAGCGGTACCTGGACAATATACGAGAGGAAGTGCAGGAGGTCGGCTTCGATGCAAAAGACTTGGACAATGACCTCATTGCGGCGCGGCTGAAGGAAGATGTGGACGAAGCAAAGGGCCGGCAGTTCAGACTTATTTGCTCAAAGCTGGATTTCCGGAAAGCCAGGCAGTGCGCATTCAGGGCCGACACGCAATCTACGACCGCCGTCGCCGTATGTCAACCTTACGCCTACACTGTGAGCAAAGACAAGACGCTGGTCAAGTGGAGACTACGAAACCCGATTGACTCGAGTAAAGACACCGGGAGACCAGGCAAGAAGCCGCATGTCGGTAAGACGCGCCCGGAGCAAGTCGCATACGTCAGAGGTGTCAAAATCAGAGCATCAGAGAAGCAGCAGCATGGTCACACGGGTCCCATAGTGGCTGTGGCCGCCTCACCCGACGGCAAGTTCGTGGTCACGGGAGGGCAGGATCGTATGATGATTGTGTGGGCAGCGGAGGATCTTCGACCGCTAAAGACCTTTACCGTCCATCGAGACGCCGTCCTCGGATTGTCATTCTCGCCGTCTCACTCTCAGGCTGGGATGGGCCAGCAGTTGTTCTCCGCAAGTGCAGATCGAAGCATCAAATCGTACAGCTTGGCCGGAGAAGAGTCTCTGGCATATGTCGAGACCTTGTTCGGTCACCAAGACCATGTCACAGCAATCTCTGCAATGACAGTAGACCAGTGTGTCTCAGTCGGAGCCAGAGATCGAAGTGCAAGACTGTGGAAAGTCGTGGACGAGACGCAGCTCAAATTTCTTGGCGACAGTTCGATGAAAGCAACATACCATACCGGAAGTCTCGACTGTGTGGCGGCCCTCCCACCGCAGCATTTTGTTACTGGCTCCGACTCAGGGGCAATCACTCTCTGGAGTCAGCATAGGAAAAAGGCTGTGTTCACGGTGGAAACAGCACATGGTGTCGACGAGATACCGCCCTTCGAAGAGAATACAAGCGAATCGGATCCAAAGGTCATCGAGAGGCTGAAGAAGCACGACCGACGAAGACCTCGTCCGAGAGCCATAACAGCCTTAGTGGCTTTACCTGGCACCGACGTCATATTGAGTGGCAGCTGGGATGGCTGGATCCGAGTATGGAAGCTGAGTGACGATAAAAGATCCCTCCTGTCATTAGGAGTAGTCGGATCGGAGAACGAGGCTGCATACAATGGGACTAACGGCCACACCGCCGACATTGAGAGCGAGGGGTCGCTGCTCAACGGTAGTGCAGCGAGGGTCGTGGAAAGAGGCCCCATACGCGGCGTCATCAATGGACTAGCAATATTTGAGCGACGCAAAGAGCTGAAAGATGCTTTCGGTGTCACAAGGGAAGGAGAGACTCAAGGATTGTGCATAGTGGCTGGGACTGGCAAAGAATTACGCCTCGGAAGGCAAGCCAAGTTCGAAGGTGGCAGAAATGGCGCCGTGGTGTTTGAGGTGCCGTTAGCAACGGCTTTGACTTAAGCGATGATAGCGCAGTTCTATCTTCACCTTGACAAGACAATTGTGCGTGAAATCAAGTTACGATGCTGTCATGCTGATGATCTCCGCTGGCTGCTGCCCGAATTCCGAACTACTCCATTTGCGGTTAGCTCCGATGAGCGCGTCAGCGCGTCGTTGCCGGTTTCGCCTCACCTCCTGCCAGTTCATCGCACCGAATGACAGCAAGTACAAGGTGTCTTCGAATTGATCAGATTCAGCTTTATACCTCTCCAAAGTTGCCGACTCTGCTACTCTGTGGCAGAGCATCTCATCAAGCCGTTCAAGAAGCGTGACGATGGCTGTGGGAATCCATTGCACGGGTTATGCTGTCGAGGTTCCCTCGAGCAACCCACGGTGACGGCCTCACACTTCAGACGATGTTGACTGGCATGCACTTCGTGACATTGTCGAGGCAATTGAAGTCAAATAGCATTAAGCAGGTGTTCGACACTTTGACAGCGGCCTCGCAGATGCTGGGTTAGCTAAGTGCTATCCGCCTGGTTCGCCTGACTGGCCGGCCTTGAGCTTCAAAGGGAGACAATGGAACCTCCAGAAAGCTACAAGAGTCCGCAAGCCGACGGTCAGCAATTCATCTTGCTGCAAGATGGCATAGGCATCCAGCTTCGACCAATCTGATGTACCCGGAGAATCGTCTGGGCCACTCACACGGACGAGGAAATCCTGCCAATCTGCTAGAAGCTGTGGAAAAGCTTACTGTCATTCTCAACGTCGCGATTTCTTCGCATTCTTACTGGAAGGTCTCCAAAGAGCTGGTTTGTTGTTGTGGTTCTCTAGCATTCCTCGCGGCTGCAATGTGGGTCCATAACCTCGCACGGCCGCCATAAAAAGGCAGGTAAGTTCACTCATACCATTAGGTTGCCAGGCTCTCCTCCGACCAGCTCTTCACGTTCCGGAGTCTCGTTACATTCGTTGCCTTAGTGCCCAGTCGCTCCTTTGGACGCCGTCCTTCGTTTCTTCGACACCTTCGGGTTCACTCCTCCCCTTCCTCCCAATCTCACCAAACAACCTCTGCCTCGAAATCTCGATACAATGGTCAAACGCGCTGCCATCCCTGTGGCGGCCTTCGCTGCAGGTGCGGCCGCCCAGAGCACCACCACCACCACCTACTCTGTGTGCCCGACAGCGAGTACCGTGACGGTCACGCTGCCATCCACCATCACTTACTGCCCAGGCGCATCTTGCAATGTGACACCTACCCCGACCATCACCGCCGCGCCGACAAGCATCCCTCAGGGTGGCTACATCTCTACCATCCTCGACTGGACTTTCACCGGGTCTGATGGCAAGATCACCGAGCTGCACGAGTACGCCACTGTGTACCCAGCACCTTGCAGTGCTGGCCCAGGCATGTGCGGTGCTACTTACACTATCACCGAGGAGTGCCCATGCACTGCGCACTCATCAGGCTACATCCACCCAGACTTCACCACGACCCTGCACACGTGCGACATGTGCGGTCCAGGTGGCAGCCCAACCACGTATACTGCGACCGTGCCTTGCAGCACCGGAGCCTATGCAACAGTCACACCCAGCATGGGTCCATGGGCACCTTCAGGTGGTAAGCCTGCTGGCCCTGATGCCTACTGGGCACAAGGTGGTGCTGGCGGTGCTGGCGGTGCTGGCGGCAACGGTGGCGATGCTGAAGGTGCCGGTGCCAAGGGAGGCAATGGTGGTGCTGGCGGTGCCGGCGGCAATGGTGGTGATGCTAAGGGTCCTGGTGCTATGGGCGGTAACGGCGGTGCTGGTGGTGCCGGTGGCAATGGTGGTAACGCTATGGGCGGTGGCAAGCCTGTCGCTCCTGATGCTGCCGCTTCAAGCGGTGGTGCCTGGAACGGCGGTGCACCACCTGCAGGTGGCGCTCCCAGCAAGCCAGTCGATGCCGAGTCAGCTGCCCCCAGCGCAGGCTGGTCAGGCTCAGGCGCAGCACCATCCGGCACCGGCAAGTCACCCGTCGGAGACTACAAGGGCGCCGGCTCCAAGGCTGCGGTTGCTGTTTCATCAGTGTTCGCCATCGTTGTCGGTGTGCTCGCCATCACACTATGAGTTTGATGCGCCTGTTCATCTGCGAAGCATTGTCTTTCACGTATCGCCATATACATAACAGCCTTCACACCACCCACATTCATATCAACACTATCGACACTTCGGCCACGCATCCGCCATCATCTGAGATCTTCCGCACACCCACATCCAGGATCCGCATCACGAACATGACCATACGAACAACCACAACCAAGGAGAGCACCAGCAGCAGAGAAAAGGAGAGACGGAGTGACGCGTACCGCAGAGGCGCCCTATGAACGTGCCTCTCGCTCTATTCGTCTACTCACCCTATGCAACCGGGGGCGACGCCATCACTTCTGGGGATGACACACAATATACGAGACAAGCAGAGAAGTCTATGGGTCGCATGCATCGGTTGCAACACATTTCCTTACAACAGCACTCATCTATCAACATTCGATTCTACACGCAGGGGCCCCGTCGGAGTGGTGTTTTTTCAGCCTGTTTCTCTCCCGAGGCTCATAGAAAAGGGGACGCTGGTCGGGATCAGGGAAACAGGGGCGGGTTGAACCCCTCGAAATCATGTCTACAACCATCCAAGCGCGCGTGTTCAGCCAAGTCAGTCAGTCAAGTCAAGTCAAGTCAGCCAATGCATTTATTTGTTCAGTCACAAATCAAGTCTTGAGGGGCTTATGATTTTGGTCCTTCGTAACATCTCGTTGTTTTCGTGTGAACCGCTCCTGCTGTGGTGATCTGTTCAGGGGTAACTTCCGCAGCGATTGAGATTGGGAAGTTTGGCAGGGCAGGCGTGTTTTGTTGCTTTCGCCGCATTCTTCGGCATGTGGGAAGCTCGTACTTGACAGCATTCCTTGTGATGGTGCACTGAACTCAAAATACACGGCCCACTTCTTCTAGTCTTCGCTACCCTGCGGACGCTTTGTCGGCTCCATCGACAGCACCGCGTTTGGTGCAGGAGCGACTGGTATCAATGCCAGAGAAGGAGGGTTCTGTGCTTGATAGAAAGCCGATGCCGATTGCGCTTTCCGTCCTTTCTTCGAGCTGGCATTGGAGCAATCTGGCAGCAGGAGCAGCGTCTGTCTCGGTTGTGCACTTGCGAGAAATTGGCACCGGCGTGCTATCGCCCATCACGAACCGTCCCATGTCGGCCTGTGAGCTTTTTGTCGAGCGCACTGACGGCTCTGTCCCAGTCATTGACCACTAACAAGTTTGCTGTTCGATTCGGCGACGGACCGTTGCGAGTGTTGGTTGTTGTGTCAGATACCCACTGCTCCATAGCCGAACACACTAGTCGGCCTCGTGTGATCCTGGGGGGGTTTCCCCTGCTGGGTATATTCTCATTCCGCCGCGGGTGCTAGGGTTTTCCAGGCTGCCCTTGAGACGATTCATTTCTTCCTCGAGTTCTTCGGCTGGACAGTTCTGCTTTGCGAATTCGAAGTCTACCAGCACAGTGTCGTGTCCGTCTCGAGCGAGGAAGTTGTGTTTGTTGATATCACGGAGTTTGATCCCAAGCTCGTGCAGACGTCCTAAAACTTTCTTGCAGCTCTCAAAGTCGTCGGGTCCCGCATGTCTCGCACCTTGCACATATTCGAGGGCGAAGCCACCACTCGTCCTTTCTTGCCCTCGGTAACGTGACCAAGAAATCTTGGTCCGATACCGTGGCCATTGATCCATTGATAGGCAGTTGTCTCGATCTCATTCGATCCGACCTCCCACGGCCAATTTGCGACTTTGATCACTACCGGCCCGCCTTCATTCAAATCGGGGTGTGTTGCGATGTGAACGCCTGGGTGTAGGTATTCCTGCTCTGTGAAGTCCAACTCATTTAGGAGCAACGGATGCCAGACATTCTTGACGCTAGGAAACGTCACTTTTTCTGTTGTTACGAAGGATATGTCGCCTGTCGAAGGATCTTTGGCTACACGACCTTGGTTCCAATCTCCGCCAGGAAAAGTTGGAAGAAGTCTGCTGAGCAAAGTGGGCCCATAGTTCCGATCACCCTCTGGCTCATCGCAGAATATGCCTGGTGCTGTGGTCACATATTTGACATGGTGACCATCAACGACGCAGCGATAGTCACTGTCCTTTGTGTCATCCTCATCCATAGTGGTGAGACACTCGAGGAGACGGACGTTTGGGTTTTTGGTGCCGAGTACCAAAGTGGTCGACATGTTGAGTATCAATACTAAGGCTGCGGACGACAGGAGACGTGCTGCCTAATTGTCGAAAGAGGCCTCAGGTTACAGACGGCTGCGTCGGAGGTGAGCGCTCAACAGAAAGAGCGCGGTCCAGATCTGCTGGTGGCACGATGTTGTGCTGGCGAGCGAAGGGCACTACAAAAATCACACCTGCAGTGAGAAGGCTGAGGTACTCAAGTATGCTTCGACCAGGCTTCGATACCGAAGCAAGAGGGACCAATCGGCTGTTTGTTGAAACGTGGAAGCGACCGAGGCTAGGCCTTAACGGTTTTCTGTCATGGATCAACCAATCAAGTTCTTCCGGTGACAGGTCGAAGCACACAGTGAGAGCCGCTCAATTACGGCTCAACTCAATGATCCATCATCATATTTCGTGCGATCTTGCGAACGCCTCGCCTCCGCCTGAGCGACTCCTTTCAGAACGACAATCAATCCAGGCCTATGAGAACGGCAGCGCAGTCGTCAACAAAAAAATCGACCACCAAAATGCCTGCCAGCGTTGGTCAGTCGCAGGCGTTGTACCGCCTTGAGTCACGGCACATGGCGACGTTTGATAGGTGGGGTGGGTATGTGGTATATAGCATCGCTGCTTTCCACCACACAGCATGAGTGGCTCACCAAGAACACATTCCCATCGCTCCATCCAAGTCAGATCGGTTGCAAGTGTGAGTCCAGCGTACACACTATGACACATGCTCAATCTGTCCATCATGATCAAGTACTGAGGCGCTGACCATACATCTCACTGCAGATCCAGAGCCTACAATACCTGTACGGGACCCACTTCCACTCAAAGCTACCACTGGAACGATAGAAAACTCCCTCCACAATGTGCTATCAGTACTACTACGAGTACTCCTGCGGATGCAAAGTCAAGGGCAAATGGAAGCCGTGTAAAGACCGAGACGGCACGGCTACCAAATGCACATCGTTGACGAAGCTTGCGCCGGACCAGTTGGATTACCAGTGCGCCAACTGCGAGCCTGAGGTAGACAACAACGTAACGCTAAGAAAGAAACCTAAGTCGTAGCTGAGATGCTCGAGAGCAACTTGGCATAGCGATGGCGCGTTTCTGTTTCTGTGTCAGGTCGGAGCATCCAGCGTTGTTTTGAGAACGGCCGGAGTGATGCGAGATGGGCCGCAACCATACGACACTCTCCGCAATTGCAGAGGGCCACTTCTTCCATATTAGTACTGCACTGGCCGGAGTCGACGAGCCTTGAAGCGTTACAGCTTCTGAATATACTTATCTCCACTGAAGCTTCGCATACCGGTCCGTTGTCTCGAGGTCCCTTCGTATGTATATCGTTGAACATTTCGTAAATATCTTGCCCTCTGGAGATTGACGCAGTGCCCGACCAGCACCCTAGAAGCTCATGTGGTCCATGGCTTCACTCAGGTGTCCGTTTTTGAGGACTGGCTGGCATGTGAATAGTTGATAGCAAGTTGTGTGACCGTGAAGCTCTCGAAGGCACCCCTGAAGTACATAAGTATCGAGACACCCGTCCACTCTTTCTCGACTCTGCATACCTTATCAAATCCCTGAGTGGCTCTGACATGTAAGTTGGGACAAATCCATCACCTCCCCGAGATACATTGACTGATTCGGGTTCTTACCTAAGTAAACCAAACTCAGACCTCACCACACATCTCCACCTAGTCCTCCCGCACAATCACAACCATCCGCCACTAGCATCAATCCACGATTCGACACATCCATCCACGACCAAACACTTCCAACCACCATGTGCGCCCAATACTCTTGCACCTACTACTGCGGCTACAAAAAATCCGAGGAATTCTCACAGTGCTTCCTTCTCGCGTCTCACCACCATTCTCAGATGCGATCCGGTCGAGAAGACTGCTTGTGGCAGCAGACCTGGTCTCTGTTTCACCTGTGCCGTGAAGCCGGGCCTGAGCGGCTGCGGCGATTGGACTCAACGCACTCTCTGGCCAGGAGTTGGATTGCATCGTGAAGCCAGAGGCGATACTGGCGCCGGCGGACAAAGAGACGATGCCAGTCTAGGGATGACTTGGACGCGAGGAGAGCTGATCGCGCGAGCTGGGTCTCTGGTGCTCGTTCCTGGGCACGTTGAAGAGACGCGTCGCGTGAGATCATTTCTCCACCTGTCGTGAGTGACGTAAGTGAAATCCATCCCGACAGAACCCAGCTCTGCCAGTGGTAATAAGTAATCTGCAAATTTGTCGTATTCGCAACAACAACGGACCTACTTCATCTGAACCTGCCGTCACGTCAGTCGAATAGAAAAGACGACGTCAGCAGCTCCAACTGCAAGCGCGGTCACCCTCCAAGGATGCCACGCCATTCGCGGCGAAATAAGCATTGGACTTCCAGTATCAATGACACCGAAATCGAATGCAAGAAGTCGACAAGGTGGCAGCAACGATGATCTTTGAAGCATCGGACATCGTGCCATCCGTCGAGGTTCCAAGCACATAGCGCCCCTCCTGGACACCACTGGTTCACATCAAACTTGCTGGGACCGCGCCTGTTGACCAGCAGGTTTCAGCTACCGTACTTAGCCTCAACTGTGAAATGCACGACCCGATAAGGCCAACACTTCAAGGTTCTGCCTTTAGAACCTGGAGTACACAGGAAAAGCGAGCATCGGAAGTAAGGATCCGTCGTCCGGCGCGACTACGCTCTCTATATGGTGTCTCCAGCTTTTCCTTTTCACGTCTGTGATCACGCTGGTCGACACATTTCGCATGTGCGCTACAACCATCTGATTCGCTGTATTGACCTCCAGCAGGACGTCTGTCGCTACTGTCCAGAATTTGTTGCTTTTGAGGCCACCTCGCATCGAGTCGCAAATCCTGGATTCGGTGAAGCACTCGTACATTGTCACCTAGCGGTGCTTGGTGTGCTCCAGAGAGCAGCCACGTTTGTGATGTTACAGCACCACGCGACGTTCTCAAGCTCAGTTCGCTTATTCGATTCTGCTTCTCCCGTGGGTGGACGCTTATCAAGTGTGCTCAGCATCTTTTCAAGCTCGAAGCAGACGAAACTCGCAACCTGTCGTCGCTGAAATCTCGAGTCCAGGATGTTTTCCGCTCCTTTTTTTAGCCAGCACTGGATTAACGCGACGGATGAAGCTTGCTGTAGCGCGTGTCTGCCGCAAGACATTTCTATGGGCGCTGGTTATTGGTCTTCCCTCCGGAACTGGTTCGAATTGGACAACCGCGGTAGATATCGGAAACAATCAGCCTGAATCATAGCCAAGATGTTAGGATTGCTCAACTGATAAGCGTTAATTCAAGAACCGTACAGCAACTGACTCGCCCAGAAGCCGACAGTTCTTGTCGCGTGTAACACCAATCCCACACCGGCAACTGACCCCATTTGGTTGTGGGGATGCTGGAGAGATCCCTGTCTGCCCTGACTTATAGATTGCGGAGAGCAGTCAGTTTCCCCACATTTGACCTTCTGCACTGGACCGTCGCTCTCTTGCCGACTTGGCTCTGAGGTAGTACCCAAGGAAGAGGAAAAAGACAACGCGACCACAGGTATGGAGGCCACCTTTCCAAGACCTTGGCCAATCAACAATCTGGCTAAATGCAGGGAGAATGTGAATGGGCCTCGGCCACGCGATATATATGCTGAGGAAACGATACCTCGTGCTCAGGTCTTTCCTTAAACATCAGTCTGACGGTCAATTCGCCCCGAGGACACTGCTCAGTAAGACGGTCAATTCGCCCCGAGGACATAGCTCAGCAACAACTTCGACCATCGCCATGGGTTTTCGCCTTGGGCCGACCAGGTTGAAGGCTGATGCCTCGCAGCGACTGCAGAAGCCCCCAAAGGGTCACTTCTTCTTCGCTGGGCAGGCACACCCTCGAGTGGAGTGGACGAAGAAGCCCAAATTGAGGAAGCTGTACTTCTACTGCATTATTCTCATCTTCGTCAATATCGCCAATGGGTTTGATGGTAAGCCTCACCTGCAGTAATGAGCGTGCTTCGTGCTGACTCCGGCAGGCTCAATGATGAATGTATGTCCCCCTTTTCGCAGACCTGAACCGGTAGACATACAGCAAGAAGTCTGGTCTGGAAAACGGAGATACTTGTCTCAGGCATTGGAGCCGTCTATCTTTCTGTTCTGCTGGACAGGTCTTTCCAACCTTCCCCACAATCCGTTGACGTTCAGTCCACAGATGTCTAACTTCCGCACGCCCTCCCCTTCATCGTTGCCCACAGTTTCCCAACATGCTGATTAAGACTGACCAATACTGGCGATAAACAGTCTCTGCAATCTCTTCCACTTTGGCAGGAGTACTTCGGCCATCCCACAGGACAAGCACTAGGTCTCTTTGGATCTGCGATGTCCCTGGGCTCAATTGCAGGCTTTCCAATCGTCCCATACAGCTGCGATCGCCTCGGACGTAAGCTCACTGTCATCATTGGCTCGTTGATCATCATTCTCGGGGCTGGTCTTCAGGCTGGTGCGCTCAACTACGGCATGTTCTGGGCTGGACGCATTATCCTGGGTCTGGGAATGGTACTGTCGACCACTGCAGGACCACTCCTTTGCGCCGAGATCGCACACCCTCAGGATCGTGCAATCATCACGACTTTCATGGGATGTTCGTACGCCGTCGGCTCTTTTGTGGCTTCCTGGGTCACCTTCGGCACACTCAAAATTCAGAACAATTGGGCGTGGAGAACGCCCTCGCTTCTTCAATGCTGGGCGACGATTGTGGTCCTGTGCGTGATTTACTGGATCCCGGAGTCTCCGCGCTTCTATATGGCCAAGGATAACCACGACATGGCGCTCAAAATTCTTGCCAAATATCACGGAGAAGGCGATGAGCATGATCCATTTGTTCAGCTCGAATATACTGAGATCAAGACCGCTCTCGCCATGGACAAAGAGTTTCAGCGCAACTCCGCGTGGCTCGACTTCCTGAAGACCAAAGGCAATCGTCATCGTATTGCTCTGGTCATTGCGGTGAGTCTACATATCTGCCAATCTAGATCGTACTGACTGCTGCGATAGATCGCCGTCTTCGGACAATGGTCTGGGAACGGAATTCTGGCATACTACTTGAAGATCGTGCTTGATGGTGTCGGAATCAAGACTCCTAACCAGCAGCTCGGCATCAACGGAGGATCAAAGACCATGTCGCTCCTTGTCAACTTGGTCATCGCGTTCTTCATCGACCGTGCCGGACGTCGGCCAATCCTCATGGCGTCCACTCTCGGCATGACTTTGTTCCTTTGCATCCTTACAATTTGCAGCGCGACCTACGCTGGTCAGCCAACAGGTGGCAAAAACATTCATCTCGGTCGCGCCAGCGTTGCTGTCATTTACATGTACAACTTCTGCTACAACTTGAAGACCGGAATGCCCCTCACCTACACCACTGAGTAAGTGCGCCTCTGATGCTGAATGGCATCGCTAACGATTGCCAGAATCATGCCTTACGGTCTCCGCGCTAAAGCCGCGGTGGTTGGCGGCTTCGCCACAATGGTCTGTAAGTCGCTCTCGGACAGTCCAGATGGTACCCGGAAATGAGCTTTACATTGAACGCTGAACGCTGCCGAGGAGAGCATGTCTCGGACGAACAAAGAACTGCTCTTCATAAGCTTTCAAATCAGTCTTCAACCGTGTACCCATTTCCTGAAACGAAGCTAATGATGTTCGCAGGCGTCTTCTTCAACCAGTTCGTCAATCCGATTGCCCTTGCAGACCTTGCGTGGAAGTACTACATTGTGTATTGTGTCTTCCTGGGCTTCGAGATCTGGTTTGTCTACTTCTTCGTGGTTGAGACTCGCTACGTGCCGATGGAAGAGATTGCCAGGTACTTTGATGGAGAGGAGGCTGATGTGGTTGGGTTGACACATGCGCAGCAGAAGGGTGTTATGGCCGAGGAGGGCACTGCGACTGAGATTGAGGACAAGAAGGCTATCACTATGACGGAAGTCAAGCGAGTGCAGACTGGTCAGTGGACAGCAAGTAAGTAGCAAGTCGCAATGACAACTAGCGATGATCCGAAAACGGTATGTGGGTACTGACGATGGCATATGGCCGTACGTTGTCTGGACTGCTTTATCTGCCGAGCAATAATACGATAAAAACGTCGCTGTCTCCATGTATAATAGTCCCGAAGCCATTGCTGTAACATTAGCCCATGACCATGCCAATTCTGCTTGTCGGCAAGACTCCCGACTCCCGTGGTCGTACCTACCGCAGATGCCAGGACCCATCTAAATGCAGGCGCTACTTGCAAACCCCAAGACAGAATGTAAGCTGCATGCCGTTCCAAGGTTCCCATCGCCAGGCGCTCAGCGGTCATCCAAAAATCGAAAAGAAATGATCAGTCAGTATGACTCTCCCTCGGGGAATCGAACCCCGGTCTCCCGCGCTCGTTATTACTCTTCAGCGAATGACAAGCGGAAATCATGACCACTAGACCAAGGAAGATGTTTGCCAGTGTGTGGCAATTGGAGTGGTTTGTTGGCCGAAAATTGTGACAGATGTACATATATATTATTCGTCTCTTGGGCGCCCAGCTAAGACAGATTTCGGGGAAAGAGCAATCACCTTACCATCATTCTTTCTCTTCACACATCGCTGCTTCTGTCGGTCATCGAGCTAGTCATCAATGGTCCCGAGATTCTCATCTGGCATCACAGGACAGCCAGTCTTTCCTTCGCCGAGTCCCAAGTTCGAAGTGCCGCGTGGCAATCAAGCCCGCGGATACGAAAGCCAAGCTGAACACTAAAGTGCTTGAGCTGAAAGCCCGAAAGCCACTCAGCGAGGGAAACCTCACGCTAGCGAAAGCCGTCATGCACGTTGAAATGTTGACAACGCTGCTCAGGTAACGCGGTTACGCGGTAACGCGGTGCAATGAAGTCGAACATTTATTTCTGTTCTGGGGGCTCCCACCAGTACAGCCATTTGGTCTTAGATGCATTCTGGACCACCTCGATCAAATACTGCCTACTACCTAGGTATTATTCATCGCCTTTGAGAGCCACAGCAGTACAGCGACGGAACACGCTGATCTATACATGTATTATTTGACGCGTTCGGTCTCCAACAAACGCTATGCCAAAAGCTCTGGTCCTCAAAAGGCATAAGCACGAGTATTCAGAGACAGAGCAGGCTTATCGATCCGCTCTTGGTACTGGTGAGTATGGACTCTTGTGTTGTCAGGTAGGCGTCAGGGTTGACCGTTTTCGAAATTCAGAGCAGGGAAACACTTCCTTCGATGAGCGAGTTCGCAAGGAATACCGATGGCAGTGAGACTCTTTCACGCACTTGGTTTGAGATGACCCGCCTAAGATGAACGACTAGCACCGTGCAGTACTGGTTCGTCGCGACGCTAGCGAATGGTTTGCTCTGGGCACAAATAGTCATAGGAGCAGCATTGACCGCACTTGGAGCGTAGGTGTATTCGAGCTCGCTATGCGCCGAACGTTACGCTTACACACTTTCTACACATCACAGCACCAAGACCGCAAGTGCCCAGACTGCAGTGATCTACCTCGGCGCCGCCAGCACTGTCATTGCAGGTCTCTTGACGTACTTTAAATCGAGGAACCAGCCCAATCGTGCACGTCAATTCCGAAACGCCCTCCGCGGAGTACGCAACAAGATCGACGACAAATCCCACGAGCTACATGGTTTGACCCCGGAACAGGCGCGGGCAGTCGCGGCTGGTATTATTAAGCAGTACAACCAGGCACTTGCTGAGGCAGCTGCAAATTATCCAGATCTCTGGGTTACGCTTGGCGATCTGAAGCGATGGCTGCCTACTGATGACCCGTTTCCGGATCCAAAGGAAGGCGACGGCAAGGGAAAACCTGGGGCAACAGGTACTGAGACTGGTCGGAAGCCGAATCCTCTGGGGCAACAGGGAGACGGGGACTCGATCCATTCGCAGCATTCTGCGCCACCATAGCACGAGTCCGGGTGTATGCTAAACCGTTGCCATCGAGTCATCGGGCAACAGCGTCCACAGAAAGTGATGGTCACCGAGGACTTCGTGAATGTCAGCACATGAAGAGCATCTTCCAGGATACATGACGCGCCTTCCACGGCTCCGAACGACTTCTCAGAACGCCTCGCCATAATTATCGCTCAAGGATTGATGGGCAGTCCTCTGTGACTCAAGCTTAACACAGAATATGTCAGACATGAACCGAACACACTCCAGGCTTAGCGAAGCAGACACAGTCGTCTTCCACCGACCGTGTATAATCTCCGTGCTGTTGTCCATCGAAGCGAACTCAGGCATACGATCCTGGAGCTCCCCCATACTTGTCGATTCTGGAGCCGTGTTGAGCGAGTCAAACAGCCAATTGATGCCCTCAGCAGTCTTATCGTCCTCGACTAGTAGCGTCAATTTGAGCTTGCGGGTTTCGGTGTAGCTGCAAATAACCACCATTTGCACTGCTCCATTAATGCCGGTAACGAAACGCGCCGCGAGAGGTATAGGATGTTGACTCCAGAACCGCAATGAAGGCTTCAGGAACACACGGTCGTTACGCTCCCAAAGGCTTTGTGGCTCCATATCCAGCCATAAGAAGTCGTCCAAGGGCTGTTCTTCCGGCAAATGCACGACGCGAGATCGATATCGGCGATACAGGTCCCATATCTTAGAATCCTCTAAGCCAGAAAGAACGAAGAAATCCGACGTCGTCTCCAGACGCTCGACGACGACATCAGATTGGACGGTGTCAGACTCTTGATCCCGTGCAAGCCTGAAGCGTCCGTCTCGAGCGAAAATTCCTGGGCCAATCTGGCTCAGTGAGACTCGTACAGAGCATTCATCGTTATCGTGGTAGTCGTAGCCCAAACGTATTGTCCACGTCCAGTATACGTCGCCGTCCTGTACTCTTTGGTTGAGATCTAGGAGCAGCCCGGCAGAGAAAAGCAGGCCTTTATTGGTAATCGAAAACTGCAGGAAGTCGAACCCAGACACAGTGATGTTAGCACCCTCAGAAAAGCAAGCTGGTGTGGGTGCGAGCATTGGCAAGAACACTTGCGGTCCAAATTCCTCTTCTGGATCCCAAGCGAAAATGGTCAGGTCGTTATCGCGCTTGATGATCTCCTCCTGTAGTCTGCGAAAGGCATACAGTCCCTCGCCGTAGATGAGTGGCATGTGGACGTCAAAAAGTCCTAGGAGACAGTACGCTGCGTCTTCGGTGCGACGAGTCTTTCGCTTCGCTGCCCATGACATCCTCGCTGCCACAGAATATTCCAGGAACGAAGCTGTTCCAGATATGACTTCTAACGGGATGTTGGTGGCCTCGCCTATACTCGGAGTAAGGTCTTCTTTCGATCCTATTGCTTCCCAATCGCGATTGAAGAAGAGCGTCTTGTGTGGAGCGATCAACTCTTGCAGGGTCCAGCCACGAGTAAACCATCTACATGAAGATAGGTCTGTCGACCCAGGCTGTAAGTCTTCGAGCCACGCAAAGCATACATCTGCGTTGCTGTACCAGGCAAACATGCTGTTTACTGCTTCGCTCAGCTCCGAACTGCTCGACTTGTCGATCGAGACAGTATCGATCCATGCATACGATAAGCCATGTTCCCTGGCCAAGCGGCATGTTTCGCAGATTTTCTGCCAGCCTTGCTTTGAGGTAGCATCATGGTAGAGAGACGCGATGTCGCGAAACGTGACTTCTTGATCGCCCCACGTATGGGATAGGATAGCGTACAGGGGAATCTCGTCACCTGTGAATTCTCGAATGCGAAGGGTTGTCGTGTTGATAAGCCACATGGTCAGGGGGCTCACACTGGCTCGTTATATGCATGGCATGGTCACAACTTCTTCTGTGTCCACTTGTGGTATCGCAACTCTTCAGCCAGACAGTAGCGAGGTGCTGTCCGACGTGTTGCCGTCATCAGGCTGAGGCTGGCAGGGCAACTTAGCCAGTCGTGCTGTGGCGTCACATCCCTGTCCGCTTGGGAGACTCGCCTCGAATCGCGCCAGGGCCATACTTATCTTCGAGACTTATGTTCCTGTTTTACCACGTATGTGCGAGTATGCGACGACGGCGATGTCATCTTCTTGCATCGGCCAACCCGCCCGAGACTCTACCATCTCTCCCTACAAACTCCGATGACGCGGAGTTACAGAAGGAGAATACGAGGTGGCAGTGACGGGTCTGATGCCAAGGAACCTCGGTTCATTGATACTAAGGATCGTGATTGGTTTCGCGAATCACGCTACATGACGGCGTATGCCTGCTCGTTCCGCCGCTGGCCGAGATCCGGGGCTGGGTTTAGCATACATCATGAAGTTAAAGGGTGCTGCTTCAGGCACGCCAGCTTCATACAACATCGAGTTCACAGAAGGAAATTGACGACCGCGCGATTGGTAAACACATTGCATATATGACTAAGGAGTCTGTACAACGCTGCTCGGAACTTCGCCGGACGTCTTAGAGCTTCGACAATCGCAACTGCCTCAAGCTGGCCTGCCAAGCTGCGACTTCTCAGACTCCATAGCAGCTTCCCACGATGCCCATCGAATCAAAGTATCCAAATGTCGATCTCCAGGTCAAGCCGATCTACGACTTCATCTTCCACAACCCAGCTCAGGCTTGGCCCGACAGCAAAGTGATCTTTCGAGACGCAGACAACCTTTTAACCAATACACTCACCTTCGCACAAGTTCGCGATGCAGCGAGCTCATTCGGGCGGGCGCTGCAGTCACAATTCCAGTTCGGCAAGTCGGATACTTTGGCCATATTTGCGCCCAACGATGTCGAGACACCGATCGTCGTCTTCGGTACACTATGGGCTGGAGGCGTTGTGAGCCCAGCGAACCCGGGCTACACCGTGGACGAATTTGCATACCAGCTCAGAGACAGTAAGGCAAAGGTCGTGGTTGCGCACGCTTCTGTGCTCGACACTGTTCGAGAGGCATGCACGAAAGTTGGCATCGATGAGTCACACATCCTAGTTCTTGGTAGCCAAAGGGATGGCAAAGGCGGAGCAAAGCACTGGCAGGAGATCATCTCGGATGCAAGCAATCCAGGCGCGAAAGACACCAGGCCAAAGATCGACCCCAAGGACGACCTGGCTTTCCTCGTGTACTCGTCGGGCACTACTGGCAAACCCAAAGGCGTCGAGCTCACGCACTTCAACATGACAAGTAATCTCCAGCAGATCCAAGCCACTGAGGGTGGGAACATGAGCTGGGATGGCACGGCGAGTTGCCCTGGCATTCCGGATGCGCCTCGCGGCCGGGGCGATGTCATCCTGGCTTGTCTGCCGTTCTTTCACATCTATGGACTGAACGTGTTGATCCATCTTCCACTATTCACAGGTATCGAAACTTTGGTACTGACTCGGTTCGAGATAGAGAAATTCTGCCGGCTCATCCAAGACCAGAAGGTCACATTCTCATATATCGTTCCACCAATGGTCTTGCTTCTCTGCAAGCACCCAGCGGTGGAGAAATACGACCTAAGCAGCTTGAGGATGACCAACTCAGGCGCAGCACCTTTGACGAGAGAACTTGTTGAAGCTGTCTACAAACGCAAAGGTGTCCGTGTAAAGCAAGGGTATGGACTGAGCGAGACAAGTCCTACCATTTTCCAGCAGCGCTGGATCGACTGGGACAAGAGTGTTGGCAGCACTGGTAGAATGGTCCCAAATCTGCTATCAAAACTATGCGAGGTCGGATCTGAGGAGGGAAGCGATGGCTCGAAGCCAAAGGAAGTTGGCCTTGGTGAGACAGGCGAGCTATACGTCAAAGGTCCAAATGTATTTCGGAGATATCACAACAACGAGAAGGCAACGAGCGAGTGTGTAGATGCAGAGGGATGGTTCCGGACGGGAGATGTCGGCCATATCGACAAGAACGGCGACCTGTGGATCACTGACCGAGTCAAGGAACTGATCAAGTACAAGGGCTTTCAGGTCCCGCCAGCTGAACTCGAAGGCTATCTAGCGGACCACGAGCTCATTGACGACGTTGCCGTTGTTGGCGTCGAGAGCAAGGAGCTTGGCACAGAAGTCCCGAGAGCGTATGTTGTACGAAAAGGTGGGCCTGACGCTGTGCAGAAGGGTGATGACGAGAAGATCATCAAGTGGTTGAATGCGAAGGTGGCCAACCACAAGAAGCTCAGAGGAAGCGTCAGATTCGTGGACGCCATACCGAAGTCAGTCTCCGGGAAGATTCTCAGACGTGTGCTCAAAGAGCAAGCGAAGAAGGAGTTCAAGGAGTTGGAAGAAGGCAACTTGAAGGCCAAGCTGTAATCTGCAAACCAGGATACTGTATCACGCGGCGATATTGAGCGCTTCGGAACGGCTGCCAGGGGTGTCATCCGGCGTGATGTTGTGCCTAGCTCGTCACCCGGTCTGCCTTCAAGCGCGTCTGCCAGCGCCAGTCCTCCCAATATATATATCAAATCCTATGTACAGCTTATGCAGATGGTCCAGAGCACGTCCTAGGAGGTACAATTCCGAACGATTTCGGGGCAATAGATACGCATCATCTGCCGGTGCTCACCTGCATGCAAACCCTCACCGCAACGTCATATCGAGATGGCTTTTGTGCTAGCACGCTGCAATGCAATGCAGCTCGAGATCTGCAGCCGCCCGGTTCCCCGGCTGCAGCCGCCTCAGAAGTCTCCCCACCTGGGATCAAAGTTGGACAGGTACGCGCACTTTTGCAAGATCTCAGTCTTGCTGTTGCGAACAGCAGCTCGTCCACCTTATCTATAACATGCTGTCATATCTCCCAAGCTCCGGTTGCCAGCAGCCTGTACCACTTTTGGGTGCTTGAGACATAATACCTACTAAGCGACGTTTCACCCTGCCAAATCCAGTCCGGACGCCGGGCATTGAAAATCCCCCGCATACACTACAAAAGACACATGCTTGAACCTGCGAACCTGCTCGACTGCTACAAGGTCCTTCCTAGCACGTTGTCAGTCCCTCAGGCCCTCTCAAGCAGATTCAAAGCATGCTCGACAGCCACCGCTCATACCACAAAGTAGACCACCAGACAGTTCACGTCCCTATGCAGCCACTGTCTCCCACCACCTCTCGAGCCTCACGAACCACCCGCTACACCATGTCGCAGCCCTCTGACCAAACCCGCAAATACTCCAACTCGACCGTCTTCAACATCACCGTCCTGATCTCCGGCTCCGGCACGAATCTACAAGCGCTCATCGACGCCTGTAAGCCCGGCTCCTCACTCTCCAATGCCCGTATCACGCATGTCATCTCCAACCGCAAATCCGCATACGGACTCACGCGCGCCAAAGAAGCACGGATTCCTACTACATACCACAATCTCGTCGCCTACAAATCAAAACAGCCTCAGGACAAAGCCGGCACCCAGAAAGCCCGTGAGCAATACGACGCCGATCTCGCGCAGATAATCCTGACACACATCCCCTGTCCGGACCTTATAGTCTGCGCTGGGTGGATGCACATCCTGTCCAACCCCTTTATAGCGGCCCTGCAAACGGCCTCTGTGCCTATCATAAACCTCCACCCTGCCCTGCCAGGGAAATTTAATGGCGCAAACGCTATCCAACGAGCGCATGAAGCGTTTCAGAAGGGTGAGATAGCGGGCACTGGCGTAATGATACATCATGTGATTGGCGAGGTCGATATGGGAGAGCCAGTGGTGGTGCGAGAAGTGACGTGTATCAAAGGGGAGGCACTAAGTGATCTAGAGGAACGAATACATCGGGTGGAATGGGAAGTCATCGTGGAGGGGACGAAACGGGAGTTGGCGGTGCTGGAGAAGGGCCGGCGGGAGAGTGCGTCGTGATCACTAGCTGTTTGTGAGGACGATGTTTGTGTAGAAGGGGAGCAGCCTCTCCTTTGTATTACACAACACATTTTGGACATGTCGAATGACGGAGACACGAAATCCAAGCGTACTCGAAGACTATATGGGACTTGCCCAGCGACAAGCATACAGTCCGCCCAGTATTGGCACTTAGAGCAAGCACTGGTGAAACCTCTTCATTGGGCATGTAGCCTGCCTCGAACGAAAATTCCATCCGGGGGACTTCGAGCTATGCTTTGTCAACCGGCTTGAGGTAAGGCGAAGGCCAAGGAATATAAATGCAGAAATCCCGGACGTCAATGCACCTGGAGCGGTAGCACTTTCCGTCACGAAGTTCAAGGCATAACAGATCGTTTTCTGCGCCAAAAGATCTCAACATTGAAACGTCTTTTGCTATACCATTCACGTTCTCGAATCTTCGTCACAACTAGTAGCAGACGCCTCACAAGCCCCAAGCCGCAACAGCACTCACTACAAATGCGCCAACCATCACGATGCCCAGCCCAGTCCTTCTACTCACCGCATTATTCCCCTGCTCATCGCCTCCGCCACTGGCATCCCCAGTCTCGTTCCTCACGCCTTTGATCGCATCTGCTTCCACCGCCTGCCACCCCTCCGCCCCACCACTCCTCTCCGGCAACACATTACTCACAAACAACGCCTTTCCCCCATCCGCACCCCCATTCATCAACACATTCCCCGCCGGATAATAATCACACACCACAATCACCCCATCCACCCCGTTCTCCCCGCCACAATCCGTCCACCCACAGCCCACACTCACCGTATCCCGCCACACCAACTGCGTGAAATGCCCCGTCGCCTCAGTGAACCCCGTCGGGTCGTCCTTGTCGAAATCGTAGTCGAATTCGGTGACCTCGTTGTACCACGCGTCGATGCCCGCTGTGAGGTTGGCGTACCCCCGCGCGAGGTTCTCGCCGTAGTTGAGCGAGCCGAGTTCGGGGTTGTGCGCCCAGATGCACTTGGTGGAGTAGGATTGGGCGAAGGTGGCGAGGGAGGTGTTGTAGGTGAGGAAGGGGGCGGAATGCAGGTAGCGGTAGAAGTTTGTGGTGTTGAGGAGGGTGTTGTGGAAGAGGGTTGGGTCGGTGTAAGTGTCACTTAGGTCTGAGGAGGTGGAAGAGGCAACGGGGGCGGTGAAGGTTTGCGTGACGGTTGAGGAGGCTGGGAGGGAGATTGTTTCTGTGACGATGCTGGTAGAGACGTCCTGGGCAAGTGCTGGTTGGGGTGTTGTGAAGAGGAGTAGTTGGAGAAGAAGCAAGTTGCTCCTGTGCCTGCTCCTGGTTGCAGCGACGGCGCAGACGTTCTGCCGCCGGTGTCGACCTTGCATGATTGCCTTGCTGGCGGCGGGCTGTTGTGGTAGGAACTATGGGCCAATCGTGCTCCAGTGGCTGGGTTATATGAGAAGCACGTTTCTTGAACACGCTCCTGACCGGGATCGTCCTGTCAGCGTATCCTTCACTATGCTTCTCGTGCCCTTCTCGCAGTACAACCTCGTGAGCCTGTAAGATTACCACACAGTACCTAGCCGTGCGCTGAAATTACATTTGCTGCTATCACATGCAATGCATCAAATGCGCCAAATACTTCGAATCCACCGAAAGCCTCCTGAATTACTGCTGTCGTAAATGCGAAAAGCGATAAATTGATCGTACTGCTATGCTGTTCCATAAACCGCGTAATGCCTGGTGAACGAGTGGTCGTCAGCCTCTACCGCGAAGACCGGCTGACTGGGCCTTATTGCGTGGCGCGCGCCCTTGTTCCCAAAAAATAGATGGCGATAAAGACAGATACAATCGATCGCTTCCTGCTGCGCAACAATGTCTTTCAATGCTTCATCATATCATTAAGCACTCTGTCTGTAGATCAAGGCCAAATCACAGCCCGAGAATGCAACGAGAAGGATGTATATGTGGTTTGTTCAAGGTACCTGCGTAGTCCTCCTCGTAACTTCGTAAGCCAACAACGTCATGCACGGTTCGGCTAAAACAAGGCGACGAGCCTGGTTCAGGCGAGCTCGGGATGCAGGGATGCAAGGGTTTCCGAGTCCCGGTTTCTTCTGCATGGGTGTCTCCTTTACCTCAATCACTGCAGTGTGCTGTGAGGGTTCGGAAGTATTACATACACAGAATGATCTCAAGCGGCAGCGGCAGTCGTTTCGATTGCACAGTGAAACGTGTCATTTAGGGGCATATCGCGGCCACCACATAGCTATTGGGTATCTCAATACTTGCTGTACTCACAATCAAATACACATTAATACCACATGCTCTCATTGTGCAAGGTGTAATGCCCGCCGCTCTGTCCAAAACGCCCTTTTCCTGTCCTGATCCGTTCTGCCTCACCGTAGTTGAGGCTTGTAGTAAGCAAAGAGGGTATCATATAGTTAGTGAAGGCCAGTCGCCTGGCCAAAGCATTTCTCAGCAACTCCGTCCTCCTTTCCTGTCCTGCCGTGCGAAGAGAGACTTTCGAGCAAAGACGCTATCTCCCAAGCCTATCGGTTGCTTTGTAGCGAGAGCAATGAGAAACGTTTCGTCGTCGTCGTCGTAGGTGTGGCTGCAGCACCATTATCATCGTTAGCTGCGGCGTTGCTCACCATCCCACCCCATTCTGTATATCGATCCATGTACGCGCTCTGGGGGCGTCTTCTTCGACCTTCAGTCGACTCTCCAGTAGGCAGCTTCTCTACACTGCTGGATTTTCTGAGCGTCCTGAAGCGATCGCGAAGAGGCTTCCCCATCTGGCGCAGTATAGAGGGCCCCTATTGAGCCGTGACCACTGCCGGACCTGACTTGTTCTTATTCAGTCCGCTCAGGTGAGTCCAAGCGAGCAGATCAAATTTGTCCCTAGCACTGCCGGCTTCGGGATTTGGACTTGCTTTTGGCATCTGCTCTCGTGGTTCCAACACCAAGCTTCGCCTATAGTGGTTCTGGTAGTTCTTCTCGTCGTTGCTGCGGACTTGAATGAGGCGATCCTGCATCCATGTTTGGAGCTCGCTCACTTCTTGGAAGCGATAAGGTATCTGAAAGCGCTGGAGATCAGAGATGAGCTTGGCCGTTCGCATGTGCTTGTCGAGATTGATGACCTCAATAGGACCATTAGCCGCATTGAGCTGTCTTGTGGCGGCGTTGCCGTGGTCGACGAAGGTCAGATCAGTCAGGTACATGCCAACGTACGGTATGCACGGAGGGACCAAGTTCTGAAGCCGATCACGAAAAGCTGAGAAGTTCCGTTCGAAATTTGTGATCTTCCGTAGCTCTTCAAGTGTGTTCTTGGTCTTCTGTGATACCTGATCCCAGGTCTTGAGCATGCGCGTGATGTTGGTCGAATTGAGGGCGGCAACGATCGCAAATAGAGACTCGTAGTTGTTCAGCTCAGCACACTTGTTTGCGATCTTAATCCATTGCTTGATGATGGTTGCACGCTTCTTGACATCCTCAAGCTGAAGCACTGACTCTGATACGAGGTTCGAGATATCTGTGGATAACCTCGAAAGTGCTCGGACATTGACTGCCAGGGAGTTTGATGTCTTCATCCATTCATTCGCCAGCAGCTCTTCAGGCAGTATCGAGCAGAACAACCCAGAAGTCTTGAGCGTGATTTGGCGGGCCAGCTCCAGCGGGTCGAAATCGAGTATAGTGACACCTGCGCCGCCCATCTTCCACGTGCGAAGAGCCGTCAGTTGACTTTTCGAAATGACAGGGTTTGGCATTGGCGTTGCCGGGTTGATGTAGGACGACGTCGAAGTACTGGTTCTGCCCATAGCAGACTGCACGCGTGGAAGAGCGGGAGCATGCGTTGAAGCGACAATATCGGATAGCTCTACCAGTCGCTTGCTCGCAGTTGGTAGCACTGGCGCGACGTCTTCTCTGGCAAAAGCGATGATTGCCGGAAGTGCGCTGTCATCACAGTCATGTCGCCAGTGAGTCTCGAGCCAGCCTTTGAGTGCATTGTAAACACGCAGTCTGACTGGGCCAGCTAATCGTTGAGAATCGCCAGCGTACCGGAATCGCCAGACCAATGCAGCCACGAAATCGGCTGGCTTTGCAAACAATCTGAAGGTGAGGTACACTGTCGAGACAAACAATGCGTCAGGTGTGCTGTCATGCGCGGTGAGTCGCTCCACCAAAGCATGTAGGGTGCCGCCGACAAGCTGTCCATCGCGATTATACATTAGTTCGTGAGCATAAGTCTTCTCGAGCAGGACTGCTTCAGCTTCGTCTTCGGGAGCATTACTCTTGACCAGAGACTCTTGCGATGAGAATGGGCCCAAGCTGCTGGCTTGCGAAGACATGACTGCGGTCGTAGCTGTCGACATATCGCTGTGTTCATTCGTGTTCTGCGACGACTCCGAAGCGCTCTTACTCGACGTCTTCATGCTTCTGATTAGTGATTTGTGTCGTAAGTGGCCAACTGGGATGGCAAACTCGTTCGACAAAGGACGGTCATGCTGAATGGGCGAATGAAGAGTCGTTTGTGAACTCGAAGACGGCATCATCGGAACGACGAGTTGCTCATCTGCTGGCGTTGGTGGCACGCTTGAATTAATTGTAGATGGTGAGTCACCGCGAGCTTGTTCTTCTTCACCAGGAATATTCAGCCAGGGGAGTGTTTGCTGGGCTTGTGCTGAGTCAATGTCCGCCGTCACTCCGGCGATCTGTAGACCCTGAACGGTTCCTGAGGCGGGAAATGTGCTCCGAGTAGGTGACTGCTGCTTGCTTGATTCGGAGCTTGCACGATCTAGCAGTGAAGGGTCGAGTTCGAAGTCGCCGGCCTCTTCGAGTACCGATCTCGTTCGAGCCACACAACGACCAGCCCCGCTCACACAATTTGTCGCAGCGTGGACGAGTCGCCTGTTCTCGTCCGGTCGATAGACCAGCTCGTCGTCCTGATTATGCAAGGGCAGAAACACTTGCTTGGCGGACAGAACGAGCTCGGTTATGGCATCGTACATGGAATCCTTAGATTGGTTCAGTGTTTCTGAGGAGTCGGGATTTCTTTCAATGACGAGTTCGACGATTGACAGCAGCTGCCGACACGACTTCACGGCTTGTTGTGTAGTGAGGAGAAGTTCCGAGGATGATCTTGACTGCATGTGAGAACCCAAGAAAGACGCCAGAACTCCCAGGAATGCATCGTAGGACTTATTGAGACGGTCGGAAGCTAGATGCAGGCGCTCTGCCTTGGATGCGTAGCTGAGGCGATGCGTTGTAGAGTTGCGTTTGCTCTGTGGTCTGGGAGACTGCTGAAGTGACTGATTTGCGAGGTACGAGCGTCGATTGATCGCGGCTGACGAGAGCTGCGACAGAGGTGAAGGCGAAGCGAGTCTCGTACTCTCAGCTCCAAGATCATCCAGACCAGATAGACTGCGAGAGAAGGCAATTTCTTCACCCCAGATGTCGAAGAACTTGACGGCGCGGGTCACTATCTTGAAAGCTTGGAGCAGCAGATCGTCCAGGTAAGTGTCGATGAGAGCTTCACTTTCAGGCGACAGTGTCTGGAGTTGCTTTCCGGACTTCACAAGCAAAGATAGATCAGATAAAAGGCCTTTCCGCATCCGCCGAATACCGTCGTGTTTGCGCACATTGGCAGACTCCCTTGTCAAGCAATCACATTTCTCCAGCAAATACCGCACACCAGCTACAAGACCACGCATGTAGTCCTTGTTCTGGAAGATGGCTGACCCAGTAGCATTGTTCGATCGCATTATGTCCCAAAACTCGGTCAAGGCGCGTAACAGAGGGCGCATGGCGGCATAGTCGTACGCCTCGCAATAGTTGGTTGGCAGCCACCCTCGCTCGCCCGTCTCCAGTAATGTTCCATCGGCCCATCCATTAGTATGTATCGAATGTATGAGGAGAATATCGCCTGAGTTGAGAGGTAGTGTGACGGTCGACGGCGACGGCGATGAGGTAGGCTGGAATGGATATGCAGCTCTCAGGTAGTTGTGGAATCGCGGCGGCCGGGTGGGCGGATCGATCGGCGGCTCTGCATGCTGGCGGGGATGTCTTGTGTCACCCAACTTGCGGATGCGCAGCGGAGCAACTGATATGTCGACAGAGGTATCTGACTGCATAGTCGTTTGCGAGTATTTCTCAATTGAGGTAGGCGGAAGTCATGTCGAGGTAGCAGATTCAAGGCCTCGAGAGCTCTGTCTGCTGGTCACAAGGTGGGTTAGTGTTTGTGTGTATGGCAAGCGACAGACGCCGCATTTGAATCGGAATGCAGGCAGAGTTCTGCGCGGCATGAAGAGAGGTCGAGTGGCATACCATTGGATGGCTCCCCCAGACTTTTCGCCCTTGCAACTCCAGCTCTGATGTTCGTGTCCTTGCTGAAGACTGAAGGATGGGCCGCAAGGGAGGCCTGGGAGGGCGACTCGAAGTCGTTGCAGTCAACTCAACGATTGGGTCAAAATAGTGGCTTGGACGCAAGGACCAACAATACCAGGCTAGATGGACCGGGCTCTCGAATAGCTCCGAAGGAGTGACTAGGGTGAGTTGCGCAGAAAAACAGCAAGGGCCGATTATAGACTATGACTGGTGATCGACAAAGGTGCAGAATATATGTCGACGGTGTTAGAGGTTGCAGGTGGTGTTCGGGCAGGGCGACGGCGAGGTGTGAGGGAGACCTGGAAAGGGAATGCAGGGTTGATGTGGATGTGGAAGAGTGGAATCACTGCAAAAAGTGAAAGTAGAAGCACAGTTCCAGAAGAGTTCGAGCTCAAGGCTTAGCTGGCACACCAGCGACACGGCTCAAGCGATTTGATAACCTCTGCTACTGCCGCTAACTCTACCACTCGTGGCACTACCGTCTTTTCGGGCTGTGCAGCCTGTGCTTGTTGCCTTGTCTCTCGTGTTCACCTGGAGCTGCATTACTGCTTTCAGCACTCATTTCGGAGTAATAAAATCCACCTCGACCACTATGACATCTATCTGCATTGTTCAACCTCTATCTCGACTGCTACGAGGAACGGCACCTGCTGGTGACCTGATGACGCCGTGCCTCTGCTGCGCCCGAATCTCTCACAATCCCAGTGTGTTGACTGTTCGCTTAATTCAACGGCGAGTTCATCTCAGACTGTGAATGGCGCATCTGTCGAGATATGGAAACCCTTAGCCCCCTGGTCACCTCGGGGAAGATGCTGAACCCCTGCCGGTTGATCTTGTTCCCATGAGACGATGCCTCATATGTCCATGGTTCCAGGCCTATGCTCCATTTCTCGGGACTGATCGCCCGCCGAACATGCACGTTGCTGCACTGTTCGGCACTCGTAGTACAGCTGCTTCTCGAAATGCTTCAACTACTGTACAATCGTCTCAACCTGAACTTCTCGACGCGTCGCTGCAGTCGCGACTGTCGCCTCGCGTTCTTGAAACCTTTTCTCTGCCACGCTGATCAACCTTCTGTCACAGGCGTAATAATAGCAATAATGATAGCCCTCAGAAGCATATTGTAGTCCGGGTCCAACATCGAATTTCCATATCATCCCAAAATTCTGAAACGCACCCCAGTCGCCTCGTCCATCACCAATCACAGCACAATGGCATTCATATCAAATTTCCACTCACGCGGGTGCTTTCGTCACCTCTCCATCTCCTGCATCAAAGCGCTTCTATTGTTCGTACTACAGCTTCGTATCACGCGACGATCACCTCTTTGCTATCAATGCGCTGCTGTCCGGCCCCCTGTTCCTTCTCTATCATAATTTCTTGACGTGAAATTGGGGGCCGGGGCCGGCGCATGTCCCTTGTATTTCGGACATTTACCTCGAATCGCAAATTTTTCTTCAGATCGACACCACTGTCCCGCGTCTCCATCATAGATGACCATCCATGTCTGCAGAAACGCGTAGGCCATATCGAGAACCCCTGAAAGCACGCGCCAGCAGTTCTGGGATGACACTGGCAGAAGCAACATCGATCTTGAGCTGTTCTTGGAACCAGTTCGTAGGGCTTGTGAACTCGGGGCCGGACCCAAACTTCGGGACGTGATTCACATGAAGGATGACAAGTTGACGAGACAGTGCTTCGCAATTATCCTAAGCGCCTTTCATGGCGCAAGATCAACGCTGCCGACGGCCTCAGACCAAACGCCTCCCGAAGCGTCTTCTCATGTGATGACAAGCGGCAGTGAATGGTTCGTGAGAACAACAGTCCGCGAATTCGGGGAACTCCATAAACTACAGTAGGGAAGGAGGACATGTCCGTCCCAGAAGGTAGAGGCTTCGCCGAGGTCAGGCAATACTTGAATCGTTAGGAAGCAATTCCTTCTTTGCGATTGCTGTGCACTATTACAAATCTGGAGACCAGTCCCATTCTACAGAGCAAGCTACCATGCCCGAATCAATCGACGTTGTCATCATCGGCGCTGGTCTCGCAGGGTTGACCGCTGCGAGAGAAGTCACGAAGGCTGGATACTCTTGTGTTGTGCTTGAAGCAAGAGCTCGAGTGGGAGGTCGCACGTACACTCACAAATTGGACAAGGGCATCGTCGACCTCGGTGCTGCGTGGATCAATGACACAAATCAGAGTCAAATGTTCGCGCTTGCGGAGGAGCTGAAGCTTGAGCTAATAGAGCAGAATACAACGGGTAATGCTGTACTGCTTGATCATGATGGGAGCGCAAAGCCATTTCCGTACGGGAAACTACCTCCAGTAAGTGCTGATGTGTCAGAACGATGCAAATCACAGTGCTGTTCTCGTCGTCACTTCACGCATGACCACCTTACTCTGGTTTGGGGTTGCCAATTGACTTGTATGGCAGTTCGACGATGAGACAACAACCCACCTCGCTCATATTCGTGATACTGTCGAGGCCGATTGCCAGAAGCTATCTGCTGCCAGGCCTACTTCCACTCACCTCGACAGTATAACCTTTGCCGCTTACGTTCAGTCTCTCGGAGCCAGCCCGCTTGCGCTTTCTATTGCCAGCATCTGGACTCGTGCCATGGTAGGTCAGGAGCCAGAAGACGTCTCCGCTCTTCTTTTTTTGAACTATTGCAAATGCGGTGGAGGCCTCCTGCAGATGCGGTCTGATCAAAAAGGCGGCGGACAACATTTGCGGATTCGCACTGGTACTCAATCGTTCTCAGAGGGATTGAAAAACATGCTGCCAGCAGGCACGGTCCGCTTGTCCAGCCCGGTCGACTCAATCACGCAGCAAGGTGACGGTCATGTACTCGTCACCACGCAGAATACACCTGACATGCCTCTGCTTGCTCGCAAAGTCATTACTTCCGTCCCTGGACCAGCGCTCAAGCACATAACCTTCACGCCACCCTTGTCGCCAGCAAAGCGCCTCTTGATCGACTCTTTCCGTTATGGCTTCTATCAGAAGGTCATGATCGTGTTTAAGACGTGCTTTTGGGCACACACAACAGGAATACCCAACTGCGGCCTCATACAGTCATTCAGCGATCTTCATCCAGCTGCTGTCGTACGAGACACCTCGTCTCCTCTCGATGATAAACATGTCCTCACATTCTTCGTCGCCGGCAACCCAGGGCGCGCCTGGTCCGCTCTACCCAAACCTGAACGCGAGGAAGCACTCTTCCGCCAAGCTGCAGACGCTTTCTTGTCCGGCGACCTCGCGAGACTCAAGTCAGAAGTTGTGGAAGTGATTGACTTCGAATGGCGGAACGAGCACTGGAATGGTTACGGCTGTCCGAGCCCTTGCCTCGCTCCGGGAGTGTGGTCTGCGATCGAGTCGGAGGGCGGTGCGGAAGTTTTGGCACAAGCTGCAGGGAATGTGCACTTTGTGGGCACGGAGACGAGTGATGTGTGGAGAGGGTATATGGAGGGCGCGGTGAGGAGTGGAGCGAGGGGCGCGAGGGAGGTGTTGGCGGATCTGAAGCGTTAGCAGTGGAGGGGACTGTATTGGTCATAGGTGTGCCTGATCAGCAATGTCGGCGACGCAGGAAAATATACATCGCATCGCCGAGGATCGACCCATGACCATCTAGTCGAGCCTCAGCGCCAGTGGTCGAAGCCTTGATCTCAGCAGCGTCCTCCCAGATACTTGTCTTCTGAGGACCGTGCAGCATATAAGCTGGTGAGATGAACATGAGCGTTTCGAGTCGCATACGGCATGGCTTTGGTGTCCGTTGCTGAAATGCGACAGTGTGCGTGCGATAAGCACAGATCGTTCGACAAGTGTGCAAATTTCTTGCCATTGTCGCACGCCAGAGTCGAGAGATGGGCTTATTAGTTGCGATCCAGGAACATATTAGAACTTCACGAAGAGCCCTGTACGCTCTCGACGAGGTGGTGCTTACTACGAGACTGCTGCTCTACTGTGTGGGTGATCTGAGCACGTTGGTACTTTTTACGAGGGTTCGCTTACGACGACTGATTTGCACCTACTGGACGCCCATGTCGTGTCAAAGATCGAGATACCTACCTACGAAGTTGACACATTCTAGACTGTGCGTATAACGCCTGAACAAGTTTTAGTGGTTGCAGGCAACTGCGCAGTGTTCAACAGCCTGCTGTGTAGACAACTCCTCTACTAGCCCACTAAACAATCCAGTCATTAGACGCGCATATTGCGCGGCAGCGCTTACTGTAGTTGCTATTTGTTAGCGCGCGATTGTATAGAAATTTCTAAGACATGCAGAATTCCAAGGCTTCTGACATCGCGTAGCGGATGTAGAGGGTTGCAGATGCCCGCCTCCAGCTCGCTGCACATTCCTGGTGCCTCCAGTTAACGCTCATTTGTTGCATCTGCCGACCGTAGGCGCGAATGTCTCGTTCATCTTACTCTTCTACCAACCACAACCTGTAACAGCACCAAGATATTTTCTGGACCAACCATTGAAGGCCACCTCGAATCGAATCAAGCACCGTTCGCTCCTTCCTGCTTTCAACTAATGTACTGCTGCACCAGGATGGGCACCTTCACATCTCCCTCGCGCTGAGGACTCTCCAGGGCTGGGCAGGCAGCCCACCTCTTCTTATCATCGCCTTCACTCCTTCTCCGTTCTTCGAATCCGTCATAGCGCAGCATCGTCAGTGCACTTGCGGGATTTGCTTGAGTCTTCAAATCCTTCCTGCTGTTGTCACTCCTGCCAAATCGTTATCCGCAGCATCTTATCCGCGCGGCTACGATTGTAGTGTGGTACCCCAAAAGATTGCCGGTGACGATATCGAGGCACCCATTCACACTACCATCATATGGTTTCTTCGCGCTCGAAGTCCTGATCAATAACTCCCATCTAGCGAATGAAAGCCTCGCCTTTCAATCAGTTTTCACCTCGAATACTCGCTACCCCTTATGCTCGTCATCGCTACAGTCTTACGCCATTCAGCGGTTCATGAAACGTTTCGACTCATTTCACTCTCTACCGACCTTGCCATTTGCCGCCGGCTGGTGCCTGAACGAGTCTACTGGTCGGGCCTGGCTCGTCAACATCAGGACTGCTTCAGATGAATGCGGACTTGTCTGATTTCGTATAGGCTCGTCTCGATCCAATAAAGTCGGCTACGTCAGTTTATCCCCTGACCGATGACGGTTCGACTACATTATCTGGCTGCTTGTGACTCGCGACGAAGTCATCAAACATCACAGTCAAGCCATGGAGACCGTCGGTGCGAGCGTACCTGCGGAGGCCCAACGCGACCAAATAGTAGTGTCCAGGCCCAGTCCCGACTCCGTGGTAGATGATGACAGTGATCGAGAATCTCGAGGTAGCATCAAAGGCCCTATCCGTTCGACAGCAAGCCACTGACCATTTCCAGGTAGCGTGGCAAGCTCGAGGTCATCGCCGCCAACCCCATCGCCGCCAATTGCACTGCAGGAGAAAGTTGTTCTCAATGAGCATGTGAATAGCACCACTGCACACAAGCGCAAACGATCTGACAGCGATCATCTTGAACACAATTCGCCACAGCGGCCACTGGCATGGACTCAAAGAGAGCAAGGGCCAGGCCATGTCGCCATTCCGGCCTCAAGCACTTCGATGACGAGAGGGCCAGGCCCGGGTCATATCGTTACTCCGGCCTCGACCACCTCAATCCAGACTGACACTAGTATATGGACGCGTGTGGGGCCAGGGAACAGTCCTCCCACACCAGATACACCCGGTGCAGTTCACGCAGACGAGGACTGGGATGTAGAGGACGACGCCGCGGAGTCTACCTATCGTCATGAGCCAAATGGTACAGGGAAAAGGAAGCGAAACTTTTCTCGTAGAACCAAGGATGGCTGCAAGACTTGTCGAAGACGGAAGAAAAAATGCGATGAAGCTAAGCCATTCTGTAAGTCACACTCGTCAAGTCACTCTCTTCATTGGGTCAGATCAACCTCTGTGTCGCGTCAAGTCAAATTCTCTGCCCGTCGAAACGGCCTCTCTTTTGCGTCATGCCCACCTCTACTGCCCAACAGTGTTCAATGGACATGATATTGACATGCTGCCAGGCGAGAATTGCGCAAAATCTGGCAACACCTGCGAAGGTTACGCTCCCAAGGGCTACAATGGTCGGTCTCTTGCCCAAAAAATCCCGGTGCCGCTAGTATCCAAAAGTGCACCACCGACAGATGTCGCTGACACTGGTCTTCCAAACATGGTCGGCCGGACCTGGAACGGAGCAGGGTCGAGCGCGAGGGGAGCTGTAACCCAGCAAAATTACCAACCAAGATCAATGCCACACGCGACTGATGGTGTGTCAAACGGACAGCACGACCATGGTCCGGCCGCGGGTCTGGATCAGCAACCGCTATGGCCACAACATGGTCCAAGGCCCTCCTCGTCAACAAACGGATATACAAATGGATATACAAACGGACATCTGCCTCCACCGCACCGACTCCAGCGCGGAGAACATACTGCTATTTCGTCTCCTGCCCAAGACATGCGACCAGCATCGTCAAGACCACCATCAACAACCTTGCCACCTCTCGCAGCCATGGCGCAACAGGGTCAACCACCACCTCCACCGACTACAGCAGCTAGCCATCACTCTGCCAACCCCAACATATCACCGCCACCGCCACCTGCCGGACACGTTCACCAGCCCGCACCCCACTCCCGACAGCCGTCCTATGCTCCGTCTCATATGTCGTCTGGTGGAGCTTCTGAGTATCGTCATACGCCGCCTGCTTCCGCACCAGTCTCTCGTCATGGCCGCCACGCGTCTACCTACCACCCAGCTCCACCGTCTGGCATGTCATCTCTCAACAGCCCTGCACACACGTCTCATCCGCCGATACCCGAGCCCTCACCGATCAACGCCGCCTTCAACGCAAGTGCTGGGACGTCGTCGGGCAGCGGTTCTCTTCCTCCTATTCTTCCTCCTCCTCCAACCTCGCAGTTTCTGCCTACTGCCCAGTACGAGATCGCAAAGTCTCGTATGCTGCGTGGCGCGCCTTATAATGCCCTTGACAACTACCTCATGGCCGAAAGACAACGCTGTGAAGCTGCCTGCGAGCGCTTCAACAACAAACTGAAAGAGAAACCCCTGAACGCCCAAGCTCGCGCGGCTCATGCTTCTGTTACTGGCTCCTCAGCTTTTGGCAGTGAAAGCGGCCGTTCGCCGTCACGCTTCACCAATGCGAACGACGCGCTTATCGCGATTGTGGATCCCACAGCAGATCCATCGTCCGGTCCACATGTGATCCCCCAGAAAGGGATCCTCACCTATGGTGTTGTTGTTGACACCGGATTCCAATGCTCGTATGGCTATAACTTGCGACTGATGGAGAGCTGTTATATACGACGAGATGTGTTTATTGACGATTCAGCAGTCGTGGAGATTGGCGCGCGTTGTGTTATTGGTACAGGAACGCGAATAGAAACGAGCAGTCCGTGTCTCGAGCGCGTCGCACGCGATGGCGCTAACACCGAGATGGTTGCCAAACCTGTGATCATAGAAACGGAAGTGATTGTTGGTGGTGGTTGTTTCATTATCGGTGGAGTACGCATTGGAAAAGGCGCGACTATCAAGCCGTTCTGTAACGTTGACAGAGATGTGCCCGATGGCGTCGTCTTCGAGTGGCGTAAGAAGCTAGGGAGATGTGGATGGGCAGAAGAGGAGGAAGAAGAGGAAAGCGAACAAACGCTGGAAGATAGGCTCGTGGGGTTTTCGAAGCACGACAAGGACGAAGCAATTAATTGGGTGGTCGAGATCCTGGAGCAGAAAGAGAAGAGGCGGCGTGAGCAGAGGAAAGAGGAAAGACGAGAGGAGCGTGAACGTAGGGAGATGGAGAGGGACGCTCGAGGCGGTGGCTCGCTGACGCAGGCACAAAGCTACCCTCATCTGCCACCACCGCGCCAAAGTGAGAACGAGATGAGGGCGTGGGAGGTAGAACGAGAGCGATCTCGTGCAACGGAGGCCGCCCAGCAAGCGCCGGCACGAGACCCTCGCGATGAACGATGGGGCGAGCAGCACCGCGAGCTGACCCATGAGCATCGGCGGCATGAGCATGGTGGTGATGATGAGCACGAATACTATCGTGCCTGAAAGTTGGCTGAGGACTCTCACGTGGGCAGCCTTTCGCAAAGCAGCCGAGCTCCGAGACTAGAACCGTTGCAGAAGCGGATATGGATAAGTACGTGCGACTTGAGCTCATTCTGTCGTCGGAACAACGACCAAATAATGCTTGATAATTCGACAATTCTTGATTGAGCGGCACAGCTAGCTCTCATTCGCCCTCCATCTGTGGTTCAATGTCCCTCGATTGAGCGTCACAACTAGCTAAATTCGCCTTCGACTGCCGTCACTTGGGCGTTATGGACTTGCAGCTGACGTGCGGAGGTTTGCTGGCCACGGAGAACTCTGTGACTGACTATTTGACATCTTCTATTCCTCAATTATCGCTCCACCCACCCTTCTTATCTCCCATGATCACACCCAGGTCCACCACCGTCGCACTGAAGGGCACCAACTTATGTAGGCCGAAATCATCATACACCTCCCCACCAAAGATCATCAAGTGATCCGGATAGTCCCCGAGAATGTGGATCGCGCGACTATACACCGCGCCCGCTGGCGTTGCATACTCCTTCCACCCATCAAGACACCCACCGCAGCGATTCGTGTAGACAGATGAACTGTCCGCATCGGAGACGACAATGGTTCCCAGCTCGCCGCCGTAGGGCGACCAGACCACATATGGTGACGCGTTAGGCGCTTTGGAACTGCCGTTGGCGGTCTGCACGACAATGGGCTGGTGCTCATGGAGGCGGAAGGACCACGGGTCATCCGCGAGGACGTAGTATACAGGGTAGTGTGAGCCGTAGGAGGAGGAATTGCCGACTGGGAATTCGTGGACTAGGATATATTTTGCGATGGGTGCTGGAACGAAGAAATGCGTCAGTTTCAGACTGTCAATGAATGCGCAGGAGATTGCGGTATTACGGTTGAGGACAGGACTTACGGATATAGGCGATGACGGTCATGCCGGGGCGTGCCATGTATTCCGCGATGGCGACGTCGTCCACGACTGGACCCCAAGTCTGAAGGTCGTAGGACACTTGGTGGGCGAGCTTCTGGCCGTGAAGAGGATCTCTTTGGTCGGAGTAATGCACTGAGATTGCGCCTTTGTAGTTTCTAAGGTGGGAAAACACGAATGGTCAGCTCGACGGTACAAATGGCGGGGCAAAACTGCCTGTGTGAGGTAGTAGGCCAAGGTAATGAGGCACTTACTGGATCCATGGCTCCCAGATCGGAGTAGCTCCATTCGTGGTGTTTGGAGGACCTCCTGAAGCAACGTTGCTCACGAACTGCCACGTCCGACCTCTGTCTTCACTTGCGTAAAGATCGATATGCGTGCCGTTCCTGGTGCCGTTCCTGTTCCAGCTGTTGCCTGCACCGAGGATTGTGCCGGCTTTGAAGCCACCAACGTCTTCAAGTAACTCGGACAGGGCGGGCTGCGCGCTCATGCCCCAGCCGTTGACCTGATCTGTCAGGTCGCTGATGTATTCCCAACTTGCGCCTCCGTCCTTGCTCTCGAAGACGGGGAAGTATGGTGGAACGGGACCAGTGAAGGATGTTGTGGCCAAGATGGTACCATCCTGGAGTTCAGTGAACCGTGGGTACGTGACAGACTGATTACCTGTGGGTTGGTAGATGGTGTTGTTCACGAAGAAGCCCCATGGTTCTGGCGGGTTGGAGTAAGACTGTGCACTGGCTACTACAGAGTGCGCAAAGACCGCGACCACCGAAGATGTGCGGACCATATTGGATGGTCGTCGTACTTACTGCGTGAGATGGGTTACTTTGCTCCCGGCGTTGATACTTCTCTCGGAAGAGTCCATGGCCGGCTCTTATATTGCGCTCATCGAGTCTCTTTCATCCGGGTTTTGACCATAGCCCCGCCACATCGAGATAGTGGGAAAACCTGCGTAGCAACAACTCAAGCTACAAGTCAGCAATTATCCAGAAGAGCTCGTTACCTCTTTCGTATTTTGTCAATCAATGCGGGGATCAATTTAGCCGGCATGCGAGGTCCCCAGCCTCAAAGGCCGACAGCTACCCCAGACGACGATGTTACCATGCTGGTGGAGTGACGTCAAAATTCCACCGGCATTTGATGTGCGTGGTCAGCAGCAACGAGGTACTAGACCGTGCTCGTTCACCACGACCGGCTAATTGATCACGACCTGGAAGCGATCAGCCGTAAGACAAGCGCGCTGCAGATCAGCTGCGAGACTTGAAGGCTGGTCAACCGCAATGCTTTTTCACACGCACGCAGGGCCTTACCGTCAACAGTATCGTTCGACATCCCCGACCTCGGTGGATTCACGGTTTTGGACCGTGGTCAGTCCTGTGACTGTGAGTATCGTGTCCCTGTGCAGTCAGTGACGGAAACAGTCAGCTTCGTCGTAGCGAAGATGGTCGCAGTCTCTGTGTGGTTACAAATTGAATGACTGGCGAAGTCGTCGACGCGGCACGTCAGGTGCCAGGCTGCGGACACGATTACTGGGCGCGTCAGAGGCCTTTCTTAAGCTGATAGGCCGGGATGCTGCTCATCATAGAATTTCAGGTCCAGGAGGGCGCCGAAGGTGTAGCATTCTTTGGGCTACTCGACTCTGTGAGTTTGAGACGAGCCAGCCTCATTCAAGCATTAAATTCTAGGAAACACATCTCCAGAGACCCGAGCCAGGGAGGGCTCTGTAGAGATCTGACAACTGCCAGTTATGCCGCAAATCAACAGAATCGAGAGTCGGAGAAACGCCCGGCTTCTGCTCCCACAGCCAAGACAGCTTGGGGGTGGGCCCTGGCCCTCCGTAGCGGGTGTCCGTCCCCCGCGAGCCAGATGTCGATTCTCGTCCAGCCACTCATTTGTTATGACACCCAGAGCAAGTTGCATTTCAGACACACCGAGTGACAGCGTAAGTTCGGCGTGAAGACATTCTGCTCGCTTCGAGCTTAGTCTGCGGCGTTGCTACTGCGCAGGAAACCCTCCGTGCGTCAGCGTATACTGTTTCCGGGCAACATACTGCCGACAGGCGATTTTGCGAAGAATACGGCAGATGTCCGAAGATCTCCTGACCACCGACAGTAGGGATTGTGCTGAACGAGGATTTCACAGGACTTATTATGCGTTCAGAGCTTCGCCATTTGTCCAAAGTGTGCGATGAGTCGAAGATCGTCAAGGAGACGCGCCCAGCAGCAACTGAAATAAGGCCAGAATCAAGCCTCGGATAACGCCTGTACCTGCTACATCAGTGCCTAGATTTGGCATAAGCAATCACCACACCCGTGGTAGCGGGGTTAGGAACCACCTCTTATGATTATCTCCCGGCGGAATAGCTCCTTGTGACCTCATCCAATCCACGATCGCATGTACAGTCATCAATACCTAGGTGAACCGTCCCGGGAACGCAGATCTGCGTTCAAGCTCGACATCCCTGAAGGGCGGATTGAAGATGACGACGCGTTTGTCACAACTCTCAAACATAAGCGACAATACGTCGTTGCTGTTCTTCCCTGTCTATTCACTGCGAGCTTGAAAATCAGAGCAGGGCGCTCTGTTGCTTGCACTGCTTGAACACAGATAGGTGCTTCATCCGATTCATCCGTCGCCACGATGAAGCGCCCTTCGATCAGTGGCAGCACCAACGGCGAAGGCCGTCAGCGGCGTCGCACCTCTGTCGCCGACGATGCAGCGCAGTTGGCGACATTAGGCCACAAGCAGGAGCTGCAGCGGAATTTCAGCTTTATTTCTATGCTTGGTTTGGCTTTCGCCATTCTGGTAGGCATCTTCCTGCTAGCAAGCATCGTCGACCGCCATCATGCTGATGTGCTTGCTCTTCACAGAACTCGTGGACCGCGCTCGCTGCGTCGCTGACGCTTGCGCTTCCATCAGGTGGCCCGTCGAGCGTCATTTGGGGCTTGATCACGGCAGGAGTTGGCAACTTGGCCCTTGCAGCATCGCTCGCCGAGTTCATCTCCGCCTTTCCCACATCTGCAGGACAGTACCACTGGGCAGCTATCGTTACGCCGAAACGTTGGGTTCCCATCGTCTCCTGGGTCACTGGCTGGGTTAACGTTGCCGGATGGGTAGCTCTGTCGTGTACAGGCGGCCTCTTAGGCAGCCAGCTCATCATTGGGGCCATCAGCTTCTTCGACGACAGCTATACCAGCCATCCGTGGCAGCAGTTCTTGATATACCTCGCTTACACTTTTGTGGCATTTCTGGTGAACGCGTTTGGGACCAGGCTACTTCCCATGATCACGCAGACGGCCTTCATCTGGAGTATCGCAGGTTTCGTGGTAATTTGTATCACGTTGTTGGCATGCTCAAGTCCGAATTACCAGTCAGGGAGCTTTGTGTACAGCGACTTCATTAACGAGACTGGGTGGCCGGACGGGTTCGCATGGCTGCTGGGCCTTTTGCAAGGCGTTTTCGGCTTGACTGGATTCGACGCTGTTGCGCACATGATCGAAGAGATTCGTGAGTGTCCTCTCGTTCCCAACGCGATTTTTTCGATGTGTCTGCAGCTGCTGCTGCACTCTTATTTTGCTGCCTGTGCTCGATCCTCGTAAAAAGGCTGATGGGAAATTTACTAACAGCATTGTGAACAGCAAGTCCGACTGTCGAAGGCCCAAAGATCATGATCTATTGTGTTGCAATAGGTGTCTTTACCGGCTTCGTCTTTCTTTCGGTTCTGTTGTTCGTGCTCAAGGATCTCGACACAGTCCTCACCAGCACCGCAGGACCGCTGCTGCAGATCTTCTACGATGCAACGAATAACCAAGCGGGCGCAGTGTGTCTACTCATCTTTCCATTGGCTTGCGTTCTCTTCGCAGAGACCTCGATCATGACCACCAGCAGTCGTATGACGGTATGTCCGCGCGATGTGAGACGCCGGAGAAGGCACGCTAACAATTGTAGTACGCCTTCGCGAGAGATGGCGGATTGCCCTTCAGCAAGTTCTTCGCGAAGGTACACACTGGCCTTGATGTGCCACTCAATGCACTCATTCTGACTAACGTGCTCGTCGTCATCTTCGGATGCATTTTCCTGGGCAGCAGTAGCGCTTTCAACGCCATCGTGTCCGCAAGTGTTGTTGCTCTGGGAATCACGTAAGCTTGTCCGTCTGGGCATTGATCAAGGCTGATTTCTGGCTAGTTATGCCATACCTCCGTCGATCAACTGTTTGCGAGGAAGGAGGATGCTCCCTGAGTCACGACCGTTTGTGCTGTCTGGACCTATAGGATGGACTTGCAACTTGGTACGTTAAGAGCCTAGTCGTTTCTGTTCCACACAATCTAACATATTCATCAGGTTGGAATTGCGTTCGCGCTTCTGACTACGGTTCTGTTTGTCTTCCCTCCGTTCCTGCCAGTGACCGGCACCAACATGAACTACTGCATTGTAGCGTTCGCCATCGTCATCATCGTTTCGACTGTTCAGTGGTTTATTGATGGTAGGAAGAACTTTCATGGACCCTACATTGACCCCGAGGCTATGGCCGCCGCCGGTGCTCCCAGCGAAGGACTTGGATTGGCTGTTGGCGACAGTAGAGCCGACACTAATGGCGGGAGCGATGCCAATGTCAAGGATAGAGCCGAGTTAGATGGCGAGAGCGCCGGGAAGAAGGCCGTGTAAGGATACACGCACGGCTGTCTCTAATCTGACCATATTGGTAAACTGACCGGCTTGCGGTACCATGCTCACCTGGCTAGGGTTTTGCTGTGTGCATCGCACTTTCCAAGATTCACGCCTTCCACTGACACTTTGCTACCGCTCCTGCCTTTGCACCTGATTGGTCCCGTGCGAATGCAAGAACGATCGACCAGACGAAGTCCTTCACCATTCTCATGTCTTGCCCACAATCCATCAGTCATACCAATCACACACATTTGACGTCTTCAGATTCAACCATCCCACATTTCATCTCAGCACAGACTGATCCTGCAGACCTCATCGAAGGCTTCGGTTCCTGTCGGACCGCTACACGTCAGAAATCTCTCAGTCATGCCATTTCGTCAATATTTCGAGTCTGTGGTACTCTGGATCCTTTTCGGTATTGCGTGCTGCATGGTCGTCGCACCCATCGCTCTCTCAGTCTGGACCATTGGCACACTTTACTGTGGCTTTGGGTGGATCATAGAGCTTGTTGCACTGGTCCGCGGACGTGCGATCGAGGAGCTCTGATCCCCAGCGAAAAACAGCCAGAGTCCTTCCTAAGTCGCCGGCATACATCGGTTGGCCCAGCCTCGCTCCGTTTAGCCATACAAATTACACGCCTTACATTCACATCTCATAATCATTGCGAAGCACCATGAACATGCCACACGAACCTGTACGACTTCGTGACGTGGTGTTCAGATTCTTCGCGTCTCATCTTCGACTGGCATTCTTCCCTTTGTATGTAACAATAGCCACCTGCTCAGCCATTGTCTTCGTCCTGTCCTCAACCGCTTGGGCCATTGGTTACGGTTCGCAAAAATGCTGTGTATGTTCCGTCCAAGCCCTTACATAGCATTGCTAAGAGGTCCGACAGAACAACCTGATCAACGGCCTCATGCAAGCCGCACAATTCTGGGGGTGGGCCCTCTCTTTGCTGGATCGGCACGATTGACTATGGCTCAGCTACCAAGGACAAAGGTGAGTTGACAGCATTGTCTTTGCCCTCTGTGTAGGGTCAGAATTAGTTGCTCTCTTTGTTGCCTTTCGAACAAGTGCTAACGCTCTGGGCAGGGTCGACATCAACTATTATAGGGTCACATAGTTATCCCCTCACACCCTTTCTATCGGTCCAGAACATACACATAATGTTATTAAAGTCTCATTGGTGGTTTTGCGTCCGTGCTTTGATGCACTTGGCCGCTGACACGCATGCTCTGCCATCAGCAGCGTCGTTGAGCTTGGCATTAAACGAATCATCGGAAACCCTGACAGAGTCCTCCTTGGACTTGAACAAACGGAATGAAGCAACATATTATACACCAGCAAACCCAACCAAACCTTCGAAGATCTACGTAACAACTCCTTCGAAGGTCTACGGCCAGATCGCGCCACCCGCAGCCAATGAGGGCAGCGTATTCAATTACTGTAGTCGTCGCGATGGCCCACGCTTTGAGAACGGCTTTCGGGAGGATGGGCCCTTATCAACAATCAACCGGTGTCACTCTGACCGGGACGTCTTTTCCACCGATCTCAAAACGAAAGATGGTGTCGGAGTGACCACATGGACCGATACTGACGGCCGACCTGGCATTTGGGGACCGTGCATTTCCCTGCCTCTGGACGTTCGCGGCTATACGAGGATGGGCATGTGGCCTGGCAAGGATATTAACTGTGTACTATTCTTCGACGATCGATGTCGCTACCGGGGAAATGTTCCAGGTAAAGGCTGGATACAGCTGCCCAGCGTCATAATGCAACCACCTGGTCTGGATGCTTTGGAGGAAGGATGGTGGCAAACGAGCAGTGGACGGTTCAAGGAGTGGACGGGTGTCAATGGAGACGGTATGGTACCTGGTCCCAAGTCTTACCAGTGCTTCAAGAGAGGGAAGCAGGAAGGCTTGGGAGTAGACAAGGGAGTTCACGATTAGTCCTTGCCGCCCAGCTGTCGCCTGTCCTTGATATCCGTAACGCCTTCGTTCACTCATCCTCCCAATCCGGATCCTTCTTCCTCCGCCATACCCCCACAAACTTCCTCCCGCCATTGCGTGTGACCTTCTTCCCCTCTTCCGTCTCCTCCCTCATTACCCTAACACACTCATCGCCCTCCAGCTCTTCCTCACCCACCCGCTCAAACAATTCCTTCACCTCCCCAGCTTCGTGTCCCTCAAAATGCCGCACGATCCACCCATGTAACTCCTCCACATCCGTGATCGTGTAGATCTTCCCCACGCCTGGTTTGAGGAAATACGCGTACTCGGCGTTGAGCTGGGCGGAGACGATGCGGGCTTTGTGCTTACGTGCTTTGAAGTGCGGGTCCGGAAAGCATAGAAAGAGATGTGTAAGAGAGGCGCGTGGGAGGAGCTGGGGGAGGAACTTCATCGTGTTGGTGCGAAGGGCGGAGATGTTGGCGTAATGTGTTGTGGTCATGGGGTTGGCTTCTGGGGCGGTGCCGTTGGTTGGAGTTTCTGTTTGTGGTGACGATGAGGACTCTGGTTGAGGTCGAAGCGGGTTCTGTGAGCGTAGAGCGGTGATCCGTGAGTGGACGTACGAGAGGACTTGGTGGCGGAGTTCGAGGCCGAGGATAAGGGAGTTGGGAAACAGAGGGGCGAGAGCGATGAGCAGGCCGCCGAAGCCACAGCCTACGTCGGCTATTGTGGGGTGTGGTGCTGTTGGCGTGAGTTGCGCGGATTGGTTTTCTGGCCTGGATGGAGTTGAGGTGTCAAGGACGGGCCGATTTGAAGGTTCGTCTGCTGGGTTGGAACTCTTGGCAGATGGGAAGAACGCTGGGTAGTGTATTGACCAGTCCATTTCTTCTGGACATGTCGGACTGTGCAAGATGTCAATAGCTAGCCGTGACTCTGAGGAGGGCTGTCCTACTATTTCAAGTTGTGATCTGAAAAGGGGTTCGCGTGGGCTCGTTGGCGGTAGAACTTCTTTTTCGGAAGTGCTAGCTTTCCTCCATTTTGTGCTGCAAACTGTGTCTTGCGGTATTCTTCGCGCTTTTGGCGTTTGTTCGCTGGGCCAGTCATGGTGTATCTAATGAGGAGAGTGTTATATGAGTGAGTACTGGGGAGTCGAGGGCGATGACGGCATAACATTGATCAGCAGCAGGCAATGCTGAAGCACATGGCGAGTCGAGGAGGTTTATATGCGGGCTTGGCAGTTTGCCTTGCTTCAAGTTGTCAACCGGTCTTGTTCTTCACTATTAGTCCAGACCTTCGTCGCGGAATTCCTACGGAGCGGGCGCCATGAAGTCAGCTGGCGCAGGACTTGCATTGATTTTTCTGCATTGTTGGCGAAAGAGTTGCAGGAGTCGAGATCCGGTTATTGGCTCAACTTAGATACCTATAAATTCTTACATCACTAGTACCGGATATGTTTCCAGCATGACTATACATATCTAACGCCTTCGCTTTAATGTAGCACATTTTTCAGCAACAAAATCAAAGATATCGGCGCCAGAAGATTCTTGGAACTATGCGTAACCCATCATCAGGCTCCTGCTGAATGACCCACCGGATTCTCGGCGGAGTCTGCAGGATGTTAGCGCGAGTACATTCAAGAATGAAAGAGCACTTACAGTCCATGGAAACGAAGCAGCGATCCACCTCCTCGAGCGCTTCCGCACAGTACTGCAACGTCTCCGAGATATCGTGCGTCCGCCGTAACGGTGACTTCTCGTCGAGCAGAACGTCATACTCGACCCAAACACCATCTCCGGCATGATATGCCTTTATTGACTTGAATCCCTTGACCACCGGCGCAAATCGATAGCAGGTACGTCAATTTCTTATCCAACTCCTTCTCGGCAGCTGATCCGCAAAGACGAGTGACGTTCTCCAAGCAAGTATCCGCCCAGTCATAGATGATGTACAAAGACAGTAAAGCGGCACCGAGAGGATCTAGCCACCAAACTCCAGCCTGCTTGCCAATAAGTGGGAAAAGCAGGGACAACGTGTTGAAGTACACATCCGTCTTGCAGTCCTGGAAGAGCGCCTGAACTTGCGTCGTCTTGATGCGATAACAGCCGATACCAATAATGCCCTTCACCACGACTGTGCCTGCCATGGCTCCAATTGCGACTGCAGGAAGAGTAGCGGACGAATGATCGCCGCTTGGCAGCAGTTTCGTGACCGACTCTTGCAAGATTTGGAGGAACGATATGACCATGATGATGGAGAAGACGAGAATTCCTAGTGGTTCCAGCCGTTGCCTGCCAACTGGGAAACGCCTTGCTAACGAGTCCAAACGCCACGAGACTAGTCTGTTTGTGGTCCACACGATGACAGTGCACAGAAGATCCAGAGCAGAGTCCAACAACGATGCGATCAAAGACAACGATGTCGATTTCAGGGCAGCCGCTCCTTTGGCTGCTAAGAGGATGATGTTCGCAATGACGTTGATGTTGATGGCCCACCGCGCCATCTTCGCAGCCTTTCTTCGATCTTCCTGCACCCGATCCGGCAGAAGCTCGTCTATCCTCTCTTCAACGTTCTGAAGGCCTCCACCTCTTTCCCGCACACCATCATGGTCCGCATCGGGATTCATGGAGTCCATGACTTCTCCAGCCATGGCCTTGACCACGGTGTCGACCTCGAGCCAATCATCGAGGCGGGCGTTTTGCTCCTCGTAAAAAGCACGGACCTTCTTGTCTTTTATTTCTTTCAACTTCTCGTCACTCATTCGATACTCCTCGAAGCACTCTCGATCAATGCCCGCAACGAGCTGCTTCTTGAGCACGCCCTGCGTCCGCTCGGCCATGGCGAAGTCGACGGCATCTTTGAACTTCGGGAAGCGTCTCTTCCCTGTGGTCCGCGGCCCCGACTCAACGTCTCCTTTGTTGCTGAACTCGTCAATGTGCTCGCGTGGAGTTTTCGGCCGTTCGAAAGCTCGTTTGCCGACCATATCTGCGCAGTCAGTGATGAAAGAAATGGATGTCTTGCTTCGTCTACGCCTAACACTACCTCTACAAACCTAAGCTTTGCTACAGCAAACGCGCGTTCTTTTGAAGCCCAGCAGATTACTGCAGCATTTCCAAGGCACCAAAAACCAGGAAAGCCAGCTGCAAAGTCAATGACGCACTGCTCCACGCGAGCCGACTGTCCGAAGTCCCGGCTATGGCTCGGAGGCGTTTCGGGTCGTCATTCCGCACCCGTCGCGATCGAGCTTCCTCAGAGTATCATTGGAGGCACAAAGCGCTCTTCTACAAGACTTTTGACGCGTCTGTCGCGTCCTATGTCGCTGAGTGCCACAAAGTAATGTACGAGAACAAGAATCGGAGATACACTTTCGGAGAGATGAAGCGAAGCCTTAGGCTGTGCGCTCAGGCTTGGCCGTCAGGTACTTCGCCGCAAGACCAGCTAAGATCAGCGCTAAACAGCGCCTGTCCTGCAGGCATTTCTGGGCGCAGTACCTAGGTAGTCAAAGCACCATGTGAAGCCAATGTGTCGAAAAGCACTCTGTACCAATTGCGTCTGTGGTGTAGTTCGCCTAACGTGAATTTCAATCGACCCCACGTTTGACCGGTCGCTGCTTCACTTAACAAATACTAAGGTTCATTCCTCCAGACTATACACGGCACTTAGTCAATCGATGCCATGATCTTACGGATGACTCTATATTCGCTATCGACGCAACATGAATGGTCTTGTTGCCTACGATAGCAGCAGCGACGAAGATGCACCCGCCGCACCGTCCACTAGCGGAAGTGCTGTTCAACCCAAGCATGATGCGAAGGAAGTTGTGTCCAGCGTTGACCAGCCGGCAGCAAGCGCGCAAAATGAAAGCAGCTTATCGTTGATCGGACCGATGATGCCCACACAGGCGCTGGAATCCTTCGACAATGGTCTCGACAACCTTCCGGAGGAAATATCTGAACAAGACCTGATCAGACATTTGACACAAGCAGCACATCCAGTTACCGAAATACCTCCATCGCCTCCAGGGTCGCCAGATCCCGCAACGGAGACTCGATTCAAGAACTTTCTCGCGCTCAAGGCACAGGGGCTTCATTTCAACGAAGATTTGGCAAAGAAGAGCAGCTTCCGCAATCCTGCGCTGTTCGCAACTCTCCTGGAGAAAAACGGACTGGATAGTAGCGCACAGTATGCTTCGACACTGCCATTGTCTGTTTGGGACCCCCAGTCTCTACCTGCGTATGGCTATAAAGAGGAATTGGCACGAAGCCAACAGAGCTTGCGCGACCGAGAGGCTGCCCGCAAGAAGCAGGCCATGGCAGCGGGTAAGCGCACTATCGAATTCGCCGCGGCTTCAAGTCCAGCAAATTCGAGTAAGGCGTCAACGCCTGATGCCTTCCGAAGAACGGCAGGCACTTGAACATCTTGTGTGTTTCATGCACTCGCATGCGCGCATCTGCTTGTGTCCAGCCAATCAGTCATGATGTCTAGTGATGACTACTGCAACAGTAATACCGCAGGCCCTGGGAGGCAACAGATCTTGCTCGAGCTGTTGTGGCTGTCAATACAGATCTAGCCGTTGTCAGGAAGAAGCAAATCTCCTCACCTTCACCGCTTCTCCGAAAAATATAAGTTAGGGGATGCGGGTTCCTGCAGAAAGCCCAGACGAAACAACGCCAACGAAGCGCAGCGCGTGCCCGCAATAAATTCAGAGGTCAAGCTTATTAGGGGCTTTACCTCAAGCATCTCGTCATTCTCGCCTCCATAAAACAGCGAACTAGGCCCTGATCTCCGGGCCCGGGGGGATCGTCCTTGTGTGTTCTCGTTTGGGCCTGTTCAACGAGCACGGCTTGAAGCACTTTCTTGTAAAGCTGCAAAAAGTATTGGACTTCCTAATCATGGCGGCTGGGCTCCATCTTTGATGCGGTACAATGGCATAAGTAGAGATGTGGTCAGATGCATCTATGGTTCTTCAGGTCGGGAAGTTCGAGCTGAGAAGGGTGCTGCTCGTATCTTGAAGTCGACGGAAAGACTCCACTACTGTTTCAATCAATCACACCCATGATCTGCTACTACATCCCATCCATAGCGCTTAAAGATCAGTTTCACGTTCTCGCTCGTGCCATCACTCCTCGCCAGCATCCCCCTCACTTCTTCAAACAGTAGGCGTCCAGCATGAGCTCAACGCGCTATTGGCTGTATAGTTGACACGCCGCCACCTGAGCTTCGGCTCCAGCATCAATCATGGACAGGATACCGCTGCGTAGTAATGCTGGTCATGCTGCGCATCCTCAACTCATTCCTCGTGACTTCCTCGGATCCAAGACGGCTTCTTCACGATCGCCCACCCTGCCGACGTTTCCCACCGCGCGGCCGGATGCGCAGCAAGTCCGAAAGGAGGCGGACGTTCAGCAGGCACGAGCACCAATGGCTGCCCCTACAAACAGCGGAAGGCAATCGACGGGCAAGACCACAAGAGGCGCGCCAGAGGATATCAACGTCTCCAAGACAAGGTCCGGGGAGCCTCCTGACACTGACGGCACCACGTCTTCGATCACAGACCAGTCTGCTTCGCAACTTGCAGCAGCGAACATGCCCAGAACCTCGTCAATCGACTCAGCAATCTCTTCGCTGTCGAACAATGCCGCTGCGCAGAAACTGAACGACGCAAAGGAGCCGTCTATAGCAGAGATCAGGAACCTCATAGCGACAGCAGGGTCTGCAGAAAATCTTGTACAGCACTTGCTGCGGGATAAGGCCAACGCAGCCTCACAAAATGCTCAGCTGTGGAAACTGGTTGATAAGCAGCGAACATTGCTCCTAGGCCTCAACAAGGATCTCGAACGCGTCAGCAAAGAAAGAGATCGGTATCGCAAGAAAGCAAAAGAGCTGACAGTGGTACAAAATACCCAACCCATCGATCGACATGTCTCTCAGAGTCACTCGCCGCCAAGGACACCTCCATCTGATGAGCTGCCTATTCAAATGACCGAGCCCAGTGAAGCACAAGATAACCGATCTCAATCAGCTTCTTCAAGAGGCCCGCGTTCGCCGACCGAAGTGGGCATGATGCCTTCGCCGTTGCACACAAATATAGCACAACATGCTACTTCACGAGGGCCTGGTACTCAACGGACACTGAGCAAACCACAAGCGCCCGCACTTGCGACTGATCTAGCGGTACCACAATTTTCTGTAACCGATGCCACGCCCATCACAGCAAGTCCCGTGTCGTTTTCGGCTAAGCGGCAGATAGCCCCGAAGCCTCTCGACTTGCGCAGTTCAAAAGAGGATACTGCCATTGCGGCGTTGGCTGCCGAGCAAGCAGTCTCGGACTCAGAGTCGAACGAGCCACACAACCATGAGAGAGGTCGCAGGAAGACAAGGGAACAAGACGATCGGGACAGAGAACTGATGGCAATGCAGCAGCTGCAGCAAGAAGATGCGCGTGATCGGTCAACGAAGGACAAGCGCCCTGCTCTGTCATCAAGTAATTCAGCGTCAACATTACTCCCTGCTGCAGACTTCACAACGTTGCCCAGGGCAGCCGAACGCGATTCAGAAGATTCTGTTGGTCCACCACAAATCCTCGTCGTCAACGAGGGTAACATGCTGTCACCTCCATTGCGAAGTCCTGGTCTTCCGGCGAGTCCTCGGCCGATGCAAGGTGAACGGCTCGCTTCACCTGAGGCACAATCGTCCCTCAATTCACTACCGATGTCACCACGGAATGGCGGGTTCCCGCTGTCGCCGCGCGCGCCGAAGGCTGCTATTCCGATGCCAGCAGGGACACAAATTGTGATATCAGAGCCACCAGCTGCCAGCGCGACTACTCCACAACGCACAGAATCGCTGAACGCGGCTGTAAGCGGGCCACATCTTACAGTGTCTGGTGATGTCCACTCAGTCAATCGTAGTCTGATTGATCCACAATTTCCGGATCTGCTTCTTCCGCCAAACGCTCTGCCATCCATTCAAATACGAGTCGCCTCTTCGCGTCTTAAGCCATCTCGATTCTCTATGTTGGGCCTGAAGCCACAAGAGGATACATCAGTGTTCACATTGGCCATTATTTCTAGGTCGAACAGCAGGGAGTTGTGGCGAATTGAAAAAGTACCTGGAGCAATGCCTCATCTGGATCAGCAAATTCGGCCCAGGTGCCCTGAAGCTCCCAAGCTACCCGATCGTAAGCTGTTTGCTGGCCACTCGCCTGCGACTCTGGATGCGCGCCGATCTGCAATTGATCAATACTTCGACGAGCTCTTAGATACGCACATTGATGAGCAATCGGCCATCATCATATGCAGGTTTCTGTCGAGTGATGTTCTAGACTCTACTGCAGAGCCTCCAACCAGCAGCAAAGCTCAAGAAAGCTTAGTCAAGGCATCGCCTGGTGGGCATAGACGAGACGGCTACCTGACCAAGAAAGGCAAGAATTTTGGTGGGTGGAAGTCTAGATACTTCGTCCTCGATAGCACGGATTTCCGTTACTTCGAGGCTCCTGGCGGCGCACATCTGGGCACCATAAAGCTACTGAACGCTCGCATCGGGCGGCAGACATCAAATGATGCTACCAGTCCCGAAGATCCAGAGAGTGAGGGTCAGTATCGACATGCCTTCCTCATTCTGGAACCCAAGCGCAAAGATTCGAACAGCTACGTTAGGCATGTGCTGTGCGCCGAAAATGACACCGAGCGAGATGAGTGGGTCGCATCACTGTTACACTACATTGAAGACCCTTCGAGGCCTGCGACTTCTGGTGGCGACGCAAGTGCAAACCCTCGTGCACTTCTACGCAATGCTGGACATCCCGATGCACACTCTGACAGCAACAAGGCCAGCAGCCCCACGCTAGGTCCTGCAAACAGCGGCAGTGATTCACCAACGAGCAGCGTAACTCCGCCACTGGACTCGGGCGTCTACGACAACCATGGACGTTCAGCTCCAGGCGCAACTTTGGGCATTCCTGGCAACCCGCGATCCGGCAATCGCCAAAGCGCGATGGGACAACCGCAATCGAAGATCCGAAATTTCTTCCGGAAGTCATCACACGAGCCACTTAACGAGCAGCGAAGTCCATATCCTCCACCGTCAGCCAAAGCACGCGGTGGCTATGTTCGTCCAGTGTTCGGATTGAGTCTCGTCGAAGCGGTCGAGTACTGTCCGCCAGAGGACGTCGACGTTCAGCTGCCAGCCGTGGTATATCGCTGTATTGAGTACTTACGTGGCAAGAAGGCTGCCAACGAAGAAGGACTATTCCGATTGAGTGGCTCAAACATTGTGATCCGGAACCTCAAGGAGCGCTTCAACACGGAAGGGGATGTCGATTTGCTGGGCGATGAGGAGTGCTACGATGTTCACGCCGTCGCTTCTTTGTTCAAGTCTTACCTACGCGAGTTGCCAGCAACGATATTGACTCGTGACCTACATCCTCAATTCCTAAAGGTTCTGGAGCTTACGTCCAAACAGGAGAAGATTTCTGCCTTTAACGTTTTGGTTCATCGTCTTCCAGGCGTCAACTTTGTGCTGTTACGAGCACTGTCCGAGTATCTGCTTGAGGTTGTGCAGAACCAGGATCGCAACAAGATGACCGTGAAGAACGTCGGCATCGTATTTGCCCCAACTTTGAATATTCCAGCACCGGTGTTCTCGATGTTCCTTACAGATTTCGCTGCCATCTTTCAGCAAAACCCGACTCAGGACGAACCGGCTTATGCTTCCGTTTCTCCTGATGAGCAACATCAAAGCGCCGCCCGATCGCCACATCAGCAGACCTTCGCTGACTCGGCGGCCTCGAATCACAATGCTTTTGCTCAGAATGCTACGTTGCAAGCACAGACACGGCCAGCCTACGAGCAGCAGTTGAGCCATCCAGGATTGGACCGATCACAATCGTATGAAAGAGGAGGCTATGTTTCAGATCCCCAGCAACATGCACCTCCGCAGCCAATGTACCCGCCGCCGCCTCAACCACTACCTCCGAATCCGCAGCAGCAGCAGCAATATGGAGGCTATCGTGTAGTCGAGCCAGACAGCAACATTGCGAGCGCCAAGCAGAAGCGTCGCGAAAGCGCCATGATAGGCTTGTTCTGATCAGGATCAAATTGGACAGCATGAACGATCGAAGAACGACACGACCTTGGGACGAAGACAGGAAGATTTTGACGGCATCACGAATGCTCTCCGACGAGACGAGCAGGCCGATCAGCATCACCTATTGACATTGAGGACCAGGATTTTATTTTCTTTCTTATCGATATTTCCTTTGCATGAGCGAGCGAGCAAGCGATATTATGTATGTAAAAGAGACAGTTGAGTGTTGGGCTACCTACTTTGTGTTTGTTAGCAAGGTTGTCCGCCTGGGCCGGATGACTAGTCATGGTTGATGGAATCTCTAATTTAATTTCCTCGTTGAACTGTTCGTGTTTCTTCGTTTTGTGTTCACAAGTGGAACTTCCACAGCACTACCGTCGGGATCTGGAAGGCCTGATGACCAGGCGTGACTACCTTCCGAGAGCGACTTCACTGCACTATGCGCCTTCCCACAGTGCCGAAGCATGGTTGAGAGGTAGGTGCTCCACGAAGCGGAAGGTACGCAGTGCAGTCAGGAAGGCGCAACCACTCCTAGCGGCTTCACTTCTACTAAAGTTTGTCTTGCTCGTCTCCTCCTTCTACTCTCCACATCACACAGGAACGTACACATACCCGACAGCGATAGCTCTATCTTGCTTTATCAGAGATTGGCATTCTCCAGAGCTTAGGCACTTATACATGTATGGTTCAAGCCATCCGCATACCACACCTTGGCCTAGCATAGCTACTGACATGGCTGACAACACTTGGCCGCACCCCTTTGCCTCGTCCAACGAGGCCGTGGTTCCGGCAATGCCAACATCATCGTCACGCTACCCACCGACAGAAGCTTCCAAGTACAGTCAAGAGGCAGACGAGGACAGGATCACCCCTGTGCCGCCTGTGGAGCAAAACAAGGACAACACCGCCACTCGAGAAGAAGAACAGTACAAGACCAGTGAGGAAGAAAGGAAGGATGCCGCGACCAATATCGTCCCCTTCGCCACGGACCTCGAGCGTAACGTTGAGTCCGGCGTCTACGTGCTGGATGAAGCAGCCTACCGTCTCAAGCACGGTCTGCATCCTGAAGTTGTGGTTAAGAAGACGAAAGATGGCAAGAAAGTGCTCATTCCACAGCCAACCGACTCTCGAGATGACCCATTGAACTGGCCAAGGACGCAGAAGATGGCCATTCTGGTCATGTTGGTCGTGAATGCATTCACTGCGGACTACGCTGCTGCTACCGGAACCAGTGCTATAGTGGCTCAGGCTGAGGAATGGCAGATCAGCCCCGACAAGGTCAATCATGCTACAGCTGGGTGAGTCCTGTCCTGTTGTTCTGAACCTTGCTGACGATATGAATGAAGCAACACGTTCATGCTTGGTGTCGGTGGCCTTGTAGCTGTTTGGCTTTCCGCTGGATTGGTCGTCTGCCCGTTCTCTTTTGGTTCGGACTGCTATCTGCGAGCACTGCTGCATAGGCCGCAGCAGCCAAGTCCTTTGAGTCCTACATGGCAGCTCGGATTATCAACGGCTTCTTCTGTGTTGCCGCAACAGCAGGAGGCCTCATGTGGATCAACGACGTCTGGTTTTTCCATGAGCACCCGCGCAAGATCAATATCTGGTCCACGGCTATTATTCTGTCACCGTTCTTGGGACCGCAATTTATGGCGGCCATCCTGAGCGTCACAGGCTGGAGAGTTGGAATGTGGTTGTGCTTCGGTATCATCATGCTTGGAGTTGTGACTACCGTGGCCGTCGGAGAGGAGACATTCTACCCGCGCCATCTACATGCTGACAACGCACCGCAGCGCAAAAGTCGACTCATGAGATTGATCGGCGTGGAACAGTGCCGAGACCATTGGACAACCAATACCTTCCTCGAGTCTGGTACTCGCCTGGTCAAGACCATCAGCAGACTTCCTGTTCTCTTGGTCTGCATCTTCTATCTCTTCGACTTCGCTTGGGTAAGCACGATCTTTCATCACAACGATCATTAACTAACGTCGTCCAGACCATCGCGAACAACACCACGATCTCCGCCCTCATCATTCCCACGTACAACTTCAACTACCGCGCACTCGCGGCCATCTATGCCGCCCCAGTCGTTGGCGCTCTGCTGGGCCTTGCCGCAGGCCACTTTCTGTTTGACCTACTGGGAGCCCACCAAGCCCGCCATTACAATGGGAAGACCGAGCCCGAAGATCGATTGCTGATTCTGTGCTTCATCACCCCCTTCAAAGTGTTGGGCTTCGTCCTGATCGGCTCGACCCTGGAGGATCACGAGTCTTACTGGATCCTAGCTGTTGGCTGGACGTTACATACCTGCACGACGGTCATCACAACGACGGCCGTCGGAGCATATCTGATCGATGCATATCCGGAAGCCAGTGGAGAGTGCGCCGCGTGGCTAAATTTCGCCAGGACCCTGGGCGGCTTTATTGTTGGCTACTTTCAGCTCAACTGGGTCAATGCACAAGGGTCAGAAGGAGTCTTCCTCATTGAAGCGAGCATCACGGCTGCGGCGTTCGTACTGGCCATTGGCCTCGGACTCCGGGGCAAGAAATGGAGGCGTGGAGGAACCTTGGCATTCAAGACATGCTGAAGGCCTTCCCGGTGTGGCTCAACATGAGCTGAAGGAAGTAGCCTGAGAAAGTAGATATCATTATCCACCGAGGTGGGCTTCGAAGACAGCATGCCCAACTCAACGAAATTACTCGAACCAGAACATCGTCTTGATCGTGTGTCGGATGATGTACATCCCAATTATAGTCCTGCTACTCCATAGAAAGGAAGATATATACAGCAGCAGGGTGGAAGGGGATGAAGGCTTGTCTAGAGCCATCCCTCCCCGAAAGAAGGGCCTGATCTTCCAACGATTTTGCGATTCGGATAGGCAACTTGATGAATCAAGTGAGCAACTGGGCCATTGAGTGATTGGGCCGGACTGCTCTCCGAGTTGTGGATTTCAAAGATGCTGTGGAATAAGACGAGGCAGAGTGATAAGGAAGAAAGCGTGATGCGATCGAGGCCGGCGAAGACCTACCTGGACTGCTCGAAGAGCACTGCTGATATCGTTCCCCAGCGGTAGCCATCACATCACATGGCATTCCGTCACCTCTGTGCGTCCAGCCAATACTTTCTCTGGCTCGCGACCACGCAAATGAAGTCCGTGTCGGCAGCGTTTCCTGTCGCAGTATTTCATTGAAAAGGGAGAGAAAGAGGAAAGAGAAATGTCTGACACGCAGGTGACTCAACCCGCCATTGAGATCGCTGGGAAAGCCTTATAAAAGTGCCTCGAAGATTCGGTCTGATCGCCAAATATGACCCGCCAGACCCATGACCGCTGAACAACAAGGCCCAGGAGGTGTTGGAGGTTGATTAATGCGTTCGTAATCTGTTTTTTTGTTAAAAACATGAAGTGTAAAGAGAAGAACAGGAGCGTCTGGGAGGTTCGGAGAAGATTTATTTCGGGGAAGGTGAACGAGGCTGCAGAGTAGCCTTGCGGGGTTTTGCTGATCGACGGGAACGGGAATTTACGATGGTACTTTTGTGGTTTGGGTGTTGAAATTGACACGACCAAGGACAACGGGGACTGTTGCAGGTTGGCCAGGTGGACGTGTGCATGCCTCATGGACTCATCCAGTCCTGCAATCGTAACACCATCGTCCTGTCTGCGGTAGCGAAACCAGTAACCCGAACGACACTGACAGGTCAACCGGCCCGTTGGCAAAGGCCACGACTACCACCACCATGAAGATCCTCACGACCAACTTCCTGACCTGCGCCGTCAAGGCATGCAAGACCTCTCCGGCCTCTTTCCCACTCAACCCGCAAGGTGTTACACTCTCGTCCACGCCTGTCGATTTCAGCCCGGAATTTATCCTCAATATCCTGCCCCGCGTTCACTACGATGCGCTGGTGCTTATCACGGATAGTCTGAGTCTGGGCGCGCTGTTGCCAGCAAGGGAGGTTTTTGAGGGTTTGGTCGAGCGCTTGACGACGAGTGATGATACTGGTGAGGGAGAGTCAGGTGGGCAAGAGAACGAGGAAGAGATACTGAAGAAGTTGCACAGGTTGTTGCTGGAGACGAATATCATGGACGGGAAGCTGGTTTGTGGGAACTGTGGGTTCGAGTATCCGGTCAAGGAGGGTGTTGGGAATTTTCTGCTGCCGAGCCATCTGGTGTGAAGGAGTCGAGCTCGATGAAACTCGACTTCTCAACGTTGATGCGTCCAGCGGAAGCCAACATCACTTGCCCGGTTTACACAGATCGACCCATGCTGACAGCACTCTTATCGACACATTCACGAAGACCGGAGCGGACCTTACGTACATAGTACGGACACTGGCGAGTACCGAGTCTCAAAGCCGCAATCTGGGCAGGACTTCAGCTCGGCCGCAGAGCATGTTGTCGTAAGGATTCAGTGGGTTCGTGCAACGATAGCAGCATTCTGCAGTCCCGCCGTGGGGCTCAACGCTACAGCAAAGTAGCTGCCCACTGGGGAACATTCCTCCGGGTCCCAATGCTGAATTATAGGCAGCAGCAGCAGCAAGCCGCAATTTCTGTGGTGAACAAGAAGTGTGCGGGCGTTTTGGAAACGAAAGGTCAAGTCCTGAGAACTCGAGGAAGGCGGCAAGCGGATCCATTTGTACTATGCGGAAGGAGAGCCCGAGCGATGCAGATTTAGGACGGTTGCCACACACTTATATTGCTTGTCAACCGATTGTTCCTTGATTGTCCACAGCGAAGACTCTGTACTTGGCATCTTTCAGCCTTACCATGGCAAGCCTGAGGCCCATCGACCGATGACAACGGACTTCCATTCGACATTGATATGGACAGTGCACTGATCCAGAAACCCTATAATACACTGTTTGACACCTTTTCACACGGATGCCCGGACCCAATTCATGGCCTTTTCCCAACAAGTCTCCATTCCGCTGAAACGACGACACGGTCCGATCCAAATAGACCCCTTCCGCGCTACATGCCATTCAAGATTGTACTCGGTGCGAGCGAGTGTCCAGGTCTTTAGAGTACCGCCTACCGATTTGTCTTCTTTCTCTCAGCCACGCGCATCTTGAACAGTGTCTCTGCTCTCCTCCTCTCACCGCCAAACTTCTTCACGCCGCGCTTGTCCTCCCACATCCCCTCTGTTAGCGTGACCGTCACAGCCGCCCCATTCGTGCCCGCTAATGGCTTCGTGTAGCGTCCTGTGATGATGTGTCCTTCTTTAAGCTTGAATCCAGCAGGCTTCCTGAGATCTGTTGGTTTCTGTCCTTCGCCTAAAACGTATGTCGCTGCGCCTGCCGGGACGTTGAGGATCAGACGTGTCAATCCAGGTGTCTTTGTCGTCGAGGCTGCAATTCTGGGCGGAGAAGTCGCTGAGTCTGCACCGGGCTTCGGCTCGACCGCTGGTCTCGGTATCTCCGGCACTTCACAGACCCTCAACTCTGCCACCCCGTCCTTGACATGCGTGAAATCGCCGCCAATGCCCCATTCATTCCGCTGGAACTTTTCTCGCCATCGTAAGAAGTATTTTCGTGCTCGTGCCTGTTCGAGGCCTTTCGCTTTGAGCTGTGAGGAAGTAAGGGTGAACATCTCGTCCCATGAAGCGAACTTAGAGGCGTGCTGTGACATTTCTCGGCCGATGAGCTTGAGGAAGGTGAGTACATCGGGCACCCATGGTGTTGGTGCAGGTATTATGCCTTTCGTGGACGGCGGTGCATCGAACTGAAACTTGCGTGGAACGACAGGCGAGGGGTCGATACTTTGATAGCGGATGGAGGTTCGGCTGAGGCATGATGCGCAGACAAAGGGATTTCGAGAGGAAATGGCTCGCCGGGGAATGAGGCTGCCATCCTCTAGGGTGGTCGAGCCGACCGCGAGCGGCTATGCAGCAGGGAAGCAGAAGCAGGCTCGCAGGTACCACCACGCTGCTGAAATTGACTCCTTGCGCTTGATTGCTGTGTGCTTCGAATTGTGTACGTGAAGCTTGACACAACTCGAAGTCTCGCAAATTGGCCATAATGAAATTGTTAGGGTTAGGGCCGAAGAAGGCAACCCTGGCGAGCCTGAAGGGGTCACGCCTCACGTAGTGTCGATTCTCATCTATTCACTGACGGGGTCGCGGATGTCACACTCTGAGTTTGGCCACGGTGCGTCTGTATCCTTGTCGGCGCCAGGTCTTACTCACCGGAGCACTATGGCGGCAGTGACAGCGCCACGGTGAAGGCTGGCCCAAGCTCGAGTGAAGTGGTCCAGGCGCCTCGTACATCATGGAGCCCAGAAGCGCGGTCTCGCCGCTCATGCCGCGGTCCCCATCCAATTTGAACATTGGATCACCTTCTCGGACATCGACACTGGCCATGCGTAAGTCAATGGCTAAGACCATCACAGAGCCGCCCTCAAAACGGCGGAAATTGGATGTTGATCTGGCCGAGCAGCGTAACGAAGCCATCGGCAACAAATATGTGAAAGGCAAATTCTTAGGCTCTGGCACATATGCCACAGTCTACGAAGGTCATCTGCGATCCGACCCCAAGTTCCTGGTCGCCATCAAGAAGTTCAAGTTCATCACTGGCGACGGCGACATGGACCTTGGTCTCAACGTCGACACCATCCGAGAAATCAAATACCTCCAGGAGCTCTCAGGCCATCCCTCACTCATCCAGATGTACGACATATTCAGCACCAAAGACCAGAACGTCAGCATGGTTCTAGAGCACTGTCCGAACGGCAACCTCGAGGAGTTCTACCGCTCCGCTATTCCCTACACCAACGCAGACATCAAAGCCTGGATGGCCATGCTCTGCCGTGGCATCTACTTCTGCCACTCTCACTTTGTCCTCCACCGGGACATAAAACTCAACAACATTCTCATCGCCAACGACGGCTCCATACGTATTGCTGACTTCGGCCTCGCCCGCTCCTTCGCCGAGCCTGGCACGCGCATGACCCCCAATGTCATCACGCTGTGGTACCGCCCGCTCGAACTCCTGTTCGGCGCCCACCACTACTCCGGCGCCGTCGACATGTGGTCGATAGGTTGCGTGTTCGCCGAGCTCATCGGCCGCAAACCCTTCATGATTGCTGAAGTTGATGAGAAAGATTTGGACACGTCAGCCGGTACCCTCGGCCAAATCGAAGCCATATGCAAACGTATCGGCACTCCCAACGAAGACAACTGGCCAGGAGTGAGCAAACTGAAAGATTGGTTTGAACCAAAAACCCAACAGCCCTTGCGCGACAAGTCACACTTCATGAAGATGCTCCCCACCGCCGGCTCCAGCGCTGTAGATTTCCTCATGGCGTTGATGCCGCTGAATCCGCTCAAGCGAGCCACTGCGAAGCAGGCGTTACAGCACAGCTACTTCACCTCGGAGCCGAGACCTACCGAGACGCACAAACTGCCAAGGAAGGGCGGTGGTGGGATCGAGGCAATGGCGGCGTCGGAGGTGCAGAAGCCAGGGCAGGTCGGCGGGGAGGATAAGTATAAGGGTGTGGCGAGGAAACTGTTCAATTAGAAGAGGGCATACTCCTGGAGCTCATATTTGGAAGCGACAAATAATAACCCTGGGGCTCCTCGATTCGACGTCCTGGGAAGGGTGGACTCCCAGAATCCTCAGCGTCATTGACCAAGAACAATGTGTTCTTGAGGTATGAGTGGCACAGAAGTACAGTGATAATGCTTCGCACGTGAGCAGTGTGGTCGACATGGTCTACGAAACGTTCTGCAGACATCTTAAAGTCCAGCCTCAATCAAAAGCCAGACATCTTTCAGACCGTTCATTACGCTGTGCTGTCACTCCTATTCATGCAGCCAACATTACGCATTTCGTCAACACCTCATAAGTCTTCCGCCTTGCCAATTGCGGGCCCTCACTTGCCCTGTCCGCAGCTTCTTCCGTCGTCCCATCGTCCACTCAATCCAGGGAAGTCTCTGCTTCCGACCAGCGCTCGGTCTTCCGTTCCTGCCCTTTACGATGCAAATCGTCTGCCCGAGGCAGCAAAAGCCATTGGGAAGGTCCGAATCTTTGGTCCGTACACTCATTGGTAAGTGAGAGGCTTATTGTGCCGTTGTCTAGGTTTGCTCGGGAGTTTTGAAGTCAGATGACTCTCTAAATTTGACCAATCTTCTGCTCAAGACCTTGGCTGTGGTCTTGTGTCGAGCATATTGAGTCGTATGTCTGAAGGTAGTGGCAGAGACTTCCTAGCGGTTTTCATCAGCTGCCATGGAGCTCATCGCTGTGATGATCGGATCGATTGTCATCTTGGATTGTTTAGCGTGATTTATACCGGTGCTGCGCATTTGGCCATGATCTCCGTTGGTCTCTGCGGGGGTTCGTCCCTTTCTTGTGTCTCGCGATCGTCTGTCGGGCTGCTGGGGTGCAGTGCACAGCTCCTCTGCGTGGCATCTCATCGTTTGGCAACGCGGCGGATGATTCCTAACCGCTCCCTGTTCAGTCAAACGTTTCGTCTTTCTGCGTCAAAGCGCTCTAAACCAGCGTGATCCCATAAGTATAATCACTCGCGAACCAATACCCATTAGTATGATCCAACCTTTCCTCAAAGTTCCCCATGTCTGGATCGCCCTTCATCACGGCCCTGAACTTGTCCCAATTCGTCTGGTCATACCTACTGATTTCAAACTGCCCTATCCTCCTGAACTCTCCTCTTTTGATATTCGAGCACAGCAGCAGTCCCTCCACGCGATCCATCACGTCGACTACCGGGAGTAGGTAGATCTGCAAGTGCTCGATCATACCTACGCCTGCGCTTGGATCGGATAGCTTGGGCAGGTCTTCGTCGAACCATGCGGATTCAAGCTCGAGCGTTGCCTGCTTACACTGGATCTCACAGGGCGTCTGGCCCCAGTAGTCGCGCGTTCGAGGCAGAAGGCCACGAGCCATGAAGCCACGGACTTTCAAGCGAGCGGACTCGCACTGTCCGAAGACATCGTTTGCTTTGTGCGCCAGCTCGGTCGATATGATCTCGAGGCAGGTCTCTTTCGACGCCGCAACGGGGCCTTGGGCTGGGTTCTCCGGATAGACGATGTCGCCCTCGATACTTGCCCATGACCACGTCGGTGCGCGGTACTTCACGGGGCGTTTGCCCTTGTCTGTCCTCCAGAGTAATGCGGCTGGGAGTTGTGGTCTCCACAGGCCGCAGATGTAGTCTGCTTCTCGAAGGCGGTTGCGCACCATGTACTGGCGAGCAAGGCTGGCTACCGCGAGCAGCTTGTCGGAGGTGTAGCTCATGCGGCCACGTGAGTAGAGCTTGACGAGTTGGTGCCAGTTGCCGTGGCGTTGGTGGTGTGTGCGCTTGTTGAAGAACTCGACCCCGTCTTGGCCGGCGGGAGCAGACATTGTTGCTGGTAGACCTTTCGGAAATACTTCGCTGCAGCACATTTGCTGGCACTCCCACATAAGTTCCGTCCGAGTGAAGTGTAATGTCCTTTTGGCGAGGCAGCGTTCTGGAAAGCACCAGGCTCGTTTGCCTAGTGGTGACGTATCGACTAGGTCGTGCCACACCGTCGACCGTAAGATCTTGTACATGCCATTGGCAACGCCCACACCGTTGACATCCACAACGCAAGGTTGCAGGGCCTTGACGTTACGTGGGTAGATCAGGCCGCCTGTATCATCGCGAGACGAGGTAGCAGCGATATTGAGCGAGGCCGAGGAGTAGATCTTATCCATTTGCGAGATCTCCTTCAGAACAGCTTGCTCGTTGTCGTGCATGATGCAAAGCGCATCTATCCAAAGATAGCGATAGCCAAGCTTGTCTGCCACCATCGCGGCTTCCGCGAATGTTTTGGGCAGAGATGAAGCCGCGACTCCTTGACGCAGAGCCTTCAACGTACCCTTGTGTAATCGAATGGCTTTCGACCTGCCCCAAACATGGCTTAGCGTCACATACTCGGTGAACTCGTCCAGGAACATGGCATCGACGAGCTTGATACCCTGTGCGCCTTTCGGACCTTTGACAGACACGTCGAGTAGATGAGTAGGCTTCCAGATGGGACCGGCGCCTTCGGTGACGGAGCATTTCATGTGGTTGAACATGCACTCGTCGATCCACTTGCGTGCGATGTCGAATGATTCGGTTGAGCCGGTATGGATGGACTCGAGACCTATCCGGCGAACACCAGGCTCTACTGCATCTACTTGTGCGTCAGCTGCTGCATCAACAAAGCTCGAGACATATCATGGACTCACACTTGGGGTTCATCAGAATCAGCTCCACTAAGATCGGCATCTGCTCACGTCTTGCCCTACCACTCTCACTGCTGCCACTGGTGTCACTGAGCGTCTTGAAGTCCATACTGGTTCCAGGCGAAGTCATGTTCATTCTTGTCTTCCGCTTCTCCGAAGTGCTCATGCCTTCGAACACCTCATCGTCAGATCGCTGGGTCCTCAGATACCTAAACCTTATCCTCGCTTGGTCCCTTGCAATCGGGCTGACGGCTGCAAAGCCCCAGCTCTCCACTTTGTTGTCCCTCAGGAGCCGTGCTTGGAATGATTTGAATGACTCTGGATCTATCGACTGTGAGACCGTCAAGCATAGATGGCAACCCCTCGATGCCGATGTGAAGAGTGCCTCTAGGCCGTAGTGATGCACTTCTCCATACTCATTCCGTGGTGCTAAGCCATCAAAGAGGGCTTTGCAGACCAGACATAACGATGACTGTTCCAAACCGATACCTCCTGTGGCGGAGGTTGTGACTGATGATGAGGATGGCGTTGTTGATGGTGCCGAATTCGGTGTATTCATCATGCTAATTGCATGCTGTGTAGTATTCGTGTTCAGAGCAGGCAGCCCGCTCAAAGGGGTAGGCTGCTGGAGAATTGTCGTTGTGGCCATAGGGCTGATATGATGATGTACTTGTCTCGTATGTAGTCACAAGTACCTCCTTCGTTCTGTCTCGGCTCCAGATCCAGACCAGATCCCAACTTGTCCTACATTAACTCCTCAGGATTGCTTCAGGTGGTTACTCGAGTGTTCTGTTCGCTGTCGACGTTCCCTTAACCTTCAGCGATTGTACGCGCTGAAGCTACACATTGTCGGTAAATCAAGCAGCACGTGGGTCAGGAATCCAGATAAAGTCCCTTGTGGCGTCTTCCGCGTCGCTGTCGTCACCACCTCCGATGATGTCTCACTGTCGACGAGTGACCTTCAAGAAGAAGTCATCGTCCACGACAACAACATTCCATCCTCTCGACATCCAAAGAGATCTCAAAGAGACTCTAGCCCCCTTGTCAAACCTTAAAGAATGATATCGGGGAAAGGAGAAAAGACCGGCATTGCACGCTAAAAACAGCACTGAACTCGAGCCGAAAAAACGCCCCAAGCACAACCCGGGCAAGCAGAAGCCAAGCAAACTTCAGGAGAATAAAATCCAACGAATCGCCCGAAAGCAATCAAACCAGATGAAGTCTAGCCCGTAAACCGCAGGATCAGCAGCGGAGCCTTGTAATTTGCATCAGCTGGGCAATCTCGCAGATTGCTGTGATGATTGTGCTGCGCCGCCACGAGGATCAAACATCATAAGGCTTCTGTTATGACAATGAGGGTTTCTCATTTGCCACGCGGGACTTTCGTGGGCAGCTTGGGGCCAAAGCAGGTCGACAATACCAGTCAACGTGTAAGGTCAACGGCAGACTGCAGTTCATCCAGGGCTTGAAACACGTGCGGAAAGGCTGATCGTGCCGTTGAATTCCTTCAATGTCCTTTGAGCACGAGCTGTGTAGCCCGACTGCCACGCTTGTTGCGACCCGTGAACTCTCGCTGAGAAGGAGTTCGAACAAGCTGCTGGGCTGCCGGTTGCGTCCGTGCTTCCTGGTACAATCGCATTGTGATCGGTTGGAATCTGAACAGCTCGGAGAACTCCAGCTCGCCCCATCAAGTAGCGGCAGACGCTATCTTGGCATGGCAATGACCTCGTCCTCTCATTGCTGGATGGAAGAGAGGAAGGTGATGTTGAGAGTGAGACGACTACTTATACCTCTTCAATGCGGTCCAGCGCGGAGCGATCAGGCATGCGCTCGGCCAGGAGTTATTCACTGTCCTTAGCAGGACTCAGACTTTGGCTGCTGCACTGCCTGACATCTCGAGGTGAATGGGCATATCGACAGTGGGACATCGAAATGAATCACAGGTTAGATGAACTTGAAGTCCGTGCGAGGTCGTTCAGGTGATTTGTTGCTTCTTATGAACAGCAGCGCATGGGTTGTGCTCGTTATGGCGCTTCTTAAAGCCGTGACAGCAATGGCCACTGTCCTTAGTATGATGACGGAAGTTGAGATGCATTCATAGCTCGGTTGCATGTTGGCATGGTGGCGGACCGACAGTCAGCGGGTGCTCCGGAGTCCAATTCTTCATGGCTCTTGTTCCCGAGTTTTGAAAGCCAAGTACGATGCAAACCTCCCTAGGTGAGTCAACAGTGAGTACTTCTATTCCTGGGTATGTACGATGCAGTCTCTCAGGAACAACCCCGTCCATTCAGGACTTGACGCCCTGTGCACCTTGATCTAACTTGAGCGAGTCGGCTCCATCATCGCCATCAATTCAAAGCGCATTCTCACGCAAACAATCTGAGCCTTTCCGTGGCTTACAACATCGCCTTCACTCCGGACCGTAGCCTTCGTTGACGGTGGACTACTTGACTCGCCCGTCTCTGTCTCGACAAGCGTCATCTATCGAACATCCCTTCCCGATCAGTCCAGCGACACTCGTCCTCACAACGCCGAGCCAGCCTCCCCGTACCAAGTGTCAAGCGAGCATCACCTTCTTCACCTCCTCACCAAGCGTAACCTCACAGAACTCCCCTCTCAGACTCTCCACATTGACCTTGTGCACCACCTCCGCGTCGAAGCTCCCGTGATTGTCAAAACAAGCCGAACAGTCATCCACGATCCAAACCCCGTCTCTCGTGGTCTTGCTTTCCCCGCCGGCGTCGACACAGACCTCCAGGTCCGCAGCCGCACGCACGGTAGTGCTCACGCAATGGTCGGTGGCGATGCCGCAAATCAGGAGCTGCTGGGTGCCTGCTTCGCGAATCTTCGCTTCTAGCTCTGTTCCGACGAGCGCGCTGGTTGCTGTTTTGGCGATTACGGCCTCGTCGCCCTCAGGCGCGGCACAGGGCATGATCTTCGCACTGGCTTTGCCAGGGTACAAAGGTGATTCCGAACGGGAGGAGCGATGGTAGACGTGAATGACCGTGATCGAGGTCGAGGGCGATCTAGCGTTGAATGCTCGGACGGCGGCGAGTAGAGCGGAGATGTTGGTTTCAAAGGCTGGGTTGGAGCGCTCACGGCCGTAGTAAGGCGTGTCGTGTGTGTTGAGACCGATCTGAATGTCGACTAGAAGAAGGGCTGTTTTTGTAGTGGAGGCGGGGAGGAGGGGAAATGCTCGCTGGTAGAAGGGTGAAGATGCTGTCGTCGCTGCTGCTGCTGGTTCTTGCGGCATATTTGGAAGCTGACGGTGTCTAGGGAAAGGTCTTCCAACCCGACTCTGTTTGTTGGACAATTGATTTCAAGGTTGGTCGTCCCAAGACTTGGTCCGATTGCTGGTTATTTGAGTCAAAAATACCCACAGCAATTGAGCCACTGTATTCACGTGCGTATACATACTCATGACACTCTTCGATCAAAGTGCCAATACTGCTGCTTACATCTTATACCACGATAATGCCGCTGTGAATTGTTTACCTTCCTGATTGTATCCAGGTTCGAAGCGACGACTAGCTTTGCCGAATACGCAGACATTTGTATTCTCCTGCGGGACAAGGGCGTCCCAGCGGAGAAACGCGTGCCATGACCTGAATGTCTGCTTCCGCAGATTCCATTGTTGAGCAGGACTCGATAGCGCGGGGAGAAGGCGCAAACGACGTCATTAAGTAGTCGCCATTGTCGGAGGGTGTCGAGAAGTAGCAAAGTCGGAGAATGCGATCTGTTCTGAAGTGGTGGGAGGGGAAGTTGCGATGCATGACTTATGCAAGGCCGGATGACTAGAAGCTTTATCTGGAGCCGGATGACGGTCCCCTCAATGTAGAGCCAGTTGACCGATGAAGCCACCTTTGCATGTCCCGACGAACCTTTCTGGTTCTACCCGCGGGTGATGATCAGTCATTTGACAAGCCTGTATACTACAGAGGAGCTACGGGAAGCTATCGAAAGCATCACACGATTCCTGGACGAACACTACGACAACCAGATACACAGATGAATCGCGTTGTCTACCAGCATTCGGTATGTGCACGATGGATCGAGCCATGAAAGGCTATGCATAGCTCCAAAGCGTGACAGGGAGCACTGAGCAGGAGCGAAAACGCGAGATCAGGTGGTGTCTGCCGTCAAAATCGTCACATTACTATTCTGTATACCGTCCAGCACTCGTGTCCGCTGCGTCCTGCCTCACTTCAACCTTGCCATCTTCACTATGTCATGCTTATGGAAATATGCCCTGTTCCGCTTCCCAAACACATACATCGGCACACTTAACAAACATATCGCAACTTCAATGCTCCCGAACGCAATGAAAATTTCATTGATCCCACTCTTGAACACCCAGCTGTAGGCAAAATACGCCAGCACAAAGCTGAAAATGTTCTTGAATATGATCAGATTCGTGAACGCCTCGACCGCGATGTCCCTGTGCGCATCCACAAGGTACTGTGCCGACGCGATAGCACCCATAACCATACTCATGATGATGAATGCTAGAAAGACATCCGGGACAAGCCAGCCATAGCGCTTGACGTTCGCAGCCGTGATGCCGAAGCCGTAGAGGCCGATGGCGGAGAAGATAAGGGTGGGGATGACAAGAAAGATGCGAAATTCGGGCTCGTAGACGCCCTTGTTGATGCGGATCATGAAATTCGTGACGAGCTCGCTGTAGGCGCCAGCGAGGATGAGGCCGAGGATGCTGCCGATGAAGGCGGCGGTGTACAAGTATCCAGCCTCGCGCTCGCTGAAGAAGAGTGGTGGACCGAGGAAGACAAGACTGAGGATAACGCCGACCATGACTGTCCAGCCAATGATGACGCCTTGGATGAGGCAGGCCCAGGCGATGGCAGGGTGAAGGAAGAGTGGGAAGGGACGGAAGAAGAGGAGGAAGAACTTCTCGTCGGTTTTCCGTCCGTTGAAGGGAAGCATGCGTTGTACCAGGGATGCGCGGGGTCGCTGCGTGGGCTCGGTGATAGTCATCTGGTGGATGCGTTTCTCTGCTTCGCTCTCTTGGCTAGATCGCTTGCTGGGAGAGACTATGCCGGAAGAGTTCTCGGACATCAAGTCCAGGTCGAGATGTCCAGGTCGGCGATATGCTGTCTCCGGGACGAAGAAGAGAAGCAGGAAGAAGCCTGCCGCCATGAAGATCGCCATGAGGTAGAAGGTCCACTGCCAGCCGAGATGGCGGTTGTATGAGATCATGCCTACAAAGACTGGTGTCAGGAAGGCGCCGCCGAAGAGGCAGGTGTTTGTGACTGCCATCCTGACACCTCTCTCGTGAACATAGTACAAGTCGCCCACGCAGGCGTTGACCAGGGCTTCGAAAGGAGCAAGCGCTACACCCTGGAAGACTCGGGCCCAGAGCAATGAGGCGTAGTTGTAGTCCTTGTGCGTAGAGCCGCCCCAGGCCGATGAAGCGACCATGAGCAGCGAACCGAGGAGGAAGAGGTGACGCTTGCCCCATATCCGCGCCGATGGTACGCAGATCACGCCTCCGACACAGACTCCTGCGAGGTGGTATGCGGTCAAGAGTGCTGCATCCTGGAAGGTCACTTGAAACAGGATCGCCAGAGTCGTCGAGTTGGCGGCAAGCAGAGGCGAGGCGACTGTTGCGATCACAGACACGAAGCAAAGGATGCCCAAGATGGCGTCGCGCTGCCAGAGTGGCCAGTTCTGGTGCATCTTAGTCTCGAGAGTCTCACTACTTGGTGCGACCTACCAGAGGATCATTTGGGTCGCCTGTAGGCTGTGGAATCAAGACTTTCTTTCCATCTTCTGTCCTCTTGAGGTGCCGTCCCGACTCGAGCAGTTCAGCATTCCTCTGCGCTTCCTCGTAGACATTGACCGTGCCCGGCACGTATTCCATGTGCTTTGGTTCAAGTATGCCCCAGGCCATGGTGATCTTCGTCGTGAAGGTGATGCGAGGTCATACACAAGTCCCTCGACGCATGAGTAGCGCCGTAGCGCAAGAAAACAGGACGCAAGAACACAGGACGCCCACAGCGACAGCGACGGCGAGTGCTGCGATTGTTCGAGAGTCGTGCCGCGCGGTCGGGCAGTCGATGCCAGTGGCGGGCTGAACACCTGCATTTTAAGTGGAGCAACCGTCCCACTGCCGGCCATCGCCAAACCGAAGCGACCTCGACATGTCAAGAACTCGACTGCAGCTACGAATATGTGTATTGAAGCTCAAGCATTGACGTGATTGATAGAATGATGCATGGCTAATCGGACTTTTGATGTTTGCTAAAGCTGAATGTCCCATACAGTCCACGCTGTAAGCCATTGGACGCCTGCGCTGACATCTAGCTTGACGCGGAAGCTATCGATACGTCGACCGTGTCACGAGAAATGCTATGCCAAAGTACCGTCTCGACCAGCTCCTCCGGGCGCTTTGACGCTCGCCGAACCGAGAAAACTGAGATGGGTTCAGGATCCTCCCCTACACTCACTTGCCTTTACTGGTGCCATAATTCATGCCAGTAAACGCTTCTCCCGGCTTGCCCTTCTCACTTCCATGCCGCCTCTGCTCGTCACCAGCTCCCTCGAAATCCATACCCTTAGGTCTCGCCGTTGCACTATTCTCCTTCATCACATCGTCTTTCTGACCCAAGGTCGTGCCGCCGTAAGCCTTGGTGTGGGTCGAGGTAGCTCCGCCTTTCTGATACGCTCCCTCGATGTTGGCCACGCCAGGCGTCTTGAGTGGGTTGGCAGAAGGCGTGCCGACCGGCTTGGGCGGACGTGTGCCCATGTAGGTTGCCACGCCGATGGCACCAACCACTCCGACAAAGATTTTGGGGAAGTGCTCGCGGAGAGCCATTTTGTGAGATGGCGGTAGCGACTGAAGGTTCTTCGAGTTTGGAGTCACTTGGGACGAGGGAGGAAGAAGTGCTCAAGGCCGCTGATTGCGGTTCTCAGTTGGCTTCGTAGACAAGGACTGATTGTTTGTAACCTGAGTCGAGAGGCTCGGAGAGACTCTGTGGATTTGAAAGGCTTCAATGGAGTGTTCAATGGAGTGTTCAATGGTTGAGGAAGTGAATAGTGGTAGACTCTGTGTAGTTGTTAGGACGTAGGCTGCTCGAGTTTTAAGCAAAGTCCTAGAATGCAGTGGGTGTTAGTAGTAGCATGAGAAGAATGGAAAACGAAGCCGCTCTGATATCATCTTGCAGAGAACTCAGACCAACCAGCAGGAGCATGTCAGGCACCCGGGGCAGGAAGGCACCTACGGCCCAGATGAGTTATGGTTGACATCACGACGACATCGTTTGGGAAGAGCCAAAAATGTGATGAAAAAGAGTTCGGAGCGGGAGTGCCGGAAAAGAGTTCCGAAGATTGAGTTGAACGTTAGAGAAGTTAGAAGCGAGCATTTCTACTCAGTGCAAAGCACGCGACTCTGCAGTCTTCGGCTTTACATCCAAGGCATCTCCTGAGGCACAGTCGGGGCCTTTGGAACGAGCAAAGCACAGCAGACAAATGAGTGAACCGGTATTGATTGATGGTCGCTTGCTAAACTCCATTCCTCGTTGACCAAAAAGCCTAGGCTGTGTGGTATCATCGTAGTAGGAGAAATTTGAAAAAGTTCCTTCATCTGGCTTGTTGCTTAAGCCAAAGTGTGAAGGACAAGGACAAGGTATCTATTCCACCGTCTCGCACGCTCGCATGGTATCTACTGGCCCTTCGCTAGATCCTGCCCGAAAAGAGGTCTCTGACAGACTGGCGCCGAATTTGTAGTCGTCCCGTTCGTGTTGGGCCAAGTCTGCACCTCGACAGTGGCACCGATCATCAGGTCGAGGCATAGACGTGGCTTCGTTGGGTCTAGGAAGCAGGAGCAGCGGGAGCATCGGTCTTGGTCTCAGCGGCACCCTCAGCAGCTGCAGGAGCCTCAGCAGTCTTCTCCTCCTTAGGGGCTTCACCAGAAGCACCAGCAGCCTCAGCATCGCCAGTGTCGGACGACGTCCAGAGGGTGAGGTTGTCTCTGAGGAGCTGCATGATCAGTGTGCTGTCGCGGTATGACTCTTCGGACAGAGAATCGAGCTCTGCGATGGCATCATCGAAAGCTTGCTTGGCCAGATGGCACGCACGGTCGGGTGAGTTGAGAATCTCGTAGTAGAAGACGGAGAAGTTGAGGGCCAAGCCAAGACGGATGGGGTGGGTAGGGGTGAGCTCGGTCTGAGCAACATCGGTGGCGTTCTATAGAATGGTGAGCATTCACGTGCGGCATTTTCGGGGTCAGATTTACCTTGTAAGCCTCATGCGCGGCAGTAGCGGCAGTCTTGCGCTTCTCACCAGAGGCGAACTCGGCAAGGTAGCGGTGGTAGTCACCCTTCCTGTAGTCTCGTCAGAGCATGACTCGAATGAAGATATTGTTGGCATACATCTTGTGGTAGAAGACCTTGGACTCGCCGGACTCGGCCTTGGGGATCAGGGCTTGGTCGAGAACGTCGAGGACATCCTGACAGACTTTCTCGAGTTCGGTCTCGATCTTCTGGCGGTAATCGCGGATGGTTCCGACGTGCTTGTCAGAGCCCTTTGACTCCTCCTTCTGCTCGATCGAGGAGATGATACGCCAGCTGGCACGACGAGTGCCAACAACGTTCTTGTAGGCGACGGACAGCAAATTACGCTCGTCGACGGTCAGTTCACCACCGATCTGCATGTCTTATTAGCAGTCGCACATGGGTGTGAGGAATAGGCTTCAGGGCGTACGTTGGCAACTTCTTTCATGTAGTTGACCATCTCATCGTAGCGTTCGGCCTGCTCGCAGAGCCGGGCGAGGAAAGTTTTGCTGACATTGCTGTTAGTACCGATCGCATCGCTTGCGGTCGAGCTGTTACCTTTCGCGCTGTAGAAGGTAGAATGTTAGCGATTCGTCCTTATCACATGGTCTCATGCTGCGGTCAACAGCCCACCCGGGAAAACCCCTCAATCGCAGAACGAGAATCAACTTACGTCGGAAGACATTGTGAAGAGGTTGTAAGATTGGGCGATGACAGGACGAGAATAGCGATCGTAAAGAATAAACAGTCGATGGAAGAGATTCGGGGTGTGTTGGCAGCAGGCTGATGGTCGAGGAGGAGACACACAGCGACCTGAGACACTGGCCGCCAAGGTTCTACTAAGCCTGGCAAAGTCGGGCACGCTACGGGTGAGTGTAAACACTATATACGCAGTTTCAGTGTGATTGCAGTGCTGGGTGTTTCAGATTATTCAAGTTTCTGATTGATCCTCTGTTTGCATGAAGGAAGACTTGGTCATTCACTGCGTATATGTCACCGCCTAATTGCCCCTACAGTATGTTTGATCTTGCAGTGTGTTTGATCTTGCAAGATCTCAGTCCTGATCTCAGTGCATACGTTATTGTCTGTTTGTCCATGAAAGTGAGCCCAGCAGTGAAGTTTGCTGCGCCCCCAAACTCGACGCCGGCTGAACCATCCGGATATTCAGGCAGCACTGGTCCGAAAGACTCGAGCTTTTCTCAAGACTGCACGTGACATCTGTAGAGGACTCCCCAGCTGCGCTAGCATACGCAATGCTGTTCAAAACGAGATTCCACATATAATTCTGTGAAGCCGCGGCGAAACGACCACCACCCGCTCACTCCTCCCCATCGGAACCCTCATAGCCATCACTTGTGCTCTCCTGTGCCGATGTAGGTGCCACGACGACACTTCCCCAGGTCGGTGTTGTCGATAAGCTCCCTACGATACTGACGAGCGGCGCGCTACCATACGGCCAGGGCACAGCAGTAACCAGATGCGCGCGCCGGCACTGCGCTTCTATCCACTCTAATTGACCCGCACGCAGCTTGATTGGCGGAAGCAACGACGCGCCGTGTCCTACTGGCGGCCGACTGAAGTCCATCAGTGTGCAGAGCGGGGTGAGGATCAACCAGGCTCCCTTGAAAATAGCGTTTCTGATGTGGTCCGTGGCTGTTGGAGTTGTTGGCTGACCTGCAGCGTCGACATACGCTGTCTGAAAGGCTAGCCAGGGAGGTACGATAGGGTAGTGAAGCGATGTATTTTCCGTGTGGTAGGTCATCCGATTGCCCAGATGAAAGGGCACGCTGGCGCAAATCTCATCGACAATTACCTGGATCTCGGTTGTGATGCTCGGAGCCTGCGAGGCGGGCCCCAGCTGACTGAGTAGCCGAAGTGCTGTCAAGCTCAGAACGCGCCAAAAATTCATCATCTGAGCTACCGTGTGCGTGCTGTACACGTCACAGAGACCCTCGTATATGCCGGCTGCAGTGATCGTTGGGTGCAGCTGATGCTGGTCGATGGCGCATGCCTCCCATGATCGCGGAATCGACTGGCGCCATGCTCGTAGTTGTGCAATGATTTCGACACAGCGTTGATGGTAAGTGCCGCCATACTTGGAGTCGCCGAAGCCATACTCCCTGATATCCGCGCTTAGATTGGCCATGTCTGCTATGACTGAGTCCAGTCTCGATATCGGCCACCGGTGAGCGTCGAAGAGCATTTCGTGAAAGTCAGCAACGCGCCTACCAGTCTGGAAATGTAACATGACATGCTTTGTCCTGAGCGCACTGAACAGCCGCTGTGATGACTCGCTTGTCGGATCAGGTAGACCACGTGCACTCACGACCGCCATCGCGGCTCTCTGATGGATCTCCGCATTGCTGTTTAGTTTCACATAGCGGCGAACCAGACCTTCATAGAAGTCCAGCATGAAGATCGCGGCCAGAATTTCGTCACTGCGAGCGAGTACAGGATTCAAGATGGCATTCCTTGTGGTGGAAACTGCCTTCGCCCAGTGTCTCTGAGCAGCCACCGTGTGTGGTCTCCATGTCCGCTTGAATTCGAGACAGACTGTAGCCACAGCTAAGGTGGCATGCCGTAGTGGCGAGTCCGGAGGAGACGAAGCGTAGAGAGGAAAACAAGACTCGACGAAAAGGTGTGTGTGTACTTCGCGTGGGGGGCTCAAGCAGTTGGTGAAGAAGTAGGATAGCGATTCAAAGTCGCTGTCCACGCTTTGCTGTTGGAAGCTAGGGTATATACTTCCATAGTCCCAGTAATCGACCAGAAAGCGATCTGCTTTATCGTTGAGAGTCAGACCGCGACTCGCGTCGTCGTTGAACGTGATTCCGCGACTTTCATCGTCGTTGAAATTCAAAACAGCGATTTCCCATTCTCGATGTTTCTGGTTCCCAGTGCGTTGCGTTAGGTCATTTCGATAGTGACAAGGATGCTGCACGTTCCGTTTCGAGCAACCGCCGCAGATTGGTCGTCGTTCATCGCACGACTCAATTTCAGTATGTATTCTGACATTTGACGGGCAGCTTACTCACCTTCACACGTCTCTTGCGGCAGAGTTGACAGCCCTTGCTCGGTCCAAAGTAAACCATTGTCTCTGTCGTATTACCCTCGCAACATTTACACGCTTCACAATCCACCACATCCTTGACTGCTCGTCTCGCTTATGCTGAAGTACGAAGTGACCTGTTGAGCGTGTCGGCCACCTTTTTCTCGGAGTACCCTACCGACAATCAGGTGTTCGAATCAAGTAGATATGCTGAACCATCTTGTAGCAGCTGGAGTCTAAAACCCGAGCCAAGAAACCTAGATCGAGGGTTTCTTGGGGTTTGTAGCTGTCAATTCCTGTCAAAGATGCATTGAACCGCCATGCTGCAGGGCCTTTTGCTCGGAACCAGCGTCCGAGCCGTCCTTAAGCGCCTACCGCAGTATGATCCATCAAGCTACCGAGAAATGTGGCGCTATACATATATGAGAGTGTGTCCGTGGTGCCTGGAGACATGTTAGCATCAAGCGATGTGACCACTCACCACTTCTGGTGCAGCTCTGTCGAGTTCTGTCACGCAGAATGCGGTTTTGCCACTCATGCAAGTCCATCCTCACTGTTATGGGAACGCTCAAGGACTCAGAATCTGTCTCTGTGTACCGTTCTGCCGACCTCCGTCGCATCTCAATTGTTTGTGTGGCAATTGCTTCCGCACATTAATGGCTCTAGACCGGCGAATCGAGCTGCGCGGAAAGCAAGCTCATACTCCGCTGCTTGACGGAGTAGCCCGCGAACAGTGCGTGGGAACGCCGTCGTGGTGTGTGGACTGTGATTGAAGCCGAACCCTGCCGACATGTCACGAATCCTGATGCAGCGCTGCTCATTAGTCCATTATGTGGTGAGCCTGGACGATACCTGGAGCCCTCTCTTCGCTCAGATCATTCCAGCCTTACCTATCGTTGCTTGAGCCGGCGTATTGGGTAAAGAGTGACCCTGGCAGTCTGGCAGTCTGGCTGGCAAACGAACAGCATATCGGCTTGCCTCTGCTAAGTCGCTATTCGAACCAGTCTATCTGAACGTAGGTGGCTGTCAGCGTTGAAGTGCGCTGCAAAGTCGTCTGGCTATCATGTTCATGCTGCCAGGCAGCGATGAGCCAGTTGCACTGCCAGTGCTGGCTATAGTCATGATCACTGTGTAGTGGAAGATGCCAAGTAGTCGCTAAGAGAACAGCAGGAAGACCAGTCCATAAATAGGAGATAGACTCTTCACTCTTGCATCAGATATCGTGTCAGTCTGGCCAAACTCGATGAAAGTTTCCAGATCTCTGCGGTACCTGAATGCACCGGTGACGACGCTTCTCGAATCGGAGACCGCCAAGGGCGGCGTCGGTCAAAAAAAGTAGAGGACACGTCGTTCACCTTCAGGTGGAAGGATCTAGCGGAAAGTGTCCCTCACCTTTTCTCATATTTCTCGAAACGTCGGCTTTGGCATCATAAGACGACGCCGCGCATGGCCTCCTGCTCCCACATTCCTGTCAATTCTCCTTGTCCATTTCCTTGTACTTGAACGTGCTTCTCCACGCTCCTTGCGCCAAGGGCTGCAAACATGGACCAATCCTACGTCCAAGAGCCTAAAGAGGTGCTCAAGCACTTTGATATCGCAGAAGAGAAGGGCTTGACTGCACCGAGAGTTGAGGAGAACCGCAGGCGGTACGGCAGCAATTGTGAGTAGAAGTGTCATGCCAGCAGGGCAACCTTGCTAACGGGTGCCTCAGCGATACCCGAAGAGCCCCCTACGCCTCTATGGCAACTAGTCCTCGAGCAATTCAAGGATCAACTAGTCATAATCCTCCTCGGCTCCGCCGCCATTTCGTTTGTCCTTGCGCTCTTCGAAGACTCTGACGACTGGACCGCATTCGTCGATCCTGTGGTCATCCTCACGATCCTTATCCTGAATGCGGTGGTGGGGGTCACCCAAGAAAGCAGTGCTGAGAAAGCTATCGCCGCTTTGCAGGAGTATTCGGCCAACAAGGCCAAGGTTGTGAGAGATGGCCGAGTTGCAGAGATCAAGGCCGATGATCTTGTGCCGGGCGATATTGTCAAAGTAGCGATTGGGGATCGCATACCAGCAGACTGCCGGCTACTCTCCATCCAGAGCAATGCCTTCTCTGTGGACCAGGCCATCCTGACCGGCGAAAGCGAATCGGTTGAAAAAGACTGCCGAGCGATCCAAGATGCACAAGCTGTAAAGCAAGACCAGACTAACATGCTCTTCTCTGGTACTACGGTAGTGGTCGGTAACGCAACGGCTGTGGTAGTCCTCACTGGAAGCAAGACTGCCATCGGAGACATCCACGAGAGCATCACAGCTCAGATCTCAGAGCCTACGCCGCTGAAGGAGAAGCTCGATGACTTCGGCGACACACTTGCCAAGGTTATTACTGGTATTTGCATTTTAGTATGGTTGATCAACATTCAGCATTTCAACGATCCATCTCACGGCGGCAGCTGGACGAAGGGTGCTATCTACTATCTCAAGATTGCCGTCTCTCTCGGTGTTGCTGCTATTCCCGAAGGTCTGGCAGTGGTTATCACAACTTGTTTGGCTCTGGGTACGCGAAGGATGGCCGCGAAGAACGCAATTGTTCGAAGTCTGCCTTCAGTCGAGACTCTGGGCAGCTGCAGCGTCATCTGCTCAGACAAGACTGGCACGTTGACCACAAACCAGATGAGCGTCCAAAAGGTTGTCCATCTAAACGAGGCTGGCACCGACTTCGATGAGTTGCAGGTCGAGGGCACGACTTTCAGTCCAGATGGGAAGTTGTCTCGAAATGGCAAGGAGATTGAAAATATTGCCGTGTCTTCAGCCACCATCAGGCAGATGGCCGAGGTTCTTGCATTGTGCAATGAAGCACGGCTGGCATATGATCCAAAGTCCAAGCTCTTCTCAAACGTAGGAGAGCCAACTGAGGGCGCTCTTCGTGTTCTGGTTGAGAAGATAGGCACGGCTGACGAAGCTATCAACAAGCGCCGCGATCAATTGCTTTCTGACGCCCGTGTACACTATGCTAGCCAGTGGTACGAAGAACAGATTCCGGTGCAAGCGACATATGAATTCTCGCGTGATCGCAAGAGCATGTCGGTCCTTGTTGGGAGTGGTACCCCGAGATTGTTGGCCAAGGGTGCTCCGGAATCCATCATTGAGCGTTGTACTCATACTCTTGTTGGGTCAAATGGCAAAAAAGTGGCGATGACGAAGAAGCACCAAGCCCTGCTTCAACAAGAAATCGACCTATATGCTCGACGAGGCCTCAGAGTTATTGGACTCGCTCGCGTTGATGATATTGGCGACAATCCTTTGTTGAAGACGGCGAAGAGCACCCAAGACTACGCAAAACTGGAGCAAAACATGACATTCATCGGGCTTGTCGGCATGATCGATCCTCCACGTCCTGAAGTCGCCGAGGCTATCCGCAAGTGCAAGAATGCTGGCATCCGTGTCATCGTCATTACTGGCGACAATCAACTCACAGCTGAGACGATTTGTCGTCAGATTGGCGTCTTTGGACAGGACGAGGATCTGACTGGCAAATCCTACACTGGCCGTCAATTTGATGATTTGACCGAGGCGCAGAAGTTGCAAGCCGCAAAGAGCGCTTCGTTGTTCTCCCGTGTCGAGCCATCCCACAAGTCCAAGCTCGTCGACCTACTCCAAGACTCCAACGAAGTCGTGGCCATGACTGGCGATGGCGTCAACGACGCTCCTGCCCTCAAGAAAGCTGACATTGGTGTCGCAATGGGTACTGGCACAGACGTGGCCAAATTGGCCGCCGACATGGTTCTTGCAGACGACAACTTCGCGACGATTGAACTGGCAGTAGAAGAGGGCCGGACGATCTACTCGAACACGCAGCAATTCATCCGCTACCTTATCTCGTCGAACATCGGTGAGGTCGTGTCCATCTTCCTAACGGCAGCGCTTGGCTTGCCGGAGGCACTCGTGCCAGTGCAATTGCTTTGGGTCAACCTGGTCACGGATGGTCTGCCAGCCACAGCTCTTTCGTTCAACCCCGCCGATCACGATGTGATGAGAAGAGCCCCACGGAAGCGCGACGAGCCTTTGGTCGGAGGCTGGCTCTTTATCCGATACCTCATCGTGGGTACCTACGTTGGTGCTGCCACAGTGTTTGGCTACGTCTGGTGGTTCATGTTCTACAACGAAGGACCTCAACTCAGCTTCGGTCAGTTGCGTAATTTCCACCGTTGCGGACCGACGAATCCACTATTCAAGGACGTTGAGTGCTCCATGTTCGCAACAGCAGCGTATGAGAACCGAGCGGCTTCGACAATGTCGTTGAGCATCCTGGTCGTCATCGAGATGTTCAATGCCATGAATGCTCTGTCATCATCAGAGTCATTGTTGACCATGCCGCTGTGGAAGAACATGAAGCTGATCTACGCCATTTGTCTGTCAATGGCGCTCCATTTTCTTATTTTGTATCAGCCATTCCTTCAAGGGATCTTCAACATCGATCCACTGAACAAGGCGGAATGGTTTGCTGTCGTCTGGATCAGCTTCCCTGTCATCCTCATCGATGAGGCACTGAAAGCTGTCGAGCGAGCGTTCTTCATGAGACCTGCAGCGCCTGCTCATTCACAAGACGTCTATGGCCACAGCAGAGGCAATGGTCACCATGCAAATGGAAAGGTCAAGGCCAACTAGAGAGATATCACATAGATGGTTCGTCTGATGCATTTACGAGAGCATGAGAAGCGGCATTTGGATAGATTCCTGTACCAGTAGCATAGATAGAAAAGTACCAAGCGACGTTCGATATCATTGCATCCCAGCTTGTGTCCTTTCTTCTTTGAACGCTCCTGCCGTCGACGATGCCAGTGACACTAGACTCTCATGTTATCGCGGCAGTTGCGCCTACAGCGGGAGCAGCGAGATCCGCCGCAATACAACCTTGCGTTCTCGTAACAGAACTTTGATGCATGCGGAATTTTTACAACGGCGAGGATACCCACCCTATAGTTCAGCGTGGCTTGCAGCTGGCGGTGCCGACTCCCGCGAAGCTGCAGGATGATATCAACGTCCAACGGTCTAGAAGCTCGAAGAGACCGCCATGGCGCATCCAAAGTAAAGAAGTGGCCTGGGAGGCTTGGTAATCACTGCGAGCGCCTGTGTCGTCGAGACCATGTCGTCGTGCTTTCAAGCAGCACGATGAAGGCAGCTAGGTGAAATTTCGCGTGCAAGATGGGGGATCTGCATCCGCGGACGATCCATTCCTCGTGGCAGGAGCGACCCCCCTACACAGTCACCGCGTGGGAAACGATCAACCACCAACGTGAGCACGTTTTCCGGATACTTAGAACCGCGTGCACACAAACTGCAAACCCTCTTTCCGTCGGCTTGCTGCACGATGAATGACAGGCTGTTTGCTGCGCTGACTCGACTTGGGAATCTGTGCGACAGTCAGATCTTCGGCTGCCGTGCTTCAACCTACAACGGGCCCCGGCCCCCGTGTCCCCCACTGTAGGCACAGTCCATTCATTGCCGGCGAAGCAGAGAACTGCATGCTTGCTGGGATGGCCGATGCATAAATCTTACATCGTGTTGCAGAATGGCTTCTTGTGCATTTGCCAATGCGAGGCAGACATGCAGCTAGTCCACCCGCCTCGGTGTCAGTGGCCAAAGCTCCGACTGTGGAGGGTATGATCTACGAGATCAGATCCACAGACCGCGTTCCAGAACAAACGCCATCCGATCTTAGACAGGGGAGGGTCTTGGAAAGGAAGCAGGGGTAGACTTGTGAGCACGAACAAGCAAGCTAGAGAACGGCGGTCATGTCGATAATCGCGCCTGCTGTCGTGGAAGACACAGCAGGTACTATCAGGCGGGCTTGATCGTGCTTGACCACAGATAGTTGCAGGGCCGTAGCAGGAGCGATCGTGCTAGATGAAGTCTTCTGGCCGGAGTGTGAGTAATACTACACCGAAGACTTCGTAATTTTGGCATTGCGAAAGAACGCCTCTTTTCTAATCTCGAACGCCTCTTTCGCACCTGCCGGCAACTTGCCGTCCGCCTCACGACTCCTCTGACGTGCCACTACTGAGGCCAACTATTCAGCCTGTGGTGTTCTTAACGCTGTTCTCCTTGCGACTCTCCACCAGACTTCCTAATAACAGCGAACGCCGAGCGCGAATTAGACCTCAATCTGAGAATCTTGCCTACTGCCACATTAGTATACTCTTGTGACAACATCTTGGTCCTTTCAAGTAGCCAGTGCGTAAAGTCCGGAAAAGTCATCTTCGTCAGCGCCGACTCGAGCATTCGTCAAGTCAAGCAGAGACCGCTGTGCTTGGGCCTCCTCCACAACTCTTCCGTCTTTCTTCGACGCTTGGGCTTTTGCGTTGCACGTCTGCCCTTACGTTATTCTGACAGCTCTGCAATTTACCCTTGGATGTAACCTGATAGAGCGACATTCTGGCATACCGCATCTTCATACAGGCCCGACGCGAAACTCAGAACTCAGCTTGTCCCACTGTTTGCGCAGCGTAAAACCCAACACCGCATTATCAATCTGCGCCCGATATCCGTCTTGAACTTCCGTTCAAACCTACCACTCTTTCAGCAGACCGATCCACGTTTTCGTCTCTCCCACGTTGCGAGTGTCGTCGTCCACGAGGCGCGTACTTCCACTCCCGGTCACGAACAACATCTGTAGACACCTGTGTCAACTCTGGAGGAAAGGAAAAATCCGAAATGATCCTACGGGAACGTTCACGTTGGTAACACTGGGCCTGAACTCTATGAACCGTAGAGATGACAACAAAACCTCTGGCGGAAGTCGACAAGCCGCCTATAGCGCGGTCAACGCTATGCATATCGAGTTCACAGCCTGGTGTGACTATACACGCCGGTGATCCAGCATTTGGACCATCCATACAAAGGCTCTTCCCAGCAGCCGAAAATGACGCAGCGGAAAAGCTGATGCGGCTGAAGGCATCCCTCAAGGCGTGCAAGACCGAAGTATTTTGGAGCAAATTGATGGATGGCTTGACCGACATTGCTGACGCTCAATTCGGATTCGTTGCGAAACGAATTCTCGCCTCTGACCACGATGTCGCTGTGGAAATGCCTCCGATTGGCGAACCTGGAGCGTGCCTGATGGGTGTGGCCTGGTACTACAACAACGGAGAAGGCATATCAGGCATGCACAATGACGTTCAATACAAAGCATATGCCAGTCCTTGTGCGCATATGAAGCATGACAAGGTCTTCATCATTCCGGACCGACTTAACGAATTCATTACCAATAATCCGAACCCTATGCCATTCGCCGCAGAGGCATACATTGCCGTTCCATTGTTCCATGAGGGCAAATGCTTCGCCCATTTTGGGGTTCTGTGGCATCAGGCTGGTCTCGCGAAGAAGACCCTGTCCTGGGCGTTTCTGGAGATGATCCTGCATTCACTGGAGGATATGGTCATCGACCGTCTTGTTTCTGGTCAAAGCTTTGTGAAGAAAGCGGCTCAGACCATGACTCCGCCCGAGTCGGTACCCGCTGCAGTCATTCCACAAGAGGTCGTCAATGCGCAACAATCGCTCAAGCCATACGCTAAGAGCCTCTCGCACGAACTTCGGACACCAATGCATGGTGTCGTGGGAATGCTGGATATCATGCATGCCTCGGTCCAGGAACAGGTCGAAGGATCTGCGAACAGCAAGATACGTGGCGTGTTCCAGTCCTTGAGGGACAACATCGAGACTGTCCAAGACAGCGCGAAGCGCGCCGTCGAAGCTGCTGACAATGTTGTCCATGCTTACGATATGAACATGCAGATACCGGATACTCCTTTGCAAGATACAGATTCTCCAGCAGTGGCGGGAACGGCATACTTTGACTACAAGCCTGCGAGAGTCATCGAAGGCAACGATATCCAGTGCGGAACTCATAAACGTCGCCGAAGCGCAGAAAATAGCTGGCAATTTGGTCCGCCCAACAAGATTCGTGCTGTCGATGCACCACGACAGATTTCGCCACGCACCACCAACAGCCCAACACGAGCTCCATTTTCGTCACCTTCACTTCTGACCCCAGACACGCTGCCGACTGCCACGGTACGTGAAACGCCAGTGATGACACCGAGTAGTGACGTGGAAGGATATCCAACTCCAGGACTTCGGCAAACCTCTATACGGCTATTGCTACCAGTGGTCATCAACGACGCGCTAAGAGTTGGAGGAAGACCCGACTCGGCGATCAGTGAACCGATAGACCTGGGAGAACGGATAGAGGTCCGAAGTCGGTCGTCGAACGGTCATACTTCACAAAAAGATATCGAATGGACGGTCGATCCACAAGTGCCAGAGTCATTTCTGGTCGACGAACGGGATCTAGCTAAGCTGGTATACGAGATCTTTCTGAACGCGTTCAAGTTCACCAATGAAGGAAAGGTCACCTTACATGTCAAGCTGTCGACTAGTCAGAAGTATCTGCTCATTAACGTCTGCGATCAGGGCGATGGCATTCCATTGGACTTTCAACCACGCCTGTTCCGACCATTTTCGCGCGAAGATAGCTCAACGACCCGGGCAAGAGAAGGATTGGGACTGGGTCTGATGGTTGCTAGGGGACTTGCACGACGGCTGGGTGGCGATGTGAGCCTGACTAGGTCCGAACTCGACGGACCGAACAAAGGCTCCGACTTCGAGATCCGCGTTCCTCTCGAGCCGGGCGCGGCAACAAGTCGAAGCGGAACGCCAGTCAACAACACACCGGACCCGTCGAGAAGTGTCTTCAGGAACACGGCGAGCGCCACGCCGAGAGCGACGCCGAGATCGCCAAATGCCATCTTTAACCTCAATCCTACTAGTCGAAAGGCTTCTTCGCCACTGAGGCCCAGAACAGCAGGCAAGGAGAACACAACCGGGCCAGAGACTATTCCGGCAGGAAAGACAAGGCGCCTCTCTCCCGCAGTCATGCGAGATAGTTATGACAAGAAGCTGGCAACAAAGCACCCCCTGACCTTTTTAGTTGCGGAAGACAACAAGATCAACCGCAAGCTCCTGGTAAACATGCTTGGCAAGCTCGGCTACAAGGATGTCTACGAGGCATTTGACGGAAAGGAGGCAGTCCGGATCATGCACGAGATCCGCCAGTCCCGACAATCGTCTAGGGAGCGGCGGATGTCTGATTCGGGAAGAACGAGATCGAAGGAGCGGCCGGTGAAAGCAAATCTTAAGCCTGTGGACGTGGTTTTGATGGATCTGTGGATGCCTGAAATGGATGGCTACCAGGCTGCCGAGGAGATTATGCGGATGTATGGCCCTGGGTCCCCGGTTGAGGAAGATGGCTCGTCCTCGACAACGGGATGTAACGATTTGACGCTACCTACGATCCTGGCTGTCTCGGCAGACGTGACGGAGCAGGCGATTGAGAGGGCGACGAGGACGGGCATGGAGGGCTTCATGACCAAGCCGTACAGGATTAGAGATCTGGAGAAGCTGATCGTGGAATTCTGTGTTAGAGAGTGAAAGAACAACCATGGTGTTGCGATCCTATGGAGCTAAATGACTGATGGCTACGAGAAGAGAAGCAGACATATTCGTTGAGTCGCTCGAACCATAATGAAGCTTGTCTTGTTGACTTATCATGACTGACTCACAAAGCCTTCTTTCTGTAAGCGCATCAACGTGCCATGCAGGAGCACACCGCAACCGCTGATTCTCATCAGAAACTGCATGACGAATACCTCCCGCGATTGTCCTACGAGATCATCCGGCCTGGAATAGAGCTCGACTGAGACCGGGTGACAACATCGCCATCACAACCGCACCTTCCTTGGACGACCACATCTGCTAAACAGGCAACAGCAGGAGGAGCACGCCAGCGTTCGCTTCTTTCCATTGATGCTCCTTGACTGCACTGTCAGCGGCAGGTGCGCTCCATCCCAACAGCTCCTTCCTTGGTCGCCCGACTTGTCAACCGGCCCAGGTAATGCCCGTGCGAGACCGGATGACAAGACCCTGTCGGAGCTGCGTGGACAGATACTCCCGGTCACAGGTCCGCACGGTCGTTCGACAGCAACAGCATCTACTCAGACACGCTCTCCTCAGCAGCAGGCTAGGTCAGCCGCAGTTGCTTTTGTCATGGACCGCCCACGCTTTCGAGCAATTTCGCAGTGAAGCTACATACCCAAGTCCCCAGCACGTTCTTCATGATCGATCGTCGTCGCGTTGGATAGTATCCGCCAGCTCAGCAATGTGGATTGATAATCTGAGCCAGCCAGGTCGCGAGTCTTGAATCAATGGAAAGCTGCCAAGTGGTGTTTAGCAGCTTTGAGCAGTGTTCAGTCGTGTTCGGCATTGTTTATCGGTATTTACTTAGGCTACGCCTGTACCTGCCTGTCACGTACGTGAGACGGAGTCGGAAGGGGAGTTGAGACAGATCAAAGGAGAGAGGGAGATAGAGGGAATGAATGAGTGAGATAGAGGAAGGGGGAAGCAAGATAGAGGGAATGGAAGAGGAGACAGAGAGATGGAGAGCAGGAGGCAGAGGGAGAACGGGAAAGAGAGATCGACCTCAGATTTGTACAACCATGCCATTCTCTTTTCCATAATGGTACATATTATCAATATCCTAGTATTGCCCTCCCCAACTATGGATAATGGTATCTCATGCCAGCCTTTCACGGCTCCCATCCTTTTTGCATGCCACATGTCGGCTGTTTCCCATAATAATCATCTCTGTGTGCTGTGATATGTGCTGGTTTCGCATCTCTGTTGGGTGCCTGTACTCTTCGGACCATAAGCCGACGCAGCTGTGAGATCATCATAGAGTCAGATCGCCGCTGGTGCTGGTGGCTGTGAGTCACATCGAAGCAAGGCTGGAACGAAACTGTAGCTGTAGTGCAATGTTTTCTGATGTACAGTACTCTTTTGCTTCTGATGCCGTGCTGGTGGCCTCCTTGCCAATTCTGAGACCCTGTGAACGAGTGTAACGCCGAGTTAAACGAATGAAAGTCCACGTTGTCGTGGACAAGTGAAATTTGCCGAGCCAACTTGATGAGGGGTATCGATGAAGATGCAGATGCTATGCTGAAAGGAAACGATTGATTTTGAAAAGGTATTGTTCGATGAATGTAGACTGTACAGCCACGAGGTCCTCCTCAACAAGCGCCGTGAGCGAGTGCCTCGGAGGCGGAGCACTGTTTGTGCCTGACTGGCTCTCCTAGTTAGTGCGAGGCTGCTGACCAGTAGCTACCGCCAATTGTGACCTGAGTGAGTCGATTTCGCCTTGCATGCTGTTAACACGATTTTCAAGGTTCTTGATGACAGCCCATAGGCGGTCCTTATCCGGATAAGCTTCTCCACTTCCGTGGCCGGACAGGCCGTGACTAGACAGACTGTTGCTGTGGGATGACAGCGGACCACTGGCCATGTGATTGGGAGGACCGGTCGGCTGAGTTGGAGGATGAGTTGGAGTGCCTTGGCTTGCAAGGGTGAAACGAGGATCTGGCATCGGTGGTGGCAAAGTGCTGCTAGCAGAGACATTGACATTTAAGGACGACGACCCTGACCCTGCACCACTTCGAGGGTATGACGATGGTTGTGGGAACTGACTCATGCTTGGAGAACGATTCCGGTCCGATGGACCACCAAGCGAGTTCCTTTGACTAACACCAGGTGACAACGGCTTGGGACTTTCTGTCAGTGGATTTTGGGCGAAAATACCACCGGGTCCACCATGCCGTGATGTACCAGACCCGGACCCAGGAGCTTGAAATCCTAGACTCGGGTTTGATGGTCCAGAGCCCGATGAATTCGTTCCCGTGGCACCATAGCCGCCATGTCGGCCATAGCTGCCACTGGCAATTCCACCTGGTGGACGACCTTGGATGGGTGGGTATGTACTCGGCAAGCGATTGCCGTGATCTGGATCGTCAAATGTATCGTCTCCAGATGGCGCCTGTCTTCGAATGCTGGGAGGACCGGGCATGCCATTCCCGTCCTCGTCCATGGCTTCTGGCTCGCCGTACATGGTCATGTCCATAGATTCATCGCCGCCTTCCATGTCGTCGTCACCGCCAAAACTGTCGATGCTGGCTCTGCGTCCGGCACACCCACCCGGCCCTTTATTGTGGCGAGCAAGTGCATCGCCTCTGGCAAACTTCCGACCGCATTTCGGGCAGATGTGATTTCTCTCACCAGTATGGAGCTTCGTATGGCGCTTGAGATCGTGCAAACGTCGGAAACGGGATTGACACGTCGAGCAGACGTATGGTTTCTCTTGACTGTGCGTCAATAGATGACTCTTCAGGTTATGGTGACGAGTGAACTCGGTGGCACAGTATGGGCATTTGTGCTTTTTGCTGGATGGGGATCTTGTACCTTGCCGCGTATTTGAGCCTGGCAGACTCATTCCTCTTCGAGCTGCGTCACTCCCTGGCTGTAGCAGAGGCGGCGGGAACGTGAATGCCTTATTGCCATCTTCGGGCGACATGGACACGTCGCCTCCAGCAGAAGCGTGTCTTGCTGTTTCGTCCATGGGCAATGGACTCCCCACCGTTGTGGTCATGCCTGACGGTCCAGGCAAGCTCTCGAGGGTTGCCAGGCTGGACATGCTGACGGGACTGGTCTGTGTGATGCCCTCAGCTGCTGTGTTGGTGTCGGCTGGCGCACCGGGAGTCTGTGTGAGATTTGCGGCTACTTCAGCCATCGGGGCGCTGACTGTTGTCGCAGGGTTTGGTGTCTGTGGACCAGTCGCCCTCGACATCTCCGGTTGGTTACCGAGTAAGGCATTGAGGGCTTGTACGGCAGGGTTTGGACTTGTCTCAGTCGATGGTGGGGTGGGCTTGGTCTGGTTCCTAATCTCTTCCTGCGCGGCAGCAGCAGTCATAAGAGGTGGCATGAGCTTGCGCTTCTTCCCCGGACGGGTGTCCTCCGCCTCGGAGCTACCGCTACGGGCCACCTTCTGAGTTGGTGTTTTGAGCAACGCCGGGTCGGGGTTTGCAGCTGCTTCAGGAGCGGCGAACGACGGGCTGATCTCAGCCATCAACTATCATTGGCAATCTTAGGGAAGGTTGTACTGTGAGTTGTTAGTATAGCGCAAGAATTGGGGCATGTTGCATGCGACAGCGAATCCGACCGAGGCAGCGGGATGAACAGAACGTTGGGCATCGCACGTACGCTCATAAATGTTGCTGAATGATTTTCAGGTAATCGTCCAAGTCGTAGGCAATGTCACGGCTGGATGTGGTCTCGCGGCGCCTCGTGGGCCGGTCCGATGCTTTGCGACAGTGCAGCGCACGCGTGGGAGAAATCCTACAATCGATAGTGACGTGATATGCTGTTGGGACGAGGGAAATCGGGGTGCGTCGACGAAGACCGGCTGTCGAAGAAAGGGCAATTGCTTCGGGCGCAAGACTGTTGGAGGTGTAGTATACGGCGATGGCGACGGTGAGCTCGAGAGGTGTATACGGCGTACGGTGAAAGGTGTTGTATCGAGGACCAGCAGGATAGGAAGGAAGAGAAACAGTGGCTTGTGAAGTGCTGAGGCTGAGCCTGTGGCCCAAGTGACAGACTGGGTTTTATTTTGGAGGCGAAAGTGACGATGTGGGCACTGCTGGAACTTGGTTTTGAACTGTGGTTGATGGACGGGACTCGGGAGAGGGTGCTGTGGCGCAAGGGTGGCTCGTCGGGCGGCCTCTCAGGTCTCGGGATCGTAAAGTGCTCGATTTGATCGAGTAGCGATGAAATCTCGATGATGCGTGATGTGTTGTCACAGTGTTATGCGAGAACCGCGTCGACGCCGATGTGACAACGAAGATGAATAGTCACAGGTCAGACGTGAGGAGTTGAGAGAAAAAAACCCTCCACGATGCTGCTAAGAAAGAGACTGGAGGTATAGTAGTCACTACCGGTGCCCAGGGTAAACGCAAAGGCCTGCAACTAGGAAGCCTAACAACAACGCCCTCCCCGATATTCACTCCCGCTGTGACGCCACAGGCCTCCGTATTCGAGCAACGCTTGAACAAGGATTAGGCTGGGAGCAGCTCCTCAAAGCGCCACGATCAGCGTCATCGCATCAGCTATTCTAGGCCCTTTTGGGGTGCTGTCGCTCGCTTCGCGCAAGGGACACTCCACGCCGTTATTCGCTTTGATCTCAGCTCACATGCGATCGAAACAACAATCTAAGACAACGCCCAATATTCTACGTCGAGTCGTTCGCTAGCATACGTAGTGCCGTAGAACGCTCTGGGTGGAGAGACAGTCAAGCCACCAGACTCTCGCCCATGAACCTGTCAGATGCAAGCAAGCCGACAGCCTGAGTTCATTCGTCGATCGAGAATCAGACCTCAGCTCTTTCAAGCCACTGCCTCCAGGCACCGGTTGAGCGTGATGTGGCTAGCTTTACGTCAATGTCCTTATGAGCACGAAGTCGGGCCCAACGCGCCGGGTTCTTGCGCTCGTTGAGATCGAGGCTGCCTTGCGACAGTAGGCCAGCGTGCAACAATCATTGTCCACACCGCAGGTGAACATAAGCTGCATAACCAATCTGTCTCATCGCCTACTACTGCCCCAAAATATGCATCGTGCCAAAGTACTAAAGCCAAGAGACGGCCTCCCCGAATCGGTAGGTACTCGATAGTCGATATACCTTCTCATGTACCAATATCGTCCGTCATCTCGGTTTTTGACTTCGTGGCTGTGACCACCAGAGTTGTGCGATCGGGTACCTTACGCAGCAATGTCGGATGGTTTTCTTGACCTTGACCATGACCGGGAACAAGCAGTGTTGTCTGTTTGCCCATAATCGTACGTTGAGGCTCAGTACTTGGGGATTTGTAGTTCTCCATTATTCAATGATTTCTTCCAAGTTGTGGCCGCTTTGACGATCCGACCTGGTGCTAGGAGCATCATCGATGCGGAGCCGACGCCACAACTGCCGCTACTAAATAATGCTCCGAGCTCACACATCGAATTTCGACCTTGTTGCCACCAGCACGAGAACCAGAAGCTCGAGCAGTCTAACATCCGGCCGACTCATGATCTACGAGTCTGCCCCTTCGAAGTCTTGACCAGCGTCCCAGCTCATCTTCCGACATCTAGAATCGATCGACCGCGAAGCTTGATGAACTGCGAGATAAACTCGGGCAGCGGGCTCGCGCCGAGAATTCGTCTGATCGACCGCCGGACTTCTGTTGCAGCCAATCGTGGCACTCACAACACATCTGAGAACTGTTCCAAATTTCGGACTTGGCATTTCTTCTCCTCAAAACCCTGACGATCAATCCACAAAGCTCGAGAGCTTGCCGGGCATCAGCCCACTGCCTGCCACTTGGAGCCGGCAGTCGATGGAGTTCGAGACGTCAGTACCCTGGCACTACAAGCAGATCTTCGCGCTACAGCGGAAGCAACTTGCGTAGCCAACCACAGGTAGGATGGGTTCCGGTGGAAGAGATGGCTGGCAAGACGTCGCGTTGTAGATCCTGGTTGCCAACGCGTCAATCACAGCGGCGGCAAAGATTTCTTGCGCGTCGTCAAGTTGACCGAAATCCTCGAGACGAACATTAGTGTCCCGAAAGACGCGCTGGCAATGCTTTCCTGTTACATCCAACAGGGCCTTCTTACCGATGCTGATGGGACCACGAGCATGAGTTAGTGTTAGAATACTTGTGCTAACGGCGACAGATATTCAATACTCGCTTGATCCTTCCAAGGCGACCGCAAGAATCGACCGTGGCATCAAGCCTTTGCTCAGGTAAGCTCGAAGACCATGAACATGTACAATCCACAACATCTTGAGACTTCGTCTGGCCCTTATTTTCCGCTCTGAAGCAGCGCCGTCGATGTCTTCAGAACACCCATCAACACCCTCGTCTTCTCCGCATCCAACCACTCCTGCACCCTCTCAATCTTACCTCCACCATCCTCCGCGCTCCCTTCGAAAGTGATCACAAATAGGTACTCGTTCTTCAACCCGCCATTTTCCCGAGCTTGCCTCAACAACGTTTTCCCCTCCTCATCACCCTCCAACAATCCTTTGACCTTTTCGCTCAGAACTACCTCACCTTCAGCATGCACCGTCACCAACGCCTTCTCATTTCCACTCTTCTCATCCTTAGTCACACTCTCGATAACCTCCAGTGGGTTGACGGGGAATGAGTCCAGAATCCCACTCTCGAACATATGGGCGAGGCGCTGGCCTTGGCTGTCCCGGGACTGAGGCGGGAAGCCGAGGGACGCGGGGTGCATGGTCCACACGGCGTCGGGGTGGATGAGAGAGATGAGGGTGTTGTAATCGAGGGTCTTGAATGTTTCTAGGAGCGCGAGGGCGGTGGCGCGGGGCGTTGTGGGTTGAGAGGCCATTGCGTTGGAAAGTCTCCCGTGTAGTAAGCTACGCGATGGCTGATTGGGACTGACGTCGCGGCTAGATGGGCTGTTGAGCGTATGATGTGCTATAGCTGAGCGTTTGTTATTGTGTTGTGAGAAAGGCGATGTGTCTCGAGGTAGAGGTAGGCTAGTGCAAATATATAGTTGTACACATTTGCTTACATCAAGCAATTCCTTACCCCAACCCCGAGATTCATGATCAACTCTAGCTCCGGAGCACGATCTCTCTTTGAGGCTCCATTACCGCAAAATGCTCACCGTGTGGAACACAGTCGGTTTGCACCGGTCACGCCTTCATTTGCTCGCCCTCCTGATCTTCTCCACTTAGAGACTTGTAGGATCTTGGTCAAGCGAGAGGCGCGGCTGTGGCTGTGTACATGGGGCGTCTTCATTCATCACTGTCCAGGTTTCTCGACCGAGACAGGATGCAGTGGAGAGGACGAATATGACCTCAAACTGCCCAGGGAAATGAATTCGAAGACTGCTGTATGATCAGAGCACGACGACGCTGTTCAGTCTCAACAGAGACACCTCCCAGACCAGCGCTCAAAGATGGTCCCACGCAGTCTCGACAATGCTGCAGTCACATCAATACCACCAGAGCTCTCCTGTTGGTCCATTCTGTGGGCTCTGGCCGCTGTTGTAACACATTGCATGCTACAGCCATCCTTCAACAGCTACTTCTGGAATTCGACGGCATTCGAGGGCTCCTTATCGCCACACCGATCCTCGCCATTCATCTGCCTGGCCGACTCAGCCGTTGATATCTATCTGTTATTCCGCCCCCGTTCTGACGCCTCATCTATTGAGCACAAATCCAGCAAGCATGGGGTGCTGACCCGGCTGGCACTCTACCTTCTAGGAGTGCTGCCGCAGTCGCTCAAAATCCTCAGCGCTCGAGGCATCCCAATCACCCAAGCCATCGTGGCGGCTTTCTTGCTGTCGTCTACCGTCAGTCTGGTCTGCTCACTCATGCTAGATTCCCACGACGAGCGACTACGTGACTTTGCCTCGAACCTGAAAGGTCCTGAAGAGCCTGTCCTCGGCCTCTTCTCGCCTAAGGCCCGAGCATCACTATTGGGTCTTATCGTGTTTGTCGGTCATGTTATCGGCATTATCATGGTCTTCCATCACCACAAGGACTTGATAGGGTTTGATGCGCCGCAAGATGTCCAGAATGCCTTTCAATGGATAGTTGACACTGGCAGTATTGTGTACCTCGCATACACACTGCAAAACACAGCTTTCATAGTTGTTGGCAAAAGATCTCCTGTAAGTACCGTTCTCTGTGAAGATCCTGCTCTGTCACAGGAGAAATCTATTGCTTGCTTCCACAAAACGCTGACTTACTCGCTTCAGATTCCACCGCTGCCTGCGCTACAGCTCCTCGTATGCACCAATCATCTGTGTTTCAATGATTTACTTCGATCGAGCGGCAGGGCACGAGCCAAACAACAACAGTCATCTGACAGGGTTCCAGGCACCATCACTGTGACCGCCACTCTAACCATCGTATGCTACCTGGTCGCTTGGGCTTTGCAATCTGTTGGGCAAGCCGTGCACGCCCGGTGCTCTTCTGGACGTCGGTCGAACGAGTCCGATAACTCGATAGAACTGAGCCCCACCGCACCTGTTGCTGCGGAACGAGGTCCTTCTGCAGCGGCTGATACAACCAGCGAAGCGGTCACCGAACAGGCCGACCTCGTTGCCCCGGAAGAGGTTGAGAGGGACGTCCCAGTATCAGAACTGACTCCCAGCCAGATGTTCTTCAGGGTCGTGTTTTGGATATCAAAATGGATATTGATACTGGCCTGGCGGCTGTTCAAGGGCATAGGTGGGCCTTTCATCTACATGTTCAACTGGATCGAATTACACGTCAAGAAGCATCATCCGCTCCGAGGACCGATGATGACATTTGGCCTTGTGAATTTTGCTACGGCTGCGATCTACTACCTTGCTTTCTTCGATCCGCATGGGACGAAGGCGCCTGCATGGAGCCAAGCCCTGGGCTGAGACGAGGGCTGGCTGCCGAATGGGAACCAAGACATGTACCGCGAATGTGACCCTCGAAATCCGTTCACTTTTATAAAGCGAATCATTTTTCCTGGCGCCGGCAATATCGATCATCTCACCGACTCCGGCGAGGACAGAGCCTTTCGTGGACACGCTGGAACTTTGGAGTTGCATACGAATCGCCGCAGAAGCGGCACACGTACGGGCATTCCTCTTGTCCGTGGCCGCTGGTGAACTGTGTGAGCTGGTACGCCTCTGCGCTCGAAGGGCTAGGCCTCCTACTCGACCGAGAAATCAGACTTTTGATACACATGACGCCCGTCCGGTCGTGGGCGTCGCACTGCCGCTGCGAAACACCTTCCTGCTGATGGTGCGGCTTAATCGCTGGGCAACTAAGCTGTCGTCACGTTCCACTGTCGGAGGGCAGTCGGGGACAGCGCAGGAAGAGTAGCGCTGTGGTTCCGAAGAGGTTGTGTCGGATTCGACAATGCTCCTAGGCAGTTCGGATGAGCCACGACTTAGGCAGAAATGCTCTGGTCGATCTTCCGAGAGCGCCCTGTGCTGGACGAGGTCCGCCTTCTGGCAGAGTCCGATCTCAAAGCTCCTGATGATGAAAGACCAGGAGGTTAGAAACAAGACTGTCGAATCACTATGTGACCAAAGCAGACCGGCAAGAATAACGAAGCTCGGCCTTGATGTCCAGCTGCGTTTCTAATCTTGCGTTCAAGGCATCAGGCGTGGAAGAGACGCAAATCGTACATTGCACTGCTCTGAAAATGGTAGGCAAGGGCATTGCTCCTTATGCCATGCTGCGTTACCACAGGCCATGGACGCGTACTGCAAGGCCAGACCGCGTTGACATACCGCATTACTCCTGTCAGGCTTCGGGGGCTGGCAGTCTCATTGATAGGCAAAACGTGTCGTTTAAGCGCCGACTGGGCGTTTCAGAGCTGGTTTGTTTCTCTGATTCGGCACCTTGAGGAGGGCGCTAAACCTCTGACATGTCATTGCTGATCGCGCGGGTAATTATGGAATGAGCCTTGTTAGGAAGCACTCAGGTAGGTAGATGGAAGTGTCCGTCTTGCAACTTCTGGCTAAGGAGGGCTATTCGATCATAAGACAACTTGTATGCCGAGTCACTAGTCGTGAAGCGTCGTCTATACGAGCACAGACTAATGCATTCGCTAAATCTACGCTATGGAAGAGTCAACCTGAGGGCGTCCCACTGCGGGTCCATCTGCGAAGTTTCTGGGATCAGGCTCGAGGCGGTCTAGGCCTGACACGCTTCCACGAGGAGCAGACACTCTCGTGGCCGCGCTTAAGCATCGGATTCTCCCATGCACTGCCACAGAATCGGCAGATGTAGTTGCGGTGCCCCTGCCGGCCGCTGCAGGTGAAGCTCGCGCACTGGTACGCCTCTTCTCTCAGGGGATCAGGCTTGCTGGTAGGTTGAGGGTCTGGGTGTTTGATACACACCACCCTTTACAGCCCGGGGATTTGCAGCGGAATTGGGAGTAATCCTCTTCGTTGTGGTGCGCGACATAGAGACGGGGTCCTACATTGTCACTGCCCTTGACCGCCTGGCCGCAGCCTGGCAGAGCACGGAAGAAGTAACGATCGCGCTGGGTTAGGTGACCCCCATCTGTCGTGACCTTGTGATCAGCGAGACAGAACGCGCAGTTGAAGTCAAAGACAAGATTGGCGGCGTCGTCATCACACTTGCTGGATCCGCCATGGTCCGCAGATCGTAGTACGTCGGCACTTGCGGGTTCTTGAGTCAGAAATCCTTGCTGCTGGAAGCCGGCCGGTCCAAACTCTTGGCCACTGAAGGTCGAGTTGGACAGCGGTAGCGTAACAGATCGGCCGTGGCCATCAGTAGAGGCCCATGTGTGGACATCGTAGGCTGCGACTTCCGTCAGGGGCCTTTCCACAAAGTTCAATGGCGAGCCCTTTGGGACAAGTCCGCTCAGGGCGTTCCCACTGGATAGATTGACGGACCAGGGAGCAGGGCTACTACTGTCAGTTGCACATCTGACAGTACTCAAGCATGGCGTTACTGACCTCTGATCCCCGACGTCGAGGAGCACGGGATTTGGGTGACATTGAACAAAGCAGCGTCCCTGCTGGTCGATCAAGACTGCTGGAGCTGCGAAGGACGTTGGTCTGATGTTCATCAGTTCGCTGTCTATCGTGGACGTTTTGGCTGATGCTTACTTTGGTCTGCCGACGTCGTACGTTGGCCGTCGATGGTCTCCATCTACGCTAAAGGTTGGAGCATACTGGTCTCCAAGGTGAGACAGCTCGTCCGTATCCTCAAGACCTGCCTTCCCTCCTTGCGGTTTTCTGGCCCTTTATCAATGCACAGACTCTCAACGTGTCTGGCAAGGCGGTCGGTGGTTATCTGAACGTGTCTTGGGACTTTGAAGGGACAGGGAGGAGTGACGCCTACGTATGCTCAAGCCGCTTGCAAAGCCCCTATTCACTGACATGGTTCAACAGTGGGCTATCCTTGCGAGAGACGATCGCAGCACCAATTCATGGGAGGTCTTTCATGGTGAGTACCATTAACATATACTGTTGCTGAGAGCTCTGGTATCACTGGACACCTGCTCACGGGTCCACTCAGGAGTTCGCAGCTCTTCCAGTAACTACACTCTGGACCTCATCCTTTGGGAAGTTCCCTGCGAAGTACTTGATGGTGTGACAATCTACTTCTGGATCAATGACTTCGGCGACTATTACGCCGATTCGGGTCGTCAAGAGGATCACACTCTGCATGCATATGTCGACAAGCGTCTCAACTTTGGGGGAGTCCCAGAGGATTACACAACCAGTCCCCTTGCACCTGCTTGTCATGGGGCCACTTCCACTATGGAGAGACAAACAGTATCCGTCACAACCTTCACCTCAGGTATCATTTCATTCATGCAAAACCATGCCTACACCACGACTAGCGATATACACGCTGATGCAAGTGCCACGAGTCTGATCGACCCTCCCACAACCACTCCTGCGGAATCTCACGGAATTCCACTGTCTAAAGGTGCTATCTCAGGCGCTGTGATCGGCCCAGTACTGAGTATCAGCCTGGTATTCGTCACCTTTGTTTGCGTCTATGTCCGCAGGAGAAGGGAGCGCCAGAGGTCCGACAGTGATTCAAGCTATGGACATACAGCCCACCCATCTACAGCGCCCACGTCGAAACCCCCTGTCACAGCAGAGAAACCTGAGCTTCCGACCCAGTCCCCTGCGGTTCGCACGGCCTTTTGGAGGCAATCGTCAGTTCTATCAGCGCCGTGCCCATCTCCATATGAGCTCCAAAGTCCGATATTGACTGTGAGAAATGCCGCAGACGGACAGATGCCCTGCGAGCTATCTTCTGATGGCGGCATATGCCCTCCAAAAGCGTACGCGGCGTTAAGTAGATGCAAAATACACCATGACGGCGATGTTCGGGAACAATGAGTCACGTCGGCTAGCTCGATACAGGACGCCGCCCCAAGCGTGTGGACTCATTCACAGAGCCCATTTGAGCCAGTGTCAAAATTCTCTTCCAAAAAGACGGCATCGACTCGGAGCATGGCTATATTTGCGCCGTGTTCTGAAGCATGAGTCATGCTCGTCACGGGTATCCTACTAGGCCGGGGTGGGCGCTAAAGGTCCGACATTATTGCCCTGATCGCGTCGGTGGAATGCGATGAAGCTCACTTGGAGGTCATTTCGTACCAACGAGCCATCGTGGTTTTCGTGGTCAGGGAGGACTCTGAAGGTCTGACAACGTTTCGCGGGCCATATTAATGGCTGAAGATGGATGTCACTGGAGCGTCACTTACTACAACATAATTCACCATGGCTTTCCGGCCAGGGAGGGCGTTGGATGTCTGACATCGTTCCATTGAGCGAGCTGATGAAGTCGAGATGAGTATGACCAGAGCGTCACTGAAGTGTCACTTTATCGTTTCTTCAGCGTCGCTTGTGCGTCTCTTGATCGTCCCTGGATCGTCCCTTGATCATACTTCGAGCGTCGCTTGGGCGTGATGTGAACGTCAATCGGTTCAAATCATTCTATGTGGTTTACTGGCTGGGGAGGACTCTGTAGGAGATCAATGATCCCACCAAACGAATGCAACGCAGCAGGGGGTATCAAATGTCGTTATGCATGCCCTTTCCCACCGGGCGGCCCTTATGACTTCTTTTCCAAATGACCATTCGCGCCTCTATTCTATGCCAAACCCGTTCCCCGCTCAACATCTACCGCCATCACTCCAGCCAGGGAGTCATCTATACTCTCCAGCCACTCACCGACCGCAAGTTCTAGGGCCGTGTCGCCGCCCATCAAGTCAAGGAAAGACTCAAATGCCGTTTCGAACTCCTCGTCGCGTGGCGGCAGCGAGGCGATCGATTCTGCTGTACGAGACGGCTGGGTGCCTCTGACGATGTCGATGAACCAGTCGAGCAAACTCCACTGCGACCGTCGGTGCTCTTCTTCGCGAGTCTGCAGCTTGACAGTGTCTGCGAGCTCGTGCGCTGCCTGGCGAAGTTTGACCATCATGGGCTCATCGGGCAATTTTGCTGCGAATGATTTCAAGTCCTCGGCCATTTGCTTCGCTTCCGCAGCGCCCTTCGACTTCAGCTTACGTTGAATCTCATAGCCCTTCGCTAGACCAGCTCTTGATCGATCGACCCAATTGGCAAACGTCAGGACCAGGCTGGCCGCTTCGTAGGCTGTGTAACAGCCGTGCAGAACCGACCATGGCGCCCGGAAGCTGAACCATGACCAGGGTGAGTGTTGGTACAAGTGTAGCCAGCCAGCCTCGAAGAATCTCTAATATAAGCTCGCAAGTCGCCTCAAGGTTAGCCGGCCAGACTGCAAGCTCTTTTGCTTTAGTGGGAGTGTATTCGCCAGTGATAATGTTGTATATGGAGTGCGTTAGCCTCTCCATCTTCTGCTCCTGCGTTGTCAACTCGGATTCGTGCGACGGTTTCTCGGATGTTTTGACAGCCCAACCATGAGCTTTTTCGAGCATCGCAGATCCAGTGCCAGCTGTACCCGAACCCTGCCGTAGATAAGACCGAAGGTTCTCACAGAAGTACATTACAGCCAGCCACTGTTTTCCAGGGACCGGTCCACAGCTGAGCTTGTCCCATGAAGCTCGGTCTTCGGCAGAATTCGCTGGCACAATAGAGAAGTCTCTTAGATCGCGCAAGTCCTCGAGGGAACGGAATTGACTGAGGTGTACAACCTCAGGATTGCCGCAGTCTGTCATACGAACAAGCCTCCGCTCTTCGATGAGGTAGATTGCAGTTCCAATCGACGTATTTACCGATGCTCGGGTGGCAGCGGCATTTACAATATTAGTGTAGGCGCCTTCGCGCAACCCCTTCTTGATGCTGTCGGCCAACCCTTCCTCAACTCTGACGTTCAATCTCCATGCGGACTTGACCGCGTCGAAAGGAGCCAGCAACGTCTCGCCCTCTGGACCGTCGGCACTTGTAGAGAGTCCGGTTGGCTTATGGGGGTGTAGTGTAGAGATGCGCGTGAAAAGATGATGTGATACAGTCTCGAGCTGTAGGTTTTTAACAGACAGCCCAGCGTATGTGGACATCGCGAGGCTGAAGAATCCGAAATGGCGGCACAGCTCTATGAGCAGTAAGGTGTTTGGGAAGTATTCTTTGTACTTCTTGTACGTCAGATGAGCCAGCGCGAGAGCGCGATATAGGATGTTTGGTGAACAGCACGCGTGAGCACAATTGACGAGTGAGATGGCCGCGAGAAGCGCGAGCTCCGGGAGCTCTTTAGCTGTGGCTTCTTCGGGATCTCCTCTGATGGCATCACCATAGAGCTTCAACGCTTGCGCTGCGTGCTCAAGGTGGTGAGCTGGTGAAGGACTCCGTGTCAGCCTCTTGACTTTGAGCACGAGTGTCCGCTCGGTCAACCCCCCTCCAGCTCGAACATCGTCCTCGACGTATCGTAGGAAGCTCTCGCGCTGGGCAGGTGGTAGTGCACTCAAGGCTGGATAAAGGTCCTGAAAAGCGAAAGGCCTGGTCTTGTGCGCGTTGTAGTAGGTCTCGCACAGCTTCTGGGTCTGCATCTGCGATGCCCGCATTGCCGCAACGAGAGCTGACCGATTAGGCCCGCTCCTCAACGTGTGAGATTGTAGCGTTTGTATCGCATTCTGTTGCCTTGGTGTCTTTCAGCATCGTGCAATAGGGAGGGGCTAAGTACCTACGTTGGTGAAGCGCCTTTCTCCGCAGCTTCCACGAGGAGATTCCAGATCCGGTCGTCGGGATCTTTGCAGGCTTTTTGTTTGAGATCCAGCAGGTTCTGGCATACACCGACCGCTTCTGACCATTCCTCAGAGGCATGATAGGCGTCGAAAAGAAGAGCCGTGACCAGATCTGGGTCCTTATCGCGGACAATGTGTGTTTTCGCGCCCCAAATGAACCACAAGAGCTTCGCGGCTTCGAACGCATGTCCATTCGCTATATAGATTTCGACCAGCAACGACAACTCTTCTGGTGTAGTGATGGCTTGCGTATTCGCTTGTGCCTGAAATGCGTCTGTGAGTGCGGTTTCTTTTCGAGTCTGGGTTCGTACCTGTTCAGCTGTCATGGACTGAGCTGATTTGCTCACTAACGCATAGGCAAGCTTGCCATATGTTTCTCGGTCCTTCTCTGCCGTTTTAGTGTCCTTCTGTGTCAAGAAGTTCATGAGGATAGTCCAGAAGTAGTACTTTCGCTCGCTAGGAAAAGCTTTGCGTAGAGCCGCGACAGCCTGCCAAGAAGCTCACGTTAGCTTCTGATATACCCGCACAGGGCCTGTTGGCACATCTCGTGATTGTAACACACCGTGTTGGCATCTTGATATCTTCCTTCAGATGTGCAGTCATGTAGCCATGCCATGAGTAGCGTCGTGTCGGCCGTCTTCGAGGCATTTGCCGCCCTTTTGTATAGGTCCCTGCTGCCATACTCTTCGAGCCCTTTAGCCTTCAGGGCCTTCTTTATTGTCGTGATTGCATCGAGGTTGGTGACTGGCGGGACACGGTAGCACAATTGCCGTAATTCTTCTCCGCCTTTCAGATAGTGATTGGGATCCTGGTGCTGAAGCAGTACGGCGCCTTTGAGAGCCTGTCATTCCGCTGTCAGTACACCCTGTCTGCTCGATGGAGAGGTCTCTTCACCAGAAATCTATCCGACTTCTCGCCTTTCTTCTCCCATTTCTGACACTCTTTGAGAGCTTGTGGCAGCTTACCGGCGGAAAGAAAGTCCTCAATAGACCGGAGCCGCCGCTCCGTGACACTCGTATCGGCCATAAGATGTAGAAGAATGAGATACTTGTCCAAAGAAATAAGTATTGCGGGGTGGCCTTTGGAGAATGATCAGTTGGAGATGCAGATTTATAGTAGGTACTCAAGACCGGATGACACGACTTTTACTTGGTCAACGGCAAGTGCATGCGTCCTTCCTGACCAGGGATTTAACGATGCGACACGATGAATCTTTCGTACATCTTCTGGCCGCCTGCACAACAGGGAGACCTCTGAGGAGTCAGTCAACAGTTTGGATGGCTCTTTCCTTCGAGTAAGATCATTGCTAGATCAACGGCAAGGGCATACAGGCATCCTCAGTTCCCAGCGCCCTCCCTGGCTGGAACGATCACGATAGATCATTCCTGACCGCTAACGCTCAGATGCAGCTCAACTCAAAATCCCTCCTGTACCAGCGAACTACCGTTAAATCTTCAGCGTCCTCCTAACCTAGAACCCGTCAATATGTTGGTCGATGGCCCCATTGCTGAAACTACTCCCGGTGCAAGCTCTACCAATGTTCACCGAGCTATGATGATCTGGTCCATGCATACCTCCGTTCGATTTTCCGCCTTTCGCCATGCTGGAATGACCCACCGGAGTCTGAACGTCTCCTACCGATCACTCACCTATTTACCGGTCTCCCTCCCCACCAAAGTGCAAGTTCCTTGCATTCGCCCCGGGCGGAGGACTCTTGTCATCCGGCTTGATTCCCCATCCCACTGGACTGTCCTTGTTATTACCATCAAAAGTCTGGCCCCTGATATAGCACTTATAGCTCGAAGGACCCGATGCGGTCTTTCGGTCATTCTTACTGAATGGGTCCTTGAACCACATGGAATTCAGGGTTGAGTCCTGCCAGGGCCCTGCCTCAAACACCGCCATGCCCGGCGGCGGTAGGACTGTTGCGGGTGAGTTGGGCAAGTAGGTCCCACTGTCACTTTTGTAGTCATAGACACAGTTGTTTGTCCAGAAGAGCACACAGTTGACGTTTCGGCCAGGCCACCAACCCGCGCGTTCATTCGCAAGAGCGTGGTTATCAGTCAAAAGCTGCACGCAGGGCCCGCGACCAGGCGCAGAGCTCTTGGGCCAGACCTTGACGCCAGCTGGTTTAGTCGTTGGGTCTTCTGACAAGACGTTCTTGTCCTGGTAGCATGTGGTATTTGCGGATGCCTTGTTGCCGGCAATCCAGAAGCCGCTCAAGTTATTGTCATACCGTGCGCAAAAGTTAAGCCATTTGTCTTCGTTATAGCGAGGGATCATAACGGTTGGGTTGAGGTCGAGACCGCTCTTAGGATCTTTGACGCCGCCGCGGTAGGTGTAGTCTTGGGGCATATAAGGGATCACGTTCGTCGAGGCTTGCGTTGGGGAGCTGTATGTCAGGCTCACCAAGGTGAGTAGCCGGTAGGCGGTGGGAAGGGTTAGCATCTGGTCGGATTTGTGTGTGATGAGCTGTGATACGAGAATCGGCGAACGAATTCACCTGTTTCCGTTTCGCAGACATCATGTATGTACACGGATTGTCATTTATGGTCAGAGTGGGTGGGACGTGCGCACAACAATGGGCTGCCGACCGAGCTCTTGCGTCCTATTATTGGCAGAGAACAAAGACCTTCGACATCGACTTTGACCTGGTCGGTAGAGTGCTTCCCGTAGATGTCAAGCTCTCGAGGATTCAGCATGGAACAAAGGAAAACGAGGTGCCAACAAAGCTCGGAGGCTTAGTCGAGTGGCCTAGGACAAGTTCACTGTTTCCACTGTGGTCCAACCTTGGAATGATGTTCGCACGTCGTGATTCCAGGGACATACTTCAACCATCATACATGCTCGTGATCAACTCGATGTGTGGTGCTGGGATCGGCGCGGAGCAGTTGCGCTGAATAGCTTTTGGTTTTAGAGGCGTCAATTGCAAAGAGACCACTTGAGAATGCCGCACTCATTTTCACAGCACAGGGAGACCACTGGGGCAAATGACGTTCGGTCGTCTTTCTTCAAGTGCAATCACTGCCTTTACAGACAGATTCCATCACAATTGCCGTCCCTTTCGACAGCCGAAAGATCACCTGTCCTAATGGACATAACTAGACCTTGGTCCACCTGCGGACGCAGTCTAAAGTCTCCAACGCCAGGGTCTTAATAGTCAAAAGTCTGACCAGGTCTGTCTGTCAATGCGCTTGACGGTCCAGTGTTCCATCCGACGTCGTGTCAGATCTCATGCGTTGACGCTGTGCTCATCCAACTGTCTGCCCAGCTGCAGCTTCGCGACTCTATCTTGACTTCTTAGGCACTTGCAAGTCTCCGTGTTCAGAAATCAACATTCAGCACGATCACCCCGTCATTGGGATTGCGCAGCACCTCAAAGCCCTCAAACTCTTTGTCCTTCAATGGTATTTTCTGCCATTGCCCCTTGCGACCTTCCTTTCTCAATTCGTCCAGGGATCGTCGACCACCATTTCCGAAGACATATGTGACATGACTTCCTGGGTAAGCTTGGCGTCCAGAACGTTGCTCCACGGCGACAACAAAGTCCTTTGCTGTCGATGCTTTCTCCGCAAAATTCTGCATTCCGCCGATGAGAGTGTCGGCCATGTCTTTCAACGCTTTCATCTGGTCCTCCTTCCGCATCTTCAGCATCTTCGCCACAGAATAATTGTGCTTGCTGAGCCAGGTGTCGAATCTTATCTCCATATCATCGACCACCATGCGCTGATTGCCGAGAATAGCGTCTGAGACAGGATCACTAGTGAGCAGCTGTATTTTGTCTCGCGGGCCTCTCAATTTTCCTCTCTTGTGACCAAAATTCTCCTGGAAAGCGACAGATTGGATGTAGCAGTCAGCGTAAGTGTCCCACCCCAAGACCGGGTCGTGGACACCAAATTGCGCGCCTGCGATGTCGACGGCGTACACTGGGCCTCCTCTGACGGTGACTTTGAGGACCACATGGGGATTCTTGAGCTGTGGGGGTTGCGGGAAACCATGTACCATGACCTCAGGAGGAGAGCCTCTATCAGGCATCTCGATCCTACGAGTGCAATTTTTGAAGTCGATCTTGAGTTCTCTGATGCTTTGATATGTGCCTATTGTAAGTAAGCGCAGTGCTACAAAGTAGAAGAACATGACCTACCTTCAAGCAGCTTCTCTAGGAAATGATGCATCCAGCCAACCGCATCATCACAAGCGAAATGAGCGAGCACAGCTTCTTGATCCCTTGGGTCAGGAATCAGCTCGTCGGGGAATGGGAGTGTGATATTTGAGCCGTAGGCGCCTTCGCGGATGACGATCTTTTCCGGAGTTATTGTAATGTTTTTGATAGCAATGTCGAAGAAAGCTTTGCGGAAGCCATAGAAGACGCTCTGAACGGACTTGACACTTCTGTAGAGGTTGTTGACTCGCCGGATTCGAAGACATTTGGTTTTGTGTTCCACCCAGTCGGCTGCTTGACAGCTCTTGCTACAGTACCGGGTTTTAGCTTGACATCCTCGCTCTTCGTCGTATTCACATGCCGAGCAGTGCAAAGTTGAAGTTGAGCCGCATTTGACGCAGACCGAGTGATCGCTGTCCTCAGCATTCGCCGCCATGGTTTTTCACTTGCCGGGGTAAGTGGTGAAAACCTGCGGGTCGACGACACTTTCGTGCGAATGTCGAGAGTTGCAAGGGAAGAGGAGATGTGCGATCGAGGAGCAGAAGATGTGGTTCGTATTGAATATCGTAAATTGTGCGCCTCCGTTTGTTTGCCCATCGGCTCCACATTGGCAAGGCAACGAATCCATCACTTCACTTCGTCTGCTTGCAGCTCAGGTGACTTTGAGAGCAAAGTGATCTGCTCGCAGAGGTTGTTGTTGTCGCTGGCGGAATTTGCGTCCAGCATAGTTGAGAAGCACTCGTCCCACAACATCGACTGGCTCGTCCTTACCACATCCTGTTTGGGCAGTACATGGTGCTCGTTACAGATTTCGAGTGTCCTGTGAACTAGCTTCGACGACCATTGCGAGCGTTCTCCGGCTTCGGTGAGTATAGTGCCTGCCCATGCCCTGGTCTCCTGTACCATTGCGCATCACACTCGGATCTTTCGAAGTTCAGTCGCGAGCGAATCATCTGCAAGCCGTCAACGAGCGGCGACCGAAAGCCTCGTTGTCCTGTGGTGTTCATGCAGCAGTCACATACAGCAACGACCACCAGCCCAAGCGAAGGCCCCAGGCACACCGAACACGCCCAAACCATGACCATCGCCGATCTCACACACAGACACCTCTTCTAGAAGCTCACACAGAACCCGCACCACCTCCATCAACCGTCCTTCCCCTCCTCTGTCTCCGTCCCAGCCTCCCTCAAAACCCCAAACCGCCTCCTCGTAGTCCACTCCTTCTTGCAATCCCGATACGCCTGAAAGTAATCCTGACACATATCCTTATCCCCACCGTTCCGGTGCAAACACCGTATGCTCTTGTTCGCAAAGTCCTGGCACGGGTCGTAGTACTTTGAGTGGCTCTTGTTGTTGAACTTCGACGCGCTGTCGGCGTTCCAGGCCTGTTTGGGGTCGTCCGGGTTGCTGTGGTTGTCCGGGCGGGAGACGGGGAGGCGGGCTGTTTTCGCGTCGATTTGGGACGCCATGTTCTGTGGGGTGTGTTTTGGTAGATGGGGTGGTGGCAGTGTTGGAGGACTGGTGTTGTTCGGTGGCTTTGAGAGCGACGGGGGTTTATTGATGGGCTGCTGGAAGGGATTGAAAAAGGACTAGACTTCTTTCATGAAGGACCGTCGTCTGGTGTGAGATGTGTACAGACGTCGGCACAGTTCATCATCAATTGCTCATCGAAAGTCGTTGATGCGGACAAGAAGTTGGAGAAGCTCCTGGAGACGCCGGATGACAGCTGACACTTCACAAGACCGGGTAATCATGGTTCATCTGTCACCGGATGACGTCTAGCGCAAACCGGCTGACACGACAGTGACTGAGCACGCTGAGGCACAGGACCTCGTTTCGCGAGAACATACAACACATACTTCATGCCGATAACCCGATAGGAAAGATGTCTTCTGTTGATCTACTTCCACGCCATCACAGCCTTTTCAATGATCGGCCGAACGATCTTCCTCCCTGCATCTTCATTCTCATGCGTCCACACCATCTGTCTCTTCCCAAGCTCATCCGCCCGGTGCCATTTTTTCAAGTTGACATTGAGCTCCTTACTTTCCTCAATAGCTTTGTAGACGGTACGGAACAGATCATCAGCCTGTTCTTCATCAATCCGCACATCGCTGCGCACATTGAGAACGATCTCTCGAACCTTCTTCTTCTTCCCATCCTTGTCCTTGATCTTGTGCTTATTCAACGCAACGCTGATGTCGATGCCAATCTGCGCAGTCCAAGCTGCTTCGATGGCAAACCAGTCGAATAGAGCCCCAAATTCCGTCTTTTTGATCTGCTCGTCAAGAGAGAATGGAATCGAAGCAAATCCAACGTTCACAGTCGGTGTACGAGGTGATGGCGTGTCGACCAAATCACTCTTGAAGTCTCTGCGAAGAAGGTCGCGCACAGTCATTGCATCAAGGTCCTTCTTGGCGTCCTTTAGCTCCTTGGTGAGCTTCTCGATTTGGTGATCGAAATCGCGGTCCCGCCAGTTGCTGCGCTTGAAAATCCTTTTCGCCGTCTTGACGTCCTCGTCTGTGCCTTCTTCCAAGCCCTTCGAGTCAATGGCGATGGCACCCAAGATCAGCTCGAGGAGCTCATGCGGCATGTGATACTCCTCTGGTAGGGCTTCAAGCTCGTCGAGCATTTGACGGGCTACGATGGTCGTGCAGCTTGCCACTTTTTCGAAGATACGTGGCTTGGCATCTGGGCCCGCGCCGCTATCGACGTGGTGATCGAAGATCGAGAGAATAGGGGCGTCACGCCACTTCCTCACGGGAGCTGGATGGTCGACCAGTATGATGCCTTGGATCTCGCGGGCCAAGTTCTCTGGGTCCTCCGGAAGCTCATCAAGGGTCAGGAGGTCGCTATGTCCCGTACTCATCTGCGACTTGTCAAGAGCTAGCTTGTTCTCCGGCCGGAGATCCAGTGCATCCGTAGGGGTCTGTAGCAGAGCAATGGCTTTCTTGGGGTTCGATGTGTTCATTGTAGAGTGCTCCAGATGATAAGCCCAAGTCAGTGCCGCGGTCATGCTGTCAAGGTCGCCGCCTTCGTTGCCTTGGACGAATATCCATTCCGAAGCTCGTCCTGCTTCCCAGTCAATTAAGAACTCCTTCTTAGTTGCCCGGCTCCATTCACTGAAATGTCCAACCCCGGTTTCTATGCCATTGAATGGCATGACCGGGGATGGCCTGAGGACGGCTTGATCTGGCAGACTTGCTGCATACGTCATTGGGAGCAGTATGCCACTCCAAATGATACTTGACCGCAGCATCGCGGCTCTGGCGACTAGGCTGTTCAGGCGGTCCAGCTCAAAAGCTTCGCGATCGTTCACAATAAAGGCCGACAGCCGCTCTGGAGGGAGCGACGAGATAAATGACTGAGGGCCGCTGGAACTGTAAAGAGCGACGATGACCTATGGAATGCATGGATAGAGCGGAAAGAGAGTCAATATGGCGTAGTGACGTTTGTTTCACGTCGACGAAGCCTGTTTCAGGACAGAGCTTGGCCTGGGAATGTAGGCTTTGTACGAGACCGGATGACATGGTTACGACTAGTCTCACGCAAGACCGGTTGACCAGGTAGATTCTTTTGAGACCGGATGACCGTGATTCAACTGGCGACGCTGTAAACGCCTACTCAAGGACCATCGAGTCTGAATATTGACGAAAAAAGGTTCTGTGGGGCTGTGGTCCTTTGTAAGGTTCTTCTTCACCTGATCATCAACAGACACGATAGAGCACAGCGCCGCTGTGCATCCCGCAATTGGGCGGACGATCGACCCTTGATCCACAGCCTGAGTTTCATCCGGGAATATATTCATAGCCACAGGCTGACTTACTAGACATCTCATTGAAAGCTACTCTTTTTCGTAACCCGCCCCAATTCATGTCATTGATGAATTATGCGCAGCAAGACGTCGTAACGAAGTCCACTGCCCTCCCGCTGATATCGGTTACCCAGACACACATACTTCTATGCCCTCGCCTTTCCATTGCCCACTCCATTCGTCGTGCCATTCGCACCTTTCGACTTCTCCTTCCTCCTCTCCCAGATCATCAGATACCCTTCTCGAGTGAATAATGTCTCCGCCTCAGCTCGTTCGACAAACAGATCCTGAATCTCTACCCACTCCGGCAGGTCACTCCGCTGTGAGTTGGCTACAGCCTTATCCCGAAGTTGGACCTTCCACGCGACTTTGTCGCCTTCACCACCCACCGCCTTGTTCGCAGCATCCGCAGCATTCGAATCCTCACCTCCTCCAGTCGCGACATTGATCGTGTCGAGGATGATATTCGCCACCAGCTCGTAGTATATAGGCTCTCCTGGAGGATAGATGGACGGATTCGGCTCGACGAAAGGCGACATATCCAGCCCGATGGGAGACGGAAACGTCACAATCGTGGGATTCCGCTCCGACACGAATTTGTTGATGCTGAAGCGCTTTATGTGGAACATTAGGAACGGCGGAAGTGGGTGCAATAATCGATGGCGGACGCGATGTGCCTGTCGCTCGGACGCTTGTATCCCGTTGTACTTCTGCAGCAAAGATGTCAACGGAACATGTGGGATGATGTTCTTGTCCTCTACCGCGTCTCTGAAGAGCGGCGTGGGTGGCAGATCTAGTGTCAAGATCATGTATGGAGTGGTGTTGATGGAGATGTTGGAGGACTCCTCGAATCGCAATCGATCGCCTGTAGCATCCGATTTTGCTGTGATGGCCTGCGATTCGAGCCGTAGCTTCCCTTGGAATGCCAGTTGTATTATCGAGGACATCGGCTTCGTCTTGGACCCGCCTAATGTGAGATGAAGGTTGTTCAGGAACCAGGACAGGAATTCGACCGGGTCTGATTGTTGTGTGAGTGTGAACTTCTTTGATGACCGTAAGGCAATCTCCTGTAGTAGTTCATGTGGGGAGACATGATTTCTGAATGCTTTTGGATTCCATATCTTCCGTACCATCGTGCTGAACCTGACCGGTAGTTGCGGTGATGTTGGTGAAAATTTGTTTAGCAGAAAGAAGTTTCGCAAGGGCGCGACGTGTGAGAGCGCTTGTACGACGACGTTCAGGTAGTCGTTCGCTTTTATGTTGTTCATACCAATGTATCCTGGCCGGTACCTTTTGTTGGACAGCTCAACAGCTTCCTTGGGCACCTTGTCCAGTTTTCGGACCTCCTCTTCGTCGAATTTTGGGTCCACGACGTACTTGATGTCCTCTAAACTCTTGTTGTGCACCTCGTAGCCTTCCGGCAGGACATAGACCTTCTTCGTCTCCATATTGATGTAGACATGATGGTCAACTTCGAGCGCGTGGAAGTATGCATGTGACTTCGGACCTCGTCCTTGGAAGTATTTGCCGCAGACTAAACATGCATACACGTTGATGTTGGACAGTGTCACCGAGCATAACTTTTCGAAGTCGAAGTCCAGTACTGATCGGTTGATTGTGTCGAGGTACAGGTCGCTGTAACCCTCGAGCGGCGCATTCTGTCGGAGAGCCGCGCCGCCAGCGACGTCTTCACCACCGGTCCCCTCATCCTCGTCGGTGTCAGCATCCTCGTTTTCAGCGCTGTGGCCCTGCGTGGTCTCGTAGTCTGGCGGAGGTGGTGGAGGAATGGGGAGTGCCTCGTCGACAACTTCTTCCACCCTCGCCTTCTTATTAGCTGGCGACGCGATCGCAACAGAGTCTAGTGGCTCTTCTGATCTTCGCTTGGCCATACTTTACGCTCGAGCCATGCGCATGAGCGACCGTAAAGAACTGCGACGGTTACCAAATATTTGTTGCGTGCAGGCAAAAGTTGGAGATGTGGGGAGAAGGCAGAAACACGGGTATCACTGTGGCATAATTGAAGACAATACTTCGGACTGGAGTCATTGCTCTACTGACGTTCTTCGATTCGGGCAAACTACAAGGTCGTCAGGAGTAATCGAATGAAAGGAGATCAGAGCGCATATGACGGGAGGAATGAACCACAGCTGCACGAATTTGGGAGCCGCGACATTACTGCCTGCTACTTTGAAGGACTAGGTCAGTCGTTGTATGAGAAAAGTGCCGGTCGTAGTACAACATTAGCATATCTTTGATCTGGCTCGTTCTTGCCTTAGAAGACTGCCAGGCTCTACCCGTGGAGCTCCACGACGACTTTGCCCCTGGCTCGACCCGTGTCCATCCTCTCGAATGCCTCTTTCGCTCGGCCGAAGTCGAAGGTGCTGTCGATGATAATTTCGTCGTCCCCTTTCAGCTTCGCGCACTCCTCCAGATATTCTTTCTTCGCATCAAGAATGATGCACTCGTACGAGTTTCCGAGGCCAAGGTAGCCGAACAACCACCTAAGATACATCTTCGGATGTGTGTAATACAACGCACTGCCGCCAATGGTCGCTCTGCTTGTTTTGTCACCAACGATAGTGACATACTGCGGCGCAAGACCAATGCAGTCCGTGCCTCCCACACAGTCGATGATCGCATTTGGCTGGAACCTCCTGACTGCATCAACGACAGCAGTAGGCGATGTGGTGTAGTCCACCACCTCGTCGGCCCCCAATCCTTTCACGAATTCCACATTCCGACCGGAACACGAGGACAGCACCCTCCAGCCTCTCTCGTGTGCAATCCGTACTGTGTACAGACCTGTGCTTGAGCTGCCCCCGAGTACCACAATGCGATTGTCGGACGCAGTCGCTGCCTTCATATAGGGCACTGCCTTTTCGATTGAAGTCCTTGCTGTGAGCCAGACCAGCGGCAGACTTGCTGCTTGCTTCCAGTCCATATGTTCAGGCTTTGGGATGATACAGGATGTTTTCACATCGACGCTCGCAACCTGTGTCAGGAAGCCTGTGGTTTTGAAATCCATGGAGATGCCCATAACCTCGTCTCCTTTTGCATACCCACTGTCTGATGCTGCAGCAAGGACAATGCCGGAGAAGTCACGACTTGGAATTTTTGGTGCATTGAGGCCTGGCAAAGAGTTGAGAGGCACGTTCATCAACTGGATATCCACGGGATTCAATGCGGTGGCCTTCACCTCTACTAGGATGTGCCCGGAAGCAGGTGCTGCCGGGAGTTCCGTCTCGCCCAAGTGCAGTGTCTGCGGATAGCCCGCTTTGGTGTAGATCCATGATCGCACCTTGCTGTTTGCCATCTTGTGCTGCTTGAGTAGCCGGTTATCGTGTGAATTCGCCTTGTTGCTTGATGAGTCTGCCGAGGTTCCCTCCGCGAATCTTGATGCTTGCACTAAATGTTACTAGTAATTTAGGTACATTGCGGAGCAGTGACGTATACACCGGATGAGCAGAACCGCTGCCAAGACGAGATTGGACCGCGCTCAAATTCAACCGATGTCGGCGGTTCGTACACCAACCGTGAGACATGTTGACCAGAGGTTGCCGGATTGGTGATGACGCTTCGAAGCGTGTGCCCAAGTAGTCTACATCAGAAGACGCCAGGCGCCCAATATCAGAGCGGCTGTACCGGTACATACGCCCCTGTCGCGTTGATCAGCAATCGTTCGAAGGCAAATAGAAACACTTACATCAACCACTGCACCGTAGAGAACTTGACAGCTCAATACGCTCCCGCAAGCTGGCTACTTCCTGTTCAATTCGAGCCTCTGTTTCCTTAATTCGGTTCTCTTGAGTGCTTGCCTCTTCTCTGATTCTCCCTTTCTCCAGATTGAGATCCAGCCGAACGCTAGCTTGAGTGCGTCCAATCTCGTCTCGAAGCCTGGAGTTCAGCTTGGCCAGATCACTTGTCAATCGCTCATGGCTTGATCTGGTAAGCTGGGCTTCTGTGCTGTCGGCATTGGAGAGTTCACTGCGCAATTTCGCAAAGTCGACCTTCTGTGTATACGTGCTGCGTTCGGCGTCCTCTTTCAACACCATTGTGCGTGTGAGGTTCTGGATCGATTCTTCTATAACATCGTTCAGCACGCGCATCATAGCCACGGCTTGTTCCTCCGAGAAGCCCTCGCCACGGAGTCGTTGCACAAATTTGAGCGTGTCAAAGTGGTGGTCTTTCTTTCGAACAATTGTCGTCGAGAACGCTCGTCGCGCATTTCTACTCGCCGCAACATAGACACCATTATGTCGGATAGCGTCTCGCCCAGAAGTTGTAGCTGCGGTCGCCGTTGTTGCGTCTGCGGCTTGGAGTGCGGTGTTGTACTTTGTCGAATGCTGCGAGGTATACTTTGCGCAATTTGTCCGCTGCTGAACGGTCTAGTCTGCGCTATGCTACTACCCTGCGTGATTGCTCGTAGCGCATGTCTTTGTGGAGGATTGATCTGGGTCGTGGCACTTGTCCAGGAAAGACGAGGTAGGAGGAATCGAGGTATCTCTGTCAACGGGCGTGGCTTCGCCATGTTGCTCTGTACGGATTTGGATTGTATGAAGCGTAGAATGGTGTGATGGCACTGAGGTCAAAAGGCAACGCTGAGGCCTGAAACCTGCAGTGTCCCTCATCAGCCGTACCTTGCTCGTGATGTGAGGCCGGATTTCTCCGATGCTCAGTCTCCACGTGACCAGCTTGGCATCAACCTCACGTTGACCAAGAGGAGCTCAAACTCCTTCTGGTTGACTCGGACTCCGGGTAGAGGGTTTGCCTCGCCGTATTCAACCTCGCGCGATCTGTAGAGCGGCTCGCGGGACAATCTACGGGCTCACGGCGCTTTGATTTAGATTATCATGCATTAGGGGCAACAGGCTCGGAATGATCGTTCACAGCTCTCTGGCGGTGGCACATGTATCATGGACACGCAGAAGCCCGTGGCCACTCAGTATAGTATGTTGGGTACCAAGATGAGGTTTACGAAGCATCGGCTGCTCTTGGTAGGAGTCTGCTTGAGCGCCTGGACCGCCCACTTCCAGGTCGGTGTACACTGTGTACAGTGTGGTATCGAAACCACACGCAGATGTTGTACGGACTGTCAAATGGGAGCTGAGCTGAGCTTCGCGTACCATCATCACACAGAGTCTATCAGGCCAGACCCACCGTTTCTATCGCGGCTTCCTTAAGGTCTTTGCCAAGCCAAAAGGCGCTAGAGCATGTCATTCTCAAGGCAAACACTGTGCTCAACTTGGAACGGACTTGAAGTCTGGAAGTGAATTGTGCACAGCCTCTCATACCTTTCCAATTTTCGTGATTGGCAGTCCTCTGCCTTGTTCCTTCGCAAGAGCTGGCTATGAAAGTCTGACGATCAACCTGCGGTGCCGGTCCTTCAAACATAGTGTCAACATCGTCCCCTGGCGGCGACATAGAGCCGCAGAGCCCTGTCGAAACAGAAGTAAGAATCCTTCGAATGCTTGACTTGTTCTCACTGAGTGTGACAGCACTAGCCGACGCTGACATCTCCCGCGATGGAACTCGAAGCTTATCCAGCGCTGGGTGATGCCTTGCGCGAGGCTAGCGACAACGCTGAACTGCTAGACAGAATGCTCTTCTCGCCCAGCTTCATGCATGACGGCCAGGCCCAGCCTTTCTAATTCACCTGCGCAACCACTCAGGAGCGACTCGTGGCAAAATATCTACCTGCATCGCAACTCAACATTGAAGGGCGTGGTCAAGGCTTCATCCTCGTTGAGGAGACAAGCGGCTCTAGCAAATTTGAAGCAGCGTTGCTTATACGTTCACATCGGATCAGGTGTCGCTACTATGCTGCTTTCCGCTCTACATCGAAGCTTCCAGACCAAGAAGCAGAAATCTACAACCTCCCTGACCGTGGCACTTCTTCCGCGTACCACTACGCAGAAGCATCAGGCTGTATCAATGTGAAGCGTGAGTCCGACGAAGGTATCGCTCGTTACCTCGATGACCCTTTGACATAGCTGACATGATTCAGACCAACCTCGCATCAACAATGAGCCTGGAACCAGACCCAGCGCGTTACGGTCACCACCTTTGTTCTTCCCGCCGCCCAAGAATCCATTGTTTAAGAAAAGCACGCCCAGCCAACATACCCACGAAAAAGGCGCAAGTGCTGCGGTGCCAGCGCTTCCACAGCGGCGGGAAACTCGCTTACCAAGCTTCGCGCAGCTGTTCGACTCATCCAGCAACGACGTTGACAAGGCTATCGCTGAAAGCTCGTCAGCGCAACATCACAACCCACAAAACGTCAATGTCGTGAATCGTCGGGCGCACGCCGCTATTCAGCACCCGGTCGTCACAGGCCCGCCAGAGTCCTCAAGTCCTCGTCCTAACGCAACGAAGCGCAAGGCCAGCTTAGCAGACACTATGCACTGTCCACCGCACAAGGTTGCTTGTATTGGTCTCGACAGCGCTTCGGTGGACTCAGCATCCATCGAAGAACTCAACACTGCTTTTGCGCGACCGATCTTTCTGCAAGGCTCGTCCCACCTCATCACCGACAGACCCGGAAGGTGGCCCTCAACACTCGCCCCAACAACGCCGGGCGAGACTGTTTCTGTGGAAACTACTAGCGCGAATCCCATCATCGGCTCGATAAGTCCCTCCGCTTCTTCACCACCGCACAACCAGACTGCTGCCGCAGATGCCCGCAAGAGCAGCGGTGGTAGTGTGGCAGTCCCTGCATCCGTACCCAAGCAGACCGAGATGCGGACAGAAGTCATCAAGATCAACTTCCTCGACGCAGACGGAGCTACCGTTCGCAATTCAACTTGGAGTCAGTGCGGAGACCCGGAGATGTTTTGGAACAATGCCTTGACCGCCTATCCCCTCCTGACCAGAGAGGATCTCGAGCGGTCAGTGCTCAACATTGCTGTCAAGCGGGGCCTCATGTGGTTTGCGGATTTTCGCATCATGAAACCTGTTCACGAGGACTTCGATAGATTGTCGACGGAAGTCGAGAAGCACTACTGGAGGATGATGCGCATCGCAGGCGAGATTCTCAGTATGCACAGACACCAGGGACTCACCGTGAATGTTAGCTTGGTTTGATCAAATGTCCATGGGCGGTCCGGGAAGACTCGCAAGGATCGAATTCGCCGAGTACTGAACGCAACTGCAGACAATACATTACGCACAGCTCGCATGCACACCGGCCACCCACGGGTGACCAAAGGTCACTGACGACGCGCAAATTTTGGAAGGAAACACGTCTCCTGCAGAGAGACAAGCAATATTCTAGAACTACGATGGGTAGAATCGATGTTTCCAGTATGGAGAGGACTGAGAGAAGCCCGCTTTGTCGGCACTGGACAAAGAGCACACCACAAAACAGATTTGAGGATTAGAAAGTGAAGTAACATGCCTTGTCCCACAGATCGTATCTTTCCTTTCACCTAGCGCCTTGTGGTTGCCCTGTGAGTCTAAGGACTCCTGAACCGCCTGACCTGTCCAGGAAGGATTCCGGCGGAAATGAGTCGACTTGTTTGAGCACATCTGGTCGAAAATGAAGTAAGAGCAACTTCGACTCGCTGCTAGCCGGCATTGCTTGTGCGAAATCCTGCGGGTACGGTTCATCCTTAGCTTGTTCGTCGAACTTCCCAGCCGGGTCTGCCGCTGCACCCATGGAGCAGCGACTGCATGCGCTTCTGACGCCTACACGGGAGATCCAAGTTACGCTAAACGACCGCAATGGACTCGAAACGAATGACACTGTTCTCCCGCTTCAACCAGTCTTTGTTGAACCTAATATTCGACCCCACTCATGAAAGGGGTTCTTCCTCAGCTCCATCGACTGTGCTGACAACATGGCAAGCAAAACACAGATGGTCGTGTTAAGAGTGCCAAAAGACAAGCTTGCAGCCATTGCGGGCATAACGCTGCCGACTTCAACAGCAGAGGCGACCTCAATCAACGCCGAGATCCGGGAGCGTAGCTTGCGCATAGTCGACGACGGTGGCAGATATAGCGGCTCTGGCAAAGACGACACCTCTGAGCACGATCCCACACCTGGCAAACAGCCTATCTGTGATGGTGAGTTGGGCCAGACTCCAGCCCTTCGCATCCGCGGTCGCCGGCGTCACAACGACGACAATGTCCCCTCGATATTGCGCAAACCCACGAAACGCCGCGCTACACAAGGTCAATCTCTCTTCCACAGGGTTAGTAAACTAGCATTGCTGACGATGACCACAGAACGTCGTTGTAGGACCGTGACGCATGGTCGGCGGAAGCGGAAACGTGTGGCAAGCGACAACGCCTTCTCTGACAATAAAAGTGACAGCGGATCTACTCAAAGGACCGAGGGTCTACCAAAGCGTCACCAAGCGGCGGCCATAGGCTTGGCACCTGCGGGCAGCGTCAATGCACTTCTTGTAGACAAGCCGGCCGAAAATGTTGGCCAAACCATCGCCCCAGCCGACAAGAACGTTGCGATAAGACAGTGGCTGGTGGTTCTCGCGGAGAACTACAGCGGGCAGGAGTTTGCGGGCATGCCAAAGAGCAGTGCAAACTCCGTCGTGTCGAAGCTTCCTTCAACCTGCAACGATCGGCCTAGGATTCGCCGCAGGGACCCGGCTTCGATTCGGTCAGAGTCCATAGATACCCAGGCAATGGATCAGCTCTGGGATCTTTTGGAGTCATTCTATGCAGACTCAGTCGCCCAAGCTGATGTTGGGAAGTTCCTGTGGAACTCTCGAATGTTCTTGCATCAATTCGAGGCCGCCCTTGCTCGTACCGAAAAGGGCTGGGGATTGATACTGAGGGATCTGGACTGATTCGGATCTACCAGCCTTCTCCTGGCTTTTGTTGAGATCCAAGAGTGGGATGGACAGAGAGGTTAGTGGAGCTCATGGCTCAGATCGAGCAGCACGATGCGTGCCAGATGGACGAGACAGTCCCAGCCATTAAGCACGTGAATGAAGGCCAAACGGACGATGGAGAGTTAGCTTGTAGACAACCATGGGCAGCATGAGACCACGGCGTCGCCTGTGGGATCGTGGAAGGACGCGAGCAAGATGCCGAAATACCATATGAAGTGCAGCAATTCAAGTCAGAGAGCGAAATGCTAGAAGGGTTGTCGTCCAATGCATGTGCATCGTGATTGCTGCAGACGGACAACCCCACGCCAAGTGCGGACCCGGTCACTGCTCAACTTGAAGGTGAGGCGGTCGCCTAAGAGTATCAATCTCACCCTCCCATCTACACCCTACAGTTGCCACGGACAACTGTTCAAGTCGCACATCCAACTATCGCGCGCACAAAGCTCCTCTAAACATCCTCCAAAAGCCTCCAGCTCAATCACTATGTCCCACAATGGCTGCCCCAAGTGCGGTGCGACTATCAGCGCGGGCAAGAAGTGCAATTCCTGCGGCGCTGTGAGTATACCCATGATTGATTGCACGTGGAAACATTGTTCCTGACTCGAGATAATAGACCTGCCCACGCTAAGGACAAGGCTACAAACGCTATCTCTCCGCCGATAGAAGCATTGTGAAAGCGCCTGATGGAAGGCGGCTAAGGATTTGCGTGTGCGCTGCCCAACGACTGATGAGTGACGAATGACGAATCCAGCGAGCATTGCAAGCGCATGGAAGCCGCGCAACTATGACGAGCTGGCACCAATCTTTTCTGCTGAGACATTCTATCATGAATGAGTAGTAATTGAAACAATATGCTCTATGTTCTTCCTCCGGTCATCTAATTGATGAGTAACGCTCACGGCGGCACTACCCGACTCAGAAAACCCAAGAGATCTCGAAGCAACTTGTTGTTCGTGCTGTGGCCCATCCCGTCATACAGATGCTCTTCCAGATTTTGCTCGTCAATCCACTTACACAGCTCCTCCTTCCCTTGCGTGAACAGCCTTGTTGGCACAAGTACGTCCTTGTTGCCATGAATATAGAACCACTGCATACCGTCGCCCTTGTCATCCCTCGCAATGTTTGCCTCATCCCTCAGATCAGCAATTCTGCTCGCCAGCGGAAAGTACCCGCTCAGACAACACGTCCCACAAACGTTCTCCCTCTGTTGCCCCGTCAAACCCCACACCAGACTAACCGCACAGCCCTGACTGAAGCCGCCGACCACGATTCTGCCAGGCTCGACACCTCGATCTATTTCCGCCTGTACCAGCTCGTCTACAACTCGACAGCTTGCGAGTATTCCTTGCTCGTCGTCTGCATCGTCATGCTCTGCCGCTTCCACCAGTGTACTTTCGTCGGCCTCGCCAGGCACACGAGGTTTCAGCGGGTTGGGCAGGGCTTTCGGTAAATACCACGCGCGATTCATGGTCTCGCGGTTGAATGGAGCATTGGGCAGCACCCATCGCAGATAGGGCAGTTTCTTGTAGAACTGGAACTGTTGGGCGAGACCTTGTGGCAGGCCCTCGGCATCGTCTCCATAGCCATGCAGGAAGATCAAGGAAGCTGGGCGACCGGCGGACTGATCTTGAGGGTCGAGGACGTGCGGTGGTGGGTGATCGTGGTCGGTCATGGCGGAGTTTAGGTGGTACGCCCTCTGCGTTTCAACGGGTTACAAGATCTCCTCTAGAAGAACCTGGACATCATCGAGAACACAATAGAGACGCGATCATGCGGGCTGCAAGCCTACCTTACATGAGACTGGCGGTATCGGTACCACATACAGCGCCGGACGAAAGCAACGCAAAGCAAGACGCCTCGATTGCTGCATGTCATCAGCTTTGCGGGGAAGAAGGCAGCCCGGATTTCGGCAATCCAGTCTCTTTGAACGCTTTCTAGTCTTGTCGTCGATTCTGTACCATATCAATCTGCGAAGCGTCCTGGACCAAGCACCTTGGGCTCGCGCGTCACCACCGTCGTCCTTCAATGGGAACGACAGAAACGTGGCAGCGAATCAAGCTTGCAACGTCCTCATTCGTTTTCTGCGGTGTTATCTCTTATCGATCGCCTTTCAAGCCCCGCGCCCATATCCGCCAAGGGCGCAAAAGCTTCTATAGGTTGGACTTGCTTGCCTCGGCTTTCTTGTCGATCATCCTCCAATATCGCGTTCCTTATCAATGGAATCGCCCTACCATGACACACTGCAAATAGATGAACGGCAATCATGTTGCGTCGGAAAAGTGCCCGCCGCAGCAAAGTTGGAAGCCGATCCCCGATGGCTTGTCTGTCGTCTGCGATCACGCCTTCGCCCTCACATCTTGCGTTTCTCTTGTCACCCACAACTGGCAATTCAACGGTCCTTCTCAACCCCTAAAGCGAATACGGTGATCTACCACAAAGTACCCCGCTTCTAGACGTCATTCTGTACGTCAAGCTCGCGTGCTAACCGTGAAGTCGCTTGACGAGCTTGTTTATCCAACCAAGATCTGCGAATCAAGTTGTAAAGCCCCGACGGGGTCGCACCAGGAACGGGCTTGGGAGCTCGTGGGTGTAGGACCTGTGCCTGGAATAGAGCTAGAGGTAGGGTGGCTGGTTGCTGGAAATATGCAAAGGTGTCCTCGTTCACTCTACCCGTTCTCGGGCTTGCTGGCGCATGCACTTGCAATGGCGTTCCTTCTGAAAATCGCCCTTGCGGTGTCGCCACTCGTGGTGCAAGCCGGGGCCAAGCCCATGGCCCTGCCAGCTATGCAGTATAGGCAAGAGCCCGACCATCTCGGAGCTGTCGCAAGCGAGAGCGAGATCTGTAGCAATATTGGCATAGACTTGCTCAAAGCAGGTGGAAACGCTGCTGATGCTGTAAGTGATGCTTGCCAGTGAGACGAGAGCAGCCACTGATACGCCAAGCTTGTTGGCACTGTCTTTTGCATAGGAGTCGTTGGCATGTACCACTCAGGCATAGGTGGCGGTGGGTTTATGACAGTCCGCCTGCCAAATGGCACGTATGAGCAGATCGACTTCCGAGAAACAGCACCAGCTGCAGCATACGAAGACATGTATACGAACAATACGGACGCTTCCATATTCGGGGGCCTGGCCAGCGGCGTACCTGGAGAGCTTAGAGGTCTGGAGTATTTGCACGAGAACTACGGTGTGCTGCCATGGGCAGAAGTCATGGCGCCAGCCATTAAGGTTGCTCGCGAAGGTTGGACTGTCAACGATGATCTGGTTCGCTACATGGCGTCGGCGAACGCCTCAGCCAATATTCCCAATTTCCTCTCCGAGGTTCCAACATGGGCAATCGACTTTGCGCCAAATGGAACACTGGTCCAGCTGAACGACACAATCACAAGGAAGCGATATGGCGATACTCTCCAGAAGATCGCTGATGATGGCGCTGACGTCTTCTACACTGGGGTTATGGCAGAGGCGATGATTCAAGCGCTCCAGGCAGAAAATGGCACCATGACTATGGAGGACTTGGCCAACTACTCGGCGATTGTTGCGCCGGCCATCAACATCACGTATCGCGGTTACAATCTCTTCGCCTCCGATGCACCATCATCGGGTGCTGTGGCTCTCAGCGTTATGAAGATCCTAGAAGGATACCCACCTTTTGCAAGTGATGGCTCTCTCAACCTAAGCACACACCACACCGACGAAGCCATGCGCTTTGCCTATGGAGCGCGAGCCGATCTCGGCGATCCAGACTTCGTCGCGAATCTGACTCGCTATCAATCTGAGATGATTTCGAGTGCATACGCCTCAGAAGTGCGCGGCAGAATTTCCGACAAGCAGTCCTTCAATGTATCGTACTACGATCCTGACGGTCTGGAATCGCTGGAAACCCCAGGCACTAGCCACGTTACCACAGCAGACGCATCGGGCATGGCGATTACCCTCACAACAACCGTCAACCTTCTCTTCGGGTCCAATCTCATGGTTCCCGAAACAGGCGTGATCATGAACAACGAAATGAACGACTTCTCCATACCAGGCAGCTCCAATGCTTTCGGCTACGTGCCCTCCCCAGCGAACTATGTCCGCCCAGGAAAACGCCCCTTGTCATCTATCACACCCATCATCGTCGAACACGCTTCTAACAACACCCTCTACTTCGTCATCGGTGCAGCTGGCGGCTCACGAATCATTACCGCAACGATACAGAATCTTCTGCATGTACTAGATCAGAACATGACGGCGCCGGAGGCCTTGCTTCAGCCGCGACTGCACGATCAGCTGACGCCCAATCAGGTCACTTTTGAATATGCTTACAATAATGAGACAGTGGCTTTCATGAAGAGCTTGGGACACAATGTGACCTGGGTCGCGCCGGGACAGAGTGGGGCTCAGGGGATCAGAGTGCTGCCGAATGGGACTTTTGAGGCGGCGGGCGAGCCTAGGCAGAAGAACTCGGGCGGATTCGCTGTATAAATTTTGAGTTGATTTTATATGATATCTAGATGGAGGTGCTAATCTCATGTCCGATTTTCGCTTTCGAGTTTCCTAATCAAGTAATCCCCTTGATTGACGCCGCGCTGTGATAAATACTGATGCTGATGCTGATGCTGCTGCTGCCGTTCAGCGGCGCTAAGAAAGAGTTATGTTTATCTGACGCCTCCAGCTTGCTGAGAGAAGCTCGCTTAGAAATTGACCTGAAATCGAGGATGTGTCCTGATGTACTCGCCCTTCCAGTAGAAGAGAACGGTCACTGGAATCATAGTAATGGCTATGAAGCCAAGGACAGAGTTGCCCCACCCGAGACTGCTCGTTCGTTAGTTTTGTGCTCTGGCCTTTAAAATTTCAATGGCGATTACTTACCCAAGTGTACTATACATCTTCGGTCCGGCAAGCGGCAGAAAAGCACCTACCAAGCTTCGCAGCACCGTGTTAGCGGCGATAGCGCTGGCAGCATACACGGTGAATGAGTCGACAAAGTAAGTCTGGATACACATGAACATGGCAATAGTGCTCAGTCCAAAAATTGCTGTGCCTATGATCGGCACGATCCAATGCGCATGTTTCTCCGCGGACCAGCCATACCAGAACAATCCAATTGGTAGTAAGAAGCTTGCGGGTATGAGTGGCGGCAGACGATATTCGGGCTTCATGACACCTCCGTGCTTAGCAGTCATCCGCTTGACTAGCTTGTCAGACATGCTGCCGAAGACGCCCAGACCAAGCAGCGATCCTACGCCGACACCCAAGAAGGTCAGGCCGACGGTGCCCTGGGAGAAGTGGTAGACACCTTCGAAGACGAGGGTGAATGTGGTGAACAAGAGGTATAAGTAGCCGTAGACGATAGCCATGTAGACAGAGAAGATTAGGATGGTTGGGCTGAGGAATAGCATCTTCGTCGGACGCACGATCGCGCGAATGAAATATTCTTTCTTGGTGAGATCGGTCGCAAGCTTCGATCGGAGATCGGGATTGTTTGTTTCCTTGCGCAGGCGGGCGGTTCGGCGTTCCAGCAGCACGGGCTCATATGTTTCTCGCATAAGGAAGAACGCTGCCGTTGTCAATACTCCTGCTGCAATTGTAATGAGCCAGAACACCCAGCGCCAGCCAGCGGCTTCAGACAAGAACCCTCCAACTACAGGGCCAATCACAGGGCCGAAGAGTGGTCCTAGTGCAAAGAGGGCCATGGCGCCTCCTCGCTCTTCCTGGTTGAAAGTGTCCGCTATCGAACCTCCGCCTATTGTGATCGGACAGGAGCCAGCGAGACCAGCAAACAGTCGGAAGACCAGAAGCGCTCCAACATTCGGAGATAGAGCGCACGCCATGGTCCAGATGACGAAGAGAACGTTGTTGACGTGGTATACAGGCAATCGGCCATAGACCTCTGACATAGGAGCGATCACTAGTGGTCCTATCGCGTATCCCAGGATGTAGATGGAAACAATGAATGAGCCGATCATTTCATCATTGGTATTGAATTCGCGCATGACGAGCGGCACGCCCGGAGCAACCATTGATGAAGCGAGCGGCGTGAGGAAACAAATGGAAGAGACCATCGCCATATTGCCCCATTTCTCTGCGCGAGACGTCAGCAGACTATCATGCAGATGAACTTGGTGTACGGCAATGGAGCATGGGTCCAAAGGTTATCAACTTCCTTCTAGTTCCTGCACATGTCCGTTTGCGTACTTACTTTTCTTGGTCCAGTTATGAGGTCGATTTGGGTCGTCGGTCCCGTCCCAAGTAACGATATTCGGATCTGATGAAGGCTCGGCGGCGGCCTCTTTGTCGGCTTCAGTCAGCGTATCCGGCTGTGAGCCAGCCTCGACGTCATTGTTGTGTCCTGTCTGAGATTCGCGCTGCTCCATTCGAGAGCTTTCTGACTTCGATTCTTCTGACAGCGATTGCTCGAGCTGCTTCTCGTCGGAAGCGACAGTCGACGTGACCTTGGCTGCCATTGTGCAGCGCTCGTGGTGACCAGGCTGTCCGGGTGTCTGTGACAGTATTGATTGAGTTGCAGTCTTTCGTCCGAAATCTTGGCCGGACAATACGGCTGCAAATAAAGGCCGATTTACCTTACCAGCAGTAGCAGGGCTTGCCAGTCCCGTTGTCGGATATCAGGAACGCGGTGAATATCGTCAAGGTGAGGATCAGCTGTTCCAGGGTCACCACAGACTGCTGATGTATACTGAACGAAGAAATGTCGAGAAGTCGTGGTCGTCACAAAGGAGAGGTTGATGCCCGCTTGCTATAGTATAGTATACGCGATTCCCCACCTGCGAAGTTTGTTCGGCTGTGGGCGTGCCGAGTTGATGCAAGCACTTTGTTTCGATTCGCTGACCTCTAGAGCAAGACCTGCAGTGCCTGGGGAAAGGGGACATCCGGGATTCTGGGGGTTCGTAATTGCTTAGGACCACTGCTCTCGCTATCAGCAAAAGCTGTATTTCGACGAGTGTCGAAGTTGTCAGAGTGCGCTTCTTCAGGGACTAACGATGCGACTGAAATCACATCGTTGCATTCGTCTCAACGCGTAGATGGCATCAAAGACAACCGCATTTAGCTTAATTCCGGGCTAACAATCAGCTCGAAGGGGAGGGTACTTGCCGACTGTCTGGTTTGTGCGGTTGTGCACCTGCACAATTGGCTTGTGCTGGGCGGCTCATTTCTGAGTCGCAACGAGCCCCACATGGTCAGGGACTCGGCCCCGAACCCGGACATCGAGCTTCAAACAGTGGTCATTCATGAGAATAGCCTTGTGTCTAACAAATGCCCGCTCCTAGAGCTCGATCGTGTGAAGTACACGCCGTGATCATACCGCAAGTTGTTGACTTGAGTCGACCAACGTCAGCTTAAGCTCATGGACCTGATAGTAAGCATGCCAATACATCTGATCTGATCTGATTCCGGGGCGCGGAAATAGCCGTTTCGACATGGGCAGGGCAGATGGGGTCAATGCTGTGAATGCCATCTTAGGCATAATTCTGCTTTCAAACGCTTCCGTGGCCTGTCCGAAGTGCTTCGTCAGCGTTAAGCTTGATGAGATGTTTGGCATCTACGCTCGCCAGCGTGACTCGCGTCGCTGTTGTAGAGTTGTGTCACCGTATCACAGGACTCATTTTGACGCGTTACCGGCCACAGTTGTGTTCGGCTTCGGTCCAGGTCGTTCTGAGGGCTCGAGTTTTGTCCACATCAAGTGAACTGCTAGGTGACATATCTCGACTTGGGCAACTGGCAAGCGCAGCCCAAGCTGCACTGCATCGGCGCAGAATGTTCAGTTGTTGTCGGCAGGAGCTATCGTTGTGCGAAAGGAAGGAGTGGCGGCCGCCCTGAGTACAGGTAACGGTTTCAAGGATCACCTTTTCCACTCTCATCCTCCGCCACCGGGACGCCATCTTGGATAACTGGCAGCTCGGCGGCCCGCGTTGTGCGACAAGATATAATGTCGTCCGTGGCGTCCTCGATACAGCCCCTTCCAGACCACGTTCGATCACAGATCACGTCCACTATCGAGATCAGGTCTCTACTTGACGTCGCCGAGCACTTGTTTCGCAACTCCCTTGACGCCAATGCACGCGTCGTTCGCGTCCAGATTGATTTCGAGAAAGGCTACTGTAGTGTGACAGACGACGGAGATGGCATTGAAGCCACCGAATATCAACCAGGCAGCTTTTTGGCTCAAGAGCATTGTACGTCCCGGAGCAGCGAAGCCGGCTGTTATGGCAAGCATGGACAAGCTCTGGCATCGATCGCGGCGCTTTCATTGCTTTCGATCACGTCTAGTCAAAGAGATCAGCGCGCGCACAGATTGACGCTATGCTACGGAAAGCGACTGTCCTCTGGACCTGCCTCGTCAGACGCTGGGGGCGATTGTCAATCTTCAGGCACGCAAGTCGTAGTGCATAATCTGTTCGGTAACTTTCCAGTCCGTTTCAAAGCTCAAGCGCTGGCATGCAGTAACGCTGGAGAAATCGATAGGCAGTTCCTCCTGCTTCAACGAAGAATCACTGCTTATGTCTTAGCTGGGTCCAGCTCTGTTGCAATCTATCTGGAGGTTCGCGGAAAGTCCCTGAGCTACCGTCACAAACCAGATGTACTGCAACGTCCGCGACAGTATTTCACGAGCGGTTGGATTCATCATATACTGACCCAGACCGGTTTCTTCCAAGCCTCAGATGTCTCGAGCTGGAGGATAGCCTCAGCCAAAGCTGGCAGAGTCTTCATCCGTTTGGCATTTCTCACGAGCCTTTACCCTCAAGGCAATGTCAATTTATCACTTTTGGTCGGACGCCCGTTCATGCTGATGGTCCAGGCAAAGCGTTCTTTGACCTGATCAATGATATCTTTGAAACTTCTGGCTTCGAGAACGATACCGTGGTGGAAGACGCGAAATGGGCCGAGCTTCCTCGGGAACGGTTTGCGCGTCACCCAGGTACGAAGCAGCGACAAAGCTCATCCGAGCGCGTCGATCGATGGTCGGCCTTCTATCTCAGAATCGACCGTCACGATGATCAAGCGGCTTCCGACGCCTTGCAAAATAATTTGTCTTTTGATAATGGCAGCGAGATGCAGCAGATTATTGCATTATTGGGGCTGCTGCTGAAGAGATCTCTCGGACGAAGAAGACCGACAATCGTTCAAGATGTGTCGCAGTCGTTGGCAAGGGAAAGCCCGGACAAGGTCAAAGCGGAGCTTTTTGATTCATTCAAGAGGACTAAAAGTGCGTTCCCAACTTCAGACATAGGTCTGGCCGATGGGTTGCCGTTCGTGCGTGATATGCGACCAAGCAAGACCAACGTGTTCGAGGCTGATGTTGAACTTCTTCTGGCCGACATCGAACTAGACGAGGACCTATTCGTATGCTCCGCATCCACAGATGATGGCGCAAAGGCAACTTCTCAGTCACCAGGTTTGGAAGGACAGGCTGCTAGCGATACTGTCTGCTGGACCAACCCGAAGACTGGAAAACTGGTCAGGTACAATGACAATAGCTTTGTCGTTGATACGTTGGGCCATGATGTTCAAGTAAGCGAGTCCGAGCACGAGTGCTGTGATCATGAGCCCAGGAAGAGCCATAGGCGGTGGCAACAGCCAGCAATTGATCGCAAAGCGCTGGCGCAGAGGTTGAAGAAATGGCCCTCGCAGACGTTTGCCTCGCGGACGCACAATGTACTCGATACAATTACATTCGATGGCGAAGAAGCCCCTCCCCAACTCTTGGCAGACCAACAGTGGGTCGACGAGGACATGGTCGCGCAGGATCTTGCCAAGCTCGGGTCTTACGCCAAGTCGACCAGAAATTCATCTTAGCAATGATGCGAGAGGAAGCGCCCACAGGAGCTCTCGTCGTGCTGGTTGATCAGCATGCTGCGGATGAACGAGTCAAGGTCGAACAGCTATATCGCGAGCTGTGCGCTGCCCAGACTGTACCTCTGGCTAAACCCATTCATATCGACATCGACAACAGGGAGCTTGAGTTGCTAGAGTCTGCTCGGCAACGTTTCAGCCGATGGGGTATACTGTATCAGCGGAGTCAGATCTCTGAGACTGTACTCCGTATCACGCATTTGCCACAGCTGATCGCTGAGCGCTGCAGACAGGAGCCCAAGGTACTGATTGACCTCATCCGAGAAGAGGTCTGGGCAGAGCACGATACGAGGCTTCGTTTCGCGACAAGACCGAAGGCATCGCTTCTTGATCAGATCGCGGTTTGCCCAGGTGGACTGATCGAAATGATCAACTCCAGAGCTTGCAGAAGCGCGATCATGTTCAACGATGTGTTGGACATAAAACAGTGCGAGATACTACTGAAAGACCTCTCGAAATGCATTCTACCTTTTCAGTGTGTCCATGGACGACCGAGCGTGACTGTACTGACCAGGCTTGGTTCGTCAGGGTTCGGGACTGCTTTGGATACAAGCAAACCACTATTCAAGGACGCGTTCGAGAATTGGCTATGAGCTCTGGGCAAAGATGATGGATAAGGTAGACTTGGATACTCAAGGCAACCTCTAGTTGACAAAGTCTACTTCAAGTTCGCTTCCCGAATTTGATTTCAATTCATTGCTATCCCACTGAACGCCGTCGTAAGCTAGATGCTGTCAAGACTTCCCACTAAAAAAGCACTACCCGCTCATCAAGCAGGAGCCTTTATCGAAGTCCATGGGAGACCCGCCTGCTTGACCTTGGCTTCCAAGACCTTCAAGAACTTGTTTGTGTCGTCAGATACCGGGTTGATGTCGCTCTCGTCCATCAAATGTCGGTAACGACCGTCCGAGCCTCTACCCACAATGCAGGGGTAGTCGTAATGACTCTTCTCAACGTATTTCTTCAGCTAAGTAAATGTGTCAGTGCTTGGAGAGGCTTCACGGTGGATAAAGGGTTGGCATACGTCAGCTGGGACGTGGTCGTAATGAAGCTGTTGAACTGTGCCGGGAATCAATTTCTTCGCAGCTTGCCACTCTGGCTTCTCGTCCTCCGAGTCTAATGAGCCGCCATGCGTCAAGTCAGAGGCGGCACAGGCGGAGGAGTGCTCGGCGGTGGTGCTTAAACGGCGGAAGCCATAGCCAAGTTTGCCGAGGAAGGAGGTGCTGTTGTTGTAGATAATGAAGAGTTCAAGGTCGGGCATGCTGCTGTCAAATGTGGTATGTAGGTCGGTTGACACGAAGATCTTCGAAGCGATGGACGTGTTGAATTTGTATGAGTATCAAGGGAAGAGCAAAATTGTACCTCATATGTCCACACAAAGTGGGAATGTGGTCAACGACTTACCTCGCGCCACATCATTGCTCGGCACGCTAGAAAAGAGCGCAACTCATTTAGAGATACAGTTGAGGCTGTAAAGCGGAGAGGCTCAGTAGAGGGGAATTGGACATGCACAGCTTTTCTTGGGAAGGCTCATTGGTCAAAATGGTGACCGCGGGAGATCCATCACGAGAGTTGAGTCCCTTGAGCCCCAGTCGGAAGCATTGCCAAGCAGTGGGAGTTTCTTGTCCTTAGGAAGCTTGCGCAATGAGTTCTTGTCGCTCTGGGCTTTTGTCTACATTGAGATCAGGTTTTTCGCGCTCTCTATAAGGTGGGCTTGGTACATATACAAGCAGTGCGACAAGTCCAATGTTGCTTCGCGTAGAACAGATGACACCTCGTCGACTGTTCCGCCCAGGTTCAGGTCATCGTCAAGGGAGGAAAATCGCCGCCTTGGCATACGATTGCCAAGAGCGTTTTCGGGCTACACAGTTTGCTGGAAGGAGGCTGTGCTCGCCCATGAGATGCGTTCTAAGTTGTTTGGGACGTTCATGACGATGGTGCTGCACTCTTACAGAATACCACAGTTGTCTTTGAGTCGGCACAGCCAAGCTTTTCTGCACCACTCGATGGCTTTCACCTAAGTCTATATCTTGTAGGAGTTCATGCCCGCAGATGCCAACACGGATTGGTTTCTGCCATCACAAGATGTGCACACATACGGCTCAGAGACACGTGATAGTACCGCCTACGATTGTCATAACAAGTCCGAGCACAATCCGCAATGACCTGTGCGACTGGGACGACTCTTAGGGCATCACTGTGGGCCAGTCCACGAATCCGTTGATACCTAGAGGCTCGAAGCCCTAGCCAGACAGGCCCCCAGCAATGAGCGTCACAGCAGCATCACTTCACCATCGAATTGACGTTCCTGCAGAGCCTAGCTCATGATGCACCGACAGCGCATCTCCAGGACTATCTTCAGGACTATCCTCAGGAAGAGGATGAACGGTTGTTGATGCTCCGTCTTCGCGCCGGTCGCTATCGCTGCCGCAGATGCTCGATATTTGAGCACACGATTGGGTGCTGATAAGGTTAGTCGGATCCCAGTCTATGCATGTCTAGGCCATCTCGTCCTCTACGACAGAATGGAATCGATAAGGTCGCCACCTGAAGAGCCTCGGAGGTATCTGTTGTCACGCTTGCGCACTTCTCGACGCACCATGAATGCTTCGTTAGAGCATGGCATCATGGATATCGGAACATACAGATCGTCATTTGCAATACCTCATTTTGATCCTGCTGTGTCACATCGCTCCAGCGTGGCCATCGCGTTCGTTGAGAAGCCGGAGGATCCTGGCCCTATTACAAGCAGTGCGTACCTGCATACATGCATGGGTGAGCTCCAGGATCATGATTTCGCCGCCATCGCGGCAAACAGCAGCGACTTGATCAGTCGGAAACATGCCAATGCGAAGCTGGAAGTGACGGGAACAGGTCGTCGTCGTAGCTGGTGTCAGCTGCAAACAAGCTGGGGACGAAGACAATCGTCATAATTCAGCGGACATTTCTTCCGCCCTGCCAAGCGCTTTCGCAGCACATGTTTTTCTCGACTTTCTTGCCGCATGCGAGATTTTCGATATCCACTCACTCCCTCATCGTTATCTGACCGCCTCAACATTCGCGCTTTGTCTCGTTCCAGGCTCAGCTACTGCAGCTCAATACTATCCGCTTTCATGCGCTTACTGCACTGTGCCACCGATGCTGTGGCGTCCCGATCGGCTTTTGCTTCCAGGATCGATCTCTCGGACTCCCCACGTGTAGCTGGCCCTGGCTGGATTGAAATGGACTGATTGTTGCTGCTTTCCCCTGCTGATCGCGCTAGCATGTACCTGCCGTTCACTCGGCCTTCCGCGGGGCACATATACAGCGTTGCATGCTACTGTAAATGAGCAAAATTGCATCTCATTTCTTCTGTGTACTTCCCGACCGCCTCTCTCGGCTCTAATCTAGCACAGTTGAACGGCTTCCAGGCCCAGCATGGCTCCTATAGCGCTCACTCCCCCTCCGGTCGAGGCGAAGAGACCTGGTCTACATCGAGTCGACACTGCCAATCTCGGCACGAAGAGAAAGATAATATGCTTTTCAGGTAGGTGGTATAGACCCTCATGAAAGAACGTAGCCCTGAACATGCCCATAGACTTCGATGGCACGATTTTTCTGCAAGATACCGGGCACCAGCTGTTCGACAACTTCGGCTGCGGGCCTTCACGACGTGCTGAATTGGCCCACGAGCTCGAGTCTGGTACACGCAGCTTCAAAGAAGTCTCAGACGAGCTATATTCCTCGCTTGATGTCCCATTCGATTCTGTCTTCGATGTGATGAAGACAGCACTTGAGATCGACCCGGACTTTGCTACCTTCCACGAGTTCTGCGTTAACAATTCGATTCCTTTCAATGTCATCTCCGCTGGCCTGAAACCAGTTCTTCGCAAAGTTCTCGACCACTTCATTGGGGAGGAAATGTCCTCACATATCCAAATCGTCGCCAACGACGCCCACATCTCGGAAGACAACAAGTGGTCAGCCGGATGGCTTCATCCCGAGACGGAACTCGGCCACGACAAGGCTCAGTCGCTGCAGGACTACAAGTCCACCGCAGCGCTCGAGTCGGAAAACGGCACCATTCCACAGATCATCTTCATCGGCGACGGTGTCTCTGATCTGCCTGCCGCACGGGAGTCTGATGTGCTCTTTGCCCGCCGCGGTCTCAAGCTCGAGGAGTATTGCATAGAAAACAAGCTCGATTACATTCCCTTCGACACTTTCGCGGACATCCAAAAGGAAGTCATCAAGCTTGCCAAGATCGACCAGCAGCGCACACAAGGCAAGGGTCTGCCCGCCAAGTTCAATCCCAGAGCCAATATGTGGCGTCGTGTTAGCAGTAAGGCTGCTGTACCAATCTTCAGTGTCTTCAGCCCGAGTAAGGAGGAGAAGGCATTCATCTGGCCTGAGGCCTTCACGGAGAAAGTCGAGAAGCCGGAGGAGGTGGTGCAGAATGCTCGCGTTGCGGCGCCGACTGCTTGAGGGAATTTCACAGCCAGTCATTGTTTGGGATTCAGTCGTGAAGCGATTGGCGTTACTGAAGCGGCTCATTTGGCGATACTATACATCAATGGACATGAAACGCAGGCGACTTTGGATAATTAGCATAGATGCACCAGCAAGAGGACGACGCAGACAGACTGGACAACAGATCTCCGAAAGTTTGATGGACTAGACCAGAGCTAGACATAGATGTATAGACACAGCTGTTTTGCACACGCATTGATCATCGTAGTCAAAAACGGATTACGTTTCAAGGTGCTGTAGGAGCGCGCATGTGACACGCGCAGCACGAACAACGGCGGATTCGCACAACGCTGCTGCGAGCACCAACAAGATGACTTAAACGTATCGAATGTGTGAAATCGTGGCTATGTAATTATTTCATACAGGTTTATACCGAAGGTTCAGAACAAATGATGGGATACATGTAAAACTGTTCGCCCGGAATTTGGCAACTGGAAGGCGGTCATACAGCACATAAGTCGTCTGCGAAACGAATGTATCATGACTTAGACCACTCTACACGCAAACACTCCGGCGCTGGGATTCAGGATGCTTGGGAGACCCTCGATGTCATGCCGAGTGTCGTTCATCTGCTGACAGGAAACTCGGGTGGGAGTGGTTTTGACGACCTGAGAAGCATTTCGTCGTAGCTTGGAAGGATTATGTCGTTAATCGTGCATTTTGGTCATTGAATGAGCTCATCAAGGCGGATGCCATTGAAGAGGATGATATGTAGTAAGAAACTGCCCTTGCGGGCGACCGTGTGACCAACACCGAATCGACGTGGGAAACGGTATCTGGAGACATCCGCTTTCTCGGACCAGACGAAAGGTAGGAGCTGACATAGGGTGCGATTGAAAGTACACAGGGGCTCCGAAACATTCATGTTCTCAGGTCTCATCAGCCTTGCCTTTGCCCTTCTGGTCAATCACTGTGCTTGCTGATGTGGTACTGCTATCGGTAGAAAGCTTCTTGGCCACATTACTGAGAACATGATGAACTTCTGAACTGGCCAGATTGTGCATGAAGTCGTTCAAGTCGAAGTCGTCGTCGAAAAGCGACTTCTCAGCGTCATCGCCGCCAATGCTGTCAGGCTCCAGGACCTCAGGAATGCGGAGCAGGCCGATAGCGTTCAGATCCTGATTCTGGTGCCCCGTAGTGCCACGAGCCCGATAGAACGCAGGAGGATCGTAAGGACCGAACTCATTCTGGAATGAATCGTCATATGAATGCAACGTGCCAGGCGTGGTGGGCGACTGAACATTGCCTTGATGTTGCCCTAATTCAGAAAAATAGCTCCTATCGTCTGTGAGACCCGGATCCGAAGAAGGTAGGATGTTCCGCGTCGGTGTCGAAAAAGACGGGGATATATAGCGTCGTGGGTCGAACACAGTCTCGTCGGTGAAAATATGTGGCCCTGGCGGGAAATTACTCGGTCCTGGCAGATGACTATCGGCATTGATGAGCGGCTCACCAGGGCGTGGCCCAAGAGTATGGAGTGAAGGCGAATCGGGAGGAGCAACTACCCAGTCACCGTCTGCACAGTAAGATCCAGAGCTTTCGCGCGGAAGCACGTCGGCCTGATCTTTTACAGATAGCATGGCGGGATCGACTGACACGACAATTCCGAACAGCGGCAGGTGTGAGCTCCTGTCGTTGTGTGGTTCGGCTGGTGGGTAGGAATGAAGTGTAGGCGCTTGATCAGAGACCTGTCCGTCATGAAAGTCGGCTGGAATCAGCGTATGCCATGGCATAATCAACGGAGTTCCACTCGTGACGGCAGGCGTTGTTTGATTGCCCGAGTCGTTATCGACTTGCAGCTCAGAATTGTCATCCGTGGTCGTCCCTGCACCATCGTCTGTGCCGGCAGTTGCAACGAACAAGTCTTCATGGGCAGACGGATTAGATAAGTGAGGCCCACCCAGAGGTCGGACTTGTTGAGGATCTTCACCACCTGGTAGAAGAGGTTCGCCTAGCCACGGGTTCAGATCGTTCTGTCGATCAACCAGATGCGAGTAGAGAATAACGCAACAAGCTTGCCATGCTGTTATCTCCGCAGCTTGGCCCTGGGTCTCATTAATGTGAAAGTCGAAGACTCGTCGCCAGAGTGTGTAGGGAATATCGCCGTCCAGATAATGTTGCTTGAAATGACTAGAACGCTTCAATGCACGAAGATATTGCCATCTCATCCGTTCGCCATTCTCATGCGACGCAGGATCGTACTTCTTGCACCAGCAGTCGAAGAAGTCTGTTATCTCGCCTTCTGACTTCTCTTTGCCAACCTTTATTCTAGCTCGAGGCTTGCCTTTCACCTGCCTCGGCAAGAAGCTGAACACACCGAATCCGGTAGCACCGCTTAATGACGGCTTGTGCTGACGTCTCGTGGGTCCAGTGCTCTTCTTGCCTGCTTTGCAAGCACCGCTCGTAGTGGACGAGGTCAGACATCGCAGCACATCGCTGGACAGCAGTAGAGTAGAAGGTACCCGCGGGTTTGCCTTCGCCAAACGGGTTGGCCCGTTTGATTCCTCCTGCTCGATGCTCCAGATGAGTTTAAGGCATTCGTCTTGGCTTCTGCTGCTTGATGTGCATGCGTCTTGCTGCGAGTAGATGTACTCGAAGCGTACGAGTCGACGGAAGTGACCCTGCTCCAGGGCGAGCGATTCAGTGAGCACGGCGCAGGCATGTGCATGCAAGGAAGGGTACGAGCCGTCTGAAGAGCCCTGGTAGGCTAGGGTGACCATCCATCTTATGGCATCGAAAGCAAGGAGAGGTTGCTGATCTTGGTGAATTGGTCGGTGAAGGGAAGCCTTTGGGAGGAGGTGAACGATGTCCTTAGCGGAGATTCCTTCCCAGCGCGTCTGCAACTTCCCCGCGTTATCGATGGCGATCCCAGCAAAAGTGATAAGAGTGTCGTAGCTAACAAAAGCCCGTCGCAAAATCACAACTTGTTCGTGTACTTCATCCAGCATGTTCGTTGTGTTTGCCTAAGAGCGTGGAACTGTTCGCACTGAGAAGCAGAGAGGTCTGCCATGGTGCAGACAGTCAGAGTAGCCAACGCATCCGCACTGGTTAGTGGTCAGGTACTGCAGCCTCTTTCGGGGTAGTCGGATGATGGAGGTGGAGCTCTCCGATGAAGCCTTGAGAAACGCCTTGAGCTGCCGGCTACTGGATTCAAGGCGAGCGGCTCGAGAACTCACCAAGCATTCCGAAGCTGTTTTCATAAGTATACGCGGCTTCAGCGTTGATGAGCTTTGTCCCATGTTGGTCTGTTGCGACATGAGCAGTTGATCGTGTGGGCGCGATCCCCAATGCTCGCAGGCGCCAGGGAAGACTGGGGGCCAAAGCACAGGTCTTCGCAAAGCATCGTCGCTTCGCATCAGATCTCCATCATGAAATATCTGACGACGTTTGAAGAATAGGTCCTCGACCATCTGGCTCACCTAAAATCGCGACTATGGTTCTGAAGACGTCATGACACGCCATCATGACCACAGGCACTGAAGCTTGAGTGCCGATTCACCTTGCAGGCAAAACATGAGCAGAGTAAGTCCTCTCGCAGCTGTCAATTCAGCCATTGATACAGGGCCTCGGGGTAGATGTCTCTTTCAGGGGCAGTCTGAGGTAGTTATACACCGTGACTTTGTCTCCTACCGGAGCGGAGCTGTTGTCTATGCTCGATGGGGCTGATTTCATAAATGTCTCGTGCAGCTCCTGACCAGATTCTGCGGGACCCGCGGTCAGCTACACGGGAATGACCGAAAGTCAGCTTACCACACAGTGATTCGGCTGGTACACAACTTAGCATCTGCTAACACGTACACGTCTTTCACTTCAAGTTCCCTCCAAACAGCGGAAGGCTTGCCAAACAAACGCTCGCCGGCAATTCCGCCGCTCAAGCGATGCATCGACCGTGGCTAAATGATTGCGGACATCTTTGACAACCACTCGCGTGCCAATATATCCGGGACAGGTATGGCTTTCAAAGCAGGCAATTGCCATGCCACTACATACATATAGTGCTTCGGGTCGTCCCTCCTTCTCCTCAAAGCCTCGCGGCGACTGGCCAGGAAACAGGCAACAACCTTGTACGAGCTTGCCAAGTGGCAGCGTTTCCGACCAGCTTTTGACCCAAACTGGCGGTATCAACCAATCGACTGACAGGTCACACTCCTCAAGTTCCGTTCCTGCATCAGACCGACAAGCAAACGGCACATGCACTATAAGAGTGGGTCACATGGTACACGACTGCCGGTCTTAGACCGTTTCACCGCTTGCTGTCTCCGCTCATAGGTGCATTTCTCATCAGGGTCTTTGCTAGGGCCTGCCTCACTTTACCATATCTACAGCTCCTTTCCTAACTCCCCAGAGCTATGTTGTTACTGTGAGATGCTGACTTCATGGGCGGACGTCTCACGCGATAAGCTCAAACTGGTCCAGGCCATTTCCCCAAGCCTCCACCACCAGCTTCAAACACCTTTGCTGCCTTCAAGACATCCAAGTCTTTCCATCTCTTTCCAATGATTTGCATACCAACTGGCAACCACCCTCTGCCTCCCTCGCTCATGCCCCACCCACAAGGCACACTCAGGCCTGGATGACCCGTCGCATTGAACGGACAAGTATTATTAGTGCTTCCGACGGCAAGCTTCATTTTATCCATGACGCTGCTCCCTCCTTCCTCTTCTTTCCTCAGATCTGGGTGTGGTGGCGCTACCGACACGCCAGTTGGTGTAACGAGGATATCATACTCTTCAAGCGCCTTGTCGTAGGCCGCCCGAAGCTGGAAGACGTGCCGATGCGCTTTGCCCTGCACTTCAGGACCATATTTCTCGGTCAGGAATGTTTGTGAGAAGATGATGTTGATGACAGCGGGATTATAGCGACTGAGGAGTTCAAACATTTCCTGGTCCAGTGGCCACTTAGGGGCGAAATGAGGCAGATTGTGCGTGAGTATGTCAGGCACCTTGCCTTGCGCGGTGAGACTCGCCATGTGGTTCCTGCTCGCCGCTGTCCAGATTGCGGGACCCAGAAGGTGCATGGGAACAGAGACTCGCTCAACCTGGGCACCCGCTGCGGCGAAGTGCTTCATCGCAGCGTCCTCGACAACACGTGCCACTTCCGGAACTGTACCAGGGATCGATAGTGATTCTGTGATGATGCCAACTTTCATGCCCTTTCCAACCTGACTTTTATCCTTGCCTTCCGCGAACTTCGCCAGCTCTTCATGATACTGCAGCACGTTCTCGCGCAACGGACACTCGGCCCCTTGCCGCCCGTCCAGACCATCATACCCAGCCAACGCAGTCAACAGCAGTGCTACATCATCAACATTCTGTGCCATCGGCCCTGCATGATCGATCATCGGATGCAATCCGGCACAGCCTGTATACGGCACCAGTCCATGCGTTGCTTCAGGCCATACACTCCAGTGAAGCTGCTCGGCATCCGGATCGAGCCTGCCTGATCTCCGCCAATCTGCATGTCTACGTCAGGACCAGCATTTTCTAGACCAGTAACACCGCGCTCGCGTGCGGCGCGCAGCGACAAGGCGCATGCGCCGCCCGAAGTGCTGCCGCCGGTATTGAAGTTTCGTAGGTAGGGGTTGTGTACGGCGCCATTGGCGGAAGTGTAGCTCAAGGGTGTGAGGGAGTAATTCTCGCAGGTGGTGATCCCAGTGATGGTCCCACCTGCTTCCAGGACCCGTTTCGCGACGCTAGAATCGATGGAAGAGATCGGGTACTCGCCGTTGACGGCAGAAGCCATTGTATCGGTGAACATGCCACAGGTGTAAGGAATCCCGCCCACGGACATGTTGTCCTTAACCGCGATGGTCTTTCCTTCCAGCAATCGGCTTGTTGGATTGGTTGCTCGCAGCTCCGTAATGAGTCGCCAGGCATTGTGTGTGTTGGTCGAAGGGTCGGGCTTGTGGTACTGTCGCGTCTGAGCAGCATCAGATTGTGAAGTTGAGGCGGCTCCATTGATGGTAGGCACGGGTATAAGTCGTGGATCAATGTAGTCTGGCAGGTCCTGGACGGCTTGAGCTGTCACGTCGGCGGCTTGTAGGACGGCAAGGTATGCCTCTTGTGATGTCGGGGATGTTATCGTGACGTTGTTCTTGGCAGCAACATCGTGAAGCACATCAAGTGTGGCGGAAGACCTGTGGGTTGGAGATCTGTCAGCGCCCGAGCACACGCAACTGGTGGGCGTGTCGTGCGATGAGTAATGGCATGCTCAGGAAGGAAGTTGTACTGACTTGCTGTCACCAGCGAGAGACACAATCGACATCTTAAGTCAGCGACGTATGGTAGGTCGGGAAGGCGGACGACAAGTAAGCTGGAAGCCTCTACAGATCTCGATTTCTCTACGAGACCTCCGCGTCTGAGCCGGCAAGAACGTGCGTGCGATTTGTTGAACTTTCGTCCAGTCGATCACGAAGGTGGGATATGTCAAGCGACGTCGGGTACGCTGATATCCGCCTAATTGGGAGCAATGTCGTACTTCTCCGCTGGACCACGAGTTCGGAGGAAAGCTAAAGCATATCGCAACGACTCATACGCCCTGAGCATGACCTCTGTTCACCCGGTCATCGCCGAGCCGCATTTCTCGGTATGCGCACTGTCGAGAAACGCTTCAATACAGAGGTTGCCTTTTGGGTCGAGTATTTGGTAGCGCATTCTCTGTCCGTCTTCTGTGATCTCGCGTCGAATATTCAAGTGTGTCAGGCGCGAGCTTGGATCGCACCACGCGAGTTCCATAACTGCTGGGTCCAAGGTCGTTCCGAGCCAATTGACGGGCATCTGTTGATGAAAGACAACCTCTACTCTATCAACTTTTTCGGTAGATTCAGCTGGTCTATCTTCAGGAAAGGCAGTCCTTATGGCATGAACAGCTCGCGCAAGAATGTGATTACCGTACGCTGATGAAAGCCCGGCTCGTCGAAAACATTCATAGTCGCGATACAAATCGCCCCAATCAGAACGATTGTCCACTGTGAGCCAGGCCAGATACACACCTCCCTTGAACCAGCCTACTTCGGCGCGCTTGTTAGAGGCGTACGATGTCTGCATTTGACAGCCTTTCCAGTCGACCCTGGTGAGGATGGTATGAGTTTGCCGAAAGACTTCGGTGCCCTTTCCGGTTTCCCCTGCTCGAGTCACCCATATGCTGAGATCAACATCAATCTCAATTCCTTTCTCGACCACTCTATACAACCGGTTAAATGCAGCCGTGACAGTTGCTGCCACGGAGGACAGACCCAGGACATGGTCGACCAGTCCCCTAGCGAGGTTCGGATCTCGCAGTTCGTGGGTGTTCCGGATGCCGATCGAGGTAGCGTGGGTTATATGACATCGTGATTGTACAAGCAAGACGCTGATTACTGGTTCGATCATGGCCGAGAGAAACAAGCACAGTAATACAGGATTGTCTGCGAAGCTCCATAGATCCGCAGGTCTGCCGCTTGAATCGTTGCTCATCGAATGCTGACCGTGCCGGCCACCAGTCCTTGCTTGGTAGTAGCGCTTCAGATCCTCCACGCCAAGTCGCAATGGAAAGATGAACGTAGTCTTGGGTAGAACATGTAGCTTCTGTCGTCGATCTTCCTGTATGGTTTGCCAGCCATCACAGTCCGCAAGCTCGGCTAGTGTCTCGGTGCTCAAATTTTTCCTTGCGGGCGTATCTGCGAAGAATGAATTTATCGCTCTCGCTTTTGTCTGTAAGTCTTCGTCTAAAACACGCAGATCGGACGAGGTGAATTCATTTGGAGATGAATTGACCTTCCATTCTGCTGGCTCTCCTTTTGGCAGCATGATCAATCGATGAAGGTTGCGGCGGCGGCGGGCATGTACCAACCGCAAATTCTGAATAATGATAAGTAACGCGAATAATGTCGCTGTAGCGGCGTGATGTACCTTCCATACATTCCACAGAATCAGACCGAGGATATATAACGCAAAGAGTCCCGCCGGGTCGGCGTAAAACATGTTGATATCGACACTTCACCAAGTCCCGCTCAAAAGCCGGATGGTAGATGCTCGTTGAAGATGTGATCAATGACTTGGGATGTTCCTAGTGTAAGTACACATCTGATGACACGAAGCAATGAACACAGCCAGGGACAATTTTATAGATGGCATACAAATTTTGGAAGACGTTACCCTGTGGCATATCGAACGCCGTTTCTGACCTGCTGCAAGGGGCCGCAAACATCTCATCAGCTGATGCTGTCTGCGATGAATCTGCCTTGCTGCCTGGTGCATAGCTAAGCTTGGACGCAATACGGTTGAGTCGCCTTCGACCAGTGCCGGGCGCGAGACACCGAAAGAATGTTGAAACAGTAGTTTAATGGACAGTGTGCGGCGTTCATTACGCAGCGCGCACGACTGCATGTCTGCTGTAATCGTGCTGCCTCGCGTGTGGTCAAAGAAGGAGCGAATTCATCTTGACCCGCCAAACCGTGTCTGTTGCTTCACTGACTCGCATGACGAACAGGGAGGGAGGGTTTCCATGACTCGTGCACCATGGCAATCTTTCCTACCGCGGGCTCAGAGCTTCAGACGTAAGGACCATGAAATTTTGAGAGAGTAGCACGCGCACTGCTACCTGCACGACGCGTATGCCACTTTGAGGGGTCACTGCATGATGTAGATTGTTCTTTACAACGAGCGCAACGCTCCCTAACAACGCGATCGCACCACGCATGACGAAAAGTACAATGGGCCCGTCTTATGAGCCCAAAGAGCCGCCCGCAAGAAAGCATACAATCGCGCGGAAGCCTGTCGCGACAACACCTTCTCGATATGACCCACCGCCGCTACGGTCTTTACCCAGGCACAGCCCGACTCTCGTCTCTCGAATACGTACCCGATGGTCCTTCATGAGCAAGCGTCTACGTGTACTGGTCGTTTTTGGTGTCGTTGTTGTTCTTGCTCTCATTCTGGGGCTCGCTATAGGACTGGGGACGCGATCTAAAACCCAGAATCTTCCGCTCCCTGGCGGCAATGGAGGTCCATTCTCGGGCGAGCTCACGTACTACGATCCAGGCCTCGGATCCTGTGGCGTCACCTCGAGCTCGTCCCAGAACATTGTTGCAGTGGCGCACTCACTCTACGATGCCGCTCAAACGGGCTCAGATCCCAACCAGAACCCGCTCTGCGGCAGGAAGATACGTGCAAAACGAGTGAAGGAAGGCAGCGGGGAGAGGAGCGTCGATCTTACAGTAGTCGATCGATGTACAGGCTGCGCACCGAAGGACATTGATGTGAGTTTGTCAGTCTTCAAGCAGCTGGCAGATCCGGATCTTGGCAGAGTCGATGTGACATGGAATTGGCTGTGACTGCGCAATTGTCTACCGAAATCAATATCTACGGTCATTATCCCACACACAGCTATCGCAGGCGGCCTCACTACGACTCAAACAGCGTTGCGTGACTCGCGTTGACTCGGGCTTCACGACTCGCTTGGCAGACCCAAGTTAGACATCAACACGTCGCTCTTGGAAGCTCCTCAGCTCGCCTGAGCCAAGTATCTGAACGTCTTGCGAAGACGGCAGTAACACCAGCTGGACCCGTAAGTACACGTCAGTTCTTTTTGTGGCAATTGGAGCTTTGTAATGCTGAGAACTTCGCGATAAAAGCCCCAGGTGCGCGTGTCGAGGTACCATCGCAACTAAGATATCTCGTGAAAGAATCGATTCTCCACAACGGGCGAGCGAAAGTCCTTGCGCATCAAGACACGGAAGTAGCTAGCGGAGTCGCGGCCACCTTGCGCCAGCAACACCGTCACAACGTCCAATTCCGCCAAATTGAATGAAAGAGCTCGCAATCAGAACCCGCAAGCAGCTCGGGCGCAGATCCAGAAGCTTGGGTGACTTGCCTCTCAACGTACTGAAGGACCCAGCAAGCTTGAAACACGGGAAGTGGTCACTTCAGCCACGACCTTGGATGTAAAGAACCTCTCACGGTCAAACAAAGCAATTCAGCGGCCGACTTGGCAGAGACGAGTGAACGTCGTGAGAATGGCGGTTTGGCTAGTATTTACGAGGGCGGCCATGTTGCAGCTGCCCGCACTCAATAAAGCACCGGGCAAGAGAGGACAAATATCGGTGAAACAAGGTGCTCCATCGAAGGACGGGCAACAGCGATTGTTAAAGTGATGACCACCCTGCTTCCTACAGCACAGCGCGCCTGTGGCAAGAGCATTGTGCAAGTCCAATATCTCCCAACTTGGTCAGTGGTGCGGCTAGTGCCTCAGTCCCGGGGCCGCAGGTTTTCATTTCTCGTAACCTTGGAATCCTTGCTCACAGATACGGTACGCTCCAGCCAAGACCAGTCTGAATTCTTTTCATAGCACGTGACCACGTCATCAAATAATGCTGACCAAGTGTAGGCTGGTAGACTGTATACTGTGCTACACCTCAAATCACAATGAAACAGCACTTTACCTTCGCGGTCTTCTAATGCTCGAAAATCGACAAGAGGAACTCTGTCAATTTAAGCTATTTTTGATCAACAGCAAAGCATTGCTTGAGTAGGATTGCGTGCCTCGTGATCCCAATAGAAATGCTTGGTGGGCGGCCTAGTCGCATCTAACTTTGGACCCCGATCCTGAAGGATTCACGCCACACCAGCTTCGACGAATTAACTCTGATGTGCACAGTCCACTACCTCATAAGGCAATTCAGAAGGTCCTTGCTGTGAAACTCTGTGCCTGACTGCTTGCACTACCATTGGATTTGTCTTGTGCTGGACTCGTGTTGAGTGGAGGCTCCCAAAAGCCGAAGGATGCACGCTACACAATCTGGAACGTGCCGCCAGACAGACCTTGCCTTCCGAAGGCCAAACGTACCAACGGGTGGCAGATCATCTGTGAGATACAAATGCCAGAATGTCCCAGCTTCATACTGCCTGGTCGTCGTCGTTATTAGCTCTGCATTACACGAAGATAGTGGTCTCGAATTTGCGACTCAAAAGCGTCTGCCGGCATGAAGCTTTCGCATATCATCAGCAGAGGCTCGGTCTCTGAACCGACAGAGTACTACACTCTCCGCAAGCACACACCTTGGGTTGCTTCGCCGCTCGAGAAAATCCCAGGTAGCCAAGGGACAGAGACTCCACCGACTCAGACTGAAGGTGCGTACTTTCTACGTTGGATTTCATGTTGAGCTGGACTATGGAGCGCACTTGTACAGACAGGGTCTATCATGTCACGAGACCTTCAGGACTGTTCACCAAGAGTCTGTGTCGCCTTGTCGACCATGCTAGGGTGACAAGATGGAGCTCAGCCCATGTTTCAGTTCTCGCGTGCTGGACTGTGTTGGTCATCATGAACACCTTAGCTCATTCTCTGACAATAAGCAGGCAAACACACCGATGGACAGCACCACGGTCTCCACTTCCACCACCAACATGACCCCGATACACCCCATTTCAAGCACCATCATGAGTCGAGTACGGTCGAGCTCTTCTACGATCTCTTCTTTGTTGCCAATCTTGCGACGTTCACTGCCAATCACGAGATCACCGACGCGAAAAGTCTCAAGAACTATGTTGGTTTCTTCACGATCTTATGGTTCACATGGCTACAGACCTCGCTCTTCGACGTTCGCTTCGCGACTGACTCGGCCCTGAACCGTCTGTGCAAGGCTGTCTCATTTGGTGTGATGACGGGCTTTGCCATCACAGGAGCTATCTATGACACAGCCGATGTAGGCGAAAATCTCAAGGCTTTTAAGGCGCTTGCTCTCATCCTCATGGTCTCACGCCTTGCACTTGTGGCGCAGTATGGTCTGGTTCTTTGGTACGTCAAGGAGTACCGACGCACGCATATACCAATACTTGCCACGATGGCCACGCTTCTGGTCGCTGCGTTTATCTACCTTGGCACCTTCTGGGGCTTCAAGGAGGGCCTTGCCGGCGATAGTTTTCCCATCCAACATTCCGGCGAGTACACCTACGTCGCTTACTACGTCGTCGCCGTCTTCGAGGCATTCTCGGTCATAGTGATTTCCTGCATCTGGCGAATCGTCTCTTTCAAGCACACCCATCTGGTCGAACGCATTGGACTCCTCACGCTTATCATCATGGGCGAGGGCATTATTGGTATGACCAAGTCCGTTAGCAAGATCATTCAGAACAGCAGCGCTATCTCATCTCGCGATATCGGTATCATCATCTCAGCAGTGCTGCTCATCTACTTTATCTGGGTTCTCTACTTCGATCAAATCGAGAACGACCGATTCGGGACAATCCGTCAACAAGTCTGGGCACTCCTGCACTTCCCGCTTCACGTTGCAATACTTCTTACCGTGGAAGGCTCAACTGCATTGATCATATGGAATATCATCTGTCAGATTGATGACAAGTGGTGGGCGTATGAGAACATTTTCTTGCCAGTCGACGACAACAATAATTACGATTTCGCCAAGTTCGAATCCGCCGAGGCCGTGGTCGAATACATGAACAAGTCGATCGAGACTATCTCCACGTACTTCAAGCCCGGAACACTTGACGAGTACATGAATTACAACACAACCGAGGGGTTCGAAATGATCACAGATCCCGAGCTGAAATTCGACTCTCCTGATTGGGTTGGCAACGCCAGCAACGTCATTTACGAGATCTTTATCGGCGTCGAGAATGCGTTCTTTTCCAGTTTCCAGATCGAAGCACCTGAGCGCAGCAATAGCCAGGGCAGTGCCGCCTCGAATGAAAGCGCTGCCGATGCCGAGTTTGACGAGTCTGTCAATGAGAACAGTGCAATCTACAACATCTTCGTCACAGTCTACGAATACTTCCCGATCGCGGCTGGCGTATTCCTCATCATCCTGGCAATTCTGTTTTGGTTCGGCAAGACCAAGAAAACCCGTGGCGAATGGGGCAGCATCGGGGTACGCGCGTTCTTTGGCAGCGGACTCACCTTGATGGCACTCGGACCATACTTCGGGCCTCAGTCGTCGTCGGACGCGTTCTTCTACGGCCCATGGGCTATTCCAGTCGTTATGCTAACGTTCTTCGTGGTTATCGTCCTGGACAACGCATTGGTCTGGTGGTGGAACAATACAGTCGAGAGGAGGAACAGCGCCGGTGGGACTAGAGGCGAGCCGGTGGTACTGAAGACAAGCAATCACGCGAGAGGAGACAGCAGTGAGGGAAGCGTTGTCTAGTGCGCAGCGATATTCAGCGTCTCATCAGCTAACAGCGGTGTTTGATGACATGACACTCAATTGAAACCATAAAGGTCGGCATGAACCGACTCTTTCATCATCATATTATACGTACTTACTTGTGCTGGGCTCCCACCTCGTTGGCAGCCAAAGTGTGAGTCGGATCGCTTGCAGTAATATATTTGCTCGTCCCTCGGCCGGGGACATGTCAACCGGTCCGGGCTAAGGCCCACGGTAAAGCATGCCAAGTCAAGGGCGTCAAAAGAATCGTTTACGACCAATTGAAAGAGATCCTTAACACAAACATATAAACTCCATTTCGGTCCTGCTCATTTCGCTCAGTCTCGACATCTGCCAACAGTTGCAATCAGCAACATCAGTACCCTCCTGTACAGTGCCATCTGGCCGACAGCATCATGGATCACATCCACGACAACGATAACAGCACCAATACCTTAGTCGCACCTCTGTGATTGTGGTGCCAGTATTTTTGACAGCCTCGTCGCAGGCCTGCCAGGACTGTACGCAGACGCAACCCGCTATTTCGAGACAGGCTCTGTTAGATCCTCGCTTTTCTCCACAGCAGAAGCAGAGGACTGATCTCCCTTGAACGCAAACCCTGGATGGGCAGGGATCAAACAATAAGCAGCGCATACCACCATGCTGTCAAGATAATCAGTGGGACGAGCCTTCGTTCCGTAAGATGGGCGTATACGTACACTGACTCGAGGGCGATGAAAAGTGGCTCATCTCGCAAGGCTTCACTGTCTCTCGAGTAGCCCTCACTCAGCTCATAGACACGGTAAGAGCATCGAATCATGATGAAGATGAGTGCTGCAGCAAGCGCAAGGCAGAAGATCTTGATTCGCCCTGTCAACGCAGCTCCACGCCAGACAGATCGGCTCCGGATCGCGAAGTCGATTACCAACAGTGAGAACAATACTAGTGTAGCAACTTGCAGCGCCTGGAACCCCTGTCAGCGGATTTCAATGCTTACAGTATCTGCAGGGAAGACTTACGAGACCGGCGAGAGCAATGTTGACACCGGACTCGTCCCCGCCGTTCGAGGAAGCCGATTTGGCGCCACCAGCAGCCTGTAAGGCCAGGGAGATGACATCGGAGACGATGAAAATCCAGATGTACCACTTCGGTGCGAGCCGAGAATAGTGCTTGCCAAAATGAATGACTCTTCGGGCGCCCTGTCAGCAGATTGTTGCGCGGCTCTTAGAGGTAGGTCGACTCACAGTCGAGACAGCAGAACATAAATGGCACCTGAAAAGAATACTGGTCCAATCGTGATGAGCACAATCTGCATGATGAACCCGGCGTCGTCCCAGGGGTTCTTCCAGTACAGGATCCTCCCAACATATCCGATAATCTCGCAGAAACAGCCAAGGATCATACAGCCCATAAACCACCACGACCGATAGCGGATGCCGAGCCCGAGTTGGACTATCAGACAGATAGCGTAAAGCGCGATGAGTGCACCGCTGGCTCCCAAGGACGGCCGATAACCGTACGTGGACAACTCGAGAGGACAGGTAGAGACGGTGCAGTTGGCATCGTCGCCATTGGCAATGTATACAGCGCCGGCCCCATTGGTATAATACAGGGTATCGTTGATCCTGGAGACCGACATAGTTGTGACTTCTGGTGGCTGAACGTCAGATTGGCGCGGAACCGACGGGGCCCAAAGGTATAGTACGGTGCAAAGAGCTCCTCAATGGAAGGGCGGACAGGAACCTGTGCCCTAGGGGGCCTACCCATCCTAAGTACTCGGTTGATATGGTCGAGTCTGACATGCACGATCGACCGAACATGGGAATTGTCGTATAGGCGAAAACACCGACATTAAGCGCCAGAACTTAGACTGATGCGTATCAACATCAATCTCCTCGAATCTCAACCCACGACTACAGTACACTCAATGACTTGGACAATCTAAGGCGCTATCTGGCTCGACTAGTCTCCATATATTAAACCTTCGCAAAAGGGCCCAAGAAAAGCACGTTACTAAGTCAAAAGTCGGTGCCTTTTGGGGCCAAACATTTACAGAGCACTATCGCTCACGAGATCTAGATGCTATCTCCGAGATGCATTCTCGAACACGGGATCGATTGGTTAGATTGCTGGTCTTAGATCGGTGGCCATCTCGCCCGATGGCTCCGGCGTAGGCAAGGAAGGCGTTCACTGGCTCCTTGATCGGGCGCCCCGTGCTACGGTGCGGCGAGCCCACAAGCAGGTGTTACACGAGACACGCCTGTCCGGATGGGAACATCATCATGATGTCTGCAGCACTTGTGAGATCCCCGAGCGAGCAAGGTGTTCGGAGCAAATACAACATGCTTGATGTCTGTGCCGTTACTGCTGCCTCTCAATCCATATCCGCTCGAAGGACCACAACCAATGCCAACGAGTCCATGCACACTACCCGCATCAGCGAAGCGCTACACAAGCAAAACTCAGCATAGGCAAGCTCATACTGAACGGTTCCACAATTTGTCCCTCTAGCTGTCTCAACGCCATCCACGGTTCAGGAAGCCAATCTGCTACGCACGCGTGTGTCAAGGGGCCTTACTCGTATCCTGTAGACCAGGTGAAAATTGGGAAGACCGGTCCCAAAGACAACGAGGTCTCAGGGCGATAAGGCGACAATTATGCTAACATCTGCCAAGACCACCGTCCGCTCCATGGCCTAAGCGAGATCAGTCCATTGGTGGGCGGGTCTGAGATTCGCAAAGCGGTCCTGATTAAGTTTGAGCACTGTACATCAATGGCGGTGGAGATAAATCGTGCGTACGATGTACGAATATGCTCACAGACCCGACAGACACAGATACTCAGGTACAACATACAGTCGACTGGCGATTGGCTAGTCACCTGTCAAAGCATCAGGCCGGCAGCAGTCTTGCTGGCTAATGCATGGCGACTACTACATGTGTATACCCACTTGACCTAGGAAAGGCTGTCGTTACGCTCGAATAGTCGATGAGTTTGCGACATTGACTCTGGTCGACAAGATGAGGATCGTAAATGGATCTGGTGTTTGAGCTCTCGGCGAATAATCCCCTGGCGTCTGTGGTCTTATATGCTATGGTCTGTGTCATACGCAGCTGCTTGCCGTCACGTAGTCTCCAGAATTCTCGACTGGTTCAGCCGAATTGTCACCATCTCCTGTACTTGCAGCCAGACCTTATGAGCTGCTGTGTTACATGCCAGATCCAGCCACAAAAATCGGGCGAGTACTTGGTATATCTCATCCCAAGATGAGCACTGAGAGAGCCCAGCTGTTCTCCGACTTCGCTCGAACTCCTGGTTGGCGAGTTGAGATGCGAACCACTCCTTCTGAGGCACGTCCGAAGCACCAAGAGCTCCAAGTATACAAGCCCAGGTGTAGATATCCTGGTGAGAGTCGCTGGTTGATGCCTTAATTCCCACGTTCTCCAATGCGGCTTTGAGGCGCCCAACGACTATCTGCACTGGCTCCGGATTGCTCACTGGAAACGTCACTGCCAGAGCGAATAAAAGCGCAGCACTCTTGATGACTGCGCCCAGGCGATTATCCGATGATGGCTGGTCCAGGTCACCGTTTTCTGTAGGGAAGAGAGCGGACATTAGTTGCAGTTGGACCAACACACGATGCAGCCCCAATCTGGCGAGGTTGTGGTCGTCGTGTGCTTCCCGACAGTATTGATCGAGCAGGGTGGTGTATGCGTATAGATCGACCAGAGCCTCAATGACGTTTGGTGACAAGGCGCATTCTGGCAGTGATATGGATTTGCCAAAAGCCTCGAAAGAGATTTCGATGCCCGCAACACCAAAAGCATTGTGCCTGTTCTCAATCTTCCGCAGCTCTCGATACCTCTGACAAAGCGGCAGTGACGGGGCGCTCAACTTCAGCGATGCCTGAATCGCGTCTGCCACGTGGATTTGGTAGTTGTGAAATTCCATACTGGGCAGATCCTGGCCGCCTCTGGACTCTACCACGTATAGAAGCGCCTTCCAGTGCGCATCAAGGAGTGGACGACGACTGTAGACGTTGAGCCATAAGAGATCCTGCAGAGGTGGCGTGAAAGAATGCGTGGCCTTCGGCGGGGATGCCACAATGCTTTCGGGTGTTCCAAGAGCCATGATCGCTATCAGATGCCAATTCTCGTCAAGATCACCCTTCTCATCGATTTCGCGCGATAAAAGCTGTACAGCACGCTGTTGGTGCATGAGTGAGGATCTGTCGATTCTACCTTCCTGCCGTAGCGCGTTCATGTGCAGTGCCGCAGCCCACATCAGACTGTGAAACACGTAGGGGTGCTCCAGAATATTCATTAGCCACGAGCCATTGACTGTGTGACCACCGGGGCGAAAGCCTGGCCAGTAGACTCGGTAGGAGTGATCAAGCAATTCTCTGGTAGTGTGGTCTAAGAAAGGATGGAGTCGAGCTCGATAGCATTGGTGGCTGTAAATCCCTCTAGAACGTTGCTCGGGACCATGGCAGGGAAAGTGAGGTTTGATGATCGTACGGAGAGCATTGACTCTCGTGCCTGTAACAAGTGCATCCTGCGTTCGGCCTGCATCACCTGTGCTGTGACCATCAGAGGCGCACTTGCAGAGACGGAGGATCCAAGCGGTTCTTGATAGCTAGCACTGCTGCACTCACCAGCTATCCGCGAAGTACCAGCCGTAGAGCCTTCATAATTTGAGCGCAGGAGACAGCTTCGGGATCTGGTATCGGCAGGTTCGATGGGAATGGATTGCTGTGAGCGACCGTCCTGATCGAAGGCAACGTCGCGAAACTGCATTTGGCGTACACCAGGGCATGCTATTTTCCTTTTCAAACAATTGCGGCATGATGGGCGCCCGAGATCGCATTTAATGCGCCTGGTTCGGCAAACCAGACATCCTTTCGATGCGCCATGATTAACCATTACTTTTAGCTGAATGTACTTGAAGTGATGACTCGCATTGACGACTGCTTTGTTACTGCTGTTTGCTGCCTCCTGCGACTGGAACTATGAGCGTTGGGCTGGCCATGATGACTGCGGCATCTCGTGTCTATATATCGATCCAACAGAGCCGCTCCCAGGCGGCCATGTTACCGCGGGAAACCTGTCGTTAAAAACGATCTCCGCTGTCCTCCAAGGACAATGGCTCCGACATCTTGGTTCGCTCGGTCTCGACATCACTGCCACGATCTGGTTCAGCGCGTCAAAATCGATTCACGAGGGTCGAATACAAGTACATCGGAAATGCTAGACTACGAGGAAGGTTGTTCGTATGCCTTAGATGAGGCGCAGCTTGGCACAACCTTGTTGCCTAGCTGTCGATCGACGTTGAAGACGTGACGTTTATAGGCCACCACCCCGTCGATTCTCGCGCCCTACGGCCGTTATGGACCCCTATTTCAGACCAAAGTCCCCCACACAGCGCATCTTGGCTACCGAATCAAGCTACCTACCTACCTAGGTAGGTACGCTGTAGCACGACTCTTGTTCGTTCGAGCATTAACGAGCATCAGAGCATTTCGTGGTACCAGAAACTTTGCCCGGCCTCGCATGCCTTCGCACGTTGACTGCCAACCAATATTAGAACGGATGTGGCTAAGCGCCTGATACGCCTATCCCAACGGCACCAGTAGCGTCACCCAAATCCTCCTGATCAGAAGCAGTACTATGCCACGACATCTTTCGGTAAGTCCGTACTGATGCTTCCTGTAGCTGCCCAGAAATTCTATTCGAAGCGCCGGCTGCGCAGTACTTGCCTACCTGGGTACTGCAGCCTCCTGGCCAAGGCTGATCACGATGCTCAACTCCTTCGATCAGCCAGATTCTACCATGGTTTGTACTTTTGTTCTCAGGAGAGGCCGCTTGGACACAATCACTTCATGTTCGCCAATAGCAACTTGACCTCTTCCTCGGCCCCCTCCGCTAACGCATGCTTTGCTTTGAACTCCGGAGCCCATCCAATCTTCTGCCCGTTACGCGCCTGGAACGTACACATGCCACCCACTTGCACGCCCACAAAACTCGGCTCGCACTGCAACGCCTTCGCCATCTCCTCGAGGATCTTCTCGTCGGCGAGAACAACCTCATCCGTATCGATGACTCCAGCTTTGAGGAGATGTTTGGCCATGGACCGATAGAGGTCGATCCATTTCACGACGCCAGGGGACGCGAGATAATAGCCTTGTTTTCCTGATGGTAGATTGGAACCGGAGAGGATCGCGGAGAGGATGAATAGGTAGAGACTCGCGGTGTCTACCACGTGGCAAACTGGCCATGACTATTTGACAACATTAGTGATCGGTCTCAGACTACACTCGAAGAAGCAAGGGGAAGACTGCCAAGCACAGTCAGAGGACACTTACCGGCTCTCCCTCGTCAACAGCATATACCCGCCTCAAAGCTTTCGCGCACTGTACGATCGCCTTGGTCTGGATCGAGATCGGGTTTCCGAAGCCTTCTCCTCGCCCATAAACAATGCACGGCGCAAAGATATATGACTTCACGCCATACTTCTCGCAAAGCTCGATCACCGTGTTGTTTGTGTCCACGGGCACCTGCATCTTGTCCAACGGCGCCTTCGACTTCTTCTGGATTTCATACAGTTCCGGATCGTCGTCATGCAACGGCCGATCTATTGGTGTGCCGGTATGCGATGAGAAGATCTTCGCTCCGGTCGTATGCAGAAAATGCACATCGCCACCGACCAACGACTTGACCTTTCCCAGGGCCTCGATCAATGGTCTCTGGCCCTTGTCCGAGAACGCATCGATCAAATAGAACACCACACTGATACCTTTCTCGCGCAGCGTTCGTTCTGCCTCATCGATATTGAGATAGTCGAACATGATTGGCTCGATGCCACCGCCGTCTTGGTGTTTCCCGGCCTTCGACGAGGCCGCCACCCACTTGTTCAGCGAGTCAGCCTGAACATCGTTGCGAACAAGGCAGTAGATCTTGTTGTAGGCTGACCGAGAAAGGATTGCTTTGGTGCCGTGGGGATTGAGTAGCTGCGAGAGGATGGTGCCGCCAAGGTAGCCAGAGGCGCCGGTGAGGAGTATCGAGGGCGGCATCTTTTGGCTCTAATGAGTTGTCCTGCTCTCGAGCCTACCGCGCAGTATACTTAGTGAAGCCCTTCCTCCGTGTGAGTCGTCCGTGTTATGCAACAAGTGTTTGTCCTAAAGTTCAAGCTTCACCTATGCCTCGCAATCTATAGTCCTCTGCTGGGGGATGCTTTCGATCGGGTCCATGCGTATTAGTAATGGCTATCAGGAGGCCTGGAACTTAGGATGTGCTTCATATCTTTAACATCCCATCACAAATCGGCAGCATGCCAGTGGCTTCTCGGCTTTGGTCCGACCTATGGACGACATCGGCAGTGCCGCGTCCAATGACGACGACAAAGTCTAAATGTTCCCCAAGTTGGAGAACATTGTAGAGCGTACTGGCGGACGCGCTAGCACCATATCCGTACGTGTAGCCAGGTAATCCTGTGCGAGATGGTGATCAGATGTGTGACTTCATTTGTTCGCACTGCCTCGGCGATCTTGCATATCACTCAACATATCCAAAGGCGTCAATTGCTTAGGCTGGTGAGTGCGAATGTTGGGGAGTCCGCGTCAGTGGCGATAGCAGACGTCCTTCAGGTCTATGCCGACGTCTAAGACACTGAGCTGCTAATGCTGCATGCCTGCCGCCGTGGCGATTGACCCTGGTCCGTAGCTGCAGGTCACTAACGTGATCGTCATGCCAGCCCCATGTTCTGAAGTCGCAGAAACTTGTTGCAAAGATGCGTACCGGCCCGCGGCAAGTCATTTCAGCGAATTGGGTCCAGAAAGCGCAAAGAGAACTCTTACACACGCTTAGTCCGGTCTTCCGATGTATGAAGCCCTCGCCTGTACAAAATGCAGTATATACAGCCCTCAGCCACCCATCAACTCCCAGAATATGTATACATCTCAGCACCACAACACATTACCGCTTCTCGACCAACAAGAAATGCATCGCTATGTACGCAATGATGATGAACGCACCACCAAACACACCAAGTCCAATCACGTCACTCCACATCGCCAGGTTGTCGAAGCCGAAGGCCGACAGGATTGAGGCTCCTGGGACTTCGATGTCGAGGCCATAGCGGTGGTCTTTGAGGCGCAGCTTGGCAACTTCGTTGACAATGAGGCCCTCGTAGCCGTAGTGGAAAATTGACAGCTGTAGTGAACGTCATTAGGTACCTTTCATGGCAACTGAGGGGCGGAAAACTTACCATCTGCAACCACTGCGCAGCAGCTTGAACCGTATCGTGGTTGAGATTCAGCAACAGTCCAGCAAACAGCAGACTAAACAGCATCACCAAGCTGCCGATCAGGTTCGCGACAGCTGTGTCGCGGAACACGATGCCGATGAAGAGGCAGATCGCCGCCGCAGCGAGGTTGAAGAGGACCAGAATCAATATAAACGTGAAGAAGGTGCCCCATTTCGGCAACAGGCCAGACATGGGATAGACGATCATGCCCATGATGATCGGAGGAATCAGACGCAGCGGAACCATGTCAAAGATGACTTTCGCAGCGAAGTAAGTGATAGGAGAGTAGTAGCCGTTTGCCCGCTCGCGGACGAAGATGGCACGCTCAGAGCTGAATGTGTTGAGCGACGTGAGGGTGCTGAAGCCGAAGAGTGCCAGCAGGAAGAAGAAGAGTCCTAACCGATTCTGAAAGCCTCCAATGTCGTCTGAGAGACCGTAAAATAGCCATCCTGATAGGACTGCCAGCAGAATGGCCACTGCATAGTGCGTCAACATGAGCATGGGATTCCGGTACAGATTGCGCCATGTCCGCCGTGACAAAATCAAGAACTGGCGCGGCCACGAAATGCGCATGAAGCCCTTGATCGATCCAGTCACAGGCTGGAAGTTCTCGTCCGTTGCTTGGCCGTTAGCAGAGGAAGCACTGTGTAGTGAGGTCATGATCTCGTTGTGGATAGACTGCGCAACATCGGACGACTTGAAACTCGAGACCAAGATGTCCAGGTCGGTGTTGGCGTCGGCCGGCAGATTATCTGGGTCTTCCATGATCTGGGGCGGATTTGTACTGTCGCGTTTGGCTAAGCGCAACCAGCTTCGTGCACTTCTGTTAGAGGGCAGCAAGCCATCATTGTCCTCATCATCGGTTCTGGGCGTGGGAGGTGTTTGATCATTGTCAATGGATTTCTTTCGCGTGAACAAAGCGCGATCCTGCTTCTGTTTCAGGGATATGCGTCTGGTGCCCTTAGGTCGGATTGACGGTGTGTCCATGCTGACATTGGAAATACTGGCGACGGATTTGACTGCCCGAGTGCTACTTGACTCGGTCCTCATGCCATCACCAGTGATATCGCGCTCGCTAAAATCTGGCTGGCCCTGCTCGAGTACTGGCGATCGTGGCATGCTTGCGTGCATCGTCAAGTCTACGAGATAGTCTGCGATGTTGAAGCCTGGCGGACATGTGTAGCTATCGAATCGAAGTAGGCCTGGCACGTTGAGAACGGCCCCGAATAAACAGTTCGACCCTTGGCCAGCAGAATCAATTGGTCGAACAGTGCGACAATGTTCGACCTCGGTTGGTGTATAGTGAAGATGACCGTCCGGTTGTAGGTCTTCGCCAAAGTGACGAGGCACTCCACAACGTTGAAGGCATTGTAAGCATCGAGCCCGCTGGTGGGTTCGTCCAAGAAGAGAATCGAGGGCGATGTGACAAGCTCGCAAGCAATGCCAACGCGCCTCTTCTCGCCGCCAGAGATACCACGCCCTTTGCCTTCTTCGGAGCCAATCATCTGATCCTTGATGTGATAGATGCCAAGCTGCTGCATGACCTCTATTGCACGCTGCTGCTTGACGAGCAAGCCCATGTCTGCAGGCAATCTCAGCAGAGCACTGGTCAGAATGGTTTCATGTACAGTGAGCGTGGGCATCAGCGTATCTTCTTGATCAACGTAGCCGACGACGTTGCGATACTCATTGTCAAGAGCCTTCTCTCCGTTGATGAACATCGAGCCCATGACATGTCCACGCTTGTTCTTGCGTGCCAGAATATCCAGAAATGTGGATTTTCCAGCACCCGACGCGCCCATGATGGCCATGATCTGCCCAGGCTGAGCAATTCCAGAGATACCTGTCAGGATTTGCTTTCCCTTCAAGTTGTAGGAGACATCTTCAAACTGCAGCGCCATAGGCTTGTGGTCGACCATCAGGCGTGCCGCATCGTCTTCCATGCCTTCGCCGAGTCGGATAGCACCCCATTTCTTGTAGGCAGCTCTTCGGGCGAAATACCACGAAATAAGCACAATAGCGATGACCAACAGGGCACAACCGGCGATGATGCTGGCAATCAATGGGCTGTTGATCTCCTTGATCGGTCGAGTGTATCCAGGGACCTCACTCTCGTACAGACACTCACCCGATCTACAGGCAAGTGCGATGTACTCATCACCAAAGATCTGCGAGATGAGGTCGTTCATAGCGGGCTCTTCGAATCTGCTGCCGTCCCTGGAGCTGCCGGCATATGTATGCTGCTGAATGAGAGATGCCGGTCCCGCAATGCTTTCTTCAAGGAACTCGCCAATATCAACAGAGCCATCTTCACCACAAAGGAAGCGACCTGGGACGCATGAGCACTTGATGTTCTCGCACTCATATTTTGTAACATTCTTGAGATCCGTGTCCTGTACCGACCACTGACAAGTGTCCAGTGCGCAGTAGAACGACTCCTTCTCATTGACCCAGAATTGAAAGTTGCAGGTGCGGGAGTCATCGTTGCAGGAAAAGGTAACCTCTGCAGTCCGCGGATCGATCTGGTCGAGGATGGCCTTGTTGGTGACGTTGCACATCTGGAAGTTCTCATGAACCACGACACCCTGCTTGTAGCAGACGCCGCCAGTGCCCAGCGGCATCAGCGCGTCACAGGCGCGGTTCTCGGTGCAGACATTACAATTGACACCCTCCCAGCCGTCCTTGCAATCGCATTTGTCGCCCTCTCGAGGTGATCTGTTCTTGCCATCGGCAAGCGCACCGCATAGTGGCTCGGCGCAGTCCTCTCCGCCGAAGCCAGGTGGACAAGCACACTTTCCATTAGTGCTGCTGCAGTTGCCGTATTGTAAACACTTAAATTCTTCGTAGTGGCAGTCGAAGCAGCGCGGACAAGGTGGACATCCGTCGGGTCGATCATCGAATATGCCATATAGCGGTGCCTGGAGCGAAGCGGGACTCGTGCCGTTACTGAACGCCGTTGCCACACCGCAGAAGCCGGCACCGAGGAGGAGAAGCAAGAGGAGACGATGCATGGTAGGAGGTTGGGAGGAGATCAAGAAGCTGTATTTGACCGCATGAGAAGATGAGCCTGCTGGCCAGCAAGACCTCTTGAAAAATGTGTGAGAGAGCCGCAAGCTTTGAGTGTCAGACGTGCACAGCAGACTCAATCAATACAATAGTCCGCTTTCAAGTAGGCAGCAGGTTAAGGTGATGGTCGCAGTGCTGCAGTGGTGGGGAGCTCTTGCATCTGACCACTGGAAGCCCCAAATGGGGTTGCCACGGCTTGGAAGTTGAACTCCGCAGCATTTCGGGAGCACATCCCGTGGGCAAACCAACGGCATGGCCGCTGCCTTCGCGATCAATGACGGCGAGATCAGTCGACCATAGAAAAGCTCGATACGATAAACATCGTATCTGATGTACAGCTTCCGAGCAGCTATACTTGAAGGACGCGCCCTTCCGGACACGGCTCTACACGCATAATTCGGTACAATTTTTTTAATGACTATTAACTCTCCTTCGACCGCTGACTACTTAGGTAAGTCGATGCTGAGGTGAACTCCACGTTCGAAAATGCGTCAGCCGAACATGACATTGTAGCTGCCACAAACCACACAGCCATCTCGCATCTTTCTAGACTGTCTAGCGTGCCATCATGGTCAAGATACCTCCCTTCGAGGTCGCGGCATGGTTCGACGACCATGCTCATGATGCCCCGCACGACCTTGCTGGGACTGCCTCCGCGACACTGTCCATAAAGGATCTCATCGAAATCTCGGAACATAGCGAGAAGACACGAGAAGCGCTCGACTTCAATCTAATCAATTTAAACTACAACAGTCCTATGAGAGGCGGTCATCAATTGAGAGACAACTTAGCTGCTCTATACTCTGCCCGCTCACAAGGCGTGACAAGAGATGACATCCTTACATGCAATGCCGGTATCGACGCGAACAACATTGTTCTCACCGCTCTGCTCGGGCCCGGCGATCATGTAGTCTGCCAATATCCGACCTACCAACAGCTGTATGATGTTCCCCGCTCGCAGGGCGTCGAGGTCTCTCTCTGGAAGACCGACCCATCGAAGAAGTGGAAATTGGACATCGAGGAGCTGAAGACCATGATCAAAGACAATACAAGGATGATCATCATCAACGTACCAAATAACCCGAGCGGGACAATCATCCCGAAATCTCAGCTCGAGGAGATCATTGAACTTGCTCAAGAAAAGGGCATAATCGTTTTCTGCGACGAAGCTTTTCGACCACTGTTCCACGGGATTTTGCCGTCGGACGATGACTTCCCTAATTCTGCAGTGAACATGGGCTATAAAAAGGTCGTGGTGTCTGGTACCATGTCCAAAGCATATGGACTGCCAGGCATACGAGCCGGGTGGATCGTTTCGCGCGATCCCCATATCATTGCAGAATGCTTCAAGATGCGCTACTATACAACAACGACTGTCTCGCAATTGAACGAAGCGGTTGCGGCAGAGGCATTGAGCGAACGTTGTATCCACGCCTTGCTGGCACGGAACATCCAGTACTGCAAGCAGAACGTCGAGGCTTGGCAGAATTTCATTGATGAGCACGCATGGGCATGCTCGTGGGTGAAGCCGGTGGCAGGAACAACCGCGATGGTCAGATTCCACAAGATGGGCAAGCCGGTCGATGATGCCAAATTCTGTTTGGCGCTGCAGGAGAAAGCTGGGGTCTGCCTCATTCCTGGCAGCAAGTGCTTTGGAGATGGAGAACACTTCAAAGGCTATGTACGCACCGGAGTAGGACTTGATCCCAAACAAGTCAAAGCAGGACTCGCTGCCTTGGCAAAGTTCATGGAGGATGAATTCGCCGACGTAGCTGTTGCGGCCAAGTGATTCAATGTCGAGCAACAAAATATCGCTTCCAAGTGAAGTGGATCAGAGATGCCTTTCATCGCGTTCGTAGAAGTAACAAGATGGGTTGTGCCGAACGCAGATATCATGCTTCACATCCCCGTGCCAGACGCCAGATCGCTTGAGCCCCAGAAATGGGGAGGATTTGGACGGCTGCCACAAGGCGGAATGATTCATCCGCTACACACTAGGCTTTCATCATCTGCGGAAATCTGTCAGTACATGTTGCTTCGCGAGACACGGGAATGGGCCAACTCACTTGTTCAAAACTTGGAAGGATGAGGGAAGGAAGAGAAGACGAGATCCAGAGACTGTTGGTTATAATTTTTGGCAGCGATGCGGGCTACGGTGGACAACACGGCCAGATCGACAATGGTCGTCGCTAAGCTTCAAATATATGTGCAGGTTGAGCATCAGCGTGCCTGCCATACGGCTCAGTCATCTAGCCCACTTCGTCTGTTATGCACCGGTCCTTGAGGCCCAGGAAGCTCGTCGCATCGCTCGGGACCCGACGCTGTCGGACATGTTGCCTCATAGATCGTCCACACCTGGCGGTTCACCGCGCAACATTCACCACGCGCACAGCTCGTTTGTCGGCACATGATGAGGGAAGAGCCAGCCTTGAAGAGCTCGCGTGGGATACTCAACGAAAAATACACAATGTGCGCGGATACACGGGCTGGCACGCGCTTGGGGCCCAGAAGCATCAGCGATTCGAAAAGGGCCCACCGCCGCACAACAGGCTATACCACTTTCCAGGCTACGTAACATCGGTACGACGTGGTTCAGAAAGCGTCAGCTTCTGCACCGTCGTCGACCCTTTGATGAGCTACTCCATCCAGGCAGTGTTCGAGCCGGGGACTGAGTCTTCTCCCGAGCCCGACGACAACGGTACAGGGTCGCCACTCTCACAAGACCAAAAGCACACCGAGCGAATGAAAGAACTGAGCAACATCCGTCCGCATACACCTGTATCGCTCGCTGGGTATCTCAGGCAACGCAAATATCCTCAGAAGGTCCAGAAGGTTGCGGTACCTGATCCATATGTTGGGCAGGTCGAATACATCAATGACTACGAACTTGTCGTTGAGCAGTTCCAGCCGTTGAACACAGTGCCACAAGGCCTGGTCGCGAAGCATGGCTTTGATTTTGGCCCCGAGCAGAGACATCTGCATTTCAGAACTGACCACAGACTGCGCGATAACCTGCGTCAACGATCCCGAGCTTTGGCGCTCTTCAGAAAGGTCTTATTTGTTCTCGGATTTGACGAGATAGAGACCCCGTTGCTTTTCAAGTCCACATCAGAGGGCGCCAGAGAATTCATTGTACCGACCAGATCCAAAGGCATGGCTTATGCTTTGCCACAAAGTCCTCAGCAATACAAGCAGTTACTTATGGCATCTGGCGTCGTGAGGTACTTCCAATTCGCAAAGTGCTTCCGCGACGAAGATCTTCGAAGCGACAGGCAGCCCGAATTCACACAATTGGACCTTGAGATGGCCTTTAGCGGTCCGGCCCAGGTGCGAAACGTCATCACGGTACTTATCAACAGAATCGCCGAGAGCTGGAACCTTACCTGGCCACTGGACCACCCTCCCATACGCCGCCCGTACGCAGATGGGGAGGGACGAGACGATAGCACTGACGAAGGGATCAGCGACGACACCAATGGAAACCCGAGAACCATCAAGCACAAAGATGCAGCCAAAGGCAACGCTCGCAAAACAAACAGGACCGATAATGAAGACCGATTGCCGTTGTTGGGTAAGCCGACGCACAACATACCATCCCTATCCTATGATGAGGCTATGTGCTATCATGGCAGTGACAAACCAGACTTGAGAATAAAGGGCACAATCCACAGAGTCGAAGACTGGATACCGCAAAGTCTGAAGGGTATGATGACTTCTTTGCAAGAGCCTATCGTGGAGGCCTTCGCCCTGCGTCTGAAGCACCCGAGAGCCGCCAAAGGCACTGGTGGACCAGAAGTTTCGGAGGAATTTATCCGTGACTTTATGGATTCACCCGCAGGTCTGAGATACAGCCAGAATCCAGACGGGATGCCTGGCATAGCGGTCATAAATCCTCGGAAACCACTTGAGGGCCTAGCGGCGTTCGGCCACGAGGCTGCGGAGAAATTCGTTGAGGCGTTGCATCTCAGGGCTGGCGACATTCTGGTACTCCAAAGCAGGCCAAATGCCCGCGTGCGTGGCGGCTCAACTATATTGGGAGATCTACGGAAAGATCTTTTCCATGCTGCAATAGCAGCCGATGTTCACGAAGTCGACAAAAATATCATCGCTCCTTTGTGGGTAGACAATTTCCCGCTATTCACGCCGCGTCGGATGGTGATGAGTCTCCAAGCGGCCTGTGCTCCACACATCATCCATTCACGTCGCCAGTTCCGGGTCAGGATCTCGACAAACTTGCAACCGCCCCGTTGGACGTCGTTGGCGATCATTTCGATCTTGTCATCAATGGCATCGAGGTTGGAGGTGGCTCAAGGCGTATTCACCAAGCCAGTGCGCAAGAATATATTCTTCGCGACATTCTCAAGCTGCCGGAAGGAAAAATCAACGAGTTTAGCCATCTTCTGAAGGCACTGGGTGATGGCTGTCCGCCTCATACTGGATTCGCCTTTGGTTTCGATCGCCTGATGACAATACTGACCAGGACGGCTACCATTCGAGATGTTATCGCATTCCCGAAGAGCGGTAGCGGTGAGGACCGGTTCGTTGGATCACCATCGCCCATGACGAGGGAGCAGCTGGAGACCTACCATCTCTCTGTTGCGCCAGACTCTTCAGCAACAGAAGTGACAGCGGAGCCTACAGCAGGCTCAGACATCAAGATCTCTCAAAAGGCATGAAGAACATAGATGATACCCCGCATTAACTAAGCATGCAAGAATTGCAGGCATTGCTGTACCATGTATAAAAGTTGCTTCTATTGAAGCCCTCAATGTTGAGCAAGGAAAAGAACGGATCACTTCAGTACAAATCACGCGTTGCGCTTCTTCCAGGAAGTAGTTGTTTTTGCTCATCCTGTTGACTGTAAGCTGCCGTGGAAATCGGATTGTGTATTGTGGTGACGGTGCACATGTGCTTTCACTTTGAGGCTGAGCGCTTTATTGATGTGTGCTTCACCTGAATATCGTGCCAAGGATTTCGCGTCGTACCTAGGTGCGCGGTTAGTCGATGTCCTTACAACCCTTGAATCCTCCCTACCTTTGCATAAACGTCCGCACACACTGCGACCTCAAGCTCTTGCTCTGTCTACACTATGGAGCAATTACAGAAACTCGTCCTCAATCCTCTCCAGCCTGTTATCCTTCCTATCACCACGAATCTTCCGGCGCCCGCCCAGAATGCTCTCTCGACCCTTTTAGGCGCAACCTGCCATAGAACCCTTGTCCTCAACCTCGATGTCCTCACCCACCCAGAATGCCTCTCGCTAGCCATCTCGAAAGCGCTCGGAATCGCGATCATCACCGCCGCCTCGGTAGTCAAGATCCCACAGATCATCAAACTCGCGCGCTCGCAGTCCGCTGAAGGACTTTCGTTCCCCAGCTACGTCCTTGAGACCGCAAGTTTCCTGATCAATCTAGCGTACAACGTGCGCAGCGGCTTTCCGTTCAGCACGTATGGCGAGGTGTCGCTGATTCTTGTGCAAGATGTCATTATCAGCGTGTTGATCCTGTGGTACTCGGGCAAAGCTACTCAGGCGGGCGCGTTTGTGGCTGCAGTGGGAAGCGCGGTGTATGCGCTGCTGGGGACCGACATTGTCAGTCAGAGCCAGATGACCAGTCTGCAGGCCGGTGGAGGATTGCTGAGCATCGCAAGCAAGCTGCCGCAAATCTACACTGTGTGGCAGCAAGGCGGTACTGGTCAGCTATCGGCATTCGCGGTCTTCAACTATCTAGCTGGGAGTCTGAGCCGAATCTTCACTACGCTGCAGGAGGTGGACGATAAGTTGATTTTGTATGGCTTCATTGCGGGCTTCACGCTGAATGCTGTGTTGGCGGCGCAGATGGTGTACTACTGGAATAGTCCTACTACAGCTGGACATGGCAAGGAGGTTGGAGTCAAGAAGCAGGCTGTCCTTCAAAAGGGGACCGCAGGGATGGCTACGGAGGAGAAAATCAAAGGTCTGGGCACTGCAACAGGCTCGTCGCCTGCTCGGCCTACCAGCGGAAGAAGACGTGGTTGACAGCCGCGAGTTGCGCAACTCAGTAGCCCGTGAGCTCCGGACGATGAGTCTTTCGATTTCATAACAATGGCAGTTGCCTCTTAGATACAGATCGCATCCACTTGCCTACATATGCTCCGGTAACAGGCCGTCACTGCCGTTGCTGCCAGTCACTCTGACGCCATGCGGTCACACGCAATTTGGATCTCATCTAGGTGGGCACGAAGCATACAGAATCTCTTCCTCAGCTCATCTCATTTCTACTACGTAGGCCCATATCTCCAATAATTTGTCGAGTGCTTTCCGAGAATTGAACGACTGTGGAAGACTCCATCGCTCGTGGGAGCAGAAAACGCCTGGGTTCCAGGGGCTTGTTGCAGACACCCCACATCCCTGTGGGTGTTCTTCAGACTTCGATGGTCTGTTCGCTACTTGAGCTACTGCTGCCACTGTTTCAGACGCCCCAGACGTTCGGAGTCGAACAGCGCTCTGGAGAGCATCATATGGGGAACAACGCCATTGTCATCACACGAATACAATACCTCTGAGCAATTGACACGACCAGTGTTGAAGCTGACACGATGAATCAACGGCAGCTGACCCGGTCTCCGCTCCTCCCTGCTCATACACTTCTTTCCACACTGGTCCTTCTGAGATCCTCTGCGGATACTTGAAAAGTGCCGGCGGCCTCCATTAATACCAAGCTAAGAGCTAGGATCCATCCTGCCGGAGAGCGAGCAGGCGATGCTACCAGAAAATGCTCCTCTTGAAGACCATTCAATCTCAATTGATCGACATCGAGATGTCTTCGAACATGAGCCCACAGCGTGCACAGCGTACGCGGCTTCGCTGCTGCAATATTGCCCGTGATTGATGGTAATGTAAGTTTCCACGAAGGTAGGCTGAAATCGATCCCGGCTTCAGCGATTGACCAGGAGACCGAACCTGAAGCATTAGCGAGATCTCTTCCTGTATCCTTGTCTCGTGGGCTTATAGCTCCCAGCTATCGCTAGACCTCGTCTTCTGGACTTCGAAGAATGTGCTCACCGTTGACAACAAGACCATGTTTCGTTCGTTCATGAAAGTACCTGCACCGGTTTGTGTCCTCGCTACTTATGCCCTACGACGACCACTAACCAGCAGACAGATTTCGTCAAGTCCTACTGAACCCCAAAATCGACAGACATCGCGGCTGCTCCGCCTGCCGACCCAGGTTCTGGACCTCATCTTTGACCAACTCGATGTCCTCGATCGTTCAACTCTCGCCCTGAGCTGCCGCAAACTACTACTGTTCTCCGAGAAGAACGAACATCTCGACTACATCATTAGCGAGCCACCAAGCGTCTACCGCCTCGAGCACTTCTTTCGTCGTCTAAGTCGCGGCTGGATCCCGTTGTCACTACGCTACTGTCCTGACTGCGGGCGATTCCGCTCTATAGATTCAAACCATTGGCGCCACGTCTCGGAGAAATACACGCGCGAGTCTGTTGGGCGCGTTGCAGAAATCTGGCGACTGAGACGCGAGGATGGCTGGCTACGATATTGGATTGAGCGCTGGTGCATCGCAGATGGACAGAACAGCACGGCTACGGCATTGAGACATGCGGATACAACGGAGCTGTTGTGTCCGAAGTGTGCGGTTGTTAATCCGGACACGAATGAGTGGCGGTTAAATAGGCTGGCGGCGAGGAATGAGAGGCACGCGAATCGTAAGAGAGTGGTCAGTCCGGGTATGAATTCACCCTATCTGGGAGTATTGAGTTCGCAGAAGAGCACTCCAGATTTGCGGGACCGGTCGAGAGGCAGGTCGCCGTTGCTGGAAAGGAGGCAGCTTGCGGCAAGAGTGTCGGGTAGGGATGGTGTTGGTGCTGCTGGTTTGGGAATCCAGACTTGGTCGTGAGGGTCTGCGCGAAGCCGTGGCCGGTCACCACATCCTGGGGGATACACGAAGTGCCTAGTAAGTGAGCATCAAAACGTTGTTCGCTACATCGGCTACGCCTCAGCCTGATGTTCTGAAACCTTTGTGAAGAACAGGTCCAAAATTCTTGGGAACTGCTTGGAGTGAATCTACTCTATCGCCACAGACATCGATGTCTGGCCTCTGGTGATTCCTTCTGGTTACTCAACGGACAGGCGGAATGAAGACGATGTTGCCTGCGCCATCCAGAATCTACTATCGCAGACATAGTCTCGGAAAAGCATAGACATTGCGCGCACTCAGTCACCAGGCATCTCAGATGTTCCAGCATGGCCTCACGCACACGTTCCGTCACGTCCGCGACATTGTCTACTTTCCGGTTCTGTTGAGGAGCCATCTAAACGAACCAGCCTTGAGTCCAGGACAGATGAATCGCTGCCAGTCTGAGCCATGTCGCGGGCATTCTGGCTGGAAAATGGTCTCGACTTGTGCTTTCTTTGTTTCATGTCTCGGAGGACTGCAACATCGGTCTCTATCCGAGTCTACAGCCTGCCCAGGTGTGCATTCAGACAAGGTGTCGACAGTGAGTTTTGCAGGCGTTTCCCTAAGACATGTCCAAACATGGTCAAGATGTCTAGCAGCAGATTTGCATGCCTGTATCGTCTCTACACCATGGCGCTCGACGTTATAAGAGAACAGCTTTTGTTTCCTGGATCTTGAGAATTCCCCAATGCACACTCAACACACAATTCCACTTCACGACAACTTCTCATACCCAGCACCAGAAGGCTCATCAGCAACGTCAATTAAGCACGCCCCATCTCGTCATAGTTGACATCCGTGCTCGCCTTTCGCAACTTGGTCCAATCATCTTGCTTATCGAACACCACCGTCATGCCTGACAAGCGCATCCAGCAACAGCAGACTGCAGATGCTCGTTCGGGCGTCCATGATGCCGCAGCCCACGCTCGGTGTCTTTTCAACCAGGAGTACCCCAATGGCAGCGAAGACTACTGGCTCCAATCCCCGGGCACTGGTCTCAATGCAATCATCACCGCCATGAGCCACAATGCACAGTTCAAACACTATCAGCAACCGGACGTGGACGCCCTCAAACAGGTTGCAAGCACAGTCATCAGCCCGAGAGGAGCGGACCATAACGTTACCAATATTGAGACATCTGCTGTCGCCGCTGACGGTGAAGATTACAAGCCTGCCGACCTAGCACACATATTCTACCTGTGGAATGCTCCAGAAGGTTTCGATCTGCGCCTGGGGATCTTCGTCGAAGACGACAATCGCCCACGAATCTACCTGGAGCCAGAAGGAGATCGTTTGTCCCGCTATCATTCCGGAAACATGATTTGGATATTCCAGCATAGGACCCAGCCGACCCATAACGGGATTTCATTGGTGAAGAGAGAGCGATCTCAGGGCTATGCAGCCATCATGTCTTGCACCATCGGCGTTGGCTTACACGGTCCATCACGTCGGCCGGCGGCAGATGGTGGTGGTGACGGTCCACGAGATGACGATGGTGGTCCATGTGCTGACAGCAACAAGCGCACTGAGTCTGCACGCCCTGAACCCACAGGCAAGAAGAACAATAAAGGTCGTCGACACCCGGCAACGCGTCCATCATCACAGCTACAGGCCATGCACAAGATTCTACACGGCTCCATCAATCAACATAAGCGTGGCATCTCCGAGCAGAAGCCGTTTCCGATGCTCCATCAAATCATCGGCACTGATCGAGTCATCAAATCCACTGCGAGAATGAAGAAGACGATGACCATGGTCGCAGACAAGCAGCAGCTCTTCCTGAAGAAGTCCTGCGGTTTCATCCTTGTCTGGTGAGACGACCTTACGAAGACCGCGCATCTCACGGCTCATTACGTGTTCGTTGAGTACGAGGATACACGTCGCCCTAAAGTTACAAGTCTTGTAAGGGAGGTACATCATACGGAGCGAAAACATTTAGGGATGACAATATAGACTGACGGATGGCGGGGTTGCGAGCTCTGAGAAAGCCGCTATGGGTGGTGAATCTGAATTGGTGGTGATAGAGCTTCTAGTTGGGAAGGAACAAGCTGTCGTAGCACGCAGAATCGAGAACATGTACAACATCAATGTTTACTGCGTGAATTGCCGGGAAGCAATATAAATGCGAATACCAACCCTCCAGATGCTCGAACTTGTACTTGCCGGGTAAACTTTGCCTCTTTCTTTTCCTAACGTTCATTGTCCAGTGGAATCGCTTAGTGTAACGCATAGCTGCACAGTGATAACGGCGTGCAGATCGTCGTAGCGGCATACGCATGGTCGTAATGGCATACGCGTTGATAGTGCTCCAGTCTGGGCCTACGCAAGAGCGCCGACATGATGACAGGGCGTGTAGCCAGCAAAGTGTTCTGTCGCGTCGCTAACATGATGAAATTGTAAGTCGTGCTCGCAGCGAAGATGAGCAAATGCCTCAACGCTGACTGGATGGTCTTTTGTGAGAGTTTTGCTTCGTTGGTGATTGCCGTATACGGAATATGTGAGCGAAGGGTGGCCTGGACGTCGAAATCGCCCTCGCCTTCTGCCTACCTTCTTCGTAAGATGAATATGTGTATATATAGGGCACCTGCCCTCACTCCGAAGTATCTGTTGAAGCAAAGCTCCAATACGTTACTTGAACGCAGCACAAAGTCAGGAAGAGACGCACTTATCCTGTAACAAGATCCACTGTATCGAGGCACAAATCCACCTGGGCAGTTATTACTCTCCAAACAACCGACTTCTTCGTCCAAATGGAGCCCTTCACCAGCTCAGCCAGCAATGGCAGTGAGATCTTCATCTGCAGTAGCCCGTACTGCCCTGGCGGTCGTTGATCACACTCAATTCCGACACATGGAACTAGTAGAGCCTCGGTCATGGCAGCCTCCAACAGCTGAGAACGACGTGCTGGGCACGTGAAGCCCAACGCAACGATTGGCAATACATGTTAATCTGGCTCAAGACGGAGGGATGGGACGGGAACAATGGAAGGTCCTTTCGAAACCTGTGCCTGCTCAGACGCGTGGATTCTTGCTTGGTACAGTGGAACACAGAAGTCGTCACTAATAATGTGAGCCTGTGAATGTTGTACAGCAGTCGACATTACGCATACTGTCGCATCGTCATATGGCCTGGTGAGCATCTCGCTCAGACATAGTATGTGGGGCATAGACTGGCAGGAATCCTCGTCGAGCTTACATGGAATGGCCGGACCATGGCTGTGGCATTCTGGTTCCTTCTTACCTGGATTGAGCCTTCCGCATCGCTCCCAAGGAGTGTCTGGATCATCAATGTCTCGCCCAGACGAGATAAGGGCGGACTAGGGATGGGAGATAATGGATAGAGCGTCGAGGGTCCGAACGTCCACGATCAAGTCACAGATATGGCCTGCGCTTGGTCTCGGCGGCGGTGCTCGGCTGGCCACAAGTGACCAGACATCATGACTAGTAGTTGTACTTCAATTGTCGTTACAGTAATGGGCCAGGACAATGTTCGCATGAGCCTCTGTGTTAAGCAGTATACTTCCCTCAAGGGCCGCCCCGACTGTGTCGAGGGATTGATAAAGGCAAACTCAAGATTACTCAAATTTTCTTGACCCATTCGTAGTCGCCGACCCTAGGCGTCAGAGTTCCGGCGTGGAGACAAGCGGACGTCAAGCCGATATTGACGTCGACATCTCCGGTCCAGCAGTTTTCTTCGACGTTGATTGTTGGAAACACTTGTCAAGTCATTGTTTAGGATTGCGGACGCGTCAAGGCCCCTCAACTGTCAAACGCGACCGAGTGGTGGAGATAGCAGGCGGGGCGGGACATCGCGACCTTGAATTCGGCTGCATGTGCCTTGATATCATAGCTGCAGAAACGAACAATGGAAACAGCAAGCGATGCTGCATGCCCTGCCGGACGGCGGAGTAATGCTGGATCTTTGTTGTGGCTAAGATCTCAGGAGAATTGGCGGTAGTGGCGGATGTCAGCTACATTTGCTGCAAGGAGTTTTTTTGCTGCCGTAGTCTGCAGTGGTCTTGCTGCTGCTAATGATGCTCTCTGATAGTCAGTGGAGCTGGCATGTGCTACATCGTCACCTATACCGACTTCATATCTTGATCGTGAGAGCGGAGAAAGAAGTCGTGTGTCGAAGTTTCTGCGCCTCTAGTTCTCTGTCTCCAGCCACATCCTGCAGCAGGGCAACTCCTGGCGCAAGAGTAGCCCGCAGATTTGTTGGAGATACCTAAGGAACTGGGAAAAACTTTGTCCTTCTTTGGCGGATGTCCGTTGCCGACTCGCGTCCAGCAGGTTGCCAACACAGAGGTTATTGTGTCATCGACTGTGGGAAGCACGAGCGCGAACCATATGAGCTGGTGCAATGAAATAAATGCACCATCAAACGATAGGCAAAAGCTTCCGCCACAACAAGACGAGCCAGAACAGGCGCGGAGCAGGGCCGGTGGAGATTGATATCTCAGGGCAAAGCACGTTCGGCGCCAGCAATTAAACCAAAAACGCGTGCAGACGCGACTTGCTCCTCAGCGTGATCTCGGCTCAAGGCAGAGGCTGAGACTCGTTGGTGGGCCACATCAGCCCAAGAAGGCCATGGCCGAACTTGAATTCACGTGAGATCCCTCTACGAGCCATCCATCCTGGCTGTTGTTCTGACTTGTCGGTGTGTCGTTACACGTCTGCGTTACACACCGGCCAGACAGAAGCTGCAGACGATAGTCTTCGAAACGTTCTGGATAGACGCATATGGACATCTCGAAGAAGTTCTATACGCTTCGGTAGACCCTCGTAATTGACTAAATTCGGGGCACACAGGGTCAAATCCGAATAGGTGATGGGCAAAAAGCAACTCCTGCAGATCTGTCGGTGTCTCACAGACAGATTTCCGGGGCAAGGGCATGCTCCAATGGCATCATTTTCCACGCGAACCATCGGCTCGTCATTCTGGTGCCCTGATGTTGAAACATACAGCTATTGCAACATGTGCCTGTAGTCGACGATGGCTTGTATGCTGGCTGCGTTCTAGAAGCACGGTCACACCAAGCTCGACCATATAGTCGTTTGTCCCGTTCGATTGCACTCTAGGCTGGTGAAATTGTGAAGACTGCTGTCAGCTTAGATCAAACGACATGACTGCAGCTGTCAGTTCTGTATTGACCGAGCTACTCTGCAGGTGCCCAGTGCTCAGGCCTGTGACTACCAGGCCTGTGCAAGCCTGCATCGCCTGAACGTTCTGATACGAGCCTGGAGCCAAGAGCACAGATCTGCATCCTGCGGACCGGAGGTTAGCTAAGGGCCAGCTGCACCTGTACGACTGATTCGTTACATGGCTCGTGTGACGTGCTCGACACGCACAATCTGATATCGAAATGGCTGGGAGAACGCTGAGTGTTAGGTTTGATGCCGATGTTCCAGCTCTCCACAGTGCGAGGGGCGCCGTCATGCTGATAACGAGTCAAGGGCTCGAGAGGCGGCAGAGGTAGCATAGTCTGTAGCAAAAACAGGGACTCGACAAGCACCAGATCCAATCGAACGCGAAGAACGCGCTTTTCGGTAGGGCCAGGTACCCATGCGTGAAAAAGCGTAAATAAAAGTAGAGCGTACCTGAGGTAAGCCGAAGGGGAAAGTGTGCGAATTGAGGTCACCACTGACCCGTTGGTGGGCTGCGAGTTGCCCGCCAGCGAAACCATCTTCGGTCAGAGGTCTCCAGACTGCAGGTTTGAGCTGCAATCGGGACTTCGTTCCTGGAGCATGCTGCATGTGTAGCAGATTGCACAAGATGACCAGCGATGTGGTGGAATGTCTGCCTCAAGATATCTGAAGGTGAACAATAATCGTAGCAGAAGCGTCGTGCAGATGAAACCCTGATATGGGCATGACAGGCGTCGAGGCGTACCTAGAAGATTGGGAACCAGGCAATCCAAAAGAACCATCTCAATACCGGGACTGGGGTCTTGCCTGTTTGTCTTTCGGCTAACCCCTGCACTTGGCAGTTACGCCAATCAACCGCTCCTTCCTGACCTGCTGCCAGCAGGACTCCAGCAAGCAGCTGTGCTCGCCTGGCCTACCATGCTTCCCACCATCTGCTCATCTTCACATCCTACCTATACCCATCATCCTCTCCTTATCCCCTCTTGACCACTTCTTCAACCCGCCGAGAAGACCCTCATCCCAGGTCTTCCTCTATCTGATCCTCTCCTCCAGTCGTTGTCCTAGCCAAGGTGAACTGCCAATCCTATCGGGATAAAGGTTACCTTCGACGGTCACGACCTCTCCTCCTTCAACCGTCCTCTGCCATTCGAGCCTTATACCGTCGAATCTGTCTGAGCGAGATCTGTAATATTTTCTGTCTTCAAGCAACACGTCATCTCTCTTTGCAGGCTCTCCGGTTAGCTGTCTGCCTGCTCCTTGTTGCTGCTGTGCCAGAGAATTTTGCTAGGTAAGAGCCAATCTTCCTCTCAGTCACGTAACTTCTTCACCATGCTGGACTGGACTCGACTTCGCCGGAACGATCTTGACGACCACTCCACGATCTGCTGCACGGTTCGAATATGCTCCCTGGCAACTGCACGTACCTAATAGCTCGATATCCTCGTGCCCTTGACTCCTTCGGTGGTCGAGATGTGGAAGAGGAGATGAAGGCATGCGAGCAAAGGCACAAAATACTGGAGAAGATGACGGCTGGACGAATAGGACGAATTTTGAACAAGCTCGACTTCAACAGGGTATCAAGGGGTTAAGATCCAGCCTTTAAGCATAGACGCCTACCGTGGATCCTCAACGCCTTTTCAGTGAATTACAAGCACGCTCATCGCTGAGCTCCGGCCACTTTGACTCTGCAAGGATGTCGTCGACTGCTGTCATTCACGACTCCCCGCCAACCTCTTCGTGATAATAAGCACTGGGCATACCACTTCGCAAGACGTCCACAGAACTCTATAATTTGACCCATTCCCTCACTCAAGAGGCCATCCTGCACAAGTGCAAGCAATCGACTAACAGCCCGTCTTATCAGAATCCCTCGACGCCAGAATCTTAGCTCTCATCAGGCTCAGTGCTCACGATTGGTAATATACCACCTGGCCTAACACAATATTCACTCCTGTACGAGTATATTGTGCTCCAGAATAGTAAGCGTTCCAGCAGTCTTGCAATTTCCTATGGTGGCTGATTCTCATCGTCCAGAGCTCAAATATTCCGAGGTGTCGGTGCAGCTAATAAGCTTGCATTCTTCGCCCTGAATCCGAGCTCTATCGAAGTGGAGGCGTTCACTCGACCTTCATCTCCCCAACCCTCGTCCTGGTCATTCTCCGGCCCAGATGAGCTGATCCCATCTCCTCAAACTCTCTGACGTCGTTCCATTCTTCCCCCTGTACGGCAGGTACGTGCCTTTGCGATCCCATTTCGACCATGAGCTGATCCATAATTTAGTCACTCGCACGCCGTTTCATTAATCCAGGACCTGGCCACCTCCAGATCTACATCACCACACTAGTCACTCATTCAAGACACACTCATTTGACAACACACCGTCCAACGACAGTCATTCATTCAAAGTCCGTCGCCCTTTAAATCGAACGCTCCTTCGACCCTTGCCAAGCTCATCACCAATATACAACACAAACCACTCGACAACAAGATGTCTTTCACAAGAGTAACCTCGTTCGGATCCAACGACAGCGGCTATGAGAGTGGAGAGTCTGCGGATATCATCGAAGCACATTCACGAGCGAAGCAGCAGGAGCACGCAAGAGAAGTTTCTCGTCAACGCCAATCAATACTCGCTAAGGAACTATCCCGACAAGACTCCGACGAGTATGGACAAGACATGCTGGAGCACATGCTTCGCATGGATGCAGAGAGTTTACCTGACGTTGACTCTATCGACATCCAGACTGAGATACAGTGGTTCATGCGGCCATACCTACTCGACTTCCTTGTCGAGGCTCATTCCGCCTTCCAACTACTTCCCGAAACACTGTTCTTGACTATCAACTTACTCGACCGATACTGCTCGAAGCGTGTAGTGTACAAGCGTCACTACCAACTTGTTGGCTGTGCAGCTCTACTGATCGCAGCCAAATACGGAGACAAGAAGGAGAAGGTGCCCACGATCAAGGAATTGAAGTCGATGTGCTGTTCGCTTTACGACGATGACATGTTTCTTCAGATGGAGTGGCACGTGCTCTCGACTCTGGGCTGGAGCATTGGTCATCCCACCGCCGACGCCTTTCTTAAGATGGCCATGAAGGACTCTGTACCCGACCCAGAAGTGGAGAGTCTGACACTGTATATCCTCGAGATCGCTCTATACCACCGCGAATTCGTGTCTAGACATTCGTCGTCCCTCGCTCTGTCCGCGCTGGCCCTTGCCCGAGACATCTACCGAAGGCCACAGATCCGACAAGTGGATTGGGCACATCAGTACGACAGGACAATCTTCGCTGATTTGTCTGCAAAGCTGGGCGAGCCGTCCAACATTCTCTCTCGCAAATATTCCTCAGCAAGACACTTCAACGTCTCTTCGGTGGTATCATCCTACGTCATGCACAAAGCAATGATGGCAAGGGCACCACCGACACCAGTGTACGATCTGACACCTCCCGCCTTCTCGAAGGGGAACAGCACTGGCTACTTCAATGCTTTCTCTACCCCACAGAAGAACCAGGTGACCGCTGTTTCTGCTCACGGTCTCTACACTCCCCCAATCACGCCTGACGAGGGAGTGCCAAAACACGCTTTCATGCCCCCAACGCCCACACCCACAGGTCCACAACAATTTGAGTTCACTGGTCTTCCACAGTACCACAACGGCTCGCAGTGGAATTTTGGAGCGTACTAGGCCAAAAGCTCGTTGATCGCTGGACGACACACGGTCACTGGAGTGGCCTCTCAACAATACCGCTTCGATACCCCTGTATCATCGGAATTTCTATTCATGTCTATCTGATTTAGATGCATCGCAAGCGACAGTCGTTAATTTAAGATGGAGCGAAATCCGAATCTAATTCCAAAAAGTATGTCGATTTATCCGCTCGCCTGTGCACATGGAGCCCGAGGATGGCTCTACATATGAAAGAGGTTGTCTGAGCAAAGACCCGTTCCCACAAAATTGACTGATATCGGCGTGGAGGAAATCTACTATTTCTATTCTAGACGGAATGCGAGGATGGGCTGCGAGCAATTCAAAGTGTTGATTGTTCCAGCGTGCGAGCAGGACAGAACAGCGAAAGAGCATGGCAGAGAGCTGTGCCACATGCAAGACGTGGAGCATGATCTCGTCACAGCGGTTGCCGGTATAGGTTGCTCGGGGTGTATTCTAGATAGCGGTCAGATGTATCATCTGATCAACCAAATCTACAATGGTACAAAACTTTACCACCAAAGCAGTCGAAGACGTTGCTGGCTCATCTTGCCAACCTCGCTGGCAGTGGCACTTGGGTGATCACGTGCTTCATTCGCGGTGACGAAGTTTTTGACATCGCCTCACACATACCTCATTTCCTCTTCGTCTCCCTGCAGCGCCGAGAACACGCTTTGGTCACCGCCATGCGCTAAGCTGGAATCACTAAATTCAAAGCACGGTTCTTCTGCTAGTGGCGTGAGTCGTGTTAAGCTTGTATCGCATTCCGAGTGGAAATCACTCACGAGTGGTCGCCTATCTCGCGGACTTTGCAGACGTCCTCGATCAGAATTCGTCACCGAATCCTCGAGGAGAGTGTGCCTCATCAGTTACATGCCTGCGAGTTGAGAGGTTCACTACCTAGCCACTTGTACCCGCATTTCCTGGCTTTTCCTTGTGCGTATCGTGAACACATGCACGTGAAGAGGGCTCGTCACCGCATCAGAACATATCAATGTGCCTCAACCTTGCCAAACAGTGGCTTCGGAAGTTCAGCGAACCTCGAGACGCTTCTTGGATCTCTCCGAGATCAGTTCTCGAAATGGAGCAGCTCGAAACAGACAGTGCCGATTCTCGGAGACGAGTTGGGGAAGAGTCCGGGGAGTTGCCTCGGAGCTGGAAGTCGACTGATTCAAGTTCAAGACGCTTGTCCAGTCCCTTCGCGCTTTCGTTGCTCGAGAATCGTGATGCAAATGCTTATGACGACCACTCTGCCTACTTAATCCAAGTCATTGCTGCATGGGTACCGGCCTTGCGCGTTTTCTCGAGCATATCACTCAGGGTAACGCTACCAAGAGTCCCAATACAATGAAGTGTGTACGAGCTGTACGACCAGCGTATAAGATCAGCAATGCCCCTATAATCCTAAGAAGCAGATTCTCGTCAGCAGCAAAGTTACAGCAAACCGATCCTCAGGCTGTAGCGGACAGTTTTTTGTCCAAATTCGCAAATGGCAAGACCTTTTCGCGCAAGCAGCTGCTTGATGCAAATCAACTTCGACTGTTTTCTTTGACACTGGACCGACCCCATCTCTGGCCGGGTTCATCATTGTTGGCTAAAAGTCTCGAAGAAGCCGAACCTGCTCAAGGAACACCAATTCCACCTGCGTATCACTGGATTTATTTCACACCTGCACAGCTCCCGGGCATTCTCGGGTTAGATGGCACGGATGCGTCGTTCAACCGGATGCACCATTTACGGCGCATGTGGGCTGGGGGGTCCGTGGAGTGGCCAGGGGCGGATCCTGCCAGCGCACAAAACCACTTCCTGCAGGTCGGCGATACTGTCACAGAAACGACCAAGCTCTTAAGTTGTGTGCCCAAGGTGATGAAGGATGGCAACGCTATGTTAGTCGTGGGAGTTGAAAAGGAGTACCACGACAGCAAGGGCAATCTATGCCTAATCGACCGTCGCAACTGGGTCTTCCGAGAGGCATTGGATCCATCCAAACCGGCGACTAGCCCAAAGAAACCAACGGAACTCTCTCAAGCAGAACTTGACGAACGAGATCAGGGTAAAATCGTTCGAGAATATAACCGGGACGAGCTGCAGCTGTTCCGTATGTCAGCCTTGACATTCAACGGTCACCGCATCCACTACGATAAGCCGTGGGCGACCGAAGTTGAAGGGCATCGCAATATCGTTGTGCACGGGCCACTAAACCTGATCGCCATGCTCGATTTGTGGCGGGACGAGAGTGTCAAGCAAGGATTAGGCAAGACCAGAGACGAGATCATATATCCCCGCAAGGTTGACTATCGCGCAACCAGTCCTGTCTACGCAGGGGAACCATACAGGGTGCTACTGGATGCCGGAACTCTAGGCCAGCATACTGATGCGCAGGTTGAAGTGCGGTCTAACGACGGCACCAAATGCATGAAGGGCACTGTATCCACTTGGCAAGGATGAGGATGACGAGAGATGAGATCTGTTTGTGTGCATTTCTAGTGCCTGTGCACAAGCTTGCCAGCAACTCCTGCTAATCAAGCAGTGCACAGCGCTGTAACACTACTCTGCGCAATTGTTGAGATTGCGTCTGATTCACACGGGTTGCATTGCCTCCCTCTTCTCTATCTCCTGCTCCCCTTTCACGAGCCCGGTGGCCACATTGAGAGAGCGGTGGCATCTCCGTCCGCCTATAGGCTTGTCTCCTGGTTACGCGATTGATCGATGCGATGCGAGCACTAGACTAGCATCTATTTTGGCTCTTCTTCGGCAAAAGATCTTGCAGCCGTTGCCTCTTTTCCTGATGCTGCTTACATGGCATCTGGGACCTCCTCGGGATCAAGAGTAGATGCTGGGAGTGGGGCGGCGTCCTTTCTGCAACGCTGCTAGATACAAAGAGCTAATCCAGTCCCTTGACCGGCGAGATTCAGGTTGGGGTTTGTTGAGCATCCCGAGCTTCCTGGACGAAGCCCTGAAAGATCGAATTTGGGGGCCCCGCCCAAGCCAAGCAGCGAACTAATCCACATTTCATCATACCGCGGGTGCCCCAACTTCCGCAGACTCTTCAATCTCGCAATCGCATCAATTCGCATACGCACCTCACAACCTCACACACAGCAAGAGATGCGACTTGCAAACCATGTAGGGAGACCCGCTGCCTCGTCAGCATGATCCCTCCCACTCCTTCCCTCACCGTCGCGCCAGACGCTTCTGCGGAGCTATTGTTGCACCTCGGCAAACCTTTTGTGCAGTTTCCGAGATTCAGCATTCTCGATATCCAACGCGAAGTCGATGTCGAGGGCCTCCCACTCCCCTTCTCACACTGGCTGCAAAACCGGTTGCAGACGGGGCAGCCTTTCGTGATCTCCGACTTTGACAAGCTTGATTCGTGGCCGAAGGGCAATCCTAGTGATGGCCAGCAGCCAGGATTTGGGATCGAGAGGCTGATCGAGTTGAGCACAAAGAAGAATATACCTATACGGAATTGCAGTACGGGCAGGGACTTGTCGTTCACGTTGAGGAAGTTTGCGGACAGTGCGCGACAGAATCTTCAGGAGTTCCAAAATCTATATGCGAGGGATCTGCCTTGTCCGAGAGAATGGCTGGACCAGTGCGAGGAGGTGCTGCCGACAGAGGTGCAGTGGAGTGGAAGACTGGATCTTTTCCAATGGCTGCCGCCATGTGCGCGCAGTGAGGTGATGATGGCATATGTTGGGTCAGAGGGGAGCAGCAGTGGTTTCCACAGATGCTTTTCAAGCACCGTGGCATTGAATCTTTTGGTTGAGGTGGCAGACGATGAGAGGCCGGTCGTTTGCATAGGCACAGACTTCGACTCTCAGAAGAAGTACGACGCTTTTCTCTCGGCGAAAGGAGTGAGTCCACACCTGGACTGGTACAACTTGAGTACGGACGAGATGCTCAAGGTCGACTTTCCACTGTATGCATACAACCAAAAGGTGGGCGACTTGGTCTTGTTCCCACCTGCAACAGCACACCAGATCTGGAATCCAAGCACCTTGTGCACGAAAATGGTTTGGAACATCCTGCATCCGCTGTCACTCGAGGTGGGCTTTCAGAATGTCCAGCCTAGCTTTAACAGGCTGTGCCATCCAGATCTGGCCAGGACGAACCTGAGTTTGGCGTGCGCGATGATGTCGCTTCTACAGGACGACCAGAATCTGCGTTCTGAACAGGCACTGGCTCTTCCTCCGGACCTGCCATTGCTGTCAAGATTATTTAAGCAGATGGTGCACGATGAACACATCGACTCTCCAGTGGCTACACCGATCAGCGTAGTTACGCTACAGCCCACGGTTATCGCGACCTGCAATTTCTGTAGCACGGCTATTTGGAACCGGCATGTGAGATGCACGCAGTGCACTGATTTTGATCTATGTCTTTTGTGCTATCTCAATGGCCGATCGTGTGAGCAATCGCACGCTTACGCTTGGGCGGAGATTGTGCCTCCCGAGCAATGTACGAGAATCCTCAATCGAGCGCGAGAGATTCTGGGCTTCCAGCCCGAGGAGCATGTTCAAGAGACAGGCAAGAAAACCCTGGGTACAGCGGTAAACGATCTTATGCTCGCAAGGCAGTCGCAGACGTCACGCTTGTGCCACCTGTGTCGGATAGACCATCCCGAGTGGAAGGGACGACGCTGCGACAAATGTACAGCGTTCTTCTGCTACCGAGGTCTGTTTCGGCATTTCGACATCAACCCCGGAGATGTGATCCGGCATAGCGGCCTATGGACGTGCCCGAAATGCAAGGAGCTGTGCAATTGTCGATGTTGTCATTTCGGTACTGCATATGTGAAGAGCGAGAAGCCCGCCAGCAAGCGGAGGGTCAAAGCTGCAGATCCGCGGGGCAAGAACGTCGGCTTTGCCGATAATGTGTTCGATCAGAAGCGAGGCAGGCGAGAGTCGCATCACTCCGAGAATGGTCATCTTTCTGGAGTCAGTCAGCTAGCTGGACGCAAGCGGCCTCTGGTTGCATCTTCGTCGATGACCAGTCCTGCAACGCCGATGCGCAAAATGGAGCTGCCGACGCCTGAGCCGGACATGTCTAGCCATGCCAAGTATCTGGAAGGCATAGATACATACTCGGCAATTCGACCAACCCTGTTACCCGGTGTCAAGAGCATCGCCGACGGCAGCATGATGATCAGCCACCAGATGATCGCAGCTCGAGGGTCAGCATCTCTCCTCGCCTTGGCTCGCTAGGCTCAAGCATTGGTCAGTCACAGGGTGATCGTGCAAATACTCTGCCACCTATCATCAACAACGGCGGCATGGGAATGGTGCGTCAATCGAGCTATGGCATGAGCAACGCTGCCGCAAACGGTGTCAACACCATGCCCAACACACCATTCCCACTACCGTCACCGCAAGGCGGGCCACCGCATTCCTCAACCCTAGCCCTTCTCAGAGAATCCATACACCCGGACACGAAGTCGCCGACAGCAATACTGGATGCCTCGATCAAGGAACTGGAGCTCCAAGCGAACCACTTGAAGAAGTATGAACAGGATTTTATTGAGTTGGGTCTAGAAGACAGCAGGAAAATGCTCAGAGACCAGGTGGAGGACTTGGAGGAGAAGATCAGAGTTAAGAAAAAAGAGAAGGGTAGGTTGTTGGTTGAAAGGCTACAAAGGGAAGGATATGGTGGTCTTGCAGCTGTTGTTGGGAAAGAAGCCGGCGTGGTGAGTGGTGCTGGTGATCCGGGGCCCGGGCACCTGGTCGGCCTAGGCGTTGGAAGTGGTGTCGTTGGGGGCTCGAATGGACACTGATGTTAAGCCCATGTGGTGGTTACGAAGACATGTCGGATACTTCATATTCGTTGCACTTATGGCGTAAGATCTGGATGCACAGGGCCAGACGTGGGAATTTATGGATGATGGAATTTCTTTGCTGTGTACATATACCCCAAGCGACGCCACTTCGCTGAGAAGAGCGCTAAAGATAATAATTGAGACCTGTGATGATGACAGGCTGTTCTTGATGCTCCGCCCAGAATCTGTCCATGACCCGATCACAGAGGGAAGTCGCAGACATTGTCCTTCTGTTACAGTCATTCAGAGGCGCGACGCAGACCGTACCGATCTTCACCTGTATCAGTCGAACTGCACACTTGCATACTTGAAACATCATCAAGCCACGACAACCTCAAATTGCCACGACTCATCATAGCATTTCAACACCAGCGATCTCATCTTGAAGCCCAGTCGGCCCGATTGGTCACCCCATCTTCGCCTCGGCTTTGGCCGCGCGGGCGTGCTCTGTGCCTATACAGAACATCCAGCCGAAATGCACACTCGGCGAAACTGATCGCCCAATTTGCGCAGTGTGCACTCTCGAACGGACTGAGATTGTCATGATGCAGCTTCAACGACACGATGGTACCGCCGAAATCGTTGTAAGACCACTCCCAAATTAGCTTCGATATCAACGATCTTGCGTTCTTCCGCTCCAAGTACGCCGACGTCATTAGAGCCTAAAGGCAAGCCTGAAGGAGGCTAGCCTCGTCGCCAATTTTTGAAAGCTGGGGGAGGAAAGATGGAGAAGGGAGCTCCAGGCGACGATCTTTGAGCTTGAGAGAGCTTCTTGATGCATTACAGAGCTTGCTTAGCAATGCCTACGGCCTAGAAATGAGCTTCAACAGGCCAGGGACCAGCGCTCGCCTCAAAAGCATTTGCGTGCGCCGTGTAGGTCTCTGGCGAACGACAAGCGAAAAGCTTTGCTCACCATGCAGGGAATGCGTGACCTTGACGACTCTTCTCGGGTTCGAAGAGTCGCTCGCCTGTTCTGGGCTTGCTGTGCGGAGCACGATACGAAGCTCCCGACCACCTGGACCGCTCGCTACAATTCCTTAGCGTTCTATGCTTGCAGTCAATGGTTGATCGAAGTTAAAAGCCACCGACACCTGACAGCCCCTCCCCTCCATGTCAAGTCATGACTCTGGGCGGTTCTGCGGAGATATGTAAGCTCCAGTAACCGATCTTGTGGGCTTGAGATGGGCTATCGTATCCTTAAAGAGTGAGCAGCTCATGACCTGCAAACGATACGACTATATATACACTTTCCTGTGCAGCCCTGCTCCGCCTACTGACTGTTCGCTTGACATAGCAGTGTCTCTTCTTTTCGTGCTGAAAAGCGTGCGATATAGGATCTAGTCATTTCAGCAGCGCAGAACCCTCAGCTCAGAACTTGTATAGCACGGTCCTCGGACCAAGTCGTCACTCGCGATGCCGAAGGCAGACGATCCGTTCTACAACCGGAAGCCAGTCCCTGGTGAGCAATCACAACGCAGCCACTCACAAGCTCTTGGTCCGCTGATGCGCTTCGTACAGATGAGTTTATCCGCGATGTCGGCCTCACCGGTCTTTCGAAGGAAGAGGAATACGACAACCGCGAGCGCAAGATGTCTGTCGATGGAGTAGACATTCGCAAATTCGGCAAGAAGTCGAGTTCTGGCTGGCACCCATCGGATGATCCGTACTATGGACGCAAGTCGGTCGACAGTTAGTAGCATCACGGTCTATGCCGCTCTGAATCATATACGCTGACTCACGTGACAGAGCACCATCTCGAAGGCGTCGGCGACACCGGATTGAGCGCAGAAGAAGAATACGACAATCGCGAGCGCAAAATGTCTGTCAACGGTGTAGACATTCGAAAATTTGGCAAGAGCGCAAGCTCCGGGTTCCACCCATCAGATGATCCGTACTACAGTCGGAAGTCGGTGGCTGGTGTGCACACCGCCGGTGTTGGCGAGACTTACAACACGCCTGCGGAAGATTTCGCTGTTCGTGAGCGGAAGATGAGTGCTGTCAACTTCAGCAGTGATCCCTTCCAGGTATGTCATCAATTCCTGGGCGAGCAATGAGCTCAATGTGGCTGACCACTCGACAGCTTGTCTCTGGGCGTGGAAACCGACAATCTGTGTCCGATCAGGGCGGTGCGGCAGCTGTAGCAAGCGCAGCGACCGAGCGTCGCCGATCATCTGCAATCGATCCAGCAGCTACCAAAGCCGCACAAGGAGCTCACTCTGGCTATGCGGGAGGAAACGGCCTGGCCCCGATCCAGAGTCGTATGGCGGATGAGGACGAGATCACAAGCAGCAGTGTCGCTGGTGGCAGCAGTACGAGCGGAGCTGGGGCAAATGGTAGTCATGGTCACGGTCACACAAATTTCTACGACGAGGTCACCAAGTCCACCAGCCATACCAGTGGTCGCAATGGTGCTGTTGACCACGAGGCCGATGGCGTCGCTCCTGACCAGAAAGTCTGAGACTCAAGAGCCATGTTGGACGAGAGTGGAAGTTTGGAGCAGAAGAGCGAGCACACGCGACACACCTGATGCCGAATCGATTGCTTGATACCCCAACAGACCGAGAACAGCAGCACCTGGCGTACGTAATTTGACATGAGTTTAGCTTGGTAACGATGATCCGTGTTTTGACCATTGACCTCGTTCTCCTGTGCACAGTCATCGGAAGTACAATATGTAACAGAGCACATTTGGAGGGCAGAAGCAACTATATTCGACGTTGCGCGAGTCGAATTATGCTCTCCGGCAAACCTGGCAGTCCTTGCCATGTCCGACCCTCGACCGTCTGAGGATCTTGCTGCACCAAGACCATCATCTGCATACAAGACTCGTCCTGGCAACTGTGCGGAACAGAACCCTGTTGCTGAGATACGGATGGTGACCCCGTCTCTGGAGCCTGTCAACCGGTCCGGTAAGGACGCGAGCAGCATCTCAGTGGTGACGTAGTCGGTAGCTCTCAGCATTCTCCAAGAACGACGATCCCCAAAATCAAGCAAACCGGCAACTTGCTCCTACCGCTGGCGGAGGCAGGTGGCGAGCGCGGACCCTTCCAAGATGGCGTCTCCTGCGGCAGGTGCGGCACGAATGTCCATACTGTAGGTGTCAAGCGCGTCTTGGTGTTCTTGTCGTCGCTCTCTCCGTGGTATTTGATTTCATCATCGCTGTTGCTTGTGCTTCTCAAAAGTCGTCCATTTGCCGCTCCTGTTTTGTTGCGTGTGTGCTGCTATCAGAAGAATAGGAAGTGGACATCCAAGCGCTGTGTATTATCTGTCTACCTGCTACTCGCCACCTGTGTACAGCAGCACATCCCGACGGGCCACAGCAGCTATCGCTCCGCCCACATCGTCTCACGTTATGCAGCACGATCCAGCAGCACCTCCGCTGCCACCCAAAATGGGCCGACACAGCATTGCCGCCTCCAGAGGTCTTCTCTTCTCTCTGGCAGCAAGCCTCTTCTTCCCTACAAGCATACTCGCCCAATCCTCAACGGGCACCTGCGGTCCCGCACCCTCCGGCTCCGTTCGCCCCGCCACCGCGCCCGGTTACAGCTGGCAAGTCGTCTCCTCGGGCCTACAAGACCCTCGTGGCATCACATTCGACTCCGAAGGCCGCTTGCTCGTGGTCGAGCGAGGCGCTGGCCGGGTGCGAGCTTATACATATCGGGAGGATGGGGACTGTGTGGTCGAGCAGTCGAGGGAGTATGTGACTGAGCAGGGGCCGGCATTGAATCATGGCATCGAGATTGATCGAGAGGGCGGGGTGTTGTATGCGAGTACGAACCAGGAGGTGCTGGCGTGGCAGTATGATGCGCAGGCGGGGACCGCGGCGGCTGGGGACAGTCGGACGGTGGTGGATGGGATGGGTGGTGGAGGGCATTCTACCAGGACGTTGTTGTTGACGAGGAAAGAGGGGCAGGCTGGTCACCTAGTGGTGAGCTTTGGCAGCATGGGAAACCTGGATGAGGTGGCAACGAGGAAGGACAGCGGAAGCAGCTCGGTTAAGGCCTTCGAGCTCGGGAACAACACCAACAACGCGCAGGCGTACGACTACCCGAGTACGGGCACGTTATTGGGTTGGGGTCTCCGGAATGAGGTAGGGGTCGCAGAGCACCCGAACTCTGGTGGTATCTGGGGCGTTGAGAATTCTGCGGATCAATTGAGTCGGTATGGGGTTGACGTGCACGACCACAACCCAGGAGAGGAGATGAACTTCTTGGGATACCTGAACGGGACCGAGACGCTTGAGCAGGGGAGCAACTTCGGGTATCCGTGGTGTTTCTCGGCTTGGGACGTCAGTGAGCTGCCTCAGAACGGCAATTTGACTGTTGGCACGCAGTTCGCCATCGACAGCAGCACTGCGCTTGGCGGGAACAGGACTGATGAATATTGTGCTGAGCAGACACGAAGCCGACTGGTATTTGAGAGCCACATGGCGCCGCTGGACCTCAAGTTCAATGATACAGGCAAGCAGGGGTGGATCAGCTTCCATGGTAGTTGGAACAGTCCTGATCCAGTAGGCTATAAATTGTCGTTGGTGGACTTCAGCGAGGGTGGTATGCCATTGGATAGCGAGACCAGCACGACTGCAGCGAAGGATGTCTTCTTCAACGAGGACATCTCCAGGTGCGATGCAAACTGTTTCCGCCCGGTCGCACTGGCGATTGACCACCAAGGAAGAATCTTCATGAGCAGTGACTCAACGGGTGAGATTTACATGATCAAGAAGGTGGAAGGTGGCAATGGTGGACCGACTGCCTCTGGCGCGCCGGCTGGGTCGACAGCCTCGCAGACTTCAAGTCCGAGTGGGACTTCGAGTGGTGGTAGCAGTTCGTCGACGCCCAGTGGGAACGGTTGTGGGCAGTTCGGTGTCTCGACATGGTGGATGATGGCTGTTCCTCTTGTCCTGGTGATTTTGGCATAGGCTGCTCGGCAGTAAACATGGTTACAGGATTGCCGTATCCTATATGCTAAAAGATGGAAAAGTAAGGTCATCAGCCTCGCCTACCTCGAGCGAATTTGAGCCAGTCACCACATCGTTCACGCCACGCAGGAGCTGATGACAGAGATCAGCACGTCAGCTACAGCAGAAGAGGAACATAGCACTCGAAAAAATCGCTACACGATATCCAGCCAGAGAGAATGTCGCATGTCTTCGTGGACTAATGCTAGGCAGGCATGCACTTGCTCGTCAGCTGCGGTAGATCAAAAGGACACACTTCTGGCAAGCACAATGAGAGAGCCCAAGGTAATTACTGCAGCAGCAACAAACAGTGAATGATGAGGCAAGTAGTGAATTCCTGTGCTTCCCTTTCCTACGTGACAGCAAATCTCCAGAATTCATCTACTCAGCGTTGCGTCTCATCTTTCATACCTTAAAATCGAACAAAACATCTCGTCTGTTCTTTTCCATTGCACTCACCATCACAAACTTCTTCTCCGAAGCTTTGAGCCTACCGATCGATGCCATTGTCGCCTGTTCCACACCCTTCGATGGTTCCGACGCTCATCTCAATATGATCGACGACGAGTCAGAATTGAGCGATGCCGCGTCGATGGATAATTACGATGGCGACAGGTCCAAATCCACGTCAATGGCCACATCCTCGCAAGAGTTCTCGAACACAGGACGTCTCACTAGTCGAGTCACACCTTCACGGCTTGCAAGGCGGACGCAAGGGTTCTACCAGGAGTCCGACGCCAATGGGAGTGATGACGATACTGTGCAGACCGCAGAAGGCAGAGGAAAGGTCGGGACACGACTTGCATCACCTGCTGGACCGTCATTGCGATCTGCAAAGCGCATCATGAGCTCCTATCAAGAATCCGATGCCGATGACAGTGACGATGGTCCGATCAAGATGAATAGGACAAAGCGCAAGTCGGCCTCGCCATTCTTCATACCTGCCTTGTCGAGTCGTAAACGCAAGCAGCCCACTCCTGTCTTCAGAGGCGGAAAGCGTAGGAAGCTAGAATTTCAGCCATGGGACGAGGATTCTGATCTTGAGGGTGACATCGAGAAACTGGTCCTTCAGCACGATCCCAACATGCAGGTGGTCAAGATGGAAGACCTGGACTGCTCGCCCTTTGAGAAGCTCCTGCCGAAGTAAGTGCCATTATCACCACGAAGTATACATGCTGACGCTACCGACAGATGATACAGCGCATAGCAGCCATCCTCCCAAGTGACCTGGACCTCGTCAACCTCTCTGCAGCCAGCAATCGGTTTAGCGAGACTATTCATCCACAGAACTCGTCTGTCTGGTCGTCGCGATTCCTAAACAAGTTCGATCACCCGTTGATCGACAACACGAATCAGTTTTGCGCAGCTTACAAAGAGCGCTCTCTTGTTCTTGAGAGCTTCATCAACTTCAAAGATGGCACCGACCCACGACTTGAGCCGCAACTCACGATCCTCCTTGACATGGTTCTCGAAGCATTCAATCCACGCAACCCATGGGAAAAGCCTCCTGCGACCTCGAAGAATCTAGCTCTTCTCCAGAATGCGGACTCAAGATGGATGCGCGAGTTCCTGTCTACCGCATTATTCAACAACTGCCATCCCTCGAATCAGAAGCCTTTCGGCGATCCTCACCGCGTCTTCGATGCCCTTCAGCTTACGTTCAGCTACTTGCTCTTGTCACCAGCATACAAGATGGCCAAAGTTACCACATTCTACCGAGACGACTACGACATTTCCAGAGTCTACAATTGGAATGCTTCTTTTGGCACGTTGTATGCCCGCTTACCTGATGAGCCTGCTGCGAAGCCTTCCAAGCTCTTTCCCAATCTGCCGGTCCCAAAGGCCACTAGGAAGTATCGTCTAGATACACATACGCTGCTACATATCCGGAACTTTTGGCATCGCCACATGATTACCGATATGATGGCTCAACCGCTGCGTGGCGATATCGAGGAGAACACATACTCTCACGCTGTGCAGAAGTTGGCGGATCTTGATCATATACCGAAAGCATGGGCAAAGTCGTTACTTCCTGCTCCAGCTGCGACCTACCGAGCACTCTCGGGTACAAAATCCCACATCGATACGTCCAGGCAGCCTGAACCCACTCTTATTGCCCGGGAAATGCCACCAAAGAGAAAGTGGTGTGGATTCTACAGCACGATGAGACCATGGCCGAATAGTAGCAACCTCAAACTTGCTCTCACCGGCTTCGTCGATGAGCAGACTGACGCTGCAAATTGGTCGCACATCGATCCGCTCACGCTCGATCTTCGCTTCTCGTCCAGCAATACCGAGGTCGTCTACCTTGATCGGGGGAGCACTGATCAACGCGCGGCAGAATTTTTGCAGCCTGGAATTGGAAACCAGCAGAAAACGATTAAAGGTATTAAGCGGAAGGGCGAAGCAACGACTCTATGGCCCCAAACATTCGCAGATATTCCGATCTTCAAGCATACCGTCCCATCACCTGCGGAAGCCCAAGAACTCGAAACTCAGGGCTACGGCAAGACATGGTTTGTGAAGGGCATTGCTCCCTTTATGGACATCAACGCAGAGATCAGGAAGGCGAATGGGGCGGATGTTGGAGACGATCGGGGTAGAAAGGCGGGAAAATGTCCCCCTGGAGGAAGCCTTCGTCCCGTCATGTCATCCTTAGCGAACGCGAATATCTCTAGCTCCAGTCTCCCAAGCGGCGACAATGACCAAGCCTCCCGCGAGGGCGGCGACGCTGACAATCGAAAGGCAGGATCAATCCAAGACAAGGACATTCTGTCCCTTAAGCATCGATATCTATCCATGCGTGTACGAGGAGTCGTTCATCCTCTCCCATGGCAGCACCCTGACGGAGCCGCAACAACAGGAGATGGCAGTGTAATGGACGATCCTTTCGTTTCGACCACGAAGAGATCTAAGCCATTATCGAGAATGGTCCCACCAATGCCGGTACCTGGATTCCATCGTGTCGTTCTCGTCTTCTACATGCCGTCGCTCGCTCAGGCCGTGCAGCAGCTCGAGCACTGCTTCGAAGAGTACGGCAATTCCTTTGGCGTCAGTATCAGTGCGCAAATGGATAATGATGCAGTGGCCGGGATCATGGCAGGGCTTGCGAACGGCAACGTGGCTGCAGCGAATGCTGCCGCAAATGCTGCAACAATCAATGCCGCCACGGGAGGTGCCCCAGAATCAGCAGCAGACAATGACTCTCAGATCAACGACAAAGTCGTCAAACTTTTGACCAAACATCTCCACGGTCTGGTGACTAGGAAGGAGGCTGAAATTGTTGCTGCGGACGAGGCGAACAGGAGGAAGAGAGAGGCGTCGGTTGCGTCTGCTGCGAATGGAAGGAGCGGTTCTGATGCAGCGGTCTCGGGCTCATCTCTGACTGCCCTCACGTCAAGCGAAGTCTGGACACCTGGCCTTCTCGAATACCTCGAGCTCAATCTCCACCCCGACGGACAGATCAGCTGGGAAGACATCGACTACGCTTATGCGTATGAAGGCGCTATCTGTCCCGGTGGCAATGTCATGCTGGGCCGCTGGTGGCGCATAGGTGCAGACGGCCTGAGTGAGGAAGTACATAGTATTGGAGGGGAGGTTGACTTCGCTGGTGCGGGTGTTCCTGATGGGATGGATCGGGCTCGCGGCAAGGGCTTCGATTACTGGCAGCAAGGCGGTCAAGGAGAGGGTACTGCTGATACTGGTTCTGCTCACGCCGCTACTTTTGGCGTCGCAAGTGCTGGACCGAGCAACGCCGCTACCGAGAGCTCTTTTGCGACACCGCCTGCCACACCTGGGGCTGTCCTTGGAGATTACATCGAGGATGCGGAGGACGTCGGGTTTGCTGCTGCGGCTGTTGCTGCTGACTCGGCAGTCCACAACAAGGACCTCGACCGCGGCCCGTTCGTCTTCTGGACGATGAGGGATGACGAGGACTAATTTCGAGGCGACGTTACTTCGGAGGAGCAGTGCCCTGGAAGCTCCTTAGGCGAGTGAGTCTGAGTGCATGGCAAGGGTGATGGATACGCCGCCCTTCGTATGCAGACGCGCAGAGGACTCCCGAGTATGGTTTCAGGAGGTCACCAGAGAAGGTCACAATCCGGCTTTTCAATAGTGATTGGCTGGCACTAGACATCTACGGCTTTCTCGACTTTTATATGCGGCTGATTGACAAGTTGTCACCAACTCGCTCTGAGCAGACCGGCTACTGCTTAAATCGTCACAGTCGTGCCTTTCCTCTTCATCAGCGTCATCGCGCCTTCCGATGGCAACTGTACAGTCGAACATTCCCAAGTTGGCTATACCGTCGCCTTGTCCCAGATCATGGTCGCGCCTTCCTTCACTATCTCCATTGTGCCTTCCCAAATCACGCTCATGTCGTGCCTTCCCTGTGTGTGGTCATGACTTCCGATTGAGGCGCATCTTCCGCAGCAGCATCGCGCCTTCTCATTGAATAGTCGTGCCTGGCCACCCCGCCAGCATTATCGCTGCTTCTTAATCGACGCCTGTCATCGCACCTTCCCCACGTCAACACCAAAGCGCCTTCCTATGTCCCGAACCTCATCGCTCCTTCTCAGCCTTCCTATGTCCCGAACCTCATCGCTCCTTCTCAAGTCAGCATCTTCCGGTGGCAACAGCCGCATCGCACCTTCCCAGAATCATTTCCACGACCGTGCCTTCCCACAGTCTTTCTCATCTTCGCGTTTTCCCACTTCCGCCTACGCTATCGCGCCTACCATTTCCAACCAGCGTCATCGCGCCTTCCCACGTCACGATCGTGCCTTCCCGAGCCAGTCTCACGGTGGTTCCTTCCGTCAGTCGTCCTGAGCGTCGCGCCTTCCCATGTCAGTCCCACGGTCGTGCCTGCCCTCAATTACTCTTAGCGTCGCGACTTCCCCAAGTCGGCGGCACGGTCGTACCTTCCCTAAATTGTTCTCAGCATCGCACCTTCCCACTCCATGTTTGCGCCTGCCCCCGTTGACGGGTATGTGGATGTATCCGGTCGAGAAGGCGCGATTGTGTGAGAACATTCACGGAAGGCGCCTGACACTAGTGCTGTGGAAGGCACGAACGTAAGAGCAGTTCGGGAAGGCACGACAGTCGCGTCAGAAGGCGCAACGGCCTGTTGACATGGGAAGGAGCGATGGACCTACGCATGGAAAGTCGCAGCGGTGTAGTCGTAGCGGGAAGGTGTGATGATGATGATGAGGAGGAGGAGGAGGAGGAGGTGGAGGAGGAGGAGGATGACGACGATTCGAGAAGGCACGACTATGGACCGGGAAGGCGGCTGATGGCGTGACGATGGTCGCGACTTCCCTCCTCATGGCCATACCTTACCTATACACGACCGTGCTTTCTCATTCTATCGTCGCGCCTTCCCAGAACTACTGCCATGCTCGTGCTGTCCAAATCATCGTCATGCCTTCTCACTTTAATCGCGTGCAAAACCTGATCACTGGTCGTGCCTTCATCGCTAACTGGTCGTGCCTTCCGACTCCCACTGATCGTGCCTTCCTCACTGATTTCCCGTGCCTTCCTCGCTCACCGGTCGTGCCTTGCGACTTCTACTGGCACTGTGGCGCCTTCTTGTATGTTCATCGCGGCTTCCCGCTGCTCATTGCGCCTTCCTTGCGGAGCAAGTAATGTTCACTCTTCTAAGGTTGTGTGTGCGTCATGGCCAAACTTTTGGCCAATTTCTTTTGGTCTATCGGTGCCGCTGGCTAATACTGGCTCACATCGTGCGTAGCAGCGTATGCTCGTCTGTTGGGCTTGCGAGGTCCAGCTGTCATGTTTCCAGGACTAGCTGTGTAGATGCTGCAACCATTTCGTATGCCATCCAAGGATGGGGAAGGTTGGATCTAGAACTCATTGAAAGTCTCCATCCAATGCTCCCGCATCCAGTTCCCATCATCATGCTGATCATCTAGTCACGCCTGTCCTTGGCTACCAGTGCCAGGAAGCCAGCTGACCACTGGCTCTGCCCGGCCCTGACGTGGCGACTTCTGCTCCGGGTACCATTTACCGCCCGGGTGCAGGTCGCCGCTGATGCCAGAAGGATATGGATCAGAGCTAGCGCTGTACATGGCGTCAGCATCGCTTGCGTTACGGTGCGGCTGCGGTTGTGGCTGCCAGGAGGACTGTGGGAAGTCGGGTGTGTCGAGGTCTGCTTGGCTGGGTGCGTAGACGTTGTTGAGGTCTGGAAAGTCGAATTTATTGCTGGTCTGGTGCTCTTGCACAGGCGGAGGGTGTGCGGTGACTTGCGACATTGGTGTATCTACTGGCGTAAATGCCGTTCCAGCTGAGCTCATACCCGTGGACGTATTCTGCAAGTCGTTGTTTTGCACCTCGACTTCCCGATCGCGCAGCTGTCGCATGAGACCTAGGAAAGCGCTGTTGCGAAACTTGTCGCTTGTGTCATGACTGACGAGGTTCAAGAGCTCGCCGGCGGTGCGAGCGAGGTCGTTGGCGTCTTGACTTGCTTGTTCGGGCGTGCGGGATTTCTGTTCGGTGTAGTCTATCGCGTCAGAGCCTATTCGAATTTGTTGTTGTTGCTCCTGTGGTTGGTTTTCTCCCTCTTGAGGTTGTGCGTGCTGATGCTCTTCTTGCTGAATGATCTCCATCTCCCGCATGGCTTCTTCAAATGCAGCGTCGAAAGAAGCGGTGATCGCCTGGTCGTTCTGCACGGGTGGTGCCATTGCCACATCTGACAATGGCTGCTGCTGGAACGTGCTATATGGTTGCATACCTGTCGAGTACATAGGCTGTGGACTGTACATTGGCTCGGCCTGGCTATAATGCTGGGGGACCGCGACCTGTTTGCCCTTGCCATGATGCTGCATGAATTCATTATGCCACCCATTGATCCCACCATTGACCTGTGATCTGACTAGCGGTGCCTCAGTGCGAAACTGCTGGACAGGTATCGGACTGGGCGAGTTCGATATCTGTAGACGTTGGAAGTCTGCTGCCCATGCTGGTGCTGCTACAGGATTGGGCTGGGCGAAATGTGGCGGGGCAGGTTGCAACGGCTGCTGTTCGAACTGGAATGGATTTGTTGGCGCATGTTCGAAGGCGTGGAAATCGGCGTCGATAGCGCCTGTTCGAGGATCATGAGAGCGGAAGCCCTGCAGACAGACCCTTCAGCAATTCAGTTACGACGTGAATGCGAAGACTGTACGTACCTGAGAAGGCGATTGCCGACCAACGAGGCGATCTTGCTGTAACGTCCGATCAACTTGTGTGTGTTTCTGGAAGGAGCGTAGGGCATTTGACGGCCCACAGAGCGCGTCGGTCATGGCGGCGGGTATGCTTGGGCAATAATTATTCAATGGGACGACAGTGAGAAGAGGCCAAAGTGACGCGGGTGTCATCGGTTTTTGAATCAGCATATGACCCTGGAAAACATATCCGCAGCAGCCGAGGTTCGAGAATCCCGCCAAAATGCTAGAATGTCGCCACAATTGTGCACGAATTTACCGCCTCACTGTCCTGCGATACACATGGCTTGCCCCAAGTTGCCCCTAACAAAATCGCGGGGCCGGCACATAACCAATACATTGCACTGCTCGTAACAGCTGGCGCAGCGAAATTGCGCCCGGGAACGCCGATTTCATGTTTCATGCGCTCAGGATGGACAGATAGAAGCTAAAATTTGCCGAATTTGGGAAGGACACATGCCCAGATCGTCCTTTCATATCTTCAGCAGAATCATGTCTCTTTCTATGGGACGTGCAGCGAGGATTGTCTACAAACTATACCCCAAACTATCCCTCTCATCACTCATAATCCTCGCATACTCCAACAATACCCGAACAAACACAATCTCCAGATCCTTCGGCCTGAGCGTCCTCCGCGCCCAATCCCTTCCTTGTTGAGCAATCCTCCTCCCAATTTCCCTACCCTCTTCATCGTGCACCAAGAATCTTATCATCTCCCCCAACTCCTCCGCCCCAGCGCTCAGCGGGATATAGTGCACCCACGGCTGCAGCCGCCTGTCGTGCCACTCCACGAAACTCGTGTGCTTGATCACCGCACTGTTCGACTTGAGCAGCTTGTAGTACCGGCCTGAGTACGCGTTGCCATCGATGTCCAACGCGTACTTGCTGCCTAGTGGTGCAGCTCCGGGCTCGCCGCGTGGGGCGAAGCGCTCTGTCATTGCTTCGCAGGCGTCATCGGCGCACTGAACCACGTTTGTGATCCGCGTGTAAAAGAGGTCCTCAAGCTCGGCATACGTTGTCTCATGCGGCTGCCAGTCGCCTTGATCGTTCTGCTCCAGTAACTGAACAGGCGCTCGGGATCCAGGCTCGGTCAGAATTGCCAGTCGTGTGCGATGAAGTTCCTTCCAATTCTCAGCTGTGTGGTAGCCGCCTGTGGACGAGCCAGCCCAGTATAGTCGGTCGAGTTTGTCGTCCCACGCCATGTCGTCCTCATCATGGTACTGCGAGTCACCACCGTAGTACGGGCTTGGGTAAAGAATATCGCTGAACACGCTTCCCTTGCACTGGCTGAAAATCGGCGCCAGCGAGTGGGTGATGATCATCGTGGCCGGTGCTCGGAGCATGCCATGACTGGAGAGAAGATTTGTGCTCCCACAGATGTCCATTTCCGCCGTCACATTGCTCACAAACGGCAGCGGCTGGTCATCTGTGCCGTTCTGCGGGCTGTCGCTTCGTGCCGGCGAACTGACGTGACAGGAAGACAGTATCGACTCGAAAGTGCCCTGCCATCTGACATTGACCCACGATATGTCATTCTTGGTCTCCAAGTACTTGGTGGTTGCCCCATTCTTGTCGGTGATCGTCTTCCCGTGCGCTAATGCCACAGCCCGGTCGACGGCATCGTAGGGTGCAACAACACGAGGCTCGTCGAATGCGCTCATCACAAATTTCGTGTCCGGGAGAATATCTCCCCAGATCTCTGGATCCGCCCATCTCTGCAGCATCCCGGCGTAGTGATGCTCGGGACTGTACGTCAAACCGGAGCTGTTGACGACGACATCTATCATAGCCTCTCTCATTTCGACAGAGTCCACACGTGTTCGAAGAGATGTAGGACTGATGCCCCAGAACGGCTCCAGCGTTTCCATAATGACATCGAATTCGTCGATGAATTCGAAATCGTTGTCCTTGGCGATCTCGAACCACCTGTCGAACCCCGCAGGTGGTGCTCGGCCATATCTGCGTTTGTACTCGGCCGCCGCCATATCCACGGTCGTCGACTGGTGAGCCAGACGTGTCTCGAATTCTTTCTGGTTGTGTGCCGCTAACCGCACGATTGGATGCACCGAATTCGGAACAGCGATTTCGGCGTTTCCGTGAAGAGGGGCGTTTCCGTGAAGAGGGCTGTTCCAGGCATACATTATGACCCCCATCAGCATGGGGATCAGGACGAAGTATAATCGGCTCTGCACGGATAATTTTGGTATCGTCGCGACGAATGCGGCAATCGAAAGGGTTGTGACAAGAACAAACAAGTCCTGGCTCTGTTGATCGGCGGCCATAAGGGTGCTTGCAATGGCAGCTGCCGGTGCCACGATCGCTGCTGCGGTGAGGGACGCGCCATTGAAGCACTAAAGAGCGTTAGCATCATTCTCATCGGGCGGATATCGCAACGACCTACCAGACAGAACATTGTGCACACCTCGAGGAGTCGCGTCACTACCAATCCCACTGCCACCGCATCAAGCATGTAAGGCATCCTGACTGTGAAAAGGGCAAGGTAGATCGTTGAAAGCACGAACGCCTTAGTGGAGATTGACTGGACGAGCTTCAGATGCTGCGTAGCAGATAGAAGCTGGTAGTCCTCACTAGTTCCGGACTTGGTATCGATGGCGAACAATGTGCACGCTTTCGCAAGGGCCAGCACAAACGCGATACCCAGACCTTCCGCAGTGTGCCAGGAGTCCTGTTTCCATATGAAGCCCGCTGTGGTAAGGGCACATCCTATGAGGAAGAGGGCAGCTGAGGGGACATCGTCGAAAACGCCAATCAGGCGTGCATGCCACGGTTGTTGTGGCTGCGACGGTCGACTCTGCCGAACTTTGAGCAGTAATAATATGAGCGCTGTTAGTGGCTGTTCACCGGTCAGCATTGTCCAGACATACATTTGCCGTGGTACTCACGAAGGCGAATTGTACGCTTGACCTTCCAACCCAAAGCTGTATGTACTGTGGGCAGACAAGGAAGGCTGCCAGAGCCAGCGATATGCCTTCTGTCCACACCGTGGCAGGACTATCTTGTATGTCCTTTTCCAGTAGGTCGACGTCATCGGCTCGTTTTCGGCGGCTTCGTAGCAGACATGCTAGCGACAAGATGCCCCAGACATTCCATTCCGCCCACTTTCGCTGATTCAAGCTGTGATCAGTTCGGTCACTGAGATAGAAATCGCCCACAAAAGCAACAACGCCAGCAGTGGCGGTAACGACTGGAGTAAGCTGCATCACAAGTTTCGACCTTGAGTCAAAAGAACGGTACTATCGACATGAATGACAGGTCTCACTGTGCCGCTAGGGCCGTCGTGCTCGAAATGGTGCTATTCCAGTCGATTCATGAGACCATGGACATGTTGATCGATGGTGATTGTTCGTCAGAAGCGTCAGTGAAATTGTCGTTTATTGTGTGCTGGCCGGACTCAGCATACGCTTTCTGCAGCTGCAAAAGACCGCGTCGCCACAACGCCTGGTAGAAGGGATAGTTGAGAGGAGAGTGCCCGCAATGCAGCTGGAATGAGTGAACTTTAGCAAGGCCAACAGAGTTATTTCTCCTCTGGTACCTGATCAAGATGCTCGCAGGGACCAAGGCCGAACCATGGGCCAGAAACTTTGCAGCCGGATGCATATGCAAATGCCCGTTTCGTCTTACCTGAGAAGTTCCAAACTGGGTTCATCTGTTTCGCGAGTGCCTGTTCGTCCGAATCATTATGGTGCACACCTCATCCGCGTCCCGAGTGGCTAGTATCCGACGGCAGCTTGCGGCCCCATGAGATGCATACGAATTTGTCGATACAGTCGCACCTCTCAGTGGACAGAGCGTGGTATGTCTCGCAAGAATAGCTTGCGCTGCGGCGCAATTCATCTGACGGCTAAGCCAGCAGTAATCAGGTCCAGCCGTGGGAAACGCCATCAAAACGCGCTCAAGCTGAGGTTGTGAGAACAGACAAATTCCTACGGAGAAGTTTAAATCGCTGTCGTTCCAGAACCGCGGGTAGGCAGGACACCCTCCTGTGTAAGGTAGGGCACCATCACAGCTCAGGTAGGACATGCTTTGCTGTTGGTTCACGCAAGCCTTCAATTGTCTGACAATGCGACTTGGATTGTTCGTTGCTGACACGCTGTTGGTTATTAGTATTGTCAGTCCTTGCAGGTCTTCTGTAAGGCGTTGCTTTTGGGTCTTCAGCCGTGGTCTAGCCGGAGAACTCTGTAATCATCCTACTGTGACTCAGCGCTGCAAGCTCGAATCCAGGGATGTGAGTGTTCAAGCCGCGAGGAACAATACTGTCGCGAACTCGCCCCGCTGCGCGTCTCCGTAACATGGAGGGACTCGTAGTTGTGGCTTCGCTGATGATGTCGGGACTGACTTTGAATCTCTCGAAACTAGTAGGCAAGTTGCTGCAGCATGAGTGCGACCATCCCTAAACTGGTGCGATTTGGAGAGCGAGAGCCCGGCAGCCCGGTTCTTGGGGCTGGCATACCGCACACCCCGCGATCAGATAAGGAGGTGCGATGGATGTGGTATACAAAGAGTTGTTGCATTCTGCTGATACAAGCTGCTTAATAGTCTAATGATTAGAAGATCTTGTGTACAATGCTCTATCGCAGTTTCCGCATCACCGACGCATCTGGCGGAAGGCACACTCCTCCTTCCCACTCATTTCTTCTGTTTCGCCAACCGCTCCTTCTGGTATTTCGCAACCAGCTCTTTCTGAAATTGCGGCAGCGCCTGCGCATAATGGCTGAATTCCATGCTGAACTCGCCCTTGCCTTGGGTCGCAGCTCTCAGAGTGCTACTGAACCCAAACATACCATGCAGACTGACATCTGCATAGCACGTAAAATCCTCAACTTCTGTTTCCGAGTCGGTGATGACCGCGTTACGTTTCTGCAACAGTCCGACCACGTTACCCTGAAATTCCGTCGGCGCTGTGGTCACGACCTTCATGATTGGCTCTAAAACCACTGGTCCAGCTTCCATGAATGCTTTGCGGAAGGCTTGCTGAGTGGCAATCTTGAAGGCCATTTCGGAGGAATCCGTCATGTGAGTTGCGCCGTCGTTGATGACCATTGATGTGCCGAGGACCTTGTGCCGATCAGAGGACCCTTTTCACAGGACAGTTGGAAGCCTTTGTCGCAGGCAAAGAGGAATTTCTCGTCAATGGCCATCCCAACGACTTGCTCTTCGAAGACGTTGCCATCTAAATCACCCTTGGGCTCCATGAATCCCTGCACGCGAGCATAGTCACCAGCACCGCCCGTCTGTTTCTTTAGCAGGTGATCAAAGTCAGCATGTTTGGTGATGGTCTCCCGATAGGCGACTTGTGGTTGACCAGTCTCGCAGTCCACACGGTATTCTCTTCGCATTCGCTCAACATAAACTTCGAGATGGAGTTCGCCCATGCCAGAAATGATGGTCTGCTCGGACTCGCCATCGAAATGGACTCGGAATGTAGGGTCTTCGCGCTGAAATCGTGCGATGGCCTTGGAGAATGCCGGAAGTTCCTTATTGTTCTTGGGTTTGATCGAAAGCGAAATGACAGGCTCCGGCACAAACATACTCGTCATGGTATAACCAAGCTGACCGTCTGTGAAGGTGTCTCCTGAAGCGCACTCGACGCCGAATACGGCACAGATCTCACCAGCACCGACCTCGTTGACTTCCTCCATTTCATCCGAGTGCATTCTCACGATTCTGGGGATCTTGACACGCTTGTCGTTTCGGGCATTGTAGAGATAGCTGCCCTTCTTGATCTTGCCCTGATACACACGAATGTATGTGAGCTGACCGAAGTTGGACTCTTCGAGCTTGAAAGCCAGACCAACAAACGGCAAAGATCCGTATGGAACCAGCTTGACAGGTGCTTCGGCTTGCCGTCGGTCGAGTGCTGTGTTCGATACTTCTGAAGGATTGGGGAGGTAGTCACAGACGCCGTCCAACATAGGCTGAATGAATTTGTCTGCCAGTGCTGAACCCATGAAGACAGGCGTGAACTTCAACGAGCACGTCGCTCGCCGAATTGCTGCTTTCAATTGTTCGACAGATGGTTCCTTCTCTTCCAAGAACAGTTCGGCAATCTCATCATCCACATCTGCGACCGTTTCGATGAGCTTCGCTCGCTTCTCCCTGACCAGATCTTGCACTTCCGCAGGGATCTCGTCTTTGGTGACAATGATCTCTCCTCTGCCACCTTCCGCGTACATAGTCTTCATTGTGACCAGATCCACGACACCATGGAAGTTCTCCTCCACTCCGACCGGCACCTGCATGGCGGCGGCGGCGATCTTCAATTTCGCATTGATCTGATCAATCGGCTTCCAAGGATTCGCACCCATGCGGTCCATCTTGTTGATGAAAGTCACTCGCGGCACGTTGTACCGTCTCATCTGCCGATCCACGGTGATTGTCTGACTCTGCACACCACTGACAGCACACAAGATCATGACTGCGCCGTCCAGCACTCGCAATGCTCTTTCAACCTCGATCGTGAAATCGATATGGCCTGGAGTATCAATCAGATTGATGTGGTATTTCTCGTCTTGCCCTTCAGGATTCTTCTTCACCCAATCGCAAAATGTAGCTGCAGACTGAATGGTGATGCCCTTCTCTCGCTCCAACTCCATGGAGTCCATCTTTGCCCCGACCGAGTCTTTGCCTCGCACCTCGTGTATCGATTTTATTCGACCGGTGTAGAAGAGAACGCGTTCTGTGGCAGTCGTCTTGCCGGAGTCGATGTGTGCTGCGATGCCAATGTTGCGTACTTTGGACAGCCGCTGCCATTCTTCCGATGACATGTTGTCAATGATGGATTCATTGGTCAACGTTTCTGGCTCTGCAGCTTCTTCTAGGATAGCCGCTGCAGCTGTGGCCGCACCTCTCCGTGGTTGACGGCCGAACTGCGCTGTAATGCGCCATCGTCGGTCCAGCACGCTAGATGATCTTGTATTGGCGATGTGTTTCCGTCGTTGAGCTGTCTGCTCGCCGTTCACGATCGCAAAAGTCGAGGCACATCTTCCACACAGCGAATTGGGCGAGCTCCGACCGGTCGACACTGTGAAGACCGTCCGCTTCAGGGCTACAGAAGATGGCGACCTGAGCGCCGACGAAACACTCATGTTGTCGGACTTGCCGAAGCAAAGAACGCGAAACGAATGTAAGGAGACTTCGGGAGCTCTCGTTCCCTCCCAGTCTCTGCACTCAAGCCAAGTGCAAGATGTCGGTCTACTTCGCGCGTTCTCGCCATGAGCAGCATCGCTTCCGAAAAAAAGTTCCCGCGGATTGCCAACCTGCATTTGTGGGTACGCCTGAGCACCGTAGTGCTGCCTCAGACGTTCTCGGCAGACCGGTGGACACTTCACAGGTCTACTAAAAGCTGATGGAAGCACGCGAAAAGCTGGATACAAGGGACTTGAGGAGGAGGAGCGAGTGCTCTCGGTGAACCGCTAAGAGTAGAGTCTCGATCCGGGCACATATTGAGTTGCGCGGGTACGACGTCTGAGCCCCTTCCGAAGACCGGATGACAAGAATATCCTTGTCTGCTCCTATTTGACAGCATCTGATGCAGAGACTCTCGTCCGAATGGTGACCACAACGTGTCTACTACCTCGACATGTTTAATCGCACTCATTCGCTACTCTACATCATCAGCCTCCCGCTTCCGCTTCTTGTACTTCTGCACAACCATGACTCTTTCCGCAACACCCTACAATGACGAGTGTCAATACTGTCTCTCATTCGACGTTGCCAGACAGAATCACTCACCTCTCCCCAAGCCTGACAGAACCTGGCCTCTCCATCATCCTCCCCGTGGTCTTCACCATTGTCACTAGCCCACCACTCGTCCGGAATAGCACACGTCGGACAAGTCCTCGTCCAATTCTTGACATGCCTCACCTCCTCCTTCCACATCATTATGGCCCACGTCCAGTCCACCATTCGCAACTCTCGCAGCTGCCGCTTCCCGTCCTTAGTCTTCCAGATGCGGTCTCTCGGTAGATACTTCCAGCAGGCCGAGCACAACTGGAGACCGCCCGGTATGAGATGCCATTTCTTGAGGTCATACAGGAGATGTTCTTTGCCATAGACATATTGCCTGGTGTTGTTGTGGACATGTGTTGTGCCCGATGCGAGAGTGAGTGATTTGTCTGTTGCGATAGCCCGAGCTATGGCTCGACAGGTAAGCGTCAAGGCAATCTGATCGCGCGGGTGAGCGATGCTGTTGTAAATGTAGGCAGCGAAGCCGGCCTTGAAGACTCTCTCTATCGAGCTCGGGAGGCCACCCTGATGGTCCGAAGTGCTTATATTGATGATCTGCTAGCTAGTCAGCTTTCATTGTGCTCATGCTGGAGGACCTTGCCGTGGCTGACATTAGCCGATAAGTTTAGGCGTGTAGGAAGCGTTGCGCGGCAGTCATGAACTCTGGCTTCTTCAACCTTGGCGCCCTCCTCGGGACGCACTTGTTCCATACTCGATTTCGATGTGCCTTGTGGGTGCTAGAAACGTTGCTGGAGGTGTTGAATCTAACGATACGCCTCAATGCAGCTGTAGTCACGGAATGGTCGACGACTGGGTCACGTTTTCGAGGCAGCCATGCATGTATTCACTGACCTGCAGTGAAGTCGAGAATAATGACCCACCTGTTCTTCGGCCCGCACTGCGCCATGTTGTTCGTCCTGACGTTCGCCATGCCCATGCGCATCTCTGCGGCTTACCTCGTTGCAACCTACTGAGTGCGCAGGAGTCAGTACGGCGAGCTCTGTCGCGCGAACAAGGCTTCCTGCGCAGATTGAAGAAAGCAAATCCAATGCGCCGCCATGTAAGATTCAGATGATCAGGAATAGCTTCGTTGACTGCTCGATGAAGCACGTTCATCATGATATAATTTGCCCGTATGAGCTGGCTGTTTCTGGTAGGTGAAAAGGGGCATTGACCTTTGACCAAGCCATGTACAGTCCCCCTGGGCGGATTTGTCATGCTCGTCTCGCCCAGCGCCGTGATGGTTTCCGTAGACGGTCACACGGCTGGCGATCTGGTGATGAATGGCAGCCATGGATGAGTGATGTGGCAGGCACTTGTCGAGAACTTGTTGTCTCGGTGGGTGTTCTTAGCATGCCCGCTCCCCAACGGTACAGGTATGGTACTTTCAGCAACTCTGCGCAGCGCTTATAGGGACAAAGCAGTGTCGTGTTCGGTCGTTCAGATATCAGCAAGAGTGAGCACTTACGACTATTTCATCTCCGACTCGCTTGAAGAGAATGCTGGCTCGCTTGTCGGCCCGGACTTACCTTGCATGGTATATTTAGCCAGCCGATGATGCAACGACTGGGATCAGACCCGAAGCGTACCAAAGTCTCGAAACTTCGAAAGTATTGCTGATTTCTGCAGATGCCGTTTACTGACTCAGGATGTGAATGCTCGAGGGCCCCCTCGTGACGTGTCGTGGAATTAGATTTCCAGTCAGGCAGACTTCAAAAGTCGCCCATGCGAGCAGTCGCAGCATGCTTGCTTCTCTGGACTGCAAGCCAGGTATCCCTCCAAAGAATAACACGTTCAGGACTAGAATTCTGGTTATAGAAACAGGACTCCTTTTTGGTGTCGCTCAGTTCAAAAAGTGCCGGCACCACGACACAATGCGGTATGGTCCTGAACTTTGAATATGGAGACCGCCCCCACGCTGCAACAAAATTTCCTTGGATTGAAGAAAACGTAAATTTTGTCCCTTGTCCCAGGCGCGTGGACATTCAACGGTCCTGAGCAACTTCGCAGTGCTGGTCTCGAGCAAAGCCTCTAGGCATCATCGAAACGCTGCAAAAGTGGCGGTCGAAACTCGAATTCGACCTGCTAGGAAAAGGGTTGAAATTCGGTCCTGGGCACGGTGCGCCGTGCATCTAGGATAAACCTCGTGGTAACGTGGTTAGGAGACATTCGATCTTTGGCGAGCGTTTGTGGAAACCTGCACATCCTTCTAGAACAAATTTCCAGTATGATGTCAACGCCGTCTATCACTCTGCGTGGTTCCACTTCGTAGCCGAATGTCATCCAGCAGATTGGTTGCAGTCTGTGTTGCTGTGAGGCCAGTGTTGCCCGAGTATGCCCTGTCTGGTCAGCGCGTTGTCGCTGAGGACGGCAGACGTGTTGGACCTTGTGCGCAAGGCATAAGTCAAGCAATGATGGCGACTGCTGACACATTGCTGCAGCAGTATGACCTCGTGGCAGTGAGACTTCTTATCAACCCTGGCATGTTTCAAGAATGTAGCGACTGGCTCCATTTCGAACCACCCCTGTCCGGCGGAGCTCGTGCCCTGCAAGCAATCTCGGGTCGCCGAAATGCCTCCATGCGACGTTACTTGTGTACTGTGATGTGGCATGGAGGCCGTTGTACTGTCGAAAGAGCCCCAGAGGTCGAGTCTTGAGTACTTGCGACTTATTAAAGTGCTCCGCGTATAAAGAGAAATGCCGCGCTGCAATGACTCCTGACGGATCGGTAGTCAACCCAGGGTACGACACTCCAACACAACCGTTCCACAAGCTCTTCCGCCTCTTCGAAGAGCAAGATGTGCGAAGTACATCTGACTTATTACGGCTGCGAATCTTGCGCGTGGAGGGACATCAAGTCACCCCTGAGATCGCAGCACATGCCATCGAATCTCAAGAAGATAAATCCGCAGAGAGAGGTGGATCGTCCATGCGAGAAACGGAGGAACGTACCTGGACATGCAGACAAGACCCTTTCGACGGAGTGGACATACGTCAGATATCCTCACTGTGAGCGCTGTGCCGAGCGGAACGGCAAACGGAGATGAAGAGTCGCCAGTTTCGGCAACTTTGCGACTGGAATTATTACTCGACTGTTGGATTATGGTCATCTGAGTTACAGCATCTCATGGAGGTCCGAAGAGAAATCGCGTGACCATTCCGACGTCTTTGTCATCTTCACGCACTTCGGCAGGAAGTCGTAACACGGTTGATGTTCGCCCTCCAAGTGATGGCCGTGACTGGATGAGCGGCGAGCTCCGGAAATCTGTGAACAACCGAAATGACGTTGCCGTGCCTGGAAAGCTGAGCTTGGACGCCCGGTGTGCATGCTCGCCGATCAGGAGACAACGTCAAGGAGTGGCACACTCAAGGACGACGACCAGATCCAACCGCCAACGCACATGCGTGTCGGACCACCGCAGCGACACCAAGACGGAACGCACAGCGCTGAGGAACCGCAGCACCATGCGGGTCGAACGCTTACACAAAACGTAGGCAACTGCCCATCGACTTTGCGCTGCAGGGAAGTTGCGATGCACGGCAGGTGCGAGTGACTACATGACGTCTGGTACCGGCACTGCCGATGCTCCTGCCGGAAGGTTGATGGCGAAGTACTTGCTGGGGATACTTTGGCAGAGCAGAGATAGTGCGAGGCAAGCCGGTAGATACAAGCTCAGCTCTACATGCCTTCGTTCGTGGCTGTGGGTTATCATCACGATAGACGTACCAAGCAGCCTGAGAGGTCGACAACCAGTGATGATGCGGTCGCTTGGCTTGAGCCGCGGCAGGTATGATGTCTGCGTTACACAGTGTGGATGATTGACATATTTACATCCATAGCAGTGCAATGCAAAGGACTTCACAGGCTGTCAGACGATTTCGTTTTCCCGGGCACGACGACTTTGCTGTGGGGGCGTAGCTTGGCACTGTCCTCTGCGTCTTGACTTTTCGGAGTCCAATTGCTGATCGTTGATCGCAATGTGTGAGTATAAGTAATCTTCGTGTGCGTACTTATCAAGAAGGCGACAGATGCATCTGCGACTCGGCAATTCAATGACGAGCAATGCTGGGGAAATGAGGTCAGAGGGGCTGACGCTATCATGCTACTGTGTATGAGAGCAGCAGATCTCCTCTGGTTCGTCTCATTAAGCGCCGGGCAGAGATCTTCAGAGGCTTTAATTGGCTGAGATTCTTGTCGCTATGAATAGAAACCCTGAGCTGACGCAAAGAAAATTGTCCCAGATCCGTTCCAGAAATTGGGGACTTTTGGATAATGCCGCTGCCACTTCTAAGCGCCCGGCTCTTGAAAGCCGAACCACACCGGTTAGCTCAGATCGCTGCCTGGACTTGTCATTCGTTGCGGGAACTCATTCTTGTCCGCCTACGTAGCGCTAGACTGGGATTATCAACGTGATTTCTCGTGGTTACCAAAGATCTGGGACGCCGGATCGTTGCTTGGTGCAGGTGCTCTACAGCGCTAGCTCGAGGCGGTTAACGGCTTTGCAAACAGCAAAAGCAGCAACATTCGTCCAATGAACAACTGCTGCTCGCCTATAGTCATGGAGGGGCAACAATGCAACGGACCAGACAGCTCCCGCCTCTCCAGTTCTCACTGAAGCCTGAAGTTGAAGAGGTCAAATAAAGGCCGCCGAGACCGTTGTTCTGGTTGTCACCATCGTGACACCGTGAATTGATGAGCTATAAGCAGTGAGCTATGCATGGGATCGTTCCCACGCAAAGCGCCTGCCCATGGATGATTATATGCCCACAGGACAGGTAGAAGGACACATTGACTAGACTGTATGTTTGACAAGGTAGAGGGGCAGCCGCCCACGTCTTGCTGAACCAGCACAGATGGCAGGCAGCTTTCATAGCTTGCCAAGACCATGCGTGCATAAGTGATCTGCATAGTATGCATGTGCATCTGACGTGGACGACTGTCGTTGGCTATCCGGCAGAAAGTCTACCAACCATGACACAGCTTATTTGGCGAACATTTATCGATTGGTAGAGGGTATCTGAATCTCCTAACCTCCATCCTGGCCCTGGTGAAGTCTCCCTCGTGCCTCGCCTAGGCTGAGGACTCATGGGAGCCCATTTCCGCCATCCGCCGCCGACCGAAGCGACGCATTCCTGATCAATTGTAGAGTCTGAGTCGTTACGTGGCTAGATTCTGTATTGTGCCACCGCATAGGACGCAACGTACGCTTCTGCGCATGGCAGAACACAGTAAGGAGCTGTCCTTTCCTGAAAAACACCAAAGCGCCGCGCAAAGGTGACCTCCATTCAATATTATTCCAGCAAGCTTTTCGAGTTTCTGAAGAATGAAACTTTTGGGCACACGTCACAGACGTGGAAAAGCTGCTTGCGTCGTTGCTGTGAAGTCTGCATCAAGCAGATCGTAGTGAGCATAAGGTCGTAATGGTGTAATAGAGCGCTTAGACAACCACAGTAGGGGCTGTCACGGTCGGAGTGGAAGGCGGTGGCATTTCGCCTGCCTCTTCCGATATTTTCCTTCGCTTGCCTCTGGGTGCTGGGTCCAAAGGTGGGGAGCGTTTATATGTGACGGTTCTCGTAACAACGGAGCGCACACTCACCGGATTGCTGCAGGCACTTGCCGGGGTGTCGCAGAATCTGCGGGAGGAGCTGTCGAGACTCCAGTCAGCCGGCGAGAAAGGTGAAAAGATGGCGCTTCCGTGTGGCATGCTACTGACTCCTGTTCGTGGAGAAGGCCCGCACGTACTTGGAGAGTACGCTGGCGATTGTGGTATTTTGAGTCTTCTGAGTCCAGATGATGATCTTCGAAATGGGGTAGGTGGTAGAGAGCCAGCACTACGCGGCGGCTTTCTGTCTTCTGCAGCGACAGGCTCTGGGATTGTATTGGTGGGCATTGAAGTAACGCTGCACCGACTTGATGTAGACTCATCTGATACTGATCGGGACAACGCACTTGGTGGAGGGCTAGCCAGCACGGGCGTAAGTGCCTTGAGGAAATCCGTGTATGCTGCAGGAGGTGTGATTGGAGTCTGCAAGCTCTGCTCCTGCTTCACGAGCGCAGAGATACATGCTGAGACCGGTGTCTCGACGATCTCGGATGGAAAAGAGGCCGTCTTCGGTGTTTGCAGCGGTGGCAGGACCGGCTTCGTACCAACGGCGGCAGGCATGATGTCGACGACAAACGAACGACTCGTCCACAACACCGACGTTAGATTGGGTGAGGAGAGAGTGACGGCGCCCGCGAGAGGAGATGGGCGGTGGTCCGAGGAAGCAAGGCCGTAGAGAAGAGAATCCTGGGCGTGAGATTGTCGGGCGACAGATCTATTTCTGGTGAGCGCAAAGGTGCGTAAGCGACGAAGATGCTTGTTCGCTCTGAGGCCAGCTCAGAATGCGGCGGGTATGACAAACACAGGTAGCTTTACAGAAGCTGTTGAATGGATGGCTTTGGCGCGTAGAGAGAAGTGAAAGAAGTCGAGTGGAGGGGGATTCTGAATGGCCGACTCGGACAGGAGAGTTGGTATGGATGGACGAGCTGAGGTGGTCCACCCACGTAAAAGCAGCGCGAAAGGGGAATTTAGACGCCCAAACTACCTTGGCGTGTTCTGATTGGCAAGATCTCGTGAAGTGTGATTCGTCCCCTGCAAGGACTTGCGCTGCGTCCAAAGAGCCGCAGGGTAAGCAACGCTGTCAAAGTACCCTCGGGCTGACTCGAAGCTTCAAGCAGGGTTGAGGAAAGGTTGCAGGAAAACCGATGTTGCTCTCCACAAAGCTCAGCGTAGGTGAATCGCTTCCAGGCTTGGCGATTGGTATACAGCTCTTCTTTGGGTATTTCGTATTGGGCGATGCTTAAATGTGTAGTAGAGGGTGTGCTGCTAGAAAGTATGTGGGCAGCAACACGAGTCAGTGGCGTGATCGTGCTCGAGAAGAGGCTCTGCTCGTAAGAGAGAGCCTGATCCTCGAACTCTTTTGTACTGCTCTTTGCCGCTGACCAGCAGGTCGTTTTGACATTCCATTGTGTATGCAACAGATCTAATCAGCCCGAAGCGCTGTGTACTCGCAGTACGCTGCTATGACGCAACTCTAGTGGTCTACTCGATCACGAAATGCGACTGCTGTCGCCGCGCGGTAACATACCACACGACCCATAAGGTCTCGTCAGCCAATTATCATAGAAGACTGGCAATGTGCTGAGCCCGGGGTCTGATAGTCAGTAACGTGGTTCCAGATTAATGGACAGACCCGGCTTGGTCAATGACTCGTCCTCTCGATAACAGCGTTACGCCATATTGAAAGTGCTTGCAAGAACGACGGGGAACAGCTCAGTGAACACGTTCCGCCAGGACGGTTGTAGTCTGGACTCTACAGCAGCATAGTTGTAACTCTCAATATGTCTACCCCAAACACTGAGCACCAAACATAACCAGATCTGTGGCTCGGGTTGTTAGAGGATTGGCTGAAGCCGCCGGCTGTGCACGCCGCAGTCTGATGATGGCGACGCGTTGCAGTGGCAGGACTGAGTCCTATGTAGGGCAGCAGGTCATTCCCTGTTGAGACGGCTTTTGGGGATGGGGGTCTCAGGATGACAGACTGGTCTTTGGTCAAGTCCAGGAGCCCTCAGGTAGACAGACTATTGATTCCCCTACCTCTATGGCTGGAAACCATGCGACGGAGACTGTAGGTAGCCAATCTCTCAAGAACTAGCTTGCACGCACGGGCTTTTCAGTCATCCGTCGCCATCACAGACGCTGTAGCAGCTGAAGTGCCGTCGCACTAGGCCTGTGAACTGTGTTTCCTGATCCAGAATTGAGGTGTTATTGACCTTAGATTCGATCTTCAGCTTGGATTAGCTGCAATATGAAGTGGACTGCCGGGTGCCATGAGTGAGAGGCGAGAAGCTCCAAAAGGCAGAGACTCGGAGCACACGACCGCGACTGGTTAAGGGTTAGGGTTGATATGGGTGCCAACTTTCTCCGGCTCCGGCTGTGGAGCTCAAACTTTTGGGTCGAAGTCCAAAGATATTTCGCGAGCAGTTGCGGCGAATGGAGGCAGATAGAGAACGATCATTCACTGTCCTGACCATCATCTCATCCTCGAAGGTCTCGTCGCCTATCGGACCGGACTCGTACAGCTGCTGAGCACGGAGGCCTACGACGCCACGAGTTCGAGAGAAGCAGTAGCGCAGCTCGCGCCCTGAGTCTCCTTCACCTCCATTCTGGAATCGACACCATCTAAGCTATATCCTATGGATGCTCGGTAGCAGACGGCCTCGCCCTTAATATGTCTCTCGTCAACCTGTCACATGTTTGCTCTCACCTGCAGAACGTGTCAAAAGCTCGACTGGGTCTCACCTCAATACCCGATTCGAAACTACACCTAAAGCTCATGCTTGCATTGCAGAACTCTGGCTTCATCTCAACCGTAGTCCGGGCTGGTCCAAGACCGCCCCCTGCGCACCATCTGCTAAGCATACCATCATCGAACACCGAGGGCTTTGAGACCCAAAAAGTCACACCAGAAAATATCGCAAGTCGAAGATTATGGCTGGGCATGAAATACTGGAACAGCGAGCCTGTACTGGAGAAGATGCAGATGATCAGCAAGCCTACAAGAAGGATATGGATGGACGTCGAGGGGTTAAAAAAGCTCGTTCTAGGGAAAACGAGCGGTTACGTGCGAGGACTGACTCGGCCTGGGGAATGCCTCTACGTGAGCACCGACCAAGGTATATTAGAAGCGCGGGAGTGCGTGGAGCGGAAAATCGGGGGTCAGCTGTTATGTCGGGTACGATAGTCAGGAGCATATTGATACCACGGCCGGGGTTGTATAATTCATGTACAAAAGCGGAGGCTACACAGCGTGCATTGCATAGCATAGCAGGAGTTTGAACAGGAGACAATGTCAGCTCATTGCAACAAACCAGTCACTGCAACGCGGTGCAAAATCGAACATTGCCAGTCTGGACACGGCACCGATGAACCAATGGCTTCAAAAGTCATGCGTCCGGCTCCAGGGAAACCCAGCCAATCACAGAAAGCTGCTGACATTACGACGCTTCATTACATCTTCACTTTTATAGGTAGTCGTGTCATCAATATCTATTGAACACTATGTGATCACAGGAATGCCTCTCGCGACTCAATGCCTTCCAAGGAAGCGGAGTGCCCTCGCATCGTCCTCACGGGTGGTAATGGGTTTTATGGGGGCCACATCATTGCTGCATTGCGCGAACAGTACGATGACTGTCGAATTTTTGTACTTGACCTGAAATCGCCATTGACGCCATCACACGACGTCGAGGAGTACTTTGCTGTCGACATCACTGCAGAAGAAGAGGTCAAGAAAATACTGGCCTTGATCCGGCCTCATGCCGTTGTCCACACAGCCGGCATTACCACGCTCCTTCATGACCGATATAGTCGGAGGATAGAGAAGCACCTCCGCCACGTCAATATCGATGGTACGAAAGTGATGCTGGCCGCCGCCAAAGAAGCTGGTTGCGAAGCATTTGTCTTCACGAGCTCTTGCTGTGTTGTCACAGACGCGTTACGCGGCTACTATGCCAACATCAACGAGGAGTATCCTGTCTCGACTAAAAGTCTCATGTATGGTGAATCAAAGGTAGGATTCCCCTGGAGGAGACAGTGATGTGTAAATGACTGACGCGTGTCGCAACTTAGGTCGAGGCAGAGCGGCTGGTCTTCGCAGCGGACTCGGCAGAGATGGCGACTTGCATCCTTCGACCAGCTGTCACCTTCGGGGAGGGCGAGTATGTACTGGTACCATCTGTCCATGCCTGCATTGCCAAGTTCGAGACGCCTTTTCGGCTGGGTGAGGGCAACAATCTTTGGGACACCGTGTAAGCCGCCCTGGGGTGCTCTGTCTCGTGTACGCAACTGACACGAATCGCAATCTAGGTACGTTGGAAATGTGGCGTATGCCCATGCACTTGCTGTGAGGAACCTACTTACGACGAGATCCGCGCATGGTGAAGCATTCTTCATCCAGAATAACGAGCCCACTACCTTCCGCGAGTTCAGTCTGGCGGTCTGGAAAGAATTTGATCACTATCCACCATTCGAGGTAAATGAATTCCGAATTATCTCTTTGGGGTCACTGAATCCGTGTTCCACAGCTGGAAATACCTGCAAGTCTCGGCATGATAGTTGGCATGCTCTCTGAAGCTTGGACGTGGCTAAGTGGTACCGCAACAACCATCAGTCGAGGCAGCGTACTTGATGCCACGGCGGTAAGGTATGCAAGTGGGGAGAAAGCCAGGAGGATACTTGGCTATGAAGCGAGGGTGAGTCTTGAAGACGGTCTCAAACGGAGTTGTAAAGTGAGTCTTCGCCGGGCTTCAGTGGGTGTTACTGATGTCATGTTCAGGAGTATGCGGATCGTCTGAGATCTGCTGCTGCTGCTAAAGAGACAGCGAAGCGCTGAAATGGGAGCACAACATAGAGCGACCGCTGCATGCCCCAGCATATCGATCTCGTGAAGCAGGCGAGATCGGCTATCTGGTGTCGGCAGTTGTTGCAGAACTGACGATGATCCATGGACGATGACATCCGGATAGGCAGGCAGTGCGCTGAGGGAAATTGCTTTCCATGCTGTACTATGATCCTGATCTCGCGCATTGCACGTGTTGTCATTCGAAACATTCAGAGCATTCCAATCTTCAAACAAAAGGTCGATTCGAGCATGTTTCGTTGTTGGCGCGCTCCCCTGCAGCCCGTCTTGGCGTGTTGGCTCGCATGAGCACGCCTCTTGTGATGTGCCAGATGTTCTAGTGTCCTTCTAGTGGCACACTCATCGTTCTGCAACTGTTTCCGAGAAAGCCCCTTTTAATGGACTTTTGTTTCTGGCAAGCGCACGCTGACGGTGCACTAACTACAAACCGCCTTCAATTTCACTGCTCTGGGGCCACCGAGCTTGTTATGATGCCCGAACAAGGATCGATGGTTCACATTTTGGGCACGAGCGGGGTCATGTCTTGAAGCTAGACTTGAGTGGGCTATTTATCACTCGTCGACAGCGCCAGTGGTGTAAGACGCCGCGCGCAGCCACCTGAAATGCTGATCGTGTACCTGAAAGATTTGACAGGTACGACAGGGCAAACCCATTGGAATCAACGACGTTGTCAAAGCTTATTTCTAGCCTGTTCTTGCTTATAGAATTACGCTGCTTACGTCGGGTCGACTTTCTCCAGGATGCCAGGCGTACGATGCGTATTCAACCTGGTGGAGCAGTGTCGCGTGGGATCTCGAGAAAAGGTGAGGCGAGACACTGCTAACTCTGCTTCACTACTTCCATTTCCACATTCGGTGTCTGTCGCTCCAGACATCCTCCACACAACACGCGATGACTCGAATCGAATCCCAACGACATCATTGTGGCAGTGTAGAATGGACGTCCAAGCTTATTTGATGGAAAGTGTCCCATCTCAAAGATCCACGAAACGGACTGGGAGCGAAGTCGGGCAGCCATGATTGCGCATTGCCTCATCTCCAAACACCTCGTGATCAGCATGCTCTGCATTGTACCTTCCATACAATACTGCGCACTTAGCAGAGTCGACTTCAATGATCGACAACAGTCTTTGGGCTTCAACGCCTGCGCGCAAAGACCTCTCGACGCTTAAGATAGCCGGGGATTCCTTGCCATATGCGCGACTCGTGTGCTTTGGCTGCTGCCTTCTGGAAGTCGAATGCTCATCTCGCTTCTTGTATAGACGTCGAAGTTGACTCGGCATGACGGCGGACCGCTCTTTTCGTCTTCGGTCCAACTCGTCATCCACGGCAAATTCAGGTCCACAAGCAGGATGGCGGTTTCAGCCCCTGCAATGAGTGGGACTCGGTCAGACGCTAGTACTGGGTTCCGGGGATTGTGAAACTTCTTTCCAGAACTACGTCTGGCAGGCACCGACGCAACGGGCATGCTTTTCCACGTGGATATCCCTGCAATATCTGATGATTCGATCCGTCGTCTCTTGGTCTACCATGTCACAGAACACGGCTTTGCTGGCAAGAACTGGCCCCGATATTGCCAGGCGACTGGCCTTAAATCCTCGTTCGCCCATCATCTTTCGACGAAGTGTTCTCGCCATTCACATCGACGAAGAGCATTCCTGCGGTTAGCAACCATGTTGATGCTTCCATCAACCGCCAACGGAATTCAGTCCAAGTACTCTCTACCATTCGAATCCAGATACTCATATCCTTACGATTTCGCCGAGCTAAAATCGGCAATGCCACAAATCGATGGACAAACCCACCAAATGGAAGCCCAAACACAATCCACTGAAAGCCCAGCCTTGTTAGGTCCGCCCAGGTATGATGCCCAACTCCTCGGCTGATGCATGCCGTGAAACCTGGCAATAATGGGCATCGTGTGACTGACACGGTTGCTTGTTTTGCACAGATTCTCGAACTGGCCCGCTTCTTATGATCCTTTCGCCTCTTCAACAGGACGCATGTCACCATCAGATCACCAAGAGCGTCTCCGGGCTCGTATGCCATTCGACCTTCAGTCTGCCACTCGCGGACTACCACGTTCAGTTCCTGACGGCCGTCGCCCTCTGTCATACGCTTCCACCTCGAGCATGTTTTCGAATGAACCTGCCGCCTTTGCACAGGCCGACATGCCTCGATCAAGCATTGATGACTCACTACGCCGCCAGAGTCAGGAGATCTACGGCGCTCGGTCCGACTCCCCAGGCAACGGGAGCTATGGCGACTACGACGACAACGCGAACCGCAGAAGCACAGATATGAGTCGAGGATCTGCTGCACGCTTCCATACTAGGCGGCGGCCATTCAATCAGGACGAATTCGACGGTCCATCACAACTACTTCCTCTTCCACTTCCTCAGTCCGAGGTATCTCGATCACAAGACCTGCCCACGCTTCCAGTCAACCTCAACTCTCAGGAACAGGACGAGATCGTGCAGCACGTCAATGACATTCTGTCGCATTGTGCGTTTCACTTCGTCGCAAAGTACCAATTTCCGATCCCTCTCGAGCGAGACAAGCCACGAGTGCGTGCGCCCAATGACCGCGAGTGGACTGAGTGGGCGTATCTCTTGAAGCGACTCGCGACAAAACGACGGATTCCGGCGCGGGTCTTGTTCGACAACCAGATCAAGCAATTTGTCACCACACTAGAGAACTCTATTGCCGCTAGGCAGAACAGAGACCAACAGAACAGAACACCGAAGGACGACAGATACATCTTGCAGCTTGTCAGTTCGGGTACGCAGGTTGCAAAGATCTTAATGGACTCTCAGGCCATGGAGCAGCTGGATAGCCTTTACACCAACACTGAATCGATAATACTGGAGAGACGCGCAAGAGCTCGATTCCAATAGGACACTCGAGACCATCAAAGTATCAATGACGACCGCACAACCTCACGGTCTTGATGGGATATCTTTCTGTGGACACAACAGACTCGAGTATGCTGCGCCTGACGCCCGAGTATTCTAGGCACACATAATGAGGTTCATGACCAGGGACTAATAGACGTGGAGCATATACAGCGGGCGCATCGGAGACAACTGCATTGTCCAAATCGGACATAATGAGGAGCGTGGGCTTAGATAATGGAAGGAAGCGAAATAATACCCACTGACGAAATCGCATAAGGTACATAGCATACGATGTGGCGCTCTAGAAGCGCCGACCATACTGATTGGGATTCAGTTTCTGCATCCAACACTTGCCCAGTCAATATGACTTTTCTCTCTGTGGGCTACTCCATGTCTTCGCATCGCTGAATCCACATCTGCTTCGAGAGTTATAGCGGCTGGCTCTACCATCTGGCGAAGCTCGGAAGTACTGGGACCATTCTGCTTCCATGCCTATTTACCATTTCCTTGCCCCGATCGCTCCTGCCGACCTTGACTGCAACTGCCGAAGGCAAGAGCCATTCGCGCTTTACCGCGGCGTGTATGCTCGCACCATATTCATCCTCTGCGTCTTGATGCCCAGTTGACAGCTGCATCGCAGATCTCGGACATGACGATCTCTTGGGCACACATTCGAGAGAGACCCCTCGACGCCTCACTCTTGGGGTCCAGGCCCAGACGCAGTGTCAATAGCACTCTCCAGAAAGCTTTTTCGCGAGCGCTGCTGTGGCAGAATATTGAAGAGTGTATCGCTGAAGGTCCGCTACCGGTCCATACAAGGATCGTCATCGCCGGCCTACCGCAGCAGTGTGCATGTCGAAGACTGGAGCCATAGATGTACTTACGCTCTTCTCACTCGGACACCTCATATAGCATGAAAACAACTACCGGTCCATACTCAATGACATAGTCGTACGCCAGCACGATGGCATCGTAGTCTGTTCAGTGCGGACTTAGAGATCTAGGCTTTGCTTACCGTACTCGCTTGTGACGCAATATGTCGCATCTCAGATGAAGCGAAGTGAGCGGTCTCATTACATGAGGCTGTGACGAAACTTACTTCATATGGTCCAGAGGCAGTATCAATGGGTCCGCCTGCCCCGGAGCATGTTCGAAGACGTGTTGTCGTTGTGGGAGGCCATGAGTCTGCGACTAGACACCGGTACAAGCCTCTGAAATTGGGCGCTGGTCAGCTAGAGTGATGTCAACCGGTGTTACCAGGAGCTCCGCGTCAACCGGTGACGCATGAGTCCTAGTCAACCGGCCTTGTGTAGAGCCAGCCGTGGGTCATCCGGGCTGCACCCGTTCGTTACCGGCTCTTCCTCTTCTGTGTGGTCGGTTGCAGCACTAACGCAACGCGATGGCCTGGACCCAGGACAAGAGCCATAAATACGTCGTAAAGATCGTTACAGCAGGTAGAACCACCTCAACAGGATTCGACCTAGCTGGCGCTGAGCAACGCATCTAACGCGCGACGCAGTCGTTCACAGCTCTCCATTGCGGCACGTTGCCCCTACCCGATGGCATTCAGATATCCTTGGCTCAGGTGAACTCATGCAGAGTCTCCTCACAGTGCTCACGCGCGTTGCCAGAGCCCTTTATGCCGCCGAATGGCGGAACAGGTAGCGGCGTCGGTGACTTCGAAGTGGTCTTCTTCGTTGCTGAATGACCAGCGTGTTTGGACGATGCCAGACCCGTCCTTGTTTGCGCCCACCATGGCTGCGGTTTTTGCAAAGCTTCGATGTTACTGTCTGTGCATTAGTAGGTGCGACGGCGGTCGCCTTTATACATTTGGACATCGAGCTGACGGTGGACGCCCTCGTCGAGGTAGTCACCTACATTCGTATAGTTGGCCTTCGTGCCACATAGGGCCACCCTTAAATGATATTCGTTCTTAAGACTCAGGACCGACCGGTCACACAACCTTTGGCCCCAGAGGCTGTGACTCATATAGCTGTCGCCTGGTTCGCGGAGGATACGTCCAGACGTTGAGATAAGTGGAATATACTGGAAGCCCGAACAAAGAACTGGCACGACCAGGGCCCTATCCACGAATTCCACTGCGTGACGTATGAATCTTGAAAGCACAACGGTAAGCGGAGTCGAGGCAGTCTGCCCAGGAGATCTCTCGTCGGTGCATTGAAACATCCATAGTCATAGTCACCGTATCGTGAAATTGCCTGGCGTTAGAAATGAGCCATCAATTGCTTCATCGAGCTTGCAAGCCTCCTTGCTCGAGTCGACCTGCAATGATGTCAAGCCTCTCGACTATGCTAAGGACATTGGACATGTTCCGATGCTGAAACCTCCCATTCCGCCGGTCTTCGGACAAGCTATGCATTCACCTCCGTTGCTGTCTCACCTGCACTCGCCACTCCTTTGCACGCATCATTCCTTGTGCATGAGTTCTTGCATAGCAGATAAAAATTCCCTCAGACCCTCCTCCGTCTTTGAACAACTATCATCTATGCAGCGGGTTCCACGCACCAGTGACCTGGACACCAGGACTCGGATGACCAGGTTGGATAGCATCGTTGATGTGACATCTAGTAGCATAGCCATCACAGCCGCCATTGTTCATGTAGCAGGCTGGGCAAACCGTCTCGTCCATTCGGCAACGAGGTCAGCATCCATGTCCATTTGGGCGAGATACTGGTGCTGGAGTGCTTGCTGTTGTTGTAGGCGCTCACGGATGACTCGAACTTGCACAGGAGTAAGGTTGCTGCTCAACTGCACCTGAATAGGGTTGTTCTGAGCGAGGGTTCGAGCTCTCTGGAGCCGAAGCTCATATCGCTTCTCTTTGGTCCGTCGCCACATTCGTTCCCGCTCGGCAGGGCGAGCATCCTTGACGTATTGCCTCGAGAAGAATTCCTTGCGAAGACCGCGAAGACCGGTCAGAGAGCCTTGATTGTTCAGGATGACGTAGCTGCACCAGAGGCAAACCTCGAGTCCACAGCCGCAGTTGCGCATGAGATACCTCGGTGCATCGTAGGCGCAGGAGTCGCACATAGGTGGCCTTCCCGTCGTCTCGACGATGTGATAGTGGCTGTGATCGTCTCTGCGGAGACGACGATGAGTGCAGTCCAGCAGTCGAGCGCGCTGCCGTTCCATCACGCTTTCGAAGAGCTCTCGCTGCTCCTCAACAGTCAATTCACGGTTGTGGACGCGGTGTGCCTGCGCTTCGAGCCAGACCACTTCGCGCAGGGTACGATCTAACAGCATTGCCTCGTCGAACATCGGACACTCGCAGGTCTTCCACAAGTTGCCACATCTGTAGCAGAACTCAGTGCTACAACGGCACCTGTACCCGTTAGCTGATGATCTTCACAAGGATGGAGTACTCACGTCATGTGATAACATCCATGGGTAAGCTCGATCAGCGCAGAACAACCTGGGCAAGTGTTCCAACCGTTGGCAGCCGCCGCAGCTTTCAAGTCTTCATCTGGCTCGTCGATCTGGCAAATACCTTCGTGCTGTCTCTTTCGACAGTGCATGCATGTCCCTTTCCCACAAGTGGAACACAACATATTCTTTTTCTGCTCCGATTGCTCGCCAAGGACTCTACCATCACAAGAGTCGGCGCAGAAGACTGGACGGGTGTAGGAGGCCTCCATTAGCCAATTCTTGTACTTCTTCACCAATGTGGCAGGAAGAATTGACTTGATGTTTTCGACGGATATCTCCTGCCGACAGCACTGAGCTCGATGCCCGCCTTCAAGAGCATTTTGCACAATGTACTTGATACACACGTCGCAATACCAGTGAGAGCATAGAAGCTTTACCGGACTGTATCTTGCTCGTGGATCATAGCAGCTTGCGCAGACTTGTCCATCTTCCCGATCTTGCTCGCTCTTCAACGTCTCTGGACTGTTCGGGTCCTCGATGTAGTCCTCGTTGGCGGAGCTGTTCTTCTTCGTCCGTGCTTGACCTGCTAAATCGATCCGCAAAAGCTTGTCCACGATTGAGGGCTGCGAGGGCTTGCAATACACGCAAGCTGCATCTCCTGCGTGGTCACATGCCGATGGGATTACTACGCCGGCAAGCCTCACTATGAAGCGGGTATCATGCTGACCATTGCACTTGTCTGTGCCGCTGGGCACTTGTTTCCGTGGCATATCCGCCGTGGACGTCTTTCCTGGCTCTTGCTCGGTGCCTTTCTCGTTGACATCCAGGATCAAAGGGTACTGATCGACTGACCCACGACTCTCCGCAGTGGCAAGATCATCGTTGTATCGTGTCTCACAGACATCTGAGCGGTCTTCCCTCGCCATTTCCAGCACTTCATCTTCCACGAAGGGCGACGGAGGCCAGCGCTTTGACTTGTGCGTTCCTTCTGACTTCGGTCCCGACAGTTCGGGCTGATGACAACCTGGTCGAGCGCTTGTCGGCCAGCTTATGTCGCAGGATTCATCCGAGGTCTCGGATTCAGCAACATTGTCATCCTGCTCGATGACGTCTGTGACCCATGTTGTGACACGGTCTGATCGTTGACCGCCATCCTGTGACGGCTCGACGGCGGTGGAGTCGGAGCCTGCATAGTTGATGGGAGGAACGCTGACTCCATACATATGGTGCTGGTATTCTTGGACGAAGTGTGTGTCCAGGGCTAAGGTTGCGGTCAGAGCTCGGGTGTCATTACGGTCCTCGCTGGTCATTCTTGCAAGTCGATGATCTCGTGCGGCGAGACTTTCTTCGAGCTCAAGACTCTCGAGGAAAGTCTCATTCTCGAAGTGTGCGATGGCAGTGCTGTGTGCGAGGATGCGGTCTTCGAGAATCAGAACCTCGCTCTCGATCCGAGCAAGTGAGCTAGCAAGTGTACTGTCCAGGTGATCGATGCCGATGGAGTCGGCAAGCCACTGGCGTAGTGTGTCAGCGCGCTGAACAAGCTTGTCCCGGTCCGCTTGGAGCGTCGCAAGATATGCGTGACCGAACTCAGCGGCCATCTTGCTTGTTGCTGCAGGGAAGCCTTCGACGCCTCGATCAGATTGTGTTGGAAGGAAATACAGGATCCTGACGACGAAGAAGCTTTGACAGGGGGTGGGAGGATTGAACAAAAAACGGTAGAAAGCTTTCAGAGAGAAGTCGCAATGCTGTGCGAGCAAAGAGTGGAAAGTGGGGCCATACAGTGACTTCTAGGAGTGAATTTGCCTGACGAGGCAACAACTGTCCTGTCCAGTTGCAAACGGGGGACTCTCCAGAGGCGACCACCGGAAGTCTCGAGGCCAGGTCGCCATTGCGCGATGACACAACGGCAACATCAATCTGCTCTCGGATTGTCACTGCGTATGATAGTGCTCTGAAGCGTCGCCAGTGTAGCGCCAACTGACCCCTTCGTACTCACTGAGAAGGGTCTCAGGCTCGGCTCAAACTGGCGGTCCTGACCGTAGTGATGTTGTCAGTACCTCTGCTTATGCTTACAACAGTCCATGCTTTCCAGTTACAAAGCGCTGGACGCGTGATGCACATGGTCAGATCAGACTTCCGTCGACGGCATGATCGTCCTGGAAGCGCACCGGAAGCCTAAACATCATTGATGCTGGTCAATTACAAGCTCCTCGGCGGCCAGGTCGATAGTGTCTCGAAAGCTCGTCGCAAGACATCACAACGATCGTCTTTGTGAGATCCCGGTATGCGCATGGAGACAAGCCTTCCGGCGATGGAGGACGACGAAGACGAAGACGGCAGCTCGACTCGACTCGACACGATTCGACACCACCCACCCGAAACCAGCGGAGAGGATTCCTAGTGTGCTTTCTTGAGCCGCCAATTCCAGTCGGATGCCCCTCCCACGGGCTTATTTGGTCACCGAGACATTTCAGCGCTGTCCGCACCGCTAACGTATCCAGCATGAGTCGGGTACCGAATACATTCACAGTCCAAGTTCGTAGCCACGTCACAGTACCGGACGAACCATCGATCTAAATCGACACTAGTCAAGTTCCGAAAGTGTTTTGAGATCTCGTACCTGCTGGCTGGCGGTCTTGTGAGTGTCGGAAGATTGATTTATCCACCGTTTGGTGCTATAGTCCGACGATGGATGGGTATCATGGCTTCAAGCAACTTGTGGCAACGGAGTTGTATTTGCGGCACGTTCATGTTGGTGCTTATGCCCTTGCCACCATTGCGAGCGTATCAATAACATCAGCAACGGCGCATAGTCTGCAGGCGGTGAACGATGGACCAGCTGCGGACGCTAGCACGGCGCCACCAAATGCCCTAGGGAGATGCTTGCCTGTCAGATCGATCTCGCACCAAGATCATGCAGGATGGCTGTTAGATCTGTCCGAAGTCCAGAGCTTGGGCCGGAATTCAGTTTCCGTCTATATTCGTCAGACTTGACGACTCGAACGACAGGCCTCCTGGACGGTTCTTGAGGCTGTGTCGTGACCAGATGCCGCATCGAAAAGGATCTGGCGCCAGGCCCGATCGTCACACCAGCGAGATTGAGTTTGAGATAGTCTTCTTTGGAATCAGACTGACCACCGGAGTAGTACTCACACATTTCGTAGGCAGGTGAGCTGATAGCTACGGATTTTCGCTAAAGTAAGCTTTGCCATGGTGTATGCATTGCACTTGCTTCGAATTTGCCGTCCATTGCACTTGCAGCAGCTCTAGGGCTATCCCAGTAGCACGAGTCTAGTTAGACGCACGGCAGGTCCAGTAGTTCATAGCCTTGTGACTCGCGAAATGTGAACTCAGACAGCGAGACGCCTAAGCTGCTGTCAAGGCGTGCCGAAGACACTGTCACATTGCGAGCGGGTTTACAAATGGTACCTAGGTAGTGGTAGCGGCCCGCAGCGCATGTTTGTATCGTTGTTCCGTGTGTTGAAAGCTTTTGAACGAGAAGAGCAGATATGTAAGACGCCAGCTCAGGGGCAGACGTGGTTGCGATTAATGTTGAGTTGATCACGATCTAGCCCCGGAACATTAAGCACTCGCAGGCGGCAGGCGGCATGGGGAGTTACGACCCGTCGAGCCCGTGTCTTGGCCTGTGGTCCTGACGATCTGCACCCTCTTCTCGGCTAAACAAGGCTTACAGGGGCATCGCGGAAGTCGCCAGCCCTGCAGATCTGGTCTGACGTCCCCTGCAAGCGCCCGAGCGGTCTCTGGGGATCCTGGCCTGTGCATGGTTGCTCAGTGCCAACCAGCATCACAATGAACGATCTGATGAGTGAAGATTAATTGCCGGATATTATTCTTCCAAGGTTGAATATGTAGCTTCAAGAACATTTCATGATTCATGACAGGCATGCGACTTCAGACTTCAGTCGTCGATACGTTTCGCTAAGTTCGCTTGGTTATCGTGATGACCCGTCTCGCCCCTTACCAGAATGGCGCTGCGCATGCTCGTTAACGCAGGTTCTGAACAATCGGACACTTCTCACTTTGATCTTCATTCGCACCGGAGAGTTCGGCCGAATGCAATATCACTGATACTGGCGCGCTGGCAGAAGCGTCAGGACCGAAAAGCGTTGAACACCTCGTGTTGCTGATGCCTACCCTGGCTTGAAAGAAGCGAGAACGTCTTTGGTATGGGGTTTCCAAATTGGGATTTCGGGAGCTCGCCTGTCTCAGAGCACCGGCAACATGTACAGACGTGGTCCTTGAACAATCATAGTATCTTTGCAGAAGCAATTGCCATCTATCCTTCATGACCTTCGGTAGCCACGGGCCAGCAAGAAGAGGGCGGTTGGCTGTCGACTTTACTGCTAGTGTACTGCCATCGACAGGCATGAAGGCGCAAATGATAGCCCCTCGCAAGAAAAGCCAAATAAGCAGTAAAGGGATCGTCGAGACACTGACGCAGAAGCTGACCATCATTCACGTGGTTGAAGTTTGGACGATTGACCCGACGTGCATTCTACGGCCCTTCGGGATCGACGGCAGCATCCCCATCATTCCTAAGACCATTAGTTCGCACTTGACCTGCGCCAAGACGTAGATCTCTGAACATCAGCAGGAACAGGTTTGGCAAGGATAGCCTCGTGGTTTCTGCAGGCTGTCAAGCTGTCAACGAGCTGCTAGTGGTGCTGGGAAGTGCCGTAGACGAGCGTCTCGGCTTCAGACGTGGCTTCGTCCCGTCAAAGCTCTACGGAAACTAGCTACTAGTCGAAAACAATTGCATGGGCGAAGTTGAGACATTCTGAGTACCTGGCGGGTAGAGAGGTGATCCCGCCAGTGCTATGTATCTGGTGAAACAGTCACCAGCCCATACCATCGCGTCTCCTGAAGTCGCTGGGTATCCGCACAGTCGGGCGGGCTTCGTCGCCCTTCTCAGCCACGAAATGCCAGAGTAAAGATTTTGCCCGAAATTAATCTCACCGCTCTGTTGTCTGAGATGCATAAGGATGCTGTTGTTCTCCTCTGGATTTTTCCTCCCTTTCAGTACATACATTCCATAGTTCGTGAAGTTGCAAAGTTGCCTTGCTCCGCTGCTAAACCGCCTGCTTGCTCGCATTAAAGATATATCCAAACCTTGGTCTCGCTGTAATTCAAATCATAGCATAAATGGATGGCGAAATAACGTCGTTCATGAGGACGAGGACGGTGTATGCCATTTGGCCACTAATGCTTGGGCAGCAGCCAGCTCCGCCCTTTCCCTGTCATCCAGATCCTCGAAGCCTGCACTGGAGGTCAGACCAGATTTCGGGTTGACCTTCCTCCTCTTGTGGCGAGAGGCGTGATCGCTTTCAGGATCTCGTAGTAGTTCGTCTAGTGGTGACGGATGGTCTGCCGAGGATTCGGGCACTGTCGTCTGAGTCCAGCGCTTGACGAGCTCTGCGCTAAGCAGCTTGCGGTCCGCACGGAGGTCGGGTGACGATGCGACTGACCGTGAGCGCTTGACACCTGCAGAGCGTTCGAGGGCGCTCTCTTTCGAAGGACCAGAATCGTCTGCGGGACTGCTTGAAGGCAAGTACGAGTCATCTGTCTCGGCATTCTTTCGAGTATCTCGCGCCGTTTGTCTTGATCCGCTCTTCCCTGATGAACCCTTGCTACGCTCTCGCGGTCGTCCACGGAGCTTTTGCCGCGCAGCAGCTGCACCCGTTCCATAGATGCTTGTGAAACTAGGACGTGCGTCTCCGGCTATATAACCATACGCTGTGTGCCTCGAGGGGTTGACATCGCCCTTTTCGAGGTTATATGCATAAGCATCTGCACTGGGGTCTGAGCTCAAGTCGACGTCTATTGTCAGCCCACGGGAGGACATTGGTGAGTGACGCCGTCCGCGAACAGGTCCGGCATCTGATTGCGTGTCACGGTCATCTGCTCCAGAAATCTGACCAGCCATCAACAGCGCCTGCTGAGATCTCGATGGTGCGTTTGCGTCGTGCGAGGGTGATCGTCGTCTCGGCATGCCATCGTACCATTGGCCCAGATCTGTATTGCTACGCCCGTCAACTTGGGTGTGTATCAGTGTTGAGGGCTTTGGAACCCGATCAAGCACAGCAACAGGGAGCGGGTCCGACATAGCTTCCTTCCGTTCGCGTGTTTTTGAATATCTGCGCATCCGCGCTGCTCTGAAAGAACGACCCTTGAGCACTGGAGAGCGGTCAGCGTCGTGGTGACTGACTACTGGCAGACTAGAAAGTCGCTTCTCGCGTGATTCGCCAGAGTGAGGGCGTATGATGCCACGAGCTGATCGGATGTTGTCCAGCGTTGAATCAACAAGTGCTTGAGATGGCCGATGAGAGGTCATTGAGGAGTGTGAAAGATCTGGAGAGAGGACATCTTCTGCCGGCGTTTTTGCCTCAGGCGGCGCGTTCAACAGATCTGCAATCGATACACGAGTTGAGCTAATGCTGGTCAAGCTCGTTGAAGCTCTTGAAATATGACTAGACCTCTGGCTTCCGACGGTGCTTGCTGTCGATGGTGAGGCGAGACTGGTATAAGCTGGAGACTGCATCGCAGCTGGTCGAAGTATTGGTGCTGGCGAGATCCGAAAGTCGGGTAACCTGTCGAGGACGGCTGGCACAGGCCCCATGCCTACTACATCGCGCCTGATGTAGTCCGTGGGAGGTGCCGACATGGTAGCGTCGCACCCTACAGGACCATGCGCTTCAATGTACCGATCGAGCGTATCGATTGCTCCCTGTATTTGATCCAGTTTACTGGTGTAGAAGTCGTAAGAGTGGCGGATTGCCGAGTCCTGACTGATGGCAAAGCGACGATCCCCAGCGTTGCCAAGCAAATCACTATTCAACAGACGGCCAACGTGGTCGAAAGTGCCAACGGCCCGGACGTTCGTCTGATCAGGAGGATATATGAGGTCGCTGAAGTGAGCCGATTCGTTGTTATGTGGATCAGCAAACTTGGACCAATTGATCATGTTGAGTTGGAGATGGCCATGAAGGTTACACAGGCAAAGGACAAGCACAGCGTCCCTGCTTTATGCGACCATAATTGCGCAGCTCGACCCAAAATGCCGGAGAGCTTAGTAGATCCGGGAAAATGTTCCAACAGTTCGATTCGATGTGGTTAGAATGCTGTTCAATTTGACAGTTGCCAGTGTCGCAGAGTGAAATTTTGGTCCAGTGGATTAGTGGTGGGTTTTGAGGTTATGCGGTGGATCGTGGCCAGGAACTTCATTCGGGCTAAAGACAGGATTTGAGCGGCTCAATAATCGTGCCCAAGGAAGTGAGTTGTCAGACGGCGCGGTACGCTGCTGCAAAAGGACGACTACGACATCTATGTATGGCTCCTTAGAGTTGGTGAGCGGAGCGCAAAGGATGTCAGACGTCAGGGATCGTTCCGGATCTGCAAGCTAACGAGCGACTCGCTGTAGAACGTTTGGATATGCGGTAGTCAAACTGAACGTGCTGCTTGTCGTCGAGCAAACGCTCGTAATTGATGCAAAGGAATAACGATGAAAGATGGTCGCTGGAACTCAGAAGCGTGAGAAAAAGCTGGAAACAGTGAGCCTGGCCGAATAAGTGATGCTGCAGATGACTAGAACAGAACAATGAAGTGGATCCACTGCCACATGCACCAGCGTGCGAAAGACGAATAGTTTCGCTTGTACAGCAAGCCAGCTGGGTAGGCCAGGTCAAGACTCAGCGCGACAAGCATAGAGAACAGTCAATGAATCACTGATGCAGGCCCAGGCGTAGATCGAGCAGTTTGAGAATTAATCGACCTTGAGTTTATTAGAGTGCCGTAAACTCTGAACAGCTTCTGTGTACAAAGAATTTAGACCTGTTCGTCTTCCTGGGCGGCAAAGCTAGTATGTTACAAGGCAAGCCGGGCTGATCGAGGCGGTAAGACCAGGGAGTGATTGGCGCAGCATCCTTGCCGGTCATCAAGGATCGCTCTTTGACGACATACCGGACGGACGTGCTATCCAAGGCGGGTCTAGCCGTGCCTATCGCGAGGTGCCGGTGGTAGTGATGGTGTGGTTCTACGGGGCTTGTTCGAGGGAATAGACTGACACTAGTCCTCAATTACACTGGACAGTGGCCCCGCGTGGAGTCCACGGAAGAGGGTCGCGTCGCGTGCCGCTGAGATCAAAGCATGCAGCGAAGTCTGGTAATTATAAGATCGTGATTTGTTGTTCGAGTCTGACCCGTTCGTCGTACTGCAGCTCGCCTGAAGCTAGGGTCACGGCTGAAGAAGGCAACTCCTTCACGAAAAGTGATAGCTTACTTGACTTATTCGCGGCGGTGCCGAGATGAGCGCAGAGGATCGTCAACATTGTGCTATTCCTCGACGGTGAAACGGGGATGTCGGACGTTGACAAGCGACAGGGCCTGGTTGTTGAACATGTGGGTCAGTTGTCCGCGAGGTTGTCAAACTCCAGTTTCCTATGCCGCGAACGCCACGCATGTGCAGCAAATTGGCAGTGCGTTTGAGAAAGATGCGGAGACTTGCAGATTCTCTCTAACAAGACTAGTCGATCAGCATGTCATACCAGGAACTTCTCGGCTCGACGCAATCCCGTCCCTTATAGCACAGCCAGCGGAGTCGCCGCTCAGGCTAGACACCCTCGTTTTCATTTTAGAATATCCCTTTTATTTCGCTATTCAGGCCTAACGTGCAAAGGGCCAAGGGGCAATCCATGTTCTTCTCTGCTGCACCTTGGTTCTATACGCAGTCTGCTCGTTGCCATTGCGATGCTACAACATCGACGCATATGCAAACCTTGGAATTGATAGATGGAACCCGCCCCGACGCACTTTGTAGTGACACGTTTTCATGGAGTACAGTCATTCCCCCGAAAACAACATTGAAACGAATCGGCAGAAATCCCGTTCGCCATGAGACTGAATGGCATGCGGGTCCTACATTACATGCGTGCCTTGCAGGCCGCAGTGTAAGGGATCGAGCCTGTTGCTTGGGTCGGTCGACACCACCAGTCTTTCTTGTGCTTCTCGTGGTGAAAACCAAGACGCATCATCAGCTGCGACCTTGTCGTATCGAAGCAAAAGTGCTCAAATGAATCGTAAGCTCTGAAGACAAGGTCGATACTTGAATCAGCCACCAACTACTAGAGCGCTCCGTGCACGGTCCACGCTCAACGGTACTTCTCGCTTGTGTAACGGAAGTTGCCAACAGGCAAGCCGATCCCGATCGCAGATCGGCGCCAAGACACAGTCCCTTCTTCTTTCCTCCTCATGGCAGTGGTCGATAACATCGCACTAGTAATCCTGGCACAGTGTTCCTTGATGCTAACAACTAGGCTGCCTGGTCAATACACGGTGCGCTTGAGCGCTAAAGCATTTTCTGTGGCCGTGTCTCGAGAAACGCCGAAACTGTTCGTGCATCACGGGCCGCCTGTCGCTCCGGTCGAGGCCTGACAACGGGATTTTCACACCCTTCCGAAGCGGGAATTCCTGGAGCGCATTGCAACTGTGACAAGCCTGGTCCATCAAAGCATGATCACCATTGGCGCCTCTAGATCGACAGCGTCCAGCAATGGACCAAAGCCTCAGCACAATACAACAGCATGTCTGGGCAGCACGACTGCCGCTGGAAATACGACTAGCAGCTGCAGAGTGTCGCATCTACGATAAAGCAGACCCGTACCTTGTAAGTGTGCTTCAGCATCTCAGCTTAGGTCTCGGATCTGACGCCTGTCTTTTCTAAGGTAGCATGGCCGAGAGTTTCTTACATCCCGCTCCTGCTGTCAAGATTGCATGCTTTTTTGCCCCCTATCTCATCGAGGATCCGGAATCCATTCCCGCAGACTCTGGCTACCTAACACACGACGGCGTTCCTCTGAAGTGGCACCTACCATTGGGCCTGCTGTACGACCTTTACCTGTTGTCTGTGCGTGACACAGATTCCGACCATCCGGATGCCGCCCTAACGCCTTTCAGACTGACACTTCACTACACGCCGGATGCGGCCAGTGCCACCGTCAACGCCATCAGCCCTGATCCAATTAGGATGCATGACTTCTTCATCAATGCTGTCAAAGAGGCGGACTTTGTAAGATCCGGAACCGCGAAGCCGATTATGAGCCTATCAGCCGCCGACAGCAGAGCACTCTGGTCTTCGACGCAGGACAATGATCTGGCTACCTTCTCTAGGGTGTATCAAATCCTCATGCCATCAAGCACGCACTTGAGAAACATTCCTTTGAGGATTTATTTACCATCGTCGACAGAGGGCGAAGAGACAGCTCAAATGAAAGTCCTGCAGGCTCAAGTTGCCCCATGGGCGTCCACACAGTCCATTACTTCAGTTGCACAGGCCAGGAACACAGGCCAGGGTCAGCCGCAAACGTTGGGTAGTGCCTTGCACACTCTCATACCCAGTCTTTTCCCATCAAGACGCACGCCGTTGATTGCCAGGCCGATTCTTCATGGTGCTCATTTGCCATTGACCGCGAACCTGGATGAGCTGGCTAGATGGGCTTGCTACGCCGATGGATGGTTACACCTCGTCATTGCAGTGAACGGCTGACTTTTCTGGTCTCAACACGAATTGATATCCCATCAGGATCGAATGAGGAAATGCGGCGCCAAGAAAATGCGGGCGGCTTGTACCACTTCAGTGCCGAGGCCTGCCAAGTACCGGATATCGTCATCGACAAGCTGAAGCAGCTCACGTCTGAAGACTGTCCGCCTAGCTGCTTCACTTTTCGTTCAGACCCTCTACAAGTTATTGTTTGTCTCTCTCAACACAGTCACACAGATCTGTTTCCAAGATCGCTGTGGTACATTTCGTCGCAACAGACACTGGCAAAATGCAACACAGCTACATCATACTGTCGCTGCTACCGGCGTTGGTGGTCAGTCAGACTGCTCCTCAATTTGTAGTCCAAGTCCAGAACAATTTGCCAGTAACCTACGAGGCGTCTAACACAGCGGTCACGCCTCCAGGAGTACTCCTTCCAAGAGATGGTTTGCTATTCACTCCGTATAGAGAGCAGGCCTAATTTGTACAGATGTCCTCGAGGCACCGACCGTAACCCTCCCTGAGTCTGAGGCTTCAAATGGAACCTACCTGTTGTTCATGGTTGACCAGGATGTGCCTCGCAACGGGACCACTGTGACTCTACTTCACTGGCTCCAGCCGTCGCTACAACGGTCTGGGAGTAATGCGACCCTCACAGCAGCCAACTCGACCATACAAGGCGCCGAGTATAGGCCTCCCACACCACCCGGCGGGTCGGGCCCTCACCGCTACAGTTTCATTCTCTACGACCAGCCTCTCAATTTCAGCATCCCATCTGAGTACACTTCAATCCTTTCGACACGTGTGGGGTTCAACCTGACTGCCTTTGGGGCAGCCGTTGGACTTGGTCAACCGCTGGCCGGAAACTACTTAAGAGTTCTCAACGGCACCGAAGCAGAGACCTCATCCGCCGCGACCATGACCGGGACTGTCGGAGTAGGCCCAACCGAGTCGCCTACCGTAACCGCATCGACGACAGGTTCGGCATCGAGCACAGCCAGCAACAATTCGCCCAGCGACGCCACTACTGGTGGTGAAGCTTCAGCGACTGAGTCCGCTCCAGCACCATCGGAAACAGCAAGCGAAGCGAGCACGTTGACCAAGGGCAGCTTGCGAGACCTTTTGTTAGGCCTGGCACTTGCAGCTGTTGGAGCGGGGATGTGGATGGCTTGAGGTGGCGTGCGTCGCAGACTCAATCATACTCAGATCTTCATAATTCAAAATACTAAGCCCTCACGACCTGACAAGAGTAATGACCTGATGACAGCTGCACTCTTACTGAAGAGTCACCTGTCCATGAACAGAAGAACACCCATTCCCACAAGGAGTTCTCAGCTATCTGGAGGGAACTCAAAGATGTAGACCAGAGAACGACGCTAAGATCCACTGTCCCGGGTTCAATCGCGCGGACACGGGAAGAGCAGCCAACGACACGTAGATTCTCACTAGCATGCGGTGCCCTCTGGATCGCCCTTGCCGAATATCTGCGAGTTCTGTTGCATATCACCAGTCGGCGAATGTAGACCGCCTCCGATACATTGAGATCTGTGCTTGGCTTGGCAGCTGACACATGTGTCTCGTATTTATATCCTTGACGATGTTCAACATGTACTCCCCAATTGTCCACAATTCATCTGGTATCATGAAGACCCGAATTTCCACGATCAATATCGCTTGAGTATACGATCCTAAGCTATGCTCAGAAAGATCTTCGATGCGCTGGGACAAGGTCAGCCAGCAGAGCCACTCCGCCAAGTGCCCATAGGTACGCCCTGTGTCCCTGCTTAATAGTCCGACTAACGCAACCGAAGAGCAGCTCAGCCATGAGTTGGCTCTGCGATTCGCAACGAGGTGCTACAGCCACCTAGAGATTGCACACTACAAGGACAACTTCAAATCATTGGCCGAGCATCAAGGTGATGTCGAGTATTGGAAGGAGGACACCCTCGCTCGCTTTCTTGCTCTACCGGAGCCACTGCGGGCGAGCCCAGTCATCTTTCAGATGTGCAGCTACCTTGGAGCGTTCCCATTTCCGATGCTTGCACCATGTATCCTCACCAGGGAAGCCATGATCAAGGTCATTACTATCATGACAGGCCGCTACAAGAGAATCCTGAAGAGGGGCAATCGTGACAAGGCGAAATTGCTCTTCCGGAGTCTAGCCGTGTTCGATCGTAGAGCCAGCGTTGCATCACCGTCCGAGAAGCCGAATATGCAAGCTATAATCGACGAACAGAAGCCAGATGAGATGCTCGAAGAGGAAGCCGCTGCTGGGAAGCGCGCTCAGGCCGGCTTCGCGATTGATGAGCCGGCCAATGATGGAGAGGAAGAGGATGATGACGACCTAGCGCTGGCCGCACTAGACTCTCTCGATGCAATTGAGGTGTTCAAGCAAGATCAGATCAAGACGATCGATCGGAAGATGAATCATGCTATCATTCCCACTGATAATTTTCGGAGGTATGCATCTGCTCCAGCTCCGGACCCTGTACTGTATACTGATCTAGCAAAGGTTGCTAATGCTCCTGCTTCTGTTCGGTGGCATTCGCGCACAGAGCAATCTCTCCGAGTATGGTGATGGACTAGATGGAACGAAGGTGGAAGCCCTCGAAGATGCTGCCAACGCCATCATTGAAGCTTTCGATCCCGACCCTTTACTCAAAGGCATACGATACTCGAACTTCGTCAAAGTGCTCTCCACTACAATGCCCGATCTCTTCGAGCCTCTAAACCATCTGTTCGAGCACTTCCTCTTCAGCAGAAACATCGACCTCTCGAAACACAGAGGCGCTGTCTCAGCTGCAGCAGATCTACTGTCTCACAGACGACGTTCACCCATTCAGCCGCCAGACGACAAGTCCAGCTCACAGATTTTGACAGACACCCGCCTTTCCCAGCTATCCATGTCTATGCACCTCGCCCAGAACACCTCGTCCAGTCCAACGAACATCTACAGCTCACACGCCCGCTTCCACCAGATCTTCAGCACCTCATCTCAAGGCACCTCACTATCCTCCTTCTCCCGCTACGTCATGTCATGGACAGCACCAACTCTAATCGTCATCTCTGGCACCTCGACCTCCTCATCCTTCCCACAATCCACGCCCCTCATCTTCACCGCATACCTCCCCCACCCGTGGATCGACAGCACGCACAAGCACGACGCACCCACTATCCTCACCTCAGAATCATCAGGCGAGTCCCCACCACTAGCCACGCTCACTCTTCTATCACCACGCCACAGCATCTTCCCCTCCACCCTACGCCCACAACAGCCCTACTCCTACTTCAACGCTCGCACGGGCATAGCGCTAGGATGCATCATCCCGCCGCAGCCACGCACCGGGGCGCCAAATCCACCGATCCCCGGCGCCGCAAGCGTCATCATCGACACTGATCTCAGCGAGGGCACATTCGTGCATGACCTCGAGAACGGCTCCGGCGGCGGCTTCGTGTGTGACCCCGGTCTAGTCGAGGCGCAGGGCGCTTCTTCGTCGTCGGCAGCCAGCGGCGGCGAGACGAAAGCGCCGTGGCCGCGAAGGATCGACTTTGAGGTTGAGGGGATCGAGGTTTGGGGCGTCACTTTCGATTCTGGGAATGAAGATGATGAGGACGGGGTAAAAGAAAGCGAGGTGGAGAAGCAGCGGAAGAGGCTGGAGTGGGAGGAGAAAGAGGCAGAAAGGCGGAGAGCGATCAATTTCGGTGGTGATAAGGATGGAGCGAGGCATTTGCTGGAGATGGCGGGTTTGGTGGGCAACGGGAGTGGGCAGGGGAGGAGTGGTGGGAGTATGGGGTGAGCACTGTAAGGCAGGACAGATATGGAGGAGGAGGGACCCGCGATCGTGGCTTCGGTCGGCATCAAACGCTCACATCATTTCATTTTGGTCAATCCTTCGACCAGGGCATTGAAGTCTTGCTTCTTTCGCTTCTTCTTCGGCCTCTCATCATCCTCCTCATCCGCATTCACGTCCTCCTCGCCGTTGGCTGCCTTCAATACACCTACACCTACGTCTACTGATCCATCAAGCTCCGGGACTCGCCAAACTCCCACAGTCCCATCACCATGCGCCGACAACATCTCGAGCCCATTCTTCGCCTGACTGTCGTCGCCCTCCCTCCAGACCATAGCATTGATCCTTCCTCTACCCCTCAACCGATCTCCTTCACTTTCTTTCGCAACCCTACCCTTGAGCACGCCACCCGTCTGCTTCGTGCCCCTCACATCGCCTTCTCTTAGCCCAAACACGCTGATGTCGCCTTTCGAATCATCATTTGCCCAAAGGAGGACTTCATTGACGGGCTTACTACAGTACCCAGCGGAAGCTAGCAGAGGCCCAAAATTGCCCATACGCGCATTCTTCAGCCGCGGCCCAAAGTGAACGAGCTCGTTTCTCCCACTGGCCGCGTCCCAGACTCGGATTCGTTGATCATGGCCTGCGGTGACGATCTTGTCGTGTGGATGAGACGTCCATTGCACACTGGTCACAGGTCCAGAATGAGCCTGTGCTGAGAAATTGAGAAGCTCGCCTGTCCTCCCGCCCAAGCGGTTGCGGTCCTTGAGGGATACGCCGATGGCGTCGTCGAGGTCAAGGGATGCAAAGACGGCGTTGGCGCGGCGTATGTCGAAGAAGAAGACTCGGCCATCGGTGGCGCCGGAAGCGAGTATATGTTCGTCGATTGGCGACCAGGCCAGAGCATACACGGCGCCGTTGTGTCCCGCGAGTGAGTGGGTCGCTAGGCCGGAGCGCAGATCCAGCAGTCTGATCGTCGGGTGAGAAGTGCCGGCGGCCACGAGAGGGGAAGTACTGGGTATGGGAGAGATCGCGTGAGTATGGACGGCATGGTCGAGATTGAACGAGTGGACTGGCTGAAGGGATGTCGGAGTGATGGACGTGAGCATTACGCTGTTGTCGTAGGACGTGCTCAGAAGCGTCGAAGGTATCGGATCAAAAGGGTAGATAGAGACCGACGTCAGCGCGTTTACATGACCGTGCGAGCCACGAGTGAGCGTAGCGAGCGGATGGTAAGTGGCGGTCTGTGAGGTTGGCGGGTTGCCCTTCGATAAATCCCATAGCCGAATGCAGGCGTCCGCTCCGCCAGTGGCGAGAATGTCTGCTCGCAGGGCGAGAGCATTGACACCATTGTTGTGTGCTACATTCGCAGAGGCTGGAACATCTCCAACGAGACGAGCCAGAGAGAAGGTTGTACGCTCGTCATGTTGGAGATCATAAATCGTAGACTCGTTGTATACCTCTGAAGGGCGGGAGAGGAAACAGCACCGAGCCTATGCCCGAGATGCAGGTGGGATGTGTTCATGCGACTGCATCGCAGACGACTTGTTCCGGGAGCGAGTGACTGGCAGCCGCGATAGTGCTCCGGGACTTGAGTAGACACTGCCTTGACCAGTAAACCTGAAGCACCAGAGAGAATCAGCACGAAGGAAGGCACCAAGACGGGATGCCTGTGACGTCAGATGTGCGTATTTGCCTTAAAATCGACCAGTGCCCCGCTCGACACACATAGTCGCTGTTTCTTATGCTCACAACCCTCATTCCTCTCGTTATTTTTACTTCGAGAACATGTCTTCACTCCCTCTGATCCGAAGTCGCTTTCCCCTCGGAACAAGCTAAGTCCATACGCATTCTCATTCGCTGCTGGACAGGTCCGGTAGAACGTTTTACAGTCGATCTTGAAAACCCATATACAGCGCTTCTCGCATATTCATCTCTCTTCTTCTTCTGATACTAACAGCAGCATTCTTGTGACACGTTACCATAATCTAGCAGTATCAGAATGGCAGGCAAAGTGCTCAAGATCGCAGTCATACCCGGAGATGGCATTGGCGTAGAGGTCATGCCATGGGGACTTAGATCACTGGAAGCAGCAGCCAGAGTCTACAACCTCTCCCTCGAATTCACACATTTCGATTTCGCATCCTGCGACTACTACCAGAAACATGGCGATATGATGCCTCCCGACTGGCAGGAGACACTTTCCAAATTCGATGCTATCTATTTCGGTGCCGTGGGCATGCCTTCGCTAGTACCTGACCACGTCTCGTTATGGGGCTCACTCCTGAAATTCCGACGGTCTTTCGACCAATACATCAATCTCCGCCCATGCCGTCTCATGCCTGGCGTCAAATGCCCTCTCGCTAACAAGCAGCCTGGCGACATCGATTTCTGGGTCGTCCGCGAGAATACTGAGGGAGAGTACTCGTCCATTGGCGGGCGCATCTTCGAAGGCACCGATCGCGAGACCGTAATCCAAGAGACGGTCATGACCCGCACTGGGATCGACCGCGTCCTGAAATATGCATTCGACCTCGCCCAGCGCCGGCCCAAGAAGCATCTCACCTCTGCCACAAAGTCCAATGGCATCTCCATCACCATGCCCTACTGGGACGAGCGGGTCGCTGCCATGGCTCCTTCATATTCCGACGTCAACGTCGACAAGTTCCACATCGACATCCTGACCGCCCTCTTCGTGCTGAAGCCCGAGAAATTCGACGTCATCGTTGGCAGCAACCTCTTCGGCGATATCCTCTCCGATCTAGGCCCTGCATGCACGGGCACAATCGGCATCGCGCCATCAGGAAACATCAATCCTTCGGGCGAGCACCCGAGCTTGTTCGAGCCCGTACACGGCTCAGCGCCGGATATTGCTGGTCAGGGCATTGCTAATCCGGTGGGGATGATCTGGGCTGGGCAGATGATGCTGGAGCATTTCGGTTTTATAGATGCGGCGAAGGGGATGCTGACGGCGATTGAGCGAGTGTTAGCTAAGGGGGATGAGCAGGTGCTCACGGCGGATATGGGCGGGAAAGGCACGACGGAGGGGTTTGGGAGGCGATTGAGGAAGAGATCATCAAGGCCGGGGAGAAGAAGTGATCAAAAGGTTCGGCGAGAAGAGAGAATGGGACTATACAGACCGACGGCATAATGCGCGCATGTCCTATGTATCACAAAGTTGAGTTGAACATGGCCCTGAGGCTATCGTCCGCGAAATGGCATTGGTCTTTGTACTCAAGCTCTGTTTCACGTGTCTGCCTGGTGACAGCAGGACCAAGAAACTTGAGACATACCCACTCACGTGACTCGCGAATATGTCCGAAAAGGGGGCTCGAAAGGGGTTGCCGAAAAGGGATCTATACCACGAGCCTAGCATGTGGCATGAATATCACAGGTAAGTAGGTAGCAGCCGATACCTACGCCGTGGTTACTTCGCGAAACCGCAAGGCCGAATCCACCCAGTTTCTTGAGCAATGATGTGATCCGTTTTCGCTTTCGGCAATTTTCACGATGTACCAGATATATATATGCAAAGACCTCCCTGCCCGCTATGCAGCGGAAGGGTTGGCATTGCATTCTCGAGGTTCTTCAATACATTGCATCGCGCAGATATCGGCGCCCACTTGATTGAACGACTGGATCACGTAGACCTTCTGCAACGTCTAGAAAAGGTCGTCGATAGGCAGAATCTACCACCGGAAAGTTTTCTTTCGACATGCAAGGTCCCGTAACATGGACCTATCATGCCATCAAGAGACAACTCAACAAGGACAAGTCAGAGCCCATTGAACAGCGTGAGAAGTCAACTCACAAGGGACGATCATGTTCACACCGATCCGCGACCGAAGCCACCACCACCAGCAAATGCGAAATCTGCATCGCCGAGAAGAGTGCCGCACGGAAGTACAGATGGAAGCTGCTCCTCCTCCTCCTTCCGGGCTTTTTCGTGTCCAGCCTCGACTTGACCGTGGTGGCCACTGCTCTCCCAGCCATAGCCTCACATTTCAGTATGCATCCATCTTGCATAATCGGTCCTTGCTTGATCGACTGCTGACCACCAACTCCACAGACAAGTTTAACGAACTGAACTGGATCGTCACAGCCTTCACCCTAACCTCCTGCGCCTTCATCCCCATTTACGGCCAACTCGCCGACATCTTCGGGCGCTATGTCGCCCTGCAATTCTCAATGGTCACCCTCACTATCGGCAGCATCCTCTGCGCAGCTGCGCCCGCCTGGGGTATCCTTCTCCTTGGCCGTGCCCTCCAAGGCGTTGGGTGCGCGGGCATGAGCAACGTCTCGATGATCATCCTCGCCGATCAGGTTTCCCTGAAAGAACAAGCCAAGATCACCAGCATCTTCCAGTTCCTCAACGGCATCGCTTACTCCACCGGGCCCGTCATTGGAGGATACCTCACGCAAGCCAACTGGCGGTACGTGTTTGCGTTGTGTGCTGGCATGGGCGGCGTATCCATGATTTCGTTTGTCTTCCTCCGCTACGATCTCAAGCCAGGCACGACCGCTCTCTCAAAACCAAGTCTTGGTCCCAAATCTCTCTGCGCTCGCGTCCGGCTGCGCAACCCTCGACATCGGCGGTGCCACCCTCTTTATCGCTGGCGTTGGCCTGATCATCTTGGGCACCGCTTGGGGTGGTTCCTCGTATCCGTGGTCCTCCGCTGGCGTCATCGCGCCCTTGGTCATCGGCTTCCTTCTATGCATCGCCTTCGTCCTCTGGGAACGCGCCCTCGAGCCCAACGGCCTCCTCTCCAAGTCCTTGCCACGCACTGTCCCCATGATCCCCTTCGACCTTTTGACAGACAAAGACATCACCCTAATCTGCATCCTCGCCGCCGCCACCGGCACCGCCATCTACGCCGCATTCTACTTTATCGGGATCTACTTCACCCTCGTCGAAGGCAAACCCAGCGGCGAAGCCGGCCTGCAGTTGCTCTACTACGTCCCTGGCCTCGGCCTAGGCATATACTGGGCGATGTTCGCCTGCAACGTCTACCCCCGCCAGACATTCTTCCCGCTGATCGTGGGCACCGTCATCGAAACAAGCGGGATGGCGGCGCTGACGTACGCCGTCAAGCGCGCGGATCGGACGCTGGTCAATGGGATGATGGCGGTGGCTGGATTCGGGACGGGGTGTCGGTTCATGCCGGAGGGGCTGCACCTGGCGGGGATGTTCAGGAATCGGCTGGCGCCGGTGTATAGCATTGCTCGCTTCGCGCATCCCTTCGGGGGAACTCTGGCGTTGACTGTCATGGGGGCGGTGTTTCAGAACAAGATGGCTAAAGTCTTTGACAGTGTGGGAGGCGACGGAGGCTTCGATATGCACAACACGGCCTCGCTGGACGCGCTGAACGAGCAGAGCGAGGAGGTGCAGAGGGTGGTCCGAGCAGCCGGGGCGGACGCTGTGATGTGGGCTTTTGTGAGTGTGTTGCCGTTCTTAGGGTTGAGTTTGCTGGCGAATTTGGGGCTGGGGAATGTCTGGATCAGTAAGAGGGAGAATGCAAGGAACAGCAGTTCACTCGAGCGGGAGGTAGGGCGTGAGGAGGGTGGCGCTGAATTTGAGGACGGTGTCGTAAACGGCGGGAAGGTGCTCAGCGAAGCCGGCGATTCGAAACGTGCTGAGGGGGCTCGTCATAGGACGGTCATTGAACGTGATGGTCTGCCGGATGTGCTGGCCGGGGTGTATATTTGGGCCATCGCGCGGGGTAGGGTCAGGCAGGAGAGAAGGCCTGGTCCGGCGGAAGACGAGCCTTATCGACGGAGGGGGGTGCGAGTTGATAATGAAGAAGGCTCGATTGAGTCGCTGAAGCCGCGGAGGCTGGCTGAGAGGGAGAAGACGCGTGGAAATAGAGGCGGTGTATAGATACGAAGAGGATCCGCCGCCAAAGTGAATTCATGAGCCTTCCCAGGCGCTATCATTGTCATAACTCCGTCTTGCTAGTCAATACATCGTCTCTTTTCGCATGGGCAGCAGGGTCGAAGAAGCCATCCAGCTCCATGTATTCCGCTGCAAACGCAGCTGTCAACAGCGCCCAATCTTCGACCGTCGGGATATCAAGGTTGTCGCCGTTGTCGTCCATCTTATGCCAGACTCTCGGAAACTGGCCAGGTATGAGGTGCAGGACATGCACGCCTCTGGCGATGAATGGAATATGGTCGTCCTGCATGACGTAGCTCCTGAAGCTCGAGGTCTCTGACTTGTCCGCGTCCGGCAGCCAGGGTGCGCCGGTGGTGCTTTTGAACAAGCCCAGGCCTCGCAGTTTTTGCTCCAGCTTGGCCATGTGGACGTAGGACCAGTGCGAGGTGTGCTGCCAGGAGGGAATGGAGGGATTCTCTGCCGAGCCGAGTAGATCGAGCAGGACGAAGAGCTCGATGTCGTCTAGGTAGCTCTTGAAGGTGCTCATAGCAGGGTGCCTCTTGGTGTCCCACTCCGCAGCGAGTGATCTCGCGCCGTATATGCTGTCTGTGTCTGTCCAACGCTGGAATGCCTCTTCACCGTCCAAGAACAAGACTTGAATTCCTCTGGGCTCCTCGAAATCCAAGTCGAAGTCGTCTGTTTGCATCGAAGTCCATTTCTTGGTCAGCGCAGCATCGATCGCCTTGACGGCATGCATGATCATCGCACATGGTGCGGCCGAGTCGATCGCACCGATGAAGCCCTCCGGCTTGATCAGCGAGTCGTAGTGTGCCACCAGGTTCAAGCGGGCGACATTGCCCGGCCTGGTCCACGGTGGATCTCTCGTGGCAATGAAGTTGACGAAAGGCACCTCTTTGTCCCCATGTACCGGTGTCTTGGACGTCGAATTCTGAAATGTTATAGTCCAGTCTGGCAGCTCTTTCCGGAAGTACTGCACAAAATGGTTTAGAACTTTGAGAGAGCCCTCGGTGCCCGGCACGCGAGGAATCAGTATGGGCGCGAGAATAGAGCCGGTGTGTATATCGAAGTCGCTCTTTTGCGGGTGGGGAAGGCCGTTCTTGAGGGTGTCGTCCGAGAGGGTCGAGTATGCCAGGGCGGTGCACGCCAGCCATAGGCCGGTGCAATACCGCGACAACCTCATGCTATGAAAATTTCAGCCGTGGTCTCGACATCGATACGCCAGCAAAACGACAGCAAATGCTGATCTCATACACCACTTGCAAGTATAGATCAGTTTCAAATCGGCAGGACATTGACATCTCTTCGACTCGGCGGTGTCGGCTAACATTCCTGAATCGGCCACGCGACGTCGATCGCATCTTTGGACTTCTGCTCTGCCCATGAGACGAGTTGCGGGTAAAAAGGCAGCAGCAGCCAGCCTCTCAATGTCACCACCCACCTTCCTGATCCTCGAAGTCCGCGCCGCGTTCCGCTGCTCCGCGCGCCAACATGCTGCCACACGCTTACGCCCCTACAGCACAACAACATCCTTGCTAGCACGACTTCCTCCGCACAAGAGCACCTCGAAACCAAGCCCAAGAACCAAGCTCAGCACGCCGGCACAGCTCGTTTCACCAGCCAAGCAGCCACACCGCGACGATGCCTTCTCGAGCGGCTCCTCCGAGGGCACAAGCACCTCCACGGACCTCATGCCCGCCGATCCACGCCGCACATCTCTCGATACTGGGTCCGCGGTGACCATCCCAACCAAAGTGCTCCCGAAAGCGGAGATCGCTCCCGGCGTGAAGCTCTCGCCTATGCAGCGCCTGCACATTGAGCACTTGACACGACACCCTCCGCAGCCCAAAGCAGAACGAGTATTCAAAAACCACCTGCTCATCTACAACTTGCCGCGAGCGACGGTCGGGTTCATGATCTTCAGCCGCGTTGTGTCCATAGGCGTTTTTCTGTTCTTCACTGCGGTCTGGATACCCGCGTACTATCTCGATATCACGTCGGAGACTTCTACGAGTCAGGTGCCGCTGTATACGCTGCCGCTGATATGGGTCATCTCTGCCGTACCGGTCTTTATGTTGAACCACCTGACTAGAAGCATTGTGACGGAGATCTTCCTGAATTTGAGTGAGAAGGCTCGAAGGAGCCCCACGGCCGCCATGACATACGCTCGTAATCTGCCCAAGGACGCGAGTCTGCAGCTGCGCTTTCTGCGCTGGACGGGCATTCCAGGCTCTATGGAAGTCAAGTTGGCGGAGATTCGGCCCGCTGGTGCTGCCGCTGCAGCACCAGCTACCTCTGGGTCCGTATTGGGGGCCAGCAGGCCAAGCGCAACCAGTGCCACACGCACACTCACATCAAAATTGCCCAATCCCACGGCTTCATCCACTGGCCGCACCAACTGGATCACAAACCTTCGTAACGCCTTCAGCAGACCCGTCAACTTCACCATCCCCATGACGCCGCGTCTAAAGTCAGAATCCTCAATCTGGAAGCCCTCCCTGACAGAGTTCTTCGTGCGGCCCAAGACAGCGGCTGGGAGAGCCGCAAGAGACACTATCCCGGGTTTGTGGGAAGTGGTGTATAAGCGGCTGACGGGCATTGAGGTCAGTGCGGTGGGGAGATGGCGAAGCTGATGTTGATGAGCGAGCTGCAGTGGCACTGGGAGGACACGATCATGGTGATGCTACCTGAGTGACCTATCCACGATATCTAGCTAGCTCCCCAAAGTCGTCCCATTCCACTCCTCGAACACATCTTGCCAATTAGGCACCTCCCAGTCCTGGTTCAGCTCGCTACCGTACAGAAAGTGGTCCCACGTATCCGTGACGTCGTCAGCCACATTAAAAGTTGTGATACTTGGGTCCGCGTCATAGAAGTTGATGGGTGGGAGCATACTGTCGTTGTCCCAACTGGGCGTCGGCTTTGTTGCGTCTGTGAACGTAGGCATGACAGGTTCGACGAGGGTATCGTCGCTGAAGTTGTGGCTGCCTGCTGACGCAGACAATTCGCTCGTGGAGGGTGGCGAGGGCTCGTGGGACTGCGTGTCGGGAAAGATCGAGTGGTAGAGGTCGATGGACTGGGCGTCTACAGCGCTGCCATCTTTATAGGCTTCGGGCGCCTTAAGATCTGTTTGTCGGTTGGCCTTTGGCAGTGGTGGTATCTTCGACTCGATGCGGATGAGACCAAAGTATGGTAGGATAATTGAACGGGATTGTGGTTGCTGATGTGGCTCGGCAGACTGGTCGCTATCGGTCAGGAAACTTTCTAAAGTCTCCACGACCTTCAGACCCTGGCGACTGATGCTCCCTCCCTGTCCGGTGCTTCGGTATCGAAAGATGTCCTTGACATTGTCCAAGACGGCGAAGTCCTCGTCCAGTGATACGATGCTTGGGTATACGCCATGCGTGATCCCCAACAGGATGCCGATGAGCAGCATTGCGGCCGTGACGACGCCTTGAAAATCTTCGCAGCTGCAGATGTATACCGACAGGCCAGGCGTGCCACGAAGCAGACAGAAAACCTTCAGCATCTCCCTACAGCCCTGCAGACACAGGTTTCGAGAAGAGCTCTGGTACTCCCACTCGCTGTCAGCTTGTAGCATGTGCGGGAGATGCAAGAAAGCTTGGATTTCCCAAAACCACATCTGGGCCATCAAGTGCTCGTGAGCTAGTTGACTAGGGCTTTTGACGTGTTCGTCGGCGTCCCACCATTCGTTGGGCATCGCAGCCGCACAGGAAGCCATTTCCGTGGCCATGGCACAGGTGAAGCTGGGGTCCGAGGTCTGACCTTGCGCGTTCTGCTCGTTGATTTTGCCTGCGGCGACGGCTGTGATGCGGCGGAGGGCGCGCATCTTGGTGTCGATGTTCATTTCGGGATCGAACAGTGTCTCCTTCGCGAGAATATCGGTAAAGGACTTGTCACGAGCGTGTGGGAAGCCGAGGATAAGGGACATGAAGTGATCAAGCTCATATATGCCACCGACCCAGCGTTGTCGGTAGATCAAGTCATCGGTCGGGGCGGTCGATTCGTTCTCGAAGTTCAGGTGTTGAGACAGGAGGATGGCGTGGCGAGTCCGAAGCCAGGACTTACGAAGCTGGTCACCCTCGGCATGTGTTTTGGCGCGTTGAAGAGCGAGGAGTATGCCTGCCTGTCCTTTGTGTTGACGGCTGAGGACGACTTGATCGATCGCAGTGACGATCCTGTCGTATAATTGTAGTGGCGAGGCTGATAGTGTGAGGGTGATATCATCGATACCGGGACGTATCCGGTGAAGTGACATCGCGATGCAGATCAAGCCCGTCGCATATACCACAGGGTCACTCGATTCGAGTCGCTCTTGAACGAAGGATCGGACTGTTGGGTCAACTCCCCCAGCGCGAAGCACCCACTGCTGGTCTCGCCATGAGATCCACCATTCACATGCTACATCGACGACGTCTAGAATATCAGGGTCGTGCGCAATAGTCGACTTCAACTTATCGAGGTCTGACATGTCCTTATCCGCAAAGTGTATCGTCGTAGTAGTCTCCACTTGTGGACCGTCCGCTATGTCGCTTCGCGTGATCTTGTACTTGTTAGCTCTTCTTGCACCAGAGCATCGCCCATCGCAGAATATTGGACTTACAACCTCGTTATTGAACAACCTGAAAAGCGGACTGGCTGTGCTCGCATGCTCTGTAAGCTCCGTGCCGTCCACGAGACTGTTTTGCACGCGCTCAAAGGAACAGCCATTCTCGTCTCGTTGGGCAATAATTGCTTGCTCGCTTTGAATCTTTGCTAGCCTTTCGACCATTGACTCAATTCGCTTGACTTTGACCTTCAACAACGAATCCGACTTTGCAACCCTTGCTGGGTCTATGATGTAGCCTTGCGCTATGCATTGCCGAGTATACTTCGTGCACTCGTTGCAAATCGTGGCCGATGCTGAGGTCCACGTGCACTTTATCTTCCGCCGGCGACCTGAGAAGTCATGATGAGGATCACGAAACGCAATGAAAAGTACTCACATTCGCGACATGAGCGCGTGCCCCTTCGCATTGGTTTGAGACTATCATCTCCGGCAGGAGCCATGGCTGGACTCAATACTGAACAGTGGCAAGAGCGCGATTAGTACGTAAGCAAAGCAAGAACCAGAACGAGGCGAGTTCATCACAACGCGCAGTGTCGGAATTTGCGCAACGCTGGCTCACGGTCTTAGCGATTCAATGCTGCTTAGTGCGCAAACCGACTATTTGGTAAGAATCAGAATGGCTGCACAAACTCGCATGGATGAGATGAACACTTGGGCATTGGTGATTTCAAGTAGGAAGCCTCGTCGAGAGGCGCAAGGCTGAGCTATTCAAAAGTGGATCTATCTGAACCTTCAAGTTCAGACGAAAGTTGTTTTCCATTGCTTGAATCTCTGCATCGTCATAGTACATCACGTTCTTTTGGCCCACTAGCTCTTCATTTCGTTTCTTGTACTGTATTGCGCGTTTATCACTTTCTGGTCTTTTGATGTTGCTGCAGCAGTCCGCGTTCAGGAGTGCTCGGAGTCGACCCGGGGCATGGATCTGTCCGAGTTGTGTTGAACGGTCTCGAAGGTCTGCGTCTGACCCTGTGGCATCGGGTTCGACGATCAGGACACCAGAATTTGGCCGTCTCAGGTGGAGGCGAGATCAGCCAGGCGTCGCAAATGTGCATCAGCAACGGAGATGGATCACCAGAAATCACCTCCAGAATATGAAGGCAGCGGAGGCCGATTGGCAGAAGCGTCGCAAGGATATCAAAAATGGCCTGAAGAAAAGTGTCGTCGATGTCTTGGAGGAACGGGGACTCTTGCATCAGATCGTTGGGTAAGTTCTGATCCCTACAGTACGTTCTATCCGTGATCGAAGTTAATCTACGGCAGTACGCGTGAAGATCTGAAGAAGCTACTCGACTCCCGCCGGGTGGGTGTCTACTGCGGTGTCGACCCGACTGCCCCCAGTCTACATGTCGGCCACATGATCCCGTTTATGGCACTCTCCTGGATGTATGTCCACGGCTACAGCGTAACTTTTCTTCTCGGAGGCGCGACTGGCAGGATCGGAGACCCAGAAGGTAGGCTTAGCGCTCGACCCACCATGGGGAAGCTCGAGCATAGTGCAAATGTTGCGATCATGCACACACAGCTCAAGCGGTTTGGGGAGCTGATGGAACGCTATGCGGGGCGGAGGGGTTGGACGCACGAGTGGGCATGGCGAAGATCTCTGGTCAATAACTCGCGCTGGTACGAGAAGTTGACCTGGCGCGAGATGCTGATCACAATGGGACGGTATGTCCGCATAGGTCCCATGCTTGGACGGGATAGTGTCAAGAACCGACTCGAACACGGTGACGGCATGAGCTTTGCTGAATTTGCCTATCCACTTATGCAAGGATGGGACTGGTGGCAGATGTTCAAGACCGGTACGCAGGTCCAGATTGGTGGTGCAGATCAATTCGGCAACATTCTTCAGGGCGCGGAAGCGGTCAAATTGACGGCGAAGAAAGATGTCCCTTGGATGGAGAAGATGGATAAGCTGTTCAAAGAGGAACCAGAGCGCAATCAGGATGACGTGACGGAGTGGCCCATGGGATTTACAACGCCGCTGTTGACCACAACGAGTGGTGAGAAATTCGGCAAGAGCGCAGGTAACGCTGTTTGGCTCAATGAAGACATGACGAGTCATTTTGACCTCTATCAGGTGAGAGTGGAATGTTCCTGTGCAAGATGATCATGGCTGACATGTCCAAAGTTCTGGCTTCGTACAGCAGACGCCGACGTCGAAAAGTATCTGAAGATGTTCACCTTCCTGCCGATCCCAGAGATCGAAGCTGTCATGGTCGAACACCGGCAGAACGAGTCGAAACGAGTTGCACAACACAAACTTGCCAAGGAATTTGTCGAGTTGATCCATGGTCTTGAAGCGTCCCAGGTTGCAGAAAGTCAACATCGAAACTTATTCAACAAGAACATGACGATGGCCCAGCTGGTAGAGCAGTCTGAGCAGAGACAAGCGAAGATCGAGCCGCACCCATCGGTGAGCACAAATGGGCCACCTCAAGATATTGAGAAGTACGGAAGGACAAAGATGGTGCTCCCACGGTCTGCGGTCATTGGCCGGCCAATGTCGAACGTCCTTTGGTCAGCAGGTTTCGCTCAATCCAAGAGCGAGGCTCAGCGCTTGATCAATGCAAAAGGCGCATATATTGCAGGCCGCAAAGAAGCCAAAGGTGAGGAGACTGGTCCTGGCGACTCTCTGGCGTACGTCCCGATCACAAGCCCGCTCTACGACGCGTGGAAGCATTTCGTGATTGACGAGCGTCTCTTCGTACTGCGAAGTGGCAAATGGCGGATCAAGGTCATCGAGATCATACCGGATGCCGAATTCATCGCACGGGGCCTGAAATGCCCAGGATTCGACGGTACAGCAGCAGCACTTAAAGACGAGCAGGCACATCTATCTCCAGCGAATCCGAAAGATGATCAACGCAGACGCAGCACAGATCTGACCAGCATTGAGCGGACACCAGACCAGGAAGGGTGGACTGGTGTCGGATCTCCAGGAACAGGCGGTAGGAAACGTCAAAAAGTTGAACAGTTCTTGCGAGACACGGGCAAGTTGCCAGTACGCCTGAAGCTGCGATCAAGGCGCTGGGGGAGCCCGGGAGAGGACGATCGGGCGTGATCTTTCGAGGAGGTCGCCATGCGGGACCGGTCCGGTCGCAACAAGGGTGACATGCATAGAAGATCAGGCGAATGGGAGTGTAGATAGTGTCACAACAGTGTATAGCTAATAGCATTTGACGAGTGCGAGGTTGGATCTTAGTGGGACCATATAGACAAGGGATATAGTAGGTGCCTCGGATAGAAGCCGCATCCTATGCTCAGGACTGAATCAAGACCACCGTAGCAGGCCCAGGTGAACGTAGATGTGGTAGTACTGTCGAGTCGCACCGAAGGACTCCAGGGCTCACCGATGACTCGGAGCCGCAAGGAGTGTGGGGAAGGAAGGAACACCTTCGGCAGGGACGCGCCCTGCATTTTGGACCGCGTCACGCGTTTTGGGGATCCAAAAGTTCGAAGGTTGCACCTCGATATTGACGCCCACCGTTTTTCACGCCTCACTTTCTTCTCATCTGCGAGCTGATTGGAGCAGTCGTTGCGTTCACCATGCCGCCCAAGAAAGCTGCAGCAATCAGCACTCCAGGGCCACCACCTTTGAAGAAAGGTGCCTCTGGGAGTGGACAGAAGACGCTGCTCGGCTTCTTTTCGAAAACACCGTCTACCGGTCCCTCGACTCAGAGGAGTCTGCCAGAACGCAGCTCACCTCGCAAGAATCTCAGCAACAAGTACGCCGCACCTGTACGAGGATCTCAGCTCACGCCTCAGCCAAGCAGTGACGCAGTCGTCCCTGAAGAAGACGAAGTCGAAGAGTCCGTCACAGTGCAGGCAAGCTGCTCCGCCGTTGCCAAAGTTGGCCTGCCCTCTCCAGTCTCAGCTGACGAGGCGCAGACTAATGGAGCCAATGACACGGAGCAGGCGATCCTTGGGCAGATCACACCTTCCCGCAAGGCAAAGAAGAAGATCAACTATGTTGAGAGCGACGATAGTGACGATGACGTTTTCAAACCGAGACCTAGAGCTAGAGCGCGAGACGAGAAGCAGCCGCCTGTGAAGCGGAGGAAGGTGTCCGAGAGTGCGGACGAGGATGTCTACGAGCAAGCAGATGACGCTGCGGAGGACGATGATGATGGTAAGGTCTAAGATACGGTCTATTGACGAGGTATTGATCTTGAGCAGATATCGACGATTTCGTTGTTCCTGACGAGTCCGACGACGATGTGAAACCAGCCAAGCGTAAGAAAGCCAGCAAGTCTGGGAAAGGAGCAAAGTCCGAGGGCTCATCAACGCATCTCACTGTGCCTAAGATCAAAAGCGATGACGAAGAGGATGTTGACATGGACCTCGAGGCATCGACGGCAGCTCAGTGGGCCTACGACCCGGACAATCCACAGCCGCTCCGAGCAAGGCCGGTCAATCTGCCCTCGAAGAAATCCGATCAGGATAGGAAGCAGAAGGCTCGTTCTGAACCTGAGAAACGGCATGCTTGGCTCGCGGACATCATGGATATCGATAGGAACAAACCTGGCTCTCCAGACTACGACCCAAGGACTCTGTATATCCCACCGAACGCTTGGAGAGACTTCTCTGCGTTCGAGACACAATACTGGGAGATCAAGCAGAAATGGTGGGACACGATTGTGTTCTTCAAGAAGGGCAAGTTCTACGAGCTGTACGAGAAAGACGCCACCATCGGTCACCAACTCTTCGATCTCAAGCTCACTGATCGAGTCAACATGAGAATGGTGGGCGTGCCTGAGTCGAGTCTGGACCACTGGGCTGCTCAATTCGTGGCAAAAGGCTACAAAATTGCTCGTGTCGATCAGCAAGAGACAGCATTAGGTAAGGAGATGCGAGAGCGCGACGACGAGAAGCCTAAGCCGAAAGTTCAGAAGAAGACCGACAAAGTCATCAAGCGTGAGCTCGCGTGCGTTTTGACTGCCGGAACGCTAGTTGATGGCACAATGCTTCAAAGTGATATGTCCACGTTCTGTGTGGCTATCAAAGAGTCAGAGATCAACGACTTGCCAGCATTTGGCATCTCGTTTGTCGACACTTCGACGAGCCAGTTCCACATTGCTCAATGGATCGACGACGCAAGTCTGACCAAGTTTGAGACCTTCATAGCTCAAACACGGCCTCAAGAGCTGCTTATGGAGAAAGGCTGTGTGTCCGTCAAGGCCATGCGAATCCTGAAGAACAACACAGGACCGACTACCATCTGGAACTACTTGAAGCCAGGCAAGGAATTCTGGGAAGCTCACATCACTGCCAAGGAAATCGAAGCCAACGACTACTTCACAGACGCATGGCCAGCTGCTCTTGAGGAGGCGAAAGACCAAGATCTTTTGATGTCTTCACTTGGTGCACTCATCCACTACCTGCGACTTCTGAAGATCGAAAAGGATCAGATCACTGTTGGTAACTTCGTCCGCTACGATCCTATAAGGAAAGCTTCGACCCTTGTTCTCGACGGTCAGACTCTCATCAATCTCGAGATCTTCAACAACACTTTCGATGGTGGTGTTGACGGTACCTTGTTTCAGCTGCTAAACCGTTGCATAACACCCTTCGGCAAGCGCATGCTCAAGCAATGGGTTTCTCATCCACTGATGGACATCACGAAGATCAATGCCCGACTGGATGCGGTCGATTCACTCAATGCTGACACCAAGGTCACAGATCGCTTCACCTCCCAGATGACCAAGATGCCTGATCTAGAGCGTTTGATCTCCAGGGTACATGCCAAAAAGTTGAGCGCTGAGGATTTTGTTCGAGTGCTTGACGGGTTCGAGCAGATTGATCATACGATGTCACTCCTGAAGGACTCCGGCGGTGGCAAGAATGGTGAAGGCGTCATTGAACAACTCATTTCTGCAATGCCAGAGCTCGGCCCTCGGCTCGAGTACTGGTCGACTGCCTTTGATCGCAAAAAGGCCCGAGACCACGGCGTCTTGGTGCCAGAGCGCGGCATCGAGCCAGATTTCGATGAGTCTCAAGACTACATCGAAGAGATACAGAAGAAGCTGAATAACATACTTGAGAAACAGAGGAAGGACCTTGGCTCCAAATCGATTCACTACAGAGATGTAGGCAAGGAGATCTATCAACTCGAGGTACCAGTTAAGATCAAGGTGCCGAAACACTGGGACCAAATGTCAGCCACACAGGCAGTCAAGCGCTACTATTTTCCTGAGCTTAAGGTTCTTGTTCGAAAGCTGCAGGAGGCTCAGGAAACGCACGCTCAGATCGTTGGGCAGGTCAAGGACCGCTTCTGCGAACGATTCGCCGAGCACTACGAGATCTGGCTTGCATCGACTCGGATTATTGCTCAGCTCGACTGCCTCATCTCGCTAGCAAAGGCTTCACAAAGTCTCGGTCAGCCATCCTGCCGCCCTGAATTTGTCGAGGACGAACGCTCGGTCATGGAACTTATCGACCTCCGCCACCCCTGCATCATCGATAATGTCGACGATTTCATCCCCAACGACATCGTTCTCGGCGGCAACACTACCAACATGACGCTGCTGACGGGCGCCAACGCAGCCGGCAAGTCCACTGTCCTCCGCATGACCTGCATCGCAACCATCATGGCCCAAGTCGGCTGCTACCTCCCCTGCACCTCAGCCCGCCTCACACCCGTCGACCGCATCATGTCTCGTTTGGGCGCCCAAGATCACATCTTTGCCAATCAGTCGACCTTTTTCGTTGAACTCGCCGAGACTAAAAAGATCCTTACTGAAGCCACCTCCCGCAGCCTCGTGATTCTAGACGAGTTGGGCCGCGGCACATCTTCGCACGACGCGTCGCGGTCGCGCAGGCCGTGCTGCATCACCTCGCCAGCCAAGTTGGGTGCTTGGGTTTCTTCGCCACGCATTATCACAGTCTAGCTGCCGAATTTGCATACAGCAAGGAAGTGGTGACGAAGCGGATGAAAATCTTGGTGGATGAAGAGGAGAAGAGGGTTACATTTCTATACAAGCTGGAGGAAGGGGTCAGTGAGGGCAGCTTTGGCATGCATTGTGCGGGTATGTGTGGGATCCCGAGACGGGTGATTGCGCGGGCGGAGGAGACGGCGGAGGCGTGGGAGACGACGAGTCGGTTGGGACAGAAGCTGATGGGGAAGAAAGTGAAGGTCGATACTGATGGAGCAGTGGGAGAAAAGATGGTCGTTGGTGAGGTGCCGTTGGGGGTTGTCAGTGACATGGCGGCTATCATGCGAGATGGCGATGATGAAGAGGGAGCTATGAACGCTGAGGAGCAGGAGCGTCTGCTGAAAGGGTTGATGGGCGCTATTGACCGGCTGTGAGCTGCCCAAGCCAGGACTGTGTGTCGAGGCATGCGACATCTCGAGGTGCGCGGCGCGGGGACCGCAGACGAAAAGATCGCGCCACGGCGAAAAGCGGGAGCCAGATTTCGAGACGGTGTGTGGGTGACGGAAAAGCACAATATATGTTTCGATTCCTGTATCAATATCTGTCGGGTTGCAGCAAAGCGAAGCGAAGCGAATGGCGGCGAGCTGCCAGATGAGAGGCCGATGGATTACATTGAGGCCGGAACAGATGTACTATCCTAGATTCCAGCCCGTCGGTTCAGCTTGACGACTATGACTCGTCCTCTTCCTCTGACTCGTATTCACTGTCGCTGCTATCACTGCTCGAGCTGCTGTCACCCGTCCTGCCCCTCGTCGATGCCGTTGTGCGGCTTCGGCCAAGGCTGTGCTTTGCAGTGCCCGCCACAACCTCACCACCCCTGTCCGTCCCTTGCTGTGATTTCCACCTCGCTCTCCCTCGCTTCTCTCCCCGCCTCAATGTCTCCAACCGCTTCACCTCTTCGACATCCACCTCCGGGTGCATCCCGCGAATATGTTCATATAGCCTTGTACCTCTATTGAACCCTTTTTCGTGGTGTCGTGGACAGTCCTTCACGGGGCAGAAGTAGTCCCCTGCGCCACTTCCCCCTGTGGTGTAGCCCTCGCCCTCCGACGAAGGAAAATGCGGTGACGACTCTGGCAGGAACATTTTTCTGGTGTTGTGTACTTCCTGGATGTGGCGGCGTAGGTGACTCAATTTCTGGAAGGACTTTCTATGGCGCTTGCAGTGTGCGTGAGGACACTCAAGGCCGATGATCTGGATGTCGATGCCCGAGCAGGTTGCATATTGAGATTTGCAGCGAAGGCAGGAGGTTGAGTTCGAGTTGGGATCGGGGTCGGGTTCACATTTCGTCTTGTCTCCGTGGCAGAGTTTGCAAGATGCGCCGTACCGGATGCGTTTGACGGTAGCTGGTAGGGTGATCGACCTTCATCTTCTTGGGCTGGGTCTGTGCCGGCGAGAGTTGTGGATGCGAACGTCTCCTCCCATGTGGGTCCCTTGCTGGTTTCGTTTGGCTCGTGGAATGTGCGAAAAGTCATGTTCTCGTTGAACAGGTTCGCACACTTTTCGCTGACTCGGCCGACGACGTCGGTGTCCCAGCCGATTATGGCGGCCATGCCGACTATGTCGCTCCAGTCGCGGAGTCCTAGGGCTCTCTTGGGTGGCTCGGCTGGGTTTGCTTGATTGGCTGGCGGCGCACTATCGCGGAAGCGAGATCTCGATCTTGACCGCGTACGCCGCCGCTTGCGTGGTCGCGATGTGTCCGTGGCAGTGGTCTCGGCGTCTTCTGTGTCGTAGTCGCCGTTATGGCGTGGTAGGCCCGTTGAGTAGCTCTTTCGTGCCTTGTGCAAGGCGAGTAGTAGATCGTCAAATCGGCTCATGGTATGTCGGATACTGGGGAGCAGTAGCTTTTTGGCGACTTCGTCGTCTGCGATCGGGACGGGAGTCATGTCCTCGTCTTCGCTGTCGTCTGAGTGATGGCCCCCAGCTTTGCTAGTGTTGGGTGCCTCTTCATCTGAGTCGGCTAGGTAGACTTGTGATGTGATCATGCCTTCGCCGAGCTCGGAGTCAGAGCTCCAAGTCTCCGTAACGTCGGTCGCGGCTGCTGGAGTGGTGGCCTTGGATGTCGACTTGTGATCGCTTGCGGCATTGGTGTTTGATCGTGACGTTGACCTCGGCGGCGAAACGCGCTTTTTTCCACTGTTCGCGCCCTTCCCAGCGGCCTCGGCGGTGACTGCCCATGTGCGTGCCTCCCATCGTCGACGAGCTACTTTGGTGACATGTGCAAAAAGCTGCTCCTCTAGCCAGGCGCTTGGACGATGATCCGGGGCTGAAACGCTGCCGTACCCGCTCTGAGAAATTTCGGTGTCTCGGGGTACTTGCTCGGGCGGCAGTGGCCACGCGGTCCATCGTCTGTGAGGTCGCCAGACCGAATGATCGTCCTCTGGGTCTGCTCCTACCTGACCCGGTTGCATGCCCTTCCTTGTTGTTTGTTGGGCCCCGTCGGGATCACTTGCCCGCTGCTGGAGCCCATGAGCATTGAGCAGATGGAGACTGAGGTCCTGTGCATGCTCGTCATCTAGTGACTCGACAATGGCGCGTTCTTCTTTGGTGTATGTCAGCCATGTCGAGGCTGGACCATGATATCGATTGACTCGTGTCGCGTATGTATCCTGTGAGCGAGGTCGAAACCTTGCCTGACTGCTTTCACCCCGTGGGAGTGGTGGGGAGCTCGGAATATCGATGTCCTCCAACGAGTGAGTTGCCGACATTGCTGTTTCAGAGGAGCGACTTGCATCATGTGAAGAGTTGCTTACGAACCGGCGCCGCTACTGTGCAGACAAAGTCGTTGGGTTTGACGAAAGAGTTTACATCTACAAATGCCAAGGCCGCGTTGCCTTGTCTCACGAGGCAGCGCGCATGGGCAACCATTCATCAAAAAGCATGTCCACTTGTGACAGATTGAAGTCGAAAAGATCGAAGTGCTATCTAGTCTATCACTTCGCCGGTCTGAGCCCGACCCTGAGGTCCTCCCAGTCTAGCTTACTCGAACGCCGCCTTGTGGGTATCATATCATCACGCTCTGAGAAACTTCTTGTACATCCTGTCATCCGTACATTCGGTGTAAGGATATCCGACCTCCTTCAAGAAGGAATTCAATTCTTCTCTTTCCGAGTCAGGACACTGTATTGCCACCAGGATGTTGCCAATGTCGCCGCCCACATTTCGATACTGGAAAGCAGAGATGTTCTGTCCTGGCCGAAGAGTACGAAGAAATCTGAATAGAGCTCCGGGACGCTCGGGGAATGTGAACATGAACACGCGCTCGTCCGTCGCTGTAGATCTGCCTCCCACGAAATATCGGATGTGCTGCTTGGCCAATTCGTTGTTGGAGATGTCTTCTGCAGTCATACCATCTCGTTGCAGTCTCGTGAACAGCGACTCGAGCTCCTCAGCTCGGGTGGTTGCTGAGGTGACTGAGATACCCATGAGCACATTTGCTTGGCTGGAGGTGGAATATCTGTAGTTGAATTCTGTCACAGCTTGTGGTAGAACTGCCTCGACCAGGTTCACGAAGGAGCCTGGCTTCTCGGGGATGTCGACCGATAGCAGAGCCTCTTTGCCCTCACCGATACTAGCTCGTTCACTAACAAACTTCAATCGGTCAAAATTCATGTTTGCACCGCTGGCAATTGCGACCAGTTCTCGATTGACGTCTGCTGAGGGATTTTGTACAACCCACTTCTTCAGCCCTGCGAGGGATAAGGCTCCTGCGGGTTCCAGTATCGATCTCGTATCCTCGAAGACGTCCTTGATAGCGGCACAGATCTCGTCTGTGCTGACCTGGATGACTTCGTCAACCACCTCCTGACATATCCTGAATGTCTCCTCTCCTACGAACTTCACTGCAGCTCCGTCGGCAAACAGACCCACATCCTTGAGCATGACTCGCTTGCCGGCTGCAAGACTCTGCACCATCGCATTTGCATCACTTGCTTCGACACCGATGATCTTGATATGTGGTGCTATCCGCTTCACATAGACGCCGATGCCAGCTATGAGACCTCCACCACCCACACAGCAGAAGATAGCTCTCAGGTTCTGTAGCGACGCTTGCCTCAACAGTTCAGCTCCTATAGTGCCTTGACCAGCAATCACATACGGGTCGTCGAACGGAGGGATATTGATGAGTCCATGCTGCTTCTGCAGGTCGGCTCCGTGAGCTTTTGCTGAATCAAAGTCGGGCCCATGCAGCACCACGTTGCCACCGAGTCTGCTAACGTTCCTATGCTTGATCGCTGGCGTGCCCTCGGGCATCACAATGGTCGCCGGCATCTTTAAATGTCTAGCCGAGTATGCGACACCCTGAGCATGATTGCCAGCCGAGACAGCAATGACGCCCTTCCATGCGTCTTCTCTTGGCAGATGTGCCATTCTGTTGTATGCGCCACGCAACTTGAAGCTGAAGACAGGCAATAGATCTTCCCGTTTCAGCCATACTTTGCACTCCAGACGGTTCGAGAGGTTGACTGCATGACTCAGAGGTGTCTCTTCTACGACATCGTACACTCTTGAGCTCAGGATGAGCCTCAGATAGTCCGGGTAGCCTGTTGGCAGGAGCAGATCGTGAGGTACATCGAACTTTGGCACGGCTGTTCGCTCGTGTGGAGGTGTAGGTGTTGCGGCATACTCGGTGAGGACTAAACTCGATCGCTTGGGTGTGTGAGCGCCATTGACGCGCGGCGATTCGACTTGCGCCATGCTGGAAGCTCAGAAGCTGTCTGAAAGACGCTGGAAGAGCTGTCACCGCATCTGCGGTTGTCGACTTTGTTGAACTTTTGATACGAGAGGCCGGAAATCGGAGAAGCATTTCCCCGCAGACGCGTTGAAGCAAACATCACTAGCAAAGAACAAATCTACCTCCGTCTTCTTCCACAATCATCAAATCCATGAAATCATTGCTTAAGGGCTGGTCGTAGGCATTGCCCCATCCAACAGCACGCTGGCCGGAGTACATGCTGTCTGAAATGCTGGATTCGGTGTATGCGATCTACAGATCAACGCGTGTCTGTGAGGCAGGCAGGACATCCAAGCCTCACGCGAGTGCCAGGTATGCGCCGTTCGGATCAACTGGTCACAGAATTGCTACCATCACGTCCGTTGCCCGCAGCTCGACACCATAACGATCAAGTTGATTGGGAATGAAGAGCGTGGGTTCGTACTACCCGGGTTTTGCCCCTCATCCTCTCGCTTATGCAGCATGTTAAGCGCACTTAGGTAGGCTCTTGCTGCCTCCGCCGTGCTCACTGAAACAAGGCGTCAAGCCTGACGGCGTGAGAACCCTTTAGGAAGCTGTTGTGGCGTCGTGGAGAACTCCCACGCCCGTTGCCTTCATCAGCTTACTGCTATGAGATGCCTCATTCCAGCTATATGCTGCGATAGAGGGTCGACTTCTGCTTGATATTAAATCAAAGTCCTGATGTTGTCTTGCAGCCTCGAAATTTTCCCCGCGAATGGACATTAACCGGTATGCAGAGATGTACTAAGCGACTCAAATCAAGGCCAACGTTACTATCTGCTATGGTATGTTTAAGTCGTCTGACGAATGAGACCTGGATGTGAAGATGTGCAGGCAGGGGAGTCGTCCACACGCGCAAGTCCACGTTGATACCGAAAGGTAGTCCGTGTCGAAATGAGCGTTTTCGATCAGCAACCTGGTCCTAGCCTCAGACCAGCGTATTATAAAGCAAAGACCTGTTGTTCGCCTTGGTTTTCAGTGCGACTACTGCGATTTCGATATACATTCTTCCTGCTCGGACGAAAAGCGTGCCTGTTGTCGGAGTTCTTCTCGCACTCGCCATGGCTATGACTCAATCCGCGGTCGGCATTGCTGCCGTTGTGGTCGCGATAGTAGGGCTTTACAGACTTCTGCAGGTTGGCAGACGACCGCCGGGAATCCCACCAGGACCACCTACGATCCCGATACTTGGCAATTTGCATCTGATGCCTTCGAAGGACGGCCACCGTCAGTTCTCGAAGTGGGCTCAAGAATATGGTCCAATTTACTCCTTGATGCTCGGGACCAGGACATTTATCGTTCTCTCTTCTGATACTGCCGTGAAAGACCTTCTCGACAAGCGCAGTAACATTTACTCCTCTCGTCCCGATATGTACGTCGGTATGGACATCGCTAGTGGTGGATTGAGAATGCTTTTGATGCCGTACTCTGGACGCTGGCGACTCATACACAAGATGATTCACAACATCCTCAATATCAAGGCTGCTGTTACCTATGTTCCGTATCAAGACCTCGAGAACAAGTTCATGCTGCTGGGTATGTTGGAGCAGCCAAAAGAATTTGCAAACCATATCCGACGCTATACCAATTCCTTGACAACTCAAATGGTGTTCGGATTTCGCACACTGAGCATAAATGATCCGAAACTGCAGCAGCTTTTCACAGGGTTCGAGCACTGGGCTGAGGTGGCTGGCAACGCAGCATCGCAGCTCTTGGATCTCTTCCCAGTGTTACAGAGTCTGCCTGACTTTCTTGTGCCTAATCACCGATATGCCAAACGATTGCACAAGAAGGAGAAGGAATTATACGTCGGCCATTGGCTTAAGGCCAAGGCTGGCATTCAGGCTGGTACAACAATGGTAAGCGGTCTCCCACGAGAAATGCATGTGCTGACATACGGTCAAAAGCCATGCTTCTGTGTCGATTTGGTCAATGCTCAGCAGAAGGAGAAAGATTGGTTTTCTGATGACTTGGCTGGTTACACGAGTGGCTCTCTTCTCGAGGCAGGGTCCGACACCACAGCATCGGAGCTCATCGCGTTCATTCAGGCGATGACAGTCTTTCAAGATGTGCAGAAGCAAGTCCAAGACGAGATTGATAGGGTCGTCGGCTCAAGCCGTATGCCAGACATGGAAGATTATGCGAATCTACCACTCGTACGGGGTTGCGTCAAAGAGACTTTGAGATGGATGCCTACAAACATTCTCGGCGTGCCTCACTCCAACATACAAGAGGACCAATACATGGGCTATCGAATCCCCAAAGACAGCACAGTCATCACCAATGTCTGGTAAGTCGCGGCCTTGCCCTTGCTCAGCCCCTGACGACCAGGCGCTCATGGATTTTCAGGACAATCCACATGAACCCTGCGAAGTTTCCTAATCCACGCATGTTCGACCCAACCAGATTCCTGAGCGACAAGCTCACGATCTTCGAGTCCGTCATGTCCTCCGATCCCGGCACCCTCCACACCCGCTCCTTTATATTCGGCTCCGGCCGCCGTGTCTGCCAGGGCATGCACATTGCGGAACGCTCTCTATTCCTCGCGATCTCACGGCTCCTCTGGGCATTCAATTTCCGCAAAGCAATTGACCCGGACACCGGCAAGGAGATCACGCCGGACGTTGAGCGACTTACGCAAGGCTTGTTCGTGCTGCCTGAGAAGTTCGACTGCGTTATCAGACCGAGGAGCGTGGAAAAGGAAGAGATGATCAGGCAGGCTTGGAAGGAAAGTGAGGAGACGTTGTTGGATCCAAGCACCGGGCAGTGGCAGAAGGTGCCCGAGGGCATGGCGTTCTCCACGTATGAGCCGACCAAGGATGCTGTGATGGGTGAGGTTTGACGAGCTGTGTCTAGGCTTCGCACACCGGACATCGTGGGCATTGTCACTGCCAGTGCAGGTCTGGATTGATATCTAGGGAGTCCTGCCCTGTGCCACGAGCGCATGAACGTACAGCGGCACCTTCCTCTCATGCTTCAAATCGAAGTCGTCTTCGGCTTCCACCAGTATATTTACTTACAAATCTGTAAGCCTACCCAGACCTGGTTGTACTTCCGAACGTGGCACGAACAACAGTGGACACGTCCGGTAGCACAGCAGAGATGTGCCGTGGCAGAGCTTTCGAATGCTATATAGTGTGCCCTGTTACTACTTACTATCTGTTAGGAGAGATCTGCTGCCTCCGTTTTGTGTGAAGTGCCACCCTTGTCATCCGGTCTTGAGTATGCCTGAATCGTTACTCCAACTTTGATTCTCCATTGCAGACAAGCTTGCGGTGACATCTCGAACTTCCTCACAGACGGAAATACACTGCTGCTCAACGGGAGACTTATCTGGAGCTGTCGCGGACAACAGGCAGCACTGCCACCCCTTCCAACTTCACACAGACTCAACCCGAGCAGTTCTGAGGCCCTATTCATATCAGAACTTCTTCACGTGTGCGAGAACGTCACCACTCGCGACCTTGTTATACCACCCGAGCGGACTGTTTCCAGGCACAACTACACACCTGCTGTCCCGCACATGAGCACGTACCCGACCGAAACGACCTAGACAACAGCCCAGCCATGTCGAAACAACCCGCATCCGCCGCTGCGCCGGCCTCCGCCCCTCCAACGCCCGTCGAACCACCCCAGTCACCTCTCACAACGGGCGGCTCCCTCCCCTCCTCACTCGGCGATCAGTTCTTCGAAGAATCCCGCTCCCAAAAACTCTTCCGCAAGATCCGCCAAGAACCCTTGATTCCCCTCGGCTGCCTCGCGACCTGCTATGCCCTCTACCAAGCCTCCAAATCCATCCGCGTGGGCAACCCAACGCGCACCAACAAGATGTTTCGGGCCAGAATATACGCTCAGGGGTTCACGCTAGCGGCGATCGTGGCGGGGAGTTTCTTCTACAAGGATGAGAGGATGCAAAGGAAGAAGTTTGAGGGGGTGGAGGAGGAGAAGCGGCAGTTGGAGAAGAAGGAGAAGTGGTTGGCGGAGTTGGAGGCTAGAGATCGGGAGGATCGGGAATGGAGGGAACGGATTGAGAGGCAGAGTAGGGGGAAGAAGGTTGATGCGGCGGTTGGGCCGCCGGTGGCTCCTGCGAAGAGTATGAGGGAGGTGTGGCGGAGGGAAGGATGGGTTGAGAGGACGGCCAGGGCGTGGAGGAGAGCATGAGGTATCCTTGACCGTGAGTCTGGCGGTCTGTCAGGACCGTTGTTGGTTGAGGCGTTCCGATTACTTTGTTGTTGATAGATTTTGTACAAAAGTTCTATCGAGCGCCAGTCTCAGACGAGGCATGAGACATGCTCGCCGTGCTCGGACCTTGTAGTCTTAAATGGCCTCCACGACCCTGTCATCGACCTCCCATCTCGTCCAAGTACCTCCTCATGCTATCGAACTCGGTCTTGCCAGTACTGACCAGATACCTGATCTTCCCCACATCCGTCACCTCCCGATGCTTCTCGAACTCGCCTCTTGCGTAGGCACCTAGCTCTGTACGCTGACCCGAGCCCTTGGGGAGCGCACGTAGAGCTCGAAAGATCGTTCGGTAGAGGCCAATCACGCGCTGACGGATGAGAAAGTGTTCGAGGGAAAGACGCGGCGCTCTAGTCCTTGGCTGCGAACGCTTCTGGGAGGCTGTGGTTGCTGGCGCTGAGTCTGAGCTCAGTTGGCGATGCAGACTAAAGACGCGCCTGGATCTCTGCGACGGATAGACTCGTGCAAGAGGAAGCTTCAATGTCGTTCGCCCACACGCCGGGTGCATGTGGCAACCTTCGTGGGTTACAGTCAGGGTAGTGATGCGCTGATGACCTGCTTGTAGGATGCCCAGCGACCTGTCGCCTGCTTGAGAGCGAAGATGAAGCAGGTGATGAGCCGGAATCAGTCAGTCGAATGGTCAGATCTCCTTGCGTCTGAAGAAGTAGGCGTAATGGTGAATGATGCGGACTAGGTACGTAACATCTTGAGATCGAGATCGAGGCCAACCCCGGATTCGAGACTTGACGTCGAAGAAAGGCCCGAGATGTCACTCTCGTCATCCGGTCTCACTCGTGTGAGCCAGTCAGCTGCGTAGGCACTTAGGCTTTAGGCATGCCTTGCCCTGGAGTAGCCCAACCTTAGGCATGAAATTGGCTACAAATGAACGCTCTCAAAAGGGTCGGGCACCAATCAACATCTAATACCAGCCCATCTGGCACACGTGTTAGGCCTTCCCTCACCTAGGTAATCGATGTCATGGGTATGGTCTCGCCCGCAGCACCACTAACAATGTTTATCGAGGTAGACTCTGGTCAACCGGTCTCTCTGGCACTCCACGCAGATCACGTCAACCAGGCTGTCGCTAGCTGGAGATCAGGGTCTAGATAGCTTGAACCTGCAGCTGAATTGAGGAAGTGACATAACCATGTCTATGTAGCTATCAAACAAGGTGAAGGTACAACGAGGGATTTGGCTATGAGCAGTGGCGTCCCGTCATCTTCTAAGGATCCCTGAAAGCAGCCTCTCCGCCTCAGCAAGGTCCTCGAGACCTCCCATCCAGCTAGTATATTGGTCAGGCCGGACTAGCACCACCAAGCCGCGTTCCTTATCAACGCCATAATTCTCATACGCATGTCCATGACCTTGATGATAGCTCTCATCATCCGCAAAGATGCGGTAGTAATCGAAGCCTCCATTTCCAGCTGCAGAACCACAGTAGAATGCCTTTGGCAAGTCAAAAAGTTCGATCTCTCGTCGAGGTGATGCGTGGATCAATATTGGCTGGACACAATTTTCGGTCAAGAATGGAAAGCCGCAGGGTGAGCTTCGATCAAGCCTTTCCCCTAAGTTCTTCAATCGCTGCATTGAGGCTTCATGTCTGAGATCTCCAGGGAAGACTAGTAGTCGCCATGATCCGTCGGACTTCAGGACGTCTCCCAGCTGTATCGGTGTGGCGTCACATTGACATACCACCTGGAAGGATGGTAAGCGCGATCCTAATTGCAGCACACTCTTCGGAATAGCTGGATCTGCAGAAGCGGACTTGTGATGCTCCTGGGCCACAATCTTACAGGCGCCATACCGCACGGAAAGTCCGGAGGTGAAATCGTTGCCCTTTTGAAAAGTCGCCTTGAAGTCTTCCATCGAGATGCCCGCTTCATCCGCAAGGTCTTTGGCTGGTCGGCCGGAGAACATGTAGGAGAACTTAGTATCAAACTCGATCAGTTGCTGAGCAATTGGCCTTCTTTCTGATTCGTAGGTTTTCAGAATGGATCGTTGGGCCGTTTTGTTCAAGACAGCACCCAATTTCCAGCCTATATTGTAGGTGTCGTGCATGCTCACGTTCATACCTTGGCCGGCTTTGGGTGAGTGGGTGTGCACTGCATCAAAGTGTTAGTAAGAGCCACAGTAACAGGGACATGAGGGTAGTCCCCTGGCCAGGATTCTATCGCCATGGTGTTTGTTGCAATGCTTATAATTCCTTACCTGCATCTCCGGCTAAGAATATGCGATCAAACTTGGCGTAGGTATTTCCTACTCTCTGACCAATCTGCGTAGATGGTCAGCCGGGAGAGGCCCCATCGTAGGCAGAAACGGCAGCACTGACCTGATAAATCGTCCACCACTCAAGATAGTCGTAGCTAAGACTGTACGGCTGGAGAATCTTCTTTGCCGCGTCGAAGATGAGTGATGGGCTTCCCATCGACTTGTCGAATCTCTCTCCTCGTGCCGGACGAATGTCAGTTAGCTGAATGTACAGTCTGACCAAGCCACGTTCACGCGGAATGATCATAATTGAGCCAGAGTTGGCACTGTGGACAGCACATCGCATCCTAATGTCCGCTTGAGGGGTCTGAGTTAGCATAAGTCCCACCATCACAATGGAAAGAGAATGCTGCCTTACGAAAGTCAGTAATGGGAACGACGTCCATTACACCCCAGATAGATGCAGTCTGCTCGCCTTCCATAACAAGACCAATTTGTCTGCCAACCCAGGAGTGTGCTCCGTCGCAACCTATCAGGTACTTGCATCTGATCTCATTTTCCCCTACCTCAGCGTTTTCCTGTGCAGAGCTGGTACCATTGGGCTGATTGTGAGAAAGACACTCAACGCGAACGGAAATCGGGTAAGCATCCTCGGATTCTATCGCAGACTCATCGACATCGATCGTCAGTGGCTTTGCAGGTCGCATCACCGAGACTTCGCTGCTGGTACGCTCTATGAAGTCAAAGAGATAGTTCTCGATCCTGCCCTGATGAAGGACGCTCTGTTGAAACCGACTGGTACCAGGGATAGTGTCCGGTATTCGGTCAGTGCGTCGAATGACCCCATAGCTATCGGGATTCTTGGGAAGCATGAGTCAGTGCTGTCACGCTGCAAACGACCTAACGACCTGACTATCCAAACATACCCAAAAGCAGACTTCTTGCATCAAACTAGCTTCTTTGTAGATCTGATCACCAAAGCCGAAGCTGTGTAGGATCTCGAGCGTGCGCGACTGCAAGCCGTCGGCGTGACCGTTGACGATTCTTGACTCGCGTTTGTCGATGATGATGGTCTTGAGTTGGTAGACGGCTGCCCACATGGCTGCCATTAGCCTAGGTCGGACGTTCAATTCGGTGTTTCTGATGTTCAGGTATCACTCGACTTACCCCGCTGGCCCTGCGCCGACGATGACAAGATCGACATCCTGTGGCATGTCGTCGGTATGAGCTGTGTCTGTACCTAGAATGAAACGCTGTAGAGCCAGATTGCTGCCAATCTAGAGGTACAACGTCCATTTCAGCACAAGCACCAAGTCCGTCCAGCCATGAAGGCTGCCGCAGGCCAAGATTTGACGCAGGACCCAAAGACAATGGGTAATCAGCGCACGCCGAGAGTCGACGCATGATCCGAAGACACTGCTGGGGCCGCAGCGCGAGAGTCATCGCATGATCCGACCATCAGTCACTGGGTGATTAGCTCAGTAGCAGTCTCGCCGACGTCTACAAAAGCCGTGCGAGGTATCCACAGCCGCGGGTATACATCTCTTTGAGTTGCGGTTTAGCACATACCGCACCCGAGAAAGCTCGGACTCCTGGACTTACTCGGAGTCACTATACGGATGACTGTTGGGAGCTTGTTACGCCACATTGCTACGAGGGAAGACATTGTTGCAGAGGCTCATCCAAATGATTGAAATTGATGTGGATGAACGCATGCCATTACTTCGCTAAGGGATGGGAAGCGGAGCGCGAGAGAGAAAGGAGGGATGCAGGGAACTCAGGTAACTGACGTAGGACATTGCCAAGCACTGACTGTTGCACGTGACCAGAACGCGTCTTCGACTTCAGGTCCAAAACAATCCTGAACCTGAGACCATTTGACCAACCTGGTGTACCGCACAGCGGCAACTTCAGCTTCCTCACTACGTGACTTTAGATAGCGGCGAATGTCGCGTCGATCCTTCTACATTGCAGCCAAAGATTTTCTCCTTCACCGAGCGTTTACTCCTCCCCTGGCTGCTGCTGAGCTGCCCTCTGGATTAAGCTCCCGAACTTCTCACCCCTAAGAGTGACCTCGATGGGGAAAGGCTCATTCGACGTGAAGTGATTGATGTTGCGGTCGTCAAAAGGCTCCCTCTGCATACCGGTCAGTACAATCCAGATACTTCTGACGCGTCATGATGTCTGGTTTACTTACCGCTTTGAAATCGAAACAGTAGATCAACCGCGCAAGATTGATGAAAATACTTTTTTGTGCCAGTCGATATCCTACACACAGTCGTCGCCCATGTCCAAACTGCCAGCTGCCCTCCCAGATCTCCGCTTCCCGCCCATCTAGCCATCTCTCGGGTTGGAACTCCTTCGGGTCTTCGTACGAAGCAGGATCGTTGGCGATGGCGGCATGATTGATAACGAAATTCGTGCCCTTCGGGAAGAAGTACCCTTCAAATTCCAAGTCTTCAGTGAGCATGTGCTCCGGTGTCCAGTCAAAGATACGACGCCAGCGCAGCATTTCTTTGGCGAAAGCGTTGATGTATGGTAAGTTCTTCTCGTCCGAGAACTCAGGAAGGCGCTCGGCATGGCTCCCACAGACTTCATCGAGCTGCTGCCTTGCCTTCAGGAACTTATCCGGATTTGTGACGGCAGCGAGTATGAAAATGTTCGTTGTCAATCTGGTTGTGTCGCTGCCTGCTTCAACCAGCTGCATAGCAAGGAACATCTTGTCATCTTCGCCTCCAGAGAATTTGCCTTCGTTGAAAACCAAATCTCTGGCAAACGATTGTGGCGCCTTCCCAAGCTCGATGTTCTCCTTGAGAGGCTTCCAGTACGCACTGTATGCCTCGTGGGTTGCTTTTCCCATCTGATCGTACTTTCCACGCCACCATTGCAGGGCCAGTGGCAGCTTCGCTAAGTCAGGGAAACAATCCCAGAAATTGTAAGGTGGGGCGTTCATCAGGAAGTAGAATTGTGCTTCGGCCACTTTGTCGACATCTGCTCCTGCTCCAGGCCGCTCTCCGAATGTAATGCGGTGAATAACCGAGTTTGAGTATGTCCGGTTGTGGAGGAACCAATCTTTTGGTCTTTCTGAATACGATGCAAGCAGTGTGATGCTCTCGGTATTCTGATACTCCTGGTACTTGTTGAGAGCTGATCCACTGAGCAGTTGGTGCATCACCCGTCGGCGCTCAGTCCATCCGTCCGCTGGAAGCAGTACGGATCTTCGTCCCTGACTGATCAGCTCATTCACCATCGGGTATCGTGGTCTCCCATTCGTGACGCTGCCCTTACGACCATACAGCTCTGAGACCAGTCGATTGCTGTTCAAGACCACCCACAGCTTCGAGCCAAGGTGAGTGGTCGTCATCTCTCCATATCTGGCGATCTGGTGTCCCTGCAGATATATCAGTGTCTGTTCTCCCATCCTCGTGGATTAGCATACAGCTGCTTCCCCTTGTCCATACAGCAACAAATTCCCAATCAGTGGATAGCCACGGGGACCAGGTGGAAGTCTCCATTTCTTGCCTGTTGGCGGAGGCCTTCGATCGACTGGTCGTAGTAGCCGAAAGAGGGCTACGAACAGAAAGAAGACTCCCAGGAAGAGAATCAAAGCGGCCTCGGAAAAGCTCATTCGGAAGACGGGCTGAAGTGCTGACGAAATCGAGATGTTGGTCATCGTTGCTCTATGGTACCTGCAGCACTGAGGACAGAGTATGAGGAAAGGTACGAGCTGCTGGAGGGCACTTGGCGGCGTGCTCTGAGATGGCGGTTCCTACTTGTGTGTGGCGAGTCCATCAACAACGATGAGGTGAGCTACCGCATAGCCACTGTGTTGGAGCCGAAGGCATAGAAAATCTGCGGGCTATTCTCAGAGCGTTGTTCTGTTGCCCGCTGCGGAAGGCTCGAAATCATGAGATGCGGAAGTTTTGGTCCGCAGGACTGACTGGCCCGCAAAGTCGGGGTGCACCATGGGGAAACACGAGAACACCTCACTCAACGCTGACCAAGCCGCATGCACGACACTGGGTGTTGACATCGTCTCGACATCAATCCGTGGCACTAATAATACAGGTCTCGAGGTCTAATCACCATCTTAAATTATGTGGCTCCTACGCGGAAAGGCTTGTGAACATGTCGAAGTCCTCCTCCGCCCTCAGGATCCTTTGTCTCGCGGTGCTTTTCACCACTATGACGAAAGCCAGCAACATCTTCCAAGTGGACGTCCACACGCATCCCATTCCTGACTTCTACAAAGAAGCCCTTGTTGCAGCAGGTTACAATGCAACCAGTACCGGGGACGTATTCGTGGACGGGTTTCGCACACCAAACTTCACAATCGATTCCTACCTCCAAGAGCGCATCGCAGACGCTTACAACTACTCCATTCTCAGCATTACAGCACCGGGAGTGAGCTTCCTGAAAGGCAATTATCAAGCAGCATCTCTGGCGCGTCGGCTCAACGACCAGATGAGCACCTGGGCGAAGGAGTATCCTCAGCAGCTAGGCGCCTTTGGCATCCTCCCTCTGCCAGACACTGAGGCTTCACTCGCAGAAATCAAATATTGCCTCGACGAGCTTCACTTTGAAGGAATCGGTCTCTACACGAACGTCAACGGCGCCTACCTTGGAGACCCCAGCCTCGATCCTATCATGGAAGAACTCGACCGCCGTGGAGCGACCGCCTTCGTTCACCCAGCTGGTCCGCCACAGTCTCCTGCGCTTCCCGGAATGTCTTTGCCTGTGATCGAGTATACGTTCGACACGACACGCGCCATAGCGAACCTGCTCTTCACGCAGACCCGTCGGCGGTATCCAAATATCAACTTGATTTTCTCGCACGGTGGTGGTGCTCTTCCTTTCCTCGCAGACCGACTAGCTGTGCAGACCACTTTGCCGTTCCAGGGAGGGAGAAACTTCAACGAGTCTTACGCCGAGCTTCAGACATACTACTACGACACAGCTGTCACATTGGGAAATCCACAGTTCGCCGCTCTGAAAGAATTTGTTGGTGCGGATCGATTGTTGACTGGATCGGATTGTGAGTCCTCGTCTGATTTGTTGATCGCTCTCCTCCTGTCCGACCTTCTCTCTGATGCTCTCTGCATAACACATCTCGAGATGATACCATCGCCCTGCACGAGACTAACGCTGCTTCTATAGATCCTTATGTGCCTGGGCCGCTTGTACCGTGGATTCAGGGGAGGTTCGCTAAGTATGATGGGTTCACTGATCAGGACCGCGAGAAGATCGGATGGAGAAATGCGTTCAAATTGTTTCCTGGGCTCGCGAAGAAGTTCCCTGAGCTGGACAGTGGACCAGCTTGACGAGAGCGTCGCAATGCTGTTCAGTGGCCGTAGGCTTAGGTGAATGACAGCAGTGCAACCAGTGATTCCGAAACGTGCAAAGAATAGTGATGCCGCCTGTCTGAGACAGTGAAGTGATCGCCTCGGTTGCCCTCGGGTCTTTACGCTGTCAGAAATGGTATAAGTAGGTGTCATGCCATTGGGCTCTTCCTCTCCTCTTAGTTCAATGGAAAGCACCGTCAAACGCCATTGCCATACCAGGTCAGCGTCCACTGCTACCAGGTGGGGCTGGCATTGCAAAGTTGAGATCCTCAAATTCCCACACAGTCCGAAATGTCAATGGCGATCATTCAAATATGTAAACAACAGCAGATATAAAGGATCATTTAGTGTGAGAAGAAGCGTTCTGACGCTGCTGATTGGATCGAGCATCATTCTTCTTGTCAGAGTCTGTTCCGTCCCATTGGTGATGTTTCTGATGCGTGGACGTACATGTACGAAGACAATTGCTAGCAATTGGTCAGAAGAAAAGCAAGACAGCACAGTACCTAGGCATTCTCCTGGCGCTGGCTCCAGCAGCTGTGAAACAACAGATCCCTAACATCTCCTCGTCGAAGAGCTTCTCAGATCACATCAGACGATCGTCAGTAATACCCTCAAGCGATGTCAAGTAATAGCCCTTATCCGCATCAGCATCCCAATCTGCTCTCGCCGATCCATCGCCCAACCAGCCCATCTCATCGTCATCATGATAAGTGTACTCCCAGTCTTCCCATCTCGGCTTCTCGAGCGCCTTCACCGCATGCAAACTCGACCCAGGCCATAGGCCTGTGATCCTGCCGTCGGTCTTGTACCACGAGGAACACTCCTCGCTGTAAACGGTACGTTGAAAATACGTATCGCAGAAGGCGGTAAAGTTCTTCACTGAGCGGACGGATGGCTGCATTGTGCGGATATTTTCGAGCTGCATCTTCTGCAGTGCTTGCGCTGTATAGTCCACAAACCGCTCTATGGTTATGAGCAGGTTTCCGTGTCCTAGGCCAGAGTTGGGACCTAAGAGCATGAACATGTTGGCAAAGTCGTTCACCGCTAGGCCTAGGTAGTTCGCCGTTCTCGGACCAGCCGCGTTCTCTGCGAAAAGCTGTGCACCAGTGCGGCCGTAGATTGGCAGAGAGTCGAAATGGGTGTTGAAGCCGGTGGCGCAGATGATGGCGTCGACATCACGCTGCTTGCCACATTTGGTCACGATGCCGGTCTCATTGACTCTCTCGATCGGGTCAACGATGACCTCGACATTGTCCTCTGTAAGCGCCTCAAGGTATCCCGGGCCGGGTGTGATCCGCTTGCACAGCGGTGAGAAGGAAGGCAAGAAGTGTTGCAGCAGCTCCGGCTTCTTGGACAGTCGTTTCGCCATGAGGTCGGAGAAGATCTGCCTCGCCATGGCTTGAACCTCTGATCCACGTAGCACCACTTGAGATCCACTTTGAACGGACTTCTCAATGGCTTTCCTGTAGTCGAGGTAGGACTCCCGATTGTCTTGCCACCCTTTGATCTCATCAGCCTCGTAGTCAAAGTTCTCTCCTTCGACGCCTCGCTTGATAATCTGATCCAAGCCCATAGGCGTCGCGATCCATGTCCGACCTCGAACGTAGTGGTGCAACTGGCGCACTTTTGGTCTGATGTTGGGGACAATCTGGATGCCGCTGGAACCAGCACCAATGACAGCAACAACTTTGTCCTGATCGAAAGACTTCGGTCAGTCCAGGTGTGGCGGCATCGAAAGCAGTGGTCAACGTACCTCAATCTGAAAATTTGGGTCCCAAGCTGCACTATGCATCAATTTGCCCTTGAAATCCTGCAGACCCGGGATTGAGGGCCAATCCCATTGATTCAGTATGCCAACCGCACTGATCAACACATCCGCCTCGTCCGTCTTCTGACCCCCGTTGTCTGTATCCTGGACAATGACCCTCCACTTGGCCGTAGCATCGTCCCAGCTCGCCTTGAGCACCTTGTGAGAGAACCGCATGTACTTGAGCACATTGTATTTCTCTGCCACACGCTGCCAGTAACGAAGGATCTCAGAGCCTGACGCGTAGAATGTCGACCACGCGTGATTGAAGTCCCACGAAAGTTGATATGCGTGGGAGGGTATGTCTGTGATTCAAGATTCAGCATCAAGTCATCGATGACCACAGTACCATGCATACCACATGCTACCCCTGGGTATCTGTTCTCCAGCCAAGTGCCGCCAAGACCTTCGTTCTTGTCGTATATGACAAGGTCGAGGTTCTGAACTGCCCGTGGAAGTTTGATGCCGTTCAAGATGCCCGATATGCCTGCGCCGATGACAATGACCTTGAGAGGTCTCGCATTGTCGAGGGCATGCGCTCCTGGGAGAGACCCGGTGCCGTTCATCACGGTCATTTTGCTGATATGCAACCTCGCCAGGTCGTAGGACTGCTGTCAGAGTGGATCTTCCAAACCGGCCATGCTGCCCCTTTTCATCCCCAGACCGAGAGGTCATGTGTTCGTCTACTGGTCCCATCTGCATGCTGTAGTATTGTGAGACGCCTAGGTGAACGGCGGACCTTCAACTCGCGGCAATAGCGATGTGCTGTGCTACACAGCGTCATGTTTCGCACAACTGTGAGCGCTGTGCGGACTGTTCATAACCGCTATCAACCTCTGCGGTATGAATTCGCCCGCATACCGCAACGCCAAGCACCGATCTAGGATCGAATCTCAACCTGTTCTCCACTGTTTCAAGCAGGCCGCGAATGAGTCTTAACGCGACTACTGGGAATGCGTACTTAGATAGTCAGCGAAATAGGCGCATTGGCTTGTGGCTCGTCAACCTCCTCGGTAGCGCTGCTCGACTATCCCCACGGGGTAACATTTTGATGCTAGTTGCGGAGGCGAATGTGGAGATAGGTGAAAGTGACAGGCGGGGAAGGGGACGCTGCGAGAATACAAGTAGCGAGATGTGACTCGGTATGGCTCGACGGCGGGCCGCACATCTTCTCAGCACAATTCTGCCCTACCGTGTTGATACCGACGCTTCAATGGTATGGAGCAGTCGCAACCCTCAGAACGCCGCGTGGCAAGCAAATTGCAAGGCAGGAAGAAAGGGCAGCAAGCTTGCGAGAGCTGCCGGGGTAGTAAGCGCAAGTGCGATGGTGCAAAACCAATCTGCGGCACCTGTTCGAGGCGAACACCTCGCGCAGAGTGTGTGTACAAGAAGACACCCTCGCGCAAAGCTGCGATGTCCAAGTATGTGAGACTGGGGTCCACCTTGGGTGAGGTCACTGCGGGTCGCCGGCCAGTGGTGCCTGCTCAAGTGCCCTGCCATGTCTTCGTTTTTGCAACATTTCTACGGGCAATAACTGACACTGGAAATTGTCACCTCGCAGACAGATCGAAGTGCTTGAGAAGAGGCTTGCTGTTTTGGAGGGGCGACATCCTGAGTCGGACGATGAGGCCATCAACAGTCCGGTCGGCAGCGATGAATCGCCATCACAAGCCGGCGAGCCCTCGCCAGGGGCTGATGGCTCTCTGCCGGCACCTTGTCCCCCGTCTGACGAGCGACATGCTTACATCTCTCCTGATATGTCCGATATTGCACATCCCGGCGCTGCCGACAATGGGAACAGTCCCCAGATGGGCAGGTCCAGACCGGAGCCTGACCATGTTAGACGCCGGGTAGGCTCGTCCTTGGACAATCTATCGGTGCGTATACTGCTACTGTTGGCTCGCGGACCATTGACACACATCAACAGGCGATCGTGGACGATCACATAGATGGCTTGGGCGCGATTACGCGGCTTGCGCCATCGTGTGGCAGTCCTCCCGAAACAGAGCGGACCATCTACTTCGGAACTTCCAGCACGGTGAACTTTGTCAAACAGGTTCACCAAATCCTGTCCGAGGCCGACGCCGGTGTTCAGCAGGACGCACGCTCATCTGATCTACCAAAGCCGAAACGTCGGCATGATTCCCACCGTGATCTTCACGGCCCAAAGCTCATCGAAGAATACGCAATTCCCACACGAGGCGAGTCAGAGTCGATGCTTGCAAGCTTTTGGACAAGAACATACCCGCTCTACCCCTTCTTGAACCGCAGTGACTTCGACGAATCATACTGCGAACTTTGGACTCCCACTTCGCACAACGATGTCCGCGCTCCGATGGCTGCAGCTAATTATGGCGACTCTGGTTACTGTGAAGACTCAGGTCAACACCGAGTTCGTGTACACGGAGACGGCATACCAGAGTCCCGACGCTTCCACGTCCTATTGAACATCATGTACGCTCTGGGCTGCCTGTCCGGTACGTCGAAACATACTACGACACAGGCGGAACGTGCTCAATTCTACTGGAGACGCTGTAAGGAACTGCTTGAACGGGACTTCGATATATTCAACCGCCCTCGCACGCGCTTCATCCAAGCTGTGCTTTACATGAGCGTCTACATGCAGAGTACCGAGGAATTGACGTCAGCCTCATGGAATCTGAGTGCGATTGCTATCAGAATGTCACAAGCTTTGGGCCTCCATTGCGCCGTCACCAACAAATCTCAGGATCCAGCACGTCTCAAATTGCTCTCTGTTCGTGCGCAGACCTGGGCAGGCTGCGTCGTGATGGATCGGTGAGTCGCCAGCTCGTCCATGTGAAGATCAATTAGTCGCTAAATTGTTACTACAGCACTTTGTCGCTGATCTATGGACGGCCACCTTCTATTCCTCCCATCAGTAAAGGCCTCCGGAAGCTGTACATGCAAAGACTATCGGACGACCCGTCTCATGATAGACACATCGTAATGTTCATGGTGAAGTCCTTGAAATTGGCCGAACACCTAAGTGACTTTACTCAATTTCTCGACAGCTCCGATTTTCCAACAAGCACTTCAGACTCCGACCAGTCTGCAGTGCTTTCGTCGGACGTCGATCTACCTTCGGGTCTCTGCCAGAAGCTTATCGATTTCGGAGCTGCCTTAAGACAATGGGAGAAAGGGCTGCCTCCGCCTTTAGCACTGCCAGCTATGGACATGCAGACGACAGAAGGGACGTCTGCGACCCATTCTGTGGATAGACAGGCTGTGGTACTACGTGCACGGTTCCTGTACAGTCAAATCGTCGCATATCGGCCGCTGCTACTATACTACTCAAGCATTGCACGGCACCGAGACACTTCTCAAACTGATTGGCTATCAACCTCTTCCGGGCTGAACGACGCTATCATCCAGAAGACATGTAAAATGTGTACAGATGCAGCCATCAAGCTGGTTTCCACGCTTGCGTGGGCTGCACGGACTAACAGCGAGGCACTGCCAGAATCGTGGTACACCATTTTCTATCTCTATAATTGCGGCATGGTCCTATTGCTTCAGCGAAACCTTTTCTCTTGCCTGACAGACTCAGAAGCCGCATGGTCGAAGTGTATAGAGCTACTGCAGTCTTTCCAGCATGGCAACCGAACGGCACTCCGATGCATCAAGCTGCTACTTCGGTTGTCTGGCCAGGCATTTCCGCTTCTCAGCATGGGCGGCCCACAGGCAACGACGACATCTTGGAGACCAGAAACGCAGACCGGGCCGTCTATGCCTGTTGACAGACCCTCCTCACTCAACGACACCACGAACATAGCGAACAGAGTAGATCGCTTGAGTCAACCGCCAGCGATCCAGGGTCTCGGTTCATTCGGCAATGTCTACGGCCGCAGCGGCGATGTTAGCTTCTCGGCATTTGCTTTCACTCCGCGGGATGTATCACAATCTCATACCCAGCAGATGTATCAGCAGGACGAATTCCAATGCCCTCCTCCAGCGGCTCCGACAGACGGCGACTTTGGTACTGCGGCCCAACATCCTTCGACGACTCGCTTGGTATTGACATGAGCTGGCTAAGTACAATACCATTTGACTTCGATGCAGAGTCGCTCGACGAGAGTTTCATATGGCATTGAGGAGTGGTCAGGCTCAGCAGCTCTTTTTGCTGGAATCGGCACGTGGACAAGTCAGAAGGGTCACTTTTATGAGGACCATCTCTGATCTTCTCTGAACCGAAAACTCGGAACCGGCGCAGAGCTGTTGGTGTATGAAGCGATATAACCTTCCTGAGAAACTCCGAACATGAACATCACGACCCCTGAATCCTTTGACAGATGTCATTGGGACATCTCGAGCAGCGCTGTGTTATCATCCTTTCTTAATTATTATTGGCAGACTGATTGAGTCGGTGCAAGTCCAGCTTTTGAGCATTCCCTGGAGATCTGCGCGGACCCATTGGGAAAATTAAAGTTTCGCCCCGGACGGAATGGGCGATCATCACTGGCACGCGAAAGCCACTGCAGTCCCAAATCGTACGGCAGTCGTGCTACACGCATGCTCGTACGTCTAAAGACGAAGTTGACAACCTCGCCTGAATGTGTATCATGCGGTCAACACGGCACAGCCTTCAGCTGAAAAGTTGTGAGTTTTCTTTCTGAATTACTATCTGCGCCGCTATAGGTTGGTCCCGAGGCAAGGGTTCGGGGCGACCACGTTCTAGGCTTGGCTAATACGGTTGAGAGTTTGGATTGACCAATCCAGCCAATGTTGGTACATTTGATGCTCTGGTCGGCCAACAGTGGCTGGCTGTCGCATGCAGGTAACATGGAAAGCAGCCGCGATAGCGAAAATGCGGCTCTCTGCAGTCGTGCTGCCGCCCTTTGCGCACGAGCCACCCTCAGCAAGAACTTGCTTTCTTGACTTCATATGCTTCACCCTCAATCTGCTGTGACAAACCTCTACCTGTCGCAATCATGGGTAAACCGCAGCAGAAGACTGAAGTCAAGGAGTTGACTGTCGATGAGAAGGGCCAGAATGGCTCCGGCGACACAGTCAATCATCTACACTGGCAACCTGGCTACGCTAAGCAATTTCCTTACGTTGGCGCCGCATGTCTTTTGGGCGTTGTCTGCACAGCGATCGGTTGTGCTCTGGTTCTTTACTTTTCCAACAACCGATCATGCGCAAGATGGCCGTCGATATTGGCGCCGAATGTGGCTGTTTCCATTCTCAACGCCATAGGCAACATCTGTCTATTGACAGCCATGTCCAGAGGTATTCCAGTAGCTTGGTGGATAAAAGCAATGGAAGGGGCTACGGTCTCGCAGCTGCATAACTCCTGGAGCTATTCGGTCACAACCCTTCCAATCTTCAGGAACTTGTTCCGACTGGATGTAATCGGCCTCGCCGTCCTGGTCGCAAAGATCTCCGTTGTCGACAGTATACTCTATCAGCGGGCGACGTCGACGTACGTTGGTCAGGACACTCCACAACTAGTCTCTATGCAGGGAGTCGCGGCTACGGCATTCCCATCGACAGGCTATGTCGTGGCAGAGGGATTCGCAGCTCAGACGACATGTGAATGCTTTATGATCGGCGACGAGTATACATCGGTCGTCAATACATGGCAGACAAGCAATGGCTTCTTTCAGGGCTACAACCGATACTTCCAGGAGTGTGATGGTGTCTGCTATGCATATATCGATGCCATCGGATTCGAAATTGACTGTACTGAAGATCGCAACGTGACAGACATCGCTGTCGCTCCGATTGAGGCCTTTAATGCTGCTGGCGGTCGCGGCAATACTACCGCCTGGTCGAATATCCCAATCTTCAATACCTCCTTCACCGTGGACTTTGCCGACGGAACTCACTCCAATCAAAGTGTTATCAACCTTGACCTACAGTACTTCCAGTCCAAGGATCCCTTCAATCCAAGTGGTGAGACCTGTCAAGGTACCGTCACCACTGTTCAGTGCAAGCTCAGGCCAGCCCTAGTCCGATATCCTCTTATGATCACCAATTTCACCAATCCTCACGTCACCAACGGTGTCTCTTTGGGAAGCCTGGCGACCGAAACCCCAGGGGGACACGACGTCATGATCTCGAATCAGAACAATCAGCCATACTCATACAACCTGAAACAAGCAGAAGGTTTCGAGGTTCTGTCCTACTTGTATCCAGACGAGACCGGCAAGCTCAACGGGATCACTTACCTTGGAGGCGTAGCCAACGCCCTCCACATAGCGTTGACCTCCACAGCGACCATCTCTTACCAAGGAAAGGAAGCGTGGTCGCTCAGTCAGACAGGTGTGCTCGCGCAGACCATGATGTATGGCCCGCCCAACATGGGTTCTTGCGACTGCTCCTTCCGCGATGATTCGCTCAGCACGATAGTGGCCAGTATCAACCAACTCGCTTTCTTGACTGCGACTGGTTTGATCGATCAGGAATCGGTGCCGTTTCCAACGACTGCTGGCTCGAACTCGACTGCTAATTTCCTGGTCCCACAACCCAAAACCTATCAAGTCTCCAACACAAGTCAACCACTGATCATTCAAGGAGTTGCTTCGAACAGTACGACAAACTTCAGATCAATGGATGGCACTATGCAGGTCAGCGACGTCACCTTCTTCCAGACTCACTTCCTTTTCCTGGGTCTCGGGGTTGGCATGACTCTGTTATGTGTCATCACAACCGCGTCGCTGTTCTGGCGATACGGTACACTGGGTCGCGATGTCTCACTCGGCCCGATCGAGGTCGCGGGAGCGTTTGGCGCACCAATTTTGTCGACCATGCCTGCCAGCTCACCCAGACCCGACGCCTCTCTAACGGCGGCTCCGAGTCCCACGGTTCCACGTACGTCGCAGGAGAAGCGAGCGCCACGACCTGCGCCAATATCAGTGCAATCAACAAATCAGTCAAATCCACCCAGCCCTGCTATACATAGCCCAGTCAGCTTCGCCAACATGGACGATCTGCTCGCGAAAGTCGGCCACCGAAGTGTGCTGTACGGTCTGGTCGATGTCGAGCACCACGATGATGCGAGTAGCAGCAGTGCAGTCCCGCAATCTCCTGGCTCAGTTCCTGGCTCGCCAGGAGGTCCAAACTCGACTTCTACGAAGCGGAGATCGCAGATCATGACCTTCGGCGATGCTGGGAACGAGCGGGTCAGGCCTGCTACTACGAAGAGGAGGTCGCAAGTTGTGAGTATGGGAAGTGCTATTAGTGAGAAATGAGAAGTTCGGTGAGAAGTTCATTTCCACTAGGAATGCAGCGTTTGCTTGGTCGAGTCGAAGTTCCTCGAGTTAGAAGCTTGGTGTTGATGCTAAGCCACGTCGCCTGATCGGCGCTGATTTCGTAACGAATCTGATGATTGAACGCTATTGATCTTCATGTTACTGAATCCCAGAAGTATTCACAGCCGATATCATAACACTCTCCATGGCCCTTTGTCTAGCGCCCCTTATTCAAGAATCTGCCCCAAAGGGCATAGAAAACGAAATTCCGGGGTTCAACACGAAGCCCGGAAAGCAGGGACTTCGTATGTCCTACACGCGAGACTTGGCGATGACTTCAACACTCATTATTCTCGATGTAGTCTGTGGCATTGCTATGGTACTTTACAGGTCTCGCGCGAGACGTGTTGTGCTAAAAACGTCTGGCCCTCTGTATCGGCCGAGATTTGGTGTACGTCTGCTCACGTATGGGGCTCGATCGAAGCTTCCATGGCTTCGATGCAGAAGCACAGTTTCCAGATGCTGCCTCGCGCTAGTGGACATTGGTGATCGACGACTGCGGCTCCTGGCAGACGACTGCAATGCAGACGACGCGGATGCTTCGTAATTCGAATACGTGACCCGCAGTGCTTGCACAATGCCAACGAACCTGCCGGCAGACTAACGGAGAGTTTGTACGAAACCAGACATGCCAGCACAGATCATCTTTCAAAGTGTATTAGAGTACGAAGGCAAGTCTGTGGATGGGAAGGAAGCTATCGAATGGAGAGGCTTCCGACGTCAGGACGTTACCGATGCATCTCCATCGACGTCAGGCTTGACAACCTTGTTGTCTTGCTGCAGCACCAGAAGACTGGCCCGTTGCATGGGACCACGACGGGACCACGACCAACTGTCACTGGTATAGCATACACACCAGGGTCCAGACTTCTCACAACATCGCGCCGTTGTTCTCGCGTTGTGGGCAACACCCATTGCACCGCCTCAGGCCAAGTCAACCAGGTAAGCGAGCATGGCAGCCAGTCAAGACAAGCATTCGACAGGTCGTCGACAACCGCTCCATCTACTGAGCAAGTAAAGGCCGAATCCATTTCATGCTTCCGTTCCGATTCATCGACGGCCTCTGCTTATCGTGCGCCCTTTGCCTCTGAACAATAGTCGAGCATTCAAGAGGCTTGCGTAATGCACTAATGAAGCGAGGCTGGCTGATCGTCGTCGACGACCGAAGCATGTTCTGTAAGTCATGGAATTGATTCGGAAGGGAATGAGGGAAAGCAAGCGATCACTGCTAACGTTTGCTCCAACCACAGTGGCCTTTAATCCCAGATATATAAAGATAACAACCTGGCTTGATGCCAGAAATCGTAGTCTAAGGGCGAGACAACAGCAGCAGGAACGGCCGACGACGACAACAGCAATGCGCCCAATCCCTTTCATCGTCTCAACAGGCCTCTTGATGCTCATTCCTGTCCTTCTCTTCCTCTCAATAGCCATCAAGACCTCCACTGTCAATACACATGACCACTACAGAACAAGACAACGAACCATCTGCAACCCAACCGACACCCTTATGTCATATGCCTCCAAGCGATGCTCCAACCACGTCTTCTACGCCTGTTGTCCGTTGGGGTATACTGATGCTTTTGTAGAGGATTGCGTGGGTCTGCCGAGCTGTAAGCGTGCTCCTCGGGCAGCTGGACAGGAAATCAATGGGCAAGGAAATGGGGAGAGGAGCTCGAAGGGAGGCGTCATGGCGTGGGAGGGCGTGAGTCCAAACGGAGTGGTCAATTGTGGGGAGAGCCTGAGCAGGGTCTTGTGGGAGTGGTATGGCGTGAGTCTCCTTTCTTTTCTTGCTCTGTGTTGCGGTGTTTGGGAGTGGACTGGTCGGATCAAGTCAGGTAGTTACCTACGACATGTACACATGCTGATGGAGACCGCGCGAGAGGAGCGCGGGGGACAGGGATGCATGGAAGAGCCGCTGCCAGACAGCTTCACGAGTGGTGAGTGTAGGGGTCCCCGCGGGAATCAGTGCTTATAAGAGGTCTGAGACTTCATCTGATGGGAGTGGGCTGGTCGGGTGCGCTAGGGCGTGTGTCTCTGCATGGCCACAAGAAGCAAAGTTGTATGGAGAGGCATGGTCAGAGAAAAGGTACATGTGCCGGGGCAATCGCATCAGTTGTTGTGCTCTAGTGTCAGCCAGAAAACGCAATCTAGCATTTCTCTTCCCTCTAGTCAGTCCTTGCCTTGTGGTACGCGGTATTCCAGCACACGGCGGTTCGTAGAAGTCTCCTTTCGCTCTGAGTGCTGTCTGTACTGTCATCTGTACAATGTCTTAGTAGCAGTGACTTTGAACAATTAGCCAGACAGTGAAAGGACACCCCGACCAATAAATTTAGAGTTTCGCCAAGGCCAGTTGGTGGAGCCATCGGACACGCGATCTTCCATCGCGACTTCGAGCATTGAGCTTCTTGCAAGTCTGTGAGTGTTGCGAATTTCCGAAAGCGCTATTCGAGAGGGACGCGTAACGCGTAAGATCTTGCAGACGATGAAGAAGTCCGAGAAGCGCGTCGAGGCAGCGAACAAGCTCGATATTCGAGACCTCTTCCAACAGTACTGTCCCGAGCCCGCGTGGAAGGCTTTTTCCGAGAAGGCCCAAGCAGCGGATCTTGAAATCGCGACTGCTGATGCCGAAAGTCTTTCAGCGGAGCAGCTCAATGCATGTCTCGATCTGGTCGAGCTGACTAGTGCGGAAGACTACCGGAACTCCGAGACGGGCTGGTCAAGGTCGAAAAAGCGACGGGAGATGAAGTTGCCTGAGATGAGATATATACTCCTTTTTGGGCCACCTGGAGCAGTCCAGTCGTTACCGGCTTCCGAGTTGGCGGGCTTCGTGTCCTTCATGATCACATATGAGGATGGGTATGAGGTGGTCTACGTCTATGAGATCCACTTCGCGCCGGCGTCTCAAGGCAAAGGCTTTGGCAGGCTGCTGATGGAGGTGATCGCAGCATTAGGTTCCAATGTCGGCCTCGAGAAGGCCATGCTGACTGTGTTCAAGTCGAATGCTCGGGCGACGGACTGGTACCTCAAGCTTGAGTACTCTGTGGACGAGTTCTCGCCGCCTGCGAGACGACTGCGCGGAGGTGTGTTAAAGGAGCCGACCTATACCATCCTTTCGAAGCGCATTAAAGCTGAAGGTGATTGAGTCCGGAGTGCAGCGTGAGGGTGTTCCGTCTGGTTCGTCTGAGCAGCTACTAGATTCGTCGCACGACCTTGCCTTTCATCTCAGGCCTTTCGACCTCCCACTCGTCTCGCAGAACAGCGAAAAGTGTATCTCCGACCAAAATGGTCAAACCCAGGCTCCATACAAGGGTGATGGCATAGAAGAAATTTGCGTTTCCAGATCCAGCATAGATCCACAGATAGTGAAACGCAGGTCCCAGCAATGCCGAGTACATAATGATCGCACCGGCAATGAAAGTATAGCGCGTCACTGCCGACGTCAGTTCTCCGCCACAAGGATGGGCATTGCATTGACTCACATGGTATTATATGTTGATACATGGGCAAGAAGCCAAGGAAAAGAGCAACATCGGCTATATTGGGGTATGGTTTGAAAATCGCAAACAACCCGAGCAGGCTGGTGATGACGAAGAGTGGTTCCTTCTGTAGTCGCAGGGTCATGCCGCCAGTGTAGCATGCCATGTGCAGCCAGAAGACGCCGATGAAGAATGATCTGAAAGGGTCGAACATTTCGATGAAGAAATACCACCAGAGTCCAATGTTTGGTGTCAGATCAGGGACAGTCAATTGAAAGCCGTAGCATGACTTGACGAACTCCGAAATGTTGCCAGTAATGAAAACCGTGCTTATAATCAAGATGAGGAGCGCAGCTGTGAAACATCCGACACAGTTTGCCCACAGCGTGACCGACAAAGATTTTCCGCCCGTTGAATGTGCCATGAACAGGACGATTGGCGGAAGTAGTAATGCTGGATACATCGTCTGATACGCAGCGAGTGCCAATGCAAAAATCGACTGCAGTGCGTCACCCTGCTGAGCGCTCAGCACTGCCTGTACAATTGCAGCATTTCCAAGCACGGTGGTAGATCGACCAAGACATGACATGACGGTGAACGGGTTGAAAAGATAAGCCGCAGCAATGACTGATCCATCTAGGCGCTTGAATCGCGGCGATGATAGTTGCAAGTCATGGGCCAAGTGACCGAGTTGAAAAGCGCTCCAGAGATCCAGGATAGTGAATAAAAGCGAAGAAGGGAACAAGCTGAAGATCGGTAGCAGTAAGGGAGCCTGGTGGAAGACTCCTCCATCGTACGGGGAGACACCTCGATCGTACAAGAATAGCCCTTCTTTCAGTGTCTTGAAGCTCGATACTGGCGTGGACAACTCGACCTGACTGCTAAGAACGTCCGCTAAGTCTGGGAACAGGAGAAAGACGCCCAGTCGAAGAGCCGCGGCGCCCGCGAAGAACCCGAGCACTTTTGCATTGAGCTCCATCGGCATCGTTTCACCCAGTAGCTACTGGTGTATACGGTCGATCATTGTCGCGCTTCACATTCGGTCCTGACCGTGACTGTCGTGGCATGAAGTGTTCAAGGGGAAGTCGAGGCCGGGATCTGACCTCGAAATCTTGGCGGCTCCACATGCCGTCCGGGCTCCAAAAAAAGTTGAAGAAGTTGCCCGCCTCCAAATCGAAGAACATCGCATACTGCTTCAACTACTTCACCATACACCAACATTCGCCCATCACAATGGCAAAGATCAAGAAGAAGGGGCAGGCCGGGGCGGCGAAGAACTTCATCACACGCACTCAGGCGGTGCGCAAGCTGCAGATTTCCCTACCTGACTTCCGACGGTTGTGCATTTTCAAGGGCATATATCCTCGAGAACCACGAAATCTCAAGAAAGCCAGCAAGTCCGCTTCACATTCAACAACATTCTACTACACCAAAGACATCCGATATCTGCTTCACGAGCCCCTCTTAGCCAAATTCCGCGACCAGAAAGCACTCTCCAAGAAGATCGCAAAGTCATTAGGTCGCAATGAAGTCCAAGACGCAGCACGACTGGAGAAGACACAGAAGCCCAAGATCAAACTCGACCACATTGTCCGAGAGAGATATCCAACATTCGTCGACGCACTGCGAGACCTCGACGATGCGTTGGCGCTCTTATTCCTCTTCGCTAACCTGCCGTCCACAAGCACCGTACCTCCCAGAGTCATCGCGCGCTGTCAACGGTTATGCCACGAATTCGAGCACTACGTAATCACCTCTCATTCGCTACGGAAGTCGTTTCTGTCGATAAAAGGCATATACTACCAAGTCACAATACAAGGTCAGGACATCATGTGGGTGGTGCCATACCGCTTTGTACAGCAGGCAAGCGCCGAGGTCGACTATCGGATAATGAGCACTTTTGTTGAGTTCTACTGCACTCTCCTGGGATTTGTCAACTACAGACTGTACACTACAATAGGCTTGGTCTACCCTCCCAAGTTTGACACCACCAGTGACGACCGAGGAGCCGAATTAGCTGCTTTCACGTTGCAAGGTCGCAGTAATGGGAAGGAGATCGCAAACGATTCCGACCAGAAGCAGCTAACAAATGGTCATACCGAAGACAATTCTGCAGCACTTCAAGCACAGATTGAACTGGCTGCGGCCGCACAAGAAGCCGCGCCCACAGAGGAAGAATCTATTGCTGATGAGCCCCAAGAAACTGCGGAGACGGATGCGATTGATAAATTCGAGGTCGTCGCTCCCCAAGGTGATGTTCTGGCACAGCCGAGCCTGAGCGGGAATCAAGCGGCATCGTTATTCGCCAACTTGACAGTCTACATCTCACGTGAAGCACCACGCCATTCAATTGAATTCCTGCTGCGGGCTTTTGGGTGCAAACGAGTCGGATGGGACGCAGTTCTCGGCGACGGCGCCTTCACACAAGATGAAACTGATCCGAGAATTACACATCAGATTGTCGATCGCCCTGCCTTTGCAGACCCGCTGCCAGCTCAACACAATGGTGCTACTACGAATGCTGAGCAGCTCCAGAAAGTGAAGCCTGGGTACATCATGCCAGGTCGCATCTACGTGCAACCACAGTGGGTATGGGACTGTGTCAACGAAGGCGAGCTACAGAGAACCGATACCTACGCACCTGGTGCTACTCTGCCTCCCCATTTAAGTCCATGGGTGAAGCCGACCAAGGGCCAATACGACCCACGCGCAACACTCGAGGAGCAGGAAGCCGAAGGTGAAGCAGACGACGACTCCGAGGTCGAAGCCGAGGATGAGGAAGTCGAGGAGCAGGTTGCTGCAGAACTTGAAGGGGCCGCCAATAGCGAGGAGGACAGTGAGGTCGACGCAGGCGACATGGACGTGGCAGCAAGTGATAACGAAGCCGACTCAGGTGGTGAGGAAGATGGGTACAACGATCTGGACGGTTTCGAAGGTTTCGAGGACGAGGCCGAAGATATCGACGATGAGGAGGCCTTGCACCAGAGGGAGTTGGCTGCTGAAGCGGCAGGACTTGCGATCAATGCAAAGAAACTCAATCCGGAGCAGGAGCGCAAGGAGAAAGCAAAGAAGGAGCGCCAATCGAAGCAGACCAAGGAAGACGAGGAGATTGAGCGACGGAAGATGATGATGAGTAACAAGAAGCGGAAACTCTTTGAAAAGATGCAGTTTGGCAACGAGAAGAAAGACGCGGAGGCCGCTGCTTTGCGAAAGAAGAGGAGAAAGCTCGAGAGAAGCCAGTAGAGCCGCTAGACAGTCACAATTTAAAGCCAGACTAATCGAGATCTGCTTGCTCTTTCACTACGAGTCGACCTTTCCACCATTGCTCGTGAAGCGTTACTCCTATCTTTTCTGTGTGTGCTCGATTCAAATATGGGTGCTTCGTCTCGCCGGTTGACCTGTACTGCGTCAAATTCGTCTTAGTGTTCCGACTGCCGCGGAAAACAAATCCGACGAGCTCCAACATCTGAGCTTCTTGCGCAGCGGAATTTCGCACAGCTGCCAGCACTGCGTTCGCGTTCCTCTAAGCTTGACGAGGCAAAGTAGCAGCTTCGAGATGGTCGCGCAACATATGGCCTTACGGCTTGCGCGCCATACGGCTCGAAGACAGCTGTTGAGGCCAAGCCTGACCCAGGTAGGCCACCTTTTCCTCCCTACACGTGCCCGACTGACCTTGCACAGCGGAGATACTTTGCTGAGCGCAACGACACACTTCTGAGCTCAGACCCAAACTTCAAGGCCGAGAGGACGTCAGTCGGAGTCGCGACTGGCCCAGGAGGACCCGGAAATCCTGCCCCATTTCCAGCTACACCCGCAACTCCTTCCTCGACCACGCCAGTGCCGGTACAGAACAAGTTGCCAGCGGCTCAAGCCGACGTTTCGAAAATACAGACCGCGCCTCCTACTTCGACAGGCACAACAAGTCCTCCTCCGCCGCCTCCTGCCTCCTCGACACCGCCTCCACCTCCACCACCAGCACCAAAGAAACGCTTCCGCCGGACACGGTTCCTCCTCTGGCTTATTGCCTTAAGCGCCCTAGGATACGGCGGAGCAGTATTCTACGCACTACGATCCGACAACTTCCACGACTTCTTCACCGAATACGTGCCATTTGGCGAAGAAGCAGTCCTGTTCTTCCAAGAGCGATCTTTCCAGAAACGTTTCCCAAATGCCAGCTCAGCAATCGCCAAGTCCCGGCGGACAACAGCTACCGACAGCAAGGATACGGTGAAGATACCCTATAGGTCTGGTCTGTCATGGAAGACTGTCGAAGAGGACGATAGCAAGACTTCCGACGTCAGTCAGCGAGGCCGACACATGAGTGCTGTGGACAAGAACGGTCCCACATCGCCAGACCCAAATGCAGCTACTCACAGAGATGTGAAGAAGGCAACCGATGCAGCTAAGGAGAAGAACACAGCCAGGCCGACGGAGAGCTTGAATGCTCCCAAAGGCGACACAAAGGTCGAGCCAAAGCCAGTCCAGGCAAAGACAATCGAGAAGCCAGCAGAAAAGCCAACAGCAGCGCCCGCCGGCACAGAAGCTACACATCCTAGTCCCGCCACACCATCGCCAAAGGCAGATCCTCGCCCACCAGCTTTCGCTCCAGTCGAGCAGATTTCCCCACTGAAGGTCCCCAACGCCGAAGAGCCGGTAGTCCAAGATCTCGTCAAGATCCTGAACGACCTCATCACAGTAGTCAACGCCGACACCAAGGACACAGCCAACAAATTGTCAGCCCCCATGACCAAAGCCAAAGAGTCTCTCACAGCAGTAGCTGCCAAAATTACCGAACTCCGCGACGCCGAGCGAAAAGCCGCTGAAGAACGCATCAAACAAGCCCACGCCGAATTTGACGAAGGCGCCAAGCAACTCCTCCAACGCATCGAAACCACCCAACGCGAAGACGAAGCCAAATTCCGCGAAGAGTTTGAATCCGAACGCGCCCGTATATCTCAACTCTACGAAGACCGCCTCAAGAACGAAGTCGAGCGCAGCACCGCCGTCGCGGAGCAACAAACCAAAATCGCCTCGCCGAACAAGCCATCGAGCTCAAAAAGGCCTTTGCCTCCGAAATTCAATCCCTCGTCGAGCAGGAACGTGGCGGCCGCCTCTCCAAACTCACCGACCTCTCCACCAACGTCGACAGCCTCACGCAACTGACGTCCGACTGGAATGGGGTCATCGACTCGAACCTCGCTACCCAGAAACTGCAAGTCGCAGTCGACAGCGTCCGCGCTGCCCTCGCCTCCAGTTCCTATAGCGAATCCACACCCAAACCGTTCGTCCGCGAAATGGCCGCCCTAAAACTCGTCGCAAACGGCGACGCCCTAGTCGACGCCGCTATCGCCTCCATCAACCCGTCCGCGTACCAACGCGGTATACCCTCTCAGCCCCAACTGATCGACCGCTTCCGCCGCGTCGCGTCCGAAGTGCGCAAAGCCGCCCTCCTTCCCGAGGATGCAGGGCTGGCGTCCCATGCAGCGAGCTTTTTGCTGAGTAATGTCATGTTCAAGAAACGGGGCCAGCCGCAGGGCAATGATGTGGAGAGTATACTCACGAGGACGGAGAGTATGTTGGAAGAGGGCAATATTGATGGGGCGGCGCGGGAGCTGAATGGGTTGCAGGGGTGGAGTAAAGTTCTCAGTAAAGATTTGCTGCAGGATATGAGGAAGGTGCTGGAAGTCAGGCAAGCGTTGGATGTGGTGGAGGCGGAGGCGCGGCTGCAGTGTCTGAGGGTGGAGTAGTTGCGCTGTTATCACGGTGTGGCATGGGGAGCTTGAGAATGGCTGTGAGGCCTTCTCATGTATTGTACGTACATACAAAGGGATCGGAGAAGCCTGGGAACAAAAGCTCAAGGTGAAGGAGCAGATCCTCGTGGCAGGGTCCGAGGCTCGACGCCACCGGACTTTCGTGTTCGAGCGAAGATTAGTGCTCAGCGAGATAGACGAATTGACCTTGCATTGTTATTCAAGGGCCCCTTCCTCGCCTTTACCGTATCCGGGGTCGACATCATCTAGGACGACATTGCACTACGGCATGAAACTCCAAGCCAGGGAGATGACCTCAGTTCCGCACATACTTCAGAACCACTGCAACACAGCCTTGATAGCCGTCCCTTCATGCATCTCCCCCAATGCCTCCTCCATCCTCTCCACGGGGAACACCTTCCACAACTTCTCCACCGGAAACTTCCCCTCCTGATGCAGCTCGACCAGTCGTGGAATGAACTCCGCAGGAACAGAGTCACCTTCGATCACACCAATGTACCGCTTGTTCTTGAGCAGGCAGGCGATCGGCGAGCCAGAGAAGACATTATGTTTAGCTCCTTGACCACTCCACACTATCTGATACGTTCTATCATCTATCACCATTACCAAAATATGAGCCACGAGGACCACTACGAGACGGAGCAGTGAGCGACCCTCGGGCTCGAAGTCATGAATGCGCTCTTCAGGAGGCGCTGTTCAGATTTGTGTTCGACAAGCCCGTCTTTCGGGCTTTGTTGTAAACAACTCTTTGGCCTCGGCACGCGTGGTCACTTGGTGCATAGCCACAAATATGGTTGGTGGCAAGCAATGCGATGTTGACGATGAAATCATGCAACTACGACGATATAAACTTCTGCTGCTATACAAACGAGCGCATCCACAGTCTCGACAAAGATCAGGAAAACGCATGTTGTCGTTGACAGGGGTGAAGGGACAAATCTGCTCAGAGCCATCAAAGCATATGACCAAGTCATAGCGCATTGAATGAGGCTCTCCGCCGAGGTGGTCCGGTGGCCCAAATGTAAAGACTATGTTCGTGGCCACAACGACTTCATGGAAACGAGTTCCTTGTTACCAAAGGCCACGAACTGACACACATCGGGTTGTTGATGTCGATGACTGCCCCGATGGCCAAAAGACACGCTCCGCTGCGGCGTTTTACACTCTCCGAAGAGGTCATGTTCGCGTCCAAGCTATGCTTCCTGTTCATGGGTGCAGTACCGTCTGGAGTGGAGGCTGTCCGACAGAAACTCGTCAAAAGCCTGCTGATCGAGATGGAATCTGACGGTATCGAGAAAATTCTAACCGACGGGCAAGCACCATCTGCGCAGGGCAGAGGACCGAGGCCCATCACTGAGAAGTGCACACGGGAGGTCTCGCGCTGGTCTCCATTTCGGCGAAATCAGTTCGCGATGGTCCATATCCGATATGAAGACGCAACAGATGCTCAAGCTCTTCGTGACGCATCGCACCTGCGCTCACCTTACCAGCATAGCGTTTTTAATGTTCTCGTACGCTTTTTTCGTGGTTCTATCACGCGGATTATTCGCTACTAGAAGTGAGCAACTCCTACCGCAGAACGACAAGTGCCTAGAGTCACGCATAATCAGTCCGGCAAGATTTTTGTGCAGGCTGACGAAGGCGAACCCCTAGCCGACAACGAATACTACTTCCGCGTCCCCTTGAAATTGGACGGCTGATACGCTGTCCGCGTGGCAGTTTCCCATCGTCATCTTGGCCACGTGGACATGTCTTAGTAGATTGTCCTTCTACGGCGCTCCTCCACTGAGTTACACATAAACAGCTCTCTCACGTCCAGATCGAATGGCCTTATCCAACTTGTCAGAATCCTTTCAAGCCTCGACTACTGAAGCTTGGCCCTACGACAGACGATCGGAGAGACGACTCAGATGATCTTCATATCGTTAATCGCCTCTGCTTTGGCTTCGCCTTCGAGGTGGATAATGGTTGCCTTTCACATGTGAATGCTTAACGTAGTACTATTGACGGGCTTGCTGATGATGATATTGTCGAGCTTGTTCGCAAGAACTCTATGGCCAAGCACATCAAAGAAGATCTGATCAGTGGATATAAGCTCGCCGCGTCGCCTTTATATGCCCGCTGCAACTATCGGAGTGCGCCTCGCTCTGCTACAATGTCGTTCTGGCCTCGGGGCCATAGCCGTTGTCAAGTTTGGGGCATTCAAGCAAGCAGCCCACGAGCACATTGCTGACCACCATCTGGGTGATCTCGTCTCGTGGTACAACGAATCTGTCGGATGCAACGGCCTCTACACCAACTTGCCACTACGGAACACCATCACTGCCCGCCTGACTGGCTGGTTCGAAGGCAAGGGTGCTGTGCTAGCAGCCTAAGAATGAAGGATCGAACTGCTCCATGCGCCAAACCTGCAAAGAAGGCAGTCTCTTTTTTTTGGTAGGTACCGAAGCCATCTGAATAAATGTATAGTATGTACACGGGAGGCCCCGTGGTGGAAGGGCTCTGTGGGAAGGACCATCTCATCTCGCTTTACTAAAGCCTTACGAGCGTCTGTGTACAACCCTCGCCTAAGCAACAAGACAGCCACGACTATGCCCCAAGCCACGACCAGGACCACATCTTTGGAAGGTCGCGTAGCCTCTGACCACGTTGCATTCGGAGCATGAGATGCAACAGACACGCCGCTTGTGTTCGAAAACAGTGGCTGAAGATCGTGCAGCACATGTTGACTGGCATGGCTAGAAACCTCGTCGGCGAAGCGCTTCGTCAGATTCTGGACCATGGTCTGGTTTTTCGTCGCGGAACAGATAGAAGTCCCGGTCAGGCAACAGGCTTCCAGTTTCTGGAGTCAATGTGAACCTGCCGCAGATGAGGCGGAAAAGACATCCCCGACCGTGCGTTTTTTGCCAGAACGCACTGCCGCGGTAAGCCACGCGTGCTTGGACGATGCAGAGCTTCAGGAACAGGGTGGATGAGCTCCGTGGTAGACCACAGAACAGAAATCAAAACCCTGCAAAAGAGACGGCAATACGTGAGTTGCTTCGGGAGTACCATGCAGTATTGCCGTGCGCTCCTACGCTTCGTCTCTGAAGATTGATCCTGCGCCCCGCCGCTACCCAACGTATGCCCTGCAAATGCCAAACGACGTCCAGCTACGCCGTGCTGAGTTCAAATATGACCCTCCCAATGCCTAAAATCAAACAACTGCAGACCAAACAATGGTCGCCATCATCCCTTCAAACCCAAATTCTGCCTGATCCTCTCCGGCGCCACCTCGGCGTACGGATCATGCTCTCCCTTGACGTCCTCCGGACGCGGCGTCATCCCCGCGATCTCAGTATCAGCATCCGAATCAACCTCTCCGTCCTGACTCCGTATAGGCGACGACGGCGAAAGCACCATCTCTTCTCCATCTCCTTGACTCCCAGCACTCTTCTTAGCAGCTTTGGCAGTCCTATCGCCATCGTCTGTCCCGGGCACTACAACAGCGCCTGTAGCCTTCTCAGCATACATGTCCAGGAATGCGTCCCGGACGACTTCGTAGAGCAGGCTGTACTGGACTTCATTCATGACCATCATCATGCGCTGCTGGCGGAGGGCGTCGACTGTGTCGTGGATGAGGTCTCCAGTGATGCTTGTTCCCTCTCCTTGTTTGAGCTCAGGGGTCGTAATCTTGGAGCGGGCGATGCCGGATTTGCCGTATGTGGTATTGTCCGTGGGCGGGTCGTTGGGCTTGCCGGTGCCTTGCTCAGCCGTCGTGTTATTGGTTACTTTGGAGTCCGAGGTGGTGGCGTCTCTTTCTGTCGGATCTTCAGTACGGCTTGCGAGTCGTCCAGCGCTAAGTTCGGCGGTCAGGAAGTCGAGTGCCACGAACGTGCCTGTCCTGCCAACGCCAGCGCTGCAGTGCACTACTCGCGGACTTTCGCCTGCGTCCTCCTTACTCTTCTTCATGAGACGCAAGAGGGCTGCCCGTTCTTCGGCTTCTGGCTTGCCGAAATCGGGCCAGTGCTCGTAGAGGTAGTGGATCACAGTCTTCTCTTGGCTGCCGATGGTAAGCTTGAGCGTTCGTACCACGCAGCCTATCTCAGCATCGTAGGTAGACGACAGCAGTTCGACCGTGCCTGCTTCGGTCATGTCGGGCAGTGGGACGTGATTTGTCTCCGTCGTGTTACCGTCCGTCGGGATTTGAGGGTCTGAACGAAAAAGGTTAGAACCAGTTGTGCGATAAGGAGAATTCAGGAAGAGGTCACCATCTTCTCGGATAGCAGTCACGACATCACTATTGCTTGCATTCCGTTGCTCAGGGGCGAGTACGATCGGACGAGCCTTGTCAAAGGGAAAGTATTGGGCACATTTCTCTTTGTTGCCTTCGTAGCATGGCGTAAGCATAATGATCACTCCGGTGTCACCGATGCTCTCCTGCATGACCATGTGCCAGAAGTGGGAGAACTGGCCGTCTTTGGGACCTTGCGTGGCGATATAGCTGTATTCGCCGCCTGTTTTGATTGAAGAAGCGCTAGCTGTCGATGATGTCCGCTTCAGCTGCTTGATCGCACGTCGGGATATTGACTGCAGTCTGATTGGAGAGGCATTGATATAGTCCGATCCTCCGATGGGCGTTCGTAGCTGTATTCGTGAGTCTGCCCAGGGCTGTATGTTGCCATAGCGATTTCGCTGCGTCACCTTAGCAGATTTATCGAGCTTGAAAGGTGAGTCCGCATCTTGTAAGGCACCTGCGACCCGATATCGTTGCTTCCATTCCAGGTCAAGGAAAGCCTCTGATATTTCTGACCTAGGGTCAGATCAGTGTCCATGGCTGTGGACTACACTCACCTGATTTCGACTTGCTCAAGTAAGCAGGCATCCGAAGTGACCGTCTCATTGCAGCTTCATCCACAGTCGGTGCTTGGTGGTTCGTGTTGGCTTTTGCGGTGCCGGACTTCCCACTGGCCCTTCTGCTGTCTCTACTGTGGTCCCTTGGCCGCTTTCTCTCCTTCAGATCTGAGCCCAGATCAAGGCTCTGTGGCATGCTGGCAGTGATCTCGGCTACATCAGTGGAATGGCTGGTCTTTATCCTGGTCTGGCTAGACGCTCGACTGCTGGTAGCTACCACAGGCAATGATGATGAAGTCACTGGCCGCTCGATGTGCAGCGTTGGTGGTTTCGGCTTCTGTTTCTTGCCGTGTGAATGTATATGAAACCGCTGGAAGATAGTTGGTTTGCGGGCTGGTGGTGGTGGACGAGGCGGATCTTCAGATTGCTATCTACAGATGAGTACTACTTTGATGAAACCAGAGTGCCAGTATCACCTCTGAGATCCCGGCGCCGGAGCCTCTGTCAGAGAAGAAGCGTGAGACGGTCGTCTTGGAACAGGCCGAGGGGTGTAGGAGCCAAGAAGGGGTATCGGGATGTTAGCCAATGCGTTTTCGAAACAGCAAGCGGTCTTCTAGTATGCGGAGACGAGGCTTCGATGTAGTGGAGAACTCGAGCAACGATCGTCAATGCCGTTCGCGTGATGAGAGACTTAGCGAGCTATGTCCGTATTGCCGATGTGGGTAGATCAGTGATGCTTAAATAAGCCAAAGCGAGAAAGTGAAGAAGAGAGCCAAGGTTTGCCAACGTGATTGCACCCGGTCTTTCTCTGACACAAGCAGGAGCACAGAAATCGTTCGAAGGCTCACGGATTTCGATGTTTTATTTGTTGACGTTAATGGTCGTCGCTGCTCCTCGCGTTCCTGATAAGTCGTGGCGGAGAACGGCCGGCGAGGCTGAAATTCAGCCTCGGGCTATCCTCCGGCGAGTCCGACCTCAACCACGCCACCGCATCTCTAGTCAAGGCCACGTAGTGATTCCAGTGTCCTCGTTATGAGTGATGCTGGACCGAGTTATATGTCATATAACTTGGTAGTACGAGTCTAGACTGCCAAAGCAGCACAGGTAGGAAGCATTGATTACTCAGGACGCTCGCGTGAACCGGCTGATACGATGTCTTGGTTCGCGATTTTTGAGGTAGGCTTGAATTGCCCGAGAATTCGTGGACATCGCTGACGAGATCCAGCGCAAGCTCATCGACGCTCTCTTGAGATCGCCCGTGTTCACACGATCAGTACAGCAAGTTCATAAGAGAGTCCATACGCTACAGCATGGTAAAGCCCCCGAATATCATAATCCCACCCAGATCGAGGGTGAGGAGTTCGCGGGCAATGGAGGCGTCGGCCGATTTTTCAAGTTCTTCTGGGAAGAGCTGAAGAGCGGGCACAAGCCGGAACCAAAAGCGCCACAGCGAGGGAAACCCTGACTACGGCCCACCTACGGCTTAAAGATATCCTTCCGCTCGCTCGCTGCGATTTTGGAAGCGGGCGCCGGTTATGGCTGATCTCAGCCACCAGTTGAGAGCCAGTCGACTGGAAAAATGAGCAGATACTCGGCCACAGGAGCCTACAACGCGGCCCGATACGTTCTCGGACATTCACAGGATCAACCTGTGCCAGCTTCTCGGCCATGCGATAGCACTCCTGACCTCAACAGTGGGTCTGCTCTCCGTCCAGAACCTGGCAGCAGTCTGAGTCGTGTCACTGCCGCTGGTCATCTCGATGCGCTCCTTCGCCATCATGTCGTTCTTGGAAAGAAGTTCTTTGGAAAGCGTGGAAGGAACAAGAACGACGTTACGAAGAGGAACTATGCATCCTGGAGTTGACGTCCGTCAGTACGCAAAGGCTCAGATGAGCGTATCGGTCTTGAGCATGGCTTTCCTGAGGCAATTGTTTGCGGTGCACTGGGTTGTTCTGGGATACCTCAACCTTGCTGTATGGTGGAGCAGAAGAGGGTTCGAGACGACCATTCGCACTTCACCTTCAAATGGCTGAAGATGCCACTTCAATGCCGTCATCGGCAACCACAGACGTGGTGAGAGACAATATTGACATCCGCAGCGACGCCATTGTGCGATCGAGCAGCAGTCATACACAAATCGTTTGTCTATTCACGTCTGACTCCGGGCAGCTTCACAGCCGTCATGGAGACCACGTCAGGTCACATATCAAACCTGAAACGGAGTGCCCTCTTCATCTACATGAAGTTCAATAAGCGACACTTCGCTCTGCTCTAGCCCTTGACTGGCTCCTCATGCTCACCGTGACACCACGGACGCAGATTAGGCCATTACCCACCTCTCCCATGAGTTTTGACCCTCATTTCGTCCGAAGATTGATCTCTGCGGGAGCTGGACGAGACACGAATTCAGGCACAGTTACAGATCCAACTTACTGTCGCTCAGCATCTCACCCTAGCTCATATTGTTGATGCTCCCAGTCTCAAAGCGGTGTTCACTCGACCGCCGTGTTGATGAGTCAGGACGTCCATTGTCCTCCTATATTTCGTCTTACGCTCATCGCATAGTAATGAGCGCCATGCGAATGCTGTCTTCTCTGAGCCTGGACGTGATTCACAGTGACCGATCATACATGGCGGTTCGAGTCATTGTACGACGAGCTCAACCCGGAGTGCGCCCGAAAGTCCTCGATGGGGACATCAGCGTGCAACGAGGTCTAGATCGGCTGGTCATGAGGTCCTCAAAAGCCTCGTCTAGAGATGATATGCATTTTTAGATCTCAGTAGAAGCACCACCAAGACAAGGATCTGTATGAACATTTTGGGATCTGCTTTGCGGGGTATGCATGTGCATGGCCCCGGCTTGAAGCGAGCACCCAAGGCAGAATGGCATCTGACTTCGTGTGTAAGCTCGTGTTCGAAGATCTTGTTGCTTCAAGACTTAGCATCGGAGTCTTCGAATGTACACACTGATGCTGCTCTTCGCCGTTGAGACCGCGCTGTATCGCTCTGCAATGCCACGAACTTAGCTCACTTCTGGACAGGTACCAGGTACTTTCCCGGACCGCCGTCACCGCACATTGCTTCTGTTCCATCGGGCGACCTCAAGCTTGCATGATAGCATGTGCCAATGTATCAGGTACTTCACACTTGAACTCATGTCGGTTAGACCTTTAGAGGCCTGCTTGATTCTGTGCAGGCTTTCAGGCCGTGGTGCAGTCCGATGGCCTAACGATCGAGGATAATGGATAAAAATCAATCAGCCCGGATGCCAGTGGAGACAGAACGGGATGAGACTGGACGTGATGATTGGTCGGAGGCAAAATCCATCTCGTCATGATGCCGCCGCGCCAGTTGCGGGGAGCATGAATTCAAGGTCAACATCAGCCACACTCCACCGAAATACCATAGCAACGTGCTGCATGACAAGCCAGCGATTGACAGAAAGGAGCCTTCATCTGTAGCTTGGTTTAGCGCCAACATAGCTGACCAAGGAGCTTGCTGGCGCCCAAATTTTGTGAGACGAGCAGTGACTTGTGACTTTCCCGCAGCTTACCTTACCAGAATTGTGGCCCCCCTCTCTCCGCAGCAACGTCACTGTCTGAGAAGAGCTCCTGCCTCAGGTACCTAGCTTTTCGTTATACTGCTGCCTTGAATTTCGAGTACTCTTCCTCCTCTCTACCACTGCTCGTTCACTCTCGTCGTTGTGCATATATCTCTTGAACATAATTTAACCAGACATATCTCCATACCGCAATCATGATTGTCGAGCCAGGCATGGTTGAGGCTCTCAAGAAGGCCACCTCTACGGTAGCACCCATTCCCACTGTCATCCCAGGTGCCGACCCCATCTACCAGACGGCTGGTGATGTTGGTAACCGTACACTATGGTAAGGAGCTCGGAACAGCTTCAGCGAGCTTCACTGACTCTCTCAGGGCCGTTTGCATCATCATGGCCCTGTCATCGCTGGCCTTCTATGGCATGGCCTTCCGTCAGCCAGTGGTACGTAGCTCCCGGAGCTTCCTCGAGCCTTCCAAAGCTAATTCCTGTCCCAGCAAAAACGCCTGTTCCACATCCTGACCGCCTTCATCACCACCTTTGCCTTCCTGTCCTACTTTGCCATGGCCAGCGGTGATGGCATCAGCCTCAACAAGACCGTCATAACTGAGAGCCACAAGCACGTCCCAGATACCGAGCAGATCATCTACCGTGAGGTCTACTGGGCACGTTACGTTGACTGGAGTGTCACCACCCCACTCCTGCTCATGGATCTCGCTCTTATGGCTGGTCTCAGCGGCGCCAACATTCTGGTCGCCATCGTTGCTGATGTGATCATGGTGCTCACTGGTCTCTTCGCTGCTTACGGCAAGGGTGATGGCCAGAAGTGGGGCTGGTACGCGTGGGCTTGCATTGCCTACCTTGTCGTCGTTTACCAGCTTGCCGTCAATGGTCGCTCTACTGTTGCGAGCAAGGACAGCAAGACCAAGGCTTTCTACGGTGCAATTGCCGGGTTCACCTTGATCCTCTGGACTGTCTACCCAATCATCTGGGGTATCGCTGATGGTGGCCGCCTGGTCGGTCTTGATGCTGAGATCATCTCCTATGCTGTTCTCGATGTCCTTGCCAAGCCAGTCTTCGGCTTCTGGCTCCTGTTCACCCACGACAGCATGTCATCCACGTAAGCAAAATCTCAGACTTGACAAGGACATTCACTAACAACCTGAAGCTCCCCATCGCTCGAAGGCTTCTGGTCCAACGGCTTCGGTAGCCAGGGCACCCTCCGGGTGGGTGACGACGATGAAGCATAAACGCGTTCCGTCATACTGACAATCACACAGGTTGGCGATGACTAAATCACGATTCGACGCCACGACAATCGTCCGAGATCTGCCAACCTGCCGTGCTAAGCGCTTTACGCGATTGTCGGAACACAAATCCAAGTAATGAACATGGGGACGAGAACGAACAACACCTCGATCGAGAATGCAGTCTGCCAACGAGGACAACACCAACAATACTCCCAACCCAACTCTAACGTCCCAAACGATATCGATCACACTATCTCCACACCATCAAACTACCCCAACACGATCATCGAGCCTCACGACCCCAAGAACGTAATTAGTTGGATGAGCTGAAGGATAAAAAGGCCTGACTTTGAGCTGGTACTTTGCAAGATGAATGAAGAGAGACACAACCGAAAGGCAGCAGTCTGTGCATCGAACCGGTGTTCTTAGACACCTCGTATTTAGTCGCATGCACGTGGCGTTTTTGTGTAAAATCAGATAGTCAATCAGCCAGGATAGCAATCATGAATGCCTCTCTCTTTACTTATCATGGTTTTCTCAACCTATTTTGCTTTAGCTAATGAGTGGTACTCTTGTTACGCGTACGTGCGTGGTACGACTCTAGATCGTTGCCTGCGCACCCTCCTCGTCTCTTGGCGACGGAATATAAATGCTGTCTCGCATGTCTTCCGCAGAACTTCGGTCTCTTTGACCATCTCTGGTACATTATATGGCAGGTGTCCTCAGGCTGCGCCTGGCATTCGAGTTCTTCTTCTCTCATGTGACTACGCTCAAATAGCATCATCCTTCAACCTTCCAGATGAGCTTCTCATTGTCCTTCTCTGCCAGGTAGTAGCGTTCGGCCTTCTGGTACTCCTCATCCCAAGAGATGTTACAGTGACGCGCAGCGAATTCGGCATGGGCAGGCAATGTGATGTGACAACGCTAATGATAGAGGTCAGTGGAGGACCATGGGGTGGGCTGGGGGAGTCTCAAACGTACCAAGATATTGCCCAAGTGTTCGTCGCCGGGATCAGCCAGTGGGTATGGCCAGCCGTATGGGTTCTCTGGCTCAGTTGCGGAATGTTCTTCGTCGTCCAAGTTTCCCTGAGCCGTCAAAGGCATCGCCGCCATCCGACCTACTTCGCCGTCAGAGTCTCCTTCGCTGTCAGAGTCTCCTTCGCCAGCATCGTTTGCTACAGCATCGTCTCGCTCGGGTCGACTGATGTGAAACGTTCCGATCAGGATATCCGCTCTGATTTCCACCGGCCTGGACTTTGTAGCGTAGATTGGCGTCTGAAGCAGGAACTCCCGGAGCACATCCAAACAACGATCCACCAACAAAGGGGTATAGTCTCCAGCATTGAAGGCAGATGCCGTGAAGTTCTCGAGCAGCGCAGACGGTAGTTCTCTGAAGCCATCTGGAAGTTCGAATGTCTTGTTTGTATCAAAGTACTGGAGCTGTGGCAGACTGCTGTGAAATTCTGGTGTCAGAGAGGGTAGCATACGATCATCGACGATCGATAGCCCTTGTATGTGCTTCTGCCAATCTTTGGGGACGCAGGCATACAGCCGTGGTAGAGCCTGCTTTGGAATCTGCCGAGGAGACTCTACTATCACTCCGATTCCAGCAATATGAACCTGCTCACGGCCGAGCTCCAGAGGTCGCTCGCTGCATATGACAGGTATCAACTCTTCGCGGATAAGTCGAGACACGCCCAAGATCCCAGCGCCCCACGTCGATCTGTTGTAGCCCTCCCCTACCGTGAACTGAGGGTCAGGTCGACTGTTTCTGTTGTAATCTGCGTCCAAGAACACTACATGATAGCTGACCTCTCCACACGCTAGATACTGCTCGTAGATGTTGCGACGGATCTCCGCCGGGATGGTGTCGAGACGATGCATGGTGATCAACGAGATGAAGTGATGACGGCGATGATGGCTAATTTGCTCAGGTTGGAAAGTTTTGCCCGATTCTCGGTGATGCAAATCAACAGCGATGCACAAGTGCTGGTTGAGATGGATTGCGAGAGTCTGTCGATGAAAAAGGACGTGGTAGACCAATTGAGAAGGGGCCCTCGATCAGGAACACAGAGATGGATAGAATGTGAAGATTAAACGAACGACTTGCAGTTGAAATGCCAAAATTTGAGGTCAAATAAGGCAACCGCGACTGTGCGAATTTCGGGGTACCACGCTGTGTGCCTTCCTAGTCCAGAGACGCGCCTTCCAATTCTCTGCGCACTAGGTGCCATGGCTCCTTCTCAGTCCGCTGATGTACCTTCTCTACGCATCACCATGGCTCCTTCTCTTACTGCCAATTTTGCTGTAGCTTCGTGTAGTCCTGCATCGTTCTCTTCATCATTCGAGTACTCTCCTCAGGCTTAGTTCGTGTGGCCACCAGCCATCTCCTGTGCTGTATGTGTGTATTTGCTATTGCTTCACAGCCGACGCTGGCTGGCTTCCCACGAGTTTCCATACCTCCAGAGGACTGTCCACCTCAGCTACCTACGAAGACGATCCAGACAATGACGAACACTCCAGCTCCAGTTCCCTCGTAGCCGAACGTCGAGAATCAACAACATACCTGTGTCACAAGAGCAGGACCACGCCATAAGACGACATCATTCCTACCTGAAGGCCGACCCACCCACCGTTCTCAAACCTCGCAGTCCCTACCTGATCCGACATAAGCCTCTACTCCCAGTATTTCCGTCCGCTGCACGCACCTGACGATGGTCTTTGTGTCCCTGATACTCTGACTGAGGGGAGGCTGCGACACATGTTCCGAATATGATATCTCCTCTCGTGGTCATAAGTCGTCGCCTGATGCAACCTGTATGAGTGTCTGTTCATGAAAAGTGTCTGCAAAAGGCCGCTGTGTGGGCCGAGTAGAGGTCGAAAAGAGCATGCTTCATGATCTGCAGGTTGAAGGGGATCGAGTAGTAGGTTCGGTGGAGGTCGGAATGACGGTTCACAACATTCTATGAGACCGCTCTCCGCAAAAGCCGACGTCCTTCTTCACATCGGACGAACATCAAGCTGTCGGACTGGCAGCTCCGAGCGATCGCTGAACACACGGCGTACCACGCACCTACAAGCTGCAACCTTGAACAGAAACAAAGGTCGTGGTTGCCTGAATTTGTGATTGCCTTATCATACTGATTCGAAAAACGTCAACTTGGAGAAATGCTTGAGTCGTTCCTTCCAGCAACCACGAAGAAAGTTGACCGGCATACACGAGAGTACTCATTCCGACTCCCGCTTTCTAACGATTTTCAATCCTCCTAGGCCTTCGCGCTGTCTCCGATGACCCTCAGGTCATGACCGAGGCCGCAAAACAGGCAGCAAAGTTCCTGAAGTCAACACTTCGCCTACCGGTCTCCACATTCCCAGCGCGCGCTCCGCCGCAAGACATCGCCAAGTACCTCCCACGATGCACAGATGACCTGTATGCCTGGCAGCGCCAGGCACGTACTACCTCACCAACCTTCACACTCCATGATGGGCCGCCGTACGCCAACGGTGACCTCCACGTAGGCCATGCCCTAAACAAGATCCTCAAGGACATAATATGCCGTACAAAACTGTCCCAGGGGAACAAGATAGACTACGTGCCCGGATGGGACTGTCACGGTCTACCTATAGAGCTGAAAGCGCTCGAGAAGCATGGCTGGCAGCGTGGAGAAGGTAAAGACCCGGTTGCCATCCGCAAGGCGGCACGGAACTTTGCATTGAAAGCGGTCGAAAAGCAGATGAAGGGCTTCAAGGCTTGGGGTGTCATGGCGGACTGGGAGGGCCATTGGAAGACGATGGACAAATCGTTCGAATTGCGGCAGCTCCAGGTGTTTCGAGACATGGTCGAGAAGGGTTTGATCTACAGAAAGCACAAGCCTGTGTATTGGAGCCCGAGTTCGGGGACCGCGCTGGCAGAGGCGGAACTCGAGTACAAGGAGGACCACGTCAGCACGGCGGCCTACGTCAAGTTTCAGCTGGACAATTCAAAACCTGGCGATGGCCCATTGCATGCACTTATCTGGACCACCACGCCCTGGACGTTACCTGCCAACCAGGCTATCGCGGTTCACAGGGACCTGGCATATTGCGTCGTAAAATCAGCTAGGCACGGAAGGCTTGTTATTGCGGAAGCCCGGAAGGAAGCAGTCGAGAAAGCAATCGGTGAAGATCTCTCTTTCGAAAAAGTGTTCGACCCAGCAGAGTTGCTCGAAAGCTCCTACCACGGCCATTCAGCATTCCGACCATTCTCACTGAATCGTCCCATCGTCCACGCCGATTTTGTCTCGGCGGACAGTGGGACAGGTCTCGTTCATTGCGCTCCAGGTCATGGTATGGATGACTATCTCGCGCTTTCCGACCACATCTCGGCAGGAAGAGTTGTTGTCAGAGCACCTGTCGGTGATCTAGGTCGGTTCGACGCTACAGCTACGCCGGAGAAGCCGGACCTTCTCGCTGGCCTTCAGGCCTCTACCGAGGGTAACAAGGCTGTGCTCGACCTGCTTCGGGAGTCTAACGCCCTGGTTCACCACGCTAGCTATCAGCACAAATACCCAATTGACTGGCGCACGAAAGAGCCGATCATGATTCGGGCGACCGCCCAATGGTTCGCTGATCTGTCCTCGATCCGTAGCGATGCACTTGCTGCACTGGGAAACGTTCGTTTCATTCCAGAGAGTGGCAAGTCGAGACTACGCAGCTTTGTTGAAAGCCGGACAGAATGGTGCATTTCGAGACAACGCTCGTGGGGCGTACCTATTCCAGCATTCTACCATCGCGAGACTGGCGAAGCCGTTCTCAGTGCCAGCACCGTGGATCATGTTATCAGGGTCATGGATGAGCGAGGTACCAACGCTTGGTGGGCCGATGGTCCAGATGAGCCGGCCTGGCTGCCCGAAGGTCTCGAGCCTTCTGACTACGTCCGTGGCACCGATACAATGGACGTCTGGTTCGATAGCGGAACAAGCTGGAAATTCATGACGGCAGGCAGCGACGCTGCTGGTAGTCAGCAGCAACCTGTCGCAGACGTTTATCTTGAAGGCACTGATCAACATCGTGGCTGGTTTCAATCTAGTCTCCTCACCGCTGTCGCAGCCCAGAAAGCAAGCGGAATTACCACGGATCTAATGTCGGCGCCTTTCGAAACATTGCTTACACACGGCTTTACACTCGATGCACATGGCAAGAAGATGTCGAAGTCGCTTGGAAATGTTGTCTCACCCGACGAAATCATCACTGGGCTTGCAACATCCGCAGCGGTCCCGCCGTCCCCACCATCAACCAAGAAGAAATCCCGCGAGAACCACTCTCTTGGTCCAGACGCACTCCGCCTATGGGTCGCATCGACTGACTTCACAAAAGATGTCACAATTAGCGACAAAGTCGTCAAATCCACCCACTCTGCTCTAGACAAGCTACGCGTTACGTTCAAAGTCCTCCTCGGCATGCTTGGCCCCGACTTCGACCCAACTGCCGGCCTTCTTCCCTTCAAGGACCTCGCCCAACTCGACCAGCTAATGCACCATCGCCTGTTCAGTACCATTGAGCAAGTTCGATCCGCATACGACAAATACGAATTCCACCGCGGCATCGCCCTCATCAACAAATTCGTCGCCACCGACTTATCCGGACTCTACCTCGAGAGCGTCAAGGACATCATCTATTGCGACGCAGTCAACTCGCCACGCCGGAAGAGCGCGGTCACTACCCTCTACGACATCTTTGCCTCCTTACAAGAGCTGCTCGCGCCGGTGTTGCCGCTCCTAGTGGAGGAGACATGGGAGCACTCCTCGGCTGCGGTCAAAGCCGATGCGGAAAGGCACCCACTCCGCCGCACTCGTTCAAATTTGGAGGCGAAGCTTGAGCAATGGAAGCCGGGTGCTAGCAGTGCGGAGCTGTGGTCAACACTCAACCTGATAAATTCCACGACGAAAGCGGCGCAAGAGGTTGCGAGGAATCAGAAGAAATTGGGGCAGAGCCTGGCGTCTGATGTGGTCATCTACGTTAAACCTCCTGAGAGATGTGATTTCGCTGAATTGATCAAAGAAGTCATTGTAGACGCGTGGCGGGAACTACTAGTTGTGAGCGATGTGCGGATCGTCATAGCGGACCGTCCTGACTTTCAGGAGGACGACAAGAATCCAAGCTCCTGGAACAACTGGCTAAAAGAGATGCAGGATGCAGAGGAGGACGATGAGGATGGTAGTTGCAGATCGGTTGAGCTCGAGGGAGGCAAGACTGTGGGCTGGAGGGTGACGCGGAAGATTGGGTGTTTTCCGGAAGTTGAGGCTGTGGTGGTTGTGCAGGAGGCGGGGGCCGGGAAGTGTGCTAGGTGTTGGCGGTATTTGGTTTCCTCGCCTGAGCTTGAACCTGAGGGCAAGTGTGGAGAGCGGGTGACTCGTGCGGAGGGGCAAGGAGACCTGCTGGAGGATGTGCCGCTATGCGCACGGTGCGTCGACGTTGTACAACATTTCAGGGAGGGCTGACGACACCGACTTTGAGGGGCCGGGCCAGCCATGTATAGTAGAGCTCATCTCCACAGTATTGTACAGTGTCTATGTGTTGCGACGGATTATATAGCGTCGCGGTCAGCGATCTTCTCACCTTCCTTCTGCCCCGTTCCACCACCTCGTTCCGTTTTGCCTCCCCTTTGTACCTCGACCTTCTTTGGCTCGCCCTCATGAGGCGTCCCCATTGGGTGATCTACATCTCTCCCATCAGTCCAAGATTTATCCTCCCACTCCGCGTCCCCAGCTGCCATCGTAGCTGCCACAGTCGCTGTCGCCGCCAAGGCTTCCTGGTGCCTCCCCAACGCCTCCGACGCCGCCGCACGCTCGTCCAGGACCTTATCATCCAGCCCAATTTTGCCGTGCTTGATCTCGAATGAGTCCTTACTATCAGCCAATTTCTTCCGGATCCCATCCGCGACAACAGCGGCGTCGATCGGCGAGGAAGGCACGCCGAGGCCTACAGGGACCTGCTCTTCGCCAGTCGCGCCAGGAGCTGCTGCTGCTGGGGATGCTGTGCGTGGTTTGCGCTGCCACCCCGTCTTCCATATTGTGCTGGTGGAGATGTCGAAGCGGGGAAGGGGATGTGCTTCCGTGTTGAAGACCACATCCTCTAGCCTGAACGGCATTACATTGCTGCTGCTCGCTTTTCCGCTAACGACTGAACCAGAAGAAGCTGCCGCCACGCCCTCACCGCCAAGTTCACTGAACAGCAGGAAGAAATATTTCAGCGTCTCGGCAGGCCAGAAACTCTCCATGTTGTCCCTCCTGTCCCGGTCTCTGATTTTACCGTTGCTGTCCAGAGAATCGACGGTGTCGAGCGAAGCGTAGGCGTAGACTTCCCCTGTGATATCGTCGCGCACGGCAGCGTGTTCGACGAAGGACTGGAACATTTCGTAGCCCCACTCGCGGTAGATGGGGTCTTGGGTGATGTGGTACATGTAGAAGAGGGATTCGACTGTTTCGGGGCGGAGGAGGTTATGTAGGTCTTGGGTGTGTAGGTCGAGATCCTGCTTCCATGGGTGAGAGTTGGTGTCGTGATCATGATCGTGGTCGTGGGCCGAAGTGGATGTTGTGGCGCTGGAAGAAGTGCTTTCGGCGACATCATCGAAGTCATCGGTGTTACTTTGAGGTAATGTCCAGCCTTCTTCGAAGGACCATTGCCTCGGCGGGCTATCCACGTGGAAGTAGGCGATTTCGGGGGCTAGTCCGGTGGCGGTGCCCTTATACATCGCCCAGAAGCTCTTCATCAGCTCTTTCGCGAACGCCAGATCTGCTTCTTGATGTCTCGTCCACATGCCTTTCTGCTTCGCTTCTTCCACCGTCGTCCCATTAGTCAAACCCAGTGCAATCGTCCCGGGCATGAAAGCAACCAGGTGATCCATCTTGGGCGTCAGCTCGTGATTCAACCCATTCTGGCGCTCCCCAATAATCGTCATGTTCCCGTGCTTAGTCCACGTCACCAGATACCGCTTGATCCCATCTAAGACTTCGTCCCACATCTCACGGTAGACCGGCTCCGAACCCCGAAACTGCAACCACTGCTTCAACAAATACTCATAGTACGAATCCCCTCGACTCCCCAACCGGATATTCTGCCCGCGAAACGTCCCCGTCTGCGGACTCATGAAAATAGGCACCAGCCCGCCCTCAGGCTGTAAATCGTCGATGACTTTGATGACTTTCTCGGACGTCTCCCAGTAGACGGATTCGCCGGTGATTTTGCTGAGGTGCTTGAATTCCAGCTGTAGAGTGGCGGCTTCAGCGGTGGAGCTGAGGCCGTCGCCGGCAGGAATGCCGAGGGAGGTGTTGAGGTTGATGGAAGCCAGAGGGATGCCGCTGGGTGTGTCGAAGGCGCCGAGTAGGCGGTCGGCGAGGTGTGTTGCTTTTTCGATGTACAGATCCTCGCCGGGCTGCAGCACATCATCATCGGTTTGTGGCGCGAGGTGTGGGTATGTAGTGCTCAGCCAGTGCGCACTCAATAAGCCACCCAACATGCGGATGGTGGTTTCGAACGTATTGACGTCGTGGTCGGCGGTGTAGTGCAGACTTGTGCGGATCCACTCGCGTGCGCGGCTGACCTCGGTGGTGAGGTTCATAAGGATGGCGGTGTCAAGGGCGTCGACGATGATCCAGCCCATGCCGCCTTCGACCATGTTGCGGCCGGACTTGGAGATTGGGTGGTATTCGTCGAGACCCCACGCGTATTTCTCGTAGCCGGCCCATGTGGTCTTGAAGACTGAGCGGACCTCGTCTGCTCGGGCGGCCCATAGTGCAGGATCTTTCGAGGGCGTGCCATGGTGGTAATGGTGGTGTGTATGCGGCGGCCGAGGCGAGCGGCCGGATGGGAGGTAGCCGGTGTAGTATAGGAACGAGAGAAGGAGCAGTGCGATTGCTACCTGGGGACCCCGACGCTGGTACATCTTTTTCCGCCGCGAGGGAGGATAGTGTGGTTTGTCTTTATACATGGGTAGCTCCTCGTAGTCATCGCTCAGGATGTTGGTGATGCGATGTGACATCGACCCCTTCGCGTGCCCGTTTGTTCGGTGGGACATCGTTGCGAGGTCGAGACCATCCTGGGATGGCACTGCAGGGGGGAGGATTCCCTGTTGGCGACTTATGTCCGCATCTTTGAAATTTCGGAGGAATGTGGTCTACCTAGAGACGGGCGACAGATGTGGTGCTCGAACGGTCATGTGCGAGCGACGTGAGCTGTATGTGGTCTCTGAATCACTGATCAAGAGACTGTCGACACGAGTCATGACCTCGTCGTTGCTGCACGCGACTCGACGTCGGAGCGGACAAACACGATTCCGGGGATCGTCTCCGCCACGCCAAGGCTTTTCCTCCTGAACCTCCTCCTACTTCGTTACGTCTTTATCAACAATTCGACGCCACTGGAGAGATAGAAGGTCTGCTTTCGGCTATGATATACGCTGCCGTACTCGTGGCGCTGTCTACGATCAGCATTCCGCGTTACTCCGCCCATCAGTGAGGCTCCTGACAAGGGGAGACTGACCTCGAATGTCGAGGAGCGAATGAGCAAGAACGGAAGAGCGGCATTCCTTAGTCGCAACTACCTACTCTGGGTGAGCCTGCTGTGTCGTATGTGGCCGGCTGAATGTCTATTTTGATCTATCCTCATGCTCCCAGCAGTCTATGCTCTATTCGTGTCTGTGCGACCGCTTGTGGCTGCAAGTGATCTGCGGCGCCAGCAAATGCATGCCGTCCATGGCTCCAGGCATATGCACCATGTCAACGCTCTCCTCCATCTCATGCATTCAAGACTCGTCCTGCGCATAGGCCTGCTAGGTCAAAGCGAGCTCCTAACCCGCCAAACGCCACCTTTCTCCCTCACAGCAACTCCACCTTCGATCTCCCTCGACGTCTCACCCGACCCATCACCTTCTTGTTGACCATCCGCAGTGACCCCTCTCCTCTTTCGTGACGCATCCGTCTCAACAATTCGTGCCGCTTCGCTGCTCGAATCATCCGAGAAGTTGTACTCCCTCCACTCACAGTTCTTGAACGCACTGCCTCGTTCAGCACTGATGCCTTCCCAGGATTGCGTGAAGTAGTGCAGGAAGGCGCCGTGCGTTACTAGGACGATCTAAGATAGTTATTGATGTGACCAGTTGGACTGAGGGGAAGTGAGGGAATCGGGACAGTGGCGCTGTGAAGACAGAGGAGGGCGACCCCTGCGCCGCAGCTCAAGTACTATGTAGAAAACAATGATCGGGAATGACACGAAATGAGCAGGTCCAGGGCAGGCAGGCAGGCAGGCAGTCGTCAAAGCTGTAGTCAGAGGAACAACTCACCAACTTCTCCGGCCGCTGATACAGCCACCTCCTCAGACTCGCAGCCCGCTCCTCCACGGCTTTCGGGTCTGGCGAGGAGAATCCTGTCTGCTCACACACCATCTAATTAGCGCATCTTCCCTACCAGATGCACAGCCGGATGCTCTCGCACTCAGTAGTCGCAGGTCAAAAAGCTCACCTTATCACACCATCCCTCCCCAACCAGCCCAAAATCAACCCTCCCAGGCTCTCCCAACCCACATCGATTCCAAATCCGCTCTGTATTCTCAGTCTCGTCTCCGTCCTTGCCAGCACCTGAAAACCACCCTCTCATCACACTCTCCAACTGCGCCCTCTCACTCCCCAAATTACACGCCCGACCACTGACTTCCTGTGCTGCAGGATGAAGGATGAAGGGAACCTTCTTTCGCGTCCCATCGGATCCCTGACGCCGTAGAATCGGGAACAGCGAATGCACAGTTGTCTGAATCGTGCGTCGAAGCGGGCTGGACACGACCAGATCCACATCTGCGTGGAATGGGAACGTGCGTGCTACTTCTGCACATTCGGAGAGGCCAGTGGGGGTGAGTTTGGCATCGCGAATCCAGAACTTGTTCTGTTACCGGTGGACGGACATTAGCTGAACGCTCCTAACGGCGACTGGGTGCAGGTAAGGATATTGTGGAAGGTCATGGAGTGCAAGCGGGCTTACGTCGACATTGTGCTCGCCCTGCGCGTGGCGGAGAGTTATTATTCTTGGCGGCATGTTTGGTGAGATTGTGGGCTAGTGTTGTGCTTGCTGAGCAATGGTGTCTTGGAGGAATATAACTGTGACGGCAAGCTGGAGGTGTTCAAACACACGATGCTTGTCCACGTAGTCAGCTCCGGGCTAAGCCTCAAGATGAGGTGCTCTGTGTATTTATCATGTTTGGAGAGTGTTCTCATTCAGCCGCTCAAACCAACACAACGAGTGTGATCCAGAGGGCACATGAATCAAGTGAAGTGGAAGGAAGAGGAAGAAGGCAACGAGAAAAAAAGGCAACCTCGGCAGCCGCTCGGCACCGAGGATTCACTTGCATCGGTATCAGTACATGCATCCAGACAACGACAACCGCGCCGCATGCAGGGAGGCCAATGGCGCGTACGTGTCTAGCAAAGCGCTGTTGCGGAATCTGTTCGATCATGCATTTGAGAGTACAAGGCATCGGGAGCCAAGCGGAAGTCGTGATCAGCATTCCAAAACTGTACATTCGCTGAGTATGCTAAGTCCCAGATCAGATCAGCATGATTCATGCAAGAAGCTCTTCGCAGCCTCCATGTTCTACGATGGCACGTCTTGCCATGCTTTAGAGAACATCTCTACAACACCAAGGCCAACTCTTGTAGCGCTCACGAATACGACCGTCCCAACCACTCGCCCCCAGTCACACCCACCGTACGATTCCCCCTCTCCGCCGCAGTCCGACTCCTAGTGATCTTCGCCTTCTTCAGCACTGGAGCTTGCCCTCCTCCGGGCCCAATACTCTTACTGAAGCTGATCGTCTTGCTTCCCTCTTCCACTCCCGCGACAATGTTCATATTGATCTCCTTAAGACCAATCGGCTCCGTCATATTCTCCAAACTTATCGCTCGTGTCAACTCCCCATCTGCGGCGTCAGTGTAGACCTTGCCCTTTGTAGGGCTGCTGCGTGTCAGCTTAGTGGGCGATGCCTTGCGCGGTGACTTTCTAGGCGACCGGCCAGGTGTTTTCGACTCGGGTACGATGGGGTCAGGGAGTCCACGCGAACGGGCGATGACGGTGGTGTGTGGTGCGGTTGAGGGAAGCTCTTTTGGGTAGGACCAGTCGCGTTTTTGAGGTGTCTGGCCCGTGGGTGTGTAGTCGGTCAAAGAGGTTTCCTGGACGTGCGTGCGCATGGTTTTGAGGGCTTCCTCGGCTTCGGCGCTGAATGTGGTGACTGTTTCGGAGAGGGAGGTGGTGTTGGCTATGGTCTCGGCGTGGTATGTTTGGAGGCCGCTAGTACGTTGTTCGATGGAGGAGGTGACATCGGACTGGAGTTGTGTGACTTCGGTGTGATATTGCCGCATGCTGTCGAGGTGTTGCTGGTGGGATTGCTCGTTTTGGGTGCGTGCCCGTGTGACGAATTCGTCGAGAGCGGACATCTGCACGGTCATTTCGGCGATTTGCGCGTCGACGATCTTGACTGCTTCGCCGTGGACGGCTTTAGTTGAGACTTGGATGGCTGTGTTCTTTGCGCCAATGGCCTGGGGAGCGTCAGTGGTGGTCGTTAGAAATGGGTGATCAACTTACAGTCCAGTCCTTCTTCATCCTGCCCTTCAGTTCATCCCTCGAGCCAGTCACCTTGTCGAGAAGAGCTTGCTCACGTTGCAGCCATTCGTTCATTCCCTCAGCATACTCCTTCTCAGCCAGCTCGAGTGTGTTGGAAGCCTGGCCTAGTGACCGCTGTGTTCGACTCAAAGTGCTGGCTATCCGCTCATCTTGCCTCACTGCTGATGCATCGATGAGACCACAAATCTGGTCCTTCAATGTTTGTCTAGACTGCTCGGATGCGCGGCGTTCTTCTTCGAGTGAAGCCTCAAGCTGTGCAGTCGCGGCTCGTTGTGACTCGATGTTGCGATGGTGGGCTTCCTGCAACGCCGTGCGTAAACGATCATTCTCTTCACGCTGACTGGCAAGCCGAGTAGTCATGTCTTCGAAGAGAGTCTTGAAGTCCTTGCCGAGCGAGCTGTACGAAGTGTGAAGCTGCGTGTGGAACTGCTCCAGCTCCTCGATGACTTCACCGGAGATCTTAGCTGCAGCATTGTTCAAGCCTTTCAGTCCTTCGCCAACGCGGTCCTTCACTTCATCTCGTAGCACCTTGATCTCCTCCAGCACGTTGTGCATGTCGTCCTTGGACGACGCAGACTGAGATTCGACGGCTGACTTGGTTCTCTGCATGTCTGCGACCTTTGTGGAGACCATGTCCTTGCAAGCCTCGACCTTTGCGCGTTCATCGTCAAGAAACTTCTGTAACCGGCTGGTAGATTTCGTGACGAGCTCTTGATGTTCGCTCTGGAAGACTTCGAGTCGGTCCTCGATGGCAGATGTCATGCCTGTGACACTTTCTGTCGAGCTTTGCCATAGCTGTCGATTCTCGTTATGCAGCTGTGATCTTCGTCGTAGCTTGGAGTGGACCGCGTCCAGATCAGTAACAGATCGGCTAACCACAGATAGAAGCTGATTGCCGACACTTTTTAGTCGGCCCTCCGTCTCTTGGTGTGCCTTCCGGAGTGCTGTCTCGTCCTCCAGATTTTCCTTTGTATTGCTCACAACGGCTTCTGTCTTGAAGAGAACATCTTTTGTGCTGTTGAGTATGGATTTTGTGGTCTCGTTGTCCCGCTTCAGATGCGTGAAGGACTCTGTCAAATTGTACAGCTCTTGTACTTTGTTCCGCAAGCTTGTCTCCATCGTTTCGATTCGCGCCTTCTGCTCCTCGCTTAAGATTCTTCTCGACTCGCTTTCGACTGTAATGTCCTCGTACTGCTCATTGGAGAGGTAGACGCCATTTCGTTGCCGTGTCGCAATCAGCTCACTCTTCAGCTTCTCGATCTCGGCCGTGAACTCCTTCAGCAAGGTCTTCTTCGAGATCATTGAGTTAATCTGAGGCTTGTTTCGGATATTCTTGGCTCGGAAAGCATAGTCTAGCGTCGAGATGGTCTCTTCCAGATTGCTTTTCGCAGGCGAAACAGTTGCGATAATACATGTTTTCGTCCGACCACCAAGCGAGTCTTGCAGTAATCGAGTGAGCTTCGATTCTCGATATGGAATATGTGAGCTTTTGTCGACCAGCGCATTAATTACACGGCCAAGTGTTAGCAAGCTTTTGTTGATCAGGCCAGCTTCGGCAGCACGCTTGTTTTCCGCACCGCTGCGCTGTATATTTTCGCTTCCTGCCAGATCAACCAGGTTCAGCTTCCCCGAGCAGATGAAATCCTCGCCGACTTCGTTGACTTTCTTGATGTATGTGGTAATGGTGAAGACAGTGTGGCTTCGAGAGCTGAGATCGTTGCATTTCGTGGCCGCAACTTGTCGCCGATAGCTGCCCTTCTGTAAGAGCTTGATGCCCGCAGAGGCACTCTTAATATGAGACTCCTCCATGCCTTGTACGATCGTCGCGCTGTGACTTTTCTTGTTCGCATCGTCATAAATCTTGAGCTTGACGCTGTCGTCGGCTGAGAGCAGATCTCGTAATTCTTCGTTGTACAGCTCAATGAAGGAACACTTGACCGAGCATTCAATCTCTTCGGCCTCTAATCGTCGGAACAGCGAGTACAGTGTTCGAGGAATGATGCCGGCTTCATCAGATAGCAAACCTAATGTGTCCGTCATGTCTCCCGTCATGGTGTATGTTTTGCCTGTGCCAGTCTGTCCATACGCAAAGATGGTACAGTTGAAGCCAGCCATCATCTCGCTCAGTATCGGCGCGACAGTGTCTTCAAAGACGATCGTCTGGTCCGCTGCTGGTGAGAAGACCTTATCGAAATGGTATGTCTTGTTGCTGATGGCATTCGGACCCATGGACAGATCAACATTCGTGCCCTTGACACCACTCGTCGACACGACGACGCCGCTGTTCTCCTTGACCTCTCGGTCGCTTCGACCGCGACACCGGACAACGACGTGAATGTTAGTCTCCTCGCCTTCGTCATGGTCAAAGTCGCGTTCTTTCCGTTTTGCGCCGGACAGTACGGATGTGTTGGAGTCGGCGGGCGAGGCAGCTCGCCTTGAGGGCTGCATCGCGGAGGCAGGTCTTGCTGGAGGGCGCATACTGCCACTGCGCATCATTGTTTGGCGCGCTGCGACGCCTGATCTGTTACTCATCCTGCCGGGTGATGTTGATGAGTGTTGCTGTCGAGCATCTGCATGTGTGAGGGGCCGCTGAAGAAATAAGACGTGCGGTCGAAACGTCAATATGCAAGGATGCGCCTGATCCGAGGACTGGGTAGGCATGGGTTGCCTTTCGGCTGCTGGTCGGCCCAAGAAAGTTTTGGTAGTAAACATCGCGGTGGCCGGCGCGGCTGCCCGGCCAACGGGCATGACTCCGCTTTCGACATGGTCATGTGACTAGGCTTCAGCGTCCGAGTCGGTCATCCGGCGGCATGATCACCTGGCGTTTGCTATGGACAAGGCAACCGTTGCATATATTGATCAGTCAACGCAATCCCAAAGACGCCATGAGAGCAGTCGCCTGGGGCTGCTGATGTCGATCGCACACAGGAGTATAAGCTTGACTCACGTGCGCGGAATCGGCTGAGTGAGGCACACCATAGACCTCGCCATGGCGGCTGCTGTGCCTATCGTCCCAGGCCGTGGCCTAGGATGGATGACACTTGGGTTGTCGCTACATACAGTCATCTCGAAGATCAAATCCCACCCACAGGACTACCCCAACATCGATCTGTCCCACTCTTCATCCCATCCCACCACACAACCAATCATCCTCACTCTGCCAGCAAATGGACTACGACTCAGATTCGACGGACCAGACCAGCGACTACGACTCGTAGAAGTCCTCGACTTCTCAAAGAACTCACTAGCATATAAGAACACTGACCTCGTTAAACACGCGCGCCCCATGGAAGACGGCCAAGCACCAGACCCAGCCCAGGCACGGCCATCGTTCAGGCATATCTACAACCGCCTCTTCGGTCCAGCCTACAAAGGCGAGTACACGCCACCCGAGACTGGTCACCGTCGCGGCACATACACTCTGTCATATCCAGGACTGGCATTCTTGTTTCCCATCGACCACAAATCATGGTCGGACAAAGCAGATTTTGTTTCAATGCTATCGTCGTCCGCGACTGGACCAGCAACGTCAATGGCGATCTTCGAAGGCTCATCTTGGCCGGAGGCACGATCATCGCTTTTCGGAGCCTCAACATCACTGGTCGAGGCATCCCAGATCATCGACTCCTCTACAGAGACGTCCCCACCAGAGATCTCAATCGTCCACCTCCGCGGCGGCGGCCAGCTAGAGTTCCTGCGTCTGAACGGGCACGTCACAACCGTCCAACTCAACGAAACCACCCCACAAGATCTCGTCGCAGAGTTCGGTCCACCAGACGCAATCTACCGCAAGGACGACAGCAGGATCTCCATCCATGCCACCGCTCAACCACACAGCGGACGCCGTCGCAGCTCAAACATTTCCCCGAACCTCGAACCAATCGACAACGCCAGCCGCTCATCAGTCCGGAGCTACAGCGGAGACTCTGACGCTTCGAGCATATCTGGAATTCGGCGCGATGAAGACGATGCCCAGCCTGCTTGGACGGCTGAATGCTTCTACAACTACTTCCACCACGCTTCGATGCGCTCATTTCTTATCCCTCGGCGCATCAGTCACCTGCCTTCCCTACCTCGGATGTGGCGCAGATGCCATCCTCCGGAGCGATGGACTCGTCAAGCCTGGTGGTGACAAAAATTATACTCCACGGTAACATTCCCTCCTCTTACAACTTCAACCGCCACCGTCGCCTCAGATGGGCCATTCGTCTGCCCAATCCAAACTCGCAGCCCCAGGATCCAACATCAGAGACGCCATTCTCCGACATATCTTCCACACTGCGACGTGTATGGCACAGCACATATGGCAGTGCGGAAGAAGAAGCGCAACAGCAGCGTGGCATGGTGCTGAATCGCGGATGGGGCGACTCGAGCCCTGATTCGTCGATCGAGATCCTGGGTGGCTTTGAGGAGGAAGGCAAGGAGCAGACGAGCGCTGGCCAGCCTCGAGATCAGGAAATGGTGAGCGACACGACTGAATTGTTCGGGTTCCCGGGCATGCTCTTCGAAGTCCTCAAGAATGACGCCGTGAGCTGTCTCACTTTGTATTGATGAGTTCGTCGTCATAAATCTTTGATGATGTTCGAGATGCGGCAGTTCGGCGATATTTTGAACAGCTTCAATGATACCATCGGGTTCCTCTGCATACATGCAGCGGATGGCAGCCTCTGCGGACTCCGAGCTCAGAATGCCACCCTCCTCTTCCTGCCAGTGTACTTCGAGTCGGTCTTGACGACCTTGCCTTTGTGCTTCATCTTCTCCTTCCTCTGCATGATCCACTCCTTGCTGCCTTTCTTGGGCGTGCCAATCCCCTTGCCGTTCATCGCTTGCCGAACATTCCGTCCGTCCTCGATGTCAACGTCGTCCAGTCCGTTAACCGCTTGCGTGATATCACCTCCGCCAACGCTGAGTACTAAGTAGGTCTTGACGTTTTTGGTCCCGCCGTCGTCTTCTAGTATGCCCGCGCCGAAGCCAGCTTTGACAGCGGCGGCGCTTATCATCTTCCTCTGCACCTCGTTCTTCGGATAAAACTGGCACACCGCCCTCCCACCCCTCTTCAAACACGCATACAACCCATCAAAGAATCTCTTTAGTCTCGCTTCGGGCCGGTCGTCGCTGCTCTCGGCGTTACACAGCCATTGGATAGCTGAGATGGAGATGGCGGCGTCGAAGCTGCCGGGGCGGAAAGGCAAGCCCTGTCCCATATCGCCCAGCAGCAGATCGCCGTTGACTTCATCCCTCTCCAATGCAACAGCTAGCATGCTGGGACTGATGTCCATGCCAATCCAGGTATGACCTTCCTCGCTCAGGATCTCTCCTGAGAGGCCGGAGCCACAGCCAACGTCGAGAATGAGTGAAGGGCGGTCCAGGTGGAGGAGTTCGAGAGCGCGGTGCGTCATGTCCGACTGGATGCGCTGGATGCGAGAGGAGGTCGTGTATTTTGTGGACTCGGTGTCGTTGTAGAAGAGGTCGGGCGGGAGGAGGTCTTCGGGGCGGGACATGGCGACCAGAGCGAGCACTGGGCTCCGGCCGAGCACTCAAAGGAGGGAGCTCAGGGGAAAGGGAACGAATCGTTGCGTCTCAGGCAAGTGACGGGAGGTGGATGTGGGCGAAGTCTGGACGAGCGGCCGGTAGCGCAGGCGGTTGACCTTAGCCTAGCGGGACGGAATCAGTCTATCTCAGAGTGATTGAGACGCCGTCAAGGCACTGGTCCTCTAGCTGGGCATTGTTGAATAGGCTATACACGACAGCGTGTGTGGTCGACGCAGTTTGTCATTTTCGAGAAAATAAAGCGGGTCTACCAAAAGTTCCCCCACTGTGACGTCGCCAAGCCGGCAATGAACATCGCCCCCACGAGCCTAATCACCTCGACCCTCCGATCGCTCTTTGCTCTGGCAGGAAGACCAGATATGGTTACAATCATATCAAAGACGACGTAGTAGAAGGTGCAATCGTCGGCTTCTCTCGTTCCTGAGTCTACTGGCCTCTCGTCTAGCAGGCCATCATCATGACCGACCTAGAGTTCAACCCTGCACAGAGGTTGGTGGTGCAAAATAAGCATGTAGAAACGCGGTTAGTGTATCCGGGAGCCCATTCTCGACCGCTGAAGATGAGGGACGGCATCAGGCAGGGTCGTGCCCAGGTCGGATGGTTGACGGTATATCTCCTCGACTGGTGTCACGAAGCAAGTACACTGGATTGTTCCAGAAGAGCGTTGGCAACGTATTCGCAAAAGTGCAGAACATGGTCGTCGATCGGAGATCCGCTTTCTGAAATCAACGGCCACAAGTGTACGTGCAACACCAGCGATCGGATAGTGTGGTAAGGCGACTATACAAGCGACAGAGAATCCTGCCACCTATATCGAGGTACCATACAGGGAGATCATCTCGGCTGTCAAACAAGAGGTAGCTTTGTCCCTGCACATAGACGATTCCCTGCTACGTATCCAGACTACCCCTTCATCTGCGAACCGCAGGGATATTCTGCACTTCATCTACCGGATGCGGCCCTGCTTTTCCATAATTGTTGTTAGGGAACGTGCCTTTCTTCTCACCAGAAGTCCGCGGCGCCTCATGGCCATGTCCATCTTGATGACCTGGAGCTGTTCCCCCGCTGGCGACTCCATCCTTAACCTCGCTCAGATCGGGCATAGCTGCAGTCTTGTTTGCGCGTTCGATGCTGGCCTCATCCGTGGTCTAGTAGATTATATGTCAGTACGCCTTTTCGAGGACTCACGAGTGTCGGGGTATTGCAATTTACCTTTCCTGCGCCGTGTACTTTGTTCTCGCCATTTTCAATAGCATTGTCGGACCGGGGCACTCCGTCATCGTACTCTGCTCCACGAGGCATGTTGGGTTGGGTAAAAATTTCGTTGCTCTGGTGAACGGTCTATCTGCACCAGAAAACACTTTAGTTACGGCGACCGACATGTCCTCGAACATACTTGAAGGTCTGTCGATGTACGGAACGCTTTTCCGGTAGTCTTCAACGGTGTTTGTCATAGTGTTACGGGACCCAGACCCTGGTCCGTATCATGAGACAATTGCTCGTCATTTCCCCTCGCGATCTGATGTCATATCAGGCATAGTGGGGGAACGTCTGCGCGGCGTGGTCGGAAAGCGTTCTTTTGCTTGAATCGTCAGATGATGCACAATGAGCGCTCTGGCGACCCGACGGGATGGCATGCCCACGAAGACATCTGGATCGACGACGCGGTAGCATGCTGCGATGGTGGCACCACCACCGCACGCTCGAGCACAGGGGTGCCTGCTCTCCTCACTGGTTTATGCCTTGGCGCCACGAGAATCTTGGGTCGTACTCGCTGTCGTTCTTCTACACTTATTCGGATCATGTCCGACCCCTCGTGAAGCCAGGCGTACTTTATGCACTTCCGGCGGGACTGTCTGGCTTGTGAGTGACCAAGAGACATCGCCGATCCGCCGGAAAACATCCACGTGTGGCCGGCAAGCCCCGGTTATCATTTCGTATACTAAGTATGCCAATTTGGTGCGCATTGCTCGCTTGTTGTGTTCCTGGCATACAGTAGCGTCCTGTCAAACCACCTTCAATACTTAAGTGTGTCTTGTCACATGCGTCGAGGATGCCGAGTGGAGCTCAGATGCGAGGCATATTTACGCCTCACTATAGTAATACACATGGAAAGTTGGGCTGGAGTACATTATATCCCTCGATGGATTTGCGTTGAAGGTTTACAGACCCTGCCTGCGAAAGGACAAAAGTCACAGCGGGCAGGGTGCACACCTGACTGTCGGACTCCATTCCTTTGCTGCCGGTTCAGGCCACTCTCTGCACGGTCCACACTTGAGAATTGCCGAGTGCGGTCAAAGGTCGACTTCGTGAACACTTCAGCTCACTAAAATTTCTGACATAGTCGACGGGGAATCTGAGTATTATCCGGGACTTTGGCAAGCCGGCAAAACCATCTACCTATGCGGCTGTCGTTGGTGATGAGTCGTCCCCCTCTCCTTCCCGTTCCCTTGCTGTGAAGCGGTTTCCTTCTGTCCTCTGCTTTGCTTTTTGGGGTTGACACCAGATCTTGAGTCCTTTGTAAAACGACGGGCACGGTACGTAAATATGCAAATGAATGTAGCGGCCCGCAGAGGGCCATGCTATCTGGACCTTTAGTTGTACGGCACAGCGTGTCCCTGCGAATACAGCTCTTCGTAATGATAAAAGTCCTGAAGAAAAGGGTGATAGTGCTGTTTTGTAGTCTGCGTTGGGCTGGCAAAATAATCCACCATTGAGGCCGCGTTTTGGCCATCTGACGATGACGGTCCTGCCGCCATCCAGTCGGACGGATTCGAGTAGTTTGTGCTTTGTGAGTCGCTGCGGCCCGTGGACGATATAGTATGGTACAAAGACGAGTACTGTGCAACTACCGGCGAAAGAAGATCCAGTTGCATCACCGTGTTGGAGTATGGCTGTGCTGCGAACCCTACCGAAGAAGTTGACATCTGATCAGACCCTGTTGACTCGTGGTAGGATGCGCCTGTTGAGAACGAAGTCGGTGGTGTTGCGTCGAACCCCAATGTGGGCAGTGTTGTTCCCACGAATGCTGGCTCAGACCTTTGTTGAGTTTCGAGTACAGTTCTGAACTTGTTTACAGTTCTGAGATGTCCTGCAGAGAAGACATCTTGCTCTGCACAATATGCGAGAACACCCATCGAAAGGTCCAGGGCATTAATTTCAAGCTGCCTGCGGCTTTCTTGTTGCGTATAGGTCAAACTCCACCTACCTTCAGTGCGCCTGACAGATAGGTTCAAGGCAAGCGTCAGAGAAGCATAAAGGTTGAGCGTACTGTTAAGATGTCAGCTAGGATGATGATAGAGATTTCATGGAAGATTGACGGCCTCACGTTATCAGCCATGACTTCTGGCATATGTAACCTCGGCGCACCATTTTGGCAGACAAATGAGCGATCTGCACTGCCGAATCTGCACTGAAAATTGGCAGGAAGCGTAAGCAGGTTGCAATGAGCTTCGCTTGTTATATGACGTACCAAGTCTGCGCCAAAAATCGAATCCTGTGAGGAATCGAGGCGTCGTCCTGTCCTCGCCATGTCGTTACCATTTCGACCAAGAGAGGTCTGGTTACAAGCAGAACCGAAGAGAAATAGAATGCCTCTAAGTAAAGCTAGATTAATCAGTATATGGTGAACTTCCTGTAGCTGTTTCCGACTGACCGATGAGTACTCGTCGTCGTCAGGAAGGTCTAATTGCTGCACATTGTCGATATCTTCGATGAAAACACGAAGACTTTGCGGCAACGCTGAGGACCATTCCTCGAGGGCCTGTAGATGACGTTCGTATACAGGAGAACCTGCAGCTGAGGAAAGCTGAGCCTCTTGTATGTAGTCGCCAACAACGACGGCCAATCTAGCCATATTGACAGCAATGTCTTCCTCTGGCTGACGAAGCTCACTTCGAATGTGCTGATTTAGAAGTTAGCACGAGGGGCCATTCATGAGAGAGGCTAATACCGTAATCCAAGGATCGTGACTAGTTTCCGTGGTGATCTGTGTTGTTCTGCCCAGTATCATTGCAAGCCAGCTGAGATGGTCAGTCAAGGGACTGCTGTCGTTACTGTGAGGTGAACTCACGTATCGAGGAAGATCATTGCCCTCCAGACGTCCCGCCAGCGGGAGTACTCGTCATTGGTCAGTTGCGGGGCTTGCTCTTTTGCTAGATCAATACGATGCATCTGAGCGATTCTGATTGCCTGTCCTACGTGAAAATGTCAGTTGACCTTGGTGCAACTCCAGGAACGAGAAAGTCCTGCACATTTGCGAATTTCTTACCGAGAATTACCCAGCAATTTCGGGGCTTCGGATTGATGAGATATACACACTCCATCAGCAGGGTAAGTACAATCCACAGCAGCGAGCCTCCATTACTTTCGATGCAGGCTACAGTCTGTATCCTCGCAGACTTATAGAGCACTTTGTGGAGTTTCTCGTCGATATCGGGATAGAACAATGCTCCGCACGTGAGCTGCCACGTAATCAGACATTCATCTATCCGACTGACGGACTGTCCTGGACTATAGTGTGACTCCAAAAGACGAAGACTGTCTGTCGGCGAACAGATTCGGAATAATTTATTCGGCCCTGAGTGAAAGTACGACATCCATGCAGCGGCCGTCGCATGTGAAGGTACCAGGGTCTTGACGTTCTCTTCAAGCAATGCTGTGTTTCTGGTTGTGGGAGACAGGATTGCAAGGTTGTCGTCTGTGCTTTGGCGCGTAGCCCCTGGCAAGGAGCTTGATCCGTCATCAGGCTCAATGGCCCAGATTTGACCGAGGACTTCCACAAGATGTTGCGCCGACGTAGACTTGAGTTCGGCTCCATGGCTCGGTGTCGGTGCCTGCGGCTGTGGAGGGAAGGGTGTCGACGAGTGCAACCGTGTGATAATTCGATCAGTAAGACTGTGGCTGAGATCCTTTTGTTGTGCAGATGGCAATCCCAGATCTCGCTGGGTCACAAATTAATCTCGGAACCACAAGTACAGACATGAAGTAAGTACCAGGCCTGCCAGCAGGATCTCATTCACTAGGCTGTAGTCGGTCGAAGGACTCGTAGGAGAGTTGGCCCTGTGTTGCACCGGAACGGATGAAGTCGGAGTCGCACTGGCTCGCAAGCTGGAGGCAGCGTCTCTTTGAAGAGCGGTTGTGTCGATCCTACGCGCTGGTGTATCGGAATAGTGGCAGGCGATGCCTCGTAGAGCGCAGTGTTGACATGTAGGTTTTGTGCCGCTGCATTTTTGATGTCTGTACTTGCAAGTATCACATGTCTGCGAGGGTCTGCCGGCCTGTCGTTTAGCGCTCACTGTGCTCATGAGTGTTCGATGTTGATTTGAATAAGTTGTGATACGTGATCGTCAATTGTGTGACTGACCACCACAAGATCGCGAAGATCACAGCCATGAATATCAGTTGCCTCGAGGCCATGCACAGGTTGCCCAGAGGCCATCATTAAGTCGCGAAGGTAACTAAAAGGGCGGACCCTGATACTGAGCATGTCCGAGGAGCGAGCCTGAGAATTCCCACTGCAGACAGATGTCGCTTACCATCAGGGTAGGGTAGCTGCGACAAATGAAGGGTAATGGAAGACTGTACCGGCGGCCTCGTACACAGTCACAGCGTGCCGCCCTTGGCTGTTGCATCCGCAATCCTGAGTTCACGGATCCCGTCTTCGTCGTATAAGGCGAGAAGAAAGATGTACGCCGTTGAAGTTAAAGCCCGTACTGAACCAGGTTCGAGGTTCGCACTGGCAAAAAGGCGTCCGAAGCTTTGGCTGTCATCAGGGCGGGGGCTGCCGCGAACTTTGGTGAAAGTTTTGTGGTACAAAGGTTTCTTTTACGAGGCTGAGCCTCCTCGCTGTCCATGGATCAGTAATGGTAGGGCTGTAAGCTGTATCGTAGGCTATGGAGGTGGTACCACGTGTAGAGCAGCGACTACGGTGACTGATCTGCAGGACCAGTTTAAGCTAGTCTCAAAATGGCCTAGCGCCTTCACGGAGCCTCCTCGCCACTGAGGGACCGAGTCTTGTATCTTGCAGCATAAGCTTTACTGGCACGCATGCATGTCGATGACATACCTTTGCAATCCATGACAACTTGGAAGTATATTGCCAAACCGCGTGGTGAGATCGGCCGATGCTCCCAAGTCGAGCCTCAGAGCGCATTTGATGGCCAGCAAAATGCGTCCCTACACTCGGGTCAACTAATTGACCTGGTTTCAGGGAACTGGATAATCCAGTCGTGATGCCTCATCTCCGGACACACTGTGCAGGACAGAACAAGAAATCTTAATCACTCAGCGCTTCACCTTCCCATGATAACGCTGATGGGAATCGGGAGCCAGTCGCATTGCATGAGGATCACATGAGAGGGGGGCATCGTTCTGAGATTTGGTGATCGTCTGGAAGACTAGCATCCTATCAGGCGAGCGATACGGTCAAGTAACGAGCGTCTTCTCCAATGCCTCTAACTCGTCGCCTGAAGGGTTGCGAACCTTGCAGCGTCCCCACCAAGGTCTAGCGATTGATGTTCCAGGCGCTGGGATCAGCATGGATGTGATGATCCGTTCCAAGGGTGTTTGGACAACCTGCTACATATGGTCCGGAGCTCTCCCATCACTCCACTGACTTTCAGCTGGAAGTTCAGGTTCTACATTTTTGGAATGCTCTCCGCGACGGTGGATGTTACGGTATGTGCAGTTCACACTGTTCACGAATCTGTACATGTGGATGCACTTCTTGCTCCCTGGTTTGAACCCAGTAATGGTAACGGCCTCCACCACTGCGCAATGCAAGGCTTTGATTAGCTTCACATGTGTAATAGCAAATGCCGCGATCGGGTCGTAGAGCAGCATAGGCTACCGATGCTGCAATAGCTCACTGATTGCCACTCTCAGCTGCGCGGTGCCGTGATCCTCACACATGGCAAAAGTCGTCTGCGGGCCAGGGGGGTCTGCAATGGGTTGCTTGAATGTGTCTGCTCGGCAAATTCACTGTTCTAGCTTCACAGAGCGTACAGGAGTACAGTCAGTGACTGGTGGCAATATTGACCACATCTTGATCATGTGTGACTAGGACCATGCTAAGACAACAATTGGAAAATCAGTGACCATTCAGCTATCGGCGAGATTCAGCAGGACTGACTCCTAACGTCAGATCATGCACTGACTGGCATCGCTGAGATAACGTCAGATCATGCACTGACTGGCATCGCTGAGATATGCGGCCAAACTGACGCAGCCTTCAGAGGTGCTGGAGCTTGTTGAACTGGTGGGAGAGGGAATGAGTCCAGCAACTCGGAGTACAGACTGTCCATGACAGCATATTCAGAGTGCTTGCGAAGCATGGCCGCTTGAGCATGGCTGGATGTTGTCGTCTCCTGTGCAATTCGACGAGTATTCGCTTCCTGGATGATACGCTCATAGACTTTCACGTACTTCTTCGCCATCGTGGTGGAGGTGAACCTTTGCTCGAAGCTCTGCCTTATACGTTGTCGGTCGAGGCTCCTGATACGTCGCAGAGCTTGGACTGCCTCTTCCTCCGTGTCCACAACAAAGCCTGTCACGCCATTTTCAAGAACTTCTGGAACAGATCCGACCCCAAAAGCTACGACCGGACAGCCACAAGCCATGGCTTCAATCATGACCAGGCCGAATGGTTCCAACCACTGGATAGGAAAGATGAGAGCGATGGCAGCACTGAGGAAATCAGCTTTCGCCCCGTCGCAGATCTCGCCGATCCAGTCTACCCGAGACGCAGCAAAGAGCGGCTGGACCTCCTCGTCGTAGAATGACTGATCGACTTTGTCAAGCTTGGCTGCAACCTTGAGTTCGAGGGCCGCTGCTTTCGCTATTCTAACCGCGGCTGTGATCCCCTTCTCGGGAGATATACGGCCAAGGAAGGCGAGATAGGAGGGAGCCGTCTCTTTGGGCGTCAACAAACTTTTTGGAAGGCCATGGTGAATTGTTGCCAGCCAGTTTGCATCAGGAACTGTGCCTCTATGCGAGGCTGACAAAGCAGTCAGGCCAATATCGAGCTTCGCAAGTGAATCGAAGATTCTGGGCTTGTCTTGATCGTGCACAGAGTTGTGATCAGTCCATACCACTGGGATGTCGCGAAGTGACTCCAGAACCAGAGGATGATAATCAGCGACGGCGTGATGGATATGTACGACATCGTGGCTGACAATACCAGACATGGCCAGTTTGATCTGAGCCGTGTACGGCTCTCGGGTCTCTTCTACAGAGCAGCCGATTCCTTGCTCCCTAAATGTTCCGTCCCAACATTCTATCAATTGGCCAGAAGTTTGACTTCCACGTGCGGCATACAGTGTGACAGTATGGCCAAGGCGAACCAGTTCTTCGACCATGAAATAGACCACTCGTTCAGTTCCTCCATACTGGCGTGGTGGAACAAGTTCGAAAAGAGGTGCGACTATTGCTATACGCATGATTGATTGTGCCTTTGGGTTAGCTGTACCGATTTCCGGATGGTGTTGTGCTTTTCAATGTCGGTATGTCGCTGAAGAAGGTCAGTATCTGAAAAATAGCGTGTGGTCATCCTTTTGTACTGCCGAGCTTTGCGACTCTGCACGGGCCTCAGCATTCACTTGAGCGGCGGTAAGCAGTCATGGTCGATTCATGCCCGGAAGAAGTGCCCGGAGGCTTCATGTGATTGCTCTGGAACACTCGCGCGACCCTGGCTGCGCCGAAGCGATATCCCGACTGTGGCCCACAGCTGCTTGTCAGAATAGCCGGGGAGGAGACGATCACTGTACGCGCGAGTGGTGCAAAAGGCCGAGGCTCTAACTGACATCCTAGGTCTTTGCGAGCTTGAGGGCGAGATCTAGGACACTTCTGCAGCGCGCATTAAGAGAAGCTTTCCGCGGACGTTCTTCCTCGGGAATCTTGGAACACGTGGGCCGTCAGCTACTAGTCGCGGGAACCTTAGTATAACAATTGGCTACGTAGAGGCCCATGCTACTCCAGCAGTGGCGCTAAATGAGTTCATCCTATATCATTGACCTTTCGGTTGGTCATCCAATGACAATTCGCCCTCGTATACGCTAGTTCTGAGGTCATGGAGAGGACTTGGCAGATGTCAGCGTTTGCGATGTGACGAAACTCTCCATGGCCGCAGCACTTGTTGATATTCCGACGACAGAATAGTAGCCGATCATGATATCGCGAGCCTGACGACTTCATTATTTGAGTATGACCAATATGTGCGGCTTGTATGGCCAACCCAATTGGCATACGATTATGTCAATCAGGCGGAAAACACCTCCTTTCCGCAATCCAACATTACATCTTCATGTCACATTCAAATACAGCAATGTTAGGCTCACACAAGACTTCTCTGGTAGGAGTTGATCCTCTTGTGACATAGACATAGACCGATGCTTCGATCTCTGAATCTACTGCTCGTTATTGCAGTTCCTCTGCTTGCCATCATTGGCATTCGACTGTGGCTGTCAGACCATGGATTCGCAGTCATACAGTTGCAAGCCTCCTACCGGAAGGTCACAACTCAGACTGATCGCTTGAGAGGGTCTATTAGCAGCGAAGGATCAATGCTTGCTTGCGAAGAACAATGGACCATTACAGGAAACCTTACGTAGGTCACAACCTTTCTGAAGTTGTTGTATGCCCCTACTCATGCGAACAGCGATGCATCGGGGAAGCAAATACAGAAATCAAAGCTACAATCAACCGAGCTCCATCTTAGCAGCGCGCCATACGATAACTACTTCTACTCGGACTGCAATGTTGCTGCTCAGATGATTCTCACCAGTCCCTCGGCAGGCAATGATCTTCAAGTCATAGGTCCACGAGTTATTGTCGCTTGGCCAGCGGGAAATAGTGGCGCCTGTTTGTTCTTCAAACCAGAGAATGGAGTCAACGGAACCTTGGCGATCAAGCTCGTCAATTCCACTATTGGGTCTCCTCTTGGTCCCGTGTACATCGAGGGAGACGATATCCCCTACGTAGGAATTGAAGGCGTTCTTCATTTGAACTCTACGGCTGTGGTGTCACTATCAATATTGGGGTCCATTCGGGCGATCCGCGACTTCACGGAAGGCCCAAGCTTACTGCACCCTGTACTACAGGAAGGGATACAAATTAAAACGCTTGGGGACGATGGGGTCTCCATATCGCGACTCTGGCTTGATAACAGTACCACAACAACCACGACATTGAGACCGCACGGCTCGGGCAGTATACTTGTCGACGCCAACAAAATCGTTCTCGAAGCAGGAGAATATCTCTTATCCGCTTTTTACAACTATCCGCAGCTCAATCAACTGGATCTGGGAGAAGTGTTAAGAGACAAGGATCTCGTCGAGCAACGCCCACACGAGGCCAAGGCACTATCGTTTCTGTCGTACTCGGAGAAAATTTTGGCGGGTGCGTGGAGATTTCTCACTTACTTTGGACGGGACGACATGATATCGACGCTGATCCTGCTCCCGGCTTTGACCAACGAAGCTATCGAAGCAGTCATTGGGTCCGTGTTGGAAAGAATCAATCGTGCCGACGGCAGCGCGTGTCACGAGGAAACCATCGGTGACTATGCCACTTATATGAATCTACAAGATGGTCATGCCTCTACGGCGTATCGATGCGACTACAGCATGGTCGACACAGATTACTTTGTTCCGATCCTGATGCACGCCTACTTTGTAGAATCAGGAGCTGGGATGGAACGTCTGGAAGCCCTGCTTGCCACTCCTGCCGGTAGCGTCGACCCAGATAACAAAGGCCTCAGTTGGGGCGACTTGTTCATCTTGCTCGTCACGAAAATAATGCGCGAGACTGCTCCCTTCGCTGCTCCTGGCGGTCAGACGCGAGAGAATCTTATTCACCTCAAAGATGGCCACGAGACCGGTGTGTGGCGAGACTCGGTCTACGGTATTGGCGGGGGACGAATACCTTTCGACGTAAATGTCGCACTCGCTCCTTCAGCCTTACGCTCTATCGAATCCCTGGCGAGGGTATTCGGTACAAGAATCTTCGGCGAATACGAGCGAGAATGGACCATGCTCGCGGCACAGTATGCTCAAGTCTGGGAGGACAAGACCTTGGAATTTTTCAAAGTTGTCGTTCCGCAATCAACCGCTCGCGAACGGTTGGAGACGTTCGTCAGCACCAGTTCTTTCTACGACGGCCCTTCACATGCCGAGCTCATTGATGCAGATGTGTCGTATCATGCACTCGCTCTACAAGGCAACAACGGTCTTGATGTCGTTCCAGTGATGAACACCGACGCATGCTGCCGCATCTTCTACTTGAACGGCACAAATCAAGCACGGTTGACCAACTACCTCAACGCAACCGCGCTGTCGATATTGAGACCTTTTCCCGCTGGCCTCATGACGTCGGTGGGCCTCGTCGTCGCGAACCCAGCGTTCTCAGAAAACGAGGTTGTGAGGCAGAACTTCACCAATTCCGCGTACCACGGGACCGTTGTGTGGAGTTGGCAGCTCGTCGCGATGGTGAGAGGCCTGGAACGGCAATTAGGTCGATGCTCTGTGAAGGACGACTTGCACCTCAAGCCAGACTTTTGTCACGATTCGGTCGTGTACGGAAACGTTAGAGATGCATACAATAGGCTGTGGGATGTGCTCGAAGAAAGCGAAGATTTCCTTACAGACGAGGTATGGAGCTGGGTATACAGGAATGGGGAATATGTACAGACGCCACTGGGCAGCATGGCAGCTCCTCCTGGTGTTGCGGGCGTTGCGGAAAGTGATATCATCCAATTGTGGAGTTTGGCTGTTCTGGCGATAAAGAGAGATATGGACCTGAGATAGAGCACCCAATGTACGAGATTAGAATAGGTCCAGTGGAAAGCTAAGAGTCGATGAGCACATGTATAACTCCATGATACTGTGATCATCTTCCAAACACCATATTTTTCATCGAATAGCCAAAGATGAGATCGAAGGATTATCAAAATTCTTTACTCTTGCGCTCCTGTAGCGGCGGAACGGTGCCTGTGCGCAGCGCATGGTGAACGAGACGAATCTTGATTTCAGACTGTGGTGATCCAATATTTGACCATGTTATGTAATTCTGACGAAAGGAGGACCGGAAGACCAGTCCTTTTGATAGGGAAGCCGGAGCCAGTAAGCAGACATCCTCGCTACGGTGATTTTGCAGCGCTACAGCATCTGATGACAGTCGGTTCTTCTCCGATGTCATGGTGCTCTTAAAGGTCTGCCATTCCGGGCACAATCCCGTCAACGGAATACTACATTCTTTCCTTGCCTGGCGCCTGTACACCGACCAGAGACCACTCGCTGGACACACGACCTGGTGGCAAGGACAAATGTCCCCGAATGACGGCCGGAATATCTGGTTTGTTTGTGGCCCGAGACTCGCAAATGCTCGTCGCGTGCGGTTCAGACTAATTTGGAACACAGGCAGGAGCCTTCGCCGGATTCAGCATCAACTTGCTCGTATTCCCCCTCGACACATTGAAGACAAGAGTACAGTCACCGGCATACCGCGAAGTCTTCCGAAGCACGGCAGCTATTTCGAACAGGTCTCTTTTTCGTGGACTCTATCAAGGCGTCGGCACAGTTGCTCTCATAGCTGTGCCATCCTCCGGCGTCTTCTTCACGACCTATGAAGGCCTCAAATATGCTCTCAACGACACCTGGTTATCTGGGCCAGTGGTTCATGCGACTAGCAGTGGAGTCGCCCAGCTCTTGACCTCTGCCGTCGTGGCTCCCGCCGAGGTCATCAAACAGAACGCGCAGATGTTAGCGCACGAGACACGGAGGTCAAGTGGAGTTTCTCCGACCTTGGGGGCGTTGAGACAGCTGCTGGAGCATCCTGCAGCACTATGGAGGGGCTATACCGCGCTCGCAGCTCGAGATCTTCCATTCGCAGTACTGCAATTTCCCGCGTACGAGCAGATCAAGGCGAGATTGACAGCGTGGCGTTCTCGATTTGACGAAGGCAGGTCCGCCAGTGCTGCTACTCTTGAGCGAGCACAGATATCGGCGGTAAGTGCCGGTATTGCAGGCTGCGCCGCCGCTTGGGCTACGACACCATTCGATGTGGTCAAGACAAGGATGATGCTTGAAGCGGGCGCGGGAAACGAAACAAGCATCCATGCCCCAGAGACTAACAGTTTTGGAAAGGGAGGAATGAGTCGCAGAAGTGGATTCGAGACCGGTGCATTGATTCTCAGGCATGAAGGCGTGACAGGTCTCTTTCGCGGTGGTCTCGTGCGGGCGGTGTTGACGATTGTCGGTAACGGACTTTACATGGGCTTCTACGAAGGAGCTCGATCTTACCTAGCCGGCTGATGGGGAAACTGCCTCGTACCTCGGACTCGAGAGAGCAGGTCGTTTGTACCGGAACAATGCAGAAGGACGTGCGTTTGTGGAACATCATGGTATTCGTGAGTTGAGGTCACGAACCTTATCCGAGCACCTGCACGAAACATCAGCTTAGAAATACTTAAGTACATGACTTTTCAATACTTACATCAGGTACTAAGACCTCCAAGGCCAAGAGGAGGTTTCCTTGGGGATTATTCCCTCAGTACACGACACGGCTTTCTCAATCGGTTTCTCTGCGATACCGGGCCCAGCTACGGCAAACACCTCCAACACCAAAATCCAGAGACCGTCATGGATGATCCACCCAAACAGCCAAACTAGGTGCACATGTTTGCCCCCAACACCTTAACTAGCCAAAATGCTTTCACGGCCTGTCGCCCCCAAGGCAACTCGCCACTTCTCTTGCTCACAGTACTCGACACAGACTACATGCGCGAAAAGTTCCTCACGCAGATGCAGGATCTCTTCTCGCAGCTCCGTCGCCTGTTTCTTCAGGAGGCTATTCTCCTCCTTTGAAGCCGCCGATGCATCTTTCAGTGCGTCCACCTCTGCCTTTTTCTTTTCGCGGCACTTCGACGCTGCTAGCCGGTTCTTCTCCAACAAAATCTCTCGTTTATCAGCCTCGCTTGCAGGTTTGTCCCGGTCTAGCCGTGAGGCATTGCGCGGGCGGCCTGGTCGGCGTCGAGGATTGGGCAGAGTTCGTGGAGATGGCTGCGCGGTGGGCTGTGCATTTTGCGCAACGTCCTGCGGATTCTCTGTACGGCGACATCGCGGTGTCCATAGAGTCTGCGGAGTCTGTGGACGTCGTTGTCAATGGCGGCGGGCTTGCGCAAAAGCTCTGCAAGTCGCGGGGCTCAACGTAGCTTCCCATGTCGGCGCAGACGCTTGTTGAGGTGACCCGACTTCCTGCTCCAGGCGCCGAACGCCAAGTTGGTGGGTCGAAACCAAACTCGTCCTCGATCGCTGTGAGTGACCCGGCAGGTATTCGTCCCGCCACGGGCCCAAAGAACAGGTCGAAGTCGTTATGTATGGCTGAGTCGATCTTCACAGAGCCAGGACTGTACAGAAGAGGACTCTTTTGCAGACAGGTAAGTGACGACATAGATGCCTCGATATTGTTTGCACTGGATGTTGTGGCGACAGAATCCCATGAGCTTTCCGTGCTGAAAGACATTCGTGTAGGTGTCATGGCAGAACTGCTTCGGTATTGGTCTGTACATGGTGAAGAGGAGGTCCCGCTACTCAAGCTCATCGAAGGACGCGTAAGATCGACGTGCATCCCATTCGCATCCACCTCAAAGTCGCTCGTCGACGGTTCTGGAGCCCTCGCTAGGGAGGTCTCTAGACCGGTGGTGCATTCCATGTCTTGCTGGGTGGACACGAACCCTCCTTCCGGACTTGTTTGCTCGCTCAAGCCTAGGCGCTGAAGGATGGTTTCCGTCGTGACGTCGGTATAACTCCCAACAGTACAGGGCTTGTACATCTCGTAGAGTGCGTGGACTGCCTTGGAAAGCGTGTCGTTGGTTTGCCTTGAAACATGTGAGTAACGGCTTCCTCAAGGAGACCGACTAGCTTGCGTAGACATACTGCAGCTTAAGTGGCGGCAAACGTTTGGCTCGAACAGTGCATTGGACGCCATTCTGCGTGCACATAGTACACGGATGCAGTCTGTCGCACTAGAGGTAGGGTCAAGGTCAGCCTCATCTGGCTGCATGACTCGGTTGGAGGTCATGCAATTACCTTTGTCTTCCTCAATCGACAGTAATTGCAAGCTCCAGGGACACGGCCGCTCTTGCTTACGTGACTGTCACTTTCGTGTCGGGCCATGGCTATGAATAACAATAATGGGTGATAGTTGTTTCGATGTTCTCAGACCGGTGTCGAGCTTCGATCACGGGTGTCCCAAAAGCAACGAAGATGCTCCTTTTTATGGCCCAATACTCATACATCCCCTCACTTCTTCCATCCACGGATCAGATACAAAGGGGACTCCAAGCCTCGCATCTTTGGGGTGGATATCCTGGTCAGTGTACCGCATATCGAACACGGCTGATGCACGCCAGAATTCTTACTGTACAAAGTGAGCATCGTAGAAAGCATATTGTAGAAGCTGTAAGCAAAGTTGCGCCTCGAATGGGCAATCTAACGAACAGCAATGATGCAATTGGACGATCTCTTCCATGTTGATGATATGCTCATGTCCTTGCGTTCATGTCTGGACATGTTGCGCGTCTGAGTGTGTCCGAGCCCTCGGAACCTTGGGATCCACTCCTCGGACGGCTTGACAATCGCTCTCCTGCCCGGCCAATGTCCCGCAGCAGATCCGCAACCCTCGAATCCCAGAGACTCCGCCCGGATTTGCGGGCTAGCGCTCCGGCCATCAAACCCGCGTGCGGGCCTTCTATTCCGTCCCGTTCCTGCATGTTCATTCGAACGGGATACTCAACTACCTCCCCATCGCTGAATTTCCCGTTCTGCCGAGCCTTGTCCGAGGACTTTGTCCTTCACGCCTAGGTAGGCTCCGCGGGCTTCTGTGAGACTCGCCAAATGTGTGCTCTCGAAACTACTGCAAGGCGTCCTTCTTTGACAACCTTGGAAGCCCGACTGAAATCTCTCAGAAATGGATCTATTTACCACGTGCAGGCCACGAAGGTTGGCAATCTCTCACTGAGATGTGTACTGTCTACCACGAGCCTGCACGGGATCGTTCGATGCCTGTCCTGCATGCGGACCAGGTGTGGTAGCTTGTCCTCGGGGTTCAGGCGACCTTAGTGGGTTGATAACACATCAGCGCCGTATAGTTGTACGCTAAGGGACAACGCTCTCAACATGTCAATTATCTCATCCAGCGGAAAAGTGAGCCATCGGCGGGCCTCGTTCGGATCAAAGACCGTTGGAATCTGTCATGGGCATGTGAGATCGGGACACGAGAAACCCTATAAGCTTGTTCTTGCACATACCGTTCATCTTTGACCTCGGATCAAACCTGCCTCACCCTCTACTACCATACTTACTCAATATGACCACCCAGACGATACTACAACCAGCAGTCGCATCCCACTTGCATGGCTTGGACCAACTGTCTTTCCAGCATGGCCGAATTACCTTACCACCCAATCCGTTCAACCAGAAGACCATGAAGTTACACGGAACAGTTGCCCCTCCCCCGACACCACAGCCAACAGCAAACCCAAAGCAGCTAGTGAGAGACCCAGGCCTTCTTGTGGTCTCCAATCGCATGCCCGTCAGCGTCAAGCGCACTGCCGAGGGAAGTTACCGACTCGACAAGCCATCAGGTGGTCTTGTGACTGGACTCAGTGGCATCGACAAAGGAGCCTCCTTCAGCTGGTACGGATGGCCTGGCCTCCCTGTGCCAGAAGAGGAGCTCCAGGACCTGAGAAGCGTTCTGAAGGAGCAACACCATGCCGTTGCTATTCCGCTGGATGATGACTTAGCAGACCTGCATTATAATGGATTTTGCAGTATGTAAGATGTTCCACAACTTTTGGCCCTTAGCTAACGCCTCAATCTCCAGACTCGACGCTCTGGCCACTGTTTCATTACGAGGGCTGCTTTAGTTACAATCGCGGCGATTGGGAGGCCTACCAAAGGGTTAACCAAATTTTCGCCGATCGACTTGCAGCAGACTGCGTAGATGGAGATGTCGTCTGGGTCCACGACTACCACCTCATGTTGGTGCCTGAAATGCTGCGCAAGCATGGCCTCTTGTTCAACAAAAAGATCACCATCGGGTTCTTCCTGCACACTCCATTCCCAGCCGGCGATCATTTTAAGATCCTTCCGACATGCAAGGAACTTCTAGCTGGAGTTCTTGGGAGCGACATGATTGGCTTCCATACCGCAAGTTACGCCAAAAACTTTAAGGCGACATGTACGAGCATTTTGTGAGTAGTTCAGGTTGTCCACAACAGCGAGTCGGCTGACTGATATCTGGACAGGGGTCACAAGATCAGTCACAGCAAAGTGTTCCTCGGAAAAAGAAGCGTTCATGTCAAAGTGAGCCCTATCGGTATCGACCCTGATAGTTTCACAAGAGAGCTCGCGAAACCTGAGCTCCGGAGGCTGTCCGATTCATTACGAGACACATACAAAGACAAAAGGGTTTTGCTTGGTATTGACCGGCTGGACTATATCAAGGGTCTGCCAAGGAAGATTGAAGCCCTCACCCAGCTACTGTCCCAACAACCTGAGTGGATCGGAAGGCTAGTCCTGATACAAGTTGTGGTACCGAGTCGTCAAGACATTGGAGAAAATCAGGAGCTCTTCAGTACCCTGAATAGACTTGCAGACGAAGCCAATCGGCAGTACGGTAAGAGTGTCTCGGCAACGTATCACGACTTGCTGACTCACATCATCTTCTCAGGTAGCGATGGTTACCAGCCAGTCACATTACTACATTCGAACGTGCCCTTCAACGAGCTCGTGACTTTATACAACGCTGCCGATATATGTCTCGTCGCATCGACACGTGACGGCATGAATCTCGTGGCATCCGAATACGTCGCCTCACAGCAGGAGCACGAGCGCAAGGGTGTGCTGGTGCTTTCAAAATTCGCCGGCGCCGCAGAGCAGCTTGCCGGCAGCGTACAGTTCAACCCTTGGTGCCTGGATGATATGGTCGACGCTCTGACCAAGGCACTCACGATGAGCGAGTCTGAGAGAGCGTCAAGACATGAGCAGAATCGCAAATTTGTGGTGCAGAATACCAGGTGAGTTCGATCTGTCTAGCGCGCAGCGAGAAAAGTGGCTGACCATATGATTGTGACAGCGCGGCATGGGGACGCTCCTTTGTTGCTGATCTGAAGGAGATGGCTTCGTCTGAGTCGAAACATGCAGTTTACGCGTCGCTGTTTGCACGAGATCGATCGAGTCGCTGTGCACCTACAACCTTGGGTTGAACGTAGTACTGGAGCTGAAAGCGGGCACGGCCTTGATTCGATTCCTGAAGGGGCATCTTTGGTTGCTGCATAGATTCGGCGGCAATGGTGCGGGGACAATTGTGCATATTGTAGTGAGCTACTTGGTACGTCCAATGTCACTAGGGGACTTCGAATCGGAGTTCTCAGATTGACACGCGGGCCCGGCGCTGACTCAACACTCGGGGGCAGAATTCTACCACTTGAACGATCTTTAGAGCTTTCAAACCTTTGGGAATCAGGCGCAGTGAGAACGCGGCATCGATGACGACTGACAAAAGCGGCGCTAGTCGGGTGAAGGCGAACACAAGCCTAGATGCGAAGCTGGCTATTGCAAGTCGTTGTGAGTCGTGGAGTGGTAGCCAAGGCGATGTGAGGAGTTGAGGCTCTGTCACGTGATCAGACACAAGCACCGTGACCTTCGCGCCAAGCTGCCCGGCAAGCCTAAGGTTCTTCGAAGCTCCGTTGGCCACAAATACCCCACAAGCTTTATCTCCACCTCACCCTCCGATCGCTCTTCTCTGTGAAGGGTAGGCCGTTTTGAATGCGATAGCGAAGATGTAGATGGAAACGAAGACGTCTTTAGCTTGACGTCCCTCGACATCCCGCACTCTAGCAGAACACCGCCCAGGATACCGCCATGGCCTCTTTAGAAGACAACCCATCCCACGCCTCTTACTACTCCTCCGGCTTCTCCAACCGGATAGGCTGGGGCTCCCGTCCCGCCCTCTTATTGATCGACGTCTGCACCGCTTACTGGACTCCCGGCAGCCCCTTAGATATCACATCTAATCCAGCGGGCAATGCTTCGCCGGAGAGCATGCGGAAATTGCTTGCGGCGGCACGGAAAGGTGGAGTGCCGGTGTTGTGGACGCGGGTTGAGTACACAAGTAAGGATATGAGTGATGCCGGGTTGTTTTATAAGGTGGGTGCTGTTTTACTCGGAAGCCGGATTCGGTTCTCGCTTGTGGTCCTCTTTGGTGCGTGTCGTCTCTGACAGCGGTAGTAGAAGGCAAAGGCGTTGAGTGTGTGGCAGGTTGGGGATGAGAGAGGGCTGGAGGCGTGGGTTGAGGGGTTGGTGCCGGCGGATGGGGAGGTGGTGGTGACGAAGAAGTATCCGAGTGGATTCTGGGGGACGACATTGGGGACAAATCTGACTGTGAGTGCGCCCGTCCAAGCAGAAGGGGGAGGGCCACTTCGAGAGGTGCGAGTGCTGATCAGTGAATAGGTGCTGGGCGTCGACACTCTTGTAATCTGCGGCGTGAGTACGAGTGGGTGCATTCGGGCAACGGTGTTGGATGCCATGCAGCATGGGTATAGACCGATGGTGAGTCAAGATCCCGGGAAACGGGAAGCTTTGCTTACGTGACAGATTGTGGGATCGGCGTGTGGTGACAGGACGGCGGCGATTCACGATGCGAATATGTTTGACATGAATGCGAAGAACGGTGATGCGGTGAGTGAAGAGGAGGCGGTGGAGAAGCTGAGGGCTGGGTGGGGCACGAAATGAGGATGGCATTATTGACTCCGCCAGAGCAGCCTACGGTTGTCTGAAGCTGTTGTTTGCCACGGTGCGGCCAACTGCCGGTCAGTGAGCAACGATTGCAGTTCGACGAACAGCAATTGACGGTCCTGATGCCTGCTTCTATACCCATGATTCGTCGAAGCGACTCAACCAGAGTCTCTAGGCAACAGCCGTGTCAACCTCGTGGCATCACTTCGTCGGTCGATGGACCCCACCGTCACCAGCTGGTCTTCCTTCCACAGCGGTCTTCGAATCGATAAACAACTGTGAAGGTCATCAGTGTGGTCACTTTTATCGAGTTCCGCCAGCCCGGCCCTTTGACAGACTCCTGTGACTGCACCAGATTTGTTCACCCAGATTCTTCCAGGTAAGTCATCGAGAACTCGCAGGCTGCAGTGCTGACTCTCTGTGCACCGGCATCCATCCACATGCTCTATGGCTGCTGCCTAGCTCGTGCTCACGACCGAGTGCTGAGTTTCTTTGTGCTCTGCATGACTCATCGGACCCTGTCGACGCCGTTTCGCCTTCTTCACAGCGATTTCTTTGTTCGCGTGCTGTCGATCCCAATGCTGGAGGCATCATCATCGCACTTTCGTGATGACCAAACCGACTTGACCTCCATATTCAGGGTCCAGCTGCTGCAAACGTTGTCAGTCAAGCTGTGCTGCGCCCACCTTCAGAGGCCTGGCCGGGTGGGGAGTAGTGGGGAGAAGAAGGATAAGTATGTGGCTTGCTCCCGCCTCGGGACAGGTTTCCCTCCTCATCCACCGACCCAGTCCTTTGATGGGTATTGGGCCTTGGCCCATAGTCTTCGAGAATTGATACTTGTCTTCCATCCCTCAAGGCTTGGTGCTTGTCTTCTATCTTTGATGCCTCTCACATGTTATATATATCTATCCTACGGTCGTGTGTGCCGTCGTCGACATCTCGATCAAGGTCATGCTGTGCGTCCTTCGGAACACAACAACTGGGGTCGTACGGTACGATCTCTACGAACATAGCTTGACCGCTTCTCAAGACCTCACCGCAATTTACAAGCTCACGAATACTTCGATATCACGGCCACTCAGGACCCCTCCGCATGGAATTCGCGGGATCATTATCGACGGCCACGCACGCAGAGGCTCTTCTGCTCTGCTCTGTTCTCCACGGCGTGTCTCCCATGGTGGGGACATGGCTGCCTTGCGCACAACGTGGATCTGGCATTGTACCTGGCCAGCCCTGCGTTGGCGCATTCATTCTCCGGGTACGCCTGCCGAGCTTGTCTTTTGTCCTGTTCTGTCAGCAAGATCAGCTCGCTGTGGCACGTTAAATTCAGCGTTTGCTTCTACACTAGGTCTCACCCGTCCCTATGAGCTATCACAGGTCTGGGTGCGAGGCCAAGTCGTGAATTTTTGAGCAGCACGGCTTATGCTGCCTGGTGTGTGTAACAACTCACGCCTTGGCGGTCGTGGTGTCGGCATGACAGAAGGTGGAGTCAATATGTAAACCTGCTGCCACACCAAATATAGAGTCATACTTACGAGCCAACACAGATTCCGCATCGGCATTGACGAGACTTACGCTGGCCCCCCCTGTGTTGGTTCTGCGCAAGGCCAATCAAGAGCATCCTACGAGTCGGTGGTCGCCGTGGTGTTGGCGACGACGGCCGTGCTGGGACTTCTAGCTATAATGAGTTCCTGGTCCATCTCCTGTGCTCAAACAGCACCTCTATCTGCGAGACGGCTGACGTAATCTCGTTGGCACATCTGGGGCACGAGTCGGGACCTTGTTCTCAATCTGGTACGCACTCGCAGTCCTGCAGTGGTCAGGAAACGTCGGTGGTAATGGCGCAGAGTTCGTGCTTGGAACAGCGCCGACGGTGCGCTCTACATCGAGCGAGAGACTGAAGCGAAACTCGAGACGAGCGCCGGGTTTCCACCTCTAGTTCATTCATTGGCGAAGTGGGAGAGGCCAAGCCCATGGTCAATACACACGCGTCGCGCGTGGGCTATTTCAGACGCCATTGGTCTTACCGCACTTGTAAGTGGTGTCTCCGCTACACTTTCGCAGCAGGGATACGCAAGCCACTTCCCACGGTGTCCGCTCTGGCTCTCAATTCTGGCCGTCTCCGTTACGCCTGGGGACTTTATCTCCTGGATAGCGGCTGAACGACTTAAAGGTCGTGCTGGCCAAAGAGGTATCATCTCGATGCACACCTCATACCACTCAGCGCGGAGTCCCGCTGGTGTTCCATGAGATTCGAACCACAGTCAAGCTACGTCAACGGAGTTCAAATCATGGACACCAGGCTCCCTAAGAGAAGTGAGAAGGTGATAGTTTCTTTGCTGGATCTATTTGTCAAACACCTTGGGGCACGAATGTTGCTTACAGAGAAAGTTTGGGTCGTCGGTCGTGGAAGAGGCTCATGCGTTGGCTGCTGCCAAAACATAATTGCGACGGCCAAAGGGCTTTCGTTAACATCATGGCGATTCTAAACCTCGACATGGAACCCCGGTGGCACCCGTTTCTTCGTCATGGCTGTCGGTGCGATCCCTGGGCTGCTGTTCGTGTTCATGGCTGTCACCGCTGGGCTGTTCCGCCCACATTCAGCACCATGTTACGTTCTGTAACGAATCATTGAGGAGGAACATCAAACCGATTGTTCAACCGTATGTCTGAAGCAGATCTGACGCTTGCATTGGCGCTGGTGTGACGTTATGTCTAACTGCTCGGAGAAGATGTGAGCACATCGGTGGCTATACTCCACGGTGGCGAAAAAGAATATCTATCACGAAATCCGTTTACGCTCTGCCCTCATCTCGCTTGAGCAGCCGGACCAAGACCAACATCGTCCAAGGAACACTACATCACGAGGCGGGCTACGAGAGTCTCGCTGGACCTCGCCAAGCCACTCTTGTCAGTCCTCGACATCGTGCATCACGAATTCCTACGAATCACGGCTCCAGTAAGCCTTCAAACGGACACATTTGACGCGGGTATTAGACAGAATGGGCAGGCACGAGCTCCTGGCTACTTTACATCTTCCAGAACCTCAAATCCCCGTCACGCAGTGCTGCCAACTATGGTTGAGACGATTTCTAACAATGCGTCTCACACCTCGCTACGACCGAGGTGAACAATCTGTAGGCTCACCACCACACAAGCGCAGAGCATTGGCTCCTCTCGATGCGAATACGACGACGTCAGTCGATTCTTCTGACCTGCTCGCACTGAAGAAAGAGACCGCACGGAGTTTACCTCAGCAACTCACTGATAATGAGCTTGATGACTTTCTATGGGAGATTGATAGAGAGTGCGAGGACCAGGCTCTCTCTTGAAGTCAACCTGAGGCTCCTGCTGCCGCTGCTGCGATCGAAATGTACACGCTACGGAGCCCGTTCGCTTTCCGCTCGATTCCATCAAGTGTACCGTTCTGGCCATCTGCCGAGCCATTACACTTGGCTGCTCGTTGATAGCACCGTCCAAGACGGCTATAACCCAACAGCCTTTCACGCTGTGGATTAGGGGCCGTGTTCACAGCAATTGTCACGGAGAACCGACTGACGCGATTTGTCAATAGTGAAATCGACGCTGGGAAGTATTTGGGAGGTTCCAGATGCCAGCTGGTTCTTCTGAGCAGGTCCGTACTGAAACGATCCGAGCGACATGTTCACGGAACAACAACTGGCCTTCTATCTCAAGGCCAACGGGGTGACAAACAGAATGGTGTCCAGGACCACAACCCAGGCTATCTAGCGCGACATATTCAAAATAGGGCAGCCGCACGGGGCCAAGAACTCACCAAGTCCTACTGCGAGCCGCCGTTGTTGCCGGACTCAGCTCGACAGCAGCTATCAGACGCCATAGCTTTACGCGAGCTCATATACATGGGACATCGAAAGTGCCCTGGGCTTCGAAGACCCGATGGTGCTGAGCACGCGGTGGCCTGTGCTCTTCTGATGAGAATGACACGAGTTCATCCCCTCGGGATGTTGCATGAGTCCCGAGTGAGCTTGAGCTTGACTCTGCCCTCTAGATCGCATATCGTATCGCTATGCTTCGAAAACAAGACTGTACGATATGTTGCGGGCTCCTGAGCTAGAGCGCGTGAGGGTCTTGGTTCCAAAATGGCACAAAACGACCGGCATGGGATTCGTGGACTTTGCTGACGGCGAGAACCAGGAGGGCTCTTCTACCGTGCATTCTGGCTTTGCTGCTGAGCTCTGGCCGGAAGTACCAATGGAACCAGCACACGGGCTGCCGATTGACGGTCTGCAGTCGTAAGCGACCGACGCAGTGGCGCCAATGCCAAAGCCAGGCTGTCTGCATTTCAGTTCAGCTGTTTGCAACCGTTGTTTCATGCCAGCGAGAGTCGACGGTCATGAGTCCGATGTTCGACGATGCTACAAGTATCTCGGGCCATCAACGATTTCTCCGACGTCCACGTAGCGCGTCTGGCATTTGGGAAAGGCACATTACAAAGCTGGTACGGCCTTGCGGCCGTAGGCTGCGTGCCTGGCACTGAGAGCTTCGGAGACACCGTTATGTCGACAGTCGCCCGATCGTAGAAAGATCACGAGCTGTGGGTTATGTCCTTGCGTCGGTGGACGTGGACAAGAACCAGGCTTTGCTCTGGCGATTCGAACATACAACATACGAAGAATGCCCCGAGGAGGCTCGCACTTGAGCGCATGTACGATCTCGAGGCCAGTGTGTAGGGCGACGTCGCGCGCCTCCCGCATGTGAGCGAACTACAGAGACTGGAGATCTACGCAAAGGATACCTGGATGAAGGACATATTGCTCAGGGTGCTAAACCTTGGCTCAATTGTTCTGTACGCCGAGCATTTTGTGTCTCCCAAACTCTAGACTGAATGCGACACAGGCTGGTCACAGCTTCACCACACGATTTCCTCCAGCAAGACTACTCAGATAGGAGCTGGCCTGGGTGGAAGGACCATGAGATCAAGCGGTATGCGCGGGACCGAATGGGACGTCTCGACAGATGAAGACGACTTCGGCTATCTTTACGCGCTCAAGGGTTCTTTGAAAGCTGAAAACGCACCGATTGGGTTCTTTCGAGGGGACCTCCATGTGAGTGAAGCCATGCAGCCTGAGCAATGACTTGCTGGAGTCCTACGGTCCTTTCTGGTTCTGGCGAGTTTCCCCTGCTTGTTGATCTATGCTTCTACTTGATATTTGAGCATGAATTCACTCGCGGCGGCAATTCGATCCCAGATACACTGTATCACTACGCGAAAATTTTCTCGTGGAGCAGTATGAGAAGCAGCAGGCGAACCTAGAGACCGAAAAGACATGCTGAAGAGGAAACCCGTAAACGTGAGAGAGACGCCAAGTTCGAGACAGCTGTTGCTAGCGATGTTGCCACACCGCTGGCTAAGCACATGGCTGAGAGTCGAATTGATCGTATCGATATTGACGACAATTGGTTTTTAACTCAGATCTACATCTGCTTACATAGCTTCAATCGATCTGGGCAGAAACGACAAGCAATGTCACGACGAGGCCGACTGGGCTAAACTCAAAGGACTTTTAATGGATGAATCACTTCAATACTGTGCTGCCCTTTCGACTACACAGGGCAACACACCCTTTGTCAATCTTACGGCAGACATATCAGCCCGTGGTACCAAGTGAAGACCAGCCGAGCTACTGCTCACCCAGCTTAACACTGACTTCGAGGCCAACCTGGAAAGCCACGACCCGAGCAGTTCGAATCAGGCGTACCGGTGCCGTGAATTCTACTCAGAAGGTCAATGCCTATCTCCACGGAGTTGGTGAGGCAAGCCGTTTGTTATGGCGCGGCCATCAAAGACAACTTGGTGCACGGCAAGCTATCTGTATGCAGGAACATACGCGTGGCTACGTAGGAGACATACGTGTTGAGATCACCACTCATATCAATGGCGTGCCATCATCCCTGATGAATTTGTCCGCGTCTTTGATACTCCTTGTCTGACGCTGGAAGAGCAGTATCGATATGCCAGCATACGCCATCCTCGAGCCTGCACTGGTGGCCGTAGCGCCTTGGGTTGTTGGACCTTGCTTCTATCTGGAGATTGGCCATGGTTATCTGCGAATTACATGTTTCTCGCTTTACAACCTCGTCGAGATGATGTGGAGGACTTACGGCGAGACTTCGGGTCGGCATCCATCCAACACCAAAGCACCTGCTCAGAAAGACAAGCCGGTCCACGGGGAGATTTCATCGGAGCAGCATCTCGAAAGCAACAAGTACAAATAGCAAGAGATTTCAGTTACCTTCCGCGTCCCTAGGGGTCACCACTTACCAATTGTCAGTCGATCTACAGCTGCGCAGCAGTCGGTCAGGCTGGGAGTATTATCCGCCCAGCTGATGAGATGAAGCAAAATGATGACTCGCACGGCGGTTGTAATATATGTAGCTAGGCCTTATATGAAAGTCACTTCGGTTCTACGACGATCCTCACGACCGACAGTCAATGGCAATGTTGATTTCCTGGGAACTCAGCTTACGGAGATGGCATCCGACCGCAAAGCAAAGACGAGGCGCGCATACGGAGCCAAAATGGCACTGCCTGCCTGAAGCGGAGGGACTTCTACAATCAAGTTTTCTCCTTCCGAACAGGTATATGCTGTTCTCTGGGACTACGACGACAAGACTGTACACGGCGGCTCTGCTGACGATGCAAAAGATCCTTGAAGGGCGCTCAATTTCGTTCCAGACATCACAAAGTTTGGAGTTCGAATCGAATGGCAGCTCTCATTCAAGAAGCCAGAGCAGATGGCTACGCAATCAGAGCTGCTGGTCTACTCTGCTGCATGGACCTACCTCTCCCTACTCTTGTACGATCCCTCGGGCCTCGAGTCATCAGTACGGTCCTTGACGAGCCCGCTGTGCTGCAATACTTTAAGGACTGGTTCTTGACAACACTTCTATTCGGGAGTCAGAATTGGCACAACATCCATCTTCTCGGGTCTGCTGGAACGCACGAGAGGTGTTCTGCTGGTGTTGCATTTCGGACCATTTGACTGCATAGGCATAACCACGTCGGTTCTTCCTCACGCCCGTTGCAATGTCTGGCGCAAAACAATTCTCCGCAGCCGGCAACTCTTTCAGCTGGTACGATCATTCAGCCGTTTGACGCAGCTGTCTTGGCAGCTTCGTGGAAATTATAGTACGGAGGTGGTTCACGATACACGGTCATCCCAGAATGGTGTACCACGATGGTGTGTATGGCGACGTTGATCAACAAGCTCACGGCAGATGGGAGACGTCCACCCCGAATGCCACGCTCAGACTGTCGACGATCGTCTGCCGGCGGAGTTTCTCACGAGAATGAAAAGCAAGGATCCCACGGAATCGACGTAAAGTGATAGAACAATGCTTGGCCACCTGTGCAGCACACTTACAGAACGTGCAATTTGACCTCTTCAGATCACAGGAAAAGGCATGCGAACGGTTTTTACACCACCTACCACACCCACTTTCGCGACCCCACTCCCACTCTGTCAAGATGCGCTATTCGATCAGCCTCATCATTTACGTGATAGGAGCGCTCCTCGCCGGTGTAGAGACCACTCTCTGTGCGTGGGCTTTAGCCGTCACAGACTCTCATGTCCGGCAGTATAGGCTGCTGGTGACCGGCTCGGTTTGGAGTTGCTTGTCCTTCACATTTCTCACTTGGCTGCGAGCTAATCGACCCCTTCGCAACGATTGGTCACTCCTGAGCCGGAAATTTCTAATCGCTGTCTTCTGGCTGGTTAGCGGAGGCGCTGTCGGAGGTGACAAAGTTGGTGTCCTGTTCCCGCTCGTCATCATTCTCTTGTAAGGCACCAGAACCTTCCCTAGCTGATTGACTAACTAACCGGTCGGGAAGGTCTCGGAGTCTCCTGCTTCGACAGTTCTTTCTACGCCGGCATGGCTTACGATGTTATATCACTTGGCAACGATCCGCTCTGGCCGTGGCATTGAACGATATGGTCACCAATGGGGTTCTAGACTTCGAGAGTCGGTCATGGAACATCATCAACGTACGGTACAGAGTCGGATACAACCCAGCGATGATACAGAGTCTTACTTCGGCAAGGGCAAACCCAAACAAGAGAAGTGATGGGAGTTCAATAGGATTGGTTGGGAAAGCTTCGTACTCTCCTCTTCTGCCTTCCACCTTGCTCTGTTTGTAGCGGGTCGGCCTGCACATCTTCTGCTGGTAGACTGCTCGTCCTAAGGCATGACCCTCCGGATCATGATCATACCACTGAACAACTTCTACCACAGTCATTCACGCCTGTCCAGCCAGGCATCACCTTCCCAGCATTTCTCTTGCTCCATCTAGAAATCGCCAGCGACAAGTTCCCATCTGGTTCTGCAATAGGGACAACTCATCTCTTGTCCTGCCATTTCCTGTGTATCCATCCACTCGGCTATGCATCGTCGATGGAACTCATGGTGGCATCGCGGCCAACGCCGGACATGATCTCTGGCCTGTGACATGTCCTCGTAGCAGATAGGACACTCTTGTTGACCTTGGACGAGAGGTGGATGTATGGGGCGTGGCTGCGCTGCAGCATCTTGCGCGGCAATTCCTTGCGCGGCTGCTGGGGTTGCTGCTCCTAGCCATGGGATCGCTGTTGCAGTTGACCTCAATCTCGTAGGCAAGTACGCGGCAGCCCAAGCGATAGCTGATGAAGTGATCGAGGCCGTTGCGATTGGTCGTGGCTCTGCAGCACCGACTACCATCGGCAATGCTTCATGAGGCAGGTCTGGTCCGTCCTCGATGTGAGTGTTCGGCTGCACTTCTACGACGAAAAATTCGTCGTCAGTATCCACACCGTCAGCATGCTCGGCGATAGTAGGCTCGGCGACAGCAGGCTCGGCAACAGCGGGATCAGGACCGCCATTCTCAGCACCAGCAGGCTCGACGGCAGCATGATCCAGGCCTTGCTGCAGAGGCGGCGCGACTGGCGGGACCTCCTGGTTCGCAGGTACCGGACGGGCATTGATGTACTGAGGCTGACGCAGTGGGTCGTTAGGAGGAAGCATGTTGATGGGTAAACGACGGCGCAATCTAGCGATGAGAGCATCGACCTGATTGCCAGGGCCATTGCGATGTCTATCACAGAGTAGTAGTCTGGCCGGTTCCCGCAAGTCTTGTGTGGTGATACCTCTCGAAAGTCGGTGTGTGGACGCTTGCTGGAGCAGGGCTTGCGCAGTTCTTCGGTCATGAAGAGGGACTGCTCGAGTACAAGCTGCACGCAAGTCCTCGCCGTGTCGTCCGAGGCATGCGTGTCGTTTCGGAGGGTCGACCTTGAGAGCTTGGACGAGGGTTTGATGTGGCATATTGGGCGAGTTGGTGGTAGGTGAGGCTGCAAGATGCTGTCGAGGAGTAGTGAGAATTGACGAGGTGGTTCGGCTTTGGTGTTTAGTCAAGTGGTTCAAATACTGTAGGAGCTGGAAGAGTTGAGAAGTGTTTCTTGCCGAAGAAGAACGGTTCTGGCCCAATAGTTATGATTTATCGTGCTGACGGGCACCACAAAGCTAAGGCAGTAGGACCGCTGCCAAGAGTTTTCTTTGTTTGGTGTTGGCTGTCGTGTGAGACTGTCTCAATGTTGCACCCGAGATGATTCACTGTGATCTTTGTGGGCTTCCAAGATAGCTCTGGTAGTGCTTGTGAATATTTTCCAAGACATGCATCTGCCGGCTTTGATGCTTGAGGCCTGCGCACAGCTCATGTCAGTATTGGACCGCCGGGTGGAGACTCGAGGTAGACTTGCTCGTAGACTCAGAGCATTCCGCCAGGCTCTGGTGAGAAGTCTCGTCTGGTCTTCGGTCACCAGAGCGAGACTCGGCGAGAGGATAGATATCGGAATGGGCAGGTGTGGAAGGATGAATCGTAGAAAATGACCTTAGCATGAACTGCTAGAATAGTGGCCAGGCCGGATTTGTGGTGTTGCTTTTGTGAAAGTGCAGGATTAATCCGGGCTCACCTTCCAAAATGAGACTGTTACAGTCACGTTTGGTCGTTTGGTCGTGGCTGCCTTGTGAAATTGTGGAGCACGTTCGCTTTGCTTGTCCCTTCATGTTGAAAATCACTCACCACCTCTGAGTACTCTTTGCACCTTTCAAACCCTTTCAACTCACCGTACCTCTGTCACTCCAAAGCCTTGTACACTAGCTGCCCTCATGCCTACTCCCAGCACCACAGAGACGCCTCCTGCAAAGCGCATCAAGATTGAACCAGCTGTCCGAAACCTCGAAAATGCTTGCTCCAAAGAGGAAGCTCTGATGACGCTCCACATGGTGCGCGCTCAGATGATCGCTGACATGGACTACACTCCGCCAACTCCGCTGACAGAATCGGAGCTGGACAAGCACGTCAATCGCCTGTTCGAGACTCACAGTGTCCTCAAACCGTGGGCCCCCAATCAAGTCTACGACACTAGTATGAGTCGCATATTCGACCGGACGATCCATGATTCTCCGAAGACGATGCAACTTATCAAGCTCATCAACAGCCTAGCACGAGAAGCCAAGAAGGAGATGTACAGAATCATCGAAATCTGCTGTGAAGTCGTCAGCGCGCTCCTACCGAAGGACAGAATCATGGCCGACCTCATCGCCAGATGCAGCTTCCAAGTTGAGCTATACTTCATGGCAGAAGCTGCGCACGACAAGTACATCAGAACGATCGGCCTTCTGAGCAAGCACCACGTCATGTACCCCTTCTGAATACTCGAAGAATGTGTCCTCGGTAAGTTCTAATGTTCCAGTGCGACGTCGGAACGAGACTAACCGACCCAGAGTATCGTTTCCTTAGACATGATGAAGACCTCGCGAGCAGAGGCAGTGACGGCAGCTGAGCGATAACGAGCAGAAGTGTATGAAGGAGCGAAATGCAAGCGGCACCTAACATCGGTGTCAACCATGAAGACAAGCAATAGACTTTGCACAGACATCCATGGATTCGAGCAAGACGACCAAGGGCGAATGGTACCATAGCATCAAGCGAAACCTACCAAAGAACAAATAGACAAAACCATCTCGAACGAGATCTCGCAATCTCGCGAGCGGCTTCCAAAAACCCTCTCCTCGTGATCTATGTCCCGGTTGACCGCGCTGTCAGACGGCATCAGTAGTCATTCTTGATGAATACGTGCACAGTTGCTGGGAGGGTGAGTTCGCAAAGCTATTCGCATCGTGCAGCATGCGTGTCACCTAACTGCCACTCGTCTTCTCGGTCGAGCTTGCCAATCGCGTGTAGCTGCGAAGCTAGGAAGTTGTGTCATGCTGCTATCTATGATTATAGAACCTATGCAAAGCCATGTGTCGTCTTCCAAACGCTCAAGCTCAAAATTGGAGTCGGCAAACCTTGGAAGCGAAAGGCAAACCTGGAGAAGGCACTAAACTGTTCCGGGAGAACAAGGCAACCGGGATTGCAGATCTATAACGATGTCTTTCTCTACTGGAGTATCACGCTATGGACTGCTCGTCTAGTCTATAGTGGCGACTCCAGGACGCTGCAACGCTCGGATCCCATACCGTGACACTCTCTCTTTGCGGTCCCCTGTAGTAAGAATGCTCAAGCAGTGGCAGCCAGCTTCTTCAGCGCACTCACCACACCAGTCACGCCCTGGGTCAACGTAGCACCCGCTGACGTATTTCGACTCCCCAACGTCACAGTAAACACGTTCTCGACGATTCCCTGATTCTTCTGTTCCTGAGCCCACTCAAACACATACTCATCTTCACGAGAGTCTCCGATGACCAATAAGAAATCCAGGTCGGGCTCGCCCTCGTCGACTGACTGCTTGCGCAAATTCTCATCGATCATGGCAGCAGCAGTCGACTTGTTCAGGTCGCTACCAGACACACTAATGCCGTTGTCAATCGGAAGAGCTTGGACCTGTTGGTTGGCGCAGGCTTCATTGATGTGATTGGCACATTCGGCGGCGTGCTTGACTGCAGAGACCATGTCGTCCGCGTCGGTATAGTCAAACACAAGGGATGAATGGCGTTCTTGGATAAGTGAGCCCTCAACTCGGTCGGTTGAGTACTTGAGCATGTCTCTGATGCCCTCCTTCCACTTGGACACATGGTCAAGATCGGCAAGCTCGAGCCATTCGTCAGCTGCGCCAGCTTCCCGGATGAAAGCACCGTCCTCGGCGATAAGCCCGATGCCTGGCACGAGCTTGAACAGCTGCTCGAGTTCTTCCGGCATGCGTGAGCTCATGACATAGACTGTATTCTTCGGGTCTTCCATGAGATCGTCGAGGATGTCGGTGAGCCGCTTTGGGGGTGGAAACATGATCTTCTGCGTGGTAGACGAGACCAAAGTGCCCTCATAGTCGAGTATGATTAGACGACGCTTGGAGTTGCCGTATCGCAAGACGAGGTCGGGAACGGAGAGCCGAGGAACCTTGGCGACATCACGATCGGAGTGATGAGTCCAAGCATGGTCAAGCTGCTGCATTGAGACATTGAACCATTTTGTGCCGTCTTGTTTCATGACAACATCGTACATGTTGTCCCAGCGCGTCTTTTTATCGGCATCGCACATCGTCAGTGCCTGCTTGATAGCATCAGCACAGGCTCGGTGATGCCAGGGATTGACCAGCAGAGCGTTCTTGCCAAACAAAGAAGCTGATCCGGTGAACTCGCTGAGCACGACAGAATTGTACTTTCTGTTAGTCAGTCTGCCGTCTTGACAATAAATGTACTCGTGAACGGCCAGATTCATTCCTTCTCGCAGACAAGTCACCAGCAAACATTCGGCGACTCCCAGCAGAGCAAGATACTGTGAGTGATCGATGTCTTGTCGCAAGTAGACAACTGGTTGATGGGCCAAAGTGGACCACGTGCCGTTGATTCTTGTGACGACGTCGGCGACCTTGGCGGCGATGTCGTTGTCCTCACAACCCGAGGTAGCAATCTGGATCAGGACAGTGTCTTTGGCGAAGTCTGGATAGCGTTTTAGGAACAGCTCGTATGACAACATTTTCTGGCGTATGCACGAATCGATTCGAGCTTGTCCCTAGAGACTATAATCCGCTTTCCCGCATAGCGTTCGGCGATCTGAGTGGTCCAGTCAGTGACTTCAGGCAAAGCTCGCATCTTGTCCAGGTTCTTTGGGTTGATGCCGATGGGTGTTGTGACAACGTGAACAAAACGGCCATCCTCGAGGAAGACGCCATCAGCATTGGCCTCGACATTCAAAATGCGGCTGCATGTCTGCAGGAAGTGCTGAGCGTATTCGTCGATTTGGAAGCCAATCATGTTGGTGCCAAGTAAGCCTTCGCAGAGCTCGACTCGGGTAGCCAACACACGGAACACCTCTGACGAAGGAAAGGCTGTGTGCATAAAGAAGCCGATCTTGGCATCGGGTAGCTTGTCTCTCAGCATCTGAGGCAGCAACATCAGATGATAGTCGTGAATCCAGATGGTGTCTCCCTTCTTGTAGTTCTTGATGATTCGACTCGCAAAAGCTTGGTTGACCTTGACATAGTAGATCCATGAATGATCGAGATATGCCTTGCTCTTCGGGTGATCAGGAATCTGGTAGTGGAATATGGGCCACAGAATGGTCTTGCAGAAGTGCTCGTAGTGTCCATCGAAGTCTCCATCTGGGACATAGACTGGCAGGCAATGATGCTCGTCTTGCAAATTCTCTGCAATGACTGACTTGAGATTATCGTCCAGAGAGTCCGTAGGCATGCCAAGTAGACCGATCCAGCTTTTGTCGCCCAGAATACCGGCGTCACTGACAGCATCGATGACGTGATAGAGTCCACCGTTGCCTTGACCAGCATGCTCGATAGTGTAATTATCTTCAGTGTACTTCTCGTTGCTGGAAACTCTGGACTGGATCTGCCTCGGAGCTCTAGCTAATTCTGTATTGAAGACATTGGCTGCCTGGGTGTTGTAATGTCGTACGTCGTGAGGCGGAGCTGCTAGAGCTTTAGACATGGGTTGATTCCGGTACAATGCATTAACGTCTGCAGGTGAGTGCAGAGGCATCAGATGAGGGTCTCGCAGCATTGACTTGGTAGAGAGGTTCGACGCAGAGGTATTGGCCGATAACGATAGCTTTCTCAGCTTGAAGGACAAGTTTGAGCTCAATGACCGATCGACGTGTGGCTGGAAGATATTCTCGAGACTGGTTGTGGCACCGGGAGTCTTGGGCATGCTTCGAGCTGCCTGCCAGATGCTGAATGGGTTGTCTTCTGGATCATGTCTGCCAACGGCTGGTGTGGTGACGTCCGACTCTGGTGGTGTGGTCTGCTGTGAAGCTGCCGCGCTGGCATACTTGGAGCTGAAATTGACGGTGTAGGGTAAGAATAGCGACACAATGAACAGCGTCATGATGTATGTAGTGCTGGGGAGTGCTTGAACGCTATGTTGTCGATGAATGAGACAAAGAGTGCGGAGTTGTTGATGATCGAGAGGTCAGGGAGGCCTCCATCGGAATTTGTAGGCGTTCACATCAAATGTAGCAGGAATGGCAGGCACAAGGCAAACAGGCGCTCCTGCCTTGTTGAGTTCCTGCACTTGCAAGAAAAGGCAGTCACTGGGCACATTTCACGTGATGTCTTCCTTGACATCCTCAACTTGCCACTTCAGTTCATGTGGCGTTGTCATTTTCACTGAGTTACCTCCATCGAGGTTAGAATCGAACCATGGGGATCGGGACCGATCGGCTGAAGCTATATACATTAACGACATAATGATGAAAGAAAGAGACATGCGAGCGAGTAACGAATAAGTCCGACCTGGGAAGTTGGACATTGGCAATAGCAAACAGGGGCAAACCTCTTGACAGGTATGCGACGCGGGACACGAATAGTTGGATGCGGATATCGCGCTCCTTCCTGAGTGGCAGGTAATGTTGTCCTGTGGCCGAGACAAGGTCTGGTACCGAGCTTCCGTCATCGTCGAAAAGCTGGCAAGAACAGGATCCGGGTACCTTTTCCGCGTCCAGCGTCTACGACATTTCCGAGCTGGGTTGATGTTGCACATGGCAGCGTCTGTGAGGCAAGAAATAGGAAGGAAGTGAACCGGAAATCAAAATAATTCGGGGTTGAAGTTCGTCCTACGGCAGTGCCCAGAACGGATCATGTTTGGCCCTTAAGGGCTCCGAAGCTCCCTATTTCCTAGACGTCTGCGTCGGGCGTTAAATCAGGCAACATCGCCACCACAACGTCGGGAACATCAACAGACTCGCTAAGCTGCATCTTCTTTTCTACAACACATACGCCACAAGATACCGTCGTGAAACCATAGTCCGAACAGCGCATGCCTTCGTACCTGGCATCATCACGAATCCGGAAACCAGGATCTGCAGCTCCTCTCCGCCGCCATTCGACCACCCCATTCTCCACTTCCCAGCGAACCAAGCCATCAATACAGCGTACCAAATCCCTCGCGGACGCGCTCAAGGATGACGATTCAGACAAGGCAGACCAACCAAGGCTCGTGGCCACTAGTACAAGGCAATCGGTGATTCCCAACCCCACCGTGACCGACGTCCCCAGCGCCATCAACCATGCGACGACTACCATGTTCAGCACGATTCCCGAACGGGCCGGGATGAACAGCACCCGCATCGCCGAAGTCCTTAATTATCAAAAGGCCACCCCGCCCATCGTCTCTCTTGCCCACGTCCATTCTCTCCTCGCCGCGTCATCTAAAATCGAACGCCAGATCGACGACCTCATCACCGCCGGCACGATCCGCAAGATCAAAGTCCTCGGCCGAGCAACGACATCAGCGGCATCTCCGACTTCCTCATCCTGACCTCCTCCCTTGTGGCCGCCCTACACGCATCCGACGTTCCTCGACATGTGGTCAAACAGTTCGTCGCCCTCCTTCAAGCAACTCCGCGTGCGATTTTCTTTGTTCCATCAGCATCCATTCCACAAGGCCACATCACAGTCCTCACTCGGGCCGGCTTCCTGGTCTCCGCATCCGCATATCTCAACGCCTCCACTTCCCCCAACCAGATAACGCGCTCCGCAATCGTATCCACAGCCGCCATCGCCCGCGCGTCTTCTGGCAGCCTCTCCGCTGTGGGAGGGGAAGCCGCGTTCGAGAACCTCGGTGGGACTGGTGCCCGTTCTGATTCCATCTCCACTTCCTCCACCCCTGCTATGGGACCGCAGTTGATGCTCTCCCTCCCAGGAATCGGCTCATACATCCGCCTCCTGCACTCTTCACGCACCCACCTTCTTAGTCTCCTATCTCAATCCCCGTACAGCGAAGCACCAATGTCGCTTCTAAAGGAGCGCTGGGACGGCGCGATTGACTCAAGCGAGGGTGCTAGCAGCTGGACTCAAGGCCGGAACACAAGAGGCGTGTTTAGCGACATCCTGCCCGGAAGGACGAAGAAGTGGAAGAAGTTCTGTGGGGTGAGATTCGAGTGGGTGCTGGAGGATGCGTTGGGGGCTGGGATGGTGGAGGTTTTTGAGACGGGGAGTGTTGGGCTGGGTGTAAGAGCTGTGCGGTAGGACTGGTAGTAATTAGGGGATGAACCTGGGCATGGTAAACTGTGATAGTATACAATACAAATTCTTCTACATATTCTCACTGAACTAGAACCCACCGATCTCTAGCCACCAGAACTGCTGTGCAAAACTCCCTCCGCCCCCGAACTAGCCCATAGCACCACCACTGAGTTTCTCGGCAACCCGCTTCATCCTCTCCTGATCCCGTCTATACTTCCGCTCCTTCTCGCTCAAGCCTCCCGAAGTCTTTCCCTCTGTAATCTTTTTCATAAGATCTCCCATGCCACTTCCTTCCGACCGCACATTCACATACTGTCCGTCCACCATCTCTTTGATCCCATCCGGCGGACCCAGCCCATCCCAGTAGCTCTTCGTCGGGAACCCGGGGATGCCCTGGAAATCCTTGCGCTCGAATTCTTTGGTTACCAGGTCGCGGAGTTGGTTTTCGTTGGTAATGAAGTGTCGACTATTGATATAAAGCGTGTGCAAAGCATCAGTCCGCGCGCTCAAACGCTTTCGAGCATGTTCAGCCACATTAGCTGCTTTCTGGGCGTGGAGAGCGAGTGCTTCGGCTGTGGTGGGGTGGTGGATGGGCGCAAGGAGGGAGGAGGGGACGGAAGGGTTGGTGAGGCGTTCGTCGGAGCGCGGGCGCTGGGTGCGTAGGCGTTGGGATTGGGATTGTTTGTATTGGGCGCGGGTGTCCATTTTTCGTAGAGCACTGGCTTTGCGTTGCGCAAGTGAGGTTAGAGAGGTGGCGAGGTGGGATTTGCGGAGGTCGGCCATCTTCTGTTTGTATAATACTGTGGGAGGTAATGTGGATGCATCGGAGAGTGAGACATCTTGCTGGCGAGGAGTCGTGAGGCGGGTGATGAATTCGGGGGAGCCCTTTGAGGGGCGGTTTCGTGGGAAGATGTCGCGGGGAGTAGGGATGAAGCCCTTCTGACGTTGTGGAGGGATATATGTTGGTTGGAAGGATTGAGGAACGTCGATGTAATTGGGTGACTCTGGGGGTATGGCATGTTTAGTTGTGGTCGAGGAGAAGCTGCGAGAGGTCGATGTGGTGGTGCTGCGGGAGAGGCGTGTGCGGCAGCTGCGGCAGATGGTGTGAGGTAGAGCCTCCATCGCGACTGCCTGCAAGACCACAGATTACGACGCGTGTCTAGCAGGTGCAGCAACAGACATGTAGAACGCTCAAGGATGAAGCTCGACACTTGCAGTCGTCGTCGAAAAGTCCTCGCTTCAGTTGCTCTTCTGGGATGACAAGGCTCCGATGCAGCCCTGTCGTCAGGTCGCAGGGTTGCGTGAAACAGATAGAAGTCCCAATCAGGAAGGAGACCTGCCCGCACATGGTTCAGGCTCATCTTCTCCGTCATTACCACAAGATGATGCCTCGTCTGTGTTCACATTGCAACATGTCGAGATTCGTTGCTGATCGTGGCCGGATCAACGAGACACCGTCTAATGGTAGTGTACGCCGCTAAAGCCGACCCAAAGACCTTATTCCAGTCCCCCTTCGCGCATCAGCTCATTTTTCAGATTGACAGATCAGCGAGGCTCGCACGCTCAACGACCGACGCCGCAGGGTACAACTATTCCCCGGACTATCGGAATCGGTGTCGTACAACAGGTGCATAGGTACATACTTTGCGCCGGATTGATGTTGTTCCAGGGGTCTACTCTGGCTGCGGGGTTTGGCTAAAGGCCGTGGAATTTTAGGTTCGTGTCCGAAAGACTGATTCGATATCGTTCAGATTGAGGGATGAGGTAATGTTCGATGTGCGCAACCTCGAGTATGAGTTGAGCAAGTGAGGTAGGTGTGTGCGCGTGCACGTGTAGGGTAAGGTAGGTGGCGATGTAGCATGGACACCGGGTACTCACCTCGTACGCGTATATATATGTAGGTCGTGTCTGCCATCAACCAGCCATGTCTTCACGGCATCGAAACATCTCGATACATGGTCACCGCCCCGTCTTTGAGCATAACGCATCAGAAGTCGCACACAAGTCAGCGACCCATATCGAAAGCACAACAACCAGATCAACCGCAACAACCAGACTCATCAGAACAGATCATCCCTAGGTTTCCCAGCTTCGCTTAAAAAGATGGCAACCCAAAACACACCTCGCGCCAAAGCCCTCACCCTAATCTCAACCTTCCGCGCTCTCGACTCCCAGACGCTGGTCGTTCTCCTCCATGAGAAATGTGTCTGGACCATGTTCCCCACCTCATTGGGCTTCCCACCCCAGACCCGCGACCAGCAGGTCTCCCGCCTGGGCGAGATGTACTCCAGCGGCATCCTCGCCTCCTTCCCTGTGGAGCCGCTGGAAGTCATCGAGAGCGTGACACAGGATGGGAAAGCAATGGTCAGCGTGCGCTGCGATGGGGGGATCGTGTTGAGTGAGCGGACCAGAGCCCTACTCGCAGAAGACAAAGAAGGTGCTCAACTGCTAAGTGGAAGGAACGCGGACAGCAAAGCTGGCAGAGTAGATGTTCGGAACGAGTGGCATTTCACGTTCTTCTTCGACAGCAGCCCGGAACAGGATGGCGGAGGCAAGATTGAGCGGGTGTGGGAGTTTCTGGACGGGGAGGCGACGCAGCATTTGGTCAAGGTTTTGGGGAGGGCAACGACCTTGGTGCAGGGTGGGGACTGAGGATCTAGAAGGAATTATAGATGTCAAGGAGCGTTCAGACAGTGGATATCTCACCCATGTGGTCGTTGTTCTATCTCGTGAAGTCGTTCAAGTCGTGTATGCGTCCTCGCGCTCGCGCAGCCGTTTCGTAATCCGTGTATGGGTACATATCCCAATGCGTCATCAACTACCCCCTTCGCTGTCTGCTCCACGCATGCTTCCCTTCGACCGCCAGCTGCCAAAGCTCGACCAAGCACCGTCGGCGCCGTCGTCTACCCTCTCACTTTGCTCAGCCGCAATCTCCATCGCCATGTCCGCCCTCTTACTGGCCGGGGCGAACGTCCTCACACTGAACCAGAACGCCACCACCAGGACCAACAACGGTGCAGCGGCAACAAAATACCACTTGATACTAGGATCTCCTTTGTTGAACGTATCGACATTCATCCCGAAGAACCCGCTCAGTGCCGTTAGAGGTAGGAAGATGAACGTGATCCAGCTCAATCGCCATAGCGAAGCATTTAACTCCAGCGACTGGCGGGAGTCTCGGATCGTCACGGATTTGTACATCAAGTCCATCATGCGATCCATCGGCTGGACGTAGTCAACGTCGATCGCTTCGGAAAGGTCGGTGAGGGTAGCGAGGGTCGGGTCCAGCCACTCGTCGTCATCATCTTCGGAGTCGAAGCGCTCTGCGAAGGTTCGGAAGTCATCCTGCACATCCTCGATCAGGCTAGTGTGGCGGTTGAGGAGTTTCAGGATCTCGTGCAAGCGTTGAGACATCGCCCAAATCTCGCGAGCACGGCTAGGATCTGAGGGCTGGGAGAAGATGTGGTCCTCTAATTCGGCATGAGGTTCGTGGAGGAGGTGAACCTGTTGATGCCATAGGCGTTGGATGCCTTCGGTGATTTGCAGCACGATATCCTGAGTCACTTTGATGATTGCGGTGGACAGATCCGGAGCGCTGATGTTGTCCAGTGACAATAGAGCAGCTGCCATGCTCAGCACGTCATTGGTGTTTGTGCCGGAATACCTTGCTATGAGTATCGTGGGACATGATGCAAAGGCCGGCAGAGAGTCATTAGCTGCTGCTGTGGGTGCCAAACGAAATGCTCGCGCGCCTGCTGCAGTGACTGTTGTGGCCGTTCTCTGCATATACACAGCCACTCGTTGACGATGGCTGCTTTCGGTGAGCTGGACTCCGGCCGCTGGCCTGCGCTTGTTCTGTGCTGAAGGAGCCACGGCGAGTATTTTGCCGAAATCCAGCCCGAACGCGCTGCAGATGAGGTTTCTACCTGCGTCATACGAGGGCCGCCACTTGACAGCCTTGCCAGCGGCCCGTCTAGACGTTGTGGTCATTTGCATCCAGCTGAGTAGCTTTTCTCATTGCTCTCAACGCCCGCACTGTTGATTCCAAAGTCTCGAACCAACATGTTGACGGCCTCTTCGTTGTTGCAGGAGTACATGACTCGAAGGTCGCACGCAGCCTTCGTGGTATTCAGATACGCTTTCAGACTTCCTGCTCGATCGAACGGCTTGAGTGTTGAACTAGCCAGAACCTGATTTTCGTATCTGTATTCAAGCACATACAATCGGCTAGACTCTTCGGGCGGACCATTGACGTGGTGTAGCACTGCACTTGCGTGAGCAGTCGGGAGAGTTGCAGCAAAGCCTAGTCCATTCGCAACTCCATAACGAAGCACGTCCTTGCCCAGAAGTTGTCGATATATCCTGGTGAAGACGTTCTGACTTTGCTTGGCTTCTGACACGACTCGCTGTAGCTCGATCTGAGCGAGCTCTGCATCGCGACCCCCCAGAAGCTTTGTCGCTTTGGTGGAATGTTGTCGCTCTGGATCCGGCTTCAACATGTCAAGGTCGGGCTCCTCAAAAGGCTTTTCAAATGCTCCTGGCACGCGGACGATGTTTTGCGACTCCGTTGCACGTCTTGCGCTCCATCGGTCACCTGGATGATTGCTTCCCAAATTGACCTTTTGAGGACGATGCTCAGAGTGGTGCTCTTCCAGAGGGCCAAGATCGGTCGTTGCTCTTTTCAAAGGAGGACCGCCCTCGATTTTCTGCCCTATCACGTAGTTGTCAAACAGCGTTGGCGAGGAGGCGTCAGTCATACGCGGATACCGCTCAGCTAGTCGGCCCTGCTCAAGCTGCAACGACAAAGAAGCCTGTCGGGCATAGCGTGCGTTGGCGGCAGACGACTTCCTGCGTTTGTACCCCGATGGGATTGCTATTGAGCCTCGTCTGGAGTCCATGATGGCGAGGACACGACAACTACCGTAAATGCTCAGCACATCGCTTCAGGTGATAGAGCAGAACTTGTTGGTCAGTCAAAATCCGCAGAAGCCAAGCATCGCGACCTCGCCCGGTGCGTGCGATGACCTTGCCGCACAGGCCATGGTGATCGTCGAGGACAGCGACATGACCTGGGAGACCTCGTCTACAAATGTCCCGCGACGCGGTCTAGCCTCTGGTGAATAAAGGTCTCGGCTGCAGGTTTATGCATAGACCTTCATCCAGATCTCCGGGTCAGGCCAATCAGATCACGTGGCGGCAAGTGTGGCTTGCTCTTCTACGCAAAGAATACGAAGTGCGTTCCGGAGGCTCTGCCACTGCAAGCTACCTCACGTAACGTGATTCGTGGCTGCATGTCATAACCAAGTGCTTTCAAATCGACGACGCAATACCTATATTGGTAGGACACGTCGAGGGAAGGAGACCTGAATGCGCTGACCGAACACATCCAAAGTCTCAGGCAGCTCCAACAATTCAGGAAGGCACTGGTCCGGTGCAAGCCATTTCGTTGCGCCTGCACTGACGGTAGCTGTACAGAGGTGGCAAATGTACTTGATCGGCCATAGGGAAGCTACACTGGCACGCGTTAGCCGCCATACTCGGATCCACAGTTGCTTGCTTTGACTACCTGTTGAACATCGACCATCGAAAACAGAACGCTCCCATGGCTTGACATCTAATCCTCAGCAAAGACGCCCACTGGGTGCTCGGATGCGAACTGCAAGACTCAGTAGAGGAATCAATCGGTGGGCCCGCTTCGCCTGGCACATCACGCCTACACCAAAAGACCAGAGCCTTCTGACTCGGCATCGGACACAATCCTTCTTTCCACATCAGGCACTGTCTGTGATTCGGCATTGCAGGGACCGTCACCGACTTCATTGTCGAGTTCATCACTGAGTCCATCGGCAAAACCATGGCCGAGTTCATCGGTAATTTGATTGATGAGCTCAGTGCTCACTTCGTTCCTGACCTCATTGTCGAAGTCACCCCAATCGATACTCCCAATAAAGTGCGCTTGCCAGTATTCCTCTGGAACCTGAACAGTCGTGATAAGATTGAGATGGCTTCCAATGCATTCACCGAGAACCAAGCCTGAGGGAGCCACGTGGTTCCAGTACCAGTCGAGAACTATCGAGTCGATCTCTTCCGACATTCTGTCCGTTGAAGTGTGCAATCCGTCGTACGGGTTGAGGCGCTGTTCTTCCTGTACTATTCGGGCCAAGATAATGGACCTCGCGGCTTTAGCAAATCGTATGAAGCGTAGCGTGTGCTCTTTGTCCGGGCCTTCATAGTTCGGACTCACAGACACCAACGCAGCAGCTCCCGGAAAGAGGACATCGTAGGCATGGCGCCAGTAATGGCTTGAATCCTGGTTCTTGGGTTCTCTTTCATCGAGTCTGAGGGCCTCGCTGAGCTGAGCTGTGATTCGATCTGGATAAAGTGGTGGATCCAAAGTCTCACATCGTGGTGGTCTGATATGCGCATGTAACTGTGACTCTGCAGGGAAGGCTTCACAGCAGTTGACGCAGTAGTATTTGGGCAGGCAATGGTTTCGCTGCATGTGCTGTTTGAGCCCAGCCACGTTCGTAAAGCGGACTTTGGCGCAGGCGTGGTACTTCTCATCATCCGAATCAGGTCCAAAGTACTTGCAGTCAAATTTGTGAAATGGGCAGGCCAACAAGGGCGGCGCTGAGCTTTCTTGGCGCCGTTTCTGGTCTGTCTTTCGCTTTTTGGGGGACCCATCGTCATTTGATGCCTCCGAATCATCATCGCGGCTCTGAGTGCTCTTCCTTTTCGAAGCTGGCTGAGGCTGCTTCTTCCCACCTCTGGGCTGTCCCGAAGCGCAGGATCCGCCAGTTGCCTGGCTTTGTTGAGCGCCATAGCGGGTGGCAACGCTTGCAAACGCGGAGGCGATGACTTTGCCAGCCACGTAGGCTATTCGAGCAGCCGTGGGATCTGTCAACCCATCGTACTGGGTCCATTCCGACGAGATAGATTCATCTGAAGAGGAAGCCCGATTTTCTGCAGATTTGGGCCGGCAGGCGAGTTGTGCACCGTCGTTGAAAACTGCATTGTTGTCCAATAAAGTAGAGTCCAATTCTCCACCAAGCTGGGTGAAGCCTGATGCGCCCCAGTATACCCTCGGTAGCGTCCTGTCTATGCACTTCTCTTTCGCATTGTAACACCCCAAGCATGGTCTCGAGTCTGTGCACCTCTCCCTCAGACGCTGGCATCGCAAGCACGCCCCAATGTCACGAACTTTGTTTGCCATACGGCGCTCTTCTTGCGTCAGTGGCCCAACTCGCTTGGCTCGGCCAGAGCTAGGCTTGATTCCCACATTGGGCGCCTGTATGGCACTGCTTGGGCGGAGTTGACCAACGGACCGTGCTGCAGCTTTGCTTTGAGGAAGTGGACTGACTTTCTCAGATTGGAAGTCGTCGGAAGAGTTGGCAGCTCTCTTATGTGTGCTGTCACTTTCCCTGGCGAAGTGTTCCCCTTGACTGGTGGATGCTAAACGCATCCGATATTCTCGCATTCGATGTTCTCCCCCCAATTCAACTCGCAAGCGTTCCACTTGACGTTCCAATTGATCCTTAAGCAACGCATTGTCCTGACCTGCGGCTTCACCTGCTTTCCTAAGCTCATCAATCTCTGTCTCCAGGTCCGTGATGTGCTGCTCTTTGTGCTCACGAAACGCACGCTGAGCAGCGTTGTTTTGGGCTTTGCGCCCGGCGACAGACATAGTTTCCAAAGGATTCCAGAACGCTGAAGCCTACACAATCACAAGGCCCCCAGTCATTAGCTAAGTTCTGTCTCCCGTGTGACCAGAGTCCTTGCGTAGGCTTCGCACGGTGAAAAGGGTGTAAAGTTACCTTCTGCATTGCCATATTTTCCAACTTGGTCTGCTCTTGAAGCGCATTGTACTCGTCCAGCATGGTTACAAATTGCTTAGCATTGTCGCTGTTCGAGGTTGGCAGCTTTTCTCCCTCAGCCTCGAGCCTGGCCTGATTGGCGACAGCTGTCGGACCTGTCAATCGACTGTCTCCCTCAGAGCCCTGCATTATATTCCGGCTACAACGAACAAGCTCTACCAGCTTCCTTCGAATCTCTGGGTGACAATTTGAAACGGAGTGGGAGGATCCTCGCTGATGAAGTCCCTCTGATGTCGTTCGCGGTCGGATACATCCTCAGAGTAAATGTGAGGAGCTCTCGGTCTCTGGCGGTCTTTAAAGGTCACGAGGTTATCGTGGAAGCCTGGCACTGTGGACGTTCCAGCGTAATCCACAGTTGTGTATAACCCAGCCCAACGTCCCAGAATTGCCTCGTCGGATCGGAAATACTTGACACCGAGCCTAGACCCTTTCGAAAGCCACCGCGCTTGCGTCATGTGTGTCGCTATCTTCCACGCCGCAATTCACAGTTGTAAGTTAGCCTCGAGGCGTCAGACAGCTGTGATGTAGGCCGTCTTCCTGGCAGTAGCGAGTCAGCGTAAGGAAGACACACACACACAAATGTGGATAATGCGACACAAGATCGTGAGCTGGCAAGTATGGCACGCTTTGTATAGTCCGATGATTCCATCGCTAGCTTTGCGCGTGATATAAAGCTCATGCGAACCGTGTCAGGCAAAATGCAGTCTCATAACACTTCTCAACCGCAGACCAGCCATCAGATAACATCGGACACCTGCGTCAAACATGCAATCACTCGATATAGCCAACGTCAGAGTGATATTCAACAGGACCAGGACCCTCAGTGGCGACATGGCCACGACCCAGGTCGCGTCGACAGAGACGTCACCATGCTTACTTGCGCGTCTGATGAAACTTTATCTGCCCCAACGGCTCGCCTGGAACGTCCTCTTTAAGCTCTGCTTGATCCTCACAAGCCGAGAAGTCGTGGTCGGCACGGTTGACGCAGCTTCGGTAAGTTCGCACCTTCTTGACTGAAGCCAAGACCATAATCTGACGACTATCGCAGACATTCGCACCTGATCTGGAGACCTCGGCGGCTTTCCAGACGGTCTACTTCCAGAGATTTGACGTGGATCCGTTCCTGACCGCCGTTCTACACGACCAGAACCTCAGTCTAGCATCAAAGCCGTTCGTAGAGCTCTACCCGTTCGTGTGTCGGTTCGCAAACCAGTCTCCGCCCGAGAGAATGCTCGCAATAAGCACCAGCTTCAGCAATCGCGGAAGCTTCACAATGATGGCATGCATCATGGCAGCTGCAATGGTCGTCGGTGTTGTCTGTGGCGTACTTTATGGTCTTGAGACAGGTTTGAATGTATTTGTGGCGGTCACGGGATCAACTGCCGTGTTCCAGGGCTGTTTGTTCTTGATCAGCAGAACGTAAGATGGACTGCGGGCGATTTTATGGACAGCTGAGTTGTTTCATCCGCAACCTTTTTGTGTCCAGGACGGCTGGATTGTTGCGTTGGGTCGATGAAGCGGGAGGCTGTGTGTTTAGCCTTCCACGGCGCCGGAGCTAGTAACAGGTGCTTTCTACAATTGCAGCTTCCGCACCAAGGCTCTCTTGAATGGAGTTTTCCGGACCTTGTCGACAGACTCCGGCAGTATGTCCTCACCGGTGAAATCAAAATTCTTAGGCTCGACCCAGTTCCCCTGGACGTATCGCCAAAGTGTCAAACCCAAAGCAGTCCCAGTATATGTACCTCTCCCGTCCGGCAAGTCCGGAAAAGTTTTCTCTTGTACAAACGGGCGCTTTGAAACAAGATGGCTTCGGCCCTCTCGTGCCGCGTCCCATCTCTTCAGCTCCGTGAGTGCCTCCTCGACAACCTCCTGCCGTGGCTCTTTGTTTATGACAGTCCAGTGCAGTCGGATATTGCCCCGATCCTGATCACTCAAGAAATCGAACCAGTCCGCCTTGAGCTTTTCATGGATATCTCCGGTTGCCGAGCGCATACCGGTCCTATCCGAGTCCGTTCTTCGCGGATGGTGGTGACATTTCACAGCGACTCCTGTGGTTTTCAACTTGAACGGCCATCCAGTTCTTATACTGTACGGCGCCTGGTTGCTGGCAACATCGTTGAGGGACGGGATGATCTTGCCTGAGAGATGGACCTGAGGTAGGCTGTGAAAGAGCATGAGATGGGCGGGCAGCTTGTTGAGATGCTCAGGGAAGTACTTCTTGCGCCAGGCGTCCATTGTAGCTTGGAGCCCGTCGGACACGCGTAGAGTTAGGACATAGCATGGTTCCTCGCGCCAATTTTCAACTCGAGGCGCGTAGCGGCGCCGAGTAGGTTTGCCGGACGATGTGCGATCCCGGGCGTCGAGCGACCTTCCAGGAAAGAGGTCGTGCGTCTCTTCCGCTCGAGATGGTCCACTACTGAATAGCCTGCAACATCGCCGAGGCTGAATATGACGCAACGTGCGCCATGGTATTCGTCGTAGCATGGTGATATGAGTGATCAAAAGATTGTGGAGCCGATGAAATAATGCGTAGACAAGCTGTAATATTGATACACGACCACAAATGGAATGAAAAAGACAAATATCTGAGACGGTGACGCGTAAACAAGCTGTGTTATTGATACATGAACACGGATGAAATGAAAAGCACAAGTCTCTGAGACGGACATTCAATGAACGAGAAACGAATTGTGTTCAGTCGAGGGTGACTTGTGTGATGTGGAAGTGAAAGTTGATGATGATGATGATCGGAGCACGCAAGGTTCAAAGTCCAACGCGCCAAGACCAGCTACAGCGTCAAATTTGATGAATGCAACAACGGATGAAGCTACCTGCCGTGAACATTCGCAGTGCTGACGATGAGTTGGATCGATGTCATTATTCTATTCTCTAGTAGTCACAAAGTAGCCTGCTGTCTGATTTATTCTATCCTCTTCTTGCCCTCCTCCATAAATCCTACATTGCTTGTGCTCAGTTTCCTCGCTCTGCGATCGTGATCTTTCGGACTTGTGATGAATTGGCCGACGATCTTATCTTTGTGCGCTCGTGCTAAAGCGTCCGAATACCCTTCCGCTGCGAATTGAGGTGTGTTGAGCTTCGGCCAGTTGACATATAGCATACCGTTCGCAACAATGAACTGCAGAGCCCACCCTGCGATGACAACGCATATGAGTATGAACAGTCGGAGGGGCCAAACTGTAGATTCTGGCGCTCGTCGGGTGAGCATGGATATGAAAACGAAGAAGAGTGATCCAGCGAGCACATATGGTACTGCTTGAATCAGAAGTGGTCGGCGGTCAGCGAAGGTGAGCGATGAGCCAACACCAGATGTTGATGGCAAGTAGGTGCCCAGAAACAGGTCAAAACCATCTTGGCGTGGTCCGTCCAGGAAGTTGTTTTTGACATATCTTGTGATGGAGTTGTTGAGGTCTTGAGCCATACCAGCTCGTGTTCGATTGCCTGTTCGTGTGAAGTCGGTCTTCAGGGCACCCGTACCGGAGTAGGAGTTTGAGACCACATCCGCATTGTCCGCCCACATGTTCCGGAACAATGTTTCAAATTCACGGTCATCGCCAGCACGCTCTCCAGGGTTAAGAATGCCCGCATCTGTAAGTTGCTGGCTGATCGCCCATCGTCCAAGCATAGACTGAACGACGTTCGTTCGGTCCAGACAATCCATGCAATTTGTCCGAACAACAGAGCTTTGGCTCAGTCGTGTGTCCAGGGCGCCTGTGCTGTCACCAGGCATCTCAGCGCCCTTGAAGTACTGTCCTTTTCGAAGACCATCAATCAACTCATCCAGCAGCAGTTCGGCTCGGTGCCATTTGAGACCCTTCGTCTCGTTGTGGAAGTCAAAATAGACATAGTGTAAGCGGTCCATTCGCTGGTTGCCAGAGCCCTCGATATTCGTCATCTTCTCATTCGTCCGACTGTCGGACTCGGAAGTTTCGTCAGGTGAGCTGACAAGGATGCGAACCATCTGCTCGTATGCCTTCTTGACACGCTCTTCCCGACCACGCTGATTGACCAGGTTGACAAGATAATTCTCGCCGTATAGACGAACCTGTTCGTTGAAATGTTTCCGTGCTGCTTCTACGGCAGATTCGACTCCTCTGATCTGTAACTTTGGTGTGTAATGCAGGTCGTTGATCTCCGCCCAGAAGACCGGCACACTACCTCTGGTTTGCACGTACGACATGATCTGAGTTTCGTTGGTAGATCCGACGCCAATCTTGCCGTTCTGCGCAGCTTGACTGCTGGCGTATCCGGTAGGTGCGCCTGTCGGATCGTTCAAGATGACAATCTGTTCTGTCTCGTTGAAGTTGGAGACATGGCCATCCGCGTCGATGCCTCGCGAGAAGTATCGGGTACCACCTCTGTACCTAGAGCGTCTTGTGATAAGGGCAAAGGTGAACGGGGTACCCTTGACTTTAGCTGGAGTGACGCGCAACATTCCGAACATGACAGGCAGAATATATGGGTCGACTCCGAGGTGTGGACCGCTCTTCATGCTGCCGCCCTCGCCCATCCGAAAGTCGATGAGATCGGTCTGAATAAAGCGGTTCCAGAAGAATCGGTCATCGCAGCGCTTCCAAAGTGGGTCTGACAGATTTGACTGTGCCTGCCGCTGAAAGCTGTTGGTCACATCGAGTGAGTAAGAGAAGAACATCGGTCCGGTCAACTGAGTCTTCAGGTAGGCAATGTACTTGTCCTCGTCTGGATCGTGGACTGGTCGTTCTCGGAGTGACAAGAACTCTGTGGCAACAACTTTGTACAGCATATGGCCTCGAAGTCTCCCCATAGTCTGCGCCTTGGTGATGACAATAATGTACTTGTCGAGTTTCAGCTTGATAATGCCCAAGATACCTGCGATGCTGGAGACTCGCTTGCTACCGAGCAGAGCGCCATTGTTGAGTCTGATGTCGCCTGACGGTCGCTCAATGACCAGCGTCGGTGCTGAGGGTGTGGATGGTGATGTGAAAGCATAGTGCGACGCTGAGGCGTGGACATTGATGTCCCGGAAGGGCAGAGTAGCCATGCTGGCGGTGCTTGGTGAGTGATAGTGATTGGTGATGCTCAAACCATGCCGCAAAGGGCTCAGATATCTAGAATGACGCCTGAACACCCGCTACTGTGTCCTCTGCATCAAGGAAGTCTACAAAGACGAAAGCACTCGGTGAAGATGGTGAAAGAGTGATTCCATGATTATCTCACATGTGGTCTTCCTGGCTGCGGCGAAGCAGCTGCGTCATTTCTTGGCATTGCGTCTCAACGTGACCCGATGCATCCACCCTCCATCAACTACACGCTATCTATCACTGCTCACCACAGACACCACCCAGCTTGTCCAACCCTATCATCAGTCGTGTCGCTGAGCCCAAGTTGATCATTCTTCCATTTGGCGGCCCTCCGAAAGACCCAAGGCCACACAGAGCGCCACTACTGCAGACCGAACACGCTCCCCCGAAACTTTCCAAGGCATCCGCGATCCCGTCCTCAGTATGGCTGCTCGTCCGGCAGGTCGCGCGGGCCCAGGCGGTCGCTTCGCACAATTCAAGCTTGTTCTCTTGGGTGAATCGGCCGTAGGAAAGGTGCGCTCTTCTCTCCTGCTGGATTCTTTGTTGCATGCTGATTCTTGCCGCAGAGCTCGTTAGTCTTACGGTTCGTCAAGGACCAATTCGACGACTACCGGGAGTCCACAATCGGCGCTGCCTTCCTTACCCAGACGATCGCGCTCGATGACACCACGACCGTCAAGTTCGAAATCTGGGATACAGCTGGGCAAGAGAGATATAAATCATTGGCCCCCATGTACTACCGAAACGCCAATTGCGCCGTCGTTGTCTACGATATCACACAAGCAGTAAGGTTCCCAACTCCAGGTCGACGAACTCGGCGACTAACATACACAGTCCTCACTAGACAAGGCGAAGTCATGGGTCAAAGAACTCCAGCGCCAGGCTAGCGAGAACATCGTCATCGCTCTGGCCGGCAACAAGATCGATATGGTCAACGACAACCCCGATAAGCGCGCGATCCAGACCGCCGACGCCGAGGCGTATGCCAAAGAAGCCGGACTCCTGTTCTTCGAAACCTCCGCCAAGACATCCACTAACGTGAAGGAACTCTTCACGGCGATCGCAAAGAAATTGCCTCTTGACCAAGCCGGACCACGGAATTTGCGGGCAAATACCCGGCCAGGTGTCGATCTGCGGCCGGAGGCTACTCAACAAGGCGCTGGTGGCTGTCAATGCTGAGTACGGGGAAAGTATCGCGGCAGATCGAAGCATTCTGCGGGACCGTCTTTCTATGTCATATCATTTCCAGCAGGCGTCACTTGGGGCAGGATATCCTGGAGTCGCTGGTGATCGAAGGGGAGTCATGTGCTGGCAACGGCGACGAAGAAGGAGGCGGTGGCCGGCTCCATGTCTCGGATCTACTAACACTGGTATCGTCCTGATGAGGGCGGAGACAGACTGACGGTCTATAGCCTTCACAAGCATTAATGATTAGAAGTCTTGAAAGCGGACATTTACATTCTCCATACCGACTACTGACCTGTCGAACATCGGCCATTTTCTCTTGGATCGTCAACTATCTCTCTTTTGATTGTTGGCTGCCGGCTAGGTCGTGCTGCCCACCGCCATAATCATGATGCAGTAGCCCGCAAAGGCATGAACGCGTCTTGGGTTTTGAGCCGCACGAAGCTTGGTTGGCTCGGCCGACAGTCGTGGTACAGACTGTTTCGTGTTACGTAGCCGGCATGCAGAGGTGAGATGAACTTATACTTGATCTGCGATACATGTTATAGCTCATGCATAGCACAATCACCGAACATGGAACAGCCTTCTACCAAGCAGAAGTCTGCTAGACGTGTGCATGGATCTTGGCGCCTAATGCACGTCTCACCGTCCTGTGCTTGAGCCACGAGCCGAATTCCGAAGGTTAATCCACAGAGTTTCGTGTATGCACTGCATCGACCGCTTGCCCTATCTACATGGGCTGCCAAGGACTTTGAAGTCTGAATGCCATTTCAACCCGTCCTGCCGTCTACGACCCTGAAAGACTGTGACATAGCTGCTTCTCTCTCCGCCGGGGACTTACTTCCGCGGTTTTTACAGCCGTCGACATGCAGAAGCTGGTATGTTCATCACTTGGGAACTACAATTCCTTAATTGTGTCGAATCATCGTGACGGAAGATGCTGCCGGAAAAGCATTCCATGAATTGTACTACATATGTCACGAACATGCTACTCTTCCTCACGACACTCGTGTGAAGCGTTGAGCTCTCAAGAATCAAGAACGCAAGTCTAGTTTACGACAAACCGCCTCTCGAAATCATTCCCATCTCACCACAATGGCAGATTCAACGAAGGTCCCAGCGTCAGATCCCCCCTTAGCTCCGCACTCCCGTCCCTGTATTGATAGCAGCGCAGTCCAGTCTATACGACAGAGTACAAGCCACACCCAACAGAGAAGATGAAAGCGGCTCAGTGGACAGGCACCAAATCCGTCAAGATCAACGAGGTTCCCAAACCCACCATCACCGCCCCTAAAGACGCCATTGTCCGCATAACGCATTGTTGCATCTGCGGCTCTGACCTGCATATGTACGGAGGTGAGATGAACATGGCGATGCAACCAGGGGACATCCTCGGCCACGAGGCGATCGGGTACATCGAGGAAGTTGGCCCCGAGGTCCAGAACTTTAAGGCTGGTGACCGCGCCATCATCCTGCCTGTCATCGCATGCGGTGAATGCTTTTACTGCCAGAACCAGCAGTACTCACTGTGTGACACAACCAACCCGTCAAAGGCCATGAGCGATCTGTACGGCCACCGCCTATCCGGCATCTTTGGCTACTCCCATCTCACAGGTGGCTATTCAGGCAACCAGGCCGAGTTCTGCCGCGTCCCCAACGCCGACATCGTACTCCTCCACTGTCCCGAGGACATGCCCGCCAAGAAAGCGCTCGCCCTCGCCGACGTCACCGACACCGCCTGGCACGGTGTCGAGCTCGCCGAGGTGAGTGCGGCGACGTCGTCGGCGTCTGGGGCTGCGGGCCCATCGGGCTCTCGATCCAAAAACTCTCCAAAGAGGTCCGTGGCGCGAAGAAAGTCTATGCGGTGGACAAGGACCCCCAGCGTTTGAAGATCGCCGAGTCACACGGCATGATTCCTGTAGACGCGTCGAAAGTCAAGCCCGATGAGTACATCCTGTCAGTCGAGCCGCGCGGGCTAGACCGCGGGATTGAAGCAAGCGGGTTCCGCGCCACGAACTCGGTCACGCATAAGCTTATGCGGGCGACTGGACTGGAAGGGGATAGTACGGACACCATCAGCGAGGTGATCAAGGCGACACGGAAAGGTGGGAATGTGGCGTTGATCGGAGACTTTTTCTTTCATACAAACATGTTCCCTATTGGCATGTTGATGGAGAAGACGATTACCCTGCGTGGTGGACAGCTCATGGCGCAGAAGGTATGTATATCGGTCATGTCCCTCTTGATGCTAAGACGCAGTCAGCTGATATCATTCATTGTAGTACTATCCGTACCTCTTGGATCTGGTCAAGGAAGGGAAATATGATCCTTCATTCGTGTTCACGAACGTCGGTAAGCAGGATGTTCCATATCCGACCTGGGATTAGATGGTGCTAATGGCCATTTCTTCTAGATGACTTTGAGAACATCCCACAGGAGTTTGACATGCAGTTCCACCAAAAGGTACCAGGAGGATTGAAGTCGATCATGGTTACGCCCTATGGCCGCGAGTTGAACCAGCCGTTATGAGTAACGGGGCCGTCATGGTCGATTCCATCCTTGCTATGTGTTGTGGTGCGTTCATTAGTCCTATACGTTGTTCCCGAAAAGGGGGAGCTCTTGTACCAATCTCAACATCGCAAAAACCGAATTCATCAAATACTTGGTACCGAGCCTGGTTTGTTGACAAGATCGGATTGGTCAAGGAGAGTTTCCAGGGGAGAGGGAAGAGAAGAGTAGATCTCACTTAATCACAAGGGAACAACAGCCGTTTGCCCTTCTCAGCCCCATGTACTCGAGTAGCCCCAGAGACGAAACTCATGACCTCAGATACTTGATTTCTCACTCATTCGATGAATAGACTACTCACTCGTGCTTAGCCCTGATTGTTCGCGAGGTCTCATGGCTCAAGGGAAGGCGCTTTACTGTCGTCTCTATCGGATATACACACTTCGTCGCCCAAGAGGGAACCAGTTACCGTGGGAAGTGTATAAACCGAGGAACGCGGAGTCTTTGACTGGAAGTGCGTCTCGTATTGTCGTAGCAGAGACGGGAACGTGACTTCTTGAGGAGCGACGTGATGCTCGGGGTTACGAGACTTTGTAGTTGACTGGACCAGAAACATGCTCGACGCGAACAATATCAGCCCGACCGATCTTGCGTTTCGAAACGCCTCACGGAACGGCAGGTGAAATAGTACTTGTCGAGGTACTCATTCTGCTTCAAGCAGACCCCACGATCATGGGAACCATCAGTATAAACCAGAGACCCAGTCTCCGTCGCATATTCCCCTAAGATAGCTTCCTCAAAGGCCAGGAAACAAGGACACGAAGCACAAAAGTTCATTTCTTTTCGTCTTGTTCGGGAACCAGCCACCGTAGCTCGATGTTGTCGATTAACCGAACCCACGTGATAATTCCTGTAGTGATACTCAAGCGTTACCACCATTGAACTTTTCCACCACAGTCTGCTGATACGAGCAGCAACCATTGAATTTATCTAAGTCATGCCAACTCTGGTGTCGGTATTGCAAGGAGACCGACATGGTTAGACCACATTGTGCGAGGTACGTAGGGCCCTTTTCTTCGTTGCTTCCGCAATTGCTTGCGTTGGCGGCGGGATCAGCCTCCTGGTCCATCGAGCTGCTATGTCTTGATCAATTGTGCCGTTGTGTTGTGCCCGCAAGTCTCCGAAGGGAGCAAATAGCTGTTCAGCGGTCACCGACTCTAGCTGTGCTCTCAGCCATTGGCGGGTGGGTTATTTTTGGAACTCAACTCAGAGCCGTCGTTTGATCCCGTCGACAGGTGACATAGTCGTCCCTTTCACAACGCCGCCACCCAACGTAGCTTTAAGATAGACCAAAGCAGAGCGCAGACCGTAGCATCTCCTTGAAGTCATTGGCCTCAAGTACTCTGCGGCGAGGTGAAAGTCGTGGGACATCCAAACCCGAAGCACACCAGCATGCGTGGCCAAAAAATTGGTTTGAGCTCGGGGTCGGAGATCTAGGAGACATAGGAATTGAGACTGAGCCGAGCTCCCATACAGCGCGGTCACCGGCGGACCGCGAGGTGCGGAAGGTCTTGGCCGTGCATGAGCGTGTGCAGCGGAGCAGCTGTACTGTCATCGGTCTGCAGTCCTTCACCGTAAACGTGCTATCCCGGCGCATAGAGCCCGAATACTGTTGCGAGATTTTGATGTCGAGCTTCCAGAGTCCCGGGGATGCCATTCCTGCCTGAAGGCACAGCTCGCCCAGCATAGCGTCATTGTGGCCTAGTCGTGGCCTTGTTCCGTTGGACCCAAAAATGACAAGACGTTGTCGATCAACAATGTATATATACACATGGTATCCCATCGTAAAGTTCTCGAAGCAGCCTCGGTTGAGAAATGTAATGGTGGCAGGCCACCACGTCATCTGGCTGAGCACGAACAACGACCTATGGTACCAATGATTCGGTTTCGCGATACGAAGTCTGTGCATCTCGTCACGAAGACCGCACGCGCCCTGCTGATGCCATTGTGCTTACGTTTCTGCCGCTTTGCGGAAGGTGCCGAGCATGAAGACGAATACTTCTGTCTTTGCAGTATCGAAGAGGGCAGCGAAACCACAAAAGTGCCTAGTGAATGACGTTGGCGGTCGTTTGGGGAGTGATCTGGTCTGAATGCGGCGCAGTCGCCGCTCGACGCCGGGGATCCTTCCAGAAGACGGCATCTCGGAGGATTTCAATAGGGACTTGTCTGCGAAAAAGTGTTATTGGGTCAACTAGACAACAGCCCGTCTCACAACTCCTCCAGCGGTCCCAGCGTGCAGACAACATGCCACTGGACCGGCTGAGGAAGACGAACACATTGTGGCAGGTTCTAGTCGTGAGCGCGTCAAGCGCGTTCGGACACACAGGCAACCACTTGTGACCTCCCACCAGATGACGTCTCCTGAATCGGCGGTATACACTTCGCCGTCCGAATCAACTTCGCCGCCAACGCGAGTCTTGCTTACTGGACGTGGCAATGTAGCGCGCAGCAGACTTGAAGGACTACAGCTTCTCGCAGCCCAGCCGTGCAACCATCTCCACGGTCCCAGAGTGAGAGCGTGCATACTCGCCTTCGAGTACGCTGTATCCAAAGGCAAGGCGGCCAGCGTGAGGGTCCCATTTCTGGTCTGAGCACGTGCCGGGACCAGACACGTTCTGAGCTTCCAGCCTCATCGCTCAATCCTTGTCCAATTGCGTCGGCTGACACGCCAGACCACAGCATGGCCACAGACCAAACCCGCGCATAAGGGCCTGTACATACAGGCTTGCAAGTACCTCCATCAGATGAGCGACTCCGTCTGAAATGAACAACAACGGTACCTTCTGCATCACTGAATGGTTCGCCAGCGCGTGAGGAACTGAGTACTTGGGTCCAGAGAAGCCAGAGGACGTCACAGAGCCATAAGTCCTCCCTCTTGGCCGCAAGAGCGGCCGAAGCCTCGTTTATAGCTCTAGCGCTAGCGTCTTCTTTGGCACCTTGAATGTCAGCCTAGGGAAGTCCTGTACGGCGGATTTTCGTGATGCATCGCAGCTCCGTTCGAGTTCTCTGGCGTGTGATTCCCGGAGAAGGCGAGGCAGTTCGCCTAACTGGTCTTTTTGAAGCGAGCACCGCATAGGGCATACATCGTCTGCTTCGAGCCGTTCGCGTCCGTAAACATCTTCTCGTCGTGGACGAGAATGAGATTATCTGGACCCAACAACTCACCCGTGAGTAGATGGCAGGTTGCAAGACGAGTCTCGCTGGCTGCGAGGTCGGCAAGGACTCGCGCCCGGCGTATTGGAGAGATTCTGCGTATTCTTCCGCCGTCAGGCCCCAATTGCCCGTACCATCTTAGTGATAGGCGGTATGAGAGCAGAGTCCCGTCCAGTCGACCGTGGACCATGGCAGAACCGTGTGGTTAGACCAGTGTGGTTCGTCAGCAGTCCAAGTCTAGGCCATCATACGTGACAGGTCGGTTTGGAATCTGCTCTTCATAGCCAGGCGTGAAAAGAGCGTACAGTGAAAGACTGGGATGGTAAAGAGTATATCTGACCGGTGGCAGCTCCTGATGAAGTGGATGTAAGACTTCCGGGGCCAGTCCTTGCGGTGTTGCTGGAACAAAAACGGAGACTCGTATATGCTTGAGCGTGGTTCCTCATAGCCCCGGGTGGAGCAGAAACCAACAGATCGCCGTGAAGCGTCCTCCCATAGGCATTTCCGTAGTGTTGATGGTGAAGTTCTTCCCCCCCACGAACTTTTGTGTACTGCGAAAGTTCCGACCCCGTACTCAAACGCTACTGATGGTTTGGTATACTGGTGTGGTACCGTTACAGGCCTTACGCCCGGCCAGCGTTCCGCGAAGTGGCTGTGAATGTCGTGTATCGTACACAGCCACAGCGGTACCTCGTTCTTCGTCATGCATCTCGCGATCTTCCCGTTTCGCTCTCGAAGCCGAGCTGGTTCGGCTTTTCGATTGTCTCACCGAGCTTCCAACCGAACACGGAAGCTTTGCTCGGTGCCGGCAGGCACCAGATGACGTGTACGAGCAGCAAACAGGTCGTGTAGGTTTGATCTCGTCGACGAGTACAGCGATCCCAGCTTGCCTTAGAGTCATCTTGTCGTACTTTATCTCGCAGAATGCTGGATACGTCGTTGCAGCAAGTTTCAATGTGCAGTCGAGTTGGACCAGCCTCATGACTGTAAGGAATGCACCTCGAGCGCTTGGCGAGCCGTTGTGAACTGTCGAACTAAGTACTTCGGCGACCTCGAAGTGAGCACGTGCATGCGCCCCGCAGACGTGATGTGTATGGCCCAGGCTGACGCAGCTCGCATATGGTGCTGCTAGAAGCCCGAAGCCCGTAGCATGACTGTGATGCCTACTAGCCTGGTTGGGGTAAGGAGCCAACGAATCTGCCAGTAGGAGTGTCGCAGCAATAGCGCGCTACCAGTCTAGGAATCGGTAGCCGTGTTGCCTCAAGCCCGAAGAGTCCGTAGGATCATTTGAAGAATGGGGACAACCTCTAGGTTTGTTCCTTCCCGCCCAATTACTAAGACGATCACACAATGGATGCCTGCATATGCCCCTTGAAAACGCATGACATAGCGCAAGGCAGCCCACGTGCGACCGCCACAACAGCATCCCGGTGCGTTGACCAAGGCCAGGCAGCCCGCGTCAAAGCTACCTTCTTGACGCTCCTCGTTATTCTGAGGTCATGATGACCCTGGGAGGGGCGAGCATAGGTCACTGTACCAGTGGATCGAAGCCCCATATGTCCCCTCCTCAACTGTGATGCGCAGTCAGGTCGGATTGGCTGAGATTCTCGCCGGTTGACCGTGTACGTCCGTACATACACGAAGCGTCGAGTGTGTTCGTCAAGTCTTGACTCCATAAGTGAGACCGACGGCCTCGGCCGCTTCGATACCACCAAGGAGGCATAGGGTGTCGTTTGATGTACTGCATTGTCTAACAATTCGCGCAAGCTGTGCGTAGTGATGAGATAGGCCAGCTTCAAGAATATCTG